CTTCTAGGACGGGAAGTAGAACGATATATACGAAAAGGCAGGTATCTCTTAGAGAATAGAGTGTTATAATATAATAACAAGGCCTATATTGTACTAGGATCAGATAGAATTAATTAAGACGATTTATAAGTCGGAACTCAAAGGATATATAGGAATTGCTAAAATAGTCGCCAAGGTTCGGCAGTACTATAACTTCCTAGGACCCAGGACTAGAGTTAAAACTGTTATATAACAATATAACCTTTATAATCAAACTAAGTTAGTATAGCATAAACTATATAGGCTCTTAGGACTATTGCCAGTTATAGAACAACTATAGAGTTTGGTAATAATAGACTTTATTACTAAACTACTACTTCTAAAGGACTTAATTATTAGAGTACAGTATAATAGTATTCTTACTATAGTCGATCGACTTATTAAATAGAGCTACTTCTTCCTATGTAAGGAATTACAGTTAGTAGAGCAATTTGCAAATATAATCTATCAGTATATTATATCAGTTTATAGATAGCTGAAAGAATAGATTACGGGTCGAGATATTAAGTTCGCATTAAAATTTTAGCAAGTACTTATAAAGTATTTAGATATAAAAACAAGCTTTCAATAGTATATTACCTATAAATAAATAGCTAGATACAAAGGTTTAACTAGATTGTCGAGTAATATTTTAGAATATTCGTTAGCTTCTAATGGAATAACTAGGTCGATCTATTACTAGTAGTATAGCTTATATATAATATAATACCAATAGAGATAACGAAAGTTACCCTATTCTTTACGAACTTCGGTTATAAAGCAGATTTATACTAGAGACTAGATATTATAGTGCCTAGAGTAAAAGTTAAGGTAGAGAAAATATATATACTATATACGATACTAAAGTAAGAACTCGAGTTCATTAGGCTTAGGATAAAGGAGTACTATAATAAATATCGGCTTAAGAACCTTGCCTCAAGAAAGGAGATACAGTCTACTTTATTTCTCGAAATTTCAAAACGAAACGGCTAAGTTTGAAACGACTTTAAAAAGATTAGATTATTTAAGGTCGATACAAAAATTTCGATATCCAACTATCGACTTTTATTACTACTAACGATAAAGTTATATACTAACGTCTTCTATATCTTACTCCTTAAACTAGCACCTAAGAATATACGGCTTATAAAGGATATTAAAGCTAAGGACAAAGAAAAAGAACAGAATGTTAAGGAGATCTTACACTTACGAATAGTTAAGGGAAGGCTAGAGTATTTAATTAAATAGCTCGACTTTAGGCTAGAGGACGACTTATAGGAGCTAGCAATATACTTTAACTATATAGAAAAATTAACGGAGTTCTATCGACGGAATCCAGACCGACTAGGGAAAAGAAAAACGTAAAAGTCTTCTCTCTACAAATAGCCCGACTCTACAGTTAGGCTATTTATATAGAAAAGGGGTATAAATAGGATTCGAACCTATAACCTCCTAGAGCACTTATTCGGGTATCATAACTAAGCTATATTACTAAGCTAATTTATTTATTAAGAATAGGCAGTAAGAATTAGACTAAGAACCTTAGAGAGAGAGAGCAACTATAGGCAGTAATACTACGAACATAATATATATAGTAGGCGTAACTAAGACCTGACTATTATTGCGATTTCTCTATTATATCCGACAAAGTAGGACTTTTATTACGATATTCGTTAGAAGGATAGAATAGCTAGTTAAAACTCCCGCTAAAAGGGTCTAAGGCGGTACCGGTAGAACTATAAGGTATAGAACCTATAGCCTCCTAATCTATTATTATACCAATAGCCCCTAAGGCTTACGCCTATCTGACTAATACCTGCTTATCCGATATACCAAATAACTTAGGACCTAGGACTTTAGAAATCACTCTATCTACTTTGTCTAGATTTGTTATATTATAATGAAAAAGCTTATTGCCCTGGTTATAAACGAAAGTACGTCGTTTTTATAACTAAGCTGAGGCATTTAATATCTCGGTTAATAACTCCTCTTTTATAGCAATCTATATATTAAGCTTCTTATAAATAGCTAGATTTCAGAGAACTACGATAATATTAATACCACCGCTAATAAGCACTATACTATATATATGAGAATCAGCTATATTAGGGCTATTATAGAGTATCTCTATAAGGATATAGTTTATATAGCAGTTCGATCTATCCTTTGCAATATAGCGTAGCTTAGGCTCTATATGCTAATAACAGGAGCAAGATATAATTTCGAAATCGTCCTAGTCGAATAAGTTAACTAGAAGTTTATATTTATATATCGTATTATAACGACGCTTCTCGATACAGCTTAATACTGCGCCGGTAAAAGGAGAGGAAAGCAGAAAAAAAAACCTATAGAGAAGTAAGAAGAGAGCTGACTGCTATTTGAAACTAATGAGGAAGGGTAATGGTCTTCTGGGACAAAAGACAGAGAGAGGGCATTATATTATAAAGTAACTATATATATAGGCCGGTGGGGCTATAGCTAGGTACAAGGTACTAATCGGGGATAAGGTATAGTATAGACCCTAAGTGGCTTATTGCTTGGTGTGACGGCAAGTGTGGCCTGCGGGGTGCTTGCCGTCAGAGAAGATATAATCCACCGAGTCGCAAGTACGAGGGACTTGCGATTCCGACATCCTTTTCGGAAGGTGTGCATAGCCGAGTGGGTTAGATTTATGCTCCACCGTCACACTTGGCATTATAAGTAGAAAGCTTATTATTTAGCATTATAAGTAGGCTTAGTACGATCAGTAGTAAACGCGGTAAGCGGCTCATCTAGATTATCACTAAGCCAGATAATCTAGGTATAACGTACATTATCAGCGAGCGGGACATATCAGCGAGCGGGACATATCAGCGAGCGGGACATATCAGCGAGCGGGACATATCAGCGAGCGGGACACTCTCCACTACTCTATAACAACTACTCTCAATTGCAATGCAACAACACTAAGAACCAACTACAATTACATCAGAAACAGATGGATCAGACCCTTCTACACCCTCCTGGCAAGTGCGGGCATTATGACCAGGCTTGCCGCATACACTATAGCACCGAACCTTCGTACGACCCCCCCTAGCACCACTACCATCCAGCTGTGTTTCTTGCATTGCCTCCCCACCTATAGCCCCCTGGCCTACCACCTTCTGTGCCTCCTGCATAGTAAGTGATCCTCCAAGCCGTATATGTGTTTTTTTGGCTCTCCGGCGCTTGCTTAGCGCCTCGTTGGCCTTGCGGAGCGAAGACACCTCTGCCTGAAGGAGGGCCACCTGGTGCATTATAGCCATTGTACCCTTGGTAAGCTGGTCTATAGCAGCCAACATCGAAGTCGGGGAGCCATTTTAATGGTTGGCAATGCAAGTCTTGATGAGCGTTGACTATAAGTTGGCTTCTCGGGGGTTATATAGTGTCTGGAAGACCCAAGATTATATAGTGCCTGGCTATGAGGTTGGGGGTGTTAGTGTACGAAGCTTGATATCTAGCTTCGAAAGTACCCTCTCTAGATCGTATGGCATAAGGCCAGCCCCTGTAAAACCACCCTGGATATTCCTCTTGGTGATAGAGGCAAAGAAGGCCGTGCAAAAGGTATAAAGGAACTTGAGCTTGCTTATATAGTTGATATATACGCATATCAAGTCCTTGATCTGGCGACCGTACGCCTGCTTCAACGGCCTAAAGCAGCCAACATTAAGTGGCTAGAGGAGGTAGGAGGAATATAGAGGCATGCAGAGCGTAATAATGTTGTTCTACTAGTAGTAGAGCTCGAACTCGGTTAAGTAGTGGCTTTCGTGGCCATCAAGGATCAATAACCGGTATTTGCCCTTTGTCCGAGGCGCTATATAGTAGTCGAAGTGCTTGATCCAATCAAGGCCTACTATATTGGTAGTCCAGCCATTCTCGGTAGTTATAATGCGCCAGTCGGCTAGGAGGTTACACTTAGTATACCAGTTGGCGAGATAGAACTACGCTGCTAAGATGATGAACGGAGGGATAGCCCAGCCAAGGGCATTAACGCCTTGGATCACTGTCGCCCATTCACGGTCGCCAGGCTAGGCTAGCTTCGCCTTGCTACGGCCATCCGAGGTTGTAACTACCATGCCCAGGAAGATAATGCCCATTATAAACCCAGTCTCGTTGAAGTTATAGATATCGTCATCTACGATACTATACTTGGCCTTAACATTCCGTACAAGGGCAAACCACTCGCCAATAACCTTCGGATCCTCGCACTTTGCCCTCTGGTAATTGTATCTTTGCGAATAACGGGTACAGAGCTCTGGCTGGCGTTTGACAAACCGATGCGCCTAGAGCTTGCCGACAGGGGGCACATCGCGTACGCGTAGCAGTTGGTTGGCCATATCTTCTACACCACGTAGTCTCGGCGGAAAAGCTCGCATAGATAGCTCAATAATATATTGAACAATAGCCTCCTCTTCAGATTGGGTAAGCTTCTTCGAATTGGCTGGAAGATCGCATCGTATAGGCCGGCCGGTACGTCGGTAGCCGAGGGTTGAAACTGGCACGTTATAGAGCTTGGCCGCGGCTCGAAGGCTTAGTTCTATATCATTTTCAAGAGCTTTGAGGGCCAAGGTTACCCTAGCTTCCTTTGAAGTGGAAGACATCTTTAGTTGTAGGAAAAACGCGTTGTTAGAGGTAGATGAGGAAGGACGCGTTATGCCAAGAACTTAGTGTCCCGCTCGCTGATATGTCCCGCTCGCTGATATGTCCCGCTCGCTGATATGTCCCGCTCGCTGATAATGTACGTTAGGTATAACTAGGAGAGGAAGTTATATATAGTTCTATCATTCTGTCACTCGTTCAAGTAGCTAGCTTCCTCGGTAAGCAATCACAAGCAGTAGAGTAGTCACTACCTTACTGTGCAGACATTGCGACTTGCAGTGTTGTGTACCCTTTGGCTTCACCGAGACCTACAGTCCGACCAGCAGATACCTTCGACCGGCGAACCCTTTCAGAGCCAGGACTGCCTGTGGTTTCGTCACACTTAGTGATCCCGCCATCTTGCGGCAACCATTGGCTCCTGGCCCTGGGACTGCGCCCCACCCGGTTGCCATATATGGTTGGTTCATGACACTTACTTAGTGCGCGTTTAGGTATGAGTCCGGTAGTACATCTCCACCAGCCACCCGACCCTGCACAGCCACTCGGGCCCACCACAACCACAAATGCTCACGAGAGTAAGGCTGTGCCTCAGAGACTAGTTACAACATAGCAACCTATGTACTATTGAACCAAGAAGCTAATGTGCATGCTAGGCTAAGTCAGTCGATGCACCATGAAAATACACACAAACTCTATCCGTCTAGCCGTAATCCTACACTTGGCGTCTCCCTTGATCACCTCTCCTGACCGCTACAGTGACGCATGCAATTGTTGTATCATGCCGGGCAAGTCCGCCATTTCAACTGCCTGCTTCAGCCCCAGCCTGCGGCTCTGCACCTCAACCCGCCTGGCCACACGCCACTCCTTGCCGAGCAGGACGATCACTGGGAAGCCAATGAGATCTGCATCGGTCAGCTTCCATGGCAAAGGCTTTTGCCTGTCGTCAAGGGCAACATCCAGGAAAGCGTTGGTGAGACCGGCGCCGTTGTTGATCTGGCTGTGAACTTCCATGGCATCACCCTCGTCAGCGTCCTTCCCAGGTATAATGACACACGAGTACGGGGCTATGGCGACAGGCCAGTTCAGGCCCGTGCTGTCGGCCAGATGTTCAGCCACGGCGCCGACGACGCGGGAGATGCCAATTCCGTAGCACCCCATCTGCATGGGCGACGGTTGCCTAGCCGTGGGCAGCGAGGTCATGGCTCCCAAGGGCTCTGTGTACCTCGTCCCCAGGAAGAAGGTATGTCCAAGTTCCATTGCCCTTTCCACCTTCAAATGGCCCGTGTAACACTGAGGACACTTATCGCCGGTGCGGATCCTTAGGAGGTTGAGTGGCTTATTGCTGCCTCCTGTGCTATGATGGTAGGAGGTAGCTAACGGGCTTGTTGGCGGATGCAGGGCTGCTGGCCAGCTAGAGATAGCCGTGGCTGAGCTCACCGAGGCACTGCCCAAGGACGCCAGGAGACGGCCGTCCACGACATTAACCACTTCCGTTGCTGTTCCCGTCTCAGCTGCTGTGGCGGTTGCCCAGAAGGGTAGAGCATCTTCCACCCCGGCGTCCAAATCAGGAACCACGGACTTGACTGCGGACAGGTTGATGTCCTGATCCGTAAACTCGCGTAACTCACCACCGTCCACTGGTCTGGTCCACCTCGGGTACCATACATTGACAAGCTTGGCCCTGTCCTTGGTGATGCCGCGCCAGACTTGGTAAGGGGTACCAGAGGGGGCCTCGTCAGAGACGGCCGACTCGGCTATCTCCTCGTTGACCACGTAGTCACAGCTGCCGCAGCTGACGATGTAATCTTCACCGAGCCGCGTGGGTAGGTGATACTCGTGGCTCAGGTCCCCCCCCATATCACCGGAGCTGGCTCGGGCCGCCAAGACGGGGAGTTTCATGTCGGCGAATATCCTGGCGTATACAGCACGCACTTTGTCATACGTTTCAAGGGCCGACTCGATGCTGTTATCAAAGGTGTACAAGTCCTTCATGACGAACTCTCGTCCACGGAGGAGGCCGTGCCGCGGACGCAATTCGTCGCGGTACTTGCGTGTGATCTGGTACAGCCGGAGTGGAAGCTCCTTATACGACTTGACTGTCCGGGCTACGAGCGTGGTGATCTCCTCCTCGTGCGTGGGAGCCAGCAAGTAAGGCACCCCACGGCGGTCAGGAAACCTGAACAGCTTTTGGGAAGCATATGTTAGGATTGGCGTCTCAAGCTGCAGCACGGGGACTGATAGAAACCAACTTCAGACGCAACGTTCTGCAACCGACCGCTCTTCTCCCAGAGGGTCTCGGCAGATATGGAGGACAGTGTAACTCTAGACGCCGCTGTCGGCCGTGGCGTAGTAAACGTGTAAATGTAAGCGTCGCAGCGCATGCCTCAGCACGGAAAACATTGCTGATAAACTCACCCAACAGATCCTCCATGTGGCCTGCGACAAGCCTCTCGACCTTGTCCTGAACCCGCCGGCCCAGGGGCAGCATGTGGAACATTCCGGCGTGCGATTGGCGCAGGAAGCCGGCCCGGATCAACTTCGCATGAGCATCTTCAACACCAGACCCGGCGATACCACCGCTTGGAAACCACACCCGTGAGAGACGGGCGACGGCTGGTGGGACCATGGTTCTGCGAGGCAATCCGCCACTCCTCTCTCAAGTGTTGTCACTAGCAGCTCGGTATGCAGAGCTGAGGCATTGTTCATCTAAAGCCGTCGCGTTGTCGTTGATATTTCTGGGTGTAATATACGGAACTCGGATTGGTAACATTCGGATGCCGTGTTCCAAACTGGAATTTAGCGTAAGTACGGTAGCAGAAAGCGACCTGTACTAGCATACTGATAGTATGCATGTACTGCGATATAGTACGGATTATGGAGTCCTCACACAGTACGGAAATATACCTAGTGTAGTCCGTAGCGATGGCGACCCTGATGCTATCTCTGGCGGAGCCCCACTTCTGCAGGGGGCCCGGCAACTTTTTTTTATCCTCCAGATTCCCATGCCATCTTTTCAGAAAGGGACAGTCGGTGGTCCCTTGTACAGACTTCATGTACCAGCTAAGAGCTGACTGAAAAATCATCGGCCATTCTCAGATACGCGTGGTGAGTTAGGGGGACGCAGATCACGACCGAAATGGGCTCGAAACGCACGAAGGAGAGGAAGAGGGCCGACAAGCCAAGCCTCAACGAGACCACGCTCGCTCAGTTGACAAGCAAGATCGACAAGTCTCTCGCGGATTCGGAGAAGCAACGAGCCCCCAAACGGAAGAGGCAACGCGACAATGACGATGAGCACGAACCGAAGAGGCGGCAAACCCGACCTTCGGACCGCAGCTCACCAACGGATTTCAAGGACAGGCCGAAGAACAAACATGCCCCTAGACTGCTTGACGAGATATTGGCTCTTGGGGGCGACGAAGATGATCTGGAGCTAGTGGCTAATGTGGACTCTGGCGACGAAGGCGGCAATGCGCCCCGCCCCAAGCCTGAGCCCGAGACGGTTGTCGACAAGTCCTTGAGAGACGAGCTTATGCAGTTCGCATCCAGCCTCGGCTTCAGCAATTTCCGCCAGGACGAAGACCCCGAGACTGACGAGGACACTGATGCCGCCGAGTCTGTGGCGGATGGGTCGAGCGACACCACACAGGAGATTAGCGAGGCGCCGGAGGAGCATACCCAGGTAACTCTACCGCCACAGGAGGCCCGACAGGGGAAACAATCTAGGAAGTTGGTCAGTAAGCGATCCTGCAAGACGTTCCTCGCTGCTCGGACGAAGCGCCGCATCTAACCCCTCCCAGAGATTCGAGCCTCGTCCTGACTGGCACGGGCTCTCCGTGGAGGGCCTGCCTACACAGGCCTCGAGCAACGTCAAGCATCATTCCGCATCCATAGCAAACCTAAAGGCATATGCGGAAACCCTTTTGGAAGATGATTCCACCAAATACCTCACCCTCCGAGCGTCCAGCTCATCACAGAAGTTCATGTCGACCATCATGTCGTCCGGAACCCTCTCAGACAAAGTCTCGGCGCTGACACTCTCGATTCAAGAATCGCCGCTCCACAATCGCAAGGCGTTCGAGACATTGATCACCCTAGCCGGCAAAAGGAGTCGCGGACAGGCAATCACGGCACTGGCGGCTCTTGTCGATCTCTTGGGCAATGGGACTGTCCTCCCAGGTGACCGCCGTCTCCGTCCTTTCAACGCCCAGCCTGCGTTGCTCGGGGCCTTAGATACCCAGGGTCGTTCGCCCTGGGTGCCAGGGTATCCGCTCCCCGGGAAGGTGACGGAGCCCCACCTGATGATGTGGGCGTATGAAGACTGGCTCAAAGGCGCCTACTTCCGCATCATACAGCTGCTCGAAAACTGGTGCGCTGACGAGATCGAGTACTCGAGATCTCGAGCTCTCGACTTCGTGTTTGGACTGCTCAAGAGCAAACCGGAACAGGAAGCTAATCTGCTGCGGCTGTTGGTTAACAAACTCGGCGATCGAGAGCGGAAGATTGCATCGCGGGCCTCGTATCTTCTTCTGCAACTACTCACAATCCACCCAGGAATGAAGGCGATCGTCATCGGCGCAGTGGAGCAAGAGGTGCTGCTGAAACCCGGGCAGAGTCTGCGTACCAAGTACTGCGCCATCAATACTTTGAATCAAACAATCCTGAGCAGCAAGGAGCCGGCCATCGCGGAAACCCTTCTACGCATTTACTTCGACGTCTTTTTGTACCTCCTGAAGACCGGTTCACTGGGCACTTTCGAGGCTCCCGACAGAGACAAGAGCCCGGCTCGCTCCGGGAAGAAGAAGAAGCCTGGCACGCCGACTGCTGGAAACGAACAGGAGACGGCCCAGAAGCTTGTCTCTTCCCTGCTTACGGGCGTCAACAGGGCGATACCGTTTGCCAATGCTGAGGACTCGACACTGGAGAGACACCTTGACACCCTGTTTAGGATCACTCATTCCTCCAACTTCAACACCAGCGTCCAGGCGTTGATGCTCATCCAACAGCTCGCTGCTTCCAAACAACTTGCTGTCGACCGATTTTACAGAACTCTGTATGAGTCGCTGCTGGATCCCCGGCTCATCTCGTCGTCCAAGCACGCGCTCTATCTTAACCTCCTGTTCCGGGCTATGAAGAATGATCCCGATGTTCGTCGTGTCAAAGCGTTTGTCAAGAGGTTGATTCAAGTGCTGAGCCTGCATCAACCTTCATTTGTATGTGGCGTCCTGTTCATGATCGCCGAGCTGCACGCCACGTTTCCCGACCTGCACACCTTGCTGGATGAACCCGAAGAAAACGACGATGATGGCGAAGAAGTATACCGGGACGCCCGGGACGATGATCCTCAAGCAGACGGTGCCTCCCGGAGGACACCTGAGACTAGTGTTACCCGCCTTGCCGCCTACGACGGCCGAAAGCGAGACCCCGAGCACAGCAACGCGCATCGAAGCTGCCTCTGGGAACTTGTAAGCGGCTCCCTCCAGCGGATGGCCCGTGTTGTGCAATCTGTAAGCTAACCACCTGATTCCAGGGGCCTTTTTTCTCACACTACCATCCCTCCGCGTGCCTGTTCGCCAGGAACCTCCTTGCGCCGCAAAAGACATTGCCCAAACCGGATCTAGCGAACCACACCTTGATGCACTTCCTCGACAAATTCGTCTACCGCAATCCCAAGGCTGAGGAGTCCAAGCGCGGTGGCTCGATCATGCAGCCAGTCCTTGCTTCTGGCAGTGCATCGCACGTTGTGGCGTCTAGTAAAGCCGCCGTTAGACAGCAGCCGGTTGTCAACTCCTCCTCGTTTTGGAACCTCAAGCCCGACCAGGTTTCTGCCGAGGACGTGTTCTTCCACGAGTACTTTGCTCGCGTGGGTAAGCCTGGCCGAGCTGCACGCGCTGCCAAACAGACCGCCGAGGCTCAAGCGGGGTCGGATGAGGAAGGGGCGGAAGAAGAAATCTGGGAGGCTCTGGTCAACTCGCAGCCAGAAATCGAGGGCGCTGATGCCGAGGAAGACTCGGACGTGGACCTGGAAGACTACGATTACTCGGATAACGAGATGCGGATCGACGGCTCGGGCACTGGCGAAGAGATGCCGGATTTCGAATCAGATTCAGAGGGTTCAGAAGGCAGCACTGATGGTTTCGAGGGTATCTTTGATGACTCCGACGACGATGATGAGGCCAGTACGAGCGAGAATGATGCTGTCGCCGAAGACGGAGAGAAGCCTTCCAAACATGGCCGCAAGGGCAGGCTTAGTAGGAAGGAGCTGAAGAGCCTCCCTACGTTCGCATCGGCTGATGACTATGCCGCCATGTTGGCTACGGAGGACGATTAGACACATAGGAAGAATACCTAAACTGCTTTCAAAAGCGCCTGCACTGCGTGGTTTTCTAGAGCTGGCACTATGCCAAGGGGTCGCAAGCGGTCGCTATGGCATGCACCGGGCCACCCCCTTGCGCAAGGCTCCTCGCCCGTACTGTCTCTTGCTAGACAGACTTCGTCGACGAACCGCGAGATACCGACCATACGCCCGCCATGCGCAGAACCTTACAAGTTATAGACGCAATTGTTCGGCTGGGGGCCGGTGGCTGCGACTCGTTTGCCGCGGTCCTAAAATACCTCGATCCCTGTGTTCTGCCTCAACGAGGAGGAACCTGGCCATGCCTGAGCCACGGTCCCAGTGCTGTGCATGTTCCAATGTTTTCTCCTAGGCCTGCATAATATTTCCGCGCAATGCGTATCGCTACAGGGTCGATGTGGACTTACATCCGAACTTTGAGGTTGACCGGGAGCTCCTACCTGCGTATACAAACGTCTCCAAGATGATCACGCAGTTTGATGAGGGTTATGGTTGAACAGGCCCGGACAGACAAGTGTGAGGCGTAGAAATGGGTTCATCGATGTTAGCGTACTTCGGGGCGGAACTGTTAGCCGATCCCTACCTTAGGTACCTGTACAATACTTGTATGTAATTTTAACTGGCAGGTATCCGGTAAATTTCATGGTCTCAGTCCGGGCAGGCACACTCGGCATCTCGGGGACATTATGCAATGTGCCTGAGGTGTGCCATTACCGAACGAGAGCATACCGACAGGTTGTCGGCCAAAGAGGAAAAAAAAAAAAAAAAGCAGCTGGATGCCACTGGTGTTTCATCCCATTAGGCGTCGGCACTGGACTGCAATACAAGGTGTACTTGATAGTTGTTCCCGGTCGCGCTGAGCGTGTGCTAACTCGAACCTAACGAAGCGGGTCCACTTTTGGCGGCGCTGCCGAGGATCTCGACGGAGTCACGATAGCCGGTCTGGAGCCGGTAAACCCGCCGTATAAGAACCAGAGCTTTCCCCTTGTCTATGTCCAATCCGGAGGATGCATTCACGGTTATTTACGGCCGCGCGCCGTCATACCTCATCGCTGCTTGTGGCGACTCCGGCCCGGCCCTTCGCATCACCGTCTGCCCGGTCCATCACCACTGCGACCGGTATTTCGGGCCCACGCACCCTGCTCTGCGTTCGGCCGACTAACTTTTGATCTGCACTCATCCTCTAGGCCCAGGTGTCTCTTCGCCTACAGCCGAGAAGGTCCCCTTTCTTCGCCGAGCGGCCTCCCTTACCGGCCGTATCTTACTTTTCACTACGCTAGGGTTCATCATGGCTGCGGCACCCGCCTACGAGTCGGCGGCGGCCATCTTGTCGCCCCCGAGTGATGCCGACACCCTTGACTCCTTCATACCCCAGGATGACGACGCCAAGGCTAAGGAGGACTACATCAACTCACACCCGCTTACGGCATCCCTGCGAGCGAACCCGGATTTCACAGAGTCACGCCCGCATATGAAAATCCCGGCGTCGTGGCGAAGGCATAACCTGACGGGCGGCACTCTCGTGGGGCCCGGCAAGATGGCTATTCCCCCGTTTTGCTGGACCGAACGGGAGGGCAAGAGCTATGTGCAGATCACGCACGTCGGTACGGATCTGTGCGGCCACGTGGGCATAATCCACGGCGGGTTCTTGGCTACCCTGCTGGACGAAGGTCTCGCCAGATGCTGCTTCCCTGTGCTTCCCTACAACGTGGGCATGACGGCGAAGCTGGAGGTCAACTACAAGGCGCCCGCCACGGCCAACCAGTACTTGGTGCTTCGGGCCACGACCGTCAAGGTAGAGGGCAGGAAAGCGTGGGTCGAGGGGCATATTGAGACCCTCCCGACAGAAGAAGGGCAGCAGCCAACCATATTGGCGACAGCCAGCGCCCTCTACATCTCGCCGAGGCAGGCGTCGGTGCGTGGTCTTCATTCTCCGTCGGAATCGCCAATGACCTACCGCTTGCTGACCGAGAGAAATCTACAGATGATGGCGAAGGTCTACCCGGTGAGCTAGACCGGGCAGCGTGGCTTCAAACACGTAAACCATGTAGTCACGACGGTAGAACGGTAGGACAGGCGTGGCACCGGCAACAGGAGGATGTGATACCAAGTAGAGCATAGATGAATAGTCGATAGAGTACTTAGTGTATAGACGAATGTTCTGAAGATGTTAATGTTCCCGCGTCCTTGGGACCGAAGCAGTAAATTGGTAGTTATTTAACTCGCTTGAGATATTTGATGATACTGTCCAGTCCCCTCCATTGGGCGTCACGCCCAGCGATGTCCAATCGACAGATTTTGCGGCAGGTACAAGCACCTAGGTACCTTCGGCACGTGCAAGGGGTGAACCTTATTTGTGCTCCAGTATTCAGGTACGCCATCAGGGCGAGGGTGGGGCGTTGGCTAGGAAAGGAAACCCCGCGCCGGATCGGAGACAATCCAACCCCTCGGAGTCCCGGAGCCACCGAGGACCGTGATCGGCCTTGGCCCACCACGCGTCTTGCTGCTAGCAACAATTGATAATTCTTCTGCATACATCCCCCGCCGCTGTGCCCCACTGCCCTTATATGCCCCTGCGACTTTCACATCACTTGGGTGGGAAACCGTTAAATCATCCCTTCTAGCAGGCGTGTAGATATCAGCAGAGTCAGTAGCTAACTGGCGCAAATGGCAACGTGAGTTCCTTCCTCCAGTTTCTGTTCCTGAGGTGTCTGCGGACGGGAGGACACGGCTGAACCACGCGGAGCAGCAATATCACTTGGCACCCGTCGCTCACACGGCAGGAGCGGAACCAGCTGCGCCGTCAGCGTGGATTTACTATCTGGTTCACGGGCTTGTCGGCCTCGGGCAAGTCGACGGTCGCGACTGCCCTCGAGCAGCACTTGCTTCATATCGGCCTTTCCGCCTATCGGCTCGACGGCGACAATGTGCGCTTCGGGCTGAACAAGGATCTGGGCTTCTCTGAGAAGGACCGCAACGAGAACATCCGCCGCATTGCCGAGGCATGGCGCCCCGCTCTCCTGTTTTTTTTTCATTGTCTTGTCTGTTAGCCAGTGGCTGATACCCCAACAGGTTGCGAAGCTCTTTGCCGACTCGTCGACCATTGCCATAACCTCTTTCATCTCCCCATACCGAGCAGACCGGCAGATTGCTCGAGATCTACATGCGACTGCCTCCCAGGCAGGCGACGAGCCACTGCCCTTCATTGAAGTCTTTGTCGATGTCCCTCTGGAAGAAGCCGAGAAGCGTGATCCAAAGGGGCTGTACAAAAAGGCACGAGCGGGTGAGATCAAGGATTTCACGGGCATCTCAGCGCCGTACGAGGCGCCCGAGTCCCCCGAGATCACCATCAGGACCGATCAACTAAGCGTCGAAGAGTGTGTACGCAAGATCGTGGATCATCTTGCAGAAAAGGGCCTCATAACCCAGACACAGGAGACAAGATGAGCGGTAGGTTAGATCGGGCCCCAAGTTGTCCGGCTAACCCCTTCTGGCTACATGGTCTATATGTCGTCTCATTAGCGCTGGAAAGCGTGAACAACTATGCCCATAGACATGGCTGCGTTAGCGGTGTAGGTAGAGAAAATCTCAAGACATGCTCGCGTTAAGCCAAGCACTCCCCAACCAGTACATCACAGCTGTCATCCCCTGCTACACTGTCCCGAGCCCCAACATCATCATGGAAGGTCGAGTTCATAGTACACGTACGCCGTGTACTCGCCACCTTCGGCGTTGCTCAAGCCAGCGGCGGCCATCTCAGACGTTAGCGATGCGTCGTCCTTGGTGACCCGTCCTCGTTTATCCCTCCCAAATGCGTTTCCACCGAGGTACGAGTACGCCGAGTCCAGGGCAGCTTTCACCTTCCTCGCCTGTTTTGGTGTTGTCTGCCACCGGGTTAGCCATGACATGCCCTTCTAGCACGTAATATTATCTGAATCCTACCTTGACCAGGGCACAAACAAACTCTAACGGCAAGCCATACCGGAGGACCGTCTCAACAAACACTCTCAGTGTCACAACATGTGCCCAAATCATAATGGACTCGCTCCACCCTGTTCGACCAAGCCTCAGAGCCTCACCCCAGACCTTCTTCTCCTCTCTGACGACACGGTCGAGTTCGCGCTGCTCCTCTTCTTTGCCGCCCTCCACGTACTTGTACTGCCGAGGCGTCCATTTCTGCTCGCGGCACTTCTGCAGGAACTCGGCACTGGTTTTCTTGAACGTTGTGACGGCGAATAGTGTGAACTCTTCGTCCTGCGCAACTTGTACTGACGACCGCGGCACGACCATAGGAGCTAGGGTCTCGTAGCCTCGGATGAAGTCCTTGCGCGCGTTTGTCGGCACCGCGATGAGATGGGTTTCCAAGTACTCTGACTCCTGCACAAGGAGGCTCGGGTCGACAATGGGGGTCAGCGACTTGGTTGACAGATTTCCGCTACTGCATATTAGCCCTCCTGCATGCAACACTGTGAAGAGGTCCCGGAAAACTCACGTCTGCTTCCGCTGTAACGCGGCGAGCGTAGTCTTGACGCTGTTGTATTGATGGAACTTGGCCTTGACATCGTTGTCAATGTTCTGCAGCTCCTTTTGCAGATTGTCCACCAGCTCCCCCAACGGTCGATCGGCTCGGTATCGCACTCTATTCCATTGGAAGTTGCGTAGGTAATGATCCGTGGGTTCTGTACACAATCTAGTTACCGACTGAACGAGGCGAACGAGGGGATTGAGGGCGAGGCCTACTGTCATTAACCACCTTCTGCTGGGCCACCTTGTCTTCGTCTCCATCTAGTATCCCCTTGAGAGACTCGGCCACCTTCGCGATAGCGGCTTCACATGCGGCATTGAGCTTTGCGAGGTCATCTGCATGCTGTACCAGAGCATCGAGGGTGCCAATCTTGAACGAAGGGATGGGGAATGGTAGCGTCTCTCCGTTATCTCGCCCGACTGTAGCGGCCAGAGCTGTCATGGGGTCATCGTCGAAGATCCTGAGGGGTAGCGAAACAAGGATGTATTGGGTTGGTTGCATGGTCGGTTATAATCGCATGCCTCGAGGGCTTGCGGAGGGTGCACGATTGCGTGAAAGCCTACAATTTGATCGGCCTCGGTGCTGAGAGGTACGGCGAGCGGGGCACCGGGCAAAGAACCTAGGTATTCGTCGTCGTTTCTGTTGCCGTGTTTGCTGGGTCGGCCGGTGCGCTGGCTGTTGGAAGGAATCGCAATCGCGGGGGCGTCGGCGACAGCTCGAATACAAGCGGAAGACAACGCTAACGGTAAGAGGTATGATGTGTGAAGCCCTGCCGTGGGAAAAGCAACGGCAGAATAGGAGAGGTCATACAGATTATGAGGTAATAGGTACGAAGTAGGTGTGCGGATAAGGGAAGGGATGGAGCAGCTTTGGTTGTTGGCGTCGATGCGACAAGGTGAAGTGGGGAGCTCTACCTTGGTCCTTAGGTAAGCAGGGGCAATGCCGTATGGAAATACCAGGGTTATAGCAGGCGATTGTGTACTAGTATATTGCCCAGATATTTACCGCTTTCCGATACGTATTTCCGTCCTAACAATACCATACGTTCCTTCCGTTCGGTAAGAAAGCGAAAGCGTTACGCGCCCGAGTAATGTTGCGCAAGTTCTGCGGGAAGGTACTCAGCTGGCCTCGCATCCCTTAACAGCTTTACGCCAACAATGCACCCGGCCCTAGCCACTATCTTGGCTGCCAACGCGTCGAATGGGGATATCCTCAACGTCCGACACCACCACTTGCTTAACGACAATTATCATCGCAGTCTTGCCGCCAGCCCGGCGCGCCATTCTCGTTAGTAGTCGGCGACATAGCCCACACTTATCGAGCCAGTTTCAATTGCTCGCTCAACAGTGACACCGCTCCCGACTCGCTGTGGATGTAGGACGTGCCAGAAATTTGCACAAGACGAACCTCCTAACCTTGCGCCATCCAAATATTGCTCAGACACACCCTGTTCACCAACAATATCCGACATCTTACGAAGCGTGGGCTGGCTGCTTGACCGCTGGCTGCCCATCGAGGTATTGGCGACCTATTACACGGAAGTTTTCCGGCGGCAATCCGCGTCGCGCCCTTGGACGAGTGGAGACGAGCGTGAAACCTACCGTTGGTGATTCGAACTCTTCGCTGTTGATCAGCGCCTCGTGCCTCGCTCAACTCTCAACTCCTTTTCTGGACGCCTGCTGAACATGCGGCTTGCGCGTTGATCGCAAGCCTGCCGCGTCGCAGCACCTCAGCCCACCTGTGGGCTTGTCCAAGTGAAGACATAATCGCCCACAACGAATTTGGTTAACCGCGCGCCGAGGGGAGTCACGTTTGCGCGCCCTGGGCGACCAAATGGCGACATCTTCAGGTATGCTGTGGCCCGGCGCTCTTCTCCAAGAGTATATCCGCTAATTAGTCTTCGTTCGTCCCTATACAGCCCCTACTGCAACAGGCCAATCCGTGGCTGCCCCGAAGACGCCAGCGATGCCGTCTCTTCCTGCACCACCCGGCCAGGCCGCGGCGGCTGCACAAACCGCAAGCGACGGTTCAGCACCAGCTTCCGGGGGCGGCCCGGGTTCCGGCCCCGCACCCGCTGCCGGTTTTGGCGTCCTCACCTCGGGTGAGGACGCGTTGAACAACGTGTACCGTGATGGCCGGGTCCGCAATCCGGTACCCAGCAAACTGAAGGGCGTAACCGACGGTTCCAAGGGGAAGTTTGGCGTGATGCACATCGAGGTGGCTGGCAGGGACCAGGCCGTGGATCGCGATGCCGAAGCAAAGCGAACGAGCGAGAGTACAGAGCTGGCCGCTAGGCGCGCGTTTGAAAGTGGTTATGTATCCCTCCGAAGAAGTCGATTTGTGCATATTCCAGACGAACCGGTTCCGCAGCCGATTGCGAAGCCATTTGTTCCGCCCCAGCCTCCGGCCCCGGCGCCTAACCAGTTCCAACGCCGCACGCCTCTGAGTCCCGAAGAAACCAAAGCTGAGCAGGCACGTCTGCTGACTCTGTTACGGAGTCTGCATCCGGTACTTGTTGTGGATCAAATCTGCAAGGCACTGGCTTTCTTTGGCGGCATCCCCGGAGGACCGCCGCCAGCGAATGGCGGGTTCCCGGAGAGTGCAGAGGCTAACGGCCCGGGCAGTCTTTTTGTTGGCTGGATTGCTGAGATATTTCCGAGGCTAGGGGGCAACTCAGCACAGCCAAGGCTGGATCCCACCCAGCAGCTGGACAATCCCCAGCCTGCTAAACGCAAGCGAGGACGGCCGAAAGGCAGCAAGGCCACCAAAGTCCGGAAAGACAAGGGAATGAAGAAGGGTCCGAGTAGGACCCAGCTCAATGCCGGCCAACATCAGGCGCCAGACGATGCGGACGAGAGCTGGGTCGACGTGGACGACAGCGGCGTTGCGACGACGGACGATGTGGATGCGAATGTGATGCTCCTTGCGCAGGCGACGAACGAGCACCCGCAGCCTGGGACCCCTACTCAAACGCCCACCGCGACAGCGAGGACGGCGCTGCCAGGAAGGCCTAGCGCGAGCGGCACGTCAACTGACGGTATGTCAAATGCGAGGAAGAGGGGGCGCCCCAAGGGTTCAAAGAACCGGCCCAAGGACCCAATCGCAAACACGGTCCAAGCATCCGGAGGGACGGCACAGACGGCAGCGCAGCCCCAGATGAGTCAGATACCCCAGGCTGGAACAGGGCCGGGAGGTCCGCAGTCGTTTACAGCCGTAAACACGGCGTCTCCAGCGACTACCAAAAGTAGGGGCGGGAGAGCAAGAGGTACAGAACCCAACCAGCAAGCACAAGAGCAACATGCTCCAGGGGCGCAGGGATCAGAGCAGCAAAGAGGGACCGGCCATCCCGTATCCACCAACTCCACCCCCGCGCCACAAGCTCAAGTGCCCGCTTATCGACTGTCACAGACCGTTCAGAGCTCGCATGCCCAAAGCTTGACACTTCCAATTCCTCCTACAGCCAGCCCGGTGCAGGCAAATGCCTCCAACAACCCAGCGCAGAGGAGGAAGAGAAAAGGGCACGGTGGGGCCGAGGCTCCTCAAGCGCGGCCGAACGAGGAAGGCAACGGGTCGATGACTCGCGCACAGGAGGCGAGCGGCCGTCCAGGTACTACCATGCCAAGCAATCCGAGGCAAGCGGCAGCTGCGGCAGCGCAGGAGCCTCCGTCTAAACGTCAACGGAAGGTAAAAGAGTCAAGAGTCCCAGCAAGAGGCGGGAACGAGGCCGCCGCACACGCCACCACGGGCACTACTGTCACTGCTTCAGCGGAAATGTCTTCTTCGAATTCAATGCCAAATTCTAGCAGCATGTTAGGCCCAACTGCTTCCCCATTATTGGCTCAAAGGTCCGAACCAGCGCCCGCAACCTCAACCGTGACAGAGCCGCAAATCGCCGGATCGATGGATTCGCCTCAACATGGTCACTTTGAAGAGCAATCTTCTACAGTGGAAAACTATGAGGCCCAACTCCAGGCGCAGCTCGAACAGCAATCCGATGTGGGATCACAGAGCACCTCAGATCCAGCACAACTCCTGACTGCTCAGCCGCAGCAGTTTCGTCAACAACACCAGAATCAACAGTACGCTTCTGCTGCCCTCGGCCGATCTCACAACCTGCAATCACAGTCGGCCAGGTCCCAGGCCGTAAACAGCTCGTCAGTTACAGCACCACAACAGCAACAGCACCACCAACAGCACACAAAAGCGTCCCAGAGCAGTTACAATCAATACCACGCTCCAAGTTCCCAATACCGACAGCACCAGCAGCAGAGCTACGCGTCTTCGCAGACCGAGCAGCCACAGCAGCAGCCACAGCAGCAGCCACAGCAGCAGCAACAGCAACAGCAACAGCTTTCAGCTGGACAACAGCACAATCAAAGGGGGCACGTCCCTTCAGCTCAGCAGTACTCGACCAGCGCTCCCCAGTCACAGCAATATGCTTCCAACCAGCAGTCATATTCCTCCAACCAGACATATTCAGGCGGTGGGCAGCAGCAGCTCGGCTCGCAACAGCGTTACCAGCCGCAACTAGCGACGAGTTCAGCAGGCGCTGCTTCGTATACGGCCCATCAGCCCTCACATTTTGGCGCACCGACGAGCAGCGATTTCAGTGCCGCGGACAACGGTTACCGCAACTCGGTGACCACTCTAAGCAACCCTTCCTACGCTCAACGAAGCCAGTCCGTCACGCCGTCTGCCACCGGCCCCTTCAGGGCCAGCAGTACACATGGACTGTCCGAACACTCGCCGCAATTTGGGGCGGGCAACACTGGCTTGCAGCAACGCCCTGCAAGCACAAGCCAGCTCACCTCTCAGAGCATGCAAGGCTTAGCCGGTGTGCAAGCATTCACAGGGAACAGTGCCGCCGCCGAGTGGAGCCTCTTTGACACTAGCCATCTGGATGCATCGGGGCAACAGGCAGGGATGGGATCAAGCAATGCAAACTATGGCATGAGCGCGTCAACCGTGCGAGCGTCGTCGAACAGTGGCTCCGGTTTCGCTGCTACAGGTCTAACAAGTTTTGATACCTCTAATTTGGGAGGAGGTGACCGCTTCTACGGAATTGGACGGCGGTAAAAGTTGTAGCGAGCTTATTTTCTTCCTCTATCTCGGACCAAGGGACGTTTGTGGTGGGACGGGATATTCTGCGCGCTCTTCGTGATAATACAACGTGGGATGAGGTACTTACGAGGTTCCAAAAGAGGCATGAGGATTGTGCGTACTTTTATTAGGCCTTCTCACATGTCAGTTATAGCTTCTTGCTACTTTCTCCCTTCACTTTTGACATGCTTTTCCTGCCGGCTCCCTACGCGGTCCTTCTGGTTGCGGTTGCAATGTGGTGCCTGACGCAGAGGTAAAGTACCCTGATTTCAAAGCAAGGTTGTTACCTGGTAGTTATGTGTCCTCTGTAGCAAAGTACCGAATCGTGTCACTGGGCGAAGAGTTCAAACTGGTCTTCTAATACGGTGCCATATCTCATCGTCACTCGCCTGCGTCCCGCCGGTGGCTGATGGCATACCATTTGGTGGAAGTAAAGCAGGATGGCTGCTGCTTCGCTCCCAACCTGGGCCGATTTGCTGAATTATTTCGAAGAACTAGATGGCCAGATGATAATTCCATCCCGGACATTCTCCCTAGGAGGTCCCTCGATCGAGGACCATGTCCTGCCTCCGTCCACCTCTACCCATTTGAGATATCGGATGAACTCCTGAAATGCATACAGAAAACCCTGTCTGGTGACACATAGGAGACGGCTGTCGGAAGCCTACGAATACATCGTCCCCATTTCCCTTCCCCAAAAGGACCAAGTCAACAAAAAGGCCCGATGCCTCGGTAGGTGGCCCAAAAATACAATAGAAACGAAACAATTGTCCAATACACCATGCTCGCCATGCTGATCTCCGACCCGAGATACCCGCACATGTCAGAGATAAAACAGCAGCCTGAACGCCCGTAAATGCCTCTGCCCAGGAAATGTGAGGTGGTAGCAACGCAAAGAGCATATAAACCCGCGAACATAGGGAAAGTGCCGCGAAGGCGGAGTCGCGATCGCTCACAGCAACTACACCCCGTAGGGTGACATAAACATCGCTCCGGTAGGTTGATTAGTTGGCTATCAATGCCTCATGACCGGCCAAGGTTGCCGACCTACGGCGAGAAGGGCATGACAGCGCTCGCACAGGGCCTCTTCATGATAAAAGAAGTGGTGAGAGGGGAGACGTTCGTGCCATTATAGGCAGTCTTCTTCGATCGCCTCAAGGTTTGGCCGTATAGAATCTGACGCTAGGGTGCCGTATAGCCATTGGTCCTCATCCTCATCACCGTAATCACGGATCAAGTCGGTAAGCACTTGGGTGTTGCGTCGAATGTCTGATGGCCGCTCGACAATTTTCCGGTTCAGGATCATTGCTTCGGCTGTGTGGACCCAGATCTTCTGCAGTACTGGCAGGTCGGGAATGAGCAGTCTGGATTCTTCCCTACCCAAAAACCCCATCGGCATGCCAGCTGCCAGGCTCGTGCGGAACACAAGGCTCTCGGGCTGCTTCCCTTGGGCGACGCTCGAGCCGTTCAGACCGCCAGAAGCCGAGCGGCTGTCCCCGGCATTCGCCTTGCCCAGGGTGAACGAAGACTTTCTGCGTTTCAGCCCCAACATGCCCCGTCGCCTTTTCGTCTCCGGCTCGGCAACATCCCGTGTGATAGATGCATACCAGTTGTCCACGGCGGTTCGCCGAGCGTTGTACCCTTTGACTTCCCATATCCTTTCCACCTCCCGCAGACCCCCAAGACAAAGGATTGCGACGTGTACTTCATCCGGGGGCTTGTCCCTGAGGTATCCTCTCAATGATCGCTCCACCCTACCGACATAGGACGGTGGCCGAAGACGCCTGCAAAAGGACGATATCACCAGCGGGAAGGCTTCGTGAACTCGGAGGAGGGTCCTGTCGTCGTACATGCTGAGAATCTCGGCCTCAATCGGATTGATCGTGTAGGGTGTTTTGAGCAAGCCATTGCCATCGTGTTCGGCGATGTACTTGAGATGCAGTTTGCGATATGTTTCGAAGAAGTGGAAGACGGTGAAGAGCACTGGTATGAGGCGCCGTCGCATCCGTTCCCTCTGCGGCGCAAATTCCCTCTTCTTCTCCTCAGTATTCCTCAAAAACAACTCCTTGGATATCCATTCGCACATCAGGTGCGACAACTTGGCGGCGACGTGCAGCCGGTGCCATATCCCACATAGATAGTGGAAATTTAAAGCGGCGCCTTCCGGGGCAGGATAGAGACGTTTTGCGTATGCCGGTACTTGATGAGCGACATGATAGCGAGTAATTGGGGTCTCGTTTAACGAGACAACGGCGTGTAGGGATCTTGACACCAGCCGCAAGTTCAACACGTCTGAGAGTGGAAGGGAGGCAAGGATCTCCACCTGTAATTCACTCGGCAGGGCAACAAAAAGTTGATCGAATGGGATACTAAGGCAATAGAGTTAGTCCTGGAGGCTGGTCATTGGCAGTCAGGCGCGGTTGCTCACCTCTGCTTAGCTGTCGTCGACCGCGGTGATAAAGGCCTTCGTTCGGAGTGTTCGCAACTGCTCGCGGCCGCGGCTGAGGAGCTCTTGACGGAAAACTTGTTCCTAAGAAAACCAAACCCCTTCTTCTCGGAGCGCTTCTGATCACCCGGTTTGGCGGACGGGCCTTCTGACTCTGGCGGACATGTCCCGCGAAAGGGCAGTATGAATGGGGATTGAGACGGGCCCGAGTTGGCGGTTGCTGACGTGGAAGTTGCCTGCGACTGATTGAACTTCTCAAGATATCGGTCTGACCCGAATTCTGTTACGTGGAGATGGTCCATGTTCTCTGGCCGAGAGTCGGCAATCCAGCCGCAGAGCCCAGGGCGAGATGGACAACCTGACGGAGCCGAACGCACATGCGGAAGCGCGGAAGTAGTGTCTGTCGCTGCTCTACCGAAAAAGGGACGTCGAGAAAGAAGAGGTTGGAATGATCGTGGCAGAGAACGGTCGCAGTTTGATCATGGTTGGGACATCTAGGATACAAGAGTCGACCGCGGCGAAACTAGGGGTAGCTTGGTCAATCCGTGACGAACGGAAGAAGCAAAGCGAGGGTGATTCGTGCCGCCGCCGGTCGAATGGTCGGGAAGGAGAACGGACGAAGTAATGCACGCAACGTCAACGGAGCGCAAACTTGTTCCGTCCCGGCTGTTCTGCGCGGCCCCGCGCTTCCTCTCACGGCCGTGGACTACCTATACCACAGAATCACTCCACAGGGGACGACTCGTGTCTCGAGGCGGGCAGGCGACGATGAAAATGACGACGAGGCGCGGCACAGTGGGATGGTTCTGTCAGTCGATCCTCGGGTGCTTGGGCGGAAGGAGAGGTCGGGTGCGAAACTCAATCGGACTCGGGGCGCGCTTGAATGCGGCTGCCTCTAATCAATCGAGGACGATGCCGGAGGAAGGCTGCGGAGAGGTCGGCAGGGACAGGAAGCAAGAAGGGCCGGGCAAGACGGGTCGGGACGGAGGAGAACTGGGATCTGGGCCCTGTTTTGGGAGGGTGGGGAGAGCAGAAGGGGTGTGCGGGGAGAAGACAGGGACCAGGGGTACGCACGCCCAACGAGGGCCGAATTCGAGAGAAAATTCAGAGAACCAATTCCACTCCACGATCACCCATCGACCGACCCCAGAATTCGCCAGAATTGTCCTATACACTACACTAGTGTAACTACGCACTGTGGGAAGATTGGAGTTGGGCCGGGTGGAAAACGTGGGTGCTGTGGGCTAGTGAGGGCAGGCGTGACTGATGAACTGAACGGCGACATCCCATGGATGGGCCACACGGCGGTTTGGCCGGCGAAAAAGTGGAGTGGAGCTGGAGGACCCCAGTCGCGGACGGGAAGCTTGCCCGCAAGCCTGCGAAATGAGCAACTAACTACACTAAGGTACTGGCATACTTGATATCTGGGAGGCGGGCGCCTTGGGTGCAGCGTACCCTACTATCTCCCCGCCTGTAGGTACGTAGCTATGATGTATCTACACCAGGTACATCGAGGGACTGTGCTCAGGCCTGGACGATTCTCGCGTTTCATCGCGGATGCGTCCCAATCGGGCCTGTTCATTGCTTGTTTCTTGCTCAAGAAAGGGTGGGGATATGAAACATGCAAAGTCTACCTACTGTATACCCAAGCATCAGTGACTAAGATGGCGGATATAGGCATGTAATCCGTAGTACCTTCACTTCCACTGTAATGTCCATTCCCTAAATAATTAGGCAGGATAGGTCAGGGCTTTCCTCGGATGACGGGAGCATTCCAAGCGTAGCTCAGCAATACGACAATTTAAAAACCTCGGTGAATGAACAAACAATACATCTCATTTGCAGTAGAGGCTCACCTTGATGTACCTAATGTACCCGAGTTAGGCTCGGTAAGGTACTTGGCAGCATCTGCAATGGCCCGCCGTACTTAACCTGCCCTTGGTTGCAGGGCCTCAGAGGCATTTCATAGGTACGGTAATTTAGCCGCAGCCAATGAGGGATCCAGCTAACTATACGATATGTATTGTAGTACTCTGTACACCTAGTGAGATCACCTCGGTTGCATTTTCCGCCGTACAACCTCAGGCACCATCACCTAACAGAATTAGAGCAATCTTCTACTATACACAGTACACAGTAGGTACTGCAGGAAAAATATTTAGGACATTCCACCTGTTTCTATAATAACGGCTTCTTCACAACACCCTGAATCAGAAGGTACCACCAGGTAGGCGATGAAGATGCCCCGTGGATTATCTTATAGCCGTCGAACTACCGGTAGGAACCTGAGGTAGGTACCTATTATGTACAGACCACCTAGAACTCTATACTGTGTAGAGCCTCTCCAATGGTGAAAGCAATGCCCAGTTTTGTATCCGTACTATGCACGGACCCCACTATCCGGCGCGACCTTACCTGGTACCTATCTCAATTGTGCTTATGCCAGATCTTCACCCACCACTTTCTTCGCTTCGGCCTGTTGTCTCAAAATCTCTTTTCTCTCTTTCTTTTTGGAGTCCCGCTTCAGCACCCGTGTTCGACTTGGTTGGCAGCGAACGATTTGGGCTCTTCTTCTTCTTCAACGCACCATCCGGAGCACATGCACCGTAAAGCCAGTGCCATTTCTTCTTAACGGACAGTCGGCATGAAAGCATCCAAGACAGCACCTGCTATCAAGAGGCGGTCACTTGTCCTGTATACTGTGTAGGATGGTCTACTTTATCTCTTCGGCATTCGGGTGTCAGTTACTACTATAGAACGGTCGTCACTCCTATATACAAAGCGACGTAATCCGAGTCATCGACCCCTGCGTGACATACCACCTAGTCCTCCACACAACGAATGACGACAATCTCACCGTTCGACGTTTCCGTTCCTGCAACGGAGAGTTGCTGGTACGGTTCGCTCCGCAATGCCGCATGGCCTTCACGGTTTGGCAGTCGTATTGTACACGTGTATTTATTAAGTACGGAGTCTACGACGTCTTTAGGACTCGGAATCAGTGCTGAGCTGAGTTGTTACGGCCCTACTCCGGCCGTTTTCTGCTCCCTCCGTGCTTCTACCGACACCTGACCTGGCGGTGATTGGGCATGATGGTGCTCCCCCACATCGATCCCCGTACCTTAACTATAATGGGACCTAGGACATATCGCCGTTCATGCCCACGCCCACGCAGCACGGCCTTGGCCTCGCTCCTCGGCGCCATTCCGGTCCAGCCGAAATACAGCCGCGGTTCCGGATTCACGTGGCTTGGCCTGAGTCTCGGTCGTGGAGCCGTTCAAAAGCCGGCCACCGTCCCGACGACGATTGCGGCGGCCACTCCGTCTACGTATCCTCGATGGGTACCCAGCACGGCTCGTCTCGATAGTCAAAGCGAGGGTAGAGGAGAACCCAAAAGACGTCGAGAGAGGTCGAACGAGGAAGCGGCGGTTGACAGAAACCCCACCCGGGTTACGCCTGGCGATGACGATGGCTCAAGGTTCGGTCGAGGAATCCGCGGGCACCGGTCGCGGCCGTTCTCAATTGTCAACCCGGACAAGCATCACCATCCAGGACACATCCACTCGGCGTAATTTCCTCTGCGGCTACGACGCCGAATTTCTCGCCATGCCCTTCGCTTTAAGCCAACCCCGCCCCAGACAATCGGTCGCTCAAGTGGGCAAGCTACGATAAACCAGGATTGAGATAACGATGAAGTGATTATACGCCTCGCTCCTATAAATGGGACCTGATCTGAGCCGCCGCCCAGCCCAAGGCTTGCAAGGGAACAACAGTCCATGATGTGGTGGGTAACAAAGTGTTGTACGGTGCTTAGTGGAATGCAGGGAAGGCGGGCGAGGGTCCTGCTGTTTAGCAGTTGCGTTGCGCGCGCGTATTCGCGGCGTCACTGCTGCAGAACGATCAGTTACTAACGTTAGTAAGGTTATGCAAGAGCTTGAAGGAACTCATGACCCAAGAGAGTGAGTACGCCAGCGATCAGCCGGCAGTTTGTACATACGTGGTGTTGGTGTTGCCGGTCTGGATCTTCGTGTGACCCGTTCCCAGCATGACTAAGGTCTATCAGAGACCACGGCGCCTACCTCAGTAATGGCAGAATCGGGAGTTAGGATTGTCCGCTCATGACCATGCCCGGCGCGGTGATGGTTGACACCTCGGACCTGGATCACTGGAGCAACAGTCCAGCAAGGAGAACACTCGAGTGACAAAGAAGAAAGCGGGCCTTCTAGAAGGCTGCGACGGAGGCTGCTTTCTACATTCCCTTCCTTTTGTTTTCCTTTTATATCCGAGACACATGCGCGCTCGACCACGTCGAAAAATATGCAGGCACAGAGTTCACTGGCGGCCCAAGCATGTCGGCGTCCGCGCGGTCGAGTCGGAGGACTCCATGGCTTGAGTTATCTATGCCAAGCAGCCGCCAAGCAGCTAGAAAGACTATTTTTGGCAGAGCGGGTGGTGTGAGGCGAGTTGCCAGCTGCAGACAAAGCCCCCCTCATTACGCCACCGAACACCTCGCACAGGCGTAAGGTTCTTTCTCGAGGTCGCTTGGTCGCCGAGCGTTCCAAGGTATGTACGGATTAACTGTATCCATCCGTATGTGTGTATGTACATGTATCTCTTGCCAGCGTTCGCAGATATGGCTCCTTGCCAGGCACAGGCGCTTGGAGTGATACCTTGGTGGTTCGTCCAGATGCTCCTTACTGGCACGTCCGTACAAACATACGGAGTAGACCTTACATTACGTTATACAACGACTCTTATAAGTTATAACCGGGATTTTAGGACCTTGGATTCGCCGATGAAGTTGGGTCCGGGCAGCCAGGGGAGGACTACCTACGGGAAAGCCTCTGTTACAGACAATAAGGTCGGGTAGCTAATGCGTAAGGTGCAGCCGACCTAGTCATTGTGCACACATATCGCATTCGACAAACAGAACTTGGCAAGCTTTGTCCCTTACTCCCGCGCCCGGTTCTAAGCAGTGTCCAACGCGTTGAGTACCTAGTTTGACCCCTTCCCGGTCACCAGTCCATTGGGGATGGCGACGCCCTATTAGCAGCAGTTGGAACTTTAGGTCCCGGGGCACGGCCGCAGGTGGGGAGGGTGATGGGAGGGTGATCTTCGCGGGGTTCCTTACCTTATGTAGGATGTATTCTGGCCATCTGCTGCTTCGCTTCCGCTTTCTGCATGAATACCATCGTCGGCGGTCACCTAGCTCTCGTCCCTAACTCTCACACCTGCCTAGGTACCTACCTGCGACCTGCCTACCCTACTTATCTAACTTGCCCTAACTTCCTGATCGCTTTGCTATCGGCTCACGGATACCTATTACAGCCCGGCTGTCGCTTGCAAAGACAGTGACAGTTCGCTCTCATCGCTCACCTCTCCTGCCGCTTCAAGACACTGGGTGTGCGCTTTGTTGGCCCCGGGCCGATCGATACACAGGGCTGCGAGGTCCGTCGCGGCTGCTGCGCCGCTCATGTCAAGCTACCTTAGTTGCCTCGGCCTGCACCACAGGGCTCCTGCCGCTCGCGGGTGACTCTGCCACGTCTCATTTCATATACAACATATACATATACAACACTACCTCCACTACGCGCGTCTTGTCTGGCGAAGGCCTGCCCGGCTCGCACGGCTTACACTGCCTACGGAGGTAGTTACTAGCCGTACCTAGAGTTACATACCCGTTCCTGCGTTCCGGCGCGCCCGATCGTCCATCCGTGGGTTACCCAAGGTCTCATTCATCCGTGAGAGACATTTTGCACGGCGCGGTCCTCACCCGCGCATCTCCCTGCAACCATATCGGCTGCCGCCGTGCCGCACACCGCTCCTCCCCCCCGGCCACGGACCTGCCGACTGGACAGCCCGGCTTGACTCCGCACCCCCTGTTGGTGAACTCTCCGTGCGTGCGTGTGTGTGTGCGCGCGCGCGTGCGTTTCCGTCCCCGCACGCCATGGCCTCGTCCGGCAAGAAAGTGCGGGAATCGGAGCCGGCCGAATCCCTAGACGTGGTGGAAACGCCGACCTCGCCGTCTTCGGGCTTGGCCTGCTCACGCTTTGAGTTTGAGACGGGGAGGGCCAACGATGGAACCAAGATCCTCATGGTGGAATGGGATGCCGCGGCGGGGAATCCGGATGGCGGTTCGGAGAAGGCAGAAAACGGGGAGAAGGGCGAGAAAAGGGAAAGGAGGCAGGACGACGGCAGTGGCTGGGAAGTGTCGTGGGAGGGCAAGGGCGCCGTTCTGCCGGTCCGGGATGTGGATCCTGAACCGGGCAGCCACACACGCCGCGTCTACTTCCTCCTGCCTCCCGGCGCCGCGATCCCGGCACTCGTCACCATCGCCCACGGGGGCCAGGGCAATGACGAGGCCGGCGTGGTTCTGCGCACCAAACCGATGCCTGCCATCTTCCCCGCGGCCTTGACAAGCAAGCAGGAGGCCGGCCGCCGCGGCGTGCTCCACACGATATGGGCCAAGAGGCGTCTAGACGAGCTGCAGGCCGAGATTGCCGCCGAGATGAGGGCCAACGGCGAGAGTGTAGGCCTGGAGATGGCCATGCAGGAACGTCAGTGGATCGTCGACCACTTCGGGCTTGCGCCGGATCCGGGGATGCCGCAGCCGACGAAGCTGCACATTCCGCAGAGCTCGGCCAGCCCGGCCAGCCCGCGGAGTCCCGTGGGCGGCAAGCTCGGAGAGAAGCTCAGGGGCCTTAAGCTCGCGACTAGCCCTGCCGAACTCGCCGCTGCTAGTCAAGGTATGTTTTTTGTTTTTCTCTCTCCGCCATCTCTGCCCCAGGAATCAAATACTAGTAGTTCAGAGGAGAAGGTGACCGGGTCCGTCACTGACCGAGAAACGCCTTCCAAACAGTCGCAAAGAGTGCACAGCCGCCAAGGACGCAGGCGCAGCCCACCATCGGGCCCGTCCTCCCTCCAGCCACAACAGGTGTGGCCATCTCGTCTTCGGGCGGCGGCGGGGTCGCTTCGCTCGATGCCATCGTGGGAAGCGGAGCAGCCCCGGCCGCCGGCCCCGGGACACGCGGCGCCGATCCAACCGAGGAGGATCTGTTCGCTCTCCCCCTGAGTCCTCGCAGCCCGGAAATGAAGAAAAGTCCCTTTAGCCTCCTATGACCCTGTCTATAATGTATACGCCGTGGTTTTAGCAACCCAAGCAACGGCCATCGGCAAGTAGAGAGATAGTAGAGAGAGGGGCGTTGCGGGGCTTGTTATCAAAAGCCGCGCTGAATTAGTATTATTACCTTGGTGGCCACCCACCTTTGTGTGTTTTCCTGGCATAAGGGGCATGTGTCCGGACTTGTTCGTCTGCAGGCTGGCCCGGGCTCTCTCGCGCGGTGTCTTGTGTGTGATGGGATTGCGTGATTTACGATCCTTATCATGACGCCAATGGACATCCGTGGATGCCTTCCCTGCCGCATTTCCCACCGATTTGCTAACGCCATCCGCCAACACGGCCCTCGTCCCATCGCTCCTTCCTTTCCTGCCGCAAGTAGTACAGCTTCTTCGCCTCCCGGTACCGCCTGACCCAGTCGCCCGCCTCCCGCTCGGTGGCCAGTGCGCCATCCCCCTCGCCCTCCAAGAAGCTCTCCTCGAGCGCGTAGCACACCCCTTCCTGCTCGGCCACGCCCCGGGCCAGGCGCTGGTAGAGGCTGGCCGGCGCAAAGGGGGCCAGCGCGTGGTCCATCTCGGCTTGCTTGGCCCGCCACTGGCGCTCCAGCGCGTGCGTCGACAGCAGCTGCGCCTGCGCCGCCGACCGCTGGTGCGCGAGACGCGCCTCGAGGTCGAGCAGCTGCGCGGCCCGCTCCATGTTCTCGGCCAGCGCCGCCTGCAGCGCCTCGTGCGACGCCCGCAGCGACGCGTGGATCGTCTGCGGCGAGTGCGTCAGCGCCGAGAGCAGTGTCGGATCCGAGAGTATGTCTGCCAAGTCTTGCTTGCTGAAGGACGGACACCGGGTGTGTCAGCTAGCCAAAAGAGATAAATACGTAACTGCAGATAGGAATCATTGTTACACTTACGATTTATCCTCGAGAAATTTGGGGAGCCATTGATCGCCGGGATCCGCGATGGCCTGGGATTGTGCCGCATTCTCCTGTGCCGTTGCGAGAGACGCCGTATGACCCGAGTCGCTCGCCACCGCTTCCGGCAACGGTGGTGGAGGACGCGGCGCCTGCCCCGTGGCCGGCGTGCTCATCCGGCTTACATCATGGTTTCCCGGCGGTTTCGGCGGCGGCGCAGGCGGGCCGTGCGCGTACATGGCCTGCCACTTTTCCCTTGACTTCTTATGTGTCTAATACACAGAGAGATACAACAGCTGATGCAACTAGTTACGGCATGTATCGATGAGACGGTTCTGTCGGAAAGTTGTTCAAATAAGGTTGTCGGATTGCTTGAAGCTACGATGCTTGATGTGGGGCAGAGGATAAGCATAAGCTCACTCAATTGAGTGGACAGGCGTGCACCACCTGAGTGCCAGACCACACCCGCACTCCCGAACACAGTCATAAGAGGTGAGAGAGCTCGATGGCGTAACTGGGCCGCATCAATTCTGCATCTGCTTCCTACTTTTTGTAGTCATGTGCGTGCTAGGCCCTGCGTTTCATACATCAATTGTGTAGGAGGAAAACATCACTGTGCGACGGAAACACGCCGACACGATGACACTGGCTCAATCAAGAGGATGATGATATCGGGGCTCGGATCGGAAAGCACGAAACCATTTTCTCTTCCTATCTCGCGAATAAAATACCCGCCACGATAAATACTCGCTAGCCATTCCTCCTCATGCGCTCACCCCCTCTCACTCCCCGAGCATGGTCCTCAGTTAGCTTACGAGTCCAGTTGGACGTAGTTGGCCGGGAAAAGGCCTGACGCTCCCTTGTAGTGACCGAACCACCAGTCCTCGTCTGGGAATTCGAGGTTCGTGATCGTGGCCCCTTCCGGAAAGCTCAGTTCTGCATTCGGCATTGGTCAGTGACACATACGGCAAAGGGATACCATGATAGGTAGGGTAGCTCGGACGGTACATACCATTATCCTCTGCCGCCTCGTAGTCGAACTGCGCGGTGGCCGTGGGCCCAGCTGCCGCAGCCTGGGCCGCTCCCTGTGCTGCCGGCGCAGGGGCGGGAGCAGCAGCAGGAGCAGGGGCCGGGGCTGGCGGTTCTTGGGCAGCAGGCCCTTCATCGTCGGCAACCAACTCAACGTAGTTGCTCGGAAACAAGCCGCTCTCGCCCTGAGCATTGGTGCCCATCCACCAGTCATCGTCTACCATCTCAATGTTGGTCACATACTCGCCTTCCCGGAGTTCGATCTCGTTGTCCTCGGCCTTTTCGTAATCGTATTGGACCAGGGCCTTCTTACCGCCAGCCGCCCCAGTGGCTCCTGGCTGGCTGTCTTCAGCTTGACTCACAGCGGCGACAGCCGCAGCGGCAGCGCGCGGGTCGTGGCTGTCTTGTTCAGTGGGGAGCTCCTCTTCCTTGGGCAGCTCCTGCGGAACCGGCACCGGCCGTGGAGGAAGCGTTTCGGCCGCCGGCTCGATCTCGGGTACCGCACTGCGGGGCACGGGCATCGCGACCCGAACAGGCGACGGTTCGCGCTCCTCGTAGTTGCGGGACGGCATAGACGGTGTCACCTCTGACTCCTCCTCTTCTTCCTGGTTATCAGCAGCAGGTCGAGATGGGAGGCCCGGAAGAGCAAAACCACCAGCAGGTCGGCTGTCCATCGGCGGCGGCGGCGGAGCTGGCTCGTTCTCGCCGTGCGTCGAGCCACCCGCAGGGGGGGACCGGGTGATGGTGCCCATAGGCGATGCACCTTTGAATCTGTCGCGCAGCGCCGAAACGCCCCCACACGCAGCGGCGTGTGACTCCGCCTCCGGCTCGGGCTCAGATCGTTCAGTCCCGCCCGTCCCGTGCTTCTCCACGCCGCCTCGGCCATAGTTGGTGGTGGGTACTGGTGCCCAGCTCTTGCCCGAGTAGCCGCTCTTCCACTCGCTACCGCTCTTCTGCGTCGTGAGCGGTGATGTCGCCGGCGGAGATGGGGTGCTTGCAGCCGCACCACCTTGCTTGGCCTTCTTTTCTGCCCAAAGTTGGGCTGGCGTCTTGCCGCCCTGATCAGCGAATGTCCGGCTAGCGGCGCCAACAGGCGGTGGCGCCGGCGCCGACGGAGCGCCGAAGCCCAGGCCTACGGGGGTTGGAGCTTTAGTTCCGGTGAAAGGCGTTCCGCCAAACTTCTTCGCAACCTTAGGCTTGGGCAGCTCGGTAAGGCGTTCCGACTGGGTAAAGGCCGCGGTGCGCTCCGCGAGGCTCTTGGGCTGCGCCGGCTCCTCCTCCGACTCCGCCGGACGCTGCTGCGCCCTTGAGCGGATGGCGGCGATATCAACCTTACCCACAGGCTCGTAAGCGCCCTTCACCACGGCGGGGCGGTCGTCCTCCTTCGCCTGCGCCCGGAGCGCAGCGATATCAATCTTGCCCACCGGCTGGTACCCCCCTTTCACGATATCGCTCGGCCGGTCGTCCTGCTTCGATGGACCATTGAAACGAGAGTCGTCGTTGTTCTTCCGTAAGCTAGCAATGTCCACCTTGGTCGGCTTATAAGCCGGCTCGACCCTTTCGAGCTCAGTGCGTGTGACCGGCGGTGCATCGGCGCCCCAGCCATCGTCGTCGCCATGCTCCTGTCTCCGGGTGCGTGTAGCTACAAGAGGGTTGAAGGAGCTCCCGGAACCGGATGTTGTCGGGGTGAAGACGGGCTTCTTGGCGACCGCAGGTGGCGCCGTCGCGGGGGCGGGGGCTGGGGCGGACCCGCCCGCCGAGTACTTTGCTCCCGACGCATCCGCCACCTTCTGCATAATGTCTTCGGGCACAAGATCGGCGTCGGAACGCGCTGTGATTTGAACATGGTAGCCGTGAAGGACCTTGGAGACAGCGGCGACATGGCTCGTGAAGTACCCCTTAGTGCGCTCGGGCACCCCGCCGCCGCACCAGGCGATGAGAACATTCTTCGGAAGCCCGGTGTTCGGGTCCTTGACTCTCACAAATGCGAACTGAATGCGGCCTTCGTTGAATTCTTCGACAAGCTCGGAGAGTTCGCCGTCTGCCGGGAAAGAGCCAGATTAGCAACGTTTGCTCAGGCAGGCATTGGGCCGTCGTCGGGGTATGCGCCGACCCCGGGAATAGGGGTGTTCGGATCGTCGTACTTACCACCAGTGCTCTCGACCTTCAGAATGCTCTCTTTTGCACCGGTGTGTTGAAACGCATTTAGCAATGGCGCCTGCACGGTGAAGAGGGCCCAGCGCGCCGCGGTCGCGGAGGTCGACGAGACGGCGGGGCCATTGATGACACCTTGGTAGCTGCTCTTGATTGACGGGCCGTTTGTTGACAGATTCAGCGACGCCATTGTTTCGGCGGGCCTTGGGTAGCGCTCGGGAGGGTTGATGATGGTAAGCCCAGAAACAAAGCGAGGATCGGGAACCTGCTTGTTGACTCTCAACTTTCTCTGAGCCTTGTCGGTGACGAGAACCGGGAACGGGGAGCAAGCTTCCCCGTTGGGATGCCAAAGGCGGGAGGCTGTGCAGGAGGAGCTCCCTGGGTCTTGGCAGTCTTGGCAGCACAGTACGTAACCTGGAAGGTATCCACAATGCCGGAACTGCCAGAGACTGCAGTGCAGAAGAGTCATGCTCTGTCCGCTGCTGCTTCGCTTCCACAAGACACATTCATGTCTGTGACGGGAGGGGTCTAAAGCATTACGCCGACGGGATACAAGGTACCTGCAGAGGCACGTAACTTGAGCACTGAATGAATCCGAGGTTGTTGGAGTCTTGGTGTACCATATAGTACGGTATTGGGTCATGAGTTGCACGTTTCCACCCGACGTCACATACTATGCACTGTCACGTTCACTACCCATGCAGGACGACCTCGTCCTATAGATGCCTGCACAGCAACCTGTAGAAACCTCAGGTGGCTCAGGTAGCTACTAGTAGTTGTTGCCATGAGATTGACGGCGTGAGCTGCTTGGCATTATTCGATCACTAGCATGTTACGGCGAGGTCTACCGATGGGACAGCCGACAAGTCGGACAAACATGACATTGACTGATGCAAGCTTCCATCACGATGCAATTGCATGTCCCTCAGCACCGAACACAGCAGTAAGGTAGTAAGTGAACATGACAATAAGCCGAGTTGCATTTCTATAACCGTAGACAACTTTTAACCGCTGATGAATAAGCATTTCTTTCGCCTCCCACCATCTTTCCCACGCCCAAGATCAGCAGCATTCCAGACAGAACTCGCAGCAGTCGCAGCAACCTTCGCAGCCTTGCTCGCAGAGGAAGCAGCAGCACATCGCCGCCAAACAGCCCTTCAGGCAGCCGTCGCCGCCGCCGCCGCTCCGACGCGGCTGCTCCTGATACTGCATTTGGCCCTGAGGAGCATAGTAGCCACCTTGTTGAGGGGCTGGTCCGCCATACGCCTAGGGGGAAGGAGCCGCCATTAGCACGTCTGTCATCGGCAGGTGTCGGGAAGGACAGTTCTTTGAGGCCGGAGACACTCACGGGCTGGGGATACTGCGGCTGCGGATAGCCTTGGGGCGGCGGGCCACCATAGCCTTGCGGTGGCCCTTGCTGATAATATTGTTGGGCAGACATTGCCAAGCTGCTACTTGACGATAGGCGGATATCGGTCAAGATCGATGGGCCGGTCTCGACGAGAGGGACGATGTCGAAATGCCAAGAATTTGGCCAAGAATTGGGGTCGCAGTCGGTCGGGTCAAGTCTGGGCGGACTGCTGCGCTTTTTAGTGTACAGGTGAGAGTGCCAGGGGCTTCAACTACCTACCTACTTACTCCTTTATTACGGATGAGTGAGCGGGCGGGTACGAGCGACTGAGAAGGCGGTTTGCTGTCGGTTACAATTGGCTCGGTGAATCCGGTGCTTCTACACTACATAGTCTGTACACATACGCAACCCGCTGCAACCGTTTTAGCTGTGTGGCGCAGGATGTCTGTGAGCTGAACTATTCCATAGGCGGCTAGAGCGCGGCTGTAGCACGGCTAACCACACACGAGCCACAACACCGCATCTCGATATGCACCTATGGAGGGGACCTGAGATACTCAACGGACGGGAGGTACCTGGTCCATCTAAACTCTAAAGGCCGGAGGCAAGCCAACGCCCTCTCGTGTGCCAGCAGGAAGTGGCATTGGCCAAGAATCAATGAAGCTGTCCGTGTCGGCGGCCGGTTATTTACGCAGGTAACTGTCTTGACTCCTTACCACCTTACCTACCGCTATCCGTACGGATCCGTACGCGTATGCGTACCTGTACATAGTAGGTATTGCCCGGAGTTGATCAATGATTTCTCCTGGCAGTGACGCAACACCTCTTGGCCAATCAGGCGTCTGCCAGCAAACATGCGGGGTCATCCGTAATCGGGCGGCTGACAATTTGATGGCGGGGCGCTTCTCATGGTGGCGCTGTCTATCGAAACAGCACAAAAGTCAAGCTTGGAGGATTGCAAAGATCGACTCACCACAACAGCGTACTCAGCTACGTCGGCCGTCATTATCAAGCTTAGCCGTGCTCTAGATCTCCGTACCGCTTGTCTTTAGAACCATCGTGCTTCCCGCAAGTTCCTGCATCCTATCGACCCGATCCAATCTTGTCCGCAACGAGCCACTCGCCATGTCCGACCTCAAGGAAATCATCAGCATTGAGAGCTGGGAGCAACATATCTCGTCACTTCCGCCATCCACTCTTCTGATCGTTTCATTCCATACGCCATGGGCGGCGCCATGCGCGCAAATGGAAACCGTCCTCAAGACCTTGGCCAGCGAATATCCCGTAACCGAGCCGCCGACGACTTCGTGGGTAAAGATCAATGCGGAGGATTTGACAGATATCAGCGAGGCCTACAATGTAACAGCTGTTCCGTTCCTGGTTCTCATCCGGAATGGAGAAGTGTTGGAGACAGTCAGCGGGAGCAGCGCTGTCAAAGTGCGGAACGCGATCGAACGTCACGCAAATAAAGCTGGGACGGCGGCCACTACCAACAACGGTCCCGCGGCCGGCGTCACCAACAATGAGGGCGAGGTTGCGACGGACGAAGACCCGGATAAGAAGAAGCAGGAACTCTTCAGGCGTCTGGGCGATTTGGTCAAGGCTGCGCCTGTTATGTTGTTCATGAAGGGGACACCGAGCGAGCCGAAGTGCGGTTTCTCGCGACAGATGGTCGGCATTTTGCGCGACAATGCAGTCAAATATGGCTTCTTCAATATCCTGGCCGATGACGAAGTGCGACAGGGACTGAAGGAGTATGCCGACTGGCCAACCTACCCACAGCTCTGGGTTGATGGTGAACTAGTTGGTGGTCTCGATATCGTGAGTTTATACGTCTTCCAGGCCATGTGGCGGGGCAAGTGCTAACAGCTCGGCAGCTCAAGGAGGAATTGGAGAGCAATGCAGACTTTCTGAAGCCGTATAGCGTCAAGGCGAACGGCGATGCCTCGGCTGCGACATCATGAGTCTGAGGCACTCGAATTTGCCCCTTGGATGTCCGGAAAAGTGCTATCTCGGCAAACAGTAATCGTCGCAATGGAATTGCAGCGGATGTTGCGGGACAGTGAAGATCGGTTCCGTTCGATGGGGTCCCGGTCCTGTCCGTGGTTGGAGGAGAAGCAGGGGAGTTGCAATTCCCGCAACATAATCTGTCTCACTCACACCCTCACATGCAGCAATTTTGTGCAGAGGTACACCGTATGACTCACATATGCCCAATGTGTTTAGCTGGAGGCTTAGTAAGCAGATGTGTAGTCTTCACCCCGTACCGAGCACACGGCAGCATGCAGCATGTGTTGCCCCGGGGCCGTGTTGCTCGACCTTGGAATGTCTCGACCTCACAGTCTCGGACCGCATGTGCGAGCTATACTAGCCAACCATGCCCGGATATAGAGGATGTCATATCAATAACACCTCTTCTTACTCTCCCATCGACTGTCCCCGAAGTCAACGAAGGGGGCCTGATCTCGGGACGTGCTAGAGAACCGTGCCAATATCATGATCTGGACACCTCACCAATAGATCAAATAGACCAGCGATGCCGAAGGTTTAGAACTCGTCCATGTATGTGATTCCTCTGGGTTGGGCATTACGTATCCCACGTACGATCTGGCGACACAAGCCACATAGCTAAGGGTAGGTAGGCTCAGTGGCTGTTGGATCTTCCACAATTGCCTTGCAGCGAAACAACCCAACCTAGCACGTGTCTGCAGGTGGTGAAGCGATTTCCCAATCTCCCAGCACAGTCTTACACAAGGCGGTTGTGCCAGGCTATTGGCCTTATTAAGGCCGCAATGTCCATTGCGAGCGTAGGCTAACGTTGGTGGGATGTGGTGCGAGAAACTTGCCCGCGAGTTGCCCAAGTTGGTCAAGTGGGTGCTTAAGTGGTGATTGAATATTCCTGAGTTATACACGATCCCACTGACCGGAGACCATGCATAGCTACCTCACATACAAAGACGTTAGCTAGTATCGAATCATTCGGAGAGCACACGGTAGCGTTTAGATTCCATCGTTAACGGATTGCCCAAAACGGGACGGTCAAGCATTTCCGTTTGCAGCCGCGCCCCCACCGAGCTCCCAAGCGCACCTGGCAGGCTTCCATCGACAACCGTGGACATCATCCTCATTCATGCACAGATACTTGCTATCTTACTTTCATCTCCAAGGACCACCCGCTATCTAATTCATCACAACCTGTGTTCCGCAATACAATTTCATCAATTCCTAGAGATCGCGCACACTTTGTACGCATAGATTGACGACCACTGCATGGGAAGCCGCTTGAGTGTAAAAAAAGAACCCCGCGCTTCGTCTCACCTTACCTTAGCTACTGTCCAGCTCAGCTCTGCGCTCGCCTCCCTCTCCTAAGCAGGCTCGTTGTGTCGTGTTTGGGAGATCCTACCGGCCGACAACAAGAACCAAGCGCTACCTTCACCCACTATCATCAATATTAGATTCAACTCGCTTGATCGTCAGGGCCTGATTTCGCTCTGCTCACCCCTACTACACCAGCTACGTGCGGCACTGGCGTGCCCTGTTCCGGGGACGACGGGAACCTTCGGCATAGGACGTCTCGGCCTTGCAACTGGGGGAGAGGGGTACCGGGCGATTCGATTTCCCTTGCTTGTGGCTGCCCAAGATGACGCCAACGCCTCCTTCGGCTACCATCTCATCCACCAGTCGGTCTCCCGAACCACAGTTCCGGGTTGTCCGTAAGAGAAACAGAGTTCCTCTAAGTTGTTACCCTTGCCGGACAAGAAAGTGAGCCGTCTCCATGCACGTTCCCAGCCTACTGTTCGCCGCATAGCCAGCTAATGGTTTCGTGCAGATTGTAAGCCGCCAACTTCAAGGGACCGGTATCCGGGCCATACTTTGACTTGCTGACGCAAATATCAGGAAGTGTGACAGGTCTCACCCATGTAGCAACTGCACCAAGCGTGAAGGGGCAGACACTCTTTCCTGCTCTTACGCCGCCCCCGTATCCCGCAGGAAGAACCAGAGTCAAGGGGAGCCCAGTCCAGATGATATGCAGAACCGCATCGACAGGTTAGAGGGCCTCGTCTTGTCGTTGATGCACGGCGGAGGCACTGTCGACGTGCCCTCGTTACCTGGTGGGTCCTCGGTCTCGTCATCGGGCGGCGCTGCTTCCAACCCCTCGCCGTCAACTGCAGACACCAGCTCGTTGCCGGCCAAAGCTGAAGGACACGATGACGGCGCCATGCAGGATGAGGATGAGAGCGATGTTGACGGCGATCTGGCGCAATCTATGGGCATTCTGAAGGTGCTGGATTCAACTCGGGCAAAGCATGTCTATCTCGGGGAGCAACATTGGTACACAGTCCTCTCCGAGATCTCCGAGGTTAAAAACTACTTTGCAAACCACAAGAAGGACCTGGAGAGCGGCTACGAGAGGATCAAGCAGACCAAGCCCCCGAACGCGCAACAACCACCCATCTTGCTGATGGGCGCCACTCCCGCCAGTGAGGTTGAGCTCCGAGCGGAGCTGCCGCCAAAGTCGATGGTCATGGCATTGTGCAAGAGGTATTTCCATTCGATAGAGAACGCCGCCAACGTTATCCACGTGCCGACATTCGAGGAGCAGCTCCGCAAGCACTGGCAAGACCCATCCAAGACGCCCATCATGTGGCTGGCTCTGCTGTATGCAATCCTGTGTATGGCAATGCTGAGCTACCACAAGGTTGGAGATGAGCCAGCCGAATGGAAGGGCCGTACGCTCGAGCTGGCGGATGAGTACCGCCTAAGGACGGTGCAGTGCTTGATTGCCGGCGACTACACCAAACCGGGACAGTACACGGTGGAAGCCATGACGCTGTACTCCTTTTGCGAGTATTCGTCTCGCTGGGACGCGGACTTGAGCTTGTGGATCATCCTATCCATGGTTGTGAGAATCGCGTTCCGGATGGGCTACCACCGAGACGGGAAGTACTTTCCCGAGCTCACGCCCTTTGAAGCGGTATGTATTTGTCGCATTTTCTTCTCTGACCCCTTTGAATCGCACCCTCCCCGAGCGTCTTGTATGTGACCCCCATTCTCACGGGTTTCTAGGAGATGCGACGCAGGATCTGGGCAGTCGTTAGGATGCTCGACGTTTTCTTTTCGCACCAGATATCTCTGCCTAGCATGATCAATGAAAATGACTGCGACGCCGAGTTGCCCCACAACATCTTTGACGAGGATTTCGGGCCGGACACAAAGGTGCTGCCCCAATCTCGGCCCAATGCTGAGCCGACGCCTATCAGCGGCCTGATATTCAAGCTCAGGTACACTCTCCAGCTTGGAGCCATCCTGCAGGCGACAACCAGGGTGAAGAACCAGGTGCACTACGACGAGATCCTTCGCTTTGACGCCAAGTTGCGCGACATCAGGGCCGAGCTGCCGCCCCATCTGAAGATGCAGCCGCTTGGGGGACCCGAGGTGCCCATGTCGTTGGTCATGGGGCGGTTCAACTTGGACATTCTCTATTTGAAGATTATGTGTCTCCTCCACAGGAAATACATACCTCGGGCGAGACATAACCCCCGATATGCGCACTCTCGGCGCAGCGCCATCGAGGCGTCACTGGAGACGTTGCGACACCTGGCGACGCTGCACCGAGAGTCGCAGCCAAACGGGCGGCTGGCGTCCATCAAGTGGTTTGTGAAGTCGGCGGCGGCCAAGGACTTCCTCCTTCCGGCCATGCTGATCGCACTGGACTTGCATTTTGACAATGCTAGCCAGGGTCCGGAGGGGGGACGGCGGGACTCGCACTACACGCGTTTCTGGACCCGAGAGCAGCGCCAAGAGATGATCTGCAGCCTCGAGCTTACGAGGGACGTCTGGAAGGGACTCACGGACAGCTCGATGGAGGCCCTCAAGGCGTACAATATCATCAACGTGATGCTCACCAAGATCAAGAGCTCCGGGGATCCGGACGGGCCGGCAACTTCAGCAATGTTTGGAGGAGGCAGAGACTCCATAGGGATGCAGGCGGCGCAGTCAGCCGCCATGACGCCGGGCATGCTCTCCAGCGGCGGGATGGTGCCTGAAGCGTCAACGGCATTCAACGGAGTGCAGACGTCGGTGAGCCCCACGTATGCGGCGGCGGTCAACCTGAACTACGGCGCGGCCCTTGCTGGCATGGGCCCTAGTCCGGGATCGAGCACGGGTACGGCGATGGGAGGCGGCGTCACCGCAGCATCCGAGTTTCCCAACCCGATGCTAGGGTTCGATGGCGTGCAGTCTCCATTGAGCATGTTTGATAGCATGGCGAGCAGCAACATGGACTATTCCAGCAACTTCGATTGGGTAAGGGATCTTTTTGTCATCAGGCTCTCGCGGCATTCGTTAATGGACCACTGACGCGCTGTGCTACATACAGGACTCGTTTGAGAGTTACGCGCAAACTGCGCACTGGGGCACCGAGTCGGTGCCGTTCTTTTCCGGCAACGCGGAACCGTCACAGCAACAGGCGCCGGCAGATGGTGCTCAGGCAGCATATCCCTACGGCTTAGATCTCACGGGACTCGGAGCAATCTGAGGGTGCATGCTTAGTATCGGCGGGCGGGAGGTGACTGCGGCGCAAAGTGCACGGATGTGACCATGTCATGGAGTTATTGGATATTGGATAGGGGGTAAGGGAATCTCTGGGGAAATGTGGGGAAAATAACTAAGGGTCCAAGAAGGGACAGGTTGTGCCATGGCCGCTTTGACTTGGATGTATAATACTAGGTTACGGATATCGAGCACCCAATACCCTCCTCCGCTCACTCACAGTGGAAAGTGCATCGGAGAGAGTTGTGCAAAGTTGTAGGTAGGTATACCAGCAGGGAAACTCACTGGTGCATTCGGCCCTTCTGCATAGATACAACCAGGAAGTGTGGCTCTCTGGGGATCTGACACGGCTCTTACCTATTACCTAGCATCCTGGGGTCACCCAACAATGCGGGGGCGGAGAGACGGACAGGAGGGCAGGCGGAGACACACTGCCTGATTCGGAAACAACTTGGCCAAGGTGTCGTGCGTAAACACGCACGCATCAGGCTCTGGCGACTACTGTGTAAAGGCCCCAGCATGCGACGGAGTAGGGCCGAGCTTGTAGTGGTATTGTGTATCGGGGACGGCCCGATTTGAAGGTACCCGACGGCAGTGTCGAGGATTCTCCAGCACTGCCCTGCTTTTCTTCTGCTACGATAGTTACAGGTAGACGACGATCCATCTCGACCACATGACGGCCCCTTGCGGTTCGTCCAGTCACCGACCCCGCAATGGCATCGGCGTCTCATAATATATAAATAGATAGAGGTTAGAACCCCGGGGGGGTCGATGCTGGATGCAGCTACGGATTACTCATTAGTTCCAAGACGACGCCTTACTAGTGCGAAGCGAGCCTATTTACGATGCGCGTTGCTGGCCAAGCCCTCTTTCTCCTGGCGGGAGCCCTCCTGGAGGCGCAACGGGTTGGTGCGCTCTCTGCTGCTGAGTGGAGGAGGCAATCCATCTACCAGGTCGTGACCGACAGATTCGCGCGGACCGACCTCTCGACCACAGCGCCCTGCAGTGCGGGAGACGGAATCTACTGCGGCGGGACATGGCAGGGTCTGATCTCCAAGTTGGATTACATCCAGGGCATGGGCTTTACGGCGGTGTGGATCTCACCCGTGGTCAAGCAGGTCGATGGCAACTCGCAGGATGGGTGAGAGACAAAGGAAAAAAGAAAAAAAGAAAAGAAAAAGAAAAGAAAAAAAGAAACAGTGTTCTTAATACTACTAGTAGTCACAGTAACTGACCAGGAATTGCAGATCTTCCTACCATGGCTACTGGGCACAGGACATCTGGGCCCTCAACCCGGCCTTTGGCACCGAGTCCGACCTGGCCGAGCTCGCAAGAGCGTTGCACGACCGCAACATGTATCTCATGGTGGATATCGTGACGAATCACATGGCCTACATGGGCTGTCGCACTTGCGTCGACTACACAAAGTTCAGCCCCTTCTCATCGGTATGCCCTGGATCTGCCCCCCCCCCCCCAAAACAAAATGTACCAGTACCAGAGACAGTACAGTAGACTGAAGCAGCAACGTCGGCAGCAATCCTACTTCCACACGCCCTGCGCCATCGATTATAACAACCAGACATCCGTCGAGACGCAAGTATTCAGCCATTTTGGTCCGCCGAAGCTGGCTCGGCTAACATAGCGCAGCTGCTGGCAGGGAGACGACATAGTCAGGTAGGATATGATGGGATATGATATGACATACCTCGCCCTCCCCACCTTCTTCTTTCTTTCCAGAGCTAACCTATGTCCAGTCTGCCCGATCTGCGCACCGAGGAGTAAGCATCGCCATCGTCATCCTTAGTCTCATTGTCATGGTATTTCTCCAACCTACTGACAGGGTGAGCACAGCGAATCCGTACGCAGCGTCTGGAACGACTGGGTCAGCAGCCTCGTTTCCAACTATTCGGTGTAAGATGGCCCCGGATACACCGATACAAAACCCGGTCGATGTTTGATAGCTGATTTATTTCCTTTTTTTCTTTTTTCTCCCCCTCCATTTAGCGACGGCTTGCGAGTAGACAGCGCCAAGCATGTCGAGACCTCGTTCTGGAAAGACTTCTCGGCGGCAGCGGGCGTCTATCTGGTGGGCGAGGTGTTCAACGGCGACCCCTACTACGTGGCGCCATACCAGCAGCACCTCGACGGCCTGCTAAACTATCCCAGCTACTACTGGATCCTGCGAGCATTCCAGTCCCCGAGCGGCAGCATCAGCGAGCTCGTCTCGGGCCTCAACACGCTCCGAGCTGCTGCCGCCGACCTCAGCTTGTACGCATCCTTTCTCGAGAACCACGATGTGGCCCGGTTCCCGTCCTTCACCCAAGACATGGTAAGCATATATGGTCGGAAAGCCACTTTCTGTTCCCAATGCTATGCTATGTATGCAATAAGGCAGCTAACCAGTCACCTGCTTCATCCATGAGCAGGCACTCGCAAAGAACGTAAGGACAAAGCGCCACACCAGAACAAGAACTTCGTATGTAAAATTGCTGCATTTTAGATGCTGAAACCGGCCACAGGCAATCGCCTTCACCATGCTCAAAGACGGCATCCCCGTCATCTACCAGGGGCAGGAGCAGCACTATGCCGGCGGCGAGACGCCCTACAACCGCGAGGCGCTCTGGACATCGGGTTACTCGACCACCTCGGAGCTGTACCAGTGGATCGCCAAGCTCAACCAGATCCGGAGCCGCGCGATCAGCCAGGACGAGACTTACCTGACGTCCGACAGCCAGGTCATCTACTCGGACAGCCACAGCATTGCCATGCGCAAAGAGTCTTCCTCGTCGTCGGGGTCGCAAGTCGTGGCCGTCTTCACCAACGTCGGATCTTCTTCCTCTTCGTCGGCCACCGTCACCTTGTCGTCGTCCGCTACGGGCTTCGGGCCGAACCAGGCCCTCGTCGACGCCATCCGCTGCATCACGCACATCGCGGATTCGAACGGTAGCCTCACCGTCACCCTCGCCAACGGCCTCCCCGTGGTGCTGTATCCCGCATCCCGGCTCACGGGTAGCGATATCTGCCCGGATCCGACCGGCGACGGTGCCAGCCCGACATCCGCCGCTTCAGCTAGTACTTCTAGCAAGCCGACCTCGACTAGTAAGTAAAAGAATAAAAAAGTAAAAACCGTTCCATAGGAGGGGACTTGCTCATGATCGATTGCAAAAATCAAAATGGAAAATAGGCACGCCTACCTGTTCATTGGCGACGGTGGACATCACCTTCACCGAGCTCGTGACTACCGCATGGGGTGACACAGTCAAAGTGTGAGTCTCGGGGAGAATGAGAGAGAGTGTGTGTGTTTTGTTTCCGCGTGTGGGACGCTAAATTATGAAGCAGGACCGGCAGCGCCTCCTCCCTCGGCAGCTGGAACCCAGACAAGGCAGTGGCTTTGAGCGCGTCGCAGTACTCGTCCGGCAACCCCCTCTGGTCCGGCACTGTCAAACTCGCGCCCGGAACGGTGGTTGAGTACAAGTTCATCCGGGTCAGCAGCTCGGGGACGGTCACCTGGGAATCTGACCCCAACCGCACATACACGGTCCCTTGCGCGGCGGCCACTGTCAGCAGTACCTGGAGATGACAAGAGTCGTCGCACAGGTAGTTAGTGTACTGTTCTGGTACTACATACATGCAAGCAATATGGGCCATCCATTTCGCCATTGCATTTTTTTTTTCTCTTGGGTATCTATGTACGTAGAGTAAAAGCTGAATGAGATGACGAGAGAGAAAAGTGAAAAATCACAGAAGGGAAAAGCCCAGGCAAATAACGCATCCGGAACCGGTCCAGAGAGATATTCAGAGCTTGAAGGCTTCCTTGGCCCGGGTCCAGTACGCCATCCGGTCCGGGAGTGTCCCGTCGACGCCAATGCACTGGTTGTACGCGACCCAGCCGGCGTCCGTGCCCGTTTTGAGCGAGCTGCGCACGTCGGCGCTGCACTTCTTGGTCAGGAACCACGCGGCCGAGCCGAAGTTGGTCTCGTCGGGCGTGACCAGCGCGAGGACCTCGTCGGGGCTCTTGCCTGCCACCTTGTCCGCGCCGAACAGGTCTGTCGCGTACTCGGAGACAAACTAAAATGTTGTGTGAGTAAGGGATGTTTTTTTTATTTTATTTTATTTTTTTTTTTTAAAAAAAAGGGTTGTGGCTCGGAGAGGCCGAGAAGGGGTGAAGTGAGTCAACTTACATTGGCCATCATCATGTTGGCTGTGCCCTGGCCCGGCCGGCCGGGGAAGACGTTGTGCTTGAACTTCAACTCGGCGCTCTCGAGGCCCATGATGGAGATGGTGCCCGCACACTCAGCGGGGCTCAGGTCGGCACACGCCTTGGAGATGAAGGGCGCCGCCTGCTCGGCCGTCCGGCACTCGTCGGGGAACTTGGCGCCACTGCACGAGTTGGACGTGGGCATGATGGTTTTGATGGCTGCCGCCATGTCAACGCCAGACCCGGAACCTGACCCGGACCCCGATCCAGCTCCGGCTGTGGCGGTAGCTGCCGGAGCCGCTGCAGTCGTCGATGCCTGCCGCGGGGGCGTGGGGCATGCCGCGGCCAGGCCGCTGAGGAGGAGAGCCGAGAAATACTGGGCGCGCATGTTGTATCTTGGATGTTTCGTGATTTGACCTAAGTATGGCCGATGGGGTACCTGGAATCTTAGACCTCAAGCCCGGCAGTCTATGCGGTATGGTATCAAGGTGGTGGTCGGTGTTTGTTTTAATGAATGAGCGACCTGAATCAACCGGGAAGAGAACACCGATTTATAAGAACACAAACAAGAAACGATGAATGAAGGAATAAGAGGGCGTGACCTAGAAGGAACAATGGAGGATGTAGCACAATCCATCCGAAGAAGACTCCCACATTCTTTCCCTTTCACAAACTTATATACGCAGGGCCGGTGGCAGGCGACACAGGCAGCCGCGTTCACTGTGCTGCATACCAGTGACCAATATGCATGCCCCTGAAAAAGTCACAAGGGTTTCCATCCTCTCGATGTCAAACCCACTCGGCCTGTTTTGAAGCAAAGCGAGGACAGGGTGTGGATTGGTTGACAAGCTTTGTGGGGTATGGGCCCCCTTGCAGCCATTGTTTGTGCCGCTTGAAACGCCACACCTAACTGGTCGGGCCCAAAGCTTGACTCGCGTTAGGCGTTTGAACTTCGTAGGCTGCCACTCAGCAGTCCTCGACAGCGGCCCGTGGGCACAATCCGCGGCAGGGGCGAGGCAAAAACACAGGACGAACGCCCAATGCATCAGCTCGGGATCGGATCACCAGCCGTCACATGCATGTGAGAAGCCTCATCGGTGGCCACTGCGGCCCGTTGGATCCCTCTCAGCCTCCACACCATCAGGCGCAGCCCCAACCTTTAGCGGGTGGCACCGAAAGCGAGGGAGCGCGTTGCTGATTCGTCGTGCTTTTCGTTGAGCATCGGGACTGTATTTACCCCTGACAACTCAGCCTTGCGGCCATTAAATACAGTGTAGCATCAACATGAAGAGCAGTAACCATCGCCAGCACCAACAGCTAGCCGTCAACCAAATACCTACATTGCGGCGATCCTCCCGTACAACAACAGGGCATACTTAGGATATCCCGACAATACAATACATATATGCACCTTCTTCTCGAGAAGATACCAGCGGTCAGAAACCGGATGCGCCCGTGAGAAGAGCGTTGCCATTATCGGCAGAGAGAAGCTTCTCAAGCGGCCGGGAACCGGGGGTCATACTCCTCGTAATAAGCAGGGTCAGCGCGGCAGTCGCCCAGCCAGAGCTCAGGCGCCACACTGGCTCGGCCTTGCTCTCGCACGCGACTCGGTCGGGCGATGGCAGCCGCATAGACGGGTTCGAGACTGTGGTAGGCGTCCGCATCGCGGTGCGGTCCCCGCTCCTCATATATGTACCTCGTGCCCGGCTCACGACGCACCGGCCGCCGGATGTAATACTCCCCGTGCTCGTCGATGACCTGGACGATCTCGTATGCTTCGATCGGTCCCCGCGATGGCATGCGCATTTCCTCGTGATATCGACGGTACTCCGCTTCAGGTCGCACGGGTCCGTGGCCATGGCCGCGGTCGTCTGAGGGGGCAACTGGCGTGCTGAAACGCCCGCCTTCAGAATATCGTGATGATAGCTCCATCAGGCCGGCACGGTTCCGCTGCGGAGCATACTCATCCTCCCGCATCTCGGCTGGCAGTGGTCGGGAATAGTACCCGCCACCTACCTGCCGCCCGGCCGGGCTTCTCTCCCTGACAAGCGGCTCAGAAGCCTGGTACTGTGACTCTGCTCCAGGCCCGGCCCGGCCTTCCATGCGAGAATGTCCAGCGGGTCTCCCGGAAACGCCCTGGAAGTCTGGTGATGCTATAGCATTACGCCGATCCTTGTACCACGAGTCGTGCATAGGCCCTTGCCGTGCTTGGAACGGCGGCGACCGATGCTGTTCGAGACGCGATTCTAAGGCAGCTACAATGCTGGGCCCATGATCTCCAATCGTTGGGGATACCTGGTGCTCTGGGTCAGGCCGCTGCCCTGGTCGAGCGTTGTGCTTCAGTGCTTGCTGCGCCTGCGGGACGCCCTTTGTCCTTGCTCGCTCCGACCTAGCCGACGACGCGTGAATGGGCGAAGTCCCTCCATGGGGTGTCGGACGCGGCGCATGCAGATCCGTACCTTCCGGCTGATCGTTTATAGCAGCCGTCTCGACTTGCTTGCCGAATGTCCGGTCACCAGAGCCACCGGTGCGTTGCGGTTTCCCACGCGTATTCTTGCCCGTTGCCTTCCGGTGGTTGAACCCGTTTTGGTCGTGAACCGGTCGGAAACCCAGCGATGACGGTCTATCCCCTTCGACTTTTGCTGAACGTTCATTCTCAGACATAGTGCACGGCGTCGCGCCGTGGGGAGTTGGGCCTGAGCTACTGGAATCACCAAATACACCGGCTCCCACAGACGCTCCGGTAGTTGAGTGCTTGCTCCCGGCATCAGGAGGACCCGCATACCCATTGGTCGTCGTCGCGCCGGCAGGAGCTCTTGCCGGCATGGGAGGATACCCCTCGTCGGAGCTCTGCTCATGCTGCGTGTTCCAATGTCTCGGGGAACTCTGGGTAGTAGCGGAAACGGGCTGGGGCGCGAATGCCGAGGGAAGGGCGGCCGTGAGCAGGGCCCTCTGGGTCTCGTTGACCGAGGAAGCGAGACTCGAGAGTGACGCAGGATCCGGCAGCAATACCATGTCGAGCACCCAGTCCAGGGCCACAGACCCGGTTTGGGCCTGCATTCTCTGCATCGGTTCGACATGTTTTGACTGGAAGTGGTTTGCCAGCTGCGGTAGGGAGAAGCTTTTCCTGTCTTGTTCCACCCAGTCTGCGTTGCCAAGCCGCAGGCGGCAAGCCTTGCAGGCCAGTCCATTGACGTTGCGGACCGGTCGCATTTCCTTGTTGTTGGATAAGCCGTCGATGAACATGGACAGCGGGGGTGTCTCGTAGAATCGAGACCGGAATCTCTTGACCAGGTGGTGGATCGTTACAAAAACCCTTACGCTTCCCGGGAGCTCTCGGATGTCACCCAGCTGCCGCCAAACTTCGCGGGAGTTGCGGGCAATGTCCTCTACCTTGTTATGATAGAGATCGGGATACACCGGGGGCGGTGGCGGAGCATAGGGGCCTCCGCCGTTGTCGAGTGGTTGATACGGCCCGTTATAATACTCAGGTTGTCCGTTTGGAAGTGGCATATAACCCTGTGGCGGCTCAGCGGCTGGGCCAGGGTACTGCATGGCCGGCGGTTGGTAGGGGGGATATGCGGCCGGCTGTGGTGCGAAATGAGGAGTAGGAGCTGCCAAAGGTGGATGGTAAGGCACTGGCGGCGGCGGCGGCGGCTGGTAATAGTCATTGTAGGTCGGCGGAGTATATCCGTACCCCGTAGCAGGTCCATAGACGGCTGGTGGCACGGGTGGAATTCCCGTCGGCGGGTAGTGGTAACTTGCTGGGAGAGGTGCACCTCCGTTGACGGGGAATCTGCCCGGGACATGCGGATAGGGAGCGGGCCGTGCTGTTGCGCTGAAGGGTGGATGCTCGGGCCATTCCGCCCTCCAATGAACCACAATGCTCCTCAGACTGAGCTCATCCGTATGTTTTGCTGCGTAATGTTGGATGACCCCCTCGAAGGTGAAGGGTTTGGGATTTCCTTCGCACCCATTGCAGTAGAAGAGCTCCTTGCGGAAAGGCTCGGTGTGAGGTCTGATCTTGGTGTCGAAGATCCACTTCATGTTCTCCAGCGTTAGTTTCTGGGTGAAAGGTCCTTCCGGGGGATCGACCGGGAGTGTCTTGCCGCTCGCCCTCGCAGCCACTGCATCGTTTGCGACTTCGCCATAGAACCGTTTGCGCACGTAGATAAGAGAGTCGACTGCGAACCGCGAGCAGGTCGCTCTCGTGACCTTCTTTCCATTGTCCCAGCTATTCTGGATAATCTCATCCGCGTAGCCCGCAATTCTGGCACGTAACGGGGCCTGTACCTCCTCCCATTCCTTGTCAACGCGATCCCGAGCCTCCTTTGTAGTAGCGAGAGTCGTCTCGAGATGCTGTTGCTCCTGTGGCTTCTCGTGAATCCAGGGCTCGGCTTTGCGCTCCTCTTGCCGAGCCCGCTCCGCGTCTGCTCGCTGCGCCAGTAGCCGCGGTTTGAGACGCTCCCAGGCGTCGTCATCCAACTGGGAAACGATGTGCGTTGAAGCTTGGAACGCAGGAATGTGGCGGAGAACGTCGGCTGTTAAGGGCGGATCCAGAAGCAAAGCCCGTCTCTCAATCTCGGCCTTTCTCGCGGCTTTCAGCTCCGCAACCTCCGCAGCTGTCCGTTCTTGACGGGCCTGGGAGAAAGATGGGCGCAGAACAGGAGTGGGAAGGGTTGAATCTGTGAAGGGCTTTGGGGGTAGTGAGACCGGAGACTTCCTCGCATATTCCTGATACAGCCGCGAGCACATCTGTGCAATACCGCCCGTGGATTCCCATTTCTCCCATTTTGTCGCCTCGTTCTGCAGGTCGTTCCCGCGGCTCTCAAGGCCCTTGAGCCACTCGTTAACTGTTCCTTGACCCATTTCTTTGACTCGAATGAACTCCTTCTCAAGGGCTTCAACATCTGAAGATAGGAACCACTTCGTTACCTGCACATCGGCCGGCAGCTGACCCTGCTTAAGCATGGTAGGCGAGAAGAAATCGAGATTCTGTGAGAGAAAGACGAAGGGAAGAGCGGGAAGAAGAGCAGAAGGGATGAATGGCGATAGAAGCAGATCGACCTCCTAGAAACCGAATTAGACATGCCTCTATATCCTCATTCTTGTTCTTCTAGCCATTCACGTACCTTGGTGGACTTGCGTATGATACAAGGCCCGCACATCCGGACACCAAAGGCCCAGATGATCGGCACAACCCCTGAGTCCGGGCCGGGATGATGAAGGTTAGGAAGAGAGGTCTGCCCCCGAGCGTCGAGCTTGCCGCAGCCCTGACACTTGGGGGAACACGCAAGACGCCACATGTCAAGCTCAGTCATTGACCGGAGAGGCGCTGGCATCTTAGGCCAGAAGAGCCGCCTGGATGCTTGCCAGATCGCATTGGGCTCCAGGGGCTCCAGAACGCCCCGAGTCGGAGAGCTTGGAACGTCTCGGCGGACTGACGATGCGGGATCAAGATAGAGGTTGAACAATCTGTTAACAGCGGACAGACTGCCCAAGGACTTGGGCGGACAGAACGTGAAGATATGGTGCCAGACCTCAGAGGGCAAGAGGGATTTGTCCAACTTCCAGAGGCAGCCGCTTGGTGACGATTGAGCGTTGCTTCCCCCGGCCAGCTTGGTCTTCTTGACACTGGCTGTAGCAGCCGTCTCGGAGAGGGTTGAAGTGGGCCCCTCATCCTGATCGGACAACTTCCGCTTCCTTCCGATAATGGTCGCGTCACTGGTTGGTAAATTAGCTGTCGCGCTCCTATCATCGGGAGACCTCTGCCGTGACTCGAGGGTGCTGCTGTTTTCTGTCCCTGCCGGCATGTCGCTATGTCCTGTAAGCTTGGTAGCTTGCATCTCTCCGTCCTTTGTGCCGCTCGAGCTTGGTATCTCGGACTGTTACATAGAGGCGCAAGAACTATGAAGAAAACGAAACAAGAGGAAAACAAGGCATAAAGCCTGCTGCACGCGCCAACTTCAGAGACCAGCAGTTGGTGGTACAGGAGAGAACGGCGAATTAACACTTGTCAGTTGTTGAAGAGAACATGAGGGTCGACAACGACTCTGGTGGCGATCGTTGTCGACCAAGGAGCCCCTATCCTTGTGATCGTGAATAGGAGCCGACAAGAGCCTGCTTTCCAAAGCCCAATGCAGAGAAGACGAAAGAGAGAGAGAAGAAATGTCTACCAGCAACAAGCGTGCTGTTGGGGACGCCGTATCTTGAGTTGATTTTCGCCAACTCTAAGCTGGACAAAGGACAACGTTAACGAAACAAGTCGCGGGGACGAGTCAGGGGCACACCAGTCCGGTTACAGCTGAATAACTCAATGAACCGGGCAGCAAACGGTGTGCACTGCGCAGATTGTCGGGATGATGATGGTGCGAGTGAAAGTGGTGGAATGTGTTAGTGTTAGCGATGCAGAAAAGCCACTGAGGGAAGAACATTAAATTCATTGCTGACCGTAGGGACGGGACGCGGTGGACGCGCCAAGAAGATCAGCCAATTAGCGTTCGTGGGACCTCACGGGATGTCCCACCAGGTCCTGAGCTGCCGGGACCCGGGGCGTACCCGGCTGGCCTGACTCACCAAGTTTGTGAACACCTAGCATCCGATGGTTCCACTACCTTTCTTCCGGGTACTTACTAGGTACCGTACATACATCTACTATGGTAGTCATACTAGTAGGATGACCGAGAAATGTTTATATAGAATGCTTATGAACATCGTAGCTGTGAGGGGCGGTCTGCTTTGACCAATAAGTGTGCATCAAGTCCAGATGCTCTCTACATACAGGACATACCAAAAGAAACGGAAAAGCCAAAAGGAGAGGTACCTTTGCTTCCTTTGCTATACAAGGTATGATCTCCGGGGCCATGGATGTCATCACGTCAAAACATCGTCAATGTATGTACATTGCTACCACTGCCGTCCATCTCGCCCAATATTGCAGGCTAGCCATCTACAGTACATTAGCGTCATGGAGCAGCGATGCCCAGCACATCAGCGGAAAGTTGCATCGACCGTGCCTGAGGTGCCTATACGACCTCGCCGATGATCTTAGCCGCCTCGCGATACGTCTGAAGAAGCTTCTCGCACTTCTCGCGCTCCTTCTTAACGGCGTCGTCCTCGTACAGAAGTTCCTCGAAGAGCGATTCCTTGTACAGCTCGCTAACGAGCCGATTCTGGACGACGTCCTTGCAATGGTTGACCAGGAGATGCATGATGGCCTTTGGAACTTGATCTGCGATGGTCTCCCGCACGATGTTGAAGTACGAGCTGATCAAAGCCCGGATCAGTTCCGTCTCCATAGCCTCGCGGTCGGTCATTGCAGGTTCGCCACTGCTGAGCTACAGACGCACGTGTCAGTCTTCATCCAACTCCGACGGGCCAAGAAGATGTAATATATACGATAGCCCAACTCACCAAATCCCCTCCCTTGGAGCCCTGAGAGAAATCAAGAGTCTCGTCAGCCCGCAGAGGCTGGGCCGGCGACCGCAGAGGCTTCTCTTCCGGCCGCCTTATGCTCTGGCTGAATGTCGGCTCGATGGATTGGCTGACATGACGACCGATGTTGGCGTTCGCCGGGGCCGTCCCTGGTACCATGGCGCCATCCTTGCCGAAGAAGTAGTTCAGGAACGAGTCCTTGGCGTGGCCCAAGGACGGGTTATTGAACCGTGCGGGGGACGCCGACCGAGCTCCGTTGAGGGCGGCGGCGAGACCGCCTGATGTCGAGTCACGCACAGCCGGCGAGAGGCTTCGCGAGCCCTTCCCAGCGGGTGCTTTCCGCACTACGACGGTCTCTGTCTTCTCTGTCGCGGCATTTTCTTCCTCTTCCTCCACCGGTGTGTCGGTGCCGTTCGCTCCGAGTTCCTTCATCCGTCTCCGCTCACGCCGCTCCCGCTCCTCCTGAATGAGCCGCTTCCTTTCCCTCTCCTGCTTATTGCTGACAACGTGGCTCATGGCAGCGGCAGCACCAAGGAAATTGGGATGGTTGGTATTGATATAGGCTCGCTGAATGGATATCAGCGACTCGACGTATGCCGACGCGGGGCCAAGCCGTTCTCGGAGAAGGTCCGAGACAACCTCGATGAGCTTCGCTTGCAACCTAGGGAACCGGGAAAGCTCCGTGGAGCCGCACGTATGGCAAATTTTGATGAGCTCCTCGTAGACAAGCTCGACGCAGCGTTGGCTTGGGATCTCGAGAAGCTTGATCTGGGGCTTGACGAGCAGGTCGAAAGCCATCTCAGGCACGAACAGACTCGGACGCGGGCCAGTAGAGTTGCGGATCGCCGTCCGAATGTCGAGAGCGGATAGATTCGAAGTAGGGTCAATAGATTCTAAGGAGCTCCCGAAGACCGAGTTGAAGATGTAGTAAATTCGAGCGCCACCGCACAGCTCCTTGGTTGAGATCTCGGTGGAGGTGCCGTCAATCGAGGAGATGAAAGATGTCGCGAACCGCGTCATAAGCTGCAGAATGAGGGAGCCGCGGTGCTCTTTCCCGCTGAAATGCATATCTCCGTAGCTGGCAAGCTCCTGTTGGGTCTGTCCCATGAGGGTGTTTAACCGCGCCTTGATATCGGGAAGACGATCCCGGATGTGGGCCATCAAAGTGGTGTTGAGGGTCTTGGCTAAGTAGTGCGTGCCGCAGCGGGTTGCGATGTTGCGGTAGGCAGGATGGTGCCTGAAAAACTCGGCCTCAGACTTCAGAGCCTCCTCCATGGGCTTGTTCCCCGTGATGTCCTGCTGTGACCGGTTCACCACTCCGATCCAACCCAGCTTCAACGGGTAAACGCGGCCTGACAAAATGTCGAGCGCATTGGTGCCATGATCCATTAGATCGACCTTCGTGAGCACACCGATTGTCCGACGTCCCAGGGGATCGACATGCCGGGCAAGCTTCAGCGCCTCCGAGTTGACGATGTCGACATTTGCTGGGGACACGGCCAGAATGATACTGTTGGGCTTGGCGATATACTCGGATATTAGGTTCCGTGTCTGCTTTTCAATGTCCGTCGGCTGGTCCCCAATGGGCACCTGCAGCGCACTGGTTAGACCCGGAAGTAGCAAGGGCCGGGGTGGAGCTCGGGGGGGCCAACCTTTGTCAATCCGGGCAGGTCGACCAGGGTAAGATTCAAAACGTGGGGAGAGAAGATCTTCAGGTTGATGGGCTGGCGATTGATGCCCTTGTTGTTCCCCGCGACTCTTGCTGTCTCGTTCTCGATCTCCCGCTTCACATCGCCGAAGTCGTTGAACCGTCGGTTGGGGATGTGATGGAACTCGGCCCACTCATTCCGGGCAGCCTGGGTAGGGTTTCTGTAGCCCAGGTTCACGTCGTCCCCGTCCTCGTCGTCGGGGACGTTGATGAGCTGCAGAATGAGGGGCCGCCGGGTAACGATACCGCTGCCACGAGGGAGAAAATCTCGACCGACGATGTTCTCGAGCACTGAAGACTTGCCGGCGGACTGGGACCCTACAACGACCTGCAATGCGCGGAGATCATCAGTATGAGTGAGTTGGGCTGGGGGTGGGCTGCTGCGGGCGCCATGCATACAATCTGCGGGAGGTCTAGGGAGTCATTGCCAATGGTGTTGAAGACGAGATCTTGCAGCTTGTTGACGGTCGACAGCAAGTCGTCACCGAGTGCAGCCATTGTAGCGGCTTTTGGGAAACAGACAGGCCCTCAGCGGCGTCGAGGTTGGGCAGTGGAGGTCCAAAGATGCGCCAACGGTGGGCGGGGCGACGCAGAGAGAGCAACAGCAGCACCGCCGGGCTCTAGAGTCAGAACAGCTTCGAACGGCGATGCGACGCAAAGTAGAGGACCGGCCGTCGTTAAAGGGGCAGCCGACGCCTGGTCGTAGCTTGACGAAAAAGACTGACGGGAGGGCGGTTGCGTCTGTCTCGAGCCTGAGCTCAAAACTTGAATCCACAGAATTAAACTGGGGCGATTAAGGCCTTGGCTGTTATGCGGTAGGATGCACGGACGGGCGTCTTGTTAGGTACATAGCCTGATAGCAGACCCTGGTAAATTCCGGGACTCGATCCCTAGCATCGATAAGGTAGCGTGTCAGAGGGCACCGGCTCCACCGCGTCCGGAAGGTTGTCTTGTGGCCTGAGGCAAGCAGACGGCAAGGTGGGCTTCAAGGTATGGAAGCACACCGCGGTGTCTGTGTTGGAGGAGCAACTTTGAGTTTGAAAGACAGATACTAGAGGTAGGAGATGGACTCCTGAGTTGATTTAAGCTCCAGTCTCTGTGACTTCAACCTGGCGTCATTCGACGTATATCTGTCTTTCTTTTCCTTTCCCTCTTCCCTTTCCGGCCATCCCTCGCTCTTTTCAACCGCTCCTAGCTAAGCCGAGCTCGAGCCAACTTAGCCAAGTGGCCCGATATTCTGAACTTGACTGGGATCGACAACAACAACACCACCACAACCACCGTAGGTATTCTGGCCGCAGCTATTGTCAATCCACGCTGCAACTCTACAGATCGAAGATGAGTACCTTTGGAAGCCCAGGGCCGCTGCCAACAACAAAGCCTATCCCGTAAGTTCATGCGGTGTGCATCTTAACCGTGGGACCCAGCTAACCATTCCCCTCCGTGTGAAGCCCGCAGAGGGGTAGCTTCCCCCTGGATCACGATGGCAAGTGTACAGTACTTCTTTGCAATCGACGAATATTTACTCATGCTTGGATTTTAGGGGAGTGCAAGAGTGTCATGATGTCGTACTTAAGCTGCATGAAGAAGGTCAAGGGCGTTAATAAAGACGAGTGTAGAATGCTGGCTAAGTCCTACCTGGCTTGCCGCATGGACCGGTAGGTCCTCCGCATCTTCCACGCCGTTTCTTGTTGCTCCTTTCCCTTTTCCCTTTTTATTGCAGTTATGGCAAACTAACCCTAGAACACTCAGCAACCTTATGGCAAGGGATGACTTCAAGAACTTGGGATTCAAGGAAAATCCGGCTAAAGGTGACGAGCGCGGTGAGACAGGTGTCAAAGGGGAGCTGCGGTGGTGAGCGGCCGTCTGCAGTTCACGTGGACGACGACAACACCCATGCTTCAGATCTATCCATTACCACTCCTGCAGCTCCGGCGTGGAAACCACACCAGCGTGATTCCTGTGATTGATTGGGGCGCAGGGTCGCTGTGCTCTCCTCTTCCAGTCATTGTTCCAATCATTAGACAATCTTGAGCAGGTTCGCGGCGTGGCGCTCCTTATCGCGACGTTGTTTTCCCCAGTCTGACTCCTCCCCCGAGGGCTCTATTAGTGTTTCTGGTGTTTGTACCTGGGTATCCTTCTATCTAAATATCACATGTACGAGTTTCAAACCCGTTTGGCCATGACCATGCTGCTGAGGTAAAAGCTCAGTACGCTAGAGTGCCTCGTTGGAGCTGCACCCTCCTCAGCACTGGGAGAAGAAACCTGAGGAGTTTCTTCCGTGTGATCCAACCCCAGCAGCTCCAGCTGGTGCAATTTCCAGCTCCTCAAGAGCCATACTGGTGATAAAAGTGGTTAGATACTGGGTGCCTGAGACGTGGCGGATGGGTGCTCATACAGGACAGGAATGCGACAATGTACATTGTCCCCGTGAAGGCCTGGACATTGAGATACGGGTGGATCCCCGGCATTTTGAGACTCAATCCAATCACTTCAGAACTGGCAAACGGGTCAGCAAGTGCCTAGAAGCAAGACCCGCAGCAGGGTGCCGCAGCTGGTACAAGTACGTACAAGGTCGCCGGCAGAACCAAAAGCAGCCAGTAAAGCGATAATGCTGGTACATACGTATAGAGTTAGTCATCGGGTTGAAGAGGGGCGAGGGAAGATGAGGGATCATATACCGGCAGGTAACAACTGAAGCCCTACGACTTCGGCTCCGACAGGGGCAACACATGGCCAGACGATGCCGGCAAAGCCGCCGAAGAGAACGTAAACGATAAGCCCGGGATAGTGAGACGCGGCGAAGATCCAAAGAAAGAATGCAGCCAGGCCGGCCGCCAGAGTCCCGAGGGCGGCGACATTGATCCTCCCAAACTTGTCGCTCGCCAATCCAATGAGTGGTCTCACGATGCCTTGGGATACTACCAGGTGGGTGGGTTAGCACAGGCAAGGAAGTCAGTAGAAGGAATAGTAATAATAATATCGGCGATTGGTGCTGAGCGGGACTCACGGTTGAAGAGCGCGGCAGCCAGCGACCCTTGACTCGCCGTGAAGCCCACGGACTGGGCGTAGTCGGTAATGGAGAAGACAACGATAACATAGCCTATGAGGCTGAAGAATCCCCAGCTGATAAACAGGCAGAATTCGATCTTTCTGAATAGGGCGGCGTGGAAGGGCATGTGGACTGCGCCGACTGCCTTGTTCCTATCACGGAGAGTCAGGCTGCATGCCCCGTTCACCACGAAGGCCAGGATGGCCAGGATGCGAAACGCCCAGGCGAGGCCGAGATTGGAGATCATGGCGTTGGCAGCCAGTGCATAGGTTAGCCCGCCGAAGCCGGAGCCCTACCAAGAATGTCAGCTTCATAATCTTTGATGTGTTGTCACGAGTAAAAGAACAAAAAGACTCACGCAAGTGGCCACCGCATTGGCGAAAGAGCGTCGTTTGGTGAACCATTGGGGAACAACGCCGACTGTGGCGGTGAAACAGAAGCCCAGTCCGAGGCCGAAGCACACGCCCTGGCTGAGGAGGAGATGCCAGATATGCGTCGAAAACGAGGCCCCAATGAATGACGCGCTGAAGGGGAGTCAGTCTGAGGGTCGGCACGCATGAGCTAACAGGTTTGCGGTCGCGCCGCTTGCAACGTACGCTTCGAGGACAACGCCAACCCGCAAGGTGAAGGCTGTCCCAAGCCGTCCGATACACCAGGTGGCAACAGGGGACACCAGCAGGGCTATTGATATGGACAGCCCGCCGACAAAGGCAAAGGCCAGCGGCGAGGAGCCAACGATGCCGCCAGACCGCAAGTAATAGGCGAGGAAGACGGCATATGACGAGTTCAGGCCCCAAGTATGGGCATTGACCAGCGCTACCGACACCACCACAACCCTGCTCGCCCATGTTAGCAAAGTCCGGGCTGAGGATGTGTGGGAGACGGAAGCCTGAGCAACTCGTGTGCTTGCGGAGGCCTAGGGTACTAACCAGCCATAGCCTCCTTCCTTGAACTCGGCCTCTCTAGGCGAATCAGTTTCGCCTGAAGGGCTCTCTTCTGAACTAATCCCCTTCTCGCCTGAAGGAGGAACGAGAACGCTGTCTTTGGTTTCCAGTACCGTTGATTCACGGGTCGGAAGCCCCCGGCCATCGGGAGGCGCTTCGGGGGGTGTCATTGGATGGGCCCCGGTGGAAACGAGGGAAGACAAGGGGTAGCAAAACAGATAGCACCATAAGCAGAAGCCGCGACTTCCTCGCCAGCCGAGAAGAGAAAACGCAAAAAAATGATGAAGCAGAAGGCCAAGTACATAGAGCACTTGTATTAATAACCGAAGCCAACCGCTACCACAGCTCGCAGATAATGCTACCTACCCTATCCCCGAGGGGGCGATTCCAAGAAGCGGAAAAAACTATCTACGAGTGATACCCTGCTCCTTCTACCCCACAGATCGAACTAAGTCTGACTGGTGCTGTTCGCTGCATCCTCGGCCGACATTCTCATAAAGAATACCAGCACCGAACATCCAAACCCAGAGTTTATCTTCCTATCCGAACGAGGAGTCAAAGAGAAGAGAAAAGACACCATCCTCGAGACATACCAGTAGCGCCTTTGGTCATTCACCGCCTTTCCAGAGCACCCATACCGTGTATCCGTCCTTCCTCCATTGCTCGATTGGATCACAGCTCGGCAGCCGAGAGCTTCGGAAATAGCAGACGGGCGTGAAGAAGTCGCCCCCTTTGACGGATTTTCACAGTGGGACCGGGACCGGTTCCGGGTGCGGGGTTCAACCAGCAGATGTGCATCAAGCTTTCTGGAAGAGGTTCTTGTTGTGGGGCTCCGATCGAGGCTGCATCTGCTCAGGCGAGAGAACACACCAGAGTTATAAACCTTCCATGTGTGTGTATGTATGTACAATACTAGCGTGTGAATGATGAGTCCAAGAAACTCATGTCGTTCAGCTGCCGTTGAAGACGGAAGTACGGAGCTAATAAGACACCTATTGTCCCCTGCTCCCTCGTGGCCAGCTCCGCGGCAACTTCCATAACTTTCTCAATCCGTAACCCGCATGTGACTGATTCCGGCAACTGTGGTTAAAGTACTACGGTAGGTACCTACGTACCCGAAAGCTAAGGTGCCGGTCAAGGCTGGTCGCTGTGGGAACCCATGTTTGTCATGCTGCGTGGCCCAATCAAAGCTGGCGAACCAGCCAGCTTGGCTGTCTGTTGCCCACCTCATCGAATGAACTGGAGCGCTTTTGACTCACCTTTCCCTCCTGTCCCATTGTTTGTATACTCCCTCGCCCGTGCCCAGCAACGTCATTGTGAATGCTGAAAAGTGTTGGACATAAACATTGCGGGCAGCGGGCATAAATTCGCACTCCCGGTCGGGCCTGGCTGTTTTGCCAGCCAGCCATTCTCACACTGTCGGATCATCTCCCCTGAATCCCAACATCCGTGATCACCGACACGTTACCATCCCGCAAGGCTTTCCTTAGGACGAAGAGAGCATGTTTACTCGCGGCAGGTCCAAAGAGCGAAGCTCCACCAGGAAGGTGACGCCGCCGTCTCCTTCCTATATGACAAATGAGCAGTTCGGTACGCCTGCCCTCTCTCCCTCTCCCGTTCCAACGGAAATGCAATTGATGGCTCGCCTGCTTACTGACCCATTCGGCAGCCGCCTATCTCGCAGACCTGCGCAACAACCGCGTAACCCGCCCTCCGCCGCCTCCAAAACATGATGCTCTTGGCTTGTCCGTAATCGGCCGGTCGTCCGCCGGACCCGCTTCAGCTTCAGTAACCACATTGCCCCAGCATCGTTATCACCAACGGACGCAGTCAGATACAGCCAGTCTGCCCCCATCTGCCAGCCGCCAATCTCCTGTCCCCAGCGTCGCCTCAAGATACTCCACCGTGGCTCGTGGGAAAGATTACTATCCCGGTCAGCCAGTGCAACCGTTAAAGCCGTCCGAGGTTGTCCCCAGCGCAACCTACATTGAGCGTGGTCAACGGTGGATGGAGAAGGAGGAGGCGTTCTCGCTACGTCGGGCCATGGAGGATATGGATCTGAAAGACCAGTCCAAGCCGGCCAACGACGGGAACGAGGAGTTGGACGAAGACAAGCGACTCTACAATGCGGCTCTCGACGAGGCGGCCGAGCTGGTCTGGCAGCATCAAAACCCTGGGAAGCTGCCCCAGCCCGGAGCCCCTTACCGATATCGGCCGCATCTGCGCAAGGACAGTTACGCACATGCCCGCACAGCTAGCGTTGGAAAGTACGGAAACGGTGTCGCACCAACGGGCCTTGCCCGAAATCCCGGTTCGCCCTCAGTGTCTGGCAGCTCTTCTGAAGGTGATGACCCGGCCGGCCGCCCATCGTTCGCCTCCTCCCGCCATACGTCCAGTACGGAGCCTACTATGGGCGTCGCGGCCCCACCCGGTAACGGCAAATCCTATGGCAACATTGCAACGGGGCATCGGTCCATTCAGGGGCCGCGTTCCGGTAGCGGACGAAGGAGGAACACTAGCAGCGACATGCAGAGGCCATTCTCGGGTGACCAGATATGGGAAGAACCGGACAATGAAACGTCTGGCCAACCTCAATCCTTGACGCGGGATGACACCATCAGCCCGCTGCGGCCGAAGAGGAGGGATCCCTTTAACAGACTGCAGTCCGCTCCGAAGACGGCGGCAGGGACGAAAACGAACCCCTTAACCCCCTCGGCCGAAAGGTTGGTCTCCAAATATGAGATACACCGTAACATGCCGACGCAGTCTCGGAATCCGCAGTACACTACCAATTCTAGGCTCCCTGCTTTGCCCGTGCAGCGCGAGAACGTGCCTCGCAAGCACGGCATGGAAATCCGCAGCGACGATATAAAGCAGGCCACGAGCATGAGGCTGAAAGACCGCAGCCCCAAGCTTCCCACGCCGTCTGCAGTCAGCGATAGTCCCGGTCGACCTATCGTAAGCTTTAGCAAAGATTGGAAGCCCCCAGGGGAGGCTACTGACGACAAGTCAGAAGAGTCGAAGATCGGGCGAGGGGGCAACGGGCAGCCGGTGTGCCTCACCCCTGGCAAGGTCCCCCACCAGCAGCCGCGTCAGCAGCAAGCGCCAGCGGTCCCTGCTATCTCTGTTACGGCGGATTCTGCACCGTCGACCTCGCCGTCGTCGTCACCCTCCCTCCGCCCGCAACCCCCTCCGCCCGCTATTCAAGTAGATTCGCCCTCTGTCCCCGTGATTGCGGTCTCTGACTCTTCCTCATCATGCCCTCCCGCAATCGTGATTGAGCCTGACGGCGCCGATAAGGGTCCCAGCATTCCTGTTATTGTGACCCCCGACGATGATAACGGCAATGGCAATACAAGCAGTGGCTCCCGCCGTCCGCTTCCCACTCCCCAAGCGGGCGCACCTCGCGTCCGGCAGGCAGCACGCCCTCGTGGGCACTGGTCGCCGGCCCCGAACCCCATCGGCGCTCGGGCTACAGCTCGCTGCCACGAATGCGGAGACTTCATCGAAGGCCGCTTCGTATCTTTGGCCGGTAGCTCGGAGCGGTTCCACCCACAATGCTTCACGTGCTACGCCTGCGGCACCTCCCTCGAGGCGCTCGAGATCTCCCCCGAGCCCGACGACCACCGCGCGGCGCGCCTCGACCGCATTGCCCGCCGCGCTGCTGGCGAGGTGCTGCCCGAGGCGCCCGGACAGACGATGGCCGAAGACGGCGACGAGCGGCTGCGCTTCTTCTGTCACCTCGACTGGCACGAGCTGTTCGCCCCGCGCTGCAAGCACTGCAAGACGCCCATCATGGGCGAGCACGTGGTGGCGCTGGGCGCGCACTGGCACTTTGGCCACTTCTTCTGCGCAGAGTGCGGCGACCCGTTCGAGAAGGGCATGACGCATATCGAAAAGGACGGCTATGCGTGGTGCGTGTCCTGCCAGACGAAACGCACGGAGCGGAGGGCGCCCAAGTGCCGCAAGTGCAGGACGGCTGTGATCGGACAGTATATTCGCGCCCTGGGTGGCGAGTGGCATGACGAGTGCTTCCGCTGCGCTACCTGCAATGGCGGGTTCGACGATGGGCAAATCTTTCCCCAGGAGGGCTCAGGAGCGCCGGGTGAGATGGTGGTGCTGTGCACGAAGTGCATGGAGAGGAAGTTGAAGGCATAAGCGGTCACTGGTCTAGATGGCATGTGAAGGTTTGCGTGTTGGATATTGCATTTGCGATCGAACTTCCTTGTTTGTTTTGCGAAGCGATCTGTGACGGAGTCCAGAGTTTGTAAATGATAATATGGGCTGGCAGATTTGTAATATGAGACAATTTGCCTCGCGCTTCCCATACGTGCCTTGCCTTTACACGGCTGGATGACTTCGATCTTGTCATGGGAACTTTGGCTTGGTTGGTGATTGGACAGATAGGTTGGTGGTGATTCTGCTTGCCCTGGCACTGGCAGACAGAGAAGATGGATCCATAGAGAGGAAAGCCATGGCCTCTGAAAACCAAACCGTAAATTCCAAATCAACCGAGTGCAAGATACCACACACCACCGGTAAGGGAATAGATACGCCGGACCTTTTCTGCCAGCAACACAGCGGCATGATTGCCATGCGCAGCTTTCCCTTAAGTATCCCTCTTCCCACACCTAGACTCAAATGTGCAAACTCCGTTATCCCCATTCGCCGTGCCGAAATCCACCGTTACATGGTGCTGCCCTCCGTCTGTGCCTCCATCTCTCCAGGACGCTCAGCAACCGCCAACCTGCTCCTGGTGGACTTCAAGCGTGTCCCCATCTTGCATCTCCAGCTGCCCGAGAAAACGCATAGATCAGCAACGGTGTTTCTTTCCCATATCTAGAACTGCTACGCGAGATGACTCACAGTGTCCGGCGTGTCCGTTGGCTGGACACGCTGTCCCTCGAAGAGGAACCGAACAGAATTTGGGGTCTTCCCTTGCCTCTCGCAGAAGGCGGTCATGAGCTTCTCAAGCTTCGTGCTCCGCTTGATCTTGAAGAAGACCTCGTTATTGTTGTCGGTCACTTTGATGTTCAGGTGCTCGGTCGCTTGCGGCGGCACATCAGGGCCGGGCTGCGTAGGACTGCCGTTCTCAGCGTTATCCGCCATTGTGGGTGGGTTGGTGGACGTCCTCTTGGAGATTTGGCGGCTTCGGATTGTGAGGTTGCTGTAGAAGTTGGGAGCTTCTGTTAGTTATGAAGCCTGAAAAAAAGAGCGAGAAAAAAAACGAAGGCAGACGCGAATGAGGCTGGTTACACGCAAGACGGAAGATGGAGGGGTAGAAGTGTGCAAGAACTTACCCTCCGTAAGCGCTGTGTGCGAAGCGGCCAGTGATGTATTTGCCTTTGTCGGGCTGTAGAAGTCAAAAAGCGAGCTGCTGCAAAGGCGATTGTGCTGTGTGCTGAGCCTCTGCAAGAATCTACCTAAGGTGTTACCGTTGAAGTAAGGTAGGTTGATGGTTGCGCGTGGCGCGGCGAAGTTGGCGGCTTTCGCTTTGGTGGGGTTGAACTTAGTTGTACTGCCCATACAGTAGTACCTGAAGCACAAAGTCCTGACCGCAGAAGCCGAAAGCCTTCTTTTGGAACAACAACGGAAGAAGACCGGGCGAACACTGAGGGTCGGAAAGAAAGACGCTAGAAAAACAGAATTACCATGTTAAGAGGATTATAATTTGATGCCTTGAATGATCGATTGTGCTCACGGCAGTGTTGCCTTGCTTATGATATAGTATATATATATAATACGTGTATGTATGTATTGTATAATACAGTACGGAGTTCGGCGATTGTGATCTCATAGATCAAGCTGGGACTGGATCAAGCCCACTCCGGTCTTGGGCCACCTATCTTACCTTCAGGTTACTGTGGTAGGTGTATCAACTGTGACGGGAAGGCTTTGTCAGAGATCTTGGTTAGTGACTCCGATTCAAAGGATCCCATGATACCGCCAAAACAAGGGCCCCGACACGCAATGAGTTCGTAGAACTGTCCCGAAATTCCATGCAACCAGGGTTTGTTTGCTGACATCATTGCTTCCGGCTTTCGGGAGATGCAACATTCCGATCACTTATATTCAGGCTGAGGTCGCGTAAGTAGGGGGCCAGGAGCTAAACAACCATACATACAAACCACAAGACGGACGCCGGCGGACTGCACGAGCACGCCGGAGCTGTGTTAAAGTTTGTCAAGTGGCCGCAATGGTTAGTGCAAAGGTTGTGTTCATCCCGGCCTTCATCCCCACGTTCAGTTAGAGACTGATTATTGATCTAATATCTAGGGCCTTGAACAAGATCTAAGGAGCGATCCTCCGTGCCATCCGCGGGCGGTTCGTCCATGTCGCCCAGAATGGTGATGACAAGCATGCTAACACATCTTTTGGGGACGTGCCAGTGCGCAATTCAAGGCAAGCTGCCTGGGCTAAGCCCATCGTGTAGGGGAGGCTGACCCTCGTCTAGACTGCTTGACGAAAACCGGGTATAACGAGGCCAAGTGCGCCAAGTACGTCGATGCTCTCTATGAGTGTTGCCAGACCTTCTACGAGAAGAACGGCGACAGTGCAGTAACTGTCAGCTGTCCCAAGCCGAACTTGTTACGGCTGAAGATGGAGCAGAGGAAGGGCACTCAGTGAGCAGGCGTCAAGAAATGTATCACACGTCCAAATATGTCCACCTGAAGGACCCCTAGAGGCGTCAGGTAACTGGAAAGGAGAGTGCAGAATTTTTCTAGGCTATCATTGAGCGCGCGTGAGGCCGCGTGGCCTGAACAAGCACTGAGGGACTTGTTCCGAGACTCTAATATGAATGCCATTGACATTGTTGAAAGAAGGGAAAAAAGGAAACAAAATTTTGGTTTTCTCGGCGTTTTGACCTAAGCTGCGAGTGGGTCACATGTGCCCCACACCGTGTGCGACTAAGCTGAGGTATCCAGTATCCATAAGGCAGCGGCTCGTGCGGTGACAGGGAAGCCAGCCGCCAACAGTCCCAGTCCGTTCTTTCAAGCCGCATTTACGCGGTTCACGCTCTTATGGTAAGAACAGCAACCGTTGGGTCTGCGCATGTTGACCTCGAACAGCCGACAAGCGATTGCATTGGCTCCCTTTCTTCAAGAACAAGCCAACCCGCGCATCATCTCCTCAGGATGCGATAGAGAACAAACTAAATCAACTCTGCAAGTTCCACGGTTCTACATCCATACAGAACCGGAAGTTGGAACACACATTGCATTCCTACCTTCCACAACCCGCTCTTAGAATGGCGCCGGCATTTGTCAGTACTTTCTGACCTCTGAAGCCCCCAGCCATCGCCGCCTGCTGATAGACTTGCTGTAGGATTACCCGGCCACAGACGAGAGCTCTCGGGCAAGCTCACAAAGTCCAGCTCCAGGTTTGCCAAACACTACGGGCCGCCGCCAGGCACTCCGAAAGGGATCACTGACATGCCTCACCAGGCCCGGTGCAAGATGAAATGGCAGACCTCGACGCCACATATCAGGATGGCACCATCCGTGCGGGTGAAGAGGTCGACTACTTCGCCGCCCAACTCGACCGCTACAACACCGACCTAGACGGGTCGCCAGCCGAGAAGCGCGCCCAGGTCTTTAAGCTCGTCGACTCTTACTACACCTACACACGCAAGAGGGTCGATCGGTTACGTGAGCGCCAATCCCGGGAGCGATCTGCGCGAGGACGAGTGAACTGGCAAAGGGAGGGTTCAGGTGACATGGATATCGATGAAGTTGACGAAGGGAACGATCCAGTCGCTTCTCCGGAACAGCTGCGCCGTCTAGAAGAGGAAGCGCAGACATGGGACCTTCTACGACGGATTCTACCTTTGCGGTACCGTGATGCAAGCGTCTCGCAGCAGAAAATGACCGACGGCGCCTCGACTAGGACGCGCCGGCAATGGTGGAACGAATTTATGGTCTCGGATTCGGTCGCGCGCGAGAGGAAGATTGTACTCGAATGGCTCCAGAGCAGTGCGAGTTACGGGCCGCCCATTGATGAGGTCGTGAGCGAACTACAGCAGAGCGCCGAGAGAGGCGACATAGTTGCGCACGGCTGGCTTCATACGCGCCACAAGATCAAACTACAAAAGAGCGTTAACGGCTACCAAGGCGTGCTAGATCCGAACGACGCCACGGCTGCCCAGTCGCACCTGGGCTCCAAAACGCTCATCACTCAACTGGACCCGGATGCTGTCACACGTCAGGCGCGGAAATTGGAGCGCCAGGACGAATTCTTTGAGCACGCCATCTGGCTGGGTTGCTTTGAGATGCTTCGCCGCGGCTGCTCCATGTCCGAGATCAGGGAATGGTGCTCCGAGAGAATGGAGCTCTGGAGGGCCGCTTCGATCGCCCCCTTACCGCTCTCCAACCCCGAGGACGAAGAGCAGCACGATTTCGATCCGGGTTCCCTTGTTTTATGGAGGCGGATGTGTTTCGCGGCTGCCCGAGAAGGCGGGACAGGAGACCATGATAGGGCTGTCTACGGGCTACTTGCGGGTGATATCGCGAGTGTGGAGAAAGTGTGCAAGTCGTGGGACGATTTCCTGTTCGCGCATTACAATGCCCTGCTCAGGACGCAGTTCGACCTCTACCTGGCCAAACATGGCGGCGACAGCGCAGCAAATGCCGCCGAGCATTTTCCTTCTTTCAATGCCGTCCTGCACCACAGCGATCCCATGACGGTCAGTAAGCGCCTCATTGCGTCCCTAGAGACAGATCCGAGGACAAGCAGGGAGGCGATACGGACCGCAAAGGCGCTACAAGGCGCTATTGTCGCGAACGAAGTAGACCGGCACCTTTTCTATCAAGGTGTGACGCTATCCAGGCATGCGAACCAGAAGCAAAAGTCCAAGTTGATCCCTGAAGTACCACTACCTTCGCTTGAACACTTCAAGCAGGAAAAGTACTTCGATCTGTCGGAACATGACGGCCTCCGTATACTGGCCCACGTTCTCATCATCATCTCCACCCTTGACCGCCTCACCGGGTTCACGAAGGATAGAGGGCCCCTTCAGGTACGGCATCAGGCGCAAGAGAACATCATCGCCGCCTACATAAGCTACCTCCGCCTCGCCAACCTCGAGGAACTGATCCCGCTGTACTGCTCCAAATTGCACGGTACCCGGTTGTACGAGACGCTGAGCAGAAACTTGATCCATATTGTCGACGTCGACGCGCGGGCACACCAATTGGCCATAATGAGGCAGCTGGGGCTCGATCTGGCTGAGTTTGCCAAGTCACAGCCGTTGATGTATCTGGAAGACGTCCGTGACAAGTCGCTGCGGTGCGAGGCCACGGGGCAGTTCAAGATCCTCGAAAGCGGTCCGCCAACCCTCAAATACGGCCGGATCGTGAAACCCGATTTCTTTGGCGAGGATGCTGAGTTTGTTGATCAAGAAGACGAGTTGATAATCCGCGCCATGGAATGGCTCATGCACGTTCCGGGCTTGTTGGTGGAGACATGCACATATGCAATCCGGGTGTACAAGTATCTCCTGAGTATGTTTGGATGTTACCGCATTTGCCCGCCGTAGCTGATGCTAACTGGTTACAGAACGGATGCGGTTGCGCGCTGCCCGCGCCTTCAGCGATCGGGTGCCTGGGAGGGAGATTGTTAGGACCAAATCGCCCACCCCAGTCAGGGAGGCGAGCGAGGATTCCGGTCCCGACTGGTTTGAGGAGTTCTCCAACGGCGAGTTTACGGCCGAGTTTCTCGAGGCATGCCAGCTAGGCAAGGATCAGCTCGTCACTCTCGTGCGGAACGTGTGGGAGCTCGAGTGCCTTGTCCGCGCTCTGGATTCCATGGAAACCCTGTCCTCGTTGGCCGGGCTCAGCAGGGAGTACGGCCTCAACAAGCTCGCGGTGTATAGTTGCTCCAGGTCATTGGCTAACGTGGTGGGTAACAGGGAAAGCAGCACCTCGCGCGAGATGTGGCAGCACACAAGCCAGGAGGTTCGCTCAGCCAAGGCGTGTATGCAGCCGGTCCTGAAGAATTGGCTGTTGGTGTCCAACGAAGGTAATACAGTGTCCACCCCCGATTAGGAGTACTAGTGCGTATGCTCACAACGTGGTACTAGTGGACAAGGATTTCCAACAACTTCGCGAGGCCTATATCCCGGAGACGGTGCTGGCTTACATTAGCTGCCTACACTTTGCAGGCACATCCCTTTCGCGCGACAACCTCCTGGAGTGCATGGAGCTTGCAGCAGTGATTGCTGAGAAGGGGTCGGATGTGGCCCAAGAATTCATGCGGTGCGGCAGGATGAAGGAGCTTGTCGAGGCCTTTGCGTCGTGCAGCAAGGCGCTGGCAATCTGGACCAGCGACAAGAAAGCGTCGCAGGCAAACTCCAAGAAGATCAGAGAGATGGGATGGTACGCGCCCGCATACTCTGATGAGTGTGGTGGATCCATTCAGCTAACGAGCACGGCTTAGGTCACGAGAGTTGTGGTCTGTCAGACCATGAACAACCACAAGCGCTAGAGGCATACAATATGGACAGAGTGAAAGCTATGACTGCTTCGGACTGGCGGACTGGGAAAGAGATTATTGGGTTGTGTGGTCTGGCTACAGCATTGCCAGGCGTGAGCACACCGTGGATATATGCACCCCGGAAGCCCCCCTTGGGTACGCCTAAGGCGCGATCAACAATTCTGTAGCGATACTTGGGTACTATGCCCCGTTGCGCATTTACGTGCCAGCGGCTCGCTGCGTGCGGTGGATATTGGGTTGTCCATGCGCCCTGGGATGCATGATCGTCATGTTTGTTATCATAGGGTGCCTGCGAGTCTGGGCTGGGTTTAGGAGCATTGCCTGAAATCTGAATGTTGTTGGGGGTAGATGGCGATGCTTTTCATTGGAAGATCAGGAGAGGACTGGATCTGATAATGGCCTTACGTGTGTGCTACACTAGACTAGATATCGTCAACTCCTGACTTCTTACTGCCATTGACATGCACATTGCGTCCAATGTTTTCCAAAACGATCCATCCCCATCTTGCCTTTCACACCAGGGCATGGACAAAAGGAGCTTTGCCCACGCCTGTCTTTGTATTATCCAACCGTGAAGTCCGTCAGCCAGCCCTCCATTAATTATCAATATAGCTCGACGTTCCACTTCCCTGATGAAGATCATTCCTAACATATGTACGGAATACATACATACGTTCCAACGTGGCAAGTGGGACATCTCTGGTTGTCGTGCCAGTACTACATGGGAGTTAGACTGAGTATGTTAGGTTTCCTTTTAGCGCCAGCAATCGTTTAGAAAACGGATATCGCTGCCTGTATCCGTCGGGTGTACGCCTCGCCCGCTATGCAACATCAATGTTAAGGATCTTGATATCCTCCACCGGCTTTTCTTTGTACGTCTTGACGTTCTCAATCCTGTGGATGACGTCCAGGCCCTGTACGGCGCGCCCAAAGATGGTGTGCTTGTTGTCCAGCCACGGCTATCCCTTTCGTTAGCTTCGGTTCATGCGATCTTAGGAGGGTTCGGCGTACCGTTTTCTCCGTCGTGATGAAGAACTGGCTGCCGTTGGTGTTGGGGCCAGCATTGGCCATGCTGACGGTGTACGGTTTATCGTGCTTCAAACTGCTGAACTCGTCTTCAAAGTCCTTGCCCCATATACTCTCGCCGCCTGTACCGTCGCCCAGAGGATCTCCGCCCTGGATCATGAACTTCCGGATCACCCGGTGGAATATGGTATTGTTGTAATACCCACGCCTAGAATGCGTGACAAAGTTTTCCACGGCCTTCGGTGCCGCGTCTGGGAAAAGGCGGATGTGGATGTCGCCGTAAGTGGTGTGAATGATGGCCGCTGTCCCTGTCTCGGCTTTCCTCTTCTCCTCCACCTTCTTCTGCCCCAGAACCGTCGGCTTTTCGTTTTGGACATCTCTCGATGACTTGGAGATCTCCTCTTCGTTGGTGAACATGTAAAAGCGAACCTTTCCCAAGCCCGTAGCCACCAGTATCGGATCCCTTGTTTCGGACTCCTGCAGTAAGGGGTTGCTTGACGCCGCCATGGCGACCGTCGTCACACCCTTTTTCTGGGGCTGACCCTGGTACAGCGCTAACGCCAGTGGGCGAAATCCTTCCTCCCGCCCGTAGACTCTGACTACCTGGTTCGTGTACGTATTGAGCACCTTGACCCCGAGGTAGGACCCATACAGAATGAAATGTCCTGACTCGTCAAAGACGACGTTGAACTTGTCGCGAAGCGATGGCGACTCTATCTCACGCTCCTGAGCGAGCCGGCGCCCGAACTCGACAGCATCCAGCTTCTGTAACGCAGTCCCCGCCTGTTGCATGTCCTCAATAACCTGGAGTGACTCGTCGTATGTCCGCTGGAGCTGGGCCGAGGCAAAGTCGAAGATGCGGATCTTGCGGTCCGGGAAGGACATGGTTGCAAATCGCTTCCCATCCGGAGATAAAGTGAGCGTCGCCGGCACAGACTTTGCCTTCTTGAACTCAAACAAGTTGGTCGAACTTTTGTATTTGAAGACATTGTCGGGCTTCTCGTAAGATCCGCCCGGCTGCCAGTACTCGATCATGCCGCCCTCGTCAACCGATATTACGCATTCGTAGTGGTCATTGAATACCATCAGCGACACGGGGCTCCGGTGCAGCCCGGTGATGGTGTGGATGGGTTGCTGGTTCTCGCCTCTGCCGTCGTAGATGCGGATAGCTGGCTTAGCATCGGTATCGGAAACGGCCAGGAGAGGCAGGGAGGAACCCTTTTTATGAACCCAGCAAATACAGCGTGGCACATAGTCAAGCTGGAGGACAGTCAGCAGGTCGAAGGTGACCACGTCGAACAGCTTGACTGTCTTGTCCGCGCCAGCCGTCGCAAAGCTTCGCCCGTCCTGGCTGCAAGACACAGACCGTATCTCGCCTTGGTGCGCCTTGAATTCCTTGACGAACTCGATTCCGTCGGCAATTTTTTTCCAGAATTTTACGATGCCGTCTACCGATGTCGTGATGAGGAACTCAGTCAAGGGGGTCATCGTGACGAAAGCCAGCTGCTCCTTGTGCATCAGGGATTTGGAATAGCGCGTCGACTTGGGAAGGGCGGAGATGTACAGCTTCTCGTATGGCAGAATGCGTCGCTTCTTCTTGGGAGCCGCCGAGGGCAGCTGCGGGCCCATATCGTCGTCCGAGGAGCTATCTGCGTGTGAATGTTAGCATCATGAATTGGGCACATGGCAGAGTACTAGTAAGTAGGCACACGGCCAGAACTTGGAAGGTGGCCGTGACCTACCGGAACCATCATCGCCCGCGAAGTCCATATGACTTCGCTTGTTCGACTTGACGCCGTCATCGTTGCTGTTCTCAGCCATACTGACAGGTCCTCTATCTCAGTTGTTCGCCGAGGCCGAAACTGGGAACTGCGTTCGATCAGCAAGTCGCATCTGAACGGCCATTTAGGTTCTCGCCGTGTTACCAAATCGGGATAGATCCTCCCACGGCAAGTGGAGCTCAAGTTAGTGTTACTGTAATTCGGGTCCCCACAACGGAATCTCCCGACTACCAGACAACCAAGGCAAGCGCACTGTACATGTACAGTACCCTACTCCGAGATTGTATGTATGTTTCACTCTGTCAGACAACCTCGGACACCGATGAGCTAGTACCATGCGGTACTTAGCATGTAAAGACTGTTTGTTCCCTTGAGTGCGCATGCAGCAGAGATTACGACCACTACTACTCAGAAATTGGTGGAAGTCCAAGGGACAGCCTATTGACCTAAAACCCATTAACTACAGTACAGGTTGGCTTCCAGGTTTCAGGCCGGCCATCCGAACTCGGAGCTGGCCGAGTACGACATCGTCCACATATGTACCTAGGTAGGTAGGTACATATCGGTACTCAGTGAGCCGTCTCAGGTCGCACCAACAATGAGCATGTCTTTTCAAAAGCAGCGGTCCTCTCTTGCTTATAGTATTTGTCGGGTTGCTTTTTGAACGCTGGGTACTAGAACTCCTTTATTTAGTCCGTTGCCCCACGTTGAGTCATCCCACTTGTTGCCCCTCCAAACTCAAAATCCAGAAAGCTTGCGCTAGCCCTGACCGTAATCGGCGACAGTTAACCAGTTGCACCGTTTCCGTTCAAAGGTCTGTGTGCTCGAGCGAGTCCCTATCGCTCAGAGCGTTTCAAAGGTTAGATCTCGGAACGGTCAGGCTAGATTTTCTGGGGACGGAATTAAAATCCGCCATCATGTCTGTAAGTGCAGTGAAATTGCTCGGTTCATTGCTTAGCGCGCCCTGTTGCAGTTGACTCACTGTGGCGCACAGACGTTCTACATCGAGAACAAGAATGTCGGAAACAAGGCCGAGAGCGAAGACTGGAGAAGTAGGCGGACACTTCGCAACCCTGTGCGGGCTGAGTGGTTGCTAATACTAACCAGTTCGCGGCTACAATCCTCTGACGCCCCCGGATCTACTTCAGCATGAAATCCCCCAGACTCCGCAGTCGAAGCAGACGGTCCTCCAGGGCCGTGATGAGGCCGTCGCGATCGTGAACGGAACCGACGAGAAGCGGAGGCTTCTGGTGGTCATCGGGCCGTGTTCCATCCACGACCCAAAGGCTGCGCTTGAGTACTGCGACCTGCTACTGAAAGAGAAGGAGAAGCACAAAGACGAACTCCTCATTGTCATGCGCTCCTACCTGGAGAAGCCGCGCACGACGATCGGATGGAAGGGGCTCATCAACGACCCGGATATCGACAACAGCTTCAACATCAACAAAGGTCTCCGCCTTAGCAGGCAGCTATTCGTCGACCTCACCGCCAAGGGCATGCCCATCGCCAGCGAGATGTTGGATACCATCAGCCCGCAGTTCTTGGCCGATCTGCTCAGCGTTGGTGCCGTCGGCGCCAGGACAACTGAGAGCCAGCTCCACCGCGAGCTGGCCAGCGGCCTGAGCTTCCCCGTGGGCTTCAAGAACGGCACCGACGGGAGTCTTACGGTTGCCGTGGACGCAATTGGGGCGGTCAAGCACCCCCATCACTTCCTGTCGGTGACGAAACCCGGAGTGGTCGCCATTGTGGGTACCGTTGGTAACGAGGACTGCTTCGTGATTCTGCGTGGCGGCACCAGGGGAACCAACTACGATGCGCAGAGCATTGCAGAGGCCAAGGCTGCCTTGCAAAAAGCAGGCCTGCGGCAGCGGCTCATGGTGGACTGCAGCCACGGCAACTCGCTGAAGAACCACAAGAACCAGCCCAAGGTCGCTGCCACGCTAGCAGAGCAGATCGAGAAGGGCGAGGAGGGGATTATGGGCGTCATGATCGAAAGCCACATCAACGAGGGTAAGCTGTTCCAGGAGTTACCGTGTCTACCGTCGTGCTTACATCTCGACAGGCAACCAGAAGGTCCCGAAGGAGGGCAAGGAGGGTCTGAAGTACGGTGTCAGCATTACCGATGCTTGCATTGGATGGGAAGACACTGTCCAGGTCCTGGACCTCCTTGCGAATGCTGTGAAGAAGCGGCGGGAAGCGCTCAGCGTAAATGGCAGCGTCTAACTGCCCGAGACTGGCGGGCCGTCGCAGAAGTCGTTATGTTATGTATATATAGTAAGATCTCAGGGAATTTGGCGCTAATTGGTATGCGGAATTGAAAAGGTCTTGTATCAGGCGTAGAGGGAAACTGAGGTGCTAGGGGGTAAAAGTAAAATGCTTGGACCTATCAACTCGGCGTAGCTTTCTCCTGGTCGTACTACAGTCGATTAGGTTGTCTCTAGCTTGTTGGACTTTGTACCGACCTTCTGTTCCGAAACTGCGTAGGAAACCCAGGCTCGAATTTGCACAGCGCTGCGTAACTTATAAGCAATGGAAACAGGCCAAGGCTGGACCGAGCCGGTGGAGTGGACGGAGGTGAGGTCCAGTGCCCGGCGGAAAGGCTGGCCGGAAAAATGATCGGCCGTGGGGATTCCTTGCAGAGCTCTGATTGGACGACCAATGAGAAAGCCCGAGTTCCTAAGAATCCCGATTTTGAGAAACCTGACCAGCGTCGACCTTCACTAGCTTGAGCCTGCTACCTCACAACACCGACGGTGGCAGCGAATTGCCTTGTCAATCCGATCCGAGACACCCCCTGAGCTCCGCAAGGTGTGCCGACCATGCTGGCGAGGTCCTGCCTGCGCTCGACGCGCGCATTCGCCGGCGCGAGAAATGGCGCCGTGCAAATTACCAAGGTACGTTTGGGTTGTGCCGGCTCCTGCTCCATCCCATCGCATGACCGCTTCGACGACGACGCCCGCTCGCCTCAATTGCGCCCGGCGCCCCGCAACCTTCCACCGATCCGGCCTCGGTACAATTTCAAGTGTTCTTTCTGGAAGCTAACGCCCGTGTCCGTCAGCGTGCCGCGTCTTCTTCGAGCTCCGGGTCTGCTGCCGAGTCCCCGTTCCGGTTGAATATCGCTGCCGCCGCCGCTACCACTGTCGCCGCCGGCTCAATTGCGTGGTACTACCATCTCTATGGACCTACCGCGGACGCCATGACTCCGGCAGAAGAAGGGTGAGTGCCTCGTCGATACCGGACTATCTCCTGCAGTCAGATGAGCCCGCCCGCCCGCCTTGCGGCATATTCGGCCATCCACGCCGTCGCGGGAGCATTGGGAACGATGGAAGCCCGGGACGCTTACTCTTCACACAGGTTGCACCCGACCAAGTATCCGTGGGTCCATGAGCAGTGGTTCAAGACCTTCGACCACCAGGCGTACGTTCCGATCCGTCCCATCAGTTGTGGTATTGCCTGATATCTCACATGCATCTCCCGCTAGTCTTCGAAGAGGCTTCCAAGTTTACAGGGAAGTCTGCGCGTCGTGCCACTCGCTCAGCAGGGTGCCGTACCGCGCTCTTGTCGGCACTATCCTGACCGTCGACGAGGCCAAGGCGCTGGCTGAGGAGAACGAGTACGATACCGAGCCCAACGAGCAGGGCGAGATCGAGAAGCGCCCCGGCAAGCTGTCCGACTACCTTCCGGCGCCTTACAAGAACGACGAGGCTGCCCGCTTCGCCAACAACGGTGCCCTTCCTCCCGACCTGAGCTTGATGGTCAAGGCCCGGCATGGCGGCTGCGACTACATCTTCTCCCTCCTGACCGGCTACCCCGACGAGCCGCCTGCTGGTGCCCAGGTCGGTGCTGGTCTGAACTTCAACCCTTATTTCCCCGGTACCGGCATTGCCATGGCTCGCGTTTTGTACGATGGCCTAGTCGAGTACGAGGACGGCACGCCGGCCTCGACTTCCCAGATGGCCAAGGATGTTGTTGAGTTCCTGAACTGGGCCGCCGAGCCCGAGATGGACGACCGGAAGCGCATGGGGATGAAGGTACTGGTTGTCACCTCAGTTCTCTTCGCGATTTCCGTCTGGGTTAAGCGGTACAAGTGGGCATGGCTCAAGTCGAGGAAGATTGTCTACGACCCGCCCAAGACGAATGAGATCACCCCGCGTCGCTAAGTGTCAAAGTCGAGGCCAGGATATCCCAGGGCTTGGCCTTTGTTTGTATGTACCATATACTGCTAGGCTTCTCCTCGTTCCTCTATAAGGCCTGAACCAAAAGGGTGGGGGGGAGTGAAAGGTTCTCGAGCGATGAGAAGGGGGCAGGGTGGGTAGAGCGGAGTGTGAGGATTGTAAATCAAATTCGCTGGTCTCAATCTAGACATTTTCCTTGTTATTCAGAAGGTTAATCCTTGCCACTTGTTCGAGATAATCGAGCGCCTTGTTTGACTTGTACTGTACATACATCTTTTGGCAGCACCGCTTAATAAGTGGCCAAGCACATTTGCGCATCACATCCATCGCCCTGCGGCGTACCCTACTTACCTAGGCTTCTGGCGGTCGATATTTTCAGGCAGCCACGACCTTGCCTTTTTTTTTTGTCGGCCCAACTCATCGAATATGATTCAAACGAAGATCCCTGTCCCACCACCATATGCGCTCCCTTGATTGTTGACCCCAGCCAACGCTTGCGTTAGTCCCTCGTTTACGCACCATGTCCGGGTCGACGCCATCATCGAGGCCAGGCGAGCGGGGGCCTCCCGACGATCTTCTGTACGGCTTTGATATCTGCGATGAAGAAACCAAGCAGTTTCTCAGTTCCCTCGTCTCCTCGGGCCGGGCGCCGCATGATGATGTGGAGGAACTCCGACAGCTCAGCCTTATGCGCGGTGTTGATGAGTGGGACATGCTGTTCACCTGCGCTCTGACGCTTCAGATGAAAAGCAACGCTTCGAGGCGATTTGGCGGCACCGAGCGCGAGGATAGCCTAGTGCCCTTTCTCGGTGCTGTTCTCGAGGGTCGGACTAGCGATCTTGAAGCGCTGAGTCAACTGGAGGTCGGACATAAAAAGCCCCTAAGGGGAACCAGCAAGCGCAAGTTGACTGCGTCAAGGAATAACAGGAGGGGTAAGAGCATCTCCCACTTCTGGGCTGAGGCCGGAGACGCGAGTGCCGAGCCCCCGTCTAGCCAGTGTCAGGCTGGAGCCCTCGCCTTCGGTTGTTCAAGGGAAGGAAGCAGTGGTAATACTCAGGGCACGGCTGGCAAGCAGAATGAACTCAGCAACGGAGCCATAGACAACGCTGTTCTACCCGAGGCACAAGGTCCCTCGCCAATTCTCCCGCCGCCCGACCAAGAAATCCCAAGTGTCTCGAGCAGAGCATCATCAGATGCAGTTTCCGGGGAGGATGCAGGCTTTGCCTCGCTGGATTTGCCCAACGCAACTGTTTGTTCAAGCTCCAAGCCGCGGAAGGATGCCGAACGAGTACTCAAAGCGACAGGAGGATCAAGGTCCCCCTTTTTCGGCACGCCAACACCCACATGGGTGAAGCAGCCCGCCTCTGACACACTGCCAACGAAGAAGAAGACACCCCGTCCGCCACGAGGGACGGTCTCAAGCCTTCCCATCCCACCGCTCTCGGCGGACCGTTTCGGGCTAATCCAGGAGGAGCTCGCGGACGACCCGTTTCGCCTCCTCATCGCAGTGACCTTTCTCATCCGAACCACCGGAAAGGCGGCCATTCCAGTGTTCTGCCAGCTGATGGACCGTTTCCCCACGCCCGAGGCCCTTGCGGGCGCGGAGCCAACGGAGATCATCTCTCTGATCCGCCCCCTGGGCTTATCAGCGGTACGATGCGCAGCGATCCAGAAATATGCCCGTGTGTGGCTTGAGAAGCCCCCGACCAGGGAGGTACGGTACGGAGTGAAGAACTATCCGCGGCAGGGCGATGGGCATCATGTGAGAGTCGGGGAGGAATTCGGTCCAGAAGGCAGGGACGCGGGCGAAGCTGCGCACAGCAACGTGGACGCCGTCACGGACACAAGAGAAAGGGCGATTGGTGGCGCGTGGGAGATTGGCCATCTCACTCAGGGCCCGTACGCGCTGGACTCGTGGCGCATCTTCTGCAGAGACGTGCTGCTTGGGCGATCGGATCACTGGACAGGAAAGGGCGGTAAGCCTGGGTTTCAGCCCGAGTGGATGCGTGTTTTGCCTCGAGACAAGGAGCTGAGGGCGTGCCTGCGGTGGATGTGGTACGTATTACACACATGCTCATGGCCCTTGCGGCAGGCGCGCTGTTGTGATAATACAGGCCAAGCTAACGTGTCGGCAGGATGAGAGAGGGGTGGGAATGGGACCCGTTGACGGGCGAGCGAGAACCTCTCCGTGAAGAAATGCGCAGAGCTGTGGACGAGGGCCGCGTTGGATACGACAACAGCGGGAACTTGGTTATTCTGTGTCAAAATGAGGGAAGTGTTGGATAGATATGACTCCGTCCCACGGAATCCTCAAGATACTCCCCCCATACCAGCGCGTGCAATTGTCAGTTGAGTCACACAGCCCACACTACAATATTCCTTTGCGAGTTGGGAGATTCGCATGTAAAATGGGGTACTCACAGTCAAAGCAGCTCACTTGTATCAAGTCCTGTGTGATCAATATATGCTCGGTTCCAGACCGGGGTCTCTGCACCTCCGTTGCACACAACCACCGAGTTCTATAGCCGCACCTGTGCATCGTAAGTGTGGAACAATGGGGCGTGCAACCCATGTCTGGGAACCAGATACCAAATTTGGAAGCATTGATTCAGCTCCGGCTCATAACTTCAGATGTTGATACTTAAGCTCTCCCACAACTGTATAACGGTGTGCGGGCGTGCTATACTCGCCTTCCTTGTCGGCCTAGACCTCTTCCTCTGGGGACGGTCTACCTTGTGTGGTGCTGCGTTCTTGATCTACCGCGTACAGTTTCAGAGTGCGAAAGACACGAGAAGGTCTCGTGTAGGTTAAAGGTCCTGAGGAATCTCACATCCAGTTGTGAGATGACCTGGAAGGCACCTGGTAGTACTGAGATAGATTCAGGGTCATGCGGTCACTTGATGTGTGCTTGAGACGGAAGGAGCAGGCGAACCGGGAGTTGACAGGCGGTTGCGAAGGGAAAGAACTGGGAAGGCGTACCTTCCATTCAGTTCATCATACCTGACCGCCAGGCTACCCCCGAGTCCCTGGCTTCAAGGCAATCTTCTGCCTTCTCAAGATTGTTCAGGTTCCTGCTCTCTCCTTCCCAATTGCCGACTCCGTTGACAGTAACCGACCCCACACCTGGCCCAACAAGCACACTACGAAGTCCAATCCTAGAAAGCCCCTGTCGTCACCAAGATGCGTTTCCTCGGCCAGACCATTTCCGCCAGCCTGGCGGTCTTCGCCATGGGTTGGGCGAATGCTGACGATCCGCCTGAAACCCACACATTCGCTGAGTACTGTGCGGTTGGAGGTGCCAACTTGACCGACCAGCACTGGCTGGGGCTCTACTGTCGCAATCATATGGTTGAGATCTTCGGCTACAACTGGACCTGGTACTTCCTGGCCTCCATTGCCGTGGCCCGCGTGCGTGTAACTGATAGTTGTGGCAGGATCGACCTGGACCTTTGCGTGGGTAACGATGGCGGGCAGCTTGCCACCATGGACAAGTGAGGCTGCGCATGTCTCTGAGCTTGATCGTCTCCGACTGACTTGATCTTTTAATTTAGCGGGAATTACTCGGCCGTTTGCAACAATTGCAACACCACCCACGACTTTCAGAAGAAAACCCTGTTCCTCAGCTGCGCCTGTCCAAACGATGTCAACGATTACTTTATGTCCTCTCTTGACCTGAGTAATCTTCCCCTCGGTATCCCCGATATGTTTGAAGGTGTACTGACCGAATGAGCAGACACCACCCTCTATGAGGTCGACGGAAGTATGGCCTGTTTCGACCACGTGGGGAACGAGACATGGAGAGGACCCTGAGCAGAGGAGGTAGGGTCTGGGTTAAGGATGTCTTCGGATCTTTCTGCCGCTCAACCAATGCCTTAGTTGACAAGCATAGCCGGTCGAAACTCTTCAGCTGAGTCTTCATCATCACTGCCCTTGGGAACCCCGCAACGGACGTCTGCTATGGGTGCAGAATCTAGGAAGAGACATAGGTTCTCGAAGATCTTCTCGATGTGTGATCTTGAGTGAGGGCTCAGCTTGCTTCTTTGCTGTTTGTTATCATGCCGATTGTCGCTTGGTGTAACACGGCTGAATCGAGAAGTATGTCAGCTGCCGGGTCCTCATTTACTTACACCGTTCTCGTCATGGACTCATGGACATGTGGCCTCGGGAGTACACGTAGGAATCAAGCACCTAAGGCGGAGAACCGGAAAGGGTCGGATTGACGAGGCACTCGGTCAGTGGAAATCAGCGGCCCAGTAGCAACTGGTTGGTGGGCGGTTGAACCGGTGAAGCAGTTGGAAGACGTAAAACGTGAAGCAGGTGCTCGGCAGTTATTGGGAACCAGCCGGATCAAATGCTGTGCATTGCTTGGCATGGCATGTTGGCGGTACACAGTGTGGACGAGGCAGGCGCGCTGTGCTCGATGCACAAAGACATGTAAGGATTGTATTCCAGCCAATGCCAACATGACGGGCGCGACTGGCAAGCATGCAACTTCAAGATGACTTCTTCACTCACGCAGCGCTTTATGTGTAGCTTTACTGCATACATTCTTCGAGCTCAGATCGAATAAATGCCGACTCGGACTGGCCACCTGGCTCTCACACTGTCCTCTGCGCCTTGGCCAACTTGAAAAGTCACAAGAAACTTTGAAGTACTATTTAATAACCGGGTTAGGTGCCTTATTAGTATTGAACCTCCCTAGTATTCAACCTTGCCCGCAAACTCAGAACCCCTTTTTTATTACTGAACCATTCAACCACTCCTCCAGTGGCAAGGACCTGAATCCTCTGCGATGCACAGCAGTCGGTTACGAAGGCCGTCACTACGTTTGAAGACCCAACGGGGTTGTGCTGCTTCCACTCCAGCAAACCCGCCAAGGCAGGCAGACGAGCAGCAACTTCACGCTATTGACAGACCACGCCGCCAACAATAACATGCTGCAAGCAAAGCTCGGGCGTGAGGCGATCGGCTTGGCCTCGGCGGGTCTGGTCTCGCTGCTGACAGTGCCTGCGCTGGTCTACGCCGGGCGGGCCAATTTTCGTTCTGGTTTTGGAAGGAGAGGCTATGTGCAGCTCGGCGGAGAGGGAGACGGCTATGAGGACCGCGACGGCTTCGCCACCGAGGATTCGATCCACGCCTACACCGACACACGACCCAGGATTGCCGCCTGGCTCGGCACGGCTACCGGCCTTGGTGCATGCATAGCCACGAGAGTGCTGGCACTGAAGAGCAGTGCCGAGCACGGCGATGTGTTTTCAGAGCTGTCCGCCTGGGCAGAGCTGGCATGCTGGGTAAGTTCAGGGGGCCATTGGATTGTCTCGCAGCATCTGGGGCTCTGAACCTAGGTACCTACGCCGTAGGGATTGACTGGCTAACCCGCCTCTAGGTGTTGCTGGGCTTGCACTGTGCCTGTCTTCCTGCTAGACACCGATATCAAGCGAAGTTCCGGCTCACCGTCTTTGGCCTCGTGTCGTCGTTGTTGATTGCTATCACTGTCGCCGTGCGCCATGGCTACAACGCACTGGCATCGCTTTACGCCGCCGAGAAGGGAACGACGGCGCTTGTGTTAGGTCTGCTCTATCTACTCCAACTTGCTGCCGCCTCGGTCACAGCGCTCGCCTTCGCTGCATTCCCCCGCCGCCCCAATGTCTACGACAGGACCAGCCTTGTCGACCAGCAGCACACCCTATCGCTGCTAGCCCGCTTCTCCTTCACCTGGAATCGTGCCATCTTCAACGTCGCCAAGGAGCGGCAGATGGAAGTTCAAGACATTCCCAATCTCGACTATGCCACTCGATCTCGAAACCTGGAAGCCAGGTTCCGTGAGAGATGCGCCAAGGGGGATCCCCTGTGGAAACAGCTCATCAAGGCCCATGCCGGCGAGCTCGCTCTGCAGTGGACCTTGACCCTGTTCATTGCCTTCTTGTCTCTGTTCCCTCAAGTCGTCCTCTACAATTTCCTGTCCAGGATCGAGCGCAGCCAGCAGCACGCGTCCGCGGACCCTACCGTCTTCATCTGGGTGTTTGGTCTCCTGCTCAGCCAGCTGCTCCAAGTCGGAGTCAACAACTGGCTCAAGTGGATCACGGCCAGCCGGCTGGAGATCCCCGTGGGTTCGTTGTTGCAGTCCCTGGTCTTCTCCAAGGCTCTCAAGCAGTACGAGACGGCGCCTCCCGGGCTGAATGTCGATAAGAACAACAACTCTGGCAGCCGGGATGACTCCGACGATTCGCAGGCCAAGACGGAGGGACAGGCTGGCAAGGGGAAGAAGAAGGGCAAAGAATCCGAAACGCGGCAGTCGGTGATCAACCACATGAAGCTCGATAGCGGGCGCGTCACAATCTTCTGCACGTACAACAACAACTTCCCCATGGCCATCTTCAAGCTCATCCTCGCCGGCGGGTTTGCCGTCAGCTTGATGGGCTGGATGCCGGTCTTGTGCGGCCTCGGTGCCGGATCGCTTATGGTTCCGCTGAGCTCGCTCCTGTCGAAGAGGTATACGTCGCTGCACTTCGGCCTGATGAAATATCGCGACGGAAAGGCCCATCTCTTGACCGAGGCCTTGCAGGGCATGCGGCAGATCCGGTACTCGGCGCTTGAGCAGCACTGGGAGAAGAAGATACTGGCGTCGCGCAACGAGGAACTCAGGCAGTACTGGAGGGTGGCGCTGTGGCAGTGTCTGGTTGTCTTCATTGTCAATCTCGGCCCGCTGCTACTCGCCAGTGTGACCTTCTTTATCTACGTCTCGCAGAATGGATCGCACATTCGCGCCTCCGTCATCTTCACGTCGCTCGGCCTGTTTGACCAGCTTGACGAGGCCGTGGCCCTGCTGCCGCTCCTGCAGATGTACTTGCTCGAGGCCTGGACCAGCGCCGTGAGGCTGGAGAAGTACTTCAACCAGTCGGACAAAGAGCCCGTGTCGGAACCGGGAGATGCCATCGCCTTTGACCATGCCACGGTGGCATGGCCGAGAATTGAAGACAGCGAGGTGCCGCCGGAGGGCGCAGGAGCAGCCGAGGAGCGCAGAGAAAGCCACTCGATGCTCCGCGACGCGACCCTCAACTTTCCTATGGGCAAGCTCAGCGTGATCACGGGCAAGACCGGGGCGGGCAAGAGCCTCCTGCTCGCAGCGCTCCTGGGAGAGGTCAAGTTGCTGGCTGGTACCATCCGCATGCCGTCCGTGCCCGAATTCGACGAGAACGCCGAGCATAATATTCCCGAGTCAGAATGGATCATCCCTCAGCTGACCGCGTTCGTCTCGCAAACTCCGTGGATCGAAGGCGGAAACGTCCGGGAGAACATTGTGTTCGGCCTCCCCTTCGTCGAGGACCGCTACCGCAAGGTTCTGGCCGCCTGTGCTCTCGAGAAGGACATTGAGCTCCTGGTGGACGGCGACGAGACCGAGGTTGGGCCCAAGGGCGTCACCCTGTCGGGCGGGCAGCGCTGGCGCGTAGCACTGGCCCGGGCTCTCTACTCGCGCGCCGGAATCCTCGTGCTTGACGACGTCCTCAGCGCGGTGGACGCCCATGTCGGCAGGCTGATCGTGGACAAGGCGCTCACCGGAAAGCTCGCTCTCGGCCGGACCCGCGTTTTGGCCACGCACCATTCTGAGCTGGTTCTGCCTCACGCGAGCTACCTGGTCCGCCTCCACAACGGAGAAGTCGAGTCGGCCGAGCTTCTCTCGCCGTCCGATGCGGGAACTGCTGTGGCAGTCGAACCTGAGCAGCAGACAGGAACCGTGTCATTGGGAGACGCCTCCGGAAACAACCAGGATGGCGATTCCCCTCCGGCTGGGCCGAAGAAGGCCAAGAAGGAGGAAGAGCAGAGAGAGACCGGCCGTGTCAAGTGGAAGGTTTACAAGGCGTATTACGATGCCAGTGGCGGTGCGATCCCGTGGCTCGTGGGAGTCCTCATCCTCCTCCTCGGCCATTCCCTGACTGTTGCGCGAACTTGGAGCTTGAAGGAACTATCCGAGCAAGCCTCGTCCGAGGTCGCGCATCTCACATCGCGAGCGGTGGGAGCCGTCACCGCCCTTGTGTACACGGATGAATTTGTCTCTCAAAAGACCCTAGGGACGGAGCACGGCATTTTCTTTTGTGAGTCTGGCCTGACAGCATGTGGAACTGACTGTTACGTACTAACATCTGAAACTCGACAGGGCTGACGGCATACATCGTAATCGAGTTCGCCATGCTCCTGGTGCAGATCATCCGGGTCATGACCTTCTTCTTCGTTGGCTTGACGGCATCCCGGGTGCTCTTCCAACGCATGACCCACGCCATTCTCAGGGCCCCCTTACGCTGGATCGACACTGTGCCGGCCGGTCGCATCCTCAACCGGTTCACTTCGGATACCTTCATCGTCGACAGGCGGCTGTCCTCCCAAACCTTCACCTTTCTCCGGACCATCCTGTTCCTCGCGGTCATCATCGCAACCAGCTTGTCTGTCTCGGTCTACGTCATCTTCTTCGGCGTGTTGCTGTTCCTGCTCTACGTGCGGGTTGCGCGCGAGTACATCACGGCTGCGCGCGAGGTCAAGCGGATCAACTCGGTGTCGCACTCGCCGATCTACGACCAGTTCAGCTCGGTCCTCTCGGGCCTCTCCACCATCCGCGCCTTCGGCCGCACCAAGTTCTACATGGACCGCATGTACGGTCTGATCGACAACAGCTCCAAGGCATCGTGGATGCTGCAGCTGTCCAGCCGCTGGATGGCCTTCCGGATGGGCGTGCTCGGGGCTCTGTTCGTCAGCGTGGTCGCCAACGCGGTGGCCTTCAGCCGCGTCGACGCCGCTCTGGCCGGCTTCTGCTTGGCTTTTGCGCTGCGCTATACCAACGCCCTGACGTCGCTGCTCCAGGCCATGACCTCGGTCGAACTGGGCTTCAACGCCTGCGAGCGAGTGCTGGAATATGCCGAGATCGCGACCGAGCCCGAAGGCGGTAAGAATGCCCCGGCTGCGTGGCCGACCGAAGGGAAGATCGAGGTCGACAACTTGACGGTCCGCTACGCCGACGACTTGCCGCCGGTCTTGAAGAGCCTGAACTTCACGGTTGGTGCCGGTGAGCGGATCGGTATTGTCGGCCGGACGGGTGCCGGGAAGTCGACTTTGGCTGCCGTCTTCTTCCGTCTGCTCGAGCCCGTGGAGGGCTGCGTGAGCATTGACAATGTGGATATTTCGACCCTCAAGTTGGCTCAGCTGCGGAGCCGTCTTGCCATCATCCCACAGGACCCCTTCCTCTTCTCGTAAGAAACCATTAAGTCATCTCCTCGTTTCTTTTGCCTTGGGTAACCTACAACTTTAACTGACACTTGATGATTGCTCAGGGGCACCTTGCGCTCGAACCTTGACATGGAGGGCGTCCTGGACGACCACGAGCTGCTCGAATCGCTGAAGCGTGTCCACCTGATTGAGACAGACGACGACGACGACGACCATCCGGGGCGTCCGACTGTCTGTCAGCCCGCTCAAACAATCGACACCGTCGTGGCAACGACCTCGGCATCCGGCGCTCTCCCAGCTATCGACTCCGAGACGGCGACAGAGGCGTCCACGGCCGCCGATCCCGAACCGACCATCATCGAGCCGCAACGCAGCCAGACCAACGCCAGCCACTCGAGCAACATCTTCACCAACCTCTCGACGCCCATCAGCGCCGGCGGCGCCAACCTGTCCCAGGGCCAGCGCCAGCTCGTCTGCCTAGCCCGCGCCCTGCTCAAGCGGCCCAAGATCGTCGTCCTGGACGAGGCCACCAGCGCCGTCGACCAGGGTACCGACAGCAGCATCCAGGCGTCGCTGCGCAAGGAGTTTGCCGCGGCCGGTTGCACCGTGCTGGTCATTGCGCACCGCCTGTCGACTGTAGCCGACTTTGACCGGCTGCTGGTGCTGGAGAAGGGGCGCGTGGCCGAGATGGGCAGTCCGCGCGAGCTGTTGTTGGCCGGTATGAGACGGGAACGGGCGGCGGCGGCTGCTACTGCTAATGATAATGAACAAGAGGTGCGGGATGTGGATAACGATAATAATAATAATGGTGGTGGTGGTGGTGGTGCTGCTGCTGCTGTCGGCAGAGACGAGGAAGGAGAGGAAAGCAGCACGCTGCGCAGCGAGGCACGTGGGGAAAGTGAAGATGGCACGGGGGCTTTTTGGGAGCTGGTTCAGCAGAGCGCGGAGAAGGATAAGCTGGTGGATATGATTCTAGAAGAGGAGCAAGTCACGCTGGAGGAGAGCATTTTGGGAGCGCAGCAGCGGGGTTAAGAAGCTGGATAAGCCTTAGAGTCGGGACAGCTGGGTTTTGTTTCCGGCCTGGCGTTTTCTCTCGCATAGACAAGTAATAGAGTCTTGCGTTCTGATAGTATGGATGGAGTGGGGAACATGTACATATAAGACACCAGTGCTGGGCACGCACATGTACATGTAGTATTGTATTGTATTATACTGTGTATCCGTTAAGAACAAACACAGCATACGGGTAGTTTGTATGCTACCCAGGGATTATCGGTCCGGAAATGCCGCCTTCTACCTGTGTAGGTCCTGGTCCTGTACGTGCTCTGGTATTTTACTCAGTCAACCTTCCTCAAACGCAGTACAGCACCAGGGCCATGTTGTGGTTGCGTTCCTCAGAATGCCTAGGTTGGCTGTCAAACATTTCAATGGCCATCACACAGCAACAAGATGTAGTAGTATTTGATGGCCATCACAAATCTTTTTTTTTTCTTTGCAGCACTCGCAAAGCTGCGTACTCTACATGCAGTGAAATGGAATACTCTGTACATGCAAATAAAAATGAGAAAGTGGCTGGCCACCAGCCTGCCAAAGGGGCAAGCACATTGTCCCCCTCGGCCCCTCAAGTTGAACGCCTTGGGCCCCTTCCTCTTCCCTCCTCCTTGGTGCCTCCTCTTTTTTTCAGTAGCCACCGCGGGCGAGCACAAAACGCAGAGCGGCGGGTTGACGGAAGGCAAGTGTTATTACCTTAACAACCTCCCTAGCCTGGATGCCAAAAGGAAAGAACCGAGCGGTACCGGATGAGATGAAAAGAAAAGGAGGAAAAAGGCCCCGAAAGTGAAGTAAGAGCAGTGATGAAAATAAAATACAGAGAACAGAAACGAAGGAAAGGAAACTAGTAAAACACTGCCTGCTGAGCAAATGGAAAAAAGGAAAGGGGAAAGAAAAAAAACCATCGCGACCCCTCTCCACCCTGCCATGAATGATTATATCCCAACACTAAACCAACAACTTCCTCACGGCTCACCCAACCGAACCTCGCTGCCACCCAAGCTGACTCAGCGGTAAAAACCTACTCCTCCTCCTCCTCCTCCTCCTCGTCGTCGTCGTCCTCACCCTCGTCGACGCCACGGCGGGCCGGGCCGAGAACCAGCCTGGGGCGGTGAAGCCCCAGGGTCCCAGCCGCCGGGGTGGGAGCAGCAGCCGAGTACGCCGCCGCCGACGACCAGCCCCCCCGGATCGGCATCGACAGCGGCGCCGGGCCCGGGTGAGCCCGGGGCCGGGGGTGGGGGTCGGGGGCCGTGAGGGTGCGGGCCATGTGCTCCATGCGGAACTGGCTGTCCCGCTCGGCGACGAACCAGGCGACGGTCTGCGAGTCGTCGGGCACCCACACGCCGCCGCGGGCGCGGCGCACCTCGAAGACCTCCCACAGGAGGTTGATGGCGTCGAGCCGGCGGCCGTCCTGGCGCAGGTTCCGGAGGATTGGGTGGGCGCCCCACGCGTACCGCATCTGCTGCTGCAGCGCGTTGTCCTGATGGTATTGCGCCACCTGCTCCGGGGTGCGGTCGTTGAGGGGGTGGTAGGCCGGGGTTGTGCGCGCGCTGGGCGCGTAGGGGCCGGGGGCCGCAGGAGGAGGAGCGGTCGTGCCTGGGCTCTCGGAAGTTGGTAGACCGTGGGGAGACTGCGAAGAGAAGGTGGTGTTAGTCAATGCGCGTTTGCTTTGTTTTTGTTTTGCTTTAGTTGCAGGAAAGAGACGAAGTGTGGATGGAAGGAGTGTGTGTATGCGGTGATTAGATGAAAAAAAAAGAACGTGAACACGTACCTCGTAGGCCTGCTGTGAAGAACCCGGTGCCGGGGCGGAAGGATGCTGAGGCGGGGACTCCCGGTCTGCCGAGCGGTCCGGAATCTGCGAACGGACACGGCGGGGGTCCGGATTGGGCCGCTGTTGGTAGAGGAACTCGTAAATGTCGAGCACAAGATGGTCACGGTTGTCGTGCTCGGGCCCGGGGGTGGCTGGAGGTGCCCGCTCAACCACGGGGTGCACAGAAGGGCGAGGGTAGTGCTCAACCGAGCTTCGAGGCGCAAATGGACCAGCCTCCGGGGGAGAAGGGGTGCCGCTCTGTACAGTGCGGGCCTGGGCCGGGGTGAGCACACCAGTGTTGCGGGACGCACGGTTGCCGCAGCGGCCCCCTTTGTTTACTTTCTTACCACTCCCCCTTGCGTTGTAAACGTCGTCCTCGTCATACTCGTCTTCACCATCGTCACGATACTCAGAACCATCATCGTCAGACTGACGAGCTTGTTCAGTCATGCCTGCAATTGCTCTAGCAGCTGCCTGCCGCACCGCCGGGCGAGTAGGTGCCGGGGCGACTGGAGATGAGGGACCTGGGTGATCCTCGCCTTGGTCTGGGTGATCACCAGACGCAGATCTCGGTCGAACAGCCGGCCGAGTTGCAGGGGCCGGGAGTGCTGAAGACGGGGGGTTGGGTTGAGGGTCCTGAGCAGGCTCCATCTGGCTCTGTTGAGCGTAGTCGTTAAGTGGAACTGACTGCTGAGGCATCGGGCGAGGACTAGGCGCCAGGTACGCCCGGGGGGGAGGGTTGATATGGGGCCTCGGGTCATGTACCATTCCCCCTTGTTGGGCGAAAGGGCCAACGCCAGCATCCTGTTGAGCGACGGGGCGAGGAGGAGGTGCCGCGAACGCTGGAGCATAAGGGTTCGGTTGGGGGTAGTAGGCAGGCCCCATTACCCCTTGTTGAGCGTAATGGCCATAATGGCCGTAGGGAGCTGCCTGCTGAGCCATCGGATGGCCTGCTGGTGCCGCGAACGCCTGAGGGGAGGGATGATGCGGCGGCGGGGAAATCTGCATCCCGCCTTGTTGGGGGTAGCGGCTTTGGGCAGGCGGAGGAGGCAGGTGAAAGAAGGGAGCTGCCGGATTGTAGCCATGATAGCCATAGAACCCTGGCGGGGCTGCAGGGGGAGCGGGGGGAGCAGGCGCCGCCCAGTGATGGCCGGTGTTATGCGGCGCGATTGGTGACGGCGTGGGGAAGAGAGCAGCGTGGTGGATGGGGTGGGGGAGGCCATCGGCTTCTTCGTCTACGTCGACGCGAGGAGGTGCCATCCCGAGGCGACGGCGCGGAGTGGAAGCGGGGCGCTCGCTGGTAGGCCCGCCCGGGGAGCCCTGCTGCGAACGGTCTTCTGATCGCCGCCGTTTGCGTCCCCGGCTGGGATTGGATCGCCTGGGAGCCTTCTGCACGGTCCAGTCGAGGGCGTCGGCATCGATCCAATGGTAGTAGTCCGAGTGCCACCTCGAGCTTCGGGCGCAGGTCTCGCAGATATATTTGACGCAACGGGGGTGTGCGCAGGACATCAAAACCCCCGGGCCACGCTCGTTGCAGAAGTCGCACTTGGCTACCCTAGTGTACTTGGGAGTCCAAGTTTGGTGCGTGCGGTAGGACTGGCTGCGGAGCGATTCCAACGTCGGCACAGCTGGCTGGCCGCTGGGCGGCGCATCAGAGGTCTGATGGCCAGGGTTGGAGGCCGCGGGCTGGTTCGAAGAGCCATCCTCGTTGCGGTTGTCCTGCTCCATCTTGGCGATAGACGGTAAGGCAGCAGAGGCAGAATAAATTCTGAGGGTGGTGGGAAGAGTCGAAAGTCAGAAGAAGTTCTTGATATTTTTGTGGAAGGGTGGGATAGAGGAATGAAGATCTTGGTGTGGGTGGTGAGAATGCCAAAGTGGAAAGGAAGAAGCGAGAAAGGCGAGGGAAAGGTCGGTTTTATAGCGGTGGGAGAATTGTTTCCTTCTCTCCATCCGATGTCTTAACGGCGCGCCCAGGTGACCAGAGTGTTCGTGGTACAATAGAGCGAATCGGGGGGCATTGAGACCACGGTGGCGCCGGCCCAGAGTCTTTCTCTGAGATCAGATTGCAGTCCCGGGTTCGGTTCCAACGGTGACCTCTCCGTGCCATGCGTGCCATCTCATGCCATGTGTATCGTGATGCCAGTGGTGCCGAATAGTCGTCTTGTTCACCGTACAACTAGCCCAGCGTCGGCGGCCCTAGAGAACATATCAGCTCACCGACACTGAACATTATCAAATGCCGCTTTTTCTAACTTCGCCGGCTCCGGCACTTAGGTGGGAGCCCTTCCAGACGAGACCACCTGGACGGAACCTGGCGTCAGGAAGAGAAGCATCATCGTGTATCCTTGCCAACCACACGGAGGCTCTGGTGCCCTGCCCCTTCTCCCGCCGTCGGTGCCCGTTTGTGGCTGCCCCGATGGCTCTTGACCTCCGGTATCGTGACCGTCCCTGTGGACCACCAATGGTCAGCGCCAATGAGAGCCTTCCGCCAACTCCAACTTCAGATCGATCTTTGTCCCGGTATATAGGATCGTGACCTGCCAGCAAGCCAGCTACCAGCACATGTACGCCTCGTCGGATGCGAGCCATACTCGTGACCGGTCCTTCGTCTCAACACTTCGACGGCCAAGCAAGGAGAGACAGCATAGTGAGTTACATATGCATAGCAATAGTGGACAACAGACGGGAAATCATGCGGGCGGAATCAAACGCCAACTCAACAAGGTTGCGGCTATGACTACAGCCAGCTTCAAACATTGTGTAACAAAGCCTGACGCTGTTCAAAGAGAGCAGTAAATAGGGACGAATTCCAAGTGAGAAACCACGGCTGCTCCGGCCTCGAGGACGGCAGCGGGAAGATGAAGAGGCCCTGGTAGGACACAACGGAGAGGTTCCAGAATCCAGATCGCACCCCCAGACGAACAACATTGGCGCAAGAATAACCCAAAGCGAGGATGACCACCGCCGCAGCATCCGTTGAATGCTTATACCGTGATGTGGAAATGAAGACGGCGGGCGACTCGTGGGATACCTGATGCCGAGGCGGGCGGCAGCCGGCCTTTTGTGGGCCTTCGGATCCGGCTGGTGGTCGGCGGATGTTCAGAGAGACGGAGGGCCGGATGATGCCAAGAGGCTAAGGGGCCGGATCAATGACCCACTCGACTCCACAAAATGAAAAGAGCGTGCATCGACCCCAGAAGCGGGGACATGTGACGAGCTCTTCCAATCATCGGTGCACGCCATTTCCCGCAGCGCAGCCATTGGACAATGGCTTAATGAGGTTCCACTTTGAACGCATGCGCGTGCCGGTCGCGTCGCGTCGCAGCACGTCTCCCAGTTCGCACCCGTCCCCGCCATCCGGTGTGTCTCGAATTTTCGAGGTCCAGGAAATAAAGATAATGCTCGGCAAGATTTCCGTTATGTGTGACAGAGACTGTAACACTCACCTGCCATTTCCACCACAGCAAATGTAGCACATTCCAGCATCAAAACTCTACATAGGCTGCCCTCGAGGTACCGACATGTGTCTTGGGCCTGGGCCTAATTTCGAGACGCTAGCTCCGGGGAAGCTAAAAGGAAAGCGAATGACAGAATTTTCTCTCAAGACCCCTATTTTCCACAACTGGCCATACCTCATTTGTGCAGACCGGGGATGCTGGCATGAAAGAATCACCCCCGCCTCTGGGGGAAAAGACGACCGACCGACCTACTGACTGATGACTGACTGACGACGGCCCTGCGGACATGGAGAAACCGTCCGGTTCCTGCATTTGCACGCCACGGTCCCGACGATCCGACTTGCCCTTGTCAGGATCATGGCCCGACCATCGTCATGATCGGCAATTGAGTCCGACGTCGTGACCTCATGTCAGTGTGTTTGTAGGACTTCTGTATAGGGGAAAAAGAAAGAGTAGATGCCAATGGAACCGACTACGCTTCCAGGCAGTGTTCCAAGCCACCTCATCCCGGCCGGTTTGAACGGTGGAAGAAGGCCCTGCGTCGATCATGGAGGATGACGCAAGTTGGGAGGGCAGAAAACCGGGCTGACCACCTCTTCGAACCTGCGGTAAGGAGCCGGGCCCGGGTGCACCGGATGTCCCAGCAACTGACTGGATTAGCTCGGGTAGACAAGGTACTACTACCTGATCTACCATACCAAACTGTACTTCGTATACATAGTATCCCCCTCTCTCCAAGTTGGACTGGGTGGAAAGGGATGTGATGAGGAGAGACTTTCACCGAAGTGCACAGTTGCAATTCATGATACGTACATATACACCTGGCGTGATAGCGAAAGGGAGAAAAAGACTCGAAGCAGGCTCGAGCCATCTCCGTCGCCCTTCACTGCTTTGGTACTTTCGATCAATGAAAGAGTACTTAGTGCAATGCTTCGTACAATACCTATCGTGCCTTTGCTTAAGCAGTCCCTTATCACCAACTAGCTTGCTCTCGACCGGACGCCGGCAGGGTCGGATCAATCCGTCTTGAGCATTGGTTTGACTTCCCCGGTCTCCTTGTGCAGCGCTCTTGAAAACCCCGCCGAGGGGGCCTCGAAGAGGGATCCATTTTCGTCAATTTCCGTTAAGTGCTTGCATGAGGGAAACTGTGGAGGGAGGGTCAGTAGGTGGAGCACACCAAGCCGATCTCCATTGGCCCTCACCGTGGAGCGCCATGGACGCCCTCCGAGCCCTGGCCTGCTTGCTAATACCCACTTTCTGCGCACCGTTGTCCCTGTTCCCAAGACCGCAAGGTCAGGCCCGTTCTTATTAGGCGCATTATTCCGCTGGTCGCCCCTCGGGGTCCCTCGCGACTGATTCCCTCAGTGCCTCTTCACCTTTTGCACAATCTGCGCCGACCGACACACGACCACCTTGCGATCGTGTACAGGTCGAGTCTTCCAGGGAACTTTTACGTTAGCCAAACCTATCGCTGGGACATCCCAATTCATCTTTTGGCCTCACCAACACCCCCACCCAAGCGCATCCAACCGCAATCCCCGGTCCTGTCGCGAGCCGTTCGCTGCTGGAAAGACACCATCTAACCGACGTCGAAAGTTCCCCGAGCCACTTACACCGCGACGGGCTCGCTCTAGAGACAATATCGAAAAGCATCGGAACTCATATACTCTCAACAATCGTCACGCACATTTTAAACTCGAGGAAGAACAATGTTGCTGCCGTCCGCACTTCCATGCGACTCGTCGCAAACGCCGCGCTTGACGCGCCTTCAGTCGGCGCTCTTCGCATCGCCGCCCGCAAGCCCTCCGCACCTCTCGACGCAGCAAGCTATCGGAAACATCTTCTCGACATGTCGTTCTCTGCAGTCCCTCCTCGCCGGGCCCGCGCCGCCTGCCAACACCGGCCCTGAACCCATCACTCCGCCGACCTCGTCGCGCTCTCAGTTGCTTACTCCGCCGCTGGCGTGCGCGCCGCCTCCGCTCAAACTTCGCCTGCGATCGCGCAAGACAGACAGCACAACGGGCGACCATGGCCCGGCGAGAAAGCGCATCGTGAAGCGCAGCGCAGCAGTCGCGCAGGCGCCAAGGGGACCCAACAAGCGCCGTCGCGCCGCCGACGACGACATGGGCCGGTGCAGCGAGGATGACAGCGATACCGAACAACACGGACCTCTCGGCAATCCCGTAGAGGGGCAGGACAAAGAAAACGAGGCTCGCTCCGGGCCACAGACACCCAAGCGCTCGAGGCTCGCGCCCGAGGTCATCCCACTCGGTCTCGAGCGATCAGATTACCACAACCTCCACCACTCCTTCCCCCAGAACGTACCGACGGACGGTTCCAGCGAGTACCGACAAGATGGCACCGATGTGGTAGTCGAAGCGGACGGCGAGGCATGGAGCACCGAGGAGGACCGCATCCTGGTCGAGCTTGTATTGGAAAAGCTCAAGCTCACCAAGTCGGACTGGCAGGACTGTGCGCGCAGTCTGGGCAAGGACCGCGGGAGCGTCGGGAGAAGATGGAAGAGCCTCATGATCAATGGAGAAGTCGGGCTCAAGAGGGGCAGTCACAGGAGGGGAAGGATACACGGGACTTGGAGGTGATGCTTTTGGTTTCGCGTTTCCCCATACGCGCGTTCTCTTCTTGGACTACCTATGCTGTATTACCTAGTGTACGTGTATTAATGCGGTCTCTCTGGCTGGCCTATCTGTCTACGATGCGGGAATGCGGTCGGCGTTGTGTTTTCTGGGATGAGGAACTGGAACCTAGATCAACGGTGGGCAGGCAGGCAGGCAGGGCAGGGCTGGGATAGGAGCTGATGATGGAGTTCTGGATCCCAGCGCAATGAATTTCAAAATCTACCGAGATTCACGACAAGCTTGGCTTTCCACATTCAACTCCAAACCTGGAGGCTTGGGTCAACCCCATGCTAATTCACCGACCTTGCCGGCTTCAGCTTCACCTTGCATCCCGTTCTCACCGTCTTGCCAAATGTGGCAAACTGTGCCTCTCGCTCCCTTGCCCTACGATAAGATCGAGCCAATTGCATCCGCCCTTGCGGTGCGATCCCCCGACCCCACAAGGCCGCAGCTCCAGGGAACGATGAAACTCGGGTAGATTTGACGCCGCCGGCGGCTTTTCCTTTCCCTACCTACCAGTAGGTAACCTACGTTGAAATGAGACGGACAAAACGGCGAAGCAAGGCATGGGAAGGCAAACACACCCTACTTTAGAAACACGGAATTCAAGGTGATGGGGGTTGGCTAGGTAGTACGTCTGATGTAGTATATATGCATCATGGATGCAAGCCAGCCTGTGCCTCTACAGTCACCCAGTTCACGGCTCGGGATGGCGTTCATGCACGTCGGTCGATGAGCTTCTGCTCTTCATCAAACCTGCCTCTCTTCCCCCGCATCTGTCGTAAGATAAATCGGAGAATCGCCCTGGACTGGGCGCGAACTTTCATGTATGTATATGCATATGCAGCCCCCTTGCTTTCGCAGCGGGATCAAACTTTGCGTCGAGGAGCACTGCAAGTCATGCCTTGGCTTGGCAGGCCTGATAAGACTGAAACATGGCCCGTGATGCCTTGCATGATGCTTCATGTACATACTCCGTACATACATGTGTGTACTACACCAGTAGTAGGTAGGAGTAGAGTTGGGTTGTGGTGACCAGCTGAAGGGTTGAGGTCGAGACCGTCCAAAATACTACTACTACTACTAGTACTAGTACCTACTATACTACTAATAGTAGTAGCAGTACATACACTGACGGTCCCAACATCACAACGCGTTTGCGCGTGCGTCAATACGTGAGTGACGCCTACTAACGGAGCACTGGCAGGGAGCCTTACTGCAGTTAACGGACATCATGATATCCAGTATTCAGATGACCCGTCCTCGAACAATGGCGCCTGGAGTCCGCCATGGAACGAACAGAGCAAAGCGAGCACGATAATAATACCACACTAGCCCGATGAGAAAATCAAGAGCTTGGTGCTGAAATCTGTCTACCGTACTTTTGGTTTCTGCGAAGAAGATTACCTAACGTCATCTCCTTCTACCTCGCCGGGTTCATTAACGCATTGAGCAATGTCGCCTACGGTACGTTCACCAACCACTAACCCAAAGTACTAGTAGTACCTCCTGGGCACCATCCATACTACCTCCTTACCTTGCCATGGATGAACATCAAAGTTCGGTCAACTCACCACCGCAGTCTACCTCGCGCTCCTGGGGGGGCATGTATCCCCGCGGAGCCCTGCACCCTGAAGGACATCCTCCGCCCCAGATTACGACCAGCTTCATGTGTCACTGTCCTTGCTCACCCCCCTCGGGAATCGGGTCCTTCCACCTTTCATGCCACGCTCCGCCAGACGCTCGAGTTCGTAGGTGAGCTCTCCATGCTGTGTCTGGCCTGGTTTGCCGTGGGCCTGGCCTTTTGAGTTTCATGGGTGGTGGCATAGGTAGCCTGACTGCTGCTGGGGCGAGTCAGGCCACGCAGGTTCCCAAGGGGAGGTGAAGGAGGGGGGGTCGAGTGAGAGAGGGAAGGCATAGAGGTACCATTCACTGGATACACCTAAGGTAGTAGCTACTATCTAGGTCGGTAGTACTGTACCCCGTAGTATATGTGCTATGTACAATACCTCCCGTATGTCCTGTTCTCGCTAAGTATCGTGTTGTTGCATCGGTTTGACGGTGTGCGTGTACGAAATAGATACCGGGCTGCGCCGCTCCCTCTCTCCCTTCTCTACCATACTGCCCCGTGACCCACCCCCAACTTCGCTCCCTTGCCTTATTACCAAGTGAACCGCCGCGTTGGAACTTCTCTTTGCCAATGTAGGTAGCAGGGTGGAAGCGGGACACGTGAAGCCAGGGTAAGGAAGTGTTTCGGATGAGAAACATGTTAAAACCAATTGAATCATTATGTCCCTAGTATATATCCCTATCCGCTAGGTAGTACAGCAAATCGACGCCACCACACGATAGCACCCCGAGATCACTTTCAACCGGCAAAGAGTGTGTCCCGAGAATATCCGTTATCCCTTGGCTTCTCCGATAAGCCCCTAGGAGACCTTCCAGGGCCAAAAGCGGGAGGCATCCAAGGATCCAAGGAGCCACCAAAGCCATTTCACCATCCGTCCAGAAGCGTCATCCTGAGGTACATGCCCCTCGCGGGCCTTGCCGTCACGCCGCCCTTGATCTCGATCTTGCTTTCATCCGCCTCTTCCTCGTTGTGCAGTTCCAGGCTGAACCGCCCTACCCAGGAGGCCAGTAGACAGGCGAACTCGGCCTTGGCGAACGCCTGGCCGATGCAGCTGCGCGGGCCGTGCAGGAAGGTCATGAAGGCGTAGTTGCTGCTCGCGCCTCCGCTCGCGGCATGCCTGTCCTGGTCCGACTTGGGCATCCAGCGGTCCGGATTGAACTCGCGCGCATGCGGGCCCCACAGCGCCTCGGACTTGTTGATGGCCCAGGGGGCGATGGCGATGCGCGTGCCCTTGGGAACGAAGTGCCCGTTGATGCTGGTGTCGCACGCCGACTCGCGCAGCGTGAGAGGGACCGGGCCGAAGTAGCGCAGCACTTCGTTGCAGACGGCGTTGAGATACGGCATCCGGTCGATGTCGAAGCTCGACACGGTGCTGCCGCCCCCTGCGCCGGAGATGGGCGGCAGCCGTTCGCGCACCTCGGCCCGCAACCGCTCTTGCACGTCGGTGTACTTGGCGAGCAGATAGGCCGCCCAAGTCATGGACGCCGCCGTGGTCTCGTGCCCGGCCGCGAGGAACGTCATCAGCTGGTCGACGAGATTCGAGTCGCTGAAGCCTCCCGACTCGATGGCCACCGAGAGGATGTCGAGGTCGGTCAGCTCCTTGCGTGCCAGCTTCTCCTTCTTCTCCCTGATCAGCTCGGCGCACTCAGCTCGGATCAGACGAGCTGCGCCCTCGATGTCGTCGTTCCGCTTTACCGGCAGCAGGTTGATAATCCTGGGGTGGATGATAATGGAAAGCAACTGCAGAATACGGGCCTGGCGACTTGGCCTGAACACCTCGGCGTACGCCCGGCTGAGCCGGTTGTCCGGGTTCTTGATGGCCTCAAAGTCGCGGCCCAAACCTGCCAGTCCGATGATGTCGAGGGTTATGCGCGATGCCCAGCTGCCCACCTCGACGACGGCGGTATTCTTGTCGGATTCGGGCCGCTCCGCAGCGCCCTCTAGGATCTGGTCCGTGATGGCCTGCACGCCTTCGCGCGCCTTCTCCCAAAAGGTCGGGTACAGATCCTTGATGTGGCGGAAAGCAAAGGCCGGGAGCAGGTTCCTCCTCTGCACCTTGTGCTCGTCACCCTCGGCGAGGAGCACGCCAATGCCCAGGATACGGCCGATGGACCAGCGGATCTGCTGAGGCTTGACAAAGTCGTAGTTCTTCGTCACGAGCACCTCGGCAAGGGTCTTGGGCGACGCGATCAAGAGTCTTTCTTGGTTGAATGGGCCAAGGTACCGGATCAGCCCGTTGTGCGGGATCGAATTGACCCTGCCGACAGTCAGCAAAAACCCGGGTGACTAAGGTAGGTAGGATGCCTCCAATAGATATTGAACGGAGGAATCAGGAGACATGGGAGGAAATAACATACCATTCCATCATGGGGTTCCCAGTCGGGAGCGATGTGATTGCTTTCCACTGGCCCATGAACAATGAATTGCCGTCGGGCTCTGGAAGGCCTCGCAGAGGCGAGAAGAGCTTCGGGTAGAGGATCACTGCCCAGACAACCCACGCCAGCAACTGGATTCCCAGGAGGCCCGAGAATGCGGCCAGGAACCCCGGCGCCGGCCATTGCGGGATTCGCCCTGACGACAGGAGGTAGGCACCGCCTAGAGAGGCGGCTGTTATGAGGCGGTAGGGGATCATGGTGGGCGAGACAGACACGCCGTGAGCAGGGCTGCGGTATAAGGTAGTCAAACACTGACTTGCCGAGACACGTAACGTCCAGCTAGCTGTATATCTCTGAATTGCAAAGTTGGTCCCCAACTTAATCGGCAATGCTAGCGATGCCGCTGTCGTCGCCTGCCGGCGACTTTCAGTTGCGCGAAGCCCTGTCAGAGACTTATGGAACTAGTAGGACAGAAGACGAGCCTGATTGTTACAACAGTTAACAGGGCCAACCTCTAGTTCAAGAGGACTCGCGGTGCTTCGAGGCTGAGGTCCCTTATTAATAACTATACCTGATGTAACCGAATGAAGTCCCAATCTACGGTAACTAGTACGGATCTACGCCGTTAAACCAGACATGGTTGATGTCGCATCCGCGCGGAGATATGGGCTAGAGCCTTAGCGCACGGAGCAAAGTTCTCGCCCCGGCTCCGTGTGATTCGGTCCAATGGGGACCCCCGGTCCAATGACTGAAGCTGGAATTCGATCGTCGAACCCTGGGGGGCGGACCTCGGCTGAATCATTGCTCCTGTGACAGGTTCTTGAAATCTGAATGGCATAGAACCGAGCGCGCCGGCATATATGTATGTATCCGTACTGTGGCAAGTTAATGTATTCCGCCGGATCCGATCCGATCCATGATCTCCGTCGTCGGGTTGATTCCATTAAGAAGGAGCCATAAGAATCCGTTTGTGCTGCCGACCGAGTGGGGCCTCTCTCGCCGGCGGCCGACATCAAAGGACTCAAACTCCACCGCAACGAGCCACACCCCATTCCTGCTGTCAATACACGTGAAGCGCCACATGGAAGATTGAGATGGGACAAACCCACACCACTGGCATGTCCTCAAGGATTTGAAGCTCAAGTGAGAAAATCACGCGGGCCGCCAGTGATTGGGTGTTGAAGTTCAATGTCAATGCGCCATCTCTCATGAGTCTCATCAGGGGCTGCTCCTTCCTCTTATTACAGCCAGAGTCAGATTATCTGATGTTTGCTCACAAGTTCAACACCTACCCAATGCAGGTTGACTTAGGTGAGGGCTCGACGCATGGCCTGAGGAAACAGTACCTAGGTAACGTTACCGCAAAATCTGTGCGCCCTTGCTTTAGCAGCCGGGTATGTGGACGGTGAGTCATCGTGGTCTGCCAAGTCAAAACGCCTGCTCTATATATCTTGACCTACACCATAAACCATACGACTTAGAGAACTTGAACAGAAAATCAATACTACCCGTTGAATCCCGGGTTTCACGCCTGCGGAGGACGTCGACGACGATCAAAGACGGCAGACATGGCCGCTCCCATACCGCCTCTGTCTGCCCCATCCACCGTTGAGGCACAACCAACTAAAGAGCACGCAGCAACAATGGAAGATGCAAAGCCAATTGAGTCACCGGCAGCGAGCGCGGGGCCGCCATTACCCCCAACCACCAACATCTCCATCGTGTCTGGATACCGCCCGGGTCTTATCGCCAGCACTCTGCAGATGCACATGGACTTCTACTACCCGACGGAAGGATGGGGCCGGGAATTCGAAGCGGGCTTGTCCACCGGCCTGGGGGACTTTCTGAAACGGCTGGACAGGCCGGTGAACCAGGTCTGGTCGGCCATCGTGACCGTGCCAGCAGCGGATGCGCAGTCAGCTCCGGTCGAGCGCATAGTTGGAACGGTGTACATTGACGGCGAATGTTCTGGCAAGGAGGGAGCCGCGCGGCTGCGCTTCTTCATTGTGGATGATTCGGCTAGGGGCCTGGGCGTCGGGGGGAAGCTCATCAGAGCGGCGATGGAGTTCGTGAAGCACTCGGGCTTCCGTGACTGCCACTTGTCAACGTTGCACAGCCTCACTGTTGCCAGGAGAATGTACGAGAGAGAGGGGTTCAGGGAGGTTGGCCAGGTGTGGTCCGAACAATTCGGGAAGGGCTTCATGGAGCTGAAGTATGTTTGGCATCGGCCTGATGAGAAGCTTGAGTGAGGACACCGGTCTATCGGTTTTCCAACTTCGCGTTTTAAAACGGTCAACAACGGCTCTGATAGCCAGGTAGATATCTATCGGCATGCTCTCCAAGCAAGCAGGTCTTATATAAGCCCGAGAGTGCCGGCATCCTTCCAGATATTTTTTATGTACCCAACATTTCCGCTCCATGTTTCAGGGGGGGATGCAATTGCCACACTCGCACCACCCAAAGCTCATATCGACCGTAAATCATCCGCCATGATCACCATTGTCCTCTCAAGAAACCCACGTCCCCATAGCTCCTAACCCCCAGCTTACCGCCCTCCAGGCGACCCATAGAACGCCCAAGCCCACAAAGCCCAGGACCAGTAACACACCGTCCCGGATCTCAAACGCCTCGGTAGCCTCCATCTTCATCAACTTCCGTTGCTTACTATGGTAATAATCCTCCGCCTCCCGACCTGCCAAAGCCGGGCTTCCCGCACTACCCACACTTCCCGGGCTTCCCGGACTACCCGGGGTCGCAGCTTGCTCAGAGACGGGCCGTCCCCGCTCATCGACCACGACATACTGGTAAGGGATATACCGGTAGATGATACGATGCAGCCATCGGGGGAGGCGGCTGCGCTGGTTGGCGTCGGCGTGATAATGACCGCGGATTGCCGAGTAGCGGAGGTCGACCAGGGCGAGGGAGAGGAGGAAGGAAATGAATAGGAGAGGGGTCATTATCAGCTGGTAGGTAGCTTGTTAGTCTGTTGTTGCTTTACTCGACGTGTGGGCTGGTTTGTAACGGGGGAGATCCGTAGAAAGGGGTGAAGAGATGTGTAAGTGGTCGTCGGTTAGTGAGAATAGAGGGGGATTGTCACTCCAAACGTGTACCCCAAAGGTATTGTACGTATGCAAGGTACTTACTTTGTAGATCGTGGATGGCTCCTTGGGACGCCGGGCATCTCCTTGATTGGCGCTAACGGGAACCGGCGGCGGCGCCATGGTGACCGATGCTCGGGGTGAACTTCGGAATACTAGTAAGTTTGATTCCGTGCGAGCGACCGCAAGCTCGCCGAAATGCGGCCGACCAGCTGAATGTGTTATAAAGTAAACAATGTATAGTATCGAACCAGAGGTAATTGGGCTTTGCTGGCCGAGTTGGGTGCCTTTGCCAACTGTCAGTGACGCGGCCGGCGCAAATGCACGAGGCTTCGTCTCGACGGACCAATGAAGGCGTTAAAAGAGGCCCCCAGGTGGATTATCGAGACCTGTCGGTTATGGCCGAAGTGGCATCTACGAGACTAATAGGAAAATGCCAGGTATTCGAGTCAATACAATATTAAGAAGCATGCCAGATTGACTATATTGGTTGCCTGGATTCTGCAGATCGGAAGTTGAGGTTCAAGATTGGATTGCCAATTTGTCATGCTTGGCCGTTTGGATGCCCCGCCATCCGTCGATCCCGTCGGGCCCCTGGAAAACACCTAGAGAGGCGAAGGGATCATCTTATCGGGGGATAAACTCCGTGATCACGGTTTGAAAGTGTCAACATACTTTTGGAATTTATCTTCGATTTTCCTAAGCATATGTGGCGCTTCGAACTTCCCATTCGGACCAATTCAAGGAAGAGCGATGCACTCAATCTCAACGTCAACCCCCTTTGGCAATTGCTTCACGGCGACGCAGCTCCGGGCGGGCTTGTGGACAAACCACTTGGCGTACTCCTCGTTCATGCTCTGTATCATAGTCACTCAGTGTACAGTCCAAGCGTTGTCCCGTAACTCGGGGTTGCTCACAGCGAAGTTGGCCATGTCAGTCAGAAAGACATTGACCTTGACGACCTTCTCGATGGAGGAGCCGGCCTCCTCGAGAACTGCCTTGAGGTTGCCGATGCAAGCGGCCGTCTTCTGCTGGATGGTGCCCTCAATCAAGGTGCCCTCGGCATCGCAGGGGATCTGGCCCGAGCAGTAGATGGCATTGGGTGTCTTGATGGCTTGGGACTTGAGAAAAGGGGTCAGTCAGAAGGATGTAAACAACAGCTTATGTCCCAAATCGTCGGGAACATACGTAAGGGCCAGCAGCTGCAACTCATATCAGCAATTCGCTCGTCAACGCAAGAGGGAAGCCGGTAACTTACGCGGGGCGGCGTTCTTGGTGAGGACGGGTGTGGCAGACATGTTGTGCATGCGGCGAGAGGTGCGGTTGAGAATTGGTTGTGGTGTTCTACTCAAATATGACCGAAATACAAGAGGGAAGGCTCGTCGGCCAACTACCGTGAACATAACAGAGAACTGAGTCAGCTACTACTACAAATCTCTCCACGGCGCGATTCTGGGCATTAATGTTGGCCCGTTTAGCTCCGTTCTTCGGACCACGGCAAGGAGGGGTTAGAGGCGGGTTACCGGTAACCCCGCCGACGCGGCCCGGCCCCGGGCCATTCGAGATTGGCGTTCACCGAGCCAGCCGTTGAAAAAAGCATACACTATGGATACGGTGAAGTGGATATGCATAGCTTTTGGTCTTACTTGGGAATATAGCCAATGTATGCACCAAAGACGCTTACACTGTCGCATCGTTTCTTTTAAGCCTGCGTATCAAGTCACAGCGCGAGACCGGCGAGTCCTGAAAGTGGCTCTCGCGATGCTGAAGCTTCCCGGAAGGGTAGGCGCTTGGACCACTCCTCTCCGTGGGTCGACTACGGACCCGGTTCCAGCTTACGCCAGGTGTCCAGAAAGCCTTCAGGCCCGGTGGAGCAGCTAATGTTGAGCTGAACCATCAGTGCGACGCAATTTAATACAATACTACCAATTCTTCCTTCTCCTTACCTCGTCCACGCGCCTTTTCAGCTTCTCTACTGTCTTTAATCTTCCTTTTGTAGACATTGGTTCGTTGACGGGTTTTGTTTGGGCATCAGCTCCCAATCGCTGTTGTTTGGCGAGGTAAGTCTTTGTCTCGTTGCGCTCGGACCATGGAATCCAGGGGAGACAATCAGCACTTCCCACGGCGCTCATGATTGCTTGTGCTGCTTGAACCGTTCAGTTGACACCTCAGTGCTCACCCAGCATACCTGCCATGGCCGCCACGTCGACGTCGACGCCCCCGGGCACATTGCGCCAAAGGAACGTCGGGTCCGCGACCAAGAAGGCCAAGGATGGGTCCTCTTCGGATGTCGAGCTTGACAAGCTCGTGAAAGCGGCCTCCGCGAAAGCCTCCGGCGCCAGCTCCGAACGCGACTACAAGGCCGTCTTCGTCGTTATCACTGCCTTGGCCTTCCTCACCAGATTCTGGGGGATCAGCCATCCCAACGAAGTTGTCTTTGATGAGGTCCACTTCGGCAAGGTGCGCCTCCTACCCTCGCCTTGACTGCCCCATTGGCCGCTCTACTGACGCCCGTCTTCCTCCGCAGTTCGCCTCGTATTATCTCGAGAGAACATATTTCTTCGACGTGCACCCTCCGTTCGGCAAGCTCCTCTTCGCCTTCATGGGCTGGCTGGTGGGATACGATGGCCACTTCCACTTCGAGAACATTGGCGACTCGTACATCGTGAATAAGGTCCCCTATGTCGCTTTCCGCTCACTGCCCGCCATTCTCGGTGCCCTCACTGTCTCGGTTACCTACCTGATCATGTGGGAGTCCGGCTACAGCCTCCCCGCCTGTATTGTGGCGGCCGGCCTGGTCCTCCTTGACAACGCCCACATTGGCCAGACACGTCTTATCCTACTCGACGCCACACTCGTCTTTGCCATGGCCTGCAGTTTGCTCTGCTACATCAAGTTCTACAAGCTCCGTCATGAGCCCTTCTCAAGGAAATGGTGGAAGTGGCTGATACTGACCGGCTTTGCTCTGTCATGCGACATCTCAACCAAGTATGTCGGCCTGTTCGCCTTCATCACCATTGGCTCTGCCGTCGCCATCGATCTCTGGGACCTCCTCGATATCAAGAGACCCGGAGGCGCCCTGAGCCTGCCAGATTTTGGCAAGCATTTTGCTGCTCGCGCCTTTGGCCTGATTCTCATGCCCTTCCTGTTTTATCTCTTCTGGTTCCAGGTCCACTTCTCCATCCTCACCCGCTCTGGGCCTGGAGATGATTTCATGACCCCTGAATTCCAGGAGACGCTCAGCGACAACATCATGCTCGCAAACGCCGTGACCATCGACTACTACGACACCATCACCATCAAGCACAAGGAGACGAAGGCCTATCTTCACAGCCACCCGGACCGGTACCCCCTGAGGTACGACGACGGCCGTGTCTCCAGCCAGGGCCAGCAAGTCACGGGCTATCCTTTCAACGACACCAACAACTATTGGCAGATTCTTCCTGCTGGTCCTGCCGAGGAGCCACAACTTGGCCGCCATGTTAAGAACCACGACCTCGTGCGGCTGCGTCACCTTGTCACCGATACCATCCTGCTGTCCCATGATGTCGCCTCGCCCTACTACCCCACCAACCAGGAGTTTACCACCGTCTCCATTGCGGACGCCTACGGCGACCGGGCTGCTGACACTCTGTTCGAGGTGCGGATCGAGCACGGCAAGAATGGCCAGGAATTCAAGAGCGTCTCTAGCCACTTCAAGCTCATCCATAACCCCAGCAAAGTGGCCATGTGGACCCACACCACGCCTCTGCCAGAATGGGGCCACAAACAGCAAGAGATCAACGGAAACAAGCAGATTGCCCCGAGCTCCAATGTGTGGCTTGTCGAGGACATCCCCTCACTTCCGGCCGACCACAAGCGCCGCGAGAGGCCGGAGAGGAAGGTCAAGACGCTCCCGTTCCTGCGGAAGTGGTTTGAGCTGCAGCGGTCTATGTTCTGGCACAACAACCAGTTGACCGCTAGCCATCCCTATGCCTCGCTGCCTTACCAGTGGCCGTTCCTGCTCCGCGGCGTCAGCTTCTGGACCCAAAACGAGACTCGCCAACAGATCTACTTCCTTGGCAATCCCATCGGTTGGTGGATTGCCAGCAGCGTCCTGGCCATCTATGTCGGTGTCGTATTGGCCGACCAGTTCTCTCTGCGCCGCGGCATCGATGCCCTTGATCATCGTAAGTATTGTTATGGGATGTTTGAACCAGACCCCGGCACTCGAGCTAACCAACAACCCAGGCTCCCGCTCGCGCCTCTACAACTCCACCGGCTTCTTCTTCCTTGCCTGGGCAACACATTACTTCCCATTCTATGTGATGGGCCGTCAGCTGTTCCTGCACCACTACCTCCCAGCCCACTTAGCCTCGTGCCTTGTCACGGGCTCGCTGGTTGAGTTCATCTTCAGCCAGGACGCCATCGAGCACGAGCTGGCCTACCAGGCCGCCAAGGCCGGCAAGAAGGTCGCAGCGCTCAAGCGCCACCTGACCGCCCGTGAGCGGTTCGCGGGCCAGAGCTTGCTGGCTTCCTGGATTGCGGCCCTTGTCATCCTCGTGCTTGTCGCTGCCAGCTGGTACTTCTTCCTCCCGCTGACGTACGGCTATCCCGGCCTGTCGGTTGACCAGGTCTTGAGGAGGAAGTGGCTGGGCTATGATCTGCACTTTGCGAAATGAACAGCTTCCGAGGGGAGATGCTTTATTGGATGTATCAATAAGGCTTGGTGTAGCTCTAGCGCAGGATTAAGCGTACATGACAAGAGAGTAAAGAGGTCGCCTGGGTTTGGCGCTGTTTCGGTGGCTATGGGATTTTGAAATCGGACCAGCAATCGGTCCCAAACCATAAAGGAATCAAAGCCTCACTTGCACTGGAGACTAGGACGCAGGATCGAATATTAGAAACAAATCACTCCAACCCGATATGTCCAGAACAATCACATATATCATTCTCCCGCTGTTCTTTGGACTATCTTGGTTTGGAGGTATAACATTTGTAAACAACCGTTGGGCCTAACGGAGCTCGAATGCTGTACTACCTCATCAAGATCCGACTACACTCTTCAGACAGGGAAGCCAGAATGGCAGGATATATGGTGCCACCTCTGTCGTTGATTTCGGCAGTCGGTTTGGTCGTTGACATTGAACCCAGCACTACACAAGACTCGGGACAAGTTAGCATAACTCGCACCATGCATCAGGCAAACGCCCCCATCAACCACGAAAGTTAAAAAGAAAGCAAAAAGGCCCTTCAGAAACCCAGATTATAAGCACCACCAACCCCACCGTCCAACTACCTCCCTCTCTCCCGCCTCCAACCCTCTGCCCCGCCAGCATATGACGATGCAAGCGTTCCCCCGGAGAGGAGCGGGCAAGGGAAGGAGGCGAAAAAAGAGGATAGACAGCAGGTCAGCCAAGGAGGCACCCACCCCCGATTCCCCCCTCAAACAAGCCAAAGGGCTAGAAGGAGGAGAAAAAAGGTGGGGTGGAGAGATAGCCCCGGGGCGGTTCAGACGGCTCTTCCTATTATGAATAAAACTTGAGGGTTGCAACCGGCGTTGCGAAGATCATCATGTAAACGGCGCTTTTTTGCTCTTTCCCCTCCCCCTTTTCCTTCGCGAGTGCGGGAATGAGGACGGGGGGGTGGCGTGAACAAGAAAATAAGGGTGAATAGGAACATACCTTACCAAGGGAAAGAAGGCCCTTGGTGTCCAGTCTCGCCGGTGAATCCGCTGAGAGCAACTGATTACAGAGTTAGGTACTAGCGGGGTCAACAAGCACCTATGATTGGGATAGAAAAGGCCGCCGTGATAGCTTGCCAGGTCCATAGCCGCCGAGCCATGTCGTGGACGTTTTCTGCGAGAAGTGATGAAAGGTCCCAATGAGGTGCAAGAGAGAGAGAGCAAAAATATGCGCGAAAGATGAGCTCCACCTCAGTTGCGCACGGACCACAACGTCACCCGGTCTGAGACTTTGAGCCGGTGTGGACTGTGGAGCAAACGATGAATCGTTCACCGGGAACGCTATCATAAGTTCCAGGTGGTTATGGTAAATTACCTGTTATTGGTACTACCTAAATAGAATAGGAAACAACAAGTTGTATCTTGCTTCAGCGTGACTCAGTACGTCCAGTTTGAAAGCTTCCAGTATTTGAGAGGAATCTACCGAGTAGTTCAAAAATACCCAACCACTGGGAAGATCACATCTCCCCCGAGAATTCTCCATGCGAAACAATATTCACCATTCCCTTCACCTGTGCTCTGCCATCTCTGCTAATGGAGAAGTGTCAAAGAAGCGAGGCATCAACAAGAAGCCAACGTAGAACACACAAAAATCAACTATTGAGATACAAGTGGAGACAGCGCGTCCTGAAGTGCATCCCCAGACGGATCCGCCGCACCATTCTCTCCGAATTGCCAACTCCCGCTTCATTACTTCATAACAAAACTTCATCTCTCCCTATTTTGTCTCCCCAACAAGAAGTCGCATCAGCGTTTGCGTCGTGGAGCAAGGGAAAACCTCATTCCCATCATACGGAACGGATACGCCCGCTCGGCGTCGGATCAGAGTTTGACCTCATGGCAGCGCATCACACTTAGTAGGGGATATAAGCGCTGAGATCCTGCGTCGACCAATCGATGTTGAGGGCATTCAGCAGGTCTTGAGACGACGGTTGAGAAAGCCCGGTACCCATGGTTGGGACGTCGGTTGTGGCGAACAGAGATTCGTTGTACATCGGCTTGGAGACACCATTGTTGGGGAACAGGATGAAGTCACCACCGTTGACAGCATTGGCGATTGCAGCAAACTCGTTGTTATGTTCATCGAAGCCCTCGTCCAGCTCAGCCAGAGAGTTGGGTGTATAGAGCATGGCATTCCCTTGCCCAGCGGGGGAAAGCTGAGCCGGGTGAGGTTGGCACAGCTCGGCCGCAGTGTATGACATGTACTGCGGCGCAACATCCTTGTGATAGATGTGGGAGTGTAGTGGAGGCGGAGTCGGAAGCTGAACGGGAGCACTGTAAATGTCCTCATACATCGTGAAGTCTGTCGCGACATCCTGGTAGGCCGAGTTGTGGTCGAGGCCAGAATCGGTGGACGGAGTGGGGTTGTCGATGGGGGAGTAATCCAGCGAAATCTCCTGGGGCATCATGCTGAAGTTCGCATCGTTGGGAATATAGGTAGGGAAGTCGAGACTGTTTCCGTAAACCCGGTTCCAGTCGTCAGGAGGTGTGGCCACTCCCACACTATGATCGCTAGGAGGAGTTGGGATGTTCTGGAGCTGGGGGGTCGGCTGGGCGGAGTTGCCAGCGATGCTGGAGCCAGACTTCTTGCCGTTTGTCTTGGTGCGGACATAGGTCCACCCGTGAGCCTTCTCCATGTGCTGCTTGCAGTTCGACTCCCGCTTGGACTTGTACGGGCACGGCTTGTATAGGCACTCAAACATCGGCGGACTGGATGAGTGCTTGTCATTGTGGTGGCGGTCCATCTCCTTCTCGGTGGGCCACCCGTACTCGTGGTACTTGCAAGTCGGGACGGGACACTTCCATGGGCGTGAATGCGTCTTCTCGTGCTTGGTCAGGTCGCATGGACGCTTGAACTCCTTGTTGCAGCCCGGCTCCCGGCACTTCTTTGGAGCGAGCTCCTCAGGGCTAGCATTCTTCTTCCGCCTAGCCATGGATCGCATGATCTCCTCTTCATCTACTAGCTCCTGGCTGGCCGAGCGCTTGAATCTTGTCACGGCATCAGGCTCCTCATCGATCTTCTCGATGACCTCGCCCGTGGCCATCGAGATCATCTTCCCGTTCTTTTTGACGCGGACGAGCTCGGCAGGGCGTCCATTGATCTGAATCCCGCCATGGAGCTTGATCTCATCAGTGCTAGTCAACGCGTTAGTGAGGGCGGGATGTGAGACCAAAGGGGGGAGTCATACGGATCCACATCCATCTCGTTCTGGTCGCCCTTCTCCTTCGCGTCGGCAAGTTGCTGGGCGTATTGCCGGATTTGATCGACGAGGTCAATGAAGTAACCGTTGCTGTAGGGAACGTCGCAGGGGCGAGTTTGTTCGCGGTCGCTGAGGTATTCAACAGTCGCTTGGATGCATCGGATCGTCGTGAGGCAGAAGTCGAGATAGAGTCCAGCGGCCTTGGCCCTCTCCTTTAAAACCAAGGAGCGGTAAGTATCACCCCTCACACTTGTGTCAGCCATGAGCTCACTTACTGGAGCGGTTAACAGTAGAGTCTTCTCGAGGTCTCTGAGGCAGACAATCTCCTTCTGCTGGATCTTCCTAGGGCACTCGAGCAAGAGGGGGTGGAAATCTTTGAAGCCGGCATTTCCAAGGAGCGGCTTGAGGGTGTGCTCGCAGATACGGCTAGTAGCCCGAGGGCCAAGGCCGACAAGACTGCCGGCATCGGTCGTGCGAGCGGCAGCGGACTTAGTAACTGCGGATACCTTCACCGTCCTCTCCTTCTTGACGGCGGCGTCTTTCTCTTTGGTCGAGGCGATAGAAGTGCCCAGGCCGCTGTCCGAGTCATGGAAGCGGGAAGGACGGCGCGTTCGGGGCCGGAGCATCCGGCGCTCGGCCGGCTGCTCCTTAGCCATAAGCGAATCGAGGGTGTGATCAAGCACTCCTCGTGGAAGAGGAAGAGTCTCGTCTCGCAGGGTCTTCTTGCGCGCGGGGACGGCAACCGAGTCGGGCTTGGAAGAACCAGCCAAGGTCTTGTCAATGTCACCGAGTGTTAAGGCAACACGGCGGCGGTGAGCATCGATGACATCGTCGAGGTTCGTTTGGGATCGACGGGGCAGCGGCGGCGGCCGGAAGACTCTCTCAGGCGACTCAGGAGGGGTTGTGGGAGAATGGAAAGTTGCACCCTTCTTGAGGACCATGTTGGTCTTAACCGTGAGGCCCCTCGAACCCGAGCGAGTCACCGGAGTTCTACGAGGGTTGGAAGACATGATTGCTGGTAGTGGGGGAACCCCCGAGCTTTGTGGCAATCGATGGGAGACTGCGTCAAGTTCTCGGGTCAGCGATCAATGTGTTCATCGTAGGGCTTGAACGACACTGGGTTCATGAGTCACAGTCGACTTGCAGCACCCCATGCAGTAGTCTTTCAGTCCGTCCCTCGGACAATCGGATAGGTTGTATAACAGTGAAGGATTGAAAAGAGCAGTGCCAAGGATGAGAAGGTCATGAACCTACCAAGCTTGTGAAGGGACGCAGCGACAAGCGCCAGGGACCCGAAACGCAGCTGGAATCAGGACCTGGCGAAGGAGCGATGGATAACGGATAGAAGTAGACAATGTCAATGTCAGACAGAGTCGCGTCGAAGGGGAGAGAAGTCCTATAACAAAGGGGCGGCGACAGAGGCTTGTCGGATGGTTTCGCCGTCTGAGCTCAATCGTGTATTCCTTGCAGTTCCAAAGGAAAGACACTGCCGGTGGTCAGTCGGATGGCCTGAGGCGAAAGTTGTCAAAAAGGGGGGAAAGACACGGAACGCGGGCGACAAAAGACTCGGGAACGGGAGGCTCATCGCGAGCCGGGCTCTGGAGAGATGATGAGAAATGCGGTGGTCTGTTCAACGCTGCTGCCTGCTCTGACGACAAGGGTCCCCGGCAAAAGTGGGGCGAAGGCAGGCGCAGCAAGGACGGCCATGGTTATCCATTGGTCGAAAATGGATCCTTCGATTGCGATGCTGCACGGTTCTCAATGAGGCCCTGTTCATAGCGCCTGGTTGTCTCAAAAGTCCCAGGACCGATGTCTCGGGCAGCGGCTGCTAAAAGGGAACTGCATCATTCCGGCTTGAGCTGCAGGTCTGTGTAGGTACACTGGTAGCAGCCGACATGTAGGTACTGCAACTGTTGTTCCCACAGTTAGGTCGTCCAAGGACTCCCGTCACAACCCGTCCTCGCTCCCTGGCATTTGAGGACAGCCTGATGGCCTACACTAGAGAAGGAAGAGCGGACAGAGATCGAGCCAAGAATGCGGCAAATGTCAAAAACGATTCAAGAAAGAGCCGCGGGGCGAATGACGAACGTTGCGGTGCTGGAGGTTGGCAACTAGCTGTGGAAGAGACACGTCAACTGTCCGGCGTGCCGACGCACCTACCACCAACGCCGCAATTCAACTCGTTGGCGCTATCCGAGTTATTTACGGCAAGTCCTTTGTGTTTGGTTATATCTACAGTGGGTGGTATGGGCCACAACAGCTTCATGACTGCCCGGCTCAAGTGGCTCAGCCGTCACCCTGCAGCCCTCCTCAGTGCATAACCAACTGCTGCAGGAAGCGGTGGCTGCACGGCTCCTCCCAACCCGTTTATTTACAGCCGCTTCCTTCTCATAATCTTGATTGTTAAGAAGGTTGGATCCCTCTGGGAGTCTCGCAGTCAAAGGAGCAAGTCAGGCTGGCTGGTCTAACTTTCCCTGACGTCCGATGTCCCCTTCGGCAAAGCAACCTAAAACCCATTAACGTTAACCTACGCTGGGGTCTGTGGCCCATGTCGGAGAGAGTGGCGCCCACGGGCTCAGCCAACAGTATGGGAACTGGAACGTTTGGAAGTGCAAACGGCAATAGACCCAGACTTTCATCCGTCTCCCTACCGGGGTACCGGGATGGACACCAGACACTTCTGTAGCGCGCAGTGGATTGCGGTACAATGAAGGTATATACGCACAGCGTGGTACATGTTGTGTACTAGTACTTACCTGTATATGCATTGGTATACGCTACACATCAGTGTTGGCGGAAAACGTCGACGGGGACATGCAGCACTGCGGCTTGGGGACAAGAACCAGACCAGTAGGGCAGGGTGCGATGGGTTGATTGCCGTAGCCACCGTGCCACCTGAAGCGACTCTGGTACATACGGCCCCCGGCCTCCTATCGAAAGGACCAGTTGGCGAGAGAAGGAAATCGAAAGCTGACTGGCCGACTCTTCTCCATGCTCTCTTCCGGTAGCAAACGAAACCGGACTCCCAATCAGCTGCAGGACAACAGCATCTGAATGCAGCTGACCACGTCGACTTGCACATCAACAAAAACCCGTCTTGACTCCTGAGAGTTTGAGGACGGGCGGGCCCCGAGACGGCAATGGTCGGCGGAGAGCGGACCGGCAACCCCACAGGGTGCGGCGATTGGGTGGGAGGTGGCCATGCTGTCCTGCAGTGTCCGGGTGTTCCAGTGTTACCCCTCTCGGTCTCGTAGGGCTGGCCGATCTGGGCCGATCCATCTTGGGGGTGGGAACGGATGGGAGACCGGGACTGCGAGAGTCTGCCTCTTATCTCTAGCTCTGTCCCGCGAGAACCGCGCAAGGCACGCATGCAGAAAGCAAGAAAGTGGTGTTCATGACTCCTCCTATGAGCCACTCATACGCTGTTGTTCGCTCGCACCACGCAAACTAGCCAAGCCGCCGTTTTTCCGGTTGGGACTCTGGGCAGCTCACCCGCGAGTCGATCTCGCGCATCCACTTCACGGTACACAATGTACGGAAGCCGGCTCTTGCGTCAAGCCGAAGGGACAGGAACACGCACGTCAGCCCTATGGGGGGCACATCTTCCGACGAATGAAATGGCAGGGAACTTGGGGGGCCTTGTGCCCAATGGTGAATGCCTAGGGAAGAAGAACGCAACGTGCACGGCCAGCTTTTGTCGACGTAGGTATGTAGGTCGTTCTCTCTACATGCATACTTTACCCACTTGCCAATCAGGCAACTGAATTCTGTTCTACCCGTTCTCTCCTCTGATACCTGTGATCATTCTGATGAGCGGGGTCCGGCATCGCAGGTAATACGTATCCGTAACCAAACATCGGTGAATGAACGCGTATACATGCAATCATTCATCTGAGATAGTCTCAACAGAAGAGGTGACGGAGCAGTTACGTTACTGGAGGCAACAACATCTTTCCCCCCTCCCCCCCTCTGTGGTCTTATCAGCACGTATCTTCAAGGCAGCAGGGAACGGTGCAGGACGCAGCTGGGTGCCCCCAACGAGCACTTGCCGTCGTTGTTTTGTGTACTAGCTACGCTTTCTCGAAACAACATGGCCGAGACGGGATGTCTCGAACGACCAGTTTGGACCTGCCCGCAGTATCCAGTGCATTCCCGGCCGGAAACGGTATTTCCCTGAACTCTTTGCCCCGCTCGCCCACCCTTTCCGTGCTCCCACAATTCGTCAGCTCTACCCAACTGTCTCTTTTTTTTAAAAAAAAATTGAAAAAAAGAAAAGGAGAAAAAAGCCTGCCGAGTTAAGTCAATCTTAGGCTGCTGTTCTTACCTACACCTGGTGAACTCAAAGTCTCCCTCCCATCTGGGGCGTAGGTAAAACCCTCCTTCACACCCAGATCGACTCCAACAGCGCCAGGGGGCGGTCTGCTAGAGGGGCGAGACATGAAGCGTAGGACCGCAGGATTCGTCCGGCGCCAGGGGCGAGACAGGCATGTAGTCGTCGGACACCGCCCGCACCGCCCGCCTCGAGCCTCTGTGCGGCGGCGTGCTGACCGTGGTGTTTACCCTCAGCTTACCGGGACCACCACCACCACGACGCTGGGCACGCTTTGGGTTGTAGGACGGCGGCGGCATCGCCGCGGCGGAAAAGGCATACGTGTTCCCACCGCTCGGCCTGGTGTCCATCATCTGTGCCGTTCGTGGAGCACGATATTGCTGCTGCCGGTGCTGGGCAACCGCGTTCGTCCTGTCTGGACCAGCAGCCCCTCTCTTAGGATGAGCTGTTCGCTGCTGTGTAGTCTGCCTGCCGTCCTTGTTGACCCCGTTGCGTCCAGAGAGGCCAGGGGTGTGTTGGCGCGCGGGCCTGGCCAGGAGAGGCGTCGAGTGACTAGTAGTACTGGTGTCCTTGGGTTTGCCACCACCGCAGCAGAGACTGAGAAAAGTGCAGGAAGCGCTGCTCTTCTGTCGGGCGGGCCTGTGCCTCTCGTCCATTTGATGGATGTTGTGCTCTTGTCGTCGTGACTTTGAGAGTATCTTATATAAGTATAGGTAGTGCAAAGTGTCTCCGTGGACTGGAATTAGGGAGATTAAGTTGGCTTTTTTTTCTAAGGTCAAGTTCCTGTTGTTGCCCTTCGATGTACGACTGTGTAATGCCCACGTCTCTTAAACCAGTGAAAATAAACGGGAGACTGATGTACCTGCCCATATCAAAGAATACGAGGCGACGAGAATGCATTATTTGTTGCGATAAACAGCGGCGTCACTCACCAACAATAGGACAATGAATCTGTTCGTCAATGAGGTCCCTCTTTGTCAACGGAGCCAACTCGCATTGTTCGGTTCGATATCAAAAAGGGGAGAAGCAGTCACGAGGAGCGGTATTAAAGGAATTGTCGCTCCCGTTCGTTATAGGACTTACTCGAGAGCACAATGGAACTCTCTTGACGAGTAACTCAACTCGGCAGGCTTTCGTTGAGTGGGATAACCTGGGTGGGAATCGTCTCAAGTATGAGCCTCGCCTGCTCTCTGTTTCAATGCTGGGCATTTGTGAAGAACACGAACACCAGTAGCAGTAGAAGCAAAGGTGCTACCCGGAGTGAAATAGTGCCAGGTCAGCCCAAAGAAGAGTACTTTCGCGAGGAAACTCTGCAATACCTTGAGGGCGACACTAAGATTCTTGACCAGTTGCCTGCCGTGCAAGGCCGGGCTCTTCACGAGGCCCTGAAGTCGAAGACGCGACTTGTTCGCCCGAAGAAGCAGAAGAACAAGATGCCAGCCGACACCAACAGCACCACCGAGACAACAAAGACCCGGTGCCTGCGACCTATATACGACGGGCTGAGAAGCTCTCCGCCGTGGAGCTCGGCAGGTCATGAGGCTCATGTGTGGAAGCCGTACGCCGGCCCTGCTGTTTTCGACTCGAAATCAATAATCGAGGACCAGCAGTGCGTCGACCATAACAACGCCGCTGCTGAGAACTTACCCAAAGACGATCTCGGTACTTACCACGCTCTCAGCACCACCACCAGCTGCTCAGACCCCCCTTCTCCATCGCCGACACAACCCCCAAGTCTAGAGTACGCCACCGTCGCAATCCGCTACACCCCGAAGCTAATAACCATGACCCGCCGCCGTTGTTCTCACCAAGACAGCAAGCCAACACCCCACAAATCACCCCGCAAGGCTAAGCATCTCACTAGTACCAGCGGCCGTCTGCCTCCAGGAGGAGCAGCAGCAGGAGGAGGAGGAGGATCAAGGCAGCAACAGCAGCAGCAGCAGCACTACACAACCCGCGAAGCGGCCCTCATCCTCCACACTCTCCGCACCCACCTCCTCCTCCTCCCCCACCCACCAGACTCCTCCTCCTTCTCCTCCTTCTCCTCCTTCTCCTCCTTCTCCTCCTTCTCCTCCTTCTCCTCCTTCTCCTCCTTCTCCTCCTCCGATAATGATGATTCCCTTTCCGCAGGACATATGACCGCAAGCCTGCTCCTGCGCTGGCCGTCCGTGCGCCGCGCGCTCCCCCAGCGGAACCCTCTGCTCGCAGCACAAGTCAACGCGCTCAACTGGCGCGGGGTCGAGCGAGACTTAGCCGCGGGATCCTTCGCGAGGCGGTGGGTGGAGGGGTTGGTGCGTTCGGGCAGGGTGCTATTCCCGTTCCCGCCTGGCGGTGGCTCAGCAGGAGGAGGAGGAGGGCGGGAAAGGGTGGAGGAAAGGGAGGAAGGGGAGGGGGGATGGGAGGTGGTACAGGATGAGGAAGGGGAGGAAGATAGGTATAATAATATATCTCTCTACTGATGCGGAAAGCGAGGAGGGGCGCCGGGGCATTGGTGACGGAAGGGGGTGCGGGATGCAGGATGCAGCGGCAGGTAATCATTCTAAGGACGGAGAGTTAACGGGGAACGGCCTTGGAGAGAAAGGAAAGGGAATGAAAAGACGGGCCTCAAATGTGCGCTCTCGAACTGGTATCACGGCCAAGTGGCGCGCACAACCACCCTAGCAATAGTAAGGTAGCAAAACTGGACAAAAGCATGATCCGTATCATATGCTGACTGCCAAATGTTATAAAGCAAATATACATACCCCGGGTATCATTGGGCTACTCCATAAGTGCTTACTTATTACAGAGCCCGACCGACAGTGCTTTTGAATTCGAGCTAACCAGCAAATCCGCCAAAGGGCTCTAAGGGGGAAAAAAAGGGGAGCATCATTCATCATCATCGCTATCGGCAAGTACCTGCCGCCTCCTTTTCGTTGGCGGCTTGCGCGGGGACGGTTGAGACGGCTCATCAGCGCTATCCTCGTCCTCCTCCAGATACATTGTCCTCGACTTGGCTGAATCCGTTGCTTTCTTTGCCGATGTGCTCTTCCGAGCGACCAGTTCGGCCAGATCGGGCATCTCGTCGTCGTCTGTTGTTGTGTTCTGCGTCGGATCAAACTCCATCGGCTCGTAGAAAGGCTTCTCGCTAGCGGTGCTGGCCTGCCTTTCGTCCTTGTGTCTCAGGCTGAGACCGGACGAGCCCGGCGTGGTAGGGTCGGTTGATCGTTGCCGGTTGCTAGACGAGAGGAGCACATCGTCTGCGACGATGAAATCGTCTAGATCGGCACCACTGTCAGAGCCATCTGTATCTTCAAGGTCGCTGGTTCGGGTGCAGTCGTCCCCCCAGTCTTCGAGATGATCGCCCAGTCGCTTGAGCGTCCCTCGGCCTTTCGTCGCCCCTGGCCGCCCTCGGCCACGCCCACGGCCACGCCCACGGTTTCCTTGTGCCAAGACCTCTTCGGCTTCCGTGTCCGTTCCGTCCTCATCTTCTTTCTCATCATCTTCTTCTTCGTCGACCTCTTCGCAACCGCTGGAGAGGTTCTCTTCCGCTCTACGTTTTTTACTAGCCCTGCTTTTACCTGCCTGTCTGGATACCAGCGACTTGTGGCTTTCCACAGTTTGGGCAGCCTCACCGTCTGGTTCATCTGCGAACGCCATGACCGGCAGTTGCTCCCATGATGTTGCGTTTCTCTCGCTATACACACAGGTGAACGGTTTCGACGCATCTTGGTACTGGCCTAAAGCTCTAAATAGCTTCACGCACCTCTTCGTGTACTCACCATGCTTTAGGTTCACAGTACGACGGAGCACCCGCTGGGCAGCCGGATGGGCGCCAAGGTTGAGATCATCGAACCCGAGCTCATGCACTTTGTCCAGGCGGCTTCCCGGGAGGCTTTTGTACAGCCTCTCAAAGCGGTCCGCTTGCGACTTGCTCAACAAAACTTTGTCCAGTTCAGGCACCTCGGCCAGGAAGTCGGTTTCGGCCGGCTGCCTGGGGGCTTTGGCAGTCTGTCCCACGGGTCGGCCGAAGAGCGAAGCCTTCATGAAGCCAGTTTCCACGCCGTCGGGCATATTGAACTTCTTCTTGGCTGGCTTCTTTCTCAAGCCCGCCAGTGTCTTCTTGGGCTCCGGCAGAGACGTGTCTTGGGAGTTCTCGATGGGGATATCGACATGCCGCTTCTCAACCTCAGGCCTGATGTCGCGCGGCATAATCCTCACGGAGAGGTCGTGGCGGAAGGAGAATCTGTCACCGTTGCAGATGAGCTGCTGCATCTTCTCGTAGTTGTCTTTTGCTTCCAGGAACTTCTCCTCTTCCTTGCCCTTCATCAGCAGTAACACGATGTTCCCTGCCCGCTTTCTCCCAGTACGGCCCATCCGCTGCAGCATGCGGATCGGCGAGGCCGAGGCGTCGTAGCAGACGATCAGGTCGACCTGACCAATGTCTAGACCCTCCTCGCCGATGGAGGTGGCGACGAGGACATTGAAGCTGCCGCTCTTGAACCTCTCTATGGTCTCGATCTGCTGCTTTTGCTTCATGCCCTCACTCCTCTTCGAATCGGCCTGACCGACAAAGACGGTGGCTTTGATGAGCGGCTGAGTGTTCAGGAAGCGGACAATCTCCTCGGCGCTGTCGCGGTACTCGCTGAAGACAATAGCTCTCGTGTTGGAGCCTTCACCGGCGTCCATGAAGTGGTTGACGAGCGTCTCGCACAGATAGGTCAGCTTCGGGTGCCCGTTGAACCCTTCGAGCTTCATCCAGCGCTCAATCATGGACATCATCTTCTGGAAGTGTTCGTCACTAAGCAGTTGCCGTTTGAGTTTCGAGCCTTGTCCCGGCTTCCCTTCCTCAGTGGCCCTGAATTCGGCGAGGCTGTGGTAGAAGGGCTTGATCCCGTGGAAGGTGAGCAACTTGATGGAATGGGCCAGGCTCTGCAGGATTCCAAACACGGCCATCATCATGAACTTTGTCCCCTGGTTCACGTGCCTGCCGGGCCCTGCCATCCACTCGTTTCTCGACTTGAGCAGACCGTACGTCGTCAGGCTCATGGGATCTCTGCCGAAGTAAATGTTTTGCGAACTCAGCTTGTCCACCAGGGGCTTTAGGGCCTTGGAGAACAGGCTCTTCACCTCGCTCATCTCGTCGGAGGGGTCAAAGGTCACCGTGTCGATGTTCCGTGAATGGACGTATTGGCGGATATCGATTGACTCTTCGGTCCTGATTTCCACGTGGGCGATGCCCAGGTTATCGATAATGTCCTGCACACCCTCGACCGTCGACCCGGGGGTGGCTGTTAGGGCGAGGACCCGGAAGCTGTTGGAGAAGCGCCGGATGAACTCGACAACCTTGACATACGCGTAGTCCCCGGTTGCACGGTGAGCCTCGTCGATAACAAGCAGCACAATGGATTTGGGATCCGCGTACCCTTTGGAGAGGTCGTTCATCAGAGTCTGCGGGGTCATGAAGAACAACCGCTTGATCTTCCACTCCGCCTCCCGCAAGACCGGAGGCGTCTCGCCCGTCAGGAGAGTCGCCTGGGACCGGGGGATGCCGGCCACGTTGAGACAGGCTTGGACCTGCTGAGAGGCCAGCGGCTTGGTGGGCGCCACGAAGACGATCTTGGCACGCTTGGTCCAGCGAAAGTAGTTGAGCATGACGGTCGCGGCGATGAAGGTCTTGCCCAAGCCGGTCGGCAGGGCCACCAGCGTGTTGTTGAAGAGGCCATTCTTGACGATGTTGAATTGGTAGTCTCGAATTGGCCCGAGATTCAGGGGATAGACCCAGACTGAGAGCTCATGATGGTTGAGATCATGGTGCGTCGGCGCCTCCTGGGGAAGGTCGGCGCGGAACGGGCGACCGGTCTGGGCTTGCGATGCTCCGCCGCTGTCTTCCTGTAGCGCGTTTCCCCTCAGGGTAGTTTGACGGAAGTTCTGACGCGCGGCCGACGATCCCTGTGCGTGCGGTCTGCCGCTGAGAGCACGACTGGGCCTCTCGGGCGGACTGTCAAGCGCGTCTGCCGCGCTCCCTGAGGTCCAGGCTCTGTTGCACGAGGTAGGAGCACCGACGATGCGCGTTGGACGTGGCGGTGGGGCGGCCCGGGACAGAGACGGGGCGGTCGTCGGGTTGACCGTCGGAGCAGATGGCCTCGAATGCCCGGATTGAAGGTCGGCTCGGCGCGTCTCGCGCAGGCTCCTCCCCTCGTCCAAAGACGTCGCTGCGGCATCGGTAGCTTGAGTGAGCGCTAGGAGCAGGTCCTCGTCGGAGATGTCGTCAAACTCATCGTCATCCATTATGCTAGCTGAGTGTGGGTTGTTCCAGCCTTCTAGGTTGGCTGCGACAGCCCAAAATCGACGTTCAAACTGCGCGCCACATCAGACGGTGGCCCAGTCGAGCTCTGTTGATCCCGGGCCTGGTTTGTTGGGTGTGCGGAGTGAGATGGTGGCCGAGGGCAGCCGCTGTGAGATGCGACGGGGGTTGGCGATACCGCCAGTTCGTATGGTCCCTTCCCAGGGTCAGATAACTTCAGATAACGTTAGAGCTGAAGAAGACGCGACGAAATGAGGATGTAACGCGCGTCAAGGCGCCAGTCCACGTGACTTGCGGCTTCTCCGATCGTGGTTGTTCCAAATGGACCTATTAGCAACAGATTGTACTCTGTAGATGCCCTCCCCGGGCTGCCACTGTGTGAAATTAGGTGCTAGGTAGGTACCTTATTATATAAGGTACCTGTAGTTCTGCCGTGGGTTCCCCAACCCATCGTACGGTGGGATCATGTCGTGCTGAAATCGAAGAGCTGGGAAACCTGAGATGCAAGGCGGCCAAGCACGGCAAGACTGCCCAAGCCCACAGTGCCCCACCTTAGCTTCACATGCAAGGTGGGGCGTGGTTAAACGGGCAGGTTGCTCTTTCCTACTTGGTCCTTACTAACTTTCCATACGCGTTGCAGTTTGTTCGTTGTCTCCAGTTCCAACGTCGTTGTTTCTGATTCAGTTCACTATTGTGCATCGCGCATTCCACATTCGACGTCCAGAACTTCCAGTACATGCTGTTTACCAGAGTTCAAATCGGCTACTCGAGATCGGAGCAGGTGCATCTGAATCAGAATTTCGCTCTTCACAACCATGGCTCCTCCCACAGGTTCTCGCGCCGGCCACAGAGGCAGGTCTGCCCCGCGCGCTTCTCGAGGTGCCGGAGTCGGAAAGCACCGCGCCGCGCACAGGACGGATCAGGATGGTGACATCGCGATGGATAGGGCCACTGCCGCTACTCGTTCCGCCCGGGGGAACCGCGGTGTCCGAGGTGGCAGATCGGCCCGACCGTCATCGCGCCTCACACAGAACGTCATACACTACGTATCAGAGAGCGATGGCACCAGCCGCAACTCAAAAGTACATCTGGAGAAAACCACGCTCAAGATCAGCGGGCTCAAGGACAGCAAAGCGGCCAACAACCCAGACGGCGGGCTTCGATCTCTTCTAGACTTCCTGGAGCGCAAGTCGTCCAAGGAACGACCGATCACCCTCGGCAGAGTATGGCCCTCTCCACTCCCAGTCCTTCTGTTGCATCCTGGTACAGTGTCCTAACCCAAATCAGGGAGTTATTCAAGGGCAACATGTCTTCGTCAAGGTTTCGAGAGATGATGCGCCACACGTATTACGGTTGAATGGCTTCACATACGCCGGAGCTCCATTGACGATCGAGGTAGCCAACGACCCCATGCCGGGACCAGGCGCTCCCTCTACGAACGACTCGGACGGCAAAGCCGCCGAAACGAAGCAGAAGCTCATTGCAGTCTTGGCTTCACGATACGATGCCCAGCAGAGACTACTCAACCTGGCAGCCCTAGGGTCGGATCCTACCCTTATCAGCATGGGCAGCTTTGCCACGACGTCCCTGGCGGAGAAGTCATTTAAAGCACTTCTCCACCTAACAAACACCCAATACAAGAATGCCGCCGAGAAAGAGGCCGCTATCCAGGCCGTGTCGCTTGCAAGTAACGACATCGTAGACGTTGGCGCCGTCTTCACGTTGGCCCGTACCCTGCCACGTCTTCGCCGTCTGGACCTGAGTGGCAACAAGCTCGAGGACCTCTCCAAAATCTCGAAGTGGCGACATGAATTCCCGTACTTGGAGGAGCTCCATCTTGTTGGAAATCCAGTTGTCGAGCTGCCGAACCATCGCGCTCAAATTATCGACTGGTTTCCCTCATTACAGATTCTGAACGGCGAGCGGGTTAGGACCCTCGGAGAGGCGACCGAGAATCTGAAAGCTTTCATTCCGACGCCACTACCGAAGCTCCCTTCGAACATCCGGGACGGGTCGAACAACGTCGCCGCCACCTTTCTCCACGGGTTCTTCTCTCTTTACGACCACGATCGACGTTCCCTTGCCGCCCAGTTTTACGACAACGAGTCAGTGTTCTCCATCAACACCGGCGCCGGCTCCGTTGACTCAGAGTCATACAACAAATACTCCCGCGACATCGCTAAGCTCGGTGTCCGGAACCCCAGGACCCAGCAGAGGTTGATCACCGGAGTCAACCTCATCTCCGAGCTCTGGGTTCTGCTGCCTCCCACACGGCATCCCGGTCTGGACCAGCCCGAACAGTGGCTGGTGGACTCCCACACCTTCCCCAACCTCCTCGATCCTTCCGGCCAGTCCTCCGCAATCGGCCTGACGATTAATGTCGTCAGCCAATTCGAAGAGCTCGACCCGGGTCAGCAGCCGGCGGGCATTCGCAAGTTCGCGCGGTCTTTTGTTCTCGGTCCCAGCAAGCTGGGTGCTACGCACCCCTACCGAGTCGTCAGCGACGAGCTGACGTTAAAAGACTGGACGCCGCATCAAGCCAACGTCGCGATGCCCGTCCCCGTCGCGCAAGTCCCCGCCGCTCCCATCGCGGCGGCTCCTCCCGTCACGGCGGCGCCTCGTCTCCTGGACGAGGCGACGCAGACGTTGATGGTCCAGGAGCTGTCCAAGCAGACCGGGATGAACGCCGAGTACTCTCGGCTGTGCTTGTCCGGTCCCGCGGACTGGAATTTCGACTTGGCTCTCAAGTCGTTCCACGAGAAGCGGGCCGAGCTGCCCCCGGAGGCTTTCGTCATGTCTGCATAGTCTGCAGACTACGACGAGATGGACATCGACGAGAAGGTCGTCGATGAGATGGACGTCGACGGGTATGGATTATTGTTTGTCCATTTGTATTCTGACCAGTACTGACAACGGTTCCGGGGAGTGAAAATCAAGGATTGATTTGGGATTGAAAAGCGAACTTGCGTGTTTCAAAGCGTTTGTTTTTGCGGTCGGGTCAAAAGCGTTTGTTTTCGGTTTTTTGTCTTTTTGTATGTTCTTATTTTCCCCGGGAACAGCCGGGCATAGAGCGGTTTTGGGCTTTGTCTTTTCTTTTCTTTTCCTTTTCTTTTTTTTCCTCCTTTGTTTTGGGAGGACTGGGTAGGAGAGCGTTTGTTTTTCGTCATGAATTTTGTGGAGCGACTATATCATATGGCTTTTGCTTTTGGGACGGAGTTCAGTTGGGCATAGAATGGGTTGTTTTTAGATTGTTAACCAAGCGTGATACCCAATTCAAGTTTGTACTTGAACAATACAATACAACACCGCCAAGGCGGCCACTCTCTACTCGCATCAAACCACTGAATGATGAACCCCTCCCCGCGGTGACGTGGCGGACTGATTGAGCCCCGAAGCAGAGGGACTCGGTGTCAATGTCGCCGTCCACGGTCGGTATAGAGTGGCGGTATGTATGTACTGGTCTCAGGCAGTATTGAATCTATTGATGCTGTGTTCAGGTCATGGCTCCAGAGTCCAAGGGACTAGTAGCTTACCTTCTTAACACGTTTGCCGCCTTCACCAGGTCTGCATTTTTCTTCCAGGTTATATGCTTCCTAAGGCGTCTAGCGCAATCTCTCTGTTTATGATCTGTCCTCACAACCTCCAAAAAAACGAAGCCATGGCCAAGCCAAGTTAAGGTATATATGCAGTGCGCTATGTACGCAGATACCTGATCACTATATCGTTGTCCATGGACTTCTACTGCGCAGCTCCTACATAGACAAGACACCCGACCCCTTCACGCCCTTGTATCCGTAGTGGCACAGGTTACCATATCCCTTGAGGCGGTGCCCTGGGTGTGGGACTGGTTAGAATACCATCCGCAGACCTACGTACCAGCTCTCCTTCCCTAACCGGACGTGTCGGCTATCCTGTGATGTCCCCTCACGGGATTCGTCATGAGGACACTTTCACTTTCGGGGTCTCAACAGTACATACGATATGGAAGGCGGGATGGAGAACTCAGATCTCCACTCCTGCTTTGGGCCCGAGAGCAGCGTAGCTAGGTTGTCTTTAGGGGCCAAAGAAACAGTGCACAGTAAAATGGCACACCGCAAGGATACCGCATGGCACAGTCTGGGAGTTTTCCCCTCCCCTACTCTGGTGATGCGTGATGGGGATTTTATCCGCTCATGACACTCATAGCATGAAAGCTTTGTTCAAGGGTAGCCGAGACGGTGCCGCCGAGCCTTGTTAAGGATCTGCTCGCCGACCCCGGGCGGTTAGTTACTGTATGCACACTGGGTCGCAGCCGGCAAGCTATACCGGCCTTTTGTATGTAACACTGCGGTCTAGATACAATGCAACATCGTAAAACTGAAGCAGGCTTACTAAACTAATAGTTACCTAAGCTGAGCTGCATCGATAGGAGTATGTACTTGTACCAGTACGTTAGTGCCGGTCCTACATATACAATGGACTCTAACTCCTATGAAAAGGCAAATGTTTCCGCATGTAAGGCATCTACGGAATATTTGGTAGATCTTGAAATGCCGCTGACATCATCGCTGTCTTGTCGTGGAACAAACATCGTTTCGTCCATTCCGCGATCTGAGAGGTTCTCATCCCGAGCGTTCGCTGCCTTGGGTGGATCGTCTCTGCCGGTCACTCCGCAGGGTGGAGTCGCAGGTGCTTTCGCCTTTTCAGGTTAGCGTCCGTGCCAAGACCAGGGCGCTCGTGTTTCAGAAAAAAGTGCACGACAAGCTTCCATTCGACAGCAGGCCACTCTTCGGCGCATGCCGGTCACATCGTGACATTCGCTATGAGAGCGAGTCAGCGACACGCCTGCCTCCATGTCTATCACGAACACGCGCCCGTTCAAGCTTGCGAGAAACTCCCGGGCTGTCCTGACTCTTGACCGCTGTGCTCTGTGCGGGCAATTGACTCTTCGAGGCGTAGTTATCTGATGAGGCGACCGGGAAAGCAACTACTAGTACTAATAAGGCCTTGAAGTTAGGTTAAAAAAACTCGCGACGCCGCCGGCGTGCAGTTCAGAGTTCAGACGGGCGTCGCTGTGCCCCTTTTACTTGTGTTTTCTGTTGTGACCATCGGGGATTTTCCTTCAGAGGCCTGCCGAGCGCATACCAATACCTAGGAGAAAAAAGAGCCCTACTAGCGAGCTTGCCGAGGCTGGTGTTCAATTCGGATTCGTGCAATCTTCATCAATGTTATGCGCCAGCGACGTGCCCCCTTCTCCCAGCCAGGGCGGCTTCGGTCAACCGGCGCACGAAGGGCCCCTTGCTGGACAAGCAGGGCTCAGAGGGAGCACGCATTGACGGGCTCGACGGGCTATGTAGTGTATGTAGGTACATACGAACGAGCGCCGAGGCAGCCCCTTGCTCGACCCCACCGATGCCCCTGATTCGACCAGGCTCCCGGGGTCCCTGCCCCTTGTCAGACCCCTCCGCCACGGACCCGTTTGGCTCATTTCCCGTTCTCCTGGTGGATGGTCATCGCTTTGGACGCTGTCGGCCAGTCGCCCGATGTCTCGGTCGCTCGCTGCCGTGTGCCTTCCTGCCCTGCCCTCTCTCCCTTGGTGGGTGCTGTGGTGTCAGGTCACCCAGTTCGAGCTCAGCAAGTCGAGCATCCGCCTTGGTCGGTAATCTTGGCTTGGAGTCTTTGTCCGGCTTGTGCTGATTCTGCAACTTACACTAGCAACACATCGGGCTGATATCATTGTTTCGTTCGCTTTTCTCGCGCTGTCTCCGTAGCCACGCACGACCCCAGACTCGACAACGCTAGCCGTGGGCCGCTTCACTGCCAGGGGCTCTCAGGAGGATCGTGTGCGTCCCATCAAACATTTCGCGGCAAAAAACGAACAGTCCACGCAACCCCTCTCCATCCTGCGACACGAACCCTTCCAGGACACCAGAGCGTTGTTTCGAGGCTGACGGCCATCACAATCGACTGCGGGCAGCTGCGTCTTTGTTTGCTTTCTGGAAACGACCCAGAGCTCTGTTCCGTCGATCGCCTTATTTCCCTCGCACCAAACACGGGCCGGTCCTCGAGTTTCCAGATCGACGCAGACTGTGTGCTCTCCCATAGGTTCTTCCTGGTGCAAGTAGACCGTCGGCCTGTCGTCCCTTCTTACACCACCATCTCACGAACCTCGACGAGGCCCCCGAGACTGCAAGAACAAAGATATCTAAAGTCGATATGTGCTTGTGATTGCGGTACTATCCTTGAGGCTCACCCCCTCTGCGTTGGAGGGACCAATTGCGGCGCGCCTCTCCCTCGGTCCCGTCATGGGCCTCCGTGGAGATTCGGGGATCATGTCACTCCCTCAACCAGAGACCGCGTTGAACAACGCGTGCGCTGTCATTTTCAACAACACACTATACACATATACCGCCGATGCATTTCAGTCGCTGCGGTTGGAGCCGGGCGCGGAGTGGGAGACGCTGGCGCAGGGCGAGAAGGTGACGGGCGGCGTCTGTGTTGGCTCAACGACGGGCACCCCGGAGACATCCGCTTTCTTTGTCGTCGGGGGCGTTGGAGCGTCGGCCGAGTACAAGGGTCTGCAGAAATACACGTACGCGACGGGGAAGTGGGAAAGCATCACGTTGTCTTCGCCGGTAACGGACCGTCGGCTTGGACACAGTGCCACTTACATCAACAGCACCGACTCGATTCTCGTCTACGGCGGCACTCAGGAGGGCACCAATAGTGCATCGACGCAAACATTTACCATTGGCGCGTCGACACGCGAGGTTCTCTCCTACCCTTCCCTCGCGCCACCAGCCCTCAGGCCGATCCTCCTGCCTTGGTCCGCCAATCAGGCCGTCATGATCGGCGGCAGCACGTCGAATACGCAGGTTATGCTGTTTAGGCACGAGCAGCGTTGGGAGGACTCGCGTTGGGAAGACTCGGGGGCGTGGCTCGCTACGCCCCTGCCAAAGGACGCATCGTCGATTCAGGCGGTGTTGGTGACAGGCGACGATGGATCGAAGAATCTCATCACTTTCGACATGACAGAGTCCCCCAACGCAGTCAAGCGGACGGTGCTCTTTAGCGCTCCCGGCGTGCCGGTCCCGAATGCCGCACCAGCTCGCAAGCGGAGGTCGAGGAGGAAAGTCTCGGACACAGGCACCCAGGAGAGAAGGCGTGCCGAGCCCCTGACCTTGAACAGCTGGCCAGCATACAATTCGACACTGGCGCCGAAAACTACTCGGAGCAACTTTGCTCTCGCTCAGGGGCCGGATGGCATGGTGGTGATTGCGGGTGGAACCAACGATAAAGACGTACTGTGCATGTTCAATGCCAGGCAGAACAGCTGGGAGGACGCGGGCGAGAAGCTGGGCCAATTCAGGCTGCTCTCGGAGAGCTCGTCAACCTCGGCATCGACTACAGCGACCTCCACAGCCTCGACATCAACAATGACATCGGCATCCATAACATCCTCCGCATCCGTAGCCGCAACCGTGACCAGCCCGGCAGCGGCGACTCAGACGCCTACCGAAACACCCGCGGCAACGGTCTCGGACAGCTCCGGGCCACCGGTCAATACCATCCTCGGCGCCGTGCTAGGCGGCTTCTTTGGGCTGGCGCTGTTGCTGGCCCTTCTATATCTGTGTATCAAGAGGCGGCAGAGGCGGCAGGGTCACTTGGAGGCAGGCCACTTGCGGAGGGCCAGCGGGGTGTCGTCGAGTGAGAAAGATGGGCTCGGTTTTACCAAAGACAGCCTTGGTCTTGGACAGGGCCCGCCGGGCGTGTTCCGCGGCCACCAGCCTCAGGGCTCACAGAGCTCCTTCTCCTCGATGGCGATCCTGATGGGCCGCGCAGGCCAGCAAAACTCGGCACCAGGCAAATCAAGCAACGAAAGCAAACGCGACTCGTCCGGAAGTACCTTCCGCGCATTCAAGAGCACCATCAGCAAGCCCATTGTGCGGGACGCCCAGTCCACCGTGGTGGTACAACCACCGGAGCCTCGGCAGCAGGCTTGGGATGAGAAGGGCGTCTCGTTCGCGGCAGACACGGTGGATCCCAAGCCGCGGAACATGACGGCGGGAGCTGATCCGCGAGGAAGCACGCGGCGCAGCTCCGGGTGGAACAGGTATTGGTCAGGCGGGTCGGCGTTGAATCTCCTGGGCTTCGGCGGCGGCGGCAACAACGCGGCCATCAACTCGCAACGGACCACGCTGGCCACAGACCGGAGCAGCAGCTCTCACTACAGCTCTCCGAACCGCATGACCCAGGACAGCGCGACAGTGCCGCCGCTGTTTCCGCCTGCTGCCAGCGAGCCCCGGATGTCCTTCAGCCGTGTCAACGCGCACAGCCCGACTATCGCGATATACAATGATAGGCTCGGCGAAGGCATGAGTGGCATGATTGAGACGCAGCGCCCGATCAGTGCCGTGAGCGACATGTCTGCGTCGGCCTATTCGAGCGGCATCCCCGAGTCGGTCCAAGAGGCATGGGATCCCACCGCCAACGGCAAGCCCTGGGGCGCGGACCGGTCGCACAATGACTCGCTCACCGGCCTCTACTCGACAGCCCTCACCCCGGCTTCGCAAGGCTCGAGGCCGTCAGCCCAAGCGCCAAAGCAGCCCCAGGCTCCCGTGCGCGACGACATGAGCTGGCTCAATCTCGGTGCCAGCTGAGGCGGCAGCCGTCCAAAATTCGAAATCCAACAATCCCTTCTTCACGGCGCCTTCGCGAGGCGTCTTGTCTTGGGCAACGCCCTGAATTCACACTCGACCTTGCCAGTACACGCCCTGCTGCTTGACGAGAACTCTCTCCTGGCGGCGGCTGTAGATTGGGGTCCTGCGTCGACCGCTTGATACCCCCATAAGTGCAAGCTTGGCATCTTTCGAGTCCTCGGGAGACTTTCCTGCATTCTGTCTATGCTTCCTCGATTTTTCGAACCCGGCGTTCAGCATTAGACACGGCGCTCCTCAGTACCAATGCCCCCCCAACGCTCGCCGATCCTTACCTCGGCGTCTTGGGCCACAAAAATCCATCAGCATTTGCGTTTCTTGTTGGACATGTCCATATACCATCTTGTTGTTTGTTTGTTCATATATCCTGTACATTCTACAATTCTGTACCGCACTTTCTCATCTACCACTACCGGCATTTGCGCTGGCGACGCCCGGCTCGTCCGCGGCATTCCGTTCTCCCGTCCAGTCTCTTTGTGTTGTGTTGATCAACAACTCTCTCGATACCAACGCGTTTCCCTTGTCGGCGTGGCTTAAGTTACTTGTACTGTACCTTGTACAAACGCAGTACGTACGGTGCGTGACTGCTGCATCTTTCTTCTGTCTTCGTTTTTTGGCATTGCGGTACCCAACCTAATTAACCCCTCACCATGTTTGGGATGAATGGACGCTGGGCGGGCGGTGGAAGAGGGAGGAGGATCCCAACGGAAGCCGGTGAGGAAAAGCGTCATGAGCAAGAGAGGGCCAGGGGCTGTTCCGATGGCTGGGAGGGTAATTGGACCTTGTGAGCCTCGATCTTGTATCTTACCTATGTATCCCGGGCACTCAGCTGTCTACCTTCAGGAAGAGGCAGTAAATAAACATCCTACCTGTTTCGGACCGACCTGACTGGAGTCATTCAAGTGTCTGGAGAACAAGCTGGCTGCCTGCTCCGCCAGGGACGCACCGAGCACAGGGCAGTATCGCAAGATGAATCAACCTCCCAGGTTTCCCGGCGGCATGCAGCAACCACGCGACGCGATTGTTCGAGGCCAACAAGCCACCCCCAAATCTGGGGTTGCGCCACCGGGGTCAATGGAGTCATTGGGCCCCAACCCTACCGACCTAAAATCGAACCTTTTCACGGGTCTCGGTGAGCAAAGCGAGACATGCACTTTAACCGGGTTCCTCAGAAGCGTCATCATGCATGACGGCCGCTGCCGAGAAGGGCTGTCTCGTGACGGTGCATTCGGGGATTTATGTTCAGCTGCCAACTTGGAGCGCGGGGAGCAGGGACACCTTCTCAGCTTTCTATCGGCATCTAGTACACCATGTAGGTAGTGTATGTGCATACGTGTATTGTAGGTATGTACATACATACCTCTATGTACAGCCGACGTCCTCGGAGGTTGCCCCCACTCGACGTGGGTTTCGATCTGTCAACCAAGAATCAAGCGATTGTATGTAGGTGGGGCTCATGCGCCGTCGGGACGCCAGCGCCGGCTGCAGGCTCATCCGCCTCGCATCTTGTTGCATTTCCACGGCATCGCTTCTCCATTTTCGAAGCAACCGGGAAGCCCCGGCGCTGGCAGTGCGAGACTGCGAGCAGCCGCGAGCAGCCGCGAGCAGTCGATAGGCGCCTTTCGCTTTAGGCCCAAAACTATCGGGTGAGGGGATCCTTTTGGCATGGAGCTGTAAAGTTCGCTATCAAGGTCGAGTACTAATCCCGTACTCCGTATCTCTCTTGCGTGCCTAATAAAAAACTTTCCAGCTCGGTCCGATCCCGATGCCTCGGAACGCCGCATGTTGGCCTTGCGCTCTGACGAGTGCGGCCTGCATCTGCTGATCCGGCTGGACCCGAGAAGCAACTTCCATCTACACAGTAAGATCGTGTACAACATGTTCTTTACCGGACGAATATGTAAGAGGGCCAGTTGCACAACCGACGAACATGTCTTACAGGATGGCTCCTCTGTTGGGAGGACACCATGAGTTTTTCCAGAGATCTCGCATACTTTCCAGGCCTTCCCAGCCCTACTCGCAGCCTCTATTGGTCTTTTGGCAAATAATGTAACCATTACTTAGCGGAGTTAGTAACATCACCCGAGGTCTGGGCGGGCCAACCACCTGAAGACTCTGTTGGACGGAACTCGACGGCTGCGGGGCGGCGGAGCGGGGCAGTAACCGGAGCGTAAATTAGCACACATGGCCGTGGGGCAGCACACCTGGCGCACTGGCCACAGAGCGCTCGGCTTCGTCCCATTTGAATCTGCGTCCCCCCACCACCGCCCACCTTCAGGGTCCCGACTCTGAGAGTCCGCTCAGCATCGCCAACAGTCGCGGCTGTCGATGCCTTGAGGGACCCCGAAGGCTCTCCCTCGCTCCCCCTCGTTCCCGGGCGCTCCATCGGCTATTTCCCCGCAGTTCGGTGCTCCACGGAACGGTTTTGTTCTCGGTGCGTCTACTTGTGGAAGTGCGAGCGACGAATTTCAGATGAGACAAGCCGGCCCGTGTCCCGACCGAACGATCTCGGCTTGCTGCAGGTGCTCCGTCTACTGAATTTACGTTCAACAGTCGGGTTTGCCCCGATCACCGTGCGCAACAGACGGGATTGACGTGTTACGGCCCTTTGGAGTCCCGCTGCATTGCACCTACAGACTCGCGCCGATATGGACTCGTCAACTTGGGCCGTCGCCGACCATTCGGCACATCCCGCGGCCGAGGATGACTTCCAGCAGTTCCTAGACATGAATGGCATGGGAAATCTGGCCGACGGGATCAACTACAACTTCCAGCACTTCCAATCCTCAAGCGGTCCCCAATTGCTACAGTCACATCCGCGGGAGCAGCTGGACATTCCTATGAGCGGCACCGACGCACCAATTCTCCTGTCGCCAGCAGTGCCCTCGATGCAGCACCAAATGCCTGCCATCAGCAATGCTGGGTCCTACCAGACCGTTCCCGCAACCATGATGCCGCCTCCCACTCCAAGCGAGGCAATCGTCGACAGTATCGATGCCCAGATCCAATTCCTCCAGCAGCAGAAGCTGCGGCATCAGCAAAGACGGATGGAGGAACAGCAAGTTGCCTTCTTCGCCCGTCAGCAAACCCGCATGGTCCCTCCAACCCCCCAAAGCCTGGAGATCCAGCCCCGAGCCAACCAGTACTATGCCCAGTCCAACGCACCCGAGCAGCAGCAGCAGCAGCAGCAGAGCATGGAGTATCGGTACCAGAGGCTAAAGGACCAGTCGGATGTCTGTTGCGAACCCCCGCCCGGTTTCATTCCATCGGCAGGCGTGCTGACTGTTTCCAGATGTCCTTTACTCCACTGGTCTCGCCCGCGGTTACGCCGCTCGATACTCACTTTTCGGTTGATTCGCAGTTTGCCGTATCCGGTGCCTACTTCAGCCCGTTAACGTCGCCTGCTTTGCATGCTCAAAATGATCCCCTTGCCATGTTCGACCAGATCCACAGCGCTGTGTCAACGAGCTCACCTGTGGAGATGGAACTGGACTCGACGGCCGCTCCTGCAATGCCGAATTCAACGCCCGGGGATCTAGCCAAGAAGACGCGAAAGAATGCGGCAAAGGCAAGAGCAAAGCCGGGCATTAAACAGTCACCAATCTCGAAACCCCTACGCAGAAGGACCGTAACCACCCCGAGCTTGAACGCGCAGGTCCTCAGCGAGCTTGCTGAAAGCGTCGAGCAGAACCAAGATCCTCACTTACTTCCCACCCCCATGATGCAGACATCATCCTCATCCACCACAGCAGTGACGGATCCGGAGGACTCGGTCTCTCCTGAGTCTCTAAACGATACGACACCTGTTGAGATGCCTCCACCCCCGATTCCTAAGCCGCGGTCTGCAAAGCCGTCCCCTTTCATCGCCCCGCAGGCGAGTGCGGTTCCAAGCTCTCTTCAATCCCAGCGACCATGCCTTGCGTCTCCTGCAACTCCAGCTTCGCTGATGAAACTAAGTTCACCAAACGCTCGCGGTGCTGGCGCCCGGGCTGGGAGCCACGACGCTGTCGATACAGATCACATCGAGACATTCGAGCTTCCGGAATCGGCAAACTTTCCAAACAGGAGCGCAGCACCTACCAGCGAGCCTACGCCAACACAGCCCTCGCACGACACCGGTTCCGCCAGGACTCCTTCACTCGTACCTCCCCCTTCGCCGTCCGTTGTGAGGCCGGCCGGCACATCCTCAGCGACCCAGAGCCCGCAGCTGCTTGCCGGGTCTGGGCTCAGCGCAAGGAAAACGCCCCAGCTCCTGCCAAGAGGGAGCAAAAAGCGAGGGAGTGTTAGCTCGATTCCCGTCTCGCCAGCCCTGAGACCCAAGATATCACCAAACATCAAGCCCCTGCTGCCCGGCGGGCCGGACGTTGAAGAGGCAGCCTCGCATCTTCTCGCCACGAAGTCAAACTACCAGCGCATTCTCGAGGGCAATACGGTGCCTGGCGTCTCGTATCCGAGCGAGCTGTCGACCAACCTTACCTCCAAACGCACATCACACAAAATTGCCGAGCAGGGTCGCCGGAACCGGATCAACTCGGCTCTCCAGGAGATCGCCACGCTGCTGCCCCGGCCGCCAAAAGACAGCGAGGGCGAGGTTAGCGACAGTAAAGACGGCAAGAAGGACAAGAGCGGGGGTGTGCCCAACAGCAAGGCGAGTACGGTTGAGATGGCGATCGAGTACATCAAGCAGCTGCAAAAGGAGGTGGCCGAGGCGAATCGGCGGGCCGAGGAGGCCGAGAAAAGGCTAGAGCTAAAGGTCGACAGCAAGATGGCGGACGGTGAGGAGTCTGGGGGTAAGGATGGGGAGTGATTTTGGGATGGAGTGCGAGGAGAACCTCCAAGAAGGGTTGCATCGTGGGAACGGAAAAGTACATTCTTACATTATGGCGTTGTCGGATATACGAGGCTTTTGAGAGCCCGCGAGGGCGGAGGCAGCCCTGCTGCGATGACCGAGTGAGTTCCGTAATATCTTTCTACAGTACCTACTAGTACCTACCAACCTGTAACCACACGGAAGGCAATCGACTCTATAGGCTGCGGCGGGATCTTAAAGAGGGCCAAGCGCGGGAATCTCGCATGAGATCGATGTGAGGTACCTACTATGTAGGAGTGCAAGAGTAGGAAATACCCGAGGGCCAATAATGGGAAGATGACGTTCAGAATCATCTTCACTCCCAACCGCACTATTGCTGTAATCACTGGACATACCTAGATAACAGTAGGTTGTAGTGATAACTTGCACAATACTATCAGGGGGGTTGGGTGCCTCCACTCCCGGGCGGACAGGTATGTTGGACTGGCCCGATCGGGGGATATGGGAGTGGAACGTCGGCGACGTGTACCTCAGCTGTTTCACGCGACCTGACAGTGGCATGATGATCGACTGCAGTCGATGGCACCTGCAGATTTTTGGTTAAGCTGGACATAGTCGTGTACGACTATTGGCAAGGTGCAGCCCCTCTGTACCTAGTTAGTAGGTACCGTATAAGACGTGTTTGCCCCGGTAGGTACCTTATGTATGGGGCTTCAAGAGTGGCGAATTCTGACGGACATATATAACTTGCGTGGATAGCCGCCTGGCAGCACTCCAACCTTCCCCTTCCTTCCAATATCGAACATCAGACGCGAGCGTAAGGTACCGAGCAACACGCATACCATGTCTCGCCATGCCGGCCCTATCAAAGAACTAGTAAACCTCTACGACACCACCACGGCCGCGGCAGCCGCCGAAGCCGAGATCCTCGAGGCCGCGGGAACTGACACCACAGCGAAAACACCGGCGAAGGTGAGATCGGCAGGCAGGGACACCGACAACAGCCCCTATCCATCAGTGGATATTTTTGCCGCGCCATCGCACTGGACCCTGCTCGTTGCTGTGCCTGGGGTAAAGCAGGAGGATGTTAGTCTCTGCTGGGACGACCGGAGTTCGACGCTAGCGATCAGAGGAAACGTGGCTACGCCTGGTGGGTACGAGGAAGAGGAGATGGGAAGGATGGTCTTGGGGGAGCGGAAGGTGGGTGCTTTCGAGAGGGCGATTCGGCTACCACCGGGGGAGGAAGAAGAAGGAGGAGGAATGTTGGTTGATGGGGAGAGAATGACGAGCAAGCTGGAGGACGGAGTCATGATTGTGACGATGCCGAAGACGAAGCCTGGGGAATGAATGCAGTGTTCTTCTGCGTGTATTAGTTACCAGATACCTACGGAAATCTACTAGCAGTTTCGTCTGCCTACCTCACCTATATGCGAGGAGCCATGTCATGGTTGCGATGGTCTATGTTACGGGCGAGCCTGCAGGTTTGTTACTCCAGCGTAGACGACATAGTACATACTGTACCTCTACGGCAAGAGGGAAAGAAGCCACTAAGATGCGCTAGTTTATTAGATCATTCAACTCTGTGCACTCTCACAGCCTTTCACGAACAGTACTCGGCAGCTCCTGTTTGACGACAGCAGCATGAGACCTGCTCAAAATTGGCAAATCCTGTTTTGAGGTCGGAGCCCAGGGAGGACACACCACTCCAAGGTCAGAAAAGGTCGTACCGCAAGCTTATCGACCAGATACAGGTAGATTTACGAGTACTAGTAAAGCAAAATAGGATTAAATAGCATTAAATCAAAATGGAGGAATGAGACGGGAGAAGAAGATTAAGGGAAAGAAGAAAGCAAAGAAGAAGGAGATGAAGATAGGGGAATAGCTAGAGACAGATCCGTCAACTCTTCCGTGAGCTACATAGTACGGCATTTTGTGACCAGATGGAGCACATTGCGTTTGGTGCAGTCGGGTTGGTTTAAGCGACTCGCTCCAGGGCTCTAGGCTCCATCCGTCGCCACCGTGGCAACCGCATCTCCGCTTTCTTCGTGAGACACGTCTTCTCTTTTGTTTTGTACTAGTAGTGTAGCGCTGCGCTTCCCAACCAGAAGGTTATCAAACCACCAAACCTTTTTTTTGCCCTTCCCCACCGCGCCCCTTATCGATTGAGGCCGAACGGAAGTTTTGCTGTTCTGCCACATTCAGTGGCAGTCTGCACACGCAATTGATCAACAAGCGAACTAAGAAAGTTGCTACCGAATAAGCTCTCGCTGCACCTGACTCCATCCATCCTGTGCGCAAACAAGAACGTGTCGCGGGGCCACATAGCTTTTCATCATCCCTCCATCGCGCGACTCTGACCACGTCTCGGCATCATGTCGGACACGGAGAGCGTCGACTACCTGCAAGCGGACTTCGACCCGTGGTCGCTGACCGTCCCGCGCCTGCGCTCCATCCTCGTCACACACAACGTCCCATATCCATCAACGGCGAAAAAGCCACAGCTGATTGACTTGTTCAACGAACATGTCCAACCGCAGTCGAGGCAACTCCTGGCGACACGCGCGCGTGCGAAGCGGTCGAGTAGAGGGATCGTGGACGCTGATTCCCAGAGCACGACGAGCACCGACTTCAATGACGAGGTCATGCCGCCCCCGCCTTCGGCGAGGCGGTCTCGGTCGCCGAGAAAAACTACCAGGATCAAGCGCGAATCTGAGGAGCCTGATCGTGTTGCCCCAACACCGGTCTCCGCACGGCGCCGGGAAAGTCCTCGGAAGAGGCAATCGCGGTCGGCGACCGCCCAGCTAGCGCCCGCTTCCGACACCGATACAGCTCCCGAGGCTGAGCCACCTCGATCTGTCAGGCGTGATCGGCATGTGAGCCCGGTGCCCAAGCTAGAGCCTCCAGAGGAAGACGACTTCTTCAAGCGAACGCCCGAAACCGCGAGCGTGTTCAGCAGCGAAAACCCTTTCCAGAGTGGAGCCAATTCGCCGGCTTCTGCTTTGAAAACGCCCACTAACCGCCGGAAGACCTCTGGCTTGGACTCTTTTCTAAAGCATACGCCTTCTACTGCTCGCCGGCGGACGGACGCCCACGTTTTCGGGGATGCGGAAGCCTTTCCGACCGTTTCTCGGAGCATTGAGATGCCCCTCAGTCGGGTCACTAGGCCCAAAACACCCGAGGTTGAGGCTGACGAAGAGTTCACCCCTGAAGAGCAGCTGGCGCTCAACCAGGAAGAGGCAGCCCACCCTGAGTTGGCTGTTGCGCGGAGGGCCGGCGAACCTTCGCCGAAGCGCGGCGGCTCAAGCTTGGCGACTCCCATCTGGGTTCTCATTACAACACTGTTCGTCGCCTACGCAGCGTGGTACAGGCAAGAGAAGATTGCAGTGGGATATTGTGGGCTTGGGCGGCAGCCGACTCAATTAGTCCCTGCCAATATCCAGCTTCCGGAGTGGGCCGTTGAGCTAGGCTCGAAATTGGATATTCACGACATCCAGAACGTCCCCGTCCCAGACTGGCTTACCGGTGTCCTCGAGCCGCAGTGCGAGCCTTGCCCTCCACATGCCTACTGTTACGAGGACTTCACAGCTCGCTGCGAGCCCGACTTCATCCTGAAGCCTCACCCACTTTCCCTCGGCGGCCTTGTCCCTCTGCCTCCCACCTGCGAGCCTGACGGCGAAAAGGTCCGACGTGTCCAGGCCGTCGCCGACAAGGCGGTCGAGGAGCTGCGTGATCGAAGGGCCAAGTATGAGTGCGGTGAGCCGCTTGAGCCCGAGGGGGAGCCTTTGGACAGCCCCGCCCTGGAAGAGCAAGAGCTGAAGGAGATCCTTAATAAGAAGCGCAGCAAGAGAATGGCCGCTGAAGAGTTCGACGAGCTCTGGGCTGCGGCCATCGGTGAAGTCAAGGCACGGGATGAAGTTGAAGTTCACCAGGAGCAAACTGAGGCTCCCGAGTAAGTTATTTCATCTTCTATCCTTTTCCCCGCATGGGCTGTACCGGATCGTTTCATGTGCACATCCTTCATCTTCACATCAGCTTCTGACCACGGGACTAACCAGACCCGTCGCCGAACCCATAGAACCGGAGGTGCCGTTGCCTTTCCAGCCACCAAAATATCGTCCACCTCTCTCGCTCGCCTTTCGTACTCCTGTGCGCTCCGCCGATCCGTCAAACTCGGAGTGGCTCGACATCGAGTCAGCATTGGTGGACTGATTCTCTCACTGCTGTCCCTCCTCTACGGCCGCCGCCGCTACATCCACAACCGCGCCCTGGCGGCGCAGATTCCAGCGCTAGTGGACGAGGTCTTGGATCGTCTGGCCAACCAGAAGGAGGTTGCCTTCGAAGCCGGCGACGAGGACGCGTTCCTCTTCCTCCCAAATCTACGCGACGATGTTCTCCGCTCGATGCACAGTCTTTCGGACAGGGAGCGGCTCTGGCAACGCGTGCGCGCCGTTGTCGAGCAGAACAGCAATGTCCGCACAGGGCAGCGTGAGGGTCGTAATGGCGAGGTTGGGAGGGCCTGGGAGTGGATAGGACCCAGCAGGCTCGGTGCCGGCGACGGTTCGTCCCACCGGCGGCGCAAGAGTGGACGCGTCTCGTGGGGCCCGGATGTGAAGATGGAGATCGAGGAGGCTTCCAGCAAGCCGGCGTCGGAAACGCTGGAACGGAAGGCCGTCCACCGGAAATGGGAGGAAGGTCGCCCTATTTACTAATCATGACCGAGACGCCATCGGTGATAAGCTCTAGGACATGTTAAAACTCTTTTTGTACCGTTCTATGTATGTCTTTTGCATTACATTCCTTGGCCTGCAACCACTCGGACTGGTCACCCCCTAGCAGAACAGGGGGAATTGGCTGGCTGTTTGGGCTCTTGTCATACTGCTATTTCTTTTTTATCTTTCCTCTTTTTGATCCTACTTCCAATTTTCAGTCGGCTTTCTGAGAATTTGGACGGCGTTTGGGAAGATTGGACGCGCAGGCAAGCAACGGCTTGGTATTCCACCTGATACCCCTATTCCCAGCGAGGGGACCTAAACACACAAGATCGAACTTTCACACTTACTTACACTCAATATTACCTACCCTTTACCTCAGACCATGCCTAGACCGTGAATTGTAGAACTTTCCCTCCTGGCCATCTAACCCCCCATTTTATTTATCCTATATCTCTACGGTTTAAACTCAGCTACTCCTCGTATTGTGGATATCCAACACCAAGATATCCGTGGCGCCCACCGTTACCAAGTCGTCCATGACGGGCGCGATGCGCTTCTTCTCCACCATGGCGCTGACGGCTACCCACCCTTCCTCATCGAGTGACGTGACGGTCGCGGCGCGCTTGCCAGGGGTGATCTTGGTCGCCTCGGGCAGTTTCACGCGAGGTACGTTGTACTGGCAGAGCACGTACTTCTGGGCCGTGATGACGCCGCCGATGCGCGAGGCGATCAGGTCGACCAGCGCGGGGTTGCTGGGCGCTTTGGACTTGATGAGGATGGCTGAGCTGTCGACGACCGTGTCGATTGCTTTGAGCCCGGCGGCTCTCATTGTCTCGCCGGATTCTGGGGGTGAGAGCGGAAGGCAAAAACGTTAGTAGGAGTTGGTGGGATTATTCGGCGAGGAGGGTTGAAGAACGCGGCTTGGCCTACCAACTAAGTCGACGATGCCATCCGCCACACCCAGCGCGCAGGCGGCCTCGACGCTCCCGCTGAGCTCAATGATCTTGGTCCGGAGCTTTCTGCCCTCGAACTTGGCTGCATCCGTGACGCCCTCGGACTCCATCTCCAGCCGGGCAAAGTACTCGGTCGCGAGGTGCACAAAGCTAGTGCCGATGTTCTTCCCGATCAGGTCCTTGCCCTGGGAGTACTCGCCCTTGGCGGGCACCTGGACTTGCAGGCGGCAGGCGCCGAAGCTGAGGTCCATGACCGTTTCGCAGCCCTGCGGCTTGCCGTTCGCGGCCGAGTTGGGATCCCACTCATTGCTCATGCGGCGGGCGCGCGCGAGCGCCCTGACGCCGGCATCGTGCTCCTGCACCTGGTCGTAGCCCGTGATGCCCAGGTCGACGCGGCCCTCGCCGACAAAGGTGGGGATATCTGCGGCGGGGAGGAAGACGAGCGCGATGGGCAGGTTTTTGACGAGCGCGATGTCGAGGCGGTTCTCACGCCTGAATTGGATGTCGGCACCTTCGAGCAGGTTTAGGCTCGCTTGGAGGAGGCGACCCTCTGGCGAAAATAGGGGGGTCAGCCAGGGTCTCGGGCGCTCGAGTTCAAGGAGATTGTTGTGGGCGTAACACACTCTTGGGCACTGCGAAGAGCAGTCGGCCTTCTAGGCTTTCCAGACGGATCAGCTCTTGACTCATGGCGGCTAGGGAGTCTGGTTCTCGGAGAAGGGGTTGAGGAGGAAGACCACGGAAAGAAGCGAAGGTTTATTGGGGAATAAACTAACTGGTTGACCAGATCCATGGTGGCTGATGTGACACGGAAGCGGGCTTTTCTAGTCTAGGATCGCGCAGATGGCGCGCAAGCAGACTGCAGAAAGAGACACTCCTGACCTGACTATTGTCAGCAGTCCGTTTATCGCGGAGGCACTGTGTTAATGCCAGAGAACGGAAGGAACCAAGAGGGTGATGGCGGGGTACCTGACTAAGGGCCCCCCACGTACTCTGTCGCACAGCAGCGGCTCGTCCTTGTCCAATTGGGTCTGCGAATTCCTGTAGAACTCAAGAATATATATTGCCGATGTATGCACGTGCTGGCAGGTAGCTATGCGCAACTATTGCAGACCAAGGGGTATTGTTTGGTCGAGTGTCGAGTCAGAGGCCGAATTTTTGGGCAGCTTAGCCCACGTTCCTGGATCGGAGCGTCGTCAATGGTGCCCCTCCGTCGCACAAGGTGGGGCAGCTTGCCCGTCCCCGCCAGCTTAATTGATTTATCCGCGCGGTATCGAGATCAAGTTGACTTGCTGTGTAAGGTGTTCGGTATAAGTTGTTCAAAATATAAGCTCCTTTTGACCTAGGCAGTTACTAGCAGTTTATATACCATGGACAAACATCTCTGACCAAGAGTTTCCTATACGTAAGTCCCTATGCATCGATACATATTTGCCGCTGCTGCGGAACTGAGCTCAGGTCTCGAAGGTTAGTCCTTGCTTTGAAGTTGTAGGCTTCTATGACTTCTGAGCAAGGCAATGGTCACGAGTTGATAGTTTCTCCGCTGTTCAGTGTACCCTGTAAGTGCTTGACTAGCCGGTTCCAACTGAACGGGGAGTAGATATTGAATTGTTGATGTGTCAAGAAACGGCAACCTGGAAACAGCGGGGCCTATGTGTTTACCTAAGGTACAACCCCTGACACAGGCGTTTCGGCTCCCCCGTAACGTCATTTGTTTGCACCCCTATTCACAGTGGGCCTGCCGTGTAAGGTGTGCATGCCCAGCCTGGCGGCGCAGCGCTGATACGCTCGAAGATAACAGCTGGGCGCATCTCGAATGCCGGTCAGCTTTCCAAAGATCCCGTCTTGCATGCTGTACCAAGCTCGCATGCTCGCTTTCTCTCTTTTTCGTCCTTCTCTTCGCCGTGCATTGATCGTTCGTTCATTCGTTCTGCATACCTATCGATCAAGCCACTCACCGCAGAGCCGGATACTCGGATTGTGCAACGTCAACAGGGGAACCGCAACTCGCAATCAAACAAACAGCTGCGCCAGAAGACGGGGAGGTCTGCGGTGCACTCTGTGCTTTGATGCCGTGCGATGCGCCTGTTCTGCGCAGGTGTCACGGCTGATGTCTTGACATGGTGAGTTAATATGCCCTATACATGTCTGCTGTACAGCGCCGGGAAGCAGCGTACCTATATAATTAGTAGTAGCTGGCACGGGTAGCGGCTGCTGACACTGTTTCGCCATGGCAGAGGATTTGAGTGTCAAGTCGCATCCCACCACTAGAGCTTCGAGGCCCAGTAACTACCTGGAGCAACGGTACCACAGGACAGGGGCGGCAGCCGGTCGACCGACATCCAGGACCAGGTACCGTCCGTCTGGAAGCCGGATCCGGGACGCGGGAAGGCGACTGTCGGGTGCTCATTGCGGTGGCAGCGGCGACGAAGACGGCCACGATCACGACGACGACGACGATACCCCGAAGATGTCGACATGGGCGGGTCAGCCAAAGGTGGAGGGGAGTTCTGAGACGGTGCGCATGGTGTTGTTGACCTGCGTCTCTATCGGTATTACGTCCGTACCTGCGCTTTTCGCTTGGCAGGGAGTGCCGGTGACCAGTATTGTGCTAACCGGTGTGTGCTTTATAGCTTCACGTGGGGTGTTGAGATGACCTGTGAGCCGACCCTCCCATGACCCAAGCCCCTTGACTTCGGCCCCATGTGGACACAGTGCTAACGGTACATGTACAATGGTGCAACAGACTGCACGCCATACCTGCTATCGCTCGGACTGACGAAAGGGCAGACGTCCATGGTTTGGGTGGCAGGACCAATATCGGGCTTGATCGTGCAGCCGATAATAGGCGTCATTGCCGATGAGTCGACGTCGAAATGGGGCAGACGCCGGCCCATCATAGCCATCGGGTCTCTCATCGTCGCCTGCAGTTTGATAACGCTGGGCTTCACCAAGGAGATTGTGGCCTCCTTTGTATCCGACCCTCACGCGGCCAAGACACTGACCATCATGCTTGCCGTCCTGTCCCTCTACAGCGTTGACTTCGCCATCAATGCAGGTAAGGCCGTGCACAGACCGTGATTGCTGCCTGTTCCGTCACTCACACCAAGCCTTTCCAGTGATGTCTTGCGCGAGGAGCCTGGTTGTAGACACCTTGCCCATACAGAAGCAGCAGACAGGGGCCGCGTGGTGTAAGTGATATTGCTTCCCTTCCCCTCGTCGTGCTTTATTTCCCCGTGTCTGACAGCCCTCCTCAGCAAGCCGCATGAACTCCCTCGGACACATAATCGGCTACGCCATGGGCGCCGTGGACCTCGTCGAGATTTTCGGCCCGGGGCTTGGAGAAACCCAGTTCAAGCAGCTCACAATCATCGCTGCCCTGGGCATGCTGCTCACCTCGGCCATTACCTGCTGGGCCGTCACGGAGCGCATTCTTATCTCGGTGCGGCACGACCCTCGGCGGGCCCAGGGCCGCTTCAAGGTCGCCCGTCAAATCTGGTCTACGCTGTTGACGCTGCCTCCGCGCATTCGGGGCATCTGCAACGCCGTATTCTGGTCGTGGATCAGCTGGTTCCCCTTCATCATCTACAGCAGCACCTGGGTTGGCGAGACGTACTTCCGCTACGACGTATCCGCCGATGCCAGAACCTCGAATGATGCCCTGGGCGACATGGGCCGCATCGGGAGCATGGCCCTGACCGCGTACTCGACCGTGTCCTTTTTCAGCGCCTGGATCCTCCCGGCTCTGATCCGAGCGCCCGAGGAAGAGACGTTTACCCACCGGCCCCCGGCCAGCATCGCGCCTTTGGTCGAGGCTTTCAACAAGGTCAAGCCCGACCTGCTCACCGCCTGGGTTGCCGGCAACGTCGTGTTCGCCGTCGCCATGTTCTTCACCCCCTTCGCCACCTCGTTCCGCTTCGCCACGGTAATCGTCGCCCTGTGCGGCGTCCCATGGTGTGTCGCACAGTGGGCGCCCGTCACCTTCCTCGGCATCGAAGTCAACAAGTTGGGCGGTTCCTCCGACCCGGCTGGTGCCGCCGCCGCCAACAGCACCGCCGTGCCCTACCGCCGCCTGTCCAACGACACGAGCATCGAGATGCTCCGTCTCGAGCACGGCGGTGTCCTCGAAGCCGGCGCCGCCGGCGGCGGCACCCCGAGCAACGCCCCAACCGGCTCAACAGGTGAGCTGAGCGGCATCTACTTCGGCATCCTCAACATCTTCGTCACCATTCCCCAGTTCATCAGCACCATGATGAGCGGCGTGGTGTTTGCGGTGCTGGAGCCGGGCAAGAGCCCTGAACTGGCGACCGAGGCGCACCCCAGCGAGCACAGCGACACCAATGGACCGAACGCCATTGCTGTGTGTATGTTTATCGGGGCGCTGAGCTCGTTGGTGGCTGCTTGGTCGACTCGCAAGTTGAAGGACTTGTAGTGACCAAGTTAGGAAGACATACGGCTTTATCTCGGGAGGTAGAGCGGCGATGGGGACTGTCCTGAAAAAAAAAAAGAAAAAAAAAAAAGGGATTGGCTAGGTACCTTAGGAAAAGCTCTGTCCAGTGTAGTACTGTATAGATGGCTATAGCGTGGCGTTCTAGGGGCTTGGTACTGTACGGAAGCGTTTGTTTGGTCAACATTGGCATCACATCAATGGATTCTTCTTCTGAACATCATCATCGGCTTCATTCCCCTCAAGAAGGCTGTATATATACTGTAACTCATAGAATTCCTCGCTTCGTTTAGTAACCCGAACGGTCTGCCGCCAAAGGTGCTGTCAACCATTGGCTTCTGTGTCTGTCAAAGTGCGCTGGCGATGAGAATTTCACAGCAACGGAAAAAAAGGACCTCAACAGGCTCTAACAGCGCTCTCTAACCTGCAATTACGCAAGAAACAAGGGTAACCGTAATCGTATATATGTATGTACAACCCTCGCCAGCTCACCTCCTCTCTTCAACCACCCATACTGGGGCCTAGCTAGGTGCCTCAAGATATGATCGTCGTAGTCAAACGCGCCTGACGCCGGGGAAGCACGGAGATGGGGTGATTTCGGGATGCAATAAGAGGCAACAGAAGGCAACGCCTGCTTCTGTTCGTCCAAATGCACCCTTTTCCACCCGCACTGTGCCCATGCAAAATGTGTATCGAAAGTGCCGAGGAAATGATTTTTTGGAACTGATAACAAAAGAAGCCCCTTGGCGAATACCCTCGGCCATCACGGCGGCTGTGGAGACAGGATCGGGGAGGTAGTCGGCCTGGATCCTAGTTTCGTCCTGAGAACTGATCGGGTACCGATTGACCAAGTCGCTGCCGTCGGGGTGTCCAAAAGGTCGCCTCGGGAGGGAAAGAAGAGGGAGAAGGCACAGAATGCCACCATGAAACATCAAAACTTGTCTCCATCCAATCGTCCAGAACAAGCCAAAGCCCCGATATTACCTCTCTGGACCGTGGTCGCATGTGTGGATGTCGTATTATACCATTACCCATTCCCAAACAATATGCGGGTTTGGCCACTCGGGAGTGCTCCCTCATCAAGGGCCCATTACATTACTATGCACTCCTTGGAGTCGCCCTCTCCGCCACTCTTTCTGACCTTGGCATTCCGAGGCGGCGCCACCTCCATCGGTGTCCCACCACTGATGGCGGCGCGGATGGCGGCAAGGCGTTGTTTCGCACGCTCGTCACCCGCGTCGGCCGCTTTGACGTACCACACATTAGCCTCGAGGATGTCTCGCCGGCACCCGATGCCTATCTCCGTGAAGTATCCGACAGCGTATTGCGCTTTAACATAGCCTGGTGGAACGCCCCCGTGGTCAGCGGTCGACACTCCTGCCTCGGATATCAGGGAGTTCGGGGAAACGACTTACCAAGTTCCGCTGCCCTCCGTGCCCACTCGTATGCTTCCTCTTCATCCTTTTCAAGAACAGGTTCTGCGCCGACCATATACCAAGCGCAGAGTCCCATCATGGCCGCCGGGTGGCCGCGCTCCGCCGCACCAGTGTAGAAATGCACACTCAGGGCTGGATCTCTTGGGCAGTTCAATTTGCCGTGCTCGTACGCATCGCCCATCCGATAGTTAGCCTCGGGATGCCCCAGATCGGCGGCCTGCGTGAAGAGCTCTGCGGCGTAGCTCTCGTCCAGGAAGACGTCGTCGCCGTAGCCCGTCTCGTACAGGCATCCTAAGTGGTAAGGCGCCGCATTGTACACCGCGTCAGCCGCCTCGGCGGCTAGCTTGAGCCACTTGACGCCTTCCCTATACCGCTTCTCCCCGAGATCGCCCGACAAGCAAGCCTTCCCGAGCCTCGTCATGGCACCCGGGTGCCGCTTGGACGCCGCCGTCCGCAGAAACTGCACGGCCTTGGCAGGGTCTTTACGGCAGCCCCAGCCGAACTCGTAACACAACGCGGTGCGATACGCCGACTCTGCGTGCCCGTGCTTGGCAGCAAGGACGAAAAGCGGGAATGCAGAGTTGTAGTCCTCCTTGCCCTTGCTGAAGAGGCCCGACGCGTAGCCGTCAGCAAGATAGTACTGCGCAAAGGGATACCCATTGTTGGACAGCTTCTGGAGGATGGCACGCGCTTCGCGGATCAGGTCGTGCGGGGACGAGACAGGCGTTTCCCCCGACGCGGGCTTCGGACTCTTGCTCTTCTTGGGATCTTGGGAATCCAGCCCCTGCTCTTGCGCTGTGGCGATGAGGAAGACGGCGAACGAGTACAATATCGAGAAATCGTTGGTTTTCTTCACGTTCTGCCTGTACATTTCCAGTGTCTTTTCGGCGCTGAGTAGAGACGCATTGTTCCCCACAGCGGATCGGAGCTGCGAGTTGTCGAACGTAATGGGCGCCGGCGCCGGCTGCGGATATGGGACACTAAGCAGCTCAGCAAACGAAGACGGCCGCGCGTCGGGGGATTTCCTCGAATGCGCCGAGGGTGCGCGGCCCTGGGAGCTGCCCAACATGCCGGGCGAACGCCCCCGCGGCCCAAGGTCAGAATACACCGAATATGCTGATTGGGGCCGCGGCAGCGAACTCCTCCTCATGTAGTTGGCATTCGGAGTCAGATGGCGATTGATGCTAGCACCAGTCTCGGCGAGGTTGGGGTTTGACTGAGCTCTCGGATCCTGGTCAACCGCTATGCTGGCAGGGCGTGGGAGCAAGGCCGAGTGGTGGTAGTGCAGCTGGGGCACGGGTTCGGGTCGCGGCCCCCCATCGTCGATGATTGAGCTCTTGGTGGATGCGTCTGCCGAGTTGTCTTGGTTGTCCGAAGCATCGAGGATCCCAGACACAGAGCTCGCGCTCGTGGTGGCCGATGACTCGGCTGACGTCTGCTGCCGTGACGTGCTGGTCGTTGTATCTGACTCCCGGCTGTTCCGGTTCTCCCCCTTTAGCCCATGCTCGTCGCCCATGCTCAGCTGGTCGAACTCTGTGCTCAGGGCACTAGCGGCCTGAGGCGAAAGCGGCGTTCCGGTGCCATTGGCGGCAGAATGCAGACCCAATGCATCTGGAACCGAGCTCTGTCGATGGCTCTGCTCTGGCTGGTATCCGGGCGTGTGCGGCGGTGGTGTTGGGGCGTCGGGCGTCTTGGGTAGCGCACGGTCGAAGGCAGGGACAGGGATGGGGCCGCCGTGCGGGAGGTGCGTCTCGATGTTCCCGGTTGACGGGCGGGCCCAGTCTTCTGGCTGGAAGTTGACCTTGACAGGCGAGACAGGAGATTGTCGCAGCCTCGGCGACTCAGACATTGGCGCCACCGGCAGCGGCTTCACATTCTCCCCCCAATCATACCGCTCGACGGGAGAGAGGCCGTGAAGAGCCACGGGTTTCCTACGGGCGGGACTGCTGGGGGAAGCGGCTGAGGACGATGGAGGAGAGCCGACGGCCGCCATTCCGGGCGGTCAGGAAGACGGCGGCGCCGGCGAATTCTGAGGTTCTGCCCGGTTTCCTTTTGTCTGCGACGCGACGGTCTGCGAGGGGGGAAAGCGAGTGGCTTATGCTTGCTTTGGATTTTGTTGACGATGTTGGAATCAATCCAGGCTTAGGTTACTGTAGCCGTCTGTACCCCTCTCACGTATACATTTGTGGAAACCTGGCCCGCCGCCGGCTGCGTGGTTGCTCCAAGTCGCACTTTCGCAGTCGCAGAATTGAATTCCAAATGGCGTGCCAGACGATCAATCGAAGGGAAGCCGCAGACGGGCCGCAGGACGGTCAGCAGGTACTACTGTACAATAGCGAGCGGCAGCGACGAAGGCGGCAGCGAGCGGACGTTGATAAAATAAACCGAAAAAGGCCAACGAGCGTCGGGTTTTGGATGATGGAGAGGGAATTAAGTCTGATGGACTGCACAGCACGAAGCGAAGAGTGGGCAGCTAACGTTACCGCTTCGACGGACTCGCTGGACCTGGATCGGCGAAGGAAGACGGCACCGTGGGCCCTGTGGTGGCTCTGCTGCATGGAACAAACGGAAAGACGGACAAACGGTGCAGTCTCGTACCCAGTCTTACTTTTGCTCCCTAGTACACTAATAAGATAGCGGAAAACCTTGATGGTGCAGCACTAAAACGGGTCCCGTTTGTAACGTAACTAACAAGATGTTTGGAAGAGCCAGGGGTGTCTGGGTGTCTGCCCACCACTCATTAATGCAGGTGGTTCTCGTCTGCCTGCTGAAACCTGCCCTTCCATTCTTCCGTATTTCGTGTGCAAACTTCAGCCTTTGGAAGTTAGGTACCTTACCTACTACTATTGTTTGGTTGGGTTTTTCGTGAGAAACTCACACTTTCATCCAGGGCGAAGGCGAGGGGGGCGACAGAGTGCTCATCAAATTTCAAAACCTACAGGCACTCTACTGTCTGGCGTTGCAAAGAGTAGCGGTCCGTTCCCAGGATGGGAAAGCTCTGCGCATGCGTGCCCAACTGAGGCATGCGTCCAGCCTTACTCTCATCCCATCGCGCAATTCGAAGGCAGGCTGTGCTCAGCAACGCAAGCGGCCGAGCTACACAGCGCGGACATAGCACAGCACTACACCTAAGCCGAACAGTGCCCCGTCTCGATGTTGGCCCTGCCTCGCCCGTCCAATCTGATTCGGCTCGACCTCGTCCTCACAGCTTGTGACTCGACAGCGGAGAGGCAGCGGCGTACCGAGTAAACAAACATATATACGTGTAGTAAGGCATACGGATACGCGTCATGCATAGCGGCATACCTCAGCTCACGAACATTCTGAAGTTGGGACGCGTCCACTGCGGTCGGCGCCGTTTTCAGACCGTTCGTTCCGGCCAAGAAGCGAGTTACAGCGGGAAACGTCACGTATGCAAGGCCCCAGGTGACTTCAACTTGTCTTCTCTACTCATTTTCCGAGGAAACATACCTTGACCACCGCTGGTTGCGCTTGATCTTTTATTATACATCTCCCTCGGCGTGTCATTTGTTGTACCCTTATGGTTGAGATCTCGTCCTGCCATTCACGAAACGGCACGATCCAGCCGCCGAGCCTCTTTCGTACGGTGTACTTCCTCGGTCACGGTATGTACATCACACTAACGATTGAGCTACAGTAAGGCCGACCACGTTGGGGCGCAAGTGGTTGGCCAGTGGCAGCGCCCAGAGCGACTATACAACAGTAGTTCCACTAGCCACTATCGTTTCCATTTTTGGCGAGTAGAGCTGATGGAAGAGGAAGAGCTCGAGCTACACTAGTAGGTGAAGCGTCCAGTCCGGATCGGGCGCTGCCAACTGCACAGTCCGATGACTTCATCCCCGGATGTGGGAACGGCTGATCTGTGCCTCGCCGGACACCGGCAGGTAGCCCGGAATCATCACCGAACCACGTCTGCGGGTTTCGGACAGAAATGTTGTGCCCATCGCCAAGGCGAATAAGGCTGATCCGAGAACGTCCCGGCAAGTCAAACAACGTTTCCTAACGCTTGAGTTTCTCAATCTGCAGTGAACACCGCATGCGACTCCCGCCACCGTCCGGCGTGCACAACCGGCAAGGAACTGTAACTAACGCTGGGCCCACAGTTTCCGCTGTTTCCGGCAGCGCGAACTCGTACATGTAGGTGGTCACAACGATACAGGAGCCACGCCTGCCGCATATGAATGCCCTGTTGCTCCGGCTTCATCAAGCCGTTGCATGAGCAACGGTCTTGATTGACGAAGGCCGTTGAACCACAGGGCTGAAAGGCCAACGTTGTGCATACATACCGTAGGTCGTTCCGTAGTGTATATGACACAGTACGGAGTATGTATATACCGTACGTATGTACCCCTCGCAACGTCGAACAATGTCTCAACCCCACAAAAATTAGCAATTGTGGGCCAGCCAACAGCACATCAGCAGCGTGCCGGCTCCCGAGCCTGGCACTGACGCCCGTTGACTCCGTGGGATGGTGTCTGAAGGCGGCGCATTCCCACTCTGTTGGTCGCCTGCGACAAGCTGCTAATATGCGCTGTGCCGATTTGGCAAAGGGTTTCCGGGTCATTGCAGAACACTCTGATGTACACCTCGGGCTGCCGCGATGGTGGATTCTCCGACAATGTCTGGTTTAACATCATCCGCCTTACCTCAACGCGTGAGAACCTCCCGTCTACGTATTGGGCATGAGCTAGATGCATATTATACGCCATCACCTCGCGTAGACGGACTATATATAGGTATAGTGTAATGTGTAGTTGACCAAACAGAAGTTGAACAGACGGTGCCGGGAGGATTGAATAACTTTATTACTGCGTCTGGTTGGAAAATGCAAACCCACCTGTTTCGGCTGAAATGCAGGAGCCTCCATCTTGCCCGGCCCTCGAGGACGCCCTCCTCTGACAGCTTCTGAGCCTCAACTGAAAGGAGGTACCACGTGGGTACGTACCTCAGCTGAGGCTCTGAAATTGATCGGGCCGAGGGGGGGCCTGCCGATCAAGAACGGTCGTCTCACATTGACATTGAAAACCAAACCATCAGAGCGACACTTCAGCAGCCGCCGACCGATGTCACCGGCCGGATCAAACTCAAAAGTCCCTTCTGCGTACATGGCTTGTGCATGGCTTTAATGGGGGTGGGGCAACAATGCGCATCGGAATTGGAAGCGTCTTGGCGATGCATCTGTCGCAATCAAACTGATGGGCTTCGATACGAGCCACAAAAAAAGCAGGAAAGGGGAGGCATGTCGGACACAACCGGGAATATGATGTAGTTGGGAAGGTCCCGTGCTCAGCAAAGTTGGTTACGAGCTTTTGCTGACGCAGCGAACTAGAAGCAGTGTGGTGCCGCTGCTGAGCAGTTCTCGTATGCGGCGCCATGTTTAGAGTTTCAATACTACTCACGCAGAACTAACGTTAATAATAAGAATCATTTGTCGAATTTTGTGCCAGGGCAGTCCGTTAATAAAGAAGGTACTTCGTACGGATCCGTACCTACTAACTCAGGTAGTGCATTCTTCTAGGGTGTTCCACATGTGTAAGGTAACCCTAACCCGTACTGAGCTGCCGAAGAAAAAGCGGATACTCCGCAAATCGAGGAGTTCAGATAAAGGGCCAGGCACAGTAGGAACTTGGCGCCATTCAGCGGGCATACGGTGCGGGATGCCCCTGAACTGAACTAAGTTCAGACGAGGGCGTCCAGAATCGTCGATTGCGGTTTTCGATTTTCGATCTTTCTCCTCGAGCCAGGGCAGCATGCCGCTATCTCGCCAGCTGTGCTTCGTGCAGCGCTGAAGTCTCCTACTGTTGTCTCTCGTTTGGTTCTGCCAGTATTCACTCTTTTGATTTCTGTAGCTGCTCCGCCGCTCGTTGGCATTCCGCCCTTAAGGGGGCCGGTGACTTCGTTTGGTGCGGCGGGAAGCGCGAGGCATTTCTCCATTGCCGTTGCCCTTGAAACCTCTGGCAAATTCCGCACCTGGGCCAGCCCAATTCTGCAGCACTGTCTTCAGGTTCTTGATTCTTGCATCGTCCCGGCTAGTCACAACTTGCGCGGCACTGAAGTATCGGGCGATTCGCAGGGGAATAGCTAGGTCGCCTGAGTGAACGGCACGAAGTCGAGCGTTCGGTTGCCCAGCCGCGCTCCTTCCTTCCCTTCGCTTCGCTAAGCCAGGGGCGCTGCAAATCATCTCGCAGCATTGTCCACTTCTAGTGGCGCCTTCCCGTCTCCCGAGAGACAAAACTCCCCGCAGCAACACCAGCGCAGCAAACAGCCTGCCAGTGCTGCCAACATACAGGTACCCAGCAACACCTATCATATTCCGCGCACCAAGCCCCGTCGCAGTAGGTTGTTTTCCACTCCCCTCTATGACAGCCATGCCCGCCTCTTCTATTATTTGATTTCTCGGGAGGTTATTGGGCTGGCTCTCGCTTCTCTTGCATCGCGTTCTGTCCGTTCTGGAGTTGAGGCCAACGGCGCCAGTGGTCGTGTTCCCAAGTCGGCGGCCAACAACAAACCCCTCGACTGGGTGAAGTCTCTACCCGGTCGCGTCACGGTGCGGACGCCGCAGCGACGAGCGTGACCGCTAACAGTTTGCGACTCTTAGGATCATGTCGCTCCCCCAAAGACCGGGCGCGACGCCCTCGTTCGAAGAGCGGCATAGCTACCGGCACACCCAGTCGCGACGCCAGCAGCGTCCCGCAGACATTGAGGCCGGCGGGTATGCCCCTGTCAGCGCCGGACAGTCACTCCATCAACGTGGGCCATCAGCATCCTCCTTCGCCGAAACTATTGCGTCGCCTAATCCGGAAATAGAGAGAGCTCCCCTGTCTCCCACCTCACCCCATGGGCACCCGCCCGAGTCGCCGTTTCAGCGGAAGAGGAGTCTCATCCGGCCAGAGCGGAATAGGATAGACAAAGACCACCCGAATTATTACTACCGGAAGCATGCGGCAAATATGGATACATTACCGTCCTCGACGGGCAATGATCCTATTGCGGAGGATCTGGAAGGAACTACCGACTTGTCTGGATCGGGTTCGAGGAACGATGAAGTTCTCTCAGACACTTCGCCGCCAAGGAGACATCGTTCGGCGAAGCACCGGAGCGTTGAGCCGGAGAAGGCAGGTCGGACGAGACGCAGGGCATCGAGCGCCGCGAAGCACAGCAAGATCACCAAAGACTCGAAGCGCCAGAAGCAGGTCGAGCAGATACGACCGCCGAGTCTCTGGAACATCTACTGCGCGATAGTGACCTTTTGGTGTCCGGGATTCATCCTCAAGTGCTTCGGGATGCCAGCGAAGGCTCAGCAAAGGGCATGGAGGGAAAAGATGGGTCTGATCAGCATCATTCTGTTCATCATGGCGTTCGTCGGTTTCCTCACATTCGGTTTTACGCAAACCGTCTGCGGCAACCCTCCGCTACGACTACGTGTGAACGAGGTTTCGGGCGGTTACATGATTTTTCACGGATCGGCCTACGACCTTTCATCATCTCACCATCCTCCTGCGCAGGGCATTCCCCGGCGCTTGGACGGCAGCGGCGCTAATGTCCTCTATGACCTTCCCGAGAAGCACGGTGGGCAGGATGGAAGCTTTCTCTTCCAGAATGTCAACGGCAAATGCAAGGGCCTTATCAGGGCCGCCCCTGGCTCCGACGTCCCAACGGATTCAAGCGGCAACCTAGCCTGGTACTTTCCCTGCACAACCTTCAACCAGGATGGATCCTCGCAACCGAACCTGACGATTCCGTACTATCTCGGTTACGCTTGCCATACTACCGCTTCCGCCAGAGACACGTTTTATCTGGGCCTCAAGGGCGCTGCTGACGTCTACTTCACGTGGGATGACATCAAGAACAGCTCTCGCAACCTCGTAGTCTACTCCGGTAACGTCCTCGACCTCAACCTTCTGAATTGGTTCAACGACACACAGGTGACCTATCCGGACCGCTTCAAGGAGCTGAGGGATCGAAACTCGGCCGCGAACAAGGCGATTCGCGGTCGCGACATCACACGGGCTTTCCAGTCTTCTAGCGACAAGCAGAATGCCGAGTGCTTCACGGAGATCATCAAGGTCGGCACGGTTGACACCGACACTGTCGGGTGTATTGCCTCTCAGGTCGTACTCTATGTCTCGCTCGTGTTGATTCTTTCCGTTGTGCTCGCGAGGTTCGTGCTTGCTCTGGTGTTCCAATGGTTCATAAGCAAGACGTATGCCGCGGCCAAGACTTCTCAGACCTCCGACCCTCGGAAGCGCAACCGGCAGATCGAGGACTGGTCAGAGGACATCTACCGGGCTCCTCCACGAATGGCGGGCGACATTGGGAGCAGCGTCAACGGCTCTTCTGATCGGCACAGCAAGCGCAGTAGCACTTTCTTCCCTACCACGTCTCGCTTCTCGGCCGTCTACGGCGTCGACCGAGCGAGTCGGAAATCCGGGCTACCCACCACCATGGCAAGCCAGAATGCTGCCGGCCAGCTCCTCACCCCTGGGGGGATGTATCGGCAGGGTAACGACAGCCGGACAAGCTTTCTCAAATCGGATCCGTATGCATCGAACAACAGCCCGACCGAAGGCCCAGGGCCTGCGGGCTTCATCCACGAGGCCGTGGTTCCTCAGCCTCCGTCGGACTGGATGCCGTTCGGCTTTCCGCTGGCCCATGCCATTTGCTTGGTCACTGCCTATTCGGAAGGCGAGATGGGCATCCGGACGACTCTGGACTCGATTGCAATGACGGACTACCCCAATAGCCACAAGGTGATTCTCGTCATTTGCGATGGCATCATCAAGGGCAAAGGAGAGGCCATGTCAACCCCCGACATTGTCCTCGGCATGCTGAAGGACCACAGCACCCCGCCGGAAGAGGTCGAGGCGTTCTCGTACGTAGCCGTTGCGAGCGGTTCCAAGCGGCACAACATGGCCAAGATCTACTCGGGCTTCTATGACTACGGCGCCAAGTCCGCCATCCCTGTTGAGAAGCAGCAGCGGGTCCCCATGATGGTGGTTGTGAAGTGTGGGACACCGGATGAGGCGGTCAAGGCGAAGCCCGGAAACCGTGGCAAACGCGACAGTCAGATCATCCTGATGTCCTTCCTCCAGAAGGTCATGTTCGATGAGCGGATGACGGAGCTGGAGTACGAGATGTTCAACGGACTCTGGAAGGTCACGGGCATCTCGCCCGACTTCTACGAGGTCGTCCTCATGGTCGACGCCGATACCAAGGTTTTCCCCGACAGCCTGACGCACATGATTTCGGCCATGGTCAAAGACCCCGAGATCATGGGTCTCTGCGGTGAGACAAAGATCGCGAACAAGCGAGCCAGTTGGGTCTCGGCCATCCAGGTCTTTGAGTACTTCATCTCTCACCATCTTTCCAAGTCGTTCGAATCGGTTTTCGGTGGTGTCACCTGCCTTCCCGGATGCTTCTGCATGTACCGCATCAAGGCGCCCAAGGGCGCTCAGAACTACTGGGTCCCCATCCTCGCCAACCCGGACGTGGTGGAGCATTACTCGGAGAACGTGGTTGACACGCTGCACAAGAAGAATTTGCTGCTTCTTGGTGAGGACCGATACCTATCGACGCTAATGCTGCGTACCTTCCCAAAGCGCAAGCAGGTTTTCGTGCCACAGGCTGTGTGCAAGACGACCGTCCCGGACACCTTTATGGTCCTGCTCTCCCAACGCCGTCGCTGGATCAACTCGACCATCCACAACCTGATGGAACTTGTCCTTGTCAGGGATCTGTGTGGCACGTTCTGCTTCAGCATGCAGTTTATCGTCTTCATCGAGCTCATTGGTACACTTGTTTTGCCTGCTGCCATTGCGTTCACATTCTATGTTGGTAAGTCTGGCAGTCGCTTTTCCGCTTCGTCACCTGTCTGGAAGTCATAGTCCCAACTAACCATTCTAGTCATCATCTCCATCATCAATTCGCCGCCACAGATCATCCCGCTCGTCCTGCTAGGTCTGATTCTCGGCCTTCCGGCTGTGTTGATCGTTGTGACGGCTCACAGCTGGTCGTACGTCATCTGGATGTTTATCTATCTGCTCTCGCTGCCAGTCTGGAACTTCATACTCCCCACGTATTCCTTCTGGAAGTTCGACGACTTTTCCTGGGGCGACACGAGAAAGACGGCCGGCGAGAAGACCAAGAAGGCCGGTATCGAGTACGAGGGTGAATTTGACAGCAGCAAGATCACCATGAAGCGCTGGGCCGAGTTCGAGCGCGACCGCAGGGCCAGGAACAATTATTGGGGCTCAACGGAGAATGTCGTTGGCGGAAGTCAGCCGCATGGCCACGGCCCTTACGACGGCTACTACTCGGATGCGTGAGCCCAGACTTTTCCTTGGAAAGATTCTTTTTTCTTGAAGAGGTATATATTCGTTGCATAGACCGTCGTGGCTAGCGTCGCAGCTCTTCTTTAAGCAGCACCTTTTACTTCGGCTGGACGAGAATTACGCCGTTGCTTTGAGTTTCGATGGAGATGCGGCTTGTTTGTTTGGGGGGGGGGTTTGTTGGGTGGCAACCGGAAGTGTCTTCTTCTGCTCTCTTGCCTAATCGAGTTCCCGGGCCCGCTTCATTTCCTTCGTCTTGCTCTCCCCCTTGTTTTCTGTCTCTTGGCCATGATATCACAGTCTAGAAGGGATGCACGGGCGTTCGGCTGGTGCACGTTTGGCTCTTGTATGTACCGTACCGTACACGCCTGTTTCAGGTTTGGTCTAGTACTATTAGGATGATGAACACGTCACCGTTAGCAGGTATATAACTTGGGTAATTACATGACGATCCGTAGTAGGCCGTTGATACCTTGCAAAGCATCTGGCGGAAGGGGCATGGACCAGCAATGTTAGGAAATCGCACGCGGCGAGCCGGAGACTATCAGAACAGCGTGACCTGGAGTGCCAGGAGTGAGATGCAGCTGAGGAGGCGTTCTGTGGTGAGTGTAATCTGTATAGGTTCCCATAACCGCGGCATGAGGTGTAACTACCTGGTACCTAGGTAATGTGTCCGTCGCCTCCCAGCATTAGGTAGTACCTATGTACCTTAGGTATGGTATAGTACCCGGCCTAGGTATTACATGGTAGAGTCCATTGGAGACTTCCATCCGTCTCACGGAAGCCGCGAGACTTGCAGCGGCCTTCCGTGAGACGGAGACCGCAAAGCACTCGGACGCATATCATGATTGTTTCTCAGGCTGACTAGTACCGTGAACAAGTCTGTTTTCCCTACCACACTCGCAGCAATTACCAGTCACCGGTGGAACCAGCGAAGGAACGGCGTAAGTATTTGAGGGCTCGTTCGTCCTTCACAGCTGGGTACTACATACCTTACCTTTTAGGTGGTATGCACGGAGAACTTCCGTGGGGGTCAGGTGTGTCGGTGTAGGTTTTCCGTCTGAGACTGTCATAGTCACGACGACGGTTCTTGCACAGCGGAGAGCAAACATGACGGTAAATACCGGAGTGCGGACGTTAAAGATCATTAGAGGCAGACAACGATTTCCTGATGTGACCCTTGCGGCAGCCGGTGAAGGTGAAATGCAAGCCTCTCTAACCGCCCAGTCAACTCCTCGGGGCTTGTTCAGCCACGGAGCCGACTGCTAGCGTTAGCTAGAGGTCTCCCGCGTCCCTGATGTGATTGCTCACATTTGACTGAGAATTACCTAGCTAGTTACTCATTTCTAGTGGATGGAAAGCCTCCTCGACGAAGGCATGCCGAGGGAAAAGTGGAAAGCGGCATGGTGAGAACGGTATCCGACTCCGTACGACCTCCTTGTTCCGGAGACCCGCGGGACTCCTTGCTTGCGCGTGAGGAATCAGGTGTCCAATCTCGCACGGCCTCGCGTGTCGCAATGTGCGGTTGCAAGGGGGATGCATCCCCAGGCATCCAGCCAAACGAGTTCGGGAGAGGTTGGCTAGGTGAGCTTGGATGCAGCTCACGGCAGCATGGTTCTGGCGCAGTGAGTTAGTTGGTCTACCCCCTTGTTGAGACCGAGACCCCAGACCCGCCGGCTGCATGCACAAGGCTCGGGACTCGTCGACGACTTAGTTCGAAGCCAACTCGACGTTAAATAAAGGGGTGGCACGGGTGGCTGGCCCATTGTATACTTCAAAGGCACAACACGGAGATGTCTAAGACATGAAGGGACCAGCGAGCTCAGTCACTGCTGTTGAGAACCACATATCCAGGTGCCATGGGAACACTGCATGGGCGGGAGTTCCGTGACTTCAATCAATTGGCCATCATGTCGCTCCCGCGAGTCCAGCTCCCGACTTGAGTTACCTTTCGGCACAGTGCGGCAAGAGCGCCCCGCCCTGCCCTGCATCCAACGAGTGGGCACTTTGTCCTGCTGTGCGCCCCATCGCTTCCCGCGCAAAACGCCCCCGCATCGCCGCGATTCGTTGTTCAAGTTGTCGGAGTCGAAGGTGGCCAAGTACTCCGTACATACAAACATGTACTACCGTGAATAGTTACGGGATAGGGTAGTACAGTACCTACATAAGCAACATCTGGGTCGTGCTGCGTCAATTGGCAGAAAAGCAGTTGAAGTCCATTCCACTTCACTAACTCGTCCAGTCAAGGCATCGATCGGGTGCCGCGCTGTCTTCCTCTGCTCGAAGCCAAAGCATCTTCCAGAGGATATTATCCACCCGGTATTGGGACGGCGCCAGGGTGCCACCCTTGATTTGTCGTTCTCCAGACTCTCTACCTAGGTATTCCGAACCCCAACTGCCAAGATCATCGCGCATCATTGTCGACAAGGGCTGTTTTGCGCTAAAAGCACGCCGCTCGAGGTAGCTTCTGTTCAGGTGGCAACTCCTCGCTCGGAGTTACCTCCAGGCTCACCACAGGTTGCGAGAGTGGCTGCCAGCTTCGACCCAACTACTACTGCTGTGTGTGGTACGAGTAGTAGCTCGTCGTTTGGCCAATCTTGGAGCGAGGCTTTACTGCCCAACTCATTAGCTTCTGCCCACTACAATCCAGCTGGACCCGTTCAGGGCAGCCTGCCGCCCGGGAAACTGAGGAAAGCGGTCGGGCCAGGCGGCGCGAGAGAAGAAGCGGCCACCAAGACAAGACTTGGGGATGCAGTGAGCATCGGCCACCAGCGCCGGACAGCTTGCGCCGAGCCAGTACAGCAACCATTTTGACCGTCCACGCATTCGTGCCGCTGGCCGCTGGCCGCTGGCCGCTGGCCGCCATGCCGCCTGGAGCACATATCAGCTCGCCTGCCCAAAGCCGTCCTCCAAGATCGGGGTCTCTCAGCAATGCTGGCCCGATGTCATCCACACAACATGCCCCGCCTGCCGATGATGATGATGTCACAGACGGGGACGGAGTGACGGTGTATGCCTTCGGCGACGCAGACGCCGAAAGTCAGTGGTCTCCAGAGGACCCCAACCAGGAGAACGAAGAAGAGGTGGCGGACGACGACGCAGAGGAAGGGGATGAAGAAGAAGAAGAAGAAGAAGCAGGCCACTACTACGACGAACCCGATCAGTCCGGTCTTTACGGAGCTTTGGGCAGCCACCTCTTAGACGGCATGGACGTGTCCGAGAATGGCGGTGTGCCCTTGGAGTTGGAATACTTGGTCAACGCACTCACCCACGACATGGACATCGACGGTCCCGCCGGGTTGGACAATGGCTTCGACACAGCCTCCGCCGCGCATGACAGCGGTGGCCCACAGCCCGGCGTCCCTCATAATGTTATAGCCGGTCTGGATCTGGGGGGAGCGTACGTGAACATGCCCGTCATGCCCGTCGCCAACGTACCCCTTCCTTCTGTCGCCAACATGCTCTTCGGCGGCTTTGCCCCGGCAGACGCCTGGGCCGCACAGCCCTTTTCTTATTCCAACCCGAACCCAGGCATCATCGGGCCGTCTAACTACGGCCTGACTGACTTCCTCCGCCACTGGGCACGCCAGAGCCGAGCCATGCCGCTAGCTCGAAGTAGCTGTCCGTGGCCAGCCAGGGTGAACTCGCTCGACGACGACACGCAGCTTTCGTGGGTCGGCTATGACGACCTCGAAGGGGACCAGTGCGATTTCCAAGGGATCGACTGGGAGGACTTGGGTGTCACGAGGAGAGACGCCAGAGAGCGCCGGCTACTGACGTACGCCAACTACGTGAACGCACCTGGATCAGACCGGTGGGCGCCGCACCTCCCCGATGTTGCGCTTCCCTGTACCGAGAGCTTCTTCCGCTTCCGGCGCATGGACATCAAGCGAGACGTCCACCTGTCGCACTTCCAGCTGCGCAACTTGTTCGCAAGCACCTCGCATGCGCGCGTCTTCTACCCCGCCATCGGCAGCGTCCAGCAGTACAACCCCATGTCCGGCCATGGCCGCGCCATCGTCCAGTTCGACTCCGCGGCCGCCGCGCAAGTCTCGACCCTGGCTGCCGGCCACGGCGTCCTGGTCGCGGGCACTTGTAGCGGCGACTACATCCTCCGCCGCCTGGACTCGGGCGAACCCGAGAAGACGGCCTGCCACGAGGGCGTCATTTCGAGCAGTAACAGTATCAGCGGGATCACCAACCATGTCGCGGTTCATCAGGCGCGGACATCTTCGGCGCCGCTCGCAGCTTTTGCGTCGAACGACAGCTGCTTCCGCGTCCTCGACATCGCCACCGAGACTTGGCTGTCCCAAGAGACGCTCGACTTCGCTCCGAACTGCACCGCGCTGTCTCCGGACGGGCGGTTGCGGGTCATGGTAGGTGACACGTTCGACGTGGTGATCACGGCCGCCGAGTCGCGGGCGTCAGGCGGGCAGCCCGAGATCCTGCACAGGCTACCTGGCCATCGCGACTACGGCTTCGCCTGCGACTGGGCCGACGACGGGTGGACCGTCGCCACAGCATTCCAGGACAAGTCTGTCAAGATCTGGGACGCCCGTCGGTTCACCGACAGCTCGGGCAATGCCGTGTCTGTGTGCACCATACGCAGCGAGATGGCGTGCGTGCGTAGCCTGCGCTTCTCACCCGTCGGCAGCGGGAAGCGGGTGCTCGTGGCTGCGGAAGAGGCCGACTTCGTCAACATCATCGATGCTCAGACCTTCCGGCGAAAGCAGACGCTGGATGTATTTGGCGAGCTCGGCGGCGTCTCATTTGCCAACGGCGGTCAGGATCTAATGGTCCTGTGCTGTGACCGCGCGCGCGGAGGCATCATGCAGCTCGAGAGGTGTGGTCAAGGAGACCAGCTCCTGTGGGAAGGCCTGCAAGAGGGATTCAGGCACGGCGCCCCCCGTCTTGAGCCCAACGGGGCTACCCACGACTGGCCACGGTCGATGTTTACCGAGGAGAAGCGCATCAAGGAGAGTTCTTCGCGGCGGCGCAGGAAAGTCGGTGCTCAACTTGAGATTGAGCCGTTCTGAAGGTGCAGAAGCAGCTCCCAAACAAGAAAACAAGAGGCTCAACAAAATATAATTTGTATCGGCATAGCAAAATGCCGGCCTGTGGCCTGGCACGGACGGAACGATCACTCCACCGTCGACCCCTCCAGTGATGCACTGGCGCGCTGCTGGCCTTCTTCGTCGCCCAGCCCTGTTTTCACCCCTTGGCCATTCGATGTCTCCTGGGCATTGAGGGGCCAGAACTCCGGTCATGACGCATTTCTGGTGGATCGGAGACATATAAACTCGCTGGTCGATCACTGCGTTTATTATCATCACAAACCGAGTGCTCGCAATATCTACCCGATGTCTTGCGCGAGAAAGGGGGTGGGTCTCTGAGAGTCTGTGAATGAGGAGTCTGGACATGACGGGCCAATGCAACTGGGTGTTGGGTTGAAGTTTATACTTGTCATGACAAAAACACGCGCTAGATCTTTGTGATGAGATGGAACAGGGCATATATATTATCCATGGGAAGAATCCGCGGCATTCTACGGTTTCTAGTTCTATACTAGAGGTATAACCTCGGGAGATACCCAACCACGTCCCGTTCTCATTTTCTCATGTTTGCATTGCTCATGGCTTGTACAGGGCTACATATACACACCGGGCGGTAGACTAACAAGTGATTACCTTCCTTAGGTAGTTGTGTGAGTTCGGTTCTATGGCTATCTGCTGCCGCTCGGTGGCCGCACTAGACAATATATTATTACGCCAATGGTGAGGTACAAGTACAAAATCCCCCTATACGCACCATACTGTTTACGGCTACTAAGTTGCTGTGCATATGGATAGTTAAGCCGTTCGGATGTCCGGTTCAAGGATTGCAATTCGCTGTGGGTTTGCTTCGCTCTACCTGCAGTACACACGTTAGTTATAACTAACCCTCCCTGCAGCATCCCAAACTCTCAAGCCAAGGGCATGCATGCAGTAGGTAAGCGTGACACTGGCGTCGCAGTTTTCGTTGTATGCCGTACAATACAATACATACTGTAGTTATTGCACATAACTACCTTACACAGATACAGTGCTAATCTACCTCTAGGCGGTGCTACACACTTCCATTATATTTTACGACTTCGGTTGCGCGGAAGATAAAAAGGTTCTCCCGGGCTTCTCGACGACAGAGGACTTTGTTCCCCTCGGAATCCATGCTAATAATGTTGTGTTACAGGGAAATTTGTTCCGAGGTTGTACTGTATTGTACATGTACGGCCTCTCGGAAAGAGGCAAGCACTAAGTATAGAATAGAATGGATGATTTGGAAACCGAGGGGGAATGTGGTTTGCCAATGTACTGCGCCAGTCTCGAGAGCTGACCGTCGGCGCCACGCCTTGTCACAATGAGGTTCGGGCTAAGGTATCCGTACAGTTACCACAACCACAGGGACTCGGCTGGAGGTGCCGAGGAAATAGTTAGACGAAGCCAGGATGAGAAATATACCTATGTGATGAGATAGTCTCGTGCAATCATAACCCGGGTTATACTGCTGTTAGGTCACGGGATGAGAGGCTTGCGAAGAGAACTCTATCCCCAGACAACCGAAACGTAAATACTAAGTGTCAATAAATTACAACATTATGAATGGGAAGCGCAGCGAAACCGGTCAAATGTCAATCATAGCCAACGTCATAAATCTCCGCTCCATAGACACCTTCAGAGTTCCCTGGAGGGCATCAGGGGCCGCACCGGAAAGCAAGTAAATAAGGCCCAAGCATAGTTGCGTGCCAACTGCAGCGACTTATTTTCTCATTGCTCTCGGTCGTCGTAAGGGTGTTCCGTTGACAATCCAACAGAGGGGAAATGGATGGATATATACACGCTTAGATCAACAGAGAATAGCTGACAGATGATTCGACTTTGCGTTCAAAGAGATGGTCAACTTTAGGCACCGAAGACCTTCGCGCAGCCCCAGTGCTGCTCGCAGTTGCAGGAACCGGGTTGCTTCCAGGGGTCGTCCTTGAACGAGAAGAAGACGACCTTGGGGCCAATCTCATTCTTGATGGACTCGATGGCGGTACGCTGCTCGGCCTCGCCGGGGCAGGCGACGCCGTTGCAGTTGCCGGCGTTGGGCCAGCCGGTCTCCATGACGTAGCCGGGCTTGCCGCAGACCTTCTCGACAAGCTTGAGCTGGCTGGCGACGAACTTGCCGGCGTCCTCGGGCTTGGTGTCGGCGTTGAAGTAGGCGTGCGCATTGGTGGCAACCACGTCAATAACGCTGCAGATGGGCGCCACGTCCTTCTCAAGCCAGGCCGAGACGACATCGGTGGTGGTGAACATGCCGTTGAAGCCAACCGAGGCGAGCTCCGACTTGGTGTGAGAGATGAGCTTGGTGAGCTGGTCGACGGTGCAGAAGCCGTTGAACAGGGCCTCGTTGCCGACAACGCAGAGGTCGACAAGGTCCCACGCCTTCCACTCCTTGAGCGCGGCGATCTGCTCGGCAACGTTGGGGTTGCCGTTGTCGCAGCCGACCTGGCCAATGAAGATGCCAACGATCAGGCGGAGGCCATGGGCACGGGCGGCGGCGCCAACGTTAGGGAGCGTGTCGCAGTCGGTCGAGTAGACGCGAAGCGTGGTGAAGCCGGCCTTGGCGATGTCGGCAACGTCGGACATGACCTCGCTGGCGCCCTTGCACTCACCGCTGGGGGTGAAGGGAGTGTAGGTCATGGCCCACAGGTCGCCGCTGCCACCGAGAGAGCCGGTGGGGGCCGATGAGGGCGCGGACGAAGACGAAGACGAAGAAGCCGGCGCAGGCGCAGGCGCGGACGACTCCTTAGCAGGGGACGAAGGGCTCGGAGCCGGCGCCGAGGTGACAGCCGGTGCAGAGGTAGGCGCGGGGGCCTCGGACGAGGTGAAGGGGCAGTACACAACCACGCTGGTCTCGGTGACGGTGGTGACCACGGCGGGAGCGGTGTAAGTGCCAGGGCAGTAAGTCTCAACGACGGGGACGACGACGGTGGTGGCCTTCGGCACGGTGGTGGTGATCGGGGCGATGGTGTAGGTGCCAGCCGAGGGGCAGACATAGGTGGTCGTCTTGATGACGCTGGTGACAACGCCGTTGCTGTCGGTCTCGGTGGTCGCAACGGGGCAGACGACCGTAGTGGCCGTCTCGACAACCGTCGTGACACCGCCGAGGGTGTGCGTGCCGCTGGGCACCGACGTGACGGTGGCGCCGCAGACGGTGGTGGTCTCCGTCACCACGACCGTGGTCGCCGGGAAGGTGTAGGTGCCGGGCGTCGGGCAGGTCTGCGGAATCGGGGTGGGCACCAAGATGGGACCAGATGATGTGGGCACGGGCGCGGCGCTGGAGATGACGCTGCTCGAAGTGGTCTGGGGAGCAGGCGGGAGGACTGGCACGTTCGTTAGCATTTGCTTTGCTTTGCTGCTTTGCTTCATCCCCCCCCCCTCTTCCCTTCCGCGCCTGGGTTCACATACGAGTTGGCTCGCCGGTAATGGTGCTGTAGATGGTGGTGCAGCCGGGAGTGCAGACGGCCTCAGTGTCCTTCTTCTCGAACAGACCCCGGTGCAGGTGACGGTGGCCGTGAGAAGCGGCCGCGCTCACGCCGACCATCGCCGCGGCGGTTGCCAATACTGTTGCCTTCATCTTGAATCCTACCGATACCCAGAAAACAAACCCGAAAGTTGAATGTATTATGTTTTATGTTTTCGTGTCGTGAGAACGAGTGCCCGCTAAAAGAGTGAAGCGGTGGTGTGGAAGTGAAAAGGAAGGAACGACGAGAGCTGGAATTGATGCTCTCGCGGCGCCGACTATATCACCGTGGACGGTCCGGGGGAAGGGGGAAAAGTCATCACAACGGGGGAGAAGGCGCGAATTAGTACGAGCGCAGCTGCTGGGGGGAAGCCGCTTGGCAGCTTGGAGGATGCGACCTCAGGGTGCAAGGGTCTGCCGAATCAGACGGCGCTTCCATCTTCAACGGATTTTCCACGGGCGCTGGCGGTGAGCCGGGAATCCTTGATGTGGTGGACCCCTCCCTCAGATGTGGAGTTGCTCATTAACTTTAGCATCACTTTCGCCGCGGAACACCACTCCCTCTTCGGCAGGGCAGCCTGGGCAGGGCAGATTGCCTCCTGGAGAGGAGGGAGAGAATCCCTGGACGACACTCGCCGGGCGTGCTGAGCGCGACCATTGACCTTACACTTCCCCCTAAAATGCGCATATTTACGCTAGATTCTACACCAGCATGCCCGGAATCGGATCCTTTATTACTTCAGTACACTGATAGCTATGTGCCGATGAAGATCTGACGAACGCCCGCTAGCGCACCCGATCTGAAGATTGAGGGCCCATCCAGATGTTTAATTGACACGACACTGGCAGTGAGATGACAGTTGCCGAGGAGTGTGAAAAGGAGGTTGCGGTCTGTGTGTCCTCGACGGATCCGGTGTTTTTCATGACTGTCGGGTTAATGTGAGTGGTCGGCGGCGGCAAAATGCCCTGGAGAGCAGCACGGTGAGTGGCTGCTGCATCGGTGAGGGAAATGAAACAAGCGACATTAGCTAAATTGGCAGTCTTGGGAAGCCGGGACCAACGCGTCTAATTGGTTTTGTATTGTTACAATACAGGTTAGCGACAGCTCTCCGCGCGGTTTGTCAGGACTCAGGAAGGAGGCCGATTCTCCCCAGATCAAAGAAGAGACACATGTGGCTGCTGTGCGGTAAGATTATATTCATTCATTTGTTTCCTGACCTGTTTGCCCTTCATCAGTCCACCTGTGTCGCAGTAATGTCAGGAGGATGGAAGGGAACCTACACAATAGGGTGGGTCCTCCTCGTACCTGCATCTGGCAGCGGGCCTGAATTCAGGGACGGTGCAACGCCGGGGCGGCCCAGACCACGTTACCCTGGCGGGCGACAGAGCTCGTGGACGCAAATTTGGCGGGAAATGTCCGCTTCTTGATATCCTTGATGCTGAACCCCGCCGCTAACCTGCTGATCGTCATCGAGAGATCGCAGCTGCCTCTGGCCTCTGCTGCCGCTGCTGCAGTGCCTCGAGTGCTTGCGTCGGCCATGCGCAGATCAAGTCGTGCTTTGGGGACTGCGCAGATCTACAAGAGTCATGGAAGCCCCTTTCCCACGGCCCCGAGGTAATCTAGGCCGAACCGGGTGCGCACGGAACACTGGCACGGCAGAGAGAGGTTCAGGAGGTGGGAAGGTGCGGAAGGGTTCGGGTTCAAAGCTGATACTGCCCGTATGTAGTGTATGTAGTAGGGGTCCACTTAACGTTAAGTTTGTCACCTGACGCCGCGTTTTAGCGTAGCCGCGAATTCAGGCTCGCAGCGCGCATCCAGAAATTTTCAGGGAGGGCTGAAGGCTTTGTGAGTGGGACGATTACAGTCCCCGTCACTCTTCACAAAAATGCTGCGACGTAGTAGTCAAAACTATGTCTGCTGGCGGTGTCTCTGCCTTCGGCCACCGGCCGAGCGTGCGCTTCTACGACGGCGCACGCCTCGCTCAGCGGCCGCAGCGTATTCGGCGCTTGCAACATCCCGAACGCCGCTGCAGGACACGCGAGTAGCCACCGGGCTTGACCGTCGGCAGCTCCGTTCCGCGTCCACGGAGCAGTCTCCTGCATTCCGCGGCGCCTCGCAGTTGGACCTCAATAACCCCGGCGCATCCCAATCGTCTGAAGCCCAAAGCCAAGAGCAAGACCCCTTCTCCCATCTTCCCATCCGCGAGCGACTCAGGAAATGGGAGGCCGAGAACCCCAGCCCGGCCCTCGCCGTGCCCCGGGATCAACCCGCCGACCCGTCTGTCGCCAACATCTTGACTAAGAACCGGAGCGAGCTTACCTTTACGCTGGACAATTCCGCCCAGGATGACGACACTGCGCGCCTACACTTTGACGGCGTCGACATGGCCGACCTCGGCACGGGGGCCGCCATACTGCAGGCCGGAGACCTGGTTGAGGTCGGCGGGAGCTCGTGGAAGCTCCGTCTACTGTCCATCTGCCTGGGCAACTTCAACGGCCACCTCCACTTCTACACCATCACGGGGAAGTGGTTCACGAGCCGATTCGTCCGCTCCGGCTTCGTCGTCAAGAAATTCATACAGGACCCGGCCGAGCTACAGGCCGTCGTCGATGCCATCCCCTCCCTCTCTCCCGACAGCGCGGTGCTCGACCAGCTCCAAGACCTCAACGTCGGGCCGTCACGCGACCTAGCCGCCTCGCTGATCCGCAAGATGTTCACTTTCCAGAACAATGCGCGCCACATCCACCAGACCTACGTCGAGAGGCTCAGCCGTGCCCACACGGCTCTGGGGAGCGAGGAGAAGCTGCTCAGCCTGCGCGAGATTGCTGATGCCCTGCTGCCTGCTAGTCTCAAGCGGGACAAGGGCGTCTTTCCCCCCGAGGCTTTGTACGCTGTGTATTGTGTCGTGGAGGAACAGGATCTCGCCTTCCGTGCTCTTGACCGAGGCTCCCGTCACCGCGAGTCGTACGTCTTCATGTTCCGCTCACCCCGTATCAACAGCAACGTCCTCCAGGTCGAGAAGCTGGTCCGCGGCTATTACAACAGGCTTGTCGGTAGCCCGCCTGAGAATCTGTCGAAGTTCAATGATTTCCTGGGAGTAGCCCGTGAGCTCATTGACCTGTCTCGGAAGGAGCGTGGGTGGTCGCCGTACGGCATGATAGGGCCGTACAAGGGGGTTGATCACTCGGAATCCTCCATATTAAGCATCCCCGGCTGGTCTGACACTGGCCGCGCCGTTCTCCAATTCATGCAGCACTGGGCGTCGGGTGGATTTCCTCCTGGGTCCCGTTGGCATTGGATTGGGCCTTCTATTTTGCGGGCCATCGATCGGTACCAAGACGCTTTGCTCGACAGCACTACAGGATGGACCTTTCTGCAAGAGATAGGCTGGATCCCGCCGTGGGATGTAAGCGCCCGTCATGCTCTGCGTCTGCCCGGGATTCCGCTCTCCAGGCACGTTGGCTTGCTGCCGTCTCCCAAGCCCGATTCACCCGCTCCTACCGCTTCCGCTCTTGTTGAGCCGGATCGGCTTGCTCGTCTGCGACAGGATTTTGCTCGCTCCACCGTCTACTGCATAGACTCGGCCGACACTCTCGACGTCGACGATGGAATCTCACTCGAGGCAGCGGGCAAAGGAGAGTACTGGATCCATGTGCACATCGCCGACCCGGCGTCCCGGATCGCCCCTGATAGTCGGCTGGCGAAGCAGGCAGCCTTACGGGTGCAAACCAACTATCTCGCCGGTTTCTATCGGCGCATGCTCGACGGCGATGACGTCCGGGAGGCCTTTTCCTTGGGCCCTAACAAACCCGCGCTCACTTTCAGCGCCCGGATCACCGAGACGGGTCGTCTGCTCGAGAGCAAGGTGACGCCCGGAGTGCTACGGGATGTCGTTTACATCACCCCGGAGGAAGTGGCCTCCGTCTGCGATGACAAGGCTTTGGCAAGCGTGCCGTCTGACGTCTTCGAAGTAGGGACACGCCCGGCCGACGACAAGCCCCCCGCCAAGAAATTGACGACAGCCCGGGATCTGTCACGAACGCAGCGAAAAGACCTCCAGACGCTGTGGAAGCTTGCCGATGCCCTCCAGCGAGTCCGTATCGAAAGGGGAGCTATTCCTGGATATCTGCCTCGCGCAAAGGCCACAGTGTCGCTGGATGGAGTTACGCCTGTCGAATTAAAGAGCAAGGACTCGGCGTTTTACCGTGGCGACCCGTACATCCGCGTGACGTATGACTGGCAGGGCATTGTTCTCGTTAGCAGTTTGATGCAACTGGCCGGCGAAGTCGGCGCACGGTGGTGTTACGAGCGGAACATTCCCGTGCCATACCGCGTGCAGGTCATTGCCGCCGAGAATGTCGAGGCTCTGCGCAAGTTCAACCGCGAAGTCTTCTATCCTCAGCTTGCCGCCGGGAAGAAGCCTTCGCCGCAAGACTGGCATACCTTGCTCAGCCTCGTCGGCGGCTTCGACATTTCCACCACGCCAGCTCCCAATCTGGCCATGGGTCTGGAGCTGTACACCAAAGTGACATCCCCGCTTCGACGGTACCCGGACCTGCTCGTGCACTGGCAGATTGAGGCGGCGCTGCTGGAGGAGGAGAGCCGAGGCCAGTCTCTAGTTGTCAGGAAATCTCCTGGTTCCGGCTCCGGCAGCGAGGAGACTGGTCCGCCGGCCACGGGCACAGCGACAAAGGAGTCGCCGAGTTGGTTGCCGTTCTCCAAGAATGACCTCGAAGAGGACATCTTCCCGCGCATGCGCGTCCGCGAGAAGCACGGCAGGCTGCTCGACAACGTCGACGGCAACAGCCAATGGATCCTCCAGGCACTGGTGCGGGCGTGGCGCTTTGGCGAGGGCTCGTCGCCGCTGCCCGAGACCTTCCAGTTCCGCGTCTCGGACGTGGTGCCCAGGCGCGCCCTCAAGGGGCAGATCGACTGGTTCGACCGCCCTGCCTTTGTCGAGCTCGAAGACATGAACAATGTTGCCCGGATAGCCGACGTAAAGCCCGGCGACGCTTTCAAAGTTGAGCTGGCCGATGTGAATGTGTACATGAACAAGATCCGCGTGAGGCTTCTAGAAAAGGTTTGAGGCTGGGGAGAGGAGATGATAGACTGGAAGAGGGCTGGAAACTTCATGGGAATACTAAGGGGCGTCTGGCGGGCTGCATATCACATGTCGGGGTAGATGCGCCATTGATGTTGAACGCTTGTACGATAAGGGGAAAACAAACGGTTGGGACGATGTTGAGCGGTCAGTCTTTTGGATGCCTACGTTGAACAGATGAATCGAAGTGCATGTGGCATAGACTGCTAGTATACCAGCAGTTTAGGTACCTAGACAGGGGTAGTTCGATATCACATGTCATGTCGAGATCTCTTATATCTGGGCGTGATGCTTCGACAAAGCCTCTCTCTCCTTCCGATGAGCATATACTAGTACTACTCCTAAAGCACGCTCATACTGGTATCATTCGCACTCAAACAATCACCCCGCACGTCAGACAGAATATACGCGTGCTGCACAAGGCATACAGTATTCTCCCCCCGCCACCACTCCCTCTCTTCTCCCTTCCCAGACCGTGGCAGTTCCCAGCAGTATCCACCACGGCAACCCTCTCTCTCAACGCCAGTCAATATTGACGTTACGACCTCCGGTCCCCAGATCACAGCCCCGCCAACACGCTCTGTACACCGGCACTTCCGGCGTCCTCACGCTTCTGCACAAACGCCTTGAAATCGGCCTTCCCAAGCTTCTTGCCGCCTCCGGACCCCGCCGACCCAGACGCGAGGTTCCTCGACCGCTCCCTGAGCGCCTCGGGCCCGATGATGAACAGATAGCCGACCTCGGTCAGCACCTCGAGGCTCTGCTCGACCTCCTTGGTGAGCGGCCAGTCCTTGACGGTCGACACGTACTTGGCAATGTCCTTAGTCACCATCAGCCCGCCGGTGGCGTTCACCTGGAACTTCTTGAAGTGCTCGAACAGCAGGCGGTGGACGGCCAGGGCCAGCTCGGACGCGAACATCTCCAGGTTGTGGCCGTCCACTGCCTGGCGGGCCGCGACCGCCACCTTGGAGGAGAGGAACGTGCAGATGGCCTGGCAGGTTGGCGTCTGCAGTGAGTCCACGAGCCCCTCGAGGTCGTTGTCCTTGGGACGGAAATCGAGTTTCTTCTGCTGCGAGAGGAGCTTGGCCACCCAGTTGAGGACGACGTCCATTGTGCTCTTCATCACGGCGTTGGCTTTGCGCTCGGTGGCGTCGATGGCCATCTTGGACTGGGCCTCCATGCTGCGGCGCACCGTGGTGTTGGACTCGGCCAGGCGGATCAGGACGGTGGTGATGAAGCGGGACATGAGGTTTGTGATGGTGACGGCGGGCCGCAGGCTGGGGAGGTACTGGAGGTCGGGCTCGGTCTTGGAGTTTTCCTGCGATGTCGCCTGATCGAGCGCCGCGTCGAGTGCCGTCTCGACGTAGACCTGGCCTACGGTAGTGAGGAGCAGGTTAAGGAGCACGTTGACGTCCTTGGGCGTCTCGCTCGCCGAGCCCATCTCGAGCGTGCGGCGCACGCTCTCGGCGAGCCAGCCGATCATGCGCTTCGCGTAGGCAACGCTCAGGGCGCCGTCCTGCTCTGATACCTCAATGTCGTTCTTGTTGCTGCTGCTGTCCTGGATGCGTGCTACGCGGAGCATCATCCGCTTCTGCGTGGGAGTTAGATCGGACGACTCGAGACGCTCCATGTACGCATCCTTTGCCGACGCGATAAGCTGCGTGCCTTGCTGGGCAATGGCAGCCATGAACCCGGTCGGCGCCTTCTTCCGCCGCGAGTGGTAGAGCGTGAATTTAAACAGCAGCGAGTTGTACATCTCTTCCAGGCTCCGCCTCTCGCGGTCGATGTACGAATTGCCAACCAGGTACGGGATGAACAGTTCCTCCAGCTGCTGATCCAGGGTTTGCGAGATCTGAGCTGAGCACGGCTCCGGGTGCTCGGTTAAACCGTGCGTCTTGAGATCTTCGACGAGGGCCCCGATGTAGGCGCGAGACGCATGTAACGAGCGCAGGAACGCCAGCGTCGAGATGGTGGTGGCTTTGTCTAGGACCATTTCCAGCCTCTGCTGGATCGACTGCTGGAAGACACGCTGTATGAACTTGCCGAGCACTATCTCGTAATACGGAAAGGCCCTCTTGATGATGAACGACTCTTCCTGCATCACGATCTTGACTTCGTCCACGAGCGACTGCAGGCTCGGCTCGACGCCTGGCGGGTCCGAGTCCGGGTCGGCAAGCTGATCCCATGTCTCGCCGTCGGTGGTGACCTCGTCCGTTACGAGCTGATCCCGGTCAATGAAGAACTGGTGCTGGTTGACAAAGGCAGCAATGACACTGGCTCCGCCGTTGAAGTCATATAGCACCCGAGCACACTCCATCATGTCGTCGAAGTTCTGGCGGCGGTAGCTGTTGTTGAACTGCTTGAGCAGGTCCTGCTCCAGCAGCTCCGAGAACTTCTCGAGCGCCTCCCGCGTGTTGTGCCGCCGGTTGGTACCTGTGACCCCGTTTGTGATGCCATTGCCTCGGAAGCCGTTGGCCGCCTGCCCCCAGGATACTGGATCGAGCCGCTGGCTGATGCGCATCAGCTGGCGAGCAATGACGGCGCACCGGACCTTGTTCTCCGCGCCTCCCTGACGCTGTATCTCCTCCAGTGACGCTAGCTGGCCCGTCTCGGTGACCTCCATCCAGCACTGGATCAGGAAGTTGGCGTCCTGCGCCTTCCTCCGTTTCCGATCCAGTTCCTCGAGTTTCTCGCCGATCTGCACGGCAATGTTTCCTCCTCCTCCTCCTCCTGCCCCCCCTCCTCCGCCGTCTGCGCGGTTGTTACCATTTGGCGTTGAACTGGAGTTATTGAGCGTCAGGTCGAGGGCCTCGAACTGTGCCATGGACTGGTCGAGCTTGCGACCAAGGGTCTCGAGGGTCTGGTCATGCTGGATCTCGGCGCGACGAACTTGGGATAGAAGCTCGGATTCTCGCTGTTGCAGCTCCTCTGAAAGCGCGCTCAGTCCCGATAGGGAGCCTTCAGATGCGGTGTTAGCGGGTTCGAGCCGAGTACGAGAAATGCGGCAGCCCAGGGCAGCAGCTCACTCTCAAAGGTCCTGATCAAGGGTTTTGGGTCAAAGGCCTGGTGCGCCGGGCCAGAGCGGCGGCTTGTGGGAAGGGCGTTCTCGGCGAGGGAGTCGACGAAGTCGCCGACAATGAAGTCCTTGTTGGAGAAGTCGTCGAGCGTGAAGCTGGGGCCGCTGGGGAAGAGCGGGCGCGAGGCGCTGGACCCGCCGCGCTCCATGGCCACGCCTGTCACCTCTCACCTCTCGTCGGCCGGGCGGCGTGCGCGCATGGGCAATCTTTTTGATCGCCGACTTCTTCTGATGGGCCTCAACAGCTCCTGCAAAACGCGACAATGCCGTTGTCTGTTGGACTCGAATCCGCGGTGCATAGCGGATTGCTCCTCTAACATTCATTCCTTGTTAAGTAGCACGGGACAGCAATTGGCGGGGATCCATGTCTGCATGCGACATGGGGCACGGCTGGCTGTATCGCATACTGTGTCTCCGTATTATACATACATACAGTTGGAATTACAGAACCAGCCGAGCATCAAACCGTACTGTGTAACTTAAATAGTGCCTTAGTTGGTGTGAAACTGGCAGTATAGGCCGTCGAAAAGACACTATCTCTTTTGACTCTCTACCACATGTAGACAACAGTTCGGCTTTGTTCGAGCACTTGGTGATAGCTGCATGCCCATTTGGGTCAGTCTGAGTGGTGTCGAATACGGTAAGTTACAGGGTAGCTTTACAAAACGATAACGTGGCTATCGCGATCAGATCCGCTGATCAGACCCAATAAGTTAACAAATACGACAGCCAAGGAACCTCGGGAGAACTGCCCACCTAGCATGACGCGGCAGCCATAGCAGAGGCCAGCTTTATCAAGGGCAACGAAGTTGACTTAGAGCCAGATTGGAGACGGCATTCGCTCGCTCATACGGCCTCGTTCGCTCGTTACTACTGTAACCTCGAGACACCGAAACAATAGCTGCAGAAGCTCCGGCGCAATTTCGCAGCTCGACATCATGCCTATCCGCGCGCGGGATCTCGACACCTACCGGCGCGATGAACGGTTAGGACACAAGCTTCTCACGGCAGAAGAGAGGATAAAGCTCCTTGAGGTGCGCCGGCATAGAAGTTTGAACTGCCCCCATCACCGGCGTCCGAGACCCTAACTCTCGTGTAACAGCCCTATCTTCCCTCACCACATCGCTCCAAGCCGCGAACCGAATTTGCCACGGCCAAAACACAGGAAGATAAGAAGACCAGACTTGGCGTGCGCCGCTTTCTCCGGCGTCAATATCACGTGCTCGTCTTCGCCATTATCCACATCTTTTTCTCGCTGTACATACGCATCCGGCAAGCCTACCATGCCGTCGGGAACCGGATATACTCGGTCTACTACCACCACCACCGCACCCCAGAGTTGATACGCCGCGACGTGAAGGGGCTGAGGCGACTGCCCAAGCACCTCAGTGTCATTCTGACGCTAGAGGACCAGAGACGGAGCGGAGCGGGCCTCGAGAGGCTGATCAATGAGGTGACCGACGTTGCCGCCTGGTGCGCCAGCGCTGGTATCACGGAATTATCCATATACGAAAAGACGGGTAGGTGGCGACAACCAGGCGGCGGTGTTCCGCACAGACCACTTGGACGGTTAGCTAACCGCCCTCATAGGCATTCTCAAGGGCTACCTCAAGGAGACGCACCAGGCAGTGTCACAAAAACTGGATTTCTACTTCGGCTCAAACCACCCTTCCGTGACCCTCGGCGCCCCACACCTTCCAACCATCGAGTCTCCCGTACGCGCCAACGGGACGATGCACAATGGCAGCAGCGACGACGGCGAATGGCAAGGCAAGCACCTCTCGGTCCTCCTCATCTCGGCCGAGGACGGGCGCGACTCGATGGTCGACCTGACCAAGACGCTAGCCGAGATGTCGCAACGCAAGAAGCTGAACACGGCAGACATCACGATGGAGCTGGTCGATGCCGAGCTGAGCGAGAGCGTCATGACCGAGCCCGACCTGCTCATCCTCTTCGGCCCGCACGTCGAGCTGGCCGGCTACCCGCCATGGCAGATCCGGCTGACCGAAATTTTCCATGTGCAGGACAACCAGGGAGTTGGGTACCAGGTATTCATCCGGGGGTTGCGCAAGTTCGCGCAGGCGCAGATGCGGAAGGGGCGATGATCTAGGCCCAAGGAGTGGTGTTGTGGAGCGGTTGATGATAAGTGAGGGGGGTGGATGTAAGATTCTCAATGGCAGCAAGCGGCATTTGCATAGTACTATACCTACGTAGATATCTCTATAGAAACTCTGTGGTTTATGCGGACGGTGGCTCGTTCGAACTACTAGTAATAATGAGGTATGTATTCATGAGGTGTCGGAGTCTGCTTGTAACTGATAACTGGTCATGCGAGTAGTAGTAGCCTTCCTGTACCCTGGGCCAGTGCACATATAAAATCCTCGTTGACTTGGCTGCCCCTCTTAACCGAAGGTCTTACCTTGTCCATCCTCTTATGCACCTTAGCTTTTGCTATCCGGTGCTTCTACACAATGCACTTGTGTGGGCGGCACTTGAGTGCTGGATGAGAAGTCCGGCCTGCAACCCTATTGGACGGTTTCACTTTCTCAGCGGGTCTTCTTCAACTTTGCTCTCTCTCATAGTTAGTAGTTTGGAGCTTGCAGGCTCCAGTCGTCCGTTTTGACAGGTGAGTAATATACCTGGTAGTTGGTGTGTGTACTGTACAAGTCCATACGTGGGTTCAGTCACAAGCGAGCTGACATCAAACAAATAGTATGAGCGCCCCGGTGAAAGACGGCAAGGTGGAAGGGCAGCAATCGACGGACATGGGAATTTTCAGGCCACCCATCGTCCGCTCCGCCACCACGGCGCTCAACCGTGCCCTGTTCAGCAAGAAGGTGGACCTGGCTGCCGCCGCAGTGCAAGACACCAAACTCCTCTCACAATACCGCAAGACACTACACGCCAGCAGGGAGATATTGCAGGTAGAACGGATTGCGTCGATCCGACCGCATCCGGACAAGACACTCGCCGACCAGGGGCGCAAGTGCCTACTCCTAGATCCCAGTGTTAAACCAGGCGGTCAGACGACTCTTTTCCGCTCAGGATATCAATACGCCATGGTCACGCATGCTGACTTTATTCTCTCACAGCACCCGATACATGGGGTCCGGTGCTCAGAGATGGCGTTCAGAGGCAAGAGCTAACCGTCATCCCCTATGAGTTTCAGCTCGACTATGACTACTGGAACTACCGTATGAATAGCGTCTCAAATCTGCACCGGTGGCGCCATGTTCTATTCGTCTAACAATGTCCAGGCGATATCATGCAGTCAATCCTGCCGGAGGAGCTCCATGATGATATCCCTACCGGGTTCAACGTGGCCGGCCACGTAGGTAAGTTGCGCCCCCTTCCCTCATGATGGTTCGTCCACCCCCTGACGAAGTATAGCGCATCTCAACCTACGGAGCGCCTTTCTTCCCTACAAGCGCCTCGTAGCGGAGATCTTACTAGACAAGAACCCCCAGATCAAAACTGTCATCAACAAAGTCGACAACGTCGGCGCCGAATCCGAGTTCAGGACGTTCCAGTACGAACTCCTGGCCGGTCCAGACGACTTGAACGTCCAGGTGACCGAGAACAACTGCATCTTCGAGTTTGACTACTCCAAAGTGTACTGGAACAGCAAGCTCGAAACGGAGCATCGCAGACTCATCAACCTCTTCCAGCCGGGCGAGGTCGTGTGCGATGTCATGGCCGGCATCGGGCCTTTCGCCGTGCCCGCGGGCAAGAAGCGCGTCTTTGTCTGGGCCAACGATAAGAACCCCGAGAGCTTCAAATGCCTCGAGGCCGCCATCAAGAAGAACAAGGTCAGCCCTGTCGTTCTCGTTTCCAACTTTACCTGCTTACAATCCCAACAGGTAGGCTCTTTCGTCCGCCCCTTCTGCGAAGATGGCCGCGCTTTCATCCACCAAGCCGCCGATTCAGTCCTGGAAGCCTCAAGGAAGGGCGAGCACGCCGTGATCATGCACCGGGAGAAGCCCCAAGCGAAGGCCAAGGGCGAAGCCGCCGCCGCTGCAGGTACCGCCGGATCCCGCTCCCGCCCTACCCTTCGAGAAGAGCGCGTCCCCGTCCCGCCCACAATCTCCCACTTCGTCATGAACCTCCCGGCCTCCGCAATCGAGTTCCTGAGCAGCTACCGCGGCGTCTACGCTGGCCAGGAGGCGCTCTTCGCGCCGCACACGCAGGTCAAGCTGCCGCTGGTGCATGTGCACTGCTTCTCGTACAAGGCCGACGACGAGACGCCAAGGATCGACATCTGCGAGCGCATCACGCGGGAGCTGGGGTCACGCGTCACGGCCGGAGACGACCCCGACGTGGAGGGCCAGGTGGTGATCCATAACGTGAGGGATGTGGCGCCGGCGAAGAGCATGTATTGTGCGAGCTTCCGGCTGCCGAGGGAGGTGGCCTTTGCCGTGAGGGGGTAGATCGATCGTCTACACTAGACACCGATCTCACCGGTCTAGTCCCCCCGTCTGTGGTGGGTGGGGCCCTGGGTTGCGGAGAGGGCCGGTCATGGAGAACTCGGAGGGCGACGGGCTGTGGCAGCGGTCCGTCGGTTTCCAATCTGGCACCTCGCCTCCTGGTTTCTGCCATGGAAGGCATCGCATAATCAATGACGAGCTTATAGACAAAGATGAAAGCACCTGCAGCCAGTGAGCATGCGCAAAGGAACACGTTGCCAGCCAAATATGCAAGCCTATGCAGAGGCCGCATATGCAGTTGCTGCTAGCTCCGTATGTGTCAACGGTTTTATCTTGCTGTTGGACAAACACCCAAGAGCGGACAGGCCCTGTGTGCCACGACCCACGACACACCCGGCGTTGGCATAGCAATGCATGCGATCGCATAAGTATGGCGCACATCTTCCAATACCACCCGGTACTCCGTAGACCCATTCCATTTATCGCTGCGATCTCGGTGATATGCAGAGGTGGGCCAGCCTGTATCTAGCCGCCATGGTGGTAAAGAGAGGGGCATCGGATGTGGGCATGGCATGGCAATCCCTTGATCCGATCCATGCTTCCCATGAACGCGACATCGAGCCCTGGACCATCTACATACATATTGTGTGAAAGATAATCACCGATCAATGGGCGAGAGCGAGAGTCTGCTATCGTACCGCCCGGGCAGGGAGAGCGCGGATCTAGCCCCTGGATGTGCCGTCCACTAGGATTGAGACAACACGGCGGTTCTATGGTATCTCACGGCGCATGGGGTGAAGCAGGAACCATGACATGGACGAAAGGGAAGATGATGTGATATACAACTCATAGACTATGGACATGCATTAAGTAGGTATCTTATTAGTATGTACATGTAGTATGCCCCGCGCCGGTAAAGCTAGTTGCATTTCGGTCCGCGGGTGAATGGACGGTCGGTCAGCGCACTCGGTAAACACACCGGCAGAGTGCTCGCTTGTGAGCCTCTTGTTTCGTTGGTCGTTCCACATTGTCTTCTAGCTACAGTAATGACTACTACGATGTAGGTAGGGTATGCGATCAGAGACAACTTCAACACATGCGTATTGCGTGGACTATCAAGGTGCCTATCACTGCATGGTCGGCTTCACAACAAGCGAACGACCTTCTGTGCGCACAGCACACGCAGCCAGCCAACCCGCCCAGCCTTCTCCATCGGAGGAGCACTGCTTGCAACATCCCATCCATACAATACTACTAGGTAAGTAGGAGGTACACGGCAGCAACACCGGGCCGCCATATCGGCAACCTGGAAGCTGACATACATACCGGCACTGTAACTGTTCCAAGAAATATGTTCGGATACATACCACCTACCATAGCCAGGCGAAGACATCCGGTACCCACACGATAAGAGTGGCGGAAGTTTTCACCTGCAGCCGCGGGGGGCCAACGGTGTGGGTGCGACGAGGATGCACCTGAAACCGGGCACGACATAGCGTTGCATGTGCTGGGTTCTGGAACGATGAGTCGCTTCACGTTTTCTCGACCTTCTACGTACAACTAGTCGCAGCTAGGTGAGGAGGGGAAAGGGCCGAAGTGTGGTGTCGCATCATCTCCGGAGTGTATCCGTATTCCTGTACACAATATGCAGGGATATGTGAAGATTGTCCTCCATTGTTGGCTCGGTAATAGCCACAGGTAACCTCTATGTACGTACATACAGTACCTGAATCAAAGACTACGGTTACGTACCCTATACTTGTAGTCTTGCTTTCTGAGAAGAAGCTCTGTGAAAAGGCAATTCCAGGTATCAAGTAACAGTAATAAAGGCTGAAAGCCGTTGAATTGAACAGGACAGTATTCGGGTGTAACCCGAGGATCATGGTATGTACAGTGCCGAAGGCCCGAGGCACAACCGGCAGAAGTTCTGGAACCTTTTCTGGCGGGTTTGAGGTGGATGCTTGGAGATCATGTCCGGCCCACTTTTGCGGCCGAGTTTCCGGACCCGGAAGCCCCTTGCCAACTGGCAGTGTACACTACATACTACAGTTTAGTCGACTTAGGTAACCTCATATCATTCGCTCTGCCCTTGTGTGTATCGCTGTGTGTATGCCTTCATGAAGCAGTTTGACGATGATGGTCGAGATTGGCGAGATTGCACCTCACATAGACGAGCACATACGGATCGCAACTCCACGATTCCAGTATCTGTTCCCCAAACTGTCTGTTGTACGGAGTTCCTAGGTATGTATGTACAATACCAATTAAATGGAGGCAAGAACCCGTATGTGCATCGTCATCTGTCCGGTGAAGGCAGCAAACATCTGTCTCGCTGCCCGTGGTGTCATGGAGCGAGCGTACGGGATGACCCAGACCGGCATTCTGCTCAGTTAACCTCTCTAACCTCGGTCCTATGTCTTCTAACTGATCTCAGAGCTTCAACCCTGCAGTCCCGGTACCATGGATAGGCAGATGGCAAGCTCTTTTATTTACGTACTTTACCTATAACCCAGCTTCATCCTTTGGCCTTGCCAAATGTCTTAGCAGCAAGCGGAGGACGCCTTCTTTACGCGGGCTGCAGGATTATAAGTTGTTGGGTGTGGTGAGGGGCAGCAGCGCCACGGCCCTCAAAAACTAGCAAGTGGCCCGACGTGGCGTAGTCGTTGCCAGTTTGCGGTCTAGACACCACAGCTAAAGTCAAGACTACAGCGAGCTGATTAGTAAAAGTGCAGCGTCCGGTCTAAACTCATAGTGTACTGTCCGATGTCATGCATCACACTATCATCATTACGACAACGGGAGAAGTCGGAGGCATCGGAACAGGAGAGCCTCGAGCGCTATCAAGTCGACATGCAATCCCAGTCAACTTTGCCAACCCGGTCGACGACGCTAAAACATGTCATTTCCGGCTGGGATAACTAGGTACATACGCGCATGGTCTTTTTTTCTTCGCCGGGGCAAAGTTTGCCGAGAGCATGCACCTAGCTTGGTAACTGCAGATGGGAGCGATATGTCGTGCTGGGCAACAGACTTGTGGCGAATCAGTTAGTGTGGAAGGAGAACCTGGTGAATTCTAGGCCCGTAGGAGCACCGTACTAAACAGCCACCTCCTTACTTGTTATGGCCCTAGTTGCGGGGTCTGCGCAGTGAGACGCTACCGATTCCATTCCGGGGAGATCAAAGGGCCTGGACATCCAAATGATCCAGTGGTTTACTGTGTACCAGTATTGTAAGTCTTGTAGCTCTGACACTGCCGGGAACGTCAAATTCCAGACGGACAGGAGGCCCGGCCAAGGAGCCAAGGTAGGCAGTGACAGATTGTGGTATGTACATACAGTAACAGTACCTGTGCATGATCCAATTGGACAACTGTCGTATCTTGACCTGCTGAGGGCGCAGTCTGCCAGTCTTCATGAAAAGGACGGACAGTGATTCTGAGCCTGCCAATGACTAACAGAGAGAAGCAGGTTCGACCGAGCAGTTAAGGTAACTGTGCCAAATCCGGTCACACGGTCCTCCGTACAGCCCAGGCTATTGTTAGTGGGCCCCCAGCCGTATAGTATTACTAGCGGCCATCATGCCTCCCCACGTGCATACCCCGGTAATTATAAGCCCGGGTGACCTGCAACCTATGCTTCCCAGACCGCCCTGACCAGCAACCTTCCAAATTCTCGGCACCGGGGTTGGGTTTCACAGACCGGCAAACCGAATCCCCATTCCACTTGCAGTTTTTTTTCGCCAGCATCCATCAAATCAGTTCCTTTTCCTGGTTTCTGCTCGCACCTGCGTGTTGTCGAATCTCCAGACGCAGCGGTTCTCTCTATCTGGCTTTCACACCGCCACAGTCGGAGCATGGCAGAATCCTCCTGATACGGTCCTTTCGCTTGCCGCTCCAACCAACCCACGCATCACTGTCTCTCACTTCATCCAGTGAACTGCTTTCCACGATTCGCCGACGAGCGCGGGGGCCAGACAAACTGGCCTAGATTCGAAATAATAGGTAACCCTTGGTTACCTTACCTATACCTACCGTATTTTCCGTCGGTATGTCCATTTTCTATTTCCCGTTGCAATTGAGAGTCTCGACACGACTCCCAGTTCCCGACGGTCACCTTCCTGGCTCTATCAGCCTTACCTTTGCTCCATCATCAGCATCGCCCAATCGAATATCACCACTGGGGCCCCAGTGACTTGTTGACTGCTCTGAGCGAATGAAGGCATCCGCATCGCCCGTTGCTTCGCTGCACTCCACAAGCGTTGGCCAGCAGGTTGCCCCATCCACTGCACGAAAGATCACACAGACACTTCACCCACCTCTCAGTGGTCGATAAGTTGTCGGCGGCTGCACAACCCCCATCCGGAGACCCCCAAACTTTACGCCCCCGTCTGAGCATCAATGCCCCTCGCATTGTCGCATCCCACGTTTTACACATACCCAGCCAAGCGCATTGTGGGAGTGGTCGGCCCTGGGCATCGGTAACCCACGCTTCCTCGCGCAACATGCGCAGAGCTGCCTAGACTCCAAAGAGACCTAGGGCATGTACTGTACATAAGGTAGTACTGCGGTACATACTTCCTTGCATCCCTTGCATTTTTAAGAAAAGGCCTTTTCTGTCGAATCCCATGACGCGAAGACATATATCCTGCTCGCTCTTTCTTCACTACCACATTTTAACACATCTTCGTTCATGCCCCCGCTGACCTCCGGTCTGGTTAATCGTAGTTTCTCCATAACTCGCCACAAATCGCTCTGGTCATCTTTGACCCAGACTCCGACCGATTGTTCTCGGCTCAAGGGTCCCGCAAGCCCTCCCGTCCGGCCACCACCTTTGTTGCCCCTGGACGGTCTTGTCAGCCGCCACACGGCTCCCCTGTTCGGCAAAGGTAGAAAGAACTAGGCTAGCATTGTTCTCGCCTCCAAGCAAACCATTCACCCACCACCTAACCGGGAGCACGCTTCTACGCTTCACTTATGACAACCTCGTTCAATTGATTGTTGGAGAAGGATCAGGACTGTGGGCCATTGATCGTCCTCGGCTTTCCGCTTTCCAAGAATGGCCGTTGTCCTTACGGCGGAAGAGGACGGCCATTTCTCGTCAGGATTGCGCCGGTCCCAGTCGCAAGTCAAAATAGCACCTGAACGTTCGGACTTCCGAACATCTTCGTCAGCCTCGCGCCTCAGCGACCTTTTTTCCCAGGCCTCGAGGACATACGCAGGGTCGCCCGGTTCGTCAACACTAACATCTCCATCTGTGACTCATGTCGAATCTGCCGATGAGTTGTACTTGTCGACTCCAGTGTCGAACTCTTCTTTGGCATCGGATTGCGCTGAAGCTAATCACACGGCATTGATGACAACGGAGGATGTTATTTTTCCCAACTATGATGACGGGGGCTACTTTGGCCGGCTTGGGCTGGATAGCCTAGAGCCTCCCCCGAGCCCGCAGCCGGGTAACTCGGACGTTGCATCGCCGCATGAACAACATGAATGGGTCGCCGCGTCGAGGCCCGGGAGCCCGGACATCTTGGAGAGAGCGGAGGACGACATCTCAGTACGGGCGCAGCCATCAAGACACGTGGATTATTTCTCACATGACTGGAGGGAGGAGGATATCTGGTCATCTTGGAAATTCATCGTGTCCAGGAGGGGAGACTACACAAACTCAGCTCGGTTGGAAAATGCGTCGTGGCGGACATGGATGAAGGCCAGAAACAACCTGAGCACAGTTTCGGCTGAGACCCTAAATTGGTATGTTCATTTTTTTTTCGCCTCCATTATCTAAAATGCATATTTTCTAACACGGCACAGGCTGAAAGACCACGATGTGACATGGCTCTATGGGCCGTTACAGACTGGCACATCAAGTGTGAATGACACTTCGAGAAGCTCAAATAGCACCAAGCTATCCAAGTCAAGTTCATTCATTAACAAAAAGCCGATTTTAAAGAAGAGAAGCATGTCAGAAATCATGCTCCAAAGATCTCTCTCCACATCCTCGCTTGTGAAGCAAGCAGCTGCGGCGGTGCAGGCCCAGCAGCAGGGGAATCTGAAGAGGATAGGCAGACGACCAGGGCTCGAACGAGCGAATACCGATTACATCACATTTCCCTTCTCGTCACGGGGTGTGAGCCACGATGGGACGAGCTTGTTCCCCTCGACTAGATCCTCTGGGATCATTTCGCCGAGTGGCGGACGGAAGCACATCCACTTCAACGAGCAGGTCTCGCAATGCATCGCAGTGGACATCAAAGAGGACGACGAGGAAGATGACACCGAGATGAGCCGTTATCAGGACGACAGCGACTCGGACGACGGTGCCATCATGATGAAGCGGACGCAGCCCAAGAAGAGGCGGCCGATCCTTAAGAAGACGCCAAGTCACAATAATGGTGGAGAGAGCAAGACGATAGCGATGCTGCCGTCCACTACCTTGAAATATAGGGAAGACACCCCCGAGCCTACGGAATCGGCCATGAAGCACAGCAGCCCCAGTCTGAGGAGCCCAGCGCTCTCTCCTTCGTCGTCTCAGGAAACGCTACGCCCTTCCAAGAAGTCCGGCAAGCTCTTCTTCGCCGGAGATGAGGACGATGACGACCACGACGATATGGACGACGGCAACATCAGAAGCGGCATGTACTCGTCACCCCACTACCGCGATGGCGGTTCCGGACTGCGTCGGTCGGTATCTACAGTCAGCCTATCAGGCGAGCCCGCTGGGATGCGTAGGACATCGTCCGGGATGTTCATGCCGCTCGAGGAAGGGGAGCCTCCTGCTAACGGCGACGGCCTAATCGGTCGCATCATTGATACGGTAAATACGGCCCGGGACATTGCCCATGTCATCTGGAATGTGGGCTGGAGGAGTTGACTGTTTTTGCGGCGCGAGTCCTTTTTTGTTAACCAACGTTGCTTTTTTCAGTAGGAGGCTGCTTTCAGTACCATTCGACTTCGGCACGGTTCGAGGAGTTTTCAGGGGCTGTACGAGTAAGGCGGGAAAAGCATTGGGCCCATGGCGTTAATCTTTTTGATCCCCGGGTAGCGACAAGGCGTCTAGGTGCAACACCGGAGGGAGGGACTGCTTGACCTTTGGGGCCGACGAAGCCGCTGTGCTTCGTTACCTTGTTGCTGGCGTTGTTCCCAGCTCGGTTGCGCAGTCGGTTGTTACGGACGACAGGGCACATGCATTGGTTGGGGTGTTTGAACAGGGCTGCTTTTTACGGGTACCAGGTTTTGTTCCTTCGCATTCCCGGTTGTCATCCCCCGACCACGCCGCCGTGAGCGTGGCTACCGGGGCTTGTCTGGACGGTTGAATCTCTGGTGTTCATTTGGGGTTATGGCTAAACCAATACCCGCCGGTTCTTTGTTTTTGGTTCGATCATTAAGTCGCGGTTTCGGCTACGGACGACAGGCTAGCTGCTTAGGCGCTGTATCTGTAGTTCAATCGGGCGTATGGCTGGAGTTCAGTCAACGGAGTCACGGAAGATTAAAAGTATTACATACAAAATATATTGCAAGTTGTGTTCTTCGAGAGGTGTCCTCCCTCGTGGAGAGTGCTGAATCTTGATTTGGAGGAAACCACGGGACTGTACTGGGTTCGTCCAGGAAAGGTCATTGGTGAAGCATGCTCTTGATATAACCTCACCAGTCGGCAGACGAATCGACAGGCAGCTTGCCATCCTCCCTATACCACTCACTAGCAGTTTCTATCCTAGCAATTTACTGGCATCGTAATAAGCGCGAGGCACGTGTGTATTACTATCAGAGGTGCTGTGCTGTGTAAGAGGTACCTTGGTGGGGTACGTACCTTTCCCTCGAGGTTCAAGTTGCCAAGAAGGCCTGCGTGGGTCCAACAAGGCTGCCAGCAACGCGTTGCACTGGGAGCTGCCTTGAGCTCCGTCAACCTCAAGCCAGAGCCCGTCCATCACGATTCAAGAACTCACCCCGCCTCCCACATCAACGCCCTCCATCTCGGAAGCCCCGTCGAAGATAACAGAGGCAGCGCAAATACCTGCAGAACCGACCGTAAACAAGAGCCGACAATGGATACCCTCGTGGCGCGGTACAGCCGCCCGTCATACCAACAGAATGAGGCCTTCTCGGAGCAAGAGCAGCAGGACCTCGCCGACGCCGTGCCCAGTTTCTCTCTCAAATTTGCCATGCCACCGGTAGCACATGTAAGCCTTCCTTCAGTTTTTTCTTTTTGCTTCTGTCCTACTCTCTTTCAAAAGTCTACAGCGGGTTTTGCTGACTGATGGTGCGATGCTCGTCGCATTTAACAGCCGTCGGCGTGGCTCCGCGCAGCAACAGACGACCGCTCCAACCCGTCGTGCCCGATCAAGATCGCGCACGGCACAACCACGCTCGCGTTCCGCTTCCAGGGCGGCATCATCGTCGCCACCGACTCGCGCGCCACGGCCGGCAACTGGATCGCCAGCCAGACGGTGAAGAAGGTGATCGAGATCAACTCGGACCTGCTCGGCACCATGGCGGGCGGTGCGGCCGACTGCCAGTACTGGCTGGCCTGGCTCGGCATGCAGTGCCGGCTGCACGAGCTGCGCCACAAGCGACGCATCAGCGTGGCCGCGGCGTCCAAGATCCTGGCGAACCTGGTGTATCAGTACAAGGGCATGGGCCTGTCCATGGGGACCATGTGCGCGGGCGTCACCGAGGAGGAAGGGCCGGCGCTCTACTACATCGACTCGGACGGCACGCGGCTGGAGGGGAAGCTGTTCTGCGTCGGCTCGGGCCAGACGTTTGCGTACGGCGTGCTCGACGCCGAGTACCGGGAGGACCTGACGGTGGAGGAGGCGCTGGAGCTGGGCAGCCGGGCCATCCTGGCGGCCACGCACCGCGACGCCTACTCGGGCGGCTTCATCAACCTGTACCACGTCAAGCAGACCGGCTGGGTCAAGCACGGGTTCACGGACACCAATCCGGTGTTCTGGAAGACCAAGCTGGAAAAGGGCGAGTTTAGCAACGTCACGAGCAATTTCGAGTAGCTTGGGTTTTTGCGGGTGGGTGGGTGGTGGTAGTGCATGAAACTTATGGGATCTCACGAACTGGAAGAAGACACGGCGGCGTCTCAGTTAATGGGATCATCCAGGACGGGACGGCGATGTCCCACCGGCTTTGTACATGTACACCAGAGCTTTTTGGCCGTCCTTGGCAGAAGTGCTACTCCATAATGCATGCGGTCTATGAGTGATGTATTGTACTTGTACATGCTACGCTAGCCAGGTATCCAAGATACACATACATCTCTATAAGGTGTATATATATACAAGTACCTAGAGACGCTACCCCCCACCTCTACCGAAGCCTCAAGACTACAGTATTGATGTGCTCAATACACACAAGACGATAGCGTAGTGTACAATAATACTTAAGTACTACTTTAGTACTCTATCCTGGCACCCTCGATCCTGGACGTCCACCCAGGCGCGCCCAGGATGCCGCCCTCTTTCTCCGGATCCATCGACCACTTCCGCAAGGGCAGGACGTCGAGCTCGCTCCGCCAGCCGGCCTCCCACATTTCCATGCCCGCCCACGCAATCATGGCCGCGTTGTCGGTGCACATCTCGGCCGGCGGCCGTACGATCTCCACGTTGCCGAAGCCGCGCACGCGCAGCATCGCCCGCAGCACGTGCATCAGGAACCGGTTGCTGGCCACGCCCCCTGAGACGACCAACGTCTTGATGCGCGGGGTTGTTGGAGGAGCCGCTCCTGGTTCCCGGCCGCGTTGCTGGCCCCCAATAGGGAAGGAGGAGGCCGCCGTCGTCGTCGTCGTCAGCCTTGCTGCCAAGCCCACCATGGTCTGGACCACCGGGTCGTTGAGTGCGAAGATGACCCGGCTGGCCAGGTGCTCGAAGGCGAGGCGCATGGTCGCGCGGGCGAGCTCGCGGCGTTGCGCTTCGTCCATGTCCGGGTCCTTGTGCATGATCGCCTGGACCTGGCCTCCCAGCCCGGAGAAGTCGTAGGCCATCTGCCGGCTTTCCACCAGGGGCGGCGTGAGGGTCCAGCCGTGCTCCCGGGAGGTGTAGCGCTCGATCTCGTTGGCGCGTTTGAGCGGCGGGGAGTAGTCGTAGTCGAGCGTCGCAGAGTTCGGGCCTTGGACCGCCGCCTTGGAAGGAGAGGATGGGGGAGGAAAGGCAAAGGTCTCGAGCTGGGCGCCGTACATGACGTTGCCTGCGCTCTCCAGGACTGTCCGCGGGAGGATGAGGCGTGCGCACTTGTCGAGCATGTCGCCTATGGCAACGTTGGAGGACTCGGCCAGGATCGTGTGCGAGTCGACGGAGCGGGAGAGGAGCAGCTGGGTGTGCCCGCCCGAGACGAGAAGGCTCAGGAAGGGGAAACCCGGCTTTTTTTGTCCTTTCAGATTATTTGGCCCTCCTGATGAAGTTGATGATGATAATGATAATGCTTGCGACTGTTTGAGGGCTGTCACCAGCCGCGGCGTCAACGCATGGGCCTGCATATGGTGCACAGCTAGCAGCGGCACCCCCCAGGCCACGGCCAGCCCCTTCGCCATGGTCAGTCCAATAGCCAGGCTAGACGTCATGCCCGGGCCGCGGGTGACGCTGATGAAGTCGGGCTTGCGGCGGGAGGTAATCTCCCCGGTGGCTCGACTGCGGACGGGCACGCCCCGTCCGCCCTCGGCCGGGGGCAGAAACTGCAGGGCTGACTCGACAAGAGGGGCTACCTGGGACATATGCGACTCGACGGCTGTGATAGGGTGGATGCCGCCGAATTCCCTGTTGTCTGAGCTGATCTTGGAGTTGACATGCAGGCGCGCGGCCGAGCCCGACTTCTCCAGGATGGCAACACAAGTGTCGTCGCATGATGTCTCAATGGCAAGGGTCAGCAGTGACTTTGGTGGCCATTTCTTCGTACTCAGGTGACGGTGTCGGTGTCTGGCAGGTTTCAGGAAGTTTACTCTGGCGGCGCACCCGAGCAGCCTAGTAGCGGCAATGGCGCCTCTCATTGTGTTTGTGCTTGTGTTCGAGCGCATCTCATGATTTTCTCATCTTGCCCAGAGGCGATGGGTTCCTGGTCAGCCCCCTCCAACCCCGTATGTTCCTGCAAGATCCCGCCCGGTTGTCTCGCTGTGTACCTCACCACGAAGCCATTCCCGGCTGGTCTTGGCCAAGGGCGTTGAACTTCTTCGACGTGAATTCAGCCTACAGGTCAGGTGTCGCGCAAATGAGGCCATCAGGGTGCTCGTTGTCAACCAACTCACTGCATGCGACAAATTTATGCCGGTTGGCGGACGGCTGTTGCCGGCCGAATCTTCAAACCCGTTACACGTACGGAAACCCGACGGTATCTTGTATTTTCACGACAATCTGACAAACAGAACTTCCAGGTTGTTACAGAACATCCTCTACCGGCTCATGCTGCCCAGCTCAGATCTCACACATGCGGCAGAGGGCGCCCTAGAGATCACTGGCAATGGTATTCAAATCACAAATGCTTTTCTGATGCCAATGCAATTTTTACAGAGTACCTCGGGGATTCTCTTTCCAGGAGATCCCCTAATAATGCATGCATGCATGCTACGCCTGACTCCTGCCGCTGGCAAAACGGCTCTCCGATGCAGGAAAAGCAAGCTTTATATCAACCCATCAATCATCCCTTGCCTTAACGCCCCCTTCCGCCCTTCTTCCTACCAAGACACCTAGTAGTTTTCTTTTCCCCCCTTTTTTTTATTCACCTCCCACCGTTCACCTGGACCCAATTCCTGTACTCGCACCTGCACCCGCCCGTCCCGCCATCCATCCCTCCCAAGCTCGGGTCGAACTCCCCGGCAGGGTTGACGAGGTCCCCCGTGGTGTTCATGTTGTTGAGCACGAACCGGGCGTCGTCCAAGACGATCCTGCCTTGCGCATCCACCCCGCGGGCAAAGACAAACTTGCTGCCCCGCTGTCCGCCGTGCGTGTCCAGCGTGACCGTCATCGGGTACGGGAACGTGCCGGGCTGCGTGCTGTTGTCGCGGGAAGCCGAGCCCCCGAACCTGCCCGACAGCCGGGTCGTGTTGGACATGCGCGTCCAGAGCTCGACCTTGTACCGCACCGACAGCCAGGTGATGAGGAACTTGGCTTCGCGCTGGACGCTGCCGCCGTTGTCGTCGGCCGCGCTCACGCGGTCGCCGTCGCCCAGGCTTGCGTCGACGGACTGGACGTAGAGGGTCTTGTTGAAGTACGAGTAGAACGCGTATCGCTCGGTCGGCAGGCCACGGTCGTACAGCCGGAGCGGTTGCTGGGTCGGGAAGCCAAGGGCCACGGCAGGCGCTCCCGTGCCGTCCTTGTTGACGGCCGGGAGAGGGGCGATGTCCGATGCGTTGGGCAGCCCCTGGTTTGTGGTAACGTTGCTCTGCCTACTGACGGCACGCCTGCTCAGCAGGTTGGGCCCGACCGTGTCGTTGACGGAGCGCAACATGCTGATGTAGAAGGGGGTGGGTTCGCCGGCTTTGTCGTCGGAGACCACACCGTCGGTTGTGTTGCCCAGGAAGAACATTTCTTGGAAGCTTGGGGGAGCAGGGTCCGGTCTGAGCGACAAGCTCGAAGCCGAGTCATCTCGAGGTCCCCGCACAAGGCGTCGGAAAAGAGACGAGACCCCTGTGGCAGGAATGGCGCGCGGGCTTGGGCTTGTTGTTGGAGTTGGAGGCGGGCGGCGGGGAGGGTCCCACGTCACATTCCACGACTGACGGGTACTGTTGTCGAACTGGATCTGGATGACAAAGCTCGGCTGGCTTGGGTCGAACGGTGAGACCGAGTCCGCTTGCTCCTTGGGCAGCGAGCAGGTCCAGAGCGTCGGGGGCCGGACACATGCCCTCGTCATATCCGAGTCGGAGCCGATGACGGTCGAGATGCCGGTGGGTATGGGCGGGAAGTTGGTGAGGTTGAGCCACTGCGACGGCACGGTTATATCGGTGGCCTGACGGGCATGGCGCGTCAGTAACACGCCAAGCGTAACGCCCACTGCTGTCAGCAATAGCAGTGCCAGGCAGATCCCCAAGCACACCCGCCTCCGCTTCCGTCCCTCGCGGCCGGGCCGGCCAAAGCAGCCACAGCAAGGAAAGCAGCAGCCGCGGCCATGCCACAGCCGGCCGGCCTTCCAGGCAACGGCATCCTCTTTCTCATGCCGCCGCCGTTGGCGCTCTGCTTTCTGCCTGGGCCCACGTCCCGAGACGTCAAGAAAATGATCACCAGGCACAAACGACCCCAGCGGCCGGTCTGGTAGCGGTGGTTGGTGGGCTGCAGGCGGCGTCAGAGGGACGTCCGCTAAGCTGATTCCGCCCTGAGATGTCATGGTGTGCTCCAGACCGGGCGGGACTGGGCCGGGAGAAGGCGGGTACATTTCGTTCAAGGGGTGTCCCGGAGGGAAAACCGCGCGGTAGCGGATGTTCGCGTTGTGCTTGTTCGACGGCGGCGAGTATGGAGGCGGCAGTTCGCCAGGCGTCCGCGCCTCTTCGGCCATTGCGCGTGGCTTTTCGCGTGTGGATGGTGTTCGTCGTGGTGTTCGAGTTGCCATGGAAGACGAGAACGACGTGGACGAGACGTCCTCGATGATGATCTCCGGGAGGTGGTGATGTTGTTGTTGCAGCCTTGGAGGACTCCGGGCGGCGTGGGAGGATTCAGCTTCTGGTTGTGAGTGCGCCGGAGCCGGAGAGAGCGGCTTCTTCTTATCCACGTCACTCCACCATGTTTGGCTCTGGTCGGTCCTCGCTTGATTGGGACGACCAGGGCTTTGTGCGGCTGGCGTAGGTGGCCCAAATGGGGATGTCACCTGGTCCCACCATCCTTGAGATCGAGAGCTTCCACCCGTGGCTGACCGTTGCCGGCCTGTGACACGGAGGGACTTTCGTCTCGTCGTTGCAGGACTCCCATCTTCTTCAAACAGTGTAACGGGGGTCGCCATATCATCCTCGTCGCTGACGTAGATGGCCGTTGCGAGCGTATCTCTGACATTCATCCTGTCCCTTGGCCCAGGAAAGTCGCCTTCGTTGTCACTCGCTGTGAGGGGTGACACATCCCCGGCTCTGTATTGTCTTGGGATTGAAGGAACAGCGGGTACGTAATTTCTTTGAGGGATCCGCGGTGATGTGCCGTCGTCGGTATCGGGAGACCACGCCGAGACCGGCTGACTGGGCGAAGCAGCAGCAGCAGCACCAGCCGGCTTGTTGAAGTAGGCTGGGAAATCCACCGGCGTCTCAACGACGGCAGTCTGTGGGCTAATGACAACATCCGAGTCTGAGGGCATGGCAAAGCCAATGACTATCGGCCCTGCACTGGGAGATAGATCTGCCTGTGAGGACGCGGCCTCGGCAGCTAGTCTTTCGACCCTCTTGCCCTTCGTGGGCTTACACCTCAGCCAGTTCAAGGTACCGCCATAATCGTCCGGCGCCGCACCCTCTAACGCCTTCAGCGCGGCGGCATCGACAAACTTGCCTGTCCGGGTCTCCCGGTTGCCGGGATCCCGCCTCATCTGCTGGGCGATGTGCTGCTGTTGCCGGAGCTTGGACATGTCGGTGACGAGCTTGATGCCGAATTTCGCGTTCTGGGCCTTCTGTCTCTGACGGGATGTTAACCTCCGTATCCCCCGCACTGACTGGCGACCGACGGAACTAGAAGTCCGCTGCGATGCCTGCCGCGCCGGTTGTCCTGCCGTCTCGGATCCCAAGTCAAGTAGAGGGCCATCTCTCGCCGTGATCGGTGTCAAGACCTCGTCATCTTCCCAATCCTCCCAGTCGTCTTTGCTTCTAGCAGACAAGCGGTTGCCAGAACCGCTCGCAGGTGTCTGTAGCCCGCTCATCTTCTATCGTATGTCAAGTGCTGTTGCTCGCTATTGTGTTGTTCGAGTGTTTCGAGTTCGTGATTGGCAGATAAAGAATGCTGCGCTTTGCTAACTGAAGTTGCTTCTTTTGATGTTTCGAATCCGGGCTCGTTGTGGCAAGACGAAGTGAATGCAAGAAGGTTATGACTCTCCTGACAAAGACCCCCTGGTATGTCATGTGGTTGAGTCGCAAGTGATGATTAAGACAGACTTCTTAGTTCGGATCGAAGAACAAGAAGAAAGAAACGGTCCCCGGATTAGATGGTCTCTTTGGCACGTGGCAGAGTCAAAGAGTGTGTTCGGAAGTCACACAATAGACCGACAATAACAATGGAGTGCGCTCAATGGCGGCGTAACGAGGGGCACAATGGCAAGGTCAAGAAAGAGCGCGAGAACGCGAAAAGATCAAAATTCAATAATAGTGTGTATACCAACAAGCCTCCCGCGGCCCATTCTGCCTGCGTGTCGCGTGTCCCCTACCGGCTCCCCTTCTTCCCTTGCCTTTCCTTCTTTTCCTCTCGCTTGGGGCTCCTCTGGGCCAGCTTTAAGAGCGACAACCGCGCCATATCGCCAATCGCTGCACGGGAAATGGCGTGCCAGTTCCAACTCTGCGTGCCCCCCCTGGCTTCTGTCAGCGTGCTCGTCGTCAAGCAGCGCGCTCTCTGTGAACAGTCAAAGAAGGGCCCGGCTTAAACGAAGTGGGTCTTTGTATGGAATAAGCGCTGTGTCGATGTCGGGCGTTGAGGAGATTGGTTGCGGCGAGCCGCCCACGCTCTCGGGCCGCATGTTGATTGGCTTCTTGTCGCGCATGGCCAATATCAGCGGCCGGCCAATGGATTCAGACGTGTTGCTTCAGAACGCTACACTAGTCACTTCTCATTTGTGCTTTCGCTGGAGTGAAACAATCATGAGAGAGGTCCATGTCGGCCGTCTCGGAACGTAACACGACAGATATATCATACGGTACGCTGGATGTTGTCTTGTCGGTGGTTTCCTGGGCAAAGTCAACACAGCAGGCATGTCCAGAATCTGGTCAAGGTGTCAAGGCTGCACCACGCACGTTCCCCGGATGCCAAGCTTTTCCATTCCCCGCTTCGCTCGGCCCGGCATGCAGCAGACCCACCGTGGCGGCTCCCGAACCGCCGGTTGCCTGAAGCAAGCGCTTCGTTCGGCGCTTCGCGGAGATTCTTTGATTCTCTGATTCTCGCGATATTCTTCCCCTAAAGTACATATATAATGCCGTCTTGCTTCCAACTCGGGCTCGGAATTCATCAGCTCACATGGACCGACCCCAATGAGCATGGCGCTGATAGCAGGGCAGGATGTTGTTCCTCTGCTTAGCTTCAAGTTCATTAAAGAGAGACAGAACTGGAAGCCTAAGGTACCTTAGGTACATACCTATGCAGCGGAGAACCTCCTGTCACCCAGAAGGAGATGACCCCCATCTGAAACGCTCAATTGGCTGGGTGCTTACAGCAACAATAGTCAAAAGCTGCTCCTCACGTTCGCCACGCTCCAAAGTGGCTCTGTCTAAGTACGGATTGCCTGCATATTAGGTAGTCGACTATGTGAGTTTACGACTCACGTAGGAGGACAAAGATGGCCAAACCTTCCCGATCACGCCAAGAAACAAAGCCAAGCCCTCCTTGAACAGCCAGCTTCAAGTTCACCTTAAGAGAGCAGACCCGAGAAAAGTCCATCATGAACAGAGTTTCAGAGCGGAACCTCTCCTATCTTGCGCACCAAGCGTAGGAATGAAGGTTCCAAGTGAGAGTGCGAGCACGCTTTAAGTTTTTGTCACTGTCATCACGGAGAGGTTGCTAAGACGCTTTCCTATATCAACAATCCTACCAGTCCAGCCGGATGCAGAAGCAGAATTAAGAGGCCGCCGATACGGTGCAAGCTTCCTGTAACCATCCCTGAACCTACCTAGGTAGGTATGTAGGGACGTGGCAAAGAACTATCCTTCTACCTGCTCCGCACTGCACTCTGCTTCGGTGAGTGCAACTACTAGATTCAAAGCTAGAGTGGCCAGATTTCACCCGAGCTAAACTGCTAATAAAGGATTCGAAGTTGAATTCGAAAATCAAACAGTCGCACTGCGCCTGGACCTCAACGTTTTGAGCAGATCATGAGCTGGTTTTGTGTTTGTCCAGTAACTACTAGTACTGCCTAGCTACAGGTCCTCCCGTTGCTGCGATTCAACTTGGCCCACTGTTCTAGTAGTATCCAACAGGTCCGTCTACCCAAATTACCCAAGCCAAAAAGGGATCCATCTACTCCAAGTCGAAGGCGACGGGGCCGGTGTAGGTTTGGACAACGGCGTTGGGCTGGTTGTTCATGACGAACTCGTCGTTGGGGAGAAGGTGAGCGCCGCTCTGGAAGGAATTAGGAGTGACCTGCTGCGAGACGGTGAGGGTGAGCCCCTCGGCGCTGCGGACGATGGACCAGGTGCGCGACGACTCCTCGCAGGTGCCCTCCTTGACGTCGGGCAGCGTGCCGTCGTTGTTGGCGGGCACGAGGGCCTTGCAGGTGACGGGAGTCTTCTCCATGGTCCCGGGCTGGAGGACGCCGAAGGTGTACCTTTTTTTGCAGAGGTCAGTGGCTGCTTTGGGGGGGAGTCGTGGACTGCCAGTGAACTTACAGGCACTGAGTGGAGTGCGGAATGCAGCCGGCGCTGAAGTCCGAGACGTGGAAGACAGCGGTGGCAGAGGCGACAGCCGCGGCGGAGAGGATAGCGAAGAGCTGCATTTTGGTGGTTTAAGGTAGGTGTTGGGCGCAGAGGTTGGATGATAGTTCAGGAGTAAGTTCTCTTGAGTGAGCTGAGTCTTTGTGTGGTTGGTGTAGGATGTTGGGAGTCCGACAGAAGGCAGAACTAGACTACAGTACCTATATATACATATATATATATTAATCCAATCTATAACACAGTCATAGACATGTAGTCCGCCTGTTTCTTATTACGAGGTGTTCTATCCACCCGGCACACATAAACCTGGCACCGCTCCATGACGATCGGTGGGGACGGCAATGCAACGGCAACGCATTGTGCTGTTCCTCGTATTCGGTGCCTCGCCTCAATCCAGCAGTGATCGAATCAGTCGCCAGGGCGAGAGGGCGGTGTCGCCCGGATCTGCCGACTGCGGTGCGGCTTGTGCCGTCCATAGGGAACGTCATGTCGACCGTAGACAAGGTTTTGTTGACTCTACACGACGTCGCATTGTTACCTAGGTAGTTAATCCTGGACTGGAGACTGCGCTGGGTCGTCGCACCCAATCTCACCAACTTCCTTAAGAAACCCCAATGCCTGGAGAACAGGACTCTGCAACTTCGAGATGCCAGTGCTGGTTGCCGGGCTGTCCACGATCAGAGTTCTTAGTAACGACTGCATCATAACCTTACTTGATGAGCTAGATGGCTAGCAGTTGACAGTTGACAGCTGAAAGAGAAAGCGCGGAAGTCATGCGGCTGCAAGCGGTCAAAACGGATAGCAACACGAATTCACCTTGATGGCGGTCGGCGTGGCCGGTATGCTGATCGCCTAATGGGTTCGATGATCTCAAGCTGTTCGGCATATTGTTTGCCGAGTTTGCCGGACTCTCCTCAGATCCCCAGTGTAAACACCTCGAAACCGAAAAGTCATCCACATCACCATACGACGTGCAATGGGATCAAAGACCAAGTCTGAGGTGGTTTCGAGAAGAGGTACCTCCAGTAACAGCATAGTTGCATTCGCTTGAGAGTCGCTTAACCTTGTGTAAACCAGAAGGATTTGAAACTGAAGGCGACTATACTACTTGGTCGTATAACCGAGGTAAAACTAGCTTAAGTAAAATTGATGGAATACCCGATGTTAACTTCGGTACAATGATAGACTGCCCTCTCATACGTACCACACACCTGCCTGTGTCACTATAACATGAACAGGGCCTTGATATGAAACTTGCTCCAATCGAGATAAAGTAGCACAATGTGTTCAGAAGATTAAAGCGCGTTGGATGCAGTACCACAATGCCTCAGCTTAACAGCTTAACGACTAACCTTACACTAATCCGTACTGTACCTGCAGCGGACTGCAGTGTTTGAGTGTGTGCCAATGAGGCACAGGAATGCATGCTGAGTGGAGGCATGGTCGGCAAGTGGGGCGCCGGCATTCTGAGCAAGGGGGGAGAGTTTTGAACGTCCACTTTCTTTGAGATGTGGGACCAGATTGATAACATTAACCACATCCAAGTGTCCAATAACGTTACCTCCGTGCTGGTGTGTTGTCACTCTCTACTGTGCACCTCGCGGGACCAACCTGTCGTTTCCATGCATTCTACACGTAAATGGCATGACCATTGAGCGGGAAATTATACGAGACCCAAGTCAGAGGCGATCCGGGACCCCACGGCCGTTCTCTACTGGCGTTTCCGCGTATCCGGACGCGGCACAACTGGCAGGGACCACAAACCCGGTTTAACGTGTCTCCTTTTCCATTCTCCCCTCCGGCACGGCAGCGTCCGACCAGTCCCCGGCTCCAGATCACGGACCGGTACTCCCTCCCGACCGTTGAAACTCCCCGGACGGCGTTGAGGCCAGAAGGGAGTTAGAACCCGCAAAAGTGGCGCCCTTCAACCTCGGCGGGGCGTCGTCGTCGTTCAGCGACCGGCCAGCACGGTCGCAACACCGAAGGCGGTCCTCGGTCACCGCGCCGCCTTCTAACCTCCGATTGGGCGATCCCAAGTATTTGGGGGTTCAACCCCATCAGCCTCTCGGTCGTCTATCGCCCATTCCGGGTACGTGCCTTTCTCCCTGCTTCCAAGTCTCGTGCTGCCATCGGGTGTCTGCAGGCTATGCGTAGATTGTGTCCTCATGATTGTTACACATGTCTCAGGCTAACATTGGCACTTTTCTTTTTGCCATGTCTCTCCAGGCACCCCAACTACCCCAATGTCTCTGTCGCGCAGTCCGTCCCCCATCCCCGGAGGCGGCTGGGCCAGTCCAGGTCTCAACATCGCGAGTGGCCGGTCGAGTCCGACACGAGGGTTCACCGGATCAAGCGGGACGCCCGTCATGTGGGAATCATCCAGGTTAAAGAAGGCCGGTGGCACTGGATACCCCTCATTCTCTACCAAGAACCAGGGCTTCTTCGTCCGACACATGCGCCGCTTCTCAAGCAGCCTCCCACGCTTCAGCGGAAGCCCATACTACGCCGATAAGGAGAAGCTAGGTCGCGGCAGGTGGTCGGTACACAACGTGCCGCTTCTCGCGAGGATATGGGGAATCATGTCGCGCATGAACAAAAAGACGAAGATACGGCTGCTAATTTTGTTCTTGATGTTGCTATCCATCTTTATATTCTACAACAGCCGTGAGTGACAACGCCCGCCTTGTTTTGCTCCATATGGCACATTCCCCGGCTGACCACAAGCGAAGCTCTGGTATACCACTGGCGGAGGTCCACATGGCTCGGGGGAGGGCAGAAGTTCGTTATAATACTGGGCGCCAATGTCGGCGGTGGCGTCATGGACTGGAAAGGGGCGAGAGAATGGGCGATCGAGCGAGACTCAGTGCGGAACAAGAAGAAATACGTTGCTCGTTGGGGGTACGATTTGGAGATCGTGGACATGAGCACAAAGAAGCGGTATGCACACGAGTGGCGTGAGAGCTGGGAGAAGGTCGATTTTGTCCGCACGACGCTACGGAAATACCCCAAGGCGGAGTGGTATGCTGCTGAGCCGTCGTCTCCTCCCGCTTGCGCTCGTCTAACCTTTGGTCTAGGGTCTGGTGGCTCGACCTCAACACCTTTATCATGGAGCCGAGCTACTCACTCCAAAGCCACATCTTCGATCATATCGAGAAACATGTCTATCGAGACATCAACGAATACAACCCCCTAAACATCACGCACCCGCTGGCCGAGCCATACCTCGATGCCGAGTCGCAGAGTCCCATCGGTGACGGGAAGGCCAGCTCGGTCAACCTCATCCTGTCGCAGGACTGTTCCGGATTCAACCTAGGCTCCTTTTTTGTCCGCCGAAGCGTCTGGACCGACCGGCTGTTGGACGTGTGGTGGGACCCGGTGGCCTATGAGCAGAAGCATATGGAGTGGGCGCACAAGGAGCAGGATGCGCTGGAGCAGCTGTACATCTCGCAGGCTTGGATCCGGAAGCACACCGCTTTCCTGCCGCAGCGCATGATAAACAGCTTCCCGGCCGGAGCGTGCTCCGAAAACGGGAACGACACGCGGATACACTACAACGAGCAGGACCGGGACTTCCTCGTTAACATGGCCGGCTGCGAATGGGGCCGCGACTGCTGGGGGGAGATGTACAACTTCCGCGAACTCAGCTACTACCTCAACCGGACGTGGTGGGAGCGCTTCAAGGAGGACTTTTTGGCGCTGATCTGGTTCAAGCTCACGGGCCAGAGGGTCAAGTTCTAGGACATCGGCCATGGCCGAGCAAGGTTGGGCCAGAAGCACACAAACGACGTCGCTAATGGCAACATTACCAGCCATTACTCTGCTGCGCAGTAGTCCCAGAGGGGCGGTAGGGATCTGTTCATGTGTTAACAGATTTTCCCGCAAGTGCATGATAAGTTGCTTTGCTCGCACATTGTGGTACCGAGACAGTGCAGTATGTAATTGAAGCCACAGGCTTTTTGCTTGTAGTTTTGCTTTTGTACTCTGTCGGGAACAGCATCATTGACGACGAACAACCAAAGCTATGGGATGCCGCTGCGATCAAGTTTGGAGCCATAATTCATGTATCGAGAGGCAAGATCGGCTGCTTTTGTGGTTTGCCAATGCCTATCAGTACACTGGTTGTCACGACAGTGTATGAAGCTACGGTATTATGTGTGCATAACACGTTGAAAACAAGTTTTGTCTTCCATGGACCTAAACGCTGAAAAAGACCTAGCAAAAAGCATGGGCGACTGACGTTCACATAAAGAAATCTGGCATGTGCTACCCAATATCCTAAGACAAGAGACATAGCACATGCTGCTCCTAGTTGACAATAAATGCCACCCACACTGTCCTCGGATTAATGAGGTGCAAACAAGATCCGGCTCCTCTGGGTGCATCTCATGCTTCTGGTCGCATCAAACTCATCACACAAGGATGAAGCCGGACAAAGGTTATCAGAACGTTGATAAGTTAGGGTGCCTCTTGATCGGTCATGTAACCTGCAGCGACTGTCTCATATTGGACAAGTGGTTCACTGTCGGGTTTCCGTCATCACGAGTCCACGACATAACTAAAGCCCGAAACCGGCCGTTCTGGCGGCCCCACACCTGGCCGCCCCCTTGTCCAGATTCCAGAAGCGGTAAGTGGGCCGGACCCGCCATCGATGCACGACGAGTAGCCACTCAAACCACTCGACTGGCTTTCGCCTCTTCAACCTGCAACGACATCGAAAAATCGATCGCCAACCAAGGTTTCAGCGACCAGCTAGTCTACTTCGCGGTTTCATTACTGAGGCTCTGGCTGAGTGGCGCGCTCAAAGAACAACAAAAGGCTAGACCAACTGGGTGGCGTTGTTTCTCCTGCGTTCTGGGTTGTGAGTTTGAAACAGAAGTTCCCTCTCGCGGAGGCACCTCCGAGTGCCCCGAGAGCATTGGATAGCGTTTTGTTTCTGACATGCCCTGCTATCCCCGCGTGTTCCTGAAAATCCCATCCGCTTCTGTCTGGCATTCAAACTCAAATCGATGGTTCTGTCCCGTCATTCGCTGCGCAGCCGCCAGTGTTTCGTTTTGTTCATCAACATGGGACTTCACACCACTCGCTACAACCTAGACTTACCCCAGCCTCAGCATCTGACTGGGTACCTTAGGTAGTATGTATTCGAGATTCACCTACTGTGTATAACGAAAGCAAGGGCTCTCTGCTCGGGCGTAATGCAGGTTTTCAGGATATCGACAGGCCGTTCTAGACAGGGGAAATGACTGGATGCTGCATGCGAATCCTCCATTTACAATAAACGTCATGACTCCCTTCTTCGCTTTGGTATTCACTTGACAGTCTATTGTACATTCCCCTTACCCAGCCTTTCTGTTCACCTTCGTGACCGCAATCTCTCCTTTTGCGGCGGCATCATTCATTATAGGCCTCTATTGTCCGTTGGAGTTGCTGGTCGACCGACTATTGATACCCTGCTTTGACTATTGAGGCCCGGCCGCCAGTTGCGTACCTTACTATTGTTTAGGTATCCATGAATACCTAGCTAGCAGTGCTTGGATACACTCGTTCAGCAATCCTGCCTCCACCAAACTATTTCTCGAAGCGCCAAAACGCTTCGTTCCCGATCACATACTTGCCGGGAGTAACAAGTCACTGCAGTTTCATTCGCTTCTACTGGGACTCTGAATTCAAGAGAGCAGGACTCTCTTTTAGCGAGAGCTTTTTGGGCACGAAAGAGCACAATTTTGCCATCCAAAAATGGGCAGGTTACGGGCAGCATCTCGCTTGGCCATCGTGGCTATGGTCTTTGGCTCTGCACGAGCAGCTTCCAGCTACAGCATCGTTGACACTTTTGACGCAAGCAACTTCTTCAACGAGTTCGACTTCTTCACCCAGGCCGATCCTACCAACGGGTTCGTCCAGTACGTCGATGCCGCCACAGCAGACCGCGATGGGTTAGCAGGCTTCAGTCAAGGAGGCGTCTACCTGGGTGTCGACTACACCAACACAACCACCACAGGGCGCCAGTCGGTCCGCGTCACCTCAAAGAAGTCCTACACCAAGGGTCTCTTCATCGCCGACATAGCCCACATGCCCGCCGGTGCGGACGGCACCGGCTCGTGCGGCCTGTGGCCGGCCTTTTGGATGTTCGGCCCCAACTGGCCGAACTCGGGCGAGATCGACATCATCGAGGGAGTCAACAGCCAGACGTCCAACTCGGTCACCCTCCACACGGGGCCAGGCTGCTCCGTCTCCAACGCAGGCTCGCTCGCCAGCACCAAGCTCCTCTCGGCCAACTGCCAGGGCAACCAGGGCTGCACCCAGACGACCGCCGCATCCAACACCTACGGCGCGGGCTTCAACGCCGCAGGCGGCGGTGTGTACGCCCTGGAGTGGACCGAGGGGGCCATCAAGGTCTGGTTCTTCCCGCGCGGTAGCTCCGCCGCCACGCAGCTCGCTAGCAGCAACTCGACCGCCGCCGCGCCGGACCCGTCGGCCTTCGGCACCCCGCTGGCGGTGTTCGACGGCGGAGCCAACTGCGCCATGAACTCGCACTTTGCCAACCACAACATCGTCTTCAACACCGACTTCTGCGGCGACTGGGCCGGCCGCGTGTGGAGCAGCGACGAGACCTGCTCTGCGCTGGCGGCCACGTGCGAGGACTTTGTCGGCGCCCACCCGGAGGCGTTCAGCCAGGCGTATTGGTTGGTGAATCAGGTGCGGGTGTATCAGGCCGGTGCTGAGGGGCAGGAAGACACCCGGGCGAGATTTGGGAAGGCTGGGGTTCGAGGGAGGAGATGGAGGGCTTAAGGACGGAGGCGGGTGGTGGGGGATGAAGGGGATGAAGGGATGAGGCGAGGGGGGTTGGTTCTTTTGGGAGGTCACGATTTCACTTTCTTGTCCCAACGGTTTCCGAGACAACCGGGCAGGACAGGGCCTTCTGGGGTCCAGTATATGATATGAGATGGACAAGGGATTTGGTAACTCCCATTGATGTACACATGATAACGATACCCCAAGGTACCTTCTCGATGCTAGCGTCAATTTGAGCATGACAGCCGAGCAAACGGAGGGCTTTTGCCCCTTAAAACTGAACAATTCTGCGGAGAGGGTGGGCTGTAAGTGTTTCCCGCAGCCCTCAGAAAAAGGTCACTAGCATTGTAAAGCGAAGTCTTCCACCATTCCATCGCAGTAGCAAGCTCCTCACATACAGCTCGACTGTGAGACCACATGGTTGTTGTATCCCGTATTAAAACAAGCAAAAAGATTTCGGCTAAGTTGCAGCCAATTCCCCCCACGCCCCACGCACCAACATCCCACCCTCCTTTACAAATGAAGGCCAGGTTACACTAGAGCAACCTTTACCCGTTTCCTTCCTAAGCCACTCTTGAGTCAAGACGACGACGGCCCCGGGATCTTGACGAGTGCCTCTCTGAACTTCCTCCACGTCAAGCCCCGGGATATGTCGATGTGTCTGCGCGGGTTCCTGCGCCTTGTGTCTCGGCTGGCCGTGACATACTCGGGGAGAATGACGGCAAGCGACTGTTGGATGTGTTTCGATATGGTAGGGTCTTCGATGCTGCTGAGGAACTCCCAGATGAAGGCGGTGTCGGACTTCGGCGGGTTGGTCTTGTGTCTGTCGCGGAAGACGAGGTAGAGCGAGCGGATATCCTGGCCCGGGTTATCAGATGGGCCATCGTGGGCTGGTATGCCGTAAGATGGGGCTGGACGTTTGGTTGGTGGCTGGAGGGGTTCCTCGAGCTCTCTTCTGGTCTGGGCGACTGCGTGTTTATTCTCGTCCTGACTGGTGCTGAATGTGGGACCTTGGAGTTGCTGCTGAGATATGGGGCGGCCTGGCAACAGGGACTCTTGGGAGAAGGAGCCGCCCGTTAGCCCAGTTCCACGAGAGCTTTGAAGGTGCCTGTCAGGAGCCTGTGCGTCCAGCAACCTCATCAGCTCATCACGTCGAGACAGAATTCGGTCCAGAAGGTTGAGCATGTCCTCGGAGAGCTCCTGGCGAGTCTGATCCACGGTGTCGAACTGGCGTTCGAGCACAGCCAGCTTCTGGTCTGAAGCCACCCTCCCTGCCCTGATTTCCCTCAGTTCACCTTCCAGAAGATCAATTCGCTCGAGTGCTGAGCGGTATTGGTCCTGTATAGTCCTTATGTCCTGCGATATGGCGACCCGAAGCGCATCTAGGCCCTCCTGTTGCGCGACAACCTTCTCTGACAGCTCAGTGAATTTCGTCGATGCAATGTCACTATGTCCAGTGACCTTCTCCTCCAGGGCTGAGAGAGCTTCCTTCCACTGGGCGCCGTGTTCCTCGATCTGGGTGTCAATCTTGGTGGAGAGAATGTCATGTTGTTGAGCAGCTTCCTGCTGTATCGATCTGATTGCAAGAGTCGCCTTTTGGGTGTGCTCATCGAAGCTCTTTCTGAGGGCGTTGACTTCCTGGCTGCAATGCTGAGCATTCAGAAAACTGGCCCAGGCACTGCTCAGGGACTGGTGGAATCGGTCGGGCTTGCTTGTCTCGAACGCCTCCATTGGACCTCGCGCCGTTGGTACCTAATTTGGACTTTGCTGCTCGTCTGCTCTACCCATGAGATGTTCACTGCATCCAACAAGAGGAAAGGAGTGATGTGCTGCAGAAAGACAATGACATTCAATATCTGGCTTGCCTTCAACTCCGGAGAATCTTCAGCCTCGCCCATTCCAGTTTCTAGCTCAGATACGATGCCTTATCCAGATCCCCCCTCAAAGCGCCCTGCTGCCTAAGCTATGCCAGGTGTGGTGATCATCCGCCGTGGTGCGGTGTCACGGTGGGTTGAGGAACACCTACAGGGAAGGCACGATGCACATCATCGGAACTCAGAGCTGGACTGGTGGATGTCCACGGTCTCAGCCACGTGGATAGTAAACTCGGACCCAGCACAATCTACCGCCATTCGAACGATAGAATGGCACCCTACGGTTTATTTCGCGCTCTCGGCTCAACCGACGTGGCCTTCAGAAAGAAGGTGGCGATATCATCGATCTGCTCCGGGGCCTTGAGCCAATGTCCTTCGAGCTCTGCGCCCGAATATTCTTGCCAGTCGACTCGGAACCCTACAGTGGCAAGGACACGCCTGGCTTCTCGACCAAGGCCGACATCAACAAAGGCATCATCAACGCCGTGGCCGAGCAGGATTGGAGTGGAAAGGAGCGGCGTGCTCGTCGGCGGGAATGTGGTGGGTCGAGTCCAAGAAGACATCATGCCACCGACAAAGGCATCTGATGGGTTTGCTTCCGGCTTGGACTGGGCCGGGTGAGCGGACTCGCCTTTGCCCACGAACATCTCTATATTCACCGAGAAGGGCAGCCAGGTGCTGGCGCCCACGAACGCCCCAAACCGCCTGTCGAGGTTCTCCTGGCAAAGTAGCGCCCACATGCCGATTGCGCCCCCCTGGCTGATGCCTGCAATGACGATTCTCTCCTTCCTCCCACCGAGGCTCGCGGCTTCCTGATCTATGATGGACTGAATGTATGCGACGGACTGCCTGATCCCCTCCATCTGCAGATCTTGTCTCTCCGTCGGGTCGGTGAGCGAATGAGTCTCGAACCAGGCGGGCAGCATCTCCTCGAACGCCGTGCTCCACAGTTCTTGAGACGATGGAAACACCCAGCGCCAGCTAGGGAACCTTTGCATGAGCGGTTTCTGGTCAGGCGACGCAGTCTCAGCGAGTTCCTCTGCGAACTCAGGGCCGTTGCTGCCTCGGCCATGTAGCATGATGGCAGTATGCGTGTGCTCGGAGATGGGCTCTATGACATGCACTGGGCCAAATGCCCGCACGGTGGAGGAGCCAGTCTCCGAAGTCATCATGATGTCTCTCTGACCACGAACGCGGGTCCTGCTCGGCAGATTAGGTAGGGAATGAATTATTACCTAGTGTTGGATCTGTTCGATAGGTCAGCGTCTGTTCTTAAATTCCGCGGTCCCAATAACTAATGCAAGGCATACAAGGATAAGATCAATAATTAAGGCAAGTACTTCTTATCCGCAAGTATAAGGTAAAGGAGCGGCCGGCCTTGACTTACACATTACAGTGGGTGCCCCAAAAAAACGCCCACCGGTCCATTTTACGGCAAAAGTCACCTACTTCACCTTGATTTTTCACCCCCACAACACAGTAAAGTTTTGAACGGGAATTCGTACCGTAGGAGAACTTTACAATTCTAAACTATTGCAATATATGCGCATGTTTCAATTCGCCAGAGATAGAGCAGTGCAAAGTAGTAGCTAACTTAAAGGTCGAAAGCTCAACCTACTATACGGATAAGCCTACTATAAGCCCCTATAAGCTAAAAAATCCCAACTCGAAAATCTTCACCTTTTACGGGCCTTAGGATTACACATTACCTTTATAAACAGGCTCGAATACGACTACGAAATAAGAAGCTCTAGGTAATTATCTACCTGTCTACTGACTTTCAAAACTTTTGAAGTGTGTTGTGGCTGCTTCCTTTGTAAGTGAAAAGGTTGACTATTTCTAGTTTTTGGTGCGATTTGACGTGTTTTTGAACCGGTGGGCGTTTTTTTTTTGGGCAGGAACTATATATATTATACTTGCCTTGTTAAGACAATAGGCCTAGTCTTACCAGCAGCTAACCAATCATAGCCCTTGGCTCGGTGGCCTCAGTTCAGCAACATACCTTTCGACTCCTGGACGGAACTCTTAAGAAGAAGAGCGGGGGAGGGGCAGGGTCACCCCACCAAGACCAACTCCCGCCCATCTCCGGGTCATAGTTTTGCCTCCATGACCCGGAAGCAAACAGCGCAGAGCTGCAATTCAACCTCCGGCTGGAGCATTGTGCATGTAGTGTCCCGGAGACGGGGCCGCTCAGCTCCCGAGTGGAGGGTTGCGCGTCCGGTCTCTCACAATGATATCCTCCTTCTCTTGACGTCGTCGTGTTTTTTTTTACAATCTGGGTTCTGTTCTCATCATTCCACTGGCTGCCTCATCACATACATGATACAGATACGACATGGCTTCGTCGGAAGATCAACACAGCGGCGGTGCCTACCGCAAGCACCTCCCCGACCTCAGCATCCCCCGCTTCACCGAGATGCAGAAGCAGGATGCCCATGAGTACGCAAAGGCATTCAAGGAGAGCGGCGTCCCCCCGTGGCTGCACGGCCTGTACCTGCACTGGCGCAAGCTGTTCCAGGAGCCCTTCAGGGGCGTCACAAACGATGGTGAGTTTTCCGTTCAATCAAAGAACCCGCAACATGCTGCCCACTTACAAACTGCTTACAACCCCGCCACCAGGCCGCGTCCGCCCAGACCTCTTCCACCTCCAGGACGAAGGGATGCCCATCTCGGCCATCGTCGCATCAGCCACCTCTCTGCTCTCCCTGCTCACGCCCTCCCAGCTCTCCGTCATCAGCTACCACATCGACTCGCCCGAGTGGCGATCCTGGTCCAACCCGGAATTCCTCCTGTCCGACAAGGGCATCCGCCTCGACGAAGTCAGCGCAGAAACCCGCGCAGCCGTGCTCCGCCTGCTGGAGACCACGCTCTCGCCGGAAGGGTACGCCAAAGCGGTCTCGGCGATGCGCATCAACGGCTTCCTGGGGGAGCTGGTCGGCGCGCCGCGGGTATGCAACGAGTTCTCGTACAACCTCGCGCTCTTCGGCAAACCCTCGGAGACCGCGCCCTGGGGCTTCTCCTTCTACGGCCACCACCTGTGCCTCAACGTCTTCCTGTACCGCACCCAGGCCGTCATCTCCCCTTGGTTCACGGGCGCCGAGCCGAACCTGATCGACGCGGGCCCGCACAAGGGCACGCGCATCCTGCAGACCGAGGAGGAGCTCGGCCTGCGGCTGATGCAGAGCCTGCCCGCCGAGCAGCAGAGCGCGGCGCAGGTGTACAGGATGCTGCGCGACCCAGCCATGCCCCGCCGCCGGTGGAACCACGACGACCAGCGGCACCTGTGCGGCGCGTACCGCGATAACCGGGTGGTGCCGTACGAGGGCGTCTTGGTGTCGGAGATGGGTGCGAGCCAGAAGGCCCTGGTGCGGCGGATCCTGGAGGAGTACCTGCTGTATCTGCCCAAGACGGCGAGGGAGATCCGGCTGAGGGAGATCGAGCGCTGGTTTCACGAGACGTACTTCTGCTGGATCGGCGGTTTCGGGGACGACGATGCCTTTTACTACCGCATCCAGAGCCCCGTGGTCATTGTCGAGTTCGATCACCATTCGGGCGTGTTCCTGACCAACAGCGAGCCGGCCAAGTTCCATATCCACACGCTGCTACGGACGCCGAATGGCGGGGACTATGGCATGGCCTTGCGGCCGTTGATTCCGGGCATGGAGCAAGGGTTTATCTGGGAAGGCTAGAGGAAATGATGCCACTAGAATGTCTTCTAAAAAAAAAATAAAAAAAATAAAAAAAAAGGGGGGGGGGGGGGTGCGGCCGGGGGAGGCCATCAGAGATGAAGAATGAGATTGCGGCTGAGATTAGATTTCTCGAGCATGTCGTCATCTAGATGCGGAAAACTGGGCGATAATATCCTAAGTCCCCCGAGGAACTACACCCCAGCTCCCCCCGCACGCGCACTTCCTTTGCTGTGCCAACACGAAATTGTAGCCGGGCCTGTTAGCCCAGATGTCCTCCATGACCGACGCACACCGCACGCAGCGGCGCCATTCCAGACCATTACTTCCATTGGCGCCGTCACTGCCTCGGCCGTTGTTCACCTCCTCCCCGCTGTCCGTTCTCTTCACCGGCAGAAAGGTACTAGTACTACTACTCTCCTGTCCGTCCCTCGCGTGCTTGGGCGGCGGCCGCCCCATGACCAGCTCGACCCGCTTGAAGACATCCACATACTTCCTGGCCGCCTTCCTCATCGCCAAGCTCCTCGGATTTTCCTGCACCTCGAGCAGGTCATGCGGGGCAAAGTGCAGCTGCGCAGGGTCCGTCTGCTTGCGGAACTCCGGCAGAGTTACCTTGAAGAAGTTGTGCAGTACCTTGCGGAAGCTTGGCGGCAGGCTCACGCCCAGGAGCATGTCGAGCTCGCAGTGCGTCTGGGCCTTCTTGATGAACTGCTGGTTGAGCTGCTGCTGCTGCTGCTCGGTGAGGTTGCCCTGCTGGGGCTTCACGGCCGCCGCCACGAGGCCCGAGAAGGTCGCCTGGTAAGCGGATTGGATGTCCTTACTCAACGCGCTTAGGAGGTTGTCGAACTCCTGCACCTTGACGACGCTGGAGGAGACGGCGCGGCGCACCTTCAGGTAGGCCTGGTACAGCGCCGGGTGCGGGCGGCTGGCAGCGGCGGACGCCGCGACGGGGTCCTGCTGCTGTTGCTGAAGCTGCGGGTTGACCTCGTAGAACTGTACTGCGCGGTCGCTGATGGTCTCGAGGTGCATAAGGCGGCGGCAAACAGCCGACAGGAAGCCTCTCGTGGAGGAGCAGAGCAACAGGTGCAACGAGACCTCCTTCTTGGACTGGAGATACCTCGTAAGCTCGGGAAAGCGGTTCTTGTCCTCCAGCATGGCCATGATCTCCGGGTCCTTGAGAAGCCCAAAGAGCCGATCTGCGAGCCACGCGAGCAGGTCCACGCCCCATTTTCCACATCCCGCTAGCGAGTCTACCACCTCAGGGTCGTCCAGGGGGTTTAGCTTCTCCTTGATGTTGACTGGGGTGTTGCTGGCAACGGTGATGAGCACGACGATGTTCCTCGCGTTTAGGGCGAGCATGGCGAACTTGGCGCTAAACGGCCGGGGCTTAAAGTCTCCCTGGAAGCCGAGGTGGCTTAGCATGCTGAGGCATGACTGCAGATACGTGTTTCGGACTAGTAGGTCATGATGGGCCTCTTCGGAGTAGTCGACGACAATCTTGAGCACGTTAACCATCTCTCGTATCCAAGAATAAGCGAAGTCCGGTATGTGGGTGAATGGCCGGGCGACGGCCAGGATATCGTCGCATGTGATCTGATAGGCGCCCGTCGTGGATGCTGCGATGCTCAGCGCTGCCAGGATAGCCTTTTGCTGGGCTAAAGCTAAAGTCAGCGCATGTGGGAACCAGGTCCGAGATATCGAGCTCCCTGTTGACAACTTACGCCCTTCGAGCACAGTGCCAGGGCCCTCCGTGGGGTAGTGTAGTCTGTTCCATTTGACCGTCCAGTCCTCGCACAGCTGGGCAAAGGAGCAGTTCGTGGGTGAGAAGGCCACCTGAAGACCTAACGTGGAAAATTAGGTTAGTCGGACTCTAGAGCGTGTGGGAAAGCCACTGGAGTGCTTGACGAGGAGGTCTGCTCACATGGTGTGTCGTTGGTAAACCGGAATCCGACTTGAAGTGGACTCGTGATGCTGTCGACATTCTGTTCATTATAGACCTCATTCATGGTGAAGCGGTCCCTGTACTGCACCGTGCCATCGCTGAAGGCAAAGCAAAGGACTCGGCCAAACTGTATTGTGTGCACCGTTACCACGATTTTGGGGAATATTATCGGGTCAAGTTTGCGCAGGCGCGTCATGGTCTGGGACAGGTTAGCCGCCATGACCCACCGACCTTCCTCTCGGGAAGGAAGTTATACGTACCGGAGGAGTAGTCCCGGCGCCTTCCTTAGAAGCCAGCTGCTCGAAGGCCGGATGAAGGGACTGGGGCTGATCGCTGACGACCTCCCAACGATCAATGATACTTTGGCTTTCCTGGTGGTAAGAAGCCGCGTCTTGTGGAACGTATGACCGCACCGTTAGAACAACCGGGGGCGCCATAAGCTTGGCCTCTACGGTAGCAGGGAGGATCTCAATGTGCGAGATCAGAGCCATGGACGCATCCAGAGCCGACTCGCTGGAGCCGTGTTGGATCCAGTTGGTTACGGCGACATGGCTTTCCTTCAGCGATGGCCTCAAGGGAACGCTCCCGGGAGGCACTTGTTTGTCAACCTGAGGCAGGCCCCACTGAAGGTTGACACGCACAACCCTCAACTGCTTAGAGGAGGTCGCAAGAGCGAGCAGAAGCGTGTCTGGCAATTTGTATCAGCAAGCCGAACAACGGATAACGGGGCGCGAACGGAAGGAAGGGGCCAATGTAGCATGATGCATACTCTTATCGGAGCATATTGACGCATGAGTGATGAGATCATCAGAAGACGTCACGCTCTCGAGTTCGATTGCTGTCTCTTCTAGACGGCCGTTGCTCTGAAGAAAGAAGAGCTTGAGTGTGCCGTTCGTTGTGACACATAGGAAGGAGCTTTTGGAAGAGCTAGGGTGCCAAGGGCCAGAAGCAGGGTAAAACTGATGGTCATACTTGTAATCGCCGTTCTGCGCCCTAGTAGCCGGGCCATGGAAGACGTTGAACTACCACGAAGGATTAACAAGCCGAGAACGACAGGGTTGGGGCCACGAGGGGGAGAATAGACAACTCACCGGCTTATTAGGCTGCAGGCCCAGGGGAAGCCAGTAGCAGCCGACGACGGCATGGAGATCATCGACCACGTCGGCATCCCACCGACGGACAATGGGATAGGGGCGGTTGAGGGTGATGGAGAACCCCATGATGGTGATGCGGCCGAGGGCATCGATGGCGGCGAGGTCCGGGAACGCCTGTGGTCCCCAGGCCAGGTGGACGAAAGGAGCACCGGCCGATGCCAGCGAGAGCGGTTCAGAGGGGTGGCTCTGGGTCGTGGCAGAGGCGGATTGCGAGACAGGGCACAAGGAGCTCGGCTCGCTCAGCTCCCATTCGCCGTCGTCAGGCCTGCAGCGAAGGAAGCGGAAATCGACCGACATGCCGTCCTTGGCGATGACGGCGATGGTGCCTTGACGCGACCAAGCAATACTCTGGCAGCAGCCGCGAGTGCGCAGCTCGTCGAGGCGCTGAAGAAGTTGCTTCGACGGCGGCGAGCGAGCGGGGAGTGCTGCGAGCGCGTTGTCCATCACAGGATCGCCGAATAAGTCGACATCGTCGAGAGCCATGGCACCCTCCATGCCCTCAATGGCCCCTATCCCGTCCATGCCCTGAATGCCCTGGATCCCCTGGATCCCTTGCATGCCCTCAATGGCCCCGTCGACGTTCATGGGGTCGCCCTCCAGGAGGAGGGCCATCTCGTGGGCGCTCATCCGGAGATTGAGCCAACTCCGAATGGCGGCATCTGCCCCCTGCTGGATGTTCCCAAACTTGATGCCAGCCGAGAGCGTACGGAAGTGCGGGAAATTCGCAGAAAGTGAAAGAAAAGTTCGTGTTCGTCTCGCTAACCAGTGGAGTGTGGCGGGTCGTTGCGTGCAGGAACAGACCAAAGGTGTAGAAGAGAAGGTTCCTCAGGACAATAAGGCTGAAGCGGCCAGGCTGTGATCTGTCGTGTAGGCGTCGGCGTTTGTTTAACGATGCATAATCCGCCCCGGGAAACTTGGATCCTACGTGGTTGATGCTAGGGTGACGTTGTTAATTTGATGCTGATATTCTGCAGGTGAGTATGTAAGTTATAATAAGGTAGGTACGCAGATGTGAAGATGAAGATCAATCGACAAGATCCCCTGGTAATCTCCGTAAGTGGTTTGAAGATTCCAGGTTATTGAGTCGGAAGCTCCTAGCTAGGCCTGCCAGCTAAATACACTGTGTCTGCTCTGGAACCTAGCGTACTGTGCAAAGTACTGTAGAGATTGGCCAATTGAAAGGAGGTGGAGTGGCCCATAAGTGGGACTGCATGCAGACAAAGCGGTCTCATTGTCTGTCCGGGCCCTGGGGAGCAACCTTATCTGCTGGGACCGTTTCCGAGCAACGCGTGCGCAACAATTAGCGATACGTCACTCCCTTGTCACACAAAACTTTCTATAGTTCTCTGCAGGGTCCAGCCGACCAGAGTTCGAGGTCGAAAGACGCCATTGCAAATTCTACATAGCTGGGTGACGTTCAGCCATGCGTGGACTAACCACTTCCATACAAGCTGTGCGATCTCCTTAACGCGTCTGTGGACTAATAACTACATATCCGTACACGCTTAAAGCCCCAGGCTCGCGGCACGGTTGGAAGGCTGGTGGGGATCTGAACCGAAGGTGAAAGCCCTGCGCACCAATTGCCAACTCGCAATCCTGCCACGCCCTGTTGCTGCCAAAGGAACGTCAACTTCCTTCTGCCCAGCCATAACCAGGTCTATTCTAACCATCTTCACACAATCGACGCGTGACGCGTGCCAATAAATCATTACCTTACGTGTATCGGAGCATTGCCCTTCTACATGCGCCGGATTATCCCCTCAGCACCAAAACACGATACCGAAGCGCGCAGAAACTAAAAAGACCAACAAAGTTGTCAGATACACCGTCATGACATAAAGCCGCAACCTTGACTCTTTTCCTGCAACGACCTCCTTTTAACCTTTTACACCTGCGGGCTTACTCCCTGGCATCCTTTCTGCACCAAAGAAACGCCGAAGTTCGCAGCCATGGCGTCGTTGCGACCAGAGCCGACGTCCCCGCCTTCCTCACCGTTGTCCGTCCTTTCGCAGTCGCCATCCCCACCAAGTCCTGACCTGGACCTTTCGAAGCGATACCCCTCGCCCAGCTCCAGCGCTGGCGTACCTGGCAGCGCATCGCCGTTGAAGCCCTCTGATACGTCAGATTCGGCCGGGGAGATCCGCGTTCGGACAGACGGGCCACCGCCGCCCAAGCGTCGCCGCGTCGCCGTGCCTCGGAAACCACGCACGACTGCGTACATCGACCTGGAGAACCCTACCGAAGGAGAGGACGAGAACCTTGGCAGACTCCTGTCAGCCTTGAGAAGGAAGAAGAAGATCGTGGTCATCGCGGGTGCTGGTATTTCCGTGTCTGCTGGGAGTATGTTCATTCTATTAAGAAGCACCTCCATACTATCCTACCGGCATAGCTAACCTCTCTTCGAGTTCCTGACTTCCGTTCTCCAACCGGCCTATTTGCGAATCTCCGCGGACAGCATAAACTCAAGGCCTCCGGCAAGCATTTATTCGACGCATCGGTGTACATGCACCAATCTTCCACCGAGTCTTTTCACACCATGGTCCGCGAGCTTGCGCAGATGACGTCGCAGGCCAAGCCGACCCCGTTCCACCACATGTTAGCCTCCATCGCTGCTGAGGGTAGGCTTCTGCGCATGTATAGCCAAAATATCGATACACTTGAGACACAGATGCCGCCCCTTTCCACCACGGTTCCCTTGAATAGCAAGGGGCCTTGGCCAACCACCATTCAGCTCCACGGTGGACTCGAGAAAATGGTGTGTACCAAGTGCGGCCACCTGGAGCCATTCAACGCATCCCTATTTGAAGGCCCGGAACCTCCCTTGTGCGAGAGATGCAAGGAGCAGGATCAAGTGCGGACGGCCTTCGCCGGGAAGCGAAGCCACGGTATCGGCAGGTTGCGGCCGAGGATAGTGCTGTACAACGAGTACAACCCCGACGAAGAAGCCATTGGAAACGTGTCCCAGGCGGATCTGCGGAGGGTGCCCGACGCCGTCATCGTGGTCGGCACAAGCTTGAAGATTCCTGGCGTCAGGAGGCTCGTCAAGGAAATGTGCCAACTAACGAGGAGCAGGCGTGACGGGATTACTGCCTGGATCAACGTCGACCCTGAACCCCAAGGCGCCGAGTTCAAGGATTGTTGGGATCTGGTTGTGCGTGGGAAGAGCGATGATGTCGCCGACCTCGTTAACTTGCCGCGCTGGGATCAGCAAGATATCGGCGATCGTGAAAGCTACATGGTCACTGGCGACGAGCTGAAGGAGAAGCGCTGCGAGATCAGTCTGAATCGCGATAGGATCGACGTTCTTCTCGAGCGCAAGCGCTTGGAAAGCGCGGCGGAGGATGATTTCGTGTCTTCCCAGGACGCGCAGACACCAGCAGGCCGGAAACGCAAGCTACTTGAGCAGGGCGGCATGCCTACGCCCAGCGCAAGCCCCCGTGTCCGCAGCCCGCTTCCTATGGTCGAGCCCTCCGTGACCAAGACCAAGAGCAAGCAGACTACCCTGTCCTTTGGCTCTGCAGCTGCCTCGAAGACCCCGGCTGCTGGCTCCGGCCCGACACAAAAAGCCGCGCCCAAGCGGAAACCGCGACAACCAAAGAAAGAACCGGCCAAGCCTAAAAACAGGCTCGACCAAACTTTCAAAACAACCAAGTCAGCAGCGTGGCCACTCAAGGACATCAAAGCCACTCGAAAGCAAACCCCCTCCGAAGGCGACTCATCAGACTTGTCCTCGCCAATCAACCTGCCCAACGACTTCCTCAGTCTTCCGTCCTTGCGTCCCCAAAACAGAGCCAGCAAGCCCGCCGCGCTCACAGTCCTTCCCGGTCCGCCCAACGTCGGGACTTGGGAAATGGGAGTTGCAGACGGAAAGGAGTCGTCTGACCGACCTCGGACGCCGACTGAAACGGTGGACACCGGTTGTGCCTCGATGGGGACAATCTCGCCTACCTCAAAGCCGAGGAGTATGGGCCATCTTATTGATTGATTGATGGGGTAGACCTGGGCATTTTCATTGAGCGAGAAAGCTCTATATATTTAAGGCAGTGCAGTGCGCTGACCTGATTGCACGGGAACTGGCTATTTCGGCATCCTCTTGCTCTCGGCCTGGGCTTGACTCCAGGGAATGTACATTCGTATGCGCTTGTGATGCGGATATAGAGCGTTTGAGGGAATCTCGCTGTCCCACTAATGTACCGGCCAAAGAGGGCAGGTGATGGTAGTCTTGATATGGCCGTCGGGAAGGTTACTCCTTGTTAGAGTTGAGACTCGGAGTTAATGAATACCCTGGGATGATTTGTGGCTAGGCTGGGTTAGCCTGATGCCCGAGGGATGGTAGTATTTGTGCTGAAGAGGGATATGCTGCTCGGTTGTATTAATCGTAGTTAGGGGGCGTGTGAGGACCTGAGGACGCTTGAGAAAGGGGAGCACCTGGAGATAGACAAAATCACTGAGAGCAGCATTTTCCACAATGACAAACAGGGAGGACCACTTCCAGATGCATAACCTACTGTGTTCCTCCGCGCCACAACCGTACCTTACCTAGGGTAGCTAGTACTACTCGCCAGAACCTAGGTAGTCTAAAACGCCCATCCATCCAAGTCCCTGGTCGGTAGGTAGGGAGGCAGAGAGGTAAACTCAGTTGCTATCCTATCACAAGAAGATGCATACCTGAGTTCTGCATGCAATCCTGTCCTCATCGTCTCTTGTACTCTGCCCACAATGCTCAACCCAACCACCAAGGGCACAGGAAGTCACTTGAACACAGACAACACGCAAATGCCATCCATACCAGACCATCGTAGCATGATTCACAGGGTCCCGCCTTGCCCACACCATCGATTCGCTCTAAAAATGGATGTCACAATGCCGCGCTAAAAAGGGAGTATCAAGACATGCCACAAGACGCTAAAATGCAAGGGCTTTTCTCCCGCCTCTGTCAGGCCCCTCCCAGCTGCCCCAGATAAAACCTCATCTTAACCATAGCCCTCTCGTCCATGCCACCCAATGCAACCCCCAGAAATGTCGCCGATCAATGGTGGAGAGGGGCCTAAGAAAGAACAGAAAACCCTCCAGATCTCGGAATCTTCCCACTCCAATGCGCCGAACCCATGCGTAATATGTGTAAGATGCGATAAGTAATTTTCAATGGACAACAGAAAAGCACGGCGGGGACATTGCCCTGCTGTCGGGAAGGGCAGAAATATAATAACTCAAGCCCCGTTGCCCTGCCCCTTACTCAGTAAGGGCTATGGCGGGCGGGGGGGCTGCGGCTCTGCCACGAAGAGTGCCGCAGAGGGGCGCCCCTGTTATCGGGCCTGCGATGCCGGTAGAAATTTAGACGATCGTTATCGTAAAAATTGTGCCGTTTCGTTTCCTCACGGCGGTCATCCCGGCGGTCATCACGCCTCTCCTCGCGGCGCTCCTCGCGGCGCTCTTCGCGGCGGTCGTCGCGGTACGGGTCCCGCGGACGACGTTCCTCGCGGTCGCTGGCGATCTCGCCATCTTCCAGGTCCGGATTCCTCGCGCGCCTCAGTTCGTTGGCCTTTTCTTCCTCGCGCTTGGCCTTGTCCTTTTCCACGAGGTCGCCGAACATCCGCTGTAGCCGCTTGCCGGACACTTTCACTTCGCCGATGGGCCAGATGGACGACAGGAACTCCCTAGAGAATGTTAATGAGTGGCGAGGGTGCAGTGGAGAGTGCGTGCTTACCAGAAATGTGGTTCCAGGCTGTCCAGATCCGTCGCATTCTGGGCCCGAAGCCCCTTCAAAAAGTTCCCAAAGGCGCGAATCTCCTCACCCAGGATTTTGGCCCGTTCCTTAGCTGCCGGCACACGCTCCTTCGAGTACATGATGCGTTCCATGTTTGCTTTGAGGGGCCGGAGGACAGACCAGACAAGTTGCGCATTGTCAGAGTTGTCGATCTCGTCATCACGAAGCTTGGCAAGTTCATGGAAGCGCTCGACTGCCTTCTGCCTCTCGCGCTTGTATCTCTCCATGGTTTCTGGATCCATCTTCGGCCTCTCCTTCTCCTTGGACTTCTTTTCGTTCTTAGCATCAGCTTCCACCCGCCGATGCTTCAATGTGCGGTCGTCGTATTCATCGTTGTACTTCCGCTTGTCTGGCCTGGGCGTACCGCGATCGTTTGCGTTGCTGTAAGATCGATGATGATCACGGTCGCGGTGTTGGCTAGACTTCTTCTGCAGCGGTGGGGCTGGGGAGGCTGAGACGGAACTGCCGTCTCCGCGGCGGATACCGTTTGTCAACAGCTTCTTGCTGCGGTGATGGTTCTCCACAGCCTTTTTGGCGTTCTCGTCATTGGAGTATTTCGCCAGCAGAACAGACAGGAGATACTCAGACCGCCGGACAAGGTGCACAGCTCCTGGGGACTGGATTCCCCTGTCGTCGGTCCTACGGCGCTCCTCTTTCTTGTCCACGCGGTGTTCCTCCAAGAAGAACTTGTCCTGCATTTGCAGCTCGGGGTCATCCCTGATCTGCGCCCAAGCGCCAAACCCGTACTTATCGATGCCTACTAGCAACATGCCATCTTCCCGGGCGCCCCATTCACAGGAATACTGAGCCGATTTGGTGGCGTCCGGTAACCTGAAAGACAGGGGATCGCCGTGCTCTCGGAGGACACGACGTAAGAGTCTCAGCTGAGGTGGTCGTTCAACAACTGTCTCCGCGTTGACTTTGCGAACCTCTCCGAAGTCGACCAGGACAGCCTTCTTGTCTTTCTTTGCAAGTGGCTTGCCTGCCCTCTCTTCCTCTTCTCGTACTTTCTCGTTGTTGGCGTCGACTGCCTGCCGGCTCACAGCAACAAGATCCTCTACGATTGACTTCAGGAAGTCCCGGTCTCGGTCACTGAGGCGGGCGTCGTGCACGATCTCTTCTTCGCGGTCCTCAAAATAGCCGTAGCGGAAAAATGCCCGGATGAGGTTTCTCGTCTCCTTCTCGTTGAGGGGACGGCGTGGATCCGAGAGCAGGGCTCGTTGTTCTTCCAGCTCCTCCTGTTCCTGCTTCTCCCGTTGCCTTTTCTTGGCAAATCGCTCAGCCCGGTCGGTTTCGGCATTCTTCTTAGAGCCCTTCATTGCCGCCTTGCGAGGAGCATTCTCTTCCAATGCCTTAGCCAGGTATTCCTCGTGCTGCTTCCTTTCTTCCTCCTCCTTGATGACGGCAAGCTGCTCCGCGGGGATGATTTGGTCCCAGTCGAGCGCCAGTTCGTCCACTTTGACATCGGTGACTTGCATCCAATTGTCCCAGTCGATACCGCCACTGCTGAGGTTGATCTTGTCATCAATGTCGGTCTTCGTGACTTCGGCGTTCTCCAGAATAGCGTCAATGTCGAGCTGCTCAAGCTTCTCCTGATTACTGGACTGCTCGAACAGATTCTGAGAGCGCATCTTGAGGATCATGGAGATATCCTCCGCGGTTTTGGCTTCGTCAATCCTCAAACCTCGCTCCTTGAATTGCTCACGGAGGGCTTTGCCCTCATCCGTGACACCGGCCTGGATGGTAAGATACTCTAGGAACAGCTTGTTGCGAGCACGTTTGACCACTTCCTCCTCAATGGTCTGCTTGGCAACCAGGCGATACACATTCACGGGCTTCTTTTGGCCGATTCGGTGAGCCCGCGCCATCGCCTGCAGATCGGCCTGGGGGTTCCAGTCCGAGTCGTAGATGATGACCGTGTCAGCAGTCATCAAGTTGATGCCCAGACCACCTGCTCTCGTCGACAAGAGGAAGCAGAAGTCATCACTGTCCTCGGCATTGAAATGGTTAATGGCCATACGCCGAGGGCCGGCAGGTATCGTGCCGTCGAGCCGCTGGAACTGATACCCGCGGACTCGGAGGTAATCACCCAGGATATCAAGCATTTTGACCATCTGGCTGAAGATCAACACCCGATGGCCATCCTTCTTGAGCTTGGCAAGAAGCTGATCAAGCAACATCATCTTCCCACTGCTTGTGATGAGGCCCTTGATTTGGTCTTCCCGACGGGTGCTGCCGCCAAGAACCCGCTCTTCGGCGCCCTGAAACATGTAGGGGTGGTTGCTGACTTTCTTGAGCTCCATCATGATGTTAAGCAACGATTGCTTATGACCGTTGCTTGCATCACTGAGAGCAGCGTAGTTTCGGGTTAGGATATTTTTGTAGTACTCGAGCTGAACATCCGAAAGCTCAACACGGATGATCTTTTCCGTCTTCGGCGGTAGGTCTGACTCGACTGTCTCCTTAGTGCGGCGTAGGATGAAGGGTGCGATAGCGGCGTGGAGGTCTCGCAGCTTTTCTTGTGTCTTCAGCCGCTTGGCCTCATCCTGCTGCTCATCGGTGACCTCCTTGTTATCTGCAGTGGAGAGCAACTCGAGCTCTTCATCGATCAAGACTTTGCCCGGATTGAGGAAGTCCAGGAGAGCAGACAGCTCGGCAAGGTTGTTTTGAATCGGCGTGCCGGTGATCAGGATCTTGCAAGGAACGCCGAAACTGTTCAACTTGTAGTAGAGTTGGGACTCGCGGTTTTTCAGGCGGTGTGCTTCGTCAACAGCGAGCACCTGCCACTTGATGCCCTTGAGATGTTCCGCATCAGCAAGGATGTAGTCGTATGATGTGACGAGAACATTGAACTTTGTCTTCTTTGGGTTCCCGTCGACGAAGAGCTCGTACTCGCGGATATTGGAGCGAGCTGCCTCAGGACCTAGATAAACAACATAGTTCATGTCCGGGGCCCAATGGTTGAAGGTGTCACACCACGCTGGGATGACGCTAAGAGGCGCGACAACCAGGAAGGGCCCTTCTTGACCACGCTCATTGCGGAGCCAGCTGAGGAAAGAGACAGTCTGAACTGTCTTGCCCAAGCCCATCTCATCAGCCAGGATGACATTATTACCGCGTGTCCAGTTGAGGGCAAGGAAGTTGAGACCCTTCAATTGGAATTCACGGAGCTCTCCTCCTTTGATGTACGACGGCTGCTTTTCCAACTTCGTCATCCTGGACCGGGTTTCGAGATTAGTTTGCTTCCGGTCCGACTGCCAGGAGCGCGATGACCGGTCAATGAACTGGTCGATCTTGTCCTGAGCATGGCTGCTGATCAGGGAAGCATCTTCCCAGGTGCAGTCGTCATATTGCAGCCCTTTCCACTTGACGAAGTACTGCATGCTGTCGCCACCATCGCGGACAGCAACAACTCGCTCGACCTTGGTGTAGTCTTCCAAGGCCTCTTCTTCGCGCTCACGGTCCAACAACCATTGCTCGCGCTGCTCAGGGCTGATCTCGTCACCACCAAACTTCAAGTCGAGCTCGTATTCTACCATCTTTTTGTAGTAGTTCTCGAGCCGGCGGAATCCGCGAAAGCCGGCAACCGTCTCGGTTGTCTCCCAGGTGTTATGTAGATGGGACTTGCCCTGCCACTTGATGAAGTACTCGAAGTCGTGTCGAGTGGCGTTTGGTGAGAGCTCAAGCCCTTCTTTGGGACGGTGACGAAGAATCTTCTCGATGTAAGGCGAATTATCCTCCGCGTCCGCAGCCCAGTAGCCAGGCGTGACATCCTCTTCACCTTCATCCTCACCGTCGCTTTCTTGATAGGCGCCGACGGAAACTTGCGCAGCACGGCGGCTGGACCATCGCTTCTCGCCTAATGCCAAGGCAGGTTGTAACTCTTGTTGTCGGCGTGCCTTCTTCAAGAGACTGCGGGCTTTGGCGCCACCGTAAGTGTCGGAATCTGAGTCGTCAGCAGATGTTTGGCGGGCTGGGGTTGCACGCTTGGAGGCTGTCAATTCGCGAAGATATTAGTCACAGTAGACAGCAAGGCGTTTGCCGGGCACAGGTTGTTCCACATACCGGGCAGAGAGCGTTCGAGGCGGCGCCGCTTGTTGCTTGTCTTCCGAGGAGGTGGAGTGCCGTCAGACTCGAGCTCTTCCTCTTCGTCTTCTGACTCAACCTGGCCGAGGATATTAGCGTGGGTTCTACTGATGCCGAAAGTGGTCAACACTCACGATCTTCCGACGTTGCGTGGGACGTGACTGTAGGAAAAAGCTGTCAGCACCATTAAGGTTGCGAAGGAGCGCTAGATATGGTCTCACACTACGCCTTAAACCATAGAGCTCAGGGTTCTCCCTAATGTACTCGTCCTCCAAGATATGCGTAGCCTTGCGCTTCGCAGCAGTGCGGGCCGATGCTGACCCGGCACGGTCAGACACTTCGTTGCTTTGCACCGAGGCAGGACTGTGAGCAGCATCAAAGTCTCCGTCACCAGAGGCGTCATCGTCGCTTGGTACTGAACCCTCCTGCTGTTCTTCCTCGGCAAACTCGCGGCTCTCGTCTGACGAACCTACAGCATCGGCCGAATCGGGAGATGTGACGCCAGCCCCGGTGGCTTGGGCGTTAGACAGATCATCTTCACTTTGATTGTCGTCGGATAGGCGTGTATGAGGTTGATTGTCTGGGTATGAGGTATGTCCGTTCACCGGACTAGGATCCGGTGATGTTGACATGGTGATCTTCACGAAGTGAGCTGCCTGCTGCAAGACGACGATGTCAGCAAGAGATCTCTGGCAGCTGGAGCATTGCGAACGAGGTGGCTGAAAAGAGGCTCCCCCCGCGACCCGGAATCAGCAATCAAGGGCAGAAAGTACGCAATAGCCATGTTCCAATGATGCTTGTCGCATCCGGGGCGCGTCAGTGATGAAGACGAGGCTATGGATGATGACAGGCAGCGATTGGCGCTCCCAGCGACCGTGGGCACCGAATGGACAGCTCGGACGGCATCAGCTCCATCGCGGGCATCGATTTCCATCAAAAATCAGTGCCCCACGGCGTCAGGAATGTCACAGGAGGGGGTATCTTGATGGGCGCGTTCCCGGATTGATGGCGGATTTGATGGACAAGACGCGGCGGGTCTCGCCAGGCACGAGGGTGCCCGTAGATAAGGGAGTGCCATACTTACAGGTCATTAACATCAATAACCTCTAGGCAGCAGACCGCGCTTCAGGTTGGCAAGGAAATGGTATGATTAACGTTGTGGTGGGGTGTTGTGAAGAGCTCAGAATCCCAGTGCGGTTTAGTGATGGTGGTGTAGCGGAAATTCGCAGTGGTGGTCGGTTGGAGGAGAAAGAGCGGAAAATGGTGAATCGGAGCCAGGGACTGGGTCTGTGCTCACTAGGTGCTCAGTTGCCTGCTCGCAAAGCCCCACTTCTGACCCGCGTAACGCTCACCTCAATTGGTCACAAACTCCCAACAGCTCGAGCCCTCTGGTGAGGCTGATCAGCTGGCTCAGCTGCGACTCGCTGACTGGATTTGATTTCGAATAGCGGTATCTCTCTGGGAGCGGGACTGAATTTCGGCCAAGTGATGCGGATTGATCCGGTGAAGCCGTGAAGCCTCTCTAAGTCTCGTTGCTTTAGGGATTCTCTTTCTTGAGGCCAAGTGTGTAATAGCAAAAGTCGATGCCACCACACCGCTGGAAACTGTGAGGAGGAATGAGGACTGGAGTTAGCTCTGATGATCTGGGCTCAAGTTGGTATTCTTCTGGGCATAGGAGTTGATCAGAGTCAGGTAGACCACAATAGCTAAGGTAGGCCTAACAATAGCACCCCCGGCCCGTGAATACCTTGGGCATCCCCCCATTGAAAACATACCTGGATAATACCTAGGTAGTGTTATTCTGAAGTAGGTGACTACCGCAATCACCAGCATCAGCAAAGCGCACATGCATTGCTTCACGCACCACTGCGTTAGCTGGTTCTGTACATTACGTTCGGCATACTTACACCGATGCCACTCGCTCCTGATATTGATGCATGATCACCTAGATGACTTCGGTTACTGCGGAGAAACATGGATCTCGTGACTCCTTGATTCAGTACCACTTGGGCCAGTATCACCTAGTGTGCACTACAACGCCTGCAGGGCAAAACGAACCTTGGTACACACGTCATGACAAATCCTGTGACTGGGTACATCAGGAGTATATATAACTTGAGCTAGATAACTTGCATGAGAATGAGAAGATGCGGTCAGACCGTGTTTCCACTGTTGCAGGTATGTGCTACACCTGAACATGCAATGAACTAGTACTGTAGAGGCCTTTGGCAGAGCGATGGCCCAAAGCATGCGTAGTCTGCTCTCAAATCTGCCTTTTCCGTTTGTCTTTCGCTTCTTTCATTGGGGAGCGAAGCTAGGCAAACAAAGCAAATAACGACAAATGGAAAGCATCTTTTGTAGTCGAGGTGCTATTGTATTAACAAGGTCGTGAGTCTGTTGGCCTATCGGCTGCGGCACATTCGAGCTTACGGCGACACAGTGATTCAGCTTCCCGACAGGCCAGCTTGCTTGCGGTCAGCGGTGGGTCCTTGATCCCTTTGCCCTGCCCCTCTTCTCCACAACTGGTAAGAAACGTTAGGCAGAGGTTGTTGCCCCTCGCTCTGTCGCCAGTGATTCGAGATTTCTTTACCAATTCTTGCGAGCAGCATCTCCAACCGGGTGACCGTGCAGTACTTGAGGGCACAAGGTGCTATCCCTTGCCCATATACAGCCCCTCAATAACAACACGGACAACTTGCGTCTGTTCAAGACCAGGAACTACTGCCCCGCAGATACTCGGCGTCATGGCGGACAAACTTACTCGGTGTGTTGAATCCTGGAGCGCCTAGAGCAAAACAATATCATGATGTAGGCAGAGCTTTGCTCAATGGACATGCGCTTACTCTTGAAATAGTGTCGCGATCGTCAATAGCGACAAGGTACGCTCTCGAAATCCAACTCACTCGGCTCGTTATTGCCAACGAACAAAGAACAGAGGGCTGACTGTGGTGGGCGCGAATAGTGCAAGCCGAAGGTGCGCATGCCTCAGGGGGAGATACAAGAGCTGTGTTGCTGACAGGAGTAGAAATGCCGTCAAGAGTGCAAGAAGTCGTGCCCTGTCGTACGGTCTGGCAAGCTTTGTGTATGTTGCTGCCCCTGCCTTGCATTGCATCTGGCTGCCTAGGAGCTAACCGTCTTGCAGATTGAGGTATGTCCGAATCGCCAAATCCTCTATCTGTCGCGGAGCCCCATGGCCTAACTGCCAACCATGAAAGGTGACCCCGGAATCCCGCATCGCCTTCATCTCGGAGCAGTTGTGTATCGGCTGCGGCATCTGCCCTAAGCGTTGCCCCTTCGGCGCCATCACCATCATCAACCTGCCCACAAACCTCGAGAGTCAGATAACCCACCGCTATGCCGCCAACAGCTTTAAACTTCACCGTCTCCCGATGCCGAGACCCGGCAACGTGCTGGGTCTGGTGGGGACCAACGGTATCGGCAAAAGTACGGCGTTGAAGATCCTCAGCGGCAAGCTCAAGCCCAACCTCGGTCGATACGACAACCCGCCAGACTGGGAGGACGTGATCAAATACTTCCGTGGTTCCGAGTTGCAGAGTACGGGTTAACCCCGCAGCTACAAGCAGGCACTTTGTTAACACGCAGGGCAGACTATTTTACCAAGCTGCTTGAAGATGACCTTAAGGCCGTCGTCAAGCCGCAGTACGTCGACCAGATTCCCAAGGCCATCCGCGCTGCCGACAAGAGCGTCAAGGCTCTGATCGAGGGCCGCGTCTCGCTGGAGAACTTAGATGAGGTCCTTGACACCCTGGGTAGGCCAGCGTCCCCGCCCAGTCCGGCGACGGTCATCGACTGACATTGGGTAGAGCTTCGCCATATCCTCGACCGTGATGTCTCTCACCTTTCCGGCGGTGAGCTTCAGCGTTTCGCCATTGGTACCGTCTGTGTCCAAAAGGCCGATGTGTACGATATCCCACACTTTCCCGCTCCCATCACTCAGGGCACGGCTTACCATCGACAGGTACATGTTTGACGAGCCGTCGTCGTATCTCGATGTCAAGCAGAGATTGAGCGCCGCCCGCATCATCCGATCACTGCTACGGCCGGACGACTACGTCATTGTTGTCGAGCACGATTTGTCTGTGCTGGACTATCTCTCGGATTACATCTGCGTCCTGTACGGGCAGCCGGCTGTTTACGGCGTTGTTACCCTTCCTCACTCTGTCCGAGAAGGTATCAACATCTTCCTGGATGGCCATATTCCGACCGAGAACTTGCGTTTCCGTGACGAAAGCTTGACCTTCCGCATTGCCGAAGGTACAGAGGACTTCGTCGCGGAGAAGTCGCGGGCGTTCAAGTACCCAGCTATGGAGAAGACGCTCGGTAACTTCCATCTGAGCATTGAAGCCGGCAGCTTCTCCGACTCTGAGATCATTGTCATGATGGGCGAGAACGGTACTGGCAAGGTGAGTCCTCAAGCCTGACCCTTACCGAATTCGATATGCTGACGTGCGAAGACTACTTTCTGCCGTCTCTTGGCTGGTGCTCTCAAGCCCGATGGAACTCAGAAGGTCCCCGAGATGAGGATCAGCATGAAACCACAAACCATCACGCCCAAGTTCGAGGGCACCGTACGGCAGTTGTTCTTCAAGAAGATCAAGGCAGCGTTCCTGTCCCCTCAGTTCCAGACCGATGTCGTCAAGCCTCTCAAGCTTGACGATTTTATTGACCAAGAAGTGAAGAACCTTTCCGGTGGTGAACTTCAGAGAGTATGTGCATCCCGTTCGCTTCCTCGCCATGAAGCACTGTTGACGTATGATAGGTGGCCATTGTTTTGGCGCTCGGTATGCCGGCCGACATCTATCTCATTGATGAGCCGTCTGCCTGTAAGTCGAAAGGGTCCCTGTTACGCAGCCTTGATACATTTTGCTCACTCAAGCGCAGACCTCGACTCCGAACAGCGTATCGTGGCCAGCCGCGTCATCAAGCGTTTCATCATGCACGCCAAGAAGACGGCCTTCATCGTCGAGCACGACTTCATCATGGCCACCTATCTCGCCGACCGCGTCATTGTTTTCGACGGCCAGCCGGGTATCGATGCTCATGCCAACAAGCCCGAGTCGCTTCTCACCGGCTGCAACACCTTCTTGAAGAACCTGGACGTCACCTTCCGTCGTGACCCCACAAACTTCCGCCCTCGTATCAACAAGCTGAACTCACAGCTTGACCAGGAACAGAAGCTGAGCGGCAACTACGTAAGTGTTGTGACGATATTGACACAGTGATACCTGTGTGGCGCTAATACATCCCTCAGTTCTTCCTGGAGGACGTCGAGAAGAGCTCTTAAGAAGGGCGTCCACAAGGGCAACCATGATAAGCACAACCGCCGCCCTCTTCACGACGATGCATGGGATTCCGGCGTTCTAGGCGTTAAAAAAGGCGGTGGTTGCAAAAGCCGGCCCGGCGGCGCCCGGGCTGTTCTAGATGATGCATCGGAGGAGGGCGGCGCGTCCGAGGACGACGATCCGGACATTTAGCATCGGCGGCGTCAGTCTTTCCCCTGTTGCCTGGTCCTACCTAGAGTCCGGCTGCTTCTCAGAGAGGGGGTGGCGCCGTCCCTGTCGGATAGAACGAGGATGGGACGGTGATCTTGGTAGATTGAGGGGCGATAGATCAAGCTGGATGACTGCCGCCAGGCCTGAGCGAGACATACGAGTCCTCGCCGGCCACACAGGTGAGATCTACTCATTAGATAGCTGAGCCATGGACAGAATGAGATACGGACTCGATATAATTACAATGCCGTCAATCCCGTCTCAGGAGGTATATGAAGTGTGTTGGACTCGCCTGCCTGGACCTTCCAATTCCAGAATGAGTCCGTGCTATTCATTTCTGGCCCAAGTAACCTGCTACCTTACCACCCCGGTGGGCGAACACCTGTCTATTCGAAACAAAGCCAGATTTACATTGCAGGATGCGGAGAGGACCAGGTCCACTCACATGACAGCGCAACATTGCCGTCTGCACAGATCCAACGAGGTACTAGTATTCAATTCCAAGAATGCCCGTACGTTTTATTCCTACAACGCTACAACAGTCGATAATAACAAGGGGACTGTTTGGAACTACTTAACTGATTACAATTGTGCTGCTCAACCTGATATACCGTTAGAGTGCGAGCAAGTAAAGCGAACGTACTTTTGGTCAACTTGGCCAGCTGGGCGTCTCCTTTCCACCAGACGTCCCTCTCGTCCTCTCCTCATGATCTCTCAAAAGACCTTGCTCTGGCCGGCAGGAATATCTTGATCCCAGTCCTGGGAGTTAAAATCGTTCATATGGAGGTAAAAACCGTTCCTCGCCCATCATCGCCATCGCTGCAGCAGCCAGGGCCGTACGCGGATCGAGTCGGATGTTAATCCTCCTCAATCTCACCCTCCTCGCTCCCTGCGCGGACGCTAGGCGTCCTCTCCTTCTCCTTGGGAGGCGGGCTGCGAGCATTGCGGCTCGGAGAACGGTCGCCCTCAAGCTTGACACGCTTGGCGGCGTGCCTGTCCCGCCGGTCGTGGTCATCCTCCTCGGACGGCCGTGGGCGAGTACGCGAGTACGACGAGCTAGGCCGCTCATCGCCGTAGGGCAGCTCGTCGACATCGCGCTCTAGAACCCGGCGGCGATAGATGCGCTCACGGTCTTCTTCGCGGCTGCGGCGCTCGCGGTCATAGTGATTAATGTCGTCAGCACGAGGCCGGCGGTCGTAATCGCGATGGTCGCGGTGGTCACGGTCGCGCTCCCGGTCACGGTCACGGTCCCTCTCGCGGTCGCGGTCACGGTCCCTGTCTCGCTCTCGCTCACGGTCCCGTTCTCGGTCCCGATGGTCACGGTCGCGGTAGTCGCGACGATCACGCTCCCGCTCCCGATCGCGGTCATGATCCCGGTCGCGGTCGCGATCGCGAATCGACGGGGACCGGCGATCCGAGAGAAGGATGTCGGCCGCGCTGGTCTTGCGGTAGTTACGCTCACGTTCGGCCACGGCCCGGCGACGCTCAGCCTCGTAGGTGTCGTGTTCTGGGCTGCGACTCCTAGCAGAACGTACACTGCCGCGATGAGATCGCTCACCTCTATCACGATAGCCATCTAAGCGCTCGCGTCGGCGCTGGCGCTCCTTTTCAGCCTCGTCCTCCTTTTCCCGGAGGCGACGGATGTGTTTCTCGAAGGCACCACGTCGAGCGTCATCGGAGCTTACGGCCTGGAAAGCGGGCACATGAGCAAGCCGGGTTCTAACCTGCTCATAAGTATCGTTCACGCCGATAGGGGGTTCCATCCGTTTCATATGCGAACGGAGGTCTTCAAGAGCGCGACGCTGCTGCCGGTCTGACTGCCTATCGTCTTCTGAGCGCTTCAATGATCTTTTCTGAATCTGTATCATGACAACAGTGTCAGCAGATTTGCTCGGAGCGAGTTCTAAGGGAGCATGGTAAGAACGTACCCGCTCAAAGATGAGCTCCATGATATCGCGTTCAATGTTAGCCGTTCGACGATCAGCTTTGAGGACTGACTCAAACTCTTGGAATGTAGTCTTCGGGGTAACCTCGAAGCGTTTGTCCTAGGAATCCTGTCAGCACAGTTTGAAATCTCGTTAGTCAGACCGGAAACACGTACATCAATGACATCAAGGACATCATTCCTAGTGCTCCTCAGGGCCCTCTCTTCTTCCTCGACCACATCCCAGAACAGCTCCATGGCTGTAGAACCGGGCTGACCAACCATAGCCACGTAGCGCTCGTCGGCCTCGATGAGGGGGTGGATTTGACTCCACTTGGTGCCGGCTTTGATCTTGCCATCCTTCCTAAGTTCCGAGAGGAGGGCAATGAAGTTATCACGGGCCTTGCGCTCACGGCGAAGCTTCTTGTTTTTCTCTTCCTGTATGGACTCGTTGTATTTGCGCTCTAGTGCCTTGACGTGGTTCTGGAATACAGTCAAGACGTCGTATTTGCTGAGGGACTTGTACTTCTCGTCATTCTGGAAGGGAGCAGTGCTCTGGATGGTACCTTGTGCCTCAGCCCAACGCGTGTAGGGCTCCAGGTTCAGCGTGGGGAGCAGCTCAATCAAGCCGTCCATGGCACTCTTCCTCATTGTGATCTGCTGCTCCTTGTGCGCCTTCTTGAGGTCGACGATGTAATCCTCGAACAGCTGGCGACGCTCGTTCTCGTCGTTGGTGGAGCGAAAAATGGTCTCGCCTTCGATCATAGGGCGCGCAGTCTTCCAGCGCGTGTAGTGCTTGATCTCGGGATGGCTCCGGAGCATAGTCGCGAAATCGGCACGCAGCTTGGTCAGCCTCTCCTTTGCACGCTCTTTATCTTGGGCGATGACGTCGTGGCAGTACTTCTCAAAAGTAGCCTTCCTGTCTCTCGGATCCTTGATGGCGCGAAACTGCGGGTCTTTGACGATGGCACGCACGGTCTGTTCCCAGGTCCAGTCCGGCTGGACGCCGCTACGGCGGAGCAGCTTAACGAAGGCTGCTTCGGCTTCCTCGGCGGTGGCGTATTCGGGATCGTTGGTCGCGGGCACAAAGGCCTGGGCCTGGATGTTGTTGCCGAAGGTCAGCTGGCGCGACTCACCAATGGGCTCACGATGATCGCGATAATGATTGGAACCTCCAAATCCACCATGGTGGCCGCCGCCGTGAGCAATGGTGGGAGTGGCAGGTGCTCTGCACAAGTTAGCAACGGCCGGCTTGATGAGGAGATCTGAAGGGCGCTCACGCTGGTGTGGTTGGGGTTCCGTCGCCGCCGGCTAGAGCTCGCTTGTAGACATCGGGCATCTCCCACGAGCTCTGTTTCGTCTCGGTATTGTACCAGTACTTGCGACCGCCCTCGGCCGTGTACTCCTTCCATGGCTGATTTGCGAGCGCACGCTGGGTTCAGCAAAGTCAGCATGTGCCAGAAGACCTCTCAATGCTCTCCAGGGTGTCCATACCTCGGCAGGGCTCATCAACTCCTCGGGCTTTGTCCATTGCGTGACCTTGGTCAGCGCGTTGTAGTAATAGACACGGCCATCGGGAGTGCGATGATCGGACCAGGCCGAGCCCTGCGGCGCAAAGGGCGTGTTCATTCCGTTGCGTGGTTCTAAGATCGGTGCTACTTTATAAACCAAGCACAGGTGAGCGAGTCGAGGATGGATAAGTGTCGGGGTCGTATCGCCGGTTTTGAACAGGTAGGTACGTTGTGCTGCACGCGTTTTCCCAAGATGATGCTTTTCGCAAGAAATTGCACCAGAGCCGGCGACCCATGGTTCTATGATGCACGGACCACATTACCCAGGCTCCATTTGCCATTTACACCGTATGTACGGACTACGGACGTCGGTGCTCGGTCGCCAAGCCCCGAGCCACAAGGCCCGCAGCGCGTCCCAGTGGGTCAGATGCACACACCCGATGCTGGCATGCTGCAGTTACCCTGTAACTATTGCGGTCCTAGCTTCTGTTCCTTCTCTGCGACATCACGGGAGTCTATTAACTGCTGCGTACCTAGCTCGACAACCTTACTCCCTACTACCGACTTGAGAGAAACAGACAGGATAGGCGGGCTGGCGGATGATATTGCTTGCTGCGAATGGGAATTGTCCGTTCTTGCTTGATCTTTAGCAGCTCGACTCCCAGGTTCCAGGTTCCACATGGCAGTGTGGTAGACGGGGGAGCACGGCATCTGATATCGCAACGTCGAAGTGGTCAGCCAACACAATGGAGGCTCCCGACCCCAATGGCGTCGGCGGTGCGAGCGATGCCGCGGACACCTTTCTTGAACAGTCGTACCTCACATACATCATCCCATCTGCAACCCATTTCAGTCCCGAGGAGGTCCTCCGTCAAGGCGGCGGCTCGGTAGAGGGCAAGATCTCCAACATCGAGCAACGCCAGCAGCTGTTCTTCGGTACGAGGTTCGCACACTGCGCCCGCTCCTCTGCCTCACATTGCTCATTCGCAGCTTGCAGATGAGACGGTCAACATCTACTTCATCCTCAGGACACCGAGCGCCGACGAGCAGACGCTCCGTGCATACCTGCGCCGCCTCGTCATCACCCTCGACGCGCACATCGTCAATGGCATCGCCCCGGACCGGGATGGACCCCCACCGTCCGAAATCATCTACAATGGCGGGGTCGAGGGTGTGGAGCAGGCCTTTGTGGTAGCAGACGGGGCGCACGAAGACGCGCAGAGACACGTTTATGCCGTCTGGAAGCTTCCGGTTTTCCTTGCGCGGCCCAGGATCAGGGTGCAGCTCCCGTCGGTCGTCTTCTCAGGGGCCGCAAGTCTCAGGCTGAGCACTGCAGCAGCTGGCCAGCTCGGCGGCACAGATGAGGGATACATGCAGAGCTGCATGCCGTCCGGGATGAATCTGCTCGAATCGTTCGCCAACGACCCGTTGATGGGCGGCATCGCGCCCCGACTCTCGGCTCAGAGGGTGTCAAAAGTGGCGCCCCTGACCAAGCCAAGGGACGCGCTCCACCGCATACACGGACTGCAGCAGCTGAAGGTGAAGATCTACCCGGTTGTTCACACTCGAGTCCGCTTCTCGCGGCCCAACACCACGCCGCCGAGCGCATCCATGATCGCGCTGCTGGAGATCGACTTCACGCCCTACTTCGACTGCGAGGTATTACTAGACAAACTCACTCTCGGCGTCACAGGTGGCACAGTCGAAGATCTCAACATCCAAGATGGCATGGGTCTGCCGCTCAGCTGCGTGGCGCATGACCACTTAACCTTCCTCTACAAGCTTGCGCCCCGGCGGCTCGACGTCTTCAACAAAAACATGGCGCGGGATCTCACCATCACGATCGAAGCGGCCGTCCTCATCCGGCCCGAAGGCGAGCCGGATCCCTGCACGCCCCGGCTGGTCATGACATGGACCACCGCGCTGGACTTCACGCCGCCAGTCAACCCCGGCTTCGGGCAGCCAAAGACGGCACCGATCCAGCGCTCCCACCGGCCCAGCCAGCTCTCCATCAGCGGCGGCGTCGACTCGCAGCCGCTCGTGTCTCCCTCCGTCATCCGCCCGGACGCGCTCCCGACGCTGGAAGCGGCCACGGCGCGGCCGTTCGAGACAGCGCTGCCGGACTTTGGCATCACCATGACGTTCACCGGCCTGTCCAAGCCCGTCCGCCTCGGCGACGAATTCACGTGGACCGTCTTTGTCGTCAACCGCACCAGACCGGATGCCACACCTACCTCAGCAATCCAGGTTCACCCGCCCACGGCGACGGCACGCAAACTGATGCTCGTGCCCATCCCCCGCCGCAGACGCAACGAACTGCGGGTTGTCCGGCCGCCGTCGACCGCGGGCTTGGCGGGGTCGGGACCGTCCAAGCGGGACCCGCTGGTCGCGGACGCGGTGCTGGATGAGAGCGTGGTGCATGCGATGCAGCGGAACAGCGTGGTCGACGCGGCCGAGCTGGTCTGTCTGTCGGCCGACGTGCGGGTGGGACCTCTGGCGCCGAGCGCCTGTGCGGTGGTGGAGCTACGCTTCCTCGCGCTCCGGGAAGGGGTGGTGGGCTTGGAGGCAGTTCGGGTCGTGGATCTGGGGAGCCAGGAGCACGTAGAGGTGAGGGAGTTGCCGCTGGTCGTTGTCTCAAAGGGGACAGAGGATACCGCCGCATAATTGTTGTTCTGTTGCCAGGACTTTAGGATGAAGAGAGAGAAAACAATACAACGCCACCGCTTGATCGACACCGCCGTCTACCCTTTTGGTATTCGGGCGGAGAAATTATACCTACGCGGGCTCGAATCGAGGTACCTAGGTGACACAACTCTCGAGCAAGTGCTTTTGCAGTCGTTTCCAAGTTCCCAGCCCTGAGAATCCCAACATTCGTCCGAGACTTCCCACCCGCACCGGCCGGACCTTTAGGGTTGTCAAACGTCCGATGTTGGTCTGAGACATTCGGTACGGAGAGCTCTCGCGTTCCGTGTCAACAAGTTCACTAATTCCCAACAATCACACACAGACACTCCAGGCTAACAGCAATGCAGCATGTGACGAAATGCTCGGTTCGAAGGTCGGACTCCGAGCCGCGCGCCATACGTGTCGCCGACCTTCCGTGTGTTCTGGCTACGCGCATGAATTATTCGTTTTTGAATGGGAGAGGGGAAAGACATCTCAGGCTTGTGTAACACACGTCTGTCGGGACTCGGTGCGGGCGACGGGACCAGAATGCTCCGTCGGGTCTCGCTTTTTCTCGTCTCCGATACATAAGTAAGGTACCTACTTCCACGGCCAACGGGCCATGGGATTCCCAACACCACTGGTATTGGAATTACGCAGAGAATCTGGTTTCCTTCTCCATTCGTCGTCGTCGTCGACCATCCCATCCCATCCCACCCCATCCCCCGCGCCCCCTTGCCATCAATAATTATGTCGGCCTCGAGGATCGCCCAGCTGGCTGAGTCCGTCGCCAGAAACACCAAGGTGCTCGACTCGTACCTGCGGGACCACAACCTGCCCTTCCCTTCGTTCGAGGCGGATGGCCCGGCCGACTTTGGCATCTCGGATGACGCGCCCGAGGTCGAGAAGGCACGCACCGAAGCCATCGACGCGGCGGCCGAGCTCGTGGACCTGCTGCAGGGCCCGTGGGTCATCCTGAGACCTCTGGTATGTTGTTTTTATATTTGTTTGTTTATGTTTTTTGTATGCGGAGAAACTCCGTGTCTCAGACTTTTTTCTTCTTTTTCTTTTTTTGGCTAACAACGGCGTAGACCTCCGGCATCAGCCTGAACGCCATCTCGCGCTGGGATATCGCCGGCAAGGTGCCGCTGCAGGGCGAGACCACGTTCGCGGCGCTGGCGCAGCAGTGCCGGGTGCGCGAGGTGGACATGCGGCGCATCCTGCGCTACGCCATGGTGCACCACCGGCTGTTCCGCGAGCCGCGGCCGGGCGTGGTGGTGCACTCGCTCGCGTCGCGGCTGCTGGTCGACGAGCCGCTGCTGCGCGACGGCCTGTGGCTGCTGGCCGAGGAGCACTTCGCCACGGGCCCGCACGCCGTCGCGGCGCTGGAGAAATGGGGCGCCGACGAGCAGCAGGAGCTGAGCCACGTGCCGTACTCGCTCGTGCGCGCCGACGGCAAGAATCTCTTCGAGTGGATGCAGACCGACCCGGAGGGCCGCGCCATGGCGCCGCGCTTCGCCCGCGCCATGACCTCGTTCGGGCTCTTCTCGAACCGCCCCGCGGCGGCGCAGCGCGTCGGCCGGCCCATTGACGCCTACCCCTGGGCCGCGCTGGGCCGCGCCACGGTGGTCGACCTCGGCGGCTCGCGCGGGCACGACGCCATCTACCTAGCGCAGCGCTACCCGCAGCTGTCCTTCGTGGTGCAGGACCTGCCGGCCATGATCGACGGCGCCGACGAGGCCGTGCCGCCCGACGTGCGCGGCCGCGTGCGCTTCATGCCGCACAGCTTCGTCACGCCGCAGCCGCTGCCCGCCGACCTGTACATGATCAAGCAGTGCCTGCACAACTGGCCCGACTACCAGTGCGTGCGCATCCTGCAGGCTCTGGTCCCCGCCCTGCGCCCCGGCGCCCGCGTCCTCATCGTCGACGGCCTGGTGCCCCCGCCGGGCGAGATGCCGATTGTGATGGAGCGCAATGTCAGGGCCTACGACATGTTGATGCTCGCCAGCACTCCCGGACGCGAACGGGAAGAGCACGACTGGCGCCGCATCTTCAACGAGGCCGATGAGCGTTTCAAGGTGAAGAGCATTCAGCACCCTCCGACCGAGGGAGACATGGGACCCTCGCCGGGACTCATTGAGCTCGTTTGGGAGGGCTAAACCGTTGAATGGGGGGTTTGAGGCCCTGGTCGTATCATAGAGACGTGTGGGGTTGGGGGAGGGGGAATGGGGGAGAAACGCAGCTTCTATGTCACTGATAGTATGCTTTATCTTGCCGTGACTCTAATGGAATTCTCGGGCGGTACCTAATAGAGTTTCGTCACACCCGAAGCTGGAACTATAGTACTTAGTAATCAGCATTCACGACGGACAGTACCCGACCAAGTTGCCAGCCCTTCTACAGCTTCATTGTAGCACGGATCTCTACTGTCCATGTAAGCAAAGTCCCATCTATCCCAGCGACGCCCCCCGAGCACCAGCACCACCAGCCTTACACCTCCGTGATCCAACAGCTACCTAGTAACAGTACGTAATACCGAACCCCGCCCCTCCCCATTTCCAAGGACCCCAGGTCTAATTGCTACCTAGCTTAAGTAGCCAAGTTCAGTTCAGTCATAGCAAGTCATCAATATCATCCAGATCCGTCGTTTCCCACCCCAGCCGCTGGTAAATGCTCATTCCATCCTGCTCATTCCTGTTCTCTCCTCGCCCGTCTCCATCGTCACTCCCCGTCCCACTCCCACTCCCACTCCCACCACCCTCAACACCCCTGTCGACCGTTTCCTTCACCTTGTTATTTTGGATAGCATTAATCGAGTTGGAATAGGAATGGGCCGACGACCTGTTGCCTCCGTCGTGTGCCAACGCAAGGGGAAGCCTCGACTTGATCGGCGTGTCATCCACCAGCATAGCCGCTCTGTTCTGCCCCGACCGTGCCGCTGGGACCGGGGTTTCGAACAGCCCGCGCAGATCAGGCGGAGAGGACGGTACATCGGCATCGCCGAAGAAGCGGTCCACGGGGTCGGGAACGGATAGGTGTTGACGAGAGCGTGGCTGGCCTTGGGCGAATGCCGGCGCGGGTGGCGCTGGTGGTTGGGGCGCTGCTTTTCGGGCCATGAGGGGTGAGGAAGCGGGGATGCCCGGCCCGGGCGTTTCTTCTTGAACTGGGCCAAGGCCGCGCGTAGCGGGGATGCTTGAGTTTGAGTTGGGCCGCGCCGGTGTGGCTTGGATTCTGTCTGCGGGCCGTCTGGGCTCGCCGAGCCTGTCGGCGAACTTGCGAGGGAGCGTGGACGCCGGCACCACCGAGGCGCTCGAGGGCGGAAGGCCTAGGAACGGCGCCGGTTGGGATTTGGAGGCGTCTGCGGCCAAAGCGTCCTTGTATCGATTGTTGGCCGGCGTGGCCTTGACCTGGACAGCCGAGGCACGGCTGGCGGGCTTTTTCATTTCTGCAGAAGCCAGTTAGTTGCGTGTCTGAAGTGGGATAAAAAAAGGGCCAAGAGAACGTACTCTTTAGTTGCCCTACCGTTGCCCGCATCTCGGCGGCCTCGATGTAGTCCTTCACTGCGAGCGTCCGGTTCGGCTTCTTAAGCGCCGAGATGGCATCTTTGAGCTCGGCTTCTACCTGGGCCTTCTTCTGCGCCTTCAGATCCGCCCCGCTCACACTCACGCTCCGCGAAAAGATGCTCGTTCGTCTCTCCTGGAGACAGCTGGGCTCTGCCTTTGGAATCAAGCCTGTTGACGATTCGCTCGCCTCCCGCTTCAACCCTGGTATCACTGTTTGACTCGCCGACCGCAGTAGAGCGATTGTCGCCGCCGGTCCCCGGGAGACGCTACGTCGACTCCGCTCTACTGAGAGCGCACGCTCTAGAGTCCGGTTACTGTCCCGTCTCGAGGTCGCCACTCGCTTTGTCGGCGCACCGGGTTTCGGCTTGACTACTGAGGTAGGCTTTTTAACCTTCTCCTTGGGCGGTGACTGGGCAACCGGCCCCCCTAGTTTGCGGTTAAGAGAATCGCATGGCCCAGGAAGCCGCGCGGAGAAGCTGCCGGGGCACGTTAGCCAAGGATCGAGCGCTGGAGAGTTGTCGTTCACTTACAATGGCATAACAATATCGACGCAAAAGTCTCTCAGAGGGTCTGAGTTGGCCCTTTCCAGCTCTTCTCCCTCGCGGCCCTCGGCGGGCACCTGAGACTCGGCTACGGCTTTGAACTCGTCTAAGGTGGTCGACTGCCAGATGCAGAGGCGGTCGGCGTGGACATCAAGGAGTACCGGGAGATTGTGCTTGTTCCGTTTCTTGCTCGAGGGCTCCTGGCTCGTCTCTCGCGAGTCGACGTGACTTTCCATTCCCATTCCCGGCACTTGGCATTCGCTGCCCTTTGCGAGCGTCAGGGGTTCCAGGGCAAGGATCTCCAGGATCAAAATCATCTGGAGCTGCGTTTCCCTCCTTCGCAGACTGGATATGTGATATCGGTGTTCGGTTGTCGTGAGCTTTCCCTCGTCATCCCCGCTGGGTACGGGTTGGTGCGAGAGCCACCATCGTCGAATATGGTCGACTTCTCCTGGGTATAGGCCGTCCTTGCCTAACTTGGGCTTCTTGGTCTTTCTCTTCTTCGGCTTAGAGGAGCCATTCTCCGACTCGTGGACAAGCGTCTTCATCTTCGCTATCAGCTCCGGGATGGTTTCCCGGTACTTTTTGTCGATTAAGACCGTGTTCATGATAAGACCTTTGAGGAAGTCTATCAGGTCCTTCATGTCACGGCTGGGATCCACATCCGGATGGAATGCCGCCCTGGCCCGAGAGAGAGGACCTTTTGCGAAATATGCCAACGAACCCTGCTTTGGTTAGCATGAGCGGGGAAGATATGCGAAGTAAGCTCGCACCTTTGAATGGTATAAAGCCTCCATGTACTGGGCTCTAATGCTCTGGAGGATGTCTTGGTTCGGCTGGGAGTTGGGATCGTCACCGCGGACTGCGGTGGGTGCTTGGGCGGTTGCCGCAGCATCGCCTTCACTTGACACGGTAGAACCAGGCTGAGCAAGCGCTTCACCACCTCCCTCTGCAGGGGGGTTATTTTGGCTCTCATTATTCCCTGATGCTGACCGATCTTCGGTACCAGCTGATGTTGAGGGCCGCTCGGGAATTTCCTTGTCGATGACTGACATGGAGCGTTTCCGGACCAGGGACTGTATCTCGTCGATGGCCAGTCTCCTCCTCTTGCTCTCCTTGTACATCGACGGCGTTGTCAATGGGGCGGCCGCGGTGCTCTCCGGGTTTGCCGGCTTGGTACTTCTCATCCTCTCCCGACATACAACAGTGGCATTCTGGCTGAAAATATCCATGTCCACCCAAGACCCCAACTTGCACAGCGCATATAGGCCATTGCTTTCGCGTTCAATTGCATAAATCATGCGGCTTGTCTCGGAGCGGGCGAGAAGGACGTTGGACCCTAGGCGGCCTTCGAGGTCGAGGATCTTGATGCTGGATTCAAAAAGACGGCTGGCGGGAAAGCCGCCTTGAGGTTGGGAAAGGTCGAGCGCTGACAACGACAGGTGCTCGCGAGGAAGAAGCATTAAGGGATGCAACATGCGCGGCTTCACTGTCACGCCTGAGGGATGTGGCTGGCGATCACTGGGTTAGTTCTCTTTGTCTGTCGGGACCCGAGAAGCTAACAAACCTTGAGGACAACCGGCGCCTTCAAGAGGCTGTCCGCTGCGACTACAGGAGCATCTCGCTTGCGTTTGCCAGAGCTGGGACTGCTGGCGTCCGGACCGTGAAGACCTTGGCGGCTCTCTGGCCGGGCGCGGTTGGATTGCGCATCGCAAGCTGGAGTACCGAGACCAGTAGCCGACGATGGTCTCCACGATGCGCTGCTCGGCGGTCTGCTGTCGAACTTGTTCTCGAGCCTGCTTGCGGGACGCGACGTGCTGGCACTCTGCCCCGCTATCGAGGACATATCGAAAGGAAAACCCGTCTAGCCATCAATGATGAACTGCGGATCACATAAAAATAATCTTCGGCCTGGTGACGGATGACGATTGCCCTAGGCGCATAAGGCGGATGCATATGGATACCTGCCAGAGAGGGCATTCCACTGTGAGGTGCGCAAGATGGGCACCTCGTCTCTGGCGTCACGCGTCGCGTGCATTAAAACCAATGCTGACGCGACGCCCAGGGATTAAATTGGCGTAATGTAAGAACTGGTAATAATTGGTATTGTAGAGAGTTGTACTCCGTAATCACTCGATGAAAAGTCTGGCGCCATTGGTGAATTTCATTTGGTAGCACGTTCCAGCCCCTTACAGTACGCGTAAAATCTTCCACCATGATTCACAATGTCGCTTAATAAATATAAACTTCAAGTTCCTGTCAACATAGGATTGGGAATCCAAGCACATGACCATGCCTATCAGCTATGTGTGCCCCGATCGTGGCTGCGAACTTTCTCGCACCTTCGGACAACGATCCGAACATCGTGTCACCATAACTATTTTGCTCGATAACTCTTCGAGCATTCTGAGAGCTCTTGGCCTTGGCTCGAGCTTGGGCAGTCTGAGTCGATTTTCATCACAATGATCACGTCGTGTCCATTATTTATCGACTACTATTTATTAGTGTAATGAGCCGCAACCAAACTGTCCCACACGCAGTCCAAATGGAACTTAACGAAGCCCCGCTTGAGCTTTGGTGGAAATCCGGCCCGCCATGGGGCAGAAAAAGCCGTACTTGTACAATGTTATCCAACAACTACCTGGTATCCAACAACAGGTCAACAATGAGGCATCACACAAAACTGAATTTGAAGGGGAAAGAAAGAAGGAAGAAACGGAGGAAACGAAATGGAGTGAATGGAAAGAATGAATGAATGGAACGAAAGAGAAGGTGGAAGAGTAAGAAGAAAAAAGAAAAGAAAGACGGATACCTTAGATACTAACTTTATTGCTTTCGTACTTCCGTTTTTCTGCCCATACAGTGGCCCGAGCTCGGTCGAAGTGGTTGACGATTGCCGGCTCGACCAATGAAAAGCGACTTGCTGCATGCAGGCGCTGCAGCATTGCGTTAAGTTAAGCGGCACGGCAGTCCATGCTTCTCGCACTATCACACTGCTAGTTCTGCACCTTGAAGGCTTCCAGTCGACACGCATTTGAATCGGACGAGATTCAACCAGAATCAACTGCCCAATTGTCACTGTCGGCTTTCTAACACCTCTTCACGATGCCAGATGGCCGTGTTTGATCGGCGCCGCGATACATGCACTTCGCTTTTCCCGTCGTAGCGGGTGGTGATTTGCTCGCAGTGATTTCGGCTACGGTTCTCGATCGATCTCTCTGCCCGTAGCCTACCGGGAGCCATTCGCCACTTCGCCATCCCATCGGCGCCAGGTACTCCATAGCCGTGCCCGATTCATCGGCTCCACGTTAGTCGTCTATCTGTCTCCTCGAGGGAATGGCGACAGAACCATCCCCCCGCACCGTGCGATTCTCCCAACCCGACGATGATCAGCATGTCCGGCCAGACAAGCTCAAAAACGGATCGCGCCCATCGCCCATAATGTCGGATTCGGAAAATTCTGCGTCGTCGGGCTCAGGGGAGCTGCAGCTGAGCCCACGGAGTGTGTTGGAGCAACATGATGATCTCGCGTCGCTCGGCCGGTATGTCGAGGCGACGCATCCCGCTTCCGTGCAGTCACATCCGTCCGCCGCGGTCGCAAACGGCGGGGGCAGCCGCCAACGTAGCACAGCCGAGTCTGTTTCGTACTCTAATGGGACCGGCACGCGTCCTCAACGTCCCACTGGCCCCGCCAGAACCCCTTCCAACACATACCAACCCTACACGCAACGGAGGCCGAACCAGAACCCGCCCTCCTTCACCTCCAGCGGCGGGCTCCACATTAAAGATGGTTCGAGACCGCGGCAGGTTGGAACGTCGACATTCCGAGCTCAAGAGCGAGAGTATGTACGGAAGCTGCGTCAACAAGACTACAGCAACGACTACTTTGACACCTATGGCTCGGCGGAGGGTCAGTACGAGTCGGATTCGGAAGGCGAGACACCCTCTTCTGAGGGGCCCTTCGACAACTACGATGACGCTCACATCATGTTCACCAATACCGAAGGGAGCCAGATCACGGAAGAGGATCTGAAGGATTCACATAACCGCGAGAGGTTGGAGTGGCACGGGATGCTTGAAGCAGTGCTCACTGGCGACGTCGTGCGGCAGGAGAAAAAGCGCCTCATCGGATCGGCTGACGAGGAGATTGGCAAGAGCGCCCACAAGGCCGAGCTTTGGCTGGGAATCCGCGCCCGGGTTCACGGGAGGCATCTGCCCGTCCAGCGGAGGATGATCGAGGAGGCACGAGCCTCGCTGGACCGCTCTGTGAACGACGTGATCAACTTCTCCATTGCCGGCGAGACCGAGGCCGGGAAGCCGCCTATCGAGCAGGTCCGCGATGCTATCGAGAAGATCGAAACGATCGAAAACCTCTTCCCTTCGAGCACCGCACTTATCGGATCGCTGAAACCCACCACCTACCAAGCCTACGAGGAAACCTGCTCGGCGGTGATATCCTGGCATAACGTCAACGAGATGATCAATACGGAGCTGTCCATCTTAAAGAAGTGGGTGGGAAACGACGATCTAGACTTCCAGCGGTCTCAGGAGTCGTCGGGCCGTATTGGAGAAGAATCATCGTTCCTGGATCGGCTGATGAAGGAGGAAGGTCTGAAATCACTCCACGAAGACGATGGCGGTGATGGCAAAAACCTCAGAAAGAAGAGCATGCTGGACGGCATCTCGATGGTTATAAACAAGGCCAAGGCCACTCTGATCTCGAATCACGAGGCATTCCGGAAGCGCCATCTACCGCCCTACATCGAGGAGCTGCTCACCCTCATCAGTTTCCCCTCCCGGCTGGTCGAAGAGATCATCAAGGTGCGGCTGGCCTATGCCAAGAAGATGAAGGAGTCGGCACAGCAGAACCCCCTGATGCAGGACCAGATGATCTCTCAGTTCCAGATCCTGCTAAAACTAGCAATCAAGATCAAGGCCGAGTACATGGCCATCGCCCAACCCGAACCCGGCTGGGAGCTGCCGCCATGCATCGACGAGGACTTTGATCGCGTCGTGCTCGACTGCCTGAAGTACTACTTCAAGATGCTGAACTGGAAGCTCAGCGGCAACAAGAACACATTCAAAGAAGCCGAGTTATTGTTCCAGGAGTGGGGTTTTGGTAACGAGATCGGGAGCCACCTGACACATGGCGACGTCGAGGTTGCCGAGCAGTTCAGCTCACTCACCTACAAAGCCCTCAGTCGGCTCAACCAGACCTTCGAGAAAGAGCTCCAACGGAGACCGAAAGAGAGTGTCTCGGAGATGACCAAGCGCTACAAGCAAATTCTCGATTCCGTCCGCGTGCGGCAGCGCATGCTACAAAGATTCTCAAGGATGCTGAGCGACAACTACGAAAACACGTGCGACTTCACCGTGGCCTTCGGTCCCGATAAACTCCAGGAGCTCTTCGACCGCTTGGTTGAGTCGGGCCACTTCCAGGTCTACACCGGAAGCCCCGAGCATGAGGGCGTTATCATCATTGCCTCGCCAAGCCTGCACGGCCGCGGGGCTGATATCCAACTACTGATGAGCACCTTCTCCTACGATACGGTGACCGAAGATCCATCAGACCCATACCTCCTCATCATCAGAGCCGAAGACCCGCCAAACTGGTTCGGCGCAAAACTTAGCCTTCCGGTGCGGGAGGAGCCGCTGGACATCAAGCTCGGACACATGAGGCTAATCGCCGGCGGCTCCCAGCAACGGCTGATCAACGCGAGGAAGGCGTTCCTCGAAAGCATCGACATGCACATCGACCTGGTAGTGGAGCAGAGATCGAGCCTGCAGAAGGTGAACATCCGGCTCATGGAGATGCGGAAAGTTGCCTTCAAGCTGTCCAACGCCTTCATGGACAGTGTGGAGACGATCCGGCGGCAGACACGGGGCCTCAACTGCCAGGAACTGATCCAAACCTGCTTCATCTTCGCCACCGAATTCGGGCAGCGTTCGCTGTTGTTCATGGATAACAACAGACGGACCATGAACAACATGAAGCTCACCAAGCTCGCGCTTGACTGGGTGAGCTTCATCTGCGACGACTGCATATCGTCTGACCGCAAGACATTCCGCTGGACCGTGCAAGCCCTCGAATTCGCCATGGTCATGACCAGGGGCAAGCATATCCTAGCGCTTGGCGATGACGACTACGCCAGGCTTCGGTCCAAGGTGGCCGGGTGTATGGCTCTTTTGATCTCGCACTTCGATATCATGGGTGCCAGGTCCAATGTTGCCGCGCAGGCCGAGAAGCAACGGATGGAGGCGCTCATGACGCAGCTCAAGCGCCTCAACAAGGGCCAGGGCATGGATGACCGGACTGCTGCCAAGTATGTCGAAGAGCACCGTCTCGAGGAGCTGGCCAAGGTGGACGATTACCGAAAACAAATCCTCTTAGAGCGTTCGGCCATGGGCCGAGTGCTGGAAGCCTCGAACGAAGTGGACCGCTCGCTGGCATGGCTGTCGTCGACAGCCACCAACTTCACTATGAGGTGGCAGCAAGGCCACTTTGTCGGCGGCGGCACGTTTGGCAATGTGTACGCGGCCATGAACCTTGACACGGGCCAGCTGATGGCCGTGAAAGAGATCCGCCTGCAGGATCCGAAGCTGATTCCGAACATCGCCGGTCAGATCCGCGATGAGATGCGCGTCCTGGAGACCGTAGACCACCCCAATGTGGTGTCGTACTACGGCATCGAGGTCCACCGAGACAGAGTGTATATGTTTATGGAGTTCTGTTCCGGCGGCTCGCTCGCAAACCTGCTGGAGCACGGCCGTATCGAAGATGAGCAAGTCATCATGGTTTATGCGCTGCAGCTTCTCGAGGGCCTAGCCTATCTGCACGAGCTCAGGATTGCTCACCGCGACATCAAGCCAGAAAGTAAGTTCTCTTGATCATCCTGCCATCCGTGCTGGAGTTTCTTAAGCTGACGGTTATCCTTTTAGACATCCTCCTCGACCATAATGGCATAATCAAATACGTCGATTTCGGTGCGGCCAAGCTCATCGCCCGGCAGGGCCGCACGCTGGTGCAGGACATCGCCAGCACCAAGCCCAACAAATCCATGACGGGCACGCCTATGTACATGTCGCCCGAGGTCATCAAGGGCGAGAACCCCGGCCACTTCGGCGCCGTTGACATCTGGTCGCTTGGCTGCGTCATCCTCGAGATGGCCACGGGCCGCCGCCCCTGGGCCAACCTCGACAACGAGTGGGCCATCATGTACAACATCGCGCAGGGCAACCCGCCGCAGCTGCCCTCGCCTGACCAGCTCAGTCCGCAAGGCATTGACTTCCTCAATCGTTGCTTCGTGAAGGACTCGAAGAAGCGAGACACGGCCGTCGAGCTGTTGCAGCACGAGTGGATCATGACCATCAGGAATCGCGTTGTCGACCCCGCTACCCCGAGCAGCGACGCCAGCGGGTCCGTGCAGAACACGCCGAGCACGGCGACTTCGTCGATGAGAGCTGCATTCACGGGAGATATGAATTTCCAATAGCGTCCAATGTAACGAGATGATGCCGGGCCGGGCGTGTGTGGTTTCTTTGCCTTATAGTTCCTCGTTACGGTTCGTGTGTCTCCATTGGGCTCGTTGTTCTTCATTACCTGCCTCATCCAAACGTAATTTTCCTGTGGTGCACACCCAGAGCTACTACAGTACCTCCTGCATCTGTCTGTACAGGAACAATACTCCTCGTCTCTCCCGGTCAACTACAGTACCTACCAGCTACAGTCACCAACCTATCTATCCTGATCTTTCCTGTCTACATACTTGATGGCATAGCGGGCAGAATACCAATTCATCTCTTTCCCTTCTCGAATTGGAGTTTTGCTGTCGAGGCTGGGGCTGCAGATTGTTTCAAAGGGGTTGTATGCGATACATACAGTTTAAAACCTAGTGTTATTTAGTTTCAAACCAGTGAGAGGGCCAGCGTCCTTATTTGAACGTTCCCTCTCCAAGTTGGTTGTCGAATACGTTCACACTCAAAATATCGCCACACTAGTAGACTGGTCATTAACAACAATCCACTGCCGATCAATTTCCCAACTGCCTTGGAGCAACAATCGAACAGAGTTTTGTCTGGACCACACCAGAGTAGGTAAGCTGCTGCCTCCATAGGGTACCTACATCTTACTTCCTCCAGTTGAATACGCAATATTTCGGTTTATTTATTTACTACGTCGTGCAGAGTGTAGATGGCCTATTTTACCCGGGCGGACAAGATCGGTTAGAATGCGAGACCCGAGAGAACGGAACGCAATGGAGGAAAGGTGTACAGTATGTATGTACATACTTAAATCTCCCCCCGGGAGCGGCGTGGAAACGTGGACACAAGGCAGCGGAACGGGACGAACCGCAGCGATGTGGTGTTTGTTTGTACAATTGGTACATGTATACTATAATGTACTGGAAGCGACCCCCTGTCGTCGATCAGACACACACAGCTACGGGCGCGTCCCCTTCCCTTCCCGGGTTATATCACACCGATCTTATTATCTGGGCCGGGCTTTTTAACATACATAGGTACACTGCATTAACTGGTGGGACCCGGTTTGGAAGCGCAGTAGGTACAAGTAATATATATGCAATGCATACGTTAGTACACTGCGTGGTAGAATACACACAACAGATCTCTCTGGGTTCCGTGGTTGTGGCACATACTGTATGGATGCCAAGGTGCAGAATCGGATATGGTGCGAGCTGGCGATGCATCACAGGGGGAAACGCGTATTGAGACGGAACACCAAATGTGTGTTGTGGAACGCCACCTCAGGTTAAGTTGCCATATTTACTATGAAGCAACAGACGGTCTCTTTAAGGGAGGGCCTGATCCGCCGCGTCCACTTAACTGGTTGCCGCTTCTTGGGCCTTTGCCGAAAGCACACTATACATAGTATACAAGACAGTTCGCTCCGAGGTGCACATTGTCCAGCGCCCCTCTTCTGTTCCGGTTCCTTATCCAACCCATATATGTGCCCGTAATCCCTTCAGCCATGTACCGCGGGGTCCCCGAGGTGTATACGGCTGGACAGGACACAAAACCGTACGAGCGAAACCATCCCCGTTTCCCACCCCGCTCGCCCAACCGACAGATATACTTTAGTACCTTATTTTCCTTGAGCTAACCCTGTTGACGCCAACTAATCCTCTCCCGACGCCAGGAGTTCGCTGAAGATGCAACGGAGTTGGAAATAGCAGAGAGCGAGCTAGGCTCATGGTGTGAGCCGAGGGCAACCACTCCCTTGTGTCTCTCTGCTGGTCGTCTCGTGTCGCTGCAGAGGGTATATATCCAAAAGCCGCCCTCTGTCTGGCTAGACACGCAACAAATCTTTCCAAAAAGCGCCAACTTTGCGTCCGTCTGTTTCACTACATTAACGGAAGAAAAGAAAGCGAGAAAATGCTCTTCATCTGCTGTAGTTTGCGGCACTGTTGCTGATCGCTTTTATTGTTTCATGAAACCGTAGCCACGTGTATGAGCCCGGAACAAGATGCCTCCCCGGGACAAAGGGGAAATGATATAATGAGCGAGGAATCGGCTGACCATAAAGAAAAGAACACGTTGAGAGTATCATTGTCCGAAGATTGAACCCAATAGGTGGATGGGTTATGCGGATCAGGAGAGCGGGTTAAATAAATCGATGATAGTACACCGCCGCCCCCCTAAAGCGGGGCAAATGCGTTCGTTGGTGGTACTGGGCATTCGATGGGAGCCCTGCCGAGGCCCTTGTCATGACTTGTCCGTGGTGAAGTCCTGGGGAGTAACGTTCTGGGCGAACTGGAACTGCTTTGATCTCGGAGGGGCCACGGGTGAGGAGCGAGCCGACGACTCGGGCGGGTATGAGTCGGGAAAGTGATACTCGGTTTGCCCAAGACTGGTGCCAAAGAAGCCGGTATATGTCGGCCCCATAGTGGGCGGAAACGACGGTGTCACCGGCTGGCTGGCCACATAGCCTGGAAGCTGAGGCGCCATTGAGAATTCGACTTCAGACCCGCCGTGGCTGCAGAGACTCGGCGTCGGCAATGGCTCGTCCTGCGGCACGTAATTCCACGTCTGGTCGAACGGGCCTGGGAAGTAGGATTCATGGAAGCCCATCGCCACGCCCGGCGTTCCCGGCGGAGACTTGATGGCGGGCTCCGCGTTGTACAAGGGGATCCCGCTCACAGCACCCAATGAACCGAATGGGTAACCTTGCTCATCCTCTTGTTGACCGTTCACGCCCAGAACGCACTCCCCTGTACTGGAGCCGAGCATCCCCTCCGTGCTCATCGGAGACATGGCGCTGTTCAGGGATGCCATTGCCGGGGCCTGTGTCGTTTCCTGTAGACTTTGGAGCAGCGCCTCCCTGGTCCGGTCCATCGTGAAGGGTGACCGCGGGCCGCCCGGGCCGATTAATTGTGCCTTCTGCACGCGCCCGTAGAGACCCGTGGCCGATGATATCCGCCTCATCGGGCTCACCGTGTCCGACCGTCTTGGCACCTCAATGCCGGTCTTCGGCCCGGGCCCGCCCCTCAATGACGACAGTCCTAACGGGGCCGGTCGCCTGCTTTTGCGGCGGGCCGCGATATCGGCGGGCGGAGGCGGGGATTTGAAGCGCAGGTCCGCGATCGTCGAGGGCGAGTCGGGCATTGACATTGGCGAGACAGCGTCAGATGTCGCGAGACTCTCCACTGACACCTGATGCCGGAGCAGCTGATCGTTGAAAGTGGTCGGTGCGCTCGAGGCAACCACCATCTCGGAGGGTAACTGGGAGATTGAAGGAGTTGCAAAGTAGTCCTGTTCGGCAAACGGACTGAATGCATCCGCATCGTTTATGCCGATGCCGTGGTGGGCGTTCAGTGCATCAAAGTCCGGGCGTGGCAGGCCATCCCCCGCCGTTGCGCCTGATAACCTGAAAGGAAAAACTGTCTGCTGCTGGTGGAACTCGATTCGCTCCTGTGTGTCCTCGAAGGAGCCGGTTGGGGCCGACGGCTGCGCCAGCTCTGGCATTCCCTGCGTCTGGGGCGCGGAAGCCGCCGACGGCTCATACTTGACATGGGCGAAGCCACCGCTTTCGGAACCTGACGGACTACTCTCGCATGCCGCGGTAGCCGACGCTGGCGTTGCGGCCTGATGGTTAGTGGGTTCGCTCTTGGTCGCGGCATAATCGCCCTCTGTTCTGCTATCGTTTTCTCCAAAGGCGGCAGTGGACAAGCCTTGAAGCGGGTGTTGCTGATTGTTCGAGTCGGAGAACTCGGTGCTTGGGCTCACGCCGTGATCCTGGTCGCCAGTAGACTTGGCTTCGGAAGCCGCCCTCTCCCTCGCTTGTTGCGCCTCAAACTCAGCCGTCTTTTTCATTTGCTTCTCCTTCGCCCGGCGATTCTGGAACCAATTCTGCCGAGGACGCCTTGTCAGCACACCAAAACATATATACATATCAGGGAGTTTACCGGCGAGGACCAACATTTATCCTCGGCACCTCAACGCCCATTTGCTCGGCCAGTTCGCGCTTGGTGCTGCTACTCGGCTTCTGATTCTTCGCAAATTCCCGCTCCAACAATTCCACCTCGTCCTTCGCCAGCCTTGGCTTGGGTTCTGCCGGCTTCGAGAGCTGCATGCCCCCCTGGCCCATCATGGCGCCCGCCCGGTGCTGTTGTTGGTAGTACGCCACAAGCGGGTTCCAGTACGCGTACTGGGGACCTTGAGGAGGCGCATGTTGCTGGCCGGCGAAGGGCTGTACGGTCAGGCCCGGGTAACGACGGCTGTAAGGGTCCATGTAGTCCATATCTCTTGCGTCTCCTTCGTGTTCGGAGCGGCCTCGCGGACGAACACTCCGTCGTCGCCCTGCCGCGTAGCCGCTGAAGTAAACGCGCCTGAGCTCAAGACCCCTTGTCTCGCGACGAGTTTTCTTGGGAAAGGGGAACGTAGTGTACTACTACAGTGGGAGGGGCACAAAAAGGAGTGACTGAAAGTGAGGCAGTAACGTTGTGAGCTTGACAGCAACCCGTCTGCGTGAGGAACGCGAGGTATTAGGGGGGCCGAATGCGAAGTCAAAAGAACGTGTGGGCCCGATCACAACACCCAAGCCAAGAAAGCGAAGTGGGAACGTGCCGGGGGAAGTTTAGCTTGTTTAAAGACACCGCGAGGGACCCAGCGGAGGGCAGAGGCGGAGGGGGTGGTGCGACGACGAAGATCGAACAGGGCCTTCCCACCTGTTTCTGCTTCTCCTCGCCGTTGTGCAGGGTCTCCTCCTCTGCACCTTTTCTGCACAACTCACTGCGCAAGGGCCAGGCCGTGGACGCTGGCGAGTCGCCGGGTCGCTGGGCAGGGGAGTGTGGATGTCTTCGGGACACACAAGTGGGCGTAAAAGATCCCCGACAGGGGTTCCTGCCAAGGGACCCGAGGACAACGGGGGCCAAAATGAGTGCAAGGTACGGAGTACTTTTAGGTACATAGTGTACAGATCACGTCCTAGCCGGGTAGGTGCCCCACATGCGAGCTGAGCTGCATGGGTGCGCTGCAGTGTGAGTGGACGGCGCGGTTGGGGACCAGCTCCTCGGCGTCGGCCCTTGGCATCGTGCCGGAGCCACCACAGTATGTAGTGCAGTGTACGGAGTACGGAAAGTATGTCCGGGTTGTGTCAAGAAAGATATCGCTAATCGTACTAGCTCAGCGGGTAAGCCACATTCGCAGTTCTGTCACCTCCCACCATGTGGGTGCAGGGAAATGAGCAGAGCCAACTTGAACTGTAATTTTGGGTTAGAGAAAATGGCTATCGTGCTACTTGCACAGTCAGTTGTATCAGGTTCTCCAGTTCAAGGAAACCTGTCAGACCCGGCATGAAATGGAGATTCAGCTGGCACATCCACATTCAGGCGGCGACCAAGTGTAGCCTTGCTCTTGGGTTTCCGATTCCCTCAGAAAGCGTTCTAGAGCTGCTATCGAGCTGAGAGCTGCTCTGGTGGGAGGTGTGGAGGAGCTGGGCCAATTGGAAGATGGGACGGAAAGCGGCGGAACAACCGCGCATGGGCCCGGACCCAACCAATGAGAAAACGCCGACTGCATGACATGGAATGGTCGGACAGTGTCAGGGCAATTTTGCCAGGGGACAACTGCTTCTACATATGGCTTTACCCCGGAGACTTCTTCGCCCCTATCCGAAACTGTTAGTGACTTTTAGTCCAAGCTTGACTACCTAAGGTAAAATTGCAGTGCCGGCTGTCAGAGTCAGACGACAATTGGCACCGCTCCAGGAATTCAAAAAGGCTGCCCTGCCATCCGTTGTCGGTTGGTCACTGTGTCCGCACAGTTAGCGTAATTTTAACGTGGGGTCCAAGACGTCCGGTCCGCTCGGTCCCAAGCCTACCTACAACCCTCGGAGGGTTGTAGTTGGGGCCGTGCCTGATATGCCCCAAGCGTCTCCCCACATTGGAGAAATTCGCTGAGGCAGCGCGGCGGAATGCGCTTTCCTCGCACCGAACGGGGAAGCACAGGCCTGACTCAGGACGCACACTCAATGGATGGTCATTTTGACACGAGGGCCAAGGACCGGAGATCAACCCTGGAACTGACCTACACTAACATCGTCGACAAAGCTTCACCGGCACCCGCTCTGTCCTCAACATCCCCCGCTCTCCATATCCTGAATGAACTGCGTCGGTGCCGCAGCTGCCCATCACTACCGTACCTTGACCACACGTGTAGCGGGGCCCAGCCTCGGCGGACGCCTCGACCACGCCTCGGGAGATGAGAAGAGAAGCAGGCGTCTTCACGCGGCGGCGAGACCTGTGGAAGGCCCAGCGTGGCGCCTGGATCATCATCAACTCTTGGGGAGCACTCTCTCTTTCTGACTTCTGCAGGGCGCCTCCAGCCCAACTTCTCCGTGGTCGAAGCTGAAACTGATTCAGATCTGGTGAGGCAGGAACCCTTTGGGCGTTGGAAAGCGAGACGAGATCTACTCCGTAAAGAGCGACCAAACTCATGCTTCCACTTCATCTTTTACACTAGCACGGGCTCAGATTCCAGCGGGCTTCACACAGCCAGAGCTGCAGGACTCCGACACCTCATATGGCGACAGCCGCAACTGATCCCTGTCCAGTTCAAAGCACACGTCCCTGGTATGAGTTTCTGCTGGCCCCAGCGCAGCCAACCAGCCCACTCTGGGCTCCTCCGCCGTGGCTTGTCTCCCGACTGGCGGGCACCGACCGACACTTCTCCCCTACCCAACCTGGGAAGCCACTGCTGCTATGGGTCGTTTCGCTTACGACCACCCCTGATTCGTGCACCGGCTCAGCACCTTGCCGACTTGGCGGTCACCGGCAAGTCCACCGATGGCTTAACTAACCAGCAGCAGCATCACAAGCCGCGACTTGTCGGTCATCTGAGGCACGCGGACATCTCTTCTCTTGCCTTTACAGTAGCTGAGGGAAGCCAGATAAGTGAATACCTAGTTACCCGGAGACACTGTCACCCCTATGATGATGATATGATCTCCGTTATCCATTCTTGTTTATCGCGTACACTTTCTCTCCTCCCCCCTCATGTCCTTGTCCCTGCTTTCTTTTCCCTCCCGGTCTTGTTCTCATTTCCGCTGGTTGGGCCAGAGCCTCAGTGCACCGAGACACCCAGGGGCATTTTGACCGGCCGCGCTTGACAACGTTATCTCCGTTCAAGACGACAACAAACTGCTCAAGCCAAAGAACAGCGCCAGGGTTACACGTCGTGACGTCGAAAACGCGGTACAGGGCGAGAGTGTGACCCAAACATGCGCTGCGCTGCTATTTATGGAACGGTCTCCAGTGCAACGCACACAATGCGACAGCGGCGCCCGCTGCCTCAACGCAGGATCATGATTGGAAGCTGGGGGCGATCGCAGTGCAGTGAGTGCCAGCGCAGCGCAGCGCAACTGTTCGGTGGACTGTGCATGCATGCACTTTGCTGACGGGAGCTTACCGTAATCCCAACCTTATGTAGGTACAGTACAATACCAATACTCACTGTAGGCATGGACATACAATACACACACAGCAGCTACGACGACAGGCCCCGAGCTGAGACAAGCAATTGCGGGCAAGATGGCAGTCCCCGACACAGCGAAGCGTCGTCAATCAGGCACTTGTCTTTGGGCCGTCGGTCGGTGGCGGAATACTTTAGACGGACCTGGCAAACCTCTGGTCACTTGCAGACATGTCATCAGTCAAATCCAGTCAGGCTGTCGTCCCAAAATTCGATACAGAGAGCTCCGTGAATGGTCCAAGCAGGAAAGCCTTACCAGTCGAGCCAGTTAACGTTATTCCCGCCGCCGATCAGATCAGCAACCGGCTCGACGCTGGTCGATCAGTGCCGATCTGGTAAACCTTAACGTTATTTTGGCGCCTTTCATCCACGGTGAAAGCCACGGAGAAATGATATCATTGCTGGACGCTTATGACAGCTGGATGAAATGACAAGAGCTGCAACGGGCGAGTTGTGGCTGATATCCCGCCAGAGAGCCAGGACACCCCACTGGATGTGACAGAAGCCAATTGATGTCGTTTCTCTCCCGCTGATACAAACTAGGTATATAGTATGTATCGTTTCCCCCATTCCTGCGAGCTTAAGTCAACGAATGGGGGTGGCGTTCGTACTAAGTGAGCATGCCGTAGAGGTGTGGTGCCTCTTACCCGGTCCGCTGCAGGCTACAAAGTACAGTATAAGGGTCAGTGAACAGCTCGGTCGAGCCGCTCGGCATCCGCCGAAGAAGCTTTTCCCACTTCCAGCTCGACTTACTGGGCGTGGTTGTTGGGTGCGCTCATTGGACAGCGTACGGCGCAGCCACCTCAGGCCTCGAACCTCGAGTGCGGTGCGCAAGAAGAACCTGGAGGCTGGAACCTCGAACTGTGCAAAGGGTGGATCAGCGAGCGGCATCTGGACAAGGCAGGCATCGTGAGAATGGGGCATGCCGACGGGCACAGAAGTTCGAGACCAGAAAAGCCTTTTTTGATGGGGCGTCACCCCGCACCGCCTGACACCGGCCCTGCCGCCCGTATGTGAGCGGGCGGGACGCAGGAGCGGCTGGCCCTCCACGCTCTTTGGTTTGCTGTCTGCAGCAGCGCCCGGTCGAAGCCGGAAATGCACCAAGAAGCCCGGGACTGAGCAGCGAGTCCCGGGTGCAACCTCAACATGTAGCCAGGCGGCTGGCCCGGGCGGTTCACGTTCACCTCTCGCTCTCGCTTTGCTTGTCCTCTCCTTCCCTCGCCACCAAATTCCCATCACAGAAATATACGCATTGCTTCACGAACTGGTATGTCGTAGAATTGTTCTGTGGACTGCGGCGTGCTCGAACAATCCCAGTGATGGTTTGAATTGTACCGCGCCATGTTTTAACATCCAAGGGACCGGGAGATTGCTACACTATCCGTACTGTGGTTGCGGTCTGGCCCTGGGGCGGCCACGTGCCGATAGGGACGCCTTGGTCCCTACGGCTACCACAGTACATACAGTACAGACCCTGCCGACCTAGCTGGCCGGCGTGCAGATTCTGTGCCGTATATCCGCAGCGTGGGAGTACCTAGGGGTACATACCTCAGGCGCACCGTGTCTTTTCCCTTGCCAGCCGGTCACTCGCCGGAAGGACGTACATAACGTACACACTACACAGGGACCCGTACATGGAGAACTTTATTCGTCGTGTGCGACATGTTGCTGGATCTCTTTGCCTTGCCCTGAGCAAAAAGGCTTTGCAGGATCTTGTTATTAAGCAACAAGACAAATTGTATCAGCAAGCAAGATGCCGACAGCCTAGACCCAACACCTTCACCACAAGAGCAGGGTTATTCACATAGTATTCTGGGGTCCCAACACCCCATAGAGCCATAGTCCCCAGACAGATCTCGGGCCTGGCCTGTCTTCGGACCCGGCTGGCAAGCCGATGAGAGCCCGACTACTAGTACCTAGGTACTGTACCTTGGTTCATTATAAGCCTCGCCAACCGTCGACCGAGCCATAACGGAAAAGTGGGCGCAGCTGCATGGGCAACTAGCTCACTGTGTCAGAGGTATGGGGCAATCTGTCTGAGAAATTCTGATGGAAGCACTCGACGAAAAGCTCCGGCGTCTCTGGGTTCCTGCAGCGGGTTCAGAGTCCAGGCAAGGATCAGCTCGTTCAGGTGCTGGCTAATAAGAAACTGTCTGGCGTTCATTTTTTTTTGTCTTCCGCCCAGGGGTGAAAGCGGAGAACAACCTAAGAAGCCTCCAACCAAACTCAACGCCGGATGCTATGGCTGCTCGCAGCCGACTGTACTAACTACTAGTGCGGCATTGCTTTCTGGCTCGGGCTTGTTGGCTTCCACTTGTTACACAGGATGGGGTGATTCGGGCAGACTGTCACTGTCCAGCTATGATTGGCTGTCATGCCTCGGCAACCCACGAAAGTAAACACCACGAGAAGCCAGATCTGCAGGAACGGTATCGACGAGCGTGGCCGCAAAAGACGCCGACCACTTTCGCGATTTCAGTAGGTAGAAGGTATGCAGGCACCCGCAACCCCCATCAAGTCCAGACACGGTGTATTGTGCACACTGTAATACATAGCTACCTACAATTCATGTACTCAGGACGGGCCTTTGCCGCTAATAACTCGATAATGTTCCACGGTGACCGTCTTCAGTGAGCTTGAGATCTCGCAATGTGCGTCTCGGGTGCCTGAAGCGGACCACCCAGATCCGGCCGCTTCCCAATCTCTTTGCCTGTTTTTTTCGACAAGGTTGCGCCGGCGGTGGGAAACGCTGTCTTACCTCCGCTGTACTTGTACCTCCGAGTCCATTACACCTAGGGCGCGTTGCTGTCTCAAGAATCCGGCCCCCGGTGAACCATCAGGACAAAGACACTTCGACGCCGGCCTAAAACCCAGAACCTAAGGTATGTGTGCATCGCTTCCGTCACGGACAGCCCAGAACAAAAGGTCACGAGGGGACTCTGGCCAACCTCTTTGACATGTCCCGGCTTCTCCAAGTCAATCTCGGCTGCCTCCAACTGATCGTCCTCTGCAAGATACCGGATGGGCCAACTCGCCGTTGTCTGCTGTTTCTCTCGCTAAGACAAGATTTTCTTGCTTGCGTGTGTTGCAACTCTGCAAGCCGAAGACATGGCTGACACATAACGGTGCAGACGTTGGATAGGACAAACAAAGACATAGAAGGGTTCGTAAAGTTGGAAAGAGGCGCAGTGGCTGGGCGTGAACCGTTACCGAGACTGAGACATCTCGGAGACAGCTGGGCCGGGGACGGATTATGGACGGCGAGTTTGGATTGTTCTGGGGCGAGCAGAGTCATTGTAAGCGTCACACACCGTTGCGCAGGGAATATTGACGACCAGACTGGAAAAGAAAATAAAAAAGGGTCATGTGAACGGGAGGGCATGGTCGTTTCGGTCATCGACAAAACCAAGAATAAGAATGGCAAGCTTTACGCTTCCCATTATCTACGAAGGTCGTGCGATTTAGGGCGACAGAGCAGGATTTTTCTACCATCCAAGTTTCCCACATCAGTCTCAAACCCCCTCCCTCTTACTTATTACCCTTTTCCCCCCGTCCTTTCACCTACTCTTCGCCAACGCATCCCTAATCTCCAGCGTCACCCTCCCGTCCTCGCCACCAGCCTGCAGCAGTCTCACCGACGCCAGATCCCGGACGACCCAGTCGGGCCCGGCGCTCAGCACCTGCTCGACCGTGTGGCTCGTCACCACGGCCAGCACCCTGCACCCGGCCGCCTTGCCCGCGCGGATCCCCGCGGGGCTGTCCTCGAGCACGAGCACCTGCTTCTCGCCGCCGCCGAGGCCCAGGCGCTCGCGCCCGAGGAGGTAGCATGCGGGATCCGGCTTGCCGTTGGCTACCGACTCGGCTGTGACGAGGTGGTCTGGCGTGGGGAGTTGTAGGACATTGAGCCACTGTGAACATATGGGGGGGAAGTTGGGGTCCGGTGAGTTAGCATGTTGTTTTCTTTCTTTGGTTAAGTAAGGTATTGGATATTCGAGGTGTCGAAAGCCGAAAAAGGGGGAAACGAGAGCACATACCCCGGTTACAAGCGGCACCGTGCCCGAGGTGACGATGGTCCAGGGCGTGGAGTGCGCAATCACGTCTTGAAGAAGGGCGCGCGCCCCGGGGATCTCGACGGCGTCGGCGCCGTACAGCTTGGGGAGCTGGCTCTCCATGTGCTGGACGTCTGTGATCTTGTGTGTAAGAAATACTACGGACGAGCCCCACAGCGACGCGGTTGGGCAGAATCGACACAGCAAGCTCACTCACATTCCGGTGTTGCCTTTTCAGGGGCTATGATCTTGAGCGTGTCTATGGATCTCCGTCCGTGGGACGTCCTGGAGAACGTGAGGTATTAGCAAGCTTACGATCTGTCAGATGTGATATTCTGCCGAAACACTCACTCAAGGATGACTTCGGGGTCGACCCCTATTTCCTTGCCGATACTGACAAGTAAAGCAGCGAGTTAGTTTAATCACCTATGAATTAGCTGTACCCTCACCTCGTCCAATGCTTGACCACCGCATCCGTCGAGTCGATAATAGTGCCGTCCATGTCAAACAGGAGGCCGTCGAAAGTGGCGGTCTCGGGCGGCGCCGAAAAGGCGGCCTGTGGTGGCTCTGTGCTGCCCATTTTTGACTCGCCGTCGATGATGCCTTACAGAGGGCACGCAGTACTGGTAGTATCGGCAGCGAAAAAGGGCGCGTATTAAGGTATCTCGTCCCGATGCGTTGAGGAGCGAAGGACCGGATCTTAATCAATTCACTTGGAAGACAAATCTATGGGCTTGGGTTCTTTTAAACTGAGGATCGCAATCGGGCTTACGTTGTCGGATTCTCCTTAAACAGAACGCAGCGCGCGCCTTGACAATGACAAATTGGGCAACTCCGCCTCGAGTCGAAAGTAAGACGGACCCTAACCCTCCTCCTGGGAAAGGGAGCATGAACTTTTGAAAACCGTGTATCTATTACCGGCATAATAAACAGCTTAAAATAGCGTATACGAAGTACCAATCGCGCAACATAGATCAATCGGTCCGTAGACAGTTGCAAGATCGAGAATAGGACCTCTCCGGGTCTTTATGAGGGGGCACCTACGGATAGTGTGGGGTGCTCTCTGATAAACGGGCTTATCGGGGCGGTGAACCATGGCACAAACTTTTCAGTTGCTGTAACTGCAGTAATTTTTCTGAGGTGTTACAGCTGGTGCAGCGAGCATCCGAGTACCCCCAGCTCAGGTATCGCAGAGGGCGGGATCGTAACTTCAGTTCTCCAACAATGGCCGGGTCAATAAACAAACCGAAGAGTATGGATGATACGAACTTCTCAGGCTTCCTCCAGACCCTGCTAACAATTTCATCAGAGCCCAAGTCGAAGCGGACGCCGGTCCGGCTACGCCACAAAATCGAGAAGGCGTCAGCCGCGAAGCAGCGCAAGGCGAGAAAGCTGGCCAAGAAGAACCCGCAGTGGAAAATCAAGCTGAAGAAGGACCCCGGGATTCCCAATTTGTTCCCCTACAAGGAGAAGCTTCTGCACCAGATCGAGGAGGACCGCGCACGGAGGAACGAGGAGCTGCAGCGTCGCCGCGAGCTCGCCAAGGCTGCCAACTCGGCGCAGGCCGAGAAGAATGAGGATGATGAACAGATGGACGAGTATCTTGCAGGCGAGGACTTCTCGGGGGATGATGTGGATGATGCCATGGATGAGGACGCCAGCGACATCGACGAGTCTAACCCACTCGCCGCTCTCGTCGCCAGCGCGAGGAAGACCGCCGAGCAATATGAGAGAGAACTGCAGAGCGGTAATGAGATGGACGACGATGAGGATGACGACGACGGCGACAGTGAGGACGAGGCCGAAGCGGGCGTCGTCGAGGTTCCCGGCGGTGCCTCGTCCCGCAAGGCCTACGACAAAGTCTTCAAGCAGGTCGTCGAGCAGGCCGATGTCATCCTCTACGTCCTGGACGCCCGTGACCCGCAAGGCACACGCTCGCGCGACGTTGAGCGGGCCGTCATGGCGGCTGCCGGTGGCGGCAAGCGTCTCATCCTGATCCTCAACAAGGTCGATCTGATCCCGCCCCCTGTGCTGCGCGGCTGGCTCGCCCACCTGCGCCGCTTCTTCCCAACCCTCCCGCTGCGTGCCTCCAACCCGGCGCCCAACGCCCACACCTTCAACCACCGCGACATGACGGTGCAGAGCACCAGCGCCGCGCTCTTCCGCGCGCTCAAGTCGTACGCCGCATCCCGCAACCTCAAGCGCGCCATCTCGGTCGGCGTGATCGGCTACCCCAACGTCGGTAAATCCAGCGTGATCAACGCGCTGCTCTCCCGCCTGGGCGGCGGCCGCGGCCAGCGCGCCGCCTGTCCCGCCGGCGCCGAAGCCGGCGTGACCACCTCCATCCGTGCCGTGAAGATCGACAACCGACTCACCCTGCTCGACTCGCCGGGCATCGTCTTCCCCTCCACCACCGACAGCAGCGCCGCAACGACATTCATCCCCAAGAACCCGACCGAGGCCCACGCCCACCTGGTCCTGCTCAACGCCATCCCGCCCAAGCAGATCGACGACCCCGTCCCGGCCGTCTCGCTCCTCCTCAAGCGCCTGTCCGCCACACCCGACCTGGTGGAGCGCATGGCCAAGGTGTACGACCTGCCGCCCTTGCTCTCCAACCCGGAGAACGGCGACGCGACGACGGACTTCCTCATCCAAGTCGCTCGCAAGCGCGGCCGGCTGGGGCGGGGCGGCGTGCCCAACATCAACGCGGCCGCCATGACTGTCGTGACGGACTGGCGGGACGGGCGGATACAGGGCTGGATCGAGCCGCCCGTGCTGCCTGTGGCTGGTGCCGGGAATGGTGGCAAGGGGACCAAGGTTGCGGATGAGGAAGTCATGGCTGACCAGAAGGAGATCGTTACGGAGTGGGCGAAGGAGTTCAAGCTTGAGGGGCTGTGGGGGGATGAAGAGCCGGCGGCGGAGACTAATGAGATTGAGATGCAATAGATCAAGTCTTTTGTTTCTGGGCGGCTACGGGTAGGTATCCTTTTGCGTCTGAGGCGTTGCGGCGTCGAAAAGGAGATATCGGAAAACAAAACAGGACCATGGTTGCTTTTGTCATCATGATTTGCATGGGAGTTTTCTGATCAACCAACCTTGCCAACTCGACTGAGGTGCTTTTTTATTTTTTTCTCTTTTATTTTTGGCTCTTGTGGTAACTGCCCCTAAGAGACCTAGGTACCTTCTTGTCATATTCTGCATAAAGCCCGCCCTGCCGGGACAAAAACATCTCTGATTCCTCAGTATACGCTCACAAGCTCCATCTTGACGCCCCTCTTCCCTGTGGTCTCGTCCTTCTGATCGGTCACCCGCACCCGCACCTTCTGGAACAGCTCCACCGTAACCTCCCTGCTCCCGCTGGTCGTGAGCGTGTACGTCTCGGCATCGTACGATGCCGCCGGCTCCGGCTCGGCCAGGTCGCGCAACCTGATGAGGCTCTCGATGCCGAACCTCGGTACGAGCACCACGAAGCCGTTGCTGAACACCTTGAGCACGAAGCCGTCCTCCTCCGTGGCCTTACCGCGGAGCGCCTGGCCGACATAGTAGGCGATGCTCGCGCGCCCGGCCAGCTGGGCGTTGCGGTGCCGCACGTTGATGTTCCTGCAGACGGCCTCGAGGCGGCCGCGGCTGCGTATGCTCGGGTTGACGGCCTCGTACCCGATCGCGGCGGCCAGCTGGCGGTGGGCCACCAGGTCGGCGTACCGCCGGATCGGCGACGTGAAGTGCGTGTAGATCTCGCTGGCGAGGCCGTAGTGGCGGAATTCCGGGTAAGCCTGCGTGCCGGAGCAGAAGTACTCGGCCGCCATCATGCAGCGGGTGGCCATGATGCGGACGAGGGTATTGAAGAAGGGCTCGTTGGCGTCGACGCACGCGTCGAGGCTGTCGGCGAGGGCACGCGAGGATTCCACGCTTATCTCGAGACCGCGCTTGACGCGCAGTTGGTTGGCGAGCTCGTCAAAGTTGGTCTTGGGCGGGGCGCCGTGTCGCCGCAGGATGGCGGTCTGTGGGAAAGCCTCGTAGATCTTGCGGGCCACGCTGACGTTGGCGAGAAGCATGAACTCCTCGACGAGAGACATGGTGTCGAGCAGCTCTTTGGTCTTCACGTCGATGGGATCGGATGTCTCCGACTCCATTTGCACCTTGACCTCGGGAGACGACAGACTCAGCGCACCCGCGTCTAACCGTTTCTGCTTTAGCTTTCGGGACAGCGCGAGCAGGGTCCGGATGCTCTTTGTGAGGTCATCCTGCTGCGAGTGGTCGTCGACTCTGAGTTGTGCTTGCTCGTAGCTGAATGCCTCACGAGACTTGATGACGGACTTTGTAAACCTTACATTCACAACGTCTGCGTCGGGCGTCAGCTCCCAGAGAACGGAGAAGGCATAGCGCTCAACGTAGGGCTTCAGAGAGCACAGATCTGTGCCGAGAAGCATCGGAAGCATGTCGATACGCTTGTCGACCAGATATACCGTCGTGCCGCGGATGCTTGCCTCGGCGTCCATGGCGGTGTTGGGCTTGACGAAATGGGACACGTCGGCGATGTGCACGCCGACCTCGATGTTCCCGTTGGGGAGCGGCCTGGAATGAAGCGCATCGTCGATATCCTGGCAGCCGATAGGGTCGATGCTGCAGATGAGAAGATCTCGCAGATCCTCCCGGTCTCTCCATCCCGGGTCGTCCGTGCTCGCCGGCACCCGCCAGTCGTGGCCTTCCTTGGGCAGACAGTCGAGGACGGTCTTGGGGAACGGCCGGTACTGTACGTCGTACTCTAGCAGCAGCGCTTCCGTCTCCGCAGCCTTGGTTTCCAGCTCGCCCAGGGACCGAACGAAGTGACCGGTCGGGTGGCGGGAATTGCGATCCCATGCATCGATGGTGACGAGGATTCGCTTTCCGACCAGTTCCGCCACTTGTCGTGTGCGTAGACGGATCTTGGGGATCTTCCTATCCATGGGAATGACAAAGACAGTATCCTGCTTGCGACCTTGTTGCGATGATTGGCTGACCGAAGATTGATCGATGTGACCGACGTATTGGCGCCAGTTCCGTTTCACCACTCCAACGACCTTCGCAGTCGGTTGAGCATGCCCCTCTGTCGTCTTGCTGTGGGTTCGCTTGACCTCCTCCTGGAGCGCCTTGCGTTCCTTCTCGGACACGAAGTCCCCCGTCTCCTCAGCGTCCGGATTCTCGTTCTTGGTGATGGCATCTTCCTCAATCACCTGGGTCGACGGCTCCTTCCACTGATCCTTAGGCAGCACCTCCACGACAACGAGGTCGCCGTCGATGGCACGGTTTATATTCTCCCTCCCAAGAACGAGCAGCGGCTTGGGGAATGCCGGCACCCTGATTGATCCCTCGAGGTAGTTGTAGGGCGAAACGTTGAAGATGCCCTGATGGAGCAAACCGCTCTTCACACCCGTCATCATCTTGGACATGCTGAAGTACTCGGGATATAAGGGTTCACCGGCCCGCTTCTCCTTGATAGTGCTCTCCTGGTCCTCGCTCTCCGGGATCATGTCCAGGAGTGCGTCGCCATCCTTGAGCTGCCGGACGTACTCGGACAGAGAGCATGCGTGGATGCCTTCCTGCTTGGCCTTGCGCAGGTTATCGCGATCATTGCTTAGCATGACCACGGCCGGCACCTTCTTTGCCCCGGTCCGGGCCAGGTGCTGGTTGTACCAAGCGACGGCTTTGCGGACGGCGCGGTCATTGCGATCGTTGACCGACTCGCCCCCCTGGCGGGCAACATGGGTCTCGAGACGGAACTCGTTGAAAAACACATAGAACCGCTTGTCTTCACTTTTGGTCAGGCCAATGAGGCGGTTGTACAGCGGCAGCGAGCGGTTGCGCAACTCCTCGAGGACCACCTGCAGCACAATGACATCGTAGAAGGCCGAGCTCTGCTCAAAGAGATCCATAGCGGTCAGGAACGCGTTGGTGTCCGGCACCAAGTAATGGCCATGCGGGAATACGCTGGTGCCGGCGGGCGCCTCTGAGAGGACAAACGGAGTGGCTGTCGATGAGGGTCAGCGTCACTCATCCCATCCATGGTTCAATGTGTATGACGCTGAATGCTCACCTCGGCCTGCAGCATCCCTGGGGGCAGTATTGAGACATCTTTGACAGAGCCTGGACGAGCAGGGGATGTCTTGGCGGAGGTAAACCTCACGAACGATTTTCTGGACTTTGCCGCTCTTTGTCGATCTCACATAGACCTTGCTTGAGATGTTGGACGCGAAGGGGTCAGTGTCTAGTGATCTCTTGAGGCTTGCCATTTTGACAAAGACGCAGTGCTGCAGCTCGCGTCAAAATTAAGCACGGCAGCAGTAAGTCAAAAAGTTTCTATAAACCGATTTGTCCTATTGTAGTGGTGACCTTTGTCGCTGTTTTTCAGATCGAGGTTCTGATTGCCATTGCTGGAAAACACGGGCATCGCTTCTCTGGCGAATCACCGGTTGCGAAGCACTAAGGTAAGCGAGCCTTATCTTATCGATATGTTATCACCCCGCAGAACTCGGGTATCGCAGTGCCTCTCTTCGAGGGCTTCACATTAGAGGTTGATACATGTGCAAGTTTGGTGTCTACTACCTAGGTAGTACCTACTAGTACTGGGTAGTATAGTGAAAATCTGTTTACTTTGAGTTGGTGGAAGCTGGCACAAGTTAGGTCAGTTCTTTTGAGGTACGTAGTGAGTGGCTCAACTGATGCAAGCCTTGACAACGCAGTGCTCTCTTACAAAAGTTCCCTTCAAGAAAAGTTGATACGAGGTGCTCGGCCTTGATATAGGGGCTTCAGTCACAAGCCAGCGGAGATCTCTACTCTACCTTTGCATAAATGATCTGTCAAATTGTATCTGTTTATATCCCGCGGCGTCTTCAACAGCTTCTCCTATTTGTCTGGAATACTGCCTAAGAGGTTATCATAACTTTGGCTAGCAGGTAGGTAAGCTTACCTGTACATAGGAGCCTCCCCGCCACCCCGGAAAGCATTGGTTTATTCCATCTGCTTTGTGGGCATGGACAGTGACGGTTTCGATGCTGAACCGTTGTTTGAGATCCAATTACTGCAGTACAGGTGCTGCACCATACGCTCTGTAAGCATCATTCACCCGGTGCATTTTGCCAGATTCCCGTCACATATGTGCTCGCTTCTGCGGTAGATCTTGGGTGTCATATCTGCAATATGATCTACTACTAGTATTACTAGTCTATCAGCAAGCTTTTGAATACCAAAAATAGACAGACTTGTCTCGTGGTCGATGCGATAGGGGCGTGCAACGAAGCAGACTTCTCCCATGGCATTTACCATACATCGATACTAGTAGTACCCGTGCAATATGATAATTTCACAAATTAGATCTGAAATACTAGTAGCTTTGTAGCTTCGCTAAGAACTTCTACTACTGGAGAGGAGCAGAAATTCACGTATCGAACATCCTCGTACGAACTGAGCCGCCTTCTCTACTTGACGGTATTGCTGTAAGACACTGCTAGAGAAGCCAGAAAGAGATAGGTGCGCAAGCGAGGCATGCACAGCCAGGGCACAGCATGCGAGGTGCCTCGTGCGACGTCAAAGACCCATGCGGCCTAGGCTCCTACCACAGTAGCTAACGCACGCTCTCCCATCGTGTTCCGTGGCTTGAGACCTTGAGACGAAGGCTTGCAGCTACATCTGCAATCACCTCAGGTTGGCATGCGTATCGGACTGCACATCCGGGGTGGAACCTACTACATCGGCCGTGAAGATGAGATGAGCACTAGCGACATCACAAACCATAACAATGCACTCTTCGCTTTTGCATTTGGCTTCCCCAGGCTGTTCTCCTGTTGTGTGCAGGGACCCAGAGCACACCGTCTGCCGTTCATCCTAACACCCATATTCCCAGGACGACTTTGGTATCAGAAGACGAGAGTGTGGAAGCCGATCTTCATGCGTGATAGGCACTACGCTTTAGCGCCCGCCTGACCCACTGTCGTTCCCTGGAAAGATGAAGCCTTGGTACTGGGTTCGAGCAGGGTTGGAAGTCCGGTATACAATGTACTGTACATGCATACATAGTAGCGACGTTGCGTAACCTTAGGTGGTATGGTGCGGGAAGAAGGCGGAAGTGTGGGAGGTGCGCAGATCCAGGGGTCTGGCCATGGGCAATACAGCGCAGTACAGTTCGTGTACAGCTTCCGTGGCTGCGGTGCAAGGGAGAAGACAGCTCGGCAGATGACAAGAAAGCTGTTCTCGGAAGTGGTGTCAACGAGCGGATGATTTACATCCCGCAGTTGAAGGTGTGAGTGGTGGGGCTATCGGTTTCTTGACCACAAGCAGTCGCAGGGTACACTCGAAGCGGACAAACCTCCACCTGCAGAAGCGGGAAGGGGCTGCCGGAAGGTGCCACTGACAGCTGCAAGGTGGAAAGGAAAGGGAGGGAAACACGGAAGGGCAGTTTGGACTCTGGCGCCCAGGGCCTGAGGCAGATCGTGGAGAAGATGGTGGCCTATGCCTACCCCTCGCTGCCGATGGCCCGCTCATGGAGGAACGAGCATGCATGATGCAGCGGACCACCGGGAGCCCCAGGTGGGAAGCGGCCTCCTGCAAGCCGTGTTACGGTGTGGGTGTGCTTGTTGTAGGTCAAAGGGAGCCACATTAGACTCGAGGCCTCTGATCTTTCCTGGGCTAGGTAATGGTAATCTGCATGATGTAGCTGGCCGGGGAAGAAAGTCGTTACATACATACTAGTACTTGCATAGGTAGTATAAAAGGTATCAAGCAGGTCAGGATGGAGAGTAGCGGAACACAGCGTTGCTGGAGTCCTTCCGTGAGGTGGAAGCCGATATGGGAGATGGGAGGGAGTGGACAAGAACGAAAGCCAGGGGTGTGTGGGAAGCTTTCCAGTTGCCATGCCTTGCATGAAGCTGGCCCGTCTGTCAGCGGAACCGCGACAAAATCCAATCACATCTCCGGAAGCTGTGCGCCAAGGCGCTCGGTTGCACCACGGTCGTCCCTTGTCTTGCGCCCCACCTGCTACCCCTCTCCATACCCCCGGCTTTTGAGCATGGCACCGCCCTCCTCGCCTGTCTTGCTCTCCCCACAAGCTGGACCTCTGCAGATAGTGGCACGCGCTATGCGCGATGCTTTTTGATAGCTCGTGGAACCCGTCCGTCACATGGCGCAGTGTTTGGTTTCTTGCAACGACTGGTGACGGTTCCCGGTTATCAGTAATGAACTACTGGAAGTGAAGAGGAACACGGCCAGAGACGGGAGAATTGTGGAATGCCGGAGATTGCCCAGACTGGGCTTACTGGAGGAGCGAACGGCCCTGTGAGATGCGGAGATATGTCTCGGGTGAGGTCTGATTCGCTCAGTCTCCATTCGCAAGACTTGCACAGTAAGCCGTTCTGGTTAATTACACAGTCGTGGCTAGCTTTCGATGCCTCATATCAGCGTCGATCGCGAGTCTCCTTCTCGTGGGCATCTAAGCCTTCTCGGTGTTTGAGACGGAGCTGTGTGTACGGTAAACACGAGCGTTGGCAATGGGAGATGTGCAATACATACTGTACGACGCTATCGTTCACTTGACCAGTTTCCCCGGAGGGTCCGGAATTTTACGCCGACAGTGTCTTCCTCCGGGAGCCGAAGATTCAATGGCACCTGGCCTGGGACGGTTTCAGCTGTGGCGTCATCCTCGCTCTCAGATCGCCGCACAACCGGCCAATCAAATAGGCATCGACGAGACAATATTGACAGCTGACGACCGCCATGGGTCGCCCGCATCACACGGGTTCATTCGGCGGAGACGTGGGACTTAGACCGTGAGCGGGGACCGAACTTGAACGCTCTGTCTGCGAGTCTTCAAGATCCGTGGTACCACAACCTCATCAGTATCGTCCCCGTCTTTGGATAGTAACTAATCGACGTGCGATAACCCGGACGGCCGCCGAAACATGCGTACGCAGGCCATAACGGTTGCCGTATCTGCGGTGAGACATGCAGAACCCGTTAGGACGTGATTCTTCATGTGACTGGGACGTTGGAAGTCGGAAATCAGGGAATCGGGCTGTCGTCGCATTCCACTTCGCACCCTGTCTGAGCCAAGATGACTGTTCTCGCGTTCGACTGCAGGCTGACCTCATCTCAGACTATGCAGTGTAACGAGTCTGCGAATGACCCATCTCGAGTCTGCATCCGGAGTAAGCCGGCTGAGATTCCTTTGGCGACCGCACTCTCGGCGAGGTCACCTCCGTGCTTTTCAGGAGCTAAAGAACAAGACTCTCCTACAGTATTGTGTCAGTATGAACAAGCACGCGAGGGGATTTGGCGGTATTTCAAGAATCACGTACCCCCGAACTGCATACCTTGTCAATGCTGCCGCGGCATACCGAGTACCACGACACCAACAGAGTTCCGGGTACGAGAGCGTGGCCGCACGGGCGAAGCAGGGGAGTAGCCTTATCGGGAATATCTTAGCAGCGGGCCATCAAGGCAGCCTGCTGCCCTGTGATTGGGCAGATGCACAAGCGCTCGTCCACTTCAACGCCCGGACGAATCCGAATTGGTTTCTGCCCGATCTGGAATTCTGGATTTAAGTGACACTGCTATCCATACTGTGTAGATCGTAGAGGGACGACGACTTCGCTCCACTAAGGTACAATACCTAGTAGGTAGGTACTACTGTGTTGTCTCGGAAGCTACTGCTGTCAAACTCAAGAGAGCACGTCGTGCGGCTTCTCCGGCCCGTGAGAGCTGAGAGGGGCAGAAATCTGAAAGATGGCGAGTCCCGTTCTTGCCCGATAAAACATCGTATCACTGCTGCAGGCACAATACAGTACAGTACTGACTACGTCCAAGAGAGTCCGACAAGGTGCCGGCAATGTTTTCCTTTTATCTCGTTCACACCAGGCGTTAGGCAATCTAATAGCCACCTTCGCACGCACAGTCGCTGCGGGGGTTGACCAAAAGTTCTTCGGTTGAGCTGATGGGTTCACCATCGAAACTCGAGACACCCTCGAGTGGGATCAGATATCCGTACCCTCGTGCACCTACGAACCAGGGTGGCATTGCTGCCCCGTTCAGATGAAGCGGTGCTATGCTCAGCATCGCCAAGGAGACGGGTCTTCCTGGACGGAGCATGCCGCCCGCATTTACAGGGACTTTCTGTCCATTTCGCGGCCTTTACAACTATCGACTGCGCCGCAGTTCGTTGAGCAGGAATAATCTTCGTCCAGCATCCAGCATTCCAGCCTCCAAGCCCTTCACAACTTCTTGGCTTCTTTTCACGAGCGCCGTGCTCTCTTGCTCGCAGAAACAGATCTTCCGTATTGGTCACAATCGCTGGCTTGCGCCATCATACCAGTCATCCTCGCGATCCGATGGCACCGTAACGACGGAAGCCTTGTCCTGACACGGGAGTACCTCGGCACTGGCGTCCTGTGCCCCCTGATTTCCTGCCTGCTCGGCGTACACCACCCTGCTACCTAGCGTCACTGTGGCGGAGGTATCTCATTCTCAGCTTCTTCGTCCAAGAGTGGCTAGTAAAGCTGCCTCGAATTCCCTAAAATACCCGTAGTCATGGAAGCGATGCCGTGCGTGTCAGGACAGCCATCTCGATACCACCGGCACGGCGGCACCCAGCTCTTCGGGAACTCGCCATCAATAACTTCAGTCCTTCTCCGTTCTAAGCGTCTCTGATACGGTCAACAAGGCTGTGGCATCTACTGTGCACACAGTATGACCAAGGCGGCGTTAACCTGTCCTAATTAGTGTTGGCGCAGTTCGTGTTAGTCGAAGATAGGTACCAGGTAGTATCTTACAATACACCCTGGATTGTTACAAAAACTAGACTCGGCTCCACAACAGACTACTCTTCAAGTCCGACCTTGATGAAAATGAGAAAACTATCTGAAGAGACGGCCTTTCCGAGTAGTTGCTAGTTGCTTATTCTTTTCACGTTAAAACAAATTTATGGCTGTTGGACTGCAGGTATTCTCACAGACTGGACACATGGCGCGAAATCCGCGCTAACAGCCAAGGTACTAGGTATGGATACGGTACAGTGTACCAGGTAATGCTAATGACGCGGTGGCCGTATATTTATGAGATCATTTTAGCTGCTCGGCGCTGACTTTACCGCAATTGGACAAGCGCCAAAGGCTACCTTGAAGATGTTCCCCGCTCATTGCGTTTGCGCTGCACTGCAACTCTGAAGGAGCTCTGGAGCCTTTCTCTGGACACGCCGCCCGTGGCACGCACCGAGGCCGCGACGCGAACAAAGTGCTCACCAGCCTAGAGGTTCCAGCAAGAAAATCGATGAGTAAAAGACGACTAACAAATCAAGGGGAAAAGCGCGCAAGTGCCTGCTCTCCGTCCATTAATAACTCTAATAACCGTTGCCTTTTCATTCGACACCCTTAACTGCGTTTCTGGAGCAGCTTGTGTGGTTTTGCGCCAACCATACCTTATGCACGAACCCTACAGAGTATCCATCAAGCATTCGTTGTTCTGCACCACCGGCGCGACCTTGCATCCCGCAATCTGAGGCTCTGGCGAGTGCCATTGCTTCTGGCCGTGTCGCCCCTCATCAGTCTATCAAGACACGGCGTTTCGCAGACCCATCGCGACGTGGTCGACGTCGACGGCTCTGATGTACGCTGCACAGCCGAACGGCAGTGATAGTGCAACAATCAACCCAGCTGCGCTCAACACAGGTATGTCACTGGGCCGCTTTCACTGTTGTATCGCGTTCGGAAATTGTTCGTTGCATCATGTACATGCGAGAGCAACTGCCCGGCGCGGAATCTTTGCGACTCGCAATTCGCGGGGCGCATCCTCCACATCGTTGGAGTCGCCGTGGCTAGGGCTCCCATCCATCCCTTGATGGAATTTCTAATGTCAAAAGGCGATTTCTTTATCCTCGCTCGCGGACTATGCGAGTCCGCGTCACCCCCGCGCGCCCGTCTTTCCAGAGATACTACTGCCCCTTGCCACCTCGCGCACAGTGCTGACAGCTACGCCCCGGCAGATCTGATAGAGGCCGCCTCTCGAGGTGTCAAGCGGGAACGTTCCCCCGACGGATTCGGGGTCGCAGGGGCACCAGGCCCTGCTGGCGATGACGGTATGTTGTGTTTGTCTCTGTGTAGCTGTGGCCTTCTACGACTAGGGTCAACCATTCCCGTGTTACACCAGCATAGTCGTGCGACACCGAGCGTACGACCTGCGATCACAAGCTGACGGTGCTGTCGCGCATAACTCAGGTGGCGACAAGCCTAGGAAAAAAGGACGACAGATGAAGAACAGAGCCTCCGGGGGCGCGCCCGAAAGCGTCCCGGCGCCCATGCCGCCCGCACCGCCGACTCCCCAAACGCTCCCTCCGCAAACACCCCAGAGTCAAAATGCGACGTTACCATCGCAGACTCCAACGTACGCGCCTCCTCAGACGTCGCCACCTAAGTCGACGCCGACAAAGTCCACCCTCAAGGCACTCCCGACGGTGCGTGACCACACGACAGACCAGCTCGGCCCCGGCGGAGACGAATATATACCGCGCGAGATCGACGAGGCTGGCGAGAAAAAGGTTCTACCCAACGGTCAACTTACTGGCGGGCGCGAGTACCGCTGCAGGACCTTCCATGTCCCGAACAGGGGGGATAAACTGTTCATGCTGGCGACCGAGTGCGCGCGGGTCCTCGGGTACCGGGACTCGTACTTGCTCTTCAACAAGAACAGGTCACTCTACAAAATCATCGCCAGCCAGATCGAGAAGGACGACTTAGTGACCCAGGAGATCCTTCCCTTCTCGTATCGTTCGCGGCAAATTGCCATTGTAACCGCCCGGAGCATGTTCCGACAGTTTGGGAGCCGGGTCATTGTCAACGGAAGGAGGGTCCGCGACGACTACTGGGAGACGAAAGCACGCAAGCAGGGGTTCACGGAGGCCGACCTGGCTGGCGAGAAGCGGCCGGGTGCTTCAAAGGCCCGCGAGGCCGAGGCGAACCACAGCAACGCCATGCTTGGAGCCCCCCACGGTGAAATCGTTTACAGCACAAATCCCGGTCAATTTGGAGGTGCGCCCCAGCCGCAGCTTATGCAACCACCAGGTATGATTGGGGGACCGCCAGGGAGTTCAACCAGAATGCCTGTGATAACATTAGGACCAGAGTACAACGATACGCGGAGCCGAGACTATTCGAGCATTCTGAAGGCGGGCCCAAGGCAGGAGATTACGGGACCACCATATCAGGACCGGATCCAACCCACTCCGATAGCAGAACTGCATGCCCAAGCACACCACGCTGCCGAGTTCAACCGATCTGTTAACCAGCAGCGAGATATGCGGAACGAATACATGCAGAGCATCTGGCGGAGGCCGCACGAACAACCTGCCACGACGACACTGAGCCAGCCCGTAAGCTCTGCCGATGCTACCGTGCCGATAACCCGCCCTGCCGCGGCGTCGCACGTCAGCACCAGCACTACAGGTCTGCAGCAGCCCGGAGTTGTTCCGCACCAGAGCCCCATGATGATCTCGGCCGCACCGTACTCCCAGCCCATACAAGCGCAGCACCCGCTGGGTCAGAACACATTAAGGGGTATGGCGCACGAGGCAGCTCAGAGCACTTCGAGGCCGGCTTACCCGTCTTCAGGCTCAACCGGAACTCTGCCGCAGACGACGCAAAACTACAGCTACTCGCACCAGGGCCAGATGTGGCCGCCGACCCCGCAAACTCCGCAGCACAACTACTCTGCGTACACGACCCAGTCACAACCGTCTCCCCACCCGCAGCAGTCCCCTGCCCCATTGCGACACTCAAGCGCCTCGGGCCCGGTGCAGCAAGGCGGCATGTCATACTCGGGCATACCGGGGATGGGACAGAGTTACGGCGCGGCACCGACCCAGGGGATGTACTCGGCCGACCAGACGCCACGACAGTACATGCAGCAGAGCCCGCAGGCGCCGGCCGTCACGCAGGGCTGGTCGCAACCGCAGGCACCAGCTCAGTGGTGGGCTAACCAACCTTAGGAGAGTGCGGAAGACTCGATCGATCGCTGGTGGGATGATTGGGTTTGGGATGGGGAAGGCAACTTGCTTCCGATGGACGATTTTGCTTGGCTCGACTGGCACCATTTCGGTGATGGACTCGGACCATGCGTTCACTATGGCGCATGGAGCAGGACAGGGAGTGGGCACTGGGGGTGATACGGACACACAAGCTTCCGCCTCTTTATTCATCTCGTCACCCGGCAGGCAAACGCAGGGTATCAGGGAAAGGGGGGGGATAGAGGAGTCTGGGAGGGCATCGTTCCATTTATCGTCTCTCTATGATACCTTGGCTTTTCTTTTTTTCTTTTTTTCCGCCCTTCTTTTGCTTTTTCATCGTTTTTTCATTCTTCTTTCATCCAGGTTGAGTCCTCCGGTTTCTCCAACTGTTTCACGATGCCATGCTGCTATCAGTTCCATACGACAGGATTGACGACTTGATCGACCACTTGGATGTCCAAGCAGCGGTGCTTACTGTGTATGCACCTCGGCTGGCACATATGGGATGGTGATTGGTCTATACGGCAGCGCAGGATCGACTGAACTTCAAGATTGTTTTACCAAGTTCATCTTCTTTTCCGTATTTATTCACTTACCCACACTTTCATTTCTTCTGGTCGATGGAGGACCTTGTGCTGGGTGGCTACTGGTGAGACACGGGGGGTGCATGGTTATTGAACGTTCTGGTTTTGACAGCGGTTTACGTTTCATTCATATTTCTAGCTTGGTTGGGGTCGGACCTCTCATGGATATCATGAGCTTGCAGGCCACCGGCCCCTTTCCTTTCCTTTCCTTTTCCCTTCCGCGTCTCCCCGTTCCGAGTTTGCTTCACCTGGTTCAATATAACATCTTGGATTCAGCAGCGTCAGGCTTGGACCCTATTACAGACTTTGCAATACGGTTTTGGTCGGATCCCTCTGACTTTGGGGCTTGATGCGGTCTTGTTCTGTGCATGGTATGGGATGGGTGGTTTTGGGGGGCTCGCTTCACTTGGCAGGCAATAGCAATTCCGGATGATAACCCCTAGCGCGACTCAGACTACTTTGGGACAGTATATGCATGGCTTATGCTCTTGTTTCGCGGTCACGGCTGCATCTTTTCCTGTAGCTTTGGGCCTGTGGTCTAGCAAATACCACATCGTGGATAATGCAGTTCATGATTGGAACCTCGCTCGAGGGATAGTCTGGCATGTTTGCCTCGACCTTCATATTCCGGGCACACAACAACTAGGTACGCGTACAGCATGTGACGGGGTGCTCACATGTGGCCTGGTCATGCGCGTGCGCGCCCCGGGGATCATCGGAGCGTCTGAAGCATCCGGCCCAGCCAATCTTGCTAACGGACCAGCTCTCAGTTTTCTCGATCTTCGTGCAACATGACAGTCCAAAAGCATACCGAATGAGTAGAACCCATGGCCGGATTGAGCTAGTAGTTTGCTTGCTCACTTGACCCAAGTGGCTGACCAACTGGCTTCCGAGAATGTAACCCTATGAAAAAGCGATGCTCAACATATACTATGTAGGAGGTGACAGAACGGTGCCGAGATACTACCGGCAGCTCTTTGTCCTGGATGCGGCTGTCCCTATCTCACCAACCCCTGGGCAGTTGGGCTCTTCGGCAAGAATTACACTTATGACAAATGAGGTCAAAAAGAGCCGAGCGTTGCCACGCTTGACTGCCCATTAAGCCCAAATAATGATCGATGGAACTCCAACAGTGGCCCCCATATCGAGGGGATGATAGTAGGTGACTTCACGGCTTTGTATCGATCGTCACACAGCCCGGCCGTTGCGCCCAGTACTACTAGTAGTAGTCACTCTCTTGACTCGACCCACCTGCCCGACCATCTTCCCCGGCTAGCTCGATTTGGACGTAGGCGACACTCCTAGTCACTGTCGTCATCTAACGCCTCGTCCTCGTCCTCCCCTCTGGCTGTCCGTTCTTCTAACTCGTCTCTCCCCTCGCCCCCTGCCTCGTCATCATCCTCTTCCTCGTCGGCATCCTCCTCCTGATCATCATCATCTTCTTCTTCTTCTTCATCATCTTCCCCGTCCTCTTCCACTTGCTCATCGGGCACCGTCTCCGCGTCCGAAATCTCCCCTTCGCCACCCTCATCCACCTCCATCCTGGACGAGTCGGCAGAAGGGTCGAGCCTGGCCTTCTTGGCCGCCCTAGCTGGGCCCGGCCCTCCTGAGGCCGACGGAGGCTGGTGCCCGCCGGCGACGCTGGCAGTGGCGGTGGTAGAGCCTATGCTCATCATGGAAATGTCGGCCGCGGCGCCGGCGTCGGTGCTCTGGCTTGGGCTGCCGCCTCTGCCTCCGGAGGCGGAGGCAGAGGCGGCGGCAGCTTTCTTGGCGGCGGCTACCTTTTTGCGGTATGTGGAGCGCTTTGAGGTCTGGACCTCGTTGAATTCTAGTAAGGACGGTAAGCAATTTGTGTTTAAGATAGGTTTGGGGGGGTAAGGGGGGTTAAGGGGAGTAGGGAGGCTTTACTGGCAAACTCGGCCTCGAGCTTCTCACGCATGAAGCCGAACTCTGTCTCGTCAAGCGCTTTGAAGACATCGGTGTGCATGATGGTCTTCTTGCCAGAGTTCACGGTGTTCTCGTTTGCGCTGCGGTTTGGGTCAGAAACGTGGGAGGAGACGCTAGTAGAGAGACAAGGGGGTGGCCCCAGCAGACATACGCATTCGCCAGGTGGTTGATGAAGACTGTAGCGCTCTTCGTCAGGGCCAGGATCGCGTTGGCTTGTATTTGTGTGTTGGGCGGCAGCACCCCTTTGGCGAGACGGGTGATGATGGATTTGGGCAGATTTAGGTCCTAATAAGCCGCCATCATGGGATCGCGGGAGTTGTTAGCCTGCGTGTTGGGGCGAACGACGGAGAACCAATGTGTAGGGCCATACACACCTCGATTGGCAAGCCGTCGCTTTCCTTCTCCTTCTCCTTCCCTTTTTCCTTGTCTTTCTTATCGACCGGTTGCCCTTGTTGAGCAGGGGCGGCGGTTGAGACCGAATCAGAGCGCTCCTTTGCCGCGGGTGGTGCTGCTGGAGTAGGCGATTCGGTCGTCATGGTGCTGTCTTCTTCGGCGAGCACAAACCTCGCCACGGATACGTCGCTGCGGCGCGCGTCGCTTTTTCGCGAGGGCATCGTAACGGTGCCCGGGTGTATCGCCCTAAAGGATGGGTTCGGCAAGATGCAGTGTGCTTGTGGACGGATGCAAGCTGCCAAGATAATGCACTTGGATGCAATCTCATATAAAGCCACAAGATCACCTGGTACGGGCGTGAATACACAGTCGGAATGTTTTCGGCACAATGCTGGTTCGTTAGGTGCAATACTCACTGTCAAGTTGGTTAGTAGTAGTTGTGGGGAAAGAGGATGTCCAACTTGAAATTGTCGCGCTGCGCGTCGTCGCGTTGCCATACAGTACGCGCGTAAATTGGTTGCGGTCAGAGCTGAGTGCGTACCCTATGAATGGACCAAGCAACTTCAACAACCCGTCGTCATTATCGCACTCAAGATATCGTCACAGCTGTGCTCTCAAATAATTGACCCATCATGGTCTCTCGTGCCTGCATACTCCCAAATATTACTACGAGTACTACTACTATTAGTAAATCCGTAGTCATCGGGCACTCGAGAATCCGATCTCTTATGAATTAGGGTTAGGGTCGATTAACCTACAGTACTACTAGTAGTACTATCCGTAGTACATACTTACATTGTAAACCGATGTTCAGTTCACCTGGCAGGTCTAGTCTTCCCTCCAGCATCATTTATTTACCGAATTGTCTTGTGTCAGCATGTAAGGTACGGTACCTACACTTCCAGACAGAAGTTCCCATAGAGCAAAACCACTATTCCCAATCCTGATCATGTTCCTGAACCCCCCGCGTTAGGCGGTTTCAGGTGTGACAGCTAGAAAGCTTGTATTTTCGATCATGGGGCATGTGGTTCTGGAGCGCAGGTGCGCGATCAGAAGCAGCATGTGCATAACGTCAGTACCTTATGTATATGCATGTGCACAAGGGTTGTGCAGTAATAGATGACATGTGTCAATCGTCGATAAATGCTTGTAACTGTACTGAGTTGAGTGTCATCCCATCTTCTGCCTGCGATCTAGCAGTCGACCCCTGGTATGGGATGTCGGCTTGGTCTGCCCTCCTCCTCGGAACTATAAAAACATGAGCAAATCACCCTGTGAATGGGCCGGGCCGTTCAGGCCGCTCAAGACCGGACTGGAACTGCGCGCCATCCGGTTCCTCCCCAATCTGACAGAAAGATAATCTCTCGTTCTTTGCTCCAACACACTCGGGGTATATCCATCGTCTTCGTCAATCATAGCGCTCAATGAATCAGTCCTGAAAGAAGGAAAAGAGAAAAAAAGACCCGAGCTACCTGGCGAGCAACCCGCTTTGTGTCGTCCGAGCCTGTCCCTTGGACTGGGGGTTGGAAGAAGGGAAAGTAAGAAATAACCGGGCGCCAGGGGGGCCAACACCCCAAGCCGGTGGAGGGCTCATTGAAAGTAGAAGCGGCGGTATGTGCTGCGTGTGTCAAGGCGGTTCAAAGAAATAAGAAGCAAAGCAAAGTCGAGGGCTAGCCAATAGCTCGGCCAATCTCGGCCTCTCCGGTAAACCTCGGCCTAGCGGGCGACAGCCCTCCATACAACACCTCATCCCCGAACGACAGCCGCGGAGGGATCGAAGAAGACGAGTACACTCTCGAGTGACTGCCGCGTGGCGTGGCGGGTTGGTAGTATCTCGAGTGGCTGCTGTGTCGTACTATGTGGGCATGGTCCCGGTCATGCGAGAGCCGCAGCGACAGTTCCAGCTCCGAGCCAGCGCCGGACCCTCCCCCACCTACACCCCCTCCTCCGGAGCCGTGATAGTAGTAGTAGTCACCGAAGCTGCGAGTGCTGCTCCGCGAGCTCCGCGCTCTTGCGTGACGGGCTCGGCGTTCCTTGGCCGAGCCATGAGAGGCCTTGGAAAGCCGGGAAGGCGTGCGTTTCGGCTTCGGGAGGAAGGGTGCGTCGCCGGGAACCGACTCGTCTGTCAAGCCTGCACGGGCGTTGGGAGCCCGAGCTTGGATCGGGGTCTGCGGGAGGGACTTATCGAAGCTCGACTTGCCGCCGTACCCGGGGTGGTCACGTGCGAACGAGCGACGGGACTCGGCGTCGGTCGAGTGGCGGAGTCCCTGGCTGTTGCAAGGGCTGCTGTAGACTATCACACTCGGTGGCTTCTTTACGGAGCTTGTGGATGGGTGCTTGGCGTGTGACGGTGACGGGGCACTGGTCTCTTTGCTGAGTGCTCCGTCGGCCTCGATGTCGGTGTCTCCAACATGGAAGCCACCCTTTTCGGACCTATTCCCTTTCCATCTCTCGATCTCCTCGTCGTCGATAGGCGAAACTCCCCGCGGAAGGAAGGGTAGACGGCGTCTTCGTCGTCGACATCTCCGGCAGAGTAACACTGCACCTATGACTAGGAACAATCCCACCGCCGAGAGGACGGTGCTCAGGGCGATGACCAGTGTCCTGTTGCTGGCAATGTCCGAGTCACCGTCACCATCGTTCGAGGGCCCTATGGCGTTGGAGATATCGGTTGTGGTTTGGGGCCCTGGTGATGTGGCAATACCCGTGGGCATAGTATCGGTCACTAGGACCTCGCTGGACGAAGCCTGAGGGTTGCCGGCGCCGGGGAAAAGGCGTGGTCAGCGGCAAGCTGGGAGAGCTTGGAGGTCCCGCAGAACTGAGCGAGGTTGAATTGGCTGATCCTGGTAGAGAACTGTCAGTTCATGATACATCCCTGTGGATAGTGTTTCCGAGAGACCCGGGACAGTGGGGCCAAGGCAAAGGACCATATCTGGTGCTAGCAGGCCATTGTGCAGACTCGAGCTCAGAGATGTCTCTCTTTCTCGAACCCAGAAGAGAGGGGTGTACACCCGGCACGATAGCAAGGTAGCGAAACGGGGGACAAACATGGAAGAGCCGGGTCAAACTAAAAGGCCGAAGAGCCCGCGACACCGAGCGAGCATCAGTTCCAGGGCACAGTGGCCGCGAGTTCCGTCGAGCGGTATGATCAACAAACGAGAACGAGAGACAAGAAGTAAGGTAGCTAGGCGGAGAGGGGAGCTACCACGTCTCAATCCAGAAGCGGCAACTAGACCCTCTACAGGATGGGGTCACCACGGGATGCTGAGGTGTGCAGCCTGCCGAGCCATCTATAAAAATATCCTCGAAGCTGCGAAGTGAAGGGAGACTCGGCAAATATACCTCGTGTGCTCGAGCCGACCATCCCCGACACCCACATTGGGCCGCCGTCATCGCCCCCATGCCCGCCATGGCTGCCACACACCGTCCACCGTCAAATCTAGACTGGTATGTCACTAGGCATGCAGTTCGGCGCCATGGTGGTGTGCCATGTGCGAACTACATGCGCGCTAGTGACAGGACCTGCATGATTACTGTAGGCTCACGTCGTGTAGCGGGCATTGGGCTGAGCAGGCTCAGCAGTGTGTTGGCCATGGCCATCGCCAACGGGGCTTCCAAGACTGCCCGCCACCTTTGCCATGCCAGATTTGAGAAACGATCCACAGCCCGTCGAGCAGACTTTCTGAAACGCACCTGTCCTGTCGAGCTCGCGTTTATCGCCAGGGATTGGCGAGCGATTGCAGAAGTGCGTGCAGATGTTTGGTGGGTGTGGTGGGCCGGCGAAACGGGGCAATGAACTGAACAGTCTTCGGCGATCGGGCCCGTTCCTGACAGGGGCAGGGGTATCTCCAAAGGGAATGGTTAGGCCCCGCAAAGGTGGTGAAGTGGCAGAAATAATGCAAGTCCGCAGAACGTCCGGAAAGGTCGGGGAGAATCTGTCACCTGGAAGTCAATTGCAGTCATGAATGCCCCTGGGAAGGCACTGTGCAACAAGCATACTCGACCGCTCGAGGGTAGAGGGAGGAGAGAGGATGCGTCGATCCCGCCTGGCACGGTCAGGACTCCCCACGACAAAAACAGGCTGTCCCGTGGTGTGTGGGATGTCATAAATTGAACCAGTTGTCTGCGGCTTCAGCAGCGAAAGCGGTGAAGGACCTCGACTTGCCCCGCCAGTAGAAACGAGGTGGTGTGGGCTCCGTTTCCTGTTCCTGAAACTTGGAGCTTGTGCCTGGAATTACCCGTAATTACAAGTGGAGTTGTGGCTCGTGCACTGTGCACCAAGATTTCCGGAAGCGGGGAAGGAGATCGCCTTTTCCTGATAGGGGATCTCCACGAAAGCAGGTTGGGACGATGAGACACTCCCGAGTCAAGAACCAATATCGCCCTCATCAGTTTGACCATCCTCTTCATGGTGGTTCCTGCATGCTGCTAAGTGCAATAGCCAATAATGCCCCTCGTATTTCGCCTTTCCGAGGGAACATTCCAGGTCAAACAAAGAAGCCCCGAAGAGATGGCTCCGGTTAGTGATTTTCTCACTGAGCGGAGCTAGGTACCTATGCTGCTGCTGCTGTGGAGTGTGGACTGTGGTCCAACGGGCTCACCTCACTCACTGCCTTAGTTATCCGTTGATAATGGAATCCCTTATCACCTCACAGCTATGAATGCAGCCTCCAATGATTCCTATCCCGCTCCCCGATTCATTTGCGGCAAATCCGTCCCACAAAGCTTGCCTTGCGCTTAACAGATAGCCGCCGGGCGGCAGGCGTCGCCAGTCAAATCGCAAGCCTCTCGTTGCCACCGTCCGTGCCCGCAAAAGCGCCTCCTGCCGTGCTGCAGTTTGCAGACGCAATGCTCCCCAAAGCAACCGGATGATCCAATTCCGTCCCATCGAGGGCAGGCGTCCTCCATTGGGTATTTGCCTCAATGAGGCCTCTGGTACGAAGTGATAAGGTATGAGCTTCTTGACGACAGCTGCTGTGGCTTGCATGGAATGACACCGCGGACGTACTGTGGTATAGTTTACTAAACATCGCAAGACTCATGTAAGTAAGTATGTACTGTACTAATTCTGGCTTAACCCTTCATCTAATGGTCTGCAGTCTAGCTCCTGCAATGTCTTAGATCGCTTATTCGTCTAGGAAGTTGATTGACGACATTGGCGGCAATATCGATGCAAGTCCCGGTTGTCGCCACGACAGGAATTGCCGTTCCCATTCATCACGGCCACGGACCTGGCAAACTTACCACTGGACTCTCTCTCATTCATTCCTCAATCCCAAGCTGCCGGCGAACGGCCCGCCCTTTTCCTGGTGTGCCGTGAGCCACTCACGACCCGGATGCTGGTCACCACACCCAACCCAACCCAACCCCCCAAAAGAGGGGCCTCCCCGCAGGGTCGCCCAGCAGTGCTTCGTGACGTGGCCAGGAATGTAGGGGCCGATGAATCTGGTCTTCGGGCCAATCAATATCCCCAATGCAAGACATCGGGTTCCTCAGCCCCGGATAGGGCTTACCATGCGCATGGACTTTGCGAGATCTGGACGGCATCCGTCATATCATTGGCTCGCCAGGCGGGGTTGGTTGTCATGCACGAGCTCGAGGTGTTGTTCGGAGCTTTTGGTGTCTTCGAAGTTTGATTCGCCGGGTGCACCGGCAGAGCTGAAACCACAGACAAAATGGCTCAACCTTAAAAGTGTATGTCTTACACAAGCTAGTACGGGGCAGATGACTGTGTCCTCTTGCGTGTGTTGGGTGTGAATGCACCATCCGTGGTCACTTCCGGGCACATCACCACCGTGACAGGTCTCGTTACGGATATCTGGACGGTGGCCCTCTTCTTCACTTGTGGCGTCGGTGCCCATTGGCCGATCATCTTCACGACTTGTTTATCCCAGACGGCTTGGAACCGACATGCCCACTCAGCCCTGCGGCGTCCTACCTCGGGCTCATGCCTATCCGGCCACGACAATCAGCAGCTGGTTGACTCACGGGAAGTGTCCCGAGTCACTATTGACCCTGTGTTGTCCCTGTCCCACTGCCGCCCCTGCGATGAGATATTCGGGGTCTGTCAAGAGCAACACCCTCAAGAGTTTCCATGCTCTACTCTTCTGGAAACGTGACTTGGGCGCGACGTTTGATAGCAAGACAATGCTGACATGCTGACACCGTTTCGCATATACTCTTAGAGTTATGCTTTCCTACGACCCGGGAGATACTGGCGAGCGTCTCCATTGCCTCGGGTCCGTACCCGGTCATAATCGTAATAAACTAATAAGCTTACTCCGTTGGTCGATGATACCAAGCTAGGGTAGTACCTTAGGTACCTTTTTGATAACACTGTAAGATGATATCACATGACCGCACCCAAGCGTTGCACAACCACGGCTCAGCTTGTCAACTTCATGTGTTGGGCAGCGACGGTGCAAGGGGTACAGCGCGTAGCCGACATGCGGGGACTCTGCAGGGAGCGTGCAACCGCACCGGCTGTCATGAAGAGTTGACGGCATGCGGCGCAGGACTCGTCAACCCAACACATCAATCATACTGTACTAACTGTAGTATGTCGGATGACGGGAAGTGAAACAATGAGTAGCCGTGTGGCACAGCACACACCTCTAAGTGAATGGGATGACGGTATGATGGATCTGAACATATGATGTCGGTGGGTGGTTGCTTCATCCTAACAGACGCTGACTATACCTATGCATGTCAAGTAGGTATTACCGGCAGCTAGGCGAGTCTGGGGTGTCCCTCCTACCGAGCTTCACACCTTAGGGTGAGCGAGTGAATCTCCAGTCTCTCCGTGGTCTCAGTATGTCCCTGCCATCCGGGCCTCTGAGCTGCAGACCTGAGCCCGCATGCGGTGTGCTGCGCACTAGTACTACTGTACTACACCACGATAGGCTAGGGCGGAGCAGTTGTTTGCAGGTGTGTCAAAGCAGTAGTAGCTTCCCCAAAGCTCACTGCCCTGCATGAAGGAGGCCTGGGTTTCATACACTATTTATTGCAGTGCCTCCTGAGCTGGCCGATGGGAGCGGCGCTAAGTTCGGGGCAGTGCGGTCTGTTTCCACTGGCGCCTGGGTATGATGCTGCTGCATTAGGACTGACGGTCTGTCTGGGGGATTGTCATGGAAGCAATCATGTCTTAGTTTTATCAGCAATACTGCGGCGCGGGCGGCATTAGCCGCCTGTTTGCTGGTTCCCGCTGATGTGCTTGGTCTCGCGACGACTATCTTCTATTACGCTTGGTTACGTGTCTCCCGATGAACCCTGAGCGAGTGCATTGCGATGGACACGAGTAGATAGTGGTCAGACCTCCGTTGAAGGAGGACTCCCATGAGCGATATCAACTCATTCGACCCGGTGATCAAATCTACTACCTTATGCAGGGTGTTGAGACGAGGTTCCTCTGCCCGATCTTGACATCGCCGGCCTTTTCACCGGGTACCTTTCTCGTGCTCCATCTCTTTCCGCCTTCTCTTATCTGTTTCCATCGTAGGTAATCAAGTAAGACGTCTGGAGTCCTGATCTCGCGGCAAGTTCTTTACCGGAAATCAAATACTACAAGCATATACTACTAAGCTTCTATATGGCCAGGGTTACAACTGGCCCTAGACTACATTAGAATCCCTTACATAGTGAAGCTATATCCTATGACTCTGTTTGCAGGCGTTCCTGGGCTACATAGTATCTTGCTGAAGTCTGTGTGACCTTACTCGCCATCTTGACCTTATTGCTCCATATGTCTTTGGATGTAAAATCAAGTTCCGGGCCGCTCCTTATTACCAGTTACTTCCTACTAGCTATGGAGGTTCCACGCTACTTTACTATCGACAGTCATCCCACATGAGCGCTCCTGCGCTCACTCTTAGGCCGATTGATTAGACTTCAAGACGGCACCAGCTCCGGTCACTGTTCTATTATAACCGCGATATTGAGTTTTCAACTTAGTACTGGGCGGTGAGAGGTCACTTGTGGGAGCAGACCGCTATAGTGAGAGCGACTCCTCAGTTCTAGACCTCGAGGTAGTCTGGAGTTCCTTTCCATTCTTGAGTTCTTTTCTCTCGTTTTCCTCCTCCGGTTTAACAAGAGTCAGATTCTGTCAGAGCCGGGACCCACCGTTACGAATACCCGAAGATGGACCCATTGCCGATGCCTGTTTAGAGTCCTCCTTTCAAGTCGCGAGCGATATCGCAAGAGAACGGTGTTAACGTGACCCAACAGGTCCCATAACAGCCAAATCTCTTCGCGCCAAAAGTAGTTGAGAATCGCATCATCCCCGTGTTCAAACCTCGTTCTGCGATCCCAGCCCCCGGTCTCGGCTCCTGGTTGCCCCAGAGTTCGGCTCCGATAAGATCGCCGGCCCCTTATCAGCACTTTCTAGCTTCTTTCCATCTGGTGCTATTGGCCAATGGCTGATCCGCGGCCCCTCTTGTGCCAGCCTTGGCATGAGTGCTTGCTGCGTAAAGCCGCGACAAAGCGATCCAAACGGGCCTCTCTCTTCCTTCAAGAGCAGCACACTGCAGACAACTCGACGAGCACAGGAGGTGAGGCTAAGGGCGTAGCTTTGCGATTAGACGACGGTAGCGGGAAGTCACGCGCGCAGTTCCTCCAAACACGCATTCCATTACCTACCTTACTTTATCTGAGGCGTCGTGTGACATCACTTGCCGATCCAAACCGCCCTAACCAACTGCATCCCCTCACTATCTGTCCGAGGCTCTGAGCACACTCAAGTATGGCGTCGCGCCAACTTCGAGCATTGGCGCTATCCTCTGGCGTCACAAGAGCAGCCTTCTCTGCCAGACAGCCCAGGTTACAACTTACACCCAAGCTTCCGAGCACCACCAGAATGTCGACGATCGCGGCGTTTAAGATCCCCAAGGTGTCAAACGAGCCCAACGTAAGTGCTGCGTCCCGAGCGCTAACTACTAGTATGTTGGAACGGGAAACTGACATTGCTGGCAGCAACACTATGCCAAGGGCTCCGCCCAACGAGCAGGCTTGACCGCCGCCCTCGAGAGCCTGCAGAAGAGAGGCGCCCTGGAGGTGCCTCTCGTTATCGGCGGGAAGGAGGTGAGTGTTTGGACCCCCGCTGCTCATTTGTCAGGAGGCGCCGTTGACCTTACTCGCGGGAACCAGATCAAGACTTCCTCCACCGGGAGGCAGGTCAACCCGGCGGACCACCAGACAACCATCGCCACCTACTCCCAGGCGTCACCCCAAGATGTCAAAACCGCCATTGAGTCGGCCCTGGATGCCAAGGCCGACTGGGAGTCCCTGCCGTTCGCCGACCGCGCCGCCATCTTCCTGAAGGCGGCAGACCTGATCAGCACCAAATATCGCTACGACATCATGGCTGCGACGATGCTGGGCCAGGGCAAGAACGCGTGGCAGGCCGAGATCGATGCTGCCGCCGAGCTTTGCGATTTCCTCCGCTTCAACGTACAGTACGCCGAAGAGCTTTACGCCCAGCAGCCCGTGCACAACTCGCCAGGAATGTGGAACCGGGTCGAGTACAGGCCGCTCGAGGGCTTCGTCTACGCCATCAGCCCCTTCAACTTCACCGCCATTGCCGGCAACCTGCCTGGCCTCCCGGCCTTGTTGGGCAACGTTGTTGTGTGGAAGCCGAGCGACTTCGCCATTGCTAGCAACTGGCTGCTGTACAACATCCTCCTCGAGGCTGGTCTGCCACGGAACGTCATCCAATTTGTGCCGGGAAACCCGGAGGAGGTGACGAAGGAGGTCTTGGCTCACAAGAAATTCGCTGCGCTGCACTACACAGGCAGCACGGCCGTCTTCCGCAAACTGTACGGACAGATCGGCGCCGGAGTTGCCGAGGGCCGGTACCAGTCGTACCCCCGTATCGTCGGCGAGACTGGTGGCAAGAACTTCCACCTCATCCACTCGTCGGCCGACCTGGAGAATGCCGTCATACAGACCGTTCGCGGTGCCTTTGAGTACCAGGGGCAGAAGTGCAGCGCCACCTCCCGTCTCTACGTGCCTGCATCCGTGTGGCCGCAGTTCAAGACTCGGTTGGTTGAGGAGACCCAGAAGCTGGCGGTCGGCAACCCCTGCGACCACCAGAACTTCATGGGCCCGGTCATCCACGAAGCCTCGTTCAAGAAGCTCTCCGGGGTGATTGACGAGGCTAAGAATGACAAGGACCTCGAGCTGCTCACCGGTGGCACTTATGACAAGTCGAAGGGCTACTTTGTACAGCCGACCATCTACCAGGCCCGGACGCCGGACCACAAGCTCTTCTCGACGGAGCTGTTCGGCCCCGTTTTGACCGTGTACGTGTATGACGATACCACGGACCCGGTGGGCGCATTTGCGCAAGCCTGTGAAATGGTGGACACGGCCAACGAGTACGGCCTGACCGGGTCGGTGTTTGCCGCCGACCGGGCCGCGATTCGCTTCGCCGAGGACAAGCTCCGCAACTCGGCAGGCAACTTCTACATCAACTGCAAGAGCACGGGCGCCGTGGTGGGCCAGCAGCCGTTCGGCGGAAGCAGGGCGAGCGGAACCAACGACAAGGCCGGCAGCATCGCAATTCTGTCCCGGTTCGTCAGCATGAGGAGCATCAAGGAGGAGTTCAACGCCACCACGCGGGTGGAATATCCCAGCAACGAGGTCTAGAACATCCGAAGTTCCGGAGGATAGGATACGGCGGAAGGAACCGGACAAGTACAAGGGACAACAAGGATTACACCGGGCCAGTCATGTGTGTATGGACGAAATGCAAGAAACGGACTAGTGTATGAGCGATGCATCACGGAGTTATTAGGTCAAAGATCTCCTCAGTTTCATGAATTGGATACCAGATTTCACGTTGACACGCGAGCAACGGCTGGAGCCTCTGACGGGAAAGGCGCACAGGCAAGCCGCCGCAAAGCGGGCTGCGTGTTGAAAGCATTGGACAGGGTGCTATGACGATCGGGGGAGCCCACAGGGTTCCCGATGGGGGCGTGGCCGGCGTACTCGAAAGCTGTTGGACAATGAGGTGCTGCCGTGCTCCAAGCGGCTTTTGAAGTTGCCCCCCGGAACCCTCGTGGGACCCCAAGAAAGCTCGAATTGACATCCGGGGCAAGGTACAAAGAAAAGGAAGCTTCGACAGCCGAATCGTGCTGGGCTGGGTGGACATTTTCTGTAGCTCATATCCAGCTCAACAACAGCATCCAGCTCTGGAACCAATCAGCGTCCGGGATCCCACCCCGTGCCTCTTACAAGGGAGCTGAGCACGCGACCGCTCCTTCCTCCCCCAGGCACCGCCCCTCCCCCGTCGTCTCGCACCGGTTGTGATCTCAGGCTGAGGTGTGCGCACGATGTCTGTCGCAATGTCTCATCTCCCGCGGGAGGTCTGCTTCCTGGGCAAGCGCCGGAACGAATGTCGTGTTCCTGTCTCCCTCTTCACTCAACATCCAGGGCCATCTCTTCGACCGCGTAGGCCGTGACATCAAGGATCGTCACACACGACTCAGACGCTCAGATACCGGCTGCTGTTTCTTATCAGGGTGCCAAGCGCAGCTTGTTCAACCTGTCAAAAAGCTCGGCATACGCCCATCTTCTGGGGGCAGGACTTCCCTCGGTTCCCCGTTCAGCAATTCAGCATCCATCTGCTCCTATTCCACGAGACATACGCCACTCCCAGGGAATTACAATGCCTCGAGCCACGTTGCTCCCGACGCCGGCGTCGTCGACCGATATCAAGGGCCAGGATGGCTCCAAAATGGCGTCGCTACAGTTGGCGTTCGAGCTGCCACCGCCGGCGGTGACGAACGAGGGTAGCCCGAGTTTACCGGCAAGCGTATACCCTCCACAAGCCAGCGAAACAGTGAAGTCTCGCCGGCGTTCATCCGCTGCCAACCCGCCAAAGGACCAATTCGCCCTTCCACCCCCTCCCACGCGGTCCCGGAAGATCATCCAGATGAAGCCTCGCGAGGATCCTAGCCCCGAGACTCCATCGTCGAGTTCAAAGACGGCCTCCAAGAGCGGCTCAGGGGCAGGCTCGGCGACAGCAGCAGCAGCAGCAGGCACAAAGAGGAAACAGCCGTCGGCGACAAGCGCGGCTGGGAGGAAGATCGCAAGGAAAACAGCCCACAGCCTGATTGAGCGGCGGCGGAGATCCAAGATGAACGAGGAGTTTGCTGTTCTCAAGAGCCTGATCCCGGCGTGTACCGGAGAGATGCACAAGTTGGCTATCCTGCAGGTGCGTTTGTGTGGCTGAGCCCGTGCTTCGCTTCCGCTGACGTTCGAGCTAGGCCTCGATTGAATACGTGAGATATCTGGAGGACTGCATCACCCAACTCAAGGCCCAGTGCGCATCGGAAGTGAGAACGGATCCAGAACCCCGGACGGCTCAGTCTGGCTTGCCATCACCAGCTCTTGGAGAGCCGTACAATTACAGCCGCAATTTCACCTCGACGGCCAACTCGCATTCACCCGACATGGAGATGACGAGCCCGTCATCCAGCGCGCCTTCTCCAGGCTTGACTCCCATCGCCCGCCGATCCCAACAGCCATCAGTCTCCCCGGCGCTAGTGCCTGAGGACTCGAGGAATCGGCACAACTCATACTCATCAGTCTCGTCCGAATACCGTCTTCATGGCTACAGCACTTCGGCGACCACGTCGCCCTGCTTTGGTCCGCAGGGGTACGCTGAAGCGCATCGCACACATTCAGCCTACGGCTCGGCATTGACAAGCCCGGCTCTGCCACCTCAGAGAGACCTTGACCAGGAGGCCACCGCCGCCCTGCTGATGCTGAACCAGATGGACAGACGTACCAGTAGTAGTGCGACAGCACCACGCGGGATGAGCGTGAGAGACCTGCTCAGCAGCTAATGGAACTGGGGTGTACGCCGGTCGATGGCTCTGAACTTCTCTGGACTTCGGCTTCGGAGTGAACGGTTGGTGCTTTCTGGAAGCGAGTCCTCGGTGATGTGGCCAGGTTCTCTGGAGGAGATGGGTAAAATGAAAAGCACCGAACCGATGGTGCGCGGGACTCGCGGCCGAGATCGAGGTACCGAAGTAGATCCAAGAGTCGGGGCAGACGTCGAGCTTATGGACCGTTGTATCCCAGTGTATGGTCTATGGGTCGGTATTCAGCTCGGAACCTGAGGCAGTGGGTATTTCGAGATGGTCCGATCACTCCTGACTGTCGACGAAGGCTTGACCGATCTGATCTGACACCTATCTCCCACGCCTGCATTCCTGGACGGGTCGGTCAGAGTTGAGACGCCATCCCCATGTCGTTATCCATAGATTCATGTCCAGGCTACACATGCTTCGGCGCTATATCCCGATAAGGTCGGCTGACGCCGGTATGGGTATGTACCAAACAAGTGGTTCGACTTATGGCATCTGGAACTTTGGGAGGTTAGGAGGAGGCGTTTTGGCTGCTGTACGGGGACCGCAGAGAAAAGGTTGTAGACATCCCTACCTTGGAGTTCGCCGCAGGAATGTTTAAAGAGTGTCAAGTGGCGGCAGATGTTATAAACATTACTAGAGAGCAGACAAAACACTCGATTTGGACCAAAGATGGCTTCATTAACCTAACCCTGCTGGCCGGACGGAATTGTGATTCGCTGCCAACAAAAAGCTTTGCGAGCTCTGCACCTGTAAGTTACGGCAGTTGGGGAGCTCTGTGTCTCACATTGGATGCTCTACTACGGTAGGTATCGTACGAGGGGGTTTGGGTTCGGTGTCACAGCTTCGTTGAAGCATCGCTGTTCCTGTCTTTATTTGTAACCGTACTCCTTGCCGACTGCCACGTGACACCCCTGGGCCCTGAGCTTACACAATGCAGGGCATGACAGCAAGGGCAGCTAATATTGTGACAGTGAAGAGTGACAGGGCAGGTCGTGACTGAAATCGGATGTCAAATGAAACGAGAAGGGGGGTTTTGAGGCTCTTCATCCCAGGCGAGCCCCGGAAAACAAAAGCGGCTATCTTGGGTTGCTACTTTCTAGGGGTTCTGAGGATTTTCCAACTCCTAGGCTTCATCAAAGTAGAACTATATATGTCGAGCTGTCCCGCTATGACAGACGGACTTGGCTCTCCCTACTACCAAGCAGCAGCAGCTTCTCCGCGCAGCCTTTTACCGCCACCACTCACGGCTCTGGCAACGAACTGTATATTGTGTAAATATGACTGGGACTTCGGGTGGCTTTCCGGTTCGCTCCGTCTTCTTATCCTTTGGTATCTCCCACTGTATATACGCTTTGCGAACCCTATGTCTACGTCTTCTCCGGCTTCTACAATTTCTATGTACATGTGCGATGGAAGCACCGCGCTCAACAGACACAGACTTGGGCACGTGGTGTATGCTGCGGCTTCGGTCTAGAACGAAGACAGGGAAGGAGACAGCAGGAGGGGGGGGGGGGTATGCTGACGCCGAAAGAGGCCAATTCGTTGACCAACACACCTATTACAATTGATTAGACAGTCAAAACTTCCCACCCGGAAAACGACCTGGGTATCTAGATTACATCAACCGTTGCCCAGCCGCGTCCGATTATCCCTCACATCCATCCCATTCTACATCACACTCACTCAACAGAACCTAGGCCCGTCAACCATACGTGGTATACACATGTCCTCCGCCGTTGTCAGCCCTCTCAAACCTCGTTTCCTCCCTTCCCACGTCGTTCCTGAACCTTACACATCTTGCTAGGTATATCCACGAACCCGACATTAACATACGTAGGCTCATCTCACACCTTTATTATCCTCATCATCCTCATGATCATCAACCCTCGCCGAGACTCCCGTTACCCCCTGCCAGCTGTTGAACTGCCCCGGCTCTGGGTCCGCCCTCCGGCAGAAGACCCGTGGCTTGCCGGCCGGTGCGGGAGCATCTCCAGACTAGGCGGCCGAGGCCCCTGGTAGTTGAGCGCGGGGATGGTCAGGCCGTAGCCCTCTGTGCGGCCGGCCGGGTCGTGCTGGTCGACCTCGACGCAGATGCACACGTCGAGGGAGCCGTCAGTGCCGGTGCCGTGACTCGCGGGCGAGGCGGCCTTGTGCTTGGTGCCGCAGTGCTCTTCGCCCGCGTGCAACGGCAGCCGGCCGTCTTTCTTGTGGACCGGGTTTCTGCGTTGGTTTCGTGGGGAGTTTGACGAGGACGACGAAGACGACGACGAGGAACCCGGTGGATGTGTTGAGGAGGGGTCTGTTGGTTGATGATGATGATGTTGATGGGGTACCCCGTTTGTCCCGTTTGCAGCGTGATGATTGGGGGAGTTCTCGGTGATCATGGCAAAGTTGCGACTAGGCATGGTGACGAAATTGTGTTTGGCCGTCTTGGTGCTGTTGCCGGGATCTTTGTCGAACAGCTTGAGGAGGGTTTCCGACGTCTCGTGGTTGAGATGGTGGATGATGTTGCGGCGCGCCAGCAGGTTCGCGACGGCGGCCGGGGGCGGCTTGTTGACAATAGCGGACGAGACGACATTGACTATGTAGCGGTAGTCTTGCTCGACGGGGATGTTGAGACGCGGGTTCGAGTAGAACCTGCCGAGCGCGGCCAGGTGCACGTCGCCGCTCAGGATGGTGGTCCGGACCGAGAACTCGGCGCAGATGCCCTGCAGCTTCTCGATAAGCCAGTTCCGCTCCTTCTTGTGCGTGTGCGCGGTATAGTGGTCGTCCAGATCGTCCAGGAGGTCGACGCTGCCGTCGAACGAGTTGAAGAAGCTGCCGCCGAATCCCATGCGGCGGTTCAGGAACTTCATGGGGCCCATCACAGGGCTGGCGAAGATGTTTTCGAGCCAGGTCAAGCGCTGTGCCTGTTAGTTATGTTTGCCAGGGTGAAGAGAAAGAGAAAGAGAAAGAGAGAAAAAAATAGAAGAAAGAAAAAACGGAAAAATTGAATTGGGACCTCACAGGATACGCAATGGGAATACCCAAAAGGAGAATTAGATGCCTGTACGGCCGCCCCGAGTTCGCGGCGTTTGTGAGTTCTTGCTTCAGGCGGGCGAAGATGGCTCTGTACGTCTCGGGGTAGTTGACCTGGTGTCTCGTACGCTGCTCCTCGTCAGCACAATTCGAGTACCGCCGCTCACCAACGAAGAAGAAAAAAAGCATACCTCGGTGCGTGCGTCAATACCCAAGAAGGCGATCCTGGCGCCCAGCCGCGCAAAAAGGTGGTGAGAATGCTCGGCAACGTACGGCTACGGTTTGTGTCAGCTGGAAGAGTCTCAACGAGCCTTCGCGGACAGAAACCTACTCCGGCCTGTGGGCCATAGATGTAGCCGGGTTCCTCGATTGGCGGGTGCACATAGGCGTTCATCAGCTGGTTGGGGTCAACGCCCTGCCCTTCCTCACCCGACGTGGCGGGAACAGAATCGGACGTGTAGGTGGACCCGGGGGGCGGGAGGTGGTGCTGGAACAGCATGTAATACTTGTGAGCGACGCCGCCGATGCCCCGGAAGACGTCGCATTTCATGAACTTGTCCACGTAAGACCCAAACCCGTCGATTATCTGGTCGGTCAGCATCTTGCACATGCGCAAGCACCGCAGCAGGGGATAGCTTAAAGCTTAAAGCTTACATCGTGGTCGTCCCATATGTTCAACTGGGGAATCTGGCCGTTGGCTGCCGCAAACGGCTCCGTGGAGTACCTGTTTTCGTGCACATGGTGTCAGCACGAACCACTTTGCAGGTCAAGGATGGGTTGACCGACCAACGAATGTAGTTCTTCAAATAGTAGTCATCGCACTTCTGGCGAAGACTTTCCGGGAACGGATGCTCCCTCCGCTTCTTTGGGTTTTTGGTGTCCGACCACGGCCGGAGCGGACCCGAAACACGGATACCGTCGTTGTAGATCTGATCGCCGCCACCAATCCTGCGGATCCAAACCCGTCAGCTCCAACTGTCGCTCCGCGCGAAACTTATGCGGAAAACCTTACATGACGTGAAAAGGCCTCTCCTGGTGCAGCCGTATGACATCGTTCCACAGCGCGGGGCCGCTCCAGGCCGCCTCGTCCGTGCCGACGCTGAAGCCGTTGCACGAGTGGAACATGATCCTCATGGACTCGTCGACGGCCGGCACGAAGAAGCTGTTCACCCGCGGCTTCGTCCTGCTGGCCAGCCGTAGATCAGGGACTTCGTACTCCCACTTCGTCTCGGTGGCCTCCATCTGAACGACCAGGTCAAACCGCCAGAAGGTGTTGCGCGTATCCGAGGAGAGGCAGAGGCCCTGGATGTCGTCTGTTTTACCACCGGCACTGTCCGCTTCGCCGGCCCGGCGCAACTTCAGCATCGGCACAGCGGGCTGTGTCCTCCCGCCGCCCTTGGTGACGACCAGCACGCTCCCGAACCACTGCGCACCCTCCATCCGCCGGTAGTTCAGCAGCGGCCCGCAGACGACCTCCTTGCCGTCGGGCGCGGGGGGAGGCCCGGCGTTTTCAGCATCAACACCGTCCCCGTGCACACCACCGTCTTCCGTCGTCACGGCCGCCGTGGCAGCCCTCGCCTCAGACGCGCCGGCAACGACAGGCTTGAAGCGCGGAGTCGTGGGCCGACGGTCGGCGGGGATTTCGGACGGGTCGATGCGCGACTTGTTGAGGAAGTCGGCCAGGTCGCTGACGCCGGCGTCGCGGGCATCGGCGTCGCGCGCGACAGGCGCGCTGCCGGCCCCGCGAGCCTTTTCGTACTTCGCGAAGGCTTTCGACTCGGCATGGCGCCAGCGGTTGGACGAGGCGTACGGGTTGGGCAAGCCTTCGTCGTCGTCAGCGTAGGGGATGGTATGCGCGCCGCTGTCGGCTGGCGCGTCGGGCTGCGAAGCCATGGCGTTCTGTGCTTGCGCCGATGCTGCGTAGGTAGCTTGGCTGTTGGCGGGGCGTATAGTTCAAGGTGTATAGGACGAGCGCGTGTCAAGGCTCGTTGGTCTTCCCGGTTGGTATCCTAAGCCAATTGATCCTGGAAAGCCAAGGAGAAAGGTAAGAAACCGAAAATAAGTTCACTGAGGGAACATCGGGAATCGGGCGATGATCTTTTGGATGTCGCTGACAAGAGACAGAGAGTAATAAGACCGTCCCTCGGTCGAGACTAGCGCGGCCGTCTTAGCGAGTCCTGGCAAGCTGAGAGACCGAGATTAAAAGAGGCACACAAAACCAATGTGACTGTTGGTTGGGACAGGGAGGTCCCGCGCCGTAGTTGTCTTTTAGGTTAGGTTAGTTGATCGATACCGAAACAGGTTCAATCGTACGAGGGCGGCGGTTAATGTTATCTGAGAGCTCCCGTCAGCTTGCGGCCTCCGGCACGAACGTACAAGTACATGTAGGTAATGTCCGATTTGGGTAGCACAGCCAAGACCGCAGAACCAATACACAGGTACCTACGTTTGCGATGTCTCTGAGGTGGAACTCGTCTTGAATTCCCGAGCTCCGTTAACGTCGGGCCCTTCTATCCATTTGCAGGACTAGTTACTACGGAGCCACAGATTTTTCATCAATCCTCTGATTGCCTTTCAAGGTTTGTTGAATCGCCCTCGTTGGAGGCCTGAGATCAGCAGGGTAGTTCTTCTTGCGTCAGTGCCATCTTGCCGTGCACGGTGCCTTGGGTCTCTTGGCATTGATTGGCAATGGGTCCATGACGAAACCAATCATCCTATGGGCCGTGAGCGGCAGAAGCGGCTAAGACCAATGCCGGTTAGTCGGCACGGAACGGAATGGCCCACTGAGCACCCTGCAGCTGAAAACGTGGAGCTGCCATCTCCAACTTTAAATTCGCGAATGTGGTTGCTCCGCAACACAGCAGGCCAAATCGCAATACGTGTACGGAATATTGGTGAAACAATCGCCCTTCCGACGACGCGAGTGAAGCGTTAAAAGAGGTCGACGGCGCGCATCGAAATGAAATGCAAGAGTTACGATTGATGCAACTCGATGATGGTATACATCAGTACATGTACAAAACTTTATATACAGACGAACCACATGCATATCCGTCTACACCTAGTTATCGTTCTATGGTGGCGCCTTGATCTTGTACCCAAGCGTTTCAATACCTACTCCTTCGTTGTTAGTGTTGAGACGGTCTCCATAAGGCCCCCCTCTCGATGTCTGGCCAGCCTTCTCCTCTCAACTAGGTGTGCAGCAATCATGCCGACGCCGATGCCCACCAAGTGCGCCGTGAAGTCCACTTTGAAGCGCTGGGGGGTGAAGATGCCGCCAATGTTAACCGCGGCGCCCAGAGCCAGTATGCTGAGACCCTGAACCCCCTCTCTCGGTGGCGGGGGTAGGCCGAAGATCCGGAAGGACTCGAACCGGTGCAGCCAGAGATACGCCGCCCCTATCCCGTAGATGGCCCCCGAGGCCCCCAAGGTGGCGAGGTCCAGCCGGTTCTTCAGCACCGCCATGGTCAACGTCCCGAGAGCGCCAACCGTACCGGATGCAAAGTAGGTCGCCAAGAACGTGCCTCGCCCGACTTCGTCGTGGAAACGTACGCCCAGGAACCAGAGGATAAGCATGTTCTGCAGCAGATGGGCGAGCGACTGGTGTGAGAATATGGAGCCCAGCATGGCCGCAGCCCGCGGTGTGGCGGCAACGACCATAAAGTTCCGGTTCAAGAAGCCCCAGATCGGCGGGACCTTCCACAGCATCCAGCCCAGCGAGTTGGCCAGGATAAGCAAGCCAACTGTGGCGGCTGCTGGTGGGACGTCGGGCCACAGCCTATCCGTGCGCTTCGGCGGCCGGTAGGTTGCGGCGTACGCCAGACAGAGCCCGCTCACGACGAGGGCGGCGGCGGTCGAGGGCCAGAGACGCTGCCACTTGCTCATTTTGGGCGGCTCTTTGAGCGACGATTGCGCCTTGGCTATGTACTCCTGCATCTTGGGGCTCAGCTGTCGCTGTTGTTGGCCCCTGACCTGCAGTGGCCCCGCCTTGCCGTGCCTTTCCTCTTCCTCCCGCTTCTTCTTCTCCTCCTCGCGCCGTTTGAGCTCCGCCTGCCATTTTGCCTCGTTGTGAGCGCGGATCGCATCGAGGGCGCTCTGTCCGTAGAAGCTATCCTTTTTCGCCTTGGGCTCCGCACCGCCCTCCTTGTAGAGCTTCAGCTTGGACGCCTGGCCCGGCCCGCTACTCGTTTCCGTATCTTCCGCCTCTTTGGCGTCGCCGTTCTCCAGAACGGCTAGTTCGTCTTCGGCCCGGAGGCCAGCGTTCACGATTTCGTCGACCGGGACGTGGTTGCGGAGATAATGGAGGGCGGTATTCTGGTGCTCCTTCGAATACTTCATCGTATTGAGCCGCAGGGTCGGGTCCTCGAGCGTGCCAGCGACACGGCGGCCATGTAGAATCCTCAGGAGCTTATTGGCGGCCGCCGTGCTGATGTTCGTTCCGAAGACGGCAATAACCTCATGTGTTTCCAGGTCCCGTTTTGCAAACGGAAGGCCATCTTCGTCTTTGTAGTTTGGAGGTAAGTCGACATAGTGAGTAATGACGGTCTGGCCAAGGATGAGTGTCCGGACACCGGGCGATCGCCGCACGTAGGCCGGTCCGATGTGTCTCAACGCCGGGGGGGCTGAAAGGACGTTTCGACCATGTCCTCCTCGCTGCGGTTGCCGCTGGGATTGAACGGGCGGCCAAGATGCAAAACAGCGACTCGAGAGAGGGGCAGCGCGCAGAGACTGGGCGCACGGCTTCGAAAGCTGGCGGGCGGCGACCTGGACGCTCGACCGGAAGGCATTGACGCCCAGGCTGCAGCTGTGCATTGTCGCGTATCTGGCGCCTGCAGTTGCGCCGCGGCGCGCTAACCGTCCATCAACTCCAGCTGGCAGTCAAAAAGCGATAGACAGGCGTTGTGCCGCGGCTTATTTTGGATGTCGGAGAAAATTCCGCTTTTCCTCCGGCAGACAGGCCGGCGAGCTATGGACTGGGGTAGAAGCTCGGTGCTCCACAGCGGGGTAAACCGCGGCGCCTCCAAGCATCCGCTCCCGGCGACAGCAGGCAGCTTTGCAGCTTGCGTTTGACATTGAAACTGTCATCTCAAATGGGCCTCCACCAAAAAGCCTTCCCTCCACAATACATAAACCGCGAACAACAGAAACCCAAAGCAGTCATACCACTACCTACACAGTCAAGGGTTTAGTCGGCAAGCGAGTACTGAGCTTCACATTCAATCCACATCCGCACCACCCCGCAGTCACCATCACCACTAAAGAAGAAATACAAAAAAGAAAATCAAGAAACAGAAAAAAAGAAAGAAAAATGTCCGCCGAATCCCTGCCGATAACCCCAGCGCGCTTTGCGGCCGCGCTCAAAGACCTGCCGGTCTCGTCGCTTCATCTCAAACTCGCCGAGCTCCGCAACAGCATCGCCCACCTGGACTACTCCAACGAGCAGCTGCGGCCGTACGCCGAAGGGACCGCCGTCGCGGTCCCCCCCTCCTCCTCCCAACAACAACAACAACAACCACCACAATCACAGTCAGACGACGACCAGCAACAACAATCACAACCACAACAGAGAGGCGAGCCAGACCAGGATTGCATCGACGCGATCAGGGAGAACGAAGAGGTCATTGAGCGGATGCAGGAGCGCATCCGGCTGGTGCGGGCGGAGGTGGAGAGCCGTGGGCTGAGCTGGGCCGAGTTTCAGGCCGAGGACAGCAATGATAATGATAATAATAATAAGGCGGCGGCGGAGGAGGAGGAGGAGGAGGGCGGTGGGGAGCGGTCAGGTCCAATGGTGAATGGAAATGGTGGTGGTGGTGCGGAGGGGATGGTGAACGGTGCATCAGCGGTAGGGCGGGACGAGGAAGGCGAGCGGCGGCACTCTGCCTGGACGGATGGGACCTTCCAGACTGGGGTGATTCGGAATGGGGAGTTGCATATGGATGCTGTTGCCGGGTCGCGACGGGGACAAGGGGGATCGCTCACTGATGAGGAGTTGCGGCGAAGGATGGAGGAGCAGTTGAGGGGGTTGGGAGGCAACGAGGATGACGAGGAAGGCGGGCTGCATTTGTAAGTGTGGGGGGTTTCAGCTTTGATGAGTGTGAAATTTTGTCCCTCTGAAGGAGGGTTGCTTCAGGTCGTCCGGGAAAGGCGCATGGGATGGCATTGCTTCACGTCAATACCCGGCGATCGTCAAGGTTAAAGGCGCAATTTGGTTCATTGGTTCATTTGTTGATGCTGTGATGGTCTCTGCGGAGAAACCGCAGGGTAAGCCTCCCAGGTTGTGTAAGGAGAGGTACATGTCAGAGTGCAAACGAGGATGAGAAACATGAAGCAGGTGAGAGACAGAGGAAATATCATGCTGTATGATGAAGCTCGCCTTTTGTGTATGCAGCCGCGCTAATAAACGCCTTTCCCCATTCAAAGAGCAAGCCAACCCTCCTATGATGCGAGTCCCATATGACAAACGTATGCTACCCCAGGTCCATGCTGCAACGAAAAGGGGGGGTACAATGAAACTGTAGGGGAGATATGGAAAGTAGGGAAGGGAGACCGGGCCAGGATATCGATGCCTGTAGCAGCTGGTCGCCAAAGGCCCCTTCACCAGGGGCAACGAAGCTGGTGATGACAACTGATTGGTAATCCCAGTCGGCGACAGTATCCCGGAAGACAGAAGATATCGGCTTCGCCAACTACCTAAGAATGCACCGCCACGTCGGTATTAATGGACATGGCTGACTGAGTCTCTGGTTTGCTGAACTCCGTTCTGGGAGTTGGGCTGATAGTCTCTCGTGAAGGATGCGCAGACTCGATATGTTCCACTTTCGAGGCACCTCTGCCATCGTACCCGGAACTGGGGTTGGTGGGCAGCCTTGGTTTTTGAGCGGCGTGAGTGGACAACGAAGTATTGCTGAGCGTCTCGGCACCTCTCGACGCATATGAACCTTCATCATCTTCATCATCCTCAGATTCCACCTCGGGCGGCCTGTGACTTCTCCGTCTCCTTCGGTTGCTCGCCGCATCTGGTTCCTCGTCGGAGTCGGTAGATGAGTAGTTGGTTCTCGCCGTGCGCCGACTCCTCATCCTTGTGGCCGACGACACTCTGGATAACGACTTTCGTAAGGGCGACGTCGGGCGCCACTCGTCCTCAAATGGCGTCTCGCCTCTCCGGATCCTAGCCTCAACGGCTCTCTCACCCACTAACCTCCCGAGCGAGCCGCCGTCCCGGGTCGATACGGTCCTCCTAGACGCGGCGCTCATGGTACTCGTGCTCCTCGTGACGGGGACCTTCCCCTCCATGACCTTGGCCGGTGGCGGCGGCTGGAGCATCCACCGTAGGGCGTCTTTGTGCGCAGGTTTGCTGCTAACGACCGGCGGGTGGTACTCGTTCACAGGCGGGTTCCTGGGCGTGAAATAAAAGTTATACCGGTCCTCATCCGTCACCTGCTTCTCCAATCCGAGCTTAGACTCCATGTAGCGGCCGGCTGTCGTGCCGGCGTGCTTGATGGCGTCCATCAGCTTGTGACCCGACCACGTGGACTCATGGCCCCACAACTCCTCGTCCTCGCGCTGGTACCGCTTCACATTCCAGTCGGCGCTTGTTGATATGGATGCCGTTTTGCTAAGGGTTGGACTCATGGCCTCTTCCTCGGGTACGACAGTCGGGGCGCTGCCAAGGTGGATGTCGATGGGGTTGGTAGATGGTCTTGGGCTCGATATGGACGCCATATCCGACATACTGACCACGACGCTGCTTCCCGTGCCGATACTCGGGCGGCCATCCCGGCTCGCCACAGTTAAACGGCGCTGACTGAGGCTCTTGCTGATCCCGTCACTCCCCTTTCTCTTCTTGGGCAGGCTCGGCCCCATCCGGATCTCCTCGCCCCAGTACGGGTTCGTGTGGAAAGGGTCTGGATGCCGGTACAGATGGGGCTGTTCCATCACAATGCGCTCCTTGATCACCCTGTCCTTCTTGGCCTGCTGCCGCGTTTTACGTTGGGCTTGGAGCTGGTTGCATGGTGTGCAGGCGAGGAAGTAGAAGAGAGCGGACTGGGCGGCGACAAGGTACGACATGGCCGGTTCTCGTCGCCGGCATTCCCCGGCTGACGATTTTGGATTCCACTGGGCCTGTTTGTATGGGTAAGGGGCATGAACTGAGTAATTGAGTGCCCCGTCGGGGAGACAGTCGGTCGGTGATTCTCCTTTTAACTTTAAGTGGTGGCCTAGGAAGACGAACTGCACACGACTGACGTGATGACCATCGCAGGCAATGAATGCACTGGGCCTATGATGGAACGGGCTGAATGGAACAATCGGAACGGTCGGATATCTCGCTGCCGTTCGTCTAGAGGCAATGGCCAACTGGATCCTCCAGAGGAATCACGGACCTGCGGGGAAGCTGGGAAGGCAAGTAGTGTAAAGGTGCTCGGCACCGTGTCGGCTTTTGAGGAAGCTACGAAGGGAATTGTGATCTTAAATCCCTCTGCCCCTCAGTGAAGCGACAAACACGTCGCGCGGTACAATGCCGGGAGCATCTGGTTCGGGGTTGTACGGGATTCGAAACCGAGAGGCTGGCGCGACTGTGGCTGCAACAGGACAGTGAGTGACCCCGGCGTGGGCTTCCTAGTAACCGTCTCACGAATCGTTAAGGAACGGAATCAGAGTGTTCAAGGAATGTAAAGTCCACACAAAGGGAAGAGGCTGGAATAGTGTAGCAGGCTGTGCATGCCTGGGAAATAACTAGAGTCAAGAGTCGAAAACGAAAGATAGCAGAGGGGTTGAGCGACAGAATGCACCGGCGCGAAAATGGGCCTCGGACTCTCGAGCAAGTCAATCAAACCTTGAGTCCTAAACCATGTCGTTGGCATCGAGGCCACCCACGCAATGGAAGGCAGTGTAATTTCGATACACGAAGGCCACGCCACTTTCGTATGCGCTAGGGGTGAAGATGGACCCTGTCGGCAGCGCTAACTAAAACGGCACGGACTTTCGCGAGCAGGTGGGAAGAGGCGCCGGCTCAGGGCTTCTCTAACTTGAACTAATCAGGTGTCCCTTCTGTTCACTCACTCCCGTCATCAGCTCAAGGGCTCAGCGTGACAATTCATGAGGCGTTTCGAGCAGTAACTATCATGTGAGGCTGCGGCCTGGAAATGCTTGAACAAGGCCAGTTGACGCTCATCGGTAACTATAGGTAATGAAGGAAACTTATGCCTCGGGGCTCTAACCTACCAATCCGGGAAGGAGTTGGTAAAACGGTCTTGAGGGAATGCGACTGCGGGCCCCGATGTCCCCGTTGCATCGACGGGTCCTGCAGTTGTTCCTCTTACACAATTGCGGGGAACCCCTTAAATGGCAGTCACGGTGTTATCACAATTGGGAGTAAAACTGTCTGGACGTTTGATAACCACCTATGTGGTTTGTAAGATAGGTTCTTCTACAGTAGAGTATAACGTGCCGCTAATGGCACTAATGGAACAGAATTCCCCGCATGCAGACACTCGCCTTGAAATGGACACCGACGTGTCTCATGGCAGTGGCTTCGGGGCTGGCATGCCAACAGTCAGTCCTCCGGCTCCATGTCCGCTGCCACGTGGTAGGTAGGTTTGTCGTTCCTGAACTGAACTTCATCGATAAGAGGATGCCCCGCGCAGCCCAGTGCATGATAAGGTAGTAAGGTAGAGATGAACGGTTCCACATGGACGGGTTGTCGTCGGACGGAACGGATAGAAATCCCTTGACCTGGCTCGTCTGGAAACCAAAGTGTTGGTTTCGATCGGTGCCAAGCACTGTCACATCAGGGCACCGTCGTCGCATGAAACAGGACGGAATGGACGATCGGCCCCTGCAGTAATTATAGAGACCGACTGACAGCCATCTATCTTCTGCTGTGTAACTACTAGCGTTGCACCTCGCCCAGTATAAATCGAGGCATGAATGACTTGCATATTTCCAGTTGACGTAGGTATTGTACATATGTAGTATCTGAGCTCTCAGATCAGCAAACATTCTACTGTCATGCCTCTACACACCAACGTTCCTCTGAATGTGGGTGCCCAAGGGATGGTAACCGTCTCTCCTGGCGATTCGGGTCGAGGGTGATATAACAAGCATCTCACGGTACTAAGCAGGTCGTTACACCTCCAAATCCCCTCAGCGGCAGCCTTATGATTAAGCTTCACTCGTGCCGTCTGGTTTGCCACGCTTCATCTCTTGGTGAGACATATCCTGCTCTGTTACCGTTTTGAGGACACTTTCACCTGGCATGAAATGACTGCACTAGAAGTCACGGGGAGGACAGTGAAGAAGTCCATGCATGGTCAAGCGCTGAATACGTGTCGTAGCTAGCTAAATGAAGGCATAGTCGCATGCTGCATGTCCCGGCCCTCTTCGAGAGCCAACGACTCTTGCCGTGATCAGCGGTCACCGATCCTCTCATGCTGCCAGCCATTTTCTTAATAACGCGTCTCTGATCGCACCGATCCATTGCGTAGCCGTCACCCTGTATTTCCCCCATCCAAGCATATCTTAAGATAGTTTTTCTGCAGGCTTGAATGAGTCCCGAGATTGTCGTCGCCACCCCATGCTAATAAAAGGGATGCTAGAGTAAAGTAGATAGAAAGGAAATGTAAGAAAGTAAAGACAGGCGGAAAGAAACTCAAAGGGCTGGACTCCGGAAGCATTTTTCGGCCGGTAATATACATAACACAACACACGAACTCCGTGCCGTGGCCCAACCGAAGAGACAGTCCGCTTGTGGGACATGCTGGAATGGATAGGGTTGGCGCGCCCAACAAAGGGACCCAAGCTCAAGCCGAGGTGCGCCTGCGGAACGACAAAGTGCACGGGAGAACCATGGAACGGAAAGTGTTAAACCTCCCACTCGTTCTCACCGGTCTCGTCCTCACTCGGACTCAGAGCTGCGAAGGACGACTGCTGCGAGAAGGGCTTGGTCGTTTTGCCGGCCGTCTTGCTGGTGGCAGGTGCAGCGACGGCGCCAGTGCCGTTGCTCATCGCCCGTGGCTTGGGTTGGCTGGGAGCCGCTTGAATAACAGTGGGCTCCGAATCGACGGGGCTGTCGGCCATGGCCTCCCTATGCTTCTTCTTGTTCGGCTTCTTCGACGTCACCGTGTTCCAAGCCTCTTCACCCCGAAGCATCTCCATCTGTTCTTCCTCGGAAGGCAGACTGGCGATCCAGCTATCGGCAGGGTTGGTCTGGGCAGGCGTGGTGGCGCTCTCGCTTTTGGAGACAGACGCATCAGTGTAGCTACTGGTGTCAAATGTATCCAGAGGTTGCACGGGAAGGAAGCCGCCGTTCGTAGCACTGCTGCTAACGCTGCCATCGGTGCCATTGCGGTTCCAAGCAGACTGCTGGTTTTGGGCAGCCACGAAGGCGGAGCCGTCCTTGGCCGGCCGCCCCTCGGCGATGCGTGCCTGTCTCCTCTGGGCTTCCAGATCCGCCCTCCTCTGCTTCTCGTTTTCCTCGCGGAGGGCCTTGGCAGCCTCAGCCTTTTGGCGGTTCTGGCGCTGTTTCTTGGTCTCGGCCTTCTCGGGCGCCTTTGCCTTCTTTTCCTTCTTCGGCTTGGCCTTGTCGGTTTCGGTGAGACGGAGAACCGAAGGGCCGGCAGCCTTGGGCTCCAGCATGTCGCTGACATCCCCGGCGTCGACAGCCTTGATCTCGGGAGATGGGGTCGAGGACTCGTCGTCATCGGCATCGACGCCCGCAGTCGAGGACGGGGCCGACATCTTGCTCGGCTCGGCCTTTTCATCATCAATGATCTGGGCTCGCGACTGCTTCACAGACTTGTGCCGCTTTTCATCACTCTTCTTGGGCGCATTGAGGCTGGTGCCCTGCTTAACACTGGCCAACTGGCGGGCGAACTCTCGGTTGTCGACGTCATCGTCCGAACTGTAATCGGCGGGCTGGCTCGGGCCCGATGGCTTGGCTGCCCGTTGCTTGAGCTGCGACGGCTTGCTTGCCTCGTCAGCGTCTTTGCTGTATGCCTCAGACCGCTGTCGCTTAGCCTTCTCTTTAGGCTCTTTGCGAGTCTGGCTGTGCGGCTTATCTTCCACGCGCTGCCGTTGTGCGGCACCTCTTCCAGCGTCACGCGCTTTCTTCTTCCCAGGGAGTCCAAAAGCAACAATGTAGATACATCCTATGACCACGGTCCAGCCGACCAGGGTAGATACTGAAGCGCCCATGGTGGATTGGCAAGACGCGCAAGCTCAGGGGAACCGGGGAATCGCGCTCGGTCTCGGGGAGGTATGAACGCGGCAGACGCGCCAATCGAGAGAGAACGTAACGCGTTCGGTCAAGAAGGATGATCGCGCCTTGAGCGGAAGCTCAATCCGCGGGGCAGAAGTGGGTGGCAGATCAGCGTCCTCCTTAATTGACTAGTAGGTGGCACAGGTCCCCAACCAGGGTGTCTAAAGCTCGGAGCTCAGATCCGCGAACCGGCCGACTGGAATTGCGATCTCTTTGCGTTGTCGGAGGGATCGGCTGAAGAGGTAGTGGGTTACTCCGTACGCGATGGAGCAAGACAATGTAGCTCGATGGGGAGAGAGAGGAGAAAAAGGGGGTTGTTTGGTGGCGATGCTCGATGATCGCGAACCGAGCCAGCACTTGCAGGTGAAAGGTGTTCAGAAGTTCGGTTCCTCTTCTGGCCTACGCCAATTCGCTAGCCCCAGTTAATCTCCTTAACTCGCGGAAAAGTTGCCGTGGCAGGGGTTGGCAACTACGACCCCTTGCTCGCGCTTGTTCACTCACGTGATGTGGTGCGACTGTAGTTCTCTGAAACAAATCAGACATTTGAGGCGCGACCTGAAGGGTCCAATTCGATTAGTAGAACTCTTGATGGAAGAAATATATCAGCGGCATTCCACTTCAGCCAAGAGCCTCGTTCTTCCCCCTTATTTATGCTCACAGATGCTTGTCGACAGAGTCTCGGATAATCGGATTACCGACAGTATTGTCACCATCCTTCTGTGACAGATGCCTGATATCCCATCGTTGACGAGCCGGATTTCCGCCTAGTATAGGTAGACTCACTTACACAATAGTATGCCTCAAGATATCGATGCTCTCGACACTCGGGTCCCCGCCGGATGAATAGTAGACTGAATTCAAGCAATAAAGCCCACCTTATCTTCTGTAGAAACCGTGACCACCTTACATATGATGGAGCTCGCATACCTTTCTGGCTTCCAGTCCCTCCTGACCTGCCGCGTGCCTGCTCCAGGTTTGTGCAAGGAGAGGAAAGACTCTCGATGTCGTGCCGTGAGTGCCCAGTGATGAGATGAACGACCCAAAAAGGAAGGTAAGAACCCTTCCGTCCAATCATAGAGATGCTAGAAGTTTTATGCCAGCGGGTCCCAAAGCCTATCACGGCTTACAGGCTCATCCAGTACCGTTGTGCTAGTGTCAAAGCCAGTTTCGCACAAAACTTACCTTGAAGCCAACACTGAAATACTAAATGAATCCCAGGTTTGAGAACTGGGCTTAAATCTGACTGTCTGCTGTTTACGCAACACTGTGCCCCCTCCTGAGCCCCGCACTTTGCAGCCACCATGTCGCCCAAGAACCGCATCATTATTGATACTGACCCAGGTTTGGCACGAATTCTATGGGTTTATTTACTTCAACTTGTTCCACTAATACCCGGTCCCAGGTGTTGACGATGTCCTCGCCTTGCTGCTGGCCCTCAGCGCCCCGCCCGAGGAGCTCGAGGTTGCCATGATCTCGGTCACATACGGCAATGTCCCGCTGCAGAGGTACAATACAGCACAGGCTTGCGGTGGCCTCAGTTGTAATGGCACACCATGCATTAGCGCTTGACTGACGGCGATTTGTTGCAGGTGTCTCCGCAATGTGGTGGCGTTGTTCCATGTGCTCGAGAAGGAGATGGCATGGCGGGCATCCGCAGGCAAGCCCACCTATGGCGCACTGAACGCTTACAAGCCCATCGTGGCCGTCGGCGCTGAGCATGCCCTTGAGGACGAGCAACTCGTGGCCGACCACTTCCGTAAGTCTATTCCCAGGCCCTTCGCCCGGAGGTTAGTTAGGACGCTGACAGAGGTAGACGGTGCTGATGGGCTGCATGGTGTCCATGATGCGGTGAGTTGCATAAAGCCCACCAATCCGTTCCTTCCTGTCCCGAAATCACCGCCTGATCGGATTCCTTAGCATCCTCACCTGTCCCCAGCCGACACCTGGCGCAGCCTGTTTGAGGATGCCCCTAGTGGATCGGACAGCTCTGATGAGCCGCCTTCGTATTCAAGATTCTTCACTCCGAGCAAGAGGGTGGCCCACAAGGAGATTCTTCGGATCCTGAGGGAGGAACCCGAGGACACCATTACCATCGTTGCCATCGGCCCGCTGACCAACGTCGCCCTGGCGGCGGCGGAAGACCCCGAAACCTTCCTGCGCGTCAAGGAACTCGTGGTCATGGGAGGTGCGGTGGGAGTGCAAGGCAACGTCAGCCCCTGCGCCGAGTTCAACTGCATGGCCGACGCAGTCGCGGCTGCCCGCGTGTACGCTCTGACCTCCCTCATCCCGGAATCGACCATGCCGCCCACGGTCCATGGCAAATCCTTCCTGCCGCCCTACCCGGCCAAGCTGTCCCGCCAGCTGAAGCTGACGCTGTTCCCTCTGGATATCACCACCCCGCACGAACTCACAAAGCAATTGTTTAACGGGAGGATTAAGCCCCTCAAGGAGGCCGGCAGCCCGCTGGCGCAGTGGACCGACACCTTCATGAACGGCACCTTCGACAACATCGAGCGGATCCTCGGCGATGGCAGTGAGCCGGGCCTGTCCTTGCATGATCCCCTCTGCATCTGGTACATGATGACGCGTGACCACCCGGCGTGGAAGACGGTGGCCAAGCCTGAGGACATCCGGATCGAGACGTGCGGGCAGTGGACCAGGGGCATGCACGTCGTGGATCGACGCCGCCGGGCGAAGCCTGGTGAAAAGGACAGCACGGTGCAGACGCACCCGGCGGATCCCATGGATGCCGTCACGCTTGACGAGGTTCCCGGGGACACAATGGGTTGGCTCAGCGTACGGAAGGGTAACAGGATCAACAGGATGCTCGAGTCGCCTGGTCAAGACATCTTCGCCGATGTACTGCTGAAGCAGGTTTTCGCATAGAGAGTAGAAGAGATTGACAGGCCATTGGTTGCATAGACTTGAGTTTTTGTGTTTCATTCTGGGTATCTCATACAAGATGTGACCAGCTAGTCGGGGGATCAAATCTCAGCCCGTCTCTCGCAATGTCAGCATATCTCATGCGGAAGTGAGGTGAGAGCTGGGTTGTGAAGAGGGCATACCCTTGGATTACACCCGCGCAAAACCCAAAACGCCTGGCTCTATGAGAAAGCGAGGTTTCCCTTCAACCCCAAAATGTAGTTGTGCGGTCCAATCCTGCTCCCTCCAATGCTCCGGCAAACCTGGCCATGCGGTCCATGCCTAGGTACCTAACTAGGTAGCTTCTGATGTCCCATACCGTGGTCCGGGATTTTCAATCCTCATTCCGCCGTCTTCACATTCACCCGCCTCGTAAAGGGAGAGGTAGCAGTCTAGTGCTTCGTCGTCCCAATCGGCGCGCCTCTCACTTCGGTCCAGTTAATGCTCGCGTCCAGCGGCTCGTCGACCAGCCCCACCAAGCAGACATTTTCGCCGCGGATGATGTACAGGCCCAGCGGGACCTCGACTGACGGTTCGCCCTCGTCGGGGCTCCGGATCACGCGCTCGACCGTGTTCTTGAGGACCTGGAGAGCGGGGGGTGGAAGAGGCAGATTTCCACAAAAGTTAGGGACAGTGATCCAATAATAATACCCGAATTAGGGTTTATTCGAGGGTGCAGGAAGTTGTCAAGAAAGCAGCAAGCGTAGCGTACCAGGTTGGTGGTGTTGTCGTGCGCCGCGAGCACGCCAACTAAGTTGCGGCCATCAGTCGTGATGATGCACACCTTCTCTAGACAATGGGCCGTTAGAAATATGGGGGAATATTGCGGGCGAAAATGGGGCCTGGGACAATGGACAGCATTCTTACTTTCGACATAGCTGTTCAGCGACATTGTGAGGGACTGAGTCGGTCGCGATTGGCGAGCTACTTAACGAACGCTGACAGATGGAAGAAGCCGCCCGGGTTGAGGCGGGTGCAGTTGTTGTTTACTTGTCGGCGGCGCGCTCACCGGTGACCGGAAGTTCAGTGTGTTGTTCTCTCCATACGTGAGATCCATGCAGTCAAGCTCCCAAGCTTGTGATGCTGCAGGCATCTTATTAGGAGTCTATCGTGTAGGCGGTGAGTTGCAGGTATCGGGGTATGCAGTAATCTGTGTTTATGCCAGAACATTACCCGCTTATTACCCCTAAGCCGTTTGTGGCACACAATAAACATGGGAGTGAGATACTAGATCATAGGATACCTGTACCTAACAAGAGGCATTAGGGGTTCCTAATCAAGGTGACTGCTATGTGTAAAGATATGAGCTATGTGTTTCCTCATATCATATAGATGTGCCGAAATCCGACGTCACATGGCTGTCAGAAACATAACAGTGGAGGGAGCAGGTAGCCGTCTCTCAAGCAACTGAACAGGATACCTTCTCAATGATTGCCCACTAAGGTCGACACCGAGGGCCGGAGCGCAAGGCGAGCACATGATGGCCCATCACACCACTTAGCCTGAGCCCTTCTCATTTATGACTGGGCTGACATCTAACCCACAACTAGGTAGTCCTTGTCGCCGAGAAGGAGAGAGGGAGAGCGAGACCATATCAGGTTGCATTGAGTTATGTTGAGTTACCGGGAAACATGCTGTAGACATCATGGCAGTTGACTCGGAAGGTAAAGTGGATGTTTTGGGAGGAGACTGCGGGGGAGGGCAGGATCAACCGTTACCTACGGTGAGTACCCCGCAAAGCAGGCGTTCGTAACTTCATCTGGCTCTCGGGGGCACCTGGAACGCTGAAGTCGGCGGAAATCCTCCTTCCAGAGCTGAGCAGCCTGGAAGCAATTGAAGACAATTCTAGGCTGCTGGTGCTTTCTATTGCTGATGAGTTTGCGGTCCGTGATGATCCGGACAGTGTCCCGCCTTTGGAGCGGGGCCCGAGGAATACACCGGCCTGTCTGGTGCCATCCTGGTGGGCTGTTGGAGATAACTTATCCACATAGTCACAACTGTCAGCCCACCCGTCCATCATCCACCATGAACAACATGGACTCCAAGATGCTGAGATCGAACCGCTTGAGGCAGGTCTTTGCTGAAGCCAAACGCCCCGCGATGGGGTTCTGGCAGATGCTGCCTGGAGCGAATATCTCGAGAATCCTGGCTAGGGCGGGAGCGGATTGGGTCATGGTCGACTGTGAGCATGGCAATATGGATGGTAAGAGGACAAGCTCTGCAGAACTTCAAAGGGAACTCAGTCAATAACCAACCGAACCCCTCCGCAGATGCTGCAATGCACGAGGCAGTGCCTGCCATTGCTGCGCTTGGCGTGTCCCCGATTGTTCGCCTACCGGATCTTCAGCCGTGGATGGTGAAACGTAAGTAGCCAAAGTGAACTTGTGGTGGCTCAAGGAAGATGCTGAGACTCGAGAAGGAGCTCTGGATACCGGGGCACACGGGGTAATCATCACAAGTTTCCATGCCTTAGGGAAGCTTATTAACCGCTATCCAGATCCTGATCCCACTCATCCGGACCGTCGAGGAAGTCAAGAGTGTAGTGGCCGCGGCCAAGTTTCCACCCGAGGGACGAAGGGGGTTCGGCTCGCCGTTCGCAATGCACAACTTCGAACCCGGATTGACCTCCACGGAGTACCTGCAACAGGCGAATGAAAGCCTCCTAACAATGGTGCAGATTGAGACCCGGGAGGCGTTGGAATCCGTGGAAGACATCGCACCGCTTGTCGACGTCGTGTTTATCGGGCCCTTCGACCTCGGCAACAACATTGGCCACCCTATACTCGATGGCAAGATGGACCCCGAGCTCCATCATGCCATCGAGCGAATCCTGGCAGCTGCCGTGGGGGCTGGCAAGAAGTGCGGTATATACTGCACATCCGGCGAGCAGGCGAAGTTCTATGCGGACAAGGGATTCCACATGCTCAGCGTCGCAACCGATTTCACAGCCCTGGGCGACGCGATGGCAGACGCGCTGGCCACTGCCCGGGGAGAATCCAAGAGGGAGAAGGGCGGTTCGTATTAGGGCAAACGAAATCCGTAGCAGTATTAGCCTGGTCACTTCTCAACTGAGTCCATCTTCGCCATGACTTCATCGACGGTGAAGCGGTGCATCAATCTCGTGGCCTTGGAAGACAGCTTTGGGTCTTCATCGGGTGACTGGGTCTTGCTGATATGGATCTAGTCAAAGTTGAGTTACGGCACGTGCAGAAAATACCTAGTACTAGTGTGGTACTCGGGTTCTGATTTTGCAGGATACTTACAACAGGGACATCAAAGTCATAAAGGTCTCGCCACGCCCTGGATTCCGGCTTGATGATGTCGACCTCCTTGAATGCAAAAGGCCGTTTATCCCAGACGTCGGATAGCACTGATCTTGCCTGGCTGCATAGCCCGCAATTCTCTCGGGTAAACAGCGTTATCCTGCAGGAGTGGAGTAGTCGGCCCGTGACACGCATGATTTCAGAGGAGCAGAAAGGACAATTACGATGTCTGCAAGAGCCAGACCAAACTGAAGTTGAGCACGAAGGCTAAAGGCAAGACTAGATCGCCAAAGGGACCAGACGCTAGTCCACTCAGGGTTAGCCTGGGTTCGGGATGAGCATGCAACCCCCCGGGAGCATTGCTAGCTGCCCCTCCCCCACCTTCTGAGCCCGGCAGCTGGGAGAATTTCTGGTTGGGAAACTTCCATCGACTTCGAGAGAGCTTCCACAGAGCCCAGAGGTCGTGTTTATTTGTTTTGGGGTCAATCTGCCGTTCCGCTTCTTCTGCTCCTATTAGACATCTGCATTTGACCAAGACGGTTCTCACAAGATCTCCAGTTATTACACCGACAGCAAGGCCGCACTCGGCTGCTGCACCTCCAAAACCTGCACTGGGGGCTGGTCAGCGACATCAACCTTCTCGATCACACACCATGGCACAGAAGTGTGTCCACCAAGGCTGCGGCAAGCTCTACACAGATCCCGAAGAGGTCTGCCGCTACCACCCTGGTCCGCCAATCTTCCACGAGGGCCAGAAAGGTGCGCGCTCCGACTTCTTCCGCCTCGGCCGTTGAAAGGGTGTCGCGCTGCAGCTGGCCGATGCCACTTTCGCTGCCGGCGGCCTCTTTCACCACAGCTGCCAAGCTAACCACAACTTGCTGTGCACAGGATGGAAGTGTTGCAAGCCACGCGTCCTCACCTTTGAGGAGTTCATGGCCATCGAGCCTTGCACCGAGGGGAAGCACAGCACCACGGATCTGCCACCCAAGATCGAGAAGAAGGAAGCGGACCCAGCCCTCCTCGACGCTGCCAACTTCCCGCCGCCCCCGGCCCGTGCGCCCGTCGCGGCACCGCAGCACATACCCACCCCGCCTCCGCCGCCCCCGGAGTCCGAGGATGACGACGATACGATAGAGATTCCCGATGGACGCGTATGCAGGCGGAGGGGTTGCGGTGCGACCTACGAGAAAGGATCCAGCAGGGAAGGGGAGAAGTGCGTGCACCACCCTGGTGTCCCGATATTCCACGAAGGGAGCAAGGGGTACAGCTGCTGCAAGCGCCGCGTGCTAGAGTTCGACCAGTTTATGAAGATCGAGGGCTGCAAGACCAAGGACCGGCACCTGTTTGTGGGCAGCGGCAAGGACCAGGGCAAGGGCTCGGCGGCCTCAGGAGGTGAGGAAGTACTGGACACGGTCAGGTGAGTCCGCCCTTGTTCTCCCGGATGTGCGCTTGGCAGCTGCCCGACGAATGGATCTCCGTGGCCAAGGTCCAGCCAAGGCTGGCTGTGTGTCTGCAAAAGACCCAGACGGCCGGGGCGGAACATGGTCGTCCTGACCGCCGTCGCAACTGCGGCCCAACCGGTTGGTTCATTTGCTTATGGTGCCCCTTCATCTCGCAGATCCGACTTCTACCAGACCTCAACGGCGGTAATTGCGTCCTTCTTCCTCAAGAAAATCGACAAGGACAAGGCCAAGGTGGAGTTCCGAGAACGGGAATTGGACCTGGACCTTCCCACGTCAGACACGCCGGTTCCAAAACGGTACAAGGCGCAGGTGCCCCTATACGGCTCCATTGATCCCGCCAAGTCCACCTTCAAGATCTTGGGTACCAAGATCGAGGTGTCACTAGCCAAGGCTGACGGCAGCTCTTGGCCGGTACTTCGCAGCGATGATCGGCCAACGGGAGAGATTCTCCAAGTTGGCCGAGCCGGAAGAGTGTAGTTGCGGAAGAAGGAAGGTGGAATAGATGGAAATGCGATGCTTGCTGTTCTCATCTTCTCCCTCCCTCCCTGATTCTCTCTCTGGTGCAGAGTGGGGATTCCGTTGTTGAGACGGAAGGATCAAATGAAGTGCAGCTCATGAAGAGGTGAAGTCGCAGCCCGACGACAACACCTGAAGCTTAAAAATGCCACTTTACGGAGCGAAGGAACCCGGTTGGGGCTTCTTGGGGGTCACCTGAACAGACCCGGGGGTCTGAATAAGGAGGGGCTGGTCGGGTCGTCATGGGAGGAGACCACTAGGGGCGGGCCGGCAGAATTGCTCCAGGCATTGGGTAAAAGCCAAATGCGCCCGGGATATCCAAACGCACCGCAACTTTAAAAGACGCGTTCCGGCTTTTTACTGGCGCGTACGGTACCCTCCTCGCTCGTTGGCTCAGGTCTGGACCAAACGGCAGAGATCACTCTTGGCTCGTTCTTGGCTCGTTGACACCCTCGGCTTCCCGCCAGCCCTTCGTCCCTTCCTCTGGGACGACTGCCACCGTCTGCCTGGGTCAGTGTCTGCTGTGTCACCACATCGTCACTTTCCCAGGCCCCCTGTTCCGTAGCCTCCCGATCAGCCTTCGGTCGAAAAAGCATCCTGCATTTCGAGACATTTGAGTGAGCACCAGTCCACACCCAGGGATTCCTTCAGGTGTTGCCTGCCTACATGTGTAACTGGCCAATTTCCGCAAATTGCCGCTACTATAGTTATCACATGCAGTTCCCGTGTTTCCCATCTGAAGCCATCACCCATCACCGCCGTCGTTTGTGGGCCAAAGCAGGTCAAAACTACCTACCTAGGTAGTGCATCCGAAATATGATCACCGTCTGCTCTCCGCCGCACAGTCCCCATCTTATGTGTCGTTATGTATGATCTGGCGGACGCTCCGGAGATGGAAGCCAAGCGAAGCCAAGACTTGTAGTTATCACAGGCGAATCGGATCTCGCTGGCCAGCCTTGGCCGACTAACCTAAGATCTCTCAGATCTACAATGTAACTCCCGACGCCGCAGTCAGTCTATCAAGGTCCCGGAATATCCTGTACAGACCGCGCATGAAACACGACAAATTGACAGAACTGTAAAAATAAAAAATAAAAATAAAAAATAAAAAATAAGCAAAACGCTTGTTTCTTTCTCCTTCCGCTGACTGACTGTCACAAAAGTCCCCGACCGAACAAAGAACAAAGTCCGGCACCCAACATTCCGCCGCGGCTTGCAACGCTGTGATCCGTCCGTTGCACCGAACGTAATAAATCCGCCTACCCTACCACAGTGGATATGGTAGACAGGCGGACACGGTGTAACTACGTTAGCTCTGTGGCAGTCAAAGTCTGTGCATGTATCCGTACGATACCACAGTATGTAGTGTACAGTACCACGGAACATGTAATAAAAGCAAAGGATGGAGGAGGAGCGAGGAGGCTCTTCGCCGATCACCCAAATAGGCCAAGGCCATGGAACCATGTGCTGCTGTGTATCCGTGTCTGTGTGTCATTGTGCTTGTTCGAATCCAACCCGAACCAAACTGAGGAAAAGGGGCGAGGCGGATTAGTACTACGTAGAGTCCGACACCAAGGTGACGCAACAAGGTCTCACCGTCCCGCCATACCGCACAGTAGTGTATGAGCTGCTCGCCAATGCAGCCTGTCAGACGGTCTATCAACAGTAACACAGCATATCCCCCAAGGCCAGAGCCAAGGCATGGACGAAAAATAGCCGGTAACTACCCTACCATACTACGGGTAAGAAAAGGGAGAGAGAATGCCTGTGATCGGGGATTGTATTGCGACAACGGGCTTGCTTACCTATTCGTAATGTAATGTAGTATCTTGCTACCTAACAATGCCAAGAGATAAGATAATAAACCGTAAAAAAAACAAATCCAACAACCCCTGGTATGTAGATCATGATGCCGCTTCATACTTGGCAAAACTTCCGCCCAGTGCCCAGTGCCCCGTGTCCAGTGCCCCGTGTCCAGCGCCAGTGGAATAGATGCTGTAGTACCGTAGAGCCAATCATGGAGAGAGATTCGTATCATATAGCACACGCCAAGGGTCAAGGTCAAGTCAGCCATCCGTTGTCACGCGGGGACTGTCCTCCCGACTCGGTCCCGGTAGGGAGCGGCGTCGCTATCCTCACGACCGGTGACCTCGGTCTGGAGGGCGTCGTTCTAGAACCACCACCACCAGCAGCAGCAGCAGCAGCAGCACCCGATCTCGAGTTCGGGTTCGGGCTCGGGGGCTCAGCAGCAGCCGCATCCGCTGAGAGAGCACCGCCGAGCCTGCTGGGGTTGGTGGGACTGCCGTTGTTGGTGTTCTTGTTGTTGTTGCTGCCGATGTTGCCGCTGCTCCCGTTGTTGTTGACAATGGTCATGGCCTTCTTGAAGGCCACGATGACGTGTCCATCGCCCCGGCCAATGACTACCGCGTGGTCAGGCTCTAGCATGCCCGGGTCGTCCTCAAACTTGATGATGGGCGCGCCTTCACGGGTGAAGCCGAGGAACTTGGCCGAAATCTCGCCTTCTTCCTTTTCGCTGTCTTCTGCGCGGAGGGTTTGTCTGAAGCGGGTCATCTCGGTTAGCTCTCAGCTCTACTTTTCTTTTTTCGGGAGGCAGTGTAGCCACGCCAAGATTGGGTAGGACATACTCTCTGCTCATGGACAGGGTGTCGAGTCCACGGCTGGAGCTGCTGGCGGACATTGCCCTCCTCCTGCCGCGGCTTCTGGATCGCACACGCTGGACGCGCTTGCGCATCGCGCCGTGCACTGCGTGACCTATGCCTGCAACGACTAGCACCGGCGTGCCGAGAGCCAGTGCCCAGGGTCTAAAGCAGTCAAAGTCAGAATCCGTTCAGCAAAGGTCCGCTTGTGGGAGCAGGACTTACGGGTTCTTCCTCCCCCGCAGGCTGTTGAGGATGGCGAGCAGGATGCCGAAGATGGCAATGACCGAGCCGACCTGCATCATGGTCCAAGTGGACCAGTAGAGCGGCATGAGATCCTCGCCGTCGCAGAACTGCAACGCCATGAGGGCATAGACTTCCATGACGACGGCCACGACGGATATGGCGGCATAGACACCGCAGACGGCCAAGCATGTCTTCATTTTCTTCCTGTACCCGTGAGAGTCGGGCCCCCAGCCCCGGGCCTGGATCTTGTCGAGGTCACTGTCAAGAGAGTCAGGTCGATGCCGCTGATAGACGGGATCGTGAAGGGAGACACAAGTAGAACAAGCAACTCACCCGCTGTATTTCCATGAGGACAGGAACAACATGCATATCACCGCCACGAAAAGGAACCAGTAGATGAAGTCGAAGGACCTCCGGTCCAGATGCGAAGCGAAACCAGCGTAGTGGTCACATCGCGCCGGGTCGATAGGGTTGAAGCCCCCAGCCATGCCAGGCTGTAGCGGAGGAGAGAAAAAGAAGAAGAAAGACAAGTGAATGGGAAAGTTGACAGAGATAGGCGTTGGCTCAGAATAGCGGTAAAGGGTCTTCTTGAAGTAGAGCAAAAAGCTAGACCAGGATATGTGTCCCCGGCAGTGTCCAGACCGTATTGTACTAGTACTCTTGGTCCCAGGGGTCCGGGGCGATGGAGATGGCTGGGGCTTTATATACAAGAGACATGGGCAACTGCTCCGGGTGAGAAGGTGAAGTGCGGATGATATCTGCTTCTACCCGCATTCGCATCTCACTGGTTCACCAATTCCAACGCTGTGCAGAACCCCGTGCCCAGAAAGCTGATGAATCTCACGGGAAGTAGACAACGGCCTGGCTTGACAGGGGTTCAATATGCCGATACCCTTGCTCTGGATGGGGGGGTGTGTTGGCAAAGGCTGATTGTGTAACAGGCGTTTCGATTGGAACTCCACCGCACGACATCACGGCGTGTATTGATGAAATCATGGAAGGCCGCAGAAATCAGGCTTACACAGCAATCGAGGTAGACGGTCTGGGATCCCTTTCTCGGCGGTTTGGCATGCACGGAGTAGGTAGATTGATATTTGCTCCACAGGGCTTGGCAGCCACGGCGGAGACTGGAGTGCGGCAGAGCAAAGCCCAAAGGACCCACGGCCGATCACTCGCGATGGCGGTAAGGCAGCTGGGCCAAATGGTGATCACCAGAGATTTCCCCAGCAAAGCCTCCGGGGCAGAAAGTTATGCCAAGCCGCTGGGCTCAAGACACACAAGCCCTCAGCCCGTTTTCTCGTGACTCGTAAGCTGCCATGCTTCCTGCGCTGCCATGCCGAGCAAGTAACCCTGCCGTGATTCATTTAGTTCATGCCGGGCATGAGATCGACCGCGTCGAGAATCATGGACCTGCTCAGTATATATTCTCGGAGCCACATGAAATCCTCCCCTTCCTCTTCGCCGTAGCGGTGTTCCTCGGAGAAGCCGAAGGCGCAAGCGATTTTGTCAAGAGCGGCCCGCTCCTCTTCGTAGAGCCACCGGTGCCGCAGCGGTGTGCCGGATGCCCAGGTAACCCGCTTCATCTGGTCGTTTGCTGTGAAGTGGGCGACTAGCCCGATGGAGGCTGTGAAGCCCACGTAGCAGAGAGCGCCTGCGAATGCCATACCGGTCGCGATTCTGGGTTCCAGTGCATGCTGCAGCTGCGCTAGCTCGGTAGCGGCGTAGTAAAGGGCCACGGGGGTACCAGCAACAGCGACCCCCGGAAGTAGTGCTTTTTGGATGAGCTTCGACCTCAGAAACGCACTGGACGAATAGGTGTTTTCCAGTATCCCGATGGCAGCCTCCAGGTCTTTAGCCTCGATTGCCGCATCCAGGGCCATGTCGGCGACAGCAGGGTGAACCGCGCTGTCTGCCTTGCTGGGATTGCGCTCGACGTATCGAATGGAGCCCCCAGATTCCAGTTTAGGCGTTGGTTTGCTTGCGTAAAGAGCGAGAATCTGCGGCAACGTCTGCGGCCTTCCGAGACGGGCCTGGAGCCGGACGTACTCCTCGAGTACTCGCCGAGTGATGACAACTGTCGGTTGGCTAACAATCGTATATGCCGCATCTGAGACCTTGTCGATCAGGTCCTGCGAACGCGGAGATTGACTCCTCTGGGGCCCGGCCACATCACCGGCTGTAGGAGCCACGCCGCCCAGTCCCAACAGTTGCGAGGCCGGTCTCCGAGTCTCTGCAGCCGCGTCTTCAGACCGATGCTCCCCTGCGTCTGGCGTCGACCTCACATCGGTCTTTGCCAGGGCCTGCAGAGCCCACAGGGTCAACTCCTCGGATTGGATGCCAGATGGGGCCAGGAAGGCTTTCAGGACGCGGTCGACAGCAGCAAGAACCGCTGCCGGGTCCAGACTCGGGGGTTGGTAGGTCGCCGATCCGCCCGTCCTGCCAAACCTACTGGGTGAGTTTTCCGTGTTTTGCGAGCTCTGTGATCTTTTCGCTTTTCGACATGGTGCCGAGGTTGTGATAGAGCGAGCGGTGATCGGCGAGACGGAGTGTCTGCTAACATGCAGAGCCACGAACGGGCGCTTGGCAGGCTGAGCCCATTGCTGTCCGGAAGCCAACTCGCAGGCCCGGCAAAGCCGCAGACCGGAGCCAGGCATGTATGGTCGGCGTAGCATAACTAGAAAAGTATCCCGTCGCTCTCTCGGAAGCGTGGATGCTTCCTTTCCCTTCGAAGGCGCAAATTGCAGTCTTGCAGCCCCAGTCCAGCCTGCCAAGTGCAGCTGCCAGCGTAAAGGCGCAGAGGCGCAGAGGAAAGCCAAGATGTGGCCAGAGACTTGAGCTATGCACAATTGGCCAGAGAACTGCGGACTAAACGGGAAGGTGTGAAATATTTCTCATCGATGATGGTCGGGTCGATGTTGAAAGAGAGCATGTGAGCTAAGCAAGCCAGTGCAGATCCCTGCATGGGACCCGCAGTCACTTCAATTGAGAAAAGCCCCGCTCTTGCATCTTCCAATTCAAGTTAGCTGCATGAATGCACGGCGGCACTGTGTTGAGACAAAAGAACACTGTGCAGCTTACGCAGCTCTCGGCCTTTGAGCACAGTGCCAGCTTTTCTAGTAAGCTCAACTGGAGTCTTGACAATTGCAGTACGTACAGCGCCTAAGCCACAGCGCTGCCAAGGGGTGACGCAGGCGCAAGGCAACTTTGCACGAGCATCACAACGATCATCAATCGGGCAGCCATTGCTTTGTTCGAAAGACGAACACCGACCTAAGTCCATCGCAGCCGCTCGCCAGGGATATACCTTATCTTCAGCTTTCAATATCCCACGCAGCCTGCGCTGCTAATATCTTGCCCGCCCATCTCCCGGGCTCGGTGACTGAACCTAAGTTCCGTCTCGTAACCCCTCGATTGCAACGCCGAGCTCTCCCCGCGATGCCTCCTCCGCCGCCGCCTCCGCCGCCGCCGCCCCCGGGGCTTGGAGGACCACCACCGCCTCCCCCTCCCCCTCCGCCATCGGCAGCTGCCGTGCCGGGTAGAGTTCGTTGAGTTTGCTGCCCCGTCCGGACTAAGAATCGCACTAACATGCTTGTACTCCCAGGGGGCACTGCTCGCAGATATCACCAAGGGCAAGGCGCTGAAGAAGGCCGTTACCAATGATCGGTCCGCTCCGATGATAGGCAAGGTGTCGTCCGTGGGCGGCACGGCTCCCTCGGGCCTCGGCGCACCACCGATCCCTAGCCTGCCGAAGACTCCCGGAGGTCTTGCCCCTCCCGTACCCGGAAACCGAGCGAGAAGCAACAGCGATCAGGGCAACAGAACGCAGCCGGCATCATCGATTGCGGATGGCCCTCCACAACTAGCTGGCCTGTTTGCGGGAGGCATGCCGAAGCTGCGGAAGACAGGCGGTGGCGTCGATACTGGGGGTAAGAAGCAACTGCCTACCTGTATCCTTATCCTTACGTGCATTATCTGACGCTTGCTCAGCAAACCGAGACGCCTCGTACCTGTCAGACTCAGAAGCATTGCCTCGATCTGCTCCGAGACCTCCTGCGGCAGCGGCGCCGCCGGTTCCCGGCAGACCATCCTTGCCTGGTACGGCCAGCACCCCAAGCTTACACCCCCCGAAAAAGGGCCCACCCCCGCCGGTCGGCAAGAAACCGCCACCGCCTCCTCCCGGGTCTAGGAAACCGTCTTCAACTGTGTCTCCACCGCCGCCTCCTCTCCCGGGCGCTCCAGCTCCACCACCCCCTTCCGTCGCACCACCCGCTCCCTCATCATCCGCTCCTCCAGCTCCGCCACCGCCGCCACCCTCCGCCGCCCCCCGTCCGCCCCCAGCACCGGTGCGCTCGCAACCGCCGCCGCCGCCATCCGCATCGACGAGCAGCATTTCTCAAAGTATCGCAGCCCAGGCAGCCATCCGCGCCGCGTCCAGTGTTGCTGCACCTCCAGCAGCAGCACCTCCTCCTCCACCGCCTCCTCCCCCCAGCGGGCCACCCCGATCAGCAGCTCCGAGCCCTCCGCCTTCTGCGGCGCCAGCGCCACCAACACCACCACCTCCTCCTCCGTCCGCAGCGCCCGCAGCGCCCGCTCCATCGGCGTTATTCCACTCGGCCTCGAGCGCGTCGGGCCGAGCATCCATGCGCTCACTGCTGGATCCAAGCAATTTCACGCTCACGCCCAATGGCGCCGGGGGCGGTTCCAAGACACCCAGTCCAGGGCGCGGCTCGACGCCGACGCCCGGCTCCCCTGCTGTCTCCAGCGGTCGGTATGTGGTGCAGGACCCGCGGTGGAAGTTCCACGGCGAGGAGCACCTCCCCAAGCCGCGGGAGTTCGTGGGCGGGCCGAGAAAGTATCGCGCTGGGCGGGGAAGCAGCGTGCCGCTGGATTTGGGTGCTTTTTAAAACTTTGATAAAGGGGTGGCGTCTCGCAGGAAGAGAGGGAGGATGTGGATCCAGGGGCAAAGGGAAGAGGGATGTTAAGTGAGAGACTGGGACACTGAGAGGTGAGAAGGGGAGCATCAAGTGGGCGATGCGGGTAGATTTAGTGCGCAGCTGGGCTGGGACTATAGTACCAGGCTTCACGGGAACGAGATGCCGCCTAGCGTGGGAACGAGATGAGGTGACAGGTCGAGGATGAGGTGCCTTACGATTTGCGGTTGGGGAGGAGCGAATAGAGACTTGGGTTGGGGAGCAGAACTACGAAGGAAGTTCGATCGGTCGTCAACAATTCGAGGAGTTTCATCTACACGAGTAGGTAGAATATGAACCCTTGCGGACACAGTGACCGTCTGTTCTCTTTCCTCTGTATCCATAAGAGTGAGAGTCTAGTTTACTGGGGGGAACATTATTAGACTTGGCATGAGCGCTTGAGACTGGTGGGTCAGCGATGTGGTTTCTAAGGCACGGTCATATTGCACCAAGTGGGTCAAAGAAGTATTGTTGCAGTGTCATTCGAAGGTTGTAATAGAGTGGTAACTACCTAGGTACGCTGTTGCGGACTACCTTAGGTCGTATCATGTTTCGTTCTCCGTCATCGTGTGGGAAAGCAGATAGAATGAGCTTGTTGATGATCCCTGATTCTCCCATAATCGTTCCTCCTTCGCCCGGATACGACCGTCCAGTACTGGTCATGTGCCACTAACTACCTTAACCTACTAATAAAAGGTACCTAGCCAGCGTTAAAACGTAAAATAACAGCCGCCATGACGAATGTTCAGAGATAGTACCTAATCCGTATATTCTCACACTGTTTCTGAATCGTGGAAGGAAAAAAAGGAGATACTGGAACATGAGCGAGTGGAACGAGCCTCCAAACCCAGCGAGGCTTAAAGGGGGATAGTATCCTGCGTCACAGAGGGACAGTCTGCCTTCTCCATCCTTGCCTTCTGGCTGCGAAAATGTTCTGTACTTGTACGTATGTTGTGCTCTTTGGGCTTCCACTCTCCCGTGTCACCCGCCTTGTCTGAGCCGCCTATCTCCTCCCTACTAGAGTCAGCTTCCTCAGAGAACAACGTCAGCTATCATTGTCACGGTTGACTTCTCCGGGCTTTTGCTGTTCTGTGGGTTAGGTCATCGCTTACATGCCCGTAGTATGGATGTCCGGCTATAGCGGGTCTGCCACTCCCCTGGGAGCGGCACCCGAGGACGGTCATGCGGCCTAACCCGAAGTTGAAGTCGACTCCGATGCGGGCTTGGGCGGAGGCGGAGGGGGCGGCGTCGGTTTCCGCGTGTAGAAGGGATCCTGAGGGCTCTCCATTGTGTTGGAGGGATGGATGTAGGTTGCTGAGGTTGATGCTTGCACGGAAAGGCTTTGATGGGCAGTCAGCTCACGGACTGGGAGCAGAGAAGTGCCGTGATCGTTCAGACAGCTCTGCCCCGGAAACCCAGTCCCTTATATAGACCTCGCCCGCCAGATCGCCATCCGGGGGTCGGACCACTTTACAACCCAAGCGGGGTTGGGATCGTTGGATTGATGTCAAACGAGCACGGGTGGCAACCTAGTCCACATGGCCTCTTCTCGTTCTCAGCCGCCAGTTGCCGGTAACCCAAAGTCGTGATATGCATAACTTCCAAGCTGTCTCATTGGTAGGCCCACGTCGTCTTTGCATCACGACGGCACTCGAGGGTTGCAAAGTGTGGGCAGACGGGAGCCCCGTTGAAAAGCATTGGAAGAGAGACGGACACGACGGGCCGAGCACTTGGGAGTGGAAGAGCCGCATTTGTCGGGGTTTCGAAGGGGCCCCGGGACTGAGAGCGCGCGCGGGGTAGTCCTCTCTGCTCCCGTCCCTTCCCACATTCCCGCCTCCTCTCGGCTTGCGCTTTCCAGACAAACAAACCGCCCGGGTATGGTGGCCCTTGCCTGACACATCCAGGCTCCAGAAACAGGATCCGAAGCATCTGCGGGAATTGAAGATCATCGGAAAACCTTTAATGTGTAATGTGTTGTTAGTCGGTTTCAGTGCCCGCCTGTTAAGTGCCTGTGAAATGCCTGTGGTGACGGCAGCCTGCTTGTGGAGGGATCCTTACTTTACTCGGTCACTCCTTCCAACCTTGCCATACTGTCTCCCAAAGTGTTGACAGGCGACGACATTACCTTGCTTGTTTAACTTTGCAGAATAAGGTAAGAACTTGAACGTCGAGTTGGTTTGGAGGAAGCCCCAAGAAACTCATGTCGCCAGCGGCGAAGGATTATATCCGATGTCATGCTCAGCCCCTGTCCACTAACACGCAACTCACATGTACACATTCCCAATCCCGTAATTGTATTTTTGCCCGGCATCTGAGTGGGCTGGAAGCGAACCCAGAGCCTCACCGAGCTTACATCAACGTCACTCGAGAGGTATAGCGCTTGAGGGCACCACGACTGCGGCCATTCGCAATACAAGTGGCATTCATATTCGGAACCCACTGACTTAGTGAATCAACATCGTGAACTCGGAATGGCATCGGGGTTTGGCATCGGACTTTGGGTTTCCAGCAGACCTCCATCATCACTCTGAAGCAGGTCCCAAGCATGGAGCAAGGTTTTGGGTTTGCTTCTACACGACGGCCCAGAGCAACTCGTCGGGTCTAAAGCATGTGCTCCGGCCCTCGATTTCCCCATTCATCTCCATTGTCACAACAGCCTCAAATCGACATTGCACCTACTACTAGTAATCACCTACCGGCAACCAAGGAAAACACAGTCCTAACAACCCATTCCCAATAAATCTCAACAACCTCCAACCAAAGTGTCTATCACCGTCAAGGCCTGTCACGTCTGGTAAGCATATGCCCCCTCGATAAGTGACAGGCTGAACTGACAGTCCGCCTCCCTGGCTTGACGGATGTGAAGGGAAGCTTATGAGCAGGGGTATACCTTACACGGCCAACGGCAACACGACGACGGTCAACACCACGAGTCGTACCAAGTGGACCGCGACATCGCTGGTGGCTACATGCTGGCGAGGCCTTCAGTTTACATACCTATCGCGCCGCTGAAACGAAGAGCAACACCATCCAGTGCACCAACTGCCGTCGAAGTTGGACACAAGGTGCCACAGCGGGGGTTTGCCTGGTGGTCCCGGTGGCGGGCGGACTGCACACCCACTGGCTGGGTAGTGATTTTGGGAAAACATAGACAATAGAGGGCAGCATATAGCGACCGCTGGAGCTGAGCTCGCGCTGGATTGAGTTGATTCTTTCTCATGCTGATGACTACTATCTGCCGTGAATCGGATGGTAACACGGAATGGCTGGTTGGCAAGTTGCCGGTCCCGTTGCCAATAAGGATGAGATCATGAGAGCCACCCCCGCGCCAATCCCCTGATGAATGCCCCGTCTCACGGTCCGTGACGGCAAGCTAAACGGACCCGGCAATCGCTGCCACGTCACCCCCGCGCTGCGGGCATCACTCGCATCCTGATTCACGGAGGGCGCGCAGTGGCCAGTTTACAACGAATGAGCGGCATATTGGTCCGTCCTGGCGCGCGTGACTAATACGATATGATGATTGGGGGAGTTGATACCAGCATGCGTGTGGGATGACTGCAGCCGCCCCCGACCCCTTCTCTCGTGCTGCAAAAGAGAACTTTGACGTTGTATAACCCAAATCTGAGGCCGTGCTTGTTGTGGAGCCACCTGATTGTTAGGAGTCGTGCCTCGGACCGCCAGCAGCTTCGTAGTGCAACTGGGACTTCGGAAGTGCGGGTTCTATGGACGATGGAAGGCTAAAGTTCTCAGCACTAACACAGCTTCGATCTTCAATGCAGCTGCCTGGCTTGAGCTGAAATCAAAGGACGCTTATCGCTGTGGGCGAGACGGCGGACTCGGAGAAATGCGTCAGCCAGGTTGATACTCGGTACATATATGTAGGTAGCTTACCTATCTAACCTACCTACGCATTCTTAACAACAAGCCACAACGACTACATTGTGCCTCCCCCAAGACGCCGGAGAGAACACATGACAAACCGGACAGACAGGATTCCTTCAATATGTTACATGACAGCCGGGTATTAGTCTCAAGGCATGGATATGTTGGGCGTATCAATAGCTGAGATGTCGGGCTGTTTGAGGTCCTGATGTGTATAAGGCCGAAGGTCCCGTCCGGTCTTCACTGTTTCTCCATCACGGCGTTCATCTCGTATCACTTCACTTGGGCTGAAATTAGAAGACAGTCAAGCTCCTAACTCATTTAGGTATGGCCTCGGTCTCGTCTCACTTCCGCACATGGAATTTGAATCTTTTTTTTTTTTTGTTTGAAATTACCCGCGGGGGAAGTAGTTGCTCATCCAGGGGCACAAGATCTGCCTTTACCTAGATGAGGGCCAGCACAGGAACTCCGGCCTTCAACAGAACGGGAGCTGTATAGGAAAAGAAGATGGCATCTATGCTTCGTTGAAGAAATGGGTGCATGCAGTCCAAGGGCGGACGGAGTTCAGAGTCGCCATGCCAAGTAATTCCTTATTATAAATAGTATAGTTCTACTTGGTGAATATTAGCTTTATAGAGTAATATATAATAGGGTAGAGGACCTTATTTTTTCTATACTAGGAGAGTGAATATTTAAGATGAGAAACTCGCACTACATCTGGGATCCGTGGTACATGACTTCGGAGGTTGACTAGCCCCTTGGTCAACAAATCCATGCATCCAGTTAATACTGTTGTTGATTCTACTGTTTCTTGGTTCTCTTCCTCATTTCTTCCTCCTTATATGTATCTCCTTCTTCGTCGTCTTCTCTCTTCTCTTCTTCATCCCCCTTTTCCTATGCTTCCAACTACACTGTTCTTTTTTCTTCTCGTTTCTCTTTAATCATTCCCTTCTTGTATTATTCAGAAGATCTTGATTGTAGAATCGTTGCTTGGCTCCCTGGTAGCTAAGGTATAGGTAGTGTAAGGTACCAATCAATCACAACTCGCTACGGCTCATGACCCTGATCAAGGTGTATGTGACGTACGTATCCTTCATCGCCACTGCACAGGCACCTTATCCGCTACCATACAAAGAAGCAGGGTTGACAGGCGAACGTCAGGGTGAAGCTATAGTTATACACACTGCAACACCCAACGACGCATTTACTATGATTCCCAATCAACGATCCGAGTTTCTAAGTTAGGTGGTGTTCCTAGCCGGGAACAGGATACTATACCACCCGTGCCGTATGTAAGCCTTGTAGGGTACTTTAGTAATGGTAACTGGCTTGTCAAGTCTATTACCATGCGACCGGCCATAGTACAGGTAAGGTACCTACAGCACTCCGTAGATGATGGTTTTACGCAGTCACGGCAGTGTCATTCTTCGTTCTCGTGAGCGAGGCGGATGTTCACCGTAGTTCATTGGCAGCCAATGATGATCCGAAATGCGACAGGGTGACCGTCCCACTTTTCCCAACGGTTGGGTCACGCTCAGACCACGGCCCCGCTCTTGCGCCTTGGCAAGCTTATCGCTGACGTTAAGGTTATCTGCCACCGACAACCGCAGCAGGTGCCTTTGCGGCTGGAACAAAGACAGCTAACAAGAAAAGCCTCCACGGCTGCCGACTTCGTCGTCTGAGCAGCCTAAGCACAAGCTCCTGCACCTTCCATTCTCGCTTTGCAGCGCCTGAATCGGCTCACCCGCCTCGACGACTGTTCTTCTGGGCCACTGCATGTCTGCATCATCGAGCTCGTTTGTCTGACATCTCCACTTCTGTAGGCGGGGCTCTCGGGACTAGCAAAGAGCCGGTGAACTCGCGTCTTCCGCAGGGGAAGGCCGATATCGACGAAAGGATACGGAGTACTCTTCTTTGAAGGATTTCCTGTATCGTTGTTCACCACGATGGTGCGCTCGGATTCTCGGCGTGCGCGGCAGGCAGGACACTCCCCAGGTCGGTCAGAGCCGCCATCACAACAGCGGAGGCATGACGGTCCGTCTGATACCGCTGCGTGCCGCCCTGACCAAGGATTGACATCTGCAACTTCAGAATCCTGGGTCGAGTTATCGTCACAGCCGTCTTCATCGTCTTTATCGTCCATCGGAGATGATATCGTCACGACAGGACTCAGGGTGCGGAGCAACCCTCATGGCTCAAGGCGGAGACGCTTGCAACCGCAGCAACCCATGCCCGCCTCCTTCATCATCGGCCACCCAGCGACGCAAGGGGGCGCAACTAGCAGTCAGGAGGAGTATGACGAGACGGAGAGTGAAGAGGATCGGGTTATGACAAGCTCAACCGAAGCGATACACCCATCGGCGAATCTCCATCACCAACAGACCACTCTGAGGGCGGCCGTAATGGACGTAGCCTCAGATAGCGACGATGACGAGGACGCGACGGCCCTCGGCCGCCCTTCCAACACCCCTGTGTTCAACCCGGAACCGAACTTCTTCTCACACCCTTCCTCCCACCTAACCCACCGACACTCAACCGGCTCCGCTCCTCACCACTACCACCACGCTCCCCATTCCCGCCCCGTCGGCCGCTCCCAGCGCGGGACACAAGACTTTATGTCCCCGTCCTACCAAGCTGACCATGACGCCGCACTCCGTGCCTCGCTCACCACCCTGCTCTCCTGTGCCGCCGCCGCCCGCAGCTTGCCCAAACATGAAGAAAGGCGCAATGCCCCCCGCGCCGGCGCCGGCGCCGGCGCCGGCCTCGTGCCCAGTTCTCAGCCCATGGAGCTACGCCTAGTTCCAGAATCGGAGCTCATGGCTAACAATTCACCGCCCACCGCCAGTCCTTCAGCAGCCGGCCGGTCGTCCAAGGCTCCGCCCCAGCAAGCAGCAACACCAAGGACAGCATCCAACTCCTCCTCCCCCAGCGCGCCTTCCTCACCGCCCGGCCGTGAGCGTGAAGCAGGGAGGCCCAAGCGGGAGGCCACGACGCAGAGCAGGCCCGCACGCGCGACGAAAAAGAAACGCACCAGCGCCACCGTCCTCGCCGAAGGCGGGATAGCCGCCACGGACGCGGATGCCTCGCTATTCTCTATGAGCCCGACCATCTTCACCTGGGTGGTCAGCGCTGGCGTGGTAGTGCTCGTGTCTGTCGTCGGATTTGGAGCGGGGTATGTCATTGGGCGGGAAGTGGGCCGGCAAGAGAGCGCAACGGCCGCGTTGACTGGGTTTGGATCCGGCGGTGGGGCGAATGCCTCTTCGGCTGCGGCAGGCTGCGGGAGCGAGCTGGCCCGATCGGGCGGGACAGGGACGCTGAGGAGGTTTCAGTGGGGCGGTGTTGGCAAGAGCGTTACTGCTTGAAAGATGGAGAGCGAGAGAGCGCCGGCAAGCTTTCCCTCAGTCTTCTTATAATACATGAGAAGCGGTGGGACATGAATGACGTTGGCCTTACCATCACGGTGGGCACAAGTGCATGACCGGAAAGAGGATGGGCAACGAAGCCTGTCGTCCATGACTATCTGGGGATGACGACATTTCCTATTTCTTGGTTTGGGTTTGGTGGTGGCCTGCATCTATCTGGCACACAAACTATCCGTACTGCGCAATGGTTTTCATTCATTTGGGTCTGATTTCAGGGCGAGAAATGGGGGCGGTGGCGATGGGTTACTTCTTTGGTCTAGGGATATAGCGGCAGTTTGAGATCGTATATTGGTGGCATCAAACCGTGATAATAATACATGCCGTCGGTGTCATTCGTTCACACTCTTTACTCCCATTCTGCGCCGGTCGGGAATCAGCTTGTGGGTGATCAAGGGCTGAAATTACAAGTCACAACCACGCAACTTGGAGGACCTGCAAGTACCTCATGGCAAATCGATGGACTATTATCACTCGTACAACTATCGACACTACTGCAAGGAAGAGGATATCTTGGGTATGGGCTACTTACCAGGCAAGACCGAGCCAGCCATACGTAAAACCTCCCGTGTACCTGTCGAGACCGAACTCCGCCGCGGTTGCGACCCCAACCGAAGAAAATAGAATAAAAGATGCAAGGCGACCCCCCAACCGTTACAACTAGTACCGAAATCAACCCAAACTTTTTGATTGCCCGCCGAGACAAAAGCCCTCGAAGCCCTCGAAGCCCTCAGAACGTTCAGAAAGCCCACAGGCGATGGAGTGTAAGCGCGGTCGGTGATCAGCCGGCCAGCTTCCATGCTCCGGTGCCAGAGATGCCACGGAACCCACGAGCCAACGAGCCCACAGAGTGCAGGGAAACCCATCGTTATCAACGTGTCAGGACCAAATGTCCGACCGCCCAATGAGGCGAAAGGTCCAGCATCGCACTGAGCCGATGCGTCTTGGAGCTGTCAAAGAGCCAACCAGCCCCCGAGTCAAGATCAAGCCCTCAGGTATATCGCTGCTTCTTTGCAAAGAAGCTGTCTCTCAAAGCCCACGACTCCCGGCTAAGGGGAGTTAGAGTTTAAAAGCCGACAACCCACAAGCCCTCGGATGGAACTGTGCAGAGCCCTCGTTGCGATCCCTCATGTGCGGCTGTGTCTCGTCACTTTCTTAGAAAGTGATCTTCTTGCCTTGGAAACCACCGCCACCCCGGTTCCCACCGAACCCGCCACGACCACCACGTCCGCCACGGCCACCACGATCACCAAAGCCACCACGTCCGCCACCGCGGCCGCCGCCACGGCCACCAAAGCCGCCACGGCCACCACCGCGACCGCCGCCGAAGCCACCGCCGCCACCGTTGTTGTCACGGGGTTTGGCGAAGTCCAGACGGACAGGCCTGCCATCAATGTCGGCGCCATTGAGAGACTCGAAGGCCTGCTTAGCATCCTCAACCGATGAGAATGTCACATAGCCGAAGCCCTTGGGCCGACCAGATTCCCTAATTCACTGGTTAGCCGGTTGCAGAAGGACAAAAAGAGAGCATTGGACACTCACTGATCGGTCGGAAGCCGGAGGCTTTGGACCTGAGCGACCTCGTTGAAGAAGGCCGAGACGGAGTCCTCGCTGGCACTGAAGGGAAGGTTGCCGACGAAGAGAGTATCGCTCGGTGGGCTGATGACATCACCGTGCTTGCGGGCACGATCGGCGGCCTTAGCATTGGGCGCGCCATCGGTGCTGGGCTTGCCCGCGAAGTCGAGCCGCATGTCACGGCCCTGAAGGAAGGCGCCGTTCTTCTCGTTGTAGGCCTTCTCAGCGGCCTCGGGGCTTTCGAAGTCGACGTAGCCAAAGCCGCGCGAACGACCAGATTCCTTGTCCGTGACGACGCGAGCACTGACAATGCCCGCGTTGTTCTGGAACTCTTCGTACAGGGCATTGTCGTCAATGGCCCAGCCGAGGTTGCCAACCCAGAGGGTAGCGCTCTTCTCGGAAGCCTCGCCATCCGACTTGCTCTTCTTGTTGGAGGCCGCCTCAGGCTCCTCCTCGGCTTTCCTCTTCTTCGAGGGCTTCTCAGCGACCGCAGGCTTTTCCTCAGCGGACTCGGACTCCTCCTCCGAATCGGAATCGTCAGATTCGGACTCGCTCGAGTCGTCCTCATCCTCATCGTCGTCCTCAGACTGGACACTAAGGTCAGCAAAAAGGTCGTGGGACTCGACAACCACATAGGCGGCCTACCTCATCGTCGGACTCGACCTTCACGGCCTTGCCCTTCACCTCCTTGGCAGCCTTGGTAGGCTTCTCCTCCTCGTCGGATTCATCATCGGAATCAGACTCAGAGTCGGAGGAATCGGAGGAATCGGAGCTCTCCTTCGCGGCACCGTTGACCTTAGCCTTGCCATTAGTCACCACGGCCTTCTTCTCGGGTTTCGCGTCGGTCATCTCAACGTCCGACTCAGACTCGGAATCGGAATCAGACTCCGAGTCAGAGGAAGACAGGGAGGCGCCACCGTCGGCCTCATCGGAGCTGCTAGCGCTGGCCTCAGACTCCGAGTCGGAATCGGACTCGCTCTCCGACTCAGTCTCGACCTTCTTGGCCTTCTTGCCGACAGCCTTCTCCTTGGAGGTAGTGGCCTTCTTGGCCACATCCTTGGCCGACTTAGCGACCGACTTCTCAACCTTGGTCACAGCGGCCTTGACGGGCGCGGCAGCCTTTGCGGGTGCAGACTTAGCCTTGACGGCCTTGGTGTCTTTTGTCTTGCCCATGATGGAAGATGTAGATGGAGGTTGGAATCGGGAAGTTGTTCGTGCAAAGTGATTCTTGGGAGAGGATGAAAAGAGAGAGAGAGAGGGTGGGAAGTTTCTGCGGGAGAAGAGGAGAAGAAAAAGGCTGCGGTAGAGTGGCAGTCGGCTGATAAGGAAAAGTCAGAAAATTCACGTCTTATCGCACAGAATTTAAGCGGGGTCTAAGGCGGTGAGATGCGTGCCAAGACTGCCGCTTCCCGCTAGCCGCTTTCAGATCGCTTTCACTGCCTGTGAATGCAGGCATCACCTCGGGCGCTTGGACCTGTAGCAGTCGCCCTGGATCCGCGCAATTGAGCATCTCGATTCCTCGAGTGGGCAAACCGATTGCTGGACTGATCGAAATCCGCCGTCCAGCAACCCGAAAAACGACATCCCCCGGCGATAGCAGTTCTCTGGTAGCCATCGCAGCACCATGCCGACCCCCGAGTCCGAGGCTTTCCTGGCGAAGAAGCCCAAGGTCCCGCCTACCTTTGACGGTGTCGACTACGACGACACCAAGCGCCTGAAGCAGGCACAGGATGCCATCATCCGCGAACAATGGGTGCAGGTCATGATGGGACGGCTAGTTCGGGAGGAATTGAGCAAGTGCTACTACCGGGAAGGTGTCAACCACCTTGAGAAGTGCGGCCGCTTGAGAGGTCAGTTCTGCTCGTTTGGGAGGGAAGGAGACACAGGGATATGCAGAGGGCGGCAGTCTGGCCGCTCTTATAAAACGTCGGTTGGTTCCTTAGGTGCGGCAGGTTGCTGACGGGAGTGCAGAACGATACCTCGAACTGCTGCAGAACGCCAAGGTCAAGGGCTATCTCTTCGAACAGCAGAACTACTTCTCCAAGGAGTCTGGAAAGTCATGAACTGCTGGAGGTTCTGGGGACGTATGGAATGAGCGAATAGGGATACGGCAATGGTACGTAGGGAGCGAGTCTTCTAGGGTGAGATAGGCCATGAGAAGAGGAAATGGCGGATATCCTACAAACGCCGAGTCCCGAATCCCATTATGAGAAACCAGGTTGTACATACAAGAAATTGACATCTGTAAAACACTGTGAACTCACCTAGTCAGCCTTGCGCTTGTAGGTTCAATTCCGCTGCGGTGGCCGATTTTCCCATTTGGCGGGGGCCTCGCCTTCCTTGATATCAAAACTGCACACCTGGTCTATCCTGGCTCCCCTAGAAATTTTTAGCTTCGAATTCCAAGTTGCATCTGGCTGCATGCGGACCTGCAAAGCGGCAAGCAACACCGCAACACCCACAGAAACACCATGATCTGCCGCACGTGTCTACGACGAGCCGCAGGCTTCCCGACCCGGCAAATACCTTCCGCGAGGATAACAATAGCAGCGCGAACCTTCACCACAACCCTGGGCGCACGCAATGCCGCTCCCTCCCCAGTAGCCGCAGCCCCCGCGGCCGCAACAGCAGCAGCAGCAGCAGCAGCAGCCTCCGCCGAGCCGACACCCGACCTTACGCCCCTGACCCCTCCTCCTGCAGACGCAAAGCCCGCGCCGCTGTCGTCCTGCCCTGCGGGGACCACGCTGAACGGCCTGAACTACTTCAAGGGCCAGACCGACCCCGTCGCGCTGCCGGACGAAGCCTACCCGTCCTGGCTATGGAACTGCTTGGAGGTGCAAAAGAAGGCCGACGCTGCTGCCGACGCGGACGCAGGCGATGAGTTCTGTGCGTTTTACCCTTACCTTATTCTAACCCCCTGCCCCTGCCCCTGCCCCTGCGCTCTTTGGAGGGGATCCGGCCTCTGTCCTCCCGCCCCATCCCCCTTTTGCAACGGGCTACCTGATGCTGAACTCAACTAACATGGTGTGCGCGCGTGTCTGTGAAAAGCCAAATCCAAAAAGCAGCGTCGCCTAGCCCTCAAGCGGCAGCGGCAGCAAGAGGCCAGGCTGCTCGCGTCGGGCGACCTCGAGGCGCTGGTGCCCAAGGTGCCGCTGCAAAAGCAAAGCATCAACCTACCGGCGGCCGAGCCCAACAATCTGGAGCAGGCCATCGAGGCGGTGGAGAAGCGGGAGGAGCTGCGGCGGGCGATGCGTAAGGAGCGGAGGGCCAAGATCAAGGAGAGCAATTACCTTAAGGCCATGTAAGGACTATGGTGCCGTGCAAGGGGGGTTGTACGATGGGGTTTGGAGTGTTGGCTCTGGCTGGGACCGATATGCTACACATGGATATGGATGCATGATCTCCGTGGCTGATAGAGGGGCGATGAGCGTCCGGGTGTGAATAAACACCAGTGTATTGTGTGTATGCTGAATAGGCGCGATACACCAACGGCATAAACTTTGGTACCTATCACCCCATCCCTTCTATTGGCGCTATCCATATTCATGCGTGCGTGGTGACCTCGACTGGGCCGACATGCAGACAGAACATCAGGTAATGGGCTATGGAGATCTGAAGTCCGGATAGCTCCAGGCATCCCCCGTTGCTCAGATGTTTAGGGACCGTTGATGATGCCCCCACACGATCATCATATCAACTGGTACTCAGTACCTGTTCCTAATCTCCAGCTAGATCTTTGGAATTACCCTCACAGTGTCCTCAAGTTTTCACGGATATCATGGCGATGCACTCGCCACTGGTTTCGTGAAACCCCTGCCTGTGCTCCTTATGACTGTTCCCCAACGGCTGGAACTACTCTGAGGCCGCCTAATCCTCTTCCACCTCACCGATGGAAGACATCTTGAGCAGGATCTCCGACTTGACGTTCCTGATGTTGCCCTCGAGGCGCTTCCGCATGATGGGCTGGACCGAGGCAGCCAGTTGTTCTTCGTACATTCTGAGTTGCTTCTTGAGGTTAGCAATCTCATTTCGTACGCCGGCGTGCCTGTCTTCGTCCTCGCCATCGTCGCCATCGCCACCCTCGTCAACATCCTCCTCATCATCCTCGTCCGACTCCTCTTCTTCGGCCCCGTCCGCCTCTTCCTCCTCGGTCTGCGGCTGGGGGGTGCCGGCCGTGCCAGTCCCGGGTGTGACCGCGTCAAACGCAGCCCCAGGCGTGGCGACCTCGAAGGCTGGCGTCTCGGCCGCCTCCAGAAACTCGGCCTCGAGGGCAGATTCGTCGACCTCGAATTCTTCTTCGAGTTGCCGCTCCATGTCGGCATCCCCAAAGTAATCATCCGCTTCTCCCTCGGCATCTTCCTCGAACTCTTCTTCTCCATCATCCTCGTCCGCGGCACGATTTTGTTTATTATCGAGCCACTCGGTCCGTACGCTCATAGCGTCACGATCGGCCGCAAGAAGCCGCTCCACCTCAGCCTCCTTGTTCTTTATTTCGAGCTTGCTGAGGCGCTTTCGGAATCGGCGATTCCTGGCGTCGTGCATGGGTGGTGTGATGCCATGCGGCCACCGATGGCCGTGTTCTACCGCCTTAGGCAGGGGTGCCGTTTTCGCCTCCTCCTCGCTCCGGACTTGCGCGAAAACCAACAACATCTGACAGATGTCGGCTGACTTGACCATCGCCTTCTTGTCCCATGTCTTCATGCCCTCGGTGATGGTGGGCAGATCGAGGAGGATGGCGGCGTAGAGCTGACCCAAGATAGTCACAACGGCCCTGCGACCCTCTTCATCCAACCACTTGAGCGAGAAATCCGCCCCGCCCTGCGCTCTGGGGATGCCAATCTTTTTCTCTTGCACGCACTTCCGCAGGTATTCGCAGTGCTCGCCGGGCATCATGCGGAACAGGAACTGCTCCTCGATGACGGGGTCAATCTCACGATCTTCGGCTTCCGAGTCATATCCTTCTCCGAGCGGCTTTTGGGGTATCCTGCCGACAGGCTTCACCTTGAGCGTTGGCTGCCTTGCAGGGCCATTCAGGGGCGTCTTAAGCGTGATCTTGGTTTTCTTAGCTTGCGGCTCTTGCCCGTTTCGGAGGGGAACGTCGTCGTCACCGTCGTCGCTTTCATCTCGCGCCCGCTTCTTTGTCGACGGCTTCGATACTCTCCCAGACTTCGTTTGTGATATCCTCGGGAGACCGGACCCTGTGCTCCCTTCATCAGTTGTCACGACTAGCGCTGGGTGCGCGGTGAGTATCGGGGGTCTCGGATCGGCCGGAGTAGGGGGCTGTGATTTGGAGACCAGCTTGATTTTCGGTGGTCCTTGAGACGGCGTCGATGGAGACATTGACTGTTGGAAGGATGTATTGTGAGTGGTCGAGGGGGCGGCTGTGGTTGTAATGGAAAGGCCCGATGGGCCCTTTAGGATTTTCAGGCTAGGCAAGCGCTTTGGAGGCGGGGGGAGAGGCGGCCTCGTTGGTGAATCCATCTTCGTCCTGTGATGATCGGTCGTAACCGTTTGTTGCCGAGGAGAGAATATGTGCGCGTGGCGCGAGGGGAGAGGCTGGAATCAGCGCGCAGCTGTAGCCGTCAAGGTGCAATCCAAGCAGACGCTTCTGTCGTGAAGGAACCAAATGTGGCGACTTGGTTCTGTTAAATGGTAGTTCCAGGTGAGTAAGATAGTTAACGCGTCATTTCACGCAGCCGCACTCGAGGAAGCTCCGTTTTGAGGTGGACTTGTCAGCCAGTCAGTGACATTTCGGTGAATGCAGGTCGATGCCATTTGAGGTCGATCGAATAGCTTGGCAGTGGAGCCCGGCCAGATCGCAGCGGGTCCGCGCCGACCAAAGGTCAGGTGGGGCCGCTCTTGGGTGGGATTTGCGGGGATGGTACTCCGTATTGTAATTCATACCCGACCTCGGGCTCAATACTATTCTGACGTCGAAAACCAGCTAACAACTTCTCACGAATGAATTTATCTTCCTTGTATTTTTGATTGCATTTTGGATTACTGCTTATGGGTGAGAAGTGGAGCACAATAATATTGAATAGCAGTGCTACGAATTGTGGATGTATGTACAATACCGTGACGCGTAGATTTATGTATTGAGTGGTGTATGTTTGTACAATACAGATACATCTAGTACCTTACAATTGTACATGCGGTATCGAGCAAATGAAAATCCAAGCTATCCAACGCCGCAGGCAAAACCACGAATGTCATGAGGGCCCACCTTTATCCTCTTGACGCGCTTGGGCGACTTCCCATCTCATTCATCCAGTCCAACACGAGCAATGAAAAAGTTCGATGAGTTCGCATCCTCATCCACGTATTCTCAGAAATAAACTGCATTTGACCCAGGCAGTGTGCACAGCACCAAAGGAAACCCGCTTGTCTGAAGACGGAGGAAAGGTGCAGGGAGTGAGATTGGGCTGGTGATTGCGATGCCATGTTGTTAGGCCCATGAAACAACTTGGGAAGAGAGATTCAGAAGCTCAACCACTCTGTTTTCCATCTCATCCTGGGCGAGGGAGCTGCGTTACGCGACATTGTTTCATGAAGGGCGGATGCCCTTTGGCCCAATCTAGGAGATGGCACCTCCGCCACCGCTCTTCCACGCCCTCCTCCGCCCAGCAGTCCTCCAGATACTCCGCGCAACAGGCTACCACGCAGCCAAGACGTCGGTAATCGATTCCGTCACCGACCTGGCAGCGCGCTACTTGCTCCACCTCTGCCGACTCACGGCGCTCTACTCGGCACACAACAACGAGGAGCTTCCGCCGGTGCTTGCCGACGGCTGGGGCGGCAGCGGGGCTACGTTGACCCCGACGGTGCCGGCGCCCACCGTCGTCGATGTGCGCATGGCGCTGCAGCGGGCCGGGGTGTTCAAGCCCGAGAAGATCCCCGTAGAACAAGAGCATCTCGACGCGGACGACACGCGCGGCGTCGAGGTGTTCGTTGCATGGGCGATGGGCCAGCTGAACCAGGAGATCAAGAGGATCGCGCTAGATGGGGACGACGAGGCCGGGAATTACTTGGATGGTAAGCTCAGCCCCGTGTTGGCCCCGTGAATGTGTGTATGTGTGTTTGCTGCTCGAAGGTGTGGAGCTGATGATAGCGGTGGCAGCCCTGAAAAGGAAACACAGCAAGAACGACGATGACTCGAAGTACCTTGGCACGCTGCTCGGCCGGGGCATCGAGCATGGCGACGTGCAGGTCGAGGGCGGCGAGTACCAGAGCATTTTTGACTGGGAGGAGCGGATGCGGCTTGCGAGCCAGAAGCCGCCAGAGGCGCCCGAGAAGCAGGTCAACGGGGACGGCGTCAATGGGGACGGCGACGGCGACAGAGAGGGTTCGCGGCCGCCTAGCTCCGGGCTTAGTTCGCTCGGGGATCGCAGCATCGCGGACGAGATGGATCTGTCATAGGGTGACAGGCTGAGGTCGCGACGCAACTTGAACATGCCCCGACGATAGTCCGGCACGGGGCCGGGAAACTTGAAATCGGCGCGGAAGGCAGGTCCGGAGCGAGTAGAATGAAGAACTGAGCACGCATAGCGGTGGCGTTAAAGGCTGAGCAGATGGAGACGGCTACCGAACGACAAATCATCTTGGGATCTAAGACGAGGATGACATAGGACACAGGAAAGTGAACAAACGTGACAGGGACAGGGGCATGCGGGTTTCCCTTGCTTAAGGCCGGGGAGTATGGAAGCTGCAGACATCGCAGCATATGTGTAATGGTTTATACCATCATGGGCCACATATGGCGACCCTTGAAAATTTTAGACTGCTCGGCTAATAGACTGATGAGGAATTAGGTCTTTTCCTCGCCACCACCTCCTTTCAAACTATCTATGCTCCGACACGCGATCCAAGTTGAAAGCGGCGCTGATCAGGGCCAGATGGCTAAATGCCTGCGGGGTGTTCCCCAGCTGCTCGCCGCTGCGTGATATCTCCTCGGAGAACATCATCAGGTGGTTCGAGAAGCTGAGCATGTTCTCAAACAGGTTGATTGCCCGTACCAGATATTTGGGCTCGTAGACCGACGCCCGCGTCATGGCTTCTACCAGCCAGAAGGTGCACATGCTGAAGGCGCCCTCGCGGCCGCCTACACCTGAAGATGGGGCCACGGATGTTAGATACCTGATGTTCTAACTCCATGGGGAGCAGGTTATGTATAGACTCACCATCTTCCGAGAGCTCCGTGTTGTACCGATACACCAACCCCGTGCTTGTCAGCCCGCCCTTCTCCGGCGGCAACATAATGCGGTCCATGGTGTTGACAAACCGGGGGTCGTTCGGCGCGATGAAGAACACCAGCGGGGCGATCAGTATCGACGAGTCCAGCATGGTGTTGTTCTCGTAGCTCTGGATGAAGCATTTCATCTCCTTGTTGTACCCCTTTTCCATGATCTCCTCGTACAGGCCGTCCCGCGCCTCGAGCCACCGGGCGCGGTTCGGACAGGGGAAGTTGCGCTTCTCGGCCAGCCGCAGGCCCCGGTCGAAAGCCACCCACAGCATGATCTTGGAATAGGTGAAGTTCTGCTTGTTGTTGCGCACCTCCCAGATGGACATGTCCGGCTGGTGCATGATGGTGAGCACGTAGTCGAGCATCTCGCGCACGGCGCACCACAGATCCCAGTGGATCGGCTTGCCGTACTTGTTGTACAGGTAGATGGCGTCCATGAGCTCGCCGTAGATGTCGAACTGCTGGTGGAAGGCGGCGCCGTTGCCGATGCGCACGGGCTTGCTGCCCCGGTAGCCGTCCAGGTGGGTGAGCTCGCGCTCGGGGATGTCGGTCTCGCCGCGGATGGTGAACATGATGGGCAGTCCGCCGTCGGCGACGCGCGACCTCTGGAAGCGCTCGCTGATGAAGTTCATGTAGGCGTCGGCCTCCTCGGTGAAGCCGAGCCGCAGCAGGATGTAGATGGTGAAGCTCGCGTCGCGGACCCACGAGAAGCGGTAGTCCCAGTTGCTTGCCCATGGCCTGGGGGTTAGTGTCCTTGTTAGAACCGTATGGGCCGCGGGCAGGGCTGCTCACCGAACGCCGCCGATGTCCTCGGGGATGGAAAAGGTCGGAGCGGCAATGATGGCGCCCGTCGGCTCATACGTCATCAGCTTCAGGATCATGAGGCTGCGCGACACGACCTCGCGCCAGCGGCCCTTGTACCTGCTCCTGGAGATCCAGTTGTACCAGTATGTCTGTGTGTCGTGCTGCTGGGTGTCGAGGACAGTGCTGGTGATGTTCGCCGTGACGTGGTTGGGAACGTCGTTGCGGATGACAAAGGACACGGCCTGGCCCTCGCAGATGCTCACGTTGGCCACGACGCCGTCGCCCAGCATGCCGGGCTTCTTCACCGTCTTGAAACGGACGGTGGGACAGCTGTCGTGGTCGTCCTCGCCCTTGTCAATGCTGACGTCGAGCTGCAGCTTGGTGGTTTTGCTGTGGAAGGTGACCGTCTTGCTCTGGGTGCTGTGCGGAATCCCCTGCTCCTGCAGGATGGTTGTGGTGTGCGGTTCCGTCGCGTACTCAAAGGCGGGGAAGATCTCGACGTCCATCTGCATGCAGCCGCGGATGCACTCGACGCGGCGGACCAGCCACTGCTTGAGCTCCTCCTGCACGCTGGTCATTTCGCGGAATGCGCTCTGCTTCGGCCCCTTGAAGACGACTTTGGCATTCTTGGGCCGCGGGAAGAAGTCGACGACGTCAACCACGCCATCCTCGTGGATATACCGCGTTTGGAGGATGTTTGAGGACGGGAGGTACTGCTGCTTGGTGGTGCAACTGAGGTGCGCAGCCGGGTGGATGCTAAAGTAGCCTCCCTTGTCCTTGTCCAGGAGACGGCAGAAGACAGACGGCGAGTCGAACTCGGGCCTGCAAAGGGAGTCAGAACAAAACCTTAAGTAAAGTGTCTTGCGCCACGACGGCACGATACCGTTCCACTCACCAACACATGAAATCAACACTTCCGTCCATGCCCACCAAAGCACAAGTCCGCATGTTGCCGATCAAGCCATAGTTTTCGATGGGGAGGTAGCCCACGCCATGCTTCCGCATCTGGCTATCGGTGCTTTGCGTTGAACAGGATGTCATGGTTACGATCTAAGATGGTGTAGCCAGACTCAGACCAAGCCGTCGATCAGCGTTCGAACTACTATGATTCCGGTTGTGGTGTCACTGCGTGTGGTTGGGACGAACACGGGTTGATGTGAGATAAGAAACCAATGAGATGATGACGCCAGAGGGTCGATCAGGCACCGTTGCGACTTGATATTGCCGTCAAATCTGGTTTCTAGGTCGAGTACGAAGTGGAGAACTAGAGGCTATCTTATATAGAGGTCGGGACAGCAAGCATCATTTTACTATCTACTCGTGTTTTATTAACAAGCAGTGCAGTAGACCTCGTCGGCCTGGATCTCAAGCCCAACTCCACGGTCTCCGAATGGCTGTCTTGCAGGGTACGGCTGGCTGAGGCTGCCTGAGTCAGCACCCAGCAACGTAGCGTGTGCATACATGGTATGATTGTACATACATGTACGTTTCTTTGTATGCATACAGGAGAATGATGCTGGGCACGGCTTACGAGACGTACACAAAGCTATTCGTAAGTCGGACAGTTCCGGCGGCGGCGAACAATCTCAGTAATCCAGGTGGACCTTACGGCGGTCTCGTCTGCTGAATCGGTGACGTTGAATCGGGTTCCACCTAGTTAATGCGGGGAAAGCAGCTGACAGCAGATCTTAATCCCAACCCACGTGCTCCCGTCGCGTCGTTTCCGCTACATCACAGAGTAGGCAGTCAAGGAAGTGCAAGAGAAATTCCTTCTGCTGATACCAGGAAGAGGCGTGTGCCTCAATTCCTCTGTCCAACCTCAAGTACTACGTAATAACAAAAGACAAGCAACAAACCACTGACTAGGTATAAAGAGACTCAAGAGGGACATCAGAGAGGATCCAGAAGCCTGAGATAGTGACTACTAGTACTGGTTTTGTCCCGTCTTGAATCATTGTATACGACCGTCCCTAGCTAGGCGGAGTGAGGTGCATTACTGAAACCTAAACTAATAACCCTTGGGTCGACCAACACCGAGTGATGGGCAGCTTCCGCCGACTCCATAGCAGTGGTGATGCACCTGCAACCTGAGGAACGTCTGAGAGTCACCGACATAGTATAACTCAGCCTGGTGTCTCATTCAAGTTTCAGGGCCTCAATCGCTGGGTATGATTGTTCAATGAGCAGGACAGGTTCGAGTCCGCACCCCTGGTTTTGTGCTTCGGAGAATCACAGCAGCCGAAGGAAACAAAATAAAACTCAGAACCTTAGTAACTATGAGGCTCGTGAGTCGTGGCTTCAACTGGTCTAGACTCCAGATCTTCACGTAATAGAAACGTCGGCCCCAGCCACGCCTAGCAGCGCTGCTGTTCGCTGAGCTGCCCTGTTCCGGCCCGACAGCTTGGCGCACCTCATCCCCATCCGGCAGATCAGCTGCCCTCAGCTGTCGTTGGTCAACCCAGCAAGGTCCCCAGTCACCCGCTCACCGGAAGCCAATCCGGTCGCGTCTCGTGCCTCGAAATCTCCACCGCTCATCTTGCCCTTCCTGCAGTGGCCGGCTTGTTTCTTGCCGAAGTCCGTGCAATTGGACCACGATGATGAGTCCTGTGAGGGCTGCTCCTCCACACTAGCAATGCCAGTGTCCTCCTCACCGAACGTTCCTTCCTACGCTCCTTCAGAAAGAGTTCCCGTTTCTTTCGCCCTATCCGACTCCCGTTTCCACCCGCCAGCGCCGTCAGCGTCTGGACACGCGACAGCAGTCAGCAACAGAGCGGAAGCCCCAGGATTTGCTGTGCTGCGAGCCGGCGACAAACCCCAGACGTCTGCCAGAACGCAGTCCCCCAAAGCTAGCCAGGTCTCCCGAGACATCGAGATGGCGTCTGTGACGCCCGCCGGCCACCGTCGCCGACGAAGTAGTCTCATCAATCCCGCCAATGCCTCCAACAATCGCCACGCACGGACTCGGTCCCTGTCATTAAGGGGTGTGCCCAGCGGGGACGATGAGGACAAGATCGTCGAGGAGAGCGCCGACGAGGGCTCTCCACGCCCTGGCGAATTGGATGAGGCGGGTTTGACCGACGAAGACCTCCACGACGACGAGGAGACGGGCCTGACCGGGAAAGACAGACGCAGGAAGAGGCGGAAGAGGAGGAGAAACCAGCTGCTCGACCAGCGCATAGCCGGAGGCGACATCTCCCCGGAGGAGAAGAAAGAGGCGGATCGCAACGTCGCAAGGAGCCTTCTAGTCAATGGCGCTCTGATCGGGCTCTGGTATTTCTTTTCATTATCAATCTCTCTGGTATGAACACATCCCCCCACCCCCAAACCCCCGACCTGTCATGACCAGCTGCTCACCGCTGCTTCCAGTACAACAAATGGATGTTTTCACCAGACAACCTGAACTTCCCGTTCCCTATGTTCACCACTGCCGTGCACTTTCTTGTGCAGTTCACACTAGCGTCTGTTGTATTATGGCTCTTTCCCTCCCTGCGGCCTCGGAACGGCCATCGATCCGACATGGGCCAGTCAAGGCACGAGCCGGAGCCAGAACGTCCTATTATGACCAAGATGTTCTACCTCACCAGGATCGGGCCATGCGGCATTGCGACAGGTCTCGACATTGGCCTGGGCAACACCTCGCTCCAGTTCATCACCCTTACCTTTTACAGTAAGTCCCTGGAAAGCTGTTTATCGTCCATGTGAGCCCGGCTAATATTCATCCTCCTTGCTTAGCAATGTGTAAATCCTCCTCTCTCGCCTTCGTCCTCCTCTTCGCCTTCCTCTTCCGCCTCGAGACGCCCACCTGGAAGCTCGTAGGCGTCATCGCCACCATGACCCTCGGCGTCGTCATGATGGTGGCCGGCGAAGTCGAGTTCAAGCTCGGCGGCTTCATCCTCGTCATCTCGGCCGCCTTCTTCTCCGGCTTCCGCTGGGGTCTCACGCAGATCCTGCTGCTGCGCAACCCGGCCACCTCGAATCCCTTCTCCAGCATCTTTTTCCTCGCCCCCGTCATGTTCCTCACCCTCGTCAGCATCGCCATCCCCGTCGAGGGCGCCGGCGCCCTGCTCGCCGGCCTGGAGGGCATTGCCAAGGAACGGGGCGTGCTCGCCGCGCCGCTCTTCGTCTTCTTCCCCGGCGTGCTCGCCTTCCTGATGACGGCCTCCGAGTTTGCGCTGCTGCAGCGCACGTCGGTGGTGACGCTCTCCATCGCGGGCATCTTCAAGGAGGCCGTCACCATCTCGGCGGCCTCGCTGGTGTTTGGCGATACCATGACGCCGGTCAACATGATTGGGTTGGTGGTCACGCTGGCGGCGATTGCTACCTACAACTGGATCAAGATCAGTAAGATGCGGCAGCAGGCGCAGACGGATGTCCACAGGGGGCATTTGGCGGAAGAGGAGGAGCGCCTGCCGCCTCGTGGCAATGGGAGTGGGAGTGGGAGTGGGAGTGGGAGTGATGACGACCACGCGGAGGAGGCTGGTTTGCTGAGGCCGAGCGTGGACAACGATCAAGTCCTCTTCACTGCAGATGGAGGGGACGTGGTTGCCGGACCGGGGCCTGATGTTGGGCCGGTTCAAACTGGAAGGGAGCCAAGAACGGACTGAGAGACCTGCACTATACGTACCGTGCCGTGTGTTTCCAGTGCCATATACCTGCTCATATATGATACCCACCGTACCGTATTTTCCCTAGCTCTTCAGTACGATATTCGAAGGGGTGAGGAGAAGAAGAGAACAGCTTGAATTTAGTGGGCTGTGAATTTCATTTGTTTGTTGTAGCATCGTCGGCGTCTGGGATTGGGCAATAGGCCACACATTATAGAAACATCTCTTTTCTTGTCTTACAGACATTACTGGTTCCTTCGCGCTAGCCTCTCAGTCCCCTCCAGCCCATATTGACATACGAGATGTGTTCTCTCTGAATCCTGACGCGTTTAGGGACAGATTCGCATTATTCCAATACGGTGGTCTATATCGATACCTCTAACCAACCCCCTTATCTCTACCTACATCCACGTAAAAGGTAGGCCGGAGCCCAACAACAACCACTGCGATGAGGCGCTCCGCCTCGGTGTGCAAAATGAATGGTCTCCTCACTCCACATTATACTTCGGTCAGCGCTAGACTGTCGAGAAAGCTATCTCACAAACGGACGACCTCAACCGAGCAACTTCAACCCGCCCTTCGTCTTCTGCCCTGGCTTGGTGATACCACCACCTCCCATTGGACCTAGATGCGGCTCATACGCCCCGGTCCCATTTGTGCCCGCCCCTGCGCCCATGCCACTGCCGCTCTTGTTTCCACCACTCTTGTTGTTCTTGCCCTTGCGATCCTCCTTGACCACTGCCGGCTTGATTTCCGTCTTCGCTTTGCGCACCACTACCGGATGGCTCTGGATGTACTTCCCGTTCATCTCTTTGGCGGCCTGGAAGAAGTCCTCCGGGTCGCTGAAACTAACGAAGCCGAACCCTTTGCTCTTGTTCGTGCGCTTGTCACGGATGACCTTGGCTTTCTGCACACTCTTCCAACGCGAGAATGCTTTGAGCAGGGAGTCGTCTGTCGTCTCGCCCGCGAGGTTGCCCACGAAGAGACGCAGGTGCGAAGGGTCCCATTCGAGTAGCGAGTCATCCTGCCATTTCTTACCGCCGCCCTCACGGTAGACTGTCTTCTTCTTCTCGTTCGACTCGCCGCTAGCATTGGGGGTGGTCGCTTCCGGTGTGCTGGCGTGTGTAGCCAGTGCTGGAGTGCCGGTGCCGCTGCGACCGCCTGTAGCAGTTGCTTTGTTGGTCGGATCGCTGGCGTCTTTCGGCATGTAAGCACTCTGCCACTGGGCTATTTGAGCCGCCATCTCGGAGTCGAAGTCTGGGGTTGCGGTGTCCGGGGCTGGGAACGGGTTGCGGATTTGAGGCGGTGCCGAGTAACCCGTGGCCGGTGCGGCGCCATAGTAGGATGGCTGCTGCGCATAGCCTTGGGATGTGTAGTTGTAAGTGCTTCCCTGGCCATAGCCACCGCGGCCGGCACCTATGGCAGGAGCTGAAGGGTTACCCACGTAGGGCAGCGCGGTAGGAGGTGCGCCATAGCTGGCAGGTGTCGTCGCGGGTCCGTAGCCGGGATACGACGTCGCGGGCCCTGTGTAGCCGACCGCGGCAGCTGTAGGCGCGGGCGAAAAGGCGGGCTTAAAGCCGCCAACTTTGGTGACGGCTGGGCGCGGAGGCAGCGATGGATGTGACGGCTTCGAGACACCTGGAGGACCCGGGTACGACATGATGAATTTCTTGCGCCTGACAGGAGATGCAAAACGCAGAATGACACTGCAGTAGTCACGTACCTGGTGAGCCCAGTCCGTCTACGGCTATGCTCCTGCAAGCTTTCAACCGAGGTGTCTGGCTCACGTCAAAGCTGAGACGAGCGCTGCGTTGTGATAAAGATGATGATCGCGCGTCAGATGGTGCTGGTCGGAAACTCCCGTATGCCAGAGATAAGTTGGTGAACTGGAAGTGCCAAAGTTGTGGCTAGCGCTGTGGCGCAATCCGTATATATGTGGCTTTATAATGACAAGGACCCGGCACCAGCGGATTACGTCATCCAACTAAGTCCAACACCTTGCTCGAGCCACAGTACGGAGTAGGTGCCTGAAAGTTAACGCCGACGCGCATCGACTGTATCCCGAGCTCTGCGAAAGCCATAGGGGATTTATTCTGCCTGACGTTCAGGCCTTCAGACACTATGTAGGATTGATGGTTCAATCGCTGCTGCTTTGCATGGCTCTGAACTGTACGTAGAGGCCAGCACTGTCATTTTAGTCCGCCGCGCGGGTGCTTCAAGTTCTCCAGTGGGTAGGCCATCCAGTGTGGGGGCGCAACATCTGCGCGACTGATGAGGGCCCCTCCTGTGACTCCGGACATTCCAATGTGCTTGGCTCAACATTTCCATAGCAGCGCAGCCGGTAGCGGACAGCAATCAGAGAGAGAGAATCATTCCCCAACAATTTGGAAGGCACGTAGACTCTCCCATTGGCCTAGATAGAAGAGCCTGAACTCATTAGCCTTGGGTCCAAAGACTATTAGTACATACAATGCGGGAATTTGGGAAAGCAGTTGCCCGTCTCCTGGTTGGCGGGGTAATGAACGCTCCGTGGGAGTTTCGAACGAAGCAGTGGGGGGCCATATGGGTAGGGACCCGGGAGGTAAGGTTGCACCATCCTGGGAGACATCGGACACCAACATTCGGGGTTGGCAACTGCCAACCAAGGGCAGTCGTGTACTTCCGATGTATCCGCGGAGACCGCTAACCGGAAGGCCCGAATGTGCATGCGAAAAACATTGATCGGAAAAGCAGAAGCAAGATAAACACGACTGGGCTTCCAGCTCAATTTCGATAACAGGCAAGTTTGTAATTGAGTTCTGCTGCAAGCTGACCTTGCTCCTCAATATCGCGGTGCATGACCAAGCGGAAAGGCGGCAACCGGATTCCGAAAGGTCAAAGCTCCATAAGGTACCTTTTTGTCGGGGAACTGCTTGGACTGCGCCGTGCTTTCTACGCGGCACTGCTGTTTCAAACCAAGAGATCCCTATAAACTGATGCAGTTTGTGTCGGAGGGCTGCCAAAACGAGGTCATACTGCGTCGTGAGGTGCCGGTGCATTCCTTAATCGCAACTTACTAGTATTTTCTGTCAAGACTGCCGGTTCAGGGATGCCTGAGAGGGAGCGCAGCTCTCGCCGACACCAAGTGCCAAAGAGGTATAGAAGGTGCGAGCCGCCCAAACTATGGCTTTCACGTTCTACTATACCAAGAGTGTTTCCCTAGATTTCACTGCAGGTGCCATGGCAACGAGGGGTGCGGATCTCAGCTATAGGGAACAGGGTCAAAGACCGTGCCAACAGCAAGCTGACGGTGGCAGAGTTCTGTCCTGACTGTTGTCTGGAGAGTTGGAAACAAAACCGTGTGTTACAGATAGGTTTAAGTACCTAGGTAGAGTGCCGAGCGCCTGAGGCCCTGAGTAAGCCTTGCGGTAATTATCCGTGGCGGGTCAGTTCTTGGTAAAGCCGCTTTCCCTCAGTGGCTGCTGCAGTTGTAGCTGGAGCTTTCCTTGCGATTGACCCCTCCGACATCGAAGCTCGCCGGTTCCTTCTTAAAACTTTCGTCATCCCTCTCGCACCCCATCTCTCCCCCTTTCCACACATTGACATCCTTGACTGAGGACTCTCCATCTCGACACCACCATTGCAGGTCTGGTCGAGCTCCTAACTACCCATTTTCAGTTTCATCAAACCATTTCAGCAGTTCACGATGTCCGGCGCAGTGTAAGTCCTATTACCCCACCTCCCCGCTTCTCTCCCACACCTCCCGCAACGCCCTTCGTTTTCGAGGGACTCTCGCATCGTACAGTTATCTGGCGTCGTCGTCGTCCAGGCCTCAAGACCACATTGCGAAAACAATGCGCCTTGACCTTGATGAAAAGACCGAGTCTCCCGCGGTAACGGGGAGCTTTCCTACCATTATACCACCTACTGAGTTCCCTCCAGCGCCCGCCTAGCGAACATCGTTGGCGGAGCTTTAGGAGCTGGCTCCTCCTCTTCGCAACACCAGGAAAATGCTAACAATGCTGCAAGCGCTGATATCGGCCTCATCGGCCTGGCTGTCATGTAAGTCCACTTTCCCTCGAGTCACCCGGGGTTCCGGCCCGCCTCCATAACAAGCTGACGAAGAATGGCAGGGGCCAGAACCTGATCATGAACATGGCCGACCATGGCTTCACCGTCTGCGCTTTCAACCGCACCGTGTCCAAGGTCGACGCTTTCCTGGCCAACGAGGCCAAGGGCAAGTCCATCGTCGGGGCGCACTCCGTAGAGGAGTTTGTTTCCAAGCTCAAGAGGCCTCGCCGCGTCATGCTCCTCGTCCAGGCCGGCAAGCCCGTCGATGACTGGATCGAGACTCTGCTGCCACTCCTTGAGCCTGGCGACATCATTATCGACGGCGGCAACTCACACTTCCCCGATTCCAATCGGAGGACAAAGTACCTTGCGAGCAAGGGCCTCCGGTTTGTCGGCTCCGGTGTTTCCGGTGGCGAGGAAGGCGCTCGCTACGGCCCATCTCTGATGCCCGGTGGCCACGAGGAGGCCTGGTCCCACATCAAGGACATCTTCCAGGCCATTGCTGCCAAGAGCGACGGCGAGGCCTGCTGCGAGTGGGTTGGTGACGAGGGCGCCGGCCACTATGTGAAGATGGTGCACAATGGTATTGAGTACGGTGACATGCAGCTCATCTGCGAGGTAAGTGGAGCAGTGTTGCGCCATGCTAGTGGATGTCGCCGTAGTGCGTTGACTAACAGACGGTTTAGGCGTACGACATCATGAAGCGTGGCCTGGGGATGGACAACAAGGCAATCGGCGACGTTTTCGCCAAGTGGAACAAGGGTGTTCTAGATTCTTTCCTGATTGAGATCACGCGGGATATCATGTACTTCAACGACGACGACGGTACCCCGCTTGTCGAGAAGATCCTGGACAAGGCTGGCCAGAAAGGTACCGGCAAGTGGACCGCCGTGAACGCCTTGGACCTGGGCATGCCCGTCACCCTGATCGCCGAGGCTGTGCTCGCTCGCTGCCTGTCTGGCATCAAGGACGAGCGTACCAAGGCATCGACCAAGCTTAGGTACGAGGCTCGCGCCACGACCTTCGAGGGTGACAAGAACCAGTTCCTGGACGACCTGGAGCAGGCCCTGTACGCGTCCAAGATCATCTCATACGCGCAGGGCTTCATGCTCATGCAAGAGGTAGGCTGAAGGCAGAAACGTCGCTTCTGGCTCGACCGGTGCGCTAACATGATTCCACAGGCTGCCAAGGAATACGGCTGGAAGCTCAACAAGCCCTCGATTGCCCTCATGTGGCGTGGCGGGTGCATCATCCGCTCCGTCTTCCTGAAGGACATCACCGCGGCTTACCGCAACAACCCCGACCTGGAGAACCTGCTCTTCGACGACTTCTTCAACAAGGCCATTCACAAGGCGCAGCCTGGCTGGAGAGATGTTGTTGCCAAGGCCGCCGTTCTCGGCATCCCGACTCCGGCCTTCTCGACAGCGCTGTCGTGGTTCGATGGCTACCGCACGAAGGATCTGCCGGCCAACCTGCTGCAGGCGCAGCGTGACTACTTCGGTGCCCACACTTTCAGGATCAAGCCCGAGGCGGCAACTGAGAAGTACCCTGTGGACAAGGATATCCACGTCAACTGGACCGGGCGGGGAGGCAATGTTTCGGCTTCGACATACCAGGCTTAAAACGGGCGTGACTAATGATCGGGATGCGCATGGATGGATATTTGCCGAAATTTACGTAGATTAAGATGGCGGTAGAGACACCATCCAAAAATATTGCTTCTGTTCGCTTCAGCTGCACCGAATTGGCTTTTCTTTTTCTGATGTAGACCGCCACGCTGAAGGAAGTTGTAGTGGCGTCGACTGCTGTGTTAAATGTTATGGGGGATATCTCGTCACGTGATCCAAGCATAGTGGTTGGGCTCGTGGTCTGTGCCACACTGCCAAGACAGCCCAGCGCAACCTCCATCCGATTCGCGAAAAGCGCGACGGTACTGTGTTGCAGAGACGCCAGTTTGGATTCGTGATCGCGGGAGCTAGGACGCCCACATCCAGACAAGCACACCAGCCGATCTGCTCACAAGACTGACGTCCGCACCGACCCCTCATTCCTTGACAACATCCATTAGCCGATCCGTCGGATACCCGAGCCAAAAAGATGGCTGGAGACCCCAGCCACAATGTCCACCAGGACTTAGTATGATCCCGCCGTGGCACTCACAAACTGCTTGGTCGTCGTCGTCGCAAAAGAGCTAACCTTTTGCGCGTCAGCTTCCCCATGTGCACCTGCTATCAACGTTTCGATATGCGACGATGCCCAGGGTCGACCTGCCTGAAGTAACAAAATGGCTGTTGCAGGCACCCAAGATCGCGCGGGACACGGCACCCTTCTACTGGACATACCTCGACTGCCCTGCCGACGGCTCCATCTTCTTGACGTGGCAACCGACGTCGCGCCGTGGTACCGAATTTGCCAGCGATGGATATATATGGGCGGGACCTGAGTTGTCATTCCAGCATAACGCGGGCAACGGCTTGGTATGACACCCCCGGGGGGCTGGGGCGAGGGCCGTTTTGAATAGGGCGCGGCGCCTGGCTAATCATGGACAATAGATCCTCGACATCCATTTCCAGAGAACAGGGTACAGGATGGGTGAGCAGATTGCAATACATTCGAGACGGCGCTTCCGCCTTTGCCCATCCCAAGCGCATGCCCCAAACATTCCCCAAGTCGACCCCAACCTCTGGATAATCCACTATGGACCGGCCGAAAAGAACGACAGGGTACCCGTTAACCATATCGGTATCCCGCCGATGATGCAGCCCATTCTCGGCTTCCGTCAACACTTGTTCCAGATGGGACAAATCGTTCGAAAGGAGTTCATGCTGTCGGATCGGGTCAACTGGCCGCAGATTCCCTTCCCCCAGCGCGGCCAGTCGATGTATGCGCCGCCAATGCCGCAACGTCACGTCCCTCAAACCATGGCTTATCCCCCACACGCCGCCCCGACAATTGGGCCCACGCCCAAGAGAAGGGGAGGGCATACTCCTGGGGGCCAGCAGGGCCAGATAATGGGAGCGCCTTACAGCGCTGAGGCAGCGTTTGATGACGAGGAGGATGTTTCTCGTGGCGACATGTTCGATCATCTCAGCCCGCGCGAAATAAGCATGGCTCGGTATCAGCAAAATCACGAATGGATGGAGGAGATTCTGTCATCGCCCTACCGTATTAACCAGATTGAGGCTTCGGATCTAGGGTTAGGACGGAAAGGGGAGCTCTCCTCACTTACGGAGGGCATTTTCGAGGCCCAAGGTGCCGATGCATTGGTCTCCGGGCCGAAGAAACCGTACACTGGCCAGCTCGACCCCGGCCTGGCGGACGAGTTCCGCAAGCGAGTGACGCAGCGAAACGACGCTATGAGGGCCGAGATTGATGAGATGAAGGCGCAGCATGCTAAATTGCTCGCAAGGTTCAAAGGTAACGCCGCTATCAAGCATGCGGAGCAAGAGCTGCGTGCGGCTACGCAGGGCACAGGCACCGAGTTGTGGCGGCTCGAGGGAAGGCTGAAGGATGATGAGGAAGATGGCGTCCACTGGAATCAGAAACCCTCGAGAACGCTTGAGGAGATCGTAGCCAGTGTTGAGGAACTGGTTGGCAAGCGCGCCGTGGTCGTCAGCGACGTCCACCGTGTTCAGGACGGCGGCTATCAGCCGCCGGCCCCTGAGCCAGAACTCATGCAACCGCAGCCGCAAGTGCCTGGAGGCGCTAATCTCTCAGGCGTCATGTCTCGACAGCCATCGCACGCCGGGTCCGGCATGCTGATGATGGGTGACTCGGACATTGACATGGGCGGCACGGCAGCTGGTCTCCTCAATGACATGCACACCGGCTTCTCGTCCACCTCAACACCCATTAACAACTTCCCAACCCCGCAGCCTCACCTGTCCGCTATCCCCTCCACCGTGGCAACTCCCACAAACCTCAATGTCCCCTCGCCAGCCCAAGCACTGCCTTCACAAACCTCTGCGCCAGGTCAACAAGACGTCCCAACGGGCGAGACAGAATCGTCCAAAGACGGCACCACCGCACCCGACCAGGGCACCGGGAGCGGGGACTGGGTCGTCGTTCCCAAGGATGACACTATCCCGCCGTCTGCCATTGCGACAACGCAGCCCCTAACGACCACAGGCGCCGCCGTGCCATCGACTAGCAAGCCCGCCTCAGCAGCGGCCACGCCCGGCGCCGGTCTCGACAACGATTTCAGTTCGCTCGGGGATCTGGACACGGCCGGCGACGCGCTGGCGAGCTATGACCCGCCCAGTGGCGACGAGCTGAATATGGACATGGAGGACTCGGCGTTCGGAGACGCCTTCCACGGGGTCGAGCAGGCGGGCGGGATGCGGGGCGATACACCTGCCGGGGAGGGGATGTGATTCCCATAGCCGGCCGGGATTGCGGAAATTGGTGTAAGTTTGTGTTACGGTGTGTGCTTGTTTAGCTGGTTTGGCTGGTTGGCCGTCTGTATTTCGGGTAACGGGGTCCCTGGTCCTTGGGGACTGGTCATAGGCGTGAGTCGTAAGATAGTCCCCATGTAAGGGCTGGTTATTATATTGCGTTCTTATCTTGCTCCTTGGATGGACATGGGAATCGTAGTTATTCTACCTAAAACTTCGGAAATGGGATTGAGAACCGCCTCGTGGAGCGAATCGAATCCCTATCGAGAGGGAAACACCTATGTTGCTGACTGATTGTCTTGCTCTACGGAGCGGGCTATTCTTCTTACAAAACATTCTTGTTATCGTCGAACTCTGCAGAAGGGTGGGTAATTCCCAGGTAGAAACTCTCTTATGGAGTCATAGAGAGAAAAGACAAATAACACACTGGAAGCTTGTCTGTCCCTTACTCGGCCCTGCCCAGTTCCGAGGTTGACAAGCACTTCATTATGTGGTGCCTGGGACTAAGTCCCACGAGCTCGTGATATTCTAATGCTCTATATAGTTTGAGGGAAGGATTACGAGGCCACTGTCTAACAAGGTCAATGTCACCATCCCGTTCATTGAGGAACCTGAGATTTCTGCATTGAAGACAATCAAGGTAAACATCATCATGATAGACATAAGGTAAACATCATTATGTTAGACATGAAAGCAGGGTTGAGCCGCCTGTTGTGATCGAACGGTAACGTAGGTAACTTGGCTTGATTCAGATTGTTTGGCCGCGGTCTCCCAGCTGAACAAGGTGAGGCTGATCACTGACAAAACAGTCATAAAAGAAACAGGAGTGAGCTGACTGGGTGTTGCTGATTCCGGACCTTCTGTTTCCGCTCGGCCCGTCACTGGCGAAGTTCCCATATAGCTGTGCTAGGATACATCGCCCGGCCTTGGTATCAATAGCCAGCCTTATCCTTGTCAAGTTCACTTGGCGGAATTCATTCAGAAAGAACTGCCTCTATGACAAATATCATGTCCCCCGGAGCAGTCATTTTCCCTGCCTGGCCGTCCCGTTTCTGATAAGCTCAAGTCCCTCAAAGCAAACCACGCCAGAAATGCCCAATGGAAAGACCCCGCCGACCCTTTAGAACTTGCTGAACTTCTTGACCGCCTTGCCGGTCCGGGGAAGCACGCGGAGAACGTTGAACCGCACCTGTTTTTTCGGCAGGTTAGTAGACGATAGCCAACGGGGGCCTGGTAATCGCCCAAAGCAGCCAGGGGTTGCCCGAAAGATCCAACACATACAGTCTTGCTCAGAGGCCTGCACTGGCCAACGGTGACATGGTCACCCTCCTCAACACGGAAAGCGGGGGAAATGTGCGCAGCGAGGTTTTTGTGGCGCTTCTCGTAACGGTTGTACTTGGGGATATAGTGGAGGTACTCGCGGCGGATGATAATGGTACGGTGCATCTTCGTTGACACGACGGTGCCAGTCAGGATACGGCCGCGGATCGAAACCATGCCCGTGAAGGGGCACTTCTTGTCTGCAGGAAAAGAACACCAGTTAACCACTGTTCCCTGGCCCAATGCAGCCAAATCCTCTCGCAGGGAATCCAGTCGTCGGCATGAAATCGATTTCTTCGCGGGCGACGTAACGGGTCGTTCGGCTGGGGGCGCGTTTTGTGCTGTAGCAACATACCGATGTACTGGCCCTCAATGGCCGTCTTGGGGGTTCGGAAGCCCAGGCCAACGTCCTTGTACCATCTCCGACCACCCTTGCCAGGCCGGGCGGACTTGACCTTGGTCTTGCTGTTGAGGAAGACTATGTGGTGACCGTCGTCAGCGCCCGCCCAATCGACAATCCAAACCAAGCCCCCCTGCTGCCGGACAACGCAGCTGCCCCGAGGAATAACTCACTGTGCGGCTGCTTCTGGAAAGCACGCTCGCTCTGGACGGTCAGTTCGGTAGCCATCTTGTCGGTCTGGCGTGGGCCAAGATGTGCTGCTTTGTCGAGGGGAACACGGGTTGGTGTCGAAAGTTAACAAGTTCGCAGCCCCGGAATTTTGCCAGTAAGAGGTTGATTTTTGGTGGCTCCAATGAGAAAAGTGTGCATGCGCCACGGCCTGCCACACCTGGAATGCTTGGCGCTGGAGAACGGTACGTAGCGTTTGGCACTTTTTAGACGCACGAGCCACATAAAACGGTGGTAGCCGGAGTGGGGCCGCTCGTCGGCTCACCTGCATCATTTTAGTGTTATATTTACATCAGCGTTGTTTGGCCAATCAGTCTTTGTAAACAGGTGCCCCTCCGAGGAGACGGCGTCTGTCGCGCTCGGAATGTCCCTGCCGCGTCAATGTTAAGGTACCTGATTCAACAATCGCCCCTTGCGACACCGCATATTTAGATTTACTCCCAACTCAATGGTGTAAAGATGGCCGGACAGGACGAAGCTACGCTTCCGGCGACGCGCCGGACACGCAAGTCCATTGGAGGCGGGCCCACGACGCGCAGAAGTATCGATAAGGAGAATGCGGCGGCCGATGTGAGCGGCGCTGGTGCCGCGACTCGAAAGAAATCCCGGAGCAAAAGCATGGGACCTGGCGGTCTCGATATCCTTAAGACGGGCAACGCCAACCGGAGAGCTGTGTGTTTCTATCCTCCTGCGAAGAACTAGGGGCTCAGTTGCTGACTTTGCGCTAGTCCCTTGCTGTTCCGACCCCTCGATCGATTCTCAAGCCTACAATTCCGCTTATACCAGAAATTCCGTCTTACAAGCCGAAGCACGCCTCAGGAAACAATGGTGCCGGAGGGGAGGCCGGAGGGACTAAGGTTGCCTTACGGACCGAGGAAGAACAGCAAGCGGCTGCGCGGGAACGGGAGGAACGAGAACGGGCCCAGTTAGAGAAGGAGATTAGCGACCGGAGAGAGGCGAGGAGGAAGTCACTCGCGAACCGCCGCGTTTCCTTTGCGGCCGAGGCGACGCTCCATACTTTCCACGAGATCGAGTTCATGCAGGACTCGACCACCTCTAGCGATTCGACGCGCCGAGCGTCTTCGATTGCCGAACAGTCCCAGCAACATCCTAACTCGGACCCGCCTTCGACGCCACCCCGTAATGACCAGGATCACGCGGCCGAGTCCCCATCACACCAGAGAGACGTCTATCAGAGGAACCGCCGACGGAGCTCTGCCGCGTCATCAATGTATGGGAGCGACGATGCCGACAGCGTTGCAGAGGTCCAAACAGAGGAGCTGACAGGCTCGGACGACTCTGACGTGGACGGGACCGAGATGACAGTCGAAGCCGAAGAGATGACGTCGTCATCATTTGCATCGGCAGCATCACCTCGGTCTGCGTATAGCCCCGGTTCCACTGGAAGTCTAGACGAGAACTTGCGGCTGGCAGCTCGAATGGCTGTCACTCAGAGCCTCGACGAGGATGAGGAAGTAATTGCCGGCTTCGCTGGATGGGGGAGAAAGAATCCTTCGCAGGAAAACATCGCTCAAACAGCCAACACGGAAGCCCGCACGCCAGACCGCAGTGTCAATGCTGGGGAGCAAGGGTCAGACATGGAAATGGAGACGGAAATGGACATGGACATGGACATGGAGATGACCAACGCAATTGGGGGGATTCTGCGCGGTCAAAGTGCGTCGCCCGACAAGGAAGACGAGATAAACGAAGATCTGTCCATGGACATAGCTTCGGCATTGGGGGGAATACTTTCCAAGGCGAAGGCATTTCTGCGCCGCAAGTCAGTCGTGCCCAGCCCCCGGTCGGAGGCAGGAGAGTTTGGAGAGCAGACCATGGACTTCACGACGATAATGGGAGGCACCGAACACGGCGAAGGCCCAGATGGCAGTCGCGTCGACATGGACGACAACGAAGACATGTCCATGGAATTTACTACCGCGGTTGGAGGGGTCCTATTGGGTGGCTTCTCTAAGAACGATACTCGAAATGCCTGGCGGCAAACAATGGCGCCAGAAGATGGGAACGAGGAAACCGGGATGATGGACATGACAACGGCTGTTGGTCGGATCCTGCCAGCGGAATCGGAGGTGGACCAAGATGAAGACCAAACGATGGGGATGGACATGACGGTGGCCGTGGGAGGCATCATTAAATCAGCGACCGGGCCAGAGGCGCGTTCCGCTGCGAGGAAGGTCATGGAGCAAGAAGCCGACGAGCCTGACTCCACGACCACTGCCAGAATTACACACTCCCCGAACCGACAAGGGCCCACTGTTCCGGACGAGAATGCTGACCCTGCGTTCTCACCGTTCCGAGGCAAGGGGCTCCGTCGCACGCCGCCTCGCGAACTGTCACCGGTTGCGCGGTCGCCAGCACAACCCAGTAGTTCCCCGATGAGGCAGACTCCGTCTCCCGTGAGAACCACGGCACAAGCGCAGCGAAGCCCTACGAGAACGCCGCCATCGTTGGCTAGCCGCTCCAGTTCACCCATACGCAATCTCTCTTCCCCGACTAAGGGCACACCCCGCTCAGCTGCCAAATCAAGGCTCTTCCTTCAAGATCCCAGCACTGGGGTCAGCACCCCTCGGGTCGTCTTGACGCCACAGGGCCGACGGCTATCCGGAGTTGGTGCTGACCGGCCCGGCCTGGGCTCCCCGCGGGTTGCAGAGATCTTCGACCGCAGAGAATCTATCGGAGAAGCGGCTACAGACTTTGTGCCGAGCTTGCCAGTCGCCTCTCGCCGGAATGTTGCTTTTGCAGACCCACGGGATCTGGAGGCTGAAATTGAGAGAGAGCGCCGGGAGGAACAGGAGAATGAAGGTCGTGAGGGGACTCTCAATCTAAAGGAGATGATCCAAGGACTTAGCCCCAAGAAAACCCCGTTCCGAGGGCGGAAGAGCCTCCACGTTGGCAGCGCAGTGGGCCTCCTCGGGAAGAGGCCTGCAGAGCTTGACGACGATGAGGAGTCGGAGGAAATGGACGGTGTCAAGCGACTCAAGGGGCACCAGGGGAGTCCCGTCAAAAACATCCGACTGCAGTCGCCGCCCTCCAAAGCCGACACGACTACCGGGAGGAAGACAAGGCCCAGCATCAGATCCATGCAAGCACCGGATACGCGCGATGCCACGCCCACTGTTGCAAGCTCGCCACAGAGAGCGACGACGCCCGCGAGTCAAGGCCGGTCAAGGAACACGCTGGATTATGAGCATGCCATCCCCATGGATGATGCGGACGGGCAACCCGAAGATCACGGAGACCGCATACATCTACAAGATTTCCTGAACATGACTAGTATCCGCTTCATGGAGTTGACAACGACCAAGAGGAGACATACGGTCGTTCCAAGCGTGCCCAGAGGCAGCACAGCCGCTGATAACAAGGATGACCTGTCTCTTGAGAGATGCGTGGTCGCTGGTGCATGCACGGTGCCCATGTTGGAGTTGTATCAACATGTAAGTAAATCTCCTCCAGATTCCGCAGCAGCCAAATGCTAACCTCCACCAGTCTTGTCGCGAGCTTAAAAAGTATATCTCTGAAGGGCGTCGCATTGTCCGTGAGATCGAGACCGAGACCTTCGAAGAGAACCCGCCGCTCTTCAAGGAGTACATGACGGCTTCGCCCGAGTTCAAGGTTCTCATGGACAATCAGTTCAAGAATGTCAAGACTCACGCGAGACTGCTCAGCAAGGCCATGTGGTACGAGTGGCGGATGAAGCTGCAGGACGGGCTCAAAGAGGGTCTTCTGAAGACAGCGGAAGGCATGGAGAATGACGACAGGTTGCTGGCGAAGCAGCAGGAACTTCTAGTGTCAGTCCTCCCCGGTATGGTCAAGCGCCTCGAGGCACTTGAACGGGAGCGCGAGGATCTGGAAACTGTCGCGGAAGAGCTTGCCGATTGCGACCCGAAGGATCTTGAAGATGCGAGAGATGAGCTCGTGGCCGTGGATAAGAGCATTGCCGAGAAGGCCAGGAAGCTGGAAGAACTCCGCAGAGAGCTCGAGGAGTCCGCCGAAGAAGTTGACAGCCTCGCGCAGCAAAAGCAGCGTTATTGGGAGGAGATCAAACAAGCCGACAAGATCCGCGAGGAATGCCGGGGTTGGTCATCGGCGGAAATCAACAAGTTGAAGGGTGAGCAGGGAACCACACTACAATCGACTACTAGAGGTAGACATTATTGTGCTAACACTGCGCAGCTCAAACCGATGCGATTGAGAAGCAATACGGCTGGGCTATCTCGTCCATCTCAGACACGACCATTACAATGCGCTACAAGCGCGAGATTGAACTCGTCTTCGACGTCAGATCTCTCCAGCAAGCACAGCGGCAACAACACCAACAGCGAAACACATCCATCGACGTGCGATACGTTGCCGAAACACCGTGTCACTGCTCCCCAGAGAAGGAATTCTTCCTGCGTCACATCCGCGAACATATTCGCTCCCACGCCAAGTCGGCTACCCGGCCCAGCCGCTTGCTGAGGATGGTCAGCTCGGCGTGGGACAAAGCCGAGGCCGTGACCGAGCACATCCGGCGGCTGAACCTGTCCTTCCCCAGCTCTGTTGCATTCGCATCGGATGATGGTAACTCCGTCCTCGTCACGGCATCGGTGCTGCTGGTGCCGTTGCAGACCAGACTTGAGGTCATTCTGAACTTGAGTGCCAAGAACGGTGGCGGGGATGATGATGATGATGATGATGGGCTAGAGGTTGTTGTCACGCCCGAGGCGAAGGTTGTGTATGGTGAGCAGTTCAACACGGTCAAGACCAGGGAGCTGTTGGCGGGGAGGATTGGAGGTGTTGTGGGCAAGGACGGGGAGAAGAAGATGGCCTGGGATGAGGCTGTTCTCGAGTTGTATGGGCGGTTGCTCGCGAAGGGGAAGCAACGGCAGTGATGATTAAATAAGTGTAGCTTGTCAGGCATGGCATCGTCGATGTACCGACTGCCGGTTTAGTTACCTGTTATTGTGCTTAGGTTGGTTGGGTTTTGCATGGGCGGATCTCGGGTCGGGTAGCGAGGGCTTGGATCTCGACTTTGACGGCGACTAGGTTGGAACCGCAGTATATATACCCCGTCAGGAGTTGACTTGTATCATCATGATTGGAGGTTTTACTCTGTTTTCTCTCTATCCTGTTCCATTCTACCGTCCTGATGCGGTTGCGGTTTTCCTGGTGGGTCATGATGTTTCTTGGCGGCTCTGCGTTGCCCTGGCAACCACCTCAACCTCACCTCTTGACCTCACCTCTTGACGTCGTGGGCCGAAGGTCGGTTGCAGAGAGCAAAGTCGCCATAATTGGTCTTGAAGCAATTGAATGAGGCATTTAGATCACAGATACTTCAATTTTACGGCACTACTTGGCGAGTTTTCCATCCAGTGGTCGCCTGTCGCAATTGTTCGCCCGCTTGAAGCTGATGCTGCCACCAGCTCAATTCTGTGAACTTCCCTCCATGATTTGAGCGTCCAAGGACTCCGTATCCAAGTATACAGCTGACCAGAGAGTCTATTTCATGTAGGACAGTCGCGAGACCCAAAATTCCTTGAATATTGAGGAGCCAGCTCATGTTTATGGCGATTCTCCCGCCAATGCCAAGACTCTGCCCCCTGAATCGTCCAAGTCGGTCAACAATACTCTGCCGGATGGAGTGCTCGTCCCACAGAATGTTCCCACGGAAAGAGACGAAGAAATACAAGCTTTCTGTGCCGTTTGCACTGCTGTAGACGTCTGACTGAAGCCATGTCTGTAAATCTGTCGGAGAAGCGTGTTACCCCTGGCATCGAGAAAGGAAGCCCAACCTGTTTGGTTCCTCAAATACATAAGCAGGCCATTTGACATGATTCTCGGTCGGTGCGATGGTTCAAGGACATTCATTAAGGAATTGCCAGATGGATGTTCTTGCTTGTCACGGCGCATTCTAAGTCTCCGGTCACGGGCGACACGTTTGGGGGCAGAGCTGGTTGACTGTATTTACGTCGAAACCATGGCCAGAACCAGGGCTTGAATACTGTTGTCTTTGAAGATACATGAGACTGTAATTCTAATGTGTTTAAGCTCTATATCTGATTTCCAAGTGCTTTCGGCGGACGAGGACGATGCGTCGGGCAAGACTTGACCTCGTCGCGTGCCATGGTCTTGACATTTTCGACGGGAGACCTGAGAACAATCACAGCACAATTTCTTTGCAGCGTAGTGGGATTTTGCTGTGTCTATCTCTATCTTTACCGCACTGACAGCATGTTGATTGCAAAGACTACGGGCGGTAAGGTATCTAAGAAAGTCAGACCAAGAAACGTCTCTGGTCCTTCGGACCGTTGCCAGGCCGCGGCGTCGCCAGCAGCAGGGTAAGAAGAGAGGATGAATAGAAAACGTAGGCCGTGGACACTAGCTAGCAAGACAGAAATATATCAATATCCTCCCTGTACTCCCAGCCTACCTGTTTGTAGTGACGGAAGGTGAAAACACCAAAGGCTCGGATGAACACCAAGGTTCGGATGGGTAGCACACCGCCCGCGGTCTCTGAACAGGGTCGGTATTCCATCTGAAGGTTGCCATGTGAGTCAGAACACGCTGATAAGTGGGATAAGGTGCCTTCCTGCTGTGCGAAAAAAAAAAAAAAATAAACACGCTCCTATTGTGGCACGCATGAATAGAGCGTGAATAGGCGCGTTGTTCATTCTGCCCATCACATTCGCTTTCGAAGCTTTTTTGGGAGCAGGTATAAATTCCATCCCACACTTCCTCTCCCTCCCAAAACTTCTTCCTTCTTTCATCGCGTCAGAATTCAAGTCTTCAAGTCTTCGAGTCTCACAACAATCTTCCGACATAGCAAGCTTTCGTGGCACGCATGCTCAAGAACGATTGTTTTTTCTACGAAGAAACGAGACTTTTCTCGACGAGTAAGTAATATATCCTGCGCTTCCTTTTCCTGTTTTGCCTGATTCCATCCATCGTGGCATTTTCTGGCCTTCATCCTTCGTGGCGATCAGTCAAGTCATCCATCTTGGTCAGTTGGTCAGCCTCATCGCACATTCCTGTCATCGCCGCGGTTATTCTGGGCTTGTTCTCTTTTTTCTCTTTTTTTTTCTCTGTCAGTTTCCGTCCATCGTGGCATTTTCTGTGCTTTATCCCCCGTTTTGATCGGCCATCTTGGTCTGTCAACCGACTTCACCGCAGATTGCTGACATCGCCGCCGTTTGGCTTACAGAAATGAATTCGTCGACGCACTCTCTCGCCCTCGTGGCGCTCTTCTTCATCGTTCTCGCCGTCGCCGGCGACGCGGTTTCGGCCGCGCTCGCCAACGGCTTTGAGATGATGAGAGAGCTCATCGAGGATGGACGGACCGTTGTCAGCGGCGTCCAACTTATTTTCATCAGTGAGTGACACCCCCTTCCCTCATCCCCAAGTGAGACAAAGAGAACGACAAAAAAAGGAAAATGCCAGAAAAAGTGACCAAATCACTAACTTTAGCCCGCCAGCCCTGTCCGTCGCCAGCTTGCTGGCACCCGCCCTCGTCTCTTTCTGGGGAAGCCTCCCCACGGTCGCCTCCAGGGTCCGCAAGGTTCTGGAGTCCTCAATTGCAGGAACCGTCCGCCGGGCCAGTCTGGCTCGCGCGGCGGCCGTCACCGGTGCCTGGGGGTACATCAACGCCCTCAAGGCTACAACGCTCGCTGACATCATCTCGATGATGTTCAGCCGTCTCGTGCTCCCTCTCCTGCTTCCGGCTGCCCGTCTGTTCGTTCCGGCTATTCTCAGGAAGTATTTCCTGTGGAGAAACTGGGCTGTGGACCGCGCCGAAGACTTCGCGGACCTGGTCTGCGTCGACAGGGAGTTGCAGGCCGAACGGCGCCGCGTCCTCAAGGCGCAGGAGCTTGCGTTGGCCGGGCAATTGGGCAGGCTGGACCAGCTCAACAAGGAGGTCGCCAAGGCATTCCGGAAAGCTGCCGACGCCTTGCAGCAGGGCACCCGCTCTGTTGGTTGGTCAAGCGGGAAGTACGAGAACCTTCGGCCGGCCCCGTTTGCTGGCCCAGTTGCTGCCGTGGTCCCCGAGGATGGGCCCGTCCCAAGACTCGCTGTCTGGAATCGCCTGCGCAACCGGACCGACCTCCACGTCTACTGGATCGACTTCGCCATCGCGCGCCACGAGGCCGCGATGGCCAAGAACAAGGACAGCATCGCTGCCCTTGAGGTTCAGCTAGCGTCTCGGTCAAAGGAGCTCACGGCGATCGAAGACCAAATCTCCGACTGCCGCCTCGAGGCGATGTTGGCGATGCGGAAGAGGGCACCCCGTGCCCAGGACCGCGTCGTCACCCGCTTCGCCCGCATCGGAGAAGAGTCGACTCGCCCATCGGGAGACGAGAGACCCGTTTCTGCGCACGAGAGGATCCAAGCCGCGACGCGTCGCGAGCTGGCCGAGCGCCAAAGGAATCCCCGTGTTCGCACCACCACCACCACCACCACCACCACAACCAGGATCACCGGATCCTCCACACCGTCGGTTGTCACTCCACCCGCCGACGTTTCCGCCACCTCCATCCTCATCCCCACCGCAACCACGCCCGCCGAGCCTACCCCCTCGGCAGTGGTTCCTTACCTTCCCCCTCCCTCCTCGCCGACCCCCGAGGAGATTCTTACCATCGCCGCGGCTACGCCGCTTCCCCGCACCGCGGAGGAGGACGCCATCGAGAAGGCGTTCGAGTCGGTCGCCCAGGGTCGCGCATAGAATGCGCAGATCCTCGCCGAGCACGAGCACATTCTCGCCCTCATCCGCAGCGAGCAAGCCGAATGGACCGCCGAAGTCGCCGCCGAACGGGAGGCGCGACGGGTCCAGCACGAGGAAGAGCAGCACGAACGCTGGCTCAAGAAGCGGTACTACCGCCAACTCGTTGCCGCCAAAGCCGCCGGCAATCAGAACTTCCCGTCGTTCCACGACTGGTGCGCCGACCGGATGCGGGCCGAGTCGCAGCTGCGTGCTCGCGCCGAGTTCGAGCGGCGTACTAAGGAGGAGCTTCGCGTCGCCACCGCGACCCGCACATCCGAGGAGGCCACGCTCGCCGCGGCAATTGCCGAGGAGAGCCGGCTGAGGGCTGCCTGGGAAGCGGCCCGCGAAGCTCGCATGGCCCAGGAGGCGCGCGTCGAGTCCGCACTTGCGGAGGAGACCCGTCTCAGGGGTCTGCTGAACGAGTCGGAGGAAGCCGACAATGACACGGCCGCCCTGCCCGAGCCATCTTCGATGGGGAGGGCAACGTCGGCCGACGTCATTGTCACGGAAGTCGTCGCGGACCAGGTGAAGACGGTGCCAGTGGTGGTGCCCGTCGACGAACCGGCCGCGCACGCCCACGGAGCCAATGATGCCCAGCCATCTGTGATGGGGAAGGCGGAGGCTCATCAGGAAGAACCGTCGACGACGTCGACGCCGCGACCCGGCTCCGCGAGGAAATGGGCCAGCCAGATCAAGCCCTTGCGGGCGAAGATCCGGAAGGCGAAGCAAGTACGGTTCGTCATCCCCAAGAAATCCGAGGCTGTTGCATCGCAGCAGCGCGAGGACCGGGGCGATGAAGACGAGGAGGTCGTCGCTCTCACGAGCAACGACGAGCCCGTCATTATTGGTGGCGACATCGCCGATCTCGCCAGTGCGCTTGAGAAGCTGTCGCTAGAGGAGGACGGAGGTCCGGCTTCCGAGTCGGGCAAGCCCTCCCACCAACAGGACGACGTAGACCCTGCTATTATTGAGCAGGGCAAGCCGTCCAACCCGCACGACGTAGGTCTGGCCACTGTGTCAGACAAGCCGTGCCCGGACAACGGAGGTCCGGCTTTCGAGCTGGACAAGCTGTCCCAAGAGTCGATCGCTGAGCCGACCCCTGAGGTGGAGCAGGGCCAGGCCGCGCCCGACTATCCGATCGCCGCCGCCACCGCCACCGCCGAGGATCCTGAGACTTCTCCGGAAGGGGAGGGGGAGGAGGAGGAGGAAGTGGCCGATCTGGATCTGGTTCTCGCTGACGCGGAACCTCTGGCCGCGGAGCCATCGATGCCCGCGCCAAGCGAACTCGTCATCGGCGAGTTCATCATTACCAATGAGCTGCTTGCTGAGCTCGAAGATAGCCTTCCGGAGATCTTCGACGCTGATCTCAACCAGCCGTTCGAGTATACCGGCGCCAACGGAGCCGAGGATGAGCCCATGCTCACCGAGGACGCACCCGCGGCGGACCACGACGGTCCCGCTGACTTGTCAATGGAGGAACTCAAGCTCTCGTACCACGAGTACGAGGAGGAGAGGCCCTCCGCAGCGGTCGACGTCGAGGTCGACATGGAGACTGCCGTCGACCTGCCGGAGCCTGTTGGGGAGCAGGCGGCCGCGCAGGCGGCAGACCTCAATATGGAGTGGGAGAACTCCGGCGCGGGGCACCACTACCAACAAGAGGACGAAGCGGAGGAGCTCCGTGCCCTCGAAGCGCACCTTCTTGCCGCGCTTGCGCAGCAGGAAGATGCCGGGATGCCCGACCGATCTGTTGCCGAGTCCGCATTCGCGGAGGAAGCTCGCGCCAACCCCACTCGCGTGGAGGAGGCCGAAGTACAGTTCGACTGCTTCGAAGGATTCGACTTCGACCCCGTCCTGGGCGAATTTGTCGCCCGAGAACCCGAGGACGCCGGCGGCGACGAAGGCGCGGTCGAGGGGGAGGCCAGCGCTGATGCCGCGCATCAGAGCGCGGGTATCCAACCGGCCGAGCCAGAGCCCGCTCCAGTGTCTGCTGGGGCGGAGGAGGCGGAGCCAACCGGGCCTGCTGCCGCCGCGGGCACCAGCGCCAGCCAGGCGCCGCCACCCATCTTCACTTTTGGCCAGCTGGGCCAACTTCCGACAATCCCGGATGCCGTCCGTCCGGTGACTCAGTTCGTCTTCGGGATGGACTCACCAGCGACCACGGGGAGGGGTTCGCCGACGTCTCAGTTCGGCTTCAGGCCGAGCTCGTCCGCCCCGTCCGACATCCGTCTCCAGTCGTCCGTGCCAGCCAACCCTGCCGAGCGGAAGGTGCTGGTCCCTCGCTCTCGCCTGAGGGGGAGGGTCGCCACCGCCCAAGCCGCGCAGCAGCAGCAGGTCGACGAGACCCCTGCCGGGAGCGCCCAGCGCGAAGGAGAGGAAGATGGAGGAGAAGACCTGGAGCCAGAGTTGACGGAGGAGGACCTGGCATGGATCCAGGCGCAGGAAGAGGAGTGGCTCGCCGAGGAGGAGGCCAAGGGGAAGGGGAAGGCTCCTTGCACCAAGACCAAGGCTCAGTTAAAGGAGGAAGCCCGCGCCAACGCCCGCGCCGAGTTGGCCCTGATCGAGGAAGAGCGGCGGAGGTTTGCTGAAGAATTTCAGCGGACCGTTGAGTCTCGCGAGACTCAGGAAACCCTCTACCGAGAGGCCGAACCGGCCGAACCGGGTTGGTTTGACCCCCGCGCAAATCAAGCGCGGCGCGAAGCTGAGATCGCCCTAGCGATGAGCGCCGCCGCCGAGGAGGCTCGGCGGAAGGCTGCTCAAGCTCCGGCTTTCGAGATGGAGGACGAGGTGTTGTGGGAGGACTCTGACCAAGGTCATTGTTCCCGACGCAGTCACTCTCGGGGGTTTTAAACCTTTATTTTATTTAGCATGTTGACGGCAAAGGCCACTGAGGGGGAAAGGCTCAGTGTGTCCTGAAGCATCATCATATCATCAAGCGCGCATGGCACAAATCTCACAAAACAACCGGAAAAGAAGCAGAGCGACATCTTGCTGGAAGTCATTTGGTATGCGCTATGTTCTGGGACCCGAGCACTCGCCACTCCTTCTCCGGAAGGAGGCTCGTCGGTTCTTGCCAGCCTTACCAACAGTGGGACGCTATGCCTGGGACGAGGAGCAATTCTTACTCTTTCTTCCGAAAGAGGCTTCGCCGTTCTTGCCAGTGATCCCGACGTAATGATCTGGGATGGGGAGACTTCCCACCACTTCTTTCTCCGGAAGGAAGTGGCCTCGCCCATTCTTGCTTGCGTCACATCCAAGCAATCTCTGTCCGACTCTCGCTATTCTCTCCGGTTGACTTCAACTCAAGACCACTCCTCGAAGAAAGGAAAACGCCGGGCACGCAACATTGGAACAACTGGACGCATGACTGGAGGCGGGATGGTAACCCGTCTCTTGCAGCGATTCCGACTCTGTTCGTGTCCCGTGTCTTAGGAGGATAAAACGCCGGGCAACGACACTGGAACAACTGGACGCATGACGGGAGGCGGGATGGCAACCGTCTCTTGCAAGCGACTCCGACTCTGTTCGTCCCCGTGCTGTTTAACTTATCAGGGAATCCAGGGGCTAGGATCAGATCCAACGCACAAACTGACGCGAGCATCATCATTCTTCCTGGGTTAGGGTAGCGGAGGGTGGGCCAGGAAGAAGCGACCGTCTTTTTGTTTTGCGTTCTCAGCAGCACAACTGCTTATCTGAGTCAGTATCTACCGAGGTTTCAACCTCATCCAGCCACTCGTTCCCCTTGTTGGAGTGTTGGCACTGTCGCTCGCCCCGGCAGTCCGCACCGACATCACGCTCGCAGCAACACCGAGGTCCCCGCGCCCAGCAGAGCCGGAACCAGGACCCCGCACCAGCACGCCATCGTCGAAGCCTTCTTCTATCTCGTCGCCCTCGATCTTCTCCCATTCCAGCATCGGGGCCTCGCTCGACAGCCGCGTCTTCAGCCGATCCGCCAGCTTCAGAGGAGACAGAATCCTGAAGTTGCGCACGAACTCCGTTCCCTCGGCACCCCCAAGAAAGCTGTGCAGCGTTGCGTGCGACCAGCGACCCATTGTCGACTTCGGCTTGGTGATCTCGCCGTGATCCTCATCTTTCGGACTTCCCGCAATCGGCGGCGTGAGCGAAGAGGAAAATGTCGGCTCGACAGATCGACGGTGGAGCTGATCCCCGATGAGAAGCCGCCACAGATTCTGGCCGATATTGCACATGTCCTCATACGGGTCCTTGTCGCCAAACCACACGCCTTGCGAGCAGCACGCCCAAGCGATATCATACGCCAGCAGAGACGCCCCTTCCAAGAACAGCGCATAGCCGGACGGATCTTCCTTGGCCAGCGCCGGAAGCGCCTTGTCGATAAACAACGGACGAGGCCGCGGCACATGTCTCTGCTCCCCATCATCCGCCACAGGCGCGAGTTGCGACGCCAGCGACCCCGGGAAAGGCACTGCTCCATGCTTGTACGATGACGCAAGCGAGAAGATCGTCGGTCGCGGGTAGTCGGCATGGGGATTTGTGATCTCTGCGGGCAACCGAATGCCCAGATAATGCGAGGCCAGCACCAGAATATGAGCAATGTGCGCAAAGGACGTCGAAATCACCTCCGGCGACAAACCTGCCAGGATCCGTCAGTTCTCAAGAACCAAACAAACAATCTCGTCTTCGCCTCCAGCAGCAGCAGCAGCAGCAAGTCACCGCAGAAAAAAGAGAACACTTACTGTTCATGGCGTGAAGGTCAAAAATCTCAACCCCGCCGATCTCATACCGCTTGACGCTGCCCTTCCTGAGTTGACGAAGACCATACAACCTGGCGGATCCCTCGCACAAGAAAGCCCTGGTGTCAGCCATGCTGTCGGCGCTGCGATTCCACTTGTACTTCAGTCTCTGCGTGGATCGCTGAGCCTCGTCCAACTGCCTGTTCCATCGAACCCGAGTACCAGCCGAGACCGACGCCAGATCCGATCTCTTCCGAGCCATGGCATCCTTCTTCGCCGCAATCTCCTGCTGCGCCGCCTGAATCTCCTGCCTTAACCGGTCGGCCTGCGCAATGATCTGGCTCGTTCGGTCTACGGCAGCCGCCTCTTCAGCTCTCAGCCAGTCGAAATGGACCCTCGACTCGGCCTTCTGATCCTGAGCTACTTTCTCCTGACTTGCCAAGGCGGCTTCCACCCGGCGCTCTGCATCCTCATTCTCGAGCAGCGCTCGGGCATACTCGACTCGGCTCCCATACAGGACGTTCCTCGCATCCATTGGACAAAGGAACGGCAGTCTCTCCTCGTGGTGCGGACGACGGCAAATGCTGCAGTCCATCCAGTCCATCCCGGCTTCGTCGCTTTGTTTATCACTGAACTCTCGCTCGGCTCTAACTCTTGTGCCGTTGCACTCTGCGATGTTCGGGCAAGGGGACAAAAGATGGCAGCGCGCAGACCAGAAGCGTTCCTTAAATACCTTCAACTGGTGGCGCAGGCTCGCAGTACCGTTGTGGCGCAATCCACAATCATCGGGCGAAAACTATCTTCGGCTTCCAAAAACGAGACAGAACTGGTCTGATAAACGAAGAGACCAGTCGGGGCGTGGAAGCTTGAAGAACTACCGCAGTAGGGTGACTTCAGACAGATTGTCGATGTCACCTGAATCGAAGTCTCACATGGACAAGAGGTAGGTGGTCCACCCAGGGATCTTATCGCTCCCGCGTCATGACCTTGGCACCTTGCTAACTTATCGCGCTGCAGCCTGACAACCCCGGATCCCAAACCCTTGCTTTCTTGGCGAACAAGCTCACCAATCAAGAATCCTTTGTCATCGGCACTCGGTCGATCATCCCCCGCGAACCCTCCGGCTCTTCTCATTCGCGACGCGCTCACTTAAAAAGCCGTTGCCAACTCATCACCGTCTGCACAAAAGGCAGCTAAACACCAATCAGCCATAAGAACGGGCGTGGGATTGATCTAGAACCTCGAGAGCCTCTTGAGCATTCGCCAGTCACGAAAGCGGGGTCAGAAAGTGCAATTCTGTCTTGTCAGGCTCAAAACCAAGAGCACTCCTCCTCCTCTCGGACTTGGGACAAATTACTGGAACACAGCTTCCATCTCGGTTAGTGTCATCGCCGGCTCGATTTGCTAAACAACTTGAAAGAAAAAAGCACCGCGTTGCAGTCTAATGGCCAGTACGTCGCCTAACTCATCTTCCTCCTCAAAGACATCCGGCAACGCCTCGCCAGCGAAGACACCCGAATCTCCCATTCTTCCAGCTCTACAGGCAGAGGCGACCCAAAATAGTCCTTTGAAACCTGTGCTGTCCGACGTGATGGATGCTCAAAACACAAACACCAAGCCTCAGGGCGGTCGTGCCCAGGTCAAGACGCCAGAACCGCGCCACTCCACAGAGCGCATGAACAACCAAAAGGATGCCGCTGAGAGATCTCCCAGCACCCCTGGACATTTGGCGCCGTTTGACTGGGACGAATTTGAGGCTCGCTATGAAGAGGCTCTTGCCGACGCTGATCGCAACGAGCAGGAGCTTCTCAAAGAGTTTGAAGAGCTTGTCAAGGTGAGTTTGATATCTCTTGAGGTTGGCCTCCCGCCTGCAACCCTGAGCTGACCCCGTCGTAGTTCTTCAACGTCTGGGCATCTGCTGCCTCGGTCCGTGACACCGAGCGCGGAGTGAAACGTCTCCAGACCAGAGAGCGATACGTCAAGATCGCTGAACAGAGCTTGTCACAAAAGAAGAAACACCGTGAGTCTATGCCCTCTCTCACCTACCTATGGCTCCAAGCTCTCCTAGCTAACTCACAACTACTAGTCACTGAGGTTGTTCGCGCTTTTCAGAGCGCCCTGGCACTCCTAAGCCAGTCCTAGCCTCATCCACACAAAAGGACGGCTGGCCTTGATGACAGAAGCATCTCACATGAACCTTCTCTCCGGCGGAACCTGTCATCAAGAGCTTTCATCATAGCCAAGGGCACATATTTCGCACGGTTGGCGCCACATATCATTGCTGGCGGCAAACTCTCTCTCTAGCAGACTCCATGGGCTGAGGCGCTGGGCTCCCGTCTCTGAACTCTACAGCGAAAATCAACGCTCTCTTCCAGACCATTCTGAGCCCAGCTTGCCAGCCTCGCCCACCAGGAAGAACAGGTTGCCAGCCATCTCTTCCGCAACCCAACCTGCGCCCAACACCGGGCCTCTGAAAAACGCACTTCTCCCACAAACTCTACCACACCACAAACAAAACAAAAACAAACATCACAAACAAGAATCGACAAAAAGAAAAAAGAAATAAAACCAGTCCCATCTCGAAACGACCCGTCTCATCTCAGCAGCGACATCCCCATCTTCACTTAGGTCTTCACTTACACGAAACACGTGACTCGACCAGGGAGGCCCAACTTCGGTCACTCTCAATCCGAACTCCGAAATTTTGGCCGCCAATCAACTAAACCCAATAACGGTCAACTACTCTCGCGCCGAGATGGCGGGCATAATCAGAGTGCCTCAAATCAGCCAGGTTCGTCTTCACCAAGAATCTCTCTGGGATCGGAGCAAGCTAACTCATGAATCCAGGCTGATATGGCTGCATTTCATGAAGCGCACTTCTCGCAGCTTGCGACAGATCACTTCCAAACCCACTTCCTCCGACCTGAGCATCCGCCAGCAGAAAGCACTACCCATAATGCGGCCGATGACGAAGAATACTACGAAGAGGAGGAGGATGAACTCGGCTACTATCCCGACGGCGTCAAGCGAACCCTCACCGACGAACAAATCGCCATTTTCAGACACTCAGAGCTCGAAGCTCTCCGTCGCGCAAGAGAATCTTCTAACATCAAGGAAACCACAACTACAATTTCCGAGGAAGATGCGGCGCATAACTTGTCTGAAGGCGAAGTCTCATCTTCGACGCCGTCCGCCACCGCAAAGAAATCCAAAAAGCGGAAGCGCGGCAAGACCAAGAACAAAAAGAAGAACGCCCCCATGGGTGAGCCGATTGATCTGCGCAAGCGCACCTGGGACGTGGTAGACAAGGGCCTGGCCACTCTCGACTACGACGACGAAAACAACGAGTCCGTCGAGACCAGCGCGATCCAGCGACGTCGCATCTCTTACGACGACTGAGGACAACGGAGGGCATCCATCACAATGACACAACTCATTACAGCACTGCTCAAAAAAACATCAAGCCCTCCTCCTCACCGGTCCCCACCTCTCACCGGGACTTCCAGAACACCCCAATCTCACTGGCCACACCACCAAGGCCACTTTGGGAGTCCCGCCGAGGACCTTCACGCGCTGGACCGCCGCCCTTGATTCTCCAGCCCCAAAACATCCAAAACATGAAGACCAGCACGATCCAGCAACGTCGCATCTCTTACGACAAAGGGAACAACGGAGGCATACATCACGTGACAGACAACACATACAACACAACTCAAACCTGAAGCCCTCCTTCTCAGAGTCCTCACCTCTCAGCGGGACTCCCAGGTAACCCACCTGACCGGCCACAACCAAAGTCACTTTGGGAGTCCCGCCGAGGACAACGGAGGCACACGTCACATGACACAACACATAAAAGCACTACTCAAACAGCAAGCCCTCCTCGCTCCTCACCGGGACTCCCAGCCACTCAGTCTGACCGGCCACCACCAAGATCACTTTGGGAGTCCCGAGGCGCCTTCCCTCGCTGTATCGTCGCCCTTGGTCTTCAACGCAGAACATGAAACACGCAACACAAAAGCATAAAATGTGAGTCCCTCACTTCCCATCCGTCACGGACAGCCCTTGCAATACCATGATGAGATCTTTTCGTATCGTCATCCTTAGCCGGAACTCTGGCTGGAGGGTTGGCACTGGGCAACCTTAACAGGAAGTTTTGTTGCCGCCCTCCTTCGAGCCGGAACATGTCGAGTTAATCTTCTCTCTGACAAACATCACTCGCACTTCTTCTTCGCGGCATGGCATGGTACTACGGACGGCGCACTAACTTGTCTCCCAGGCTTTGTACACACAAACACACAAAATGGTAGACAGAATGAAGATGGTGTTGAAGAGAGGTTTTTGGTTGAAGGATGACTTGGGGAGAGGACTGGTTAGAGTGAAAGGAGGAATGAAAGGAAGGGGTAGACGTCATAAACTGACGTCTAGGATGGAAGGAGAAGGTCGTCATAAAGTGACGCATGGATGGAAGGAGAAGGTCGTCATAAATCGACGGCGGTGGAAGAGAAGGTCATAAACTGACCAGGAAATGGAATGAACGCCGTCATAAATTGACGACTGGGCAACAAGGAGATCATGTATGGGCGTGGCGGCCGGGTAAGCGGGTGGGAGTGCCGCCGGAGGATGGGGGTGTGTCGCCAGGTGACGGATGGATGGAGGTATGGTGTGGCTGGTGACCGGCCGGGTAAGCGGGTGGGGGTGCCGGTCGAGGATGGAGGGTCGTCATAAAGTGACGGACGGATGGTGGCGTGGAAGATGACGGGCTGGGTAGGAGATGGAAGCATGGCAATTGTCTCTATGGGGGGGAAGCGTGGGCAACGGGAAACGTGGCAATCTGGGGTGGGGGAGAGACGGGTTGGTACGCTGCATTCTCTCGAAACGGGATGTCTTGAGGTCTTGCGGAAGGCATGGCAGGCCACCGGCCCTGATGGCAACAGCATGCCCGGCACACTGGGCCTACTAACGGCAGGCAACATGCGCACCAACGTCGGCCGGCCCTCGATGCAGCCTGCTGCGGTGTTGGGGCCATTCAACAGATGCCCGCACATCGACACCATCGACACCATTCGGCACCCCACCAGCAAGGTCGCTACGCGACTGTAAGTAACCCCGACATGACCCATCCAGGTGCGAACATCATGCTAACCATGAAGTACCGGCAGGCATCTGTATATGGCTTCCGACACAGGCTCCATCGAAGCTCGGCCGGTGCGCATCGTTTGCCTGCCCGCCGGGGTTAGTAGCCTCAGTGTGCCCGGCATCGCTGGTCATTCAGGGACCGAAGTGAGCTCTGCCATTGCCGTAACCGCAGACCTTCGAGACATTCCAAAAGTTTCGAGAGATGTAGCGTACCATGGGGGGAGAGAGGGAAAGGGGGCCTGGATCTGAGAGATCACCACAGAGCGGGGAAATACAATGGGAATGGGGCTGGGGACAGCACGCGTGCTATGATTGATGCCTTGCTCGTGATGTGACTGTTGATGCTAATAAGTGCCTTGCCCTGCCTGGGATTGTGACATGCTATGATGCTGAGCAGCCAGCAACAATAAAGATGATTGCTACTTGGCCTTGACTACTCCTGCTTCTACAACGGGAGGTGGGTTCCTCTGGATTGGAAGCATCCGACGCGCCGCAGAGAACATCGCAGCGGATTGCCACTTAAACCGGGGAGACTGGGAGGAGGAGATACAACGAACCACGAGTGAAGGTGGGCAGCATTAGTGTATGATTTGAATCTTCATTCAAGGCAGGAGGGCGCAGGGCTCAACGAGCAAAGCTCCCAAGAGGTATTTCTCTATAACTAACAGACAGCCACGCCACGCTAGTCTACAATGGCCGCTTGACAAGGACTCGGGAAAAGAAAGCCCCATCCTAGGTCAGTTGAAAAGACATGCCACCCTTCCTCGCCTAAAAGAACCCCCCTCCCCGATCTAGAACTTGTACACCTGCTCTGGGGTGTACCCGAGCTCCTTCAGAATGCCCTTCAGCTCGCCCTGGTCCTTGGGGCTCTTCTTGTTGCCCGAGATGGACTCCATCATGCCGGGGGGCCCGCACACAAACACCTTGATGTTCTCGTCCTTGGGCTCCGGGAGGACGGTCTTGAGCAGGTCCTTGTTGATGTAGCCCTTGGCGCCGGTCCACTGCTGGGGCGGGTTGTCGAGCACGTAGAAGGCGCGGAACCGGCGCGGGTAGTGGTTCTCGAGCGTGGCCAGCTCGTTCTTGAGCAGGATGTCGTCCTCGCTCACGTTGCCGAAGACGAGCGTCACCTTCGTCTGGTCGTCCGGGTTGTTGAAGATGGCGCGGCACAGCTGGAACATGGGCGTGATACCCGTGCCGCCCGCGATCAGCGCAATGTGCCGGTGCTTGTTGGCCGACCAGGCGTACTTGGGGATCGGGCCCTTGACGTCCAGCCGCTGGCCGGGCACCATGTCGTGCAGGTGCGTGCTCATCGGGCCGTTGGGGTACTTCTTGACCAGCAGGTCCAGGTAGCCCTTGGTGTCCTCGTCGCTGATGGGCGTATAGGGGCGGATGACGGGCTTGTCGCCCTCGTTGGGGGTGAACTTGGTCAGGATCGCGCTGGCCACCTGCAGGCCCGAGACCATGTCGTCGTCGGGCAGCCGGAAGCGGAACCGCTTCGAGTTGTGATTGACGATCTCGACCTCCTCGAGCTTCAGGCTGACCCAGCCCTGGTCGCCGCCCGTGAGCGCCTTCTTGTTGACCTCGCCGAGGGGCAGCTTGTCCGTCGCCGCGCTCGCCGCGCTCGACGCCTCCTTCACCTTCTCCTCGGCCTTCTTGGCCGCCGGCGTGCCCCCGAAGAAGTAGTAGCCGGCGCCGGCCAGCGCAGCGGCAGCGGCCCCGTAGAGCAGCGTGTTGTTGTTGTTGTTGTTGCCCTTCTTGGGGTCGGCCGACGGTCCCTCAGTGGCATAGCAGCGGACCTGGAATTGCTTGTTGCGGCAGAGTGTCAGCCGCGACTGCAACTACTAGTACCTACATACCAATTGGGTTCCCGTCTTCCAGATCCCCGGGACGTGGAGGGGGTAATGAATAATTGATAAGAAAAAGAAGAAGAAGTAAAACCTACCCGCTTGAGGGGCGCGGCGGCCCGGAAAGCTGTCCGGCTGGCGACAAACAAGCTCATTGTGCTGATTTGATCGGTATCCCGAGGTATGGTGAAGAGTTACTAGCAGTTGCCGGTCAATGAAGGTGAATTGGAGCGAGCGAATGAGGGGATTGCGATCCGGGAGATGGTACGATTTGTAAACACCCCGGAACTCCGAGACAATCGAAATCGGATTGCCGCGGCGGGTACGATTGCCTTTCGCGTGCGCTTCAGGTTTGCGACCGGTTCGGGTTCGGGCGGTTTACGTCATTTGGGTCCACTAGCAGCACCCTGTTCACGGGCAAGAGCAAGCCTTATGGGCTGTCAAGTATCAACATCCTTTCCCTTCATCTAGGTATTTTAACTTCAGCTCTCAGAGCCTTTGCAGGCAAGAGAGATTAAGTTATGCTGAGAAAACTAAGGTCCTCGACGGTTGAGAAGCAGACCTGAGTATGTGGATAGGACATTCATGTCGCCACTCCGTGGCCGAGATCATGAGATGAATCATCCGTATATGTTTGACATGGATTTCTTTACTCAGACATAAGAGGACAGACTGGGCTGCACTCACGGATAACATGTCGACTGCATAGTAAGCTCTTTTTGGGAGTTCCTACTGCTTGCCGTCTGAACCCGCCGGAGAGAATCAAAGCATGAGATCTTCGACAACTTGAAGTAACAAGCGATCCGTCCCAGGCCCGTTGTCTCTGCACCCACAGAGCTTCTTAACATGTGCAGTTATGCCCTCACGAGGCAGAACAGGATGCTTCGTATTATGCAAACGCAGAAACGGAGCTGGCATTTCCATTATCATGATCCATGAGTATCAAATCCATACATACAAGAAACACAGACAGACAGATACGCTTTCTTTTACCACCACCGCACCGGCGTGGATAGGTATCGGTACTTGTACATGACTCCCTTGAACCGCTGAACCACCCAAAAGTCACCCCGCGCGGGTCGTATTGTAGAACCCGCCGATCCCCTTGTTTGTATTGCAAAATGGAATGCCTCGAGACGCATATGCCCTCCCCACCCTCCGACGCCGCACGCCTTCCGCCGGACCTCCACAAAAAGCTTCAGTTGTCCCCTCTCCTGGGGATATTTGTATATATCACCTAGACTCCCGCTTCTTCGGCAACCCTGAGCCCGCCCCAGACGTCTCCAGCCTCGCATCGGGCAGCGTCTCCAGCGCCCCGCCTGCTGCCTCGCCCCTTTTCGTAGTCGTCAATGTATCCTGGCTCGCCCTCCTGGACCCGAAGCCTTGGTGAATGGCCAGCGTCGGGGTGTTGGCCTGGCTGCCGCCACGCTGGCCGTGATAGTGGACGACCTGCGGCGGGGGCTGCCCCGCCTGCGTGCCTAGGAGATGCTGCGGGTACGGATCGAGGTCCTTGCTGGATGTGGAAAAGGTGGAGACGATTGGTTGGTGGTAGCCGTTGGTGGTTGTGGATGTCGACGCCGTGTTGTTTGTCGCGGCGGACGAGCCGCTTGCTGTGGTGACGGCGGGAGAATGTGGCTGCTGCTGCTGCTGCTGCTGCTGCTGATGCTGCTGCGCGGCCGACGAGTGCTCCGCCTGGGTGGGCGTGCCGACGTCGTTGGTGCCGGGGCTGGCGGGACTGCCGTCGCCCGCGTGGAGGTGGCCGGTCAGGCTCGTCATGCCGCCTTCGATGTCGCGCAGCAGGCGGACATATTCTTCCGGCACGAGACCGCTTTCCTGCGTCTTGGGATCCTCGGCCACAAGCCAGCCCTCGCCGTACCGGTACGATACCCAGATGATCTGGCCTTCCACGAGCGGCAGCTCGCTCTCGTTCTCCCGCTCAAAGTCAAAGAGCGCGACGGCCTTACCGTGCATTTCCTCGTCGGGCGATGTGATGGTAAACTGGTAGTCGCGCGAGTACCGCGACTCGTCTGTGCTGAAGTGGCCCGGCGAGGAACACGTGCTCGAGTCGTCCGATCCATAACCGCCGCCCGCTTCGCCGAACTGGCGCGGCTGCTGGTTTGCCACCTGGTATGTGTCGCTGCCGTGCCGCGCCTGATCCGGCGGATACGTGACATACTCGCCGCCCGGTCCGTTGGCCTCGCCGCCCTCGTTGCTGGCATAGTACCGCTCGCTGCCGTCCGCGCCGGTGCCGACATAATATCCCCGCTCGCGGTCAAAGTTCGCTTGGGCATCGCGACTGCCCCGGCTCTTCATAAGGGAACCGCCCGAGGAGCTCTTGTGCTTCCTATGTCTCGAGCTGACCACAGGGCTCTGAAGATCCTCATCCTCGCTCCATGGCGGGCCGTCGGCGAACTGGATCGAGGGCAGGTCGGGCGGCCGGTTGTAGAACCCGCTGCTCCACGAGTGGTCGTCCCAGCTTGTCCTGCTCTCCCATGCCGCTGGCGGGTCGGAAAGGCGCCGGTGCTCACTAGCCGGCGTGGTCATGCCGGACGGTGGCCTTGAGGGCTCGGGCGGGGGGCCATAGTGCATAGGGTGCGATGCCGGATACGCGAAGTCTCGAACGATGGTATAGGGCAGACTCGAGGGGAAGATGGGGAAGACGAAGGAAGGCGGCCGTGACCTCGTGGGAATCGAGCTTGTCGTCGAGTATTGCGACAAGCGGTTCTTGGAAGCGTGGGACATTGGGCGCGGCAGGTTGCTCCTGCGAGCGGGCGGCGAGGTGATCAGTGGGGGGAGCACGGGATGCGCCGAACTGGCAGCCGGAGACGCGATGTCGGGTGGTGAGGTTGCGGGAGACGAGCCGGGCGACATGACCGCCGTCATGGTTCGGAAAGGGCGAAACGGGGAGGAACAATCAATCGGATTGCGAACTGCCCGGGTAGAGTGGGGTGTGCGCCTTCGCCCTGGCTCGGTCGCTTTCGAGTACTACTACTACTACTACTAGTAGTAGCTAGCGAGCTGCAGTGGCGCGGAACCCCGGACACGCTGGCGCGCTAACTCAGCACCGAGGGAATGAACCACCGGGGCTCACGAGCACTCGTCTCCCCGCGCGTGTCGAGCGCAGTGCGTTCGGTGCGCCGCTGCTCTGGTCCAAATCGGCACAGAGCTTTTGTAGATAGAGAGTGCGCTGTTTAACAAAAGCCGAAGAACACCGGTGCGCGCCTTGTGTTACCGGAAGACCGGGGATACGTGTTTTGAACTTTCGTCCGACCTGGGTCTTTTTGCGCTCAAACAACCGCAAGCCAGGGCAGTGAGAGAAGCTAGGGAAGGGAGTCCAGGGAGGCTTGGACAGCAGCCCATCCGCATCTGACCCCCTGTCTATTACGACTGGGCGACCTCGGGAAGCACGACTGCGTCTCGAACGGGCTTGGTGGTATCGCGAATCGCCGAACTAGCGGCAGCAAAAGTATCCAAGGAGTCGTGCAATCCGGTTGCCGGCCGGGGACAGAACGATTGGGCAGGGAATGGAAGGAGAGGCAGCACCGAACCTGGAGTTGAGGACGGGCAGAACAGATCTAGGTAGAGAAAAAAATGCCCACCTTCGCTCGGGGCCAGGGATTGAAGGGGCAGTACAGGGTGGGGAAGCGCACGACGAGCAACAAAGCGGGCGGCTCGCCAGCGTCAGGCGGCCAACTAAGCGCGCTCCAGCCAAACCTCGACTCTCGAGGCAAGATTTGACCCCGCCCGGCTTACTATAGTGTAGTGTACTGACTGCCATGGTACTGTACATACATGTACTGTAGAACCGCGAATCGCACTGCATCTCCCAGCGCCTCCGGCTCTAGTGGTGTAGGCTCTGGCTCCTGCAGAACACATTCAGGATCCTACCATGAAGGGCCCGTACCTAGGTACGGTATGTACAGCAGAAAGCAGACACTAACTTCCCTTCTTGTTTGGTCTAGGTCCTGAACATCCCATATCTGACACGCAGTACTTCCCATATTTGTGAGTACTTCCTGGGCCGTCAGGACAGGACCGGGAGCGTTGTGCCATAGCCGAAACCAAGGGATGGTCGAGCCCTTTTGAAGGGCCAGGCATGTCTTGTGCGGCTCCCAGCAGGCTGGCACAAACCTCCCCGGACCCACTCTTTTCATCCTTCCTTTCTCCAGGATTAGGAAGAACCACACCCAGTGTATACACTAATAATAAAGAGCAGGGGAAAGATGAGATGATTGTGGTCGCCATGAGCCGATCGACCACAGTTTGTGGCAAGAGCTTCGGAAGTCAACTACGTACGTACGTGTAATGTTGGCTACTCCGTAGTTCGTATCCATTCTCCCTCTCCCAGCAACCGTATCCGACGGACCCCACGACTTCTTTAGGTGGTGCTCGCTGTCACTGACAGCCTGTCAGTCACCAACCGTCCGACCCTATGCAGGCTCTCACCGCCAATAAGCGGCGGTTCCCAGACTAAGGTAACTATTTTTAGTATGGAGGCAACTCACTTCAGCAGTACTAAGTGGCGTCTTTAAAAGGCCAGACACTCATAACCCTGCTGTTGCGACCTGCCATGTACATATCAAGATCTGGCGCTCCAGATCGCACTACAAAGTAATTCTTCATACATTCGTTCTTTGGTGTTGGACTTTGGGAAGGTCCTGAAAGCATGAAAGTTCCCGGTGCTTGCGGCGGAGGAAGAGGCGCGGCTGCACGGGCTCACGGGCCAGCTGATGCAGGGGCTGCAACCTGAAACACCGGGCGGGAGACGGGTGGGGTATCTCCAGCCTAGGAAGGCGGTCAGTCCAGGCATTATTGTGATTGGACAAATCTTTGATCATGCCAAAACACGGTTCTTGGAGATGCTGGAACCGTCCCCCAAATCAAGCTTCAGTTCTGACATCACCATTGATCGAATCGGAGGTCCAATTCTTCCTACACTACACACTGTGCACTCGATCTTTCTCCAGAATGAAAACATAAACGTTACCGCTCTGGTGTCCTTCCCATAGGTAAGTACGCCGTGCGCCGCCAATCCCGTCTCCTAGTCCTGTGATGATCTTATTATTGGAGCTGTCTGAGACCTGCCTCGGCAGGCGTTGATGATACCTATATTACGCTATTTCTTTCTGATTGACGTTGTTATCCACGTGATACTTGATTCTGCCATCAGTATGAGCGCACCAAGCTGACCTCTGGCATGCTTAGCGACCTGTGGTCGCAACCTTGTGGAAGAAGGTTAGCACTCGATATTGAAGCGACTCGTTATCGGATAGGAGCTCCGTGATGGACCCCGCAAGCGGGAGTGAGGGCTCCTCAGCCCCGGCCCAGAATGGCCAGCCGGAAGATGGATCTGGGTTCAAGTTGAAGTTCTGCACCGTCTGCGCGAGTAACCAGAATCGGTAAGCCAACTGTCACTTGCGGGGTTGCTAAGCAGGGACTGACAATAGCCCAGGTCAATGGAAGGGCACCTCCGCCTAGCTCAGGCCAACTTCCCCGTTATCTCGTTCGGTACTGGATCTCTTGTGCGCCTACCCGGGCCGACCGTCACTCAGCCCAATGTCTACAAGTTCAACGAAACCTCGTACGACAGCATCTACCGGGAGCTCGAAGCCAAGGACCCCAGACTGTACCGGGCGAATGGCCTGCTTAACATGCTGGGGCGGAATCGCCTCATCAAGTGGGGCCCTGAGCGGTGGCAGGACTGGAACGTTGGTATGCCAAGAGTGAAGCACGAAAAGGATAAAGGAAGCGTGGGCATGGAAGGAGGCGTGCCGGATGTTGTTATCACCTGTGAGGAGCGTTGCTGGGATGCCGTCGTCGATGATCTGCTGAACCGGGGCTCGCCGCTGAACCGGGCCGTCCATGTCATCAACATTGATATCAAAGACAATCACCAGGACGCTTCGATTGGAGGCGGGGCCATTGTAGACCTCGCAGATTCTCTGAACAAGGCTGCTATGGAAGAGCGCGAGAAAGTCGGAGCCGCCGCGTTTGATGCTGGGGGCGCTGCCAGCAGAGCAAGCTTCGACGAGCGGGTCCCTGAAGTCTTGGCCGAGTGGCAGCAGAGGTGGCCGGATCTCCCTTCGACATGGACTTTATCTTGGTTCTAAGGGGTCATGCCAGTGTCATGGGACTTATCTCTTCCGTTTTCCATTTCCATCGGTGTTGGGTGTCCATATTTGCTAGCGGGCGTTGGGGTAGAGAACAGATACCAGATATTCAGCGATGAGTTATTACCAATGTCATGATGATCCAGCTTATACCGGATAGAATATAGTGTCAATGCGCTAACAGAGGTGGCATTGTTGTTAGTATCATGTTTACTCTTTACTGGATGGTAAGACCAACACTGCCGTTTACCTACCACACGAGCCACAGTACCTAGGTACTCGTACTCATGTGCGCGAGCACCCACCGGTCCGTTGTGACGTGGCCATGAGCAACCCATGCAAATGAAATGGCAGTGGAGGAAAGCTGAGAATTCATGGCTGTGCAGGACTCCTTCGAGCCCACGGATTTTCTTCAAAGGGATCGGCCAAGGCCAGATGGATGTAGTCCCTTTAATACTATCTTCTCTCTTAGGGAACCGGCTGAAGTGCTTTGTCTATTGTGAATTTGTGATCCTGCATCAGGGCGTCGAGTCAAATGGCAGACCGCCCTGCCTGAAAGAGGGCGGCTTCGAGGTTGACGCAGGGTCGATCCGCCGCCGCTCATCCCTGTCTCGGTCTCCCGGAGCGCGCTAGCCAACCCAATCGCCACCTCAGTTGCGCGCTGAGTTGGATCCTGCCATCAGGGGCGGGTGCAATTAATTGAATTTGAGATTTCCACCTGCTAGCCCCAGATCTGCATCTCGGCGTTTTGCAACAAAGAGCCGTGGTGCCCCAGGTTCTCCCTCCCATCTGCAATTAAGGTACACTTACCTTATTACTGTACCTAACAAAAAAGGACCGGAAGGCGTGCCTTTCGCTGTGCTTACGCCCAGCCCTTCTTTGCCTCTCCCTTGTCCTCATTTGCTTCTCTCTCCCGTCTCACTCTGACTCGTGCTCGCCGATCACTTCTTTTCTTTGTTGTGCCTGGAGTGCTTGCAGCTGAGTGCGTGGCACGTAGCGACCACGGACAATACCTGACGAGAAGATCGAACCAGACCCCGAGACAGTGGCCAAGGAACCAGTCACGAGCCCACGATCTTGCAGCTCTCTGATCTCCGAACGCGGCATTCTACCTACGATACTATACTCCTACGCTTCTCCGAGTGATCGGCCGTGCCGCTTGAACTTTCTTATATTTTGCGGAGCTGCACACTGCCTAGGACACCCCTGAGGGCCACTCGTTGGCGGAGGGCGGAAGGCGTTTCATGCTGTGACATCTTTCGACAAGACGTTCTCCGAGGCACCAGTGTTCGCGTTGCTCCTCGCCAGTGCAGTTCCTTTTTGCTGCATGCATCTTGGACACAACTTGGCGACATTTAATTCCGTACCCTTCGGCGTCACGCGGCTGTGCGCTGCTCGTCCTCCACACGTGCGCGACCCGGCGCCCGCTTGAGACGGCCAACGCTCCCACTAAGCCACACCGCATACCATGAATGGCCGCAATGCTCCGTTGTCACCAGTCTCTGTAGGCGGTAGCGAGTGGTCATATCCAATCGTCGAAAAGGACAGCCCTCCATATCAAAGCAACCAGGGCCAACTCAACACTCCGCCCGACTCCGCAGGACCGGTCAAACCGATGAACGCCAACTTCCCGCCCGGCCCCCGGAGCGTGGGCGGTAGCGGCAGCGTGGGCGGTCCCTCCCCGCCTCCGTCCGTCGGCGGCAGGTCCAGCGCCGGCACCAATCTGTATGCGAGAAGCGAGAGTGGCAGGAGCCAAAGTCAATCAGAAAATCAGGAACTGGTCCTGTCGGAACACTACTTCTCCCTCAAGCGCTTCCTCTCCGCGACATCCCGCGATGGAAACCCGAAACCTCCGCCGAACAAGGCCCGTGACAAGTTGCAGCGCCTCACCGGCGTCCAATTCCTCGAACTCAGTACCGACGTGTACGACGAGCTAAAGCGACGCGAGCTCGCGGCCCGGAGACCGCCGAATGCTCCACCCGGCACCGGCCCTCCCGACTATCTCTTGCCCGAAGAGAATTTCCACCCCAAGCGGAACCAGGCGCGCCAGAAGCTCTCCTCCCTCGGTCCCCCGCGTTTCCGCGACCTCGCCACCGATGTCTTCTGCGAACTGGAAAGGAGATTCCCGCGTTTCACCGCGGGAGATGTTCCCCGTGTGGGCAGCCCCGTATCCGTCCGCGGGGGGCCGCCGAGTCGGTCAGGGACACCGGTTAATGGAATGAACGGGTATCCTCCGAGGGGTCAGAGCCGACGGCGCCCCTCTGAAGCGAGCTCGGTGCGGAGTGGGCGCGGGATGCCGACCCCTATGAATGGCAACTTCCCTATGCCTCCATCGCCGAGCGTGATGAGCGCAGCAAACGGCGACTACGGGCGGCCGATGCCCAAGCAATTCCAGAGCAACACGATTGTTCCGAACAAGAGCACGATGGTGGAGGAGGATGACGATGCTCTCAGCCCGTTAAGTCCGGATCCCAACGCACCCGATGCGTACGGGATGGGCGGGGTCCCAGACAACCGGGGCAGCAACCGGAGTGCAGGGCAATCCGAGGTTGGTATTCCGCTCTTTTCCCCGCTCAGGGTGCTAATGAGTCCGCGCTGACCCGAGCTCATTGCAGGCCGACAGGAAGCTTATTGAAGAGTACGAGCAGCAGGTCAAGGATCTTCGAGAAAAGCTCGATAATCTGGAGGACACGCTGAAGAAGAAGGATGACGAACTTAATCGCGTGCTGGACGGCGAGCGCTCGAGAGCGGCTACGGCAGACTCGGAGAAGAAAGAGTGGGATGATGCGCGTGCGCAGCTGGAGGACAAGCTCGCAGAGGCTCAGGAGCTGAATGATTCCCTGCAGAGGGAGCTCGACAGGATCCGGGGCGAACACGAGAGTGAGACGCGGCAACTCAGGGAAGAGATCGAGCAGGCCCGGCAGGCTAGCAGCATTAATAGCAATATGACGTCGAGCGGGGCTGGCGACGCGGAGTTGGAGAGGGAGAACAAGGCGCTGCGCATGGCGCTGGAAGAGCAGGAGCAAGTGACGGAGGAAGTGCGGCGGGAGGCTCAGGAGTTTCTGCGGGAGATGAGGATGATCTCGCAACAGAGCGGCGCGGCCTGGGAGCGGCAGTCGGAGCTGGAGAAGACGATCGAGTCGCTCGAACACGAGGTGCGGGTGTGGCAGAATCGCTACGCGCGCACCAAGACGCAGCTGCGGGATCTGCGCGGCTCCTCGGCGGGTCTCACGGCCGACCAGGACGCGGCCAAGTACGTTCGGGACAAGGGCTTTGTGGAGGACAATGGGCTGGTTAAGGACATCCATGTCACCAAATTCCAGCTCGCCATCGACGATTTCTTGCAGCGGGCACGCGCCGACAATCCGGAGCGGCTGATTGACGCTATGAAGGCGGTGGTGGTCAGCGTCCGGCGGATCACCAAGGACATCGATGGGTCGGCGCAGAATGGCGAGGCGGCGATGCAGCACCAGAAGCTCAAGTCTCGCGTGTCGTCTACTGCCAACAACCTGATCACGGTGTCCAAGAACTTCGCCAGTTCGGCGGGCATCTCGCCAGTATCGCTGCTTGATGCAGCGGCATCCCACCTGGTCGCAGCGGTTGTGGAGCTGCTCCGAGCCGCCAAAATCCGGGCCACGCCTGCGGACGAGCTAGAAGACGACGACGACGGGACCGTCACGCCGGTAGACTCGACTGCCTTCTTCTCGCCGCGGAGCAACGGGCAGAGCCAAATATCGAGCATAACGTCAGTTCAAGACTCGCTACCGCCGCCTCCCCCGTTCCAGGGCCTCGGTCCCAGGAGCCGGGCCAGCGCGGATTCATCTAGCTACAGCCCGGTCAGCTCCCCGCGGGAATCATACGCCAAGGGTGCGGCGGGTAACGGTTCCACCACGAATGGCAGCGAAGGCGGATATGGGAGTCTGAACAAAGCGCTACCAATCATCCCGAACGGGAGCGGAAACGGCAACGGCCTCTACAACTCCCGCCAACAGCAGCCTGACAGACGGACCGAGGACCTCAAGATCTACCTCGAGGACCAAACAGCCGTGCTCGTGCAGACGATCCAGAACCTGGTCCAGCTGATCCGCGACGACGCGGACATTAAGCAGGTCACGGAGGAGATCAACGTCATCACGGACGTGGTCGGGCAGGTAACGGCCGAGACGGAGGCCATCGGCGCCGACGGCGTGGAGCTGGTCAAGCGGCTGGCGTCGTGCCGCGAGCGGCTGGCCGAGGCGGGCAAGCGCGGGCTCGACCTGGCATCGCAGGGCAACGACAGCCAGAGCCGCGAGTGGCGCATGTGGACGCAGACGCTGCCACCTATCGCGTTCGAGATCGCGCGCGAGACCAAGGAGCTCGTCCAGCGGGTCGACCGGCTTGTGCTGGATGATGGCGCTGATGACTTTGCGTGATGAGGGTACCTTTTTTTTTCTGGTTTACCTCACCGCCTGAGATTTCTTCGGGATATCCGTTTTATATTGTTCGTTCTCACCTGCCAGCTGCGTGGTTCAATTCTGCCATGCCTCGGTGGTATCATCCAACGAACTATGATCTTGCCTTGATTTGTTCTTTCTCTTCTACTAGGCCCCCAAAAGTTGGGAATATGTTGATGTATTGTATATAGAATGGAGCGGGGGAAGCAGCGCATCATTTAACGCCTCCCTTAGTGATTGTCTTGTTGAACAGATGATGGGAAGATGACTGGAAGGGGAACTCCGATGTTTGACGACGGAGGAAATTCCACCTAGATATTATGTACTACACATGAGTGCAATGGCACAATGTCTTTCTTAATGTCTTCTCTTAATTGAGGCATGGAGAGAAACGCGAGGCAAAGGCTACTAGTTGTTGCAGTGATATATTGATTCCTTCTCGTCTGCTGAGTACCATCACTTTTACCATGTGTGTTCTTTTACCATGCCCGTATCTCGAAAAGACAACCGCACAACTCCTAGTACGTGTGGACTGCGGAAAGAGACGGCGAAGCCGGAGCGGGTTCGGCGGCGGTGCCGCAGCGCAATCTCCGGTGACCGGGGCCTTTGCCTCCGGGCGCAAGGCAGCCTCGTCGCCAAGCCAACCGGCAAACATAGTTACTAGTAACGATCGCGAGCATTCAAAATATTGCCACTCTACAATGGACCAACAGCGGGATCCAGCGTTACACAACGGAGAGAGCGCAACTTGATACAAGTACAGTGTATGCAACGGTGGGCAGCGGTTCGCAGACCTATGTAAAAGTGTCGGGATGTGGGATGTGGGAGCGAGCGTACAGGAAGGCACGACCGTGCCCAAAAGAGGAGAGACGGGAGGGGAGGCGTTGGCGCCCAAAATGAGCTGCAGCTAGCATCACAACGTCCTCGACTCCTCCTCTCCTTCGTTCCAATCATGTTTCGGTTTCGCTCAGCCGCACAGCAAGCTCCCCTGCCGCGGCGAATCATTAACCGAGCTGAACGCCACGACCCATTCCGCATGAGATCAAGCCTTGACAAGAACCGCTAGTGCGAGCTATAATGAGCTTGAAGATGCATGAGACGACACTAACGTTAGCACGAGGCAGACTGGCAATGGATTCCCGCGACGGCTGCGTGAGGATAAGGGCCTGGCATCCCCTGGAGCCGCAAGGATCTCGTCGTTCTGCTTTCTCTTATGTTTCTCCCTTGGTTCTGGACGCCCGCTGTTGTCCTCGACACCCTTCTGTTCCCAAGTGCTTGTTGACCACTTGTGTGTGGACTTGTGGACTGAGATCCCTCACGGCACACACACCAGCAGCTTCACCATGAGCAATCCTCAGTATTCGGCCGTCCGGCCAGAGGGACGGGAACATCTCCTCGACTACCCGCGGGGCTTCATCGCCGTCAGAATAGTCCAACTCGCGCTGGCCTTCCTGATTATGATCCTCTCCGCCTATAGTATGTTACCCTATTTATTTTGGCACACTACAACTGAGAGCCAGCAAGACGGCTAACGGGCAACCCAGCCAATTCCCTCCTGTCGTACGACGGCAACGCGTTCATCCTCGCTGTGGTAAGTCTCGCTTGCTTCTTGTGTGCCAGGCAGCCAGCAATGCTAACGAGGGATGCCCAGGCGGTTATGAACATTGTATATTCTATCTACCACATGGTCGCCCACTTTGCCACGCCCGTGATGTACAACTATTGGGCCATCCTCGGCGTCGACATCTTCTTCGTCGTGATGTGGCTCTGCTCCTTCGCTCTGCAGGCGGCACGTGTCGCCTATTTCTACGACTATTACAGTGGCTACAGACTGGGTACTGGCGACCAGGCGTGGCTGGGAGCGCAGGCGGCCGCAGCGGCCTTGGGCGCTGTGGAATGGTCAGTTCTTGCCCCCTTAGTTCTCCATCTTTCGCACCCATCCTGGCTAACTCGGGCTCCAGGGTTGTGTTCATCGTCGCCCTAGTGATCCATTCCATCCGCCTGCACCGGCACCGCGCGGCCGGTGGGCACTGCATGCCCGGCCAAGCACCCACTCCCCCAGGGCCAGCACCTGCACCCGCGCCTGCGCCTGCACCTGCACCCGTGGCCGCTGCAGCCACAGCCCCCTACGGCGGCGAAAAGACCGGTGTCCCGTCCACCTACCCACCTCAATACTACGCGCCCCAGCCGCAGCAGCAGCAGCAGCCCGTCGGCAATCCCGAGTATCAGCAGCAGTTCTCCCCCCAGCAGCAGCCGCAATATCCTCCTCAGGGGCAGCAGCAATATCCTGCTCAGGGACAGCAACAGGCCTACCCACCACAGCAGGCTGGCTACCCTGCACACGAGCAGCAGCAACAGCAGCAACAGGCTTTCTATCCGTCCCCATCGCCCAGCCCGGCGCCGATGTACGCACCGCAACCCCAGAACCTACCTGCTCAGCTGCCCAGCGATAATTCGCCACAGCATTTGCCTGCCCAGCTGCCTACCAATTCGCCTGTGCCTCCACAGTTGTCCAACAATTAACAAGTGGATGGACTAACTATACCCTAGGAGGAAGAAGGGGGGTGTTTTGGCTGGTAGTGAAGCCGCAAGGGTGAATGGTTGTTTATGAAACGGGCAAGGGAGTAGTAGTGTAGTGCAAGTTGGTTTGGAATGTGTTGCGGATACCCGTATTGTGCTTTGTGCTATCTGTTTAATCAACAACGATATTATCTGGAAAGCCTGTAGCCGCACCCTGGAATGGTGGTCTTCACGATCTCACCGGCGGAAATGCCTTGAGAAGGACAAAGTCTAGGCTCGAACTCTATATAGCGCTGTCCGCTTTTGGTGTTGAACTATACTAGTACCTATATGTCATTCCCGTCGTGGTTTCCAAGACCACCGTCAATCCATATGGACCCGGTGCCGCGAATACAAGCGCCAAACTAGATACTTCGGTATGTATGCACCTCAGACACACTCCAGTCTGTACCTTATGTAACACATGGACATCTACCAACCCGAACCTACCTACTACTAGTTGCCACCTCACAACCCATGCGCAGCATTTCGAATCCGGCTCTCGATGATATCCACCCACCTCTCGGCATTCGACCAGTCCTGGTTGTCGATACTCTCCACCAAGCCGGGGAAAACAGCTACTCCTACCCGTAAGCATTCATATCACACTTTTAGGGGGTGGGGCGATTAAATAGATAAAAAAATAAATAAAAACAAGACTTACCACCAGCATAACCAGTCCACAACCCCGGCGCAAACACAACATGCTTAAACCACGGCCGGCCATCCAAGCCCTGCTCAAACAGGAAGCTGCGCTCGAGGTACTTGTACTTGGTGTTCACCTTGCGTATCTCCAGCCCCAGCTTCAGTTTGGCGGGCCATTTCCACCAGGGGAGGTGGCCGCGGCGAACGCGGTCGCGCAGGCGGTCGGCGTGCTCGTCCAGGCTCACGGCGCGCTTGGTTAGCTTTTCTAGAGCACGGTGCAGCCGTTTGAGGGAGTGCTTGAATGACTCTCCGGATGCCAGGCTAAAAGGGGTAAGAGAGCTGTTGTTGTTGTTGCGGGTGCCGCCGCGGAGTTCGAAGTATAGTTTGTCATCGGTTACAGTGGCTACGTCGATCTCCGTGGTTGGGGAAAGAGCGGCGTTGAGTTTGTCTTCGACCCTTTGCACGTAGCGATCTAGAGCGTGTGCATAGTCGGCTGCTCGGAAGGAGATCAGCGGCAGGTCGGCTAACTGGGCCGTGATCAGCCCCAGGACTTGGGCCATGGTCCGGTGATACACGAAGCCTGGGTCGCCGAACTTCTCCATCCAGTAGAAGCTGTCGTAGTTGCTGTGGTAGTGGTACACGGGCTCGCCGGGGCCGGAATCGAAGCCGATGTCGAGGGACGGGATGCCAGCGAAGTCCTGGAAGGCGGTGAAATCACTGCCGCTGCCCATGGTGCTGATGCGCTTGTCCCAAACGTCGTGCACGGTCTGGCCTGGGACGGTCTGGTTCGGCGACGGAACGGCTGCTGTTGCTGCGTGGATGATGTTGTCAAGCAGGGGGGCCGCGGATGCCTTCAAGTGTGTGCCTCGGACTGAGACATCGGTGTTCTGTTCGTTGACATTCTTGTTAGCAACACTTGGAAAAAGGTTGGAGTCAAGGAGGAAGTCTCTTACGATGTAAGCCACGTTGGCGTCTCTTAACCACGGGAGGAATTCCTCCACCCACTCCGTCGAACCAACGAGGCCATACTCTTCGCCGTCCCAACTGGCAAACACGATGGTGCGGAGCGGTTTCCACCCCTGACGGACAGCCTCTCCAAACGATCGGACGACCTCGTTCAGCGTGGCAGATCCGCTGTTGGGGTCGCCGGCCCCTCCGGCGATCCACGCATCGCGATGATTACCAACGACTGGACATTGCGGATTAGCGAGATGACTCCCAGCTTGATTAGATACCGGAGATCACTCACCGATAACTTCGTCCGGGATGGTGCCGTTAATGACGCCGATAACGTTCCACAGAGGCGTTGTTATATATTCCTGCTGGTTGTATAGATTCACAACGACATCGTCAGGTGTGGGCCCAACATGGTAGTGCACGCCCTTGTACTGCAGGCCCGTGTTGCGGGTCCAGTACTTGTTGAAATCCTCAGCCTTGGGGCCATGGCCGTTGAGAGCCTTCAGGATGGGCACGGCATCGGCGTATGAGATGGGAATGGATGGAATGCTTGGGATGGCCGTATGCACCGGCTGGCGGGGAGCACCTGGCTTAGAAGGATAGCCGGGGGTCGTCCTGTCAAGGTGTTAGCAGGTCCCGGTCCCTGGAAAAGGCAACAGGGGGGAGTTGCATTACGGATCGCCTGGGGCAAAACTGAGGAACTGGGTGCTTCCGCGTTGCACGCTGCTCGGCTGGCGGGCTGGTCCGTCCGGATACACCTTGACTCCCTTCTCCTCGGTGACATCGCCGTCATCGCCCGGGTCGCTGTACAGGATGACGCCGAGCATGCCGAGCTCCTGTGCACGCTTCACCTTCAGCCCGCGGAAGATGCCGCCGTAGCGGGCGATGGCCACTTTGTCCTTGAGCGTGACATTGGCCCTGACCAGGTCCTCGAAGTCCTGGTAGGTGCCGTAGTTGACGTAGACGACGGGGCCGGTGACGTTTCCGGAGGCAGAGTAGCCGTGGAAAGTCGGGATTCGGTCGGGCAGGCTGCTCGTGGGGTCCTCCTCGATGATGTCTTCGGTCAGGGATGCTTCGAAGGACACCTTCCAGGCGGGGGCGCCATCATCGTGCTTCCCGCTCTTCTCTCTCTCCCTCTCCAAGAGGGCCAGCCGATGGTCGACCGGATAGTTGATGTAGACGTCGTACGAGACAATATCGGCCTTGATGCCAAACGCCTCCCACTTGGTCTTGGTCCACAAGGCTTGGGAATAATTCTTGCCGGCAAGATGGGGCCCGGCCGTGTAGTACCTGCTCCACTCCTCAGCGTGCTTGCTGGACGGCGTGTCGAGGAGGATGCGCTTCAGCTGCTCGTAGTCCACTTTCCTCTTGCCGCAGCCGGGCCATGTCCACCTGTCATGGGGATCGTGATGCGAGTGGCCGTCCGGGAAGAAGGTTGACGACACGGCCACGGCAACCAGGAACCAGATCAGGGTAGAGGCCAGAGCGATGGTGCAAAAGCGACGCAAGACACCATGAGGGTACCGTGGCCGGCGCTCAGCCACCGGGACCCTGCTGAGGAGCGGGGTCCGCTCTGCAGACATGATGGCTGTTGCCTTCCTTTTCACTCCTTTCAGTGTGAAGTCAAGCTGCTGCTTCGGTGTGAAGAGTCAGTGAAGGAGGTCTGCATTTGAATGCCGACCAAGTTAGAATTTACATGATAAGTTCCATTACTCGCTTCCTGGAGATGGCGGGAAGGGTGTGACGCAACATGGAGAGCTGGTGTTGTGCTAAGGCAACTGCCGTTTCGGGAATAGCGCTAATAAAGGTACCTAATTGATAAGGCGGGCTCGTACTTAGCCTGCCAGTGGGATCTCTCATTTTCCCCGCATGAGGCAGGCGCCGACGCTCCAGGTTAGGGTTATCTATAGCCCCTTATTTTCTACCGCCTGGCATATCTCCCCTAATATTACACCGCAACTTCACCACCACCGACGACATCACCAGTTCAACACCACGAACCATATAACAACTAGAACGCCAGCTGGATGGCAAGAGATGGCCCGAGCTAGCGCCTGAGCAGCATCTAGCAAAAAATCGTCTCATCAGCCAGACCCGAGCTAGACCTACCACACGCTGCTTTTGGCCGCTTTCGCGAACGTCCATGTTGATACGGTCGAGAAGGCCAGGGCCGTCTGTTGGCCAAGAGAATGAGGCATTGCGCACAGTCACGTCGACCTTGTCCTGACTGTCGCCCGCCGGGGCGAGCTCTTGAAGCTCTACGTTCCCCGTAGGGACGGCCGGCTGTATATCGGACCCATCTGTTTTGGCATCGACGCCTCTGAGAGAGCCTGAGCTGTGACAAGGAATGATGACCCTGTGCTCAGCCCTCGGAGCCTTTGACAGGAAAGCCTGGATTTTGCTGAAACATCCCAAGGCGGCACTGGCATCTACAACAGCTTCGAGCATCCAGAACAGTGGCTGGCCCAGCAAGACGATTAGGGACAACGAGGTGAACATCCTCGTGGCGTTCAGAGCCAGACAGTCCTGGGTCCCTCGAATCGATGGCCAAGAAGGCAAAAGCGGCGACAGCGGACAGAAGTGCTAGCACCTGAGCCGTGGCAGACACGACGGCACCCATCATTCGGAAAAGGGGCGGCTGCATCGATTTCGTCCTTCCGCAGCTAGGCGATGCTGCCCGGTGCCGAGCCTTTGGCCCAGACCTGACAACTTGATGCTCTTCATGTGACAAAGCATTGTCGATATGTGATGCCTAACGCGTGCTCTAGAGCGATCCGTCATTTGCGTATACTGACACGCGCGCACACACGCATGCACATATATAGAGTGCTATTCCGATCCGATATACACCAGGCCGTACGCACCGACGAGACTGTATCCAACCGTCATACTCTCGCCGGTGTCTTGCAAACACGCGAGCAATCGGCCGAGAACTGGAGGCTGACAGATGGTGAAGGCTCTTCGCTCTCGACATGGACGAACACGGATAACCAATACGGCAGGCAGAAGGGGACGGGGGAGATGGGGGAGGGGCGACCACCTAATGATTTGATTGAAAGGGAAGTTCAGAAGTCGGGATTGAAGTATGCTCCTTGACGCCTAGCAAAGGAGATGATATCACGGGTTGCTTTTTCGGACTAGCGATTGATTCCACGCCGGGCTAAACGACGTCCATGCTCTGGCGCTAATAAGCAAGTTTGCCACAGGCATGTTTAAGCAACTTCCCAGGCGACATGGCCTAGCGGTTACGGGGGTTCGGTGCCGACCACTGGCCGGGGTGAACTTTGGTGACCGAGAGGTCATCAGTTCGAACTGGACCCGGTACCGGATTCTTTCCCGCAATGGCCAGGACGACTGGGATTAAAGTAGCCGAGCCTCCTTCCCTCTACGGACGGCGGCCAAGTCGGTTACCATTCTCTTTTTTCATTTCGTCCACTCGATCGATGATACCCTTGAAAACTTTTATTTTAGAGTTTATGTGTCTCGATGTATACTAGGCCAGGAGTAACAGTCTTGGGACCACAATGCCTAAAAGAGGCCATTTAAGGGTCTTCAGACATGACACGATCAACCTGTGCTTTGGCTAAGGGCCTCACTACCTACACAGCTCGTCTTTTGCTGAGCCGATGCCAATCTCCCACTGCACCCCACGGGCACATTACCCGTATCCCATGCATGCCAAAACGCCTTGTGCAGGACGGCAGCAGACAGACAAGGATTTGTCGAGCAAATAGAGGTCACCAGGCTGCAAAACACCACGGAAGCCGAGTCAGAGAAGCGGGTTCATCTATCGAAAACAGGCCCTTATTGTACAGGCTGCTGGTAGCCTCCGGGTTGGTCCGGCTGGGTCTTTGGCGTCGGATAAAGCTGTCATTCTCGACCGCCTCCAACACCAACAGCACCGCCCTGAGGGCAAACGAGGGTGGTGAAGAGGGCACAGAGAGTGCTTGACATGCCGGATTGCCAGAAGCTGCGGACAGTGGAGGCATCCAGGAGTAGGGATACGAGGAGATAGGCATTCAGGATGGAAGAAGGCCGCAGCGACTTGGTATTCTCTACGTAGGAGAGGCCACAGATGAGAAGGCTAGCGGCAAAGGAGACGCATAACGTAGCAAGCGAGATAGTACGGACGCGGCCCAGAAATGGGGACTGGGCTGCCCATACAGCCATGAGAACAAGTTGGATTGCGGCAAAAACAGCAATGGCAGCAACCTTGGAATCTTGGATAGACGGAAAAGGTCGCCAGCGACCAGTGACGGTGACTTGCGCAAACGGTGAAGGCGAGAGAGTGCAGCGACGATGAGCACGATGGCGGGTGCGATGGAAAAAAGTAGGTACTTCTCAAAGGTGATGGTGAAGTCGAACCAGCGACAGTCATTTCCATTGTGCTGTAGTGGACCTGGTGGTGGACAATGGCCACGAACATGAGAGTGACATGGAGCAGGAGGGGCAGCATGAGCAAACACGGTGTTTGAACGCTGCCTTACCAATGTGTGGTTAGTCGCGGGAGAGCACCCGCGTTCCCCGGTACTATGCAGCCGTCTGCTTGCATGTATTACGCCCTCCGCATTGCATCTTTCGCACATCTCTACAGATCAACGTTACCGTGTGTAACTCCAGCTCGTGCTGCAGTGTGATAATCACATCTTCCACTCGCCGGCTGTCACCTGGGCCCAAAAGGGAAAGTGGGGCCTTCTGTCACAGTGGCAGTCTCGCGGATGGCTGGTGAGCAGCTCCGCAGTCGGATCGTCAAACCTTCCGCGCCGCCTCCTGGTTGTTGTCTTTTGTTCCGTATGTTGCTAGTCCGCAAATACTGTTGTATTGTAGCATTCAAGCACATGTCGTTGACAATGCTAATCCACTACTTGTATCTTTTGCGTGTGCCAACGGCCACTGCCGAGGAGGGCTCTCGGCGTTCCGAAGCCGCTCCGACTTGGCTGCCGAATTTCTCGTCACGCGCCGGGCCGTATCCGACGGTCGGCTCCGCTGACGGCGCATCCAGCCAATCCGATCCTTCCAAAATCCGATGGCACCTGGTCGACACCCATGCACCTTCATCCTTTTCCAGTTTGACAGCCTTCCAACCATCCGTCAGACTTTGCCGCCTGCCAGTGTCTTTATTATGACTGTATCTCCTCCCGCGAACGCCTTCGTATCCTCCTCGAATTCCTGTCAGGACTTGCTGTACTTACTACGGATATCATTATCCTTTCCTGTCTTGTATACCTTAATCTGAAATCTTTTTTTTTTTTTTTTTTTTGAGTGGCAAACTGCTGCTTATGAACACCCGTGTCGGTGAGGCGGTATTCTCACCTAAAGGAACGCCCTGTACATACCACGACCTGTCGTAGCCCATGCACCAGCAGTCATGACCAAACAAGCGAAAACCGGGCCTAAGTTGCCCGCGCAACAGCTAGCAATCTTAGGTAACTTCTTACTATCGCCACCTCGGGTACTCGTCCCGCTGTTTGCAAGTTGCAACGATGCTGACGGTTGATTCGCAGCTGTTGCCAGGTTTGCCGAGCCCCTGGCTCTGACCTCGGTCTTCCCCTATCTGCCCGAGATGATAGCCAGCTTTGGCGTCGAGAAGGACGAGGTGGCCCGATGGGCCGGCTTTACGGGCGCCATCTTCTCAGTAACCCAGTCTCTCACGGCTGTCTTCTGGGGCCGGGCATCTGACAAGTATGGCCGTAAACCCGTCATTCTCTCGGGCCTCGCAAACACCATGGTGTGCTTTTTGCTCTGGGGCATGTCCACGAGTCTCCCTATGGCTATCACCGTCCGCGCCGTCATGGGAGGTGGCAACGGCAATGGTGTGTCCTTTTTTCTCTCTTCTTGTCTTTTTTGTTTTACTTTCTTTTTTCTTTTTTTTTCTTTTCTTTTCTTTTTTTTTTCTTTCTGCACCTCCAAATCACCCCACAATACATAGCTGACACACATAACCAGTGGGCATCATCAGAACCATGGTAGCAGAAATGGTACCGGAAAAGGAACTGCAGCCGAGGGCCTTCTCGCTTATGCCTCTCGTATGGAGTATTGGTTCAGTGTTCGGTCCTGCATTCGGCGGCTTCTTTGCTCGACCAGCGGAACAGTATCCCGACGTTTTCGGGCACATCGAGTACTTCAAGCGCTATCCTTTTGCTCTGCCAAATCTCGTGGCCTGCTTCGTCTTCTTCATCTCGTTTACGACAGGACTGCTGTTTCTCAAGGTCAGGATGGGCTGTGTTTCAGGGGCAACGTAAACAAACGCTGACGTAGCACAGGAAACCCTGCAAACCAAACGCCATCAGCGAGACTGGGGCCTGGTGCTCGGCGAGAAGCTCACGCGTCCGTTCAAGCGGCCCAAGCCACATGCAAAGCGGAGGAGGCTCTCCTTCGTTGATGACGGGGCATCAGCACCCTTGCTGGCGGAATCATCCATGTCTACGGATCCGCCCGATCAGACCTCCCTCAAAGCCCAGCCTGTCACCTCAGCCGAGATCTTTACTCCCCAGACAATCATCAACCTTGTCTCGTACACATTCTTGGCCCTGCATTCCGTCGCGTACGACCAGGTCCTCCCCGTCTTCCTCAACTACCCTCGAGTGCCCCCCGACGAGCACAACACTCGCCTTCCCTTCAAGTTCACGGGAGGATTCGGCCTCAGCTCCGACAAGATCGGCACCATCTACACCGTCTACGGAATAGCATGCGGCGTCGTCCAATTCCTCCTCTTCCCCCGGCTCTGCGCTCGCTTCGGCGTGCTGAACTGCTACCGCGCCGCAAGTACGTCGTTTCCACTGCTCCTCCTCTTTCCCCTCACCCACTTGTTACTACTAGTAAGTAGCTAACGGATCCTCAACAGTGCTAGTCTTCCCCGTAATCTACTTCATCACCCCCTACACGGCCCTCATCCAGGACACCACCGCCCGCTACGTCATCTTCCTCTCCATCCTACTCGTCAAGGGCTTCGTCGTCATCATCGGCTTCCCCTGCACCACCATCCTGCTGACCAACTCGGCCTCCTCCCTCCGAATCCTCGGCACCCTCAACGGCTTCGCCACCACCTTCAGCGGCATGGGGCGCGCCGTCGGCCCGGCCCTCGTCGGCGCCGTCTTCACCTGGGGCGTGCGCAACGGCTATGCCATCGCCCCCTGGTGGCTGCTGGGCCTGATTGGCATGCTGGGCGCCATCCCGCCCTGGTTTATTGTTGAAGGGGAGGGCCCCACGCGGAGTTTGGGGGGGGGTGATGGTGAGGTCGCCGGGGAGGAGGAGGAGGAGCAAGAGAGTCTCCTCGCTAACGGCGAAGAAGAAGGGGAAGAAGGGGAAGAATGTGAGGATGTCGCGATGTTGGAGGCCGTTCGTGGCGAGGAGTCTGATTCCGGTTCGGACAGCGGGATGGGCAAGAAGGGACGGAGGGTTTATGGGACGGTTGGATAAGTAGCTCCAAATGGGGCGTCGAGAATTGGCCGTTTGGTTTGAATGGCGCGGGATGCGACGAATGGGAAGGGAAATGCACTAACGACGCGAAGGAGAAGCCATGAGGCATGAGCATTACGACGTCTCGTTTTGGGGGAGATAGTACCGGATGTCGCCGGAAAGTTTGTTCCTGCATGGATGCGTACCTAGGCGGAGATGCATAGCGGAATCGGTGCTGGGGGTAAATACCTAGGCGTTGGGTCATGGGAAAAATGTTTGTCATTCTGGGTTCGTCTTTTCTGTTTCCCCCGTTCCAAGAGGCGAGAAGCATTCAGAGATAGTTTGTGAGCGTGCCATTGAAAGAAAGGGACTGGCATCATGGAACTTGACGCCATCGCGCCGGCGCCGCAAGAAGAGGTCAAGCAACACACAACCCCACAATCAACACCATGCCGAAGGGCGGTGGATGACGTTTCTCCAACATCCTATGGAAGCAACCAAATAGATAACTAAAGCGGTATCATTTCACTTCATTCCCAGGCTAAGTAACACTGCAAAACATCCGGCCCACTGCCCCATCTGCTCCCTCATCCGTTCACACACCGGGGAGAAAGTCGTCGCGACAACTCAATCGACTCCCGCTATGATTTGGCCCGTCACATTCCAACCCAGCTAGCCACCGGCTCCCTTCCAAGACCCAGCAAGCCCACCACCCCGTATCTCAAGTCATCCCTCATTCCTCATCCTTTATTCCCTCCGAACACTCCTCGACCAAGCCCGATCCCCAGTCCTCCGCGCCACATCAGACAGTCAAGCCAACAAGGAAAACTCCACCACCATCGTTGCGTTGCGTTCCCTCAGCCCAAATACCGTGTCCGTGGGACGGAGTGACCGTCACTCAGACGCAAAAACATATGAAATGAAAAACGGAAACAAGAGAAAAGTCTATCTAGGTATCCCAACAGAACTTGAACATCTCTCTCGTCTTTCACGCTCAAACCTCCCATCGACCACGAGGGTCTCCGTCTTCAACCTCGACCTCTTCCATCCCGAACCCAACCCCACCCTTTCGGTCCTCATGAAGAGGGCCTCGCCTTACTGCGTCCGATAAAACTTCTTATACAACAAATGCAACAATAAATTAACATTCAACCTCAAGTTGCCCTCAAAGAGATTCATGAACTGGTGCGCCTCGAACTGCGCCTGCAGCAGGTCCTCGATCGATACGAGCGCGCTCGCGCCGGGCATCTGGATGTGTCCGCGGCTGCCCTCGATGCTGAAGACGCCCACCTCGTCGCACGAGATGGTCAGGTTGATCTGGCCCCAGTCGCGCTCGGGGATGCCCTTCCATGACACGAGCACGCCCTTGTCCGAGAGGGCGCGGGCGCTGTACTTGTAGGACCCGAACTTGGGGACGCGCCCGGAGCGTTCGAGCTCGCGCTGGTGGTTGTATTGTTTGGTGAAGGGGAGGAGGAATCGTTTTTTGCTGTTGAGAAGTGGTTAGCATATGAGTCTTCGAGCGGTTTCCAGTTTATGAACGCCGGCTTTACCCTTTCTTGTTCTGCAGCGTTGCCATCGCTTGTTCAATGTAGTCATCGTAGCTCTTCCGCTGCTGCTCGAGGTACTTGGCCTTCTCGTGCAGGTTGGCTAGTGTCAGACGGACCCCTTCAAGCTCGCGCTGTCTCTGCACCCTCCGCCGGCTCTTTGTGCGGATGTCGAGCGCGATGGCATTCAAAACATCCTGGTAGTGGTTGTGTCGAGAGATGCGGCCCATCTGCTCCAGTCTCATCACGTTCTCCAGGGCCATCCGCTTCAGGTCGTAGTAGGACATCCGGGTCACGTCGACCATGTTTGCGTCCGAGTAGGCCCCGCGGGTGTTGGAGCCGCTAGCAAAGTCCTCCCGCAGCAGCATGGCCCACTTGTGCTCGTCCTCGGGCGTGATGGGCTTGACGAGGATCTCCATGAGGTTCGCGCCAGTCTGCACACGGATAATGTACAGAATGCATCGCTTCGTCTCCATGAAGAGCGCCTTGATATCCGCGTCGGGATCCTCGAGGTCGTGCAGTTTCGGTGTCAGGAATAGCTGGATATCCGACGAGCCTGCTGCCGTCATCTCACTCTCGTTGTGCTTTGCGCTGCCAAGGTCCTGCATGATCTCACGCAGCATGTCGTCCCGATTCGGGCTCAGGTGTGGCAGTTCCGCGGCGATGAGGCTGTGGATGGCGAAGATGTCGGCCATCTTGATGTACAGGGTCGGCTTGTTCTTGGCGTACAGATCGTTGAACTCGTCAATGTCGAAGGTGCGTTCCGCGTCCGGAACGGCAATGAGGCTTTCGGTTAGCTGGGCCAATCGCTCAATGGAGTCGGCGACGAACGCATTGAGAGGCTGAAGGTAGATATTGTCTCCGCCGAACTGTCTGCCCGATGCAATCTGACCGAGGACCTTTGCGACTTCTCCCAGGTTGCGCTTCTGCAGTGGACTTAACTGCTTGTCCATCACACCCACATGCTCGGGCGTCGTCACAGCCGGCTGGAGATAGAACTTCCAGATCCAGTTCGTGATTACCTGCAACAGACGCTCCCGGTGTTCCTGCTTGAACCGCTGTGAAAGAGCTTCGAAAGCCTGCCGGCACACGAATCGGAGACCATACGGCATGCGAGGGAGCAGGTCTTCCAGGGCCACGAGGAATTGATCGCATATCTCTCGGAGGTCGCGCAGATGATCAATGAAGACTGCCTTCGTCTCTGGATCCTTGATGGCGAGCTCTCGTGGAATATCCAGCGGCCGGGTGCTGGGCCGACCGGTTCTCAGTTCCTCGTTATTGATGGCGGACCGGTAGATCTGCATGGGGTCGCTCTCCAGGTCTAGCTCGTCATCGTCAATGATGTTGTCTCGGATCAGGGGACCGAGCAGATCCCTAAGATACTTCCTGTCGCGCGGGGACCTGGTGTAGTTGTGCACAAGCCTCGACCAGAAGAAGTTGCCGCGGAGATAGTCCTGGATGGTTTTGCAGGCATCAACCTCTTCCCGGATGGACCTCCCGATGAGCTTCAGAAGGTAGTACTCCTCTCTCCGCTTCTGCGCGTAACCGAAGAGACCCATCATAAGGTGCTCAATCCGCTTGCACTCCTTCTCGGCGGTTCCTTGCTCACGCAGCCGCTTGAACAGCCTGGCCAGATACTGGGGCTGTGTTTGAAGCATAAAGAACAGCTGCTGGTAGGATTCGAGCTTTTTCCTGGAACTCTTGTTCAGCGCCTTGAGATCGAACTGGTTGACACTGGCGATGGAGCTGTTGGCGAGGAGGCTCACGGCGTGCCCCCCGAAGTTGCTCTGATGCCTGACAACCTCGTCCAGGGTGATTTTATTCTTCACGAGAAGGGCAATCTTGATGTCCAGCTGGTCGATGTACTGCTCCAGCATCTCGTTCTGGCGGACCTGTTGGACCACCGTCTTGCGGAGCCGCTCAAACTCAACCTCTTCGTTGAAGTCAAAATCGCTATCGTTGAGCAGGTGCACAAAGTTCTTGACAGCGTTGACTGGCGGATTCTTGCCGGACGTGAGGCTCTTGTAGGCCTCCCCCTGGAGTTTGGCGCGGACGAAGCTCTGGATCTTGACCACCTTCTGCATGTTCTCATTGTAATGCCGTTTCTTCTCCTCGAATCTCGCCCTGACAATAAAGGCCTTTGCTGCAGCCTGAACCTCGCCGATCGATTCCTCGTTCTCCTCAAGCTCGTCGAGCACTCTGGCAACACTCTCGCGAAGGAGCATTGCCCTTGCGAGGGACTGGAATGTGGATACTTCCTCCTCGGTTGTCTCGAGCTCCTCGAGAAATTCTTGTTGCTGTTGCCGGGAGAGGAAGCCACGAATGTGGGATTGGAGTTGAGTAACAAAGGCCTCCTCCGCATCCAGCGCTTCTAGGAGGTCAGAGACACGGTTCCGTTCCAGCATGCCCCTGATTGCGGATTGCAGCTCCACGATTTCATCCTCGGCATCTTCTAGACCCTCGAGCTTCTCTGATATTTCTCTGCGCACAGCAGCGGCCCTGATGTGCGCTTGGAGAACTCCCAGGCTAGGCGAATGCTGTCCCAGTTCCGCCTTGAGCGTATCAACCTCCTGTCTAGCAAGGTTTCCACGGCAGGCGGCTTGAAGAGACTGCCAGAGAGGACCTAGGCTTTCAAGAGCGTCCTTCTGCAATGCAACCTCATTCCTTGCTAGGGCAGCTCTGGCGGCGGCCTGCAAGCTAGTGATGACGCCGGTTTGCATCTGCAGCTCCCTCTGGTCCTCCCCCAATTTCTTTCTCAGCAGCAGTCCGCGAACTGCGGCCTGGAGTCCAGCCACCGGGGCAGTTGTGTGCTTCACTTCCTGCTCCTGGGCATCCATTTGCTTTCGGAGCAGAAAGCCCCGTAGAGTTGCCTGGATGCTTCGAATGGGACCTGCGGCCACCGCTAACTGAGAACGCTGATCTTGTACCTCGTTGCGGGCCTTCCTTGCCCGCACCAAACTCTGGAACTTGAGGATATCGCCTTCTACGCTCTTCCAGACCCGCTGTGTCCCTGCTTGACGCTGGCGGACGAGGAACCCGCGTGCGGCGCTTTGCAGTCGAATGGCGAAACGTCTCATCTCGAGCTGTTGGCGGACAAGGAACCCACGCGCGGCGCTTTGCAGTCCGATGGCGAAGCGTCTCCTCTCGAGCCGATAGCCCATGATTTGGCGCGTGAAGTCGCCCCTGATACGCGCCTGAAGATCGACCAACCAATCCTCGGAATCCCAGAGGTGCTGCATGATCTCGCCCAGCTGCATCCGAAGTGCGGCGCCGCGGATTTGTGCCTGTAAGTCAACCACTGTTGCCTCATTCTCAGCGAGCTCCCTATCAATCCTCTCCTCCTCGGTCTCTTCAGGCTCCGGGGTTTCCGGAGCCTCCTCAACCCCAAAGTCGGCTCCCATGTTGCCGAAGCTAGGCATATTAGCACCCAGCTTATCGAGGCCCTTCTGCGTAGCCTCCAGCTCATGGTGCTCGAACTCCAGCTGTCCAACGAGATTTCCGATACGGAAGGCTACTATGCCTTTCCGGTAGAGTAGCCAACTCAATGCATGGATACAGTGGATGACTTTTGGGATATTCTTCTTCTCGTATAGGTCAATGAGCTCGAATCGAAATAAGTCCGGAAGTTCTACTTCATCCAGGTAACGAAAGAATATGGCGATATTGTCTGAATGTCGATATTGGAGCCGTGGATGGCGGAAGATTTTGAATCGACGATGGGGGTTGAGAGATTCGACGACCTCCGCAAGCGTGACACCATCTCTCAGTGCCTCCTCCAGCTCCACGATAGGCGGAATCGTGCGCTGAATCACGTCCTCGATCCACTCTTTGGCTTCACCGATGTGGCAAAGATACTCATAGGCCTGGAGGAACTGGCGCTGTTTGTCCATCCAGTTCCGGCCCTCCCAGCCATAACCTCCAGTTCGTTGCGCTGGACGATTGGACCCGGCTTTGTCGGTCCGTTGCAATCTCCGACGACCTCGCAGACCGACGACTTCCTGAGCTGGAGCAGTAATGGCAAATTCCTCGGCAGAATCGGACTGTGCTAGCTTGGATAGAGTGCGCAGTTGATTTGTCGAGGAACGGCCAAGCATTTCGAGATCTGGCCTAGAGAGAGGTGCCGTGTGCGCATGGACGAGAGGTGGGGGATCGCTGCCGCGGCGCACTGTGTCCGAGCGTGTTAAAAGCATCGAAGTGGGACGGACAGATGAGCGATGAGAAGGAGTAGGCGGGGTCAGGGGAGTAGGTGATGTTCGTCCATTGTCGGCGATCGATAGCTTCCCAATGTCAAGACTGTGGCCGCGGTCGTGGCGAGGGAGTGCGGGAACGGAAGCGGGGGCGCGAGGTGGTGTTGTCGGGCGAGGGAGCTGGGGTAACGGCCTGAGCGATTGGCGAGCAGCATGGTATATGTTCTCGGGCGTCGGCGCAGGGGGTTGAGTATGCGACGTAGTGAGCGGGAGTGGCCGGCGGGCGACCTCGCTCATGCCGCGCTTGTGGCCATAGCTGGAATAGATGCTGGACGGCGAGGACGCCATGGAGCTCCGACCGAATTCGTAGGCCCCGGAGGAGGCGTTAGAATAACCCGAGGATGCTGATGAAGATGCATTTGAAGGCTGTCGAAAGACGGCGTAGTCGGCGGTTTGCGATTGCCGCAATGGGTGCGGCCTATAGGGCGAAGAAGACATTTTCTTTTGGTGCGCACAAGGGAGGGATATCCAGTCACACAACTGCGCCGGGGAAGATAAACAATATTAGACTCCGAGGGATGTCGAGGTTCCTTGTTATGGTTGGAGCGAACGTACGGATACAGGGCTGTGGTTCCTATCCGTGCAATTGTCACGGCAGGAAAGCCCTCAAAAACAGGAATCTGATCGAGCCCGGGCACGGGTTGTGTTGGCGTGATGCATGGAATGCCGACAATGATGCTCCCTTCAACGCCAGCGCACAGCGCAAAGGAAAGGCAAAATCACAAAATGCTGTTGCAATAATGCAAATAGTCAAAGCCGCACGACGATGCCCTCATTCTCGCCCAAGCCATCGGCAGTGTATTGGGTCGCAATGAGAGGTTGGAGTGACCAGGGTGGGCCGGCAGTTTAGTGGTTGGCGTAGGAGAGCAGCTCCTCGACCATTGTTTACATGCAGGACCGACTCCCCAGCAACCGCTGAACGCCACTTCCCAGGTGACTCCACACCTTTCCGTGCCCCGCCTTGCCATCTCGCCTTATGTAATCCCGTCTTTTCTGCAGAATTCGCAGGGTACCCTCACCGCCCGCTGCTGCCCCGCATTTGGACCTGGAGTTTGGGGTTTTAAAAAAAATTCGGCGGCGAACTCCAAAAAACTTCCTTCTCTCTTCTTTTGGGGGGGAACAGTCGATTGATTTCGTCAAAGGATTCGTCGCTGTCTCCCCTCGCCAACATCATTCTTTTTCAGATCAGTTCATTAATAGGCCAAGTTGCCATCGTTCTTCTGTTGTCTGCGCAGAAATGCCGGCGACAAACGGTCCCAACGCCAGCGAGGGCGTCCTCGACTACCGAAAGGCTGTCGAGGTGCTCAACGAGTACGACAGCCGAGATGGCCTGAGTATCAGCGAGCTCATGGACACCAAGATCCGTGGTGGCCTGACATACAATGACTTCCTGTTGCTCCCAGGCTACATTGGCTTCCCCGCCTCTGCGGTCACACTCGACTCACCCATTACCAAGAAGATATCGCTCAAGACGCCCTTTGTCTCCTCGCCTATGGACACCGTCACCGAGCATGAAATGGCGATCCACATGGCGCTCCAGGGTGGTCTTGGCGTGATTCACCACAACTGTACCCCTGACGCGCAAGCCGACATGGTGCGGAAAGTGAAGCGGTATGAGAACGGCTTCATCCTCGATCCTGTTGTGATCACACGGGAGACGACTGTTGGCGAGGCCAAGGCGTTGAAGGAGAAGTGGGGCTTTGGTGGTTTCCCGGTCACAGGTTAGTTCACACCCCGTCCTCGCATCTACCCGAGCCGCTATGATTACAAACCTTTACTTTCGTTCCACCGTATCGACCTATGTGTCATGGGGACTGTATCACTGAAAATTATGAGTGCTACTCGATCGCTCTGAGGTCTCAACTGTTTGCGAGTTGGTCCTGACATGTTGCTGACTGGTATCTGCTCAATAGAAACCGGCAAGCTTGGTTCCAAGCTCCTTGGTATCGTCACGAACCGTGACATCCAGTTCGAGGAAGACCTTGATCAGCCCGTGTCCAATGTCATGGTCACCGACCTCATCACCGCCCCAGCCGGTGTCAACCTGATCGAGGCCAACAAGATCCTCGCCAAGTCTAAGAAGGGCAAGCTCCCGATTGTTGATCAAGAGGGAAACCTCGTTTCAATGATCTCGCGCTCCGACTTGACCAAAAACCTCCATTTCCCCTTGGCCTCCAAGGGTGCAGATTCCAAGCAGCTCATCTGCGCTGCGGCTATCGGCACTCGGCCCGAGGACAAGATCCGTCTTGCGAAGCTGGTAGAAGCTGGCCTGGACATTGTTATCCTTGATAGCAGCCAAGGTAATAGCATGTACCAAATCGAGATGGTCAAGTGGATCAAGCAGGAGTTCCCTGACCTCGAGGTCATCGGCGGTAATGTGGTGACCAGGGAGCAGGCTGCGAACCTGATTGCCGCTGGTGTGGACGGTCTGCGGATTGGCATGGGTAGCGGTAGTGCCTGCATCACCCAAGAGGTTATGGCCGTTGGTCGTCCTCAAGCCACCGCGGTATACAACGTCAGCCAATTTGCCGCCAAATTCGGTGTTCCCTGCATCGCCGATGGCGGCATTCAAAACGTTGGCCACATTGTCAAGGGCCTTGCCCTTGGTGCATCGACAGTCATGATGGGCGGTCTCCTGGCTGGTACCACTGAGTCTCCCGGCACGTCGTTCGTGTCTAGGGAGGGCAAGCTCGTCAAGGCCTACCGTGGCATGGGTAGCATCGACGCCATGCAAGACAAGAAGGCTGGTGGTGGCAGCAAGGACAGCCAGAAGAGCAATGCCGGCACGGCTCGTTACTTCTCGGAAGGCGACAGCGTCCTGGTTGCCCAGGGTGTCTCGGGGGCTGTGGCACACAGAGGGTGAGTTTCCACTGTTCCCGTTTCAGCCAAGGGGTTGTCATGCTGACTATCCGTAGTTCTATCTCCAAGTTCATCCCCTATCTTGCTGCTGGTCTCAAGCACTCGATGCAGGACTGCGGTATGACTAGCCTCAAAGAGCTCCACGAGTGTGTGGCCAATGGCACAGTGAGGTTTGAGATTCGCACTGCCAGCGCTCAGCTGGAGGGTAACGTGAACATGGAGTCGTACGAGAAGAAGCTGTATGCTTAATGAACAAGTAAAAGGAAGGCAAAGATGGGATGTGAAAAGGAGAAGAAATTCGATGACATTCTTTGGGGCGATTGGATGGTGGCTATGATCTTTACGTTGGCGTCAAACAGGACAGGGTGGTTGGACTGCGATCTCACGGACTGCGATCTCACGAACGATTCAGTTCGCTCTTTGATATTGAATTTCCTGGCACATATAGTGAAAACAGGTGTATATGAATGCGACTCCTTCGACCAAGAAGCATTAGCCTTGTCAGGCTTCATTGTCTCATCAATTGCATGACCGGGTGTCCCATCATATACTAGTGTGAAGGTACAGTGGCGACAAGAGCGCATCGGTGTTGTCCATGGCAAGGGCAAGTTCCTTGGAGTGACTCGATTCTATATGACAACTTTTGTCTATCAGAAGAGAATCCCCGTGTATCAGCGACCATTTTCAGAAGGGTGATGAAATGCATCTGCGCCACGCTTTCCGCTACTCAGCTGAGTCACTTCTGCAGCGCGCTCTCCGGTAGAGTCGCAACCTTCTCCTTGAACAGCTTCTCTGCGCGCGCCCACACCGGCGAGTTACGCCAGTCGTCCAGGGTGAGCAGCGAAGGGAGAAGGTCACCTGTGTGAAAATTGCTTAGTTTGGTATTTGGCGAGATACCTAAGGGGGAAAAGGAAGAAGACGTACGGCTGAAGGCCTCGGACGCCTCACGCGGCAGCAGAGACGGCAGGTGGTCGATAGAGATGACGGAGAGCGGTGGGCCGCTCTGGAGACCGTCCACGGGAACTGTAGGCTTGTCGAAGGTGGTGGCGACGGTGTAGATCGGCACCGGGTTGAAGGGGTTGGTGGTGTCCTGCGGGATTATTAATCATTGAGGCTCGACGTGAGATGAAGAGTGAGGTAGGCATACTGCGGAGACGTCGCACACGACTTGGAGCTTGCGGTCGGGGACCTGAAGGGACTCCATGTTGACTGTAGAGGGATCGGTCAGCACGCAGAGAACGGAGCAGCGGGGGTTCGACGATGGCGGCTTACCAAAGTGAGGGATCTTGCTGGTCAGGTAGATGCAGTTGACAAAGATGTCGCTGTCGGTGATCTCCTCTGCAGCATGTGTCAGCCGTGTGATTATCCTCATCGAGAGCTGGGTGGTGGCGCACGGAAGGGCCCGCCCTTCGCGGTCTCAGCCATATCCCACTTGAGGATGTTCTCCTCGGGCAGCCCCGACTTTCGCAGAGCATCAACAGCCCCTGACCCGCAGCGGCCGAGAGCGCCGATAACGATGACGCGAGGGAGGCGCCCCGCCTTCTTGGAGCCCTCATCCAGCGCCTTCTTCACATCGGAGATCAGAGCATCCTCGTTGGGATAGCTCTCAACGCCCGGGAAGGGTTCGGTGTGGTTCAGCTGCCAGGCCCAGACCTCGAGGGCAAGGGCAGCACCGGCAAAGCCCGCATGGAAGCCGAACGCCTGTGATGTCGTCAGTAATCCCTACGAGAAAAGGGGCTTCCCGGACAAGGGGAAGGAACTGACAGCAACACGACGACCGCGCTCATCGACCAGGAATTCAAGGTCCAGCAGGGTACCGCCTCCCCTGGGAAACCTGGCGAGCACGTTCTCCCAGCCAGCTTGTTGCTTGTCTATCGGCCAGTGTCAGGAATTCAAGCTCTTTCTTTATCAATGATGGGCAATTCATGGTACACACAGCAGTGGGCAAACTGGACATGCACATGCTTGAGAGGGACTATCGGAGTTTTAGCAAAACGTTCACATGCTCCAGATCAGATTGGCTACTTGCACTCCTTCTCTTCAAGCTCCTTCAGGCCGACGATGATATGCTCCGCGGGAACATCGACCCAGCTGCCCTCGGGCACCAGAGTGCAACCAACGGCCTCGAACTCGGCATCGTCAAATATTCTCTCGGGTGAGCGCTCAACATTGACGACGTAGCCGGCCTTGATCAGCTCGGCAGCAGTTGACGGCGTAAGGGCCGACCTGTGCTCGAGGGGCTTGGTCTCGCTGCGGAGGTGCAGCACGGTGGGAGCCATCGTGAGGTAATTTTTACCCGGGATGATTCCTTCAGCTTATGCAAAAATGGAAGGCAAGGTGTGGAAGTGTAGGTAGGTAATACAAAGGTGCAGGATTCAAGATCGCCGTTGCAAGGTGATGGTGGCCCTGTCACCCGGTATCTTGGAGTTATCGATCGCAGGCGTTGCAGGTTTGAGTCACCGCCAGTAAGATTGGAGACAACTTTGCGCCGAGAACGGCGAAAACCCTGCGCCTGCGGTTCTGGGGAAAACTGGAGCAACAAGGCACAAGCAAACCGACAGCCCAACCCTGGAGGCGCACACCCTGGCAGATGCAGGAACCTCACTGACCGAGCCAAAGCGGCGGAAACTCCGGTGTGCCTTATTGGCTGGTGCGGCGTTTCGTCTCATCCTTTGGATCGGGATTCTCCTTTGCGGAGCCGAAGAGATCAGGGTGATTCGAAGCGTTGCGACTCGAAATCTTTACACGGGTCCGTAGGTAACTGCTCGTCATCAGACGTAGTATGCTAGTAAATGGAGTTCTATGCAACTGTGCGATGCATGTACTCTGTATGCAAGGTGATGGCAGCTAGTGCTAGTGAAATGGGTGGGTTTTCGAGGTTTGATGAATGTGCTGTCGACGATGTGCCGTGGTACGGATCCGTAAGGCATCCCGGCCGACTCAGAATCACGCCGAGGGCCCACCAGATTGCCGAACAGGGGCTTGATAGTGGTGGATCCAGGCTGAGATGGTTGTCGGTGGTGAGGGCGAATCGAGGGCGAAGCGGAGGGAAGTCCGGTTGTGATTCGCTGCCGAATGGGAAGGCGCTTTCGGTGGTAGCCAAGGCTTTGGTACTACTCGCGCAGTCCTGCTCCTTTTCAACTTTTGCACCGCGGGGCGACACGGCCGGACAACCTGGAATGGTGCATTGCATCTTCGTTTCCTGTTCCTGGCCGGGTAGCGCTCCCAGTTCGGCTCTTTGTCTCGGTGCCGCTGTCGCACACACGCCAAGGACCTGGAACCCTGCCCCGCGCTGCGCACATCCACGACGACGACAATTATGGATTCGAGGTCGGCATCGCCCGCGGACAGCCAGCAGGCCAATGGGCCGCTCCGGCGTCTGCTGCCCGCGAATTCGGCTGCAGGCGAAGCAAACGGACTTCGGGGCAAGTCTGGGTCCCGGCCTGGTTCTGTCGCTGCGCCGTCCGTCATTCCCGCTCGCAGGAAGAGGGGACAAGCGACCACAGCAGCTTGCGGCGCGTGCCGGAAACGCAAGTCAAAGGTGAGAAAGAAGATGGCCTTATGCTTCTTTGCTTGTTGCAAAAAAAAAAGTCACGCTAGGTTCTGACTATGGTGTTCTGGATGCACATGTGCAGTGCGATGGCGGGCGTCCGGTCTGTTCAATCTGCCGAGACCGGGGCACCGCCTGCGAGTTCGACACCAATGCGGCCGAGACGCACACTCAAGCGCTCAAGCGAAAGTTCAATGAGCTGCAGAGCCAGAAGTCGGCATTCGAGCAGGTCTACGAACTTCTGCAGACGCGATCCGACAAGGAGGCCGAGGAGCTGTTCCGACGGATCCGCAGGGGCGCCGATGCTGGCTCCATCTTGCGCCATGTCAACTACGGCGATGTCCTTGTCCAGCTTGCCCTGGTCCCGGAGTCTAGGTATCGATTCGAGTTCCCTTACATTCCCGAGATGCCGCCCTACCTGCGCCGTGCCGACAACCCGTACCTGGAGTCGGAGGTCTATGAGTGTGCACTCCGCGGTCCGTCGAATCCCTCCCAGCAACCAGGTCACCGGCCACGGCAACTACTGCCAGATTCGCAGAACGTATACGCGGTCGGGGCGCGGGATCCGTATCTGAAGCCATACCAGTCTGCTGCTGTGGTGCACCCTTGGCTGGACTCGGTGAAGCCTTCGAAGTGGACCAACGTGAGCACCGATGACGCCCTAATGCGGAAGATCCTCCAGGACTATTTTCTTCTCGAGTACGACTGGTTCTCCTTCTTCCACAAGGACTACCTCCTCGAAGACATGGCTACAGAGAACCAGCGCTTCTGCTCCGAGTTCATGGTCAACGCGCTGCTGTGCTACGGATGCGTAAGAGACCGTTGTGCCTGTGTGGGTGCGATCCCTTGACTAATTTATTTTGACAGTTTTGCCATCGTGGTCTCCAGGGACGTGCTGAGTTCTGGAATCCGAAGAACATCGGGTACCAGTTCCTCGCCGAAGCGAAACGACTGTTTGAGATTGAGTCCGAGCTTGAACGACCACCGCGGATTCCAGGGGACCTAGACTGGGAGCGCAAAGACCTGGAGTGGGAGCAACGTAGGCTTGTCACTATACAAGCCTCTGTGCTCTTGACCATTATCTACAGCCTCAACGGCTCGGATAAGATTGGTTGGCGGTATACACTGAAGGCGATCGATATGGCGAACGAAATCCAACTGTTCGGCCCCCTACTCGAACGCCACGGGCCCGAATTACAGTGTGTAAGGACCTACACGGCGTGGGGGTTATTCTGCTGGCAGAGGTATGTTCGGACAACTCCAGTCGGAGGCGTTTCACGCCGCTTACCTCTGTTTGACTACAGTCTCGTGACCTATCATTACTTGAAGCCACCCGCGATCGCCGAGCCTCCCAGGACACCTCTCCCAGACCCCTCGCAACAGCCGCAGTGGTATGGCGAGCTTTGGGTGAAGTACCCCGCGAGCCAGACGCCACTGCCGACGTACCATGGCCTTCTCTTCAAGGCGAAGGCCGAATTCTGGACCATCATGAACGAGGTTTCGCGGCTCACTTTCTCGCACTATTGCTCGCCAACACGGCTATCGGTCAGCCAAATCCTCCAATTCTATGGCAGACTGAGATCATGGTGGCAAAACCTCCCAGAGGCCCTCACGCCGGGACGAATCGCGCTGCCGCATCAGTTGAAGTTGCACATGCACTACGCGAACGCCGTGATCGACCTTATGACGCCCATCCTCGGCTATGACGGGCTCGTCGGGACGGAGTCAGGGCAGACACCGCGTGATGTTTATATCGACACCGTAACCAACTTTGAAACACTCCTCCGCCTGTACTACCTCCGGCACGGATTCGAGGGCTCCGACGGATGGCTTCTCCATTTCCTCGGCTTACTGAACCACATAACGATGAATGCGATCGAGACGAGCACGGGCTCTTCCTTCCTCGAGTCGCGCAGATCGACCTTGCTACTTCTCACGAAAGGAATCCACGCCCAGTGCAGAGTTAACTACATTGCACGGGCCATCTTCCGCTATCAAGTAAGCTTGATGCGGCCGGAAGACGTCGACCTGCTGCGACAATTTGTCGAGCTGGAATCGGACGAGTTGATGAACGGGCCGCTCGAGCAAGCCGTCCATACCGACTGGCCCGTGTACGAAGTCGGGCTCGAGGCGAAAGCCGAGATGCGGCGGCAAGGGAGGACCCTGGCAAGCGGCCTGGCGTCCCTGTCCTTGACGTCCAGCCCCTTGCCCACGCCTAGTCGTTCTCCATCGCATTTGACAAATTAAACGGTTTCGGTGTTATGCAGAGCGTTGTGTTTCATTTTGGGTGCCACCGTTAGGATACCCGTTAGCGGCAGGGAAGCGGTGCGAAACTGGAGGAGGAATTGGGCGGTCATGATCAGCAACACTCATGACGGCGGGAGGCCACTGTACCATCGAGGAGGACATAAGGGAGAGGAGAGGCATTCCGGTTGGGCAGGCATAGCAAGGAGATGCAGCTCATCCGAGGCCGGAAGCGGAGGAGACGGGTCAATAATACGCGACGCTGTACGGGACCCCGTACCGGTATATCACCACATGCGGGCTATGCTCCTTGCCCATCGCTCTTTCCCTGTCGGACGACACCCTATTGACTTCGGACAGCACGTCTGCAAAGCCCCCGCAGTGCCCCAGAGGCGCACCACCCACTGATGGCAAAGATCTAGTACTAATATACTGTACGAGAAATGGTAATTGGAGTTGGTCTATTTGGACTCTGCTATTTGGCTAGGACTCTGGACCATAATCGGTTGGATTAGTTACTTGGTAACTGGGGTGATTTTGAAGCGAAGTTCTAGCTTTCGAAGTCAAGCACATCACCCATCATCTGTTTTCGTCTTCGAGACAAGATGTGAACTGGATGATACGCACATGAGTACTAGTACTATCCATGTTCTTTGAAAAAGGTATGACCGTGTTCCTAACTTGTTTAACGACCTACTTCTGGTCCGTATGTCCGCCTCACTCCTCGAATATAGTGTTCATCTCTCTTCGATTGCGAAGTATTGTATACTAGGTGGTCGGTGAGGTCGAGTATTTCACTCAGAACTCTACTACCTATCCGGCCCAAGAGGGTGATAACATGTACAACGGTTACTACTCCTAGACTGGCCTCGTTCTTACCGGCGTCGTCCGATGCCATCGGATGTTGGTCTAGTTCCAACAACACACTCTTCTTCCGGCTAGTTCACTGTCCATTTACCATCTGCCTACTACCTCGGGATCTTCGCACAATTGTAATGTACGGATGAACGGTAGCATGATGCGACCCTGTCCCCGTCTGTTATTACCTACACGTGTACGGAGTATGCAATGGCTTTATTACTTCAATTGCTACACGCGGTAGGTAGGAGGGTAGATACCGTAGATTGTATAATCCACTACTAGTTGGTCCTTTAGCGCCAGACTTGAAGACCAGGGTCAGCCTCAACTTCCTATCGATGTTAAACGGCTACTAGTAATTTTTGCTCAGAGAAAATGGCTCCGTAAAAGCAAGATTCGCGAGTATTGCTGGATGATTTACTTTATTTCTCTGAAAATCACGTTCATGGCTGTTTCGCTGCGTCTTTTTCTTTTTGAGATTCAGCCCAGGACCCTGTCGCTGGTGTCGCACTAACAAGAAAACCAGCATCGTATCATAGGTGAGCGCGAAGTCCCCTCGTGCTCTTTCGACAGCAGTACGGATACTTGGCGCCTCATACCATGATCCATCGCATCGGAGACAATGCCCTCATCAACAAGAAGATCACGGCGCGCTCCGCCTTCAACTCTCGATGATGGCGCCTCGATTCGGTCGCGGCGCGCTCCGTCTGCAGCGGTCGACGATGGCGCATCGATTCGGTCGCGGGCATCGCGGGCCTACCATGGTCCCAGCTCGCAGCGGCTGCCCTCGCCCGAGTCGCGCTATTCGCTGCATTCGCAGTTCGCCACGACCAGACGGGAGTTTGAATTCGGCTTTGATGACGCCTCGACGCTGGCCTCGGAGCCCGTCCGCGCCGAAGGAGGAGGCGACGGCCTGGAGGACACAGCCGTCGTCGCAGCCGAGGTTCCTGCCTTCTTTGACAACACGCTCGCCTACCGGGACTACTACGAGCTGCTGTGCGTGCCAAGGGACCCGTCTCTGTCTCCTGATCGGGTCCGCGCTGCGGCGCACCGTCTCATTCAGGTCCTGGCAGTCGAAAGCCAGCCCTCACGGCTGCAGGGCTCGGCGGCTTTCTACCTCGGCCTAACGCAAGCAGCATATGAGACGTTGGCCGAGCCTTCCAGGAGATTAGGCTATGACCTGTCCGGGAACGGCCAGGTAGACATGGGGTGCGATCATGAAATCACGGTCGGCGACGAGGAGTTGGAGGTGGAGGAGGAGGAACTTCTAGAGTCACGGAGCAGTGGAAGCTATGTTAACAGACTGCAAGAGCAGTATCTCCTCCTGACGCAGCGCGAAGCCAGACCAACTACGGACCTTGCCCTACGAATGGACGCTGCGTCTATATTCTCTCCTCAACGAAACCCCCAACAGCAGGGCTCGGGTTTGGAACTTACGGACCTCGCCCTCCGAAAATCAACCACGGTCATCGTGCCGGTCCTACGAGGGTCGATAGAGTCGACTGTATCGTCTTTCCGGGACTTCTTCGCCGATCCGGAGTGGCCTCGGGCCAAAAGCTCTCTCCACCTCGGAGACCCGACATTGACTATCACTGGCTCGATGCATGGACTGTTGGATGGGCCGTTCAAGCTGGCGCCACCACTGCTCGACCGCTATCAGCCGCCGGGCCCTTGTATCCATGGGCCGAGGCGCATGGAGCAGTTGCTCTCGTCCCGTTTCCTTCCCGTGCTGAACGTGAACCTTCGCCAGGAACTCTTCCGGCAGGCAAAGCCACATGCGAGGGTCGTTCCGGATCTTGCCGTCGAGCAGGAACTGGAACTCCTTCCGCAACCCTCCACGACTACCCGGGTGGGCTACTCCATCTACCTGCCCCGTAGCGACGAGCCTGTCAACGTCGAAGTTTCGGCGCAGAAGTTTCTCGCACACAGGAGTGACCTGCCTTCTCGCCTCGGAATTGCCCTTCACAGACGAGTTGGTCCCGGCACCGTCTTTGCCGTTGCCGATGCCGGCGACTCGAGCCCGTGGACTCCCAGAGAATGGCGGCAGCTGCTCAAGTTCTCCACGATCCCGGGCGGATCTGCGCGAGGGGCGGATATCTTCCGCCACCCACCAACAGTCGAGGTCGGCTATGCCTTTGGCAGGCATGACCTAGGCATGCAATCCGGGCAGGCCTTCACCAAGCCTTGCGAGAGGGGGTTGGCCGCGCTGGACTGCGACGTGGACGAGAACAAGCCCAGTTCCTGGACGGTGTCCACCGGCCTCACACCAAGCAACGCAGCAGCCTACCTCCGCTACGGCCGCGATTTCTTCTCGTCCCTTACCTCTCGGCGCTCCACCCGCCGCAACAAAACCGGTCTGCGCGCCGAAGTCGAACTGGCCGGGACCACGCAGCACAGCTTCTTCGTCGCCTTCCGCGCGCTCAAGCGCATCGGTCGCTTCTCCAAAGCCGGGCTCGAAGTCAGCCTCTCGCCAAGCAACCTGCACCTCTCCCTCTACTGGTCCCGCCTGGGCCAGCGCGTCAGCCTGCCCATCCTGGCATCCTCCCAACACAGGGGCTCTTCTTCCAGTTCCGGACTCGCCACTAAGCTCCTCTTCTGGACGACTGTCTTCCCCTTTGCCGCTCTCGCGGCCTGGGACCTCTATCGCCAGCGGAAGTGGAAGTCCTCCGACAAATCCCATACATCCAAAAAGACGGTGCCTGGGGAGAAAGTCCAGGGCAAAGAGAAGGCCCAGGAATTCCAAATCGCTCGCTCCCGCACCGAGGCCGATTCCCTGACCGTGATCCTAGCAACGGGCATCGATCCCTACCAAAAAGCGCAGCGCCAGCACGGCGGGCTGGCCATTCTCAGCGCCAAGTATGGCGTGCCGGACGCCCCGCCCGAGGAGGTGGCCGACGTGACCATTGCTGTTGCCGCGCTTGTGGAGTATTATGATGATGGCACGGGGAAGGGGAAAAGGGGAAGGTTGGTCATCCCGGCGGGATTGAGGAAGAGCAGATTGCTGGGCTTCTGGGATCCGGCGCCTGGGAAGACCAAGGTTTTGAGGGTGAGATATTCGTGGGAGGGGAAAGAGAGGGATGTGGAGGTCCGTGGCGGGGAGGAGTTGCGGTTGCCTTGAAGGAAGGGAATATTGTGTTATGACGGTATGATTTCCTGCTTGGGTATGATGCATGATGATGAGGGATGATGATGGTTTTTGATATACTTATATATGATACCGCTTGGAAATATCATACTTTATCCGGAGCTCTCTGAATCTCGTTGTGAACGGCGAGACAGGTCCGACCTCCTATTGATGATTGCCGAGTCAATCGAGTACCCTGCAGGTACTAAACCTTGGTCGTGATGCCAGTTGGTATCACGAAACGGACCGCGTGATCCAGGTCCGTGGGACCATCTGGTGCGGCATTACGTCTAGGTACAACGAATCTGCGGTCATAGAAGGCTCTACCTACAGTAGTAGGTACTTGTACGAGTCGGTACACATGACACTGTACCCCGGTCTGGGGCTTCAACCCGAGCGTGGCCAGGCTGCATGACTTCTAACCTCCTCTGTCCGGGCGCACTCAGGGCAGCCCGGGTCGCCGTGGCCGCAGACCGTGATCGACTGGGTCGAGAAGGACCACAGGGCAGACACGCTGGCTGGCTGTTACGGATGACATTGTGAGACACCCTGCTGTTGGCCCCTGCGGCCAAAAGGGACGGCGGCCGAGGGCCATCCATCTGAAGTGCGAGTACAACCGGGCCACAACTTACAAGTCGCCTTGTCAAGGATCAGTAGGTCGCCCTTGGGTTGCGATTTGCCAGACATGTATTATTCAGAGTGAGTGCATGGTAGGGAAAAGGTGTCAGATTTGGATGGTGTCCTTCTGCGCCGGTGGGACAGAGGGACTGAATCAATTCGACCTAATGGATGCAGAATTGTAGATGTTCATGGAAGGTTAAGCCATGCTTGAGTTGCTGTCGAGGCAGGAGCTGAGCAGGTCTGAATGGCCCCTGTCGTGATTTAAAAAAGGGGAAGACCCCGGCTGGGCCCGGTGCAGGTGACCGGGGTTGGTGAGTGGGCTACGCCTCAAAAAAGATGCTACCCATGTGCCCCTCATCACTGGCTCTTCTGACGAGCCTGGCTCTCGTGCCCACGACAACACCACCAATCTGCAACGTCGACTCCTCGCCGTCAGGTCGGGCGCACCAACGCGCCAACGTCGCAACCATGGCTCGAGTCTACGCCGACGTCAACCAGAACATGCCCCGTAGTTACTGGGACTACGACAGCGTTAACATCGGTCAGGCCCCATTATCCGGGTTTTTCTTGTGTTGCGCGCGCGCGCGTACTGACAGACGTTACTGGTTGCAGGCTGGGGCGTCTTGGAAAACTACGAGGTCGTGAGGAAAATCGGTCCGTCGGCTCTCCGTCTCTGATCGCATCCCTTTCGCGCATCCTCCCCGCTGACCACTCCCCATGTTGCGCCAGGCCGCGGCAAGTACTCGGAGGTATTCGAGGGCATCAATGTGATGAACTACCAGAAATGCGTCATCAAGGTTCTCAAGCCCGTGAAGAAGAAGAAGATCAAGCGCGAGATCAAGATTCTGCAGAACCTGGCCGGGGGTCCCAACATTGTCGCGTTGCTCGACGTAGTTAGGGATTCGCAGAGCAAGACGCCCTCCCTCATCTTCGAATACGTGAACAACACCGATTTCCGCACCCTCTACCCCAAGTTCAACGACATCGACGTCCGGTACTACATCTTCGAGCTGCTCAAGGCCCTCGACTATTGCCACAGCAAGGGCATCATGCACCGCGATGTCAAGCCTCATAACGTTATGATCGACCATGAGAACCGGAAGGCATGCCATGCCCGCTTGCTCTTGGCTTCTTAGGGCCTTCTGCTGACCTCGCTTAGTTACGTCTCATCGATTGGGGTCTGGCTGAGTTTTACCACCCGGGGACCGAGTATAACGTCCGCGTCGCGTCCCGCTACTTCAAGGGTCCGGAGCTGCTAGTCGATTTCCAGGAGTACGACTACAGCCTGGACATGTGGAGTCTCGGCGCCATGTTCGCTTCTATGATCTTCCGCAAGGAACCCTTCTTCCACGGCAACAGCAACGCCGACCAGCTTGTTAAGATTGCGAAGGTGTTGGGCACCGACGACCTCTTCGACTACCTCGACAAGTACGAGATTGAACTCGATGCCCAGTACGACGACATCCTGGGCAGGTTCCAGAAGAAGCCATGGCACAGCTTCGTCAACTCGGAGAACCAACGATTCGTCAGTAACGAGGCGATCGACTTCCTCGACAAGCTGCTGCGGTACGACCATGCGGTATGTCATCAGCGGCGGGACATTCCCCTCCATAAGGTACCTAGCCCGAAGTTATTCGACACTGACCAGTAAATTGTACAGGAACGTCTCACTGCGAAGGAGGCCATGGCCCACCCCTACTTTGCGCCCATCCGCGACGAGGCGACGCTGCAGCAGTACCTAGCCAGCGGCACACATTCTTGAGGACTGCGAGCAGGCGATTCAGACCTCGTTCTTTTGGGCTTGTCCTGCTTGCCTCGCCTTCAGAATTGAACACTCCACTTCGCCGCGTAGAAAACGAAATGTGAACCATTCTCGCGGCCGGGGGAGTTCCTGCGGCATGTTCCGTGCTCCGAAGAACGCCGCGCGTCTTGACACCCCCTGCACCAAACCCGATGCGTCGTTGTAAACAGGTGCGACATGCGACAGCGACGTAGTTTCTTCCCCCCTATGGCCCGCGCCGGGGGAAGCAATGATTAGCACATCTTCACGCTTGTTAGAGGGAGCCAGAAATTGTTATGTGGATTCATGAAATCAAAACAAACGGTGATTTAACTAGGTATCGGACGGGGTTGTTTTGGCAGGTTGGTTAGGGCATGCATGGTATGGGTGAGTGGAAAGGAAGGAAGTTCTAAAGGCTAAGGCTACCTAGCTCGAAGTCCCAAAGGGTCCCTTTCCCGCACGCTCAGGCATCTTCGCGAATGTCTGCTCTGTTATGGTATTGGACGGGGGCATGGTGTGGACTTCTTAATCCACGTCTTTGCGCATAGGAGAGGCGTCTTGTCGTTTCCCTACTATCCCTTTTGTTCCTACTACTAGTGACAGTTCCTGCTCTCTTGCGCGGTGCATAGGTCCTCTGTCTGCTGGAATTAATGGATGGTTTCACGGGGTAGGTGTCTTATTTATTGTGCCAGCCTGGCTCTCTCTGACTTGGTCCCAATGCGCTGAGTGAATTGAAGCTCCATGTCAATCAATTGTTTGAGCACCAGCTAGTATACCAGTACTCATTATTGGGCTATGGCCCTGTTCAGGTATTGTACGGAATACCTCCCATCCAGGAAATTGCCACAGTCTGTATTACAAGCAGCAGCTGAAGCAAAAGTCCCTCCCACACCTGAACCCGCCCTCCCCACATCTGCGCATCGTGCCACCAGGAGTTTCAACCAGCTCGGACCCGAGCCTTGAGGACGGCGTCCCCGGTGCGTCTTCCCTACCGCCACTGACAGCCAGTACAGACTTCCTTCTCCTTCCACTCGGGGTGTGGATTCTACTAGTAGTAGTGGCACCGAAGGTAGCAGCGGCTTTTCTGTTTGCTGAGCCTACAACAACAGCCTTCTTGAGCTTCGACGCCGATGATACAGACGGCCAGACCGGCAACAAACCCGACCGGACGTGGTGTTTCGCTGGCGTGGAACGGATGATGCTGGCGGCGCCGGAGCTCGGCTTGATCGGAGTCAGGATGGAGAGCTCGTCTTCCTCGTCGTCGTCGGGCGGGAGGAGAGAAAGAACGCCTTTCTTCTTGGTTGCTGTTGCTGTTGTCGGCGCCGTTGCGGTTGCCGATTTCGTTGCTTTGTGGGATTTGGGTCGATGGCGCTGGGGCGTCTTCACTGGTGTGCGAAGGGCCGGTAAGGGTAGCTCGGGGATGGTTGATCTCGTCGCAGGTTTGGATGTTGGGCTGGTTAGTGTAGGGGAAGGGATGGGGTCATGTGCTTCATCTCCTTCTTGGCGCCGTTCTTCTGACGGGAGGAAATCGGCATCCGAGGTTGATGGGCCCGTCGTCCGAGCTGACTCGGCTGCTGGCTGAGCGGTAGGCGAAGTCTTTGCTCTCTCCTGCGTGGTTGGCGATGCATCCCGGATTTCGCTCCCCTGAACCTCTACCTCGTCGAGCGTTTTAGTCGGCGTATCCCGCGGTTGAGGCTTGTCCAAGCGCTTCTGCTGCCTCGCCTTGGACGGAAGTGCCTTGGCTGTCTCGGTACACGTCCTTCTCTGCGCACTTGCGGTTGAGCTCGACCGGATACTGTAGGCATCTTCGGCCTCACTTATCGAATTCCGCTCTCTCGGCCGCCGTTCGACTCTTTCGTGGGGTGTAGGAGTCTTCTCCCTGTACGCTTCTTCCAGGGTTTCCGTTACTGCGCGCGGTATATCGCCGTCGCCCGGCTGTTCTGACGCACCGCGACTCGCTCCGTGATCGACCGTATCTTCTAGATGGAGGCTTAATGTTGGGGACATCAGAGCCCGGACCGCAGAGGGGCCGTCCGTTTTATCTGATAGGTTCTCTGCTGTCAACTGTTGTTCCTGGCTCACCACTCTTGGGTCCACATTGTGAGAGATCTCGCGTAGGACACCATCGCTCGTGTCGGCAATTCTGGGAGTTGAGCTCTGTTTGCGACGCAGCGATTTGCCTCTCGGTACTGTCGGCTCGTCTTCATCTGAAAAGACGTATGCCGGATCGACAGTGTTCCTCGAGAAGACTTCGACTGCGGCTGCTTGAGCCCTATCCCTTCCATCTGGACCGCTCTTTCCAACCGGAACAGGCAGGCTAGCATCCCGGACTTCAGACACCGTAGGGGCTTCGTTGAGGCGGGCTTTGTCCCCGGCAGACTTCGGTTTTGGCTTGCGACCGGCGCCGGGTCGAGCTCCGCCTCGCTTCGAAACTTTCTGGAGGGGGTTGGGAGAACCCGCCTCGCTCGGTTCAGGGGTGAGAACCCTAAACAAACACGCTTCAGACAGCTTCTTTGCTACGATTTCGACTCGTAGGGTCTGATTTTGCGGTCGTCGTGTGAGTGTCCCTTCGCGGTCGGAGAAATTGATGAAGACATCTGCATCCTCTTCGTGGAGGGACTCAGAATCAGCGTCCCGCACGCTGGACTGCCGAGGCTCGTGACCAGATTTGGGTCCGGCGGACCCAGGAACGTCAATCCGCGCTGGCTCCGTAGAAGTCACAATGCCCTCCTCCTGAGACTTTGTACCCGGATTTGGTTTGGTGGAGTCGCCTCCTAGACGGCCACGGCCTGGTTTATCCGTAGACCTGTTTTCCAAGGCCTTCTCCTTTCCAGCGGGGGAGTTGCCAGCTTTCCGGATTTTGGCGAACTTTGCGGCACTTTGACTCCCTTTACGTGGCCTCCTCCGCCGCCTCGGTGTGATCGTCTTAGGCGGAGGACGCGGCTGGAGAACCTTCTGCTTTTTGACGAAGATTTCAGTCCTCCCTTTCTCCTTCTCCTGCTCCTGGCCGGTGGCGGAACCATCCAAGAGGATGTCGTCGTCGTCGCCACCCTGCGCGTGAGCAGCGCTCAGAGACAGCCGTGCCGCCTTCTTCTTCACCGAAACCACAGATTCTCCAGAGAGCAGGCGATTCCCAGAAAATTGCAAGGGCAACTCAGGGACGCTCCAAGTCGGGTCTGTCGTTGGCGGGGGTATTGGCGCGCCGTACTGCATCGGGACCTGCCCAAACTGCACCTGACTGGGATACATCATCGTGGGCAATAAGGGCGAGGGTCCCATCAGCGGAGCCGGTCCCGGCCATCCTCCTCGAAACATGGGAGACAATCCGAGCTGAGGAGGGATCGAGGGCAGCGCGTTCTGGCCCAAGCCGCCCAGCCTGTTGTCCGGCTCGTCCCTCACTATCCTCTCCTCCCCATTCAACGACCCAGCCTCGGACACCTCATCTCCGCTATCTCCAGCACCGCCGCCCTCCTCGTCGCTGCCACCACCCAGTTGCGCATCCTTAAGCGACTGGATATGCCCGTTGTTCACGACGATCTCGCCCGTTCTCAGGTCGATCTCGTCGCCGACGCCGGTGAAGTCCCTTTCGTATTTCTCGAAAATGCGCTCAAAGGCCGACTTCAGCTTGAGAGCGGCGAAGGCGCGCGACCGCTCGAGCTGCACGGCCGGGTCGCGGCGCGCATTCACTTCTTCGGGTCGCTCGTTCAGCTCGTCAGCTTCCGGGTCGTCCTCCTGGAAGGGACCCGGACCAAATCGCGGGCGCTTGGTCGGTCGCTCCATTCCGCATTCATGGTCGCCCCGGGGAGGCGGCGTCGATTTTGACTGTGGTCAGAAGAGGTATGGGCGACAATGTTGATAGTTCCGTAGCAAGGAAATACCTAGGTATATTTATGGATGTTCGTGGTTGCTACGGTGTGCGCGACTCCAGAGGAACACAGTGTGGGGCGGTGCACAGGTGGGGGCGTTTAACGGTGGGTTCCCGCTGCAGTGGGAGCTTCATCAGAGTGGACTCGGACCAATGTCTCATGCATACCATAGAGATTGACGGGCCTGATGGGATATGGAAGTTTGAGTTCTGAATACACAGCGTGTGTTCTAGGCAAGTCATTGGAAGTACAGCCGCTACTGATATTACTAGCAAATGCCCAATATACGTGGTCTGCTCTAGACAGCTGCCTGCCGTATGGAGGGTTAAGTTGAGCACTTCTGCGTTCTTCCACTGGCCCGGCCGCCTGTTTCCCTAAAATCTCGTCTCCCGTCCCAAGAAACCAGAAACTCCTTCTAGCCCAGTTCGCCCAAGTCAGATGACACCAAAACCAAGCAGCCCGCTACCAAGAAGAAAACAATTATCTGAACTTGCTGAAAATGACCGCGATGATGAGCAGAACCAAGACGGTAATGATAGCAATGGTTATAACCCGATTCGTAGCCATTCTGCGGTCATGTCAGCAAGAGATCAAGCTCAACATTCCTGGGTCCCAAAGAACGTCGTACCTACGGGCGATCCCTCTGAGGCTCTTTATGCTGCGATCAACGTAGCCTTCGCTCTCGTACAGGACCCTGGTTGTATGATCGATGGTCTCGCGCTGCTGCTGTAGCTGTGCCAGCGTGCTGGCTCCAATGGCCTCAGTCTCGTTTGCCAACGCCTGGCTGGCCTTGAGGCGCTGCGTGCTGCGGTCCAACCGGTCGGTCCCTTCATCAATGCCATTAGCAAAGGGCACAATCTAAGGGTAGACGAGAGAAATGCTAAGGCAGACGCACCGGACAGCAATTGCTGCCTCTGTTCAAAGTGAGCATCCCCCGATGAAGAAGCCGGATTGTCCGTATACCGCCCGCCGAACAGGGCGCTCCTGTCGTCCGCCAGAGTCCGCAGCTTTCGCCGATACCCGTCGACATCGGTCTTGTAGTCGCGCAGCCGCCGGTTGATGGCGGCGCGCTGCGACGAGGGCACATTCTGCTTCTCCACTTGCATCTGGCCGAGCAACTCGTCCGTCTCCTCCAGCGCCCGCTCGGCAGCGCTTAGCGCCGCCTTCCTCGGCTCCCCCGACAACTCGGCGATCTGGTCGAGTTTCTGCACTAGGTCCGCCTGGACCAGCTGGTACTCGGTTTCATAGTGCTTGAAGAGCTCGGTGCCAGCGTCTGTATCGAGCGGGTGGGTCATTTTGAGGTGCAAACGGGGTATTTGGTTCGATAACTCGTAGGTTTTAACTGGTCGCCTGTCGGAAGCAATTACCGGCCTTCAGCGGGAAGGGGCGAGAACGGCAATGACGATGGATAACGACAGTTCGCAAGTTGGTCGGTGCTTGTGGGTTCGGGGGTCAAATCGCGGGGGCGAAGGGGTATCGCAATTCTGGTGTTCGCTTTGTCTTGTAACTCTGAGTTAGGCGGTATGGAACGGCTTCAAGATGTTAGAGGGTGGCTGGCAAAGATGTTGGATGTTGATGGAGGTTGGAAGGTTCCAGGTTGCCTGCTTGCGACATGCAGGCGCTCGGTCCAGCCTGGCGGCACATGACGGCGGACACAGCAGCAGGGGTCATCCTGAGCGACAAGGGGCAGCTCAAAGAGCACGGTGTGTAGCAGAGGTATTGCTACTGTGGTTACCAAATGCCCTATCCGGATCCGTCATCGATTCCAGCCGCGAGGGCCGCCGTTTCCATGGGTTTGAGTGACGTCCACTTCGGCAACTTAGAACCTGCAACATCAAGATCTGAGCTTCGGACATCAGTGAACGCTTCACCTCGGACCAACAATCTGTCCTAAACTCTGGAATGGACTTTCCCACTTGGTATTGCCAAAAATGCCGTAACCCGCTCATGCTTGAAAGCTCGCTGGAGGACTTGAATCCAGCAGCCTACGATCTGCTTGTCGGTAAGCACGGTCGAAGCACCGTTGCCGAGACCGGTGAAGGTTCAGCAAGCTCACTCTCTCGCCACACAGCCACGCATTCGCAACAGGCGCCCAAAAAGCCCTCTGGTCCTCGGACTTTACACTCGCAGGACAACGCTAGGAAATCGACATACGAACAGGCCGCTCGAAATGCCCGCCATCCGACATTTAGAAGACACGGAGCGCCTGGCAGGGGCGAGGGCGACCACCCACGAGACTCTGCCATGTCTTTCATTTTCTTGACTGAATCCCAGATCGCGCCACCAAACCCTACGTCACAAAGGAACCAGCATGTTCACCACGCTTCGTCCGCACCGGTTGGAGGCCACGATGGCAATGTGGACGAGGAGGACGCCAACAAATCCCACGAGATGGAACGGATCACCAAGCTCTTCGAGATCCTGTCGGCCCGCTCCGACATCGACCACCCCGTCTGCGTCGAGTGCACAGAACTGCTGCTAGAGGAGCTGCAGAAGAAACTCGAGTCGACGACGCGCGAGCGGGATGCCTACCTCGCGTTCCTGAAGGACATGCAGGCCAACGCGCCCACAGACGAAGAATTACGGGCGCGGGAAGAGGCACTCCGAAAAGCCCGAGAAGCTGAGGCCGTGGCGCGCGACGAAATCCGCGAGCTCGAGCGGGAGAAGGAAGCTCTTGACGCCGAGCTGCTCGCACTCGAAGAAGAAAGCCAGAAGCTAGACGCCCAAGAGGAAGCCTTCTGGCGGGAGCGCAATGCCTTCGCAAGCCGGCTTGCTGATTTCCAGGCGGAGCGTGACAGCATCAACAGCAAGTTCGACCACGACTCGCGCCAGCTCGAGAAGCTGCAGCGCAGCAACGTCTACAATGACACCTTCTGCATCAGCCACGACGGCACCTTCGCGACCATCAACGGCCTGCGCCTGGGCCGCCTATCCGCGCACCCCGTCGACTGGCCCGAGATCAACGCCGCATGGGGCCATGCCCTCCTCCTGCTCGTCACAGTCGCCGATAAGCTCGGCTACCGTTTTGAGGGCTACGAGCCCGTGCCGATGGGCTCAACGTCGCGCATCATCCGCTACGACCAGCCCTCGCCATCGTCGAGCCGACTCAGCGGAACCCCCTCTCGCAGCGCCCCGCCCCCTGCCCCGAAGCGGCACGTCCTGGATCTGTTCTCGTCGGGCGACATGCCGCTCGGGCTGACCTTCATGCACCGCAAGTTCGACAACGCCATGACGGCGTTTCTGGAGCTGGTGCGGCAGCTGGGAGCGCATGTGCACGCGCAGACGGCGGCCGAGGGCAGCCCGCTGAGTCTACCCTACCGCATCGACGGCGACAAGATTGGCGACGTCAGCATCAGGCTGGGCGTCGCGCAGGACGACGGGTGGACCAAGGCGTGCAAGCTCACCATGACGTGCTGTAAGTTTCTGCTGGCGCACGCGAGTAATGTGAATTCGGCGTACAATGGGCGGGCGGCGGCGTAAAACGGGGCAAGTGGAGATATGGCGCATGGGCTTGGGTTTGGGAAGGGATTTATCTTGTTAGGTGGGATGGATGTATGGGATGCGGCGTGTGGGAGTTGGCTTGGTTGTGATTCCGGGAGTATCTGGGAGGGTCGGCATAGGGCCGCGGTGGAGGACTCATATGTGGTGTTTTTGTCTTCTCCTTCCGTCGGGTTCATGGACTTACTGATACCATGGTGGCGTTGGTGGGCCAAGCAGGCAATCGTGGCATCATATCCATTGACAGGGCAAACAGAGCCAGGATTTACCACCAGGCACCCAATGTGACTACTACCTATACACGTCGTTGATGTTCTCATCCAAGGGATGTCCGGCATGGTGGCGACTGGACATGGGCACGCTGTCAGTCGCCCATCCCTCACCTCCAAACCCGCTGATTCCCCCTGACCACCCTCTAGCTTGTGGGTGTCTCATTGATGACATCGTTCTGGCGGACGCAGCCGCTCTTGTCGGTGATAGCCCTCGGACAGGCCACCTGCCTGAAGGTGACCGACGGATTATCGGCGCCCTGGAACCTGCGGGAGTGTAAGGCGGATGTTCCTTTCTTTTTTATTTCTTTTTTCCTACTGTTCAATGGGCTTTTGGGAGTAGGCAACGTACCAGTCGAAACGCCAGTTGCAGCCGGCCTTGAGCGCCGCCGGGAAGCCGTCGCACTCGCTCTTGGAGTGGATGCCACCGTACCGGTCGCCCCAGCCGTTCTGGGGAGCGCCGTACTGCTGGGTGCAGGCTGTACAAGTACAACACCAGGTCAGTGATTCAGTTCACCATGGAGTTGGAGAGAAGCAGGAAGCTTTTCATACCGTTGAACATGCCAACGCCACCGCCTGGGATCTGCGAGATGTATGTACAGCCAAAGGTTAGTAGGAGAGAAGTAGAGAGTACCTAACTATAGCAGAGAAGAAAGGAACCAAAAAAAAAAAAAAAGGGAAAAAAAAGAAGAAAAGACAAAAGAAAAGAAAGCTAACCGCGAGATCAAAGTGATTGTTCCCCAGATCCCCTCCCGTATTCGTCGCCTGCACAATCATCTTCTTGCCCTGCACCGGCCCGCTCGTGAAGGTCAGCTCGTAGCAGGCACAGCACCAGGCGGCCTCGTTGCTGCCGGCAATATTCACGGCGGCCCAGCCGTAGGCCAGCGAGTCGTTGACGGCCCAGGGGCTCTGGTTGGAGCACATGTATGCGCCGCCGCCGTTGTCGCAGCCCGACTTGGTGTTGCCGCCATCGTTGAGCGGGTTGTCGCTCTTGTCACACGTCTTGACCGGCGTGGGCGAGTTGCCCTTCCTCGGCCACGCGCACGACGGCTTGCAGCAGTCCCAGTAGCGCGTGGTCTTGCCGCTGCCCGATGGACCCTGGGCCAGGCCGAAGGCTGGGAGAAGGGCGAGGAGGCCGGTTAAGGGGAGATGCATGGTTGGTGGTTTGATGATGATCAAGATATTGAAGATATGGGGTGGGTTGAGAGACAGAATAGGGACGCGGTGGTCAGCAGATATATACCATGACGGTTTGTTGGCCTTCCTGATGTCAGCCAGGGCTTAATGGGAAACTAGTAACGGCAACTCCCATCCCAGAGTGAAGCCCAGGAATACCCATATGAAAATCTCCCCGCTCAGCGCCACTTCATGGAAGGCGATCCCGAAAAGGCCGCCGGTATATGAAGACAAGAAGTCCAGGGCAAGGATGTATTGGTATGCCACGGCCGGGAAGGTCACCCGATACCACAACATACTCTTTCGCTGCCCCTGAATCCCCCGTCGGTCGGCACCACTCGGCATCCCCTCCACCCCATTGCCTTTCCTGTTGTGACGCCAAACCCGGGGGATGTAAGGAAGTACCTAAGTGTATGGGAAGCAACAAAAGCGGTACCAAATTATCTCTCTCGGCTCCCCGCACGACGGGCAGATCTACCTACCGACTGGTGGGCAGATGTGGGGAGAGAGAGGAGGCACTATAAATCAGGCCAGATATACATACAACAATGACCACACATTAATCTATCTGGCACCCTATTGCCGCCGGCCGAAATAGGCATCACCTTGGCCACTCAACACCAAAGCCCAATTCACATTAAGCAAGCATATTTCGGTACGGAGATGACTGCAAAGAGGTAGCCGTCGGTTTTACCCCTGGAAAGTAGAGGTGCAAACAAAACATCACAGACCAAAGCAGCGCGTAACCTTTTCGACGCACCCGCTACCACTTCTCTGAGTATGTCGCACACAAGGCCTCGGAGATGGCTTAATAGCCCCAGCCACGGCGCTCCCTGCCCTCTTCCTCCTCCTCATCATCATCCCGACGGCCGCCACCATAACGGCGCTCGGAGCTGCCATAGCTCTCCTCCTCTTGCCGGCCGCCGTACCCGCCGCCGTACCCGCCGCCATAGCTGCTCTCTTCTTCGCGGCGGCCATACCCGCCATAGCCTTCACCTTCCTCGCGGCGACCGTGGCCACTCTCGCCCTCGTCCCGCCGCCCGTACCCGCCATAGCTAGGCGTCTCCTCCTCACGACGACCGTATCCGCCATAGCTGGGCGTCTCTTCCTCGCGCCGGCCGTACCCGCCATAGCTGGTCGTCTCCTCCTCGCGACGACCGTATCCACCATAGCTGGTCGTCTCCTCCTCCTCGCGGCGATAACCGCCCGAGCCATCGTACCGCGTCTCGGTGCGTTCTTCCGTGTAGCCGTAGCTCTGACCACGTCCGCTCTCGTCCTCCCGCTCCTCGTACCGGCGGTACTCGCTCCGTCCACCGCCGCTGCCGTACTGCGTCTCGGTGTACTGAGCCTCGCCGTACCGGTCGCCCGAGCGGCCATACTCGGTAGTGGTCTCGGTGTATCCGCCATCCTCGGTCCGGCCGCCGGAAGCGTACGTCTCCTTCTCCTCCTTCCGGAACCCGCCAAGGATGCCACCGGCGACACTGCTGATGAAACCACCGAGACCTCCCGACTGTTGAAGACCATCACCGGCCGCGACATCCTGCACCGCACCCTGGAAGCCCTGCTTGACCCCATCCATGATGGCATCCGCAGCCACACCGGCGATCTTGTCTTCCATGGTCTCGGGTGCCTCGTTCCTGTAGTTCTTGTGCATCTTGAGCTTGCCGCCGCACCCGTGACCCGAATCGTGCTGGCCCTCCTTGTGGTTCTCGCCGTTCTCCACGCCCTCGCGGCTCAGCTTGCGCCGGTACTCGTCGCGCTGGCCCTCGTCCATCTCCTCCCACCACTCGCGCACGCTGTCGAAGATGAGGCTGCGGCCCTCCTCGGCGCCGTCGGGCCCCATCTCGCGCTGTGCCGGGTGGTGCATCACGCCGTAGATGATCTTGTTGAGCAGCCGGTCGACGTCGACCGAGTCGTCGTCCCACGCGTTCATCAGCTGGGGCACCACCCACGAGACCACCTTGGAAGCGGTACGGCCGGCGATTTCGTTCAGGATCTGGAACGCCCAGTTAGCTTGGAATCTTTTGCAGCGACACATACACGTCGTTAGTCGTCTCACGTTGGTAAAATGATCCTTGGACAGCATCGAGTGCGTCGGGTCGGTGCAGTTATCGTCTTCGAACACGATGTGCTGCTCGTTCTTGCTGCTGTTGATGATCTCGGAAGCGCCAGTCGCGAGCTCGTTCTTGATCTGTTCAATGAGAGGCACGACGAAGGGGGCAATGACCGAAAAGACGAAAATGGACATCTGCTCCTCCAACTGCTCAATGATCTTGGGCAGGATCGGGATCTTCTCGATGGCCTTTGCGATGTCCATGAGAAGCTGGTCGTGAAACTCGATGGCAGGCATGACCTGCTTGAAGGTGTTCCTGACGTAGAGAGTGAACTCCTCGGGCTCTCTCGGAGACACGCTCATGTTCTCCATCTGGGCAGCCTGAGCGTTGCTCTGGATCTCATCCATCTTCGATTTCTTGTCACTGTTGCCAAGCAAGCCATCGGGGATCTTGTCGAGGAGGTCGCGGAGGAGGCTAGTGTCGTTGTTGCTGCTCTGTTGCAAAGTTCCCTCCAAGTCCTCAATCTCACTCTGCATCATCTTATCGGACACTGTTTCTCGTCAGCTTGTGCGACTGCGCGAGACCCGACCAGCTAATGACATACGCTCTCCAGTAACCGAGTGCAAGAAGTCAACACCACCGAAGGTGCCAGTGACTACGGGATAAACCTCCCGACGAGCACCGGGAATCCGCAGCATGGTGTTGCGGCCGACATGAGGGAAAACGTCCTGCTCGCCCAGCTCGATTAGGGCAAGTTCGGTGTAGTTGCTGTGAGCGAAGAAATCTGCGACGTGGTCAACACTTGGCAAAACATTTTACGTGAAACCAGAGAAGCCGTGGACCTGCGTACCCTCGAGACAGTGCAGGCCAGTGCCCAGCAGGCGCAGAGCTTCGTAGAGTTCATCCTTGTTGTTGGACCGGCCATAGGAGCGGCCCAGCTCGATGCACTTGGTAAACAGACGGCGCACATGCAGGGCCGAGGTCATGATTCCGGCATTCTCGTTGGCAATGTAGTTCTTCATGCCCGACTGCTCATCGACAGCCAGCTCGACCGACTCATCAACAGGGCCGCGCAGACGGCGGTCATACTGTCTCGCGTCCACGTTATCGGCGTAGTTCTTGGGGTTGTCGATGTGGTCCTCCGGGCGGTAGCAGCCCAGGCGCTCGGCGGTGACCTCGAACTCACGGCTCCCATAGCCGAAGGTGAGGAAGCCTAGGATGCAGAGAAGGAGGCGGATGGCCTCAGCGGAGACACTCTTGACCGTGCCGACGTCAATGGCCTGGGAGTAGTCGCGGAGCCAGTTGCCAAAGTAGACACGGGAAACCATCAGCTTGTCGAACCGCTTGCCCCCGACGGCGCGGGCCATGACAATCTTGAGGAGCGCATCCTCGATATCACCGTGACGCCCTGGAAAACACAACAGCGTCAGCGCTGAAAATATATGGGCTAGGGAAGAGTTCGAACGCAATGCAGCTCACAGTTCTGGCCTTCAATGGCGGAAATTCCCTGGATGTTGCCGGCGCCGAAAGCAAGAGTTGGCCGCACGAAGCAGAAGAGAACGATGAAGCCGAGCAGGAACGGGTAGGGTTTGAAGGTCGTCATGGTTGTCGTTTCTTCACTGCCCGCAGTCGATTGGTGTGAGAAGTGCGTGATACGGGGTGTGGTCAAGAGCGGGCAGTCGAAAGGGAAAGAGACTTTTGAACCGAGTCAAGGCCTCGCGGTGTAGTTTATGGTGGGTGTATAGACTCGGGAGCAGAAAGTGGGAGAGTCCAATTCAAATCTCTACGGTATAGTAATGGCTCGGAAGAGATGTTCACCCAACAGCAAAGGTGGACAACCTGGAACATAGTAGTGGGACCTGGTCCCTCGATCAGGCTGCATTAATGCGCCCGCCCAATGCAATGCCGCCCACGATCCAATGTCGAGTTTCAGACGAACTAGAGAGGTGCCAAGCCACCATTCAGCTTGCTTGGTCGCCGTCGTCGCGCGGGGCACACAGAGAGGGGTGCTGTTAGTGGGGGAGAGGTCTTGCGACACGAGCGGGGCAGTCCGCGATGGGACCCTTGCCAACCGAAAACACGGCTGCTGGCAAATGCCGTGCCGATACCGATGCCAAGCGGGACCACGCGTTTGCACAACAAACGGCTCGACGCGCTGTTTTCACCTATGAGATGGGGCACGGCTACCTGACGCCAAATGCAGAAGATATCTTGAGACAGTCACCGGTTTCTTTCATCTCAGGGCTTCAAACCGTGGAAAATAATGTTCATGTAATAGCGGTCTGACGTTTTGGCTGCGGAAAGCTTCATACCAGAGTGGGGAAGCATGAGTGGGGAGGAAATGGTGTCGGGATGAAGCTGCTTCTCGCGAGACCTGCTCAGCTCAACCTGGAAAGCCAAAACTCTAGAGTCTAGACAGGACACGTTAACAAACCACATCACGGTAGCTCTGTCGGGTCATGGAGGCGTTGGTGTGCAGCTGCTCTCCATACACAGATAAGGTGTCTTTCAAGCTGATTCCCGAAACATCAGATGTTCTACACATACTACGCGTTGTTTAGAGGAAAGATCCCGTCGCCAGAGATGACATGTGCCAACACAGAAGCGAGGAATGTGAGGTCGTTATGGCAGGTAAGACACGGCAGCCTACCAAGATGGGTTGTTGAGGCTGGATCGAATAACGGCGGAGAGAGATCAGAGGCATAGGTTGGAAACGTACAGCTTCCATGATCGTGAAGCGATCCGTGATAGGCGCTGCTACCAGGACCCAGGGCGAAGAGGTTCGTCGGGAAGAAAGATTCTAAAGAAACCGCGCCGCGCACCTGAGCTTGTAAATCAGCTGGCCTCCACCCAGCCCTCCACTGATTACTACTACTAGTATCTATAGGTACTGTACCGAGATCAGAGGCCTGCTCTTCCTCTCCAGCAGCTACGCGACCTGCTCTGCAACTCTGGTGGGACTCCAGTTCAACTTCATGGGCCTGTGACCACTCCAGGGCCCTAGCTGTTCTTCATTGGACAGCTAGCAAACCTGTGCGACCACCAATTCTCGCGGTTGAATGCCTAAGCAGCACTAACATGCCACTCCCCCAAGTCTCCCCACGATACCTTAGGTAGCGCGTCTAAGTAGCAGTCACTCTGCAACTCAGAAGGGCACTCGCATCATTCATTAGGAGCCCTCGGGCCAGATCTAATGCTCTAAGCAATGCATCGTGGAGCTTTAGAACTCGGATTCTTTACAGTTGAGAGATCGGCCTAGACGGACTATCCAAGCGACGCAGATTTATATACCTACTCTTCCGGCATCGTAGGCGGAGACAGGTAGTTGGTGAGATCCAGGGCAGCGTAATATAGTGCGGGAGGAAGATCCGAGGTTTGCTGGCGCACCCAGTACTTTATCTAGTACTAGTAGGTACTAGTAGGTAGTACTTGACATTTGAGTTCCATTCCAGCTGCGCGCTGTTTGGGTTACCTAAGTCACCTATAGGTACCTTACCTAATAGCATTGCAGCCTCCGGGCATTGCTGATCGCGTCTCAGCTATCAGCAGTGTGACTATTACTACTAGTAGTGGCTGTAGGCTATAGCAGTAGGCGCCCGGGCTTGAGAAATCCAACCGGATAGAGCGGAATGCCGGGCGTCAGGTGCTCGCGCCCCTTTGACAAGGGACGGTACTGTTCGATAGGTACTGCCAGGACCCTAAATACGGGCAGTGCGCACCTAGACCACAATCAGACTTTAGTCCAGGTAGGTATCGCGTAAGGTACTAGGTATTACACTGAACCGCTATCTCAGGCAGGCGGGCGCCCGGAAGCTTGAGCTTTAGTACCTAAGGTAGGGTAGTGACGGGAGCTGAATGGATGACGGTAATGACGGGAGCTGGCAGCCAGGAGCTCTCTCCATGTTGTGATCCATTCTGCCCGAAATTTTTGGGCGGCAAATTGACCGGAACCCTTCTCAGCGTACAACCTACCTAACCTGCAGCGGGATTTTCTGCCTGCCCCGTCAATTTCCAGCAACTGCCCATGAAATCAGCACAGCACCCCTCTTTTTAGCGACCCACGTATAATTCTCGGGGCAACCCCCTCATCCCCCCCAAAGTCGCTGCCAAAATTTCCTCGCCACCTTCTTCTGTTTTCTAACTATTCATCCACTGCAGCGCCCAGCCTTTAGCACTGAAAGCAAAGGCCAGCTCCACCATCATCGTCCCAAACTCAGCGCCATCATCCCACTGAGTGGACTGGCGCGATAATTTCCGGATTTTCCCAGCCAGCTTATCGCTTCAAACCACCTCATCAACCATGCCGCGCCCGCCAAAGAACAAGGCCGTGCCCGAGCCTGTGGTTCCCGCCGCAGCGCCGGTCACCGTTCCCGTCGCAGCGCCAGCTGCTGCTCTCAACATGAGCATGATGAACATGAGGGCTCCTGGAGGAGGTCCTGTTATCGATCCTGACCAGTTCCTCCGTGTCAGAGATTCGGTAAGCTACAGCTTCATTTTTGCTTCCTCGCAGCGCCACTATCCCCATGCTTGTAAAGCGTCACGCTCTACCGGGCGCGTGTTCGCACTTTTCCAACCGGCCCCGTGGCTATCGCAAGGCTTGGCCAAAGCTGTTTCTGCGCAAGTGGAACATAACAACACGCATTACACTGCTCATACGGGTCCTGGTCGCGTTATCCGATGCGCATCCACACAAGGATTCTACATGTTCAGAGTGCATTCACCTAGTCGCAAACCGCCGCCATGTCTGGGACGCGGCGCAACCTCTTCTGCCCCGTTTCCTACAGCCGCAATAGCGTGGCATCCACATCCCGACAATTGTTTACCATCCTCCTCTTTCGGGTGTCGCCTGGCAACAAGCTCCATTTACCCCTTTTCGCTCTGACGACAGTGGCCTCTGGTTCGAATGAAGACGTGGTCGTGAATGCACTGCTGACTTGTCGACAGGTTTACCAAAGGCTCCTGACAATCCAGGACTTGATGAGATCCTTTTCCCAGGACTTTCTGCGCCAGACCAACCTTCTCATTGGGGAGAGTACCAACCTTGATGATGGAGCGGAGTTGGAACGCATGGCCGGACATCTCACCAATATGGCCAATATGATTCCGGCTGCTTTCGTGCCTCCGCAGCCGCCGGTTGAGGAAAAGAAGGAGCGCAAGAAGCGGACTCACGACCCGAATGCGCCCAAGCGTCCTCTGACCCCGTACTTCCTGTACATGCAGACTGCACGTCCCATCATTGCCAATGATCTTGGAGACCAGGTGCCCAAGGGCGCCGTCCAGGACGAGGGCCAGCGCCGGTGGTCCGTCATGAGCCCGGCCGAGAAGCTCGGCTGGAACCAGGCATACCAGTACAACCTCCGCCTGTATAATGCCCGGGTCCACTCGTACAAGCACGGCAACCCGGATGCCAAGAACATGACAGACGACGAAGCCCGCGCATACGCGGATCAGCACGGCATCGGCCTGCCACCTCTCACGCAGGTCGCCGAGGCGGCGCCGGCCGCTGACGAGGAAGCCATTGCTGAGCAGCTGCAGCAGAGCGCCGCGGCGGAACCGTCGCCTCCCTCGGAAGCTTCTGAGGAGGAGCCGGCGGCCCCAGTGGCCAAGACGCCCAAGAAAAAGGAGACCCGCAAGCGGAAGAGCACGGCGGCAGCGGCGACGCCAGCTCCCGCTGCGGCGGAACCCGAACCCGCCAAGTCCGCAGCAGCGACGCCCGCCAGCCCAGAGGCCAAGAAGCGGAAGCGGGTATCCAAGGCAGTCGAGCAGGTGGTGGAGGAACCTAAGAAGTCTGGTCGTAAGAAGACTAAGGCCTAGAGTTTCTTACCATTGCTTTCTTGGTCTCTTGCCGGTTCTGTCTTCCACACTCTCTTCGGCGTTTCTGGGAGATGAAGTCTCGTTTTCCATTTGATGATACCCTTCCCTGACGAGAGACGGCGGGCTCATATTGCTCCGCTTGTGCGAGACGGGAGGTGTATCATGGCCTTGGGTTACAAAGTCTTTGGTACTCCGGACTTGTAATCCTGATGTTTGCTGCAGAAGCAGTTTTATATCCCCCAATGACGTGAGCGATACACCTCTTGGTGTTGCGCAGAGGTTCCTGGTGGAGGAAGGAATCAGAATGGCTCGGGGGCACAAGCGTGGATGTGTCAGCTTTCGGGTTTATGGACTTTGCACTTTTTTTCTGTATGAGTATTGTGGGTGGTGCTTCAGCTCTGCAGTGGATGACATCAGTGATACACGACAGCACTAATCCCAAAGCTGCACATCTTGTTGGTTCGCAAAAACTGAGGTGTTCCGGCATCAGATGACGAGTGTCTCGGAGGCTCCATGGCGCGTGGAGGACCCCATGGAAGTGTTGCCAGGTCCCGACTCCAGTTACTGCCAGCAGGGACCTGAGCTCCCATCTGATCCAGCCCTGTAATTGAGCGCTACCTACCAGGTGCTCCTCTGCCCCCGAAGCCAGAGCACCGTCGAAGGCTACCCGTCATGGCGACCCCGTAACAAGCTTGCTCAGCACCTACACATACCGTAAGGTACCTGACATGGCCACGCACAGGATGAGTCTCGGCGCCTCTGGACACCACTGTAGGATGCCTGGTACGTACATGGATTATAGGTACTGTACCTTACATCTGCAAGCCGTTTGACTCTGACTCTCAACCTAGGTAGATAGGTAGTGGAGTAACATTTACGGTTTCTTACTGATTACTTGCACACTTGAGATCGGAGAGCAGACAGCCGACATCTCTCTCAGGCTGCTTCTCTGCGAGTCGAGATATGTCAAGAAAGAGGCACCTTATGCTTCACGACAATAGTCAGATCGATCTGAATTGGACAACGAAAGCATACAATTCACCCTCAATGAATAACCAACCCGCTCACCATCATCATCCAAGCCCTTACTTTACCCCGTTGCAACCCTCCGCTCAGTACATAAACCGACTCTGGGCCATGGGCAGCTCGAGGACGGGCTCGGCATCGCACACCACGCCGTCGGCCTCGACGACGTAGCTCTCCGGGTCGACGCTGATGTTGGGCATGGCGTCGTTGAACTTCATGTCGCGCTTGCCGATGGCGCGGCAGTTCTTGACGGGGGCGACGCGCTTGCGCAGGCCGTACGAGGCGACGCGGCCGCTGTCGATGCTGACCTGCGACACGAAGGCCACGCTCATCTCGGGCACGAGGGCGGCGAACATGGGGCGGGCCATCATGGGCTGGATGGAGGGGATCGAGGCGTTGGCGTCGCCCATCTGTGCCCATGCGATCATGCCGCTCTTGACCACGCAGGCCGGCTTGCTGCCGAACCAGGCCGGGTCCCAGAGCACCAGGTCGGCCAGCTTGCCGACCTCGACGCTGCCGACCAGGTGGGCCATGCCCTGGGCGATGGCCGGGTTGATGGTGTACTTGGAGACGTAGCGCTTGACGCGGAAGTTGTCGGCGCCGGTGCCCTCGTCCTCGGGCAAGGGACCGCGCTGCAGCTTGTTCTTGTGGGCGGTGTGCCAGGTGCGCAGCACGACCTCGCCGCAGCGGCCCATGGCCTGGCTGTCGCTGCTCATCATGCTGATGGCGCCCAGGTCGTGCAGCACGTCCTCGGCCGCGATGGTCTCGGAGCGGATGCGGCTCTCGGCGAAGGCCACGTCCTCGGGGATGTTCTTGCTCAGGTGGTGGCACACCATGAGCATGTCGAGGTGCTCGTCCAGCGTGTTGCGCGTGAAGGGCCGCGTCGGATTCGTCGACGACGGCAGCACGTTGGCGTACTCGGCGATGCGGATGATGTCGGGCGCGTGCCCGCCGCCGGCGCCCTCGGTGTGGTAGGCGTGGATGGTGCGGCCCTTTATGGCGCCGATGGTCTGCTCGACGAAGCCCGACTCGTTGAGCGTGTCGGTGTGGATCATGCACTGCACGTCCAGCTCGTCGCAGACGCCGAGGCACGCGTCGATTGCCGCCGGCGTGCTGCCCCAGTCCTCGTGCAGCTTGAGTCCGCACGCGCCCGCCTCCACCATGTCACGGAGCCCGCACACGTCGCTGTCGTTGCCCTTGCCCGTGACGCCGATGTTGACCGGCAGCTGGTCGAGCGCCCGGAGCATCTCGCGCGTGTAGTACGCCCCGGGCGTGCACGTGGTGGCCGTTGTGCCGGCGCTGTACACGAGGCGTAAAGGGGAAGGACATTGTCAGCGGATCTCACATCTCTCTCATCTCTCTACCCCTGAAAGCTGGCGGGAGTTGCTTTTTCTTTCTTTTTTATTTTTACTCACCTTGGCCCCGTCCCGCCTCCGAGCATCGTCGTGATGCCCGTCGCGATCGACTCGTCGGCCTGCTGCGGGCAGATGTAGTGGATGTGGCTGTCGATGCCGCCGGCCGTGAGGATCTTCCCCTCGCCGGCGATCACATCCGTGCAGCTGCCCACGACCATGCCCGGCGTCACCCCGTCCATGACATCCGGGTTCCCGGCCTTGCCGATGCCGACGATGAAGCCCTCCTTGACGCCGATGTCGGCCTTGTAGATGCCCGTCCAGTCGACCACCAGCGCGTTCGTCACCACGAGATCGAGCGTCTCGGCATCCGTCCGCCCCGTCGCCTGGCCCATGCCGTCGCGCAGCGACTTCCCGCCGCCAAATTTGCACTCGTCGCCGTACACGGTGTAGTCCTTCTCGACCCTGATCCACAGATCCGTCTTGCCGAGCCGGACCCGGTCGCCCGTCGTCGGGCCGAACATGGTCGCATACGTCCTGCGGTCCAGCGTCGCGCCCTCGGTCGTGGTCAGGAAGGCCGAATCGCCCGCCGGGTCGGGGGCATGCGCAAACCCGGCCTGTTGCAACCTCTCCAGGATCTCCTCCGCCCGGCGCAAGTCCACCACCCCGGAGGCCATCCCATTCCCACCGCGGATCACTTTGCCTCCCGCAATCTCCACGAGCGTCACCGTCTTGGTGTCGCCGGGCTCGAACCGCACCGACGTCCCCGAGGCCACGTCCAGCCGGAACCCGTACGCGCGCAGCCGGTCAAACTCCAACTGGGGGTTGACCTCGATGAAATGGTAGTGGCTGCCCACCTGGACGGGCCGGTCCCCGCGGTTGGTCACCCTGAGTCTGGTCCGCCTGCGGCCCTCATTCAGCCGGACCACTCCCTCCTTCACAGCAGCAACAACAACCGCCCCGGGCTGGCGCTCGGGCGCGTACTCCTCCGCGGGCGGCAGCGGGAACAGCTCGGCCGCGTTTTGCGGGACGGGCAGGAAGCTGCCGTACAGGGCGCGCGCGAGGTCGCCGTCGTCGGTCGCGATCGGGTTCTGCACCGTCACCAGGAAGGTGCCCGAGGGGAACGTGCCCTCGATCTGCACCTCGTGCAGCGTAGAGCACACCTCGGGCAGCACGTGCCGCCGCCCGAGCATGGTGGCGCCCAGCGACATGAGGTCCGCGACCGTGTGGTGCCCGTCGCGGATCAGTTCCTGGAGGGTCGAAGCGATGAGGGCCTTTTTATTTTATTTTTATTATTTCATTTCATGAGTAATCATTATTATTATCATCATTAACGTGAGGCGGATAAATCAAAGCGTGTGATGAGTACTAGTAGGTGTTCTGACTTACAGTGGCCTCGACATGGTTCAGTCGCACGCCCCGGGCCAGGCGCCTCTGGGCGAGGAAGCCCAGCTGCGAGATGGTGATCTTGTCGATCTGCGCAGAAACAGCATTGTGTCAGTTGTACAGTCCGTGAGTATATCCTCTCATGATCTATCTCATAGTGGAAACCGAATCAAATGCTGAGGCAGAAGGTAGTAGGCGTGACAAATGCCAATGCTCAACTGACCTCTCGCGGTATGAGATGCATCTTGGCGCGCTGCTTGATTAGGCCCTTTACAGCCCTATGGATGCACCTGGGTGGTACAGATTGCTAATAGAGATGGCACCTGGGTGAGAAGGCAGGACTCGTCGACAAAGCAGCAGCTGTTGTGGAAATACTGTCTACAGCTCTCTCATAAATACATATCAACAAGGACTCCAGAGACTCCGTCTTCTACACTACAGGTAGTCCATCCGTTCCCGGCGCAGTGGGTTGAGTGACCCCGCTTCCACTGATAAGCTTACTGTTGGTCATTGCCTAGATCAATCCAGCATCGGGGAGAGATAAGGAAGTTCTATAACCGTGTGCTATTATGTACTGTGGTACCGTACCACTTTACAAGGGCGTACCGACATACCATAGGTGGTAGTTACGTTGAGACTAGGAGGTATCTTGGATGTATTACCTATGTAGCGTGAACGTCTACAACAGGAAGACCTGAAAAATACCATGTTCCAGTTCACGCCTCTGAATGCTGTCTTTAGTCCTGTGTCCCAAAGCGCCTCGAGAAAGGAAGGTACCTGAGTTACCAGAGATCTCCGAATGTGAGCTATCCATGTGCAACCCAACCAGGGAATAAACCAGTCAATATGCCCAAACAACGCCATCCAATGCTCCATAACATCAAACAAGCTCTCAAGACTGTTCAATCAGCTTCTCCTGCCCCGATCCCCTAGCCAAAACCTCCTGGATTCGGTCCTTCTCGATCTCCCTGATCCTGCTCCTTGCGTCCTCCAGCCTGTGTACACCTCGATTAATCGTATCGACATGCACACTCAGTGGTACGCCCGCCCGTTCTCCGGCCAAGCCGGGCTCCGCGACCCGGTCCCGCAAGTCACCTAGCGCCGCCTGGATTTTCTCCAGGTCGCTGACCAACTCGGTAAGCTGTCGTATGGCGTCCGACCGCTGCGCGTCGACGTGTCGGAGCAGCGACAGCTGGCGGTTCAGGTTCGCGATCTGGCTTCTGCTGCCACCCACGAGTGCCCACAGCGTGGACAAGATCTCGTCTCTGCGGACCCGGACCGATGTTTGGGTGCGCGCGACGAAATCGTAGATGGCCTCGGTGTGCTCTCCCGCCTTGGAGAGCGTGGCCAGCACCGCCTCCGCCTGGTCGATCAGCTTGGCGATCTTGTCCGAGACCAGCGTCGCGTGCTCGACGTACGTGTCGACGAGCTGCCGTTCCGTGAAGACCACAGGCTGAAACGGGGCGAAGACTCGGCTTATCCACGCGCCGACGAGACCGCCCTGGTGTTGCTCGCCGTTGCCACCGTCTAGCGTGTCGAGGTGGCGCGAAGTCCACCGGTTCATGCTGATAACCCAGTCGATGGCTGAACCGATGCGCGCGTTGAATTTCTGAATGTCTCGGGAGACCGTCCCCACGGTGTCGACGAAACCATCCAATTCCAGGAGCAGCTCGTCCTTGCCCTGGAGGGTGCTGTAACGGACCAAGATCCTCAGGTCCCGGATCGACGCTTCCGTGCGCTTCATCTCGATCGACAAAGGCACGCCGTGCGCTGACTTCTCTACCACCCGTCCGAGCTGCTCCTGGACGTCCATCAAGCTGTCAAACTCGACGCCTGGTTTGCGCTCTTCGCCATCCGCCGTTGCCGGGCCAAAGTCCGGGCAGAACGGTAGTTCTAGCAGAGACGCTCCTGGGATACGACATATCGGAGTTAGGGCTGTGTAAAAAGACTTCGTCGCCAAGTTCTGCAGCAAGATGATGCCGCCGAAGGCCACATATAAGGACAGAAGCACCGCCAATGGCTTCTGTGCATAGCGTAGTGCAAGTCCAACGAGACCAATGACCCAGAAAAGTGCATCGAGCGTAGCTCCGGCCAACGACGCAGACACACGGTCGCCAAAGGATGGCCGCGCGTCGGTGTACGGCCTCTGGTCATTATTGGTGCGCTGTTGCTCACCGGAGCTCCCCGTCGTCCCTCCTTGGCGGCGCCTTAGCCCACGCGCCGGTGGTGGCGGAGAAATCGCCCTTACGGTCGTTGTCGACCGGGTGCTCGCCCTCCTCCTCGGGCTCTCGACATCGACCTTGGGCATGTAGAATTCCGGCTCGGGAGAGCGATGCCTCGCCATGTCCCTGGAGCTCTGGCGCACGGACTTTGGGACCGACGGGCGGAACGGCGACCGCAGCAGGACCTGCTCGTCCTCCTCGGCCTTGCTGAGGAAGTTCTCGATGCTGTCGTCCTGCGAACCCCCAATACTCCACGGCTGGGATCCACCGATGCTGTAGGGTTGCGACCCCGTCTGCTGGGACGGGTCGCTGCCCTCCGAAATCATGAACTCCTCGTCATCGTGCAAGACGGACGTGTCGAAGCTGTCGTTCTCGCTCACGCCCTCGACCATGCGCCAGGAGCTCTCGGGCTGGAAATCTCGCCTCGACGAGGAGCGCGTTGTGACCATGGTGACACCGCCGGGGACTCGCACAGCGGGTCACGTCTCGGGAACTTTCTCACGCGCAACACTTCAGCGACCCGCGCGGAGAGATGTCCCTGATATATCCGGCAGCGGCGAGATGTGTACGTTGCGAGATCACGCGTCGCGTCTAAGTGGCAAACCCAGGGAGGGAAGGCAGCAGCGCCGTATTATAGGCCTCTGGCGCTGAAAAGTGGGGGGGCGGTTTCGCTATCCTAGTTGTCGAGTCCCTAGTAACAAACACAATGAGTCACTGCAGGCAGCAGAGCGAGAATCCGAGTATTGAGAGAAAGCGTTGTTTGCTTGCGTGTCGAAAAAAGACATCTTTGGAACCTGCCCGCGTTTGCTTTCTCGTTGTTGGTGTTCGATTGTTGAAGGTGACGGGAGTGGCTGGTATTTGAATGGTTTCACGAGTCACAAGAAATCCGCTGACTCGTGCAACAGACCCGTGCAGGAATGACACGGTAACTTACCGATCAGCTGCACCGTTGTCTGCCCCTGTCCACACCGTCCAACAAGGTGCCCGGCAGCTGCAGGGATCCCCGGGCATCGCAAACTCGATGGAAAATGGGGCTCGGTTGATCAGAGCGAGATAAGGTTTGACAGTGCCACATGCACACCATAACCCCCAGCCTTTTGCGACAGTCAGCAGGATGCGCTTCCTGCGAGCGCGGATATGGCCTTCGCAGTTGTTGACCAGACAGTGTAGGGTTTTGCCACAGAGGAATCCATTCCGCGCGAGCCTGCCCCGATTCTGTGCGTCTTGCGATGCTCCCAAAGAAGCGAAATCAGATGCTTCCGATGCCTCCCCCAGGGAACCGAAACCTGATGCACCCGACCACCGGGTTCTTGGGCTGCAGCAGGAACTCTTCTTGACATCTATCTACAGTCCCGGCTCGCCCATCCTTCTTCCTAATGGCGCGCGCATCTTCAACCGCCTGCTCGATTTCCTACGCAAGCAATATGTCCGCTACGGCTTTCAAGAAGTCATCACGCCGACCATCTACAAAAAGGCGCTCTGGGCCACGTCGGGACACCTCGAGAACTATGCCGACGACATGTACACGGTGACTGGCGCATCTCACTCGCACGACGAAGCTACCGAGGGCGGCGAGGGGGAAGAGTACGGCCTTAAACCCATGAATTGCCCAGGCCACTGCCTCATCTTCGCCTCGAAGAAGCGTAGTTACCGCGACCTCCCGATCCGCTACGCCGATTTTAGCCCGCTACACCGGAACGAAATTTCGGGTGCGCTCAGCGGCCTGACGCGCGTTCGAAGATTCCACCAGGACGATGGGCATATCTTTTGTCGGCCCTCCCAGATCGCCGATGAGGTCTCCAAGACGCTCGATTTCGTGCGCCTCAGCTACGGTGTCCTTGGCCTTGGGCCATACCGGCTAGTGCTCTCAACGAGGCCAGAAAAGTATATTGGCTCGGAAGTGGAGTGGGAAGAGGCGGAGAAAGCGTTGAAGAAGGCGCTCCACGGCAGTGGGAACCCCTTTACCGTCAATGAGGGCGACGGCGCCTTCTACGGCCCCAAGATCGACATCATTTTGAAGGACTCGGACGGAAAGGAACACCAGACGGCCACTATTCAGCTTGACTTCCAGCTTCCAAAGCGATTCAATCTAGAATACATGGCGCCTGCCCCACAGTTGGAGATACGGGGCGAAACAACAAATGACCCCGAGTTGCTGGCCGAATACGGGCTGGTGCGGCCGGTACTCATCCACCGGGCCGTGCTCGGCTCGGCGGAACGACTCATGGCGCTACTAATCGAGCGCTATAACGGAAAGTGGCCTTTCTGGCTCAATCCGCGCCAGGCTGTCATCATTACTGTTAACGACCAGGAGCACGTATTAGAATGGGCACGCCAGATGCACCGCCTGTTCTTAGGCCTCCCGGATGACCACCAGCCCCCGTCGTACAACCACGGCTATGCGCCGACCGGCCTTGCCATAGACTTCGATGACAGTCCCCGCACCGTCGGTGCCAAGGTAGCTGAAGCCAAGGCCAAGGGGTACGGGCTGATTATCACTATCGGTCCCCGGGATGTCGCCGCGAAGACGGTATCGGTCAACGCGAGCGGCTTGTCAACGGATGCAGGCGACAGCCAGCAGCGGACTGGCGGTATGGAGCGGCGGACTAGTAGTATGGCGCCCGAGGAGGCCCTCCAGTTCATGCTTGACAAGGTGAATACGTATCAGTAGACTCACAGCTCAGCGATCAGGTCTGATGGCAAGGGAACAACATTGTAACTATTATGATAGATGGTGTACTATAACGGGGCAAAAAAGTGAAACGGTGAGCTGAAATGGTGGATGGACAGCTACTAGTAGAGACTTACAGCGCTTTATTACTGTTGTACTGTGTAATGCTCACCCCAGCACCGATGACGCAGCATGCCAACTTGGGAAGGTGGGGTCACACAGGCTGTTTAAGCTTTCAAGCTCCCGCCCCCCCGGGCACCCCTTAAGTCCACAGAGGTACCCGCCTCAAGCACCCAATTCCATCGAGTCCTATCAGTGACTGATGAAGCATCTGCAACGCGCAGCCGCCTTCTGCAAACTTTCGCCCGCCAGATCGACCAAGTACCACACATACAACGCCATGGACCTCACCAACCCCTCAGACCCTCCGCCGGACTACATCACGGCTGCCCGCTCCCATGGCATCCACCTGCGCCAGAGCGCGCCTATTAGGAAGGGCCCCTACCCTCTCGAGCTGCCCATCCTCACCTATCTGCGCTCCAAGCGGGTGATTCTAGCTAGCGCCTCTCCCCGCCGAAAAGCCCTTCTCACACAAGTTAGCACTACCTCCCCTTCCGCCGTTCGATAGTACAATGAGGGCAGGGAAAAGCTCACGTCAGCTTAGCTCGGCCTCTCTGACTTTGAGGTGTGGCCATCCTCCGACCCAGAAGACCTGGACAAGAAGTCGCACACGCCCGAGGAATACGTCGCCGCCACTGCGCAGCGGAAGTGTCTGGCCGTCTATCAGGCGGTCCTAGACAAGCAACAAGAACAGCCCCAAGACTCCTCCGCCAACGAGCCGAACCCGCGCCAGCACGAAGACCCGGCCGTGGTCATCGCAGCCGACACCATCATCGCGACCCGCTCGGGCCAGATCCTGGAGAAGCCTCGCTCCGAGGCCGACCACGTACGCATGCTGAAGCACCTGCGCGACACGGTGCAGCACCGCGTCCTGACGTGTGTGTGTGTGCTGGCGCCCAAGGCGGATGCGTCGCACCCGGGCTACGAGATGGCGTCGCATGTCGAACACACTAGCGTGTACTTCGCCGGGGCCGAGGACGGGCTGCCGGACGACGTGATTGAGAGCTATGTGCGCACGAGGGAGGGCGCGGACAAGGCCGGCGGGTATGCGCTGCAGGGGGTGGGCGGCATGGTGCTTATCGAGAAGGTGGAGGGAAGCGTCGATAACGTGATTGGCCTGCCGGTGAGGAAATGCTTGCAGTTGTGTGAGAAGGTGGTGTTTAGGCAGGGGGAGGAGGAAGGTGAAGAGAGTGACTGAGGGAATCGCGATGATACTGTGGAGTAAGGAGTCCATGGTTGGGAACGGAGATGAACATGTCCAAGGGTGACGACAGACGGACAGAATCTTGCCGGCGGATTGGGAAACCAGTATACTAGGTACAAAATAGGTACCTAGTTGAGGTAATGGCACTGATCCCAACTTAGATGTTGTGACAAGCCGTTCTAGCTCGCCCGACCATCTTGCCAGCGACCAACAACCTTCTGCATTTGAAGGCGTGGGAGGTCATCAGCTAAAGTTGGGTTGCTTCTGTGTATGAAAATTGTGGACTGAGGCGCCAGCATCTAGCATTTCGGGATGTCCGCTGCGGGATCTTGCCCGTCGATGTCTCTCAGGTTTTCCATCAAGAAGGGGAAGTAGGCTTGTATCACATGCTGGGGGAAGAAACATGTTACAGTACAAGAGTGATCTGACACGATTCCCCCGTCCTTCCACTGCGATCTATGACAGCTGGGACACTGTCTCACTGTGGGGTAAACTGATAGACCTAGTCATGTATGCACAATAGTACAGTAAGGTAAGGTGCCTTCCTGATAACCGTAGGGCTGTGGCAGGTACGGAATCTCTCGCTGTCGTAGGACCCCTGCCCTAGTCGCTACGGGAACTCCGCTGCAGTGTGGAGACTTTGCCTTAGTTATCGCTTATCGCTTGCGTATCGCTGGTTCAAAAATTGGAGCGATCAACGCATCTTCAACACCGAAAGCAGAGAGCAGCCGAAGTAATTGAGCATTCCGTCTGCAACGCGAGAATAATTCACCCTAGCGATGTCGTCTTTACGGAATAGGTAAAGATGCAACAACAGCCCTCGAAATCAAACGCCCCAAATATGCTGACCCGGAAACGTGTGTTAGCGTCCAGCGGCGCGCTCATCGCGAGCGGGCGCAGCCCCTGGAACGGCAGCGGCTCGGCCTGCTCGAGAAGCACAAGGACTACCAAAAGCGGGCGAAGGACTACAACAAGAAGAAAGCCGTGCTCAAGTCACTGCGGCAAAAGGCCGCCGAGCGCAACGAGGATGAGTTCTACTTCGGCATGATGTCCCGCAAGGGCCCGGGCTCCTCCATCACGCGCGGCAAGTCCTTCACCGGCATGGTTGACGGCGACCGCGGCAACAAGGCGATGGACGTGGACACGGTCCGGCTTCTCAAGACGCAGGATCTAGGCTACATCCGGACGATGCGGAATGTGGCTGCCAAGGAGGTGCGCGAGCTGGAGGAGCGGTTCGTCCTTGCTGGCGGGACGGAGCAGGTCGGGGACGATGAGGACGAGGACAGCGATGACGACGTGGGCCCGCCTACCTCTCAACCACAAAAGCCTAAAAAGATCGTCTTTTTCGATGCGCCCGAGGAGAGAGAGCGGGCGTTGGAAGCACAAGCGGATGATGAAGACGACGAGATGCAAGACGACGACGGAGGGGAGGAGGAGGATGAGCAGGCAGTAGCGGCACGTCGGAAAGCACAGAATCTGGAGAAGCTCGGGCGGAGACTAAAGGCGGCTAAGAAGAAGCTCAAAGCGCTGGCGGACGCCGAATACGAGTTGGAGTTGCAGCAGGCCAAGATGGCAAAGACGGCGACGTCAGGGGGTATCACAAAGAGCGGTCGAAGGTTGAGAGTAAGGGAGAGGAAGAGGTAGTGGCGGGAGTGTTGGTTGCTTTACCCGCCTTGCATATCCCTTGTTTGACGTCTGCGACTCCATATCCCCTACTGTACGAGAAGTCTGGCCTTGTACCGGGAGGGCTTATTGTGCACAATGCCCAACGCCAGAATACGATGACCATTAATGATCCGAATAAACCCGTTATACCAAGATCAGACGCTGCTTTCCGGTCATTGCATTGCCATTATCATTTCTCGTTCCCTCGTTCTGTCCAACGCCCAATTAACCCTCATAACTTGCCCAAGCCGCAGCATTTCGTCAGCCCCGACAAGATGGCCATGAGCGTCTTGAAAGCCACCGTCGCGCACCACACAAAGCACTTGAATGTGACTGTGATCAGGCCTACGAGCACCCTCAGCACTCCTGGCAACCTGTCGTTGTCCCCCTTTTTCAGATCGCTGCTCTGGCTCTCCAGATCCATCTCAAACTGCTCCATCCTCGCCTTCTTTCCCTTCTTCACACTCTTCTTCCTCTTCCTGTCGTCCCTCCGACTGCTAAGCCGACTCCAACTCCTGCTCCCACGACCACCACTCCCTTCCCCGCCACCAGCGCGGGCGGAATACACGCTCCCGTTCGGCCCGCCGAACACAACCGGCGGCGGCTCAAACACCTCGGCCACACCTCCTCCTCCTCCCCCTCCTCCACCTCCGATAGAGCGGGCCCTGACATCCCCGTGCGCCACCAGCACTAGCGCGGCAACCACCACATCCACGAGGTACACGGCGTCGATCTTGCTCGCGATGCCCGTGTCGACCTCCAGCCAGCCCGCGCCCGTGCCGTCGCGCACCAGCCGCGCGAGGTGCACGGGCGACTCTAGGTGCTCCAGCGTGTACTCGGTCCGGCTGTAGGCCGGGCTGCGCTCGACCGTCACGCAGAAGGGCATGGCGAGCGCCGGGTGCACGAGGAAGTGGTTGCCCGAGTCGGCGTCCCAGACCAGGCGGGCCGATTCTTGTTGGGCCAGGGCGACGGTGGCCGCGTCGTTGGCGCGGTCAGCCACCAGGCGCGCTGCGGCGGTTGGCCAGAGGTGGGCTAGCAGGCCGTCGTTGTTGCTGTTGTCTTCGTCGTCGTCGTCGGTGTGAGTGTTGGTGTTGGCGCCGGCGGGGGTAGAGGCGAGAGTGGTGGAAAGGACCTCTTGCCAGTATTTCTGATGCTTTGGGGACGTGGTTGACGGGGTGTGGGCTGCGTTTTGGAGGTTGACGACGTAGTTCGACTGGCGGCTTGAGGAGGAGGCGCGCGGCGAAGGGGAGGAGTTGCGGGAATCCGGGTTGGGAATGGCAATCGTGGAGGATGATGTGTTGCTGCCGGCTTTGAAAGGTTTGTTGGGGTCGTAGCGAGAGAGAGTGACGAGGGCCGACGCTGAGGTTGGGTCGACCCGCAGGCAGTAGAAGGGCTGGCCGGAGGAAGAGGATAGGGCGTATGCAGGCGGTGCGTCTGGGGACATGGCCATCTTAAGGCAGTACCTCCGCCCTTCGAGGGACGAGGCTTTCCAGCCGTTGGTTACCTTCCACAGCCCGCGGAGCTCCTCCGTCGTGCTGACCGGCGGCATCACGGTTGGTTCGTGGTGCCGCTGCCCCGGGGCTGGCGGCCAGCGGACATGCGAGTTCGCTGTTTGCCCGGGGCTGGTCATCTGGGCGCCTGACTGTCCGCTCGAGGAGGCGCCGGCGGGTGGGGAGTACATCGGCCTGCTAATGGCGGATTGGGGGATGTGGGTTGGGCTCGCTTGGGTCGGATAGTAGTCTTGCTGATTCAGAGGCACGTGTGGATTATATCGGGGGAAGATCGACCGGATGGGTGCCGGCTCTTCAGATTCCCCTGGTTGCGAAGACGTCGACGGCCCGGCCATGGTGTGGGCTATCGGGGGTTTGGCTATAGAGCTCCTCGATCTCTGGCTCGAGCTGCGCACCAGGGTCTGGGCCTCGGAGAAAGCTGTCTCGCATCGCTGGGGAGTTTCGGTCACTGGCTGGGAGCAAGTCGTCTCGACTACCGGATCCTCGACTGTAGCAGCGGCTGCGGACGGGCCTGCCGTACTCCCGGCGGATGGTTGTCTCTTCCCCGCATCGAGTGCATGCTGCCACGGGTTGTTGGATACGGCTCTTGGGTTGGTATCCCTGGCTGATGAATCTCTCCTGTGCCTCCCCGCACGCGGAGGTGTCACCTCGAACGAGCTAGCCGGCCCTTCCTGGGGCGTAGCTGCGCGAGGCCGGCTCTGGGATCTTGATGGCGGCCGCGGGGCACTGTTGGGGTTGGGAAAGAGGGAAAACCCTCCAGCTGGAGCCGCGGACATGGCGAATTAGGAGCTCTGCTCTCCTTGACAACGGGCGAGGCCAAGTCGCCGTGTCCTTTATTCTCTCTCGAGTCGTGCTTGCAGCTGCGCGCCAACGGCAAAGACGGGTCGAACTACAACCCAGCGGTAAAGCCTATTACCGACACATGACGGTCCGGACCGGATCAACGGAGGAGAGGCTTGACGGGGCTTTGCTCGTCTCCCGGCTGCTCGAGCGAACGATCAGTGACGAAATGGATCCAGAGCCACGGGAATCGGACGAGCAGGGGAATCAATGATTTTATTCGGAGTCTTCTTTGAGGTGTATATGAGTGATCGCCCACAGCTCAACCCCCTTGTCCATGTCCCTGTGTCCGTCCTCGGGGGGCGGGTGTGAAGCGGGAACAGCGCATCTTGGGGCGCTTGCGCGAGGTAGATTTCAGGGCAAGTCTCGGCGTGCAGGTAGCGGGAAGGAAGGTGCCAGCCAGCGGCCAGCCTATCGTGGCCCCTTGTTCCCTCATGTCTGCATGGAGCCGTGCACTACCTATGGAAGCTCGCCTTTCCGATTGCGAGTGAGATTCGGTAGTGCTAAGCGCCGGACGTTCCCTCCAGACCGTGTCGCCCGCTATGAGTGGGTGGAGGTTGGGGTTGCCCCGCGAAAGATGTGCGGGAGCGGACGAGATAGACGCCCAAAATAGATCCTGCTGCGGAGCACCCCGGTCAGCACCGACCAATCAGCGACGAAATCACCGTGCAGCTAGACGCTGTCCAGCTGTTCGTCGGTTTTGGCTTCAAGCAGCATTACAGATTCGCGCTTCCCGCTCGAGTAACCTTAATAATAAGCAGCGATGCGACCGTATTCAGCAAGGCTGGGCCAGCGGTGCGTTTTCTCTACTAGCTTAGCAGTCAGTTGACATCCAAGCTGCATAACCAAATCTCAAGTCCACCGAAAGCTGGCTGATCAATGGCGCCCTAACCCGACACCGATGCTCAGTACTAAGCCACCGGAGGAAGGTGGTTTTGGAGAGATGTTCTCCCATTTCGTCGTTGCTTCCATTCCTTCTTTTTGTCTCGTCTTTTCTTCTTTCCCCGTGATTTTTAATTCAGAATGATCTGGTCCCCGCTTAGTCTCTAGTGCGGCAAGTGCGGGCTTGGTGAACGAAGGTGGGCCGGAGCGGAAATATCTTGAAGGTTCAAGTTGTCACACGGAACGCAATGCACATTCTCCTGCTCTAATAAGTGATGCAACAAACAGATCAACATGAACAACGGCCCGTCCCACCCATTCCATGAGAGGGTGATCTTCCATATGTCTTTTCCGTTCAAGTTTTACACCGAGCCTCTCCTTTACATCGGGAACAACCAGACCCTGCTGAGATCGAGAAGCCAAAAATTGGATGCGTTGCCAATGACGGCTAACAAGACATCCTGTGTTGAGTGTGTCTACACTCGCAGAGAGCTGGACGGCGGCGCGGGAGGCTCTGTAAGTCCTGAGGTTGTGTCCTGACCCTGACCCTGCTCATTCCGAGTTTGGCACACACTTCTTAGTAGGAAGCAAACCCAAGGACCAGTACCGGCAAGAGTGCTGTCCGACTAAATTGGACGCTTGCACGTCAGTCCGTCGTCTCTACGCTCTCCGAGTTCTAACGTTCGGAAGGACCAAGCCGAATATGCACATCAGCGGAAGGCCCACGTACGCGTCCCACGGGAAAAAAAGAACCGCATAACAGTTCAATTTTGTTGGTCGAATCTTGAACCATACAATGCAAGCATTCTTGTCCTGAGCTCCATACTTCAACCGAGCCGAGCCGGGGTTGGGGCATCGGCTCCGCTCTTGAGACCGGCGGAAACCGGATCGCCGTCGATTGCCGGCAAAGGATCCACTTGGCCGTGCGGGGCCGCGAGCCCTGATCGGAGCGGACTCGGAGCCTTACGTTACATCGCCGCTTCTGTCGATGTATGCCTAGGTGAGGTGGTCTGAGCCATGGGCAAAGGGATGCCGAGGCTGGATTCTACTAGTCTGTTGTCCGTTGAGTCTCACCTGGTCTGCCCAAGCGTCCAGGTTACCCCTCTTGGATGTTCGTTGCGCCACGAGATAGCGACGAGGGACAGAGGCAGGCGTCTATTAGAGAGCCTCGTCTCTTCATCGGCTTGGCACCCCTGACATACAAATTTATATGTACCTGGTGCCTTCTTGAATGATTGCTTTCTTCGGCCCTATCTCTGACCTTCATGCGTCCAGCTGCTTGAGTATCCCACTGAACACAGAACATATTGGAACCTTCCGGCTACAGACCACTAAACCCATAGAGCTATGTCACAACACGTGGCTGTCGTTGGGTAAGATATTTCTTTCTCTTCCAAGTTCGATGCCAACATGGAACCTGACAGCATCTAGTGGCGGCGTCATCGGCCTCAGCTGTGCCTTGCTTCTTCGGCAGGGCGGCTACGCCGTAACCATCATCGCTCGGGACTTCCCTGCGCCCTTCGAGACCATGGACCCTTCCACCAAGATCAACTACACCTCCCCCTGGGGCGGTGCTCGTACGCTCTAGCCTTTGAAATCCTTTTCAGCCCAGCCTCAACCACTAACATCTGGGAAACAAGACAACCGCTGGGTGCCTCCACACCCCTCCCTCCCGGCCTCCCTCAAGCGTGAGCACGAGATGTCGCTCCGGACCTTCGCGCACATGAAGAGCCTGCACGCGTCGCACCCCCATACCGCGGGCATTACCTTCCTCAAGGGGATTGAGTACATCGAGTCTCCCGCGCCCGAATACCTCGCGCTATCGACGCCGTCCAACCCCAACGCCCTCGATCTCCCGGGCTTCCGCTTGCTCGACGCCTCCGAGTTCCCCGCCGACGGCAAAGTCACGTGGGGCTGTGAGTACGACACGTGGTGTGTCAACCCGATGGTGTACTGCGCCTTCCTGCTGCGCCGGTTCGTGCACCGCGGGGGCCGGGTGCTGCAGCGGGAGCTGCGCCGGCCCGAGGAGGCCTTCTCGCTGCTCGCGTCAGAGGAGCCCGGCCTGGGAAAGATCGCGGCAGTGGTCAACGCGTCCGGCACGGGTCTTGTCCCGGACCCGGCCATGACCATCACCCGCGGCCAGACTTGTCTCGTGGCCGAGGAGTGCGATGCCACGGTGACGCGGCAGAATGCGGACGGCAGCTGGACCTTCTGCGTCCCCCGCGGCTTTGAGGGCGGCACGATTATTGGCGGGACGAAGGAGCTGAACGATTGGAATCCCAAGCCGTCCATGGAGGTGAGGGAGAGGTTGTTGAAGCGGTTTGCGGAGACGTACCCTAAGATTCTCAGCGGAAAGGCCGAGATGACGGTGATTAGGGACATTGTCGGGCGGAGGCCGACGAGGACTGGCGGGCCGAGGGTCGAAGGCGAGCTGGTGCCCGGTGCCGGGTTTGTGATGCATGCGTACGGGCTTGGTGGAAGGGGTTATGAGCTGTCGTGGGGGGTCGCCGAGGCCGTAGTCGAGGGAGTGGAAAGGCATGTCAAAGGTGAAGAGCCAAAGCTGTAGCCAGGTCGTTCTTGACGAAAGCACTCGCACTCCCCAACCACCCCTTCCCCTCTATGAGTATACGTAATTTCCTTGCGCTCGTCTTCCAATTGTGTTGTGATGAGGTTGATATCCATTACAGAGTTGCGTACTCGAGCGTGAAGCCTTGATCATTCATTCCATGCCATCCCACCAGCTCCCTCCCCTGCGCTCTCCCCGCCATATCTATACATAAGGTAGCGAGCATTGCCCGCTCAACCGGTCCCAGGTATCCGAAACATTACACAGTCGAACAGTGGCTCTTTTCTTTTCTGTTCCCGTACCGACGCCCCATCTCTTTCCTTCCTCCCCGAAACAACACTCTCACGTACGCCCTTCCCCACCCGGCGTCACCTCCCCTCTTCTTCCGCATGTCGTTGCTGCGTCCCCTGTAGTTGTGATGTCCGACTCCTACTCGGAAACCCGCCGACCCTCTCGCCCCTCTTGAGCTTCTCCATCTCCCTCTGCGCCGCCTCGCGGTCCTTCTCCGGTAGGCCCCACCACTCGCGGAGGAAGGCCTCCTGCTCGGCCTTGCGGCGCGCCTTCCGCTCCCGCTCCCGCTGCCGCTCGAGCCGCTGGGCGAACCACTCCTCGCGCGCGGCGTCCTGCTCCTCCTGCGTCGCGTGCGCCTTCATGCAGCTGTTCATGATGCGGTGCGGCTCGCGGCAGGCGAAGGAGGTCGTGAAGGTGCGGCCTAATGCACAGTCGGCGAAGGCTGTGACATGTAAGGATATGCTTTGGTTAGTGACGGTACGCCTTAGGTGGTCATGTGAGAATGCGGCTGGTGGGGGTTTTGTTGTGGCGACTGCTTGAGGCTCGGAAAGGACAAGAAGATGAAGCCTGGTGTGGGATGTGGCCTCCCCGGGATACACACACACCTTTGATTTCATCCGCGCACTTCTTCCGCACCCGCGCATGGAAAATATCCCTGATCTGAGCCTCCTGCGACGCCGACAGCGGTAGCGGGTTGCGCGACGGCATGGGCAGGCGCTCGGCCTGGTCGCCGGCCCCTTCCGCGACCATGGTGGCCATTCACTGGGACGGGATCTTCTGGTTCGGCTGCCGGTGCGTGTGTGCTACTAGTACTGTATGTCGCAGTCGGCGCTGCTGTAGCTCCTCAATTGTAGTTTGGACGTGTCGAGCTGCTGGAATTGGGTACGAAAGGAAGGTGCTCGGTCGTGGTGTTGCTGCTACGAACTTGCTGGTCATGCGATTGGATGTTGTTTGATGGGCGGTTGAAGGTCCACTGAAGGTCGGAGCTTCGAAGCTGAATTGTCCGAGACACAGTGCGAAACGACAAGCGATCTACACCCTCACACCATCACAACCAACAACATACTACGAGTCTCAAACTTCCGTTGCTACATCAACCGACTGCTCATTTTCTATATACATTTGAGCAGTGATTGTACCCCGCCGTCGGGCACCGATGCTGCGCAACGGTACTACACTGACATATTCGCCTCCGACACGCCGATATGCCCTACTTTCCCTTCAACTCTTGTGGTTTTCCTCAGCCAACCCGTCCAGTTCAGACAGCTGAGCCCTGTCCAAGTCCAAGCTCTCCTTCTCCTTCTTCCCCTTCTTGCCGAAGTTGCTCAGCCACCGCGCAGGCGCCTTGCTCTCCTTGTTCTTGGTCGCGCTCACCGACGGCGCCAGGCTCGGAATGCTCGTGATGCTGTCGTAGCTGCGACCTAGGAAGCTTGGGTTCAGTGCCTCGTCGGCAATTTCCTCTAAATCACCGATGCTCGACCGCTCCATGGACGTGCCCTTGTCCGAAGCCCCTCCGCTGGCCGTGCTGCTGGGCGCTTTCTTGAACAGTCCCGACTCCTTACCGCCGAGCCGTCCAGTCAGACTAAACTTGCCCGAGCTGCCCTTTCGGAACAGCTTTCGAACCACGTTCTCGTCCTTGAAACTGCTGGACAAGCCCGCACTATTGGGTTCAGAGAGCGTGTTGGAAAAGGACATGTCCAGCGACAGAGAATCACGGGACTCGGAAACCGACGTCTGCGTGTGGACCGAGAACCCGTCGCGGGACTTGCGCGACTCCGAGGGGGAGTCCATCTCCAGGACAGGAGGTTGCAGCGCGTCTTGCGTCAATGCCACCTCCTTGTTCTTGGACTTTTCCTTAGAATCCTTGGCTTTGGACTTGTCCTTCTTCTCGGCCTTGCTCTTCTCTTTGCCCTCCTTTTCTTTCTCCTTCTCCTTATCCTTATCGGACTTGGATTTGAAGATTCCAATGAAGGCCGGAGCGTTAGGATTCAAGCGGCCGAGCGGCTTGGACTGCGCCGGCGGGCGGCTGCCAATGACTCCCACTTCGCTGGGGTTCGGCAGCATCTCCTCATCGAGAATCTCATCTTCCGCGGACGCCAATGTGGTCTTCAGGGCTGACGGCGATCCGTGAAGAGACGGACGTCGAGACGGGGCCCTGGACCAGGGTGCCGCGTCCGAAGGCCACAGACGACTGGGTTTCCCCAGTGCCGCAACGTCGCCCGCCGAGAAACCCCAAATCGACCCGGAATCGGTCGATGGCCGAGGAAACTCTGACGATGCGATGCTAGCCGGCCGCGGGCTGCTAGGGTCTCTCTCAGGGAACATTACGCCCGCGGCTCGATGTGAGCTTGAGAAGGGGTTGAGGCTCTTAGAAAACATGCGCGAGTGAGGCATATGCCCTTCGGTGATTTCGGGACCGACCGAGTTGCGGTTGAAGACGTTCCACGTGCCTGATAGCCCAATGCGCCGTTTGGTTAGGCCATCCGGATCATCTGTCTGCTTGGGGAAGGATTGGCTCTGCCCCTGCTTGAGACTGCCAAGCGGCACGCCTTCCTGGTCCACAGCTTTGGTGGGCCTGGACCGCTGGAAGGAAAAGAAGCTGCTCAGCTTGTTTTGCGGCGGCTCCGTCGCGACGGGTGACGGGATCGTACCAGGCCCGTGGAGTGACAGACGGTCTGAGATGTCGTTCTGGAAAGCAGGAAAAGGAAGGTTGCTTGACGAGCCATGAGGACTTGAGAATATGCTGCGTGATCTGCCCGAAGAGGCGGGTGATTGCGGGTCCTCGTCGGGAGATGCCCTCTGCTGTAGTAGGAACGGATCTGGGGCGTACCTGGATACAGGGCTGGGTTCGTCGTCGTCGTCGAGATCCGCCAGGATATTGGAGGGCAGGAGAGCGGTAGCCGAGGGACTGAGCGGAGCAGTCCTTGCGCTTGACTCATCGAGACGGTTGGCAATGGCTGTAGAGAGGTCCATAAAGGGGCCCGGGGCGAAACCGGGCGGTGCATTAGCGGACCGCGAACTAGCAAAACCAACCGGCGTCGGAATGGAAACGATAGGGTCGATGTGGGAGTATGCCGACAACGGCGTTGAGATCGAGACGGGGACGTTCGACATTGTAGTGCTCGCGCGATTTCGGCGGTGTAACGGAGCGGCTGCAGAGGGATCGAACTCCAGACCGGATGGATTCGGCTGGTTGTAAAGGCCATAGGGCGCCTGAGGGATGTGCTGCACCTGCATGGCGAGAATGCGAAGCTGCTCATCCAGCCCCCTGGCCCGCTTGACCTCAAAGGCCTGGGCCTCTCCCAATTCTCTCCCTCTTCCCCTTCGGAACCACTCCCGTCTCTCCTCGGCGAGCTTCTCGCGCAGGTCGCCATCCTCCTCCCCGCCAGGGAGCATCTTCCTGGCCTCTTCCAGCTCCTTCACCTGCTCCCTCCGTTCCTTCAGCTCTGTCTCTAAACGCGAGCACTCGGCCTGTAGGTTCTCGTTCTCCCCTCGGATACACTCCAATTTCCGGTCGCGGGCTGCTTCGAGCTCTGTCATCTGTTGGGTGAAGCTCTCTCGGTCCCTGCGCATCTCCTCCGCGCCTTTCTCACATTTGGCGATATTATCGTGAAGCTTGGCCCGCTCATTCTGTTTTTCTTTGAGAAGCCTTTCCTTTTGAGCTTTCCGTTGCATAGCATTGCGCATCGTCCGGTCTGTCGAATGCAGCTCCCGTTTCAGTTTCTCCGTCTGCTCCTCTTTCTTCTTCTGTTCCTTCCTCTTTTCTCGCTTCTCTGCGTCCAACTCCTCCAATAACGCTCTATTGTCGCCCTCCTCTTTCGCGATCAACGCCAATACATCCTCAGATTCTTTCCGGATACCCTCAAACTTCTCTGTCAGCTCCGGGAGCGTCTGTTTGCAATCTGCATTGGTATCCTCTCGTATCGGCTGTTCAAGGCTTGTAGTGGACGGCGAATGGCGTCGCGTGACCGTATTCCGCCGTGGTCCTGATCCAGATGTAGAGTTCACATCCCGAGCAGGCGATGCAGTCGCCTCTGGGATCGTTGGTACTTCCAAAGCCGGGAACGGACTGCGGTTACTTCCACCGTCGTCACCAACCTCGCCCGGCGCAGAACCCCGCGGGTCCTCCGGAATGAAATTAGACGGAAGGCGGGAATTCCCAAGTTGCGGTCGCCCATCGCGACCAAACGTCCTGAGCCGGATGACCCGGCTGCCAGCCTGGAAGTTGTTGGAGTTGACCGCAATCACGCGTACATTGTAGAAGTGGTTCGGCTTCAGACCGCTGACGACAATCGCAGGCTCCTGGTTTGCGGCAACCTCCCCCACTAGTACTTTGGTTAGTCGTCTGCGCAGCGGCAACCCAGAGCCCGGCACCAACTCACCATCCACCCCGTTAACCTGTATCAGAAACTTTTGCACGGATCGGTTCGCTGGAGGGCGTGTCCAGTTTACGGTGGCGGCGTCAGCTCGGATCTCCGCTAGCGATACGTCCGGCGGCTCCGGGACATCGACGCCCAGGATGTTGATCAGCTCGGGAACCGGTTTCCACAAAGTCTGCCATGCTCTTCGCACCAGCCTGTCAAATACACGGTAAGCTGACTGCCAGATCGCGAGCGCCCATCGCACCGCGTCGCGGGCGCACAATCATCGGGATCAGTAACTGCCACAACAAATGGACCTACCAGACCACGGCAGCGCCCGTCAATAGCATATTCGCGTGCCTCGCTATCGCGTGTTCGAGATTCAGGGCGGAAACGGTATCAACGGTCAGGACGTAGGCCGAATACGAAAGCTCGCGGCACAACTCCGGAGCGATCGCCCAGCAGAACAGTGCGGCCCCCGCGGCGGCGATCAGGTTGATGCGGGCAGTCTTGGGCTCAGTGAACCACCAGGCGAGACTGGCCGACAGGATGAGAAGCGTGGGCACCAGCGACGTCCAGGAGATCCATGACATGACGCCGTGGTCAGAAGGAGATCGAGCGCCGGGTGTCTAGCAAGTCGCTGAAGATAGCAGCGGGAGTGGGGGTCGGGAGAAATGAGTCTCAAAACCATCGGAAAAGGGAAAAAAACGAAGTGCCTCCGCTCCGTTGCTGAGATTCGCTTGGCCCGCTTGGCTCGCCCAGCCGCTCATGGGCAACCTCCATTGGTTGTGAAAACTGGAGAACTGGAGCCTGTGAGCGTTCGCCAGACATGCAAGGTTGATGATCGAAGGCCCCAGCTTTCCCATCCAGTCAGTGGTCAATGGGGCTGTTTAACGCATGCGTTAGCGGAGACGGGATCACTGCCGAGAATGTGGCTCGGGCCTTGGGGCCTGCTGTTTCAGGCTCCCCAGACAGCCGTGGCCGGGTGTTGGTTCAAGTTCCGTTTGCACACTGACTGCCAGGCCCGGAGCTTCAAAGATGCCATTCACAGGCGGTGTGTGTACATTAGTATACTAGTATTCCGTACAGAGAGTGCCATTCTTCTCGGCATCTGTTGATGAATGAGTAGACGGCTTTCTCACGAGGCGGGGTATTCAGATTTCAGGGCTGCTTGCCCGTCTACTAGTACTAGTAGTTATCCGTAGCCCGAGGGTTAGGAGCAACCTCGAGATTCGAGATCCTCAAGAGGGCCAGTCCCCTCGATCGTGTCACCTGAGCATCATTGCAGTTCTAGCAGGTGATCGACGTTCAAGTTGTCCACGTTGTAACTTGTCGAGCTTCAAGTTGTGCCCACAAAAACATGGAATAACAAAGCCATATCTGTGAGCTTCACGGATCAACCTTACCTTGTTACGCACCTGGGATACTGTCTCGCAAGGCCGCGATGCCACTTGTAGTTTCTGTCCGTCCAGTGCCACGGTAGTGCTTCCGGACCCTCCTGTGCCTTCAAGGTTCTATGTTGAGGCTGCATTCAGCTGCAGATGGCCGAGATGAGTGAGATTGCTGTGGCATAGGAAGTTCCGTTCCTAATCTACGAAACGGAAGGCGAACTGAGAGGCATCTGGTACTAGTAGTTACTGCACCTTGTCCGGTTGCGACTGCGAGAACCCTAGCACTTGGCCGTCTCATCTAGAAGCCATTCAACGAGGTAAGCAAATGTTCGATCAGGAAGCAGCACAGAGAGGTGTCTGCTTTCTAGCCTCAGTCCATGGGCCACCGACGGTAACCGATTGAAGGATGGTATCCCGAAGCCGCTGTCGGGTCCCGCGGCCAGCATGCTGGTGTGTAACACAGTAGTACTGTACGTACATATATTACCGGCGCCAAGCGAAGCACTTTTTCGTTCTGTTGGGATCCCCAGTCCCATCTCCTGGTAGTGTAGAAATTCGAGTCACGCTCAAACGGAGGTCCCCAGTGCGAAGGGATAGCTTCCAGGTTATCCAGGCAGATACCTAACTCCAAAGCGGCTAGAGTTGCGTCCAGCGTGGTCAGGTGCCTTGCGGCTGTCCACCAGCCGTTGGTTTACGTTTTCGCCGTCCGAACTGCCCCTGGATCGCCAACAAGCAACACATTCCAATCACTAACTTCCTGATCAGTTGCCCCAATGCGGGCGCGCCTTTTGTTCGGCCTGCATCGGAATCAAGTCTCAGTACGAGGTACCTAATGAGCGAAATCATATTGATGTCCAGCATCTCAGCATGGAACGGATACTGTTAGACATCTCACCACCTGTGGTCTGCCGTGTTCTGCCTGTCCAACGACTCAGCATCAGTAGTCGTACAGTACGGTACTGTAACGGTATGACATCAGCGAGGGGTCCAGGGCTCTCAACAAGGGCCAGAATCCTAGGGCCTGCTCAGCAGGGACTTTGGAGATACCCAGTTCAATATCAAGTTCGGGTAAAATGCGGTGTGAGATTGGTGGGGGAGAAAGTACTAGTTTTGTATTTTCGAAAGGCCCCGGTTCGGCGAAGCGCGGGTGACTGATGGGGTTCTCGGTGTTTGTTGAGGCGCCTCGTGATTGTCCCGACGCTGCTGGGGGGGCTCTTTAACTTCTTTAAGATGCCGACGACGTCTTACACCGCAGCACCATGATTTCCTCGTTCTATTCGCAGCCTGCCGGACACGGTGTGTGACAGATACCTTAGGTTTCGCTCGTTTCGTCGACCATAAAGCCCACTGCGAAAGTTACAGCGGCCGCGCATGTGTCAGATTCCGGCTGCCCAATTTTCGTTGTGCCCCTCCTTCGGCCGCTCCCGATTACCTTCCTGTCGTTCACAAGCGTATAAGGTGACTGAAACTCAAGCTCTCGACACTGTCGGTCTGCAATCTTGTCGTTGCCCACGGATTGAACTTAGCGAAAACGTACTGCTCATTTCAGCTCGCTCACATTCCTCCGCCTGTTTCAGCGCATCGCACTGAAGCAGACCGTACTCCGGACCCGGTCGCCGGAAACACGAGTCTCGGCGTGGCGGCTCCATTGATATCTCGTGCCTCGGTCCACACCCTAGCAAGCAGCAGGCAAATACAAATTTGATTCTCCTTCCTGGCCACAAGCTCGTTGCAGGCCCTCGAAGGTGGGAAAGAACCATTCGGTAATCGGGTCGTCGCATAAGATGCAGTACGTCAGGAACCTCAGCGATTCGGTGTCCACGGCATGGAATTCAATCAACCCAGCCACCCTCAGCGGGGCTATCGACGTGATCGTTGTTGAACGCGAAGATGGCACCCTGGCTTGTTCTCCGTTCCATGTGCGCTTCGGCAAGTTCTCGCTCCTGCGTCCGTACGAGAAGAAGGTCGAGTTCAAGGTCAACGGGGTTAAGCAGCCCTACTCCATGAAGCTCGGCGAGGGCGGAGAAGCCTTCTTTGTGTTCGAGACGAGCGACACGATTCCCAAAAGCCTGCAGACGTCACCCTTGGTGTCGCCCGCTTCGAGCCCCCCTCTGGACCCGCAACAGAGCGGGCAACCAGCGCTGCAGGAGCCCGAATCGCTTGTTCTTGACGACACCGAAGGGAAGGCCCGGTCGTCGAGCTTCCACCGGCCAACCCCTACAATTCTTCATTCCATCCGGCAAGACGGTACGCAGACGTCTGAGCTGCATAACTGAGACTTCCCCGCTGACGAAACATACAGGGCTGCTCACCCCGAGGTCAACCTCTCCGGAGCTTTCCCGGAGAGTGCCGTCCTCTGCCGATGGTTCCCCGCCACGCCCTCACAGCGATGTCATCCTCCCTTACGCAGCGCGGAAGCCGCCCCCCAGCGACCACGGCTCAAGCCAAGGCGACAGTCTTATGTACTCTGAGCGCTCGCACAGCCCACCCCCGTTGACGCCCGCTGAGGCTATGCAGCGGGCGATGAGTATATCCAAAGAACTGTCCGCCGTCAACATCCCAACGCACGTTACTGAAACAGGAGATTTGATGTTGGACATGACTGGGTTCAAGGGTAGCGAGGAGGACGCCCTTAGGGCAGAGGTCCTTGCTCGGAAGGTGTTGTCGGAAGAGCTAGACGGCAACTACGATATTGGCGCTCTCTTCGGTGTCGACGAACGTGGGAACCTCTGGATCTACCACAGCGAGGAGGCGAAGGATGCGGCAATGAAGAGGGTGACTGAAGCGCAACTGCGTGGTTCGCACGGCAAGGACATGGATGCCGTGTCTGATCCGGGCTACCAGAGCGACAGCAGCGATGCCACGGCTTCTCCAATCACGACAAGCCATAGGAGGACCGAGTCAGACCTTGGCCAGATGGCCCTGCAGACGCCTCCCAGCTCACCGGGGTCTCCAGCGGCCGGCGATCCCAACCGGAATTATGCCAAGACGTTGCGGCTGACTAGCGACCAACTGAAGGCATTGAACTTGAAAGCAGGGGAGAACTCCATGAGCTTCACGGTGAACCGAGCAACCTGCCAGGCGTACATGTACCTGTGGAGGCATGAGACCCCCGTGGTTATCTCGGACATAGACGGGACCATCACCAAATCCGACGCCCTCGGCCACGTGCTGAACATGATTGGGCGGGACTGGACGCATGCGGGTGTCGCGAAGCTGTACAGCGATATCGTGGCCAACGGGTACAACATCATGTACCTGACGAGTCGGTCCGTCGGACAGGCGGACACCACGCGGGCCTACCTCGCCGGAATCGTGCAGGACGGGTATCGTCTCCCACGAGGGCCCACGATCCTGTCCCCGGACCGGACATTGGCAGCGCTGCGTCGCGAGGTCTATCTGCGCAAGCCCCACATCTTCAAGATGTCGACTCTACGAGACATTCGCAGTCTCTACGGGCCGGACCGATCCCCCTTCTACGCTGGCTTTGGCAACCGCTTCACTGACCAGATCTCGTACCGGACCGTCGACGTTCCCCGAACTCGCATCTTCACTATCAACTCTAACGCCGAGGTGTCGCTGGACCTATTGAGTCTCAACAAGATGAAGCTCAGCTATGTCAACATGACCGAGGTAGTCGATCACTACTTCCCGCCCGTCGACACTCTTGTGAAGGGGGGCGGTGAGGATTTCACGGACTTCAAGTACTGGCGCGACAACCCGCTTGAGCTCGACGAGTTTTCCGCGAGTGATACCGAGGGTGAGGACGATGGGCATGATGACGACAACGATAGCCAATATGCCGAGGAAGACGACGAGGAAGCGGGCGAGGGCCTCGGGGACAGCTACATCTCTCGGGACTCTGCAGATGACTACGGCGAGGGGAGCGCGATGGGCGAGAGCTACGACGAGGAGCGGCTGATGCGGTCCATGGCTGAGGACGAGTATGCTGATGATGAAGAGGAGGAATTGGGCGAAGAAGACCAAGAAGACGACGTAGTGGAGGAGGAGGAGGAAGAAGAAGAAGAAGAAGAAGAGGAAGAAAGATTAGACCGGGAATCGACCCCCGTACCTGTCGGCGACTCTGGGCTTGAGATGCAGGGAAGCGCAACGCATGATCTAAGCGCTGAGCTGATCACGGGAGTGAAAAACTTGAAGGTGGACAACAGATGATAGTCCGACTATAGAACCGCTTCAACAAGGGACCTACAGCACTGAGAGGGCTGGCGCACACTATAGGATATTCGATGGGGCCATAGATCGGCAAGGACACGGTACTGGAGATGATGTTTGACCGCATATCGCATAGCGCGGCGCAAGGGATTTTCATGGTTGTTGGTATAGCTAGAGGTGTATATCTCCACTGCTTTGGATCATTCTAATTGAGGAAATCTGGGTGTACGCCTTCCGCAACTGACAAGATTATCTAGGTATCAGGAAAGTGAAGTCTGATCCTACCACGCCCTGGTACCAGATCCATATCGTAAGGCCCATGAAAACTCCCGAACTCCTTCCATGCTACCAGAGGAAACGTATCTCCAGTGTACAGTCCGATTTGGAGAAGTCCCGATCCTCAACTCCGCCGTACCGTGTCTCTTTTCTAGCATGTGACAGCCAGCTCACGCCTCGGTCATATCCTCGTCCTCCATACCCTCATCCCCAAACACGTCACCAATTGTACCCCCTTCCACCCCATCCCCACCGACATCCTCCGTCTCGACGTCCATGGCATCGGCTGCCCTCCCTGCACCAGGTCCATCAACCATCATCTCGTCGTCCTGGTCCTCGTCTTCCTCACTGCTCTCTTCTAACCCTTCCTGGCCGGCCCAAACATCCCTCAAGCCCCAGGAGACCCCACTCAACACAAACCTCTCGCTCGGCAACCGTACCCCCCACTCGCTTGGTAACACCCTCGGCAACGCAACCTTATTCTTCTCCCTCGCCAACTCCATCATCCAGTCCTTACTCGCCCCCCCGCCACCAGTGCCCCCGGTCCCACCACCCGCACCACCGCGGAACTGGAACCCAAGCCGGCTCGCGATCGCCAGCTGCACGGCGTTGGAGCTGATGGTCGCCTCGCCGACGTTGACGGGCGCCGCGCCCGACGCCGCGCTGGGGCGCGCTCCCGCGTGTGATGTGTACGGGTCGGCCGACAGGTGCAGCGCGTCCGAGAGGATGGAGGCCGTGTGCCGGTAGGCGAAGTCCAGCAGCAGCAGCGGCACGCGCTGCTCGAAGGAGGTTACCCCTTGCGCAGTGAGGAGCAGCTCAATCGTACGAGCATCGCGGGGGCGCGGCGCCGTGGTTGACTGCGTTGCTGTCGTCGTTGTTGGTTGTTGCTGTTGTTGGAGCTGGTTCTGGGATGCCAGCTGCGAGTTGGGTTGGATTTGGGAGGGAGGGGCGTTTGCTTGTGATTGGGCTGGTTGAGGTTGTTGACTAAATGAAACTGATTGCGAAGTTGATGGCGCCGGCGCGCCGTTGGTTTGAGCTGCTGCCGCGCCGGTGGCGGACATGGTGACGGTTGCCGAACTAAGATTGATAGTGGGTGACTCGTCCCGGTGGAAGTTGACTACGATGCGCCGAATTATCCTGATGGCTTCTTCTGCTAAGCTCACAAATTACCAGCGAGACTTCAGAGCTCGGTCAAAATGTGTTCGTCCACGTTGTCGATGCGGCTTAGTTGTACTCAGGAATCGTTGATAGCGTGTGGTCGGTAAAAGATGAAGGCGGATGGATTAGAGACGCGATTCCAGCGCCCGACACATGCGAAGTTGCGGACCTGGAAATGCCAAGGTTCATGGCGGGCCCCACCAGCCTGGTCTCTGCGTCGGATTCTTGATGATCCGATGGAGATGGAAGTTCGAGCGCATTGACCACCGCTTATTTCAGACCACGCCAGAAAAGAATTTCCTGATCTGATGTGCAGAACAAGGGCGGGCAGTCAGGGAGGCAGGGACGCAACGAATGGAGGGGCAATGCCCACCCCACCTTGGGACCGCGAGAGTGGGTGCCGATACAGGACTGGTCTCCCGAGAAACTTGCGATGACTCCCCGCTGTTCATGCTCGGCGATGTGAATAGAAAAGACTCATAACCAACCGGTTCAGCACCGTAGTTGCGCGGCCCTCTTTTCTCATCGTGTCCTCGTTACGCTGCAATTATGGAGACAACGCTGCCGATCCCGTTCCTTGTCAGTGTCACTGTCCCTCCTGGCCTCGGAGGCGAGGAGGGTCTCAATCGCGACGAAGTATCATGTCTTGGCTGCGTCTTCTTTGAGGTTGCTCCCCAAACTCTCGACAAAATCTTGCGCTTCTTGGGGCGCCACAACACGGAATTCCAGGCCTACTTCGACGTCAGGCGCCTTGAGAACCGAGATGATATCGTTTCCCTCCTCGACGCCGGTGCTCGCAAGGTTTTCGTCCGCCCCGAACAGCTGCCCGATTTCGCCGAATTTGCTCCCCGTGTTGCCGCTGTCGTAGACGGCAGCAGCACGGACCAACTGGCTTCTTCCAGCGAGCACGGCTTGCTCGTGTCTGGCTTCGATCAGACATCTGCCGACGTCGCCCAGTTCATCGAAGAGGCCAAAACGAAAAAGATCACCCCCTTCTTCATTAAGCCTGTTCCCGGAACCGATCTTGAGCGCTTCATTGGCACTGCCGCACAGTGCAATGCCATCCCGATTCTGCCCTCGACGGGGTTGGCAAGCAAAGAGGAGGCGGGAAAGCTAGCGGTATCCAAGATCCTCGCGGCTACCTGGAAGTCTGACCGTCCGGATGGCCTAGTTCCCACCGTCGTTGTCGACGAGAACGACACAGCCTTGGGTCTCGTGTATAGCAGCGAAGAGAGTATTGGGGAGGCCCTCAAGACCCGCACGGGTGTATATCAGAGTCGGAAGCGCGGGCTGTGGTACAAGGGGGCAACGTCGGGCGACACGCAGGAACTGGTACGGATATCGCTGGACTGTGACAACGATGCGCTCAAGTTCGTCGTCAGGCAAAAGGGGCGTTTTTGCCACCTGGAGCAATCAGGATGCTTTGGCGACCTAAAGGGCATCGCCAAACTGGAGAAGACGCTTGTGTCAAGGAAACAGTCAGCGCCGCCGGGCTCTTACACGGCCCGCCTCTTCGCGGATGAGAAACTTCTGCGGGCCAAGATCATGGAGGAGGCCGAAGAACTCTGCGACGCCAAGACGCCCGAGGAGGTTGCCTTTGAGGCGGCTGACCTCATTTACTTCGCCTTGACACGGGCCGTGAGCGCCGGTGTGACACTGGCCGACATTGAAAAGAACCTCGACGCCAAGAGCTTCAAGGTCAAGCGGAGGACAGGGGACGCTAAGGGGAAGTGGGCAGAAAAGGAGGGCATCAAACCTGCTGCAAGTGCTGCACCATCTGCCCCAGCAGTAAACGAGACACCCAAAGAGGCCGCTCCTGAGAAGATCACGATGAAAGTATACGACACGACTAAGGCGACGCCGCAGGAGCTCGACGACGCTCTGAAGCGGCCGTCACAAAAGTCCTCGGAAGCCATCATGAAGATCGTCGCTCCCATCATCGACGACGTTCGGAAGAATGGCGACAAGGCGGTTCTCGCGTACACCCACAAGTTCGAGAAGGCCACTTCTCTGACATCGCCCGTTCTTAGAGCACCCTTCCCTGAGGCACTCATGCAGCTACCTGCCGAAACCGTCAAGGCAATCGACGTGTCCTTCGAGAACATCCGCAAGTTCCACGCGGCTCAAAGGGAGGAAAAGCCCCTGAAGGTCGAGACCATGCCTGGTGTCGTTTGCAGCCGCTTTTCACGGCCCATCGAAGCTGTCGGTCTGTATGTCCCCGGAGGCACAGCGGTGCTTCCCAGCACGGCTCTCATGCTTGGTGTCCCCGCCATGGTTGCCGGTTGCAAGAAGATCGTCATTGCGTCACCCCCGCGGTCAGACGGCACTATCACGCCCGAGATTGTCTACGTCGCCCACAAGGTAGGCGCAGAGTCAATCGTCCTGGCTGGCGGCGCGCAGGCAGTTGCTGCCATGGCATATGGCACGGAGAGCGTGACTAAGGTAGACAAGATCTTGGGCCCTGGTAACCAGTTCGTCACTGCGGCCAAGATGTATGTCAGCAATGACACTAACGCGGGCGTCGGCATCGACATGCCGGCTGGTCCGTCCGAGGTCTTGGTCATCGCTGACAAGGACGCCAACCCGGCGTTCGTCGCCTCGGATCTCCTGTCCCAGGCAGAACACGGCGTCGACAGCCAGGTGGTTCTGATTGCCGTGGATCTCAGCGATGCACAGCTGGCAGCCATCGAGGACGAGCTGCACCGGCAGGCCATGGAGCTTCCTCGGGTGGACATTGTCCGGGGCTCTATTGCCCACTCGGTTACTGTGCGCGTCAAGACGGTGGACGAGGCGATGGAGATCAGCAACAAATACGCCCCGGAGCACTTGATTCTCCAGCTCAAGGACGCCGAGAAGGTCGTGGACAAGGTCATGAATGCCGGAAGTGTGTTTATCGGCGAATGGACGCCAGAGAGTGTGGGCGACTACTCTGCTGGTGTCAACCACTCACTGCGTAAGTTCTCTCCTTTGTTGCTGACTGGCAACCTGTTAGTATTAACATGATGTCTAGCAACCTACGGTTACGCCAAACAGTACTCAGGCGTCAACCTCGCGTCCTTTGTCAAGCATATCACCAGCTCAAATTTGACGGCCGATGGTCTCCGCAATGTTGGCGAGGCGGTGATGCGGCTGGCCAAGGTAGAAGAGCTCGAGGCCCACAGGAGGGCTGTCAGCATCCGTCTGGAGCACATGAATCGGTGATACTGATTTGCCTACACCAGCCATATCCGTATAAAAGAGAGATCTTGATAAAATGGAAATTGCGTTCTGTTGTCGTGTTGGCCCATCGAATTCCGACCTAGACTTCAAAACTTGGGGGCGTTACCGTAGCAGTAACCCTGGCGACCGGGTGTTGGGACCACCTTGCGGCAGGCTTGCTATCAAGTTGTGATGAATATGGCTGACGATCAACGGACCCGACGGGGGCGGTTAGTTGTTACGGTACCCCCAACTCTTTAGTATTTCCAGCTGGCGGTGAGACTCCCAGTGTGGCCGGATCGTGTGTTTAAGATGCCTTTCAAAGAACTTTGCAAAGCGGTGTGGGATGAAGCCCTCCAGATGCATGAGAGCGATGTGCGACCCCCAATGCCTGTAGCAAAACAGAATTAGGTACTCCGTACCTACGGCTCGGATCCTTGAATCCTAGCTTATCATTCCGAGGGCAAAGATAATCAGCATCAGACAGCAGCGTGGAGGATGCTTTTTCAGCCCTTGTGTTTGACTCAGCTGTGATGCATGTCTTAATATAAGGGTCAAGACTGCCTCGGATTTAATACTCCAACGTCATCCCAGGGTCCGAATTTTTGGGATTGAAGATGCCGGTGGGTAGGACCTGTCACCCCACAACAGCCACATGCAACGGGAATTAACACACGAATCTTACCTCCGTACACGTGTACCCGCGTATTGTATGCGTGTACGGCATGTATGTGGAGTAATCCGTACGGTTATTCCGCCCCGCCAAGCCTCAAGCCCCAACGCAGCCCACAGGCACTTTGCGGGTCGATCCTTTCATCCCGTTACACTACACTAGCTCAACTAGATCGCGCGGTATCGTCCGTAGTTTCCGTGTGGAAGGCGCTCACATGTCCGAACAGACGAGTCCGAAGTTCTGACTACCGTCGCGAGAAATTCCAGGATCCGCATCTATGAAGACATCGCACAAGGCGACCGGATGAACTGATACGCAACAGCAGCCAGCGTTTTGAAACCGCACGGGCCAGCTGGGCAGTGGCCGCAGAAACCATGAAACGATCAGCGCTAGTTAATAAGGGAGGTCTGAAAGCCTCGGGTGCTCGGCACGCATAAGGCCCCTTGGAGAGACCCTGACTCGAGAAAATAAAATAAAGGATGCGCATGTATGTGCATACATGCATGTACAATACATATACATTCAATGATCATATTCAAGGAAAAGGCGCGAAAAAACGGCGGCCTCCGGGGCGTCTCGTTTCATCCAAACACGGCCAGGTCGTCCCAAGCCGACCGCCGCCTAATCCCAAACTCATGAAAACAGGCGCCCCCAAGCCAGCACCACCCTCCAGTTCCAAACGCAGCTCCGTGGCACTGTTGGCTCCTCGCAGCGAGCCGCCACATTGTTATTACGCTGTCAGGTCGCTCATAAGCACTGGCTGAGCCCCGTTTCCTTGCGGGGCTTCTCATCCCCCGGGATCTCCGGTGATCCCGCTTGCCAGCACATCAACCATCAGCGCATATCGAAGAACAACGAGGAGCCATCCTATTTTGCTCTTAAGCAACCCGCATCCCCGGGATTCATACAACGGTATCAGTCGCTTATTCGACTGCCGGTCCAAGACTCTTCATGACTCGCTGAGCCGGCAAACATCGCCATGCATTTACACGCCCTTCTTCCGCTCACCCTCCTCCAGCTTCTCACGTCCGCCGAGCCCATCAGGATACCCGCCACGAACAATGGCTTGATTGTCAGCCCGCGGGCGCGCTCCGACGCGCCGAGTGGCGGCTATGCCCCGGCTCAGGTGCCGTGCCCGAACGAGAAGCCCACTATCCGGCGCGCCAACACGCTCTCCAAGAGCGAGACGGACTGGCTCGCAAAGCGTCGCCCGAACACTGTTGATCCCATGATAGACTTCCTGAAACGGGCTAACATCGAGGGTTTCGACGCCGAGGCCTACATCAAGCGCGTGGCCTCGGATGTCAAGGACCTGCCCAATATCGGCATCGCCGTCTCCGGAGGTGGCTACCGAGCCCTGATGAACGGCGCCGGTTTCGTGGCTGCTGCTGACAGTCGCACCCCCGGCTCGACGGGCAGCGGTGGCATCGGCGGCCTTCTCCAGGCCAGCACTTACCTGTCGGGCCTGTCGGGCGGTGGCTGGTTGGTTAGCAGCATTTATGCCAACAACTTCACCACTGTCACCACGCTCCGCGACGGCCGTGAGGGCAGCAGCATCTGGAAGTTCGACAGCTCCATCTTCACCGGTCCTGATCTGCCCGGCATCTTTGACACAGTTAGGTACTGGCATGAAGTTGCCGATCAGGTCAGTGCGAAGAAGGATGCCGGCTTTGAGACGTCCATCACCGATTACTGGGGCCGAGCGCTCTCATATCAGCTGATTGACGCGCCGGAAGGCGGGCCATCATACACTTTCTCCAGCATCGCAGAGGATGACGCCTTCTCCAACGCCCAGGCACCCTTCCCAATCCTGGTTGCCGATGGTAGGGCTCCCGGTACCATCGTGGTTTCGCTGAACGCGACCGTCTACGAATTCAACCCCTTCGAGATGGGCTCGTGGGACCCTACCACCTACGGCTTTGCCCCGATAAAGTACCTCGCCTCCAACTTCTCAGGCGGCGTCGTACCGTCCGACGGCAAGTGCGTCCGCGGCTTCGACTCTGTCAGCTACATCTTCGGTACCAGCAGCTCCCTCTTCAACGCCTTTTTGCTCCAGAACATCAGCTCCGTGGACGGCGTGCCTGACTTCCTCCTCGACGCCGCCACCGACCTGCTCAAGGGCCTCTCCGCGGGGAAGGACGATGTCGCTCAGTACGTCCCGAACCCCTTCCTGGGCTGGAACAACGGCTCCAACCCCGCCGCCAACACCGTCGAGCTCGACCTTGTCGACGGCGGCATGGACCTGCAGAACATTCCCCTGCACCCCCTGATCCAGCCGTTCCGCTCCGTCGACGTCATCTTCGCCGTCGACTCCTCTGCCGATACCACCTTCTCTTGGCCGAACGGCACTGCCATGCGAGCCAGCTATGACCGCACCAAAGGCGACATCGCCAACGGCACCCTCTTCCCGCCCGTGCCGGACGACACAACCTTCATCTCGCTCGGCCTGAACAGCCGCCCGACCTTCTTCGGCTGCGACGTCAGTAACTTCACGCTCTCGGCGGGACAAACCGCGCCTCCTCTGGTCGTCTACGTCCCCAACGCGCCCTACACGGCCATGTCCAACGTCACGACCTTCACGCCCAGCTACCCGCTCGCCCAGCGCAACGCCATCATCCGCAACGGCTACGACTCGGCCACCCAGGGCAACGGCACACTCGACAAGCAATGGCCCACGTGCGTCGCGTGTGCGGTGCTGAGCCGCAGCTGGACGAGGACCAACACCTCGGTGCCGGCTGCCTGCGCCAGCTGCTTTGAGCGGTACTGCTGGAACGGGACAACGGTTGCGAACGCCGCCGTGGTCAGCGGGGGCGGCGGCGCCGAGTACCAGCCTACGTTCAAGATCGGCGATGGGAGCTCGTCTAGTCCGTCAGCCGCGGCCGTGGTTGGTCTGAGCGGGAGGTCGGTGTGGGCGTTGCTCATGGGGTTGATTGCGGCAGTGGTCGTTCTGTAATAAAAGGGGGAGCGGGGTCGTTGGAAAGTCGTAATGAGGCTGAAGCTTCTGGATCTCTCTGATTTTCTCATCGAGTTTGGCAAGGACAGCGAATCTCTTGCGATTTCCGCCAGGCACTGTACTGCTCTGTAAAGGATATTGGGATGCGTTAAGGATACCACTAGACTGGGTACTCAATGTCATGATCATTTGATTTCTTTTTTGTTTTTTGCTTGATTTCCCGCCCTGTTTCTTCTTGGGTCGTCTCGGCGCCAGATGGCATGACGAGGAGAGAGGAACACGCGAACAGCACTACTGCTCTATGCAAATGTACAGCGAAAATGAAGTGTTCACGGGACTTGGAGCCTCAGCTTTGGATCATACACCAAATGCTTTTCAGAGCAAGACCGGAGACGGAAAAGGGGTATAGTTTTCCGAACAGCATCTTCCTCACGCCAGAACCTGCTTCGAAAGTTCCTCCATACTGATGATCATCGTACGTCCAGCGCCACCGGAAACAGAACCACCTTTTGATAGAAGAAGGGAAATTTCCAGTCGGAGATGTTCGTAAGTTTCGTCAGAATGCAAGACGCAAAATATTATGACAAGACTGAAAAAGAGATGATGCAGAGCTCTGAGGGGAAACGACTTCTTCGAGTCGGATGAACAAACGTTGCAGGCATTCTGTGACCATCAGCCCGAGACGGCGAGACACTACTCGCCAGTGTACCATTTCCTAGCAATGCCGCCTTACAGAGACCGGCTGCTCACAGCTGTCATTGAAACGTATTGCGGTAGGGCCCGTCTACCCTCACCTCCATAATCCCGTCGGGCATCGAGCGGAGCCATTCGGCCCAGCTGTCGGTGTTGAAAGCGTCATCTACCAATCGAAACGTTATACTGATCTGCGTCCCGACATGAGCAGCACCAGGGGCGTCCCCTTTCCGCAGCGGGGCCAACAGAATGGATGGTAATGTTTTCGCGCCAGAGAGCTGCATGATTAGCGGCGTGGGAAACCTAGCGATAACCTCTCTCTCCGGGTTCTGTTCCCGTACCATTCTGGGATACAGAGAAAGCAATTTAGAGTGGAGTTCGGCCGCCGAGAAGGGCTCCTTGAACGGCTGGACGGCCCGCGTCCGGAGCTGGTCTGTCAGGGCACGCGTGAAGGCGCTCCTGCCAAGGAGCTCAGCGTGGTCCTCGCCGGCGGAGGCAGCAATCAATTCCAGCATGCCTTGTCGCCGGGTCGCCGTGTACGAAGGGAAGTAGGCGCAGTCCATAAGGAGCAGCGCGTCAGAGCGGGCGTTCTCAAACGAGGGTTGGATGGCGCTCCACCGGATGGCCGACGCGGGGTCAGCGTGTTTGGAGCTGGTCGATAGGGGTAAGCCTAGGGCCAACAAGCAAGATGCAAGCGAGGGTCAAACGGAATCACAGCACTCACCTCGCGAGAACCGTATCTCGGTCGCCATTCAGGTAAGTGTACCCGCTATAGTAGAATATTTTGAGGCAGTCGCGCTGATTATGGTCCGTGATGAAGTCGGCAACTGCCTGTGACAGCCACAGCCAGGACGTCCTGCCTTCATCTGAGGCTGTTGGGATCGACTTGACCTGAACGGTGTAGTTGTAATCCTCGTGGAACGTCTTGGCCAGTTCCTGGATGGCGCTATGGGCTTCAGGGCTGTCGTCGTCCTGCCACCGCACCAGAAGAACCGAGACGTGGGCGTAGCGGCTGCGGAATGAATTTGCCAAAATCCGGTCCGCGCTCCCCTGGAGATCCGCCCTGAAGGTGTCAAAGCCAGGCAGAGGCGGCAAGTTGACGGATTTCTCTAGGCGCGGGCCGGATGGCAGAGGTGTCCTGATGCGTGCCTCACTCAGGGCCGGCTGGACGTGTTGCTGCGAGGGAGAGGTGTCTATGTCCATTTCCCGAGGGTCTGGCGTGAATGCCGCTCTGGAGTGCAGTGGCGCCGGACTGAGTTGTGGCCCAGTCATGGACCCAATGGGCCCTTGCGGCGAAGATTGGTGAGATCTGAACCGTCTCGCGGCTTCCTCCCACGTCATGTTGTGATGGTTCGGGTGGCACTACAAGCTTTGTGTGAGTTGGCAGGTTCGCATGCCTTGGGGCCGGGGTTGAGATAGGGGGGCTCGGCTTACTGCAACCCTCCTCCGCCGACAGTCCGGGCATGCGCCCATCTTGCGGATCAGGTGCGCGCGTTCCCGCTGGACGGCCGTCAGGGGCCCGGTTCGGCGCCGGCTAGCACGGCGTTGCGGACCCACATCACTCCCGTCTTTCGCAGAGAAAACGGCTTGGGTGGGGTAAGAGGGCGACGACGCCACGCTGTAGGGGGTTCCAGGCGTTTCGTCGGTGACGAGAGTGGCCGAAGTCATGGCGGTTGCCGCCGTCGATATTGACGAGCTGGTGTCCTTCCGTACCGGCGGAGAGGCGCCTTCGGGCTGCAAGCCATGTTCCTTGTGCGTGGGCTTCGAGGTGGCACGGCTTTCGGGGCTCGGGGAAATGCGTCGTTGCACAGAGCGAGGGTCGTCACTGTTGTTAGGCGGCGCCTCAGCCAGCTTGACGGCTGAATGCATCCTGTAGCTAGCACGGGCTGAGATATCTACTCAGATGCAGCAAAATCCCATGGTCAATAAATGACAACCCTAGTCGCGAGATAGCCCCCCCAACCGCTTCCACTGCCCGCTCGCTTGAGATAGGAAGCTCGACACGGGTCCTGCGCCTGCACACGGCCGTGTCCACGGCGTGGAGAGCTTGCGGGTTTGGGACCGGCGCTGAAAGCCGAGCGGGGACGGTCTGGAGTTGTGCCAGACCTGCCGACAAGCGGTGCCCTCACAAGGTTGAGAGCCGGTGAACAGCCAGGCACGAGACCCGAGGGCACGGTCAGGAGCTGCGGGGAGTGGATGTTGGCGGTTCGAGGAGCGATGTATGTGCCACGCCGGATGCTGTCCCGCGAGTGGACTGGGTATGACCGAGTGGCCGAGTTCCGGAGGAATAGCGGAGCGAGACGAGTCGTTGGGGCAGGCCCCAAGATGGCCGGTTAAAAAGACGCCGGTAAGTACCTAATTTGAGAAGACGGGGCAGAGCTGAGACACGACACCAGCGAGGCGATGCGGGCATCAAGGACGGAAATCATGCAAAGTACATAATACCGTAGAAGGTAAGGTAATATCAAGGCCGTTAGGCACGTCGAGAGATGGAAGATGGAAGCACCGAGGACTCGATCGATGTCACACGGGCCACGGCACCCCAATGGCTTGCTTTGCTCGACCAACAACAGTAGCAGAAGTGATGAGAGGCGCGTGGAGGCCCGGAATGGCCTTTCAAGTTTCAACGTCTTGCCCTTATTAGCGCGGGGAACGAGGGAGGTGAGGAAATAAACGTTTTAAGTGCGGGCAACAAGGCATTCATGAGTCTGTCTTGCAGCCCCCCGCCCCGGCTCCTCGAGCGGTTTTCTTTTTTCTTTTTTTTTCTCCTTTTCTTCCTCTTTTAGAATTGATCCCACCCGCGGTAGGCTCTCGCTTCGAGGCTCAAATCAGTCAAGCCCAAAGTTAATTAGTCCGCTGGGGTTGGTGAGGAAGGCCCAACTCAACCCGAGATACCGCAGACCACGTGGACCCTGCCATCGCATACCTACACCGCAGACCGACCCAGTGGAGTTCGAATCTGATCCCGGCGCCCCTCTTTCCCGAGCTGCCCGCCCCGGCCTTTTCTGCGCTCATCTTTGCTCCTTGCATTAGGGAAGGGACGGTACCTACCTACCTGAGGTAGATGTAATGCGTCCTCTGCCGCGGTCGACGGCAATTAGCTTTGGCTTTGTTGTAACTTGTTATCTGGTCTGCCCATCTCCTTCCACACCTTCGAAGCTGGAGCTTCACGATGCCAAGCGTCAGGTGCTTGTGGGGGTAACTGTGTAATTACAGTAAGTTTGGGGGTGGCTGACCGTCGTATGCTACCGTAACATACCGTTTGGGTAACATTCACCATTCGTATTGGATGCCCCCACGCTCCAACCTGGGCCTTTGCACACGGTATGGACCCTAACCCCGGAAACAGCTGGCTTGTTTATGACGAGCGAAGTTTCGGAGCTGATTTTCGACCTTTACGTAAGTGACCCCTGAGTGAACAGACCTTACGGATATATATGAACCAAACGGAGCTGGCGGCAGACCGGTTTCCCGGCTGCTTCTGGCATGGAAGCCTCACGCAACCGGCATTCCGATTGGCCATCCGGTAGGCTAGTCACTACTAGTAGCACTTGTAGTAGTGCACAGTAGCTGTCCTGATGTGTGTCCTCCATCACGACAACGAAGAGTTACAATCCTTGACAGAGCACCCTTAGTCTCTGGGGTGGTACCGAACAGAAACTGGAAATGAGACTCCGATGGATGTCTGCATTGGGCAACCATTTGAGGTGTCGAGTCCCCAGCCTCCGAGGGATGCCGGATGCATCTACGACAATGGATCTGTGCCTGTCCCTGATCGACCTCCGGCGCTGCATCCCTCGCACGCCGAACGACGAGGTCTGAAAGCTGCGAGACGCCTCCTGCACGTATAGTAACGTCTTCCACCAACCTTGACTCCAAGATGCCCTTCGTGGAACCTCCTCCTCTCCCGTGTCGCGGCCAAGGGTCCTGACACCACTCACTGGAGCATTCGTGGCCGCTGTTTCGCCATGTTCCGAGACCTAACTCAACAACGAAGACGACAGGGTGCACAGAATACAGAGTACGAAATACAGACGTACGCAACGAGACCCCATTATCCCTCAGGATGGATCGCGATCCGTGCCGGCCCCTGTTTCTTGACCTAGGCGTGCTGGGTTCCCGTTGCGCTATTGTGCAGCCACACCCCGATGGTTCACCGACACGTAGCCGGGAAGCACCTCATCACCCACCCCACTCCATGTGCGGATCGCAAACCCGAAAGCTGCAATTCACAACTCCCAGGTTCTCCTTTGCTGCCCTATCAGGGCCAGCGGGTTGCCTGGATGCATCATGCCATGGAGTGACCCGGGGTGTCCCGCGTTCTCGCCAGTTCGGGCAGGAACGGTTGCCAATGTGGAGATGGTGGACGACCGGGGAAGAACACCTCAAGTGCACTTTCCCCACGCTGTCATATGCATTGATACCTGTGCTACCAAACACCTCGGAGCGAGCCAATCAGCCTGTATTGACGTTTCGGCACTACTAGATTATTGCTTCTTTTCAGTTGCTCCGCACCACCGATCTCTCTTGCGATTCAATTCCTTGCTGACACACCTCGGCCGCGCATGCTGACCGGTGCGGCCCGCACCAAGGGAGATGGAGGAAGAGCGTGAGAAGGAGACGGAGCAGGAGAAGGAGAGCTGCCCACCCCATCGTCACATTCAAAGCAGAACATTCCCAAGCCTCGCATGCTCAGTGCATAGGTATCCAACCGCACCGCGATCGAATGGGGAGGGCAAGAACAAATAGTCTGGCCTACGTCCACGTCTTGTCAGAAGCGCAACCTAAGGCACGGCAGTACAGCGAGGGATCTTGTGGAGGAGAACCAGAAGCTACAGTCAGCTTTCCATCCCGCGGCCTGACCCCATGCAACCCGCACCTTACTTCGGCGAGCGGGTGAGGCATTTGGCAGCCAACCCGTAGCAGGTGAAGGCCTTGGCTCCTGCCAATGCCAGTTGTCCGGCCGGAAAAGCCATACCTATGCATGTTGCAATCGATCCAGATACCCAATGGTACACGACGGCGAGAACCTAAAACTGCACTTTCAGGCAGTGGGAAGTTGGACAGTACATTGTCGGCCAGCGCCAATGGAAGAACTACCGACGAGCCAGTCGCTCTTCACCCTCGGTGGCATGTCACGACAGGTTGCAGATTGCGCGCAACCACACCCGGCCACCAATCGAGCTCTTCCCGCTGCCATTGGCCGCCGTCCCAAAGTCCCTTCATCTGAAGATCCATTGCCAATGATTGCGAGTCATTACAAAGTAGAAAGTCTGGTCTGGGGGGGCTATGCAGCAGTCACTCAGTGTAGGTGCGCCACTACTATCGACAAAACGGAATAGGGGGCGGGACAAGTATCCGGGCCTTCACCCAACACTGACGTGTCATCCACACCGAAGTGACAACAACTGAGACTGCAATTGCCAATGACATTGTATGCTAACAGCAGGCAAGACACAGATTCAACTCAACCCCCCACGGAGTGGTCCATCTTCTCCCTTGACTAAGCCTAATGTCCAGCCCCTTTCCCCGGGCTTGAATCTGCAGGTTACGGTCTGCAGCTTCCGAGTCATTTGACTTCCTGTGTTGGCAGCACGGGACTCGTCCAGGAATATGTTTTCTTGGTCCTCCAGATATGTCCTGTCGTCAGGGGGAATAGCAAGCAGCGCGGCTGCGGATGATCCCTTGAGGATCTTTACGTTCCACACGGCCGTCTGGACCATGATTCCCAGCAGGAAGCTGACTGAGAGGGCTATTTGGATGGCTAAGAACGACAGCCACGCCCACTGGACATGAACGTAACTCTCGGTTGCAAGCACGGTGCCGGTCTCGGAAGTGGAGCTCATGGCGCGGATTCTGAAGCACGTTTACAAGTCAGCTTTACGCCCCTTTTCACCTCACTGTGTAACGCCTCCCTGAGTCGTTTCTGGCCACCGAGGAGTTCGGCTCCCCAACTACGGAAATGAGGTCGTGTCTGTTACCGCCAGACGGAGAATTAAGATGAGAGAAAGACATATCAAGGGGCTAAGAACCAACGGATATCTAGTGGAAACCGCTGAAGAGATGGGTGGCAAGAGATTAAAGAAAAAGAAAAGAAAAAGGGGGTTACGGGAAACCGAAGGGAAACTAGCACTTGCGTGTTGGTCAGGCTGGTTGCCACGTTCGTTGTCAGGTTGTTAATCACAGTCCGCATAGCCTCGGCGTCAAGTCCACCGCGGAACATGGACAACCCCAAGGCCTCGCTGGTGGCCGTCTCGCCGCCGATCGTCCTTCCGTAACGAGAGGAGTACGTGCCGGAGAACAGCGATAGGAGGTAGGCGTTGAGGAGCTTCACATCATCTCGCTTCACCGAGTACACGCCTACGTCGCTTGCCGCGCGCAAGATCACGCGCCGGGAGCGCGTGGACGCATCCCGGAGGCCGACGGGGGTGTCCTGGGCTGCAAGAGCGGACGAATGGACCAGCTTAGTGATCGACAGACCACGGGACGTTGACACGGTGTATGTGTTGACGCAAAAGTGCAGCAGGACCTCTGCGGCGCGGAACACCCCCTGCTGCGAACCGAGGGCTACTTCGGCCGTCTGGTTGGTGTAGACAAGGAAGAAGTTTGCGATGGCACTCGACACCCTGCCGTCTTCGTCCGAAAAGGCGAGGCTCGTCCGAGCGGGGAGGAAACTCTCTTGACCGTCTGCCACCGCAGCATCCCCGCTGGCGTTGGCAGAGGGGTGCGGCCAAGAAATGTTGAGGTTGCAGGTGCTGGTGCTGCCGACCAGAAACAAGCCGTTGGGGAGGCGGGCTTCGCGGGCTGGCTCGTCATTGGCGACACCGAGCGAGATACCCAGGCTCCGTGCCCTGGTTTGGTTGGAGATGGTGAGCCTGTCGGATATGTCGGCCACGGCACCGCAGACGGCCAACGAGCTGAAGTTGCGCCATTCGCAGTTGCCGGAGCTGCAGACGGGTTGCAGGTCCGGCAGCTGCTCGTCGACTGCGTGGTAGATACCTGACTGTATCGCTTGCTTCTCGCGCGTGTCCAGAGTTTCTGATAGGCGGGTTGCTGGTTAAGTGTTTACAGCCCCGGCGGGAGATGTATGCGGGTCTTACTTACCATACGGTGCCGGGTGCGAGTAGGATTCGCTCCGGGCGACAGTGGCCGTGCCGCCTCCTGCTTCGACGGTCCGCGTTGGGTAGCTAATGGCGCCCTGGGTCAGTGGGGAGACGAGGAAGCCCGTTAGCAGCGTCGTGGCCGCAGCCACGCCCAGTGCCCTTCACCGTTCCGGTCAGCGACATCAGACCACAAGAGAGGCCTTGGGTATGAATTGGGTCTGGCCACACCTTCCCTTCCTCTTACAGAGGAGCATGGCGCTCCCCGCGGGCCCGCGCTTTGCATCCTCGAACGTCTGGAAATCTGCGAGCGGCTTTTCGCCCCGGGCGAATGAGTTCCACTTCAGCTGCGAGAGCCCTTCGGCCAGGGGTACAGCCATTGCAACTTCGCATATGGCAACCAGAAACGCCACCAGCGTGTTGAGCGAAACCGTTAATGGCCAGTCGGTCAGTCCTCGCCCATCGTACGTCTTCAGCACTGCAACGATCACCACCAAACAGGCAATGCTGACGAGACACCACATGATCTCGGGCAGCCAGTGTGTGCAATACCGGAAGCACGCACCGCAACCTCCTTGTCGCCCGCGGCCTCGGTGCTCTCCTCCATCCCCATTTTCTGGGCCCATCTTCTTCCTCCGCCGCTTGCGCTGCCGGTCCCAGGACCGCCTCGCCGTTGGCCGGTTCATCCCCTCCATAACTTCGGGGAAGGTGTCGGCTCGAGGAACCGCGCCATCGATCTGCGACTCATCCTTGGGCTCGGAGTCGGGCGCCGGGAGGAAATAGTCCAGGTTTTCGTAGTGCATGAACGGGGCGGTGCCATTATTACCCGCACCCTGTGCGTTACCTCTGGGCTGCTGCGTCTGCTGCGGGTTGTGCCATGACGGCGCTGCAGAGGGCAGCGGAGGAACCTGGTTCCCGGCCGCATGAGCCGGGGCCGGGACGGAAACGGAGACCGGCACGGATGCAGGTGGCAGGTCCGCCCCCGGCCTGTGCGGTGTCCGGGCGGGCCCCCGACTTGCCTTTTGCGCCCGTGCCCGCGCCTCGTACAGCTCCTGCAGCTCGCGGCTTCCTCGCCAGTGCGGAGTCTCAGGGTAAGGGATCTCGCTCGGATCCGGCTCCGTCTGCCACAGGCGAGGAACCTCGGCTCGGACATTGCCGTCGATGGCGGTTGCATGCTGGGGATTCCACAGTCCCGCCTGGCTATCGACGATCCCACCTCCACCCCAACTGGCCTGCGACTGGGCTTGTGCCGGGTCCCGGTAGTGCTGGGGCGAGGGTAGTGATGGTGCTGTTGGCACCCCATACTCATCCTCGTCCTCGTGGATCGAGCTGGCAGGTGAGACGGTGAACTTCCCTCCGCTACTGATAGTGCCCATGCGCTGCGGCATCTGACTCCGCGATGACACTGTGCGTGCCGGTTGTAGAGGGTAGCCGACTTCCGGGGCCGGATCCGCGCTGCCGCCCACGGGTTTCCTCCGGGGGATCATTGTTGGCAAGGGGCGGAAAGTGTCGTTGGCGGAGGCATCTCGCTGTTGGTAATAGTGCTCATTGGAATCCTGACCAGCCATGGCGAGCGGCGGATGTTGAGAGGAGGCGGTCGACAACACAACACCATGGCACGAGCAGCATGAAGAGCACGGCAAGCAACGGGAGCAAGGTCGGCGAGAGGCGCTACGACGCTAGGTAAGGGCGCCCCTCCAATGATCACAACTAGCTCCGCTCGGCACATTAACGAGAGAAGATGGTGAAGAGAATTGAGCCCGCTCACGCAAGAAGAGACTGTTAGCGTGAGTGATCTGAAACCTAAGGTAAGCCAAGGTTTTGGAGCATGCATCGTACATAGAAGGCTCAGTAAGCTTCCGCGAGACCCTTGACCTTGACCTTGACCCTGGCCATAGCCCGGCGTCTACACTACCTAGCCCATCCCGAACAAAGCACAGCAAACAATCACACTGGAGATGAGGGCGGCGGGCAGGCAGGCAGGGCAACCTGGGGAATCTGCCCCAGCCGTGCCGAAATCCGGCGGGTATCGTCGTTGCGGATGCTACCGTGTATTGCTACTGCGTGCATTAGTTAGCAGTTACCTGCCGTTTCTGGAGAGTGGGCAGCACTCTGGGAATTCTGCCGGGTGATGTCCGCCTCAAAGGAAAGACAACGACGTCGCATTTCTGCTTACTACACTAGTACTAGGTACAATACATGCAGCTATGCGCGGTACCTACCTACATACCTATTTATGTAGGTAGGGTGCGAACTGCAGATACAGACATCACATCACGATGATGCGCGCACTACCAGCATCTTCCATCTGACATGCAGCTGGGTGCGCACTGCCCCTGTAGGTGGTGGTTGGGCGGGCATACGGAGGAGGTTGTAATGGTACTGTACATACTCTGCTATGTCAGACTGCCAATTGCGGCACAGCAATAAATTCTGCTGCCTCAGATGTGTGGGTGCCGTTGTCACTACCTTACCTATCGCACGGGCGGGGTAACTAGATCTTGAATGGATGAGATGGCACACTGCCCAGTGATGAGAGACGGACTGAGTCAGCTGAACCTGGCTGGGTATGGGAATCCAATGTCAATGGAGAGCTCAGAGATGGAAGCTCCCCCGCAATCTAATTCTAGCCAGGCGTTTTGTCTCACCTGCTTCGTCCGACCGTGACGGGTCAGCGAAATTCCCTTTGTCTTTCCCTCCCTTCTCTCTTCTTTTTCTTTATCGTTGATATTCTCTTGTCTTTAAATCGGCTGAACCTAATCAGAAAACTCACCAACGCCCCTCGTAGCTAAATTTGTATGCACATGGGTATGTACGTAGGTAGGTAATCGGTGAATTCTAGCGCATAAGCGGAGGTCGACTATTCCTCCGCCTTCCGATGCGACACCCGAATCCCGTGGGCCCACTTGTGTGTGCCGGCCTCCGAGACTCGGACAAATGCGGCCAAATAACCACTCCTGCCGGCCTGCAGGTTCCACCCACATCCGGAGCACATGCCTGCTTGTACGTACAATACTATCTCTAGTATCTCCATAGGATCATATCAATATCACACCCAAAACGCTGTTCCAGTGTTTCCATCTTTACATTACTTTGTTATCTGCCACAGCACGGATGAATATGGTAGGTACTAGTATGTAGTGCTGCGCTCTCGATGCTGGAGAAAAGCATGTGATACTATATGTACCCTATGTCGATATGATGCCGACAGGCCACTATATTCGGCCCACCGTGTCCCTCGGGGGTAACAAAGGAAAAGCAATCGCCGAGGTCAAGACATGCCGGTTCCCAAACTCCGCAGTCTATCCCAGCGAGGTACCAGATTGTCATCCGCAAACCATCCAACTGCCGAGGCCGCGTTTCCATTTGCGTGGAGGAATCGAAGCGAGAGTGCTGCACAGCACGATGCTAAGAGTATGAGAATACAGATTTGTACAAGTACACTGAATAACAGATGATAGCTTAGGATCAAGCCTGCGAATGAGCACGATCCGCGTGCTCGTCATGGTCGTGGCCATGCCCAGAGTGTGTACTCTCAGGTCTCGACGCGTTCGATGAACAGCAGCCCTTTCCGACACAGTTGTCCACGCAATCCAGCAGACAGACACCCCCTTCAGCAAGCGCACATGTCGGCGGCTGCGCAGCCGCCGGCCCGTCCACGCTCGCTGCAGCGTCGGCTTCCTCAACATGTGTGTGCGCCCTGTCTAGGCAGAACTCGGGCTGGATGGTTGCGCTGTGGATGCCGTAGGCGTGCAGGCACTTGCGAGCCATTTTGGACAGCTCCATGTATCTCTCGCCGTTGGCCTCCGAGATGGGAAAGGCGACCTGGATATGCATCGACGCGACAACTTTCGTATCAGAGAGCTGCCAGACGTGCACATGGTGACAGCTTATGACCCCCGGCAGGGCCTGGATATCCTCTCTGACGTCCTTGAGGTCGATGTGCTCGGGTGTTGCCTGCAGGAGGATCTTGCTTGCCGCAACCGTCAGAGGTATGGCGGAGCGGAGGATGATGAGCGTGATGAAGAGCGAAACAGCGGGATCGGCATAGTAGCGTCCCGGCCAGTCGGTCAGCCAGATAATGAGTGCTGTGACTATCACCCCTACGTTGCCCAGCGCGTCGCCCAGAACGTGCAGGACCATGGCGTTCATTCCCATATCGCCGTGACTGTGTCCGTGATCCTTGCCCGGCTTCTTCGGTTTGTTGTGATTGTGCGAATGGTGAATGCCCGAGCCTCGCCTGGCACGTTTCTTCAGGGGCGGAGATTGAGATCCGAATCCTCCGTGACCGGTCTGTGAATCACCGTTCTTGGCCAGTAGAGGAGTGTCCTCACGTGGTGACGCATCGTCGGTGACGACCGTTTCTTCTTCCGCGTTGCTGTCACTGCTGGACTCGTCGTCGTGTTGAGGCCGGCAAGCATCAATGATCTCCTGCCGGAAACTAGCGGGATGGATGCTGAGATCATCAATGCTGGTGATCGCGAGACGACCGTGTCGAACGGCCCCCGGCGTGCGCCGCTCCCTCCGACCTGGGGGCGCCCTCTCGCTCTCACCATCTCCATAACCGATTCGGCTACGCCTGGGCAGCGAAGCCGAGGTCCTGTATCTTGCAACAGCCGCTTCGGGTAGGAGGTCGGCTACGCGCCCACGCTCGTCTGCCGCATCGCCTTCGTCCACGAACTGACCGGCTACTCCTTCCTCGGCGGCGCGTTCAGAACCATGACTGTGTGCGTCCTCGCCGTGCCCGTGTTCCCCGGGTCCATGGGAATGTCCGTGTCCTCCAAGCACTGCGAAGCCGACCAGATTCGAAGCGAGTCCCAGGCAGCCCACAATCAGGATCAGTTGCGCGTTGCCGATCTCGGGCGGGTCGATAAACCTTGTGAGCGCTTCGAGGAGGATAGACACGCAGAGAGCAATGAGGAAGACGGCGTTGAAGAAGGCGCCCAGAATCTCGGCGCGGAGCCACTAATGCGACCGCTGTTAGTGCATCCCCCCCAAGAGGTCATGGCAGTTTCCTGGGAGCACCTACCCCGTACGAGAACTTGTCCGTCGTCGCCTTCCTTGCCACTGAGACCGCCCACAAGCCAACGATCAAGGAGATAATGTCGTTGAGCTAGAGGGAAAGAGGTCAGCACAAGCATCTCCGGTCAGCCTCAAGGGTCTCACCATGTGGAAGGCATCAGCCATGAGCGCTAGCGACCCGACGGCGAAACCAGCGCCCAGCTCGAGCAGGAAAAACAGGAGGTCGATGACGAGCATCACCTTGATGCGCGTCGATTTGGACCACCCCATGTTGGGCTGCCGAAAGGAAACTCTGCCGGCGCTTATTCTAGAAGAGGATGGGTTGCAAGATGGGTAGGTCCAATGGCAAACCTTTGAGAGCCCCTCAGCCGGCCTTTTGATAGCAGAAACAAAAGTGCTGCCTCAATTATTTGCGGCGCGGTTTGCTGCTTGTTGGATTCTTCTGAACCAGGGCTTGCAAAGTCGCCCCTCCTCCCGGCTTGGCGGATTGTGCGCCAACAGAAAACCCAAGACCGCCACCGATCTGGCCCTGGCCGAGAAGAAGCGCGGTTCGAAGTACCGAGTTAGGTATCCTCGTTTCGAGTGATCCACGAACTAGTTGTGGCAGAGGTTTTTATCTGTACCGTCGCAATGCGAGTTGCAGAGAAATCGGACCTCCAAGAACATCACGGATCAACTCGCGAGCTAATAAACCATTGATTCCCGCGTGATTCCGCCCTCCTCTAAGCTTACAGCGGCTCGAGAGTGAGTTTCGGATGACGGATTTGTTGCGGTGACCAGAGATCGTCCATGCAACATCAAAACGGCATTAGCCGCTTCCGTGACATCAGGTGAGAGCAATCTGCTTCAGTGGTTGGTGCCCGCCCCACTTTCTTGTGGTCTGCCCCACTTCCACTTCATCCACGTTATCCACGTTTTCGGTAGCGGGCCGAGGCCGAGGGTTATCGACGCCTCGACGGCTATCCGCATAAAGTCCGTCGGAGCCGGCTACGTAACGATACTAACCTTCTGCAAGATGGCTCCGATGCCGGTCCCAGCGATCAGGATAAGGGCCGTCAGAACCCTATTCAGTTATTACGAATCTTGGTGAAATGCATTGAACATTTTACGCTCTAGGGTGTCAAGATTTCGAGAGCCCGTGTGGAAAGAGGTTGGTTTCACTGTTGGGCTAGCAAGGCGAGGACGCTAACGCCGAGTACATCGGTCCCTACAGGTAACACAACTTATCTATGGGTAAGTACCTGGTAAGCTCCAAATGCTTGCGTTTTAGGGAGATAGCAAGTGCCATAGCAGAGATGTTAGTGTAGGTCCTAGCCAAGGCTTAGCCGCCTAGATGAAAAGCTCCTCGTCGGGGGCCGGTCACGTCCGTTGCAAGCGAACTAAGTACCTACCTGGTAGTTATGAGCTCCCTCGGCGCACCGGGGCTTGATCCGATCAACCGGTCAAGGCGGTGGTTTGCAAAAAGAAAAACATGGCAAGCCTGTTCTAGGTTGGAGTCAATCCAGCCCCTCCGGGCGGAAGACCGTCTTGATTTGGGGGGCATTGTCGAGTTGGTTACCTAGCAGGTGTATTCTCTACTCGTGAGCATGACTAGGCCCATCAAAACAGCCTATGCTACGTAGCATATGAGCAATGCACAGGCGCGAGTAATCACAGCATATTGAACTACTGTACCCACTATAACTACCTGATCATCGACAGGACCTCAGTCTCTTCTTGTCTTCTTTTCGCTTTCGTGCCGACTTAACTGACTCAACGGATTGGCCGCATTTCGACACTTCATTTTAGAAGCGTCAGACGCTGGGGAAGCTATAGGCCGTTCTCAGATCGGCAAGAAACTGGAACTTTCTGGGAGTAGCATATACTTAGCCCGCAGAGAGAAGGCCATATCTTGCTGCGGTGAATATGGAAGGACTAGGTAGATACCTGATACTATCAAATCTTCGCTCGCGATTTCAAAGCTAATCGGACGCTTGACCTAGAAGATTCACTGTTCCTATACCGCAATGTCACATACGTGTCTGAAGCGGTCAGATCTGGAAACGGTGACTCGCAAGTACTGTCAGTGTCCAACGAGACGCAGACGCCAAAAAGAACCGTACCTCGAGACAAAACTCTCGCTCCGCTCCTTAACTAATAACACATTCACCCTACCTGACCATGGCGGGTTACCCTCTCCTCCTACTTCCTCGGAGCTTCTGCTAGGCACTTGGTGAAACCCGAGTGGATGTAGAAAACCTGTTGTGGACCAGTATGATTTGTGGCTCCAGTACTCTGAGGAAGCTGTAGTCTTCCGACGTTACGCTTGACATGCTTTTCAAAGACGAGGGTCGGTGGTCGTGGTGTGTTCCCTAGAGGTGTTAAGAGTAGGGCAAGACAAAGGCTATCGACATTGAGGGTTCAATATTTATCTCTACAACAAGCCTCATCACCCACACTCCAATTATCCCCACCAGCTGGATCGAGGCTGCTCGTTCACTAGTTGGGGCGAGGCTCATGGAGCCGGAAGGTTCAGTCATGTAGGTATGTGACTACTGAAGATTTCTATGAAGTGCGCTCCGGCTATGCTTCTCCAGTTGCTGTGCGGCTGGACTAAGCGACTTAACTTCGAGCACTTCGTCACATGGTGTTTGGCACGTGCTTCATGTTAGAAAAGCTGTCGTACAACGACAAATCACGAGGGTTCGAGAATAAAATCGACTGTCAGCTTTTGGAGTCCACTAGGAGTAGATCAATACTAGTAGTCATATGTATCATATGCCGCATATGGCACATATGCCCAATATGATATTCCCTTCCCGCGACGGTCATTTTAATTCAAGTCTCTAGCATCACAGCTTGGACTCAACAAAAAAATAAGACCTGCCTTTCCATATCCTTAGGTGTGATATTGAACAAAGGTGCGACATCATCATCCTCAATGATCCCCATCAGTAGGCGACTGCGACCACGACAATGTTCCACCCGTCTCCGGACACCGCAATGTCAGGCAGAGTATGCCTCCCGGTGCAACGTTCAATGGACTGTGATTGCACGTCCTTCCTGTGAATCTTGCGCTGTCCATAGTATCACAACAACAGAACGCCTCTCAGTCGCTCGGTGCCACTGTTGCTGTTCTCCGCAGCAGATTTGTCAGCACAACCTGTTAGTACCTAGCAATTGTCTCCGACACAGAATCTGTCCGAAGAAAGTTCAGTGTAGAGGGCCGTCGTGATCGGTTCGCTATGGTCGCAGTCATACGCAAAGAACGGATGACAAAGACGCTTCCTAATCATTCAGGGCGACGGGCCTCGATGCTTAGAAATGTGCTCCTGCGCAGCGCAGGCTGCGCTGCAGTCGTCACTAGTGGGTGCCACTTTGTGGGTCGGTGGTTCGCCGGTCGCAAGCTTGCCGTCCAAGGGTAATCAGCCGGGTAGATATGTGTCTTGCGGCACCGACTTATAGTTAAGGTAGCCGATAGTTCAGGTATATAAGATGAGCGAATATCGACGATTCATGGCCGTCATAATTCCCCAGCTACATCCGATCAGAACAATCAACAAAGCCACTGGCAGCACACCACTCTTCACAGCCACGAGTAAAAAGTCACGGCAATCACCATGTCGGCGCAAAGCAACCTTAAGCCCATCAAGGTCTACGGCAAAGGCGGTCCTAACCCGCCCAAGGTCGCTATGATCCTCCAGGAGCTAGACCTTCCCCACGAAATCATAGACATCCAGTTCAGCGAGCTGAAGAAGCCCGACTACCTCGCCGTCAATCCCAACGGCCGCATACCCGCCATCTACGACCCCAACACCGACCTCACGCTGTGGGAGTCCGGCGCCATTCTCGAGTACCTGATCGAAAAGTACGACAAGGCCCAGAAGCTGAGCTTCCCGCCAGGGTCCAAGGAGGCATACCATGCCAAGCAATGGCTCTTCTTCCAAACCACCGGCCAGGGTCCGTACTACGGCCAGGGCGTCTGGTTCAACAAATACCATCCCGAGAAAGTCCAAAGTGCCATTGAGCGGTACCTCAACGAAGTGAAGCGCGTCACCGGCGTGATAGAGGGCCACCTCGCCAAGCAGAAGAAGCAGTACGGGGCGCAGGAAGGCTTTGACGGCCCATGGTTCGTCGGAAACAAGCTGTCGTATGTGGACTTTGCGTTCGTGCCGTGGCAGACGGTCGCGGCGGGGTACTTTGCCGAGGCCCTCCCGGATGGCTTGAAGTTCAACCCGGATGACTATCCGCTGGTGAAGGAGTGGCTGGCTAAGCTGAGGGCACGCAAGTCCGTCTCGAGCTCGTTGTCACTCCCGACTAGCTGAGACTTATCCGGGGGAGGGTACTGGGGACAGAGCCTTTGCTATGTATTTTCAGATGCAGCAGGGCGCATTGGAGGCACATTCCCCACAGAAGAGTGTGCGCGGTCTGGATGTACTGTTAGCCATGGTGTTTCAGTGTTAAACAAAGTTATCCAGTTTCTCCAATCCGATAGATATATAGCGACCGTCGAGTGTTGTATCCTTGCGTGCGCATCCAATTGACAGAGTGGTTTCTGAGGGAAACTTCCACCTCTACTAGGAGTGGATCGAGATTCTGGTGTGGGGAGCTTGATCGCACCGGAGTCCTGTATCTGCGCCCCGCCGCCCCGCCGGCGGCCCCACATACGCCATCCCGCCGCCAGGGGTCGGGTGCAGATAAGCGCTTATCTCAATCCGGTCGCCGGGCGCCGGTATGACATACTTCAGTGAAGTTCAGTCCCCGGACTCGTCCCCATCCCTTTGACCGCAAGTTCCAGGCGATGAGCGGCGGGGACGTCAACCTTCCTGAAGACACATTCTTGACCAACGTTTTTTGTTGTCACATCCATACAGCCAACGTGCAGCTGAGTCTCTGCTCGCCAACGGAATCATAACGGCTCCCGTTTTACAGGCCAACATCAAATACTATCGACATGAACTCGGACACCTCAAACCCGGAACTTGAGTCTTTCCGGGAGCAATGGAGAGCTGAAGTACGAGCAAAGCATGATGGGGCTGCTGGGCACACCCGCCGACAGCAACAACCACACCACACCACGGGAGCCGGGCCATCCACTGCTCGCCCTAGAACCGCTTCCGCCGCACAGCCGCGGAGGAAGCCGCCAAACCCGACAGAGCAGGCGCCTGTACAAGAGCAGGACGACGACCATGTCCACTCTCGGACATTTGACGAGGCTGTGGCTGTAGCACCCGCCCCCCTATCCCTCGAAAAAGATGGGCCAGATGCGGAGGAGAAAGGCGAGCCCGTTTCGGCCCTCGAGCATTACGAGAGGGCAGTGGAAAGGGAAGCCGCAGGCAACCTGGGGGACAGCCTAAGACTGTACAGGAAGGCCTTCAGGGTGCGTCATGCGGAACCCCCACGCGTTGGAGCAGCAGTAGCATTGACAAGATTCTCATGCCAGATGGACGATCGGGTGGACCAGAAATACAAGAACAAGCACTTCCCCAAGCAGCCGCCAAAGCCTGCCCAAGCAGTGTCTTCTACCGGTTCTCGGCCAGCAGCTGCCGGTGTTAACGCCCAGATCGAACAGCCGCGGCCCATGAAGGACCTCATCGCCAGCTTCTCTCAACTATCCATCGCGCCAGCGCCTCCCGAGGTCGAGGGCGTACCGCCGCCCCGGTGCCACTTGGCTGAGATCCCCGAGGAGATTCTGGTACACATCCTCTTCGACCTGGCAATCCTCGACGTCGGCGACTTTGTGCGTGTGTCCCAGGTGTGCAAGCGCCTCGCCTATCTAGTCGCCACCGAAGACCGCATCTGGCGCCGCATCTGCCTCGGCCACGAATTCGGCTTTGGTGGCATGCACTACTACTGGCAACGCCAAATTACCTGGGAACCCCTCACGGAAGAAGACCTTATCCGTGAGGCAACCGAGGCAGAAACAGCAGTAGCCGACCCAGCCGATGCCGATTCCGACCCCCCTCCGTTACCCCCTCTCACTTTGTCGGAGCGCGCCCAGAGGCAGGCGCAGGAAAGCGCCGCCAACACGCTCGCGTTCTACCATTCCCTCTACTCGCGCTCCTGGCTGCGCATGTTCCGTCTGCGCCCGCGCATTCGTTTTAACGGCTGCTACATCAGCACCGTCAACTATCCGCGCTCGGGCGAGGCCAGCGCCAACCACGTAACCTGGGGCTCGCCCGTGCACATCGTCACCTACTACCGCTACCTGCGCTTCTTCCGCGACGGCACCGCCATCAGCCTGCTCACGACCGCCGAGCCGGCCGACGTAGTGCACCACCTGACCCGTGAGGCCGTGGCCCTCCATCGCGGCGGTGCGAACCCGCACATGCCGAGTGCGGTGGCCCAGACGGCGCTGAAGGGCCGGTGGAGGCTGGCTAGGGAGTCCGATAATCCGGGCGCGTCGCTCAGCGAGGTGGAAGGGGATGTCATGATCGAGACGGAGGGCGTCAGCAAATACATCTACCGGTTGGATCTCGCGCTGGGGACTGCGGGTAAGGGCGCGAGGAATAATAAACTCGCCTGGAAGGGATTCTACAGCTATAACCGGCTTACAGGCGATTGGGCCGAGTTTACCATGAGGCATAACAAGCCCTTCTTTTTCAGTCGGGTCAAGAGTTATGGGGTCAAGGGGGAATGAGGGGAATTGTGCCTGTCTGGGGGAAGTACACTGCACAGTACCAGGGAATGATTGCACGGTTCATGAAGGAGCTTCAATTTCCGCTTTTTCTGCGACTTCCATATGTTTCATAGACAAGCCTAGTAGACCTCTTATAGATTGATGGCAACTCGTCCGGCATTCATCTCCAAGTGCGGTACAGTGTTTACTACGATGCAGTCATGGACCTTGGTCTGCAGGTGGAAAGGGGGCTCAGGGGGGGCTTGGCGACGGCCCAGGTCAGCTTACAACAGCTGGCAGCAGTTGGTTAACTGTGCCTCGGTCGCTCCTTCCAGGTACAGTAGGTTCCGTACCTAGGCGGACCCTTGTCAGCGCTGCCCTGCAGTTCAACCGCAGCACGAAGAACCACCACGAAACGAAGACAAGTCGAACCCTAGCGGGAGACTACCGGCCGCGCAAAAGTCGCCTTTGCACGCCCCCTTCCTTCTCCCCGTGTGCGGCGGCCTACAGTGTCCCGTCCGAGTCAAGCACAAGATGCTTTGAAGCGAGTTCGTGAAAACAGCAACCGACGCCAAGTCCGACAACCTAATGGTGTCTCGCGCCGACACAGGAGGCGGCTCCGGCCCGCTTTCCTTCCTCACCGGCGTCTACGACCTCGACGCCCTCGACACGCGGTTTACGACGCCCTCGTCGGTGCCATACAGGGCGCCAACTGGGAAGAGGGAGGACGACGCCAAGCCTGACAAGCGAGCGGAGCCGTCGAAATGGGCCACTCCCGAGTTCTATGTTTACTACTTGGTGTTTCTGACGGTGGTGCCGTACATGTTCTGGATCGCCTACGACGTGTCGAGGCGTACGTGTTATTTCCGGACGTGGGAAGCCGAGAGTGGCCGTGTGTTGACATTGCGCAGCGTCGGACCCGAGATATTCCAAGTTTGAGCACCTCCTTTCGGATGGCTGGATTCCGGGTCGCAAGATCGTAAGCTCTCTTCTGGTGCCGTCCTATCAGTGGCAGAGCATGCACTGAAACGTGGTTGTAGGACGTATCGGACGCGCAGTACCACACTTTCCGGACCAACCTAGCGTACATGGCCTTGCTCCTGGTCTTCCACCCGCTGCTTCGGAGGGTTTGGAACGCCGTGTATCCCGCTGCTCAAGATGCGAAACCCGGGCGGACGAAGTCTCTTGAGGCGGCAGACGCAAGGCTGAACCAGCGCGCATCATTTGATTACGCCTTTGCGCTCTTGTATCTGATCGCTTTGCACGGTTTCTCGGCTGCTAAGATTCTCTTGATTCTGGCTGTCAACTATAAGCTTGCCACGGGGCTGCCGAGGAAGTACATCCCCGCCGTGACATGGTTATTCAACATCTGCATTCTGTTTGCCAACGAGTTGTGCGAGGGGTATAAGCTCCGTGACCTCGCGCTCCTCGTGACGGGAGCCCCCGCTAAAGCTGTGGCAGCGGATACTTCTTCCCTGGTCAAGCTCGGCGAGTGGCTCGACAGCAACAGCGGGCTCATGAGCCGCTGGGAGATTCTTTTCAATATCACCGTCCTCCGCCTGATCAGCTTCAACCTGGACTATTACTGGAGCCTAGACAGGCAAAGCGCCAGCCCCGTCGAGGTACGTCCCCCCCTGACCACGCTTCTCCCTGTGCGACTCGTTGTCGCTCACACCCCCAAGAAGAAACAACTCGACCCGGCCAACCTGTCCGAGCGCGACCGTATCTCCACGCCGGCCGCCCACAATGACTATTCCTTTCGCAACTACGTCGCCTACGCTATTTACGCCCCGCTCTACCTCACCGGCCCGATCATCACCTTCAACGACTACATCTCCCAACAGCGCTACCAGCCGGCCACCCTCTCCCGCCCGCGCACCGTCCGGTATGCCGTGCGCTTCGCCCTGGTGCTGCTCGCAATGGAACTGGTGCTGCACTATGACTACGTGGGCGCCATCTCCAAATCGTCGCCGGACTGGTCTTCATACACACCCGGACAGATCTCGCTGCTCTCCTTCTTCAACCTGCACATCATCTGGCTCAAGCTACTCCTGCCTTGGCGCTTCTTTCGCCTGTGGAGCCTGGCCGACGGCATCGACCCCCCCGAGAACATGCTGCGCTGCCCGAGCAACAACTACAGCACGCTGTCCTTCTGGCGCGGCTGGCATCGTAGCTATTACCGCTGGCTGCTGCGCTACATCTACATCCCCCTGGGTGGCTCGAGCTTCCGGTCGGGCGCTGAGGCCCTGCGCACGGTGGTCACGTACCTGGTGGTGTTTACTTTCGTGGCGCTGTGGCACGATATAAAGCTGAACCTGCTGATTTGGGGTTGGCTTGTAGTGGTGTTTTTCTTGCCCGAGATTGCCGCGAGCTATCTGTTTCCGAGGAGGAAGTGGGAGAGCAGGCCGACGGCGTACAGGATGCTGTGCTGTGTTGGTGGGGTCGGGAATGTGCTGATGATGATCTCGGCGAACCTGGTGGGTTTCGCGGTAGGGTTGGATGGGCTGGAGAGTATTGTGAAGGGAATCTTCAGGGATTATTCAGGTATGTCTTTGTCCGGGTCCCCGCCCCGCGTCCTCTTCCTGTTGGTTCTTGCAGGCTGATTGCTGACTTCCTCTAGGCCTTGTATTCCTTGTTACGGCATGCTCGGCGCTGTTTGTTGGTATACAGGTCATGTTTGAGATACGACAGTCGGAGTATAGGCGGGGGATCAACTTGAAGTGTTGAGTGCCGCATCTCCAGCCGCGGCTGGATTATGCCATGTAGATTTCCGCAAGTATTTCCAGCTTTGGCATGTACGGGATAAACGGTGTCTGTACAATGGAAGGAACCGGGATATACACTAGGTACTGCACAGTAGCTTGTTTGTCACAAACTGAGACACTCGGAAAGCCGCCGACCCGTTGAATGAGCTGGTGCATGTGACAGGATACAACATCCGTCACCAGTGCGCCTGGCGTCCGGTACCACGGCCGTAGCCAATCCGCCTTCAAATGTCTTAACCACTCATATTTGGTGTAAGTACTAGTATCCAATATTAGGCCCATGAAACCTCGAGTCGAGATCCGAGGTGCACACTGTCGCCTTGTGTTGGTGTGACACACAAGACAAGAGATGTGGACAAGCCAACCGCGCTCTAACATAGGGTATATCCTCCCACGATACAACGAGATAATTCCCTAACGCCAACTTTGCCAGGACCGAGAACAAAGCATGAAACTGACCCAAACGGCAGAACTCGAGGAACACGCTCCTAGGCCATTGTCGTCTCCTGCAGCTTTCCCAACTCCGAATCTTTCGCTGTGGCAGCTCTCTCGGTCCTCGTCGCAAACTTACCCTCCTTTCCGAGCTTTCTCTCGGTGACATACTTGCGAAGCCAGATAGCACCCCACGCCAGGCCAAAAATAATCAGGCAACCGACAGCGATGCCGAAGACATAAGCCGCCACGAGCCCGCCCTGGGTGCTGGGGTCCAGGAAATCGTACGGGTAGAAGTTCCTGGAGGCCTTGGTGACATATGCGAGCGCCAAATACAAGGCCAGCACCAAGATCAGCCAGGCCATGTGGATCGGCGGCGGCACGTCCGTTCGCGGCACGACAATCTCGAAGAGCGCGAATACGCTATTGAGCAGGTGCTGCGACACGTTGCTCCAGCCGGCAAATATCTCGGAAAACCATGCTCCCGAGTACAGACGGCCCCAGTACACGATGGTGACGATGAAGGGGTACACGACGATGGTGGTGTAAAAGGCCGAATGAAGCGCCTGGAGCAGGCGCGGGAATCGGTCGAGGAGCGGGACGCCCGAACGCGCGTAGGTGAAGGTGTGAATCGCGGCGACGAGGAAGTAGAAACCGAGACCCCAGTAGGTCAGGCTCGTGAAGTAGCTGAACTGACTCTGCGAAGCGTAGCAGCCCGTCGCAGCATTGGCACACTGCCATGCTAGGACGAAGACGAGAGTTGTGAAGACATAGAGCGACTGAAGAGAGCAAAATTCGTGAGTCCTCCGCCGTCAGCCTTCACACCCTTCTTTGGCAGAGAACCTACAATCAGCGCTCGGCAGAGGAAGAGCAACCAGGGTGACAGCAGCCACGAGGTTTCGAATCGATGGGTCGGGTCCCAGGTATCCGTCCCAAATCTGAATGGATTTCTCGCCATGATTGCAGATTGCAGATCGCTTGGCAGACTCGACGAAAGGGAAGATGTAAGGCGGGACAAAGCTTGTGCTGACAGTGGTCTTGGCACCGTTCACCTTTGATCCATGCCTCGAGGACGAATGCTTCCACTGCTTACATGAAGCAGTGAACAGTTGATTATAAGGAGAGCAGTCGCGTTTTTACGTGTTTGGGAACTGCGATTCCGAGCCCGAGTTTCCGAGGTCCCTCAACTGCCGCATGGACTTGTGTGGACCTGAGGAGCTACCTACTGTAGGTATCTACTCCGGAGCTAGTGTAGGCGAGTGAGATCTCACGTAACATCGCCCAAACAACGCCCAAGCCTCAATGTGGCGGACTGAGCAGCTGCGAGGAGCCCAATCGTTCTGAAGAGAGGAACGGCTGTGATGGCTGGTAGAAATCCTGCCGTGTGGCTTGGGAGATCTTATCCAGACTATAGGCAGGTCTGCTGCGTAAATATCTTAGCTAGGCTATACGCAGATGGACTTCTGAACCTTCCTAAGTTCACAGGTTCGGCTTCCAAGCTCCGTGTCGCTAACCTGGTGTTGGAACTGTGTAAGCTGCAAACTTTGGGGCCGTGGAATAGGTTGTAGCTGCTGGCCAGGGTAAGAAACCAGGTTGCCGATGACCTACGACCCTAGTGCAAAGTGAGAAGCGAGATGTTAGCTATCGATTACATACCGATACATACATGAGTTCCCATGTAAGTCCTTGGTGAGATGCGCAGTGTCCTCGGACCCAACGACCCTTGTTGGTGGTCGCGGACACAGGCGCCATCTACCCGCATCTGGTAGTTATCGCATGCAACGCAAGGGCACATGCCCCTGGACATGCAGGAGCTGTGCATACTGTATTGATGTTGGCACTATTTGTGCGCGGCTAACCTCTTCATCACCAGTTGGCAACTTGGCCCTCAGGTCCTTCCTGCTCTTGTTGTCCTACAGAACCGATACTATAGGACTTCCTGAATGCTTGAGGAATAGAGGTGCGGTACGTGAGGTTTCGTACAGAATGTTGGCGAGGTATTTGAGAATTGATACCGTTGACATTTTTACGACCTCCAACAGGAGAATGGGCAAGCACGGTGACCTAAGCTGGAATCGGGAGGCGCGCCGATAGCCAGCGCCTAAATTCGAATTGGAGAGCCGAGTCGACTGGATGGATGACGAGGATCAGGCCTGCTCAGCATCCAACTTGTCAATATTCAAAGAAGACGCCAGCGTGTCGTTGGGGACAATGCTACGTACCCTACCCCGTACCTTAATTGTAGGTAAAGTTCAATTATAATTTCGTTGACTGGAGGTTCGGACGAACTCGCAGGGGTTGCTGCCGGTGGAGTCTCTGCAGGGCCCAGACCGGGTTGCCCAGGGACCGCTCTTGAACTGCGCCAGGTCGTCCAATAGTAAGGTGGAGCACACAACCGATTTTCCGTGTCGCTCCTCCTCCGTCCGGAGAGTCGCTCTCATTCTGAAGCCTTATCTTCCTTCCGAAGCATCACTGTATGTGCTTTATGTGGTGTGCCCTGATCCTCACACGGAAGTAAGTCGCCGACCTCTAGAGCGCTCAAGTTGATCTTTCGCTTCCCCGTCTCCGTTGTCGAGCCTCGTCTGCCCGCCCGGGATTTTCAAAACAGCAGCACCCTCAAACCGGTTAGGTGCGGCCCCTGACACAACTCCCAAGACTCGATTCGGCCGCACGAGGTGAATTCACGCTCCACTACGACGATCAGCCGTCCCGGCGAAACACTCCATACATATAAGCTCCGGGATCAGAGCTTGGGAGCTGCTGTGTAGCCCGGTGTTTCTGGTGTCTCCTTTGCCTTCTTACAGCCGCTGGCTTTTGGGGTCCATCACCACCATGTTTCACCCCGGGCCCTTCCCGTGACAGTAGCGCCGTTTGACGATACGAGGCTCTCGCTGCTTCACCACGGTCCTTTTCTTTCGCCCTATATCTGATCAGTCTGCTACCGGTTTCCTGTCGATAATCGTGCAAACCGACACTCACACTGCGGAAAGCCGCAGGCCGCATGAGGCTGGGGCCCACCGACGGACCGCCTCCGCCTTGTACGACAGGTTCCTGCCGATCGCCGCTGTGATCTGCGGCCGATGACAACCGATCTCCCGGCGGCTCCTTCAGTCCCGGCTTGGAGAACACCCCAATTCCTCCACCATGGCCTTTTCGCAACACCATCCATCGGCGCGCTTCTCCGAGCTGCCTATCGTACTGGTCCCCGATGTCGACGACGACCACACCACGGGTCCGGAGGCGCCCTCGGAGGCTGTTGCGCCGGGCCCAGAGGAAGCACAGCCACCGCCCGCTCCGCAACACCCCATCCCGTCCATGCAGCAAGCGTTTGCAGAGTCGCTTGTGGAGGCTACACAGGGACAAGCCGCGAGCAAGCCGAAGCTGCGTACTGGCGATGCCAAAGCACGGCGGGTCGAGCTACTCGACGGTGCCAGGTCGGATCCGCACCCAACCGCCTTGTGGCGCTGTCGGCCCGGTCAGAAGACACATGAGCTGTGCAGGCTGATGGCGCAGATCTCGTTTGGCGTCTACCTGCTGCTGAACGGCATGGCTAACAGCCAGATCCTGGTCGTTTCCATCCTCCAGGGGCACATCGACGAGGTGGACGAGTTCCTAGAGACGACGCTGGAGGACATGGACCTAGCGATGAAAGATATGGAGGAGCGCATCAAGCACCTCAAGCTGCCGATGGACAACATTGACGTCTTCGAGCGGATGTTGGAGGATCGCAACTTCCGTATGCAAATTCTGGATCGGAACCAGAAAATCGAGCACATTCTGGCCCGCACTCAACTTGCGCTGAAGCAGACGACGCAAGACCTCTCCGAAGGCCTCCTGGCAACCAGGGAATTCACGATATACCTGGCCGAGCAGCAACATGGAAGCTGGCGGCGGGAACGCCCCGATGTGATCGACATTTTCGATGCCATGAAGGGGAATACAGACGGGTGGTTCAACGCCTTCATGGACCTGCAAGCAAAGGGGAGTACGCTGAATGCCCTGATCGTCCGGTTGAGCGACATCGTCTCTGAGATGGAGCGGAGGGCAGGCGAAGTCAGCCGCAAGACTCGGGTATGTTGGCTTGTAAACAAGACAACTTGGCGAGAAGCTACCGCTAACGGAGGACAACAGTTCAGCGTTCAGCCTTATACGTCTCCTAGGCATAGCCCTCAGCCGTCAGATGCGTCGTCTGTCACGACCCCTCCGACTTCTCCGCCGCCAAGGAAGGTCCCGAAATCACCACCCCGACTCTCGTTACGTCTCAGCACTCTAAACGCAGTTCAACTGTCAATCGATGATGACATTGAAGCAACGACGACGCGGGATGAGACGACGGAGCAACAAGGTGGGCATGTGGCGACGCCCCGATCACTTCTGATGGTAACCTCGAGGTCACCACCGCCCGAGTCGCCTGCCGAACCGTCTCCGGAATCGCTGGAGAATCTGCCGTCACAATCACTTCCTCCTCGAAGTCCACGGCGGCTTTCTGAGCGGCCGTCGGCGTTGCTTGATGCTCCTAAACTTGAAACTCCCCATGAAGCCAACGAAGAGGATGAGAGTGGCGAGTTGCCGTTGTTTATCTTGCAACCAAGAACATACACGCCCCAGCCGCCCACTCCACAGCCGTCGCCCCGTATCGTTGATGAGCGGCCCAAGGTCGATGAGCGGCCCAAGCTTCATGAGCGGCCCGAGACCCAGATAGCGGTCCCGAGGCCAATAGTTGGGGCTTCAGATTCTTCGGATGAATCCATCTTACAACCAAAAACGTACACTCCGCAACTGTCATCCACACAGCCCTCGCCCCGCATAGTCAGTGAGCGGCCCAAGGCTGATGAGCGGCCCAAGGCCCAGATAGAAGTTCCAAGGCCAACAGCTGGGTCACCAGCTTCTTCAGCCGAATCCATATTGCTACCCAGAACATACACGCCTCAGTTCCCATCTCCACAGCCCTCGCCACGCATAAGGGACGAGCGGCCCAAGGCGCAGGCAGAGCGGCAAAGGCCAATAGTTGGGTCCTCGGCGTCTTCAGTTGAGTCCATGGCGCAACTAACGGTCGAACACGCTAAACCCCGAGTCGAACAACTACCGTCGAAGGCACAAGCATACAGGCCAAAGGTCGTGAACATCGGATCAAAGGCGGATCTGAAGGCCGTCTCCTCCCAACCGAAACCTGGGCCGGACCCGGCTCAAGCGCCAGAATTGGTCATACCGCTGGATCATGAAGAGCAGCCGAGACCGAGGACTTCGCTGCGTCAACGCATTTCGCTGAAAACGAATCCTCCGGACTCTATACAGATTCTTCCCGCAAGCACCTTCGAACCGCAGCGGCCGTTTCACACGATTGCTCGAGCCCAGCAAGCCCCTGATTCCGCATACGGGTCCGATTTGGAGCGGGCCCCCGTCAACTCCATGACATCCATCAACTCCTCGCTGGCGGACTTTACCCCGCCTTTCATTCACCCTGGCATGATTCCGTCACCGCACTCTGAAAGGCAATTTTTCCGACCAGTGCAGGCCAGCCCGTACTCGCCGCTGCAGCAGAGGCCACATACATCCCACACCATTAACGCGCACCGTTTTCCAGCGCCGCCGAGGCATACGCCCTCGGCTATGGGCATGAGTGTCATGAGCAGCGGAACGTCCATTGCTAACCAGACGGTTGGTGGGAAAACGGTAAAGAAGAAGCGCAGCGCATTCGGCTGGCTGAAGAAGGCCTTCACTCTGGACGAAGAGGAGCGCGCTGTGTTTGAGCAAAGGAAGAGAGAGCAGCTCGCCAACCCATATAATGAACCACCGACCCAACAGTTTCTGGACGGCAAACGCATTCGACCTCGTCCGGCGTACTAGGAGGAGCCAGAGGGCCGGATGGTTTTCCTGTCCAGCGCTCATGGGAAGCCGGTAGGCTCGTACGGGCCGGGCCGGGCCTGTTTCACATCAACCGGCCCGTCCCGCGTCCAGAGAAACATTTATGCGTTCCGCTTCTCTGGACGCGGTCTCGCTTGTTGTTTTATGCGTCTGATACCCGGCGGCGTGCGAGAGAGACCCATCTCATGTGGACCAGGAAGTTCACTGGGTATGCTTGTAGACTTATTGCTTTTCCGTTAATCGTTAATTGGGCTGGTTGTGGTCTGCTAATCTACTGTGCATTTTGACGGCGCGATGGTATCGTTTGAGCTGTGGAATACCAGCTCGGCTCCTCATAGAGGAAAGGGGATTTTGCATAGCGAGGCGGAGCGCGCACGGGATTATTTATATGTACTCTAATTATCGGAGATGGACTCTAATGCTGTGAATTTGAAGGCTTAAAACCGCTTCCTCTGAATTGTGCCGAGCAACGCTGCAACTGAGCCTCTCGCTCCAGGTTGTAATCAGGGCGAATATCATACACTGCAAACATTAATGTATTATACCGGCAATCGTCGGTCACTATTACTGGTTTACGGGCCTAGTCATTACTTCCTGTTAGAGAAGTTGCTCGGGTAGATATTTACATGTGATAAATACAGTACATAATGTACGGTACAACGTTACATATGTGTGCACAGTACCGATTATGTAAACTTATCCACGGGTTAACGGTCAGGAAGCTTCCATTTGACCCAAAATTTTCACTTCAACTTTCTCACTGTCACTCTCAACACTGACCGCATGGCTCAACCAAAGGACCATCTTTCCGACCTTGACCGGCATGTGCAACTCCTAGAGGGCAAGGTGAACCAGCTACGGGCGTCGCTTGCGCACTGGCAGCAATGGTACCTTGAGTACTCGTCGCTCAAGGAAGAGGTCGAACAATTGCCCAAGGATCCGCCTCCGCACGAGCAGCTTCGTCGCATCCGCCGTGACTTTGAGACCAAGCTGCTCACCAAAAAGGAGCTTCACGAGATCTTGGGCAAGAATGACCTCAAGGCGCCAGAGCAGATCATTGGCGTCCTCTCGCGGCGTATGGACTATGTCGAGCAGAACATAGACTCCTTGAGAAAGCTCCTCGAGAAAGAGGAGAACAGACTTGCTGCCGCGAGCGTAGTCGCGGCGCCAGATACTGGTACCGATGAAGAAAGCGGGCTGCCCATCACCGACATTGTCGAGGAGTTAGATGAGGATGGCAACGTGGTCAATTTCCGGTTACAACGGGGTGCTGACACCCAGCCCAAAATTGTCGAGGCGCTGAAGAAGCTAGGTATCGATGAGAAGGACCTCCCGGAGACTGAGCCGGGTGTGTCGGAGAACCATGAGGCATCTACACCGAGCTTAAAACCAGACGAGGCCAAAGACGGCCCGGGTCCGGATGCTCCAGCGGCACCAAGCGGCCGTCCGGAAAGTGCAGATGCCGATGAGCCCGCTAATGTCAAGAAGTCCGTTTCTTTTGCGGAGGACACAAAGCCGGGCGACGACGCTATTGAGCCTCCACAGTCTAGAGCGGCGCAGGAGCTGGAACGGCTCATGCAGAAGGCCAAAGATCAGGAAGCAATGGACATGTCGTCCGCCGTCATTCCGGAAACTGAGTCACCAGAGGACAGTCAGCTGCGCCGCGAGATGCTGGAGTACAGCATGTCGGAAATCGGCCCTGTGGTCGCTGAGCTGCAGCTGGAAGAGGATTCTGGCGACGGGGACAGCGATGACATGACCTGGGACGGTACTGACGAGGAGTACGAAGAAGCGACGGACGACGATACCGAAGATGAGCTCGGTCGCTCTAAACGCAGCGTCATCACCTCGGACTACATCAAGCGCATGCAAGAGCTCGAGAAACGCCTCAACGTCCAGTCTGCCTTCACAGTTGGTCGATCGGAAACCGAACCAAAGACGGAAGAGGGCATTGGACGAATCGCAGTAGTCGGCGGTTCGAGCGCCTCAGCGGTTGCGCCATCAACTGCCCCTCGAGAGAAAAAGACAGTCGCCTTCTCCTCGAAGTTGGATATCGCCCCCGACCCTACGCCTCAGCAGCCTGTAGATGTCAAACCCAAGGAACGCAAAATCGCAGAAGTCGGCGATATTACGGAGAAGGGGGCAGAAGAACAGTCTGTTTCGAGGGCCGAGGAACGGCCAAAGCGCGTGTCCCGGTTCAAGAAAGATCGGGTTATCCCCCCACCCTCGCCTGCTGCTCCGCCTCTTCCTGTTGTGGAGAACGGAGCGGAACAAGAGTCTTTCGATGAGCCAGAGGAACCACCGAGGCGCGTGTCACGGTTCAAGAAAGACCGGGCCGTCTCATTGCCTCCGTCTACCGCTCCACTTCCTCCCGGGCCGCACCAAGTTCCGGCAAGTTTCTTCCCAGCTCGTGCGGCTCCTGCAGCGGAGCCAACCCCACCTGAACATCAGACCGTGGCCAGCGAGGTTGTCGAGCGGCCTGTCGTCGCTGACCCAATAGAACCCGATGAGATGGACGATGTTCTTCTGTACAAAGAGGCAGCGGTTGAGTACAACCGTCTGCGGAACCAGTTGATACAAAAACAAGGCGGCGTCGCGCAGCAGGATGGAGCGCTGGACAGCGAGACTGGTCTCGTCCCGCTCGACGAAGAGCTGGGCGGACCCAAGCGCCTGAGCAAGTTCAAGGCCGCACGGTTGACCAAGCTACAATGATGGCAGAGGTTCAACGGACTGTCAACATAGCCGCTGCGAATCGAACTATGCCAGCGCCTTCGGTTTCTGTACATGCTTCCTGTGATCAGTTGCATCACATCTCTCTTCTCCGGTTGCCCTTCTCTCTCTCTCTCTCTTCTCTCGTCCCTTGACTAACCCAGGAACTGTGCCGTTGACAGGCCAGCGTGAGAGTATTCTCGCCAGTGTCGCCAAGCTGGTGGCCAAGCACGGAACGCTCAATAATCTGACAATTGATGGATTGCAGCTCCTCATCTGCATTCACATTACTAGCGATTCCAAGAGCGAGCGGATGGGCTCTCTGACGCCTCGACCCTTGGCAAACTTTACTCCATGGTCTCGGCGATTCGTTTCACCCCTCACATTCTCCCGCCTCTTCAGGGTAGAGATCTAGGAGCAATAGAACCCCATTGTGCCATTCAGATTCCGTACCCTGCGTCTTACATCCGAGTGCCAGCCCCAGAACCAAACGCCTCAATCCCAGCACCAGCCATGTAACTCTTCTCACACCAACTCGGACAGCCACAGCGTTTTGGGATCCCGCTCAGTTGCTTGATCAATTAATCTTGGCCTTGCTAAAGTCCATCTCGGGATGCTGCTCCTGGAACTTCTTGAGAATGTCCATCTTCTTCTGCTCGTCGCTCGTCGGCAGGCCCATCTCTTTCTGCCGCTGGTCATACATCATCTTCTCCACCATGCTGCGCGTCTCCCCGTCGAGGTCTGACAGCTTGCTATTCTCGGGCACAATCTTGGTCACGTCGATCTTGGGCGCGTCTGTCACCACGTGCGCCCACCACTCCATCTTGTTCACCTTGTCCAGGTGGATCTCGATCACCTTGTTCCCGTCCGGCGCGGCTGATAATGTCCATGTGCTGTCGTCGACCCGGACCGCGTGGGGGAGTGTGCCCTGCGTAGGTGAGGAAAAGGACGTGTTAGTTCCTGGAGTGCCGTGGGAAGGGATAGGGCGAAAGGGGGGTGATGGCGGGGAAGAAAGACGCACTTTGAGGACGGGATCCTGCCCCTTGATGCCTGCTGAGATAGAGTCCTTTTTGATATCGACTACTACGTCGCGCCCCTTGATGTTGCCCGGCACTGAGATGGTGATATCAAGGTCCCCGATCGTCTGGGTCCACTTGTACGGGAGCGCATCCTGCTCGGCTTTCTCTTTGGCGCGGGCCGCAGCCTCTTCAGCGGGGCTAAGCTCTGTCGTGAACACGCAGGTGTTAGTGTCGGGTGTGAGTTCAGGTAAGCTTCAGCCCTTTGCCGTCTCATAGAGGGGTTGCCAGGGCAGGGCTCGGAGGGCCGACTGTTGGCTGTAGGGCGAATGTGTGGATGCAAAAGGGGGACTATAGCAAACCTTTGTCAGACATCTTCGACTGTTAATTTTGAAGCTCGGTTTTGAATGTCCTGAGGGCCGACGGCGGCTACACCTCAAAATTATGCTGCCAGAAGCTTTCGAAGTGCATGGAACTTGTGAGCTCAGCAGAAGCTCCCGTCATGGTGGGGCAGCACAAAATCACCCCACGACCCCACAAGTACGTACCTACTTAGTAGCTTCAGACCCGACCAGGGTTCCATTTGTCTTGACTGCCCGAGATCCGCCTTCATTACTTCAACGCCGCACACCTTGGATTACAGAGTAGATAATTATTTCTTCGCAACCCCTCCAAACCCGGCGCCCTACCCATCAAGATCATAATCATCTAGAACACCCCATTCGAGACGCATCACCATGTCGCGAAACGCGCCCGCCGGCGGGCGCGCCGTGGCCAGCAACGGCACCACCGTAACCACGTCCTCCTCCCTCCCTGCCATCAGCACCGAAGACATGTGCCCCGTCTGCAAAACCATCCGCTACCTCAATAAAGACATGGAGTTTCTCATCAACCCCGAGTGCTACCACTCCATGTGCGTCAACTGCGTCAATCGCCTCTTCAACGACGGGCCCAACCAGTGCCCCTACGCCGGCTGCCACAAGACGCTGCGCCGCAAGGGATTCAGGTCCGCCTTCTTTGGCGACCTGACTGTCGAGCGCGAGGTCGATATCCGCCGGCGCGTCGCGGCCGTGTTCAACCAGGTTGAGGACGATTTCGAGACGCTCAAGGATTACAACAACTACCTGCAGATGGTGGAGGACCTGACGTTTGACCTCGTGTCGGGGACGGACGCCCAGCGGCGCGCGGCCGAGGCGACGCTGCAGCAGTGGGAGCTAGAGCACAAGGCGGATATCGAGCGCAACCGGAAGGCCGGGAAGGAGGCAGACGAGCAGTCGCGGCGGCGGCTGGCGGCGGAGAGGGAGGCTGCGCGGCAGCGGCGGGTGGAGGCGCTGCGCGAGGCAGAGGAAGAGAAGCTCGAGCGGGCGCGCAGTCGCGAAGCGGAGCTGGATAGTCTGGCCCAGGGCGACGTGGGCACGGGCGCGCAACGAGTGCAGCTCAAGAGGAGAGGACAAGCGGCCGCGAACCGGGCGGTGGAGGCGGCGGTCAACGCGGCTGTGACCGCCGCGGATGTTGGGCGGCTGTCGATTCGCGGGCTGAAGGAGAAGAAGAAGGCGCCGGCGCCGGAGGGACCGTACGACCCGTTTGGTGGGATGGACTTCGTCCCGAGCAGGTACAAGCTGCGGGCGGGGCTTACACACCCTGGGGTCGAAAAGTACAAGCACGATCCGGCGCACGTCACGGGGGGGTACAGCTTTGATGAGTACGCGACCAGGGCCATGTTCGAGGCTTTTGCCGGGCTGGGGGTCTTCATAGAGGACGAGAAGGAGGTGGGCATTGGGCTCTCGGCCGGAGAGGTTGCCACTATCAGTGCTGGCATTGCTGCCGTGGGCTGTAAGATGGAGTTGGACTAAGCCTTTGGGATTTGGTCTTGCTTGCTGGCCTTCAAGTTTGACATTGACGTGCATAGCGTTGGCGTTCTGGATGGGACATGGGACACGGGACACGGGACACGGGGATGTCGGAAACTGGGCCCACGGGCAGCCTTTTACTGACCTTTTATAGATTCAGGGTGGCAACCCATATGCCTTTTCCTCAGGGGACATTGGGTTGGAGTTAATCCAAGGAACTGGCTATCATGGCCAAGGAGCCAACTTCCAAAACATGCGTGATACAAAAAAGGTATTATAATTTAGAACGACTTAAGCTGGCCAAATCATACCGTTTGACTCCCCGACCTTAACCCCGCAGGTCTTGACTTCAGCCTTCTTGGACGGCATGAGCAGGTCCGCCCCTACCTACTACCCAGCCGGTAAACAAGATCTCACGTAGGCACCTCACCGGCCATGTTACTCACGGCAGCCGAGCCTCGACCTTCTTCAATCGCAAAAGACCGAACCAACAAATGCAAACCTATCGAACGCCACGCTGTATGCTTTGCCAAACGAATGAAGACCGAGCGTCATCAGATCCCAGCTATGCCGTCGTTTTTTCCTCCGTTGATGAGACCAGGCATACGTATCAAACCAGCGCCTTCACTGCTGCCAAGGTGTCTGCTGAGCGGGCCGTGGGAAGACCGGAATTGTCTCCAGCTGGTCCAGCCCGCCGCCTATGGGCTGCTGGTTATTTTGCCAGCCAAGCCCGGTAGCGTGGTTGACGAAAGCGCCCTGTCGAAACGGGTTCGTGCTGCCGGTGGGTTGAGACAGAATGCCGCCAGCGGTGACTGGTCGTTGCTGCTGCATCGGCGGAGCGGGCTGCGCAGGGCCAAAGTTCTTGGCAAATGGATTGGTTCCCGTCTGCAAAGGTTGCATGGGCGCCGGCGCTGCCACGGTTTGCTGGGTAGGCTGCGACTGGAACGGCGAGTTTGCCGCCGGAGGCCCAAATGGCTGGGCTGCTTGTGGCGAGGAGCGGGCAAAGGGGTTAGTGGACTGGCTCGTCGCGGGACGCTGCTGGGTGTTCGCAGGCGCAGGTGCTGGAGCGAAAGGCGTGCCGGTCTGCTGGTTCATGAGCATAGACTGACGGAATGGGTTGGTGCTCTGCTGTGGCGGCTGGAGACCCTGGAACGAAGGCGTTGTCGAGTTCTGGAAGCTCGCGACAGAGTCCTGCGGAATCGGGGAGAGGGAGCTTGGTTGGAAGCCAGGCTGGGGCTGGGCTGAGAATCCCCCGAAGCCGACACCCGTAAAGGCCGGCTGCATCTGTTGGGGCGATTGTGCAGCAGTTGGGGAGAATGTGGGCTGGTTCTGCGGCTGGAACGGCACGCCGGCCTGGAATCCGGTGGGCTGGGAGACAAACCCGGTTTGAAGCGGCGGTAGAGGCTGCGGTTGGAACGGTGTTGGCCCCCATGGCGACATCCCCATTTGCATCTGCGTCTGCGCTTGGACCTGCTGCTGCTGCTGGGGCTGGGGCTGGGGTTGCGGCTGCACTGCCATGGTCGTCTGGTTCTGCTCGATGGATTCGAAGAAGTCGATGAGGTCGGCGTCTGGGCCCTTGGCGGGCTCTGATTTGGCGGCTGCTGGCGGTTGCGAACTCGTCGCATTTGCACTGGAGGAGGTCTTTGCAGATTCCGTCTTGGTCGACTTCGAAGCGCCCGATGATCCGCCCTTTGACTTCTTCGCTTCCAGCTCGGCCAGGTATTGTCTCCGGTGGATCTCAAAGTCCGGGTCCTTCAGGTACTCCTCGAGTTGGCGCCCTAAGTTGACGGGAGCGTGCTTCAGCTTTGGAACCTCGACCCTCGTGTGGTGCTCGTATTGCCTAGCGACGCTGAGGTACTGCACCACATAGTCCGTCTGTCTCGTGAAGGCCCGGTAGATGTCCATAGCCCTCTCGGCGTCTGTCTTGGACAGTTCGAAAAAGTGGCCTATCGCTCGGGCGGTCAGTTGAGGAGGGCCTGCGGCTGCCTGGGCCCATGTCTTACCGAGGATATTGATCAAGGCTTGATTCAGGGCCTGAAACAAAGCAAGCAGGTCCAGAACCAGGAGTCTGAAGACGGTGATTGTGATCTCGTTTTCCGGCTCGTTCTCCATCACGTCGCACTTTAGCAGAGCGGTGAGCTGGTGTTGGACAATCTCCGTCTCCCGCAGCAACCCTTTTTCCACAGAAAGCTTCTCGAGCCGATTATCTTTGGACCGCACCCAGTCGACCTTGGTTTCCCGGTAGGCGCGCGCGCGTTCGGAGAGGTAATTCGAGTAGTGGCGGATGTTTCGGCCCTGGATTTGCGCTACATACGCGGCTCAGCGATAGGATGCCAACAGCGGCAGGCAAACGCATCACTGACCGTCAGAAAATATGCTCACGGCCAGCATGTTCTTGTGCTTGGCGAGATAAGCCAGCGTCACGTCCGCGGAGCCTTCCCGGATCATCAAGTGGACGGTGATCAGGCTCTTGAAGACGACGGTCCATGTCGAGTCGCGTAGTCGGTACTGTAGTGCCCTGAACACCTCTCCGATGCCCGCCTCTCCCGAATGTGTCGCGACTAGGATATGCTCAATGTACTTTGTCTTCGGCGGCGCGGCCTAGAAGCAGCGGTGTCGGTTAGCGAATCCCCGCCCTCGCCCGACCGAGATGCGTGTCTGCAAGCGTAGCGAGAAGAGCGGTGCCATACCTTGACCTTGGTCGCGCCCTTTACCGATTTCTCAAACGAGCTCGCCATGGCTACTGAGGTGTCGGCTAGCCGAGGTCACTCGGGCGTCGTTGCAGGTGGTTTCCCTTTCCGGAGCTTTCGGGTTTCTCAGCCTTCCCGACTTTGTTCGAAGCCACGCAATACGTTTTGCAGGAGACCTACGGTCGGTATGCTGCAGCGTTGAATTGTTCAATAGGCCCAGAAGTGTTCGGCAGCTGATGGAGAAGGCGCCGCGGATGAGGTCACAGTCGGGCAGCGGAAGGGCTGAGCCAGTCGCACGCGGCCTAGTAGAGGTACAGTACACTCATTAAGGTAGGGAGGTACGGTTACCTCGTGTCTGCGGGTGCTGCGCTGGGTCGGCTCAAATGCAAGTCGGGTGCCGGAGCCGCCAAATTGCGGATGCAATCCACTTTAGACAGGGGGCACGAGGGGCTCACATTGATGTTAGACCTGCTCTGTCTATGGAGTCGGCGTCGGTGCAAGGCGGGTGCTGCGGGCGAAGGAGGGCGTCACAGTGTTCTTGGCAATGAACGCATGGGTCACAGAAGTCCCGTCATATTCCCATAGGAGGGCTTTCGTCACTTTCAGATGTTACTCAACAAAAGTCGTCTTTCCGATATTGGTATTCCATTATTCCATTGACGTTGTCGCACGAGGTGACAGCTGGCGCAAGCGTAATATTCCAACTATCGCTAGTAACTGAGTGTTTGCCTTTTTTATGTTTTATCCTGGCACATGCCTGGCAGCCTGGTCGGACAGCCTGTTCTGAGCAAGTTGAATCTAGTCAAATTGATGGCCAGATAGGACTGCTCAGCGCAACCGCAAAGTTACTGCAATACACGCATGCGCGTCCCCAACTCCGTGCAAAAGCAGCATGGAAGACAAGGCAGCACAAGGACAACTTTCACTAGAAAGCCATCCTTTTCAGTAGCTCGAGATTACCACCGTCCCGGCGCGGCATACATCCTTGCAAAGCACGACCACTCGGCGGCACACGCAAGGCCCTTCGCATTCATGTTAATCAGAGATGCCGTCATTGCGTCCGATGAGTAACAAGGTCGGTGTGCCGAACGCTTATTTCATGCTTCCATCCTTCTATCACAGCCAAACCACTTGAGCCCCGCGAGGGGAGAGTTTGGAAGTTCCAAAAGGAGGAAGTTTCATCATAAAGACACGCTGGCTTTCATCATCTAGGCTGCAGTCAGTTTATGATCTCAGAGAGTCGCGATGCGACAGTCGTGGGGCCGGGACCTACTTTGTTTTGAATGGAAGGGATGGAGAAGAAAAGAGGAAAAGTTCAAATTCTTCGACATGCCAGCGTTTTTGAGGTCGGTGCCGGGACCTGCGGACCCACACCATCGTCCCGTCCAAGCAGTGACCCACACGCAGCGGGCCAACCGCGGCCGAGGAAAAGCGGGTCTCCTGGAATGTGAGAAGACGGCCGAGCTTATTCTCATCACGGCTTCCGCGTTCTGCTTCGACTAGGTACTGGTGTTCTGGACCGCTCTGGGGACTGAAGCTGAACGGGACGAATGGCACTGCCTCGAATAGCGCTTAGGCTGCCCGGTTGCTTTTGGCAGCGGGACTTGACTTGCTGTAGAAGCGCTTTCCGCGCGCAGTTGGTACACATCAGCAAGCGTTCAGTCCCGAGTTGTCGCCGTTCATATTCCCTCGCATTAACCAGCAAAACCGCTCAGACTCCTACCGCAGAAGCCCTACAAATTGACCCAGAGGTCTTTCACCAAGATCTTCGTGAAGAATGGACCAGATACAGTAGGCGCCTCGCCGCTGCATGCCATGTCCCAATGCTGACTCGCGCGAGGTAACTTTCCAAAGGCCTCCGAGGCGGCGGACTACAAGGAAGGGCAGCGCGTCACCGTTCATGGATTCCTGACCGAGAGACGGCAAAAGGGCAAGAATCTTGTGTTCGGAGACTTACAGGTCCACAACGGACCTCACGTCGAGATCATTTACCATAAAGGCCAACTGCCCGACGATGAAGAAGTCAGGACAAAGTTAAGGAAAGCCCTCAACAGCATTCCCCTTCACAGCCCGGTCTCCGTGACGGGAACCGTCAGCAAACTCTATGGCGCAGAATCCGGAGAGCTCCCCCCGAAAGCCAGCGGCGCCGACGACGGAATACAACCCCAGAGTGCCTCTTCAGGGCCGGGCAGTTTCCCCGACGGCGTCTCTCGCATCGACGTGCTCCTAGAAAGTATTCAACCGCTGAACCTCTTTCCAAAGAACATTATCGTCTCCAAGGACGTCGTCTTCCCGCCCGAGTCTCGGCACTTGCAGATCCGCTTCCACGATGGCCTTCGGTCCCGTCTGCTTGCTCGGCCGCGAATAGCGTCCCGCTTGAGGAAGTTGCTCAATGACCTTGGCTTCACCGAAGTTGAGACGCCGATCCTGTTCAAATCCACCCCTGAAGGGGCTAGAGAGTTTCTGGTTCCCACGAGGACCGTTGGCCGTGCATACGCACTGCCACAAAGCCCTCAGCAGTACAAGCAGATACTCATGGCCAGCGGCATCCGGGCCTACTACCAGTTTGCTCGCTGTTTCAGGGACGAGGACTTGCGAGCGGACAGGCAGCCAGAGTTCACGCAGGCATGCCAATACCATCTTAGCAATCGCTCACCGTCAATGGATGCGCTGACTGTACGCAGCTGGATCTAGAAATGTCCTTTGCCACGGGTGAAGACGTCATGAGGACGGTCGAGTCCCTCATTTCAGGTTTGACCTTCTCGCTGGACTCCGAGTTTTTGACCGTGACGAAAGGTGAAGATCGATATCTCACGCCTAGAAGGAGCTTGGTACGTGCGGTCAACCGCTCACTCTTCATTGGAGCCTGTTCTAACAAGCAAGCGTTGAAGACTGCGCTCGAACAGGAGTGGACTGGGCGCCCATCTTACACGAAGCCTCCGTTTCCCCGTATGAAGTACGAAGAGGCCATGACGAGGTTCGGCACCGACAAGCCAGATTTACGAATCCCGTTCGAGGTATGCCCCGTGTATGTTCATGTTCATGTCACGAAAGCCAGTTCGTTAACAGTTGCGGCAGATCCACCGGGTTGAGCAGTTCCTGCCGCCGTCATTTATTTCCAAGATCACCATCCTCCAAAACCCGGTCGTGGAAGCGTTCAAGTTCCGCCCGGCCGCAGTGGACAAACCCGAGACGGTGGCGGACTGGGCTTTCCAGACACTAGATGATGTCGACATCGACAGTGCAGGGAACCCACCTATTCACCTAACGGTCGATTCCTCGAAGCCTCTCCGTGGCCTTGCGGCTCTCGGTTTCGATGGCGTCACTGCCTTGCAGTCCGGCGTGGCCGAATTTGCCGATCTGCAAGACGGAGACGTGCTTGTCTTCCAGGCACGCGAGGACAAGCCCTTCCAGGGCGCCGGCTCAACGGACTTGGGCATTGTCAGGAACGAGTTGTATCGGAAAGCCGTGTCCGCGGGACTGCTGGCCGAGGATCTCAATTTCCATTTTCTGTGGGTCGTCGACTTCCCCATGTTCAAACCGAAGAGCGTGACGGATCCGGATCCTGGACAGGGTGAAAAATCGCGCTTTTCGGCGACTCACCATCCTTTCACTGCGCCGTTGACGATGGCGGACGCCGAATTGCTCGCGACTGACCCGCTGAAGGCGAGGGCCGACCACTACGATCTGGTGGTTAACGGCGTCGAGCTGGGTGGCGGCAGTCGACGTATCCACACGGCCCTCACGCAAGAGTACGTGTTCAGGGACATTCTCCAGATGACCGACTATGGCGTCGGGCAGTTTGCGCACCTACTCGAAGCTCTCCGCGCCGGCTGTCCACCCCATGCCGGCTTTGCCCTGGGCTTTGACCGTCTCGTGGCACTGCTCACGTATACCGACTCGGTCCGCGACGTGATTGCATTCCCCAAGTCAATGAAGGGCGAAGACAAGATGGTCAACAGCCCCGGGGAGCTCAACAAGGGCCTTCTTCATCGTTACCATCTTACATGGGCTACCGAAGCGATACGCGGAGTTCAGAAGGATGAAGCGAAGGAATGCATATAAAGGAATGCATATGCGATGAGAAAGCAGAGAAGGACCTCGGGTTCTGACTAGCCGCCCGGTAGAAGGACGTTCCTTAGCCTGTATCAATCGCTGTACAACAAAATGGAGCAGTGATGTCAAGACTTTCAGTTTCTGCTGCTAGACCGGTTCACAGGATAGAAGGATGGCTCTCCACACCAAGAAACAACCGTGTATGAATATACCTATTATGCTTATGCACTTCATTAGTCCAATCCCTGTCTTATCCCTCGTCCGCTTGAAGGTAGGGTTTGTGATCAGGGTTGATTGAGTGGATCGGAGTCCAGATGGTTGTGTCTTTTGGGTGAGGCCAGGCGAGGCAGAGCCGATCGGGTAAGGGCAGTTTGGGTCCCGTGTGACGGTTGCCATGGCAACCGTAGTCTTGCCTCCTGTAACAGAGAAGTTGTGTGGGAAAAGGGGGCTGGGGGTTGGAGTCGAATGGGAGACGGGGACAGCAGGAAGAAGTGACCAGATACTCAAACAGGCGACCGCTTATCCCACTCTCTTTTATTGGAGTAACCTGTTCTGGCAAAGGAAGGGGTTCCTAGAGGCAAACTGGGCACATTTCATGGTCGGGACGGCGACGGTCGGAGTGACCATGGAGAGGAGGGTAAAGAGGGCGAAGAGTTGCATTATTTTTTGTTTGTGCTGGGTGAGGAGGGCGTTTCTTTCCGGACAGGGACGGGAGGGAGGGTGGTAAGGACGCAGAATGTCCGGGGGAGGACACACAGGGTCACGTGTCAATATTGACATGCAGCGGAACTCAACCCCCCCCCCCCCCTCCCTTCTTAATCAGATAGACACGATCCAACGCTTCCAATAATGGCCAGGACGCGTCTAACTCACCCCCCTTTGCGTACTCCGTAGGTGGTCACTCGCCGCTCCGTCAGTCGTCATTCGTCAGTCGTCTCCAGTGTGGTATCATGGGAACGGGCAGTCGAGGGAGACTCAGGGGTGTACTCAGTGCCAGATCCCCGTGGTGTGTGGCCGCGTGACCGAACCGTCGCCAGTCCTGCGCAAAGAGAGGTCAGTCCTCCGCAAAGGGAGGTCGCTACGTCATGGTTCGCTGCAGTCTGGCACCATCCCAACGCGTCGCCACATCCTAATGCGGAAGTCCTATGTGAAGTCCGACGTACCTCTGGGTCCCTGGGTGTGGTTTACACACGCATGTGATGAGTGGTTGCAGCCACTACCCCCCCTCCGCCCCCAAGATCTGTAAAAAGGCAAAGCGCTGGCCCCCTGAACTCTGAACCCATCTGAACTCCTACACCACACATTCAGATCCGAAGAAGTCTCTCTCCAAGTCTCTCTCCAGATCGCACACTCTACAATCAACGCCCTCAGACGTAACACACAACACACTTCATCACCATCCACAACAAGCAAGATGTTCTGGTATCCGTGGTACCCTATCCAGGAGCCTTATCTCCTTGTCGAGTATCTTGTCAGGATCGCCGTTATGCTCATCTTGGTCTTCCTCCCAACCATCGTCCGATCGGCATTCCGACCTGTCCTGGCCGTGTTCGATTATGAGACCGGGCGTTGGTTCATCCAGGCTTTGGACCAGGGGCGAATGTCAGCTCTCTCCACAATCCAGCGCGTCCTTGCCTTCGCCAGGCAAAAGGGTCGCAAGATATCTATCTGCGTTATCCCCGTTCTGGCTCTCACGCTCATCGCCGAGTGCCACGCGGCACCCATCGAAATCAACGCCGCGTCCAATCCGGACCTTCTCAGCGCCATTGCGGCAATCAACGCCACAGTCAGCCGTGCCAGTGCGCAGGGCGTCATCCAGGACTCAGGAATCCTGGACGACATCGAACGGCTCTTAAACATCATCGGAGACCACGTCGAACGCATCCGTGGCCCATACGTCGGCAATTCAACCAACAACGCCACCACATTCACGACCACCAACACGACTGCATCCTCGACGGTGCCGGTTGCCATCGGCACCGGCACCAAGACCACGAACAACAAAGCGGCTTCCACCACCATCACGAACCCGCCTTCCTTCGCAGACATCTTCGGCAGCGCGCACGGGTCCCTCTCGGACAAGAATATCACGGTCAACTGCAAGGGAATCAGCGTCTGCAACCCGGTCACCGTTGTCAGCGACCAGAACACTACTCGCACTGAAACCTCAATTGGAAATGGAAGGGGGGGCAGGAAGGGTTTCAGGAGGAGGATTGGGTGAAAACGAGAACTTCTCCAGGAGGGCAGGGATGAGTTTTGGATATTTAATCAGGGAGTTTTAGATAGCTGATCAAAGACCAAATGGAAGATTAGTTCTTTGTTCAGTTCAAAGCTTCATCGTGATGAAATTTGGGTGTTTTAATCAGCGTGTTTCTGGATACCTATCAACGGCGGAATGGAAGAGTAGATTTTTTGTTCAGTTCATTCAAACCTTCGTGTTGAAGTTTGTGTGTTTAACCAGGGCGGTTTCTAGATATCAACGGCGGAATGGAAGAGTACCACCTTACCTAGTAGTCGTTTTGTTCAAAGCATTGTGGTGTTGAAACGTTTTTTTTTATTGCTTCCTATAGATAAAACGCGAATGTAGGCGTTGCCTGCACCGTGACGCCGTCCTTTGGTCGCAAGACCAACCGCCACATCTTCCACTCCTCCGGGTTTTCTATGTTGTGGTCCCTCTTAAACTCAAACATGCTCAGCAGCGTCACCAACAGAACCTTCATCTCCACCTCGGCGAACTTGCGGCCCAGGCACCCGCGAGGGCCCTGCAAGAATGTCATGAACGCGTTGGGCACCGCCGTCTCGGGCAGGTTGTCCCACCGGTCCGGGTTGAACGTGTCCGCGTCCTCGCCCCAGAACCAGCGCATCCGGTTGATGGCGTTGGCGAGCACGTACACGACCGTGCCGCCGGGCACAAAGTAGCGGCCGAGCTGGTCGTCCTTCACCGACTCGCGCACCGTCATGGGGATGGGCGGGATGAAGCGCAGGGCTTCGCGGCAGACGTTGTCGAGGTACGGAAGCTTGTCCGGGTCCGCCGCCTCCAGCTTCTCCCGGTTGAAGCGCTGCACCGGGTCAAAGAGGAACGGGAAGTACTCCTTGATCTCGGCCCGCAGCCGCTTCTGGACGTGCGGGTGCTTCGCCAGCAAGTGGATCGCCCAGGCGGCGCCCGTGGCCGTGGTGTCGTGCCCCGCCCCGAGGAAGGTCATGACCTGGTCCCGCATCGTGTTGAAGGACAGGCCCGTCTCGCCCAGGTCCTTCAGCTTCTTGTTCTCCTTGGCAATGAGAGACAGCACATCCTTGCTGCGCTTGCCCGTCTCGGCGCCCTTCAGCTTCAGCTTCAGGATCTCGGTCGCCTTGGCCAGGATGATCTGCCGGGCCGTCTCCATGTCCCGGTTCATCCGCGCGGGGATGTGCTTGGACGACGGGAAGAAGGCCTGGATGCCGTGCAGCGCCCGGGAAGCCAGGTCGAACCGGAACACCAGCCGGTAGGCCTGGCGGACTCGCTCGCGCGGATTCTCGAGCGAGTGGATCTCGTAGCCGAAGCCGGCCTTGCCGATGATGTCGAGCGTGCAGCGGTTGAGCCACTCGAGAATCTCGAACGAGCGGGTCGACTGCCCGGACTTCTCCAGCTCCCGCCGCATCAGGCTGGTCATCACGAGACACTTCTCCCAGAAGATGGGCTGGAAGGTGCGGATGGCGGCAATGGAGAAGCCCGGCGTGAGCGTCTTCCGCTGGTAGACGTGGTCATCGTGCTCCGCCAGGAGGACGCCCTCGCCGAGGATGCGCACCATCCACAGCTTGGCCCGCACGGGCTTGGGGTAGTTGTAGGGGTTCCTGACGGTCATGTGCTTGATGGCCTCGTCGTCGGCAATCGACAGCCGCTCGGCGCCGAAGGGGAAGAAATAGCGGATGATGGGGCCGTACTGCCGGTGCCACTCACGCTGCGGCACGCCGCACTCGTTCAGGATGATGTCGAAAAACTGGCCCCAGAGCGGGCAGCCAGGAACGGTGGGAACGTGCCGCAGCTCGGAGAAGTAGAGCGGGAAGAGAAAGCCCCGCCAAATGAAGTAGTACACAAAAACGCCGGCGGCCAAGAGGCTTGCCAGTGTATCGAGGTCGAGCTTCCTCAAGTGCTCGAATGATGCTGTTGTCAGCGTAAAGTCCAGGGGAAAAGCCTCTACAGTACCCATGTTGATGTTTTGTGTGTGCTGGAACGATGAGATTGCTTGCGATTGTTTGTGGGATTGTGAACAAAACAAGTGTGGTGGGTGAAAGGAAGAGAAATTCTTCCAGAGTGCAGCGGGTGTGGTGCCCTTGATATACGGCTTTGTGCGGCGAGCTTGGTGCGGAGCTGATTGAGCTTCCCATCCCTCAATCTGACGGTGCATTGTGGTGCGTCAGGCCAATTCGCCACACAGGGACAATGTAAACAACAACCTACACATCGCAAAAAGGGGGAGGGGGGGGAAGGGATGGCTCCACAGTTCAGCAAACGGACGGGAAGACGAATCTGCACGACGCATTTGGTTAGCCTCTCGTTCGCAGACGTCACCAGGTACCGGAACCAACCAGTTACGCTCCAGGTATGTGCCCATTCTTCCACCCTGCGACCATCTTGGGGACTCTTTTGCCACTCCGTCCCATGTAGTTGCATGCTCCAGGTTGATGAACAGTCGTGCCATCCCTTGTTGCGGCCGCCACTGCGCATCCTGTGTACGGCAATTCTGACGAGAGAGAGAGTGATATGTCTGCCTGATAGGGGAAGACAAGAGAGCCATGGTGCCCATATCAAATGTGACAGCACCGGCCAATCCATCACCTCAACCCCATCATCCGTGAAATCTTCCCATACAAACCTGTCACAAGTTACCCTTGCCCCTTCTCTCTCTGTATTAACCAAACCAAACTTCTCTAATCCATTCCCCCTTCGAAATAACAACTTCGATATGCCCACCCACGCAGACGACGGAACTCCAGCGACGTCCGGACCGCCAACCAGGGAGAGCCGGGAGCCACTTACAGCCATGTACGTCCCCACAACTCGGGGCTCCATCGGCTCGGAGATGCTTGCAGCGAGCAGGAGCCAGCTTGAAGTGGGAGAGATGGGGGCCCAAAACCTATCAAGGAGCTTTCCCCCGGCAAAACGTAGCAATTCCCTGCTCGCTGTGATTAAGACGGGGAAACAGAAAGACGACGACGAAAGGCAACTCGCCAACGAAACCGTTGGTAAACAAGACTTCCGAGGTAACGCCGCTCATGAAGCAGCCATGACGGAAGCCGCCACGATGGAAGGAGCCACGACAGCCCAGCCACGGCGTCCAAAAAAGCGGCCAAAAAAGTTACGCTTCTCGTCAACGAGGAGCGAGATTGGCCTGTGTCGGGACAATCCGTGGAGAGAGCTATGACTGAGCTCTCCCACATGCATCCGCTGAGTGAATCCCCGGCCAGTCCAGAACAGGCTGATCCCCAGCTCTTGAAGCTCGGGAACTCGGTGAAAAGGGGCAAGGCGGGCGCCCGAGTGGAATTGGAGGAGAGCCCGGGAATCCGGGATAGAGGAATTTCTTGCACTTTTTGATTTTGGTCTATGATCTTTTGTTATGCATTGGACATGGTGAGTTCTGGTGGGACTTTGGGAGTGTGAGCTTATTTTCGGCACATTACTTTAGATCAGAAAGAATGTGAGAGCGCGCCATAAGTTTGTTCGAGAATTGTGTTTGTGTTGTCTGTGGTGAACCGTAAATTCCTGTCGTGGCATTGTGCTGAGCTTTAGACCACTGAGGAGGTTCTTTGCATTCCGTCCTGCCTGCCGGTGTACGCCCGCTACTCCATAGATAGGTGTCCTGGTGTTGAGACTCCAGACCTGAAAGCGCGGTGACACGCGCGGTGCCAGCTTGACCGGGTATCCGGATAAACTTCGGATAATCACGTGGCGATGAAAGATGGCCCACCTGTAGTGGGGCACGGATAACGAGTGGGCTTCTTGAGCCGATTCAGGAAACTTGTCTCGCTCTCTACAGCATCATCACCGTAGCCGACTTCAAGTGTGTCGGTGTATCGCGGAGTTTCGTATTTTGAACCAACCCACTCATACGAGATCGCGTTCTGTGCGCATCTCAAAAGACCTAATCCCCACTGAGCAAACAGTGTGACCGAGGAAGAAAACTATCAAGAAGCTCAACAGGACCGACCTCAATATGGACGAGCAAGCACTGGCCAAGCGCGTCAAGGCGTTGAACAAGGCTGTCGCCTCCGACCCGCCGTCCGTTGTCATCGGCTTGCTCGAGGAGCTGAAGAAGGAGAAGGCGCCGACCGAGGAGCAGCTTCGTGTAAGTTCGTCCAAGCCCGTCGCTTGGATTTGCGGGACCGATGCTCACGGCCGGCGTGCAGTCCACCAAGGCAGGTGTCGCGGTCGGCAAACTGCGGCACAATCCGAACAAGGATATTGGTCGGCTGGCCAGTGAGATCGTCTCGAAGTGGAGGAAGAATGTGGATGCGGCCAAGGACGCGAAGAAGCGCAAGCTCGAGCAGAGCAAGTCGCCGACTCCCAAGGACTCGCCCGCACGCCCGTCTTCCTCCTACAGCACCCCGTACGAAGGCGACCCGGAGAAGCGGCACTTCAGGGTCGACAAGGTCGACATTGCACGGACAGGCAACAAAACGCGCGACGGTAGTATCGGAGTGCTGTACAACGGCCTGGCATATCGCGCGACAGAGTCGATCGAGGAGGTACTGCAGTGCGCCATGCAGGTGGAGGCGGCGGCCTACGCCGTGTACAAGGACACGCCCGACTATCGCAACAAGATCCGGGGTCTCATGACAAGCCTCAAGCGCAAGGACAATCCCGAGCTTGGCCGGCGGGTGCTCGGGGGCGAGATCACGCCTGAGAAATTTGTCGTCATGACAGACGACGAGCTGGCCTCGGAAGCCCAACGTGCCCGTGACCGGGAGCTGGAGCGTGAGAACATGCTCAAGGCACAGGTGCCCATGGCCGAAAAGTCAATCAGCGATTCCCTGCAGTGCAGCAAATGCAAGCAGAAGAAGGTTTCGTACAGCCAGGCCCAGACCCGCTCGGCTGATGAGCCGATGACAACATTCTGCGAGTGCACCGTTTGCGGGCACCGCTGGAAGGTGAGCACATCGCTACTGCGGCCGATTTGCGGCACCCGTGCTAACACTCAGACCAGTTCTCGTAATAGAGAGACCTGGAGCCTCTTTTCCTTCTTGCTCTTAACTTCTCTGGCTTACCTCTTGTGTTCTCCTTTTCTTTTTTCTTCTTCTTCCATAATTCTGTTACTACGAGGCGCAATTCATGGCTGGGTTACGCCAATCGGGAGGGGCAGCATTGGGTGATTCCTGGCATCATGGGCGTGCCCCTAATTGGCGGGGCTCTGAGCAGGGTCATTACTTACCGCCAGTACCGTCGCGGGCAGTGAATGTAGAGGCAGGGCGTTTGAACAAGCCGCATTCGCCTCTAAGATCTGTTTGATGATTTCCTCGGGTTGTGCTTGGGTGGCCGGAGCATTCGGGAGTTTAGGGAAAGGAACGTTTTGTGTGCTCGTCTGTGCAATAACCAAATGCAGCGGGATGTTGCGCTGCGCTCGTTGAGAGTAGGGATTCTACCCCTAATTCTAGAGAAGCAAGCAAGACAGCCTGTATCATAGATGGGAGGGGCAAGGTGCTTTGGCACCCAGAGGATACCGATACCCACTGACGCTTCCTGGATACGCCTCAATATCATGGACGTATTCGCATATCAAGCTGACGCGGCAATGATGGAACAGGAGTCGATACGTACATTGAGCGATCTGGGTATCAGTCCAAGGTCCAAGCCATTCAACCATTCAAGAGTCCTTGCCCACGTTGCTACCTCTTGAGATTCTGGAGGCCCAATGCAGCAAGCAGGTCTTCGCCCTGTTCCTGCGTCTCGTCTTCCAGCCCCATCGCGGCAATGTGCTTCCAGAACTTGCTCAGATGCCTCGTTCCCGAATCGCACAGGATGGTCACCACCTGGCTGCCCCTGGGCATCTTGAGGGCCGTCACCACGGCAGCGACACAGTTCACCGCACTGCTGCTTCCGACGAAGATGCCGTCGTGCTCCACCAGCCACCGCGCCATCCGACACGCCTGCTCGTCCGTGACCTTGACCGCGTCGTCAATCAGGCCCCTCCCGACCTCGAAGTTCTCGGTGATGCGGTTGATTCCGATGCCCTCCACCATCGTGTCCACCTGCTGTCGCCGCCGCGTGCCCTCCCGCTCGGTGGGCGAGTACATGACGCCGTGCCGGATCTTGTTGTACAGGCCGCTGCCCTGCGGATCGGCGAGCACCACCTTTAGCGCCGTCAGTTTGCGCTCCTCCTTGAGGTACTTGGTCACGCCGGCGATGGTGCCGCCCGTGCCCGCCCCGGCGACGAAGGCGTCCAATCGCCCCTCGGTCTGGGCGTAGATCTCCGGGCCGGTGGTCTTCATGTGGGCCGTGTAGTTGGCCATGGATTCGAACTGGTCGGCGAAGAACCCCCGCGAGGGCGTGTCGGAGGCTGCCGTGTGCTCCTTGGCGCGGGACCGGGCGAGGTTGACGAAGTGGCCGGGGTCGGTGATGGGCGCCACGGCCACACGCTCTACCGTTGCGCCGAGGTGGTGCAGCAGGTCCGACTTCTCGATGGCCATGTCGTCGGGCATGCAGATGTGCGCCTTATAGCCGCGCGCGCGGGCCAGCACGGCGAGGGAGATGCCCGTGCTGCCGACCGTGCCCTCGTAGATGGTGTCGCCCCGGCCCGGTGAGAGGAGCCCTTGCTCCTCGGCCACCTGGATCATGTTGAGCGCGACGCGGTCCTTGGGGCTGCCGCCCGCGCCGTTGAGGAACTCGGCCTTGGCAAGGATTGTGCAGCCTGTTGCTTCCGAGAGGCTGCGGATCTTGATGAGGGGCGTGTTGCCGATGGTGCCCTCAATGCCGTCGACAATCCCATTCCCGCGGGCCGAGCTGCTCATAAACGACTCCTCCCGGTCTTCGAGCTTGACAGGGCCGAAGAGCATGCTGCCCCGCCGCGGGCGTTTCCTCCGCCCTTGGTACCGTGCCTCCAGCTCCGGATAGAGGTCCTTGAAGCCCAAGGTCGCGAAAATGCCGGCAATGAAGGCTACCGCCAGCGCGGCGGTGCCATACACTCGAGGGTGGTCGCTCAGCGACATTTCGGCTCCATTGGGTAACTGTTGATAAATCCTTTTTTCGGCGTTACAACCTGATGGGATACAGAGCAGAGAAACCCGTTAAGACTGAACTGAGCTGCTATGTTACAAGCCCACCGCCTAAGCGGCCGCAAAACTTAATGTCATACCGGATGATGCGCTAGCGGAGAAATTGTCGGTGCGCTAATGCATCGTGCCGTGACCGGCCGGGAGCCTTGTGGGGCGTTCGCCGGTCCACTCGGACTGGAAGAGCTCCTCCGGAGGTTGCTAGCATTCAAACTTTCAAGATATCTGAGCCACGTTATATAATAGTGCAGTGCAATGTCGTTGCATCGCAGCTTGGTAGCACAAACAAAGGGAGGAGGTTCGACTTCTTTGAACCGTGCTGCTTAAATGGCTAGGTACCCCGCGGTTTCCCCGCTAGAATCGAACCTCCTCCCGTTCATCTACCTGTTGACCTAGCTGCCTTATTATTATTTATTGTTTCGGTACGGTAAGGGACATACACTACATTGCTCTATTGCTATTCTCCATGCAAATGCAAATGCCAATGCCTCTCCTCGCCTGGCCCGCTATCGTGGTGCAGCTGCTGCTCGCCGCCATTGGCCTCTTCGTGTGGCGTCGCTACCTATCCCCGCTCGCCGACATCCCGGGTCCCTTCGTCGCCTCCTTCAGCCGCTGGTGGCACATCCGCCACATTTTGATTGGCGACCAGAACCGCCAGCTCGTCCAGCTCCACGAGAAGCACGATACTGTATCCGTACATTTCTGTCTGGGTCCGTAATCGCCTGGACTGATCCATCTATCGTGATTCGTAGGCCACTTCGTCCGCATAGCCCACAATGAGGTCAGCGTAAGTCACCCGGACGGGGTCAAGCAGCTTCTGCTCCACCCGCTATGGAAGGTAAGGTTGTGTTATGTAGTACACACAAACGCAGAAACCCGTCTACTGACATCTGCACGCCAAAGGCCAAATGGTACGAGATCTCGCAGCTGCCGGACTACCGGTACAAGTCGGCCATGTCGGCCCTCGACCCCAGGAAGAAGGCCGAGCGGTCGAGAAACCTGGCACCGGGATACAGGCTGTCCAACGTGATCAAGTCGGAAGACGCCATCAGCCGCACCATCGAGATGCTGCTGGACTGGATGGACGCGTACGCCGAGAAGCACGAGCCCATGCAGCTGGACCGGTTCTTCACCTACACCGCCTTCGACGTAGTGGGCGAGGTGCTCTTCTCCAAGAAGTTCGGCTTTCTGCAGCAGGGCGCCGACATCCGCAACGCTATCTCCAACTCGCTGGCGCTGAACGCCTTCGCCACCGTGCTTGGTTTCTTCCAGCCGTGGAACAGGATCATTGCCAACCCCTTCGTCACCTGGTTACAGATCACGCCGATGGGCCACCTCTTCGACATCGCCATGACGGCCCTCAACGAGCGCGAGAAAAACCAAGACGCTCGCTTCGACGTTGTCGCCCACTGGTTTAGGATGCTGGCCCAGCACCCGGAGCGTATGCAGCTGCGCGATATCCACGTCCAGACCATCAACAGCGTCAGCGCCGGCGCTGATACCGTCTCGTGTGGCCTGCAATCCTTCATCTACCATATGCTGCGCCATCCGACCGCCTGGCACCGCGTGCGTGCCGAGATCGACGCCGCATGCCGCGAACGTGGGCTCTGTGCCGACCGCGTCGTCGCCTTTGACCACGCTCAGCAGCTTCCCTACCTGCAGGCCTGTATCAAGGAGGCCCTGCGCGTGTTTGGGCCTGTTCCGATGGGCCTGCCGCGCGTGGCCCCAAAGGGCGGCCTCACCATCGGCGACCGCACATTCCCCGCCGGCACGATACTGTCCATCAACCCGTGGGTTATACACTACTCCAAAGAGATCTGGGGCCTCGATGCCCACGAGTTCAATCCCGATCGGTGGCTGAGTGACTCTGCTGCCGCTTTGGAGAAGTTTTGGATTCCGGTAAGACGCATTTTCCAAACGAGAAGGCAAAAAGGAGAAGCTAATTTTGTTTTCTCACCCCCTTTCCGTCCTTCAGTTTGGCGTAGGGTACGCCTCGTGCCCTGGCCAGAATATTGCTAAGATCGAGCTCTCCAAAATCCTTGCCACCATTGTCCGGGACTACGATATCCGGCAGGTCTACAAGGACCAGGAGTGGAAATACAAAGCCTACTTCACCGCCGTGCCGCATTCCTGGCCTTGCTACATTGAGAAGCGACGAGACTAGATTCCTAACTGCTTGTTTGGCTGCAATTTTTGATTACGATTTCTGCCGCTCGCCTTTCGTTTGGAAAGTGTGAACGGTTGGCAATCCGGTATCCCTTCACAAGCCACTCACTTATGCGGGGAGACTATCAGAATTCGAAACACGGAGGTCGCGTTCTTTAGCTACTAAGTTCTTCTGGGCGGAATATTCTCTGGTACCTACAGACGGAATCCACAGCGTAACCATCAGAACATACATTGTCGTCGGCCAAAGCAGTTCCAGCCTTCAAACAGCTCTATCATAGTATATCATGGGGTAGTCGCAGATGAACCATCTAGTCCGTTTACCGAATTTGATCGCATCTGAACTACTGTGACGCAGTAGAGGCAGTCAGAATCAACCGTATGTAGTACTCTAAACCAAATCAACGCTCTCAGGGTCAATCGTATTTGATCCTGGAGCTACCTGGTGCATTCAATCAGCCTACTCTGCAGTCTGGTAATACCCACGCCGTCGTAGCTGTCAGACAGTGCCCTACCACTTTGCATCTGAAAGACTCCACCGGCGAGTCCCTTCGATCCAATCTTCTACGACTGGCTTTACACCGTAGAAACCAGCATAACTATCCTGTACCACATGCCTGGATAGATATCGCCCACGGGGACGCTGAATGCAAGGCCCCGGGGGCTACCGGTCGCCAAGCAACGGAATGCGGAAATGAAGTTGTCGAGCGGCACCGGTGTGGGTCGCCCGGATCATCGCCTCGCCTGTCGGCCCGGCGCGGAAGGAGTTAAGGGTGCGGGTCCGTGAGCCCTGCAGGGATGCTCGCGTGCCGCAGCTAAATACGGATACTACTAGTACTGTACACTATGTAACTTACAGGAGCTCGGGCCACCCTGAAAAACGTCTCAATCTGAATCGGGAGCAGGGCTGCAGACAGCTTTGGACATGTGCCTGCAGTCTTTCAGGCCACCGCCTAGGAAAACACCCAGGGGACGATGGACTCCCCGATAGTGACCCAGCTGTTCCGGCGGCTGTTTAGGCACCATCCGAGTTGCCAATCGCGACGGAACCTGACGACGCTTGCGACTGCGCTCCGAGATGTGCGCCGACAGCGACTCTGCGAGCAACACCTTCAACGCTCAGTTCAGATTCAGAAACACCACCAACACCGCCGCACCTATGCGGGTCGCGGCCGCGGTGGGGCTGATGCCGGCACGCCGCAGAGCGAGAGCAATTGGCAGCAGCGCACCGATCTCTTCCAGCAGGACATGTCGGAGGAGTTCCAGAGATATCCGATGGTGACCGCCATGGACCTCCGCGGGCGAAAAGAGAGGCCGCGCCGGGTCAAGATGTTCATGCGGGACTTCATAGAAGGTTGGCTTGCAGATGCCGGATCCAGGAAGCCGATTGGAAGCCGGGATGGGACTCCTGCTGACATCCCTCCTTCTGTTCCCCGCAGACAGCCTCTACAACCCCAGTTACGGTTACTTCTCCAAACAAGTCGTCATCTTCTCGCCGGGCGAGCCCTTCGACTTCCCTTCCCTGTACGATGAGCTCGACTTCCACGCCCTGCTCTCCCGCCGATACATCGAGTTCGAAGATGCCATGGACGCGGTCTCCCCGAGCGACACCCGTCAGCTCTGGTACACGCCGACGGAGCTCTTCCGCCCATACTACGGCGAAGCTATTGCGCGCTATCTCGTCGCCAACTACAAACTCACCACATACCCTTATCACGATCTGATCATCTTTGAGATGGGCGCGGGCCGCGGCACCCTCATGCTCAACATCCTCGACTACATCCGCGACATGGACCCGGCCGTGTACAACCGCACGAAATACAAAATCATTGAGATCAGCACCCAGCTGGCTACCTTGCAGAGCTCCCAGCTGATGCAGTCAAGTGCCGCGAAGGGGCATGCGGACAAGGTGGAGATCATCAACCAGTCCATCTTCGACTGGACCAACACCGTCCCGTCACCCTGCTTCTTCCTTGCCTTCGAAGTCTTCGACAATTTTGCGCACGACATCATCCGCTACGACCTTGCGACGCAGAAGCCGCTGCAGGGAATAGTCCTAATCGATGAGAACGGCGATTTCTACGAGTTCTACACCCCGCAGCTAGACCCGGTCGCGGCACGCTATGTCCGGGTACGGGAAGCAGCCACGGGAGGCCGGTACAAGGTCCCGTACCCGTCCACCCGCCTGGGCCGCTGGCTAGCGACGCAGAAGCCGCTGGCGCCGAATCTTAGCGACCCGGAGTACATACCCACGCGCCTGATGCAGTTCTTCGACGTGCTGGGACGGTACTTCCCCGCACACCGGCTCTTGACAAGCGACTTCCACTCGCTGCCCGGCGCGGTGAAGGGACTGAACGCCCCGATTGTGCAGACACGCTTCCAGAGACAGCCAGTGCCCGTCTCCACGCCTCTGGTGGGTTCCTTGCTCCCAGTGTCGCTCCTTCGCGGTTTGTCTGGCAACTAGGTACTGACTGTAGTGATTGTGTTGTGTACAGGTTCACCAGGGGTACTTCGACATCATGTTCCCCACCAACTTTCTCACCGCAGAGGCCACATACCAAGCCATCACGGGAAAGCTGACACGCGTGCTCTCTCACGAGCAATTCATGCGTAGATGGGCATACGTCGAGGAGACGGAGACACAGAGCGGTGAAAACCCTCTGCTGACCTGGTACAAAAATGCTAGTGTGCTGTATACTGTGTAATCAGATGAATGAATACCGCATACCTGTCCGGTCACGATTGCGAGCCGAGGTTGAAGTCACCAGTTACTGCTCCCAAAAACCCCAGAATTGCTCCAGATTCTGTAACTCAATTCTCCAGTCTTAAAACTGCAAGCAAAACTTGCAGGTCCTTACACACGTAGGCCCCAACCATAGATTAGCTCATAATCTTTGCGCGTCAACAGCCTGGGAAACCACCGGATCCGGGGCAATCACTGCGCTGCCCCTTCTTCTGTTCTAAGAATGGAAGCTCAGATACTGAGCTCCTTCATCTTCTCAGCCAGCCACCGCTCCGCCTTCTCGACAGCCTCGTCGAGCTTGGCGGGTTCAGCACCAGCGCCCTGCCGGCTGGGCTCCTTACCGCCCGTCTTGCCGCCAATGACCTCTGTGACGGCCGCCGTCCATTGTTCGGCCGTGATGCCCTTGGACGCGAGGTGCTATGGGTCACGCAGTCAGCAAATACCCTCATCTCATGGCCCTGGAAACCCCGGCGGAAACCTACCGTGCCGACGTAGACACCATGCATAACGGCATCGTCCTTGCTACCTGCAAAGACATAGACGGTCCGCTCCTTGTCCTTGGACTTGTAGTATGTTATGACATCGGAGATGGCCTTGGCATTAGCTGAGATGGGGAGGTGGCCGACGAAGAACTTGGCGTCCTTGTTCTCCTCCTTCTTGAAGTGGCCCTGGACAGTGTCAAGCGCCGTCTTGCTCTCGGCCTTCTGCCGCTTCTTCTGCTCGTCAACGATCTCTTTCTGGATCTTGGTGAAGCGCTGCCGCAACTCCTCCTTGGTCAGGGCAGAGATGGCGAGCGCATCGAGTTCGACAGCAGCAGCCTTGATCTCCGCAGCTTTTTGGGTCCCAAACTCCAATGCCTGGATGTGGTCGAGCTTCTCGCTGAACACCTTGGCGTCACGCTGAGCCTGGTGGGCACCGTCACCCGTGTACGCAACGATACGCCGGATGCCCTTGGCGATGCCACTCTCCTCCACTATAATCAAGTCTTTGATCTGACCTGTCGATTCGACATGTGTGCCGCCGCAAAACTCGACGCTGACCTTGCGCCACTCGGGATTCTTGGGCTCCTTGAGAAGCTTATCCACATCAACACCGATGGACACGACGCGGACTGGGTTAGGGTACGTCTCGCCGAAAACGGCGCGGACACCTTCAATCTCGCGCGCCAGGTCAAGGTCGACATCTTTGTAGTAGGTCTTGAGGTTCCTCCGGATGTCCTCGTTCGACATGTCCTCGATCTTCTTAATTTCCTCCAATGTAACTTGGCTCTTGTGGCTGAAATCGAAGCGTAACTTATCTTGGTCGACCAGCGACCCCTTTTGGTGGACCTCGTCGCCAAGCACTTCTCTCAGCGCATGGTTAAGAATATGCGTGCCGGTGTGGTTGTTTCGGATGGGCTGGCGCCGCAGCTCGTCATACTCGCAGATTACTTCGTCGCCTGCGGTGAGCTCGCCGTACTCAAGGTAGCCGTTGTGGACAATGTAACCGCCATACTCCTGCACATCGAGAACTTTGAACTCGGCAACGCCGTCAATGAGGATCCGACCAGTATCCGCAACCTGGCCGCCTGACTCCGCGTAGAAATTGGTCTTGTCGAGCAGCAGACCGAGGGGTGTCTTCGGCGGGAGTTCCTTGCTGGTTGTACGGAACTCGGTCCCGTTGAAGATGAGCTGCACCTTAGCCTTTACCTTTATGTCACCTTTCTGATACTTGGCTTCCGAGTCCGGTCTGGGAAGCTTGATGGTGTTCTCCAGCTCTGCAATTTGGTGCACGTTGAGCTTTGGGAACGTCTGGACTGCCTCCTTGACAGCCTTGCTCGCCTCCCTCGCCTTTTCGCGGGCGATCTCCACCTCATTCTCGTCGATGGTGAGACCACGCTCCTCAGCCATGAGCTTCGTAAGATCTTCGGGAAAGCCGAAGGTGTCGTAGAGCCTCCAAACATCAGCACCGGAGAGCTTGTTCTGACCGGCTTTGACGGCAAGCGCGGCATACTTTTCGAACTGTTTCTCTCCCCGATCCAGCGTGACGGCGAAAGCCACTTCCTCCTCGTCGAGTATCTCCTTGATGTCGTCTTGCTTCTTCTTGAGCTCTGGGAATTGCTCGCCCATCTGCTCTACCAGTGCCGGCAGGATGCTGGAGAAGAAGGTGCCGATTTCGGCCTGGAAGTACTTCCGGGCGTACCGCACGCCTCTCCGAAGGACTCGTCTAACAACATAACCCCGGCCGATGTTGTTGGGAGCAGCTCCGTCAGCAATAGCGAACGCTAGTAGACGAATATGGTCGGCGGCGACACGATATGCAGTATCGATCCCATCCACATCGTTTTTCCCATACTTGTCAGAGTACGGCCGAGCACCAGTCACCTCCTGTATCCTCGCGAATAAGGGGGTGAAGATATCGGTAGCGTAGTTAGATGTCTTGTCCTGGAGAGCAGACACCAACCGTTCGAAGCCCATGCCGGTATCGATGTGCTTCGCGGGGAGAGGCTTGAGAGACTTGTCCTTCTGGCGGTCGAACTGCATGAAAACGTTGTTCCATACCTCCACAACCAGGGGGTCATCCTGGTTCACGAGGTGCGCAGCATTCCGGCCGCCAACCTTGTCGTAGTGTATCTCACTGCAGGGACCGCACGGCCCTTGGTCACCCATCTCCCAGAAGTTGTCCTTCATATTTCCCGGCAAAATGTGGTCCTCGGGGACACCAACTTCGAGCCACAACTGTTTCGCCTCGAGATCCGGCTCGAGCTGCATCTCAGGGTTGCCTTCGAAGTATGTGACGTAGAGTCGGTTGGGGTCCAGCCCGTAGACCTTGGTCAAGAGCTCCCACGACCATTGAATAGCCTCCTTTTTGAAGTAGTCACCAAAGGACCAGTTCCCCAGCATCTCGAAGAATGTCTGTCGCGAGTCAGCGAATGAGGCTCTCGGGCCTACCGCTATCAAATCTGCTCACATGGTGGTAGCTGTCCTTGCCGACATCATCGAGGTCCTGTTGGGCACAGTTAGCATCGGGAGGCATGGAGAAAGGGGAGGGGGTTCAAGCCCACATACATTGTGTTTGCCACCGGCACGGATGCACTGCGGTGGAAGTCAGCATGGTTATCTCAGGAAACACCGGAGTGCAATTCACCTTCTGTGTATCAACCGCACGCTTCAGCTGGGCCATAGGCTCAGCCTTGCCAATTGTGCCGAGGAAAATGGGTTTGAATTGGTTCATGCCCGCATTCGTGAACAGCAAGGTGGGGTCATTGTGAGGGACGACCGACGACGACGGCACTGAGGAGGCGACAGGTCAGCGAAGCACAAGTAAACAACAAACAATAAGAGGGAAGCTGCACAATGCCCCTAAGACATCGTGATGGTGTTTGTTCGCTGCCTTTCTGCGCGAACAGCTGCGCACACAAACAAAGGCACGCAGCGCGGGGTGCTTGGTGATGTCGCCCTTACCGATTGTATGACCCCTCTCTGCAAAGTAGTCCAGGAACGTCTTGCGGACACGGGGCCCGGTCCACTTGACTTCGGCCATGGTCGGTAGCGTTGAGGATCGAGAGTATAACCGATGGCCAATTCTGGAAACCGACGCGATCCGTCGTGGCAGGCTGGACAACGCGAGGTGACGGGTGGTTGAAGACGCGGCTACCCCTCGAAAGTTCTCGAGTTTAGGGGATTGCGGGGCGGGCCGGGTTTTGTGGTGGAAGCTTCGCGACCCATGACTCAAAGTCTCAAAACCAAGCCGATAGCAGCCGGTGGCACGCGAGCTCCGGGACCAAAACGCCCTGGACAGGCGCAACGCTTCCAACATCATTTGGTTCTGCTCCCCCGTCGCGATATCGGCCGTCTCTTTATCTTAACCCTACCTTCGGATCTCGCATTGGTTGGGCACCCTCCATAGCATTCCAGCCCTCTGCAGCTGGCAGCGCGGCAGAGGGACAATCGGCGAGAAGCGGCGGGTATCAAGGAGAAGCTAGAGAGAAGGAGGAAAAACCCGAAAGTGCTGGCGAACTTTCCGCCGCGCCGCCCCTGGAGATGGACACACTCGGCATTGACCCTTCCTACGCTGCGTACCAACACCAGCACCACAACCACACCCATGGACACTTCGCAACGCAGCAATTACCATCGATCACTGCGCGCAAGCGCAAGGCTGATGCGCCACCAGAGAACAATGAACGGCTTTCCAAGCGGATGAGTTTGTTGAACCTCGGTATGCAACTCCGTCCAATCGGCCCCGTGTGTTGCGTCGCATTTCCCCCACTAACACTCAGCAGAACAATCCGGCCAAAAGTTGCTCGTCCCGGTCGAGAATATAAGGTCTCATTTTCCGGATCACATCAACAAATCTCATGAGAATAAGCAAAGGCCAGGCGATGTTGATGATTCCCGAATGCAACTCGACGACACCAAGTACAAAGTCTACATCAACAACCTGGACGACGAACTGGCCTCTGACAACGAAAGCGACGGCGAAAGCGGAATGGTATTCCTTCCAGACATTGAGAAGTATCTACGCGCCACCCGTATCCCGACCCGTGTGCTCGACCCCCGGCCCGACCCCGCTGCCGAACTGGCGGGCAAGGAGCTGGTGCTGTACAGCGAACCAAGTTCCATCTCGGTTCCCATAGAGCAGGACAGTGTACGCAGGGCCATACTGGAAGCAAGGGCACGGGCGCGGGAGAAGCAACGGGCCGAGCGTGAGCGGGAGCCGGCTGCTTGCCAGGCGCCGGTCCCTGGGCCGATGACGACACTGTCGGCACCATCAGCGAGGATGCTTGTAGGTGCTGTTTCAGGATTAGGGCACGTGGAGGATCCGGATGCGATGGAACTTGATTAAACGGGTTCGACGGCGGCTGTTATTTTCGGCGCTACACATATTGGGTGCTCACGCTATAGGATACGGCGTACTCTGGGATGGGCTACCTTTCAGCGAGGTGTTGCGGAGTACAATGGCGCATCTCAGCAGGCTTGCTGCTATTGGGGACTCGCATAGGCCATCTGATTCAATGAGCATTGTTATTCCTTCTAGGGCTGTTCGTGTTCGTGTTATTAATGAAGGCCAACAACCAACAGGCATGTCCCCATCCCAACTCCGCCGCCAGTTTCTCTGGAACCCCCAAACGCCAACGCAACAGCCCGAGGGCCGCGATCGTTTTGCACCATTGTATAATCGTATGGTTTTCTGACTCCCCATGGAATCCACATCGCAACTCCGACTCCTTCGCCACCAAAGCTCGGCCTGAGAGGCCACGTCCGATCCTGTGATTTCGGAGACGGTCGGTGCTCCCCGTGCCTCAAGATCGGGTGGAGCTCGGCGGAGGTCCTGGCGGTGGCGCGTATATGTCTTGTAACTGAGTCGACGTGGGCGGTGGCCCAGCTGGCGGTGTGTACTCGACGTGCTGCTCGAGCGGCTGTGGACTCTCTGGGCCACTCTGCTGCTGGGCGGTAGTGAATTTCGTTGAGCCAGCCGGGGGCTCATACATCGGCGGCCGCGGCGCATTCGGATCATAGATCGGCGGGGGCATGGCGTGCATGTCGTAATAGTGGCCTTCCGGGGCATATGGATAGACATTCGTAGGTTGCGGATAGCGGTAGCGAGGGTCGACTTGGGCGAGTGTTGCGCGCGAGACCATGAACTAGACCCCACCTATATTAGTGCTAAGGCCCCAAATGGAGTGAGAGAGGGCATACCCGGTGATAACCCAGGGGCGCTAGACCCTTGCGTATCCGCCTTTGCGCGTGCATGTATCCCAGCAGGAGGTAAAGGCTGATTATGGCGACTATGCCAAGAAACACCGACCACTTGACAATGTATCCAGTCTGCGGGCGAGTCAGATTTCTGTGTTCTTGTGAAGCTGGCGATTTAATGCACCTACCTTAGTATTCCAGAACGGCACATAGCAACTGCTCTCATCAATGTCGCCATTTTCAGTGAGAGTGCAACCGTCGTAGTCGTATTGGCGGGAGAAGAGCTTCTGGGCCATAGGGGCCATGATGAGATCAAGTTGGCGCGGGAGCTTCCGGCCTAGTTCGGACGAGTCGATGAATGAGTCGATGAATGAGGTAAGTCGTTGTTGAACGTTGGTGCCGTACAGATTGAGAGAAGGGAAGCGAAATATAACAAGGCACTGTTCTCGATGTACGGGCGCCAGAAACGAATGGGCCTTGCGCCGGTGGAAAGTCCAGTATCTGCACCTGGAATATGAAAGAGAGGAAATGAACCGGCGGGAAATGAAAGAGAAGAGGCGCCAAGACAGTCTAGGGACACGCTCTCCATGAAATGTTCAAGGGCAACTGCCGCCGATCGCGAGGTGGCCGGTGCCTTCAACGCCTGAACGCAGCGGGCCGGCTCCACTGTTGCGGGAAGCCCCTAGCGGGCCCAGTCCTCCATTCAACCCAGCCACTTGAATGTGAGACGGCAGTGGTACACAGAGAGATGCAGCCGAATGCGGAGTTTCATCAACACTTCAACGTTTCAGTTACAAGCGGGCCGAGCAAGAGCATGACTGTGAAGCCCAACTTCACCTCGGGAGATCAGCAGCAACTGCCCCAGCGATTACTTGAGGGTTTACGTGTACTACCTCCCACCAGGTCTGGGGGGCATCGGGCGCTCTACACTGAGGGATAGCTGTCGTCTTGGTTGATGATTGTATAAGCATCTAACTCCGTGCTGGGCTCTATGTGAGATACCTATGTTCAATAGATATCGCTTCGGATCCGGGATCCCAGGATATGAAGGGTCGCTGTTCTATGAGCAGTGTACTAGTATTTCTCATCTCCGCTGGGCTGCATTGTCCACATTATCAGGAACCAGGCGCAGATATGCCACTCCCTAGGTCTTTCTCGCTTTTCCGTCTCCAGATCGGGCTTCCAGATTGGTTTCTCATTGTAACCCCAACCTCGAGTTCGATATCGGTGACAGGGCAGCCCTTTGCCAGCACACGTAGATCAGTCGGCCACCCTAGACTACCTACCTACCTAAGGTCCTTCCGGTACGGTATTGAAAAGTCCGAGCTGTGAGCCGGTGGTAGGCAGTTTGCAGCATGACGCACTCTGGACATTATCTGAACACCTAATCTCGCAATTTAACAACCTCGAGACAACCTACCTCAACCTGCCAAGACATGAAACCCGCAGCTCCGGCGAGCCCCGCGAGGGATGAGACCCGCATCCGGCGCATCGGCGATCGGCTCACAGGGCTCGCACAGGCCAAGCCGCAGCCCCCAACCGATCCAAACCGGACCACGATGTTGGGAACTTGGGATCCAGAAGCGAAGTCCCCACATCTGCATTGAAAATTGCGTTGTGCCATCAGTGACATAATAGCGCAGCACCCTGCATGCTCTGTATGTGCATATAGGGTGCCCAATCGAACCACAGTTGCGTATATACAACTGGGGTCGAATTGAGCGTATATCTGTAGCCCGGACTTCAAGAATCAAGACTCGACGGCGGACCCAATGCCTTGGACCGCCCTGTCTCCGCTCGGACCCGTTACGCAACGACGACCGCCGAGCACGCGCGTGATGCTTTGGAAGAAGGATTTATTCACCTAAAACTCCAATCCTTTGCGGGCCTTGCCGGTCTCGCAGATCAAGATCTCTTATCCTCCTGGCCAACACGAAATGGCGGGTACTGTTCGCGCTGCCCGAGTGTTCTCGCTGCCATGCCGTGCGACGCCTATGTACGTCCAGACCCTCACGAGGACGAAAGCTCTCTATACCACCGGCCCGGTAGCTTCCTTCAGATCCACAAGACAAGCCGCGAGAACAGAAGGGAATAATATTCCAGCGACCAGAGTCACCGCAGCGGTATCAGCCCCTCGAAAACAACGCCATCGTGCCTTTGGCCTGCCCGCCTTGTCGCCTTCGAAGCGCGCCTATTCCACAGATGCACCTTCGCCGAGCACGCAGTTCGTATACAATGTCGCAGCTTCGTACATCGCCAAGGGCCGGCGCTATGATCCCTCGACGCACGTCTATCAATTCAATCCATACAACCGCGTACAACCACCGAAAGCCGGCCGAGAGAAAGCCTCACGGGCCGAGTCGGGACAAGATGCCTTCTTCGTGAGCCGCCTTGGCGCCGTCCCGGGCGAAGTTGCGCTCGGCGTAGCAGACGGGGTGGGCGGGTGGATGGATAGCGGTGTCGACCCAGCCGACTTCTCACACGCTTTTTGCGACTATATGGCGGCGGCTGCCGGCTCAGCCACGGCCACGGCCACAAAAGGAGACGCTGCGGTTCCCCTCACGGCGCGTCAGCTGATGCAGAAGGGCTACGAAGCCGTATATCGCGATCCGGCCATCAAGGCCGGCGGAAGCACGGCAATCGTGGGACTCCTCACGTCAAAGGGAATGCTAGAGGTGGCGAACCTCGGCGATAGTGGCTTTATCCTGTTGCGACTGAATGGGGTACACGCTTTCAGCGAGCCGCAAACACATGCGTTCAATACGCCGTATCAGCTCAGCGTGGTGCCGCCGAGTATGCTGCTACGTGCTGCAGCTTTTGGCGGCGCGCAGCTTATGGACCAGCCGCGTGACGCCGAGGTGAGCCGTCACCGCTTACGCCATGGCGACGTCCTGGTTTTCGCGAGCGACGGACTGTGGGACAACCTCTTCAATCAGGACGTGCTACGAATCGTCAGCCGGACCATGGTCAAGGTGGGCGCGTGGGCGACCACCGATAGGGGAGTGCAGGTGGCGCCGGACTTGCGACCGTATATCAAATCTGGAGAGAACAAGCACGCCACGCTACAAAGCACGCTGGCAACGGAGATAGTGGGCGCCGCCAAGGCCGCCAGCGTCAACACGAAACTCGATGGTCCGTTTGCCAAGGAGGTGAAGAAGTACTACCCGCATGAGGTGTGGCGTGGTGGAAAGGAGGACGACATCTGCGTTGTGGTGGTGCTTGTGGCGGAAGAGGAGGTTCTCCCGAAGGCGAACCTTTGAGAACATCTCAGGCACACGGCACATTCTGAATCTAGAATACCCAGCATTTATCACCAGACGAGACCCTAGGTCCGTTGATTCGGCACCGAAAGAGTTCCATGAGTCGAAAGTAAAGTCGACCCTTCATCCCAGATCATTGCCGAGTGTTTTCAGACGTCTTTGTTGGTCCATAAGGTCGACTCATCGATTGATGTTAACGGTCCTCAGTGTCAACCAATCGATTGAGTTTTTCTGTTTGTGTTTAAACGGATTTGCATGGAGACGGTAGATATGGTTATAGAAAGCAGGTTGCGTACAGGTTTTGCCTATTTGCGGCCAATCTGTTTACTAGACCCGAGAGATGTCAACAGTCGCATGCGTAGAGATAGAGATCACCATCATTATCTGAGCAGTTTCTTCCACTCACTTCGGCCTAGCAAATCAGCTGTTTCGTTAGATCCGGAGGCTTAGAGATAATTCAGCCGCCTTCGCGAAGGTTTCATCCTGATCTTGACTAATCCGTGCCTTGACCTCAGACAACCATATCGCACAGGCCATCGCCGCCTTCGTAATCAACAAAGCGCTTCAATACCTTGCTACCATACTGCATCGCGTAGATCGGCGTACCTTACACGAGATATCTAGACATACATGTACACGTTAATACGGTACTGAGAAAGCAACACCCGCGTTCCGCACATGTAAGTTTCCACCGAGGCCCACACACTGCGATGGATGTGTCTTCGGGTCATGCAACGTCTACGGGATCCGGCAGCTTGCCACATAAGCAATTGATGATCCCGAACCCGCTTCCATTGACAGGACCTGCAGTGTGTCTGCATCCGTCGGATACCTACATCAAGCTGCAAGGTAAGAGGAACCGATCACGTCTCCGTCAATCGTCACGGCTACCACAGCAACCAAAAACTAGTTATTAATTCCCAGGCTAGGTAGGCACCAGGCATTGGATATGCCCTCTACACTAGCCCGATCAACCACTAAACGAAAGGCCGGTGCTATGAGAAGCTATTCTTGACGAACCGACAGGTGCTCGCTCCGTCATGCATGAGCACGGACACAGACATCTCAGCCGGACATGGCATTGACGATGCGCAGAGAATCGCAACAATGCAAAGTCCAGTACTCGTCATCCTGTTTCCCGTAAGTCATCCGACGTGCCTGCATGAAATTGGCCCCATCCCCGCTAATCCCATTCGCCCGTACCAAGATCCTGGCCGAGTTTGCCGTGAACTGACTCGCCGCATTATGCGAGTTCAGACGCAACGCTCAATTACAGTATCTTCAAGAACAATATATGTACGAGAAGACAAATGCAACATAAAAGGTATCAACTTGAAACCGTCCAACGCCCAAGGAAAAAAACACCACCCATCGCTTCCTAGTTAAAGAAGATGAGGGCAGCCACGGTGACCAGGATGAGCGCAAGCGGCGAAGCGAAGCGTTGGCCGTTGTTAGTGTTGACTGGGGCGGTCGTGGCAGCAGTAGTCTGGGCGCGCGTCGTCGTGGGAACCACAGTTGTGGTGGTGGTGAAGGCTGGAGACAAAACGTCAGTGTTCCAAGTTACGAGGGAAAATAGAGGGCGACAGTCGCGACGTACTAGAGCTGGAGCTGGTCGACTCGCTCGAGGTGCTCGAGGACTCGGTGCTAGAGGAGCTCGACGAGCTCGAGGTAGTGCTAGTGCTCGAGCTCTCGCTGGTGGTGCTACTAGTAGAAGAGGTGCTCGAGACCGAGGCGCTGGTGCTAGAGGCGCTCACAGACGAGGCCGAGCTGGTGCTGCTGGGGAGAGTTCCGGTGCCGGTGTATTCCCACTGTTTGCTGTAGTTGGATTCCCCGGTCTCATCGGTAATCCGGAAGGCATACGTGCCCGAGGGCAGGTCCTCAGGGGTGAAGGTGTACGAGTCACCGGTCGCGCCAGCTGTCCTTCGTCAGAGACATTCGCTTTGCACACCAAAGAACCAGCGTTTGCTTACAGACGAGGTCGGTGACCTTCTTTAAGTTATCAGGGTCTTCGCCCGCCATGAGAGTGATGGTGACTGGCCCTTGAGCATTGTTCCACTTCAGTGTGAAGGGCACATTCTCCTGGAGCTCGTACTGGGAGTTGAGCAAGACGGGCTTAGCCAACACACAGGCCGCGAAGGCGAGAACGGCGCCGACGGAGAGCTTCATTGTGGACTGGTTCGAGATGAATATTCAGAGTAAGCAATGGCTCAGAAGATAGCGTAACTGACGAGGCAGAAGATTAGTCAATGCACCTGAAGATGAAGAGACAAGTTGGCGACGGCTGAAGTAGGTGGTTTGGGCTATGCTTGGAACGTGCAATTTGGTTGCCCCGGTGCTGTCTTACCTGGCTGGGTGGAATGTTGTGGTGTGGAGGAAACAGTCGCAGTTGCGTCTGGGTTATAAGCCAGATGCGGTAGGCGTAGATTGCTGAGTAAAACGATCGTGGAGAAATTAGAATTATAATAGCAGCAGTGAATACCAGTCGCGAGACTAAAAGTGTGCGATTGGGAAAACAGAAAGGCAAGAGGGAAAGAGCGAGAAGACAACGGCGGCACACAGGGGGCAAAATAACCGACAACCCCAGCGCCGGTCGCGATCTCCGGAGGCTCCAACACTCCTTCCAAACGCCAATAGGAAGCGGAGGAAAGAATGAGCTATTCGCTGCTAGCGCACCCCAGATAATGCTTGCGGCGGCACGGCGGGATACCTACAAGGGGGGCTGTCAGGGACGGATCGGGGGTCAAGTCGCAGGGTCTAGGTCATCAAGAGAACCGAATTCGGTCGCTCACTGCCAGGCAACCTCATCCATCGACGGCAGGCAGGATGCTGAAGGCGCGTTTTGAACGCTCGACGACTGGCACAGAAAACCATGATGTGGCGGCGACGGGCTCCTTCCAGTCTCATCAGCCGCATTGTCGCAATCCACAGCCCCCATCGGCATTCCATCCCAGTCTAGTGCGCGGCGTTGTTTGCGGAAATTGCTCATTACAATCCAATGGTCTCGATCTAGCCAAGCACAAGTGCTTCGCAGAAACAAGTTCCGCTGCGCGCGCCTGGATCTCTCATCGTGCCTTTTGGGACGACACCCGGAATGTTGGCGAATATGGTTCCTTTTATACCCTCAGTCGAGTTCTCCTGGTGACATAAAATTCTCAGATCATTTTCTGCATCCGACACGCATTCACGTGGGAATGAAGATGTGGTGGGCCCGAGAGATCCAGTGCTGCAAGGGGATGAGTGGACAAGCTAGGTGGAGTATGGCTGTAGCTTTACCCTGTCGTGATTGGCTGAACTCACTTAGACTTGCGTCCAGCAAGACCAGCCGAAAGTCAAGAAGCATTCAAGTTGATGATATTGTACATATCTAGGTACCGTAGGTAGTTAACGTTATTGTGTGTGCCGGTACTGTATGTACAATACACAAACTCAGGTAGGGAGGCACCGCTTAGTTCGTACGGAGTACGAGAATTCAGAATAAGGGTAACTGCCAGCTAAGGCTTATCGCCGTTTGTGAAGCGTACCTGATTGTACACTACCTCGGAGCGCCTGATACAAATGTAGATGCTGATTTCCGACAAGGCTGCCTCAAACGACTACTTATGTAGTTACCTAAGGTATATTATTATAGTCGCATTGGGGGCTGAGGCACAGCAGCTGCCAGTTGGACATTGATGCATGCGGTGTTCAGACAGTGCAACACAAGATTCCGCACTTGTGCTCGGCGTGCTCCGGGTTCTCCTTGTCCCACCACTATCTACCTAGGTACTGTACTGTGGCAGAGCTCCGAGTCTATGGCTGGACGAACCAGCCGCCTTGCTGGGACCGGTCGTACCACTCCGTGGTACGCGGTTGAGGCACGCGGTCGACAAACGCTGTGCCTGCTTGCTTGCATGTCATCTCACTCTGCCCCATGCGTCGCCCCTCGGTTCTCTTGGGATGTCTCGGGAAGCACATGTAGGTCAGCCACAAAGCTAATCAAGCCGCAGACGGAGCTAGGTCGCACAATGGCCATTTCTCGATGCCCGGTATGCATAACGGGACAAAGGGCGGAGTTTCCTCTGTCGTATGTGACCCTTTTACCCAGAGCAGAAGGCAATCCGCACCCAATGCTGGCCTTCGTCGATGTCGGCATCGTGATGTCACGGTGAACACCTTGCCCAGATGCTGCAATCTGAAAACACCTCCATCATGGATAAACTTTTGGGCGATGCCGGATCTGCAGCCGTAGTCCTCAATGAAGGGGGCCAAGACGAGTGGTGTACGTTGTGTAACGCCCCTTCTAGCCTTTACTGTGCAGAGTCATCTGCAAGTGCAGTGCATCTGCCACACCAAAGCGTCAGGCTGACCGGTATTGCTGTGCTGTCTTCGTTGTCTTAACAATTCTGCTGGATGTTTCAGTAGTGGGACGCCGGGGAACTCAGTCGCGCCTCCTTGTTCTCCTCGGCGATCAAGCGAGAAGGCACTCGACAACGCCGCGATGGACGCCTTGGGTCTCTTCAAACAGAACCCGGATAGCAGCTCCAAGCCCTCTCATCCTGTTCACAAAATCATCCAGTGAACCCCCAACGCCAAAGTACAACCGCTTCGCGGCAACGAGAGCACGGGCGTTGCCACTTGGACGCTCCTGGCGCTCTCGTTGCAAAATTGAGAGCAGTATGCTGCTGAAGCTTTCGAGAGCGAATGGAGAGTAAATGGTCTCTGACCCGAGCACCAATGTCTTTGTTGTCTTCGGAAGGCTGGTCGGAATTCCTGAGCGGTAAAGTAAATCGACGAAGTCGGTCGACCAAGCTCCAGACAGAAAAGAGAGGGTGATACAGTTCGAGTCGAGGGACCGCCTGAAGGCTTCGAGCACTTCGGGGGCCAACTCGAGCTCTCCGTCGACTGCGAATGCCTCATCAAGGACGGCGTCTTGCCCTCGCTGCTGGAGTGCCCAGGCGAGGATCAAGTTAGGCAGCGTCACAAGATAGAGTACGGTAGGGTTGTAGTCTGCGAGTGTGAGCACCAAGGCCTTCTTGTGCTCGGACTTTCTCTCGGCCAGGGCCCAATGAAAGACAACGAGAGAAGGCAATGCTGTGCCGCAGCCAAGCTGCAAGACGAGTCAGCACATTCACAGCCGCTTTGATGTGGAAAGAGCCGGAGTAAGGGCCCGCACCTCGATCACAATGCACGGATCATCAACCAACAGATCAGACACTTTCTCGGCTGCGAGGACTTTGACCAGGTCGACACTACTCTCCCAACTCTTGAAGCCGCCTTCATAGATGCCCGTCTTAACGTCGTGCTCACCAAGGCCGGCTTCGGAGTCTGCAGAGTTGTCGATGTTCTCCTCAGCCATCAGCTGCACGCGCACATCCCATAACTCGCGGCGTGGTAGCGAGATGGCGCGGCCGTCGCCAAGTTCGACATCGAGCAGGTTGAAGGCGATCTTAGATGGCAGCTTCGACAGGATGTCTTCCAACTCGTGATGCGTAGCCGGCAGCAATGGCTTCCCTTGGACGGGGAAAGCACCTGCTGTCGACTTACCTACCGCCTGTGGTGGAGAAGATAGGGCTTGATGGTCGTCCTCTATGTCGTCCCCGGCGAAAGAAAATGAGAAACCCATCTCTCAACGCCAGCCAGGCTGGAAACCCTCGACGCTCCTCTGGTTCAGAAAAACTTTCGTCGGATCTTCAGACGATGTCCCACAACTTAAGAGACAGTCGCACTTGGTGCACCAGACGTGCGTGCTTCACGATCGATTATATGTTCTCTCGATCGCTCTCTTAATTGTGTTCTGCGACGGTCCTAGTTTTATCCGTCAGCCGAAGCTTTTCTTCGACTGTGGGGACTGTCAAGCATCCGTTTCGGTAAGGTGGGGTAATCACGCCCGCATTACCTAAGGTTGAACATCTGACAAGCTCCAGGGGAGTTTCGGCAGGCATCTCTCATTCGCCATCTGCTAATAAGCATCAGTGGCCTCCCGGACACAACCAGCAACCGCTGTGGTTGGACGAAATACGACGCGAATCCAGGAACACTCTCGTCCTTCACACGGCTCTATCTTCCTCGCATCACGTCTGAGCTGCCTTCCCGCAGGGGCCGGGGAAGCATGCGGGCCCAGAGGAGAGCAACGCCGATTGGACTGCAGATGCAATACCCGAGATGGCCGCCATCAACATGGACTAGAATTGCCCGAGAGATGGGTCTGCGTTGTTCGGTCGTGCCGTTGCAGGACGTGCCCTGACTTCGAGAGGCTTTGGTCGAGCACCATCAGTTAGGGAGGCTGGCTCAGCGCAACGTCTCGGCCACCGTAAACGGACCAACTGTGCAGTTGCTCTCTCGGAGTTGAAGTTTGGATGCATCCACTCTGTCAAGCTGGAATGGGGCGGAGGCTTGAACTGTGTCGTATTCCTTTGACCAGTCTGCATGTCTGTTCCTGCTTGTCTGAGAGCACCTGGGAGTTCACGGCTGGGTAAGTTCACCGACCTGCGAGCAGCAACCTGGAATCCTCCCCCGCTCTTGCCACTCCTGAGATTCCAGACAAGGTCCGGCCACGGAGAGATTCCAGGTTGCTTGCTCCATTGTTGGGATGACGGCGCGCTGCTCCCATTGTCACTTATCAGTGCATCATCTCAGCTCCTACGACCCCCTTAAACCCAGGATATAAAGAGTCAACAGTCGTAGACCCCAACACTGAACCCTCCGGCCAGATCCAATGATATCCAGCGCTGTCTTGAGCATTGTCGACTGTCACCGGCTTCCCCGAGTGTCCCTTCCTTCAAAGCCTGCCATGACGGCTGCCACTGAGACCGCGGCCGAAACCAAGAGCCATGCCACTTCGGCCGAACCCCCACTACCAGGTGCTACTTACACGGTTCGCGAACAACCACTGGGATCCTCGAGGCACATCCGTATCGTAGGCATCGGGGCCGGAGCGAGCGGCCTGAATCTGATTCGGACCCTACGGCTCAACCTCAGCGACTACGAAGCTGTCATCTATGAGAAGAACTCGGATGTGGGAGGCACCTGGCTGGAGAACCGCTATCCCGGGTGCCGCTGCGACGTGCCCAGCCATAACTACCAATTCTCGTGGCAGCAAAAGAAGGACTGGGCGAACTTCTTCGCGGCAGCTGAGGAAATCGGAGACTATCTCTGCCATGTCTGCGACGAGGAGGGCATGAGGGACTCGATAAAGACTTCACACCAAGTGGTCTCGGCTCGGTGGAACGAGGAAGACGGCCGGTGGGAACTAGTCATTCGGAACCTGGAAACAGGGGAGGAGTTTGGCGACCACGCTACCTTCCTTGTCGATGGCACGGGCATATTGAAGTAAGCCGAGGGTGGGTTGTTGCAGGATCTAGTTCGCTGACTCCCGAGCCACATAGCAACTGGAAGTGGCCCGACGTCGAAGGAATCGACGTCTATAAGGGGCGCTTGATACACACTGCCTGCTGGCCAAAGGATTTCGACCACACGGGGAAGACAATCGCCGTCATTGGAAATGGATCGAGCGGAGTTCAGGTGTTACCAGAGCTACAAAAAGGTATGGACTTTTTCTCACTGAACTTCCCATGTGACCCTGACAACATCCAGGTGCGCATAAACTGTACCATATCTTCCGGACACCCACCTGGGTGGTCCCGCCAAGGATACAGGCGTGGAAAATCATGGGCCAGGCCGGCGAGATCCTGAGCAAAATTCAGATGGATCAACATGAGAACTTTTCCCAAGAAACTGTTGAGAGGTTCAAATCAGAGCCGGAGTTCTACCACGAGTTCGTCAAAAAGATCGAGGCGGAGGTGAACAATGCTTTTCCAATCGTGAGTTTGACACTTCTGAATGTGTCTCTGGCACGGAGATATCTAACGCGGTTCGCCAGGTCCTCACACAGAGTCCGGTTCAGGCCTTTGCGCGGGCCAAGGTCACAGAGTACATGACATTGATGCTTGGAGGGAACGAAAAACTCTGCAAGGCCCTAATACCCGACTTTCCTCTTGGGTACAAAAGAATGACGCCCGGCCACGGGTACCTGCAGGCGCTTACGAAGCCCAATGTCGAAGTGAGGAAGTCTGAGATCAAGCGGTTTGTGCCAGAGGGTATCGAGCTAGATTCGGGCGAGATACTCGAAGTCGACGCCATCGTCTGTGCCACCGGCTTCGACACGTCCTTTTGCCCGCGGTTCCCCATCGTCGGACGCGAGGGCAACCTCCAAGAGAGGTGGAAGGAGGAGACGCCCAAGGCATACATGTCCTTGGCTGTGGCCGGACTGCCAAACTACTTCAGTACGCCCCCAGCTGCCCCTGTACATTTAAGAAGTATTGGATACCTTAGTATTCAAGCGCAACATGACTAACACGCAGAACCCCGCAGTGTTCCTCGGCCCCAACGCGCCCATCGGCCACGGCAGCGTCTTCACGCTCAGCGAGCACATCGCCAAGTATATCACGTCGGTGATCAAAAAGTGCCAGACCGAGTGCATCAAAGCCATCGCCCCCTCCCGCGCCGCAGTCGACGACTACTTCGAGCACATCACCACCTTCATGCCGCGGACCGCGTGGGCTGCTCCCGGTGGCCGCTCCTGGTTCAAGAACGGGCGGGAGGACGGGCCGGTGACGGCGCTGCACCCGGGCAGCCGCATCCATTTCTTCCACATGCTGGAACGGTTCCGAGGCGAGGACTGGGAGTATGTGTACGAGAACCCGAACCAAAACAGATTTTGGTACCTCGGCAACGGCTTCTCGACGAAGGAGCTGGATCCCCGGGTGGATTCGACTTGGTATCTTGACGGGTCGGCCGTTGTACAGTGAGCGTGACCTGGAGGAGCTGGGTTGAGACGGAGAGGGAAGGAAGATTGTGGCTGTGGCTCTGGAGGTGTCTGTTGTGAGACCGCCTGTGATCCGTCTGCTCTTGGGTCCGCGTCGTTCATTTCCGGTTTTCTATTCCTCATATATCGCATCGTAGATAGAACAGGGGGGAAATGGGGTTCTTGTATTTACCTGCCTGGTGGCAAAGACATGGCAGGATGCGGGGCGTTATTACCGTATCCGTAGCGGACATACGGTCCATCTCGGAATAATACGTCCCCGTCAGCTAGATCTTGCCAGCTCATATATTCGTATCCGATTGTTGCATGGTCCAACCTCCCGTTTGACAGCTTCTGATCGGTCACCTACTACTGCCTTACATTGCCCCCGCCCACAACTTGGATTCATACATAGCGTTAGACACTCTAGGGTGGGGGGTGTTGGAAGGTGCAACGCACACCTGGGGTTTAAAAGGAAATTCTGGGCAGTGGAAAACCAACTCCTGTTCACTTACAACAACCAACCCAACCACCACAAATTCAACCACTTCTTACCCACTTGTTTCAGGGGTTGCAGATCGCCTGAGCATACACGGTAAGGCACCATGGGATGTGGGGGTGTATTGTACATATACGGTACAATACACTTTAACCATTAGAGTTTATATATGTATGTCCGGTATATACGGTAAATACCTTATACCGCTAGGTAAGAGAGGTAAGTTACCATGGTGGCTAGGCAAGTTGGAATGTGCCCCCTTTCACTTTATTGTAATTGTAGAAGCTTGATAGATTGTGAACCTTCCGTGGCCTAGAAGACGTCTTGGTCTATGTAAAACAACTTATCATCTTTGAAGTGAGTGGTGTCCAATTCACCTTTCCGATACAGCTGATATTTTCAGGGCGGTACGAAATATACTCTGCCATTACCGTACAGTACCACTCGTACACATTTTTGAGTACGGTGCCATTTTCGGGAAGGCACTGTCTACATTTCTGATAAAATACGAACCGTCTGGTAACATCCGTTCTTACACTCACTCCCTCCTTGTTCAGTCCTTCCAGTCACAACAAGTCAATGGCGTATGAGACAGACAGGGCAAAAAGGCCATCCGAGCAGTGGAATACCATAAGGAACGCCACCGCCTTATACCACGATCCGCAGTTCGTTGGCAAAAGATACAGCTCTTTCGACGATGAGCTAGTCCCAGGGCTGGGCATGCACATGCCCGCTTGGACACGGCCGATCGCCTCTAACCGCCCGCCCTTCCGCACACACAGCCACTCACAGTACCTTAGTTAGTTATGTATTCCCCGACGCAGTGAAATGTATTGCAACCTTACGCCAATGAGATGGAGTCGGAGTCTCAGCGTGAGACAGACGGTCAGGGCGAGGGTTAGATGCGGCTTCAGTGGCTGCGTCTCCAACCCCAGCTCCAGAGGGCCCTGGTGTTATGTCGTTCGGGAACGCCGGCAGGGGATCTCGCGCTCTCCCCCGTCTGAGGCCCCGGGGCATGATGCTTCCTTCGCTAGGCCGACTTCAAGTTCGCCTTGCGCGTCCTTCCGCGATGTACGTCGTACAGTACAGCTTATGCATACAGGCGGGGAGTGCATGTATGTATGGATCCCTGCCACGGAGGCTGCATATCGGGTAGCTGCCTTTGCTGGCGCTTGTGGTTCACTTCTCATTGGCGGGTACCCTTGCCAGACCAGCCCATCGAGAGGCTGCACGCCCGAGGCCATTAGTATATTCCGACTCGACCGTCCGACATTTTCTGTCTCCAGCCAGGTTCCGCAGCTTCGGTAGCAGAAGGTGCCGTGGCATAGTGATCGCCAGTGCTGCTAACCACCGTTGGATGTATATCATATGCTGCTCAACGAGGATCGAGAACGATGGTGCACCAAGACGACACCTCCATCTCTGATGAGGCCATAAATCTTCTCTCCCTTGGTGAGTCTCTATTCAGCCCGTGTGACGTGAGAACAAACTGACCCGGTGCAGATGGCGGGGGCGTCAGGGGGGTATCGTCCCTCGTCATCCTCGACGAGATCATGACCAAGATAAGGGACATGTACGGCCTTGCCGAGGTTCCTAAGCCCTGCGAGTTCTTCCACATGATGGCTGGGACCAGCACCGGAGGGTAAGCGGACAGAGGCAACGTTGAGAGACTGCTGAATGGCTAATAACGGGGCTAGGCTCATCGCGATTATGCTGGGGAGGCTGCGGATGTCGACCAAAGAGGCGTTGCAAGCGTACGATGAGTGTGCGGGCAAGATCTTCTCATTTGACAACCGGAAGTCGTGGAGCCTCACGGAGAGGTTTCGCGCCACTGCGCTTCGGCAAGTCGTCGAGCGGCTCGTCAAAGACCGGGGCCTGGGCGAGGACATGTACCCGAGCGTTCCAGAGGAAAAGGGGAAGGTGCTCGTATGTGTCATGCCTTCTGACAGCATTGGAGAACCTCGGCTGGTACGCTCCTTTCCTAAGGATACCGGTGGTGCTGGCATGTGGGACGTGACGAATTTCAAGATCTGGGAAGCTGCGAGGGCCACTACTGCGGCGTCCTCCTACTTCAAGCCCCAGAGACTGGCGAGCCCCACGGAAGAGCTGATGTGCATCGACGCGGCCATTGGCGTGAACAACCCGGTGGAATATCTCCTACAGGAAGCTGTCGACGAGTTCGGGTCCGGCAGACGGCTCGGCTGTGTGGTGAGCATCGGTACCGGCACCCGAGGAGTAAGGCTGGAGGCAGCACTGAGCGGCCTGCGCTATTACATTGGCCTTGTCAAAACCCTAAAGAACACGGCTACGGACGGCGAGGAAACACACCGACGGCTACAGTCCAGACTACACCCCTTTCCCGGCTCGTACTATCGCTTCAACGTTCCCGAGGCGGCGGAGCAGGTCAAATTGCGCCACTACCAAAAGATACCGGTGCTCAAATCTTTGACGGCAAGGTACCTCGCCGGGCGAGAGATCGCGGCGCAAGTATCTCAGATTGCCGAAGCATTGCAAACCGATGCCTTCGGCCACGGTCTTACCCTTGGCCACGTTTGTATGGAGCTGCCCCGGCCGCCGTGCTGCTTTATCCCGGCTACGTGTGCTGACCCTAACTACCTTAGTTGGCCTCGACAGGGAACAGGTGGTTCTCTCGAAAGGGAGGACCCGATCTATGGGTGCCGCGAGCCGCTTCTTCACCGGGAGGCAAGACGTGCTTGAGAGACTCGATGCCTACTTCTGTGCGCGCAGCACGGGAGGCAGGCCCCGACGGGAGTTTCTACTGCACGGTATGGCTGGCGTTGGCAAGAGCGAGATTGCGTTCAAGTTCTTAGAGATGTTCGAAGACAGGCTCGTGCACTCCTCCATAACACCATAACATCATCATGGCACTGGGCAGCGGTAGCTAACGGTGTCCCAGATTCAAGTACTTCTTCTACATTGACGGATCAAAGCCGGTCACAATCTCCCAAAGCTACGCCGAGATTGCGAAACGGCATGGCTTGGCAGCAGCCAAGACTGTCGAAGCGATGAAGAGCGTTGCGATGCAGTGGATGGAGGATTTGACGGACGAGTGGCTTATGATCTTCGACGACTGCAACGTACACGACCGGCGAAGCCAACTTCCGGCCCGAGGAAAGGGAAACGTCATTTATACGTCTCAATCGACAGCACTCAGGCGCGACCTTCCCCAGGACTGTGTTTTTGAAGTCACCCCGCTCGGCGAAGCTGATGCGGTGGCCCTCCTTTTGAAAGCTTCCGGCTGCGGAGGCACATCCCCTGATCCCGGCGACGTGGACGCAGCCCAAGCCATCGTCCGGGAGCTGGGTTTTCTGCCCCTGGCCATCGACAAAGCAGCAGCCTCGATTCGGGATTCGGAATGGACACTGCGTACATATCTTGAGGAATTCCGCGCTCGGAAGGTTGGCATTCTCTCGGACCCCCACTTCGGAGACAGACGTGTTGAAAACCCGACAGTGTACGCCACCCTAGAGCTCGCCGCCGACACCATCAAGGCTCGCAGGCGCCGCGAGGGGAGATTCGGCACAACCGGCGCCGGGCGTGCCGCTACTCTGGCTCTGAAAATGCTGGGCGTGTTATCTTTCTATCACCATGAAGCGATCCCGGCTAGGGAGATCTGGAAACGCGCGGCTGAGAATCGGAAGGGCGCGGGCGCCGACGTTCTGTATCCTCTGTGGAAGCTTATCCGCATGGGTACCCCAGATCCGGATTTTGATATTCTGCTGGCTACTGAGGATAACGGGGAATGGAATTCCGCTCCCTTCGACTTCGGATTGAAGCTTCTGTCGACCTTCTCCCTCATTAAGCAGAAGCGGAGCGGAAGACACGTATCGATGCATGTCTTGGTTCATCGCTGGGCGCGGCACAGGATGAAGAGAGAGGAATACTTGCGATATAGCCTCGTAGCCAGAGTCATGGCCACCGAAGCCCTCGGATTGCCGTCTGACGCATATGTCGATATCTACCGCAGTCGCGTTCTGGCACCGCATATCGAAGCGTGTTGCGCACACCAGTCCATCCCCCTGATTGACCGCTACGAAGGCCGGCTGATGTTTCAGCTTGGTTGGCACTATCACGAGGAGAAGAAATTCACCGAGGCCGAGGAGGCGTTCCTGAAGAGTCTGCAGCTCTACAGGACAGAATTCGGCCATTATGCCTGTAACACCATCGAGACACTGCGACGCCTAGGTTTGCTCTACCACGAGATGGGACACCTTGACGAGGCGGAGCTTGCCTTGTTGGAGGTCATTGAGAGGCTCCGCGGGAAGATGGATGACATGGATGCTGCCAAGTCCGAGAAGCAGGCTGAAGAAGAGTCGAAGCGCCGGAAGGGCGGGCTTAAACTCGTTACAGACATTGCATCCAAGCGTCCATCAGTGAGTTCCTTCGCTCGCTTCCGTGGAAGAAACCGGAAGGATCCGGTCGGGAACGGAGGCGCGGCCAAGCCTTGTGAAAGTCGCGAGCCGGCCGAGGGAACAGAGCCTCCATATGACCGGGATGAATACCTCAAATGGAACACTGAGTACAACCTCGCCCACGCCGATCTTGGTAGGGTATACATGGACCAAGACAGGTATGGGGCGGGCCTACGAATGCTTCAGGACGCTCTCAAGTTCCTCCAACGAGACGGCTATCTATCACCAAACGACGTGGAACTCGTGCGGCTCGAGCACGAGGTGAAATCCTTGACCGAACCTGGAAACTTCGAATACTGGCACAAACCCAGCGGGCCCCTTCCTGGCCTCCAAGCATCCCCAGGGGAGCCTATTCCGGAGGCGTTTTGGCAGAACGAGATCGTAATGCGCTGTTGTATTGCTCAAGCTAACTGTCTTCTGAAGAACGGCATGTGGCGCAATGCGCTTCTACTCTATCGCGAGTGCCTCGAATGGTTCGAAGACTATTACGGTGACTGCGACCGACATTGCCTGGAGATACGACGCCGCATGGTCGATTGCATGGTCGAGGGAGACGATTGCGACTCCGCTATCTCGGCCGCCAGGGATTGCGTGCGCCGGGCACGGCGTCTTTATGGAGAGCGGCACAAGGAGACAGCCCTAGCGTTGCATAAGCTACACGAAGCGGTCTTTTGGAAGACGATGGAGCACAGCGAAGAGAGCGAGGACATCTTGATGGAGGCTCTCGCCACCGCAGAGGCGGCCCTCGGGTTCACTCATTCGATAACCGCACAAATTCGACGAGAACTGAAACGAGCAAGGCTGGACTTGAAGAAGCCAATGGGGACCTCGCTGGTAGGGACAGTCAGCGCGGCCGGGGAATGGAATCGCGAAGTGGAAATGGCCTGGGTCAAGCTCAGGGCCCGGATAGAGCGTACGAAGGCGAAGTTCGGACCTAATCACTTGTGTGTCAGACGCTGGGCGCGCTTCATTAGGGACTCCCCTCCCAAGACTCCGGAGGAGTACCGCAAGAGAGTACGTGCATGTTTTGGACCCCACAGTTCACTTGTATGCGAGGAGCGGGCCCCCCATGATCTGGACATGAAATGCGGCGGGGAAGTCGGCACTTCAGGTGCCCGTGACGGCCGGTCTCTTGTCCACGTTCTTTGTAGCTGCGGTGAAGCAGCCCATGCTGAAGGATCGCAGCAGGCTGAGAAGGTGGTGAGCGAGAGCCTTTCGTGTGGCAGCAGTCAAGACCTCGATGCTGGGAAAGTGGGGGCTAGTGTGGTGGAACCGCTGGGGCCCGAAGAGCCAGACATGACGGCTGCTGCCGCGTGGCTTGGGTTGGCGGATGTGCCCGAGCCCATCAGGAAGTGGTACGAGCTCAAGAATAAGCCAGTGTATCGGTGTGGCATGTACTACCCATTTATACCAGAACCAGAGGTGGAGGCTGTCGCGTGCCTCCCCGTTCCAGAAATCATAATCTGGGAGGCAAAGCCGTGATACGGTTCTGTATGTAGAAGAACCTGGCAGCGGGGTGGAGGACGGGTGGAAAGAACGGCTACGGAAGTCACAACCGCGGTTGTTGGGGCAAAGGGGAGCCACGTTGGCACCGCACCATAGTACGGGTGAAACCCAACGATCTCTGTTAAGCCTCCAAACCAAGTGACCGGATTTAAACCGCAGCTGAAGGGCCAGCGCTGCCAACTGATCTGTCCGATGAGTCCGGATTTGGTTGTTGGTAGGTTTTCGGCCGACTGGAGGTGATATATGAGAGGTGGTAAGTGTTGTGCCGTACATACCAGGTATGTATGTACTGTAGGAATTTCCATACGTAACGTACCAGGCTATCATTACACCACAGCACTTTTCAGAATGTTACGTCTCGGACTTGTACAATACATGTGCTGTACCGTATACCTGCATAAATACATACCTATATCCAAACACACACACACACGTCTATTTCAACGTCAAGTTCATCGTAGGTTCCTATTAGTCATCACGAACTGAGACCCTCCGTGTGAGGAGGTCAATATACAATATGTGTCACGTTATGTACGGTACAATACTACACGGTACGTAAGGTACTGCCTCCCGCTCGATCGCAGCCCAAACCCCTGTCTGTGATCCTTGGAGCCTCACAGCACTCCGTGTATAGCGCAGCTGCCGCCCTCCCGCATACAATACATCATGTACTAATGTACAATACATGCACAGAACCACCCACCGTCTCCATTTCCTCGCCTTACACCCGGGGTGAATTGAGGAGCGGTAGGGTTGCAACTTGCAGCACTGGCTCACTCGGTCTCAGCCTGTCGGGCCACAGTCGCTCCAGTATCCAGATGCGGTATTGCGGTGATATTGTGACCTGTCAGGTGTCCTTGGACCCTCTCCTGCAGTCTCAGACGCTTGACCCTGGTTGGCGGGTGCGGTCGAAGCCGCCAGGATGCGGAAGAAGCGGTTGGCGCCGTCCAGGCACTGCCACGAGAGCAATGCAGGCCACCAGCAGCCGGCGGCTAACGGGAAGCCTTGTCGTTCCATCGTCGCAGAGCTGGGTCGGTAAACCGCAGCACGTATGTACACTACATATCGGCTTAGGTGCTGTACTTAAGAGAGACCTTACCCCTGATCAGCGACGCTAGTCTGGAGACGGCCTTCTCTCTCAGCGTCGAACCACATAGATGCTGGCTGTTTGTTTAGGCGTTCACCAATCAAGCACAATTTTTTTGGCATATCTTGGTATTGCCGAGCCACATCGATGTCAGCGAGTCACGATGAGGCAATTAACCTGCTATCGCTCGGTAAGTTGCTGAGCGCCCTGGTCGTGTTGTGATGAACACGGGTCTCACGAGATGCAGATGGCGGGGGCGTGCGAGGAGTGGCCTCGCTCCTCATCTTGCACGAGATCATGGTCAAGATCAAGGAAAGTCGCGGTCTTGACCAGGTGCCCAAGCCTTGCGATTACTTCCACATGATCGGAGGCACGAGCACGGGAGGGTGAGTCGAGGGAGCAACCGGGCCCCCTGTGCTGCAGCTGGTTCCCTGACTTCTGTGCAGCCTTATCGCCATCATGCTCGGAAGGCTCCGCATGTCGGCAGAGGAAGCCCTGCTGGAATACGATCAGTGTGCGAGCAAAATCTTCGCCTTCGGCAACAGGAAGTGGACCACGGCCACCGAGAAATACCGGGCCACTGCGCTCAAGGAAGCCGTGGAGGACCTCGTGCGACGGCGCAACATGGGGGAATACCTGAGGCACTACCCGCCAGCCGCCGATGCCAAGGGCCAGTGTTTCGTCTGTGCCATGCCCGCGAACAAAGTTGGGCAGCCTCGCCGGTTCCGCTCCTTTGCCGGCGACGACGGCATGGAGGTCAAGATCTGGGAGGCCGCCCGCGCCACCACCGCTGCTTCCTTCTATTTCAAGCCCATGCCCATAAGGATCGGCAGCTTCTCTACCGAGGATTACATCGATGCCGCCATCGGCTGCAACAATCCTGTCGAGTACCTGCTCCAAGAAGCAGCGGAGCAGTTCGGAACCGGCCGGCGGCTGGGCTGTCTGATCAGCATCGGCACGGGCACGCGCCTCGTCAGCATCGCGAGGGCATCGAGCATTATGCGCTCGTGGAGATTCGTCAAAGAGCTGGTTGGGACTCTCAAGAACACCGCCACCGACGGCGAGGAGGCGCACCGCCGCGTCCAAGCCAAGTTTGGTGCACATCGCAATGCCTATTTCCGCTTCAACGTCCCCGATGCTGCCGACCAGGTTGGACTGGACGAGTACCTCAAGCTGGGCCGCTTGAAGGCTTTGACCGCCGAATATCTGGCCCAGCCCTTCGTCATGGACCGGGTCTCGGATGCGGCAGATGTGCTGGCCCGCAATGCAGCCGACCATGGATTGACGCTGGGTCACTCCCGTGAGGACGCACCGACCCCCCTTAACTGAACATATGATGAGATGATCCCATGCTAACGCATGCTGAGTTCAGATGGCATTGACAGGGACCTGTTGATCTCGTCAACGCAGGACGTCCAGCCGTTGGGGGACGTTAGCTGTTTCTTCATGGCCAGGGACGACATCCTCGATAAGCTGGACGCCCATTTCTCGCCGCGCGACACGAAGGGGAAACCTCGACGAGAGTTCCTCTTGTATGGTCTTGGCGGAGTAGGCAAGACCCAGATTGCTCTCAAGGCTGCCGACAATCTGGAGGACAGGCAAGTGGCAACCCCATGCCTGAAGCGGCGCGGGATACCTAAACCCTAACAACTGAACAGGTTCAAGTACATCTTCCACGTCGATGGAAGCACCGTCTCGACCGTGAACCGAAGCTACGCCAACATCTGCCAGCAGTATTGCGACGAATATCGGCATAAAGAATCCACGGGACGGGCCCCCGTCGAGGAAATGAGGGATGCCGCGCTGAGCTGGATGGGAGAGCTGTCCGACGAGTGGCTTGTGATATACGACAACCTCCCCGACCAGGAGCGTCTGCGGCCGGTCCTCCCCCGCCGAAACGCGGGCAATGTCATCTACACCTCCCGGTCCCAGGGCTTTCTGGCCGACCTTCCAGCCGAGTGTGTGTACGAAGTCCAACCGCTGTCAGAGGCGGCGGCTGTGGACCTGCTGCTGAAGATTGCCAACCGCGAGCACCTCAGAGGGGACGAGAAGGAAATGGAGGCGGTTCGAGAAACCGTGACCGAGGCTGGCTGTCTACCTCTTGCCATCGAAACCATGGGAGCTATTTTGAGGAAAGGAGATTGCACCGCGCACACGTTCCTCCATAGATTCCGCGACCGGCGCAACCGGTCCGCGTTACTCGGTAGACCAAACCCGGATGGCTCTTCGCCGGCTCGTCCGACCCTCTACGCTGTTTTCGACCTTTCGTACGATGCAATCTTGAGCTTGGTGCGGCGGGAGGGAAGATGTCTGTTGGGGCTATCCGCGTTATGTGCCCTCAGGGTGTTGAACTTGCTCTGCTTCTACCACAATGAGGATATCCCAATCAAGATGTTCGAGCATGCGGCGGAAGAGCGGCTCAGGTTCGGCAGCGCAAGAGAATGCCCTCTCTCCGACCTTGCAGATGACCCCTCCATGGATGCCTCGCGCCTGCTGACTTGCATTTATCCTGAGAAGACTTGGGATCGTATGTTTGTCGAGTGCGGCCTGCAGCTTCTCCAGCAATTCTCCCTTGTCAGGCGGTCGCCGCGGGGTCTCGTCTCAATGCACGTGCTGATTCAAGCCTGGGCCCAAGATAGGATGGACGAGCGGACTCGATGCCGGCAGGCCCTGGCTGCGAGGATCGTGCTCATTGAATCAATAAAGTTCAGTTCTAAATGGCTGGATGACGTCTGGCTGCGGCACCTGGGTCCGCATCTCCATGCCTGCATGGCTCATGAGGTCGCTGAGCGATCTCATGACTATGAATATGACGGTCTACTAAGCTTTAAGCTGGGGTGGTTCTATCACCGGCAACGATACTTCCCGCAGGCCGTGGACCACCTGCGCAGGGCCGCAGCCATGTTCAAGATAGAACATGGCAGCCATAGCAAACCGGCGACTTTGGCCCTCAGGATCCTGGGCAATGTCTATCACGACATGGGCTGTGTAGGCGACGCCGAGTCTATGTATATGGAAATTCTGGACAGGTTGCGTTTTCGCTTGAAGGAGATGGTAGAGGAATCTCAGAAGGAGATGGAAGAGCAATTTCGAAAGCGTACTTTGGTGAGTGAAGATGGGCAGAGGAATAGGCAAGCCAGGCGCCAGAAGATCGTCCACGTATTGCTTCAGGGGGTTTCGACGGATCAGGTGGCCAGGCAGGTCATGGCAACGGTTGAGGAGACTGACCCTAAAGGGGACACAAACCAGCCTCCAGCCATCGTGGGAATGCATAATTCTGTGACGAGGCGGGAGGACGGGCCCCAGATTGAGGGAGAGACCGTTGAACAGGTGCGCGAACATGTCGATGCTGCCACCAAACAAGGGCCCAGCCTGCCGGACACGACATACTGGATTCTCGAGAATGGTGACGTCTTGAGGGACCTAGCACGCCTGTACTTCGATTCGGGGAGGTACGACATGGGCAGGGTGTACCTTGAAGATGCCATAAGAGCGGCGAAAGATGTCGTCGAAGCGGATGACATCGACATGCTGGCTTGGGAAGCCGAACTCGCTTTGCATTCCCGGAATGCAGATAGGCAGTACTGGCTTCAGCGGTTACAAGCGCTACAAGCGCCAGCAGCCCTACCTCCAGATCAAGATCCTCCGGACGCAGAAGAACGCCACGATTACCGTGCCGTCCTGCACGAAGGCATAGCTGAAGCGTGTATTGCATACGGCGACGTGGAAGAAGCTTACCTTTGGTACGAAATGAATCTGGATATGACCCGAGCCCTCTACGGACCAAGTGACCGCAAGACACTTCGTCAGATGCGACACCTGGCACGGTGTGCTGTCAGGCTCGGTCGGTTCGAGGAGGCCGAGGACATCGCAAGGAGGGCGGTGAATGTGGCCAAGACTGTTTATGGACGATGGCACTTCGAGACTGCCGCATCCCTGGACGCCCTCCTGTCTGTCCTGTTTTGCCTGACGCCCTTTCGATGGCCCGGGTCGGAAATTTGGAACATCTCGCAAGAGGCTTGTAAGTCCCTTCGTTTTACCTTTGGCGAAGGACATCCCAGGGCCAAAGAGTTGGAGAGATGGGTGGAACGATGGCGCCGCCGTAGAGCGGCTGCTGCTCGTGATTCAGCCTTCGCCGAACTTGATCCAACCTTGGCCGAACTTGCATACAACAAGCTAGGCGAGCAAATTGTCGACCAGGCCTTCGCAAACGGCGTCCCAAAGTCGATAGAGGAGTTCAAGGAAAGGGCTACCGCTGCATACCGTGAGATCGAGAGGCAGAGATGCCAGGCTGAGGCCAAGTTGAGCCCCGAGGAGAGGTTCAAACACCGGCGGCAACTCTTCGCGGAAGCGGAAATGAGGGTTCGTGCGCGCAGGGCCTACGAAGCAGAGCATGAAGCTGCCGGAACCAGAGCGGCAGAACTGCCTCAGCCTAGTAGCAGAAGACGGAAATGGAAGGAGAGGATAATCAAGCTGTCCCCGATCCTCGAAGCTGCGCCAGAATGCGACAACAAGATCGAGGGGTCGTGGAAGGGCGAGCAGCGGCAAGATGTCAAAGGTAAAGGGAAGGCACTACCGTTGCCTGCTTTCGAGAACGACGAGGCCGTTCCAAAAATCGAGGCAGGTCGCACGGAGCCTGGGTCAGTACTACCTAGGTAGTAAATGTGTCACAGGAAGGACCCGGTCTAGGAGATTCTACAGGTAGCTCAACAGTCCTGGCGGCTGCTTGAATCGAAATGAAGTTGGGGAAGGAAAGCACGATGGTGTCATCACGTCACGGGGTCAATGCCAACGACCTGGTTAAGTTCGTCTCCGAACCAACTAGTGGCGAAATACAGCTGGATCGTGCCTTAAGCACCATTACATGTGGCCTCCATGTCTCAATTCACTGAGCATGATGCATCTTCTCATCCAGCCGTCTGGTCATGACCCTGAGTTCTGGCCTTCCGTTCCGCTTTTTTGTATTGCCTTCATCAGCTCGTACAGCTGTGCAAGTTGCTCATCTGTTCCCACGCAGGTCAGAAACAGTCACCGCCCAAACTCAGCTAAAGAAGGGGGCCGTACCACTCATCTTCTCAACCTTTCCCGGGTCAAGCTTCTCACCTGCCCACGAATCTCCTTCGATCTTTTGGGCATAGAGCTGCCATTCCGTGAGGAACCCGATCTACACATAGGTCAGAGCTAGAACCGCGAAGGGGCCACCGAAGCCACAGGGTTCTACCCACCAAGTGAACTGGGTTTTCGACTGTTCGATGGGCCCTGAACTCTGCCTTAACGTATTCGTCGCCAAGAAGTCGCATTTCCGACGGGAGGTGTTTCCTATGGGCCCGGAGGATGCGGCGGTACAGGTAAATCGGCGGAAGGAGAGCCATCGGGCCCGGCGACATGACCTTCACGGAGGCCATGGCCGACGCCAGGAGCAAACGAGGGGAGGGTCTCATTGTCACGAGAGCAGCCTCTCTGGTTTTGGACTCTACCGTGGGGATCTCTCCAGTCCCTTAAGAAGTCGTTAAGTGTAAGTGACCAACGTTTGCTTGCTTTCACATGCGATAAGATTGTGTGACTGCTACAGATACGTAGTGTTATTCAAGCGAATTGTATCCATGGATGTAGTGGTATCTAAAACATAGCAGTGTTCAGAGTCCCAGTTCCATTACGGCGTGTTGCCGATTTGCTCGATGCGCAGCGCTGATGGTCCCACACGGTGTGAGTACTTCAGTCATACACTATTGAGTATCAAGAAACCCAACCAAGTGAGGGAGCGTAGAACTCCCGCCCCGCCCCCCCGGAATCTAAGATTAAAGGGACCTTATTCATTCAAAACCTCTGCTATCCACACCGCCTGGATTGCGCTGACCTTCTTCGCATAGTTCTTTTGGGTGTACACGTACTCCAGATACATGATGGCCTCCACTTTCCGACCGTGCAAGACGCTCGAGGGATGGATCTGCACAGTGTGCTTGCCGGCAGAGGTGACGTAACTGCTATCCGGCGCCAGGAGCGCTGTTTTCAAAGCAAAGCCCCTCAGGAAGCACTTCAGAATAAGCTCCGCCTTCTCCGGGGACGTTGGCGTGAACGGCTGCGGATCTGGCGGCGGCAGCTCCATCAAGCCCTCCCGCGCACAGAGCTGCCGGAGCTGCTTCCGGATGTTCATAGCCTGCTTCATATTCCTGAAATTGATCTTGCGGTCCCGGCACCACCGTGTCCTGTCGGCGTTCTCGGCCGTGTAGAGCTGCATCGTTGTGAGGTAGGTGAGGATATCGCCCTCACGGCGGAAGAGTTCTTTCCTGTGCTCCTCCACCGCCTCCTTCTCCTCCTCGGACCGTAGGTGAAGGAAGATATCCTCGCCGGAGGTGATGCATGATATGATGTCAATGGTCTCTAGCAGGCAATCGTACTGCTGCTCAGCGGCTGCCAAGAGGACCCGGGCGTAGGGTGGCGTGACCGGGAACAACATCATCTTACGTCCCGTCTCCGTGATCGAAGCGTCATCGTCGAGAGCACCGAGAATGTGGAGGTGTACAAGAGCTTTCTCGACAGACTCGAGCCCCGGCGGATCCATCAACGGGAACGACAAGACGTCATCAATCCCTCTTGCTTTCATTGTCAAGATCGCACTGAGGATGTCGGTACGTAGGATTTCCGGAAGGCTTGTCGTCTGCAGCGTCTCATACGTCTCCTTGGTGTAAAGCCTGAAGCACTTCCCAGGCCCTTCACGCCCGGCTCGACCAGCCCTCTGGATAGCAGACGATTTTGCGATCGGCTTGGCGAGCAGCGACTCCATGCCGAGCCGCGGTCGAAACTCCTTCACTTTTGCCTTGCCACAGTCGATAACATAGCGCACACCAGGCACCGTAACCGATGTTTCGGCAATGTTAGTGGCTAGAACAACCTTCCTTGTGAAGCCGCCCTTGACTGGCTGGAAGGCTTCCTGCTGCGCCTCTATCGAGAGCTGTCCGAACAGAGGGAAGACTTTGATTTTGGGAAGGTTGGGGGCAAGCGTTGAGGCGTGCTCTTCGATAAGTCTCTGCACGGCCTCGATCTCCTCTTGACCAGTTAGGAAAGCTAGGATGTCCTTTCTGCCGTGCTTGTCCGAGAGTGCTTCTTTGCTGTGTATCTTGAAGACGAGCTTGACGAGTGCTTGATCGATTTCCGGCACGGGCTCCGGCGTGTGGACGATGTCGACGGGAAACTGTCGCCCCTCGATCTTCAGACACTCGACGCCGGTCTTCGACGCGGCTTCTGAGCTAGGACCGCTGGTAGAGTCTCCAGACTTCGTATCAGAGAAGAACTTTGTAATGCTTTCCACGTTGGCCGTAGCGCTCATGATGACAACCTTGAGTGGGATCCCGCCACGGCCAGCCTTGTCACCCGAGATGATCTGCTTGAGAAAGCCGGAGAGAAGGTCAACATCGACGCTCCGCTCGTGGATCTCGTCGATGATCACGGCGCTGTACTGCCTGAGGTAAGGGTCGCGAAGCATTTCTTGAAGGAGCATGCCTTCGGTCAGAAACTTGATCCGGGTGCCAGGCGGAACTCGGTGATCGAAGCGGACCGAGTAGCCCACAAGGCCCTTCCAGGCCGGACGGCTGCCGCCCCGGCCATCTTTCTGCCCAGTGAGCGGCGTACCTACTTCTCGAGAGACGCGATGTGCAAGCGTCGTTGCAGCAACTCTCCGCGGCTGTGTAATAGCGATCATGCCTCCCACGCCAACTTCCTGGCTGCTTTCGCCCGCTTTGATCTTCACCCGCCTCCTCTGGCACCACTTTTCTTGATATAAGAACTGGGGCACCTGCGTACTCTTGCCCGAGCCTGTCTCACCAACCAGGACCAGCACATCCTTGGTCCGCAAAATCCTGCGGATGTCGTCTTGGCGAGTCCATAGAGGGAGAGCTTGCCTGGTCGCAAAATACTGCGGATCACCCGCTAAGTGTTTGGATAACGAAGAGTTTGTGCGATGCTCTACTTTCCCAGCGTCAGAGGGCAGTGATGTCGATGGCTGCCCCTTGGTCTGCGCATCCTTGGCGACAGGATCTTGCTCCGGTGCTGGTTCAGCTGCCTGCTCGCGGGGTTTTTTCGTCAAGTACCCTTCCAAAGAGATGGTCTTATCCCCGATCTTTATCACGTTGCCATCCGACGGCGTTTTCCTCTTTTTAGACATCTCGGCAAGCAGGGGCCAATATTGGTGTTGATGATATCTGCCGTAGAGTATCTTGAGTTATGAGGACCAAGTGAGCCTCCACTGGCGCACGTGAAAAAGGAACGTCAGAAACGCAGGATAACTGAACGGGGTGTTAATAGAAGATGGAGCCCAAGAATTGATTAACTTGATGACTGTGATGGTAGGCTAACTTTTGTGTAATAACGAAATGCGTTTCCCAGTGCCCAGAGAATTTGAGACCCAGTTAAATATCAGTTTCACACCCCAGTTGCACTTGCCACACCAGTGACACACCACAGCCAAGGTCTGATGAATCATGATGGCACATACCTCGTATGTGTGACATACTTGGGGGGTCCGAGCGCTTTTTCATCTGATGGCCCCTCCAAAGAGGGGGTGGCAAATATTTTCGGGGAAGCCAGAAAATCGAAGACGCACAAACGTGGCCATCGGGATGGAAGTGCTCGGACCCCCAAGTAGTGCCTGGTAACGTACAGTGAGGGTTCAAAAGTCTGTCACACCCCACATCAAAATCCCCCGCCACCCGTTTTCTAGGTCACTACAACCATTAACATATCTCTACATAACGCAACACCACCAACATTTCTAGCAAAATAGATATATACAGATAGAAGCCCTGGTTCTAACTATTAGTATTTTGTATACCAGCTACTAGCTTTCTAGACTGCAGCCAATCGCTGAGGCATTGAGTTAATGAGACTGTCAATTTAAGCCTAGTCAATTGCCCACCAACATACCCGAAGACATCGAGTAAACTTAGCCATATCTAGCTGGTTTTTCTTGAGTAACTAGATATCTGGATATAGCTGCTTCATCCTCCATTTTATAGAGCCTATATATGCTTGATTAGATTAAGATCTAGGCTATAAGCTGCCCAGTCAGGTAGGACCTCGATCATATGCTTCATTAGCTACTCAGTCGAGGATGCAGATATATATACTCGGGTATTATCCTGCTAAAAGTGCTGAGTACTATTGTAAATTAGAAGAAGACCCTTTTCCAATGCCTGCTGATAACTCTAAAAGCTATATCCTTCTTTTTACGGTGGTTGGTAGTCACATTCTATAATAATAAGGTCAGTCCTCCCCCCTTTCCAAACACCACTCCAAATCATAATCGAAATCGTATCTTTGCTATAGCTTTAGAGGTTGACGAAGCTCTTATCCTATTTTTGAGAAGGGAACTGGAAGACCTAAGTTGTTAGGTTACTCGAATTATTTTAGTAAGATGATCTATTGATAAAGATAGACTAGAGGTTAGTTAGTAAAATCTAAAGTTAACTTCTAAGTTGCTTACTTGGATCAAGATCTCAATATCCTTCAACCAAAGATAAGCAAATTAATATCTATCCTTTGTTACTGCCTTCGTCAATGGGATTCTCTTTTATATATGCCACTTGCGTATCCGATAATGGCGAAGAACCCAGTATATTGTTGATTGGGAGATGCGGCCGTCTATAGTATTGATCAGCATCTAGGTTGTAAGCTAGAGACGCCGTTTAGCCAATTGTAGGATATACCGCTTTTCCCGACATGTAAGAATCTCTGGCCGGCCTGTTCGAGGCTTGGACTTAACAGTGGTGGATGATTCGAACCGTTGAAGGATGCGGTAGACAGCCGTCCTATCGATGCGAAACGCGCAGGCAACGGCTGACTGGCTAGCCCCGGCTGCAACAGCACCTATAATAGCTGCACGTGCAGTCGGTGATAGTTCCTGGCCAGGTTGACGGCCGGCCGTCAATTTGGCCCCGATTTCGGCCAAATTGACCATGGTGGGCTAAAGTTGGGTTGGTTAGAAGATGGAAGATGGTGCGTGTCATGTCGCGACGCGCGTTTAATTGATGTGGGGTGTGACAGACTTTTAAACCCTGACTGTACATGTAAGGACGCTGCTGCGTACTTCCGTAGTGAAATCCATACTTTGCCTATGTATAAGTAACCGAACAGTGTGCGGTAACATAAGGTGAGGTGTGACTTCTAAATCTGAACTGAGACACAGAGGCATTACCTAGTTAAGGTAACAGGGCATTGTTATAGTAAGGTATTTTCATACCTGGAATTACCAAAGATACTGGACGAACTGTAGCTAGCACGGTGCCTTGCAATTCAGGACGGTTATAGACTGATAGTACTCCGTAAACACGCAGTATTTGGTTTCAAGACGAGTCCCTCGGCATAACTCCCACAAGAACTTGATAACTTGGTAGGTAGACGACCACTAGTATCTCGTATGCGACCGCTCGGAAGAGTTCTAACTTCGCTAGACCGACAACTTCACGCGAACAACATCCACACTCTAAAGAAAATATAACCGAGTCCAACAGCCGAAGAGCCGACTCATCCACGGAGGCAGGCCGAAACAGTGACCAGAGTGACGCTGTGAGCTCTGGTGTCCATCACTCAAACTGACGCAAACGGTTCCTTAGTTTGATGAGATCGTCCTGGTTTTGGTCGGTCTGCGAGCTTCGTTAGTCTCCGTTTTCTGCTAACCTCATTTCCAGAAAACGTACCCTCTCGCTCATGGTGTTGATGAGCCTGTTCTGGTAATCGAGTTCTTCGTTCATGGCCTTCGCTGTGTAGTTGACGCGTTGGGTCTTTTGTAGCAGGCTGTCGAGACCATCCTCGATTTCCTTCTCTACCTCCTCGTCTTCTTCCTCGAACACATACTGAGACTTTACCTTATTCTGGGAAGCGCCGAGAGTCTGTTGGCGGGGGTTTCTGAGAAGCATTGGCCCTTCTGCTCGTCTCTTGGCCTCTCGCTCTGTTCTCTGTGCGTGTTCTTTCTCCTGCACAGCGAGTCTCTCCTGAAACTCTCTCTCCGCCCGCAGCTTTTCCTTCTCTTTCGAGCGCCCAAATTTGATCATATGCTGCTCACTCTTCAACTCGGCAATATTATGTTTACTCAATGTGGTCTGCTCACCTGTGGCTTTCAGTTAGCACCCTGTATTAAAATTCCATCAAACAACGATAAGAAGGAGGGGGGAATTACTATGCTTTACAGCTTGATTATGCGCATGTGCAAGTGTCTCTCCCTGTTCCAGAAGTCGTCTTTGCGAGTCCTCGATTGACATGATACCCGCGTCCATCATCTGATTTAGCCGGTCGACAGCTGATTTCTCGTCGCTCCTCTTGTCTCTTTCGTCTGGGAATTGATAGCTTGGGCATTGACCTCGTCTTCCTCCTCCTCTGTCATGGGAGGTCTGTCATCATAGGCCTGCCCAGCGTCGGCCACTCCATCGGGTCCAGGAACGCCAGAGCTAGCGGTTTGCTTCGAGGGAGGGGTGTAGTTGGCGAACAATCCTCCATCCGTATCCAGATTTCCATAGCCTCCTGGGCGCTGAGAAGATAGAGACGTCGACTGATTATAGGATGGCGCGGACGGCGCGTCGAACCGGTTTCTCCCGACACCGTCCACAGCACCAAACTTCTCCCTCGGGTACCCCGAGCCCAGCGAGGGACTTGACTGGGCACTAGCCGACGGCGTTCCTGCGCTGTATGGGGGAGGCTGGGACAAATCTGGGGAGTACTGCGTTGCGGAGGACTCTGTTGCGGCGTACTCTGTTGCGGAGGACTGTGCGGCGGAGTACCCTGAAGAACCGGTTCCTACTCTGCCTGGAAGACCGCCGGGGCGAGGACCGGCCGGCAAGCCGAATGGGGGCCCGCGGGAAGGCTGAGGGGAGTATTGGTTGCCATTATATTGATCGTGTTGGGCCGGCGGCGATGTCTGCTGCTGGGCGTACGGGTTGGATGAGGGACTCGGCGGCTTCTCCTTGTCGTCTGACTTCTTGAACCAGGCACCGAACCGCCCCATGATTCGACGCTGCGATAGCTTCTCAGTAACGTTAGCCAAGCGGGGGATGATAAGACGAGATTGAGCGGAGGACACAGAACTCGAACACAGGAGAAAACAACAGGAGAGGGAAGTGGCCAGAAGTGATACAAGAAGGCAGACTTGAGCGTGAGACGGAGCGGCGGGGCCCGGGTGGAACTTGGGCACCCGCCAGCGGGCAGCTGGATCCTTGATGCGCGTGTCTTGGATCCGTCCCAGAATGCGACGACCCTTCGGTCTCAGCCCCTTGCCATTATTAACCCGCTTGAGCGAAAGGGGCAAGGTGCACGAACCCCCAATTGCTTGGCCACTTGCCTCCCCGCCAATCCGCCCACTTGATGACGCTGTGCCTCCCACCAGAACACTGGCGAAAACGCGCGTCTTACCTTCATTCTGTCTCGTATTCTCAGAACCCATTTCGCTCTTCCCCCTTTATCTGGCTGTGGTGCGGGCTGTGCTTGGTCTTCCTGCTGCATCTCGGCATCCAAGTCGACCTGGCATTGATCCATCGGCGTGGGTGGAGATCGTTCAGGAGCTGCGGATATCGCCATCTTGATTTGTCGGCCTCGCCTAGGCTGTGGACACCTGCATGAGGTATCCTTGCCGGCTGGCTGTATGTAGTGTTTCCGTAACCACTGCCGCGCCGATATGCGGTGTGCAACATGTGTCTTTGCCGATTTGTTTCAATGTTGCCTCTTTGCTCAGCGGAAGTGCCTCGGGCTCAGGTGCTGGTCTGGATTCTGGCAGCTTCAGTTCCTGCCGAAGATCGGCAGGATTTGGCGCAGGTTCCCTTGTCGCTGGTTTTGCGTTATGGTTTGGGTCTATCTGCATCGCCGTACATAGCAGGTTCATATTGAGGGGTACTGTACAGTACCTTCTCATCAGGTAATTAACAGAAATTGACCAATGAGCAGACCCCACTACGTACATGTGTCATCACTACTCAGCACTGCAGTGTCCGAGTCATCGGGGTCAGTCGGTCACGGTTTCCAAAGTGCCATTACCTATCTTAAAAACCACTGGGACTGGCAACAAACAGCCAGCTCAAACATCAAACCACACAACTCAACGAGAACATTGCCCAGAATGACTCTTCTTAGCTGAGGCAGCGCACCGAGACTGTAACCACAGCAATTGGGGCATCTTCATACTTTGAATCTCTGCCCTCTATTTGTCTTTCCCCCGGTGCGAGCTTGACCGCTCCAGAAACTCCAAGATGATACCACGAATACACCGAGTCTGCTCCTTTGAAATGATCGCCGACTGTGCAATATCTCTACTCCTGCTATCGCATTGACTTCGAGTTCTTCTATCGGTGCACCTGCTTCCTTTGCTGTGCACTCGCCAGCACGCCACTGGGCAGAGAACCGGCCACGCTTGTATCCATTATTTACGGAACACCCGATGTCGGTCTTTACATTTGACCCGGACCCGCCCCGGGTCGCGTCTCCGTGGCTCCGGTCTGTGGATTCGGACAAGTCCGCCACCTCTTCGCCGGGAGCGCGGGTGGGACCCGCCGGGCGTGGGCTACTCTCCGACTACGGTGTCACCAGGTTGGAACCTGAACCGCAGGACGGTCCAACGGAATACAAGCTTCACTTGCTTCTCAGACCGCGGAGGAAGTATGAGCGGATCAGCACGGCGACTCGAATATGTGGGTCCACCCAGGCACGGCCTCCTCCCGACCCGAAGACGTCGAGAGCGGCCACTGTCGGCCCTGGGTCGTCGACGACTTCGATCCAGACGCGCCAGGATCGTCTTGAGCACCTTACCACACAGCTCTTGTGGAGGTTGCAGCAGTCGTGTCCCTATCACGCCGGCACCGCCTCTCCCGGGCTTGTCATCCCACAGCTGCCCGACGAAAACGTTGCCTTAGATGCGCCGGTCAAGTTGGGCAAGCTGCTGCCCGGGTTGGAGGCATCGAGGGGAGCGCTATACGAGATAGGCGTGGCTGACGACGGCACGCTAGCGGGGTTGACCAAGGATGAGATGGATGAGAGTCTCGGTACCCTTCGCATCATGGCTGCCAGTTTGGGTTGCAACGTGGAAGTACTGCGCATGTTGGTTGTTGGAGACTGCGAGTGGGTCGAGTCAGATGCCACCGAAGGATTTGGGGAACTGAAATCGCGACGAGTTTCGCATCGAGCGAAATTATGGGTTGCTGAGGCTCTTGTCACGCCCGATTTGCGGCCGAGGGATGAGGCCCAATCATCGGCCGTGCGAATGACAGAAGCGGCGCGGCTGACGGAGACCTTACCAGACCCGAAGCAAGGGCCGCTCACCTCCGACCAATTGCGTGTTACACTTACAGGCCCTACGACGTCGGGCAAGTCGACTCTCTTGGGCACTCTCTCCACTGGAACCCTTGACAATGGCCGTGGTAAAGGCCGACTTGGCCTGCTGAAGCATCTTCATGAGGTTGCGTCTGGCATTACCTCGTCGGTCACTCAAGAACTGGTCGGCTACAACGACGACGAGATAGTCAACTATGCCCATAGCGGAGTCGAGTCTTGGATTGATATTCACGACTTCACAAAGGATGGACGGCTAGTTTACTTGCTTGATTCTGCGGGCCATCCGCGCTACCGGCGGACCATCCTCCGAGGCATTGTCGGATGGGCACCGCAGTGGACTTTGCTCTGCATAGCGGCCGACAGCTCAGCTCCGGGGGCTACGTCGACCTCCTTGGATGGGCTGGGACCTACTGGCGCGAGCGTTGACCTAGCATCCGCCCATCTAGAACTATGCCTGCGGCTTCGTCTTCCCCTCGCTGTTGTCATCACGAAATTAGACCTGGCAAACAAGTCGACCCTGTCCAGCACCCTCACCAAAGTCCTGTCCGGCGTCAAAAGGGCGGGTCGGGTGCCGAAGATAGTGAAAGGGGGCCCAACAGGGCACGTCGCTCGTCTTCGAGTATCCGAGTCGGACAAAGAAGCCGTCAGGGAGCCATTGAACTGCATGAAGACGGTGGATGACCCGTTCTCCGTCGTCCCTATTTTGCTTACCAGCTCTGTTGATGGACGCGGGATTGGGGCACTACATGCCCTTCTCCAGGGCCTTCCGCTGCCTTCAACACCCACCTCTCATGACTACATTGGCGCGGCCCTAAATCCCGAGCAGCCGGCGTGCCTCTTCCACATTGAAGACAAATTCAGTCTCCCCGCATCCTACTCCTTGGCCACAAGCGATGCAGACCAACAAACTGATCTTGGCACTGTCGTAGCGGGCTACCTCCGCTTCGGTAGTCTCTCGATTGGCGACAAGGTCGTAGTAGGTCCCTTCCCATCTGGGGATGACGACTCCCACGGGACCACACCAGACGAACGTATCGGGAATGGGGCTGTCAATAGCTACGGCCTTTCAATCTCTCATCCTTCATCCGCAGAGCTCAGCCGCGTAGCTTCCCGAAATGCAGTTTCTGCGTCGGCCACCAGTGGCGAGTGGTACACCGCCTCCATTGTCAGCATCCGCAACTTGCGCTTGCCGGTGCAGACCCTCACAGCTGGCCAGGTTGGTTCCATCGGGATGGTGTTTGATCCGCCGGCACCGAGCAAGCAACAGGATGTTGTCGCCAACGAAGCGGGGGCCCGTCCGTCAACAACGACCCCTAGACTGCGCAAAGGCATGGTCCTCGCTGTTCCTAGCCAGCACATGGTCTCGTCCGGCCTATCGTTGCAGGCAGTCAGCGGGTTGACGGCGGTATTTGACAAGGAGAACCAAGAAGTTGGCTCGTTGACGGTGGGAAGCCTAGTGAACATCTATGTGGCGAGTGTGCGGTCTGCCGCGCGGGTGTTACGCGTGTCGAGAGTGCAGAATGGGGAGAATGGAGATGCTTGCGATGTTGTGGCGGACGAGATCGATGATATGTTCGGTCTTGCCGAGGACATCAGTGGGGAGAGCCGAGTGTGCAGCGCGGCGTCGACGGATGACAACATTGAGATACAGCTGGAACTGCTGTCGACTCGAGAGTGGATTGAGCTGGGGTCTCGCATCCTGGTCCTTGAGGGCGGTAGCAAAGATAAATCTGGGTTGGAGGGCTTTGTGGGAAAGGTTGTTGAGATTGTCGAGTGATGGCTCCCGGTGTCTTTTCTTATCGATTGCTCTGTCTCAGCGTTTTGCAGTTTTGGTTACCGTAAGCTTTAGATTGTTTCCTTCCAGGTTCTCAGCGGCGTGACTTGACGGTTCACAGTCCTGCTGCTACTAATACCCCGGTTCGGTGATGCGCACAAAGCTCCTCGCTTGCCCGACTCAGCCAGACTAGATAGTGGCCTCCTTGCACCCGCTGTTAGAAAGGGTACCTACGTGGTAGCCGAGCGGACATTCTTCGGGAACGAAGTTTTCGTGCCACTAATAGACTGTACTTTGGTGTTTGGCACTAGGCGATCCAAGTTCGCAGCATCGGTCGTTCTTTCTCTTCCATGAGTCCGAGTCCGTCCGAATATCATGATTTCCCTAACTTGATTCTGTCTCCTTCAAAGTTCCAAAGGACTAGTGGCGGAGGTAACGAATTCACATAGCATGCCGAAGGCCCAACGCCATGACGCCGCATCTCATCCTTTTGCTGTTCGTTGCCAGATATCATGCCCTCACCAGCCCGTAGAGCAGAGTCCACGTCAAAATAAACCCCGCCAAGCCATTCATCAACCCGCCTGCCCAGAACTCGAACGGGCCCCTGAAATACCTGCTCGTGTCGAGCGGCGACTTGCCCGCCGCCAGCGAGGAGGGCGCCACACGGACAAGGTAGAAGAGCACGGCCGTCAGCAGCGAGAAGACGAGGTAGAAGAGGAAGCCGCTGTAGGACTCGAGGCCGAGGATGCCCGCGGATATTCCAAAGAGGGAGGCAGTCAAAGATTGGAGATTGTAGAGAGTCTGTGGTGAAGCAGAAGACGCGGTTAGTGCGGTCTGCTTAAAGGTTCACACATCTTGTGCCCAGAACGGGGACACTAGGTTGGGTTGGTTTATGACAGCGGTCGAAAGTTGCAGATATGCCCTGCTTCTGCAGGTTGCATGTGGAGGGGCCGGACGGCGGCGTGGGCGGGTGGGTGAGACTAACCCGTGAGTTGTGCATCAATGACTCCTGCACGATGGGAGATATTTGGAGTTCTTGTTCGGAAGACATGGCCATTGGTATCGGGGGAAGGCGTCGGTCGTGTCGCTGACCACGGTAGTCTTCTCTCCGTCTCGGTTGCTTACGACTGCAAACAGTCTGTTGATTGCGTCAACGTGTCACGGTGTCCGTATTGGCCGAGCTCGTGTAGTGAGCAAGTTATCTGTCGAAGCGAATGCCCGTTGTTGCTTGTGTCGTTCCCGCAAGCTCGGGCGAGCTCCGGAGCCGCCATGCGATGCGATGCGCGGATCGACGAGCCACAGTGGGGCTTGAAGCTCATGTGGAGAAGACAGCTGATACGGTATTGCACTTGAAAGTTACGCGCTCAGTACCTGGAATTTCTTACCGCCGACCTTCCGAGATTGAAAGCTACTCTAGTAGTACGGATTACATTACCATACGGCAGCCGGCGCATTAACGTTAACCTCAGGGGAATGATCCATCTGACATACCATGTATTAGTAGTGTGGTACGGAGTAGTACCGACTATACAACCTACCCTGTACATAGGACTGAAAACCCGTTCTCCAAACAAAATGCCATTTTGCTGTAGCGAGAGCTGCTGCCATCAGAGGAGTCCTGTGACGTATCAATGCAGCCGCATCCAGTCTACGGTCCATTGGTTTGCTGTGGTAATCATGATGACGCCATCGTGCGGGATACACTCAAATACTGGCTATAAGTCAGGGTTGTGTCTGTATTGTACGTGCATACAGTCTGGTACCGTAACCAGTTCAGATGTTGTTTGATTAAGAAGGTCGTGAGACAGGGGCGACGCACCCCAGGTTCGGGTGCTTTTATGAAGGGCTTCTGGACCTGGAAACATTTAATGACCGGTTACGACAGTAATAAGCGGCCTTCTTGCGTTCCGCACTAATTTGGCAAAGGAGGTCTCCGACTCGAAGTCTCCGTTCCGTTTCTTCGGCCTCGCGCATCTCGACCTCGAAACGAAACATGCGCATCGGCCGCCACAATAACTACACGGAACGCTCGCAGATCACAGGGTCCCGACAGTCTCGCCTCCTCGTCGTCGCTGGCAAGAAGGGAGCCCACGCCAGCTAGTGTCCGCGTCCTGTGTTGCCTGTCCTCCGTAAGACGCCAAAAGCAAAATCGGTCGCAAAACGGCCGGTCTTCAGTGACGAACCGGCGGCGGGCAGATGGGGGACTGGTGCCACAGCGCGTGATTGATTATCTTGCAGTAGAAGCATCGTTCATGGAGACCGTCGTCCAGGACCATACGCCACTTGCAGATTATCTGAAGGGTTAGCTTCCCGTTTTCTCCCTCACGTGCAGGCCGCAGCAGACTTCGGAAATCGTGTCCGGGGCGCTAACAGCTGTCCTTCCCGTAGACGAAGGCGAAGAACAGCAGGCCTGGGCTACACCACCAGTCTCGGATGATCACGATGAATCACCGCCGTCGAGCCCGTCATTCGCCCCGGTGGGACGTCCACTGGTCAGGAAGCGGTTTCGAACCAAGTTACCAGACCCGCTGTCGCTAGACGTCCCGCGGATTGACCGACTAACGTCGCTGCGTATCTCTTACTCGGTACAATATCCCCCAAGGCGCGCTACCCCCGATGCACCAACCTCAGACTGACCGTTTGGTGGCTCTTGCGCAAACAGAAAGCCGTTGTCTCGAGGATAGATCGCGCCGACAACCTCAAGTTCATCGAGCAGTTCCGCTACACGATCGTCGCATCGCAGCTGCTGAGCGGGCATTCTATAGCGGGACAGCCGATTTCCCTCAACCGACCCAAAGAGACTCCGGAGACGCCTCCGAATGTGGTGCTTCCGACGTCGACGGGGCTGATAGCGACAGCAGCCGCCGCGCTTGTTGTCGCATGGATGCTCAGATGGGTATGCTCGGGGGGTTATGCGCACCTGACCAAGAAGCGCGTGGTATTCCTGGCAGTGGTCCTGATTGCAGTTGCCGGGGTGTCACAGGCTTATATCCGGCAGCATTGGCTTCGGCATCTAAGATACCAGGCGTTGATGGAGATGGCGTCGTTCGTTTCAAGGTCACAGGATTTTGACAGTGCTGCTAGTGCCGCGTTGTCGCTTGTCCAGGAGGTTGAGCTCGTCTCCCGGGGATACAGGATGTGGGTTGAGATCTTCCTTCGACTTCCGTCACCTGAGACTGACACGTACACTAGAAGCGCACCCCTACCCCCTATCAGCCGCATAGAGGACAGATCCCAGACACGCCGTTGCAGCAGGCTGCGTAAGGCGCTGAAAGGACGGCTCTCCGACATGATCGAGAATTACATGCAGATTTCTACGGCGATCAAGGGTTTCGCTGAGCAAGTAGACCTAGAGAAGTACCACGACATCTACGACATCAGCGACTTTGACATTTCGGATGCGATGCAAGGGTTCTCAGAGAAGGAGTTCGACGACGCCGAATCCCTGCGATCCCTTAAAATCGCGGCCGCTCGCTTCCACATCATTCGCAAAATCCTGCTGTGCTCGCTCCTTGCTTTTGAGGCTACCGGCGATAACAGCGACTTTCTGCGCTGGTCGACAGCTGTGGAGGGACTGAAGAAGCTCAACGAAGTCACAGCCCAGAGCTTCGAAAGAATCCGCCACATCCTGAGCGAAGAAGAGAGTAGGCGAGCCTTTCCACCCGTTTGTGTCCCTACTGTTGCTGACATGAGCAAGCCTTCCCTACAATTCCGGAGTCAAAATACCCGCTGTCTCCCAATCGAGAGAAGCGGCGGTCCCAGTTCATGAAGCTCAACTCACTGTCGATGGGCATCCGAGGTCTTCAAGCAAAGCTTGCGCTGTTACGAGAGGAGTCAGAAAGGACACTTAATGAGGCGGAAGATGTGTCAGAGCTGGGATCCGACCTGATGGCCCAGTATGAGTCTATTGGACAGGACCTGAAGAGTTTGACGCAAGCATGGGAGGAAGGCAAAGCTGCCCTGGCGTCGGGCATCGACCGGAACGAAAAGCGGCTGTCATCGCTCAGCACCCTACTCTCTCCGGCGTCGTCTTTGAGTGGGCTTACCACAGTCGACGAAGGAGGGCCACCCGAGGCACTCAGAGCCTTGACAGGCGAATCACCCCGAAGCTCAAGTTTCGGCAGCGCGAGGGGAGACCCCGATGAGACAGAGGTCTTTGAAGCCGTCTCTCTGCCCTCTCGTCCCCGCAGCCTCCTGACGAGAGAGGAGCGGATCGCGAAGATGAAGGAAGACAGAGACAGGAGAGAACTGGCTAGGGACAAGGTGGAGGCGAGCCGCGGAATGCTCCGAGAGCTCGAAATGGTCATCAACTTACGGCCGAAGCGGGCGACCATGCCGGCACCATCACGCATTTCATTATGACTGTGACGACAATCAAGCAAAACCCAAGACGGTCCTTCACCCTTCCCTTTGTTGTGCATCTTGCATCGACTGTTACCTTTTTTTCGTCCATTCCCTTTAACTCTCGTTTCACTTGCATAGAAAGCATCTTCGTTTTCAACGGGAGCGATTCGTATCATCATCTAGGCGGTTTTATTTCACTTGGAATGAACCATGAGAGGCGTTTGAATGGCTGGGAACGGTTGTGGGCATAGAACTTGCAAATATGCTAATCCGCATTGAATTGTAATTAGACCTCGGAAGGTATTTGTCCCCAATAACAGGATGATATCGAAAATCGCTGGAAAGCAAATGATACACCGGTTCCGATGTTTCTCCTGGATTGCCCAGGTGACGCTGGCAGGCAGCACCAGCCCGTCGCCCAGGGGCGCGTGTAGCTAAATGGAGTCCGGACGGAGCGCTAACCAAAAGTAGAAATCAATCTAATGCCAGTCGCGTCTTGTCAACGGCTGGCAGCGCGTCGCGTGGCAGCTCCATCTTTCCCTCCCACTCACTGCACCCTTAATAATCCCAACCCAACCAAACCTGCGTACCGGACACTTCCACCACAAGACGCCGTACTCTAGACCGCGCCCGCTCTAAAACGTTCGATCAGACTTGGCACAAAGTACCAGGCAGACACACAAAATAGACACAAAAACTCTTAACAATCAGACAGTGAGAACCCCTACACCGACACGTCCTTCGGCTGCCCTGCATCAATGCATAGCTGACAGTCGCAGCCATGTTGGAAGCACGGTTGGAGCAGGCGAGCATTCTGAAGAAGGTAATGCGCCAGTGATTGACGAATTTGCCGTTGTTGAGGAAGTCCAACAGTGCGTCTAACGTATTTTGTTTACCCAGGTCGTCGACGCAATCAAGGATTTAGTGCAAGATTGCAACTTTGACTGTAATGACAGCGGCGTCGCCCTTCAGGCCATGGACAACAGCCATGTCGCTCTTGTGTCCATGATGCTCAAGGCCGAGAGTTTCTCGCCGTTCCGCTGCGACCGCAACATCGCCCTTGGCGTCAACCTCACTTCACTCACCAAGGTGCTGCGGGCAGCTCAGAACGAAGACATCCTCACCCTCAAAGCGGAGGACGCGCCCGACGTCCTCAACCTCGTTTTCGAAAGTTCCGAGACGGACAGAATCTCCGAGTATGACCTCAAGCTCATGGACATTGACCAGGAGCACCTTGGCATCCCTGACACAGAGTACGCGGCAACCATCGCAATGCCTGCCGCCGAGTTCAAACGCATCACAACGGATCTCATGGCCATGTCAGAGTCTGGTATGCGAGTTCAACATCCCACCCGGCAGCCCAACTGCTGACCCCGGAGCCTTTTACAGTGACCATTGAGGCAAGCAAAGACGGCGTCAAATTCTCGTGCCAGGGCGACATCGGTAACGGCTCTGTCACCCTCCGGCAACATTCGAATGTCGACAAGCCTAACGAGTCGATCGAAATTGAGCTTACCGAGCCCGTCTCCCTCACCTTCTCCCTTAAGTACCTCGTCAACTTCTGCAAAGCTTCAGCCTTGTCAAACACGGTTAAGATCTGCCTCTCGAACGAGGTGCCCCTGCTGGTTGAGTACAGCCTCGCTGGCAGCAGCTATCTGCGCTTCTACCTCGCGCCAAAGGTACGTAATGTCATGTCCACGTCTGATCTTGAAGTAAAGGAGCTAACGAAGACCCAAAGATCGGCGACGAGGAGTGAACCCGGTCCAGAAGGCCCGGCTGAGGAGATTTTTTTGGGTCGAGCCAACGACCATGTCAGGGTTCGAGTTGGCTCAATACATGGGTCCATCCCGTGAGCTGGCGCAGAAGGGTGTGTTGCGAAGACGACGCATTGGCGGAGCGTCTCAGTGGAACAACTGGGGCTCAGCCTCTCGATGACGGCTATGTGAATTCCTTACGGCGATGAACCCCATCTGTCGCATCAGGTACATCTCCAAATTATGTTCCGTCCAGCCCGACCTACCTACGATTCCGGCCGTCGTCTGAGTGGCATATGGTGTACTAAGACGCTACCTTGACATTTGAAGCCCAGGTTGTCCGATCCTCAGTTGGCCCCATTACTTTTTGTGTTAGGTAGCGTGGAGTTCCTTGCCCCGCGGGATGGCGGGGTAAATTCATGATACCAACCTGCTTGGACCCTTCGCACAGCGCAGTTGAACCCCTTGTGTTTCTGGACCATTCCATCCAGTCTGCAGGCATTCAAACTTCTGGCTCGTGTTCTTATTAGTGTTGGCCTTGCAATTATCGGACGGTATCCTCGTCGATTATATCAGCCGTACCTGTAAGAGCTCGCTTGCGGTGGTTTTGTCCAAGCAGATACCCAGTGACTCATCTTTATGATTATCTACTCTATCCCTGAGCATTTTTGTTCATTCTCCAAGTTTTGAATATCCTTAAAATTGGTAGACTAAGCTCTCGACATCGCTCCTGACTACATTTGACTTTCACCCCTACGTTTTCCGCCGCGGCCCGCCGCCTTCGTCAGTCAACTATGAGTGATAGCTCTCCGGTCCCTGAAACCCGCGTATTAGCGGTCGCCAGTCATGTAGGGCACATTGTTTGATATTGCCTGCTGTCGCTCTCTGCTAATTGCGTGTTCAAGGTGGTCTCTGGGTGAGTCTGGCCACTTGGTCCGCCTGCCTCGTTTCGCATGGCACCACGGTGCTGACAGAAGTCCCCTCTTACCTTTCAGATATGTCGGGAACAAAATAGCGGTCTTCAGCATGCAGTCGCTAGGTTGCGACGTAGCAGCGCTGAACACCGTACAATTCAGTATGTTTCGTCCCCAGAAAGCGCTTTCTGCGCCCCCTCCGCGCACTTTGCGCCGGCATGCTAACCTGGCGCGGCATAGGTAATCATACAGGATACAGACAGTGGACAGGTTCGAGAGTCTCGGCGCAAGAGATCACAGAGCTGTACCAGGGTCTGAAGCAGTCATATCTCGACGACTTCGACATGATGCTGTCAGGGTATGTCCCCGGCGCTCCGGCACTCGAAGCGGTCGGGCAGATAGCGCAGGAGCTCAAGCGCAAGGCAAAGCCAAAGCCGGGAAGCTTCTTCTGGGTCTTGGATCCGGTCATGGGTGACAATGGCAAGCTCTATGTGGCGCCCGATGTAGTGCCAGTGTACAAGAGCCTCGTTCACCACGCAGATCTAGTCCTGCCAAACCAGTTCGAAGCCGAGTGCGTCTCTTTCCCGTCATCGCTTCTCTGTTGCAATCACCCGGAAAACCCGCGCCTAATACCGCATCTAGACTCCTCTCCGATGTAGAAATAACCGACATGCCCTCGATCGCCCGGGCCATACAGGTCATGCATGAGCGTTACGGCATCCCGCACATCATCATCACGTCGGTCTCGCTGCCGCATCCGGACCACCCGGTTTCGTCGCTCTCGGTCGTGGGCTCGTCCATGACGTCGGACCGCCGCGCGCGCGCCTTCAAGATCGTCTTCCCCGCCATTGACTGCTACTTCTGCGGGACCGGCGACATGTTTGCCGCGCTGATGGTTGTGCGCATGCGCGAGGCTGTCCACAACGACTCGGGGGAGGGGCTGCTGACGAACAGGGAATCGTGGTTGAGTGATGACAGTGTCGACGCGCTGGACCTGCCGCTGGCGAGGGCCGCGGAGAAGGTGCTTGCTAGCATGCACGAGGTGCTGACCAAGACCGCCGAGACTATGGAGCGGACAGTGAAGAAGGCGGCGGCGGAGCTGGCGGCGGGAGCGGACGGGGCGGGGCCCGAGGCGGAAGAGAAGAAGCTGCACCTGTTGAAGAGCAAGGCAGCCGAGTTGAGACTGGTCAGGCATCTGGACAGTCTGAGGTTTCCCAAGGTGGAGTTTCGTGCGACGAAGCTTTGAAGGGAACAGCATAGCTGGACGGTGGGTTCGAGTTGGATGCATGTGCATGTGGCGGCCCGCATGATAGAGAGCGATAGACCGTGGGTTCTGGCAATAATACTGCCGATTGCATTGTTTCTAAGCTCCAGGCTGACCTGGCGCTCTTGATGTTCCATTTGTCAACTGGATTTTCTCTTATCCCAACGTCCTGTCCGAGTCCAAACCACCCGGAAGAAATGCTAATCAGGTTCAGTTGGTGCCAGCGCTCCCAAAGCCGCCCGTGCTCCCAAACCCCCCAGCCCCTCTCACGCTTGCCTCCAACTCCTCCACCTCGACTACCTCGGGCGTGTAGATCCTCTCAATAACAAGCTGTGCGATCCGATCCCCCTCCTTCACTTCAAAGTCTGTCTCGCCGTGGTTGAACAGCAGTATCTTGACCGGCCCCCTGTAGTCGGCGTCAATGACGCCCGCGCCTGTGTCGATGAAGTGCTTGGCTGCGAGGCCGGAACGAGGGGCGACGCGCCCGTCTACAGGATGCAGCGTTAGCCCTGTTGGAAGGATGTTGGGACAGAAAGAAGTCGAAGCCAATTGCAAGACTTACAAGTTCCCGCAGGGACAGCGATGCTAATATCCGTCTCAACCATAGCCTTGCCCCGCGCAGGGATGGTCGCGTCTTGCGAGGCGTACAGGTCATACCCTGCTGCAAACGCGCTGCCGCGGGTGGGCAGACGAGCCTTGTCTGAAAGCTTCTTGATGAGCAACGGAGGAGACTGCGGCTCCTGCTGTTGTTTGGCCGCGCCGTCCGACGAATTCATGGTTTCACTCTCGTTGGCTCTGTCGCCGATGTCCGTCTTGATGCGCTTTGCTGGGGGCGAGGTTGGGACAATGGGCTGGTTCGGGGTGCTGGTGGTATCGGTAGTCATGGCCTTGGTTGAAAAAGGGGTCTGTCCCGATCCGAGCTGTTTGTGCGTCTGTAGCCTAGGTTCACGTTGAGCTGGCGATTGGCGCAGAGAAAGGAACTTGGGGGCTTGGTGGTTCGTGCACGGGGTGACGCGACAGGACGCGTCGCGTAAAGTGAATGCTGCTGGTGATTGTGGATCCGCCCACCACGCCTCCGATTGGACAATAGCTAGGTCACTCTAAATCGAACACTCCTTGAGATGAATGATCCCGAGCCATTTGGCTTGCCCATATCGTACTTGCTTTGGCCGTGGATTCAGGCAGTGCCAGCGAAAAGAGAACCGCCATGACGGCTGAAACCCTGCAGGGCAACATGTCCAAGTGTAGGCTCCTTTTTCTGTGCACCTACTGCCAAGATGCCGGGTTTCTGCCTCATTTCCTTCTTGAGGCGAGCCGCCAAAATGCCATCTGATCCAGCACTGCGGGCCAGTGGCGGTGGGATGTTGCATGACTGTATGTTAGGCATGCACCCATGATACCATCCCTTCTCCTGAGATGCTCTAGTCGTCCAATTCCCGCCCAAAGTCAACGAGCCGCAACCTGCGCGCATCTTTGGGATGGAACACGGCGACCTTGGACCGGACAAGGAACCTTGCTGCCGCGGATTCTCTGGCAATCTCCACGTATGCCGCCGTGTTGTCCCCCGCGGCTTCTGTCAGCTTGTTCATGAGCTGCTCCGTGAGGTCGCGCATCTCAGCGCTTGCGGCTGATGCTTCGTCCCTGTCACGCTTCCTCTTATTTATTTGGGCCTGCTGGTCCTGAGGGCCCCAGATATCATCGATCCGTCTCTGACGTTTGTCCAGGTCTGGCTGATCTTTTGTCTTCTTCAATTTCCCATGTGCACTGAACCCGGCGCCCAGGTCGTCTGTGTCGATGTCCATCAGTTCCCCAACCACCGGGCCGCCCAACTCCTCCGCCGCCAACATAGGGCCGAGATGCTCGCTGATGAACCAGTCTAGGTGCTTCATCAGGCTCGCGGTCTGCTTGTCCCAGTGGTCTTTTTGCTGCCTTAACTCGGCTATGCGTTCCTTGGCCATCTGTTCCTCTGTCTTTTCTTGCCTGTTCTCGAGGCCTTCACTCAACGACTTGATTCGATTTTGCAGAGCAACCTCCAAGGTCTGCTGCTCACGCAAAGCGCTCCGTTCTGCCTCTATCTTTCGCTCCAGCTGCTCCATCAAGGTCGCATATGATTCAGTTGATTCATTGGTCTCTGCGATGGTCTGCTGCGTACGTCGCATAGCCAGCAGCGCTGGCAGGACTGACCCTGGTGGCGGCAGGAGCGGCGGTGCGTCTGTCATGCCCTGATATGCCTTCGCCATGGTCGCCAAGGAGTCTTTGGCCGAGAGTCCCGCCCTAGAGGCGGCGGCAGACAACCTCGCCTATTCAGAGATCTTAGTGTTTCATGCAGTTCTTGATGGCAGCTTATGGGACGCACCTGGTGCACAGCATCTTCGAGCTGCCTTTTCATTCTCTTAAGCTCCTGGACGGTGCGTTCAAGCTCCGCCTCATAAGGGCCAGAGACACTATGACGAACGGCTTCCATTGCCAGCGTGCAGAGGGCTACCCGGGATTTCTCGGTCGATGGCGCATGTCCTAAAGCCCAGCTGGAGCTGACGGAAGGATGGTGATCGGTAATCCACCAAAAGGACGATACTCAACCTCACAGCCTTGAGAACCACCTACCGCTGGCCCAATGTACTGCACGCCTACCTACGCGGTAAAACGACGCCAATCTGAGTTTGTATTGTACCACGGCCGTGGATCAAGAGGCTCAATGGGGGAGAATAGGGCGCATACTCGCGTTATTACTATTGTGACACATCAGTTACACAATAGTACCTAGTTGAATGGTAATAACGCGCCGCATCAACGCGTTGAATCAGGGCAGTACGGAATACGTACAACTTGGAAGTCACCAGGAGGGTTGTGGAACGGTGGAACCAGATCGGTGCAACTTGCAAGAGAGATTGGATCGCCTATTGGCTTGCCTCGTTGCTGCCTGGTCTGTGCACATCTGCATAGAGGAGGGTCCACCCCGAGAAGGCTGCACCTTCGCTCCTCTTTCCTGCGGTTTCATCCGTCGACTTCCTCTTCTCACCTTCCAACACACCCTGAGACGCCCTTTCCCATCGAGTCCCTGACTTCGATTCTTCCCCTCAGATCTTACTGAAAAGAAGAAGGACCGATATCCTGCGCCGGCAGGTCTTCCTCACGAAGATTTGTCGCCCTCTTTTGATTCCTCAGATTCGCCACCTGGCCCAACATTCAGCTTCTCCATACAACATCGGCGCCCCTGAGGTTTCTCGCAGCGCGACGAGCATCGCAGCACGCAGCGCCCCGCTACTCATCAACTAACGGGTCATCTATTCTCGAGAAAGCTACGAAGCTGGTGCGCGCATCCGGCCGCGTGGAAGGAAAAGAAGCAGCTCGTGCTGGTTGACAGGCAAAGGTTTGAGTTACCTGCGTGCATCTAGCCTTCACTTCAGCGCCCTCCTGCTTCGCACTCATCTCTCAGTTGCAATTTTTGCAGCTTAACACAATACATCGCCCGACACACCACCACGTCTCCTCTCCTTCTCTACCTCTCTCAGCCTACAGCCCTCGCCTACCGCGCCTCTCCTGCGACATCGGGCGGGATTTGAAGAGGTCTACAGTCACTACACGCCCTAGAGCACAGCGTTTCCGTGTCTTCGACCATCACTGCCCCGTTTTCTTGGTCCGAAACCCTCACTTCGACCTACCTGAAGCTCAATAGCCACGCCCGACTCAGACAAGTTCACCCACCCTGCCCGACCCAGCCCTACACCAGCACGTTTTCCTTCGAAAACCCCCAAGGTGTAAATAACTGCGATACTTCAATTGAGAGCATCGAGTGTCCCAACGACTGGGCCAACACCCCTCCCGCTCCCGAAGTGAAACTTTCCAGCAATCTAACTCAAGATGTCGACCTCGCCGCAACCAACACAGTCCGCTAAGCGTCCGCTCGAAGAGACCTCATCTCCGTCTGTGGCAGACCAACCCGAGGCCAAGCGACCGGCCCTCGACAAGGTTATCAAGGATCAGCAGGAGATTGCCGAGCCAATCGCTGCGAGCAATGGCAATGACTCTACTGTTCCGGCCGCAGCCCCGGAAGCGAACGGCGCTGCAAAGCCCAACGGGGAGAAGTCGGACGTTAAGGACGCGCAAGGCGATACGGTCGTCCCTGATGCGCCTGAAACCAAACCTATCACCAGCACAGCCAGTGGAAGTACCTCCCAAGAGCAATCGAACCCTCCCCAAGCGGCCCACGACGAGACCGCGTGGATCCACGTACGCGCCGTGATCTCGAGTCCCGAGGCCGCGACCATAATCGGCAAAGGGGGCGAAAACGTATCCAAGATCAGGCAGATGTCCGGTGCCAAGTGCACCGTTAGTGACTACCAAAAGGGCGCCGTGGAACGCATCCTCACTGTGAGCGGCATCGTCGATGCTGTTGCAAAGGTACGAACGGCCCTGACTCTCCTCATCCCTAGAGGCCATTGTCAAGCTAACCTACATCAGGCTTTTGGTCTGATCATCCGGACGCTCAACAACGAGCCCCTGACCGAGCCGTCGAGCCAGCATTCCAAGACATATCCCCTTCGGTTGCTGATCCCTCACATATTGATTGGCTCCATCATCGGCAAGGGCGGCGCTCGGATCAAGGAGATCCAGGAAGCGTCTGGCGCACGCCTGAATGCGTCCGACTCCTGCCTCCCGTTGTCTACCGAGCGTTCGTTGGTAGTGATGGGCGTGGCTGATGCTGTTCACATTGCAACTTACTACGTCGGCAGCACACTGCTCCAGCAGCTCAACGAGCGTTTCGGAGGGGCCGCAGCCTCTGCCTATGCGACCCGGAGCGGCGGCCCAGCTGGTGCCGTCCCGGGCGGAATGCAGGTGATCCCCTACAACCCTCAGCCTGCCTCCGGTAACTACGGCAATCGCGACCACTACCACCGCGGTCGTCCAGATCCCCGAGCACACCCAATGCCGCCGCAGTCGTATGTGCCGCAGTACGGCCACCCCCATGCCACTCACCCGACTGCTGCCGTTCCGATGCCGTACGGCGCACATGCTGCTGCCGGCTACCCAGCGGGCCCGCACGTAGGGCCGCACCCTGCCGGCCCAGCCGGACCACATGCTCATCCTGCCCCCCACGGAGCGCCCCTTCCGGGCGGCGCAGCCATTCCCGGAGCTCCGCTTACCCAGCAGATCTACATTCCCAACGACATGGTCGGCGCCATCATCGGGAAGGGCGGCCAGAAGATCAACGAGATCCGGCAGATCAGTGGCAGCGTGATTAAGATTAATGAACCACAGGACAACAGCAACGAGCGTCTCGTTACGATCACTGGCACGGAGGAATGCAACAGGATGGCGCTCTACATGCTCTACTCTCGGCTCGGTAAGCTCCGGGAGCAGCACAGCCACCAGTCTCAATCCCAACAGCACTAATATGAGAATTCACAAACAGAAAGCGAGAAACACCGGATCTAGACATATGCGCGGCGGACTCGATTCTCGTATCACTTTATTTTCGTATCCCTCGACGGTTCGATGGCGTTGGGGTGGGTCTTGGAGGTGGAGGCAGAAAATCCCATTGTATCTCTTTATGTTCTCTGCCCAGATCAGGTTGACGAGCGGTATTCCGGGCCATGGCGCTCAGTCCGAAAGGCCCTTTAATGACTGGTTCTACTTCTGCACCTTTGCCAACTTCCTTTGTCCTTTCCCGTGATGTCTTGCCCTGCCTGGAGTTGATTGGACCCCAGCCTTGTCGCTACCATGTCCTCATAATGCTGTTCAATCCCCCTCTGGCTCCTTCGCTGGACTGTTCACGGCACTCACTGCTGTTTCGACTAAGCCGTCTCAATTGTTGCAATGCTTCCAGACATTACGTCTCATCGGATGTTACACGGGGGCTAACCAGGTTGCAGTCAGACTGTCATCAAGGACGAGAAACCCTCGGGAATCATGATTGCCCGGTGCGACGATGGTATAAGCTAACAGCGAATCAGGTACGTAGATGATGATTCAGTCTGCTAACAGATTGTCGTGTGTGAAGGGTAACAGCAACGGAAAGAGGACAAACCGCCGTAAACCTTGATGAAGCCCAATCTGTACCAGTTACACAGTCTCCGACATGGTATGGTCTGAACCGAGTCTCAACATGTCTCCCGCTAACTCCAATGCTAACAGAACGCCAATCTCAAATCTCCATTCCACAGATCCAATCACAACGGTGATTCGTGTTCGCTTGGTATGCTGTCGTGACTTTGGTTTTGGGATTGCTTCTTTGTCATGCTATGTCCTATTTGCCGCCGCGCACCCAACTGAGCTCCCAAGATCATGTGTCAGCTATCCTTGCCTACTAGGAGTGATACGTAGGTTCGTAAGGGGAAGGGGACGGAGAAACCAGAAGAGGAGAAGAACATGTGTGTTGTGAAGACATTACCTGTTCCAGAACTGTGCGACCACGCCGCCCACAGGCCGCTGCTCGTTCAAGCTCTGACGGCGGGCGATGGAAACGGGGTCGTCTTTGCGCTTTTGGGCCTGCAGAGTCTCGAAGAGCGCATGGGAGGACTGTTTGGCAGCGGGCTGTTAGTCACTTGTTGTAGCTTGAGATGATAAAAGGACATTTTGATGCCCGGGAGAGGCGCATTGGCATGGATGAGGGAACAGAGCGTTGTTACCCGGCGATACGGCGGCGCTGTGGTGGTGCTTGTCGTCGACGTGGTCGACGAGACCGACTCCTTCCTGCCGGCGCGATACTCAGTTCCCGAAGGCACGTTGTCAGCCATGGTGTGTATGTTGTCCGGGTGAAGTTCGATGGCTTGAGATTGATGTCGCTGTCTGATAGTAGGCGACGTATGTAAGTCTCTTGGGAAAGTTATTGGTACTTTAGGTACGAATAGGTTTCTCTCCGGTTGACCAGCAAGAACGGACTCGAGGGTGGTCTGATGACATGTCGAGAGGAGCGGGGTTTATGTGTTGGGACAAAGGGGGGCGGCTGCTTGAGAGCCCAGATCCCGACTTGCTGCACTTACACGGTATAGCGACAACGCCGTATACGTCCCGGCTTCACCGAGAGGATTGGGCGCACGAGAGCTAAGCCGGGATGGTGGTTCACTGCATGGAAGCAGGAGACTATGACGGTTCACCACGCCAATAGAACCGCTCGGACTAGTATCACGATGATCTATACCTGCATAGTGCATTTCCTGAGAGCACATCGACTGTGCGGGGAGAGGGGATCCTGTAAGTTGCTCTGTCTAGCAGATACATGTCTTCTCTGGACAGGTACCTCACTGCCCGGCGAGAGCTTCCATGTAGCTGCTGCGGATGTATTGGACACGGTACAAGTACACTCCAGGTAGTGCTCAGCAAGATCTACATCACATACCTCAGGTTACATATCAGAGGTCGGAGCCCGATTTCAACCCCGCACGCCACTGGAAGTTGGGGAGCCAGATCGAGAAGGACAAAGCGTGCTCAGCATGCAAGCAACATCCTGCTACCCTACGGTAAGCTCGATGGACGCAACGTGTCTCGGAATGGACGGCCTCTAACCAAGTCTTGGAAGGATGTCTCATCGGAAGCAGGGAGCAGTTGCTCCTGGATGGGCATCGGCTGGCTCCTCGTGATTCTCTACCCGCATTTCGATTGTGTTGTTGCTCCTATACTTCACGGGACAGTTTTACCTGGGGTGTTGAGTCAGTTGGCAGGGCTGAATACAAACCTCACTACAGGTACGAAGTGCTGTGTGGATTCTCACTCAAGGTGAGCATTTGTGACGTCATCACTGAGGTCTCCCGATTCGAGTGGGAATTACACCAGAGGTTGATTGATACGTCGTAATAATAAGCGTCACTGGCCTTTTGGTGTCTGAGTTGTTCAGTAGAGCAAATCACTGTCAACCCCGCTGCTTCTTTATACACAGGGGCAATAACCGAAGCAAATGCAGGTATGGATGCATTGCAGCAACAGTTGCGCGCAGTCATGTTCAGGTCTGTTGCATACCTTACGTGTTAGGCAAGTGGAAGTGGAGATTCGCATCCCGGCAGAGCGTGACCAGACTGCCCCAGATAGATCCAACCGACCGAAGTATAATAGACACTTGTGGTACGCATATAGCAGCATCCGGTCATCCTCGAGCGCATTGGCTTTCTCTAGTATCCGCTGGTGGTCAAATATTACCCAATCTAGGAGAGTGAGACCACAATGGATGCTTTCTGCTATGCAGGGTGCGCAGGGCGAGCCCCTCTCCCGGTCTGCCGTGGATTTCAGCAGGCAGCCACCGCGAGTGCGTTATGCTCGTGACATCGCGGGGAACAGAAAGTTGCGGCACCTCGCATGGCAACTCCCAAAATTTCGTCTCGACATATCCAGCAATGAGTAGGAAGGCAGGAGACGCTGAGAATACGTTCAAGATGGCAGCCAACAAATGGTTTACTATGCTTGGTGAGGTCATGAACTGCAGATCCAGTTGTTTCCATTATTCGTCGCTCTAACATTCCGGCAGAGAACAACCCGGAGGTGATGAACGCCCTGGCGAAGAAACTGGGCCTCTCGGATGAGCTGACATTTTACGATGTCATCTCGCTCGATGACCCGGACCTGCTGGACTACATCCCGCGCCCAGTCTATGCCTTGCTCACCATCGTCCCGATGACGCCGGCATGGCAGCGGGACCGCGACCTGGAGGATGAGAAACTCGGCGACCCCAACAGCTATTACCATGGCGGAGCGGCCGGTGCCGGAGCAGACGAGCCCATCATCTGGTTCAAGCAGATCATTCGGGACGCTTGCGGCTCCTACGGGTTCCTGCACTGCGCCATCAACGGGCCGACCTCAAAGTTCATCCTGCCCGGAAGCACGCTCGAGCAGTTGCGCAACGATGCGATTCCGCTGGCCAACGACGAGAGGGCCCAGATGCTCTACGACAGCAAGCCCTTCGAGGAGGCCCATAAGTCCGTCGCTGGCCTGGGAGACACGGCCGAGCCGGCAATCGGCAGCCGCGAGCACCGCGGCCACTTCATCGCCTATGTCAAAGCCAACGGGCATCTATGTAAGCACCAGTCTAGGTTTCTTGTTTTCCTTGATTCTATCCAAATGCAGCGATTCGGCTGACACTGTGGGCAGGGGAGCTGGAGGGGAGCCGTCATGGGCCGCTGGACCGAGGCGAGCTTGCAGAGGATGAGGATGTGTTGAGTCCAAAGGCGCTGGAGCTTGGCCTGAAGCGCATCATCAAGCTGGAGGAGGATCCTGACAAGCAGGCCGTCCGCTTCAGTTGCATAGCCCTTGCGCCGAAGGTTGAATGAGACTCGAAGCTCCGGTAGGAACTCGCCGATGTGCTCCAACTGAATAACAAATCAATGGCCTGTCGAGCTGCGGAGTGGACAACTCATAGGGAGCGAGCATCTTGATCAACTTCGGCGGAAGAGCGAGATCGAGGGCCCGAGACACGCCAGATCCAGCTACTTCGGAAACCGCGCTTAGTTGTTGGGAATGTATTCTTGTGCTTTTTCAAATGACCGCCGGACCGATGCAAAGATGTGCGTTGCTTGGGTAAGGTCCTCACTGGGGGGAATCCATTCAACACAGAGTTCTATACTCGCGAACCCACCCAACCACTCACGTCATTCAGATACACTGACCATGGAAATACCTGGGACTTGGATCGGATCGCTCGATCGGCCGGTCAATGGCATGTGATGCGCGCCTTTTGCTGGTTGACAGGGTCGTGATCTGCTCGCGCATTCCAGCTGTCCCCGGAGGGATGAGGCGAACCCTGAAACAGTACTCGGCTCGACTGCTCCCTCCTCGCAGTTTGTATAACGGTTATTGCACCGCGCTTCCCGGGTTCATAGGCATGTATTCGCAGTGGAACCGCCCTTTCTCCAGTTTCAAGTTTGGTCAAGAGCGCCGAGAGTAGCTCCGATGCATAGCAGCGACAGGCGGGTGGATGATGATTGTTTCGACGCGTTCTACACAGTCGCCGGGCCGACTGCTGCAGCCGCTGATGTTCCGAGTTCAAGAAGGCTCGGGTATATAAATCGGGAGCGTATCGCCTCTGTTGAAGCTCGGGTCCTATCATCATCCTCACCCACGCTCAGGGCACGACTTTCTCAGTACCAACCCCCCGCGCCAACAACGACCACAATACGCAAACATGAAGGTCCACACTCTCGGTCTCGTCTGCATCATCGGCAGCGCCCTTGCCGTCCCCGTTCTCAATGGACAGACGCAGCACTCCCAACAGGTCCACGCTCAGCAGGCTGAGCAGGAACCTCCGGCCCCCATCGTTTCGGACGTGCCCGTTACTTGCCCTTTCGAGGAGGAGGACGGCGATGAGGAAATGGACCCTGAGAAGGAAATGGACCCTGAGAGGGTGATGATGGTGGCGGGCCATGGCCAGATGCGCCGCGCTTTGAACATCCTGTCTGCTCATGTCGACACGAATGCTTTCCAGGACGTGGTGAACCAGGTTCAGGAGCAGGTCCAGCAGATTGGTAAGCCTTTTCTGGCCGATCTCCGTTGACAAACCGCAGCCAGTCTCACATGCTTCCCAGAACAACTCATCCACGAGAAGGGCTCCGACAGCGATGCCCTCATGCAGGCGCTTGTCGACCCCATGTCCCGCCTCAACCAGACGCTTGCCGTCGGTGTCAGCCGCCTCGCGCTGCCCATCCCCGACCTCGGCGGCATCGTCGGTGGCGTTGGCGGCTCCGCCTCCCAGCCGGCGCCTCCTCTGCTTGTGCTGGTCGAGCTGCTCCGGGCCGTCTCCAACCTGCTCGAGAACCTGCTCAGCGGTAACCCAATCGCCGACCTCCTCGGCGACGTGCTTGGCGGCATTGGCGGCGCCGTCGGTGACGTTCTCGGCGACGACTATGCGGCCCAGATCGAGGCCCTCATCGACTCCATCCTCGGCTCCATTGCGTCCCTCCTGCCGGGTGCTGGCGGTGCCGTGCCTACTCCCGTCCCCTTGATCCCAGTTCCGCTTCCTTCAGTTCCAGTCCCTTCAGTTCCGGTCCCTTCAATTCCGGTTCCCGAAGTCCCCTTCCCCGAAGTTTCAGTCCCCTCGGTTCCGGTCCCCGAGCACTCAGTTCCCCCGGTTCCGGAACCCACAGTTCCCGTTCCCGTTCCCGTTCCCGAAATCCCCGCCCCCGTCCCCGACATCTCAGCTCCCGGAGTCCCCGTTCCGTCAGTTCCTCCCGTGCCTACCGACATCTTTGCCTAGGCGATTCAGGGTTGAAATTGGTTTGGTAGACACTGGCAATGGTCTGGGGGGAAGGAGGCATATGAAGCTAGAAATGTAATCTGGAGGGCGGTGTGGTGGGGATTCTGTTGCTGGAAGTTGAGATTGGAAGTAGAAAACTTGAAAAATGCTGTTGGGAATATCCAGACGCTTTTATTTAGTTGCAAATGATTACCCAGGTGTTAAGGGCCCCAACTCAGACCGCCATCCATCGTATTCTAGAAACTATGATGTGAGTACCGCTTGAATCATCGCATATCAACGACTCTCAAATGCGCTGTATCTCCAGAACGGAACACAGTTACGTACTCGACGAATACTGAAGTTGCATTCTAGTCATACGGATTTGCTTCTATATTGGTACTCTAATTATATCCATTCAGCAAAGATGTAGTAGCTGCCGACATCTTTCCAACCACAATTAAAGTATTACCACTTGTCCTCAGCTTTCTACTTCTGGGTCCTTCCACCCGGTCCTCTTCGCAAACCATCTCACCGCATACACCAGCCCCAACAGCACGGGCACCTCGATAAGCGGCCCCACTGTCGCGGCCAGCGCCTGGTCCGAGTGCGGGCCAAACGCGGCGACGGCCACGGCGATGGCCAGCTCAAAGTTGTTGCTCGCGGCGGTAAAGCTCTGCGTGACGGCATAGCCGTAGCGGAAGCCCATCTTCCGAGCCAGCACCAGCGTGGCGAAAAAGATCAGCGCAAAGTACACCACCAGCGGCGCGGCGACGCGCACGACCGACACGATCTGGTGCACCACCTGCTTCCCCTGCGAGGCGAACAGCACCAGGATGGTGAACAGCAGGCCGATCAGCGACCACGGCGCCGCGAAGCGGACGAAGTGCGTCCGGTACCGGTCCGGCCCGAGCAGCGGCAGCAGCACGAGGCGGGTGAGCATGGCCGCGCCCAGCGGGATGCCCAAGAACACGCCGACCGACGTGGCCACGGTCGCGTAGGAGATGTCTTGCATGGCCTGCCGCGCGTGCGGGTTGAAGACGCGGAGGAAGAGCAGCGAGAGGGGGGCGAACAGGACGATCTGCAGGAGCGAGTTGACGGCAACCAGGATGGCGCAGTAGTCACCGTGGCCTCGGGCCAGACTGTTCCAGATCAGAACCATGGCGATGCACCGCGCGATGCCGACCAGGATGAGGCCCTCGCGGAGGCCCTGTTGGTCGGGGAGAAAAGCCCAGGCCAGGCCGAGCTATGGTGTGATGGTCGTCAGCACCTTGGGAAAAAGGTCGATGGCATAGAGAGAGAAAAGAAAAAGACAAAGGGCTGGCAAAAGGGGGGTGGGTGACCGTTGCTTACCATGACAAGCGGCGCAATGATCCAGTTTACGATGATGCTGAACCCCAGCTGAACCCAGACTTCTCTCGTCCTGAACACTTCATGCAGCTTCTCGTACTGCACCTTGCAGAGAATGGGATACATCATGACCAGCAGACCAATTGCTAGAAAGCCCACGTTAGCATTTGTTTTAGTACTATTAGGAGGCGTGTAAACACGCTTGGGACGGGCGAGGCTATATAGAGTATATACCAATGGGCAAAGACACCCCCACGAAATTCCCCCGTTGTAGTGCCGGCTGAACATCGTCGACGAAGTTGCCCAGGAGGATGCCGATGAGCATAGCCAGGAATATCCACGCGGCCAGGAAGCGGTCGAGGAAGCCGAGGGAGCTGAAGGCCGAGAGCCTGGATTGCGATGGCTCGCAACACGGCGCATGTTGAGGTGGAGGTTCCTGCTTCTCCACGTCACTGGCCGTAGCTTGCGCATCTGTAGAGGAGGTCTTGTCCGCAGTCTTCGTGTCGGCAACTGCTGAGGGGTGACCGCGGTCCATGGCTGCCATTGTTTACGACCCCTGAAGGATTCAGGAGCGTAAGTGTGTAAGTACTACTAGTACTATGTAAGTGAGTTTCTGGCCGTGTGAGCCAAACTAGACAGAGAACGAAAACAATAACACGAAGAACGGACAGGTTTTGAGAGATACTCATATATTTTCAAAATTTGTTTTAAAACTAACTTGCCCCTAGGAAGCGACTATCTGGTATTCTCTCCCACGTTCTGAGTTTTGAGCGTAGAATTCGCCAGACTATCAGCCTTAAGGGTGGACTGCCGAGGTAGGCCGGCCAATCAGCGCAAGGCAGTGACATTCCGCCTAGAAATGTCCCGTGTTGACTTCCAATTTTCTGTACCCAAGCAGCGTTGTCGGATGACAGACCGAGAAGCTCGCAAAGGAGTCCGAAGCCAGAAACGCCTAGGAAATAAGGCAGGTACGAGATGCGTCGGATTTCAAGACTTGTCCCTTTGTTCTGTGCATTAGCATCGAGCATAGAAGAATGATCGCTGGCAGTGGACGGAGCGGTGTATTTGTGAGGGAGAACCACCATCCAAGTCAACCTGGAGGTTAGTCAACCAGGCTCCCCCGCCTTACCATACAGCCGGGTGAAGGGCATGATGAGCGGTCAGCTCCTCGACAGTGAATGTGCCTATTGAATATCGATCATCGACAGGGCCGATCTGCAGCTAAGCTTTATGTGACCGGATGACGCGGCATCCCAATGCAAACCCATTAGGTACGATTGAATGCGGACAAACAAGAGATAACTGATTCCGTGACCTGAAGGCGCATCCGTGGGAAGTGACAAAACGGTTGAATCTGCCCACCTTGAGCCATCTCAGCTCACGAGGATCGGCAGGATCGCGAGGACGTGACGAGGCTGCATCACAGACGGCTTGATGCAGTGATTGATTGTGACACAAAGAATGCCGTGTAGGCCTAGACTCGTTTGAGTGGCGAGAGGCGGACTTCCCCATACCGGCCAGGACTGGAGCTGCCCGCCACGCGTGGAGAGTGTAGAGACCCTCTAGGTGTGCAACATTATCGTCAGCTCTCGACTGTGGCGTCTGCCAGCACATCGCGCAGCAGTTTCAGCTGCAGAAACGCGTAATGAACCAGAAGATCTTGCGCCATTGTGACACCAACGTCGGAGATCCCCTAGCGGGCGGAAGTGTTGGTGATTTGGGGGGAGCGGGGTGGGGGTGAAACTGGTACTGGGGCGCTTCAGAGCCGTCGCCCACTAGCTATCGGTAGTTGATCGCGTTGTTCGGAATATTTTGACACGCCCTGGCGGCTGATGTTGGAGTTGGTTGGACAATGGGAGGATCGTATGATGTTCTCCAACATACTAGAACCGTAGGTCCTCCGGACTGTGGTATAGTAGGGTGCTGCCCGTAGGTTACATTGTAATGGCTGTTGGATCTGGATCACTTGGTCCATCCTCGGCATTATAATCCGTCTGTTAATTGACGCTTTGCGTCATAGGTATCCGTATCTCAATGCTTTTCGTCGCTATGAATGAGAAAGGCGTATCCGTTTAGCGCCTATGCTCTCGGAGTTGTGCTTGCGCACTGGATGTTCAGCTCGACTGGGTCGATAATGGCATCGAATTTTCACTAACCGAAAAGGGCATAGCCAGGTGTTGTTCTATCATTTTCTACATACACAGTTGGTAGCCCTTCCTTGGCTTCGACCGGAACTTCTGTAATTTTGCACCGGTGTGGACAAATTTCGGGACTGCCTACCTACCTAGGTGTCAGCCGGTGCGAATGAACTGTACACAGTAGATCAGGTATTCACCTTAATAAGCTTCCATCTGTGAACGACAATGGCTCATAATGTTTCTGCTAAGATCATGATGGAACGGTCTCCTTGGCGCCTATTTAGACTTCCAAGGCACAACCCCCCTTTTACCGCCGAGAGGCCGTATTCCCGGCGTCCCAATACGTGTAATGGTTGATTTCCCGATCGGAATCACCCGTTCATCCCGCATTTTCTTCAATGCATGCAAGGCGAGCAGGCCGCGACTTTGTTCCAAGCACCATCCCAGGTCCTTGTGCTTTTTTTCCCCCTTTCAGGCATTGCAGACCCCAACTGTCCAATAAATGAACTCACAGATGCGAGTGATCGCATTGACTCCGCGGTCTGTCTGTACAATACATATATTACATATATACTAACACAGCCAACAAAAGTAAGCTGCCCTATGATCGACGACGCCCCTTGACTGCAAGGGCCGCGCTGCCACCGCTCGGCCTTGCCCGCCCCGTCCTACACTAGTGCTGTCAAAACTATCAACAGCCAAGACAGAAGTGTCAGCGCGTCTTGTTGACGATCTCCACCTGCCGCGCGCGGCGAGTCCAGAAGGCGAGGCCTGGGGCCACTTGATGAATGGGGCCTCATATGGAGTTCACTTTGACTGCCCCAGATAGTTATTAGTTAAACTTGCATCGTGCCAACTCTTTTGAGTGATTCGAATCTCCACGTTCACAACATAGATTTGCGTGATCTGAAAGTGCTGCCTTTTTTGCCTTTTTTTTTTTTGGCTCTTACACGCCCGCTCAGCACATCATCATATCATCAGATTGTTATTAGTTCCGCCAGGGTTTCCGCTGCCAAAAAAAATGCTTTGAAGCGTGGATCAAGGCCCAGCGTCGCAGCACAGAGGGGGGGAATTCCTTGATTGCTGCCAACACTCCGGCAGAGGCGGCAGGGCACAGCACCCACTAGTTACTCCCTACAGCAGCACATTAACTACTAAACACCGTGGACCCCTGTCTCCCTCTGCTGACGTTTTAACCTGCTTCGCCTTCCACCCAACAGGCGGTGCCGGCACCGTGACGAACCAGCGCCAACCACGACGACCGGCCGCTGCGTTGTGAAGAGGCTTGTTGGGCGACTATTGCTGCCTCGGCCATGAGATGACCGTCTTCACTGCTGCGGTGGCCTCTCCGGTCGCTGATTCCGGTACGCTATTGCCTCTCCCCGGCTCGCACTCGACGCCGGATTTGTTAGCTGCAGCCAGTCGTGCTCAGCCCAACCCCCCGCCTCCCATCTCCAATAATGCGGCCCCGGTCGGTCAACACCCGAGCGTGAAGAGCCTACCGCTTCCGCCGAGCCTGGAGGATTTTGACATCCCCTCTTTCGATTTCGGCGGCGGCGAGTTCGAGAAATCATTCAGCGTCACGACCGCAATTGAGACGCTTTCCCAGAGACCAGCCACTGCGACGGAGAGGCCGGTGCTACAGATCGGGTTCGAGAACGGCGACAGGGACAAGGGCGGGAAAGCAGCCGGTTCCAAAGCCGTTGCCGGCCACAACCGCACGAGGAGCAGATCAATGGTTGACCGTCCGCTCTCCTGGCTGCCGAGTTCAAAATTAAGACCCAACAACGTCCGGACCAAGCAGGAGCACCAATCCAGGAGGTTGGTCAAGCAGAATGTAGCCGGGGTGTTAGGAAGCATCGACCCCGGGAAATCCGTGGACGGGCCGAGGGCGGTCGAGTCCTTTGCTGATTTCGCGAAGCGATCCTGGATCTCCAAGTCCAGGACTCCCTCACCGACCAAAATTTCCGAGAAACCGCGAAGCGCTAGTTGCCCGTTTCCCGACGAGATACCTGTGACGAACAAGACCAAGGCAACGCCGGGATTCCAGGCCCGAGGCAGTGCCACGGGTGCTGCCGAGCCGCCGAGCAGCACGAGCCGCGCCTTGAATCGTGCAAGTGTATACCTGACGAGGATAAAGCAGAAGCCCCAGAACGTGTTCTCAAGAAACTCCTCTTCGGTCCCCGTTAAGGCGTACATGGGTGGTAACTCTGCGGCAACAAGCGACCCCGACTGCGGCCTCTCCTCGTCCTCGACGACGCCGCCTATCAGCGCCCGTGTCTCGCCAGCGGTGACGAAGAATGCTTCATACAATAGTGTGAGCTCAGCCACGTCACGAGCCTCGTCTGTCGACACGGAGTTGGACACCGATGCCACAACGGCCAGCAGCACGTCTGAGAACGTTTCCCAGTCCACGGCCGAAACGAGTGTGACGATGCCGCATCCGACTTCGCGTGACCCGCTCTGGGCCACGTTCCGAACGCTCGACGCCGAATTCGCCAAGTTCGCCGCAAAAGGCTCGACAGCGGGGAGGATGAGCGCGATCAGGTCCATCCTGGTGCCTTTTCTGCAGAGCACGGCGTACCACCCCTCCAATTCGAAGCGGTCCATCTTGAGCGCAGAGGACATCGATCGCAGGGCGACCATCCTGAATAAGTGGTGGAACGGTCTCCTGGGAATGCTGGCCGGCGCAAACTCGAGGCTGCCGCCCGGGCTTGGCCAGGGCATCGACTCGCTAGGCATTCCCTTCCCGGTTCTGCAGCCCGTCGCCGGCGTGGACAGGCCGACATTGCTCGAGGCAACCACCATGATCATGATGCGGCCGGAGTGGAGGGTGTGTACCAGTTCGTTCCGGCCCTTGGCCGATCGGTGTCCCGAGGAAAAGGTCCGGCCGCGGTCGGGAACACACTCGACCGTGACCAGCGATGCAGACCCGGATTTCCTGCTCGCGGAGTCGGCCGAGCACAATGTCCGCACCATGTTTGTCAACAATCTCACCACCCAGATGGCGCTGGCTGTCGACAAGCTGTCGCTGCGGCACGCCCCGCTGAGTCTGGTCAATTGGTGTGGCAAGGCGTGCGCCTATGCCTTCTTCTTCGTGCCGGGCATTTCGGATGTCCTTGTTCGCCTCTGGGGCCTCAACGCAGACCTTCTGCGCAGGATCGCAGACGAGTTCGGGCTCCCGAGAAGAAGCAAGGGTGAGAGCGACGACATTGTCGCGCTCTTCCCGCCGCATCTGCACAAGCTGGGCTGGTCGTCGGTCAAATCCCTCGCGGACAAGCTGCGGGTCGCCGCGAAGCTCCCTCTGCTGCTCGCCAAGATCCACTGGCATGGGCCCTGGGTGTCGCGGTGGCGAGGCGGAAACACGGACCTGGTCTTCATCTTCTGCAAGTACTTTTACATTCTTGCCGAGGATTTCATGCCACCAGGCCTCCCGCTGGTCGAAAAGGCACGGGCCCCGGCGTTTGTCCTGGTTCACGCGCAGCTCTTGTCCATCTTGGACAGCACCATCCACCGGCAGGCCTCGCTTGAGGCTATGCTTGGACCGCCGCTTTCTGACGCCCTCCGTGGCGCGGATGCCGCGCTGCCGGCGCCGCAGCTCCCGAGTAACCTCCTGAAAGGGATGGACGAGAATCGGCTGGTCGTCTTGCTCAAAGACATGCTAGGAGAGAGCTCCTTTGGCGTCGCGCCTGAGATTCAGCATACTTTCGCCGAGGCGTTTGTGGCCGTTTCCAAGGCCGCCACGAAGCGGACACCGCGTTTCGAACACGCTTCATGCTTTATGCTGTGCGACTTCCTGGAGGAAGCACTCGTCGCGCTCAATACGTTTCAGAACACCGTCAACACGAGCATCGCAACGTCGCCGATGGAGGGGAATGCAGCGTCTCACTATTTCGAATACAGCCCCTCCCGAGCCGCGAACTACGTCGACTGGTCGTTCTGGCTCGACGTCGGCAAGATGATCATGGAGTCTAATAATACCATGTCCGAGATCCGTATTCTGTCCTTCATTTTCTCCATCTGGGACGTCATCACGGCGGATCCTTCCCGCAAGGAGGCGCTTTGCCTGGGATGGCTGTTGTCGGAGGAAGTATTTGCGAGATTCTTCAACCACTGGTGTCCAATGGTCCGCGCCTACTACATGCGCTTGCTCTGCTGGCGGATTTGCAGGGACTCGGGCAGCGCCAACGAGGTGGATATGTAAGGCTGACCCCCCTTCCCAATTACCCATCTGAACCCCTAAGCTGACAAACGGTCAATAGCAAAATCTTCCTTGTTGCGTCTCAGCGGCTGAAGACGGTCTGGTCGCACTATCTCTGGCTCAAGCAAGACGCTGAGAGCAAGGGACGTCTTCTTCCGTCGACAGCACCCTCGCATCCGGCGCCAGGCAAGCGCTTCTTGATCATCCGGACCGAGGTCCAGCAGCCGCAGCACTCCCTCAAGGTGGGGTTCGACTCGTTCTCCAGCGCGTTCCCCAGCCCGGACTCGCCGTCGGAGTTTGGTGCTCCCTTTGCGGAAAATGGCGACAGCGCACCCAACAGTAGCAAGACGGAGGGCAACTTGTCGTTCAAGAAGAGATGGTCCCTATTGGGCAAGGTGCTTCCGTTCACTACATCACAGGATAGCCCGACCTCGGACACGAAGCGTACTTGGGAAGAAGAGCTTGAGCAGGCTCGCCGTGATACAGCTCTGTCGCGACTAGCAGATCGCCGGGGTAGATCCAACCATGTTCTACCACTAGGACCGCCAACCCCGCCGAAACAGGGGCCTTCGACTGGGGTGAAGCCATCTTCGGACTCTGCCTCCTCCACCGGCTCCGCCCCGCTCTTCGACGCCGGAACCTATGTCTTCCGCTTCACTCTTACATGGCAGACAGGCCCCGGTGGCGTACCGATGCCGTGTGGGCCTACCCGTGACCGCATTCTAGCTCGACCTCGACTCCCGGCGCCCGCACAGGCAAGAGTGAGCGCCCGCTTCGCAAGCCCCCACACCGGTAATGCAAATGGAGCCCAGGCTTTCCGCAGCGACAGCCCGCCCCCTATCAGGCCCGGTCTTCCCCCAGAGACAAGAAGAGTCAGTGGGCTCTTGCAGACAGGGTTGATCAGTGAAGCACGGAACGCCAGACCCTTGACGGTTGACGACAACGAGCCGCGCAGATCGGCGACTGACAAGGAGGACGAATATCGGCCATCCTTGAGCATCGATATCCCGGCGAGTAGTCTGTTTGATGATGCGGAGAGCAAGAGCGATGATGGGCCAGGGATGGTGCAGTCGCCGGTCACAATGTCCGAATCCTCGAGAGACGACGCCGACCGGGGCCGGACGCTTGAGCAAGGCAAATCCCCGGCACCTCCCTCGGGCCCTGTCCAGGGCCTAACCATTCGCCCAGAACGGCCGTCTGGCGTTTACGCTGCTGGTGCTGTCTACGCGGGGCGAGCTCTGGCGGAGTGGAGCATCGTGGTCAGCGAGTGCAACAGTTTTGTTGACCGCCGGCGCGATGAGGGCGTCCTGGGACTGAACGATGTCGAGGTGCCGATTCTGAGTGTCGAGGGCCTTGGCCTCCGGGCACGAGGCTAGGCGCGGAACATGCACACAACCAACCTGACAACGATCCACAGCCGAAACGGCGGAGTCTTCTCAGGATTACCGCGACGCGATCTGTCTAAGGTATCCAAGCGTGTCAACATGCGCTACAAGCGTATATTTCCGGTCTTTGTGCTTTGACGGATTTTCTATTGGCTCGTATATACACACCATGTCAGCCACTTCAGCGTTTTTATTTGCACATATATTTCGTGGAGTTCATGGCTCGGGCTCTGGGGCGTTTTGGTTTCGGGGGCTTTTATCATTTAGACAGGGAGAGACTCGTTGGGTTGCAATTCCTTCGAAAACGTCTGGGTACGACGTCAAAATTCATCAGTCATGGTCTTTTGACTCGTACGGTTTGCTGGTATTGGCATGCGACATGTCCAACCTGGCTGTCTTAATCTTGGTGCTAATAAGGATGAGCGGGGGTACCGTATGTAACCTGATCCTAGTCTGTTTGCTTCATGTTAGGCTTCTTTTTTGGGGGCGGGGGGCGGGGGGGGGGAAGGGTATACCCGACCTTTGGGCATTGCATGTCTCTCGAATTAGACAGAGATCAGATTCAAGCTACAGATGACAAAAAGAAAGGAATAAGGGCTTAATACGACTGCCCTACCCAGCTATCTGGGGGTACTCTGTCTCCTTACCACTCACCGGCTTCTGTTGCAATGGCAACGAGGTGACTTGATCTAAAGGAACTGGCCGTCTTCATGCCAGTCGTCATTGTTTAACCGGACGATAGTATAAGTAAGCATCGAGCCTAGCCCCCTTCTAGCGTCACGCAAGAAGGTGCTCCGTTTCATTCCACGATGATAAATAGGTATTCAGACATGCCCTTTCATCACACAGGTTTGAGGACGAGGCAATGGCTGTGTTTTAAAGAGCCAAGTGCAAGATGCAAGTTCTATTCTTCTCGACCACCCCACGTCAATGTCGTGGGCCATCTATGTTCCGAGGAGACCTTCCATCCGAGGGTCTCCCTATATACCTAATGCATGCAGAATGCCAGACGCTCGAGCCGCTGAAGCCAGAACCCTTGATGTAAGACAAGACCGGAAAAGGAAAAAGCAGCGCCATGCCATCTATCGTTGACAGGTTTGTCTGTCCCAAGACGCCCCGAAACAAAAAAGAGAGAGATGCCTTGGATCAACCCTTTTTACCTCCCTTCCTTTTTTTTATACCCCGTTCGTCCCATTAGACCCGCCAACGCCGTTGCCCGCCGTCGCCGTCTCCGCAACCGCCTGCTCCAGCGCTTGGAGCACGTCCTTCTTCAGGTCCTCGGCGTCCTCAACGCCGCAGCTCATGCGCACCAGGTCGTCAAACACGCCGACCGCCTCGCGCTGGTCCCGCGGGATGCCCGCGTGCGTCATGCTGCTCGGCACCTCGCAGAGGCTCTCGACGCCGCCCAGCGACTCGGCCAGCGTGAAGATCTTGGTCAGCTGGCAGAAGCGCTCGGCTGCGGCGTGGCCCCCGCGGATGCGGAAGGAGAGCATGCCGCCGCCCATGCCGTTGCGGTGCTGCTTCTTGGCGATGGCCCGGTGCGGGTGCGAGTCCAGCCCGGGGTAGTTGACCGCGATGACGTGGGGACTGGCCTCGAGCGCGTGGGCGACGGCCGTGGCGTTGGTGGTGGCCTCGCGCGCGCGCAGGTGCAGCGTCTTGGCGCCGCGGTGGGCGAGCCACGAGTCGAAGGCCGAGGGGACGGCGCCGAGGGCGTTCTGCAGGAAGGAGAGCCGCTTGTGCAGCTCGTCGCTGTTGAAAGCCGCCACGCCCATGACCACGTCGCTGTGGCCGTTGATGTACTTGGTGACGCTGTGCACGACGATGTCGGCGCCGTGGTCCAGCGGGTTTTGAATGTAGGGGCTCATGAAGGTGTTGTCCACCACCACCATGATGCCGTGCTCGTGCGCCTGTGTCGCGACGGCGCGGATGTCGACGAGACGGAGCGTCGGGTTGCTGGGGGTCTCGATCCACACGAGCTTGGTCGATTCGGTGATGTGCTCCCGGATGTCAACCTCAATTTCGGGCGTGAAGGTCACCTTGACGCCGTGGGCCTTGGCCACCTGGGTGAAGTAGCGGTGGGTGCCGCCATAGACGTCCGAGACGGAAATGACGTGCGAGCCAGCGGCCAAGGACTGCAGGATCACGGTAGTGGCGGCGCTGCCGGAGGAGAAGGCGAGCGCGTACTTGGCATGCTCGAGAGCAGCCACCATGGTCTCGAAGTTGTTCCGGTTGGGGTTGCTGCTCCGGCTGTACTCGTACTCGCCCACGGGCTTTCCGACGGCCGTCTGGGCGAACGTGGTTGATAGCGAGATGGCCTCAATCACGGCGCCCGTGGAGGGGTCGTGCGGGGACCCCGCATGCACCGCCAGAGTGCCGAAGCCATGCACCGGCGACGGAGCGCGCGGCGGCGTTGTGATGGGGTGGTCGGTGTGAGCCGTCATGGCTCAGCAGTGGCTGTTTACTACTTGTGCGACGGATGCCGAATGGTGCTATGCAGGCGCGGGCGACTCCGGCCACAACTCTGTTTGGTCGGTTGTTGTGTCGGTGGGCGTTCTTCGATGCCGTGCGCGTGGGGGTTTGTAGGATTTTCTGCAACGGTGTTGGGCGGGGTGTGTCTCGATGGCGCGATGGTGCGATGGCGCAATCTTTCAAAAACTCGTGTCACAAGACTCACAACTCTTGTTTCTTTGTCTCCGGTCACCTAAGGTAAAGCCACTCAAAAACCACAACAGCGTGCCTTCGCTTTAAATAAGATTTTTGTAATGCTAATAACAGTGGGTTCGGTCTCCAGTTGCCGAGCCCGCTCCGGCCCGGTTGGCCCCTGGTTCGACGGCATTCGGACGCTCGTGATTGCTCATCAGGATTTGAAATCGGCGTCGCAAGGGCGTAAGGTACGCAGTAGACTCTCACCCGGGCAGCCCGGCCGCTGCAGAGTATGTACATATGTGTCAGACGCATGCCCGAAGATATCCGTTGCCTAGGTATGTATTGTACGCTGAAACTCTTTGACTGGGCGGATGCGCCGCCTGACAATTGCAACTCACCGTCGTTTTCATAAAGACGCCTGTCCGGGCAGTTGAGGTGATACCACTAAGCTCCTTGCAACATGCTCGAGTCCGGTGGCCATGTGGTTATGATGCTGCAGTAGCTTCATGCTGGCAAGCCGTCGCAAGCCGCGAATATGCTTTCCCTGGTTCTGGTTGACCTACCGTACATGACCTCGTACCAAAGGTGGTTGAGTCATCCAACCACCTGGAGTGTTTCGGATTCTATGTACAAAAGTGCCAATGAGCCCACTCAGCGGCTTCCACGATCTGATCTACATAGCAACCGAGCGGCATCCATTTCGCGAGGCCGGATCCTGCTGGCTGGTACATAGTGTACTGCGGCTTGAACAAGCCGAACCCGGAGCTAAAATAAGCATAACCACCGGACCGTCCTCCGAAGGAACATTAGCGGGGCACTTGTTCTTCGGCGTTTGGGCGGACGGGACCGGGCTTCGATAAGACATATTGGGAAACAGTTATTTGCAGCGAACGGTATGGATCTGCGTATATCACCTGTATGCAGACTTACTTTCAACGTCGTGTGTTGGTGCCGCGACCCTCCGTGGCTTCGAGGTAGCTTGCGTGGTCGCCCGCCGGGACCGCTCTTCATTGCGCTGCTTGCAAGTAAGGTACCTACCTAAGGTAGGTAGGTACAGTACAATACCTAGGTGCCTCAGGTAGGTACTAGTAGGTATCCTGTATGCTTGGTCAAGAGCATGCCAGATGGCCTCTGACCGATTTAAGCCTTCCAACCGGCATCGGGTTGCTCTGCGGGTTGAATCGGGTGCTCTAATATACCTTGAGTTAGCCTGCCGGACTTTAGGCAGTTAAATAAACCTCTGTTCCCACATCAAATCCCTTTGCCTCCTCAACCCACCATTTGCTCTCTCCGAACTCGAGTGTAGACCTCTCCTACACTAGCGTGCCTAGCTCCCGTATTCGTGTCCTTGACTGTTCTAGAAGCTCCTACGGTTGACTTATTAGTTGTAGAAGTGGACCACTGCCCTAAGACCCTAATAAACTGGCAACCACGGCAACTCAGTTGCCCATTCGACGATGACAAATGTCTGCCCGGAGCTTCGACCGCGGCCCGCCATCCCCGCAGCGCTTCGGTGCCCAGTCCTGTTGGGTGGAGCGGAGAAGCTATGATTGGCTGCCTCTCCGGGCGGAGACCGGGAACTGCGTTGACACCGCTCCGACCCAGCTCTTCCAGTAATCTAATCGCGGTAACCACTCCGTTTTTGTGAAACCATCTCCTTAGCATCATCACGTCGCAACCAAGCGGTAGCTGGGAAAATAGCAACTAGGCCCTGTTGCGTTCTGCAACTAGCATGGAAAAAGGCGAGCCGCGAGTGCCGCCGGCAGAGGAGGCCGCACACTAGCCCAAAACCCGACGCCGACATCGATTCACCGGCCACTAAAGTACCTGGCCACTGTAACTACCGTACCTAAGCAGACACCCAAGAGAGCATGCCTCCGCGTCGCTCCCACAAGAAGTCCAGAACCGGTTGCCGGCGATGCAAGTCGCGCAAGATCAAGGTGCGTTGGATTAGAGGGGTTCATATCAGATAGGCAGGACAATGCTTTTTGCCGCTAATACTAGATGGCACAATGGATCTAGTGCGACGAGGTTCATCCGCGATGCGGTAACTGTGTAAAGCACGGCGTTCCGTGCGACTTTGAGTGTCCGGAAGTTCTGGCCGAGCTTCGCGCCGCAGCCACAGCTGACACGCCGTCTACACCCGCCACGACGGTCAACTTTGGGTCGCCCATCACTCATGCTGCAGGTCCCGCGTCTGCTCTCTCCGGTGGCCCCGTTGATACGCCGCTGCTGCTGTGCCGCTCCCCGGCAACGGCGAGCGTCTCTCACATCACCCCTCCGGGCCATCGATTGCTCGAACTGAGGCTGATGCACCATTACACGTCCCTAACATGCAAGACATTCACATTTACCGCCCCGGTGACCGAAGACATCTGGAAGATCACAGTGCCCAACCTCGCCTTCTCCGGATCGCAGCACCTAGCCGATGCCATCCTCGCCGTCGCCGCGCTCCACCTCCGGAGCTTGATGCCGGGTGACAAGGAGCTGGTGCGCGCCTCACACGCCTACATGGCCGCCTCGCTCGCGGAATACAGCGCAGCCCTCGCCAAGGGAATTGACCACACCAACGCCGAGTCCCTGTTTCTGACGGCAGCCCTGATCGCATTTCAGTCCACGGCCACGAGGGTATTCATGAAGGACGAGGTGGCCGTCGACGAGGACAGCGGTATGGATGGAACGACGAGGCAACGCAGCCAGCCGTCAGGGTGCTATGCCATCCCCTTCTCGTGGTTTCACTCCTTCCAGGGCGTCAAGGCCATCACCGCCGCCTCGTGGCAGTACCTGCGCGTCAGCCCCGTCGTAACACAAGTCATCAACTCGCAAGCCGCCCTGCAACTCGACTTCACCACCGGACCAGAAACATTCTTCGGCCACTTGCTCGAGGGCCTGGACGAAGAACTGGCCGCCATGGGTGGAGATGGCTCCTCCTCGACGGCCCCACCGTCCCCATCTGCCGGGTACCACTCCCATCCGCAACCCGCGTCCCTCGAGCTCATAGCTTCCACCCGGCAAGCCTACCAACACGCCGTCGCCGTCCTCAACTGGGCGCACAAGATCCCTCATAAGGGCGCGCCCCTGGCCTTCCCCGCGACCGTCTCGCGGCGATTCATCGAGCTTCTCGAGGAGCGCCGTCCACGTGCGCTGGCCATCCTCGCTTGCTTCTTCGCCCTCCTCAAATCGATGGACTCGGTCTGGTGGCTGCAGGGGATGGCGCGGCGCGAGGTTCTGGGGGTAGTGTCTCTGTTCAACAGCGATTTCTTCGGGCCCGACGCCTACCGCGTGTGGTGGCCCCATCTCGAGTGGGCGATGCGCATCGCCCTGTACGACTACCGTGGCGCGGACAGCGGGGAGCCCATCCCGCCCGAGATTTGGGGCGCGGACTGGTACGCTGAAGAGCGGGTGCTGGCCGAGGGCGAGGTAGCGCACGGCGGGTATGTCGGGCATATTGAGCTGCTGGCCCAGATGGGCAGCGCCATGCAAAGTATACCGGCCGTGCCGGAGTTCGTGCCGGTTATGGGATCACAGCGGTGATAGTTTTACGTGATGGAGGACGAAGCCGTTTGGATTATGGTAACCATATCGATCGCTTTCGCCCCGCCTCATGTACCTGCCGATGGACTACGGCTCTCTCGTGGAGGAATTCGGCAAGCTGCCGGTTGCACCCCATACATCTGGCATGGTGGTACTTGAAGGGAAAGGACAGCCATCTAGAAGGACAGCTGTACCTGAGACGCAAATGCCGAGCCGGGCCAGTCCTCACCCGTGCTCTGCCGTGGGCATGGGTTGAGCGAGAGCCTGAGGGCCATTGTGGACACCAATATGGAGAGGGCCATGGAGTCCCCCGTGGGAGGATCAGGGTTTCAAGGAGCTGGCTGCTTGACAGCAATAAGCGCGTAATGGAACCAGATGTGTACATATGGTATAGCATACCCGAACATGAACATGGAAAGAGCCGTGCAAAGAATTACGCCGTTTTCCGCTCCGCCTGCTGTCAGTTCCCCTGAACGCCTGCCACTTGAGAAAACCAGCCCAACGCAACGTCCAATTCAAGCCTTGACTTTCTTCTTCTGCTTCGGCTGCTCCTCCCCCACAACCGTCTCCTCCTCGTCGTCGCCATCCCGCTGATCCCTCTCGCGCTTCAACCCCTTCATCTTGCGCGTCTGCAGCTCGCTCAGGTCCAGCTTGCCCATATGGATGCGGCCAATCTTGTCGCCCATGATGTCCGTTGAAATGTTCTTCTTGGTGCGCTCCTCGGTCGTCTTGGCCTTGCGCATCGCCTCCTTGAGCATGGCCTCGTCCGGCTCCTGCATGCGGCCCAGGCGGAAGTCCATGCGCGGGCCGTGCTCTTCCAGCTCGACGCGGGGCAATCTTTGGCCGGAGCGCTTGGTGCGGATGTTGTAGACGCGCAGGCGGAGCACGGGCTTCGAGGCCGGGTCGTCGGTAGCTACCTCGGAAGAAGTGGGCTCGTCGGCCGTCACGACGACGCAGTAGCGCAGGCCCTCGACGTCGATCTTGTCCGAGATCTCGCCGCGGAAGAAGTCGAGCAGCATGGACTTGGCCATGGTGAAGGCGTTGGGCACGGGCGATTCACTGCTCCGCTGTCAGTTTAGGGAGATAAAAACTCGGGAAATGAGAGTGTTGTCCCGTACAATGCTGTCCCGGCAAATACCATCAACGGCCGTGTCCCCACGGGCACCTTCTCCGTCTTGAACTGGGATAAACTCCGGAAGGTCTCGCCGTCGAGGTAGAACTCGAGCATGTCGAGGATCTTGTAGTCAAAGGTGCGGACGAAGGTGATGGTGTGTGGCCGCTTCTTGTTGCTGCTGCCGAAGAGGAGCAGGCTGCAGTCGTTCTTTTCCGAGAAGAAAGCGAGCGAGCTGGCATCTTCAAAGGGATGGACTGTGATGCGATCGCAATGGTCAGCAGCTCACTCTCACTTTCGGGAACGCTCAGTAGCAGGAGATCTCAGTGCATACTGGGATTCTTCTTTTGAAAGCGCTTGGCGTGAGTCCGCCTCAGAGCGTACAGGTCCGTGAGGGCATCTTGCGTCTATGAGATCGACAATTAGCAACCAATCGCCCATTGTCAGGTGATAGCGCGTGGAGACATGGGAGGTATACGATCTGGCTGCAGCTGGTGCCTCGTAGGAAGAGCGCCGTCTTGGGGTTCTCGACGGGCTTGGGTGCGCGCTTCTCGAGGGCCCGCTTGGACCGGGCATTCCGTGGTTTTCTGTGTGATCACAGTCAGAATTGGGACATAGGGACCAAAAGCGAAGAGATGCCGACTCACATTTGGCGCAGCATCTTTGCGTCAGAGAGTCGGAAACAGGGGAATGGCAACTACTAGTATTAGCAACTTTCAGATGCGATGCACTCGCAGTCTGCATGCCGCTCAAGAAAATCAGAGCTGGGGCTTATCGATAACCGACGCTCTTGCTTGGCATGCTCTGGATGTGGGACAAGTACTTACCAGCCTCAATGGCAGTGCCGCCTGGGTCACGCACTGTGTCGAGGACGGCTTTATTTAGGAGGTACTCTGCATGCGCCACCCCCTTTCTGCTGAAAAATCACCGGCGTCTATTATAGCAACAACGTCACTGAATGATCCGTCGTTGTCTACTGCTGTTCTTCCCGCACAACACCCCTACTACTTTTACTACCAGAACTATCTCAGAGTCCTAGAGATACGAGAATGGTTAATCTCTATGACCAATTGCCCTTTGCAGTGTGTTGTAGTCCGACAAAGGAGGCAACTGTTGCGGAGGCACGTCTGGTGTGCGAGACAGGATAGGGAAAGGGGGTGTTGCTGAAGATGCTCGCATGGGGATGGGGGTTCCCTGCTTCCTAAGACTTCCACGGCCAGCAACACGATCCAGTCAACCGCATGTGCATGGCAGCTGTGGGCTTTCTCTGAGATGTTCGAGGAAGGCACCGTCCATGGTCCCGACCCGGGTTTCATGGCGTCACTTTCCGTCGTGGTCACGGTCAGGGCTATACCAGGAAAGCGGTTCTCTGTGCGTAGGGCATGCTTATGCTTAGTTGGCGACGGCACGCTTTTCCAAAGAACCTACCTCTCGCTCTGAACCGAGTCACTAATCTCTCACACAACCCGACATGTGCGAACCTTATTCAACCGTACACTCGGCTTAACAAGCATGGACCCATCGACAAGCAAGACTGAGGCTGGTTCCGCAGGGACACCGGCATCGCCGAAGGGAGCGGAGAAGCTGGAAGCAGCACTCGCACTCTTGAGCATGGCGGACGACGAGAACCGGGCCGCAGTCGCCGCTGAGCTTGAACAGGCCATCAAGGACAATACTGAGATCATTACCGGGTCCCAGGTCACGCCAAAGGCCGAGGAGCCGGGGAAATCCAAGGACGGCGGCGAGGACGCATCGGAGACTCCGGTTTCCACTGACTCCGACAATACCATCACGGCCCAGATGGGCAACATGAACCTGACCTACTCTCCGGTTGCTGCTGATCCCGAGGCGAGTACTCCGGAACCGGAGATGGCAGACAATCAGACGTGTTACGGTATTCCATGGTCTGTTTGTCAGTTACATCCTGCCGCCACGGTGTATATGACTCGGACTTTGGAATTGTGGATGGCGAGAGGAGCTCTTGATTTCCGACACAACCCAAACTTTGCTGCGGCGCTCCCGCCCGTGGACAACGATGAGGTGACTGCCATGATCATTGACGACCTGGAACGAGGTGAGCGTGTCGGCGACCCGGGAAAGTTGCTGTGCGTCGCGTGCGAAAAAACAGTCAAAAGCGTCTGTAACGGATGCAAGCATGCGTTGTACTGTTCGCGGGAATGTCAAGTTGCAGACTGGCCCATGCACAAGAAGGTCTGTAAGGACTTCGCGGGCGATGGGGCGGACGACAAGCGGCCGAGCCCCGAGCATCGGCGTATTCTATTCTTTCCTCAGCATAGCAGCAAGCCCGAGATCAGATGGGCCCTTCCCACCGAGATGGCTGACGACCACTTTGTTCTCATTCCCCACCTGGACCACCCCGATGTGCACCTCTTCGTGACGGAGGTGGCGCACATGGGTTTTCCGATGCACATGGCATATATTCCCCTGGCGCTCAAGCCCCTTCTGGCCGAACGGTAAGCCGTGTTCTCCCCTGCCATCCGAGCAAGGCGTCATGAGCTGCATACTAATATCCAGGATACAGACTCGTTGGTCACGGCTTGGTCATGCTCGCATACAGTCCCGCCCCCTACCACCAAGCCGTTGCGGACCCCAGGTTTGTGAACCAGTCCATCCTCGGACTCGGTACACCCGGTTATTGGCGGTACGTCGATTACGCCCTTCTGACGATTCCCCAAGGCTGTCTCTCTAACACATATATCTCACGCTAGTCCCTTGTATGGCCCCGTGGTCGTCTTTGCTGAAGCTCGACGACCCGACTCACCTGGTCATTGGAAGATGCTGGACTTCGGTCCGCGGGATCTCAACACATTTTTCCGGTTCTACGTCGGCTATCAATGCATCTGTGTCGCCGATGTTGGTCGCTTCTCCGGCGAGGTCGCCTCGGGCCTCAGAATCAACGACCTAAAAAACGAGCTTAATGTCGCCATGGGGGTTAAAGTCAGAATGGACCCTGTCAGCGTCCCCTTGTGCCCGTTTCCCCGCGCCATAGATTATCCCACGGTCCTGGCATTCCGTCTGGGCCTCCGGTGGTACGTGAACCTTTCTGTTCTTTCCTCTTCATGCCTCTTGTCGTCCATTCTGCGCAACAAACCCCCCTCTCCCCTATTATTCCATCGGCCTAGTTCTATCCCTCAAGACCCCGCACATCTCAAAGAAAACTAACTCCTTGCAGGTACATCCGCCCTGGCTTGCTCATCGGCCTGGAAGCCGACTACACGCTTTGGGGGGACGGCAACCTCCGTTACCTGGCCTACGCGCTCGATATTAATGAGGCGGTTATTCCCGGAGCGGACAACGGCGAAGAGCCGTCTTACCAATACCAGGTCACGGCCAGGTACGGCCCCTTTGCCGGCAGCGTGCTCATTCTACACGGTTCAGGCAATCCCGTCGACACGCACCACGTGCTCGCCTTCAACGCGTACCACGACGAGATGTACGTCAAGAAGCAGGCGCCTTCCAAGGAGGGATTCCAGAAGTTCTGGGCCAGGTACAAGAAGGCACTGGGCGGCCCCGTGTTGGGTGTGCCGTCGCCGTACAAGTGGGAAAAGCCGGGCATCAAGGACAAGCTGGGTCGAATCGATCCGGACGCCATCATGAAGTTGCTTTCGGTTGAGGCCGCCGTTATCTGGCTGGCCATCATGCAGCAGCTGAACCACTTTAGCACGCAGACCTGGGCTAGTGAGTAAGTAAGGTGTTGGGCCGGGGGGGGGTTGGGGTTGGTAGGAGGAAGGTTACGGATATTCTGAGCTGGCATCGCAGATTCCGGGGACAACACCTACACCAGGAAAGGATTCGCTATATGTCGGGGCTCGGAGGGCGATGCACTAAGTCAGCGTTTATAGGACATTGAATTGCAGACATCCATACCTAACGTACCTTCCATAGCGCAAGTCCAGTCCATAAATGAAAAGCTGAATGCCCCCTTTCTATTCCAGGAGAAAACTCGTAACTGTCTCTATGCTACCGAAGGTCGTGTCGTGTCGTGTCGTTTTCCAGTCCAGTCTCCCATAACGCCTCAGACCCATCCATTAAGGTACTAGGTAATAAACCACCATCGCTATGCAGAAACCATCCGTCGTAAATGTACCTTACCCAGGTGGTCACGCCACACTCAATGACTCCCCACCCGCGCCTTATTAGGCAGAGGCGGGATCCAACTGACGGCAGCACACACGACCAGATTGACGACGCCAATCACCCAGAACCCCTTCGCATAGTCCGTGCCGCCATCCATAAAGCGAAAGACAACCGCGAACAGCACCCCGCCCAAGTTCCCGCCGGCGCCAGTCAACCCGGACACAATCCCGTTGGCATGGGGATGCACGTGCGGCACGAGACTGAAATTGGCGCCGTTGCCGGCCTCGACGAAGAAGGCCAGCACCGCCACCAGCCCAAACATGACCCCTTGCTCGCGCGGGTCCACCCTTCCAATAACCACCAACAACGCGCCCGACGCGAGCCCGCACACGACGATCCACGCCTTCTTGAACCATAATACCATCGAGTCCGAGTGGCCTCTGCCTTGGCCTTGGCCTTGGCAGTGATGATGGGAGGAGGAGGAGGCATACCGGTACAGCAGATCGCTGACGGCGCCGCCCAGGGGCCGCGTGACAAAGTTGAGAAAGCCGAACATGGCGGCCCAGTTGGCGGCGGCGGTCTGGCCCAGGGTGGCGGGGAAGTTCTTGGCGTAGTACGAGGCCAGCACCGAGTTGAGGGCCAGCTCGGTGCCGAAGGAGCACATGTAGGTCAGCATGTGGAAGATGGTTTGCGGGGAGAGGGCCACGCGGAGAGAGTCGTTCCATGTCGGCGGGCGGATGATCTCGTTTTCGGTTTGTTGGAGGCTTGTTTCCTTTGTGCCTGGTTCTGGCTCTGCTTTTGCTGCTTTTTCGTGCTCTTTGTTGTTGTTGGCGTTGGTTTTGGGTTTGACCGGGAGCTGGGGAATCTTCGTCGTAACCGCGGCGGCTTCGAGGTCGAACTTGATCGGGATTGCGGGGATTTTCTCCCTGCTAGGGCTGGGGGAGAGCGTCAAGGGCGTTTCGGGGGTGTGGCGGTCCGTTATCCGGCCGGGCACGTCGACGATCTCGGTGTCGGCGTCGGTTTCGCTGGTCGCTGACTCGGCATGACTGCGGATGTGCAGATGGCGGTCCCTCCACTTGCCCGTCGGCGTGTCCGGGCAGAGGGCGATGAGGGCAATGCCGGTGGTAATGACCATGGCAAGCGGCACGAGGAAGGTGAGCCGCCAGGCCTGGCCAGGGGTGTGACGGGCCCCGATCAGGGCGTCGTACACGGCCGGCATGATGAAGTAGGTGATGCCGCCGCCCGCATTGCCGAAGCCGCCGGTGAGGGCGTTGGCGGTGCCCACGATATTCTTGTCGAAGAAGCCCGTCGACCAGACCTGACAGGGGACGAACGAGCCACCGAGGATTCCGATGAAGAAGCGGCTGACGTAGAGTCCCGTGGCATTGTGTACAAGGGGGGCAAGGCCGAGCGGAATGGCGCCCACGAGGAGCAGGCCGCCAAAGACTTGTCGAGGACCAAACTGGTCACAGAGGGGGCCGGCAACAAGTCGGACCAGCAGTCTTGGGGCGTGTTAGTGGCAGTTTCCGAGTACTGATGATGGTGTGTCACTTACGTAGCGCAGAGGGATACGATGTTGGAGTTGGCGACTTCGGCCGGTGACAGTTGAAGATCATTCTTGATCGTGTGCGTCAACTATGCCCGCCGGCTTGTCAGTATGATCACAACCTCAAGTCAAGTCACACTAAAAGGCACCATACCAGAGGCGGAAAGGTGTACCACGCCCAGAAAGCGACCATGAAGCCGAACCAGGAGAAGAAGAAGACCCGTCCATAGATGTCTATAGGATTGAGCAACGGAACGGACCGGGCCTTGAGTGTGACCGGGTTGACGTCTGGACGGGCGTAAAGATGCGAGAGCCTGAAGCCCATGATGCTGAATCAAGTTATCAACACCTAAGTCGTGCTTGTCTGGGACTGCAGGCCGGCCATCGACTCTCAGGGAGCTTCTTCCATTGTTATACCTAGTCGAGCACACACGAGCACACTATCCGAAGGAAAGCACCTTGTCATTGCTTGCCGCATAACCACAATGCCGTTTGGTCATGGCCACCCATGTTCCGCGTCCCGTATCTCCAGTATCCACATCACCCGCACACAGGGTGGAAATGGGGATGAGGATGGGGATGGGATGGACGTTTGCGGTTTCCCGACCGCGGAAACACATAACTGTAGCAGCGTCCGGCCCTGCATTTGGCAGTTTGACAGGCCAGTTCCCGCCCTTGCTGATCGCTGATAAGGACCCGCCAGGGACACAAGGGCCGAGCGGAAATGCACGATGAAGATAGCGTTCCGTCGCCTCGGAGATGCATCGATTGCCCTGGATGATGGACGCCGTTCACAAAGAGGGTATTCATCAGGAAGAGGTCCTACACAGTAGTGGCCGACCTGCCGCCTATATTCATACCCATATCCCTCCTGCTTCACCCTCGCACAGTTGCACGTCTAGCATGGCTCATGACGGCCGCGGGGACGGACCATCTGCGCCAGTGAAGCTGATCGAATGCTTGAGTGCGGAAAGGTTGACGATGATGCGAGATCCATCTTGGAGTCGAATTCCATCAGCCATGTGTTCCTTTTAACCAAGCGGCCTAGCCGAGATGACCCCAATGGGGGAGTCAACCACAGAACCAGAACAGTCCCCAACTTGGGCGTGTGGAGGAGCGAGTCGAATGCAGGGAAAGACGATGAAATGAAACTCCCTTATCTTGATTGCCCTGTCCGGGCAGTTCAGCCCACGCCGTGGTTATCTCCCTCCTCCACAATTTCAAATCGATCGATAGAGATAGCCCCGATAAGCATTCCAAGTTGGTTGAGACTCATTTTGATGATTTGATCTCCGCGGCGCCAAGGTCCCGGCCTGTCTGTTTTCAGTGTGATGGAGGTACGTCCGGCAAAGAGTCTGGGTCTCCGTGCAACATCATATCGAGGATTAATTGATAGGTGGTTTGTTGTTGCAGAGGCAAGCCGATGTATTGTACGGAATACTGCCGAGTCTGTAACGGACGGTTGAGGCTGATAAGTCAGCAGCTGCATGGCAGAAAACCGGCCCCCCACGTCCCCAGTCATTCTCCCTTCCGCACTTACCCCGGACAATTCCCGTAAGCAGCTTTCCATCTGCCGTCCCGTCTTTCAAGCTTCGATCATCTCGGCCCGGAAATGCTGGAGTTGTTCTCAGCGGATGGACTTGTTCCATCGATCTCAGATTGGCGAAGCTGGGCACCGCGGACTGTGCATACCGCGGAATTGCCAAGACCTCGCGGCACAAACGGCCAAGACCGGAGTACCGACCGGAGACTGCTCGAGGTGCAAGTCGACCTTGCCATCTCGCTCGGTCACACCTCGAGATATTTTTATTGCTCTTTGGCTTGATAGCATTTCCAACCAATTCACAGAAATCGCCGGTGTATTCGAGCATTCCATCTTCCGAGGAACGGCGCCAAACTCTTACTACCGCTGCATTGAGAAGGAGGGATGCCGCCGAGACGAGAAAGACATTGCTCGTTTGGAGCGGCGCGTCAACTACAACTTGGCTCACCCATCCGATTCGCTCGGCGAGGCAAGAGATTGGTATTCACCGTCAATACCGCGCATTGTTTGGGCGGCAAAGATCGGATCATGGATGCCAACAAAATCGAAGATTTTCAACGTTGCCAAGAGTCTTGGCCCGTGCGTATCGGCCCTCGGCGGCTCTCGGACTCCCCGCAGCTCAACGGCTCGCGATCGCGGTCCCGCTGAAATCAGCCTTGCAACGGCTGATGTGAACTGACGGATGTGGCTGTAGGAAACGCGCCTAAACTGAACTCCGGACTTGTCTCAGAGCTGAACTCGTGTTTCAAAGACCCGGACGCACCGCCGGATGCGGGTCCTCTCGCGACCCACATGTCCGGCCCCGGAAGTCCGAGTGCCGGAATAGTGGGCCTTACATGATCCACTCTTGCCGAACCGTATCGGCATTCCTCCGATCTCGACCCGGCCCATAGCCGAACGCTGATGCACATGCCTCAATCACGCCGACACGCAAGAAAAAGATTCGGAATCCTCTTCCTGATTGTGTAGCGTTTCTATCTTGGCGACGACCCGTTGCCGTTTGCCTTGGCGCAAAACCGAAGAGACGCCTCCGCTCGCACAGTTCTAGACTGCTCTGTCAAAGGCCCGCAATATACAATTCGCCTCGAAGCGCACGAGCAACCTTGTTGGTATCTAATAAGCTGCGCTAAGCCGTCGGAACTCGCTCGAGGGATCATGGATGCGTCAACTGCGCCGTCCTTGTTCTTCAGAATCAGGAGGCCGGGGCTCGGGTGTCGGCCTGGACCCACCATGATTGGCGGTATGCCCAGGGCCCCGAAACTGGGAGGATGAAAATTCGGTCAGGTAACATGCCCAGATGAGCCACATGCCGACTTTCTTTTCTGTTGATTAAAGACAGGTAGCCAATAAACTTATCCCCCTGGCTGATCTGTCCATAACGAACCCTCGCTACCTTCCGCCCTCACCACACACCGCTTCTCGGTATAGATACTGTTATATGTTATTCGTTTTGCCCACCGGCTCCAACCAGACAGACGTGTGTCTGACAGAGCGGGACATCCTAACCTTCTCAGGACAACAACCTGCGTGACCTGTTCAGAGCTTAGAATCAGAGTGCTGTCTTTTCGCAGTGGCCGCAATGCAGCCTCAAGAAAAAGGGGCAACCCTCAAATCCCCATCAGCTGAGGGAGCTCTCGAGGACCAGAGTTACAGACCGCCAGAGGCATGCGGACAGCCATCAGCGCTCGCCAAAACATGGAGCCATCTCAACGAGAACGTCCGCGGCTCGATCCTCGCTGAGGTCCAACTCCTGATCCTCACATTCTGCATCGGTGTCCAAGGCAAGTGAAGCCCACCCCCCGGGGACTCGCGCTCCTACCAGCGTTCCGCTAACCCCTAGACCTCAAACTCAAAAACAAAAAACAGACGCCGTCTCCTTCCCCGACTTCCACTGCTTCGCCTCCAACCAAACCGGCAACACCGTCTTCCTGGTGCTCGCCATCGTGCTGCCCGAGGCCAACGGCGACATGTTCATGACGGCCAATATCGGCGTCGCGCTGGGCTTCTTCCTCGCGTCGGCCTGGCTGACCGGGCAGCTGGGCCACATCATCGGCCCGCGCCGGCGGCTCTGGCTCGTCTTCTGCAACCTTGTCCAGACCTGCCTCGTCTTCGCCGCCGCGGGGCTGCAGTACGCGCACCGCTCGTCGAGCGGCCAGCTCGCGCTGGACGGCGCGCAGGCGCCCAGCACGCTGTGGGCCATCGGCCTGCTGGCCACGGCGGCGGGGAGCCAGGTGGTGCAGTCGCGGTCGCTGCGCATGACCGAGATCTCGACGGCCATGGCCACGGCCGCGTGGGTGGACCTGATGATCGACCGGGACCTGTTCGCGCTGAGGAACAACAGGCCGCGCAACCGGAGGGTCGGCTTCCTGCTCTCACTCGTGCTGGGCACCCTGGCGGGCGCCTTCATCTTCAGGAGGGTGGGCTCGCCCGCGGCGTTGGTCGTCTCCGGTGCGGGGAAATTGCTGGTGACGGTTATGTATCTGTTCGCTGGGGCAGACAGGCCGAAGCTGGAGAACATCGAGGCTTCGGCTTGATGGGGAGACGGTGCGGAGGACAGGGAAGAAGGGGGGGATTGGTTGGTTGGAATGGGCCCCTCCTTTTTTTCCTTTTTTTTTTTTTTTTTTTTTTTTGGCTTGCGTTGCATTCAAAGTGTCAGCGTGGCGTTTAGGATTGGAGCATTTGATACCTCAGCAGTAGAATTGGCGGATGGCGACTTATAGATTTGGACCATCAAAAGGCTGCACGGAGAAAAAGGCGATACTAAGGTAATTGAAGCGCGGTGGTTAATTTAGGTATCTGCTCTATACCTTAGCTCAGGGGCTCGTTGTAATGCCCACCGCGGTAGTCATGACAGTGAATTTGCAATTCAGCTTCTCAAGTGCTAGCAGACTCGGAGGCAGCGAGGTACGTGGATCTGACATTCAAATGAGCGATCGGATGGCGGCAATCGTGGAGCCGCAGGCAGCAGTGGTTCGAACAGGTCGGGTATCGTACCCTGCGTCTTATACTCCGTTAAACGAAGTGACCTGACTGTTTCCGGGACTCGATTGTACCTACCCAAGAGCTATCCATCTCCTGCTATACAGATGGAATCTTCCTTTCAGTTCTTCTTTTTTCTTTTCGTTTTCTTCCCATTTACTTTCCTTCCCGTAACCCCCGTCCCCCTCCGCCCCCCCCCCCCCCCCCCCCCCTTTCTTTTTTTTTCCTTTGATTTTTATTTTTTATTTTTTTCTGGCTTGTTGTTTTGGTAGCATTCATGGAGGATCGCGAGGAGACCAGACGAAGAGAAGGGGAAATAGGAGGAGATTTGACGGCTTGACAATCTGTCTTCTGAAATTATTCATGTTGTCCTCAGTTCTCTCTCTTGTTGCTACCTCTCTTCTGGACTCCTGCCCCGGATCCTTTACTATCGATCGCTTGCTCCAAGATCGGTACGGATTTCCACTGTGCGATTCCAAGTGCGTATTAAGTTCAACTTCTCAGTGCTGAATTTGAATTCTCCTCGTCGAACTATACCAGAAGTCACTGATTGAGGTGCCTCGCTTGTAGGCCCTCTTCTTTCGGAGTGCCTTCCCGTGAATACAATATACTATTTACTGTTGTACCCACACATCTCGGCCGTATATACAGGTCCAAGTCAGCTTGTTGGCCTATTTGCTCATCTCTTGCCATACTCGCTGCACGATCGGTCGTCACTGAAGCCTCTCGTATGAGTCGTCTCCCCATCCATAGGGTCACTTACATGCAGTGCCGCTAGTTGTTGAGAAGAGACGGAATATTTATCCGCTGATTTCCCGCCCGATTTCTTCTCCATTTTCCACATGCTTTGCATTGTCATGCACAGTTCAGCCCTTTGAATCATGAGGGTCACACGCTGTTGAAGCTGCCAAATAAATCCAGGTACTTAACTTGCGAGGCTTCCTGGAACATATATCCGATGATTTCCAGCCCGATTTCTCTTCCATTTTCCTTATGCTTCGTATTGTGATGCACAGTTCAACTCATTATTGCACGAGGCTCACGAGCTGTTGAAGATGCCAAATAAATCGAGGTAACTTGCAACGGAAGACTTCCATCTTGCAACTTCAAGTTCTTGCAACTCTTGCCTCTACAACAAACCTTCTCCCACGCAACACTCAACCCTTCGATTCCCCAGATAACCAGCACACCTCCAGCCTCTAATGGGTTAATTGAGCGGATTGCAGGATTTGTCACCCCGAGGACCGGGTAACTGGATTTATCAAGGTAAATTTCCCGTTTCTTATCTCTGTACCGCACCTCAGTCATTCACTGGTACTCTACACATTGTATGGCACTGTTGGGGAATTTGCTGCGGGTCTTCCTGCCCTGACACTGGCTGCAACCCCACTAAAGCACCTGACAACGCGTCCCCGCAAGACGCGTCCGGTTGCTCCCCCGAGCTCCGTCATTCTCCACTCAACCAAACTCGTTCATTGATCCGCGCACTCCTCCCCAGCTTCTTCCGCAGGACTTCCCGACCCGGATGCGCGAGGTCCGAGTCTCGGACGGCTGTTCCGACTAGGCTTCATGACTCGCAACAATCTCGGCGAGCATCTGGGCTGGCTGGTCAACACCATCCGGCGTTCGTCGCCCGCCGCGCCGCAACTGCCCGCGCCCGCTGCCCCAGATTTGCGCGGCCGCTCTCCTGCTCCGACGTCCTTCTCGCTCGAGTCTGCCAGGTCCGAACTGGGATCGCAGACGCGCCGGACCGGCCGTTCTTACAATACCAATTCTTCGACTTCCACCTCCTCCAGCTCTCTTCATCCCCTCACTCCTCTCACACCACAGCTCTCGCGCCTGCCAGATGAAGCCCGATCCGCCGTTCAAACGCGGGATGCTGACAAGGTAGTCAGGATGGAAGCGAGAATGGGACAGGCTTCTTCCTCCAACACCAGCTCCAATTCCAACTCCCATTCCAATTCCACTGCCAACCCCAATGGCAACCTCAATTCCAGTCGCCCGACATTGGCTACTCTGCAGCAACCCTTGCCCACGCCCGCATCAACGACCGCTACCACCCCAATTGGTCCACTTCAACGCGCCTACTCGGCCTCGCTCGCACGCACAAATCAGCCCCGGAATAGACCGCCGTCCCCAGTTTCTGGCAATACTGGCGGCGCCCACAATTCCCGTCCGACCGCGCCCATCGCTCCTATCCCCGACAGCGACGACGACATGTTTTCCGACCCACTCGACTTGACCGACGTGGACAAGCACGATGGCTCTAGTTCAGTCGTGGGCTTTGGGGAAGAAAAGAGGTTGTGGCGCGAGGACTTTGCTGAGCGGCCGGAACCAGTTCCCAGCCGCGTCAAGAAGCGGCGGATTGACGATATGTCCCAGAGGCCGGTAGTATCCAAGGAGAGAGAAGAGGGTGCCGAGGATGATTTCTTGGACATTGACGACCTGATCCCTTCCTCGTCCGTTTCAAGGTCGGTCGTGAAGCAGCGTGCGAAGTCCTCAACCGCTAGAGGCGAGAGTCCCTGCTCTCCTCTCCCTCAGATGGTACTTGGCGGCAGCGCGTCTGCGACGAACTCGACCAGTGGGGCACGTGCCAATGTTCACAAGGAGTCTCACAAAAGCGACCAAAAGCTGCCCCCGGGACGTTTGGAGAGGACACCGTCTCCTCCTCCTCATGCGCCAGATTCCACCATATCCAGCCGTAAGCGGAAGACGCCCTCCTCGCCCAGTGGCCGGGACGATGAGAACCGTGAGCTAGGACCCACCTCCACGACTGAAGCCGGTAAAAGATCCAAGAGGACAAAACCCGACATCGTCCTAGACTCGGAGGACGAATTCATGACACCGCATACACACCAATCCACCGTGGATACTAAGCCAGACATCGATCCGGCCAAGAACTCCCAGATGGCTGGCAACGATCAATGCAGAGATGCCGACCTCACATCGTCCCCTACCATACAGATTCCATCAAAGGCGGTGCTGAACTCGCTGGATCGTCCAGCGACTCCGCAAGGGAACACTGCTGCTGGGAGTTTCACCAGTGATACAATTGAAGAAGCTCGTTCCGACGAAGTGCTGCCGTTTCAGGAGACCCCGAACAAGCAAGCTCCGCAGGGTTCTGCAGATTCCGAAGTCAAACGAAACAAGCATATCCTGGATCTGTTCTTCTCACGCCCTTCCGTGCTGGAGAGTAAGATGCAGTTCTTCATTGATCAACTGAACAGAAACAAGGAGGAATTTACCAAGTGCCTCCGCGATAACGCACCAAAGGAAGAACGCGACCGCGTGCGCAATGCTCGGAACGCCCTACTGCAGAAGCAGAAGGCGTTGGACACCATTAAAAGTGATCATAGGTCTTTAAAGGACTTGTGTACTAAACGCGAGGAGATGCTGACCGACCTGGGGAACGCGTTCGCGGACGGTCTTGACACAACGGAAGATGAAGCCCGACTGGACGAGATGTCGGAGGAAATCAAAGCCAAGGAGGCGGCACTCATCAAGAACCTCGTCTTTGCTGGCATCGACGATCCTGACTTTCTCAAAGACCCGAACGACTCTATCGCGGTGCCTGACTCACCAGCCACTCCCGTCGTCTCCGCTACACAGCCATCGTACAAGCTCGGTCTAAGACCCCCGTCCAGTCAACAGGCAGTCATTCCGGAATACAACTCACAGGTTGTCTTGCAGACACAGCCACTTCAGACCCGGACCCGTGAAGCTACCGCCGTGAGCACATCACAGAACACGTCCAGACCACCGTCGGTTCCTTCATTTTCAGAGGCTGGAGGCGGTAGCCTAAGGACATCCAACCTTGCTGGTGCGGATAATACCGAGGATACAGCTATAGAGATTGCCGATGACGACATGTTTGACGCCATGGGTGACGACAGTTGGATGGCATTGGACAACCCCCCTGTTCCGTCACAGGTGAACCCTCCGAAGACGCACACGAAGACACCAGCCAAGAGCAAAGTTACGCCCGTGACTGATTACTTTGACGATGCTAGTGATGAAGAGGAAATGCTGGCCGTTGCGAACAGCTTCGAGCAGCAGCAGGCGATGCTCGCCACGCCCCTGGACGCACACCGAGCACGGTCAGTGTTATCGGAGTCGTCAGCGACTGCTGGTCCTCCTCCGAGAAAAAGAGCGGCAGCCAGGATCGAGGCTCCGCGCCAGCCCAAAGCCTCGATCAACTCAGAATTGATGAAATATCCTTGGTCCGAAGATGTTCGCCGCGCACTGAAGGATCGTTTCAGGATGACGGGATTCCGCCGCAACCAGCTTGAGGCCATCAATGCTACCCTCGCCGGCAAAGACGCATTTGTGTTGATGCCCACGGGCGGTGGCAAGTCCCTTTGCTATCAGCTGCCAGCGATGGTCAACTCGGGCACCACCCGCGGCGTCACCCTGGTGGTCTCGCCTCTGCTGAGCCTGATGAACGATCAGGTAGCCCATCTTGAACGGCTCAATATCCTCGCCAAGTCCTTTAATGGAGGCATCAGTAATGAGCTTCGCAACCACATTTTGGGCGTTTTCAACCAGACCAATCCGGAGCATTTCGTCCAGCTGCTCTATGTGACTCCTGAGATGCTCACCAGCAGCCCGGCTTTCAGAAGAGGCGTCGACACGTTGTATCGGAAAAAGAAGCTCGCGCGCATCGTGATCGACGAGGCCCACTGTGTGAGCCACTGGGGCCACGACTTTCGGCCGGATTACAAAGCCCTGGGACAGTTCCGACGATCGTATCCCGGCGTCCCCGTTATGGCACTGACAGCCACAGCGACCAGGAACGTGATCGCCGATATCAAACACAACCTGGGCATGGAAGACTGTGAAGTCTTCTCACAGAGCTTCAACCGGCCCAACCTATTCTACGAAGTCCAACCCAAGCAGACACGCTTTATCGCGGGCATGGGCGAAATGATCAAGACCAAGTATGCGGGACAGAGCGGCATTATCTACACGCTCTCGCGCAAGTCGGCCGAAGGTACTGCACACACGCTCTACACTAAGCATGGGATCGAGGCTCGTCACTACCATGCTCAGATGGACCCCGAAGCCAAGCTCGAGGTCCAGGAGAAATGGCAGAGAGGGGAGATCCAGGTCGTGGTGGCTACGATTGCCTTTGGCATGGGGATCGACAAGCCGGATGTGCGTTTTGTCATCCATCAGAACATGCCCAAGAGCCTGGAAGGCTACTACCAGGAAACCGGGCGTGCGGGCCGCGATGGACAGCCTTCTGACTGCTATCTCTATTTCTCCTACGCCGATATTCCCGTGCTGAGACGAATGATCAACGAGGACAAGGACAAGGTCAAGGAGGAGAAGGACAGGCAGCATATCATGATCAACCGCATGATCACGTACTGCGAGAGCTTGCATACCTGCCGTCGGGTCCAGATTCTGCAGTACTTCGGTGAGAAGTTCGACGCCGCTGAATGCAACAACATGTGCGACAACTGCCTCAGTGGGCAGACGATTGCAGGTGCTACGCTGGAAGACTTCACAGATTGCGCCGTGGCTCTCCTCATGGCCGTCCGCGAACAGCACCAGCTCACGTTGGGGAAACTGGTCGAGATCGTGACAGCAAGCAAGAACGTGGGGAGACACCAAGGCATTGCTGGCTTCGGTCGCTGCAGGGGGATGAAAAACCACGAAGTCCAGCGGGTCGTCATGGTTCTCCAACACGAGGGCGCGCTGACCGACGTACAAGTGATGTGTGAGAGCAACGGCATTCCCGTCACTAACTACGAAGTAAAGATCCCCCTTCTCCCTTCTCCCTTCTCCCTTCTCCCTTCTCCCTTCTCCCTTCTCCCTTCTCCTTTCTCCACTCTCCAGCTAACCACTTTCTCAGCTCGGTCCTGCGGGCCCAGAATATCTCGATGGCGACCGCCGGCTACGGTTGGAAGTGCCGAGATCCAATCCGCCGGCCGCTCGGGGCAGGAAACAAGGTCGGGCTGCTACCCTCGATAATGCATCGGCGGGTTCCTCTAAGGCGACCCGGACCCGACGACCCCCACCGTCGACAAACGTTTCTTCGCCTGTCCCTGCTATGTCGAAGAGACAGAAATCAAAATCAATCGCCACGACGCTGCTGGACGAAGAGGACAGCGACGGGGAAAGCGACGCCGGGCGGGACCTGACCGCCCACGGCTACGACAAAGACGGGTTCGTGGTTTCGGACCAGGAAATGGAGGAGGACGCCTTCGACCCTGTACCTCCCCGCCGCCGCCCTTCGCCGAAGCGGCGCCAACAAACGCTGGACGAACTCGGCCCGCCCATCTCGCGCGACACATGCCTTGAGGAAGCTGGAATCGACGACGTTCATAGGGACATCGTCGACGCATTCGTTGACAGAGCCCACGAGATGGAAGAGAACGTCCGCAACAAGAATGGTCTCCGCCGCCCCATTTTCACGGAACAGCAGTACCGTGAGATGGCAATCCGCTGGACGACCACTGTCGCCCAAATGTACACCATACGCGGAGTCGACAAGTCGAAGGTGGACCTATACGGCGCTAAGTTCGCCGGGCTCGTGCAGCAGTTCTACAAGCAGTACCAGGAAATGATGGGCAAAGCGACGCAGTCGCCCTCGGCGGCGGCCGAAATCGCCCCAAAGAACAGCAAGAAGGAATTCGTCGACCTCATCAGCGACGACGAAGACTATGTCATCAGCGAGCCTCCCCGCTTCCGTTTCCGGCGTGGACAAGAGGTGTATAGCGAGGACGAGGACCAAGACGACGACGAAGGCGAGGACGAACTCGAGGAGGAGATCGTGGATGAGGGCGAAGATGACGAGGACGAGGATGACGAAGCGCTTGAAGCCTCCCGCTACTTCGCCGACGGCGCCTCCCGATCGTCGTCAACTCACACCGCCGACCCCACAGTCCAACAATGGCACCAGCGGTTCGAAGAGCTCAGCAAGGCAGACAGAAGGAGGGCCAAGGCGTCGTCCAACAGCAACGAGGTCGCCGGCCGGATCTCGCGACCCGAGTGGAGGGGCGGAAAGAAGCCGTTCTACGCCAGGAACCGGAATAATAGGAAGGGAAGCTCCTCCCGTGGTGGCGGTGCGTCGTTCTCGCGGTCCAACTCGACAGGCGGCGTGTCCAAGCGCAGGGGATCCGTTGGATCTACCAGCCGACAGCCCGGAAGGGGCAATGCATCGGCAGGCAGCTCGCGGACCAAGTCTGCGTTTGGAAGTATGAAGGCTGGCGCAAGCAGCGGCATCTCCACCATGCCTTACTGAAATATCTCGGTTGCGACAAGGAATCCTTACCTCATGGCTTTACAAATGGCCCAAAGGTTGGCCGTTGGTTCGCTGGATTGGGCCTGCTGATGGGAGAAAGGGTTCCTTTGGGGGTGCGTGCATCCATGCGTGCGCAGTCTGCTCCTTTTTTCTTTCGTTTCCCCCTTCGGCATCACGGTCCCAACTTGGCATCGCAATCCCCATCTTTCTCGCGAGGGTGGTCAGGCTGTTTACTACGGTCTGATCATTCTCGTATGATGTCATCCCAAATTTCACGTTACGCGAAATTTCGCCATCCCATCATCGCGCGGTCTGATTGCCTGGCCGCTTTCTGACCTAAGAGTTCACGTTACGCGGAGTCCTTGCGGTCTGATCTTGTTGCGGTGCGACCGGCCACTCACGCGGCCCCATCATCATTCGGCGACTTCTCGCCATGGGGCGCCCCCTTCCGAGCTCAATATGGACCTTGCGCGCGGTCGGTCTTGTTGATTTCCCCCACTATCATCAACTTCCCACGAATTTGCTTTAACGATCTGCATTAGCCGGCGGCGTGTTACAAGAGGCATTGGTTGCGGTGCATGGGACACGGAGAAAGGGGGGAGGTGCATGAAAAGTCAGGCATGCAGCCTGTTTTAAGGCTGTGTTTGGGGCCTTGTTTTTTTGTTCTTCCGCGCCATTTCGACAGTTCTGCTTTTTTCTTTTTCTAATAAGCTTCAGAGGACGGAGGAATGCTCAGCTACAGGCTCTAGCTAACTCGGGCATGAACGTCATGGAGAGAGGATGGCAAATCATGGCTACCGCATGCATGAATGGTGGTTATATATGGGCGGCGGCTTACCTCATTTAACTAGACGGGCAGGCGAAATGAGTATCAAACATGCAAGCATCGGCGTGGCATTTTACAGAGCCTTTTTCCACATGCATCGGCATAAGCATTCTCAGAGCTAGCGTGCACAGGTAGACCTTGGAGGCAGATTTGAAGACATAATAAAAGTCCCATCAGAGGGACAGATGCGACAGATGTGTTCAAGACAGCGAGCGATGTTGATGCACGTAGGTACCATATATATATTTCTACCCTCGTCCCTCCCTTTCGAGGATATGAAATTTTCCGATTACCCGTCCTCCCTCACTTCCAAAAGTTGAGGGGACTGACTATATTGAACCATTACGCCATTTCTTCCATCTGGGTTATGCTGGGGTATATGCTGAGCTATATACGGGGTAGGTTGAAATGAATATGCAGTAAACAATAACTATTCAAGCAACTGATGCGAAGAAGTATGGTAATAGTGTAGAAAAAAAAGGTGGCGGGGGCTCTGGAGATGGCAACCCGTGCTTTGTGAAGTGAAGAAGAAAAGAACAGAACAGAACAGCCCCTCGGTCGCGGTTGGTTTCCACGCTATGATACATTGGAAGAATCCAGGGCCTGAAGTAAACAAAGGGGTATTTGTAAACAAGCGGTGGTGGAAAGGGGGTTTGTGCGGGGCTCGATCCCGGCAAGGAAAGAGAAAAAGTGAATAGATCGAGCTAAAGGCCGAAGAGTGGTGTAACAGTCTATCGATCGGGAGTCATAACATCTTTCCAGTCATGAATGGCACAGCTTACCCCATCTGGGGAGCTCAAGCTGTTGATGGTGATGCAGCAGTCGTGGGTGATTGCTGCTGCTGCAACTCGGAGATAATCTCCTCACGCACCTTGCGACACCACTGTAAGACGGCATCCTCAAAGTCAAGCCAAAGCTCGGGGCTGCTGTTGTACTGCAGTCCCAGAGGGTCAATCTTGAGCAGCACCTCCCAGCGCAGCTCGGCCGCTTTGAGCCAATAGCGTAGATTGTCAGCTCCGCGATATGGCTTCTGGGTGTTAGCGTAGAATGTCGGGATGTAGCCGAAGCGCCGCTGCGACTTGCGCACCGCACAATTGTGAAGGTGCACCAGACGCTGGCCGTTTGAGAGCGCTGCTAGGAACGGCGTCGGGAGGGACTGCGATTCCAGCGGCTTGGTCCGGTCGATGGGTGTCCATTTGGGCAAGACAGGCATGTTCTCGATGGGGTCAGGACCCTTAAGAATGGAGCGCATAAATGCCTCCTCGCGCTCAAACTCGCGCCCTTCCCAACCTTCGGGGCGCACCCAGGTCCAAGTTGCCTGCTCCGCGACTTCTTCCGCTTCTATGGCATCCTCGGCTTTAAGCATGGCGCGCAGTCCCACAATCCAAGCATCCATAGTCCGAAACTCGTCGTCACGCATCCCGCCGGCAAAGCCCCTAGTTGCCATGCGCTTGAGGATGTCCATGACAGAGAGCAGCTCGCCGCGCAGCTCTTTCTCAGACTTGATGGCGTCGAGACGGTCGGGACGATCATGGGACGTGTAGTAGATCTTAGCGGCCCGGATAGCCAATGTCATGACGTCGAGTATGCTCATCCCCTGGATCTCGTGCCATCCGCCCGACTGAAGAGAGGGCCTTCGTGAATCTGAGGCCTGATGTTGACTAGAGTTGTCCTGGCCATCCACCGTCTCGATCTTGACCGTGAGCCCTGGAGGCGGTTTGGCGTTCTTTACCTCGTGCAGCGTCTTTTCGGCCACGTCGAGGGAGCTGGTCAATTCGGACCTCAACTCGGCCATAGACGGTGGCTTGGGCACCGGCTTCTCGCGATGCTGATAGGTGCTCGTCGTCGGCGGCAGCATCTCCTCGTCGAACTCGTCCGAGAAGTAATCTTCGTCCTGCTGGTCCGGAGGGTGCTCTTCGACGGGCGACTCGGCCATAGAGCCAGCACCCCACTTCACACTGCCGAATCCGGTAGGGGCCGTCCAGTCTGGGCTGCTCACCATGGATGCATAGCTCGAGTCATGATCGCTCTCGGGCTTGGGTGTCAGGAACACACTTGGGTCGAGCGACGACAAGTCCAGGGTGTGCGCCTTGTTGGGGTCCCGTCTCCGTGCCAGCCGCCCGCCTTTGCCATCCAGCAAGCCAGTGCGGGCAAAGTAGTACTGCAAATGCGCAATGCTGCCCAGACTGAGCACACTCTCCCGGCGCTGGGCGCTGGCGGCGAAATCAGTGCCTTGCGGGCGCATGTAGCCCCGCCGCCGGCTTGAGTTTCTCCTGCCCACTAGCTCCGCGCTGCCAGGACCGCTGCCGGTGCTCAGATTGCTGATATCCGAGTAGCGGTAGCTCGCCGACGAGTGCCGCGAGAAACTCGAGGCATCGCTGCCGAGAGATTCCCGGAACTGCGAGCCTTCGGTGGTCGCAGACCCGTGTGATATAGTAGACCCAGTCGAGAAGCAACGAGATATGCCCGGAGACGGCCCGAGAGCTGGCTTAGGTAGGGCGTCCGGGGCGGGCGAGGAGCTGCGGGGGACAGCGGACTTAGGCGAAGATGCTGCCATTCTGGCTCTGGCGAGGAGGTTTCGGCTCCTTCTTCAGAACAAGCCTGTCGTATTGGCTAACTGTCGTTCTCGAAGAACACTTCCTTTTCCTTCTTTGTTACGAAGCTCTGATGCGGGCACCCGAAGTAAACAAGGCGGGAGGGCTGGGCTGCAAGATGACTGCTGGTTGGGGACACGGCAGCAAGGAGAGATGTCGCGGCTCCCTGCTTGCTTCGGACTGGGAGATCTACCACGGCATCCGTCGAAGAAAGAGGATCATGGAAAGCCAGCAGTCGGAGGTTCGAGCCCAAAAGTGTAGTTTTGAAAAGGTGTCAACTGCGAGAAATGAGAGGACCGGATTGGGCTACTTCAGGCGGAAGAATTGCTGAGACGGATGGGGGGGTTGTCGGGAAAGTCTCCCGCGCGGCCAGGTGATTGTGCTGAGGAATCGGCTGGGCCAGGGGCCGTGTGGGTTCAGTCATTACGCCAAAGGTTCCAGAAGAACCCCGGGAGGCCGACACGATGGCTCCCTTGGTGATGTGGGGAAACTCACGTCGCGTGGAGAGCTTGCGTCGCGCCAATCTCCGGATGGGCAACGTCTGTTCCCCTAGTGTCTGTACATACTGAGTATTCCGTACGGATGCTCCGTAATTAACATTGGAAGGAAACCGAATAGCCCCGCCGAGCGGCGACGCAGAAGCCCCGTGTGACTCGGCTCAGTCTCACAACAGCTAAATCGGAAGGGCAGATGCATCTTTTCGGTAACGACTTGGGGCATAGGTACATGGACTGTCTTCTCTGACACTCGTCCGTCCTCCACGCTTCATACGGACGTACTAACCCCCAGGTAACTCAGGTACGGAGGAGTGGGAAACGGGATGAACTCAAAGCGTGCCTTCCTGTTTGGGCCGAAGAGAATTGCCAGCCCGAACTCAAGTGATTGGTCAGAGGGACAGCTACCCCTGTCTCTGATACACGCACAGCGTAAAGTACGGTAACGGTAAACCCTCAATTAAGGGATGAAAATCTCTTTATCTGTCCAGTGCAATGGAACAGACAGGGGCTGCGTCCGCCGGCCGCTGCAGTCGCGTGGACAGGTGCATGCATCCCGCTTTTGCATTTGACTGTTACGGTGATCTTCTGCCTTTTACACAGGTATAAATGACGATAGTGTAGTGTACAATACGGAGTACTGTATTGTACAATCCCTACACAGTAGGTAATCTGATGAACTGTGTTCAAATCTCGATGACCCTGGCATTCACATGTTGACTTTCCATAACCAATTTGGCTTCACACATGATCCCTGTCCGAAGCGGCCAACTGCCGTTGGCCCGTTGTCTGGTGCGATCCAACCCGCCGCAGCTCTGCTCTCCCCGTCGTGTTCCAGAAGGATGCTACGTAGTACAGTAGTCAATTGGGTTACAGATCAGAAAGGCCAGCTGGGCGCGTCTGTTTGGTGTGGCGTAAACATAGTGCCCAATAAGTTATAACTACTAGTAGATACTACTAGTAGTATGTTGCAGAAAAGACCTCGGCTTCCTATGATGGCCATCTGCAAGCTGCCGGCACTTGAGACAGGCCAACAACATAGTGCCGACTGTCACAACCTTTCTTCTCTAAAGAAACTGGCGTCGGTCACATGAGGAAAATTTCGGGCTGACCTGCGTCACATAACTAACCCAAGCCTGCACAACAGGGCCAGAGGTCCAATCTGGCTTGGTTGGCGCAGCGCAATCTTGAATTCTTCATGAGCGAAATTTCCTGGTCGTCTCTCAGCGGCCGATCGGCGCAAAAAGACCCTCCAAACAACACCGGATTCGCCCGCTCCAGAGTGACTTCTCAAATCCTCCGAGCCCTGTTGGCCTGTCGATTTTCCCGCACGCCAGTCCACTGCTGCGAACTTGGGCGCTGCAGCATGTCCTTGGGCCAGTCGTTGACCGCAGCGGAAAGGCCCCAGAGAATTCAGCCAGGCTCCCAGCCAGTTGAACGCGCAGCCGGGAGACACCCTGCCCGGATTATATGGAGCAAGCCCCAATCGACCGCCGCGAGCGCCGTGACCAACGCAAGCCAAGCTGCTGTTTGAGAGTTAAGGATCCCACCCAACCCACCGCAGCGCAGCATTCTGGAGAGCTCGCTGCAGCCAACGCGCCACTAAATGACAGCCCTCGCTGCTGCTGCTCCAGGCAGTGGCAACGACCAGGACTGCCTCATAGCTCCCGTCGTTGTCGAAACCGACGTAGCAGCTTACAATGCCGACCGAGATACGAGCGACCTGAACGAAGCTGTCGTGCTGACCTTCTCCTCAGTCCCCGGCGGAGCAGCTCATTTTCACCACCTCGACGAGGGTGAACAATCACCACATCACGACGCCGCGGGCGGCATCGGCGTCCACAGCACCACTCACAGCCACCCTGGTGACCCGCCAAAAACATTTCCGCCGCAACAAATACAGCTTCAACAACAACTTGAACAACAACAGCAACAGCAGCAGCAGCAGCAGCAGCAGCAACCCTCGGCCAATGAGCCACCTCCTACCAATACTCCTCCTTCGGTACCGACCCATCGCGTGCGAAAACCCTCGCCCGGACTCGCAGCGCGATTAAAAGCTCTCGGCTTCGGTGGCAGCCGCAAGCCGTCGTCTCCACCTCCGTCGCACCATCTCGAACCCGGCCGCCTCCCCGAAGAACAGCTCCGAAGGCTTGACCAAGGACACCTCGCGAGCACCTCCCATACGGTCGTCGAGCGGCGGGGCCGCCCCTGGAAGGGTGCCATCGCCCGCATACCGTCCATATCCAGCCTCAAGTCGGACCGGTCGCACGGCAAGACCGAGACAGAACCCGACGAGCCGCCTCCCGAGGCCGCCATTGCCATTGCGGCGAACCCCGGCTTCCTCCCGGAAATTGTCGCCTCCGAACCGCTGGAAATGGACACGAACAAGTACCGCCTCCCCGATCACACCAACGGAAACGGCGTGAAGGCGCAGCTCGGCACGAGGGAGGAGCACATCGCAAGGGACACGCGCCCGCCGCAGCCGCCCACGACGCCCGAGATACGTCCGCCGCCCCCTCCTCCCAAGGACAGGCCGCCGCTGGCCCGGCGTCCCACGAACCCGACACCGCCAACCGCCCGAGATGTCTTCGACTCAGATTCGATTACCTTCAATCCCCTCGGCCTCCAGCGGCCGGGGTCCATCTACACACTATCAAGAGCTTCCTTTGCGAACCAGCTCGCACAGCTCACCTCAATACAGCTCCCAGATGCCGAGTCGTTGTCCAGCAGGGTCTCTGCCATCCCGACGGCCCAGGCTGCGACAAAGGCAGTAATAGGCGCGGCGGAACAGATCCGCGGCTGGATATACAAGGCCTCGGAAGTGATTGGCGGCTTGGAGAGCGACGACGATGTCGAATGGGCCGCCGCCGGAGGACGCGAGGGCGTCGAGGAAGTCGAAAACGCGATTGTCCGCTTTGAAGAGCTCATCAAGGTCTACGTTGGCGCTATTGAGGAACTGCAGGCTCGGGAGGACATCGCCAGCGTTTCAGCCGACGATCTCCGCCGAGCCGTCGCCCAAATGGAGGCCATCCTCGAGGAGTGGGCCAAGATGCGCAACACGCTGCACAGTGTCAAGGCACAGGTCGAGATTGCCATGGAATGGGAGGAGCTGTGGAACAATGTTCTCGGGGACATCCAGAACGAGATGGACGAGCTCGCCAGATTGGTCTTCGAGATGGAGGAGCGGCGGCACAAGTCGATCCTGGCCGTCTCGACCGGCGACGGCATGGACATTGGCGACCTGGAGACCATCGTGGAGGACACCCCCCGGGCTCCCGCGCGGTTGCAACTAACACCCAACCCTCGCTTCAGCCTCCCCCCCTTCCCCGTCAGCCCTACCTCGCCCTCTCCCACGGCGACAGGCATCTCCCAAGACGATTCGAGCCTGCTGGCACTGTTCGCGAGGATGCAGCCCCTCAGAGCCTCCTTGGATTTCTTGCCCATGAGGCTCTCCGTCTTCGAAGCCAGGGCCGAGAGCATATTTCCGTCGGCATGCGAAGAACTGCATATAAGAAGGTCGGAGCTGGATACCAGCTATAAGAAGCTGGAGAAGGATGCCGAGTCCCTCCGGAAGGAGCTCGGCGAGGACCGCTGGGTGCTTGTCTTCCGCGGCGCCGGGCGGCAGGCCCAAAAGATGTACGAGTCAGTGGAGAGGAGCGCTGCGAGACTCCGCGAGGCCATCGACAGCGGGATGCATCTGACAAATCAACCCATAATGAGCAAGAAGCTGGAGAGTTATGAGGCTAAGAAGACTCACTACGGCCCGGCGATCGAGCGGGTGCTGTCCATCATCGACAAGGGCGTCAAGGACCGGCTGACGGTCAACGGGGAGATTCTTCGTTTGCACAATGAGATGCAGGCGAAGTGGAGGGAATTGAAGGACGCCATGGTAGAGCTGGATGCTTCCATCGAGGAGCTTCAGGCTGAGCGACGGGAGCAGCAGCTGCGAGATTCCGTCTCCAGCATGCTGTCAAACGACATGTCGACGATCGCGAGCGGACACGAGACGCCTCAGAGCTCGCCCCCGTCTTCCGTGATCATGTCGTCTATGGGCCTGAGCAGTTCCACCAACCTCCACGGCCCCAAGCAGCGGTCGGCAAGCAGCATAGGCTACCGCAGGCAATCCTCCCTGCCGACCCCGACAAGCCAGATTACCCGGAAGCCCGTAGCGCCGAGCATGTCGACGCTCTCGGTCCCGTCCAGAGACTCGAGAGAAGGCTCAGCCACGCCAACCGCCAACAGGATACCCAGACCGACGTCGTCCTTGGCAAAACGGCCCAAGTGGAACTCCTCGACGAACACATCCGATATCGACACCGGCCACAACTTCAAGCCGCTCACGCTCACCACACCGAGCCCCTATGCCAAGACGACGCCCACCCCAATCCGCTCCGCCTCCGCCATGGCGCCCTCATCGGCATCCAAGCTGCCCACACTCAGAAGCCCCCTCTCCCGCGCAGGTTCGGCGTCACCAATCCCCGAAAACCCACATTCCAAAAGCGGGCCCCTCCTTTCCTTCCGCGAGCGCCTCGCCTCTCCGGGGCCGCCGCTCGCGCGACAACAGCGGTCCTCTTCCAGGCCGCGCCTCGCCTCCCAAATCTCCGCGCCGCCCGTTGTTCAAAACAACAACGGCAGCAGCATCAGTAACAGACGTGCGTCCCTACAGCCGCCAAGACCTGTCGAGATCTCGCCCCCTGAGGCGGCGACCACCCCAAGACGACCGGCCAGCTCCCTCGCGTCTTCGGCAACAAGGCGGACCAGCCTGCTGCCTCAGCCAAGGATGGCGACGACAGCAGCAAAGGGGACGAGCGTCACGGGCAGGGAGAGTCCGCAGGCGGTCGCGGGCGCCCGCTTTGCCATGCGCAAGGGGAGCAGCAGCTCGGCGGCCGCCGAGAAGCCCAAGGATATGAGGCCGAGGTGGCGGGCTTAATTAAGCCTCTCTCTGCTTTACAGGGGTCGTTCAAGCGATTGGTCAAGCGACTGGAGTTCTCTCCTCCCCTCGTCAAGGCCAACTCATTTCACCTTCTCGATCGCACCTAAATTTTTGTCCTACTAGCGGGTGCTACTCACTATTTCCTCTCTCGCGGCCATCGTGGTAATAAATACCAAACCTGATCCTTGACGACGGCAGCGTATATTCCAGTGCGTTTTTTTTGTCTCTTGTTCCAAAGGGAAGCGGGGCGTTTTTGGGGTTGCGCAACATCAACTGCATATCTCGGCATCAATCATACATAAAGGGGGGGACTTGCTTGCATCTAGCACTTCAGTTGTTTTCAAGGGCGCCTACCCGAACGTTTGAGGAGGTTTAGGTAGTTACGTAGGTCTCTTTTCTAAAATGTGGCCGGAGCAGGACTTGCGCCCAGGCAACTTCTCTTCCTTCTCAGAGTTCAAGTTCAGAGTCGGACGGATCTGATCTGGACAGGCGGTTTAGGGGGACGGGGGGTTGTTCTTTATTCGATAGGTGGAGATACCAGATTGGCCACCTCTACATCAGGTAGGTAGGTAGCTTTACCGGTGGAAAAGGGGGACCAACAAGGCGACACTTCCAAGGTATCTATCTATCTAGGGGTATTTTAGTGGTTGATTTCTTCATTTCATCTCTTTCTCGGTCTTTGTCTTGTTCTGCTATCCTCTTCGTTGTTGCTGCTCGGCTTCTTATACCCTGTGCGTCATACCCCTGGGAGCCTTGGCTTTCATCTTTGGTTTACTAGTAGTTCTCGTAAATACCACTGCTAACAAAGTCCCTGTCATCCCATGCTTGCTTCGTAGTGAAAAGCGGCCGGCTTGTCCTCTCAGGGAGATGTTAGATTCTCAGGCGGGAATGAAACGGGTCATCAGTTGTCTAACTATAGCCTAAGTCTAGGATCTTGATGGGAAGAATCGTATCCAAGATTCCACCACGGAAGCTCGTCATTCGACTACTATCCGTACTACATATCAGCCTCCCCATGTTCTAATCTCCCATGCTGGACATGCCTTTGGGTAATCCCTCTCTCTTTTCCTCTCACACCGACACTCCTCGCTAGGCTCGGCCCTGGTAATGGCGGCGCCCGCACTTAGCACATTGCGGGAGCAGGTCATCCTCGTCGTCATCACTCGACTCGCTTCCCGTACTGTCGTGCTGGTTGTCATTGTTGTCCTCCTTTTCCTTTCTCTTCGGGCTCGCCCACGCGGAATTGCCGCCGTCATATCTCCTGGTAACGACATCCTCCCTCCGCCGCTTTCTCTTCTCCGCGGTGATGTGCTCATCAACCTTGAGCCTGCCGCCATTCTCACCGTCCTGGGAGTCGGTTGACGTGACGGCGTCGTCGTCGTTGTCGTCCTCGTCCTTGTTCTTCTTCTGCAGCTGGAAGAGATAGCGGTCGCGCATGTGCTGCTGGCCCAGCCGCTCGGCAACAAAGTTGGCCGAGTTGAGACTGACCAGCGTCCGCTTGGGCCGTCGTCCTCCGACACGCTCCATGACCCTGACACAGAGGCGCCAGTTCTTGGCAACAGTGGTCTTGGCCTCGTGCTCCTCGGGCTCGTCGCACGGTTTTCGCTTGACGAAGTCGCGAGGCTGCCTGGGAATCAGCGATAAGACGGAGGCGTCATGCTGGGTAAAAACTTGAGGTGGCTTGACGACGTCGGTGAGGTAACGGTCGTGCGCAACATCGGCAGGCGTGCGGCCGACGGCGTTTTCGCAGCACAGAAGGCTCTCGTCGAGGTCAATGACGGCGTGCACGATGGTGGGGTCCGCGTCCCTGGCCAGAAGCGAGTGCAAAGGCGTGTCGCCGGTGCCGTCGAGCATCCTCAGTGCCTGCTTGGCCGTTTCGGGAGAGATATCGAAGAGCAGCTTGATCACGCGGATTGCGGAGTTCGCAGCCTCTTCATGGTACCCGGAAATGGCCACGGCGTAGCAATACTGGTGCAGTGGTGTGCGGCCGGAGTGATCAAGTTTGTTTCGCTCCTTCAGCATCGGTATAAGAGTCGCGCGATCGAGAAGATCCAGAAGCGGTTTCAACTTCTTCGGATGTGGCATGTAATGGAGCGCCGCGTGCAATAGGTTATTCCGTCCTCGATCCTTGGTGGTCTGGTCGGCTCCAGCATCGATCAATACCTTGACTGCATCAAGCCGTCCTAGTCGGCAGGCTAGCATGAGCGGCGTCACACCATTCGCTGCCTTTACCTCAAGCAACGTCGGTTGGGTCCTGACGAGATAAGAAACCAGCTCAGTAGCCTCCCTACTTGGCGGAGCATAGACTGCGGCATGTAGGACCAAATCACCTGCTTCGCGTCAGGGCCTGTGCTCTCAAAATCAACGTCTAGGTTCAGGGTGCACCTACTCTGATCATGCAACCACTTAGAAATAGCGGCGTCAAACCCGCCCGGAGCTTGGGCGAGGTGCTTCAGCCTCGCGTCTTCACGGGCCGCCTCGGACTTGGCGAAGGTAAGATAGTGTCTTAGCGGAGTGTCGCTGAGGAACCACTCCACGGTCTCGATCCGGCCCGCAGAGGCAGCGAGTAGAAGAGGTGAGGTTTCGGTACCGCTTGGTTTGTCGGCTACCTCGCGCCCAGCGGCTGCCCAGTCACTCCTATGCAACATGGTCGGTCAACCCATGATTAGATGGACTGTCTAGACACTGATGTGTAGAGGATTTGGACATACCTCTTCTTTCCGTAGACTGTCAACCCCTGATAATACCGGGGCTTCACTTTGATTTCCACCCCCGTGTGCTTCACCATGTGCTCCAGGGGCAGCCCGGCCCCGGTGCGCTTGATGATCTCGCCGAGCAGTTCCACACGGCCAAGTTCGACAGCTAGCCTGAATTCAGCATCTGGGAAGGTGTAGAAGCGAGGACGGTCTTCGTTGGAGTCAAGCTTTTGAGCGCTCCAGCGCTCGTAGACCTCCAGGAGAAACTTGAGTCTCTGCATGTTATTTTCGGATATGACAGCTACGAAGACGAGTTAGCGTTGAAAATGGGGAGAAGAGTAGGAAAGGTGGAGGGTGAGGAAAGAAAAGGGGGATACATACATTGCAGGAGGAATCCCCAGCTCGCCATCTGTAGGGGCGTAGTGCGGCTGTTCACCTTCATCGACACCTGTCCGACGTTGTCGATGGTGAACTGATCGTCTATGATCTCGCCATATATCCTTGGCGTCGAATCGTCTCCGTGGGCCGACTCGTCATCTGAGCATTCGGAACAGCCATCGTCCGAGCACGATGAGTGCGGTTCGGCCTGCATCCTGTAGCGGGTCTTGGGTTTCTCTTCCGGGGCATACTGCGCATGCGCGATCTCAAGGATCGCCCTCGCCACATTGTAGTGGCCATGAGCAACGGCGACCGAGAAGGGGTTGTTGTTCATCGAGTCGAAAACAGCAATCTTAAGCGGCGCTTGCTCCTTGGCGTCATCCCAAGCTGTCAGTGTGAGAGTCTTGATGGTCTTCAGGTCGCCTTTCCAGGAAGCGTTGAACCTTTGCGGCGTCAGCATAAGCAAGACATCCCAGAAACGAGCAGTGTCTCACAGCTTGATATAAGCATTCCTCCTGGCCTCCGTCACGTCATTGACGTTCTGGAAGGTGAAGGTGTAATTGTAAGGCTCCGTCTTTTGAACGAGAGCACGGTGCGGGTTCGGAATCCCGGAGCCTTGCCACTGGTCTTTGGGCCGGGGATCGAACTCGGACATGGTCTTGGCTCCGTTGGCAAGCAAAGCCTTATAGACCGTTTCCACTGTCTTGATCGCTTCTTCAATGGCCGTTGCCTTCTCCCTCTCACCTGGAGCACTGTTAGAGGCTGCTCTCTCCTTCTCATAACTCCTGAGATTCAGCTGATATGATCTCCGGACTCTTTCGATATTCTCTGACACGACCCAGTGCTGGTATGTTCCTTCTTCGAAGTTTCCTAGGAAGGAGTCGATCCCTTCCGGCAGCTCCGGAGGAGAAGGCGTCGGTGCGCTGTTCCGTTGGTAGTCACGGAGTATCTCGAGCTGTCTCTGTGCAAGATCCAAGGTTGACCCCGTAAACCGCGAGTACGAACTGAAGTGATACCACGACGTGCTGGTAACGACGTTGGGGTTTGCGGCACGCTCCAGGAGCTCGAGGGCTGTTTCGGGTCGCGGGGACTTCAAGGCCAGGATCAAGGGCTGTTCCACCCCCGAGGAGAAATGGCCTTGGTTGAACTCGAAACTACGGAGTTGGTTCTCCATGTTCGCGGCTTGCTTCGCGCATTTAAGCCTGGTTGGGTATTGCACAAGTTAGTCTTGGTCCTACGTAGTAACGTGGCTCAGGGCGGCTAATGAATGGTGCGCACCAGGTCTCGAAATCAATATGCGGAAGAGCGCCACTGTCGAGCAGCTTCTTGACCGCGGCCAGATTTCCCTTTTGAACAGCGATCTGTAGAGCGCTCCGGAAACTGAAGTAGTTGCCGAAAGCAATGTGGTTGATGGCCGTTTTGGTCCCCGTCGGGTCATTTTCGCAGAGAGACTTGAGGAGAGATTCCGCATTTCGCTCTACAAAGACGTGGAAAGCAGTGACACCATTCATGTCCGCTTGGGCAGAAGTCGCGCCGAGCTTGAGGAGAGTATTGACCATCTCCTTCGCCTTCTCGACGGGGAGAGCAAGGGCGAGCATGAGAGGCGTGAGTGCAGCATTCGGTTTCTTCTGGTAGTCGAGGAACTTGACGGGCAGGAGGACATCCGCACCATAGTCCTGAGGTCCAATCGTCAGTGCTTGGGCTTGATTCTCATGAGACGCGAAGAGGTTGCTTACCTGGACCAGGGTTATGACCACTTCCGTATGCCCCTCGATGATAGCATAGTGTAGAGCCGAGCAAGGCGTGTCCCAGGCAAGCACGTTTATATCGTAGAAATCAGGTTCGTCATCGTCGTCTTCAGCCAGAGGGTCGTCCAGCGGTTCGGCCTCCTTCTTCCCAACCTTGACAAACGATCCGGTCGCGATGCTCTGTGCCCCGTCATCGGACTCGGCATCGTCAACCATCTCGCCGTCCGACTCGTCATCGTCGCTAGCGGTTTCTCCAACGGCTGGTCCGCCATCTGCGGTCTTTGCTGCGGTCTTTTCTCGCCGACGTCGATCTTGCTTCTCTTCGTATTCGGCCTCGTTGGCGGTGCTCCTGTCCAGGAGGATCCTGACAATCTCTACGTCTCCCCGGGCAGCGGCAAGATGGAGCGCCGTTCTGCCGTCCGCAAGACGAGAAACGAGGCGGGCTCCAGCATCGACCAGGGCTCGGACAATATCGGGCGTGGAGCTCATGGCGGCCAGATGCAAAGGTGTTCGGCCGGTGTAGTCCCGAGTGTTGGGATTACTGCCCTCCTGAGCCAACCAGTCCACGACGTGCTCGAGGTCTCCGTCTACAATAGCCTGGCAAAGTCGGGCAGTGTTGCCAACATAGGCCATCTCGGTCCAGTCGTCATCGGTCACGGGGTTGAAGGAGCCGATTGACTGCAGGGGCATCAGTTGCCGCTGTCATGGGCTGGCTGGCTGCCTTTCACCAGGAGGGACCAACTTACCTGTCTGCCAGGGTCGTCCTTGATGAACGAGATGCGGCCCGAGACGAAGACTTTCCCTTCCTCCTCCGCGATCTCCTTCTCCTCCCCTGTCTGTGGAATGGGGCAGCATCCGCAGCAGTCATTGACCACATCCTCGAACCGGCCGAACTGATAGATAGGCATTAGCAAACAAAAAGACACTGGCATCATGGCTAGGCCAGTCTCACAAAGGCCGGATGGCGATGGAGGTAGACTTTTCTGTCCTCCGGCTGGTTCCATTCAGCATTGAGCACTGCGAGTTGAGGTTAGTACTAGTTGTGCGCCGCGTCCTGTGGTCTGGTGAGAAGTAACCCACAAAGGTCCCTCGTGTAACAGAGCTTCTCAATCCGCTTGGCATGGAACCTGGGTCCATACGGGATGGTAAACGTGTGGTAGTTCGAGACCTCCTCCTCGGTGAGCCAGTCGGCAACCTCATCCTCATGTGCTTCTTTGATGTTGCCTCTGAGCGACCGAAGGTGTCGGTGATGGCGGTTGATACGAGGCCGGCCCCTCTCTTCACGGCGCCTGTCAAGATATTGATCCCTTGCGGACGACGTAGGCAGCCTCTCCAAAACCAGGAGCCTTGCCAGACCGAGCGTGCGCTGAAAGCTTCGCTCGAAGATGGTCGGATCGACGCGCGTACGGTCAAGGTCCGGCCAGTACACTTCGAAGCCCCTGTGGCTGTACTTTGAGAGGCGGCTCTCGTACGATGGGCTTCGGCGAGTCAGGTCAATGTGGTTGATCTGGGTCATGTACGACTGCAGCGCACGGGGCGTGCAGTAGACCTGCTTGCCATCGTAGGCAGCGCCCGAACAGTCTATGTCGAAGCCAGTCAATATTTCCGAGACGGACTTGTAGATCCGGAGCACAATCTGTACAGCAGTGAGCCATCGTCTGGAACGGAGATTGCGGGTCTCTCAAGTTTACCTGAATGTGGCGAGTCGGATATTGGCTGCCTGGGAGAGGGATGTTAGCCGGGCTGTATAGAGATCTCTAGACGGGAAGTTTAGTTGAGAAGCTACTTACAGATGGTGATGGCGTGCTTGGTCCTGACGACGGTGGTCTCGGTGAGGAGAGCGTCGCGAACCCGGTTCTCAATCTCCTTGATCTTCTCTATGGCTTGGTCTTCAGAAAGTCCATACAAGAACAGATCGACATCGGAAGCAGCGCAGAATTTCTCATGGTAGAATTCGCGGAGGCCTCTCTTGGACCGGCTGTACTCCTCCGGGACAGGAAGCAGGGTGTTGACAACAGAGGATCCGGCCGCCACCACATTGTTCCTAAAGGCATTGTTAACCGTACGCTATGTGCCTAGATGAGCATAAAGTAACATACCAGTCAAGCTCGACGAGCGACGACTCAGAGAAGACGTTGAAATTGTGCTGAAACTCCTTGAAGGACTGGACCACGGCAGGGGACCCGTCGGCGCGGCGGGTTTCGGCCGGAAGGGGCATGATGTACCTGGCCCTTTCCTCCTTCGATTCCGTCTCCAGCTTGCGGGCCCTGATCTTGATGTTTGGGGTGTCCTCGGTGAAGAGGGGCAGCACGTTGACATAGGGATCTTTGAGCAAGTCATTGTCCGAGTCTTGGGCAAAGGTCTGGCGCAGATGGGCCTCATACTTGCGGTACGGTTCCATCAATTCCACCATTGGCGTCTCGGGGTGCTGGGTGATGTATTTCACCAGCCCATTCAGGGGCACAGGTGGCGCCGGGATAGCCTTGGATGCCATGTTCGGGGACAAGAAGGTCAGAAAGGAAGTCAAATGGAAGTTGAGAGGCAGACGAAATCCCAAGTCTATTTGCGAGGACTGTCTTCGAAGCTGCTGAGAGACGACAGCAGTCGAGGAGTCGAAAGGTGCCCATTTATGAGGAAAGGAGACTACCTACTCCCGGGGCTAAGTCATTCCGAGCTGCATGCCGAATTAGTGTCAATCATGACGACTTGGCTGATGGCGGTCACAGTTTGTGGCGCGAGTTAAGACAATCGCGTCGGAGTAGCGCTCTTCTGCCTAGAATGACCCGCGATTCTCCGTGACAAGGGAACGCGAAGTCCAGTGATCGCACATCTAACCCGGTCCACTCGAAAGGAAAACAACGATATATGCCTTTGTCTCACGCTGATGCCTGGAACTGCCTAACCTGACGGCTGAGATCCATGATTCATTGATGGAAATTGAAATGAGCTGCCAAGTCAGCCCAGTCCGTCTTAACAGAAAACGCAGGGTCAGGGGAAGGAACAATCAACGAAGCGAGTCAAACAAGCGACCGCCCAGCTCAACTACCCGCCAAGAACCCGAAGTCAATCTGAGAGAGCTTCAACTGTTAGTACCGTGACACAGAATTACTAGGAATCTACCTCGAAATAAGTGACGTAAGCAACAATGGTTTTCTCGTCCCAAGCAACCTTTTAGGCTCAGAACCTGGAAGTACTAGGATCCATGTTGTGAGTAGGTGTTGGGGTAGTCTGACCGAGACCTGGAAACCAAGGCTATTTGGCCCGAGCTTGAGAAACGACTAGGTAGTGATTTGGACCGCTCACTGTACATGATAAGGGCGAAGTCTTTCTTTGTATCGAGTCCCGAGATAATCCAAAGTCATCAGCCCGTATGTATGTCTGTCACGAGCCAGAAACTCTATCCCCCGCGCCGAATCGTAACAAGGTAGTCAAGTCCCGAGACACCGCAAGTACAATCGCAAGGCACTTTGAGGAGGAGACCTGAAGCGCAATAACCATGTTGCATCATGTAAACCAGCAGCCACCCAAAACGCCCCTGGCCGGATCCAGCATCGTACAATGTCCTTCCTATCCCACGAGCGAATGGGTCAGACGCATACTCCAAGAAAAAACACCGAACACCATGCTCCGTATCTCTAAAGCCAACCAATTTATCCCTTCTATAGTGCGATGGCGCCTCTCCGGTTCTCGCGTAGATGCAGCAGGCCTTGGAAGCCACAGAAAACGAGGAATCCCTGGGAACAACCAACATTAGCCACGTCCTCATCCGCTTCTGGCCTGTCCCCGACACGGAACCGCTGTGAACCCGGTAAGGCATTGTAACGTACAGCGTAGATGATGACGGCGGTGAAAACTGTGGCCGCAACTTCCGGCCCATTCTCCGGGTCCTCGTCGCCGCCGACAAGCTCGGGATGGTTACCCTTGAACAGGAGTCCGAGGACCGACAGGATGATGATTGCGAATGTTGAAATGACGACGCTGGCGCAGGATTAGCACGACACGCGCCCCATTCTATCGAACAATCCACAGCCGAGGCTGGCGACGTCACTCACCAAGACCATGCTTGCATCGCGCTCACGATCGGCTTCATCTTGGAGGCGGGGGCCAGTCTTTAACCAAATAGCGCGGTAGTATCAGTATAAGAGCCTCGACTTCGTCGGGGGCTGCGAGTAATCGCTGGAGAGCTTATCGTATGGTGGACCGGTGGTTGGTTATAGGAAACCCTTCCTTTCGGCTACAGTCACCAAGCACCGGCAATGGACCCACTATTTTTGTTGCCTGATAACCGAGGCAGACATAACGCTCCAAGTGTGGGGCGCCTCACGTTGAACAGTTGAACTTCCCGAACCCCGGTGTGCTCACACGCAAACATCACAGTATTGTAGCCCGCCGTCCAGGGCAGGTATCCCAACGTCTACACAATGACTTGAACTGCGCGGCCATTGTCGGCTGCCTTCTGATATGGCATCGTCTTATGCACCAGTCATGCATTGCTGTGCTTCACTGGAGAAATTCTTTTCGCGCCTAGAGAAGCAATGTGGAAGATGCAAGGGAACCGAGCATTCAGTCAAGTGGCTATCAAGGCTCCTCCTGTCTTTGCAAACAATATTGCAGCTCCTCTCTTTGTTCGATCCCTACCGGACGACGCATGCAAAGAGATATCCATGGACGCTGTGTTTGAACAGCACTGATCCGAAAGCAGAAGTTTACCTCCTTTCCGCACTCTTGACTGCTGGCTGTGGCTGTACATACATGTACTGCAAATCCACATGGCCTCGCATATGGGCTGCATTTGGAAGCGCCAGCCAGCGTCTATTTTCACCACGGGAAAGCCGGGGAGCTTCCTTGAGGCTTCGGCAACGTGAATAGCCGACCGGACCGAGCTGCGCCTTCCCAGATCGCGCCCCAGCCTCACTCGGAGCCTGAGCTAGCTCAACCTGCATGCCCTGACTTCCATTCCGTACGAATCGCAAGGGTTTCACTGCTCGATCACCCTCGATGGGCTCATTGGGCCCGAGCTGTCGGGAGGGAAACGAAACGCCAAGCTCAGGTCGGCCTAGGGATCGATCTGAAACGAACGGCAGGTAGCCGCATCGAAGCCAGCCCTGCCGGGCCATCAATCGCCACGTTGACTCCAGCATCTAAGAGCACCGGCCGCGTCCCACCACAGCATAGGTTCTGGGCTTCAAGTAGTTTCTGAGCGAGCTGCTTCAGGTTCAAGGCGGAAGGCTCAGGGAGAGTCAGCGATGGAGGACACCCCAGAGCGAGACATGCCCAACCCTATCCCCCCAGCGCCCTCTAGAGCGGAGAGCGAGAACTACCCAAGCAGTCTGCTGAGCATTGGTACTAGTTATACTGCATGCTGTCGGTGTCACACTAACTAGTAACCTTGTGTGCATGCATGCGTGTGTGTGTCCCGGATCACTGCTTCTCACCTCTGTGGCCTGCCAACTGCGTTTCGACGTGCAGGATGTCTAACTAGCTGAACTTGCCCCAGTTTGTTGCTTTTGGCCTTTGACAGTTTGACGTGTGCCGCAGCAGATCCTGCGGAGATCTACATCCGAGAGATGTCATGATTTGTATGGGAAGTATCCCAAATGCGGACAGCAAATCTGACTAAATTGGGGAGCCTAGCATTTAACCGCCTTCTGGGCAACGTAACCTCACTACGGATGTACACAGTAGTAGCATTGTGTCGTCACAAAGGGCAGCAGCGTTGCAGGACCTCCTCGATTAGTTTGTTACCGAAATGCTCTGTGCTTGATAGAGATCAGCATGTCACACGGCCCCCCACAGCAACGTGCTTGGGTTACTCGTTTGGGACGATGAACAAAGGCGTGTGAGTGAAACCTGTTGTTGGCTCGAACCGGATAGCCGCTGCGGGCGGTTTGCTCGGCCAACCAACCCCCCAACCAAGCAGCGTGCTAAATCCATGTCGGCTGTGCCCCTCCGTCACCGCCGGATTTGTCGATCATGATGGAAACCGCTAGCAACTATGAGAAGGAACCAGTCAACTCTTAGTCAACGTTATAACTGTCCGAGGATGTTTGAGTTCGGCTACGTGTGCTCCGGACGATGTGCTGAGTGAGAAGCCTTTCACGTGGTACAAGTACCTTTGGCCTATGCAGGCCAAGCTCTGCGGTAGCTTACCCGCAGCCGGGGCGGTTTCTTTGACGGTTCCGAGCCATGGGATGGATGGTGACGGCGGGTGGCACAAGGACTGCGCCGTGCGGCGCCAAACCTGGAAGTCACACAGCTTGACTCCTTCGGTGGCCGAGGGCCATCCAGTGTAATCTACGGCAATTTACCTGCAGTAGACGGGGGTGGCGGCCAACTGCAAGGTACCCATCACCAACCGGGGCGGTTGCGCTTCCCTGCAGCTCACTTTTGTTTACTGCGGTTTGCCGCGCCGTTGAGCAGCACCTTCCTTGGCCCCTGCCATCTCCCGAAATCCATTCCGCATGAGGAAGGCCTACATCCAACGGAATCCGATATATACCTTACCCACCCGGCTTCTGTCACCTGTCAACTCGCACCTGATGATCCGTCTCATCTCTTCTCCTCAAAATACGTAAAGAACTCTGTGGATGCCCATCTCCTTTGTCCGAGCGACCTTATCCCCCAAAAGCTCAACTTTTGCCTGCCACTTGGTCCATCAGTCTGGGCTTATAAGAGGAAATTCATCTTGCCCGGCAGCCACAACTGGGCGACCAGATAGTTCGCCTTCACAGAAAAGCCTCCTCCCAATTCTAGACATATCTCGGCCAACATGCGCGCCTCGAACAGTCTGTCACTGCTGCTGGCCGCGGCCGGCACCCGGGTTGCTGCTCAAACCGACTCGTCCTCCAGCGCGGCTCCCAGCAGCACCGTCACACCCGGAGGGCCTGTCACGGGCGTATGTGGTATCCGTCGGCCTCGCAATTGTTTTTTGAAGCCAAGTGTACTGACTCTTGGCAATAGGAGCTCGGCGATGCCCCAGTAGTGATCGATAACCCCCAGGGCGTCGTTTACAAGGCGACTCTACCCGAGTCAGCCTTCTTCAAGCCTGCGTTCCCAGAGGGAGGCAACATCCAGGGCGAGGTCACGGCCGTCGCCAGCGCAGACGGCAGGGGCGTGCAATTCACCTTGAAGCTCAGCAACCTGCCCAAGTTTGACGAGCCTCTCCGTAAGTCGCACAAATTCAACCTCCCCCCACTCCGGGACGCACTCACTCTCACTCTTCACGCCCGACAATACGTTACCTTACATAAAAATGCTGACCCTCGTGCGCCTCTTAGCTTACCACATCCACGTCGACCCGGTGCCGTCGGACGGCAACTGCACGAAGACGCTCGCGCACCTGGACCCCTTCATCCGCGGCGAGACGCCGGTCTGTGACGCGTCGGCGCCGGCGACGTGCCAGGTCGGCGACCTGAGCGGCAAGTACGGGGCCATCCCGACGACCGCGGAGGGGGGGGTTTTCGAGGCGTCGTACGTCGACCTGTACGCCTCGACCGTCGAGGGCATCGGCGCCTTCTTCGGCAACCGCAGCATCGTGTTCCACTACCCCAACAAGACGCGCATCACCTGCGCCAGCTTCGAGAGGGTGGAGGAGGGCGGCGGCGGCTACGGTGGCAGCAGCAGCGTCTCGCTGCCCGTGGGGGCGCCGAGCTCCACTGCCGTCGCCGGCCCCACGTACGGCAGCAACGCAACCGTCACCGTGTCCCCGACCGGCGGTCTCTTGCCCCCGACGACTACCTCCTCCGGGGCGGGGCCGTCTACCACCTCGGACGTGGCTATCGGTGCTGCGGCGGGCTTGCGGGCGGGGATGGCCGGCGCGTTGGTGTTTGGTGGTGCGGCGGCTGTTTTCATGCTCTGATTTTGGCAAGGAGAAGTGACAAAGGAAGACATGCTTGGTTTTGCAGGTTCGGCGTTTGGCGGGGGTTCACCCACCGAGGCGGCTAAGAAGAAGGAACGGATCGATGGCGGGTTAGTGGGTACTAATTAGCTAATATCTGACCGGGTTTGGGCGAAGCGTGATGCGTTGATAACTAGCGGAATAAAATGAGTTGCCTGATGGCGGAAGCGATGCTGGTACCTCTCTGAGAAAGTATGATGATTGAACATGAAGTGCCAGTTGCTTGATCCGACCGGGATCGATCCGCATCCATATTAGTTGATTCGTTCAGCATCGGCCTGCAAATCATAGGTACCTGAGCAATCAGTTTCTCTCGTTGGGTTCATCACATCCCGTCCATCGGGTCAAGGTACATAACGTTAGGTGTAGTGCAGTAGGTGGACTTTTTCCACTTTCGAAGCTGAATGCCCACGATCCGCGCTGATGAATGGACGCCATCTCGCCTGAAAAGCGACTGCTTGGCGCGGTTCATCCCCACACCTGGGGCCCGCGGGAGGGATCCTAGCGCCGATCAAGGGTGGGGCGGGATCCACAACATATCCGAGTCTGTTGCTTGTCTCCAACAAAAAGCTTGCCCTCGAACCTCTTTCTACCTGATTCTACCTGAATAAAAGTTATCTTCAAGCCCAATTTCCGCTTGCCGCCGTCGATCACAAGGCACCGCTAAAAAGTCAAGAGAACCAGGGTGGTTTGAGATTGTGATCAGAGCCACGACGGCGTCAGTGGAGATTCGGACCGCCCCCCTGCCACACGGTCAGGCGTGATCATTACGCGCTTCCGTCTTGGACATGGATCCATCGGTTTGACGCGGACAATATTGCGTACAGACTCACCATCAAGCAGTCGGGAGGCGCCGGCGGGCGATCAATGTTTCGGACTTGGGCTTTTCTGAAGAGGCGGAAATGGCAGATGGATGATGCCATGGGCTGGTCCGGGAGATGTGACGGTTCACTTGGCGCGCCGGGGTTGCTGTGATGAGCGGTCCAGTGGTATCCTCTAACCTTCCAATGCGCAGGTTGTTTGCTGAACTCATCATGAAGGATGGCCGCCTAAAGCCGAGCAAGCGGTATAGGTCGGGGTAAGGTGAGAGACTCTTTGCATCTTATCAACCCGACGCTGTGGTTCACCCTTGTTTGCGACTGTTGTTTGCTTTCCGTCTTTGTTTTGGACAAGCAACTCCGGGCCCCGGGTCGGAGTTCGGTCATTCTTGGGTATTCCGGGAGGACTGCAGCCCGGATAGCTCCAACATGGCTTCCGATCACTGTCATTGCTCCCCAATTCTGCAGGAGCATCAGAGCCGCGTGGGTTGACAGATCCAGGTCAATGCACCCCTGCGTCGATCCGCAGCGTTCCCAGGGCATGCATGGGTCAGGCGAGGAGTCCCGGCCCTTACCAAGCTGGATTCGATGTAGGTGACCCAGCTATGCATGTAAGACAAGGTATGTTCTGTAGTTCATCATCTCACTGTGACGTTAACTAGCAAAAGAAAAGCCACGAGCAGTTTCCCGGATTTGCTACGGCTGAGACATGCCCTCCATGTCAGATGAACTGCTGCGGCCTTCCGCGCATCTTGCAGAGAGATGAAGGAAATGTCTTGGGCGCCCAACTGCGTAGCGTCAGCCTCGAATGTCACCCACCCCCCTTCCGAAAGGGGAGACGGGCGGGTGCGGCAACAAATCATCGTCGCCCTTTGGCTATGCAAATCGGCGACATCGCCGTCCTCGGGGATGTCCAGGTCTGTGATCTGCCCCAAAAGGGACAGCACTCGAGGCTAGTGTAGAGGCAACCCGGTCTTGGTAATCCCAAAATCCGAAATCTCTCTCCCATCGGCGTGAACAGTCCAAGCTGCACGCGTGCGCCACCCGGTTAACGATATAGCTGCAGGCGAGTTTCCGATAGGGCTGTCACCCGCCTGCCAACCTACCCGTTCATTCACCCATCCTCTGTCGGCCCTGCCGATCTGAACAGCCAGGGCTGCCCTGTCCCGCTGATCTGGCTCGGACTGGCTGGCCAATCCCCTGCCTTGGTATGCCAGATACCTTACACTACCATACACAGTAGGGTAGAATCTCACTTCGGCATGCTCGCCATCGTTGGCGGTCCTAGGCGAGAACGAAGTCGTTACCTCGCGGCTTCAGATCCGGAAATCGACCTCGCCACTGCGGGCTCAGCTATCTTAGCCCTGACTCCTCACTACCTACCTCACGCAAGGCGTTCGACACACGCGCGCCAGGCTGAACAGGCGCCTGCTATTGGCAATTGCTGCCTTGCCTGGAGCTCAGTAAGGCGCTGGCAGCCCGTCCACCGGTGCTCGGACAGACCGATGGCTTGACTGGCAGGGAAAACGTGCATCCCCCACCCCCGGGCCCAACCAAGAGTCCGAGGGAAAGCGACGATGGAGTCCCGAATCCAAGCGGTCCCCCCCTCACGCCTCATACAGCCTTGCGTTTGCCAGGGCGGCGGAGAGCTTACACACACATCTACATACCTAGGTGCGTGAGATACAGGAAACTTGCGGTGGTGGCGAACCGGCCGTTGGTGTCCGTAGTCAGCCAGCTAAACTCGGTACCCCACCGGCTGGGTGGTGTCCCTGCTATCTCCCTAGCGATCATCACTTGCCGCTTCATCTCATCACCGTACAAAACTCGACTAGTGTGCGGGACTGGCTGGGATGCCAGGTCAAGTGTGCTCCAACAAGCGGGTGATCACGTAGTAGCCAACCAGCGGCCTCACCAACCTGCCTGTTCGTCCGGGGAAGGGGGCGTGCTCGTCCCGGAGAGCGGCCGATGATGTGATGTTCACTTCACATTCCAAGGCACACAACCCATCTGCGGGCTCCCCTGGACGATTGTTGGTGGCACATTGACGCACGCTGAGCCTCCCATGCGCTGCTGGACTATTGAAGCCGAAGGTAACCCTCTCAGCTCAGGTTTGCTGGTGTGATAGACCTAACACACACCCGAGATGTAGACTTGTACCTGCGAGGAGGGCAGAGGGGGGAGGGGGGAGGGAGCGGCTCATGATATATATAAGTATCAGGTTGTTGGTTCTCAATCCGAACACCAGACAGACAAACGCCTGTCTCAGCCCAGTCCCGCCAAAAACACCGCCCTCCTCTTCTTCCCAATGGCTCGATCCACTGTCCTTCTCCGGCTGTCGAGGCGAAAGCACGAGGGCCCTTCCTCGGTCTCCCACGACCAAGTGAAACAGGCCCCATCGGAGAAGGAGAACTCGTGGCGACGCAAGTCTCTGGCTTCCCTGAGCCGCAGGCTTAGCCCGGGTGTCAGACATGCACTCCCGGCGCCCGCCACTGACTCACAAGATGCCTCCCACCATGATGATATTGTCCTGGACAATGACGCCCGTGTTGAGCCGCAGGCGCAGGAGCTCTACCCCAAGCCGGTCGAGCTCATCCGCCAGGAAGAATACCCCCATATGAGCCACGGTGAGGATTTTACATTTACATCTCCAATCTTTCTTTCTCTCTCTTTCTCTCTCACTCTCTCATCCCCTTCTCCTCTCCTCTCCTCTCCTCTCCTCTCCTCTCCTCTCCTCTCCTCTCCTCTCCTCTCCTCTCCTTTTCTTTCTCACTCCCCTCCCCTTCTTCTCTCCACCCTTACGAGAAAACTAAACTAACTCTTATTTTCTCTCTTTGTGTTCATTCACAGGAACCTACCTCGACCACAGCGGCACCACCATCTACGCCGCCTCCACCATCGCCCGCACGACCGACAAACTGCTGGCCAACCTGTACGGCAACCCGCACTCGGCCAACCGCCCCGCCCAGCTGTCGGGCGACGTGGTGGATAGCGTGCGGCTGCGGGCGCTGCGCTTCCTGGGCGCCGACCCGCGCCACTTCGACCTGGTCTTCACGGCCAACGCCACGGCCGCCATCAAGCTGGTGGCCGACGCCTTCCGCGACCTGGGCGAGCAGACCCGCGCGGGCCGGTTCTGGTACGGCTACCACGCCGACGCCCACACCAGCCTCGTGGGCGTGCGCGAGCTGACCGGCGGGGACCACACCGTCTTTGAGGGCGACGCCGACGTGGAGGCTTGGTTGTCTTCGGATGGTCATGGTCATGGCCATGATGCTTCTTCTTCTTCTTATGCTTATGCTTATTATGATGGTGGTGGTGGTCGTGTGGACGGGAAAAGGGTCTCCAGCCTGGGCCTGTTCGCCTACCCGGGCCAGTCGAACCTCACGGGCCGGAGGCTGCCGCTCGAGTGGGCCGGCAGGCTGCGCCGACTACGACGGGCTGGTGCTGGGGGACGGGATACGTATACCCTGCTGGATGCGGCGGCGCTGGCCATGACCTGCCCCATGGCGAAGGTTTTTGCGGACCCGGATGCGGCCCCGGATTTCACCTGCGTGTCGTTCTACAAGATCTTTGGCTTCCCCGACCTGGGCGGGCTGGTGGTCCGCAAGGAGTCCGGCCACATCCTCGCGCTGAGGAAGTACTTTGGCGGCGGGACCGTGTCGATGGTGAGTGCCATTGGCGGCGCGTGGCATCTGTCGAAGGGGCTGGAGAACACTAGGGGGGAGGGTGGGGATCATCATCAGGTGGGCGGTGATGGTGGTGGTGCGCTGCACGAGGGTCTCGAGGACGGAACCTTGCCGTTCCACAGCATCTTGGCGCTGGGGGAGGCCATCGACGTGCATGCCGAGCTGTACGGGTCGATGGAGAACGTCTCGGCGCATACTACCGCCTTGGCAAGGAGGTTATATGAGGGGATGAGGGCGCTGAGGTATCGCAACGGGCAGCCGTTGTGCATGGTGTACGAGGCCCAGGGCGGAAGCAGGGTTACAGGATACGGGGATGCCAGGCGTCAGGGCGCGACTGTGGCCTTCAACGTGTTCAGGGCGGATGGGGGATACGAATCATACGCCACGGTGGAGAGGATGGCTAACGAGAGGGGGGTTTACGTGCGATCAGGGGGTAAGTAAGAATCCCATTTTGTTCGGGCAACAACCCGGGCAGGGGAGGGGGGAATGAACAAAGGCTAACCAATGCAATGTACAATACCTACAGGCATCTGTTGTCCCGGAGGACTGTACACCGCGCTGCAGTACGAGCCGTGGCACTTGAACCGGGCAAAGTCGGCGGGTCACCATTGTGGTACGCTGCTCCAGATCCTCGATGGGATCTCTCTCTCTCTCTCACCTTGCTCGTTTGGTGGCTGACAATCGCAGGGCCCTACGGATTGAGCCTAATCAACGAGTTGCCTACGGGGTAAGCTGTCCACCTACTGTCACTGCATCATCATCTCTTTTCTCCCCCCTTTTCTCCCTTTTCCTGTGCTAACAGCTTCGTCCCGCAGAGTTGTACGAGCCAGCCTCGGCGCCATGAGCACTCGCCAGGATGTCGACCGGTTCCTGGCCTTCCTGCACGAGACCTTCATTGCGCGCGAAGACAGCGGCTATGCCAACAGCAATGGCAACGGCTCTGTGGCGTCGGTCAAGTCCGAGCATCTAGAGAGCGTTGGGTCGGAGCAGCATGTCTGCCTCCCGCAGGCGGCGGCTGCTTGCTGTTCGGTGTAGGTGACACTAAGCCGAGGATAGGGTCGCAGATGGCTGTTGTTGGGCGTCGTGTATATTTTCCCTGTCTTATAACTTGTCCCTTGGTCGGTGTCGGTGGGCTTTGTCTGCTTTTTTTGGGCGGTTTTGTTAAAATGCTTGGAAAATACCTTCAGTTTACCTGATATATGTGAGGAGAGAGTGAGTCAAGGGTCAGAGGACATTTCATCGTCATGTATTGTACAATATTCCAGCTTGTGCAGGATTCGGTACTAATATTGTTTCTCGGGCTGATCGAGGAATTAATCTTGCGATCACCTCTGGCGGAAAAATGTCTAGGATTTGCAACATATCAGAGGAGGCATTGGAGGCTGCGGGACTGATTCAACCCGTATTCATGCCCCATGCAGGCAAAGCTGAGAGAACATGACACTGAGAGTATTGCGGATTGCATACACCGCTGTGTGCTCTCGGTTCCCCATAGCCCAAGCACCCACTATCACCGGGGTACAAATCAACAGGGGCCCTTGGACTGCAGAGGTCAAATAGGCTAGAACAAGAATGGCATCGTCAGCCTGCTCCGGGCCAGTGGTTTTCACCGTAGCCGGGGGTGTCTTACAATAGGTCCGAGACAACTGACGGAAGGGAGCCGACAAGTGCCGGCCCTTCCCTGCAGTAGTCCCCAACGGGGCCGAAGGAGGCTTAAGACGAGCTCTGTGAATGGTTGGCCACAGCCCGCCATGGTGCCTGAGTGCTGTGACGAAGATGGGACACACCCAGCACAGTGATTGATACCTGGAAAATAGGCTCCGGAATGATCCGAGAGAAAGCTGCATGGCAGTTGACAGGGAGGAGATGAGGGAAAATCTTTTCCATGTAGACATGTTTGTAGCACATGAGTTTGTACATGTAATGCATCTATATCTCGACGCGGAAAGGGGGGCTCAGGTCTTCAAGCGCATTCCCGACGTCAAAGGCATCCAAAGCTATGAGAGACGCTGGAATCACATGCCGGTTCATTGCCCGACCTCTCGAGCCTTTCGGCTTGAATGCGACGTCTTGCCAGTAACGTTAGTTAAGGTTCGGGAAAGCCCGCGTAGGAAACGGCCCGGATGAGATCTCGTTGGCCTATGCCGACGGAAGTGGCTGCTCCATTCCGCTTCTTGTTACTAGCGGTATACCGCCGTGATGGTTGGGTGGCTCACAATGGCTGGAAAAGCCGCCAGCCTAAATCTTGACGAGCTTTGTTCATAAGGTAGTTCACTCTGATTCTCCCACCATCCTTCTTAGGCGGTCGAATCGACCGACCCATCAGTTAGCCGTAGTCCTGGAGTTACCGCGCATCCAGGCAACACAAACGAGGCCGGTTCGGTCTACATACATGGCACCGCAATGCCGCCGAATGAGACACACAGTCCCGGGAGTAGTATGTACATACCGGGTGCCAAATGTAGTGATACAGTCGATGCGGGTTTGGGACACTGTCTCACCTGCAAGCCGAGTGAGTGCTTGTTAGCGAAGGTAGGTAGTGTCTCATTCAATAACCCGAGTGCTGCGATGGCGAGATGCGATGTAACCGCCGACGCTAGCAGTCAGCGTGTGCGGGATTTCCGTCAGAGGCTCTTGGGTTGCTGCAAATACCGCAAGAGCGGTTTGTCTCTGAGCTTGGGCGAACCTTGCGCCATAAGGTAGCCGAGGGCTTCTTCGGTACAGCGGTATGGTAATACCCAACGGCCATGTGAAGTTCATCGACGGCCTACCTTAGTTACCTACGGAATTGGAGGACACAACGGTAGTGTGGAATGTCCGTGCCGTTGGATCGGGAAGACACCGTATCATCAAGATCCAGCGGATCCACGGCTGAGGTGTGGTCTGCAGTACCAACTCTAGCTAACGGCGGCCACGGCAGGGGTTCCGTTGCAACTTCACACGCCGCTCGCTGTCTCCATTCCCATTCGGACATTAGTACTTTGGGTAGTCACTTGCTAAAGCAAGCAGATATCGCACCTTCAACATCGGCCCGTCGCCAACTTGAACAGGGGGTGAGCCCTCTCAGGACCAAGCGACGACGGGCCGACCACCGATTTTGCCAGAATTGTGTAAAGCTTCGAAAAGAGAGCTGGATAGGGGTAATCGATAACTCCTTTAGACCATTCTGGCTAAAGGAAGATCAAACTCGCAGAGACAGCTTGGGTTATTAGGTATTCATGTCGGCCAACTGATAGGCAGCGCAAGTCGACGGCGTGTTCGAGGAGGCCTAGATGCCTTGTACTGTATTATCGCACTGTTTTGCAAACGGTCTATGGCGAGACAAGTTGGGTATCGAGGCAACAGGCATCGCTGCGAACCTAATTTGCCTGTCTTTTGTTGCCTAACAGCCACATATTCGAGGGGCTTCATCCGGAGACCCGAGCCAGACGCCATAGATGCTGTAACATTCGTGCAGGCGGATGCAGCTGCAAGATGCTTGTGAAGTGATTGCCACGCTAGGGAAATGACCGTATGTGCTGAACAAAGCAAAACCGGTTCCAAGAATGATGGTTTTGTGGCTCAGCTCATGCTTGCAGGGTGGTGGTGTCATCTGCATCCGAGACGTCAGACAATGGACACACTCGAGAAATTTGAAGGTGGAAGTTCAAATTCTGGAGTTGGACTTCTCTTCCTCCGTCATGACCTAGAACCTGCGGGTGCTGAACTGTCCGATGCAACACATACTGCGCGCAGCATACCTTAGCTACTAGCTACACTATTTGTGGGATGTTTGCTCTGGCTTGCAATGCAGAGTCTACGGTGTAGAATGCAAGTATCACAATCTCAGTTCCCAAGAGGGAGTGTATTCGAGACCGCATTTTTATTTCGGCCTATCGGAACGACCTGTCACTTCCACGGACCGTAAGGTATCTTACATCCTACCTTACTAACATTACACAGAGTATTCATATCTCGTTAACGCCAACCGAAGGCTACTGCGACAATACTGTGCAGAACTTTCTGAAAACAGTGGTTTGGCCTACACTAAAATGTCGGAGTAGGTGTAGACCCGGGCTTGGTAAACGTTGCCGCATAGTAGGATGGATTCCAATTGGTGGGAGTTTGGTTATATCGGGATCACGGTGACGGTTACCGGTTAGCCGTGTCGTATTTGGCGAACAATACCACTTAGAACGGTACCTTACCTAGGGTCTGGAAGACCGTTGTACATACAAGTACAATACAATATCTTACTTCTGTAATGTACAGACTATTACTAGTAGTACTAACAGAGCAAGCAGGCACGGCAAGTAAGCTCAGTATTAGGGCTGCTCTAGAACGTTTCCGATTCCCCAGCGCAAATCCGGGCCTGAGTTCCGAAGAATCCGTGGGGCCTACTGCAGCACTTTGGTGGTTGTGTCAGCTCAGGCACAAGCTGTGACAAGAAATGTTGGCAATCTTTATTGCTAGAAAGGATGTATGGTGGTGTTGGGTCACTACAATCGAGATCATTTGCGGCCGGCAGGGACCATGTTTTGACGATTTTGACGAGTTCGGCCAGTCCGGTGCCCCAGAGTTTCAGGCCGGACCAATGTCTGATCTCTCAGGCCGTGCGAATGGCTTGGTGCGCTTATTAGCGCACTCGTCCTATCCCGGGCTCATGGCATATTGGCTTTATTACTTCTTCTTTCCTTCTAGAAGCGGTTCTCGGAAGATTCGAATTTCGGCCGGGATATGCCGACGACGCTAAAATCATTACCTTCCGGCCGAGAGCCCCGTGGCTTGAATGGACACAAGCTACTATAGTCAGCGGAAACATTGAGACTTCGGAATAGCGGCCAAGGGTACCTCATCGGAGCATAGTACGGATATATTCCGTACTTCGTACAGATACTCAAATCGGAAAAAACCGCGTCATGACCTCACCCCGTTGGCTTCCGGCTTCTTATGTACGCACTACGTACAAACATTACAGTACGATCCAATTCGCACTTCATCTACACTCAGGACCGGTGAGCTGATCGTCTGCAAGATATGTGAATACGTATAGTATCTGTCCGGACGGGGAACCCGATGCTACCCCATCTGCAAGTAGTATGTACGGTATGTACTAGTATGTATGTACAGCTTACTGCAACATCAGTCTCAAACCGATGTGAGTGAACCCACAGGAACTCGGGAGTGGGGGGTTAGGATGGTTAGGATGACTTGGAGCACGATATCAAATCTAGCGGCATTTTACCAGTTTGCTGGCTATGCTGCCCAGATAGCTAAATTGTCGGCGTCGCTCTGCATCCAAAATAGCCAAAATCGAAGTGGTATGGCGGTGCGTCGTGCAACATGCTGGAGGAACGGAGGGAGGAAATGAAAGGATTGACAGCAGGTGTGTGAGGGAAGTCGAGCCAATACCAGGAACCCATTCCCGCCTAATGCGACTGCGATCAGCTCGTCGTCCGAACTTCGAAGGCGGCGCGCGACCACTCACCACCCAACTCACAGTTGGACGCTATGCAAGGTACCCGGCACTAGCAGTCTCAGACAAAACCTGGTTTGGCGGGCTGACGCTCCTTGCTCTGGCTTGCTGAAGTTGCTGCGAGCAACTTCACTGCATGATATGGCTGACGGCCCACCCGGCCGGGGGCCTTGGATTCCCTTCTTCCATTGCTTCATTCCATGGCTCGACCTTTGATGAACCTCATCAATCTGGTTCTCGAAACTCTCGGTGTCCTTAGTACAGTACGATACGTACGGGTACCCGTGTATGATTTCGCTAGGTCCTTTTCAAGCAAAGCGCAGTTTATTCCGCAAAATGCAACCGTGATCCAACCAGGACTGCGAACCAACGCCATCCGATGCCCCAGCACCACCCAGCTGTCGTATGAGCAATGTGATTGAAAGAGAGCACCTTAGCAATGCTCAGCTAGGTACCTAGCTGAGATGGAGATGCGCTTGTCCTAAATGGGGAACAGTTGCTGAAGAGACAGGGGTTGCTTCGGAGGACGCGCGCTGCGGTTGCGTAAATCCAGGCGGCACCAAAACCCCTGGCGATTGTTACACCTGGCCCAGGGGATTCACAAACTCCCCCAGACAAGGGCAGGGATTCTTTGACAACCTGGAAGACGACACGCCGCGCGCCCGATGAGAATGTCTCGAGCCATCTACCAACACAACGCGACTCAACGGAATTTGATGGGCCTATCCGTGCTCTCCGAATTTGTGGCTATTGTTGCGAACTCACGGTCGCCTAGCCGTTATTGATGTTGCACTTATCCAACGCTGCCCTGTAAGCTCATCAGCGACCGGTCCGCTCTGCGCTTGGACCCTGGACGACATTCCAGGCTTCTTGATCGCCTTCCGCACCCGTTCCTCAGATTCCGAGATCAGATCTCCTTCATGGGGATCGTTCCCGGCCCGAGTACGACCCTTTTGCGCATGAACCACCCCCGGCCTTGGACAAGGATACTACGCTCCCTCCCCGGCGATTCTTGGGTGCAAGCGACAAAGAGAAGGTCCGTCGAAAGGAACAAGATGAAGTCACCGTTCGAACCCCAAACAGGCTCGGCCATCCAGGAACTGCCCAAGGCGCACACAACTGACACCAGCGCCGCACGTACATTACTTACATACATATATACACTTGTAAGTTCTGCTATTTGCGTACCTAGCGGATTGCCGCCGAAATCAAGCCGCAGCCGGGGTATCTGGTTGGGGTGGCCGTCAACGGAAGAATGGGGGTACGGGCCAATCCCAATCTTCACAGGCATGGAAGGGTGAACGGGGGAAGAGACATCCCCGAGATGAGTTGTGTTGACCCTGATTACCACATCGGTTAATGGTCGAGAAGCGACAAGGGAGCGCCGTGAGAGAGTTATGGGGAAAAAAATCTGTACTTCTTTCCGAAGAGCCAAATGCTGGAAACGGTGTTTCAGCCTTTGGCAATGATCAAAGGATGAATTAACCCATGCCCCCTGGTAGCTAACAGCTATTTTTCCATGTTAGCCTCCGGGGCCTGGCATCGCAGGGAAGCCCTCGATGCGAAGCCGAGTGAAACTGCGTTGAATGGCCTTCTTATTCTCCAGACTCTTTTTTTTTACTTTTTTGCTTCAAGCCCAGAGATCGCCGTCCTGGCGTTTGGCTGCTTCGTACCTTGTCCGGTTGCGCTCATCGCGTCTCCGCTGTTGCTCCTGGCCGCAGAATAAAGAGACGACGAGGAAAGCGCACCCTTTCATGTGTGCTCTTCCTTTAATTGACGTAACGACCATTGTCACCTAAGTCCTGATCTCGCCACCACTCCTTCCCAAGACCGGTTACGCCGCCGGTATAAACGGCTTGCCGCTCTTAATAGGCTCGATTTCTCTCCAACAGCACCGCGTCGCCGACATCACAACACTTGTCAAAACAACGCTGGGTTGCCTGCAACCGGTATCAGGCACGCGTGTCTTACACCACGCCGTTCTCCTTTCATCACATTGTCGCCCAAATCCGCACCTTGGGTCCTTTGGGCAGCCCAGTTACCGGGCTCTTTGGGAAAGAGCAGCCAGGGGGGTATAGAAGGTCGAGGGAGAAACAGTCTGGAAAAACAAAGACCAGCCTTGAAAAAAGCAAGAACAGCAGACCGCTTAGCCCCGGTGCCTCCCGCCCGGCACGTCAACAAAGTCAACAAAGTCCCGATTCCTGCGTTCTTCAAGCTTCCTGGTCCGCCAAGCGTGTGGACAAGTCTGTCGCTTCCCACGCATTCGAGGGCCCGAAGTTCATTGCAGTCGACGTTGGAGTCGCCGCGCCGCTCGCTACCACCCCTTATATTGTGTCAACGGGATTTGCTCTGCCATCCCCGGTTGGAAGCCCACCACTCTGGCAGCTGAATGGCCAAGACACTTTGCTGCTTATTCGCAGCTCGGCAATAGAATTGCAACCCTCTGGGACTCGCCATCATCGACTCATCCCACTCTACCTGCCTGCATTGGCGAAGCTACCTGGAGCAACCAACCACGTCTTAGCGGATGCTTAACCGGTTAAAAAGTGAGGCTCACCTGCGGCTCCTAGACATACCCGGTATTTAGACAGCCCATCACCAAGACTCTCCCGCTTGTCCGCCGAGAGGAAGGGTCTCCACGCAGCTCGATTGAAGATATCCCAACCACGCGCATACACATTCGCACCACACCACCGACAGTGTTCGGCGGAAGCCCTCTTGTGGCCGACGGTCCCATTCCCCAAGCCACCCCCGGTATCTCGAACAAGGCCCCGACGCCAAAGCTCCCAAAGGTTGCACAGGGGCTTCCAAAAACAGTAGCTGCGGCAAGCCCCCTGTTCTGCCTGCCACCCAAGATCAGGTATCCAGGATTCGGGGTGTGAGCTGTGCCTTCAACACGGCTGCCAAACTCCCTCACGCCCTCCGAGTCCATTTCAGCCAACCCTTGGTTCGACTGGTTCGTGCGTTGCGTGAATCCCTCCACACGGCGTCCTCTGCACTGGACATACCCCAGAATCCACCCGTTAAGCTTTTGCTCGTGGTCCTCGGACCCCAGGCGCTTCTTCTAGAGAAGGCACGCAAGCGTTCTCTCTTGGCACCTCTCTTGAAAGCGCACACGCGGGTAGACTTGGCTCGGCTCCGCATATAGCCCCAGCTTCAGTGTGCCCCTGCAGTGAGCTCCAGCTGCCACCGAGTTCTATCTGCCAGTTGAATTGGGCTAGGCTGAGCCAGACGTGGTGATTTCAGTCGCCAGTCAGGTTCGTTGGATCTGTATCGCCCCCCAAGTGCTGCGAACCGCAAGATCACCTCGATTGGCCGACCCCCCCGCCGCTCGCGACGACCTGTCCGCGGGCGTGTCTGGCTCTCTCTCCGACAAACCCGTCGGCATCATATCTGATTCACGGACGCCTTTGAGCTTGATCACTTGTCAGACGACGACCTTCTGACTCCGGCTTGCTTATGCCACCAGAGAGCTCCGGGACCGGTCGTTAGTATCACCGATTGTGGGGTTAGCTTACTCTCGCGGCACCTAGACCTACGGACGGTGATATCTGTTACTCAGTCGCCACCTGCCGCCGTTGGTACCTTGCTGATGTTGCCGGGCGAGCCATAGCGAACTTGATACATGGAAGTCGTTGCTCCGCCGTCCTTGAGATCGATTTCGGAGTGCTGGGCATCCAGCGACCCAGGCGCCTACCCTGCCGTACCACCGACAGAGCTCATGACAGATATCATGGCCTACCAATACCCGCCGCCGCCTCCAGGCGCCGATATGGACATGCCACCAACTGGATACCTACCCAGCTATCCCGCGCCTCCGCACGCGTCCTCGGCAATGGATCCAGACCCAACTGTTTCACCCAGGGATCGATCGGACTCATTGAAGTTGAAGCGGTCGATATCGACGCCGGTCGTCGGGCTATCGCAGGGCCAAGGCCAGTCGGCTCAGACCACTGGGCCGCAACAATCAATCGCACCCGGTCAGGATCCATCGGGGGAGAGAAGGAGAAATAAGTTGGGCTACCATCGGACCTCTGTTGCATGCGGTGAGTAGTCACTTGAAATCCGTCCTTGGCCGAGAGCCCTGATGCTGAGACTTCTCAAAGGTCATTGTCGTCGCCGAAAGATCAGGTGTGTCCCGTCGCCAAGCGACGTTCAGGGCCGTTGCATAAACTGCATACGCCTCAAAAAGGAATGCAGTTTCTACCCCGTGGACCAACAACCGCCTCTAGACACAAGACAGAAGTCGGGGTCGCGATCATCTATGGGGCCAAAGATCCCCTCGGCATCGTCATCCCCGGCTATGCAACCAGGGATTCCATCTGACATTCACGGGCACCAGCCCTATTCTCAACTGGCAATGCCCTCCATTCAGAACATGGCGCCACCCGTGAAGTCTTCTGGGAGCGAAATTTATCCGCCGGACCCCAAGAGTAAGTTCTGACAGCCATTGCCGAGCCGCTAAACCCCTTTTGCGCCGGTGTCCGAGTACTTAGCTAACCAACGCCAAGTGCCGTCGAGCGCGTCAAGCGGTAGGGCGTATGAATATGGCCAGCACGGAATGACCAACTGGATGTCGGCGGACACCAGTCCCAACTCATCGAAGCCGAGTGACTGGAGGTCGTATCCGAGTGACTCCCCCGTCACGCCCGCATTCTCTCCCTACACGCATGCGCCACCGCCGTCGGCCACCTGGTCGGCATCTGTATCCAGCGAACCAACAAGAGATGAGATTGCTTGGTCGTCGTATCCTGCGCCTCCTTCCCGATCCCTGTCCTTCAGCGCAGAAAGCATGTCGGGCCACCAGCAGTATCCGTCGATGTCACAGGTCAGCAGCCATTCGAGTCGTTCGTACGAGCGCAAGTCAAGTGCCGTCTCAGCCAACAGTGTGTATCCCCCGACCATTGCGACCACGATTCCTGGGATCGAGACAATCCCTGGTACTACCATGGACCCAAACGCTTCCTTGTCGGCAGGAGCCGTTCCGCCGTCCAGCTACGCTTCATGGCAGCAACCGTATTCGTACGCGAAGCCTGGCGAAAGCTATAGTGGATGGTACGGAGAAACAGGGGACCAGCAGTCATCCGGACATGGACATTCTGGCCCAAACGCTTATTATGGGCGATGAGTTCGAGCAATTCCGGTCGGTCTTCGCGGATGCGGTGAATCCGTCAAAATGGGCATCTGCTAGCTGGACTTGCGCTTCGTTATTGAGTCGCAAACACAGCTTTGCACTTTCCCCTGGGAATTGGGCTACCTCTTTATTGGATGCAGTGCGGTGAGACCGGGAACCAACTGCTCCTGGCAGGCGGGCATGGCATGTATCGTTTGGTGGCATAGGACTTTCACGATCCTCGAGAGATACCCGACGCAAGAGTTGCAAATCGAAAGGCGAATCTAAGTTCAAGTTGGGGGTACTATATCGGGGCATTTGCGACACGAGGTGTGTCACTTGAGACGTCGGTTCTCAACTGCATGTCGCACAGACCGGTTGGAAGGCTCCAAGCATGGGGCCTGGACTTTCAAGTATGACGACGGAACGAGGGCCTGGGGCTCAATCGGGAACTAGCCGACATTCGGTTGTACGCGCCGCTCGGGTTCAGCGAAGGAACGGGTGGACGCGAACAGACGACCACCAGAAAGACAATTTTGTTACGCAGCTGACGCCAATGCTGTGTGAGCGCAGGGGCGTGCAAGATTTTCTGTTGTTCATTTCCGCCTTTCCCCACCGCTTTTATCATATGCTCTCATCTTTCTCTTTTAGCGGACAGGTATTGCGGCTGAGCTTGTTGGCAAGCGCGATCTTTCATACTATCGTAAAGGGAGGGGAGGTTCAACGAGACTTGCCAAACTTGACGGACGGAACACGGGACGGCACGGGACGGCACGGGAGAAGCGAACGGGAGCATCGTATCCACTTCTCCGCCAAGTGGGGCTCGGGACAAGACCCCGGACTAGCGGAGTAAGCCGGCGCGGCATGCAACGTTATCGGCAAGCCACATCGGTGGAATCTTTGCCAGCGGAGAGGGGCCTGGCCGGTCACTACGCCGGACAGAGAGCATCCAAGGCGGCTATGCTTGGTGGGACTGATGGCGCTTCATGATGGGTGATGAGATGCGGGTAGGATGAAGTGAGACAAGTGCTCATCTGGTTTGGGATGGACGTATAACGGTTATACGATATGTCGTTCTCTTCCGTTCTTCTTCTTCTCGTTATGTCGGCTTACACTGTCTCCTTCCGCTTTCCCCTGGCATCATCAGCTGGGAAGCCGGGCGTTCAGGGAGGCACAGAGCGGCACTCCAATCTTCTATGATTACTCGCTTGTGCCACCGATCGTTCCCATTATTCTGTATTTATATGTACTTTACTCGCATTTCTTCGGCTTCAATTGGCTTGAGCGCGCGGCTTATGGGATCCGGTTGACTGCTTTTGCGAGGAACAGGCGACAAGCCAAGAGATAGACAGCGAGGGATAGGAGGCATATATTTGCGTATACACTGGTACCACGACGTGTATTCTGTTCGAGCTTATTTGAACTCCGTCTGTTTCCATTCCAGGGAATGCTACGTACTAGATGAGTGGCCTCGCGTCGAGGTTTTAGTTGGCGAGATATGGAGGGCAGCAGTGAGTGCACTGTTCTGTTGGTTGAGCTGACACCGCCGTCAGCAGTATTTGGATCTGAAGAGAAAGTTATGTTTCATGTGTGTTACACTCCGCAGCTTACTCAACGAACACTTGGCAGTGGGATTGTTGGCAAGGCAATCAGCTCCAAAGATGAGGCCCCGTGTCAGATCTGCAGACTGGATCATCTATATCAGGTCTACTGGCGGCATGAGGATGGTTCGCCAATGTACATACCAGACGACCAACAATAGACCAGAGTAAACCCGCCACGCAACCAAGAAACCAAGAGCCCGGCCACCTACTGTACAATACATACTAGGTAAAATAAGGCGCCCGTACCTTATCTATACCGTGTAGGATCGACTCGGATATTCCCCGCAATCCCCACAGCCATCCTACCCTTCCCGTCCCCTCCCCCCCAGCCATCCACATATAGCCGCGCCGAGACATGCATCGCCTCCTGACTATTCCGCGTCCGCCACTAGGGGCGCAATCCGCACTCAAAAGGGGTGCATCCGTGCCGCTAGTTGGCTGCCTATTCTGCACGCGCGCATGTTGGCTGGTGAGTAACTACATAAGGTACCTACCTAATAAGTTCTTAGCTTGACCTGACATACATATTGTATGTAGTATGCATGCAGGGCGGTGGGCGTTCAACTTATAGGCTTGGTTGACGCCCGATTAACTCCGCGGGATGGAGGTAGTCATCAATGTTTGTTGGAATCACTTACGCCGACAAGGTGACGTGTGATGCATGTATGCTACCTACCATCTCGGGCAGGGAGCGTCGCTGGCTGGGGGGTTTCATGCCGACGAGGAAACGCTTCCGGCGTCACTCGAAGTCGTCACGGCGCTAATAAGGGATGTTTACACCATGCAATGAGGCAGCGTACTTGCTTAATAATTCCACGATGGAGGGAATGGAATTGGGGTAGCACGTGGGTAACGATTGGGCCTCAGGTCTGATGACAGCAGACCCTCACGCTCCTGGTTGGATCAGAACTACCTAGAACTGTAAAGAACTTTGTGTGTTGCCATGCCTACCGTACTTGATGAGCAACCAGGAAACGAGAAGCAGACTTGGACTTGTAAAGAAATTAGAAACCTGATAAAATGAGAAAGCCGGAAGCTAATCCAGCAACACAGCATCACCCGTCCAACTGCCACACCAACACCACCAACGCACCGTAGCTGACCAGACTCAGCCCAACCAGCAGTCCCACACTATTCCCGCTCGTCCTGAACTTCTTCTTCACCACCATCTGCCTACCCCTGCTACTACCCCTGCCACGCGTCCTCTCGTAGAGACTCCTTCTTCTGCCTTCTCTCTCCCTTTCCCTTTCTGACGCAGAAGAGGAGGAGGAAAAGGCCGTCTCGCTCTCCTCCTCGGCGTCGAAGAACTGCCTGTTGCCCTCGTAGCGCCGGTAGATGGCCACCAGCAGGACGGCGGCGCCGTAGCAGGCCAGCAGGGCGCCGATGGGGTAGAACTCGGAGGTGAAGATCTTGAGCACGACCAGGGCGAAGGAGAACTGGGAGAGGGCCGTGCGCATGTACGCGCCTTCGAAGGTTCGTTGGGCGGCGCGGATTTCTACGAGTCTGTTTCTCTTTTGTTATTATTTTCAGTTTTATTTTATTTTTTATGTTTCCGGGGATGTAGTTAAGTGGCATGTTGAGCGGAGAAATGAGAGATCGAATGTATTATGTGGTAAGTCTCGGGATATCATGAAGGAGATGAGATGAAATGATTATTGGCTTATGGTGATGCCTCATCTTGACGTCGCATAGGTGCGCTCACACGATGAGATTAAGCAAATGCATGCATGGATGGAGGATCATGACAGAAATAGAGAGGATAGGGTGTGGTGCAGCAGTTTGACCGGTTGGTTGAGCACACACCAACGACAACGACACACTCCAGGATAGGTAGTAGTACCGCATATATCGAGATGCACTCACTCCTGACTTGTCAGAATCACAGACCGCGCACGATGCAAGCGCAGATGGAGGCGGTCTTCGGGATGTGGTTGGAGAGCCTAAACATAGCATGTCAATTTCAGAACTGACCGGCCTGGCATGCAAGCGCTGTGTACTTTGAGATTGGACGGTGCGTACTTCCAGTATGGATGCCATGATGACCCCAGATGGTTCTACTAGTAGAATTTGAATGTGACTGGCGGGCGGAATAAAGCGGTAGATTCCGGTGTCTGGGGAGTCGAAGATGATAACCACAAAAGTGATTGAGTTGTGTTCATCACAGCAGGAGCGATGAGAGTCGATCATGAATTCATGATGGTGCAGCACTCGTACGTAGTTAACCCTAACCCGCACGCGCCCAGAACGGAGTCACCTTCCGAACGCCGCTGGCTGGCAGTGATGCCAATCTGCCAACAACCCCGCTCGAGGTGCAGCTGACATGCAGCTGACATGCAGCCAAACATGCAGCCAACATGCACTTCCTGCCATACGCAGCATACAGATTGGCGCGTCGTTGATAATGTTGCGAGAGCGATAACAGTCGATCCCTAATTCAGCCAGGACCCGGACCGGCCCGCTCGGTTTCACGCCCTAGGCCGCGCCGACGATGCCAATGGGTGAGCTCGCTTGAGAGTGGTTTCACGCCCTCGGCCACCAAGGATCGAGCCAGCCGCGCCTGGACCATTTCCAGCAAAACCACTGTGTCTCTTCAAGTTGCTGATCTGGATGTAGGTCCTACCTCCCAAAGAAATCCCCTCGTCGATCATCCTGGGTCTCGAAGAATGTTCGGATTGATGACGCCGTCCCTATCCTTGCATTCTTTCAACTTGACTTCTTGGCCGCTCTGGGCTGAGTATCAACCAGCGCGGTCGGCCACCCCCGCCCCCAAAGAATAAGTGCCAGCCAGAGCTTCCAACTACGCCGGGAGCGAGTGTCTATTGCGCTGGCATGGATGGATTGTTATATACGGCCGATTTCGGGTGCGGTCTGGACTCTCTCATGTCTCCCGTCTGAGATGTGGCCTCAGCCCGTGTCAACCCGAGGCCTCACCCTTCGTCCATCTGGTCAACCACATCCCGGACTGATGGGGAATCATAGCTGCCTTGTCGCGAGGTCGAATGGATATAAGTAATCTCGCACTTCGTGTAACGCAGGCTTCTCACTGGGGATGGACAAGCGCCGACATCCGTCTAACCCCCGACCCAGATTGTGCTGGCACAATCTTCTCCTTGTCGTGCTCACTCAGCCCGTCTTATCCCTGCCCAAGCCATGGCAAGCACACCGAAGTCAGCGAAGCCTGCACAAGGCAGCGCTGGGCAACGGTCCAAGAGTAGTACCACTGCGGGAAGTAGCAACTCGGAGGCAGACGACACCATCTCCTTTCGCCTGCTAAATGAGGGTGACGATCCCCTCGCCAACCCACACCTGGTGGAAAATGTCCCCTCCAGGGACCCTCGCTACAGGGCGGTTGCCGCCTGCATCAAGCTTGCCTTCGCCCTGCTTCGCGTCGACGACGCTCAGTGCCTGACCGAGATGGGCAAGGAGGCCGTGAAGGACCTGGACTCGCGGTTTGCCCTTTTTCATCAATCTGCCAGCAAAATGTCGGATTGGACCATGGCTTGGTGGTGCCGGCTCAACATGGAGTTTGTGAAGGTGCAGTTGAACAACAGCAAGCCGTGTCTAGGCTGGTTTGAACCGTCCAGCAAGTGGGCGGCTAGGGGGAGGGATCGCTGGCAACCCAGCGACGCGGGCGTTATGTTTCTCAACAAGTTTGTAAGTGCCCTTATTATTCCAGTCCCAGACCATCCCTATACATAGGAGTGAGAATCCTGTTCTGCGCAGATAACTTACCCTTGCGTTACCGCAAAGGCGATTGAGTCTATGGTTATGGCCAAGGCGGGAAACACTGCGGCGCACCGGGAAGCATACGATCGCTTCCTGTTACTCTTCGGCATTGCCATAGCGCGCGGAATGGTAACCTGCTTCCTGCGCACCCTGGTGAGACCGGAAGTGCCGATTGAAGGCCCCAAAGGCCTTGACCCAGGCTGCATCTGGGAGTATCGTGTGCTTGGAGGATTCATCAAGAACCTCGAAGCGCCGTGCCATGCCCTTCGCGACCGCCAGGCTGGAATGCTGTGGCTCGAGACTTCGGGGCGCGCGCGACAAGTCAAGGCTCCAAGCTTCGGTGGGATCATCCCGAATGGTGAGTCCAAGGAGCCTTCTGCTTTGCACGTTGCAGCTTGTGAAAATATGCTAATGTGTGCCTGCACAGTATTCCAATTGCCCCTCGATTTCGTCGGGGAGGCCGTTGCCGCCGGTGATTTGAGCTACCAGCAGCACCTCGAAATGGAGCACGTGCGGGAGAAGGCCAATCCGCGAGCTCGGTCACCAAAGGTAGTCCTCAAGCTCGGCGAGCACAAGAAAGCCGCTCCGGCCCAGAGCCATTCAGCAGGCCATCATCATAGCAGCAACGTCTCGGGTGGCGGCAGCACTTCTTCCTCGACGGGTAACTCTACTAAACCGCAAGCGGGACCGAACACCGCGGCGGCCCCCGCAGCTACCGGCAGAACCCTGCGGCAGCTTGCCACAGCCAGATACAAGTCACCGTCAGACAACAACACAGGCCAGCCGAATGGGAGGCCGAAGCTGGCCGGTAATCCCGCGGGGTTGTGATCCTTTTCTAACTAAGAGAACACCTGCAGTTGAGGGAGGGAACCTTCAGATCAGCCTAACGCTTGGTAGTCTCTTGGAGCAGGGCACAGGAGGTCTCTGGAAGCCGAACGCAAGCCTTCATAGTTGGTATCTGCCCAAATGAACGACCGAGCTTGCTACGGCAGAGGCCCAGGATGAAGATGAAGTCAGGCCATTCGGTGTTTGGTATGCGAGCTGAAGAGAAGGGAAGGCAAAGCACAGAAGCTTCTCTAGAAGAACAATGGCAGGGGTGATGTTGGTTGTCACGTAATGTAGTAGTTCGCATACACAACGGAGTTGGTCTCGCTCTCAAAATTCAATCTCAATAATCCCGGATCAGTTGACGATAAAGGGGCCAACATAATAAGTGATGTATTTTGTCAAGGTACGCATGCAAATCGAAGTAACACGAACACCGACTCAGGAAACAGGAGAAACGTGAATCTGCCAGTAGCTCCGCCAGTCGAACCACTCATCCTGCTGCGTATCGTTGCCACCCTGGCCCGGCTTCCACATGCCCAAGACAGTGCCCGGATCATACTTGGGGAACTCGGCCTTCTCCGCGAGCAAGCCGCGCTTGGTGCCGTCGGCAAGGAACAGCAAAAAGTCCTCGGCGACGTGCACGTACTGCCTGAGCCCCTGGTACACATTGATGGTCGCGCCGGTGGTGAAGCTCAGGAGGAACGGCTCGATCAGCGGCGCGTCCGTCACCGAAGGGTGCGAGGTCCCCAGGGAAGTCATGAACCACGACGGGTTGCCGCGACCGTTGTTGTCCGTGACGATCCCCTCGACCGTGTCGAAGTGCGCGCGGCCGTAGAAGATGCTCGTCTTGCTGCTCCACGAGTTGCTGTGGACGACCAACACGGGGACGTTGATGTCCCTGTTCAGCGGTCCGCTCTGCTTCCCTGGATCGAGGATGATGGCCCCCTTGAAGGGCAGCTTGTCGTTGGGCCAGTTCCTGAGGGCCTGCAGCGCGCCCGTCGCGCCGTAGCTGTGACCTGCGATGATCATGCCGTCCGTGTTCAGACGGCCGGCCCACTTGGCAAGGTGCGAGCCTTCGCCGCGCGGGTTCTGGTTGAACACGTCGGTGCCGTGGCCGGAATTGATCATTCTGATGACCCGGACGGCCTCCTCGATCTCGGCTTCGCGGAAGTTGAGCTGCGCCGAGTGGAAGTCTTCGACGGACAGCTCCGCACCGTCGAGCGATTCGACCTCGGATACATCAAAGATCAGCCGCTTCCGGTCGCGCTGGCCCCTGGCCTTGATGACCGAGCCGGGACAGGAGCCGTCACGGTGCTCTAGCATAGCGACGACGTAACCCCTGGCGGCTAGCTCCCCGGCGTAGTGCGAATAATCCCTGCGACTGGAAGTAGTGCCGTGCGAGAAGACGATGACGGGGAATCCGCGCTGTTCTTCCTCGCGACTTGCCAGGACCTTTTGGCCGCTGTCTTGGTCATCTCCGTGTCGCGGGGAATCGGTTGCGGACGAGGGCCCCGGCCCGGGAGAAGCCTGGCTGCTCAAGGGGACATCGACGGCAGCCGGGATGGTAACGCTCCCTGCCAGGGCGCGGAGGGCGCCCGCGAAGAGCGTGTCCGTGAGCCAGTTATTGATATGCGCGGCTTTGGCATAGCCCTGGGCCCTCAGCGACAGCGGCTCGGGGATCCAGGTGTGTCTTCGTGCGTGAGCGTGGTCCGTAGTTCGGTGGTCGGCTGGATAGTACAGGGTAAAGAGCACGGTCTGCAGCTCAAAGACATCCTCCTTGGTGTCCTTGAAGCGCGCCGGGTAGGTTATGCGTGCTTGGGAGACGGGAGCTTCGATGTCGACGGCGCCGACTGCATACGGTCCTGTGTGTTGGGGCAGAGGATGCGAAAAAAGGGGCAACGAATTAAGAGAACGGTAGAGTACATATGTCAGACCCGCCAAGATGGGAATGTATCGCCATCTCAGGAAGGGACGGATGTTGTGATCCCAGGATGAAGGCTGAGCCATGTTTCCCACGTCGTCGAATGGGTAAGGCGGCTTCGTGATCAGATGATCGGGATGTGTAGACGACACGGCAAGATTCCACAAAACATAGCGACAACCGACCGTTATATCGAGCTATTTACATATGATGTCACAGGAGGCATTGTTGGCGATCATGCGTGATGATTCGCAGCTTTGATGAGGCTAACTGCCAAGTTTGAAGTACAACTGTGGTGTTGCTTGGCCATTGCAGTGGCATGTTTAGTGGAAAGAGCCAAGCAAGGGTTAGGGTCTATCTCCTTGAGATCGTGAAGAGCTCCACAGCCCGCACAGCAACCCCTTGCGGTGGGTCGTGCTCCGAGCCCCACAGGACAGGGATCAATGCAACAGCACTGTCAATTGCAGCTTCGTGGCCGCATCAGCTCCGGAGCATCGAAACGCCCACCACTATCAACTGAGCGCAACAGCAACCAATTTCACGAACGACGACCCAATTCCCCGTCCACGGATAGCCCGGAGCGATCAATCAGTACGAACGAAGAGCCAAGGCCAGGAAAAATGGCGCCCAAGCAAAGGAACGCCGCAGCTCACTCCTCCACCACCACCTCATCAATAGCAGCAGCCCCCTCCGCGGCAGCAACAGCACCACCATCCTCCGCGCCCGTTGCCGTGCCGAAATCCGCGATCGCCAAGACCACCCACGCCGGCAGCACCCAGTCATGGGACAAGATCGTGAGCAACGTGCTCACACACTACCTGGACACGACGCCGCAGCGGACCAAGCTGCTGGACGCCTTCATGGCCTTCCTGGTGGCGGTGGGGGCGCTGCAGTTCTTGTACTGCATTCTCGCGGGGAACTACGTACGTCTTCTTCTTTAGACTTAACTAGTACCGGGGAAATAAGGAGAAGAGAATGAATGGAGTTGCTGATGGGATTGGGACAGCCGTTTAATGCCTTCTTGTCCGGGTTCGCGGCGACGGTGGGGCAGTTCGTTTTGACTGGTGAGTTTTGCCTACACCTCACCCTGGGGCGGGATATCCAAAGAAAGGGAGGGACATAGGCAGTTGCTGATGACGGTGGCTTTACCTTCGGTAGCTTCGTTGCGTATCCAGACGACCGAGGCGAACAAGGGCGATTTCCCTTCCGTATCGCCCGAACGGTGAGTTGGCTTTCGACTGTTCCTTGCGTGGAAGATGGACAGAACTGAAACCTTGGACAGTGCCTTCGCCGACTACGTCGTGTGCAGTCTGATCTTGCACTTTTTCTGCGTTAACTTCATCAATTAGGCCGGCGGTGCCTCGGGAGAAAGGCCGTCATCGGCGGAGACGTATCTGATTTGTGTAATTGGGGCTGGTTTACGCTATATTCTTTTTGGGACTGTATCAGATTTGACTGGAGTTCGTGGTGTGACCTCTAAAAGCGACTTCGCCAGAGAAAACGGTTTATGGAATTCAGACTTCGACTGTCTAGCTGCTCAGTCTCCCCCTTCTTCTTTCGGTGGTACGCTTCCAACTCTGGGTGGCGCTGCCCTCGGGGGGCCTCCCTTGGGCGGCGGCGGCAATGGCGAGCTTGTCCGACTCGGCGCATTGTCCAGTTCCCTGCTCTTCTTCTCCTGCTCTTTGAAGTAGTCATCCATAAGATTCGGCGCTCCATGGTGAGGCCTTTCCTTCTTTTTGCTCCTTGGCGGTGCGCTAACCGGCGCTGCTTGCGTGTCCGCCATCTGTGCTGGCACCAGGAAGTCTGCTGACGATGACGGAGGAGGAGGAGGAGGCGGCGTCGCTGCAGATGTCGGAACAAAACCACTAGGCGACGCAACTCTATCCGCTGGAACAAATCCGGCGTGAGCACCGGTAGCAGCAGTGTCCCCGTCAAACATGGTCTCTCCAGGCCCATGCACCGGCTCGCTCAGCGGTGCTGGTAGTCTGTGCAGCGCCCCGTAGCCCAGTACGCATCCCAGAGCGCCCTCACCGCCCCAGTCGCGGCTGGGCTGAATGGTGACCTCGCGCGTGACGTTGTACTCGTTGTTGTAGACGTACAGGCGCAGCGGGCGGCCGATGTGGTCCTCAACTAGCTCGCTCAGACCACCTTCTCCATGCAGCACGCCCTCCGGGGTGCCCAAGATGTAGTCGCTGTAGGGGAGCAGGCCGGCGACGTCGGCGGGGGAGTTGGCGGGCACGTCGAGGACATGCCAGATGTTCGAGACGACCGAGAGCGGCGTCCATTGCAGCGTGAGACCGAGTGACGCGGTGTCGGCGGGTACGGGGATGTGCAGCGCTCGCGTTCGCTGACCCTGTTATAGTAGCGAGGTATGTGAGATCGCCGACTAGGTGCTCAGGGGTTGGGCCAGCGGCAACTCACCTTTGCGCTCCAGAGGCCGAGCATGACAGATCCGCCAGCGCAATTGCGCACCTCCTGGGCGAACAGTACAGGGTCCGAGTCGTCCTGATCCGACGTGTCAGCTTTTGCGATCGCGTATGGGGACCACCTCGCGTCCATACAATCATACGCCCGTTGATGCCAACCACGAAGTCGAACCAGGGCTCAATCGCGAGCTGCAGGTTGGCGTTGCGCAGCACCTGGAACCCAAATGCCCCGCGGTTCGCCCTGGCGGCCGGCGCTGGGTCGCCATCAAGGCGCGATATGAACCGGTTGAGTGCGTTAAACATTCTATCCTTTCTTAGTGTCTGGTTCTACGGGTACTGTGTGTTGACTTGCAAGTCGAGGAGGACGTGTATTGAAGTGTCGAGATTGTTGCATGTGTCAAAGCTTCCCGTAACCCAAGCTCGAGCCAAGCTCTCAAGGTCCAAGCACCCCGCGAGAATGGTGGGCCGTTGGATCGCTAATAACCCTTGGTCTTGGCGGTCGAGACAATTACTCGGACTGTGCCGACCGGTAATCCGTACCGTACAGTACCGTATTGTACCTCGACACCGCCAACTTCGATAGACATGTGAATTATTCTATACATCCATTCATTCTTCAACCATTAGGTAGTAGTCTCAAATACCGGCACAAAAGGAGGCTTCCCAGCTTCCAGCAAATTGTATCCATCTAGTATCTCTTTCAATTCTTTCTAGTGTTCAGTTCCTACCTCCTCATGATGCTCCAGCCGGTTGAGGGCACACTGCCTCTCACTGAGGAGTGCCATCACTATGATGACATCCAGGAAGTCCCACGGGAGCTTCAAAAGTAAACTACAACCTAATTCTTCCACTGCATTTCATTTCACCTCTTCAACACATGCTGACTTCCCCCTACCCAGGTACTGGCACCAGCGCTACACCATCTTCAACTTCTACGACTACGGCATCTACCTCACAAACGATGCCTGGTTCGGCGTGACCCCCGAGCCGGTAGCCACGTATGTAAAATTTCGCTCCCCTCCTCCTCCTCACCACTTCACTTAACCCACTGACACCGTCTCAAGCAAGGTAGCCAAAGACATCACCTCACACAAGCACTCCCACCCGCGCAAGGACACCATCATCGACCTGTTCGCCGGGGCGGGCGGCAACACGATCGCCTTCGCCCTCTCGGAGAAGTGGGACCGGGTGATCGCGATCGAGAAGGACGCGGCCACGCTCGCGTGCGCGCAGAACAACGCGGCCGTCTACGGCGTGGCCGACGCCATCACCTGGGTGCACGGCGACAGCCTCGAGTACCTCGCGCGTCTGAAAGGCGACGGGGCGGGGAAGGAGGACGTGGACCCGTCGCTGCAGATCGACACGTCCAAGACGGTGCTCTTCGCCTCGCCGCCGTGGGGCGGCGTGGATTACCGCTGGGACGAGGTGTTCGACCTCGGCACCATGGAGCCGTACAACCTCGAGACGCTGCACAATGCCTGCCGGCCGATGGAGCACGCGCTGTATCTGCCGCGGACGAGCGATCTGAGACAGATTGCGAAGCTGGCGCCGGATGGCGAGCGGATCGAGGTGGTGCAGTACTGCGTCGAAGGCGCCAGCAAGGCCATGGTGGCGTACATACCAGCGGAAGAAGAATGAGCAATCCCATCTCACCAGCAATCAAAACCAAACCCCCTTAAAACAGAAAGGCAGCCGGTATTTCCTTTCCATCTATTATCTACGGTATTGTGCAGGCACCGCCGCAAAACGCTACAGCGCCCTGACGATACTCCTCTCATCAAACACATCCCTCACCAGCGCCGCCACACATGCCTCCCAGTCCACGGGCGCCATCGCATACGTCGACTCAAAAGCATAGATGCTCAGCTGTGCAAAGAACGGCCTGAGCACCTTAGCGACCAACTCATCCTTCCTTTCCATCGAAACATCATCACTTATCCCCCCGGGCATGCCAAGAAGCGGCCGTCTATGCGTCGACGTAGACGGCCCTCCTGCTCCTACCGCCACAGCGACTTCATTCGTCGAACCTTGCTGGTTCAACGCGGCATTCAACTCCTCACAGACCTCGTCGACCAATGCGACGGGCTGGTACCCGCCATCACCCACAAGGGACTGGCCCCGGTACACGGCATCAATAGTATCCGTGACAAACAGCCACTCGTGCAGCTGGAACTCGTCGGGCGCGACACATACCAGCAGGTCGAGCAGCTTGCACGCCTGCAGGACGGATGCGTTGCCGTACGTGTCGGCGGGCGGCGAGTGGTCGGGCGCGACGATCGACGCGATGGCCGTGTGTAGTTCGGCATTGACCACGGGCCAGAGCGGCGCCAGGTGCACGGGACTGGTGCGCAGGACCAGCGCCCGCAGGAGCATGTAGACCTCGGCGCGGGTGGTGGACGAGGGCGAGGAGGTGGCTGTCGCTGTGAGCAGCTCCGTGGTCTTTTCGACTATGGCGGGGAGGTCGGCCACAAAGGCGTCCGCCCCGCAGGCCAGGATCAGCGTGGCCATGCGGCGGAGGTTGAGCTGGGTTTTGCGGTCTGCTTCGAGGCGCGCCGAGGTGGCGCCGACGCCGAAGACGATGCCTGCCGTTGCGGGCGGCGTGAGCCGGGAGACGAGCTCGGGCATGCGCTCCTTGTCGGCCACTGTCCATTGCTTGAGGAGGGGCAGCCAGCCGGAGTGGACCAGCGCGAGGCTGGCGCCGAAGAAGCGGGAGTCGTTGAAGGCGTCGGAGATGTCCTTCTTCCAGGACTTTTGGTTGTTGGGCAGTCGGGCCAGATCTTGGAGGAGGACGAGCATGGTCTTGGAGACGGTGTCAGGGAATGACTTGGACCGGAGGGCTGGACCAATGACGTTTGTCGAGATGGCCGTGGCGGCCGTGAGAATGCGGTCGTTTTCAACCAGGATCTTTGGTAGATTGGGCACGATGGTGGATAAGATGCCAACAATGTCGTCGGCTCGCTCACTGGGTAGTCTGACGGAGGATTGCCGAGGCTGCTCACTGGGCCGCTTCTCGGAAATGTTGGACGATGCTGAGATATCGAAGCTGGTTGGACGAGTGGTGAAGATCGCCGTGAGCAGGCGCAAGAACAAGTCCTACAGAACAGTGGTTAGCCTTCCTTTCACTTACTCAGCCGGCCGGCTCTGGGAAACCACTTACCGCCAGTTCTCGGCGCATCTTCCGCTGCTCCCCGAAGTTGGTATTGTCCACTTTCTCGCCCAGAATCGCTGCGAACTCGAGCAAGCTCGGCAGCGTCTGGCGATGTGGGAATGGGTTACCAAGCAGGTCCTTCAGGAAAGCCGTGCAGTCCTGCCAGATCTCGTCCATGGTATCATCCTCCAGCGACCGTGTGTAGTCTACCAGGAAGATCACCAGGTCCGTATCCTGCAGCTCGATGGTAAGCGTCGACCTCCGCGACGGGTCAAGCGCTCCGGGATTCGTCCGGCTATAGATGGCGTTGAACAGCGCCGGAATAGTATGCTTCGGCCGCGACCCGTCCAGCGCAGGGAGCAGATGGAACACCTCGGCGGCCTTGGACTGGTCCGCACTATCGAGTGCAGCGCGCCATATCCCAATCGCCGTCTCCAGGCACTCGAGCGTCTCGGCGGCGAAAAGATGCTCCAGCAATCTCCTCGCCCGGTTCCTCATGCGCAGGGACGTGTAGTTGAGCGATGCGCCCGACGTGGCGTCCTGCCCTGCCGCGTCGCTTCCTTGACCCCACGACCAGATGGTGAAGCAGATGCGCACGGCATCCTGGAAAGCCAGCAGGACGGTGAGCCTGTCGTTGGCCGTGGCGCTGCGGGTCTGGGGGGCGTCAGACGAGAACACGCCCGACACCATGTTGCCGAAGAAGCCTTGCGGTTGGTCGGGGCTCTTGACAACCTGGGCTCTGGCCTCTTCAGCCAGTAGCCTGTCGTGCCCGTTGGCCAGTACCTGCTCCAGACCGTTCAGGAGAGAGATCAGCGTGGTTTCGGGCCCGCCTGCACCGTGCGAAGACAGATTCTGGTCGGTAGTACGGAACAAGCGGCGGAGGGCGGTGAAGGTTGCGTCGATTTGGCCGCAGAACGTCTCGACGAGCGGGATCAAGACCTGGAAGACGGATTCTGCGTATAGCGGCAAGCATTCGGAGAGGAAGCTGATCCAGCTGTCCAGCACAGGCCGGCTGCTAGGCGAGCTGAGCCCAGCGAGGATGCACTTGAGCAATGTCGGAGGAGGCGGCTGCATAACCATGTGCCTCTCGCCTGTTAGCGACACACGGGAGCTCCTTGCCGCTTCAAGATTCCCTATACGCTTCTCGCGACTGGGCGAAGTAGGCCGTTCCACGGGGACCAGCTCGCGGAGTTTGAGGGAGGCATAGACGACATCCAGGAGGAGGACCTGGACGTAGGGATCGGGACCGTGGAGGGACTGCTGGAGTTTGTCGATCAAGTTATTCTCAAGATGCAGTTTTGCCAGCTGCTCGGCGAATGGGTTCAGGAGGATTTGGTGGAGGAGAGTCAAGGCTGCGCGGTGAAATCTGGAACATCTTTCCCCCGAGAACTTCCCATACGCTATGCATTGCAAGCAGACATGGACGAAGAATTCCTGGAGCGTGATGTCGGCATCCGTCCCAGCTTCGCATGTTAGCTATAAAGACAGAGAAACGTGGACGAGCAGGGCTTACTGATTTCTGACAGCGGCGGATAGCAAGCATCCGATCGGACAGACCTCTTCGCGAGAACCCCCCAGGCTGGTTCGGGCACCCAACGCAGGACGCTGGAAAGGGAGCGGACATAGTACAGGGCCAGATCGAGGTCATCATTCTCGCCATGGTCTCCGGAGCTTGACGTGACCTCTTGTCCCCGCATAAGGAATGGTAGCTCGGTGAATTTTGTGATGAAGATGCCGAACAGCCTGCGCATCCCCGGTTAGTTGAGTAGAGGGACAGAGGATCCTGGCCTGCTCACTTGTCGATTCCGACGAGACTGTTGAGCCAAGTCTTGACCGTCATGAACAGCTGCGTCCTTTCGTCGGCGAGTGCATCCAGCATCAGGAACACAGGCCGGGTTAGCATGACTTCGTAATGGTCCATTCCCGCGAGACGCAGCGGAGCCTTGACCTCGCCGTTAGTGGTCTTCGGTCCCCTCCGCTCTGCCCCCGAAGGGTTGTCCTGCAGGGTATGCGTCCAGAGAACACAGAAACTGCGCCCAGCATCGGCAGGGCGCTGGGCAAAGGTGCCGGTAGTGTCGTCATGGAGCATCAGGGCGCAAATGGCAGCCTCCACATCCCTGTTTGACGGGGTAAGCGCGCTCTGGAGGAGCCAGAGGCTGCGGACCGTCTCTACGTGGTACTTCGGCTCGGATGCCGAGAGGAATGCCCAGGCACGCCGCACAAGCGGGTCGACAAGGTCTGAGAGCTCAAGGGATGTGATCCTGTTCGCCGAGTACAGGTGTGATGAGAGAGAGAGGATTGAAGAGTAGGTGCTAAACGGTATCGGTGTGTCGGAAGAGAGGGAGTCATGAAGCGCGGCAAGGAGTGGCTTCGGGTCAAATGGTAACCTCTCGGGAACCTTGGATAATAGCAGAATGAGGATCTTGCTTTTCACGGCCGCCTCGGGTCCTGGCTCTCTTCGCATCAGAGACGAGCAGTTGAGACTGCATGCCTTCCGTAGCAGAAGCCCAGCCAGGTTCTGTGGGGATAAAGGAGGTGACGCTGCGTCCAAGCTGCCTTGGTCGCTAACGTAGAAGGCCTTGATCCTCTCCAGCAGCTCGGTGCTTGGTGAGTCCGCGAGGTCTCTTGATTCGACCGGAGGAGCAGATTTGCTCGCCGTGTCTGATAGAAAGGCCCGCTCAGGGACCAGCTCGAGCAAGCTTGCGCCGATGCTCAGGACCGTCTCTGATAAATGGGAATCCAGCCAGGGCGGTGCATCTCCGAGCTTGATCTGGCCCCTTGCCTGCTCCATCATGCACAGGATGGAGAGAACGGTAAGGGGGGCGTGGATAGTGATCATCTCCTCTTCCCTGACGTTGAAGTTTGTTAGAATGAACCTAACCAAATCGAGCTTTGCTCTGCGCTCGGCAGCGGAAAGGCCGCCAGGACCGATAGCCTGCGCCATGAGGGCGAGTATTTCGCCGTAGATCAAGCCACTCTCGACGCCATCGAAGAAGACGCTGGCGCTCCGAAGAACCTCCGTGAACTCGGCTTTGCTGGCCGCCTTCGTCTTGAATTCCCTCACGCTGTCCACGATGGGGAGGAAGAGCTCGGGCACGACAAGGCCACCAATCTCCCATCTGTCCATCAAGGACAGGCACATGCGGTAGGGTCGCGCTCGCTCCGCAGGGTTGGCATCTCCATCGGACTTGATCATGGCGAGGAGTGCACGCGTCAGAGGTTGCAAGCCGAACTCCTCAAAATAAATCGTCCTTGAGGAGAAGTAACCATGGGCGTGAGTCGAGGAGGCTGGAGTTGGGGAGTCCGGCGCGCCATCGTGTTCAGCGGACGCTGGCGGCTCAGGCCCGAGCAGCCAGGACCACAGTCGCCTGTTGAGGCTCATGTCTCGTCGCACAGTCACCCCAACGGCTGCCCTCAGAAGAAGCTCCAAGTCGCCGGCCTTTGCTTTACTCTGCAGTACCTCAGAGTGCAACGGAAGGTGGGTGACGAGGAGATCCAGATAGCCACGCTGGATGAGAAGCTGATCATCAGCAAGCCCGGCAGCAAAGCAACGGATGAGCAAGCCAGGCTCTGGCGTTGTGACCAGCTGGGACAGCTTCGAAGAGGTCTCTGTATCGGATGCGCTAGCCGACTCTGGCTGCAGGGCATGACCCAGGCGTGGGAGCGAACGCAAGAGGTAGGCCAGTGCGCCTGTTCTCCGGCTGTGCCCAGTAATGGAAGCTAGGAAGAAGCACTGCCAGAAGAAGTCGTCGCCGGTGGAGTGCGCCTCGGTGATCTCATCGCTTCCGGGAGGACGAATGGTGGCCTTGAAGCGCTCGATCAGCTTGAGCGTGCGATCGAAATCCTCGCTGGTTTCCTCCTCAAGCCCCGGCAACAGTGCAAGCACGACAGATTTCATGGCCGGTCGCAATGACCGCGGATCGAGGTCGAGGAAGTAGCGCTCGATGAGATCGAGGAAGGGGGCGCGCACAGTGAGCGAAGCGAACGACAAGACGGAGGCAAGGCCCGGGAAGTAGAGAGGCAGGTCCCGCGACAGGCCATCTTTCCCGATGACGGAGAAGATGTAGCTATAGACCTCGAGGGTCTTCTGGTGGACGCCGGAAGGGAGCGAGGGGTTCAGACATTGTGACAATCGCTTTGCGACGGTTGCCTTGGCGGGAATAACAGAGATGGACGACGGTCGAGCTTGGAGGGCCTAGTTCCTGAATTAGAGCCACGCTGCGCAGTGGAGTGTCATAGGTCCGAAAAGCGCACCTTGAGGAGGCGGTTCAAGAAGGATATGTAGTCCGCCCATTCTTGTAGCGCGGTGTCGAACAGCGCCAGGGCTCTCTCAACGCCGCTAGCGTATTTGCGGTAATGCTTGTCCTTTGGTGGCACATCCTCTGGAGTGCCATTCAAGTGGTCAGCAAACCATCTGCGAAATAAAGTAACCAAAAATAAGATAGGACGTACCGCTCCCCAGCTGGTTCCTCCACTGTCGGGGCACGGGCGAGTCGCGGCCAGAGCTGTCAGGCGAGGCTGAACGGCGACCAGGGTCAAGCGCCATGGCTAATCAGGAGGTTTCCCGGTATGCTTTTGTCGTCCCAGGGCATTGCCGGTGCGGATTCCGGGCTTCGGATGCCGTACGTCGGTGTGTATCCGGGGGACGGCCCGTTTTCCGAGTTGAAGCTCAAGCGACGTTGAATGACGGGAAGGGTGTTCAAGAGGCACCTGGGCCATCGCTATTGGCACAGTACTACTGCCTGCAAGGTCCCGCTATTCAATGCCAACGATGCTCGGTGATTGGTTCCCGCACCGCTAGCTCACCCCTGTCTCCAGGGGATGGGCAAGGCTGAACTCGCTATCTTATCGCTCCCCAGGCTGTCGTCATCGGCCGCGCCCGTTCATTCACTTTCCGTCACGCGGCGTTTCGCAAGCAAACCACTTGCAGTCGTCAAGAAGCCCGCACCCGGCCCCCAATCGACATGGAACATCGCCATCTCAGACGCACAGAGGAGGAAGCTTGATACGTCTTATCTCCGGCAATCCCAGACAATGCGCGAGTCGAACCACGAGGCGGTGTATCTACAATGGCCCGGCAAGCGGAAGCTGAGACCAACGATGACGGCGCGTCCAAGGTGACCTCTCCATCGTCATCCCCGCCGCCCCCGCCGCTTCCGCCCCGTCGAAATCCGTCGGGCGAGGGCCCTGCGCAGGTTGCGCCCGCTCAAGCGAAGCCCACAACGGCCGTCTCTTCCATCGACATCTCCACCCTGTCGTTCCCCGACGGCTCTCGCGGCACCTTTTCTACCAGTGCGGCGCAAGCCACCTCCGGCCCAACTGTCAGCGGATATGTGACGCCTGTGGGCGACATTGCCGATTCCATGAGCATCATGAGTTTTGCTCCCACTCTGCGGGCCCATGGAGACCTCGCCAGCCTGGTTGCGGGCGGGCTTAATCGGAAGAGCCGCGCCTGGAATATGCTGAGGTCACAGAGCGAGACGGTCCAGCCGTTTGAGAGCATCGAGCTTGGCGCTCCGGGTGATCTCGCTGGATTTGAAAGGGAGTTCGACGAGATCCCCAATGACACCACCGACGATGTCAGGCTGGCCATCTGGAAGTCCAAGATGAAGCACTACATGATTCTGTCATCTGCCGGGAAGCCCATCTACAGCCGGCATGGTGATTTGAGCCTCGTTAATTCCTACATGGGCGTCATACAAACCATTATCTCGTTCTACGAAGGCGCCAACAACCCGCTCCTAGGGTTCACAGCCGGCAACGCGCGGTTTGTGATCGCCATTGAAGGGCCGCTGTATTTTGTAGCCATCAGCAGGCTGGGTGAGAGCGATTCCCAGCTCAGGAGTCAGCTGGAGGCTTTGTACATGCAGATATTGTCCACCTTGACCCTCCCAACGCTCAAGAACATCTTCGCGCATCGCCCGTCCACTAACCTTCGGAAGCCCCTCGAGGGAACCGAGTTGCTGCTCTCCTCACTAGCCGACAGCTTTACCAAGGGCTCCCCATCTACACTTCTTGGTGCGCTTGAGTGCCTCAGGTTAAGAAAGTCGCAGCGCCTCGCAATAAACAACGTCTTCCTCAAAAGTCGCAGCGAAAAGCTGCTGTACGGGCTCATTGTCGCTGGCGGGAAGCTGGTCAGCGTCATTCGGCCGCGGAAGCACTCTTTACATCCGAGCGATCTCCAACTGATCTTCAACATGCTCTTCGAATCAGGCAGCATCAAGTCGGGCGGTGGAGAGAGCTGGATCCCCCTCTGTCTCCCGGCCTTCAACAACAGCGGCTATCTTTACATGTATGTGAGCTTCTTTGATGGCAGGCCCGACGCAGCTTTCGTTGGCGAGACGGCCCAGCAAACCCATGAAGGATCATCCAACAACAGCACCAACGAGAACAACAGCGACCGCGCGAGCAATAACGTAGAGGACGAAGAGGAAATTGCCATAATCCTGATCTCCCCGGACAAAGAGTCCTTCTACGACCTCCAAGAAATGCGCGACAAGCTCGCCGCGCAGCTCACCAAATCCGGCCATCTCTCCCTCATCCGCTCTGCTGCCCGCGAGGGCCGTCCCAGGATACAGTCCATCGCTCCTGGCGCGCAAGTCTCGCATTTCCTCTACAAATCCCGCGCAAACGTGCAGTTCTGCATGTCCTCCGCTGAACCAACCGCGGCAGAACCATCCGGCCCAGAGAAGCTGCTTACCCGCCGCCGATTGATGACCCTGTATCACGAGCTCCACGCCTCCATGCATGCGAAGCACGCCCATCTGAAGGTCCTGCATGCCGTGAGCCAGGACGCAGCCAGTCTGGCGTGGATCACGCCCATCTTCGAGTTTTATTGCGTGGCTGGGCCGAATGTCTCGCGCGCTGCTATGGCGCAGGGAGCGAATAGGATCATACAGTGGGCCAAGAGGGAGGAGGAGAGGCTGTTCATCATTGGTGGAGGGGTGTTTTAGGGAGGCGCGTTCCGTGAGGGCGACGGTTCGGATGACGACGTGTGGGAGTGATGATGGTTCTTGCATGTGAGGAGCTGTGGTGTAAAGAGGTTGGACACAACAGAGGGACGTAAGACGCAAGGATGAAAGCGTTACAAGACTTTTACTGGTTGCTGATTTAAGCCATACCCATCTGTAGTTAACTGTATCCTAAGCAAAGTGAGCGAACTGTGATAGCGCCAGACCGCGAGAAGCACCCTTCTCCCTAGGCTTCCACTTCGTATCATCTTTGTTCACTATCAGCCGAATCCAAGCCTGTCCCTTCCCTGTTTTCAAGTTGATTCTCTCGAAGACTGAAACCTCATGTTCGCCAACCCTTTGACGCCCTACCACCAGTGACCGCTTGCCTGGCATTTTTCATCCACCTGGATATCTGGCCCCTGAGTCGTTTCTTGCGCAGCGGATGGCTTTGCTCGTGGCGCGCTGCTTCCCCAGGAAAGGCCGCCTGTCTGGCACGTTCATCATCGCCCGCAACTCCGGCTAGCGGCTCTACCGACTGTAGCTGCATCTCAGCGAGGCGAGCGCCCAGGTCCGGAAAGCGCTTCTTCAGCCGCAGGAGCGCTTTGCCGTTGACGCGGCTACCGGTGGCGTAGAATAAAGCTTCGATCTCGCTAGGTATGGCGGCGAGGTCTGAAGATGGACGCGACTCTGGTGTAGCAGAGGGTCTGGCGAGATACCCTCCTCCACGCCCCCGTCGTTGCTTGCTTGGTGCGGTTTCGGTTGTTGAAGGGACCGGTGAGGGAGTCGCAATGACCGAGCGATCGGGGTCGTCCGCCGAGCCTGAGCTGCGATGACCAAAAGAGGTCCGTGACTTTGCGCCCGCCTGTTGCCGCGCCTTGGCTAGTGCGCTCCTAGAAACTCTCAGCCGGAGTTTCCTGTTGGGCGATTCGATGGCTCCAGGCCCGACGACCGGCTCACTGTTTGGGAGACTATGTCCTTCCGACTTAGAGGAGAGGCGCTCGGATAGCAATGTCGAGCTTCGCGGAGAGGTCCTGCGCAGCTCCTCTTCATCAGTGCCCTCCAGGAGGATATGGTGTCTTAAATGGCTGTCACTCTTGCCCTTGTCGATGTGATATTGGCCGTTTATCTGAGTGCTGGCCGGGTCGGCACCCGAGCATTGCGATAGGGTTAGGTTGGGGTCGAACAAGGCAGAAAGCGGAATCTCGGAGACTGCGGCCTTCCTCCTGTGTGCTCGGACTCTGGCGCCTTTGTCCTGAGGTACGGGAGTCGCCTCTCGACGATACGTCCATGATACTGCTTCGATTGCCGGCAAAACGGTCGCCGTAGACAAGTCTGTGAGACAACAAAGCCTCTCACTGTTGAGGCCTGACGTAGGCACAAAGTTGTTCTGGTTCGGATCTTGAGGGCCTATCCCCCATTCCTAGTCAGGGATGTCCGCCCGGTCGGCGTTATCAGACTCTCTGGTCAGCTGAATTCTCGAAGTATCGGATCCAGACCGCTCTCGGTCGGAACGAGAAGTTCCAACTGGTCGGTGAGAAGGCGGAGGTCTGGAGCTGCAGGTGGTCATCGAATAAGACCGTCTCTGGGTAGGGGGGCCGAAGAGACTGTAGCCCAATGACGTACTGTTGGAATCAGACGGCGATATGGTTCCTGACGTCCTGTTATAGGACGGTGAGAGTCTTTCCCAGCCATCCGTGAAATCGAGATATCCTATCCCCGTCGGTGAGGGTCCGGCACTTGGAGAACGATCTTCCGTCTCGGTGGTCTTCCCGAACATGCTCTTCAACTGTACCGTTGTGGCAACGAATGAGTTTCCGCTGGTCCTCTGAGTGTGGTCTTCGGTTACGGGGCTCCGACAGAGAGCCCCGTGACTGACTGCTCGTCCCACCGCTGAGGCCTTCATTGTCCATGAACACGACTACGGGGAGACCGCTGAGACTCAGTGTCGACAGCGTGACATGCGTTAGCCTCCACCGATCAACAAACAGAGGCCGGGCTTAAGTTAAGGCAAACTGCATATTGTGTAAATGTGGTGGCCTAGTTAAGTTCTCGTTTCTATCCCTAAGAATGTCGATAGCTAGGACCTGAGAACGCCTAGCAGGGAAGCTGCATTGGGCCCATGGCACATGGTATGGTCCCGACTCCCTTGACTGAGGTGTTCGGCTGTTGAACTCTCGCAGAAGGAACCCGGGGACATAACTTCTGATAGTACAGTATCGGAAAAGCAGGGTCGCAGTGAGTCCCGCATAGGAAGGTACAGTACAGTACCGGTACCCTTAAATGGAAACCGCTACTGTGTACGGATTACGGACCGTCATGTCCCTTGAAGCTCATTCGGGCACGGACACATTGCCCGAGCGGAGGTGTCCTTTGGAAGTGTGCCATCGCCGACTGGTATATGTGGCCTTCTGCTTTGCTCGCATTGACCATCAGATCTGTCACGTAGTGAACAGGCTCGACAGGATACGATGGTGGCTCGGACTCGCCGTACTTGTAGGCTTGCAAGAGATCCGTACCTGGATCCGACCAGGCGGTGCTTCCCCAATGTGGGGTTCAAAGTGACAGCCGCACCGCTGAGGGGCGATTACACAGTGACTTTACACAGTGTGCTTTCTTTGTCTTGTACTCCGCTTGGGGCTGAAGGATTATTAAAACCCATTTCTGGACATTGTCTTTCCGATGTGTCTGTAACTACAGCAAGCCTCGGATTCTTTGGGGGTTCTGTCAAGTACTAGTACCCAAAGGTAATACATCTTCCCTTCATGGCGGGAGTTTTGCACTCAGGTCCCTGACATATTCGCCCCCCAACCTCCATACTATGCTCAACAGTAATCCACCCTCGCCTCAGCTGAGACACCCCACCTTTTCTGCCCGTTTCAGCAACGGTAATTGGCCGCCAAGCCTGGCTAAACGCTGCGCCTGTGGAAAAGACACCTGTTCTCTCGACCCTGGATGCAGCTTGGTAATTGACGACCCCAAGATACAAGTAGCCGCAAACACATTGTGCCCACGGTTTCTTGGGACATCCCTATACACCTATCCCTCTTTTCTCTCTACAAAAGGGGCCTATCCACATACCTCCTGGGTATCGTTTGGAATTCAGTTGTTTGGCCTCCGCAATTCCTTCTTCCACCTGTCCTTTTCTGCCTTTGAGTAGTCCAGAGTAAGCTGCCGCCCCCGTGTCACCGCCAGTCCCGCTCCCCGCTCCCTTAACCTTCAGCTGCACACGGGACAGGACTTGTTCTGTGTACCGCAATCGCAATATTCCCACTCGGCAGCCGGCTCACGCGCTTTCCAACAGATAGGATAACATGCATACGGCTCAGAGGATCGCTCTCGGCCTGCTCGCTGCGGCGGCAGTTGCCACTGCGTCCGATGTCGTCCAGCTGAAGAAGGACACCTTTGACGACTTTGTCAAGTCTAATGACCTTGTCCTCGCTGAGTGTAAGTCATGGACCGTATAGCCGCCAGTGCCACCATCCTGACATTTGCTTCCGATAGTCTTCGCCCCTTGGTGCGGCCACTGCAAGGCCCTCGCCCCGGAGTACGAGGAGGCTGCGACCTCGCTCAAAGAAAAGAACATCAAGTTGGCCAAGGTGGACTGCACAGAGGAGACGGACCTCTGCCAACAACATGGCGTTGAGGGCTACCCGACCCTCAAGGTCTTCCGCGGCCTTGACAACGTCTCTCCCTACAAGGGCCAGCGCAAGGCTGCTGCGTATGTTTCCCGGTCAGCCCCCCGATACGAGCCGCCTCTAATACATTTCACAGAATTACTTCCTACATGGTCAAGCAGTCCCTCCCCGCTGTGTCCGAGGTAACCAAGGATACTCTGGAGGAGTTCAAGAAGGCCGACAAGGTCGTACTTGTCGCCTACCTTGATGCCTCCGACAAGGCCTCCAACGAGGTTTTCACCCAGGTCGCTGAGAAGCTCCGCGACAACTACCCCTTCGGTGCTAGCACCGACGCCGCCCTAGCGGAGGCCGAGGGCGTCAAGGCTCCCGCCGTCGTCCTCTACAAGGACTTCGATGAGGGCAAGTCTGTCTTCTCAGAGAAGTTCGACGGCGAGGCGATTGAGAAATTCGCCAAGACGGCTGCCACCCCCCTTATTGGCGAGGTTGGCCCCGAGACATACTCCGACTACATGTCGGCTGGCATCCCTCTTGCCTACATCTTCGCAGAGACTGCCGAGGAGCGCAAGGAGCTCAGCGACAAGCTCAAGCCCGTCGCGGAGGCGCAGCGCGGCGTCATCAACTTCGGTACCATTGATGCCAAGGCCTTTGGCGCCCATGCCGGCAACCTCAACCTCAAGACCGACAAGTTCCCCGCCTTCGCCATCCAGGAGGTCGCCAAGAACCAGAAGTTCCCCTTTGACCAGGACAAGGAGATCACCCTCGAAGCCATCAAGGCTTTCGTTGATGACTTCGTTGCCGGCAAGATTGAGCCCAGCATCAAGTCCGAGCCCATCCCTGAGACCCAGGAGGGCCCTGTCACCGTTGTCGTTGCCAAGAACTACAACGATATCGTCCTTGACGACAGCAAGGATGTCCTGATTGAGTTCTACGCGCCGTGGTGCGGCCACTGCAAGGCTCTGGCTCCCAAGTACGAGGAGCTCGGCGCCCTGTATGCCAAGAGCGAGTTCAAGGACAAGGTTGTCATTGCCAAGGTTGATGCTACTGCGAACGACGTGCCCGATGAGATCCAGGGCTTCCCCACCATCAAGCTGTACCCGGCTGGTGCGAAGGACAAGGCCGTTACCTACTCTGGCTCGCGCACTGTTGAGGACCTCGTCAAGTTCATCTCCGAGAACGGCAAGTACAAGGCCGCACCCTCAGAGGGTGCTGAAGAGTCTTCGTCCACCGAGGCTGCTACTGAGACTTCCTCGGAGGCTGCTAAGGAGACGCACGACGAGCTCTAGAGGAGATGCGGTTTATGTATTCTACGAAGGCTTTTCTGGGTTATTTCTTTAGGGGCCATGGACACACCGAACTAAAGGCCCCCGGTATTGTGGGATTGGGTTACCAAAATACCAATGTGCATCTGTGTAATGAATGGATGAAGTCTCTCGGGTTCAAAATTGCCACAGCTCTCGCTTTTTTCCTTGTGCCACCCCCTTTTGACTCTTTTTTCACTTGGCTTTGCTTGGGCAGACGGCGTGATGGTCTTCCTTAAGCGTAAATTCTGCCGTAGTTGTCCGCCCAAATCAACCAAAGTGGGTCTCCCATTGGCTCAAGGTTCCACTTCTCAACGGCCAGCTGTCGCATGCCTACCCCTGTTCAGCCCAGAACCCGACGGGAGCGCATGCCGCCTCACACCAAAAGTAGCCGGTCGGACTGCTCACACCCTCTGCTTATTACTACTGCGGCTATTTCTGTCACTCTCCCTATTCCAGTTTTTTTTTTTTTTTTCCTCCGCAAGTCCAAGTCCTTCTCGACTGCAGCATAGGTAGCCATGGCCTCGAGAATACTATCCCACGGAGCCCGCGCCCTCGCAAGGAATACCCCTCCGATCCGCACGTTCACCAACTCAGCGCCTCGTCTGGACGCTGTCGCTGCGGCGCCGCTCCCTGCACGGAGGCCAGTCGGTGCGCTGAGGGGAGGGTACGTTTTTACCAATCTCTTCCCTGGCATCGTACCCCCTGCCAAAGCTTGAGCACTACAGAAGACATATTTATGGGATATAGACGCTGACAGATAATGTACTTTTACTTACAGGCTCTTCGGCTTCTTCCTCGGCAGCACCCTCGCCGGCGGCGGGGTCTACTACTACGCGATCCAGGAGTACAAGGCCTCGAACGAGCTGCTGACTGAGGACATTTACGTGCGTGTCTGCATCTGATATGCTGCACCTGCCCTTGTTCTTCAATTCATTATTATTCTACGTGCCCTTCCCCGAGCGACCCGCGCGGTACCATTTGATTAGATGTCTTTGAGTCTTTCTCAGAAAGAGGCAAAGAGGAGTTTGGGGGTATACAAAATAGAGATTAGAGGGTCGCGGGTTGGAAGCAAGCTGGTGAAGCGTAATTATCTTGGTTGTTTCTTTTACGCTGGGGAGTCTGTCCTGCCGGCAGACGCCAGGAATGGTTCATAAAGGGGCCATTGCGGCGTTGGCTGAGCGGCGGAGTCCCCTGCTCTTGCTTCAACAGCACAATGGATGTCCAGGGAACGTGTGCTAACTGCAACGTGGACGGACAGGCTCTGCAAGACGCTGTCGAACGGTTGAGCAACTATGTGACCAAGTTGGAGGAGAAGATGGAGGCACTGGAGAGGAAGAAGAAATGAGTTACGATTACGGTTGTGGGCTGGCTGGGAGGGCATGAATCTGGGTACTGGGTTGTATGAGGTGGGAATAATCGGGAACTGTACATCACTTCTTCGCCGGCGACAGAGATGAACACTTGAGGGCAGGATTGAACAGTCGTGCCGTGGGTTGCATTGCGGCGTTTCCTTGAATAAATACCAAGTATACCGGCCGTGCCCGACTTCTTCGGTTGTACATCATCTTCCTTCGCGCGCCCCAAAATTGTATGCGATCTCGTATATTCAACTTCTTTCCTAGCTCGCAGACCCGGTGTCATTAGCGCGGGTCGGTGAGTCGGGCCTGTGTGTCCGCCCGTGTGGGTCCCGGCTCGGCCATGGCACAAAAACTCCCGAACTGACTTCCCACTTCCACCCCACCAAATCGTTAACAACATCGACCATGAACAATTTCGGTGTCATAGAAATCGCCAGCACTACCACTAAAACCACTCCAGGATGGGCGTACGTGCCAGACACCGGGCCAACGCTGCCTGCCGTGGCCCAGCCCTCAAATCGGAAACGCGCCGCCCGAAATCAAACGGTCGTCAGCTTGTCCGATCTCTCAGCCCGTGAGGAGACGAGGTTACGCAAGGAGCTCGACGCGCTTGACCGCGACAATCATAGAGATGTCAACATCCCAATTCCCCCCAGGCCGGGCGGGGGTACCAGAGGTATGCGCAGAAAATTTAAAGGGGGGGTAGTCCAGGCTCTGACCACACTGCCAGCCCAGAACAAGCACACACCGAACGTGCGCAAGATCCTCCAATCCCAAAAGACGTTTGCGAACCACCTCGACGACTACATAGCGATGCTCGCACTGGCTGAGAGCAACCCGGTCGCCGCCGCAGCCATGAACGCCGCGCTGGCGAAACCATCTACCCCGACAACCGCTACCCCAAAGAGTGCCTCCCCAGCGCCATCGGCGTCAGCTGCGGGAACAAGCAAACGGTCAGCCGCAGCCGCCAAACGAGCAGCGGCCAAGGAGAAGCAAGAACAGGAAAGGAAAAAGGCAAAACAAACACCTAAACCCGACCCGGAGCCGGAAGCCGAGCCGCCACAACAACCAGCGCCAGCAGCGCAGCAAGACGACGACGTCGAAATGACCGACGCAGCCGCAGCCGCAGTTCAACCCGCTGCAACCTCCAGCAACAAAGAACAAGAACCGAAGCCACAAACCTACCCTCGCGAAAGCCAGATCCTCCCACCCTACGCAAAGCCCCCTCCACGTCCCCATCCAGGTGACAACGACCCGCTCTTGGTCTCGGTCATCCCACCTTTCCCTTCAGACGACGAGCTCAGGGCTCTGATGACATCCCCACCATTAAACTACCTCGAGGCGCGCGCGACCTGGGGCGAGGAAGAGAGCCGGTATCCCGTGCGCGTCTTCTGTGCCGTGTGCGGGTACTGGGGCCGGGTGAAGTGCATGAAGTGTGGGACGAGGGTGTGCGCGCTGGATTGTCTCGAGACGCATCGCGAGGAGTGTATGACCAGGTACGGACTGTAGGGCTTTTCAAGGGGTAAGAGAGAGGTGGGGCGAGGGAGGGATGGTGTTTCGAGAGCATACGTTACCGGTGCCTGCCGTGGTAAGACCGTAAGACCCCGGAAGACCTTAAAGATGTTCCCCGGCACCACCTGCGGGTGAATGCCAAGTGGGAACGGACGGGGGCAGGCGCGTCGAGGGCACCGGTGACAGCAGGGCCGAAGCCATGATGGCATTCTGTGGCTACGTTACCCATGGAAGGGAGAGTAGCATGGTGTGTGAGGCGGAGGGAGATATGACCATTCACTAAAGGAAGGATGTTTGATACCCAATTTGTTGTTTGCTGATTAGAAGACAGAAGTTTGACACTGGCGTTTTACTGATATGGCTTGTTATTCTGCAATTCCATCTACGTCGTTGCACTCGGACCAATGTGTTGTGGGTTTGCAAATGCCATGTTCATCTTATGTACCACCGGTCCCTGCTATGTATGATTTTCATATCTCCTCACAATGTGTACTCGTCCAGCCGGACAATGCGTGTCCCGTCGTCAAACTCATGAACAAATGAACCTACAAGATGCCGGCCCAAAAACATAGGGATCAACCCAGGGCAATTCCATCATACCCCGCGAACACCACCCATACATCATGCCAACCCAAAAAAGCACAAAACCACCACCAGGACACTCATCTACCTACCCGTCTCCTAGTTTTTTAACCTCCAAAACGAAGAGACAAGGTTGAATCAGACAGAAGTAAGCTCAAACGCAACATCCCCCCTCGTCGCACCGCCGAGACAGACCCCGCGAAAGCTGCCCTTCGGACACGCCTGCCTGGCGGCGCCGACGCACGCGGCCCAGCTGTCCTTGGAGATGCTGATGGTGGCGCCCTTCTGCGTCGCCCGCGCCGTGAACTGCGCCTTGCCGGACCGGCCCGTCGTCGTGGCGGGCGACCCGCGGCAGGAACCGACCGATGACCCGGCGATGCCCCCGCAGATGCCTAGCATGGCGGCGTGCTCGTCGTATTCGATGAAGTTTCTGAAACATAATGAAGGTCAATCCGGGTTCGGATAGGGATTGTGGTTTCTGGAAGAAGGGTGGGGGGAAGGGAGGCAAAGGAGGCAAAGGAAGGGGGGGGGGGGGGAGGGGGGGGTTGAGGGGTTGAGAACTTACACGCTAGAATCGAGACAGACTACATCTTGGACGACGTTGCGGGTGATCGGGGTTTGTCTCCGGAGCGACACGGCTTCGTAGTATGTTTGTGGAACGGCTACGCGAGGCTGGTGGTATTTCTCGTACCATGGCTGCGGTGTGGGCGCGGCGACGGAAAGCGTGGAGAGGAATAGGGTGAGTGAGAGGAAGGTGAGGGCCCAGGTGAGCATGTTGAGTGGCGCTTTGAAATCTGGCGGCTCGAACTGCGGATATGGCGGGGTGCTGATTGAGGGAGGAGATAGGAGTGAGTGAATGAATGAAAGTGGACTTCAAGCCCGGTTGGTTGGTTTGAAAACAAATCAGCGTTGACAATATGTTCCCTCTTCTCAAGAACAGCTGCCCGGTCGCAGACCGCGTTGTAAGTCAAAGAAGTGGAAGGAGCGATGCCAGCATCTGGGCAGAAAACGACTGCCTGGCACGTAGGTAGGTAGGAAGACAAGATCACGTCTGCGCGAAGCTAAAACCTCCCAAGAGAGAAGAGAAACAAAGCCAACAGAGGCAGCAGAAACCGTCCGATTTCTGTGCCGTCTAAACCATTAGCCTCCGCGGATGAGACGAGATGAAGGTTCTCGTCACGCTCCCCGGCCCCTGCCAAGAAAGCGCGGGATCTGCTACAGGGGACAAGACCGGCGTCGGTTTGTGGGCACAGATCGGATCGGCAGGAACCTGCAACATCCCGCCAATGAGCAAACAAGTATCCGTTTGCTTGAGGAAGCCGAGCTGCCGGATCGAAGCCTTTCTCCGCCTCTCCACCGGCCTGATCTTGCGTTAGCCGTTGGATGAGCTGGGATGACGTTCCTGCCAAAGTTCACAAGCTGCGTAAGCACCTTGTCACGCCAGGTTTTGAAGCCTGTGTGGAAAGTGCCATTGTGCCCCTGGGCAACTGGTGAAACAACCGGGGGCAAGCTTGGCGGTAACGATTGGTCCACTACGGGCGCTCCGAGAATGACCTTCCAGGAACGCTCGACATGGGGGCCTACACGTAGATAATCGAGAACTTGATCGGACACGCCTAGTTAAGTCGAATAATGTGACGATGTTCTGCAGATAAATGAGCGCCGTGGATAAGTATGCAGATCGCGGACAGCAGGCTCCGAACTGAACACACTTCACACCCTCTATGAACGCTGCGGGGTTTATTTGGCGTTCGACAGCGCAGAGCCAACCGTTCTTCGACTGATCGTTGGAGACTGCAGAGTTCAAACCAAGGCAAGGCGTCGATCGTCAATGTATCCCATACACCGCAATCGATGACTTGGACTGTTTGGAAACCGAGCGCCTTTGACGTACCGAGCTCAACCTCGGGAGCTTTGATGTCCCTTTCCGTGGCAGGTGCAGAGTTCCCATCACAAATCCTGCACAGAAAATCGCAGTGTGTGGTTCGAGACAGGCCCCTGAACCGGCCTCAGGTTGGTGAACGGCCCGTTGCAGCTCACTCACGGGAACTCGGGCGGTGGCCTCCGCTCGCCGCAAACTCCGCAGACGCCGCAGTCGCCAGCATTTCGGTAGTTGGAGCCTTGACATGTTCTGCTTTTACATGCCCAGGAGTCCGTTATCCTGTCTGGATCAAGCACGCTTGCGCACATGGCGCAAGTCGCGGATTGCGGCTCATTGGCGAACGTACAGACCGGGCAGTTTTTCGGACCCAAGGGGTTTGGTTCGGCAGGCGACCCATCGATGGATATTGGCGGCTCCGACTTCGCCGACTCTCGGCCCGCGGGCGCTTGCGCCTTGTTTGCTGCGGTCTTCGGTACAGATTTGCTCGGACTCTCTCCTCCACGAGCCGAGTTCGATGGCTTCTGGACAAGCTTCATGGACCCGAAACTTTGCAACTCTCGCAGCTCCTGCTGAGCATCCTGATCCTCGGGATTCTCGTCTTCACAGACCTTGACCATTCTCCGGCCCTTCGAGTCCAGGAGCTTCTTTCCGTCGATATCAAGCGCATCGGTTCCGGGAGTGGTGTCGTCGTCTTCGTAATCATCGCCGCTCTCAGTCTCGGATCCTTCATCCGCTTCATCCATTACCTCTTCCGTCTTCTGCTGCTCAAACCGGGCCAATGCTGCAGCCGCCCGCAGTTCTCTCCCCCTCGCGCTCCCAGCTACCCGGGGTTTGGCTGCTTTGGCCTTGCCCTTCTCTAGCTTCTTCTTCACTTCTTCATCTTCCCCTAGCTTCACGCCACCGGCGCCAAACTTCTTGAGAATCCGTCGCTCTTTCTGCTCTTTGTAAGACAGCACTTTCTTGGCCTTCCGTTTCCGGCTTCGAGACCGGTATGTCCCGCCGCAGAGGTGTTCCGGGAGTGGTTCGCCCGGCGCAACCGTGTTCCTTTCAAATTCGCCAGTAGACAGAAGGGCTCCGCGGCCCCAGAGCCCCTCTCCGGTGAAGCCACGGGCCCATAGGGACCTCATCTGCTCGGCATACTGGTTCCTGACTGCCCAGAAAGCTCGGGAATGGTTCATCTGCTTGCAATGGGCCAACCTACACAGGATGTTAATAAGACAAGAGATAGCGGGCTGGGCGGATCCGGGGGGGGGAGGACAGACTCATGCATCATGACCATCTGCACATAGTTGAAAGGGAGCCAGTGGCCACTGTGGGTCTTGAGGACAAGCTGGATGACCTCGCCCGCGTTGAAGTTTCGGCCGACAAACTCTCGATTCGGCTCGTACTCCTCCAGCGACATGACCGAGAGGTGATGCTCCCGCATGATAGGTACTTGTTGTTGCACCCAGATCAGCCCCATGTCCCAGGTAAATCTTCTCCTCGCATACTGAACTCACGACATTGCGCTGCGATCCTCTCCAGAAAGTCCTGTGCGATCTTCTCGTCCGGCCCCTTGAGCGGCTTGATGAAGACGATGCGGTCGTTCGGCTGCGACCGCTTCGCGTTGAGCCGCTGGATTCCGAGGGGCATTTCCACTTTTGCTCGCGGATAGTCAGTCGACTGTGTGAAGAAAGAGAAGGGGGACGTAAAATCTTTGGATAATTAATTAATTCCAAGCATCGGTATAGTATTAAAAGCAGGGAGAATGGACGGCCCGCAAAAATCGAAAGTCAAAGCAAGCACTATTACGGAACAGAAGCAACGCCACGCGAACTGATCAAGAATCCGCGTTGACAAGTGACGCCAGATCACGTGATACTAATCAGAAAGTATAAATGGGGAAGGCGGATATCGGGTGGAAAGGTGAGCAGCGGTAAGACACTGTCTTTTGGGGGAGTGTAGATATGAGATCTCACCTTCAGCTTGTTGGTACACGGATTTCCTTCACCGGGACGATACAGGTTCCTGATTATCACGGTCACTCTGAGGAGTTCACCTCCTGAGTCCGTAAGCTGGGTAATCCGTATGGAATAGGTATTGCAGGGCATCAACAGTGAGACTTTCCAAATCTTCATTCCAACAGCACCGTGAACACCGATCGGCTGGCTGGTATGTACATACATAAACTCCTCTAAGCAAGCAAAAAACCATTTTACCTCCTCCTCGCACCCGCACCCGCCCCATGCGCCGCCGCCTCGCCCCGATCCGCAAGCGAGACAACCTCCCCAATGCCCGCGGCCTCCTGCTCCTCCTCGAGCAGCGTGATCTCCTCGCGGCAATCCCACCACTTCTCCTCGCTCAGCTCAAACGCCTTGGCCTTGATCTCCTTGATGGTCAGCGACTCGGGCTGGATCCCCTTCCACCGCAGGCTCGTCATGAGGATCTCCTGCCATTCGGCGGACGTGCGCTGGAAGAAATCGCGGCGGGATTCGAAGGGCTGTTGTTGGTGCGCACGGTTAGCATGCGGATGACAGGAGCAAAAAAAAGGGGGGGGGGAGGGGGGGAGGGGTGGGGCTGGGGGGGACGAAAAGGAAAAGGACTGGAAGGGGGGGCATGTGCGGGGATTTTACCCTCGGGTGCGGCAACCCGTCATCGACCGTCGTGGCTGCTGAAGACTCGACTTCCTCCTCCTCTGACGGGGTCGTAGATCGCGCGGTGGAGGCGGTATCAGCGTTCGAGACCTCGTCGCCTGCCTGCTTCTTCTTCCTCTTGCTGGGTGTAAACGGCTTCGCCTTCGAATCCTCGTCTGCCATTTCGATGTCGCCTTCCTCGTCCTCATCCTCATCCTCGTCATCTTCCTCGTATTCGTCATCCTCTTCATCCTCGTCTTCGTCGTCGGAGACCTGCAACGTGTCAGCCCCCCCTACTCTTCTAGTCCGGCGGTACACTATCCCAATACTCACAATCCAGTCCTCCACCGGCCGGTTGAAGACCTCCTTACACCCATCCAACTTCACCAGATCGATGGCGTACAGGTCATCAAACGTAAACTCGCGATCGCCCTTCTCGTAGGTGCCGCCATAGATGTACAGCACGTCATCCTGCACCGCCAGCAGGGCATTGAACCTAGGATGCGGGAACTCCATGCTAACCGGCATCTCCCGAACCTGCCTCTTCTCATTCCTCTCCTCCTCTTCCTCCCGTTCCCGCCTCCCCGCAACATCCCCCCGGTCAATCTCCATGTCATCCGCATCCTCGACCGCCACCCCGGCCCTCAACGCCGCAAGCTGCCGGAGCAGCTCCTCTTCATTCTCCCTCGCCCGCCCCCTCCTGCCGCCCGCACCGCGCTCGCCCCCGCCCCCGCCAGAATTCTTGGGCTTGTTGTTCACCCGACTCTTCCTCAGCGCCAGCGGGAAGAACCGGTTCCGCTCCACGTTCCACGCAAACATCTGGTTGAAGAACTCGCTCTCGATCGCCTCCTCGCTCTCCTGCACGTCGTGCACCCCGCCGAACAGGATGCCCCGGCCGCGGTGGAAGGCCATCGTGGCGCCCGCCCGCGCCGGGTTGGGCGCGTTGGCCGGCTTCTTGCGCCGCTCCCATCGGACGACGGGCGGTGCGCCGGCGGGCGCGTCCGCCGCGGGCGGCGTGATGCGCAGGAAGAAGCAGTCGGTGTGGATCATGGGCCGCAGCACGTTGCGCTGCCCCCCGCCGCCGCCGCCGCGTTGGCTTTTGCTGCTGTTGTTGTTTGCGGGCGCGGTGGCTTTGACGCGGGAGTAGCCGCCGTAGAGCACCGCGCCTTGCTCGTGCGGGAGGAGGGTGAAGGAGGAGCGCGCATCGGGCTTGAGCTGAGCGGGCGGCAGGGCCGGGTTGTGCCACACGAAGTTGGCCGTGTCGTACAGCCAGAGGTCGGCCAGGTATTTGGTCTGGTTGGCCGTGTCCTGGAAGCCGCCGAAGAGGATGATGTACTGCTTGAAGTAGGTCATGCGGTGACCCGACCGCGCTGGCGGCGTCTTGCCCTTGGGCTCCAGACGGGTCCACTCGCGCGTGCTTGGGTCGAGCTTCCAGAAGTCGTTGTAGTGGTAGAAGGTGCCCTGCTTGGGCGAGCTGAACTCGCCGCCGAAGAGATACACGGCGTTGCTCTGGTTGCCGCCGCGGGTCCAGGCGTGCCCGCTGCGCGGGAGCGGAGCGTTGGGGGATGTGACGCAGCGCCATTCGTCACGGTCGATGTAGTAGATCATGAGATCGTTAAAGAAGGTGGCCAGCGAACCGTTGAAATACTCGCCGCCAAAGAGCAGCAGCTGGTTGCTGTTGGACGGGTTGGCCAGGAATGTTGCCGCTGACCGGGCCCGCGGGGGATGCTCAACCACCGTCTCGGTCACCTTCAAAAACTGCTCCTGCTGTTTCTTGTATTCCTCGAGCACGGCATCCAGATCGACGTCCTCGGCATCGCTGCCGTCCACCTTGGACGCCTTCACTTTTGCCTTCTTCTCTCCTTTGGTAGCCTGCTTTTCCTTCTTCTTCTCGAGCCTCGCCTTCTTCGACTCGTCCTTCTTACCCTTTTTATCCTTGCCCATCTTGAATATGATGGTCTGTTCGGATTTTCCAGATAGTTGGTGCCGAACTCAGCTGGGCTGCCGCAAGGTTGCCGATGAAGGCAAGTTTATGAAGGACGTGCGGAGAAAGCTGCTTGGTCAAAACGTCGAGATGTGACTGACAAGTGACTCCACCTCCACCTTTCCATCACTCAAAACATCAGGCTTGCCTCTGAAGTTCAGATGAAATACTAAGACATCACCCAGGCAAAATGTATTATTTTTGCAACGTCGGCGAGTGGCGTCATAATCCGGGAGAAATGTCAGCATTTAACTCCTTCGTCATTCATCCCTACTACTACCTAGCAGTACTGCTACTCTACAGCCCAATCTTTGACATGCCGTGTGATACGGTACGCATGTATCTCATGCATATAAAATTCATCTAAAGATGGTATGCTTTTTGGCCACTCAACTCCGTAGATGGAAAGATGCCTGGCCGCCTGGTCAGACATCTCTTACTTCTCTTATCCAGATGCAGTTTACGAACGATATCCGTTCTCCTTCAGCCAAGCCGCCACATCCGCCCGGTCACGCTCAACCCACGAGATCTTCGACCGAATCGAGTCCAGGCTTTGCGCCAAGGACTGATCAAATCCGTTGGTGCTCTTGCCATCGAAGAACCTCTCTACCTTGGCGAGCTGCTCCTTCTTCGTGAAGCTCGACGTGAAAATCGTGACCATAGTGCCCAGCATCGAGAGCGCGGGAGGGAGCTTCTTGATGAGCTCCTCCCAGTTCTCCGTCATCCAGGCGAAGAGGGCCTCGATGCCCTCCGGGTGGCTGCGCAGGCCGCTGGTCGGCATGTAAATATCCTGATCCTTAACCTCGCCGCTGAAGAGTAGATCCAGCGTTCGCTTGATAAGCTCGGGGTCCTTGGCGCGGCCCAGGCAGCGCAGTGCCGTGTTCCGCTCATCGCTGTTGGTAGAGGTGCGGTAAAAGTTGAGAACCGCATCATACTAAGAAGCCTCTAGTTAGCACCCAAGCGAGTTTGAACATCTAACATAAGAAATACAACATACCTCTTCCTTCCCCCCGTACTTCAGCGCCATGCTGAAAACGCTACCCCTGATGTTGGGGTGGATCGCGCTTTTGTCTCCCGCCATAAACTTCTTGAACATACCCTTGGCCGCGTCGATGATGGTTTTGTCGCCGCAGAGCCCGGCACTGCTGAACATCATGGCCTTGAACTGCTGCAAGATATGCCCGTCGTTCTCCGAGAACTCCCAGCCCAGTTCGTGTGCCTTGGCACTCACGAGATCACGCAGGAACGAATCCAGGGCGTCGCGAGTCGCCTGATCCTCAAAGATCCAAGCGCTCTGCACTGAAGACACGCGCGCAATAATCTCATTCCAGACGACGAACTCAGACTCAGTGTTGAAGCCCTTGAGAAGGCTCAGGACGCCCGAAGTGCTCTGGTAGCCAGATGTGGCTAGCGCACCGGCATCGGCAATCATGCCGGCTCTGTCTTGGACGCTGAGCAACCCCTGCTTCGCAGCATCGCCCAGCTTCTTGAGCCGCTCTGGCGAGTAGGCAGTACGATACAGGCCCGTGTGGTTCGCGTTCAGTTTGAAGAAATCGGTGCTCGGCACCTTGAAGCTTGCCTCCCGCTTGTCCAGCGTCTGCGACTCATCGACGCCATCTTTGGTGCGGAGGCCAAGGAAGACAGGGTAGATAACCTGATCCTCCTCGGGCTTGGTGTCGCCAGTCCTAAGGAATCGGTTTTGCTTCAGATGGATGGTGTTGTCGTCCTTCTCTGACACCGTCACCACAGGGAAGCCAACGTGCTTGGTCCACACTTTCATAACTTCTTCCATATTCTTGCCGCTAGCCTCAGCAAGAGATGCCCACAGATCTTCGGTTTGGGTGTTGCCGTAGGCGTGCTTCTTGAGATACCGCCTGACGCCTTCGAGGAAGGTCTCCTCACCAAGGTAGGTCGAGATCATACGCAAAACGCAAGAGCCCTTGGAGTAGGAGATGGCGTCGAAGATCTGGTTGATCTCGTCGGCCCGCTTCACAGGGACCTCGATTGGGTGACTGCTCCGGAGTGAATCCAGGGCAAGCGCACGCTGGAGGTTATCAACGACATACGACTCCCATACCTTCCACTCTGGGTAGAAGACGTTGCAGGAGTACCACGAAGCCCAAGTGGCAAATCCTTCGTTGAGCCAGAGGCCGTCCCACCAATCCATGGTGACGAGGTTGCCGAACCACTGATGAGCCAGCTCGTGCTGCACGACTTCGGCGACCCGCTCTTTAGTGGCTGCGCCGCTGGCCTTCTCATCTAGTAGCAAGTCAACCACCCGGTATGTGACAAGGCCCCAGTTCTCCATGGCTCCTTGGGCGAAATCGGGAATGGCAATCTGATCCATCTTCGGCAGAGGGAACTCAATGCCGAAGACTTTCTCGTAGAAGGCGAGCGTCTTGGCAGCCAGGTTCAGCGAGAACCGGCCGTGCTCAATGTCCTGGCCAGGCGGTGCGTAGACGCGGACGGGCACGCGGAATTCGCTAGTTTCAATGTAGTTGAGCTCGCCAACCACGAAGGCCACCAGATATGTCGACATGAGCGGGGACTTGTTGAAGGTGACGGCCTTCCTGGTGCTACCCGTCTGCTCAGACTGAACCTCGGTCTCAGAAGCGACATCCATGTTGCTGAGGCAGGTCAGGTGCTTGTCGGCAATCAGAGTGACGGTGAACTCGGCCTTCAGGGAGGGCTCGTCGAAACAAGGGAATGCGCGGCGGGCATCTGTGGGCTCCATCTGGGTGACGGCCAAGATCCCTTGGCTACCGTCGGGGTTCTTGTATGTCGACCGGTAGAAGCCAGCCATCTTGTCGTTGAGCTGGCCGGTGAACTTGATTTCGAGCTGCGCCTTGCTACCCTTGGCAACAGCATTGTCGAAGTCGAACTTCGTGATCTGGGCAGCCTCATTGTACGACACTGCAGGAGACGAGCTATGTCTTGCGTCAGCCAAACGGAACTGCGCAAGCAACAAAAAGAAAGCGACGGGCAGCAGCCCAACTGACCTGACCGTCTGGCCGCCTGAGGTGATCTTTGCGTTGTGGATTTCGAGTTCGAGAGTGTGCAGCGAGATAGACTTGGAGTCCTCGGCCACATCAAGGTCGATCACGACAGTGCCGTCAAAGGTCAGCTTCTTGAAGTCGGGTTCCAACGTCACATGGTAGTGTCGCGGGATGACGTTGGCGGGGAGGAGCTCTCGGCCCTGCACATTGACCCCACCTGCCATTTCGGCCGCAGCTTGAGTTCGGCACATGTTGTGACGGCGGTATGAGCAGTAGCGGACTGGCGGGCTGCAGAGACGTAGCGTGCGTGGTAGCGGGAGCGGTCGTTGGCGGTTTAAGGCAGGAACGGTTGAAGAGGGCAGACGGGTCAAGGCCGAGTAACTGCGGGGTGGTTAGCCACGGGCCTTGCTCTGTTGGGCCTCGATCTCAGTCCGGGTGCGGGTCCCGGTCCGTCATAGGCGGTCATACCGTGAGGTAAAATTCCTGGGCGCGAGATGCGAGCGCAATTGCACTTGTAGAACTGCTCCTGCTTGAACGACCGGTCTTTGTACTCCGCGACAGACGTGGCGGGCAGTTACGCAAGAGCGAAACATCATTGAAAGTCAAAGACGGAATAATGAGAGACAGCTCTCATATAATGTACAGTGGGTCCGGGCCTATCGTACACTTCACTCTACCGCACATCAATCCATTGCAGAGCTTTCAAGATGATGCAGGCTGCTCTTGCAAACTTGACACGGACCTACCTCAACAAGAGAGAGCGAGAGAGCCGACGAATGCCGGACCAGGTCTTGTTACACTGAAGTCCCCATCTATCCCGCTTACTGCTTTGGGCAGGCGGTCACTTCCTGCACTGACGGCTTACTGTGTATGCGATGTTTCCGGCCTTTGTTCTCAACGATCGGTAGTCGGAGAAGGGCAAGGTTTAGAGCCCGACTACCTAAAGGTGTCACGACAGCAGGCCTTCTCCGGGCTTGCCCGATGTCATGGTCGCCTTCTAACCCTGTCTCATCAGGAGAGTCAATTCGTATAAGGGACGGGAGCTGTTGCGTATTACAAGATTGTACCTTACATTTCGATGCTAACGTTACGCAACGTTACCTTACTGGTTAAAGCGAACTGGAAGCAGCCCAACGAAAGTTGTTGGGTTCAAGCAACTACCTTACCTAGATAATCGTTGTTAGAATCTGCTTGGCTGACTCTAGGTGCCTTAGGCTCTACTGTCAAGGAGAGCATATTTGGCTTGGGAGCACCGAAGAGGCAGAGAAGAGGGACAGCTGAGCGCAGAAGTGCATGATACGGACATGGGCTTTCAGGCCTGCCCCACCAGCTGTTTACTGTACAGATGGGTGTTAGGTATGTGGGCCTATGCGTTCGAAGATTACAGCCGCTGAGTAGGGTTGCTTATAAGGTCAATGCGTCTCCACAGCAATATTCAGATCCCTTCACCTTGGGTTTTACCTTCAAGTACTAGTAGTAATGTATGCGTGACATCCGCTGATAACAATGGAACTCGTTTGAAGACTGTATCCGAAATTGTCGCGGCTCTCTCGCTGAGTGGGCCGCTCTCAGCTGTCGGTCCCCACTTGGCGGGGTAGGTCGACAGCTCAAGCATGGAGGGGTCAGACGGAGAGTGGAGGGGCAACATTCCATTGGGATGATAACACTGGAAAATACATACGAGGTCCGAGTCTCGTAGCGTGAGGTCGTGAGCTTGACATCTGATGTAAGAGCAACGCTCCTAGGGAACCGTTTTTGAGAACGGAGCCTGAGACTCAGATGGGATGAACTCTGCTCAGCGAGGTTGGGCGTCTCTGTCACACAACGGAGCTCCGACAACGGATTCACTCAGCTCTGAACCCCCGCGCTTGCAGAAATCTCGCCGAGCCAGAACAACACTTCGCTGGTCGTAGTAATGTGAGGCGTAGGTCGGTCTGCAGGTCACCGTAACTGCGTAGATTGCTAGAGCAGGGGTGTAGGCTGTATGATCTGAGGGAATACTGCCTCCGATTTGTTGAGATGCTCCTGGATGACGAGCGAATCTTGCTAACAGCATCTGACACGGGCAAATCTCCCCCTACCCTTGCGGTGTCTTGTCACCCCACCAAAACAAATCCCGCCCCTCCCTCGACCTCATCTTAATCATAAGCTCATCCAACACCGACCCAGATTTCTGATTCTCTCTCTTGCTCAACTTCCTCAGCAACCTTTCCTACCACTATCTTGACAGAACCGTCAGCTAAGCTCAACACCAGGTATGTATTCACCCATGCTCCGCTCACCTTCGAGCTTTCTTCTGTTCAATTCCATATGGTTCGCAACACAAGACAAACATGTTTCGGACTGGCGACGTCGGGCAACGCATAGCGTTGCCGGATATCTGGCCAGCCTGTATCCTCGGGGTCCAAATTGAGTTGAGCGAATTATGCCGTCGAGGACAGCACTTCTCAGTTTGAACCTGTCCTGGGCTCCTCCCATTCTATGGCCTTAAACTCACGCACTCAAACTCTTTCTTGATTGCTTCTACCGTTGGCAGAGCTCACATCGAGCTATAGTATACCGTAATTTGCTGACAGTCAATCGCCAGAACCATCCACAATGACGATCTCCAAGATCCACGCCCGCTACGTTTACGACTCTCGCGGTAACCCTACCGTCGAGGTCGATGTCGTGACGGAACTTGGCCTCCACCGCGCCATTGTTCCCTCGGGTGCTTCCACCGGTTTGTCGTACCACTACCACATGTTAAACATAAGACTTCGTCTGACATCGGCGACATAGGTCAGCACGAGGCTTGCGAGCTCCGCGACGGCGACAAGACCAAGTGGGGCGGCAAGGGCGTCCTCCAGGCCGTCAAGAACGTCAACGAGATCATTGCTCCGGCGATCATCAAGGAGAACATCGACGTCAAGGACCAGACCAAGGTCGACAAGTTCCTGATCGACCTCGATGGCACCCCCAACAAGACCAAGCTTGGCGCCAACGCCATCCTCGGTGTGAGCTTGGCCATCGCCAAGGCCGGCGCTGCTGAGAAGGGCGTGCCTCTCTATGCTCACATCTCGGACCTTGCTGGCACCAAGAAGCCCTATGTTCTTCCAGTTCCCTTCATGAACGTCCTGAACGGAGGGTGGGTTTTCACGTCTGCGAGTTCGCGGGACTAGCTAACCGAACTTGGTAGCTCCCACGCTGGTGGTCGCTTGGCCTTCCAGGAGTTCATGATCGTCCCCTCGGCCGCCCCGTCGTTCTCCGAGGCCATGCGCCAGGGCGCTGAGGTGTACCAGAAGCTGAAGAGCCTCGCCAAGAAGAAGTACGGCCAGTCGGCCGGCAATGTCGGTGACGAGGGTGGTGTCGCTCCCGATATCCAGAGCGCCGAGGAGGCTCTCGAGCTTATCACGGAGGCCATTGAGCAGGCTGGCTACACCGGTAAGATGAAGATCGCCATGGACGTCGCCTCCAGCGAGTTCTACAAGGAGGACGCCAAGAAGTACGACCTCGACTTCAAGAACCCCGACAGCGACCCGAGCAAATGGATCACGTACGAGGAGCTGGCCAAGCTGTACAGCGATCTCTGCAAGAAGTACCCGATTGTCAGCATCGAGGACCCCTTCGCTGAGGACGACTGGGAGGCCTGGAGCTACTTCTACAAGACCCAGGACATCCAGATCGTTGGTGATGACCTGACAGTGACCAACCCCCTCCGCATCAAGCGGGCCATCGAGCTCAAGGCTGCCAACGCCCTGCTGCTTAAGGTCAACCAGATCGGCACCCTCACCGAGTCGATCCAGGCTGCCAAGGACTCGTACGCTGACGGCTGGGGCGTCATGGTGTCTCACCGCTCCGGCGAGACCGAGGATGTCACCATCTCGGATGTTGTCGTGGGTATCCGCGCCGGCCAGATCAAGACCGGTGCTCCGTGCAGGTCGGAGCGTCTCGCCAAGCTCAACCAGATCCTCCGTATTGAGGAGGAGCTCGGCGACAACGCCGTCTACGCCGGCGAGAACTTCCGCAAGGCGGTCAACCTCTAGGGCGTGAGTGAGGCGAACATGAGCTTAAAATCCGGCGGAGCCGGGAGCCGGAAAGCAGGTATCGGCGATTGGCTGGTGATGAAGTTATCGGCCTCGGATGAGAATGGGAGGAATGGCTCATGAAAATGGAAACGGACGTAATGACAAATAGAAACAATGGAATACCAGGCCAACGCAGCCAAAGACAAGCAAGAGCCTCTCCCTCGATTTGCTCCTGATAACCGAGGGGTAAACGCAGTCCAGAACTACGGCGGCGCGGCCAGCGGCAAGGGAACACCTCCGGACATGACAATCAAGGTTGGTGAAGTTTAACGTTACTGTAACTAAGATACGTTATGCGTAGTGCGCAATGTAAGCCTCGGATGTTCATTGTTCCTCTTCCAAGTTCCACACGACCCTGGCGAGTCGCGACCTGATCAGTCCACCAGCTGCCGGCAGCTGTGTGTTGGTTGCTACAGTGATGCACTGTTTGGGTAAACTCGGCAGGTCTAAATTAGATGCTCAATCTTGTCGCGACCCGCCAACCCCTCCCATCGCGTCTGTCCTTACCAAACACGGAGGACGTGAAATGCCACTGATTCCATCCTAGACCAGGTAGGTCAGCGATCTCGGGCGAACTTCAACGATCTATTGCGCGCATTTCCATCATCTCGACATTTTCCTTTCTCTCGAGCCACACGACTGTTCGCCCTACACGCCGCCGTTGAGGCCGGCCACATCCTGCATCATGGCGCCCAACGACGCCGTCAACTTTGATATCATTGAGGATCACAAGGAGAATATCCAGGCCCTTCCCAGCGGCCGGTCGGCGAGGAAGCTCGCTGAGATTCTCTCCCCATCGCCTCTGCAGCCTAAGTCAACACCGTCGCCTCTGGACACCAAGGATGTCAATGACAGCATTCGCGCCGACTTCGAGGCTGAGGTCGCCGCGATTTCCGAGTCAGACGATCCGCTAGATGTCTATGATCGCTACGTCCGTTGGACACTGGACGCATATCCCTCCGCCCAGGCCACGCCTCAGTCCCAGCTGCACACCCTTCTCGAGCGCGCAACCAAGGCATTTGTGCACTCGGCGCAATACAAGAACGATCCGCGCTACCTCAAGCTCTGGCTCCACTACATCAACTTCTTCTCCGACGACCCCCGCGAGGCTTTCGTTTTTCTGTCACGACATTCGATCGGCGAAACCCTGGCGCTGTTCTACGAAGAGTACGCCGCATGGCTCGAAGGCGCCGGCAGATGGGCGCAGGCCGAGGAAGTGTACAAGCTGGGGATCGAGCGCGAGGCACGGCCCGCAGCGCGGCTGTTGCGTAAATTCGGCGAGTTTGAGCAGCGCCGGGCACAGCAGGCAAACGCGGACGGACCATCGTCACCGGCCCTGCCGGCGGCTCGGCCAGCCCTCGCGGCCAAGATCGATCCGTTTGCTGCCGCGGCAGCGACGCGTGATCCTCAAGCTCCGAGGCCCACGGCCGGGCTCGGAGTGCAGGCTTCCAAGCCTGCGCGGTCTAAACTGGCCATTTTCTCCGACGCAGACGCCGCCGCTACGGCGCCAGCTATGTCGTCTCGGATCGCGGGATCCAAGGGATGGGATAGTATTGGGTCACTGACGGATCGCAAGAAGGAGAATATTGTGGAGCCTAAGCCTTGGGCCGGAGAGACACTGAAAGCTGGCGGCAAGAAGAGCAGCGGGCCGAAGCTGGCTGTTTTCAGGGATCCGGTAAGTCTACTTTTCTATCCTCCTCCCCCGTCGCAACGAGATATTGATGAATATAGGACTAATGTATGGCGGTTCGGTGTATCATGTATTCAGTCACTGGCCAAGCAGCTTTCTCAATCGCATATTCCCATAGACCATGCCAAGGTCCAAGTAACCGTGAACCCCAGCAATGGCAAGAGAGAGCGAGTGTTTGTCGACCTACGGGCTGTCTATCCGACTCCTGACGAACCAGGCACTGAGCTGAGCTTTGAGGAGATTTGGGCTGCAAACCGTGGCTGGCTAGACCACGAATGGGAAGACGAAGAACTGCCTCCTTTCGCTGATGAAAGCTCCATGTCAGCCACGAACGCTTTGTCAGGGGGCGTCCCTCTGAAACTTGCTATTCATCACGATGTTGTTAGACTGGACGAAAATGGCGCGCCTATTTATCCAAAGGAGACCAAGGCGAAGAAGAAGAAGGTGATTGAAGTCAACGAGACACAAATCAGTCAGTCAACGCTCCTTACCTATCTTTTACAGCTTGCTCTTATCTAACACGTCCGCAGTCGCCGCCAAGCTCGACTCGCCTTCCGGGCCTAAGATGAAGAAAAAGAAGAAGAGGCGGTCCACTGCGGAACCAACCATGACGATACATACCAGGGCAGCAACCGATGACATTTACGACATCTTCAATGCGCCACTCAAGCCGGCAGATCAACGGATGGGTGTTAGCGATGACGAACACGGTTACGAGTCAGACGACTACACGAGCGTTGCTGATAGCACGGTCACTACCACCTACATAGCCACGAGCGAAGCAGAGGATGAAGAGGACGCCGACGAACGCGTTGATGAGACGTTCGATGTGAAGAGCGTTAACAGCGAATGGTCGGAGTTCTCAATGCACCGGGACATCCCCGGTGCCGATGGCGATGACATTGAGCGCGACGAGGCAGAGGTGTCCGATCTGATTGACATCCGGGAGGAATCTGCTGAGCCGGATGAAGACGACGCAGCGATGGAAGCTCCCAGGACGAGGACCATGTTCGTGCCGATACCACCGGAAGACTACGTGCCAACCAGGCGGCCGTACAGGGATCCCGTCGAGGCAGCTAATAATCGCCTCCCTTTCATGACCCCAATCACGGAGAGGACCGAGACATCGCTGAATATGACGGCGGATATGAGCAGATACGGCAAGACACCGTCTAGGAGACCCAACGCCGAGATGCTACATGAAGACGAAGAAGAGGACGAAGAGGAGGGCAAGGAGGGCGACGTCGACCTGGAACCGCTGAGCAGCCCGTTGCGAGAGGTGGTAGAATCGGAAAGCCCAAAGGGGAGGGTGGCTCTACCGCTTCTCCCGAAGGCGAAGTCATCACCAGCAGCCAAACCATTCGCTCCGAAAGCGCCAACGACCAGGGGTCCTATAATCAAGGAAGTGCTGTGCAACCCTGTCGATGACAGCGTGCGAGCCGAGATCTTAGCAAACATTCATCCTCCACTCAGCTCGTACGACGGATTCTTTGATCGCCGGGGCGAGAAATGTGGGAGGGCGGCTGAGATCCGCAAGTTCGCCAAGGCCGCCGGCAAAGGGAGCAGGAACAGTACCGACAAGACAGGCAACCTGGGCAGTCCGGTGATACTGGAATTTCCAAGCGTCAAGTCCCAGTACACAATCAGAAAGGAGCTCGGAGCCGGCGCCTTTGCTCCGGTGTACCTGGTCGAGAACTCGTGCCCCGAAGTCGCATCAGCCGACGAAGACGGCGGCGACGAGAACGGCACTGTGGCCAGGATGGGCCGCGGCGCTTTCGCCAGCACGCACAATCACCGCCACGAGCGCGAAGCGCTCAAGATGGAAGACCCGCCGACGCCCTGGGAGTTCTACATGATGCGGCTGGCACATGCCCGCCTCGGCCCGCAGCACCGCGCAACCGCCTCGCTCTCGCCCGCTCTCGAGATGCACCTCTACCAGGACGAAGGCTTCCTCTTCCTGCCCTTCTACCCGCACGGCACACTGCTCGATGTTGTGAACCTCTTTCGCGCCGAAGCCTCGGGCGTCATGGACGAGCAGCTCGCCATGTTCTTCTCGATCGAGCTCCTGCGCACCGTCGAGGGGCTGCATTCCAAGCAGATCCTGCACGGCGACATCAAAGCCGACAACTGCCTGCTCCGTCTCGACAACCTCACCAACCTAAGCAACAACTCGGAACATCAGTTGACAAGCCAGTGGCGTCCCGACGGCTTCGGCGGTTGGTCTGCGCGCGGCATCACGCTCATCGACTTCGGCCGCGCCATCGACATGCGCGCCTTCGTGCCCGACGTGCAGTTCGTCGCCGACTGGAAGACGTCGGCGCAGGACTGCGCCGAGATGCGCGAGGGCCGCCCCTGGACGTGGCAGATCGACTACCACGGCCTCGCCGGCACGCTGCACGTGCTGCTGTTCGGCAAGTACATCGAGACGGCGCGGTGCGACGCGGGCGGGCTGGGCACGTCTGGTGCGGGCGGGCGGCGATACAAGATCCGGGAGAGCCTGAAGCGGTACTGGCAGACCGAGATCTGGGCCGAGTGCTTCGACCTGCTTCTCAACCCTGCCGCGCATGCGCTGGACGAGGAGGGCGGGCGGATGCCTGTCTTGAAGGGCATGAGGGCGGTCAGGGAGAAGATGGAGAAGTGGCTGGAGGGAAACTGTGAGAGGGGCGTTGGACTGAGAGGGTTGATGGCGAAGGTGGAGACTTGGGCTAAGGGGAGGAAGTACTGATCCATTTTTGCTGTGCTTTCATTTTGTTCTTTTCTTTGTTATGTCATGTTATGTCATGTCATGTTATGTTATGTTATGTTATGTTATGTCATGATATCCTTTGGAGGTGGCGGTCCAGAACAGATGCACATGAGGCGTTGGAAGGTAGAACTTACGGCTATTCTTTTGTTTTCTTCTTTTGTTATCAGATTATTTACCTTCTTTCCTTGGAGTCGTGCTGGCTATCAGCTTGTTTTTGCCCCATCCAGTAGAGCTACCTATCCGATTTACTGGTGCTGTACATTTGTATCCTACAATACGCCAGGACCTTACCCTGGTTTGATACACACACTGGTCATGCATGGCAGTTCGTTTGTGCCTAATGAGCCAGGAATGCTCCCCCGTCTAATCGCTCTCACCGCACGAGTCACACGACTCTTCATCCTTCTTCTTCCTCTTGCCTTTGGCCTTCCCCTTCCCCTTCGCCGCCTTCTTGGCGTCTTTCTCAGCCTTCTTGTCGACCTGCTCCTGGATCTTTTGCCTCTCAGCTGCCCCCTTGGCCTGCAGCTCCTGCTCTTTCTCCTTGAACTCGGCGCTCTCCACATCCATCCCAATCAGACTCTCGAGCAGCTTGATCTCATCCGCCCAGATCTGCTTGTTCTCCACCGTCTTTCCGTCCGGTCCCTTCTCCTCGATGGGCGTCTCCAGCACCATCGGCAAGCCCTGCAGCGGTGCATGGTTCATGATGTTGTGGAACGCCCTCAGACCGAGGAACCCCGTGCCGATGTTGGCGTGCAGGTCCCGATGTGAGCCGAAGGGTGCCTTGCTGTCGTTTATGTGGAACGCCCGCAGGTACTTCATCCCCACGACCGAATCAAACTCGGCCATGGTCTTGGCGAACGCTTCGGGCGTCCGCAGGTCGTAGCCCGCCGCGAAGGCGTGGCATGTGTCTACGCAGACCCCGACGCGGGACTTGTCGTCAACCAGGGCAATGATGTCGCGGAGCTCTTCGAAGCGGGACCCGACCACGTTTCCGCTGCCGCACATGTTCTCGAGCACGGTCACGACCGAGGAGGTGGCCTTGTGCGCCTTGTTGAGGTGCGCTGCGATCCGCGCACAGGCCGAGTCCATGGTGGCGCCGCCGGTCGAGCCTGGGTGAAAGTTGTATAGCGTGATGCCCAAGGCCTCGCACCGCTGCAGGTCGTCGAGGAAGCTGTCGAAGGCTTGGGTCGCCTTGGCGTCGTCGATCTGGGCGAGGTTGACGAGATAGGAGCCGTGCGGGAGGATGTGCTTGCGCGAATCGTAGGCGTGCTGCTTGAGCATGGCGTGGAACTGGACCTTGGTCTCGTCGGCCAGGGGTGGGCTAGCCCACTTGCGCTGCGACTTGAGGAAGAGGGCGAAGGCGTTGGCGCCAATGTCGGTGGCGTTCTGGATTGCGTTCTGGATACCGCCCGCGCCCGAGACGTGGGCGCCTAAGTACATTGCCCGCTTGAGGGAGGCGACCGCCGTCCGAGCCGCCAGCGGCATACTGTCGTCGGTCTCTTTCTTCGCGGTTTTGCGTTTCTTGGGCGCCGGCTTCTTGGTTCCTTGAAGCTGGTCTCCCGCTTCGTCGTTGTCTTCGGCGGGTTCCTCGTCGTTATTGTCCAGCTCGGCGGGTGCGGCCTTGCGCTTTGAAATGTTGCTCTTCTTAATCACTGCGACTTTCGATTCGGCGACCACCTCCTTCTCTATGCCGTTCACTTTGATCGACGTAGCCGAAACCTCGGCCGCTTCCTTCACTTCTTCCTTTTCCGCACGCGTTCGAGACTCGGCCACCGTTGTTTTAGCCTGTGCTGCCTTCCGAGATGACTGCCGCACCATTGTGATGACGGCAACGGCCTAATCAATTGAATTGGTCGTGATTGTTGTGGATGGAGCTGTTGGGTCTGTCTGACCAATTCCTGGAGTCAGTGGTCTCCAAGAATCATAGCGCGATCAAGACGCGCCGCGACATCACGTGGAGGTGGGGTGCCCATTAAACCCATGCGCAAGCACATCTTATAATACAGTACACTAATAACCTGGAACTGCACCGGCAAAATCCCAGAATGCAATGCCAGCTCTGCATCCATGTTGAAATTTGAATTGCGGTCCCCAGCTGCAACATCTACCTATCACTAGGGCTGCCATGGCACTGCCCGGGGTTGACCGTCTCCATTGGTCTGTTCAAAAATCGATTTATCCTCGGAAAGAAGCACGCTGGCACGATCTGTTTTGACAGTGTGGTTGCAGTCCAATAACCGCCAAACTGTTGCTGACACATCTCGGTCTCAACAACCAGGCAGCCGCGGGGATTAATCCGAACGAAGAGCTGGGGCCGAGCAACCGCCCGGTTGCCACTCCGAGAACAGTGGAACATCTGCGCGTTTCGACCTTTATCACGTCGCACTCGGCTCCATTTCGTCGCCGCTGATTACGGTACATATAGCTTGAATACCTATCCGTAGCCCCGAGCCACACTGGGCACAACGAATATGAGAGACGAGTAATCCGTACAGACTCTCAAACGTTTGTCACTGTAGCCGGACCCTCAGAGGGTGCTGAACATGCTACGGCACGGCTTTCAACGCCGTGCAGTCCTGCTCGCTGTGCTCAGTGGCTCAGTGCGGCTTTTCCGCCCCTGTCACACACTCAGGGGTAAATGTCCAATGACATTGGCCTGTTCGCTAAAAGAGTGGGACTGTGCTATTTTTGTACGAGCTCAATGCAGTGTCCAAGTGTACATACGGATTACAGAGATCCTCGCTGAGTAGTACGGTAAGACTTGTACGCAGGAAAGAACACAAGGCGTGCCGAGTGCTTCCTTTCCACTTCACTATCTCAACAATAAATAGCGCTACCCGCGAGCATCCATTGCTGCGGGTTTGGCTGAGTGTCTGTTCAGAGCAGCGTAACCTTCGGGGCTGACGAGCCTCGGTGGGTCCATTAATACTTCGAGAAGGAACTCGCCGGGGACGATTCGGAAACCAGGGTAAGGGCAGCTTCGTTTTTACTGTGTTAAAGGCTTCAACACAGACTGCGGGCTTGATACCTACTATTGGCATTGATGACCTCGTGTCAACGGAGGCTGCCGACCTTAATCCGTAGATCTCCTAAGCCGTCCGTCCTCTGAGATTACCACGCATGCCGCGTCCTCAATTACGGCACCTTTCATGTACAATACATACGTACATACATGCGTCTGCACGCTAGGGAGGTTCCGTTGCGGCCATCTGGACTCATCAGAGCGACAAGCAAAGGAACGATTGTCGTTGGCACCTCGGGAGTCTGATGGAGCCTTGGCGCACCTACTCAAAACAGGAGATTCCCGCCTAGGAGCTGTGCCAGCTTGGTGCTGCTAACCACCCTGTGCCTCCCCCCAAAAAGTCGTCGTACATACATACACAGGAGCGAACATTCCACTGCAAATACTGCTCGACATACCAGCCTGCCAAACGCCTACACCTGAGTGACCCAGCAGCCAGCCGAATCACTCAGCGCTGCGGCGCTGCATGCCATCTGCCGTTGTGCCGTTGTGCCCGTCTCGTCGCACCCGACCCTTCGCCCAGCGCCAACCGCAGCGCCAACTCCAGCGCCAAACAACTCCCAATCGTTTCCACGAGGCCAAACACTCCTGCACGACGGCCCTGTTACACCGAAACCCCTCGATGGCGAGCCACAACGGCGGACCATGATACTTTTGCTCGACAACCGGCTGCTGTGATCGTGTTCAGCCCTTGGCTTGCCGTCTAGCATGGCAACCCTCGAGACCGAACCCGAGGCCGGGAATGCCAGACGGTGTTCAATCGAGAAGAGGCCGATCTTCGTGCTTGACGCCGATACCGACGCCAACGCCGATGCTGACGCCGGTCTTGACGACAAGGAGCCTTCGGCGTTCGAGCGACTCCCCGACGAAATCATCGAGCAGTATGCGCCGTCTTTCATATCATACCACTCCCATCATGCCTCTCTGCCTCTGCGGTTGATGTTGTCTCGGCCGCCCAAGTACTTACCAGATGTGACAGAATACTACGGGCAACAGACGCCAGCGGCTTTGCGTCGCTTGCGCTGCTCAACACAAAATGGAGAAGCGTCGCACAACAAGCCCACCTCTACGCCCACCATCTCGCGAGTTGTCCGTCATATGCCATGAGCCATAATGCGCCTCCGCAGGCCGCAAGCGAAGATGACTTACCCAGGCTGCGTCGCCTCTTCGCCAAGGAGATCAAGCGCAATCTGTTCGACGCGTATTTGCGCCCTTCCCAAACCATCATCAAGGTGGTCTCGAACTCGATTAGTTCCTCGTCATGCCCCGGCGGCGAAGGCATTCAGTTCAGCCCCTCGCCCAAGGGCCACCACCTGCTCGCCTACAACTCATCGAGGATACACGTCATTGATGTTCGAGCACCCGAGATCGAGGTGAAACGGGAGTTCAAGATATTGCGACGTCCCGCTGCCACGTGCATCAATGACGAGGGCACAACACTCGCCGTCTTGTTGACCGAGATGGAGGTCGATATCTACGATCTGACCAAGACCCCGCCGAAACGGACGCAGTCCATGATCCTGGACCACAGCCCTCGGGCCATCGCGCTCTCGCCCTGTGGTTCCATTCTGGCCGCCGCCTACGAAGGCGGCATCGAAGTTTCTTCGCTGAATCCCGGAGCTCTGGCGACCGAGAGAAGAGCAGTCAAGTGCGACGGCGTCGATGCGCTAGCCTTTTCGTTTGACGGGACCCAGATACTCGGGACGACGGTGCAGTCGTCGCAACCCAACACCGTGATACTAACAGCCCCATACTATGACCCCGGCAGCCACATGGCCGATGACAACATCAGCAGTTTGTGGACGACGTCGATTCTGTTTCCCAACACGAGCCGCGACTGCAGCCATGCCGTTCTGATCCAGAACGGCAAGCATGAGGAAGCGGCCTGGACGTTCACCTATGACCGGAGCTTCGAGACGTTCAGGGCGGTGCGGATCGACGATCTGCGCAATGGCACCACGTACTTCACCGGGCCGGTACCCAGCCCCAACTCACAGGCGAGACTGCTCCCCTGCACCCTGCCTGCCGCCTCCTACTACGGCGAGCTCGTCTCCGCCGGCTTCCAGGGCAAGGAAATCTGGCTCTACGGCATACCCGAGGACCTCGACGCAGTGCCTGAAACGGCGAGTGCAGGTGCCGACGATGGCTCCAACGGAAACGGACTCTTCCGTCGAAGCAGCGGGCCATCGGTGCGTTCGAGCGCCAGACTGCAAGAAAGCAGTGAATCGGCAAGGCTGCCGCAGTGGCAGATCCTGTGTGATAAGCTTCGGAACACTTTCATTACGGGCTACAAAATCGGCGAGCTGGAGGGTGTTAATACTGTGAAATTCGTCGCGGACTTTGCAGACTCATGCATGAAGGAGCGATTGATTGTGGCGGCTCGAGGTGTTGTGCCAAACGTCTCCGTCACTGACGATGAAGGGATCGACTTCGTTGACGGGGGACGCGTCACCATTCTCGACTTCGATTACGGCGTCCGGGACGGGACGGTCAAGGAGTACACGATCGAAGTAGGGACAAAGGAGCCGGAAGTGCTCGAGGAAGAGCACCGCGACATGGACACGGAGGTGGCCATTGTTCGTCGACGGACTGTTGCCCAGAAGAGAGGGAGCCGCAGCGCTGCTGTCATGCGCAGTATGACAAGCGCAGCTCGCGTCCCGCCCCTGCCTACGCAGCCTCCGGCCCGCCCTGAAGACGACGAAGACGATCCTCTTGTCCCTCGCAGAATAGGAGCGCCTCCCGTCAGAAGTGTCCAGCAAGTGGCAGCAACTGACGAAGTGGATACTCAGTCCATTGAAGAGCAGGAAGCGCTGGATGCGCCCTACGACCACACAAGCCCTCGGTCAGGCACAACGCTCCGTCGGGCGGCCACGGCTGCTGCCAACACTCGACGGCTCCATCCGGCCGCAGCGGCGGGGGGGCATATTGTGTATCGCAGAGCCGACGGCCGCACGGAGCATCCTCATGAAAGCGACGCGGACAACTGGGTTCCTCCGCCGCCGCCATATCAGAAAGATGATCCTTGCGACTTGCCCTCTTTCCTCCGCCATGCCGCCATCCTACCCCTCGCCGGTGCGGGCACGCAACCGCCAGGCGCCCAAGCGGAGCAATCTCGGGACAGGCAGGCAAACCGAAACTCTTCCGCATCTATGCACCAGCAGCATCGTCGCGCTCAACCGGCGGCTTCTTCCAATCGGCACTCCTCCCCCATTCCTCCCGTTCCCCCGCTTCCGTCACTCTCTGACATCCCACCCGTCCCGCCCATCCCTGCTGTCCTACAAGGTGCAACCGGTTCACCTGCACTGCCAGCCCCTGTCCTACCACACACTGGCTCTCACGGGCGTGCCGGAAGTTCAGGGCTGCAGTCTTCGAATGGGGACGCCTCGCGGCCAGCCACAAGGGACTCGCGGTATCTCGGAGAGGAGAACATCTACGATGTGTCTCCGCCCGATTCACCTGCCATGGCACCGGTGGCACATCATGTTTCCGGCGAACCGGGTGACAGCCGCGCGTTGAGCTTCCCTGAGCAACCCGCTCGAGCGAGCACAGTGCCACAGGCGTCACCTCCAGGCGTAACCGGAGGGGAGCGTGCAACCGCGGCCGGGAGCCAGCCGGCTTCTGTATCTCCGGAAGGTGGGCCTCCAGCGACTGTCGAGTCTCAAGTCACGGCCCAGGCAACCGCAAGCCTCTCGCCGTCAGCGAATAAGACTTCGGTGCCCGGTGGTGAACCCCTGGTGAGGAGAATTTCCGTCTCAAGGACCTGGCCCATACAGCCGATGCCAATCAACACCGGCAATGCTTCGGAGGGATACCCGTACTCGGCCCCGCCCGTCAACCGCAATCCAGCATTGTCTCAGTCATTTGTTCATCCTCCGAGACCTGAACAGATGCCGGATCTCGACAACCGGGCCTCAGCGTCACGGCCGCTCTCTGGGAGCTTCCCACTGCCCCCGCGCATCCCAACCGACATCCATATGAGTGGTGACTGGCGTCGCACCTCGTACCAGCGCCCCGTCTCGCAGCAACAGCACTACTCCTTCCCACTGCAACGAGACCAGTCACCTGCTCTCCAGGTCAACGCGCGCGCCACCATCCACGCCCCTCAGCCCCAGCGGCCGCACAACATGGGCCCCGCCGCGCCGGCAGAGGATATGCCTCTCATTATCAGCACTCCCAAAGGCGTGTCGGGCGCCTTCGACCCGCCCGACCGCCACCCGTCCGAACGGCGCGCCGAAACACCCATCTTGGCGCCCGTCCCGCACCGCCCACGCCCGCAGACCCAGGCGTCCATCCTCCGTCCGCCGGCACAAGACCGTTTGGATACCATCTACAGCAGCAGCAGCGCCCCGCCCGGGCAGCAGGGGGCCGTCCGTCTGAGTGTCCCGCCCATTCCGTCGGCGCCGGGTTCGACGTCGACGGGCTTCTCGCGCCGCATCCCGAGCCTGAGCAGGAAACAGAGCCGTGCCGAGCGGAGCGCGGCAAAGAACCTGGCGGATGCCAAGCGCAGGGGGTGGACGGGCCGGTCCAAGAGCAGGCGGAAGAAGAAGAAGGAGAGGGATTTCGACGCCGCGAGCAGTGCCGCGTGGACCGATGTCACCGTCGGGGCGTACAGCGTCAGGTCTGGCTTCATGGGCCATGGTGGTGGTGGTGGGAATTATGGAAATAATAACGGGGAGGCGGTACGGGGGCTGAAGGCGGAGAAGGGGAAGGATAGAAGATGTGTTGTTATGTGAAGCCCGAAGAGGTGGGATTTTGGATGTCTGCGAGGCATGGTGATGAGATGTGGGAAGGAGGAGAGATTGATACATCTATCTCGTCTGTCTATTGGAGCGAAGAGAAAGCGATGCGTGGATGGATATTTAAAGCAAAGGCTTGGTCACGGTAGGTATGTTGGATTTTCCTTGAACGATTTTGATCGCAGTTGCTGGTGCACATAGCGGGAAAGAGATAGCGGTTTCATATGGGAGGTAAACTTTGATGTTTAGCGAGCTTGGGGGCACACACGCCTTACAATACCTGAGGTATCTTGCATATTTTCCTTGACAGACTAGGTACTAGGTACCACTAGGAGCGAATAGCTCGAATAAGTATGATTTCATGGCCCTCAAGCTTCAGAACTACCAAGTATGCACTGTGAGCAGAATCAAACCTCAGAATCCAAATACCGTAGGTATCATGTTCTAGACACAACCAGAGAAGGTGAAAGAGCACCCCAATCACCAAAACAATAATCAACCCGCTTTCTTCTTCCCCTCTCTGCTCGCCCCTCCTTCTTCTCCTCCTCCTCCTCCCCCTATAACCTCGTCAACAGTCTCGACATGTGCCCCCGGCGCAACGGACCCGGCGTCCTGGCCCGTGGCGTGCAGGCCTGCCGACCCGCCCGATGCAGCTACGCCTCCTCCTCCCCCCTCTGTGCGCTGCCGGATGTCGGATTTCAGCTCGGCCGAGACGTGTGGCGTGGAGGGCGTGTTCTGCTTTGGTGGGCCGTCTTCGGCCGCGATGTCATTCCCGCGGCTGGAGTTTGTTGCCATTTTTCTTCTTTAGACTTTTTTATTCCTGCTCGTTCTTTCTTTCTTTCTTTTGGGTTGGTTTGAGGTTGGTTCAGGTTACTGTGCTATCTCCTTCTCCGAGGTGGTATGTTCGAGGTTTGGGGACCGGTACTTGAAGAAGAGTTTGTGTACAATACATGCACAGTAAATGTGCCGGGAGGCTGAAAAGTTGGTTGAGGCTGTGAATTGTGATGCCCAGCACAGTATGTAATAAATAATGGCGATGATGTCACTCTAGATTGACTGAGGTCGCCATAGTAGCATACATACATGTGATGTTGCACGGGCCATCCAATCTCGGTGTGGCTCTCTCACCTACTAGGGTCCGGCAAGGTGAAGCTCCGATTGCTCCGTCTGGTCGGTCTCGACTTCCCCGTGATGGAAATTGCGAGCCACGCATCCCACATGCCCCAGCACCAATGCTCTCCCGGGTGTGTTTCCGACCGGCGGTTGGACGAATAGCAGCCCCTCACTCACGGGGCTCGTCCTTCCACCGCGGCCGGAAGTATGAACATGGCGTGCGGCTCATCAGCTGCGTGACATTCTCGGTGGACATAACGCGGACATCGGCTGTTAAGCTCAAGGTGAGAGAAGTTGGCCACCTAACGTTGACGGGCCCCTGATGAACTTCACAACTAAGTTTTTAGCAAGCAGTCGTAGATGGCCTCAGGGAGTCGCTAGGACCCGGCGGGCCAGCCAAAAAGCAACAGAATCATGATGATGCCGCCCTGCTTTTTGTCTCCAAGTCGCTGGCCTCGTGGCTAGACGATGATGCCTTCCTCACCCGGATGGTTGCCTCCGCCGGGATTGCCACGGGTAGCACCTCACGAGAGGTAACCATGCTGACTGCCGCCGTCGACGAGGTTCCGTGCTACGACCCCGGCCTCGACTCTCTCTCCTCGTCCGAAGGAGTGTCTGTTTTGCGCGGAAATGCGAGTCGCGTCCTGCAGGATCTGACCAGCTTATCGGATGTCGAGATCCCCGGAGACGGCGCCCAGGAGCCCTCGCTGGAGTTTCATCCGCCCCCGTGCTGGCACGCCGGGCCGCTGGCAGTGACCGTCCCTCTTGCCAATACCGTCTTTAGCAATGGCAGGCCACATACGCTCTTCGTCAGCCGGTGGGGAAGTGAATCGTCCGCGGGGTCCGCGCGCCTGGTTGACAAGACTCAGATGACAAGCCAAAGGATCATCCTCCCCGCTGCAGACATGGCCGTCTCTGAAGAAAAAGACCAGTCGACGACTAGCTCGGTGGTGTCCCACCTAGTTCCGGTGACCTCCCCGCGCCGAATTTCCGCCGGGCTCGGGAACATTCTGCGCAACATTGAGATCAACGGGTCGCCACGGCCGGCGTCCCAGGAGCTAGAGGATGTCATTCCGCGGCTTCTCGAGGCACGCCGGAAGGACAAGGACAGCGCGAGCGGCCCTGTAGATGTCTGGGCCCTGATCGCCCCTGCTCGTTATATCGAGAAGGGCTTGCCTATCTCAAACCCATTAGAGCTAGGGAAGTACCAACTCTCAGATGAAGTGGGCTTGGCCCGGGCCGTGGCGAATCAAATGGACATGTTCATCGCTGGAGGCTGCCAGTTACGCAAAGTCTGTGAGTTGACCTTCCCCCATTCCGAACCGATCATAAAAAAACCTGGTCCTCTTATCTCCAGACATTTCTGACCCATCCAAATGACAGTGAGCGGCGGCGGTGGCTGGGGCCTGAAGAAAGGCCTCTTGTCGCTCGACCCCCAGACCCGCCTCACGACCGACGAGCACCAAGACCTCGAGAGCTTCATCAGCTCCTTCCGAGGCGACACTTCGGCCGGCGGCATCATCACCCCGGGCTCGTACGTGCAGTTCTTCGTCGAGCCGGCTCTCCCTTCTCCACAGGAGGACGACGACTACGCACCGGTAACTCGGTCGTCGTCGTCATCGTCGTCGTCGTCCGTTCGTTTCCGGACACTGACCACTGTTTTTGGGACGCATGCCCGGCCGCCGATCCGATCTCCCCTCGCGGCGACAGCATCGGATCCGGTGAGGGCTTGGCCAGGCTTGTTTGGCGCCCTCTCTTCCGAGGCCATGTATATCTCGCATAGGGGGGAGACGAGGGATGGTCAAGTGGTCATCGCCACCAAGATCGACGTCCCACGCTCGTACATGGTTTCCACCGCGTCTAAACCGAAAGCTGAAGGTTCTAAATTGTAAAAGAAACAAATGTACTTGTACATACTTGTGTAGCTCAGAGGTGGATAGATAGATGTACGGAATATACCCGGGAGCAGGAGTGGAAGAAGCAGGAGGATGTAAAAGCGGCTTCCGTTCTACCTGTCTCTTACAAGCCCCCAGCAGAAATATGTGGTGCATTCACTGTGTCAAGGTTGCAGGTCAAAGATGAAGACATTCCAGCAGCTCGCAGCCCGCAGAGCCGAATACATAATATGCGCAATCTATCGTTCGTACAAGAGGTACGATTGGCCATGCCTATGTAAAATCAAAAGAAAAACCTTATGTGTCCCTGTAGAAACCCATCTCATCCCACCATGCTATCCCGTAGCCAATGCACCCTTTCCCCGATTTCACTCAATCATGTCCACATCCTCGCTAGCGTCCTGCTGAACAACACCATTAACAATACCCGCAGACGCAGCAGCCTCAGCCTGCACGTCCCCGCCGCCACCAGCAAAATAATCCTCCATCTCCGCATCCAACTCTTCCTGCGTCTTCTTAGGACGCCCATCCCGCGCCGTCTTTTCCCCACCATTACCACCACCGCCCCTGTCTCCCCGTCGACCACCACCACCACCACCGTCCCGCCTAGGCCCCGGTCTCCTACCACCACCTCCGCCATCTCTCCGCCTCCCGCCACCACCGATCGGACTCCGTGACCGACTTCCGCGGATCCCTCCACGAGGACGATAGGTATCACCGCCTCCGCCTCTCCTTGCACCTCTCCTCCCACCATCCTCATCCGAGAACTGATCCCCACGCCTGCCGGGCGACAGCGAGCGCGACCGACCCCCGGGGACCGTGATGCGCTCGGCGAGCGGGCGACCGGGCACGACGGCGGTCTCGAACGGGTTGCGGCGCGGCCCGCCGGGGAGGAGGGTCAGCCGGATGGGCTGGCCGGCGGCGTTGGCGCCATCGAACTCCTTGATGGCCTGGACGGCGTCGCGGTGGGACTCGTACGTCACGAACGCGGTGCCTTCGGAGCGGCCGGCGCGGTCGTACTTCATGTCGAGTTTGACGATGGGGCCGATGCGCGTGAAGAGGCCCTGTTGGGACAGTTTAATAAGAGTAAAGCAGTTGGGGGGAGAGGGGTAGACGGGGATGACGATGCTGATGGATACTCACCTCGAGATCTTCTTGTGTCAGTTCGTAGTGGATGTTGTCCACCCTAAGCTTGCTACCCCTGCTACTTGTCAGATAAAAAGGGAACGGGTAAGTCTGGAGGTGGCCGTTGTATTGTCGTACCTCGAAGGCTCGGGCGAGTGTCGACGTCTTGGAGCAGAACGGCGGTTACCTGCGCAATCCTGTCAGCGAATCGCCTCACCGTAGAGCAGGGGGAAGTGCGTGCTCAGGACATACCAAGATCCTCGAATTTATCGTGAACCCACTCGCTGGACGGCCGAGTCAATCCTGTACTCCCTAGTGACACCGGCCGGGAGTGGTATACGCACGAGTCAAGGTCCCGCGGTGCATCGTCTCTGAAAGGCTGTTATGCCAGAAGAAAACCAAGATCGGAGCTCGTTAGCCGGCAAGATTCAAGTTGGACATGTTACCTTCCCCGGTCCCCAGTCGCGATCCGATCCGAGAGCCAATCCAACAAACGGGTTGGATAGGGAGGGCGCATCGAGCCGCCGCGTAAACACACGCACAAGGGGAAAGTCGTGCATATGATTTGCGTCGAACGAACATCTGAAGAGGAAGTGGCCGAGAAGGGGGGAAGGAGAGCAGGAGAGAGATAGGGTTCATGCAACCTGACGGGAGGGAAGTCTAAGCCATCGTCGGACTTTGATAACCAGGGGCCATCGCGAATTGTGTGGGGGGGTTAGAAGAAGCATGCGCACCTTTCTGACGCCATCTCTGGGGTAATCAGATCTACCATCGCGACGACGGCCGCCACGCGCGCCTCTGTTGTTGTTGTTGTTGTTGTTGTTCTGCTGCCACAAGTGTCAGCCGACTGCTGCATCCTTTCGCCGAGCGCTGTTCGGCAGCGGAAAGTAACCTATAGCACTTACTTGCCGGCGATCTGCAAGGATCTCGTCGAGGCTGCGGTCGAGTCCACGGTCCATTGTGCGTGATGGTGTCTCAAAGCGATTGTTGTCTCGAATGCTCGTGAAGTGATTATGCGGAGCCTGGGAGTTGGTGTTGGAAGTTGACAACGGTATTACTACTACTGGCAGGCCACCCCACATATATTCATCTATCAAAGCTTTCGTCTTATCGGCTATCTCAGCTCCCTAGCTCCCACTCAGGCAATGTCAGGCTACCCTCACCACCCACCCGGCTCCACCACAGCGAGATCACATCGCCAGCGAGTGGCAATGACATCCATCATTCATGGCGCACAGACAACGGATAATAGTAAAAAGGTCAGTGGGTAAGTTATCACTTACAGGGTACTTAGTCATGAGTCACCACCGTCCCATCACAGTAGTATGTCGGAAAGATTCAGTCTACGTCGCATTTTGGTAACCTCCCTAGAACTCTGCATACACATGACATAGAAAAGCCGGTAAAGCCACTTGAGAAAACGAGAAAACCAGCCTTCCTTTCAGGCCCGGAAGCGCTTGCACCATCCACTGATTAAGGTGCAGTCGTCCAAACCCCCATCAGAGCCTTTGTTGGTGGACCACGTCACCAAATGCCGCGCCCCGACGCCAAAACGGCTAAGAACCCGCGGGCGAAATCACCGCACCCAAATAGCCCTGTCTCTTTCTACCAGAAAACCGCGACACGATGCCCCTCCTCAGTTTACCGCGAGATGGTGATGCCGATGTGCGGGAATGTGCGAGGAATGTGCGAGGTATATCGAGAGAAAGAGTTTATGACGCTCTAAATAGGAGACCCTTAGATCAAGTCGGCCACGTTCATAGGCATCTCCTCAATCTGCGTGCTGTAGAACTGCTCGATCTCACGCATCATACGAACATCCTCGGCCGTAACGAAGTTAATCGCAACGCCCTTGCGGCCGAACCGACCGCCACGACCAATCCGATGGATGTAGTTCTCCCGGTTAGCGGGGAGGTCGTAGTTGATGACAAGCGACACCTGTTGCACATCGATGCCACGGGCTAGAAGATCCGTAGCAATAAGGACCCGGGACGAGCCGGACCGGAACTCCTTCATGATCAGGTCACGCTGAGCCTGATCCATGTCACCGTGCATGGCAGAGACGGTGAAGTCACGCGCCGTGAGCTTCTCCGTGAGCCAGTCGACCTTGCGCCTGGTGTTGCAAAAGATAACCGCTTGCGTGATGGTGACGGTTTCATAAAGATCCGAAAGCGTATCCAGCTTCCAGTCTTCCTTCTCCACAGCAATGTAAAACTGCTTGATGCCCTCAAGCGTCAGCTCGTCCTTTTTGACGAGAATGCGAACGGGGTCACGCATGAATTTTGTTGTGACTTCCAGGACATCCTGGGGCATGGTCGCGGAAAGCAGCACGACTTGGGTCGACTGCGGCAGCAACTGAAAGATATCGTAAATTTGCTCCGTGAAACCACGCTGCTCATTGTTAGTTGACTAATCCCAAGCACACCTGAGGAAAGCGCACTCACCGAGAGCATCTCATCAGCCTCATCCAGGACGAACATCTTCATCCCATCTGTCTTGAGGAAACGGCGCTGGATCATGTCCTGGACACGACCGGGAGTGCCCACAACGACCTGGGGCCCGTCCTGCAGGGCCTTCATGTCATCACGAACACTAGTGCCGCCAATGCAGGCATGGCACTCAATGTTCATGAAATCACCAATGGCAACAACAACCTTCTGAATTTGCTGCGCTAGTTCGCGGGTGGGAGCCAGGATCAGAGCCTGGCACTGCTTGAGGCTGGGATCGATCTTCTGCAGAACGGAGATCGAGAACGTCGCCGTCTTGCCTGTGCCGGACTGGGCCTGGGCAATGACATCATGTCCTATTTTTGTGCCGTCAGTCACCGATCGCCGAGCAATGAGACACGGAATAGTGTTCCTCTTACCCTTGATGACAGGCATGATAGCGCGCTGCTGGATAGCAGATGGACGCTCAAAGCCATACGCGTATATGCCTTGAGAACTGTTAGTGCATGCTTAACTCGCCATCACAGTCCAGACTATATTTACCGCGCAGGAGCTCCGGCTTCAGCTTCATATCATCGAAAGAGTCCACGGTCTCATCGTAGTTGGATTCGATTTGTCCTGCACGGGAAAATGTGTTAGCGATTTTGCTTCGTTATGCTGTGCACGGAGGGGGTCGAATGAGGTCAGGCGGGGTCGCAGAGCCAGCGCGCTCTTTGCGCAACACCCGGCGCTGGCCGCAAAAGAATCCAAATTCAGAGAGCGAGGAATAACGTACCTTCGGGGACATCCTCGAGTCCCTTATCCGTAGCCATGATTGCGGTTTGGTCGCAAGGCTATCTAGATCTAAGCCCGGCTTAGATCTAGAAATGAAGTCGAAGGTAAATTGTGTGGTGGGGTGAGAAAAAAATCCGCAGGCGAACTCGCGCGAGCGCTGCGGTGATTCTCGGTGTAAGAAGGCTCCTAGAAAAGAATAGATTCAGAGTTCCCAGTATCCTAACTGAGAACGAGTGAATCTATGAAAGTCGTTATATCTGATGAAGGTCCTTTGGGTTGGTTGTGAATGAGAGAGGGGAAGAACCTGAGCAGCAGGGCGAGGAGAGATAAAAATTCCTGAGGGTGGAGCAAATTTTATCGCTGCAACCCCGCGCAAAGATGAGCGGGCAAAACCCAACAGGAATGCTTTGCCTTCAGGTGGGGCATCGACGTATCGAAACTTTTCCAGCGCTTTTTCAGTGGCGCAAACTGGCTGCTTTTGGCACTGCAACTTCGGATGGGGGGCAATGTGGACGTTCGCCGCACAGTGCCACCTACCAGACACCTCTCCAAATCAGATGCTCATGAGCTCAAGACCTCGGCCGACTTCCATAGGTTTCGCCTTGCAACTGGCATTCAAAGTCCCTTTCAGGAGACTCTACACTATTCGCTTACGGCAGGCAATTCTTCAGTGGGTCGCCGGCGGCTCAGAAAGTCGTGCGCATGTTTCTACTACCTTCACACCAACGGCAGCTCCGGAACCGCGCCGCGGAGGAGGATGGCAGTGGGAGTTGGCCGTTGGTGAGTCAATCAGTGGTTGAAAATGGAAGCCATGAGGGATCTAGTCTCGAATCATCTGTACCTCCGCACCCACTGGGCATCAAACCCCTAGGCAACAAGTACTTCTCCAACGAACCGGATGCGCGGAGGTTCATGGGTGTCTTGCAGGTCCTGCCGGACGAGATGCTAATGCAACTGCTTGAACACTTGGATGAGCGGAGCTTGAGACTGCTGGGATATACATGCAGGTTTCTCTTTGCCTGCTGCGTAGCTGACGACATCTGGAAGACGATATTCTTAGAGTGAGTGGCTCCCTCATCGCAGTTGAGAAGATGTGAACGCCAGGCGTATGACACAGTAGCGGGAAGGCGCCCCAACGACGCTATGGTGACGTGGGCATGACTTCGCATGCACCAGACTGTGAGAGAATCTGTCATATTCACACGGTACCACCTCATCATCTGAACTCGTTATCCCATCCACGCGATTCAAGCTGGTATTGACGACATCCCAGGTCAGAGTTCCGCCACAAGACCTCCTTCCAGTGGCGAGGATCTTGGAGAGCGACGGTCCTGGGTCTGTCGCCCGAACAGAAGATCAGGATAGACTGCAGCAGTGTCTTTTCGGATGTACTACACAGACCGTTTGTGTGCAGTCATATCGCTCTACGTAACTACACCGAGCACATCCCCGCAGCCAACGAGATTGATCGTTTCGAAGATCTCTCGTACGAGGAGTTCGCAGAGAAGTGGAGCAAGAAGCCCTTCGTCCTGACGAAATGCATCCAGCCTTGGCCAGTCACCAAGTCATGGAGCTTGGAGAGCCTTCTCTCGCAAAATGCCGATGTCGTCTTCCGAGCGGAGGCGGTGGACTGGTCATTCGCTACGTACTACCAGTACATGCGAAACAACCAGGATGAGAGCCCCCTTTATCTGTTTGATCGGAAGTTTGCCGAGAAGATGGCGCTGGGGGTCGGCAAGGAGGAAGGGTCGGCCTATTGGAAACCCGACTGCTTCGGGCCGGACCTGTTCGAGCTCCTCGGGGCCGAGCGTCCGGCGCATCGCTGGCTCATCATCGGACCCGAGCGTAGCGGATCTACCTTCCACAAGGACCCTAATGCGACGAGCGCCTGGAACGCCGTGATCCAGGGCGCAAAGTACTGGATCATGTTTCCTCCCTCAGCATCCGTGCCTGGAGTGTTTGTTTCCAGAGACAGCAGTGAGGTCACCAGCCCACTCAGCATCGCTGAATGGCTCCTCGAGTTCCACGCAGAAGCGCGCAAGCTGCCGGAGTGCAGGGAAGGCATTTGCAGAGCGGGCGAAATCCTGCATGTCCCGAGCGGCTGGTGGCATCTCGTGGTGAACCTGGAGGACGGGATTGCGCTGACACAAAACTTTGTGCCCGAGTCTCACCTCGGCGGTGTTTTGTCTTTCTTGAGGGATAAGGCAAGCCAGGTGTCCGGCTTCAAAAGGGACATTGTCGACCCTTACAGCCTTTTCGTTGAACGCCTAAGAGAGGAGCGTCCTAACCTGCTGGAGGAAGGTCTCCGGCAGTTGGCCGAGAAGAAGAGGCGATGGGACACCGTGGTGGGCGATGACGAAAGCTCCAGTGACCGCCCACAGAAGAAGAGCAGTGGCTTTAGCTTTGGTTTCGGCTTTGGCGATGAGGAAGATGATGAAGAAGAGAGACCCTGATATTTCCAGCTTCATCCGTACCAGGGGTTGAGCACCCGTTGGGAAGCACCGGGAGATGGAAATGATGGAAAAACGCGGTGTGAGACGAGAGATACTCGCTGGGCCTTCCAAAGCGGCCAAACCCAGCTCCCCGCCAAGGAAGACCCAGCGAGTAGAGGTGCAACAATGTAGCCTGACTTGCAGAAGAGCTAAGTACCTATATAGATTTACCTTGACTGAGGGATGCGCATGTTGAAGAGGTGGAAAGCACGACGCCAGAAATGGACAATCGCACCCGTCTGCCTGATTGTGTGTCACAGCATGGAGAAAGACATTGCCTGGCAAGAGAACAGAGTGACTGTGGCTCAACAGCCTTCTCATCACAAGGCTGAAGAAAAGTTTAATTCTAGTCAGGTATAGACAACCACAAAGGCTTAACAGCCATAGAGATAGCTGGCTCAACGGGTAGAGAAATGAACGTTCTGTAAGACTCAGCTTCATGACGGAGGAAAATCAAGACCAATGTTTGTTAGGATACAGGCACACCGGCTCATGGGAGTCGACCGCGTAAACACAGATATCAGGAGCATTGTAACTTGTCCAGCCTCAAATGCATAGTGCTGCTATAAAGGGATTATATTTCAAGACAATCGGCTTCCTAATGCATCGCTTGTTGGCCTGCTTCAGCCTCTCTCCTCACACATAAGCCTGCCGGACCTGGACAAACACCCAGGCAAAGCTCTCTAGTTTTACCATAGGCATCTGATCGAGCAATTCCTCGTCCCCAAAAGGGGAGCCACCCAAGCTAGTAGTTTCCCTCCCGTTTCTTGCGTTGTTTAGCCCTTTCGGCCTCTGTTGTTGACGTTTAGAACAAACAATCGCAAACAATCATGAGTTCCTTAACTCTGAAGATAGTACGCTTGCCCCCTCTTCCCCTTCTTCTTTCCTGGTATCGCCTGCAGCACTTTCCCTTGCAAGACGTCGGGCTCGAAGATGTACACCGCCAGGGCTAAAGCACCTGGGCCTTGGAGGAAGGTCCAAGGAGCCTTGACATCTTTACCGTCCCAAGTGAATTTAAGCGGTTCAAAGAGCCTGGACTACCTTAGCTCCTTGGTAGGTGCCCAGAGGTCAAGTACCTGGGGTACTAAGGCTCTGAAAGGAGCGGGCTAAAAGCGGTACGCAGTCTGATTTATGTCTTCGGTGGTGACGGGAGGTTTCAGTTTTCAGTACTAAACTGATGCTCATTGAGGTTGCTCATAATACCAATGACAGTCCTTTCGCTGGGCCACCGTTGCTTCAGTCAATGGAATCCTCCTTACCTGCCGGGCGGATGACCTTCATCAAAACCAACTAAGTCAGTCAAGCCCTCAGCCGCATCACCATAGCCTTATATATCTGGTAGCGGCTTTTCTTTGCTACTTCTCTACGAAGCTCTAGAGCTCGCCTGATCAGGAGTATACATACGCAAGCACGCCACACACAAAAAGAAGATGTAAAGCAAGTTCCCTGCACGCCGGCAATTCAAGCAACCAGTCAAGCAAAAGGAACTACATGTAGGGTTAGCAACCGAGTGAGTTTTGCTGTCTCCTGAAGTGCGAGTTCTGACTGACGTAGACGACCATTCAATGCGGGTGAGATGTACAATACATACGGTGTAGGATTTGTACTGTTGCTGCGTTGCCATAGTGGGACAATGTGCTTCACACAGTGCAGCCGAAGACCCTGGGTTGGGCGGCTTGGTTTCTCAGTGGCTCTCCACTCCTGCCGAGCTGTGACCGCTTTCTGAACGTCCCCCCGCCGCTCCGATCTCCCAGCTGAACACGCAAGGCAGCCTGACGCCCGAGTTCACTCATGTACGCGGGCTTCGTCTAATGTTTCTCTTTCCCTCCCCGGGGCTGATTACGCTTTGTTGGCATACTTCCTGCCCTCGCCCTTCCTTAATATTTGAACCTTCCTTTCCCCAACAAACCATTTAACCAAACACACCATCGGCACCGCTCCGCACCCGTTTCTCTATCCTGCCCGCCACTTCCTGCGGCGAACTGTCGTATGTCCGGCACCCATGACAACATGCGTGTAGACGACAACGGCGAACACGACCTTTACGCCCTTCCCTTTCTAACTATCCATCGTGCTCGCTGGTGAACACGCGGTGTCGTATCGACCACCCTTCCGTTTCGATTCGAGCGCTCCGATAGGGAGTTCGCGCGCTGCCCGATATAGCTACCACCTCGGCGCACCGCTACGCATTCGTGACATGATTTCTATTACTCTCGTTACACACATACACGCTGTGCTTATCCTATTTCCGCCGGAATTCCAACCATTCCAAAAATAATCATCATTCACCAACGCACACCCTCTCCTCCCTAGGTCCTCCGGGTCTTAGTCACCACCAAACCCGCCGCTTCCAGAATACTGCCGAACCCCATAACCGCGGTTGATCGAGAACATGGTCTCCGACCAGACATACGAGCTCTGCCTTCCGGTTCTCCGGGACCCAAACATCGAAGATGAGGATAAGACGGACAAGCTCGAGGAGCTGCTCAAAGAGAAGACAAGCCTGACCGGGCAAGCTTTGGAGAACGCCGTCCTAGACGCGCTTTGGAGATATAGAGAAGGCGGGGAGACCGCGACATCGCCGCCGCCCATCAGACAACCTATCCTGCGGCGGCCGTCTCCGGCGTCGTGGCGTGGTTCCGGAACCCCCCTTTCAAGCTCGCCTCGGCTGGGTGTCAGTCCACTTGCGCCCCCGGGCTTTATGCCTGCGCCCTTTGGTCGCACGAAGTCCTCAACGGCTTCTCCCTTCAGCTCCCCGCGGCCGTCCCCGAGGCTCGCATTCGCCACTCCTGTGCCTCACAGCCCAAACCTAAACGCCTACCAGTTTGCCTACGACGAGACGCCGTCGCAGGAGGTGTTTGGGGACTACCAGTCTGACAATGTAGACTGGCTTGTGAGCGACGACGCAGTCAGCGTCACATCTTCTGTTGGCGTCTCCAGTGGGCTGAATGTCAGTGCCCCTGAGTTCGTGTCCACGCAGCAGCAGCAGCAGACCGACATGACACCCTACGACATGCTGCGGTCGATCCTCGGACAGACGAAATCGGACGAGGAGATTAGTGCGGCTCTGGCGATGCATGGCTACGACCTCGGTGCTACGGTCGCGGCCTTCATGGAGACACAGGCGCAGGACAACCTTGCGGCGGCCGCCCAGGCGGAGGAGAGCCGGGTGGTCATCGGGAACAAGGCCATGAGTTCTGATGGCCGCCCGACCACTCCGGCGGATCAACAGAAGACGGGTGTAATCTGCAAGTTCTTCTTATCTTCCGGGCAGTGCCTACGCGCGGACTGCAGATTCAGTCATGACCTAAGTAGTCACATCTGCAAGTGAGTAAAACCGAACAGTTCCGAACTGCCTTCCATAACTGACGCGGGTTCAGGTATTGGGTTGCTGGTAACTGCCTTGCCGGTAGCACCTGTGTGTTCTCTCACGACCCGGCGCATCTCGTCAACCGGCTGCACATCGATGGCTCCGGGACGCCGCCAACGCAACATGCAAGCGTCAACCTGCAGGACTATGGCAGCTTCCCTGCGCTCCAGCCTGGCACACCCGAGCAGATGCATCTCTATCCGGCTACCCCCAACCATCCTGCCGTGGGAGTGACCCCGCCGCCGGGATTCAAAGCACACCATGCTTTCCCCGACCGCCCCCGGTCCCGGCCAGGCAGTCGCCACCAAAACAAAGAGAATGCGCAGACTGCTCCGTCGCCAGATGATGCGGACGCGTTTCCGTCCCTCAGCTCTGCCGTGGTAAAACAAGGGAAGAAGCATCACGGCAAGAGAGGAGGGCATGGCCACGGCCACAAGGAGAACGTGGCACCCAGCACACTGGCCGAGATCGTCAAGATGTCTCCATCCCCAACTCCGTCCATCCAACAGAACCGCCGGGTTCCGCGTAACGGCAGCGCGACAAGCGTCCGGAACGGAGAAAATAGCGCAGCGGCCCAGGCCATTCCGGCGCCCAAGCACATCCCATGGCTTGAGACTGGCGAGAAGGCCAACAAGGCATACCTCAAGGCGCGGCAAGAGGCCATCAAACATGGTGGGCTCAGGAATAAATTCTTACAGAGGTACGTTACCTCCTGCACGTACAGTGGATATCCACTTTTTCGTAGTGCTGACCCTCGTCGACAGTGCCGCTCAAGCTTGGAACCGCAATGATGCACGCGCCGCTAAGGCGCTCAGCTTACGGGGCCAGAGCGAAAACGATCTTATGCGGAAAGCTCATCGCGAGGCAGCCCAGAAGCTATATGAGGACCGTAACAAGGACCGGGCGAGCTGCTCTGAGATCTACGTCGACCTGCACGGGCTGCACCCCGAGGAAGCGGTCGAGTATCTCGAGGGCGTCCTCATGGAGAACGCGACGGAGACTAGGCCCATCTACGCCATAACGGGTACGGGCCACCATAGCAAGAATGGTAAGGACAAAGTCGGCAAGGCGGTCCGGAGCTTCCTCAATGAGTGGCGGTACGCTTACCGCGAGTTCTCCGTGCCTGGCGACCGCAACAGCACGGGCGGGATCCTGGGCATCGACGCGCGCAGTTGGGACCGGACGCTGTCGCAAGACGGAAAGACATTGGCCAGGAAAGAGGAGAGCAAGGAGGAGGTGGATATCCTGTCCCAGGGCGTCGAGATCGGTGAGGGCAAGGTGAAGCTGCTGGTTAGGGACACATCTGTGTCGAAGGAGCCGCCCAAGGGTCCGTCGGGTTCGAGAGGCAGGTGATGGTAGATTCGCGTGGAGGTTTGACCGATCGCCGAGTCAGATAAATTCTAGTTAGCTACGTATCGAGCAGAAGTATCAGACCATCGCGAGATGGTCTGAGCTCTGAAACTCATCGTTTTTCTGCCAGCTGGGATCCATGCGATGCCAAGAGTGCGGGCTGTCCCGACTTGCTGGGCAAATGACGTTCGTAACGTTAAATGAACTGCAGACTGCCGATCTTCCACAGTGCCAACTACTATATTGTAGTTAGTAACTACAGTGCTTAAAGACAACAGTTACCAAGAGGTACATGCATTGCAATGTGTATTATAACGCTCATTTTCCAGCTCGGGTTCATCTCTTTGGCCCCACCATCTTCTCATGAAACAAGTTGGCACGTTTTGCACCAACGCCAGGTCGGTTCGGGTACGCTCCGAAGTATACCTACTTTTACACAGTAAGATTCGTGGCTGAGTCTGGGCCCCCAAGATCCAGCGCCCAGACAGACCCCTGCCTGCATCTGACATCGAACCTCAGCCCATACCGTTTTTCATCGACTCGACAACCCTTTTCGACTTTCTTGAGAACCAGAGCATCCTTTTTAGTAGGTCATTATGGGCAGATAGCAATAGCCTCTGCTTCCAGCATCTTTACCCACTTCCCCAACCACGGGGTTTCCCAGTCTCCCTCGTCCCGGCGCATCCGTTCGCAGACACGGCACACACACACACACGCAACTCCAGCGCCATGGCTCCCCAACTCGAAGACGACTTCCCCTCCTCTCCAGGGCGGGCCGCAACTTCCCCGCGAGCATCAACAGCAGCAGTGCGGCCATCCCTCTCCTCCGACCTCCCCGCTCCGCCCTGGGCACCGCGCCCAACCCCGTCCGGCGCCCGCCGCCTCTCCTCGCACCAACACCGCCGCTCCCGTTCTTCCATCCTCCACCACCACCACCACCACCACGACCCAACAGCAACCGCCGCCACCAAACCTACCGCCGGCGGTATACCATCCTTTTTCACAGGGCTACAATCCACCCTCGCAGCCCTGGCGCAGCAATCTCTCCGGTTGTACCTGACCCTGCCGCAATGGCAGCGCATCGCCCTCCTCTTCGCGGGCGCCGCCGCCTCCACCTTGGGCGTCCTCTTCCTGGTGTACTCGCACCGCATCTTCGCCGCGCTGGGCCCGCTGGCGGCGACGTGGCGCGCCCGCCCGATCAGCTGGGTGCTCGTGTGGCTGGCGACGTGCGTGACGGCCTTCCCGCCCGTGATCGGCTACTCGACGTGCGTGACGGTGGCCGGGTTTGTGTACGGCTTCCCCGGGGGCTGGCCGCTGGCGGCGAGCGCGACGGTGGCCGGGTCGACGGCGGCCTTCCTGAGCAGTCGGGGCATCTTGGCCGCCTATGTGCAGCGCTTGGTCGGCAGGGATACGAGGTTTGTCGCGCTGGGCCAGGTGCTGAGGCGCGATGGCATCGGCGTGTTGGTCATGATCCGGCTGTGTCCGCTGCCGTATAGCCTCAGCAATGGATTCCTTGCCACCGTGGGGAGTATCAAGCCCGGGGTGTTTGCGTTGGCGACCGCGGGGGCGACGTACGTAATTTTCACCGCTGACATTGAAGAGTCGTTGCGAAGAGTGGCTAACAGAGTGGGATCAACAGACCAAAACTCCTTGTGCACGTCTTCGTCGGCTCGCGGCTCGCCCTGCTCGCGGAGTCGGGCGACAAGATGTCGGGCTGGGACCGCGCCCTCAACTACGTGAGCATGGCGGTGTTTGGGCTGATCGGCTTTGGCGTGGGCGTGCTCATCTACCGGCGCACAATGGCGCGGGCGGCCGAGCTGGCGCGTGAGGCCGAGCTTGAGGCGGGCGATGCCCTGCTGGACGGCACCCCCGGTGAGAGGGATGAAGGGATGGAGGAGGGTGTGCTCGGTGACGATTTGGAGAGTGGGAGGATGGTGGATCCTGACGAGCTGGATGCCGCCGCGCTGATGGACGACGACGATATCTCGCTGTGGGCCACAGGCGGTGATGCATATCATGACAACTGGGACGACAATGACGATGTCGAGGGAGCGACCAACAAGGGTGGTCTTTCTCATGGCCATGAACACGGGAGCATAAACCGGTCCTAAGAAATAAGGGGGAGGGCTGTAAGAGATAGATGATGGGCAGTCGTCTTGATCTCGGCCAGTAGCTCGGCCACTGCATATGGCGGCGTTAGGTTTTAGGACAGGTGGTACGGAGTTAGTTGGCAACTTGAACTTGGAATAGACGGTGGTCATAGATCAACATCGCACAAGTCCTTGCAATCACCATCACGTAGTAGTTCGAAGTATTGCCACGATTTTGTCCCTGTTAGCTCTGTACCAGATAGATGCCCGTCGGTGTCCTGGTTAGAGCGGTATCTCTGAAAACGCAATCCCCAACACCTTGCTTGCTGTGCCAATAAAGCCCCCGAAAAACACACTATGCCCGCCCTAATTTCATCAAAGATCCATCAACGCCCATGAAACTGCTTCATAAACTCAATGGCCTGGTCCATAGGATACCCAATAAAGACTGGCCCGCTAATGTTAAACACCACCTGTGGAATGCTGTCTCTGTCTGCCGTTTGCCGAGAAACATCTGGCAGATTGACGAATGTAGGCTGAGGCGTGTTCAGCGAAGGAACACCCTTCACCGGGGTGGCCGGGCGCTTGGCTTGAGTATCAGCAACATCCTCTCGTTTGGCAGGTCCTCGGGACATTTTGGTATGGTCAACCGGGCATTTCCTCGCTGCTGCTGGTTCCGGGATTGTCTGTTGCTGAACAGGTCGGGGCGGGGACATCTCTCGCTGTTGCACAACGCCTGCCTCTAGGGGCACCGATATACCCCAGGGCCGGCTGGGCGACTCTCCGACGCGAACATCGCGTAGCGGGCGATCAAACCGGCTCTCACGTTCGGCACGATCAGCGACAGGAACAGCGCGTGCGGTATCTTTGCAGGCCACAGCGAAATCGAGCAGCATAGGACGGCCCAGAATGTCACCACCGAAATTCTCTTTGTAGGCCTTCTTAGCGGCGTCAGGGCTCTCGAAGGTGATGTAACCAAAGCCTTGCGGACGACCAGATTCCTTGTCAGTGGGGAGGCGAACATCGACAACGCCCCCGCTCTTCTGGAATAGCTCGTACAAGACGCTGACGTTAACACCAGAGTCGAGATTGCCAACGAAGAGGATGTCGTTGTGGACTACGGGCGGCGGCGTAATCGGAACCGGAGCACCGGCCACGATTGTCTTGGCCCAATCTTCCACCCTCTTGTTCGAGGCTCTATCCGCTTCAATCTGCTCTTCCTTCGATGGCGGGAGCATGGGTTTGTGGAGGTGGCTCAGGTCTTTGACCATATCCACAAGGTCACCGTATTTGGCATCTAGCTTTCTTTTTTGTTCCTCGTTCCGCTCAAACCTCCTGACGCAGACCTCATGGCTCCGGGGGATCGCGTGCTTGTGCGTCTCAACGTAATGCGCAATTTCTTCGGGCGAGTGCTTGTCAAGGAAACGGATCGGACATTTGGAGGGAGCAGCAGCAGAGAGGGAGGCGGTCTCTTCGAGCATGGCAGCGCAGATGGGGTCAGTAGACTTGTGCGGGGTGGGATCGGCTGTGCCAACCGGGTCCTGGGAGCTGTCGACCCGCTCGACGCCGTCTTGACTCGGCTGGGCCGAGAATGGGCAGGCGAGTGGGCCTTTCTTGCCTTCGACGGTGAAATCTTTCTCAAGAACCGTCGAAACGGATGTCATGGTTTCCATTCCCGGCATGGCCGACGTTTCCTTCTCCTCCAAGCGGTCTTTATCTTTATCCGTAGTAGCTAAACTAGTGACAAGCTGCTGAGCGGCCTTGCGACCCTCTCTGATAAGCAATGCGACCTGGTGCTGACTGCTCCCAGCCTGGCTGCGTCTCGGCAAAGGCACCGCCGAGGTCGCCGTCGGGAGGGAATGCTGCACTTCTGGTGGAAGCTGGAGCTGTGCTAGCGTCTCGGAGACCTCTGGCACGGCAGGCGCATACCTGTCCGCAAGATATTGGTACTGACAAAGCTTGAGTTAGCTGACTGTTGGCTCGAGAACGGGCCGTAAATGCAGTGGGGGTTTGTGCGGTAATCAGAATACATCCAATTTGTCTCCATTGCTGCACAGTCGATAGGACGGCAGCTCTAGATCTAGAGCTAAAAGAAATTCATCACGAGAGCGGGGCGGAAAAGATCGAAGAACATCACCAGACATACCTGCTCGTGGGCATAGCGCAGCTTGTGCTCCAAAATGGTCTTGCGGTCAATCAATGACTGGACTTCATCCGACAGCGCAAGAAAGGACTCGGACAGAGTCTCAATCAGCTGGGCGTTCCGCATATCACATGGATGAGGCCCGGTCTGGAAAGCTTCTGCATGTAAGCTTTTGGTTGCGGTTGCCCGAGAAGCAGAAACTGGAAGCTGAAGCGGAAAGGGTTTTGCTTGGTCGGAAAGCACGGAAAGCGCACGGGCCCTGACCCACAACTCGCTGCTCCTCCCCGCACTAGGCACCAAGTTTGGCCGGCGCCGAGGCGGACCACCGACCCCACCTACGGTCCCGGGTCCAATGACTTCAATCCACCATGGCACCATCCCCAGGTCCCAGGGCAACGGTAGCCCCTCCGGCTTATCGGCGTCCCCCGCAGCAGATGGACCTTCCCCCTGCAAAACGGTGGTCAGATTGAGAAAGATCCATATGTTGAATACACGTATACGAAGTTCTGTGCATGAGTGCTTCCTGCCACGTTTGGCTCGCTGCCTTGCTTGGTCGAGCGTTGGTCTAGCAGGTGGCCCAACCGCCGTTATGCTGTGCACCGCTGGGGTCTTTCTATCGTGGCATGCCGTAGAGATCCGAGTGTGTTGGCGTTCTCAATCATCCGAGTTGCTCCCAGGATCGATCGCTTCTAGATTTCAGTGTTATTGGTAACACTAGCACTAGCCAAGACACCCATCACAAACCGTCCTTTTTCAAGATAAAGCCATAAACGGCTTCATCCATGGCTGCTGTGCAAGCTGCTCGGTTACTCAGCCGGAGGGCTCATGTACTCCCTGGTAAGATGGGTCCCGCGTTCGCAGCACGGTTCCGTCCCCCAGTTCCCCGACTGACTGCATGGCCCAGGGAGACTGCATGTTACCGAGCTGTTCTTCGAGGTGCCGAAGAACCACGCTAAACCGGAGGACGGCACCCTCAAGCTCTTCGGACGCTGTGTCAGGAAATATTCGCGGCCCATTGTACCCCCTTCCAAATCGGAGCTCGAAGTGCAGGAGAAACTGCCTTACCTGGTCTACCTCGAGGGCGGCCCGGGGTTTGGCAACCGCGAGGCCCAGAACGTCTCGCTCACACGTACTGCCCTCGAACGTGGCTACCAGGTCTTGTATCTTGACTACCGCGGCACCGGCCTCAGCACTCCGGTCAACGCCGACTCCGTCCTCGCGCAGGGCGAGCCCCCTGAGCAGGCCGGGTATCTCAAGCTCTTCCGTGCAGACAGCATCGTGCGCGATCTGGAAGCCGTTCGGCTCTGCCTGACCAAGGACTTCGACGAGGGAGCGAAAGCCTGGTCTATCTTCGGCCAATCGTTCGGCGGTTTCGTCGCCCTCACCTACCTTTCCAAGTACCCCCAAGGTCTCCGCGAAGCCTTCCTCACAGGCGGCCTTGCCCCCATCCGGCGCACCGCCGAGGAGGTTTACACGGCCACCTATAAGAAGGTTATCGAGCGCAACCAAGCGTACTACAAGAAATACCCCGAGGACATCGCCAACCTTCGCCGCCTAGCGACGTACATCCTCTCCCAGCCAGGGGGTCGGATCCAGCTCCCTGCAGGCGGCTATCTCACGGTCCAGCTGCTCCTGACCATCGGCCTCGCGTTTGGCGGACATGGCGGGCTGGACGACGTGCACAGCCTGGTCCTCCGGCTGGCCACAGATCTGGACCAGTTCGGGTTCTTCACGCGCGCGTCGCTGGCCGCATTCGAGGCCCAGATCGCCTTCGACACGCACCCCATATACGCCATCCTCCACGAGGCCATCTACTGCCGCAATGCCAAGGGCGCGGCGCCGTCCAACTGGGCGGCGTACCGCGTCGGCCGGGATTTGCCCCAGTTCTCGTGGCTGGTGGACCCCCGGACCGCCTGTGCCTCTACCCCCGAATCCCAACCGCTGTACTTCTCCGGGGAGATGGTGTTCCCGTTCCACGTCACCGACAGCCCTGAGCTGAAGCGCATCGCCGAGGCGGTCGAGATCCTGGCGCAGACGACGGAGTGGGGCGACGATCTGTACGACGAGGAGCAGCTGCGTCGGAACGAGGTGCCCGTGTACGCGGTCAGCTATATCGACGACATGTACGTCGATTTCGAGTTTGCGCGGGAGACGGCCGCGCTGGTCAGGGGGATCAAGGTGCTCGAGACGAACGGCTGGTACCATGACGCGGTGAGGTCGAAGGCGGAGGATGTGCTTACGGAGTTGTTTAAGCTGAGGGACGATGAGATCGACTGAGGATGTTGGATTCTGACTTTATGGGAAGCATATAGGACAGCGAGACTTTTGTCTACGAGCGAATAACCGATATGTTTTAGCGTTAAAGATAGAGTCAGAGTAGTAGAATACGTTGCCGGCAAGCGTTGTCAAACTACCTATGAGTTGCGATCCAGCTGACTTCCCCTGACAAGCCGGGAACATGTGCGTATTACTTCCATCGTGTTTAATACGTGCCCGACACACACACTGTAAGGTAGACCACAGCAGGAGACCCCAGCCGAGGGTAGGTAGAAAACGTCACCCGAAACAAGACACATCAGAGACAGTATTCATTAAATGTCCGATCCCACCCGCAGCCCCAGGTGCAGCCCCGAGACGCCCGACGCCCCTTCCCAAGTTCCCGAGTCTTCCCAACACCCCTCCTCTCATGACTTTGGCTGCTTTCCCACCTCAACAAACAAATAAACAAACATTCAATACCTCCCATTCACCCTCCCATACCACGGCCCGGGCACGGGAACCGGGCCGTACACATCACCACGGGCCACCCAATGGGGAGGGGGAGGACCACCCACGCCGCCACCAGCAAACGGACCGCCGCCACCGCCACCGCCGGGCCCACCAGCATACCACGGCCTCACCATACTGGGCAGCGTGCGGCCATTGACATCATCCTCCCTGCGGGCCGCCATCTCCCTGAGCAGCAGCGGCGCAATCTCCGGGTTGGCCATGAGGAAGGCGTCCGTCTCGCCGGGCGCGCGGCGCCACGGCTGCAGGAAGCCGACGCGCGCAAAGACCATCTTGAGCAGCGGGTCGGAGTCGGGCAGGCCGTCGTACAGCTTGCGGCAGAGGCGGAGGACGTCGAACACTGCGGCGTCGGACCCGGCCGACTCGAGCATGTCGACGGCGGCGCGCGCCACTTCCTTCTTGAAGTCCTCCAGCAGGAACTTGTTCGCCATGATGTATACGTCCAGGTTGAGCTCGTAGGCCAGCAGCCAGGTGCGGAGGTCCTCGCCCGCGATGCGGCCGCCGTTGGGGTCGGTCCTGGTCCATGGTAGAGAGGAGGAGGTGGCGGCGGTGGCGGTGGCGGTGGCGGTGGCGGAGGCGGAGGGATCGTTGTTGGCGGCCGTCGCGGGCGGGGGAGGGTTGGGGGGCCCGCCGTGCCGTTGATGGCGATGGTGGCGAACCGGCCGGCGGGGTTGGCGGTCTGGTCCCGGCGGGCGGCCAAAGACGTCCACGTTTACCACGTAGTGCATCGGCGGCGGGTTGCGCGGGGCGCGGCATGACCAGCACGGCGGACCGGCGGCGCCCGTGCATTGCGGGCAGGTGCAGTTGGGGCGATGCATGCCGGGATGCTTCTGCTGCATGCGCTCCCAGCGGCGGTCGTCGCGGCGCCGGCGGCGTTCGCGTCGCCGACGGGAAATGGCACTTATGTCAGATCCAAAGGAGGACGCCGAGTCGGAGTCGGATTCGGCGCCCGTCTCGGCGACCGCCTTGTTCTTTCCCTTGTCTTGGTCGGGGACTGCGCGGCAGAAGGTGAGCAAGTGCTTTGTTCGTTTTCACCGACTTAGACCACTATGTATTGACACAACTTACCCAACACCGAGGCGGCTGGCTTGATGGGCTCATATCTCCCTTCATAGAGGTACGCAACGACGAAGTGGAAGAGGGCCGGATCTTCCTCGGGGAGGTCGAGCGACTGTGCGCCCGACTCCCTGAACTGGCCACAGAGCGCCTTCTCGAAGTATTCAGACTTCAAGAGGACGTGCTTGTGCACCTAGGTCCAATCAGCACATCCGGAACATGCATACCTATGGAGTGTCGGTAGTGTTTGGAATCAGTCGTGTACATACATAGAAGGTCTCCTGCCGAGGGTACTCGCCCACGTGAAGTGGGATGATTGGCGAACTGTATCGTCTGGAATTGGTCGTCAGTATCGTGGAGATCATCAGATGCGCAACCACGGGAGCACGCCGACAGATGACGAAGGCGACGATCCCATGCCTATCTGAACTCTGGACAGACCACCGGGAGATGCGCCGGGAGTGGGGCCGATGCAGAAGGAGATGCAACTTACCCGTCAACGGTCGATAACCACAGATCCTCTTTCGGATCGAGCGTCTCCCTGCGCTCCAGGTCCTCGGGCAAAGAGTCCAGCACAACAACATCGGGGACCCTGGTGGACGGCTCCCTCATGACGTCGCCGATTGTGCGGCTGGTGCTTTCTCTCCGCCGCTCGGCGCCGTTGTTGCCACGTCGATCGTCCGGGATCGCGCTCCAGATGCGTGCGCTGCCGCTTGCATTGCGGCCAGCGGCCCCGGCTGCACCGGAGCTAGCTGTGCTAAGCTCCCCAGACATCGAATTTCTCTGTTTATGCGCTGCAAGCCGATGTGTAACTCAGATGCATGCAATGATCACTTTGGGGTAAATGTGTGAGCAGTACTGCGTTGTGATGACGGAACTGCAGATAGAAAATGGAAGAACAATGAAAGCAACCGGATCTAGGCGGCGCCCGGGAATCACTTATGAAGGACAGAACTACAAAGGCAGGCCGGGTGTTTGAACGTCGCAAAGAGGCAAACAAGTCAAGTTGATTGTTGGATCTCGATGAAATCGCAGTACAAGAGGCAGCCGAGAGGCAACACAAATATCCCAGGGATACAAGTAACAACAGGTCTGGGAAAGAAGAGAGAATGTCTGGCGCCACAGATGCGTAGGTGGTAGCGTGGTAGCGCACTGGGGAGCCTAGGGCGGCTGCCTTAGGGCGGCTACACCGATTATCTGCCGAATAATATGCGGTGCAAATTGTGAGACCCTGGTGAGAACAATGGATGGATGGTGTGGTCAGCGGGCTGCCTTGTTCCCTTTGTTGTTGGGGCGCAAGACGAACCCGGCCTTGTACCACAAGGCCAGGTTGGTGCGGTCGAGAGTCGTGACCTTGCCCAGCTAAAGTAAGTGGCTTTGGTAGGTCTGTAACAAAAGAGTGGTAAGACTCGGGGTGGCGAAATCCTAGGTCTGGGAGCTGGGAAAGCGACAGAAACGGGTGGGAAGAGAGGACAGAGCGGGAGACAATCGCTGCGGACACTTGCCTGCCTGCAGAAGACGGGAGCGACAATATGCAGTGCGCTGTGCTTGGAAGCTGCGGACATCTCGTGCATGCGCCTTGCATGTCTGTTATGCAGGCCCTGGTCTAGTGTAATGCGGATCCTTCCGCCAACATCAACCGCCCTCTTTAGGAATCATGTTGTAATGAAAATTTGGCTTACAGTTGATGGTAATTGGTGTGGCGGTATTGTTGCTGTGTAATGTTAAGTTGAAGTGGAATTAGCGGAACCCACGACGAATCACGGAATGGCCTGCAGATATCCTTCTACTGATACTCAGAGGACTCCTCAGCCTCGTCGTCCTCGATGTTGGCCTTTATAAGTTAATGACGCCGGCAACTTCGCCTCTGTGACTCATGGGATCCACCCAATACCTCTCAACTTGGCTCGATGACATGTATGACCGGATACAGGAGCTGTCCAGATACAGTACTAAGGTACTTATACACTAGTAAGTTCGGCAAGGCACGGCATCTAGGTACCTAACGTACTGCTCGGCTGCCCATTTGCCCACATCCCCAAGGCTCGTTATGTAACATGGCGCCCCAGGACGTAACAAAGGCGGGGCTGTTGTATGAAAGGGTGAGTGCCCATCATTCTGGAGTCGAGATAACCTGGGACCTGGTCACTCTTCGTCGAGCTCTTGCTGCATCTCGATCTCTGTATAACACCCCCCGGTTCAGTACCTGACGTGCTTTCAAGAACTGGAGGAGAGAAAAAAAGCTTACGCCAGAGCTTGTTTGCAGAATCGGTGATGATCTTCGCTTTTGCCAGCAGTTTGTCCATATACTTCTGCTCGTCCTTGGCCCCCAACTTCACCTTGTTTGGTTGTGCTTGCATCAGGATCGGTAGTAGCTCCTTCGGGTCTGCGTTAGCGACAGCAGCAACTGTCTTGAAGCCATTGTCCCAGAAGATCCGTCTGCCAGAAGTCAGTGAGTAAGCATTCACAAAGCTCCTTGGTGATGTGGTGTGTTATTACGCAGTTCGGCTCTTGATAAAGGTGATCTTGGCTAGGGCCAGGAGGTCTGATCGGGCGCCGGCTTTCAATCGGTCCGAGAAATGGTCGAGAATGGCAGCCATCGCGCTTAATACAGAGTAGGTTGGATTAGCTGTTCACTCGAGAGCGCTCTAAACAAGGCGGTAACCTACACCCAGCCCATCGTCTCACAGAACTTGATCATCCCCGCAGCAAACCCCTGGCAAGTCTGCGCTAAGTTCTGGACAGATCCTCGCGGCATGTCATACTTCTGCGCGACTCGGTGTATCGGCATCTCGTTACAGAGATCCCGTAGCTGCAGAGCAAGGTAGAATCGGTGGTAGCGTCGCGCGGCCACCTTTTCCTCGCTGGTCGTCTCCCTCAGCTTACCCCCGTGGAGCCTATTTTGGTCAGTCAAAGACCGGCAGGAGGCCGTGACGGTTAGGGCACCACTCACATATTGTTGATCATGACAGGCTTGAGCCCCAGGAAGTGCATGACCCTCATGCTGCTTTCGTCAAGCTGCTGCATCTCATTCCAGAAGACCTTCCAGTTGACCATGACGCTCCCTAGATCATGCACCGGCGTGAAGTTATAGAGAACATGCATTTCACCATCCATCACAAACGCTTGTAGAGCTTTCTTAAACTCGTTGTGGATGAAGACGCCGTCTTCCGGATCCAGGGACGATGCGACAATGGCCCTACCGAGTTGGGTGGCCTCAAAGCTGCCGTAGTCATCCACTGTGATGAACTCCATCTGTTGGAGGTCGGAGATGCTCGCCTCGACGTTTTCCTGAACAGAGCCCGGCTCCGCCGAGTATGCCAGCATAGTTTTACTGACATAATCGTCCACAGATTCTCGGCTTGTCGCTAGCCGGATCGCGATAACCTCCAGCAAGGCCCTGCCATAGTTTTAGAAGACTTTCCGTCTGTATTGGACGAGGTTCTTGTGTGCTAACCTCCGGATTCGACGCTTGTCGGATATGAGGCAGCTCGATATTTGAGGAGGATCGGCGTGCATGAGATCGACGACGGCCTCAAGGTCGTTCTGCTGGCAGCACAAGTACGTCTCGCCCACTTCATCTTTGCCTTTCCTGCCCGCCCTCCCGCGCATCTGCCGTCTGTGGCTGTCAGTCATATCCCATGCGCCGGGTGTCATATCGCTTACAGCATAGCCGGACCAACTAGGTCATGGCCCATGCGGGCACCGTGAAGGATAACCCGTCGAGCCGGCACTGCGAATGTCAGCGAGCAATCCATCCAGGATAGCGGTAGATATAAGACCCACAGTTGATGCCAGCAGCGAGAGAACATGTTGCTACGCATACTTTGAGCACTCCCTGATCATAAGCTTCGGCGACTAGCTCACGCTCTTCGGTCGTGAGACCCGCCTGGAATGTCAGCATCGACGGCAAACGAACTAGAAAAACAAGACCTACATCTAAGGAGCTGTCAGTGCTGCACCGAACATCCGGATGGAAGACTCACGGTGGAATGCGACGCCGAAGGGAATGGTTTGCTCAAGCTTTGGATCAAGCCCTGTGCTCAGGCTCCGTAGATCAGAAAGCAGATCCAGCCTCTGTTCTTGGGTGGCAGGGTCGGCTTCTGCAAAAGCCGGCATTGCCCGGCTTATCAAGACGGCATCTGACTCACAGCCAGCACGGCTGCTGGAAAAGACCAGTACTCCATAGCCGGCCCTAGCGGTCTCGTTTGCAAGCGCGACGACGGCATTTCGTACGGGGTCCTTGAGTTCTTTGTGCTCAGATGGGTCGATGATTCTCAATGGCTGTAATCTGGATTGACTGAACTGGCTTCTTGCGTCTAGTTGAGTAAGCGTCTTGAGGAGGCTAGCGGTTGTGCCTGCGGCATAGATCTTCCCGTCGTAGACTAGGTGTTCCTCGATGGGAATTGGGCGGTAGTGCGTTTCATAGGAATGGCCCTGCAGCCAATTTCTCAGAAACTCAATATTCTGCGTCCCGATGAGCAACCTGTCACACCTCGCGGGATGGGCAGCTCGGATTCACCTACTGTTAGAGTGGCACTCATGCCAACAATCTGGACCGGTTGGCCAAGACACAGCAACTTGGTAGCCAGGAGCTCCAGCAAATATCCTCGGAAGCCATCATCGATCATATGGCACTCATCCAGGACAACAGACTGCAACTGCGAAATGGAGCAGTCCTCAATGGCGGCATTCACCAGAGAGTTGGCCTACGTCGGTCAGATCGGACCGCGGATTCTCCATATTCTTTTCTCTTGAAACTTACCTTCTCAATGGTGCATACCGCAATATCAAAGTCGGCCCATGTTGCCCTGATTTTGCTGCCCCCGAAGAACCCAACCACCCGGACGGTATCTCTATCGGCGCGACGAGTCCACAACTTGGGCTTATCGTCCTGGTCGCTCTGACCAAGTTCCTCACGCGAGATGCCGCTGACGACATTCCGCAACCAACGGACCTTCTCCTGCACCAGAGCTACGTATGGCAGCACCAAGATGGCCTTGGCATCACGATCGCCCAAGACCCGCTTGAGCATGAGAACATCAGCAACGAGGGACTTGCCGCCACCCGTGGGAGCGCTGTAGACCAGGTTCCTCTCCCCGTCTAAAAGGCCCGGGCCGAAGAGGCACTGCTTTTGCCAAGGGTAGATGGATCTTATGCCCAGGGCGGCAAAGTTCGCTACAAGTTGTCTGGGGAGACCGTAGGCTGGGTGCGAGAGGGACAGCAAAGGGTCAAATGTCGATGTCGGGGTTGCAGCAAAGGCTTGTCTCTGTGAGTATTCGGACGGCAAGTCGCTGACTGCAGCACCGTCCGCATGATATATTCGACTAGCCTTGAGCCTTGGCGACTCAGTTGGAAAGAGGCTGTCGTTCACAGCCCGGCGGAAAAGCTGCGGTTGTGGGGGGGTCCGTTTCTGCGCTTCATTCCGGTCAGAGGACTGCGAAAGGGCATCATCATAGGGCCGCTTTTGGCCAGTAACGAATGTGGTGCGGAAGGTCTGGTGGCGATCCGGTACGGACTGTATCGTTTGCAGCGTTGTTGTGTGCCGGATGCCGGGGTTTGACTTGTCTGCCATGTCGTCTTTTGTTGCTCAGTGTGTCTCGAGAGTCGAGCAGCCAAATGTTAGCTAAAGACTGGGTTGTTCACCCAGTATCTACCTTAGGTAATTAGCTGAGCGTACATCGCCCAAAGGTCATCTGGATGGCCAAAGATGAATTATTTCGTCCTTAATGTTAGATATCTTAGGTAGGTTGGGAGCAATGGTAAGTTGTTCCCTACTAAGGCAGTCCCGTCGGTGCATCTTCTGCGAAGTCGCCATGTCTGGGCTTTGCGGCCTAGCTTCCCGGCGGTTTGGGAGAAGCAAGGGGAGATCCATTTTTGCGTGGGGCCGAGCGGATCGTTCCAGCCCTTGGTTTCGGCTGACCGTCAAACAGGCTCACGGAGGCTCTCGTCCCAAAAGAGCAAGATGCAGGTTGTCCCACTTTTTACGTACAGTACATTGCACAATTATCGGTAATTACAAGCGTGGCCAGAGCAGAGCCTAGCTGCGCAGACCCACATCTGTTTTTCCATCGCACCGCCCAACACTTTATCAGTTCCATTCCATCTGAGTGCTTTTCGTTAAATAAATCATTACCGCGCCAGCAGCTTGCTAAGACGCCAGTCCAACGTGTTTGCTATTATCAGGTCTCAGCGGTTCAAATTAAGCCAGTCTTTGTGTATTGTAGGATTTTCTATGGATCCTTGAAATCAGTCAGCGTTAGGACATCCCATACCGTTACACCCAAGGTGTACAACAGCAGGGCGACAGGAGAATCTGGCGATCTGAAACACACCACGCGGGATTGGGGGACGAGGCTCCCGACTCTTGACCGCCAAGCCTTCTACATGATTATGTAGGTAGGTGCATGCACTGCTTTGCCACATCAAGGCCGCTTGCAGCTATGGCATACATTGTATCTGAAATGAGACAATCGGAGGCATAAGGTAGCTAAGCCAGGTGAACGGGGTTGGAAACGCAGTAACTGTAGGTCTCGTCCGTCGACGGGAACCGGTAGTTCAGGAACTGGTACACGACGGTAGCCTTTTTAGTACCTAAGGTACTCTTATAGCAGATACCACGAGGTCAAGATGATGGGACTCGAGGGAAAATTCGCTGGGCCGTAACTACACTAGGTCACGTCGACTTAGTTTTCCCCACTGCAGTGGCTCCGCTGCTGTCCTGTTTTTGCATTGTCTCATGACGAAAGCAGTAGTGTAATTCAGACCTACGCGCGGGAACCATGCGAACCACAATGCGAGGTGGCAATCGATGCCTACCTACCCTGATGAACGTGCGATCAGTACAGACCTCCGAATGCTCCTCCTTGTGCAAACATCAAACCAGGTCATTGGCAAGCGCGTGTAGCGGACAATGCTATCGCATCACGACCTCTAATGCACCAAGACCCTGAGTGTTGTATGCACGTACAAGTAGTCCGTATCAGACCGGGTGGGCTCTGATTCATCAACCTCGATGTACTGTAATTCTTACGTTTTCCAGTAATATACCATAAGAAGCTGACGGTACGGATACAATTTGAGCTTACTAGTAGATCCAATGCTTATCCGCTCATCTGTACATCTCAAAGCATTCAGTCTTCCATTTCGCTGTTTTGGCTCCTTCTTTGGCTCTTCTTTGATGTACTATCCTAGACAAATAGGTTGGTGTTGGGTTGTGCCCGAGGCTATTATTCCCGAAAAACGCCGCCAATGACACCCTCCGAAATGTCATTTCAAAACCAGTGCGGAAGAGCACATCTCGCACATTACAGGTCTAGCTTTCCTATTCAGCCCACATCAATCTTGTCCCGTCCGTACTGTGGAATATGCGACGGATTGCTTACACAACAATACCCATAACAATGAGTCTCCAGACTTCAGGAATCACAAGCCTGCAAGACGATTTCCATTCACTAGGAGATTCCGATCGATTCATTCGTAGTCGCTCTTCTGGCAATACCGGAGCACGGGCCCAGACTTGTGACATGAGCTGGGTTGATCTCGGCGGGATTAACTCGGCACGCTGCTGTGTATTGTACCGTGTCGGCACGCACGGAACGCATGTAACCATCTGGGCACTACTAGTACTCCGTACACAGTATAGGGTCAACAGCACGCCTCTCCCTCCATTTTGGTACCCACCGCTGCACCAAACCATGAAGCACAGTTGGAAACAAAGATGTTCTGTGTGTGGCCAGGGGTGATTGCGACAGGAAGCTACCTTACGTTTAGCTAAGGGGACCAGACCCTGCCACCTTATCTTCTGCTTGGTAGGCCAGCCCGACACTACGGGAGGTTCTCAATACGACCGTGAGTGCGAAGTTCCAGGCTTAGGCCGGTCAGGAGGAACAGGAGCTTGCCCCGGAGAGCAAATGTCGCCTTCAGATTCTCGCAAGCCCGTGTTTCCACCTTGCCTGGGGGCCTTGCAGCAAGTCATCAGGAAAGGCACCCATCCAGGCAATCCGCCTGATGGGCCCTAAGCTCCGCGGCTGCAGCGACAGCGGCGACATTTCAGTCGCTCTTTATCATCTCTTCTTCCCTCTTTGGTCGAGTGCAAGAAGGTTTGATCCCCAACCAGTTTTGGCAGCGCTGCAGCTCCTCCCCACGATGGATGTCGCGGGCTTGCGTGCGGTGGATTCTGCCAAGACACCCGGGACATGTCCACTGGCAACGCAGCGTGCGGTCTTCATTGCCGATCCCAGGAGCGCCGATATTGCAGCGCGGAAGGGAACACACTATCCACAATAGTGAACGACGACATCGAACCGGGCAATCATCTATCAGGTACGCACACATAGCTCGACAACAGATCTGAGACGAGGTTTCTGGGTTCGGAGGTGCACAATACAAATTCGAGTGTCGGCGAAGGCACTAAGACCGGGCTTATCATCCGCGACTCCGTGTGGGGTTTGGCAGGGAGCACAGTGTGGCGGAAGACAGTTGCCCGTAGCTACAGAGCTGCCCATCTCTGGCGTGTAAATGTCATGGAGGCAATTAGCGCATTTTGGAGCTGGTCGAAGTGCAACAGCCATCTTTGTGCCGGAGGACAGAGGGGCAGCAACCTCGGTGGACGGACGAGGCTAAGGTAATCACAGTACCGCACCTTTGACTGGTAACAATCTGCGAGTTCCCCAAGCGTTTGCTGGAAGACGGGAGGGACTGCCCGGGCGATCGATCAGTGTGGCTCGGGAGACCTTTTCGAGTTAGGTACCTTATGTATGTACTGTACTGCACCAGGTAGCCGCGCCCATGGCCCCATACCTATCCATGGTGCTAAGCAATTTCCGCCGTCTTGCGGATTTGGGTATACTTTTCGTTGAAGGGAACAAAGTTTCATTCGTCTGAGTCTAGACTTTATCTTGATGCCAAAATGGAACAGGGAAACCGAGTGGGAGACAGAGGGGCTGTTGTCGTTCGTTTCGTTGGTCGACGAGGGTACCTCCGTCTCACACAATTCACATGGCTCACTCATACCGTGCCAGCCCACAATTTTCATCGTGCGGGCGGCTCACCCAAAATCAGCGTGCGATTTGAACGCCTTATTAGATATCCGGTTTCTGTACACCTAATTGGCTATGTGCAGACTCTCCAGCTACGTTGGTGTAGGTGCCTTCTTGAACAATACGCAGCAACCCCATGAGAGACCTGGTCTTGCCTATACACATATCATACTGCCTCCAACAAGACATGATTCGTAAGGATGACCAGAGAGCATACCACACTGCTGTGATGGAGCACAGCTAGGTGGTGCCGTTGAGCTTGTGGCTGGGCCAGGGTGCCCTAAAGAGCGTGAGCGTGTGAGGTTGAGAAGAGGTTTCTGGGGCCGAAGTAGCGCACAAGTACCGCCTCATGGCTCCATGGCTACATGGGGGTTTGCCGACGTTAGGAATCGGGACAGATGCGCGAATGCAAATCCCTGCAGTACGCGATATCTACCTCGTAGCTCCACAGTGTGCATGCCGCGCCCCACCTCACCCGGAGTGCCAGCGCCAGTCGAAGCTCAATGGAAAGCCAAGGGGTCCCAGCAAAATGATCCCAAATGGTGCCGTCTTCGCCCAGGCCAGGACCCAAAAGAGTTCGACTGTAATGTACCCTCACAGTACCTTCATACCGACCTAGCAGCCTTTCTATTACCTTAGGTTGTCATCACTCCCACGTTCCCTGCCTGCCATTTGACGTTCCTTCTCCTGGTCTCCATTATTGCCTACCCGGCCTACTTACCTTTTTCTGCCCACATATCTGTCTCCATTCCTTTTCTTCTTCCTGATCTGCACCGACGTTCATCCCGGACCTTTGATACTCTCATCAGGGCGGCGCACATTCTTGCACTGCTTCCCTCGAATTAGCGCGCCACCCACCCTTGCGCTTTCACTTCACTTCCGCGCCCCTTGTATGGACATGCCTTTCTGGTAGCCGCCTTCGGAATCCCTCACCCACAGTTCACGTCGGCCACACATCCATAATAACCCGCTCATTCATATCTCACCGGTTTCCAGCCTCTTCCTGCCCCAGTTCATCTCTCTCGACAACGGCAGCACAAGGAGATCGCCTGACTAGCTTGTTTTTGCGCGGGGTGTATCGGACCCGATGCCGTTTCGTCTTATGGACGGTCGTTTGGCCCGCTCGTGACGCTACCTTTTCTTCCTACCAGTGGTTCTGCTTTTGGGCGGGTTATCACTGTCCGACTTGCCTTTCTGGTCCTCTCTTGGCTTGTTCCCCTGTGGTTCATCCACTTCACCGCGCCGAGCGTGTGTTTTGGCGGGTGCTTCAGCAGCCTCTGTTCCTCCATGCGACCTGGCCCTTTTGCCATCGTTTCGCCCACTACTTTTCCATCATCAGGACCGAGGGTGCACCATCCCTTCCATCACTCGGTCAGTGGTGGCGAGGGCACCTCACAGTCGGTCGGGCATTTGACATTTTTGTCAGCCCACTATGGCTCAAAAAACCACAACAGCAAACCAGTCCGAAGAGCAGGCACATTCGGGCAGTCGCACCTCGTCTGCCAAGGAAGGCACAGGAACAGCGAGCTCGGTCAAACAGTCGGCCAACTCTGACGGCTCGGGGCTCATCCCGCCCTCGATCCTGCCCAAAATGTCTGACCGGTCATCAAATTCGACACCGGGCTCAGAATCGCCACAGGCCCAGTCCATGGAGAAGCCATCGGCTGCTAGCTTGCAGCCGTCACATTACGGCACACGGTCACGGAATCGCACTGGCGCAGCACGACCAAATTATGCCGAGGACAAGGATATCGACCTAGATATTTTTGATGCTTACCCAGCACAACGCAAAGATGATGACTCCAAAAAGCCGAGCACCAAGCAGCAAGGTGCACAGTCAACAGCGGTAGCAGCCAACGCAACCCAGCCTGCTGCACGCTCGAGCAATGGCTCATCAAGAAAGCCACTCCCAGAGGATAAGCAGCTGAATGGCGGCAAAGACGAGCAGCACGCCGCCACCCAGCCATCAGCGGCAAAGTCTTCATCGGCTAATGGCACCGCTACGACAAACGGCGCCTCAAAGAGCAAGAAGCGCAAGGCTGCCGACGCCGCTTCGACGGCCAGCGGCAGTCAAACGCCATCAGCGTCAAATGGCACGTCAATCTCCTCGGCTGTGCAAAAGCGCCTTGGAGTCAGTGGGCAAGGCACTGGAAGTGTCACGCCCAGCAGCGCTGGCTACGCAGAAACGAACATGCTCACCTTTGAAAAATGCAAGTCGAGGACTACCAAGGACGGGAAAATGATAGCCGACGATGGGACAGTGCTCGAGGTGAATGGTAAGTTTTTCTCGCTGCCTTTTTACTACTTCATGATTTTGGTGGGTTCTGACATGGCTGATGCAGATCATGTCTACTTGGTCTGTGAGCCGCCTGGTGAGCCATACTATCTTGGCCGCATCATGGAGTTCTTGCACGTCAAGAACGACCCGGCCCTGCCAATCGACGCGCTGCGCATCAACTGGTACTACCGTCCCAAGGACATCGGGCGCAAGGTGCAGGACACGCGTATGGTCTTCGCAACGATGCACTCAGACATCAGCCCTCTGACGTCGCTGCGCGGCAAGTGTCAAATCCGGCACAAGGCCGACGTCGAGAACCTCGCCAGCTACAAGCAGTCACCCGACTGCTTCTGGTATGAGAAGTTGTATGACCGATACATCCAGAAGAACTACGAGGTGATCCCCACAAAGCAGGTCATCAACGTGCCGGAGCACGTCAAGAAGGTGCTGGACGAGAGGTGGAAGTACGTGTTGACAGAACAGGGCCGCGGCAAGGAGCTGACCAGTGCGGTCAAAACGTGCAAGCGATGCACCACCTACTGCGCGAAGTAAGTCGAATCCCAAGCCGTTTCTTTGATCTGGCGGGGTGGGGCCCAATCAGGAAATCTGGGATGGGGGTGCGGATGAAGAGTGGGACCAGATGCTGACACAGCCAATAGCAACGACTCCGTCGACTGTGCCGTGTGTCAGAACACGTACCACATGAACTGCGTTAAGCCACCCCTGCTCAAGAAGCCAAGCCGTGGCTTTGCCTGGTCCTGTGCCTCATGCAGCCGCGCCCAGGAGCGCAAACTCGAGGCCCGCAACACACCCAATGTCTCGGATGCCCAAGCCGATGTGGAGGAAGATGAGGGCTGGGATGACGAGGACGAAGAGATGGGCGGTGTCGACGGCGTCGACACGGGCCGCACGAGTCGCACCAGCCCTGCCGAAGAGAACCTGCACCCGCCTCCAACCGCAGAGCAGATTTACCACGCCAGCCTGTGGCCCTATCGGTATTTGGGGATGCATTGCAAAGTTGAAGACGCTCTTGATCTGGACGACCGCATCTTCCCTCGCGCGAGCACCCGGCTCGGCCTCCGCCACCAGGCAATCGTGCCCGACTGGTACGGACGTCCGGTGCAATACGTAAAGCCGCTCGAGTTCAAGAAATCCGGCAAAAACAACAGCAAGCTCACGAAGGAGCAGCAAGCCCTTCTTGAGGCGGAGCGCATCGAAAAGGAGAAGCGGCCAAAGTGGATCCAGGACGAGCCCCCTGGATACATCGAGCGGGGCGGCGATGATACGTCGACCCTCCTCTACAAGCCTCCCGAAGACTGTGGCGTAAGCATGTCCAGCGAGGCGCTTGACGAGTACATGGACAAGGCGAGGTCGATGGCGACTTCTCTGGGTCTGCCGCCCCGCTCGACCAACCTGCAGGATGTTGCGAGGGACCTGCTCTTCCAAAGCGGCTTTGACCCGGAGAAAGCTCTTAAAGAGCTCGCCAAGGCCCCCAAGGCTCAGTTCAAGGAGCCCGAACTGACGCCGGCGGAACAAAAGAAGTTTGAGGAGGGTGTCGCCAAGTTCGGATCCGAGCTGCACAGCGTCAAGAAACATGTCAAGACTCTGAGCGCAGCCACCATAACCCGTTACTATTACACTTGGAAGAAGACAGAGCGCGGGAAACAGATTTGGGGCAATTTTTCGGGTCGCAAAGGCAAAAAGGACGCTAAGAAAGCGGAGGCAGCTGCGAATAAGTTGGCCGATGATATTGCCGACGATCATGACGACTCTGCCTTTGACACAGATAAGGCCAGAGAGAAGAAGAAAGGATTCATGTGTAAGTTCTGCGGCACTAAGCATTCGCGCCGGTGGCGACGAGCTCCGGTGGCTGCGGTGTCGACAGTCACGGAAAACGGCACCAAAAACGTTAAAGACAAGAAAGACCAGTACATCCAGGCGCTTTGCCGGCGTTGTGCAGAGCTTTGGCGGCGGTATGCGATCCAATGGGAGGATGCGGACGAGCTGGCCAGGAAGGTGGCCCAAACCGGCGGCCGCGGGTGGAGGCGCAGGGTCGACGAGGAGCTGTACAGAGAACTGCTCGCGGCCGACGAGATGATGGACGACACCCGGCCCGCCTCACCGACTCCGACAGTGACGGCAAAACCGGGCAGTTCGGCTGCTGCTGCTCCGGAGCCCCCGCGCAAGAAACTGAAGGGGTTTACCGACAAGGATACCGAAAAGACCCCGTCGGAGTCGGGCAGCGTATCCGGTGCTGCGGCATCAAAGAAGAAGGAGAAGGCGGCGGAGAAGCATCAGCCTTCCCAACAACCCCCCGCCGGGCCGCCCCCTGTTCCGGAAATTCCCAAACCACGGACGCTACCCTGCGCCGTCTGTGGGGAGATGGAGCCGCTGGGAGACCAGCATCTCTCATGCAAAGAGTGTCGTATGACGGTGCACCGGAATTGCTACGGCGTCCTTGACAACCGTCCCGCTGGCAAATGGACTTGCGATATGTGCCTCAACGACAAGAACCCGCAGTTGTCCATAGTAAGTGTATAATCTGCAGCCTTATGAGCTAGACTTGGAGTGCTAACACTGACGTAGCACTACAAATGTGTCCTTTGTCCTGTGGAATATACTCCGCACGACTTTGTGGAGCCGCCCAAGATCTCGAACTCCCACAAAAAGAAAACAGAGAAGGAGCGGGAGCGGGAGCGGATGGAACGCGAGAATGCCCAGAGAGCAGCCGAGTACTACCGCAAGAAGCAGGAAGAGATGGGCCGCCCTGTCAATCCTCGTGAGCCCCTGAAGCGGACCGCCGACAATAACTGGGTGCATGTGACCTGCGCTGTCTGGACGCCCGAGGTCAAATTCGGCAATGCGGAGGCGCTCAGTCCCAGCGAAGGCATTCCCCTGATCCATCGGTCAAGGTACACTGAACTGTGCAAGGTCTGCAAGACGAAGAAGGGAGCGTGTGTGCTCTGCCACGCCTGCTTCATGCCAGTTCATGTGGAGTGTGCACACCATGCCGGCTATACCCTGGGTTTCGAGATCACACCGGTCAAGGGCTCCCGCCGGGATCAGTCCCGTATCGTCACCATCAACGGTGTGAACGGCGCAATGTCAGCCCACGTGTGGTGCAAGGACCACACGCCGACTAAGACGACGGTGTATCGGATGTACGAGATTATGGATGAGAGCGGAATGACAGCCCTGCAGTTTTATGCACAGAGTTTCAAGCAGGCTGACCTGACGCTGACGGGGTGTGCAAGGAAGGCGAACCAGATTACGGTCGCTTCTAAGATGTCGACTTCACCCACGTCGACCGCTGCCCACCAAAACCGGCGGGCTTCACTCGCCTCAACGGTCAACGGCGACCACGAAAATGCAGGATCGAGCGCTCTCCAGCCTGGCGGCAAGGTTTGCCTCACATGTGGCATCGATGTCAGCCCCAAGTGGCATCCAATCGACCAGACGCAGGAGCGTGAACGAACCAACGGCTACTTCGGCAATCTGGGTTCAGAGGCACAGAAGTTTGTCGAGCAGCGGAGCTTCCAGTGCCACAAATGCAAGAAGACAGGCCGGCAACCAGTTATTCACTCACCGCCTGTCAAGGAATCGACACCCCCTCCAGAGCCCGCTCGTCAGGCCTCACAAGCAGCAGCTGCTGCGATGCTGCCAGCTGTGCGTGCGGAAGAGCCGAGACATTCTAGAGGGACGCTTGGATGGCCCCCGGTCCCGGGCCCTTCTCCTGCTGTGCAGGCTCCGGTTCTTCAGGCTCCCGCACCGAGCCCTGTCGCCCACCCGGTTGGACCTCCCGCGGTACTGGCTCAGCCGGTGGCTCCGCCTCCGCTACCGCCAACTATCGCCCCGCGGGCACCTCCGATACAGCCTCCACCGTCGTATGGACCGCCCCCTCGGCCCTTCGACTGGCATCGGCCGCCGACAGGCCATGGCCCGCCACCGCTCCATCCGTCGCGCGATGTCAACGGCCGCCCATCCCCACCCCCGAGCTCCATCCCGCCGCTCGCGCCACCTAACCATCTCCGGCCCCCCGTCATGAGCATGTCACATCCGGCAGTGCAATCGCCACCGGCAAGCCATATGGCGCAACCTTCATTTGTAAATGGTGTGCCGCCGTCACCACACCACCTCAGTGGACCTCCCCCGCCATCGCCCAACGGCGGCCCATACCATCACCACGCCCACCCGCCGGCGGATCTACGACCCCATCACATGGTCATGAACCCGATTCCGCCCGTCGTATCGGGCGCACCGCCCCCGCAGGAACTCTCACCGCCGCTTAATTATCTCAGACAGTGGGGACACCAGAACAGCCATCACCACGGCGGCCCGCATCATCACGGCAGCCCGCCGCCGCCGCCCCTGAGAGACACCGGTTCTTCGGGTCATCCTCCGGGTCCATCTCCGCCGCCGATGGGACACCGTGAGTCGGCTCATCAGCCAGTCGGTCCGTCACATCAGAGGGAGAATCGGCCTGCTACCGGAGCCAGTGCGAGCCCGTCGTTGAGGAACCTGCTCTCCTAGTGGGACGAATATTGGGGACTAGCTTTGTTGCGTTTGGGAGCGGCGAAGTCGGCGAGAAGCTGGGTTGACTAGGACCTTGACAACTTGTATTATGAATGTATTCTTTTTCTCTTTTCGTTTCCGTTCTCATGGGTGGGGAGAATCAGGCAACAAAAATCTTGTAGACAGCAGCTTTTCATTTCGTTTTCTCCTCGCAAGGAGTTTGTCCTTTCCGGGACCGGAGCGATCACGGACTTAATGGGGGTTGCATAGCTGGCGCCGGAGCATGGGATTTGCTGGGATTTGCGTGGCGCTGTTCTATTGCTTGTTAGAGATAACCCCTTGGGCACTGCCCGTGGGATCGCTGGTCCTTGACACCGGCCAGTAGCTGGGCTATTGCCCGAGTGAATAGATGGTTTTTGAGACTACCTGGACGGGCCTTTCTAATACTGAGGTGTATATTGTATTGTACGTGATCCCTGACCATAGCTCATCTCAAAGAAAAGAATCCATTAAGCTCAGTCGACAGGTCAGCACAGTCCTAACCATGAATCAACTCAAGAACGAAAATCTGTAAGCTCGGTTTACAGTTTATGACCTGTGTGGAATGAGGATGACATCTTGTGTGAAGCAGCCTTGTGCTGGCTTCGACGGGGAGCTGGATCGGCCACTTTGGGAGGCCCAGCGAGTAAGGAATTGGGAGCAGTCGATGGCCATTAGGCTACCTTAGGCACGGAAGCCTGTTATGTATTGTACAGTACACGAGGACTCATGATGTGGTCCGATGGCCTTTCCGCCAGTCTCGCTTTCCTGATGTTCAACCTGCTTTTGGACTCGAACTGGAGAACTACACAAGGTAACCACTGGCAGCCCTCCCAGCACAATGAACAGTCATTGAACACAAAGAGGTCTGGCTCTGGTGGATCGAACCTCACCACCGCTTATGGCCACAAAAAAGGAGAGGAATCCAGCGCACATACCATAGGATCTTTCTCTTTTTTTGTGGCCAGCGCATGGTCACCTACACTAGCTGCATGCATGACTGATGTCGCTTTGAATGCGCGGGCACTTCGGTCCCTCTTTTGAAGATCGCCTAATTTTAGCGCTACCCACTTGACCCGGGCAAGCTTCCGTGCAGCCACGAGAGGTGGGGCTGCCCCAAATCTTCGATTCCACGCCAAGCCCTCGGCCAGGCTCCGGTGTGGCTACGTTATGTGGATACTTTACTTTTGGCTGATCTTCTACGTCAAAGTTTAGTACCTCAGTAACTTCTATGTCCGCCACACTCCAGAGTCTTCGATCAGATTCCATCTGGAGGGGCTGAGTGGCCCATTGGAAGGGAAGGCGGCAGGATTATTGGAGTCCGAGAATTTCAGCCTTCCCCTCCATTGTGGTAAGCCTGGAGCGATTATAAGCAGCAATTCGACAACTCTCTCTAGCAGTCGGCTCAAGTGTGACCCTTGACTGGACAGTTCTCTACAGACTGGAAAGCTCCTGCTCGGCGTTTACAAGAGCAGAACGCGCATTGACGCGTAACTTGGTCTGCGATTGCGAGGCAGTGCTAGGTACGTTGTTCTTTCCGTCCGAAGTTCTTTTGGTGTTCCGGACCCCGGCAGAACTCTCTAGATCATTCCGCGCATCGATGATTCCCCAGAGCCATGATTTAGTCAACGCCTCATCATTTCCAGCCATACAAAATCAAGTCGCTAACCTACCACTAGTTCAAAACTTGAACATCAGAGTCACTGGTCTTCACTCGGCAATCCCTGCCGATCCTGTCACCTCAGCTCCCGACCGACTCCGGCAGCCTCAAGGACATACATCTCACCTTCACACACATTTATCATCGGGTATTCAGAGTAGACCGTCAAAATGGTCAAGGAGACAAAGTTGTACGACGTCCTTGGTGTATGCAACCCAATTTCAAAGCGCCTCTCGCCAATATCGACCTAACGTTTGTGTGACAGGTCTCTCCGAATGCCACGGAGCAGGAGTTAAAGAAAGCATACAAGACGGGCGCCTTGAAGTACCACCCTGGTATGCCTTAGCACCACTGATTTTCTTTGTGATGGTGCTAACCTACTTGTAGATAAGAACCGAAACAACCCGTCGGCAGAGCAAAAGTTCAAGGAGATCTCACATGCCTATGAGATCCTCTCCGACTCACAGAAACGGCAAATATATGATCAGTATGGCGAGGCTGGTCTAGAGGGCGGTGCTGGCGGCGGTCCCGGCATGGCTGCTGAGGATTTGTTCGCCCAGTTCTTTGGCGGTGGCGGTTTCGGCGGCATGTTTGGCGGTATGCACCAACAGCGCGGTCCCACGAAGGCGAAGACGATCCATCACATTCACCAAGTCTCACTTGAGGACATCTACCGTGGCAAGGTGTCCAAGTTGGCCCTGCAGCGGTCGATCATTTGCCCGAAGTGCGAGGGTCGCGGCGGTAAAGAGGGAGCTGTTCGCAAGTGCCCGGGATGCGACGGTCACGGTATGAAGACGATGATGCGCCAAATGGGTCCCATGATCCAGCGGTTCCAGACGGTGTGCCCGGATTGCAGCGGCGAAGGCGAGATTGTGAAGGAGAAGGATCGCTGCAAGCAGTGCTTCGGCAAGAAAACAATTGTCGATCGCAAGGTCCTGCACGTCCATGTCGACCGCGGCGTCAAGAGCGGCACCAAGATCGAGTTCCGTGGCGAGGGAGACCAAGCCCCCGGCATCCTTGCCGGTGATGTTGTGTTCCAAATTGAGCAGAAGCCCCACCCACGCTTCGAACGGAGGGACGACGACCTCCTTTACAACGCCCAGATCGACCTTGTCACGGCATTGGCTGGTGGCACCATCTTTATCGAGCACCTGGACGAGAGATGGTTGAGCGTCGACATCCTCCCCGGCGAGGCAATTGCAAATGGTAAGCGGGAATTTTGCTGCTGTTACGAGCTCATCTGCTGACTTCGCTTGGTAGGTGCTGTGAAGATGATCCGTGGCCAAGGCATGCCGTCGTACCGTCATCATGACTTTGGCAACATGTACATTCAGTTCTCCGTTAAGTTCCCCGAGAAGAACTGGACGCAGGATCCCGCGGCCTTCGAGGCCTTGCGGAAGTTCCTTCCCCCGCCGGAGCTCATCAATACTGCTCCGGCTGAGGCTATGACTGAACCTGCGGATCTTGAGGACGTGGATAACTCTTCAAGAGGGTTCGCCAACGGTGGTGCCATGGATGAGGATGAGGATGAGCATCCTCATGCCGAGCGGGTCCAATGCGCCTCCCAGTAAGGGATGAACATGGAGAATGGCGGGGTTGGATATGCTCAGGACCCGTTGTGCCCGAGGCCTTGTGGCGATTCATGGGCCGTTAATGAACCAGGCACGCAGCGGCTTGCGGTTTCATCGGTGAAGAAATGCACACCGATATCCGTTCCGTCATCTGCGAGCTTGGCGATCCCTGGAAGTTAATGAGATACGAGTGGGACGGAGGGGAAAGGAACATGGGAAAATACCCCCAAGGAGGAGCCAACGGGGGGCATAGAAACTCGGTTCTTTCGGCATGCATGGAGGGGGTTCTGGCTCTTTCTTTTCATGTTTTTACGGGCACATCACGCACTCTTGGGAAGGCGGCGTTCTCGAGAGGATAGAGTAGGCATCTGGCTTTTTCTTTAGCAGAGCTTCTTTCGCTCTGTCAACTGGATTCTTTGGCTTTCGGTAGTGAATAATATCGGGGCATTATGGGAAGTTGCTCACGCTATGGTTGTGGCAGTCGGTGCGTTCCCGTCACTGCTAGCACTGAATTCAATACTTAGCTGTAGTCTGTTCTGGAAATCCACCGTCCAGAGGCAGTCAAAAGACTCATGGCCCGATTCCATGTGTGCTCTTCACTGTTATGAGATAATCATTTGAACATCTTCGGTGAACGTTGCCTCCATTCTCACCAGGTTCTTTTTGGCCACAAAGGTCTCGTACTCCCGTCTGAGAAAGATTGAGGCCCCCTAGATTCATACTTCAGGAGAAGGAACGGGATTTGGTCTGCTACCTACCATGGCTTCTTTTTCAACTCCTTCCTCTCCTCCTTCTTTTAATTCTCCTGCCATTTTCCCGTCTTTCTCTCCCACATTCTTCTTCTATCACTTTCTTTTCCCATATGATGATTCTTTTGCTTGACTCATCACTTGAACCAGAGTTAGAAGCGTGGTACACGGCCTTTTTCATCCTCTAGTCGTCAGGGTATACTCTGGTTACAAAGAGTCCTTATAACTCATCCAATCGGAGACCGCATGTCAGGCGAGGTTTTCCTTGATGACACTCCTGGTCATAAACTAGCCAGGAACCAGAGGCTGACTCATTGGCGCCCTCTATGTGCTCAGTCGAAGTCACTGAGCTTGCGTAAGCTTTCTGTAGTATACAAGATCTTTTGCAGCTCGTCCTCGCTGATGTTGATATCACCAATAGCTGGTAGATTCTCGACCTTGCTCTTTTGCCAGCCCGCTTCTTGCTTGTCCAGGATAATCAGCGAAGAACTACTCCTGTTGGCCTCATCAGTTGAAGAGTCGAAGTCCACGGCAGCTAGAAGCCGTTGTGCTTCACCAGACAGCTCGATGACCTCCACGTCGAGCAGGTTCCCTGGCAGCCGGACGGTCTCGCGATGTTGAAGGGTGTTGTCCTCAAGGAGCTCATAGAGGAAGACAGCGGGGAGGCTATGAAGTATGTTAGTTACGAGGTAAGCCAGAACGGTTGGCGCCAAAAAGACGTACCGCTCAACCACAACAAACACGCACGCCTTCCCCTTCCACAGACATCCAAGCAGCTTCGTCACCGCAACCTTGCTCACGCTCTCCCCGATGACTCCCTTCACGTGCTCCAGCACGCCCGCCCGGCCGAGCAACCTCCCCTTCGCCCAGTCCCACACAAACAGATCGTCGTCGCCGCCTCCCGATACCAGAATCTCCCGCCTACCCCCCGGCCCCACACACAACCGGCTCACAAACTCCTCGTGGCCCAGACAGAACCCCTCGATCACATGCGCCTGCGGCATCCCCCGCGACACGCGGATGTGCTCGTCCCGGTCGGCCGTGATGATGTACTCCCTCTCCCGGTCCGCCGCCACACGCTCCGTGCCGACGCAGATCGCGGTGAGCATGGAAACGTGGCCTAGGAGTAGGGTATGCTCGAACTGCGGCTGGGTCTGCTGGGATTCCTGTTGTTGTTGTTGTTGTTGGGCTTTGCGGTTCAGGCTGATCTTTTGGTTCTCGAGCGCCCTCAGGTTGCGTTTGGTGTGCACCGTGAGCTCGTTCGCCTGCGGCTTGGGGGGTAGTGCCGGTGTTGCGCTACGGGATAGGGGCTGCGGCGTCGTCGTGGTGGTAGCAGTGGAGGAGGAGGAGGAGAAGGAGGGAGCGGGGATCAAGGGGAGGGCGTAGACATCGCCGAATTTGTCCGCCGAGAGGATCGTGCGGTTGTCCCGGGTGAGCGCCAGGGAGCAGGGGCGTTTGGGCATGGCCCTAGGAGCGAGTTAGCATCGGTATGCAGAGATTGGTTGCCAGGGGGTGAAGCTTGCCTCTGGCTGAGCTGCTTGAGATTGCCTGCGCCGTCGTGCTCAAATACCCAGATTGTCTTGTCAGAGCCCGTGATGGCTACGAGGTGGCGGCCATCCGTAGTGGCGTAGAGACCCTGAATGAACGGCTTCTCATAGGCAGGATGGGCGTATTTATCCACGCTTTTGCTCTTCCCCTGACCGTTCGCGGGCTCAGTAGCATGGCCATTACTAGTCGACTCTTGGCCATCCTCAACTTTCCTACGTTTCGTTGGTGGTCCCTCGAGCGCTGGTAAATCCCGGGGCTCAGTGGATTGCCCACTCGACTCATCTTCTTGCTTCACCGGGTACTTCCATGTCGAAATATGCTCTAGGGCTGAGTTGAAGGAGTGGATGTTGCTGCCCTGTGCAGCGAAGATGAAGCTGCCGCAAGCTTTGAGGAGGTGGTATGGAATGGCCATCATGACTCTTGGGTGATAGATGAGTTGACTCAGTTAAGTCCTCAGACGCCTCGGAGGCTGTAGACGAGAACCGTAATTTTCTGACTGCACGAGTGAAATCAAGGCAGGAGCGGGTGAATTAACCCATTGTCGACGGCGAGCCCGGCACAGTAAGGTAAGCAGTGTCTATGTCAAGTTTATTAGTGAAGCGCGGACTTCAAGGTGATAATCTCACATACCCTGACCCGTGGGCTTATACACAGTGAAATAAATCAGTTTGAAAGGGACACCGGGAGTCTCAGAAATTTGTCGCAGCCAAGCCACATGTGGCTGGACTTCTCTAAGTCTTCTGTAGTGCCAACGCCTCATGCGCTAAGAAATTGGGAACCAAGAAAAGGCATCTAATGAGCTCTAACCACTTCCATGTTGATTGTAACAGATTTGGGCTTTTGATCTCTGTAATCTTGTATATCGACACCTTGTTTGCGAGCCAACAACATGAGAACTGAGCCATTCTCTAATGTCTCCATGTGAAGTTGAATCCCGTTCAGGAAAGCGGCAAGTGGGGCTCGCTGATGCCCCTCATTGGCTGGATCCGCTAACCCTGACTCCCCCACAGCTGCGGTCAATTGTGTGTGAAATTCTGAGAGCTGCTGCTTCGGGAACTTTTTTGACCCCAACCTGGAACATCGCGATTCCTCAATTACCCGTTTCCTCACTTCAAGAACAATCGCCCTTAAATATCCTGCCTTCATAACTAAGAAGATATGGGGGGCAAGTCAGGAAACAAGGCCGGCTACTTCGACAAGCTGAAGGGCTTGTTGGAGGAGTACCGGTCCATCTTCATTGTCTCAGTCGACAATGTCTCGTCGCAGCAGATGCACGAGATTCGCCAGGCCCTCCGTGGCGAGGGTGTCGTGCTGATGGGCAAGAATACCATGGTAAGCAGGCCGAGATATTCGCGAACCAGTTTGTCGGCAGACTTTTCTGACCAACAATGCAATATGACAGGTCCGCCGTGCGCTCAAGACCTTCGTCGCCGACACCCCCGAGTACGAGCGCCTGCTGCCCTTCGTCAAGGGCAACGTCGGCTTCGTCTTCACCAACGGTGACCTCAAGGACATCCGTGACAAGATCCTGTCCAACCGCGTTGCCGCCCCCGCCCGTGCCGGTGCTATTGCCCCCGTCGACGTGTGGGTGCCTGCTGGCAACACTGGTATGGAACCCGGCAAGACCTCGTTCTTCCAGGCCCTCGGTGTCCCGACCAAGATCGCCCGTGGTACCATTGAAATCACGACCGATCTCAAGCTCGTCGAGGCTGGTGGCAAGGTCGGCCCCTCTGAGGCGACCCTGCTCAACATGCTCAACATCTCTCCCTTCACCTACGGTATGGGTATCGCTCAGGTTTACGACCAGGGCAACACCTTCCCCGCCAGCGTCCTCGACATTGGCGAGGAGCAGCTCCTGAAGTCTTTCTCCTCGGCCGTCACCACGATCGCCGCCATTTCCCTGGCCCTCAACTTCCCCACCCTGCCGTCGGTCATCCACTCGCTCGTCAACTCCTACAAGAAGGTGTTGGCCGTTGCTATCGAGACCGACATCAGCTGGCCCGAGATTGAGCAGCTCAAGGACCGCATCGCCAACCCTGAGGCGTATGCCGCTGCTGCCCCTGCGGCTGCCGCCGCTTCCGGTCCTGCCGAGACCAAGGCCGAGGAGAAGGAGGAAGAGAAGGAGGAGGAGTCTGATGAGGACGGTGGCTTCGGCGATCTCTTGTTCGTACCCCCACGTCTCACTTCTTCGAGGACGATGCTGACGATTGATAGCGGTTAAATGTGCTGACCTGATGACGGTGTTTTTGGGCTGGCAATCTCGGTTCCGGTCGGGCAAAGGGTTCATGGATCTTTACCAACGGCTACGTAGATCGCTTGCGGCGCAATCAAGCACTCTATGTGTGATGGTTACACTATGGACGCGCTGCGGATGCCTTATGCAATGTTTGGCAAGTTGCAGTGAAGCTCAGGTTAGTGCGCTTTCCCCTTTTCTACTACTCCCACTCCGTGTCGATGATTATGAACGATGAATCAAAGAGCTTTTTAACCCTGAACACCTTTGATGACAAACCCATCACCACCCTATGAGACACGATCTTCCTATGTTTTCAGTCTTCATATGTTGCATACAGCACATGGGGTACATTAAGGCTGACAACAAGTTTGCAGAATATCGCGCTCTTCCGTTCTCCTTATCCTACAACAGCCGCTGAGGCTGATGTCTTACCGGGCGTTGTTGCCCCGTATGATGAGATGTCGACCCCTGAATCGTGCAACACCTGTTGAGCGACCCGTATCGCCTGCTCCGGCAGGCCAGCCAAGCGCGCCACCTTCAACGCGTGGCTTTGCCGGTTGACCCCCTTTCGCAGCTTGTGAACGTAGACAAACCCACCCTGCTCGTCCTCCTCCACATCCGTGCAGTACATGTCGACGGCGCCGTCGGGTCCCCCATCCTCCACTCTCAGCCCGTGAGCCGTCGCCAGGTCCGCGATGCCGTGGAAATGCGTCGCGAATAATGCCCGACATCTGTTGACGGTGACCAAGTGGTGCAGCGCGGCGAATGCCACGGCCGTTCCGTCCTCGGGCGTCGTGCCCCGCCCGACCTCGTCCATAATGACGAAGGAGCGCGGCGTCGCCTGCCGCAGAATGGCCGCCGTCTCGAGCATCTCCACCATGAAGGTACTCTGGTCCTGGTACAGGTTGTCGGCCGACCCGACCCGGCTGAAGATGGCGTCGACGATGCCCAGCGACGCGTAGTCGGCCGGCACGTAGCACCCGATCTGCGCGAGGATGGTGATGAGCGCGTTCTGCCGCAGGAAGGTCGATTTCCCCGCCATGTTGGGACCCGTGATCAGCCATATCCTTCCGGTTCCTCCTCCTCCTCCTCCGCCCTGCTTATTCTTCTTCTTTTGCAACTGCTGCTGTCCTCGTCTTTCGGTGGTGGTCGAAGCTGTGCTGCTGCTGCTGCTGCCACCGATCAGACAGTCGTTCCGCTGGAAAGTGCGCCCCTGCTCGGCGAGGCCGCCCTCGACTGTGGGATGCCGGCCGCCGATGATGACAGTTTGTTGCGTGTTGGTCAGCGTAGGCCGGACGAGCCTCTGCTCGGTTGCCAGGCGGGCGAAGGAAGTTGCGATGTCGAGCTCGTCGAGCACCAGGGCATTGCGCCGGAGCTTGACGAGGTTGTGGACTACGCGCGCGCGGAGCGAGGCGAACACGCGTTGCTCCTCGGCGCGGATCTGGAAGCGGACTTTGTCGAGCGCCTCGCCGAGCGCGGTCCATTCGGGCTGGTGGAAGGAGCGGGTGGTGCGGCTCGAGGAAAGCGTGCGGATTGGGTTCTGGGAGGAGCCGTCGTCGCTCGAGTCGGTAGGCGGTTCTCGCGCGTCTTTGCCCTTGACGTGGCAGATGTGGCCTAGCCCGGGCGTCCAGCGGAGGGTGAGGGATGCTGCGTTGAGGCGGGCGCGGAGCGTCTCGGTGAGCCGGTCTTTCTCTTCCCGGAGGCTGGCGAGCTGCGAGTGCAGGCGCGAGAGCAGAGCGGAGGCGCCCGGTTTCATGATCCAGACTTCGCTGTCTTCGCCGTAGTGCTCCCGGATGGAAGGTGTTTTCCTCTTTGCCGTCTTAGACGCCGGCCCCTTAGGAAGGACCGTGCCGTCCTCTTCCGTTCCTTCACTCTTAACTATTTCCTGGGCAAGCGCCAAGATCTCGCCAGCTTCGCTATCCTCGATTTGGTGCTGTTGCACGAGGCCTTCTTCGTCGATGGCATCGCGGATGTGCTGAGCGAGCTTGAGTGGTTGGTCAAGGCTGATGCGGTCGATCATCGTCGATAGACAGTCCCTTTCCGAACCGTCGTCTCCGTGGGACGCGATAGACGTGGCCAGGAGGTTGACCATGTCCTCTGTGGCCTTTATGGTATTGGCCAGCCGGAGAAGGTCGTCTGGGTCACCTCGATTAAGTGCGAACTTCTGTACGAGACGCTGCGAGTCATGGCTCCTGCGTAAGAGGACGACGATGGCATCTCGAAGATCCACATTCTGGATGAACCGGGAGACCAAGTCCTGCCTGAAGTTGATGACTTCTAGTGAAGTTGATGGGGAGCCTACATTCGTTGTTAGCCAACTTTCACTCTTGCCCGTTGAACAAAATACCATACTGAGCCACTCGTTGAGTAGTCTAGCACCACTCTTGGTCACGGTTCGTCTAATGGCATGCAGCAAGCTTCCCCTGAACGCGCCGTCCCTGATGGTCTGCTTGATTTCCAAGGAGCGCATGCTATGCCTGTCAATATTCATAATCTGCATGCTGTCTTGGCGAACGGGTGGCTGTAGCTTCATGCTCAGCCCTTGCAGGCGGTCCTTGACATAGTGGAGCAGGAGACTCCCAGCTTGAATCTCACTCTTCGTGAACTCGCTAGCGGCCTGGGCTGGCACCTCTGACTCTAGCATGGGCGCCCAATCAGAGAGCTGCCGCAGCTCACCGAGGGGGGAGTAGGTCACGAGGTACCTTTCCTCCTGGAGGATGGACAGGAGAGCATGGTTATGATCAGACTCTAGTGCCTTGTCGAGGACTATCTCGCGGGGCGATACGCGAGACAGCGCGGAGCCGAGCGACGCTAGACTGGATGGCTGGGTGAAGAAATAACCGGTCGACAGATCAAGCCATGCTAGGCCTACGCGGGGCGAGGCATCATTCGCGGAATCCGGGGTCGGTATGGTTCTTTGGACCTCCTGACAGCCCACTGGCACATCATCCGGCCCTGCCGGCTCTGGCAGATGAATGGCCATGACGTAGTTGTTTGCATACGGATCCATGAAGTTCTCGTCGATGAGGGTGCCTGGGGTGACAATACGGGTTACTCTGCGATTATGCATCAACCCACCAGACTTGACCTTCTCCGAGGGGTCGTTTGGGAACTCCTCAGCGATGGCTACATGGCGGTTGAGGTCCTGGACTAGGATCTTGAGGAACCGGTCCAGCTGGAAGAAGGGAAAGCCGGCCTGGCGACAACGATCCATCAGAATACCAGTGAGCGAGACAGTGGCACGGTGTGGGCACAGAACAATACCATTGAGACCGGACCGACACTTGTCTTCTTTTGCGCTACCTTAAGATTCAGGAGCGGGCCGTACTCGTCGGCCTGCTCAAAGTACAGCTCGTAAAAGCCGCCAACTCGGGTGAGCAGCACACAGTTGTCAAACTGTTGCATGTTGCGGCGGGCTTGGAGCACCACGGTTGGGTACGCAGGTTCCTCCTCCACAGGCGGCGGCAGGGGCTCGGATGGTACGACAACGCCCTGCGGCAGCTCATCGAGCTTGACGACCGTCCTGGTTTTCTTGCCGCGAACCTGGACATGCCGGATCTCAAGATGTCGCAGCTGGAGTCGAGTTGCGGGGTCCCCAGACCTCCGAAGCCCGCCAGAACGGGGCGAAAGCGAGAGAGTGGTCACATTTCGACGTCCGAACCGACCGACTGTGGCGGGACCGGGAATGCGGTGCGGGAGCCAGCGATCGGAAGAGCCAGAACACGCTATCCGAAGGCGCGAGACGGGTGACGGGCGCGGGGAGAGCATCAATTATGCCCTTTTTGGGTTTGCTTGACGATGATGCTCTGATTTTGAAGGTTTCTCGACCACACGCGACAACGTGATCGCGAAAACGTTAGGAGCAACGCGGGAAATGGTAGGTGGTAAGCAAGCCAGTTGCGGCTTGGCGTGCAGTCGCCCGACCCCAGGTCCAAGGGCAAGTGGTGACAGGGCCCACTGCAAACATGTACATACGAACAATTCAACAAACTGAAGCTTCACACTTACAGAGTACACTCACTCTTGTGTAAGATAGTTCTCCCGCGGCAGAAGAAGGCTGTTCCCCGCATATCCGGCTGGAGAGGCTTAGCGAAGAGATCAGACGCGGAGCCTGCGTTCAGCCCTACGTAAAAACGGCTGGAGCTATAAGGGTCTGGTCTTACAATAAATTACATACATACGTAGTGTAATAATAATGGACGCTACCACTTTCCGTACAGCCGTCCTGCGTCAGGTTATCGACCAGGGCCTGAGGGCAGGATTACCCCACTGACAAGGCACTCTAACCCGTTCTGGCTAGCCGAAGACGAGAACATGGGACCACTTGCGATCTGAATCGTCAGGTTCCTGCTGCAACTGCGATCCCGAACACATTTGCGATATCATGCGGAAGACGATCCGGCTCCTCGCAGGTTCGAGAGAAATCCTCAGCCGCAAAAAAAACAGGCTTCAAGGACACTGGAGACTCTCCAGTGGAGAGATGAGGTTTGAACGAACAAAAGCCGGTAATTACCTAATCGCTGGTCACAAGAAAAACACCTGATGCGCGCGGAAGCACTCTCAGAGATCAACAGCTTCAATCCCGATGTCGCCCCATGTCGGAGACTTGATGGCGGCGTCCAACATACCTTACCATGCCAACGTAGACCACGGTCCCTGGCTTATTATTAAACTACACAGACAGATTCGGGCAAGATGCCCGATCCAGGGAAAATGCGATGCAGCGGCGCGCGCTGCGGACATGTGGTGCTCTTCCCGCGATTTCCAGAGATGCGAGCCGTTCGAAGATGAACAGGACCAATGGCGCGGCGCCGCAATCGCAGGCAGGATTCCAGGGTGGCCCGATTATGCCCTCGGCCTGGGCACGCCGTCGGTGGCTATTTGCCAGGTCGAGTCGGCATCGACCGATTTGAGTCCGGTTCTGCCATCATACCCACGCTTTCCGAGCCCGCTCTCAGGCCATTTTGGTCAGCTCCGCCTGGTAACCCCAGCCTGGGGCCTATCTCCCCACTCCGACTGGCCCGATGCCAACGACCGCCCGCTTGGACAACTGTCAGGCTCTCCAGACATGCCTTTAGGGACCCTTCGTGCACATGCTGTCCGTGGTGAGAACATGGCAGGTTGGCCGCCTTGTCATTGCCAGCTGTACTTGTTGCTACCTTCGTCAGATCCGATGCTGTTTGCCCGATGCTGATGATCCCACTCAATCTACTCGCAGCGCAGTTGGTGCTAACGCCTTAGCGTGGATGGCACGTTGGACAGTCTCTTGACGTATGTACCTTGCAGGGCAAGGAGTGTAGGGTAGGGGCGCTTGGTATAAAGAACTCTCTTTCCAGGCCGGCCCAACCCCTGCCGCCCGTTTCCTGAAATTGTTTTCATCTTTTTGCCCTTCCAGGTTGTCGTTGGTCAGCCTCCTATCACCTCCCGTTCGAAGGGCTGTCCGCTTCCACCCGCCAACATCACCCTCAACATCCATCGACACACTTCATCGCAGCTAGCCGCCGGCTGTGGTTCATCACTGATCGCGGAAGCTGAGTGACGAAAGAAGGGAAAGACAGGCTTTCCTTTGTGTCCCCCTGTGAACTACGATACAACAAACACATCTTGTTAATATATACCTATCATGGCGACATCCATACCGCTCTCAGTCAAGAACCAGGTTCCCGTCACGCCTCCTCCGGACTTCCATATGTTCATGAAGGAGCCTCCGCCTCCTCATTTTTCGAACCCCTTCGCCAGCGGGATCCGTCCGACACAAGGAGTAACAAACGCCACAACACCACAAAACCCGTTACACCCGCCGCACCAACCGCAACGGCCACAGTCATCACAGCAGCCCTCCCAAGCCTCGCCTAGTTTAGGCCCGTCTGGCGGCGCGACGGCCACGTCAACGAAGCCCCAGCTGCACGACGACCCAATCACAGCAGCCGCAGGCGCAGCCACAGCCACAGCCGCAGCCGCCATGGGCCAGTTCGACCCCCGCTACGTTGCCATGGCCTCCCGCATCGCGGCCTACTACCAGCAGCGGTGCCAGGCCGTGGCCAGCTTCCAGCAGCAGCGGTGCCAGGCGTGGGCCAACGCGCAGCGCCAGAAGTGCCAGGAGATGATGCAGGCGGCCACCGTCATCGTGGCCTGGTACATCCGCGACCGCATCCAGCGCCGGCGGAAGAGGCAGAGACGGGCGTTCAGGCGCGGGTTGAAGGCTCGGACAGCTTCGGCTGCTGCTGCTGCTGCTGCTGCTGGCATGTCTAGAGAGCCCGGAGGCGGATGCGGAGGAGGAAAAGGAGGAGGTGGTGGTGGTGGTGGGGGGGTTACGAAGGGCGAGTCAGTGCGCAGGTGGTGATGGGCGTACCATCATCGGTTGCGACGGGCAGCAGCAAGGACGTGCCGCTGGATAAGGAGGAGGCGGACTTCGATATGGACCGCGAGGTGCCGGCTGATAAGGACACGCAGCTGTTCAACGTGGCGGATAATCTGATCAAGAGCCACCTGGCCAGGATTGATGTGCCGCTGCTCGGGGTGCTGTCATTTGATGAGAGCGAGACGGAGAGCGAGAGTGAGAGCGAGGTGGAGGAGGAATTCATGGATTATGAGGAGGATGACGGCGGGGAAGACGAGGACGACGGGGAGGAGTATGACGAGGACGATGATGATATCGTCGGTGGGGGGGTGAAGGAGAAGGAGTTTGCTTCTACTTCTCAGGCTGCGCAGCCGGGAACCATTGCTAAGGGGAGCCGGAAGCGATCCAGGAGCTCTGTTTCGTGAAGGGGGTGGTGGGAATCATCGGGGTGGGATTTAGTTGGGAGTTGGTGGGTTTTGGTTGGTTTAGGCATGTTCATCCGTTCGATCGCACGGCTAGAATCTGACCGGCAATGAAATCTTTACTCACTATAAGTATGATGCGCGTCGTTGGGGTTGCTTGAGCTGCGTAAGTAGGGGAATCAGTTCTGTTCGTAGGGTCAACAGTCAGATCAAGCAAGCAGCGATAGTGAGCTACTAGGTAGTATCTAAGTAGTCTCTATCATTGATGGAGGAGAGCAACTAACAAGAGGCAATCTCATCTACTCATGTAGAGCAACATATTGTAGGTCATTGACTCGATTCTGGGATCAAACAGACAGTTACCCGCCGGCCCACTCCTGAATCATCATTCTGTACTACTACCTATGTCCTGACGGGTGACGGATGGGTTTGTGCAAAGCACCGGTTGTAACGATCGACAGATCACCGGAGGTTGTTAAGCACGAGCATCGAGAATGTGATGGAGGAAAGACATGGGAAGTGCGACGGTATGGACCTTGGCTTGACGTAGCTTGACAGTCTTCTGACAACGGAGGCTCGGCGAAAATAATTGGTTGCAGTCATCCGACAGAAACAACTCGTCAATAAGGCGAGTAACTGTGTAGTAATAAGTCATGGAAATGCGGGAAGCAGCCCACCTCCGGCAGTGTTAACTGTCAACGCTGATACCCAAGGTTACTTTGTGGTCTGTCGGTCTGTGCTCTGTGGGGATTTGCGGGGGAGCTCCTCGCAGCTGCTCGTTCGGGTAACACACCCCTGTCATCCGCCCTGGGCTTTCGTGATCACCAGGTCCAAGCTGCATCCGTCAACCAACCACCTGCGTTCGACATGCTACCGTCGGTGTTATTGCATTGTTTCACTTCGGATCCAGCATAGGTAGTACAGCTTCAAGAGACACCAACTCTCATGGTATTTAAACTATCAGAGAGGGGACTTTATTTGAGACGGCTTCTTAGTCCGAGTGACGAACACTCATCGTTGCTTCCTCACCTTTCAAGTTTCAAGTTCCATCCATTGCTGCCACTATTGTTTCCTGCCTATTTTGCCTGGCGTCACGCTCACCGCCGGCCTACCAGAAACTCGATATAACGTTACTCATCTTCATACCTGCCCTGGCCAGCTCAACACCATGGGGGGCGAGACCCGTACGCAGAAGGGCCCCAGGAGTGACTACCCTCTCCGGGCGCCCCAGCCCGTGGGCCAATTGATATCCACCATCTACAAAGACCGGATCAAGCAATTCTACTCGGGCGGTCAATATGAGCACCAGAACTTGCTTGCCATGATGAAAGAGGCCGTCGTCTCGGGGGAGCCCCACGTGCAGCTCTCCGTCTGGCACGCTCCGGATCAAACAAGGCCGAGCTTCAAAGACGCCGTCTCGCACCAGTTCCAGAGGACAACCGTGGGCCAGTGGTTCGGTCCCTCATGGACCACCCACTGGTTCAAGGTCGTCCTGAAGGTCCCGGTAGAACTTCGCCACAAGAGGCTCCTCGAGCTTCACTGGGACGCCAACAATGAAGGGATGGTGTGGACGGAGCATGGCCATCCGCTCCAGGGCTTGACCGGTGGCGGTGAGCGTGTGGAATGGATCCTTCCAGACTCGTTCCGCGATGGAGAGGAACACACCATTTACATCGAGATGGCCTGCAACGGCATGTTTGGCAACGCCCCCGGCGGCGACTCCATCCAGCCGCCAGACCCCAACAAATACTTCCGGCTCGACCGAGCCGAGATCGTGGCCGTCGATCCGGACGCTCGCCAGCTCTACATCGACATCTGGATCATTGGCGACGCGGCAAGGGAGTTTCCGGAGGATTCCTGGGAGCAACACAAGGCGCTCAAGGTTTGCAACGAGATCATCGAGACCTTTGAGCTCGGCAACCGGGAGTCGCTCAAGGCGTGCCGCAAGATCGCCGAGGACTACATCGGTTCCAACGTGAACTCGGCCAGGGTGTACGAGAGCGGAAAGGAGCCCGTCGTGTACGGCATCGGACACTGCCACATCGACAGTTGCTGGCTCTGGCCGTTTGCTGAAACCAAGCGCAAGGTGGCTAGGTCGTGGTCCAGCCAGTGCGACCTGATGGACAGGTATCCCGAGCTCAACTTTGCCTGCTCACAAGCCCAGCAGTACAAGTGGCTCAAGCAGCTGTACCCATCCGTCTTTGACCGCGTCAAGAAGAAGGTCGTTGAAGGCAGGTTCCATCCCATCGGAGGCAGCTGGGTGGAACACGACACCAACATGCCGAGCGGCGAATCGCTGGTCCGGCAGTTCCTTTATGGGCAGCGCTTCTTCGAGAGCAACTTCGGGAAGCGCTGCCAGACATTCTGGCTGCCCGACACCTTCGGCTACTCGAGCCAGCTGCCGCAGCTCTGCCGGCTCGCCGGCATGACGAGGTTCCTGACGCAGAAGCTCAGCTGGAACAACATCAACCGCTTCCCCCACACGACCTTCAACTGGGTCGCCCTGGACGGAAGCCAGGTCATCTGCCACATGCCGCCGGCCGAGACGTACACGGCCGAGGCCCACTTCGGCGACGTCAAGCGGAGTATGTCGCAGCACAAATCGCTGGACCAAGACGCCACGTCGCTGCTCGTCTTCGGCAAGGGGGATGGGGGCGGCGGCCCGACCTGGCAGCAGATCGAGAAGCTGCGCCGGTGCCGCGGTATCAGCGACACCGTCGGCCTGCTACCTCGCGTCCACATGGGCAACTCGGTGGATGATTTCTTCGATAGGCTCGAGCGCAAGGCCGACTCCTTCGTGACTTGGTATGGCGAGCTGTACTTTGAGCTGCACCGTGGCACGTACACGACCCAGGCAAAGAACAAGCGTGACAACCGCAGGTCCGAGGCTGTGCTTCGCGACCTCGAGCTCCTGGCGACCATCGCGTCTATCAAGGATAAGTCGTATCTGTACCCGAAGAAGGACCTGGACGACATGTGGGAGTCGGTGCTCCTGTGCCAGTTCCATGACTGCCTTCCGGGCAGTTCCATTGAAATGGCCTACCGCGAGTCTGACGAGGTGAGCCGGAAGCCATCGTTTTAGATAGACCGACTACGCCAGCTAACACCAGAACGCAGATGTATGCGGAAGTCTTCAAGACCGCCGAGAAGCTCTTCAAGGACATCTCGAAGGTGCTTGGCGTCGCCCCAGTGCAGACCACGACCGTCGCAGACGGTGTGGCGCTGAACACGCTACCGTGGCACCGCAAGGAAGTGATCGCTATCTCCGAGACCGAAGCTGCCGTTGCTTGCGGACATGGCCCACTGCTGACCCTGCGGACGCTCAAACTGAACAACGAGCCGCTTGTCAGTCTGAAACAGGCATCGAAGGGCGTCTTTGTCCTTGAGAATAGTCAACTCAGGGTCAAGGTGGAAGCCGGCGTAATAACGTCGCTCTACGACAGGCTGGCCGATCGCGAGGTCATCCCCAAGGGGCGCAAGGCCAACCAGTATGTCATCTTCGACGACAAGCCCCTGTACTGGCAAGCCTGGGACGTCGAGGTTTACCACCTCGAGACCCGCAAAGAGCTTCCCTCCGGCGAGACCAAGGTCCACGAAGAGAAGACGCACCGTGTGAGCGTCGTCACCCACACCAGGATCAGCGACAAGTCGTCCATCAAAACCGTCATCAGCCTCGCGGCGTCCATCAAGGGCCAGCAATCCTACGTCGAAGTCTCCAGCGAAGTCGAGTGGCATGAGACCATGAAGTTCCTCAAGGTCGAGTTCCCCGTCGACGTGCGCAACACCGAGGCCAGCTACGAGACGCAGTTCGGCATCGTGCGGCGGCCGACGCACTACAACACGTCGTGGGACATGGCCAAGTTCGAGGTCTGCTCGCACCGCTTCGCCGACCTGTCGGAGCACGACTACGGCGTCTCGGTGCTCAACGACTCCAAGTACGGCTTCGCCACCGCGGGGAACACGATGCGCCTCTCGCTGCTGCGCTCCGCGAAAGCCCCCGACGCCCACGCCGACATGGGCACGCACACAATCCGCTGGGCCATCCTCCCGCACCGCGGCGCTTTATCGCATGTCACGGTCCGCAAGGCGTTCGAGTTCAACAACCCGCTCAAACTGCTCTCCAAAAAGCCCACGACGCAGGAGAGCGGGGGAAGAAGAACAGGAAGAAGCAACAACAACAACAACATCCCAGACCCCTTCCTCCTCCTCCCCCTCTCGGAAGAGAGGCCGCCTGTGTATCTGACCGAGGACTCGAGCCCGGCTCTGATCCTCGACACGGTCAAGCGCGGCGAGGACGACGAGGACGTCTCGCGCGGCGAGCTGCCCGCCAAGCCGGGGCGCAGCGTCATCCTGCGCATCTATGACAGCTTGGGGGGCCGGGCGCGCGGCTACGTGGCGACGACGTGGCATGTGGCGCGGGTGTGCAAGGTCAATCTGCTTGAGGACGAGCTGGAGGAAGTGCAAGACGAAGTTGTTGTGTTGGAGGAGGAGGGTGGTGGCAGAAGTACTAGTAGTAGGTTCGCCGTGGACCTGAGACCGTTCGAGGTGGCCACGTTCAAGCTGCAGTTGGCTTCTGAAGCCTAGGGGCCGTCGTCGCCAGGGTATCTGGTCCTACCTACCTCCAGCTTTGAGTGGACGTTTCTGGACAAGGCGTAGTTTCTGTAACGTACTAGTAAGGTAGGTAGATATCTTCCTTAAGTGGGTGGGTGTAACTGTGTAGAAGTTTTGTTTCATGGGGAGACGTCAGGGATAACGACGAACGGATAAGGGAACTAGGGATAGGAACGAGGAGTACTAGTTACTATGCCGAGTAATGAGCAAAAGAAAAAACCGAATCATGAATGAATGCTTTTTGCAGGGGGCCTTGCCATGGTTGCGGAATAGTATAGTAAATAATTTGATATTCTGTTTCTCTCGTAACTCCGTGAGCCAAACAGGCCACCCGCCCAGGTTGGGCCCAGACGGAAACACCAGGAGTACCTATAGCTCCAACACCCAGATACCCACCTGCACCTCTTTCGCAGAGATAGGTACTGTACTTGTACTTGTACAATACAACCGACCAACCCAAGCCCAATACAGACCAGACCAGACCAGGCCATAACATAACAATAGTTTCACCTCCCCCGCGCAGCCTTCCTCTTCCGCGCCGCCTTCTCCCGCGCATACTCGTTCGCCGCGCGCCCTTCCTCCCCCTGGATCTCGGCCACGAGCCGCTTGTACTTCTTCTCGTACGCCGCGTCGCGCTCCTTCTTGACGCGCAGGTTCTCGCGCCGGATGAAGTCGGCGTCCTTGCGCAGCTCGCGCAGCGCGCCCTTGCGCTCGCGCCTGTGCTCCGCCTTGAGCTTGGCCAGCTCCGCCCGCTCCCGGTCCGGGTCGTAGTGCTTGTCCGGGTCGAACGAGTCCTCGAACTTGGGCACGTACGTCCGGATGGCCAAGGGCCGGTGGTGGTGCAGCTCGAGGGGTCGGCGGGAGAGGCGGGCTAGTTGCAGGAGGCGCGTGATGGTTGAGGCCGCGTCGGTTAGTTTGGCCGTTAATGCTGGGGGGAGGTGGGCGGCGTTGGGCTGGGAGGTGAGGTGTTGCAGCGCGAGGAGCGCGGGTTGGAAGGTCTCGTAGAAGGCTGGCAGTTTGTGCCATGTTTCCGCAGCGGTCTTGAGAACCGCTGTTATGGTGTTGATGATGGCGACCTTGAGGGAGTTGTCCTCTTCTGGGGAGAGAGACTGCTTTTTTTGTTGGCAGTCGCTGCAGTTGAGTTGCCGGATGGTGGTCGTGCTCGCGCCCTTGATCCGGATTCCCGCAGCTGGCTCGTGAACCGGGAAGAAGCCCAGCTTCTCCCGCGGCTTCTCGTGCGCCAGTGAGCATAATGTGTTGAGGCAGAAGTTCACCAGCTCGGGCACATAACGCTTCGAGAATTGCTGATACTGTAATGAGAGGATCGAGAGGTAGGTTCCAGTAGCATAGTCGGAGAGGTGCTGGGGAATCTTTTGCCCAAGGTAACGCGCAATGGCCAGCATCGCCGGAGTCACCACCTGATGGAAATGATCGGATGTGGGAAAGGTTGTCCCGATTGCAGTCAGCAGGACCAAATCCCCAACGGTGAGAGACAGGGCCCGTTGCTGCTCCATCTCAAGGACGTGGGCCCGGTATCCCTTGGCCACTTCGATGGGGAAGGACTTGGCCAGTGAATGAATATGCCGGCTTAGGCTCTCCAAGGTAGGAAACCAATGCGGCTCGAATCGATCACCTAGGTATGCCACATGCTGTACCAGCGCCTGCGAGAACTGGCCAAGCCTCTCCTTGTTCTTGCTGTCCAGCTTGGGATGATAGAGCGCTCTGATGCGCTGAACAGCCACTGGAAGCTTTGTCACCTCGATACCGTGAAACACCTTGAGCAGCTCTCCGTGGGTCTGCGGACATGGGAAAGTATAAGGTATCCCATTCTCGTCGTCGCCTTTGACGTTTCCAGTCGCCTGAAATACCGGGTCCTTGGATTCCGCTTCTGTTAAGATGCCTTTGACGAACTCGTCATCGTCGGAGCCTGCGTCTGATTCGGTATCTTCATCTTCGCTCTCCTCGCTTCCCAAGTCGTCGCTGTCAAGCTCCAATTCGGATCCACTGGCAACGAGGTCGTCGTCGATGAGGAAGTCGTCTTCGTCATCGAACCCCAACTCTGTGGCAGTGGGCCGGTATTTGACCCCCTTTCCAAGACCGAACTCGTCGTTTTCGGTGCTGAACGGGTCGTATGCTTGTCCATCAGCGCCCCCCTTCATCTCTGCCTTTTCCTCCTCCTCTTCCTCTTCCTCTTCATCAGCTTCGCCTCGCATGCGCCGAAGCCTCTTCTCCTCGAGTTCCTTGAGTCGTCTGGACTCTTCTTCTGCTTTCTCCTCCTCTGTCTTCGTTCTCTCGGCCGGCTGCGCTCGCTTGTCTGCAGCGAGCTGCTTCACCCGAATGTCGTAGTCTTTTTCAAGAGCAGCCTTGTCCTTCCCAGCAATGACGATGGAGTCTTGGGGTCCCTTCTGGTCCTTTGATGGGGGCTTCTCCCTTTGGAAAAGCAGGGCTTGGATATCAGGCATGGTCTTGTCGAGTTCCTCCCGGAGTTCATTGTCCTCCTCTTTGGCCGCTTGCCGTTCCTGGAGCGTGTTAGCGTATCGTTATTGCCGTGCATGCCGGTAAGACCTACGTATTTGTGGAACTTAGACTTGGCGATAATCTCTTCGTAAATCTCCTTCTTGGTCTTTTTCCTCTCCGGCTGCTCGTCCTCCTCTTCCTGCTCCTCGGCGGCTTCCGCTAGGCGCTGGCGCTTCAACCTCCTTCTCTCGGCGCGCGAGCTGTCAGACTCGTCGCCTGACGGTAGTTCCTCCTCCTCGAAATCGTCCCTTGCCGGCTCCACTTCGTCGTCGTCGAACAGCGGTCTGCCCATATGGGTCAGCCCCCCCATGGGCTCGTCATCATCCTCTTCTAAGTCAAAGACGGCGCTCTTCTTATGATTCCGCTGCTGCTCCCGGGTGAATCTTTCGATCATCTTCTCCTCCAACGTCATGTTCGGATCGTCCTCGCCGAAGCGCCTATCGATGAGTCCCCCGACCTTGTTCCGCCGCTGCATTTCTACAAGGAGCGTTTGTCGCCGCTTGAAGGGCCCGTTAGCAAAAGAGCTCAAGTGATTCCCCTGGGAGGTGGACATACCCGCTCCTCTCCCACGGCTTTGGCCAGTCCAGGCCGTCCTTTGATGGCCATGGCCGTCTTGTCGCTGACCGGCTTATTGGTGGTAACCTCGAACTTGGGCCCCCGGGCGTTGGTCTTGAACTGAAAGGGATTGAACTGCTCGCGGATGCTGGCCAGGGCCTCCGTCCGGTGCAGGCGCTTGTCATCTTTGCCCTTCTGGTCCTGTGCATTTTTGCGCTTCTGTTTCTTGGACTGCTGCGGGCCGATGAGTCCCTGTTCGCGGAGCGAGGCTTTGAGCCTCTTTAACTGGGAGCCGGCCATCGTGGGGATTGGCTCAGTGCTTTCCTCCAAGCTGTCACATTCGAGAGCTTTTCCAATCCGGCTCAGAGATTTTTGGGATGTTGCTCCAGTACGTAGCGGTTTATCTTATCAGCTGCCCCACCTACGTGCAGAAATTTGGCGGTGAACGCTGGCAGTAACGCGCTGTCGATGATGGACCAGCCTTCCATGTGGAACCCGAACTCAAACTGCAGCTCCCACTTCTGCTTGATTAGTCATCTACCGTAACTTAAGCCGCATACCTCCACATGAGGTGAAGGCGTAATGACAAACAAACAAACAACCACAACCAACACTATCGTCATCCAGGAACCACATCCAAGCCATGGGCTTGCTAATCAGATTCATCCGGGATGACCGGGTATTGTTTGGCTACTTAGCCCTCAATGCAGTGGGATGGCTCTGGGGAGTGCGCATCCTCCTTAGGAAGTGGCGCGACGAGGCCGAGATTAAGCCAGTACAGCCTAAGACACAGTACATCACCCAGGAGACCGAAGACGCGCTGAAGCTGGGCACACTCGACACACTGCTCGGCCACTACAACTACTCGATCCGTGAAACGGCTGCCAAGATCGTATGCGACAGAGCCGTCAATGACCGAGACGCGATCGAAATGCTGCTCTGGGGCATCACGCGCCAGGACTATGAAGAACGGTTGAAGAATCTTAGGGCGCTTTCTATCATCATCGCTGACGCTGGTAAGTTCGGCCTGGTATGCTCCACACGACTTCCGCTATGGTGCTGACTGCAAGTGAAGAAAGCCTGGAGCGGCTCCATACATGGAAAGCCTATGCTGCCCTGGTCAGATGCCTAGAGTTGTCCCTTGACCCGAAGCAAGACGTGCTTGAGGCAGAAGGCTTTGACGAATACGCGCTTCGGGACATAACGGAGCGAGTCTGTCTAATGTACGTCAGTCAGCTGCTCAGCTGTTACGACGCTGAAAAGCTCGTCAAAGCCAAGTTTGTTGAGAAGTGGCTGGCGAAGCAAAACTGGGGCATCACAAAGGAGGACCGGCAGCGGAATTTTGCGCAGTACATGCGCTGCAGAGGCAACCACATCGCTGACATTGTCGCTTCAATTCGTGCTTGTCCATCTGGCCAAGAGGCTCTGGAGAGGGCGGAGCTCGTCGCCCCGCCATCACCCACAGACAGCGACCCCGAGGACAACGCCCCGCTTATTGAGCGGTTCAAGGTTCTGCTCCCTAACAACATCAGTGTCAGGAACCTTAGTGAGGATGACCCGACGGCGTTGTTGATCCGTTCCCTCCAGACAGTGCATTCGGTCGAGGTCGAGGAGCAACGTATGAGGCATCGGCATCGCGAGGCTATGGTTCTGAATGATGGGAGCCGACCTGTCAACAGCGATGATATCATCCAGCGGCCGGATTCTCCCACGTGATTCCACCATGACCGAGAGAAAACGGGGATTATGGCAGGTCTGAAGCTGCATTTACAAAGCATATCTAATTGCGAGCAAGGTATGAGCCGGGACGCTCACGTCGATGGTCAATGCCGATGGGAACGCTTATACCGCAGTTCCGGGAACAAGGGGACCATCGCTAACTTCCCCGAGCTGTCATTGTCCCTCGCAACTTGAAGGCAATACGCTATTTGGCTTCGGTGGTCGATGGCCGTTCTCACAACGAGGAGCCCGATGGATCGCAAAGTCCGACTTGGGCACGCCCTGTCCAAGCCTACGATTACAGATCCAGGCCAAACCGTATCGTAAAGGAGCTTACAGAGGAGGGTTGGGCCGATCTGCAACAGGTTTCTATCAACCGTTGCGTGGACGAAGTTTCCCACATCCATAAACAATGCGTAGAAACGGAAGAGGCGATGGCTGGGTGATAGATACCTAGGTAGTTGAATTGCATGCGTTTATACCTACGGTACCTAAGGTAGGTGTCGTTGTGATCCATTGTGTCGTGGCTGTTTTTGGATCTGGAGCTTGTTGGAAGGTGCAATGCACACCTGGGGCACGGAATATAAAGGCAAAATATGGGCTCTGGCCGGGGCTCTGAACTTGACTCTGACAACCCACAACCATTCCACAAAATTCAAGCACTTCTTACCCACGGGTCTCTGCGGGTACTTCATTGGAAGTTGATAATCCTTGCACGTGCTTAAAAAGGAGGCACTGCACTAGGCTCGGCAGCCACTTGCGGCAACATTGCGGCAACAGCTAGAGGCAGACTTGAGAAAAACGATCGAACAGCAGCTTCGTCTCCTCTCGCACCGACCTCTCCTTTGACTTTCTTCAGCACTGCCAACCAGCCTTTGCCAGTATCGCCAAACACCAACCGAGGCCGAAGAGGTTGGATGCTGGGCTGCTCAACGACGCCGACGACCTGCTCTCTCGAGTTGATTGTTTGAATCAATGTTCTTACTCAAAGCTGCATCCATATGTTGGCCATTGTCATCAGGGAGAGCGGGGAGGCTATTTCTGGTCTTCATCGCGTGTGGAAATTCGATTTTAGCACACAGGAGCAGTTCGGATGCAGTCTCTACCACGGAGATCTCTTCCCTGATCCAAAAGGAGAGCTCGAAGGCCCTCAGGTGCAACGCCGCAAACTGCATTAACTAAAGGTGCTGTGCAGCACTGCAGAACGGTGGTCACAACCCCGGCATCCCCACGGTTATGCAGCAGAGGCCCCACAGCCTCGTGCCGGCGTTGCATCAACCGGCGCAGGGACATGGCTCCAAGATGTCCGGGCTAGGTCAGCTCCGCTGTGTTTGTTGGCACACGCTTTATTACTTAGGGACTAGCATTTGATGTTGGTAGTAAAGACAAAGGAATGTACTATTTGATGGAGGGACGCAAAGTGGAAGAAATCGGCATTGTGGTGAAAATACGCTTGATCAAGGCAAAGGAAATGACGAGTGCGCGCTGGTGCGGGCATCGCGGCACCGGCCCAGGGATGCATATCCCAGACGATGATCTCGTCCCAGGATTCCAGACCTCGTGAGATCGTGAGGCTACTCCGTACATGGAAAGGGAACGCAACTAGGAGTCCTTCATACTATGGAGACTCATCAGCATCTAAGTCAGGGCCAACAAGCGCTCGTCCAAGCTATATTTTCTGTCTGTTTTGTTTTCTGATCCGCCGGAGGTAGGAGAGACGGCAACACCAGAGGCCCACACAATTGCAGAATGAACGGGACCCTGGTCGGGTGTCAACGTCGTCGTCTCTTGCCGCTGAGTGGCCACTACAGAGGTTACCGGCAAAAGTTTTCAAAGTGGGCCAGGTACCGGCAAGGGTCACACACCAACCCCTGAATGTACCAACGCGTCGCGCAGCCTTCAGAAAGGGATATACATTCCATTGGCATCAATGATAGCCTGTTGCCGTATAGGCATTGTATCTACACACTCTCTAAGAAATTCCTCAGGGATTGCTTCCCATACAGTATTTACTGCTTCCCGTAATTGGTCAGACGATATCTTCGCTAGGTAGCTAACTGCAATATAATCCTTCATCCAGTTCCATGCGTTCTCGATCGGATTTAGATCAGGGCTAAAGGGGGGATGGGTATAAACAGAGATCCCCTAAGCTATCAGCTCTTCGCAAGTGACTTAAGCAGTATAAGGAGAGGCATTGTCATATATAAATACCTGGCCTAGATGAAGCCGAAATCACCTATCAATAAGGGGGACAACTCTCTCTAAGTACCTCTCCCCAGTTATCGACCCCTATTCTTTCTCCTAGAAAAGAGCAGGCCCTTTGCCATATTTCACTAAGTATGAGCCCTAGAACATCCATCCCTTTGGCCGTTATTTACGCTCAACGATGCAAGTCGGGTCGTATACCTCGTTTTGACGGCGTGTAACCCAGACCTTTCGATAGGCGCCTGCCGTTACCCAGGTCTCGTCGGTCCAAAGGATTTCGTAGTATCGCTCGAGAGGCTAGTGGACATGCTCCAGAGCATTGTCAAGGCGGAGTTATCGGTTCTTCTCGGTAATCGGAGGCTTTCGATATACAACATAGCATTTAAAGCTAGCGTTGCAAAGGGCGTAGCGGATAGCGTACTTTGAATAGTCTTAGCTAAGAGCAAGAGGGATCTTCGAGTAAGGTATTCGACGAGAGGCTTTCGAGGAGGTAATAAAGGCGATCAGCTCTTTAACTTGTTCAGGGTTGAGAAGACCAGGGCGACCAGAGCGCTTCTTTGGTGTGATATTTGGAGCGCGGCAAGCATGTCCAACTTGGTTGTAGGTAAGGCCAAGTTGTGCAACGATCTGCTCGTATGTAAGGCCAAGATTGCGGAGGGTTTGAACTTGAAGACGCTCATCGCGAGTGAGATCAGGGTTCTTGAAACGCTGGCTAGGTGGTGTAGAGGGGCGCTCTAAAGCCATTGCAAAGGTGGTGGGTTATGTTGATGTTTTCTGATGGTTGCGCGCGACGCGTTGGTACATTCAGGGCGTGGTGTGTGACCCTTGCCGGTACCTGGCCCACTTTGAAAACTTTTGCCGGTAACCTCTGTAGGAGATGCATGAGAAACACTGGGTGAATAACAACAACATACACACAGTAAAGCCATTGGTCTTCTGCTTCGATGTTTCCCAGCCATTCGCGCCTGCCGGTCGGCCGTCTTCGCTGCCCTCTGCTGTCCACTCATTATTCATTATTCGCAACTCCATCTTGCTACGGTTACCCTTGTCATTTCCCAGAGGTGATGTTTGTTTCCCCCTTTCTTCCACCGTAGCTGGGTACCTAGGTACAGAGCATTCAATTACCCCGCCGATCCCATTCTCACATCGCCTTCAGCTTTCTTATTTCCAACACCCTACTCAACATCACGGACTAAATAATTACGGAAGCAGGCCCCCTGAAACCTCAGACCAACTAGACTGAACATCCTAAGAAACAAAGCAGGCACCTGTTTCTCGGAGCTTTATTCCGCTTGGTTGTTTTCATAATTGGCATTGGGCAACGCAGAGGCCGGGTTTGAAACAGGCCACAGGCGAAACAGCCATAACCGCTTTCTGGTCGCCCAAACCGAGTGGACTTCTTCTATCCGTCTTTCGTTGGGCTGCCCCGAAGGTCTTACACTAGGTGCCCGCGCCCAGCGGTGAGCCGAGGTGGCGCTCCCGTCGCTCCCGTCTTTAGCGGGCCCCAGCTTCGGCTTCCCCCAACCCCAAAGAACCTGAAAGAAGTGGGGTGAAGGTAGGTAAACAATTAAAGCCGTCGCCAGGGCGCTTGCCGCCACAACTTGTTGACCCAACATGTCCACCACTACCTCAACATCAACATACAACACTACAACACGACACACCCTGGCAAGACGACCCGGTCGAAGCGGCATCGCGACAGCGTCGACCCCGAATTTGAACCAGCTCTATACAGCGCAGTCATCGCGTTTGGCTGCCCCGGCGCTCTCGCGCAAGGGGTCAGTCGCTGCGCTCACGCAGAACTCGTTGGCGGCAATCCCCGATGATTCGGAAGGCTACGCATACAACTCAGTCCTGACCAGCGACACCATGCCGCCGCCACTCACGCCGGGCCGCCTCGGCGGCAACGACGAGATTACCGTCGGCGATACGGTTGAGGTCCCTGGAAGCATGACGGGCACCGTCCGCTTCATCGGCCCTGTCGCCGGGCGCAAGGGCACCTTTGCTGGTGTCGAGCTGCATCCCGATTATGCGCCCAGAGGGAAGAACAGCGGTGACGTTGACGGGTAAGCTGTTCTCGGTGTTCCGCCAGTTTTGCAGCAATTGCGGCAACGAACAGATGCAGAAGGCGGTGGTGCTAATCTGGGTCACCTTGCATGCAGTGTTTATTACTTCACCACAACACAGCCGGGCGCCGGCATCTTCCTGCCTTTATCCAAGGCCATCAAGCGCGACTCGCCCCCGATGTCCGGGAAGTCGTTCCCGCACACGCCGGCAAGCGGCGGACTGAAGGTCGCAAGCCAAAACTCAATAAACTTCACACCGCCTACTCCAGGGGTACCCAAACTCAGCCAGTCCGTCGGCCCGAGCCGGGCCTCGAGTCCGCTTGGCAAGAAGACGCGGCCGTCCCTCCCACGTCCAGAATCGCCCGTAAGGAGGCTCATGACGCCCGGCCCACGTCCGACCATCCCGAGCCCAGCGGTGCCTGCCAGGTTTGGCAGCCCGACGTCGAGCAACAAGTTTGCTCAGAGCGTTCGAGGAACAGCGGGCGATCCCAGCAAGCGAATACCGAGCCACGTGCGGAAAGGGAGTGTTGGTGTCGGCCCGCGCAGTGTCTCTGCGCTGGGAACGACCTCACACCCGAACTTCATGGAAGATGAAGTACCCCCCATGGTGGGTGTGCAGAGAACACAGACGAATGGCAGTAACGGTTCCTTTTCGCTTAAGGTGCGGCCGGCGTCGCGGGCGGCATCCCGAGTTGGTAACCATGCGCAGGACGAAGAGCTTGAGAGGTTGAGAGCCGAACTGGAGGAGCGCGATCGTCAACTCAAAGAACAAGCCGCGACACTCGCCGAGATGGAGAGCAGCCTGACAGAGCTCCAGGGGCTGATCGAGAACTCGGAGGGACCGCCGTTGCAGCGGCGCGATAGCATCGACGACAAAGACTCGGCGCAGCTTCGGGCCCTCGTAAGGGAGAAGAACGATAAGATCGCCATGCTCACAGCCGAGTTCGATGCGCACCGAGCGGATTTCCGGAGCACTATTGATACGCTGGAAATGGCGAGCGCGGAAACGGAGAGGGTGTACGAGAAGAGGATTGAGGAACTGATGCAAGAGATTCAGGAGCTGCAGGACAGAACCTCGGATGTCGACACAATTGCAGCCCAGCTAAAGCAACTCGAGGAACTGGTGCAGGAACTCGAAGAGGGGCTCGAGGATGCCAGGAGAGGCGAGGCTGAGGCACGCGGCGAGGTGGAGTTCTTGCGAGGGGAAGTGGAAAGGACCCGAACCGAGCTCCGCCGTGAACGGGAGAAGGCGCAATCGGCTATGAACGGCGTCAACGGCGGCGCCGTGTCGAAGGAGTTAGAGCAGAAGGAGGATGAGATTCGGGGGCTCAAAGCCATCATTCACTCGCTCAGCAGAGACTCGGTGCCGAAGGATAACTCGGATGGGAATCCCTCCCAGAGACCATCATCCTTCCGCCCCGGCCCGGGCGAGTCCATCGAAGAGCACCTCACCCGCGAGAAACTTGACCGTGAAGTCGCCGAGCTCCGGGCCCTACTGGAGAGCAAGACTGCGCGCGAGGAGGAGCTCGAGCGCGAGCTGGAGGCGCTGCGTAGGGGAAGCGTCATGACCGCTCTTGGACGGGGAGCCCGCGCGAGCTCGTTGACAATCAGCGGGGTCGACAACGAGCGGAGCTCGATCCGAGACTCGCGCGGAACGGTGATCGCGCCGCCGAGCACCGGCAACCCTGAGTCGCAACCACAGCACAAGGGACTCGCCGCGCACAAGCACAACAACCGCGGCCACACGCTGGACACGATGCACGAGAGTGATACCTACAGTTCGGCAACGGAGAACAGCACATTGTGGTGCGAGATTTGCGAGACATCCGGGCATGACATTCTCACCTGCACGAATGTGTTCGGTTTGGACCACCAGCAGCCGAACGGGGACGCCGCTGCCACGGGGAGGAGCAACGGTGTGCAGGCAGAAGCCGAGAGTGAGGACGAGGCGCCGGGAATCAAACCCGCGCCGCTGTCTCCGCTGAAGACTGCCAAACCACCTCTCGCCACCACCACCACCACCACCGAGACTACTACCCCCTCACCGGCTACGGCACCGGCCCTCGCGCCGAACCTGATGGATTCGGGCCCAGTGGCGGGCAAGGAGAGCGGTACGGTGGACGCGGGCAAGTGGTGCGCCATATGCGAGAGGGACGGCCACGATAGCCTGGACTGCCCCTTTGAGAACGCGTTCTAGGGGTCGGCTTGCTCTTCTTGCAAGGGGCCCAGTTCATGTTCTTGCTGTTAGCTTACCTCTCTTGGTTTTTTTTTTTCGGGTCATTGGGCTTCTTTCAATGGGTTATTGTTGTGTCTAGCAGGGGTATTGTTATCTTTGTAATGCCAGCGCGAACTATGTACACGTTATGTACACTGTACAGGTACATACATACAAACAACCCTGCTTGGTTGGGGTGTCGTGTCTCATTCCAGTTTTTGTCCATCGTTCCTAGGTGTTCATCGCCGGAAGCTACCGCAGAAGAGACACCGCCGAGACGAGCGCCTGACCCTGTCATTCAACATTGGTTCCAATATTAGGGGGCACGCTTTCAACCACTGCCGCTCGCCATCCGGCATCGATTCGATTGCCCGTCAAGCCTGCGCAACGACAGACACGACAACACTGTACCACAGCTTGCGCTTCCTCTCGTCGGCGCTCTGCGTCCACTCCTCCTCAACCTCGGCATACGCATCCCACCACAGCTTGTGCGTCGACTCCACCGCATCGCTGCCGTCGTATGTCCTGCTCTGCCAGGGCTTGTTGAGGATGTAATGCAGGATTTTGACGTCCTTGTCCCGCCAGAGGTCGCAGTGGCAGGCCCGCATCGGCTTGAGCGCGTTGTACACGTACGGCAGCGGCGTCCACCTATTGCGGTACACGATGGCCAGCAGGTCCTGGTCGAAGAACAGCATGTCGGGCACGTCTGGGTGTGTGTTGAGTGTGTGGATCAGCGCGTCGTAGCCTTCCTTCGACGGCTGTAAGACTACGGTGCCGCTGTTGAGCAGGTGGTGGTTCCCCGGGCTGGAATCGGTGATGGGTCGTGGGTTGCCGGTGGTCTTGTCGGCGGCTGTGAAGGCGCAGTTCTCGGGGATCCTGGCAGTGATAATAACTCTTGGGTTAGAAGTCGCTCTTCCTCCTTCCCCGTTTTCCCCTTCCTCCTACTCGTCCTCCTCCTCTCGCGCGGATGGCAACACAACACAACACGCGGGCTTACCAATCCTTGGGATAATGCGCGAGTTTGCGCGGATTGCAAGTGCACGCATGGCTCGCCGCGATGAAGCCCTCGGGGAGAGGAAGGGTCATCAGGTCGTCGATGTTCTGGAGGATGATCTGGTCGCTGTCCAGCAGCACGATTCGCTAGGTATTTACACAGAAGTTCTGGTCAGTCATGTTGCCATTGCAGGCTATCACAGCGAAAGCAAGTTCCTATCAGCAAGCGGGCAAAACCAAACCTCATACTCGGTCCATCCCCAGGGCGCAAGCTTCTCCCAGGTACCCTTCCTGCTGACCCTGCCGTCTGCCCTGGGCCCGGGCTCCAGCTTGTCGACGACGATGGTTGGAATACCAGCAGCTGCCAGGACATTCATCAACTCCTTATCCGCCTCGGCATCGCGGGTCACCGTGATTTTGAGTTGATATCGGGATCCTGTCTTGCGCAGGGTGTGGGCGAGCACCAGTGCCCCGGCCAGATAGGCTCTGTTGGAGAGCAGCGTGGTCCAGATCTTGGTGGGCTCGTAGCCCACATCCGCAGCCATCGTGAGACCGTCGTTTATTAGGGACAAATGGTAAACAACAGTACCTTACGGACTCCGTGGTGGAAGGAACAAAGGGCAAAAATCTCGCATTTCTAATCCGAGTCCTGCACGGGTTCCGCTGTAAAAGACCAGCTACCCGAGCGCTAGGGCCATTTTCGGAATCCTCGTTGAGTTTGGGGAACAGTTGAGAAAATATAGTCATTGTGTGGCGTTCAACCACTTCGATGAGCCCTTCACCTAATTTACGATTACCCCCTGAATACCATTGGTTCCTTTCGGAGCATGGACAACGGCACTGGACTTCAGGTTTGGATTACTGTTGCTGACAAGTTGTGATGGCTCATGAGTTTATTCTTGTGGCCCGGTATCGTATTCCATGTGGTTGAGCAGCTCCCGTCTGTGGAGATGTCGGCAACCCTGGACCCTGGTTAGAGCACGTAGAGTCACGCCTCTCGCCGTCGACATGTGTCTCTATTGTTCTCTTCCCCTCGGCCTTATAACGTTAACTTGCCGCTATGCTCTTGTGTCTCCCGACATTCACAACTCCTACTAGCGGGCCTCTCAGAATCCCACACTACACAGAGCTCCATGCGCGGAAAGCTCGGGAAGAACGTCACGGCATTGAGAGCTGAAGAAGTTTGCCCCACTACCGGGCTCGGCGGAGCCACGGAGGCGGAGGGTTCCATGCGCCGCCATGCGGACGGGATATGGAGCTGCCCCACCATAACGTTACTACCCTGTCGCCTACCGTTGCACAGCAGCGCATTCAGTGCGGCGTCTTGGCGATCAGGGCCAGCTCACTACTTCAACAATCCTTCAGTCAGAGGACGCTGGCAAAGATACTGCGCAAGACGCCTGTTCCCAACCAAAGCGCCCCTCCCTCGATTTCTGTGTCTGTATGACGCCTGGTGTGGTCCATTTGCTTCGGATACCGGAATCAATTGTCTTGCGGTCGTAAAACCACTGGTTGCGAAGGGAGGTTCCTGAACCGCGAAAGGCGGCTGAACTGGGTCCAGTGTCGTTGATGCGGACCAAGAGGAACGGCCATTCCAATCCGACCTTCAATCGACAACCCAAGCAACACAGCGCACCATGGCGCAAGTACTATTTGACCTGCTCTCCTCCTTCGGGAGCTGCCTGAACTGTTTCCCCAGCTCGCCGACGCTCAAGATCAACAACCGCAGCTTCAAGATCCTGCGCCTGCTGGGCGAGGTACGGCTAAAGCTAGGAGAACCGGTCTACAAAGTGTCCCTTGCGCTAACGTAGGAATATTCCCCAGGGCGGCTTCTCCTACGTCTACCTCGTCCAGGACACGTCCACCTCGGAGCTCTTCGCGCTCAAGAAGATCCGTTGCCCGTTCGGGGCCGAGTCGGTCGCGCAGGCCATGAAGGAGGTGGAGGCGTACAAGCTGTTCGCGCACAGCCCCGGCGTGATCCACAGCGTCGACTACGCCATTGCCACTGAGCGCGGCGGCGGCGAGCAGACCAAGACGGTCTACGTGCTGCTGCCCTACTACCGCCGCGGGAACCTGCAGGACATGATCAACGCCAACCTGGTCAACCACACCAAGTTCCCCGAGAAGAGGCTTATGCTGCTGTTCCTCGGGGTGTGCAGGGCGCTGAAGGACATGCATCAGTACAGAGGCCCGGCTGCCGGCAGGTCCGGGGAGAGGATGGAGATGAGGGTGGACGGGGTGGATGAGAACGTGAGGGCGGCGAAGGGGCGGAACGGCGCGGACGAGGACGATGAGACGGAGCAGCAGCGGCCGTTGATGACCGAGGACGAGAGGCTACCGGCTGCGGCGCCGGGGTCGATGAGGAGTTATGCGCATCGGGATATCAAGCCGGGTGAGGCCCTTCTTCTTTCACATCTCTCAAACCTTCCTACCATCATCAGGCGGACATACTGACGACTGAGTCCCCAGCGAACATCATGATCTCGGACTCGGGCACGGACCCAATCATAATGGACCTCGGCTCCATCGCCGTGTCCCCGCTGCCCATCACCAGCCGGTCCCTGGCCATCGCCACGCAGGACACGGCCGCCGAGCACAGCACCATGCCGTACCGCGCGCCCGAGCTGTTCGACGTCAAGACGGGCACCGTCATCGACACCAAGGTCGACATCTGGTCGCTCGGCTGCACGCTGTACGCTTGCCTCGTCGGCAAGTCGCCGTTCGAGATGCGTAGCGACGAGACCGGCGGGTCGCTGAGCATCTGTGTGCTCTCGGGCGACTGGCGGTTTCCGGACGAGGGGCCCGGCGGCAAGCAGAAGGCCAAGGCCAAGGCGCCCGCTACTTCTGCTGCTGCTGCTGCTTCTGGCGGGGGATCGAACGGGGCTGCGGGGTTGAATGATGGGCCGATAAGTGAGCCTATCCGGGAGGTGGTTCGGAGGTGTCTGAAGGTGGAGCCGAGTGAGCGGCCGGATATCGACGAGCTGATTGACATTGTCGAGCGGGTGGTGGATGAGTTGCCTGAGGATGGGGCAGCTTGAGCGTGGAAGGGCGGGGGTTTGGGAATGTGCATGTGTGGTGGCATAACTGGATTTTATGCGGGTTCCAAATCTAGGTTGGCGTTGGACGGCGGTCAAGATGGCATCAATTGTTTGGGTGGACTTTTCTTCTTGTATCATGTTTCGGTGGGGGTGGTCAACAGCTCAATAGTATATATACCTTGTGCCTGGCTCTCGGGGCAAGCAGGCCTCTGTTCGCCGACGAAGTCCATTATCAACGGGGGTTTTCTTTTTTGACACAGTCTTGCGGTGTGGTATAAACGAAGCGCTTCCGAGCTTCGCCGGACGAGTAGCAAGTCATCGGAAGAGGGGTCAGGGGTGATACATGCCACTAAATTAGATCGATTGATTCTATTTCCGCATTGTAGCACGGCCAGCCGCCGTCGTTCCGAAGCCGCCAGCTGGCCCGCATATCGTGTCCTGTAGAGAGATTTATGCAAGATCGTACATCTAAGATACCGTCTAGTTACCGTGGGACCATGCCATCAAACACACTGATACGCCAAACCAATCTATCTGCTGCTGATATCAGTTCAGCACCGGTCCAGAAGCGGCCTTGCCCGCAGCCTCCGCAGCCGCATTGGCCGCATCCGCCCTCGACACACACTCCTCCAAGACCTTCCAAAACAGCGGGATGTCCAAGCTGCGCGGTATCCTCACGCCCTCCTCGCCGGGCGGGAGCAGTCGTGCGGTGATCTGGCCGGTCCGGGCTCCCGCGCGGGCGTCCTCGTAGGTGCCCTCCGTGGCCACAGTCACCTCATAGCGCTCCCGCTGCGCCAGCCCCGGCTCTTCCGCCGGGTCGCTGTCGCAGAAGGGGATCTCGTGCTTGTCCCCCACGCCCGTCAGGACGGCGGCCACCGCCAGGGGGTCATGCAGCGGCGGGCCTTCGGTGATGCCAAATACATCGCTGCCGTGCTCATCATCGAGTTGCCTTTGCGTTAGCCCCTTTGCTCTCTCTTTCTTTCTTTCTAAAGCCACCCGCAAAAGGAAAAGGCCTTCCGAAGGGGGGAAGCTGAAGGAGAGAGAGAAAAAAAGGACGAACTCACCTATAAGTCATTGCAAAAAACATCAACAGCTCCACCAACATCGTCCTCAACCTGGTGGTCTTCCCCTTCCCCCTTTCCCCCCTTTCCCCCTTCTCGACCTCCTCCCGCCCATAGAGGATTAAATCCCGCACCTCGGCCGTCGTCAGCACCAAATGGCTGACATCCAGCGGAATGAGCGTCGTCTTCCTCGCCAGCTCGCGGTTCCCAAAGATGAACGCCGCCGCCTCCGGGTCCGCCAGCACGTTGAACTCGGCGTACTGCGTCCAGTTGCCGACGCGGGCCACGCCGTCCACGGTGCCCAGCACCGCGGGCGTGAACCCGCCGCCCACGGCCCCGCCCATCAGCGATAGACCCGCCACGTGGGGGATGAGGTCCGGGTACTTGAGGAAGAGGGTGGCGGCGTTGGTGAAGGCGCCCGTGGCGACCACCCATGCTGTTTTGGGCGGGCAGGCTTTGAGGGCCGCATAGGCGGCGTCGACGGCCGGGATGGAGGTGATGGGTTGTGCGGTCGGGGACGAGGGCAGGAGCGAGGTGCCGTCCAGGCCGGAGTCGCCGTGGATGTCGGTGGGCGCGTGCATGGGCGGGCGGAAGAGCGCCTTGGAGGCGCCGACGTAGACCGGGACCGCGTCGGCTTTGCCTATGGCCGTGAGGATGGAAGTTGCGTTGCGCGTTGTTTTTCTTGGGAGGCTTTTTTTTAGCAGTGAGGTGATAAGGGGGGAAGGAAAGAGAAAAGAGGAAAAGGAGAAGGAAAGGGGAGGTTTGATTTACTCCAGGGAGGCATTGCCGAAGACAGTGGACACGCCCAGGATGCGGATTGCCGGGTGGTAGGCGGCCAGGAGGATGGCGAAGGTGTCCTGTGGAGGTGGGGAGGTTGGTGAGCTTGGGTGCTAAATTAGGTTGATAATAAACGCGGGAAGTGAAATCGGGGGTAGGCCGGGCGGATGGTGTCCTGAGATCCGGGGCGTCACCCGGTCCCCGGTCCCCGCGCTTCTGCCCCCGCCCCGGGGTTCGGCTGTCTCGGGCGTGACCAGTGGGCCATCCGGCGTCGGCGCCCGGGCCCTCCGACTCACGACGGAAGCGCCCTGAACAGGCAGTCACCGCTTCGGATCGATCACTTACATCGTGGCCTGGATCGCAGTCGAGCCAGACCGGGATCCGTGTGTCCTCCATCTGGAACCGCTTTCTGAAAGGGATGAGGGTAACGAGTTCTTCGCTGTCTCGTAAGTAATAAAGTAATAATAAGTGAGACTCGAGGTCAATTGTGTTGCTCCAAGATAGTAATGTCGAACTGATGAGAGAGCAAGTCTGTAATTAACAAACTCGGTGAGTTGAGATCTTAGTTGAAGATCAAGCGTGTCCTTTCGGCAATCAGCGGGAAACTTGTTTTAGTAGGGTCCACTGAAGGCCGATCCCATGAATCCATTGAAAGTAGGAGATTTCGCCCAATTAGGCAGTTCAGTCAATGAACCCATCTTTCTACGGAGTTTCAAGGATGCGTTGATGTTCACTCTTTCACCACTTTTTGTGTGTTTATATTTCGTGAGCGAAGGTAATCATCCGCCGCTCTTCTGCCTCTGCATCGCCTTCATGACATCCTCAAAGCTGTTCTTGTCCCCCTTCTTCTTCTTCCCGCCCCTCTTCCGCTTTGCCTTCCCGCCGCCGCCTCCTTTCCCATCATCATCGTCGTCGTCATCGCCCCAGGCAGACAGCTTGACCTTAGTCTCCTCCATGTCTGCCTCGTCCTCCAATCGGCTGGACCCAAAGCCCATGTCCATGTCCTCCTCGTCTCGGTGCAGCTCATTTAGCTTCTTCTTGAGCCGCTCTTCCCGCTCCGCCGCCTTCCGTTCCTCCTCTGACTTCTCTAACGCGCTGGTCGCCTTGGCTTTCTTGAGCGCTGCCAGGAAGGCAGGGTCGTCTAGTGAGGGGGCCTTGTACGTTTCCTCTGATGTGAGACCCGTCTTGGAATCTTTGAAGTAATTCCTTGCCGCGGTGACGTCTGGCTTCGGTGGTGGAGGCATTTCCGCTGTTGTTGTCTCCTTGGATCCCTCCTTAGCCTCGCCCTCCTCGTCGGAGTCTTCGTCCGACCCTTCTAGATCGGCCAGGGGGTCGTAATCTGAGCCGGCATCATCGAAGATGGCTATCTCCTTGCTGTCCTCCTCGGCTTGCTGTGCCTCTAGCTGCTTCCTGTAGAACTCGGGTACTTCCATACCGAGGACGGTACCCGATGCCAAGGCCTCCCTCTCCCTTTCCTTCTCCAGGTCCTCCACCGCCTTGGGATCGAGTTTCCGGACTTTGCGCCTTTCGTGCCCGTCTTCGTCGACAATGATCATGACCTCGCGGCCTGTACCGTCCCTCTCTATCCTCGTACCCGGTGTCTTCTTCTCGCCAATCTTCTTGAACTTCGAACCGAGGCTCGACTCCTCCTTGGCCTTGGCCGCTGCCCTGGCAGCTTTCCATTCGGCCAGAATCTGGTTCCGCGTCCTCTTCTGCCCCGGATTGAGTGCCGCAGTGGCGAACTGGCCCTTCTTTTGCACCTTTTCCCTCTCGACCGCCCTGACTTCGGTGGACTCGAGCTGTTCTAGGATGTCATCCGGATCCTCTTCTGGCGCACCTCGCTGTTCCTCCTCGGCCGGCTCAGGCGACTTCGACTTTTTGCCATACACGTCCTCTCCCCTTCGTATCCTCTCCAACAGCTTGAAGTCCAGCCCCTTCACCAGGTGGGTGCTGGACAGATCGCCGCCCGCGATCTCGAGCTGCAGCCGCTCGTATGTCTCGCGGTCGATCTCCTCCTTCTTGAATGATTCCTCCAGAGCCTTCAGTCGCTCCGCGCGCTCGTCCGCCTCCTGCTCCTGTCGCGTCTTGGCGCGGTCCACGTACCCCTGGGCGAACTTGCTGCCCTTGGGCGCCGAGGTCCTGAACTTCTTTTGTGTCTTTTCGAACGCTTGATTTCGCTCGGCGAGCTGTCGCGCAAAGTCTACGCGCGCACCGCCGGCGACGGAGCGAGGGGTCATGGGAATGCTCGATCGGAGCTTGGATCCCAGGGCGACGGGCGCGCTCGACGCGGGGCGGGAAGTCGTAGGAGAGCTGCCATTTTCGTCCGGGCTTGGCTTGGCCGCGTTTGCGAGTAGTAATCGGCGAAATTGCTCGTTATTCATGGCGGCGGCAGGTTGCGGGGCCACAGCTCGGAGTTTTGAGATCCAGGACTTGAGCTCGAGGACTGAGTTCACTTGGGGCGAAGTGACAAGGGTACACTAAATAAGTGACCAGGGTTCAGGTTGTAGGTAAGGTACTGTACGAGAAAGTGGGCCACTTTAACCCCAGTAAGTTCCAGGTGTACTAGTAGTACCGGGACAGGTGATTTCGCGCCCCACACTGTGGGCGCGTTTCCGACACGTCCGGCGCAGCTTTGACATCTTGCCACCAGAAGGGCCCCGAAGTGCTGGTGCAGGTTATTATCTGACGAATTATGGCAAACTTATCCAATACACCCTTTTTATCCCGTATTCCATTATTAAAGTTCACTAGTTACACCTCCGATGAATGAAGGCGTCGGGAAAACGCGGTTCGAAAACTACCGGATGATGTCACTTTCGCATTCGCCCGTATCGAGTCGTCCACCATGGGCAGTCGACTGGAAAAGAACTCGGCAGCCGTGCGGAAACGCATAGCGAGCCATGAGTTCACCGATGAAGGCGGGGAAGAGTACGAGGCGAGCGAGTTTGACGGCTTCGGTGACTATTTCCGGAGGAAGAAACTCAAACTGCAGAACCTCGACGCCGAGTTGCGCGCATCCAGCAAAGACAAGCCGCAGATCTTCAAGGGCATCGTGGCGCACGTCACGGGCTATACCCAACCGCCGCTTCATATGTAAGAGTCCCTTTCTTCCGCAGTTGCCGGGTTCTATGCATTAATCCCCCGAGCAGCCTTCACAAGGAACTTGTCGAGCATGGCGCCGGTTTTCTGCAGTACCTCGACGGCAAGACCATGGCGACCCACATCATCGCCTCGGCCATGCCCCCCAAGAAGACGGTCGACTTCGCCAAGTACCGCGTCGTCAAGCCCGCCTGGGTGATGGACTCGATCCAGGCTGGGAGGTTGCTACCGTGGGCCGACTACCGCGTCATTGACGACGGCCCGAGGCAAAAGACCATCAAGTTGGACGGAGGGAAGCTGTTGAACCAGGCGACCCAACAATCCCCTGCCGGATACCGCGAGCAGACCCAGAATAGCTTCTACATGAGTCAGTTCCAGAAGCCGACCGACCGCCTGGGATCCCAAGGTTCTAGCAGCCCGTTCCAACCGCCGTCTGCCCGGAAGAGTGCTCTAGCTGAGCTCGAGACCATCGATGACTTTGATGAGATGGATGTGGATATGCCGGTTGATGCTGCAACTAGAAAAGAGTTGCAGAGCGGCGACAGCGCCACGAGCGATCCTCTCTCCAACCCGCAGGGGAAACAGCATGAGGCTGAGGAGCATGGGCCTAAGCAAGAGATGGACACTCCAAAGCAGCCACCCACCGGGAGAGCCATGACCTCGGAGGAGCACAACGCCATGCTCCTCCAGGACCCCAAGATCCGAAAGTCATCCACCGCCAACCCAGATTTCCTGAAGCAGTACTATTCCGAGAGCCGGCTGCACCATCTGTCCACCTGGAAAGCCGAGCTCAAGTCGCGGCTGATGCGCATGACTGCGGAGAAGGCCCCGACGGCAAAGAACAATAAGCGGAAAAGCGGGTCGCGCCGCTACATCATGCACGTCGACTTCGACAGCTTCTTCTGCGCCGTCTCGCTGAAGCGCCATGCCCCCGAGTGCCGCGACAAGCCTGCCGTGGTGGCCCACAGCACGGGCAGCGGGTCCGAGATCGCGTCGTGCAACTATCCCGCCCGCGCGTTCGGCGTCAAGAACGGCATGTGGATGAAACGCGCTCAGGAGCTCTGCCCGAACCTCAAGGTCGTGCCGTATGACTTTCCGGCTTACGAAGAAGCGAGCCGGCTGTTCTACGGTGCTATCCTGGATGTCGGAGGCGTCGTGCAGAGCGTCAGCATCGACGAGGCTCTTGTCGACATCACCGACATCGTGCTATCTGCCGCCGGTTCCACTGGCGTAGGTGTCAGTGAAGGCAGCCTCTGGAGAGAGCAGGGGAAGGCGGATGAGATCGCATCCAACCTTCGCGCCGAGGTCAAGAAGAAGACCGACTGCCATGTTTCGGTCGGCATCGGTGGGAACATCCTCCTGGCCAAGATCGCCCTGCGCAAGGCAAAGCCCGCCGGCCAGTATCAGATCAGACCGGAGGAGGTTCTGGACATACTCAGCGATCTCAAGGTCGAGGATCTCCCTGGCGTGGCATATAGCATCGGCGGCAAGCTGGAGGAGATTGGCGTCAAGTTTGTAAAAGACCTGCGCGAGACATCCAAGGAGCGTCTAGTATCGGTCCTGGGTTCCAAGACGGGCGAGAAGTTGTGGGAGTACGCTCGTGGGATCGACCGCGCCGAGGTCGGAGAGCAGCCCGCTCGCAAGTCCGTCTCGGCTGATGTGAACTGGGGCATCCGGTTTGTGAACCAGGAGGAAGCCGAGGAGTTTGTCCGGAACCTGTGCAGGGAGCTGGAGCGCCGACTTCTGAACGAAGGCGTCAGGGGCAGGAGCCTAACCATGAAGATCATGCGCCGCGCGCTGGATGCGCCCCTGGATCCGGCCAAGCATCTGGGCCACGGCAAGTGCGACACGTTTACCAAGAGCATGGCTTTTGGCGTGGCCACCAACGACGGCGAGGTTATTGGGAAGGAGGCGGTCGCAATTCTGCGTTCTTACAAGTTCAGCCCCGGAGACCTCAGGGGTTTAGGCGTCCAGATGACCAAGCTGGAGCCGATCAAGCCGTCTGCTGCCCCTGAAAGGAGCCAGAAAAAGCTCAGCTTTGGCAGCGCAGCCTCCGCAGCGAAAAAGGAGAAGACGGAGCAGATCGACGATTCCATGGACGCAAGGAAGTCCAGTCGCGCATCTGGGCGGGAGGTCGAAGAAGACCCGATAACGGTAGACCCGTTAACGCCCAGGAAACCTAAGATGCATCCGGCGCTGGCCCTTGCCAGGGCTAACGCTGCCGACGAAAAGGCCAACTCGCCGCTGAACATCGCCGGAACCCAGTTCATCATCCCATCAAACCCAGACCCTGCAGTTCTCGCCGAGCTTCCCCGGGACATCCGCAGCAGACTGGCGAACCAAGCCAAGCAGGCTCCGGCCGCCCCCTCTCGCGAAGCTTCCCCAGCGATCAAGTCTCGCTCCCACAGCCCGGCCCACACGGACGATATTCCGTCTGACGTCGACCCAGAAGTATTCAATGCGCTCCCTGAGGAAATGAAAGCCGAGGTGCTCGCCTCCTACGGCCGCAGAAGGCGTCAGCCCGGCGGAGCCCAGCAACAGACCGTCCTCCCGCAGTCGCCCCGCAAAGACAGGGTGATCAACCGGCCCAGGGACAAAACGACACCCACCATGCGAGCCGGGATCAGAAGCCTCTTCAACCGCGTGGGCGAGCGCGAACGGCAGCACGATGCAGGCGCCGGTCTTATGCAGACCAGCTTCGCCCCGTTGCCGAGAGCCGCCGCCGCCGACCAACAACAACAACACGAACAACAACAACAACAACAACAACAACAACAACAACAACAACAACAGCAAGACAACAATAACACAGATACGATGATAGGCGACCTCGACCCAGCCTTCCTCGCCGAGCTGCCCGAGGACATGCGGCGCGAGGTGGTCGAGGACCATCGCCGCCGCCGCCTCGCGCAGCGCTCCGGGCTGAGCTACCACGTCCCGGCGCGGTGTCGTCAGGAGAAGGAGGGAGGGGAGGTAGCCATCCTCCACGGCGGGCAGACGCTGCTTAAGTTCCCCGCGAAACCGCCGAAGGCAGTCTTCACGCAGTCCGGACTAACAAGCCTCACGGAGATCAAGGAGATGGTCGGGGTGTGGCACGCCGCGACGCAGGAGGAAGGCCCCCACCGGGCGGACGTACAGGTTTTTGAGCAGTACGTGGGCCGGGTGGTGACGGAGGAGCGGGATATGGAGAAAGCGCGGGTGCTGGTGAAGTGGCTGGCGTGGATGGTGGAGGAGGAAGGGGTGGACGGGGCCGGGAAGGCGTCGTGGAGGGAGGCGGTGCGGGCTGTGACGGCGGCTGTCCAGGAGGCGGTGAAGGAACGCGGGTTGGGGCCTATGGATCTTGGGTAAGGCACCTAATACTAACAAGGTCTGTAGGATATGGCAGTGGAATAAGTGCGTGCTCTGTTAGTACCTAGGTAGGAAAGGTGAACAGAACTGAATGGGTCGGGTTTGAGACTTGAATGTGCGAGAGGTACGCTGCTGAAGGGTATAAGGTATATTTCTCCGCTGGAACCCACGCCAAATAGGTATCTAAAGTTCTATCCGAAACGCTCCCCGTTAGAATGTAGCAATATCCCCACCATGGGCTATCATCGTGTGGATGATTATACCAATAATGCAAGAGACACTGCGCCAAAGGCAACCAGCCCAGCAGCCCATGCGACCCGGGCAGCGGCCGCAGAACCCGCCATGTAAACCTAGGTCTGGTGTTAGCAACTGGTCGTTGGCTGTGTGAGTAAACCAAAGGAAGAAGACAAAACTCACCGTCAGCTTCAGATTCCCGCCGCACGCCTGCGTCTTGTTGCCCTCGCAGGGAAGATCGCACGCGCTGTCGGGGAACTTGTCCGACAGCGTCGAGATCTCCTGGGCGCACCAGCATTCTCTGTTGATTCAATAATAAGCACCAGAATTAGCGCTCACTCACTCACTCAGTCAGCCCTCCCTCACTCCCTTATCCTTACTCCCCCATTCCATTACATAGTGACCGTGCTCTCTGACTGAAACCCTTCCTCATCAACCAACACAGTCCATCATGAAACCTCCCGCCAACACCGCACAGACACAACACACACAACATAATAAGTCTCTCGCATCTGAAAAATAAGGCAGATGGATACAGTATAGATAGAGATAGAGATAAGGGGGGTTAGTTAGGGTATTACCGACCGTGCATATTCCAACCCAGCGAACTTGAACCGCCCCGTCGTGCCGCCGCTGCTGTCGCCCGCGCCGGTGCGACAGAACTGCCAGCACAGCTCGACCGTCATGTTGCCCGGCGCCACCAGGTTGGTGCCGCCGTTGAGCGCGCGGGCGCCCGTCGTGTCGGACAGGCCTGTGGTCTCGTTGTAGCAGCCGTAGTACACGTACCCTGAGCCCGGGGCGGTGTGGATTGCTAGGCTTGTTGTTGTTGTTGCTGTCGAGGCTGGGGACTGTTGTTGTGGTTGTGCAACAGTAACGGTAGTCCCTATCAGGGGTAGAAGAAGGGAAAGGAGGGTTGGTGCATGCATGACTGCGACAGAGCAGAGGATTAAAAATGGGAAGTAAACTATGTATCGAAGTAGATGATTAGGGTGAGGGAGTCAAGGAAGGAGAGTTGGCTCCAAGGTCAAGGAATTATATATTGTACGTGTTGAAACAAACAACAGTGAGATAGTCTACACGGATATGAAAAAGTAAAAGATAGCGAATGCCAACGTTGGGGGGGAGCCTGATGAGCGACGATATCTTCTGCGGCTGACTGTGATCTAGTTTTACACTAGACCAATTAGGCAACCTAATCTCAGCGTAGGGCTGAGGAAGCAAGGTTCATTGACCCACTTCGAGCACTACGCACCCCTGTTGTGAATCTCACCTAGGGGGCTCGGGGGGGTTGCGGCTGGCCATTCCACGCTGATGTCCTTCATTGCAGCTACTTTGGGCATCCGCGCTGGCGTCTAAGGTAGAGCTAACTATCGTGGGTCTAGAGAACCCCTACGTTTCTATAAACCACAGATGTAAAGCGTACATCAGACATGCATGCACCAAAGACCAATATACATAGACCCCGTCGAGACTGTTCAGTGCATCCTCGTGTAGCGCGTGCGCGTGTCCATGTTTTAGATATTCAGATTCGTGTCCAGCCAGGCTGTAAGGCCCATCTATCGTTTATCATCTACATCTGAGTCCCTCTGCTTGGCAGTAGGCTGCCAGCTGCCGACCCAGGCCATCGCCTCCTCGCCGCCGTCCGCCAGCCTCTCGTCCTGCAGCACCTCGGACAGGCACTTCCACGGGTCCCGCCCGCCGCCCCATTTCAGCAGGCTCTCCTTCAGCCGCTCGCCGTTCTCCCGGTTCAGCGCGGCGCCCGCCTTGCCCGACCGGAAGACCACGTCCCACACGCGCCGGGCCAGCACGCGGTCGAACAGGTAACTGTAGTAGGTGCTGCCGTAGCCCGACAGGTGGCTGAAGAAACCCTGCCACCGCGTGCTCGGCGGGTCGGCCGGCCCGCTGCTGTATGTCCTCTGCAGGCCGTGGAAGATTTCAGTCGAGTCGAAGCCGGGCTTGCTCGCCTCGGACGAGTGCAAGGCCTGGTCCAGCATCGCCATGATGATCTGGTCTTCCATGTCGGACGCCTCGAACCTCCGCGCCTGGCGGACCTTCTGAGCCACCATCTGGTACGGCAGCGGATCGTTGGTCTTGTGGTGGCGAGCGAACAGCCCCAGGACGTACGGGTCTGCCGCAAAATACTCCATGAGGGTCGACGGGAGCTCCGCCAGGTCGGTCGCGCACCTAGTCCCCGACACCGTCTGGAACGAAGTGCGCGCGAGGATCGAGTGGATGGCGTGTCCCATCTCGTGGAAGAGGGTCTCCAGCTGGAAGAAGCTGAGGAGGGCCGGCCGGTCGCCCTCGGCCCCTGGCTGCGGGAAGTCGCACACAAGGGCAATCGTCGGGAGCTGTTTCATCGAGCCGCCGTGCTGCGAGAAGGCCATCCCATCATTGGCCGCGTACTTGGGCGCTGCGAAGATGGCCATGTCCGGGTCCTCCTGGCTCTGTTCCCACACCTCTGCCAGCTCGGCCTCGGAAATCTCGCGCGAGCACCGGAGGGTAAAGTGCGCCGGGTTCGGCGACTTGTCCGGGCGGTAGAAGAGGTCGCAGTACAGGACGGCGACGTGGCCGTCTGTGTCCGATATGACGTCCAAGCGGCGCACGTCCCGGTGCCACGTCTCGCCAACCAGGGGCTGCTTCGGAACAAGACGGATGCCGTACAGCTCTTCGAAGAGCCTGGAGAGGCCCTGCATGACGACGCCCAGGGAGAAGTAGTTCGACAAGAGGTTGCCTTGGCGCCCTGACAGCTCGAGTGGTCGGCGGATGATGTTGGAATAATAGTCCTTGTCCCAAGGGTCGAGGCTGGTCGCTCTGGAGTAAGCCTTTTGCTTCTCAGCCAGGAGTTCTGCCATTTCCATCTCGGCTTTGGGCCTGTTGCTCTCGACTAGGGCCTGGAGAAACTGGTTGACAGCCTCGGGGCTTCTTGCCATCATGCGATCGCGGAGTGCAAGGTGGCCGTAGCTCTCGAAGCCCGAAAGATGGGCCAGCTCGGCTCTCAGCTGCATCAGGTGCTCCAGCATTTCCACCGAGCGGCGCGAGGCAGTGCGGGAGGCGTAATAGATGAGCCTCCGTGCATCCGGGTCGTGCACGGTGCGCAACGCCATCGAGGCTTGCCAGCTCAGCGTGGGAAGGTGAATCATGCCATCCCTGGTCATCTCCCGCGCCGTGAGCGGATCCATGCCCTGGAGGTCACTGCTGCGGAGGACGAGCGTCGGCAGCTCGGGAGACATCTCCTGCGTGAAGGCGGATCCGAGCGTGCTGATCTGGGATGAAAGCTCGACGAAGCGGTCCCGATCTTTCTGGGGCATGTTGACCGCTGACTTGATGAAGTCTAGCTTCAGCAACGCCGCCACCGTCTTCTCCTCCTCCGACCACGTAGCCGTGACTTGGGGGTCCGCCATGGCCACGGCCAGTTGGTCGTTCAGGCCCGTCATCGTATTGAGCTCGTTCATGTACTGGTAGACCAAGTCGTACGCCTCGCCCGCTGCGCGCTGCGTCGCGCGGTCTGGGTGGGTGACGCGAACAAAGTCGGACATATCGAGCACGCGGCAAAGAATGTCGCTCAGGCGGTCTAGGTCGCGGACGATGGTACGGTACTCGGCGACCGAGGACGCGGCCAACACCTTTTCCACGATGGCCCGGGCCTTCTTCAGACTGACCCGGGCGTAGGTGAGGAAACCACGGGGCGACTTGAGGTACGCATTTCGGAAGAGGCCGACATGTACGGTTGGGGCCACCGGAAACTTAGTGAACTCATGCCAGATCTTGGGGTAGTCGAAGACGGAGCGCAGGAGGAAATCGTCATCGCGCAATAGATGTGGGAGGCGGACCGGTTCCCCTGCGTCGTTCAATCTAGGCGACGTCCAGAGCCGGCGAACCTGGCGGGCGGCTCCGGCACGCTGGGATAGGCAGCTCGAACAAATCCATCGTTGCCATTGTATTGGCCGCGCTGCTGCTTTTATCATGATGCGAGCCCCGGCGTCACCGCGGAGGACGCGGAGACGCGGAGCTAACAGGCGGGCGCGGGACGGCTTATCACAGAGCTGGACGCGAACTGAGCATGGAGAGTGCGGCGAAGTCGATTCAAATTGTCAGAAAGAGTCAGGAAGCATTCGATGCGAACCTACGCATGGCCAAAAAAATCACCAGGGGAGTTTCCGAGTTTCCGGGGCCGCTGTTAGCGTCGCCGTACCTGGTCGAGATTCCCCACAGATACATGTACATTGGGAATCTGCCGAACAGCGAAATACGCATACATCTCAACCGGATCAAGCCTGGTAAAACATATACGGCCAGGCGCGATCTGCTAAAAGGAGGTCTCATGGTAACAACTAGGTACCCAAGGCTTGCCTCCCTTTTTGACCTAGTATTCTTGTTTTACGGTAGCCGAGCAGAGTCGAGCAGAGTCAAGGAAGGTACGGGAGTACAGTGCCCTAGTTCAGTCCGTGCGTAATTCCCCTCTCATTGGAACCCACTTGCAGGGGTAGAAGATTTTGGACCGAGACTCGCCTGTTCCCGGAAATAGCCGCAACTTGGAATCAAGAGCCCAAGCTTCGCAACCTCTGACCTCAGCATCCAAGCGTCTTGCCCACCACCAACGGGGAGCTTTTGCCCCTCCGCCTGCCACGAACCTCAAGCTCCGGCGCGGTACGTCTCAATTGGGTAGATAATGGCCACCAGAGTGCTTTTGCAGCGGGTAAGCGCTCACCACAAGCCCCAACTGTGGCATCTCGTGACCACTATGGAAAACTAACAGTAGACTCGACACAGCGCGTTGCGCCGTTAACGGCCGCCGTGCTGGTAGGCAGTGTCGCTTTCTTACCCCGGACTGCGCACGCCGAAGCCTCCAGCGACCGCCAGTTTGTACGTCCCGTGGACCGTGGACTTTACATAGCGAGAATTCCCTCCTTCTAACCAAGCCCCTCTACACTTAGCCCAGGAAACCCATCTACGATGACGACTTCGACATCTCACCGCTGGCGAAGCCAACACCCACAAGTCAAATGACCCCCGCGGCACTCCCGACTCCCACCGCCCCGTCACCAACAGAAGAGCCGATACCCGCCAGCGAGCCACCCGCTCCGATGCCGTCCTGGCCGGAAGCGACTTCTTCCTCTTCTTCTTCTTCCACCACCGCCGTCCGCACCCGCGCACCGACGCCAACAGACCGGCTGGCCGCGGAGATCCGCCGCGCCCGGCTCTTCCTGTACTCGCAGGCCTGCGTGGCCGAGGACGCGGTCAACGGCGCCATGGCGCGGGCCTTCGCGCTCGAGGAGTCCTTCACGTCGACGGTGGCCTCGCTCGCGCCGCCGCGCGAGTCCGGCGAGAAGCTGATGCCGGGCCTGATCTACGTGCTGGTGGCGGGCATGGCCGGCAGCATCGTGGCGCGGAACCGGAACGTGCTGCTGCGCGGCGCGGCGCCGCTCGCGCTGGGCCTGGGCGCCGCGTGGATGGTGATCCCCGTGACGATGGGCAACGTCAGCGGGCTGGTGTGGGAGTACGAGAAGAAGTTCCCCGCCGTGGCGGACGCGCATCTGCGGACGCGGGAGGGCATCGAGCAGGGGGTGTACATGGCGCGCGTGCATGCTGATCTGGCGCAGAGGAAGGTGCATGAGAGTGTAAAGGATGCGAGGGAGGCGTTGGAGGCGTGGGTCAGGAAGGGGAAATAAATGGGTGTGATTGAAAGGGCAGAAAAAGGAGGCCCCGGTGTGACGAAGCCGTGGGAAATGAGTTAGAGCGAGGCGAACGGATGTGTCCCTCCGCTTGTACAAGTACCATAACTAGAAGTTTCTGGGCGGATAGAGAATATTTGCTTTGGGATGAATAAGATACTACTTCCGGTGGGTGTCATCAACCCGGAAACTCTATTCATGTTTGTGTTACACTGGTGTACAGCCTATCGTCTAGGGTATCTTATGTCCTCGTACAGCTCTTCTAAATCCTCTGCTCCTGCCTCTGTCCAAGCCCGGTATAGAACCGCAGCGCCCGCTCGTAGGTCCACATGGTGACCGCGCTCGCCGGCGCCGCCTTGAACAGGCTGACGGTCAACCCCCTGTACAGCCCCCTCACGCCTTCGGTCCTCACAATCGTCCTCATCGCCCCCAATGTCCCCTCATACACCGGGATATTCTTATGCACGTACCTGCTCCGCGTCGGGCCCTGCACCTGTATCCTCTTCCTGACCAAATCCAACGGGAACGTTCCCGTCTTAGCCATCACGCTGGCAATCGTCCCCGCCACCGCACCTCCGCCACCAAACGGCAGATCCAGCCCCATCAGATGCGGCCGCAGCGTCTCGTACACGGCGAAGAAGCAGCCCATGTACGGCACAATCTGCGCCATCCCCGGGCCCAGGCCGCGGAAGAAGCCCCGTGCGCCTTCCTCGCGCTGGATCTGGACCACGGCCCGCCACAGGCCGGTGTAGACTCTCTCGATGCCCTGTGCCGCGAAGCGCGTGCGGAGCAGGTCCAGCGGGTACGTAACCGCCGTGGCCGCGCCGCCGCCGGCCGCGCCCGCGACGAAGGACTCGACGGACTGCGGCAGGGCGTTGTTGCCGAAGGCCGAGTGCAGCAGGAGCGTCGTCCAGCGGTAGGTCGTGAACTGCACGGCGCTGTAGCACACGTACAGCAGCTCGGCGGGGACGTTGCCCTTCCACAGGCCGGTGATGCCTTCGTGGCGGACGATGTGCCGGAGCGTGGGAAGGGTGCCCTTGTAGATGGGGCCGCCGCGGAGGTCGCGCTGTGAGAGCGGATCCGAGAGCGAGTGCGTTTGCAGCTGCAGCCGGATCTTGACTACGTCGAGGGGCGCGATGACGAAGCTGTGGGTAAGAGGCTGATGTTAGCGGGGCTGTTGTTGTCCACGGAGGGGTGAAGCAGGGCCGCTATTATTACCGAGAGATTAGACCGGCTGTGGCGCCGGCGGCGGTCACCTGCAGACGGGAGCCCTCATCTTTGAGGTGGTCACCCTTGACCGACATTCATCCGGCTGCTCGGATCGGATTCTGAGCCGGGGCTTTTTGTCGAAATCAAGACCGTAATGACTAAGAGCGATCAATATTGGAGATGTAAGTGCCAAGTCGCCAAATCAGGCCCTGTTTGCGCTCGGTTACGATACTAGTTCGATTGATGCTTCCTTCCCTATTGTGGCGAACAGCCGTGACAACTGTGTTTTGAAGTCGCAAATTTGGAGCGGGCGTGTGACGACATTGCCGCTGCTAACCTTCCACAGGTCTGGCAAACATCGGCATTTGCCGTTGCCAGACTTCTAGTCCGAACGAGTGCGTCATCTGTCGCAAGACAGAAGTAGCGTATCTAGCACGACTCGACCGAATATTGTGAAGCATGTCTCAGGAGACTCCGGCAGGAACAACTCATTCGAGTTTTGGTTCTGTTAAATTATTTAAGACTTAGTATTATGGGCCGAGACCCTGAGATTCGAAACAAACACATGCCTACACAGTTTCGGCGAACGCCCGTCAAGAGAATGGCCGGCGGCGGGCCATGACGTGGGGAATATATCGATCTTGATTGGTTCCCTCCGTCCGAGTCGCGGCCCCACTGAATTGGCTGAAGGGTCAAGCTGCAAGAGCGGGTCGTCGCGGCGGTACGGAAGGACGTCAAGCAGCCAGTCACATGCGGCTTACTAGAGCTTGCATCAAGTTCCCCGTCATGGATCTGACGCGGGGTCCCCATAATGATGGAGACGTTCCATCCTGGAGCTCCTACTCGAATGGATGTTTAATAAAGCTGTTCTCTTGTGATGCCCTTTGCTCTCTTTCTCCTTCACCCTCTTCCCTTCCAACAGGTCACGGAGCTGCCATTCACTAAGCCGGTTAGCAGGGTGAGCCGCTCGACATTGTGGCCTTCGCCCGCTTCCATCATCGACGCTTGACAGTTACAACAGTCGCATGTGATACAGTCGCTAGCGCCCTGAACAGAGTCCCGTCGACGGCTCCATTAATAACCCACTCTTTCTCAACAATATCTCCTTCTCAGCTCTTGACTTCAAAGATGGCTATCGAGATGCTACCTCGCAATGTCGCCCCGCCAGATGTCAGAAATGTGGTGACACCTGTGTTGTCATCATTATCTGGCGCGGCTGCCTCTACAGAACCAGCCCCCGCGGTCTTACCATCACTCGCGCCCATTCTTCGACAGCGGGTGGTACTGCTATCTTCTGCCAGCACCGAGCCCTGGATCCGGTTGCTCACATATGACACCTCAAAGGTGCCCCAGCTGACGAGCATCGCTCGGAGCGGCGAACTGGATCAACACCCAGTCTCGGGGGAAATCGAGGTGGATTGGGCCAACGAGGTCGACGTCAGGTATAAGAGACTAGACCAGGAGACGTTGCAGGCCCTGGTTGTCCTCAACGAGCTGTCTCTGTTTTTCCGTCTCGTTTTCTGCACCGGCGATCCGGACGGTGGCGGAGACGGATGGAGGGTTGGTGAGGTTGGGGTCGTCGATCCGTCCCTTCTCACCTCCTTTCGCGGCTTCCCAAGCATCAGCGAAGCCGAGAAGTCATTTCAGGCTTCAAAAGCAACACCCAACGGAGGATTATACCGCCCCGGGCGCCTGACGCCAAACGATACTGCCTGGAGCGCACAAGCTACGGCGGGTGGGGAGGAAGGAGATGATGATGATGACGGCGACTACTGGGCTCGGTACGATGCGACGCCCTCTCGCACGCCGGCGACAAAACGTTCGCCCGCTCCACCGACACTTGCTCCACATCCACTGGCACAGACGTCACGCCCAGAGATGCAACGCAGCGAGTCCACCGAGGCCGAGGACGCGTACTTTGCTCGCTACGACTCGGTCCAGCCGGCAATGGACAACCACGATCCTGACGAGGAGGTACATGTACCCCTCGCCGAGCGCGGTACGTATGGAGCCGAGATCTCACCTCCGAGTCTGGCAAACCCAGAACCCACGTTGGCCGAGCAACTTGCCGCCAAACGCAGTGAGACGAACGGCACGACGGCAGTATCAAAGCCTATTCCCATCAAGCCCGCCTCCCGAGGAAGTGACGAGGACATGGCGCACCTCATGCACCCACGACCTGCCTCGAGCGCGAGCTCAAGCGGATCACAGACGGTTGCCAAACTCGAAGAGGTAGCAAAGAGCCGTCAGCAGGCCGAGTTCGGGGTGAAGCAACACATTTCGCGCAGCATTAGGAGCCTGTTCTTGTTGTCAAAGGCCTCGGGTATCGATCGCGAGGAGTTTGAGAGGATCGTTCAGACGGAGCTGGATGTGGCTGGGATGATTGAGGACGAGATGTAATGCGGTGCGCATGGGGTCCATGACTTTATGCTTTCTTGGTATTGCAAGTACAGGGCCGGGTCGGAATATCTGTTCGGTCCTTTCCATGGTTAAGTTATGGGGAGGTCCGGTTGTGCGTTCGCCATTTGGTCCGGTCAGCCTCTAGGGGAGAACGGAGTTCGCAGGCGTCAGGTAGATATCATTGGTTGTATGGAGGACTGGCTGTATCGTTAGGATCTCCCTCATCTGATAATTCAAGAGTTTATCTTTCAACCGCTCGTTCCGGCAATAGACGGGTGCCCGGACAACTAAGTAGGTAGGTAGGGAGTTGGGAGGGTGCGGTGTGAAGACGGTCTTGCACCTCTGGCTACCCCTCGAGCTCATATGCAGAAGTCAGGGCGTACCAAGTAGTCCTATTCATTGAATATCTTGGCCACGGGAAGGGAGAAAAGGGGAAAGAAAAAATGAAAAACAATCAGGTAATTGTAATGCCACTAAACAAAGAGCCTTAATGTGAACTTCTCTGTCACGGACAGCACGAAGGCGGCTTAGGGTTAGGGTGACCAAGCATCCCGTTCATGTTCGCCTTAGGCTTTAGGCCTCAATTGGAATCGCTGCCGCTGCAACTGAAAAAGTTCCCAGGCGCGGAATCAGAACTTCAGAAGAGCTCCGGGAGGAAACCCGCGGCGACAGTTCACTGGCGCAACACACAACACACGACCCGTCTGTCCAGGAAAAAGGGGAAGAACCGCCACCCGCCTGTTCAACTCCCCAAAATCAGCCTCTCCCGGCCACCACCCACACACAGATCATGATGCGGCCGAGATTAAGGATACCATTGAGGCCGCGCCTCGTCACGACACCGGCCCGGTCGACCCTCCTACCGCTTGCCTGCCAGTCACAATTACGATCATTGCATGCGATTGCACCGCTTGACTACAATTTGAAGAATGAGGCCTCAGAGAATGGCATCCCCGGATTTCTCACGCGGGAGGCCTTCACCATCGCCTGGACCCAGTACCAGACACACCTCCTCGAGAGGCTAAATGCGTTGACAGGAGGCATGTCCTTGGCTCTTGCTTTTGTAACGAAGGCTGGATTTTATTCTATTTTATTTCATTTTATTTTTTACGAGTGTGTATCTAATATGCGGGGTCTTTCAGGAACTGGCTGGGAGTCCAGACACGTCAAGGACATCATGCTCGGCACGGCCCGCGAGCCCGACCAGGCGCCGACGTTCAACTACGCCAGCATGATCCACAACAACCACTTCTTCTTCAAGCACCTGTCGCCCGAGCCCGTGGAGATGCCCGACCCGCTGCGCGACCTGATCGAGAAGTCGTTCGGCTCGACCGAGACCCTCCGGCAGGAGATGATCTACACGGCTGCCAGCATGTTCGGCCCGGGCTTCGTGTGGCTGGTCAAGACGTCGCACCCGGGCCTGCCGATGGCCTTCAAGGTGCTCGTCACGTACGCGGCCGGGTCGCCCTACCCGGCCGCGCACTGGCGCCGCCAGGACGCCGACATGAGCACGGCTGCGAGCGGCATCGGCGAGGCCGGCATGGAGACGGCCAAGACGTACCTGGAGAACACGGCGTACGGCGCGGGCAAGAAGGTCGGCAACCCGGCCGCCAGGCGGGCCGACTTCGCCCCCGGCGGCACCGACCTGCAGCCCGTGCTGTGCCTCAACACGTGGGAGCACGTCTGGCTCTGGGACTACGGCTTCGGCACGGGGAACGCGGGCGGCGGCAAGCTGGAGTATGCTGAGCGGTGGTGGGAAAAGATCAACTGGGAGCTCGTGCAGAAGGAGGCCAATATCCAGCGGCTGGAGATGTCTGGGAACACCGGGTCGCCGACCTCAGCGGCCGCGGCGACGGCGTGAGAGCTGACTGCTCTGTGTGTGCCGTCTAGTGGACTGTATCATATGGCCTGTGAATAGCAAAAGCCTGCCCGATGTGCTGTGCCATGTGCGGATATAGAGGTATGTAACTTGTACAAAATAGACGCTGTTGCTCAATCTACACGACGGTGGAATCCACTTTATCATAACGATTGCTGTTCGGAGTTGATATGTTGGACTTGCATGTCACACACCGAAAGGCAGGGCAAGATGTATTATAGTACCCGGCTTATTTGAATGTAATTGTAAATGCAAAGACTTTTTCATTTTCAGGGAAACTAACTATTCATAACCCATCATCAATCATGATCTTGCCGGTAACCGGTCATCCTACTCCTCGTCCCTGAATTCCTCATCATCCCTTTCCAAAAGCGAGCGTAGTCCAAACATGTTGCCATAGCTTTGATCTAGACCCGGATTTGACCAGCGCCGTCAAACCATCTCCAGAAAAGAAGAATATCATATAGATCGAAGCGCAAAACGCCAAAACTCGCCGTGGCATGCAGGTTGGGATATCGAAAAAGCAACATCCTAAGCTTGAAGAGAAGAAAGAGAAGTGACAAGAGACCAGAACCAAAAAAGAGGGGCGCGAAAATGAAAACAAGCCGAGGTATCATCGCAAGAATGAGAAAAAGAAAAGCAAACGATGGTATCGTGTAGAAAAACCAGTGAACGGTGGAGGGGAGGGGATAAGGAAAACAGGAGACAGAGATATATATACCCATGTCCTCCTTCGTCATAAATCCCAAGCCAAACAAAACCTCTCATTGGGAACCCATCATGCTCAAATCATATTCCCGTTGACGCTGACCTCAAAGCCCTCGCCCTTCTGCTTCCTCGCCTTAGCTAGCATCAGCTCCCGCATCCAGTCAATCCGCTCGTCACGGCTCTTGACCGCGAAATGGTGCGTCTTGCCCGTGCCATTGACCGCGCCGTCGATCGCCGGCGCCGCCAGGCTCGCATTACTCCCATTCATGCCGGCGCCGCCCGCAAGACCCCCCGGCAGCGCGCTCTCCCTCTTTTTAAGCTTGACGCCGCCCTTGACGCCGTCCTGGGGGATCAGCTGGAAGCTGAAGGCGGCGACGTCCTTGCTCTTGGCGTCGTCGCTGCCGCGGCGGATATGCATGGCCTTGAAGGCGGCGTTGAGCTTGGACCCGCTCGCCATGCCGCTGCACGCGATGGCGTAGTCGTCGATGTCGATGTACTCGAGCGTCTTGTTCATGTTGGCGGCCGCCGCGTCCTTGTGCATCGTCAGGCGCGTGCCGCGCAGCTTGAAGAAGTGCTCGTGCCACTCGTGGCGCAGCATCTTGGTCTTGCGCTTGCGCATCAGGCCCTGGTACGAGATGGCGTTGCCGCCTGTCATGTCAACAAACTGGGGCTTGTCGCTAATGGGCGAGAGGCGGCCGCCGATGTTGACCGTCTTGACTCCACCGTTGGCGGCCGCGTCGGTAGTACCCGCGGCTGTGCCTAGTGCAGGCGGAACAGCCTTCTCGAGAGTCGGACGCTGCGTCTGGGTCCAGGGATACTGTATCCGCGGCGGTGGTTGAAGGGGCCGCTGGCCGACTCTGTTGGAAAAGGAGCGGTTGGAGGATTGTGTACCTGGAGACAGGATCGAGTTCTCGTCCAGTGCGGGCATGACCGGGAAGGAAGGCCTCCGGATGGTATTGCGGGACATGGAGCGAGGAGGTGCCGGGTTGTGCCGGTAGTTCATGTCCGGTGGGACGGACTGCGAGAAGTCTCGTGAGGGAGCCGGGATCTCCGTCACGGTAACCGGGATGTCCATCTCTGAGAATGGAGTTCCGAATCGGTACGGCGCAGTCGGGGTCGGGGTGGCCTCATCGGATGAGGGACTCATCTCCCGGAACGAGGGGATGACCTTCGATACCGGGCGAGCAGACCGGGCCTGAGCTGACTGCGGCTCCCGCCTAGGAGGAGCAACCGCCGGCTGCGATGGGATAGACAGCTTCGGAAGACTCCGGAGCCCTGAATGGGGTGCCTTCTGGCTGCCCCGCGGCGAGATCTCAAACGGCGGGGTTGGAGGCACCTCGCTGGATGCATTGAGATGCGGCCGTTGAAAGTCGAGGAACTGCCGCACATTCTCTTGAGGGTCTCTGGCCTGGATGCTGCGCAGGGTGGCTTCTTGGAGATACTGGAGCGGCGGGAGGTTGCCTGGGCCCATGACATCCGAAGAAGCCACGACAGACGGGACGGCGTCGGAGACCGGACGGAACATCTCGTCGCTGGGCACAATGGCCTCGGCGGTCTCCGGGTTGCCTGGGTCCCCGGCGATCATAATGATACCGTTGTCGTTGATAAAGGGATGCTCCTTCTTAAATTGCTCCATCAACTTCTTGTTCCGTTTCCACTTGGGGCAGTTCTCGCCCTTTGAGCAGTGGTGAGGCTTAGGCAAAACCTGCTCTATGCCGACGATGGACACCGACTCAAGTGGCGAGATCACATCGTTGACCTTGAGCCGTGGCTTCTGCTTCCGGCCACTCGCATTGCTCTCTTGCCTTCGCAACTCCCGCTTCACTGCCTTATCCGGCTCGTCCTCGATGGGCGTCTCTGGCATCGGCTCGGGCTTCTTGAGATTCCTCATCTTGTGGATCTCGTCCCAGATTGCAGTCCTTACCCCGAATGAAGGGATGCCGAGCTCCTTCAGATCCTCAAACTTCAGAGTGACCAGGATAGCGCCGTTGATGTCGTTTTCCACAAACCTTTCTGCAGCGCTGAGCTCAACGCCGGCATTGAGCATCTGTTGGGCAACCTTCTCCGGGGTCCAGCTGGGCAGGTCCGATGTGTCCAATTCCTCGTCGGTGAACTGAAAGGGCCCCGTGTTGCGCCTCTTCTTCGGTAGGTTAGTGAGATGGACATTCTGCAGATGGAAGTCCATCATATGCGGCTCCTTTGGTGTGATTGGGGAGAGAGAGAGCGCATGCTGGAGTTCAATCGATTGCTCCGACGCCAGAGAGCTCCGGAATAGATGAGGCCCCCGCGGGCCCTCGATCTGCTGCTTCGACTCCGGCTCGAAAGGAAATGGGCGGTGCCGCAGTGACCTCGGCGTCTGAACTTCGTCGTACGTCGACAGCGTCGTGAAGCTGGGTTGCCCGGACTGTATCCGCATGAGAACCTTGCCCCTGAGGTACCCTCACTGTTCAAGTTCCGGAGGAGGTCACCTACCGAGCCGATACTGATGCGCGGAGAGCACTCGCCATCTTCAATCCCTTCCAGATCGCCAAATTCGCTGTATACATCCGAGTCCTCCTGATCGTCGCCATGCTCGATCTCGGTATCGGACTCCATGAACTCGGTGTACACCGAGTATGGCCTGTCCTTCACTCGCGCAGCCGAGAAAAACACCTCCCGCGGCCGAGTCTTCTCCTGCATTTCTTGCCGTGGCCGCTCGCGCGCGACGAATTGTACTTGCGCCTGTGCCATTGTTAGCTCCTCATAGAATCCCCCTTTCACCGCCGTTACCCGTCGCGAGCGTACCATGGCCATATAGGTCGTCCCCGGTGGCGATGGGATGTCTGGTTTTTGGTGCCGTTGCCGGCAACTCCTTCGTCTAATACCCACAATCCGCAAGGCCTTCTTTGGTTGTGTCCGCTGTGATCCTTCGGATACCACTACCAATTCCCGGAGCAGACAGGACGAGGCCAGCTTCGCATGCCCGCTCAACCACTGCCGAGATACAAGACCAGGAGGACAGTACCTAGCCAGGGGGGTGGGGCAACAGTCTAGGTTATGTATGGCAGAAGCCGCGATATCGGTACCACCGCACCAGCAGTGTGCCCATGCGCAAGGGCCGAGACGAGAACAAAACGGCTGCGAGTCACAATTGATCTTATGTGATTGATACACCGACGGCGAATTGCGCTAGCATAGGAAGAGAAATCTGGGAACGGATAGTAACCTGATGGGTAGTTAACTAGGAGGGTCCCCTGCGAGATGTGTGCTCGCGGGGTTCATGGCCAATATGTGTGATATCGGGGGCACGGGGTTGAAGTGGGAGCAAGCTAGGTACCCCTAAGGTAGGAAGCAAAAGCGCGCAGGACCGGACACCGTTGCCAGGTGCTTCGAGCTCGACCGTGCAGTGCAGAAGTGAACGGATGGTGTGCGCTATCCCGTCCGGCACTTCCATCCACTTGCAGAGGACCTAGCCTGCCACTGGCCATGCCTGCCATGGGCCGGCCATTGTGGCTTCCCTGAGCACCTGTCCAGGGGGATAATAATAGCAGTGTGTGCGTGCTAGGCCGCGCGAGAACCCCCGAGTACAGGCATTGCGAGCGGCGGCAGGTCGGCCGAAAGTCGAAGGCTGGTTGGGCAGCTGTGGGATGGCCTCGCATTCCATCCATGCGAGTCTCGAAATGCAGTGCAAAGTGGTGGGCACATGGAGAAGTGGGCCTTTGGACCGGGGTTCGGTAGCGAGAGCGCCGCCTGCGGCTCTCATTGGGCTGAAAATCTTGCCGTTCCTGCCATTATCGGACTATTCCGTCATCTGATTGGCTGAACTTGCTTTGGCCTAAGCGCCTAGAGCTTTTAAGCGCTAGTCCCAATCTGACAACTGGGGGAGGAAGGCCTGGGAGGGAAAGGTGAGGCGTTCGGCGGGATGGAGCCGGCAGGTCCCTGGCCAGTCGATCTTTTCACGCACTGATGTTGCATCCTCATCTCATCAGTTCTCCCACCGGACACTCGTCGGAACTAAGCGGGGGCGGCCATGCCCCCCGCTCACCGGCCTACCCGCCCTCGCGCCGCGATACATGCGGCCCGGACGGCGGACGTTCGAGTTTAAAAGTCTGACGACTCACCCTATATTGTGGCCTCGGAGGCAGCCAGAGTCCTGAGCAGTTGCACGCATCTCCCTAGGTGATCGTTTGGCCCGGCCGACCCCTACCAGCAGTGTTGTTGCAAAGCCAGTTTGAAAGGTGCCGCTTTCGGCTCACACTGTTACGGGATCCCGAGTGTCGCTTCCGTCTTCCCCGCCCGCGGGGTTTTTGGCCTCCTTCAACTCCACTGTTAGGATCGCTCCGAGCATGGCAGAAATGCAGTTCGGCTGACGATGGATCTGTCGGTGAACCGCGAGGCAATTGGGCATGAGAGGCATGTTGATCGGCAGCTAGCTCAACGGGGAACTTGCGGTCACCATGGGACGGTCCGGCTGACGTTGGGCCTACCTCGCAGGGATGCGTGTCCCAGCCATTCGCCGGCCGAACGACAGTCTGTGGCGTGCGGAGTTGGATGCAGTCATCCATCATAGCTGGCCAAGGCCAGCTACCCCGCTGAGCTTGAGGGCAAACATGACCTTCATGAGGCACATGACGACACCAGCATGGCTGAATCGGCACCGGCTAGGGTCAGGCAGGTGGCATTCGAAGCGAGCACTTGCGGTGAATATGGGGTTCGGCATCCTCGCTCATGAGTCGTGCTGTTGGCAAGCGGTGAAGACTGTCGAGTTTCGGGCAGCCACCGGGCAGAGACATGAGCAGATGACCGAGAGAGGAGCTGTCTTACACAGAAGGGACATTCCCTTGCTCCCTGATCCGAGGGCGATTCACTAACTCTATCGAGACTCAGCAGCTAGGGTCGTCCCGTGATTGCTGTCCCACCTCCGGATCGCATTGATCGTCATCCATTTCACATGTCAGATCCATCCCCGAAGACCCTTGTGTGACAGCCAGGCAAAGCGGGACGCAAGCCGTACACATGGTACGGCATTACACTGGTATCTCTCCGTCAGCATACGCAGCGACCTGGAAGACTTGCTCGAAGTGGGTTGCGTGAATCCTGCCGAGTCACCCTCGAGGGATACACCACATGGGACAGTCCAACTTCTTTATGTGTTCGAGCGCACATTGTTCAACATTCTTCATTGTATCGTCTCGACTGCGACCGGCCTCTTGTATGACTTAGAGCTACCTACCACACCGCTTCAGGCCACGGCTACCCGCATACTTCTAGAGCTTCTCTTTCCGTGGTCTCGGAATGCTGTCTTTTGTGTCTTCAGCGAGCAGCAATCACGAAGTGCTGCTCGTGAGACCTTGGACGTTGCTTGCCGCGGGGGCGGTCAACGGCCGGTCCCGGACTATGGAGATCGAGTGCGCTCAACGGCTCTCTGCATCTATCGTCTCCGCCGACTCCGGGCCTTTATCGGCGCTGCTGTGCGGCTTTTACGCCGCGCGCAAGTTTGAGGTCCCATCTTGGTTGATGCCCAACTGAGGTATTCTGGGAGAATGTCTGATAGCTCGCTCGACACTCGTTGCCATCGTCACGCTTATGGTACGTCAGTAGGTAATTACCCACGTGCTACCATACCCCGTGTTCCGACGTCCTGCCATGGCTCTATGAATCAACGTTTATAGGACTACCATTGCCCAAACTATAGGTGGTGACCCCTTCTCAACAAACCATCTACCGGCATGTGCTTCAGTGTGAATTCTCCCCAGTGGAGTTATTCCTCATGCGCATACCTATGTAGTTCTTGGGCTTGGTCCGCCGTGAAAATTCTTCTCCGAAGCATTGAACTGATTCACATGACTTTAAGGGTCTGCGACCGGAGGCTGGCCGACCGTGGTGGGATGGTGTGGATAGGCCTGCGCGGTGTCCATGGCAAACCTTCTGAAGTGCTGACTTTGGAGTGTGAGTGGTCAGCTTCCAAAGACTAAAACTTCCTGGTGTTGCACCGTCAATGGACCCTTGGCCTCTCAGCGTCGAATCAACACGCGTTCCTGAGGGGTTTGTCGGTAACGTTGCCTCAATCGATTGTGCACATGACAATGAGATTGTTGAGGACTCGGTGGAAACGGGCATCCTCCTTCTCATCCGGGCGAGATCTGATGTGATCAGTTCCCTCTGATCATCATTTAATCTCCCAGTCACATTTTCAAAATGATGGCCTTTGAGGTTGATCTGTCATTTGCATGATCCATGTTCCCGTCACGGAAGCTAAACTATCGGTGACGACATGCATTGGTGCATCAACAAAGTGGACCGCTCGAGCCAGCTCCACGTTTTCTCGCTTGTGGATCCTCGAAAGGTTTAAGCCGAGATCCACAAAACGGCTTCACAGTATGTTATGTCCAGATCGGGAAGGCGCACTAACAAGGCCGTGAAGCTGGTCTGATGTTTCGCACAGCAAGCTTCTCAGTTGATTATGGGTATGTGATCTAGCATGGCTGAGTGGTGGAATGTTGAGCCGGCTGCCACGGTATTCTAAGGTCATTTGAGCCGGCTGTATAGCCAGAGCTTGACGGTGGTTGGGCGCAGAGATCTGTTCAGCTTGGTTCTGGTTCCGGGTTCAGGCGGATCTTGCACATTCCTTCCCAGCTTGCGGGCCGCTCATCCCCTGCAAACTTCAGGAACGCACGGACGCAGAACAGAAGCCGGGGTCCTCATGAAGATCTGCGGCCAGCCATTTGCATATGATTTGATCACTGATGAGAGGGAGCTATCGGATGCGACCAGCTAGCTACGTCTACCTACCGTAGTATTGTTTCCCGGTGGCAGGGATGTTCCGTCGATTCAGCCGTCTAGCTATCCTGGTTGTCGAAGACTCATGGCCATCAATCATCGGGCATGATCGTTCATGGGTTGATGTTGCCCCCGGATATGAGTTTCTTTCGGGCTGACAAAATTGGGAAATGCGCCGTTGTGCACTGCTCGGCAGACGCGGTCAACTTGTAATTTACCGGGCCGCTGACCCCTCACCTTCGGGTAGTGGCAGGATCCTACAGAAATCATGCTTTTTATCTTACACACAGTGCTCCGTAAACCCCGCACAAAACCCTTGACTAAGTGATCTTGACTCGATCGGATGATATTAGATTCTCAAAAGACAGCACCTTGGATCCGCGGTACGCCAATTGCATTCTAGTCCCAGCGTGGGATTCGCATTCAAGGACCATCTCACCCGCATAGGTACGCATCGGGCCTTTCTCTCGTTAGGGTCCGTGCTGACAGAGTTGAGAGTGTCCAAGTGATGAGACGGTGGTTGATAACAGAGTTCTCGAGGTCGTCGGACCTGTGAACGTCCTGCATCCATACTGCGAGGCCTGTCAGCGAGCACTATGCGAGGAACTCCTCTCGAATGGGATTTTGCCCAACCCCTGGTGGGACTTGGTGAGCTGGAATAATTTGGCTGAATCAGATGATGGGCAAAATAAAAATAGCGCTGGTCTTGAACAGAATTAGCCTAGATATGCAAGTGGGCTAATTTCATCACACCGGAGGCTAATTGTCCAAAACGGACTTCCAGCGGCTAATTAGTCTAGGTTGTAAGCCACGCCCCAAGTGGAAGAATTTCCCCGCAGCCTTATACTATCAACCAACTGTGATGAGAGGGGAATTTCTCTATACCTAGGATGACATGGATTATCATTCCAAGCCTCGGACAACGAGGTTAACTTCGTGATGTACATATATGGACTATAAAGCGACGGCCTTTTCCAGAAGCCTGGCGCTTCGCCTTTGACGACTGCCCGATGGAAACCTTCGAAGCTTTGCTGGTTCGACCGACCCGAAATAATGTTGACACCCCGCTTTCATGACCAGACATGACAGCGACTCATTCCCATCAGCCGACTCAACAGCTGCCGGAATTGATGCGCTGCCTTTCCTTCAATTCTATGCGAGGCTGCCGTGTGCTTCTGTGCCTCATCATCCGATAAACTCAAATTGGATGCCAAGCCTGGCCTCAGTGCTCGCCATAGGTACCAGAGCAGTCACTGCCGGTCAGCGTTACCTCGCCCAGCCGGTAACCTTCTGTTCAACCACATCATATGCCGTTGTCCTTTTGCCCCTTCTATCCTCAGATTGTATTCCTTGTTTATTGATTTTCTCAGCTACTCTCATATATGTTTCTCTTCCGTTTCTTCACCATATCTCGACCCTATATGGAGCAGCAATGCTATGCTGGTTGGGTTGAAGACACATGGAAGTCTATGGCGTTCGGGAATACACGCTGGACTTTATCCGGCCTTGTGGACCCCGCATGAGCCAGGCTCGAGCCCTTGCCCTTGTCAATCTCAAATGTCCATGCTTCTTCCCGCGTTATTGGTCAAAGCGTTACCTGCTAGCGCAGTTACCCCTGCACCCAACCCTGGTTGATCTTGATGCGAGAGCCAATCTCGGTTGGTTGCCGCCTCTCGGGCCGCATGCTGATATGCACGAGCGATTTGCCGTCACACTGACCGACCGCACTTCATCGAATCAACGTCGAGGAACGGCATGTTGCATCCTGTGCGACCACACCACAAGCCTCTGCTTGCCACGCACAGGGGTATATTGCAGAAGAGGCGTAGCTGCCAGAAAACGAATCCGTGGCTCTGTACCTGTAAGGGCATGTTACGTCTGTACCTTCACTGCGCATACAGAATCATGGCATGCGCGCGGATTTTCGGCATGGCCCAGGTATCAGCGGTAACACCCCGAGCGCGAACGAATCCCTCTGCCCCCGGCACTCGTCTCACGATACCTGCTGTTGCTCGCAATATTCGCGCACAACCGGAGGTACCTTGCCTACTCCGCAGTGGCAACCTAGCTGCCCTGTACCCTCGCTCTACAAAGACCTGCAGCGCAAGATATCCCTATCTAGAACCCGACCGGCCACATAAACCGGAACTTGTCGGATACCCGGACATGACTGGCTTGGGGCTGGCCAATCCCATGCCGGCCTTTGGAAGCACCCTGATGATTTGCGAGCTCCCTACACTAGATTCGGCTGTTCTCACGAAAATTGACAAGGAGAGCTGAAGGTGGCCTGAACCAGTTGTGGGGAGCTTGTCGAATTTCGCACGCCTGAAGATTCTCGGTCAGATCGATCATACCACAACAAGCACCCCATCTTACCAGGTTGCTGGCGGTACTACCTGATGGGAGATTACGATCAAGCAGCGCCGTGGACTTCACTCTAAAGCTGTGCCAGCGGGTAGTGATGCTGTGCCGTGCCGTTGAGTGAGGCACAGGCACTATCAGCGGGAACAAGTGCGCAGCTTCTGTCATCTGGCACGGAGAGGCTGGCTACGGGTTAACCTTATGCTGAACAGGGCTAGCAGCGGCGGCTCCCCACATGAAATGGGTATACCTATGCCCTTGAACATCGCACACTCACTGCGAAGGATGTGCATGCACTTTGAGAATTTTGACTTGGTTGCAGGGAACATCGGCACGACGAGAATGGGGGTCATGGTCGTGCCCAATGGCCAATGCTCACCCACACGGCCTCGAGCATCGACTGTGTAGCCTGACATTCTTCGGTCCCGGTCCCTCTCCCCCTCTGTATACGCAAGTCTTCACTCTGCGAGTCCCAAGGACGGAAGGAGGCAGCAAGGTGATACTGGGTGACTCTTACTGTGAGCCACAAGCCCGGTCATTTCCACGTCTCTCAGCTCGCGGCCGCAAGCTACAGGTGCTCGCCCGCTTGAAGATCTCCATTGTCCTTCGGGCTGTGATCTCCGATATCCGCGCAATGAGGCGGCCGGGTTGTCCAAAGCAAGTTTAGGCTGCAGGCGGACCTGAGCCCCGTACCAATGAGCAACCGGCCGCTTCCACCTCGACATCGCTCGACAAGGCTAGCACCCCTCCCAGTCGCCTCTGGTGGCCGGCGGCCGGATGTGGAGGAGCGTGCCACACCACTTCTGGACCCCATGTCACCGATGCTACCCACCCTCATGCAGAGGATAGTGGGGTCCATGTTGGTGTTCCCCTTCCGAGGACAGCGACATGCCGAGTGGCCGCCCGCTGTTGATTGGCACCAATAAGCGCACTTCCGAACCCCTGTCTGTCTCTCCCCAGTGCAAGCCACACACAGAGACACCGGCCACCCACGGGATGGACGGACACAACATGCATGCCACTATAGGTTGAAGTGGGCAAATAGATCCCAAAATGGGTCAAATGCCAGCAAGCGGTCAATTAGCCCGCAATGTTCAAAAATAGAAACAGCGAATCACGCTGAACTTGCTGGGCAGTCCGCTTCGGAGCTGGCCAAGATATAAGAATTTTGCCCGCCTCAGACTACCCAGGTGTTTCCCCTTCCTCGAGCAGGAGCCCAGAAGAAACGAAGTTGGAGATCCAGGTGTCGTCCAGTCCAGTCAACAGACTCTTTTTTACCTCTCTCTCCTTTTAATTACACTTACTTGCGCCGTCCAACCAGATCGACATCGACCTCGGCAGCATTGAGATTTTATTTACGCTTCAAATTCCAGATACGCAAGCCGGACTTGCTCGGACAACCAGTCATTCATTCACAACGATACAGTAATCTAATAGTCCCCACGACCCGTTGAGTCCTCGAGGAGTGCTTGGAGGGTTTTTGGGAGCTTTGACGGACAAGGCCCCCTTCGCCCCGGACTCAATTTGCCTTCCCCTGGGCATCTGGACCTTGACCGGAGCGAGGGTCCCACGGCTCACCTGCCCTCCCGCTTTTGCTCGGCCCCAGCACCAGGCTCCCACACCCCCCCGGGCCGCCACCCCCTCCCCCTGGTCCACCCCCCGCTGGGCAGTTACACGGGGATACAAATGTCAACACTACCCCCCAACCACCAAGGAGACTCGCTGAAGGCATCGCAACTCAAGATGGCTGCTGCTGCGACGACGACGACAAAAGCCAAGTCGGCCTCCAAGGCTGGCGCCAATGGCAACTCGAAGCAGAAGACACAGATGCATCGCCGCTCAAGAACAGGTTTGTCTCACCTCTTACAGACAGTCGTTTACCCGATTCGGCAACTAACAATGGCGGTTGGTGAAGGGTGCTACACATGCAGGCTGAGGAGGAAAAAGTGCGATGAGGGCTCCCCCATGTGCACAGCTTGCAAGCATCTCGGTCTGGTATGCGAATACAAGCGGCCGATGTGGTGGAGCAACAATGATATGCGGAGGAAGCACAAAGATGACATCAAGATGATCATCAAGCGCAAGAAGCTGTCGGAGAAGTCGTCCCACACGCACACGATCCAGACCTCGGTTGGCTCACCACCGGGGCTCACGCACTCGCTCCCGACGTCGGCGACCTTCTCCGACTCGCTCGACCGCGCGCGATCTGCCTCGATTGACTCGCATTTCGGCTTCAACTTCAACAGCCCGCACAGCTCGCACGACTTCGGGCCCTTCACGCCCCAGATGAACCCTGAGTTCATGTTCTCGCCATATTCCCCCTACGAGATCGACGTGAAGACCGAGAGGCAAATGTTCATCAATGACATCCCGACACTACGCGAATCAACAACATCCACCTTCAGCACCTACGCCACCCCTCCGCCACCGGGCACCATCCTGCCTCAATTCCCTCTGGAAGGTGAATGGACAGAGCAGGTGTACTCGGAGCGGAGGGAATCTCTGACGGAGGAAACGCTGAACGTGAATTTCTTCGACTTCTCACATGGGCCATCAACGTCATCGAGGCAAGTGGCGATTGAGCTTGATGAGGGCGACCAGCGGTTGCTTGACCACTTTATCCAATTCGTGCTCCCGACCATTTTCCCGATTCTCGAGTCGAACCAGCACGGGTCGGTTAGTTCGGACCTCATCCTTCCGGCGCTGCAGAACAACAAGGGCTACCTGCACTGCTGCTTGAGCATCGCCGCACAACATTACAAGGCCGCCATGGCGCTCCAGGGTGATGAGATCGACGACGACATCATGCGCCACCGGTACGCGACCATCTCCGCTCTCTGCGACGCGCTCAACAAGGACGAGGACCACCAGCAGATCCTGGAGGCCGCGCTCGGCCTGATCTTCTTCCAATGCGGCGTCGGTCGCTTCGACGACTCGCTCCCCGACATCCCCTGGCACCAGCACTTCCAGGCGGTTGTCTCGCTAGTTCAGAAGCTCGACCTACCCCGTATCGTCTCGGATCTCAATGAGCCACTGATGCAAGCACCCTTCAACATGACGCTCACCGCGTGGATTGACATCCTCGGCGCCACCATGCAGGGCCGCGCGCCGACCTTCGCGCACACGTACCGCGAGAAGCACCTGTCGCCGCCCGCCAACACGTCGCTCGGGCTCCGCGAGCTCATGGGCTGCGAGGACCGCGTCATGTACCTCATCTCGGAGATCGCCTGCCTCGAGGCGCTCAAGCGGGACGGCATGGATGACATCACGCTTTGCCAGCACGTGCACGTGCTCGGCGACCAGATCGGCCTGACCGAAATCGGCGAGGGCGTGCCCGTGCTGCCCTTCAACGCCAATGGCTCGCTCAGCCCCAAGCAGCTCAGCAAGAACATCACGGCCGCCTTCCGCCTCGCCGCCCGCATCTACCTCTGTAGTCTCGTCCCGGGCTTCTCGCCCGCCCAGGCGAGCTGCATCGGCCTGGTCGAGAAGCTCACCGGCGTGCTCCAGCAGATCCCCTCGGGCACCAACGGCTTCGACCGCTCGCTCGCGTGGGTCTACCTTGTCGGCGGGTCCGTCAGCTTGGCGGGCTCCTCGTTCCGCGCTTTCTTCGACGACCGCGTCGCGCAGCTGGGCGATCTGGCCAACTTTGGCAGCTTCGGCCGTGTCGCCTGCCTGCTTCGCGAAGTCTGGCTGCAGGTTGACCAGCAACAACAGCAGCAGCAGGCTTCTTCCCCAGCGGCGGAATCATCATCTCCGGAGGCTCCACAGCAGCAGCAGCAACAGCAAACGCAGCAGCAGTACATCCACTGGAGGGATGTTATGCAGATGAAGGGATGGGATTACTTGCTCATTTGAACACAAGCGCTCCCTGTCTTCAATGCTGGCTCACTTGAAGAGGCAATTCATCTGCATGCTTTGCAAACAGAACTGCGATGCTGGCAGCTTGTGGCAGGAATCGCCTCCTCGGACTTCAGCTTTGAAGCCACCCACTTCGTCTTCTCTTCTCACCTTCTTTTTTGTTCTACCCTTTTTTATTCTGTTTGTGACTCGGGCTGCTAGAGGTTGCCGCGAGGCAAGTTGGTGTGGAGGGAGGGGAAGAGTTTCTGGACGACACTGGACAGGATGGATGAACGGATGGCAGCGGAGTGTGGCGGACGGGAAAGGAGCAGTTCTCCGGCTTTGCTCCTGTTGTCTTTTCTCTATCTTGGTTTCAACTCTCTTCCTCTATTCTTGATACCTGGCGTCTCCCCGGTATATCTATATATATACTATACACAGGGTTGAGGAAGCATGCATAATGTGGAGTTTATGGGGTTCGGATCTTGGATTCACTGGGGATATCATGGGGTCAATTCGGTGTTGGTCACGCAGGGTGTGGATGCGAATGAGGGATGAGGGATGAGTGAGGTAGGAGATGGCTTGGACTTGTACACATAGTAGGATCCTGGATTATACCCGCCTGATATGGCCGAAGCTTAAAAGAATGAGAGAACTACTGATCAATACCCGTCCTTCGCCTCTGCAGTGAATGTGATCTAAGACCCCCCAAAACCTTGGAGGCAACGTCACTAGACCGAAGCTGGCAATGCCTATCGATGTTGCATGCGATGTTTCTCTCCCCATACATCTCCCTCAGTTCAGTTAAGCCTGAGCAAGTCGTCAATCCTCCTGGGCTTCACACATCTACCCCTTGTGTCCGCTATCCACACTTTCGTGATCACTGTCGTCCGCATAGGTGCAGTGTCCTACGACTAGGTGAGTCAAGATGCGCTTGTCCGTCCTAATGCCACTTGTGCTTCATAACACAAAACACGACGCTGTGCGTTGTCCAGAGCCAAACAGCATTGCCGGAAGCAAGCCACGTATCAAAACCTTACATTCCCCTCCCTCGTGCTCAACTCGACCATGCTGTCTGTGTAATGCACAAGACTACATTCACGGGTTCCTGAGCACTGACTGTAGTACTACCGATACATTATATAGCGCCGCCGTCATACCCCAGGCGGCGGTGAGAATGTGGTATATGTGTAACTGCAGATATAATCTTTATCCATGCGGTCTGACGGATGGGCGGGTGATACTATTTTGATAACCCACGTTCGTCGTTCAGACCTCATAGATGATCCATAACGTGAGAGCGTGATTTACCGGAGAGGCTTCGACGGAATCCCTTCCTTCAAGCTTAGAAGACCAAGCTTATCCTATCCAGATGCTTACGTACTTCAGCCATGGCCGAGGCCGAAATGCTGTTTCGACCGAGATGTGAAACAGACCAACCCTGCCGCGTTTTTGGGTTCGCTATGGCAATGTGCCGCTGCCCAGCGGCCGACGAGATGGCCGCACCGAGAACCTCAACAAGGCATCAATGCGACCGGGTCTTCGGCTGCCTCCCAGATGAGTCAGTGACTTGCCAGTCGATCTGATAGACGATGACGACAGCCACTTAGGCCGTCTGCCATCAATACCCAACACGGGCGCTACGGCTGGGTTGAGAAGTCGCGGCCGATGAAGGCGACGCAACACGCAATGTCCATGTGACCTCGAAACTCGACCACTTGAGGCCTGTAGTCGTCTGCCGATTATAGGAGGCCTCTTATACCTAGAAATATGCATGTTCGGGCATCGCGCGCCGCCTCGGTCTCAAAGGTCGCTTGCAAGTGCCGGCAGAGCAGCAGCTTGGGAAGCGCTGCGAGAGCTCCTCTCAAACAAGCATGAGAACGTGGGGTTCGCCGCAAAGCGGCCTGGCACGTGCCTGGGAAGCGAAGCACGGACCAGCAGACCTCGCGGCCAATCTCAGCCAACCATTCGGATTAAAATAGAAATTGCTGGCTTGGCCAACCAATCAGACACGCGGCCGCGGCCTAGAACAGCTCGCTCTTAAACGCCGTTTCTGAGACCCCAACTTCAAAGAACTTCTTCCTACCACTCGTGCTGCTCAATGTCACCTGGCTCTGTCAAGGAGGCATTCGGCGCTTCACAATGGCCTGTCATTGTTCTGACCTCAGAACTCTTCAAACAAGGAGAACAATGCATTCAGTGAATTTGATTGAGTTGGGCAAACCCCCATCCATCGCCCAAGCGGTCGCACCACCACCGCATGACTGGGCCTTGGAATCGATGAGCTCCTGTAGTTCGGGACCTCCCGGCCTTTCTATCGCACCCGGACATCAAGCAACGCCCTAGGATGCCCGGTCACTAGAATCTTCGGCATGGCCCGCGACCATCCAGCGGCCAGTCGATCGGGTCACAGTACTATCGCCCACCACTCCTCTGCAAAATGACCCGGCCGGACATGGGTCGGGCATGCATCGTTTCCTGACCAGTTGTTCGGACCCTTTGTCTCGTTTCCTGCCAGCCCAACCGCGAGGGCGAATGCGTCATAGTTTCCATCAACTGGTTTCGAGCAGCAAGGCTCCCGGGACCGCTCCGATATACCTCCATGGCAAGCGCCTGGTCGCTCGGTTTCTGACTCCTTCCTCTTTCAAGCTGCGCTGGACTTGTCCCCATGCCATCACCTTCATCTTTCCTCCTTTGCCGGTATTCCTGGCGTGGCTGACGTTAATTCCACCGTTGCCAACAACAAGGGAGAGCTTTGTGTGAAGGACATAGCTCTTTCCAGCTGGCCCGGTCCGATCCATTTTGAATGTCTCTTTATGCTGCAACGGCCCGAGCCAACTCCGGGGACTCCATTGTCCTAGCCGATACCGAACGCCTTTTGCCGAGAAGGTATACAACGCCGCGCCTACCCACTCGAGCCGCCAAACGACCTCCAGCCAGATCAGAGAATCTCCAAGGAGAACAGGAAAACTCTAGTCAGGATGCCCGGTCGCGGGCTTGCGCTATGGGTGGCGTCATTTGCCGCCGTACGTATGGCCGCTTCGGCAGCTCTCATGAATGACTTGTTTATGCGGCAGTCATCTTGCGCCCCAAACTTCAACGAGTGCAAGAACGCCGACTTTCCGCCATATTTTTGCTGCGGCTCAGGCCAGAGCTGCATCGCCCTCGCTGGAAACACCACAGTCCTCTGCTGCCCAAACGGCGCCCGCTGCCAGCGACTACAGCCAATACCATGTGACATATCGTTGCAGGACGGCGAGAAATACCCCGATGCGGTCGTGAAGACGACTGCGCTGCGGGGCACCTTGGGCCGATGCGGCGCACAGTGTTGTCCGTTTGGATACTCGTGCAAAAGCGACGAGTGCATCATGGACGTGGATCAAAACGCGGTGCCGATCCAAACGGCGAAACCAAACCCCACAAGCACCGCTAGTTCCAAGACGAGTGCCCCTACAGATGCCGGGTCGAGTCAGACGCCAGACTCTACCAATGGTGCCGACGACTCCTCTTCCGACCAGGAGAGCGGTTCTAACGGCGGCCCACCGATCGCAGCTATTGCCGGTGGTGCAGCAGGAGGAGCTGTCATCCTCATTGGCGCCGCTGTGCTCGCCTTCATTTTCCTAAGGAAGAAGAAGAATGCGAGCGAGTCGGGAAGCCCTTCGAAATTCTCACGTTCGACATCATCTTTCGGAAACTTGATTAGCGGCCCGATCGTCGCGGAAGACACCACCTTACGGAGCGATTTTGCCCGGGTCAGCCCGCGGCAGACGAGCGAGGATCCCGCCTCCGTAACAGCAGCTCTCATAGATTCCTCGGTAACCTCGCCAGAGTCGGGCGCTGGGGTGTTGGCTGCTCCGCCGACCGCGGCCCAAAAGCCAGAGAGACAGAGTAGTGCTCCATACGGCTCATTCGAGCCCTCGGCGTACGTCGACATGCCGTATGCCGACTACGACAGCGGCGGACTGATGCCGCACAACCCACAGCAGAATCGCGAGCCCAGCTCGGTGAGCATCAACGTGTTTGCCGACCCCAACATCACACCGGACAGGACGCCGGAAAGCAATGCCGATCGGCGGTACACGAACATGACTACCTTCACGCAGATGCTGGACAGCGCCGGGTTGGACGGCGTGGCGCGGGGTGACCCCTATCTGCCGTACCAGCCAGAAAGCGAGCAGGGGACTCCGATGCCGAAGAGATGATGCTCCTTGAGGGAGCATGGTCAGGGCCAGAGATGGCTATCGAACTGATGCCGGAGCACGTTGTTTCTTAGTTGCTCATTTTCACTTGATGGATTTAGCGAAGGTGGGGATGAATTTGGTTTTAGCAAGGCGTTATGTTGGGAAACGAGATGCACACTCATTACGAGGCATTTACATCGGCATCAGCATCGTCCATCGTCTGGGGGACTTATAGAAGGATAGGACATTATACCCCTGGGGATTTAGACTGCCAGACTTTTACTAAGCTGTAGATATTTTACATTCTAAAGTTCTCAGGATGTTACCAATAAATATTCGCATCAACAGATATCTCCGAGGGATACATTTGCCCGGTTCAACTGATTTGTGCAGATAAAAGGAGTTTGTCTGTATAGCACATAGGTGCCGATATCTTCTTGGTGTGCGATGGCCATGGCAGGCGAATTCTACACAGTATCCATTGTAGGTAGCCGGACATAAAATAGCAACACATTGCTGCACATCGAAGAATATCTCGCCGTAACCGACCCATGAACCCGCCCAGCCCCCAACGCCTCTTACCAGCACATGAACGTCATTATATCACAGCTTCTTCTTCCCCGCTGTCCCCCCCGCGCCTCTCTTCTCGGCCGCATCTCTCTCCGCCTTAGCATAATCATCCGCCTCCTTGCGCTCCGCATACCACTGCCCGGCCTGCAACACCAACACGCCAACCAAGACCAGCGCAAGAATCACGCGACTCGCGCTCATGACCCGCAGGGTATCCTCGCGCCCGAGCACCACCTTCCCCGTAATCGGACCCTGGTACATCGTCCCGGGTTGCGCCTCCCCCGCAGCCTCAGCCGCCGCCTCGGCCACGGCAGCGGCCAGCCCGCCGGGCTGGCTGACGGCGCGCATGCCCTTGACGATGTTGCTCAGGTAGACGCCCACGGCGATGACGTACAGCATCAGGCTGCCGCCGTCGAAGAGCACGTTGGCTTCGCTCGGGCGGAACAGCTTGATGAAGAAGCCCAGGAAGCCGACGAACATGATGATGTGCAGCATGCGGGCGATCAGGGGCGGGGACTGGTGCGTGAAGCGCAGGTGGGTCTCGAGGTGGTCCAGGAACGACGGCGTGATCGGGTCCGAGGTCCAGAGCAGAGGGAAGTCGTAGGGGAAGGAGGCGAAGAGGATACCCAGGAAGAAACATACCGCTGTGGTGGGTGGGTGGGTTAGTCATTAGGTACCTACTTAGGGGGGGTTGTATGGTGGAGGGAGGGGGGGAGGAGAGAAAAAGCGTACGCCCGATGATGAGAAATGTCGCGAAGGAGCCGGAGCCGCGGTAATCTTTCGATCGGGTCGTTTTCGACCAGTCTATCCACCGGGTGGTCATGTTGGAGGATGTATGAGGGTGAGGCGCCAATGCGCTTCTTGGGGAAGATGTTGTGAGATTTTGTGGCGGGTGTGAGCTGCGAAAGCTCTGTCGAATGCGCCGCGACGGGTTGAAGCTGGGCTGGAAAGGAAACCGGTCGCGGTGTTATCAAAGTCTCCGGGAGAGCTCCCCACTTCGGCACTGTACGGATATTTGAGCCCATTGGCCAATCATGTCGTAGAACGGACGACCCCACCGGCTGCTCACGGGCAGACCACGGGATCGCGGTTGTGACGACAGACAAAACCGTCGCAAACAAGGACGAGGCCACGCTTGGACTCAGCGGGGATTAGATCACAATGGCTTTCTCTAACCAAGATCGATTCATTGTGCGTTACCGGAGCTGTATTGCAATCGGCCGGCGAGCTGCCGCCACGGATAACGTCTACAACGTGCCGTGCCACTGCGACCCTCTAGGGTAACTGCAGACGCTCGGCGCTTCTGCTGTAGCAACAGCGGTCCAAGACCCCAAAAGACCATCATCGAACATGTCCGAAAACGCGGCCGCGCCCGCACCTCGGTCGCCAAATACCACCCTGCAGCTTCAGCGGCGAAAGTCGTCCAGAGACCGCATCCGAGACATTCTCGAGGTTGGTTCCTTTCTGTTAAGTTTCTGCGGATGCCGGTGTCGTCGTCTACGTCGAGGGTCGCAGCTTCTTCCCATCCTTGAAGGTTCTCCACAGTGCGTCTGGCACTGCCGCGTCAAGATCCAGGAAGTCACCTCCAGCCTGTTCATAAATCAGATATCAGGCCGTACCTAGTGTAGCCCAGAGTGGCTCGAAAATGGCCGAGGCAATCTGCGGTCCTTCAATGAGTGACGTCTTTGCGGGAACTGTTCGTACACGAGTCCACATCCCTGCGCTGCCTGTTGACGCCTCGCTTTCCCCCCCACGCAACGCGTGCTGGAGCATAGCTAGGTTGTGAGGCTGACACATATGTGCTTCCAGGGTGCCCGCGAACGGGCCGAGTCGCTCGATGCAGATCCCGCCAGTCCCCGGCTACAGCCTCTCCTAGGCGACCCCAACCGCAGAGCCAGCGGACCATCCGGCTCGGCTTCCCCTCCGGCACTTGACGCACTTAGACAAGGCGTAGTGACCGCACAACCAGGGAGGCAGCGCACCCTAGACTACCAGAGCACAGCCGAGATCAGCCCCGCAGCACGTAGGAGGTCAACGCGGGATGGGAAGTCTTCGGCTCAGCCACAAGGGCCGCCGCCGCCGCCAGGTGCAGATGGGGCCGCCGAGGAGGATGACTCGCGAGGACAACCTCGGGGACAACGGGAGGAACCGTGCTGGAAGCGTGCATTACGTTACTTCAAGAGCATAGAGCTTGAAAATAAGGGGAGTGTTGCACGGGATCACTTGGCCTTAGGTAAGGGTCTCTTATGTACTGTGACAATAAAGCCCGGGAGGAAAGCTGACCGATCGATCAAACCCCCATGATCAGAACGCACATTCCTCGCATGGCTCCGGACATCATTAGCCTTCGCGTCGATCGGAATCGCCATTACGCAGCTCTTCCGGCTCAACACGTCGCTGGCGGAAGACACGAAGCAGGCCGAGAGGCTACGGCATCTGGGTAAGCCCCTGGGCACTGCCTTCTTGGCCGTCAGTATCTTGATCTTGCTCCTGGGATATAACCGGTACCTCCAGGGGCAGCATTGGGTGATCAAGGGCAAATTTCCGGCCAGTCGCGGCACCATCATGCTGGTGTCGCTCATAGCGTTTACCGTGACGTTGGCGTCGTTGGTTGTTATCCTTGCAGTGCAGAATAATCCGATGTGACCGGAGTCAGTGGTACAGATATTTGAGAGGTTGGAAGCCTGAGAATGGAGATAACTCGTTGCTGTGGTTTGAGTCCTGGTAGAAAGGACTTACAACCAGGTGTACTTTGCTAGTAGGATGATAAATATAATGGTGCAAATGCGATTGAAGAGAATAAAATGTCCTGAATCTACAAACAGAAAACGAACGTTTATCATGGTAATGGTGATACATTTAAATCGCTGCTGTGTATCTCATGTTTTTGTCGCCTCAGTTCTCACTCACCCATAACCCTCATTCACATCCGTTCCACTCAAACACCTCAAGCTCAACCCTCACAACATAACATCATCATCAACTTGAAACCTGCCTCTATAGAACTGAGTGAGGTAACTTCATCACCATCAAAAAACATACATCAACCACCCGCCTCTACTCCGAGAGCAAATAGAAACAAAATAACGGAAAGAAAAAAGAAAAAAAAATGGCAGTCGACATTCAGGCATTCGCGCAAACCCAACTCTCCCTCCTCGCGTCCGAGCTCGCCGCCGAGATAGCAGAGTCCTCGGCGCTGGTGTCCCTGCACTCGCCCACGGCGCTGCAGCGCGCCGGCGTCGCGTTGACAAACCTCACCGTCACCGCGCAGCGCACCGGCTTGGGCGGGAAGACGGTGCTTGAGTTAGGGCCCGATCCGGCCACTGCTTCTTCTACAAGTAGTAATAGTAGTAGTAGTGGTGGTGGTGGTACAGTGGAGTTGCCGGAGCATGGCGTCCGCACGGGGGATATTGTATTGGTTGCCGAGCAGCCTAGTGCGCAGGCGAGGAAGAGGGAGGTGAAGGAGCTGGAGGCGAAGGGGGTGAAGGGGGTTGTGACGAGGGTGGGGAGGGGGTTTGTGGCGGTTGCGGTGGAGGAGAGGGATGGGAGTGGTGGTAGTGGTAATAATAACAACGAGTTGGAGGTGGGGGAGAAGAGGGTGTGGATTGTCAAGGTGGCTGATGATGTTACCTTTCGGAGGTGAGTTGTCTGTCTCTCTTTTTGTCTTTCTTTTTTCCTTCTTGGTGGGTTAGGAACCGGGGAAAAGAGAGAAAAGGAAGGTTTTTTGTTGCTGATGAGGTGGGTGACGCAGGATGAATGCCACGATGGAGAGGCTGGCGAAGATGGGAGAGGCCGACTACAGCCCGTTCATCAGGGTGCTGTTTGGCTTGTCTTCGCCGTCGCCGGTTCCGGCGGATCTCGCAAACGATCCCGAAGTGGGACGGATTGAGTGGGTAGACCCGACGCTGAATGACAGCCAGAAGGATGCCATCCGGTTTGCGCTGGCGTCGAGGGAGATCGCGCTGATCCACGGCCCGCCGGGGGTAAGTTCGTTGACGGTGAGACGGTGGATGACGACGACAAAGAAGCTGACCATCTGTGGCAGACCGGCAAGACACACACGCTCATCGAACTCATCCTCCAGCTGCTCAAGCGCAACCTCCGCATCCTCGTCTGCGGGCCGTCCAACATCTCGGTCGACAACATCGTCGAGCGGCTCGCCCCGCACAAGGTGCCGCTGGTCCGGCTGGGCCACCCTGCCCGCCTGCTCCCGTCGGTGCTGAACCACTCACTCGACGTGCTCACGCGCACGTCCGAAGCAGGCGCCATCGTCCAGGACGTGCGCGCCGAGATGGACGCCAAGCAGGCCTCGATCCGCAAGACGCGCAGCGGCAGGGAGCGCAAGGCCATCTATGCGGACCTGAAGGAGCTGCGCAAGGAGTACCGCGAGCGCGAGCGCCGGTGCGTGAGCAATCTCGTGGCCGGCAGCAAGGTGGTGCTGGCGACGCTGCACGGGTCCGGCGGCTTCCAGCTGCGCGACGAGCAGTTTGACGTCGTCATCATCGACGAGGCGAGCCAGGCGCTCGAGGCGCAGTGCTGGGTGCCGCTGCTGGCCGCGAAGAAGGCCGTCTGCGCGGGCGACCATCTGCAGCTGCCGCCGACGATCAAGTCGCTTAATTCTAATTCCAAGAGCAAGAACAGCGGCAGCAAAAAGGAAAAGGGGAAGGATGCCGCGCCCAACGGGAACGTAATAAAGGGGGCTACGCTGGAGACGACGCTGTTCGACCGCCTGCTGAAGCTACACGGTCCCTCCATAAAAAGGATGCTCACGACGCAGTACCGCATGCACGAGAAGATCATGCGATTCCCGTCCGACGAGCTTTACGAGGGGAAGCTCATCGCCGCAGACGCGGTCAAGGCCAGGCTACTGAAAGATCTGCCCTACGACGTGGACGCCACCGACGACACGACCGAGCCGCTCATCTTCATCGACACGCAGGGGGGCGACTTCCCCGAAAAGAACGAAGACGAGCAGGACGCCGGAGGAGGCAAGAAGCTGACCAAGAGTAGCCTCTACGGCGACAGCAAGAGCAACGAGATGGAGGCGGCGCTGGTAAGGCAACATGTGCGCAGCCTGGTCGAGGCCGGGGTCAAGCCCGAGGATATCGCGGTGGTGACGCCGTACAACGCACAGGTACGTATATACCTAGCTATCACTCCCGGTCGAACGGTCGTCCGTCTGCCCCAAGCGACAGCTGCATCCATGAATATATATATATGCTCCCGCCGCCTGTGCCGCGTCCATGACCGTGGCGCGATTAGGTTCCGAGGGCATCATGATGAGATAGGCTCGTAGCTAACCAAGGATTGCGACGAGCGAAGCTTGCCATCCTGGCCCCGTTAAAGGAGACCTACCCGGGCATCGAACTGGGGAGCGTCGACGGTTTTCAGGGCCGAGAGAAGGAAGCTGTCATCGTTAGTCTGGTCCGGAGCAACCCGGACGGCGAGGTCGGCTTCCTCGGTGAGAAGCGGCGCCTAAACGGTGAGTCCCAGATCTACGATTCTGCATTTGCAGGCCTGCTCCATTGCGGAGAAAATGCGTGTTGATGCGAGAGGATGCTACAGTGGCCATGACGAGACCCAAGCGATCACTGGCTGTCATTGGAGACTCCGAGACGGTGAAAAAGTACGTTCTAGAACCTTTATTAGTAGTTGCCTTGGGCCAGGCTGACTCGTTGCTGAACTTTCGTCCTGCGGCAGGGGCAGCAAGTTCTTGAAGGACTGGATGGAGCATCTCGAGGAGAATGCCGATCTCCGGTACCCGGAGCTGGCATCGCTTGCTCGAGACGCATGATCGGAGCGGAGCACCGGCAGGACGGGAAGAGAAAAGTCAACTACCTAGTGTAGTCCGCGCATGTTGATGCATCGCAATCCGGGCCGAATATTCGGTGTCGACGTCGAGATCCAGATGGAAGGTGCCTCTGTTCAAGGATGGCTGACTAACAATGCTGAAAGTCTCACTTTTTGGGGGGGTGAGATAACCTTATCGGAGATTCCTGCCGGACCTATCGGATAATACATGTATCGGCTGGCGATGGTCACGGTCAATGTATAACCGGGCCGAGGAGCTCCCCCGTCACCGCCCAAACGAGATACGCAGGACCTTGCCCCCAGTCCTCGAAGACGCTTGCGGTAGCCGGTATCATTACTTCGTATTCTGTCCCGTGACTCCCCTTCCTTGTGGTCGTTGTTCGTCTCTTCTCATGTCAAACCGTTAAGTTAATGTGGAGTCGGCGGGTGAATCGCTTCTGGTGGAACCTGGCCCTTGCTGTTTCAGACGATCCATGTCCCGTGGACTCTTGTGGAGACTCGCTTCGTCGGCCGGCCAAGAGCGGGGTTTTGCGGGTTCCACAGATGCCAACTGTCCGGAGCCAGATGGCCTTCCCTGAGCGCTCTCCAAGTTGACGCCGGAGACTCTTCGTTCTGTCGTCGGTTTATTAGAGGTGTAATCACATATGCGGTACACACTAGACTACACTATCGTGCGGTGCAGAGCAGTATTTTGTGATATCACGAGTCCATTGAGGCTCTATGCAGGGGTTGACAGTGACGTTAACTAGTGGCAGTGTCTCATCAACCTCGGAATGTCGTAACCCTGGTCCGCCGGAGCACGCCCAGTCCTTGTCCTGTCCAGACCGTGCGAGGCAACTCAACCGGGATTTCGTCGATGCTCCTGATGGCTTCGAGAACGATTTGCCAATTTTGCGCGCGGAGACGGGCAAGCTCGCATAAACCCGGCGTAAATAATAAAGAGCCGCGCTCCACATGTGTGGACGTTGTATTGGTCGATTTGCACCATATCAGTGCGTTCTGCTGTCTAGTGCAGCTTGCATGCGATCTTTGCTCCGCGACTAGTCGAGTGCTCAACGATTTGGTTGGCGAGCCAATTCGGCTGTTTTGAGCATGCGTATGCAGTAGGTACGCGATGTATCAGGAGGATTGCAGGCGTGTGGTGGATGCTATCTTTGGTTGTTACCTTCATCTGCGTCCTGGAGGCGGCGATATCACCAGAAAGCGGATGCCTGCACGCCATGGCGTGTGACGAGTCGAAATAGGGGTAGACGGGAGGAATGGTTGCGCCCGGCTTCCCACATGTCAAAGGGGAGCGTAAGCAGATCATAAAGCACAACCCCCGACGTTAAAATGACCGAAAGAGCTATCGGATCTCGTCGCGAGGATGGCAGAGTACATTAACTACGTATGAGATTGCAAATGGGAAGGAGCGAACGCCGGTATGGACATGGATCAAACTTCCACTTGCAACCGAAAACCTGAGATGTCCAATGTGGCATAGGCAGCCAAGGCGGAAGGTGCAGGGCTGGTTCTTGCATTCTCTTTTGCTGGGACTCCCAACACTCACAACTCGGAGGCCACAAAGACAGACAAAAGAAAGTTGCCGGATTTGTTCCATGCCTCGTGATACACGAGACCGAACACTAATACACTAAAGCCTCTCTAGCACACTGCCAGTGTCGCACACAGGGGTATTCGGCCTCCAAGAAGGAATGATACGGTTCCGTTGACATCGCACCAAAAAGGCCACGCGAGGGACCTTGGCATGGCTCGATGCGTCTCCAAGCGTCCCTTGTAAATGTAGGGCGTGGAGGCGGTTTTGTACACTCATCTCCCGGACCACCTCGCTTCATCTCCAGGAGCCTTCTGTCCTTGTATGGCGGGCGAGTTGGTTGAGAGCATAACGAGACGAGCGGCATATGCCGCGCCAGACATGCATCTGATAGGAGGTATTGGACGGTACCGCGGCGAGGTGTCTGGAAGCAGGAAGGAATGCGCAGTCCGGGCTTTCTGTCAACTCCGACAACCCTGGCCTTCATCCATCGTCGGCCATCCGGTGTGCTGAGTTTCCACGCAACCCCGGCCAGTCGTTCAGTGCATGGCATTCAAGCTAGCGTACTGTTCAGGACACCACAGCGGTCTGTCCGTTGTTCGAAACAGCTCCCCCGAGCCAATGCAGCGATGCCAAGGCGCAGCTGCAGGCATGCGCTGGAGAGAGAGCAATTCCACGTCTCTCCCAGTGCAGGCCGGGTGCCGTTCGCAGTCGGCCTCATCAATGCTCCCCTCGACGACGTTTTCGTTTATCAAACGCACCAGTATAGCAGCCGTCCCGGGTCCAGTTGCAAGACACTTTGAGACACATTTATTACCCCCACTCTCTCCAAACCTACTTGGGGCATGCACGGACGCATTCATCAGGAACGAAAAGCCCCAAGACAGGCGAGGACGCGGAGCTCACGCCCCTTCCCCACCCTGCGGCCCCAAGACGCACCCCTCACGGCCCCTCCTCTATCACGGTCGCATCAGGACTGCCCACCCTTGCATCTTGCATGGCAGCTTGGACCTGGGCCTGTCCACACCCCGATGCTGCCCTCTGGCGAAGCAGCATGTTGGACTTTAATATCCGTCATTGGTGCTGCTCTTCTCCCTCTCGTGGGGTCGGTCCTGCACGACTCGGACGCTGTTTACCTCCTGGCGCTGCTGGCTTGCGTCCCGCGGTTTCGCGCCGACCAACCCATCGCCGGAGTCCAGCATGATAGCCCGGATGCAGCGGGCCAGGGTGTGCCTTCTAGTCGAGCTATCCATCCATTTGTATTCCTTGAACTGACCGAATCCACTCGTTGCATTACTCGCCACCATTCTCTGTATCACAAACTTTCGGCACACGACCAAGCGCCTTTTCCACGATCCCGACGGTTGGACCGGCTCCATCGCAAGTCCTGCCGTTCTGCCCAGGAAAGGAAGGCGGCTGCATCGCTGGTCATGCCAGCTTCCTAACGGTGGAACGTCGACGAAGTCATTGTTTTCCTCATCCGGGATCACCCAGGCGCAACGGCACCACAAGACCAAAGCCGCGACTCAGTTTTCTTGTGTGTTTATTCCATTGCTGGTGCGCAGATGGCCTGGCGTGCAAGAGAGCTTTATCAGTCAACTTTCCCCGAGCCTCATCATACCGCCTCCTTCCAGGTTCTTCTCCCAGAGCTGCGTGCCGATCTATACCGGACATATAGACTGCGCCAGCCAACATGCCGAGTATCTTCGGGAAGTCTGGCTCCACCGCCGGCGGTGCCGGCCGTGCCAAGCCCCGGCACAAATCGATCCGTGGCACCATCTCGGCCCCGATTCCGATACCGAAAACCCCGGACGACGACGAGTTCCCGATCCGGAACCCCGGCTCAGCGAAGGCGTCAGTGGCAGATGATGATGATGACTTCCCAATACGGGAGCCCGGTACCGGGATTGCGACGCCTTTACCACTTACTCATAGTCCTGGTCCGTCGCCCGACGAGCCGGTTGAGCAGCAGCCCGGGGACAGTGGGGGTAAGGAGCAGCAGGGCCAACAGGGCCAGCAGACTGGAGGTTATGAAAGTAGCTCGAGTAGTGGCACCGAACGTCAGCAGGAGCAGGGAGGAACGCAATTTCCTGCGCCGGCTGGCGCACCAGCTTCGGTCAGCGGCTCGGGAGGCAGCCGGACAGATCTGACACGGGATGTACGGCCGAAGCCGTCGTCCACCCCGCCTATAACGCCGCAAGCCGGCGCAACTATGCCTGGGGAGCAGTCAATATCCCGGCCGGCCTCGCGATCACCGCCCAACCGTACCTCTCCGCAGAAGCGCTCCCCACCCAATGCCTCACCGTTGAGAGCTTCACCGCAGACAAGGAGGGCTACGAACCCTGTTGTCACTCCGTTCCGGTATTCCGCCGTTAGCGACGCCCCCAGCAACCCAACCGGGCAGAGCAAAGACTCTCCGCAGCGGAAGAAGTCCACGCTGCGGTCCGCTTTAGGGAGATTGTTTGGTCGAGGCAGGAAAAAGACTGGCAGCGGAAACCAGGATGCCGGGACAGATTCGGGACGTGAATCTGGGCCACTGGCCTCAACGCAACATCGAAGCGTGAGTGTTTGTCTTACCGGTCTTCACCGTTGATCAGACATACTTACACGGATCTGAAACTAGGACCCTACTGCACAGCTTAGCCGGCCTACGCAGAGGTCGCCCGAGCGCTCGGCCTCGCTCCCCATCAGCGAACTGAATCGGCCGCTACGGTCGCATTCCATTGGGCCAGACGACATTATGGCCATTGAGAGCGCGCGCAATTCACTACAGGCAGAAGCGGCCACGCCTGGGTCCAGCTCGGGAGTCGGCATCCGGCGACGCGCTGCGACGGGCGGCCATGCATTACTGCGGCCTCATCTGTTCAACCGGGAATGGGGTGCAGGTCTGTCCCCACGGCCCGCAAGTGCTCAGGGCCGCGCCTGCCGGGCTGGTGCACGGGCCGAAGCCGAGGATCCCAGCGAAATCGGGCGTGCCATCACCAGCGACAGCGCCGGCGGTATGCGCCGGCGGTCCCGGAGCCTTTCTGGGTTGCAAGACCTCGTCGGCGTTCAGCCTGGCAGCCGTCGGCGAAGCGATGAGATCCGGTATTGGCGCGAGTCCTATGACCCGGGCTTCATGTCACCCTTATCATCAAACGCGCAGGATGATGTCGACGACACGGGCCCCGGAGACATCAGTGCACCTGACAGCCCTGCGGCGGAGAGACCGCCCAAAACCCCGCCTCAGCCCTTCAACTTCAACCTTCTGTCGAAAGAGATGATGGGTATGAAGATTACACACGCGGCAAGCATGGACATGCGTCTCGGCAACCTCGAGTCCCGCACCCTCCAGTTAGAGCGTGTGGTTGACCAGCTGTGCCGCTCGGTCCCCGGCTCCAAGGGACCTGTCGATGCTCGGGAGACGGGTCAGCCTGGCAGCTCCCGACGCTCGCTGGAAACCGACACGCATTCTCATGTCTCCTTCGGCGAAGGACTGGCTTACGCGAGCCCGCTCCACCCGCTTTCGTCGTCCGCCGCGAAAGCTCCGTCTCTTGCCGCAAACGCGATGCCGCCTGTTCACGCGACTTCTACCTCTGCCGTGCGCGGTGCTATGAGTATGCCGATAATGGGACGCGAGGCCGCTAGCAAAACCGACGAGGCGTCTCAGGCCGACGTGATCGCGCAGCTCAGAGCCGACCTTGATGCCGAACGTGTGGCCCGCCAGGCCCTCGAGGCGTCGGTCAAGAAGCTGTCGGAGCGCCTCAACACCTTGTCGACGACCATGTTTGCCATGGTGCGGGGACCGTCCGAGTCCAAGTCCCAGGAACGGTTGGCACCGTCCTCGGTGGGCGGAAGCTCACCCATGCTGAAACCGCCGACAACGTCACTACTTGTCCCTCCGCCACCACAGGAACAGCTCTCTGTCTTTGAAACAGATGACGATGAGGAGGAGGGAGAAGAAGAGGATGACGAGACCGAGGCACCGTCCTCGACCAAACAGAGCTTATCGTCGGCAAAGGCGGATTCGGGGGAAGACGAGGTCACGGAGGATGACGACTTTGAGACGCCCCGAGAAGAACGGACGCCACTGACGTATGGCGCTTTTGGCGAGGAACTGAGGCCTGATGACGACGACGATGACGATGACGATGACGATGCCGGCGGAGACGGTAGCGAGGACGATCCAAAGCGGAAGAAAGCGGCGAGGACGTTGAGTCTAAGCCAGCTAACACTGGGGAAGGGGCAGCGCACGAGGATATGAAACGCCGACGGGGCCGTTACTTCTTCTAGGCAGTGGGATGGGAGGTTCCTAACCGTTTGCAACGCTCGGGGATGTTCAGTCAGGTAGTAGTTTTGCCGCCGGAGCCTGGGTTATCCGAACAACGATGCATACACGCATGGCCACAGCTTTAGTACTGAGGCATCTTTTTTTCTTCTTCTTCTTACTTCCGATGACGCGCTACGACCCTTTTCTCTGGCTGGCAACCTTCACAACCTTCAATTCTTTTATCACTATGTCTGTTCCCTTTACCAATCAATCTGCGGTCTTCCCATGTTTTTCGCCACTTTTGCATCCAGCGTCACGGCGGCGGCGGGGGTTCATCTCAATTCCGGAATTGCCTTTTTTTGGGCATGGCGACGCATAGAGTGAGTGCTTGCTTAGTCTTCAGGTTCTTGAGGGACGACGGCATATCTTTACTTCGATTCTTCTTTGCTTGTATGTATGTATGTACTTAATCAACTGTAAAGTAGATACCCCTTTCTGAAGCAAGTAATTTCCCAGGCTTTCATTTGACTCAGCTGTGGCCATTTTCCCGGGAGTACTATTAGTTACTCTACGTACCTGGTAGTCTGCATCATCATCATCATCATCATCATCGTTGTTCGATAAACTGACACCTACTGTATTGCACCTTATCTAAGGTACCTACGTTCTGCCAAGTCGACCCAGTAGTCGATGTCCTTAACCTTGTGTGTCCTATACGGAAAAGTTTTGCTCTCTCTCCCTGGGTCGACTTATATGAGTGATGTCCTGAAATATCCGGTATGGCTGCTATGTGTTATGTATGCAGGTGATATCGCCGTAGTAGGGATGGCAGCAAAGATGACGCCGTCCAGACACACTTAATAGTAGTACAGCGCGTTTCTAGGCAACAAGATACCGTAGGTAGGTGCGTCTAGGGACGATGATGGAATTCAGAACATTCTATCGTTGGAGCGAAGTCAGGGTCTGTAGGTACCAGTTAGATGCTTCCTACTACTAGTAAGTAGTATCTGCTCGCGTGATACTTGGGCCTATGGCGTATATCGAGGCTGTGAAACAATGGAACCACTTGTGGGTGGCATGTTCGACTAAAGGAACAAGAATCAAAGTGAATTATATCGCATCAGGTAAGTTCCGATTTTTAATTCGCAACCACCCCGTACTGCTATGCTAGCCCCCCCAAAACCAAAGCGTGGGTATCCTGCTCATCAAAGTCTACAGAGATCCCCAACAGCCCCGGAGCCCAGTTACCCAATAAACCGAATTCCGGTATGATTTCATGGACAGTATGTACTAGAAAGATAGATAGAGCAGACAGGCGAACCTGCCTGTAAATAACTTCCCCTCCCAAACTCCCTGATCTCGCTCATCCAACGTTATGATTGAAATCCTAATTGAGATCACAGCAGGGTTGAAGATCCCTGTTAATTATATATAACGCCCTTTCTTTTTCGGTGACCTTCCCTATTATGTCAACCGGGTATTGACATCGATGTATGTCGTACCATTCTTCAACGTAAAACAGCTAGGAACTGGCTGTCAAAAGCGTGAAGGGCTTCGACGGTGCCAGGTTATAGCCCAAGTTGACGCGCCTCCACATCGCCATGCCCCTCATTTGACAGAGCGGCGAGTCCAAGGTTGATGAACCCTGCCTCTATAGGCGCCCAGGGGCGACGAGGGTTTGCGCCTTCGTCTTCTACAGCGCAGGGTCTTCCAGCCGCAAAGTCATGTAATCGTCTTGTTGCCGTCTGTTGAGTCTCGGCCTGGCGCCGACACATACCTCCAAAGGCGGTCCGGACGGACATAGCGTCACCCTGGATACGCTTGCCTCGTCCCCAATTCGATGCCCAGCGAAGCTGTGTGTGCGCTTCCAGTACCGTGCCCCTTGCTTCAAGAGCTGGCGTCCAGATGCGTTCAAGGCTCGTCTCCGACTCGCTTCAGCCGGTCAAGCCATATTAGCTCCCTAGCCCCGGCGCAGCCCCATCATCTTGGCTTGATAGCTGCCCATGAAGCTGATTCAATTCCTTCTCGTCGCATCCGACCGGTGGCGCCTCCTCTTTCCCGGAAGAATTCTCCTCAGGCGCGTCGACGAGTGACCAAGACGAGGAGGAAGACACAGCTTCGCCAGTCGCTTGCTCAGCGCGGCTGATACCGTCGACCGTGTTGCGCCGCTTCAAGAGGCCAGGTGCGGCGGAGAAGAAGGGAAGGTTATATACATCTTCCCCTTGTCCGGGCTGGCGTTGCTCCGATCCACAATCGGTAGAAATCCCACTCGTCGTCGTCGTTGTTGTTGTTGTTGTCGTCGTCGTCGTCGTCGTTGCCATCTTCTCAGGACTATGGCAACGGTGTCCGCCACGGTCCGAGCCATCCGACAAAACAGCCGGGCTCAGCGACGCCTCCCTATCTCCACCTCCATCTCCATCACATGCCGACCGCGCCCGGCGGCTGCGGGTGCTCCACCGGACCAGCATGTGCTCGAGGGTCTTGATCTTGACCGGCTTGGAGAGGTAATCGTCCATGCCAGCGTGCTTGCACTTCTCCTGATCCCCCTGGATCGCGGACGCGGTCATGGCGACGATCGGCACGTCGCTGACGTAGGCCTTGTAGGAGAGGTGATGGCGCAGGCGGTGCGTGCACTTGTAGCCGTCGATGATGGGCATCTGCACGTCCATGAGGATGATGTCGGGCTTGGTCTTCTTGCCCTCCATGGCGGCGGCGAGGTAGTCGAGCGCTTCCTTGCCGTTCCACACGGCCGCGACCTGGAAGCCCAGCTTTTTGATGGTTCTGAGCGCGAACTGCTGGTTGATGTGGTTGTCTTCGACGACTAGGACGTGGATGTTAGCGCGCTCTGCGAGCGGAAGGAGCGCTTCCTCAGGCTTCGGGATCGCTACAGGGCTGCTGCTAGTCGACGAGGCCCTGGACGCCGGTTGAGCACTGTCTTCTAAGCTGGAAGGGGGCTCTTCCCTTAGAGCCATGCCAACGATGCTCTCGGTGGTATTGTAGGACAGATTTTTCCTGAACGGTGGCCGGTCGGGCAAAGGATTTGGCTGGTCCGGCCCTGCCGGCTGCCGCCACCGCGGTTTCTTGAAGGGGATCCAGAATGTCACCGTCGTGCCGACGCCTAATTTGGATACTAGCTCTATCCGCCCCTTCATCAGCTTGACGAGAGTCTTGGAGATGCTGAGTCCCAGTCCCGTGCCGCCAAATTTCCTTCCCGTGGACGCGTCGCCCTGGTAGAAAGGCTGGAAGAGGCGCCTCTGGACCTCCTCGCCGATACCAATGCCGGTATCCTGGACAGAAAACCTCACTTCGATGATGTCGGCGGTCTCTTTCTCTTTCGAGACTGAGAGCAACACCGAGCCCTGGCTCGTGAATTTAATACTGTTGGCGAGTAAGTTTGTCATGATCTGTCTCACGCGCCCCGGGTCGCCCATGACTCCGAGGTCGCTCTCGATGTCGGTTGCGATGGCCGAGCGGAAGGTGAGCTTCTTGCGCTCAGCAGCTGGGCTGAGCATCTTGCTCACGTCTCGGACAACTAGCGGGAGTGAGAATTGTACCTCCTCAATGTCCAAGCGCCCAGACTCGACCTTGGATATGTCCAGGATGTCATTGATGACGGTTAGAAGCGCGTTAGCAGATCGGTGGATGTTCTCGGCCAGTTCCTGTTGCTCCTGCCCGAGTCCGGCATCCAAGAGTAGCTCCGCCATACCGATGACGCCGCTGATCGGGGTGCGGATTTCGTGCGACATCTGCCACGGTTGTCAGCATAGCTGAGCTCACATTACATAGCTAGCGAGGCTGGGGCCTACATTTGCCAGGAATTGACTCTTCAGCCTGCTAGCCTCGTTTGCAGCGGCTTCATTGGCAACGAGCTGGCGCTTCTCCTGAACCTGGGTTTCGAGGTCCCGTTCACGGTTCTTGAGCTCGGTAACATCCATGATGAAGCCCACGACGCCCTCGATAACAGGCGGTTTGGCGCCCTTGTCACGAGTCTCCTTGCTGATAATCGGCTGGAAACGTGTGCGGTACCAGCGCCCATCTGTATCGCGTTAACCACTGCCACCATAGTCTCGATACTCGCGGCAGGATCACATACCCATCTCGTGCTCCTCCTCTTGTTCTTTGTGGATCCCTTCTGCTGTCCCGGAAAGTATTCCCTCAAGCGGTTCGAGAAAGGGGGGCATCGTCCCTTCAGGAAGCTGTGGGTTGAGCCTGTTGAACACGCTGTACACATTTTTGCCAATGTACCATCTGGCTTCATTGCTATCGCAGTGAGAATTCCAGATCAGTGCGCCCTCCAGCATCGTAACCTTGCGGCTACGATCGATGTTGAAGATGGTCATGTTTGAGAGAGCAATGACGCTGAGGAGCTGCTCTCGGGTTCTCCTTGTCTCCATCTGCGTCTTGATGTTCTCATGAATATCGGTGCAAGTCCCTAAGTAAAGTGAGCACATGGTTCTTCTCCGTCGTTGAGATCCTTCCCTACCGAACCACTTCTCAATCACACCGGTCTTCTTATTCCTCAAGGGGAGAGCTCTTCCCAGGAACCACCTCCATTCGCCATCGTTTGAACGGCAGCGGTACTCGGTCATGTATGGTTCGCCCGTGGCAAGGGCATGCTTCCATCTCCTCTCGCACTCGGGTAGGTCCTCCGGATGGAACGCGTTCTGCCATCCCCATCCCCGGGACTCTTCCTTTGACAAGCCGGTGTAGTTGTGCCATCTGCTGTTGAAGAAATCGTGACCGCCTTCTGGGGTTGCAGTCCAGACAAGCTGCGGCATCGTGTCGCATATCAATCTGAAACGCTCCTCATCGCCGGCCTTCATTTCCATGATCTCCTCGGTCATTCTCGTGACATCCCGGTAGGTCGTTATCCCGGCGAGGAACTCGCCCGTAACCTCGTCTCGGAGAGTGGCCCCTTCTACATCGAACACCAGCTGCTGGCCGGTAGCGTCGTGCATACCAATACGGCGGCATGCAAAGGGGGTCTCGGTGCGGATCAAGACCGACATAGGGTGCTCGCTCGGGTCGAGCTGCCTGCTGAAGTCTTCTGACCATACCACCCATGACGGGAGCAGGTTGAATCCATCTACCATGCCGTCGGGGTCAGTGTTTCGGTTGAAGAGACTGCGTGCAGCCCGGTTGGGAAACGTGACGCTTCCGTCCTTCCACATGGCGAGAATGGGCGTCTGGATCTTGTCGAGCAGCGCATCCTTCATGAGGGCGATCTTCTGTAGAACCGAGGGCGAGCGAGGTGCCAGCGGTAGTAGGGGAGGACCCAACCCCAGGCATGGCGGCGGACTCGAGGAGTGAGAGACGGCGGGGGTGCGAGACCGTCGCGACAATGGCGATGTGTCACTAGGCGGTATCGGGACTTTCGGCATGCCAATGGCATTCTTGCCGGTCAGATCGGGCAGGCTGGCAACTGAGGTTGACCTTGGGGGCGAAGATATTGTTGTTGGTGGACTGGAGTTCAGGAATGTGAGGGTGAAGAAGGTCAGACCATCTTCGGCCTGCCAAGGCGAGACGATCATCTGAGCACGCGTCCGTGATGCGGCCGGATCCAAGGATGCGCCGGAATCCAACATGCTTCTGCTAGCAAGTCCATGCGAAACCAGGACCTCGACGGCGATATCTGATGGCGGCTTGCGGCGGCTATTGTTGGCATTCGGGATTGGCACAGCGTCACTGCCATCGGGCAGGAGCTTTTCTCTGTTGTCCTGACGGGGCGTCCTGAGCCCGGCCTCCGCAGCAGCCTGGTCGAGGAAATCATGCCAGTCGACCCACACAGGGACGCCCTCTTGGACAAGGTCGACACCAATCTCGGACAACAGCCGGCCCCGGAGCTGGTCCATGACCGGTACCATCGAGTCGGCTTCCTGAACGGCATCGGGCATCAGCCCTAGCAGCTTGCCCATGGCCTCGTTGGCCAGCACCGCTGTTTTCTCGCCATCCAGGACGAGAACGGGCACGGGAAGGAACCGGATGACGGAGAAGGCGACCTGGCCGGGGTTGGTCGACGGCATCGGAAGACGGAGAGGGCGAGCTGCTGGGCGCAGTCGAGGGGTTCCCAACGGATCTAACGGCATGTTCGCGGGAAGCCCATCGCCGTCGTCTTTGTCGGGGTTGATGTTGTCGTCTACGAGGAGAGACTGACTGAAAAGAATGAAATGCATCCGGTCAGCGAGGCAGTGTTGTTTCAGGCCCGATTCTACGGGCGCATCTCGGGTCTGGCGGCATCCATTGCGTGAACTGTACGGAGTAACGGAGTAGGGGGTGGTGGATGGAGGACGGGAGTTAGTCGAGTGATTGCTCCGCAACCGCGACTCCAATGTTGCTATGGTCCGGGGTTGGTTGGGCCTAAGGGACAAACCGTATGTAATGTAACTACCTTCAACTACATGTACATGCAGCACACAGTAGAACGATGAGAAGTTATTAAAAGCTGCGAGTGTGAATGTCCAAGACGTCCAAGAGTCCGTTGACTCGAACCGGATTTCTGGTCATGAGGGGACCGGGGTGAGACGGCACGAAACCTGCTTGGAAGGAGCAAGACCGACTGCACGTGCTCTAGTCAGGGCCGACCGGCAGATACCCCAACAACCTGGAATTGAGAGGTTTTCAGGGTCCTCGTACATCCATGTAGGTACTTCCGTATGCCGCAATATGTACACGGTCTTCATGAATCAGTTACGGCATTCTTAGCCCGAACCCCTGGAGGTGCCCGCTACTGATAGTAATTTGTATATGCCAGCTGTTCATATGCATGCAAAGCGTTCCTGTAGATTATCCGGTCATGCCGGTCTCTGGCAGCCCGCAAATCTGCCAGCTGTCCAGCCGTCAAGAAGACGGTATGACGCGCTGGGGGCGATCGGAATTCTAAGAGCAAGGCGCTAGTCGCGCAGTGAGGTCATCTGCGAGTTGCATTTCTGCTTGGCTGGCAGATCTCCCTCTTCCGTAGCGGTGTGGCCCGGGCTTTTAACTCTAGAAGTGGGTCCGGGAATTCGACGGGAGTCTGGCCCCACAGCAGCCTGCAGCCTGCAGGGGCACTTGATCCAACAATCCGCAGCACCCCTCCTTCTGCAGTGTCTGGCAGTCTGCACACTCACACAGCGCCGCGTACTCCGTACAATCCGTACAGAACTTTACTACAAGCACTGCAGTTTGGATGGAAAGCGGTCATGGCATCAACAACAACCACCAAGTGTCTCATCAAAGGACGCCTCCGAGCTCCTCAGCAGATACCGGCGCCCGTCTCGTACACTCAGGCGCCCAGGATGAAGAGCGAAACACAGGTCCGCTCGTCCGGAAACAATCATGGTAAGCGTGCGCGGACGCCGTGTTGGTTCAGAAAGAAGACAGTCTGCTCTGGTTTGGTTTGCATGCTTACCAGCCGCATCCGTGCAGTTGTCATCTACGAGGTCGTCTCGTTGACCAAGCTGCCCCATCCCTTTGTGAATCCCGGTAGTATCTTGTCACAACGTACCTGAAGCGCCAAGCCGTCGCGAGTCATCAGCGTTCATGCCCCCTCGTCAATCTAATTCCTTTCATTCCGACCTTCGCAGGTGTTCGGACGAGCTGTCCCATCGGACCGGATGTTTTGCTCCCCAACCTGACGGCGACAGAGGGCCACCCTGACGGCACGTGGCTGCCCCGCTGGGTCAAGATATTTCGACCACCTCTGGCGACGATCTGGTGCTTCTTGCGCCGCCGCACCCAAGCGCTTGGCAAGTTGACAAAAACTATTGACGAACCTCATGCTTTCCATCTTTGATGCGGTAAGATGTACCCATACATACAAAGGCCTCGGGAGAAAAAAAAACGGGTTACCAAGCATCCCTCAGACATTTGTCACGACCACGACAAAATCACTTTTCCCGAAGTTCCTGGAGTGGCGCTCCTCCGCCACAACAGCTGCCGACGCAATGGTCCGGGGCTCCCATCCCCACCTTCGAACCCCGCAGCGCAAGGCCCCTCAAGTTTGCCATGGAACGGGACTGTGGGTGGCCGAGGGGAAGTCGGGCTCGATCGGGCCTGGCCATTCGCTCGGGTTAGTTTCCCCAAGACAGGTTCGACCCGGAAGGCGGTACCGGCAAACCACAAGCCCCAAGCCGCTGTGTCTCGGGGTATTCATTCAACGTCGCACCGTTAGAAACATGTAGGTACCAATGGCTCCTCACCTTCTCTCCACTTGCCGAACGGGACTTGGTCCTAGGGCTAGACCCCCGCAGCGCTTATGTACCGCATACTCGGACTTGATAATGCTCCCCCGGGTATCTCTCATATTATCGGTTTCACCCGCTTTTGGTACTGAGTGTTTGTGTGTCTTTATTATTGCTTGACTCGGGACATTGCATTGGCCCTCTCGCCATTATAGCCTCTCCACGTCTCCGCCATGCCCGCCATGCCCGCCGATACCGCCCCCGCCGAGGGCGCCCCGGTGCCATTCTTCATCAATGGCAAGGAAGTGCACCCTGAGAGGAGGTTCAAGGTGGTGTCTCCCGCGTCCGGCAAGGTCGTCCATGAGGCTGCCAGCGCGACCGAGGGAGACGTTCGCGCCGCTGTAGACGCCGCCGCGAATGCCTTCAAGACATGGAAGAAGTCGCTCCCTAGGGTGCGCCGTGACATCTTCCTGAAGAGCGCTGAGATCATGGAGAGGAGGAGGGACGAGCTAGCCCGGTACATCATGGACGAGACGAGCTGCACGCGCCAGTGGGCCGACTTCAACATCAGTACCGCCAAAGACCTCTTTGTCGACGTGGCTGGGAGAGTAGCCTCGCTGGAAGGGAGCATCCCAACCGTCGCAGATCCCAGCTGCGGCGCCATGGTTCTCAGGGAGCCTTATGGAGTGGTTCTTGCCATTGCCCCCTGGTGAGTCGCCATCGATGACCCATTGAGTCTAACCAGTTCCTCCGGTCTGACCCGGCTCTAGGAACGCCCCCTACATTCTCGGCGTCCGCTCTGTGTTATTCCCCATTGCCGCTGGCAACACCGCCATCCTGAAGGGATCTGAGTTGTCCCCGCGGGTGATGTGGGCCATCTGCTCCGTCCTCCACGAGGCAGGCCTACCCGACGGCGTCCTGAACCTGCTATTCCACGAGCCAGCAAATGCTGCCACCATTACGCAGGCGCTGATCGCCGATCCCGAGATCAAGAAGATCAACTTCACGGGAAGCACCATGGTCGGCCGCATTATCGGCAAGCTTGCTGGCGAGCACCTCAAGCCAGTGCTCCTCGAACTCGGCGGCAAGGCGCCGGCCATTGTGTGGCACGATGCGGACCTCGACAATGCGGCGGTACAGTGCGCTCTGGGATCGTTCCTCCACTCGGGTCAGATCTGCATGTCCACCGAGCGCATCCTCGTGCACAAGAAGGTCCGCGCCGAGTTCGAGAAGAAGCTGGTCGGGGCGATCGACAATATTTTTGGCGCTCAACACGACGCTCCCGTTCTGATCAACAGCGTGGGCGTCACGAAAAACAAGAAGCTACTCGCCGACGCCCTCAGCAAGGGCGCCTCCCTGGTCTACGGCGATCCCAACGCCCACGAGGCCGCCCCGACGCAGATGCGGCCCGTTGTCATCAGCGGCATCACGACCGAGATGGACATCTACAAGACGGAGAGCTTCGGGCCGACGGTATCGCTGTACGAGATCGAGACGGAGGAGGAGGCGCTGCGGATCGCCAACGACACCGAGTACGGCCTCACGTCAGCCGTGTTCACCGAGGACCTGCGCACGGGTTTACGCTTTGCCAGGGAGATCGAGACGGGGGCCGTGCACATTAATAACATGACTGTTCACGATGAGACCGCTCTGCCGCATGGCGGTGCCAAGGCGTCCGGCTATGGCCGGTTCAATGCTGCGCAAGGGTTGGCGGAATGGGTCAGGACGAAGACTATCACGTACAAGTATTAGCCTTGTCGGGTAATGAGTGGCTGCGTGAGCGTTGTATAGTTCTATACCACAGCAATACCATTTGCTTCATTCTTTGCTGCCGGTAAAAGGCAGTCAAAACTGACCATCACCAAGAGCCCCGTTTTCTTCACTCGTCCTGCGGAACAGCGATCTCCTTGCCCCCTGAGACGAACCTGCAACCAGCCACCACGAACCTCTTCCAGACCTCATACTCATCGTCATCCCGCGGCGCATACACCATGATGTAGCTCCACGGCATCATCTTAGGCACTCCGCTCAGAGGGTGTCTCTCTGCCCTGCACACGAAGAAAACAGATTCGCATCAGTCTCACAGGTTTTCATCGTATTATTGGACACCAAGCAAAAGAAAAAACGGGGGAAACTCACCATCCCTTCGCAACCGCCTCCTCCGCATCCACCAAGCTCACAGTCACATGCGAGCTGCCCTCCCCATGGACATGCACAATCTCACGCTTCGCCATGCCCATGTACTCAGGCACCTTCTTCACCACCTCCTCCCCAAGGAAGATCGCCTCGCTCCCGACCCCTTCCAGCTTCGACGGTCCCCCCCTCAGGACACCAGCATTCGCCCCCGCGAGGGCAGCCACAAACCTCCGCATGCGCTCGACCATCTCGCCGGACGCTTGCATCGACGTCTGCCGCTGCGGCGCAACGATCGGGAACCCGGGCACCGAGGGGCGGTCGCCCCTCCGCTGCGGTAATAAGCTACCTCCACCACCATCACCATCACCCACATCCCCACCAAAGAAAGAGGCCCGCCCGTACAGCTGGACAACATCCTCTTCGCGCGGGGCGGAGCGCTTGTAAGGCGGCGGCACGGCGCGCCGGTCTGAGGCGCCGAAAGCGAGCAGGCTGAGTGGGTACTGCATGAGGAAGCCGAAGAAGTTGTAGGGCACGCCGCCCGGGCCGAGGGACAGGTAGGTTCGGTAGGAGTGCAGCATGGATGGGAGGAGGGCGAAGATGGTCGGGGGTGCGAGGAGGAGGGCGATTGTGAGGGGTTGGGAGAGAGGTGGTATGTTCCTTGAGGGGAGGAAGCGGTTGAGGGTTTCTGTTAGGGAGTGAATGATTGATGACATCTTGATGGAAAACTTTTGAATTGTGATTTGGATTGGGGAGTTGTGATGAGGACAAGTTTTGATGGCTGAAATGAAGTGAAGCTTGGAGGTTCGCGGTTGATAGCGGGGTTATGTAAGACGGAGAGAGAGACTGAAAGGATTCCGGGTCGAATGATCAATGGCGTATCTATCGGAACCTCAGCCCACCTATATGCACGTTGATTCGGCCAGGCGCAGGCAAGGCGTTTGAATGTGACGCTTTACACCATGTCCAGCCGAGGTTGAGTTGATTGACTAGCAGACAGGCACCCAGCTGAGTTGAAATCGCTTCCGCTTCCGCTTCCTTCTCGCGGAGATCGGAACAGTACGGTACCGAGACCGACGGGGACAACACAATCCGGAAATCACCGAAATGGACATTCAACTTAATACCTTATCTCAGCCGTAACGAATTGGAAGACCCTAATTTCAGCAATGCGATGGTTGAATTCAGGACGTGATGAAAGCCAGACCAACGTGCCTCTTTCGTTGAACCAGTATAAGTATGCTGGAGCCATGACCTAACAAACAGCAGGTATCACACATCTAGACAGCCCAACCCGGTTCTATCTCGTTTTTCGGAACTGCCGGGCCCGCAGCTTCAGAAGAAAACCATTACCTTAGAAGAGAATAATATACACAAATCTCAAAAACAACACCTCCCCCAATCACAATCCCCGCTAGATCCCCGGATGACCGATGACGCCCCTCAAAGCTCCGGCTTGGGCGCGAAGCCGAGCCTCGGCCCTTCCAGGTCAAAGACAGTGAACTGCGCCTTGAGGAAGACGTCGCCATAGATGGCAAAAGGCAGGCCGGCCATGCTCTGGATGCCGCCGTAGCAGATGGTGGCCGTGTCGAACGAGTCGGTGTCGGCAGGCGCAAAGTTGATCAGCTCGCCTGGCACGACCGCCTTGTAGCTGCCGATGTGCAGCGTCAGGTCGGGCAGCGTGGCGTTGCAGGGGAACACCCAGCCGCCGATCTGGGCCGAAGACTTGGCCTGGGGCACCCTGCGGTAGTAGGCGTTGGCGATGGCGGACGGCAGCATGAGCAGCGTCGTGCCCGTGTCGGCGATGGCCGAGTGGCCGACGGGCACGAGCATGGACGCGTTGCTGCCGCTGCCGATGGAGAAGCCCGAGGCCTGGAACTGCCAGAAGCCGTCGGTCGAGTTGACGTCCACGAACGAGAGCGGGCCCGTGAACTCGGTCTCGTCGATGAAGCCGAAGTTGTAGTTGCCGGCTGGAAAGCTTCGTCAGAGAGACAAGAGTCTACCATAAAAAGAAAAATAGAAAATAAAACAGAAACTTACGCTCGGCCTTCTTCAAGTTCGCAGTGAACAGAGGCGACTCCAGCGACTCCAGCGCGTTGGAAATGAACGTCTTCTGCTTGGTCGGGCTGACCGTGTTGATCGAGTCGAAGGCGAGGCCGAGAAGGCCAGAGGACGCGGCGTCACTCGTGAAGGAGGACGACACGCTCGTGGCAGACTCGACGGCCTGGTTGAACACGTTGACGCCACCGACGCTGACCGTGTCGAGGTACACGTTGCCGGCCGAGCGGCTGCCGTCGCCGTACTGGATCGACCAGGTGTGGTTGGAGAGCTTCTGGGCGGTCGAGCTGTCCTCGATGCGGTACAGCGTCTGGCCGTTCTGCTGCCGGCTCGGCGTCTCCGTGCTAAACACCCACAGGTCGGACGAGCCGGTGTCAAAGTTGAGCATCAGGGTCTGCGGCGGGGTGCCGATCTCGACGGGCGCCAGATACTCAACGTCGAAGAGCTGCGGGGTGGCAGACACCTCGCCTGGGGGAGTGTCAGCATGTTGAATCGCGGCATACGCGATGAATCAAGCAACGCACCCTGGTCATCCGTCTCGTTCGTGTAGGGCTTCCCAGAGTTGTGGGCGCTTGCGCTTAGACCGCCTACTTTCCCAGTGGGCAGGTCGATGCCCAAATCCTGCAGGATGCCCTTGAGAACCTCGACGAGCTCCGGAGGCATTTCAATGTTGTACTTCCGGCAGACCTTGGCCAGAGCCCTCGGGCCCTTGGCGTGCTGCTTGAAGTGGGTGTTGTAAATCTGGGGCAGCTTGATCCTGGACCCTCCGACATTTCGAGGCTTGATGTCGGACGGGTCGACCTTGACGACGCGCGGGGCACCGGCAACCAGTGCCGGGGCAAAGAGTGAAGCCGCGAAGGCAGCCGCAGTGAACTTCATGTTGCCGGTGAATTGAGAACGCGCTGGTGAACTCCGGGGCGGTGAATGAATGGAAAAGAGGTAACAGGAAGGAGTGGATGCGGTCGGTTGAGAGGAACTACGAGGGAGAGACAACTCTCTCTCTCACACACTCTTGAGGATAAGTGGTGAACTTAAAAAAGAGAGGCTGGCGTGCAAAAAGCAGTTTTGCAAGACCGGAATGAAAGAGCAAAAAAGTACCAACAGGGTGCGGCCTCCCACAGTTCATGCGATCATATCTGATTTCATGGGAGCCACACTGAGTCAGGGGAAAGAATGTTGCCTCCCCGCCGATCGGTTAGGGCCGTTCATCGCATCACAACTTACACAAAGTCAATCTACACCAGACGGGTACAACCACTGAACAGCCGTCAGGAAGCGCTTGGCACGGGAAACATCCATGATGCTATCAAATCCCAAGCCGCGCTCGGGAAGACCAGCCCGGCGCGGGAGAGCCGTCAAAGGCTCTTCTTGGCAATTGGAAACAATGAGGCATGCAAGCGATCGCCAGTGATTCGAAACACCGACGGTGGAGCGTTCCAGGGCTGTCCTTGGACATCTCAATCTCCCATTCCGGGGCGGTAGACCCCTGATTCGTGCAGCGAAAGACAAACGCAGCAAGCCGAACTGCTGTTGTGCACCGTTTGGTTGGCGATGGGATGATTGGGATGTGATCTGTGGGGACGCAAGTCGTCTTTTCGATCGACCAACCGCTGGGAGGCGCAGGAGGAAAGCTTGTTCATTCTGAAACGGCAGCCATCCGGACCAAATTCCTCGCTTGCGGCGTGCTAGGCAATGGCAAGGGGTAGAGTGCCGGGCTCCGGGGATTCCGGGTTTTCGGCATCGGGTTGTGGAGAGCAGCGGGCGCCGACTCTGGGCTTGGCCCAAAAGATATAAAAACGTAAGGGAGTCCAGAGGTCGATCATGCCAACATTGAAGGACAAGCGAGCGAACACGTTGGTGGTTTGTGTTCCACATTCACAAGCTATTCCTGACTTAACGGTGACGATGAAATGATTTGTTCGATATCGGGAAACCTCAATTATGCGCTGATTCGAGCAGGCTGCTGTGCTACGGATACAACAAAGGCAATGTTTGATTAGTCATTGTTCCAGCGTTCCACGCCCTACTGGACCGTTCCTGCCACGCAAGCGGGCAATTCGCCCCGTGACGCGGCGACGGTGCAGCCTGGTTTTGTCGATTTCTAACGACAACAACCTTCCTGTCTTTGGCGTTCGAGGTGCTTCTTTCTGGGGCTTTTCTTTTGTTTCTAGGAGAACCGTGTGGTTGCTCTGCATGTTGTGTTTCCATATTTCAAGTCGGGTCTCGGCTGGTTGCATGTTTGCTCTCACCCGCCTGGTGTCTCAAGGAACTTGACGCAGAGACACCGATTCAGAAAGACAGTGCATACAGCAAGGCTGCAGCGCTGGAACTCCCAACCCCACACGTACAATGGCGATGGCACGAGAGATCGACCCGGTCTTCTATTCTTTTACTCACCTCAAGCACTTCCCCCGCCAAGATGAAGCGCTGCACCACCTTAAGAAGATTGCTTCCCTAGTGAAGCCGCTCATGCGAGCCCGAGGCTGGAAGGTGCGGACGCTTTCCGAGATGTATCCAGAACAGGCCAACCTGCTCGGATTGAACGTCGACAAGGGCCACCAGATCCTGATCCGCCTCCGCGAGCCGTTTGACCGCAGCCAGTTTCTTCCGTTTGAGAAGATGGTCGACACGATGCTGCATGAGCTGTCTCACATCGTCCACGGGCCGCACGACCACAAGTTCAACGCCCTGTGGAACCAGCTGCGCGAGGAGCTCGAGGGCCTGATGACGAGGGGCTACACCGGCGAAGGTTTCTTGGGCAAGGGCCAGCGCCTCGGCGGTCGAAATATCCCATACCACGAAGCCCTCCGGTTGGCCCGCGCGGAGGCCGAAAGGCGTAGGCCCCAGCCGACGGCGTTCGGAGGGTATAGATTGGGTGGTACCGCACCGCGGCCCGGTGAAGACTTGCGCTCCGCCATCCTGGAGTCTATCGAGCGGCGGCGGAACACAAGCGAGCTCGGCTGCGCCAACAACAACCGCAACGAGCGCGAGATTCAAGCCATCTCTCAGACTTGGACGAGAAACGGGTTCCGGACGCAAGCAGAGGAGGACGCCGCCAACGAAGCGGCCATCGCGCAGGCCTTGTGGGAGCTCGTCCAGGAAGACGAGAAGCGCAAGTATGGCAACTCGTACCTACTCCCAGCGCCCAGAAGCCGTTTGGCAACGGCGGCGCCGCCTTTCTTCAGGACCTGGATCCCCGCCGTGGTGCTGACTTCGTTAGGAATGCCGAACGTCCCCCGCCTATTCCGACTGCCACACGGCCACCCGCGCGACCGAAGTCTCCCGAGAGAAGAGATTTCTGGGCATGTGGACTCTGCACGCTGCACAATCCGCTACATGCGAGCGCTTGCGATGCCTGTGGAACGCGGCGCCCCTCGGAGCCATTCCGGACCGGTCCAAGGTAGGGCAAGCTGAAGACGTCAGGTAGTTCTGTCGCATGAGACTGTCCTAACTGTGCATATGCAGAGAGGCAATAGATCTCACTGAGAGCCCACCGAAGAAGAAGCCAAAACCTGCGGCCGCGTCTGCAAGAACGGTGGCACCACCGCCAATACCGCCGCGACCAGCGACTTGGCGGTGCTCATTCTGCAGCAATGTGATGGAGAGTCAGTGGTGGACATGCTCGCTGTGTGGCAAGATGAAGGAGAGCTCATGATTGCTTACGAATTGATCACTTAGGATTACTATGTTGATAGATGACCTAGATACCAACGAAGCCTTTGACGCTGAATCTGTTCCATTTCATGCGTGTAAAGTCTCAGCCTCTGCTGTTATTCAAGCTGTGATTGATTGTCCGTAACCAACCCCTAAACCGTAACCCCAGCAACAGAAATGCGACCCCACCGTAACGTATCGATACGCCAGAATTCCCGATGACGACGGCAGCACCGCGACTCGGATAAGATAGACATGGCCAGCCGCGCTGCTGTTCAATTTGCGACCTGCAGGAATGTTCTCTTGGTCTCTTGGTAATTCGTTTCCTTAGACAGCATATTCTCTGTATCCTTAAACCATACTGCCATGATCAGACTTCTTCCGTCTCCAATAAATCCTACTACTAGTACTTACTAGTAGTTTCGCCCAATTCTGCCCCGCGCCTTCGAAGCAAGGCGACGTGCTAGCAGGAGCACCCGCCTAGAACCTAAGCATACCACCACCCGGTCAATTCAATATTCCTATTCTCGGTATAGCATAAGCTAGCAACGGGCAACGAGTCTACCACAATGCTTCGCCGGCCCCCAACCGTCCTCTCCCTCACGCCCGAGGACATAGCCGACTACGAAGACCGCGCGGCCGACCGCGCTCGCGCCGCCGAGCTCGAAGCCCGCCGTGACGCCCTTTCCGCCGTCCACGCCGCGAGAAGGGCGGCCGTCGCTGCCGCCACAACGCCCGTCACAAGCGGCGGGAATCACCACCCTAATGACGACGTTGGCATGCGGGGCGGCTTCCCGGCGATGGGGAGGAGGAGGATGCCCAGCAGTCCCCCAGAGCACCAATTCAGCGACGACGATGAAGACGACGACGCTCTGCTCCAGCACGACGAAGATGACGACGAGGAGGTGGAAGAAGCAGAGACGTCGTATTATGCGCGCGCCCAGGCGCAGGCCGCGAGGGTGGTCAGTTTCGGGCGGGGACCTCTGCCGGGCCATTCACACCACCATCATCACCAATATGCCTCTTCAGAAGAAGGGGAGGAAGAAGAAGAAGATGGTGACGAGGATGACGACGGCATGGACGTGGACACATCACCCCAGCGCCACCCCCACCCCCGCCAGCGTTACCAACGCCAACACCACCACCAACACCATCGCCCCGCCCCCGACCCCGTCCCAATAACAGCAAACCCAACCCAGCCCCACACTCTAATACCACCAGCAGCAGCAGCAGCAGCATCATCCGCAATAGCAGAAACACCCACCAACAACCCGCGCGAGACACGGCAACCACCACCAGCGCCACACCACGGGCAGCAGCAGCAGCAGCGACGGCGGACAACACGCGAGAGGACAGCCGAGCGCGAGACGCGGCTGCGCGCCGGGGCCGGAACCCTGCAGCCACCACAGCGGGCAGTGTCGTCATCGACTACTACTACTACCGGGGTGGGTGGTGGACAAGGAGGAGGAACGGCAAGGGGTACTATTACTACTACTGCAGCGACGGCGGCGGCGGCGGTGACGCCCGAGGCGAGGGTACAGCGGAGTCGGGACGAGCGGATCGGGGTCGCTGCGCCGCGGAGGGGGCGGTCGCATCAGCTATGATTTTCTTTGCCCCCTCCAACAAGTCCAAGTCTTTGCTGCAAGGGGTGGGTGGATGGGTGTCGTGGTTTGGGGGATTACTATACTCGGTTCAGGTGGGAAGTGATGGGCGGGGGAGTGGGGAGAAGACTCTGTACGAGTTCAGTGAGTCTGCTTTAGCTGTATGATTAAAGATGGGCATCGCACTAGACGGGCATTGTCTTAAGGTATAGACTAGATATCATGTCAGGAGAAGCAAGCAGGCAAGTGTTTGAGCGAGCATACGCTGTATCATCATGGCAAGATCATGGCTGGAAAGAGGTAATCTGAGAGACACACGGAGGGAATTAATTAACTGTCCCCCGGGGGCAACGAATACCAGCGTATATTAATCCAGATACACACTCAGCCAAAGATTGTGCTGCGTGTCCCATAACCGGGTATCATTGTTCTCTTTAAGGTATCAAGAAGGCGACTATAAAACTGCTCCGCTCCGCTCTCACCGAGTAGCGCGCCACCGACTTGTACCTATCACTCCCCTCCTCGTCGGTTCAGTGTGCTGTGCTAGTGACAAGCCACCACCTAGAATAGCCGGATCATGCCTAGAAGGCCCAAAAGCAGAGCCATCCATCCATCCACTCATCCCCTCATTCTCTCCTCCAGTCATCCCAATCTGACCGTTCTTTCCCAGGATGCAAGGATGGGTTCGCACCGCGTTTGTCCCTCTTGCGACAAACACCGCGCCAGACATGGAGAGCGTCCACCCGCCCACCAAAAAGTCCCTCTTTCTCATATGCAAGTACTACATAAGTTATTACAGCAGAAACGGATGCCAAAGCCCAAAGAACACACAAACTCTCTTCCTTTCTTTTTCTGGGGGTTCGTTGCTACCCCTGATGATCGTTGAAACCCCTGCCAGAGCCGAAAATAAACCGGAACGCCTTGCTGTGTGGTGGTATGATGGATGCAATGCCTGGCGGTGCAACGGATATAAAAAAAAAACCAACTCCAAACGCAAACGCCGTGTCCTCTGATTCTCCTTTCTCTTTTCGTTTTTCTTTCTCTTTTTTCCAGTCCGAACTTCCTCTTCAGCGGCCAACCTGCAGAAACGACGGGGCCCCTCACCACGGCGACATCTGCGACGGCGGCTCTTGCGGAGGCGAGCCCTGCGGCGGCGAACCCTTCGCCGGTACCTTCATCTTAAGCTTGATCAACTTCCTAGGGCGATCGGCGGGCTGCTCCCCGTTCGGAGCGGGACTCGGCGCCGGCGACGACTGATGATGAGGCGCAGCCGACGGCAAGGGCTTGCGCTTCTTGACGGCGGCCGGGTCTACACCGTTGACTCCCGAAGGAGGGCGTGGATCCACCGCGGGTGACTCAGGGCGGGCGGCCGAGGTGCCGGCGTGACCGGGCAGGGAGGTGCGCTTTGCCGGGGTGGCAACGATGGTTGACGCGACAGCAGGAGCAGCCTGGGTAGCCCTTTCGGTCTCGATCGCCGCCCTGGTGTGCGCTGGCAACCTGTCCCAGGCAGTGAACGGAAGGATGACCATCTTCCGCAGCCGGCCATTTGCGCCGTTCTGCACCTGCGCCTTTGCCACCTTTGCGATCTTTTTCGGACGGTCGACTCCCTCGCCGTCGTCGCTCTTCCGCTTCTTGGGAGGCTTGGGCCGCTTCTCCGCCACTGTCGCTGCACCGTTGGGTTGCTGACCATATGCCGGTGCAAGGGGTGGCGAAGATGCCACCGAAGGCGTCGACACCCGCGCGAGAGGCTGCACCGAGATGGAGTCTGACGGACCCAAGGGGCCCATCGGAACGGCCGCAGGCACCGCCGGTCGAGGCATCGTGACCGAGATGGAGTCTTTCCGCACAAGGGGCGCCGGCGTAGGCGGGCCATTGTTCGAGGGCCCGCTGAAAGACAGCTTTGTGCTGAGTTTGATCTTCTTCGGCGCCTCGGCGGGCTTGGGCTCCCATGGCGTGTCCGGCGCCGGCTCCATTTTGATCTTGTGTTTGGGCTCGGTGCGATAATGCTGCGAGAACCTGACACGGCACTGCCTCTTTTGCCGCGGGTCTCGTGGCGCGGACGGGTTCCCTTCAACAACAGCAGGCTCCCTTGTGCAGCGCCAGTAGAGAGGGTATTTGAAGGTCACGAGCAGCTGGTCGTCGGGCTCGAACATAGCCGAGCAGATCGTCAGCAGCTGTAACTTCTCCTTAACACTGAGCACAGAGGATTCCACCGCCTTCCACACGGCCTCCTGCAGCTCGGTGTTGCCCTTCAATTCCTCTTTCAGCGCTGCAAGCGCTTGCTGGATGCTTTGGGCCCTCGTGGCGTCGAGCTTCCGCCGGTGAATCTCCGCCTCACCCAGCTCGACGATCAGACCGCTGTCGTCAACCACGGCCTCAGGCTCCGGCTGGGCCACCTTGTTCTCACCCAAAGCAATGGCCGCAATGCCTTTGCAGAAGATCTTGAAGAGGCGGTCGCGGACGAAGGGCGAGGGATCAGTGCTGACGCTCGCCAGCAGTAGCTTCATAATCGACACCTTGGAGAGCAGCCCAAGCTCGACGAGACACTCATACGCCTTGATCCTTACGAGGTCGGCGTTGCCGTCTTGGAGGTACCTAACAAACTCGATCGGCTCTAAGCCGATGACACCGGCCTTCATCAGGCGCATTTTGCATTCCAGGGCCGTCGTCGTCCAGATATTCTGGTATGTCGAGGTCCACTCGTCCATGCGGCGGTACTTGTCGATCTCCTCAACTGCCTTGTCAACAAAGCGCTTCAGTTCGGCGTCGTCATCGCCGTCCATCTCGAAGTTCATGGAAACGTCCCTCTCCCTCTCGTTCTCCCGCTTCTCGGGAATAATCGAAGTGGTCAAGGCCGTGAGCAATTTGGCGATGTAAAATTCGTCCGAATAATGATTTTGTGAGTTGTCGTTAAACAGCAACAGGTCAAGGAGAAAGTGGCGTGCGTGCCGCGGACACCGCCCGTTTTCTCTCGTGCGCGAGATGGCGACGACAAGAGCGCACTGGACTGCGTACTGGGCCCTATCTATGAAATTGTTTGGCAGCGGAGGGAAAGACAGAGTGCTGTTCTTGCCCATCACCCGGCCGCAAAAGAAGTGCCGGAACAGCAAGATGAGCTGCGCGCTCCCGATGTAGTTGAGATCAGGGTGCGCTTGCTTCGGAAGGTCGTCTATGGCCATGGTGCGGATGCCGTGGTAGTAGCGGCGGTCCATCGCCGTCCGGGTCTCAATGGTGGAGGCGACACCATGCCGCCGCCCGCGCTTGAAGAAGAGTAGCGCATCCTGGTGGGCGACGACGTCTCTGTCTTGCTGGAGCTGGGCGAGGTACATGTAGCCGGGCATATCAGTCACCATCTCGCACAGCCACTCGAAATTGCAGTCCAGCCGGATCCACTCATACGACTCCTGGTCCATGTTGGCCTGCACCTTCTCGTCCCAGTCCTGGAGGCCCCAGTCTTCGATGTCCTTGGGAGTCATGAGCACATCGCCAAGCATGTTAAAGTAGACGACGTCATCCTCTGGGATATCGTGCTTATCGGCAGAGTGACCGGCCGCTGCCGCCGTAGCCTTCTTCGTACGCTTCATTCGCTTGTACTTCGTATTGTAGGCGATTTGAAGCGTCGTCGCTGACTTGTCCTTGTCCGTGATAGCGAGGTAGTGCTCATAAGGTGTACCGTCGGCTTCATGGACTCGGACTGTGAAAGGACCGGTAAACAACTTGGGCACCGTACCAGCCCAGACCTCGTGCACTTCTTCGAGGAGCTCCTTGAGGAATTCCTCCTTGGTGATGGTCTTTGGCCCGTTGGCTTGGCTCTGCACCTGGTTGATGGAGATGTCAACGTTCAGGTTCTTCTTATTGAACTTCTGTTTGATATGCATCTTTGGGCAGCCGGCGCCGTGCACCCACTGGTTCCAAAGTTCGTCAGACCGGTACTGGCTCTTCTTATCGCACAGGCGCCGGAATTCCGCGTCGGAGAGCGACGTGCTCTCAAGCGTAGCATTGATGTTGGAGTTTGAAACGATCTGGGAGATGACGCGGACGATGCCCGTGGAGCCCGGCACCTTGGACATGCGCTGGTCGAGGATGAAAAGAACCAGCGGTGCCTTCAGGGACATAAACTCCAACTCGAAGTCGCCAATGTGGAGATGGTCGCCAAGGTCGTAGAGAGACGGCCGGTGAACGTCGACCTCGACCAGCTTGTCAGACAATGTCTTCAAGTGAAACCTGTACCAGTTGTTGCCACAAATGCTCCTCATGAAGAGGTCTGTCATGAACCACTGGATGCCGACAATGAGCCAACTGTCTGACCGCTTGTTTGGGACAATATGAACGCCGAAGTACTGGCTGGCCAAGGCGTGGACCAACTTCCTCGTGACTTCGATCTCGGTGTCAATGATGTCCTCCCGATAGAGCAGCCTGGTGCTGCAGAGCGACATCGAGGTCGCGCCAACGGTGTCCTGGACCATATCCTCGACGAAACACATCTTGTAACTCTCATACGGATACCTGCCAAATTCAGGCGCGAAGAAGTCCGCAGCCTGTACAACCGGGGGGCAGGTATACAAAACCTCGTCGGCACGGTTGGGCAAGCAATACGCGTGAATTTTGGCGGCATTAGCTCCGAGCTTCTCGTCTGCTTCCTCCGTGCGGAACTCGGACCACAACTGGAAGTGCTCGAATGGGCCGATGGCAAACGCAATCTGTTGGGCCGCCGAAAGCTGAGACTCGAAGATCATGATTTTCTTCTTGTCGTCTAGCGGATCGATCTGCTCGCCGGCCAGATTGCCAGAACAGACGACCGTCATTTCCATCACCTTGTCCTCCTCCGCCAGAACTGGCGGGGACCAAGGCAAAGGCTCCTCCTCTCCGAACTTCCGCTTCCGGCTTCCGTTTGCAGTGGACCCAGATGCTCGCTGCGTGGCCAAGGGCTGCTCGAACACGTCACCCAGGGTCCGCGGGCATTTGATCGATAGCTTCCACGGATGTCTCGATCCCGGGTCGTCTACGCAGGGGAAAATGCAGGACGCAGTGCCCGGCTCGAGCGAGTGACGCGTATACGCGTGGGGATACCTCGTGTCGCCGTCGTCAACACCCACAAAGTGCACGCCGTCCCTGATGCTTTTGGACCGAAAAGGAATGGAGATCTTAATCCCAGTCTTCTCGTAGTCGGTGGAATCGGGACTATCCAGATGCGCATCCTCTTCGGTTTTCATGGGCTTGATTTTGAGCGTGCGCCGGGGCTGATCTTGGAGGACACCGTCAGGGCGCAGGCACACCTTGAGAGCGCGGTCGGCCGGAACACAGCACGGGCGTGGTATTCTATCCTTAGCAGGTACTTCGGGCCGCCGCGCAGGTCTCAATGGCGCCATGCGCTTCTTGATGAGATGATGCTGGGCACCGGTGACAGTCCACATCGGTGGTGTTCTGGCAAGATCATACGGGTCCGAGAAGGAGGCCATCGTCTTGAACCCATCCACAGTGATATTGCTCACGTCTATTTCGCACTGCCGCGCATCGAGGCAGATCTCTTCCAGGTCGGGTTTCAACGTGAAGAGATGTATTGTCGACACGCCACTGATGCTCTTCTCGCGAAAGTTGACCTCGAGCTCGACATCTTGCTTAAGAATGACGAAGGGCTCGGCGCCGGCAGGTAGCTCAAGCTCGGACGCGGGGGCGGGATCACCCGCAGCTTCGTTTTCGAGTAGAGCCGGCATTTTGACGGCGGATGCGCTGGGCTCGGAAGGCCGGTGCGAAGTCATGAGAGGGTAGGGGTCGCCAGTTCTCGAGTCGGAAAGGACGTAGAAATCGGTCGGTCAGCCGACCTCTCGAGGTTCGGAAAGTCGGCGCGGTTCAATCGGTCATCGCAGAGAAAAGGATTTGCTGAAAGCAGCGGGAGAGATTAAGGCGCGTGTGTGGATGGTGACGTGTTGAAATGCGCAGATCAGGCATGAGTTGGAGAGAAGAACTTGTGGCTATGAGAGCAATGCGCCCGAGAGCAAGTATTTAAGCAACGGGCACGACGCAGCCGTCTATGCCAGCACCAAAGCAATAATCGCCGCCCGTACCCAAAGAACGGTATCTTGACGTCGTTCAAAAGAAGAACGGGCCCCCCAGAGCAATATCTGGTGGTTGAGACGAATAGAGAATGCCTGAATCATAGGTATCCGTACTCTGTCGGTACCGTAGGGACGGTTTGCGACTCGGGATGGTGATCGGACGGTCTTGGGCGCGTTTGGACTTGACGACGTCTGAAAGTTGCAGCCGAGGTTTTGCCGATTCGCACACGGTCTGGTGGGGCTTTATGTGGTCGAAGCTTGGGGAGGCGACGGGTTGATCCGATACGCAGGCTCGACCTCGAATGAGCTCGGCGCAACAACATCTGGCTGGTGTAATCCGTACAGAAACACGTGCCATTTCTACGAGCAAAGACCTGGCAGCGAGCGACATATGTACAAGCATACCAGGCCTCTCACCTCATTCAAGCCACCAACAATAGGGAAATTGAAGGCAAAAGGGTATCATTAACCTAGGTATTGTACCAGTTACATCATTGCCAAGATGTTTGTGGTTTGTCAATGTTCAGAAGGTACTCGAGGTACTGTACACTTACAGAATATCCTGACAGGATATGTCAGTTGAGCACCCGGTAGGACACCTAGCGATTCGCCCCGACAATTGAAAGCGTTCCTGTGGTACATGTTGTTCTAGCACATAAGAAGAGCACACTGTGTAGCCGTAGAGCTGTACGAAGTATACCCTAGCACCGTGTCATGTCCCCCATGAGGGCGTTGTCTTGGCTCTCGGAGCACCTCGGGCCGTCCGGTGGCGTCAACATACGGTACCTTACCATGCAAGCCGAGTGAAACAAAAGCCGCTACCCGTCACACGGTTCTGGATTCCTCAGGCTGTTTTTTTATAAGGGCCTCGAAGCCAGAAACTGCTTCAGTTAAGGTAGCAGAAAATTCCGTTCGATATCTCCGCTGCCTTCTCATGACAAGCTCCAAAAAGGGGGATAATAAGGCAGATGTCTACTGTGTATAACCGGCACTCTGACTCTATATAGTACGCCCGTCACCACCGACCCTCCTTTTGACAATGCGTTATGTAGCCTCTCCTGATGGAAGGCACTCCCAAAATGAACAGTTAAACCTGCTGCCTCAGGTCCCGGGAGCGCAGTCATAAATGACGCGCATATGAATGTAAATGTATGTATGCGCCACTCAAGCATCCTCATTTCCTCACTCTCTTGTCCCTCCTCTTCGTCCTCGCCCGCGATCTCAGGGTATCCTCATCGCGCAACTCAGCGGGCAACTCAAACTCCCTCTCGGGCATATCCGGTATCGGGTGGCCCCACGCCAGCACCTTCCGCCCGGTCCGCCGGGTTTTGCTCAGCGCCGCCTCGCGCTGGTAGCGCTTGGCAAAGAACGAGGTGAACTCCTTGGGCGGTTCTTCCGGGGGTGCGGATGATTTCGGTGGCGGTGCGCGACGGGACGGCGGTGGTGGTGCCACTGACCCCGCTCGGCGCGACGCGACTCCCCGCCTTGACGGGGCCCCCATTTTCTTTCTTCTCCCTTTCCCCTTCGTTGCAGCTGCCAGCGCCTCCTCGCGGAGCTGCTTCGCGATCTCCGCGTCGACGTCGCTGTCATGGTCGTCGCCGTCATCATCAGGCGGCTCGCCCTCCTCTTCCTCTTCCCCATCGTCTCCACTCCCATCATGCTCAGCCTCACTACCTCCCACCACAACATCATCTTCTTCTTCCTCACCGTCATGTCTACTACTCCCTTCCCCAACCGAGTTCCCCTCCTCCTCTCGTTTCTGCAGCCGCTCCAACCGCATCCTCTTCTCCTCGGCCGCCCACCGCCGAAACTTCTCGAGGATCCCTTCGCAGCCCTTGATGAAGTGCTCGCGCGCAGGCTCAAACGCCCGCTTTCGGCTCTCGGTCACGCCGCTTACGCCCATCACCCGCAGCCAGTCAGGGCCCTGTAGCCCGTCCAGCAGGCGGATGACCTGGTCGCGCTCGTGCTGGGCGCGGCCCTTCTCGGTGTTGCGGATGGACCGCTCCAGGCGCTCGGCTTTCCTGTGGGCGGAGGTGTAGAGCGTGTCGGGGAGCGGGTCGGATGAAGGGGGGACATGGTTAGCAGAAGGGTGGTTGTGGTGGTGTTGATGCTGATGCTTTTTGGTGTTGGTGTTCTGGTTTAGAAAGCTAAAATCGATTCGTTGTGCTTCGAAGAGGTCGGTGTAGAGCGCATCGCTGTAGCTACGAATTGGGTATGTTTCGGGTGGGTGGGGCCGGTGATGATGTAGGTTGTGTTGATGCGGTGGTGGAGCTTCGTCTGTGATGACGATAGGGGTGTCGAGGTTTAGGAGGTCTGTGTGCCGGGTGTGGCATTTGATTAGCGAAGGATCAGAGGGAAAGGGAAAGGTAGTGATAATGAGCAATCGATTGAGAGGATGCTACTCACGGGTCTCCTTTGGGTCGTTGCCAATGACTTCATCGTATTCCGGGAAGTAAGCCGAGAGCTCGCTCTTGAAGCGCGTGACTTCTTGTGACCGCAACTTGCGGCCCTCGTGCTTGGTAGTATCTTCCGCATTCGGCTGCAGCCTGCTGAGCTCGTGCTTCAACCCATTGGCAACCTTCTCTTGATGCTTGGTTCGTGTTGGCCGCTGCCGGGCGCTTGTAGAGGTCGTTTTTGGGGGGCCATCGTCGTTCGCAAGAGGGGCGGCGCGGCGAGTCGTCGGCGGGTTAGGGGCTGCCGCAGCGGGTTTCGGGGTTGGAGGCGGAGGTGCCGGTTTCGCGTCGGTCGGCTCTCTCGACAATCGGGTATGGAAGGGCGGCCTCGCCGGAATCTCTACTGCGATTCCGGTGGTGAACCTGGCTTTCTTGTTCACGATGTTGTCGAGGTCGCGTTGGGGGGCAGGGCGCTTGCGGGGCGGCGAGCTGCCAGTGATATGGAAAGCCTGGTCCTTCGCATTCACGAGCAGGCGACGGGCATTGACGATGCTTGAGTGAGAGACTTGAGAAGTGTCGGCTCGTCGCGAGCGTGTCACGGTGCCGGCCATTGCCATCTTCAGGCACTGATCATAGCAGCAGAGCGTGCTCGATTGAAATTAGCGATTGAATTGGCCACCGTTGGCCCCGAGCTGATGGTTTGGGGTTTCCGCTTGGCGGGTTTGGATGCGAACTGACCAAGAGCGATTGCTTGCCGGTTACGTGCAAAGGTGGCGTTTGCACACTGCCATTTCCCGGGCCCTCCTTTACAAGCCGTTTTTTTGACGCGCATGAGATCCTGAATTGATTGATTCCTTTCGATGACGATTGTCTGCCGCAATTCCAGGTACAGGACGTGTATTCACCAGGCGCTCAGCCGCTTCGCCTTAGTGTTGGGACGAATATCCAAGCGTTAACCCTGACCCTTAGCAAGCATCCCGTCTCAAGTCTCCAATACACCACAATACTAGTACTAGGAGCCCTTGGATTCAGTTGATTGACATTGTTCACCCGCAACGCTGCATCCACAATAGACCACAATAGGAATAGGAATTACTACTAATGGTTCCAGATACAGGACTCCCAAAAAAAAAGGGGTTAGGTAACCGGCAAGATATAGGAGAGAAAGAAGAGGAGAGAGAGAGAGAGAGAGGTGCTGCCGTAGCAACGAGGGAAGGGAAAGGAGAAAGGAGCAAAGATGGATATAGAGTAATTCTCTCAACTCTAACCATAGATTTCCCTTCACCCATCAAACGGAGCTATCCCCTCGAACCACTACGGCAACAGTTTGGTGACATTGCCAGACACAGGCCTTAAGCATTGCGTAAAAGAGTATCTACCAGACAGGTGCAGGTGTGTTAATTTGATAAACTTCGACCTCTAAGATCCAAGTTCGGCTGATGTTGATACCTGATCCGTATAGTATAGCTACATCCAGCTACAGACGGGTAGTTTAAGGTGGTAGAGAACTACTAATATATCGAATTAAACGCTGGCCAGCATCTACAAGGAGATCGAGCAACAAGCAGGGCGACCCAAGAACTGACTGCAGACTGCTCAAGAGCATTCGATTCAAGGCACAGCAAGGCCTATTAAGTTATACCACTAATTGCCTCGAACGCCCCCATGTCCAACCCAACCATTGTCTCATTGCATGACCCACAATCCCAAGCCGTGACGAGTCATCCGAGCCAGTCGTAACGTCATCAAGCCCAGTCCCCCATGCAGAGCACTCGTTATCATCCCAATCATCCCATCATCCCATCATCCCATCATCCCATCATCCCATCATCCCATCATCTATGTACATTCATGAAGAAGCCACCACGCAGTGGTGTATCTGTAGGTATACGTGTGCCGGGAGAGGAAGCGTCACAGACCCTTCCACACACAAAACTCTCAAAAATGAAATAACCTTCCCGTCTGTCTGGTATCCAGACCAGTCCCCCCTCCTCCTCCTCCTCCTCCTCCTCACAAACAACTCCCTTCTCCCTGCTTCCCTTCTTCAGCAAGCGCCGTAGCGAACGCCTCTCTTCCCCACCTCTTTCCGCCCGACAGGACATTCAGGCAAGATCCAGCCCCTGGCCCTTTTCGCCTCCCTCTTCTCAGCCAGCTGCGGCTGCGGCATCCAGTTGTCCCGCGGCAGGGCCTTCCTCCGGGTCCCGTCGGCGGGGGCGCCGATCTCGCTGCGCCAGTGCGCATGGCCCGGCATGGGCTCATCGCCGGCCAGCATGCACAGGCCCCAGAGGGCGAGGCAGGCCGTGAGCTTCGCGTCGTCCGGGTGGTCGGGCGCGACGAACTCCTCGTCGGCGCTGGCCAGCTGCACGCTGGCGACTTCCAGGAAGCCAAAGTGCGGGATGGTCTCGGCGCCGTTGCGCACCACCACGAGTTCGATCTCAGTCAGGATGAAGCCGTAGCGGCAGCCGTGCTCGCGCATGGCGTGGTGCAGGTGGGCCAGCCCGCGCAGGTACTCGACGCGCTTGATGTTGCCCTCGACGCGCATGCCTGTGTTGAAGCGGTCGAACGACTTGACCAGCCCGACGACGCGCGCCGTGGGCTTGCCGCCGAAGATGGCGGCCGCCGAGGACGACTCGCCCGCGGCGTTGGCCACGAACATGCAGTCTGTGGCCATGCCCATGTTCTGGGCCGAGGTGGTCTTGGGCGGCGCCGAGAGCTTGAGCGGTCGCTGGGAGCAGAGCGCGAGGGCGTTGTTGAGCTTGGGCAGGTAGTGCGCCGCGTAGATGGCGTGGAGCGCGGCTTCGGTTTCCGGGTGGCGCTGGCTTGGCAGTGGTGGGTTGGGCAGCAGGGCGGACGAGACCGGCATGGATAGGCAGGCGCTGGCTCCGGGCATGGAGAGGATGGAGGATGCGGTGAAGCCGGTCCACGGGCGGACTTGCCGCACGTCCCACCAGAAATGCTTCGTGTTGGGATCCCGGAGCGGGAACGAGAGGGTGCGGACCAGTGACGGCGCCGGGTTGGGCGAGGTGAGGTAGGAGTAGAGCGTTGTCGATGGGACCATAACTTCCGGCGTGATGGGTGCTGCGGCGGCCAGGGGGGAGGGGGCGCGAGGCACGAAGTCCTGGTAGAGGAAGGGCCCCGGCGTCGCTAGGTGTGCCTGGGGCTGCGGCTGCGGCTGCGGCGGAGGGGTAGGACTGCTGCTGGCCCGGGCCGGAACGTACGCGGCGGGCATTTGGTAGCCAGGGAAGTAGCTGTCCACCGTGACGTTGCCGAGACTGCATGAGGACGCCCTCCTGGAGTGCATCACCGAGGACTCGCGGGCGAAGTCAACAGGGGAGCACAGCAGCGGAGCCGGGTTGCTGTCCTCGCCGAAGGAAATGGCAGAGGAGAACGAGATGGTCTCCGGGTTAGTCATGCTGCGGCAGTGCGAGGGCCGATAAGCACTCTTGTTCGGCCCGACAGGCCCTGATGAGGTCCTGGCGCGCTTCGTGCCCCGCGGGGCGACACTGGAAGTGGAGGGCACGATGGCCTGGTCTTGGCTGCGGATCTTGGGAAGAAGCAGTGGCCCACGGGTCCGGATGGGCGATCGCGCCGGAGTTGTCTGGCGAGTGCTCGGGGTGGGGACCGAGTCGGAGGGGGACGACTGGAAGGAGTAGACAGATCCATGCGAGCTGGAGCGAGCGTGGCCCGGATTGTACGGGATCTCCAGGAGAGACGGATCAAAAGAGAAGCTCGGAGGCGTGGTAGGATCGCATGGCGGGAAGGTGAAGTCAAAGGTGACATCCGCTGCCAGACTATCGTCGCTGTGAGCATATCGTTGACCACTTCATGGTGCGAGATGGGGAAACTCACGTGGACATGTTGACGGTTGGTCAAGCGTGTGTCGAGGACACACGGCAGCAGATTAGAGATTAGTGTGTGAGAGAGAATGTTCCGCGAGGAGGCAAGTGGAGGCCGGCTCCCTTGGTGTAAGTGAAAACAATAGGAGATGGAGAAGGAAACAAGGTGGTTCGGGAATCTCGACCACGCCTTTCCAGACAATCCCACTTGCTTTGAGATTAGAGATGAGGATGTCTGAGGATGGACAGAGCAGAACGACAGGTAGGAGGGAGGAGAGGCCATACTTATCCGCGGCGGCAGATCATGGCCGCATCCATAGGCTACAGATGGCCGCCGCGGGGCGGGCCCGCGATGCGAGCACCAGCCGACTCGCGGTGTGAGTTCCCTGGAGTCGCATCCATGGATCATGGCTCGTGGGTGTGGACCGCGAAGTGAAGAAAGAAGCGCGGAGTGGGCCGCGAGATCCCGCGCCATGACCGGGGGTTCAGAGCAGTGTAAGTGGTACGTACCTTCTGAGAAGTCAGGTACCTTAGTACGTACCCGGCCTACCAGAGCTGCAGCTGATGTCGCCCTAAAAATCTGCAAAATTGCCATTCGATGAAAATAAACCTGAAACACGGAGACGAGCTTGTCCTTTTGCGGGGTGGACGGCGGATGTTGCGGCCACACAAGGACGCCCAATTCCCGGTTCGGACGACGGGCATCAGATGAGAGCACAAAGACGGGTACGTACTTTGCCGCCTGCGCCTGGCGCCTCTGAATACCGGAAAGGGGACATCAGTCAAATCCGGGCATAGCTATCGCCCGGGCCAGCGTCTGGAGTTCGTGACAGCCAGGGACAGGAACAGGCGCTGCGAATGTGTCGAGCTGGGGCAGGACCGCATCTCGTGCCCAAACCAGCACAATGAGTTTGGAAGTGGAACTGAAGCTTCTGCAAAGGCCCAAGCTCCCGTCCTCCTGCCCGATTCGTCTGTCCCAACAATCCGAGCCATCCCCCCCACGACCGCTCACCACCCAAAAAGTCAAGAGAACAACCACGAAAGTAAAAGTCGGTCCAATGGGCTCGAACGTTGCGGACGGTTCAAGTCGACGCGGGCTCCGGCACGCTGATTGGTCCCATGCCTCGTTCAAGCAAGCCGCCTGCGGGCGTCTAGTGAGTCATATTCGGACACCTGGCGGGCACTGCATTAGCGGCCCTTGTCGCTGTGCGACCCCACCTCAGGCACGCTGCCGGCCGCCAATGGGAATCCCGAGAGAGAGGCGCGCTTCTGCCGCGACTTGGCACGTTAAATTCGCGGCTCTTCTGGCGACTCGGCTCCACGCTTCCCGCGCCGCGATGGGACGTGAGCGTGATCGCGGGGCGGACATGAGGGTTGATCAGCCACGGTTGTGGCTCACCCCACGGATGACAACGGTTGCATTACTGATCTTTGAACAATGGTCATTGGAATATCCGGAACCTCGAGCAGCTTCGCGAATGAATAAGACCGGATATTTGTCTTTTCCTGCAGGCAGGCTGTTGGCATTGGGCAGCCATTTGTCTACCGGTAAGTACCTTACACACGGCGCTTGGGCAGCTTCAATCCGCGGTCTCAGGCTGGCCGTTTGTGCGGTGCCTCTCCTCCAGATTTGGGCGGGCATGGCATCTCCGAACAAGAGTTCAGAACGGACCCGAGAGGCTATTTTTGGGGAGGACGGAGTTCAGTACCGGCGTCCGCTGATCTTGATCTCATCGCGGCTCTAGGTCTCCTGCTAGGGCTGACGAAGAGGCCGAGAAAGAGACCTGATCAGCTGCTATGGGAGCGGTTACTGAGATTACGAGTTGCCATCGTGTCGTGCGACTGTCGGAGGGAGCCCATGGTTGAGCGGGAAGCGAAGTTCATTTCCTTAGCCGCCCAAAGTAACCGCCGGCGCTTATACGCTCGGACGTTACCATTTTGGGCTCGCCTGTTAAGCCAGCTGAGCCAGTCCAGTCCAGCGCCTATCAGAGAATAGCTGGACACTAACAAGTCAACTGACCAAACAGGCGCGGGCATCGTCTGAACAGACCCTGCTCGACGGGGCGGCTACTGAGGCCAGCCCTAGTCCTCATTCCTCAACTCTTCGGAACATTCCATTTAGAAAGAGCACCTTCTCTCTGATCCGATTGCTTCAGCATGTTTGCGTCGTCTATTGCACCGCCTCACTCGAGTACCTAACCGGGCGCTTATTACCTAGTTACTATGTACAACCTGAAAGGCTGAGCCGAGCTCGATGAGGATACGGAGACGGAATCAGCCACATTTACCGTCGGACCACCGCGTCCACGGCACCAGGAACGACCCTAACACGGAAGCACGTGCAGTCGTGTGTCGGGCTCACACCCCGCATCCCCGATTCGCCGGAACCTCCCTTGTCCGTCGCCATGCAAGTCGCGTCCGTCTCTGACCCCGCGCCGGGCCAATCCGGCCCGCGCAAAGCACGTGAAGTTCGCGAATCGGTCCGTCGATTGGCCGTCACCGCTCTTCTACAGTAACGCAAACCCGGAACCTCCCCACCACGACTGACTCTTGTCATGCATATCCAAACAAGCGTTGCAGTTCTAGTGTGTAGTGCAGCTGCAGGTTGAAGAAACTTTTCTTCTCTCTTCCTGATGAGGGGTAGGTAGGCTCAGGTAGGGTCCGGCAGTTTTGTTTCCCAAAAGATTGTTTCCCTTTCCCAGGTTTCCCCGCCGGGTGGTCGAGTTGTTTCATGTTTCATCGTCTCCAGACCATCCACGCTCGCTCCATCCCACGCTCTGCCATGATCCATCCACGCAAGCTTCCAGAACTGGGGCATATCACCAAGCCCCAGAAAAAGTTGGTTTAGTTTCGTTTCATGTCAGCGAGTTGCAGATGTTGTCTTTGAATGACTCACACCTGCTCATACCTAGTCCTCAATTCTTTCATGTTCCATTCCTGTAGCTCGGCAGATGATGAAGTCCTGCCTTTGCACACTACGGATACGTGTCTGAGCATTTGTCCAAGGTGGAGCGGTGAGAACAAAGGGCCGAGGGGCTCTTCATGTCTCGGGACGAAAGAGAGGTTCCGTGTTTCCCATCGGAAACTCAAATCACCTCGATATCGCTTCACATCCGGCTCAGACCGAAACTTGTTGTAAATGCCACATAATTCAACGCCCAGTGTCATTCAAACCAAATCTAACATAGGGGATACAGGCAAAGTTGGAGTCTACACTATACCCGCTAACAACCCCACCCGCTCTTATTAGACATACAGAGCCAAAACAATAACTCACCCAACAAGGCTTTGTCCCCATACTAATTGCTTGTAGTACCTGTACCGTACCTGATGATCCCAAGAAGGGGTATCCTATCCTATCCGATCCTTCTTCACCGACAACGACCCGGATAAAAATCACGCAAAAATTTCTCTGCTTGGCACCTCTGCAAGTCTGCATCCCGTCTCCCCGCCCGGACCGGGCGGCGGTGTGGTATTAGGTAAGGTACTTTCTTTCGGCGGGCGGGCGGAATCGGTTCCCCCCCGAAAAAACGCAAGGCTCAAGTCTCAAAAGCCTCGAACGCGTCCGTCGTCTTGTCCGACGCGTCACCGCCTTGTCGGTCTCGGCCTCTCGCCCCAACATCACGGCCCCACACCCACCTCGCCACCCGCACAACACACAACACACCCACACGCGCACAGAGAGAGACAGCTTGGAACTTCTTCTTTCTCTTTCTCACCAGCTCCCGCTTGCCTCCCCCACCTCGGCCGTTTCACTATTTCCCTCGACGCTGATGCTGTGAACAAGCGGTGAACCACCAGCCCTCCTCTTCACACCACCACCATGCCCTCTCGCTGCCCTTCCACCCTCACCCACCAGCAAGGCCCCCTTCCCGTCACCACCGCTCCCTTGCCCTTCCCTCACGATCCTCAGCGCCCTTTGCATCCCGTCCAACCGCATGCGCTCACAAATCACCATCCCCCTCGCCAACTCCCTGATCGCCCTCCGCCCCATCTTTTCATGCATGTCCCTCCAGCCGGCGAGCTCGCCGGCGACAGTCTGCTGCGCATACCTTAGCTCGCGGCTCAGCCTCTCCGCCTCCCCTTCGCTGCGCCGGGCTTTTTCCTCGCGCTCCTCGTTCATGCGCTGGCGGGTGTCGTCGAGCAGACTCAGCCCCAGCGGCCAGCGCGACGAGCGCGAAAGGGAGCTGTAGCTGCGCTCGGCCTCGCGGCGGACGGCGTGGATCCGCGAGATGGTTTGCGGTGGGCGGGCGAGGGCCCGGAGGACGGATTCGACGTTGTTGTAGAGGGTGAGGAAGGTCGTGAAGAAGGTGGCGTGTGGGGAGGTCTGCAACGGAGCGAGGGCGCGGACGTAAGTTGTGAACGCTGAGATGTGGGACGGCGGAAGGAACGTGAGGGTCGACAGCGTGCGGGAGAAGAGTGATGATGCCTCGTGCAGATCTGATTTTTTTTTGACGCTCGTCAGTAAAATGGCGGATAGGCATGAATGGGTAAGTACGGATAAGTAAGCGAGCTGATCTTACCATTGACGACGTTGCCGACCACGTTTGCCCGCCTGGCAACACTCCTCGTAGAGAAATGCACGCTACGCACCATGTCCCGCGCGTGGTCGACGAACTGCTCCACCTCGCGCAAGTCCTCAACCGGCTCGAATTCGTCGTGCACCTTCTCCATCAGCGCGTCCGCCTTGAGCTTGCTTCGCTCCGCCATCATGTCCAGCTGCAGGTCCGGTACCAGGAAGAACTCCCACAGCATCTCGTGCGTGGCAAACGTCGGGTGCTGCAGCAGGACGCGCAAGAACCAGTCCATTTTGACCTGGAGGTCCTTCAACACGGCCCGGCTCGGCCGCGACGGGATCTGCGTCGGCGAGCGCAGGTCCGCGAGGGACGGGATCCACGACGCCGGATTCTCCATCTGCAGCAGCTTAGCCAAGTGCTCAAAGTCAGTCAGCGACCGCCGACAGGTTGTGACCGCATAGCTTTGCGTATCTACCGGCGCGCCGGACTTGAGCACGAAGCGGATCGAGGCGTCCTCGACAAAGAAGGCCCTCACGACACCGGTCGTGCGGGAATCCGTGCCGGGCATGAGAGAGAACAACACAAGGTCGTCAATCTTGTTCCGCAGCTCGTCGTCCTTCGCCAGCTCGACTGCCGTCAGGCCCCTCAGTTCTTTCGCCCCTGTGTCGACGCGAGGATCACCAAACAGCGTGCGGACCATGTCGAAACGGCCGTATTTGCTGGCCAGCATCAAGGCCGTGAACTTCTTTTCGTTCGTCGCGTTGACGTCGACGTCGCACTTTTGGAGTATCTTCATCGCCAGATTAACATCGTTGACGATGTGAAGTAGAGTGTTCCCCTTGATGTCCACGTGGTTGTCCAGATGCAGTGGCTGTCCATCTCCTTGGCTCTTGGTGGCCGCCTCCAATGCTTCTTGGACCATGGTAGAGTAGTTTGGGTGGTCGTAGGACCGGCACAACGCGAAAAGGGGCGTCTGCCCGTTCTTGTCCTTTTGCCGCCACGGCAGCATCCGGCCAATCCGTTGTATTAGAAACGGTGCGTGAAACAGGTAGTGTGCGGCGCTCCTGCCCCAGGTGTCCTGGATTGCGAGGTACTCGCGGACCTTGTCGTCGTCTGCCGAGTCCAGCACGAAGTCGAGGACGGTGTTCACAATCGTCTCGTCTCCTATCTGCACAGCCGCGCTGAACAGTGTCGTGCCCTCGTTGTTCTGGTCGTTCATGATCACCTCGGGAGAGTAGTACTGCCGCAGCGTGAGCAAGTATCTCAGAGCCTCTGGCTGTCTGTTTTGGATTGCCATCATAGGCACCGACTCTCCAAACGCATCTTGGGTCTGCGATAGCCGCTCGATGGATGTATCGCCTTCAACGCCGCCTAACGAGCCAATGCTCATGGGCATGGACCGGAACGAGATCTCGGACCCGCTTGACATACTTCTAGTGTCCATGGCTACCTTCTTCACTCGTTTAGGCGGAGAAGGTACGGAGGCGTCGTCTGCATCCGTGTTCGTCCCACTCTGGAAGGGGAACACGTGGCTTAGACCGGATCCCAGGGAGAACCTTTCCGAAGCGGAAAAGCTCAATGAGGACCGCCTCGAATTTCCATTCGCGAAGCTCCAGCCGCTCAATGACTGCCTCCGAGAGTGAGGTGACGCGAACACGCCCTCATCGTCCTCAATGGCGTCCTCGTCCGGTTCCATGATCTTCCTCAGCTCTGACAGATCGCCTTTCGATGTGGCGTCCCAAAGAGCCCGGTTCCGCCGGCTCGCTCTCCGCAAGCCCCCCGACTCGCGGTCGAGGTAGGACAATACCGCTTCGAACGTGCTGAGGGCATAGCCCATCTCGCCGCTTTCGACATCGTCGATAAAGATGAAGTTATGGATGTAGGTGAGCCTGGCCTGTAGATGCTTGACTTGCGCTTTTATCACCACGTAGAGCAACAGCGAGACCAGTGTGTCTGCGTTGACCGTCATGGCGGGCTTCTCAGACGCCGGGCCTGGTGCTTGGCCGTGATCCGCCGGATCGGTAAAGTGGGTTGCTGCCTTGACCGTTGAAAGAAGGATCTCCATCATTTCCTGGGGGCAACTGGCATTGGGCATCTTCCGGAACTCCTCGACAGCCCGCCCGAGCCTGTTCACAACGTCTCTTTTGGCACGGCTGCCTCCGTCAATCACGATCCCCAGCTGCGAGATATCGATGAAGTCCATCTGCCTGATTTTCGCCTCTAGCTCGAGGTCTTCCTGCCGTCTAAGCGCAGCCAGCCGGGGAAACAACATGTGGTGCACGTTCTCGGCGATGTAGCGCTCAATCAGGCGTTCGACGACCGGCCCCGTCAGATCTGTCGTCGCGCCCAATAGCGAGAGTTGCTGCCTATCAACGCTCTGGAAGAGGTCAATAGCACTCGTGACGGCTGACTCCAAGGCAGTCCTCAAGACAGTCTCGTCGTCCTGGAAACTGTCGGCCAAGGCTTGCGTACCATTGGCCCCCTTAGAAGCACCCTGACTCAGATCGCTGTTAGCTCTCGCCCTCTTTGTCGCTGTCGCTACTGGGCCGTCTGGCTCGGGATCCGGGATGTCCTTGGCCGATGGCGGGGGCGGTAGCGGGCGTTCGAAGACCTGCGTAAACTCGCGGAACAGCTTCTCCAGGCCGGCCTGCATCTGCTTCGCAATGGCGGGGAAGTGGTTGAGCAGCTCATGGAAGGTTTTGATGTCCTTCTTCTTTGGCGAGCCGGCAGGTTCCCGGGCCTCTCCCGGCGTGTTGGCAGGACGGCTAGATTCCTCGCGGGGAGGCGGCAGCACGGCCGGTATCACCTTGACTTCCTCCCACGCGCCCACCAGCGGGCGTGATATGTAGTAGATCAGGAGCGGCCGGGGATCGAGGGTATCGGGATACCAGACGACATCATGGAGGAGGTTCGCTTGCACCAGCAGCTTGAAGCCTAAGCAACGAAATCAGTCAGAGTCCCGCGAACGAAGCACAGACCAGCAAAGGGGTTTGTACCCTTGTTGGTATAGATGTTGTTGTCCTTGATGACGAGACTTCTGCCATTGAAAGTGTTGAACACCTTGGGCTTCCCCCGCATCTCGCGAAGGTTCTGGGCCGCATCCTTCCCGCCGTTCGCGGGGGCCTTTGGTATGGGTATGCGCAACACGTGGCTTGCCAGAAACTCATCGGAGACTATGGAGGCCACCAGCGGCGCTCCCGTCTCGGCGTCACGGGAGTTGAGCAGGACATCGGCGGTGGGGACGAGGAGGATGTGTTGTTGGGGCGGCAGGCACTGGCCGAGGATCGGGCTCTTCGAGAAGGCGCTGAGAAATGGGTTTAGGGGTTGCATTCATTCGACTGGCTTCGCGGCTGCGTTTGATGTGACTTCGGCGATGGTGTCGCCCACCATTGGTACCAGGCAGTTGCTCAGGCGGACAACCAGCCTCTTTGCCGTGGTCAGTGTTCGGTTCTCGCGGCCGTCAGGACAGGGGTCGTGAGGTGACGCAATCTGCTGGGCTTCTCACGGTCCGGAGGAAACAAGAGAGAAGGATCGCACAGTCGATGGCTCGAGGCCAGCCAAGAAAAGTCTGTCTGGAAGAACGGTGTAGCAGATTGTTGAACGTCCCAAATCTTTGTGAGTTGCACAACACGTTGTCGAAGAGGATTGATGGCTGCCAGGACAGGGATACCGGGAGCTCGGCGGCGGTACGTTGACCTGCATGCATGTGCACCGTGCTTAAGTGCGAAGCTTCCCTGTTGAAGCAACCAATCAGAGTTGCTGGAAGACGATCTCCCGGCGGGGCAAGCAGCTTGGAGCTTCAAGTTCAGGTCACCATCGGATCAACGAGAACGTGAGAGGTTTCTAAACTTTGGTGTAACCAAGGATGGATTTATGACACTACATGCTACATGCCAGCGCATCGCCCAAACAGAGATTACCTCAATATTAGGCCTGGCTATTGGCCTCGTCTGGCTATTTCTTGAAGGCCAGCTACATCCCGTGAATGATACTTGTTTCTGTACCTTATTGCTGGGCACGACGGAAGAAGGAATTTGATCTGCACCCAGCTGAGCAACATTCATTGATCGCCCTGCTACTTCATCAGGTCGCTTATCTATTTTGTGGGTGATAGGCAGGTACTCTAGGTGTACCTTAGGCTACGGCAGGCTGGAGGAAGGGGCTCCTCAGAGTTAGGAAGCAATTAGCGTTGTCGCTTCACGGCATCTAACTCTGCCCTTCTTAGCCGAGTCCCACCCACGGCAAGGATGCCTACAAGCTACATCGGCGTCGAAGCCGGCGCCGCAGGCTACCTGCCCATCGGGCTCTTGTCATCGGGGTATCGTGCCCAGATCCAGCCTCGCCTCGATTACACTCAAGGTCGCGCAGCAGCCTACTCGTGTCTCGAAAACCTCATATCATTCGTCTGCGTGACCTTAAGCCTTGGCAGCGCCGGCCTTGATCAGCAGGATGTCGCCATCTTCGACGACGTAGTCTTTGCCCTTGGTCATCATCTTGCCCTTTGCCTTGACCTCGGATTCGTCCCCGAGCTCCTTAAGGACGTTGTAGTTGTACACGATGGCCTGGATGAACGTCTTCTCGAAGTCAGTGTGAATGACGCCTGCTGCTTGAGGTGCCTTCGTGCCGTTCCGGATGGTCCATTGCCGAACCTCGTCGGGCCCAACGGTGAAGAAGCTGCCGAGGTTGAGCGCCTTGCGCATCTGGACAATGACCTTGGGCAGCGCCGATTCTGCCCCGACCTTCTTGCACTCCTCCTTGGCCTCCTCCTCCGTTTCGAACCTGGTTAGCCGTTCCTCGAAGGAGACGGAGATAGGAATGATCGGGTCACCCTCAGCATGCTCCTTGACCCACTCAACGATCTTGGGGAGGTGCTTGTTCTTCTTGCGGATGTAGTCCCTCTCGGAAAGGTTGACGAGGAAGACCACAGGCTTGGCAGTCAAGAGGAAAAGAGGATTGATTGCCTCGACCTGAACACTAGTTAGCGTCTTCGTCCACAGTTTTGAATGCGATGAAACATTAATAGATGTTATGTGGTGTCAGAATGGGGTTTCTATCTCAGGATGCACTCTGCGATTAATGCTGAGGCATTCGACGAGCTGGGTTATTGGATCGGACCATAGGTCCTTTATCATCATGAAAATCACGGTTGCTGGGCGGAATAGAGCTGAAAATCCTTACCTCCTTGGGAGCCCAGTTGCCCTTGCGGACGTCCTTGCCGTCCTTCAGCCACGCCAGGACCTTCTCGATCGTAGCTTCTTCTTCTTTCCATTGCTTCATCTGCAAACTCTGGCCGCCCTGGCGCGTCTTCTTCTTCTGGTTCTCGAGCGCCTTCTCGACGAACTCAATATCCTTGAGCCGCAGTTCCTCGCTGATGATGTCAAGATCGCGGACCGGATTGACGTCACCCTCGACATGGATAATCTCGGCATCGTCAAAACACCTCACCACTTGGAAGATGGCATCGACGGCGCGGATGTGGGACAGGAAAGCGTTGCCGAGACCGGCACCCGTTGAGGCACCGCGGGTCAAGCCGGCAATGTCATAGACGGTAAGGTTGGCAGGCACCCGCGACTTGGGCTGGTACTTCTCGCACAGCCAGTCGAAGCGCTCATCGGGCACAATGACGCGAGCCTCCTCCGGGTCAATGGTGGCATAGGGGAAGTTCTAACGCGCGAATTAGCGACGGCGTCCATGCACACGCTTTATCTGGGAGCCAATGCACATACTGCAGGGTTGCCTAGGTTGCACTTGGTGATCGCCTGGAACAGCGTGGACTTGCCGACGTTGGCTAACCCAACCTGTGCGTCGATTCAAGTCAGCGTGGAGCGCCGGCACGGGAAACCACCAAGGCAACCCACAATGCCGCTCTTGAGGTTGTTTCCGGGACGGCCCAGGAGGACCTTCTCCTCTTGGACCTGCTTCTTGGGGGCCATCTTGGTCCTTCGTTTGCTGTAGTGGCGAGTGGAGATGTAGACGACAGTGCAATCAAGCACCGGCTTCGTGGGAAACGCAGAGCTAGCTGCGGGGGTTCGAAGGAGGGGTAGAGGAGAAGCGAAGAGAAGAAATGACCGGAGTGTGGGCGCCGTCGCGACGAGCTCGTGGACCTGGCTGCCACGAGCTGCGCTATGGGTAATCGCTCAGACAAGTGAATGTCTAGCAACTGCTCAATGCCTGGTTGTCCGTCACAGACCCGGCTGCCAAATGTGGTCAGAGTTGGGTCAGCGTCTTGCGGTTGATGTGCCTCAAAACTGAGTGAAAATTTTGGACGTGAGCTCGGTTCAGACCTTGGCGGGGTCAAGAAGCCTGTGGGGCAGGCTTCACCTGGCCAAAATACATGTACGGATACATCAACATTGCCGTCAGTTGGACAGATGAGGCTGCTAATAACACAGCATCTTCTTCTCATTTCCCTGTTCTGTCATTGACTTTCCTCCTGATTTCCTTCTTCTTAGCTTCAATTCTATTGTTCCTCAATTTCACCCTTTCCTTTTCCTTTAACTTCGATTAGCTCTTGCTTGACTTTTAAATAAGGTACGGTAACGTTATCGCTCAAACTGAACTTGGTGTACGATACGGCTTTTCTTACCCGGGTTTGGCAGGACAGCCAGGGCCGGCCGTGCACGAGCCATGTCCCAGCCGGGACTCGGGAGGGTCGGTTTGAGACCCACTCCGTCACATGTGGGGCTACTTCAGCCCGTCATGGCTGCATCCGGGATTGGTGAGATCGATGGTCAAGCTGAAGGGGGGTGAGCTTTCGATCTTCAACATCATTCTGCTCGAGCTGTGTGCCACTCATCAGTACGGCTAGCTCTCAGTCTCAATACGTCATCCACCGCTTCCCATATTCAAATCCGCCGGACTGTGTGTATCTATCTCCAGCGATTCGATTAGAAGTCAACAGCTTCTCCTTTGTTCCCGGAGGCTCAACCTGGCCGATGAGCCTTCATTGCCGCCCTTAATTCGTACGCTCCGCGCGCTCTCCGTGTCAACGGAGCTCAGAATTCTTCGCCTTTGTCGATCGCCCCCAGACGAGCCAGTATTGCAGGCGCCCCCCCACTGCCCGCCATGCCTACTCGAAAGACCCAAAAGCCGTCCCGATCGCACCGCTCGACCCTCTCCCTCCAGAAGACCGAAATCCTCATCAACGTGTACGACCTGCTCCCGCCAGGCCGGATGGCCTCCATCCTCTGGCACATGGGCACCTCGCTGCTCCACTCGGGCGTCGTGATCAACGGCAAGGAATACGCCTACGGCGGCCACGACCAGCCCGGCGTCACGGGCGTGTACTGGACGAGGCCGAAGACGGAGCCGCCGGGCGGCACGTTCCGGTGCGAGTACCTGCACGGCTTCACGCTGGCGCCGCAGAACGAGATCGACGCGATCGTGCGCGAGGCGTCCGAGGCCTTTCTGGGCACGGCGTACAACCTCCTGACCCGGAACTGCAACCACTTCACGTCGTACCTGTGCGAGCGGCTGACGGGCAAGCCCGCGCCGGGCTTCCTGAACCGCGCGGCGAGCATCGGCGTCGCCCTGCCCTGCGTGGTGCCCAAGGAGTGGATCGAGGTGCCGGACTATGAGACGGCGGATGGTGCGCTGTTGGATGATGAGGATGACGACGACGACGACGACAGGGACGAGCGGCTGCGGCATCACGGCGAGAGGGCGAGGATGCTGCGCTCGTCGGACGAACTGCCGCGGCTGGTGGGACATGAGGGGCGGCGAAATACCGAGGAGGAGTGGGATAGCGAAGACGAGCGTCGGCGGGGCGGCAGTGGCAAGGGGAAGGGCAAAGCCCCTGTAAGAGACGCGGCTGGAAGGACTCTCCCTCCTGCGGAGAGAGCGCCGACAACATGAGAGTTTGGCGGTGTTGATGCATCTTGCTTTGCGCTGGCTTCTTTGGGCATTGGTTTGGAGTTCTGGATGGGGTTATTGCTGGTGCTGTTCTACGTGATACCACGGTTACTCGACAAACTGGAGGCTACTGGGACCGGCGTTTCGTTTGGCAGTGTTGGGTTGGGCAGGGGAGAGGGAGGGTGGTTGGTTGCTTCGTGGTTCTCGCTTTCACAATCCGTCAGGCGGCTCAGGTTGGCGTTAGAGTTTGCATGTGATATAAGCCAGGGTTTAGTGACAACCTTGGAATCTCGAGTTTGCATCTGCTGAGTTCAGGGAAGCTTCAGTCTAACGTTCCTGGGCATGAAGCTACATCCGTGGATTCCGCCGCGGCTGGAACCAACCCAGTACGGCCGAGAAAGGCTTCTCGGGCTATTCTCATCACGGACGTCTCTTACCAGGGAACAGGGCCGTCTTCCTTCGGTCCCGATCTTCCTGGCACTTCTAGTCCAAGGAGTGGGGCCTGAATGGGTTGTAAGCAGATACCCACGGCTGTATGCTGGGCTGTTGGGCAGTTGGCGCCGATATCAGCATGCTGTGTAACTTCGTGGCCAAACAATGCTGTAGTGTACATGGTGTATAGCTCTCTGCTCCATTGATTGTACTAGAGCCTCAAAGACTGTTTCCCCCCACGCTTATGTACTTGACGTTGATCGTGCCTCGGCTGCCAAAATAATTTTCTACGAAGTATATCCTCTTTATCTAGATACACCCAGAAATCCATTTTCGTCCCATCCCGACACTGGAGATTCAGAACACAAATGTTGATGCGCTGCTGCTATGGATTAGGCAACCTACCAGGCGAGTTGGCATCCCACCAGGCATAGGTAGTCACTAGTGTTGTTCCACCCTATCGATGCGGCCAAGACTCGCCCACCGGTCTTCAGGCCACGCTTCACGCAACGACACCTTTCGCAGTCAAGGCCGCCTTAGCCACCTTGCCATCAGGGCCCTCTTTAACCGCAGCATCACCGCCACCACCACCGTGACCCTCATGCTCCCGATTCCACTCCAGAATCTCCTCGCAGACACCCTCCAACGTCGTACAGGCAGCTCGGTAGCCAATCCCCCCCTCGGCAACGCTCTTCCTCGCCTGGCTGTCGTCTATCAGGGCGTGAATGGCGACGCTCCAGACCGACGGCTGGAGCATGTGGAGCGGTCCGCTCGGCTCCCTCAGTCCCAGCTTGGTCAGGAAGGGAAGACGCGCCAGGAGGAGACACCACGCCTCGACGGCGTGGGCGAGGAGGAACAGGACCAGCGGGTTCTGGAACGTCACGCGGACGCGCGTGGCCGACAGCCCCTGCGTCGCGGCGTAGATGTCGGCGAAGGCCGGTGGCGGGCCCTCGTCCGTCACATTGAAGGTGCGACCTGCGCAGGTCGGCATGGGCTTGTCGGTCTGGGCGAGCACGGCTTCGAACTGCAGGTGGGCGAGCGCGACGTTGCGGGAGTTGACGAAGTTCCTTTTTAAAGGGGGAGGGAAAGGGGGGAGAGGTAAGTGCTCAAGTGACCTAACGGGACTAAGGAGTAAAAGGGGAGGGGGGAGGCGCTTACTGGACTATGTGGGGGATCCAAGACACGTTGTCACCCATGCGGAGAAGTATCCCGACAACGGGGTCAGACTTCTGTCCGTAGATGGGGTTGCCCGGGCGGACGGTGCCAGTCCGGAAGCCTTCTTGGTTTGCGGCGCAGACGGCGCGCTCAGCCTCGGCTTTGGCGCGGGCATCTGTAGGTAGGTCGGTGTTAGTCTCGTGTCCAGGACTGCAAAGGGCAGGAGTGGATAAAGTATAAACATACAATTGGAGAAGAAGCGGTTGTGCGGGCGCAGGGGAGCATAGAAGTCTTTCTCGGTGGCAATCTGGAAGTAGTTCTCGGGCGTGCTCTGCCACGGCCAGACCCACCACCCCGGAGGAATGATGCTGCAGGATGCTGAAGATGTGGCTATGAAAATGTCGGCGCCGGCTGCCTTGGCAGCTTCAAGAACGTTGATGGCACCATCCCGGTTCACGCGGCTGATACGATGGTATATCAGGGGACTGCGCTCTTGAGGCCGAACAATTGCGGCGGTATGGAAGACTGTCAGCGGTCTCCCCGCCACAGATTCGGGCCACGGTCTGGCGAAGGCTGCCTCTACGGACGACCTGGAAGTTATGTCGGCCTTCACAAAGTCACAGCCAGCCGCCGCGTCCAACATGTCCCGCCGGTTGAGCGGCACAAAGTCGACGACGCGGATGCTCTCAGGGGACTCGCCGCGCTGGAGAAGCTGTAAGACTATGTCTCCCCCGACAAGCCCTGCATCTTGTTAGCCCGCGCTCGAAGGCCTCGAAGTTCAGGTGAAGCATCTAACCGGACCCGCCAACGACAACATAGCGCCTTTCCAGCCGGGGCGGCAAGAGTTTGCGAAAGTCGATCGGCGTCTGTTTTAGGCGGTTATACGTGTCCCAGAGCTCATCGTTAGTCCAACGGCGAGGTGACAGCTTTCGGACCTCCTCCGGTACGCTGTGCATGGCCGAGTTGACTCTAACCAGCCACACTAGGACAATGGCGAGTGCGCCAAGTGCCAACAACCACATGATGGCGTTGTTCTCGGCGATCAATGCGAAAGGTGTGTCGAGGTGCAAGAAAGCACGATCATTCTATACCCAAGAACGCAATGTCGTTGACTGGCAGGTCATACTCCGTACACCCAGCCTGGTGTCGATGAGGGACGTTTTATCAAGACCATGCCTCCGTATACAGTCTTGGTGCAACGCGCAGAATACCAAGGTAGTATCGTTATGCATACGATCCCTGTCAGCCGACCAACCGTCCACCGGGGATGTTCCTCCGCTACCTACCAAGTCACATGTGGTAGCGCAAGTGAGAAACACGATTCGCCATGCTTCAGCTCCCGTCTGTAGTGTATCTTGACATGCATGATCTGTATTGGGGATTCTCCACCGTTCTGCTTTTGCTGTGGTGGTTGGTTGTCCTCCGCTTGAGGCTGGGCTTCGCGCCCAACCCCCAGGTTCATTAAATAAGCATCACGAACGGTGACGGTATCTTACCTGCGTTACGGCTCTCGAAAGATTATCCGCACTTCCAATGTGCGATCATCGATGAGAGCTAGGTGGACGGAACGGCCATTGGTCGCAATCTGTCGATCGTCATGATGCATCAAATGGTGGAGCTTAACGTTATCGACCCTGCTGGCTTACCTCATCCTGGACTGCATGCATATCAAAGGTTAACTTCATCCCTTCCAGCGCAACTTCAGTAAGACAATTGTGATGGCAGGAGTGAGCGATGGCACGATCTGGGCTGAAACATCAGTCGGCGCAACCAAGACCTCTGTCCGTCTCCGCGATGGGCAAGTTTGAACAAGCAGGCTGGGGTGCGGTAATTACACCGCTTCCGGGAACCCGGGGGCTATCGTGCCCCGAGTTGGTTATTTCCCTTCTCCCCCACCTCTGTCGTTGTCAGTCATCGTCGACCGGTTGCAGTAAAACAGCAGCGACGATTGACGAGAGTGATTGTTTTTCAGGTGTGTTGAAAGTGCGACTAGCAGGAACACTTGCAGTTTTAGAACCGTGTGCATCAGGAGATGCCGATTTCAAAACTGAAGCCACGGTCTCAAAAGTCTCAAAAGCTCCCACGGCTTGTGACGTTGCGTTACCCTGGCCACGACAGCCCATGCACAATCCATCCAATCAGCGCTTGCCCAAGCCATCGTGAAGTCGCTCTCGTGCTTTCCCACCAGTTGCCGGTAGCCGGCCACTGCAAGTTTCGCCGGCCGCCTTTATCTTTCCCTCGTCGGGACTCTTGTTTTGACGTCTTGCTCGCCCGAGCATCTACAGAGCCCAATTCAACACGAAACAGGACTGCATTGATTTCGCAAGCCACTGCATCTCCAGCTACATTTCGTAGAGTTCATCTTGAGCATCAACTTCTGCAACCAACACAGAATTCCTGCTTCACAATGCGCCAGAACATCCTGGTCGTGGCGCTCTCGGCGCTCACCGTCGCCAGCGCCCAGAGCAACTTCACGATCAACCCCAACGAGGTCGATCCTACAACTCGGTGTATGCAATTTTTGAGCCGCATCATTCCACGTGCGGTCCTGAGCTGACAATGGACCAGCCGATTGGTGCCAGGCCGAGTACAACAGTTGCAATCTCCTCTGTGGCAGCAACGTGCAGGAGAACGACTGCGCTCCGGTAGGTTCACAGTCGCGTGTGGAGTGGGAACACAGTAACGGGCTGACGCGGCGCAACAGGACACCTTGAACTACACCTGCACCTGCTCCAACGGCTCGGCGCCAGGCCTGCAGTACTACATCCAGACCATGCCTACTGTGAGTGCTTCTGCGGGCGCAGGCCGCTTCTCCGGGGTTTTATTACGGTTTGCCTAATCTTCGTTCACAGTTCATCTGCGAGCAAGCCTACTCGGACTGCATTGAGCAGAACACGGGCAACTCGCGGGGCCAGGACAAGTGCAAGAGCGACATCCAGGAGAAGTGCGGCACTCTGGACCCCACGAAGGCGCAGGTCGACAGCGGCTCGGACAGCAGCACTACTTCTGCCACCACCGCAGCCCCGTCGGCAACCGAGTCTACCGCCCAGAATGCCCCGGCGTCCTCCACCTCGCGTGCTGGCGCCGCTGCGACCAATTCCGCCTACATCGGCAACGGTGCCGCCGTGGTCGCTGCCGGTCTCTTCGCTGCCTTGTTGTAGTAAGCGCGGCGGTCGAAGGGGATGGTTAGCCGATGGTCGCACAGAGTGTGACGAGTCGGTGCGGACATCATCGGGTTGGCTGTTTTGAAGTCTCAATTCTTTTGTATTCATTTTTGCCTCGATTTCCCTCTGGACAGGAATCCACATCGGCGACAGCAGGACCTGCAAGTACATAGCCCCCCGCGACGTACTTGATCGTCAGGATACCGGGGCCCAATGCGCACGAGAAGACGACGTTCCGGTTGATGATATCAGGACCTTCGGAAGGGTGACGACATTATAGGCGTCTTAATGGAGGAGGAAGGGGGAAGGTGTTCCCGGGGAAAGGTGTTTCAGGAGCTTTAGGCAGACCACTATATCCATTGCTTTTCAGGTTCCCCAGACTTTTCCCGACGTGATGTGCGGACAAAGATGGCCATGGGCCGTCTTAGTGTCTGGGGGGGACAAGGGCTTTGTCCCATTGTTTCCTTGCAACAAACCCTTTGTCCAATGAGAATTTAGGCTAACATATATACAGACACCGCTATCATGGTACATATTTTCCCCCTTTACCTTAATAAGCTCAAGGGGCGGACACCAAGTACATTATCCAGTCCCAACCATGGCCCCAGAAACCACCAAGTCTTCCCCCTCCCCGGCTTACCGCTTCCGCCTCCCCTCGACGCTCCCTCCCGAACTCCTCACCGACATCCTCACAAGAAACATCACCACCGAGCCGCCCGTGTGCGCGCTCTCCCTCCTGTGCCCGGAATGGAATCTCTGCCAGCGCCAGCGCCGACACCCGGCTCTCGAAGCCGTCCTCCGCACCACCCGCGTCGACGTCTACACCCTCCCGGCCTCTCGCCCTGGCGAAGAACGGGGCGCGGTGACTACGAGCTTTGGACACGGCGCTGCTGAGCATGATCGTCATGATGATGGTGGTGGGGCGTTTTGCTTCCCATGCCTTGAGGATCCCAGGAAAAAGATGTCTATGACTACTGGAGGAGGTGGAGGTGGTGGTGGTAATGGTGGCCTGTGTCTGCCGGCTTATTATCGCAGGGAGTTGATTAAGCAGTGGCTGGGCAAGAGCCTGGTGGTCATCTCACAGGATTTGGACGAGCATGATGCTGTGGGGCCGCTCTGGCGGGGCATGGAGAAGGGGGAGGTGGAGAGGATGGTGATTCTGAGGGAGAGGGAGGCGATGGGTTTGGTGCCGTTTGAGGATGATGACATCGTCATCGCCGTTAAGGAAAATAAAGGTGAGGGAGGAGGCGGGGTGAAGGTGAAGAAGCGGGTCTTGTCTGTTGATGGTAGGGAGAAGGAGAAGCTTCCTGCTCTAACTACTACTAGTATGGAAGGGGGGGCGCCCAGTAGTGGGAAGGGAGGAGGAGGAGGAGAGTATCTGTTTCAGCTGGTGCGGCATCTGGTGGTGAATACCGTGCCTGCGCTCGCTGAGGTCGAGGCGTTCGATCTCGGCATGAGCCCGAGCACCTGGACTGCCCAGGCCGCGCGGAATATTGTGGCGCTCACCGAGAGGCTGGAGTACGAACGCAGGGCGAACCTGCTGCTGCGGTGGGACGCCCTCGAGCGGCTCGAGTCGCTGTTTCTTGATCTGAGGGGCTACAGTCTGCTGAGGGCGAGGTTTCTGTACGACGACGACGTAGCGAGACTCGCCGCGTCGCTCGCGGGAAAGGGGTTGGCCCTGTTGGTGGTGGCTGGGCTGAGGTCCTGGTATGCCTACCGCGGCCCGGATGTCCTGGAGATCGAAGAAATCGAGGCAGGCACGTGGGATGGCCGGCGTGAGGTGTTTGTGGATGCGGGGAGAGGGGGGTGCGTCAACTGGTGGAAGATGTTCAAGGGCGCAGTGAGGCCTGGAGGCCGACTTGTCTTTGTGGATAAGGACGCGAGGGATGGGGATGAGTTGGCGCTGCTACGGCCGGATTCCCGCCAGTGGGTAGTTCCGGGCTATTGAGCTCGACAACCTGGTGTAAATCGTAAGTCCAGATCAGGCAAGTTATACATCTCATTCATTGGCTTCCGTTTTGCTTGCTCATTTCGACAGACGAGATCCATCATGGTTGACAGTGAACGTAGTCAAAATGTCTTTGAAACCCCCATGCCCGCTCTCTGTTTCTTTCCATGGCTTCTTGCTCTTACGCTTTCTCTTACACAAGCCCTCTCTCTTCCTCGCTGAGATCCGCAATACGCGGGCCTAGATGTTCGAGTCATGCATCACTGACCGATCAACCTCGATCAGATCTCGATCAATCTTCAGTGGCTTACAGTGCGGCCAATCGACAGCTTCCTCGCTACCCTCGTGGAGTCTGGATCGAGGAGGCGATGCGGGGCCGACGCAGTTGGGGATGGAAGCTTCTTTCCCCAGGCCCCCCCCCTCCTTGTGCAGCACAATGGTGGTCACATCCACACAACGCAAGGGTCGTTGGGTCTACCACTATTGTTCTTCTGCTCAGGAGGAGCCAGGGAAGCGCAGTTGATGCTATGGCTGACAGATAGATCTAGCGCGTCACCGATGTACGTGTCGAAGTGTCAATGACGAAATGACTTGTCCATGCCCTCAAGTTGTCTTCCCAAGCAATAACATAAATTCTGGAACCATTCCTCGCATCATGATTCACCTGGGCACCACTCACCCTCCCACCTCATTAGTTCCTTATATCTTCACGACCCTCAAGGCTCATTGCAGTTGCCCGCTTAGTTTCGTGATCAGTCACAGCTCCTCCGAGTGAACTTTTGAAGTGCGCTTAAAGAGCGATTCCCGTGGTTGGCTCGAGGTGCCAGTCGCAAACCAACAACAGCTTCGCGACTGCAATTTCTCTTCCACGTCAGCATTTCGACGACGAGGAACATCAGCCGCCATCGCGGCACAAGATCGTGCCGCGATGGGGGCAGAACCGCGACAAGCTCTCCGAGGTACATATTCGGCTGCGGCCGCTTGATGCTCCATCTGAAGTCTTCGGCGCCCCTGTTTTCTTAATCGGCCTCCCGAAAGGCCTCACGATATCCGAGCTGAAGCACCAAGTTCTGAAGTACCTCCTCAGGTACAAGCTTGGAAACCGAGACGACGACTTCTTCCAGCTATTTGACAAGAAAGGAGAAGAGCCAGGCCCCGACGCTGAGATCACCACCGAGACCCAGGAATTCTGGTACCGTGTGTCGGGGCCCCAGTCCTCATCAGAGTGGAGGTTCTCGCACTGGCAGAGCGAGACCGACGACCCGCTGGAGGAAACACTCGCAGCCATGATGCATGAGGCCATCGCTGCGCTCGCGACGGTCGGACAGCTGCAGGAGGCGATTGCCAAGCACATAGGCATAGCGGACAAAAACAGGGTCGTCATCATCGCCCGAGATGGCATGCGTCGAGGCGCCCTCCAAGGATCGCACTGGGAGGTCGTCCAGGTCAAAAAGTAGCTCTGTCGCTGGCTGTCTATCGATATCGCCGACGCAGACGGCTATGTCATTTTCCGCACCTTGGGAAGGGAATATCTCTACTTTCCATCCCGGTTCGATGCCCTTTATCGGAAACCGATACCCCTGGGGCACGGGATGGAATTATTTGCCGACCACGTGCTCCGTGGCGTCCACCAGCATGTCAAGAGCCAGGTGGTGCCCCGGCCCGAGCTCCGGGTCCGTCTGAAGGGCGTGCAGCAGAACCTCCGCTGCGCCCGCATGCAGTGGTGCGCAACCTACGACGTCGATCTCTCAGTCGACGTGGCCGATACCTTCTCACTTGAAGAGTCGTGGCTGCAGAAAGAGACCGAGGCGTGCATCGTCTGCTACGAGGGGAAGACGTTGGGAGAGATGCCCGTTAAAATCACGTCGCACTGCACGCACCCACCGAAGACATGCAGGGACTGCCTGAAACGATGGATAGACGTGCGCATTGATAATTATGGGATCTTAGAGTACTCGGAGAAGATCGTCTGTCCAGATTGCCTGCTGCCGCTCGGAGAGCGGGATGTCCGGCGCGGAGCTTCCCAGGACGCATTTGCTCGTTACGACCAGCGGGTGCTTCAACAGGTGCTTCACAAGACCCTCCGGTATCACAACAACTTCTACTACTGTCTCGTGCCCGGGTGCGATTCCGGACAGGTACACGACACCAACCGTCCCGAGTTCCGCTGTGTCGCTTGCTCCGCCCGTCATTGCGTGCGACACAACCTCCCCTGGCACGAGGGCGAGACATGCGAGGAATACGACCAGCGAAACCCCCAGCGGGCACGAGACGAGGCGGCGTCCAAGGCGGAGATCCGGAGTTCGACCAAGCCCTGCCCCGAGTGCTGCATCATGGTTTACAAATACATGGGCTGCAATCATATGACACGTAATTACCTCTATACGCCTCCTTCCCCTCAACCCCTCCCTCTTCGTCCTCTATTTCTTTCCATCCCCCAACTAGTACTTACTAATCTTCACCACCCATCAAGGCGTCTGCGGACACGAATGGTGCTACGGCTGCCGAACCTCTTACGGGCGGCGGCGGCCGTATCCCGTCGGCGGCCATCACAGGTTACCGGCAGCAGCAGCAGCAGCAGCCCACGCGCCGGGCTGTCCCGAACGGCCCCGAAGTGTTCGCGTGAGAAGGTCGTGACGGGGATGATGATCCCGTCGCCGCGGCGGGCCGCTTGGCCTAGAGGGGTGAGAAAAGTAGTTTGGAAGACCCGGGCACACAAAGAAATTGTAGAACGACTTCTGCGGATCGGGGGAGCCTCCGCGGCGCGCGTGCCCGCACTTGATGCCAGCAACAGTCCCCCTTCCCCTCCCTCCCCGCAGAGAGCGCCAGGGGGTTTTCGGGACGTCATGGCGCAAAATATCGATACTCTAGCTCCTCGAGGCGCTTGGGCAAAGCCGGGGGTTATTGCTACCACGACCTCCATCCCACAAGCGAGCGCTGCTAACCGTTGGACAATCGGCCTCCGACCACAACACGCCCAAGTGGTCCATGCCGTCTTGGATGGATTGGATGACCATGAGGCTGCCGATGACGAAGGCGCGGCGGGGTTTGGGTGGGAGTGGCAACCCCCTCAGCTTTTGATTTCTTTTGTATTTTCCTTCTTCCTTTTCATTCTCCCTCAATATTTTGTTTTGCCTGCTTTTAGTTGTCCCCCCCCCCCCCCCCCCCCCTCCCCTCTTCTACTCCCATGATTTCACCGTCTTATTATTTCCCCCCTTTATTGCTCACCCAGATCTGGGCAGCTCATCGCATCTTTGGGGATCTCGGTGGACGGAGCATGGGATGGGGGGACGTCTCCCGCGGTCTGAACGGAGGACAGGCGTTGGTATGGTGGTTTTTGTGTGTCTTGTGTGTTTAATCTTTTCCTCTATGACTATCGGGGTTATTAATGGTAATGGTAAATTTGGACTGATGGCACCAAGGGCGTACTACGGCTGGCGGAGTACTTTATCTACCTTAAATAAAGTTAGTTGTGCTGGCGGGCTCTACGGACGCCCGACAGTGGTGGCTATTGAGGGATCGATGCCCCCCCAACAGACAGGCGCGATGGCTTTGATTGAAAGGCGTTAATAAAGGTCTGCTTGGACCAGGCCGCCTTCCGCCGGTTTCGGGAGTGCGGTTTTGGGTTTCGCCTGGAGTATGGACTGGGGACGAGTCATAGGAGAGAGTTTTTGCATTCATGTTATATCTGCCTTGACATATCAAGTTTGTGGAACATGATCTCCTCTTTAACGGCGTATACGACTATATTGTTTGAAGATGTGATCGATCATTCGGCCTCCGTTGCTCATGAAGATAGGGGCAGGAGTAGAGGTGATCCAAGATTCCTCCTATATACCTGCGCGCGACGGGAGCTCGTAGAAAACCTGTCGGTTTCTGCGAGGTGAGATACCTAGGGGATAGGGCCGAACCCCAAGACGTACAGAGAAAGGGTATAAGGGCAGCTGTCAGATTCTGCTGTTGTCGACAGTTAATCGCCATCCGCGAATTAATATAAGTGCCTAAGGTAATCTTGTGGCTTTCAGCCTTGGCACTTTATAAGCACTCTACTGGAATCCCAGGAAGCCTGAATGTGTTCCGATTTGCCTTTCCGTCTCTGAAACAGACAAATACGTTCTTGTGGTCTTAAACAACCCAGCATAGCCCTCCTGAATCAGCACCGTCACACACTCCTAGCTGTGAGACAGAGACTATACTTGGACAACAGAGCAAGATTCGGTTGCAGCCACTTCCGTTCAGATGGCACCCTTAGGGATTATAAACTTGGAAAGTGCACGACATATCGATGAAACTTTGTTTCGACGATCAGACACTGATGCATCAGAGAGAAGCGCCCGGCTCGCGGGTAGCCGGGTTTTGGGTAACCTTAAAAAAAAAAAAAAAACCACGATCCCGACACCTGTCAGCCCGGGATCTAGTACATAGGAGTGCTTTTTCCAGGTTCCGGTTTCCGGTCGCCCAGATTTCGCGGACGGGAGGACGCCCCTTGCGCTAGAGCCGCGGATACATCGTCATTTTCGTCTGTGTGCATGTGCGGGGGCCGGTGGTGGCTCGAGGTTGGAAAACCACTGATCGGGAACCAAGACTTTGTCTACGGTATATCATCGTCCCGCACAAAGGATATACCCGGTCCTTTTCTATGCTCCCTTCCGTGCGTTCTTTGTGTCTCCTTCCTTCATCCGCGCGCCAATGGCTACCGGTAGACCCGTGGGATCACTACTTGCTGCCACCATCATATAATTACCTGGTAAGCCTGATCAATTCCTTAGTTATGGCTTTCGGTGGGAGATTGGGAGGAGAGCATCGCCACACTCGGTTGATTCCGGGGGACAGCAAAAGCGAACACGCGATCGTTTGCGCCGTTATGGAGTCAATCCAAAACCTTCAACCCTGGCCAATGGACCTGGTTATCCCGATATGCAATTGTCATCGCTGGCGCCGTGCTTCTTCCAATCTGAGCCTTGAATTGAAGAATGCTAGAGCAAAGTCATGGCACGTTGTGGGTAGGGAGGATGGGAATTCCATGCAGCCACTTCACGTGCCGCTGTGCTGCTTGCCGGAGGGATGCCGATAAGCAATCAATCAATGGCCAGGATTGGTCGAGCTGCAAGGTACAGTCGCGCTAAATTGTGTTTTGTGCAGCCGGCCCCGGTCGGGGCACTTTACAGGGGGTTCAAAATGGGGATGGGGGTCCACGAATGTCACCCTCCGGGCAAGGTGATTGGCCGTGTCATTCTGCCCCTGGCGAGCATCTTGGAAATCGCCGGCGCGAATCTCGCGCCATCAGCACCTTCCCCAGAGGGAGGCCTGTCCACTCCTTTTTTGTCTTGCTCTTCCGTCTTCAGTGACACCCTTTTGCCGAGCGCTTTGGTCGCACCTCAAATGGGGGATTTCCCAATTTATTGCCCCCTTTGATCCAAGCCAATCGACGCCGGCCCAAGCGATGCGTCGAATGCGGGCTAATTCAACAAAGGACTCTCGCCTAGTGTATGAATAACTGAAGTTAATAACTCCATGGATTCGCCGGGTGCTACTTCGTCGGGGTCCATCCCACCCCCCATCCCGGAGGTTGATGAGACGCCAACTGCCTCATCTGGAGCCGCTCCCGCTCGCTTCACTCTTCCACCGCGCCCGGTCCCCTACCGTCCACCACGCGAGCGTCGAAACGAAACGCATTCGTTCCCCGACTTCCCGCAAGTGCCGCCGAAGCACCCGCTCCCGAGCCCGCGCAGCGGCCGGTCCTTGAGTCTGGCCCAGCTATCGGGCCCGATCAAGCGGAAGCCGCTGTCGTCGACCGCCTCACCTGCCGCTGTCCGCTTCTCGAAAGGGGCTGCATACGCCGACGCCTTCGCAGACCTCCCCCGGCCGGAACAGCGGTTCGCCAGGTCGTGTTCGCTCGACAGCCCCACGTTGTACGAGTTCCCTGACCAGCGCAGCTTACTGGTGACAAGCTCACTGAGCAACGTGGATTGGCCGGAGACTCCTGCCGGCAGCGATCCGTATGTCCTGACTCGGGCTGATGCAGTCCTCGTTTCGCCTGGACAAAGTGGTGGCAAAAATATGGCTAACCGGACTTCCCTGAACAGATCATCGCCTGCCATCGATCAGTTTACTGAGCCTGCCGTCCCGGCCGCCGGCGCGGGGAACGTGCAATTGCCAGAAACTGCGGGAAGCAACCCTGCAGCGAGTCAGACCTCGCACACGCTGTCCGAGGAAGAAAGCTTTAGCGCCGAGACGGCCAGTCTGACCACTCAGGAGTCGGATCCGTACGAGCTCGACGACCTGTACCCCATCGCGGACTCACCCGAGTCGGACGGGGACGAGCGCGCCACCATCACTAATACTAACCCCAAGACTATGTCCATGTTTTCGCGGAAGTCGCCTCCTCCGCATCTTAATCTAGGGACAAACAGCAGAGATGCTGCTCCCGCTGTGGCATCTGCAACACCAATAGAACAGAGTAATCTTAATAAGCCGCTGCCGAAATCACCGGCCTCCTCCAAGCTGAGCGCCTTCTTTGGCTGGGCCGCATCTCCATCGCCTTCGGCGACATCCAGCTATTCTGACAAGGGCTTCTCACCTCTTCCCTCGCCGTCGTCACCCAAGCCCGCGACCGCCGTGACCGAGTCCCCCGAGACTCCGATCACATCCAAGAGCCAGGAATTCCCCAATGCCGCCGAGCAAGACTCGCTACAGTATTGTGAAACCTACCTCCAAACACCGGCAGACGTCACAACGTCATTGGGCCAGCTCGAAGAGATGGAGGACGAGCTGAAGGCCATCAGCGCCGAGTTGGCGTCGTCAATCCGGCGCGAGATGGACTTGGAGGATTTAGTGGAGAGACTGCAGGAACAAATCAACAATCCGCAGATACCGGGGAAAAGGACTAGCGACTATTTCTCCGATTCTGGATACAGCTCAGCCAAGTTCAGTGATTATGACCAGGCAAGGGAGGAGATCTCGCAGATTCAGCGCAAGGCAGACCAGGAGAAGGCTCAGATCCGGCTGGAGCTCACCAACAAACTCCAGGATGAGCGTTCGAAGCGCCGGCTTTTGGACCAGCAGATCCAGGAGCTCTCGAAGAGAGCGTCAGAACTCGACGTTGCTCAACTGAACAACGAGGACGCCAGCGGAAGGGTCAAAGAGCTAGAAAGCATGTGCGAGGACTTGAGCAGAAGGTTATCGGAAGAGCGCGGGGCCAAAGTCAACCTTGAGGAGCTCCTGGAAGGCTTGAAGGGGGAACTGCAGACGGCGGCGAATGAGCGGGACAACCTACGCGACGAAGTCGTCCCCCAGCTGCGGGCGCGCGTCGAGGGCCTCGAAGCCGAGGCTGCCGAGCATGCCAGGCTCGCCTACGACACGTCCAAGATGCAGCAAGAGCTGCAGTCGCTCAGGTCCCAGAATGCGGAACTCAAACAAACGGGAACTCGCATGTCGGATACGTTCAAGATGCAAGAAGAGCTCCAGCAGCTCAGGTCTCAGAATGCCGAGCTTAAGCAGACTGGGACTCGCATGTCCATGGCACTGTCGAGGTCAGCGTCAGTCACAGGCGGCTCGTACCGGGGGCCCGTGGCCAAGCTGCGCGCACAATCCATTACGCGGTCAAACACCTTGAGACAAAGCGAGCCTCGAGATGTGCTCGCTGATAGGTTAAAAGATGTGGAGGCACAACGTGACGCCTTGCATAGTGCGCTCAAGAGCCTTCTTGAGCGACAAGAGCTCCAGAACCGCGAGAACGCCAAGAAGATACGGCAGCTCGAGATGGAGCGGGATCGGCTTCTCTCGGCATCTCCCAAGAAGGCTAGCTACGAGCGAGACGTGTCTAATCTCCGCGAGGAAATCAGCGTCTTGCGCCGCCGGGCTGAGGAGGCGATCGAGCAGAAGTGGCAAGTCGAGAAAGGCCTCGCCGGGCTCAAGATGGACCTGGATCGGGCTGAGAGCGAAATCGCATCGCTGCGGAGTCTTCTCAAGGAGCACGACATCCTAATTCCGGAGACCCTGGCGAGGCCGGGTAGCAGCCATAGCGAGCACGACCTGCCTGTTACATCAGCGTCACTAGAACAGGCTTACAGAGAGCTGCAGGCTGCATATACGGATGCATTGGAGCGCATCAAAGCGCTTGAGGAGAGCACGAATCCGGACGAAAAGACGCAGCTCGCCATGCAACGCCTCGAACAGTCGCTCTCCGTCATCGTCTCAGACCGCGACCTCGCTCGCACCGAAGCTGATGCCTACCGCGCCCAGCTCGAGTCTCTCCAAAACTCGGAGAAACGGCATCTGGAGGCGGAGCGCGACCTAGCCGAGCAACTAGACGAGTCGGCCCGCCGAGCCGAGGAGCTCGCGCAGCAAGTGCGGGCCCAGCTCCAGACCAACGCCACCTTGCGCACCCGCCTCGCCGAGACGGTCGCGCGCGGCGAGGCCGAGCAGCGCGTCAGCACGGAGCGCATCGCCCGCGTGCAGAGCCGGCTGCGCGCGCTCGAGGAGCAGGTCGTCGCCGCGCAGGACAAAGCCGAGGAGCGCGTCGCGCGCCACGAGGAGGAGCTCGCCAGCCTCAAGGACGCCCACAGCCACCAGCTTCAGCGCCTGCGCGACGCATCCGGCGGCCTGCGCACCGGTCAGCAGCGCACCTTCCCGCCCAAGTCCCCGCTCTCGCCCATGTTCAGCCTCAAGAGCCGCGAGAGCAGCGGCCACCGCCTCACGCCATTATCGCACCGCATGTCCAACCCCCTCCTCACCCCGAACGGCCCGCGCCCGGCGGGCCTCAGGCGATCGGTCACCGACGAAGAGGCGGTCGACATGGCGGCGCAGGTGGAGGCGCTCAAGCGGCGCGTGGCCGAGCTCGAGGGCGCGCTGGCGTCGGCCGACGCCGAGATGCAGGAGGTGGTCGGCCGCATGAGCGCGGCACAGATCGAGGTGCTCCAGCTGCAGGAGGAGCGCGAGGAGGCGGTGCGTGAAACGCGCCGGCTGCAGCGTGTCTTGGAGGAGGAGAGGATGCGCGTCTTCCAGGAGCGGTTTAAAAGTATCTCCACCGAGGTGAGGTGACATCCATCCGTCTAATCCCACTCGATGAGTGGTGAACGGGGAGGTGGAGCGCATGTATTGGATAGGCGCTTTTGGGATTTTGGGGTGTTCTTCACTTTATTTTTTGGGATACAAATCCTCTTTTATCTCTTTATCTTTTTTGGGATACTCATCTGTTGGAATACCCATACGTACCCTACAGGACGTACCTTACGGCACTTCTTCGCTTTGGGAAGAGGGGCAGTATTCATTACTTGTCGGCAAGCCTACCAGGTACTTCAATTCGGCTTAGGGCTTTGTATAGCATATATATACCAGGCTGGGCTGCGGAATGGGCTGCGGAATCGTTTCAGGGCATTTCCCCTTCGTGGCACTGCGGGCCTTCGGGTTGGGCCTGCGTGTCTGTCCCGTTACGGTTGACGCCGGCTTATACACATACCCTACTGGATTGGTTAACTTTAGTGTATACTTTTGTGTTGTAAGGGGATAGGAGGTTGTTTGTGTAGGTTGGAAGGGTTGAAAAGTCGTTGCACGGCCAACTTGGAATAGGATTGACAACAAGATAACTGCTACTGTGTAAATAGAAGGATGCGTGGTGCGAGATGAGAGTAGTAGTGGGCGGCTTATTACACGTACTGTACCTACCTACCTAAGGTACTGGGGCTCTGGGAATAGGTTCATGTCGTGTTCACACTGGTCTCATCCTGGTGGTCTCAACGCTAGAAGGGTTGAAACACCTGCTGCTCGTCTACTAGTGATGTTTGCCCCTTGCTATGATATAGAGGGAGTATCTCTCTGGCTTGGTCGGTTCACGTAAATCTTTTCAAGTTGATTCAAGACTTACAGCGGAGATGAGGCACTCCGCTGTTGGGTGAGCGATATGTTCATATCAGTGAAAATCAATGCTTCGTTCCGTAAGGTACATTATTAAGCATACTAGTATATTCGAATCGGGCATCACTGCGTAACGTAAGGTACCTAGGTAAGGTAGTCCATTCCTTTTCCTTTCCTAACCAGACATCCAGGTCCCCGGATCCCCACTCCAAAACTCAATACTGAGTAGGAAGCCTCTCAGCACCACCGCTCCCAGGGCTCCCGCCACTTCACGCCGAGCAACTCAAAGATGCGCCTCTCGTCCCTCCCCTCCACCAACTGTCCCTCCGTGACCTTGACCCTGTTCTTGCCCCGCACGACCTTCTTGTACAGGCCGCGCTGGTTCAGCCTCATCCCCCTCTTGGACGCCAGCAGCCGCATGCTGCGGTTGAAGATGTCGTTGCCGGTGAAGTAGATCAGCGCCGCGCCGTATTCGGATTCGGGAACCAGCAGGAAGTCGAGGCGTCGCCAGATCTGCCGTTGTGGACCGCCTTGGTCACTACTACTACTACTATCGTTATTATTATTGTGAGTGTTGTTGTTGTTATGATGACCTTCTTCCCGGGGAAGCACGCAGCACCCGTGCCATTTACTCCCCGGCCCGTCCTTGCCCGGGCGGTGGGCATGCAGCGCGGCGAGCGTGGCGACGATGAAGCCCTTGCGCGTGAGGGTGGCGAGCAGCTCCTCCAGGAAGGGCAGCAGCTCGGCGGCCGAGGTGGTGCCCTTCTTGGTGACGATGATGTCGATGTCGCCGGAGCTGTCGGCGCCGCGCCGGTAGCTGCCGCCCACGAGCAGCTCCACGCCGGCGTCGAGCTGCGCCGCGTGCTGCTGCACGTACGCGAAGAGCACCGTGACCTCCGCGCGCGGGATGCGCGTGTTGAGGTCGTCGTAGTGCTCGATGCCGATGCGCTGGTTGGCGGTCAGGTCCTTCGCCTTGTGGAGGACGTCGTCGAGCGTGCGGAACCCCTGCGCGATCCACTTGTTGGCGCGGCTGGTGCCGACGTCGTAGATCTTGAGGAAGGTCTCGAGCACCTGGTCGAGCGGCTCGTCGTCGGCGTACTGCAGGCGGCGCAGCTTGTTCGTGGTGGCGATCTCTTCGATCTTGGCGGCGAGGCGGCGGCCGATGTTGGGCAGCCGATAGGCTCCCTCCTCGGTCGTGATCTTGACCGTCTGCCGCCGGAGCGTGGCGATGGCCTTGCGGTAGGCCAGCGTGCGCCAGTTGTCGTTTATGCGCGTGTAGTAGTCGCACATGCTCTGGAGGATTTCGATCGTCTTGGCGTTGGGGTTGCCATCGTCGCTGGTTCGGTCCTTGGTTCCGCCGCGGTTGCAGGCAAAGCGCTCTTCGAATGCGATCTCTTTCCGCGCAGTGAGCCGGCCTTTTGTTGTAGCCCTCTTGCGCGCACGTTCACCTTCCGACCCTCCTTCGACGTCTGAGTCCGACACCGTAGCCTCCTGAGCATCGCTGACGGACTGGAGATCGTCTTCTTCTTCCGGATCCAGGGGGAGATGTTTATATTGTTGTATGAGTTCGATGTAGTCCGATAGCTCATCCTTCGTGCTCGATCTTCGACGGGGCGGACCAGGTGCCCTGTCTGTAGGGTTGGTTTGCTCTCCTTGAGGACTCCCCGGGGAGGTTCGGTTACCAGCGGCGGGTGGACTGCCCGAGGTGTGTCCTGGCGCCTGATCTCTCACGTCTTCTCCTGCGTCCTTGGTTGGGCTCTGCAGAGACGCCTGCTCACTTCCCGGCGGCGTGTCCTCGGCATCGCGTTTCTTGGATGCCCTGGGCAGTTTTACTTGCAATGAGCGATCAGAGCTTTGCGACGGCACTGGCGGAATCTGATCCGAAGCTAGCTGCGCTGCGTTATTAACAGGGTAGCCAGGGATCTTGTATCGCTTCTGGTCCGGGTTGAGCAGTGTGCGGAAGGAGAGGCAGTCGATGGGGTACTCTTCGTTGACAACAATCGGGGCTGCCGCCGGCTCAGAGCCAAGTATGCTCTCAATGTCCTTGTATGTCAGGTGCTTGTCGACGACAACGTGGCTGGCGTCCACAAGGTCCCGAACCCATCGCGCCCCGTACTCCTGCGCCTTGCTAATGCGCAGTTTCCTGGCAGGGGCAATGTCGTTGTTCGGGATGTAGTAGAAGGACAGGCCACGGAAGATCTGGGCGGCTTCGGGCACTGGCTTTGGCAGCGATTGCCGTTTACGCTTCCTCAGACCGGAGCTTACCGAGGGCGACTGCTCAACCAGTGATGACGAAACAGGGGTCGGCAATGTCGTACTCCTCCGAAGTGTTCGGGGGGGTTGACGAGCAGTCTCTGGCACAGGCGTCTCCTCCATAAATGAAGTAGTGCCCATGAGGAGATGCTCTGTCCTAGTAGCCCTCCTTCCCCCGAGGTTCTGAGTGCCGGGAGTCGCTTTGATGACCCGGGGATCAGGGGTCACTGTCACCGCAGTCGGAGTGGGCATCGATGCCGTTCGCCGGGGATGGGTTTGAATGCTTTCCTGAACCGGACTGGGTTTCTTCCGTGAGCGAAAGAAGGCTCGACATGTGTTTCGGTGATTTTGCTCCTTCTCATCAATCTGATCGTCACCATCGCTCAGTTTGTCGAGCGCATCGAGCTGCTCGAAGAAGACAATCTTCTCATCGAGTGACGGAGACTCCATTCGTCTCTCACGCGCAGCTTGATGTTGCAGAAGTGAACTAGGAACGATGTGCCCATGTGAGAGTTTTAGAAAGGCATCGTCACCAAGCGGAGGGTCTCTGAGAGACCGGCCCGACATCTTAGTCCATTTTTGGCTCCTGCTCTGTTGGGTAGGCGAGCCGTGGCTGCCTAACTGTGCGCAGCACACGCCAGAAGCAAGGGCGTCTCGACTTCTAGGTAGATCCTTGGCAACCTTGACACGTTTTGTGTGTAACCGGTGGATAATTCGGGTCCGGCTAAGTTACGTTATTAACCCGCGAAGAGGACGCGTGGTCACGAGGATCATGAACGCCAAGAAGTCCTGGTTGCTGTCCCCTGCTTGTCGCTGATTGGCCCCCTATATTAATCGCGGTGTTTCGTTCCTGCCCCCTTTTACTTCAGCGACGCATCTGTAATCCGTACAGTCGAGTTCAAGTTGTTCCGTTACAGGAAGTTCACCTCCAGTTTCGATGACAGTCAGCTTGCTGCAAGTGACTCACTGGAGTGGTACTAAAGTGGACTGCATCATCCATTGGGGCTTCCTCTTAGCGCCATTGTCCGCCATTTCCTCTTCTCTCGGTGTTTTCTCTGGAAACCGACCTTGTACAATACATATCCACCGCGGGAACAGTGAACCCACTTAAACCGCAAGGAAGCATCGTCGGGCCTTCACGAGCTATTGGACTTGGACAACAACAATGTCCAACCTATTTTCCGGCATGTAAGTCATCTCGTGATTCACCGGCTTTCAAATGTGCTGTGGTCCCGTCGCCCTGAATCGCACGTGGGACTTCCCATATCCAGATTCAACAGTCAATGTCATGGATTCCCGATATCCTTCCGAGTTGTCTTGTGAGCTTGAATCTAGATGGACAATTCGCTAAATAACGGCGTTTCGCAGTAATGCCCGGCTGAGAGGAGCCACGAAGCAGGGAAGCGGGAAGAGCCCTGTTTCATCACCCACGTCCGAGGATGGCCATTTCAACCCGCCACGTGGGCTTTCCAAGAGGAGCAAGTCGTCGAGTAACTTGTCAGCGAGCAACTCATCCTCCAAGGTCCCCCCCTTGCCACCGTCCCCTTCGGTTCCTCAACCCCTCGGCACCAACGCTACGGGTGATGAGATCCTGAATTCATACCGCCTCCCAAAGCCGCTCCCTCTATGGCTGAACCCAGCCTACGCAAAGCATATCGTGAAGGGCAACTTCATGACCCTCAGCAGCAGACCCAAGACGGTCGAGCCCGGTGAATGGATTGCACATCAAGGTATTCCGTGTTCCCGGACTTTTTATTCGCTGAAGCTGACGGCTCTGGGCAGTGGTAGAGCATTATCGCAATCTATGGAACTTTGTTCAAGTAGTGTACGCCAAAGAAGCGGACGGGAAGAGCATCTGCAACCCCAAGACATGCCCGCGGATGTCAGCTGGACCGTATGGTGCCTCTCATTGCCCCCCAGTGACACGAGGTACTGACAGCAGCATAGGAACCACTCGTATACGTGGTTGAATAACCGCTACGAGCCCATCGAGCTGCCGGCAATTGAGTACATCGCGCTGATGCAGAGATGGATATCTGGCAAGATTGACGACGCCAAGATATTCCCGACGGACCCTGCTGGCGTCTCCTTCTCGCACAACCCCAACGTCGCCAACACAGCCCTCCTCAGCGAGCCGGATGAGTGGATCGGGAAGCGCAGCGGCTTTCCCAAGGATTTTTCCAGCATTTGCCAGACGATCTTCCTGCAAATGTTCCGGGTCTACGCCCACCTCTATTGGGCGCACTTTGTGGAGCCTTTCTACCATCTCAACCTGGAGAAGCAGCTCAACAGCTGCTTCAGCCACTTCGTCCTGACGGCTACGGCACTGGACATGCTCAAACCCCAGGCGCTGGAGCCCATGCAGCCCCTGGTCGACCTGTGGGCTGCTAATGGCACGTTCCCACCGGAGTCCAAGGCGTATGAGTATGCCAACCTCAAGGCGGGCAAGCGGCTGTTGCAGATGGCGGGTATGGCTTGAACAAGTGCGGGGGAATACATTGCATTGCGTTGCGTTGCGTTCATCATCCGTCTTTGGGGCTTGGTCATGCATTGCATCGTCGTGGAGTTGGGGCGCGGTTCGGGAAGGCAGCATGCCCGGTTTTTATCATCATGTCTTGAGATTTGCTTTCCAGTGGATCTGCGACTAGACAGTCAAGTATGGCGCCATTGCTTAAGGTAGGTAGGTACGAAGGGATCGCAGGACAAAGAAGAGCGCTCTATAGATCAAACCAAATCTAGCATGCAACCCTGTATTAGTCTACACCTAGGTGTAGCAGTGTACAGGGATGGTATCGGGATATATAGGTTCGTGAAAAGGCAATAGCCTAAATATCTCGAACAAGATTCAGGTTCAACCTAGTGCATGTGCTAACTCAGGTAATCAGCTATAACCAGACACTCTCCTATATGCACTTCCAGCTTGCATCCCGCCTAGGTGTGTCCAAGAGTCTGGTCTGACCCTCACCTCAAACTGGAAGTCTATGTACAGTAGGTCCCTGCTTGGCGACTTTTCAGGGGAGGTGTTGCGGGGCAGGCAGCTCCCCCGCCTCCGCCGAGCGGGTCAGGTCGTTTGGGAATTTTCTACCCAAATTCTCTGCGCAAGGCAAAGCCAAGCCTAGACCTCTTCAGCCTTTTGCGCACCCTGCTCAACTTTTCTCTGTCCCAAAAAGTCCAGGAACGATCTTTCTTGTTAAATCGTCTCATCTCGATTGGGCCTGTTATTCGCGTGCGGAATCGGATCTGACGTTCTTGAGACTATCTGGAAATCAACATGGCTGGTGGAAGCATGGACATTGAGGCTGCTGAGAAGCAGCTCAAGTCGCTGGATCACTCGGAGCAGCACTACTTCAACAGGCAAGTGTGTCTCGGTTTTGGACGATTCCTCTGTTGCACAGCAATGCTGACACTTATCGCCTCAGTTATAATCACCATGGTGAGCAGTCCAGGCTTTTCTTGAAAGCAAATGATCCTCTTGGCTGACGATTGCGACCCTGCGACAAAGGCATCCACGAGGAAATGTTGGTGTGTACAATACAATTCGCTGCCCCACCACCCCTCCATATCAAGGCGAGCAGTCACTGACATGCTGCGCGTACTCCCTTGCAGAAAGATGAGGTGCGAACAAGATCGTACATGAATGCGATCGTCCAGAACAAGCATATCTTCAAGGACAAGGTCGTGCTAGATGTGGGATGTGGCACCGGTATTCTGTCCATGTATGTGCCCTCGACCGGCCGTTACACATCGCGGCCTCAGGGGTCAAAGCACAACCGGCTGATACATATGTCCAGGTTCGCCGCTAAGGCCGGCGCAAAGCATGTCGTCGGTGTCGACATGTCGACCATCATCTTCAAGGCCCGCGAAATCGTCGAGCGCAATGGCTTGTCAGACAAGATCACCCTGCTGCAAGGCAAGATGGAGGAGGTCGAGGTGCCCTTCGAGAAGGTCGACATCATCATCTCGGAGTGGATGGGCTACTTCCTCCTGTACGAGAGCATGCTGGACACTGTGCTCTACGCCCGCGACAGGTACTTGGCCAAGGACGGCCTCATCTTCCCCGACAAGGCGACCATCTTTGTGGCTGGTATCGAAGACGGGGATTACAAGGAGGAGAAGATCGGCTGTATGTCCCGGCTGATTGTCTTCACTGCCGAAGCAAATGCTGACACTGATCCTTAGTCTGGGACAACGTCTACGGCTTCGACTACACACCGCTCAAAGAGACGGCCCTCTCGGAGCCGCTGGTCGACACAGTCGAGATGAAGGCGGTCGTGACGGACCCCACCGCCGTGCTCTCGCTCGACCTGTACAAGGTGCAGCCGGCCGACCTGGCCTTCAGCTGCCCCTTCGACCTGACGGCGCGGCGGGACGACTTCATCCACGCGCTGGTGGCCTGGTTCGACATCGAGTTCTCGGCGTGCCACAAGCCGATCCGCTTCTCGACCGGCCCCCACACCAAGTACACGCACTGGAAGCAGACCGTGTTCTACCTCAAGGACGTGCTCACGGTCCAGCAGGGCGAGCGGATCGAGTGCTCGCTCCACAACCGGCCAAACGAGAAGAACCGTCGGGACCTCGACATCAAGATCCAATACCGCCTCGACACCCAGGACCCGAACCGGCAGGCCGAGGGGACCTGCTTATACAAGATGTGCTAGGAAATATTGCGGCGCGGAAAAAGGTGGACTCCACGAGAAGGCCAGCTTCTGAGCCAGCTTCCGATGTCGATATGGATGGGATATGGAAGGCTGGAAAATGCACCATGGAGTAGTCTTCGTGCCAAGTGCTAACACTCCTATAAGAGAAAGGGTTCGATTGGCGTTCTTTTGCTTTGGCTTATCATCATCATTTTGCGCGTCCAAGAGGGAAAAAGGGCCGGCCAAGAGTGTGTGGTGCCATAGGGACGGGTGTACTACGGCCGTTGAGTGAGTGTCTTGATACATAGCGATACCCGTAGAAAAGGGGGAGAAATACTAGAAGGACCTCTTTTCTTGGAAGCTTAAAGACTCTTGCATGAGATTTACTCTGGTAAGGGGACTGCTAGTAGTCGTCTATGATGAGCCTCCATGCATTTGGTGGCGTATGGCTTGATATTCTTTCCGTCCACCTCACCCTACGTAGTTACTACCTTATACTAATTACGCTCAGTACCTTATCTTTTCCACCTGCTTCTCTTCCCTGTCACATTCACTACCTTAGGTAGTATGTAACACTCTTTTCTTTTCTTCTCTTTCCCACATCTTTCCCACCAAAAGTCCTAACTCATCTCCATTGTCATCGTTGCTCTCCTAGCATCATTCACTTTCATAACTGTCATAAACCCCCATTAACTTTTGGAAGCAAGGGAACCAACCAACCAACCAAGCAGGCAGGAAAGGCAAGCAGCCGTTTAAAAGCAGATTGAATGCAAAAACAAATAAAACAACGAGCTGTTTTAAGTCCTCCGGACGTTTTATCTTTTCAGTTCTGCTTTTACTTCTTTCCCCCTTCTTCTCACTGTTTTTGTCTTTGTCTTTTTCGAAACTCCAGTGTACAATACCCGAACCGCCCACCTCTACCCCCTTTTAGGCTAGTAGGTTCAAGTTCTCTTATAATACCAAATCGCCTGCTCGGACGTTGCTAAATTCATCTTCTGATCTGGAAATATGCCATGCCCCATAGACTCATCATCATCATGATCATCAGCAGCATCGTGATGAAAGAGAGAGAACTTTTCTTCTTACTTCTTCTTTTTCAATCCAACCAACGCACGGGATCCTCGATCATGGGCGGGGTCAAGACGAGCTGGATCTCCTCGTCCAACTTGAACATATCCCCGCTGTTTTCTCGCCGCACAGTATACCCCCATTTCGGATGCCGTGACAGCGACAGAGTGCGGCTGCGGTTCTTACGGGGTTCGCCGTTTTGGTGCTGTTGCTGTGCGCGGTCGGCCCTGTCGTTTCCAGAGGCGGCCCGGTGCGAGGAGAGGGAAGCAGCTCGGTCCCGACAGCACTACTGGGTCCCGTAGCGCTCGATGATGTGAGCGACGCGCTCGGCGAGCTCGTTGGCCTCGGACCGGGTGGCGGCCTCGGCGTAGACGCGGCAGGCGTTCTCGGTGCCGCTGGCGCGGGCAAAGGCGCGTGCGTCCTTGTACTTCTTGACCTCCTGGTCGATCTCGTCCTGGGCGCCCTCGGGCCGCAGCAGGCGCCGCTCGGCGTCGGTCGTCTCGAACAGGTCCTTGTTGCCCACCTCGACGCGCACCAGCCGGTTGGGCAGGTCCTGGTAGGTCATGGCCCAGTCGCGCAGCGTCCAGCTCCGGTGCGCCAGGATCACCTCCACCAGGAGCATGTCCGAGATGGCGTCGCCGACCGTCTGGTTGATCAGGTCGCCGAGGGCGGCCAGCGTGTCGAGCGCGTCCTTCTGCGCGGGCGACTGGGGCTCCGTGTTCTGGAAGGCGTTGAGCGCGTCGGGCGAGAAGAGCACCGTGCCGTGGCCGTTGGCCTCGAAGTACACTCCAATGTCGAATCCCTGAGCGACATGGTGGAGGTGCTTGACGCCGGTCGGCGTGCAGATGACGGGCAGCTTGAGGTGCTGGGTGATGTAGTTCGTGCTGGCACCGTTGGCGTAGGCTGTCTGGACGACGCCGATGCGGAGATCGTTCTTCAAGCCGGCGCCCTCGACCAAGTCGCCGATGAAGGAGGCGGCGAGCGACGAGATGCGGTCGCCGTCGAGCATGACGAAGCCGCTCTCCGGGTCGACCCAGTAATAGATCAGCCGGTCTGCGTCACCGTCCAGTGAGCAGCACCTTACGCCAGGTTGCGGTTTCGGTGAGGGAGGAGCCCTTTGCTTCGTCTTGACATAGTCGGCACCGCACTACGCAGCAGGTTAGCAGCTTCTCAACAGGACCAATCAGATAGAGATGTGAGACATACATCGAGGTTGAGGACCTCGGGCCGCAGAACGTCGTCATTGACAACCTTGACGTCAAAGTTCACCTTGTCCTTGGGAATGTACTTGAGGAACTCGGACAGCTTCGGCCCACCAATACCGTTGGCGCAGTCCACCACTAGGGTACCGTTGATTCTCCTGCCCTTGACGGCACGAACGAAAGCCTCGGCGAGTTTCTCGTAGTACCCGGCCTCGCTGACCTTGCCGTATGCCAACGGAGTCCCGTCGCTGTTGGTCGCCCGTACGAGATAGTGGAGCTGGGGGGTTGTGAGCAGCTTGAAGTCGACGTGCTCGCTCTTGGTGGCCTCCAGACCACTGACGAGCGCCGTGACCAGCTTGTGTCCTGAGGGCCTCGTGTCACGGCCATAGATGACCTTCGAGGGAGCCGTGAGGTCGATCTTCAGCTCGGTAGCCAGCTTGTTGTAAACCTCAACGAGATGATCGTCACTCTGGGCGTTGACCAGGGCGGTGGCGTAGCGCTCCCAGTCCTGCTCCAGCATGTCTCCCAGAGGATCCACGATTTTGACCCCATTGTCCGAGGCCGGGTTGTGGCTAGCGGTGATCATAACACCGATCGCCTGGCCGTTCAGCTTGCGGCTGCGCAGGGAGGCGAGCAGGCCGACGCGGAATGTGATGCCCTCCAGCAGGTCGGCCTTCATGCGGAAACCGGCAGTGCCATACTTGTAGAACTGGCCCTTCTCGAGGGACACGATCGGGTGCCTGGCCGAGCCGGCCTTGATAGCCTCGCCGTGGTTGTCCATCTCGGGTAGTGGAGGCGTCCCTGAGCTCAGCTGGGCTGATTCGGGAGGTCGTGCGGGGTACTGCGAGGCAGAATCTCGGGGTTGGTGGAAACAACTGTAGGTGGTTTACTGGGTATGGTTTGCGCGTTTGGTCTTGAGGGAAGGAAAACGGGTTCGAGGAACGAAGAACAGAAACATTCCAGTTTGGGCGGCAACTGGAGGTACTAGTAGTGGAGGCCCTGGGCGGTGGGTGGATGGCCCAACGAGGTACTTCGTAGATGCCCCGCGCCGTTACTGGAACTTGAAGCTCAAGGTGGGGGTTATTCCGGAAGGGGGCTGTGGGGCTACTCAGCCAAAATCAGCGCGATGCTAACCTGAATTGGAATAGTGTCTCGTAACCTGCCGGACCGCATGGCTTGGCAGTGCCGATCGCTGTCAGTTCGACACGCCTCGCGTCGCTTTGGGAACCGCGGAAACCACAGCCTCGAGTTTGTCCTACTGTTAACAGAGCAAAAGGGGCGAGACAGACAGAACAATGCATCGATACATTGCAGGCTGAGACATCGGCTTTGCACCTTGTGCTTTCATTTGCTCGTCTATTTCGCATTCGCTCTTTGCATCTCTCAATCGGCTTATTGACAATCCCGTTTTGCTCCGTCGCTTATTTGCTCCGAGGCTGTGCCCTCCACTATGGCTCAAAACAACACATGTGCCAATCCATTGCTGCTCGAGTGGGTTAAGGAATGGTATGAAACGGCCCGGGAGCGCAACTCCAAGGGCGTCACCACCTACAAGCATGCCTACGACTCTCTCAAGGCCTGCCCCATCGCTTTCGGGCACCCCGCGTCGCTCCAGCAGCTGAAGGGCTTCGGCCCCAAACTGTGCGAGCGGCTTACCGAGAAGTTGCGGGAGCACTGCCAGCAGAATGGCCTGCCTATGCCGCCTCATCCGCGCGGTAAGAAGCGAGCGTACAGAGCAGTCCTTCCGGGGGAGAACGAAGCGGAGGATGAACCGGCGCCGCAAGCGAAGAAGGCAAGGAAGGCCAAGCCCTATGTTCCGGCCTACCGGTCCGGCGCATATGCGCTGATGGTTGCCCTTGCGAGCGCTGGCGAGGAGGGCCGAGGGATGCCCAAGGCTGAGCTGATTGCTGCGGCTCAGCCGCACTGCGACGCATCCTTTACGGCCCCGCCCGACCCTACCAAGTTCTATACCGCATGGGCCTCGATGAAGACGCTGCTCGCGAAAGAGCTAGTCTATGAGCGGGGCCATCCTTTGAAGCGGTATTGCCTGACAGATGAAGGCTGGGAAGTGGCCAAGAGGATTCAACAGACGACTGGTCCTCAAGCTAGCACCAGCGACTCAAGTGCGAGCAACGCAGCTGCCACGCCCAGCACATCAGCCGCACCGCTTGCAACAAGTGCTCGACCAACAGTCACGCCAGCGATTGTACTGGATGACGAGGAGGACGTCGCTTCCCAGCCACCCAAAAAGTCGGAATTTGGGGACGTGGTAGCAGATGGGACTGCCGTGCCTGACGATGCGGCCCTGCCGTCATTCACTCCGATTATACTGGCTCCCGGGTCGTTTACTGTCGAGCTAGTGCTTGACAACCGGGAGATCAGAGCGAAGACAGACAGGGACTACATGCAAGAGGAGCTGGCCAAGCGGGGCATTGAACCTACCGTTCGCTCCCTCGAGCTGGGCGACGTCCTCTGGGTTGCACGATGCAAGAACCCTGGCTGGTTGGATCGAGTGGGCGCAGAAGGCGACGAGGTGGTCCTTGACTGGATCGTCGAGCGGAAGAGGCTGGATGACCTCATAGGCTCCCTCCGGGACGGCCGTTTCCACGAGCAGAAGTTCCGGCTGCGACGGTCAGGGGTGAAGAACGTCATCTACCTAGTGGAGGAGATTAGCATGGACGCGGCGCACTTCCAGAAATATGAGGAGGCAGTCCAGTCGGCCATGGCATCCATGCAGGTAGTGGACGGCTACTTCTTGAAGAGGACGCAGAAGATGGACGACACGATCCGCTACCTCGCATCGATGACCAAGATGCTCAAGACGATGTACGAGGGGAAGAGCCTCTACGTGATACCAACGGGAGTTCTGACAGCCAAGAATTACCTACCCCTGATGAAGCACCTGCGAGAGACGCAGCGGTCGGCCAGCCACCACATCAGCTATCCGGCGTTTGCCTCGCTCGCGTCCAAGTCGAGCAACATGTCTCTGCGGGACCTGTTCCTGAAGATGTTGATGTGCTCCAAGGGAGTGACGGGAGAGAAGGCGATCGAGATTCAGAAGGTCTGGAAGACGCCGAACGAGTTCGTCAAGGCATATGAGCAGTGCGGCGCGGGCGAGGAAGGGAAGAGGCGCAAAATAGACCTGGTCTCCAGTAAGCTGGGGCATCTGGTTGGGCGGAAGAAGATATCCAAAGCCATGAGCCAGAAATTGGCAGAGGCTTGGGGCGAGGTGTGATTGCAGGGAGAGCTTCACAGGCTAGGTAGGCGATGCGCAAAACACAGAGATACCCCATGACAAGCCGAATCAAAAACAATGATACCATAGACCTGTCCCAGCTTCAAGCAGAACCGCCCTTATCATTGACGACCCTCTCCATAATCTTTTGCAACAGCCCTCCCTTCCCGCCGTCCTCCCCCAACCCAGCCAAATACCCCTGCAGACTCTTCTCGACATACTTGGCCGTCATGTCCACCTCGACGTTGACCGTCTCCCCAACCTGCTTGGCCGCCGTCACGATCCGCTCCTGCGTGTACGCAATGAGCATCACCTCCCACCACCCTTCGACATCGTCCACGGCCGTGACGGTCAGGCTGGCCCCGTCCAGGGCAATGAAGCCCTTGTAGACCACGTAGCGCAGCACTTCCTTGCTCCGCGGCGCAAAGCGCAGCCGCACCGCGTTGCCGTCCGGCGTCCGCGACACGATGGTGGCCGTCGTGTCGACGTGGCCCTGCACGAAGTGCCCGCCCATGCGCGTGTCGGCGCGCACCGCCCGCTCCAGGTTCACGCGCGATTGTTGCGGGCGCAGAGAGCCCAGGTTGGTCAGGCGCAGGGTCTCGGGCGCGATGCCCACCGTGAAGCTTGGGTTGGTGGGAGGAGAAGAAGAGGAAGGGGTGAAGGAGGTTACGGTCAGGCAGACGCCGTTGATGGCGATCGAGTCGCCTAGGTGGCAGTCGGAGAGGAGCGGTGAAGTCGGCGGGAGGGTGATAGTTAGCGAGGTGCCGCCTGTTGCGTCCGAGGGGTTGAGCTCGGTGACGGCTGTCGCGTTGGGGGGTTAGATGGGAGTGAGGCATTGAGTGGGGCGGGGAGGGCAGGAGGAGGGCGTACTGCCTATCTCTTCGACTATGCCGGTGAACATTGTGATTGACTCAGTTCAAAAGTGAGTTCTGATGTGTTGTGATGAGTGAGAGGGCGAGCCGGCGGGGTGGGTGTGAGGTTCTGATTCCTGAAGAGGTTTGGGATTTTAAAAGCTGCCTGGTCCGCTCTCGTGGAAGATAAACGTTCAGATGTCTATACTGGATTGAACCTTCAAGAATTGATCCAACTCACTTCAGATTCTTGCACTAGCTTACAGATCAGAAGCAGATTGTGAGTAATCGAGGCTATACGGAGTATGGAGTACTAGTACCAGTGGGGTTCGGAGCTGCCCCGCGGTTCGAGGTTTCGTCGGGGTAAGTTCAGGTACGGGTTAGGGTACAGTGTGGCAGAGCAGTACATTGGAGGACGGACTGTGAACGGTATGGGGACAAACCTAAGCACCTGAGCAGAATCGCGCTGGATATAGCTTCCTTTGATTTCCAGACACCTTGCGCTCGACAGGTGCATACCCTCATCTCATTACACTTGAGTCAGTTGGCTCCAAGTAAGGGCGTGACGATCACTGAGTGTGACCTTCCACAGTGCCACACGGTGTTGCCAAGCTTCTTGCTGACAACAGTGACAAGAGCTCCTGCGAGCAATCACGTCCATCGATCAGGGGCTCGGCTCCTTCCCGACAACAACCCTGCGAGCAACGTTTACCTGCTTGTCTCAGAACCCTGCGAGCAACCTTCCCTGCTCGCCTCGTCGCCCCCCATGACAACAAGCAGGACAAGATGTTGTTCCTATCGAAGCAGCTGTGGCGCTGGATCCAGGTAGCCGCCGTGCTCTGCATCTTCTGGCTGGTGCTCAACACCGCTCGCAACAACAACTCGGCCACGCCCGCAACCCACCGGTCCGCCGCCGATGGTCAGCTCGACGTCTGCCGTCCACACGGGTGGAAGCCCTTCCGCCCGAGATCGCCCGACCGGGCGCGCAAGGTGTACGACCTTGTGATGATCAACTCGGAGCTCGACATGCTCGAGGTCCGGCTCAACACCACCTTCGACGAAGTCGACTACTTCGTCCTCGTCGAAAGCCGCAAGACCTTCACCAACCTCGACAAGCCGCTGGTCCTGAAGAAGAACCTCGCCAGGTTTGAGCCCTACCTGCGAAAGATCATCTACCACGAGATCGAATACCCGCCCAACTTCAAGCCGCAGCGGACCTGGGACATGGAAGACCACCAGCGCAACTCCATGCTGACCCAGGTGTTCCCGCGCCTGCGGGGTGCCCAAGCTCCCCAACGGTACGACGTGATCGTCGTGTCCGACGTCGACGAGATCCCGCGCCCCTCGACGCTCGCGCTGCTCCGGGCCTGCCGGTTCCCGCGCCGGCTCACGCTGCGCAGCCGGTTCTACTACTACAGCTTCCAGTGGTTGCACCGCGGGCCCGAGTGGCCGCACCCGCAGGCGACGTATTACCTAGGGGCGCACTGGACGCTGCTGCCCAACGACCTGCGCATCGCCGACGGCGGCATGTGGCCGTTCCGCGAGTGGGAGAAGGGCGAGCTGGCGAATGCCAGCTGGCACTGCTCGTCGTGCTTCGCGACGACGAGTGAGTTCCTCGGCAAGATGGCGAGCTTCTCGCACACGTGGATGAATAAGGAGGAATATCGGGACAGGAACAGGATTCTGGACCGGGTGCGGAACGGGAAGGATCTGTGGGATCGCGAGGGCGAGGTGTATGATCGGGTGGAGGACAACCAGGACGTGCCGAGTTTCCTGTTGGAGAACCAGGAGAGGTTTGCATATATGCTAGATCGGGACGGCCGGAACGCGGGGTTTGAGGATATTATCTTCGTTGATATATAGGGTAGGAGGGGACTGGCGTTAGGAAAATGGTAACTAGATGGAGGTGGTAAACGGGCTTGCATTGATCAGGGAGGGAGGCAACAGCGGTTCAAGCGGCTGAACCGATGCCCATGACAGCCCGTTCGAATTGAATCAGACTAGCGATGGGGTGGCTGTTAATGGAGTTACTGTTACATTTGTATACCAGTACTGTGTAAGTGACATAGAGTTCCTCCCAAGACTGTCATACCTCATCACGACTTCACTGACGTTCCTCACGACATAAGACTAAGGTAGGATCCATTCGTCCATCAAGCATGCATATACGGCCCGTCCCGCACCTTGGCTGCTGCTCCAAGTTGCGAGCAACCAGGGGCTTCTGCGACGTCATTTGTAGGGACGATCTTGGGAATCGTTGAACAGTCTACTGATGCTGGAACCATACAGGGGATTGCGCTTAAAGCCGTTTGCGGCTCGTTAAAAGAGGAGCTCAAACACATGCACCTTATTAGAGTGCAAAAAAAGCTGAATGAACGTGAAAGAGAAAGCCAGCCGCCAATCATGGCAGTCACTACTATGATAGTTGTTGGTTCCCGTTCCCCCCGCACCTGCCCCTCAAAATATCCGTCACCTGAGCTACCTTAGGTTGTTGGTGATATCCACTCCAGATTCCCATTCCAAGCTTTCGCATCCTTCTTCTTGAGAGCGCCGAGCTTCATCTCAGGACATTGCGGGCGCAACATCACACCAGTACACCAGTTTTCCAGTTGTACACCAGACGTGGTCACTCTGCTACACAATGGGCTCCGTCGGCGCAGACGCTCCACAAGAGCCCATCACAGTGCTGATCACAGGCTTCGCAGTGAGTCTCACAATCCTCTTATCACACACACACACACACACACACACAAATATATACAATACAAACAGAACTTGCTACCAACACGCATTCATAGCCCTTCAAAAAGGGCTACCCCGTCAATCCCTCCTGGGAAATCGCCCGCTCCCTCCCGGAATGGCTTCCCCCCCTCCGCGCCAAGACCAGTTCCACCACCGGCTCCGGCTCCGGCTCCGTCTCCACAACAACAACAACCACCCCGACCAACACGGCCAACACGGCGATCCCCCCGGTCCGCCTACTCGTGCACCCCGAGCCGATCCGGGTCAACTACAAGACGGTCCGCGCGCTCGTGCCTGCACTATGGAACCTAGACAGCACAGCCACAACCCCAGACACAGATGCAAACCCAGACCCAGACCCAAATCCTAATCCTCATCCTAGTCCTAATAACGATGACGATGACGATGGCGATGATGAACCCAGCATGAGCGTGAGCAAGAGCGAGCAGAAGACGACGCGACGGCCCGACCTGGCGATCCACATCGGCATGGCCGGCCCGCGGCTGTTCTACTCGATCGAGCGGCGCGGGCACCGGGACGGGTATGTGATGCGGGACGTGGACGGGGAGCTGCTGGGCGATGACGGCGAGGGGGACGAGAAGTGGGTGTGGCACGGGGTGCCGGGGGAGTTGGAGACGGAGTTGGATGTAGAGGATGTTTTGCGGAGGTGGAGGGGGAATTCGCCTGTGAGTGTTTTCTTTTTTTTTCTTTTTCATTCCCTTTCCTTTTTCCTCTCTCTTATACGTTCTCCTTTTCCCTTATTATAGGGGGAAGGAAAGGGGAGGGGGGTTGGGAGTTGAGCAAAAGGGGGCTTTTTCAGAAAAGAAGTTCTGACATCGGAGGTTTTGTAGATGTACACGGATTTGCGAATCTCGGAGGACGCGGGGCGCTATCTGTGCGACTTCATCTACTTCTCCAGTCTGGCGCACTTGTACAAGGCTGGCGAGAGGAGGAAGGTGCTGTTTCTGCATGTGCCGTCGGATGCGTCGGAGCACAGTATCGCGCTCGGCAGGGAGCTGTTGCTGCAGCTGGTCCGGTCAGTGGTCGAGAGTGAGGTTGCTCGTCAGGGGAAGGGCAAGGGGAAGGAGGAGGCGGGCTGACTCGGCAGGTAGTTATCTCGGGGGCGGCGTTGGGAGGTGTTTATTTGGTCTGTCGCATTGGGACATGGACATCACTGTCTCTGCTTTGTATTGTATACCTTAGTTTGGTTCCTACCCCTAATGCACGGGCAATGGTGTCATATACTTCATCAGCTCTAGCCTGTAGTCTAGTCTAAGAAATAGCCCAGTCCAGTTCTCCCCAACACCGATAAGTTGTATACGGTGCTCTATGCCAAAATCTAAAACCGCAAATGCCCCCCACTATCCAAGCCCCTTAAACCCCCTCTATAGCCTCTCCTTCTGGTATGGCGCCCGGTGGTACTGGATCGGCCCCTGCACTTTCACACCCAGCTCGAACGCCGTCTTCAGCACAAACTCGGGCTCCCGCAGGAACTGCCGGGCAACCAACACCAGATCCGCCCTCGTCTTGGCGCCGCTCTCCCCCTCGACCTCGACCTTCCCGTCGTCGTCCTGCTTGCTCCCGCTCCCGCTCCCGCTCCCAGCCAGCCTGCCATCCGCCTGCACCACGCTCCGCGCCATCTCGGCGTTGCTGATCATGCCCACCGCGCCGATCGCCATGTCCTTGCCAAGCCTCTTGAGCTCCGCGCGGATCTCGCCGGCCATGTCGGCCTGGAAGTACGGGTGCACCTTGATCTGCTGGGCCGGGTTGTTGCCCGCCGAGCTGACGTCCAGCAGGTCGACGCCGGAATCGGCCAGCACCGCGGCCAGCCGCTTGCTCTGCGCCAGGTCCCACGACGGCTGGCCCGACCACTCCATCCACTCGGTCGCCGAGATGCGCACCAGCAGCGGCATGGTCTCGGGGATCACGGCGCGGATGGCGCGCACCACGTCGAGCAGCACGCGCGTGCGGTTCTCGAAGGAGCCGCCGTAGGCGTCGGTTCGTTGCTAAGAAGGGGGGAGTTAATATTTTTTTATCTATTTTAGGTCCGAAGGGTGAGAAATGGGGCGGGGAATAATAATGCTTACGTTAGTGATTGGGGAGAGGAACTCGGAGATGAGATAGCCGTGGGCGCCGTGGATCTCGATGGTATCGACGCCGGCCTGCACAGCGCGCCGGGCCGCGTCGGCGAAGCTCTGCACCAAGCCTTCGATCTGGGCCACGGTCATCTCCTTGGGCGTCGGGAAGCCTTCGTCCCAGGCGATGGCGCTGGGGGCCCAGAGGTTGTCGGGCCAGCCGCCGACGTCCGGACCGGCGACCTCGTGCGTGGTCGGGGTGACGTGCCAGGGCCCCAACGTGCTGGCTTTGCGGCCGGCGTGGGCGAGCTGGATGCCGACCTTCTGGCCCTGCGAGTGGATGAAGTCGACGATGCGCCGCAGCGGCGCGATCTGGCTGTCCTGCCACAGCCCGCTGTCCTCGGGCGAGATGCGGCCGTTGGGCGTGACCGCGGTGGCCTCGACGATGGTCAGCGCCGCGCCGCGCATGGCGAAGCCGCCCAGGTGCACCAGGTGCCAGTCAGTCAGGTGCCCGTCGTCGGCCGAGTACGTGCACATCGGGCTGACCACGAAGCGGTTCTGCAGCGTCAGCCCCCGGAGCTGGAACGGCGTGAAGAGCGTCGGCACCTCGGTGCCGTTCGCGTCAAGCGCCGTGCCCGCCGGCGGGTTCTGCGCCGGCGTGTAGAAGGGAACGCCGGCCGCCGGTGTGCTCTTGGTGAGTTTCTTGACCGTCATGATTGCTTGTTTCGTAGGTCAAAGTTTATAAACGAGTGGCCAAAGACAACACAGCGACACAACTGCTGAACAACCTGAAGATTAAGATTAACGGACTCGTATGCACGCTAGCAAATGTATGTATGGTACAACTGAGCTGCCAAAATGTCAAGAGCCCCTATTCCACTATATATACCCATTAGGGGTTTCTCGAAGGTCCATAGAAACAGCTGTCGTCTGCACTATCTTCATGCGATGAATAAGCAGGCGATGCGCAGTGGGGCAAGTTGCGTTAGCTCCGCGGGCGATGAAGAGGGGGCAAAGATTTCCCGAGGCACCCTCCTGGCCGGCGCTGGCGAGTTTCTGAATCGGAGTTTCCTAGCGTGGCAAGGACGGGATGGCGCCATCATTGGAGACAGAAACCGGCTCGTTACGGAAGCCTGATCTTTGCACGGAGACTTTACTCAAATGCAAGCTAGACATCTTCCGAATTGATACATTCACCCCTTCCGTACGCTAGTAATTTCACTGTAACCCGATTCCAAATTGCAGCATAACTCGGTATTTAACTATTGCATTGTAGCCACATCTAGCCACAACTAGTACGATATAAACGCAGGTAACAATATTAGTACTAGATTACGAATATATTAAGTTAACGCCATTCGCGATGTGGTAAGTTAGCTGTATTCGCGATATGGTAAGCCGGTAAGTCGGCTACATTCCGGCTACAATCGCGATACTATGGTAAGTGCAGCTGCATTCGCGATGTGGTAAGTCGGTAAGTCGGCTACATTCGCGATGTGGTAAGTTAAATGCATATATAGTTGACTTATTACATTGCGAATGCAGCTAACTTACCATATCGTGAATGTAGCCAACTTACCACATTGCGAATGTGGTTAACTTACTGCATCGCGAGTGCGGTTACTTGTACATTGTTAGTGGGTGTGGCTTACTCGTGGCTACTGGGCATGTCGAAGTTCTATGCATTTGGCACGCGGCAGAAACTCGGTGTCTGATTGATCACATAAGCCGCACGGCTGGATTTTAGCCTGATGTCATTCTGAGATGAACCCTAACCCTGCGATCCAGTTGAAAAAAATGACAACATCTGGACACAGTCAGTCAGGCACAGGGACATTTGATCGGGTATGACGCACAACCCAGGGGCGAATACAGATTGCAGCTCCCGCCTCAGTCCTGCATCGACACTGCACAGCAAAGTATGTATTGTACAGTACCCATCTGCGAACACTGCGGCATGCCATTGATGCTTGAGACATGCCAAGCCCTTCAGGCATGTCTTATTTACAGCTGACGGTTGGTCGCTATTATGTCGGGGGCTGAGAATTGCGAAGTCGATTCATACCGGTAGGCCAAATGACGATTCTGTCGCAACACGATGCTCACAACGTCTACCTTAGTTAACGTTCCTGGCACCGCCTGGCACCGGGCCCTGTGCAGACAATCCCTTGCTGGGGAATTCTCCGAGACAAATTCGTGCTCGGGCCGGCTGCCGAGAGCTTGGCAGGGCTTTGACAGATCGCACCATCAAGCGAAGTGATCCACCATGATGAGAATGTGTTTCGCCCCTTTCATCAGCCATACTGTATACCTGTTTCGTTTTATCATCACCAGCGGCTCGAACTGGGAAATGGCAAGGTACTGGTGCACGTCAGACGGAGAACAAGCTGGAAGCGTCGACTCGAGGCAATCCGGGATGCCACGCCGTGCCAAGACCGGGGGATGATGCGAACCCCCTTGCTCATAGAACCCCCTTGCGTTCAAAACGAAACACACAGGGTGGAATCCAACCACGAACACCAGCACTGCTTCTACCCGTTTCCGGATAGCTGGAGGGGATGGGCCACGCGATGAGACGCGGGTTTGACAGATTGGGGATGGCCGGGAGTGCGACGCTGCAACCAGTTGGTAAAACAAGCCAAGCCGAAGGAGGAAGCGATGTGATGGCAGGCAACATAAGACAGTGGGCGTCCCAAATATAAGGAAACCGCCGCATACTTTTTTCGGTCCCTCGGACGATGGCCCCGCAGCAACAGCCCATCCAACCCCTATTCTCACATGTTTCGCCGGACGAGCATCAAACCATCATTACGCTGCTGAGCGGCAGTCGACGATAGCCAGGCGGTTAGGTTGTTGAGGTTCGAGAGCGATCTTACACTAGGTACCGACAGGATGGTGCGGTGGAGCACAAGACAGACCGTGGTGGGCTCGTAAGTGTATTTATTTGCCACGACCCAACATTGCACACGGGACATATAACTCACCCGTGATACCTAGCCTGGAGGGGTGCGAGGTGGTGACGGTGCTGGTGGGCGACGAGCAGCGCGAGTTCACGGTACACCGGAAGCTGCTGTGCGACAGCTGCGCCTTCTTCCAGTCGTACGTCGACGCCATCCCCTCTCCAGCAGCCTCATCAAAATCAAGAAAAAGCGGCGGCAACGGCCAGGATGAGCACGACAACAATGACAATGACGACGACAATGGCGACGACGACGACGACGACTCGGTGCTGTGGCTGCCCAACGAGGCGCCCGACATGTTCGAGCTCTTCGTGCTGTGGCTCTACCAGCGCAAGCGCTTCCACACCTTCCTGGACCACGCGCTGCTGGCGCTGACGGCCGACGACCGGCGCGCCATGCGCACCAACCTCGTGCGGCTGCACCTGTTCGCGGCCGTCATCGACCTGGCGGCGCTGCAGGACGCGGCCATGGACGCGCTGCAAGACCTGTACCTGCGCTTCGACTGGGACATGTCGCCGGCATTTTTGGCCTTCCTGTACGGCGACTGCGAGGCGGCCCACGCGGTGCGCCTGCGCAAGTGGGCCGTCGCCATGCTGGCCTGGACGCTGCACGGCGCGCCCGACGGCGGCAGGAAGGAGGCGGCGGCGCAGGTCGATCGCCTCTTCGCCGCCTACCCGGAGCTCAAGGCCGACTACGGCATGCACCTGCACAAGATGGCCGAGAGCCGGGCCGACGTGCGCGTCAAGAACCCGCAGTTGCGGCTGCCGGCCAACGAGCTGCGCAGCGGCGAGCGCTATTTCGGCTTCCGCCAGTGCACCTTCCACAGCCATCGGGCGACCGTGGGCGAGGGCACCTGTCCGCATGCGCTGGCGCTGGGGCTGCATTTGGAGGTGCCGCCGCGGAGGCCGTTGCGGAGGAGGAGGCGGCGGGAGAAGGAGTTGGAGATGATGGAGATGGAAACGCTCGAGGAGATGGAGTCGGACGTGTCGGAGGATGCGGATGCCGAGGAGGCCCCGATCATCTCGCCGGTCGGGAACCTGAACGAGATTTCCTACCTGGACCTGTCATGACCAACCGGGACTGGCTGGACAGAGCGTCGTCGTCTTTGCCTGGTTGCAGACGGCAGACACTCTCTTTCGATCTATGCTCAGGCAAACACCCTTCACTCGCCCGCACCCCCCTGTATGCACTGCTGTGCCGCCGACGTCGTTCTCGGGGTTAGCTCCTGCAATAGGAGGGCCGGGTGACTAGACTCAATCAAGGCTGCATAAAGCTTGCAAGATACGCAGGAGGATGGGTTGATTGTCTCGGAGTTGGCTAAAGATCAGGATGGGGCGCATAAGTGGTTGTTGCAATGACTTTTCACCACGCAACATGCCTAGGTGCGCTTACCTAGATGTTAGATCTGATAGATACCTCACCATAGTCTGAATATTATAGGATATTAATCAAATCACTGCAGTCATCTTTGCAGGCGGCAGCTGGGAATGGCAGGTATGTGCAGATAAATAGGTGTGTTTTAAAGATTGCAGTGGTTAACTGAACAAACAATCATTCTGTTAGGCGCTCTATCAACTTACTGTTCTCGTCGAAACACTTCGCCTTACGACAACAACACAAACTTACCTCTCAACACACTCCCCGCTGCACCACTACCAGTCCAGCCCATTTTGGGGAGGCGGCGAGTGCACAAAATCCGACGACCCACCCGAATCAGCAACCGGCTGTCCGTCTCTCGTGACAGTCCAGCCCGACAAAGCGGCGGCGACATCCCTCTCCCAGGTCTCCGCGCCTGAGAATCCCGTCTGTGCAGCAGCAGCAGCAGTAGCAGGGCCATCATCACTCGACCCCCAACCAGCGAACCCGGCCTCGGGCGTGGGCGACGTTTCCACCAACACAAAATCCGAGTACCCGGTAGGCCCACCGTTCGCGTTTGGGTCCAGCACTCGGCAGGGGAACCAGAACCTCCCCGCCTCAGAACCCTCCTCATCATCATCAACCTTCTTCAACTTCTTCTCGAGGTACAACCCCTCCGCAAACAATCCCCAATCAAACAGCAACGACACCAAATCATACCTCCCCTTCCCCACCACCCCGGTCCTCTCCTCCTCTGCCTCGGCCTTAGCCAATCTCTCAATCACCGCCCAGAACCTCCCGTTCTCGGCATCCCGCGCAAACCGAAAGATCCCCAAACACACGCTCGCCCACACGCCAACCCACAGCGGATCCATCGTCCCCGCCGCCTCGCGGAACTCAATCGTCGACTTACTTACCCCCCACTGCTCCTCCTCCCACCGGACTCCCCGTCGCCGTCCCGGTCCTTGTCGCGGGAGGTAGTGCGTGAAGTTGTAATTGGCGCGGTTGTAGATGACTCTGCCCGAAGAAGAGATCGAGCGCGGGGGCTGCAGCAGGTTGGCGACCTCCCCCCGGTTTTGGCAGCGCATGATGTGTCGTACGCCCGAATGGACGGTCTTGTTGCGGAGGAGGTTGGCTAGTGCTGGGTTGGTGTCGATGCCGCCTTGGAAGGTCTCGCGGCGGGAGATGCGTTGGAGGGCCGTCGGGGGGAGGTGGGCGCTTCGGCGGGCGGGGAGGTATTTCTTTTCTTCTTTTTCTTCTTCCTTTTTTGGAGTGGTGGTGGTGGTGGTGGTGAGGCGGGGGAAGGTGTCTGAGGGGAGGAGGGGGAGGGGGGATTCTGCAGGGGGGAGGATCGGGGTGTTGTCGTCGTCGTCGTCCTCCTCCTCCTCCAGGGGGAGTTCGCGTTCGAGGTGCTGCCGCCCGGCGGCGACGTAGCGCAGGGCGACGCCGTGGGCCAGGCGCGACGTGAAGCGGATGGACGGGCAGTAGTGGCACGCGGCGCGCTCGGGCGGGTGGGCGTGGCACAGAAACGGGTCGGCCGCCCACATCAGCGCCGCCGCGCGCTTGAGCACCGCGAGAGAGTGCCGCCGCGCTTCGGCAGGCGCAGCAGCAGAAGCGTTGCCGCCGCCCCTTCCGTCTGTGTCCGACCATTCCTCCCAGCTGACGCTGCTACTGTCCGACGACCGCACCGACGGGTTGGGCGTGTTCTTGTTATCCGGAACCTCGCCCTCGCGGGACTTCTCGCCCGCGCCGACGTGGCAGTGGAAGCCGGTCGAGTGGTTGACGCGCAGGCAGAAGCGCGAGCTCAGCGCGTGCACCACGCGGAACACGTGCTGGTGGCTCGCCGGCCGGTCCCACAGCGTCGGGCTGTTCAGCTCGAAGGTCAGCACGTCGTAGCCCTCCGGCAGGTTCATGTCGTCGCGCACGCTGCCGTCGTTCTCGAGCTTCCACCCGCTGAACCGGCCCCCGTCGTCCGTCACTACGTACATGGATCGGTAGTGCTCCGGCGTGCCCGCCGGCGGCTGCTGCTGCTGCTGCTGCTCGATCTTGGCGCCCGGCACGCTGAGGATGGCCTGGTTCATCAAGCCGATGGCCCACTCGCGCGCACCGCTCCAGTCATAATCCGTCGGGGAGTCGATGACATACGTCGGAGCAGGCGGGAGCTGGCTCCCAAAGTCCGAGGGGCTGCCGTACAGCTTCCGGTTGAACGCCTCGCGGGCCAGCCAGGCATGGGGCATGACGGTCGGCGCCGGGGACGGAGAGAGACCATCGTCGATGAAGCGCTTGACTAGCCTGTGGCTCGGGTCGTGCTCGCAGCTTCCTCCCGCCTGGTCGAAACACTTCCGGCACAGGTCGAAGTTGAAGAAGGCATGGCAGCTGGGGCAGTGGTAATGGGCGTTGGGGAGCTCGTCGTAGCAATGGCTGCATTTCAGGCGGTGGAAACGGGAGATGAGCGTGATGTTGACCTTGTTGTTGTTGTCCCCGTCCCCGTCCCCGTCCCCGCCCTCTTCCGGATCGGGACTCCAGGCATACTTGTGCTTGCCCACCACCTTGTAGATGAACAGGAACTCGAGCTCGATGCCGAACGAGAGCTCGTCTCCGTCCTTCATCTGGGAGGGTGCTTGTTCGTTTCCGTTTTGCTTCGCCATGGCTACGTCAAGCAGCTTGTTAGCAACGGTAGTGTGTGATGGGGTAGGATAGACTTAGATCTCCTTCGTCTTGTATATGCTGTGTGTAAGTGTTGGAACTCTCGCTGCTGACTCAAGCTGCCGTTAGAGGATGACCCTACAACTCTGAAATGGATACTGAGTGGTGATATGTCAATATATATACAACTTCGTGGCTGAGAAACGGGGTAGGACCGAGACTGGGGTACAACTATATGGTGCCCCTGTTCACCATCCCCAAGAGTCAATGTCAACACAGCCTCTACAATATGCATTATTGCTGGGATAAAGGCCTTGCTCCTCGGTCCAAGAAACAATAGCATTCAAGTCCGTCCTCACCAGTACAAAGGAAAAGGGGAAGGGGACTGGAATAAAGGACACCTTCAACCTTATAGGGAGCCCTTTGAGCCCCAGACCCATGATCTGACTCACGAGTAGAGGGAGGGAAAGAACAGAGAAAGAAAAGGGAAAAAAAAAAAAAAAAAAAAAAAAAAGGAAAAAGGGAGAGCTCAACCCAAGCCTACCATGATCTAGCTAATAGTGTGCAAGCCAAATGGCCCCCCGTCGACATTCATTACCTCCAGTTAGGAGTTTCCTACTCAAGTCATGTGGCAACATTGGATCACTCGGGATAATAGCTATTTTGTGGGACTACAATGGAATCAATGTGTAAGAACAAAGCCCACAGCCGACAAGCAACCCGAAATACAGAACGCAGCTACGTATCGTCAAGATATCCGTGTCCCCCATGCCAATGTAGCTTTAGCTCACTCCAAAAACCAGGTCATTTCCTCGGCGGTGCTCCAAGATACCCACTGTTCCCTATCACGTAAGCATAGCACAGTACAACCTAGTAGCCCCCCGTACTATATACGTCCCCCCTTAACTAGGTAGAACCCTCAATAACATACGTGCTCCCCTCCCCTTCCCCCTCAACCCCCCCATCACCAACCAACTTCCTCAACCTCACCCCCAACTCCCCCCCTCCCCTCCCTTCCCCTCCAACCGAGGCTGACAAGTCCAAGTCCAAGTTCAACACGGCCGGAAACCCCCCCTTATCGCTAACTCCCTGCCCCAGAACCAGCACACTCACCTCCTCCCGCAGGGCATCCAACACGACCGCCACCCTGACCGGCCGATCGACGTCCACGGGCCTCGCAAAATAATTGGGATCGCTATCCTCCTCCCTATTGTTATTCGTTTGTGCAGCACCACCACCCCGGTTATTATGATGCACGGTCGACTTGGCCTTGTCCAAGTTGTCCCTGATGTCACCAAGACTAGTAGTAAGGACCTCAAAGACGTCGATCTCGCCGCACCCGGATGCCCAGCAGTTGCAGCGGTGGTATTGGGCTGTGTGGGGGATGCGGGCGTTGAGGAGCCAGATGGCGGGGACGTCTTCTTGTGGGTTGGGGATAGCGGAAGGGGACGGGAATGGGGAAGGGAAAGGGGTGGTGGTGAGGTGGTGGGGCATGGAGAATTCGAGGAGGAAGATACGCGAGGGGCCGGGGAATCCTTCTATTTTTTTTTCCGGGTTCATCGGGTCAGTCATGCACATATATACTACAGAAGAGAAGAAAGAAAGGTTGTAAGGGTGGAGCGGGGAAAGGGGGAGGAAAACGTACTATACGCCACGGAACCGGGCTGGACATAGCCGCAGGAGGCGTCGCACGTCTCGTTGGTGAGCAGCGTGACTTCATGCGAGGAAGCGAGGGTTGTGTCCTTGAGGATGGTCGGCGAAGAGGCGCCGCCGGTGCCGTCTGCGTTGACGTAGGAGAGGGTGTTGCCGAATGCACTGCGTGTCTTGTGGTTAACCAGATTTCGGTGAACAGATTCTGGGGATGTTGAGAAAAGGGGGGACCGGAACGTACTATGTGAACTTGCCAGACCCCTGACCGCCGTAGTTGCCCAGGAACATCACCCCCTCGGCCTTCTGCTGCGCAGCGTTGTAGTAGCCCGTGCGCACGAACTTGCCCGGTGTGTCCGTTGCTGAGGTAGTGCTGCCAGCCAGGTTGGAGGCTGGGTCGGTGCTTGGGGCGCTGATGGGAATGACGGAATGGGATCTCGAGGTCGAAGTGGGAATGGTCGCTGCAGTCGTGGTGAGCAGCGTGTCCGTGGTTCCCAGGAAGCTGGAACTGGAAGAAGGGGTGGGTGTTGACGGCTGGAACGTCGTGCTGCCTGAACTGCTTAAACTTCTTGAACTGCTTGACGAGCCGGTGATCACAGAACCAGAACTCAGAGCGGTTGTCGCTGTCGCCGCCGGTGTAGGTCTAACTGCCGGCTGAAAAGGAAAGATGGTCGACGACGAGTTCTTCACTCCACAGGTCTTGACACTCGATGGGACACCATCGATCGCAGACACGAGAGAACTCGGCGCAGAGCTGGAGCTCAACAAGATCACCGTCGTCATCGACGGCGTAGACGTCACCGTCGCCGCCACTACAATCCCGGTACCATTCAACCCCGAGCTCTTGTGCTTGCTGCATGATCTGACACTCGTGGGATTGGCGATCCCGGGCCCGGTTGGCATCATCCTGACCGTCGTGTTGTTGATACTAGTACTAGTACTGGCATCACCCGGCCCTGTGCCGCTCATCGAAGTTGGCACACTCCCCGCGGAACTCAACGCCGAACTCCCCTCGCCACAAGGCCTGACACTAGAATGCACCACGATCCCATGCCCAGTCGGCAACTTAGCTGTTGCCGTGGCCGTCGTATTGATCCTCCCCGAAAACCCTGCGCTTGCTGTCGTCGACACCGCATCTGGCTCCGGCGCCGGTATGTACACCGTGGTCGTACTGACCGGCGCGACCGCCCGTGTCGTAGTAGTCATAGTCATAGTCAGGGGCATGGCGATGGCAGAACTGTTGGGCCACGACACGTACACCCCCCCGGAATAGTCCCGCTTGTCCTGTTGCTGCTGCTTATGGCCACTACTAGTACTAGTAGTACTGTCGAGCAAGTACACGGCCACCTGCTTCAGGTTGAGCGGTCCGCGGAAGTGGAGGGATAACTTGCAGGACCGACCAGCACTTGTAAGTACCAAGTTGGGGGGATCATCCGGATAGATGAGTTGAGAGATGTCTCACCGGCTCGTTGAACGGCGCCAAGGGGCCCGAGATATTCCTAGGCGCAAACCTGCACTCCCCTGTCTCCTGGTCCATGCTGACCACCTCGTTGTACTGCCCCGATGCGCCGACATTCGCGTAGGTAATGCGCTGGACCTGCCGGCCGGGCGAGGCGCTGTGTGCGGTGCCCGCCATGGCCACGGCCAGCATGGCGGCAACGGCGTTGGTTCTCATCGTTGGTTGCTTGTTTTGTTTTTGCTTGGGTAAACGTAGGTTAGAGCATATGGGTATGCTGCGTGCTGGTGAGCATCCTTTGCAAAATACATTGGCGATGCAGAACTGGCAAGGCCTCTGCGGGTGTTCTTTATACCCCATAGTGGCCGGTCAGGGACTGTTACGCCGAAACTGAGTGTGGCAGCAGACAGTCACTCTGGCCACGTGGAACCGTGTCATGTAGTCACCATCACGGGGAAAGCAGTTTCAGAGACGAAGACACAATGTCCCTCTTGGCCAACCTTTGTTGTTACAAGCAGAGAGACCAGGTGGGCACTGAGTGGTATGTCAAACGACACCTGACACGTTGATTCCATCTCGATTCGGCCCCTTAGTACTGCCTGGTATGTGGCATCGCTGCATTGTTCGAGTGGCACACTTATGACCCGGTACCGCCATGCTCAGTCATCACCTGCAGCTTCATCTCACGGCAGAGGAGATGCGATGCCAAGGAGATCCATGCCGGCTGAAGGGACCCTAGAACAATGGACCTCTATAATCTTCGAACGGCAGGCAAGATTCCTGCAGCACTGGAGTCCGAGAGATGTTGGGTCACGCTTTCGACTTCTTACCCCTGCCAGTCCTCTTCCTCTTGCACTGCGCCTTCGAGTCCCCATCACCACCATCCACTTCACCACCCTCACCCTGTGTCCCCTCTTCCTCATAGTCCTCCTCCTCCCCCTCTTCCTCCACAACAGCTACCTCCCTCGCCTTCCGCTTCCTCCCGCCCTTCTTCAACTTCGGCTCCGGCGGCGCCGCAACAGGCATGCCCGCCCCCGATAACCCACCACCACCACCACCCGTCCTCGCGCGCAACCGACTAACCGCATCCGCCATCCGGCGACTCCCGCCCGCGGCTCTCTGCCTCGGCGCAAACGCCTCCTTCGCAGCGGCACCGACCCCCACACTGCCGTCAAAGAACCGCGTGATGTTGCTCTGCGTGCCCTCCACCTCGCGCCGGTTCATGTCGCGTATCACGGGCACGAGCACCTCGTCCGTGCGCTCCTGACTCCAGCCGATGGTGCGCATCAGGAACTGGCGCAGCCCGTCCAGGTCGGGCACGCCCCACTGGAACGGCTCCGGGCTGTTGTCGACCTCCGGGCGCAGGTAGGCGTCGAACACGGCCGCGTTGGGGAAGCCGAGGGGCAGGAACAGCTTGGTGGCGTGCGCCTTGCGGAACTTGCGGCGGAAGGGCGAGCCCGCGTCCGCCTCCTTGGGGCGCCCGCCGGTCTGCACGTCTTGCCACCAGTCCCTGAACTGGCTCAGGCCGTCGCGGCCGGGGAACTCGGAGAGGATCTCCAGCGCCGTCACCGGCCCCACGCCGGGCAGCCCCTCGGTGTAGTCCGACCCGAGCAGCTGCGCGAGCGCGATGAGCTGCTCCCGCGAGAGGGAGAGTTCTGTCTCGAGGTCCTTGGCCAGGTAGCACTCGACGTACTTGTTGCCATTGAACACGTTCTTGTAGACGCGTGTGCCGCCGAAGAGGAAGGTGTCCGAGTCGTCCGTCACGATGCCGTCGACCAGGTTAAGCCGGACCAGTTCGGCGCACTGCGCTTCGGCTTCCATGGGCGCCGTAATATAGGGGATGCCGAACAGGCGAAGCAGAGCCTGGCACTCGGTGATCATCACCTGGGTGACCTCGTCTGCGTCGCGTCTGTCCTTCTTCTGTTGGGTGCGCAAAGCCCGCAGCTCTTTTTCGTAGGCTTCCTGGTTCTCGCGCTGGGATTTGCTGTTCAGTTGGCTCGCAAACCGAGCGTGCTCTTCGGCCTCCTCGGCCATCTGTGCCAGAAGTTCCTCCTCCTCGGGGTCGCTGAAGTCGTCGAATTCCTCGGGCCCAGGCGCATCGGGGTCGACAGGCGACCCTTCGCGGGGCGCGGCCAATCCTTCAGTTCTGACTTGTTGCGTCGGGGGAGGAGTACTCTCGCCGAACAGCTCGACTTCGATTCGGGCTTCTTCCGACATCTCGGCATCTTGGGTCGGCGCTTCAACAGCTTGCTCCGGTTCGCCAGGCACAACCACATCCTCAAACTCTATTTCTTCGTCCTCCGATTCTCCCATGGCAGGCTCGGCCTGGCTAAATATACCAGCAGCAGCAGCAGCAGCAGAATCCGTAGGGTTTTTCCGGGCTGATTGCGTCGCAGCATCATCCTCCACCGAGGGGAGACTGGCTCCGGGCATCTTAACGCTGGGCGGCTTAGCCGGAGGCGGCGCATCCAAGATCTCCACATCGCTCCCCTCCTCGCTGGAAGACTCGATCTCAATGACGTCGTCGTCGTGGTCCTGTCGAAACCGCAGCTCTTCCACGTCCTCATCCTCCGCATTCATCTGCCTTTCCAGCTCCTGTTGCTTCTTCACCGACTCCCGAATATCCGTATCGTCCATCAACCACGGCGGCAGCGGTCGCGGTTTATTATCGTCCTTTTCGTCGCGCACGGGTACGGGCACGCCATCAGAGGGCTCCCGCTCAAACCCCCCGGCCTCGTCGTCAGACACAGCCTCCAGCTCACCGGTCTCGACCTCCTGGGGCTTCTTGGAACTGTCTGGCTTCTCTTCCGCTGGTGCTCCCTTTCTCCCGCCAAAGACGCCTCGCCAGTCGAGCTTCTCAAACGGGAGCGGCCCATCGAATGGATTCTTGAAATTTGGCTTGACGGGCGCGGGTACACTTGCGGGTTGCGCCCTCGGCTGCTTCTTCCTCGCTGCCGCCAGCGCTGCCTGGAGATCGACGTCGCTGTCGCTGCTCCCGCTGTCTCGGCGCCTTGGGACGGCAGCGTTTGCTCTGTTATTCACGATGTGTGCGACTATCCGCCCGCTGGTGTTGGTGCCAGAGATGGGTTTCGGCACTTCCACGGCCTTTTGCGTCCACTCCGGCGCTGGCGCGTCCTCGAGTTCTTCGTCCCCTTCCTCGCCATTCCGCACACCTTCTCCGTGCTGGTTTTGGAGCGATAATGCAATGGCCCGGCTGAGGTCTTCGTCCTCATCGGCCTGGACGACATCATCGTCTTCGAAGAGCTTGCCTGCGTTGTCGTTGTCAACGAAAAGCCCTTCATCTGCATCATCCGCCCTAGGCTTGGGCAACCTGTTCAGGCCCTCGATGGGGACATCCTCGAATTCCTCATCCTCCCATTCGTCCTCGTCGTCCTGGCCCTGGTACTGGAAGTCCAACGCGTCGACATCTATGGGCTTGTGAATCTGGCCCCTGTCTTTGTCCCTGCTGACGACACCCAGAGCCCAGCCTCCTTCGGCGCCTTCGTTCTTGACAAGGATATACTCGCGATTGCGGTCGCCGGCAATGCGATTCACGCCGATGGTCAAATCGGTGCCGGCCATACCCATCTCGTACATCAGGCGTTGCGTGAGCTTATTCCTCTCCTGGACTCTCTCGATCTGAAACCTCGAGAAAGCCATGCGATCCGGAAACATGCCGTTCAGCTGGTCTTTGCTCAGGCCCATCCTCAGCCGGCTCCGAATCCTAGCGGCATTCAGGATGTTGTAGCGGTCAGCGGGCGGCAAGCTCTTGAAAAACTCCCCGTCGAAGTCGATCTTGCTGAAGTCGTAGAGATTGATGTCCTCGCCGTTGTGGAACTGCCTCGCGTACTCCTCCAGCTCCTCCACGCTCATGATGCGCGGGTCGCTCGGCTTGCCCATGGCTTCGATGCCGTTCTCCAGCTCCGGAAGGTGGTAGGCATCCTGCTTGCGGAAGACCCTGTTCTTCTGGCGCTCCTGCTTCGACATGCCGAGCTCGTCCGCATACACGATCTGGTCCATGCTCGGCAGCTGCTCCTGCTCTTCCTCGGGCTCGGCAGCCTCTGCGCGCCGCTTGCGCTTCTCCTCCTCCTCCTCCGCGAGCCGCTGCATCTGCACGGCCAGCAGCTTCCCCGCGGTGCGCGCGGCATCCTCGCGGCGGCCCTCGCGTCTCCGCCGGCGGCCTTGCAGAGTGGCCCGCTTCAGCGCAGGGGCGCCGCCGTCGAAGACAAACACGGGTTTCACCCCGTACCACAGCAGCTTGCAGATGCGGCGGAAGAAGCCGACGACATGGCTGTTGCGCAGGGCGTTGCCCTCCTTGTCGCGCACCGCTTTGAGGAACTGGTAGATCCAGATGGAGGCGTCGACGGCCAGGCGCTTGCGGTTGAGCGTCGCGAGGTTCGTCGGGCGCGCGCAGGGCTGCACGACGGTCCAGAGGCCCTGCACACCCATGGCGGTTGCGATGCGTCACCTCGATTGGCGAGAAACATGGATTATTAGGCAATGGCCCAAGAACGGGTCGCTGCGAAAGGAGTGGTAACCTTCATTTGCGTGAAGGTCTAAGCTGTAGGTCTAGCCACTACGAAGCATATTCTACCGTTGCTTTGACACGCAGTCTGTCCTCGAGTGGCGACTTCAAACGTGAGGATCATGGTCGGTGATCTTGCCCCGATGACTGCATCTTCCTCAACCCCTGCTCGGCTGCCTGCGAGGCATTGTTATCGCCGTGCTTATCTATTGGCCAGCCTGTCTCCAATGCTCCCGAATTACGCATACCTGTTTAACCGCATAACATTATACAGCTACTAGTACTACTATAGAAGTGTGTAAGTCACCTGGCGATGAAAGTAAGGTAATTTTAAGCCTCAAACCTCGCATACGAACCGGGAGTTCGGCCACCGTTGTCTCGAGGAAGAGTATTTCGACTATCTATGATATTTTGAATGCAAGGCTGGTGCCCGCCAGCCGAGGAGCAGAAGAACGGACACCGAGATTTAATTCGTCACTTCGTTCTCCGTACCTTCCGGCATAGCAACATTTCTTGTACTGCGTGACTTCCAAGAACCATTCTAAATCCGATGGAAGCCAAGCTCCACCAGTTACTGCCTCGGTCGGCGTGTCTATGAAGACGGCTTCATAGTCAGATCGTCAAATAACAGTGGTAAAGCAACTATCTAGCAAGCCCCCGGACCCCACACCCATATCTCAGACTATACAAGGATAACACCCAAGAGCTGGCCCTCAATGTTCTGGCGGCACTGAAACCACAATGACCTTCGTTCCAAAGGTGGAGCGAATCCCAGCCAGAGCGATAGCTAGTTTACAGAACTTAATACCGTCTCTCTCGCCGGTGCATGAGTAGAATTCGTCCCGAAGCTTGTCCGTAGCGTTTGGTAGAAACCCATATGCATGCTCGTTGCCTCCAATAAACGCTGGTGGGAGGAGGACGTCCACGTTTAAGCCGTTGAGAGAGAGCAACGCACGTCCGGGGTTCCCCATGCCATCAAAGGTTGCTAGGATACGGTACTGGTCGGCCGCAATGCCACCCAAGACCAAGAGCTCGTCCGGATCACATTTATTGTCTGGAATACGGAGGAAACCAGCGAGGGTGTAAGCGTCGTACACCGGCAGCTTCTTCAGCCAGACGGCAACGATGACGACATTGGTGGCCCCTTTCTCCAAGTACCAGCGTCTTCTGTCGAGAGCTTTGTTCCAGTTGTTGGCGTACATGGAGATAAACGGCCCCGGCCGTCTGCATCTCCAGTTGAAATGGTCCAAGCATGCTTGTTCGTCCGGAGTACGATTTGGCTCCCGAGACTTCATGTTGCCATATTGATCGAAGGTGCAGTTATTGAGCCAGTGCTCATGATCGTGAACCTCGACGCGGAAGCCGATTTCACAGGGCCACTTGAAGTCGTCGATGTCGAAAGGCATTTTGCGTGACTCCCATGTGTGCATTGGTTCAACGGGCTACGCTGCCAGAATCAGCCAGCAAGAGAACTGCGCAGAGATGGGAATTAGTAGCTGGCTTGGGTGATGCCTAGCCTTTGGGCATGCAGAAAGCATGGCGGGGTGGGTTGGGCATGATCGCGTCTGTTGTGGAACATGAGATGCGACAGACTGTTCGTCGGTCTGAAGAGGAAGCTGGAACTTGCAGAAGCCGCCGCCCAGAGGCAGATATCGAACGCGGGACAGCGCACGATCCCGCCGGGCGAATGAACAGGGTCCCTTAGTACCGTAGCGTAGGGATTGGGAAATTGCCATGGAGAAATGAACCCTCTGGGTCACGAGTACATTGGACGAACACGACGGGCACATGATTATCGTATCTGGTTGTTGTGTGTAAGTACCTGGTTAATTACCTGACCTTTCTGCCTTTCTGCCATTAGCCGATTTGATGATCTATGCGCCGTCGACGGTTTGAAATCTAGTATTGCTGGAGAGGCTTGACCTCCTTCAACTAAAACGTTCAACGTAACCGGCAACGTTTATGTTGAGGATGGTAGTTGTCGAGCGTCTCATTGTGTATGCTTAAATCTGCGCCTCAATAATAAAGAAGAGAGACTGAAGCACACAAAAACATAACAGTTTGGCAGATGACTCTTTTAACACGCCTCTACAGCTGCATAAGGTAGTTACATTACCTAACGTAAGCTCGATACTTTCATACCGGGGTGCCAATGCCTGCCAGGCCCAGCAACCACCTCTATCAACCTCACACTGTGTACCTACCCAGGAGGCCATATGAAGAACCAAGATTGTGAGAGCCAAACTCATAGGATACCTTATCCGGAAACGCAACTCATGACAATACCAACTAATACTTAATAACCAGCTTCAGACCGTAAAAAGAGGCTGCAAACATGAGCATCGCTACCGGCGCCTCTCCACCACCCTCACCACCTCCTGTCCTCTCCCCACGACCAGCTCAACAGCCGCAAGAAAAAGAAGAAGCCACCGCCTTCCTCCGCTCCCTGCTCAACAAGAACCTCCAAGTCACCACCACCGACAACCGCATGTTCTACGGCGAATTCAAGTGCACAGACTATGTAAGTCTCTTTCCTTACAGAGCGTGACCATCTCCTCATCCGCTCCTTGGTTTCATTGCATTATTGAACCCCAAACTGAAAATAAAATTCATAAAAAAAGGAGAGCAACATCGTGCTAGCACACACCTATGAATACCGCCAGCCCACGCCACAACAGATCTCTTCTGCCGCCGCCGCCGCAGCAGCAGCGGGAACAGCGGGAGCAGCATCAGACTCTGGCAGCGGCGGGAAGGTGACCATGGACATGACGTCGCGATACCTCGGACTGGTGGTGGTGCCGGGGAAGTATATCGTGCGGATCGAGGCACACGAGTTCGCGAGCCAGCTGCGCCGCGGCAACAACAAGGGTTCTTCTTCTCCGTCTCCTTCTTCTGGGATTGGGATAGTAGGGGGAGCAGAGGGGGGCGTGCCCGTCATTTAGAGACTGAGCGCTAGGCATTGATTGGGATGGAATGGATGGATGGAATGGGGCTTCGGGTTGGGGCTGCATGGAACAGCCTCGTTAGAGAGGAGCAAGGAAAGGTTTCAATGATGAGGCGTCAGCTTGAACGATGTTGAGTTGGGACGGGACGGTTTGGTCGCGCTGACGGGAGGGACTAGGCGGTTCGGTATTCTATGCAGACACATGGAAGGTTGTGCAGTAGTGAGGACGCTGAAACTGAAGAGATGAAAGCAGAGATACCCAATGGCATACAACTTGAAGAAGTATGGACAGCAGGAAGGAAAATGAGCATCCGTCAGATCTCATGTAATGCGTCTGGGGGAATCACCGCTAGTAGTATACAAAAAAAGCAATCGACGCGCAAGCCCCGTCCTCACAATCCGCGTTGCTCGTCGCATCCATAGCCCCGTCCGCCGTATTCCCATTCCCATTCGATCATTCATTATTAGTACCTATTACGCGCAATCGTTGCTCAAGAGAAGACGGGCAGCTTCTCCTGTAAGAGACGCCTGTCAACCGCGTCTGAGGAGTTCGTGTGCGTTCTCAGTCGTGCCACACCCCTAACTCGGTTTGTCGTCCCGACGTTACGAATCCGAATGCATCCCTGACTTGAATCCCCAGCTCCAGCCGGCCATAAAACTCACCCGCTCGACTAGGCAGCGACCGGCTCATGGTTACGCCCTCGGTGCTCCCCGTTCAGGCTCGCCTCGGTGTCCACGGCCGTATGGCTTGGCGCGTCGATATCGGCCTCGTCCTCCCCCTCTTCCTCCTCGTCTCCGTACTCGTGCTGACTCACCCACCCATCGCGGTCATTGAGCGGCACGTCCTGGGCGGAGAGGTCGTGGCCGTGGCCTTGCAGCTGGCCGTCGGTGCGCGCCTTGATGTTGTTCCGGCGCCGCTGCGACAAAGTGCGCGCGCGTGTTGACAGCTTGGCCGACACCGCGGCGTTCTGCGTGACCCAGTTGGTGAGGGCGTCTTCGCAGTCCTGGATGATGGCCTTGCTGGCCTCGTAGCCGTCGTACGCAGGGCGTGTCTCGCCGGGCGTCACGGGCGTGTCGTCGATCAGCTCGAGCAGGTGTTTGCCGTAGCCGGCGATGATGGCCACTTTCTCGCAGTGCTCGCGCAGGGCGTCGAATTGATACGAGTATGCGGCTTTGATCTTCTCGCGCGTGATGTTGGATAGTTGCGCCTCCGCCACGAGCGACTCGGCCTCCGCACGGACAAGTTCTTGCTCGAGCACGACGATCTTGGGTGAGTTGGGCTCCTTGTACTTCAGCTGGGCTATCTGGTCCGTAATCTTTTGTTTCCCTACAGCAGGTCAGCCTAATCCCTGACCAGCATGCTCTTCCGAGTCTCCCCTGGTACTCACTGTCTCTGCTGGGCTGGACAGAAGCCTCGATATTCCTGATGCTCTTCATGGTGACGCGGTATTGGTCGTATCTGTCGACGTATTGATCCTCAAGCTCGCCTATTTCGTATAGTAACACGCCCAGCTTGTCTGTGACGTCTGAAACATCTTCATCGCAGGCCTCGCCCCAGAGCGACAGTTGTTGCTGCAATATGTGTCAGCCAGCTCTCGATGACTTGCGATTCATTGCGTGCGAATACGTACGGCAACCTCCATCCGCTCTTTGGCTACTAGTTCAAGGCTGCGCATGACGTTCTTTTCCATCTTGACCAGCTGCGACAGCTTTTTGGCGAGGTCCGGCCCGAAGGCTCCGGCCGCGTTGCGACGGAGTGCATGTCCTAAACCTGCTGTTAACTCCCAACCATGAGTTTCGCGCCCGAACAGGTTGCGGCTGTAACGTATGTCTTTGCGGAAATGGCGAGGGGGGAACGGCTTACCAAGTCCTCCCCGGCCAAAGAGGCGGCCCGACTTAGTGCTTGATGGCGGCGGGGGCGGGTTCTATCGACATGATACGCCAGTCAGCGAGACACAACCCGCGAATCACCCTGGGGAAGCCTGGCACAGTACCTGGATCTGCGAGGCCGTTGGCGCCCTCGTGGCGCGCATAGAGTATGTTCGATGCATTGCGGCTGCGCAAAGCTTGGCGTTTCAGAGATTTGCTGTGAGCGTTGTTGATAGTGGTGGTCGAGCAGAGCGTCAGTCCGTAGAGAAGGGGAGGGAATCCGTGGTGTGATGTGCTAGAGTCTCCGGAAAGTTCGAAACAAAGGATGCATGCATGTGCGTATTGACCTGGGACGAAAGCAGGGCTTGTAAGACGGGTCAGGCAGTTGGGTTGTTTTATGCGACAGCCGCTGACGGGTGTGACTCGGCGAAAATGACGTCGCTGTGCAACGGGGCGACCGTCTTGTCTGCCAAGGCTCGCACGTTGTCCCGGTAAATGCAGGGGCCACTCCGAACCGGTAACCCTAACCCCATTACTGTACCCTCAGATGACAATAATAAGTGGTAGGTAAGATCACTAGTAGTTGTAAGGTGCTCTTGTCTGACTCCATACATTTGGTATGGGATGAATTCCTTGAGGTATACTACTTGCGGGGCTGTAAGCGGTAGGTCCGTGTACATATAGTCAAGCGTAGATAATGGGCGCCGTTACTCCCCAGGAAGTCTAGCAGTCATCTTTTCCTGCATTGTCTCCGACTGTCGCAGGCTCGGAACTGCCGGAAATCAACCTACCGAAGAGTGAATGGCCCGTGCACAATTACCTAGGTACCTAGTTAACCCATGCAGCTTTCTGTGTCCACCGTTCCACAGCGGGCCGATCGCGTCTGCAGCACCGCGTCTCAGCCGCTATCGACGTGCCGCGACATCCTGTTACCTACAAGTTGAGAATCTTGGTGGATCATTCTGCATCCGACAGAACGAGACATATCAGTACTGTATGTGCCGCTCGAATTTCGCCCTTGCCGCCGAAACAACGGGATCGCAAAACGGTCACGCAGCTGTACGCCGTATATTCCAGGCCCAGGGCCCATGATGCCCCGAAGGATAAAAAAGTGGGACACTCCAGCGATAGCTTGATAAGAAAAGGGGCGTTCGCCTTCTCCAACCATGGAGACGTCATCCGAAGATGTGACTGTGGAGGAGATTATGGTCGCTACCTCCACCATTACCGGCCGGACGTCAATGTCAGCACCGAAACAACTGTCGCGAAAAACCGCCGGGGCTGGGAAGACGAGCAGGGCACAGAGCCCTTCCAACAGGTCGCGAACACGAACACCCAATCAGTCACCAGCAGATAGGTCGCCGCGGGGGACCCCGTCGCGCGAGACTCGTTTCTCAACCCGCGATGAAATTAGGGACTCGCAATCTCCCCCACCCACCGTCAACGTCGAACCCGCCGCGAACCACGAACCGAATCCTCCTCCACAGCCCAGCATGACGCCGAGTCGGCCAGCGAGAGGCCACCACACCCCCAGGAAGATGGACTGGACGGTCGAGAAGATCGCGATCGCTCTGAACGAACTGTCCGAGGAGGTGGGCCACGGCCATGCTCGACTCGTTGACTTCGTACTGGAGGAGGCGGAAAAGACGACAGCGCAAACGAGACACTTGAGCACAGTCGATGTTTTCGCGAAGATGAAATCGACCGCGACGGAGGGCAACGGCTCACCGCCGGGCGTACAGACTATGGCAGTGAAGTTTAAGGCGAGCCACACCCGGCGCGTCTCCGCGCCATCCTTCGCCTGAGCAATCGCTAACCCCCCCAGCAGCAACACAGTGGAGAATATGGCAAGTCAAAAGGCAGCGCTCGCCGCGTGCAGTGCCCAGTCGTGGGCATCAAGCCGGACAGGGAGGCGGTCCCGCGCTATCGGTTTCATCATGTGGAAATACGCAAGAACATCCTGGCTCCGAATTCCATGCTCAACTTTGTCCCCCACCTCCGCGACGTCGACCCGAATTCGATCGAGGAGCAGAAGTACGCTGCCTGGCTTATGGACCTCGAGAACCTTGACAGCAAATCGGGCTTCCGGGTCGAGAACCGGGCCCAGAAGATGGCCAAGCGGCTGCAGAATGAATACGCAGCCGCCCTTGCGCCATACCTGGAGCGGTGGCTCCGCAAGTTAGCCATTGATGGCTGCACCAAATCAACGCTGATCCGATACATGGCGACGCAGGCGCAGAACGAAGACGCCATCACGCCTCAGCAAAAGTCCAACCTGCTGGACACGCATAGCGAGGACATCGGCTCGCCGCACGCGGTACGGGGTGCAAAGCTCTTCACAGAGGCCTTCGACCGCGTCTTCAACAACCCGAAAAGCTCGAGGCGCGTGGCGCTGCGCGACATCCTGATGTTAGACAGGTCCGTCGAGCCGATCCTGGACAACAAGAGGGCAAAGGACGGGCCCGGCTCTCAGAAGCCGCGCGACGAGGCGCTCATGCAGAAGATCGTGGAATCTCTAGGGAGCTACTCTACTTTGGGGTGCCTCATCTGCTTCAGCCACGACTGTGAACACGGCGAGATCGAACGGGACAATCAAAAACGGTGCTTCTCTCTAGAGGAGATAGGAGGGCTTGCACCCACGCTCAGGGCCAAGTGGGCAGCGCAGCTCAAGGCTCAAAACGGCGTGCAATCGGGTGCTTCGACCGACTGGCCGACGCATCCGTCGTGCAGTAACCAGTGCTACCGGAGCTACAACACGGGCAAGCCCGACCAGGAGGTGAAGGCGTGGTCCGAGAACGAAGTAAGCGTGCTGGAGTGGACTTTTGCGACGATAGGCTACAGCCCGTCACTGAAACCGCAGTGTTTCGTGGCGGCCGTGCTGGGCCGCCCTTGCTGGGACGTGCACCGCAAGTTCAAGGAGCTGGACCTGACTCTGCCGCCGGTCGAGCCGCGCGCCGAGCAGACACGGCCCAAGGCTGTCTCGTGGTATGACCGCAAAAGGAAGCAGCTGCTGGGAGACTGGCAGGACGCCACCATCACGCACGAACACGCAGTGCGTGAGCTGTACGCGCCCTGCCATCACGAAGGGCCCTGTACGGCGGCGAACGGATGTCCCTGCGCCTCGGGCGGCTCCCATCCGGTTCTGTGCGAGCGGTTCTGTCTCTGCACCGCCGAGGAGTGTCCGCTCAAGTTTACGGGATGCGCGTGCCACTCGCTGGGGAAGACGTGCCTCCAGCGGCAAAAGGAAGGGAGGCCGTGCATCTGTGTGCAGCTCAACCGCGAGTGCGACCCGGTGCTGTGCAAGGGCTGCGGCGCCAAGGAGAGGGCAGACCCCGAGAACGCGTACGACGAGCAGCTCCATTCGACGGGATGTCAGAACGTCGCGCTGCAGCGCGGGGCGGCCAAAGCGCTTCTGCTCGGCAAGTCGCAGCTCGAGGCGTGCGGGTACGGCCTCTTTGCGGCCGAAGACATCGCGCAGGACGAATTCGTCATCGAGTACACGGGCGAGCTCATCAGTCACGACGAGGGCGTTCGGCGAGAGAATCGCAGGGGCGACGTCTTTGACGAGGAGAATAAGATATCCTACCTTTTCACCCTGTTGGAGCAGGAGGGCATCTGGGTCGACGCCGCCATCTACGGCAACCTGAGCCGGTACATCAACCACGCGTCGGACAACTGCAACATCATGCCGCGCATCATGTACGTCAACCACGAGTTCCGCATCAAGTTCTCGGCGCTCCGCGACATCAAAGCGGGCGAGGAGCTGTTCTTCAACTACGGCGACAACTTTCCCAACCTCACCAAGAAGCTGGTCGAGCGGACCAACGAGAAGGCCGGGGCCGGCAGCGGCGGGAAGAGCTCGGCGGGCCAGAAGCGCAAGGGCGGCGCGCAGCGGCCCACTGCGCGCAAGACGACATCCAAGGCCAACGGCGAGGGCATCGACTTCGCGCCGGACGACCGCCGCGGAGGAGACGATGACGACATTTGGGGTGACATCCCCGTGGTGGACGACAACGACGATGATATCGACGACTGGGCCGACCGCAACCCCAAGAGGCGGAAGAAGCGCGGCGGCAGACGGCCGGGGGCGGGCCGGAAGAAGAAACAGCCCCAGCCGGCTACCGCGGAGGTCGCCACCGCCGATGAGGGCAGCCCGGGATCGCAGCTGCGCGCTGAAAGCAGCGGCGTCCGAGAGGAGAGTCCGCATCCGGAAACACCCAGCCGCCGGCGGGTTGCCAAGATGTCTTACGTAGCCATGCTCAATCCGCGGCGGGGTGGTGGTAGTAGTCTCTCCGAGAAGCCGGAAGCATCAGCGGCGGCGGCCGTCGCCGCAGGGTCCAGTGTTGCGTCTACGACGACGGAGCCGGTTAAGAAAGTCTCTAAGCGAGGCGGAGCTCGGCCCGGCGCCGGTCGCAAACCGAAGCACCACCGCCACAACAACAATCACGGGGCACAATCACAATCACAATCATCGCAACAACAGTCACGAAAGCCGGGTGCTTCTAGTAATAATAGTAATAACAACAACAGCAGCAGCAGCAACAACAAGACCTCGGCGCACCACGCGAGCCAGAGCAACAACACCAGCTTCAGCAGCAGTAGCCAGAACGACACGGACCAGCAGCATCACAGGGTAGCTTCTCGTTCTTCCCCTGCTAAAAAGGGGGAGGACAATACTACTACTGCTGCTGCTGCTACTACTGATACTAGCAACAATAGAGCCGTCCGCTCAACGCCAAAAAGGGGCGAAGCAGCAGCATCAGCAGCATCAGCGGCGGCAGCGGCGGGAAGGAAGCGCAAAGCGAGCGAGGTCGAAGCCGAGGACGCCGCGATCAGCAGCAGCAACGGCGGTGGTGGTAGCGGCGGCTTGTACAGGCAGGACACGTTCCAGCCCATCACGGACAACGACACGGCGTCGGTGCGGAGCGGGAGGAGCAGGGGCCGCAGCGGTGGCGAGGACGACGAGGACGACGTGGTGGACCGGTCGGCGCGGAAGAGGCAGAAGCCGCTGCGGTATAGGGACGAAGAAGAGTAGGCTTCCGCTTCTCCTGAGCCGCCGCCGGTAGCGCGCGAAGGAGAAGAAGAAAAAGAAAAAGAAGAAGCAGAAGCAGAAGGAGAAGTGGATGGCTCGCTTGCTGTGGCGCTGGCGGTGATCTGTATGGTACATCATGTACATGCTGCGTCGTCAACAAATAGTAGTAGTGGTGGTGGCGGCAGCGGGGATTGAATTCAGTGGTTGTTACTTATTCGGCCTGAATAATATTAACTGGAGTAACTTGCTTGCATTAGTTGCATCTTCTTTATTTCTATGTTTATCTTTCTCTGTTTCCTTTCGCCTTCCTTTCGCCTTCCCTCTAACTAGTAATCCCTTCTCAACGCTATTGTACACGCCACACCTCCATGCCCACTCCACCGACCATGAGCCTGCCGGGCGCGATGACCTCCAGGTCTCCCGCGTCTGCCACCGAGCTGTACCGGTTCTCCAGCATGGCGATGCGGATCATCATCCGCCCGTCATCATCATCATCACCATCATCATCATCACCATCATCATCATCACCATCCTTCTTATTCTTCCTCTCCACCATCCAGAGCTTGATCCGCTGGTCGTTGCTCACCGTCGCAACTTGCACTACTACTACCTCCTCTTCTTCTTCCTTATTATCCACCACGCAAAGCCCCGTGATAGCAGCCGCGTGGGCGTTCCGGACGCGGTATTTCCCTCGTGCCGCGTACGCGCCGCCGCCATCATTATTACCGTTACTACTATTCCAAAGGAGGTCCATGATCCCGAGCGCGTTGTCGTCGCCGCCCGTGACGACCAGCCACTGACGACGACTAAGATTCTTCCTACCGTGACCACTTCTGGGCATCGGCGACGACAATGATGATGATGATGACGGCACGAGATCCAAGCTCTTGATGCTGCTCTGGTGAAGGCGCGATACGAAACGTAGCTTGAATTCCTCACCCTCACCACCACCACCACCACCACACCCCGGTGTAGTAGTAGTGGTGCTGGTGGTGGTGGTGATGCTCCAGACCGCCACATGCCCGTCGGTAAACGCCGTGAGCAGATGCACCTCGCCTTTTGGCTCGTCGATGTGCAGGTGGCGTACTTGGGTGGGACAGGCACCCGTGTATCGCGCGGTTGCGAGGCGCGTGAATTTGGACTTCACGCCGGTAGCACCACAGCTAGAAGATGAAGAAGAAGAGGAGGAGGAGGAGGAGTAGATATAGCTGCGCACGCTGGAGTCAGAGAGGGCCATGGAGATCAGCATCGTCACTCCAATATCATCTTCCGGGAGTGGTGATGGTGAATCTGCTGATGAGAGTGATGATGATGATGACGGTGATGGCCAAGCAGCGACATCGAAATCAACGATGCGCAGATCCCTGTCCGAGCTCCCGTCATCGTTATCCCAGACGGCCTCGCGCACGACAGTCAGCGCGTCATAGTCACCCCGAGAGCAGGTGTGTGAGATGCGCCAGACAAAGAGCTCCTCGCTGCCGGCGCTGCTGAGGAGGTAGTTGGGCGAGAACCAGCGCAGCGTCTGGATGCCGGCCGAGTGGCCTTCTACGACAGCGAGGCAGTCCATGTTGTCGTCGTTATGGTCGTCTTCTTCTTTGTCTCCGAGAGCAGCAGCAGCAGCAGTAGTAGTAGATGTAGGAACTTGGTAGGAAGAAGTGTGCCGCCATATCCGGATCGCGGTATCCTCCGCCGCTGTGGCCACTAGCACGCCCCTCTTTTCAACCCCGTTCAGAGAAGAAGAAGAAGAGGACAACAACGAAGAATTAAGAGAGGAGGCAACGCTCCGAACCTCCCGTCCATGCCCGCCGTCGCGCAGGACCCTCTCCCCGACTCCCCCCTGGGAGACCACCCGCAGCTCCCCGGCCTTGGAGAAGACGAAGCGTGTCTGACCCGGATCGTGCGGCGCTGAGACGCTGGCAAACGGCCGGTGGGCGCCGCCGCAGGGCACCGAGAACAGGACGGTGCGGGAGGAGGCGTTGTAGGAGAGGAATTTCGGGCCGTGGAAGCCGAGGATGATCAGCTCCCTTTTTCTGTTGGTCTCTTTAGTGCTGGCATCCTTGGGGTTGGGAGTGGTGAAGAAGGCGGACTCGAGGGTGTTGAGTGGCGGGGTGGCTTCGTGTTGTAGTCTTAGAAGGATTGGACCCTCGTTATCGGCTGAAGAGGAGGAAGAGAGGGCGTAGATGCGGTATTTGCCGTCGCGGCAGGTCGTCAGAAACTCGCCGCTGCCGCTGCTGCTACCCGGGATGGGCACGATGCTGGTGACGGCGTCTTTGGTCTTGCAGTCCTTGCGCGACGTGAGCGGGATGAAGTCGCCCGTGCCGGAGTCGGGCGTGCAGACCGTCACAGAGCCCGTGCGGGAGCCCAGCACGAGGGTGACGTCTCCTAGGAAAGCGGCTGCGGTGACGATGTAGTGCTCTGGCAATCGGATCTTGCGGGGGTCGATCGTCGAGGTGTCGGTGGACGGGTCGAAGTGGACGAGGAAGGCGTGGTCGAGGCCGAGGACGGTGATGATGACGGACCACGCGTGTTGCTGTTCGTCAAGCGTGCGGTCGGGAGAGCTGTCGAGTAGTATTATGTCGGATATCTTGTGGGAGAAGTTGGCGATTTTCCGGACGCTGTGTCCTCTGCGGAACAGGTAGACCGTCCCGCTGGCGCTGCCGAGCACGGCAGCATCGCTTGCCGGGCTCTTGACGACGTTGTAAGGCTTGAGGTCGGAGACAACAGCCTCACTGAGACTGACTTCTTGCCACACAAGAGGGTCAGGGTCGCCCATGGCTGCGAGGAAGAGTCTGCCCGACGCTGTGACTGCCATGGTGCTGTCCGACAGAAAAGCGTAGCGCTGGAACGTGTGCTTGGCGCTCTTCTTGCCTTGTGGTTCGGAGGACGGGAGCTGCGCGCTGCCATGGAGACTGCACAGGATATCATCCAAGGTCAGACTGAGGTCCAGGTCTTCGTACGCGTCCCCTGTCGAACCCGTGCCCCTGACTTTCCCCGAGACCACAATCTTGCCGTCAGCGCCGCCGGTCGCTACAAGGGGGGAGTCGCCGCCTCCCCTGTTCAGCACAGCAGCCGACCAGATATTCTTCCCGCTATGGCACGTACTCGCACCGCAGTGCCGAAGCATGCCTGTCCTCTTCTCGTCCCATCGCTCCCAGTCCACGTCGAGCTCCCACCTCTCCCGCGAACAGTCTTCCCCGAACGAGTACACCTCCACTGCCCCTCCTGCCCCGGTCGACTTTTGATCCCCGCATCTCCGGCCAAACTTGACATGCCATATCCTCGAGACATGGCCCATCGCAACCGCCACACACCTGGCCTGGTCCTCGATCCCATCCACCCGCCTCAGCTCGGAATTAGAATGGTGATTCCCATTCGAATCCTCCCCGCCGCCGCCGCCAAACCCGGTCTCTCGAGCCTCCACGAGCACTCTTCCATCAACCCTTCCCCCCTCCTCACTCCCTCCTCCGTGACCATTGACAACAGTACCCCCTTGCTCCGTGATATCCCACACCCGCACAGTGCGATCATCGCTGCAGCTGGCCAACAACCTCACCATTTTCCCCTTTCCTCCTCCTGCACATGCCCCTGCCCCTGCCCCACCAGACACAGGCACCTCCATCTCATTCGAGATGCACACCCCAAAAATGGACCCTTCGTGACCCGTAAAGACGTGCAGGACCTCCCATCGCCGCAACTCCCCATCCCCACTCTCTCCTTTGTCGTCAGCGTCAGCGTCATGGTTGTTGTCGTTGTCGTTGTTGTGGTTGTTGTGGTTGCCAAAAAAGTATTTCCACACCACAATCTCGCCAAACACCGTCCCCGCCGCCACGAGCAGCACGCCCGGTGCCAGGAGGGCCAGGTCGGCCGAGTAGAGGATCGGGCGCGAGGGGGAGGTCAGGGGGCCGAATTTGATGCTACTAGTACTACCACTACTACTACTAGTAGTAGTAGTAGTAGTAGTTGGAGTGGCAGTGGCAGTGGTAGTGGTGGTGGTGGAGGTGGTAGCGAGAGAAAAGGGGAGGACCTCGTTGTGTGCTGTGACTAGCGCGCCATCATAGTAGTACTGGTATCCTCCTCTCCTTTCTTGACAAGAAGGAGCAGCAGCAGCAGCAGGGAACAGAATACCGCTGTGGATCCAGTCGGGCGCTCGGTACTCGATTGGACGAGGAGGAGGGCCGGGAGTGGTGCCACCGCAACAGATCAGGGACTGGAGAGAGCTTGTCGGAAGGTGGGTTACCGAGTGGCCGCCCCAGATGAGGACTCCTCCTCCTCCTGCTGCTTCTTCGAGTGGTACTATGTGCGATGATGATGATGGTGATGATGATGATGGATCTCCCTCTTCACGGGTTTGATGAGCAGAACAGACATGGATCCCGTGGATGGGTTGCGAGTCAAAGACTTGCAGTTGGCCGAGGAGAGCGGACGTCTGGATGTCGTAGACTCGCAGCCACGTGTCTTCCCCGGCCAGGAGCAGCACACGGTCCGGTCCGGCTTGGTAGAATGCGAGTGCGGTTATGGGGCTGAGTGCGTAGCTGTTTTGAAGCCTCGCCATAGTCGTGGCTTGACCCTGCGCATGTGTTAGTGAGAGGTTTCATGACAAAAGAGGGGGTAGGATCCTTTGAGTGAGTCGACAAAATACGAAATAGGGAGTTCAGGACTTAGCATCACCTTAGGAGGCATTTCTGGCCAGACTGGGAACAGCGTGCTGTGAGTTTGAGAACTCCTGTGATCTCATATAAGTTGCCGCATGGACTTCAGGGATCCATGGTTGCAGCTGTCTCCTTCACACACACTGCATTGAGTTCAGTTGTGTCGGGTGAATTTTCAACTCTTGAAATTCATCTCGAAGCTGGAGGTTAACCCTAACCCGGCCCGTGCAGCCAAGAGTGCTACAGCCTCTTAATGATAACTACTCCGTACTGAATTGTTAAATAAAGACATGTTCTGTGATGGCGATGAGGGCCTCCCGTCGACATGTCCAGTGAAGTTACCAGCTTGGACATGCTGGCGGGCACTATATGCCATATAGTATGTATATGTATGGACAGCCCTGTAAATGTTGTTTGGGACTGGAGCATCTCAGCTCAGCAGCATCCCGCTCCTTGCCTTCCCCTCGGCTAACCTACATACATAGTAGCCAATTGTCTTGAGCCCAGGATAGGCTTATTATTATGGTTACACAGAGTTGATGGGGTTGTTGACCCCGTTTGCTAGACAGTGCCTGCGAGCTCGGATTCGGACCACTCGATGCCGAGCCCACCCCGTAATTGACGCTCAACCGTGGCACAGGCATCCGACAAAGCGAGCAATGCTGGCCTCAATATTGGCCGTGACCGAAGACCTGGGGTAGGGAAGGCAATCAATCATCTTTGAACCCTCCCCCTCCCCTCCCCCGGATGTGGTGCAAGACAGACAGGTCATCGAATGGAATAAGGTCTCAAAGCCGACTCTTTATTAGTTTGAAAAGAACTGATGTGCAGTCATCATTGCATTCGTTGGACCCCAGTAGGGTATCATAGCGAGATATCATCTCATCCATCTACGTGAAACCGCATGGCCATCTAACCGCTCTCTCTAACCCAGAGACCTGATTCCCGTCTTCCGAATTTCCCCAGAGAAAACCTCCCAACGCCGGACTGATGCCATAGATAACGGTAAGAAACAAGAGACGCAAAAAAAGAAGAGATACGAAATAGAAGCAGGCGAAGATACATCGCCTCCCTCTATCGCTTCGTGATTTTTATTTTTTGTAGCCGCCACACACCCCCAATCATAACCCCCTTAAACACGAGCATGCGAGAACGGCTCGTACGCGGGCGAGTGCTGTTGCGCCGGGCCGTACTGCGACTGCCTGGCATACCCGGTGCTGGTATAGCCGCCCGGCTCGCTGAGGCGCTGGTAGCCCGTGCCGCCCGACATGAGCTTCTCGGTGTCCGAGTGCCGGCTACCGCGGCCGCTACGGCGGGACGAGTGGTCGGGCGCGCAGCAGCAGATCGTGAACATCCAGAACAGGCCGGCGGCGATGGCGAACGCGGCGCCTAGCCAGATGATGGCCAGGTACGTGGTGTTGAAGTGCGCGTCGACGCCATACACCTTGGCCGACGCCTCGACGGCCCCGACTACCACGACCGAAGTGGCTGTCGCGAGACCGGCCGCGGCGCCCACGGCGGTGGTGGCGATCGCCGAGATGAGCCAGGTGACGCACGAGAAGGCGCGGCTGCAGTTGGCGAAGAGGCCGAAGAAGAGCTCGACGCCGAGCGCGATGTAGGCGATGATGAAGACGATCTGCGTCCACTTGGAGACGGTGCCGAACGCCTTGACCGCGTCCGTGATCTCCTTGGGCAGCGTCACGTTCAGGCCGGTCGCCGTGATCATGCTGTTGATGTCGCCCGTCGTCGTGTTGAGCGCGTTGGTGGCCCAGTCGAAGGCCGGCTTGGTGCAGGCGCGCGTGCCGTTGTGGGCCGTGTAGCAGTAGTTCCAAGGGTTGACATCGTATATGTCGTACAGGCCGAGGTCTTTCGCGGTGATGTTGGTCGTCTGGGACTCCTGCCTCGAGTTGATACCGGGGATTTTGATGTCATCAAGCGTTGGCACGTCGATGCCAGTGCCATCGAGAATCTTGGATACTGAGAGCGGCGACAGTTGGAGGTCGGTGACGTTCACCTGGAACATGTAGAGTCCCTTTGAAGCCATCCTTGATCAGCAGTGTTCTTTAAAAAAGCAGATGCGTACAGGGCCTGAGCGTACCTTATTAGTGATGCCCGCCAGCCCTGCTATCAGCATGGCAACCAGCGATGCCAGCGTCAGCAGAAACGGCACCAGCACACAGGCGAATCTCCCAAAATTTGCCATCGTGTTTGTTCTGTGATGCAACTGCTTCAAGTTCGTCGAGATTGCTCGGTTGTGGATTCTTCTGGCGGGGGGCTTGGGTGACGTAAAGTCGATTCAGCGTGGTGCCCCAGTGATTGAATGCGTCAGGTCTTTTCTAGTCCTGACAGCGACAGATTCCACGGTGGAGTGCAGCAGACTCCGGAAATCAAGCAATGATGGAAGGGTGAAATGAGGTGACGGTGGAAGAAGAGTTGCAACGGGACGGCTGGTGAGATAAATATCAGGCCGCATGGCCACGCAAATGCCAAACAAAAGCTGTGCTGATGGTTGGCAGGGCTCCATACTAGGAAAGAATGCGGGCTGTGTAATCGGCCGGTGGCGCAGTTGTCCGACCATCGCAGCGGGTGACGACAATATGGACCCACTTCCCGGTCCCTGCCAACGCTAAACAGGATGGGCGAGCGGAGAGGCTGCGACCCTGCAGACCTCACAAACCCACAAAGACCAAGCAATCTATGTGGTCCCTGGCTCCAATACTAGGGATCCAGAGCGACGGAACACCTGCCTAAAACCCCCCATGCTAGCCTCTGCCAGCGAGGCATCAGCAGTAGCTCAAAACGGGCAAATCTCTGCAATGGACAGACAAAAGGCCCCTGGGCCCGCGCGATGCTCGCAGAGGCGAGGAATGGAACTCATCAGGAAATTGCAGTTCGGTGGCAGGATGATGGCTGCCTTGCCCTGGCCCTTGGCTCCATTGATAACGTTAGCCACGAGCCCTTATTTGGCGGGCCATGGCTTCATATGCAGGTTGGTCCATCCCACTGTTCGTCCACTTGCATAGAGCACAGTCGTTAGGTAGTTACCTGGCTCGCTAGTTACCGTGGCAGTTGCTTAGTGCGAGGACCATAAACGGTAAACAGCACGAAATATACACTCTCAATGTATCTCGGAACTGACTGTTCGACTGAGGTCGAGAGACCGGATGCAAATCGATCTCCGCTGAGCGGATTTTCAGTACCGTAACAAGCTCCTGTGCGAATTATGGTGTTGATCCCTCGGTGATCCACGATGATATCTTCTTCATGATGGCATTTCATTGGCGTCCGAAATTTATAATACCCCACAAATGAAGTCGTCAACTCCAGCTCAGCCGCACCAAGGACGCGTTTTGCACCACTGTGAAAGCCGTTGCGGGAGCGACGCCGCTGTATGAGCACGAATAGACATGTGAGCCTTGCGTCCGGCGATTTTGTAGCGAGTGAGCCTGGCGATTGATGTCTCGGATTACCTATAGTTATACTCCCGTGGGCCTTGTGGCTGCGAGTGGGAATATCCGTACTCTCTACGTTAATGCAGTTCCTCGGTCGTGGCGGGCTTACGATAGCACTCCAGGGCTGAGCTCCGACAATGCCCGAGCTCAGCTCTGGACTCAATCACGCGCCCAAACCTCAGTGCTTGAGGTGCCTGCCACAGTTATGTAGTCGCACGAGCGTACCTGTGTTTCTCATGCCGAGAAGGAGGTTAGTGATTATGTCGAGCTTGTTGGACCTATTCACGCAGACATTGCAGCCTCGAGCCCGCCTCTGATTGACACTGTGGAAGCGCATTGATGGTCACGACGAAGGAGTGCAGCAAATGCAAGTTTGGGGCGAGGTTCCGGTGGCTGTCCGCTGTCAGGTTGGTGTGACCCCGCAATGCGGTGGCTGGGCGACAGTTGGGCTGTTGGTGCCCAGAGCCCTCTTCGTTATTTTTGGAACAACTGCTTGTCCGCTCTCCGAGTCGCGGGATGGTGGGGGCGGAGACCGGGCGGTGAGTAACATCGCCGAGACCACCGTCCCGGCCGTCCACGAAGCCACGCGTAACTATCCCCACCGTCCGGCTCCGGGGCCGGGCCGGTCGCCGAGTGGGGACGGTTCGAGGTCTTCAGGCCGGGTTGGCCGGGTTTTGCCCTCCTATCAAACAGCAGCCGAAACGGTGTCGGCCATTGTTTCGGTTAGGATGTAGATGAGACTTTGTCCCCTTTCCAGGCTTTCATGAATCGAAAGTGACCTCTCGTCTCGACGATGAAATGCTTCGTGTTGGCCCCCAACGCCGTCAGGACAACTGCTCGAGTCAGAATACGCCAGATAACTGGAACGAAGAAAACACATGAAAATGGATAAGCGGGGATTGTGAAAAGGCATGCCCTCGTCAACTGGAAATGACCACGTCCTCTTCCCCCGATGCGTTGGCGAGATATCGTTCGGCGGACCTTCGGATCTAGGTAGTTAAGCTTCACACAGCAGCCAACGATGTCAGTATGGTTTCACCAGCTGTTCCTCGATGGTTCGGCTGTCTCATTCCCCCACTGACCCCCACCAAACCTGCACCTGTGCAGATTCGGAACACTGAGATCGCCGCTCGGGTGAAAGATACCGAATCAAAACTTCCCATGGAGAAGTTTCTTCCTCGTCGACTGATTGTCCACCACACCGCTTCGTTCCCGAAGCTAAGGAGGAGGTCATGTGGGCGCCCAAGACGCGCCGTTCGGAAGAAAGCCGGGGTGGAAATGCGGGCAGCCTGGATCTCTCAATCGACCACCCCGGGTTCTCGATCCCACAAGCGTCAAAACTTCTGCCCGGAAGCGTTGCATCGCGTTGCGCCCGTCGTGCAGCTTCCCGCGCCGTATCTTTTCGACTCGCTTGATATTGCCGTAGTGTTATGGTAGATGGTTCCGGCCGGCGTCGTCGTGCACACGTGGACAGCGGGTACCTAGGACCCTAGGTAGGGAGCGGCCTTGAGTGAGCCGAGGCGACTGGGCGCTTGTGCCACCCCATGAAGATCCGGCGCGCTGGTTATGCTCCGTGTAAGGTGTCTAGGTGAATGCTTTCTCAGCGTCCACAGCAGGGCCAAGGTAGCTTCTGTCTCGTCCGTGCAGCCAAGGTGTCGCGATTCGCGAAGCCAAGAGGCGTGGCCAGCGGGGTCCGGACACGACTTGCCAGCTTGATTTTAACGTTAAATCAGGGCCATGTAGTGTACATGGATTTTGCAGCGCTTTGCGGGTCGATATCTGGCCCTCCTAGCCAGTCGGTTCCAGGCTACGTATTTACCCTGTTTGTCCATGGAGTCCATGGACTGCTCTGGACGCTGCAAGTTACGCGGAAAGGTCTGCGGGGTGGCCAAGCAGCCAAGCTGGATGGATGACATGCGGTGCTCAAACTGCCTAGTGTAGACTCCGTCAGCTTGTCCACGGTCCGTTCAGCCCCACACTCGTAGAGGATATGAGGCACGTGCCGCTCGTTGCGCCATTCGTTCGCGGGTTTCGTTCCTGCCAACACAGTCCCGTCACCGAGACTGCAGTCTTCAACACCGTCTCTGGCTTCATAGTTCATACCTTCCTTAAGGTAAGGTACGTAACCTTAATATTACTTGGGCCACAGCATCTGTTAAAACATTGTGGTGCTCTTTGACTGCCAATTATCCTACCCATCCTTGTGCCCACTGCCCACCTAGTGCCCACAATCTGTGTTCCAGCTCGAACCATCCTGGTAAGCCAATGGCCCAATAGGCCTGCGCTGCCGAGTCTCAAACGCCCCGCCAATCTTTTGCCCATCAGCAGCCGCGTCGTCATCGCCACCATCCTCCCCGACTCTCCGGAAGCGGTTGAGACAAGTCAACACTCGCCGGCCAACCTCGCTCGTCAAAATCATTCGCGAGGAGCTGGTCAGAGTTTGATCGCAATATCTGAGATCTGCTCAGTCTTGGGGCCGCCTTGATCTCCCCTTTGTGGCGACACGTGCACCGCTAATCCGACCCCGGATCTCGAACCTCGACCGGCACGCTCGGCCTGCCTCGAGCTACCTAGGCGCATCTCAGTGACGAATACGGATACTCGACATATTATCTCCGTTCCTCTCCGCGGCTTCGACTACTATCCTTTTGGACCCCGATTGCTCGACTGCGGACAGCGAAAGGCCATCCGACGGGAATCAGCTATTCCGCACCGACATCCGGTCGCAGCTCAGGCACCTCCTTTCAGCCTTGGCGCGATAGCGTTCCAGTCGCTGTGTCTTATCAATCGAGTGTAGGTTTTTTCGCGGCTTCTGTATTTTGCATCTCCCCACCTTTCCTTTCGCAATCGCTCTACGCTCCACCTTCTTTGCGATCTTCCATCTCTGACTCTGGCCGCTGTTTTCGCTGTTGCCACTATTCGTGAGTTAGGCTGGGAAGGCTGACATCATTGAACATTGTGGAGTAAACCCACCACGCCGGCCCTCGAACAATCCGCACCGACCCCGACAACCATTTCTCCGTCCGATAATTCCGACAAGCATTGCACAGTGACCCGGAGCTCGTAAACTTCCCGACGGCCTAAAATAACGTTTCTCTTCCGCGCGCCCCAAGTTTCGAAAACGGAACCCTCATCCGGTCGTTGGTCTTCCACCGCCATCAACCTGCTCTCCGACCTCGAGCGCTTCTATCATCCTCCCTAAGACCTTGGGCGACACCGAGGATAATAGATTTGAGACGGGTGCAGCGGTAGGCTGTGTGGGTATTCAAAGGCGACTCTGCCGGTACCACAACCTGACACGCGCACGCCGTCCAGCCCCTTGACTTTCTCACGTACCAGAGTCTTCCTCTTTCTCTGACATTGGGAAACCATGGGCAACCAAGCTTCCAAAGATGCCAGCGCGGCATCTACCAAGGCTGCGGGTAGCGGGGACGAGGCGCTGCAGTCATACCCCTCCTTCAGCAGGTCCGACACGAGAGAATCCTCTCGCTCGTTCCGCTCCCTGCGCAGCAAGATCCCGGGTTCGGGTAAGACAGACAGTCCTAGGAGCTCTGCAATTCTGGCAAATGGCGATGCGGCCGAGACGGCTTCCGTCAAGTCCGGGAAGAGCGGCAGGTCGCCACAGAGCCGGGCCAACCGTACCGACTCGGTTCCCTCGGTAGCCTCACCTTCGTCGCCAGACACTGGCGTCATGGGCTCTCCTCTTGCCGAGGACCTACCTCCGCCGTCCCCCATCCAGTCGGCGTCTATGAAGGCAGGTGTCCATGACGTCTCTGCCGCTCAAGCCAGCGGAGAAGTAGACCATGTTTCGGACCAACCCCCCTCCGGCGTCAATAACACCAACGTACCGCAGCAGCCAGGACAGAGCATCCTCGTAAAGCGCGAGGATACTACTTATTCAGTTACGGAGATCCCCGTGCAGGAGCCTCCCAGGGACGAAACAGGCTCCGGCATCGCAATGAGCGACATCAAGGACATCGACTTAGATGACTTCATCAAGCGGCTCTTGGACGCCGCCTACGCCGGCAAAGTCACCAAGAGCGTCTGCCTCAAGAATGCGGAGATCACGGCCATCTGTCATCGCGCCAGGGAGGTATTCCTCTCCCAGCCGTCGCTTCTCGAGCTCGACGCTCCTGTCAAGATTGTCGGAGATGTGCATGGCCAATACACGGACCTCATCCGCATGTTTGAGATGTGCGGGTTCCCCCCAAAGTCGAACTTCCTGTTCCTTGGTGACTACGTCGACCGTGGTAAGCAGTCTCTCGAGACGATTTTGCTGCTGCTGTGCTACAAGTTGAAGTATCCCGAGAACTTCTTCCTGCTGCGGGGGAATCACGAGTGCGCCAACGTCACGCGCGTCTACGGTTTCTACGATGAATGCAAGCGCAGGTGCAACGTGAAGATTTGGAAGACCTTCATCGATACCTTCAACACCCTCCCAATTGCCGCCATTGTCGCCGCCAAGATCTTCTGCGTCCACGGGGGCTTGTCGCCCGCCCTCAGCCACATGGACGACATCCGGAACATTGCGCGCCCGACAGATGTCCCCGACTACGGGCTGTTGAACGACCTGCTCTGGTCCGACCCTGCTGACATGGAACAGGACTGGGAGGCCAACGAGAGAGGCGTCAGCTACTGCTTCGGCAAAAAGGTCATCACCGACTTCCTGGCAGCTAACGACTTTGATCTGGTCTGCCGGGCCCATATGGTGGTTGAGGACGGCTACGAGTTCTTTACCGATCGAGTATTGGTCACTGTTTTCAGTGCGCCTAACGTGAGCGCTCCCCTCCTAGTACATACAACATATAAAATGACAGTAGCTGACAAACCCATAATAAGTATTGTGGCGAGTTTGATAACTGGGGAGCCGTCATGTCGGTATCCACCGAGCTCCTCTGCAGTTTCGAGCTGCTCAAGCCGCTGGATTCCAATGCCCTGAAGAACCATATCAAGAAGGGCAGGAATAAGCGGAACCAGATGCTTAACAGTCCAGTATGTCTTTTACCCCTCCTAGCCTGTACCCCTTTGGGCTCACTAACAACTATCGCAGCCTGCAAATGTCTACCCCCAGAGCGTCTGATATGAGGGCGACGCGGGTTGTCCAGCACGTAGCATTGATGCCTTGCCAGAGCGGACAGTAGACATCCCGGCCCATTAACTGCTACAACAAAAGGTCGATTCGCGGTCTTATGGGGAGGAGCCGTGCTTGGCGATAGCAGGCGACCGCGGGAACTAGCGAAGACAAGAACTAACGACGAGATTCATGCGCCGCCGCTTTGGCACCGGGCAACCAGTAATACAGATGATCGCATCCAGCAATAGCCGGAAGCGTAGAGGGGAGGAGGGGAACGAACGACCATTCCACTTATCATTCGAGGATTTCAGATGGACAACGACGGTGCCAGATCCACTCCTTTGACCACCGCAACTGGACTTCCAAAGCGTCCGTTACGGGCATTGTACGTTTTGAACTGCGACTTGTCTGCGAGTACATTGCGTTCCTTGGACACAGGGACGCGGGATAAGATGGTTTCTGAGCTCGTCATTTTCGAGAAGTCGACTGTTGGCGTTGGGAATCGTTAGACGGGAAATACAAAGCTGGACAGACCTGGAAAACGGGGAGGGGGAGAACAGAAAGGGGGTTTGATCGGTGGACAGAGAGGGTCTTTGACGGACGGACAGGCAGAAACACGTCGCGACATCTTAGGCCGAGTGCTGCTTGCAAGACAAGCCCGACATTCCGGACCCTATCTGCGTGTTTGTCTCGTCCCGCACGTTAAGTTACAGACACCTCTCAGCTCGCTCGGTCCGGCCTCTACTCCCCGCTGGGGGCTACTCTGATAGTTTTCGCGTCTAGTAGTAAATCTGGGTACACTGGTAGTTAGTTTGCGGGGCGTTGAGACGGTTCGTAGCCCACGCTAATTTAATGAGGGAATGTCCTTTGGTCGGTCTCCTATTACCTACCTTACCTACCTTACCTACTGAATTTGGTAATGTGCTCTGTTTATGTGACGTGTCTACCTTGCCTGGCTCTAGATGCGAAGTTTATGTATTGTACAGTACAGATAGCGCCAGAAGACTGGTTATATATAAAATATTTAGGGACATATATCGTAGACATCAGATACCGCAGAGGTGGGGAACAAAGACGACATACACACCCGGGATATTTACCGAGCCTCAACAGCAGAGCCCCATCTTGTTCCCGTCTCCTCCTGGGCGCTCCTCCTACTTAGAATATATATCCTCTCCACCATCCGCGGACCGATCCACCACCCGCCGGTAAGGGCCCGCACCCTCTTCTTCCACACCGCGACCGTCCGGCCCATCCCTACCACATTTACAGCCGGCTCACCACCCCTCCGACCCTCTTTGTCTGCTTCTTCTTCTTCTGAGTCCCTGCTTTTCTCCCGCCCGGGTTTGACAATTTCAATCCCGGCATATCCCTTGACCACGCCCACAGTCTCCCACTGCCCTCCCACTACCTTTTGCGGGTCTTCCACGAGCAGGTAATCAAACTGCCGCCAGAACTCGGGCCGCGCTAGGACAGACTTGTCCTCCGTTTTGTCGAGCATCATCACCGTCCGCCCCGAGCCAGTTCTGTGTCCACCACTGATGTCTTGCTGCTTTGTCCCGGTCCTGGTCTTCTTGGTCTTGATTACCCCACCCTCGTTATTAGACTTAGGATCACCAATCAGAGAAACGGCGCCAGCGTCGACCATAGACTCGGCCGTCGAGCTCTGGAAGAGAGTCACCCCGGTCATGCACGCGAGCACGTCGGCGTGTACGTGTACCACCACCGGTACCAGTCCGACCCCCAGCCCCAACCCCTCCACCACTACTCCTCCATTGTCGGAGGAAGGTTCGTGCGGAGGAGGAGGAGGAGAGGAGAGGACGATGGCGGAGCGCAGGTGGTCGAGGGCCTCGCCGCCGGGGTAGTTGAGCGCGCTGAGGGCGAGCATGGCGGTGCTGGCGAGAAAAGTCGCGAGCACCGAGAGGAGGAGTGCTGCTGCGCATAGGAAGGAGAGTGCCGATTTCCCGCGGCGAGTGAACACGAAATTGGCTGAGAGGGACGCGGCCGCTGTGAGTGGTGGTACGGCGTAGAAGATGAAGCGCGTTTCCTTGTGCGGCTGGAGCGAGTAGATTGCTATGAACAGCAGGGACGGGAGGGCCAGCCTGGTTGCGGCGCGGCGGAGGGAGGGGTGGTAGAGGGAATGCGGGATGAGGATGGCGTAGCTCAGCGGGTTGACGAGCAGGCGCGGCACTGCCGAGGTGAAGTAGTAGTGCCAGGGGGAGACGCCCCAGTTGGAGGCGGAGCCGCGGACGACGTTGTAGTAGAACCCCCAGAGCTCGGGCCACAGCGGGCGCTGCCAGAAGTAGCTGTCGATGGGCACCGAAGTGACCAGGGCGGTGAGGAAGGAGACGGAGAAGGGGAAGAGGATGCGCTCGAGGGAGAGCGCCGGGATGAGGAGGAGGTGGAGGATGGTTGCGCCCAGGAGAAGGGCGACTTCAGCGCGGAAGATGGTGGCGGCGAAGACGAACATGGCGATGGAGAGGCGCTGGCGGCGGGCGGTGGATTTGGGGTTGCTGGGCTCGGGGAGGAGGAGGGCGAAGGCCAGGGTTGCTTTGGAAAGCGTTAGTCTGTTGACTATTTTCCCAGTAAAAAGGGGGCAGTCAGGGCAGAGAGGGCAGGCTTACTCAGTCCAAAGGCGAACATGTTCGGTAACGTCCGTGAGGCATAAAACATGATGTGGAACTGGCTCGCCTGGAACAGCAGGTACCATCTTGCTGTCCCGGCGCCATAGGCCCGTCGGAGGTTGCGGGCGAACACGAGGAGACAGGCGGCATTGAAGAGACCCAGGATGGCTCTCACAACAAGCTGAGCGTGCTGAAACCCGACGAGGGCAACAATCGGTTGGGCAAACCCGGCGAGCAGTACCGGGCCTACGAAGGTCCGAGGAACGGCCCCCGGAAAGGTGAAGTGGTCGTAGCTACTAGATAACCTCTGGTGGATGTTTGAGGTCGGCGTCCCGTAGACAAGTACATCGTGGGCTGCTTGGATGTTGAAGGATTCCTCAACCTTGGTGTAGGGGGCGACGACGAGATGGACGAGAATGAGTCCGGGTATCAAAAGGTAAAGGAAACTATCTGAATTCTGCTTAGTACAGCCACTGTTTCTTCCAGACGCAGCTGTAGGCTCAATGAGCTGATGGCCCAGATTCACTCACCCAAGAGTCCTGCTGCTGGAGCTCCATTGCTATGTTTCTTAGCATTGGTTACTGCCTTTGCGCCGAGCTGCGCATCCTCTAGCGGAGCCATCAAAGCCCTAACTAAGGTAACAGACCGTAGAATTTAGAGTATGGTGTCAATACCCAACTTCCATTTGACTTTTTTCCCTGTAAAGCTAGACGTTCAGCGTAGGGATAACAGGAGGTTTCGGAGCTCCTGAGCTGAACCCCACAGTGAGCGTCGACCGACCCCTGTCGTGCCCCTGGATGTGCACGAGCCAGAGCCCCGCCATTTCTCCATGGGAGCTGCTCCAACTTGGAGACACCCCGCGACAACAGCACTGGACATCCGCATACTTCACCGATCCGAGCCCAACCACAAGTTCAGTCGGTCGCCCACAAACGCAAGCAAAACAAGATGGCGACAGCAGACCCTTTCGATTCGGCGCTGTAAGCGATCACTGGCTTTCCTTTTCTCCCCAAGCCACCCCAAGAATACTAACTCCCCTTACTGCTCTCAAGCGACCTCCTCCGCCGACTGAACCCCAAGCACACGGCCGAGCACCTGAACAACATCATCACGATTGCGCCCGACCTGACCGAGGACCTGCTGTCGTCGGTCGACCAGCCGCTGACGGTGCGGCGCTGCAAGCAGACGGGGCGCGACTACCTACTGTGCGACTACAACCGCGACGGCGACAGCTACCGCTCGCCTTGGAGCAACCAGTTCGACCCGCCGCTGGACGAGGCCGGCGGGCTGGGCGGTGTGGGCGCCGGCGGCAGCAACGAAGGCGCCGGGGAGGGCGCCGTGCCCGGGGAGCGCGTGCGCAAGATGGAGATCAAGGCCAACGAGGCCTTTGACGTCTACCGCGAGCTGTACTACGAGGGCGGCGTGTCGAGCGTGTATCTGTGGAACCTGGACGACGGGTTTGCTGGGGTGGTGTTGTTGAAGAAAGGTGAGTTTATTCTTTTTGGAGGAGGGCATACACACCAAAACATTCCATCATGAAACATGAGCAAAGGAGGGCCGAACGTCGTTTGTGTGTTGACTTACTCTCTCTCTCTCTCCTTCCCCGCTATCTAGCCTCACCCCAAAACGACGGCAGCTCCTCCGGCGTGTGGGATTCGATCCACGTGTTCGAAGCCAGCGAGCGCGGGCGGACGTCCAACTACCGGCTCACCTCGACCGTGATCCTCTCGCTGGCCACCAAGGGCGCCGCGCTGGGCGAGGTCGACCTGAGCGGCAACATGACGCGTCAGGTCGAGCAGGACCTCCCCGTCGAGAACGACGAGAGCCACATCGCCAACATCGGCCGCCTGGTCGAGGACATGGAGCTCAAGATGCGCAACCTGCTGCAGGAGGTCTACTTCGGCAAAGCCAAGGACGTGGTCGGCGACCTGCGCAGCATCGGGAGCCTGAGCGAGGGCCAGCGCGACCGCGAGACCCAGCGCGAGCTGATCGGTAGCATGCGGAGATGATGATGATGAAGAAGTGAAATGAGACAAATGAACTTTTTACGAGAATTGTCAGCCTTCCGAAATCCCGTTTTCCCCTCGCCTCGGATAATGATGCCTTCGCCAGTGCTTGGTTGCCGACTGTTGAGTCATCTTTCCAGTCACCAGTAAGACCACCGGGAACATCAACCGGCGGCCTCACTACTTGTGCCTGTGGTGTGATATCGGCAAGGGCTTTTCGGTTGTTGAATGCTCGCAAGGGCCGGATTCTGCGGAGTCTGGCGATGATGATATTCAGCGGGCCCGTTTCAGATGGCCAATATCACTTCATATCCGTGGATGCTATGCCAGATGACGCGGGTAGATCCCGCCTGGGGCTCTTTGCAACCTGGCCTTACAGCTCGGAGTAACGTTAACGTGAATAGCTCCTTTTTCTTTGTATGTAGGTATGCATGAAATCTGTAAGGCCCTTTTTTTTAGTTTTTTATTTTTTTTTTAATTTTTTTTTATTTTTTTTATTTTATTTATTTATTTATTTATTTATTTTATTTTATTTTTTCCGCGCCTCAATGCTGGTCGAAGGAGACCGGGACACTGTCTGCTTCCGATCCCTGCTGCCAGTCCTACGGACGAAAGTGAACGAGCAAAGTCGCAGCCTCTGCGCGCACTTGCGTTCTTAATAATGCCGTCACTATGTGGTATGCCAAGCAACAAGCATGCGCTTCCGTTGAAGTTCCCGACGTTCTCGACAGGGCCCTTCGGAACAGGTACAGGGGCTCCGGGTGTTTGTCAACGCTGATGAGCTCGCAAGAGTTTCCGCAGTGGAAATTTTCTCCATGACAATGCGGTGAGCAAGTTTGCCACCGGCCGTCCTTTGAAGGGGCTTTTTTGCCCCGGTATGGTTAGCTCCCGCGTCAGATCCTGCAGGTATAGTAAAAGGGGGCAGGCAGTTGCGAATCGAGTTGAGACGAGGTGATTGAGGCCACGCAATGAGCCAGAAGTTCCATACATACTAGTAGTGACCTCGGGTCAGGTTAGTGCTGTATTCCGTACATACATAATCAACTGCTGTATGTATACCTATGTATCCGCATAAGCTTCGATTATGTCCTTGGGAACCGTCCGGCAACTCCGTTGGTTCCACTGCGGCAGTTGGCCTCAGGTCAAGTCCAGGGTAAGGTCAGGCCACCACCTCACCCACCAGTGCACTTGTAGTGTAGGAGCTGGTGTGTCGAAATTCAAGGGTTTCCAAATTGGGAAGTGTTCTAGAAAAGTTCCATTGATGGCTTTCCCCGGCTGACATCGAGCGGCCCGAGATTGGCGTGCTGGGTGGGGCTCAGCCCCTGAAAGGAGAGCTTTCCTTGGTTCCCCTTCTTGGCGAGTGTGCGACCTACCAGCTTCGTCTTGTGGCAAGGTTATTCAGAAACCAAAACCGCTAACGGCTCGGTTTGGCGGTCACAACTCGAATAAGCAATGGAATGTGATCCAGGCGCATGATTCAATCAGGAGCGGCCGTTCTGTTCGCTACAGACGGTACGACATCCATCTCGGCAGCTATTACTTTGAGCCCGACGCAGAGACAACCTTTTCAGGAAGGCACACGGAGACACCCTCTCTCTCGTTTGTCAGACCGATCCTGGGCGCGCCTCCGAAGGGAAACCATGCGCTCATCAAGTCAGGATGATGCGAGTCTCATCAGCAGCCGAACATCGTCAACGCTCATCTTGAGCACGAGTGGGCCAGGGCGTACGGTGGAACCTCGCTCGCCGCCAATGTTTCGGGACGCTGCTGTATCGCCGTGTCTCACCTGCAATGCCGTCCTCCTTGATTGGCATGCTGGATCAACTACAGGACGTATGGTGTCTGACTGCAACCAGTATCGCAGCATCGCCATTCTTCACATTGGGCGTCAGGTCGCCATGCTTGAGGTGAGGTTGCATGGTTGGATTTTTGATTTTGTTTGCCAAAGGCGTGCCTGGCCACGTTCATTGGTCCCCTATTTTGGGGATGGGATACCGGTAGGTATGCCCAGGGGCCGACCCTGCCCGTCCATCTCTCCACTGGGCCCTGGAAACTTCTGAACCCGCTGGCGGAACATCGGACGAACGATGGGTGGCAGATGATCCATGCGAGGTTCTTGTGCGTGGTGGTGAGGAGTAGAGATCCTAGTAGGCCCAGGTGTCTTGGGATGATGATGCTTTGAAACCGTCGCCGAGAGGGCACCTTCCATAAACTTAACGGTGCCTGGATCACCAACATTGGATGTAACCCGACTGTAGACCTGCAGGGTCCGTGTCGACGCCATAACGGCCACCTGCAGACGCCGCAGACACTGCAAACCGGGCGGCCCTCCGGCTGGTGCATCGTGCACTGTGCAGTGCGCAAGAACGCTGGAATGGAGTGTGGGGATAGAGAGCTTTGGGCCTGGCCAGGAAGCTCAGAGAAATTTTGCTTTTGCTGAGCTCTCACACCGTGGCCCATTTGCTCGGGTCTCGCGGCTGTGGAAGAGGGGGGCCCCTTGTTTGAAGAGCGTCACCCCCTCGCCCAGGTTTTCAGACCCGGTCGCGCCCCGACGAGCTTCGAGGGCCTGCCGAAGTCCCGCCTGACCCCTTCTGCCCGGGTCATCCTGTCAATTGTCTTTTCTTCCACAAACAGAACGCCTTCTTCGCCAATTTGCGACTTCAATCGGCATCTGTTGTACTGCACCTCGAACGCAAACGGCCCTACCTGCGACGTACCTGAATTAATTGCGACTTGCTGCCACTCAGTGCTGCCCACGACCGAAAGCCCCAGTTCCATTGCGGACCCCGCGCACGCTTGGTTGACCCCCGCGCATTTTCCCCCCTCCCGTTCTGCTTCGGCGTCGTCCCTGAACCGCTTGTGCGAACACCTCGGATTCCGGCCCCCAACGTAAACTCAGGTAGATACGCGAACGAATAACCAACCATGGCGGAGAAGCCGTCGGTGTTGATCATCGGCGGTCTCGGCTACATTGGCCGCTTCCTGGCCCTGCACATCCACCAGAACAAGCTCGCCTCCGAGGTGCGGATCGTCGACAAGGTCCTCCCGCAGCTGGCATGGCTGCCGCCCGAGTTTGAGGAGGCATGCGCCGGGTCCAAGTTCGTGCAGGCAGATGCGGCGAGAGAACGTGAGTTTTACCCATCGCTATCTGGCCATGCTCAGTCCTCCTATTTTGCCATCCCCCCACTCACATCGAGATTTTTTCTAGAGTCCTTGCCGAGGATATTTGACAGGGCGGACGGGAAACAGTGGGATTACGTCTTCAATTGCGGCGGCGAGACACGCTACTCGCAGGATGATGAGGTGTACAAGCTGCGGTCCCTCCAGCTTTCCCTCACAGTGGGCAGGGAGGCGGCCAAGCGGGGCGTCAAGTGCTTTGTCGAGCTGAGCACGGGGATGGTCTACAAGTCCGATTCTTCGCCGAGCAAAGAAGGCGACAAGCTGAAGCCGTGGAGCAAGATTGCTGTGTTCAAACTGCAAGCGGAGGAGGAGCTCGCAAAGATTGAGGGGTAGGTTTTTTTCTCTCCCCATGCAACATCAGGGGGCTTAGGGGGTGAGCAACTGGGCCATGTACTCACGCCTCGCAGGTTGAACTTGGCCATCGTGCGGCTTCCCCATGTCTACGGACCATACGCCTCGCAATGGGTCGCCACGGCGCTCTGCATGGCACGGGTCTACAAGGCGCTCGAGTCCGAGATGAAGTGGCTGTGGACAAAAGACCTACGCACCAACACGGCGCACATCCACGATGTGGTGCGGGCGCTGTGGTCCGTCGCGACCTGGTACGACGCGGGCAAGGCTAAGTGGGACGAGGGGGCAATGGGCAAGACTCCCACCTTCAATGTGGTCGACAAGGGCGTCACGACGCAGGGGGTCATGGCCGACATCATCGGCCAGATATTCGGCATCGAGACGGGCTTCCAGGGGCAGCTCGTCAGCACCTTCGCCAAGCTCAACCTCGACAGCGTCGTCGACGACGTCAACGACGAGCTCTTGGGACCGTGGGCCGACCTCCTCGCCGAGGCCGGCATCACAAGACCCGGCCCGCTGACGCCGTTTATGGAGAAGGAGCTGTTGAAGGACACCGATCTCAGCATGGATGGCTCGAGGTTAGAGGAGGTGATTGGATTCACGTACGAAAAGCCCAAGATCTCCAAGGAGCTGGTGGAGGAGGTGATTGAGAGCTACAAGAAGATGAACTGGTGGCCTTGACGGTTCTAGAGCGAGTTGAGCTGGGGTTCTGGGTCGGGGACGGCGTCAGCTTTGGGGAGGGTTGTGCAGTTCGGCAATGTCACGGGGGCGCGAGATACTGAGGGTCGAGACGGGATTGGTACACGACTAATGTTGGATCGACGGTCCCCTGGCGGGTTAGGAGCGGGAGGAAGGTGATGTAATTCTAGGATATCCCTATTTCAGCTAATAATACTGCAGGTGCTTAGCGAACTTCTGCAGCAGGTCAAGAGATATGCCGAGGTATCTACTAGTACTTGATCATGACCTGTGAAGATGGCGATTGGCCCGGGGTCGAGTGCCCCTGTGTCCCCTACTTGACTGGCGGGAGCTTAAATGCGATGCGCAAACATTCCCATCTTCAGGAGCTGTATAAACGGTAGTTTGGCTGACGAGAGTTGAGTGATCCCGGCCGTTGAACATGGCTCGAGAACTTGAACTATGCGATGGGCAGTTGCTGAAAACTGCTTCGTTCACATGATGGCCGGAGCCTCATGCGGGAAGGCGACGGGCCTTCCCTGCCAAAATCCACCCTGGTTCGGTTACCCCGCACTCGGGTACCTTCCTCAAAGTTGCCTCAACCCTCGTAACTCCAACCCCAAGATTCTGGGCAAACATCTATCGTACATCTACTAAAGCCTGTTGTTGAATTTGATCGCCAAGGAGGAAGTTCGTCTTTTCCAGATTGTAGTGGTGGATGAGGCATGGTCTTAGATGAAGTTGTAGACGTACTAGACCTGTCAGGCAAACCACTGGCAGCTTAGCATTGAAAGTTATAGGAAGGAGATGGACCGTAGGCCGATTGAGCACAAAGATATACTAGTATACTCAGTCTCAACTCCTGAAACGGGGAGGCACACGGAGACGGAATGATGCCGAAGGAGAGGACATCCCCCACAAAGTTCGGGAGCATTGCGCCTTATTGCCCTCCGGAGATTTACTTGAAACGGAGATCGGCCGAACGTCACGTCCAATTGTTGTGCGCGGCTCTGTTGAGGGAAGGTTTTACCTCGGCCGCCGAGCCGACTTGTAGCCTCAAGTCCCTCCTCCGCCAGCTTGTGACGTTGGAGTTCTCCACCAAGCAAGAACAGTCGAGGGTCTGATCACCTCACTTACTAAAAGACAGAGCCCCTGCCGTCGTTTCGCTCAGCTCGATTCATATCTTCAAGTTCCTAAATTAACAGCACGCCTTGTCACTCCGCCGAAAAGCCATCGCAGTTCCTAATACCCTCACACCGTACCTGGGTACATCAACGTCGCACATCCTTCACCATGGCTGCACCCGCAAGCAAGAACATCGGAGACCTCACTGGCAAGTGGGTCATGGTACGTCTTCAACCACCCCCCATTTCCAGCAAACTCACAACATGTGATTGCGGCCGTCTACCCAACGCCTTTAGTCAAAGACTGACCTCGGCACCCCTCTCTCTTTTTTCCCGGGTCTTTAGAACAAAGCCCAGTCCAGCAACGTAGAGCCCGGCCTCGCGCTGCAGGGGATCGGCTGGGTGACGCGGAAGGCGGTGACGATGGCGACGGTGACGCTGCACGTCAAGCAGTTCGTGGCGCCGCCCTCGCCGCCGGCCGACCCGGCCAGCCCCGCCGTGACGCACATCGAGATCGAGCAGACGGGCACGGGCGGCTTCAAGGGGACGACCGAGAAGCGCTGCCTGGACTACACGTTCCGCGAGCACTCGGACTGGCTCTTCGGGCACGTCAAGGGCCAGACCAAGTTCGTGGCCGCCGAGGAGGTGCAGGATGAGTTCCTGAAGAGTGGCTGGCTCGAGGGCGACGACGAGAAGGGCGGCCCCAACGGCGAGACCCACGTGCTCAGCTACGTCGAGAGCCTGGACAACGGCTGGACCGCGACCCAGATCTGGGGGTTCAAGATCATCGAGGGCGTGCGCAAGTACTGTAGGAACGTGGTCATCGCCAAGGGCGGAGAGCGGGTCGAGCTGCAGCTGGTTTACGACTACCAGGAGTGAAATCAATATAGCTAGTACGGAGTCTGGCGTGGGGCCAGGACGGTGCATCGCGGATTCGTTGTAGCATTACGCAGGATGGGATCAATCGCCCGATGTTCGACCGGAGCGGGGCTTGCGGCGAAAGGGATACCTTATGGGACGTGCAAGGTGCCAGGCGCCTTATCTACCTAGACGGGGTGTATACCTTGGGAGTCATTGTGCAGCAGTCTTAAGTGACGGACGTTGGGCTGCTCATGTTGATGCGGATCTCGCATTATACCTAAATAAACAGCACGGACTAATACTGTTACGCTGAACCGCAACCGTGATCTGTATCATTCACTTCGCCTTTTCCTTTGCGCCGAAGGAATGATGACAGCAGGAAAAATCTCTCGCGTGAGCTCCGAGGGGAATCCGAGCCTCCCAGCCGTTTCTGGTATCAAAACCTCTGCCATGAGTACCCGTGCATGTATGTTGAATGCCCCTATGAACCCCCCCCCCAATCCGCGGCCAAGCCATATAAGAATGCCAACATCCAACCGAACGCCGCCCTCGATCAGGATAGCTGTGGCTCAAGGCACCAATTGCACCCCACCCCCACTCCCCTGCCTCACGCAGGCCGCCGCCTCACAAACTCCTCCAGATCCCCCCTCGTCGCCACACCCAGAACAAACCTCCTAGCCTGATCCGTGATGACGGCAAAATCCTGCTTCTGCCCGCCGGTCTCGGCCCCCTCAAAGAAGGCCTCCAGCTCCTCCAGCGGCGTGTCCATGGTAATGACCTTGTACTTGTGGCCGCCCTTGCGGCGGAAGCGGACCATGGCCGTGCGCACCTCGTCCTCGGGCCTGACGCGCCCGCCGTCGAGTAGGGCCTGCAGGTGCGGAATCGACAGGTAGCCCAGCAGGGCGCGGGTCGACGAATCGACGATGGTCAGGTGCGTGTAGTCGCGCTCGAAGGCCGACAGGAGCGCCGCCGAGATGGAGTCCGAGGGTGTGAGCGATAGCGCCGCGGGTGGGTCGAGGTCTTCTACCGTTGCCTTGTTATCGAAGAAAAGTTTGTTAGGATGACGAGCGCTTTCCCGCGGGGGTGGCATCATGCGGGCGGACTTACCCCGCGGTATCTTGACGCCCATTTTGAGACGAAGGGCTGGGAGGAAGAGGATGTGCCGGGTTGAGGCTGGGATGGCTGGGCCATGATATCGGTCATTTTCTGTACGGCTTATGGGTTTCGTTTGGTGTTGCAGGTGCTGATGAGGTTGGTGACACGGCTGAAGTTTGAGGCTGTTCCGAACTTGAGATTTGCTTGTGTTGGCTGACGCCGCGAATCACATGTTGCTTGGCGGACTAGGTACGGTGGTGGGGGTTGCGGAATGTCTTAAGGTAAATAAACGGACTATGTGCCGTGAGTACCAGGAGAATTACATGTAGATGGGAAACCACCTAGGAAAGTAGTATCTTGTAAGGAATTATGACGGGACGCGATCACTAGAAGGTCTTACTTCATCTTCGATCACTGCAATCGATGAAGCTGAGCTTCCCCTGCAGCGAATTGAGTCCACTGCCCTGGGAGCTACGCCTAGAGACTGTGGTGATATTGCAGTGAGCTCGCTCTAACCTAATACTCCGTCCGTATCAAGGCCAACAGCACTGGAAAACGCAACCTACTGCGTAAGAAGAGCATCACACGAGTAAAAGAATGGCCCGCGGGGTTTAATATGTACTTGTACAAACAATTGGAATGTGTTCTTTCTCGCTGACTTCATAAAATCAAACCTGGCCGGAATGTCTCCAAGCCAAGCACTGCCAAGCAAGATAAAGCCCAGGCGGGTCCACTACGTCACCGCCCGATAACCCCCGGTATTGTATGAACAAGCTGTGAACTCGTGAAGGGCGCCGAATTGACAACGAGGGCGGGTTATATGTATGATATCATAAGAAGCATTGGGAGGTTATCTTAGGAATTCACGTCCTTCCTGGGTGTTTTCCGGCCTTCGGCCGGTTGGGCTGGTATAGACGTACGGCATACAGTTCTCTACGTAATTACGTCGGGTATCCCTTTTTCCGGCCCGGACCCACATTTTGCAGAGAACACCTAGGAGAGATGTCTGAGTCGGCGATTTGACTTGAACTGTGACTTAGGGTCGCTTCCCTATACAAATTCGAACAGGGTACTATTTTCACCAGTAGATTTCTCAACTACCATAATATATATAGCTCTTATATTAGTACGGAGCGAGATAAATAGCATAGCTTTCTCCTTATGCTAGTTTTGCCATGATTATAGTGCTGCTTTGCTAAATAGTAAGGCCAAATGTGACGAAACCGTAGGCAGTCCTGCCTCTGAAAGGGTTCGCCGGTCGAAGGTAGTTTAGTTGGCCTATAAGTATTAATAAAGCTAAAGAGTTTACGACACTATAGTCTACAATATCTAAATAGTAAATGAGAGCTACTAATTATGATTACTTACTAAAGAAGCTAGGTATCTAAATAATTAACAGAATAGTAAAACTATATATAGCTTCCTCCCTAAGTACTCTATACCTAGATCCTTTAGAACGTTAATGCCGAACGTTGTTCCCTAGAAACGTTGATGCCGAGCGACGTTCCTAACCTCCAATCCTGATTGGTCCTCTCTGGTCTATAATGATTGGATGCGGGCGCTACCCGCTGGCCATGCAGGTCAGCCCCTACTGGCCTCTGCAGGTTAATTCATGACAAAAAGTGAATGCGACGATTGTGATCCTTGTTGGTCCTGGTTCGGTTCAAATCGGCGACTCAGACCAGTTCTGGGTGTTGGTTGCTGCGGTGATTTGATTGGCTGCATCTAGTATTTATGGGTCCTGGTAATGGTAAGCTAGTAATTACACCCAAGAATTGGTCTGAATTTGAGATAATCTGGAGGCTGCTCCCGATAATTCCTCGTGATTCTGCATGGAGAGGACAGCCGCGAAATCCGGAAGGGTACCGAATCCGTACCTCTCTGCGTCCGAAGGATGAATCAGTACTGCCGGTTACAAACCACGCACAATCGCGGCACTACACCCGTTAAGTCCGATTGATGCTCCAGCAACAGGAACCGGTTTCATCCAAGCGAAGGGACCTAGGCAGTAATGGTAGCTTATTCCCTCAGCTCGCATTTCTTCACTCGTATACTGGACGACATATTTCTGTCTCGTAGTAAGCCACACAAGTCTCTAATTCGAGCTTTGGATCGTCGAGGAATATTCAAGCTGTAAGTCCGCCTACGTGCCCAGGATGCGACCCCCCGGCATCCGGCTGTGCACTGCGCTCGCCCAGCGAATTGGGCGCTTTCTAGCCGCACGACGTCATCTTCGCTAATAACACAACACGCCGTAGTTGACGAGCACCGTTGATGCCCAAGATGCCGCTCTTCCCTAACTACGAGGCCCTCCAACAGACCTTCGGCAGCCCGTATGGGCACAGCCGGGCGCAAGGCAAGCCCAGTGCCAGCGGCAGTCCCACGCCGTACCAAGCTCGGCTGGAGCTGTACCCGGCCTACTCGGTCGTCGACGATGCGAAGAACAAGGCGCACAAGCTGAGCGAGGAAGCCGCCAGAGAGTTCGACAAGGCCAGCCAAAAAGCCCAGTCCAAGACCGGCAAGATCGAGCTGTACTCGGGGAAATTCTATGCCGTGTCCACGCTGGGCGGCATGATGGCCTGTGTAAGTTTGCTCCGCACAGCCAAGGGCAGCATCAACTAGCACCAGATGATAAAATACTAACCTGCGCGCAAGGGTCTGACCCACACCGCCGTCACCCCGCTGGATCTCGTCAAGACGCGCCGCCAGGTCGACTCGAAGCTGTACAAGAGCAACTTCCAGGCGTGGGGCCACATCTACCGCACCGAAGGGCTGCGCGGCATCTTCACGGGCTGGAGCCCGACCTTCTTCGGCTACTCGGCGCAGGGCGCGTTCAAGTACGGCTGGTACGAATACTTCAAGAAGACGTACTCGGACCTTGCCGGGCCCGAGGCGGCGCACAAGTACAAGACGGCGCTGTACCTGTCGGCGTCGGCGTCGGCCGAATTCCTGGCCGACATCGCGCTGTGCCCGCTGGAGGCCATCAAGGTGCGCATGCAGGCGACCATCCCCGCGCAGTACAAGGGCACCGTGGACGGCTTCAGCAAGATCGTCGGCGCCGAGGGTGTCGCGGGCCTGTACAAGGGCCTCTACCCGCTCTGGGGCCGCCAGATCCCCTACACCATGATGAAGTTCGCCTCGTTCGAGACCATCGTCGAGATGATCTACGACCGGCTGCCCGGCAGCAAGAACGACTACGGCAAGGCCGCGCAGACAGGCGTGTCGTTCGTCGCCGGCTACGCGGCCGGCATCCTCTGCGCCATCGTGTCGCACCCAGCCGACGTCATGGTCAGCAAGCTGAACGCGTACCGCAAGGCTGGCGAGGGCTTTGGTGCAGTCACCACCAGGATATACAAGGACATCGGCTTCATGGGCCTTTGGAACGGCCTGCCCGTGAGAATCGTCATGATCGGTACCCTGACCGGCTTGCAGTGGATGATTTATGTGAGTTTTTTTTTTCTTTCCTCTCTAGGGAGTCGTGTGGTGGGGGGAAGCGAAGGTGCTGACCGGTTTCGATAGGACTACTTCAAGATCTTCATGGGCTTGCCCACGACGGGCGGTCCGGCCCCGGCCCCGTCGAAGAAGGAGGCGGGGCAGTAAATGCGCAGTTGAGTCTCGAGTATACACTGTAAGGTAAAGGTGTCGTGGGGAGCGTTGCATTTCCTTGAGCTCGAAAATCGGCCGGGGATGCATTTGCCAAGCAAGCCTTGTCGAAGCCTATGTGATTTTTTAGAGTCGCCTATGTATGTCCACGTATTCCTTCCTTTCGCATCTTTTTTTTTTTTTTTTTTTGCATTAGTCGGATGGGGTGCAAGTTAACCTTCAGTTCATCACATGCGGTTGCCGCTTGACTTATTTCCCCTGCCAAGCCCATGAAATCCCCTTGCCCTTGGCCAAAGGAAGAGGCCATTACGTAGGTTGCTACTCGTATCATGCACTGCTCTGGAGCTATTGGGGGGGTTCAGCCTCGCGCGTTACGCGTATTGAGTTCAGCCCTAGGTATCCGTAGAGTTGGGCGGTGCCGAAGAATTGACCGCGCACAGCGAGGCTTGGACACAGTGCGGAATCTTATCTGTTTACACAGTTATATCGGTAAATTCCAACTCTCTCTCACTAAGACGTGGGAGTGTCTGGGGCTGTTTTACCCCTGGCACAGTGCCAATGATACTCCCGCCCCACGTTTCAACTGGCCTGAAGCTTAATCCTTCTGTCAGCATCGCCACGTTTGCTCCCCTGACCCACCAGACCACAGCGTCTGATGACGACTCCGACGGAGATTTGTATGAGGGCCCCGTTCCCGCTGCGGTGCCGCCAATGACACTTCGCGGTGTCTGTCTGTAGTGCCTGTATGGCGTGTACACAAAAAGGCAGCTGCAACCACTTGCTGTTACCGCATTCGTCATACTAGGTACCATTAGAGGGGTGTCTCCGCCCTGGAACCTTGAATGAGCCCGATCTCGACCACCCGAAGATTGTTGCCAGTTGACCGCTCACCGATTCTCTTGCTATTCTTCAGCAAACAACGGAGTCTTCTAACTGCTGCTCAAAGGTACCATCTTTCAATGAGTCTAGCCTACCTACCTAGTTTTGACTCTGACACTACTGGTGTCTGTCAAGGTCCCCGAGGGGGTACATAGCAACTTAATCGGTTGACGACGTGGTCCTACATCTTAATCCTCACCTGGTCGAACGTGCACCATGGAAAGTTGATCTGAGTCTTGGATGCCACCTTTTTGCCGCCCTAGCGCTGCCGACTTTTCCCTTTACCTAGCCTACGGAGCTTCTCAGGCACCTTTCACTCACTAAAGCCCCGCAGGCTCGTTTTTGGCATTTCGGTCGCAATGACTGAGGGTACGATACCGCGCAGGGTGACGGGGACTACGCGCCGCGGCAGGACGAACGCGGTCCCGATAGCCGAGGAGCTCGAGGAGACAAACCTCGACGTCCCGCCGCCCGCCTACGGCGAGCATCATGACCAGCTCCAGTTCTCTCAGGCGGGCTTCGCCGCGGATGCCGCTGTCACAGGTAAAACCACCGACACTCACAGACTTACTATCCCTTAGGATTACTCACTCATAAGCTGTGTAGCCGACGGTCGTGTGAACATCCACATCAACGAAAAGAATCACCGCCTATCAGAGCTGCTGGGCCCAGCCATCAGGAGGCAGCTCCGTGCGGAGGCGCAGGTCCCCTCCGAACCGCTCCCGCCGGCGTACATCCCGCCTAGCCTGGGCGGTCTGCCGGGCCAAACAACACCGCCACGGCTGAACGTTGTGATCCAGATCGTTGGCTCCAGGGGCGATGTCCAGCCGTTCGTGGCGCTGGGGCAAGTGCTCCGCGACACATACGGCCACCGCGTGCGTCTGGCGACGCATGCGAAGTTCCGGTCGTTTGTCGAGGAGAACGGGCTCGAGTTCTTCAACATCGGCGGGGACCCGGAGCAGCTGATGGCGTTCATGGTCAAGAACCCGGGCTTGATGCCGAAGATGGACACGCTCATGAAGGGCGACATCAAGAGGCGCCGCCAGGAGATCCAGGAGATCCTCATGGGATGCTGGCGGTCTTGCATCGAGGCCGGCGACGGAATGGGCGTGGCACCGCCCCAGCATGAGCGGAACGAGCCGGTCGATGAGCGGTTCATCCTGCCCGGGGATCCGGGGAATCGACCGTTTGTGGCGGACGCCATCATTGCGAACCCCCCGAGCTTTGCGCACATTCATATTGCGGAGAAGCTCGGGATTCCACTGCACATAATGTTTACGTGTGTACCCTTGATCTAGACTGTGGATTTGGGAGGGATTAGACTGACAAGCAACAGGATGCCCTGGACACCGACCAGAGCTTTCCCGCACCCCCTGGCCGATATCGTCTCCACGAATACCGACGCCGCCATCACGAACTATGCCTCGTACGCTCTTGTCGAAATGATGACTTGGCAGGGATTGGGGGATCTTATCAACCGCTTCCGCGTCAACACGCTGGAACTTGACCCTGTTGCCTTGATGTGGGCGCCCGGATTGCTCAACCGGCTGCGCGTTCCGGTCACGTATTGCTGGTCGCCAGCGCTGACGCCAAAGCCGGCGGACTGGATGCCGGAAATCACCGTGTCCGGCTTCTACTTTCTGAACCTCGAATCCAGCTACACGCCGGAGCCCGACCTAGCTGCATTTCTTGCCTTGGGACCACCGCCGGTGTATATTGGTTTCGGGTCCATCGTCGTCGACGACCCGGATGCGCTCACTCAGACTATTTTTGATGCCATTCTCCGGGCCGGCGTAAGAGCCATCGTGTCAAAGGGCTGGGGTGGGATAGGCGGTGAGGCAGTGGGTGTCCCCGAGGGCGTCTTCATGCTCGGGAACTGCCCGCACGACTGGCTATTCAACCACGTGTCTGCCGTCGTTCATCATGGCGGTGCCGGGACCACTGCCGCGGGCATCAAGGCCGGGAAGCCCACGGTTGTGGTGCCCTTCTTCGGCGACCAGCTATTCTGGGGTTCCATGGTTACGAGGGCTGGCGCCGGGCCGGCTCCCATTCCTTTCAAGAAGCTAACAGCAGAGGGCCTCGCTGCCGCGATCGAGACCGCATTGCTACCCGAGACGCAGGCCCGAGCACGTGAACTCGGCGAAAAAATAAAGGGGGAGAAGGGCGTTGACGTCGGGGGCAAGTCCTTCCATCAGTTTTTGAATACCGACGATATGAGGTGCTCGCTGGCGCCTAGCCGGGTGGCGGTCTGGCGAGTGAGGAGGAGCAAGGTTAGGCTGAGCACACTTGCTGCCGCGGTACTGGTGAAACAGGGCTGGTTGAAATACTCGGATCTCAAGCTGTGAGAATCCCCAATATAACCTTTGGCGAGGTGCGCCGCTGACCTGCGATAGATATCGATCGATCGAATACAACACTGACGAGCAGCCGTGGGATCCTGTGTCGGCTGTCGTCCTGGCTTTTGTGGGCGACGTCGGCTCCCTGACCATGGCGGTGGCAGATTTCCCTCGGGAAGTCTTCAAGGCTCACGGCAAGAAGGACAGCGTCGCCAAGGCCGGAGATGCAGCCCCGGTTACTCCAGGGCTGGCGCCTTCGACCAGTTCATCATCGCATCAGCCCGCAGGGTCTCAGTCCGACTTAGCTAGCATCTCCTCGCGCGCGTTGACACCTGGCCAAGGCTCGGTTGAGTCGTTGTCTATGCAGCCCTCCACATCCGCATCCACGCCGAACTCTACACTCTCGCCGCAGACAACAACAGCTTCTGTGGCAAACCCGCCTCCGCCGCCCCGAGCATCGCCCAGCCCAGAAGGCCCCTCAACGCCGACCAACCCTATGAACCTCGACATGGCTGTCGCAGCCGGCAAAGGCGTGGGCCGTATCGTGGGGGCGGGCCTCAGGTTCCAAGCCAACTTCTGCCTGGGTCTCGCTCGCGGCTTTCGCAACGCACCCAAACTGTACAACGACGACACGGTGCGTCCGCCGGAAAAGGTGACAGACCTCGTCAGCGGGATGAAAGTCGCGGGGAAAGAGTTCGGACTGGGCCTCTACGACGGGATCTCCGGGCTCGTCACGCAGCCCTGGCAAGGCGCACAGAAGGAAGGGGCCATGGGGTTTGTGAAGGGATTTGGCAAGGGGATCGGCGGCTCCATGCTCAAAACTGCCTCTGCCGTGTGCGCGCTGCCGGCGTACACCATGCAGGGAATCCGCGTGGAGATGAGGAACAGGTTCGCGCGCAGCTCCATGAACTACATCATTACGTCGCGGGTGCTGCAGGGCGACGAGGATCTGAGCGCCGCGTCGGCCGAGGAGCGGCAGGACATCCTGGCCCGCTGGCATACCAAGAGGGAGGAGCTCAAGGGTTTCTACCTGCTGAAGCAGAAGGAGAGTGAGAAAGTGAAGGAGGAAGCGACGGCGGCTAACGCTTCTCGGGCAGACGAGGGGCAAGGCGCGGGTGGTGGATCTGATACCAAAACTGGTAGCCGCTTGAACCTTCCAAGAGGGCCGTGGAACAGGCGGCGCACGGGGAGCAGCACGACACTAGTATCCAGCCCCGGGACGGGCCCTCCTGCGCTTCCTCCCACCACGGCCAACTCCGCGGCAGACAGCCCCTCGCTTGAGGACGACGAAGCGCTGGAGCTGGCTATTCGGGAGTCGGTGCGGCAGACATCCACGGGAGACAGGGAGGAGGATGCCCGGGTTGAGGCCGCGATCCGGGCAAGCCTGATCGAGATGCGCAGGGCTGCGGAGCAGGAGCAGCAGCAGCAGCCGCAACAACAATTTCCGGGACCGACTCCAGGCCAGCGGGGTTGGATCGCGGACCAGAAGGTGGCTCCTGTTGACGATGGCGCAGCAGTAGCAAGGGACATGGCGGATGACGAGTGGACGAACATCACCGACGAGGAGTACCAGGCGCTGATCGAGGAGGCGGTGAGGCAGAGTCTGCTGCAGCAACAGATGGAGCAGCGATATCATTATCATTATCATGGTCATGATCACTGGACGGCCGACGACGAGAGGCACCACAACCCCCACCCGTCCGTACCTGAACTTCCTGGGGATTTCCCCACCCCAGACGCCGCCATGACTACAACCACAACCACAACCACAACCAACGCAAGTACTACCCCCCACAATGACGACGACCACTACCACCACCACCGCAACAACAACAACGAGGTGGGCAACGAGGACGACGACGACGAGCAACTGCGCCGCGCGCTCGAGGAGTCGGCACGCGTGCACCGGAGCTACACGGAAGAGATGCAGCGCCAGCGCACCGAGGAGGAGATTGTGCTCGAGTATGTCAAGCGGCAGAGCCTGGCCGAGGAGGCGTTCCGGCGGGCGAAGGCGGCTGGGAAGGGGAAGGCTCCTCCTGTCGACGGTGATGATGATGATGATGAGGAGGAGGAGGATGAGGATGAGGATGAGGATTTGCGCAGGGCGTTGGACGAGAGTTTGCGGGTGGCTTCCGGTGGTGGTGGTGGGAATGCTGGGCCGTCGGGGAGTGGGATGCGGATGGGTGGGACGGTGGGGTAGATCGATACCGTGACATTTGTGACAGGTGCTGGGAAGGGATTTGCGTTGCTTTATTGTGTTTGGTTTGGTTTGGTTTGTTCTGTGGTCGCTGAAAGCTACCTTACTGGTAAGATGAGTTCCTGGTTACCTGGTACTTAAGCTGAAAAGCGACGGATACCCCCTGAGTACCTAAAGTATACAACGGACAGTTTCAACTCATTTCATTGTCATTGTCATCATCATCGTGCTCGCTCGATTACCTAAGTACATACCTAGGTACCCATAATCAAACCACACCTTCACTCCCAAACTCATTCATCCTTTAAGCCTGAAGCTCCGACGCAAGCACCTTGTCGCCCGGACCGTTCCCCCACTTCTTGATCACCTTGTACTTGGTAATGCGCCACGGGTTGACCCCTTGCTTCTCCAGCTCTGGGTCCCGCTGCAGCTCGGCTTCGAGAATGCCCCCGTTCTGGATCACATTGGAAGAAGGCTGGCCCTTGAGGATCATGTTCCCGCCCACGTGGGCCATGAGGGAGGCCTTTTCTGGTCGGGTCGCCATCGTTGTTGTTGTTGTTGTTGTTGTGCCTCCTGAGGAAGAGGCCGGGGCGGGTTGAGGGAGGTCGATTATGATGCCCCTGTTCAATTCCATTAGTTTCAATATGTTCTGTTGTTAACTGTAAGTGAGTTGAAGGGGGGTTGACGTACGAGATAAGGTGCTGGCTGGACTCGAAGGTCTGCAGGATGCCCTGGGCCTGCTCGAGCCACTCGGTCCGTGAGAGTGTGGTGGGCTCGCCGCCCAGGATGGAGGTGTAGTCGATCAGGATGGAGGCGGCGTAGACTTCGTTGGCGAGGCCTGAGATGTTGCGGGTGTCGTAGTACAGGGACTAATTTTTTTTTCTCATAGGTCAGATAAAGTTAATAAATAAGCATGCTCTGGATTGTTGGGTTGCGCAAGTGTTTGGAGGTGAGGGGAGAAGATATCAAAGAGAAGTGTTACTCACGTTCTTGGTAACGGTGTCTTGAATGTTGGCTCTGTCGAGGAGATACTGGGCGATGTCGTAGGAAGCCATTGTGTTGTTGGTATTTAAAGAGTCTAAGGGACAGGTTGGTTGGGTGTATGCGGTTGTAGAGTTGGTAAGAGAGCTCTGAGGGTGAGAGGATAGGCTGCTGCTTGGCTTGGATTGTTTTGAGAGATGGTGCTGACCGGCAGAATCCAACCATGTTATATACCCCCAACCTCGTCGTCTATGCGGCTCAACCATCCTTCCGCATCGTGTAATCTCCGGTGATGAGTTCGACCTACCGTCGCTCCGGCCCTGTGTACACACTATACATCCGGGCTGTTAAATCCGTGACCTTCCGACTAGAACCAGCTCGAGAACCGGCGCTGGGTCCACCCACAGGGCCCCGCCGGTATCCGCCCGCTCGGACTTAAGGCCACCCCCACGTGCTCGATTTGGAAGTCTCGCAGCCAAATGCTGCTCGCTAATTGGTCGGTTTCAACGACCCCATGAGCTCATCGCCGTTATCTCCATCACGATGTCAACAAACTCACTCTGTCTCGTACGATAAAAGGGAACCCGTCCTCTGTTGGAAAGAGGCTCATAAAGTCATAGCATCTCATCAGATAAACAGAATTGTTCTTCACTGGAGACACCAAATCAACTCTCCCACAAGAACCTACACAGTTTCAGTCTTTCAGACACCTCACATCATCAATCATCAATCATCAATCATCACCACCATGTCCGCGCCCACCTCCAGACCAGCCATCCTCGTGCTCGGCGGCACAGGCAAAGTAGGCAGTCGCATCGTCCGCCAACTCTCGTCTTACGACACAAACCACCTCGTTCTTGTCGCCTCCCGCAAGGCACCCTCCTCTTCTTCTCAACCGGCCGAAAATGGAAATGACATTGACAAGGTGCGGCCAGTCCACTTCGACTGGGACAACACCGACACCTGGTCCAACCCCTTCGACACACTCCCCGCCGGCACCGCCACGATCAACGCAGTCTACATCATCGCCCCGCCCTCCCTCAACGCGGAGGCGCTCATGAACGGCTTCGTCGACTTTGCGCGCGACCGCGGCGTGCGCCGGTTTGTGCTGCAGAGCGCCTCGTGCGTCGAGGCCGGCGGCCTGCTGATGGGCAAGGTGCATGCCTACTTGAGGGAGCTGGGCCAGAGGGACGAGGTGGAGTGGGCTGTGTTGAGGCCGACTTGGTTCCAGCGTGCGTTTTTCTTCCCTTTCCTTCTTTTCTTTTGTTTTTGAGCCCTAAAATGTGTTGTGTGAGAAAGGTGACGCTAATATTATCCCTGTTGCAGAGAACTTCGCCGACCAGGAAAATCACGTCAAATCCATCAGGGAGGAGAGCAAGATCTACTCTGCGACCGGCGACGGGAAGATCCCGTGGGTGAGCGCGGACGACATCGCCGCCGTTGCCGTGCGGGCGTTGACGGCGCGGGATCCGCCAAACACCGAGTATCTGGTCCTCGGGTCGGAGCTGCTTTCCTACGGCGACGTAAGTTTCGACCTACTCCCCCTGCCAATCTACTACCTGCCAGGTACTCTTTGAAGAAGGGTAAACGTCGGTGTGTGCTGACTCGATAAAATCGCCAGATTGCAACCATCCTCAGTGAAGTCCTGGGGCGGAGGATTGTGCACGTCGATCTCACGGCTGCCGGGCTCGAGGAGCGGTTTCAAAGCTTTGGTATGCCCGAAGATTACTCGCGCATGATGAGCGCCCTGGACATCTCCATCAAGAACGGCGCCGAGAACCGGACAAACGATGTGATCCTGGCCGTTACGGGGTCGGCGCCGAGGAAATTCAAGGATTTTGCCGAGTCCGCTAAGGAGGTTTGGGGGACTGGCAGCAGGGCATGAAGGGGTTAGATAGTTATAACGGGTTGACTTGGAGTGTGAAAATCAGCGTGGTGCAAGTGACAAATGATGTCGTGGTATGAGAGATGGCAGCATTTTGCTGCTTGAACTACTGAGGTCGATTGCGAATGCTGTTCTTGATCCAATGCAAGCTGGTGTAACCTGGAAGGTAATGCTCGAGTCGCAGTGTCTGTGCAGGACTCGGATGCGTATGGAAGGTGTGTACTAGCTGCACTACCTACTTGTACTGTACATAGGCTAGGACTGGACGGCTAGCCGGGCTAGGTATCCCTTGGGCGGGTCGGACGTCGGAGTAAGTGGGGCCGATAGTCCGTCTGGGCCCGGCTCCGGATACAGAGTAATTCCAACTTGAAGCATTATCACATGAAAAGCAACACTCCGATATGCTAGGCTTGGTCGAGTGGCTTGTGCTTTTCTTCTTTTTACTTTTCCCTTTTCTTTCTGTCACCTAGTACTTTCTTTTCTGGCCGTCGGTGTTTCCGCCAGCTTACCCCTGCCAGGGGCAACCGCTCCGCCGGCGGCGTATGACATCATCGGTACCTGATTCTATGACAAGCCGGAAAAGAGGACACAAGACTGGATGAACGCCTTCGAAAGTTCCAGTTTACTAGGACCTAGTAGTACGCTTCCGTAGCAATGCCAATAACCTTTTGCTCCTATTACTAGTGATGTTGTGCAAGGGCAGGCACGCGCTTCGAATTCCCGCCCCTCGCCTGCATTTGTCTGTTACAAGATTCCGGTTACACACGACTTACATGCCTACCAACGAAGCTGACACCCTCAAAAACAGCCTAATACCTTTTTTGAAGTCGTCAACAGCACCAACTCCATGACCACGACTCACCGAGCTCCATTGACTCCCACCAGGTAGCCGTCAACTTTGCAGCAAAGCGCCTACCAAAAACACCAAAGGAGAAGGAAAAAATGGTAGAACCCACAGTCGCCGCCCGGCGCCCGCCAAAATCCATCTACGAACGCATCTTCCACACCCTACCGCCCTACACGGGACCATACGCAGTAGGCTTCCTCGAGATCGAGCTACCGGCCCGCGAACCACGGCCCTTCTCACCGCACATCAAGCGCAACGGCGAGTACGCGCTCAAGCTCGACACCGTCCTCTTCTCGATCTACTACCCGGCCGACGTCCTCGACGACAACAACAATAACAACAATAATAATACCAATGACACCAGCAACGGTAGCGGAGAGACCAAAAACGCAAACCCCCGAACGGGCGGGCCACAGCCACCGCTGCACCGCGTCCCCTGGCTGCCCCGGCCGCGGACGTCGACGTGCAAGGGCTACGCCAAGTTCTTCAACGTGCCCCACCTGCCCGTGACGGCGTACATGGCGCTGACAAGCATGTTCACCGCGCTGCCGGCGTACCGGAACGCGCGGCTGTCTCGGCGGTGGCCTGCCGAGTGCTGTTGTGAGGAACAGCAGCATGCTAGTCGTAGAGGTTACACTAGTAGCGTAGACACGCTCGTCGATGGGCAGTGGAAGCAGCAGCAGCAGCAGCAGCAGGAGGAGGAGGAGGAGGAAGAAGAAGAAGGGGAACCAAAGCCAAACGAGAGGGATGTGAGTGAGGAGGACAAGCCGCAGTTCCCCGTGGTCATCTTTAGCCATGGCCTAGGCGGGTCACGGACGATGTACAGTTCGATCTGCGGGGAGTTGGCCAGCTTTGGGTTGGTTGTGGTGGCGATGGAGCACCGCGACGGCAGCGGCGCGAGGACATTCGTCAACAAGAGCGGGACGCACGGGGACTTGGAGAGCCAGGGCTTGGATCACACCGACGACGCGCCCGAGAACGAGAAGAACGCGCCCAAGCGGCGGAGACGGGGGGAGACAAAGCCATACTACAAGATCGACTACCTTGTTCCCAAGGACAACGCCCAAGATACACGTCCTCAAAACCCGAACGGGGTGGACAAGGAGCTTCGTGGGGCGCAGATCGAGATGAGGCTGGCGGAGATGGAGGAAGCATTCCACGTACTAGGCCTCATAAACAGTGGAAACGGGGAGGAGGTGTACAGGAAGAATCTTCGGAAACGAAACAACATTGGCTCCAGCTCGGTCGGGTTAGATGGCATCGACTGGCAAGACTGGGTAGGACGGCTCGACGTGGAGAACGTCACTTTGATGGGCCATTCTTTTGGCGGAGCCACGACAGTCCAGGCATTGAGATCGGAGAAACTCAAATGGATTACGCAGGGAATTCTGCTCGATCCATGTAAGTAACGCGATTTGCATGGTCAACCACCCTCTTGGGCCGGGCAGCCAGACACCCTAGAACAAGAACCATGCGGCTGACACTGTTGGCAGGGGGCCCCGCAACTCCGGAATGTACCGAGCAGCAATCGGTTCACAAGCCGGTGTTGTCCATTGGAAGCGAGGCGTTCATGCACTGGCAGAAGAACTTCGACTGCGTCAGGCAGGTATGCCGCGAGGCCCGGGACGCAGGGACGCTGGCGTGGATGACGACGATCAGAGGGTCGACTCACCTGTCGCAGACCGACTTTGCGGTCCTTTATCCAAATTGGATGTCCTTCTTCATGAAGACGATCGTGGACCCCGAGCGAGCCATATACCTCACGGTCCACACGGCACTTGAGTTCCTGAAAATCACGCTCCCGGCGAGCCGAGCCAGGTTTGCCAAGGCATGGGGCGACGAACGGCTGCTCCTCGACAGCCCCGACAGCGAAACCAAAGTTGTGTCGGACTACCGGCCGGACGACAAATGGCTTGCCGCCCGGCTAAAGATCCCCAACGAATTTTCGGTGCGCCTTCGAAGCATGCTGAGGTGGAGAGGCCCGTTGGGTAGGGTACTGGAAGACCTGGTGTACCAGGACACAGAAAGCGAGGTATGGTGTCATGAATCGCCTGGCCGGGATTCTGTAGAACGATATATGAGGCGGCTCGGGCGGTTGTCTGCGTCGAGTAGTCCGCAGGGTGCCATCAATCCGACGGGTTCCTGACTTTGTCTGGCCATGCCAACCTGCCTAATACCAACTTGGACGACCGTGAGGAGTAAGCGCGGCGTAGGCTGCTCTTGCGACATCGGACTGTGGGTGGGTGCTTCATTGTACCCTCGATATTCTGTACTGTACCCTACTGTAGAATTTAGCAAGCGGTTCTTGTATTGCTGTACGTATGCGACAATATGAGGTGACCAGCGTAGTTTGGTTCTCGAACCTCATTGTGGAAGTATGTAGGCCCGGCAAGTGATCAGCAAACAGGCAGAAGAAGAAACTGCTCGCTCCGTGTACGCTTGCCGATTGCCGGCTGAGCTATCCATATTAAGTGGCCAGGATCTGTTAAGAATAGAATCGCAGGTATTCCCCATGGGGTCGACGCATGTTGGAGCCAATCGCAACCAGAGCCCGCCCGTCATGTTTGAGCGGCGGACGGCGAACGGGGAGAAGTCAAGCGAGCGGAGAGATGCGGGTGGGAGGAGACTGCAGATTCCGCAAGCCGGACGCGTATGCTCAATTTATGAGTATTTTCCCTTGGGCCTCCATCCGCGGGTCCGGGAGCTAGCGGTAAGCGGGGGGTTGCTACGGCGATGATGAGAAAATTGCCGGGATACTTGGCCGTCCTTCGTCAACCAGGTCTCTCAGACAGCTCTTGACAAACCGAATCACCGCCGGGACAGTTTTGGGTGGCATCACACACTGCCATCAATGGGCCAGAACCTGATCCTGGTTTAGGAGCCGCAATCAAGCACCTGCCCAGATTTGCCGAGCGATTGCCCGGGCTCGGTCCGAAGAGACAAGAGCACGCAAGCATCGCGTGGCGCGCCATTGCAGGTTTCCGGGAAAAAACGTGAGGTTGTAGGACTTAGGGAACGTCTTTTATCCACGGCTGGACAGTATGCCACTGACGATGCGGGAGATCAACACAGCGAACCGAGGTCGTAATATTGACCAGAGCTGAGGCTACGCGAAGGGTGACGGCGACCCGCGGTATCGATCGATGGCAGACTGCGTAGGTGGCATGGCACAGAGTCGGGTGTCCGTTTCTTCCCTCCATTCATCTTCGCGGGTGAGGTGCCACGGGGCAATGAAGGCCAATAATACGTGCCTGGATGGGAGGGGAAATGTCCGAACGGAAGCAAGAGGAGGCCCTGGAGTGCCCCCGTTGCTGCGGGTGTCCTGGTGGAGACGCTGTTACTCCGGACCTCGTCGTCGTCTGGGCTGGGACGAGACGCGAGGCGAGCTGGTGGAAAGCATCCCCACAATGACAATATCTCGCGATCCCAATATTAACCACCTAGGTACAGCAGCTTTTTCTGGTACGTCGTACAAGTTGCTCCTTGCGCTCGAATGAGAACCGAGGTAAAACCAGCGGCGCGGGGTGATATCCTCCGGTAACAGTGCCAGGCTGGAAGGGACGGATGATGCTGCATCGCTGCCATTGCATGCTCTGGGTTCACACTGGCGGTTCCAGTTGAAATTGGGTCACGTCATCTACGTGAATGGAATGCCAGCGGAAGAAACAGGGAAGCTTCTGGTCGGAGAAGGTGTCGGTTCGTTTGGAAGCTTGCAGGAGAGAAGGAAACATCAAGACAATGTCTCGATCGATGGAGGCGTTAAAAATAGTAGGTACCTACTACCTAACCTGGTAAGTACTGTCTGGTCAACCGTGGTCAAGTTCAGAGGTGTTGTGCAGGGCTCCACTTAAATCAGGCACCTCACCACAACACCTCCAGTTGCACTTTCCTCAGGGGAGTGTTCATCAGCGCACCGTGACCTGATGATGGCTTCATCTCCCAAGGCTGTCCAACACGGGTTTTTTTTTCGCGCATTTCCATTATGGGTCCACCCGAGGACTGAGTTCCATGGTTCTCCCGCAATCCCGTTTCTGCGCCACTGCGGCTTCCAGGTTCTGCGTGGCTGATCTGAGCTTGTGTCACCACTACCAGCCCGATCTTTACCTCCAGAGCAACAGCTTGAGTTTGTGTCACCTAAGTCGAACAAAATAACAGTGCGAACACGGGTCACCTAGCACGCATCTGCAAGAGGCCGTGTCCCGAACAGCTTCCGGTCCCTGGAGCTAGGGCAGTGAATGGCCACTGGCTCGGACGACCTCGTGTTGTCCCGCAGTCGCCATTCTTGACCAGCATCAACCCCCATTCAGATTCTTAAGCAGAAGCAAGTTGTATCTGCTGTGCGCCCGTGCTTGTCTCGTTTTCTTGATCTTCTATTTTCTTTCTGCGTATCTGCAAGTAGGGGGCCCAGCGAGGCACGGGTCTCGCCGACGACGATGATGTGCTTTTGCGTTGCAACTTCTGAGCGAGCCGGGCTGCACAAGCAACGGACACCTTATTGTCTGCTTCATCAATGGACAAGGGAGATCCCGCAATTGCTACCCCGGACGGAATTTTTTAATCTGCCTGCGTTTGTAGTAACGGCCTTTCAGGTCTGCGACTCTGCAAGTGAGAGCTCGTCACCGGATGAAGACTGGATGGAGACAAGGCATTTTACCCGCGGCCCAAGGCACCGTGCATTCACCCATCAAGCTGCGGCTACGTGCACCCGAATTCCAGACAATTGCTTCGTCAGGCCAGGAATATCATAGTTTTCTCCGGGATCCGGTGTGGTCAAAAAGGACTATACATTGTACAGTCGACCTGCCTTGCTTCCGACCCCGTCCTCCTCTATCCAGCAGCGAAAACGGAGCATCTACAACCTTAACGCTGGCGAAGGTGATTCCTCGCTTTCGTAGCCCCTTGTCGTCACTGACCTTGACCCACGGCGTACATACTTAGATTCGTATCTTTTGCTCAGGTTGCACTGCCGCATGCCCCTTCGCGAGTCTTCCTCTGTGGAGGCCGCTCTTTTATTTCTACGCTCCTTCCCGTCGCAAGCTCCTTAAATCCCCTTCGCAATGGACATGCTGTTCTCGCCGTACGGCGTCGGGAACGTGCCCAAGTCGGTCATGGCTGAAGTCGAGAGGAGAACAGGGGAGTTGCTCAAATCCAGCAGCTTCCAGCGAATGCTAGAGCTGGAAAAGAAGCACAAGGTATGTGTGTCTCTGTGCGCTCACCGCTTGCCGCTTGCCTGTGGCCTGGTCTGTGTCCTGATTGCTACATGTCTTACATCCCGGTACCTTTCTGACATGGCGTTCGTATCCTAACAGGTTGAGCGATTGCAAGGCGCTCAAGCTCTCCTCCCGTCCCCTCAATTTCCGACCCAACCTAGAGAAGGTCATCCTCCTCCTCGACCAGAGCGCCCCGACTCGCTATTTCCACATGAGCAATTCTTGATGGTCAGGGCCGCGCCACGTCCCGTTATCCAACCTTCGCTATCGATCACCATCCCTCAGGCCGCCGACCCTGAGAGCCGCGCTCGGCCAGACGAGGCCGAGGCCGAACAGGAGGAGGAAGAGGGTACTGACATTGGAACCCCAAAAACGCCCACAAATGACGAGCCGTTTCAGAAGCAGGTGAAGTTCCTCGCGCCAGAAGACAGCGAAGAAGACGAAGACGGCATGTCGGAACAATCATCCATCTGCCAATCCCCCAGCTGGGAGGGCTACGGACAGAGAAAGAAGGAAAAGAAGCAGCAGGCTGAGCGCCGGAAGAGAGAAAAGGAGCAGGCCGAGAAAGAAGCGAAGGCGGCAAGGAAACGGAACACTACAAGGCTAAGCAAGCCCCCACCGCCGCTGGCAGCAACACCTAGCCGCGATTACATAGCTGTCGGCTTGACAAATGCAGATCGTTCGATGTCAGACCCATTGCTCATCAGCCAGCCCCTGCTACAGAGCACCACATCCATTCAACGACCGGAAGACATTGGGAGGACACTTTCTGCCGACGACGTACAACAAAGCCGTCGACCCCGACTCGCCGTGACTGGCATACTTTCCAGCCCCGGCTCCAATGCCAGGCACGCTGGAGGCGGCGCCGTGCAGGGCACTGCAGTTCGCATGAATGACAGTGGCTTTGTTCAACGGCAAGACCTGTACAGGTCTACGTCAGAGGGTCAAGCGCCGGTTAATCAGCAGCTGTCTGCCGCAACATCTTACAAACACGATTGTCGCTCCTCACGAGATGCATTTCCGCCGTCGGCTTCGAGGACTCCCATGCTGCGGCACATGTCCCCTTCTGGAGGTAGCCGGACCAAGAATCTCCTCGAAGGGGCAGCAGATGCCAATCAGATACAGGATTCGCTGTCTACCATTCCCACCGCGGACGGAACCCGCCAAGGTGGGTATGTGGTACACCAAAGGGCACAAGCCGCAGAAATGGCCATGGCTGGGCTTGCCGAGGAGCAATTGGTCAGAAGCGTGGCTCAAGATTACCCACCATCCGCGTCAAGCTCCAGACCAGCCCAGCACACGAGACGGTCTTCCCTGACACAGGAAGCCAAGTCCGCAGCGATGAGGCTAGTGGGAAGAAGAAGCTCTTCAGCAGCGCGAGACGACGGTCCTAGTCAGACCGATTATCTAACCTTCAAGGCAATACCATACTCTGCTTCGGCCACCGACACATCGTCCTCTATCGACAGTATGCCTGCAACTCCAAGAAGTGTGAACGGATCCTTCATTGCTCATGTTGAACGGCCGTCGACCTCGGGATCATCCGCCCTGCGGAGCACGAAAGGACGCCAAGAGAGCTTGAATCCCGCCGAACGGCCTCCTATGTCTCAAAGCTCTCTTAACTCAAGTGGTCCGTCAGTTACTGGCTCTGACTCGAGCAGCCAGGGCAAGAAGAACCGGAGCCTGAAGGACGCAGCTAAGGCCGCTCTAAGCATCTCCAAAAGCTCTCAGAGAGTTGACAACGCCAGGCCATCCATCTCCTTACCCCCATACCTGGCTCTCCGATCTCGCATAAATCATGGGACGTCAACTTCCATAGACAAAAGCAAGCTTTCTGCAGCTGGAGATGCTTCAGTATGGTACACTGCGTTGTACTCGCGAAGACAAACCGCTAACAGATCCCAGAAGCCCGCGACGGCAGCCCTTGCTTCTGAGCAGGACAAGCCAGCCGAGATAGTACCTCCAGGAGGCTACCGAGGGTCTGAAGGCTCCTCATCTTCTTCCACATACGAGGACGGCTCACCGCTTGCATCACCAACCATGACACCAGACACATCGCGTCCTCAGTCAGCCAAAGACGTCCCTTTGATCGCGAGAGGCGTCCATAGAGAGAACGCCGACGCTTTCGGGCTTCAGGATGACGAACGCACGCTTCGACAGTCTCTGGATTCCAGCAAATCGAGTACCCCTCGCAACGTCGATCCGGAAGTGCGCGCAAACGTTGAGATTGGTAATGATGACCGATGGAGCAGGACGGCGCTGCCAATTGAGATCGACTGTGACGCACAATCCTTCATCACCACGGTCTCGTACCTTGACAACGTCGATGATACAGAGCAGGTGTTGGCATCAGCTGAAGCGAAGAAGGAGCAGCTAGAGCCTCTCAAGCAGGCACCTAGAGCTATGAGACATGCCGAGGATGTTGAGGGCTCAGGGTCGCTTCCACCCCGGTCTCGAAAACGGGAACAAATGACGCCAGGGTGCACAACTGAACCACTAGCTGCACCTCCTCGTTCACCAAGACAACATGGGGAAAAGGGAGTACTGAAGAGCATGGAGGGAGGATCAGAAGAGCAGGAAGAAACGCGGAAGATTGGAGCGTCGGAAGATCAAGGGCGGTCATTGGAGCGGGTGGCAGAGAAGAAAGAGGCGACACCGAAGAGATATAGGTGGCACGAACAGAAGCTGGCAGGGTCACAAGAACTTGACAAGGTGTCCACAGAAGCTGGAAGGGAGATCGACGAGGATGAGAAGCAGCGTGCTCCAGCTGGTCGACCGCAGCGCGGCTGGATGTCTGGCTCGTTATCGTCGGCCGGTTCAACCGGCCCATCATCACCACACGCCTTCACTCCGGAATTCCAACTTCCAAGCAACCCCTATTTTGCCGACTTTCCGGAACCCCTCAAGCACCATGGGTTTCTGGGCGAGATTCCGACTTCACCGGGGCCGCCGTCCCCCGTCTCCCTGCCGAGTCCTCTTCGCACCGTCCCGTCAAAATCAGGGGCACAGTCCCGAACTAATTCCGCACCAACACCGTTGCCTACTTCAACAAATCCCTCCTCGAGGAGCTCGACACCATCATCTCGGTCTCCCGGAGTAATGCCAGTATCGATCCTCAAGCAGCCGAAGGCTTTGTCGCCCGATCAGCCAACAGAGGTCCCGACAAGCCCCCGGTCTCACGTTCTCTCCGCTATTCCTAAGCACATGCAGCTGCAGGCGGGCGTCTCGGCGCGCACTCCGACAGCTGTTCCAGAGACCCGCATGGCGCCCATCGCCAAGATGTTTGTCGAGTGCTGCAACTGCAAGTTCTTCCACGACATGCCCGCCAAGCTCTACGAATGCATGGCCAAGCCGGACGCTATCGTCGAAGACAAGCAGCGAGGCATCTCAGGGGCCATTACGACCATGGTCAAGTGCCCGTGGTGCCAGCATAACATGAGCAGGGAGTGTTGTGCCGGGTATGCAGCGGTTGTGGTTCTGAAGGAGAAGCTGCATTAAAAGGGGATGATTACGTGCAGGACGAGCGGGCAAGAGCTTTCATAGTTCCTTTCGTTTGGTGTCTCGTTCAGCGCTCACAGGGAGGTGCTATTATTCACTGGGTATCCCTGCCGGCTTTTCATATGGTCCATTTTCCTTGAGCATCTACTTTTCACCATCTGATACTTTCTCTTTAACCCCTTATCTGAGATACAGTCGTTTCGGGCCTCTGTTGCCAGAGCATACTCAAGACATTCTTCACGGCACGGCATGTGGTCGTTTCCTTTGTCTTCTGTTGCAGCATGGCGATGAGGGATACACGAGGAAGAAAAGGCGGCCTTTGTTTCTTATTTTGACAGAGTGTATGATACAGTACAAACATCTGCCGGTGCGAGAATTAAGTTCCTTTTAGATGTGAGAACCTACCTACCTTATTAGGTCTCTTTGAAATCCTAGTAGCATGTAGGTGATACTTGATACTTCGTACCAGGTTACAAATCCCGTGCTCGGGATCACTATCGCTCTCGGAATTCGGCTTGCGTTTAATCAATGCCCACTACCGATTCCCTTGGCTGCAGGTTGTTTCTGGGCACAAGTGTTAATGAGCTTACGTCACCCACTTTGCTAAGACGGATAAATTATGAGTTGGAAGACCGTATTGTGTAGGTAATTAATAATAAAATGCTTGTATGTATCTGGAACACCGAAGGTTGAGGTTGGGAAACGGCCCACATTCTGGGCCCGGCAGTTGGGTAGAATGCGTCATTTCGCAGATCTCAAAGTTACATTAGGACCCTATCACGTGGCGATAAGATTGATAACCAAGTCTCACCTGGGGTTGGGTCAGCATGGGACTTCAGCCGCCGATAAGCGATTGTTCCCCACCCTTTTTATCGATTCTGGGGACACGGCGGGGGGTGCTCCAGAACGTTCTTTTTCGATGACGCCGTCTCTCCGAACCGGCGACCTTTCGGACCTAGGTAATTACAACTTTTTCTCCACGGTTATACCAGCGCGTTGGCTCCAAGTACCGGCCGCCGCGGCTCTCATCCTGAGCTGCGTTCTTTTCTCTTCCTCACCTACTCCCGAAGAGACGGACCGGGCGACAATTGGTGGCGGCGACGGACTCTTCCGGTTCCGGCTCCCCCACGCGCGTGTGGAGACTGGGTTGCGCTTGAGGAAAGCGCCCTCGCGACGCCGGCATTGCATGCGATCGCACTGTCAAGGTACAAGAGGAGGGTCCGAGAATACCGAATTCGGAGATGGCTTCGTTTGGAGCGAACGGGCACACAGTGGGTGCTGGTCAGAACCATGACAGGTTGACCGAATCGCCGAGCGAGCCGGTCGAGATCACCGCCGTGCAGAAGATGCTGTCGGCGACGTCGGGAAGCTTGTTGACCGGTCTATTAGGTATGTGTCGGAGTTGCGCCAACCATTCCCGAGCTGAGAGTGCAGTGCTAACCACCTCTTCATTCTTCAGCAACACCTCTCGACGTGGTGCGCGTCCGCTGGCAATCTCAAGGAATCTCGCAACCATCCCCAACTCTCGACTTCACCAAGCTCGCCATGCCCGCCGCCACCACGCCGGGCGGGATGGCCTTCCGCCCCTCCGACCTCGGCGTGACGGCCTGCTGCCGCGAAGTCTTCTTCACCAACAACACCTCCGAGATCTGCGTTGTCGGCCCCCGGCCGCAGTTAACCGGCGGCGCCCCAATAAGCTGCGCCGTCGAGCAGACGCAACAACGCACCTTTACCTCCACCTTCGACGGCCTGCGCAAGATCGCGCGCAACGAAGGCGTGACCACGCTCTGGCGCGGCCTCTCGCCGACGCTGGTCATGGCCATCCCCGCCAACATCATCTACTTCACCGGTTACGAGTGGCTGCGCTCCAACAAGGCCAGCCCCATCTACCGAGGCGTGCGCGACGAGTACGCGCCCCTCGTGGCTGGGTCCGTCGCACGCATCCTGGCCGCCACCGCCGTCGGCCCCATCGAGCTGTTCCGCACCCGGCTGCAGGCCGCGCAGGGCGCGTCGAGCTCGAGCCACCTAGCCGACACCTTCCGCGGAGTCAAGGAGATGGTCTCGGTGCACGGGTACCGTGCACTGTGGCGGGGGCTGACGCTGACGCTGTGGCGCGACGTGCCCTTCTCGGGCATGTACTGGTGGGGATACGAGACCATCCGGGGACGGCTCACCGACGCGCGGGAACGGGCTCGGGGCGGCAGGCGCGATCTGGATTTGGAGAAGGACATGGAGCGGGACGACAGGAGGGCGGCGCGGGCCAGGCGGCGGTCGCAGAGCCGGAGCCGGGAGAACCATGCAGACACGTTCACCGATAGCTTCATTGCCGGCGCTCTGTCGGGCGGGTTTGCGAGCGTGGCGACGATGCCGTTCGACGTTGGCAAGACGAGGACGCAGGTCTTCCGCGATGGAAACTCCGCCTCCTCCTCCCCTTCTTCTTCAGCAGCAGCGGCGAATGCTGCGCCCGAAGAAAGGAGCATGGCGCGATTGCTATGGCATATCTTCCGGACCGAAGGCATCCCGGGCTTGTTCAGGGGCTGGATCCCGCGCACGCTCCGGGTCGCGCCGGCGTGCGCCATCATGATCAGCAGCTACGAGGTGGGCAAGCGCGTGTTCAGGGGCGTCAATGAGCGAGCGCTCGCTGAGAAGAAGGCAAAGGCGGCGGCGGCCATGGCACGGGTGCATGATGAGCATGACGGGCCTGAGCCTGAGCCGTGATTTCAGGCCACGGCGAAGGTCGTCTTTTTGCAGCTTTCTCACCCGCGTCCGACCCATTGGAACTCTTTAGCCACCGCCGAGTACGTGCTTGGGCTGCGAAGAGTTCATCCAAGCGAGGGTACTCAACAGACCTTTGTCAAGGCAGTGCACAACTTCCCGGGATCCTCCACATCTTCTGCCTCTATAGAAATCCGGCAAGAAGGAGCATCTGCTGTACGTCCAGGAACGCCTCGCCACGGACCACAAGTTGGGGAAGGCCTGGCCTACATGTGAAGTCACGGAATCACCCACCTACGCAACAACTTATTGGCGCCGAATAAAGATCCTGCAGCAGTAGACGAGCAAGGTACTTCCAGCTGATGGGCGTCGGTGCCTGTGCAAGGAGAAGAAGCAGGTGTTACTGGGCGGAAAGTGTATTGTACAAAGAACATGAAGGGCGTTAGCTCGACTTTTCGCCCCTTCCTTCTTTTCTCTCTCCCCCCCTGTACTACCACGATAGCGTTCCGGACTTCTCCCTGTACCGAAGCCTTCCTATTTTGTGTTTTCCTTTTCTATCTTCCCGGCGTTCAGGTAGCATGTTTGGGGTTTGTCATTTCTTCCTATTTAAAAAGCGGAGCGGCTCAGTTTTTTTTCTCTGTAAAACAAGACGGTCAAACAAAGCCGGCTCGCAACGAGCCGCAAGCATTTGGGCAGGAGGGAACGAAATAGTGCATGATGAGCGGAAACTCTCGACTCTTTAAGACGGCGGCGGGAAACCTGCAAAAGGAAGCAAAGCAAGCAAGCAACTTCAGGATGCATTTAGATGGGGGGGCTCGTGTTTAGATGTTGGCGGCTGTACGGTACACCTTGGGCACTGTAGGACATATCTCATCGGATGGTTGTCGGTGGGTTGTATGAAATATAATGAAGGATACATACACGTTAGATCGATCCATTTGGATCTACACAATGCTCGTTGCATCTTGCTTGATGCGAGCCCTCTTCGGTCTCCCGCTTGCACCGATGAACGTGTAAAGCAGTGAGACCCTGTGAAAGAAGAGACGGGATACTCGGCCTTAACTACATACTGGTATTCGGGTTGATTAGGAGCATTATACCTCGTGATACGGTCGTTAAGTGAAATGTCAACAGACTCTAATATTCTCCAGCTGATATGACTCTTCTATCGGGAGCAATCCGACATACAGACGATGCTCATAGACAGGTCACATTACCGCAGACCAACCACTTTTTGCCAAAGCAAAGGAGAGAGATATCTCATTGTACTGCTCAGCTAAGTTCGCAAACTTTCCTAGTGGTATAGTGGTATCATCGGGGGAGAAGGCGAAATACGGAAAAAGAAAAAAATGACAAGATGGGAAGCAGGTCTTAAAATTGCAAATCCAGCCCATCTGTTGGGAGGCGTGAAGAATGAATTAAACCCCAAAGAAGGGCTTATTACGAGTGTCGCATGTGTCGCCTTCGAAATCTTCAATCGATCCACCGGGTGAAGAAAAGGGGTTCAAGCTGCCCCACCGAAAAGAGAGAAACGAAAAGTGCCTGGTCCGATAGGCACGGCGAGAAAGCATTACGGTTTCTGTTTTGATGTTTTCGTTCACACCTCTGGTTTCTTCCAGCAACCAGATCAAAGGCGAGAGTGAGCACCATTAGGGCCGTGACTGGTACTAGTAGTAAGCGCATCGGCCTCTAACGACGGAACGGCGGCGGCGGCGGCCGAGCGCCTGGCCGAGCGCCTGGTCCGCCCATTCCCTCGGCGCCGCTAGTGAGTTCCGCCACTCTCGCCTTGATGCGGGCAACACGGGACTCGATGGCTGAACACCATGTTAGTTGGGACCTGGCAAACGAGTCAACCATTGAATTCGACTTACTCTCTTCGCTGCTGTCATCTGTGATCAGGCTTCCCGAAACTCTGGCCTGCACGGCTTGGCGCTGCGCAGCCCGCTCGGCAGCGTTCTTGCGGATCTGCGCCCACCTGTCCTGAGGGTCGATGGCACGAGCCACAGGCGCCGGGGGCGGTGCTGCTTCCTCTTCAGCAGGTTCCGGCACCGGTGGTGACGGGATCCGAGGCGAGTGTCTGGCAATTGGGGGAGGCGTGGCGTCGTCATCATCCTCCGAATCGTCTTCGGGAACGAATGCAGGCTGGTCGACGAGCGGGCCTTGGTCGAAGCGCGAGAACTCAGTCTTCGCCTCAGCAGCATCTGCCGTGCTCACAGGCGAGACCTCTTCAGCAGCAGGGGAATCAGGAACGGGTTCGGATTCCGTGGGAGCCTGTGGAGCAGGGGAAGCCGGCGCGGGAACTGGCACGCGTACAGGGATGGGCTGAGGCTTCTGCGGGACAACAGGCTCCTGCTTTGGCGGCGCGGGCATGGGCTGCTCCTGCTGCGTCGCCTTCTGCGGAACAGCAGGCGCAGGAGATTTCTGATCAGCGGCAACGAACGCTCTGAGCTGCTCGGCGGCGTTGTCAGGGACCTTGGAGCCCCTGTTTTTGCGGCTGAACAGCTTCTTCAAGCCACTGCTACCGCCCGTCTTGGCCATCTCCTTGTGAAGCTTCTTTGGCTTATTGCCCTCAGGGATCAGGTGAGGCTCGGGAGAAGCCATATTTTCCCGCGCCAACTCCAAACTTTCCCCTTCTTTCGATGGAGGCAAGGGGCTATGTACTCGTTCTGCCGGATGAATGTCGCTAGGTGCCTCGGGATCTCTCTCTTCCGGCTTCGGAGTCTGCGAGTTGGTTGTCTCGTCCTGTCGCGCGACCGAGGAAGAGTTCTCTGTCGCGACTGCGGGCGACGATGGCGTCTTGGGAGGCAGTTCCGGGCGACGTTCCTCCTCAGCTATGGGCGTGGCATGCCCGTTGGTCTGGGAAGCGACGCTCCCAGGACCACGGCCCGCATTGATGTTGGCAAGGTAGGCCTCGCGTATCGCCTCCTTGTCATATTTACTGGCCCATTTCACAGCTGGAGCTGCTTCGCCGAGGATGCTTGGCTGGAGAGTCAGAACACTGTTAGTCTTGTCGTTCAACCAGTCCGTATCCTTTCTTCCCCGCCGCTCCTGCACCTGCTGCTGCTGTATCTTCTGCTGTTCCTGCCTCTGAAGCTGAATTGCGGCAGCCTGGATCTTTGCTTGTTGATCAGGACCGATACTCGTCTTACTGAACCCCATCGTGGCGCTCGGTTTCAGGTGTCCGTCACTCTTCTCCAGAGCATGCTTTCCAGCGGTGGATTTCCTCCTATTAACCCCCTTGCCGCGACGGGTCCAGCTGAAAAAGCCCTTCTTCTCCGCGATATAAGCGCCTTCCTCAGGGTCAGGAGCTGCGCCTTTGACCATCTCCTCCATGACGAGCCAGCGGCCGGTCCGAATGATGGTCTCAACCACAGCGCAGCGCCCGAAGGCCGACTTCCTCTCCGGCGTCTCTTCAGGCCCCAAACTAGTCATCCACACCCACCAGAAGGCGTCGTCGAGATCAAACCGCACGATGCTTGCCAGCTCACCAGGTTCAAGGTGATGGTCACTCTCGAGTCTCGGCCTGTGAGACTGAGAGCTTCGCTGTCGAACGCCCGTATCGATCGGAGGGAGCACCTTGTCAGGTGGCAACAACACGTTCGGTGTCGCCCGGTCGTCGACGAAACCAGATGACAAGAAATCCGCCCAGGATGGAGTCGTTGGCCGTCCTAGATCGCCGTTTCCTGAGGCAGGCGTATTTCTTAGTCCTTGCTTCTGCCGCCGCAAAGCAAGGAGTGAATCCTCCTCCAGTTCATCTTCCTCGAGGGCGCTCGTGAAACCAATGTCCTCGAACCGAGACCATGATGCATCGCGGAGGCTCGTCGACACCTTTGAACTCGAAACTGCGTGCGACTGGTTCGCCGCGGAAATCGCCCTAAGAACCCTGCGGCACTCCTCAGTCAAAGCCTGTATGGGGTCGTCATATTCGGACCACTCCTTGAGCGCCTTGTCCTCGTCGCGGTACTGAAAATGGTTAGCCCTCCGCAGCAGGGCGAATGGCGTAGGCGACACCGTGTCGACAATCATGGCAACCCTGTTCGTCGATGTCTGCAATAGCGCCGGCCTCTGGGGCGGGTATTCGGTTTCCTGAAGGAGCTTCTGAAGAGACATGGGCAATAGTGAGATACCGCCAATGGTCGGCTCGGGTGCAAGCGACCTGAGATATGCAAAGAACAAATGGCTCGTGGCGTCGGCCGCACTGTCACAATTCCGTTAGCAAGAGAGTGGGCTCGCTATAACTAGGCACAAACTTGCCTGAGCCATGATCTATATGCCCCATCGAAGCCATTGCCCGTATCGTTGTGCTCGAACGCCCACCAGGCAGCCATGCGCGAAAGTTTGCGCCCTCCGAGTCCGTTCATTTTGCTGTGGGCGGCAACGGCCGACAGAAGATCAAAAAAGTCAAAGATGATCTTTGACCGAGACTCGTTGTCGACGCTAAGGGGGATGAAGGTTTTGAACGAGTCCCTGGCCATGTGCGAGTCTGCAATCCCGTCAGCTCGGTCCTGGTGCTCTCCGGTGCACCAGCCGGGTCTTACCTTGCTCTCCCACTTTGAAGAGCTCGTACGAGTCCCAGCCAACAACGCCGCCCTGAAGTCTGCTCCAGCACCATTTTATCACACCTGAGATGACCTGTTCCCGTCATCAGCATCCCAAATTTGGTCTGTAAGGCCGCGCAATTATCCAGTGCATCGTACCATTGGCTCCGTCATCCGCAACTCCTGAGCCAAGGCTTCTCCGCGAAGCACCTGACCGCCATCTTTGCCATCAAAAAAGTGTCGCACAAAAGTACGGACCGCGCTCGGATCGGAGGTCGGTCGAAAAGGGAGCAGTAGAAAGGGAATATCGAGAGCTGCGGGTGCGGTTAGCTTGCCGTTGAGGCACAGGACAGACATCCCGGGCCGGCAACCTTAGCTCGTGCTTAGGTGCAGGACAGGCGCAGCAAAAGCGGAAATTGATGTCATACCTCGGGCTTTGAGCTCCTCCGTGCAGCACCGAATTAGCTGCTGAACTTCCTCGGGCTCGACTGTCTTGCGGGTCCACGCGTCTTCCCATCGCGGTTTCTGCGGCTGTTGATCCGCAAGCTGGTCGGCGCCATTTTTCTTGGACTTGTCCCTGCCCTTGAGCCGGGAAAAGAGGCCGGGCATCGTGTTTTACAGCGCGTGTCTAGGACCGAGGCGCGTAATTTTGCCGTCGCAGATGTTCAGCACGATGATGTGGGATGAATAAGTGCTGCGGCCATGCGCTGCCGCGAGAGAGGAGAAAAGGAAAATATTTTGGCTGCGCGACCAAAGCTCGGTGCTGAAATCTGGGAACCTTGAACGATTGGGTCCTGGTCGTCGTGCGTGGTAGCGTCGCTTTGGTGCCGGTCCGGGGTCAAAGCGAAGTGCAGTGCAAGAGACAAGGGTCGATGGAGAAGATGTTGGGGGGGTATAGCGATCGTAGTCGAAGACAAGTAGATACGATAAAATGCAAAACTGGAGATCCAATGTCAGAAAAAGCGAGTAAAGGGAAGAAACTGTCCGTTCTCGTCGCAACAGTGGGCGTTGAGAGTTGAGACGCACCTCAGGGGTTCTATCACAGCCCGATTCGCGTGCCAGGAAATTGCCAGTACTCGCCTGAGCCGCCGCCAATTCAAGCTCAAGTCGCGCTTGGGCAGACTAGCCGCATAGAGTTACTTATTATCTTTAGTCCGTAGATGCCAGGCTAAATTAGTATTAGGTTTCTTTGCAGCCAGCAACAGCTATTAATGACTTGATGCAGCTCATTCAGGAACCAAGCACACCGGGTGTGGGCAGTACTTTTTTCGTTGAAATTGAAGGGTTACCCATGGCGTGACGCTGGTGCCCGTTAAATCCACATCCATCATCAAGACCGCAAGCTTTGCATTTTTATCTGGCCTTTGAAGGACGTAACTCTCAAGCTTCGGACCCGTATGAGCCCTTCTGGCCTGACGGCTGTGGAGCGCGGAGCGGGAAGGTATGGCGGACAGGGCGCCCTCTGTCTGGGGTTCCCCTCCCCAAGTAAAAATCATGCTCCGCAGCCCAGATCTGCCCAGCTGCGATCCGATATTTCAGCGCCCCTCCGAGATCCATCCGTGCCATCGAAGAGCGGCAGTGTTTTCTAGGGCGAGGCGGGCGAAGACCAAAGGGACGGCGATATTCTGTGCATGAGCATGCTGATGACCCTTCTTCAGACGATCCCAGCACGGCATGTGCATACATGAGTGTTGTCGCACCGGAACACTGACCTGCAGCAGATCAAATTTCACGAGCGCCACTTCAGGAGGCTTTTTCTTTGGTTTGTGCTTCAACAATATGGCTCCATCCCACCGTCCGCAGAGCGCCTTTCCCCCTTTCTTCTCTTTTTCCTGTAAAAAGCCCCATCAAAGGCAGCCATCCGATTTTCCATTGCTGCCCGCATTGGTCTACCTTAGTCAGTTGCCAACTCGCTCACCCCACGTCGTGCCCAAGCCCTATCACAATATCACAACCAGCAGGCAGCGGAGCCTATCAATTGGACCGACAAAGCCATTGGACGGAGGTTGACCAACCATGTCCGAAGATTGCTCCTGAACATCGGGTCTGAGTTGGCATGGCGGTCACGGATTGTCCAGTGGTGATGAGCTTGAAGACGCACGTTTTCAAGCATAGCTTGGGCGACCAACCAGCCTTGAACGCATGGCAATGTCTGCAACCCACGCAACATAGGAGCCCATCAAATCTCAGAGTTCGTTAAAAGACATCCGCGCGGACCATCGGGGCTCCCTGCATGCATCGGCATCAAAGGCGAGCTCTGACCTGCATGATAGGACCCCTGTGGGTGCTGCTGTGCGGATGCAGTCAATGCACAGAGCCCACTGTCACCTTACAGACATTTGGTCAGCCTCGCTCGGTGATACCCCAAAAGATGTTGGGGTCCCAATACGGCACTGATGAGATTGCAACCAGGCACAGCATTATCTGTGCTACTTGGTCTTCAATGTCAATTGGGTTGTATCGAGGTGTTGGGCACCTATGGATGACCTCCAGACCTCGATGAACGGGCCAGCGGGTCACACTTGGGGTTGTCGCCAAGATTCTTTTATTTCTGGCCTGCGTCCAAAGCCCAATCACGGCTTGTCTTCAAGCGGATCGCTTTCCCTTTTGGGTATCTACGATGACTTCGACGATTCTCAACTTTGCTGTGTTCAATCTTTTGTTTTCGTCTAGGTTTGAATCATCCGAATCAACTGACAACAGCGATGATAGTAGTGGCATGCCTAGAATAGACCATACAAGTTGCCGGAATGATGTCATCAACATCGGACATTGCTGGGTCCACACTGACTGCGCCTTGAACAGATTTCTGAAACACCAAGTGCGCTTCTTCGGCATAAAGCCTCACTCTCGCCGGGGACCAAGCAGCCTGCTGAACAGGGTCTAGGCTAACACATGGCAAGCACATGACTCGGAAGAAATGCGGGCCTAACGACAGATTCTATCCTTCCGAGGTGCCGGCCTTTCAGAGTCCGAGGACATCTGCATCCTAGGTAGCGATGTAGTCTAGGTATAGTGAAGGTCCCAAGGACCACGGACAAATGGCAATGAGAATAATTGCCTGGGTAACACGGCACTAACGAAGCTCTGATCTCTATTCCAACTCACTAATATTCCCATCCGGATGTTCTACATGGAGGAATGGCCAAGCATCATAGTGATTCATAGGGGACATGGCCCATCCCCTGAAGCGCAGGTGTCTTACTATACATGGGTCTACATATCATTAGGCGGTAGAATTGCTATGATACGGCTTGTTGAACAACCACTACAACCCTCAGGCCGAATCCAGCGGGACATCAGCCAACAACACCGGACCATACAAACTTGGAGCCAATGACAAACGTCTGAGAACCTCCTTCCTATCTGCCATTTGCGGCTCCTGACGAATGTTTCTTGAGAGCATGACATGTGCCCAATAACCCAGCTACCCAGGGCAGCTAGACCTTCGATAGGTACCAGACTTTGTATCCTAACCCGAGGACAACTCAGGCAAAGTACAGATCCCGTCGTCATTTCCAGTTGCTTTGTCATAATATTCCCAAACCAGGGGACAGCCGATCCTGTAAGTGTGATATCTCCGACAAAGTTTTCAGCGAGGCCCCTGGGGAAGACAGAAATAACCCCCAACAATAGCCTGGATGACAGACATGAGGCGTGCTCTGAATGAGATCGGCGTCAACGTGACACTGCGTCGTCCACAGGCGCGATGATACATGCCTCGGGGAAAATACAATCTCTTCCCATCGCTATCCGCATCCCACATTCAACCAATATCGCCATGAAAAGGGACACAACGCCGACCCTGCTCAAGCCTCGACCTCAGGTGCGGCATTCTCCTCCCCGTCCGCAGCCTCGGCCACCGCTTTCTGGCTCCGAGTCTTTCTCTTCTCCACCACCACGGCCTCCTTCTCCGCGGGGTTACTGTTCTCTCCAGGTGCAGCAGCAGCAGCAGAAGACGCAGCGGCCTTCACCCCAGCCTCAGCCTTAACCACAGCCTCCAGCATGTCCGCCGCATCACCATCCCCGAATTCCTCATCGTCTTCATTAAACCCCCTTTCCTCCTTCCCCTTCTTCTGCTCCTCCACCCCCTCTTTTTCCTTCTCTTCTTTTTTACCCTCCTCCTCTCCCTGCTCCTCATCAAACACACTCTCCCCCTCAACAAGCGCCCAATCCACCCTCCCGCCAGGGCCATACCGCTCCGCCAACCAGTCATTCGCCAGGCGAAAATGGCGACAGGTGAAATACCCGTTACTCGCGCTCAGCGGGGACGGGTGCACCGTCTTGAGCACGAGGTGGCGCTTGCCGTCGACGCGCAGCACGCGCTTGCCCGCGGGGGTGCCCCAGGCCATGAAGACGACGCCGCGGGTGCGCCGCGCGGCCACGAGGTCGATGCACTTCTGCGTGAAGCGCTCCCAGCCGCGGTTGGAGTGGCTGTTGGCCTCGTGGGCGCGCACCGTCAGGCACGTGTTGAGCATCAGCACCCCCCGGTCGGCCCAGGGGGTCAGCAGCCCGCCCTTGTTGGGCGGCGGGTTGAAGGACGGGTAGTCGTTCTTGAGGCAGATGTACATGTTCTTGAGCGAGGGCGGGGCGCGGGTCGGCGGGCGGACCGAGAAGGCGAGCCCGTGGGCTTGGTTGACGTTGTGGTACGGGTCTTGGCCGAGGATGACGACTTTTACCGTGTTGAAGGGCGTGTGGCGGGACCTGGGTGGGTTGATTTTACGTCGTTAGTTACCTAGGTACGGCACATTGCTGAAAAAAGGGGGCAATGGAACAAAAAAGCCTTACCAGCTGTAGACGTCCTCCGCCGGCGGGAACCACTTCCTCCCTGCGGCCGTCTCGCGGTTGAGGAATCTCTTGAGCTCGAGGAACTCCTTGGTGACGAGCTCGTCCTTGAGCAGGGCCAGCCAGCTATCGTGGAGGGTGTCAATCTCGAGCTGCAGCAGCTGCCGCTGCTCGGGAGTCAAGGAAGCGACCCATTGCGCCTTGTCGAACTTGGGACCTGCGGGTTCCGGGGCAGCACTTTTGTTCGCACTGCCGCCGGTGGATGATGGATTGGTGGCGCCGAAGAAGGACATGATGCTGCCCTGCTTGCTCTTTTTCGCCTCCGCGCCAGCCTGGGCGGCGGCCTTCCGCTTGAGCGTCGACATGTTATGGGTGAAAAGCGGTGAAGTGAGGTGGTGATGGAGTGGAGTCGAGGTTGGTGATGGAAGATGTAGCCGAATTACACGACTACAGAGCAGATGGCGGATGGGGAGGAAAGGTCGGGGAGGTACGACAACTAAGGATCTGAAAGGCGTAATTTTGAGGACAAACGGGCCTCGAAACCCGTAGGATATGGCTGAGATGAGAATCGCTCGTGATTACACCGAATTGGCGGCTACTAGTATCCGTAATACTTGGAAGTCCGCAAGTTGAGATGGAGGTGAAAAGAAAAGGCGACAATTGGACTGTCTCCCAAAATTCCACTGTCGGCAGGCGGGACGGAAGCGGAGATGAGCAGACAAGACAAAATCCTGCCCTGGCAAACAGAAAGGGCTGGCAGATATGCAGCTCAGACCTTGCAATGTTGCAAAAAGCCCTGTCCGGATGCCGGATGGCTGGCTGAGTTACAGGGCTACCTTTTTTAGCTGCTTTGAGAAAAGCGCGTTTCTGACGCGGATTTTGGCGTCATTTCATTACATGTACACAGGAGTGAGACAGGGATATGCAGGGGTTGAGCAAAGGCAGCTCAGCCCTGTAGTACATACTAGAGCATGTTCATTGTTGGGCCTTGAGAATCCAAGTAGAGCCGGCTCAGAGAGGTCTTTTACTCCCTACTGTGAAGTGAGAATTGAAGACGCTGAACCTATTAAAAGCTGCCAATGGCTTTGATTCTAATCTGTATGTACCCGACTTTGACTAGGGGCAACGGCAAGGTGAAATGCAAGGTGGAGCGCACCTGCGATTGGTGGGCCCCACGACTTGCAGTCGCGCGAAATCCCAGCCCTGCGCGACGTCATTGGCTCGCTCACCTGCACCCACTTAAACGCGCGGGCGGGTAGCCTTCCCGCGCTCTGCGCGTGCCCATGCTTCAGCTGAACAGATTCCAGTTCTGTGCATGCACGGGTCAGGGGCAGTTGCAGCGAGGAACGCGACTCAGTCGGACAATGACAGTGTCTTACTGCCCGAGGGGAAAGGGGATCAGCACAGGTCAGCACAATCCTTGGTATTAACGAATAATAATCCAGTATGCCAACCTCCCGTGACCCTCAATACACAAAAAACCCCGAACCGGCCCAGATAGGTTGGTAACGTGCCTTAGCCCAAGATATAATATACAACCCCGACTCTACTTCCTCACCCATCCACCATCCACTAGGTACGATACGACACTACCCTTTCCAAGTCAACCACGCAAAGAACCCCACCACCATCCATGCAACCCTCCACACGGTGGTCCACAACTCGGTAACCACCACCCCGACCGTCGATCTCGGTTGCCTGCTGGCGAGCCCCCTCCTCTTCCACGCAGCAGCCTTCCACTTGCCATTGTACCCGCCGTACATCATCTCCTCCTCCTCATTCTCGCTGGGTATCTCGATCCTTGGCGCAGCCCTCCCCACGCCCCATCTCCCGCCCCCACCGTACTTACTGCCATTGCCATGGCTCTTCCTCCTCCCGTGATGCCCCCCTCCCGAGGACCCAGATCTATGTAGACCACCACCCCCACCTTTGGGGTTGGGGCTCGGATTCCTCGCCTGCGCCGTCGCAATCCCGTTGGGCCTTGCGCCGAGAGGCATGTTGTAAGACGAGGCAGAGCCACTCCGATCGCGGGTGGTGCTATTCCCGTTGCTCAGACGATGGGACGCGGAGAAGCCGCGCGGCAGGGTATACTCCTCGTAGTCCTCCACCTTTGCCTTAAACTGGGGCAGGATGCTCCCGTTTCTCCTTTGCTGTTCGGGTCCAGAAGGATAAGACTCGGCGAGGTCGAGCGCGAACGGCTTCAACCCCAGGATCGGGACAAGGCAGGCGCGGACGGCCAGGACGATGACACACACCAGCGCGAAGCTGACGTAGCGCAGGTAGGTGGAGACCTGGCTCGGGAGGAGGCAGAGGTGCGTCTGGAGCGTGGGCTGGTGTTCGCCCGAGGTGAGCGGCTGGCCCGTGGCCGGGTCGATCGGGTTGTACAGGCTCATGAGCAGGAAGCCGGGCTTGGACACGCCCATGGCCATGCTGATGCTCTTGACTGTGATCTCGCGCACGTTGGCCTGCGCGGCCGAGTGGGTGACCTCGCAGTAGTCGTGGTCGTCGCCCGAGAAGGCGTGGACGACGTTTCCCACTTTCTGGATCAGCTCTTCCGAGTCCTTCTCGCCAAGCACGTTCTGGTACTGGTAGCCGCCGGAGACGGAGATGGCGTTGCGGTGGTCGGGGAGGACGGGGTCAGTCTGTCCCTTCGGCGGCTTCGTAGGTGGCCATCTTTCTCGCAATGGCCCACATGGTGTTCCAGGCGGTCGGTGAAGCGGGACGTGCGTTAGTAGAATGGTGGGCAGTTCCGGCGCGTTGCCGCCCCGACTTGATTTGTCGTCGGTCTTTCTGACTTTGCCCGCTTCCTCGACTTTGTGCGGGAGCTCGCTTTCTTGCCCCTCGCCGCGGAGGAGACGCAGCTCTCTATCAACCGCCTTCTGCTTTGTTTGCTTCACATCGTTTAGAAACCGCTCGACGGGCTCGTAGATAGGCCTGAGATCGTGCCGGCTGGCTTCGGCCGAGGACGCGGCACTCATCGACACGGTGTCGACGGACACGAACGTGTGGTTCCCGATAACGTCCACCCGGTTGCCCTCCCCAAAGTACGTCTCGAATCTGTTCCTCACCGACACCTTGATCTGGTCGCCAAACCCCAGGTCATGGTTGCCAGGCAGACTGGCAACCAGCTTCCTCCTTCTCCGTCCGGCCTCCTGCTCTGCTCCCGCCTTCACCCAGGGGTCCACGAAGATGCCGCCAAACCTGGCGTATTCCTCCAGCCAGTAAGACTCTCCATACTTCTTGTGCCACTTCTTCAGATACTTCTGTTCATGTTTCGGATGCGGCCCCCAAGCCGGGTCCTCAAACGACCCGTGCGCCGTCTTCCACTCTCTGCCGCCGTCAAACAGGTCCCCCAGGAAGAAGATGCTGTCGGGGTCGAGTCGCCACTGCAGCTGGTTGTACGATCGGCGGAGGTAGTTGTCAGTGATTCGCACTGTCAGTGAATTAAGCGGCCACGGGCGGCCGGGATACGAGTGAGCGTCGATCAGCTGCGGGTCGGCGACGAGCGCGACACGGTGGGGTTCGGCACCGGCGGGCTGTTATGTGACCATGGGCATTAGCATCTCTTCGTGTTGCACCGTTTTCCGTATTTTGTCATACCCATTTCTCCCAGTAACTCCAGTCGCAACTCTCGACCTTGGAGTGAAACACCCATCGCTCGCCCCAGAGCAGCACCACCACCCACACGGCCACGAGCAGGTGCGGAAAGCTCAGCAGACGATGGTAGGCCATGTTCTGACGCAGGCGATATACGGCAGTCCACATGGCAGCAAACACCACGCCGTGGCCGCGCTCACGCCAGAAACGGACCAGCGAACGGAAAGCCTGGGCAACGAGGGCGCGGAAGTCGTCGAGCAGCGAGGTTGAGTGGTCCGGATAGTACCGGGGAGGGTAGGCGAAGTCGCTCTTGCTGCTATACGGCCGAGCCATGGCGGATGCCCGGCGTAGCCATGCCCCGGGAGCTTCGCGGAATGGGGCAAGTCTCGTCGCGGTTCTGCAATAGCGATACCCGGAGCGTGCGGCTGAGGAGACTAAGATCACTATAATAAGGCCGCAGTGATGATACGGATTAATGCAGTCTCTTTCGTATCCAACTCTCGAAAAGCAAGCTTTAATGGAACGGGTTGGAAAAGGGGCTGAGGTTGGTAAAAGCTACAATCCGTCAAAAGATCGAATCGAGCATGAACCAGTCCACAGTGCGTCAGCCGAAAAGAGACCGCTGACAGGGGCGGGGGCCCTGCATTCTAGGCGCTGTGGGGCAGAGCTCAGCAGGCTGAGCAACCTCGACTGGGTCCGGGCCTGGCCTTTCTTTTTTCTTGGGTTCTGCAATCCAGGACGGGGCAATTGACGGCTGTCTGATATCGTAGCCCGATGGTCTGTATCAGACACTCCATTGCTATGGTCAGTTTCCAGTTCCTTGCACCTGCTGCTCCTGCATATACCAGCCGAAATCCCATCGGGTTCAGGGGAATTTGAGTGTGGAACGGAACTCCCGTCGATCCCCGCCTGTATTGACCGAATTCCCCGCACCGTTTCATGCACCGGCCCCGAATTCCGGGTCCCACCACCCCGGCAGAAACACGGAGTCGTCGGAACAAGAGAGCCGTCCGTCGCCGAGTTATGGGCACCACTGCATCACCATCGTTAGGGCCATGACCAAGAGCACTGTTACCTAAGCCCTTTAATACCGTCGCTCACGGCTAGCTCACACTCCCCTCCACCACAGCGCCCAAAGAGTGATCATATAAACGGTAGTCTGAGACATCCGGTAGACCGATCGCGAATCGAAACCCTCATGAACACTCCCCTCTCATGCTGGGATGTCACGCTCGGAAAGCAAGTCCTTATATAGAGAAACCTCTAAGCGGCAAGACGCCGAATACCGACGCTCGTCGCATTCTCATGTCACGGGTGCAAAGAATATACCCAGAAGCAAATATATACGAGCAAAGATGCAACCTCTCCCCCCGACCCCGTCCCCGGCCCCTCTCGTTTTCTCATCGAGTAGCTGTACCCAGCAACGGCTCCTCTCTAAAACACCCATGTGAAAGACTCCTTGACCTCAAACGGAACAGAGTACCTGCGTCAAGCAAAAAAACGATGTGTCAGCAAATGCCCATACCTCACTGCACCCAGCCAAGAAAAAAAGAAAAGGAAAAATAAAAACTCACTTCACATCCGCCGCCGAAGCAGCGACCAGAGCCCTATACGTCCCCTTCTCGGCAATCCACCTCCCGATACTCGTATCGTAGTACCCGACCGCATACTTATCCAGCCTCACCCTCAAATGCTTTGTCTCCCCGGCCTCCAACTCCACCTTCTCAAACGCGACAAGCTCCTTCTCCGGCCGCGGCAGTCGGCTCCTGGACTCGTGGCGCACGTAAACCTGCACCGTCTCGAACCCGGCGACTGGCCCGACGTTGCTGATGCCCACCACCAGCTCCACACTACTACTACTACCACCGTCGTCGTCGTCGTCCTGAGATGATAAGACGCGGGGGCTGAGCGACGGGCGGCCGTACTCGAACTGCGTGTAGGACAGGCCGTGGCCGAAGGGGAAGAGCGGCTGGACGCGCACGCGGTCGTAGTGTCGGTAGCCGATGTACAGGCCTTCGCCGTAGACGACCTCGTCGTTTTCGCCCGGCCAGTTGTGGTATGCGGGCGTGTCCTCCAGGCGGCGCGGGAAGGTGCACTAATAAACCCCGCGGGGAGGGGAGGTCAGCAGCGGTCTGGAAGGGGTGAAAACAGAGAAAAACGGGAGTTGTGTTGGGGGGAGAAGGGGGGAGAAGTGGGTGGGAGGACAGGCGGCAATTACCGGTAACTTCCCGCTCGGGTTCCTCAGACCAAAGAGGACGTCGGCGAGGGCATTACCGGCCTCCTGGCCCTGGTACCAGGCCTGCAGGATGGCGGGCACGCGGTCGGCCCAGGGCATGGTGACGGGCGAGCCTGACTGGTTGACGACGATGGTGCGGGGGTTGGCGCTGACCACAGCGTCGATGAGACGGTCCTGACTGCCGTCATACGGCAAGTCCATGGTCTGGCGGTCGTAGCCCTCGGACTCCCACTCGGCGTCCAGCCCGACGATCACCACGGCGACGTCGGCGGCCCTGGCGGCGTCGACGGCTTCCTGCAAGTAGTCGACCTGGTCCTCGGCCTTGAAGCCTATGCGGCAGCCGCCGTACTTGTGCGTCATGTTGAACTGCTTCTGCTTGGCCACGGGCCGCAGCTCGTTGGTCATCTCGACGCGCAGCTCCACGGGCCGGCCGGCGTGCATGTCCACGTCGACTAGGTAGTCGACGGACCCGTCGAACATGGCCTCGCCTTCCTCGGTCCAGTCCCAGAGATCCAGCGCCAGCTTGCCGTTGACGTAGAGCCGGCCCGGCCCGACCGACATGAAGGAGATGGTGTGCTTCCCCGACGTCGGGGGCGTCAGGTACGTCGTCACGATGGCCGACCACTCCGGCCCGACGTCCGCCAGCGGCGCCGAGTCCCAGAGGAAGAGGTCCGTGTTCGTCCTTTGCTGGACGACGACCGGCTGGCCCTCGAACTTGTCGCCCCTGAACCACTCGATCGACACGCCCTGCTTCCCCGTCTTGTTGGAGCAGTGCGGCGATGCCACCGGGAGCCACTTGTGGATGTGGCATCCCAGGCTGTAGGTGACGGGCTGCTGGGCGACCTTGCGGATGCTGTCCAGGGGCACGGTGTTGTAGTAGGGGTTGAGGCTGGCGCTGCCGCCGCCCCCAGCGATCGCCCTGTTGGCATTTGGCCCGATGACGGCCACCTTGGTCGTCGCGGGGTTGATGGGCAAGACGGAGCCCTCATTTTTCAGCAGTGTGAGCCCCTGCACACCGGCTTCGCGGATGAGGTTCCTCGTCTCCTCGTGGTCGTCTTCCCGCTCCTCCGCCTCCGGCGTCAGGTCGCCCCCTTTCGTCCGCTCCACGAGCGTGAGAACGTTCTCGGCTGCGCGGTCGATATCAGCCTCGGTGATCTTCCCGTCTTTCAGGGCCTCGAGCACCTTTTCGAACCGCCACTTGTTGGAGAAGGGAAACTCGATGTCCATCCCAGCCCTCAGCGATTCCGCCGTCGAGTTTGTACCCCCCCAGTCCGATAGGACGGTCCTTTTTGGTGGGGCATGTGGTCAGTTTCGTCGATCACCCCTCGCTTATTATCATTGCCAGCATTTTGGCTGCAGGTGTATTTTCGCCACTCACCCGTCGTACCCCCATTCGCCGCGGAGAATATCCCGGAGAATGTGCTTGTTCATGTCCATGTGCACACCGTTCACGCGGTTATACGAAGACATGAGCGCCCATGGCTTGGCCTCGCGCACCGCGATCTCGAACGGACGCAGGTACAGCTCGCGAAGTGGCCGCTCCGCGATGACCGAGTTGATTGTCACCCTATTTGTCTCCTGCTCATTGCCGGCGAAGTCTGTGTTTTTCACGAATCAGCATAAGGTACAATACAATACCCTCTCCTACAGCTCGTTCTCCCAACAGCCACTGACGTTTGATCGTGGCGGCTACGCCCTTTTCTTGCAGCCCCTTGATGTATTGCGCAGCCAGCTTGCCGGTCAGGAGCGGGTCCTCCGAGAAAGACTCGAAATTCCTCCCTCCCAACGGGTGCCTGTGCATGCAAACAGTCGGCGCGAGGAGAACGTCGGCTGACCGGGCCTTGACTTCCTGAGCCAAGTGCTGGCCAACTTGGTGGAGAAGGTCCTTGTTCCATGTTGCTGCCAGCGAGATGCCGCAGGGGAAAAGGGCGGCCTGTTCGTGTGGTCAGCAGGCTACCGACTACCCTGTTCCCGGATGCTGCTCACTTTAGTACCCCCGACGAAGATCCCCCCGCGAGCACCATTCGGCCCGTCACTCGTCTTGATGGCGGGGATGCCCTTGTCCGGGATCGCCTTCGTCCTCCAGAAGTCCGCGGCTGTCAATAGCGACACCTGTCGGATTGTCAATCCCCTTTGCGTCCCCGGAAAAGGGGGGTTTGTTAGTGAGAGCAGCGAACCTTTTCCTCCTGGGTCAGCGTGGCCAGCTTCTTTCTCGCCAGCAGTCTCGGGTCCTTCGGCGGCCCGCTCTCCTGGATTGGGCTGTCCGGCGGTGAGAACTCGGTGTCCGGGGTGGTGTTGGTGTCGATGCTTCCGACCGGCGACGCATTCGGGTCGATATCCTGCCCGAGTTCGACCTCTGACACTGGAACGAGTGCTGCCATTGTTGGATTCTCTGGTCTCCCCGGCTTATTACTGCGGGTACCAACGGGTGACAATGAGCTACTGTGACAACGCAGGTTCCAGGTTATATAAGTGGCCGGATGGGTTGTCAGGAATACGGCTTTCCTGGAAAGCGAAGACAAGGAGATCAACACACGCGGAAATCTATATAAGTCCAGCACTAGCCAACCACTGGGGCCTGCTCTTCCCGAACATTAACCGTGGGATACGGAGACGGCCCGGAGGGATGGGAATGTGGGCTCAGTGGGATGGAGAGCAAACAGAAGATAGGTTCTCCATTATCCCACGTCTCCTTCCTCAACAACCCATAACACCTTACGGTACGTTATCAGGCGCCCTCGGCAGGGATGCTTGAATGTGGGATGCAACATGGGAGAGTGGAACCAAAGACAGATCGGAGACCGGGGCCTTCTGTGAGTGATCAGAGGCAGCGCTGTGGTGTCACTTGACCACCTCTATCCGTCGTCCCTTTTTGATTAATACCCTCGGGTGCAAATAGCCATATCGGTAGGAACGGACCGTATGAGCGGTAGTATCGGCTGGACCCAGCTAGGCCGGATAACTCGCACCATTATTGCATAAAGCGCATGTTCCGGCAACCAAGTAGGGGAAATTCGTCCGCGTGGAGCGGGAACAGAGACTTGGGATGAGCACTCTCCAGCGACGAAACATCTCATTGACGGGAAACGGCGGGAAAGGGCCTGCTCGTCAGGACTTGCTTCCCAGCAGGCCGGCTAACCAAAACAAATCTAGCCTAGCCGCTTGGCCCCTGTTGATGAGGTGTGAGAGCAGGCTTGGCATCAAGAAGCCCTTCAATGCCTTAGGATGCTTCAAAGCAGGTCGTCAGGCGAAGGTAAGTTCCCTCACTGCCGCCCTCATCGGGTTCTCGAATGGTTCGAGCGTGAGTGCCTTGGACATGGCGTGGCAAAGTGTTTGCTGGGAGCCTAATCTCATCGTTCGAGTCCATGTAGGTACTTCAGTTTGTCGTTAGGGGGTACCTTGAGGGCCATAGACGGCAAGTGCTCGGTGAGCTTTCAGGGCAGTGCTGCCATATCTTTACATGAGCTAGTCTGAGCTAGTATAAGGGGAGAATCCACCATATAATGTCGATCAGCACGGCAGGATAGTCGGCAGAACGGCTCTGGTGTTGAGCCTCGAAGCCGGGGATATGACGAAACGGGACAGCAGGGCCAAGAGTTCGAATCAAGAAGCGAGGTTTTGCGAAAACTGGGGAACTGCTCCGTAATCGTGGATACGACACTATCGGAACTCGGCGAGGGTCTTTCCAGGAACGGGACTCCGGCCCGAGTTCCTTTGACAGAAAGAACTCCGGCAATGCGGATTGGTCGGCCGGACGGGTACGTACCTACTTTCCCTAGAACCTCACGCAAGGCGTGATTTGCGAGGACCTTGCCGCGGTTTTATACCACATATATCAGGGCTGTAATATGGGTGCATGTGATGGAGGACAACCGCCCGCAGTCAGGTACCTACATGCATAGGATAACGTTAGCGCCATGATAGAGAGACTCCGGGACTCGTTCACTGCCGAATCCAGTGTGCGCCGGGCGCTTGGCTGGGCTCACGAACCATCCATGTAACCACGACGAGGATGCTTGACCGGGGAAGCGCAGCAGCTGAAGCTTCCTTCACACCCGCCTTCGACGCCGTCGGCCGATGCAGTCATGCAACCTCCTTCCGAGCGTTCCTGGCACACGCCGGTACGCAGTAGGGCCGACCTCGACGTGGAGCCTCATCTCAGCCCCAAGCGGACGACTCTGCTACGGAAAATCTGCGCAATTCGGATCCATCAACTTTGCAAAGATAACGCGCTCCTGCGCATCAACGCATCGTTTATCGAAGAGATTTTGAGCCAGTTGAAGGTGGAACGGCGGCGGTTGAACGTCGGTCAAAATGTCCTTTCCGGGCCCATTAAAAAGGAGCAAACGGCCGTGAACCCGATGCCCTGGTCGGAGAGCCGGATCTGCAGGCCTGTTCTTGGCAGGGCGGATGTTTTCGTGGAAACATTGTATGTATCAGTTCACTCCCTTACATGATGTCTTGTGGCGGTGCAACTTCGGTTCCGGGCTCCGTCGCCTTGTTGATGCCGGTGATATGTTTTGCTTGTGAAACCGTTCGAAGTGCTCTGAACAAATCGGAGAAATCCATGGCACAAGCTTCCTGTGCGCCTTCCGCAGCGCCATTCGGAAACAATTGGGAAGGTGCAGCAAGTCAAATGACCCCACCCAAGCCACGTTTCGTTCCTGGCTCCATTTTTCACTGCATTCCATGTGCACCCTCCGTTACCAGAGTTGGATCGAACCCGATTGCTGCATGAGAGTTTCGTTACACCGCATCAGTAAGTCACAGGGAACAACACGAGACTGAGAGAACTGACATCCATGCTCTGTCAATCTACCGTGGTAGAGATGCTCAAAGACATTCACTACTTAATAATTGCCTATAGTATGTAGCTTTTTATGCTCTCCGTTTCTAACTAGCAACGAGCCCTCGACATAGACCGTTGGCAGCTCAGATTCATACAACTTCCGACGTCGATACATCCGAGCACAACCACGGTCCCGGTCGCCTCGTGCTCTTCTCCTCCTGGCTCCTTATGTCGGCTACCCTGGTGTCGGCTGAGATGCGCGGGACTCCTGCAGTCGCATTCCGAACCGAGCCAGCGTCTCCCAAAGGTACCGTCCTTCACTCACACCGTGCCGCCAAACCCGCCGCACCATCTCCGGATGATACAACGTCCAAGAGAGCCTCACCCGGCCAAGCCTTCTCTCCCCTGGTCACATGGCCGTGCTAACACGCCTAATGGAGTGAGACCTCCCGCCCGAGGCAAGAAAACTGGATAGGCGAGGCTGCACAGCGGTGGGCGGAGGATGACCTGCAATATAACTCCGTCTCTTGTCAACTAACATACATCCCATACAGCATGGCCCCTTCGAGCTGTCTGTTAAACATAGGCGGGATTTTATTCCGCCGTCATCTGGAAGTGGGGGTCATTCAACGGGGAGCACTATCGTCTCTGCTACTGCGGTATGTGCGTCCGTACGGAGTACATGCTGTGCCTTCGCGCTTGCTACGCGAGACCTCGCATCAACTTCCCTCTAAGACACCCGTCTTCCTGACGTTCCAGGCCGACTAAATCGTACGGGCACCGACGTTACTCCTTCCGAGATACGAGGGTCATGTTACCGTGACATCCACGGGTTGTTCAGGGCGTGATATTAGCCAGACCGGGTCGTCAACACTGACGGGTCTTCTGATTCCAGTGGGCTGGCGCCCTACGGCTGCGGCTTCATGACGCCTCTTTAATGGCGAGAGCGCCCTTCCAAGCTTATCACAGACGCGGTTTCGGTTTGGAAACATCCGGCCTGCACGCCTTGTCGTCGGTCCATCAGTAACGTTACGGCCTCGACTGTGCCAGCAGCAGCCGCCAGCACGGATTGTATTGTACGTCGACTGCGTCCTACACCCCCACGCCAGCACCTCATCTCCCCATCAAATGGCGGAAAGGCGTGCCGATGAAGCATCACCCACCACGATCGGGTCGGGAGTCTACGCCCAGCGTACTGACCGACGACTGCAAGTGCCGGCGGTCGCGAACTCGCTAGCTCTCTGCAGGACCGCCAGCGTGATTGCCTGCATGCATCCGGGCGGCTCATGGCGTATTTAGGCTCTGCAGCACTGCCGCCGGGTATCACGCCTCCCTGCAGTGTGTGCATCCAGCATAGTGCTCTGCAACAGGGCGGCTCATGTCCCCGGTAAAGCGTTGGCTGATCCCGAATGAAGCCCATGTCCAGTTTGCCATCAGCGCGGCGTACTCAGCACGGACCTTGGAGGTCCCGTCCTAATGACCTGATCTAATCTGATAGACTGGGCTAGGTATGACATCCGTGTGATCTTTGAATTGGCAATGAACGTTTGAGGATTCCTTCATAGCGTGTGGTATCAAGTTGCTGTTAATGACTTGGAAAGAGATTGGTAACTTCGTTATGGAAGAAATGAAACCAATCCAGAGGAACGTAGGCCCGTTGGTCGCTATGTCCAAATTCTTGGACGATCATCTGCGGCCTAGGAGCCGAAGCGCACCCCCCGGCTGCATGCTGGACCACAGCCGCATCTATAGACTACTCGCATCTATAGACTACTATCAAATCGGTTGTAGAAACGTACCATGAACTCACCCTTCGTGTACCGTAGTTTCAAGAACAAAGTAATCGATGGCCATTGCTGAGGCAGATGTCGTCTCCTGTCAAGCCCTCATCAGCCTGATCAAACTCCCCTAGCCTCCCCTATAGGTGATGTGGCTCAGGTTCATCACCGCTTACTCTGCTCTCCGGCTATTACTTAGTCGGCAACGAGAATAAGGTAGTTAGCACGCAATTATATCTCTTCGCAGATCCCCCGGATCAATCTGATGGCACATCTTGCCCATCACTCGATTTCTAACACCAGTCCAACAACTCGAGAAACTGTCCATATACCGTTCAGGGATTAGTCAGTCTCACTCTCGGACTTCAGACTTGTCTACTACTGGCGGATACAAGTGCCAGTGACAGAGCACTAAGACGCCGTGACAGTTATGATAGACTATTATGATATTCGCACACCTCTTCCGGTGCATAACATTCATGGGATCGAGCCAAGCAAAGAACGCCGTCGGATGAGCTCCCGAATACGTCCTTCTCCAATATCTCGAACAGCCAAAGCATCTGTCGCTGTTGAAGGCCACATCATGAGAGGTTGCCTGATGTTGTCAACAGATAGCAGTCATTATTTGACGCTCAATATCAGGTATCCTCCACCGAATGTCTGATACATACGACCATACCTGGTAGAAAACTCGGGATCCCGTCCGCTCTCCCATAGATAAGCTACCAAGGGTCAGACCAGTAGTTGGGTCGGTGACGACCAGCGAATCCCTGATGTTGTATGTTTTGGTTGATTTTTTTGGTGTTGATTTTTCCCCAAGCCGTTCTCCTGTTTATTCTTGGAGGACTGAGCAAATTAACAGCGTAAATTGGTCCCACGCCATGATACGATGCCGCCTAGCCTTTTCCCTTTTCATTGTCCGAAAGGATAACAGATTCAGCATGGAGGCAGTCGACGAGGTCTACATTGACTCCATTCCAAAGCTGTGTTTATATCAGGCATTAACTCGCGGCACAATGCAAGGAGCCGAGAACAGCCGTGATGCTTAATTCTTGACCCACAAAAGCCACTGTTAACCAATCATAGCCCTGCCAGCATTTTATTCCGAACCACATCCATTTCCCTCAACCCCGAACGTGACCGACATCGTCAACCGTTGAGCCTCGCTCCCACCGGAGGCCACCCATGAATCCGCTCTCCTGAGCCCGCAACAACAACGATGAACCGGCACGCCATCCGGACCGCCCTCGGGCGCGTCGGACCGGCAACTACAACAACAATAACAACAACAACACGAACATCCCGCTGCCTCGCCAACGGAAGCACACCCACCCCGATCTCCTTCTTCACGTCCCGCGCCGGAGGAGGAGGAGGAGGACGCGACGACAGCCACAGCGACGCAGTGAAGCGAATCGTCCAGCTATCCGAGCAGCGGCCGACCAACAGTTCTTCTTCGACCACATCAGAATCAGGCTCGACAACGACACAAAGATCGGGGTCGGGCCCCGCCCGCTCACAGAGAGGCGTCGACGCCCGCTCGCTGCGCGTCGCGCCCTCCGCCGCCAGCGCCTCCTCTGCGCCCAAGGTCCTCAACCTGCGCAGCCTCCGCGGTCGCGGGTCTGGGCTGCGCAATCGGTTATCGCTGAATGCCCGCGCCGCCGCCGCGCCGGGAGAAGCAGGCGGGCCGGGTAATGTGGCGTTTGGTCGGCCAGGGCTGAGCGGTGCGCGGATGGGATTTGGGAGGCCAGGCGGAAGGTTCGGTGGTGGTGGCGGAGCTGGAAGGGGGGATAGACCGGGCTTCGGCGGCCGTGGAAGACGCGGCGGGTCGCGGGGGCGCGGTGGTGGGTTTGGGGCCGCCCGTCGATCGCAGCAGGATCTGGAGGGCAAGGGCGGGCCGTCGAACGACAAGGTGGTCTTGACGCCCGAGGAGCAGGCGGTGGTTGACCGGCTCGAGAAGGGCGAGGTGGTGCCGTTTATGCCGAAGCTGACGCGGGAGTCGCTGAGCGGGTACGGCGCCGCGGTGGCGACGGACGCGGCGCTGGGCCAGGTCGAGACGGCCATTCGCACGATGCGGCTGATGACGGGCGGCATGGCGTACAACCCTGACTCTGGCGTCACGGCCGATCTCACGGCCATCCAAAGGAAGTACGAAGCGCACATGCCCTTCTTTGTGCACAGTAAGGGGGAGAAGGCGTGGATCGAGAGCGCCAACCCCAAGCTTCACGTCGTCGGGCCCGATCCTGCGACCAAGAAAGCTATTATCGACACGACTATTCTGGGCAAATACGAGGCGCCAAAGTTTGCCGAGATTAGTGACGTCAAGGGCACCATGGCCGCCTACCATCTCCGGACCTTTACCTACAAGGCGTCGGATTCGCAGAAGTTCATGGACAAAGTGCTCTCGTTGTTACCGGCGCAGGGCGGTTCTGCGTCCGGTGCTCAGGCCAGGAAGTGATGTTGAGGAGAGGAAAATGGGAAAATGACCTCCAGGACGAGTCCTGTCCGCCTCAGGGGCACAAGCTCGATGTTTGTATATGTAACAACGCCGTACCCGGTCCCATTGTGGTGGTGTTTTAGTCTACTTGTACACAGGTATCTATCGTTTCTTCATAGAGCCCACAGAAACGGTTTCTATTCCCACCCAGATCCTTTTTCTTGCCCTGCCTTGTCCAGCCCTGCCCTGCCCTACCTACCCATTACTCGTCTATTTAGCTCTGAAGGGGTCGTCAGTCTCAGCTCGCCCTCGCCATGATCTGCTGCACCACCTCCTTCTCCTTGGCCAGAATGCCCTTCATCCTGTCATCCTGCAGCTTCTGCAGCTCCTTCTTCAGCTTGTGAAAGTCGTCGTTCAGGATCAGCCTCTCGTCGCGCCACTTCTTGTGCGCCTGGGTCCGGCGGTGGGCCTCGTCGCGCACGCGCGTCCGCCAGGCCTGGCAGATGTCCTTGGCCCGCTTGGCCAGCGCGTCGGCCCGCTCGGGCTCGACAGTCATGGTCAGCTCCAGCGGGTTGTCCGGGGACGGCTGCGGCTGCTGGTTGAAGTCGTCGGACCGCTGCACCGCGCTCATGATGGGCTTCACCGACGCTTCCTCGAACGCGAGGATGCTCCACCGCCGCCCGCCCAGCGGCGCCACCGTCGCCAGCTCGCGCAGCGCGCACGTCTGCGACGGGTTCTTCCTGTCCGGCTGCACGGGGATCGCGCCGATCACGTCCGCGTTGAACCGCCCGCCGCTGCGCAGCTTCTTGAGCTCTTCCGTGTAGCGCTCCTCGGCGCGCTCGAATGCTTGGGTCAGGTCGCTGAAGTCGAAGGGGTCCAGCTCCGGTTCTTCACTGCCATTGGGGCGCTCCACTTCGGTGGCATCGTCGGCGGTGGTAGACGGTTGGTTGTTGTTGTTGTTGCCGTTGTTGCCGCCCCTGGCTTTCTTCTTCAAGCACCTCGCTGTGCTCGAGAACGGCCTGCTCATCGGGGGGTTCCGTGGCACATGGCTGTGGCTGACGGTGTGGACCGCAGGTGTCGGTTGGCACCTCAGTGGTGTTGTTGGACTTTGAACTACTAAAGACGGAGCGGTCCTGCAACTGTCGCGTGAGTTTGCGTTTTGGACTGATGGCGTGAGCCATTGGTTGCCGGGACTGACCTGAGCGCTTTACTGGCAGCCGCATTGCTGCGTAGTAAACCGCCAGCGGCTCGTAAGCATCGCATTGTGTTCTTGGTGTCTTGGGCTGAACTTTTCGCATTGATCGTTTTAAGCTTTTGTTGTTTCTAGACCCTGGGTTCTTATCAGCATCAAGCGCAATCGAAGGGTCTCCACTCTGACTCCCGCAATTGCCCATCTGTAATGTCGGTGCGACAGAAACTCAATAAGGCTGCGTGGCCCAGTGGTTAAGGCATCTGCTTTACAGGCACTCAGTGCCCAAGTCTCGCAGAGGATCGCAGGTTCGAGCCCTGCCGCGGTCATCCTTTTGTGTCTGAATTTAGACAACTTCCTTTTTGACTCCACACTCCGATCTGAGTCTCTTTATATAAGCGCGGGAATGCCTCTTAGATATTTGACTGGATGGTCTCAGTATCGGGCCAGAAGTTACTTAGGTTGGTAGTCTCACTTTAGTTCTTTGACAGCTGCGGCTGATAACCATCATCATCATCGGCGAGCAGCGAGCTCCCGCCTCTGCTCATTTACTGATGCTCAGGAAACAGCAGAACGTCAGAAGCATGGTGAATTGACAAATGACTCCGTTTCAATAGGCGCTACCCAAACAACGAGGGGTACAGAATAGACAGGCGCAATGGACAATAAGTGGTACTAATGCCGTTTTCTGGTGTCCCACACAGGCTCGGCCCCCCATATCGTAGGTAGAAAGCAACAGCCCAGGGGCAACCAGTTTCCAACTCCCCAGGCTTGTCTCCTGGCCCCTTAAACTGCCTCCAAATCCACTCCGTTGGTGTGAATACCTCTCCGCTTGATGAAATACCCCATTTGGAACCTAGCCTCTTACTCCGGCCAACCAACCGCATTACAACACTCCCCCTTCAGTTTGAAATCCCGCACTCGGATAGCAGCGCAGCAAGCAGAAGTGACTTGCAGTTTCACATAGGTTTGAATGTATCAAAACTCTCCGCACAAAAAGTTCTCCAACCCCGGTGTCCTTTCCGTGGCCCTATAAAGGAGTCCCTGTGCCCGAAGCGTATGTTCAGTCGGCGAGGAGGCCGGTGGTGGGAAGTCTGATTGCACCGCCGGTTCCTCATGCTTCGGCTCTGGTTCCTTTTCCACTGACTCGCATCGCTCTTGCACCGACTCCGTTTCCTCCTTGTCTACCCATCTCTCTCTTTTCTCGCTTGACTTTGGTGGGTTGACAGTCGTTTCTGCGGCCTCACTCGCTTCTGTCTCCTCCGTTGCGTCGGGGTCTTGTACCTGCTCCGTTGCGTCAGGGTCTTCGGTTGCTTGTTCACCTCCAGTTTCGCCAGCCTCCCCGGTCGGTTCCGCATCCCCAACCACTTCGGCGGTCTCGAACGCTTCAGCCGCCTCCTCACCCGCTTCCGTACTACCCTCCTCAGAGTGTTCTTCCCATGGCATCAGTACATCGTTGTCTTCCACATCGTTGTCTTCCACGTCGGCATCTCCCGCGTCGTCGTTTTCCACGTCTTCGTCTTCCATGTCTGCGTCTCCCACGTCGGCCTCTCCCACATCGGCCACTTCCACGTTGGCCACTTCCACGTTGGCCACTTCCACGTCGGCGTCATCATCGGCCAATATGGCGAGGTCGGTGTCCCCCATCCAGACCTTAATCCGCATCTAATTGACTTGGTTGCCGCAAAGCAGACACTTGACCGGCTCCGTCCAAGTCTTCTGCCCGCCGACCACGCTCTCGCGGAGATCCTCGATCTCTATCAGTGGTGGAGCCAAATCTGCCGTCTTCAGCACCGCTTTGAACAAGCCCTCCCATGGCCGCGCGCTGTCGCCGTTGGCTTCTGGGGCCTTCTTTCGCGGCCGGCCCGGCTTCCGGCCCGGCGTGGGCTTGCTCGTAGCGACGCCCACAGTGTGCTTGTCCGGCGTGTCTGTCCTCGTCGTGTTTTCGCTCGCCGTGCGCTGCTGATCGGCAGGTCGCATAGGGAGGGAATCCTCCGGGGCGGCCGGTGCATCCTCGTCATCGGCCGCTTGCCCGACTTCGACGTTGTCTTTGACTACAACGGCATCCGATGGCCCCGACTCGGCCTTAACGTCGATGGAGTGTTCCGTGGAGCCCTCAGCGCCGGTTTCGGTTGGGCTCAACGGCCGCTTGCCCTCGTCCCCAGACTCCTCTTTCTTAGCTGTTGCTGGGGGCGAAGGCGGCACGTGTGGTTTGTCGGTGCCCAACCGTTTATAAACTGCCTTGAGCGCGTCGTCGATGATGCATTGTTCGTGCATCCATTTTTTACAGGACTCCGTCGTGCAGCCGATCAGCAACTTATCGGGGTTCCCCGGGGTATTGCAACTGCAAACTAGCTCGACCGACTGGGAGGGTACGGATTAGTATCGCAATGCGAGGGGAAGACTGCGGGGAAGGTCGTTTACCGAAAGCTCGTAGGTCCTGACATCAAATGCTTGCCTCCAATACAACGCGTTTTGTATTTCGTCGTCGTTCTCCTCGTACCATTGCTTCACGTGCGCTTGAGACGTGACGCTCACGACATTGATAATGTCCACTGCCAGAAGTCAGCAACCTTGCGGTACTATGCCCGTCACCCCTCAGAGCTACTTACTGTGGTTGGAGGCGATCAATTCGTTCATGCCGTGGTACGGCTGGCGGCCCTGCACTATCTTCTTGCCGTCGTGCGTCCCCGGCGGGAGCTCGTCGGGCCAGTACATCCAGTAGACCCGCGCATACACGTGGTGTTCGTCACTTGCCCGGATCTCCAGGATGCGGGCGACCCAATCGTCATCCGACTTCTTCCGAGGCTGGACTGGCTCATTGTTGTTGACAGCTTTTTGCCGTTCGATGGTTGACTCGTTCGCAACGTAGATAAACCCTTCGCTGAAATACTTCGTCCCATTGACTATGCGGCAGGAGATACGTTAGCCACTTGTTCTGCGATCTCGGGCGCATGGTATGGGGGTGGGGGAGATCAACTCACGGACGAAGCTATTGTATCTCGTCATGTCTGTCCACTTCTTAGACGGCTCGACCTGGTAGTAGAGGTCCATTGTCTCGTGCGTTTTGAACTTGCCGCTCGGCGTAAAGGGCGACAGTTGTACGGGTACTTTCTGGGTAACATCCTCTTCCTCGCCTGATTCAGTTCGCCGCCGCTTCTTTTTCTTTTGATCCTTGTCTTTGGGATCGACGGTCTTGACGGAGAACGGGCATTCAGCCCGGTTGTCCTCGGGTTCGGCCCTAGGCCTCTTGCGCGAGGATGCCATGTCTGCGAAAAAAGGGTGGCGATGGCGTGCTCTTTGGCGTGTCGGTAATTAGAGTACGGGTGCGGCTATATCTGAAAAGCAAGCGTGTGTCGGATACAAAATAACGGTGTTCAAGCTGCTCTGCGATTAAGCTGTTCTGTATAATGAGGCCGGGCGGTTGCGCGAGCGTTACGAGATGCGGCAGCTCGCGAGGAGTTGATAGGGTGGCTCCAACCGCGGCGCGGAGCTTACGGTAGCGAGTAGGAGCTGCGGTGGCTGGGGGAAAGTGCCGACGGCGGGAGGGGGCACGCGTCAGGAGCACGTCGGAAGCACGTCGGCGGGTGTATCTGACGGTCGCTTCGAGCCGCAAAGGCGATCGCGACCTTCAGACGACTTCCCCAGAGTCTGATATGCGATGCTCGTGCGTCAATGGACGACGGCAGCTGATAGCTGATGCTGCAAGGTGTTGTCGCAACAAAAGATGACAGCAAAATTTCCCGAATCCCGCGCCCGCTTCCCGAGCCCAGAAAAGGGAGATGGGGCCCCGGGAACCCAGCCACGTGATTAATGTGCGCTGTATTTAGACGGTGTCAGCGGATAACTACGCTTACAGTATCTACCTACTGTGTATGTCCCTGCAGGTCTACGCGATCGCAGCATAGGCACCTAGGCAGCAACGTAGGTCAGACCTTCCGACTTACTACAGCGCACACGACTGAAGCTTACCTTAGGTACAAGGTAAGGCTATCCCACGTCATCTGAGATGCGACGAACTGACCAAAGTTCTGTGCCTTTGTTCTGGCGGAAGGTGGATCCGTTCGGCTGGACCCGAGGATAGCAATCCATGTCATTGGTGGGTTGACTGGAGAATAGAGATGGCGCCTTGTTTAAATATTTAACGGCACTGTACATACGTCCACACAGAGGGTATGTTAGTGAGGAGAAATGGCTGTGGCTGGGCAATTGATCGATGCGGCGCTTCAGCACTCATTTGGCCATACTGATTACTCGATCGCCAACAACAAGCGAAAGACGGCGCAATAACCATGTCAAACAGGATGAGTTGACAAAAGCATCCTGACTACGGGTACTGGAGCTGTGGTTTGTCGGATTGTATATCCAGCGTTCATCACGTATAAGTAACTGTTTGTATTCCACGCCATCATCTCTTTCACTTGAATATTTCCCTAGACCGCATTCGACAATGATCTAGGGATAGGTTAATAGCTTCCACCCAACCCATCAAACCTGGAACCAACACACCGGACAATACGCCTACCAATACAATAAACGCCGTCGCTATGCATGACCGCACATACGTACAGAACGAAAGCTACAAGCTCCCTCAAGGATCGGTATCTTCGTCATAGGCATCCAGGATCGCCCTGCTCTCCTCGTCACTGTCCCTCGAGCGCTCGCCCTGCGCGAGCTTGAACCCCTCAATGATCTCCGCGAGCTTCTCGCCCTCGCTCCGACCCCGCTCGACGTTGATGCACCACATCAGCGGTGCGGGCAGCCCCACCAGCGCAGCGAGGAACCAGAACGCGGGCCGGATCTCCCCGAAGCGATCGATGATCGCGCCGACAATGGCAGGGCCGAAGACGCTCGACCCTTTGTCCGTGATGGCGTAGAGCGCGTAGAAAGCGGCCTCGGATCCCGGGGGGATCAGCTCGCCGTAGAGCGAGCGGCAGTAGCCGCTCAGACCGCCGAGCACGAACCCGTAGACGGCGGCCAGGGGGTACATCTCCCACGGCTGCTGGAGGCCAAAGACGCCCCAGCTCTTGACGAACGGGAGGTAACCCATGAGGCCGTAGAGGGGGATGATCTCGAACAGCGCGATGCACGCGAGGATGGTCTGGTGTGCCTGCAGGCGGAGGCGTCGCGAGATGAAGGACCAGGAGAAGGCGCCGGCAATGCCCGCTGTCGTGGAAATCACGTTGATCATGCCCAGTGCCCACGGCTCCATGTGAAGCTGAGTCTTGGCGAAGAGAATGGCCGTTGACGAAGTCGTGGCGATGGCGTCCGACAGCAGAAACCACCCGCCAAGGAAAAGGACAATGTCGATGAGCCGCCTTGCTAGCTGGACAGTGCGGAAGAGGGACCTCCAGGCGTAGGCGGTGTAAGAGATCCAGGCGCGCACGCCCTTCTGGCTCGACGACGACTGCAGCGGGGGACCCGGCCGGGGCCGCAGCCACATGGCCGCTGGGACGGTAAAGAGCGCCCACCAGGCTCCAATAACAAAAAGAACGACTCGCTGGGACCATGTGGTGTTCTTCATCCGGATGAGGATGAAAATAGCCACGCATTGCAGGAAAAGACCTGCGATGTAGCCGATGCCGATGCCCTTCGCTGAGATTTGCGTAGAGAGGGTAAGCTCTTTGGAGGTCAGCTCCTCGCGTGTTTGCACCCGGGACATGGCGTGCCCGTCCTCCAAGGGATCCCTGGGCAGTAACGCCGCGGTTGAGTCGACCAGTGCCCCCTCGCCGTGCGGGTCTTCATTGTGCTGTGGCCCCTGTTCAGTTGGGACCGCCAAACCGGCAACCGCAGCCTCGTCGTCGCTGAGTTCCGGGTGGTGCCTGACGAGAAGCGGGAGGAACGAGTTCAGAAGCACGAAGGAGGCGCCGAAAGTGGTATTCGAGACGATGGCGAGTAGCGCGCCGAAGAGGTAGACATTCTTCGACACGAAGATGTAGAGCATCACGCACGAGCTACCGATCCACGCAAAGGCGAGCAGCAGCTTCTTGCGGTAGTTGCCGTGGTCGGCGGCGCAGCTTATGCTGACCACCAGAAGTGCTTGTAGTAGCACGCTCACGCTAAACGTGTACATGGCGAAGCTCGCCGTGTTGATCTCCATTCCCAGGACGTAGACAATGCACTGCCCGCCGTCCTCAAGGTCCTTCCCGTTGCTGGGACCGCAAGGTGTCTTTCGGTCGGCAAGAAGGACGCCATTTTCCCTTGCGAGACTCTCGAGCAATATCGGGATGAACGAGCCTATCTGGTAGTCAGCTCATGCAACTTGTGCCGATATGGGGATGGAGCAGCTTCGGGTGGTGGCGGTGTAGCGGTGGAACGTGGGATCGGGATCGGGATCGGGGATCGGGGATGGGCAGACGTACTGATTCCTATAATGTCAATCCATTAGCTTTGAAAACAAACCGGGAAGCAATCCAGGCGTTTTTGTGCCTACCGCAAATGACATAGACCTCGGCGGCGAAGGCATATGCATACCACCCGGCGAGCTCCTTGGGGCTCGTGGGACGGGTGTCCTCTCCGGGATAGCGCGGTGGAGGCACGCCGAAGCTGCTGCCGCTGTTGCTCCTGCTCCGGCTGCGACTCATCATGCCGAGGTCTCCTGGCGACGCGGTGCTGGATCGCTCGTCGTCGGCCTCGAAGGAAGACGAGTACGTCAGGAAGGAGCGCTTAGACACCTGCGACAGGCGAGACCAGAGCCGCGGAGCGGGCGGCGGGCGGTGCACGGGCTCTGACCGCGGCGCCATCGCTTCCCCGGCTGGCAGCGGGTCGAGGCGCTAGCGTTTAGCTATGTACCGGCAGGCACCGAGCACTGACCAACAGGATCATCCGATCCCTGCACGGCTTGCTGCTGTGGCACCTCGGAAGACACCTATGTAGATGTCGGGTGACCCGCAGTCTTAACCTTACACAGTATTCCGTGGCTGGGTTTGGATGATGGGTGTTTCTGCGAGGGACCTAGGTGTTCGTTCTTTGGACGGTCCAGCAACGATGAACCGGAGGTCCGATTTGGCGCAGACTATGATCGGGTAGCCGGCAAAGTTGAAAGCGCATTCGCATCCGAGTGGAGGGTGTCGCCGTCGGGGTTGCCAGTCACTGTTGGTTACATCTTGGTCATTTCGTCGGGCACTCACCCATCTGCCTGCGGCACGGGGCATCAAACGAGAAAGATCCGGACTCGATGCCGGCGAGGCCAAGGCCCGAGTTTAAGTACATGCCATGAGCTGGTCGATCAAGGCTCGGATGCCTCCACCGGGCAAATGGGGCCGGTGTGTTGTTGGTGCGTGAATCCGGGGAGCATAACCCAAAGAGGGTGTGTGTTGATCCCGAGTCCTGTCGCGGCCCGTTGTGAGGTTGCTGGCCACTTGACCCTTGTGATCAGGCAACGAGGGGGTCGAGAGCTGCTCGCCATTCCCCTCTTTACATGCACGATGCTACACTATATGCCGTTCGGGGGTTATCTTATACCCTTACACAGAATCTTGTCAGATTCAGGAATATCTACCAGAAATGCATCTAAACTTGAACCCGAGGACGTTGGCCTTCCCGAGCATGCGTACGAATAACTATAGACTGACCGATCCACACCTTCGGCGCCGGCGACTTTTAGTGACTGCATGTCTGACCACGCTGCCAATAGTTACGGGACAGTTCCTGCACAGCTTGCCGATTGCATAGCAGCTAACCCGGAATAAGGTTGCTGACCAGCGTCGTTTGGACTTTGGAACCAGGTGCTTGATTTCTAGTCACGGTCTCGGCGTTCACATTCTGGCTCTCCCAAGACCCCATTCACGCCAAGCCCTGCGTCAGGCCGAAATCACGGTGTCCCTCATTGCATTGCCCAACTGGGTTGCGCCTTTAGCTAGCGTATCACCAACCACCCATGTTGCGGACAATGGTGGTGATGATCAACAGCTTCTGCCAATGGTGTTGATATGCACATCCGGAAACCCACCCATTACTTGCTGCCAATCCTGAACGTCGATCCGATAGCTTGTAAGGTCTGGAATACGCAGTGGTATCTGAAGTAGATGACTCAAAAGCCTCGAGCGAAAGAACAAAACAATCTAGTCCAAGCCTCCTCTGCATTATCGCATCATCGTTGCGACCCATATCAAGTGGTATCAGTGCGAAGAGAGAAAAAGTTAATCCAACAACACGCACACCAATAAACTCAAAAGCCCACAAGCCATAACCAGCACCCTCAAACCGCCCTCACATCGCGAGGAGAGAGAGAGACAAAAAAGCGGCCCTCCCTATTTCTTGAAAACCCCAAAAATCTTCATCTTCAGCTTATCCGCCAGCGAGATCGGCGCCGCCGGTTTCCCGTTGCCGTCAGCGGTGTCCTGCTTGGGCGCGACGTGCTCGACATTGCCGGCGCCGCCGCGGCCGGTGTGGTAGTCCGAGTTGTCCTGGCTGGGCCGGACCGCCGCCTCGGGGATCAGGTCCTTGTCGGCGCGCACCTTCTGCTTCTTACCCGCGTCGGCGATGTTGGCTGCGCCTGTTGTGTGTGTTGAAAAAGAGGGTTTTAGTTAGCGGATTTCCATTTTGGTTCCAGGTTTCTCAGAGGCTTATCGCGGAGCCGAGGCTTGGCATGACATGTGCTTGGGAAATGTGGGGTTGTTCTATTCTAGCAGCACGGGTTGGTGATAACACTGTCGTTGCCATCGTTGTTGAGGTTTGGCGGGTGTGAGATAGTGATGGTGAGGTTCAGATGGTGGCATTATGTTTTCATTCCTCCCGGGAAGGGTGACGGGTAATTGAACAGATTCGTACCTCCACGGCCAGTGCTGAAGGCCCCGTCTCCGTGGCTGCCCTCCTCGCCGACCCGGACCACCTCACCATCGACGTATTTGGTGTCGTCGGGGTTGATGTTGCCGGCGCCACCGCGGCCGTGAGAGACTTCGGGTGCCGCCATTGCAGAATTTATGCTGGGTGAATGAGTCGAAGCTCCTGGCTTGTGTTCCTGCCGCGAAAGTGGCTGGAAGCGATGTTCTGGGAGTCGGTGGGCCGGTTTTAGGGTCGAGGGAACGGAAGAGGCTGAGAAAGCCTCGACGGTACCTCGAACGAGAGGTGCGCCTTATAATGCAACCCCAGCCGCAAACCTCAGCAGAGCAGCCAGCAACCTTGGAAATTACCTAGCATGAATCCCGAGCTGGACAAAGACCGCGGCATGGCTCATCTCCTCCTGCCAATGAAGCTGATAACCGGAGTGGGAGATAACGATAAGGTATGCCAAGATTGGCGGGACTAGAGGCTAAGACGAAATATCCTCTTATCCAGTGCGAAGCCTGCCGTACCCCCACGGCATCCTCGATATGACTGCTGTGTAGAAAGATCTACAAGCGTGACTTCATCGGCAACCAACTCGATGCTTGTACAATCGACAGCTTGGAGGCTGTTGGCATGGATTAATACCAGAATATCAAACTGCGTAACTTAGGTTACTCGTCCACTTGTAAGACGAATACCCGGTTAACGCACTAATCGCACCATTCAGGTGAGGATCAAGTTCAGGCCTGATCCATGATTTACAAGGCAAGTCAAAAGGCTTGTCAAATAACTGCCCAGGTTCGTTTTCTCTGAGTTCTATAACTTATACTCTTAACAACAGCAGTCATCAGAGGTATCCGGGGTATAAGAGTCGTCCACTTACACATGCAACTATCCGAGCCTAGCTATGCAGCCATCTGTGGGGAGGGATCACTCACCAAACAACATTACGTACATCTATTGTACAGTACTGTGCTGTAATCCTTACCTGATTGAGTCTCACCGATAGGGCTTGCGTGAGGTGTGGCAGCCTCACGCCGTGCATGCAGCCTCATGCTTGCTTTGCCTCGACACTCACTCCCCAGTTAACGTCCTCTGCTTGTAGGGGGAAAAAGAATAAGTTGAAGGGACTTCGGAGGCTCGCCGTTGGCCGGCCTTCTCGGTTCAGGGGCCATAGCCCGAAGATTTTCAATCTCAACCATTCAATTCAATAAACTCTCAAGCATGAGAAGCCCGGAGTCTAGACCGAAGCTGAGAGACGACCGATTTCTCACAATTCGCTGAGGGTTGTCTTGGGCTATGTGCATTTGACTTGGTCAGCCCTGACCACGTAACCGATGCTACAAACCAGGCCAGACAAGCAGAGTCAAGGAGTGTATTTCGTATCTCATCGGCCACCATGGATCCTAAGCTGTCTGAATTGACAGTGTAGGTAGCTGGCCTCCTCCCTTGTCGGATGCCGAAGTTTGCAGCCCGGGATGCAGCTTCGCTCGCAGCTTCCAATCTTCATTGACACCAACGAGAGCTCATGCCATTCCGACTCACTCAGAGCTTAGCATCCCTCGCGCGACCGAACTCGACCGTATTGGTGCAGGTCCCGACACCCTCAAGCTCAACCTCCACGACATCGCCGTCCTTCAGCCATACCTGCGGGTTCCTGCCCATACCCACTCCTTGAGGTCTGTAGCAGAAGAAAGAGACTCACGATCAGTAGCCGCCCCTTTCACACACACACACACACACACAGACAAGATCTCAAAACACGGGGAGCGAAGAGGAGAAAAAAAGACTTGAGATTCACGTACGTGCCCGTAAAAATGAGATCCCCCGGCAAGAGCGTCGTCCCCTGGCTCAGGAACGCAATCGTCTTCTTCACGCTGAAGATCATATCCGCCGTGGTGCTCTCCTGCACGACTTTCCCATTCACACGCGTCTTGATGGCCAGGGCCTGCGGGTCCGGGATCAGGTCCGCCGTGACGATGGCCGGGCCGAAGGGCGCCCAGCCGTCGAAGCCCTTGCCGAGCGACCATTGGCCGCCGCCCCGCTTGAGCTGCCAGTCGCGGTGCGACACGTCATTGCCGACCGCGTAGCCGAGCACGTAGTCGAGCGCCCGGGCCTCGGGCACATCCGAGCAGGGCCGCCCGATCACCGCCACCAGCTCGCACTCGTAGTCCAGCCCGCTGCCCTGCTGCGCGAGCGGGTGCACGGGGATCGGGTCCGTGGGGCCCGAGAGCGACGTGGCCGGTTTGTACTAGCAGGGCGATGGGGGTGAGTGAGGATGCAACTTTTGGGGGGGGGGGTTTTGGTGGGTAAGCGAGACAAGAAGAGTGAGCGACTTACGAAGACCACGGGATATTGAGGGATGGGCATTTTCGACTAATAATGCTGGTCAGTTCTGTTCATGTTCGTGCTGCATGGGGTAAAGTAAAGAGGTAGGTAAGGTAAGGTAGTTTACTATGCACGCACCTCCTTCGCATGGGCGGCGTAGTTCAGGCCCAGACACCGCACCGTCCGGACATCTTCGGGAGCCAGGGGCGCGAGGAGCATGCGGATGTCGGCGACCTGGTCTGTGACGTCGTGCTTGCCGAAGACGTCGCCCTTGACGATGCGGGCTTGGCGCGCCTTGCTGACGTCGGTGACGCCCCGCGGGAGGATGGCGTCGCCGTAGTAGGTCCGGCCGTCCCGGGCCAGGAATCGCACGAGGCGCTTATTAGAAGTCGCGTCAGTTCAATGAGCGGAGGGCACCATCACATCACGTAAGCTGAAAAAACTCACCGAGAAAGAGGGCATGCTGGATAGTATGCTTCCTATCTGACGTGGCTAATTGACCAATTCAATATCAGGTTCACGATGGCCCAGACTGCAATGATAATATGGGCCAGCTTGTTTCTGGAGGTGAGATCGAGACACCGATGGCGGAGATATTTCGCTATCCGCCCCTTATACTACTCTCGCTTTGGTGGAGATTTCGTCGAGGATGCCCCATCACGCCTCAACCCACAGTCACAGTTACGTACTACTGTTATTAGTGCAGCTTCCGGCACTACTGTACTCCGTAATCCACGGAATCGAAAAGCCGGGGGAGCTTTCGGTTGAAATATTCCACCAGCCACCATCTTTAGCGTCCGTGCCCGCGTTCCCGACATCGGCACTCCGAGGCGGAGGCCCGGCTGGCTCGGCAGCGCACCCCGAACCGGCCCGGCCCGTTTGGCTCGGGCGGATGATGTGCCGAGCCGGTGCGAACTTGCGCTCGATTCAATACCTTAACCTAGCAGGGAAGAAAGCGTAGAGGCAATACCGACAATCATATTAGGGCGACTAATCTTAGGCCTAGCTATACGGGATTCCGGAAACGCTATAGAACCAAAACCGGCTTCTTCCTCGGGGAAACTGCCTAGGTAGTTATCTTACCCTTATACCGGATAGTCACCAACATTGCGGCATACTTAAGGTACCTAGGTATTCTCCAAGAGTGCGTGCCAATCTGTCGCTTTATAGCCCCCCTGCCGAGGCTTGGCTACATGCGGACCGACGGAACCTTCACTAACTCTATTGTAACTTATGTACGGGCATTGCTCAGGGACTACACACAGTAACCAACGCGCGGCGATTGACCGTCATTTGGTTTGCAATTCGCGTCAAGCCAGGACTCTACTTGGTGCAAACGCCTGTCTGGCTAGCTGGTCTGTCCGGTACCCACTATAGTGATGCAGGGAGGGCCTGCGCGTAGCCAGCCTCTGCCAGTCCCGCCCGTTGCCTGCTTTGCCGAGATCGGCCCTCCGAGGCCCCGGCCCGGCCCGTGGATGACGTGCCGAGGCGACAATGAGCTCGACGTCAATTTTTCTGATCTGGCGTGTCCTGTGAAAACCAGCCAACGCCTGACTCGACAACCACTCCGCTGAGCATCCAAGTCAAAACCGCACAATGCGTCTTTCGGGCCTTCAGAGAGAGGTCCTTTCCCTGTACCGGCATTGTCTCCGCGAATGCCGGAAAAAGCCTGCAGCGAACCGCAAGCACTTTCAGGTGTTTGCGAGAAATGAATTTGAGAAGAACATCAAGATCGACAAACGAGACTTTGGCGCCATTGAGTTCTTGCTGCGCAAAGGCCGGCGGCAGCTCGACATCTACGCATCCCCGGGGGTCAAGGACATCAAATAGCGACAGGGCCGCTCCTTCTTGTTGTGGATGATCTGTCACCGATCTCACCACTGTAGCTACTTAGTAGTACTATGACGGACAGCGGAAACCGCGGAGACCGCCCGGCGCGGCTGCCTGTAGAGCACAGGGGCCGCTTGCCGGTCAGGTGAACCTGCTTCGAATCTGCAGTCTCCTAATCCCGCCGGCTTTCTTTCCTCTCTACCTGGCTTGTCGCTCATACTCACCTCGCCGCGTGCTTTGCATCAACTCCGCTCCGAACCAGTTCCTTAAACCCACGCACCATGCCTACAGCCGGCTTAACTTAGAAAGGACGCCCGCATCATCGGCCGAAGATCAGACTTGGTTCCGCCGGTCCGCCCAGCTCCAACTTGACCCAGCGCGCCGTGGAGCTTGTTGTGCGAGAACCGTTGGGCGAGCCTCTGCAGAAGCTCCACCCCGCACAACATATTGAAATCCCCCGGAAACGAAGGAGCAAGCTTTGTTTTCCCATCCCTCGAGATTCCAATTGCTTTCGTGGCGGCCGCAGTCGGACTAGTCCCGCGTTGCGGTCGAGTGCAAGACCGCACGCACCGTCTCGGGGGAGCTCCACTCGTCCTCTGTACCGAGTTGGGCTTCCAACATCCGCTGTCGAGCCACGCACGAGCTTCAGAGCTCAAAACGGACGGCAGAGATCCGAGGCCGAGCCACGGGCCGCTATCATTGGAGAGCCTGACGGTGTTGACCCGAACCAAGCCGGACAAGCTTCCGCACTTCGAGATGCTGCGGAGACGTCTCCAGGAGGGGCCACTCGCTATCCTCTCTTTCCAACTCCGGACCATAACCAGGCACCACGCGATACCGAATTCCGGTCGTGTCCCATCACCCGGGAGGTTGACAGGCATCGTGACTGTGTGGCGGCGGATGCCGGTCCCGGCCCTCCTCTGACCGCGACGGAGACCCCTGTCTCGACGCGTACAGCACAAGAGCTTCTGCCGCGTCCGCATCAGAATCGGCAAGCTATGCCAGGAGTCACGCCTACTAACCAGAGGGTGAGCCGGCGAGCCAAAAAGGTCCAACAGGCTCCAGGTCACATGCTGCGCCGGGGACGGCTCAGACGTTCCAGAGCCTTTCTTCTCGATGACCGGCTATGGTTAGGGCCCGTGGTTCACAATCAGGGACTGGATGGCAGTTCGACGGACTGTCACGACAGAGCCACAAGACCAGTCTCCTCCGCTGTCACCACTCCTTCTCTCGGCACGCGGGTGTTGACTATGTCAAAGCTGCCTACATCACCGATATTCTCGGGTTCTCGGCGTGCTGATACTGCACGAGCAAAGCCGGCCCGGATTTCTCTCCGCCGGCTCCCTACTACTATTCCAGAAAGTGAAGAGCCAACCAGTCCGAGAGTGGAAGTGCCGAGCCACCCGGCTTTGAAGTCACAGCATAGCGGTGGTGAGGTTAACCCGGAACTGGGTGCGGAACAGGGCTACTTTAACCAAACTGCCTCGAACAGCATCAAACAGAATCTCAAGAGTACACCGCATGTTGCCACGAAGGGGGACCATCTCGTGAGCATGTCGTCACCCTCGCAAACGAGCTCCAGAGATACCGTCCTCGAACCGAATTCCCTAGTGAGAGAAGAGCCTCGGTCGGGGACTGCGCAGCGCCCTTCTCAAAGCAAAAGACCAAACCGGAAACGTTTATCACCGTCCGAGAGACTTCAGCGTGCCGCCATGCTACGACACGAACGGATGATCGAGGCCATGACACAGAACGCCGAGGCCGTTGAGCCGGGTACCAGGTCAAAGTCGACATCCACCTCCGAACGGATTCAAAGGAGGTCGGCGGAACCAGGCACACCCCAACAGGAGGCTTCCACCGAAAGAGAACTTGAGAACGACAACATCAGAGACCTGGATGAAGTGTGCACCGCGCCCTCCGGCTCAGGTGCACCCTACTCACCAATATCGAGCTCGACGCCCTGCTCCAGCTCTGCGCCGATTTCTGGCCGGTCAGGGAGGTAGACCGTCAGGCAGCTGCGTCAAGGTCTTCCGACAAAATAATCTGAGAAGGAGGTTGGACCTGGACCTGCTCCGTCGCCTCCGGCTCATATCGCTCGGCTCAAGGACGCCGAGGAGCTCGACGACTGGTTCTACAAGGAGACGGGCAGAATTCTGGGTCCTTTTCTGGATGAGCTACGGGCAGAGGGGCGCCACGGCCCGGTCAGTGAGGTGCAAGTCGATGATTTTTGGTTACAAAGAAAGCTTCTGGGCAGCAGTTGGGCGGGATTAGGGTGGACTAGCAGCTTGAGAAAAGGAATACGAGATGGATGCTTTCAGGAGGCAAGGGAGAGTTTATGGACACAAGTCGGCTATTGCCAGTATACCTTAACGCTAACTCGCTACAATCCGACACATGGTTAACCTTACCCTATCTACATGAGCAAGCCGCTAGCTTCGGTCTTGTGGGTGCGTTTCTTGCCGCTGTCTAGCATAGTTAGCATAGTTACTCAACCCGAAACCAGGTTGGCATCATTAGCTCGCATCTTATGACGGATCCTGAGCATGCGAACGTTTAACGCCAGCACGAGGCCTTGATCGGCCCTTCATCTATACCATACAGTAACATGCATATCGACGGCTGTGCCCATGTGTCCCGTTCCAGAGAAGCAAACCCACAAGGGCCCAAGAGACGACCTTACTAGTCTTATCGACTTCCTTGTCATGAGGGGCCGCGGAGTCGGGGACAGAGACCTAGCATCCAATAGTAGGTGCATTAACCACAGCATATATCAACTCGGAATTAATGTGGATTCATCTCATTTATGAGATGGTGTTGTGGTGATATTGTACAATACAGGACATGCAAAAAGCTACCATACCATGACCAGGATTCTAGGCGCGGTAGCAATGCATACAGTAGGGGTACGGAGTACTGGTGTCAACAACAGAGCGGGGCCGGGCAATGTCCCTGCCAAGGCCCCGCGATCCTACCTATCAGATAGGTATTCAGAACACCAGGAGCGACTCTTTGGACAGTGGACAACACACAGGATCGGATGTGGTTGGTACGTGGTGCACCTACTAGTATGTATGTTCCACATACATACAAAGTCCCTTACTTATATTAGCTGCCCGGGGCCCAAATAGTTTCCGTCGTGGGATCGTGAGGATCGAATTGGAGCGAGACTCTCGTGCCAGACTCTCTCTCACTGGCTGGGCAACTTGCAAAGCGCCATGGCGGGATCAGTAGGCGGTTATTTTGCCGCTGGAAGTGTGTGTGTGTGTGTGTGTGTGTGTGTGTGTGGAGGTGCGTTCTTCTCTAGGTACCTACCTGGCGATCGCCTGCCTCCCGTCCTTTTTCGTAGTCCCATGATCTTTTGCCACAATCTTTTCTGATCACGAGAGAAATGCTGTTGCGGTCTAATTACTAGCCTTTCCATCAACTGAGCTTCACTACCTACCGTAGGCTTGTTGAGAGTTGAGACGTAGCCCCTTTCCCTGTGTCCACCGCGGTGACTGATGAGGTGTGGTACGATCACAGTCAACGAACCGAGAGCTACCCGCTGTAAGAGAGGAGAAATGAGCTGCTAGCCTTTCCAGGAGGCTAGGTACTTCGCATTGCATGTACATACATTACATGTCCAGTACCGATATAATATCCATGATCCTTCATGTCAATGCCTCAGAGTGGTTCAAATCCCTTTACACCTCTGATCGTATGGTCGTGGACGGGATGAAAAGGCGAACGCGCTATGTGGTCGTCAACCGGGTAAGGTACTGTACATGTACTTCGTGCGATCTAGGTACCTAGGAATCGCCAGAGCCTTTTTTTTTTTTTTTTTTCTTCTTCTTCTTTTTTCCTTCCTAGGGCGTGCGATCGTTCCGGGGAAGGCGGGTGCATTTTAGCCTAGGATGTAAGAAGTGCTCCCCGTGGCGTCGGGACCTTGGCCTTCACCTTGTCCTTCACCGTGGATAAAGTCCCCCCTCTTGGCATGGATCTGTCCCCGGGTGGTGTCCGGCCGGAAATGTGTCCAAGGAAACGGGCAGAGTTGGGACATTTTTACAGCGCTGGCAGTTCACCGAGAGCATACACTCATAATATGGAAGTCCTACAATGGATGGAGACTTGGGAATTGGGACTTGACTTGCTCTGACGGACAGTTCCCCCCCTTTAGTCGGGCTCGATGCTCCGCTATGGTTCTATGTAGTTACTTACCTATGGTTCTCAACATTTTCTGGCTCCGCTCAGGATCATCATCTCTTGATCGACCGGGCTGTTAAGCGTTAACCGACAGGTCCTGGCATCTCCACCCGGGTAAACGACTTCACTAGGTAGGTACCTAGTCTTGCCGCGCAGAAGGAGGGTTTCCCGGATGTCGGAATGCTGCGTTTGTGGATCGGTATGGCAGGATATTATTGATTATTGAGTCCGACCCCGGTGGCCACCGCCTAGGGACTGAAACCCCCTAAATCGGAGATTCCCATCGGCACCTGGCTAAAGGTTATCGTCATACATACATACTGTGTAGGGTACGTGAACTGTACGCGAGCGCCCTGGAGCGGCGGAATGACCCGGGGAAGAAAGGGGCGTCAGCCACATCCCAAAGTCCGGGCCATGAGTAAGCAACCCAATGTCTGCGGGAAGTGTAAGAAAATAGCCATAGTAGCCGTAAGCCCCGTACCCGAGAAGAAGGGCTCGGACATTTGCAGAGCAGGCACTGTGACAGGCACTAGGAAGTAAAGAGGACGGGAGTCGTAACTGCCTTGTTGGCTCCGTGTATCATGATTACCTAAAAAACAGAAACATATAACAAGGGGGGGATTCGTTCCTCTACCATAATAACATGGCCGTACAACCCAACCCGCAACGCTGAACACAACAACCCAGAGCCAACCTGACGCATTGCCGACAGAGTAATCAGCCAACCATTTAGGCGACCTTCTCCTCGTTGATGGCAGCCTCCTTCTCGACCTGGTGGATGTCGATATGCGCCACGGCCGCCTCGTCGCCGTCGATGATCTTGGCGAGCTCCTCGAGCGTGGGGCCCTTGGTCTCGATGTACATGAAGTAGACGAAGCAGAGCTCGAGGAAGATCCAGCACTATGGCGTTGGAATACAGGTTAGCAAGCTATCACTCACATATTCACCGTTTCTTTCGGGGGCGGGTAGGGAAGCACTTACGGTGTAGATGAGGTAGAGCTTCCAGGTGCTGCCACGGATGCCTTCGTCGGGCTTGCCCTCGAAGGCCTTGAAAGCGACCGGGTTGGCGTACGTGTTGAGCGTGAGGGCCGCCTGGACAGTCAGGTTCATAACCATGAGGCCCTTGGCACGGAGCTTGTACGGCAGGATCTCGATGGCGTAGCCGACGAGCAGGCCAGACCACGCCAGCGCGTAGAAGATGGAGAAGACCCAGATGAAGAAGAGCATGGCGTAGCGCGCACCATCGAGACCGTGCGCGTCGTAGAGAGCCGAGGTAAGCGTCCAGAAGATGAAGGTGCCAAACATGCCGCCCGTCGCGGCAAGGAACATGGGCCGGCGGCCGACCTTGTCGACGAGCAGAGCCATGGTGATGGACACGATGAGGGAGAGAACCGTTTGGCCGGCCGAGAGACCGAGCTTCGCGGTTGGATCCGTGACACCGGCCGTGTCGTACAGCTTGCTAGCATAGTTGGAGATGATGGCGTTGCCGGACCACTGCGAGAAGATGCCGAGCGAGATGAGGACGGCGAAGCGGTAGCGGTTACCCTTGGTGCGGAAGAAGTCGAGGTAGCTGCTGCTCTTCTTGGCCTCGAATTCGAGCCGGATCGTCTCCTTGATCTCGCGAAATTCGAACTGGACGGTAGGGTGGTTTGCATTGCCGTTGGCATGGTACTTGGCGAGGATCTTGAGCGCCTTGTCGTGCTTGTCCTTGGCCATCAGGTAACGGGGCGACTCTGGCACCCAAAAGATGAAGGCCAGCTGGATGACCGAGGGGATAGCCTGCAGCAAGGCGGGGACACGCCAAGCCCAATCGTTGTTGACGAAATTGGTACCGAAGGAAATCCAAGAGACGACTGCACCTTCGTCAGCTTGCGGCCTTCCGGACGTTACGGTCGGTCGCCGGGAGGGCGGGGATAACTTACTCAGGGCTCCGACGTTCCAGAGACAGTTGTAGACGGTGGTGAGGCGTCCACGGTGCTGCGGGTGGCACAGCTCGGTGAGAAGCATGGGGGAGCAGATCTGGGCCAGAGAGTTGCCGAAACCAAGCATGACACGGCCACCCATGAAGGTGCCGAGATTCTGGCAGGCGGCCTGCAGGACAGCGCCGACAATCATGATGACACAGCCGATGGCAATCGGAAGCTTACGGCCGAAGCGATCAGCCAAGATGGGACTACACGCGCAACGAAGTCAGCTTCTATTCACATTCTATTCACAGAAACATCAGAGGAGAGACAGGGAATATATGTTGCCGCACTTACACCAGTGGAATGGAAACCAAGCTACCAATCTGGTAGAGCGCGCCGAGAAGACCCAGGTCGGAGCCCTCAGGGTTGTGGAAGTACGCTTTCCATGTTTCGAAGTTCTGCACGCTGTTGAAGAACATGCTGTGGACGAGAAAACGGCAGAGTCAGCTGGCCTGTTGTAGCTAACGACATGTTACCGGCCACATCCGACTCACCCATCGTAGCCAGTGGTGGCAGAGGCAATGCAAAGAACAAAGGCGAAGAAATAGAGCTTCCGAAGCCCGGGATCCTTCGTCCATTGGACCCTCTCAAACTCGGGCGCCTCCTCCTGGGCGACAACCGTCGCCTCAGCATTGGGCTTCTTCTTCGGTAGGATGCCCATCTTGACCGATCACTCGGGGGTTCTGGTTGTCGAGGTTGGCTGGCGGCAGCGCTTCAACGGCTCTCGGGTGAGGTGTTTGACGACGTGTTTGACCCGTGTCCTTGGAACCCTGAGTGAGGAGGAAGGCACGAGAGAAGGGAAACGCAGATCGACACGAGGGGTGCCATGCTTATAATGACACGATAGACACCAGCAACGACTCTGGGGTATGGGGGAGAGCCACAGACGGGCGACCGGACCGGCCAAGCGTCCCGGGATGGCGACCAGGGGCCAAGCAGCCAGGGTCAGGGACTCAAGGGAGAGCCACGGGCGGATAAGCCAACTGCAGGGAAGCTTAACCAATCCTCTGCACCTCCGAGCGCTACCCACTTCGGGCGAGCCTCCACCTGCGTGTAAATAGCTGGGTACCTCGAGACCCAAGTGCTCGTGTCCATTTGCAGCGATACCTCCATACCCCGGCCGGGACGGAGCGGCGCGGCAGCAAATTGTCGAAACCAGGCTCGCCTGGACAGTGACCCGCCTCTCGCAGAGGCTAATATCTTCTCATGAGGAGAACCATGCACATGATGAAGGCTCTGAAGAGCTGAAGCAGAAGGGGCGAACACTGGCAGCATCGCCACTGCGCCAGTGCCGTGGACAGTGGACACAGGGGAAAGACGGGAAGCGAGTCAGTCAGGCAACGAGCCCGTCCTCAGGCCCTTTCGTGTTCCAGAACCCCAGATAAGGGCGCATGCCGTCTGGAGGGGACGGTAGCGGAACATCGAACCCAACTTCGGCCCCATGCTGATCGCCAGACCTCTCCAACAAACCTTTCCCCAACTTTGGAGTCCCCGCAACTAACTAGCGCCCCCCGAGTTCACCCCATGTGCGGGTCCCACACCATTTTGCCTGCCGAGACTAGAGCTTGGCGTCCTTGGCCACGAGGGGTGCGCCAGAGGGGATCGGACCGGTTTGGCGTGCCTTGCCGACAAGCGAGCAGCTTGAGCAAATGAGAGCAGCGCAGCTGCAGCCACCGCGAGCCAACAATCGCCATGACGGTGGAAGCGGACCGATCGTGCATGGGACATCTTCAGGTGGCGCGCTCTCTATGAAATCGCTGAAGCTGCCCCTAATGCCTGGAGACAAGAACGGCGGCCGATGACGACCAGCGACTCCAGAGTCCATTAGGCATCGCAAAAACCTCTTGCTGACCTGAGTTGCATTGGGGGAGCACATGAGAGTGGTATGTTATGTGCTATCATTTTCCAAGGCCGCCATGGTTGGGTGATTATGGCTGGGTGTCCCCAGCCAGGTGCAAGGGGCGGATGCCGGGCACCGTGGCAGATAGATGAAGCGCCTAGCTGTTGCATTATGCCATGCAATATCGGTGTCGAGATGGACAGACACACGCGAGACGGCCAGACGGGCATGGCTGGCAGGTGGAAGACAGGCCTGACCCGGCGCCTGGAAACGCCAGCGGCGCCGGGCGTCCGGAGCGACGGAGCACAAAAGTGTCTGCTGAAGCCAATTCAGCCGAAGAACTAGTGTAGTTCTTTGTGGCGGACTCGTCAAGGCTGACGCGCTGAGAGCACCGACAAAAGCGCCACATGCGCCGTTGCAAGCGATCCTCACAGCATGTGAGCCGGCGGAGAGCCTCAGATGAGCAGTGCATTTGCCGGACTGTGATTGGCGGGTAGGAAGTCTCCCCGAAAATCCGGAGGCTAGCCTCCCCGCACAACGCCCACAATGGCACAAACGTGCACTCTGGAGCCGAAGTCTGGGGCGGTGGGCCTGGAATTCGAAGTTCAGTTGTTGAGCGGTGACTGGCTGGCCCGCTCGAGGCCCGCTAGTTCGCCGGGGCTTCGAGAAGGGCAGGAGGGCCGTTGCGCTATCCAATCCCAAAGAGGCGCGCTTGCAATCTTGCGGCTCGCGCTCGAACGAGGTCTTGTCTGCGACCGCCTTGACGAACGCAGTAAGGTTTGCCAACAGCACATTATCCGTCTTGGCACGACATTTAGCCTAATAATATCGGCTGTTGGCGGTGACGGAGTGCTGGGTCAGCACCATCCACTAATAACTCGTCTGCTCACTGTCTTGCCAGTCAGCTTCAAGAAGCCCTACTCGCTGTGGTGCTCGAGATCCTTTTATAGTTAGGTGCCTATGTTGGCGGCGCCGGACCCGGAACCCATCGAAGACGCACCCGGTAGCCTTACCTACTGTGTACTACTCGCCAACTCTCGGAACGGTAGCCGGTGTCGAGTCGCAACTCGTTGAGTGGTTCTTTTCGACCATATCGTCCATAGGACGGTGGGTCTGGACCTCAGGATCTGCCCATGTCGGCTCAGATCCCGGTTTAGGGCTGCGGCTGAATGATTTCGTATGAACCAAATTTTGGGTGAGATCGACGAGTATCGAGCGAAGGGTTCGGCGTCGAAGAGGATTGGTATGCCGTTCACGAGCGGGTCGAGAAGCAGCGTGAAGCGGATCACACGAAAGAAGAGAGGGTAAGCTCTCAGGCAGCCAGCAACGGGACAGTTCGATGGATGCCTGGCTGCTGTCCATCGCCCCTACCCCAGATATTGCGTGCAGCATCGACTGGAGACTGGAACTTTATGAACCGCGCCTTCCTTCAAGTGGTGAGCCCGTACGGTACTACTAAGATGCCTTACTACCTAGTACTGTAGTAGACTGCAGCCGACTGTCCAATGTTGCAACAGTGGAAGGTGCAACGGCATGCTCAATCCATGGTTACCGCTCCGCGAGGTGTCGGGCGTGCGACCACGAGAAAACACAACGACCTCGAGTTGGATTCTGCCAGCACCTTTGGATAAGGGGCTTAACAATCCCAGATTGCATACGCGTGGCCATTTCCGGGTAGTCTTCCTGAAGGGCCTTGAAGGAAGTCAGGCCGGTCCCCGGAATTTGAGGACCTTCTCATCAAGGACGCTCCTCGCCAACAGGCCCAACGAGGAAAACGGTGTGTTGCATCGTTCTCTGTAGTGTACGGGCGGGCAAAATTTCAAGGATGTCGTTCGCACAGAATTGCGGAGCCCAGGACGGGAAGACGGGGTCGACAGGCTGCATTGAAACTCTCCCCGTTACTCCACCTTGGGGGCCAGAGCTGCATCCTGCTGGTATATTGGACAAAACGAAGTTTGTCGACAGGACGGATGATTGATCCTGAAGGATTGTCTGACTGAGATGCGCTCCGAAGAGCCGACGGCTGGGTACAGGCTTCTTTGCTCCCTTTTCCTTTCGTTGTGGTATTCTATTGCTGGTTTCGATCCTTCGTCGTGGAGGTCTTCCGTGCGTTGTTGAGTCGGAACCTGAGGTGGGCGCTAAAATTGATGAGACGAAGTCTTGGCGGGAGCAATGTCACGTGGAAGCGTATGCCACCACTGCGCGCGGTGGCGCGTGTTTTGCTGCGCGTCTCCAAATTTCCAAGACAGCTCGTGAAGCCGCATTCCCCACTCGTCGCGACCCATCGACTACAACGCCATGGCGGGCCCTTCAAGACCATCCGAGAAGAGGCAGGCCTCGCTCACAAGCTTCTTTACCGTCAATGGACTGAACAGGAAGCCGACCTCGTCACCCGGAGCCAAAGCGGCTCAGGACAAGGACGAGGACAACGAGGAGTCTTCGTTGGCGTCGTTTGCGTCGCCCGCCCGGGATGCACCGCGAAAGCGGCCTCTACGCGAAACGAATGACAATGGGAGCGAAAAATCGAGCCGTGCATCAAAACGTGCAAAGTCCATCCCAGAAAATGATGATACCGAGGATCTCTCCAACGCATCCCCGACGTCGCCATCGTCGCCTCGCCGTGGTTCGATTGCTAAGAGCTCGAACGCGCCAACCCGGACCGAGCGATACGCTTATGATGCGGATCAGCCAGTGTTGAATCCAGCTGGGCGGGCTGACGACGAGGATGCGGCGGAGAAGCGCAAGAAGGAGGAATTGCACAGGGCTTTTGTCAAGAAACTCGGGCACCCCGATAGCTTGTCCCTGTGGCGGAGACGCGAGCTCCAGGGCGAGAGCGGAAGCCCCGGCGTAGAAGGAGATGACGACGAGGCCGGGGGTGATGCCGAAGAGGATGAGCCACCTCCACCGACAAAGGCCAAGAAAAAGGGCGCCAAGACCGGAAAGCTCACGCCTATGGAGATCCAGTTTCTCGACATCAAGAGGAAGCATATGGATACGATATTGGTGGTCGAAGTCGGCTACAAGTTTAGATTCTTTGGCGAAGACGCCCGCATTGCGGCCAAGGAACTAAGCATCGTCTGCATACCGGGCAAGTTCAGATATGATGAGCGTATGCCGAACCTCCCTTGTGAAACCGCTAGGTTGACTGCCCGCTAACCGACTCCAAGACCCGTCAGAAGCCCACCTCGACCGCTTCGCCTCGGCCAGCATACCTGTCCATCGCCTGAACGTCCATGTCAAACGCCTTGTTGCCGCCGGGCACAAAGTCGGTGTCGTGCGACAGCTTGAGACGGCAGCGCTCAAAAAAGCAGGCGACAACCGCAACGCGCCGTTTGTCCGTAAGCTCACCAACGTCTACACCAAGGGAACTTACGTCGACGAGACGGGGGAGCTCGACCAACCGACTGAAGGCAGCGGTGCTCCCGCGGGAGGCTATCTCCTCTGCCTGACGGAATCGTCGACAAAGGGCTGGGGGGCGGACGAGAAGGTCGATGTCGGCATCGTCGCCGTCCAACCGGCGACAGGAGACATTATCTACGACGACTTTGAAGACGGCTTCATGAGGCGAGAGATCGAGACTCGTCTGCTTCACATTTCCCCTTGCGAGCTCCTCATCGTCGGCGAGCTCTCCAAGGCAACCGACAAGCTGGTGGGGCACCTAGCTGGAAGCAGCACGAATGTCTTCGGCGACAAGACCCGCGTGGAGAGGGTGCCCAAGAGCAAGACGATGGCCGCCGAGGCGTACTCCCACGTTACGCAATTCTATGCCGGCAAAACCAAAGACAACGACGAACGCTCGGCAGCCCTTCTCGACAAAGTGCTGAAGCTGCCAGAGCCAGTCACGATATGTCTGTCGGCCATGATCACCCACCTGACCGAGTACGGCCTAGAACACATCTTCGATCTGACCAAGTATTTTCAGTCGTTCAGTACACGACAACACATGTTGATCACCGGGACTACTCTAGAGAGCTTGGAGGTCTACAGAAATGCAACGGACCAGTGCGAGAAGGGCAGTCTGTTGTGGGCCCTGGATAAGACACAAACCCGTCCCGGCCGGAGACTGCTCAGGAAATGGATTGGCCGTCCATTGCTAGACCAGGAGCGGCTGGAGGAGCGTGTTTCGGCGGTCGAGGAGCTGCTCGAGAACCAGTCCACCGCCAAGGTTGACAAGCTCGTCGGCATGCTCAGCAAAATCAAGGCTGATCTCGAGCGAAGCCTCATCCGCATCTACTACGGGAAGTGCACCCGGCCGGAACTGCTCTCGACATTGCAGACACTCCAGCGAATCGCTATGGAGTTCTCGAGGGTGAAGGCACCGGCAGACACGGGCTTCCAATCACGCCTCATTAGCGAGGCAATCTGCTCCCTACCGGGTATCGGGGATATCGTCACCTCATACCTCGACAAGATCAACGCCGAGGCGGCGCGGAAAGACGACAAGTACACTTTCTTCCGCGACGAGGAAGAGACGGACGATATCACGAACCACAAGCTGGGCATCGCTGCCGTCGAAGCAGACTTGGATGCGCACCGCAAGGACGCGGCCGCGAAGCTGTCCAAGAAGACGCCCGTTTCCTACGTCACCGTGGCCGGCATTGAGTACTTGATCGAGGTCCCCAACGCCGACCTGAAGCGCGTCCCCGCTTCATGGGCCAAAATCAGCGGCACAAAGAAGCTGTCTCGCTTCCACACCCCGGAAGTGATGCGTCTGATGAACGAGCGCGACCAGCACAAGGAAGCCCTCGCGGCCGCCTGCGACGCAGCGTTTACAGATCTCCTCAAGTCCATCGCAGCCGAGTACCAGCCTCTCCGCGACGCAGTCGCCTCACTCGCCACGCTAGACTGCCTCCTCTCCCTCGCCCAGGTAGCCGCACTGCCCGGCTACAGCAAGCCGACCTTCCTCCCCTCCACCAGCCCGCCAACCATCTCCATCACCGACGGCCGCCACCCCATCGCCGAGCACACGCTCCCCGACGGCTACATCCCCTTCACCACCTCCCTGACCTCCCCGGCGCCCATCGCGCAGCTGATCACAGGCCCCAACATGGGCGGCAAATCAAGCTACGTGCGCGCCGTGGCGCTGCTCGTCTTGCTCGCCCAGATCGGCTCCTTCGTGCCGGCGGCCGCCATGTCCCTGACGCCGACCGACGCCATCTACACGCGCATGGGCGCGCGCGACAACCTCTTCGCGGGCGAGAGCACCTTCATGGTGGAGGTGTCCGAGACGGCCTCCATCCTGCGCGGCGCGACGCCGCGCTCGCTCGTCATCCTCGACGAGCTCGGCCGCGGCACGTCGACGCACGACGGCGCCGCCATCGCGCACGCCGTGCTGGACCACGTCGTGCGCGAGACCCGCTGTCTGACCCTCTTCATCACCCACTACCAGAGCCTGGCCCGCGTCGCGCAGGGGCTGGGCGATGGGCGCGTGCGGTGCGTGCACATGCGGTTCGAGTCCAACAGGCCTTCTGACAATAATAATAATAAAAAAGAAGGAAATGGAGGAGAAGGGGAGGTTGGCGACGAGGAAATCACCTTCCTGTACGAAGTGGCCGAGGGCGTGGCGCACCGGTCGTACGGGCTCAACGTGGCGCGGCTGGCGCGCATTCCGCGGCGCGTGCTGGACGTGGCGGCGCGCAAGTCGCGCGAGATGGAGGAGGGCGTCAAGGTTCGTCGGCTTCAGGGTGCGGCCCGGATGTTGGAGGATGTTCTGAAGAGTGGTGGAGGAGGAGGAGAGGAGCAGCTGGAGCATCTAGTGTCGAGCATCGAGCAGTTGTAGATGTATAAGTTCCCTTGGACCAATGGTGTTGGTGTTCTTGTGTGTCGGTATTAGCAATCCGTGTTGAGATAGCTTAATAGAGGTCGTAACGGGACGGGGTCATTACAAAGTTTCGCGGCCATGTTGGTCAACTAATCAAATGACCTGTGAGTGTGTCAACGCGTGCCGTGACGATATGGTTATGGAGGCCAAGATATGTAATTAAAGTCTGTAGCCAGTTATCGACCAAGGTTCTGTGCTAAATACGACCCAATTAGGAATGAAGGTTGTCCCCGAGTCCTTGAGGCCTTGCGAATATGTAGAAAATAGGGGATAACGAAGAAAAAAGATCATGCTTCCTGGGCGCCATCCCCGATGATCGATCGGCCCTGTTCCCAAGCCTCCTATGCGCCCTTTCCGTGGCCTATTCTTACACCGTCCAACATCGCGCTGAATGGATTCCTCTCTGCAGCAGCGACTCTGCTAGCCGCAAACCAGCGGACCAAGAATCCGCCTTGCGTTGCTCCGGAGCAATGAGATAGCAACTTGGTGTTCGTAATGTTACACACATAGTGAGGTGTAAGAATGTAACATCTCAACTATGAAGGAGATGCGGCGGAACCGGCTTGTCTTTCCGTCTTTCGCCAGAATTAGATGTCGAACTCTTGGTCGACACGGTCGTGGATTGAACCCGGCGGGGCATAAGGTCCGCCATAGCCGTTGAATGACATGTCTCCCAGATCCATCGAGCCGAGTCCCGAAAAGTTGGTCGCCGACGACTTCGGCTCATTGCCATAACCCGAAAAGCCATACGAGCTGTAAAGCGCACTTCTGGCCGTGACGCACAGAGGGTTCAACGTGCCAGTGCCCATTGTATGCTGATGCTGGAAATAGTGGCTGTCGGGAACGTGAGACTGGGATGTGAACGAAGCAGTCCCAGACCCGCGCGCGGAAATGTACGACATGGGTTTCTCGGCTTTCAATGCAGAGGATCCCATGGCAAAGTTGGAGTTCATGCCCTGAAGGGCAGGACGACGGCGAAGGCCGAATCTACCAACATGTCAGCCAACCATGAGATCTCAAACGGGCTTAGTAGGGGCAATAAGTACCCAGACTCCTTTGGAGGGCTCTGGTCCCGGGCTGCAAGAATGTTAGTGTCGATGCTGTGCAAGCGATGGATGATTCTTTCTTACTAGAACCGGGCCTGGGAGGGTCCCGAAAGACGTCAAAGCCCTCAACTGATTGGACGACTCTGTTGCTGTCGTTCTCATTTTCGCCATGGGTGCCCTTGCTGCGAGATGTCCGCTGGCGAGCAACTCTGCCCGACGCCCTCATCGGCGCTGCAGCAGCTCCGCCACGACGAGCTCGCTTCCGCTTGGGAGCATCATCATCCTCGAACGTACGGTCCTAGAGATGAAAACAGCATCAGACCAAGCTCTCGAAAAGGACAGGCACCCGCGACATGTTCCACCGGGGATGACGAACCGGACTTCCTTCAACGGAAGGAGTTGCATAGATGTCGCGAACGCGCTGGAACTCGCCATTCTCCCAAATGACCTCGTTTGGTTCGATGCCATACGATGTCTCCTCCATCTGCTTCAAGACGGAGTCGTCTTTGCGCTGGTTACGCATCCGCCTCTGCGTATCGTCCGCCGAGTCGAACAACCCCATGCCGGGGTATTTCACGCCTTTCAACTTGCTGATGTCCGTGTCATCATCAAAGAACTCGGTGCTCTCAGAAGGAAGATCGGAAGCAGGGACACTGTCCGTAGTTGCCGTCTCCGAAGGCCACCTCCGGTAATACTTTGCGCGGATCTCGTTCTCTGGCGTAACTGGGGTTGACCCGTCAGACAGAGAACGTTTCATAGGCGGGGTTCCATAGCCGGTGTTGTCAAAATGTCCATGGCGCCCATCCTGGAAAGGTACTGTGTCAGCAGGCCAGTGGCCCATGGTCGACGGAGGCTCGCCGTATGCTTCAGGTTCAGGCTTGATCAAATCCTGGCGGCTGGTCCCAACACGCGGCTTGTTGTTCTGCTGTCAGACATGTGAGCTCGTGATCCCGGCTCAGTTGTGCATGGGACGGCTTACCGCTGTGTTTGGCTGCTTTCCTCCCCTCCTGCCTGTCTTCTTCTGCTCCTTTGCAGCCATCCGCTCCGCAAGAAGCCCGTTGATCCCATAACGCTCACACCATTGATCGTACTGTCGAACCTCGTCTTGAGCCTCTTCATTGTCCCTCGCCTTCAGTTCGGCTTTGAAACGATGGGCGAGATGGCTCTTGGAAGAGATGTGGGTAAGAAGGTGAGAGAGGTCGGAGAAGTTGGGCTTCTTGGGGCACAGAGTGCACCGCAAGGGAATGGAAGCACTCCCGCCTTGCGTAATCAAATCCATGGGGGCAACAGCAGCCATGGTCTGTCAAATGTTGGGTCAGCACCCAGCAGACGTGTACCCCAACATCGTATCAACTGCTGTCTGTGGGTAACTCACATGTGAATGTGGCTGAGGTTGGTTAAGCCAACCCCAGGATGAATCGATACTCGGGGATGAAGATTGGCTGAAGGAACGAGTAGGTGACCTCACAGGTACTTTTGGTCTCGATGAAGGCAGGGGAAACCTAGAATCCCTGCATGGAGAGAGTATAGGACGCTCTGGGTGTCTCAGCTTGCCTTAAGAGCAGCACAAAGGAGATCCAAAGTTCTGAGTAGGAATGCTCGTCGTCTGAGCTTGTTAATGGATCGGTTGGCGTGAACTTGGATGAGACGAATATCGTAGGATCGGCAGAATCATGTATTGTCCCAAGTATTGGGAATCGGACCCCAATCCTGAGATCGGAGAATGAACGATAAGAAGTCGCGGCTCAGCCAGAATAGGCGTGGAAAATCTGGACGAACGAAGACAGGTTAGGAGAATCAGAAAGGACAACCGTGACGCGAGGGGAACGAGAAGGGAAGCGGTCACTTGGACCGTGTCTCGCCCGGGCCACTCCACGAGCTCATTGACTTACGAGAAGGAAGGAGCGACTTTCTTGTCGGTTCAGAGGACGCCTCCTTTGGAATGGATGCCTGTCAGTGACGACAGCACAAGTGAACAGAAGGGGAAGGAGCGAAGGTGTGACCTCCAGAGGAAAACCTGCTCCCCAAAACCTTGCTCTTTAACTTGCCAGCCCCTGGCCAAAATGATAGTTTGGTAAATTGATGTAGAACCAGGATTCCGTCGTAAAAGAAGCCGAATAGATAAATGAATGTTGCGAGTCCAGCACTGTTGAAAGCAATCCAGCTTCCAAAGAGGCCCTGGAATAAGATTAAAAGCCCCAATCCTATGAACTGATCACCTTGATGAGAGTCAGCAGATTGGTCCAGCAAAAACACATGGAAGGCTCTTGATATTAGTATCAAGAGGGAGGTAGAGTGAAGAATGCTGGAGATCGGCGTAAGAAGCAGAGGAAATTCAAACAAAAGACACCTGCTGCGGCGAATGCAGGCAGCCAAGACACGCAACCGCAGAGAGAAGAGGTGAAAAGGGAATTAAACGTACCATAGGTCGCGGCTAGGAGTTGTCATGTAGCCAAGGCCAGCAAGGTGCTAGATGGGAAAGAAAGAGGAAGGATGTGAAAACGAAAGGAACCAAAGGAGAGTTCAGGTTTGAATTTTCAGGAAGAAGTTTCTCAAGGTATTAACTGAATGTTGCGCCCCTCAGTCTCGGCGACGATGTCATAGTTCCGCACTTGATGGTGAAGACCCCGGGATGGCATTGAGTCTGACGACCGGCGGTCGTGGCCGCCAGAATAGTTTCAGACTCCCGAACTACCATGGTGACCAGTCTAACATCACTGTTACATGAGTAAGGTAAGGTACCTAGGTGCGTTGACCACTATGTGAATCTCACTGTCAACAGAGGGCACGACAGCTCCATGACGAGTGAAAGGCTGCCCCGAACTTGGCTACCTCTAGATGAACCCGGGTCAGGGGCTGACACCTTTTGTATGGCTGATGCGAGTAACATAGTTCTGCAGTTTCACAGGATGGTGAACATTGTTTGGCCAGGGCACCATCTTATATGTCTGTATATTAGGTGGGCTACTGGATCACCCTGCCGCATTATTCGAAGAGATCAGATACCGGAGCGGTGATGTTTGAAATAAGTGTCAACTGTCAAGTAAGATATTATATCGGGACCATGTTAGTGCCTCCGCCTTCTCTTCATGCAGCATGTATTTTACCACCCACAAGAAGATCCAAAGCAAGCCATGAGGCTGTTGCCTGTTATGGACACGTTCAGGTTCCCTTCTACGAGATTGATGTACTCTCGGCATTGGATGATGCACTACCTAGTACAAGAGATCTTTCAGCGGCAAAGGCCTATGTAGCCGGTTGATATCCTCTTATATCACTGGCGTGATGAATACGTATGATCAGGCAATCAGCAATGTTTGATTCGAGGGAGCAAACAGGGCGAGTTCGATCGAGAACCTAAGGTTGTATGGGCTATGGGAGAACACCACGTTTTCTTAGCAGGTGTGATGATTGCGACGGCAGAGATTACCATAGTAGATATCCCAGGTAGTAGTAGTACTTACTAGTAGTTATCACCCCGAGAGCTCAAGGAGCCGTTGCTCAACTTTGAAAGTGAATATCAGCGCCTAGACAACCTTTCAAAAACTACATGGTTATCAATATTCATGAATCCACGAAGTGACTTCACGGTCATCACTTTACTATAATAACCAAATCAAGTACAGGTGAGGTGGCGGTGAGGCCTTTGCTGACAGCAGTTCTCTTGTCTTCGGGCATTGCTTGAAACGACGAGCGCTATGGCCTTTTACCCTTGTGAAAAAAAAACGACAGAATATCAAGGCGTCGAAGTTATGTGAGATGCTATCGTGATCGCTATTATCGCACATTCCGGGAAAGAGAGATCTTCCATATCATACCTTAACTATCTAAGGTACTCAGAAGATTTGAGATGGGCCCCTTTGATTATGCTCACAGCTAATCTTGCCCTTGTCCACATCTCATTCTCACTTCTGGCCAGCGACTAATTAGCAAACTGGTCCATTGCTTGACAATTCTCCATTATTGCTAGCGGTGGCTTTATCATTGGGAGGCTGGAGCATCGAACTCGCCATCGGCAGTACTCTTGGCCTGGGAAATCAACCGGTTGCCATTGCAGCCAGCCAGGAGAGGCCATATTCGTATCATTCTAATCACGAACAGCCGGCGCTTATTAGGTATCTCAGCATGTGAAGTTGTAGTTACCTAACTCTCCACAAGTCTCCGGACACCCCGAGCACAGCCGACATGTCGAACATGGACTGCCCAGCTACACTGGCCCACCCAAGCCCACACACTTGGACACAGGGGTCGAATCAACACAACGCACGTTTGCGCGACGTGGGCCAACGCAAAGCCAAGCAATACACAGTACAGATGGTACGACTGGATTGAGACTCAGGCTGTGTCAGGAAGAGCCAAAATCCATGACTGTAACTACCCATGCCAAGCCTCAAACACGCATGAGATGCTGGCAGTGCACACTGCCTGGCAGCCACCAGGGTGCCCCCAAGCCGAGAGAGCCGATCTCTGAGCCCCACTATGTGCTGGACCCTGGGGACTGCTCAGGGGAGGGGGCGGAGGGAGCCGACCAGGTGTTTATACTTCGTATAAATATCCACTATCATCGCCTTCTGAACGCCTGTTTCAACTTTCCTCGGTGGAAACCATCTAACGGTCCTCATAAAACACACATCATCAAGCACTCGTCACCACCAACAACCTAATTCATCCCACCATGACCTACGGATACCAAGACAACAGCGGTTACGGCGGCGGCTACCCGCAGGGCAACCCGCCGCCGCCCTACGGCCAGGGGGAGGCAGCCTCGTACTATGCTGGCGCTCAGCAACCCCCGCCGCAGCAGCAATACCGCGACCAGCAATACCCTCCCCCGGGACAACCGGCCTATGGCCAGCTTCCGCAGGACGGCCCGGACGGCGAACGCGGCTTTCTCGGTGCTGTAGGCGGCGGTGTGGCCGGCGGGTGGGGCGGCCACAAGGTCGGCGGCAAGACTGGCCACAGCACGTTGGGCAGTACGTTTGTCTGATTTCTTTTTATAGTCTAAATTGGCGGTCCCGAACTAACTCTGTCGTCGCAGCGGTGCTCGGCGTTGTGGCCGGTGCTGTGGCCGGATCCAAGCTGCAGGACGGCGTGTCTGACTGGAAAGACAAGCGGGACGAGGAGAAAGAGCGGAGGGAGAGAGAGGAGGAGGAGAGGAGGCGGCGGGAGAAGGAAAGGGAGGAGGAAGAGCGGCGCCATCATCACCGTCGCCATTCCCGCTCCCGCTCCCGCTCCCGCTCTCGTTCACGTTCCCGTTCGGCCCATCGCCACGACTCCTACAGTCAGTCGCGCGGCATGGGCAGCGGCGTCAGCTACGCAGGCAACTTCAGCAGCTCCTCGCAGGACATCCGCCTCGACACCCACGGCGACTACGTGCTGTACGCGGCGTGCCGGCGCCTCGACGGCTCGTACCAGAGCTCGAGCATCAGCCTGAACCAGATCATCGGGAACGACAACGGCAGCTTCCGCTGGGCCTCGTCCCGAGGACGCCACAGCAGCAGCGGCAGCGGGCCGAGGCAGGTGACGGTGCAGCCGGGCGACACGCTCCGCGCCATCGCCGCCCAGGTCGGCACCTCGTTCGACGAGATCGCGCGGCACAACAACATCCAGAACCCGGACATGATTTACCCGGGACAGGTCCTCCAGGTCCCCGGTGGTGGTGGCGGCAGTGGTGGTGGTAGCGTCGGTAACTTTGCGGCGTCGGCGCGGGACGTGCGGCTTGCGGACGGCGGGCGGAGACTCGAGGGTGAACTGCGCCACCCGGACGGACACTGGGTTGGGAGCTCCATCATGCTGGACGAGAGGATAGGCAACGACAACGGCACGCTGACGTTTGTTCAGCTGTGATCGCTGAGTAGTAGTTCCTGGTAATTAGAATACCTAGGTAGCCAGCCATACCTTATCTTTCGCCCAAATAAAGGAGACATATTTTTGGGGCAGTAAGCTTCGGACCCCGGGGACAGTATTGTAACCACATTCGACCTAGCGCCTGCGCCATAGCCTACTACTTCCCGGTTTGAATTTGCCAGCCATTTCTGCCCGAGCATTCAATTGTCTATTGAAGTGCTAGATCCAAATGGCAATAGAATATATGGCGCCTGGTAATTGAGTGTCATGTCGAAGTGCGATGTGTGGGTGCGATGCGTAGCAGACATCATTTTCGGGGGGCGCTAACCAGATTTGGTTACAATACTGTCCCCGGGGTCCGAAGCTTCAAGTTACTGTCCCAAAAGTATGTCTCAATAAAACAGCCTGTAACATGAGCAACCCCAAGGAAAACTAACCTTTTCTAAAAGCGCGCCCTCCCGTCCAAAACACCACCACCAGTCTCAATACCTAATAATGCAAGTAAAACCCCCTCTGCATCCACATCCACCCCAAGCCCACAGAAGCCGTCACCGCAGGAAACGCGACCTCCCGCCTCCTCACGGTGCGATAGACCAGCCACTCGGTGCCGTACAGGAAGAGCACGCCCCCAAATGTGCACATGGCCAGGTTGTACAGATCGGAGTTGGTGATGTGGTAGGCGGCGTAGAGACGGATAAACGCCGTGTAGACATTCTTGACGCCGTAGACCCGAGCCAGCAGGCCGTGCGGGGGCGGCCGCGCCGGACCCTGGAATTGCACGAGCGAGGTTGTGGGAGGACGCAGGTAGCAGACGGCGGTGTGGATTGCCGCTGAGACACTGGTCTGTAACGTATGTAATGTTGATTTTGCAGTGTGCCGTCAGCCAAACTTTTACCTGATACCTTAGGTGTTTTTGCAGCTCGGATAAAACTACTAGTAGGCGTATGGACGTACATAGACGAGAAAGTAGGGCAGCAGCCCTTCATGCTCCGGATGCCACCACGCCATTTCCCTAGTTGAGAGTAGATGTACTGTGTCTGTAGAGCTTAGTAGTGAGCCGTTGAGGTTGAAGGTTTGCTAAAACCGGCAGAACAGAGGTGGTAGGTAGACGTGGTTGAGTAGATGCAAGCCCCAGGGAGCCTAGAGCGTTTTATACCTTGGTACTAGTACTGTATTGTACATGGTCCAAAGTGTGTGGAGAAGGATTACGTTCCCTGTCAACGTAATCACTCGCGATGCCCATTTGAACCAGATAGCCGCCGAGGCAGTACGGAGCCACAATTCGAACCACCCAGCGAACGCTACATATAGTCGTCCATCCACGGAGCCATGCCTAGACACAATGTTCGTACCCGTTTCATTTGCTAGTTGGCATGGCGGATGCCAACCAGACCAAGGATATCTGGGCGAATCGATCTTCTCTTGCCTTGTATCCTGCCAACGCTGTGTCCTGTTGGAAGGCTATTAGATTGCAAGAGATTACGTGACTGCGCGATGCGATACGAAGCGTATCATCGGGACGTTGTTGGATGGAGAGTGTGGCAGGGAATGGTTGAATTGGTGCTCAGCGGCCCAAAACTCTCGCAGTGGTCGACTTGGGCATGCAGTAGACCTCGTCTACCGCCTGAAGTCCAGGGTACTGGAGCAAGCTGAGTCCTGCAAGACCAAACACCGTGTGCCAGACGTCGACCATGTCACCAGGTCTGTCTGAGATGCCGCCTCGCTCCGGATCCTGGCAGCGGAGGATAAAGGCTATCAGCTGGTCCTTATCGATCCAGTGCGTCTTGCCGATCATCTCCAAGCTGCTTAAGACCCACCAGCTGTAGCAGACGTCCTCCTTCTTCTCCGGCCGACCGTTGAGACCGCCGCCGGCGATCTGCCTTTCGCTGAGCCACCGTCCGAGCCTCTCCTTGTCCACAAGATCCTGTCTGCCGGCGATGGTCAGGGCCGCGACGCAGGTGAATATCTGCCCGGCGTGGGACTCGGCCCCGGGGCTCACTCCGTATCCCCCGTCAAAATTGGCGCATGCGGCGATGTGATTGACCGCCTTCTCCACGTCGACTAGATAAAGGAGCCCGAGGAGCGACAGCGCATTGAAAGCACCGTAGAGAAAGCGCGTGTCCTCTTCTCCCCACTCGTCGCCGGCGAACGTGCCTGTCTCGGGATTCTGGAGACTAGCAATGTCTGAGCCCAGGTTCGAGGTTAGTATCAAGGATTCGAAACTCGAGGAACCCGACGTGGGTAGACGCACACTTCCCCACTTGCGCCTTGCCCTTGCCGCGCGTCTCCAGCTCGTCAAACGCGTCGACCATGGCGAGAATCTGGACCGCACTGACGGTGGAGAGAATGTGCGCATCATGGCCGGGCGCGGCGCCGAAGCCGCCACTGTCATGCTGACATGATAGCACGAAGTCGATGGTCTCGGCGCGCGGCAGCGCATCGGGGTGGCCCAAGAGGTGCAGCGACGTGAGGCCCCAGTAGAGCCCGTTGAGCCGCAGATGCTCTGTCAGCCAGTAGTCATATTCGTCCTTCCTCGCGTCCAAGCTCTGGATGTACTTAACATGAGCTGACGTGGCAAGCTGGAGCTCCTCGGGAAGCTGGTCAAAGTTTTGCGACATGGTTATTACGGGTTTGTTGCGACTTGGAATTTGAGCGGACTGGGCTTCCGGAGAAATTGCGGGGAAAGACGGGAGATGTCAACGGTCCGTAGCTAGCTTACATAATCACTGCAATTTAACCCTTGGGGATTAGGTTGTGGCTCGGCTTCCTCCGACTCTGATGAACTACGGTAACTGACATCTGACTTACCATTTCTGCGGTGATCAACTTACCCCTCATTATCCGTCACCAACAACAGGCCCAACGGGAATAAGAAATCGCGATAAGACATGAACTGCCGCGTGGCTATCTATGATGTATGCATGCAAATGCGGTGTGGTGATCACGTCCTCGGGCAACCCAATGCGGTTACTGCCGAGCAGCCATCATCTTCGTTCTGAAACACGATGGGCTCATCGACCTGGTGTAGGGTGGTGAGATTAGAGATCAGTCTCGGCCTCGAGTACCTAGGGAGGCTGATAACCGGTCCTCCACTGCAGTACAACAGAATGAACGATGTCTTCTGCTTGACCATACATAGATCCCAAAACTCTCGCTCGCTCGACGAGGTCTAGGCCCGCTTACCGAAGGCCACGACGGCCAAGACACAGCCCCCGAGTTTCAGACGTTGTGTTCCTGGGACTAAGCCAATTAGGGCTAGCGTGACTGACTCCACCTGAGCGCCTTCTTCCGGCGGCTCGGGAGTGCACTGGAATGGTTGACTGGTGAGCGGAGGGCCCGGGAGTTAAAACGCTGCCGTGTGCCATGAGCTGCATGCAGGTGTTGACCTCGTGATTGCAGTATGAGGACCTCGGACATTGATCCAGCGGCAAGCTATGCATTTCCTCGGGATCTCCGTTATCAGGCGGAAGGTGCCTTGAGAGTATGGAGAGTTTGCAATGCCGCATGGGTCATCATCCGACGAGCTGGCGTGTATAAGTAGGCCTCATGTCGGCCAAGCTTGTTGCACACCCGATACAGCGGGCCTGTGACGGAGACCTCCAGTCAAGCCGAAGATTAGATCCCCCCCGCTGATCGAGGAACTCAGGCTCTGTGGGTACATAGGAACTGCAAGGGAGCTTGTCTCGAGCTAGGGGAAGAGAAAAGGGCCAGCAGTCGCAGGAGTCGGGCGTGCTGTAAGGGACGAGCGGAGAAAGTCCCTTCTGCTCATATCAGTTGCTCAATGGAAGGCACCTCGCTTCATGGGCATTGAGACGAGGTATCCCCCAAACACCCGGTATGGTATATGACCGCTTATGATAATATCCTTGCCGCTGTTGTCGTTTCGCTCGTCAAACTAGGCGCGCTGCTTATTGAACTGCTGTGCCACGCCTCATTACCTCAAGCTAGCCCCTTGCTGTGCGTTGAACAACTTGCCGCCCGCGAATCGAGTCCAGACTTTCCCGACAAAGTGGTGGCGGTAAACCGTTACACACCATTAGCTGCGTCCTGCTTTGTGATGTCCGGTGCATGGAACCACTTCCGGACCTTTGGGCTCAACCAAGTCCTCCAAAATTATACCGCTTGCGGACACCTTCAGAAGTTCAGGCCGACGGGAGTTCATCAAAGCCAGGAATTGCTGAAGAGTACTGTACCGAGCGACGCTCAGTCCTGGGACGGTGCTTCATGAGAACGGACTGGGAAGTTCGTTTCACGAGGCACCTGATGGCCTGTTGAGAAGTCGAGTCGTCATCTTTAATAAACGGTGGTGTGTTCGTTCAGATCTCGTCGGAAGTTCAGCCGATCGGCAGGGCAAATCGCAGGAGAAAAATGGACGGGCGGGGTCAGAGCGCCCCTGCCGATTTAGCGCGTGTGGGATGTGGAATGCAGGGCAGTGGAGAAGGGAAGTCAGGGCAGCGGTGTGCCTCCCGTCCTTGCGTGCCTTGAAGTTGCCAGCGCCCGGCCCACTTCCATGAAGCGTTGTCCACGGGTCCTCTTCTCTGAGCCTCCGGCTCGCATCAAAGCCCCTCCAACACTTGCCCGTGCGTCGTGTCGGAGACGTCGCTCATTTGTCGCAGACGGCAATCCGCCTATTTCCATCTCTTACCCCGTAAGCCCCGGCCCTGTGTCACTGCTGCTGCGCGCCCGCGAGAGCTGCAGCTGCTGACCCTTGGGCCTTGTGCGGCCGAGCGCAAATCGGAAACTCGCCTTGCTATACTGCCTATTAACCCAGGTCCGTCTGTTAGCCAGGTGGCCCGGCTGCGCGCCTGGCTACCTATCTCCCGACTGAAATGGGCCGTAAAGCTGCACCGCAGCCGCTTTCGTTGGGGGAATCTGTGCGCCCCAGCGACGGGTCTCGTGCTGCTGGTGAGACAGTTCCCCATTCTGCAACGTCGCCCCGATCACCGCGCTCGCCTACAAGGCACGTCCAGACCGAAGAAGAGTGCGTCGCCGTCGGGGAGCCCATGCCGCTTGCCGATGTCTTGCATCAACCCCGGAAGTCGCCAAACCTTCGCGAAGAGCCTCAGCAGCAGCAGCGCCCTGACGAAGCCCGCGACCCGCCGCAGCCGTCGCCAAGAGGAGGAGGAGGAGGAGGAGGCCACTCGGTGGACCAACAACAGCAGCTGGGCCACAGGCACCGGCGGCGCGGTGACGACAAGGCCTCGAAGTCGGGCTTCTTCTTTAACTTTGGAAAGTCGACCAAGCCATCAGACCGTCCCGTCGTGCACCAATATCCGGATTCCCGCGCCGAAACCATGTCGAGAGACGCGGACCGCCTCCCGCTCTCTAAACAAAGCACGAAGCATTCAGGTAGGCAGACGTACTGTGTCTCGCGCCGCACTATTCAATATTCAATGCTCCTCTGGACATGCCCGCTGCCGTCGATCCCGCACGAGATTGCCCATATTCGCCGAGGCTTGTTTCAAGTTCCACTAACAACGTCGCATTTGCATCTTCAGACTCTTCCTCCTCATTGCAGAAACCGAACACACCCCTGCCATCCCGATCCGAAGTGTCCCTAGCTTCAACGGTAGACTATGATAGCGCGGGTAATTCGCTAGCCTCGTCAAAGAAGTCCAGCAAGCCCAAGCCCTTTAATCTACTTGGGCGTACAAGGTCGTTCAAAGACAGGGATAACAAGGACAGCCCGAGTCCAAAAGAACACGCCCCGATACCGGTTCCGGTGCCGCCGCCGCCAAAAGCCGCCGAGCCTGAGCGACCCTACACTTCTGCCGCAGCAGCGCCGAGAACTGCCCCGCTCCAGGCACGCGACCGGTCTTTCCGGGAGATGATGTCGGCGGTCAGGAATAATTCCGCCGAGCGGTCCCAGCACAGGGAAATCAGCGGGAAGGGAAGGGATCAGGAGAAAGACCACCACCAGAGGCAGCCTCATGGTTACACCCAGACACCCGGCGGAGCCTTTTTCAGCAACTTGAAGCACAGCAAGACAGTGGGCATCATAAGCAACCGCTTGTTTGGCGGGGGCTCAAGGCATGAGGCGCCGGTGCCCAAGGAGCCGGTGGTAGATGATGAACACTATGTGCTCAAGGTCATCAACCTCCCACTTGTTGAACAAACGCGCCTTACGCGGATATCGAAGAGACTCGAGGATTCTAGGGATAAAACCGAGTTCTGGATGCCCGCGTTTCCCTGGAGGGCGATAGACTACCTGAATTACAAGGGCAGCGAGGTGGAGGGTCTGTACCGCGTCCCCGGGAGCGGCCCACAGATCAAGAAATGGCAGCGAAAGTTTGACGAGGGTATGTTGCCATGGTCTCCGTGTTGGTCTTTCGTCCCGCTGGTTCAACTACTAACTCGACTGTCTCAGAACTGGATGTGGACCTGTTTGAACAGACAGACCTCTACGACATCAACATCATCGGCTCCATGCTGAAGGCGTGGTTGCGAGAGCTTCCCGACGAGCTTTTCCCCAAGGAAGCCCAGGACAGGATCTCAAGGGAATGCGCCGGCGCAGAGAAGGTGCCGCAGCTACTCATCGAGGAGCTCTCTAACCTACCGCCCTTCAACTACTACCTTCTCTTCGCCATCACCTGCCATCTAAGCCTCCTCCTCGCCCACTCCGAGAAGAACAAGATGGACTTTCGCAATCTGTGTATCTGCTTTCAACCATGCATGAAGATCGACGCCTTCTGCTTCAAGTTCCTGGTCTGTGATTGGCGCGAGTGTTGGAAGGGTTGTAAAAACGAGGCCAAGTACATTGAGGAGGAATATGCCCTCTTTGACCAGCCCCCTCCCAAGGCCGCGAGCGATCGCGAAAAGAATGGCGCCGGAAAGGTTGAAATAGTTGAGCCGATTGACGAGAAGGCCGAGAAGCTTGAAGAGGAAAAGCAGGAAGAGCGGAACATCTCTTCCTCAGACAGCAGCAAGAGCCCAAACAGCGGGGAGGCCGAACAAAAAGGGCGACTGAAGAAGCCGTTGGCCGAGAGCGAGAGCGCCGAGACGAGCTCGACAATATCAACAACACTCACGTACAACAGCGAGCACGAGACACCACCAAGGAAGCCCAGCGACCTGCGGCCGCTTTCACCGATCAAGCCGCTGTCGCCACTGAATTTCTGAGTCAGACGCTTCATCTTTCATCCGGTGCTGCCATGAGTCTGCGAGCGCGTGCTGCTACACTCGAGAGCTCCCAACTCATCAAGCAGATTATCATGACACTTACGCCTTTGACGACCTTTTCTTTTGTGCTCATTGCTCGGATTTCTCACTACCCATAGACCCGACACCTCGAACCGCCCCTCCTATTTTATCCAACACTTTCTGAGCATACAAAAGGGCGGTTTTGGCGCCAATGTCATCGTTCCTCGTCTTCTTCGGCTGTGGCCAGCCGATCCACTGAGCGTCATCTTTCGAGTGCGATATCTTTTTGGTCTGGCTCTGCTTTTTCAATTGGAATACCCCACCCAGGACTCTGGAGTTTTACACGCATGCCCCTGTTTGTTGAGGAGGACGGGGATAGCTATGTCCCATTCTGTTGTCGCAAGTTTCATTTCGTTTGTTTGTTTCTGTCTCGATGCCGTCGTGGGGCGGCCTGAGTATCCAAGATTTGAAGTGAAGATCGGAGCGATATCGGATAGGCCCCCTCTGATTAGGTGCATAGCATTATTGGGGCAAGCAGGCCGTGGATATGGCGGAGGGCGTGTCAGTTTTGAAGGTGGTGGATGTGTCTTGTCTGATGTTTCCAGGATCGATCTGGGCCATCTGATCGGGAAGGGATAGAAACTACAAGGGTGGTACAGCTGGGACTTGATTTTCTTTTTTTTTGGAGGACAGCGGAGTTGTACGATAGAGGATTGGGGTTCCGGGAGGTAATGAGACGCATTGGTGTCCTGGTGACAAGCAAGTCGTGTTCGCAAGAGCTGCCATCCCCGCAAGTGAGTGTTTCTTGTCTCCTTGGTTGCATTCAGCTGTGGAACGAATCCCAAGTCCAAGTCGCCCAAAAGAACACCGTATGAGATTTCCCGACAACTGAAATTAGCGTCCGTTTTATATCTGGCCCAAACCATCAACGCCGTAATAGACCCGCCCCATCAAGAACGCCGCTTGATACAATGATACAGAAACCCCCCTCCTCATCCATCCCCCCTTTCTACCATCAACAACAAACAAGGGCATCATCACTTCCTCCCCTCCGCATTCCTCAGATTCTTCCTCATCCTCCGCTCATTCCGCTTCACCTTCTCCCGGATCTCCCGCCTCTTGTCGCCCCGCACGCTCGTCCCTTCCCTGCGCTCGGCCTCCTTCTTCACATTCACCTCGATGATCGGCTCGTCCTGGAGCCCGCCCTTGTTGGCGCCCTTGTACCCCCACCGCCGCTCGAACTCGCCCGTGGCCTCGTTGTACTGCAGGTTGCGCCGCTGCTCGCGCGTCTTGGGCTTGATGCCGCGCCGCTTGGCGAACGCCTCCCACTTGGTCTCGGGCTTGGGCGTCGGCACGGGCTTCTCGCGCGGCAGCGGGGTTTGTTGGGGCGGTAAGCCCAGGAGCACGCCCTGTGGCGTCGACGAGATCGGGCAGGTCGTCAGGAGCTGGTTGATTAGCACCTGTGCGCCGTCACGCGCGACCGCGGTGAGGTGCGCTTCCAGCGTGGCCGTGTCGTGCGTTCGTGGGACAGAGATCGGGTTCGGGTCGTTGGCGAGCAGCAGGCCCAGGTCGAAGGTGTAGGGGTGGGTTTGTCGACTGTGACGGGGAGTTTGGTGGGTTTTTCTGTTGCAGCGGCCATTTTGGAAGGTTGTTGTGGTTTTCTTGTGAGGATGTGACTGCTGATTGCGATTGACTGATGTTGTTCGAGCTGGCCGTCGCAAGAAGGTCCAGCAGAGGGGTCTGGTTGCTGCGAACTTCCGAAAATTTAGGCGGAGGTGTCCGGCAGTACTAAAGCGGCCCCACCTGAGATACCGGGTGGATACGCCTCACTCAAGCCTATCAAACCGCACACCCCTTCGAGACCCCTTCATTGGGCGCCGTGTCGGTTGCTCGGCGGCATCTGAGAGTTTTACGGCATCCTTGCCGATATGAATTGTCCAAATAATCAATCATACAGGGATGACAAGATTCAATGGGTGTCAATTACTAGCATAAGCTATTCTCTGTCAAACACAACGCAGCTTGGACGGGGACAGGTTTCTAAGGTTGTCCAGGCAAGATAGCACGGTCACAATGCTTCTAGGATGACCAACTATCACGCGGAATAAACCAAGGTACTAGCACCCAGTTCAGGATTCCTTGGTCCCTGAGCACCTCACGATACTGTTGAACGATATTGCATCTGGGTGAGAGAACCGACGATTTGGCACGCTACCTGGCGGATATACATATGAATGAGAAATTCATGTGCACCCGGAAAGGGAAGGTCAGTAGTACGTAGATGGAGGCGGCGCGGTTTCCACCTAAGCTAGTCCGAGATAGTAACTGTGAGATGGTTAGCCTGGGGCTTAAGAAAGGCGGACGTAGGAACAGTGCAAGCGAAAGGCCAGACAGTCAGAAGTTAGAACCAAGTCAACATCGTTATTTCAGATAGGGATAACTGTTATTGACAAATGTCTAGGTCATCATGGTGGTGGCCAGCAGTCAAGGTGCTCTCGATCACTTGGAAGAGAGATGAAGGGAGGGAGAGTCAAGCCTCAGAGGAAACGGCGGAAAGGACATACCAAGGTAGGTAGACTGATCGCGACACACTCGGTCGGCGAACAGGAAAATACCCGCGTCAACGGCATCACAACCTCGTACTCAGCTGTTCAGAAGACCGGGAGCCTGGCAGTAGATGTGTCTCTACCACGCCAGCGCTAGCGTTGAAAAAGGTCTGCACTTTTTTGGTTCCCGTTGTGAGATCATTCCCGGATAGGAATTGCGAAATTTGGACGCGGTCACAGAAGAGTGATGTTGATATTTGGGCGGTGAAGGAGGGCAGATGCCGAGCAACAAGGGTCTTGTGGAACCTCGCCTCGAGACCGGAATCTTGGCGCGGCCCGTGCGTCGACTTCCACTCGTCTCCATGTCCAATTTTGACTCGGTTGACGGGCCCAGAGATTTTGTAACAGCTCCGGCCGGCTGCCATTGGCGACTCGGACGGTACCGCACGATGCCATAAAACCCCCAGCTGCCGACAGAGACGACAAGACACACATCCGGCACACTATGTCGGCGCCCAACTGCCTGCGGGGCCTGGTGCGGCCCTCGGCGACAATTCCGATTTCAGCCCCTCGAAGTGCCGCTCCGCGGGCCGCCCCAATCGGCCTCGCACGGCCGGCACCTTTCTCGACGACCGCCCTAAACGCAAGACGACAGGACCCGAACCAGCAGGGCGGTGGGGGGAAGGGGCACGTCCGGCAGGGGAAGAAGCTGAAGCTCGGTAAATTCAAGAAAACCGCAGTCGAGAGCAAGGGCAAGCCGCCACTGCCGGGCGAGCGCAGGGCCTACCGCAAGCGCATCACCCTTAGCAACGACAACGCTATCCCGGTGCCGTGGCTGAAGGATATTGGTGCGGACGGCCTGGCGAACGCGCAGAACATCGCTAGGGTTCTTGCTCTCCCCGAGGAGGTGCAGGACCAGCTGCGCGCGAGCGAGGCCTTCAAGCCGACACAATGCTGGGGCATGTTCAGGAAACCGTCGTTGCTGGTGCGGAAGGAGTCGGTCGACCTAATGAACCGGATACAGACCTCAGTCGATAACAAGCAGACGCTGAGGCTCGTCGTTACGGGCGACAAGGTGACCGGCAAGAGCATGATGCTCCTCCAAGCCCAGGCCCACGCCTTCCTCAACAACTGGATAGTGATCCATGTCCCAGAGGGTATGTATTTCTCCGGACCATTCCTGCCCGGACGGCGTCGAAACTAAAACCCTTCCCCAGGCCAAGAACTCACCACGGCTTGCACGGAGTACGCGCCTATCCCCAACACCGATCCGGTGCAGTACATGCAGCCCGTGTACATCCTGAAGCTGCTGCAATCCATCAAGCGCGCCAACGAGAAGATCCTGGCAAAGACCTACACCATGACCGGGCACCCGGAACTGCCGCAGAACATTACGCCCAACACGCCCCTTCTAGCGCTCTGCAACGCCGCCAAGGAGCCCGACTCGGCCTGGCCCGTCTTCCAGGCGCTGTGGAACGAGCTGACGGCGCACGGGACGGCGGCCAACCGCCCGCCCATCCTGCTGTCGCTGGACGGGCTGGCCCACGTGATGCGGGTGTCAGACTACCGCTCGCCGGCGTTCGAGCGCATCCACTCGCACGACCTGGCGCTCGTGCGGCTCTTCACGGACACGCTGGGCGGCGCCGTGCAGTTCCCCGCGGGCGGCGCCGTGCTGGCGGCCACGAGCCGCAACAACGCGCCGCGGTCGCCGAGCATGGAGCTGTCCCTGGCGCAGCGCGAGGCCGAGCAGGCCAAGAGGGAAGAAGTGCCCCAGAAGGATCCCTTCTTCAGGGGCTACGACGACCGGGTCGAGGCCGTGCTGCGCTCCGTGCAGGTGATCCGCCTGGGCGGGGTCAGCAAGCTGGAGGCGCGCGCTCTGATGGAGTACTGGGCGGCCAGCGGCATGCTGCGGGCGACGGTGGACGAGAAGGCGGTCACGGAGAAGTGGACGCTGGCGGGCAGTGGTGTTCTGGGCGAGATGGAGCGGGCCGCGCTGCTGACGATGCGGATTTGAGATGGGGAGTGGGGGTGGGGGAGATGTGTAAAGCTATCTATCTGTCCAGGAGAAACGAAGCCTGTGTAGAAAATGTAAAGCATGTATTTATAAACCTTGGATTGTGCGTGTGGGTCGGTCTTGCGGCTATGGATAGGCACTAAGAGACGAGGTGTCACTCGACAAGATGCCTGCGTACGAGACGCGGCTGAAACGGAACGATCAACACCTTGCCTACAGGTACAGAAGTATGATCACAAGGGGTACCACACCACATCCACCGTTTCAAATCTTCTTAAAACAACCATCCAAGTGAATTCCTGTTCAGTTGTACCTACCAGGTCACTCTCCTCGATAACAACTACATAAGACTACTCCGACCACCAACCTCCATACTGCCCTGGCCATCCCTCATCTCCCCGCTGCGGCCAACGACAAACTCCCTGTAGATCCTCTCCAGCCTCGCCCGCTCCTCGGCGCTGATACTCGCCCTCGTCCCCTCGAGCGCTTTAACCAAATGCTCCCAGCGGATGACTACCTCTGTATTACTACCACCACCACTACCACCACCACTACCACCACCATTATTATTATTAGTATTCCCATCAGGAACCCCGTCTACCCCCTCCTCCCCATTGGCGTGGGACGATTTGTGTGAAGAGAACTGCCTGGCCCGCTCCCGCTCCCTTTTTCGGGCGAGCTTGATGCTTTCCAGCTTAGCGGCGATGGCGGCTTGTTCAGCGAGTTCGGTGGCGCGGGTCCGCGGGGCCGAGGAGGAGGCTGCCGACGTGGAATCGGCCGCGTCTTCGCTGTAGCGGAACTGAACGAAACTCCTAGCCGACGACGAGGAAGAAGCGGCAGTGGTGGCTCTCTTGTTCGCACCACCACGACGAGTAGTGCTGCCGGAGTTAGTGGTGGTTTGTTCGCGGTCATTGAGCACATCGTGAATAGCCTCCAGCTGGGCGTTAGACACGAGCGCCTGCAGGTCCGCGCCCGAGAAGCCCTCGGTGCGGCGGCCCAGCTCGAGCACGGCGTCCTCGTCGGCCCAGACCTCGTCGGCGACCTTCACCTTCTGGGCGAGCGCCCGGATGATGTCGATCCGGTCCTCGAGCGTGGGGAAGTCGCAGAGCAGCGACTTGTCCAGGCGGCCTGGTCGGAGCAGCGCAGGGTCGATCAGGTCCGGGCGGGAGGTGGCCGCCAGTACGTAGACGCCCGACAGGCCCTCGGCGCCGTCCATCTGGGTGAGCAGCTGGTTGACGACTCGGTCAGTGACGCCCGTAGAGTCGTGACCGCGCTTGGGCGCGATGGAGTCGAATTCGTCGAAGAAGAGGACGCACGGCTTGGCGGCCGAGGCGCGCTCGAAGAGGTCGCGGACGCTCTTCTCGGAGGCGCCGATGTACTTGTTGAGGATCTCGGGGCCCTTGACGCTGATGAAGTTGAGCCCGCATTCGCCCGCGACCGCGCTGGCCAGGAGCGTCTTGCCGCAGCCTGGGTAGCCGTAGAGGAGAAGACCGGAGCGAAGGCGGAGGGGGCACTGGGCAAAGATGGGCGCGTATTTGGTCGGGTACTGCAGCGTCTCCAGGAGGACCTGGCGGGTTTCTTGGAGTCCGCCGATCGAGGCGAAGGTGGTTGTTGAGCTCTGCAAGGTGACGTTTCGCAGCGAAGCGGGCGTGAACCCTTTCAGGGCCTTGTCGAAGTCGGTGCGGCCCAGACGGATAGTGGTGGCGTCGAGATCGGGCGACTCCCCGACATGTCGGCTCAGTGCCTCGTTGCGCGCTCGCGAGACAAGCAGGATCAGGTCGCCGGGCATGTAGCCGTCTGTCTGGCCAGCAATGTCCAGAAAGTCGAGGTCTTCGCCAAGGATGAAGCCACTAGCCGCCTTGCTTGCAGACTTCTTGCGGGTCGCGCGGCTTGGGCCGTCCATCCACCCGCCCCCTTCATCGCCGGTGGCGCTACCGTTGGCAGTAGTAGGGCGGCTGCTGTGCTCGTTCGCAGGGTCCACTTCCTCTGGGGACACCGAGCCCTGCTTCGTAAGCGCCTCTAGAATGCGCCGCCTGGTTTCTTTGTCGGGCGCGCTCAAGTCGACAATCTCGCGGACGATGTGGCCGCCCACGAGGACACTGTGCAGCGAGTCCTTCCCCTGGCAGATAGCCAGCAGAACCACATTGCTGTCCCGGCCACAGTACTGCCTGACCATGGAGCAGATGGCCTCGCTGATCTGCCGGCTCCGGCCGTTCTCGTTGCCGACTTGCAGCTCGGTCTCGGCCGGACATAGGCGATCAAGGTCGTCCAGGATGACGACTGCTCTGCCGCCCAGCCGCGCGCCCCAACTCGCGGCCATGAAGAGGCGGGTCAGCGTCTCTTTGACGGTGGATATCCTGCTCTCGTCGTTCACAAGCCTTGTGCAGGGGAAGTAGGTGGTGTGGTAGAGATGAGAGGACCGCAGGGCGCGCACGACTGATTGCGCCACGCATGTCTTGCCGGAGCCCTGCCCGCCCGTCAGGAGCACCGAAGACATGTGCGACAGGTGGGACTTGAGCTTCCCAAGCAGCGAATCAATGCCAACAAGGACCGAATCGGGGGAATCGGGGACCCGGTCGGCGTCCAAGTCGGATAGCCACGAAGGCTTCGGGATGGGAGGCTGTACCACGAGGGGGGGCTTCCAGTCTGCGCCAAGGATCCAGTTCAGGGGCTTCTTCCCCGGGCTTTGGGGTGCCGGATGAGACGGCTCGAACCTGACAATGGCCCCTTCCCAGCCTCGCGGGCATTGCAGTCCATCGTGCACTCCAAGAATCTGGCCATCAGTGAGAGGACCCAGCAGCAGGCCGTTCCCTTCGGGCCCGTAGATGTGCTTTACTTGGTTCGCAGCTTCTTCCTTCTCAGCCTTGGATTGGCCCCCAAACTTGAGTCCGGTCGACTGAGCGGGCTTTGATGATTGGAACGGGTAGATCTTGAGTTTCTGTACCGAGTCGCGCGAGAACCCCTCTTGGTCCGGCGTCTTCCGGGGCATCTGGACAGGCGCCGGCTCGATCTTGACAACGCCACCAACCATACCCTGGCAGCCAAGCGCGGCACACAGGGGCGAGGAAAGCGCGGTCGTTTGGCCATCTGGCGGCTCTTCCCATGGATGGAGGCAGGCAACAACCTTGGTGGACGCCTTCGCCGCCGGGTCTGTTTCTTGCGGCTGGTTCGCCGAATCGAGCGGCTGTTGAAGACCGGCGGGGCGCACAAGACTGACAGACACCCATCGCACCCCTTTGAGCTCCTTCCCCAACAGCAGGTCGCGATCGACCCAGACGCTGAGATCTTCAAGCGGCGCCTCCCCGTCGAACCACTCTTGACAATTCTCCCTGTCGACGCCCCGGAAGAACAGGACCGGCTTCTTCTCCTCCCGCGTGCTCTTCCTCCTGATCGTGCTTGCCGAGCTCTTGCCGCTCTTCTTCGAAGTACCGCCGACGCTCCGATTGTCCTTGCTGTTCCGCTGCTTCTGCCTCGTCTTGGGCGCCACGATGACCTCGGCGTCGGAGGCGATCTTGGCGAAGGGCGAATCGCCGGGCAGCGCAGGCTCCAGTGACAGGACCTTGATGCTTGCAGTAGAAGTCTGAGATAGGTGTAGCGTTAGGGGGTGCGCCCCGCCCGCGGCGACCGCCGGGCCGTAGCTGGGGTTGGGCACGGCGCGGATCTGGAACAGGAGATTATCCTCCAGGAAGGTGCCATGCAGCTCGATCATCTCCCAGTCCTCGGGCGTCAGGGGCTCGATGTGGACGGTGTGGGCTATGGGCGGGTCGAGATGGATGGTTGCAGTGACCTTTTGTCCGTCCTTCAGGCCGATGGTTGCCGCGAGCGTCGCATCCATCTCCACGGCGGGGACCTCTTGGTCGCGCGCGCCCCGCGCTGCGGTGATGCCGTCCCTGCCGACGATCGGGGCAACTCTCCGCTTGCTGGGCATGCCGGTCCATCCGACATAGATGGACTTGGTCGAGGCCGAGCTGCCAGAGCCGGCAGGGGCAGGGACGCGGTAGCTGAGCTCGACGACAACATTTTGCGCGGGCTAGAATTCGAGCACGAAACGTCAATTGGTATCCAAAAAGAGCACCTCACCGGGCAGGCAACAACTGCTTACTGTGTTGACGTTTGCGAGCAGCGATGCCAGCGACGGAGGCAGGTTTACCAAACAGTTCTGCAGGTGCACTAGAGAGATCTCAGCCGCCGTAGACTGCGCATTGCTTCGCGGCGCCATTTGGAGCGAATTTAAGTCGGGTAGCCACAAGACGGATTGTTGCTGGGAAGGTTTGGTCGGCGCATGCAGCAACTCAAAGAGGACCGCTGGTCTGGTGGATAACTGGATTCAACATCCCGCGTCTGCAGCTCGCATTGTGTCGGAGCGGCAGCTTCGAACGGAGCAGCTTCCCGGCGATTTGCATGTGCCGAGGCATGGGCCGGCTCCCGCTGTTCCAGGGTCTGGGCGGGAAAGCAGGCCCGCTCCAGCCTGGAGATCCGCATCGACTGGTCCCAGCTGTCGCTTTCAGTGACGGCCCGATGCTGTGTGTTTAGTTAATTGCTCCTAGGTTACGACGCGCGAAAAAGCGCGTTTGCATGCCGTGGACGCGTCCCCCTGTCGCAGACAGGCCCCAGCCATCCTGCGTCTGGCTTCAGCCTCGACTTGCCGCACAACTACCTGACCACCTCTCTAATAAACAACCGCAAAAGAACCGTCAGTCCCACGCAGAGGACCATAATACCCCTCGCAACCATGGCGCTCCTACAGATGAGGGCACCTGTTGACTACAAGGCGCAACAACGTGGGTGCAGATAGTTCCGCGCATGTTGCCATTTTTTTTTTTTTTGGCTTTTGGCGCTGACAATGGAGTAGAGGCATTCGAGAATTTCCTGAACGACTTCAAGGCGTCGCCGCAGGAAACCATCACCACTGCGCTGGGCAACATCAACATTGACGAGGACGACCTCAGCGACGAGTATGACTTTATGGACGAGGACGACAATGCGGCGCAGCAGCGTCAACGCCAGAAGGCCCAGCAACGGGCACCAAGGCACAAGTACCGCGACATGCTTCAGGAGCTCGCCGACAGGAAGATCAACGAGGTGGTTATCGATCTGGACGACCTCTACTCGTACGAGAAGGATGTGGACGAGGGGCTCAAGCTGGTCGAGTGGGTCGAGAACAACACCAAGCACTATGTGGAGATTCTGTCTTGCGCCGTCGACAATGTGATGCCGCCACCGAGCGACAACCTCACCTTCAAAGACGATGTCCTCGACGTCTTGATGGCAAACCGACAGCAGCGCAACCAGATGCTGGCAGGCATTGCCGAAAGGGAATCGGACCCCGCCATCCTGAACGATCAGTACCCGCCACAGCTCACCCGCCGGTACACGCTGGTCTTCAAGCCGAGGACGTCGACCCTCGACGGTCCCGTCAAGGCCCTGTCCGTCCGCCAAGTCCGCGGCGACCACCTCGGCCGCCTCATCACCATCCGCGGCATCGCGACAAGAGTGTCCGACGTCAAGCCCATTGTCCAGGTCAGCGCCTACACTTGCGACCGCTGCGGCTGCGAGATCTTCCAGCCCGTCACGGACAAGCAGTATGGGCCCCTCACCGTGTGCCCATCCAAGGACTGCCAAGAGAACCAGTCCAAGGGGCAGCTATATCCGTCGTCACGGGCATCCAAGTTCTTGCCCTTCCAGGAAGTCAAGATCCAGGAGCTTGCCGAGCAGGTGCCCATTGGCCAGATCCCCCGGACTCTGACCGTTCTGTGCTACGGCAGCTCGGTCAGGCAGGTCAACCCGGGCGACATCGTCGACATCTCCGGCGTCTTCCTTCCCACCCCGTACACCGGCTTCAAGGCCATGCGCGCCGGCCTGTTGACAGATACATACATCGAGGCGCACCACATCGTCCAGCACAAGAAGGCGTACGAGGACATGGAGATCGACCCGCTGATCGCACGGAGGATCATGAGGTTCACGCAGACAGGGAACCAGTACGAGCACCTCGCCAAGTCGATCGCCCCGGAGATCTACGGCCACCTCGACGTCAAGAAGGCTCTCCTGCTGCTGCTGGTCGGCGGCGTCACCAAGGAGGTCGGTGACGGGATGCGGATCCGTGGCGACATCAACATCTGCCTGATGGGCGACCCCGGTGTGGCCAAGTCGCAGCTGCTCAAGTACATTTCCAAGGTCGCGCCGCGCGGCGTGTACACGTCGGGCCGCGGCAGTAGCGGCGTGGGTCTGACGGCGGCCGTGATGCGGGACCCCGTCACGGACGAGATGGTGCTGGAAGGCGGTGCGCTCGTCCTCGCCGACAACGGCATCTGCTGCATCGACGAGTTCGACAAGATGGACGACAACGACCGCACGGCCATCCACGAAGTCATGGAGCAACAGACCATCAGCATCTCCAAGGCCGGCATCAGCACCACGCTCAACGCGCGCACGTCGATCCTGGCCGCCGCCAACCCCATCTACGGCCGCTACAACACGCGCCTGTCGGCCGTCGAGAACATCAACCTCCCCGCCGCGCTGCTCTCCCGCTTCGACGTCATGTTCCTCCTGCTCGACACGCCCACGCGCGACACCGACGCCCAGCTGGCCAAGCACGTCGCCCACGTGCACATGCACAGCCGCCACCCGGACCTGGGCACCGAGGCCGGCGTGGTCTTCTCGCCGGCCGAGGTGCGCGCCTACGTCGCCCACGCCCGCACCTTCCGCCCCGTCGTGCCCCCGTCCGTCTCAGAGTACATGGTCAAAACGTACGTGCGCATGCGCGGCGCCCAGCGCCGCGCCGAGAAGCGCCACCAGCCCAACAACTTCGGCCACACCACGCCCCGCACGCTGCTGGGCGTCGTGCGCCTGGCCCAGGCGCTCGCCCGCCTGCGCTTCAGCAACACGGTCACGCAGGAGGACGTCGACGAGGCCCTGCGCCTGGTCGAGGCCAGCAAGGAGTCCCTGGCGGCGACCGATGAGCGGGGCCAGGGTGGCAGGCGCGCGCTGAACGCCAGCAGCAAGATCTACAACCTCGTCAAAGGGCTCGCGGATTCGGGCGCGTGCAGGGCGGATGACGGTGCGGACGACGAGGAGGATGAGGAGGATGATGAGTATGGTGGTGGTGGTGGTGGAGTGGAGCTGAATCTACGCAAGGTCAAGGAACGGGTCATTGCCAAGGGGTTCACCGAGAACCAGTGGTTGGCTGCGTTGGACGAGTATACCGAGTTGGATGTGAGTTCTTCTTTTTCTCCTTTTTCTCCGTCTGTGAGAGTAACCTTGATGATGATGATCATGAATGTTTGGCTGACATTTGTTTTTTCCCCCCGCACAGGTCTGGCAAACGGCTGGCAACGGTACGCGGCTGGTGTTCATCACCTCCGGCAATGGCGAGCGGGATGGTGGCCAGGAACTATAAGAGGAGATTTTGTTTTGGGGGAGAGGGAGGGGAATTTCGTCTCTTGAATTAGTTATTCAATATTGTCTTCGGGCGTGCTTTCACCTCAAACAACTTTCGGCGTTTACTCGGCAGGGGGGATTGGCTTATGACAATTAGATGTTGTATGGGAGTGAATTGTGGACTACTACCCAGGTTTAGTGGTTGCCCCTGAGATAGGAGGTTTGCCAAGGAAATGAAGACAGAGTGTAAGAAGTGAGAGATCGTGCACTCTATAGTTTGCCTCAAGCGTCACAAATACCGGCCAGCATGGGGTTCAGATAACTCCATCCAACCTAAGCTGGTATGAGCGTTTCCATACCCTACATGATACCTCTCACAAAATCCACCATCACAACCTCACCGGCATACGCAACATACACGCACTCGGAACTCCCAGAATCAAAATCGACATCGCTGCGCACGGCCTCAAGCTCTACAAAACCCCTCGGGCGAGCAGTGTAGAAGGCGGCAGCGCGGCGTCGTGGAAGCCAGTGGATATGAACTTCAGCAAAGCGCGAGCGGGGTGTGGCCAGCGTGCTGATGAACTCTGGGTGGATGGTTATCAGTCCTGTTGTGAAGGCGGGGATTGGGTCAGGAGTATCCAGACGATAAATGAGCACATGTCCGCGAGTGAGGAATCGGGGAGGTACTTCTTTTGGTAGTGATGGCCTAGGAGTTGGTATCAGATTTCGAGTTCGTAATTGTGATGAGACTGGTTCCGGCTGAGGTTTCTGTACCGCTACCGGTACGGGATCAGGCTCGGGCTCGGGTTCCAGTTCTGGTCTTGGTTCTAGCACCCGTCCAGGTTTTGATGCCGGTTCGTGCTCCGCCTCCCCAGCTGCTGACGGGCTCCCGGCCGACGAGGCATGTTGTTGCTGTTGTTCTACCAACTCTGCCGCCTGTTTCGCCGCACTCCGTGCCTTCTTGGCCTGGTGCTTCAGCTCGTCTGCTGCCTCTTTATTTCCTTGCTTGAGTTTCTCGTTAGCTTCGCGCTGGAGTCGCTTGGCCTCTTTTTTCAGAGGCTTCATGGCCTTTTTCTTTGCTTTTTGAGGGCCTTGGCTTCGGCAACTTTGACCTCTGCGGCGTGAGGATCAGCTTGCTGCCCGAGCTCTAGCCCCCGTTCCAGCGTTGTTTGGAACTCGGGCTTGGGCTCGACCTTGGGTTCAGAGCCTGTTCCCAGGGTTGTTTGAGAACCGGGGCCTGGTCTCTCTGTTGCTTTCTGCCCTGTGATTGGCACCGGCTTGATGTTCAAAGTTCGTTCTTCCGCCGCGAAACCCAGTTCTGACTCCGGCGCCAGCTCTTCCGGAGTTATCTCTTCGTTGATCACATCGAGGCATCCTTGTGAAGCCTGGACCGCCACATGAGACTCCGTAACCGGGCAGGCCATCCCCGTCGCTGAGTCACCATTACGTCCCATCGTAGCCTGATGAGTTGTATAGCTTTCTGCCCACTCGGAACCCAAAACTGCAGGGGTGACTAGCTGAATTCCTCGGCCCGCTGCTGGGCTACTGGGAGGACATACTGGCTCCGGAGACACCGGGCTAGAAAAGACAATTGGTACGGTATGGGCAGGATTTCCCGTCAGTGGTGAAGTGGTCTTCGGATGCTGATTCTCCAGTGGGCTCTGTTTAGCCTTGCCCTTCGCTTGGGCCAAGGAGGCAGCTAAACTGGGAGGTCCTGCCGGTGTCGTGGAACCCGCCCGTGACGATGAAAATGCCTTGACAAGGGAAAGCGAACTTTCGTTTTCATTCGGACACGACTTCAGGAGTTGATGAGGATTGTTTGTGAGACCTTCAATGATTTCCCTGATCCGAGCCTCTAGGGCTCTGTTTAGCTGGGCCTGGACCGGGTCGAGGGATTGAATCGGCAGGAGACGCCACCGCGAGTAGAGGTTGCCGTGGGTTCCCGGAATGCGAAACGTTCCATGCAAACGGATGAACAGGTTGCAAAGGTAGCAAGCGTGCTTGCTTGAGCAGATGACGCGTGGCTTCCTGGCCTCTGGGTGAAGTTCGTAGTAGCACACGATCTGTACTTCCGCGTGGACACACGACTCGCGGAGATTCTTCCGAACTGTTGACAGAAAGTCGTTGTCGTCCTTGCCTAGTTCCTTCAGCTTGGAATCAAAATATTCAGCACCTGAGACCGTCGTCGCACCGCCCTCTAACCGGTCGAGACAGCTTCTCAAAGAGCAGTCGGGTGGTGCCCCCAAACTCCTAACGAAGAAATTGGCTTCAAGTGATACGGTAATCACTTCTGCGTTTCTGAAAATCCCAGACTCCCTGGCTGTCCGGCAAAGAAAAATACAACACTCTAAATAGTGGGCGAGTTTGCCAAGGCGTGTTCGGAGACCTGTTCTTATGGTGGGAGCTAGTTCCCTTGAACCGAGCCCTTGAAAGACTTTGTCGAAGTCAGTGTCCTCGTTGAGTCGATGTGCTGCGCGAAGAACGCCTGTGATATGTGATACAACATCGTTCTCTGGGCACCTCTCGAGATCTTCCAGACGGTTCCGGAAACGCATCACAGCCTTCGTGAACTTTTTCCGGTTACTGTAACTTCGTACAGCATCAATGACTTGCTGAAGCAGCGAGCCTAAGAATGCCTTGCTCTTCCCCTTGCTGTACTTTGCATCCGGTCTCCTTGACTTGATGCGGCTGAATATGCGATCCTTGCACATCCTCACTATAGCGTCGACGACCATGTCTTCCGTGTCTGAATTCTGCTCTGTTGGGGGGGGGGGTGTTTGTCAGCGGGGGCTTGCATGGACACTCTTCGAAGAGACAGACCCCTGTTGACTCGAGCGAGATGGCCGAAGATCTGGTCAAGCCCCTTCTTGATGCGTGCTAGGACCTCTTTATTCGAGGCCTGGCGCTCCTTGTTGATGGCAACGACGACCCGAATTCCGCTTCCGCTTGCCAGCCCCTCGACACAAGCGGCCACGACATGGGAAGGGTCATCGGATATCCCAGAGATATATGCAATGGTGTTGGTGACGTGGACCTCATGTGTGAGCTGGTCATCGACCGGATTCAGATGGGGAGCGGTAGGAGCTGCGCTGAGCAGAGAAAGAAGGGCAATGTTTTCAGCCAGGAATAGGCTTTCTCTCAACTGCTTTCCCGACATATTCACCGCATTGTATCACAGGCACGGGAAGAGCCGGAGCACAGATTGGCTGTCGAGGCGGCAGAACGGATATTGAAGTCATGCTGAGAGCTGCCTCGGACGAAGGCCTGTTCTGTTTGTAGGCCCCCGTAAGGCTGGGCCCGTGTCTGCGTGGCTAGGCTCCGCTGTGGTACGTGACGAATTGGGAGAATGCTCCTATCGCGGGGTTGCGTGAGGCGTGCCAGCGTATGCAGTGAGGCCTGCGAATGTCCGCACTCATGTAGCGTTCCGCGAATGCAACTTGCCAACGGCTCATATCGAGAGCAACCATTGGCTAAAGCTGGAGCTTTCAACCAAGGAACGTGCAGATCGGCAGGCGATACTCTGCGAGGCGTCAGAAGACCGAAAACCCAAGCTGAGCAGAAATACTTACTGTCCAATGTCCAATACCTCCTCTTCACCCCTTCCCATTCGCCCTTGCCGGCCTCAGCTAGCTGTGACATGTCGACGTCGGTTACCTTCCACTCGACATCCATCCCAGCGTCGGCGAGATGCAACTCAGCCACCTTGGTGTAGACATCGTAGCAGATCAGACGGTCCGCGCCGAGCCCGTTGAAGAAGCCAAATTTACCTTGACCGTCCAGAAGGCCTGGGATAAACTCAGTAAAGAACATCCGCAGTTGGGAATAGTCCTCGCCGAAGGTGTCAAAGTAAATGGCATCGTATATTTGGCCTTCCTGGAGCAGCTCCGCGCACACTTCTTGCCACCTTCCCTTGTAGACCTTGAAAGCCCCCGGGGTCGGACCACTCTTCTCCCAGTCGGAGCCAAACTTGGAGCTCGGACTAGAAATGTGTTCCAAGACACCGGGATGAGCTTCGATAATATGGTGCCGCGCAGGCTTCGTCTCAGCAAACATGGTGTCGATAATGCCCATGCCAAAGCCGATGTTGAGTATGCGCTTCCCCGGTTCTCTGTCTGGCAACAAGGCATCGACGCTCTGGCGCATAATGTCCGTCTCCCAAGCCATCATGACGCCGTTGCCGTCCTCGTCTACAAGCTTCCCGTCCGAGTAAGTCAGCTTCGATCGTAGGTATGCTTCGGAATCGATCTCGGCGGCCGTATCGTCCAGTGGTGGTTGAAACCCAGCCTCCTCCTCCTGCTCGTCCTCTTCCACCGTCCCATTCTGCCCATTCGCCTCAACGTTAACCAGCTCGGGTGCTTCGTCCCCATCCTCCCCAGCCACAACCAGCTCCGCATCCGCAGCCACATCCATATCCACCACTTCAACATCGTCATCCTCTTCCCCACCGCTACCGAGCTCCTCATACCCTTCCAGCACCCCAAAGAGCATCTCGGCCCTCACCCCGGCCTCCACACACAGGTTATACAAGTCTGTCCTCCCCAGCCGGTGGGCCACGCACCCGGGCGTCTCGTCATGGTCGTCGACATCATTCCAGATCGCGCCCCAGAGCAGCAGCTCGTGCACCGTCTGGCGGGCCGCCTCCAGGTCGGCCGGGTCATCGTCGTCCTCTTCTTCCGACGGCGCACCGCACGACCGGATGGCGGCGTGCAGCGGCGTCTCGCCCGTCGTGGGGTCCTGCAGCCTCGCGTTGCCGGGCGTGTCGAGGAGCTTCTTGACGGCTGCGACGTCGTGCGCCCAGGCCGCGGTCAGCACGCGCTGCGTGTCGGCAGGGCACGAGGGTGAGATGCGGGAGGAGATGGCGTCGCGGTCTGACATTTTGGGAGAGTGGGTTCTTGAGCGCTATACTGGAAGGGATGGTTGGTATGTGTCTTGGCTTGATCCAAATGAGTCTTGCTCGCTCCGGGCTACTAACGATGCAGATGGGTATGTAGAAACAAATTTCGTTGATAATTGCATGTGCTGGTGTTGCCCCGCGGCCCTGGTGCCCCCTCACACCAAAAAGATTTAGGGTTCGGGTATGTCGATCATTGATGCACGGGCTCCGAGCCGACGCTAGGCGAAATACAGAAAGGCCGTAGGGTAGCTGGGTTCGGCCTGCACATCGTAGACAAAAAGGACCGTACATCAAGCGGCCGTCAGAATATCATTCTATCTCGACGTCGATGTCTCATGTACGGTCCTTTATGGCCAGAAAGAAGCGGGCAGTGGAATTGGCCAGCCAGCGCACGAGTCACTCGCTTGGCAGCTGCGAAGCTCGTGGCTGGTTCGGGAATCGGGACCCCTGCCCGTTTTCTTATGCTGGCCAGCCCTCAATTCGCCAATTGCAGCGCTTGGCTTGTGAACGTGTTCGAGGACACGGCGCAGCCCACGGGAAGTCTTGGGTGGTCGGTCGATGCAGCTCAGTTAGTTACGTCAACTGGGTTGCGGATTGAAAATGTTTTGTTGGTTCTTTCTGAATGATGCGGTGAAATGCGAGCTCCTGCCTGTTCTATGATATCATCAGAGCTCAATTGTCTTGAAGGGACGGAAGCAACAAAGCTTCGGCATAGCTCAAGCAGCCTGAGGTCACAAGCAAGTGGAGATCCATTGTAGACCGCACCGACTCCAAGGATCAAGCTCAGACGGGAGGCGGGCGCCGCTTGGCTGGGTGTGGCGACTTGGAGCTGGGCAAATCTTCCATTGATTGGCACCTGCCCCGCCCATGTTTCTTGTTGTTCATGACCTTAAGAACCGCTCCCAACGCGTACACTCAGAGCGTAACCGCATCCGCGAACCCACCTGGCGAGCTCCTCCCGGCGTCGTCGTCATGAAGTTCGGCGAGCAGCTGCGGTCAAGCGTTATCCGCGAATACCAATGGTACTACATCGACTATGACGGCCTCAAGGCCGATCTCAAGCGGCCCAGCGGGCGCTTCCAGCCCGCCGACGGCAACGGCAACGGCGACAGCACGCAGCCCGGCAAGCCGCCGCGCCGCGAGTGGACCGAGGACGATGAGAGCCGCTTCGTGAGCAAGCTCGAGGCGGAGCTCGATAAAGTGCACACCAAGCAGCAGGTCAAGGCCATGGAGATCTCGCGCCGCATTGCCGTCAGCGAACGCGAGGTCCGCGATGTCGTCAACCGCCTTAACGAGCGCGGGCTCGGCCAGGAAGGCCCCAGCGAGGAGGAGTTCATGATGCTGGAGGAAGACCTTAGCGACATCATTGCCGACGTCCACGATCTGGCCAAGTTTGTGCAGCTCAACTACACGGGGTTTTACAAGATCATCAAGAAGCACGATGTAAGTACCGCCAGCAGTTGCGCCGATACGGAGGAGTTGGTGCTGACGCAAGGCAGAAAATGACAGGGTGGCATCTGAGACCCGTTTTCGACACTCGGCTCAAGGCGAAGCCGTTTTACAAAGAGAACTACGACGCCTCGGTTGTGAAGCTGTCGAAGCTCTACGACCTGGTTCGGACGAGAGGAAACCCGGTCAAGGGCGATAGCGCGGCCGGAGGAAGCCAGGGCAGCTTCATCCGGCACACTACGAAATACTGGGTCCATCCCGACAACGTGACGGAGCTGAAGCTAATCATCCTGAAGCACTTGCCCGTACTGGTGTTCAACGCGGGCAAGGAGTTCGAGGAGGCGGACTCGGCCATCACTTCCATATACTACGACAACCCGGACACGTGGGACCTGTACGAGGGGCGGCTGAAGAAGACAGAAGGTGCCGAGGCGATCCGGCTGCGTTGGTACGGCGGCATGCAGACCGAGACGATTTTTGTCGAGCGCAAGACGCACCGAGAGGACTGGACGGGCGAAAAGTCGATCAAGGCGCGGTTCTCGCTGAAGGAGAAGAACGTGAACGCCTATCTGCGTGGCGAGCTCCTCCCGGCGGCCATCTTCGAGAAGGCGCGGAAAGAGGGCAAGAAGTCCGAGAAAGCCATTGCCGAGGACGAGAGGCTGGCGCGCGAGATCCAGTGGTCCGTTCTCAAGAAGGGCTACAAGCCGGTATGCCGGTCGTTCTACCACCGCACCGCTTTTCAGCTGCCCGCCGATGCGCGCGTGCGTATCTCGCTCGACACCGAGCTCACGATGGTCCGCGAAGACAACCTCGACGGCGTGAAGAGGTCGGGCGACAACTGGAGGCGCATGGACATTGGCATCGACTACCCCTTCTCGCAGCTGCCGCCCGGGGATGTGGTTAGGTTCCCCTATGCTATTCTCGAGGTCAAGCTCCAGACACAGCTCGGCCAGGAGCCCCCAGAATGGGTGCGCCAGCTGACCTCCAGCCACTTGGTGGAAGCGGTGCCCAAGTTCTCGAAGTTTATCCACGGTGTGGCCTGCCTATTCCCCGACAGGATAAACCTGCTCCCGTACTGGATGCCGCAGATGGACGTCGACATCCGGAAGCCGGTGACGCACGATTTCGGCATCAAGAGGTTAGAGCACTCGACAACGACGTCGTTAACGGACGACGAGGATGACGAGTATGACTCGGACGATGAGCACCGGCCCGCGACTGCTGGGGGACAAACTGGCGAGTCTAGCGCTGCAGCGGCGAGGAACGGACAGGCGGCAGTCCGGGCGACGGATCTCGAGGACCAGACCGCCGACCAACCGACGGGCGAGGATACCTACCTCTACGACTCGGACGACGAGGATGATGAAGACAGGCTGGAGGAGGCGCGGAGAGTTGGCGGCTGGACATACTACCAGACGCGCATTTCCACGTCGGCGAACGCTGCCCTCCGCGGCACGTGGTCGTTGCTCAAGGCCCTGGCGCCGCGGCCACGGTCGACGCCGATGCCGCGCAACGCGAGACTGGAATCGCTGCTCGGGTCAGGGGAGATCCAGCAGAGGCGGTTCAAGGCGCCCAAGGGCAAGAAGATCTACGTTCCCGTGCGAGTCGAGCCGAAGGTGTATTTCGCTGCCGAGAGGACGTTCCTGTCATGGGTAAGCCCCCGGTTAAATCATGCCAGGGTAATCGATATATCCATTCGTTCTTACTGACCTGGTTCTCTGCACAGCTTGAATACTCCATCTACATCGGCACCATCGCCGTGACACTCCTCAACTTCAGCACCAAACAGGGCAACGCGGCGTCGTTTGTCGCCGCGGGCGCCTTCACGCTGCTCGCGCTCATGTCGCTGTGCTACGCCGTCGTCATCTACCTGTATCGCAGCAAGGCCATCCGCATGCGCAAGACGGCTCGCTACTACGACAAGTGGGGGCCGAGCGCGCTGTGTGCTGCGCTGTTCGTGGCGGTCGCGCTGAACTTTGCTATGGAGGGGAAGAGTAGGCATGTCTGGTAGCACAGTCAGTAACATAGCAGTGTGCTGGGCTTGTGACTGGAGGGTGTTCACTGCATTGGATAACGCTTGAGAAAGCTGACGGTGTCAGGTTTTGCTTGCTTTCTTTTTGGGTAGTTGGGTGTTGGTGAGCACGCAGAGGGGTTGCTAGGGGATTCCCAAGTCGGTTTGCATAGGAGTAAAGACTGTATTAACTCGTATAGGCATCAACAATAGGGGTATGTAGTATATTGTAAGACATTGCGCCTACACACTAAGTACTAGTAACAGTGCTTACTGGGAGAGCTAGGCCTGATATCTGACATGGGATAACAGGTCAAAGCTATGGCCCAATCAAGAAGGAAAGATGGATTTCGCAGCGGACCAGAAACTGCGGAGTTCCCGGCGGATTGAGTGGCCGCATCTACAGGCTGCAGCTCGGGATCCAGGTGCGACATCGGACGCATTACGGAGTATTGTGAATTCATATGAGCCTCTCACTCAGCTCGGACAAGTAGCCACATCTGAGTGCCGCTATAGGTAATCGAGAACGGATCGCGAGTCCGAGAGGCGAGGAACGATCCGAGTCTTTCTTTCAGTTCCTTAAAAGCTGTGGAACCTTCGTTCATCAAGCTCTCATTCATCTCCTCTCATCTCATCCCTCATTGCTCCTGGGCAGTACCTAGCAAAAAAGCAGAAACCAAAAGTCATAGTGAGACAACAACGCCCCCAATAACCTGAAAACAAAATGCCTGTCAAAGTCATCAACACCGAGCTGGGCCACTCCCTGCCCCCGGAAGCGCCGCACAACATCACCTTCCATGTGCCCGGCTGGGAAAATGCCACGGCGCAGCGCCGCCCGGGGCCCCGATTCTTCGAACTCCTGAGCAAGGTGGTCACCATCTACCCGCGCTTCGGGCCCTGGGCCCAAGTGCGCCAGGTCAGCCAGTCCCTTTTTATTTTATGACCTGAAAACAAAACAAAATATACTAAAAAATAAAACCCCCCTACCATAGCTCGCAACCCTCGTCCACAGCGTGCTCTCCCTCCCCGAAACCCACGCGGCCCTCCTCTTCACGCACCCGGACTGCTTCGCCACCGTACAGCAGTATGCTGCCTCGCCCCGCCGCAAGCCAGAGCACCGCATCCCGCCAGAGGCGCTCCTCTTCCGGGCGGTCGACATCCCCCTGACACCACCAGCACCACTAGCAGATGAAGTCGTCGTCGTGCGGCTGTATGTGGTCGCCCACCCGCAGGGGCCTGCCGCCCCGGGGGCGCTGGGGGTGTGGCAGAACTATGGCACGGGGATCTCGTCGCGGCTGGCGGAGGCGCTGATCCCGGCTGTGGAAAGGGGGGAGGCGAAAGTGGTGGATTGGCGGGCCGATGGGAATGTTTTGGAGAAGGTTCCGGTTCCGGAAAGTAACGTTGGGCTGCTGCCGCTCCGAGAGGCGCATCGCGGTTTGAGGGAGAGGATTGCGGGTTTGGTTGGGGGCGCGGGGAGGAAGAAGGCAGTGGCGGCGGTGGGCGAGGGGGATGTGTTTCTGTATCCGACGGGTATGGCGGCCATTTATAGGCTGCATAAGGCCATGGTGGAGGTTAGGGGGCCTAGTAGCACCGTTGTGGTGCTGGGCTCGGTGTTTCATAGTACTTGGCATTTGTTCGAGGAGAGCGAAGGGGGCATGAAGCAGTTTGGGCGGTGCGATGCGGAGAGTGGCGTGATGGAGGCGCTGGAAAGCTGGTTGGAGGGGGAGAAGGCGGCCGGCAGGAAGGTGGGCTACATCTTCGCCGAGTTTCCGAGCAACCCTATCCTGGTGAGCGTGGATTTGAGGAGGCTGAGGGAGGTGGTAAGTCATTTGCTTGCCCCTTTCATTCTTCTTTCTCTTGTATCCTTTTTTACTTTTCATATTCCTTTGGCTCTTGACTGACCCTGTCCAGGCCGACAAGTACGAAGTCCCCGTCGTGATCGATGACACGATCGGCTCCTTCTGCAACGTCGACGTCTCCCTCGTAGCAGATGTGATCATGACCTCCATCACCAAGTCTCTGAGCGGATACGCCAATGTAAGCCCCCCTCCCTCCCCCTTAACGTACAAGTACATCATCCTCAACTCTCCCAACCTTCGGTACCGTAGGTAATGGGCGGCTCCCTCGTCCTCCCACCCTCCTCGCGATACTACCCGGCCATCAAAGCCACCCTACAAACCCAGTTCCGCAACGAGTACTTCCACGCCGACGCCGCCAAGCTGCTCTCCAACTCGGCCGACTACCTCGCCCGCTCGGCCATCCTCAACCGCAACGCCCTCCGCCTCGCCACCTTCCTGCACACCCACTCGGTCGCCTTCTTCCCGGCCACCTCCCCCGTGAAAGCGGTGCTCTACCCGCCCTTCACCGACACCAAGCCCAACTACGACGCCATGATGCTGGGCCCCCCCTCGGCCTCACCAGAACCAGGCTTCACACCGGGCTACGGCTGTCTCCTGTCGATAGAATTCACGTCGCTCCCGGTCGCGCGCGCCTTCTTCGACGCCCTGTCGGTGCACCACGGTCCGCACCTGGGTGCGCACCACACGCTGGCCTTCCCGTTCAACGACGCCATCTGGGGCGCGGACCCGGAGACGGCGGCGCATCAGGAGAGTATCGGCGCGAGGCGGCAGCAGGTGAGGGTGAGCGTGGGGTTGGAGGACGAGGAGACGCTGGTGGATACCTTTGCTGCGGCGCTGCGGGTTGCCGAGGCGGCGAGGCGGAAAGAGGAGGAGGAGGAAGGGAATGTGCCGAATTAGATGAATGAGCAAGCAACCAGAATGCGGGGGGAAAGAGGATGAAGATACTGCGAAAAATGCATTGAATTTGCATTGTTGTGCCTTTGCTAGCTAAAGGGAGCATAGCGCTTTCCACTACAAATCAACCATGTATATGATGGCGGCGAGCTATCAAGGCCGCCCGGCGATGAGTCTCCATATCAATCAGCCCAGCGACCAACCCAAACGCCTTCCCAATGGTGATTTCCCAAATACGCCTTGCAGTCAGCGAGGACAACCCAACTGGCTAACCCCCACTCGACTATGCAGATGACTACCCTACTTAAAGTTCTCCGGGTGCAAGATGCCGTGCATGTTGCCCTCCCTCACGCGTTGCAACGTGAGCGCAGCAATCAAGGCGGCTCCCACGCCGCTTCCGTCCTCAGCCGCCAGGATCTCGATCGGATCTTCCTCCTTAGGGTCGGTCTTCTCGGGCCAGTCGAGGATCTCGCGGAGCGCCTGGGCACCGCGGGCCTTGAAGTGCGGGTACTTGTTGAAGACCGAGCCGTCTGCGCCCACGTGGCAGCTCGTGTAGCCCTTCTTCTTGCTGATGGCGGCCACACCGCACGCCGACAGACGGGCCGCGCGGGTGCCGATCAGTTCCGCCGTGCGGCGGATGAGCTCGAGTTCCGGAAGGTTGGGGCTGATGTTCAGCTTGGTCTGGAAGAGATCAAGCGTCTCAGAGAGATTCTCAAACGGATCCCTGCATTGTTTATTAGTCACAGAGAATTCATAACACATCAGCATAGAGAACAGAGAGGTACATACTCCTCGATGGCCGACAGGAAGGACGAGTCCAGAGTGTACGGCCTCCGGAGCTTGGAAATGTCCTGTCCGGCAAAGATGTGCACGTCGCGGTTGTCGTGCAGATCGACCAGGATCAGGCGGAAGATCTCTCCAAGATAAAGACCCGCAATCATCTTCTCGAAGGCCTGCTGACCGGGCCTCGGCGAGTCGTTGTCGATAGCCTCGTCATACTTCGTCCGCGGTAGGACCTTGTGCTCATTATCGAAGGCTCCCCACTCGCAGTTGATCGCCATGGGCGTGTCGGCCGGCAGGTTGAGGTGAGCCAGCTTAGGGATCGACCCGCACTCCTCGATGTAAGCGGCGTTGCAGCCCGTGCCAAAGATACAACCGATCTTCATCTTAGGGTCAGTGTAAGCCGAGGCAATGAGCGTGCCCGTAGTGTCGTTGATGAGCGCGGTCAGCTTGATGGGGACACCCTAAATAAAGCACGGTTCAGCATATCTTCCCATCCGCGCTCATATATGCACCTATGCGTGAAAGCCCTTACCCGCTGTGCAAGGGCCGCCTCGAACATGGGGACCACGTTGTGGCCCTCCACACCGGCAATGTCAAAGCCCTTGGTCCAGCGCTGGAGGATACCCTCGTCAATGTAGTTCTGCGTGGCCGGGTACGAGAAGGTGAAGCCCAACGGGAGCTTCTCCATCTTGGACACGTCGCCGTGGTGAGTCTCGATGAACTGCTGCAGGCAGTCGGCAATGTACTCCCAGAGCTCATCGGCGTCGCCAGTCTTCAGCTCCTCGGGCATTCGGTACTTCGACTGGATAATATCAAATTCGGACTTCTGCTCTGTGAGCGTGACCTGGCAGACGCGCAAGTTGGTGCCGCCCATGTCGAGGGCCAGATACGTGCCCGTCTCATGGCCGGTAGGTCTGGACATGACCCATGTTGGGTTCATGGGCTAGTGCCGATTGTCAGTCATCGGGCTGGAGCTTACCACAGTAACATCCTACCCAGGCTGACTTACGATGCTACCTCCCGCGACACTCAGTCCTGAGAATTGTCAGTGGTTGATCGGAACGATCGTTTGTTTGGTTGGTCGGTTGGTCGGTCGGCTGGGCGACCGATTGGACGGATGACAGCGGACTCACCCTTCGTGAGCTCATTCACAAAGTGCTCAGTGATTTGCTTGAGCTTGGGCGTGTCAACTGTGAAGAGCTCCTCAAGATGTTTGATCTCATTGAGGAGGTCCTTGGGCGCATTTTCGAGCGAACCTAACGCCATTGTTAGTCGGAGTAAGGGGACTGGGCACCGTGTGCCTTGCCCTCTCGAGATGAGCTGCTGTGGTTGTGGTGGTGATAGAAAGCTCTCTGGGAGAGAGGGCGGGGGCGGTTGTGGTTGGAGTAGAGCAGGGTCCTCAGCTTTCCAGATGTTGCCATTCCGATAGCTTCGGGTACCTGACTTCTTCACAGCCAACACGAGAGAAAAAGCGCGCTAGCGAGGTACGCAGTAGTGCCACGGATTGGGTGGCAACGAGGTTCGGACAGAGCCGCGGGGTAGCACGTGAGGTAGTGTGATGTCACCGAGCGTTTCGATGGATCTGTTTCGTCCAAGGCAGCCGAGAAGAACTAGCTCCCGTTTGCTCGGACGACACGAAACGCCGGCAAACATGAAACAAGAACACAAGGAGAGCAACAGCACGTGGGAGATCAAACGAGGCTTTTTCAATCAGAGCAGATCGGACACCAGGCAGGAGTCCCCGACGTCCCCAAGCGGGCGGTATCCCGTGTGAAGCAGTCGCGAGCCCGAGAGAAGGGAGGGTGGAGGGGTCAGGCCGAAACGGGCGGGGCCACAGAACATTCAGGATGCTACGTACCAGTGCCCTTCCTGGATGGGGGCGGTTTCGGTCCGAGGCCTACCATGCTGGGCTATGATATGGGCTATGAGATGTTGTTGTCAGATGTTTCTCTGGTGTTGTTGACGCTCCTTTTTTCTCTCAAGCCACCACAGGTTCAGATGATGATCCTGGCACGCCTGGTCCCTCACTCAGCAATGAACCAGGGGTTCTCCGATAACATGCTGCTACCCCGCACTCCCCCAACACTGTTGGGGGTCAAGAGTGCATAGCAGGAGCGGGTTAGGGTTAAAATGCTCTCACAAGTAGGAGGGTTACAACTCCGCGACATAGGTTAAAAGTCTTAAGGTACTAGTAAACGTGGTAAGGTATGTCTGTGCACGTTGACAGCATGTCTATGGGGTATGCGGACATCGCTGTACTGGCCGACCCGGGTGGCTCGAGGTGATTGAGGGTTTCCCAATCACGTCTGCAGAATCTTACTAGTAGGAGTCCGGGCTGAGCGCTCACGGTCAAAGACACACGACGGAACAGTCAGTGGTTCTGTCGAATTCTGTGAAAGAGAGTCAATATTAGATGATCCTTCACATAATGGGCAAACTGTTCCATATCTTGGGGTTGCTGGAAGATGAAAAGGGACCTTTCCATCATCTTTGCTGGGTGAACTGCCTCATCCCACACTTTGCCTCGACAAGTAGACTTCTAGAACCCCGGTCCGGTAGTGCCCGTTCATACAGGACTTGTAAAGGGCAAGGGTGTCTAGAACTTGCATGGTATCTACCTAGGTAAGCCTTTGAAGTGTGGTATCCTAGGTTAGAAGACAACACGCACTTGACCTTCTCAGCACCGCACTCACATGCATATGTGCTGCGCGTGGTCTTTCATTCATAGCGGCAATCCCGGAGTCACACACCCTAAAGGCCAGCAAGGTTCACGTGGCCTTTTTGGCTTCACTTTACTCTTTTGTCGGCTTCACCTCTGAGACTTATATCCGTTGTCGAAGGCATGTTGATTTAGCTAACACGACCGCCTCGTGTGAGCTCCGAAAGCATTGACCAATCAAAAGCTACATCCTTCAGTCAGTAAGACCCACCTTCAGAGCCAACAGGGGTGTTTCAGCAACGTAAGCTTTTCGAGGCTGGCCAGCTCCGTCAGAAGGCCACGATGATGGTCCAGAAGGGTGCACAGCCGGCCAAGCCCTTGCACCTTCGTCTCTCCTTTCCAGCCACTTCCGACATTCAATTGGCAGACGCGTATACTTCATGAGCGTCCTGCCGTCTCGTTCTCCACGATGAAGACGACGGCGGTCTTCTCTGCCTTCCTGTCGCTGCTGTCGCTTGCTTCAGCAGCGAGCTCCAAGAAGAGCAGCTCCACAAGCACGACACTCCCGGCCACCTTCAAGCCGCCGCAGGTCTTCCGGAACGCCAATCTTGTGCACATCATCTCGGTCGAGAAGAACTACGCCAAGGAGAACATCAACGTGCTGGTAGAGAACATCGACAAGGCAGCGCAAGATGAGTACTTCGTGCCTTTCACGGCCGACCAGATGTCCCGGCTCGGCGGGGTAGAGGTGAAGGACCGCAAGGACGCCCGCGCTGGACCATTTGTTGCCGAGGCGGTTGAGTTTGACCAGGAAAGGTGGGTTGACAGTGGAAGAGTTAAGGTGGCCATATTCTGACCCCCTCCCAGCGACATCCAGTACCTCCGCATCCGCCTGCCGAAGCCCCTTGCGCCCGGGGCGCAGCAGACCCTCGGCATCAGCTACTACCTCCTCAAAGCATACAAACCCCTTCCCGCCTCCATTAAGCAGGAAGAGCAGCAATACCTCTCCTTCTCCTTCTCGGCCTACTGCCCCTCGGCCTACACGACGACGAAGCAAAAGACCGAGGTCAAATTCCCGACCGGCAACATTCCCGATTACACCAAGCTCCCCGGAAGCGGCGACGTCGCGGAGTTCCCACAGAAGCAGGGTTCCAAGCTCAGCTACGGCCCGTTTGACGAGAAGCCCGCCGGCGCGGTGCAGCCGGTCAGCGTGCGGTTCGAGTTCAACAAGCCCGTGACGCACGTCTCGCGCCTCGAGCGGGACATCGAGGTCAGCCACTGGGGCGGCAACGTCGCCTTCGAGGAGCGCTACACGCTGCACCACCGCGGCGCCAACCTCTCGTCGCTCTTCAACCGCGTCAAGTGGCAGCAGTCGCAGTACTACCAGCCGACCACGTTCGCGCTCAAGGAGCTGAAGTTCCCGCTGCGCGTGGGCAGCGTCGACCCCTACTACACCGACGTGATCGGCAATGTCTCGACGTCGCGCTTCCGGAGCAGCAAGCGGGAGGCCCTGCTCGAGATCAAGCCGCGGTACCCGGTGTTTGGCGGCTGGAAGTACCCGTTTACGATCGGCTGGAACTCGGACGCCAAGAATTTCCTGAGGACCACTACTGCGGGCGGGTTTGTCTTGAATGTCCCCTTTCTTGAAGGCCCGAGGCAGGCGGAGGGCCTCGAGTATGAGCAGGTGCAGGTCCGGGTGATTCTGCCCGAAGGCGCTGAGTATGACGCCCTTTTCCTTTTCCTTTTCCTCCTTTTTTTTTCCTCATTGGTACTATTGAGTGCTTGCTGATTGCCTGCTTAGAAACGTCAAGTATCACACCTCGATCCCAACCTCATCCATCACCGAAGCCGGCATCGAAATCCACAAGACCTTCCTCGACACCATCGGGCGGACAGCGCTGGTCATCAAGGCGCGCAATCTGGTGGACGACTTCAGGGACCGCGAGTTGGTTGTGACATATGAGTATCCTATAATGGCGATGCTGCGCAAGCCCCTGATTGTATTTGGTAGTGTCTTTGCTGTGCTTGTGGGTGCGTGGGTGGTGGGCAATCTCGAGTTGAAGTTTGACGCGAGGAAGAAATAGACAAAAGGTTGGGCGGGAGAATTAAAACGGTCTTGTTGTCACCCTGAATCTCGTACTTTGCTAGCTCACATATTCTACATCATCTTCGTCTCTAGGCTTAATAAGCGATTTACGATGGGCGGATATGGTAACTTCGGATGTGTTTGTGTAATGGTGGTCCGCTGCTGGTCTGGTTGTGCCCTCATGAATGACTTGTTGCTCAGTACAACTCATAGCCAAACAAGTAGTCCCCGCCTGCTCCTTATTTGGCTGCAACGCAATATCGAATATCCCTCGCGCCGTTGTGTAGCGAAACCGGCTCTCTACCGCCTATGCAAATGCTTCCAGGTTGTGTCAAGATTCAGCTTACAAAATGAACCGGTACGGAGAACGTACCGGATTCAAAGGGACAAAAGAAATATGACATTGACCACGTCCAGGTTCGAACTGGAGACCTTCAGTGTGTTAGACTGACGTGATAACCAACTACACCACGCGGCCAAGTTGTATTCGATGGTTTATTCGGTGGAGTCTACCCTCTTTATTCTCTTGTAGCACACCCGGAAGGTCCACAGCATGCTGTAAGACTACCCCCTTCTTCAACGTCCATGGCTCGGAGTAAGTGCTATGGATGAATGCCTGATCGAGCGATGATGCTTGCATTTTGGGTATGGAGATGAAGACTGCTAAATTTCTTATGTCTGTCGTCTTCTATTCCGCGATGGTCAACTTGAATGCTTTGCTCACCCATGGTTGTAATGAACGACTCGGAGAACAGGAGTGAGTTGAACGATCGTGTGGATGCGGGATGACGTCACTAAAGCATGGCTATCATGACCGAGCAAGCTTCTGGATCTGGGTTAGGACAAGGGAATGGTTCAGATATTGAGAGCGGGAAGAGTTACGTCGTCAGGATGGCGACACATGGGCTGAACTTGAACCAGTTCTTGCTATAGCAGATATTGTTGGAACCGTTGTCACTTCGACTCAACTCCTCCTCGTCATGCTTACACGACAACTGCCTGTTAAATTAGTTGAATCCGTAAACTAATACAAATAACCAGTGGTTAAATTTTTCAACGCTCAAGAAGCATCATCATACCTGCCCAGTTGAGTTGTACAGCAGTTTGGGAAGCTCTCATCAACCTCGAAAGCGTTCCAAGTACCTGCCTCTATTGCGTGTTTCGTAGAAGCATAAGGCAGGAACGGAGCAACATTTTCTGCAGTGGTGTTCACACCAGCCCGTCTAAACTCAAACCTCACCAAGAGCAGGCTATCAGATAGGAACAGACATCATGTAAGCTCTCCCGTCACAGCCGTCATCACCGGCAGAAAAGCTCCTACAATCCATCCGTCCTACTACCAGCCATACAATGTCACGTCGAAGCACCGAAGGAAGTCGTTTCTCCATCTCTGCTCAGTGGTGAATCGCCCTCCCTCCTCCTCCCCCTCCTCCTGCTTCTCCCTCCCAACCAACCAACTACTACCCTACAAGTCAGAAATTAACCCCCGTGCGCACAGGAACCGCGCCTTCTCCATGCGCTCCTCCAACCGCTCGTCCCACTCCACCGCCTCGACCACATCCACCACCACCCACCACCGCAAGCCCTTCTCCTTCGCCTCCCTGCGCGGCTCGCTGCAGCCGGAGCTCTCCAAGCGGCTCCACCGCCTGATCAAGTCGGCCAACAGCCTGGTCGGCGCGCACGAGACGGCCGCGCGCGCGCGCGTGTCGGTGGCGACGCAGCTCTCCGAGTGGGGCGAGCAGACGGGCGACGAGGCCGTGTCGGACGTGAGCGACAAGGTCGGGGTGCTGCTGTCCGAGCTGGGCGAGCAGGAAGAGAGCTATGCCCAGCGGCTGGAGGAAGGCAGGGGACTGTTGAAAGTGATTCGCGACACCGAGCGCAGCGTGCAGCCGAGTCGGGACGGGAAGCGCAAGATTGCCGATGAGATTGCCAAGGTGAAGGGCGCTGCGGCGGGGAGGGGGGAGGAACAAAGTTCTGCTGGTGGTGGTGGTGGTGGTAGTGGTGGTGGGGGGACCAGGCTGGTGACGCTTGAGCAGGAGCTGGTGAGGGCTGAGGCGGAGAATCTGGTTGCGGAGGCGCAGTTGGGGAATGTGGTGCGTATTTTTCTCCTTCTTTTCTTTCCTCCCCTATTCATTCTTCCCCCCTCCTCTCTCTGCATGAGGATGAGCAAGCACACTGACAAAGAGATATAAAAAACAAAAAACAGACCCGCCAGAAGCTACGCGAGGCCTACACCGTCGAGTTCCTGGCGACCATCGAGCGGGCCGAGAAGCAGTTGATCCTGGCGCGCCACGGCCTGCGGCTGCTGCAGCTGCTGGACGACTCGCCCGTCGTGCCCGGCGACGTGCGCCCGCGCTGGGCGCATGCCTCGCAGGCGCGGCAGGTGCTGAACGACGCCGAGGACGACCTGCGCGAGTGGCGGCTGGACGCGGCGGCGCTGCTCGGGAGTGGTGGTGGTGGTGGTGATGATGCTAAGACTGTTGCTGTCGACGACCAGGGGACCGCCACGGCCGAACCGCCGCGGGAGCAGGAGAGGGAAAAGGGAAAGGGGAAGAAGGAAAAACAGAAACAGAAGGAAGCAGCAGGAGAAGATGGGGATGGAGTGAGCCTTGCCGAGGAGGATAGCGGCGGCGGTAGCATGGCTGCTAGAACTTGAGATCTGACCAGTCTGTGGGAGTAAGGGGGATGGATGAGTGAGTCGGTTGCGTTCTTGTCGTTTGGAAGTTGAATGTGCGATCACATATACCTAGTTCGCGAACCTGTTTAACCCCTGCAATTGTATGCGAGTTTATTTAGTCCGACACCACTGGAGGAGAAACAGATACCATACGCCGTCGTCGCACTGTAACCACACAAAGAAGCCTGCTACCTTGGAACAACCATACCAATATGTCATGATACCACCTGTCCCGCCCGCTGCATTGGAATTCCCTCATCAAACAGTCGCCGTAACGCGCCTCACGCTCTTCCGGGCGCCCTCCCCGCTGATCATGACGGCGCCCTCCATCTCCAGCGTCCGCATCACCTCGGCAAACTCGCCCGGCTCAATCAGCACGTTGGCGCCCTCGGCAAACTTCCGCGCCAGCTCGGAGAAGCGCACCGTCTGCCCGCCGGCCGTCAGCTCGTCCAGCAGGCGGACGACGGCGTCCTTCATGTCGGCCTTGCGCTTGCGCTCGGCCGCGCTCGTGCCCTCGGTCAGCAGGCTCATGTCGATGCGGCCCTGCGCGTCGGTTGCGGCCGTCTTGAGCGCCGTCTTGATCAGCCGCACGGCCTCGCGGACGTCGTCCGCCGTGACCGTCTCCGACAGGCGCATCTTGGCGTGCGCCTCGGACAGCCGGATCATGGACTCGAGCTGCCGCGTCGTCGCCGTGATGCGCTTCTCGGCGGCGCGCACGTCCTGCCCCAGCTTGCGCATCTCGACGTAGGCGTCGACCAGCTCGCGGCCGGCTTCCGGTGTGATGGTCGGGTGGATGTTGGCGCGGGCGTAGGAGATGTACGAGGTCAGGAATTCGACGGGCTGGGAGAAGCGAGTTAGCAAATGATCATGAACGAAGGGGAAAGAGAGAGCGAGAGAGAGAGAGACAGGGGGGCCTTACCAAGATGTCGTTGTTGGTCTGCGCCGACTCAGGCTTGTCCTCCAGGTACATGGACAGGAGATGGCGAGCTAGCCGCTGATCAGTCTTCTCATCGACGCGGTCGAGGATGAGGTAGACCAGGTCGAAACGGGACAGGAGGGTCGGCGGGAGGTCGATGTTCTGCGGGACCGAGAGCTCCGGGTTGTACCGACTGCCGATCGGGTTGGCAGACGCGAGAATGCTCGTCCTCGCATTAAGCGTGGTGATGATACCCGCCTTGGCCACCGAGACGGTCTGCTGCTCCATCACTTCGTGGAGGACCGACCGCGTTGAATCGTTCATCTTGTCGAACTCGTCGATGCAGCACACGCCTCCGTCGGACAAGACGAGCGCACCCGACTCGAGAACCAGTTGCCGCGATTCAGGGTCTCGGATCACGTAAGCGGTAAGGCCGACGGCAGAAGAGCCCTTGCCGCTGGTGTAGACGCCACGGGGGGCAATCCTATGTACGTATGACAGAAGCTGCGACTTGGATGTGGAAGGGTCACCGCAGAGGAGGACATTGATGTCGCCGCGGTACCTAGGACTTGCGCCCTTCTCAAACGTCTTGTTAGTGCCGCCGAACAGCTGCAGGAGAATGCCCTTTTTGACATCGTCCATCTCGTAGATCGAAGGCGCGAGGGAGCGAGCGAGCAGGTCGTAGATGTCCGGCCGGGCCGCGGTCGCCTTGATCTTCTCCTCCTCCTCGGGTGTGACCTTCTTGATCTCGTCGAGGCTCTGGCCGCTGACATGCGCTTCTTCCTCCTCGGCAAGGTCGAGAGTAGAAGGATCAATGCCCATCCTTTTCCTGTCAACCTTCTGCACATGCACGACATCGACGTACGTCTTGTGCACGCTCTTCACTGTCCTCTGCCGCGGGTTGACTCGCACGGGGGTGACCTTGTAGATGCCCGTAAGCTCCACGCGGTCACCAGCCTTGCAGAAATCGACCAGTTCGTTGTAGACGCACACGGACACGGAGTGGGGCGTCTGGCCAGCAGGAACGGCGTCTGGCGTTTCCTGCAGCTTGATGACCTGCTTGTCTTCGAACACGCAGCGGTTGTGGATGATCTGCATCGAGTTCTTCTGCTTGCAACGCGCGCGCGGGCACTCGGTAGGCTCGCGGATCTTGCCACGGTCGAGCTCAACCGTGACGGAGTGCCCACAGACACTGCACTTGAAGAAAGCCTGCTTCATGTCGGGAATGACGGGCGTGGCCCGGATGACCAGACCTTTGATGGAGATGAGCTTATCCATGTCGGACGGGTTGAGATCCCGGAGGTTGATGGACTTGTCCAGGCCCCAGGGGCGGACTAGGTACTGCTGCTGCATGACTTGATCCTCGATGGTCATCTGCTCCCGTGGCGCAGGGCGCGGAGTAGACGGTTCCTCCGGCCGGTCCGAGCTTGGGAAAGCGAGCTCAGAGCTCTGGGATGCCTGGGGAGCAATGGGCGCGGAAGTGTTGTGCGAGGCGGCCCGCTGGCTTGCCATCTCGGCCTGCGCAAGCTCGATCATGCAGTCGTGGACGCACTGGTCCATGACGGGAATGATTTCCGTCGGGTATGCCTGACACTGGTGCCATAGCTTCACAGTGCGCGGGTACGCCTTCAGGTCGCGGAGGTCCAGGTACAGCTTGTTGGTGCCCAGGAGCAGCATGGTCTCCATGGCCTCCCAGTACGGCTTCGAATTCGCCTCGGGATTGCCGTTGGTTTCGGCCTCCGTCGCACCATCTGCCCACATGCGATATTTCTTGGTGAAGTTCCTGAGAAAGTCCCTGAACGAGGCGAACGAGTCCTCGAGCGAGACGGTGGTACCCCAGACAAGGCTTTGGCTCGGACCGCCGAGGGCATCCGCTTCGGAGGTGTGCGGATTGTTGTTCGAAAACGAAGCCGCATCTGACCCGAGGGCAGAGCCGTCACGAACCACTCGACCGGCGTCATCCAGGATAATGCGGCGCGGCACGCGAGGTGTCCGGATGACATCTGGATTGATATCTCCTCGGTGGGGCCTGATAGCAGATCTCTGAGAGCTCACGAAGAGGGCACTACTGTCGCTGCGGAGGTCGGACTGCTGGGTAAGCTGGCGGCCGGGGCTGGAACTCGGGTCATAGCGAATTGGAGACGAGTCTGTTGCGGTCAGTTCGACTCTGTATGCGGCGGGGGAGAGACGAGCTAACCTCCAATGAGCGCGCCGCTCGCACGGGGAGTCCGGTCCCCGGCGCTTTGCGTTTCGGTCTGCTGGCGCAAGGGCGAACTCGGCGCGTTGTGGGCGGTGCTCTGGCTGTTGCTCATCTGGCGCAGAGGAGAGGAGGCCCGGGCGCCGGGAGCGGGAGACGAGGACTGGTAGAACAACGGACTGGAAGCCAGCTGCGATGACCGAGTCTGACGAGGCGTCCTCTCGGCAGCGTTCGAGGGACCAGCGGCGGGGCTACTTCTCTGCTGCGAGCTGCGAGTGGCCCGATTGGGCGTCGCCGAACTCCGCGTTGATCGCTTTGCTGGGGACGACATCTTTTTGTTGTGCTGTAAAATTAACGCTAGTTGCGTTAAACTCTTAATACAGCGACGTCGTGGGATGGTCAGGCGAGGGTGTTTCGTTAAGTGTAGCAGAGAGCGGGGACCGAAGCTGGGACTGTTTGGCAATGGCAAATGCAAATGCAAAATGGGGATGCGCGAAACTTCGCGTCTAAACCCAACCACTTTACGCGTCGACAGGGGCACCGCGCGCAGCCCATTAAACCCCTGTCAGGTACGAACCGCACAATTGTGGGGCAGCTCAAGCTCAAGCCACATCGGCGACTGCTTCATCACCCCCACACATGAGAACAGCGGACAACTCACAGACACCTCGCGGACAACTCGCGGACACCTTACCGGCAAAGGCAGCTCGAGACCGGCTTCGATTGCGCCAATCGAACCTGCGACATCATAATCGAAGATTAGTCAGCATCAGACAATTACAGCCAAGATGTCGCCAGGAATGTCGCTGTATAGCGTCAACGCTATATGTATGTCACTGCAGGCGCAACCGCTGCTGCACCTTTGCGACATGGCCTGTGATAGCAGCTAACATCGCCGACTAGTGATTCTCTCGAGCGAGGACGGGTCGCGGATATTCACCAAGTACTACACCCCACCACACCAGGCGACCCAACCAAGCGGAGCAGGTACGATTGTTTCTCTATGCTTATGCAGCCTCACAAGTGACAAACAACCACATCCACTGACTTCCGACTCCCACAGCACCCGCCAGCTCCTCCCAGAATCCCTACCCGGACAAGACGTCGCAAACGCGCTTCGAAAAGGCGCTCCTCCAGAAGACGGCCAAGCAGACGGGCGACATCTTGCTCTTCGACAACCGGATCGTGCTGTACAAGATGGAGTCGGACGTGGCGCTGTACGTGGTCGGCAGCGTGGACGACAACGAGATCCTGCTGTACAACGTGCTGCTGGCGCTGCGCGACAGCCTGCACCTGCTGTTCAAGCAGTCGGTCGACAAGCGGACCATCATCGAGAACTACGACCTCGTGTCGCTGGCCATCGACGAGATCTGCGACGACGGCGTCGTGCTGGAGACGGACCCGACCATCATCGTCCAGCGCTGCAGCCGCGCGCCGTCGCAGGACGTCAACCTGAGCCGCATCGACCCGTTCAGCGAGCAGGGCGTCAACAACCTGGCGCAACTAGGCAAGGCGAAGTTGACGGATTGGTTACGGCAGGGGTTGTAGGCGTTACGGAAGGGCAAGGGTTATGTCGTGAATTTAGATTTTTTTTTCCTGTCTCCTCTCTTTTCGATCAAAAAAGTGCGGGTATGGTGAAGCATCATGAGAGGCAGAAAACCCGGTCCAGTGAAGAACCACAGGGTCTCCCGAGAGGCCGTCTAATGCCGTCTATCTAGGTCCTGATATCCGATGCCGCTTTCCTGAGCCTGTTCATGACCGCTGCCGCAATGCCATCACCATCGTTAACCCCTTCCACGAAGATGACGTCCGCACCCCGCCGGTCTAGCTCTCTAAGCGCTGCAAACAAGCCGTGGGCTACTCCCTTAACATCCCCTCCCAGATCAACATCCAGCAACCTGGCCGCCGCCGTCTCAGTGCCGTCTTCACCAAGCAGCTGCCCCTCCTTCACAACAAACCCTGTATCTCCCTCCCCTTCACCATCCACAACAACCTCTCCCAGCCCAGAGCATTCCAAGCCCCCGGCAACAGGCCACCTCCCAGTCCTGATAACCCCGACGGCCCTCGTCTTCTCCCCCTTCTTCTGCGTCTCGGCTTGCACCAAGGTCCTCACCTCGTCCCCATCCCCCACCTTGTCCCCTCCACTCTCAAACAAAACAACCCTCGCCCTGGGACTATAATGCTTGTACTTCATCCCCGGCGCCCGGGGCGCCGCCTCCTCCTCCCCTTCTCTGCCCCCCTCAGCCGCCACCCGATCGCGATATGCCTTCACCACGCCTTCCCAACCGGGACACCGCCTGAGCTCTTCAATCCCCACGCCGCCCGGCCGCAGCACCACGGGCGGGTCGCACAGCCCGTCGACGACGGTGCTCTCCACGCCGACCGCACACGCCCCGCCATCCAGCACCAGCTCGATCTTGCCGTCCAGGTCGTCCCTCACGTGCTGCGCCGTGGTCGGCGACGGGCGGGTGGACGCGTTGGCGGACGGCGCGGCCAAGGGCGCGCAGGCGAGGGCGATGAGCGAGCGCGCGAGGGCCGAGGCGGGCATGCGCGCGCCAAAGGTCCGCTGCGTGGCTGTCACTTCCGGGGCGAGCGGGGACGGGGAAGGGAGAGGGAGGAGGATTGTTAGCGGGCCCGGCCAGAAGCGCGTGATGAGCGGGTGGTAGATGGCTGGTATTGGATCATCTCCTCCTCTTTCTCCCTGTTCTTCTCCCTCTCCCTCTCCAGGGGAAGAAGAAGAAGGAGAGGGAAGGTTGAGGAGGAGGCGCCGCAGCATGGCCAGGTCGCTGACGTGCACGATCAGCGGGTTGTCCGACGGGCGGCCCTTGGCCGAGTAGATGCCCCTGACGGCGGCGGAGCGGGTGGCGTCGGCTCCGAGCCCGTAGACCGTTTCGGTTGGGAAGGCGACCGGTGTGGCCGTGGTGCGCAGCAGGTGGGCTGCTTCGCGCAGGGGTTCCAGGGGGTCATCGTTGTTGTCCGCCGGAGAAGGTGATGATGACGATGATGATGATGAGGGCACCTCCCATGTGTTGAGGTCGGCCGTGCCGTCCGGGCGCGTGGTCGCCCAGCGGCCGAGGGCAGATTCGTCTTTGCCGGCGAGCGGCACTTTGAGGATTCGGGTTTTCATGGTTGCCGTAGCATGCGTGAGCCGAGAGGCCAAGTGTGGTGATGGTGTAAGCGACTCAGACGATGCAGTCACCGAGTGAGTGCAGACGGAACGGAGAAAACGTCTGGATGTAGCCGGCCAGCGCACGGCGATCGGTGATGCAAATAGTATGCCTGCCGTTTTGACTGCCGTGTGAAATCGTTACAGTGTAAGGGGGGTGAGGTAGAGTTGCGAATGAATGCGTTGAGATAGATTTCAAGTTATTAGTAGGTGAGAATGAGATGCATTTGTGAAGTGTAAGTTGAGTCATGGAGAAATTTTTAGTGGACTCAAAGAAGCACACACATTGGAGAACTCGACCTCGCTGCCCAACTACCTACACATCAACAGATAGCTCTGAATCCCACGCAACAAGGCAAGAATGCCATAGATATTGGGAACCTGCCCGATGCATCGAGTGAATCCTTGGGCTGATTCTCATTAAAGCAACGTAATGCAGTCAACCCGTTGCTGAAGCCGCCAAACCCGCATACAAGTCCCAACGCCATGCTGGCTTAACCGTCCCGTGTCCTGGTATGTACTCTACACACAAAAGGAAATGAGAGAAAGCCCCGGGCTCAGCAGGACTTAAATACCGTGAAACCCCAACAGCGACCTATCGCATGCGTAGTTGGAAGTTTGCTATCACCACCCATGAGATCATCAACCAGCATAAGCCTCACTGCCCCTCCGCCCCGCCCTAACCGGCAGCGCCGAGATGTACGCATTCGTGGCCCCGAGCTGGCTCGAAAAGCTCGCCAACAAACGCATCACCTCGTCGCGCACCATCTCCCGGCCGGCCGCTCCCTGCATGACCCTGGCCGACGGCGGAGCCGGTGGGACTCCTCCTCCTCCTCCCCCGCCTCCGCCTCCGTATCCGTACGCATCCGGGCTATAATCCATCATCATACCAACAGGGCCGCCGTTCATGGCCGCAATCCTGGGATGCTGGACCTGGCTGCTGACGCTCGCGTTGGACTGCGACCGCGTGCGCGTCCGGCCCTGTCTGCTGCGCCGGTCGGTGATGCTCATGCTCATGGAAGATGATGCCGAGTTGTTGTTGTTGTTGTTGTTGTTGTTGTTGATCATGGTGAGGTACTCGGTCGAAGAATCGAAGTCGTTGTTCACCGAGTAGCTGTCCTCGTCGTAGCTGGTTGACCGCGAATGGGTCGTCGACGAACGCGAGCTGCTGCGGCCGTTGGGAGGAAAACCGGGACCGCCAAAATCGGCAGCCATGCCCATGGACTGGGTGTTGTTGGTGTTGTTGTTGTTGTTGTTGTCGTCGTCCGTGGTAGCCTTGGCCATGCGCGCAAAGTCGCTGTCGTCGGAGACGTAGATGGACGGTTCGCGGATTCCGACCTGCGGTGGCTGGTAGTAGAGGGATGCGTGGCGCTCCAGGTCGAACGGGTTGGCGCCGCCAATGTCGGATCCCGTCACCGAGACGGCATCTGAGTTGGCGGTGGAGGGTCGAGTAAGCTCGGGCATGACCAGGCCCTCGTCCAGATCGATCAGACTTCCGACCGAGGCGCGGTTGTCTGGGGATTTGGGCCGCATGGAATCGTAGGTCTCCGAGGAGAGACTGAGAGGGTCGGTAGGATGGTGGATAAGAGGAGGCCGCGTAAAGTCGGATCCCTCCTCGTTGATCGGGAACCGGAACACCTCGGGGTTGGCTGATGCGGGCGGTACCATGGTCGGGAACTTCCAGTCCTGGGTGCGACGGTTGGGATTGAAGTCGGCGGGATCACTCAAGGGCGGTTTGCTGAAGTCAGTGGCCTCGTCAAGTTCGTCACTGGGGACACGCATGCCAGCTCGGATGGTCTCCATGTCGACGAACTGAGATAGGTCGCCCCCATCGTGAAGGGACGCATCCAGGTCGATGAGGGATTCGCGGAGGGTCGAGTGGAGCGAGTCATCTCGAAGCGGAAGATCCGACGTGGTCGACGTCATGGGCGGAGGCGGCGCTCTGCCGTAGTACGCACGAGAGTTGTCCTCATAGTTCGAGATGGTGTTGGGATCGAATACCTTCTCCAGGGGCGCCTTCACCGGCTGGAGCTGCGGAGGAAGACGTCGCCGCTGCTTGGGCTTCGCAGGGCGAGAGGTCTGCTCGTTGAACTCGAAATCGACGTTGGAGCCGTACACATCGTAGACTGCTTGGGCATCCGTGTTCATGATCTGCCGGTCAAAGTCGACAGTCGTGCTGAAATTCCATTCGTCGCTATCGAGGCCTGCTGAAGCATAGTCCGCTGGCCCCTGCGCGCCGACTGGGGTGAAGAGAGACCTTCTGACGCCGCCCTGCGCTTCCCAGAGCTTGTACGCCTTGACGAGGTTGGCGAGTGACGATGTGGGATACTTGTCGCTGGTATTGAAAATGTACGGATGTTGTTGGATTTCCTGGATGGTGGGCCGCTTGGCGGGATCCTCGACCAGGCAGAATGCCACCAGATCCTTGATCTGGTCTGAGTATTGATCGCCGTCTAGACGTGGAGCGTGCTGCTTGATGTACTGGCCGAGCTGGGCTATGCCTAAGCCCGCCATGGGAGGGAGACCGGTAGCCATCTCATAAACCAAGGAGCCAAAGGCCCAGATGTCGACCGGAGTGCTGTAGGAAGGCACCGGATCAAATAGCTCCGGAGCCATCCAATTGAGTGTGCCAATGAAGGTGGTGCGCTTGTCCAGCTTGGACTCGATGATGCCGGCCACGCCAAAGTCGCACAACTGGACGCCGCCGGCTTCTGTGACCAGGACGTTTGCACACTTGATGTCGCGGTGGATGATGCCTTCCTTGTGGACCCAGTAAATGGCCTCTGCTACCTCCCGCACAATGGGGATAATCCATTTTTCTTGCAAACCCCCTGTCGGCCTCATCAGGGTCGCCACGCTTCCTCCGGCGCAGTATTCGGTAACCATCCACATGGCCTGTCCCACGGGGAGCACGTCGAGAGTGAGATTGATGTTTTTCGCCCCGCTGTCGCTGAGCAATTTCAGAGCAGAGAATTCTTTCATGAACTCGCTATATGTGTCGGCGAGTTTGGGGTTCAGCGTGTCGCCTTCTTCGATGTTGATGATTTTGACGGCGACAACATTCTTCGTCTTGAGGTCGGTGGCCTTGTACACCCGACCGTAATTCCCCTTCCCGATCAACTCCTGGAGGAGGTAAGGGGGCACTTCCTTCCCCGCTTTCTTACATTCATCTTCAACAACTGCCTGCATTTGTTTCGCATCATCGACCGCCTTCTGTTTCCCGGAGGAAAAGTCCGCATTGCGGACTTGCAGGCTGGCGTTGGCCATGGCGGTCGGCGGGACCCAGTCCTGCGACTGGGTTAGTAGTTGGCTGAGCGGCGATCGTTGTCTCCGTCACGCCCTCTTCTGTGCCCAGCAGGCGACCTGGCAGGCAAGGCTTCGAACGATGCGTGGCTGGTGCTCAGTATGACCTGCTCGGTCCGCGATATACTGAGCCCCACGAACAAGGAAAACCTACCCAACTGCACGTGTTGAGAATTGGACTGAGACGTGTGGATCTGGAGGGTCTGAAAGGAGCCCCCAATCGTCGTTCTGCCTTGACGCGGTTCCCGGACCCTGGGTGGCTCTCTCGGGGCTTGGGACGCGTACGGTGCCTCGGGCTCGTGGGCCTCGCTCTCTTGGGCTTCCCGCCCGTCTCGACGAGCCGATGTGGCGGGCTCGCTGTGCTTCAGTCAGCTCTGACTGACTAGGTTACTGAGAGAAAAGATAATCTGGGGAAGGGGAAAGGATCGAGAAATAGCTTGGTATTCCACGTAAAATAACTGATAGACACTTACCAGTCCCAAGGCGCGGCTGTCTCCTCCAGCCAACGGTAGATACGCCGGCGTTGGCGCGACGACAGCTGGGATGACTCGGTCCACGACGCGTAGGAGGGGAGCGGCGGGAGCGCGAGGGGAGGAGGAGGGCCGGGGGAAGGTAGAAGCAGCCGGGGTCGGGTCTGACCCGCGCTTTCGCTGGCCCGGTGGCGGGTCGAAGCGACCTCGCCGTCCTCGCTCGGCTCGGACGGACTTCTACGCTGTTCACGGGGAGCAGACTGCGCGGACCGGAGGGGCTCGGTCTCCCTTCTCACCATCTTCGTTAGTTCACGGATGCTCGCGACGACGGACTTGCGCTTTGGTGGACGGTTGATGGACGGTAAAAATCCAGAAAACAGAAAACAGAGAAGTCATAGGAACTCACTAAGTCTCAAGGGAACTGCGGAAGTCCTCAGAAATACGGGGGTAATGATGTCGCCGCGCGCCGAGAGAGCCGTCGTTCCTGATGGCGGCCAATCGTGCAAGAGATCAGGGGCGGCAGATAAAACAGATGAATACAGAGCAGAGCCCTATTCATGTGCTATATTGTGCCGTCATGAATTTGCAATGTGATTAAGTAGCCTTCCGAAGCACCATATTCGCTGATATCACGCCAGCAGTCGTGATATGAGTATCGTGGTGGTTTAGCGGGACTGCCCTGAGCTCAGCCAGCCTGTGCCAGGGGTCATGAAGCAGACAAGGCTAAAACAACGCTAGTTGGTGGATGGTCTACATTGAACCAATCATAAGACGTATAGGCGCTTCGAACACGTGGGTGCGGGCCGCTATCCGATGTTCACGGCAGCTGCCGCTCAACGGTGTATGCATTAGACGAACTATAATTTCCTGTAGTCAACATTAGAAGGACTTTGTTCCCAACAACTTAGTTGAACCTCGAATTTACATCTCTCTGGTGAAGCATGTATCTACCCCATAGGTCCAACTACTGTGCCTACCCAGGTGTCTAAGACCTTTATGCTCAGTTTCTTCACATCTGCTTCATTGACGGTCCCCAAACTCTCGTCCAATGACCCTGCAGTTGTGACATACTTAAACAACCATCCTGTCTCCCCGCCCACTATCGGGTGTTCAATCACGGCATTGGATGCTGTGCAACAGCCCTTTATACGAACTCCGGATCACAGCATGCTGCTCGATTCCGGCCTGTCTACAGCCACTAGATGACTAGGCAACCTTGCACAGAAGCAATTTCATCCATCCTATGTGTGGTGTGTGTTTCGGACGGCTGCCGCAGCTACCACGAGCCCAGCTTTTCATTAGAATCACCACAAAAAAATGGGCTATTCGGCCGGTCACATCCATGATCCGCCACAATCACTCACAGAGTCAAAGCTAAAGCTTCATCACTCTCCCACAATGCCCTCCCCTACCCCTTTATTCCCCACCTCACCTTCCAACCGAGCAATCATCTTCGCGTGAATCCCAGCCCATCCCGCCTCACACTGCCCCTTGACCAGCCCAACCAGCAGCCTCGAGCAGGTAATGGTCATGTCCTCCACCAGCTCCAGCCCGCCCAGTCCCACTCCCTTGTCACCACCATCATCATCCTTTGCCGCCGCCTCCCTGATCTCCCAGAAGGTGTCAATGACGACGGACAGCGGGCTCCGGATCCGCACAAAAATCCCGTCCCGGATCAGCGTGAACTCGTAGGTGCTGACCACGTTGGTGTCCCATATCCCCGCGGGAATGGCATGCACGACGTCTGTGACGCGATAGCACGTCGGCAGCATTATCGGCGTTCTGTTGTCTGAGTCCTGTGATGATGGTGATGATGATGTTGCTGCTGGTGCTCCAGATCGAAGTTGGGATTTGACAGTGTCTGGGATGGAAAGTGGCGGGTTGAGGTTGGTCGCGTCGCTGGGGGGTATGAGTTCGAATCTTTGTAGGTGGGGGTCGCAGGACAGGAAGAACTCGTAATCCGCGAGCATGGCGAGGGCTTGGGCCCGCGTGGTGCTTGCTGGGAGGCGTGAGGAGTGGACCATTTTGGCGGTGGTGGTGAGGACTTGGTCCCATGGTTAGTAGGTACCTGAGCTATGAGTGATGACAAGGAGAAAGGGTGTCCTACAGGATGACATTTTGACATCGATACTGAAAATCGTACTTGTGGTCGTTTTCTAGGTGGACAAGGTTTCGTTCATTCCCTTTCCCGCTGCCTCCTTGATCCTTCGTTGTTGGCTATAACTGTGAAGGGCGACGGGGAAATGGGCTTATGTTCAGCTACCTCCGGGTGTCGGATTGTTCTCTGAGACACATTAGGTCTCACATAACGCAGTTCGGCAAGGCTCCAGACTCCAGTCTAGACCTACATTGTGCTCTTTTCCACTCCTTTGAAGATAGCTCAGGATCTTTATATGGGTAGGAACTCATACCATCGTGAACGAGGGCGCGAATGTAAGGTGATGATCCTAAGGTTCGAGAATACTAGTATGAAAGTTCCGATGCAGCTCAGTCGAAGTCAGACTAGACCGCGAGCCGCCAACTGTGTCCCCAAGATCTCATGCCAAGAAGAAGCTGCCTCATCGCTTGCCTTTCCTTGACAATGATTCGCCTAATTGACAGATGCAAGAGTCATGCAATCGAATCAATTGTGAGACCGACTTATAGGACTCGACTCGGAGTCGTGTGAGGCGAGGGTTAGGGTTGTATGTCGCTTTTCCGGACATCATCTGGCCAGTGGTGTTGAGCTCCGACGGCCTCAGTCGACCAGACTCCGGCAAAAGCCACCAACACGCCGACCAACACTTGGCTAGCACTCCACGACATACAATGGATGCGGTACTCAGGGCGCGAGGCGCATATGTGTGCCGGAGCTGCACCCAGCGCTTTCAGCGACATTTGCGACGGTCCTACGCAAGCGCTGCGGTGCAACCAGACATCTACGATGTGGTCTGTGTCGGGGGTGGTCCCGCGGGCCTGAGTCTTCTGGCGGCACTGCGTGAGTATTGGTCGTCTGACCATGGCTTCCTTGGGTCTGAGTTTGTATGTTGTATTTGTCCCGATCTTGTTCTGACAATTGCCCCCCCCCCAATCAGGCGCGAATCCCGTCACGGCGCACCTCCGAATCGCCCTCGTCGAAGCGCAGGACCTGGCCAAGGTCAAGTCGTGGAAGCTGCCCCCGGATAGGTTCTCGAACCGATGCAGCTCCCTCACCCCGTCCTCCGTGCTGTTCCTCGACCAGATCGGTGCTTGGAGGCATTTGGCGCGCGAGAGGGTGCAGGCATACCAGGAGATGCAGGTGTGGGACGGCGTGACGGGCGCCCGGATTGAGTTCGACTGGGCCCCTGGCTCAACCTCTGCTGCCGGGACCACGATTGCCTACATGAATGAGAACCTGAATCTCACATCTGGGTTGTTGAAGCGGTTAGAAGAGTTGGGCGGCGTGTCCGTATTTGACAGCGCCAAGGTCGAAAGGATATCCTATGGCGAGGAGACAGAGGACCTGGACTTGCGAGAATGGCCCGTGGTGCACTTGGCAGGTGGCAAGCAGCTCTCCGCGCGACTCTTGGTTGGTGCAGACGGTGCCAACAGCCCGGTGCGCTCCTTTGCCGGCATTGAGGCTCGTGGGTGGGATTACAACCGGCACGGCGTCGTTGCGACTCTCGAGCTGGAAGGGGAGGGCTGGGGCGGAGAACACACCAAGATTGCCTACCAAAGGTTCCTTCCCACGGGTCCCGTTGCCATGCTTCCCCTACCGGGAAACTACTCGACCCTGGTCTGGTCAACAACGCCCAGCAACGCCTCTCTGCTCAAGAGCCTGTCGGCCAAGGATTTCATTGCCATGGTAAACGCGGCCTTCCGGTTAAGTCCCACTGATCTGGAGTACATGCATACTCAGGAGTCGGGACAAGCCGGGGAGTACTCCTGGAGGCTGGAACACACGCCGTTCGATTACCACGCCGTTCCTCAGACAGTTGTGGCCGTCCAGGAGGGCACCGTCGCCTCTTTCCCCCTGAGGCTAAGGCACGCAGATACTTACATCGGGGAACGTGTGGCGCTGGTTGGCGACGCAGCCCATACCATCCACCCGCTGGCGGGTCAGGGTCTGAACCAAGGGCAGGGCGATGTGCAGAGTCTCGCCAAGACCATTGAGTACGCCGTCAGCCACGGACAGGACATCGGGACCACCATGTCGCTCGAGCCATACGTCTCGGAGCGCTATGCTGCGAACCATGTGCTCCTGGGCGTCTGTGACAAACTCCATAAGCTCTACTCGGCGGGCAGCGGCCCTCTGGTGCCCCTGAGGTCGGTGGGCTTGAGCGCTGTCAACGCTTTCGGGCCCCTCAAGTCGTTTCTCATGAACCAGGCCGCCGGAAACGGGATCAAGGTCTTTTGACACGGCCCGGTTTCCCCATGCTCCACCATGCCGCGTGGCCTTGTCCTACTCTGGCTCTCCTGTTGTACAGAACTGTTTGCCCCATGTATCATACTTCCTCCGGCAGGGGCCTGTTGTTTGGAAGGACCTCTGCGGAGATCAGACGGAATACACTAGCGGCTAGTTGTTGGCGGCTACCGCTCTATCTCGCGGCCATCGGCGTCGTACGAGATAGAATGGGGCGAATGATCAGGGGGAGCCTGTTTTGTGCCGCTCTTGAAAAGCATGCAGGTTTCTGAAATCCTCGATCTTCCCATCTTGATTTCTGCTTTCCTTACTGTATCTCTTGCAAGTTGGGTTCCCGAGCTTGAGACCATCGAACCATCGGCGCCTGTGCTGCTCTAAGTTCAGACTGATAAACCAATCCCTTCTTCTGGTACAAGAGGAAGCATCAAGTAGTTCCTTCCGAACCACCATCGCAAAGCCCTTTTTCGTGATGAAAACATCATTCCAAGTTGGCTACACCAGGTCCTCACGTTGAGGCTGAGGCTCACACAAAGTTGTGTGCGATCTGGGGTTCTCTCCCCTTCAGATCACACCCGTGCCGGCATTGCGTTCACAGAGCAGGCGGACTTCTTTTGTTCCAACCCCGCTCCTGGTATAAGTGAGGCCAGCAGAGGAACTTGCAGTCATCCCTCAAAGAGTTCTTCGACCCACGACATCACAAGTGTGAGAGCTCTGGGAGACTTGGCCTTCTGCCTTCTCCGTTACCCTCCTCTCCCCTTTCCACTTTGGGATCTCTCCTGCTACATCATTGGCCGCTGAACAGCGGAGGAACGGAGCACAGCTCTGAACTCTCACCGGGCTCACCTCCATACTACCTCCTTCACTCTAGCCACAGCCAACTGGTCAGGTATCACCACTCCACTGCGTGGCCAACCAGTGGTTCCAAAAGAGTACAACATCCTGGCCACGCAGACGGTTCTGGGCCTGCTCTGGGTGGTCTGTAGAGTTTAACAAACAGCTCAAGTTCTTGCGGGGAAAGTATAGGAGCGTGGAGACAGCCCCAGCTGGTGCTCAGAAGCAGGTACGTCCCCTTGGTGTGACAGGAAATGCAGCAAACAACCTACCGGCGAGTACTTTCTTTTCCTATTCTTCTCCGTTTGTTACTTCCCTGGGAAGCCGTTGGACCGTTGCTCTTTCTTGATCCGCTAGTGTATGAGTGCACTGTGCGTTTCCGGAAACCTGTAAGTGGAGAGAGAGTTCATGTTGTTGTGCACATACATTGCTCCTGCGGAACCCTTCCGTCGAGCACAGTTGCTATTCGCGGTTTAGCATTCGTACATTTGTATGGTATTCGTATTTTCTTGGGCGGAGACATCGACAATAGTATGCTCCGAGAGCCGAATAGGCCTTGGTGGTTCCGGAACCCGCCTTCTCTCGGCGTCGTGGTCCTCCGGAACGGTATAAAACAGCTGTGCTTTTCACTCTAGTTATTTCTTCCTTTTACCTCACACAACTGACCTCATTCCGTTCCAGGAGGACATCGACACGTTTACCCAACTGGAGAATTATCATCCTTAACCACAGTCTCTGACAGACATACATCAATATTACATAACCTCAAGACCAGCTAGCCAGAGAGCAACAAAGCCAACTTCATTATATTATTCCCTTGCAACACCCTCCTTCACAAGTTCCGGCCACTCCAACCCCATTAACAGGCACCATGTGCTACCGGGAGTTCATCGCCTACCAGTGCGGCCACCGGTCCATGCCAGTGCTCCGGCCCTGCCCCCTGACGACAGCAGGGCACAACTTCCCGGTCTGCACCATCACGCCGCACAAGCCCACCTTTGCCGAGACGATGTGTCCGGCATGCGAGCGCCTGCTTCACTCCCGCTGGGTGCTGATCCGGGAGTGGGAGCACCGCTGGCTCCATGAGCGCGGCGTCTGCGGCTGCGATGTCATCTTCCCGGGTCTCTTGACCACGCCGCGGGTGATTGGCGAGACTGGCACTGTTGCCACGGGGCAGGGTCATTCGGGTGCTGTAGCAGCAGATGATCCTGCAAAGACTGGAGATGACAAAGACACATCAGCTCTGGGAGCTAACACAGTGGCAGCTATTGCGCAGGGGGGTGGACAGCAACAACCCCAAAAGCAAAAGCCTGTCTCCTCGTCGACTCCAAACGCTCGTACCCCAGTGACGCACCGGTCGGGACCGCCGCGTCGTCCTGCTGCTTCCGGCTCTTCGAGCAGCCAGGGCGATGTCAACAAGACTAGCACCAAGTCTGCCCCGGGGGACCAGGAAATCCCGCCCCTTTTCACCGAGGAAGTCACCTCCTCGGGAGAGCACCGCGTGGCCGTCCGCCTGTCGAGCCTCTACGCTGCCGAGTGGAAAGCCGACCACCGCGAGCTGCACGAGGCCGGAACATGCGGCTGCCCGACGACATTCGGCCCTTTCCAGCCGCACGTCCGCGAGGCGGGGATGACCTCTCACGACCGGGAAAGCCTGCGCCAGTGGCGGGAGAGGGAGGGCGAGCTGCCGGAGAAGAACAAGAAGAACGACGACGACGACGGGCGTGACATCGACACCCAGAATGAAGACACCTTGCGGCGGATCGCCGAGATTGAGAAGGTTTTCGGTAAGTTCATCTCGGATGGTGAGTCGCCGCCCACAGTCAACCTTCCCCGTCTTTCCGGATCCAGTTCTGCAGAGAATCAAGGGGTCGAAGCCAAGGATCAGGGGCACGGCCGTCACCGTCAACGGAATGGCCGCCAGGACCACAACCGCTTTGGCGAGGGCTCTTCTCGGTCGTCGCATAGCCAGAGCCAGCAAATGCCAGCCGGCGGCGGCAGCAACAGCAGCAGCGACGATGCCCAAGGTCAAGGCCCACTCGTCCTGCCGCCGCAGATCCCGACAGCCTACAACCCTTATGCCTTCGCCACCGCGCAGGGTTACCATTACCCCCTATTCCCTGAGCCGCCCCCCTACCAACAACAGCCGTACTACTTCATGCCGGCCCACCCAGCCTACGCGACGGCAGCGACCTACAACGGCACCATCCCGCCCGGCGCATACCCCTGGGCCGCCGAGACCCAGCCGACCCCCGGCATGCCCTGGACGACGCAGGGCCCAGGCCCGTACCGCACGCCCGGTCTCCGCTACGACGAGATGGCCTTCACTACGGCATCTCAGCACTACTACCCACAGGCTGCTGGCGAGAGTCAGGGTCAGGGTGAAGGTCATGGGCATGATCAGAACCAGCCTCCGGTCCCAACCGTCCAGGGCCTGCTCCCAGCGCCGGAGATAGTGGCAAAGGGCAACGGAAAGGGCAAAGGGAAAGAAACGGAAGTCCCGACTGCTCCCGCAGACGTCGACCAGACCGTCCTCCCGCTCTGCGGCCTGCCTATCGGCGCAGGCCCCGAGGGCACGTCCCACATGCCGAGCTGGCTGGGCTGTCCGTTGCGGAGGAGCTTGAGCCTCTGCAGCCTGGGCCGGGACGAGGGAGAAGCGGACGAGCGAGGGGAGGAGGAAGGCGGGAATGAAAGTGCGACTGGGGGCAACGATTCCGACGGGTTCCTGACGCACACTCCGCCCACTCCGCCCCAGCGCTGCCATTCGGCGGCGCCTTGATCACACCCCACCCCTTCTCAACAGTAAGTCCCATCCTATCCTATCCTATCCCATCCAATCCCGCCCGGTCCAAGGTCGTTCTGCCTTGGACTTATCATGTCATAGCAAGCAGACAGAGTAGAGTCACTGACAAAGAGATGAAAACACCGAAAACAGTTTGGCGACTGTGAACAGAATGTAGGATATTTACGTCTCGTTGCCAGGGATACCAAGGAAGGGGAAAGAAAAACAGCAAGCAAGGAACGGGGGGTGGGTGTGCCTCCCAGTCGTTATAACGGAACCGAACCCCGCGAAAGCAAGTTTCCGGCCCCCTCCCTCCGCCTTCGCCCCTTCTCTCCCTGGCCTATGATACAACAGATACAGACGAAACGACATCGACATGGGGAAGAACGAGCGTTTCGTTTGCGCTTTCCCTCCACACGCACACACATCCCGCCCAACCCAGATCAACTAACCCCCCTTTCACCGAAACCGACCCACCCCCCCTAGCTAGCTAGCTGGCTTGATGCTGGCTCGAGGGCGGTCGTCGTCGTCGTCATCGTTGTCTATCTCTCTATGTCGCCTATGCCCGGGGAGAGCAGAACCAAAGCCAGAGCCAGAACCAGAACCACAGAAGCACACCGCACAGCACCATCCCCGGAACCGGATCACATCGAGTATGTTTCATCACTTCGACTATCCCATTCGCGATGAATTTTCTTCATTCTCATTTTTCCATTTCTGTTCCCACTTTACCGGTCGACCTCACCTACGCGGGAAAAGAAAAGGTCAGTACATCACATCCAAGAAAACAAAAAGAAATAGGGGTGGGGAGGGACCGAGGAAAAAGAAAGAAAGAAAAAAACTCACCAAACACCAGATCCATGGTGCCAATGACGGCCACGGCGTCCGCAAGCAAATGGCCCTTGCAGACATGGTCGAACCCACCGAGATGGGCGAAGCCCGGGGCGCGGATATGCACCCGGTACGGCCGCTCACTGCCGTCGCTCACCACGTACACGCCCATCTCGCCCTTGGGCGCCTCGATGGCCGAGTAGGTGTCGCCGGGTGGCACGGCGTAGCCCTTGGTGTAGAGGAGGAAGTGGTGGATGAGGGCCTCCATGTTCTCCTTCATGGCGGCGCGGGGCGGCGGCGAGATCTTGTAGTCTTCGACGCGGACGGGCCCCGCGGGCATCTTGTTGAGGCACTGGTGGATGATGCGCAGCGACTGGCGGAACTCCTCCATGCGGCACAGGTACCGGTCGTAGCAGTCGCCGTTGACGCCCACCGGCACGTCGAACTCGACCTGGTCGTAGGCGTCGTACGGCTGGCTCTTGCGGATGTCCCAGGGGACGCCCGACCCGCGCAGCATCACGCCCGTGAAGCCCAGGTTGAGCGCGTCGGCCGCCGACACCACGCCCACGCCCTTGAGCCGGTTGATCCAGATGCGGTTGTCCGTCAGCATCTCCTCCGTCTCGTCGATACGGTCGCCGAACTGCGTCGCCCACTGGTAGATGTCGTCGAGCAGGCCCAGCGGGATATCTTGGTGCACGCCGCCGGGGCGGACGTAGGCAGCGTGGAGACGGGCGCCGGACACGCGCTCGTAGAATTCCTGGGTGGGATATGTATATTAGCCTTATTATCTTCGGGGTTTCCTTTGCATTTTTCGTTGATCTCTCTCCCCAATTCGATGGTTTTTATTATATTCCTTTCAAAACCGGCCCTCACCAACATGGCCCCAGTTGTGGAACTCACCATAAGCTTCTCTCTCTCCTCGAAACCCCACAGGAACGGCGTAAGTGCGCCAACGTCCATGGCGTGGGAGAGGACAGACATGAGGTGGTTCAGGATGCGCGTGATCTCGGCGAACATGGTCCGAATCCACTTGGCGCGCTCGGGGATCTCGACGTTGAGCAGCTTCTCGACGGCCAGCGAATAGCACTGCTCGTTGGTCATCATGGAGACGTAGTCGAGCCGGTCAAAGTAGGGCAGCGCCTGCAGGTACGTCCGGTACTCGCACAGCTTCTCCGTGCCGCGGTGCAGCAGCCCGACGTGCGGGTCCGCCCGGATGATCTCCTCGCCGTTGAGCTCCAGGATCAGGCGCAGCACGCCGTGCGCGGCGGGGTGCTGCGGGCCGAAGTTGACTGTGTAGTGCCGCACCTTGCGGTCCTCGACCGATTCATCGCGCATTTTCTGCGTCGTCTCGGCCGAGCCGTCCGGCAGCTTGTCCGACATGCCGTAGGGGTCGGCCACGGTCGAGAAGTCGGCGCCCGTCGGCACCAGCCGCGTGCCCTGGTAGGGCTCCGGTTCGGCGGCGGCATAGCGGCGGAGCGCCGAGGCGGAGAAGGCGCGGACGGGATGCGAGATGGAGTTGGCGAGCGCCGGGGATGGCCGCGTGCAGAGCCGCTTGGCGGCGCGGCCCGCGAGCCGGTATATCGTCGTCGACATTGCTGGTGCGGGTTGGTTGAGGGAAATTGAGTGGAGAGGCTGTCGAGGAGATGGGAGGTTTGCCGGGTGCGCTTCCCCCGGGGCTGCAGCCTCTTTTGCGGCGTTCAATGGCACTCCGAGTCCGAAGCTTGTGGCGTGGGGATCATGGGTGTTTTCGGCTCGTCACTGACCTCACGCAGTGTCCACTCAAAGCATTTCATTCCAGCACCCGATTGGTCGATGTCTCTGGTTGAATTCAAGATCCTCCCATTGGCCGGTGGACTTCCGAGTTCACGACGACGACACAAAGAGAGCCTCTGCCAGCAACAGTTCAGCTTCCTACTTGGGGAGACCTAAAGTTGTGATTATCTAGGTAATTGAGTCGTGTTCTTCTCGATGCTCTGCGTCCTACAAGATACCTTGGGAGGGAGGGGAAAGACTACTCCGGTCCTCCTTATTAAAAGCATGAACGACGGCAGCCAGCGATGCCATGATATGATGATTACCATCGTATGGACTAGGTCGTAGCAACCGATTCGCCGGTAATAAAGAACTCGTTGCTTCCCTCGCTTTGGTTGCCCAGATTGTGCAGCGGCCAACTTAAAGGCCAATTGAGGATTCAGCACAGACCAAGCTGCTTCGGCGGCTCCTGCACCGACTCCGAGTGGAACCCCTGCAAAGGCGGTCAAAATTCCCCCGCGATAACCGGAAAATTCTGCCGCTGATTGAACGTCCCGGCCCGAGCTTGCATGAAGAATTTCCAGTTCGTACTGCAGAACGACGTGAAGTACATTCCGCCAATCAATCTGATACGTCAAGATGCCGCACAAACCGCCAACACAAGAAGAGCTTGAGCGGCGAAAGGTGTGCAATATTTCTCTGTACTCATCGGGTTTGGACCACAGCTTCTAACAGGCATCGCCCGCAGATCGTCGGCATCCATGAGGAGACCATCACGGATGTGTCGTCTTCGGACTACCCACATACTTACCCCGGCGAGGACCACTCCTGGGATATTGAGTCGTTCAAGCGAAACTTCCGCATCGAATTCCACCAAAACGACCCTTTCGAGGCCTCGTTTTCCCTAATTGGGTGCGATGCCTCCATCGCCAATGCCTTTCGGCGCATCATGATCGCCGACATCCCCACCCTCGCCATTGAAACCGTCTTTATCAACAACAACACCTCCGTAATCCAAGACGAAGTCCTGGCCCACAGACTAGGCTTGATACCCTTCAAGGGCGGCAAAGAAGGGCTGCACAAGTTCCTCAAGTGGTGGCGCAAGCCAGAGGACGAATCGCAAATCAACAACAGCTACTACGACTTCAACACCGTCTCGCTCCGCCTCGAGGTCAAGTGCGAGCACAACGAGAAGGCCGCCGCAGGCGAGACCGACCCGACAAAGCTCTACAAGCACGCCCACGTCTACGCGCGCGACATCGAGTTCTGCCCCGTCGGCCGCCAGGAGAAGTACTTCTCGGGCGACAACGCCATCGCGCCCGTCAACCCGGACATCCTGATCGCCAAGCTGCGGCCCGGGCAGGAGATCAGCCTGTCGATGCACATGCACAAGGGCGTCGGGTCGGACCACGCCAAGTTCTCGCCCGTGGCCACCGCGTCGTACCGGCTGATGCCCGTCATCAAGATCGAGCGGCCGATCCTGGGCAAGGACGCCGAGAAGTTTGCCAAGTGCTTTCCGAAGGGCGTGATCGGCCTCGAGAAGGTCACGAAGCAGGAGGCGGCGCGGGAGGGGAGCGGGTACGAGGGCCATGCGGGCGAGGTCAAGGCTGTCGTCGTCGACCCCATGAGGGATACCGTCAGCAGGGAGTGCCTGCGACATGCCGAGTTCAAGGACAAGGTCAAGCTTGGCCGGAGGAGGGACCATTTCATCTTCCTCGTCGAGAGCACTGGCCAGTGGGAGAGCGATGCCATTTTCTTGGAGGCGGTCGCGCACTTGAAGAAGAAGGCGCAGGATCTTGAGAAGCAGGTGATCAACATGGTCAGGTAGACAAAAGAAAGCCTACGTGGCAGGGGCAGGTTGTGGGTCTATACCCGTTTCTCTCTGTATCTTAAAACCGGTACGGCGTCATGGTGGTTTTGGACGGTTCCTTTTGGCCATTTGGGTTCTTCTGACTTTTTGCTAGAGTAGAGGTGACGGAAGAGAAAACACAAGCCTTCCATTTGGCTCCATATCAGCACCGTCTGTCTAAACGACTCCTGTTATGTGGCGTGTCGTACCTGGCCTGTAAGCAAAGAGCTGCATCCACTATGCAGTATATGATGGTATCCTTCCGCCAGTCCCTTTTGTCCGACCACGCCTCGCAAGATGCTACCCACCCGCCGAACCCTTTTCTGCTCTAGATCGAAAGCTCCCCCTATCTATTCCCCCCTTATCTCATGATGGTTTAAACTTGAGCTTATATTTGAATGTGACCGTCGCAAACGCCGGGTCCGTCACCGCAATCTCCTGTCCTTCCTCCAGCCCCAGCTCCGCCAACGTCTTGTCCAGGTTCGGCCGCGTCTGCGCCTCCAGGCTCGGCGGCGACTGCATGTACAGCGTCTTGCCCTCGGCGCGCACGCTCGGGGTCTTGAGCTGCGCCTCGGGCCGCGCCGCAAACGACTCGACCAGGTCGCGCAGCGTCCAGGCCGGGTCGACGGCGAGGTCGCGCGCCAAGTTGCCGCACACGGGGCAGTCCTCCTTCTTCTCATGCTGGAACGTGTAGGTGTAGATGCCGTCGTTGCCCGAGTACATCATGTAATTGTTGCCGCCGGGCATCCCCAGCGGGGCCCCCGCGCAGTTGGACGCGATCTTGAACGCCTCGTTGCAGCACGCCGCCGCGATCACGCTGTTGGTCGCCGCGATGGCCGGGATGATGTTCTTGACCACACCCTGCGTGAGCGAGTAGGTCACGCCGGGGATGTTGAACTCGCGCGCGCGCTCCAGCGCCTTTTGGTACAGCCAGGTGATGTGCTCCGGGTCGTCCCTGTCGAGTTTGGGGAAGGGCTTCTCCTGGTCCCAGGCGATGACGTGCGCCCATTCGATGCAGTGCTCCGGCTGCCGCGGGATGCTGGCGAGCGTGCAGAGCGGTACGGCGGCGCGCGGCGCGTGCATGTCCAGCTGGCACTCGATGCACGATGTCAGGGTCGGGCAGACGACTCTGGCCTGGCCCTTGAAGCCTTCGGTGCCTCCGTCGATCAGGGGCTTCATGCTGTCCTCGTTCTCCGCCTCGGACGCGGCCATGTTCACGAGCGTCGCGTTGATCCACCGGCGAGCCTCGATGCTGTCGAGCCCGCAGACGACGATCTGGAACTGCATGTAGAAGTCCTCGTCAAAATCTTGGATCGTGCAGTTGTGCGGCGTGATCTTGACGCCTTTTACTCGTTTCTCGACGAAGCGGGCAGCGACCTCGGCTTTGGACTTGCCGACGTCTGACTGGCGGAAGAGGAATTGTCGGTTCAGGTTGGAGATGTCGATGGTGTCCATGTCGATGACGTGGATGTCCTTGAACCCCGACAGCGCGAGGTTCTTCAGAATCTCACAGCCCAGGCCCCCGGCTCCAATGACCAGAATCTTCATGCTCTCCATCGCCTGAGCCACCATGCTGCCGTCGAAAGTGTCCGGGTCGGTGAACGGGCCGGGCCTCGTCCGCACCCTGTCGAGGTATGTCCATCTTGCCGCCTCGGACGCGGGGTGCACTTCACCAGAAGCCATCCTTTCAACAAGATCGCAGGGCCCAAGGCCTGAGGATGGTGAATATTATCGCGGATGTCAGGGGGAGCACCGACGAGCTGTTGGTGATCACGTGGTAGTCTCCCCGGAGTCCAGGCATGCCGGTCCCAGCTTATCGCCGATTCCCCGCGCTTATCTTAACGCGCCCCACCCTTGCTTCCGAGGTTCAGAACCCCCACACTGCCCCACTAACAGCACCCGTCAAGACATCCATCGGAGTCCTATCAAAAGCTGAAAGTACTATGGATCTGCATTTGACATACAGCTGAGCACCGGTGAACGTCTGGAACGAGAAATGCCCGTTGTATTCCTACCGCGATGCTGGTGTGACGGGGGAGCATCGGCGTAAGAGCATCAACGAGTACTCGAAACCTGCCCGGGTCGACGATAGAAACTGCCCGAGCTTAGAAGGCATTGGAATATGATGCCTCTCCGAGCAAATTGATGAGCAGAATTCATCTCAATCAAGCTATTGTCCGGATTTCTTGTCCGTCTCGACAATGGATGATTTGCTGAAGCCGGCCAGCATTGTCCGCAGGACCCAGAAAGATGCAGGAACGGGATTCTTGCAGGAGCTGGTTATCCGGGAAAGCTCTAACGGTGCGGAACCGGAATCACAACTCCTCCAACACAAGACCCCAGCCTCACTGGAGGATGCTCTCGAGATCGTCAGACACGAACCGGACTACGAGTCGCTCATCTCTGTCTTGGGCTTTCTCTCCCGCCACGAGACCCCTGAGTCCCACTTACCGACCATCAAGCTGCCAGGTCCCCTGAGCGCCCAGCTTGTTCAAGTCCTGGTCTCGGATATCGTGCCGAATTACTGGCCACTACTTACCGAGGACATCCACCAGGGCAAGAACTCTGGTCTGAAGCTGCTCCTGTACTGTCTCTCGAGTATCACGGGAGTGAATGCTATCCTCGTCCGGCTGAGGGCCCTCGTCCAAGAAGCCAAGTCGGAGGCAGCCGCAAAGACAAAGCGACCTGATATCTCCCTGAACCTAGGGGTCCTCCTCGACTTGCTCTCTCGTGTCCTCCAGGGCGATGGCTGGGTCTTGGAGGCATGGCGGCTTGCCAGGTCGGGGACCGCTGAGCCCGCCCGGGTAAGGCCGAGGGTACAGGAGATCGTTTCGACATTGGGAAGTGGCCGCATTATTTCCCTGGCTGCCGAAGCCGAAGAAGTTGCCAAAGCCAATAATTCTAGCAAGAGGGTTGACGACGATATCTGGCCTGCTAACTCGCTGCAATATACTCAGTGGGTGGGCCGGAATCTTGTCAGATTAGTGTGGTCAGATCTTGGGCCTGACGAGACGAGGTTGGCGTCTGACTTGTTTGCTAAAGCTCTACGCCTTGGCCACTCTGGTAGGATCCCGCCCCAGCTACACCTGGGTACGCACTAGGAGCTAACGTAACATACACTAGACGCACTAATCAAGCAGCTCCTCTCCGATCTTCTTCTCAACAAACAGGCCGGCGCCCACAAGCTGGGCAATCTGTTAGGGAACCTGCCTCAGACCGAGCAACGCAAAGTTCTGTACTCTGTTCTGAAGCTTTTCTCTGCTGATCACCTGGACGGTCTCGGACGCTGTGAAACCGCAGAGAGCAAGCCGCTTATCTCAGCCGTTGCGGGCGCAATCAACGCGATACTGGATTCTGACGGAAATGGGAGGAGGCACCTGCTGGAGTGGTTAACAGGTTCCTCGGGAGCTGGGCTCGGAGATGGGGTTGGCATCCGGCGGGCTGTTATGGCGGTCATCTCCCAGAATAGGGACGACCTGGTAGCGGTGCTTGAGAAGAGCCTCAGCCAGTTTGGGGACCAGCTCTACATCAAACACTCGCCGGCGTTGCAGCAAGAAGGTTCGTAGCAGGGTCGCCCTGACTTAAAGACACGGACACTGACCATTTAAACAGCTCACGCCCAGATTCTACTCTTGAGCGCCGGATACGTGCACAGGAACTCACCAATAAAACTGTCGTTTCTCTTGCGGTCTAGTGCCTGGCTCAACACCATCTCCAATCGACTAGGAGCGCCTCACCAGAGAGCCCGGTTCTTGGGTATGGTCGTGGGCGAGGCTCTCTCTGGCCTTGTTGACAACAGCGATAAGCGACTCAACTTCAAGATGGAAGAAACAGACCAGGAAGAGGGGAGATGGTACAAGGAGCTGACTGCAGTCTCGGATGAGCTGGCATCGTTGGATCCCTTGTTTGAGGCCCGCCCAGAAATCCCGTCAAGGAGGCGGCAAGGCCCACAGAAGCCGGCGAAGAGACCAGCGCCACAGCCTCCACAGACTGGCTTCATTATCGAGGAGCTTAGCGATGGCGAGGCACCAGAAGAAGACGACGTTATTCCCTACGCGAAACCGGATTCCGATGCGGAAGACTCGGACGACGACCCAACGTTGGTCAGGCGTGATAAGCCGAAAGCTCCCGTCTACATCAGGGATTTGATCAAGTACCTGCGGGATACAGACAGCTATGACCACCAGAAGCTCGCTCTCACAACGGCGCCATCGCTCATTCGACGGAAGGCGGACTACGGAACAGAGGTGTTAGAGCATGCCGAGGAGCTCGCGTCATTGCTGGTGGGCCTGAGTGACAGGTTCGAGATGGAGGACTTTGACGACCTCCGAGCCCAGGGGATGATCGCCATCATCGTTGCGAAACCTGAGAAGATGGGCCAGTGGTTCGCCAAGACGTTCTTCGATGGAGACTACTCGATCTCCCAGCGGGCGTCCATTCTCGTTGTACTAGGCCTAAGCGCTCGCGAACTGGCAGGCCGCGAGACATCTGATTATGCTGCAATGGCCGCCTTCCCGTCCAAGACACTCCCGGAGAGGGTTGAGAAGCTCTATCTCAGCCACAACCCGTCACAAAGCAACTCCTCATCCTCCTCTCTCAAACCTCTCCCTCCCAATGCTATCGACAACATCGCCTCCTCCCTCGCCTCCTCTTTCCTCGCCCCGCTAGCAGCCACAGCCGCCGACGCCGCCACGGGTCCCGACGTCCTCAAGCTCTCCACATTCGCCTCCCGGCTCGAGGAGAAACAGAGGCAGGAACAAGAACAAGAACAAACCTCGTCCAACCCGAAAATAAAATACAAATCCCGGCACCCCCAAAACAAACCCCGCCTCCGCGCCATCCCCAACACGACCGCCCACCTGATCGCCACGTCCTTCTTCTCCCCGCTCACCGCCCGCTTCCAGGCGGCGCTCCACGCCTCCTCGTCGTTGCCGCGCCGCAGCAGAGCCATCCTCTTCCACCCGTCCCTCCTCGCCCTCTACCTCAAGACCCTGGCCTTGCTCATCCACGCCGCCGGGCCCAGCACCCTGTCCCTGCCGCAGATGACGGCCGAGCTGTGGCGCCTGCTGCTGAGCACGAGCGTGCGCGCCGCCGCGGTCGGGGACCTGTACGTCACGCGGGCGGTGCTTCTGGGGTTTGTGGCGCTGTTGGACGTGAACGAGGACCGCATGAGGGAGGTGTGCATGGAGTTGGGCAGGGAGGTGGTCGAGGCGCAGGAGTGGGTCGCGAGCGTGTTTGGTGGGTTGAGGGGTGGTGATGAGGGCGGGGAGGAGGAGCAGGTGAAGATGCTCGCTGCTGGCGTGTTGGTGAGGTTGAGGGAGGGCGTGGAGAAGTATCGCTTGGTTTTGGTGGGGGATTTGATCGGGTTTTGATTGATTGAATAAGCTGTACAATACAGTAGGATCGAAGGAAGGGTCAGTGAAAGGGAGACTGGAGGATAGGGGGTCTTTCCGTCGACGCTCACGGTTAGATGCGTTAGGTATCCCTCAATGCCCCTCAGTTTAGTTTGCCAGATGAGTACAGAGCGTATTGGGAGAGATATCCGGGCATGATGAGAACGACGAGTATCATTACATTTACACGTGTATGCAACATGTCCACTCCCAGTACCGTTGAAGCCTTGAACACCGGTTGGTTCCGTACGCCCTATGATCTCTCCGCCTTCATAGTAACTCAATTCACGCTCTCGGCCCCTCGGGCAACATCTCCTCGTTGATGACCTCGACGGTTTAGGGAGAAGGTCGCGGGTACGTGCCCCGTCCCTTGCAGGCCCCTTGACGCCATCGGTCTTGGCGCATACGCCCCACTCTCGTTCGGGACGTCGGGAAATGTTCTCGAAGCAATTGACAAATCAACCCGAGGTTGCCCGGTACGAACATCGCGCAATCACCGTCCAGCTCTCTTGCTCCGGCATAGCAACCAAGTCGACTCTCCGTGCAGCTCGCTAGGAAAAGGGACAGCACAATCACTCGTTCCGTCATGGCCACTCCTGCTGTTGGCAAGTACCCATGGAACTTCCAGACTGAACCTCCATCCGCTCCGAAGAACGCCTGTGCTGACCAATCCGCAGCGCCCATCGGCTCCGCCGCCGCCGCACCCGCTCCCCAGGCCGCCGTCGAGACCGTGTCGAAGCCGAAGGTGCGCGCAACACTGATGAAAGCGACATGAACCCAGATTGGGTTACATACAGGGCTTTTTTGGGCTGACAGAAAATGAAACCAAAAAAAAAAAAAAAACAGCCCTGCTGTGTGTGCAAGGAAGAAAAGGCGAAGCGCGACGAGTGCATGCTCTTCTCGAACTCGGCCGACCCCCAGAAGGAGTGCACGTCGACAATAGAGCAGTACCGGAGCTGCATGGCGCGGTACGGATTCAAGGTCTGACCGGGGGCTGCGAGAGGAAAGGATCTTGGCTTGCGACGATAGGATGTACAAATTTATGTGCAGTACAATACCACGAGGCGTTTCTGGACAGATGGCTGGGGGTGGTTTAGACTTGGTTTTTGGAGCAAAATTCCACTCACGTTTCTCGTACTTTACACAGGCGACGTTGGACAACTCTTAATCTTTCTTCAAGCCAGTCTTGGGGAGTTCTCTTTCCCCCCCAGTTTCACTCGCATACCTATATCAGCAAACTACCTAGCAACGCCTAAGCACCTATCCGCAACCCCCGGGGGTATCATTCACCAACCAAGCAATGCGCGAAGTCAGCCCGACCCGAACACCAGCAAAACCGTACCCGAGGTCCCAAAGCCCATAACAACCCCTTAGAAACGCCATAACGGGACCCCTACCACTCCTCATCTGCCCGGCGGACCACCTACCAAGGAGGAGCAGGCGCGCTGGCAGCCTCCATGCACACGCACCCAGTTCATCATCATCATCATCATCATCATCATCATCATCATCATCATCATCATCATCAGCCCATAAAGCAAAATCATTCATCACGCACCTCCTCCCCGGTCCCCGCTGGTCCTCCCCCTGGCACCGCTGCTGCATCCCCCATCAGGGCGCCGACATCCTCCTTCCGCCCTTCATACAGCGCCCGCAGCTGGATGGCCAGGTTGAGCATGCGGCGCTGGTGCTCGGCCAGCTTGCGCGCGATCTGGCCGGCCGCTTCGTCGCGGCGATCCAGCGTCTGTTTGAGGCGGGTAAGGTGCGAGAGGTGCATTGCCGTGCTGTTCCACGCCCAAGTCAAAGCAATGTTGTTAGTTCGGGGTGCGGGTTAATAAGGGGTCGTTTTGGTCTGCCCACTCTAGATGGAGAAGAGGGGAAGGGGAAAGGGGAAGGGGGAAAGAAGCGTACCGAAGATCCTTGTGCTTGGCCACGGATTTCTCGATGCGGGATTCGATCTGCTTCAGGGAGGACTCATACGCTGTGGCGAGGGCGGTGCGGTGCTTGTCTCGGCTTTGTTTCGCCTTGCAAGAATTGCTATTTGTCAGTTAAACCGGCACGCTGGAGGTGAAGTGGTGGTACCGGAGAATTTGGTGCCGGCTTGCCTTCCGCAGACGGGCTCGGGCTGCGCTCGCTTCCTTCAGACGGCCGTTGTAGGCTTGATATTCGGCGTCGGAATCCGAATCAGCGGTGGCCCGTCCGCCTCCGGAAGTCCTCCTCGGTCTAGCTGTGTTCGCGGCAGGCGCCATCTTGTGCGTTGGTGTAGGTTGCCAGTATTGCCAGTTTCATTCAACCGTCCGCTTGTCCGTATCCTGCGGGGTGTTGAGATTGACAGGGCCAATGCAAATGCCAAATGCCGTGTAAGTGTGGGCCCACTAGCGACGGCGGTGTGGCTTGGCAGAATCATTTTGCTATCCTTCCCCGCCAAAATATCCCAACGTTAGTTCCACACCACCTGGCGGAATATACAGGACTAGCTCACTCCCGCTTCTGCCGTCCCTAAGCCGTAGCTCAGCAGCGCTGAGCATACCTCTGGATCAAAATGGGTCTCGCTGCCGCTAAGAAGTAAGAGCAACAGCACAGCTGAAACACCACAACTAAGGTTGCTAACAGGCAAATAGCAAGCGGAAACTCGGCAACGACCCGAACAACACCAAATGGTCGCGCAACACCGACTCGTTTGGCCAGAAGATCCTAAGGGCGCAGGGATGGCAGCCGGGGCAGTACCTCGGTGCGAAAGATGCGTCGCACGCTGAATGGCACACGGAAGCCAACCTGGCGCACATCAAAGTAACGCTGAAGGACGACAACCTCGGCCTGGGCGCGAAACGAAACCATGGCGATGAGTGCACCGGGCTGGACGCTTTTCAGCACCTGTTGGGACGCCTCAATGGCAAGAGCGACGAGGCCCTGGAGACGGAACGGAAGGCGCGGGAGGATCTGAAGCTGAACCTGTACGTGGAGAGGAAGCTGGGCACGATACGGTTCGTTAGGGGCGGATGGCTGGTTGGTGATCAGCTCAAGGAGACGGCCGATGAGGTTCCGGAGTCGCAAGGCAACGCTGTCTCGGAGACGTCGTCAAGTGCCTCAGACCCCGCCACAAGAGGGTCCAGAAAACGGAAGGGCGACCAAGATACCGATGAAAATCATCAAGTCGATGACAAAGCAGAGGGTCTGGACAGAAAGTCCAAGAAGAGGAAAACCAAGGCAGAGAGCGAGGATGTGGCAGAAACGAAGGATAAGAAGTCAAAAAAGCGACGAGCGGAGTCTCATGGCGATGAAGTGGAGGCGTCTTCCTCCTCAACAGGCAGCAAGCGGAAGAAGGACAAGAAGAAGGCCGATGAGGACCCAGCTCAGACCACGAGCACTGCGTATTCAGAGGCAGGGGATATTTCAGGTGAGGTTGACAAATCGGACGAGGCCGAGAAGGTGAGGAAACAGAAGAAGGACAAGAAGAAAGAGAAAGGGAAGAAGAAAGAGAAGAAGGACAAGTCCAAAAAGCACAAAACGGCTCCGAGTCCAGAAACCGAGGCTGGCGACAATTTATCCGGAGACACGAAGCAGAGGAAAGATGGCAGCCCCTCAGAACCCATGGTATCAGAGGAAGGCACGTCTTCAGCCCCCACCGCTGCGGAAAGCACCATCTCTACACCAAGCGGCAGCGGCTACTCTACCCCCGTCCCCACCGGCTCAAGCAGATACCTGGCAAGATCAAGGTTCATCGCCCAGAAAAGGATGGCCTTCACGGACACAGCGGCGCTCAACCAGGTAAGACTCCACGTTTGAGGATATGAATAACACTACAGAGCCCGGCTAACGTTGCATAGATCTTCATGATTAAATCGTAGTGTTATAACTGTCTTATCAGCAATACGACTGCTACCTCCTCATTGTTCGCCGTTCATGGATATGTCTACACCGACAGCGGCTCGTTCATACTAAGGTAGTAGTTAATCCAACCACGTTTTCACACTCTCAACTCGAAGCCTAGTCGTTAGTGGAGCACCACCTCTACCAGACCGGCTATGGCTTACATCAACAAATCATCTACGGGGATGCGCCGATAGTACCGGAGAATCAACGCCATGACCCCGTCATTCGTGCGGTCCTGGCTCCTGGATCTCTGGCGCCGTGTCTTGCTGTCCCTGCTGGCGACGGAAAGGAGCAGCGGACCGTTCCTGCGATACAACATGCTCCGGGGCGCCGTGCGCGATACTTTGTTGATTTTTCGTTGGGGAGTGGAGGCTGGCCTGCGAGGGCTCAGTCGCTTTGTAATGGCTGGTCGGGAAACAGTCGCCAAAATGGTCGACAACATAGGACGCTGCGTCTTCCACCTCATCTGTTCTGTGCTCGCCATGGCGGTTAGGCTTGCGCCTGCTGCCCGTCGTCTTTTTCGCGAATAGCTGGTATTCAGCTTTCCCTCGGTCTTCCCCTGGTGGACATTGTTTCGTCAGGGACGTCAGTCGGCCGGCAGCTCTAGCCTCACAGAATCTTGGGGATCGGGGAGACATTGGGTGCGATATGGTGGGGGTTATAAAGATCATAAAGCGTCGCTGTCTGGTAGTGATATAAACTTCAGCAATGAAACCAGCAGCTCGTTGTGCGTGAACCCATTTCAAGCTGTAGCAGGCCCTGCTAGAGGATCATGTATCATCTTCCTCCCCCAATCCCCTTCCTTTTTTCGCTGATTTTGCTCTATCAGACCTGGCGTTTTCTTTTGAAAGGACGCTGTGTCTTCATATCGTTGTCCCCGCTGGCTCTTTGAGGGATGGCCTCGGACTCTTCATCCTCGGTGTCTCATTACCCCTGTGCCGAATGTAAACAACCCCTTTCCTGAACATCGGACGACTTCAGAACACCGGTCTCCTCGTCCGGCACAAACTCGGATAGCGAGCATTTTATTTCGATCCCTTCAACGTTGCGTACCCCCACAGGCATCGACCGACTTGAATTCCACTTACTCACCACCGAACACCGACTGCAGGAGTTTGGCAGCATCACCATACCAACACGGCAATCAAGCAATTCTACATTGACTAACACCAGTCTGTTCACACGGTCCCCGTTGTGACACTGGTATTCACAAGGTAAAAAGGTTTGTTCATTGAAAGTACACTCAACCGAAGACTATGCTAACGAGAGTAAAGATGCAAAGACTTGCAAGGCGGCTGCACCCAAGTCATTCACCAGATCAGCAAGGCCTCTACTTTGCGCGCTTCGGGCATTTGATGTGACCGGCAGCACAAGTTGTATGATCGCGCTTCCCACTCCTTGAAATATCCTCGGGGCGTATCCAGTCAGGTGGCCTCACTTCATACCACAGGGCTCAGTCGAAGACCTTTCGCTGTTATAGGGCCGACCGTCCTCTCGCCGTACAACGCGCCATGGAGCACACCAATACCCCAGAGCAGAGACGCGTGGTGTCTTATGCCGATGCCGTTAAAGGAGGGCGCAAGGCGCAAGCTGAGAAAGCTAGGCTGAACGTCCCCGGCGACGACAAAGTTGAGGCGGCGCCAGCGACCCAAAAGCCTCAAAGTCCTGCACAGCCTGAAACCCCCAATAGCCCTGGACCAGCTGAGGCGCTAAAAGCAGCCCATAAGGCGGCCCAACAGGAGCCCACGACGTCGGACACGAAGGGAGAGCAGGTGGCAACCCAGAAGAGACCAGCACAGGCCAAACAAGCTGCCGGGGGTCGCGAACAAAAGTCCGCGCAACGAGATACTACTAGTACTCAGGGCTGTGAGCAGCCAACGCAGCCAAAGACCCAGGAACCCGTGAAGCCATCAGCAACAGCGTCTCTTTCGTATGCCGCGGCCGTAAAGGGCATGCGGTCGTTGACGAGTCGTGAACCCAAAGGAACAGGACAAACGGAGGCCACTAACGAGAAGCCGTCACAACCGGGCAATGAGCAGTCCAGCGCAGAGAAGCACGATGTTGCCGAACCCGCGCATGCTGAATCCCCAAAAGGTAAAGCCCGGCAGGGAGAGGAGTCTCATCACCATGAAGCAGACCAGTCGCCCCTCAAGGAGGCGGAACAAGATCCATCTAAAGAGCAAACACCTCCTCTCAGCAGCACGCCCCTAATCAGCAACAACAACGAGAGCGACCGTGGGCGTTCAGACGACCCGGTAACCCCAGCAATGGGCCTGGTCAGGACAGCAGAGGATGACCGAGTTAGCGTGTATAACCCAACCGCTCCCCCCTTCTCAGCTGGGGCTGTTTCTTCCCCCTTACTACGTCTGCCGCCGAACGCCTTTTCATCCCCTCGAGCATCCGCACCACCATATCTGCCAATATCTCAATACGTATCAAACAACGTCCCCACCAACATTGTCAGATTGTCCGAGCACATCAACCACGCTCGCCTCCGTGAGTTGATCGCCGCCCACGATCGGGGTGAATTCTCGTATGTTTCCAGGCGATATATATATACCACACGGCAACAGGATTCGTGCTGACTACTAATCGAACAGGCTCTGGTACACGCAAGAGGAATGGGATGTTGAGATCCTCTGCCAGGGAATGTTTTGGCGAGTGCATCGCCAGATCCTCTGCCGGGATTCGGACTGGTTCCGGGACCGTTTGGCGCCCATCCTGGCCAATGTTAACCATGTATGTAAAACAGACACGCGACAGCTCCCTTCTTCGTCTTCGGACTAACACACATATGATCCAGTCCACTGTCCGGGTGCGGATCTCCATGGACGACCACCAACCGGTGCAGCTAGGCCAGGTGCTGTACTACATCTACAATCACAGTGAGTTACCACACCCTTCACACTCTTCCTTCCGCACCTGCTCTCGCTCGACACAGACCTTTGGAGGCCCCCGGGCTAACACACGCCCCCACCACAGCGTTCCAAGGCGGCCAGACTGCCGTCGACGGGGACAGACCCATGGGCGAGCCAATCCGCCGCGCTATCTTCAGCTGCATCGCCGCCGCGTCGATTGGATGCTGGCGCATGTACGAGGGTGCGCTCTTCGACCTGGACTGCGCCATCTACGTACTCCCCGGCGCACTGCAGTCCTATGATCCTCAGCTCGACATCAGCCACATCCACGAGCCGCTCTTCCTCGCGCTGCAGATGCTGTACGAGCAGGGTCCGCGGCCGGAGCTCTTCCGCCTGCGCATCAAGATAGCCCATCTCCTCGACGTCACCCTCCTGGTGCTCTTGAGGAACGACAGCTTCAGGCTGGCCTTTGCCGACAAGTGGGTGCCGCGGCTGTACGGGCACATGGCGGCCGAGCACAGGTTCTTCCAGCACCAGGGCAGCCTCCCCGTTCCGCCGCAAGAGCCGCAGCAGCATCGCGCCCGCCGGTGGGGACGGCGGTCCCAGCAAGTAGGAGTGGGTGATCGGCTACTACGATACCAAGATTTTGTGTCCTTGGGCAGCAACTACTACTACAACTACGACTACAACAACAACCACCGCAACAGCAACCCAGAGACGGCGACGGCGACCGAGACGGAGACGACGGAGACGACGACGACGACAGAGATCAAGATCCCGGACGAGATCATGTTCGCGCTGTGCGCAGCCGACTCGGCCGTCCGCACCCACGACGCCACGCTCGCGTCCATGCGGCGGCACATCGAGATCGGCCACCAGTTCGCCGCCGAGCGCGACGCCGCCCAGCGCCGCGGCGCCCAGCTCGTCCACCTTCGCCGGGCGGCCGGTCTTTTGCACCAGAACCCGCAACCGCACCAGCACCAGCACCAGCACCAGCACCAGCACCAGCACCAGCACCAGCAGCCGCCGCGCTACCCCCACCCCCACCCCCACCACGACGACCACCACGAGGAGGAGGAGGAGGAGCACCGCTTCGGTCAGCTCAACGCCGATTTTGACTGGACGCTCGACCGGACGGAAGGGGGACGCCGCGCCATCCCGGGCCCGTCTGCGTCTGGACGGGCTGGTGTCGGTGCTGTGATCCGAGACGGTGGGGAGGAAGGGGAGGTTGATGAGGAGGAGGAGGAGTGCCAGACGGCGATGATCGACCGTCCCCTGGAGGCAAGAAGGTCCTCCTCGCCATCGCCACCACCGCCACCGACGACTGCCGTTGTCTCTTCTTCTCCTTGCACCTCCATGAGGCCTGTGGCGACTGCCATGGCCACGGACACGGACACAGCAGCGTCGGTGGGTGGAGGACAACATGAGGGGATCAGGAGCGGGAGCGGAAGCAGCGAGCCGCGAGAGCGACGGCGGCTCGACGACGACGACGACGACTCGGCCGACTCGCCGGGGGGGGAGCGGAGCCCTCGTTCTCTCTCTGCCCCCGAGGGGAGGAGCTGCGGCGGCGGCGGTGGTGAGCCGTCGCCGTCGTGCGACTCGACGATGTTGGCGGCGACTGCGCTGTCGTCTGCCAGCTTCCGGAGGGCGGAGGAGGATGGCGATGGGGTTGGGGATGGGGATGAGGATGGTTCTGGCCAAGAATATCCTCCCCCCGCCACCACCACCACCACCACCACAACCCTACGGTCGTGGTGGGATACGGTCATGGGTGAGGAGGGGGCCAGGTCGCCGTGGTCGTGGTGGGATGCCGTTATGTCGTGGGCGAGGGATGAGCAAGGCTGAGGGAATGGTGCATTTGATTTTTTTAAATTTCTTTTTTTGAGTTTTTTAATTTTTTTTCTTTTCTTTTTTTTTTATTTTATTTTTCTAAAGGGCTAGGTTCGTGGTTGGGCTAAGGGGTTCTAGGGAAGTCTGGGCTCGGATGGCTCGGATTATATCGATGATACACGATGGGACACGATGACGTCCGGAGTACCGCTGAACTCCGCTGTTTGATTTCGTGTTTGTTTATTGTTTTGCTAGACCGTTATTTGCTCTTCTTCTTTACCTTGGCGTCTTAGGCGTAGAGTAGTAGTTGTACTATCTCCTGTTATAAGCTCTTGAGTCTACAAAAAGGAAGGAAAGCATAGACTACCAATGGCCGGGAGTTGTAATCCGTGCTAACTCAGTTATAGCAAAGCATATTAGAGATCGTACCATCCTAGCTTTGTCAGTCGACTCTCTACTTACACTAGGTTGACTGACAACAGAGACACGCGGCTGCAAATCAGAGACCCGGCATATCCGGTTCGACGTGGTGAGCTACTAGTCGTCCAGTTACCAACGGAGCAGTTAATGCAGCTTGTGAGTACATATCCTACCCCTCGCAAAATAGGGAACCTAACGTAGCACCTGCTTTACTTTACACGAGTCGTACTAGGTTGCCTGATTCGGCTTAATGGAGCACTGAAAGCTCATTGGCTAGTCTGCTACTTAAGTGCATGCAGTAACTGTTCGGCCGCCTTTATCTCTGTGGCATAATATTGGCCAGATCCACATAGGTAGACTTAACGCGTGGCCCCTGCTAGCTTGACGCAGTCCGTTGTAAGCTACGGAAGGGTCTCCAGGTCATCCGGGGAGGATTCCAAAACATGCAGCATTGATCCCTGTAGGAGAATGATTGCTCGGACCCTCCCACAAGATAGGCACTTGTACGCAGGATCATGAGCATAACTAATTCCTTTGTCCATACGCCTTGTTGGATGGGAAGGAGCGCGCTAAGGAGAGCCCTGAGGCATAAAGCTGATGAGGGGAGAATGGCCGGTTTTGTCTTCGCCTTCTAGCGTCATCGACCCCTACATAGTCGTCCGTCCGAATGCATTCTCGCAAAGGGCGCTCATCCATGGGCAGCTTATGATGCTGCGCCGGCTTACGAAGACAGGTGCATCGATCTGCAGACATGGTTACAGCACACATAGGAAAAACGAGGGGTCCTACAGAAGATCGTTGGGTTTTAATAACATAGGTAGACAAATGGTCGGGCTGCTCTTTCTTGGATTGGCATTGCAAAGTGGCCGATGGGAGGGCAGATCGCGGCAAGCTGCATCTTGTCGTGGCGAAATACTGTGTAGTGTGCATAAAAGACAACAGAACGTTCGTCTGTCAGTAAAATTCCAGGTTAGATCCTTTGATCAGCTTAGCACAAAAGTAAGCCTTCCCCCCTTGCCATTAGCGTTATCATGAAGCCTGTACTGAAACTTCCTTCTTTCTAGCCAGCTAGTAGCCGCTAAACTGACGGCTTGATGTAGCTAGTAGTCTGCGTCCAGTACTATCTCCTCGCTACATCTTGAGAGAGCTCGCCATATTGTTGCAGGCCTGATCTCGTGTCCCTTGAAGGCGATTGCTCGAGTTAGCTAGCGTGAGTTACCCCGCATGTTGTTCCGTTTGGGTGTCGTTGAAAGTGGAGTCCTGACGTCGAGCTGGAACTTGGCTTCACCCTTGGTGGGAACACAACCCCGGGCTCCGCTGCGGCTAACGCACACGCCATTGGCCTGAAAACTGGCCGTGCCCCAGTCGTGCAGGTGCGGTAGCCAATGAGCCGCCGAGAGCTTGCTAACACCGTTGATAGTTGCATCTGCCCTTGTTCAATCTAAATGATCATCGCCAGTGATGGGCAGTTGGCGAACTGGCGGAAGGCAAGTGTGAGAAGGCGCATCTCCTCGCACTCTGGGGATGAAGTGTTAAAATGGACTGAATCCTGTCCCTTTCCTCTTGCCTCTTTCCTCCATCAACTTCAGTCTCTCGACAGTTGTTCCATGACAATTCATCGACTCACTGTAACTTGAAACTCTCTTAAAAGATCAGTACCCCGCTTAAAACCCCGGTGATTGCGACCTAGAGAACAAAGCAACTAGTATCCCGAGTTCCGCAGCGGCTCTGTCCCTACCTCGAGAACAACAGGAGGGTCATCCGATTCTCAATCCATCGACTGGGCCTCATTGCTCTCGTCCACTGGGCCGTAGGTGCCGTTCGAGAACAGCCCGAGAGGAGAAAAAGCAAATCCCGAGCTGCACTGCTGGCATCCCGGAGTTACACCACCTTCATCATCGTTCGACCCCCCACACGGAAACCCCATTTAAGCGTTTCACTCCCTCCACTCCAAGAGCCGCCGGTGCACATAGCTCGCACGATTTCAATCTACAAAACATACGAGTTTGCGGATCCGCGCGCATCTTCCGAAACCGCTTTCGACTCCGCGACAGGCCACACTCCGGCTCGTAGTGTCTCGAGACATCCCGTATTCAGCTATAATAAGACCGCAGCTTCCCTAGATCCTTCCGCCTGCCAACATGTCGTCGGACGACGGGAACTCAACCACCAACACAGTCGATATGGCGCGCCAGCGACGCGGGTCCATCACCTCAAGCGCCTTCACCAGCCTCTTCCGGCAGAATTCCATCGCGCAACCCCCCGTGACCGCCTTCGCAACCCCTCTAGCCACGACTGCCATAAACGACCAGCGCCGGAGGCTGTCCGTCACGACCCTGGGTCTCTCGGGCACCTCTCCGACCACAGCTTCTGCTTTCCTGCGCCGCGCCAGTCTTTCTACAAGCGGCGATTCGTTTGATGAAAATGCAGTCGAGGACGAAGATCCCCGCACCGCCCCCATCACACCCTCCTTCACCCGGCGGACGAGCTTCGGCGGGCCCCAGGCCGTGCGAGGCGTGCGAGGGCCGACCAGTCCGGGTACCAACGGTAGGCCTCCCCAGCCGAACCGCCCGCGCGCCAGCACCGTCCGCAGTAGTCCGCCCACGCCTCCGATCCCTTCGGCCGGCGTCGGCAACTACACGTGGAGCAAGATCTCTTCTCAGGCAAGCACTGCAAACCAGTCCAGAACAGGTTCTGACTTGTGCTCCCCTCCTGTCCGATCAGAGCAAGGCTTCAACTGGTCGGACCAGCTTAGGACTCGTGCCGAGAGCACCGTCGCCGCCGGCCCGCGGCCGTCGTTCTCCCTGGCCTCCGGAGGGCTCGGCGTCTCCCCTCCGCGCGCCAGCGCAGCCCCGGCCCCGGCCCCTGCCCCCGTCAGCCCTCACCACCATCGGGCCAAGTCCGTCTCCGACATGCCTGCCCCTCCCGCCCAGCCTCCCAGGCCTCGGCAGAAGCCTGACCCCTTTCAGGAGAGGATCCTGAAGGGCGATTTCTACATGGACTAAGCCCGCCGGCAGGAGTCAGTTTCCATGTCATCCATGCGTCTCTCATATCTTCTCGACATCCCGATTCGGGATAAGGGTCGTGCTTTCTACACCATACAATCACCCTACTGGCTTTTTTTTCTTCGGCGTTCTCGTTTTAGGCACTGGGACAAGGCGCAAATGGTTTTACTTCCTTCAGTTGCGGCATGTTTCCCTGTGTCTGGAATTTGGGGCTCTGTACATAACAAGGAGCTGGTATCCCCCGAAAAGACCGGCGGAAAAGGCGAGGACAAGCAGCAAACGGAGTTTTAGCGGTGGAATTGTGCTACATGTGGGCGGATGACATCTCACTTGGGAAAGACCATAGCGTCTCATCGTATCTCAGCGGGCGGGCAGGTTAGGTTTATGGGTTGGGTTCTCGGGCAGGCTGTGATGGACACACCTACCAGAGGCAACGGGCAATCATCAATCAGGTAGCGAGGCAACACGGATTCACCATGGGGTTCTTTTGTCCTGTTTTTCAACAGACTGTACGATTAGGACTTCCGGTTTTCCTGGGCCTTGGTTGCTATAGCTATTTGCCGTCAATCAAGGGTGGATGCGAACAAATAACGGAAGGCAACCGTCGCAATCGCAATCGTCGCACGTCTTACACGAGGATTTTGACGATGCCGTCCAAGAATGGTACAATCAATTTTCTACTTTCCCCCCTCTCTTATTACTAGCCTTCTCCCATTCTCGTTCGTCTTTTTTTGCCGCTTCTAGCTTTCAAGTTTGTTGAGCGAGTCGGCAATCCGGATCCGCGTCGAGTAGTTGGCGGAACTGTTCCCGACGAGTCGAGTGCTTCGGACGGGATCTGTTGAGAGCTCTCTTTGTTCCGGTTCCGTGTCTCTGGATACCGCGTCATTCGGGACCCGTGGGTGGACAAAGAGCACCTCGTGCTCGTGCTCGTGCTCGTGTTTCTCGAAGTGGTGCAGCGCTTCCCTTACAGAGTAAAAAGGGAGGGTTCGTTAAGAAGACATATTTCTTCCGGCTGGGGTCGTTTATTCTTGCTTTATCAGGCTCGGTTATCGTGGTTGATTACTGGCGTTCCCTTTTTTCTTTCTTTCTTTCTTTCTTTCTTTCTTTCTTTCTTTCTTCTTCTTCTTCTTCTTTTTTTTTTTTTTTTTTTTTTTTTTTTTTTTTTTTTTTTGAGAACTCACTCAGACTGCCGGAAGGGTCATTTGAGTACTAGTATGGGATGAAGCTCTCTGTTGGACGGCGGACTGGAATGTAAGATACAGACACAAGAACATACAGTCATGATCAAAGAAGACCCTGCACTTTTGAAATGTATGTTTTCCTCAGGTCAGGTGCCCCCCTTTCTGCTCGACTCCTTACGGTGGTAAAAGGAGGTATGCGAAGCGGCCCAGTCCCCTCCCTCAGCCTGTAACTGACAAAGAACACACATCATGGGATAGGAACGGAAAAAAGTAAAACTATGTATTTTAAAGACTTTATCTCATTATTGCTTTGTGTTATCTGGCGACTCTCCCGGCTAGGCGGTAACGGCGAAAATGCATGGACTCGATGCCGATTTTTCTTGTCGAGTCGCCGTCGCGCTGGTTGAACCCACGCAACCCCCCTGCTGGGCATCATTGACAAGTGTAAGTTTGGGTTCATCGCTGCGCAACCCCTTCCCAGTTCGATTATTGACGCGGAACATACTTCTCCCCCTGGTAGCTTGTGTTCGGGTGTGCGAGACGAGAACCTAGGAGCGAGGGAATCGGAAGCTTGATCTGTCTGAGATTTGACGCTACACGCTTGTTGTTCCGCCTTGTGTTGCAGAGGACTTGTAGGCGACAGCGTAATAAGCACATGTGAATTCACACCGGAGGAATATATGCCCCTGCTATGCGGCGCCCCTTCCACTTGAAATTCTGGATGACACTGGAAACGAGTAGTAGATACCTGGGTAGTGGTGATAGTTTGAAAAGGGGAGAACTACCTAGGTACCTAGTAGTACGCCCGATACTGTATTGCTCACTAACATTACGCTCCCTAACAGTGCCCACGTAGTATACACACTAAGGCGTGCTTCATTCCCCCAAGCTCAACACCATCCGTCCAGAGGTGCTTTTCCCCCACCGCTCCCCTGACAAGCCGCAAAGCAAATTGACCTTTCCCAAACTCCAGCCGCTACCCGCCAACCGCCGGTTCCCAGATCTCCCATCCACGTCCCTGTCAGTAAGGTACGGTGATAGTGCACCATAAGCCACAGCCCGAATCCCTAGCACCCGTCCGCATCATTACCATATCGTACATGGACATGGATGAATCATGCAAACATCCAACTCAACCCCAACTTCATTTATTACCCAGCAGAAAAAAGAAAGAGGCAAAAAAGAATCAGAATCAGAAACCATACGCTCCACCACCCACCCCGGCCCCAGAATGACGAGCATGCCCACCGAGCCCAGGAGGGGCAGGAAGAGTAGGAGGAGCAGGAGCAGCAGGAGGAGAACGGGCAGCAACCCCCAGGGAATCCAAGCCCACACCCATATTTGGCGGCGGCGGGGGCGGCGGCGGCGGGAACCACGGGGCACTCCCGCTCGACCCGGAAGGGGGACCACCAGATGCCGATGCCGATGCGGATGCAGATGCAGAGATAGAAGGAAGTTGAAAGTCCTGCCCCAACCAATACCCAAATCCCATATCCGCATCCGTAAAGCCGCCTAGGGTGTATTCCATGGCTTCGGCGAAGCCGTTGGCGCTGAAGGCGGCATAGTCGTAGTCGAAATCGGATCCGGGGGGGAATGTTGCGTTGCTGCTGCTGCTGCTGTTGTTGTTGTTGTTCCACGGGCCCTGTCCAAGGTTTGTAGTCGATGCTACCGCGGCTTGTTGTTGTTGTTGTTGCTGCGGGGTGACCCCGACCATGGTGAACGGACTCTGGGCGGGGGCTCCGGTGGAGGAGGTGGTTTCTGTTGTCGTGGCTGTCTGCTGCTGTTGGGAGGATTGTGGTACTGGTGCCGTGGTGTTGGTGATGGGGTCGTAGGCGAACGATGGTTTGCTGAGCCATGGGGAGGCAGAGGCAGTTGTTTGCGTGAAATCTGCGCTGGTGGATGGCCGTGAGCTGCTCGTGCCCGGGCCGGATGCCGCGGCCGAGTTGTGGGTGGCGATCTCGGACAGGAGTTGCAGCGGGGTGCTGGTAGAGTAGTCTTGTTGCTGCGGCCGCTGCTGCGGGACTGGAGTAGGGGTATCTCTTTCTCCACTGCCCGGGAAAGGGAAGGGGGGAAGTTGGGTGTCGGTTGCGGCGGCACCCGAGCCTTGGTTGCTCCCCCCGCTCTGGCTCTGTTTCTGCTTATGGAACCAGGTGCGGATCATGACGAGCACGACGAGGAACTTGCCGGCCGGCCGGCTCCTGTCCTTGTCGGCGGTGGCACGGAACTTCTCGAGTAGGTCCTCAAGATGTTGCTCGACCTTCATATCGTCCTTGGGGATGTACTTCCCTAGTTCGCTTTTGGGCGATGACGCGGCAAAGTACATCTTGATGAGAACGACGACAGCGTAGGCGACACGCACAAAGTTGAACACCGGCAGGCAGCGGATGGTCTGGACGTCAAGGGACAGAAACACCTCGAAAATGCCGTCGATGGCTTTCGTGCAGGCAGACAAAGCTCTAACGTGTGCCAGCGGCAGAGGAGCATCCGACCGAAGCAACATGTCATTGACGTTCGGATTGGAATCGTCGCCGGTATCGCTGTGGGTGGCAATCTCATGCATGTACAGGTTGATAACCTCGAAGCCCAACATGAGTGATGCTGCAACAAGTCAGTCAGCTGTTGACCCCCCTCCACCAGTGAACAGACTAGGGCACAACTTGAACATACGCTGCTGCATCTCCTTCGGGATCGCGGTGCGGTACCTCTCCAACTCACGCTCGAACCAGTTCAGCACATGCTGCGTCCTGGTCTCGGCGAGATCGGGAGTCGAGGGGGGATCGTCCATCGAGAACTGGATGCCGACCTCCTCGGCCAGCCTGTGCGTCCACACCAGGTGGCACAGGTACTTGTCCGTGGGTGCGGCCTCGGGCGACGACTTGAGAAGATCCATGCACTCGTTGATGAAAGGCGTCCAGCGGATGAGGTTGGGGCGGTGCAGCGCCATGGAGGTATTAGTGGCCATGAAGTAGCACGTCAACCATGCCCGCCGGGCCTCGAAGGTCGTCGGATCCGGCAGCGCGGGCTTCCGCATCGGATGGTCGCGCCAGACGTAGGCGATGTGTTTCCGGAACCCCCCCTTGGCCGACCTCTTCCGGCCCAGGCCAATCTCGATCGCCATGACGGCGGCGACATGCACCAGCTGGTAGAACTTGAGCTCCTCAAACCGCTCCGGCGGCCAGTACCAGATGGTGGCGATCTGGAGCGCCTGGATCAGCTCGAGGTTCTTGTGGCCCCGGACGATGATCCTCTCGGCCAGGACCTGCATGAGCTCCTTGGTCAGGATCCGCTGCAGAGCCGGGTTCTCGGACGACGCAGCGGCCATGATGGCGAGGAACAGCAGCGGCTTGGACGCCCTGAGGTCGGCCGCCGTCGTGCCTGGCGGGATGACGACAGCGGGAAGGTGCGGGAACATCTGGGTCACGTAGCGGATCAGGAGCTCGTTCGCTAGCGGCATGGTCAGGATCTCCCTCTCCACGACATCAGCAGCTTGCTGCTCCCTGCCGGCGTCCGCGCCAGGCTGCGGCGTCGCCGAGCTCGAAAGCGACGGCGTGTCCCGCGCGACAGTCGCAAAGCCAACATCTTCCCCGGATTCCCTCCTCTCATCAAGCTTCCTCTTCTGCCCCGCCACAGCAGGAGGCGCGGGCATCATACCAGCAGGATGCGGAGGCGGCGGCGGCGGAGGAGGAGGAGGAGGAAGAGTAGGAGTAGGAGGATACCTCACACCGTGACCCTCCTCCACCCTCCGCCCACCAATATCCTGCCCCCTCGGCCAACCACCAACACCACCACCAGCACCCCCATCTCCAACACCCACACCACCCACACCCATACCCACACTAGTAGATCCGCGACTAGCCTGCAAGCTGGCCGTCAAGGCATCAATCTTCTTCTCCAGCTCAGCAACCCTACTGTCCGTCTTCTTCTGCCTCTTCCTAGTCGGCTGGGTGACCACGCAGGCACGCTTGGCCTTGGCGCACCGCCGGCAGGGGCCCTCTGGGTTGGCTGGGTCCGGGTCGCAGCGGACTTTGAGGCCGCGGCAGGACTCGCAGGCGCGGGGCTTCTTCGGCTCGGCGCCGTGTGCATGATCGTGATCGTGCTCGTGCTCGTCGTCAGCGGCATTGCCGGTGCCGGGCGGAGTCAGGGATGATGGGTTGTAGAGATTGGGGTTTCCGCCGGAGCGGTTGTTATTGTTATTATTCTTGTTGTTATTGTTGTTATTGTTGTTATTGCTGCTGCTGCTGCTGTGGGGGTCGAGAGCGGCGGGCGTGGCAGCGGTGAGGGTGGTGGCGGAGCTGGGTGTTTGGGGGGAGAATGCAGCAGCTGATGACGCCGACGGCACTGGCTGTTGCTGCTGCGATTTCGCATCAGTGCCAGTGTCTCGGGCGACAGTTGATGCGTTGCGGAGCACAGGGTCCGCCGGCTCCATGGTGTCTTGCCTCGGTCACCGGTATTGGCGTTGGCGTCCCCGATGGTGAAGAACGGCCATTCAACATCCGACTTGCCGATCCTGGGGAATGGTGTCGGAAGGTGAGAAGAAGCTATCGGCATTGGCAGCCGAAAGCGCCCGACAGCTGAACCTCCGACATGGTCCGTGCGCGTTTACACCACCAGCTCAAGACAAAGAGATGTACGGATAATCCGTATCGAACGTAATCAAACCACCTCACAGCAAATACTTACATATCACACAAATCAAATGCGAGTGATATGATGCGCCCCATATTAAACATTTGATATACCCGTTATGTACGTAATCGGCTTTTCAACAGCCCAGCAGCCCAGCTCTCCGCACCAACCAGCCAGCCAGCCCCTTTTTCTCGAGCGAGCAAAGAACACTCAAACACGAACTTGGTATCTCCTCCGCTGGGGGTTAATGCAAAACCGCAGAATCGCACCAGGAGGTCTCTCATCGACCCTCCCAAGAACACAAACCTTGGAAACCAAAAACAGAAGCAAGCCGAGACCACAGCGAGGGGAACAAGCCAAACCAATCCAAAACAAAAGGCCAAGTGAATCCAAAAAATTCCATCTGCCTCATTTGAGATATGATATCCAAAGGGGAGCAGAGTTAAGGTAGGCCGTGCCATCTCCCGAGACATGGCGCTAACAAATAGCATAGCTAAGCCATCGCCTGCATATGATGAAGGTAGGGTAGGTAGATTTCCATGACCGTTTTGTGTTTGCAATGCATATATGAATGCCCCAATAAATCATACAACACATGTATGTCGTGGATCGTGATAGTAATCAGTCGGGGCACAACACAACGTTGCTCCGTCGTCCGTGATCAATGGCGGCGTTGGAAGGGAGGAGAACGTAAAGTAGTAAGCGAGAGAAGAAAAGCAGGGCTTCGAAACGACGGGGAGAGAGTATGTGTGGTATCTTCGCTCATCATGAACAAACATCAGAAGTGGAGTGGGTGGTACTATGGAGGACGTGGGGATGAGCGAATAGGCTGTTCCAAAAAGGGGTGTGAACCAAAAATGGAGGGAATTAGAATAGCACTTCAGTACTGAGCCTCCTCGCGCAAGCGGCTCTTGGAAGGCTGCTGGCTGAGGGTGCCCATGAACATGGCGCTCTCGCGTCGGCTCCTGTACGGTTGTTCGTACGGCGCCGGCGTCAGCCCGTTCTCGTAGAGCGGCCTGTCGTATCCCGGACTGGCCTTGTGCTGGCTGTGGTCGATGCCTGCCGCCGGGCCGAAGCCACTTTCGTACACCGGTCTCATGTGGGGCGGAGGCGTCGGCGTGCTTCTCGAATGCATGGTTGCCGCGTTCATCTGGGCCATCTGTTGCATCGTCATGGGTGGCGGCGTGGGCGTGCTTCTGTTCTGCCCTTCCAGCTGCTCCATCAGCCGCTGCCTGTGCGGCGAGTCGCTGTGGGAGGTTGACGGTCGCCCGTCCGACGGCCGCCGTTCCTGGAAGGACGCGGGGAGCGACGGACGGCGCTCTTGCGGGAACTCGGGCTCGGTCACGGGAAGCTCATACTCGGAGGGGTCGATCCCGAAGATGGCCTGGTAGTTCTGCAGGAACATGGCAAACACCGGCGCGGGGATGTTGAGCGTGGGCGAGAAGACGATTCCGACGTTGCGCACCGTCATCTTGTTGACGTCCGAGTTGTCGATGATCTTGATCAGGAAGGCAATCAGGTACTTCAGCAGCGCGGCGTTGGCCTGCGGGAGCCGCTCCACGAGCTCGGCAAGCGCAGCCATCTTCTCCTTGTGGTTGGTCATCTCCGTGACGGCAATGAACTCCATACGCAAGTCGTTGGTGAGAATCGTGGTCGGCAGTTCGCGGAGGTACAGCTTGAGGAGCGAAGCGACCGCGTGAATGTCGTGGTATTGTCCATCAGTAAGCAGGTTGATATCGCCCTCGGTATTGAATCGTTCCTTGAGCTGCTTGATGACCAGGTTGGACCCGCTGAGACGGAAGATACCCTCCTCCAGGACAGCATTCTTTGCGTCGAGGTATTGGATACACCGGTACACGACAGAAGGCAATGGCACCCTGACGTCTACGGGAGCGTTGTAGCGAACAGCCTCTGCCAGGGTAGCACCGAATACCTGCCGGACGGGTCCGTGGTACTGGCTGACGGGCAGAGAGTTGCTGCCTTCACTTCCGAACAGCGAGTCCTGGCCGTCGCTCGACGTTCGTGTCTTCGGACCAAACCCAAAGAAGCTACGCTTCCGCGCCTTCTTCTCTTCCTGCGTCGGCGCATTGAGCCCCATCGCCAGCTTGCTCCCCCACAACTCCGAGTTGGAGATTACGTGGGGATTGCTCGGTGCTGAGATCGTGTACGAAGATGTGGAATGGCCGTGATTCGGGTCGTGATCATGCTGTCCGGGCTGCTTCCCCTTGGACGGAACGCTTTGTGGCGCATCACCTTGCTTGGTGGCTTCGTAGCTCATTCCAATCGTTTCGTCGGTGCCCGCTGCCTGCGGTTGCGGCTGCTTCCCCTGACCATGCGCCTTCTTCTTGACATTCCCGCTGCCGTGTCGGTCATGCGCGTGATCCTTCTTAGGCGGCGTCTCCTCCTCGTCCGGATCCCGGTAGTCAATCCACCGGAGCAGAGCATCGACCCATTGATCACGCTCGCTGTCACTCTCAGCGCACAAGACGTGCTTTGTCATGCTGTTGGGGTCCTTCTTTTTCGGCTCCAGGATCAGGAAGGCGTGGCGATACTGGTTGTCGCCCTCCTCCGCCGCCGGTCCGTGGCCCTGTGGGCCTTCACTGTGATGCGCCTGCTTGCCGATCTGGGCCTTCTGAAGCTTGATGGTACCCAGATGGGCGCCGCCGGGGGTTTCATAGTACCTCAGATGTGGGCCGTCGAGGACAAAGTACCGCGCCTTCCAGCCTCCAAAGTTCTTGCCACGCTTCGTCAGGTAACCGTTGCGGAACGGACGGCCGCCTGGCCCAACTTTCTGCGGCTCACCATTGGAATCCCCCGTCGAGTTCCCCGTTTCATCCGCATGGGGCGGCAAGGTGTTCGTGGACAGGTACTTGCAGAGCTCAAGCGCCGTTGCATTGTCCAGCGGCGTGTTCAACAGCTCGTCCAGGTACTGGTTGAGGGCGATACGCCGGGCATCAAGTTTCGCCGGCGCATGCCCACTGAAGAGCGACCGATCCGGCGTCCTTGCCGTGAAGGTTGGGCACTGCTTCAACCTCTGGTCTAGCTTGGCAAGCGACGCGGAATCCTTTTCGATCCGCCAGAGCTCTCCGCCGTCTGCTCTTGAATAGACTGCCAGAGTGAAGACCGGGTCCTCCTCCAACTGCGTCAGCGAGAGCAGGCTAGCTCGAGAGGGCTTCATGCGCGAGGATGCCACCTTGATATCGATGGACGGAAGTGCATTGGGCGGGAGCAACAGGTTGGGGTACTCATCGGTCACAAAGCCCTTGAAAATCCTGGTCCGTTCTACCGGACTGTCGGTGCTCGACTTTGTCGGGCTCGGCGTTGCGTTACCAGACTCTCCCTGCTTGACGATGTTAAGCGGTCGAGGCGACTTCAATGCCAGGGGTTCTCCGGCGGGCGAAGGCGTCTGGAGCGGAGTATTGGGGGGCAACGGAATGGGTGCTCGCGGTGGCCGCGGGGATAGGGGCGCCGCAGCGCCCATAGGAGACAGCGGCGGAGAGTTAACGGGGGAGCCCAGAGCCATCGGTCTCGGACTCGACGGGAGGCCGGGGCTTAACAAGGGTGCATCAAGCCTTCGGGGATCCGAGCTGCCGCTTAATACTCCTGCCAGCGATGCGGGCCCCCGTGGCGGGTGAAGGCCTGTCTGCACCAGCCTGGGACTGGCAGGCACCTCGCTCGGAGGCGCCTGTTCCTTTTCCTTGTCCGTAGCCTTCCGGCTGCCGCTCTTCTTGCTCTTTTTCGACAGACTCCGCATTTCTGCCTCCTTTCTGGCGAGGATTTCGCGTTCCCGCTCGTCCTCTTCCCGCGTTCTTCGGCGACCCCTTCGTTCCTCACGATCACTCCCGCCAACCTCGAGAATGTGATCGTAATCGGTGTCCGTCTCCGGCTCATCCTCCGGGGCAACAGCGGGCTTCGCCTTCGCCTTCTCCTTCTTTAGATGCAGCGGAGCAGGAGGAGGCTTCCGCGGTGGGGGCGCCGGCGGTGGAGGGAACTTTGAGGCGCCTTCTTCGGGTTTCGGAGATCGACCTGGCAGCCCAACAGGTGGCTGCGGCGGGGGCATCCGTGGCGGTTCATGGGGCGCGGTACGCGACGGTGGCAGATTCAAGTTGATGGGAAGGTCCTTGGCCTCTTCCGCTCGCCTTGCCGCGGCTTCCGCCTCCCGCTCCTGCGCCTCATGGTCATATTTATCGAGTGCATGCTCGCTCGGCTTCGGCATCGTGTGCGAAGGGTCAAGGATCCCGCCGACGGCCGACTGGGTACTATTGGCAGTCGTGCGGTCTGCTGGGGGTGTTACGGGATAGGGGGCTAGAGAGACGTCAACGGGCGACTGCTTCTGCTCCGGCTCCATTGCCGTCGGTGATATTGGAACCTCCAACACCCGTTCCGTGGGCGAGGAACCAGCACCGCTGGGTCCATTTTGGTCCGCTCTTTGCGCCGCCGGTGCCGATCCAGAAGGTGCTGTCGACTGCGCTCCTTGTCCATCCAGGACCTCCTTCAGCTTCTTCCTGTATTTCTCTTTATCCTTCAGCGCTCGTTCTAGATCCTTGTTCAGACCCAAAATCATCGCTCTCTGCTTGTCGACCAATCTCCAGAGCTGCGCATTTTGCTGCGATTGCGCCTGCTTCTCTTTCAACAAATATTGAATCACTGCTTCGGCGTTGCCGGCCGCCTTGATGAGGTTCGCAATATCGGTGGTCCCAACGACGCTGTCCTGCGACGCCTTATTAAGGCTAGACCGGGAAGATATCGCGGAAATCGCAGAATCTATCGACGAGTTCCTCGGTTGTGCGTTCTTGACGGGCTCTGCCCGCTCACTCGCTGGACCCGCCATCGTCGAGGACTGGCCTGGCGCAGCACCCGCGGGAGGCTGGGCGGTTACAACGGGGTCAGAGATACTGCGACCTTCATTCGGAAACCGGAGATCGCGAGGCGAGGGAGCCGGTCTGGCACATAGTGTTAGCGTTAAGGCCAACGGACACATCTCGGGACGCCTCCACCACGAGGATTGCAGCAGTTGGTGAGAGGCATCCGTGACCGGAACGCACCCAGGGCTTCTATCCTCAGGCGTGGTGCTGCCTGAGGAGCAACTGTTATAGTATGTCTTCTCGGAAACCTGCGAGACTGTTTCTTCTGGGCCGGTCGTCACGATGCGTGGGACAGTGCCGGGAGCAAAGTCTGATCGCGAGCCGGGACTCGTCGGCGGAGATGAGCTCGACTGGAGAGGACTCGGGGGTACTGTCCGTCTCGAACTAGCGTGACGTAGAAGATCGAGTCAGTAATATGGACAATGTGGACACGGCAGGACCCGGCACACAATCGTAGTTGCACCACAGCCCGGGCAATAAATATGCGGATCGCTTGTTGGACGACTGCCAGCCCTCGAGGCGTGTGCCTTGACTTTCGAGCTCGAATCTCTCAAGTAAAACACCTTCGACGGACTGAATGCGAATCACCGAACAAAGCGTCCCAGAGAGATCCCTGGGTTGTGCCCAGGGAAAAGGAAGACAACGTCAACGAGGCCGGAGAAAGCCCAATGCAACAACGGAAACTGGGCGTGACAATGTGGGGCCGGGGACGGGGAAGATCAAATATGGTGAGGCGAAGGTGAATTGAAGGGCGGGCCGAAGACTCCGTACCTCGAGCTCCCCGTTGACGACGGTGTTGGCAACGGGCTATTGGCCGTGTACAAGGCCTGTGTTCTCCCGACGGTAGGACTGTCCTGGAGCGCAGAAGCCATAGAGCGCGATGCTTGGGGCCACGAAGGGCCGCGGTTGGGGTGGTCAGCCGAGCCCCCGGCCGTGGTGAAGCTGCGACAGATCCGCTCTGCGCGGGTTGGTGGAGGTGTCAGGACCAATGAAGGGGTCCTGTGATTCTCGCTGACGTTTCGGCCTTCCAAGGGAGTCCTGTCTGCTACCGCATTGAACGCCAAAAACAAAAATTCTCGGCCACCGCCAGGATCAGGACGCGGCCGTGGGAACGGCGTCGCAAAAAGGCTTGGGACACGATCGACCCCGTGTGTGAGCGATGGAATGGGAGAACTCCCAGGTATCAAGCCTCCAGGGCCATGGGACTGATAAATTTTGACAAAGATGGTAAAGGCTGGCGCTCCTCAAGCATGGTCCCCACACGCGGGCGCTAAGATCAATCAAGTACTAATCGCTGCATGTGCCAATCACGCTAGCAACACTCTGGTACGATAGCCAGGGGTAAGCACTAATAATAAGCAGTACAGGAAAGGCCGATGTTGACGATCTTCAGATATGGACTGCATGGTAATGTCCATCGTCCAGGCCGGTGCTGCAGTTGCGAGTCGTGAGTCTGATACAAAGAGTCAGTTCGCTGCCCGAGTCAGACCGGGCCAAGGAAATCTCGTGCTACAGTACAAGAACTTATCCTTTTGGTTGTGCTAGGTCGCTTATTACCGAATTACCGAATTACCGCTAACACCCAGTTAAATTCCCGAGCCGAACCCCAGACTTGGCTCCATCCAGGGAAGAACACAGGGGCTCTCGTCCTACATAATTTCGGCAACGCGGTGCTGTTTGCGGCGTCATAGACCTTGAAGCCGTGGGGTGTTGCTAGCTGGGTCGTTACGGTTGCAATAGAGGCAGCGCCTTAGTTCGCACTAGACATGCTAGTACCGCGTAGCTCAGCTACTATCTGACAACTAATGTATTTCAAGTACGCTTCATGTAGTAAATTTCCCAGGTTTGTTACAGGTTTCTTGCAATGATGAGTAACCGCGAACCTTATGGTTCACGCCTTGTCCCTATCGCGCATCGTCTCCTTTGGATTGGCATAGTATACTCCGTACAGCAGTCACGGTTGCTGAAACAGTATCTCCGTTGCAGGAACCTTTATTATCGTGATTTAACCGGGCTGGATGGTTTGTTATCGGACCATCTTGTCAGGTTGTTGAATCTAGCCAAACAACTGCGTCCCTTGTTAATGTCGGAAGGTTTCAGTCGGTCAATTCATGAGCAAACGCGAGGTCCAGGTTCTGAGTTATTAAGATGTAGACCCGGCATGCGATTTACAAAATCATCTTGTCGTTTGCCTGACGGGTAGTATAAGTCGTTTATTACGGCGTCTGACAAGGTAGGTTGATTTTTTGAAAAGTGATACCATTTTCAATCAGGGACCTACTCAACAGAATCTACATATAAACTCCGAGTTAGCTTCAGCTGCAGCATTCACTCCATCTAGCTACTATTCCAAGGCCATGCCCTATAACCAAAAGACACCGCAGTATTGTATCGCTATTAGAAACTGTACTGTGTATCGAGGTTGAGCCTCGGCCAAAGGCCCACAGGCAGATTCACCCCCCACGGCGGTGACATCCGGCTTCTGGCTTATCGATGCATCATGCAGGAGACCTTAAACTTCTGCAGGTACGGGATACAGAAGGCCCGTTGTGAACAGACAGCCAGACACAGGCATCTCTTCGATATCGATCCAACAAATCAAATAGCCGAGACTCCAGAGTTCCTCGTCCATCCCCGGGTTTAACGTTAGTTACCTTATGTACGCATCATTCCATAGTGTAAGACAAAAAGCAAGCCACATGTCTGGGCACTCGTGGCACTCTGGGGATGGTCGATCGTCAACCCCATTCTCGTATGGATACCATTCTTGCTTTTTGGTCTGAAAGTCTGTGGAGGAGGATCCACATCGAAATGAAAACCTTCAAAAAGCACTTAGTGTAAAGAAAGCTCCAATGGGACACGGTCGTTGTCACCACGCGTTGCGACCAAAACTTGCATAGGAGATGAACTTCGTCCAGAGGCTCGCTGATATGGAAAGAGCGGTGTGGACGTGAACTTTACCAACCATGACCAGTCATCTAGGAGATATTCCCGCTTTCGTCAGGAGAATGGCACCCAGGAGATCTAATGGCTTGTACTGTAACTTACCATGTAACGCATTCTCAGTCATGGGGTTCTGCGCGCATCAGAATAGGGTTGCTTGGTGGGATGCCATTCAAGCCTGTGATTGGATGATGGGTCCAAGATGCGTTCATGCAAGTCATCTCCAAGCTCCGCACTCCGGTTTGCGATACCGGGCTGCAACGGCTCGTGATTGGGTTGGCTGTCGCGGTCGGCAGCCCCTGAAATCCCCAAGACAGGCATGCTTCAACTCTAAAGTTGCATGTCGCAATCGCCGGTGGCCGTCCAGCCAGCCACTGCAAGCAACCAAGAAATTATTCTCGATTTCCTGGCTCAGATATGATCTTCTATCTGGTGGATCGAAGTGGCAAAACGGACAAAAGAGAAAGCGGATTTGGTGGCCGTGTTTCCCGAGGCCCGCCGCTCATATCGGTTACACCGTCCGAAACAGATCCGGCGGCCGGCCGAGGGTCAGCCGAGCGAGGCCCTTAACGTTTATGAAGGGCATGCGGCTGATTTTCAGGGTTAAAGAGGTCAGGGTTTCAAGCCGCTCCCGTTTGGCTACTTTTTATACTCTTAGGTGACATCCAGTCCCTTTCGTCGTCTGAACCTCGTCTTACTGGGTTTTCATTCGCGGTCTAGCTTCGAGTGTAAGGAAAGTTTAAATATGTACAGACAGGAGGGGCTTGGTCTTACAGACGGCCCGCACCCCTTTGCTCGTGAATCTCAACTGCTTCAGAACAGGGGATGGTAAGGCACGCCCGTCGACTACGTAGGTGGTATGTATGTCACGGAGAGAGGAAGAAACATCGCTTTCAGCCAGCCTTGGCGTTCCAGACTACAATTGTTGTTCTCTTGAAAGATCTGCTGTCAAGAAGGTCACGGGTAAAGATGAACACGCGACCCTGCTATCGACCGCCTTAGCCATGGAATGGCACAAGGTCGCGTGGCTCGCTCACCGCGCCATCCCGTCCGTCCCGCAGCAAGGGAGGCCAGTGACATTTCATTCTAGTTTTGTCTACATCTGGGTTATTGTCTCGTGCGTATTACAGCGCGGTTTCATTCCAAGTAACTACCTGCTACTTCGCGGTACTTGCCTGGCAGTAACTCAAGCATGGGATGAGGCAATGGATGGATAAATCCGATATGGCCCTCACCAAATGAGAACAGTACGATAATAGACTACAGTTGAACCATTGTCGATTAACACATCTCTCCTGGAAAAGAAACAGAAGGAAACATTAGATAACAAGGGGTAAATAGAATCCAGGGCGCGAAGATATCCCATCAGGTGTTCAGTTGCGGGTTATGGACTTGTCACATTTTGGGAAACCCTTCGAGACAGTTCATCAACCGCGTCGATTATACATCGGGACTGTTCTAAGAATCTCTGGTTTGTAAAGAGCACTTTACACCTATTACAGGTTAGTCATCACCTGTCCTTAGGTGTGTAAGTCATACCAAGTTCTGTCCAGCTTCAATGAGTTGACCCTGATCCTATGTGGTCCCTAAGTGACTCCCTACCAGTAAAACACTAGGTACCAAGGTGTCTTAACCAAACGCCACAAAGCTTACATTACTACAGCAATATCACCATGACGCCATGATGAAAAGAGACTTTGTTTCCGAGATTGGTTTTATAGAAGGGGAAGGACAGTGACTGATACTTGTCCTGTGTATGTACAGAGCCGTCCAAAGCAGGCTTCCCCAAGCATATTCAATCCTCGCGCGACATAGAATCTTATACCTGACTCAAGCCATTCATACAATCCAAGGTCGAGGCAGCTCTTGTTAGAGTTTAAATGCAGTCGTGTGAGCAATGCGGACCCCTGTTGCACCGGCGTGATCTAATCGGATCATGAAGTCTCCTTGCACAGGGAGACTGGGTTGAAACAACAACTACGATGTCACAACGTGTAACAGCAAAAGACGCCGACTCATCAATCTTAAGAATCATGAGTATATATTCCCTACTCTAGGAAAACTACTACCTGGGGTGATGAATCACCCGGCACGGACCTGTCCCTTCAGAGTCCTGTAAACTCCCTTCCGGACGAGCCTGACCCTAGGGGTATTGCGTCATTGGAGCCGACCTATTTCGGGGTTCTCTGTCCTCGTTCCAGCTCATATCGCTTTCATTCCCCGGAGTAATAAGTTTTGCTGGGTAGCCCACTCCAGGGTTAATAGTCGGAACTAAAGAGGCAGCGGCGAGCTATGATGATAATTCCTAGAACTGTACAGGAGCTCAGCCCTTGACGATGCGGCAGACGAGGTCGGAACCGTCGACAGAGTCGCCCTCTCGCACCATAAGTTGCGAGACCTTGCCGTTGTGCGGGGCGGAAACGACCATTTCCTATTGCGCGTGTCAGTAACGGGGGCATTGGTGGATAAAGGAAAGCCAGCCATACCATCTTCATAGCGCTCAGCACAGCAAGGGGATCGCCCTTCTTGACCTCGCTACCCTCATGGACACGCAGCTCGACAAGCACACCCGCCATCGGGGCGCCGACCTGGCTCGAGTCGGTGGGATCGGCCTTCGGCCTGCTAACGTTCTCGATCGAGGCCTTCTTGTCGTCAACGGTGACTTGACGGACTTCGCCGTTCACCTCGTAGAACACCTCGCGCTGGCCGGTGTTTTCGGACAGCGGGCCGACGGCGAGCAGCTTGAGAATAAGAACCTTGCCCTTCTCGAGCTCGACGTGGAATTCCTCGCCAATCTCGGGCTTGGAGAGGAAATACTTGGTAGGCAGAACCGACAGGTCGCCGTACTTGGCCACAAAGTTCTTGTACTCCTCGAAGACCTTCGGGTACATGACGTAGCTGGCCACGTCGCACTCCGTGACGGTGCCGCCGAACTTGCGGGCGAGCTCCTTCTTGACCTTGGCGAAGTCGATGGGCTCGAGGAAGAGCCCAGGCCGCTTGTCGAGCTTGCGGCGGCCGCGGAGAGCGTTGGTGCGGAGGGGCTCTGGGAAGCCGCCGTACGGCTGACCCATCAAGCCCTCGAAGAACTCGAGCACAGAACCAGGGAAGTCAAGCTCGCTCGCGCGAGCCTTGACGTCCTCGGGAGAAAGCTTATTGGAAACCATGAACTGGGCGAGATCACCGACGACCTTGGAAGTAGGCGTGACCTTGACGATATCGCCAAGGAGGTCATTGGCGTGCTCGTAAGCCTTCTTGGTCTCCAGCCACTGGGAGCCAAGCCCGAGCTGCGAGGCTTGGAACATCATGTTGGTGAGCTGACCGCCGGGAATTTCATGCTCGTAGACCTCCGGGTCGGGACCGGTGAGATGGGCCTCGAACGGCGAGTACAGCAGGCGCAGCTGCGACCAGTACGTGTCCAGGGCGCGGACGTGGTGGACATTGAGACCAGGGTCCTTGTCTGTACCGTCAAGGGAGGCAAGGATGGCGTTGATGCTGGGCTGCGAGGTCATGCCAGACATGCTGTCGGTGGCAGCATCGACGGCGTCAGCACCAGCCATGGCACAGGCGACCATGGAGGCGACACCGGTACCCGCGGAATCGTGCGTGTGGACGTGGATCGGCAGGTCCGGATACTTCTTCCGGATGGCGCCGATGAGGAGAGTGGCAGCATGGGGCTTCAGGACACCAGCCATATCCTTGATGCCGAGAACGTCGATATCCAGAGCGACGAGCTTGTCGACAAGGTCGAGGTAGTACTGCAGGTTGTACTTCTTCTTGGGGTTCTGATCATGTGGTTAATGAAACATTGCCTCATCATGATGCACCTCTGCGAAGATAGGTGAACAATAGAAATAAATGTGCAGGGAAGAACAGGTAAACAGTGCGGGATGGCCAAAAAGGAAAATCCGTTAAGTGTGTAGAATCAAGCTAAGAGCCTGATTCAACCACCCTCTTAAGGCGATATCACGAGAACAAGGAAAGGGTTGATGTTGCAGAAGGTGGGGAAAGGAAAGTTTCAATTTCGTGGGGCCCATGATATTACGGGTGTGGAAGGGGAAGGAGCAGTAGATAGGGGAAAGGGGCAATAAAGTCTGGGTTGGCGAGGAAGGAACTTACCAGAGAGTCACCGCTGTAGCAGACCGTGCCCTCGCAAACACCGCCAGCCTTCTGGACGGCCTTGATACCGACCTCGAGCTGGTTGATGTCGTTCAAGGCGTCGAAGACACGGAAGATATCGACACCGTTCTTCTTGGCCTGATCGACGAAGTGATCGATGGCGTTGTCGGGGAGCGAAGAGTACGCTACACCGTTGGCACCGCGCAGCAGCATTTGGAAGGGGATGTTGGGAACGAGCTTGCGCATCCTGCGGAGGCGGTCCCACGGGTCCTCGTAGAGGAAGCGCATGGCGACATCGAAGGTGGCGCCGCCCCAGCACTCCAAGCTGTAAAGGTTGTGGAGCGCGTGGCTGGTCTCCTTGGCGATGTTCAGCAGGTCGACGGTCCGCACCCGCGTAGCAAGCAGGGACTGGTGGGCATCACGCCAGGTGGTGTCCATCAATAGGCAGCCCTTGTAGTTGCGAACCGCCTTAGCGAAGGCCTTCGGGCCCTGCTCCAAGATGATCTGGCGCCAGCCCTTGGTGCAAGGCTGCGAGACGTCGATCTTCTTGCCAGCCTCATCAAACAGCTCGGGGATGATGATGTCACCCTTGAACTTGGGCTCGCCAACCTGGCCCTTGATGCTACTTCCGTTGACGGCGACATCGCCAAGGTAGGCCAGCAGCTTCTGGGCACGGTTCTGGCTGCCAACCAGATCGAACAGCTCCGGAGTCTCGTCGATAAACTGCGTGTAGGTGTTGCTTTCAATGAACTTGGGATGGGTGAGAAGCGAGGTGAGGAAAGGAATGTTGGTCTTGACCCCGCCTGTGCCAGTGTCAGAGGATGTCACTTGTTTGGCTTCAGGGGGACTCACGGATTCTGAACTCGATGAGCGCCCTGAGGAGCTTGCGACGGGCGATTTCGTATGTAGAACCGTGGCAGATGACCTTTACCAAGAGGGAGTCATAGTGGCTCGTGGGATGTTAGCATGAGACGAATTGAGAAAACAGGAAGTGGGTGAAGAAAAGAAAGGAAACGAAAGGAATAAAGAAAGTAAACAAAGAAAAAGGGGGAAAGTGGGCCGGCGAAACACTTACGGCGTAATGACAGCTCCTGCGAATCCGTTTCCACCATCGAGACGCACTCCATTGCCACCAGCTGAGCGGTAGACCTCAATCTTGCCTGTGTCAGGCTGGAAGTTCTTGGCAGGGTCCTCGGTCGTAATTCTGGCTTGCATGGCGAACCCCCGAGTGTTAATCCTGTCCTGCGTAAGGCCCAGCTGCTCCAGGGTTGCTCCGGCTGCGATCTGAATCTGGGCCGCGACGATGTCAATGCCAGTGACCTGCTCCGTAATGGTATGTTCCACCTGAATCCGAGGGTTGACCTCGATGAAGTAGTGGCGATTGTCTGACGAGACGAGGAACTCGGCCGTGCCCGCATTGCCTGGCGAATCATGTCAGCCATTTCACATCATCTCCAATAACTGCTTGGGAGCAAGCCCGTGTTATGACTTACGGTAACCGACGGACTTCGCCAGTCTGACAGCATCATTCAAGATAGCGTCACGCACGTCGGCCGGAAGGTCCTTGGCGGGGGCAATCTCGACAACCTTCTGGTGTCTCCGCTGCACAGAGCAGTCACGCTCATACAAGTGCACAATGTTGCCGTGGTTGTCACCGAGGATCTGAACCTCGATGTGCTTGGGCTTGTCGAGAAACCTCTCAACGAAGACAGTGCCGTTGCCGAAGGCGCTCTTCGCCTCAGAGGTGGCTCTCTCGAAGGAGTCCTTGAGAGACGCTTGCTCGCGGACAACCCGCATGCCACGGCCGCCACCGCCGTAGGCTGCTTTGATAATAATCGGGAAGCCGTGCTTGTCCGTGAACTCTTTGACATCCTCAAACCTCTCAACAGGACCATCGGTTCCTGGGACAACTGGAACATTGGCGGCGATAGCAATCTTTCTGGCCGAGACCTTGTCACCAAGGGCATCGATCGTTTCCGGAGATGGCCCAATCCACTGAGAAATGAATGCGTTAGCTACAGCCAAGCAGGGAAACTGCAGGGGTACCCACAATGAGACCAGCCTTCTCAACCTTGCGAGCGAAGTCGGCGTTCTCCGACAGGAAGCCATACCCTGGAGAAAGTCAATCGAAGCTCACTTCTTCAACCACCGGTCTGGCTCGGCCTACCAGGATGAACCATCTGAGCACCGTGCTCAACGGCAATCTTGACGATCTCATCGGCAGCAAGATAGGCACCAACAGGGGTGTATTGCCCACGCTTGCCGATAACATATGCCTCATCGGCCTCTGTTTCCCCCCTTATCAGCAAACGATTCTCTCTTTAACACCAACAATCAGGGTGGTCGGCGCATACTCTGTCTGTGCATCGAGAGACGGTCCTCATAGCTACACAATTAGCGCCCGGTTGAGGAGGGAGAGGCATGCGTGCCTGGCTCACCTGAAGACGGCGATAGTGTGAAGCGAGAGCTCGTGAGCCTGTGGACCTGGGCGTTAGCTATTGGAGCAACAGAGACTAGGCGCACCACTGCGCCAGCCCACAGAGTGTTGCGTCTTGGGGGATAACTCACGGTTCTGAAGATCTGTAGAGAGGAGCGCGAGTGAGCATGTTATCCCAGGGTCCACTGGAACAGGGGCGCTTCAGGATGTTAGATCTGTACGTACACGAATCGCTGGACACAGGCACGTTAGCACGGATGCAAGACGCGCGAGTTGGCTGTCTGGGAGCACTTACGGATTTCACCTCTGTTGGCAACTATTGTGTGCATCGTCTTGGTTAGTCTTGCTTGCCGGTAAGGTAGTCGTTCTCAGAGTGTCCCGAGTCTTTGGACAGCTGGAAGAGGTCCAGGGGAGCCTCCCCCGTAGTGTAGCAACAACACCACGGCTTCGATGTCTCCTACTCACCTAGGATCTTGTTCAGATGCATAATGGTCGAGTTGGCGCGGATGCGGTGCACCGTCTGGGCCTCCTTTGGGGCATCCTCCTCCTCGAACACCTCCTCATAGTTGCTGACTGGCTTATCGGCCGCCATGGTGAATCAATTGCTGAGCAGTTTGGCGGTCAATTACACAGAGGAAGGACGAGCAAAGGGGAGGGGAGGAGGAAAAAGAGCAGAGCAGGAGTGATAGACGGGAATGTGGGATGGTGGGGTGTTTGCGCGCTTGCTCAATCGAGACTTCCGTGCCAGGGTCAGGTATGACTGCGACGGCGGGGTAAGGGACAAGAAGATGGTGGGGTGTTGATTGCTGAATGGGAAACTGGAGCTCCCGGCTATTGTTTATGTAAAAACCTTAACCAAAGCTAAACTAGCTTGGCAGCGACAAGACGGGCGGTAGGAATAGTCTCGGCCACAGACTCGAGGAGCAGGAGAAGATTAGAACTCGAGGAAAGAGGGAGACTGGGAGGTTCGGAAGTCAGGGCCAGGATGGGTGCTGAGGGGATTTTTCAACAAGTTCCTCCAGGAACGAACAGGGCCTGGGAGCTAGACTCAGGATCCCAACTCGTCACATGGCAGGGTATTGTTCAACAAACTGAGAACGGACTTGACCAAACGGTGGTGGGACATGATCTCAATTCCCAGGTATCACCAACACCGTCAAGAGCAGAGCCGTCTGACCCACACCTTCCGTGGCACAACATAAGGTTATTCTGGACTGCATGTGCCGCTCATAACAAGAAGGTCGTAGTGCTCAGGATCCATCAACTGCTGGCCACGAAAGACGAGACGGTGAGCAGAAAGCTGGAGGTCTATCACCAATCACTCCGTCTGTTCCCAGCACCTGTTCTTGATGGTGTGCCTGTTGATGGAGCTTGAAGCTTCTCGCCATTATCAACTAGCGCCCGCCAATTGGAGGCCGGTGATCGGAGCTTGCTGACCCACCAGCTGCTGCGGACCGCAGGGCAAATTTGACAGGCGCCGCTGCACATGCATGGCAAAGAAACGCACCCCGACTTCCTGATGCTCCCACGACTGGGAATTGCGGCGGGGCAGAGGGCTCGGTAACTTTCCGTGTTACACTATTAGTAGCTCGGTCGTGGGGCAGCTCGAGCCGTCCCAATCGCTACCTACACTAGGCCAGACAACGCTGACGCATGTCGTGAGACAAAATCCGAGCTGACGGTCAGACTCTGTTCTGTCCTGTCCCCTGGAACTGATGTCCCCGCTGTTGACTCAACAACCCTACTGGCCAACCAAACACAACGTAGGATGTCGTTATCTAGGATGGTGAACGGAGAAACCCCCAACCTTGGAACCTCCCCGCGCGGATGCTGCCCGGTCGAGCCGGTGCTATCCTCACTTCCTTCTTCCCACGCCTCAACGCCGCATTGTCCGAAGCACATCGCCTCCATGCTCTAGGAGTGTTTTGACGCGTCACTACCGCAGTAGCCGAAGGCCCCGGGTAACTAGGTACACTTTTAGTATCAGGTGGTTGGGTTGCTCTCGTGATGGTGGCCTGTCCGGCGTTTGCGTCTAGCCGAGGCTATGTCCGTTGAATTAACCATAAAAACACCCCGAGATCTCCGAGATCTCACTCGGGACCAAGACCGACGTTGCCTCAAACCTGCATACAGCACTGCGGTGTTTTCCAACTAGGTGGGTGATATCAAGTTGTGGGGTATCTTTCCGTCACCGAGTCGCCTCGCCATTCCATGGGCCCACTGCAGCTTACTACCTATGCCAGCAGTGATGCATCAACACTATCAGATTATGTCTCTGTGCCTCCCTGCTGCATAACTCCGTATGCCGAATTCTGGGCGGGAAGATGAAGATCTCTTCTCTCCGCTGCCAAGAATCCTATTGTGTCGACTGCGCCGTCACGGACGTTACAAGAGCCGGCCCACCGAGAACTAACAAACCCACTCGTGCACTATACGCTTCATTACGGACTACGTCCATATGACTAGTAGTACGCGGAAAAGGCAAACCTAAGACAGCTGACCAGCTAGACTTTTATCATAACAAGAACTACCCCATCATACAAAGCCACGAGATTCACACATCACGACAGGACTCATTGGCAACGGTAAATGGGTACGAATCCATATGCTTTCTTGACCGGTCTTGAACCCCCACCTAACTAGGGGACCTGGGCTCTCGAGGCTAGGTATTGCCCGTCTCCGAGGATGCCAAGCACCGGCTCCGGACTCATTGTGTTTGAGGAAGCTGGAAGGTTCTCTCACTCTGCAGTCTTCTTGGCGCCTCACAGTCTTGTCCATATCGTTGTCTCGGTTCACTTCCCGTCGGTTGTCCAGTAACCGAGTCTGAATAGAGTTGCCAAGAGTCCGATCTCTGCGGGAATAGATGCAGATGTTGTTGCAGTACATAAAACACAGAAAGCCTTCTTCAACATTGATTGGCCCCTTGTCTCAAGAGGGAGGACAGCCAACAAAGTGCTCAACATAAAAATGCCTCAGCTGATTCTGGTTCTCAAGGAATGATCAGTACGAGACAAAAGACGACGACACATGGTCGAGCAAATAAGACCAGCAGTAACATGGACAGAGAACGAACCCCGCCAAGAGGGACCCTGGTTTGCCTTAAGTGGTCTTTATCCCTTCTTCACACTCGAAACCGATGCTTCACCTTTATTTATCAGCCCGAGAACGAAACAACTAAAGAAACCCAGTGCAATCGTGTCCCTCTATGTCCCAGCCAACCATCACGCCGTTTGGAGAAAAGGCGGAAAAGATGAGGCCTGAAGATAAGGTATCCCTTTGGTCCGAACCATGCGCCACGCTTGATCGTACAGCCAAGCCTGTCCACGCACACCTCTCAGCGTCCCTTCAAATGCGCCGAGACTCCAGCGATCCCGTCTCTCTCAGCCATCCAAGGCGCCAGATCTCCGTTTAGGCAGGAGACACAACGGTGCATTTCCCTTTGCCCATCCTTTTGACGCAACATCGCACAGGCAAACGCCTCAGCCATCCATCCATCCACCCTGCAAAGTTTCCTTTTATTTCCTCCCGGCCAGCTCCTTCGTCTTCTCTTCCACCTCCCTCGCCTTTTCCTTGACAGCCTCCACGCCGCCCGCCAGGCCGGCCTTCTCCTTGCCGCCCCAGTTATGCCACTGCAGGTAGCGGTACCCTTGCGTGAGCTGGGCGCCCTCGTTGACAAAGTGGCAGGCGAAGAGCAGGTAGTTCTTGGGCTGGACGGCGAGGGCGTAGCGCATGAAGGTGGCCGAGTAGACGCAGAGGGCGCCTGTCATGGGGCCGGAGATCCTGCAGCGCAAATGACGAAGTTAGTATAGCCGCATTTGGGCAGAGACGAGGGAAATTTCGGTGCGGTAGCTGCAAAGGTCGATCGGATGGCACGGTAGGTGTGCGGGGAGTGTTTGTTACACAGCCTCGTGTCAGACACCTAGGTAAAGGAACGGTGAAGAGCGACGACGTACAGGTCTGGGCTCTTTTGAGTGTCCATCACGGCAGCGACTGGGATACCGAAGTTGGAGACGGGACCCCAGAAGTCTGTAAGGGCACATAGTCAGCAACAGCTCGTGGTCTTGTATGGAGAGCTGCGTGAAGCTTCGGCGCAAGCGGCATGCCGCGGGTAGAGAACAATTGGCAGTCCTGGGACCTCCCAACATGGCATTCAATCATCCTGGCACATGCCACAGGCATAGCGTGCCCTAGTATAGCATGAATCGTCGGTCGTGGTCGAATCCGTCGCCGGCGAGAAGCAGTCCCACGTCATCGGGGATTGTCCGATGACGGGCCGGTGTAGCTGAGAACAGGGCTCGGTGATGGAAAAGGCAAGAACTCACGTGTTGAACAGACGTAGTTCAGGACAGGGTGTGCCCTGATCTTTGCATTGATCGCTTTTACAAAGGCGGCCATTTTGACGGTGATGTAGCGTTTGGCGTTGCCCTTGTCGCGCTCACAGTGAATGAATGGTTGAGCTTCGAGATCGGAGCTGTCGGTGGATAGAAATTTGGAGGTCCGAAAGCCGCACGGACCTCCAGTCGGGCGGCTGAATGTCCGACGTCTCTCTTTGCTCTCTGAGACCATGCAACTGGCGTTCGTGGGTACTACTACTGATACACAACAAAACGGGAGATTATTTACCACCCAGGTGTAGCAGGCTTCTATTTATTCCACTTCCAAGCTATGGTGAGAAGAACCGCTCTAAGCCAGGACTTAGCTAGAATACAGGGTGCATTCCGGCCCCATACCCGCAGTTTTCATAACCCCTGAACGCCGCCAAAACCGACAATTCTTCATAGATCCCGGGTAAAGATTTCCAGTCTATGCCTATAGCACTGCATCATGCAGTCAGATTGCTGAGCCTGCTTCTCACGCAGCTCGCCGCGAGGTGTGACCGGGTATTAGTGAGGTAAACCAAAGACAGCGGGACTCATCTCCGCGGCGGTGGGTTGAACCCGGGCGGTGGTGCCCCACCGGGTGTGAATCCCGGGGGAGGGAAACCGGGAGCACCAGGGAAGCCAGCCGGAGGCGGGAAAGCAGGACCGCCGAACCCAGGGGGCGCAGCTATTATCAGGTTAGCACTTAGAACCCAGGTATCACGGACAGCTGAACTTACGACCGCCGCGTCCAGGGAATCCAGGGGCACCAGGGAAGCCCGGCACCCCCGGAAAAGGAGGAGGAGGGACGGCGCCTCCCACGCCAGCAGCAGGGCCCGCGAGAGAAATCGGGGCAGCCGCACCCCGCCCAGCAGGCCGCGCAACACCAGGTCCGGCAGTGAGCGTCGAACCGAGGCCGGCGCCGGTTGTCTTGCCGAGACGCGCGCTGGGGTCTGCCGGGGGTGGAGATTCGACGGACAGGGACACGATATGCGCACCGCGGACAATCGTCAAACCCAAGGTGCGCTTCTCCTCCTGCTCAACGACCTGGGCAGCTGACGACGCGCCAGGGGCTGCCGGCTTGTTCTGCTTGCGCTTCGTTCGGCGGAATTCCTCGGTGTCGGCAAGTACGAGATTCATGTGCTTGTCGAATGCCAGCATCTAGCGGAAGAGTCAGCGCCTCCCAAGTCGGGAAATCGAGCAGGGGCAACGCACCTGACCGGTCATCTGGCGGCCATCATTTAAGGTGACGCGCATCCGGTAGTTGATCTGGCGGAAGGAACGTCAGTACCAACACGGCGTCTCGGATTGGTGCCATGGATGGAGCACGTACGTAACCGGCCTAAGAAGATTGCGCCTTGTCAGTCCTCCGATGTCAATATAACGGTTTGCAGAGCAAATGTCTGGTGGGGATCTTCAACTCACCATCTTGCCTTGCTTGTTGGTCGCCGACATCTTTGCGACAAGATGCTACAGAGTAGCTTCTTCAGGCTTCAAAAATTGGGTTTGGTAGACAAAGTGTTCCAACTTCGTCGGTTGCGGTCTCTTCTTGGTCTTGGTGGAGGCTTCGAAGTGACGCGCAGTGGTTGATGGATAAGAGCTGTGGAGGCGAGACCAGCCTGGAAATTTGAACGCGAGGCGGAGCTCGGGCGCTGCAAGCCTCAATCAGTTACTTCAGCCACGGCTGAGGCGCCACACCCCAGGTTGTTGTCCCCCACCAAGCTTCGTTCCCAGCAGGCACGAAAGCCCCACCCGCACAATCTCAAAATTCGGAGAGGTAAAATCGACCTCACTCTCCAAATTCCAGCTCCATCGACGAGTCGCCCAGTGCCGGAAATATTGACAACACCGCCGCCATGGTAGGGAAGACACCGATTACCAAGTATTTCTCAGAGTCCGAACTGACACCATGAATCAGTCTGAGAAGGCCACAAACCCCATGCGGGATCTCCGCATCCAGAAGCTCGTCCTGAACATCTGCGTCGGCGAGTCTGGTGACAGGCTGACCCGTGCTGCCAAGGTGCTGGAGCAGCTCTCCGGTCAGACCCCGGTCTACAGTACGTTCGCGACACGAAGCCAAGATCGCCAATTTTGCCTTTTCACTCACATGTAATTCTCTTCCAGGCAAGGCCCGGTACACGGTCCGCACGTTCGGCATCCGCCGTAACGAAAAGATCGCCGTGCACGTCACGGTCCGCGGCCCCAAGGCCGAGGAGATTCTGGAGCGCGGCCTCAAGGTCAAGGAGTACGAGCTGCGCAAGCGCAACTTCAGCGAGACCGGCAACTTCGGCTTCGGCATCAGCGAGCACATCGACCTCGGCATCAAGTACGACCCGGGCATCGGTATCTACGGCATGGACTTCTACTGCTGCATGACCCGCCCCGGCGAGCGCGTCGCCCGCCGCCGCCGCTGCAAGAGCAGAATCGGTGCTAGCCACCGCATCACTCGTGACGACACCATCCGGTGGTTCAAGTCGCGCTTCGACGCCATTGTCCGCTAAATGTGGATTCTTGATGATGGTGGACGGGGTACGAAAACAAAAAAGGGCATTTCAGGGAGTGGGGAGTTTAGGCTCGGCACCGTCGCGACACTCTGGGGCGGGAATTGTTTTTGCTGGTTCATGCAAATGGAATGGTTGGGTTCTCTCGGGATGTATACATGCAGCTTCCTATACCTGGGCGAGTTACCCTCGTCCATCGTGCTCGGTCTGAGAATTTCAGTTGAGCCGCGGCCTCAGAGACCGACCGGCGCCTATGCCGGCTTACCAATCCCTTAAACCCCGTGAGACGCTCTCATGCCGACCTGTGGCCTCGGTAATGAGGGCAGTGGTCAGGTCGTTTCATGTCATACAGCAGTGAACCTCCTGGTGAATTGTTAAAAGTTGAAGATCAACATATGCGTCATCGTCCCCATTTCCATTGCCTCACCAGCTCTGCTACTATCATGATGAGAACACAAACTTCCAAGCCAAGGTTCCTGCCGACATCTTCCCTTGATCAATCATCTCTGGGGGCACGAGAGAGATAGAAGGGGCTGACTTGTAGTGTTCATCATGTCGGGCTACCAATATAACCACTGTCTCAGAAGCCGTTGGGCTGAGTATCGGATAAGTATGGCAAAGTCAACCCTTGCGATGCCCATATGCTGCGGCATCATAAATACACGGCAGATAAGTTCCAATTTGGAGACTCTGTATCTCTTCTCAGCGCCGGCCCTTGACGAGTAAATACTCTATGAATCCTAAGGCTCGATACATTCCTTTTGCCTCCACTGCCATTGAAAGCGCATAATAAATAGAAGCCATCTCCAGTCAACAGAAGTCGGGATGTTGAAATCATACCACGGCTGATGCTGTCCTCTCAACTATAGCCCCTGTCGTTCCGAAGCCATGATGTCTGGCAATCGCTCTTACGAGCAGAAAAAAAACTGAAGTCGGCTTAACTGGACAAGGTTGCCTCCCTCATCGTAGTCGGCTCTTGGGACAGTGAGCAGAAGAGGCTCTCAGCTAGACTTCTGGTTGATGAGACCTTGGGACAGATTCTCGACATCGGCCCTCGTCCTCAAAGCAAGTCGCTTTTTTCCCCTCATAACCGCTTCCAGAGACTTCGCCGGGCAAGATCCCGCAGATAACTAGCTATTTTCTCTCCGAATATGGTGGATCCGCTCGACAACGAATAGACCGGGTATTCCTATGTTCAGTCTCAGGGTTGCTGGCCGAGGAAGGACACAATTACGTTTTCACAAGGCGACCAGCGGCGCCCCCGGCTGTGCCAGCCGTCTCCCATTCCCACCACCACCACCAACACACCGGGTAGGCGTAGCGGGAGTTCCTCGCTGCCGCTGTGCCTTGTGGATCTCGATCAGCATGTTCACCAGCGCCTCGGCATCTTTGTGCAGTGCGTCGAGCTGTTGCTCGTCGCTCCCGACGGGGCCACCGTCCTCACGAGGCAGCCTGAAGGCAGCGAAGACGATGCCGCGGTTAGCCGGCCTGTTCTTGGGCAGCTGGCGGGGCTTGCCATCGGGAGTGGCGGCAGCGTCGGCATCGCGCCGTCTGGCCGGCCTGTGGCCGGTGTAGAACGAGCAGCTGTAGCCGCTGGCGAACTCATCCAGGGCACCGGTCTTGTTGCGGTATTCGAGCCACCCGTCCGTGCGAAGGATCTTTTCGTGGACTGGCCCGGAGATCTGGAAAGGATACATGATCGAGGGCAGGCCGTATGCTGCGAGTAAGCGCCCGGTCAAGCCGATTCGGTGGCTACCGCGAGGAGCGGGATTCCGTTCTCTGAAGCCATTGCCGTCTCTTGAAGTGCGGGGGTCAGGAGATGAAGGTGTAGGAGTCGCCATGGCCCCAGCGGGATAGGTGGCGACGGGGGTGCCGCACGATTTGCTGAGGGGACTGGAGCGGCCGGGATGGCTCATGTGGCTCGGCCACAGATTGACGACGTAGATCAGGTCGAAGTGATGCTTGGTCGCGATCCTGGCAGCTTCAAACGCTGCGGCAGCGGCGGGCCGAGTGGCTAGAGGAGGTGAAAGCGTGAGCATGTGGTAGGTGCTCTCGGTGCGGCGAGGCGTGGCAACCGGCAGGGGATCCGGGGGTAGCGCAACCTTTGGTGGTTTTGACGACGGAGGGCCGGTGAGAGGATGGGCGACATGGCCGTCAGCGATGTCGTTGTCGCTCAGAGCAAGGAAGTCTTTGTAGCTCGGCTCTTCGAGTATCGAAAGCTCGTAATGACGCTTCACCGTTGGGAGTCCCGATAAGCTGTTGGCTCTGCGCGGCCCCGGCTGGTCATACTTCACATATGTCCTGAAGATAGACACACTTTTAGGCCTCTGTGAAGCTCTCCCATTGTTGTTGCCGCAGTCGTCGGGTCTAGATCCCAACTTAAGAACGAGCTTGGGCGACAAGGATGACGCCGCATTTTCTGGTACAGACCCTAAACAGTGGTCTTGTCGATGTGACACTGCCGAACTCGAACCTGTGCATTGATGAGCTCCGTCTTGTTGAACATCCGTTTCCTGCTGGTGGGAAAGGAATGACTTGGGCGCGGCACCAGCGGAGTGTCGCTTCCGATCGACCTGAGCCTTTGGGGAGAGAGACATCGAAACATGCCGTGTAATGGACTTGGAAAGAGACCTTGGACGCCGGCTTGGAGAAAGACTGTCGTTGGCACCTTTCGGGGGAGATGGAAAGCTGAAGCCCATGAGCTCCGATAGAGGCTCGTCCCTGCGGCCTTTAGGGTGGAGCGAAGAAGACCGTTTAGGTATGTCAGGGCTGGAATGCCGTGAAGCAACGGGAGAACACTGCTCAGGAGCTCCGGAGCTGGTGGAATCCCTGCCGTCGGCCCGCGGGGTCGAAGGTGCAAGACGAGGTGCGCTTGGCGAAGGTTCCGGCAGGCTCCTAGCTCGCCGGGATGTTCTGGGTGTCATGAGCACCTCTTCCCTGGCAACCATGCGGGATGATGTGGGCCTGATGAATGATGGCTGCGGGAATCTCTGGGACGCTGTGCCCGACTCTGGGAAGACTGGGATGGGCGTCGCCGCCCTGCCCTGGAGCTGGTCCGAGACATGAAGGTCCTCAGGCCGCTTCTTTCTCGAAAACAGCTTCTCCAGTCGGTCGAGCTGTTTGTCTAGCTTCTCAAATCTCGTCGCCATTGTGATGTCCTCGGGCGAGAATGTGTTGGACTTATCCTGGTTAGCAACCTAACAAAAACAGAACTCAGAAAATGGTGGCATACATTATATTATGGAAGACGTGTTTGCAAAGATCGACAAGTGCTCCACTTGATGCTTTTGTCGACGCTGTTTTGGGCAACCGTAAATGGTAAACTCGAAACCTTGCTGGAGAGTCGGTGGTACGATGCTGTGCAAAGCTAATGACGGGATATTGCGGTTTGGTTAGACAGCTGGATCCACGACAGGTCGAAATTGGCCTCAAATATCAGAGCAGAAACTTCGATCTAGTGGGCCACTGTCGATGTATGCAGAGGGAGAATGGAGGTCAGAGACGAGCGCCCAACGGTCAGCTTGGTCTACTTTGAATCTCGAACACTTCCTAAGTAGACCTAGTGAGTTCCGGGCTCCTGGTAGAGGACGGGAACCAGATGCTTTTGAAAGGGCTCTGAATTGTGGAAGTAAGGAAACCGACCAGACTAACAAGAGCTTCTTGCTCATCAAGATTCTTTATCTAGCATTGCCATGTCAAGGAAAATTGGCAGAGTTGAGTCCTACCGAGGCTGAGAGGCAAGGCGAATGACCTATGACTGGCGACGGCAAGATAGGACCGAGAGATGATGCGCCTTTGTGCTAGACATCAACGAGAGCATCACATGCCGAGAATAGGCCCAGTGGATGCATGTGCGGCAAACGGCGCACAAGGGGGGCGATCTAGCCTTAAGACTAGTTTCTCCTTGACTCTGGATCTGACAGCCCATCTGCGAGTGAGAGGTGATGGTGTGGTGACGAATGACGATGGCCTAAGAAGCCAGAAAAGAGAGCAAGGGAGACAGGCCAAGCATGAATATTGGGACTAAAAGACTAATGAGAAACACAGTCTCCAGCGTGCAGAGCATTGGTGATCTGTGACTGGCAGATCTCAAGCTGCGAATTTCGAAGCACTGACAAGACCTCCAGGGTCCAGGCACATCGTCGATTGCTGTGCTCCGTCGGCCAGACATGCTTGTCTCACCGGGCTGTGATACCTCTTAGTCTTTCGAGCAAAAGCTCATCGCCGGCAGAGCACGCTGGATTGTACAACTTGCGAGACGATTCGAGGTTCTCAACCAAAACAACGTTGAGCCCCCCGGTTCAGCTCGATGACAGCATCGACGCGCAGACATTGGGAAATCTACAAATCCCGGCACCCGATTACCCCGACCCATTGACGAAGAGGTTGGCAAACGGTGACAGCCATGATTCGGAAAATATTGTCAAGAAAAAGCAAGGTTAAGACAGATTAGGCACATCGTTGCGAGATGAGGACTGGGGAGATCACTTCTCTGTCTGGGTGATGTGATGCACGAGCCTCCAGCAAGCAGCAAGGGAGAAATGGACCCATATGCTGGCGGTACCTGTCATGTGATTGGTCACATGCTCTCTCTCTTCAAGCCTCCACTCTCCCCAATCGTCCTCGACTTCGACTCGGACAATCGACGTTCAACCACGGGTCAGACAACTGCTGGTGGGCTCCAACTTACAAACCGTGCAATGGCATGAACCATCGGTGCTTTCTCGAGCTGTCGCTTTCCGAAACTCGTCTGATTCTGAAAAGCTGCAGTGCGGCGTGCCCCGCAGGGCATAACCTCGCTGGCACTGGCAGCTGGTCTGAGACAGGCTTTCCTGTCGATGCAGCACCACAGTCGACTCGGTATGCGCATGACAGCACATCCGAACCTGGTGGCTCATGTCGGTCTCAACGCCATTAGCTACCTAGACTTCGAGTCCAAGCAACTGATCACATCTCCAACTCTTAAAGCAATGCTCTTCATTCCTGCCAAACGTTTGAATGAGCAAATCGGATTAGACTCTGGAAGACCCTTCGTTTTCTCTTTGTTTGCAAGTTGCAGCGGCGTGAGAATCCAGGTGGCGCTGATGTTGGCATCTCACCTCAGGTGCCCCACCAGGGACTCCTGCCTAGGATAGCGGACAATAGGTAAGGTTGCTGTCCTACGACTTGGTTCTCGAAATGAGAAGTCTGAGCACAGAGGGCCACTGATCTCAAAAGCCGGACACCTGCATCAAGATCGGATTTCAGACGGCCTCTTTCCGGATAAGCCCCCCAAGTGGCCGGCTTGCTTGACCTTTCTTATGGTAACATATCAGTACCAGTGGGGTGTCGGCACTCACATACAGCCGGTTTCTCCCGAGTACTGTTTTCTGAGCTGACCTGTCATGAAGGGGAGGCGCTCTGGAAGGTCGCCGGGTCGGTGTTATTGTCTCGGGCGCACCCTTGTAGTGGCGTCCTCTACAGCGCTCCGGCTTCCGCCCTATCCAATCGCCAGACCCAAAGCGATGGAGGTGCCGCGCCGCCGGGTCACGGACAATCTTGTCCGTGGCTCAGCACCGATCACTCAAGCTACACTACGAGTCCTGGAGATTCACGATATGAGATCCAGCGTAGGACACCCCCCCCCCCCCCCCCCCCCTGTCTGTCTGGCCCATCCACCATCCAATTTTCTCTCAGCACGATCTCGGATGCCGCGTTGTAACGCGCATACTAGTAACGTCAGTCACACTAGCAAAGTGACAATGAAAGGCTCTGAAGACGAGGTCTGAGTTGACGGCGCGCCATTGGGCCTCATGGTCAACGTGTGTCTCGGCCTCCGTACGATTCCCATGTGCGTGCGTTGCCAGTCTCGGCTGTGGAAAGACATTGCAACCCTTGACTCTTCTCTCCCAGCTTTTCCCGCTCCAAATCCCACATGTGCCAGGTACTGCTGCCAGACCACTGGATCTAACAGCAGCGTTGACACTGGGGGGGGGGAGGGGGCCAGTCATTCACCTGTCACAGCAGGGCGGACGCAGATGCCTTGCCGCAAGGGAGACAACGACAGGAAAAGCAAACACGGAGTCCATCCACACAGGAACGATTCAACTAACTACGTATGGACAAAACGAGATCCCTTGCAGCAGTAGCGTCATCACTCTTGCCAGATCCGGCCGGATCGAGGAAGGACAGACCTCGGCGCTGCTACAAGGGATCTCGAAAAAGGGCTACTTGCATCCTGATCTTGCGTGTTTCCTCTCACCCTCAGCGAACGGGTGTAACCAAGCCAGAAAGGCATAGCAGTTTCGCCCAGATGGCCCATGACGCTTTTCTCGCTGTGCATTTTGCTCCGGTCTAGGTAATTGGCTCAGGAGTCAGGATCAAAAATCGCCAGATTCTCTCTGAACATTATCGCCTTCCCTTGCCAGCAGCAATAAATATCTCGCCTCCGTCTATCTTCTACCTACACCGGCCGCTAATAGTCTCGACTAAAAAACAAAACAAAGGGCTTTGCTCTATATGTGCGCTGTCGCACCTGCAGCGAGCCGACGGGGGACCGGTTCATAACACGTACTACTAGTATTTACTCCCCCACGGATCGGCCGAAAAAGCGATGACCGAGATGAAGCCCGGAGGCTTGCGGCGATCTCCCGTCCCGCCGCGGTGTACATAGATCGCGTACTACACCGGGCTCATAACGCTCTCCTTGACCCCGAGCAGCAGCAGCAGCAGCAGATCAGAGCCTGGCGCCGCTGCTGTCATCTTCGATCTCCCCGAAAATGTTGAGAAAGGCCGTATGCACCTCGTCCGTGAGGTCACTCGCCTGCAGACTGCGGCCTCTTTTCGCGAAGGCCAGCCGAGAGCATTCCTGTATGGGTAAGGTATGGTTTGTTAGCGAGCAACCCATATAGTAGTAGCAGGAGCCACCGTCAGCACAGAGAGGCACTACGCCTAGTGCCTAGTGCCCAGTGCCTAGTGCCCAGTGCCTAGCATAAGGTAGGAACTCACCCTCGTAATAGCGCTGCCGCCAAACACAGCCAGACCAACCAGCTCCTCGTCCCTGAGCGGCTTCCCGTGGTCCCAGATGCCATCCATATAGGCCTTGCGCCACCCCAAAAAGGTCGCAATACTGCCCGTGAGCGTATCGCCCTGCCCACCGCTCCTCTTCCTCCCGCCCTCCAGATCGACCGTGAGCGTGACCTTCCCATCGCTCAGGTGGTCCTTGGCGCCCTTCTGCACGACCATGACGCCGCCCAGCGCGCGCGCCAGCGCCTCGACCTTGGCTGTCTCACCGCCCCCCGCGCCATCCTGGGCGGCCTTCACCTGGTCGTCCACGCCGAGCGCATGCGTGAGCCGCCCGAACTCGACGACGTTGGGCGTCAGCACGGCAAGGCCGTACCCTTTCACCAGCGCCGGATCGCGCTGGACGACCAGCAGCGCGTCGGCGTCCAGCACCATGGGCACGCCCTTCTCGCGCGCGGCGCGGATGACGTGCGCGACCGTGTCCTGCATCAGCGGATCGCGCCCCAACCCCGGGCCGATGACCAGCACGTGGAGCCGGTCCAGCATGGGGATGATGCGGCCGGCGATGTGGGACGGGTCCGTGTCCTGGGTCGAGCCCGAGTTGACGGGTGCCGAAGGGGAGGACGGCGAGGAGCGCATCAGCGGGTGCACCATCAGGTTGGGCGAGTAGCTCTTGATGACGGTGGCCGCCGTCGGGGTGCAGATGACGTGGGACTGGGGCGGGTTGTTGTTAGTCAAACAAAGAATGAATGGCCTGTCAGGTGGATGAGGAAACATGCTGGTGAGATGCTTGTATAAGTGAGGGTGAGAGACGTGGTGGTTTGGACATGAACACTCTCTCTCCATACACCCCTCCCCCCCCCTCCCCTCTTCTACTCAACTCTCTCACCTCCGCCGCCTCATGTTATGCGTAGTCCAGCAGGGTAAGAATAAAGTGAGCCAGAAAAGAAGGAGAAAGAAAGAAAGAAAGAAAAGAAAGACAGAATACATACCAAATCACACCCAAGCCTCGCAGAGGCCATAGCCGAGAAGTATGGTGCGCCCGTATAGTCCTCACTACCACCGATGACAGCCACTCGTCCCAGCTGGCCTGTTTTCCCCGCGTCAGCCCCCAGCCCTTGGAACAAAAATATCCTCAACTCTGATGTGAATGAGGCAAGGCAATGGATGAAAAGAAAGCCGCACCTTTATGAAACTTCTCCAGCATAGGCGGGATCATCTGCCGCACACGGCCGAGTATCTCCTTAGTAGCAGCCGACATCTTGGGAGGCGCGGAGGCGGTTGGTGTCGAGTTCGATGAGTCGGAGGGCATTTCTGCGGTTTTTGAATGAGTAAGTGAGTCTGAGCATCAATGAACAAGAGTCAGGGCGGTTTCATCCAGGCCTGGGACTGATGAACCTTGGGACATAAGGGAGGGAGGGTTCAATATGTTGTGTAGTATGATGCGCCGCAGTCAATGAACATGCGGGGAGCTGGGACAACCTTGAGGTCATACCTTGAAAGTGAACTTGACGGCGAAGCTCAATAGCACTCCCAGAGCTTACCTCTCTTGCACTGAGGGCAGCCACACCGAGTTGAAGATTGATTCTTAAATATAGATTAGAATCTAGAAGTAGCAATTGAGCTGCTTCGTCGTACATGTACTTTACCTTGGTTAATCTCAAGTAGGGAGTGTGCCCATGATGTCACCAAACAGGATATACAGTACACTAAGAGCCCCACCCGACCATCAAGTAACCGTGGTAACCCACCTATGGTATGATACCCCTGATTCCGAACGCAACAGTTCAAGAACAAAAGGAATCGAGTGCTTAATTGAGTCTTGACTCTATGTTACAATGGCTTTGACCGAAGGATCCCCTTTTTCTTGCGCGCCTTGCTCAGTCCAGCACACGAAAACGGAAATCCCCTGCCCTAGAAACACACGGCGCGCTGCGGTATAGACATCCTCCCTCATTCCCGGCTAACCCCCCGTAGAGTCCTAGGAACGCTTGATATTACTCGTGTAGATTTAACCCAGGAAGCTCTTGGTGAAGCTCTGGACCACCTCCCTCAACCTGTTCTCGAGGTCTTTGCTGATGGCACCCTCCTTGTCGATGGTGGCCATGAGGTCCGCCTCGTTGGTCTTGAGGTGGGCGAGGAAGTCAGCCTCCCACTGGAGGATCTTGTTGACGGGGACCGAGTCGAGGTAGCCGTTGACACCAGCGAAGATAAGGGGAACCATCTCGTTGACGGCCATGGGCGAGTACTGCTTCTGCTTGAGGAGCTCGGTCAACTGTGGGCGACGTAGTTAGCATCCGTGTGACATGTCAAAATCGCCATGGTGGCCAAGTAGAAGTAACTCACCCGCTCACCACGAGCCAGCGTCTGCTTGGTGGCGGCATCGAGATCAGAACCGAACTGGGCGAAGGCAGCGACTTCACGGTACTGGGCCAAGAAGAGCTTGAGGGAACCAGCGACTTGCTTCATGGCCTTGAGCTGCGCAGCGGAACCGACACGAGACACGGAGAGACCGACGTTGATGGCCGGGCGGACACCCTTGTAAAAGAGCTCGGACTCCAAGAAGATCTGGCCGTCGGTGATGGAAATGACGTTGGTGGGAATGTAGGCAGACACATCACCACCCTGGGTCTCAATGATGGGCAGCGCAGTCATGGAGCCACCACCGTGCTTGTCGTTCATCTTGGCGGCACGCTCGAGCAGACGAGAGTGGAGGTAGAAGACGTCGCCGGGGTAGGCCTCACGTCCGGGGGGACGACGCAGCAGCAGAGACATCTGACGGTACGCGACGGCCTGCTTGGACAGATCGTCGTAGACCACAAGGGCGTGCTTGCCATTATCACGAAACCATTCCGCGACCGAAGCGCCTTTAAATGAAAATCGTTAGCATCTTAAAAAATCCTTTTTGCATGATGTGTGAGAGAAGCAATGAAGCGTGAAAGATCCGTTGTGCATGATGTATGGTTGAGGAAGGAGCAGGGTGATGATGAAGGGACACCCTAAGGAAAGGTATGGTGGATAATCCATGAGGTAAATGGAAAACCCGAGGAAAAACTTGACTAACCAGTGAAGGGAGCAATGTACTGCAGAGGAGCAGCCTCAGAGGCAGTAGCGGCAACGACGATCGAGTACTTCATCGCGTCGTTCTCCTCGAGGGTCTTGACGAGCTGAGCGACGGTGGAACGCTTCTGGCCGACGGCGACGTAGACGCAGTAGAGCTTCTTGGTCTCGTCGTTGCCGTTGTTCCAGCGCTTCTGGTTGAGGATGGCATCCAGAGCGACGGCAGTCTTGCCAGTCTGACGGTCACCGATGATCAACTCACGCTGACCACGGCCGATGGGGACCATGGCGTCGACAGACTTGAGACCGGTCTGCACGGGCTGGTTGACGGAGCGGCGGGGCAGAATGCCGGGGGCCTTGAGCTGGGCACGGCGCTTCTCCTTGGTGTTGATGGGGCCCTTGCCGTCGATGGGGTTACCCAGAGCATCAACCACGCGGCCGAGCAGCTCAGGGCCGACAGGGACGTCGACCTGGATCAGTTAGAATGCCGGTTCAACAGCCGAATGCTAGTGATCAACCCACGATTTGGCCGGTACGCTTAACGGTCTCGCCCTCCTTGACGAGACGGTCAGAACCGAAAAGCACCACACCGACCTGGCCGGCCTCGAGGTTCATGCACATGCCCTTGACGCCAGAGGAGAACCTGCGAGGGGTTAGCTCCCAGTGATGGGACAGGTCGCAAAGAGTCCAACATACTCGACAAGCTCCTCAGCCTGGACGTTGGCCATACCATGCACACGGGCGATACCATCACTGTGGTCGTCCGTAGTTAGCCTCGCAATTCCCCATTCTTGTCTCAAGTCCGTCCCATCATCCCACTAGCACCCCGCGGTGGCATTCATGTCCGAGCCATCGTGCCCATGTGTTGTCTATCCCATGCATCTTCCTCCTGTTGGAAAACGTACCCGACGGAGAGAACGCGGCCGGTCTCGGCGAGGTTGGACTCCTCCTGGACACCGCGGATTCTCTGCTCGAGAATGGACGAGACCTCGGTTGGCGAGGCCTTCGCATCGGCGTATGTGCGGGTCTGGATGGCCGAGACGACAGGTGCGGCATTTCGCTGTGGGGGACCGGTTAGCCAAGCCGAACCCCGAACGCGCCGGATGCGCTGCGAAACTCTGCAATTCCCTCCCAAGCTCCCGATGCTCGCTCAACTCCCATGCGCCGCTCGTAGGAGCTCAATTGAGCTTCCCGGACATCGGCACCGGGCGATTGAGATAGGGTCCGAGCACCGATCGATGGAGCTGAGGTCGGGTTCGGGCAGGCGGAGGTGCACTCACTGCGGCGACTCTGCTTGTGGCAGAGAGGGCGCCGACGGCGCGCGTGCTCTGTCGGAGGGCGTTCCTGAACATCTTGGGGAGGTATGTTAAGCCTCTTAGTGTCGAGGTAAAACAATTGCAAGCTGGTTGCAATTGCCGGAGGGGAGATTGAGACGAGAGGTTGATGGAAGTTTGGAGAGCCGACGTGAGGAAAATTGTCGAGAAGGGCTGGCAGGCCTTGGTTGGTGAGGGATGTGGGTCGAAAGCTCAGCAAGTGACCAATCAGCGGCCGTCGAGAATTTTGCTCACCCAAAAGCCTCCCGAGGAACCCCACACGGAGACGCTTGGAATTGAACTTCACAAGACCGAACAACAACAAATGCCTTTTGCGACTCCCCAACCTTGGAAGGCAGTGTATAAGGTTTCTTTGCTGTCAGTCGCCCGCTGTCTCTGAGGCTTCTGTCACTGTTTTCTTCCCGGGCATATGGTTCGACATCCGCTTCCGACTGCTGTTAGGTCCTTCGACTGGGCAGCTGCGGTTCCCCGGGTAATCCCGGAGAAATTGACCTGCCGCGAAGTCGTGGTTCGTCGAGTCTCAGACCTGGTTTCAACTGAATGGGCAGCTTGAAGCGATACCTCGCCTAAACTCTCGACGGCAATACTCGCCGATCTGGTGAACCACTCAGTTCTGCTAAGAGCTACGTAATAACAAGCCGGCCTCCATGCCTCCTTCCTCCCTTCTCTCCCGATCTTTCATTGCCCTTTTGGCGCATCCCGTCGTGGTCTCAGTGAGATTCTTTCCATGTGACTGATTACATCTCAATCTGCTCTATCTCAAACATGACATCCAGCATGCCGCGGATGTCGTCAACTTCCCACTCAAGGATATCGTCAAACCCAGCACCCGCAACTTGCATCGTGAGAAGTGAGCCATGAGGCTTCGTGGCGGCAGACAGCCTGGGTCTGTTAGCTGCCGCCGGCACAGGAGGTCTCAACTATTGCTTACATAATGTATCTGACGAAGGGGCTTAGTACGAGGGTGTTGAAGTGCTCAAGACACTCTGGGAGATTGTCAAAAGCCTTCCGGTCCAAAGCAGAGGCAGTCTGCTTCTCGCGGATCCATAGCAGGAATGCATCCAAGATGTCCTCTTCCTCTTCCTGCAAAAGGAACTCTTCCCCTCCGGCCGAGTTCAGCTGGTGTGCGAAGATGGTCCGCAAGATATGCCGGCTTCGTCGCGCACGATCCGCGTCTCGTGGTCTTGGTGGCTGTGCTTCGTCAGGCTCGAGGTAGAACGCTCGGTATGCGGTCAGGAGCTGCGCCAGGCGTTCACTAATCTCGTCTTCCGAGAAGCACTGGGCTTCGATGGCATATCGTGGATTATTGTTCCACCTCGTCAAACCAAAAGCTCCGTTCGCTTGACTGGTCTCTGGACTTATGAAACTCGGGCCTGGTACGAACGGTCAGGTCCAATCTATCGACATAAGACACCCAGCTTACAGTGTGGAACTTCATGGGCATGGCCGCTCTGACGGGACCAAGCCGTAGTGTGAGCTGAACTCATGGCGTCGGCGAAGCTCCCCTGACCGACTTCCAGACTGGCGACTGGATAGGCTGCTGCCTCAGCCAGATTGATGGTGAGCTGTCTCGCATGCCAAAGGCTGGGCGTTGCGTTGTCGCAAGAAAACGATCCTTCTCGACACAACCCATCCTGCGTGCCCTCATAAGCCTGATGTGCCTCGGTTTTCGCTTGTTTGGTCGGGCGAGGAGTAACCGGAGGGCTCGAGGTCCGTTTGCGATCAGGATTAAGACCTGGAGTCAAAGGGTAGACAGGTCCAAACGGATCTCGGAACCAGAACGACCATGCTGGAGCCCCAGGGGAGGGGAAGCCAAATCGATGGGTGTCCCCAAGCACGAAAGTGCAGCCAGTATCCGATGAACGGGGGGGTGCCGAGGCCGCCCGGTGCGTAGCCCTTGTTTGCGTTGCGCTCTCACTTTCCATGGTGAGCGATTCTGCTCTGCTGGATGGCAACATGGCGGGGAAGTGGCATCCAACGCCGTCAATGAAGTGGCTCGCTGCCTCAAAGTTCGAATCAGGGGGCGGAGTTGCTGGCAGAGGGTGCGAGGCTATCCGCTGTAGCTCCCGAGTTGGGGCACGAGCCGTCGGTGCCCATTGGATTGAGTCCGCTTTCTTCGCTGAGTCCTGAGGGTGGTCCAGCTCGAGACTCGTTTTGAGTTCTGACGTCTGATGCATCTGAGCTACGGGATGTGCCATACTGATGTGCTTTGGCCTTGATACTACTATACCAGACTTCACCCTTTGATTGCCGGAGCACTTTGACCTCCGCGACATGCCAGGCAGGGTTATGGTCGGGAAAGAAGACTCAAAGGCCGTCAATGGAAGCGAAAGATTGCCAGGGAGATAACGCGAGTGTTAGTGAAGAGGCGCAGATCTGACTGTCGATGCTCGCCGGGCCCTCAGCCCGTTATGTATCACTTTACACTCTGGGCATGGATGTCCACCGGGGAACCCCTTGGCCCCCGATTCCTGGCCTAGGCATTCTCCAACGCCTGCTTTACTGAGATATCTCGGGCCGCCGCACCAACACCTCCACGCCCTGGCAGGAAGCTGGGCCAATACGTGTGAAGGCTAAGCGCGCACCGCGCTTGTGACCTCCCTTAAGCGCGCAGTTCGCTACTCTGTGATGCCGATTGCTACTCTATATCCGTTGATCTCTGCGGTAGCACAGACGATCTCTTTGTGGACTGAGCCCTGGCCGATACTAACAGCTCCATGCCGTGTCGTACTCAAAAGACATTCTCCAGTCGGCCGCCGTTGGGTTGGCGGCTACAGGGCGTGACGTGATTGGGAGGATCGACCCAGTGCGCCGGAACCGAAGCTCTCAAGCAACTTTGCCGCAATTGACGCCACCGGGTCGGAACTTCGGGCTTATTATTAGACATTCAGAGTTGAAATGGAGGATATGGGCATGATCTGTGCAACAAGCCCTCTTGGATCAGGGAGGGGAACTATCGAGGCTGAACCGAAGGCTGTGGGCAAGGTTGTGACCCAACATCCAACGGACCTTCGGATTATGGAAGGCGAGATCTGGGGTCAACATCATGGCAGGGGGTTTGTGGGCTGCTTAGGACGGCCGCCCTCAAGTGGCAAAGTGCAGTTTCCAGCCTCACCCACAATATCCCCTTGGTCTTCGTTTCACATGCTGCATGCGCATGCAGGAGAATGGCATGAGGTTGGACAGGCCAACCGCTCTTCATTGTGGCACACCTCTCCGGTCCGGGTCCCGTTAAGGTATCGTCGACGGCGAATGCCATGCCCCTCGCCGAGCCGCGCCTAGCTCTCAACGGCCCTATAGTCATGAGGCTCAATTAAAGTTCTATGCTGTCTAAAGTTCCCGATATAGGCCTTGGAAATGGCCAGCTACACGTGTAATTCAGTTCATCACAATACCCCCGTCTAAAGATCAAAAGCCCTTAAAGTCAACAATTCTAATGGCTGGATCGAAGCATGCCCTTTTTACCAGCTGGTACTCCACCCCCTTGATGTCCCACGGTACGCTGAGCGGCTGTTGGTCAGCTGAGCCAACCTCTGCAACGCGCCGGCTGCCAGTCTGGCCTTCTCTCCACTGAGACTCCTGCCCAGAACTGCCATGCCGCCTTTTGACGTCCTGGTAACGCTCCATGGGGAAGACGTCTCCCTCGACCTCGGTCAGGAGCGGCACGGAGAAGTCTAGCAGCGCAAGTCAGTTAGCCGTAAGGTCGACCGGCACACGAGCAGGAAAAAGAGAGAGAAAAAGAAAGAAAAAAAGAGAAAGAAAACGCACCGCCCCTGAGATAGCTCTCAATCTTGTACTGCGCCACCGCAGCCGCCATCCTCATTCCGTTCCGGCCCCGCTTGATCACGTAGCTCTGGCCGGCGTAGCTCTCCTGGCGCGGGCCGCGGTAGTCGACGAACAGCTTGGGTCGGCCGCCGAAGAAGTCTATCTCGAACTCGGCGCCCGGGTCGTACCGCCTGACAAGACGCATGAAGTCGGCGTCGGTGACTTCGTACGCGAGGTCCTCGAACTGGCGGAGGAAGTTGACGAAGAGGTGGCAGAGGTGGTGCGTGACCATGGCTCCGAGGTGAAACTGCAGCCGGTGGAAGCGCACCGTCTCGGCCTGGTGCTCGTCGTCTCGGCGCTGGCGGCGGGCAACATCTGCCTTGAGCCTGGTCCAATAGAGCTTTTCCATCAGCTGGGGCGTGTGTGTGTGTATGTCAGTTATAATGTTCATGGAATAATAGGAATACTTAGTAATGAATATTTTAAGGAGACCACTCACCTGCCAGTTCAGGTGCAGCACCGCAGCCGCCTTGGGGTTGAATTTGGACTGCTCCAGCGTAGACAGCTCGTCGACCCAGGAATAGGGCATCTTCTTGTTCTCCTCCTCGTGGCAGAACCCGTTCCGGTCGTCGAGCTTGACAGCAGGGAACCGGTGCCGCACGCAGCGGAGAAACTCGTCCACTGCCGCGGGCACATCCACGCTTGCCGGCTCGCGGATCGGGCCCAGGGGCCTCTCTCGCCAAACACGGATTGCCTTGCCCGCCAGGCTCTCGAGAGCTACACAAGTTCAAGTCAGTAAAACTGACCAGCAACCAACCCAACCGTCTCGGATGTCAAAAGCCAGAGAAAAAAAGAAAAAAGAAAAGAAGGAAAGAAAAAGAAAAGAAAGAAAGAAAAACATGCTTACCGCTCCGCCCACGAGCACTCTCAAGCATCCGCAGCCCTAGATCCAGCACGCAGGTGACGGCGAAGGCCCTCCCGCCGCCGCGCTCCAGCGGGTAGGTGGCCCCGTCGTCGAGCACCTCGGAGATGACGACCTGGTACAGCCCTTCGGTCGGCAGCTGCCGCCACTGCTCCGACTTGACGAGGCCCATGCGCAGCATCCCCCGCTCCGACTTGGACAGCCGCCCGGCGAGCGCTTCTTTGTCGACGGGGCCGTACGAGCGATGGGCCCGCTCGACAGTCATAAAGGGCGCCATTGGGTGGTGTAGACTGTAAGTGTAGGCGGGTTTGGTTTGGATATGGGGTTCTCCGTGGATCTCGCCTTCAAAACAAGAAGCAGATCTTGACAAACAAGGGAGCTAATGCTAGCATCTAATCTCGAGTAGAACACAGGGATGGATAATGAAATGGATTTTTGGGTATGGGTTTCTTTGGCGTCTAAGCTACTAGTAGTGGATAACGAAAACGAGCCCTAGGAGCCTAGGGATCCCAGGCTGAGCATACTGCAATTAGCAGCTCCCCGCCGATGATCAGCCGTGTCCAGATCTGACGGGCTTCGGCCATCATGACAACCGGCCAGGTCTGTTGGGCAGGAGTGGTAGCCAGCCCGGGCCGGATGGGAGAGTGTACTGATAGGAGTGCTAAGTAAACGTGGGCCGGAAACAGCGACCCGGCGGCCGCGGGTGATCGGCAGCCTAGTTCTTAGAGGGCCTCGGGTTCCTGTTAGGATGACAATTCGTCAAGAAGCCTCTTTGTTGGGGCCTCGATATGATGCGGTACGGCACTTAGACCCGGGCCCGGCCCAATGTGCGGGCGGCGCAGCTTGGTGTTTCAATCGGGGGTCAAACCGTCAAACCAGTCAAAGATCATTGTGTGTTTCCTGCTACCATAATTGATAGGAAGTTGCGTTCACAGCGACGTGCTGGTGTTATCTTCGATCATTGGACAAGTCACGGACCGACATCAACCGAAGAGGCCAAGATATGCTGCTTTGATGTGAAGTCGAGGGCCTAGAGTCGAGAGAGTCTGGATCGTGGAGCGGTGCGGAAGATGGACGAATCGAAATCAGCGATTCAAGGGTTAGGGTCCAAGCCCCTTTATGCATTTGGCTACTCCAGCCGAGTCCAGCGCCATGGATGAAGAACAATACTAAAGCCGGACAAACAAACCGTTCAGGACAATATCAAGACCATTCCAGCGCTCGACGCCACTAAGAGAGCGAAAGATGAAGGCATCACATAAGTATCCGGGGGAAACCTGCTTGTCCACTATGGTTGTTCTGGGCTTTTTCCAGGCCTTTTCCAGACATTCTGCTGCCGCCCCCCTAGTCTCTAGATATCTCCTGTGACCAGTGAGCGCACTTGAGCCCGAGCACAATGACATCTCACATGCCCAAGGGCTACGCCGAGGACCGCCTGCATCGGTACCTCGCGCACTTCACCCGGGATCCGTCCAACTTCTCCAACCTCGACCACGAAGCCATCGGCTGGGCCACCGACGAAGAGCGCCGTGAGCGGCAGAAGAAGTACGGCGAGGTGGCATCCGACTACTACGACCTCGTCACTCCGCTGTACGAGCAGGGATGGTAGGTTTTCCCTCTCCCCGGGTTCCGCGTCCCCTGAACTTCACCCTGTAAAGTCAGCTAGCTTTCTGGTTCTGACGAGCAGACGGGAATGAAGGGGCCAGCAGTTCCACTACACGCCCATCGTGCAGGGCCTCACCCTCCGGGCGAGCATGACGGCCTACGAGAAGCTGTTTGCCGAGCTGGCCGGCCTGAAGAAGGGTATGCGTGTCCTGGACTTGGGGTGCGGCATCGGCGGCCCCGCGCGGACCATCGCCTCCACGGTCGGGTGCCAGATCGTGGGCATCACCAACAATGCGTGGCACGTCGAGCGCGGCACGGCCCTGACGAGGCAGGCCGGGCTCGACGGCATGGTCTCTCTGGTGCAGGGGGATTTCCTGGTATGCAAAAGTCTCTTGTGGTGGATGGGGACTGGCTGGTCGAGGAAAAAGAGGAGGAGGGAGAGAACGTGATCTGTTGACAAAAGGAGGCAAATAGAAACTGCCCTTCCCCGACGAGTCGTTCGACGCGGCCTACTCAATCGAGTCGCTGTGCTATGCGCCCGATCCCGCAGCGTGCTACAGGGAAGTCAAGCGCGTGCTCAAGCCGGGCGCGCCGTTCGCGTTCCATGACTTTGCCATGACGGAGAAGTTCGACGTGGGCATCCCCGAGCATCGCAAGGTCCGCAATTGGATCGAGTTTGGCAACGGCGTCACCAAGATGCCGTGGGTGCCTGAGATGCGCGCAGGCATAAAGAAGGCTGGTAGGTGTTGGGTTTATGGGTCGTCGTGAAGGTGAAAAAGAGTTACGGGACTTCAGGTTAGCTAACCAAAACCATTGCAAGGCTTCGAACTCGTTTCCGAGGAGGACATGGCGTTCCGCAGTGCGCCCGCGCCGTGGTACTATGGCCCGGCCGGCGACATCTGCTGGGCTTGGAGAATGCCTGGGTGGCCCGACTTCTGGAAGGTGTTCAAGATGTGGACTCCCTTCCGCGGCTTCGCGCACATGGTTTACCGTCTGATGATCCTGCTCGGAATGCGGGCCCGCGAGGTCTCGAGCCTGATGGACATGATGTGGTACTGCACCAAAGGCGTGGCCGTCGGCGGGAAGATGGGCATCTTCACTCCCATGTATCTCTTTGTCTGCCGCAAACCGGCGAAGGCGAGAGAATAAGGTGCCCATGCTGTCGACATCAAAGGGTGGATGTGGGGTTAGGGTTCTGTATACATTGTCGTTAACTGAAACTCCGAGTCGGGATCCTGTCTTGGCGCACCTTGATGTCCCCCTGCAGCTCCACAATCATCAACCGTCCCGTCTCCAGATCATAGGTAGTGCTCAAAGCCGCTCTTTTATCCGCTATCCGATTCGGTCTTGAATAAGCGGCCAATTGGACATGGTGTCGCTGTTTCCTTACAAAGGTAGCATTCCAGGAATCCAACTCATTTTGCTTGGCTCAATTGAGTCGGGATACCTTTTTGTTTGCTGCCCTTGGTGCGCCGTCTAGTGCCTCTTGTGGCACACCAGGTCACTCACTGCCCGCCGCAAACATGTCACCCTACTCGGACGATCCGTTCGTGTCGTCCCGCAGCTCCCGGAGACACAGCTTGAGCCGAGATAGGAGGAGTACGAGCGGATCGAGAATGTCGCACGAGTCGGAATCGTCCGTCTCCACCACGAGCATCGTCTTCGACCGCATCGGCGAGCGGGTCGCCGCCCAGGAAGCCGCGCTCGAGAAGGGTCGCCGTGGCGATGCTGACGATGACGACGATGACGACGAAGCTGCCCTGAAGGACGAGCCGAATAATGATGATCTCGAGACCGGCCCCTTCCTCGGCAACGGCCGGCCGGCCGAGCATGCGGGCGCTAAGGGTCCGGGAATGGACCGCGGAATGCGCAGGGTACTCCTGGTTGCGGCCGGCCTGCTGATCTCCGCCTGGGTCGTCGGTCTGTTCGTCTACGTAACGACCAAGTCGTACCAGCCCGCCTCGGAGACGGCCCACGATCCGCAAGCGACCGTATTGCGAGGCTCCGGGAAGGCGGTGACGCTGGACCAGGTGCTGGGCGGCTTTTGGCGTCCCGAGTTCCACGCTATACGATGGGTTTCCGGGCCGAACAGCGAGGATGGCCTTCTGTTGGAGAAGGACGTGCCGGGGAAGGACTACCTGGTTGTGGAAGATGTTCGCAAGCAAGATCCGGCCGCTGCCGGTGGCTCGGCTGGTCTGCAGGTGGCCGAGTCCACCGTCCTGATGGAGCAGGGAACCTTTAACTACGGGGAGAGAACATACACAGTGCAGAAGGTCGCACCGAGTAAAGACTTCAAGAGAGTATTGGTTGCGACTGACGTGGAGTCTAACTGGCGCCACTCCTCGTACGCCGCTTACTGGATCTTTGATGTCCAAACGCAAACGGCGGACCCCTTGATCCCCGGTGAGCCTGGGGCGCGCATTCAGCTTGCCCAGTGGAACCCATCGGGGGACGCCGTTGCCTTCACCCGAGACAACAATCTGTACTTGCGCAGAGTTGGGGCGGACAATCTCATCCAGATCACCCGGGATGGCGGCTCCGAGATGTTCAACGGAGTGCCTGACTGGGTCTATGAGGAAGAAGTGTTTGCTGGTGCTAGTGCGACATGGTGGTCCGAAGACGGCAATTACATTGCCTTCCTGCGGACTAACGAGACTGGCGTGCCCGAGTATCCGGTTGATTATTTCCTATCAAGACCCAGCGGCACCAAGCCCGAGCCGGGCGAAGAGGCGTATCCCGAGACTCGGATGATCAAGTATCCGAAGGCCGGAGCGCACAACCCGGTCGTTGAGCTGAAGTTCTACGATGTGACACGCGGCGATGTCTTCTCTGTGGATATCTCGGGCGGGTTCGCGGACGATGACCGACTCATCACCGAAGTCGTGTGGGCAGGCAAGCAGGTCCTGGTAAAAGAAACAAACAGGGTCAGCGATGTTATGCGCGTGGTCCTCGTGGACGTGTCGTCGCGCACCGGCAAAGCCGTCCGGACCACGGACGTCAAGGCCATCGATGGTGGTTGGTTTGAGATCACCCATCAGACCAAGTATATCCCAGCCGACCCGTCCAAAGGGCGAGACCATGACGGCTACGTCGACCTGGTAATCCATGGTGATGGCAACCACCTGGCCTACTTCACGCCACTGGACAACCCGGACCCGGTCATGCTGACCTCGGGTGACTGGGAAGTTGTCGACGCTCCGTATGCGGTGGACTTGGGCAACAATGTCGTCTACTTCCTCGGAACCAAAGAATCCTCGATCCAGCGGCATGTGTACCAGGTCAAGCTTACGGGAGAGGGCTTAACTTCGGTATCCGACACTTCTTCCGAAGGCTACTATGGGGTTTCGTTCTCGGCCGGGGCCGGCTATGCACTCTTGACCTACCACGGCCCTGGGATTCCATGGCAGAAGGTCATATCCACGCCGAGCAACCCCAACCAGTACGAGCACACCGTGGAAGAAAACCTGGAGCTTGCCGAAAGTGCCAAGAAACACGAGCTTCCTATCAAGATATACGGCACTATCAATGTCGACGGCGTGGAACTCAACTACGTCGAGAGACGGCCGCCGCACTTTGACGAGAGCAAGAAGTACCCGGTTCTCTTCCAGCAGTACAGCGGCCCGGGCTCTCAAACCGTGAACAAGAAGTTCGGCGTCGACTTCCAGTCCTACGTGGCCGCAGGGCTAGGATACGTCTGTGTCACAGTCGATGGCCGCGGCACCGGCTACATCGGGCGCAAGAACCGCGTCATTGTGCGCGGCAATCTGGGCCACTGGGAGTCGCACGATCAGATCGCGGCCGCCAAGATCTGGGCCAAGAAGAAGTACGTCGATGAGTCGAGGCTTGCCATCTGGGGCTGGAGCTTCGGGGGGTTCAACACGCTCAAGACGCTCGAGCAAGACGCCGGGCAGACGTTCCGCTACGGCATGGCCGTCGCCCCGGTCACGGACTGGCGCTTCTACGACAGCATCTACACGGAACGGTACATGCTCACTCCACAGGCCAACGGGCACGGATACGATACCAGCGCCATCAACAACGTCACGGCCCTGGCGCAGAACGTGCGGTTCCTGATCATGCACGGCCTGGCGGATGACAACGTGCACTTCCAGAACTCGCTGACGCTGCTGGATAAGTTGGACTTGGTTGGGGTGGAGAACTATGATGTCCATGTGTTCCCGGACAGCGACCACAGCATCTACTTCCACAACGGGAATCGGATTGTATACGACAGTGAGTCTTCCTCTTATTTTCTTCGTCAAGTGTGTGCAGCTGGCTAACCGTGGTGACAGAGCTCACCAACTGGCTCATCAACGCGTTCAATGGCGAGTGGCTCAGGGTAGCGAACCCGACGCCGAGTGGAAAGAAGAAGTAGTTGTCATGGTATTGACATGGAAGTCAGTGTCTGAAGCCGGCGTTTGGAGAGCATTGTATAGCATCGGGCGGCGTGTGGCGTTCAACAATACGGGTATACAAGTTTTCTTTCGCGGGGGTATATAAGGTAGCTAGCAATATAAGTAGACAGATACGCAGTAAATGGCAATTCTGTGAAACTCCATCCCCTTCAGAAACTCGCAGCAAAGCAACAACCAACTCCAACCCTCCGTGACTAAAGGAGAGAAAACCAGCAGCGCCACTCACGATCCCTTCAAGCAGCGACCAGCTGGGGGGGCGTCTCAACCTGCGGATCAATCTTCTCAACGATCGCCGCCGTTCCGTACGCACACACCTGCGCGAACCCGCCCAGCTCACCGGCATCGAACCGCAGCGCAATCACCGCATTGCCCCCGCGCGCCTGCGTCTCGGCGACGACGCGCGAGATGGCATCGTTCCGCGCGCTGTACAGCTGTATATTTCACTTCCCCGTCAGCATATACAAATAACCCCCCAAAAATAAAACAAATAAAAGAATAAGAAAAAAAAGAATAACATACCATATTCGTAAACCACCTCAGCTCCCCGCCCGCAATGCTCTTGAGCACCATGGTCAGGCCGGCCGCCCAGTTGCGCGACCGCACCGTCAGCCCGTAGACGGCGCCCAGCACGCGCACGACCCGGTAGCCGGGGATGTCGAACATGGTGGTCGTGATCACCCCGTTGGTCTCGGTGAAGCAGTGCAGGTCCGAGATGGAGGGCGGGATGTCGGCTACTACCCCTGAGCCGTGGTCCTTGTTGGCGTTGGCGTCTGAGTCGCGGGAGTCTTTTGAGCGGCGGGGAAACATTTTGGATACTAGGTTTTGGGTTGTTGGGGGTTGGAGTGTGTGTGTGTGTTGGTCGACCTAGGCTGTGCTGTGGGTGAAGAAGGATGGGATAGTCAAGGCTGCGCTGGCGAGGGGGGGGATACTATGTCTGATGATGATGATGATGATGAGCTGAGTGAGATGTGAACGGCAGATAGAGCAACTTGGTGCTTTGGTATTGATACAGCAGGAGAATATGCTGTGGTACAAGAGTGGCGTCTTTGTTCGAATGCTTTCCCTCCTACGGTGACGTCCCTTACCTTCTTCTTATATGTAGAACGAAGAGCAGCTGCTCAGGCACATGCCGAATATGCCTCACACGTTCGGATACACCGTATGGCCTAGATAGCCGCTATTACAGCCGCACTCCATTCTTGGCAGCCCCTGATGTGTTTTGCCCATTTTGAGGAGCAGCTGTCACAGCCTCGTGGTTTGGAATCAGTGCTCAAGAGTCAGCCTGGGGGCCGTATTTCGTATCGTTGAACATATCCGGGCAAGTCTCGCCGGCTGAGCCAAGTGTTGTCCCCACAGCCAAGACTCCTGGTTCTGTCGGCCAATGAGAGAAGACACGTGACTCTTGGCAGCAGATGATCGGCGGTTTGGGCAGAAATTCCACTTTCCGTCGGCAGCGCCATTTTTGTTCTGGAAATGGATGGCTCCTTCCGGAAACACCCGGCGTCAATTCCTCCGAGCGTGGACGTCAGAGGGTTAGGGCTATATATGTCTTGCCCAATTCGGAAACCGCACGGACGGATGCCGCAACCCCGGAACGGCATCCCCACGGCCACGGCGGGACGTCCACCGTCTCTCGAGTCCGACGGCGTCCCCACAAGCCAATTTGGGAATCGGAACGATGTTTCCTTTGGGAACCGATTGCGCTCTGCTAGGGGTCAGATTCCGCCATTGAGATGCTGTATTAAGGGAGGCCCTGCGGTGCGTGATGCCGCTCGCCAAATGTTGTGGCAGAACGTATCTATTCAGCCGGCGCACATCACCTCCGGCCGTGCCGCTGCCCTGGTCCTCAGCTTCGTGATCGACGATATGGGGATATATAGTACCTACCTGACTTGAAGGGATGGGATCTCTTTCCCATTCTTTCGGGAGAGTATCGCGTCTAAGCACTTAGCGTCTGCTGGATCTGGTCATTGATCTGCCTGTACGAACTTGCGGCATACAGACAGGATGCATCACGCAACGATTCTCGGCCTGCTCGCCGCAGCTGTCACAGTCTCGGCCCGCCCGCCTCACTCACACGACCACGCAGCATCGACCGGCGCCATCAAGTGCCCTATCGTCTTCGACGGGCGCGTCAAGGCCACCACCGCCCTCACCGATTTCGACAGCTACAGCACGTCTCTCTTCAACCCGGACTATGTCAAAGGCCAGAACCTGAAGTGGAGCCAGATCATAAAGTTCCCGCAGGCCGCCAGCAACGCCCGCTTCGACAACGAGAGCTACAGGCCGTTCGAGGTGACCATCAGCGACGCCAGCATCTTCCAGACCCAGCGCGGCTTCCGGCGGGCGGGCCTGCAGTTCCAGGGCGACACCAACAACGGCAGCCCGGGGACGAAGGGGGTCAAGACGATCCATTTCAGCATCAAGTGGGATGCGCAGCGGGCCCTCAACCTTAGCCACGAGTACCTGAACGTGTGGCACGAGGCGGCCGACTACAGCGCCAACCAGTTCAACTTCGAGGCCGGCGCCATCCTGGGCCAGTCGAGCCTCCCCAAGGACACCTGGAAGGTGCTGGACCGCAACAACAGGCAGATCTGGTCGACCCAGATCTTGAAGAACGACTGGCAGAACTTTGCCATTACTTTGGACTTCAACAAGAAGTATGTATTGGTGTGGGCTTTCTTTTTGATATTTGTTGTTTTTGACAGGCAGCTGACGGACTGCTGCAAGCACCCTCCAAGTGTACTACTCCAAGGGCGACGAGCCGCTCAAGAGCGTCACCAGTGCCGTTTCAAACAACAACGCGGGCGAGGGCCAGTACCAGATCGGCATACTCAAGAAGCCGACCGGTACGAGCGACGTCGTGAACTCGGGCTACCAGGAGAGCAACCTCAATGAGGGCCTGATCTATGGGAGCCTGTTTATCGAGGACAGCGCCAACGGTTGTGTTTCATTGTAGGACACTGCGCACCTGGTGACTGTACTTTGTGTGAGCGGCTGTCTCATTCATTATGGTCTGTCTGCCATTGATAGAGCGAAGCTTATGACTTTATTTTACAAAACACAGCAATTCCTCCCATATGACTAGCCCGACATGCTCAGAAGAGAGGCAATATCACATTCCCGTCCATACATAAACTCCCCACCAAGCAACCCCTCTTGTAGACATAGAAGACATGGAAGCAACCGTTCCCCATCCATCATACCATTAATCATCGCCTTTGCTCCTTTATGCCTTTTCAATCCTTGGCCTCAACCCTCAGAGCCTTGGTCGAAAAGTTCTGGTCACCCGTATAAACCTGATGCTCCAGCATCTCCTCACCGACAGTCTCGAACTCGTACGGCAGGACATGGTGGATCGACTCGTCGCGCGACTGCTTCTCGCCGTGGCCCTGCCGCACGATCCTGAGGTACGCGCCGTTCTTGTAGTACATGGAGTCGATGGGGTCGGTCCCCGGAGCCCCCTTGGGGTCGACATCCTCGCCCACGGTCCACGAGAACCAGATGTCGTTGGTCGTCGTCCACAGGTTCTCGTCGTTCATCTCCGTGCCGTTGGCACTCTTGCACCACGTCTGCGGGATGCTACTGAGCTTGTGGTCCGACGTCGTGCCCGTGCCGAAGCAGTGGGCGAAGGCTGAGCCCGGGTAGGGGCTGATGTAGAAATTGACGCTGGGGGGTGTAGTAATACCTTGTTAGTTTAGTCGTGAAGGAGATGGGGGAGGGGAGGTGCAAGACTTACTAGGTCCGGTCGCTCAGGACTATGGCTTGTGCCTCGAACTTGGCTATCGTGAAGTCTGGGATGCTACCGATGACCTCGGGCCACGGGTTGGGCGGAGGGAGGTCGGTGTTCGTTGGGGTTGGGATGGCACCGACCCCAGCCGAAGTGGCAAGGCCTGCGATGGCTAGAATCCGGTGGAGGAACATTTTGTTGGACGGTTTATGTTTCTGGCGCTGGCGGCTACCTTAAGGGATTGAGAGTCGTTATTAGGAGTCAACAAAAGGCGGGACTGCTGCGGTGCCTTGATCGACCAAAGGAAGGATGAGTGGGAAGGCGTCGATTTTCCAGGAGAACGAACACACTTGAGTCAGGAGGGCAAAGTTTAGTTGATAATGCCATTCAAGTGTCTCGGTCAGACCATCTCAGGATGGTTGGAGCTGTCGTCGAATATGACGTCTCGCACGAGTCGCACCTTCCATTAAGAGGTCGACATCAAGTCCCAGTGGCTCTTTCCAAAACTGAATTCACCTGGAAGGTGGCTGCGCCGGGTTGCGAGGGAAAGAACGGACGCGGCCTGATCTATTATTCCATTTGCTGTGCGAAGAACTGGTGCCTCCTTGACACACCCACATCGCCGGCATCCCGCATGCCGGGCGATTGATTGCGCTGCGTTACATCCATGATCCATCTGCCTCGCGAATTGTGCTCAAACGCCTGAGATATACATGGCTCTCGGCCGCAATCTTCGCCGGGGACAAGTGTGGACGGCCGACTGGCTGCGAGTGAGGCTCGGACAACCCTTGACTGCTTTCATTACTGAATCCGGTCTCGCACAAGATGGGCCTCCATGATACTGACACACTCAACCCGGCGGGCCACGATGGCTGCTGTTGTGCATAACCTCCGAGCACGGGGGTCCTGCCCGTCGCCCTCAGGTCTTACGCTCATTAGCTTTCTTGACGGATAGCTAGCGCTACCTAAGGGAACAGACAGACGGCAGCAATGTTGGCGATGAGCCAGGCGAGGCCCTGGATGATCACTCGGCCATGGGCTGAATGATCTACGTAGTTGTCCTATTGCACTGGCACTTTTAGAGGCTGCTTGTCGGGTTAGACTTAGATTGGGTTAGATTGGGCCTGCAAGTTAGTATGAGGTGTTTGTCTTGGGTCGATATAGCGATCCGTACCCGATCCCTTGGGCTTGGGCAGAAATCGGTTCGCACAGATGCCGGCTTCCTTGTCCTGCAGCTCAACATGCAGCATATTTGTCTTTGAAAACCCTCTCCGCCTTTTGATCTGGATCTCTGACGCGCTGACTGGCCAGAGCTGCCGTAGCTCTGCACGCACGAAGCAGCTTACCGCCCCACCGCCAACTCAGCAGAATTCGCAGCTAGAAAACCCGCCTGCCCGCTTTTCGACCTATACCTTTTCCCTTTCACTTTTCCTTCCAACTTCCCGTACTTGGTCGTGGGCGTCTCGGAGCCGGGGGAATCCGGATCTGGAGCACTGTGAACTGGAGTTTGATCGGAACCCGCCTGGACTGCCTTGGCAGTAACGGGACGGGACCAGGGGCCAGACACGGACCACAACGCTGGGGTCCGCGCCGGGTCTCGTTTCGGAGATCTCATCTCGGGCCCACTCCTCTCAAACGGTATCACCTTCTCGTCTCGAAGCCACAGTGCCTCTCTCGAAAACGACTCGGAACAACGGGAGGCTCGTAATCGACAGCTCACAGACCACGCGTCTTTCAGGCAGCAGGTATGCAAACCAAGCGTCAATTGAGACGTGGCCCTCCTTCATGAGCAGTCGTAATCCAGTGGATGCGTTTGTCTAAAGGTGGTGCCGCTAATTACCCCTGGCATTTTAGTGGCTCGCAGGAGATTTATTTTTATTCGCCCGAGAACCGACATTCGCGCTCTTGACAGATCTTACGACTCGACCAACACTTCGACACGTCTGACCTGCTCGCTTCGTCGAAGCGCACCCTTACTCGGCGTACAAGCCATTTCAGCGCCGTGTTCGCTCCATCGGCATTCTTTGCGCTCATTCAATCGGCCAAGTAGCTCTCAACTCCCCGTTCGAATCCGAAAATGGCCCAAATACGGATCCCGATAGACGTTTTGACGTCGCGCCTGAACCTTGGGGACCGCTTTGCCAGCATGCGCTCAGGGTCGCTCTCCAGCCGCTTCTCCAACCTGCGGCCGATCTCCGAGTTCCTGGACGTCAAGCGCGTGAATAAACCGGCCAACTTTGCCGAGATGCAGTCGCGCGTCAACTACAACCTCGGCCACTACTCGAGCAACTACGCCGTCATCTTCACCATGCTTTGCATCTACGGCCTGCTCACCAACTTCTGGCTGCTCTTCGACATCATATTCGTTGTCGTGGGCATGTACCTGATTGGCAAGCTCGACGGTCACGACTTTGAGTTCGGCCAGCAGCGCTTCTCGACGGTGCAGCTGTACACGGGGCTTTACGTGATTGCGATCCCGATCGCATTGATCTCGGGCGTCTTCGGCACCATGATGTGGCTGATCGGCGCCAGCGGCGTGGTCATTCTCGGCCACGCTGCGCTTTTGGACAAGCCCATCGACGAGGCTTTTTCCGGGGAGGCGGTCTAGGTGGTCGGCCGCGAGCTCCCAAATCTGCGCCCCAATGGGGAAGACCATCGAGGCGCCACGGGAGGACACAGGAGGCGCGCAACGGGGAAGAGGGGAGTTGGTGGGATTTCGGCCAGCGAGTTGTGGAGGAGCTGGATAGCGGGGATGACTTCGATACACAGGGCGTTGAGGGGGCTTCGAGTGCGTTGGCCCATCGGATTGCTAGTGATCCACTTCGATTCACGGGGATAGACTTGGGCGACAGGGATGGTAATACTCGATCACGGAGGGCATTTGCATTGGAAAATGGGGATGACAGCGACGAAACTTCGGATGACTCGGAACAAGACTCGGACGGCGAGGACGGCGTTCGGCTGCCTTTGCTGGATCCGGAGGAGGAAGCACTCGCCGACGCCGCAATGGCACGGATACAGCGGGCCCAGGCAAAGGGCAAGAGGGACGTCAAGCTGAGCAAGGAAGAACTGGCCGCCTACCAGCGACGGCTACAGCGCATGGAGGAGGAGAAGCACAGGCAACGGCGGCGGCAGCGAGTTGCCATCCCGCTTACGCACCTCGACTCCGGACCTCGGCAGAAAAGAATAACACAAGGGGACGACAGCCCTTCACGGGAAGCCTCACCGGAGTCGGAAGAAGACCGGCCGCTTGGTTACCCGCCAATGGGTTACTTTCCGCCTCCATCGCGTGCCCGCCAGGCATCTGGGACCAATTCATCGAGATCGGCCAGTCGAACAGCGACGGAGAGGGAACAGAGTTCTTCGCCCTTTACGTATTCTTACGTTCAACGGCCGGACCTGCCGGCCGCTGTTCGCCAAACTTCTGATCCAACCACCGGCAGACCCCTTTCCCAATCTCTCACCGGCGCGCCGCTCTCGGCCGCAGCGTCCGACCCATTTCAATACATGACGGCGGGAGCGCGTACCTCGTACCATGCTGGAGGCGGCTCCTTGCGGAACAGCATGGTCGAGGTTGACGACATCTATGCCAGCTATGGCTCAGGACATCCCCCTAGTGGCGCCAGCAGACGACTTAGCGGCGAGGCCTTCAATGAGGACAACGACGGTCTGCAAGCGGCGGCAGTCGTCAGCTCGGGGAGCGGCAGCCGGTCTCGGCCACGGGACAGTGTTGACAGCCAGCGGGAATCACGGCGCACAACCCGAGATCGAACGCCGCCTCCCTCAAAGAAGTCCTCGGCCGAAAAGTCGCTTGTCAACGTGAAACGCAAGTCGGTGGCGGGCAGTACCAAGTCGGGGCGGAAGAAGACGAAATAGTTTGATATCTCGTGTTTTCCGAGGTCAAATGCCGAGTGATCGAGGGTACCAGGCGTAATAACGGAAGCGAAAAGGTGACTGGTGACATGGAATTGCAGTGAATAGACTACTAGTATTGCCTCTCAATCACGATTTGGTTTTCCCCTCTGAGTTCACAAATGGCATGCTGCCGAGCCGTTGGAGTAACAAGCAAGGAGATTGTGGTATAACTCAGCTTATCCTAGAACGCCTACCTACTGCAAGCAGCATATCCTCCCAGAGTTCTTTTTCTTGTTTCATGTCATACCTTCATCACAAATCAATCATCATCCCATCATTTCCCAACATTTAAGAAAAGAAATTAGCAATCCCCTTCTTCAACCCATCCCCCCACCCTCCTCCTCCTCCTCCGAGACCGTAATCCCCCCGCTCGGACATAGTCCGCCTCGCCTCCCAGGCCATGCCGCTGCCCTCCCTGCCGCGCTGCACCATGCTGGTAGTAGTCCTCGTCACCCTAGCTCCTCCTCCTCCCCCACCAGACACCATGCGCACGGCCTCACCCACCACGCCCAGCGAGTCGCCCGCGCCGGCCCGCGCCGCCAGCCCCAGCATGCGCTCCAGGAAGGGCGGCAGGCGCAGGCCGAAGCGGGCGAGCAGCGCCGTCAGGGCGCCGCCTGTGAGTAAGGGCATGAGTACCAGCATGAAGACTTTCATCGGGTCTGTTGTATAATGTAAAACGTTTCTTTGTTAGTTCTGCAAAAAAAAAAAAAATAATAAGAGGGGAGCCGGGGAAGGATGGGGAATGTGTGAAGGGTGTGCGTACGGCGCTTGGCGTAGTAGACCAGATCCCGCAGCAGGCGCTTGAGTTTCTTGAACATGCGGCTGACGAAGCCCGGGCGCGGGGAGCGGCGGTAGTAGGAGGGGCCCGATCCGGAGGGTCTGCCGCCTGTAAAAGAGGGTGTGGTTGCTGTTAGCTAACCTGGTCCTTCATGTAGAGAATTTGTTGAAGAGGGTGGATTGAGAGAGAGAGAGAGAGAGAGAGGGGGAGGGGGGGGGGGGGAGTGAAGCATACCGAACCCGCTAAAGAAAGAACTTCGTGAAGGGTCGGGCAGGCTGAAGAAGGAGCGGGTGCCGTCGTCGTCCTTGTCCTTGCTGCGCCGGCGGTGCTCGCGGGGGTGGTCGCTTCGGCCATAGTCGAGACCATTGTCGTCGTCGTCGCCACCGCCGAAGATGGAGGCTGCGACGCCGCTTATGCCGCCGCCCACGGTGGAGCGAGAGGATCGGTGCCGGGACTGCGAGCGAGAGCGGGACTTGCTCCGGTCTTTGCGCGAGTGCGAGTGATGGTGGCCGCTGCTCTTGCGGTGGGACTTGGAGCCCGAGGCCCGCTTGGAGGTCGAGGTGCGCGCCGAAATGATGGACGCCGCATCGTCGAGGAGACCCATGGTTGTGTCGTTCGGGATAATCGTCTATTATGAACAGCGTCTCAGGAGGTTCTTGTAGAGGAGGGGGCCGTCGCGGGGCACTGTGATCTTCTTGGAGCTGCTATCGTTGGCATGCGCGCACGCGCAGAGCGCAGCTTGATCGTGGAGCCAATTGATAGCCCCTCAACACTCAAGGGCCACGATACTCCGTACAGGCCAACGTGGAAGGCTGGACTGGACCAACATTTCCTGCGAGAAGCGGCGGGCTGGGCCAGGAGCTCACCTGCGGCAGCTCGCACCCCTGGCACACCGCCCCACGAAAATCGTGAGGCTGGGATGAGAAACTGTCCCGCAGCTGAACCCCTGGCAAGTCAGGGGTTACGGGGCATTTAAGAGGTCTTGGCGGAAATGCGGGATACAGTAGATCACCCTAACCCTGGCCAACTTAATCACCAGGGAACGACGAGAATCCCAAGACTTTATACCATGTCCTATTTATATCATATCTGGTTACCCGAAGAAGCGCTACCCAGTAACACGGAGTCTTTTGTTTTCACCTACGCTGTTATAGAACCATCCCTCTTCAACCCCCCCCGGCATCAACCCTCTCCCTCCGCCTCCTTAACTCAGCATAATCCGGCATATACCGACTCAACACCGTAAACCCCAGCGCAAGGGCAGTCATCACCACCCAGATGGCATGACCGCCCAGCCACTGCGTGCGGGCACCCAGCGCAAACAGAGTCGTGAACAGCGCGGGCGAGAACGAGCGCACCCCGCTGGAGATGGACAGCGCGAGGGCGTTCAGCGTGCCCAGGGTGGCCGGGCTGGGCGAGACGTCGTTCAGCGCCAGCTGGATCGCCGTGAACGACATGCTCACGCCGCAGCCCAGGGCCAGCAGGACGGGCGCGACGACCCAGAAGGTCGTGACGGTCGCGGGTGTGTCGAGCCGCAGGAGCGCGTTGAAGAGCGGGTAGCCGGCGAAGAAGAAGGGGTATGCGATCGCGCAGGCCCGGAGCACGCCGTTGGTGCCGATGCGGTGGTGCAGCGGTGGAAAAACCAGCAGGATCCAGATGGACTGGGAGAGGCCGGACAAGCCCATCATAAGCGCCATCGCTAGCGAGCTGAAGCCCAGGCCGCCGAGGTAGACTTTGGTGGCCCAGAAGACGGGCACGAGGGCGGTGTAGGAGTAGGCGAGCAGCATGATGTACCCATACGTGTAGAGCACCACGCGCACCCCGGGGGATTTGGTCAGCTCGTGGGTGGATAATTCTTTGGGTTTGGCTGCGGCGGATTCTTCGTTGCTGCCGCCGCCACCGCCGGGCCGCTTGACGAGGGTCTCTTCGACAAACAACACAGTGACGACGAGGGCGGATAGGCCCATGGCGCCTACGACTATGCTCGGGAGAGCGTAGGGGTAGTCGAGGAAGAAGCGGACGTTCCCAAACACGCCGGGGTACAGCCGCGCAGGGTCGGCGAGCGCACCGCCCAGGAGCGGTCCGGCGAAGATGCCCATATTGCCGGTGAAGGCGAACCAGCTAAAGGCGCGGGCCTGGGTCTTGGCGGTGCTGTGCTCCGAGATCATGGTGCGGATGGTGACGATGGTGCCGGCAAAGACGCCGGCGAGGCAGCGGAAGAGGATCATCTGCCAGATGGTCTTGGCCATGCCGAAGAGCGCCGTGGCCAAGGACACGCCGGCCAGCGACACGACGAGCACGGGCTTGCGGCCGAAGCGGTCGGCGGCTCGGCCCCAGAGGACCATGACGACCATCTGGGTGAGCGAGAACAGCGACTCGATCAGGCCGCTGTAGAAGCCCATGTCGGTGTCGGCGAGCTTGCCATTCTCCTGGACCATCTGGTTGATGTACGGGATGATGGAGAAGAAGGCGACCGGCTCGACCCAGCGCGCGTAGCAGAGCACGGCGATCTGGAACAAGGGCAATGGCTTGTCATCGACGCCATGGGCATCATGATCATTATCCCAACGGATGCCATTGCCGTCTTGCTGTTGGTCGTCAGCGCCGGCATCTTGCGCAACGGCAACTAGCAGCGGTGTCTGCTCCGTGGCGTTTTTATTGCCGTCGTCGTCGTCGCCCGGGGACGTCATCTTGCCAAGAGCGAGCAGTATCGATGCAAGCGACTCTCGACACCGCTGCTACGACGGTTCAAGAAGTTCGCTCAGTAGTCACCGTGTAACCTCCATGCTTACTGTACCGGTACCGTTCATCATGCCGACGGAAAGAACAGCCAGTCAGTCGGTGATTGGCCAATGGCGCCAAGAAGTGGGACCCCACTCGGGATCGGAAATCCCCACATGTGAATTCGTGATCGTGGGACAGCAAGCGGGTTAGGGTTTTACTCTGTTTTGTTCCTGTGTTTTCAACCTCGGAATTCTAGAGCATTACCATTTTCACGACCAATTGTGCAAGCAAAAGTTTTGGCAACTGTCAGTGTAGGACCAGAAACTGAAGCTTGGTTGGCAGGGCGGTTGGCAGCTTACACCCTCAGTTCCTCAGCTGCCGCATCCGGAAGGCAGCACCGACGATGAGTTCCTTGGATGGTCAGCCACGCACTGCGACTTAGCAGGTGTCGCTGCTGTCACTTTACTGTGTATGCTCCGGGCTGTCTTATTAATAAGAGCTTACCTACTTATTAGGAATGTGGCAGCAACGTCATAGCACAGCCAACTACCGTGCTCTAGTATTGCCAGATGACCACCCCGGTCGTGGCCAAGCAACCGTATTCTCTGCTGAACCAACGGACCGTTAGATTGACACGTCGCGTAGGATACCGCCCGCAGGGAGCATGTAGTAGCACTGCATATTTGTTGCGCGGCCAGCTAAGGAAGGACCTTCTGGAACATGCGTGTTATCTCTGTTGATGTTAACGTTGCACCGGTCACATGAGTGGCCATCCATGCTCGTTCGAGACAAGTGATATATTCAAATGGGCACGGAAAAGGGATGAAGAAAAGGAGAAAAGGAGGGAAATTTGTAAAGGAAGAGGAAGGAAAGTAAGGCAAGGCCTCGTATTACTTAATGCCCGACAGAGCTCCAACCAGAGGACCAGCTGGACTGCGAACTTGTAAAGTACCTTATTGTTACTGTATTCTCTCGCTGCCGGTGCCGTGCACCACGAAACGAGTGAGGGTATCGTATCATCTACCGTAGATATTAGTTACCTAAGGGACTTCTTTTTTCAGCTTAGAACGCCGTCCCCCAAGCTCTTCTCAATGCCCGTAACAGAAGCGACAGGCCTTCTAGTAATCTTACCCATGTGTTGCCGTATTAGAAGAGAAACCATAAACAAGCCAGAAGTGACTGTGTTCTGTCTACATCGTGTCATGACAACTGGAAGCAATAACAGCAACGCTTGAGATGAGGGGTAAATCCGTGCCTCAACCCCGTTCAGACCTTCACTGATTCCCCCGGTCCAACACCGCGTGCATACCTCCACAGCAGACTCGCCCCTTTCACCTTCCAGGTCGGCAAGCCGACTGCCCTCGCCTTCCCCCCCTTACCCGGCCCACTACTATTCCCCTTCCCTTCCGTCGGAGTAGCGCATCTCTTACTGTGCACCGCCCTACCCCCATGCTGCTGCTGCTGCTGCTGACCCTCCGCTTCCACACCCTGGTTCAAGTGGCCCGCACAAGCAGCGAGCATGCTGCGCACCCACCGCCTCCGAAACCGCCGCCAGTCGTCGTTCGTAGGCCATGGATCGCACCACTCGGCGTCCTCCTCTTCGTCCTCGTCCGTGTCGAGAAGGACACAGTCCTCCCACCGCTTGGCAGTAGTACCACCACCAGCAACACCACCGCAGTATAACCCGGAACCCGAGCCCGAACCCAAAGAAGCAGCAGCAGCAGGAGAGACGCAGCTGTATGCACCGCGGTAGTAATTGTCGTCGTCGTCATAATCCTCCTTGATATCCAGCGGGTAGTACAGCAGCTCGTTGGTGTGGGGCCTGCGCGGCGGGGAGTTGATGTTGGACTCGATGTCGAACTTGAAGCGGTAGGCTTGGTGGACTTGCTGCGGTCTTGGTGCGGCCGGGGCAGGCATAGCAGAAGGGAGAGACGGTAGCGTGGCGTGTGGCGGGGGAAGGGCTGCTGCTGTTGTCTGGAAGGGCAGAGATGCGTTGAATGTGAGCGGAGACGGGGAAGCGGTGGTCTTGTCGACGGTGGTGGTGGTGGCTCGGGACGATGGGATGGGCGTACTAGTAGTAGCAGTTGCCTTGCCCGAATAGGGAGACGATAAAAGAGTATTGGTGGAGGGTGCACTGCTGCTGCTAGCGAGTTGTGGAGGGTAAACAGTACTTGCCCCGAGCCCGGCGAGCACGGACGGAGCACCCATCAGGGACGGGCTGTAGTTCGCCATAGGCGTCAAGGTGCCCGGAAAGCGGAAATCAAACTCGAACTGGAACTCCTGGTGCACCACGAAGATGAGCGTCTTGAGACGCGGGAACTTGGCCAGGCTCGCCAGCAGCTTGCCCATGTTCTGCTTGGACACCTTCCGGCCCAGCACCGGGTGGAAGATGCCCGGATAGACGCCGTACGAAGTGCCCAGAGCAAGCCGCGTTGCCTTGTCGCGCACCAGCGGGATCTGGCTCATGAAATGCAGCGTTCGGTGCAGCCGCTTGACAAGGAGGTACGGCTCGAGAAGCAGGATGTCCCGCGACATGTCGACGTACTTGGTCGTCCTGCCCAGCGTCAGGGGCTTGTAGTGATGCAGGACGAGGTAGCGGCTCTCTCGGCACACCGCTGCGAGAGCCGGAGGGGGTTCCGGGTGCACATTCGCAAACATCAGGCCCTCCTGCGCCGGGGTTTTCTGTTTGGCGTTGGGCGCATCCAGAACTTCGTAGACCCGGGCTTCCGGCAATGCGTACTCCCAGATCATGTTCCGGATCTCAGCCGGGAGCCGCTGGAATTTGCGGAATTGGCGTGCGGTCTGCACGGGGCAGAATCGGGGAAGGAGTTGCTCATGGTGCATCGTTTTGCTTGTCTGTCAAACACCAGCGACCGTCCTATACAATCGTCTTCTTTCAAATCGGCGGGATATAATGTCGACAGCCGCCCGTGTAGCCAAGGAATCCCCGTCTTCCCGTGATATCCCGCCTTTAGACAATATACCCGGCACGGCCACTCGGGAATCAGTGGCCACCTCAAAGTCTCTTCGCACCGTGAATCCTGAGCCGCTTTCTGATGACAAGCGGCCGAAAAGATGGTTTGCTGGAGTTGGATCTATCGCAAAGCGACTGGAGTATAGCCCGCTGATTATGGCTCTCGGCTGAAGATCGAGGCGTGAATACAGATAATCTCAGCGTGCGCTTATGGTCCAGTGCAGTTAACTAGAGCAGGCTGCAGCAGGAGGCGGCTTATGAGGAGCTGACAAGAGTTGATGGTGTGTAGCAAACCACGAATATGTGAAGCTGAGCTGATCAAAGTTCCAGGAAAGCGGCGTGGGAGATATACTACGGCCAGCAATTACAGGACGTAATATTAGGTCATGTGCGCTTCTGGGTCAAGCAAGGCCCGGAGAGGAACTGAAAGCTGGAAATAAAGCCCGGGTGTGAGGGAGGTCGGGCGAAGATGAAGAAGAAGAAGAAGACTATGGGCTTTCTGTTGCTCCAGCTGCTTGTCACTTGACAAAGCAAGCTGCTCGGGCCTAGGAGAGCCTGGGCGAAGTTGGGATCGAAGCGAGATACATCTCGAAACCGGAGACGGGGGGGTCGAAGCCCGATAACACCACGAGCTGCTACCATGCGAGCTGCTTGACCTGGAAGGCGAACCGAAGACACCCGCAGGGCAGGAGCTGAGTTGGAGAAAGTGCCAGGGCTTCCGCAAGCAGCAATCTCACACGGGACTGGTCGGCACAGCACGGTCAGAGCCGAGCATAGGAGGCATCGGCCCATATGACTCTACCGGCCGTTGGACAATGGCAGGCTTGGTCATGTTCATGTCATTTCGCCTGGATCAGCAGGAGCCTGACGAGGCAGCGCCATTGGAAGACGGCTGGCAGCGCCGAGCGTCCAACGGCTCCGTGGAGCGCCCGCCAACTGGGGGAGCGGGATGGCGAGGAAGCTTGGGGGTCCTTCGAGCGCTAGATGTCGAATAGGCAGGCCGAAATGGCTGGGATGTTAGTGAGGTCAGAGGAAGGGACTCTGCAGAGCGAGGGATGATACAGTATACAGTATTGTACGGTATGCTGGCCGTCGGGAACCTTCTGGCGAGCTATTCTTAGCATATAACGTTACTGTGTACGGGCCACGTTTTATTCCTGCAGCGTTCCAATCATTAGCTACTCACACCATACACTACCTTACCTTGGCTTGCCGCTCCGGGACCCACGGTAGCAAGAGAGTTGCACCCTCGCTGTGCGCCGGCTTTCGGGATCGCAGAGGTAGCGTAGCATGGGCGCCGTCGAAGTGGGAGGCGGTGGTCGATAGGCGAGGCGAGTGGATGGGACGGTTGAGAGGCGGGTGGACGTCCAGACGGTTCAGTGGTTCCGCATGAAAGCCAAGGAACAAGGACAGGCAAGTCTCCGAGACGTCAGGAAAAGGTGTGGATGCACATCGGACAGAAAGAATATTTGGGATTTGGTGTGTCAGCCGGACCGATACCTAATGGACCATAGCTGATAGTATGCAGAGGCAAAACAATGCTCGTGTGAAGTTGGCCATCAGGTAGCATACACACAACAATAAGCGAGGCATAAACGCGGGGAGACAATACGTGACAGAGTACTGCGGTACACCATCGATACGACCTCGGGCACGGATATAAAAACGCGAGGTTGCATGAGTCCGAGCGATAGGGACTTTGAGAAGCGGATGCGGGGAAAGGACCCTCTCAAAGTACCCTTGAAGCAGGACAGAAACTCGAAACAAAACATGTCGTTTGGCGAGCCGAAGTCGTTGAACTGCTCTTCCCGCAGCCGAGTAATGCGGCGATGTGGAGCTCGGGTACCTTAGCGAGGGAAGGAACAGGCGACTTCTCGGCGGAGACTGCTCCCGTTGCATGTGCTGTTGTGCGCCGGGCTTTTGCACCGAAAGGAAGACCTCGTCTAAGCATGTTGTCGCTTAGCGAGGGTTGCGTGACATATCCATATTGGAGCAGCTCCGTCATTAATCAATGCGATGAGCGCCGTTGGCCTCGTTTGGGTCGAAAGCGGTGTAGGAACGAGCCCGCCCAGCGAAATGCAAAAGGCCCGCGTCGATGAGGACATTCAAGCTTCAAAGGCGTGGTGGGGAACTAGGCGGTAGGCAGGTGTGGGGCACTTAACTCCGGGCTGCGGCGCTGCAGTTGTTCCGCAGGCCAAGTACTGCTGGCTGACTAAGCAGATGGATCCCAGAAAAAAATTGAATATCAATCGCAGATGCGAGTTTCAATTTTACTTCTTTTCTCTTTTTCTTTTCTCGTGCGGCAGCCCGACGAGACACATCCCCGTGTTGCTCGAATATGATACTACCTATGGTACTCGTAGCGTCAAGTCGCGGCTTAGAGTGATCATAATTGCAGGCCGGATCCCCCATGAAGTCCACCGAGATGAAACTCTGCAGAGCTCGGTGGTGTGGGGGTTTCGGACAATCCATCTTTCAAATGCTGAAGTGCAACGGCGCTGCTCATCTCCTGATGAGCCTCCTGGTCGATTTGCCATCGCTCTCGGAGATCGTCTCTTGTAGGCGGAAGCGAGGTCGCCGGGAAGGCGGCTATTTGCGCGGGTTTTACATGGCATAATCTTCTCAGATGCTTATGCAGTTCCCACACCAGGGAATTGGCCACTGTGTTGTTTCACGCCGCGGATCCCGTGATCGTTTCCGACTAATCCCATTTCCCGGTAGGAGCTGGCGTCGTTGATATAGCCCGCTCCTGAGAGGGAGGGTGCTTCATTTACCCGCGTGAATTCCAGCCATGCGTTATCTGAGAGATGGGAGCGCCATCAGCTTTCTATCTCTTACATCTATAATTGGCAACAACTAGCTAGCAGCCACCCTGTGTCACGCATCCGAATGATATTCATCTGAAAGCTACCTATATCCGACTCGATGCATTCGGAGCCATCTGTCCATCATCCAGGCTCCTTCCTCACGAGTGGTCTGGTTTGATCGACTCGAGAGCCCGCGATCCCTACTCGCCAGGCTCGTCGCCAATCTTCTCCAGCTTCCCCATTTCCCGCTTCTCCCCAGCATCTCCGACCAACCTCAACCGATCCAACCTCGTCTTTTCGCCCTCCCCATCTCCATCCACGACGAACACCACCAAGCTGGTGATATTCTGGAACTTAACGAACCGTAGAGGAATGTTGGCAGTGCCTTCAGCATTCCAGTCCTTCTCGGAGAGCTGGATCTCCTGCGTCGCACTCAGATCCTCCGCCTCATCGAACCCAAGGTTGTGTGGCTTGTTAGTGAAGAGCTTGATGGTGCGCGGTCTCATGGGGACGTCTTCATCATCGTCGTCGTCGGCACTGGGAGGTAGGGACGTAATCTAAAACGCAGAAAGGTTAGCACGATGGTGCCCGTGGGTCAAGTTCAGTTTGCAACACGTAACTCACCTGAAGAGTGTGCAGCTTCAGCATAGACTGGAAGGGCATAAAGAGCAGCAGTTGTTCGTCCGTGTCGCTCTCGACCCAGTCCTTGGCGGTGCCTTTCCCTCCTGACAGCGCGCTGGGCTTTGCGGCGTCAAACAGCACCCGCACGTTCCCGGCCTCTGGGTCATAGTTCAAGAGCTCGCACCGCTGCAGTTCGATTTGGTCCGTGATGTCGGTGTGGTTACGGGGCAGCTCGGCACCTCTCCAATAGCCGCTGCTGCTAGCGCTACCATTGCCGCTTGCTTCCGCGCCGCTGGTGCCCAAGCTCTGAATTTCGTCGCTGAGCTTCTTGACTACTGCCTGGAGTTTCGTGGGATCAGCGCCTTGGACTCTCTCGGCGACCTTGCCGTTGCGGAAGATAATGAATGTCGGCTGCGAGGTAATCCTGTAAGCCTGGGCGACATCTTTCTGCTCATTGGTGTCGACCGAAACGAAGGTAACACGGTTCGGGCGTGAGAGAGCTGTCGAGAGCTGCTCAAATACCGGAGCCACTTGCTGGCTAGGTTGGGATGTCGTTGAATAGACTACAAATGCCCGTTTGTATTAGCGGAACTGCTGCGACGAGCGAGGACGCCTTTGAAGGGATGGATCGAGCATAATGCAAGGCCACCCCAACAAGCTCAATGCATGCCACCATACCATGGAGGCGGGGTAGACACGGCAGCCACAAGTGACAATGACGCGCGGCAAGACTTACAGTTTGCCACTACAAGCCTAGAGGATTGCAGCACCTCGGAGAGCTGTACCGGTGACGATATCTTGACCGTTTTAGACATGTTGGCGGCGGTGTTCGTGCAGTGTCCCAACGAATAATTAGATGGCAATGGATGACAATGGAGACCTGGAGAGCTTGCCCCGCGGATCGCGAACCCTGGCTGTTCAGGCACCACAGACGGGAGCTTCAGCTAATCTTATCTCGGCTAGCGGCAAAACCTTAAGGCCGAGATCCCTGTCTGCCGCCTTCCGTAGGTCACATCTGGGCTTTCCGAACTCCAAGCATGCGCAACGACCCTGACTCATCGCAAACCCATTCCTTGGGGCTTTTGGTTCGCCTAGCAAAGCATATACGCAGTGGCCGCAACACCTCGCATCTATATCACGATATAAGTGAGTAGCTGGCGAAGTCCCCGTCGTTAATGCTGGCTTGTATGCCGGCTCCTGCACGCTGCCCGGTTTCTACCTCCTACACTACTAGTAGTTTGATACATTACATTCTAGTCGTCCCAAAATAACCCAACGATTGCTATGTTTTGCTGAGAACACAAAGTTCCGCTGAGAGTGTAGCCGAGACAAAAACGCAAGAAAGCACCGCTACTATGCTCTTGATAAGACTTCGTGAAAGCGCAGCCTGGAGTTGGACCAACCGCATGTGCAGCCTCTTCCCCAGGATCCATCTGTTGTCCTCTACTGTAATCGCTGAGACGGATGTGGACGACGATGTCGGTCCACTAAGCATGAGATCTGATCGCCCCTTAGGCCATGCCAAAAAAAATTCTCGGCGTTGCGGAGAGCACCGAGATTCGAGAGTCTGGTGTCGATTTCCGAGGCAAGCCTTCAGGCGTCCTGAGGTAGGATGGGCAGCTTAGACTCTGAGAGCAACTCGAATAAATGTCACTTTTTTTTTTCTATCCTGCCTGGTGTTGGCAATCTCCTCTTTGCTGCTGCGCGAGCGGTATGCTTGCAAGTCCAAACGTCCGACACCGGTGGCTGCTCGCTGTGGTCGCGAGAAATAAGCACGCAAATGGAGGCATAGTCCTTGCTAGGTTCCCGAGGTTGCTGTGGTAGGAAACAAGATGGTCGACGATGGGGATACCATAGATTTAGGCTTCCATCTCTGTCCGTTCCGAGGAAGATCGGAGCAGCTTGATCAGCCACGGGCATCCTCCGTGTGCACGTTCATCCGCTCAACATCGTCATCCCCGCCAACCGCAGACGACCCTCCTTCACCAAGGTTGTCAGGTAAAGGTTGCCACAAGCTCGTCAAGTGGCCGACCACATCGGGCTTGGACCGGGTGTGCCAGCCAGCCTCGGTATCCAGCATCCTGTTGCATGCTCTGATGACCTGGTACTTGACGGCTAGCCAGTGCTCAAGGTCGGCGTCGGGGGCAGCGACGATCTGGTTCTTGGGCATGTCGGATAAAAGCAGGGTATCCGGCGTCGCTGCTAAGGCCTTGGTTCGTACTGGACCCTTCGGGACGAAAATGTGTATTGTTGTCAGAGAACTGAACAGAGACCAGATGCGGATCAATGGCAGGAACCGTGGGTGCACGCCCAAGTATTGGAGGTCAACAGCCACATTGCGAATGACCGCTCGATCAATGTTGTTGTCGACCAGCTCGGGCATGACATCGGATTCACGCGACCACGGGATGCGGGGTCGTTCGTCGTCCTTGTAGAGGTAGAAGATGTCGCCCTCGGGATCAACCCAATGGACCTTGTCGCCAAACTGGCAAAGGATCCTCTCGCTCGTGTAGATCGCCCGTGACAGACGGCAGGCCAGGCCGAGGGCCTTGCCTGCTGACCGAGAAATGGTCAACGTGTTGTTGGCGATCTCTACGAAGAAGACTTGGATGCCCAGAGCAGCTTCAAAGATGAGTAATTGGATCTCATAGGGCAGCCCAGCGAGACTGGGCCTTGTTGGGTCGGCTGTGGTCACCCCAGGCGCCCGGACCTTCTGCTTACGATTCTTCATCTTAATCGCGTTGCGGCTGGGCGGTCAGAGAAAGTCTCGACGAGGACGGGGCTCGATCCGAACGGGATGTTGCAAGTCGGCTAGCGATCTTTATCAGTCTTCTAGCCGAGAATGTCAGTCGATGAAGCTGTTATTACGCAGCTACAATACATAACATGTATAGCTCCAATCTGGAATAGCTTACCCGACAGCTCAAGTACTGCAAGCTTGCAGTCAACTCTGCAGCATCACGGTGGATCGATGAGCCAAGACCGGCCATGTGATTTAGCGAGCCATGCCCTCGGGACTCGGGAGACACAGAGAGGGGGTGGCAACAGGACAACAGTGGAGCGTTTGCAAAGTACAGTAGCGGCTTTATCCCCCAAAGGATCACAGTATGGGCAGAGCTGTAAGGAACAAAAACTTATTATCGGTCGGGCAGAACGAGTATGTGTACATGTATTGTACACTACGGTAAGGCAAGCGATAGTCCATGGACATCATTTTTGGAAGGGTTGTTGGGCGGCTTAGTGGGGCACCGGATGTTGCCGTGGGATGATGGCCCGACCGATTGTCGGGTGTGAATCGGACGCTCTTGTTCAAGATCTCAACCAGCAGCTTCGAGCCTCGAGTCTCCTATATTGGTTAGGAAAGTCGTAGCGCAGGGATACTCAATGAAGTCACGGTATAGAATATAAGAGACCTTCATCCGAATCCAAGCTGCTGGTTACGTAAGTTTTGGGCAGCGGTCTGGCCCTGCTGATCTTCGGGCATCCACGTGCATTCCCCACCAGTTTCAGCTTTTAACAACGACGAACTACGTCATACCTACGGGAGTGCGAGGCTAGGGGTAGCAGCGAGGTATCTAAGAACAACCCAAGTTATCTAAGGCAGTAATCTTGAAATTATTCCTGCTAATGTACGGTCAACGATCTTCCTCTTTCTCGCACAATTCAAGTTGAGTTCAAGGAGTGGGGTTCAGCTCTGTATCAGGCGTGTCTATATCAGTCACCTCTTCCCCGGCACACAGCTACTACTAGTAGCTATCCTGACACAACCAGCCATCCGTACTCTCCACCCACAAGCCCGGCCTTCAGGCTCTCACCAGTAGGTCCAAGCCGTCATGCCTCTCAATCACAGACGTCTCCCTAACCTTCCGATGTTCAGTGAGCTACTACTACCCCGAGGCGCGCACACGCTCGCACAAGAAGCGCCTCTACCTCAGCGACCCGCCTCAGCCCGGCATCGTCGACGTCCGGCGCAAAATCACAACCATCATCCCGGCGCCCGCTCCTCCTCCACCACCACCACCACCTCCTCCTCCTCCTCCTCCCGTGCTAGCACTACCACCAGCACCTGTGGTTGTCCAACCAGCTGCTCCTCCCCCGCCGGTCCTCCTGCCACCGCCCGCCCCTCCCAAAGTCCACAACCCCTCCGACGACGTAATCGACGTGATAGCAGTGGACGTCGACCCGCCCTCGCCCAGATCCAAGAGATCTTCCCGCTCCCGCGCCTCGCGCCGCTCCCGGTCCCGCTCCCGGTCCAGCTCGCGCTACCGCGACTGCGATCGTGAGGTGATTGTCGAGCGGGAGCGGCTCGTCCCCGTCCCCGTGCGCGTCCCCGTTCCAGTCCCTGTTCCGGTGCCGGCACCGGCGCCCCAGCAGCGGCCTGAGCCAGAGACGTATCGCTACGTGGAGGGCTTGCCTGCGCGCGAGCGGGAGATGGGGAGGGTGAGGGTCATGGACGTCCCCGCGAGGGCGCCTAGTCCGCCTTCGCGTTCGCGTTCGCCTCTGCGGTCGGAGAGGGAGAGGGAGAGGGTTGGGGTCAGGGTACGGGTGCAGGATAAGTGGGAAGAGGAGAGCCGGGGCGGTGGGAGGGGGTGGGGTAGGGGTTGACACTGGCCCGATGTGGCCAATTCTAGGCCGTGCTTACTTAGGGTCGTTGACCCTTATTTCTTTCTGTGTTATGTTGAGGCTGCTCGTTGGATGAGCGTTGGATGGAGAGGGCGCTTGCTTGTCTCCTTCTTCGTCGTGATGGGATATAATGATGCATACTATGGGGATACCCCGGATGTTTCCGTGTAACGAGTAATGAGGCATATGATGGACGACATTATGAGGTATATACATGGCTGCAAGGATTGATTGGGCATTTGAATGCTCTAGGTACTATATTGGAGCGTTTCCGACAGCATAATGATATTCTTTCAGGACTCTACCAGTAATGACCGTACAAAAAGGGGTTGCCAGACCAACATAGGTGAGTACACTTCCTCAGTTGTCATCCAGGCAAAGCCATAGACGAAAGGCACTGCTGCTATGATACAGCCTAACCAACCCAACTCCAAAGTCCAAAGCCCCAAGTCCATACTGCCTCTATTACTGCCCTGCCATCCAACAGCCAGCACCCACCCCCCCCCCCCCCCCCCCCCTCCCTCTAGTCCTGTCCCACTCCAAACCAGGCGTCTTTCCTCACAGCCGCACCCCGATCGCGCGCGCAAAGTTCTTCCCACCGGGGTACTTCTCCACAAACTCGCGCCAGGCCGGCAGCTTCACGAGGCGGTGCTTCATCCTGTCGCCGGCATCGTACACGGCCTTCTGGATCTTGGCGCTCCACTTGTGCTTCTCGACGCACACGACGGCGTCCAGGAACGAGGCCAGGTGCGCCTCCCTCTCCAGCTCGGCGTCGTCCGCTTCCTCGTCTTCATCGCCCCGGTAGTAGGGGCAGTGCGCGCAGTGGAAACAAGCGCTGCTGCTGCCGTCGCCCTCGGACAGCGACAGCACGTGCCGCGTCAGGTCCTCCACGCTCTTGACCATGCTGCTCTTCAGCGACTGGATGCCGAAATACTCGGCCGCGAAGTAGATCTCGGCGAACGTGTAGAAGGACGGGGACGGCTCCCATGTTTGGCGGGGTAGCTCTGGGGCGGAGGATTAGAAAGAAAAAAGAAAATAAATAAATAAAGTGGGAGTGTTTGAACGGATTGTTTTGACTTGCCGTTTGCGTGAAGGAAGCCCAAGACTGTGGTGAAGGCCACGGGAGGAATGGGCTTGGAGGTCCGGGGGCGGATGACAACTCGGGATCCCTACGCCCTGCTTTAGTGCGCGCAACGAGCGGATGACGGTCTGTTGCGCTCACCGAGTTGCCCTTCCTGTCCAGGGCAGCCTTGAGCCATTTGAGCTGCGCGGAGACAATGTCTTTCTTGACCTTCTAGGTGTAGCCCTCGAACTCCAGCGTCAAGTCTCCCTCGGGATCGCCGGCCCAGACACCGTTCCTCCAGACGATGGTGCTACCCGGCGCTGACAAGTAGCCTTCCATGGCTATGGTAGTCATTTTCGGAATGCCTGATGATGGCGCGAGAGTACAGTAGAAGATGGTTCTACTTGTACACTGCGGTGTCGGAATAGGATGCCAGATCAGAAATGAGCTGTTGCGGTAATCAAAACAGCAAAGGGAAAAGAAAGGTGAAAGTACTGCCAGCTCTGCGTATGGTATATGGTATACAACGAGGTCTGACGAGTCGAGGGGCTGAAGTGCTGATGAATGTTACCCAACTTCCAACATGTAGCTCGGCTGCCAACCGGTGGCCCCTTGTCTGCCTGAAACACTCGCACGCTCTTGCCTGCTTCCTAGGACGGACAGTCTTGAGGAAGTCGCGAGGAGAGGAGCCGCGTTGGCGATCGCCCAGGTCCAAAGCGGGACCCGATTCTGGCGAGCATCGCTTGTTGTCTCATGGTTAGGACAAGCTTCCGCCTGTTCCGCTCTGTCCGTCCCGAATCTATGGGGTAATGCGATCTTGGAAGTATTTAGGTTTTGTGCGCGTTTTGTTTAGGCTTCCAGTTCTACACAACACCCAGTCGAGCACTGGCACTCAGAGCAAAGGCAGACGGGCAACCTTGTAGGCGATAAATAAAGCAACCAGAAGCAAAAGATCATACAAGTATTGTAGTGTAATAGTAGCACAAGGAATGACCCTCGGCGCATACACCGCAGCGGTACCGTCCCAATACCTTTTCTAAGAACCCGCCACCCCAGCCGTGCCTTCATCTCGCTGCTTGCCGGCTCCTCTTTCCCACTGATACAACTCCACCGCTCCCACGGGTGTACCGGGTGCACCAGAAACGTCAAGCGGGTAAAACCAGCGGTTTTGGCTGGGATCAAACAGACAAAGGCACCAGAAAGCCACCGGGGCAACCTTCTAGAAGCCGAAACCGGTCGGCTGCGGCGCAAATCCATTGGCCTGCATGTATGGCGAGGGTGAGGGAGCCGCGCCCGTCGGGCCGGCTGTGATCATGAGCCGGTTGCTGCCGAGGATCGGCGTGTTGTCCTCGACCTTCTCCTGCTCCTTCTCCTTTGCCTTGCGCGCCTCGTTGTCTGCCTTGAGCGAGGCCAGTTCCTTGGTTTGCTGGCAAAGGAGGTTGATCATGTACGGCATGGTGAAGTCGTTCAGGCCGTTGCGCCACGACAGCTCCAGGACGAGGTCGGGCCGGATCAGGTCGTAGCACGCGTAGAGCATGCCGACGTAGCATTCCCGGTTGCCGATGTCCACGAACTAGAGATCAATGTTAGCCAGCATAAACACGACAGATAGACAGGACCGAAACTCACGTATCGCAGAAGCTCCTCAACGACATCGGACTTGCCTGAAATGGCAGCAGTCTCGATGGCATCCTTCCACAGCTTGTCCTGCTTGGATAGGTTGATAGACTTCTCCCACCGCTTGTTCTTGCGGTAGATGCTGGCAGCGATCTGGCGGAAGAACACAAGATCGTGCTTCTCCAGGCGACCAGCAAGATCGACTGCATCGTAATTGTCGTAGTGCTCGACCGAATCGCGCAGCGTCTTGTAATCTTCCTCTTCGATGAGCAAGTCATTGATGGCGTCATTAACAGTGCGCTTGTTCTGCGACTGCACGCTGAGCAGGAACGGCTTGATGAGCGGCAGGTTGTCTGACTTCTGGAACATGCGGACCACCCGGTTCACATCGATCCGGGGAGTCAAGACTTGCAGGAGGTCGGTGAGCAGGGAAGGGTGCTGCTCAAGGTAGAAGTTGATGGCCTTGTAGTAGATTTCGAGATTGGCCACCTTGACGGTAATCTCCTTGAATTGCTGGTGCTCCCACGAGTTCTCGGGCCTCTCCATGACGGCAAGCGCAGCATTGTCAAACTCGTCGTAATGGTAGTAGCAGAACACCAACTCGGGCCACAGGTTGGCCTCCTCGCATGCACGGATCATCTTAGGCAGGTTCATCCGGCTCCAGAAGAGCTTGAGATGCTCCATCAAGCGCTCAGGGTGGTATTTGGACAAGGCAATTCCCAACTCGGTGAACATGCCCATGTGCGCACGCTCCAGACCGAGACCCTGCTCGAGCAGGTTGATGAGCTCGTCGAAGTAGCCATTGCGCTCGTACTGCTTGACGAGTGCCTGGAGCTGCTCGGCATCGACGATGAGGTTGAGACCGCAGATCTGGGCAAGGCGGAACTCCTTCTTGCCGACGCATGCCTCATGAACCTCCCTCCACACCTTGATGTTGTTGGCCTTGCGCGCGCAATCCACAGCGGCCTGATAATCTTCGAGGTGCACAAGCGTGGTAGCGAGCTTCGCCCAATTGGAGATGCTGGTGTAGAAGATCTTGGCCGCCTCGAAGAGACCCTCGGAATAGGCCTTGTCTCCGGACTCCTCAACATTAGCCACGTTGGTCGCCCGCAGGAAGTCTTCGAGCTCTGCGAGCTGGTCGAGCCGGGCGTAGCAGAAGGCGAGGGCGGTATCGATGGCAGGCTCGCGGAGTGTCTTGCGGGCCATGCGGAGATACTTGATAAGTTCCTCATTCTTCCCGGCCGCGACCGCGATCTCAATAACCTCCTCGTAGTTCTTCGGATCCTCCGCCCGGATGTACGAGTCGATTGAGTCGCTCACACGGAGACCGTCCAGCTGGGCCTTGGCTACCTTACTCCAGACCTGCGGCATATCGACCTCCTCAGCAAACGCCTGAGCACGATCGATACTAACCACATGCTCGACGAGGACGTTGACCGCAGCCTCTTTGTTGTCGATCTTTTTGTACACCTCGAATGCCTCCTCAAAGAGACCGACCTCGATACAGACGTTGGCAATCTCATCTGCAGCGAAGTTGTCGAGCCTATGGATGTAGTCCATGACACGGGCCTTGTCCGCCTTGGCAGCGGTGAACATGAGGAGGTTCTGGAGGTTCTGGTTGTCGCTGAAGGGGGACGGCTCCAGGACAATCTTCTCCAGGAGCTCAATAAGCTCCGCCGGCAGATCGGCAGCTAGGAAGCAGGCCACGGCCTCGGAAACCTTGGCAGGATCTGTCGACTCCGGCACGGCGGTCGAGATGACTTGGTCGACCACGGAGCGACGATGGAGGTTGTTCTCGCTGAGGACGAACATCCAAAGCTCCCTGTCCGCTCGCTCCAGAAGATACCTCGCCTGGGCCTTGTACATGGCATTCTCGTTGGTAATGTTAACGAGCTCGAGGTCGTTCTGACCCTTGCGGTAGGCGATGTACGCCAGGTTGGGGTCGCGCTTCTCGCAGTACTTGCCGACTGTGAGCGTGTCATACTGGTCGTTCTCCTTCAGGAACTTTTCAGGGTTGTTGTTGGAGTCAATGTAGATCTTCGCTAGGGCATTGTAAACTGCCTGTTGTTGATTGCCGGCGGCGAGAGTTGCCTCAAGGAACGGAAGCAGCAGCTTGAGGCGATTGCGCGTCTCGACCTCGTGCACCAACTCATCAATGGGGATCGAAGCCGGGTTGACTGTGGTGAGAAGATTCTTGATAATGCTCTCATCGCAGTCGACATCCAACAACCCACCAATAACGCCGGGCGTCCTGGAGGGGTTGACCTGCTGAACGTAGATCTCGATCGACTTGAACTGCTGGTGCTGGTAGAGATAAAGGACCAGATCATGGACAAAGTTGAAGCGATCGCAGACAATCATCAGTGGCAGCATTTCGCTTAGCTTAGCTTCCTTAAGGAAGTTCTTGACCTTCTCCGGATTGAAGACGCTGTTGTCTCGGCAGATGCGCTCGACCTCGCGGATCTGACCCATCTTGGTGGCCGCCTCGATGTACTTGAAGACAACCTCGGGGTCCTCGCTGACGTTGACGATACTGCCAAGGAAGTAGTAGAGACCTTCCGCGGTCTTGTACTTTTCGAAGAGGTCAATCAGGCGCTGGGGACCGAGAAGCTCAGCGTACTTGATAGCGATTTGAACCACAGACTGGAGGTTTTGACGGATGTTGTGCTTCATCATGGCGTCCAGGCAATCGACGGATTGCTCTACCGAGAGACGTCCAAAGTACTCGACAAGCCAATCAGGGTTGAAGTTCGGCATGGCGGGGATGTTGACGATGACCCGCTTGACGGCCGCGGGGTCCTCATAGAGATCAAGAGCTCTCTGCAAGAGGCCAGCTTGCTCACAAAGAGATGCAATGCGAGCCTTGTCGAAGTAGGAAAACATATCATTCCCAAGGATCGCATCCGCAACCTGTGGCGCATTGATCAGGTTCATCTCGAGCAGACGGGTCTGGAGATGGCCATGCTCCGGGTTGTTATCTTTCAGGGCGTCGAGCAGGAAAGCGGTAGCTTGCTGGACCATGCCCTGAGACTGGAAGATGTCGACCACCCGTTCGAGGTCGACCAGAGACCCGCCCTCATGGTTGGCAAGCGACGTAGCGAACTCAGCGCCCTTCTCCGGGTTGACCCGGACAATGTGCTGGAGCAGCTGAACAAAGTCGGGCTGGTAGCCGGCCTGAGCACAGTACGGGAGGATCTTGTCGAACTGGCCGGTCTCGGCGAAGCCGGCAACGACCTTGTGAGGCACGTTGGCCTTCAGGTAGATCGCCAGCGCCATAGTCATGTCGTGTGGGCGGACCATGTCACCAAGCTGCTCAGAGCATTCGAGCTTGTTCTCGCCGAGCCACTTTTGGAGCAGCTGCTTGCGGTTTTGAGCGAGTACAGGCTGAGCGAGTTCGATTGTCTCGTGTTGGTTAAGGGAACCCTTATCGAGAAGCATGCCAAAGTACTGCAGGATATGCGACATCTGCCCCGGCTGTTGAGGGAGCCGCTTGAAACGCTCTATGGTCTGCGGCGTCCGCAGAAATCCGCGCGGGGAGTTGGCCGCAACCTTGGCAGCCTCTTGGTAGTTGCCGTTGGAGAAGAGCTGTTCGAAGCGCTGCTGATAGAGGTTGTCAGCGCCCGGAAGACCGGCACGAGATGCCAACTTGAGCGCCAGCTCAGTGCCGTGGCTCTCGAGGACATATGGAACAATCGTGTTTTCGTCAGCGCTAACGAAGAGAACCTGACCCTTCCGGTTTATGCCGAGAACACCAGTTGAGTCCTTGTCACCGCAGGCTGTGAAAATGGTTTCACCAGAGATGCGATTCATGAAGATACATGTGGCAGTCTCCAGATCGTAAAGGTGGATGAAGCCGAACTTCGTGATGAGGTAGATGATGCCATATTTCTGCGAGATCTGGAGTGCGACAGGAAAATCAGTGGCGGCTTCCGGCGGGAAGAATACGTCGACTGCCTTTTTGGGAAACACGGGGTTCGTCTCGGGGTGATCGACTTCGACGATGTGCAGTTTCGCGCCGACCGCCGTCCGTACGGCAAAGGCGAAGAGTTTAGTGTCCTCGGGAGCGCCGTCTAACCGGATCGTACCAAATACGGCAGCGTGGCCCTCGATGGCTTGGCTAATGCCGCGGTCTTTGGAATACAGCTGCATGGCGCCCACGATGCGTCCTTGCTGCGACGAGATGCCAACCACGACCATCCACTTGCCGTCGGCACTCGTCCGATAGTTGATAATCTGGTTGCCCTGCGTCCTGTTAGTAGCGACCTTCGTCACACCCATTGGACCTCCAGACACGTACCTGAAGATTGGTATTGCGATCAAACACCTTGACGGGTGCCGCTTGGGAGGGATCAAAGACATTCCAGTGGTAGATGGCACTCTCTGTCACCAAGCCAAGGGTTGACTCGCTGATCCACTTCCAGAACGTGACGTCCTCGCTCATCGTTGTCGACTTCAGCTTCTGTTTCTGCTCCAGATCAAAGATCTGCAGTGTCCGTAACTGAGCCTTCAACGCAATGACCTGGCGCGTCCAGTGCATTATTGCGCTGTCGGCCTTGATGGGCCGGCGGATGACGTTGTTGCCATTCTTAAGGTCGACGATGAGGACTTCAGGAGACGACGCCTCATCCTTCTTGTCTCTCAAGCAGACGAAGGAGTCTGATTCTATAGTCTATCATGGGGACCGGAGGGTCAGCGAGATCAAGAGCCGAACGGAACGCAGTAGAGATGGGATGGTCGTACGCAGGTATTGAAAGTGATCGCGGTTTGGTTGACGCCCAGGCTGCTGAGCTGGAACAGTTCCTGGAACTTGATCGGTAATGCCGGCGCCATGGTAATCGCGATGCGCTCGGCCGCGCGGTATTAACGGAAAGCAGTGGCCAACTTGACCGGAGTCTTTGTGTGGTAGGTAGATGAAAGCAGGAGCTTGTTGGAATCGCGTGGTTGAAAGGGGTTGGAATTGGTGGAGCTCCTGCTGGAACGGGAGAAACGGGCGGAGTCTGGGATTACAGTGCTGTCAGGCGAGAATCGCTCAATTAAGGAAGAGAAGCAAGCAATCGAAAGGAAAAAAAAAGTATGCCTCTGGCTCGGCGCCGTGTGATGTGGGAACTCCCGTGGTTGACCGACGCGGCGGTTGAGTAAAATGAGGCCTTCTTGTGCCAGATGCGGGTACTTTGAGCGATCTGTTAAGAGCAGCCCGGATGCTCGCGACCTGCCCTTCGTTCTCAGCCCTGGACTTGCCAGGCTCAGCCAGGGGAGCATCAGACAAGCAGGGATCCTTCATTTGGCTTGGCGGAATCCGTCACCATTCAGACACTGCTTGCTCCACCTTGTCTGAGAAGGCGGCTTATCGATAACACTTTTTGGCTCAGAAAATTGCCAGACCTCTGCAACGCCTTTGCTGCGAGAAGTGCAGTTGCTTTGCAAACAAAACCCACAAACGCCGGGAAGCCTGCGGACAAACTTCGCCAAAATGGGTGTTGGACGTCGTATGAAGAAACAGGGCCCTCCTGAGCCTCTATCGGAAGAACACTTCGCCAACCTCAAGCGGAAAAAGGGTCTGCCCGTTGACGATGCCCCCGTCGAGGCCCCCTCGAGCAAGAAGCGCCGAACGTCTACCAAGCTCGAGAAGCCTGCTAAGGCCCGCCGTGAGGAACCTTCCAAGAACGGCGTGGCATCGAAGTCCTCGGGCAAACAAGCCAATGGCACCAAGAATGGCCCCGTTGCATCAGTAAATAGCCGCAAATCTGGCAAGGTAAAGCCGAAGAAAGTACCTGCGCCGGAATCAGGATCGGACGAGGATGAGGAGATGGACGATGAGTTCGGCGCTTCCGACTTGGAGGATGCCAGTGACTCTGAGCTGGAAGAGAAGCTTGGTGACGACTTCCTTGGTTCCGATGACTCCGTCTACGATTCCGAGCAGGAGGGCGCCAAGAAGGAGAAGTTCGTCTTCTCTGATGATGAGGATGATGATGAGGACCGGGAGGAGAAATTGACAGCCGCCAACATCGAGGGCCTGTCGAGGAAATTGGACGAGAAATTAGCCAGGGAAGCAGCGGAAAACGAAGCGGAGCTGCGTGAGGAAGCGCTACAAACCAACATTGACGGGGACAAGCCTCATATCCTCGGCGAAGAGGACGAGGCAGACGAGCTCTCGGCGAAGACGAAGGGTCTACTGGCACCTGATCTCCAGATGTTGAGGACCAGGATAACGGAAACGATTCGAGTGCTGGAAGACTTTACGAACCTCGCCGAGGAAGGACGGAGCAGGGCCGAGTATACCAACCAACTTCTGAAGGACATCTGCGCCTGTATGTGCACCGTTCCGGCCCCTGCTGGTCAACACGAATCAGGACTGTTGTGGCTGACGGCGCATTGATAGATTATGGATACAATGAATTCTTGGCAGAGAAGCTCATGTACGTCCCCAGAGCCTACAGGTCTCAACATTGATTGCTGACATACTACAGGAACCTGTTCCCACCCAGGGAGGCGTTCGCATTCTTTGAAGCCAACGAAGTGCGTCAACCTAGTCAGGTCCTTCAAATCCTTCCATGGCTAACTGGGGGAACAGACGGCTCGTCCAGTGGTCATTCGCACCAACACCCTACGCACCCATCGCCGCGACCTTGCGCAGGCGCTCAGTCAGTCATGGCTTGTTCTGATTCAATGGGCCTTTCCAATACTAATACCTCGTAGTAAACCGCGGTGTTACACTGGAGCCAGTGGGCAAGTGGTCCAAAGTTGGTTTGCAAGTGTTCGAGTCAACGTAAGCACTACATTGTCACATTTTCCGATTATCACGGACACTAACCGGGTCTGAAGTGTGCCGCTTGGTGCCACTCCCGAGTATTTGGCCGGCCATTACATCCTGCAAGCCGCCTCCTCTTTCCTCCCCGTCATGGCACTGTGCCCTCAGGAGAATGAGCGTGTCCTCGATGTGAGTTGCTAGACCCTTCAACGTCTGCTATCGCGCTGCTGACTCAGTTTCCGACCATAGATGGCTGCAGCCCCCGGAGGCAAGACAACGCATATGGCAGCGTTGATGAAGAACACCGGCGTCATTTTCGCGAACGATCCTAGCAAAGCTCGTGCCAAGGGTCTAATTGGCAACATCCACCGTCTTGGTGCGAGGGTAAGAGCTGCGGTCCGCTTCTCTTCTGGATGTCTCTGGCTAACGGGCGCGCTTCAGAATACCATTGTCTGCAACTACGACGCCCGCGAGTTTCCTCGGGTGATTGGTGGCTTCGATAGAGTGCTGCTAGATGCTCCATGCTCCGGTAGGTCCGCAGAAGTCTCTATGTTGGTGCTCGTTTCTAACTCGAGTTACAGGAACGGGCGTTATTGCCAAGGACCCCTCGGTGAAGACCAACAGAGATGAGAAGGACTTCCAACAATTACCGCACACACAGAAACAACTGCTTTTGGCGGCCATCGACTCGGTCAACCACGCAAGCAAGACCGGCGGCTACATTGTCTACTCGACATGTAGTGTTGCGGTTGAGGAGAAGTGAGCCTGATATTATCCGTGCCCTTTAGGCGATACTAACCTTGCTGCAGCGAGCAAGTCGTCAACTACGCACTCAGCCGTCGCCCGAATGTGAAGCTGGTTGAGGTGAGTCGTTCAAGTCAGCAGCGGTTGAGGACCACGCTGACCTTGCCCTAGACTGGCCTACCCTTCGGCAAGGAAGGCTTCACGAGCTTCATGGGGAAGACTTTCCACCCAAGCCTCAAGCTAACGCGCAGGTACTACCCACACCTATACAACGTCGACGGGTTCTTCGTCGCCAAGTTCCAGAAGATTGGCCCCACCCCAGGCAATGCGGTGTTGGCCAACGGCAAGAAGGACCAGAATGCTGCCAGCACCACATCTGGCGACAGAGACGAAGATGGTGTTGTCGACAAGACACCGATCGGCGCCGAGGGAGAGGATCAGGAGAAAGATGAGGACGACTTCGGCGGGTTTGACGATGAAGAGGATGAGGATTACATCGAGAGGGCCAAGCGGAATGCTATGAGGAGACGAGGCCTGGATCCCAGGGCACTCAAGAAGGGGCAGGAGAAGAAGGCTGCCGAGGAGACGGAGGCACGGAAGGAGACCGTAAAGGAGAAACCCAGTGACAAGGCTGGGGAAAAGCCGAAGGAGAAGGCTAAGAACAAGGTCAAGGAGAAGACAAAGGCCAAGGAGAAAAAGTAGGAAACCACCAAGTAGCAAGCTGTACTCTGTATATACTAGTAGTTGTCTTTGGTGCGAGCAGTCCAAGGCAGGCTGCTAATTCAGACAGCACCTTCTGCCTTCGTCTGGGCGGATGGTGGAATTACACTGCGCCTAGTCCTGAAGTCTTTGGAGGAACTGGTGGGTCAATTGCTATGATCATCTCTTAGCATTTCACTGGATACCCGCAAGTCCTTGGCTCCTGAGTACACCGCCAATAGACAGAGGGTACGGAATACAAATACCTGTTTCCGATGTCCACAGAAGCAGGCATATCTGACAAACACATAGATCCTCGAGTCCAGGTGCCATGTTGAATTGTTGATACTTTTAGCATCATGAAGACAGGCAGAGATGCGCTCACCAGCTCCACAGGGCGATTTTATTACAAGACTACGGCTGCATTGAAATGTACGTTCAATCATTGCGACCCTTCCCATCGTGAGTAGGGAAGAACCGCACCCAAGATTGAGCGCCGAAGAGACTTCGTCCTTCTCCATTCTGTTCGGAAACCTACGACTTGGGTCCTGGGCCACGGCCGACTGCGTAAAGCAGCCGGGGGCCTCGTAAATCGCATCGAGCTAGCTCCGAGAATGTTGGAATTTGCGTTGTTCATGGAAAAGAAAGGAGGAAAAGAATCAAAGGGCCGGATTTTTTCTGGAGTTTTATGAAAGATGCAAGTGGGGCTTTGCTGTGGGGCCGGGCACGTGGCTGCTATCCGAACACGGACCGACCGCATCGCCGCGTGCAGCCGAGCCTAAGGTCAACTTCAGATGATCCCAATTAGCAAACTTGAAGCCTGAAGGTAGCAAAAAAAGACACGGTTGAGTCTTTGATATTCTATGCCTCCTCCTTTAACACGTTGACAAGACATCAAGATATCTGATACATAACAGCCACATTGGCTATCATGAACGCGACTCAGAGCGTCCCGCGATTCTTGCTCCCTCGCCTGAGCTGGACCAGCCAGCTCTCGACAGCATCGAGCATCCCCGGAGCATCCGTATCCGTCTTCCAGCAAGCGAGGAGCACAACAAGTGGAGCAGCAGTATGGCAGCAATCGTCGAAGAAATCAATTCATACGGCCGGCACGATGCCCATGAGGGATTTGATGAGAGACAACACCATCACCCGGCCGAGGAGGAGTCCCACCAGCGTCGCCCGCAACCCAGTGCTCCGGCGCTCATTCCACGTCTCCGCGCCGCGGAGACGTGACCACCACTTCGACACCCTCCGCTTCGTGCAGCGGCTGCAAGAGGAGGGCTTCACAGAAGAGCAGTCTGTCGCCATGATGAAGGTGCTCAACGACGTGATCGAGGAGAGGTCAGTCAGGATCCAACTGCTTGCTTTGCCTCCCCTCTTTCCTGTCATACGTAGCTAAACAAATCCCCCTTCCCCAAATGACAGCATCCAGAACCTCACGCGCACCATGGTGCCGCGCGAAGAAGCGGCCAAGACCACGTACACACAGAAAGTGGACTTCGCCAAGCTGCGCAGCGAGCTGCTCTCGGCGGACAGCACCGAGTCGAACGCGACGCGGGCGGCGCACGAGAAGCTGACCAACGACATCGCCAAGCTGAGCAGCCGGCTGCGCGACGAGATCGGGCGCACGCAGGCCAGCGTGCGGCTGGACCTGAACCTGGAAAAGGGCCGCATCCGCGAGGAGGCCGTGTCGCAGGAGCTCAAGATCAAGGAGACCGAGACCAAGATCGAGCAGGAGGCGGCCGCGCTCAGACAGCAGCTCGAGCAGGTCAAGTTCCAGACGCTGCAGTGGCTCATGGGCGTGTGTACCGGCTTTGCCGCGCTGTTGCTCGGTGCTTGGAGGCTGTTGATGTGAATGGAACCGCAGGGCCCCCGTATGTCTTCCAGTGTCTGGGTAGCTTACCTACGGTTTGGGGGGTGGATTTTGCGTTAGAAACAAGGCAGCTAGCTCAGCGAAGCATATTCTCCCTCGGGGGCTGCTTTTTCTCCTCGCCTTTGATCAAGATGCATGGTTACTGTGGAGAATATATATGTCTGCGGAGCTTGTTCTTCAACACAGCTACCGCTGCGGGCTGTGTCTGGCACAATACAGGCGAACACATAATATACCGGGGCTTCAATCACTTGGACAGGTTCGACGAGAGTCACCTGGCACAGCAAGATACCAGGTATGTTATGAACTCAGGGCTCAATCGAATTTCATGTAGCTAACCAACAACTATATACGGAAAAAAACCAGACCATCCCGCCGGTCCTGCTCTTTCAAGCTCCCACCCACCCTTGGACCGATGATGTACAAATGCGCCTACACCGTGGTAGCGCCGTGATGAACAAAAGCAGGCAGATCCGGTACGCTGCCCGCGGTGGGTGGAGTTATCCAACACACCGAATCGAGAAATGAAAACACGGTGGTGGTGATGCTTTTGCTTGGGTTGTTTTTCTTGCGTGCGGGATAGGTGCTGCTGTCTATGTGCCAATATACACCCGCGAAGCAGAGTCGTCGACGCCATCCACGCCGTCCATTCTTACTCCCTTTTATAGATCATTCGAAGCTGGCCCCGAGAAAGAGGGAGAGAAAAGCAGTGCGAAGGGAAAAAAGGGGGGGTCGGCCATCTGTCTCAACGCGTCAGTGAGACTGCGAGCGAAGAGAAAGAGAAAAGAATCGAAAAGTCGTGACTGACTTTAGGCCTCGATGATGGTGCGGGCGACGTTGTACATGGCGTGGAGGTCGCGGGTGGCCTTGGTGCACATGCCGTCGGGCGTGTAGCAAGACGCCTCGGCCTCGGCAGCGCGCTTCCAGCACGGCTGGCCGAGGAACTGTCGGCACCACTGGGGGTCGGCCTCGCGCTTGACGCGCTGGGCGTTGCCGGCGTCGATGGTGTTGATGACGGCGGCGGCGGCGCGCTTGGCCTGCCAGCACGAGCCGCCCTGCTCGGTGCAGCGCTTGTGCTCCTCGGCGGCGGCCGACGAGCCGTCACGCTTGTAGCACGAGTGGCCGACGAAGTTGCTGCACATGGGGTCCGCCATGCGCTTGTCCTCGGCCGGCGCGTCGCGCTTCCAGCACGGCATGCCCAGGAACTGCTGGCACCAGCTCTGCGCCTCGCGCGCGGCAAGGCCGGACGACTCCGTGGAGCGCTTCCAGCAGGGCATGCCCAGGAACTGATGGCACCACCCTTGGGGCTCGGCCTCGGCCTCGGCCTCGCGCTTCTCGGTCTCGACCTCGTCGGAGCCGTCGGAGCGCTTCTTCCAGCACGGCTGGCCAAGGAACTGAGTGCACCAGGGCTCCGCCTCGCGCTTCTTGGACTCCTGCTCCTGGGTGATCGGGGTGGCGCGCTTCTTCCAGCACGGCTGGCCGAGGAACTGGGTGCACCAGGGCTCCGCCTCGCGCTTCTTCGACCCTCCTTCCTCGTCCGAGGTGGCGGTGGTAGTGGTCGGGCCCGTGATGGGGTAGGGGAAGTGAAGGCCGCTGTAGTAGGCCGACGGGTTGCCCTGGCTGGCGGCGATGGCGAGGGCCAGCTCGTTGAGCTGGCGCCGGGCGACGTTGGCGGTCTCGCTCGAGGAGTCGTCGCGGGCGGCGATACCGGGGGCCGGCTTGAGCGCCGCGGCAAAGGCATCGGCGGCGCGCTTGACGGTGTCGCAGGCTTGGCCCGGGGTCGAGCACCAGCGCTTGTCGGCCTCCTGCACGGCGGCGCCCTCGACGGAGGTGGCCACGGACAGGAGGGTAAGGGGGAGGGTGAACTTCATGATCTCGGAGGCGAGAAGGGAAGGCTTGTCTGAGTGAAGGTATGTGTGTATTCTGGGTTAACGAATATCTTGACGACCCTTTCGTATTATGATTTGACTTGTACGGGGCAAGGAGAGGAACGGTAGGATGCGATGGTGGAAGGTCGAGGATGGTGTCTTTTTTATAGGTGTAAGAGGGGGGCCCCCTTATTCAGGAGGGTTGAGTCTATTGTGTCAATGGACTATAGACTCTCGGGCGCGAAGTTTGCAGAACAGCAACCCATCATCTCCATCGGCACCGACGAGAATCGGTCATCCTGGCAGTCTAGAAAGGGCCTTCGAACAAACGCAACAAAAAGAGAAGTGTCGTCGAGACTAAGATTCCATTGCTGGCGGCTGCTCCTAGCAAAGGCCTATTCAGACCCCGAATAGGAAATTGTGTGCCTCGTAGCCGAGGACGCCTTTTCTTCTGGCGACAAAGCATTCCAGGATGACTACAGCGTCGGTGGCGAACCCCTTAAACAAGAACTGCTCGGCTAGGGATGAGAACTCGATACCCGGGACATTCTAGACCTGATTTCGTCGGCAGATCTGTTGGGGTGGCTGACTGTTTTCTTGGTGTTTGTCTTGCAAGTGTCTCCTTATTGAGTGTTTATTCAAACCCCTTTTAGGAAGGTGTGGCTTATTGATGGAACAGAACAACCAACCAGCTTCAAAGGGCAGAATTTGTGGGAGGATACCGTGTGTGCCTACCCAAACGTGCAGCAAAGCTGTAACGGGCTACGGGCACTTGAGGCTTCCAAGAGCGGTGGCCGCGAGATGATTGTACATTTCTCACATGGTGGTTGCACTACAGTAATCTTGATCTCATCCTTCCCAGTCTGAAGAAGAGTAGGTGTTACAGGGCCAGAATACACTGCGTTTCATGCTTCTATTTCCGTCCAAGACCTGCAGCCCATTGCAGAAGCTGGGTTTGAAGTTCTCATCAAACCGCAGCGTTCTTCAGCACCCTGAACGGGTGGTGGTGTCCCGCCTCGGACTTAACCGCCAGGTCTTGTCCAGCTCGTCCTCTGCCGCCAACAGGGTCTATTGAGGACAGAAAAGGATCGAATCCCTTTCAAGCACGGTGACACGAAGAAGCAATGGTCCCGTCGGCTCCGACTGTTCAACCCCTGGGATTTCAAGCCGGACTCAGCAGAGCAGTTCACTTCTTGATACGTACCTTAGGTTGGGTACCCCACGGGAGGAGATCTCAGCTCCCCACAATCGATCTTTGATTTCGGCTCGGGAACCGGTAACCCCCTGCCGCTCAGTGCTGCAGATTGGGGGAATCCAGACATGAACTCACCCCCGAACCTCTTCGCGGCCCTTACCAGAAAGGATAGGATGCCATTTCCTTGCTTATCATTTGACTCGGACAAACATCTCAAGCCCCACTTGGGACTCATGAAGACCAAAAGCTACGGCAAAGGGAACTTACTGTGGATCGGGGTGGACAGTCGAGACCCAGTCGTGTCACACGGAGCAAAGTATCTGGAAGTCTGTAACGGTTACTTTTGTCTATGAAGTAGTACTACTGATGGTGTGCCAACTCAGACTAATGACCTACTAAATACTCTATCAACTTTTGGTTTTAGTTTCTCATTCTACAATGAATACCCGAACTTTATGCCTTTCTCCAGCAGCTCAGCCAACTCAGAGCAACTAGAACGTGCTCTACCATTTTGCCTGCAGTTGGCAATCTGCTTACCGTCTACCCTGCACGAACAGAAAACAGAAAGCAAGGACCATCGAGGGGTGCGTAATCGCAGCAGCAACTAAACCTCTGCTCCCGCGTCCCTTACATAAGTCGCCCTCAAATCCCGGCACCCCGGCTTCCGGCGAAGCTTTGGAGGCGGCGGAGGAGACGCGACATGAGCAGCAGGTGGCTGCATCCGCTGCGTTGGTCCGGTGGGGTGTATCTCAGCGGCCATTGCATTCTTAGGATGACGCATTCCTTCTCCACGCCGCCGCTGACTGGGCAGTGTCCTTCTGTCGTCGCCACTCTCTGTGCCCGTGGACGGCATCAGAGGCAGCCTATTGCTGCTGCTGCTGGCCATGGACACTCCGGGTGTGCCCCGGCCCAGCGGTTGTGCGACAGGGGCCTGGCGCTGTTTCCGCATGACACTTACCACCACGTGTTGAGTTTGTGGCTGGGCGGTTATCGCACTTACGCCTACCTCCTTGCCCTCTGGGCGTGTAAGCTGTGTGCCTGCGCCGTTGATGACAGGTGCTGGTGGTGCTAAGGGACACAGACGGAGGGCGTGTCCCGCCTGCGTGTCGCTGCCGGCACCGGACCGGTACGCAACGTAAGCCTTGTTGGTCGGCGTTATCGGCACCGCGGCAGCAGAGTCTAGCCTTACCTTGCCCCCAGGAACCAAGCACTGCGGGTGGTTAGCTGGGTTTGTGACGTAGGCATAGTGCTTCTTCCTGTTGAGGCTGGCGATTGTTGTTGGGCGATCTATGGAGCGGCATGCGAACTCACCTTGCTTCTGGGACTGATGATCCGCCTCGTGGTCTTGGATCGACGTTGGGACTCGCTGCACTAGAGGCAGCAACTGAGGTCTTGGTTCCGTCGACGGGCCTGGAGAGGCCGTTGAGCTGGATGGGGTCGATGCGTTAGTGACATACAGTCGTCCTCGGAGTGCGGCAGTCGAAGGGATCTTTCTGAAACCTTGGACTACGAACGAGCGCTCCTTATGGCGTTGCTTGCAGGCTGCCTTGAAGCAACGCAGAACCTTGGAATTGATTGTAGAGAGGTTCCATCGCTTACCCATCGAGCGCTGGGGCTCTATCTGTGCGAGCTGGTTGTGCATGTCGGCCTCTGTCAAGGTGCGGTTACGGTATGAGAATTCCCCCAACATTTCAATTGTTGCTGAAAGTGACGGCTCGGCAATGCTTGTGTCCCTGCCGCTGCGTGGTGGTAGAAGAGCACTCGGAAGAGGATGCACGTTGGACTCGGGACTTGAAATGCTGTTCGGCACGAGATTAGAATCAGACGATACCTTGTTCATGCTGGGAACAACCTCAATGCCCTTGTCCAGGTCAAAGGATCCAGGCCGTTCAGCATCTCAAATGGAGGCGGCAGGAGGCCTTCACAGTGGTCTTTGTTTCAGACAAGGGCGACAATGACATGCTCTTCTTGGTGAGGACGGTGATGCATCTTCTGGTTCACGTACCTACCTAGGTAGGTTATGGTACTAGGTAGCCGCCGCAGCCTACCTTATGAAAGAAGTCACCCTACTATTAGTACTTCTTGCTGCTGCCTGAATGGGAAGTTGGGGAGCCGCATCGATTCAGCTCGCATGCAACCACTTGGTCCTCACCAATGAGAAAGGATCGTGCGATTTGCATCGCAGCGAAACCGCCGTTGCTCTTCCCCGCCCAAAACAATTTGCCTTTCAGCTGCAACGTGGTGGCCTTGGCCCTTGATCTCTTTCTCGCGCAAATCGGTTCGAGACTCCGTCCACAGACCACGACAAGTCTTCTTGAGATTTTCACATGTTCGATTGATATGGCTGCTGTCAGCGAGGCGAAAGCAAGGGAATTAATCTCCCAGCTCCAGCGAGTTCAGCAGGATGAAATCCGCATCCTGCAAGAGCTGTACGGCATCCGGGGGGATCAGGAAGCACGAGTTGAAGATCCCCCGGAAGGCAAGTCATGAGCTCTTCTGTTGCCCGAGTGACATGAATAAAAAGTCGCACTGTCAGGCTGACATCTCTAGTGTCGGATGCCACTTCGGATGACGACGGCTCTGGTCGAGACGTCGACGACAATAGGCAGGATAGCGATGAGAAAAGCGAGCAGGATAACGACGAGAAAGGCGAGCAGGATAACGACGAGGGAAGCGAGCAACATAGTGGCATTGTGTGCACACCTCCAGGGTGGAGAGCCCCCTGGAGAGCCGCCTGGACCGACGAACTCCTCGCACAACGGATCCACACGCGTAGGTTCCAGTGTGATATCTCTGACTCTGGTACAATATCTAAGGTAGGTAGTTACTAACTTACTTCAAGACCAAGTACGTGGTGGAGGTAGTATTGCGGAGAACGACCTCACGGATCCCGCGGCCAAGTTTATCCACGACAACGTACTACGATCGCTGCGTGACTTTTCATTCAGAAGAGGGATCCCTTTTAAAAACGGGGATGATGCCTTTTGCGTGATCGACTTTGACCGCGAGGGCGGAACGACTTTAGAGACTAGTGATAATACCCCCGACTCCCGTCAGGCTCTCTTCAGGGGGGTAGGGCCCTATGCCGTTGCAAGTCGTGAGTAGGGGTGCAGGTGCTAACCGGTATGCTGGAGTAGCGATCCGCGAGTTCATCATATACGAGGCACATGTGCGCAACCCATTCATCCACGCACTTAGTCTCTTGTTGTTCAAGTTCTTGTGCTTACCGTACAGTCAAGATCTGTCAAAGCCTTTACCCCAAGTGCTCTAGCAACTATTTTTCTCACCGGCGCAGGCTACTTCATATATGCTGCACTGAGGAGACACCTTAGTAGACGCGTTGGCGACCGGGTCTACGTCGGGTCTCACATACTTGAGTTCGGCGAAAACGGCATCACGGTACGTAACTGCCTCAACTTTGATCTCGGTTCGATCCTTGTCCTTCGGTCGCTGACCCTACCATGACTGGGCAGGCAGGCTCCATCACTGTGCCATACTTTGCGGTGACAACGAAAAGGCCTGCGGAGGACCTAGCGCCTCTATCCCCGGCCGGACTGTTCGGCGGTGTCCACGGCCCAAATTCGAAATATATTCGGGAGGAAAGATTTACCATTTTCTGGTATCGCCGCGGATCGGGTCCATCTTTGTTCGTCACTTTCGGTGCCCTATACCCTCTTACGGACGGGCCTCTACTATGGGCAGTCGCGCTACTAAGAATCAACCTGGGATGGATCTGGTCGGAGTGGAAGAGGGTCTTAGATTTCTTAGAAGAGCAAACAAGCCTCCCCGTAAGTCCTTAGTCATCTACTAATGGCTCGCCTCCCCTCCCAACTACTCGACTCCCCGTGCACCAGCTTATCGAAGATCGTCCCCGTCTGAGGATTTAGAGCACTGTTATCTTCGACGAGGAGATGGGACAGAATCTTCTTTTTGATGACAGTAGCTTCACCAACGCCAGAAGGTATTTCTGGGCCCTCCAGTCACTGCGAGTGTTCGATGACCATATCTCGGGAACGGTCCGTCTACTCAAGGAGATGATCAGATCGATCGACGAGGACTCCCACAGCCGGTCTGGAGAGTCCGAGAACCAGATACAGGAAGATCTCTTCAACGAGCACAGGGCGATACTGGACGAACTTCGGGCGAGAATCGAACGAAAGCGCCAGGAGATTGAGAGTCTAAACAACGGTGTAAGTCAAGTCCTCTGTTTTGAATTAATTTAATAGACTGCTAAGAGTCTTGTCTGTACCATACATAGCTTTTCTCAGCCTCATCGGTAGCCGAGGCACGTTTCTCTTCGGAACAGAACGGCAACATTCGCCTCTTGACCCTCGTCACCATTGCATACCTCCCTTTGTCTTTCGTGGCTGTTCGTAAACCCCAAATAGTCCGAGACAATCCCCCTTCCTTGCTCGTTCTGCCCTCCATAGGTATGTCTACGACGACAAACTGCTAATGACAATGCTTGCATTCGTAGACGATCTACGGCATGAATGTCCTCCCGGAAGGCACGTCGCTTGGATCCTTCTTCGTTGCCACTGCCGTCCTGAGCGTCATCACCTTTGCCATCGTCTTCAACTTGCAGCTCTTAACCGTCTTTATCCGCCGGCATCTCTTCGGCAAAGCCCTGGACAGCATGCGTCTGGACCCGAGCCCGCAATGGCGAGACCGAGCGCAGCACTTGCGGCAGGAGGGAGCGAACAAGCGGAAGTCGTTCCCGGCGAGCAAATGGCTCTATCTGGGCTATCTCTTCCACCTTGTCTTCGATCGCAAGGCAGCACCGCCGTCGGCTGAGAAGGGGAGAAGGGATGACAGTCATACGGTGTAACTTGGGAGAATGCACAACACGTTGTGAGCAGACTTTACGACTATCGAGTTATTACGTCGTTGTATAACTAGGATCATGCGGGAACATTGATATTCAGAATGCTCTCGACGCTCCTCCCCGTCTCTAACTGTGCCCTAACGAGTTTCCATCCAGGAAGGGAACATACACTCCAGATCGCCAGACGAAAGATAACCTGTAATGTCTGTCGCCAAAATCTAGTATTAGAGTCTTGGCCACTAACCAGAACGCAGGAAGGGTGAAAGAAAACGAACGAAGCATCCCACCTTCTGCGCCGGACTAAAAATCCATGGAACCTAGCTGTATCTGTAGCACAGCCCGCTAGAGCAGAACTGCGCATCGGGCGCGCAGCACTGCCGGCTGCAGCAGATGTTGTACGGGCAGCAGAGGTCGGCGGAGGCGCAGTAGTACGGATAGTTGACGGGGCATACCACCGCGGCGGCGTTCATCAGGGCAGCATCATCATTCGGCTTGTTCGCTTTGTTGGGGGCCGCCACATCGGAGCTGGCGAGACCCGCGGCGACAGAGTTGTCGGAGAGCTCTTGCTCGGGCAGGGCTTGGCTGTTGTCGAGGGCGAGGGCCAGAGGGGCCAGTAGGAGAGCGGTGAGGGTGAGCTTCATTTTTTTTTTTTTTTCTTTTCGTCTTCTTTTTGAATATGTGGGTTTTTCAAAGAGAGCGAGATGTGAGGGGGTATTCTCTGGTTCTTGTATGTTTGTCCGATGGGATGCAACGAGGGCAGGTTGACGGAAGATGAGTGCTCGCTTTATACTTTATAGTTAGGTAGGAGGGTAATCAGACCTCAGCCTTGTTGAGGTTTGTAGGTATCACGGAGCGTGTGGCTCTGGCTCAGCTCGCTCGACGATCACCGTCGATCACCGCCGATCCGTCATTAAGACAGCACAGAGGAAGCTCACATGATTCGTGGGGTTGTCCCGGTGTCTTGTCTACGAGAACGGTTCCCTTCCACACTGCAGCAGTTCTGCGCTCCGGCTGAGGAGCGTGGACCACTCATAGTTCTGAGCGGTCGAAGCAGATCTGCACGTCCAACACTCTCGGCGATTGATTTCTTCCGTGCTGATGCTGACTGCCAGAACGTTAAAAAGGCCCAGCTGCCATGGCTTGCAGGCTCAGCCCCTGGACGCTAATAATGGTTGTCGCTTTGCATGACTGCATCAACCGTAGCTTTTCATCCTCTTTTTACAGACTGCTGGGTTGACACAGATCCTACTACTTCATCCCGTCTGGCAGCGGTAGAGTCTGAAAGTCCATCCTGTGCAATATACCGTATCAACGCTGCCTCGCCTGTTAACTGACCATCGTTGAGCTGTTTGCTGGGCAGGAAGACCTTAGCGGGATACTCCCGCGGTTTAGTTCCCGACAAGGATGTATTAAATTCTCCTGCCAATTCAATTGTATGATTCTGCTATGACCCGATTTGCTGCAAGAACACATCTTCCAGAGCCATTAGCTCGCGACGATACCATAGTAACCATCTTCAAAGTTCCGTTCCGAGCAGTTCAAACCGTGTGAACCTTTCCATCATTGGAGCCAATTCGAGAGGGTTAAAAGCTGTCTTCAAACTCTGCGAGATTAGAACCTGGACCGTAGCTGAGGAATGCTGAAAGACACCAGTCACCACTTACTTACCTGACGCCGGGGCGAGGGATCTAGTGCATATCCGTGCCCCTGTATTCGTCGGTGCCCGGCAAATCAGCCACGTCGGTATAGGGAACGTCGGAGTCGTCCGAGTCCCAGTCCTCGGTGGTCGGCTTCCTGAAAAACAAATCAAAAAGCCCCGTCAGTTCACGAGGGACGGGGAAAAGGAATGACCCATGGCACAACACAACACAGCACGTACCAGTAATTATATACGAGGGCCTCGGTCAGCTCGTACATTCTGCCGAAGAGTTCGGCAGGATCGGCGGCCCAGTATTTGGTGGAGATATGGTTCCTCTCCGCATCCATGGGCTCGTGGCGGGCATGGAAGCGATCCTTGGCCACGGCCTCGATGATGAAGTGCTCATAGTGCTGGACAAGGTTCCCTAAAGGTAATTTTCCGACGGGCAGCCCAGGGGCGGTTAGGAGTGACTTTTTCTTTCTCTTTTTTTCTTTACAATTCCAACTTACAGTGCCGCTTGACGTTGCGGCGTTGGGCTTTCGGCAGGAGGCTGACGGCGGGGAGCGCGACGCCGTTCTCCATCTCCTCGACGCGGCGCTTGACCATGCGCTCGTACTCGGCGGCGAAGCCGACAAACTGCTGCTTGAGAGCGCTGCCGCCCTGGGGCGCCTTCAGGCCCTGGCTGTAGTAGCGCTTGAGGTAGTCGCCGACGAACTCTTTGTAGACCACGTCGATGACGTCCGTGATCCAGACCTGCACCGCCGTCCAGCTGGTGAAGTCGATGAGCTCGCAGATCTCGCGCCGCTTGAGGACCATTGTGATGTTTGTAATGGGGGTGAAGTTCTGTGATGGGAAGAGGGTGCTTAGAAGTTTGGGAGAATCGGAGGTCGGTTGGAAAAAGGCGGCTTCTGTTGTAAGGAAGGAAGGAAAAGGGTTCTTTCGAGGAAATGGATCACTGATGCGTTCAGAGCGGGTCTTTATACCACACCCCCCGCCGAGAAGCTGCGGCCCCTTTGCGCCCGCAGCTCCGCCGGTTTACAGGGTTCACAGAGTTTCCTGCTACGTGTGACAGCCACCGCCGTGCCGGAGCCTGCTCACTGTGACAGAAGGCCAACTGTCGCTTGCGCCGCCGGGAGGTCGTGGTGGTGGAATGTGTTAACCCCTGCCAGGTGACAGATGTGCAACTCTGGCCCCGTCGCGCGGTCAGACAACTAAGACGATGCTCGATCGTGGCAGAGCAGTCGAGTGTTTGCTGCCGAGTTGTACAGCTGAGGGGGTTGAAACGGTTGTAAGTGTTACTCAGGGGTTACTATAACTGTATCTGTGATCCTAGCCACGGTGATCAGACGGCATGTGTCCGTCCCATCATGCCTTCGTCCCATCATTTTCCGTCCCATCATTTCCGTCCCATCATCTCCGTCCCAGTATTATCTGTCCTGCCGTGTATCTATCCTTAACGGTGACAGTAGGGAGTCCTCGTCTTATTGGGTAAGTGAATAGTACAGCTTATAGATTCTTATGTACTAGTATGTGTCCCCTGACACGATCTCAACCAGGCAATGTCAGGATGCTGTGTTGCTATGGCTCCATCTAGTTACACTGTAGTTATTAGTCAAGTCCACTACATATCTGTCCTCTATTGCATGGTTTCGTGTGTTTCCAGGCGCAGTGTTGTAAGCCATTGGGTATTGATGCCAGCAAAACCTAGATCATGATGCATACCAAACAGCAGTGAACGCCCAATTCTTGGTGGCCTCTGTATCTTGGAAGAAGGAATCTTGCAACCCTTTCCTGTCTTGCAACCCTTTCCTGTCTTGCAACCCTTTCCTGAGTGCCTTGATGGAGCCTTGATGGAGAATCGTGCAAGACTTCCTCGTTGATGCCGAACCTCTTTCAGCAAGCGAATTGAACTCTTGTTCTAACATTTATTGTTGTGGTGATAAAACTTAGCAAGATATGCTGGGCAATAGACTCCCCTCGTAGCGGTGATAGTCAACCTAATGATGGCGACTGGTAGTTGGGGATTGTACCTGACATAACATACTATCAAGGCCTGCTGACAAAACAACGCCTGGGGACCGTCGTCACCAACAGGACTACGTGACCATCTACGATTTCAGACACTGACTTGGAAGTTCCAAGTGGCCACTCAGTTGGTCCCTACGCCGAATTCACCTCAGACGATAGGCTCAATTTGGCTAAAGTTCTCTTTCTCTACAGAAGGGTCTTTGAACTCACATGATTTCGGACTACAATAAGTTTATCTCGGCTGAAGGTCCGATGACTGAGTCAAGAGGAATATGCATAGTGGCCGGTTAGTCCCTTGCCGTATTGTTCCGGCCAGTGTGCCGTTTTCAAAACTTGAAAAGCCGGCATGGTCTTTAGGAGAATGACTACCGGTAGCCCGTGGGCACAGGCAGAGGTCTTGAGTCAGAGCATTACCGAGGTGTATTCAAGAGCATAGGCGATTCCCAGAGCATTAAGGGCTGGATTCTTTCATACTCATAGATACAAACTTCCAGAAAAATAGCTTTCTTCTGGAGGCCATTGGGCACCTCTTGAGCCTCCACCCCAGCATCAAGAAAGCCGTACACCAATCAGCTACGATCCAAGCAAGTGAAATTAAACTGAAATGAGAAGGAAATAAAAGCAAGAGAGGAAAGAGTGAGAGTAAGAGGGAACGAGGAGAGAAAAAGAGGAAAGAGAAAACAGTGGAAGAAAATGAGAAGGAGATAATCTATCAGGATATGAAAAATGATAAAGCAGATGATAAGGAAGACAAGAAAGGAGGTCAGGAAGATGATAATTAATCTTCACCTAACGGGGAGCCATTTCAACTTTCGGAGCTTGTCATGCTGCCTCCTTCCTGCTCTAACTCTGAGAAGAGCAGCCTTCCCAGAGCCGACCTTGTACGAAAATATCAGGCATTCAGGGGCGCTCCCACATCTAAGACCGTGATCTTGGGCCGACATCCAAAGCTATTGTGGTCAGTCTCACGAGTGGCAGCGGCGTGTCATTGTGACAAGATACAAGAATTTCCATCATCGGGCAGCGGGGGCATCGGACCGCGATGGAGAACAAACCTTCTCGGCTGAATGAATCTTGGAAACCGAGAATAGAAATTGTTATTTACCCTAGCGCATCGTCAAATTCCGCTCCATGCTCCACCGACCCGCAGCCGATTGGAATCATGTTACAGTCAACCCTGCACATAACGATCAGGTCCGGGCCCACCTTTATCAAAGGCCCGCGGCCAGGCCCCCTAAGGTCAGCAGATTTACCTCTCCCGGCTTCGGGTCGCATTCCCGGACGAAAACAAAAAAGTGATCCAGCGCCGATCCAACACGATCCACACCTCTCATCCTATCTTGACTCTGACTCTCGACTTCCTGAGTGCTACGTGCTCCGTACCGGTGATACCCATTCGCCCCGGCTTCGGATCGTGGGGCCGATCAAGATGCTCCCATCCGCTCACTAGGTACCTTTCACAGCAGATAAAACGTTACCTATGGTTCCTTTTTAGTTCAGACCCTCACTGGCCCGGTCTGGACACCTCTAGAATTCGCTCATCATCCGAGACAGTACTGAGCGAGGAGCATGTTACCGTATCTGAGAGCGCTTATTAATGTACGGGAGAAAGGAGCGCCCGTCATTTGTTGCGCATTGCGGGACCCAGCCCGCCGACACCTCATTCCATGATCCTGCAGATGAGCATCGTCAATTCGTCAGACAGACAGGAGCTCTCCTTGGCATCTTGCAAACGTGTCTCGAAGGGGCTGGTTGGGAAGCAGGGATTGCAGGGGAACGGTGCAGAGGGCAACAACGTGTGGTGAATACGTACCTAGGACCCTAGGTACGGAATAGGTACCCTCCTTTGGTGGCTCGGCAGGTTAGGTAAGGTAGGCATCCCTTGTGCTCAAACTTTGCTTGCCTATCCGAGAGATTGTGATGAACGAGACATTGTTGCCGGGCAGTCCATCGGGACACATCATCATGCTCGAGGTGCTCTATCCAATGATGGTCTTGACGCTCGTTTGAATAACTTGAGGAGTCAACCGGGCGGAAACAGCCGCATACAGGTGTATGCTGTGCAGTCCTAACTAGTCGGTGGAAGGAGTAACTAAGTCAAAGAGGGGATGGTCATGGCAGTCTTCCAACCACCAATCACATCTCGACTGAAGGTAACTACGATATGTACTGTACTTACTCAGTGGACCTGCTCCTTTACCGTTTCCTAAACGGTAAACCCCTGCAGATGGCGATTCAACACTCCACTGACGGCTCACATGTGTCCCGACTCCGGGGCGCCGTTGGGGGGAAAGGGGGTAGGGGGGGTTGTTGGGCATCATCGACAACCAAGATGGCTGCATGCAACCTATCCGGACCTGTCATTTCCCACACACCTGTGCAGTAGCTCGCGCAGTAGCTCCACGAACCGTTCTCCCCGTCCCTGGTCCCCACTGCCCCCGCTCATTCTCGGCGACCATTCCCTCCTCGGGAGTAGTACCCCTCCCCTGCGCGTCACGGCCACTGTCACCCTGACTTGATTGACGGGTGATGGAATCATCCAGGGTAACTATGTAAAAGGAGATGACAGAATGCAGTTGCCCTGTCCTGATTTCTCGATCTCGATCCACTGCATCTCTCCAGTCTCCAAACAAAGGGGTCGACAGCGGCGGGTGTTCAGCCTTTCTCCGTCACATACTAACGTACATACATACATAGTGTATGTGTCGAGTCTTGAGTGGCTGCAGATGGTAACCTCAGCCACATGTTACTAGTGTTAAGCGCTAACTTGCATTACACTACTGCCATGCATTCGTCGCACTCATTTTGATAAGTTGATCTCTGAGGAGCGACAAGGACAGAGATATGACATGTCTGTTTTCTTCTTCTTCTTCTTTTTCCTCTTTTTCCCCTTTTTTTTTTTTTTTTTTTTTTTTTTTTTTTTTTTGGCCTGCCTCACAGCCGGGTTTCCTCCTCGGCCGTGCCGCTGCACAACACCCAAAGCAGCAATCAGAGTCTCGAGCTGATTGACTACCACATTGTCGGGACCTCGGCGAGACAGCGAGGTGCGGTAGTTTTCGCCAACACACACACAATAGCTTAGAGGACTTCCATGTCTGTTGGCGCGCGGTTGGCGCTATTTTGCTCACCGGTGCAGCAGGTGTTTCGACTCATTCGTCTTTCGATTCTGCCGCGAACGGACGGGACTAGAGGAAGGGGGGCAGGGAAAGAGGATGGGGACATCAGACGTTACCCAAACCCAACCGCCTAACAGTAGACGCAGGCAACCAGGTTTGGGAAAATTTCTGCAACCGTCCAATTCAATGGCTGGATTGTTTGCTTTGCTTGTTGGACGTGGTTTTCTTCTTCTGTTCTGGCCCCCTGACTGTGGCGACACCGTTCAACCCCCGCTCGCCATTGACCAAGTGAACGGGGGAGGGGAAGGGGTACCGGGAACGCAAGACTGATCTGATAATCGATGGAGATGTAACGCCAGGATCGGACGCCAGTTTCTTGTCAATGAAGGAAAATGAAATCCTGTATAGCGCCGACTAGAGCATCGTCTATCAAACAGGCCTATCGAACTGTATTTTTCAAACAGCCAGACAAGTGGTGGATACACAAATTCCAACGACACTTATTAAGGAGAGATTACCGAACATGATCGGTTGATGGAAGCTGGACTCTCAAATGGAAAGAAAGAGGGAAAAAAGGAGAAAAAGAAACCCTAAATCCCGAGCCTCTCTCCCGTGTTTTGCCAGCCTCTTGATGCACTCGTATTCATTGGTGCCACCGAGGCGCTTTCACCTTCTCCGCGCGCGCGTCGAGAGGGGGATATGCGCACTGCAATCTTCGCATCTGACTGCGTCAGGGCGCAGGTGAAACTTCCAGCAGCGGCAGACCCAGTAGCCCTGTCCGCGCTCGAGGGGCTTGCGAAGCTCGATCACATCGCCGGGACGGTACCACCGATTCCGGAGGCCGCAATCGATGCAGAAGCGCCGGACGCGCCAGGTCTCCTTCATCCGCTGGTCCATGTATGAGCCATCGCCACCGCTGCCGCTGCCGGTGACGGCGCTCGACGTGCTGCTATCGCGGAGGCGAGCCTTTCTTGCAGCCGCGAGCTTGAGGCTCGTCCCCGTTAGGCTTGGGTCGTAGTGTGGGTTTGAAGTCGGCGGCGCGGGGGTGTGAGGCGGCGAAAGGCTTGTCCTTGACTGCTCAGCATCGTCGCAGTCTTTCTTGGTCATGCCGCGCAAAGGTGACAGCTCGAAATGTTCAAGTCCCTTGAAGGTGAAGCAGTGGTAACAAGCGGACCAGTTCTCGAGCTTGCGGTTCTTCTCTTCGTTCAGCAAGCCGGCCGTCTTCTCGTCCTCCGGGAGCATGTTCGGGTGGAAGTTGTCCCTGAACCATCGAGAGACCTGGTATGCCCTGCGGCAGTCGTCCCACGTGAGATACGTCCGGATCTTGTTAATGACCTTTTCCGGAAGCTGCAAGTGAGACTTCTCTGGGACTTCTGGGTGGTGCGTCACGGGCGGACTGTGACTTAGCGGCGGCGTGTGGTATGGTACCAGGTCTGGCGAAGGTTGGTAGGCCGTCGTAACAGCGAAGGACGGATATAAGGGAGCATAGGCGTGGTAGGACAAGGGAGATGTGTGTTGTGGCAGAGTGGCGGCAGGGTAGCCGCCGTACGGAGACGCTCGTGAAACCGGTCTTGGAGTTGGGGCTGGCGAACAAAGAGGGTACGCAAGGGCGGCCTGCGCTTGAAGAAACTGGGACTGGCCCCTCGTCAGTGATGTAGGCTGAACCGGATGAGACGCCGGTGAATGCTGGTGCGACGGCCCCGAGTAATGCCCCCTTGAGTACATCGCGAGGCCTGCTCCCGGGTCGGAGATGCCGGACGCGGGTGACATTGTTCGCGAGATGCTGCCATGATGATGGGCATTGCCGTTGCTGTACGGTAACGAGTACGAGGCTGAGGAAGAGTTCGATGATACCGAGGCAGAGCGTGTCCCCAGCTGCTGGTTGGTCGGCATAGGAGACGCATAGTACACGTCGTAGTTGTAAGCCATGCTGCGATAGGACATGACCGTCGTTGGGAGTCTATGACTCGGTGCGAGTAGCTAAGAAAACTTAGAAAAGAGCCTTTTGAGTGATGAGGTTGCCGGTAGGTAAGGACGGAACTTGGGTGGTTCGTAGCGTGGATGGTGTCCGCTGAAATGACCAAGAGGCAGGTTTCTTCCGGGACAAACGCCGGAGAAGGGACTGATCCCCGGTCCTTATAATGGTGTTGTTGGCGTGGCAGACTGTGGCTGCGAGGGAGACGACAGATAATATTGCCTGCCGTTCTCGTTACGTCCGTGTATGGATAGCTGACTGGGGCCACCTGTGATTGACTGGATTGAGCACCGCGCGGAGATGGTCGCCTATCAAGCCGCTTCTGGGAGCCGCCGGGTGCTCTGCCCGTCAGGGATGACCCGGTTTGATGGCAGGAGGTGGTGTGCACAGCAGATGTATGTACAGTACATACCTAAGTACCGAGGAAATAGTATGGGCCTCCGCAAACTCAAGCTGGCCAGCCGCCCTGGGAATACTGATGTTGATCACTGCGATGAGGACTGTTGCCGGTCGGCTGAAGAGGTTACTGGTCAGACTCTGCCTAGCTCGACTGCAAGACGATCCGATTTTGGCGGTCAGCGATGCCGATAGTCCTGTTCAGGGACCAGGAAGCTGGCGATTCAGAGGTAAATGAGGCCCGGGGGGGTTGGTTCTGGAGATCATCTGACTGGCGCGGAACGCGGCCAGCCGTCGAGTCGAGGTATGTACAGTACATACAGCCTTCACCGTCGTGGTTCGGGACGGGTCAGGGGCGACCCCGGGCGTCGGTCAGCCTTGTGATTGGAAACGCTCTGTAAGACGTGCAGAAAGGGATCGAAGTCAAATATTGGGTGGCCTCTAGACCCCTCGCGGCAAAGTTGCTGAACCCCGCCGCCAGCTTCACAGAGGCAGTAGACTGTGGTTTGGCACGCCCTAGCCAGCCATGCACACTGACCGAAAGTTGGAGTCCTGTATCCCTAATACAAGATGCGACGCCACTGTCTGTCATGCACACTTTGAGTTTCGAATGACAAACGCCCTAACTTCAGCGAGTGAGGGAGGGGAAGCATCGCAGGGAAGAAGGGTGGTGACGAGAATCCCTGGCATAATCAAGGTGTCGGACGAGGGAGAGTTTCGGATAAACTTCGCGGGGGGAAGAGGAGGCATTCATGACCCCATGCGGCGGTCTCCGGCCCTGATCCCCCCAGTTGCCCCGACTGAGTACCCGGACTCAATGTCACGGCATGATCCGGATGAGCAAGGATCTGTCGCCTGAGTATTGCCCACCTCTTAGTGCGAAAAGACGGAACTTTCATTTCTGTGACTTGCCAGTTTACCTCTGCATTCTTGATGTACCAAAAGGCCAGCTCATTTGGAAGACCGCAGGATAAAGACATAAGGTACGGAGTAAGCGGCTGGCACTCTGTTCTGTCATGCCAAGTGGAGGCTTGAGCCTGGACTCGGCTTGCTCGAGAAAGATCCTTTCCTGTATGACAGGCTGGCTAACCTGTATTGGCTAGCTGATTGTCTTGCCTCGATGCGCCCCGATTCGAAGCTGCAAGGTGCGGTTGGCAGCAAACTTTCCAGCGCTGTCGCTTGCTCTTCCACTGTCCGATTTTGAAAATGATAGCTGGCCAGAGCTTCATCATCCGCATAACTCGCACAAAAGCGTTGGGAGGAACGTAAATACCACGATACCTCCCTACGACTGAAAACTCAAAGTAGGGCCATGCTTTGACAATCGCAGGGGGCTTTGCTCTGCGTCGGCTGGGTTGCATCAGCAGATTGAGAAACGGAGAGGAGAACGGCCCCCGAAACCCCGCAAGGTGTCAATGCCTAGGTACCTACCCAAGACGGCCTTGTGCATACAGAAGGAAGGAGCAACGCTGTTCGAGTGTGGTGCTCCACCTGGGCTACTATCCTTCGAACCAACAGTCTCTTGGCATTTGCGGACGTTTCCAATCAAGTCAGAAGTTTACCCCGGCCACAGTGTCACACAGTGCTACCATTCTGTCGGTATCCAATCATATCGCGGCTCAGCGCTGGCCATCAGTCGCTGGCCGTCGAGTTGCGCGGAGACCAAAATGGTCCCAGCAAATGAGAAAAATGTGAAAAGAGGAGGCGCGGAAATACTACACGTAGAGAGCTACCGCGATACGGCTTCAGAGAGGGCCACCCAAATGCGGCTTTGACAGCCATCGAGTTGGCGTCCAATGTGGTGCAACGTCAGAGAGGAAAAGGACATGGGACCGAAGCGGAGAATCAGCGAGAGAACAACTTAACACAGAACTTCTTCACACGCCAACTCCTTCCCCGAACCACAAATGAGGGCGGGCGGTGATGGGCCCGCCGAAAGCGCATTAGTGTATGTTTGCCGCAACAGATTGCAGCTGGGGGACCTCATTAGGGCCCTGCATGACAGGATGGGCGAGGTGGCCACATACGACGGAGGGCTCTCTTGCAGTTAGCGCTAAGACCCGCAGCGAAATTTGACGCATACTGTAGGTCTCAGTTCTCTCACTGTGATTCCCTCGGCCAACGAATCAAAATCCTCCTTCTGAATCGGGGAAGAGCAGCTTGGCAAGCCGCAAGCTTCCACCAAGATTTGACTTGTCGTCACGCCGGCTCACCGTTCCGGGGTTTCCCTATAGTGCCGTTCTGATAGCCATCATCTAATTCAGCCTCCAAAGTCGACCAGAGAGCAAATCTTGCAGAATACAGTAGAGTCAACGAGTAGAGAGAACCTACTTTAGTTCCTCACCCGATCATCAAGCAAGCGCAACCTGTCTCGTTAGCCGGCTGTCGGTGCCCTCGACACGCTACCTGTCCGCCAAGTGCTGTTCTGCTTGCGCGCCTCATGAATTGCCAGCATGATGTCCTTCTTCCCCCTATGGTTGACGCTTGTTATAAGGCTACCACCGGCGCTCATGCACATTAGCGGGCGCTTCTGCGGACCACCCACACCACAGGTCCGTCCGCCCTAGATATTCCCGTCTCAGCCCGCGTCTCGGAGAGTCCTGCAGGGTGGTTTGTCCCAATGACTAGGGCACCGCACGTTCTGGCTCTGATGTCTCCATCTTCTCTTAGAACTGCTGGATTTGCACTGATGAATTTATTTGTTTAGCTTGGGGGACCCAGTGAGCCGACTACCTAGCTTCTTAAGGTACTAGTACGAACCAGTATGGCGGTCCCTGCCTTGTTTGTCTCTTTGCTGTCTGCGGTTGGTGGACGCACCAGGAGGTTCACACTGCCCCAATCGAGGCAGCTTGACGCCTAAAAAGGCTGTAGGTCTTGCTGCAAGTACCTACCTCATGTAGAATCCTCTGCTTCACTGAGGCGTTGGCCCCGCGCCCTTTTTCCTCGGCACCCCCTTGCCTCCCTCTTCCGTCTCAGAAGTTCCCCGGTGTGAGCACTTCGACTTCCACAACCCACTATTCAAAATTGCTCTGTTGGTCGTCCGCCATGCGAAGGATTAGAGATGGCTGGGGAAGGAGCTTACACACTGGTAGTCTGTGAGTGCAGCTTCATAACCACTCACTGTATTTGAGGCATTCCGGCGTACCGTTGAGCAACTGCGAGTGCAAGCCGCGTCAGTTCTGTTAGGGGGGCGCAATCTCTTTTCCCTTCCCCCGAGACGCTGTACTACTCTTGCGGTTGGGTGGGTGTTTTCCTGTTGTCTTCCCTTCTCCCACGAACAGGATGGAAAGCCACGCCTCTCTAGCTGAGCTGGCACTGTTCATGGATGTTTGTCTAAAGATACAGGGTAGATGCTGGTAGAGCTCAGCCATGCTTCTCGCCCAGCGGTCTACGGAGTGCGGTCGCCTTTCCGGGCTGCTTCATGGCAAAAAAGGAGCGGTGTGCACACTGGAGATTAAACCGACGCCCCTTTTTGCGTTCAGCACGAAAGGCACAATCCCAAGCCAAACATTAGCTCCAGGCTGCATCTATGAAGTAGAGCGCCCCTGTCCGCCATTACACGACATTCAACGCAAAAGGTATATGTCTTTTCCTGAGAGATATACTGGAGCCCTGAACCTGAACTGGAAAACTCTGACCTTGATAAGAAGCGTCTGGCAAGGGCCCACATTGCTTCGCTCATACAACATATAGAAGGTAGAAGGTAGTACAGATGCAGTAACATCAGTCTGGTCGCCCTGCACGTCATGACGTTTGCAACTGTCAGTTGAAGGGTTTGCAACAAAGGATATGCGGTTCTGTTTTACACCCATACATGGGTCCAAGGGGCCGAACGAATAGGCAATCTAATAGCATTTGAGTTAATCTACATAAGGTACATTGTGCCCCAAGCCTCGGGAGGAGTCACGGTAAAAAGCAAGAGCTGTGTGCTCCTGAGGTCAGTGTCTTTGTACTGACAACGTACTGTAGGTACCTGTAGGCGGTGCACACCCAAAGCTCGTTTAAAACAAAGAGCTGGAGCGTTGCTCGACATTTCCACCGTCAAAAGCCCGGGAAATTCCAAGTCGCTTCTGCCGAGATGGAGATTCGTCTCCCGCCTACTCTCTAAGGCGTAAACATGGTTTTCGTCAGCCCCCATTGAAATTAGTTACTAGTATCGTAACACTGCTACCAACAGTAACCAAACAGGGCGCAGCACTGGCGGACGGTGCTCCAACGTGATATGCCCTTGGGCCGAGACATAACGGGGCGATACGGAGCCTGCAGCAAAACCATACACGGCAGGCCTGCTTCCGAACGGTACGGCTATGGGGTTCACCGTGGGATCGATTTTTCGGGGATTGTCCGTGGCAGCGCTATTCTCCGCCGTGGCTTGGGCTTGGCTAAGACGTCGAGAGTGTGGCTGCTGAACCCGTGTCATTTTATGTCGCGAGAGTGAGTTCTAGGACCATCTTACCTGAAACGGGCTGTTGTCGCCTTCGGCATCTGTGACGAGAGGCTGCAGCTCTAGAATTATTGGCCAAGGTGTAGAGTCTGTAGACCAGACCTGACTAGCCACTAGGCCGCTTCTCGTCGAACTCCGCGCTGGTGAAAAGACGAGTTTCAGGCCGTTCGAGTAACCGACAGGGTGACGATTGAGGCTGGTACCGGCATGTGAACGGAAGACCAGCCGGGGGAATGGACTCGTTTCCCGGTGCCGTCTATTGCCACATAATCTGGGTACGCAACCGCATGCAGGGGGGCGTTCCGATGTTTAAATATACCAGGGCGCCACGCAGCTCAGGCCTCAGGGTCATTCGTTGGTCGTAAGATGAACTTTAGCCATTGAGAGACTTTATAGCTTTCAGCGGGGCCGCGACTTCTGTGTGGTGGACATATTGTTCATCGTCCGCTAGCGCTGGTCAGAGGCTGGCTTCCGGTCATGGTGATGGCCGACAAGGTGAACGTTTGGGATTGCTGACCGGCATGGTGACCAAAGCTAGCTGATGGCATATGCTGGCTTCCCCATACCGTTGCATGTAACCCGAGCACACACGGGCCTGCCGGGTGTCCATTCTGACGTTGGTAGAAGAAACAGCCGATGAGTGTAAAGATGGCGACCGACTAGCGTTCCTGCACTCCGGCAACCGGATATAGAGGGAGGGCCTCCGTGTCGAGAATGAGATGAAGGGAGCAACCGATGTTGCCGGCGCTGTGAGGGTGGGTAACCTGTACACGGCAAACGCCTCGGCGCATCAGGGTGACGTCAATGTTCGTGTTGAAGTCACTAATCGCAATATTTCTTTCGCAACTCGTTGCTGTTGGAAACGTGAGACCTCCTCCTCGAGCCTCCGGCAGGATCAGTAGTTCTCCCCTGTCATGATGTCCTCCCCAAAACAATTGACAGGCTCCTCCAGAGTCGAGATCCCTCCAGATTGCGAGGCAGGCTGAGACACCAAGGTTCCCTCATCTTGCACCCCGAGATGGTGTCAACTGCTTCCGCCTCATCTTGAGACATTGGTGATGTTCGCTGACCCAGCGCTTCATCCCTGTGCCTCTGCCATGACCATGAACTCAGCCAACTTTGTTCTTCTCCCCTGCTTGGCATCAAACAAGCAGCAGTGCAGCTCTTTGCCTTCCAGTTTATCTTGCATCCCATACCTCTGCCATCCCATTATCCCCTTTCTTTAGGTCAAGCATAAATTCAGTCTTTAACTCTTTATAATCACCAGACCATCATTGCAACCATTATCTGGCACCAGAACCATAAGCTCATCCAGTCACACTTTCTCTCGCTAGAAACAACAGAGCTGCATCACTCAAGCACCTCGCATTTAGCCTGTGGCAAGGCATACGCACAGTAAGTCAGCCAACAATCAACGGTATCACCATATATCATATGACTGACTCACGCAGTGAGCACCAATCCAAGGAACATCTTCCAAAGTTCAGCCAACCGAATCAAAACGCAATCGATATGTCGTCATCCGGCTTTGCAAAGGAGAGCCTGAACGCTGCTGCTATAAGCGTGGAGACCCAAGACTCCTCCGTTCTTAATGGCATTTGCTCTGACGGGTCTGGCCAACACGACGTTGCAACCCTAGCGCTAACTCTGACCAACGGCAACGTTGTTACAGAGATATCTTCGCCGCGTATTGTATCCTCCAAGCAAGAATCCTCCAGGCAAGAATCCTCCAAGCAAGAGTCTCTGGAGAACGAGCCCGACGCCGCCGATGGAAGCAACGAGGAACCGGACCTCATCGGGGTTTCAGAACCCATTGCTGTTAGTACGCTTGAATGTTCCGGTCTAGCAACGCCGCCTATGGATGTTACCCTGGGCGAACAAGACAAAAGGGGGCCTGAGTTGGAGGATGGAAACTGTCCTAGTAGGACTCTTCCGTTGCTCGTGGATAAAACCACGAAGACCGATTTCGAGGCGTTTTTCAGGATCCAGCCATCAGAACTAGGCGGCTTGGGAGCATTCGCAGTACGAGAGCTGAAGAAAGGCGAGACCATCTTGGTTGAGAGGCCGTTGTTGCGGACGACGCATTTCCGGCTCATGGTGGATTATCACAATCTCTCCGAGGCGGCGAAGAAGACATACCTAGGACTCCACGGCGGGGGAGGGGATCCCTTCAACCGGGTCGAGCGCATCAAGAATCTGAATTCGTAGGTACTACCACTCTCGGAATATACGAGCCCAATTCCTAACCTGGAATAGTTTTGTCGTCCCGGGTGGGATTGCGATATTCGAAATTGCCTCCCGCTTTAACCACGCTTGCAGGTTAGCTAGGAATGTCGATTACAAGTTCGACGATGAGCAGGGTGTCCTCTCCCTAACCATTTCTCAAGATGTGGTCCCGGCGGGTAGCGAGCTCTTCATTAATTACGGCGGATCGCCCCTCGACTTATATTGGACTTACGGCTTCCGATGCAGGTGCGGCGGCTGTACACCACTGACTGATGAAGATATCAGGCGGCTGAAGGAGCAGGAGTATGGCATCTTCAAGTGGTAGCCAAACTACAGGCCCAGTCAAGGATTCAAGGGACTGCATTATTAAGAGCGCAGGATGGAGAGGTGCACGGCGTGGCTCGTCTCGTTGGTCCGTTAAGGAGGGAGCAGAAAAGTCAAGGTACCTTATGGTGAATAAGGACCAATTCATCATAACATTATGGTCAAACGCAGATCGATTTAATTCAATCTGCAGTGGGTGATAAAAAGGACGTTGCTCCGGTGATGGTGTCTTGGTAGGGTAGCTCCTTCCAGCTCCAGGAGAAGTGCAGGTGGCCCATGAGGTCACCAGGCAGTGACATCGGCAACAACCTGGAACTGATCCATGAAGCAACCTTGAAATCAGCGGCTCACACATAGCAGCCACATCTTGACGCAAAACAGTGGATTGGCATCAACGTCGTTGTGTGTGAGCGAGGACATCTTGGCATCAACAGAGTTGTTTCTTGAGAGAGATCCAGAAAAGCCGCTGAGGGACCAGACTTGTAGGTAGCGCTAAAACACCTGACTCATCCCTCCACGATGTATTGACTACTAGTATTTGACATGGAAGCACTGGGACTGGAACGGAACGAAAGCTGAGCGTTGATAAAGCAGCACTTCTCTATTTGCACCCCTTGGATGAAGGTATTTGTATGCCCTTCACAGATCACTCTAGGGATCTAACGCTACACATTGCCATACTCAACCTGACTGTGTAATTGAGAGCAAACTCGGCATCATCTAGGGCTGTCACGTGGCTGTATAGAGATACGCGGTGGGGTGAACGTATTGGCTTTTGCATGCTAAACGAATCCGAGCACCGAGACCTCGGCGCTTGCTAAGGGCTTGCTAAGTGGAGCCCATCCGGGGCATCCTGGTCGGCCCCAGTCTGCGTAAGGCCGGGCGTCAGCCCTTGGATCCCAACCCTTGGGCTTTTCCATTCCATTTCTGTCTGTCGCGGATCATCGCAGAGCCTCAACGCCGAGACGGGCGATCAAAGCTCCATGTATGATGTCGCCCTGCTGGGCTGGATCCAGACCAGGAGGAAAACAAGAACAAGCTGACATTTAAAGGCTTCGTTCGCATGGCCATTGCCTCGGGACTATGCCGGTTTTTATTCCTTATCTGGATTGGAGGCTGAGCAAACGCGGACGGCCGAGCATGCGCAGGATTTTCCAATATTGACTACTGCTCTCTAGCGGTTCTGGCAGGTGGATTGCACTGACTCAGCCGGAAAAGGTCCAATGAATGACAGGCCAGCCGCAGGCAGAAGCGGGCCTCACGCACGATGCAGCGTTGTTGGTTGGTCTTCAACATGCGGAGATCTTGTGCAGCTTGGCAACCGACGCTATCACCTCCCACTTCGGCTGGACGGCTCGATGTTGCGGGCTTACCTCCGATGCAGGAACAGAACCAATATGCAAGGCACGAATGCAAGATGAGGTGACCCCATCGCACAATCGCACGTGGGTGGCAACTCCCAGCATCCTCCCCTGATTCTGCGAGGCGCTGCGCTCTCTCACTCACTGGCTCGCAGGTTCAACAGGGCATGAAGAGCTCGGTAGGATGACCCCTTTGACGCCGCTGGCGAGACGGAGACTGGATGCAGTCACATCTGTCGCAGCTCCCTCAGCCCACTGGCGGTTGGGCTGTTGGGCGCGTGCGGGAGGGAGGGTTGCCACTGCAATGCGCCATGCACGCGTGATAATTTCCAGCATCCACCCCTGCTCGCGGTGACCGGACCGGGAACATGTGTCGTCGAGAGCGGAGGACATCGTGGGGAGTCCCCTGGTGTCCTCTGCCGCAGTAAGGGGGGCGGGATAGTATGAAAAGCTGGCAGTGTCCTCTGCCAGCCCCTTTCCCGTCCGGTCGCGTCTCCTGGTTCCTGTCCAAGTCAACACCAGACAACCGACGGCGTGCTCTTCCGGCCGTTGCAAGCGTTCTCGTTTGCGTCCTTTCGTTGTGTGTGCTTCGTGCCACCAGTCACTCCTTACCCGACCCGGCCGTTCCTTGGCCCGTCACTCCTTTCTTGTATACTCACTTATACTCACTCTCTATTCGTAATGCTCACCAAGACCCTGGCCATCGCGGCCCTCGCCGCCGCCCCGGCGCTTGCCACCCCGGCCGTCAATGTCTACTGGGGATCGGGCCCCGGCACTGACAGACTCCGGGACTACTGCGACAGCACCGGCTTTGAGATGGTCACGCTCGGCTTCGTCAACAGCTCGCCCGAGAACGATCCGTCGGGCCTGAGGTACCCCGGCACCGACTTCGGCGGCCACTGCGTCGCCGCCGCGTACCAGAACGACGACACCAAGGTCAACTCCCGGCTTCTCAGCCAGTGCGGCCTGATCTCGGCCGACATCAGGTACTGCCAGAGCAAGGGGAAGAAGGTCCTGCTCTCCATCGGCGGCGAATTCAACCCGCCAAAGGCAAACTACACCGTCTCGAGCGCCGCTGAAGGGCGCCGCTTCGCCCAGTTCATCTGGGGCGCCTTTGGTCCCTACACGCCCGCGTGGAAGTACACCAGCGGGATGGGCAAGCCAAGACCCTTCGACGACTGGTATGAGGGTGAAGGCCCAGAGCACTTCGTGTTTGACGGCTTCGACTTCGATATTGAACACAAATTTGGTAAGCCACTCGCATCCTCCAACACAACATAGCCCGACATGATGCTAATACTGCCTCATAGATGACCAGTCCGGCTATGTCGCCATGGTCAAGGAGCTTCGTGATTTGACCAGCCTGGACACGAGCAAGAATTATCTGATCACGGCCGCACCCGAATGCCCCACGTCTGACGAATGGTTCAAGATGAAGACCATCATCTCCCAGAGCCAGTTTGACCAGTTAAACATTCAATTTTATAACAACCCCGTCTGTGAGGGCTCCAAAGTCAACTTTAAGGACTGGACGACTTTCCTCGCAAACACCAAGAGCAAGAAGGCGAAGATATTCATTGGTTTGCCCGGTTCTCCGGCCGCCGCCACCTCGGGCTATCTCCCGCCGTCCCAGGCAGGCGATTTGATTAACCAGTACAAGAACAACCCGGCGTTCGGAGGCGTCATGGTGTGGGATGCCTATTACGGCAGCAAGAACGCCAACGACGGGCAGGCTTATATCGACTTCGTCCACGAGGCAGCATGTGGCAAGCCAACCACGACCACGACTAGCACTGCCCCGACGGCGACCCCGACTGCTTGCGTTCAGACCTACATAGTCCTCCCGGGCGGAAATTGCTTTGACATCTCGAACAAGTTCGGGTTCGACGTGGCTACGCTAAGGAGCCTCAACCCCTGGCTTAACGACGATTGTTTACTCAACATCGGCGATAAGCTCTGTGTGAAGCTCGGCTTCCCACCCGAGACCACCACCACGAGCACGGAGACCTGCACGGAGACCTCCACGGAGACTTCAACCGAGACTTCCACGGGGACTGCCACAGAGACTTCTACCGAGACCTCCACCGAGACCCCCACGGAGACTTCAACCGAGACTTCCACGGGGACTGCCACGGAGACTTCCACCGAAACTGCCACGGAGACTGCCACCGAGACTTCCACGGGGACTGCCACGGAGACTTCCACGGGGACTGCCACCGAGACTGCCACCGAGACTGCCACCGAGACTGCTACGGAGACTGCCACCACGAGCACAGAGACCTCCACGGAGACTGCCACCGAGACTTCGACCGAGACTTCGACCGAAACCGCTACGGAGACTGACACGGAGACTGCCACGGAGACTGCCACAGAGACTGCCACAGAGACTGCCACAGAGACTTCGACCGAAACTGCCACCGAGACTGCCACCGAGACTTCGACCGAAACTGCTACGGAGACTGCCACCACGAGCACGGAGACCTCCACGGAGACTGCCACCGAGACTTCGACCGAAACTGCTACGGAGACTGCCACCGAGACTGCCACGGAGACTGCCACAGAGACTTCGACCGAAACTGCCACGGAGACTGCCACGGAGACTGTCACCGAGACTGCCACCGAGACTTCGACCGAAACTGCTACGGAGACTGCCACGGAGACTGCCACAGAGACTACCACGGAAAGCTCCACCATCACCTCGGCTCCTGAGACCACTACCACCACGAGCGCTAGTGCTGCCACTAGCACCTCGACTGATGATGACGATACGTGCCCGGATGACGAGACGAGCACTTCGGCCACGGAGACTGCCACGGCAACTTCCTCGACGACCGCCACCGAGACTGCCACCGAGACATCCAGCGAGACGGCCACGCAAACGTCTATCGAGACTACCGCAGTGACCTCCACCGAGACTTCCACGGAGATCACTACGCCAACGTCTAGCGAGACTGCCACGGAGATCACTACGCCAACGTCTAGCGAGACTGCCACGGGGACCTCGACCGAAACTGGTACTGCGACCGCCACGGAGACTGCGACCGCTACGGAGACTGCGAGTGAGACTTCCACACAGTCCCAAGTCGGTACCAGCTCGACCACCACCGTGTCGCAGAGCTATACGACGTCGACGATCTACACGACGAGCACCTACACCATCACGTCGTGTGCGCCCACCGTCACGGACTGCCCGGGCAAGGTCGGCCAGGTCACGACCGAGACCATCGCCGTCAGCACCACCGTCTGCCCCGTGACGGCCACCGAGACGGCGGTGCCCCAACCGACCCTGTCGCTTCCCGCCGGCTGGACCACGTCAACTGTCTACGAGACCACGACATACACCATCACGTCGTGTGCGCCGACTGTGACGGACTGCCCGGGCAAGATCGGCCAGGTCACGACTGAGACCGTCGCCGTCAGCACCACCGTCTGCCCCATCACCGAGGTTTCCTCCGCCGCCGCTCCCGCTTCGTCCTCGAAAGCGCCCGGGCTCGAGGAGGTGGACTCGACCTCGACGACCAGCGTCACCACCACCCGCTTCACCACCCTGACGGTGCCCAAGCCTGGCTCCACCACCATCGGCCTCCCCGTCTCCAGCGGCGCGCCGTCGTCCAACCAGCCGCCCGTCCAGTCCTCGCCAGCGGCGTCCTCGTCATCGTCGTCCAAGCCGGCACCGTCGGCTGGCTTCTCCACCACCGCACCGGCCCGCCCCACGGCTACGCTGCCGGTGACTGCTGGTGCCGGCCGCAACGTGGCCGCCCTGGGTGCTGTGATGGCTGCTGCCATGTTCTTTGCGCTGTAATGGGAAAAGTTGGTGGGGACGTCTAGATGTTCTCATTTCTGGGTGGTCTCTTTTATGCATTTTTAGGTTTCTTGGGTAGCCTACCTATGTGACGAGCTTAATGTAGGATATCGCCTTTTCTGTGTGTTTGGAAAGATTTGATGATGTGAGAGAATTGAAACAATGCTTTGGTTAGTTTTTGGCCTGGGGTACTGAAATGGACTCGTACTTTGGGCTGCCCTGTGTAATGTTGGATGTACTAATAAATGAAGTTCTGTTCTCGCCAGGAGATTGACGATTAATAAACCACGACTAAAGGCAGGATAGCCAGGAACGTAAAAATGCGCAAGGAGGCGAGCATAGGATCGCAGAGCTACAATACTGGATCGACGACGCGCTATCCAACAACGGCTGTTTACGCAGGTCCAGCTGTAGCTTCACAAGTTCACAAGAGACTAGAAGAGGCCGAATTACGAACACTGTCAGATGAGTGCGCAGGGGTCAGGGCTGACGCGAATTGTGAGTCCGTGACATGGACCACGCTTAGTGTCCATATATTCAGATCATACTCTCACACTTACTCGGAGCATTACGGGTCATGACACTAGAAGTGATGTTTGCTTCATTTGGTTGGTCTCTGGTGCACAGAGTGGTGGTTGCTCGAAATACAACGTGCACCATACCTTCGCTTATTAATCTTCATTTTCACCTTCGTCCTTTTCTCCCAATCTTTCCTTCTCTTCCTCTTCGGCTTGTTCCCTAGGTATTTGCTATTCGGTCTTTGTCCCCCTTTATTCTCCGTTTCACCCTATTTGTTTGACAGGATCTTGTTATATTGCGGCTTTTCTTAACTAGAGCGAGAGCTATCACAGATATTGTATTGTACTGTAACAATATAATCAATACATACGAGTCCATAAAGGATTTGTAATCTTCAAACGGTATTGTACGTTGTATTGCGATTTCAGACCACTTGCTCCGCGCACTAACCACCCGTGGAAAGCCTCCAATCATCGCGGCCAATCGTGTGGGACAGACTCCCTTCCCTAGCGACGCCGGCCCCGACGCCGCCTCGCTTCTCAGTGTTCTCACACCTCGTGTCCTCGGCCCAAAGCTGAAGTATGAAAAGGACTTCTTAGAAGTTTCAAAGAGAGCGAAACTCTATGCAGACTTGTCTGCGTCATCATCTCCGCCCCCAAGCACCCTCCTGTCTTATCTCTGGGCTGCGCCCACACCCCTTTCCAATGCCCTTCCCTCCATCGCGAGTCTTGCATGATGGCCACCATCGAGCCATGGCTCACGAACCTCCTCAACAAACCCCAGAGTCCTGATCTGCCGCCCCTGCAGCCGTTGGCCTCGAACGCTGCCCCGAGCCACCCGCTATCTCTTCCCCCGCTCGGAGCGGAACTCGCCGGCAGCCTCAGACCCGACAGGTCCGTGCTGGCTCAAACGGCCTCGCTTCACGCCGCCGCCAGTGGCCGCCTTGCGAAGCCGCTCGCTCGGGCGGACGATCCATCCCTTCTGCACACAGCGTCTATCCGACCGCTTCAGCTCCTTCTCAGCGAGCCCCGGCCAGCTGTCCCCGCGATCCCCCTACGGACGATTGTGGATGACGTTCCCAGGAGTCCCGAAGATTCCTTGAACAAGAAGCGATCCAGGGAACTGAGCGCCAAGGAGGACCTTGTGCAGTTGCCAAGGTTGCCCAAGAAGCAGAAGTCGGCTCAGCAGGTGGTCCCTCCGATCATTGCTGGCCTCCACGAGCCGCCACCCGACCCGGCAGTCTTTCCGCCGATCACATCGGCTTCTTTTCACGACAACGAGACTTTCGGCCTGGCATCATGGAAAGATGTCGGGAGCTGTCCTGAAGACCGGCCCGTCGCGTCCTCCGTTGCCGACCCTGAGTCTAGCAACCCTCAGAAACCGAAGAGGCGGCCTATGAAGCCAAGAAGGAAATGGACTGAGGAGGAAACCAATAACCTTCTGCTGGGCGTGAGCCGCCACGGAGTTGGAAGGTGGACAAATATTCTGGAGGATCCCGACTTCAAGTTCAACGGCCGGACCGCAGGAGATCTGAAGGATCGTTTCAGGACTTGCTGCCCCGAGGAACTGCAGTTGACAACGACCGAGGAGCAAACCGGAAACGTGGAAGCGGTTGCGGCAGCGACGCCGGAAGGCAACACGAGACACAAAAATGGATTGCATCTCGAGGATATCTTAATACCACCCGGCGATGATGCTGCCGCCAAAGATGAGGACTCACCATCCGCACTCCAGGAGACCGATAGCGCCCCGAGGGGAAGGAGGAGGCGGGTACACCGCAAGAACCTGGAGGACTTGGCGGAGCTGGGGATCCACGGCCCGTTCGAGAAGTCGCATCGTCGGAAACGCCGACCTTTCACTAAGCAAGATGACGAGGCAATTCTAGACGGCCTTAAGCGCTACGGCCCTTCCTGGACGAGGATCCAGCGGGACCCTCAATACAATCTATCCGGCCGACAGCCTACCGACTTGCGTGACCGGATTAGAAACAAGTATCCCGATATCTATGCAAAGATTGAAAAGGCTCATTTCCTTAAAGAGGTCGCTCGGGAAGCTGCCCGCGAGGCTGCACGCCACAAGGCCGAAACCCTCGAACCATCTGTCGACCTGAACTCGGAAACATTACGCGGGTCTGCCATTCTTACGTCATCCTTGGAGCCTCAACTACATCGATCTGGCTCAAAGGAAGAAATGGTGAGGCGGACAACGACGCCGTCCGCTTACGAGTCGACTGAGACTCTTCCGGCGCTGGCCAATATCTTTGACATGATCGAGCCTCACGCTGCATCTCTCTTGGGCAACCCACCAGACATGGACTTGAGTCACCTGGTGCTCGACGACTCTCATCCTTTTGGTGAGCGGCGACTTGGCCATTGCAGGTAGGGCGTAAAGGTCTGCACTCTTGAAGACTTGGCCACTCGAGATATAGGTGGTCCATATACTTTTTTGATCGCAGTTTCGGAGGATATTGTGTATTGCTTCTGGAGTTCTGGAGTTGTCGGTTATCTTCGGGTCTTGCTAGGGTTTTGTTTCTGAGACGTCTTGCGATACCACAGGCAGTGTCGTCAACATCGTAAAAGACGCTGTTTGCCAGAGCCACACGCTGGCTTTTGGTTGAATGAAACATGGCCGGTTTACAGGTTAGATAAGGGAGCAATCTCTATCTCGGATGAGAAACACTTCTCGAATGTTTCACATCGCTTTTTTGCTGTTGTACAGGGTCTTATTGTCCGAGTTTTGCTCGGCCGTGCCTACTACGTACTCAGCAGCTCAGACTTGTCATTCATAAATGACTTATTGGCGGCAACTAGTCTAAATAATAAACCACCTTACTAACTGAGAGCCCCGAGCCCGTTCATGGGACTTCGGCGGTAACGGAAGTGGACAGCAAGAGTCAGCAGTTGGCATGAGGTCGAGGACAGCTCACCCAGATCCCTAACCCTGGCTGGTGATCCAAACCTACAATCAAGCTTCGCGCACGGGCCGAATGGAAATTCTGCCCTTCTTAGTTCTTACCGCCTAGCCCGACCCACCAAAATCGCTAGGGCTTGAGGCACAAAACCAAATTTCTGATTGATTCGCTCGCGCTTCCACTTCGCGGCATTCCTTTCACTTTCCCATCGACCTGCACATCGACAACAGCCAGCCAAGATGGGTAGAGGACCGTAAGTGCTTTGCTTCCATACGTGCACAAATGCCTTCCAGATTTTTTTGGGCTGGATTGCAAGCTCGAGATAGTGATATCGCGGGTTCTTGATCGCGGATCCCCTCACCTGCGCGATTCGAGGTCCTGAAACGCCATGTTCTGACCCGTGGACTACAGGAAGAAGCACCAGAAGCGCCTTAGCGCGCCATCGCACTGGCTTCTCGACAAGCTGTCGGGTGTTTATGCCCCTCGGCCGTCGGCTGGTCCGCACAAGCTCCGCGACTGCATGCCCCTGATCGTCTTCGTCCGCAACCGCCTCAAGTATGCGCTCAACTACCGCGAGACCAAGGCCATCATGATGCAGCGCCTCGTCAAGGTCGACGGCAAGGTCCGCACCGACATCACCTACCCCGCCGGCTTCATGGATGTTATCACCATCGAGAAGACGGGCGAGAACTTCCGCCTCATCTACGACACCAAGGGTCGCTTCACCGTCCACCGCATCCAGGACGAGGAAGCCAAGTACAAGCTGGGCAAGGTCAAGCGCGTTCAGCTTGGCCGTGGGGGTGTGCCATTCTTGGTTACGCATGATGCGAGAACGTAAGTTCTTACGACATCTGTCAGCCGTTGGACCAAGCTTTGGTTGGACCGTCGGATTTCCTCCCTCCTTGAAGGTGGAAATCACGGTCAGAAAGAGCGGGGATCTCTACGGTTGGTATGTCACAATTATTCCCCTGGTTAGCTAACGATATCTCGGCAGCATCCGCTACCCCGACCCGCTCATCAAGGTCAACGACACGGTCAAGATTGACCTTGAGACCGGCAAGATCACCGACTTCATCAAGTTCGACACTGGCGCCATAGCGATGGTGACTGGTGGTCGTAACATGGGTCGTGTCGGTGTCATTACCCACCGTGAGCGCCACGAGGGTGGCTTCGGCATCGTCCATCTCAAGGATGCCATCGACAACACCTTCGCTACCCGCGAGACCAACGTCTTCGTCATTGGAAGCGAGAAGCCCTGGGTTTCCCTTCCCAAGGGCAAGGGTGTCAAGCTCAGCATTGCTGAGGAGCGTGACCGGAGACGGGCCCACGCTCTGGCTGGTCACTAAATGGGTTTATGACGGATATGGGCAGGGCATTGGGTTGCTGATCTTACAAAAGCATGCTGGATGGAGTACCGGATGTCACTTTAGTTTAGGCTCGGCAAGAAGGCCTCTTGTTGACTGGTATACCCGGGTCAGAAATCGACCCGAATACTCAACTGCCCTTCCGCATGAGAAATGGCCTTGTTGTCCCCGTTCGTGTGCCTTGCATACCTCGCACTCTGGGATATCATGCTTCACGGGGTCTAGACTGTTGACTCTGGAGGTACCTGAGGGCGACTTCTTTAGCTGCCTCACCCGTCTTCGAAGCGGTGAGAATGTACGGTATCACATCTCATCCCATGCGTCGGGCTTCCTCAACGGGTACATGCGCGCAGGTTTCTTGAGCCCAATTTCCGAGAGCCGGAGTAAGGATAACTTTCAGCTGTCTGTCTTCCAACTCCTATTTGCTCAACGCTTTCCAGCACAGGTTGTTGACCGAGCTGCAGCAGGCTTCTGCTGCGCGACCTCTCGCCCACCCAGACAGACAAGCAAAAACCCGCAAGCGCACTAATTTCGCTGTGTGTGTGTGTGTGTGTGTGTGTGTGTGTGTGTGTGTGTGTGTGTGTGTGTGTGTGTGTGTGTGTCTGTGTCTGTGTCTCTGTGTGTCTGTGTGTGTGTGTCTCTGTGTGTGTCTGAGAAGACCGGGGCATCAGATCACTCCCGGCTGTCGGTCACTGCTTGAAGGGGCGCGCGAAGCGATTTGTGGTAAAAAGGAGGAAGACTTTTGAGGAGGGGGATCCTTATTTCCACACATCTTTCTTTCTGGCGCTTATGCGGTGTGGTGTACCTTGCTTTTTTTTCTTTTTTTTAATGCTTTTTTCTTTCGCTACTCCCTTGCCCGGCTCTATCCTGCTGCCCTGTCCTGAGTGCCCTCTTCAGCGTTCAGGCGGTCAGGAAGTGCTTGAATTGCTTGAACCCCCACGCCTGCCTGGCAGCATCGGGCATAAGGCAAAGCGGGCGAGGAGCGGCGGACCAAGAGGCGGTGGAGAGAGAGGTCTCTCGAGGACGTTTCCGAGCTCTGCAGATTCCGTATTGAGGGGGTTTAGGTTGGTAGGTTCCATGCTGAGGGGCTGAGGGGGTGCAATCCCGAGTTGCATTACCTGATCCTGAATGTTCCCAGCCGCGGTTAACGTAGGTTATACTTGCATATAGGGACACGGCAGTCTTCGTAGCAAGAATAAGTTTGTTGTGTATTTCCATTTGCTAATTGCACGACGTACTCTGTCGTTGTGTTCGGCAACCACGGAGGGAAACAGGCAGGTAGTCACCTGATACTCGAAGCTGGATGTAACATAGAGGATCTGGGCCTAGGTATTTATGTGATGTTGTTGCTGGGGTAGAGTTACTATATCCAATAATAACAGTTGCTGGGCTAAGCATCCTGTGTCATTGTAACCTTTGACCTCAATGTGGTGTTGATCGGAAGCGTCCATTGTCTCGTGGCCATGTACAATACAGATGTGGCGGACAGACTTTTCAACACGGAAATTAAGTCTTCATCCTGCATGTTGTGGCTGGTTTGACAGTCCAATGGTTCGCCTCTGGTGAAGGAATGTGTGAGATCGATCTCGTCTTCGGAAGAGCCTGGTGACTTGATAATTTGATTTCATCACCCCTCTTCTTGGCACCATATGTTGGTAAAGTTCGAACTTGTATGGCCAACCTAACCCGTGTGGTTGAAAAACGGTCTGAAGTGGCATAGGCATGTTCGTACCAGACAGGTATTTGGAGGAAGTGTTCATCGATCCAGCTGACGGTTGTGCAGGCCGGATAGATATCCACCCCCTTTCAGCTCGGGCTGCCGGACTTCCAGAGATGGACGAATCCTGAAAGGCTGAGACGGGGCATGAGGTGTGTTAGCAGTGCCACTCTGATATTCAGTCGCGACTCGCGAGGCAATTGGACCTCTTCGCCGTAGTATGTACATAGGTAGTAATCCGTATCTTCTGCCGACCGCTTAATGATGTGAGGATGCGGGATCAGAGGTCTCGATCCGGTGGACACCCACATTCCTCCAGACCAGAACGCCATCCCCGACCCGCGATGCTCCTTGTTGGCGCTCCCGATTCCGGTCAGGAGAAACGAACGCCGAAGCAACGTGCCGAAATGGACGCCTCGAGAGAAGCCAACGCGGGGGTTGACATCCGTAGTGTGGAGTAACGCGTCAAAGCGCCGTGTGCATCCGCAACGGGGAGTCCTCATGCATGTTCTGATGTGCCTTGCAGCTGGCTCAGATCGATGTCACGGGCGGGGAACATCGGGCGGGCTGTGTGCATTGCAGAACATTCTCCGCCACATACACATGCACCTACCGTGTAGAGGACGGGCGGTCAGATGTTGGAATGCATACCTAATAATACCGGTTCTGGCAGTGACAGCCAGGTCTGATCTCATGATGATCGTCTTCTTCAGGCCGAAATGCAGTGAACGGCGTGAGTGGTTGTTATATGCGGGATTGAGCTTCCAGAATCTAGATGTCCCATATATCCATGGAGGTTGCCTGCTCGCTGCACTCGTCGGATGGGCGTGAGTTGAGCCTACTCATTGTACAACACTAACGACTTCCCTGACAGCCAGGAGTCTTGCTTTTTTATTAAAGCGCAAGTGTCGATGGCCAGGCGTTTGTGGGGCAGTAGGTACGATGATGAGAGGAGGAAGCTTGGCATTGATTGCCACTGTAAAATACAATACCTTGTGGTGTAATGTATGTAATGTACAGTACAGTACAGAAATGTTATTGTTCTCGTACAATCACGTTAACTATAGGAACCAAGCACCAATCCTGTCCCTTCTGGTTAGTCGCATTTCCGCTTAGGTGACTCTGGCGCCATGACCAGTGATGAACCTCGAGTTCCATGATCATCAGGGAGCACCACCTCGTCGGGACTGCTCAACCGTCAGAGCGGGGTTCTCAGATGCAAGCTCACGTTGTACCTTACACCACTGGCATTAGTAGTATGTTGTAGTACGAAGGGAGCGTGGTGCTCCGAATCGACGCCCTGAAATTCCCAATACCGTGGACAGCTTTGCAACCCTCATGGTGCAACCCATTAGTAACTTCAATTCAATCCCATGACCTTCCCCGCATATTGACACCCTGGAGAACCACCCGGCATCTTGCGAAACCAAGATCAACGACCCAGCTCGCCGGCCTAGGTAACACTACGCCTTGACTCCACGTCCTTTTGCCTCGATGTCCGGGCTGTGGTGGCAGCACTTGGTGAACTTAACGTCGGCGAGAGTCGGGGGGTTTGGTGATAACTGCTCGAAGAGACTTCACCTCACCTCAGACAACCTAAAGTCTTTGGGGACACGTCGTTCGGACATGGAGCACAGCACGTGCTGGCTCGTTGCCGCTGGCGCAGGACAACTGCACAATGATCGCGTGGCTTCAGCCCAATGGTGGCTGGCCAGACAGTGAGAGTGGGAATATTTAGAGTTACACCGCCCAATCCTGTGTGTTGCAGAACTTGCAGGCCACTGCAGGGTTTCAGCTGACATAATATTGTAAGGTATCTCAGAACTTACTTACCACTGCTTACCACCCAGCGGCTGCAATAATGTACGGAATAGTTGATTGAACTGTTCCTCTTGCCTCGTTAAAGGAAGCCTCGATGAAAGAGACTTAGAATTCGGGATGCGAGAATAAGAAATGGCGGGCGAAATTACACCTACCTGCAGCACTCTGCATCTTGCATACATACCTAAGGTACTCAAAACGCTGACGGAAAGCCTGGGCCTGTCTTGTCGATATCGTCGTCAGGTACAGACCAACTTTCAGGTTCACCCCACCCACGGTCAGCGTCAGTCAGTGGGTATGAAACGCTCCAACCCTCTTCGGTGTCAGCCACTGGCACCATGAGTTTCTTAGCTCCGAGTCCTCTTCACTCCACTGCCATCCGCGTCGGATCACGGGACGGCCGCAATGAGGTGGTGCGTCAATTACTTCTCTTCCGTTCCGACACGCCCGCGTGTGCACGACTCGCATCTTCTCAAGCTCTTCTCCTACTTAGCCAAGACCTGTTAGCTTGTGTACCGCACGTTCGTTCGTGCAAGTTCATGTACAATACATACATACTAGGCCGGCCAATGGAGGTCAGCAACGATTCGCCTCTTCACATCCCTGCGCCCTTTCTGCCCAGAGATCCAACCCGACCCTCAACACCTCAACCTACAGTCTACTGCTGGACATCGCTTCTCTACGGAAAGCGTGATTGGGTCGCGTGCTGCTCCACCTGCCCTGCATACCGGTCCGAATCTGGAAAGTAGCCAGTGCTTATAAAAGAGCCGATGTCTGTTCTATGCCTACCCACTCTCTCCCCCACGAGCGCACTCAAGCGCGGTTTGATACTAGTCGTATCGCCCACTATGGTCTCCCAGTAGCCATAGCCTTTACTCTATCTCATTCTTATCTTTACCAAACCCCTTTGACCCTGCCTCCTAGAGAGCTTTGTGCGGTAAGCCTCGCTCTGTCTCTTACCCGCTCTCACCTGGCCAAGTGTGTTGAGAAGTGCTGGGAGAAGCGCCGTTTATCACCAGCTGTCCCAGACAGGGTAGTGTTGGGCCGACAAAGGGAGTATCCGGTTTGGAATGACGGACGCTTCCCGGGTGTTTGGAATACGCGTCTAAAAAAGGGGGGTCGACCCAGTTACAGACGCCGTTCGTCCACTGTTGGTACAATATAGTTTGCCACCAAGAGTGAGCGTCGTTTTTATGCTTGGGATGCTGCGGCGCTTTTCCGGCATGTCGGCAGTCCGCTTTACCAGGGCGGCGAGGCCTATCGGCCGATCCGTGGCCACCCCGAATAACACCCGTCGCGCTGCCGTCAGGCAAAGTTTCACGACTTCATCCATCCGACGCGGCCCCGCCGGCAACAGCCAAGGCAGCCGAGCTGCTTCAACATGGTCACTGCCCAGCGTCTTTGCTGTTGCCGCAGCGGCCGGCTTGCTTGGCTGGGGCGCCTCGGAGCTCCAGCATCAGGGTTTTCCCGGTGCCGTTTTGCTTGACGGCACGTTTCCGGCTCCCCGATATGCAAGCATGCATGAAATGGAGCAGGTATGTTGTCTGGGAATCCCTAAACATCCGAGGGCCAGGGCGGCAAGACGCTGAAGAAAAATGTCCCACTGACTGCATTTGGTTGCGTGACATCATCACAGGCTCTGAAGGAGATCCGCCAGGAGATACAGGGCGAGGATATCATCTCCACCGACCCGGAAGACCTACACGCGCATGGATATTCGGAGTGGTCAACAACCAATCCAGAAGGATTACCTGTCGCAGTAGCGTATCCACGCTCAACGGAGCAGGTGTCGGCCATTGCACGCATCTGTCACAAGTACCGCGTGCCAATCATCCCCTATTCGGGCGGCTCCAGCCTGGAAGGGAACTTCTCTGCCCCCTTCGGCGGCATCAGCGTTGATTTCGCCTACATGGACAAGATTGTCCAATTCAACAAGGAGGACATGGACGTTGTGGTGCAACCGAGCATTGGATGGCAGGACCTGAACGAGCAGCTTGCCAAGATGGGCAGCGGGCTCTTCTTCCCCATCGACCCTGGTACGTGACCGTTGGACGGATGTATGGATGTATGGTGTGCCTGAGTGCAGCGCCGGGCTGACAAGGACATGACAAAACAAAGGCCCGAGCGCCAAGATTGGTGGCATGATTGGAACAAACTGCTCGGGCACCAATGCAGTCAAGTATGGGACGATGAAGGACTGGGTCATCAATCTCACCGTGGTGCTGGCCGACGGGACTGTCATCAAGACGAGGCGGCGGCCGCGCAAGTCCTCGGCTGGCTATAACCTCAACGGCTTGTTTGTTGGCTCGGAAGGTACCCTTGGTCTGGTGACCGAGGCAACCCTGAAGCTGGCCGTCGTCCCGGAGGAATTCTCGGTTGCGGTTGTGACTTTCCCGTCGATCCGAGACGCTGCGTCCGCCGCCGCCGAGGTGATGCAGGCCGGCATTCCCGTGGCCGCGATGGAGATCATGGACGAAGTCCAGATGAAAGTCGTCAACCTGGGCGGTGCGACCGCCCCACGGGTCTGGAAGGAGATGCCCACGCTGTTCTTCAAATTTTCCGGCACGAAAGTCAGCGTAAAGGAGAACATAGAGTCCGTGCAGAAGATCACCAAGGCCAACAGGGGGAGCAACTTTGAGTTTGCCAAGGACGCCCGGGAACAAAAGCTTCTCTGGTCTGCTCGGAAAGAATCGCTGTGGTCGATGCTCGCGTTGCGCAAGGACGGAGAGGAAGTCTGTAAGTGAAAGTGAACACCAAGCAATGGGCGCAGACACGGGCGGAACTAACTAAATCGCCTGCTAGGGAGTACCGATGTCGCGGTGCCATTCAGCAGGCTTGCCGACATCATCGAGGTGAGCAAAAAGGAGATGGACGACTTGGGCCTGTTTGCCAGCATTCTGGGCCACATTGGAGATGGCAACTTCCACGAGAGCATCATCTACAACCGGCAAGACCCTGCCGAGAGGGAGAAGGTCGAAGCCTGTGTCAAGAATATGGTCAAACGAGCGCTGGAAATGGAGGGCACCTGCACTGGCGAGCACTCCATCGGCTGGGGCAAGAAGGAGTCGCTTGTGTGGGAGGTCGGCCACGATACACTGGGTGTGATGGTCAGTATCTCTGCGAGGGCACGAGCTCAAGTAGCAATGCGGCTAATCATGACCGCAGAAAGCCATCAAGTCTGCACTTGATCCGAACTGGATTATGTTCGTTTTTCAACACCCTCCCTCCCTTTGGGACGAAATACAAGAAACAGCGGCTAACAAAGATATTCTAGGAATCCTGGGAAGATCTTTGACAGGCAGGGTCAAGCGAAAGGGGCTGGTTCCCGCATTTAACACAGAACATACCTTGGCATCAGTCATTTACACTGCATATGGGCAACCGCATACGCATACATGATACGGGGCATAATGCCGGAGCATCATATGGGCCGTGCATGGACTTGGATATCCGGAGTGAGGGAACCAAAAGTCTTTCAACGCTGTCGATACGTGCTTGCTCATCTGCTACCTTATTTCGTTGGTATCTTCTAAGCCGAGGTTCTGGTTTCCATCCACTACAGGTTCGGGAGAACCCTGACATCCGAGTTCCGCAACGTGACAGAGGAAAAGGCCACATACTAGAAGGCACTCCTGCGGTGTATGCTCCTCTTGTTTCTGTCCTCGTCGGGCCTGCTCGGCGTGCAGAGTTGAGTGCCCTGCGAAGCAAACTGCCCGGTAAGTCTCCTGAGTTTTACTGGAGGCAAAGCACACCTGAAAAGCCCAAAGAAAATGCCACAGGTCGTCACAAGGGCTGCACATAAGAGCGCAGCAATCATCCCTTGGTAAGCTATTTTTCATTTTATACCTCTCTCCGAATCAGGTCAGTAGAGGACTCGGAAATTGCAAGGAGGACGGGGCTTTGGAAGGAAGGAGCAGTCCCCCGGGACATACCGGCCGCCCCGGAACATAAACCAAACCAAAGCAAAACCTCACCGCCGACTCCAACCCAACAAACTCCCGGGTAACAAACCTGCAACTTTCCGTGGCAACCTTCACGCTCCAGCTGCTACTCTGCATGTTACAAACTCCCGGTTTGGGGATTTGACGGAGGTTTAACGACGTTGGCACTGCCCAGTCGCATAGGCTTTCAGTAACCTCCGTGCCACGCTCTCTCTCGCTCCCGTTGCCAGCAGCAATTTTCGTCCCTAACCCAACCTTCCTTCTTTCTTCCTTTCACATCAGGGCAAGGTTCGATTCGCCGGTCATCTCAACAAGTCGGTGGCCACACCCTTACCCACGCACAACTGAGATCTAGCCCGGTTTGTTCACGGCCTCGGAGGTTTTACACTTCACCTTTATAGTGAGCTGGTCAATGGACTTGACACAACTGATCGTTTCACTCCGACAATGGCAGACCTTATGGATGGGGGCTACCAGCGGCTCCTACTGGAAGGTGTAGATAATGGACGCCTCAGAGTACAGCACCATAGGGCAGAGGCTCGCCGTCCTCCTACTGCTTGGAGTCGAGGTGGGCAACCCGCAAGGCCATCTCCACCCGCGAGGCCACTCAGGGAGGCGCACGGGACCTCCAGACCGTCCAGGCTCAGCCCTCTCCCCGTGTCTCGCCCACCTCCCACATCGCTCCCTTCAGCATGGAGCTCCCGAAACAGCGTTACTATGATTGTCAGAGGCGTACCCCCGAAGGCCTCACCGTGGGATATCCGGCAATTTTTTGAGAGATACGGCAGGGTCGTGTGGGTTGAGGTTGACAGCGCCTCAAGACCTGGAGCCCGATCTGCCAAGGTGCGCTTCGAGCCTCCGCCGACGGATACGAGCTTCTTCCAGCAGGGCGAATGCCGACTCGCCATCTGCGGGACGGTGTCACGGGCTTGGATCGAATTCCCGAAGCAGCCTCCTGAAGAGCATACCCTGACAACACCCCTCGGCAATACTTGTCCAGCATCGCTAGTACTGCGTCCCATCAAGCTCACCTTCGGCATCTTGACCCAGCCAACTACACTCATGTGTAAAAGAGAGATTCGGTCACTGGGCAGTGGTTTCGAACTCACGTTGACGGCCGACTTTAAGCGGAAGAAGCTGGTCATCCATTTCCCTCTCGTCATCGACCGTGAAGGTCAGCACTATCGGATGGATATCAAGTTCGGCATCATCAAGCAAATCTATCGGACGCATTCGGCGCTCATCATTTCCTTGGAAGATGTTCCCCTTTTCCGCAAGAAGCCGATGGCTGTGAATGGCGAGGCTTGGGCTGATCGGTTGGTCTGGGGAGAGGACGAGCTTTGGCAGAGAGTCGTGGACATCCGATCAAGCTTCGAAAACCCCAAGGCTGGACCAGTATCCTTGGAAGAGAAGCCCAGGATAATTGACCTGGGACGTTCGACGACCTACTGGATGGACCTTGATAAGGCTGGACAGGAGAGATGGTCCGCCATTGAGTCGCATCTCCATGAATGGAATGTCAACACGGACGTCGGAGTCGGTTTCACACAAATCCCCAACAAGGATCCGGATCTGTGGGATATTCTGGCGGATTCGCCCGTAGGCTTAGGGGTATCATCGGCAGGGACAACTTCCTCCTGGAACCACGATCTAGCTCTGCTCTCCCTGACGGGACAGATTTCACTGCCCTTTGATGTCCGATACCAGCTGGAAGTTTGCATCTCGCGCGGCATTCTCTCCGAGTACAACATTAGCCGCGACTTCCTTGAAAAGCTGGTTGAGCTATCAATGCCTAGCGGGTTTGGTCCTAACCGAGCGCGATTGATCCTCGAGTACGCGGCAGACAAGGGACGGCCGATACATAACCCTATGGACCTGTTCAAGGATTCAAGCGCCATGACCTACTATCCGGCCACTCTCCATATACCCGATTATTGCGCCTTGATGCGCAAGGTGACTGTTACACCGACTAGGATCTACTTCAGCACGCCGACCGTCGAGACCACCAACCGCATCATCCGCCGTTATAAGGAGGTCCAGGAGTACTTCGTTCGTGTCCAGTTCACTGACGAGCTACTGGAGGGCCGGATCAGGGCTTGTGAGGTAGACCGAGACGACGAGCTCTACGCGCGTGTCTATCGGGTCATGATTCAGGGAATCCGCATGGGGAAGTGGCGCTGGAGGTTTCTTGCCTTTGGGAACTCTCAAATCCGAGAGTGCGGTGCTTTCTTTTTTTGCCAGACAGAAAGCCACCCGGATATCACCTGCCATACTATCCGCCAGTGGATGGGAGACTTCAGCCACATCTCTAATGTGGCCAAACTTGCTGCTCGACTAGGGCAGTGTTTCTCGACCACTCGTCTGCTACACTATATCTCCTCGCCCCGGATAGTCAAGATCGACGACGTCGAGAGAGGAGGGTTTTGTTTCACGGACGGTGTTGGAAAGATCTCCATGCCGCTTGCTGGTCTCGTATCCGAAGACTGGAAGCTCTATCCCCCTCCCTCGGCCTTCCAGTTCCGGATGGGAGGCTGCAAGGGTGTTCTTGTGGCATGGCCCGACGCTAAAGGCACTGAAGTGCACATTCGACGATCCCAAGAGAAGTTCCACGCCGAGTACAACGGCTTGGAGATCATCCGCTGTGCTCAGTTCTCCTGCGCAACTTTGAATCGACAGACCATCTTACTCCTCTCGTGCCTGGGCGTTCCTGACGAGGTCTTCACGGGCATGATGGAAGAGCAGATCTCCAACTACAACGCTGCTATGACGGATAAGGACAAGGCTGTTGAGCTGCTCACCACCTATGTGGACGAGAACATGACAACCGCCACCATAGCGACCATGCTATCGGACGGATTCATGCAGACCAAAGAGCCCTTCGTCCAGACGCTCCTTCAACTCTGGAGAGCTTGGTCTATCAAAGGCCTCAAAGAGAAAGCAAGGCTCGTTGTCGACCAGGGTGCTTTTGTCCTCGGCTGTGTGGACGAGACCGGGACCCTTCGCGGCCACTCCAGGGCTACTGAAGGGCAGAAGAAGATCCCACGCGACCACCTGCCCCAGATCTTTCTACAGGTTCCTGACCAAAAGGATCGAGGCGCGTACAGGGTCATTACCGGTCTCTGCCTCGTCGGGCGCAATCCATCACTCCACCCCGGCGACATCCGCGTAGTGGAGGCAGTCGATGTCCCCCGCTTGAGGCATCTCCGAGACGTTGTGGTGTTTCCGCTCCATGGTGACAGGGACATCCCAAGCATGTTGTCCGGCGGCGACCTCGACGGAGACGACTACTTCGTGATCTGGGACCCCAAGCTGCTCCCCACCGAATGGGGTCACCCGCCCATGAACTACAGCGCGCCAAAGCCGCTGAACGAACCGAAAGCTTCGACCGCTAAGAGCTTGGCATCTTTTTTCGTTCTGTTCATGAAGAACGACCGGCTACCCTTGATCGCCCATGCTCACTTGGCCACGGCCGACTACGAAATCGAGGGTCCCAAACACAGGAAATGTGAGACATTCTTGGGTCGCTTTCAAATTGTGTCCCAATTCTAGAATCGAGAACTAACCAAAATGGTTCTATCGCAGGTCTTCAGCTCGCCGAATTGCACTCGACCGCGGTCGATTACGTCAAGACGGGCATGCCAGCTGAGTGGGATAAGAGGTTAGATCCCCGGAAGTATCCCCATTTTATGGAGAAGTCCAAAAACAAGTCCTATCATTCCGGAAGGGTCTTGGGGCAGCTCTACGACATGGTTGGCAAGGGAGAGTTCAACAACAGAGAGAACTACATGCTGCCGTTTGACAGCCGCATCCTCAAGCGATACCAGCTGGGCCACGAGCTCCTAAAGGAGGCGAGGAAGATCAAAAGCCAGTACGACATTGGCATGCGCAGGGTTATGGGCCAGCTCGAGATCAGGACCGAGTTTGAAGTCTGGACATCCTTTGTCTTGTCCAAGCCCAAGGTTGGGTCAGACTACAAGGTTCAGGAGAGGGTCGGGCGCGAGGCAGCAGGTCTCAAGAAACAGTTCCGCGATCTGTGTCTGAAGACGGTACAGGAGCACAACTTCGACAAGCTGGAGTTTGTCGCTGCCATGTACACAGTAACATGGGAGGAGATGCGGATCGCACTCTACCAGGCCCGGCAACCGCACGTGCTCCCGGATGGAACGGTGGGCTTGAAGCGCGTTACGGCGCGCTCGATGCCCCTAATCAGCTTCCCATGGCTATTTCCGAACGAGCTGGGCCGCATTGCCGTCGGTGGTGAGAAGCCAGCGGCGGGACGGCGGTTCGTAGCGAAACCCACGTCTACCAAACCAACGAAGCCCGGAGCAAGCACCAGCTTGGGGTGGTCGGAAGAGCCTGAACTTGACTTTTTAGCCGCGATGCATTGCACCAAGACAAGCGACGGCCAGGTTATCCACCGCGGCGAGACCTTGCACCTCTTCTGTCACGAAGATGATGGCGAGGAAGCTTTCTATTGCAGTGGCGACGTAGCCGACTCAAGCTCTCCCGTTGATGCTACGTCTGAGTGGCCTTATGAGGGACAGGTGCCTGACAAACCGCCGACGGGCGAGATGACCCCAAGTGACTTCCCAGTCCTCCTGGATCTCGGCACAGCCCTGGACAGCGAGGAGCCTAGCTCCTCATCCTCGTCTGTTACGTCTTCCGTCCCAACTACGTCTGCCAGCAACCCAGCGGTGGCGGCTCCCCAGATGGCCGAGACTGGCGGCGACTCGACTATGGTCGATCTCCTGTCGTCGGATACGGATGCAATGTGGGATGTCTCTCCGTGTCTGACTCCGGATAGGGTACTGGCCCCTCGACAGCTGAATGCAGTGACGGCGAATGCTCCGCTGGACGGCAGTAACGACGTAGCAGAAGGAAGAGAGAAGAAAATGTTGAAGCCAGAGTCGCAAACCAACACCTGGGTTCCAGCCGTGCCCTGGGACCGAATCAACCCAGTTACTCCTGCAGCTCCAGGACTGGAACTGTCACCGGATTTGGATTTGGAAGCGCCATTGGAGTACATCACCCTGCGAATCGGCAATAGGCTCTTCCCGGCTGCCACCAGTATGGCTTCTTTCGGCCCCCTGGGACAACCTTTCGGCAGTGTCCACAACATACCATTCCCGAGCCGCGACCTCGATACCCGGAATCTAGTCTGGGCCGGAGAGTCTACTGCCTTTAAAGCAATTGGTACACCGCCACGCTCCTCACAGGACGGGAATGAGAATGACGCTACGGGGTCGAGCAAGGACGATGTTGAGCATGAAGAGGAAGCTATTGAGGTGGAGGGGAAGACCGCGCTGGAGCGGGCTATTCGGCTTGCTTGAGGGAGAGAGGCTGGGAGGAAGGAACTGTTTGGCTGATGTAATAGGGAATATCACAACATGGAGCTGCTCCCATTGGGAGCGTCGGATTTGATTGAGGGTTTTAATCTGCCAAATGGCCCGCATCGCTGGGCAGTGCTCTCTCTTCTCACAGAGGGGCCATTGGCTCAAGCCGATGGAAGTTTGAGGCATTAACAGGCTCAATATCGGAGGAAGTCTTGTGCTTGTGCATTTAGCGCTTTTCAGCGCAGAGACCTCTGCTAGGTAGCTACCATTGAGAATCGATGAATTTAGTCACGGTTTCCGTCCCATCCGTGGGCCCGAAACTGCCCTCCGTGAGGGTGATGATCACCACTTGATGCAGAGGTCCGTCCGGATCACCCATTTCTCCCCAGCCGTCACCTCCCTTCCTTCATGCTATCCGATGTCAGTCAGAAAGAACATACGGTCAGTCCCAGTTCGATTACATCACGGCCACCAGCCAGTGGTAAAAGAGAAGGAACCTAGAAAGGCGCAGCGGCGGCCGGGGTAGAGACTCACCAGCATACAGTCGCGGCCGTGCTTGTGTAGAAGCAGCATGCCTGTCTCGAGGCTTACGGCGATCTCCTCCTTGACTGAGCGCCTATCGTGCGGGTAGAAGACTGTTTCGCCGCCGATGCTAGATACCGCCAAATGCATTACAAATGATCAGCTAGGTAGGCCATGGATGGTGGGGTAGATAACAAGTGAGGACGGATGGAAGGAGCTGGGGAAAAGAAGAAATGAATAAATAAATAAAGAGAAGGGTATTATTGTACGTACCAGCCGTCGGCGGAAGAAGTCAGGTAAAGCAGCAGGGTCCAGGTTGTCCGAGCCGAGACTTGTGATCCTGTCCCGGTCGGGACGGTCACATTGTTTGAGTCGTCATCTATTATTGAGTTCAGATTAGAAATAGGGATGGAATTATACATGGAGGAGGGGATTTCGTAAACGTACAATGTGCGTCGAAGAACTGCCCCGGACGGTAACGGTAGATGCGGATGTTGGGATTGAGCCCCACAACCTCCCCGCCCCTGAATCATCATCATCTCTCTCTCTCATCAGCGACACAGCCACCATGCTCATATGAGATACAGGCTCCAAGTTGCGGTGTGTTTGAGCCCCGAAGTCCGAACTCCAAAACCAACAACCTAGTGTTGTGCTTACCACAAATGAGAGACGTCTTCACTCAAAAGAACCTCCTTCAGCCCCGTCTCAGCCCATAACCGGTTGGCAAACCCGGCATCGTCCAACTGGAGGCGGTCATTGACCCGCACGGCCTCGCCGCGCTTGGGCTTTCCCGGCGTGGTGGCGAGCGGGAGATCTCGGAGAAACGAAATGTAATCCCGGCAGAGGGAGCGGGGGAAGAATGATCGGACGACGACCACCTTGTCCTCGACGAGCGGCTCGAGCGCGAGGTCGGCCACGGGCAGCGAAGGTTTGAATGGTGGCCATGAGGGAGCCGTTGTGGTGAGAGGCTTCGTCGTCGTGGTTGTTGTAGACTGCGGCGGGCCGGGCGCCTTGGAGCGTTTGTCTTTGGCCATGGTGGTGACTGAAGAGGAATAATAAGGACGTTGTGTAAGTCAGAGATGATTGTACAAACATGATACGATACATGAAGTACGATAGGTGAGGTACGATACCTGCTGAGCGCTGTGGGGCACGTAAGTTACCTGTTGCCGTTCGACCAATTACTGTAACAACTCGTGCAAACCGAAGGCTAGGTCATAGAGCTGTTCAGTTCTGTGCCGAATACCTGGCTACGTATGTAGGTAGGTTATTTTCCAAAACCACGATGTAACGGTTGCTTGCTGGATAAGTCTGTATTGTACCATCCATTGTTGGAATTTGCTGAATAAAGGGGAGATCGATTGTTGGTGCTGGAGGTTACGTAAGGTACGGTACAAGTACATGTACAGTACATACATACAGTGGCTTACACAACGCCACCAATAAAGACCAGTTCTGGAGAACCTATAATATGGACGCGGCCAGTTACTCTGGGCAGCTCGCTGCGTTGATGCGTCCTGCTTTGGGGGAGAGAGTGAGGTTAGGGTCACGGCATGATCTGGAACGGCTGAATCCAAGAAAGATAGTTGTAGTATAATTGGGTATCCTTCGCCATCCAGAAATGCACAAGCCGTCTCCTGCCAAGTAGTAATATACGACCGAAGCAACGGACCAGAACCATCCAGACAAACCAAACCCATGAGAGCCCGACCTGAAGTCTGAACAAGACCGCATTCCGCACCAGCGATTCTTCCGACCTAAAGTTCCCGTGTCCAATCTTGAAATGGTGTGAACCGACCGTCCGTTTATCAAACCCGAGCCAAGATCAGATATACCCCCGTGCTGTGATCCGAAAGACTATTAAAAGACTAAAGAAAGAAAAGGAGATGGCCGAGAGAATCTCTTGTGGTCTGCAAAGAAAACCGGAACCTCTCGGTCTCACTCTCTCAGAATCTTCTCGACTTTGATAAATAATTGCGCGTTGCAAGGCCGGCGTGTGACGGGATGCAGCAAATCCACGCACCGATACCCGAGTTGAAGTCGGTCCAGACGGATGCAAGCCCAGGCAACGAAGTCGTCGCGAAAACCGCTTGCACTATCCTCGACTTTGAACCTAGTACATGCTACTGTCAGCTGTCGGCCTCCCAAGAAATAGTCCCAGTTGATGGCATCGGCTCACCTCACAAAGCTCAGCTCCTCCACCACATTCTTCACGTCCACGAAATCCAGACTCGCCGGATAGAGACCCCAGTCAGGATTGTCCGTGGAAGCAGGCCGCGTCTCCTTCGCACAGTCGAACGACTTGTGCGGCTTCTCAACATGCAATTCCACCTTGACCCTTGGCCGAAACTTCTTGTCGCCCACGACGCCAAAGCCGCCGCCGCGCCGCCGGTCCTCGGGCAAGGGCAGAAACTGTCCCGCAAGAACCGTGATGCGCAGGTCGAGGGTGCGTTTCCGGATGTGGAACATTTCAGAGAGATCACTGGCGCTGCTGTCGTTGCGCAGATCCGGCGGCTTCAGCACCCACCCGTTAGTCCCCGCAAACATGGCGTCGTTGAGCATCATGCCCTCGTCCGTCCTCTGCCAGTTCATGGCCACCATCTGCACGCCCCGCCGCCAGTGGAAGGTCGGGTCTGGGTTGCTGCTGTCAACGCGTATGCCCTTGGGATAGATGCGCATGAAAAAGTCTCGGTTGTGCATGAGAAGCTTGTGGAGCTTGGATGTATCTTCGGCCAACGACATGAAACTGTCCTCACTCAAGCTGAAGATGTGGCTCGGAGTCCGCGATGCGAGGGAACTCTCGTCTTCAAAGTGCTCGCTGTGGGTGTAGATGGCTAGCGCGGCGAGAGCTTCGCAGATGGGCGGCTTGGAGCGGATGACCGAGATCCCCAGGCTTCTCCCCCTCTCGACTTCCGCCTCCACTCGACAATCGCTCAGGCGCTTCACCTTGATCAAGATCTTGTTGTAGAGCTCCTCTAGATTAGGCTGCCGCTGGTAGGGATCGCAGAAGTCAAACGGCTTGTCCAACAGTAGGCCTGCCCACTCCTCCTTCATGATATCTACCATGACCTCCTGCTGCTCGCGGTCGGCACCCACCTCAAGGCTGACGATGATGGGCAACGGGTTCTTCTCAAAGGCGCTCTCTCGGATGGCCTGGCACACTTCTCGGAAGCCGACGGTGGATGTCATGGTCCCATGGTGGTGTACGACCGGCTCCACCCTAAGCGTCGACCTGGACGAGTCTCTCGATTGTAGCTCAAGGCGGTCACTCAATTCTTTCGGGTCGAGCGTCGTGCCGCTTTCCCTAGGATCCACAGCTGGAAAAGCGGTTTGGACGGCGCTCGGGCTACGGCTGTGTTGCCGGCTTGCCCTGATGCTCATAAGCGCCTCGAGTTTTTCTCCAGCGACTCGGGAAAACGAGGTCGAGGAGAACTGCCTCCGATGCCCGGGGTTTGGTGACTTGGAAGGTGAGCGAGGAAGCGGCCCGTTCCAGACGTCGATTTCGATGCAGCGACATCCATTTGTCAGCACCTGCCGCTGGTTAGCCGCCGCCTGCGAGGAGAGATGTCGAGTCTGAGAAACTTACAGCACGGTATGCCTCGGCCGAGCTCTTGGAGGAGAGCTGGTTGCCCTCGAGATAGGTGTTGTGACTGCTGCTGATAAAGTAATGGCTAATGGGGCGTGTGGTATCCAGGTCATCTTGGTTGGACTTGCCGCTAGCGCGCCAGGCGGACTCGTTGTGGCTCCAGATGTAGAAGAATTGGTCAAAGGTGTACTTCTCGCATTTGAGCCACTCTGCGTCGTCGACCCCTTGGGTCATTTTCAGAAAGGCTGCGAACTTCTCGCGGGACAGAAGCCTATCGCGGCCCCTGGCCATGTCGTAGACATGCCTCACATGTGTCTTGACGCACTCGTGGAACGTCTTCAGTGTGCCATCCAACGTTAGATCGACGCCGATGAGGGTTTTGAGGTTTCCGGCGAGCGCTGTTGCAACAACATCGAGTATGGCATGTCCCTTGTGGCTGGGCGAGCCTCGCCCTCGGATGGTTGTCATGCGGCGGATGAAGTTCGATCTCGGCTTCGCCTTCTCCTTGCGAAACTAGATGGGTGCAGTACTTGGTAAGCTTATTGTCGGAATATCTCGAGGGATCAGGCCTACGGGGCACACCTGGAGACACATCATATTGGTTGACGGATGCCAATTGACAAACCAAGTTCCGCCGCGGCAACCGCAGCCTTGCAGTGGAGGACTGAAGCGAGCTCGGACAGTCAGGACATCGGACCTGGAGAGTTTCGGTGTCAAAATGTAGCCCAGGATACTAGTATCATTAAACGGACAACAAGTACAGTGACTGGCAAAGGCTTAATGCGTATGAACTTGAATACTGCACAGAAGGTGTCAGACAAGAAATGAGGAGCTGTTCGAGTTGAAGAGAAGACAGCCTTGAGGGTGCTAACTCAAATCGCGAATTAACAACGGGCAAGGGTATCACCAGCACAGCGCACGGTAAGGTCGTACCGAGAGTGGGCTCGGCGAAGCTGATGTGGGCCTTGCACTCTTCGCTTCGCTGCTATCACTGCTACCTACCCAATCAATGTGCTCAGCGGCCCCGCTGGATCACACCCCGGCCAATTTTAGTGGCCCGAGCCTCTGGTTCCTGTCGTCCTAAGATGTTCGGATGAGAATGGTAACTTTTACACTCAGGTATAACAGGTACACATAGTAACCGTAACCAGAACGCTCAGGCCAGGCAAGTTCAAGAAGTCAAGCTCGCCCGGCCGCCTACCTAGTACTTGGCTAAGATTAACTATGCTCAGAAATAATTGAGGTCTCGTCTCCTCTGAGAGGCAACTTGTTGATTCAACTTGAACCAGAAAGGCGCGCCAACTGCATGGTTGTTTCCGTGGCTGTGCATTCGTTCCATTTGAAGGTAGGTGGAGCCGCTTTCCAGCTTTGCCAATCCCTGCTGTCTCAGACAAACACCCGAGTTCGAAGAGTGGAATCGATCTGCAGCCGCCGTCAGCCCTACTGCATAGGTAGTCTGCATTCTGGTCTGGACTCGGCAGCACCGACTGAGACTGTCATGGCTGTGCTCACTCACCACTTGGATCCAATTCCCTAATATGCTTCTCCCCGCCACCTATACACTACGTACTTATGGCACGCTTCTTTCCCACCCAGCGCCCGAGGGACTTCATCTACCTGGTTGTGGTAAGCATCCCGGTCATGACCTCAATCTATCCGCGGTTAGTCGGGGAAGGTACCTATGTACATAGTGTACAGTATACATATCATTCTCCTGTCACAGCACCTTCCAACATCTCTGTGCCTATGAGGGCACAACAGCGTACCGACCCCAGCTAAAATGTCCCGTTTTCCTGCTTGTCCACTCTTCGAAGTCATTTATCTGAGCGAGGCGTAGAATTATCCAGCCCCCAAATCACAGCCACGCCGCCGGCACAGTCCGCTTCGCCCCGCTTCCCCAACTGTGTTTCCCCATCACACTTACCCCAACAGCACGGAAAATACCTGGGCCATTTGGTAGCATTCATTCTGTGGGCATTCGCGATCCATGCCTACCATCAAGAATCATTGCAATGTCTCGTATTGTACGAGAACGACTGGCTCTCGAATGTGTTCTCTTGAACGCCCATGACTGAACCTAGCGCAAGGCAAGTCTGACACGTCGACGATCCGTAGCACTGCATTGCTCGCTGCCTTACCAAACTGCCTCTAGATCGTTGTTAGAGCGACGAGAAGTCTTGAGTGTGTGTATTACGGGCGCTCGATAGGCGTGTCAAAAGGCTTCACAAAAGATTTCTTCGATTGCTGGTGGCCCGGTTGTACACCCGGTTCTTACTACAGGCGCAACCCAAGTCTGCGCCTACTAACTTGAAGTTGATACCGGGAGCTGGCGGATAGCCGACGCTTGTTGTTTGATGCGGTCAGGTTTGTGGGTGGATAGAAAGTCTTAGGAACCTCCGTTGTTCTTACATGTCGTCCCAATAAAGAAGCTAGGTGCTCCAGGTACAGCCAGGGTTTGTACGGTTGAATTTTGCAATTAAGTACTAAGGCTAACGGATGAGAGTACATGTCCAGTACATGTATTAAATGTGACGTGCATGACTGTAAGTACAGGTACTGTACATACATACATCTTCATACATCCCTATATTGTACAATACAACGTCATGTCATTATTCTGCTCAGTGGTACGGAGTATACCGAGCCTATGGCCTTCGAATCCCGTAGCGAAGGAAGCAAGCAAGTATTTGCGCTCTTGAAGATATTCGCTGCCTTATACAGCAGACGCGTCAATACTTGGATGTAGGTACTGTATATACTACATCCCATTTTACTATGGCGTTCATTGTTGGCCTGTTAGTAAGGTATCATTCCCATTTTCCTATCGTATGTATGATACTAGTACTAACAACGAGATGGTCACCTGCCTTACGAATGCCGATTCCCCAAACCTATTGACAACTTGAAGGGTATAGTAAGATAATCAACCACGCCGTCCCCCGCCCAGTTTTCCCAAGTTCGATCCTGCGACCCGACAAAGAACTTAGGCCAAAGGAATGAAAAGAGTACCCGCCATTTCCCAGGACATGTTCATGACTGTACAATACAAGTACAATGCAGTCCTGTGATCCTAAATGAGAGTTGATGGTATCTGGTATCGTCACTCTGAAACCGAGTTTCTTGTCTCCTCCATCTGACTCAAAGCTGACTTGAGAGTCCACACTGAATTCAGCCGATTTTTTGCCCATCTTTGTGGGTGAGACGGCTTCCATATGATTGCCAATAGACGTAAGGGAATAGTCGCGTCGAGCGAGTAGGAGGACGCGCAGCGGGGGGTGCCGTCGGATGGAACTACGCAGATTAAAGTACGACTGATGCAACGGGCGTAATACGTAATGAGATCCTAAAAGGGTTCCGTGGCGTGCTTAGCCCCAGATTGGCGCGTTGCGGTACGCGGGCGAGTTGTAGCTATGCAGCACACGGTAAGGAGGATTCGGCCCATATCCATTCCAGTTACCGGTGCTGCGGTGCCGGTAGTGGCCGTGGGGCAGGTGCGGTTGAGACGACTCGCTCTGGTACCACTGACCGGCAGCTGCATCAACCCGGCTCTTGCTCTGGGTGGCAGCAAGAAATGACTGGGGCCCATACGCTGGCTTCACCGGAGCTGTATAGCCGTTGGACATGGACGGGGGATACCCGTACCGCGGAAGCCGGCTCTGATTGCTGTAGCCATCATAGCTTGCCCGGTGCCTTAGGGGCTGCTGTTGATTTTGCCATGCGTGGGCGTTGCTCTGGTGGTAACCGCCGTCACTTCGAACTGACTCGATGGAAGTGCGCCGGCTGCCGCTGGCTGTGGAAATTCGAGAAGCCTGCCGGGCCGTGCTATCGTTCGCTTGCGAATCGAAGTCCAGAGCGTTGTGCGTCGGAGACTGAACGTGATGATATTGCCGGAATGAAAGGAGGCGCCGCGGGTCCATGGAAACTCCGCTGGGTGTCATTTGGCTCGAAGAATGCCTCGGAAGACTGTCCACGCTAGCGTTGACTGGAACGGTGTGGATAGCTGGATAGCCCTGGATGCTTTCCCGGCTGGCTTTGTGACTGAGACTGGAGGCGGAGTTCTGTGACCGTAGCGGCGCTGGCACGCGAAGTGGATATGGCTGCCTTGATTTCCTGTTGACGGACTGAAACGTCTCTGCCCTGTTCTCCATTGCAACTGCTTTGGCAACTGGACTGGGAAGAGGAGCTGACGGAAGATCTATCGACGAGCGACTCAAGTGAAATTCCGACATACGACGTTTCGCCTTCACCCCCTGCTCCTCGATGAGTGTGAGGCTCATCGTCCTGTCTCTCGACTGTCTGATCCCAGCGGGAGCACGGGCAACCACCGGAGACGTAGGAACAACATCACGGGTATCCCTCCCACGGCCATTGCTGACATCCCTTTCGTGCTCTCTCGCTACCTCCTCAGGGGTTGGCACCGGCTTCCGGGAAGTAGACTTTCTGGGGATAACATAGGCGGCAGCGTTGGCAATCGAAGTTGGCACTGAGTGCAGGGTCTGTTTCCAGAGCCCATCCTTGTTCTCGGACTCTTGCATGGTACCCGCGGTCTGCACGGGGTGCGTAGGGTCGACGCTAGCTTCCATACTGCCCACGCTGAGTATCGTCTTCAGCGTGTCCATGCTAGAGTGTGATTTCAAGGCGAGCCTCCTCGCAGCCGAGGGGGAATGGCCAGTATGCTCGCGGACTTTGAGCCCCGTCTTACGGGGAACGGGCAGGATATCGCTATACTGGACCGAGCGCGTCATATTGACTAGAGCGGGCCCATTGGTTGTCCGGCGCCCTCCGCTCAAAAGCCACTGCAGCCTACCAGGTTTCTGCGATCCGCCATTGCTGCTGTGGGCCGAGCTCGGATTGTTGGACGTTGAAGATTTCATGCTTCGGATACCGAGGTTTGGCACCTGCTTCTTTGTCCTCGGCGTCTTTGCTTCGTTGTTCTCTGCCGGGTCATGCGTCGAAATGGCTTTCCCGGCAACACCATTCGGGCTCGGCTGGCTCCGGGCGGCATCTTTAGGCGGGACGAGAGGCGGAGCAGAATCCGATTCTCCTTCAAAGATGTCCGTATACAACAGCGCTGTTTGTTCCGAGGTATGGCTCTCCGAACCGAATGGCGCGCTGCTATGGTCCGCTGAGTGCGATAGTTGCTTCTCCAAGGATGCTGTTGTTGATGCCACCTGGTTCTCGGAGGTCTGCACCTTGGTTTGGACCGAGCGCAGGGAGACATTGGAGCTGTATCCAGAGTCTGCCTTTGTTAACGACTTGTGGGGACTCTCAGATGATGGGCTTGTAGTCGACACAAAGCCACTGTCAGTTCTGCTGATTGAACTGTCCACATCACACTTAGCCTGCTGGTGAGGCGGCTTCGCATTGTGGTCCAACCGGACATCCAAGACCTCGCTTGAGGAGTACTCAAGTTCCTTCTCGTCATCGAACAGCTCGTCCTCTTGAGCCGTTGCTTTCGATGTTGTTTGCAGTTCTGGGCTTGTGGGCTGCGGCCGAATGACCGGTGAAGCGGACGGGCTAAGCGGACACTGCACAGGAAGTTGTGTCGCCGGAGACGTCGTGATACCGTACTGCTCACCCGCCTTCCCCGAAAAATAGCCGTCTTCCGAGAGCACATTGCCTTCACCCGCGCCACCGTCTCCGCGATTCCCGTCGATTCCCGGGCTGATGGGACTTGGGGAGCCATTGGTGATACGCAGTGACCCAAGCTTAAAAGCGCCGATCGACAGATAATGGTCTTCGCAAGGAGTGTCTACTCGCGCGCCCGACTCCGCGTCCTGAACGCGCGGCGGCAATGACATAATACCGCTCCTGTACGACTCCACCGATTGCTGGCGGGATAAGCTTGGTGTCGGAGGATGGCTATGGCGAAAGTTCAACTGGGACGATTGCGGAAGATCGTGGGCCGAAACCAACCGGGTGGCCACACCGGGTGTTTGTATGATGGATCGCCTCCGAACCGGCATATACAACGACACATCCGAACTCACACGAGTCATCGGGGCGCTGAGCGGACATTCCGAGTTACTCCACGAGCTCTCCTTGGTCATTGCCATCTCGTGTTCCGACATTGTTGCTGCCGGTTCAAAGCTCGCTTCTTCATCCACATTCAGCAGACGTTTTGCCTCGTATGAGGTAGGATTGTAGTTCAATGAGGTACGGGGCTCGGAGTTGGCTAGCTGACTGCACGCGTACCAAGCCATCAGCAACAGGCACCTTAGCATCCACAACCGCTATGACTTACTTGTCAGTACCAGCCTGCCCGTAGCACGCAAACGCCGACCCGTACGTCATAGAACAAGCCCTCTCCCTCGCCGACCTATCCGCCAACCGCGAGCCATGGTCTTGCTGAAGATCATTAGCGTGCCGTGACGATCTAGAGCGAAACATGCTCCTTCGTTTCGACTCTGGGTGCAGGCAGGGAGCCGAATGGAGAGACATTCCACTGTCAACTCGTTGGTCAAGGCCACCGGGTGCTTCGACAGCGGACCCAGTTGTGGGCGTTGAAGCGACTGTCGGGGACGGCACCGGAGGATTAGGCAACGGGGGTAATGGAGCATTGGATTTTCGTCGAGAGCGGTTTGAGAAAGATGCCGGGCTCAACAGACCGGCTGTCGCATGGTTGCCCGTCTTCGGCTTGCACAGCTTCTGGGACGTTCTTGATTTCCGGGACGCCTCATTGGACTGAGCGTTGCCCATGATGGCGTGGGCGGCGATAGGTATTGCTATGCGCTTATTACTGCTTCCATGCCGCAAAACCGTGATGCCCGCCCGAGCTTAGAAGCGGGCGGCACAGTGCTTCATGTATAGGCGTTTGACCCGGAAGGGCGCAATAAAGGCAAGACACACGGCTGCCGGGCACAATAATTGGAATTGGCCAGCAGCAGGGAAGAACGAGCCGGGGAAAATACTCGGCGTAATGACGATGGACAGGGCTCGGGAACAACCTCAATCTAAAAAGAGAACCCAGAACAAACAGGTCTGTGCTGCTCAACTGGGGTGTTTCACAGGCGAGACCGCCAAAAACATGTCCACAGACTGCCGGCAGGAAGTATCAGACGCAAACTACCGTAGAACTCGAAGCAAGAAGGCCGGTATAAGGGATGTGAGATGCACCGAAAGCGGTCGGTTGGAAGTCCAACCTTGGAAGTCGTGGAGTTGGATTGGATGTTGCATCATGTCACTGATGCGAACTTGCTCCAGGCAGGCAAGGAGCTTGGCTGATGGACTGGCAGGGGTGTGCAGCCGGCTCCAGCTCGAATTCCGGAAGCGGAGTCTAGAAAGGTGGGGCGGCTTCAGTTGGCTTGCGTTTTGCTACGAGGAGCGAGGGAATTCGAGATGGAGCGTCCTTCCATGAATCTACCATGACAACATTTCGAGGCTTGCCAACCCCTTTTCAAACCCTCAGTAACCTACCACCGCGGGGTGCTAGGGGAAACACATGCGGAATTCCTAGTGATGAAGGAAGTTAGAGATGTGATAGGCATATATGTAGGTCAGTTACCGTTACCTTGGTTAATTACTTAGATATGTCGGGATACATAGCGCCCCTTGCACGTCTCCTGCACAGAGCGGAAGCGTCTGATTACGGTTCTAATGCCTTGCTGATTTTTGGGCTCTGCCTGGAAGCGCACCCCAGGAGGTCTGGGCCTGCGAAACAAAACAAGAATGGCCTTGCTAACGTTACCGCCTGCACTTTGCCCGCAAGTCGTGTCTCGTCAGAGATGGGCGGGGTGTTAGTAGTGAGACAACTTCCCCTGCGCGGGGTATTCCTAGGATCTGCTTGGAAGCGTGAGGTAACAAGAGTCCTTGCAACTAGATTCGATACCTTCCATTGTCCGTTGTTGGATCCCCGCAAACGGCCAGCGCATGGGTTTCTGACTGATCAGCTGAGGTTCCAACCATGTACTGTGGCAGTCGTTTCAGATGCTGAGCTAATCTGGCCGACAGGCGCTTCAAGCCGTGTCTCTCTCTCTCACAATTCCCCCGTAGTTTCATCCTTAATAAAGACCACCATTCATGGTGGTACTGGACAGGAGTGCAAACAACACAGCTGACCTGAAATAACTAAACCAAGAGGGGTTTTCAGTACCAGGCTTGACAAGCTTGACGTAGGAAACCTAGGTGACGGCGACTTACATGTGTACCTCACCTTTGCAACTGCGGCGCGCATTTGATTGGCGACACTTGGTCCGGCAGTCCTGTCGCGACGGGTGGGTCTCTCGGATAACGGAAACGTCATTCTTAAAAGCCGGCCTTAAGATCTGGATTGGGAAGGCCAACATCAATGCAGCAGACTCGGAGCGGAAAATGCTGCCGAAGCTGTGCCAACGCATCTTGACATCCGTGTCGGTGGCTGAGATACCTGGCATCACCAGTCTTCCCCGGGCTCCGACCGTCGATAAGCAAAACCTATGTATTCCGGCAGCCGGCCGGTTGTCATGGGCAGGACGAGGGCGAAAACAGCAATCGAAATCTGGGCCAACCGGGTATGTATGGATCACCGGTCATCATTAAGCCCCGGGCACCCACAGTCAGAGGGAAGCTTGATGCCCTCATTCGGCTGCTCAATTTGGGAATGGCGATTTGCAAACTGGCAGTTGCTTGACGGACTATTCCTCTTGATCTCCCGCGCACACTGAGCATAGAGTAATAATAAGCTACTAGTACTTCCCGAGCTGCCGTACGACAACGAAGCTTGCTTTTCGACGCCCCGGGACCCCCGCGCCTCTCTCCGGTTTGTTAGCGCGGAACACCCCGGTCGTCGGCCCTTTCGGAACCGGGATCCACTTGAACATGTTTGAGACTTCGAGCGCGGTGGTGACATCATCCACATTTCCCCGAACACCGTGACCATTGTATTCTACGGATTACACAGGGGTGCGGAGGGGCCGCAGCCCTTTCAATTCCTTTCGACTTCGTCCTCCCACGGGCGGGCTGTTGTAATAGATAGTCAGACTCAGCACTCGGGTCGAAAAGCATTTCGTGACTCGCCTACCCAGATTGTGCCTGAAGGGACATCTGCATGAATTGCGGTCAGCAACAGTTCGCGGCAAAATGTGATGAGACAGCCGGACCAGAGCGACGAGCCGCCGAAAACGGAAACGCCTTCGTGTCCATCCTATAACCAAGCCTTTCTACGTTTGCATACGTTCGGCTCCTACATCGCAATCGATCAGGAATGCAGGATCTAGAAGCATATTGAGAACCGGAAAAAGAATGGGATATGGTTACTCTCTGGGCATCGCTCGTCCGCCTTTCGGTTCCTCACCTTCCCAGGGACTGGCAACCTGGATCGATGGCAGCCTTTGTTACGAAGCAAACGCTTCCGGTCAAGCCTAATAAATCGTTTGACTGAGATAGCTACCTCGAATTCCGGCTATAACCGGTCAAACCGAAGTCCAACCTTGAAACATTTTCCTCGATCGAAGAGACGGTAAGCCATCGAAGATCATGCTGAAGCCAAGCCATCTGGTAATCTTTGCAAGCCGGACGAACTCCAGATTATTCTCCTGCCTATTGCGGAGGATGAGACGATACATGGTGCGCTCTGTCTCGGGTATGTACTAACAGTTGCACATGTCCAAGAGTTAAGAGATGTAGAGGGAGGCTGCGATTGTATGATACTAGGATGATGATGCGGCATCTCACGGATGGTCTGTTTTTGCAGCACGCAGCATGGCATATGGATCAATGAAGGTTACAAGCATGCCTCACTTCAAAATTGGGTCACTTCGCGCCTCATATTGCCACTTGGACAGAGCCGGCAAGCAATGCGCGGACATCAACTCTGCCATCATCATGGACAAATTATCATTCCCCGATAACATAAGTACAGCCCTCTCTGCCAATCCACACCTCATGAACACGGCCTGCGTCCACATCAATGCGGTCTCCCACGCCATATGTCGTCTTCATTTCCCTGTGCTGGGCGTCACCGTCCTGGGGGTAGGCAATGGTGAGCTGCCCTTTAAGGATAACATGGGTTGTTAGGCCAGCGTGGGAATGGGGAGGGTAGTCTTTGACCAGCATGTCAGTCTCGAGTTCGACGCTGCGGTATGCGAACTACGGGGTCAACCGAAAACGGACCTTCATCACTTACAAGCATTGGCCCCATCAGTCCAGGTGAAGACGTGCGAGAAACCCCATGAGCGAACCTCGGCTTCGGCTTCCTTCTGGGATGTCATTGTGATCTGGTGATAGCCGAGACTTGAGCGGCTATTTTGATAGAGGAAGAGTTCGGCGACAATGCGACAGTCTGCGTTGTCAGATTCTGGACGGTGAGCTGTTGTTGGATGAGATTCGGCGCACTACTTCAGGTACCTACTACATTCGTAGGAAGGTTAGTGCGTTGGGTAAGGTAGTAAATGGACGAACCGGCGGGGCGGTGATGCCGATGTGGGGTTGCGAGCCCAGATCTTACTCCAGCATCACACCTTAGTCCAAAGTAGTACTATATGTTGAGCCAGCACACACGAGGCACTATGCTCATCATTTGTTATACCGACGTTCAGTATCTCTCCCTGGAGAACGGAGAAAGTCGGGCGAGAACCTGGCAGAAACCTCCGGCGTCTGGTTACCAAAGTTTCTCACCTTGGCTGTTCACACTCAGATGGGGGATGACCGTATGCCTCGTGGTCAAGTGGCTGACCATATGAAAGGCACGTAAAGTATATCCGCAATAGTCTCCTTTAGATCACGAGGGCCGTACAGTCAGCCCTACGGTATAGTGCACATAGACGCCCGACGCCCAACACCCTCCCATGCTTGAGGTCCAGGTTTGTTGGACAACCCGTTCCTAGACCCCTGCCAACAGCGAGCATTCAGTCAGCCTTCGGCTGAGGCTCTTGGATTTGGTGGCCACTTGTCAGCAAATACATTCTCGCAGGATCGCCAATTCCTTCTACTGTAAAAGAACCATGCAACCCAGTAGCCGATGATCACCGCTTCCCCTCCGAGTCAGGCGGCGGCTTCTCCTTCTCACTTTGAAGGTCAATCTTCAGAGTCTTGGCAACCCACTCGACAACCTCCTTTTCGGCCATCTCGTCGAGCGTCCCGCCGGGCGTTGCCTCAATCGACGCCCTCGTTTTCCTCCTCAGATCTTCAAGGGTGGAGATGTCAAACGCCCAGCACACACCGCCCACCATCATGACGGCAAACGCCATGGTGTTCAGCGTCGCCAGATTCAGCGCCTCGAACGCGAGCAGCGGGCTCCGCTGTGGCGCGTCGTGGTGGGTGCGGCCGTTGAACTGGTTCGGCTGGTAGAACTGCATCCGCGAGGCGACCCGGTGCCGCCGGATGGCCCGCCTGGTAATCATGACAGAAGAGTAGAGAAAGACGGCACCACTGAAGAAGAGGCCGAATTGGCGACAGGAGCGCCTGGAAAAGAAGTCGTTAGGCTCCTCGGGTTGCTGGGCTGTCGGTGATGGTAAGGGGTTTTGTTGGTATGCCGGTGCTGATGGTACTGAGGCGGGCGCTGGCGACACTGGCTGTGCTGCCGGCACGGGAGATGATGCTGTGGTTGCTCGCGCCGTCTTGTTGCCGCCATCAGTCGCCGGCTGCAAGTAAGAGCGGAGGAGCGACCCGAGGATGGGCATTGCGGCTGAGAAGGAGAGGACTTCCGAACTGAGTCCTCGGAGTCGAATTCCCGGCTCCTGTCGTGACGGAGCACTCCGGGCCGTGTTGCCCTGTATACACGGCCACCAAGACCGCCTACTGGACCTCAAGGCGTATGAGCCTTTGCAATGTTGAATGGAGTTGATGTCGGCAAAGAGAGTTTGAGCTGATTGCACTACCCGCCTGCAGAGTCCTTTATAGCCTGTAGGTAACAGAAGCTGTCGCCAAGCGACTGGGCGGCGGGTCCTCGGCACGCGACTGCGGGGACGCGCTAACGAAGCGTCCTTCTTGGCATCCACGGCTTCTCAAGGGCGGAGTCAGGGCCATTTACAAATCAACAATGTTACAATTTACGAACCCCACCGAGACCATCGCAAACTTAAGCACAGTCACGTGAGTCTCTAGACATATCTCCACTTTGGGATGACCTCGAAATCGCTCCATAATCCAAACCAGCTCAAATTTTCTTCTCCCCAATCCCACCACCGATTCCAGCGAACTTGCTGCCTCTCCATGCGTCAATCAGCATACCGCAGCGCAACCCAGAGATACAAATTTCTCTTCAAAAGGGATATCATTGAGCCAACTGTCACTCATAACGGCTGCAATATGATGCGGTGGTGCGCAAGGTAGGTCGACTTTCGTCGAGCCCGTAACACACACAGTCTTGGAGCTGCTTTATGCGCAGGTCCACGGCAACCACGCCATCAAAGTAGAAGGTATGTTAATTCTTTTTTCTTCTACCGCTTGCCTTCACACCTCAGCCGCCTCACAGTCGTTATGATGAGCGTAATTTGCGATTGATACCGCATAGATGGCCCCCTTTCGCCGGGGTTGGCTAGATCTGGTGGTCACATGAAAGTCATTCTTACATATTCTGAACGCAACGACATCCTTCCCATAGTGCTGCTCCGGATCTTCTGGTACTGGTCGTGTATATCCCACTAACAGGCTTGTCAGATGCAGAAAGATTTGATCCAGGATTGGTCCCTCCCGCTGTGGTACGCACCTCTCTTGCAAACTGACCTCTCCATAAGACGAGAGTGCTCGATTCTCGGGAGAAAACAACACCGGAGCCTAGTCTTCGCCCAGCTGGCTTTCTGATTCATGCCAACTGGGCTAACCGGTTTGTAGCTCTACAATAGAATGATGAAGCTTAAGTTCGCTATTGAAACCCCCTGCCTTGACTGTTCCATGTGCCCGTTGCAATGGAAAGCAATCTGCCTTGGGTGATGCCAGACTATCACTCTGTACCCACTAGGGCAGTGCCTTCCTAATCCGCTCTGTCTCTCGGGCTGAGTGCGTTGTTGCGAAGACGGCACCTGAAGTCGGAGCCGTCGTGTCCCGTGGGGTCGACATTCGTCGCAGATGTGAAGTAAGCATCTGCGGTTGCAAAGAACACATCCTACCCGAGCCGAAACATGACATTCCTCTGATGGAGGGACCGGGAAGAAAGCAGCACTGACTGCGATGTTAGACACCTTTTCCGAGGACCAGAAGCGCTGTGGATCATTCTAGTGGTATCTATACAAGCAGAGACAGCTCGAGACGCCGTGCTAGTAGGATTACTGGGAGTCTAATAGAAGATCAAATCCACATGCCGGACTGTGACTGCACCTGTGTATCTTTCCTTCAAGTCACTCCTGCAGAGTAGCCTGGCAAGCGGCATCATGGTTTCCCTCATATCCGCGATGCCTCGCTTTTTTTGGTCGATATGCGAAGCATCGACGATGACCCTTCTCAGATTCTCGAGGCAGAGAGCATCTAGGCGGGTGTTAGCCGCAGTTCGACTATCTTGGGGACAGACGAAAGAGGTACCATTTTCAATGAGATCGATCAGACGCTGTGGTGTGCCGACCGCGATACCGGTGCGTGTCTTCTGAAGGAACGCAACCTGCTCTTCGAGCTTGAAATGTTTGGCAAACTGGAAAGATGCTGTTAGCTCCCGCACTGCCGACTCTTCGATACAACGCAGGACGGCCTTGGTCTCTCCTTACCAGCTTTGCCACGGGACTGCCTTTCTTCTGAAATTTTCTGACCGCTCTGTAGATTATTGTTAGCTCCATCCCAGTTTGACCCCGGGGATTCAAAGAGTCATACCTAACGAGGTCCGCAGCTCGCAGACCAGCACCTGCTACTATGATGGTATGTGGTGAGCCACACTTCTTAGGCGCCTCATTGAGCTTGTCTGAGTCACCGGAGAACGCTTCTAGAAAGTCCGGTAGGTTCTCCAGCGACCGAGTCTTCTCCCACGAAGTGGTATCTTTGATCGCATTTGCTTCATCGGTGGATTACGATCAGTTCTTCTGGCCCAGCCCGGCGGCACCCGCAAGTGACGGATAACTCACGCGATATGTACAAATCAGACAACTCGACCGTGCTCAAATCTGTCCCGAAGCGGCGTGTCTTCTGTGCGATGTGGTCGGCAAGCAGTTGACCATCCATCCGCTCAAAAGCTCTGTTCAACCCCGCGTCCATGTCCAAGTCGCCCTCGTCCTCCCGCACCTTTTTTTGCTTCTTCTGCTTCTTCACAGGCTTGTCGTCATCTTGAGACTTTCTCTTCTTGGTAAGTGCCTCGCTTGCCATGGTACTGTAAGCTCAAACCGTGGCCTGGAGTGAGGGGAGTGGCTTTCCTCAGCCGTGTTAGCGGTCAAATGGACTGTGCGTAGCGGTGTAAATAGTGAAGTGCGGGTGTTCCCTCAAGTTCTCGTCATGCAACTACAAAACGTTTGCTGAGAACTTTCACGCAGAATGGTTGAATGGAGACAGCTCACTTGCACAGAAAATTCTGGGTGGACAGTGCGGATTGTGACCGTGCATAGAAAGACTGTGTTTTGGCCACTGTAAAGTCACTACCACCCACGTGCCACCCTATCGCTTCAGCGGGAAAAACAGCGCTTGCACGCCAATTACACAGTGCGAACCGCTTTCTTCCATTGTTCCATCCAGAACTTCAGTAGTTTTGACCTTCCATCAGTCTTTCCTCATGAGCCTGCTTATGACTTACCAACCAGCGATCTGCGGCGTTGTGAGATAGGAAATATCCTGGCACAAAGGTGAGAGTTGTCACGTTTCTTCTCAGAGTTAGAAGTATACTAATGGAATCCCATGGGGACGGGTTGGGAGATTGTTGCGTGGGGGACAGACCATCCCACAAGACTCCCGGCGAGATCGGAAAACGGGGCCAAATCAAGAATGCGACAAACGTCACATCTTATCCCAGAGATCTCCTTACCTTACCTACCGACTTCATTTGAGTTGTTTTATTATCGCTATCTCGAGCATAATTAGGGTAGTTGGCAAAGGCGAGTGGCTCGAGACTCGATTCCGCCGTCCGTCTCCCGGCCGGCCTCGCAAGGCGATGGCGCCACAGGCCGATATACCTGTTGTATGTATGAAGATCGTGGTGGTTGGCTTACAATCATTACTAACAATGTCGGCTTCAAAGGCTGCCAATGTCTTGGGAGTGAGTCCGCGAATAACCCTGGGCCCCTTTCTGTCGTTTGACCTCACAAAATAACCATCTTCTCCTCACTGGCAAGACAATCGGGACAGGTGAGACCTAGCCCTTGTCACAAACAGATCCCTTGAAATCCATTGACAGCCAGTAGTGTAAGTATACCAGAACTCTGGTGGCACCAGACGCCCTGCTAACTCTTGTCTGCGTTCGCTCCAGCTTGTGGTGTGTCCAAGTCTGTATCCCCTGAGGGAAACCCCCGTCTTTCATGAAACTAACGCCCTTCTAGTTAGTACCTCAAATATGGACCAACTGGCGAACAAAAAGACAGAGGGCTTACCCGGCTTGATGATGTTTCTATGGGCGGCCTGTGAGTGCACCTGCTGAGTTTCGAAAGAGTCCCGTTGTATCTAACTCAACATGTCTGACTCTCACTTCCCCCCTCCTCTCTCCAGGCGGCCTTCCATTCGGTGTTTACGCGATTGTTCAGAACTTCAACGTCCCTCTTCAGGTTCAACCCCGAATCTTTATGGCTCTCTGCCTTATTAGTTGGGCGCAGATCCTACTGTATGGCAGGTAAGGTGCTCGCTTTGCTCCCCGGTTCTGATAATTGCTGACGACGTGTTCTAGCAAGTGGCCAAAGTGGAAGGCATCCCTCCTTGCCATCGGAGTGGCCGCTCTCTTCGCTGGCGTCGAAGCCGCGTTGATTTCCACGCTGAGGGTATGTCATTCCCTGCTCCTGTTCTCTTCGCCTCATGCCTTTCAGGGAACAGATGTGCTCTAACTGTAGAAGCCAATATACGATGAAGGCAACGAGACCCCGGTGATGGTTGTGGGAATTGTAGCCGCCATCCTACTTGCCGCTGGGCTGCTTCCGCCGTACGGCGAGCTGTGGAAGCGGAGGGGGAGAGTTGTTGGGATAAACTGGGTATGCTCCTGGACTTTCCCAGCTCACTGAAGATAATGCTTGCTCACCTTGTCAGGTCTTCCTCGCTATGGACTGGTCAGGTGCCTTCTTTTCTCTCATGGCACTAGGTAGGCGACTTCAGTGCCACTCGTCATGGACCTCTTTGGTTTGTTCACATGGCGAAGTTGCTCAGAATACTTTCGACGTCTTAGGTGGCGTTCTTTACATCATATGGTGAGTTGCTGAAGCTTCAACCCGACGGATGGGTCTGACAGAGTGGGCCAAGTTGCATCCTCGAGATCGGCATCTTTTCGTCTCACTTGATATGGCTTTTCCGCACCAGGAAAATCCGAAAAGCCGCAGCTGCCGAAGGGAAAACATTTGATGATGTTGCTGCGGAACGTGAGGCGAACGGCATCCCGTTCAAGTTTGCCGAAAGAAAGGGCCGGAGCCGAGGCGAGTGTTCCGAGGCCGAGGAAGCGGACGGCACTAGCGAAGTATCTGCCAGCTGTGGCATAATAGCTCCTTGCATGGAGCGTGGCCCTATACCACCTCCAAATGGCCCGGAGTAGGCATGACATGAGCTGAGGGATCTGGGGCGTTTGGATGTCTGTAATGAGACATAACATGCGTGCTCCTGACGACTGGATGTCACGGGGGCAGCAAGTTAGTGGAAGCGAGAGCGGCCATCAAATCCCTTGCATTCCACGGCTTCGATGACACCACAGCAAAGTACGGGGAACCGGGCACTGTTTCACCCAACAAGATTCACCCAGTCGAAGGCAATCTAATAGGGGCGAGACAGAACAAACATGTCGAGATGCGAGTTGGCCGCGTAACCTCTTCGGCCGCCGGGCTGGCTGTGGCTATTGATGCCCAACCTCCACGTATTTTCGCCTTCCTGTGCGATTTGGTGATGACCATGCGTTCGGGAAACCCGTGATGTTTCCCCCACGTCCGGCTTGTGTGACCCTCGGGAGCGGTCGCATGACGATTTGGTTGGTCAGCCCTTGTGAGACTCGACAACGTAATCTTTGATAGCAATATATCAGTACTATTGGGAAGGCGATGCTCCAGCTTGTCGCCTTACGCGTACCTAGTTCAGCATCTCGCAAATGACCAGTAAAGGATGGTGGTAATCGTGGCCCGCACTGGTCCGGGACTGAACAAACTTTGGGGTGGTATGCAACATCAACTTTGCAGCTTCACTCCAGGGCTGATTCGCGCCGCTTGGAGGGTTGTTGCTGTGCTGGATACTTGTACTAAACCTGCGGGAATGATGTCATAGACTCGATCGCCAAACAACAACTTGGGTAAACAGGAAAAGGGAGCAACGAAGAAGGGAGGGCTACATACAGTCACGACAGCGTATGCAGTCCGGTGTGGAACCTAAAGGAGTGAGTGGGCGCCTGGTTTCCTTCGAGCTGCGGGCTCGTTCGATATTGGTCTGTTTATTGTTCCTGCATCTCAAATGGAGGATCCGCCAAAGATGCTGTTAGCAGTGAGTTGTTTCCCGGGCTTGGCCTGCATATCGGAGAGGATGGTGCTTCAAGTTTCAACCGGTTGGTCGATGGGCACTGCGCAGGGGGTTAGACATGGGATGGAATTGGCAGGGCTTTGGCCCTCGTCAATTCGTCCGGTTTTGTTGCACCATGGCTCGTCCTCTTTCGGGCCGTCCCATCAGCCTCACTCATGGAGGGGCGACTTCCTGCATTTGCTTCCGAAGGTTTGTCGCGCCTCAGCTTAGGCAGGTGCATGCAGGGCGAGGAAGGGAAAAGCACAGGAACGAGATGCCAGACCTCCGAGACATTGTCGAGAGGCGGTGTCACTCCGCAGCTTCCTGTCGTCCCGTGGTTTGGCCCAAGCATCCGAGACCGTATAAAGACCCCGGGAAAAGTACCCTTGAGATCAGCGGGGATGGTCGGTTACCTTTTGCGCAAACTCCATTCCAAACACTTGGTTTTCCCCGCTGTGTCGCCCGGGCCGGGCTAGATTTCAATAATAGACATCCCACACGGGCTCTCTCTTTGTTCCTTCCAGCCTCGATTTTACTGTGCAAGGTGGTGGTTGGCCTTTCTCTTATTTTTGCTTTTTTGCCAATTGACACACTGCGTTGAATCCCGCACCGCGGCTCCGGATTCGCTCAGGGAGAAGCAAACAAGTGGCCCCGCGCTTAGCTTGCTGTCAACCCACACGCAGCGCCGCCTTCCTGCAGCACCCGGTCTTGGACAATATCTCGTCCGCCTATACCCTCCGTCTCGAGAGTGAACCTGTTGACCCAGACACTGCCAACCGTTGGATGTTCCGGCGTCCCATCCACCCTCGGCCCCTGTGCACCGGTGCAACCGGCAATCGGCGGCCATCACCCGTTCGCTTGTCGACTCTCACGGCCCGCCTCCGGCTGGTCTGCGAAATCCCGGGAAACCGCGCTTGTGCGACCCCTGGTCCCCGGCTCGCAGCCCGCAATTTTCTCGGTCGGTGCCAGCGCCGCGCGCACCACTGTTCGACCAGGGCCTTGCTAGGTACTGTACCTAGCTAATAAGATTTTCCTGGCTCTCAGGGGGGGAAGACAGCTCGTCCCTCTTCTCTTCGTCCTGTTTCCCTTTCCCAACCCCACCCACCTATCCTGAAGTTCTAGGCGCCGCCGGTTGATTCCTGCATGTAGAAGTCTCTGGCCTGGTGACCGTCGCATCCGCCACTTCGGCGTCCCGTGAGGACTTGGTGCTGCGAAACGACCCGGTCACGGACTGTGAGAGAGAGGGAGAGAGAAAAAGCCGGGTGCAAGCCTGAAGGCGTCAAGCGTGTTGGCCAGCCCAGCGATCCGGCTCAGGGGACATCGACCTGGAGACAATGCCGTCCAAATTCAGTTACCAGCCTTGGTGAGCAGAGAAGTTTCCGTCCGATCTCTTATCTCATCCAATTGACGGCCATACTTCAACGTTATGCCCCATGTTCTTGTTCCCCATTCCTCTTCCCCTGAACCCGTCCTGGTGATAGGTGTCGCACCATGCTAACCACTCCGTAGCCGGGAATTCAATGTCGTCGTGCTGGGTGCAGGTGTGTTTTTCGCCCCGACCTCCGACCTCCGACCACTGGTGCAAATCTTCTTCCATTCCTGAGGCGCCAAGACAATCGCATCGCATGCAAGCCTCTGCTGACATCTCATACTTGCTTACTTAAGGTGGCGTCGGCAAAAGCTGCCTGACTGGTACGTGCCACCCAACCGTTACTGGCCCCTTTCAGGTGTTGATAACAGTCTGTGAATAGCCCAGTTCGTCTACAACGAGTGGATTGAGAGCTATGATCCCACAATCGAGGACTCATACAGGACCCAGAAGTCGGTCGATGTAAGTCGAGTTATATTCTCGGTCATTCACACAAACAATACTGACATTTCTGTTGAACCAGGGCCGCCAGGTTGTGTTGGAGATGTATGTCCTTCCAGTTTCTCTGGATCAGGAGCCTCACTAACATTTGTGCTCAGACTGGACACAGCTGGCACGGAGCAATTCGGTAAAGTATAACCGGATGCCGGACATCCCAGACCTGCTGCTAACCCCCGCCTCAGTTGCCATGCGAGATCTCTACATGAAGACCGGACACGGTTTCCTTTTGGTGTTCAGCATCTGCTCGAAGGCTTCGTTTGAAGAGCTTGCGACGCTCCGCAACGACATCATTCGCATCAAGGATGATGAGAACATACCCATAGTCATCGTCGGAAACAAGGCCGACCTGGAGGATCAACGAGCGGTCGATCGCGCCAAAGCCTTCTCCGTCTCTCGCGGCTGGGGCGCGCCGTACTATGAAGCCAGCGCTAGGTATCGGAGTCAGTGGCCACCTGTTGCTCAAGCGTTCTATGCCCTTCAATTTTCACCTCGCTGACATGTCTTTCCTTTACTTCTAGCCAATGTTGATGAAGCCTTCATTGACCTTTGCCGGCAAATGTTGCGACGGGACGACACCCATGACGACCTGCATGATGACCCTAGCTCGCAACGAGCTGAAGACGCCGCCAAAAGGCACCGCAGGAGGAAACGGAAGGACAGGTGTACCATCCTATAAAGTCCTCTTTCTCTTCGCGCCACCGCTTCAAATCCTCTTGGTGAGCTCGATCAACCTGACATGAGCGATGAACGACAGATGATCTATGGACATGCCCGTCATGAGAGATACTTACGACCTCGGATACTGAAAGGCTTAGTGTATATATTGTACTTGTTTCCCTTTCTTGCAGAGACCACCTTCGCCGAGCCAGTGTGATTTATCTCGTCCTACCTCGCTGACCCAGCAGCGCGATGTTGACCCGCATAAGGTTACCTACCTGCCGTCCCTCCTCCATTCCCTTACTGATCGGCTCCTCAGCGATGAGGGGCCATCTGCAGAGAATTCAGGCAACTGGCTACTCCTCTACAACACAGAGAGTGACTTCGTCACGCCATAATGTACTCTACGTGCACGACTAACAGGCTGGTAACTAGCTGAACACCTCCAATTTGAACCCGATCCATCACCTCCGGTCTGCAGATTCGCTCTGAGCCCGCCATCACAGCGAAGAAGTGCCCGATGGTGCGGCACGAGGCGGATGGCAACACCGCTTGAACAGTCATCAAGAGGGATACTACCGTACTCTCCCGCCGCACGCGCCGCACCATCGACGAAGCTATGTAATTCACCTGCCTTCTGCTTCTTGTTCTGACTTGTTAGTGGTCAAAAGCCGTGACTGGAGGCATTTTTTCAAGCCCCAAGATCCCGCGACGCCCGCCAAAGGAGTGTACTATGTACAATACAGTCCAGGTAGGTAGGAGCAGAATGAGTAGTGCAAGATTACCCCGCAACCTAGTTATGTTCCGAAATACTGATACTAATAAGGGGGCGATGGGCCAGACACACACTTACGTGCCTGGTAACCGTTGTCGATGAGCGTCGTTCCAGGGTTGTTGATGTCGAACCAGTCGCTCGATCCCGTTTCGGTGGGTTCCGATTTTCCAGAGGCTGGCACGTACGAGAGGGGAAAGCTCATCATGAAACACAGGGAGACACAGAGCTTTTTAACACCAACAGCTCCTGCGCCACCGAATTCTGCCCTACTATATACCCAGACAAGACAATTAATGTACCTGTGCTAAGCTTCGGGTTCAGGTTCAGTCTGTGCTAGGCTTGTTTAGCCAACTTGAACTATATATTCATTTGTTGTATCTGTAGGTATGTAAGGTAGGTACCGCACTCAGGTTGTGATAAGTACCTACGGTACGGATTACTGTACCGGACATTACAGTGAGGCGCTCCACCAGACCCGTATTAACGGGCCCGGTAGGTCCCAGCTACATGTACTGCGCTAGCGTTTCGATTTATTAATGTCCCTGGCAGCACGAGTCCACCCCTCTTCGTTCTCAGGCTCTGCACAGTACAGTGCACATCAGTAGTAGTACGGAGTAGTACAGGATAGTACTGCCATCCCAGGTTGCGCATGAGTCTCGTATTGAACTGTCTTTTAGGGCATTTTTGCGGCCATATTCCCGATCTCTGTTGTGTTCGTGCTACCTGCTATTCTAGTCCACGGGTGTTACGCCATTCATAGAAAGCAGACTCCTCGTTATGCATGGAGTTTTTTTTTATTTTGGGAGCCTTAGTGTCACCACTCGGGCCACACAACGACCATTCAATGACTGCGCGTGAGAGAGAGCGTTCTCAGGACAGCCTGCCCATGGTGCGTTGGTCTGTGTACAGTAAAAGGTCTACCATATCCGTCCAGCATGTGACATGATTCACTGTATATACATCCTTCTGAATACTGTGTAGTGGCCACATCTGTTGGAACCGTGTCTAACCGCTTCTCAAACTCGCCCACGTGCATCCGCCACACAACGATTGGTATGGCAGCCGCATCACACAACAAGAGTGCGCGACAAAGCGGTCGTGTCACATGCGTGTATACAGACAACGACCTAGGTCTGTAGAGCTAGGACAGACTCAGAACAATTGCTTAAAAAGCAATAAAGATCTAGAGTGCCCTAATAAGATAAGTTTGCAAGCCTAGATGACCTGCCTTCCGGATCACCACCTAGAGGCATAGCGCGAACCCTATAGATCGGCTAACTGATCATGGGAGACGCTCAGGGAGACAGAATGCTAGCATTCATATGTAGATGCCGCTAGATTGTCTAGTCCCGGGCAAGTCGCTCTTGAGCGACTTTATATTGAGGATGTTGTTACTTGTCATTTCCATGCGCGGACGTGCTGTCGCACAGTGTTTCCTTAGTGTGTTGATTTATTATTGGACGTATAAACTACTGTGTAGGTAGCAGGAGGCCCGATACGGTTGAACGGGGTTCCAAAGGCGTACGGATGACGTTATATACGTGTGGTATGTACAGTATGTACTGTGTATGTACGGAGTATGTACGTAGTTTAGCTCTAGTTTAGCTATCGCCCAGATCACTCATCCCTGCATCGATCCTTCATTTCCACCGCTCGACTGGAGCCACCTCGATGTGGGCGCCCGAGTCGGATGTGCTCCGAGACTGCAAGGGCGCTGTGTCACACACCTCACTTCAAATCTGAACTCCCGTCTCTCCGACGATACCACTCCGCACCTCCATCTTTCGTTTTGTGCTACGGTGTAGACACGCTCTTTTCAACTTCATTTCTTCATCACGTCGTCTTGACGACGCCATTTTCACAACTTCGTTTCTTGCCTACCCATTATCTTCGTCACTCTCTTGATTGCCTCAAGCCACCTGAGTCGCTGATGCAGAGGGTTATTTAACGCCATCCATACTGTGTAGCTGGCTATCGACCACCTCTTTCGTTCTCCGGCCACGCGACACGACGGTGCCTCGACTTCGCATACTGTGTACGCCCATTCCTCGCCGTGCGTATTCCTCCACGCGATACTTGATTTCCTCTTGATCATCGGCCTTCAGACGCTGCAGCCACAGATTCTGCCGTCGAAGCTCTTTGACGCAAGAAGTTCCTGTTCCGCCAACCTGAAACGGATCCATTCAGTCACCAACCCTGTCTTCCGGTATGTGGACGATTTCATACCGCCCTACCACCCGTCGTGTTTTATTCAGCCCCTTCCCTCCTGTCATCAACTTCACCAGTGTCAAGTTGCATGCTGCGGCCTCTTATTAGGCAGCTGATAGCTGTAGAGTGTGCATATTTATCAAGCAGGCAAGAAGCGCAGTTCATCTACTGTCTTTTGCCTTGGTTGTCAGACATCCCCGCTCAAAACGACCAGCAGCGAGTGTTGTGGTCGGTTTTGGTGACGACTGCGCGATTGGGTGGCGAGCGGCGACAGGGGTTGTTCGCCGGATGGTTCGAACACGCAACCTCCGTGAGATGATGCCACCGGCTGTTTAAGGCTCCCTCTTGTGGCCATGGGTTAAGCCCCCCTCCCCCCCCCCCCCCCCGCTTCTCATCTATCTGGACGCGCATCGGCCGGGTCATTCCGTATCTGGCAAATTTCGAGCTGGCAGGAAGGGTTCTGGAACAACACTGTGACGGCATCGCAGACTGCTCTTTTTCTTCCTGTTAACACTGTCTTCGTTCAAACGAAGCCCGACGTGGCGACTTATCACTTACTCTCGGATGACAGGCTGTTTTGCTCATGCCTTCGCGCGGCCGAAGCGTCATTGACTCCCCGAATCCACCTTCGTCTGACTCGCGACCACCACGGCCGAGCAGGGTCCCGTTTCCGCCCCCGCGACCACCACGGCCGAGCGGGGTCCCTTCAATTTCGGACGCCCCGAAGGGCCTCGATCTGGGACCCCCGCCATCGGCGAGACGACTGGACTCGTCTCTTTACTCAGGTGCGCCTTACGTTTCTCCCATCCCGGAAGAAAGCCCGCGCTCCCGGTCTCATGCGTCCTATGCGTCGAGCGCCGCGATGCCCGAGGATGATACCGATCGGCTGGTGAGAAACGCGAGCGTTGGGAAGAGAGCGAAACCCACGCTCGTGAGCGCAGCGCCCTCTCGGGGACTGGAGTCGAGAGACCGTCGTCCTCCGCCTCTGGACATCGACTCTGTGCGAAGAGCCGAGGCCCGGGGGAGCATAACAAGCCTGCCCGATCTTATACGCCGTGCAACAAGGCTGGCCGCGAGTCTGGAGAGAGGACGGAGACCAGCCAGCCGGTTTGATGACCTCGATGATAGCCACCATGAGGCCCGCGACAACGGACGTGTCCCTGAAAGGTACCAGTCAGGCCTCTCCGACATGCTGGCTGCGTTTCCCCCGCCGGCGCATCCACCCTCAAGGCAGAACCGCCGTAGCATACGGGACAGTATGCGAGGACAGATCCAGTCCTGGCCTCTGCCAGTCCATTTCTATCGCGCTCCAAACACCTCACAAGACGCGGTTCCCTACAGCGACTCGCAGCGGTCCGATCGAAAACGCCGGCGCCGGTGTTGCGGCCTTCCAATCTGGGGGTGCATTTTCTTGGCACTTGTGATCTTGATCCTGGTCGCTGCCGCCGTGGTCCTGCCGGTTTACTTCTACGTCATCCGGAAGCAAGAAACCCCATCGCAGAATGCGGCTCAGCAATGCCAACAACAACTGGCATGTGCTAATGGTGGCAGAAGTATGGCTATCAACGGGAAGTGCTCCTGCGTGTGCTCAGCCGGCTTCACTGGCCCGGACTGTACAACGGTCGACACCACGGGTTGCACGACCATTTCGCTGGCCAACCCCGGCAATAGCGATAACTTTACCATTGGAAATGCCATCCCACGGCTCATCCAGCAAGCGCACACCAACTTCTCCATCCAGTTGGCTGCGAACGAGATTCTCGCCAGATTCAGCTCGGGTAACCTAAGTTGCACAGCTGAGAATGCGCTGGTAACATTCAACGGGCGTGCGACACGACAGGAGACACCTTCTAACCAGGCCGCTTTTGTCAACTCGGCAAATGCGGTGATCATAAACGGCATCTTCTACGTGACGATCACTGTTGTGATCGCGCCCCAGACAACGTTTACGTTGCCGCCGACATGGTCAACGTCCGGAGCAGGTGACGGGACGAGTGTTTCGACCAGTGTCTCGACGAGTGTCCTGACGAGTGTCTCGACGAGTGTCACCTCGGGCTCCGTCAGCAGCCAACCGCCTCCATCGGTCACGAGCGCCCCGACAGCCACGAGCAAGGTCACGACCACCACGACCATGTCGTCTGGTGCACCGCTGCCGACATCGATGTTCCCTGTCACGGAGGACGTGCTCGACTTCGCCCGGGTGGCTGTCTTGTATATCCTGCAGGAAGACAACCTTGCGGATGCTGAACTTGCCCAGTTGGCGTTGCAGAATTTTCTCAGCTCCGGGAACAGCGTTGACGCGGCGCGCAACGTGCCAATTGGGGGCGGGCAGTCAGTTGATCTCGTCGATTTTGTCATTAATATGGGCGGCTCCGGTGGGAAGGTTGGCGGGGTTTCTTCGGTCGCGGCGCGTGGAAGGATAGGAGGAGTCGGGGACTTTTGGGGTCGGCGTATACGGATATGAAAATAAATACTCATATCATCATCAGTACTAGTATAGTAATCTTTAGTTCGGGGATGAGTTGCCATTTGCTTGGGGGCTTGATATCCGCTGGGAAGGGAACGTCCTCGCACAGGAGATGCGATCATCTCTTGCGATCAGTACATATTGTTACTTGTTGTACATTAGAACACCACTTTCAGGGAGCTGGTTAGTCTTCTTTGGGTTGCATTCTTCGAAAGGGTACATGGGTCTTTTACCTAGAATTGAAGGGATTGAAGAGGGAGGTGGGCTCATTTGCTTGGGTAGTTAGAGTTCGGCATCAGCTGTGCACTAGTATTTGTGAAGGATAGAAACCTAAGAATACAGGATCCGAAGCATACAGCAATCTTATTGGTATGCAGTTGTTGGAAATATCAAGATTGTTACGGACCAGAAGGGTCATTTGATCAAGTTTGCTACATCTGACAGCAGAAATCATTATTATTCGGCTACGAGACATCCAAAGGTCACGCTTTTTTGCAACCTCGTTCGTCTTGAGCCCAGGGTCACCGAAGGTTCGGAGGGATCGCTTGCCGGTGGTGCGACAAGAATCGGTGTTCCCTTGGAAGCCCGAAACAAAGCGGCAGCGGCGAGCGCTGCACCCGGTCGTCGATGGACGGTTGTAAACTTGAAGGCTGGCGATCCCATATCATAACATATAAAGCCCTCAAGGTGCATCCTAGTGTAGGTGCATATCCATGGATGTCGTGCAGGAATGCAAATGCAATGCGTTGCCTGGTGACAATTTACTCAATTGAAAGCCGAACAGGAAGTGGGTTACGTAATCATTGCACTGTAACCCACTGGCTGTTTGGAATGCTTGTTCTGGAGCCCATCCAAATCTTGGCTCGCTGCGGAGAGATCTTGGGAAAGTGGGGCAGCTAGAACCTGCCTCAGGCCAAAACTGGCTTACGTAGCTCCGCCTTCCGCATTGTTGCGTGTTGACGCCACTCAGACCTGGTCTTGCTCCGGGACCTCCGGGCACGACAAAGCCCAAAGCCCACATCATCTCATGTTCTATTCACCACTCTGACTTTCCAACTCACCCGCGGCTTGGATCAACCATCTTCGCTTTCCCTTTTCTGTTCCCTCTCCCCCAGGACAGCAACCACTAATCCAACTCGCAATCGATAACACTCTTTCGAAACGCATCGACTGCCTGCCAACGTTATGCTGTTGAAACCCCTCACAGTCGCGGCCGGCCTCCTGGCTGTTCCGGCCGCGCACGCATTCCTCATCCCGCCCGAGGTTAGCGATGCGGATGTTCAGGTTGCCAACACCATTGAGAATATCGCCTCCCAGGTCGCTGAGAACCAGGTCGTCAACGTCGAATGTCCCCGCTGCCCGATCTTGGTGAATGGGAGGCGAGGCAGGCCTGTTCAACTGAAGATCCATCGGCCGAGCCACCTCGAATTGACTTTCTCCGTCGACCGCCAGCCCGACCATGACCGACTCCTCGTAAACGGCTTCGAGCTGTATCCTTCGAGCGATCCGCTTGGCGAGGCCCTTGTTGCGCCGCAGGTTATCGATGGGAAACGCCGAGAAACCAGGCGGCACCGGGAGCACGACCAACACGATGGTAAGCCTCGTGCGCACCGGAAGCGACCGCATCGTCTTGAACCCCAGCCGCAGCGACTAGGCTACGGCCTGCGTGTCGGTCCCGCCAAGAAGGACGCCGATGGTCAATTCGAGCTCATTGAGGTTGATCTGCAGATCCTCGAGGTTGGGGTGACCTTCATCGATGGCATCCCTGGGATCAGGGTGAAGCTCATCCAGGACGGCGAGGGCCGCCTGCTCATGTCTCAGATTGAGAAGAGCGAGCCCAAGAATCTGCTGGAGTCCCCCAAGGGTGGTCCGGAGGAATGCACAACCGCGATGTGCAAGTGGTTGGCCATTGCTCGAGAGAAGCTCAAGAACCTGAAGCCTTTCAAGCATTGCCACGGTCCGCACGTGAAGGGCGGCATGGGCCATGACGATTCTGATGGGGTTCCGCATCCTTACCCTCACCATCAACACGGGCCTCATGCCGGCCATTGGGCTGCGCCATACCATGAGCACCGTTGGGGCAAGCTGTTCAAGCATATCGCGTCGCATATCCTCCTCCCTGTGCTCGTTGGTATCTTTGCTGGCGTCAGCATTAGCTTGTAAGTCTACCCTGTTTCAAAGACCATTCTTATCCTGTACTAATATCGTTCAAGGATCGGCATGGCCGTCGGTACCGTAATTGTCTCGCTCTGGCGCATCTTCTTCCGCCGTAAAACCCAGCATGGTCATCGTCGCCGCCACTCTCGCCGTCACTCTCAGCTTAAGGCTGCGTCCAAGGAGGCGGCATTTGACGAGGAGAATGCCAGCCTGATGGAGCACCGGGACCCGCCTCCGTCGTACCAAGAAGAAGAGGCCGCAAAGACAGCGCAGGCCTAACTTCCACTAACGACCAAGCTCAAGCTTTGGAGGCAGTGTACGACTACGAAAGCGGAAGTGCGACGTCGGGTTGTATCGGAATACTGCAGCAGGGGTTTAGGTCATCAGCGGTGTGTGGCAGTGGGCGGGGCTCGGAAATAAGGCATGGAGGTTCTCTGAGTGATGATTCTGGACACTCCTTTTCGGCATTCTAAGTTGGTTCTGCTTCTGTTTTCCTTTCCCTTTGCTTTTGAAATACCCTGATACCCTTGACATTCCTTTAGCGCTGGGTACGCACCAAGAATCTTCTCATTGGTCGGACGTGGGGACAGGCACCTTGCGTTCGCAGACACGTCAGATTGAGTGATAACTTGCGATCTGTGGTCGTGACCATGGCGTCAAGTACAAGGGCAGGTGGAGGAACGTAGCACTACCTAGCGAATTCATGTGACTATGCAAGCGACCTAAAGACCCATAAGCCCGTATTCAAGAGTTGATGTCTCACAGCGGCGGGACGAAAGATGATTAATCCTGTAGGACATATCCTCAGCCGTCAACTAGGGCTTGATCAACCGAGCATGGGCCTGAATGCCAGTACCTCATGGATGCGGTAGGTATTGTTCACATGTTGGGGGATCCTCAGCTTTGCGTTGACCGGACCACTGCAGCAGATGCAGCTCGGGGGTTTCCATGACCCGGAATCGGAAAACACGATGGCAACCACGGATTGTGTGGAGATTGCCCGACCGAACCCGGGGACCCTGACGGCCGCCGAATGGACCGCATGCTGGCTGAGCGCATGCAGCGGCCCCACCAAAGTCGCTCCCCGCTTTATAGCCGCTCTCCGCCTTTTCAAACCGGCAGAAAGAAAAAAGCTGCGATTCCGAGGTGGAGCTAGCGGGAGTCTGGGACTGGAGTTGCTGCTTCCTTGTCACGAACATATTCGATAACTGTGTTTCACAAACCATCAGAAACCATGGGGAAGTCTTCAAGAAAAAGAGAGCGCACCTCCGACGAGGATGTTGCCGACACGAACGACGCCAAGCCGATTGTAAAGAAGAGCAAGCTTGACCACACCGACCAGACCGAAGTGAAGAAGGGTTCCAAGACGAAGGAAGCGAAGTCAGGGCCGGCCGCTGTTGAGCAATCCTCTAAGTCCAAGAAGGAGAAGAAGGAGAAAAAAGAGAAGAAAGAGAAGAAAGAGAAAAAGGAAAAGAAGGAAAAGAAGCACGAGGTTACGGAAGCAGAGACTGCTGCCGAATCGGTCACCGAGCCCACGACCGTTGCCCCTGCAGACTCAGAACCCAAGGAGGAGAACGGCGCAACCAACGGCGTGCCCAGTAGCACAGATAAGCAGAGCACCAAGGAGGAAAAGAAGAAGAAGAAGAAGGACAAGAAAAAGAAGGCCAAGCCGTCCGCCGAAGCCCATCCCGACGCAGGCCCCGAAAAAGAAGAAGCGTCATTCGAAGAGACCGCCGCCGCTGCCGACGGCGAAAAAGAGAAACAGACCCGCTTTATATGCTTCGTGGGCAACCTGCCCTTCACGGCGACAGTCGACGCCGTGACCAAGCACTTCTCGTCGCTGCAGCCGACGTCCGTCCGCCTCCTCACGCAGCGCGACGACCCGTCTAAGTCGCGGGGCATCGCCTTTGTCGAGTTCGGGCGGTACGACCACATGAAGACGTGCCTGGAGAAATTCCACCATACCGAGTTCGACGACGGCATCTCCCCGCCGAGAAGAATCAATGTTGAGTTGACGTACGTATAACATCACCCAACGCCTTCGCCGTCTTCCATCCCATTCTTTATACACACGCATAGGTACCCAGATTTTGTAGATATGCTGACAGTTCCCTACTCAAAACAGTGCAGGTGGAGGCGGCAAGACGGCCAAGCGGGTGGACAAAATCAAGCAAAAGAACGCCAAGCTCAACGAGGAGCGGGCGCAGCGAATGAAGAAGGAGGAAGAGGCTAAGCAGGAGAAGGAGAGGGTCGCGCCCAAGACGCAGGAGCAGCGGGATGAGGACGCGATACACCCGAGTCGGAGGGCGAGGGTTCCGTATGGTAGGAAATGAGGGGCCGGGGAGAGCGAGCAGAATAGATTGCATAGTGTCGTGGTACAGAGTACCAACCTGTCTCCCGGTTCTAATGCTTGTTACGCAAAGATACCCATTTTCTACGCACGAGGGGATATAATTCTTTTACCATGTCAATGCAGGGGCCGGCCCGGTGTCATCAGAAGGAAAACAAGAAACCATCTTTCGTGTATTTTAGTCGTGTAGCTGTTGTATCCGCCGCTGTTATCATCACTGGTTGCTGCCGCTCGACGAAATGGCGCTCGCAGTTACCTACAGGGAGGGAAAGGAAAAGAAAACGGGAAAACAGCTGGAATAGATCTCTGAGGCAAGATGCAAAGCTCGATAGCTCGCGGGACGGGTATAGGCGCTGTTGGAGACCGATGGACCATGCGGTGTGAAACCCACTTAGCGGCAAAGGCCTGTCCATTGTCTTGTACCGGTGGTGACTTCAAAGGCGGCGGTTTAGTATGCGGCGGATTGAGGAATGCGAATTCCATCCAAAACGCCGTAGACGCCTTTCCGCAAATCAACTCCCCAGGAAACGCCGCCCTTCCGTCCTCGGCTCGCGATACCGAGCGGGACGATCCTAGCCATGTCGTCGACTATGGGAAGACACCCAGGATCGCGTTTAGATCCAAAAAGGATTCGGCCTGCGCGCATGGGATAAAAGAAGAGATCTCTTCGTTGGGGTATAGATGGTGCTGGCATTACGGGGTCATTCGTCGTTCGTAGGTCAGGAGGTTGTTGCAAATCCAACGCATTACAAGATCGTGCACTTGGACTTCGGCTTGTTTGCCTGCTTCGTCTGCTTCTTGGGTTCAAGAACAGCTCTGAGAATGACCGTCAGCACATCACGGATTGTTTGCGCTCGACAGACCCAACGATGGCTCACCTGATGGCGTTGTCAAAGACGGCCTTGAGATTCACCTGTGTAAGGGCCGAACACTCGACGTATTTGTACGCTCCGATTTCCTGGGCGCACGCCACCCCCTTCGCAAACGAGATAGGGGCCATCCTTTGCTCGGCCAGCTTGTCGCACGTCTCCCTGTCATCCCTCTTGTCGAGCTTCGTACCGACCAGAATGATTGGGATGTTCGGCGCATGATGGTCAATTTCCGGGTACCACTACACATGGCCGTCAGATTCCTGTGTCTTCATTTCCGCTGTACGCGAGAAGAGCCCACTAACCTTGGCCTTGACGTTGTCGAACGACGGCGGGCTGATCAACGAGAAACAGATGAGGAAGACGTCGGTCTGGGGGTATGACAGCGGTCGCAGTCTATCGTAGTCTTCTTGCCCGGCAGTATCCCACAGTCCCAAGCTAATCGGCTTGCCGTCGACCGTAACGCTCGCTGAGTAGTTGTCGAATCTAGGACTCACGGGTTAGACCTGCTTCCGTGTTGGTGCGAAGGGACCACATACACTGTGGGGATGTATTCGCCCGGAAAGGCATTCGTTGTGTAGGAGATGAGCAAGCACGTCTACACCGCAGGTTCGTGTTAGTCCACCTGGAAGACCGGATTGCGCTCGCGCTGCACATGTCCGTACCTTGCCTACTGCACCGTCACCTGTGACGACGCACTATGGAAACGGAACAATGAGGTGGTTAGCTTTAAGTCTGATCTCCAGATGGCGGTTTTGAAGCGGGGACTGGATCTCGCGATCGATAAACTGACGGTCGGTAACGAACCTTGATCGACTGGACATTCCCCTGAGCAGCCATGGTTTACTGCAGCTCGTAAGAACGATGAGGGATTCCTTGAAGGAGCGCTTGAACAACCAGCAGTCGAATGGCGATGCAGTCGGCGCTATCGGTTGACGGGGACAGGTTGGAAGGCAAGAGCCGGTTGCAGGGTTGCGGGAAGCGAGTGGAGGAGAGACGGGACGCGGTAGAAATGTCCTGCAAAGTTCAAAGGTTGAGGTGGCCCACCGCCTTTACCAGTTACTTGCTCCTTTGGGTAGGTAGACGAGCCTACGTGAGAGGGCGATTGTAGGATAAAGCAAGAAACCAATTCGCAAGCTGCACTCGGGAACAGGAAGAGCCTCGATACACGCCAAATGGCTAGGATGCAATTTGATTCAGGTGCAGTGAGAAGAGAAACAGAGGATGGACGGGCCCGAGCGACCTAGTGCAGTCTCACGGAACGGCAATGCCTCCAACTCGCCGATGAGATAAAACCCTGGCACTGTGTGGGAGAGTGCACCCAAGCACTGAGGCTGCCCGGTCTCGAGCCGGTCCGGCTCAGGGCACCAGTGGCGCACCTTCCTGCAGACCTCAGGCGGGGACTTGCAGCCAGTGGAGCGCGGGATTTGGCCGCACGGTGCGCCATCGTCTTGGCGCGGCCATGTCCTCTTTTGGCGGCAACCTGGAAGGTCGTCTCATTGGGGAGCCACTCAGCAGCAAGGGGTAGGTTCTCTGACACTTTTGGCATCAACCGCCTGGTATGGTTGAAACCATTCGGCGGATGGGAATGGTGTGCCGCCAACATCAGGACACAAAGGGACTCTTGCTGCCATCGCCATTCAGAGGCAACTTTGAAGCCACTACTTCGTGATCTGCGTCTGCCGGAAAGGACAAGGAGTCCATCCCTTGGGACGGCACCAGCGTTCTATGGCACATAGGGAGATGCAGTCGCAGAATTGTGAACTCACCTGAACTCTCGTGTTCAACCAGGAGAGGAGGCGTAACTGCCCGTGTAGCACAGTGTTCTCGGTGTACTGGTGCAGCACCTTATCGGCAGGGCGATGTGTGCAGAGGACCTGTTCGGATGAGAAGCTGAAGCGAACGGGCTCGGGAAAAGCGAACGGGCTCAGGAACAGCGTATGGATACGAGTGTTTCGAAACGACAGTGTGTCTGCAATGGTGTCGAGCACGCTTGGGATGTTGTCTCAACAAATGTTTGGTCAGCGTTATGGCTAAACGCTCGGGTTCTCATGAGTTCGGTAGGCAGGTTTCCAAGGCTTGTGTTGGACACTGAGGCTGAAAGGAAGAGTCTAAGGACCTAGCGGCACCGTTTCGCGAGGTGGTCAGTTCACAATCATCTCACCTGTGCCTTTGTTGTGGCACGACTTCCATGGTGTACTGTAACGGACCTGCTTCAATAGAAGAAGCCACCTGGGCCACCAGATTTTCAGGCCACCGAGGGTGCACACATCCTCGTAATGGGGATGTGGATTTCAAGTTCAACTACACAGGTCTAAGATGCAGTACCGTACGGTGTACCTTAGCTGTCCTGCAGAGCACTTGCACTGTGCATGTACAAACACTGCAACCCAAATGTAGGGACCGAGCACGCACTCGAACATCGTACCGTTCTGCGTCGTGGCCGAACTCCGGAAGAGGCCGGCAGCTGCGGTGTAACACTGAGAGTGTTCGACAGTGACGGTATGTACCTTATGGTGGCCACCTAGCACCTGTCTGCCATTTCTTGACAAACCTTCACCACGAGCGACAGAGCTACCTAATCACTACTAGTACAAGCCATGCATTTTTGGAGGTTCGGACAGACGTATTTCTCACTCAGGCTCGTCCAACAATTGTCTCAGCTCGGGCATCTGACGGTCGGATGATTGGCTTTCAGCTTAAACTCGGATTTCAGGCGCTGATACTACCTAGGTATCGAGGCCCGCCTGCGACAGAGATCCATGGATGCCTTGCTACCAGCGCGCCTAGTTGCACAGTCAGATAGCATTCCTATTCGGGCTTATGGGATACGCGGTAAGCACGGCCCGAGAACTGACATTGGCAGAGGAGAGATCTTCTGATTTGTCGGTTTCAACGCATCCATATGTAGCAGGTGCTGAGGGAAGCAAGAGGTTCAATTCACCTTAGTGTGACAAGGTACTTTGAAATGCCATGGCGCGGTGTGGGTTACATGCTGTGGTATATGATAACCAAACTCTTTGTAAGACAGGTATACTCCGTATGCTACCTATGCAAGGTAGAAAATGGAACTCAAACCCTGCGAGGGATACATAAGCAGATAAGATGGAAGGTAAGCAACTGACGCCGAGCTAAAAATACGCATTAGCTCTGCGGTTTCGCATCTGAGGCCACTTAGGTCAGCTACCGTAATATTAAATCTCAAAGTCCGTGACAATGCATGTATTTTCCGGGCATCTGAACAACGGCCTCAAGCACCCATTGGAGCTTCCGTACCTAACAAGTATGGATATCTAGTATGTACATGTATATACTAGTATGCATTAATTAGGTACGCGCTAAACGTACCAACAGCCATGTGTCCAACGTTTCCGAACGGGTAGGTTTGCTTACATACAACCTCACCGGTGTATACCAATTCCCTACGCTATTCACCACAGGGCACTGGGCGACTGAGGCAGGAAATCAGGAGGACGACGAGGGGTCCGGAGTTCCTGGAAAAGAGGTTGGAATTTCCAGGTTGCTTGCGAATGGATGATGAATGGATCACCCTAACCCTTACTAAGGGCCGCCTCGGCAGATCCCGCCGAGTGATGTCGATCACTGGGCAGCCCCCTAAACAAGAAAACTTTCGGTGTGGATTGTTCGACGTCGAGATTCCGCCCATCTGGGGGTGCGAGACGTCGTCCTCTTCCAATAGCTTTCAGGACATGGAAGTTATCGAAAGGTTTTCGGATTTGTCGACCAAGGCGCTCAGCGTAATACGCGCAGCCAGATTACCGCATCCAAAAGGCGTTTTAGTGGAGAGCTTCGTCACTGAGGCCGCGGACCCGGACCGGGCAGCCCGGCACTTACTCAACCGCATCGCTCCCGAAGGCGAAGGAAGCGACGTGGCCGCCTGTCTCGATGCGTTTTGTTCAGACTGGAGACAGCTCGTTACGAACTGTGAGCACCGCCTTTGCATCTTTCCACCCTTGCTACCCCTTGTGCCACTGCCGCGCCGCGACGCTTCTCAAATCGGCTGCTGACAAGCCATCCTCCCCGGGCCAGTTGTGCATGAGGGCCCAGTCCAGCCGCTGCGCGACAGGCGTTATGTGCCTGTCATCACGAGACGCGACGGCGGGACCTGCCGGTTCTCAGGCCTGGGCGACTCGTGGCGCGATCGTCTTGCCGTCTATCCCATCCTGCCTCCCTTCGGGGCCGGCAAAATAGAGATTGATTCGGTAGGTGGGCCAGGCCGAACAGGACCAGCGCTTCCCTTGTCCGGACGTAGAGGCTATCGTGACGGGAGCTAACCTGGCTCTGCTGCTTGTCAGTCCCTGCATGACCTTCTTGTTGCCTTCTTGGGGCCCGACCTGGGTAGGTGGGTGCTAGCCGGATGCGAAGACCCGTGCCCCCCTTTCGGCAGCCACTGGCTTCTACGCACGTCTGCCGCCTCCGCGTTCGCCCAGGGGTTTTGGAAGCTCTTCGCCAGGCCGCTGAGTCGCTATGAAGTGAGCACCTGCCGAAATGTGAGTGTTGTGGTCGTGGGTCAAGAGTTTGGTGCACTTCTGGAATGACCGGTTAGGCTGATATTGTTGCAATACGCAGTACATCGTCTCGCCAACCGGTATTGGTGGGCTCGCGGAGCCCGCTATTGTGAGAGACGCCGAGGTGGGACGAGACATGCGGCTCTTTGACGAATCCGGCTGTGATGTTGATATGCCGGATGAGCGAGCACTAGAGCTGGCTGCTCGCTTCTCCGCCCCAATTCGCTGGGTTCACGTGTGGAGGGCCATTGAGCGGAGGCAGTCGCGTCCGTATGTGGCGTCTGTCTTCGCCGCAATCTCTAGTGCGGTACTGTGCATCTTTGCCAGGGCCTGGGAACCGTTCTCCCGCGCTCTTTGGTACCTTTGGCGTCTCCTACCAAGCCGTGTACGGATCCGAGCCTACTATGAGCTTTATCGTGCTGGCAGATTCGTATACGGCCCAACTGATGCTAAGGTGCAGCGACTCCCCTTCAACCTGTTCATCAAATATTGCAATGCGTCTTCAAACGGACCTTTGACCAACGAATACGGAGCCCTGCAGCTGATCCGCCGGCACTCGGATCTCGCGGTGCCCCGGCCCTTAGATTTAGTCTCAGATTCGAAACGGTCCTACATGGTGACCTCGCGCATTCCCGGCTATACCATGGGTGAGGTGTTCAGCATGCTCACGGACGAGCAGTTGCACGACTTGGCCAGCGATTTGAACCGCTTTCTTTCGAAGCTCCGCACTATACCCAAGGAGCTCAGGCCCGGTACGGCCCCGGCGACTGCAGTCACCGGAGCTACCGGTGGCGGATGCCACCATGTTCGCATGGAGTTGATCTTCGGGAGTCGAACACCATACGGTCCGTTTGCTACCGAGGAAGATTTCCACGACTTCATTCTCACACGGCGGCCCCCGGCTCCGGATGAGATTCAACGCGGGGGACACGACATCGTGATGACTCATGGCGATCTGTCTCGACGAAACATCCTCGTGCACGAGGACGGAAGACTGGCCGGCGTCGTGGACTGGGAACACGCTGGCTGGTATCCGACGTATTGGGAATACACAAGCTTCCTATATGGGCTCGACTCACTGCATACGCCCCAACGGCTGGCGGACATGGCTGGTGATGTATTCCAGGGGTTTGGGGATTTTGAACATGAACTTGCGGTGGAACGGCGGCTATGGGCACGAATATTCTGATGAGTGGCACTATCCCCTGATTGTCGCCTTGTGCCTTCGGTTCAGTCCAATCTCCGTCCGCCATACCGATACCTGTCGGAGCAACGTATGATGGTTCAAACGATCCGAGCCGTCACACTAGGCAGTTTCTTTCCCTCCGGGTCATTGGGCTTGAGCAGCGCCCCCGCTTTTATCCTGCATCTCGTCTCGACGTCTTCTGGATGTTGAGGTGGTGGTTAGACAACGTTGTAGAAGGGAGAGGGGAGAGAACTAGAAGTGGAGGAAATAAAACGACAGAAAGAAAGACAAAAAAAAATCGAATAAGCAAAACAAACGGGCATCTAAGATCGGAGGTAGAGGGGGGGAATTCTGCCACCCGCTTTTCATTGACATACAGGTCACTTACCAACGTGCAGAGGCAGCTTGAGAATGACCTCCTTTTGAAGCACACTGATGACAAGCTTGAGCCATGTGCGGCAGTTGAACGGCTCTCCGCTACGCAAGTTGCCGCCCTGAGCGGGTACATGAACACTCTTCATAGCCTCCTCGGCTTCGGCTCGCTTCTCCGGGGGGATATGCCCGATCCCGATGAGGCAGATCATAGACCTCGTCGGCTGCACTTGCTCGACCTCCCTGATCTCGTACGCCCATGAACCGGTACGATCGGTTGTCTGGTGGATTCGTCCGGCCTCTCCTGGACCGGTAAGAAGAAGCGCCCAGTGCTACGGTCAAAACAGATCTGTTAGCTGCACCGAGGACCCGGATCTGGGTACGAGAAAGAGTCGGGGATGACATACATAGGCTTCCCCCACGGCTTTGCGCTCGTAGAGGGCAACATAGAGGGTGTCCTCCTCGATGGGGTCGCCGTAGAATTCTTTCGATCGCGGCATGGCGAGGGATGCAACAAGGACTCCGGAATCGGACAGTGTAGAGAGAGAGGGAGACCAGAGAGTGCTCATGCTTTTAAACTCCGCAAGACGACATCTCGGAGATACTCTGCAACCCTCTCCCTGATAGTTCAGGTAGTGGTGAGCAGTGAGCACTTGTCGTCTGTGCCGACAAAACCTTGGGGAGAGAAGTCTGCCCCCGGCGCGTCACAAATGAGCCCGCCTCGTCGCACACCTGCCAATCTCTCGAGACCCGAACCCGTGAATCATCGAAACTTCCCGTTCCGTTCAAAGCATTCGTGAACGCAGCTTCCATGCAGTTCGAAAAGTGTTCCGACTGATGAAATGGGAGTCCGGTCCCCGCACCCCACTCCCACTTCTGACTGGCCGTTGAATGGCTGGGCCGGTCTAGACCTGATCGTCGCTGGGCGACTCGGATCGTGGCCTTAACTTATCACGTGGCACAGCGGGTAGCACTGCAGCGCATCGGTCACTAAGTAAGGTACCGTATGTATGTACTGTACAGTGTGTATTGTAAATTCCATTGTATTCCGCAGTACATTACAATATCAGGACAGAGCGATGTGTTGTCGTTATTACTGCATCACGTTACGCAGTACGTAGCTTAGGTGCTTAATCTGCTTACCTATTATTGAAAAATGTGCTGTCGTCGTGTGAATTGAAACTTGGTTGGACTCTACTGAGGTTCAACATTTCCTACCTCTGGATAGCTTCTTACTCCGTCCACGGGTATAGCATCCTATAGCCTACCTACACTAGTAAAGCAGCGCGAGGAACGAGAAGGCGGCCTGGGATCCTTTGGGTGGAGGCCGGGCCGTGTCCCTTGTCTGAGCCAGTGCCGGCCCCACAATACGTGGGCTGCAGTGTTCCTCGTCAGCGACGAGTCCCGATTCCAACAAGTACGGTACCTTGCCGGCGCGTCACGCTCAAATCGATAACCAGGGGTTGAAGAGAGATGAGCGGAATTTCGCCGGCATTGAATGTACAGCACTGTCAATGTGCATCTTACAACGAAACACGACCCCCCCTAATTGACCAATATGGCTCGCGAGAACCAGCATCCCGACGCGACGCCTAGCCGAAGGGCGTCGAGCGCCGAACCATTCGCCTCGAGTAACCGGCGATCCGTCTTCAGAACTCCCGCAAGTCAAGGACGTGGCCTTCCGCGTCCACAGGGTCTTTCAGCGTCGGGTAGGAAGGTGGCACCGCCGGCCGCGACACCTCATGCGCGGGCAGCATTCCGGACGATCGACTCGCGCCGGGCAGCCATCTTCACGCCGCACCGCGCCCGACGGAAGAGCTTGCGCGAGGTTCGCGATTCGCCGCGGGACTTCCTCCTCTCTCTGGGACGTGTACTGGCGCGCAACACCGAGGTCATCACGACTTCCTCGTCTTCGTCGCCCGGCGAAGCGGATAGGACCGTGGCATCAGATGGCCCAGGCAACGACACGACGCTGGGGTCAATAAATGTCGACGAGGATGACGAGGATGATGAGGAGCTTCCGAAGCGTCCACGGCTCTCGCTCCCTATTGATGAGGAGGACGAGGACGATAGTGACGATCTCCAGCCTCATCGGTCGGTGTTGATTGATGACGACAACAACTTTACGATGCAGTCAATAGAGATGCCGCGCAGGGCTTATAGCGAGCAGCCTATGAATCGGTTCTCAATGGGCAGTGTGCGCATGAGCGACTACTTCGACACGCATGACATGCTGCATAGTGAGGACGTCGGGATTGACTCGGGCTTTTTCCCGCCTACGGCTGCGCTGGACGAGACGAACATCGCGATGGGGCTAGAGGAGCTGCCGTCCCCTGAAAGGTATTCTCGGCTCGTCACAGACAATGCAAGAGTGAGGCGCTGACTTGGCTGTAGACTCGATTCCGACGCCAACCGCCCTGATCCCGGTCGGGAGAGCGACTTCAGGATTGATATCCCAGTTGGCGACGTAAATGAGAGCACGTTTCTTATGGCGCCCCAGGTCGTAGACTCACCGGACGGCCCACCTGGCCGCTTACCTGTTGCTACCGCCGAAGTAGTGCACGACGACTATGCACCACTTCTTGACCAGAGGAGCGATGATTATGACGACGAAGATCTATTCGGCGGGGTGCCGGCGCTGGAGGATGAGCCCTTGGAAGCTCAGAATGAGCAGCTGCACGATGAGACAGAACGGGAACCTATGACGGCGAGAGGCCCACAGGACCGCAGGCTTACGAAGAAGACCATCAAGGTCTCAAAGTATGGCATTGAGTATCCGTCTCTTCCACCGGCAGTAGTAAAACGTCTCGCCCAGAACTTCGCCAGGGCCAACGGAGCAAAGGGGAAGATCACCCCTGACGCTATGAAGGCCATCATGCAGGCGTCAGACTGGTTCTTTGAGCAGCTGGGCGAAGATCTGCAGGCCTACGCAAAGCACGCCGGCCGAAAGACCATCGACGAGAGCGATGTGCTCACGCTGATGAAACGGCAGGTTACAATCTATCAGTGGGTATCTCGATACTGTTACACATGGCTGACGCTTTCCAGACAACGTCAGATCAACCCGAATACTACGCCATTTGCTCTCGCACAACGCCACCTCCCGAGGGAGTTGCTGCAAGAGCTGCGAATGCCGCCCCCTGTTGTCCCGAAAAAGCGCCGCAAGACAAACGGCGGAACGGAGGACGAAGATGTCACCTGAACACCGAGGCGACCTCGTTGAACATCATTACCAGTGCTTATTCATACGAACACGCCGAGCAACATCGGATGGCGGCTTGCGGACCACCATGTAGAACATAATCGAGGTTGCAAGGGACAGCCCATACCTGCCACAATTAGTCGGCTACTGCCACGGACGGGACTTGCGAAGGGAGCAGAGTCGCTAAGGCAGTGTCGTCCTGGGACAAGCACGACTCACCAGGTGAATATGTACTGCGCGTGATTATTGCGCAGGTTTACCTCGGCCGGCCTACCGATGGGGATGCCGCGGTCTTGGTAGTCCAGAACCGTGAAGTAGTCAGGGTCTGAAGGCAGGGGCGGGTCAGCATATCCCATCTAAATGCATAGCCATAGCAATGAGAGCAGCAAAGGGAGCGAATTAGGATCAACCCACCCATCGTCTGCTCAATCCAGACCGGCTGACTCCCGGTTAATTCGGCCATTTGCTTCACATCCGGGAAATAGAATTCGCCCTTGTCGGGCCTGTTCTCTGGCGTGAACATGTTCTTCTTCCACGGCTCCCTCAGCATGCCTTCTACCCTCACCTCGCCCTGGGGCAGCCCAGCCGGCCGCTTTCTCTGATCGGCGTTCTTCTTGGACACCCACCCCCGGTTGACCAGCACCTTTGCCCGCTCGTCGCCGTCCCGCTCCAGCGGCGTCACCACGATGTACCCTTCTTCGCCGTCGCGCATGCGCGGACCGATGAGCATCTCCTGGTCGTGCCGGAACCGGCCCGTCGCGTAGACCCGGCGGTAGTCAAAGTCGGCGATGGCGTCCGGGTCGACGCGCGGAGGCAGCGGGAGCGGAGGCCGCACGAGCCGGTCTTCGCACTTGGCGATGAGGTCCGTCTTCCATTGCAGCCGCTTGACCTGCCAGGTGCCGAGGATGAAGGCGGTTACGGGGATGATGGCTGCGCGTGAGGGTGTCAGTATCTCGGAGTGGAACGATCTGTAGCGTGGTGGCACTTATGTACCGAGGATGACAAGGCCAGGCCCATGTCTACGGCCGGTTCGGACTAGCTCGGGCGGGTTGTCGAGGATCGAGGTAAAGCCCGGGTCGTCGGCTGCTTGCTTTGCGAATCGCGGGGTACTGGAGAAGAGCCGTCGGGGAGGAGGGAGGCTTGCAGAGGCGCTAGGTTGCTTCCATCTGACAATCGTCCGGCCAATTGGCAGCTGTTGGGACTCAAGGTGCCGTAAAAGGCAGCTAGCTGCTCTCACGGGCGCCATGGTGGAAGGAGGCTGCATTGATGTCGTTTGAATTGCAGTGCCTCTGAGAGTGCTTCAGGATCGGGAGATTTATTGACTGCGCTTGGCCCTCCCTGTCGGTGGAGATCAATTCTCCCGAGTCTAATTGGAGCCCATCAGCAGAGGCTCGGATGCTCGGATCAGCGCCCATTGCCGCTGCACCCCGCCGCTAGCAACAGCCCCGCTGGAGCTGGGATCCTGCTTTATGGCTTACCCGCTACTGGTATTACGGCGCGTGCTGCATATGCCGTCAGCGCGTCATGCCGCCTTGAAGACAGCTTTCAACTGCATCACTGCTGCATCATACACCAACGTTTCCATCCTGCTACCGTATTGAAAGTTTGATCCCCAACAACCAGACCAGGCAACCCGATCACAGCCGAACTACTTCATAGGATTTGGCAGTCTACCAGAATCACGATCATGTCGCTCTTCTTCCAGGGCACCCTTCAAGAAGGCATTGCTGCTGCTCTGCAACAGGCTAAGCCCGTAGTATGCTTCGCCACAGGTTAGACGTTACAGCATCATCGAGGAGGTGATACGCACTAACCGACATATAGACGGCGAAGCTGAGAGTCAGCTTTGGGAGAATGACTTCTTGGCAGACGGAGAGGTGAGTGCTCTCTATGAGGGGTCCGTTATTGTCTCCCGCTCCAAGTTAGTCTCTAACACAACGGCCTCGATTAGATCCGCTCGCTGTTGCAGTCCGAGGCAGTGACGCTTCGGCTCCCCGCTGGTTCACAGGAAGAAGGCTTCCTTTCTCAGCTCTACCCCCTTCCCAAGAAGCCCACTATCGTGATGATGAGGTGAGGGATACCGTTCCTTCACAGCTCAATGACGGATCCGAAGCGCTGATACAATCCAGGAAAGGTGAACTGTGCGAGTATATCGCTGCTGGCGTCTCCAAGGGCGAGTTCGTGAGGAGGGTAAAGAGCGCACTTGCGGCATCACAATCTGCGGCAGCTCAAACCGCAGCTCCTCAGCTCGGTGCCGCGGTGGCACCGGCAGCAGCACCAAGCCAACCGACCCATGCAGACCAATCCTCAGCAGCCAGTAGCTCAGCCCAGACCAGCCTACCACCTCCCTCTGACTCCCGTGTCCAGTCGTTGTTAGCCGAAAGAGCTGCAAGCCTTGCCGAAAAGCAACGGAAGGATGAAGAGGAGGCGAAACGACAGCGGGCTGAAAAAGCCAAGGCCAAAGCCGAGGCGGAGGCAAGCGGGATGAAGAAGCCCGACGAGCAGAGCAAGCACGTGGCTTCTCTCAAAAAGAGGCAAGAGGAGGCTCGAAAGGAGCGCCAGAGGATCCTCAAGGCTATCGAGGATGACAAGGCGGCTCGCCGGGCTCAAAGGGCCGAGGCCGAGGCCGAACGAAAGGCGGCTGCGGCGGCCGAGAAACCTGCGTCGGCCCCCTTCGCGCCGGCCAGCCAAGTTTTCCCCTCGATGGGCAGGCTAAGCGGGCACTGCTCTCTCCAAGTCCGGTTATTCGACGGCTCGACGATTCGCAGCCGGTTCTCGAGCAGCGAGACGCTGAAAGACGTGCGATCATGGGTCGACGAGACGCGCAAGGACGGCAGGGATCCTTACACCTTCAAGGTACTCCTTACTCCGTTGCCGAGCAAGGCAATCGATGTCACCGAGGAGGGCAAATCTCTCCAAGAGCTGGAGCTTGTCCCGTCGTCGACGTTGATTCTCGTACGGGTGCTCAAGCACGCTGCCGCCTACACGTCCTCGGCCAGGGCCGGACCCGAGCCCCAAGGCAACATTTTCCAGAGACTGATCGCTTACATCCTCGGCATCGTCACCGGCTTCTCCGGCACGATCTATGCTTTCTTTTCGACCATCTTCAGCACAGCCGGCCCACCCCCGCCAGCCTCGCAGCCTCCCATTTCCCGGGCATCTCACAGTCAAATTGCTGTCGAGGCAGCCCGGCGTCGTCGTGTGTGGGTAGCGGGACTCGACCAGGCAGACGAGCGGCGGAGAGACCAGCAGTTTTACAATGGAAATTCCGTAAGTATCGCTTCTCTTGCCACTCGCAGTCGGGGCACTAATCATTCGTAGACCAATTTCGAGCCCAGGACAGACGACGGGGAGTGATGGTATATCTCCCTGTGCACAGATTCGAGGGTCACGTCTAGCCGCAAGACGAAACAGTTGAGCGGAAGACGTCTTGCGCTGTTCTAGTTGTTGGTAGTTGTACATTATAGTTCATGGATGAACGCCAAAGCAGAGAGTTTTGTCCACCTAACCGCAGGCCAATAATGCCGCCAGCAACAGGCGTAAAATTACACTCCCCCATCATTCCTCAACCCCCATCATTCCTCAACCCCCATCATTCCTCAACCCCCTTCAATCAATCCATCCGCCAAACTCAGAACTGCTTAGCCGCAGCCTGGCAGGCCTTCAGCTGCTCCAGGTACCACCCGCAGATCTGCATGTTGCCGCCCTGCTCGTCCATGCACCTGGTGAACTGCTCGGTCGCGCCCGCGCAGTTGTTCCCCCAGCTGCTGTTGCTCTGCGCGGCCTGCGCCTGCGTCGCCTGCGCGGGCTCGGGCGCGCCGCTCGAGCTGCCGCCGAAGATGCTGCTGATGCCGTTGCCGACGACGTGGCCAATCGAGGAGCCGATCGCGACGCCACTGGGGTGGTTGTGTTAGTCACGCTTTGTGAACTGTTGCGTGTCTTCCTAAAACGGATGGTCGGGGTGCGGGGGAGGGCGTGACGTACGCCGCGGTGCTGGCCATCTGACCGAGAAGACCAGGACCCTGGGAGCCGGAAGCCGTGGGAGCTTGGTGAGCCATGGCAGTAGGGGAGGAACCGGTCGGAGCCGCGTAGGTGGCGGCCGGCCGGGTCTGCTGCTGCTGGGTCGGAGCGGGGCCGGAACGCGCCGGGACGGTCGGCCGGGCCGGAGCCGGACGAGCGGTTGACCTTGACTGACGAGGCATAGTATTGACGCGAGTGAGATTTGCGGGGGTGTGGGCGCTCGAGTGAACGATTCAACGGGTGTGGTGTTGCTGGGAGGCGTCGAATTGGGTTGGAGATATTTTGCCGGAGCGAAGACGGTGATTTTGCGATTATCCCCGGCTTATAGCTGACTTCCGGCAGGGCGGGTCTAAAAAGGGACCTGCAGGCTGGAAGCCAATCGAAGCTCGCCTGCCCCTCAGACCCACTCACTTAGTGATTCCCGAATGCCGGGTCACAATGTTCACTGCAGGGTTGGGGTTAGACCAGCTCGACCTGACAAGCACTTCCAGCATGTGGATGAAAGCCGCATGAAAGGACAATTCTAGATTCTGCAATTACAAGCCAAGTATTGAGATGCAAACTGCTGCTACCTGAGCTGTTAAGCTATCTGCCGCCCCGACACTTCCGCCTCCCCGCATCTCTGACGACGCCGGCTATATCACTTCGCGGCGCAGGCAACAAGGCCCCGTTCAGTCCGCTCCATAAGAATGCTCATGCACATACACATTGAGCAATCCGGTGTATCGGGCCCCAGAGTGATGCCCTCGGCTGTTTCTGCGGTTCTCCTAGAGAGTCTCTCTCGAAGGGACGTGGTCCGTGTGGCGGCTGCTCTCGTCCGTAGCCTTCTCTGGCAGTGGGCGGAAGCGTGATCCTCTGAGCCGTCTAATTCGGTCAAAATGTCGAGCCTGCGATAGTCATAACAGAGTTTTCATTTCTTCTTCTTGCCCCCGTTGCGCTTTGGTCGTTTGCGAAGTTTCTGGCCGGCGTCAGTCGAGCTGTTCTCCACGGCAGACTCCTCCGCTGGGCGCTTTTTCTCGGTGGACTTGGCTCCAGCCTTCTCCCGCTCCTTGGCGATAAGTTCCGTCAACTTTGCTTTGATATCCTTGTTGTCCCCCTGTTCTCGAGTAAGTGCGGGCCAAGGCATGGGCAACCGGGCAACTTACAAGATCGGACTTGAGAAGTCGGGCCGCCGCCTCCGTGTTGACCATGTTCTCACGAGGTGCAGGTGGATTCTCAAGCTTCTGTATCTTTTCCGTATACTGCTTTACCCGAGTCAACTCGGTGAAGACCGCGTGGTTTCTGGTATCCACCCCGTTGAGGCGCAATGCGGCTGACGAGGGTTAGTGACTGTGAGAAGGTAACGACGGGGATAAGTCTCACAAAAGAGCAGCGACTCTATTGTATAGGTAGCCAGAACGTAGAGCTTGGCTTTGTCCAGGAGCGGAAGCTTGGACGAGATATCCCCGATGTCACCAAGCAGAGGATTCAGAACTTCCTCGGCCTTGTTTAGCTCTTCCTCGAGCCGGTCCAGCTGCGGCGTCACGTCTGTGACATCCATTGTGATTGAAAGATGAATGAAGTTAGGCTCTAAATCTCAATGTGACTGTTCCCGTGTATTCCCAGGGAGCGTGCAAATGCGGCCCACATATGATGAAGCTGCTGCCTTTGAGATAGAGTGATCCATGAAAACACGTGAACCCTTGGGAAAGTTCTCCAGCATGTGGTTCGAGGTGGGGCCTGGCTTGGTACGTACCCGCTTCCCCCCTGCGATCCTTCTTTGTGGGCCAATCATGCTACAGTAATTTTTTCTTCTCTTCCAGCAGCGAGAACTTGCCGGGGCGAAGAGGAGGGACACTTCCCTTCGCCGTGCCTCTCCCGACGAGTCAAAGTTTATGATTCACGACGCCGCCCGAGTGCCTGCCATTACGGAACGGAACCCGAGCCCAAGCGCCTGCTGCGTCTGTCCGAGTTTCCCAATGCCGGCTCGCATGCCGTAAAGATCGAGAGCCTTCCGCGACAGGCGTCTCCACGAGTCTGTGACGCCGATTCGCCCTACCATGGTCTCTCAGACCCTTGTGTGAACACCGGCAACCTGTATTTCCTTCTGAGCAGTGGCCCGCCGCCGCGGGCCTTCGCGCGGATACCTTACAGATACCCAGCATGGTCATTCAATAACAGCATTGCGGGCCGGGGGGCCAGCCGCCGCTCGCTGGGTCGGTACTTCACGTCGTCAAGATCCAACCGAACTCAGGAGAACGGCTACATTCCGTCAGGCCTGGGGCCTTGGAAGGCTGGTTGGTACGTTCCGCCTCTCAATCTGCGCAGCCAAGAACCGCCGTTGTCAATCTCGCCTGTTGGCGACAAGCATGCACCGACGACAAAGTCGGGCTTGGGACTTATGCGCCCAATAACCAAGGTTACCTGTGTGGTGTCGGCAGACGCCCAACCCGAGGTGTCTTCGCGGGACTCCAAAACGCAGCAAGGCGGTATTCACCAGCCCCCCGCGGCTCATGTGCAGCATGCAGAGACAGTGGAGGAACGGATAGAGGACGAACCGTCGAGAGTCTCGGCTAGTCCTATCGCGCGCCCGGAGGGGAAAGAGCAGGGACGGCTGGACCTGATTCGATCCAAGGTTGCCTTGTGGGACGCTGAAACGCGACAGACGGGCGTTCAGACATCTATTCCCGGTGATGTGCAGCCGCTCAACCCGTGCGACCAGATCCATGTCATGGGATTGGATTTGAAAGGGCGATACATCGCTCACACTTTGGCCGGCTGCCAGACCATCCCCCCTGTGCGGTACATACTGCACAACCGTCATCTCTACCGGCACTGGTCCAACACCCAGAAGCAGTTGCGCCTGTACCGGGGCGACAATGTCATCATCCATCGTCGTGTCCGAGCCGAGTGCAGTTCGGCGGGGCAAGATCAGTCTTCAACCAGAGATGCGATCCACAATCTGATCGTCACCCTTCCGGCCGGCCAAGTTGTCCAAGCACTCAGCCATGTTAGGCACCGGCTGGATCATCGGTCAACCATCTGCCTTATAAACGATGGACTTGGGGTCGCGGAGGCCGTCATTGACGCTCACTTTCCGAACAAGCTGAGGCGGCCGACCTTCCTCCTCGGGCATCTCACGACAAGTTTGGGCCACCATGACAGGCCGTTCTCCGTCTCAGAAGTCCGGCCTGGGAGGCTCTGCCTATCGCTGTTTTCGGAACCGGAACAAGTGGGCGCGCGTTTTCGCATCAAATACCACCCGCCCTTGGAGCGCACCGAAGTCCCGACGCAACTCTTGCGACTTCTGACGGCGGTCCCGGGACTCCACGCGACCGGCCACTCTATGACCGACTTCCTCCATCACAAGCTGCCAATGGTGGCTTTCCGGACGATCGCGGACCCACTCGCGGTTCTATTCGACTGCACATATGACTACCTCGTAACCGATCGGCACACGAAGAATCTCATTGACGCCTGTATCTCGGAGCTCTCCCAGGTGGTATCGCGTATGCCAGAGTTAAGGGACTCGCCAAGGTTCCGGCAGTCAGCGGTTCACAGCTGGCTACGAGACGAGGTGTACTACAAGCTGATGGGGCAGAAGACCGCCGACAGCAGGATGCGAGCGCAGGTTAGCCGCGGCTGGGAAACGGATGTTGATTATCTGTCGGGCTATTTCGTCCGACGCGCCCGCGAATTGCAAGCGAATGTTTCTACACTCCTCGCGTTCACGGCAGCGGTCAAGGCGAAACGCTCGGTAATGCTGAAGAAGTTGGCGGCCGATCTACCCTTCCAATGAACCACGACGAGCTACCTTATTCATAGGTACCTGGTTGACGGCCAGGGTGGCCACTACTACTCGCAAGAAATGGCATTGCCGCTGTTGGAAATGAGAGGGCGTGTACGAATGTGTACTCAAATCTGTATGACCATGTAGATAGCAGGCATAGACAAGAGGAAATGCGGCGTTGTAATTGGACTGTCGACTACTACACGATAGATACCTCCATCTATACACTCTGGGAAACATCGCACATGGCATGATATTGCCGGTTGCCTGGTGTTCTTTGCAAAGCGCAACTTTAAGTCGGCTTAATAACGTAACGAAGGTTTTGTACAAGTACATACAGTGAGTGATGCACACAGCTCCCTCGCAAGACATCACCCCACCAAAAACATTGGCACCCCGCGATCGCACGGTGCACTGCAACTCTTCTCTCCTACCTTACTTAGTTGGTGTCAACGCAGTGCAAGAAAGAAGAGTCTGAAATGGATGACGCAGAGTTGGAACAGGTATCACTCCAAGCCCGGCGGCCACCAGGTCGAAGTCTTTCGTCTAATCGTCGATCTGCAGATCCGGAAAGCTCGCCTGGAGCAGCTCAAAGCCCAAGGAGGGGCGAAGTCTTCGTCAAGTGGCAGCAATCAGGACCAAGCACAGAGACAGTGAGTGGTCCACAGCTACAGTATTTCACGAGACCCGGGCAGAGCGCTAACAAGCGCATTGAACCAGACAACAAGAAGGTGCTTTCTCTTAATTACTACTATCTCTGCGCCCGACCGGACTGGGTCTTTCGCCATACTAACAAACCGAACAGCCGAAGCACGCAAGTCGGTCCTCAACCAGATCCTCGAGCCGGAGGCTGCCGACCGACTGGGACGAATTCGGCTCGTCAAAGAGCAGCGAGCAACCGACATCGAGAACCGACTGATCATGCTAGCGCAGACTGGACAGCTGCGACAGAAGGTGACGGAGGAGCAGCTCAAAGAGCTCCTGAACGCCGTGGCGGACAACAAGGAGGAGGAGAAGATCGTGGTGAGCCGGAGGAAAGGGTGGGAGGATGACGACGACTTACTGGACCTGTAAGGCGACGCTCGGGAGGATTGCTCAGCATTGTTTTGGCTTTATTAACATGGGTCGATGAGATGCGGTGGAGTTGGCAGGAAGGATGGGACATTTGCCCTTGAGCCCCGTGCTGTCTCCGGGTATCATACAGCTTCCTTACTCTACATGCGACCAACATCGCAAAGCATTTTGTAAACGGATCTGACCCCTCGAGAACGGGAACGGGTACCCTCTATGCAGCACGTCTTGCCCGCGCAGCCTCCTCCTCCTCCTTTCTCCTCCGGCGCTCTTCCCTCTCTCTTCTCCGTATCTCCCTTAAATCTGGCGGGGGCTCAACCCCTAGCTCCCTCCTCAACTCATCCACATCCGTGTCCAGCCGCTCCTCCCAGTACACATTGATCACCTCCTTCGCCCGCAGCCCGTTCCGTACGGCCCAGGGGAGGTAGATGTCGGCGAACCTCCGGCGCTCGCTCTTCTTGAGCGTCGCCGCGGCGAACACGCTAAAGCCCGTCATGGGCAGCAGCGTGTTGGCGAACTCGAAGGCCTTGAGCGCCACCTCGCCCTCGCGCACAATGGGCAGGCCGGTGAGCGCGTGGTAAAAGTCGTGGCATTCGCGATACCGCTGCATGACGTACGCGCACTCCTCGTCGTCTATGTACCGCACGGGCGCGCGCGTGTCGGGCGAGACGCCTTCCCGGTCGAGCCAGGCGACGTAGGTGCGGCCGACCGTGTTGGCGGGCAGGCTGCGCAGGCGGGGCAGGTTGAGCGAGGTCGACGTGATGCGCGGGCGGTCGCGCAGGATGCGGCGGCCGGTGGGGGACCCCAGCATGGCGTCGCGGAGGCGGTAGATGAAGTAGGGTGTCGCGGTCGCTTCGGCGAAGGCCGCGATCAGGTCTACATGGCCAAGAGTTAGAGTTGAGTGTTGAGTGTTGAGTGAGAGAGGGGCAGGTCGGGGAGCTCGCCTCCTCGCCGGGGGTCGCGGAGCGACATCAGCCCGGATCCGACCGCCAGAGCGGCCTTTTCGATACCGGTGAGAGGGACATGGCCCGGGTAGTTGGGCGGCGGCCGGGTGAGGCTCGAGAGAGAAAAGCGCCGCGAGTTGGTGGCTGCTGTGAGTGCCGCGGCAGCAGGCCGGAACCTGTCGTTGCGGGCTATAACAGCTGCGGTGCGTCTGAGGGTGACCTCCATGACGAATTGGCCCGGAAACACCAGGAACGCATCCTGACGCCTAGCCGGAGAGGAAGGAGGTCGGTGTCGGCCGAGCGTCGTTCGATATCAAGTGGAAGCTCGGCGGAAATCGGCCGGGATTCTGAAGATAAGATAAAGCGGGACGGTGATTACCCTAACCCTGAAACCCCAACTTGTAGTCGTCTCTTTACTCCGAGTTCTGGGATGTAGAGATTCCCAACGACTACCAGAACGATGCAACAGGATTGTAAAGTCGGTAAGGCGGCAGAATTATGAGGAATTTGGAGATGCCGTGTAATGAGTCACGAGAAGTGTTACGTACTCGACTTGATGCATTTATCAACACACATGGAAGCCATCTCTTTTCCACATCGAATTTTGCTAATTCTTCCACTTTCAACACTTACTCCGGCCTTGATGAGACTATGCTTTCAACAAACCGTCTGCGATTCTCCGTAAGAAATGGATAGCATGGAGATCTTCGACGAACTCGCTCGCTGGGCGCACGATCAAGGTGTCGAACTCAACGGTGTCGCGCCACGCTCATTACCCGGCAGGGGCATCGGTATTGTAGCTACCAAACCGCTCAGGGTGAGAAGAGAAACAATTCTCCTCCCACTATCATGCGTCTCTATCATTCACAGCATGACTAAACCCACTCCAGGCCAACGATCAAATTCTCCATGTCCCAGCATCCGCCCTTCGTACCCTTGACACCGTCCGGGCCGAAGTAAAAGAGTCACTGCCCAAGGGGACCAAAGTGCATGCCATCCTAGCTGCCGACCTGGCACTGGACAAGCCGACCTCCCAATACGCCCCCTGGAACGCGGTGCTTCCCTCGCGCGAGTCCGTCTCGACGCATCTCCCCTTAGCCTGGAACGACCGCGCTTTGCACCGCTACCTCCCCAAACCCGCCCAGGCGCTGCTCAACAAGCAGCAATCCAAATTCACGCGCGACTGGACCGCCATCCAACAAAGCGCCCTAGCCGCCTCCATCCCCAAGCAGGATGACTTTCTCTACTTCTGGCTGCTGACCAACACCCGCACCTTCTACCACGATTCCGCGCAGACGGCCAAGCTGGCTAAGGACGACCGCATGGTCCTGCAGCCGGTCGCCGACCTGTTCAACCACGCCGACGCCGGCTGCGAGGTCGCCTTCACCGCGGAAGGCTTCACCATCACGGCCGACCGGGAGTACGACGAGGGCGAGGAAGTGTACATCTGCTACGGCAAGCACTCCAACGATCTCCTGCTGGTCGAGTACGGGTTCGTGCTGGCCGACAACCGGTGGGACGAGGTCTGCCTGGACGATGCGGTGCTGCCGGAGCTGAGTCGGCAGCAGAAGGCCGTGCTGGACGAGAGGGGGTTTCTGGGCAACTACGTGCTGGACCAGAGGACGGTGTGTTACAGAACCCAGGTGGCGCTGAGGTTGTCGTGTGTGCCGGTCGGCAGGTGGGAGAGGTTGGTTTACGAAGGGGAGGATGGCGGGGAGGTAGTGCAGCAGGAGGTTGACAGGCTGCTGGTGAAGATCTTGCGGAAGTATCGCGGAAAGGTAGAAGACACGATCCAGAAGTTGGAGGACCTCGAGGACTGTCAGTCTTGGCAGCGAGAAGTCTTGAGCTTGAGGTGGCAGCAGATTAGGCGTTTGGTAAACCAGACAATTGAGCGCCTCGAGGCTTGACGTTCCATACTTGGATACCCCTTGGGCATCCACTACGGCACGGGAAATAATGCATAACTGGACTCGAAGGCTGGCCCATTCACCATACCTAGGTCTTATGCCTCCGAAAGGCTTCTATGATATCGTATGCAAGCCCCTAATATCATAGTTCATTCACCAAGGGGTTATCGTGTTCAAAACTAACACATTCCATCCCAAGTCCACCTTCACAATATCGGGACACAAAAAAGCTCCGTCTTGCGGGAGAGATCTAGCCACGAAGGGCACTTTAACACATTAAGCAGTCACCAAGGTTCCCGAGGCAAAATCTCAAGAGATCCCTTGCGCCCAGCTGCTTCATACATGCAGCCCAGCACCGATGCACCAACAAGCCCCATGACACTCAGGATCCAACTAGCACCGAAGACGCCACTAAAATGAAGAAGCCATGAATAGTTGATTCCGAAATATCTCAGTGAGCAAAGTGCAAGTGACACCGCGAAGGTAGCAATTGAAATCACTTTGGAGTGATTGAACCCGGTCCGTTCTGCAGCCCAAACGCCAGAAAAGAAAAGCAACGCAGTCTCTCTTTCCCCTTCCAAGATAATACACACGGCACCGAAAAGATGGTCGTCGCGGCTATTTTATGCTTTGCCGCGTTGGTGAACCGGGAAAATATTCGCCGTTTGCGCCGTCTGGCTGTGGTTGGACAGCCGTCAAGAGGGGAATCGGGGCGGGCAACCGAAAAGAAAGCGAGATAACCTTCCAGGGGGCGGACGAGTCCGTCCACTAACGCCCAGACGACCGCGTGAAGTCCTACTCGCCGCGGGCTCGCTTGGCGCCATGCGGGTTCTGCCACTCGTTGGACTGGTTGGCGCCGCCGAAAAAGCCCGGGTTGAAGCCTGGTTGCATTCCTTGGAATCCTGTCGTTGCTCAGTCAGTTGCCATAACCTGATGACATGTCTTGTCTGTCTTGCGGCCAGTTCAACGTACCAGGCATACCCGCGCCCATAGCGCCGCCCATGCCGCCGCCCATCATGCCCATTCCGCCCATCGGGCCAGCCATGCCGCCCATGGGCATACCACCGCCCATGGGCATGCCGCCCATCATGTTCATGCCGCCGCCACGGCCACCACGCATGCCGCCACGCATACCACTGCCCATCATACCACCGCGGTTGAAGCCACCGCCGAAACCTCCGCCGGCCATGGGGTTGTTGAAGCCCATGTTGTTCGCATTAAAGGCGCCCATGTTGTTGCCCGAAAAGTTGCGGTTGTACCCGCCCTGGTTCATGCCGGCCCGGGGGGCGCCGAAGTTACCGCGTCCTCCGCGGAATCCGCCAAAGCTGTTGTTTCCGACGAAGTTGCCGCCGCCACGGTCATTGTACACGGGGCCAGAAGGACCCCGACCTTGACCGTCCTTGGCGGCCCTATTAGGGGCGTCCTTCGGCAACGTTCGGAACGGGTTGTGGGTAGGGCTTGAATAGATGACCGTGTGCCTCTTCTGACCCGGCTGGCTGTACTCGCTCGACAGGGCGTCGACGCGGTGCTTGGTAGCAGTGGCGGCCTGCTGCGAGGTGAACTCGACATAGGCTTGGCTGGTGGTGCCCGTTAGTACTTCTTGAAAGCCCAAGATGGTGGGGATGCTTTAGAGGGTAGGGCTTACCCCTTGCTCTTTCCGTTGATTTTATGCTCACTGAATGTGATGTCCTTTAGTTCATGCTCGCAACCGGCCTGGCGCACCCAACCGCGGATGTCATCGTCCGTGTTCCACCAGTTTAGCTCCGAGACCAGCAGCGCCGTGGTGGCGCCAGGGTCAACGGGCCGATCGTCAGAACCCTCCTTACGCTTCACGCCCTGCGGTGGGCGCTGCTGGGGGATAGGGCTACCGGACTGCGTCCGTGAGGCAGCACTATCTTCCATGTTGTCTTGAGGTGCACCGTGGTAGTTTCCGTGGTCTCCGTGACCCTGCTCGTCGGCATTTCCGCCAGAGGCGTCTTCCCCCTCATATCCCTGGTGATCTCCCTCACCATGGTTCTGTTCGCCATGGTCGATGTCGCCATTGTCGTTAGCCGAGTCGCCATAGACGTCGATCTCAAACTCCTCTTCTGCCATGTTGACCGTGGTTGGGGGTTCTCCTGCTGTCGATCGACGAATATTGCCCGGTGGCGGTCAAGGGTCTAGATCCTCTTTCTTGCTTGATAATTCAAGTGTGAATTGAGCGCCTGGCTATGGATTAGAATACAGGAACGTCTGTAGCGCATGGTACCATCATCAGTAGTTGACAGGAGGCTTCCCATGTTTCCCGCCGACCAAGTGCTTCGGCCGACCAAGTCCGAGCACATGGAATTAGGGGGAGGGCAAAGGGGGAAGAAGATATTGTGATCAAACAGAAAAAACAACGAGGTAAAAGGCTCATCATACGTACATTCCGATCTTTGGCACTTGACCGAAGATACAGGGCTGGCCCGCGAAAAAAGGATAGAAGATTCTCAAGATGCAGCTCTGTGCTGGCAGTCTTGTAAACAGGAGTTGGCCGTTTCTTGCTTTTGTTTCTCTTGTCTTCCCCTTGTTCTCTCCAAGCTCCCGTCCCTTCGGACAAGTAAAGGAGGCACCTAGAGCAAAACTGCGAGTTCCCGAGTCTCGGACCGTGCCAATGCAACCTTCGCACGTCGGAAAGGCTTCTCTGTGCTGCACGTTGCTCGTGCTCCCTTTCTAACTGTAGAGAGCCAAGTTTAGAGACAGCCCTAGTGTCAGTAGCAAATGTCTCGTCGGCGGGAGAGTGTCGAAACGGCCGGCAGCACCTAGTATTGATGGCTCGCTTGAACGTTGTAGTCGACCGTGCCGCGTACGCGCAGAGTAGATGCGACGAAAGGATAAAAGATGCGATGAAACAGTTAGATATTCCCGTCCCAAGTAAGGAATCGGGATATCTCAATAACCGCGATAAGGCTCGACTGTTGGGTTCGGACGGTTTGGGGAGTTGGGGAGAGAAGGGTTGCACAAGCGGAAGTTGGAAGTTGAAGCTTGGGTGAAGGTTGCGTCGCCTTTGGTGGCAGCAGACAAGGCTGAGCGGAGCCAAGCCAAGCCAAGCGTGACCATGCGCGCACTACAAGACCCGCTTCCATAGGGTAAACATAAAAACTTCCAACTAGTTTCACAGAATCATAGGAAAACGGCGGCTATTACTAGTACCTCCCATACAAAACGCGCCTAGTTATAAAACTTGACCGAACTATACAAAAACGGCGGCTTTCATTAAAGACTCTCATATATATTCTGCCAACACCAAAATTACTATCTCGTCTATATCCCCCCTTGCCACTCACGGCCACTCCACCTACCTATTTGGAGTTCCACCACTTGTTCGCCGAACTCGGCCTTCACCAGACGTAACAACCACCTCACCTACCTGGTAAGGTAAGTACAGCACTAGAAAAACACAAAAGGCTGGAAATAGAAAGCCTTGGAGACTTCGCTCAATCACGGTGAAACGGCGGCATTTGCCAGTTATTCACACTCAAATTCTGCCACCTACCTTATAGGAATCACATTTTGGCCCTGAATCCAGCCGTTCTCGCTTACTGGTTTACCAGCGAGTCTTCAGTTGCCTTAGTGAAGGGATGACATGTATATGTACAACCTCATGTTCTCTGCATCCATGCTCAATCTTGCCTGCACAAAGGACTCAGAAACTGAAAAGCAACGCGACCCACGTCGGTCACAACCGATGCGGCCTCAACTTTTCATTCACCTTGAGGCCCATTGCCGGGTCGCCCTCGTCACTTTCATTCTCGTTGAAGGCGTGCAGCGAAGCGGTCCCACCGTCCATAGCTGGGCCGCTCCATGACGAAGCTGTTGCCGTGCACGTTAGCTTTTCAGCGCTGTTAGCTGTTGAGAACCAAAGCCACCTGTCACTTACCAACCAACATGGGCGCATTCGGATGCCAGCCGACATCCCGGACAAGCACCTCCCAGCCGCGCGTGTCCCGGTAATGCAGACGATGCCTCCGATTCGTCGCCCTGGGTGTTGGACCGCCCTTCGTGACGGACTGCACGTCGATCTTGGCCGCCAATGTCGCATCCAGGTTCCACACATAGACAAAGCCGTCGTGGCTGCCAGAGAAGACGTAGCGAGAGTCTGTGCTGTTGGGTGGCGAGAAGTGGCATCTGATCAACGTCCTCTGCACCCTGTGGCCGCGGAACGTCACCAGCGAGTTGTCGTGGGGATGCGGGAACCACTGGTAATCCTCGTACTCCTGCCAGCGGTAGTCGTACTCATACTGGCGCTCCCTCGTGACGGCGGTCGGGTCCAGCTCCTCGAAGCGCGACGTCGACATGGCCATCCTCAAATCCCACAGCTTCATGCTCTGGTCCTTGCCGTTGCTGAGCACGTACCGCCCATCGCCCTTGGTGTCGATGTACGTCAGACCCTCCGTGTGGCCGACGAAGGCGCCAGCTTCCCTGCCGTCGCCCATGCTGCGGGTATCCCACACCTTGATGGTGCAGTCGTCTGAGCCGGAGTAGAGGATATGGGGCGAGGACTTGTCGGCGAAGCAGACGGCGTTGACGTCGTCACTGTGGCCGACAACGTTGTGCAGCGACTTGCGGCGCTCGATATCGTACACCACGATGGAATTGTGGCCTGTGCCGGCCACGATGTGGCGCCCGTCTCCGGAGAAGCGGACCGAGAAGATGGCGAAGCCGCCAAACATGGACTCCAGGTGGCCAGAGCTACCGTCTCCAGACAGATCGAGCGAGTAGGGCTCGCCTGTGTCGTTGGGATCGGTAGATGCGATGCCCACGGTGGGCTGGAGGGACGAGAAGGCGAGCCACTTGTTGTCTGGGCTGAGGTCTGCATCGGTCATGGTCCACTGGCCATAGGGGTACCGGACGGTCTTGTAGTGCTTCCACTGATATGGATTCGACGTGTCGTACATGCGCACCTTGAAATCCTAGAACAGAAGTGTTAGGCTCGGAGGGTCGTGTGTGTCTCAGTTGCAGCTGTGCCCGTAACCACTTACCTTGACACAAGCGTAGAAGAAGTTGCCATCGTCCGAGAACTGCCCGCAACATACCGGGTCATCGTAGTGGATAACCATCTCCGGCTTTGACGACGGTATCATCGACTGCGCCATGAGGCCCTGGGTGATCCTTCGACCTGACGGGCCATTCACGCCCAGCTCTCGGTCGAGAAGCCTCCGGGCTAAAACCTTGCGGCTGCGGCTGCGTGCCCTTATGTCATAGGCACCAAATACGCCGGACTCCATCAGCTTCCTGCCTTCGTCACTGGGAACCTTGGGAAAAGCCTTGGCGCCATCGAAGCCGCCGATGTTCCAAGCAAAGCGTTGCCCCCCGCCGCCGTCATCAATGATTGTCGGATTGATGTACTGTCCTCGAAGAAGTGCCAGAAACTCGCGCTGCGTCAAAGAGCCGCCTGCGGTCCATTCGTCAGCGCTCAGCACCTAGACAGACCTGGCGGAACGAGCAGCTCCTTACCGCCGCCTATCCTAAGGAGCCGTGTTCGGGGCTCACCGACGACGGGTCCCGCCCCGCCACCATGGGAGCCCTCTCCGTTATCTTCGCCTTCCTCCACGACCTCTTCAAGGACAACCTCAACCTCGATGCCGTTCCCGCCGCCTTCATCGTTAATTGTGGCACGGTCAGATAAGCGTGGAGATTGCGGTCGTTCGGCATGTGGAGACTCACCTCCATACTCCTCCTCGTCCTCCTCCTCCTCCTCCTCGTCGTCGTCATCCTCATCCTCATCCTCATCCTCATTCCGTTCCTCATCCTCATGGTTATGTGCCTCCAACCAGTCCAATAAATCGTTTGGTGTATTTAGGGGATGCCAGCCACCTCCCTGCTCGCCATGTCCCGTGTTCTGGCTGCCGCTCATGGTGTTTTCTTTGGCTGTGTTTGAGATGCAGTGAATGATGCTAAGCTGAGCGCGGGATGGAGGAGGTGTGAAGCGGCAGTGATTATGTGAGGCGAATTAGATAAGGCACCAAGGCTGCGATGATGGACGATGGAAGTTTCGAGGGGCAAATCTACAATGTAGCCATTCACAATTTGAAATACTACCGGTAGGTACGCATCAACGCAATTAGAAGTCGGGTAATAACAGGGCTACGCAGCAAAACATTCAGGCATTTTGCCTTCTCTCTCTACTCTTCGGGATGCGACCGCCTGAGCAGATCCGAAGTTGCCGTCCATTCCACGGGCCGTCCAGTGCTGATGGCGGGGTTCGGCGGTGCTCCACTCGGCGGATTTTAGCTCCGGATTTTAGCTTAAGCCTGATATCCTGGTTTCCTGATGACTTGATGCGCCCTGCGATCGGGCGACTCGGAAGTAACAGCAGACCTACCTTTATTAATCCATACACTAGGTAGTATTCAATAGAGGCTTCGACGCCCCTTTAGATAAACGATACCTACCTAAAGTAATTTCCAACTTGCTCAGAGGCCCCCTTCAAGATAGCGTGGTGACCAAGTCGACAAAGTTACAACTACACGACGTAAGTTGACGACTTCACCTTCCACCAGAAGGATGGTGGTCGCACAGCTCAAGTACGGTACCCGACTATTATACTACGGCAGTAATGGTTACCGTAATGTGCAGTTAAGGTAGAGACTGACCGACTCTCTCTACCACGAGTCCTGGATTCAATCAAGGCCCGCCAGAAACTTCAGTTCCGTTTCCTGTGCAGGCCGCTTCCAACTTCCGGGCTAGCTGCTCGATTTCCTCTCCAAATTCTGGGTGTCTTCCACGCTCTTCGGGATTCGTGGCCTCCACCATCCTATCGAGCTCGTTCCTCTTATCAAGGATGAGCCCGGAAATCATCAATGACCGCCCAATGCAGTCCAACGTTCAGACGCGCTGCAATTTTGCGTCCATCTCACCACGTGCGTTCAGGCGCCACGGAACATTGTAGAGGTTATTCTGCACAATACAAGTACAACATCAGCGCACAGGCCAACGTCATATCATATGTACCTAGGGACTGTCGTGGTACGAACCAGCGTCCTACCAGCGAAGTCCCACAAGTGGTAAATGCGGTTCTTGCTGGCGGCAGGTGTCATGAAGGATTGCTGGCGGTTCTCTGCCATCGACTCATGATACACCAGGGCATGAAGGAGATCCTTCTGCGCTTAGTTCAAGGCCTTCCACTTCGGGTGCGCATCCTCCGGGATTGGGTTCTGGATCAGTCCGTATGTGTACTCCTCAAGGGTGTTGCAGTACGGGTCGAGTCGTGGCATGTTAATAAAGGGTCTCTGGTTGGGGATTCTTGATTCATGGTATGAGCTAATGGGAAAATACAATTACGGATACGATAGAAAAAGACTACCTCAGTCAAACAACGCGCCGGGACTGAACTCGAGCTGGCTTGTTGGGCGTGAACACGGCGGGGGTCGGACGGAAGACGGGCCAATCAAACCAGAGTTTAGATACTCAGGTAGTTGCCCGGATCGCGTATAGGAAACGCAAGTGTCCTTATTGAATTCATGCTACATGCTCAGCCCAGGTGAGCGGCGCCTAGTCCTACCCTTTGGTTCGTCCCCCGGTCACGGTTTCACGGTACCCCAGTAGGAGAATGAAATTGGATAACTGCAAACCATATTCGTACCGGCCTCAGCAATTGCTATATTGCATACTACGTTATGAGAGGTCGACACTTGATTAATTACCTAGTATGCAGTTAGCCAGCTGCTCTACATAGAATTACCTACCTACGCATTTAGCGGGCGTCTTGGCACCTTCCATTCATTTACCCCGCGAAGCGGCCGGGAAGGAACGCCGAGTGTGGGGAACATCGGCATGCCGCGGCAATCGAAGGCCTCCGCTCGAGCGGTCTAAGCTTCTCTTGAAGAAGGCCGGGTCACGGGCTTCTCAAAAAAGAAAGGCTTGTCCTCCTTCAAGGCTCAATAAACAGTCTCAGACGACCTCGGCCTGAGGATCTATTGGTGACCATCCCAATTGATACCTAGGAACGGGTGGGAGAGCAGTTGCAGCCAACCCGACGCATCATGTCTGCTGTTAGCCGCGGTTTGCGCCAGGCGACGAGATCACTGCGCCTCCACCGCTGCTGCCCGCGCTCGGCTCCGCGGGCGTTGAGTGCCTTCAAGAACGCCGCCGCTCCTATCTTAGTTGCTGCAACACCCGCACGCAGCAGCTTCTCCACCATGGCGTCTCTACAATCTGCCAGCACCGCATCGCCGTCGCCTGCCGCGGGCAAGGGATACGACCCCGAGATCTTGGATATTGCGAGCTACGTGCACAAGAAGAAGATTGATTCGGAGCTTGCTGTGAGTGGGGAATCCACGGCCTTCTTTTTTCCTCCCCTGTTGTTCCCATTTTCCCCTTTCCTTCTCCCTGTCCTTTCCCGCAGCTACGCGAGCTGACATAAACCTCTCTATCAGTTTGACACAGCGAGATGGGTGTTCCTCGACACTCTCGGCTGCGGCCTTGAGGCTCTGCGGTTCAAGGAGTGCACCAAGCTCCTGGGCCCCATCGTGCCGGGCACCATCGTCCCCTCCGGCACCAAGGTGCCCGGGACCGATTTCCAGCTGGACCCTGTCAATGGCGCTTTCAACATTGGCGCCATGATCCGGTGGCTTGACTACAACGACTGCTGGCTCGCTGCCGAGTGGGGGCACCCCAGCGACAACCTGGGCGCTATCCTTGCGGTTGCCGACTGGGCCACCCGGACGAACAAGGCCGGCCAGCACAAGGTTGCCGGCGGGAAGATCTTCACCATCCGTGATGTGCTCGAGGCCATGATCAAGGCGCACGAGATCCAGGGCTGCCTTGCCCTGTTGAACTCGTACAACAAAGTCGGCCTCGACCACGTCGTCCTGGTCAAGGTCGCCAGCACGGCTGTTGTCAGCAAGATGCTGGGCTTGAGCGAGAAGCAGACTGCCGATGCCGTTACGCAGGCGTGGGTTGATGGCCAGAGTTTGCGCACATACCGCCACTCGCCAAACACCATGTCGCGGAAGTCGTGGGCGGCCGGTGATGCCTGCCAGCGCGCCGTTAACCTGGTCCTCAAGGTCCTCAAGGGCGAGACCGGCGTCCCTACCGTCCTCTCGGCTCCTACATGGGGCTTCTACGATGTCCTGTTCAAGGGCAAGAAGTTCGAGTTCCAGCGGCCGTATGGCAGCTATGTCATGGAGAACGTGCTGTTCAAGGTGTCGTATCCGGGTGCGTCCCCCCCCATCTCTTGGGTGTTTCTGGTAGTATGTGCTGACGCAGCTCCCTTGGTATAGCCGAGTTCCATTCTCAGACCGCTGTTGAGGCGTCGGAGAAGATCCACGCCCAGTTGAAGGCGATGGGCAAGTCTGCTGCTGACATCAAGGCCGTCACCTGCCGGACACACGAGGCCTGCATCCGCATCATTGACAAGCAGTTCAAGCCGATGGACAACTTTGCCGACCGGGACCACTGCATCCAGTACATGTGCTCCGTCATGCTCGTCTTTGGGCGCCTCACGGCTGGCGACTACGTCGACGGCTCCGAGGCCGCCTCCTCCGAGCTTGTCGAGTCGCTCCGCAAGAAGATCAAATGCGTCGAGGACCCGCAGTTCACAGCCGACTACCACGACCCGGCGCTCCGCACCATCAGCAACGGCCTGACAGTTGAGCTGAACGACGGTACTATGCTGCCCGAGGTGGTCGTCGAGGCCCCGCTCGGCCACCGCCTGCGCCGCGAGGAGGCCAAGCCACATATCCTCGCGAAGTACAAGCGCCACCTGGAACCGCACTTCAGCGCGGAGAAGGTGCAGGAGCTCGTCAACCTCGGCCAGGACCCCAAGAAGCTCGAGTCGATGGCCGTGGATGAATACGTCGATTTGTATGTGTGCAAGGATAGCAAGTTCTTCAAGGAGCAATAATGTGTAGATGAATCCAAATGCAAGGCATCACTAGCAGCATGCAGACACCTGGGTAGTGTATCCGCGCAACCCAATCGCTGTATCAGTATCGTGTGAACCACCACCGTGCAGGTTAACCTTGGCCTGGCCATTGCTCCCCATTCACTCAATGGGCAGGTGTTTAGGGCTTTTGCACTAGTTATATGGTGTGTAGGTTCAGCCTGACAAGACTAGGTAGTTATGTACATTCGGATCGCGACGAGACTGGTTGTAGCACGCCGTCCTCGCGCGAAACCAAACTGTTCACTCACGGGCGACATGCTACCAGTGGTGACATTACATGGACAACCTTGTGCTCTAGCAACAGGACGCAACGGCACCCTGAAAACCGGAGGGTTCTGCGCGCACTTACATTAAGCTCAGCCGCTTGGATTTGGGGGATGCTAGCCTTTCCACGACTGAATATGGAATGGAAGGTATCAATTATTAGGCCGCCTACCTTATTCGGTACCTGAGTCGAGGCGATCTTCCCGCGCTAGGTAGTTGCGCAATTGACGTGAGTCCAATGGATCCCTACCTGGAGCCACAGGGCGCGCCAAACTGCTTGCGTTCGCCAAAAAGTTGAGCCCCGTTGCAAAAGCCATTGAAGTGTTCAAAGCACACTGCAGCTGCTGGCCTCTTGCTAGTCGCCAAAGCCAGGTGTTTGCCGCAGACGGCCCCGAGTGCCAGGTTGGCCTGGCTGGTTGAAAGAATCGGAGTAGGTACTGTGATCTGAACAGGTAAACTCCAGCCAGGGAGCTTAGGGACTCTTGTCGTCTCTTTATCGTTGCCCCTCCGGTACATCGATGTCCATCCTGTCGTGATCTGAGCGCTCCCTCGGTGACGGCGATGCTGACCCTGAGGCTGCGGGCGACCTTGTTGTTCTTGATCGTGACCTCGACCGGACAGAACCGCTGTCATCCCCCCCATGACCATTCCCGTTCGGCTCATCCCCACTCTGCATCACCGCGTCCTCCCCCTCCTCCTCCTCTTCTTCTAACAGGTCCTCAAGTGTACCGAGAGGGCTGACGCGCGGCTCCAGAATCTCCAAGTCCTCCAAAATATCCCGTTTCCGCATCTTCCACAGGCTGGTGGCGCAGACGCGATCCTTGGTGAGCAAGTCATCGACAAACTCGTCCATGTAGGTCAGGCTGGTGCCGTTCCTGCCCTTGCGCCGCAGCTTCCGGCGATCCTCCAGAAACGGCTCGAGCCTGGCATAGACGTCCTTGTCCGGCCGGGTCAGGCGGATGTAGAAGGCCGCCAGCGCCCGGAGGTACTTGAACTTGTCGCCGCCGAAGCGCAGGTACTCGTCCAGGACGTCGTCGCCCGGCGCGAGCTGCAGCAGCTTGAAGGCGAGGCAGAGGAAAGGGGTCGGCTTCTGCACGGTGCCGTAGACGCCGCCGATGAAGTGGACGTGCTCGACGACGCGGTCGACGATGTCGGCCTCGTTGACGCCAAAGCACTGCTCCTTGTAGAAGTAGCTCTCGATGATGCGCTCGCGCACCGCCTTCTCCATGATGGTCGCCGGGTTCAGCCCGTTCGGTGCCAGCGGGCCGGAGCTACCGCGCTCGTCGAGGAAGCGCCGCTCATCGGCGCGGTGAGTCGCCGGTTTGCTCATTTTGGGAGTGGTTCGGCACGTTTTATGTCGTTTGCTACTCTATATGTCGTTGCCGTTGCGTGGCAAGTGATTGTTGTTGTTGAGGAAACTTGGAGTTTCTGCTGTGATGCGCTTTGGTTGCCCCACTGGAGAAGCTGCATCTCATCAGATCCCTGTTGCTTGGCGCGGGTGGATGTGGGTCCGGCGAGCTGGTTGCCTGTCCAACGATCGCTGTTATTTGGACACTGGGGTGAGGGGCCCGGAAAGGCAGAAACAGGGTATGGGACACTGCGTTGGTTCTGGCTGGTGGGGGGTTGGTTAAACCATGATAGGTATGTCATGCTGAATATATCACACGATTCTTCTGACGCTCTCATATCTTATGCGCACTTCATTTCATATGGCTTTCATACTTTATTTTGGATTTTACATGAAATAAAACGAGGAGGCCTGTACCACCACTAGTATAGCGAGCGCTCAATATCACAAGACCGTTCAGCCACTGCAGACCAACAGAATGCTCCTTACTTCGGGGCAGGTTTCCATCGCCATCTCCTCCGGCGTTGGTATGTAAAATTTGCCTTTTGTCAACCTTCTCCATTCCTCCGCCATGTGGCAATGTCGCTGGCTGACAGTCTCGATTCCAGTGTTCCTCTGCACTGCAGCTTTGTTTCTGAGCGGCTATGCCCTGCAGCAACGCACCCTACGTGATCTTCGTGCAGCCATTCAGACGCCAAAGCCTTCGCCGAAGATCTTTCTCCCAGATCGTTTCAAACAGTCAACGACGGAGCTCCCGGACGGAACCATTGTCACTCTTGACGAAGACGCCGACGACGGTGACACGAGGAGGAAGGGGGAAGCGATTATAGAAATCAAACCCACCGTGCTGCAGGATGAGGGCTCTCGCCAGCAATACGTGTCTGGCGAGAAGCCGACCAAAACGGTGAAAGGGAAAGGCAGGGCCAAGGAAAAGGGGGGCAAGGGTTCCGCCAAGGAAGATGGTCCTGACGACAACGACGGGGAGTTGCAGAAGCCGATGAGCAGAGCAGAACGGCGGCGGCGCATCAAGGAGGAAATCATGCAAAACTCACAAGGGGAGGGTCCACGAGGTTACTATCGACGGCGACGGCAGTTGTGAAGGCAATAACAGGCGTGTACGAATGAATGATCTGGATGGTAGAGGTATGTTTGCTTACGCGGGAGGCTTGGTTGGTAACTTTGGGTTATTTTGGCTACGGTAAGATTGGAGGTCATGGCGTAAGGTATTTTGGATTTCTTTAGATTTTTGCTACGTTCAAGAAAAGAGAGAAGAGTGGATGTAAGGTGACTATATTCTTGGTCTGAAAGCTTGACTTTTACGAACGCTATGGCTCGAAAGACATGTCTGGTACTACACTCCAAGTTCTGAGTCGCCGGACCTGCTGATCGGTTTATCGCAGCCTTGATATTATCCTGCAGCAGCAAACTTAAAACTTTTGATACCAGCGAGAGACAAGCCCTACAACTAAACTCACCAACTTAAAACAGTAAAGGGCCAGACCAGTGCCGTTCTTCGTTTAGGAGCCAGAGGGAAACAAAGCAAGCGAAGGAAATTTCAAAGAGACCAGATTCACCACGACTTGGGGTTCTTTCTCTCGCTCCGCCACAGGCCCGTTTCCCGTGTCGACGACGACGTCTTTGTCGAGCGTGGTGCGAGGGAGAGTCTGCCGGACTCCAAGGCCGAGCGCCACGAGGAGGTACTGGAGTTCGACGGGGAGCTACTATGCGCCGAGCTGCTAATGCTCTCAGGACGCTCAACCGGGGGCTCGTCCCTCTGCGGATAGGACGGGAGTGCCGTCACCCAGAGGAGATCGTCGGAAAGCATGCCCGGGCTGAGCATGCTTCCTTTATTCTTTTTCTGCGTGACGAAACTTAGCCATCTCTCTCTCCCTCTCTCGTATTGCGAGAGCAGGTTGCCAGGAGAAAAGAAAGGGGGAACTCACCACGCAATGCCGACAGCGGTCGCCAAACATGCCAACGGTATAGGTGCATTTGATGTAGGACTAGTCGGGCAAAAAAGGAGCTGTCAGCTTGGTTGCCATACCGTTCCCCCCTCCCTTTCCAACATACGTAATAGTTCGCGCAATAGCAGACGTCCATGTTGCTTCACTGTTATATGCTCTAATTCTAAAGCAACAAGGTCTTTCTTTAATGTTGTGTTCAACGAGAACTCGAAGACTGTGTCAAGACGAAAGCGGTTTGGCGTGAAGACAAGCTGCCAAAGGGAAGACGGAATAGCAGAACTGGAACTCGGTGTATTGATATAGACAGTCCAGACACGCCCGGAGAGTCCGCCAGCCGAGTAACGGTCGTGATAAGGGAAGCGCCGATGCACGATTACTCAGGCAGGGGACGGCATACCGGTCAACTAGTCGACCTGGCTGCATGCCGGCGTCCACTTCCAGCTGAGGGACTAGCTGTCTTCGTCGTGGGGTGTGGTGGGAGGAACAAGGGAGACCTTGTTGATTTCCCCAGGAATTCCAACTGCTTCACGCTTGGCAAGTTTGGCAGACAGGCCAGTCTGGTGTGATGCATGTACGGTTCTCCCGGGTAGTTTCCCACGGCTTGTTTCAACTTGGGATGGTGTGTATAGAGTCCTAGAGTCAAGACGAAAGAGGCTGCGGCGATGAGGGGGGGCAACTAGGAGAGAGCTTCCGATTCGACGCGGCCGACCTCGATCTGTCTAGGTGACGCTCATGCAGCGCTAGCGTCCTCCCCGGCGGAGAGACATCGTCACTTCTGTTGTGGTTGACTGTGACAGCCCCACCTATATTCTATCCTGCCCTCCTTACTGCTGTTGCCTTGTAAGTGTCTCCCGGTCGGCCTATCTAGGATGGTCAACTCGTCGCCCGCGTTACTTAGATGGGAGTGCTACGGCAGGCACTGAGCCCCCTCCCTTTTTGCCGCGCACTGCACAGATCCTCAACCAACCAAGCTTATTACCATAGGCTTACCGAATCGCCTTTCTGGGGATGTGCGTGACTGATAACCTAGGTCATGATGCATGATATTTCCCCGCTCGACAAGCTGCATGCGTCCGGATGCAACTAGAAGACTGAAGTAACGGTAGGAACCAATGCGGCGCTGCGCTGCGGCCTACTGCGGGGGAGGGGAGCTCGAGGGGGAGCTCTGGTTGAGAGGACGTCGACAGGGATGTCATCCCGGGAACTGGTAACGAGCGGGTGACGGGGCTTGGCGATCGATCGAGCAACACCTCGGGGACTATACATACAGGCGGGGGCTTCAAGGTTCCATCCAACTCATCAGATGGTGGCAGGGGGAAGTGCCAAGCCAACACAAATGTGAATAACTATGTGATATGTCGGATTTTCAAGCCAGACAACAATGAGCTTCGAGGCAGACTCGGACATTCCTTACCCCCCTCCATTTAGGTTGGGTCAGCACCGAGGAACAAATCGAGCTTGTTTAGCGTCAAGTCGACACATTACGTGGGGATGACATGCGCTATGGATTCTCTGTCTGGGTTGAACACATAATTTGACAACACTGACTCCGGCGTGAGTATCTAGATGCCATAGGTTAATGAGGTCAAGCACGTACATGCTTGGCGTCAGAGTAGAACGAGTTTAGATGACCAGGCCCTTTCAGGCGATGATGCAAGAGTGCCATCGACATCACAGACACCACGCCCTCCGTATGCTGCCACAGGCCGCCGGCAGTCGAGTGCCAAGTGGGGTTCAAGGAAAGGTGTGCCGTGTTCGTGTGGCGTTGTCGAGCAGCAGACTGGTTGGCAGCGCATGTTTCCAGCTGCCGTTGTCTGGACGTATGCACGGTTCGAAGAGAGATCGTCATTGTGGCTGGCGGTGGCGCTCGGAACCACGCAAGGGAACGCTGTACATTGTAGGTATGGAAGGTGCGGAGAAATGAATTCTCCTCTCTGAGGACCATTATCTCCGGAGAGCCTGTCCTTCGCAGGCTTTTACGGAGGATGAACACTAATTCTTCGTTGTGAATCGCTGGCACTTGCAGTGTTCGCCGCTATATTCGAGGTAGACAGACCACAGCCCTCCTCACGGCCCGCTAGTTTCAGTCCCCAGTGGACACCCTCTCGACGACGTGCTCTTGATCCAATAGCATCGGATCACGGAAGGTCTTGAGAACCGGTGTCTTTCTTGCTGTCATCATATTGTGCAAGTATGTACAATACACGTACATACATTGAATACAGTCCCTGGCGCGGCGTAGCTGCTCGTTGGTCTCTCCGACCTCCCTCCGCCCACGTTCCACGCTTTTTTGTACTTTGTCTTGCGGTTGCCTCCGTCTAAACAAGCGGATTTTGTTGTTTCTTGCTCAGTGTTTGAGCTCATGATTTTTCTGCCAGCGGTTGACAACCCTTGCGTTGTCACCTCGTCGAGGTAGTCGTTTCGATGGTCTTGAATATGGCATCCGCCACGGCAAGCAGCCGCGCGTCGTCCCAATACTGCCCGATCAGCTGCAGTCCTGCCGTGTCAGACCTCCGGGTGCGGTCACCTGCCGTCTCCGACAAGGGCATCGGTATGCTGATGGCGGGCAATCCCGCGAGGCTGGCGGGGACCGTGAACACATCGTTCATGTAGGCATCCACGGGCGTCTGGTTCATGACATCCCCCAGCTTCGGCGCCAGTGTCGGCGCCGTAGGACAAAGCAGGAAGTCCACCTCCTCAGGGCCCCACTTGTCTTCCATGGCAATGCTCTCGTCCAGATCGGCAAGGTCGAACGTCTCCTTCTCGTGGAGCGGATTGTCCAGCGCAAACACGCGGTCGAAGTCCCTCCGCACCAGCCGGCGCACCCGCTGCGCCTTGATAAAGTAGTTGTCCATGGCCTCGGAGCTGAGCGTGTACGAGCCCAGCAGGATGCGCCGTTTGACCTCGTCCCCGAAGCCCCTACCGCGGCTGGCGGCGTAGAGGACGCCGCCGGCAGCATCACTCGCCGAGTCCGTATCTCTCGTGCCATACCGAATCCCGTCATACTTGGCCAGGTTCGAGGACGCCTCAGCGGGAGCGATCACGTAGTACGCCGACAGCGCGTGCCTCGTCGAAGGCAGCGAAACCGGCACCACGCGCGCCCCAAATTCATGCTGCAACGTCTTGGCCACTTTCGCCCAGCCGTCCCGTATCCTCGGATCGAGCTCCTCAATGTTGTACTCCAGCGGTATCCCAAACGTGACTGTCCTCAACACCTCCCCCACCTCTCTCTCTTGCTCCAGACGAGGATAGTAGTACCCCTCCCTCTCTCTCGCGCACCTCCTCCTGGCCGACAGAGACAGACTCGTCGGATCCTTCTCATCCCACTCGCCCCACAACCCTTGGTTGTCACCCCCTTCTTCCCCTCCGCCTCCGCCAACAATCAACTCCCTGATCCTCCCCACCCCGCCGGCCAACAACCCCACCGTATCCAACGAGTTCGCGTACGGCACCACCCCGAACCGCGACAGCATCCCGTACGACGGCTTGAACCCGACCACGCCACAATACGCCGCCGGCAGGCGCACCGACCCGCCCGTGTCGGTGCCCAGCGCAACGTCGGCCTCGCCCGCTGCGACGGCCACGGCGCTCCCGCCGGAACTGCCGCCCGCTGATAATAATGATGATAATAGTGATGCTGCTGACTCTGGTTGTGAAGGTTGTGAGGGTTGTGGTTGTGGAGGCTGTGATGGCTGTTGTGATACGGCGCCGAAAGCCGAGTGCGTGCTGTGGCTGCCCATGCCGAACTCATCCAGGTTGGTCTTCCCCACGAGGCGGGCGCCCCGCGCGCGGAGCTGGGCCACGATGGTTGCTTCGAAGGGGGAGCGGTAGGTTGAGAGGAAGGGCGAGGCGCATGTTGTCGGCAGTGCTGCTGCTGCTGCTAGTGCTGGTGGTGGTGGATCGGAAGACGGGGAGGGGTGGAGGGCGCTGGTGGTGGCGATGTTGTCTTTCACGGCGAGGGTGAAGTGAGAGGGTATGGGTTGCCCGGTTGGTTGGGGAGCTGGAGACGAGGGAGGTTAGCTGTGGTGAGCGGGGAATGAGACGACAGTGGGAGCATGCAATGTCCAGCACCTTTGGAGATGAAGTGGTTCAGCAGTCGCAGCTGTTGTTGCCGCGAGAGGCAGCCGTGGCGTAGATGGAGGCCCCGCGGCCTCCCTCTGGCTGACATATGGCCTGGCTACTTCCCAACTCCCGTTGAACGGTCGATTGGGTTGGCGCAATGACTCCGACGCAGCAGCACACCTTTTGAGCGCTTCTACCAGAATGCTATCGCGTTCCGAGGAATGAGGACCCTGAGCGATAAGCGTACTACCACAAGAGCATGCAGTGACCGATAAGGGTTAGGCTAGGGGCCGGTGCGAGCGGTGGCCCAGCCCTAACCCTGAGGATGCGTTAGCCGTATCACGGGCTCTGCGGCTGTGGTGGTCTGGCCCGCAACCGTTGCCAAGCCCTGCAACTGAAGGGCATGATGTCATCTTCGACGTTCGCCCGAATCGCGGTGGATGTTCTGAATCCCGGCCCCGAATTCCAAATACTAGCCAACAAAGCGACCATACCTTAGCCTGCCCCTTGTGACAAGCATTATCGGGCAGACAAAAGTCCCTTGAAAGGCCCCGATCCGACGGCGATGCTTGGCCTTACAACGAGGCCGAGGCGATTGGGCGTGCCGCGGTTTTCCAATTCCAAATCCCAATATCAAATCCCAGCACAGCCTTGTAAGCCCACCTGTCGCCTGTCCGTTTTGTAATCGTGAACTGCCCCTGTCCTCGATGGATGAGGCATATATAATCCCAGCTTTGGTCCCTGAATAGCATCGTAAAGAAGACAGCGAAGTCATTGTTCCATCAGCTCCTGGTTCGCTTACTCAGAGCCCAAGTCTAGTTGTTAGATCTTCGGTTCATCGATCGAGAGCCTTCGGGACACCGTCTGCCCCACCACCCCGTAGCCTACTTATTACAAGGCAGCCTTTCATGGCAGGCGTGGTTCTCCTCGGCGCAGCAGTCACTCTCACCTTGATCTCCCGGCATAAGGACAGCAGAGAAGAGAAGAAAGAAAACGCCCGGGCCATGTCGTCCAAGCTCATCCCACCAAACCCGGATGAGGTGATGGTGATCCGCGACATTACACCCAACGTCGTCACCTTTTCAGTGCCCTTCCTCCGCTTCGGCAGGTTCCCCATCGGCGGCCGCGGCACACTTGGTGAGCCTCTCTACTCTCATCCCATACATTCAGTCCGGTTTACTGACCTCGTGTGAAAACAAAAACAATAGTCCGGCTCCGCTCCGGCGCGCTGGCCGTCTTCTCCCCCGTCGCGCTCACCGAAGCCACCAAGGCCAAGGTGGCCTCGCTCGGCGGCGACGTGCGCTACCTCGTCGCCACCGACATCGAGCATCACATTTTCCTGTCCGAATGGGCGGCCGTCTACCCCAACGCTAAGCTCGTCGGGCCCGAGGGTCTGCCGGAGAAGCGGCGCAAGGCCGCCGGGAGCGATCCCAAGGTCGGGGACGAGCCCTTCGCCGTCGCCGTGACCCGGGGGAGATGAACCACAGCAACAGTGGGGATGCGGTCGCGCGGATCGGCGACGATTTCGCGGCTGACTTCGAGATGGAGTATGTCCATGCACATCCCAACAAGGAGCTGGTGTTCCTTTACAAGCCGGATAAGGTGCTCATCCAGGCGGATCTGATGTTCAACCTGCCCGCGGTCGAGCAGTACTCGCGCGTGCCGGACGCCGAGAAGCCCAGGCTGGGCATGCTGGGGAAGATGTTCGGCGGCATGCAGTCGACGGAGGGCGAGGCGCTGGGCATGAAGAGGTTTCTGTGGTACGCCATTAGCAGGAAGGATCGGACCGGCTTCAACGAGAGCGTGAGACGGATTGCGGGCTGGGATTTTGAGACGATCGTGCCTTGTCATGGAGAGACCATTGTGGGAAACGGAAAGGAGCTGTTCGAGAAAGTGTTTGCGTGGCATCTGGAAGGGAAGGGAGCAAGGGCTTAGGAGGGGAAGTGGTATTGGTTGCTAATCTTTTGTTTTCTTCTTTTCCTTTTTTTTCCTCCTGAGCTAGATTGTCTGGGCCGGAGGCGTCACGGTGAATGTCTGTAATAATGGTGGTGTAATCCATCGGGAATCTGGAGCTGCATTCAAACCTCGAGAGAGCGGGATCCCTCGGTAAGAGCGGTCTTCTGTGTAGAACCGGACAAGGCATAGAGGGAACTTGGGGAGAGGGCCCGGAAACACGCTGCAAGAAGCTCACCACCTCACCCAGCCCCGTTTTACGGCCTTCGGGGGTGCTGGCAGGGGGGGAGCAAGTGAGAGAGGTACGATGCGCGAACCTGTATTTATACTTATCTCAATGCTGACGCAGAAGCTTGGACCGGAACCCATGTAGTGCATATACATAGGCAGGTACAATACGTACCATGCTGATGTCAGATTGACAATGGGAACCACGTCTCTACTGCTGAGCTGATTCCCTCTCTCTTACCAGATAGACCACTCGAAGGGGACTTCCTCGGTGACAGCTAGGTAAGTAGGCAAGTAGTACGGGCAAAGAACCAGATCTTTCATTGTGTGAATAAGATCAAGTTTCAACACCTGCCATGTAAATTCCAAGTCTTCCAAACTCCCTACACCTAAGACAACCTAAGACACATACCGGCAGATATAAACTACAAATCACAGCCCCCATGCCCTATATAAGCATCGGTAGAACCCGCCAACCACGTACCTTATATAGGTATACCAACACCCAAACCAAACTTACCAACCCCTTTTTTTTTTTTAAAAAAAAAAAAAAAAAAGAACAGACTCAACCACCCCTCAAGAACGGCGCGTGCTGCCCCGTCGTGTAACGAGAAAAGAACAGGCCATGCACCCCTTCCTCGAACCACGTCCGCAGCCGGTACCACACCGGGTCCGTCACCAGCCGGTAGTCCACCCGCACGGGCGCCCACCAGGGATACGGCAGCGGCGTGCCGCCCGTGAGGTCCAGCACGTACGCGAAGCGCCAGTCGTTGTTGCCCACCCAGATGCGCCGCTCGACCAGCACGGCGAGATACGACAGCCAGGCGAAGACCACGAACATCGACACGGTCGAGCCGACGATCACAGACGGCGGCAGCGGCGGCGGTGGGGGGACGCGGGTCTTGGTGGAGGAGGAGGAGGAGGAGGAGGAGGAGGAGGAGGAGGAGGAGGAGGAGATCGATTTTGAACGGGAACTTCCGGGGAGGAGGAGGAGGTGGTGGTGGTCTTGGTGGCTGCTGGTGCTGGTGCTGGTGCTGGTGCTGGTGCTGGTGTTGTTGCTGGGGCGCACAAGCCGGGAGAAGGTGTGCGAGCTGACGCGGTACAGGTACACCAGCAGACCGAGCAGCCATGACGTGAGGAAGGCGGCCGTTGCGCGGAGATTGTACGGCTGGATGAGGACCAGCAGGACCAGCCAGGTGAGAGAGGTCAGGATGCAGCAGGCGAAGGTCCAGATGCGGCCTGAGAAGGAGAGGGTGCCGTGGCCGTGGTGATGGTGGTGGCTTTGGCACGTCGACAGGGGCTTCTTCGTGGTCGAGGAGTAGATCCGGGGGAAGAGGAAGCGGAGGAGCGTGCAGAAGCATGTGGCTTCGCCGTGCTGCCAGGAGGCACCTGTCGCTTGGAGTTGGAGCAAGGTCTTCGCAAGGAGAGTCTCGGCTCGGTGTCGGTCGCTGGTCTTCTCCTTCTCCAGGAATTCAGTCGCCCGGGCTGTGCCAGCAGCTACTCGGTTGGCGTATGCGAGGCCGAGGGCATAGTCCTGGCGGAGTGCCGTTTCTCGCATCTCGAGGCTGCTTGCAAGCATATCGTTGGCGTCACCCTCTTCAGTCGTCATGGGGCGCTGCCTTTTCAGCTGGAGACGGCCGAACGCACGTCGCTGATTTTCCAAGGTGTCAGCGAGCCGGCGAGCCTCATTGACCTCCCTTCTTAGATCCGGCAGCGCGGCTTCCTGTTCCTTAATGCAGTCATGCAGCTGCCGTCTCCGGGCGCATTGGTATGGGTCCGCTGTCATATCCTGGATTCGGACGACGAGCCCGTCCATCGCGGCCGCGTCCACCTCGCTTGGCGCGGACGGCCAGGTCAAGCTGCAGTCAGAGGTATCGACGGCACTGCTGGCCAGCCGCAGGAGCTCCTTGGACTGCTTGGCGGTGAGATTTCGAGCGGCGTGCTGCGCTTGGTGCGTCTCGTACTCCCGCACCAGGCTTTCCTGAGTGGTCTGCAGCTTCTTGACCTTCTCAAGCTTCTGCTGAATGCTGTTCCGCAAATTCCGCTCAGCCTCGGGTTGATTCTTGCGGTAATCGCGGCACAGCGTGAGCAGGTTCTGCAGACGGTCTTTCTGTTCGTCAAGCGCCAAGTAGAACTCGGTCGAGTCGTCCCCGACGCCCTTTGCCACGCTTTCATCGAGGAGCATCTTGAGCGCCGCTACGCCGTCCCCAACAATCTTGCCGGGGCCAATCGGCTTGAGCTTCTCAAGCAGGGGCACGAGTTGCCCAGAGCACATGCGAGCCGCGTCTTGTGTCCTCATCGTCTGCGCGTTCTCCCGTAGTTGTGCGATAAGATCGAGAGCACCTTGCAGACACCTGATCTCCTCTTCGCCGGCGCCCAAGGCGGTCTCCTCGACCCGTCGTCCGGAGAGCCCCCGGCTGAAGCGCTTGGTCAAGGGGCGTTCGGTGTCTCCACTGTACCAGGACGTGGCCCTGGCTGCTTCGGCTTCGGGCTGAGCATGCTGCACCAGCAGGGCCTGTTCTCTCACGTCCTGGATAGCGCGCCTATGCGAATGCACCTGTTTCTGAAGGCGGCTAAGTTCCGCCTCTACCACTGCTTGCCCTTCCTCCATCGCTTCCTCGCTCTCAGCCATGATGTCTGCTGTCGTGGTAATGTTCTTCAGCTCATCCTTGATCACCTTTGCTTTCTCGGCCTGGATCCCCTGCGCGTTTGCCAACTCTGTCTCGATCCGCCCCACGACATGGCCAATATTGGACCGGACCTCCCGCACCATCGCCTTGAGAGGCGGAATCTTCGGTTGCTGCTCTGCCTCCGTATGGTGCACAATTACGGTTCCGTCGCTCGAAGGAGACTTCTGGACATTGCTGCCCTGGGAAGTTGCGCCGTCATCGTCGTCGTCGGCTTTATCGGCGTAATTGGACAGTTTTTCGGCTAGTAGGGTGTTTAATTCTCCAAGGGAATCTTCCACCTCTTGTATGGTGTTCTCGAGCGTTCTCACTTCATGGGCGGCTTCGGCAGCCTGGCTGTCGAGCCGTTCTTGGAGTTCATAGGCTGTCCGCTCAAGCGCCTCGCACTGGTCTCTGTACACAACCAGGTCTTTCCTCAGGTCCTCGATTTCCGCTTGCATGTTCCCGACTCGCGCGTCGTGCTCGCGGGTTACCCGCTCGAGCACCTGCGCAACCTGTTCATCGTTGACACCGCGAGCTTGCGAGGCCGCAAGTTGGTTCTCGAGCACCCGGTTTTGCGACTCCAACTGCATATTTTCGTTAGCACTTATAAAGCCCAATCTAATTTTGATGACATGACATGGGTAATGGTGACGCACCTCTTCCCTCAATTGCTTCAAGGTGTTGTTTCTCTCCTCGAGCAGCGCGCAACGCTTATTCGTCATGAACTCTTTCATTCGAGCCTCCTCAAGGGAATCCAGAAGCTCCGTAAATCTGGTATCGAGAGTATTGAGACCGCCTTCGCCGCCGGCCGTCGACCGCACCGCTGCTGGGCCGCCAAGTGTGTCCCAGTTGGCGATCGTTTCTTCTAGGTACTCTCGTACTTTGTCCCGCTCGTGCATGGTCCGGACGTACACCCTTTCGCGCCTCGAAGCTTCCTGCTCTAGACTATGGACCTGCTGCTGCTGCGTCCTAGTCTCCGTTTCCAGACGCTCCACCGACCGTTCCAGAGTACTGCACTGGTTCTCAAGAAAGGTCCGACGTCTGTTGTGAAGCTGAGCCTCGCCCTGTAATGCACGGATTTTCTTGTGTGAGGCGCAAAGGGCGAGAAGAGCAGAGCGCTTGCCCACCATGGCGATGTCGTAACAGTCCAGCACGCGTCCCCATGTTAGGCGGATGCTCTCCGGCACCACGTCCGACGCCATGTGCTTCTGAAGCGCTCCGTAACGGTCTGCTCTTTCCAGCATGCCTATGTGGGTTGGTTCAGTCAGTGTGGACAGGAGACCAGCAAATCTCTCATCCGTCTCTGCCGACCATGGCTCATACTCGTCCCGGTCCCTGAACACCGGCGTCTCCATGTACATGTCACTGACAATTCGCGAATCGCTACGGTCACTGGCGACCGACCCTGGGCCATGACGGAAGCCCCTGACTTGGAACGGACTCAATGGCCGTTTAGGTGTGGTTCTGCCCCCGAGAGAGCCCCTTTCCGACGGAGTGGGACTGCTTCGGAAGCGAGGAGCTGTGAAATCAGGAGAGCCGACTCCCGCGAGAGCTTCAGGCTCTTCAGCACCGGTGGCCGCATCTTCGTTCCGACTGCTAACTTCGGCGTCTGATATGCCATTGCCTTCTGGAACGATGTTTGCTGTAGCCGTGTCTCCCACGGTAGGTGACTGCATCTTGAGGTTCTTTCGCCGTGGACCACTGCTCTAGACGCCGGAAAGCGTGGGTGGTGTACAGCGAGATGGTAGTAGAGCGTAGGCTAAGACTAGTCGAGGAAAAGGGAAAATGCCTGGTCGTTGGTTGATTCGAGCCAAGTAGGCGTCGGTCTTGGGCGTAAAGGGAGTCGAGCTACCAACCCCCGAGCATCACATGAGGAATCAATTGGGGAAAATCATTGAAGAAACCTCGGAAATTGGGCCACATCCACCAAATGGTGACGAAGATGGTATGGACACATAATTAGACAAAGATATTTGTGCCTCGATGCCGTTTGCGGCGCAGCCCAGCAGCAACGCCGTAGACAAAGAAACATCCATCCCGATTCGGACATGGTTTGATCTCGACACAGCCTTGCGCTACCGAGTCATTGCGCCATTGTTTGTCGTATGCTCGTAGCGAAGTCATGGATGGTGCGGGGGCCAATGCATGCTCTGGTATGCAGGAAACAGTGCCGTTTCGCTCCCGCTCAGTCATCGTTGACCGAGCAGATCGACAGGGAGCAAATAGGAGGCTGGCGCAAAAACAAACCCGGGCCGCTAGCTGTACCAGCCGCGTGTGCCGGGCCCCTGTTGCGCTTCCTCCTGCCTATGCGGAATCATGGGTTCTTTGATGTTGAATGCTTCGATAATGTCCCTCCAAGTTGCCATGTCGATGGACATGATGGCCTGGTGCCTCATTGCGGCTTTGGAACGAGACGTCTCTGCTGAGGGGTTCCTTCGAACCGGCTCTGTTGGTCGAGTCAGTCTTGTTTAGCCAGACGTGTTTTCCGGCGATGCATACCTATGGCCGGGAGACCGTCGCCGTCGAATTCGAGCTTGACGCTCCCTTCTCGTATCAAAAAGCTGACATAGAACATATTCTCGACTGTTTGCCCGAATGAGCGCGGGTTGACCACAAACCGCAAGAGGTCAATTCCTCCTGTCGATCTCAGTGCATAGCGCTCCATCAGCGCTCTCTGCTCCTCCGCCGGACAGTCATCGCCGAGCTTATCGAGCGCATCCTCGACCGCGTCTTGAGCCTCTTGCTGTGCGTGTTCTAGTTGTACATGGATCTTCTTGCAGATGGACGGAAGGTCATTTTTGTCCGAGCTTTTCAAGTCTTCGGCCCTCAATTCCTGCGGTCGGACCTCCCGGAGGCTGTTAACCTTGAACGGCGCCGACCGCTTGGTGATTTTGCGGGCTTTCTTTTCGATTGACAGAGGTCCCAGGAGGAAGCCGGGGAGGGCAGGTCGACGGACAGCGGGGATGCAGGCGTACCGACCCAGGTGTGCCCAGTTCATCATGTCGCCCTCGTCGCCCACTTCGAACTCATCGTCGCTTCCGAGAGCGCCGCGATCTGGCTGACGCCTCCTCCGCTGCGTGCCCGAGAGCTCCTCTGCCTCGTCGTCCTCAATCCCACGGCCTTGCAGCATGAAGGTGATACACTTGGAAACGAACTCGTCAACATCGACCCCATTTCCGACATTCCCCGACGTCAGCCGCTGCACCCGGCGAGCTGATAGGTCGGCGGCAAGAACGAGGCCCCGGGAATCAATCGCAGCTTCAGCGGTTTGCTTGACATTCTTGATGATACGGTCCGACTGTTCGAGAAATTCGAGGAGCGCTTTGGGATCGGCCTGCATGAATTCATCCGGGTTTTCGTGCATCTGCTTTTGCATCTCGCGTAGGTCGTGCTGGATCGCCCTGCGCTCCCGCATTGACTGCCCCGGATCATACTCGTCGACATCGCTCTGGTCGTCTGCCTCCGGAGATGGGTCCCGCGTCCTGCGTCGGCTGACTGATGGCTCGCTACCAACGTCGGATGCCCGTTTCCGCCCGGCACCCTGACCGCTGGGCGGCGCCTCGCCGCCCCGGACAGCCAGGGTTCGGCGGTTTTCCATTTCTGCCGTGAGGGGCGACAGCGGGTTTCGCGTCGCGTTCGCTGAACGGCGGGACGTCGCGTTGTCAGTCATGGGCTGTCTTAGATGAACCTGGGAGGTAGAGATGAGAACAATGGCGCAAACTTAGGCGCGGTGCATTGGCGTTTCGTCTTTGTGTCCAAGTTTGTTCCACTCCCTTGTTCCACTCCCTTACTGGTGTAATTCCAGTTGCATTTGGAAGCCAGGACCGTTTTTGATTGTCGCGCCGCCAATTCCGGAGACGCGATTTGTCGCGAATCTTAGAGAATGAATCTCCACAGAGATGGATGGATCCTTTTGCCCCGCGAGCCCCGCTGTGGAACCGCCCGGATCAGAATCCAGACAGTGGGAGAATTTCCAGAGTGATGATTGAGGGTTCGAGCTCTGGATAGTCTGAAGAGTGATCATTTGGTGCATTCCCGGCCAACTGAGAGATCTCTCATAATAGACTTGTCCGGCAGGACGCTGTTCTGGGGTGGTTTCTGGCTCTGCCCGGAACTGTTTTATCAGCCCACGCCATGGGGTAGCCCCTTTGAGTGGGTCAACTACAGTATCCGTACTGAGTATTCCGTAAATCGCATGGACCATGGACATTCACGGGCAGGCTGCAGCTGCTGCAGCTGGCCTGCAGTCGCCTGGGCAGTTCTACACTACTTCCTCACATCACAACTTAGACTTCCTGCACCAACCGAACCACTCCCAAGCTGTCCAAACCTCCAAGCTACTCAATACAATACCATCCATGTACAGGAAGCCTCTCCTGATTGCTCCTCGTCATGGAGCCCTTCTCCTTCGTGGGCTCTGACTCGTTAGACTATCCGGTCAGCATCCGCATGTAAGTTGCCTGTCGGACCTGCCTCCGACGCTCTGCCCCCGCATCGGAACGGAACACTGCGACTTGGACGGAGTAACTGATGCCGGCAATCTCCAGAATCAATCTCGAGGGCGGAGAAACTCCACTCAAGTTTTCCACCCTCCTTGAGCATCCAGAGCTTAGGTATATCGGATCCAACCAAAGGTAATATCATGTCCTCACCTTGATTGGTACACGCCCGGGCTCACCGCAAACACACGCCTTGCAGTCCACACTCGGATCTCTACGTCACGGTGCAGGTGTGGGCTGGATCTAAGCCCTTGACGGTACCGGTTCAGACGGCGTATAAGCCGTTCCGGACGGAGAGACGATGGAACGAGTGGCTCACGCTCCCGGTCACCTACTCAGCACTGCCCCAGAATGCCCGCCTCGCCATTACCATCTGGGACTTGTCCCCGACCGGTGGTGAGGGCGCCCAGGGGCACGCGATCCCCTTTGGCGGGACGACCCTTCCATTATTCGACCAGGACAACCAACTGCACAAGGGCCGCCAGAAGTGTCTGGTCTACAGGCACAAACAGGCCGACGGCAACGATGACTCCACAACACCCTCTACCCTTCCTAGGACGAAGGCGAAGAAAGGTGCGCCGGAGGTCGAGGAAGAGGACGAACTCGAACGTATGGAGAAGTTGTTCAAGAAGCACGAGCTGTCGGAGATCCCGCGTGTGGACTGGCTTGACCAGCTCGTCTTTCGAGGCTTTGAAAAGCGTGGGCCGCAATCCACCAAGTCAACCCTCAAGGCGATCCAGCGGCAGAAAGCGTTGCAGATCGATGCATCCGGGGAGAGTGCAGACGCCAGCTCTTCGCCGGAGCTGTCAAGCTTCCTCCTCTACGTCGAGCTACCGAGGTTTGACTTCCCAGTGGTCTTTGCCGACTACGAGTACCCGCCGCCGCCGGTCTCGTCTTACCTTCATCTTTCTTCGTCGCAGTCGAACGTGATCCTAAAACCGCCACCCGAGGTCCATTTCGGCCCAGGCATTAATGAGGTGGGTGACGACGAGGGTTACGGGGGCCGTTTGATCCGGGTGTACGATCCGGAAGTTGCAGCGAAGGATAACCCGGCAGAGAGCAAGCACCGGCGGCTCGTCCGTAGCCAGCATCGCAACGGCATTCTGGACAAGGACCTGAAGCCGAATCCCAAAGTTCGGGACGAGCTAAACATGATCATGGCTTACTCGCCGACACACAGTCTGTCGCCCGAGGAGAAAGATCTCATCTGGAAGTTCCGCCATCATTTAACCCGCAACAAAAAGGCGCTCACAAAGTTTGCAAAATCTGTCAACTGGCAGGACCAGTCAGAATCCAGGCAGGCTGCTCAGATTCTCGACAAGTGGGAAGACATCGATGTCGATGACGCCCTTGAGCTACTGGGCCCTACGTTCGACAACTCATCCGTCCGAGCCTTTGCCGTGAAACGCCTCCGCAAGGCCGACGACCACGAGCTCCTCTTGTACCTGTTACAGCTTGTGCAAGCACTGAAATACGAGCATATCTCACCGCAGCCCGGCCATGAGGCGGCCCGGGACTCGTCGCTGGCCCGTTTCCTTATCTCGAGGGCCGTCAACAGCTTTACGCTTGGCAATTACTTCTGGTGGTATCTGATGGTTGAGTGTGATGACAAGTCACAGGATCAAGGACCCAATAACCAGGCCATTTATGGCAAAATTGCCTACGACTTCATGGCGGAGCTGGTCAAGCAGCCAGGCGGCGAGGAGACGAGGAAGACATTACGACGACAAGCCGAGTGGATATCGATCCTGTCCAAGATCTCCAGCGAGATCAAAACATCAAATGAATCCATAGCCAAGAGGACCGAGCGGGTAAAGCACTTCCTAGCCGACCCGAAGAACGAGCTCACCACCATCGATCCTCCGCTTCCCCTGCCTCTGGACCCCTCGATAGAGATCATCGGTGTCGTGCCCGAGGAGACCGTGGTCTTCAAATCCTCGCTGCATCCGATCAAAGTCTCTTTCAAGACGACATCGGGTCGCAAGTACCCCATCATCTTCAAGACCGGTGACGATCTTCGACAGGACCAGCTGGTGATTCAGATCATCACCCTCATGGACGACCTGCTACAAAAGGAAAACCTGGACCTCAAACTGTCTCCCTACAAAATCTTGGCGACAAGCACGAGCGCGGGCTTGTCGCAGTTTGTCCACTCGATGAGCTTCCAGGCCATCGCATCCAAGTACCGCAATAATCCCGCACTCGCCTACCTCAGGCAGAACAACCCAGACAGCCAGGGGCCCATGGGCTTGCGGAAAGAGACCCTGGATACCTTTATCAAGTCATGCGCCGGATACTGCGTCATCACATACATCCTCGGCGTCGGCGACAGACATCTGGACAATCTTCTGCTTGCGCCCGACGGGCACTTCTTCCACGCCGACTTTGGCTACATCCTCGGCCGCGACCCGAAGCCCTTCGCCCCAGCCATGAAGCTCTCCAAGGAGATGGTGGACTGCATGGGCGGCTCCAGTTCGGAGCACTATCGCCAGTTCAAGCAGTATTGCTTCCTAGCGTACAGCGCGCTGCGGAAGAACTGCAATCTGATTCTGAACTTGTTTTCGCTGATGGTCAATGCGAACATCCCGGATATCAAGCTCGAGCCGGACAAGGCGGCGCTCAAGGTCAAGGAGCGGTTTCATCTGGAGCTGAGCGAGGAGGAGGCCATTCGGCATTTGGAGAGGATTATGGATGATAATCTCAACGCGCTGGTGCCGGTGGTGATTGACAAGTTACATGAGCTGGTCCAGGCGTTTAGGGCTTGAGAGATCTCTTAGTTTGGCGTTTGAGCTGGTCGTATGTGGTTTGCTTCTCCGGGGATTTGTTAGTCCTTTTGGACATTTTACATGGCGGTCTAAATTGGGCGGCTGAATATGCCCATTTGGCCTTTCTGAGTTGATGTGTGCCATCCTACATCATTGAGTCTGCTTACTATGATCACATGCAAGGGGATAGGTGCCGTGATAGAGCACGCCACTAAGGTACCTATGTGTCGCCAAACACAAAGATGCCCTTCCCGCTCCGGAAGCCCTCCAAGGTCCCCTGAACCGCATCCTTCAGTACCTTCTCTTCCGTGTCCCAGCCCCACTCTACCTCCTGAAACGGCGCCTCCTTGAACCTGCCGTTCCTCATATGCTCAAGGATTTCGTTGATGGTATTGCGCTTCTCCGTCGGGTGTTCCTTGGCCCACTCGCTCAACCAGAAGCCCTCAAACCGCAGCCGCTTGAAGATCTGCGGTCCTGTCGGGAACGGGAAACTTTGCCTCGACATCCCACCGTAGGTGACCATGCAGCCTCCGGGACTCAGTGCTTTGACCATGGCCGAGGCCGATTTGCCCCCGACGCAGTTCAGCCCCAGCAAGACCGGCTCCCTCCCACCACGCGTCCACTCCTCCTTCAGCCTAGCGCTAAACGACCGATCGAGGAACTCATCTTCCGTCACCACTACCGTAGCCCCCAGCTCCTGCAGCTCCTTCTTCAACGCCTCCGTTTCCTCGGGCGTCGCCCGCTCCCGAATCACATTGATGCTCCGCAGTCCCCACAGCCGGCCCAACTGGATCGCCGACCTCCCCACGCCGCTGTTCGCGCCGTTCTGCAGGAACCACGCCCCGCCGGTCGCCCCGTCGCCGCCGCGCGCAAAGCTCTTCACACTCAGATCCACCAAGTCCACGTAGTCCTTCAGCATGCGGTACGCGCTGCACGGATTGACGCTCACCGTCGCCACCTGCTTGGCGCTCAACCCTTCGGTGCCCTTCTCCCCGCCGATCCGGATCAGCTGGCGCGCCGCGTCCTCGACGAGCGCGTGCGTCCGGAACGTGCCGAACCCGGACGTGGCAGGGATCACCCAGTCGCCGCGCGCCAGGCCGGGCGTCTGCGCGCCGACCGACACCACTTCGAAACAGCCTTCGTTGCCCGGGACGGCGGCCGGCTCGGGCGTGCCGAGGAGCGGGGAGAAGGACGGCTTGGCGCCGTACGTGCCCTGGATGGTGTTCACGTCGGCCGGGTTGACGGGCGCGGCGAGAGCGCGCAGGAGGACGGCACCGTCCGGCAAGGTGGGCGAGATGGAGTGCGTGTGGAGGGACAGGACGTCTTTGGGCTCGCCAAAGCGGGAGAAGACGAGGGTTTTGGCGAGGGTGTAGCCGTAGGGGCCGGACTTGTAGCGGCGTGGATAGCAGTTGTGGGTGCTGCTGGGGAGGAAGGGGGAAAGGACGCGGGAACCGGAGGCGGTCGCTGCGATAGTGTTGGTGGTGGTGGTTGTTCGGCGGGCGACGAGGCCCAGGCGGAGGGGAGATGGCCGCCCGAGCACGGATGCCATTGTGTCGGGGATTGTTGGCCCTCTCTCTGTGGGCGCGAAGAAACAGTACTGCACCAGGCCGACAATTCACCTGTTCTTCCAGAACCAGATTTGATCCAACCAAATCCAAGCTTGGGACACGCAATTGGCGATTATCCCAGCGAAGCGGCGCTACTGAGAGCTAATCGTGACCTCCATTCCCGTTTGATACGGGCCGCGGTTCAGGGTGGATTCCGCAGTCGGCTCCGGTAACCCGAGAGCGATGACGTCTTGAAGCTGGGTCGATGCCCCACTCTAGCTCCGGCCAATGGCAAAACACAGAGGATCGAAGCTCACCTGAAGCTTCAACAAACCATCACCAGTCGCGCTCATGACCAATTGGCAGATAATAGGTGGCCTAATGACCTGTATCTCAAAGTCGCTTCCAGATAGTAGACTTGACCATAAGACGAAACTTCATGGTGGTCATGCTGAAGGCTAGAGCGCGGTATGCCTCCCGAGCAACCCGGGGTGTTGCTATGGCCAGCCGTGATAATCGGATACTCTTCGGCCCCTCCAGAGCTCGCAGGTGTGGATAGAAATCTTCAGTGTAAGCCCAGCGCCAGCAAGGGAGCATGCCGTCCATTTTCTGCTAAGCTACAAACTGTAGCTGAGCAATAAGCTATGTAAAGTAACCCAGCCGTGGTGCTCGAAATGTATTAAGTCATAAAGTGCTGCGTAAAACACGTCAACAACAGCTCCCCATTTTCGACATCTCGTCTTCCATCCCACTCAGATTTTTGTCTCCCCCTTTGACGCAAGATTATAAGGTATGTAACGAAAACTAAAAAGCAGCCGGCCACCATGGTCCCGTGTTTCTGGGAACTGTGTGTACAGGACGGGTATGAAAGGGGGCAAACATCGCAATCCGAGTCAGTAATAACACACCGCCGTTTTGTTAAGACCGTCAGACACAACATCAAAGCAAAGATGCAGGTAGATCTCGCGGTTGGACACACGGCAGCCAAGGACATGAAACATCTCGGGCAAGGTGCCACAACAGCTTCGGAACACATCGGGGTAATAAAGCAGCAAAGAAAACTTTCTCATTAGAAACGACGGTCTCGTGAAGTCAAAAACAAAAGGATAAAACGGGCTGGGTATCTTGCGTCTGCAAACTGAGCAACACTTCTTCTCACCTGCCATCCGCTCGGGAGGCAGTGTCCCCCTACGTCGTCGTGCGGTCCGACTTGGTCTAGTCGCAAGCTGGGTCGGGCCCCACCGCTCGGGGTAACACGGCATCGAAACCGGCCGTCCACCATTACTTTATGTCCTTGAATAAATCACTTCCGAACCCGCTGTCGGCTTGGATGCCGAGCTTCGAGAGCTCGGGGATCTTGGGCGGCGGCGGGCCCTTCGGCTTCTTGTCTTCCACGACCGGGGGCGAAGTCGGCGAAAGGGGAGACGCAGGCTTGCTCGCAGCGCTCTCGTTGCCCCGTAGCCGGCCGAACCAGCCGCTCAGCCGCTTTGCCTTCCGCGAGTCGGCAACGCTGGTGTTACCGCGACTTTGCGGCCGCCCATCTGGCTCCGTCCCATCGCCATTGGCGTGCGGTTGGTGCATCAGGTTGTTGCGACTCAACAGGCGGCGAATACTCGCAGGTCGGCTCGAGAGAGTAGGCGAAGCAGGGGCATCCTCAGCGTGTCGTTTGCTGCCTGCCGGTGAACCGCCTGACAACTGCGAGCTGGGCGATGCGTTGCCTGGCTTGCGGTCCGTCACGTCTCTCCCTTCCTGCTGCGGTTTCCTCGCGTTTGGCGTGTCGGGTGTCGCCGGAGCAGTCTTCTTCTCCTGTACTGGAGACGGTAAGGGTGGGGGAATATCGGTGCCATCCGTCAATGAGCCAAACTTGAATTCGAGAGCGGGAAGTTCGAATCGCTTGCCCGGCACAGCCGTGCCCGTAGACGCGGCGGTGGCGTTACTAGTCTGCGGCGGCATTGTTGCGAGGCGCAAGATGAGATATGGTGGTTAAACGAGGGTGAGACCGTCCGGTATGTTGCGGTTGATTGGCGTCAAAAACCGGCAGTAAACGAGCGGAGGCGGTGATGCGGCGTGGGCAAAGCCGGCAAGGAGGGAGATCGCGTCGGCCACAGCGACTGAAAAGGACGTTGGGATCGTTGGAGCGCCTGGTACGAGCGCCACGGAAGCCAAGGGGGGAAGAGGCCGGAGACGGTGCCCGAATCGCAAGCGTCTCTGGGCGCCGGGTGGCTGGGAGCGTTTGTGTGGAAACGAAACGGCGATCGTCGCCGTGCTTCTGGTAGGGCGGTAGTTATGGATCTGTCAATTGGATTTGGCAACCCGCCCTGTTCAATGCAAGCTTTATTACAATGGCATTGCAATCGATTCGGGATCGAAAGAGACGCAAGGGGAGGGATCCCGGATTGGCATCAAGAGCGTGGCCCAGCACAAACAGCAGAGGGTGGGCGGGCAGCGTCCGAAAAGGGTAGGCCCCTGCAGGTTACCGCCCTCAACCACATGGACGGGAGCCCTTTGCATGAGTGGGGTCTGCCCCACAGTTGTGTAGCTTGTCGGGCTAGAAGTTGCTTTTTCACCCGTCTTTTTTTCCCTTTCCGAGTCTCACATTAGTGCTTTTTGTGCAATCCTGACGGCTAGTCTCACCTCTAGTGATTCTAGCTTACAATCCTGGTGCATGTTTCGCACTGGAACCGATCAGAGTTGACCCTGGCTTGTACTGGGATGTTACGAAGAAGACGGATTGTGGATCAGTGAATCGGGTGGTCATCACATTGGGGATATTACGTACTGCTTGCATTAAGATGGAAACCGGCCAAACAGCGTACCAGGTACTGCTGCCGAGTTATCTGAACTAATCATTCAAAGGACGCACTTGGAGCGGCCTGCTGCGTTGTATGGTGACACATCCAAAGGCCCTCCCACGTTCCTGATCCAAGAGTGTGACAATGCCCCGATTGTTGAACAGTGCCAGATTGTCCCTATCAACTCTCGCCGCCTAGACCTCGCGTTCGTAGACCTAAACCAAGGTGAGCACTCGAGGGAGTAATCCTCCCGGGAGCAGTATCTCGGATAGCTTCTATGCTAGGTCGTCCCTCTACAGTCGATGTCGAATTCCGTGACTCCAACCAGTAATGGCATGCCCTCAGGTGTGTTTCCCGGCCCTGTTGCTGAGGCACCGTAACCATCGCTAGGTACCTAGCTCTGCCTCTAGACCCAATCCGCCAACTCCGACCCGAATGTGTGACCTTGCCAACCCCGTACTCCTTGAATGACGATATGATACCAGCCACTGTTTAGATACCAATCTTCCGGTTCGCGGAAAGACCGTGCGACGGCTACTTCGGAACAGCATATTGCTGGGTCCACGCCCTTGCCGTAGCGATGGCGGCCTGCTCATCCTCCTTCCAGCTCTTGGCAACATCGGCGGCTAGCGGGTCATCGGGGTTGGGGGCGCCGAGAAGTGCTTGGATGGACAGCAGGATCGTTCGAATCTGTAGCGCAGGGGACCAGTTGTCTAAGCCAGGTAAGCTGATGTCCCCGCGCACATAGATTGCCATACAACCTACTCTTCAGGACGTCGAGACAGATGCGGCCCAGCTTGTCGACATTGGGATGGAAAATCTTCGTCAGGAAGCGAATCTTAGGCGGGGCCATAGGATAGTCATCGGGGAGGAACAGTTCGAGTTTAAAGATACCCCCTGTAGCGCTGTGTTAGCTGACCGGCCGCTTCACACCATGTCGCTCAGGTGAGGCAGGACGCACCTTCGTACGGTGATGAAGAAGGGCCATGGATTTCCACGTCAAAGTACCTGAGGTTGTCTTCATGGGGCACGGCGCTGATCCCAGGCACTCTGGGACACACTCGTCAGCACATAGCTTTAGCGGGAGGACCGCAGGGTATGTCCGTACGGTTCGGCCATAAGCCTCTCCGTCTCCTTGACAATGCGCTTCGGCAGAGCCATGGTAGAGAGATGTCGGGCTACTTGAGGGGAAAGGCGACCCGGTGAGTAAGGTAATATAAGTAGAGTGCGTGACGGTTGGCCAGCAGCACAGCACGCAGCACGAGACCAAGGAGGAGGGGTTGAGGGGCACGCGATGTCGCAATCGGAATCCCGGGTGGGTTGGAATATGCAGCAAGCTATGATAAGACGGCTCGAAAATATCTAGATGTATCGAGCACAGGTGCCGCAGTAGGTGAGGAAGCTGTTGTGGTCCGCTGTTTCCAGAGAGCGTTTGCGGAAGCGGCCAGAAGGACCGAAAGCGAAATGGACGCCGGGCAACGGATTCCACTGCAGACAGCCATCGGGCGCCGTTTGTTGACGAGGCCCCACCAAGCTTCCGATAAGCGCACGGACCAGAATGGCTCCACCGTTTCCGCAATTTGCACGTGCTGGGGTCCCTTATTAAGCTTATCCTCCGCATAAACTGGAAACTACCAGGTACAAGTACCTACCCCTTAGCTTAAGGATTTGGGTGTGCCCATACCGGTATTGGCGAACTGTCGCCGTGACCATCTTTGCTGTTACGGTAATTCTATGTTCTCCTTCGCCCGAGAACTCGCGGCCGGCGGCTAGGCGGGAGTCCGCCAGATGGCGGGTTTTGAGCAACTCTAGAGTTCGGACCAACAGAGCACAAGCACAGCTTCAAGACTGAGCGTTTCGTCACTTGTGTGTGGACTACTACTAATATTGGATCCATCGACTGCCCTTACGCACGACCGTTACGGCAAGGAAAAGTTGTCCCTGGCTTTTTCAAGCACAATGCCCACGCTTCATGGCGCTTATCATCTATCACCATGCCTTTAGCCTATGTCCGCCTCGCCGATGCTCCAAAGAAAGGGAAATCGATAAGGTCCGCCTTCGACAGCGAGAGCTTTGATGCTGAGGGGACGATCCATGTGGATGGCTTGGTGGGATCCGCAACGATCTCGCCGTCGGGCCGAGATGTTGCTCTTGCATCGTGAGACCCTCCGTCCTTACTCCTTACTCGTCATCGCTCTTGCTGACGTTGCCTACAGACCCGAAGGTCTTGCCATCATAGACCTCGACTCACCATGGAGCCCCCCGCGCCGACTGAGCAGCCACGGGCTTCCGTGGCTTGTGGTTGACGTGCAGTGGTCCCCCTTTGCCGCACGCGACTACTGGGTTGCTTCCACGGCGAACCATCGCTGTCTAGTGTGGAACCTGAACAAGCGAGACGACTCGTCATCGGGCGCGATAGAGCATTCCCTCCAGGCCCATAGTCGGGCCATTACCGACATCAACTTCTCTGCTCATCACCCGGATTCTCTCGCGACGTGTGCCGTTGACGGATATGTCTACTGTTGGGATCTGCGAAGGCCGAGACAGCCCGTCCTGGCCTTTTGTGACTGGTTCGCTGGTGCTACGCAAGTCAAGTACAACCGTCAAGACCCCCACGTTCTAGCCTCCGCCCATGACCGCTGGCTCCACATATGGGATACCAGACGCGCTGCAGAACCTCTGAAGACCATCGGTGCCCACAGGTCCAAGATCTACGGCATCGACTGGAACCGGACGAAGTCCACCTGTCTCGCTACGTGCTCTCTGGACAAGAGCATCAAGTTCTGGGACTACGGCCAGGATGATGAGACGCCCCAGAGGGTTATTCGCACCGACTTCCCAGTGTGGCGAGCGAGGCATACTCCCTTTGGCCACGGGTTGTTAGCCATGCCTCAAACGGAGCCAGGAAACTTGTACCTTTATGACCAACGCTTCGATGCCGAAACCCCCGTGGATGGCACGGTGAAGCCTGTGGCCATCTTCCCTGGCCATGGCAACCACAAAGCCAAAGAATTTCTCTGGAGGAGCCGTGGCAGTGTAAGCGCCGACGGCATCGATAATCGTGACTTCCAGCTAGTCTCATGGGGCGAAGACAATGAGTTGCGACTCCACAAGGTCGAGCCCGAGCTTCTGGAATCCGTTGGTTATGCAAAGGGAACGCCGGTGATGAAGAACCTTATTCTCACCCGAAAAGGTGCCACTTACAAGACCTTCCGTACCGTTGACGATACTGTCCATCGCGACCGAAGGAATGCGACCATGAGCGACCGGCCCGGCAGCGGCGAGCATTTCCGCCAGAGTCCCCTCACACCTGGTCTAAACAGCAACCTCCGTCGTGTCGGTCCGTCTTGGAGGGCCACGTCGATGAAGGCGAAGACGAATACAAGCAGGCATATGGATAAGACCCAGCTCCAGATCGGCTGGATGCGGGGAATCACCATGTCGAAAAAGAAGTCGACCTCAGGCGCGCCGGGTCGGGTCGGTCCGGAAGACCCGGGTCTGTTCAGCCCTGGCTACGGTGGCGGATGGGGCGAGCCCGAGCCTATCCAGGATGAATTGCTGCGTATCAGTAACCAGCTTCCCAACGTAAAGTGGGAAAACATCGACATGGATTCCCTCACGCTGAACGCTTCCCTGAAAGGGCCATGGGGCGTTGACCGCGATACGATCTTCATCAAAGTCAAGGCGGACATTCCTACCGGTTACCCCAAGAACAAGGCCCCGAGGTTCTATGTCGAGAAGTCTTCGTTCATGCCAGAGGAGACGCACACGAAGATCGAGCAGGAGCTGCAGGAGCTTGCAACCCGCTTCTTGCAGCGGAAGCAGAACTGCCTCTACCAGGCATTTACATATCTGCTTGGCGAGGCTGATCTGGAGTCCAGTACTACTTTCTTCAGGAACGTGCGAGATCTGGATGATGACATGGACGCACTGGCTGATGAAAGCTCCAGCGAAGAGGATGAGGACGAGATCCCTACTGGCGGCTCCGCATCCATGTCGCAAGAGCTCAGCGCCAGCACTGAACTGGACCCTTCGGCCACACTGGTTTCCGCCCAACGACAGGCCGCCACTCCATTGCCCTTCTTCTGCGGGGCCCGGTTCTCCAACGATGGCAGGCTGGTGTGCTTCTTCCCGACAAAAGAGGAAAAGGCAAAGGCACTGTTCGGCCTTCCCCACCCAGAGTCGCATAAGGAGCGGCCGAAAGGGGAACCTACCTTTGCGGGCTTCGGGCGTCTAACCCACGACTCACCCCCTCCCAGACATCGGCTCTACGATGAGACGTCTGCAACAGAGGACCAGTCGGATGAATCCGAGGACTCAGACTCCACGTCATCCACGGACTCCGAACACACAACTGTGCACAAAGTCAACCTATGGTACCATCCGGCGCACCGTTTCCGGAAGACCTGGAGCACCAACGAGTCTATACGGTCCAGCGGGGGAGGGACCGGAACTGGTCCTGGCACGGGGACTGGCACCGGAGCGAGCCGGAAGAGAGCCGGCAAACCGAAAAACATCATCACCATCCACGACCTGCAAAGCGAACTGCCGTCAAAGAAGCAGTTTGCTCAGGAATATGCCATCTTCGGCGACGGGGGCGATGTGTGCACCCACAACGCGTCGGTTGCAGAGAAGTACGGAGAGGAAGACCTTATGCATGTCTGGAAGTATGCTGCTCTTCTCCTTCGGAGAGACATCCCCCTGGAGATTCACGGCCTCCAAAACACAGGACAGTCGGTGCTTGTCATCGCCAAGGACGCTGTTACTCGTGCCAGCAGTGGGGATGGGGATGGGGAGGGAAACCAAGCCACCACCCCGCTCGCCGGGCGAGTCAAATGGGGCTATCACCCCCTAGCCCGGGAGCTGATCAATGACCTGTTCGACTATTACGAGAAGATCGCCGATATCCAGATGTTAGCGATGCTGGCATGCATCTTTGGGGATTACTCCATCGAAGAGGAGACAGCCATCGCAGCATCGCATCTTCCCCAACCGAAAACGCCCCTGCCGATGAAAGCACCTTCATTCTCGCTCGAGTACTTTCCTACGGATCCTGCACTCTGGAACTTGAACCAGAAGAGCCAAGCCAGTTCGGCCATGACGACTCCCGGGACCGCCAATACCCCGGCCATCTACTCGGGCCCGCCCAGCTCAGACGAAATCCCTAGTTCGGCCGAGCCGAGGTCACACTCTTACTCATGCGGAGAAACACCGCCAAATGCCGCTCGAGAGCAGATCCGGACCCTCGGTCAGACTCAGAGTCTGTCTACTTCACCCAGCAATCGGCTGTTCCACCGCTCCAACTCGACCGTTGCCGCCGCAATCGCCGCCAGCCTCCCGCGAGCGCTTGCCGGCATCGTCTCCGGGTCGCCGCCTGAGCCTATCCGAAAGCGGCCGAGCCCCGCTGAGACCACGCTGAGCAATCTCCTTCCTCAGGCGGCTGCTTGGGCGAGCTCGACCTTGTCCGGCGCTGGTCCGGACACCCCCGGAACGTCGCGGACATCCTTCTCGGATGACTATGACTGGAAGGACGATCTGTTTGCCATGGTTCCAGTCTCGGTATCCTGCATTCCGGAAAACCAAGGCCTCTTCGACGACGACGGCTGGATTTCCACCCCGCTAATCGACTGCAGTCGCTATCAGATGTACTCCAACTATCGCTACGCATACGCCGAGATTCTTCAAATGTGGGGTCAGCCCCTATCCCGCCTCGAGATCATGAAATTCGACGTCCTCAGAGAAGATAAGCTTGCGTCCATGACAGAAAAGACTAAAACCCGCGTCCCGAACAATTCCCCGCCGTTCTATGGCGCCGGGGCCGCATCGCCGACCTCCCCTTTCGCCGATCGTCGACAATACCTTCAAGAACTACTCTCTTCGGGCCGCGGCGTAGATGTGACGGGATTCTGCCGCATCCACGAGGGCGTCCCTCTCGAGCCGGCCGAGTACATTCGCCCAGCACACACCCCGCCCGACGGAAGCGACATCCACACGCCCGTGGTGAACGGCGCAGTCGGCGTCTGCCACCGCTGCACGGCTGAGCGCGAGTACAACGACCTCGTCCCCCAGACGAGGATAGACTGTGTCTACTGCTGGCAGCCCGTCATCGGCCTGTACTCGCCCTGCCTGGCGTGCGGGTGCATCGCGCACGACGCGTGCATGACCGAGTGGCATGTCATGGGCGGCACCGAGTGTCCCCTTGGACACGAGTGTCAGTGCGTTGAGGAGGCGAGCAGCGCATCACGGGGTACTTGGGCGGGCCTGAGGGCGGCGGTGTGGCTCGCTGGCGACGGCGACGGCGGTGGCGGTGATACCGAACGGGAGAGGGCCGGGTCTGCGGGGGGCCGAGAAGGAGACAGCAGCACTACCCGGTCCACCAGGTCGACGCCGGCGAGGTCACGGCGCAAGTCGGCACCGGCGGACGCTGCAAAGTTCGGCCATATGCTTCGCAGGACGTACACGAACGACATATCCTCCTCCAGGTCTGGGACAGAGGGCGGCCACGGTACTGAGACTTCTCTGACCACCAGCCGACCGGGCAGCTCGTCCACCCGGAGGAGAGGGCAGGATGACGGAGCTCTCGACAGCCCAACGGACCGCGAGAGTAGTGTGGCGCCGTCCGGTCATCGTGGCATCCCGTTTGTCTCGGCCGCCGGAATGGGCATGGGTATGGCCGGCGGACTGCTTGCGGGTGTGAAACCGCCCCCGAGAGGAGAGGAGCCGATTTCGGCGGCGCAACTGAGCTTGGGGAAGAGGCTGAAGAAGCAACTTGAAGAGTCTGGAAGACCGGGAGTGGCAAGGAGGAATTCAGGCGGGTTGGCGATGTGGAGCAAGTCGCATAATGGTAGTGGTGTGTAATGTGAATGTAAATGTAGCACAGAGATGATGTGTATGGTGCTTGTACCCCCTCCTGCACTGTACACACTACCCCATATATTTATTTGCCTTGGCTTGAGGCGGTTATAGTGTTGGGAAAAGCAGGGACCCTTTTCACCTACTCTGCTTATTTACAGTTTGCGGGAATGCATTTAACATGTGATACCATGTTGCCCATTGATCGGGTATAGTACTGGTAATGTCGAAGGGATGAGGTCCTGGTAAGAACAGACGGAAATGGGCTAACGGTTGTCTTTACCATTAACAATATCGAAGCCAGGGAGCGAGTGCAGAAACATCATCTGTCCAACTCATTACATCTTCATACTTCCTCGTTGATCGTATTGGCTATACACTTTGACCTACATTCCGCCCTCACAGCCGAGCTGAGTCTGACATCGAGCTATTGTTGTTGTTTGATCTCAGCTTCCACCACTAGCCCTACGCGAAATCTCAGAGGCTACGTTGCAAACTCACGACGACCAATTCTTCGCAAAGAAATCCAACACCGTCTTGTACCCGCGGATGTACTCCTCCTTGACGCGGTCATTGGACAAGTCGGACCGCGCCGCCATCCAGCCGTGGATCTGGTCCTTGAAGGTCTCGACGTGCTTGGCGCCCTTCAGGTTGGCCCCGAACTGCTTGACCTTGTCGTCGGGCTCCTCCTTGGAGGCGAGCATGATCAGGGGAACCTTGATCGTCTCGGCCTCCTTGGGCTCGACCATCGCGGGGTGGCACTCGGCGCCGATACAGAACGGGTTGGAGTCGCTGGAGGTGACCAGGCTGACCACCTTACCGCCCCAGCAGAACTGATTTCAATGTTAGGCTTGGTGTTAGTGCGGAATACTAGGGAAGGCTGGATGGCATGGAAAGCAGAGCGCTCGGGGGGTGCTTACGCCGATAATGCCCCAGGACTTGATCGAGGGGTTCTTCGCCTGCAGCGCCTTAACAACGTCGGGCAGCTGCTGGGCGACGCCGGGGGGCGGGTTCTTGCCGAAGAAGGCGCCTAGTTTCTCTTGCTTCTCAGGGGTGTTGGGAGGGTACCTGGCAGGCCATTGTGTTTCAGTGATGGGACCGCGCAATTCGAAGCTTCAAACGCTGTCTATAAGAACCCACCACTCAATGGGGCACGGCTCGCCCTTGAACCAGTCCGGGATGAAGACCTTGTACTTCTGGTCACTGCTGGTTGCGAGGATGTCGGCACCCTGTACAGTTTGGTCGAAGTACCCGAAGATGTCGTAGATCATGACAATTCCTTTCGTGGCATCAGCGGGGCCGGTCACGTCTGGGAGCAGTTAGAATCAATCTAATGGATGAGTCGTACAACTTAAGGGGGTTTCCGGGGCGCCAGGGGGGTACCGCACATGTCTTCATGCCGTTCACCTCGTCGTAGGAGCCTTTGGCACTGTATCCCGTCGAAACTACCGGCGGGATGTTGCAGCAGGCCTCATTGTGGCCGTGGCTCGCGGGCATCGTCGACATCTTGGCGACTGGTGGTGCAACTGGTTTAGTCCGGGATAGGTTCTGGTATGACCTAGCGGAGCTGGTGTTTGGCTGGACGAGTTCACGGACGCTAGATAATCGGCGGGCGTAAGTGCCTAGCCGCGACAAGGGGACACTGGAAGGCGCGGGGTTGGCAGCTCTGCCAACAACAAGACGCAATCGATTGAGTGCGAGCATACCTGGTTCTTCTGGATTCAGAACCGCCTAATAAGTCTACGTGGATAGTTGTAGCTAACGCGTGAGAGATGAGATTCCAATGCAAATTGTCTCACCCTTGGCAGTCGGGATGTTGTTCGCGAAAGTCTCTTGTTGATTTACATCTTATTGCAAGCACAATGCGGGGTAGCTTGAAGCTGTTTAACCTCTGATGTCATGAGCGGCCGAGGTTTGAGCTCTCGGCCCCATTCTAGCAGGCAGCACAGTATATCTAACACAGTGCTGAACTCTGCAGCACCCTGGACGTCTGAAAATCCGCGCAGAGCAGCTCCGTCTGTTGAGAAAGAACACAGCAAAACGTTGAAATCCAGCCCCATCATACAAGGTCATGAATAGCTTTTGAAAGCCTTTTTGCCAAACCCATATCATAACCGAGATCATCGCCCGGATCGACAAACCTTGGTACCCGAAGTTTGGCAAGTTCACAGTTCCTGCCTTGGAAACCGTGCAGCACAACACGGCGCGCGAGAAATGGAAAGAAGGAAGAAGAAAGGAAACACGACGACGAGAGAATCAAGAATTATAGCAAGGAGCTCGCGCAGCGAGTGCCTTTCCTCGGTTTCCTGGCCTTTACCATCATGCAGCAATAGTATATCCGGACCTCCTCATATCCTCCACCGTCTTCTTGACAGTCAGCACCTCGGCTCCGAAGCGCAGGGTGCTGTCCACCTCGGAGAGCGGGATCCATTTTGCGTCAAGCTTTTCCCACTCCTCCTGGGTTCCGGAATCCGGTTTATCGGTGCATCGCGCAGTCGCCGCGAAGAAGTAGACGATCTTCAATGCCTCGGTCTCGGACTGCGGATCGGGATACAGGCAAGCGCCGACAAACTCGGTACTCGGATAACCCTCGGTGATGTTTGGCGGCTTCTGGGACGTGTCCGCCCGCTGAGTCTTGGGTAGGGTTGCCCGAGTCGCGATGTCGAGCTTCAGAGGTGTGACACGGAGACCTGTCTCCTCGTGCGTCTCGCGCAGCGCAGCGGCGAGCATGCTCTCGTTGATGTTTCTCCTGCCCTTCGGAAGCTGATACAGTTTCAGCCGGTTATTCCAGATCACCAGCACCTTGGCCTGATGGGGGTCGATTGTCACGGTGCCACACGACATGCCCAAGGCACTGGCGGGCCGAAAGCCCATGCTCTGGTCGACTTCTTCCAGCCAGTCCTTCATCTCCGACTCATCTGAGCCGGGCGGAGGCTGCTGTCGAACCATCTGTATCGTCGGTATGACTGGAAGGTGACGTGATTCTGAGCGTTGTGAGCTTTGGTGAGCCTGGACAGAGGACGTTGATTATCCGCCCTTAGCGATACTTACGAAGTCGGACAGGGCAGGGAGGTTTGGTCACTCTTTATCCCTCTCTATGCTGTTCACTAAAACAGAATTTGATGCGTGGCCAATCAGTGTTGTGGCTACATCGACTCCCGTCCTTCCTGGAGCAACTACCCCAGGTGCTGCACCTCCTAAACGAGCGACCGGTGAGCATGCGAGCGGCGAGCAAGCTGGATAGACGCATGCTTGAACGCCCCATGGCATGCTGCTCTCCACAGGACCCCGGATGCTGGAGGTATCGGCGCTAAGCATCGGGTGGCATTCCGAGTAAGCCGGGTCCACAAGACGGCCGGGACCCTTGGAACTCAGGTGGTCTGGGCAGCTGCAGAAGCAACGGGTATTTACTGTGCATATATTCCCGGAACTTGAGCATCCACCAGCCGCGCAACAAAGGTATACCCTTTGAAGCTAACGATGGCGACCAACGCTGTACGTACCACAGTTCGTGTGGCGTTTATCAGCGCTTCCGAGTCCCGCCCGTTGGATCAAGAGCCAAGACAACTGCCGAGTCAAACGCTAGGCGGACACATGACCCCCCGGCCGACCGGTGAGCTCGCTCGCTCGCTCGGTCCCTTGCACACACGACGTTCGATATTCGTTCCACTCGACACACCGCAGGTCGCAGTGCGAGGTCGCCTCTTGGTGTGGTTCACGGTTGCGGTTACCTTTGGATCACTGCCTGGTGTGGCTTGTCACACTCCGGAAGAGTCGTCATCTGCATGCTACCGCGTTCCAGCCAAGGAGCCGCACCCAATCGCTTGGTGAGCATCTCCTGCGCCTAACGTATCTTGCGTCTCCCGCCCCTTGTTGCATTGGCAGCCTGTTCCACACACCTTGCAACCCCTATATGCCTACGCCTCACTCGCGCCAGATCGTGGGGCAACTTTACAGTAGGGCCGTCGTCTGGCTCGATGGTGCGGTGACGCCGGTGGTGAGGATGGTTCCACGATCAGTCGGCCTTGAAACCGGAACCTCTTTGTCCATGCCTCGAAGTTTGCCGCCCTGCCAAGGATGAATTCGATCAGATCCTTCAGAGGATGCGGAACCATCTGCAGTCGCGTCGTAACGATCGAGAGGTATGCAAGACTTTGTCGATGTTGCAACCTCCAATAGGATGAGAGCCGCTCGAGCCTGTTAGAGCGTGCCTACACATCGGGAATATCCTGCTTTCCTTCCAGTGCCCTTTCCCTTTCGTGCCCACCTACTGTGTAGGTACAGCTGGGTGGCGGAAGGTGCAGCAAGCAGGCATTTGGTTGAAATTGACTCTACATGCGCAGGCCATCCGTCACGCAATGTAAATTGTCGGCGTCGCACCATGTCGCGGGTCGGCCGTTTAAAGGGTGAAGGACTCTGAGCCTTGCCGTCCCCGCGTTCTCTCCAATCGGGCCCCGGGCGCGCAGTGTGGGTCTTTTACTTAGATAAGGCATTATCAGTCTTAGGCTCCAAATAGTATATGGAGGCGATAGCCTTCTATTCGAGAGGAGACTCCCCAGAATCTAAAAAGGAGCTTCAAGTTCCTTCCGAAATCAACAGTTCATGAGCTGCTCTAGAGCTCCTTCAGTCGGCCCCGCTAACGCCTGTTTCACTGCAGACGCACGGTGCTCCGCCCGCCATACATACAGACGACGGCTGGAGGTCCTGATTACTGAAAGCATTCCGTCCCTTCCTAAGATGGTATTCTGCAGGCCGCTTCTGCATTTTACGCTCGGCCGTCCCGCCAGATGATCACAGCAGCCGAGTGGACTCGTTCCGAGCGGACCGCGGCCCGCTGACCTCCACTTGCCTTCTCGATCTGCCCCGGTCTCATCCATTGGCATGACGCACATTTCAGATATAAAGCAAGGGACGGTACGAGACGGCGGCTAGGCCGATCGATCGTAACTGCCGAGTGCCTGGTTGATGATGCACAGCATGGGCACACGACCGGGACACAGCAGTGTTCCATGGTAGGATTTCCGCCCATGCGCAGGAAGCCTAGTGTTGTAGATATGCGGCTGTCCCGCGGAACATGGTGAGAGTAGGGAGGTATGTAGGTAGTACTGTGCAGACGACATTGTATGATTTCTGGCTCACCGACGTTGCACCGGTTATATATGTCCCGGTTGAAGGTGGGGGTACACACGTGTACACCTGCCGCTCGCCCCCCATCGATTTGTCCGGCATGCCTTGCCTCTGATGAGAGCGGTATCTGAACAAGGCAGAAGATGAACATCGAGATTATTTACACCGGCTTGGCCCGCCATGAGTCGATTTGTCTCCTGCGACCCCCACAACCCACGCTGCAGTCGCGGGAAGGAAAAGGTCCGGCTCGAAACCCTCGGTTCCCAGGTGTCGTGTAGTGTAGTGTAGTGTACTGTAAAGGAACGAACAATCATGACCTGCATCGTAGTGCACAACACAGTAGGCGACCCCACCTTAGCAAGTACATATATATGAGTTTGGTCATACCATGACCCCCACCCCGCGTACACCGCGCATGCCTCGTGGTACCGCGGCATGTGGCATAGGCTCTGCTCGGCAAGGGGATGGTGCCCGCGTAATATGATTTCGCCGGCTTCCGGCCGCAGTTCCCGGAGTCTTAAATCGCCTTTGGCAGAGACGACCCGTTTGTAGCGGCAGAGCAAAGTTCCGATTGTCATTAAGCTTGTCTCTAGCTCGACAAATGGGCATACTCCTTGTTGAATGCACGTCCAATAACCATGCGCCTGACCTCAGATGTGCCCGCCCCAATCTCATACAACTTGGCATCGCGAAGGATCCTCGAGGCCGGCATCTCCTCTGTGTAGCCCATCCCGCCCAGAACTTGGATACAATCCAGCGCGCACTCGGTGGCCCGCTCCGCAGCGTAGAGGATCGCCCCCGCGCAGTCCTGCGTCTTGATCAGGCCTTGCTCGTCCACAGCCCGTGCCGTCGCATAGGTGTACGCCCTCGACGCCTGCAGCTTGGTGTACATATCGGCCAGCTTGCCCTGTACGAACTGGAACTGGCCAATGGGTGTGCCAAACTGCTTCCGCGAGTGGGCGTACGGCAGCGCGACGTCCAGCGCGGCCTGCATCAGGCCCAGCGGGCCTGCGCTGAGCACGAGCCGCTCGAGGTCGAGGCCCTCCATCAGCACGCGCACGCCGCCGTTGATTTGCCCCAGCACGTTTTCCCGCGGGACGAACACATTCTCGAACACCAGCTCGCCCGTGTTGCTGCCGCGCATGCCCATCTTGTCGAGCTTGCGCAGGCAGGCAAAGCCGGGCGTCTTGGTCTCCACGATGAACGCCGTGATGCCCTTGGACCCGCCGTCGGGTACTGTCTTGGCGTAGACCACCACGACGTCGGCGTCCGGCCCGTTGGTGATCCACATCTTGGAGCCGTTCAGCACGTAGCCGCCGTCGACCTCGGTCGCGCGCGTGCGCATGCTGACCACGTCGCTCCCGGACCCGGACTCGGACATGGCCAGCGCGCCGACCGTTTGCCCGGAGATCAGGTCCGGGAGGTACTTCTGCTTCTGCTCCGGCGAGCCGTTCAGCTGCAGTTGGTTGACGCACAGCTGCGAGTGCGCCGCGTAGCTGAGCGCGATGGACCCGCTCGCGCGCGAGAGCTCTTCCATGACCACGCAGTGCGCCTGGTAGCCCATCGCGAGGCCGCCCACGTCCTCGTCCGCCGTGATGCCGAGGAAGCCCGCCTCGCCCAGCTTGCCCCACATGTCCGGCGGGAAGTTGTTGTTCTTGTCCGTCGCCGCGGCCACCTCCTCGGTCAGCTCGCGCCGGGTGAACTCGTGCACGCGCTCGCGCAGCTCGGCGAGGTCGCTGGGCGAGGGCGGTTCGAAGCCCTTCGGGTGCTTTGATGATGAGGCGTTGCGTCGTTGTTGAAGGGCGAATGCTGACCGCGCTGCTCTGTGCGACGTTGATGCTAATGAGGATGGTCTTGATGCATGGCTAACGCCGAGTTGCCGGCGAGGCATGGCGCGCGCGAGCGCCCGTGATATCGTGGGACTTGCCATGATGTAGGTTAGGCTGATCGAGAACCGAGGCAGAGGCAGAGAGGGAAGCGACCGCAGTGGAAGTTCTTAGGTTTATGCCATTCGTTCGTTACCAGGTAATAAGGCCGATGCTTCCCCTAGCCAACCGTCCATGTGCCAGGGGCAATCAGGGCATTACGTCGTTCGTTGCCGGGCTGACAGGGGCTCGGCTTACAGCGGTTTGCCTCGGTTAATTTTTCAGTTACATACACTTACACGTTTTGATACACCACACATAACCCTGCCAATCTGCCTCCCATTCTGTTGCCTTGTGAACGTGCAAGGCGTTCAGGGCTAGGGGCAAGTCGAAGTCGAGAGATCTCAGTATTATACGGATCCATATTGGTGGAATGGAGACAAACAAAGTCTGGTTAGCTATGTCTAGGATTTACCAGCAAACCCGCTGAAGGATACGTAATGGAAGGTATCTTTCATTGGACCTGTACAATACAATACAATACCACTTATACCATGAGAAGGCCCAATACCTTTATTCCGCTTCTTTGAGCACATAGAATTGTTTCTCCTTAGAAGAGTCGTTCCCTGTGTTAGCTTATAGTCAGTCTGTCTTCCAGCATACGGATACTAGCTGGGACTTCGCAAACAAAGCCCCTGGCCAGCCACTAACACCCCGGGCCGCTCACGGGACTCGGCTTGTGCCGGTTTGGATCGGCCGTTCCCCATGGGGTTCGGACGTCAGCGCTGAATGCCATCCACTCCCCCGGGTCACTAAATGCACATACACACACTTACCACTTTCTTTAACTTCTGGCAGCTGCTGCGACTACGATCGCGAGCTCAATTGAAGCTCTAGAATGTCTTTCCCGACAACATCAAGGGAAATGCTGTTCCTATCCCGGCAATTAGGGCGCCAGTGCACCCACTCCCGGTTACTGCCGCCCCGCAGTCGCAACCTGGTCACGCCAGGGCCTCGGACGAGACGGACGGTCGCCACCTTTAACGCTCCACACCATGCCAGCGCCATATCCGTCATCAAGAGCAATGTCGATACGAGTTCGGAAGAGTTCAAGGAGAACGAGCGGCTGATGGGCGAGGCCATGGCCCGCCTGGACGAGCTGACCCGCAGGGTGCAGCAGGGCGGGCCGGCAAAAGCCAAGGAGAAACACCTGACGCGCAAGAAGATGCTGCCGCGGGATCGCGTCACGGCGCTCATAGACCCGGGGACTACCTTCCTTGAGCTGTCGCCGCTAGCTGGCCACGAGCTCTACCCAGAGGCCGAGGTGCCTGCTGGCGGCATCATAACGGGAGTAGGCGTCGTGGAGGGGGTCACCTGCGTGATTGTCGCAAATGACAGCACAGTAAAGGGGGGAACCTACTACCCCATTACCGTGAAGAAGCACCTCCGGGCACAGGCTGTTGCGCAGGAGAATAAGCTTCCGTACGTCGCTCCATGAAAGTCTATAGCACAGGATGCCCAGTCCATGACTCCATTGCTGACGGTCTGTTGCGTACTAGTTGCATCTACCTCGTCGATTCGGGCGGCGCAAACCTGCCGCACCAGGCCGACGTCTTCCCCGACCGCGAACACTTCGGGCGCATCTTCTTCAACCAAGCGCGCATGTCGGCCGCAGGGATACCGCAGATCTCGGTCGTCATGGGACCCTGCACGGCCGGCGGCGCCTACGTCCCTGCGATGAGCGACGAGAGCATCATCGTGCAAGAGCAAGGGCACATCTTCCTCGCCGGCCCACCACTCGTCAAGGCAGCCACCGGCGAGGTGGTCAGCCCGGAAGAGCTGGGCGGCGGCAAGATGCATTCCTCCGTGTCGGGCGTGACGGACTACCTTGCCGTGGACGACGCCCATGCCATTGTGCTCGCGCGACGCTCCATCAGCAATCTGAACTGGCCTCCCCACACCGCACCCACGAATCCCGGCTTCTCCGAACCCCTCTACGACCCTTCCGAGCTCCTGGGCATCGCCTCGACCAACCTGCGTAAACCCCTGCCCATCCACGAAGTCATCGCCCGCATCGTCGACGGGTCCGCCTTCGCCGAGTTCAAGCGCGACTACGGCACGACGCTGGTGACGGGCTTCGCCAACATCTACGGCCACCGCGTCGGCATCGTGGCGAACAACGGCATCCTGTTCAGCAGCTCGGCGCTCAAGGGCGCGCACTTCATCGAGCTGTGCGCCCAGCGCGGCATCCCGCTGGTGTTCCTGCAGAACATCAGCGGCTTCATGGTCGGCAAGGACGCGGAGCGGGAAGGCATCGCCAAGAACGGCGCCAAACTGGTCACGGCCGTCGCGTGCGCCGACGTGCCCAAGTTCACCGTCGTTGTCGGCGGCAGCTACGGCGCCGGGAACTACGGCATGTGCGGGCGGGCCTACTCGCCCAGGTTCCTCTGGATGTGGCCGAACGCGAGGATCGGCGTGATGGGCGGCGAGCAGCTGGCGAGTGTCATGGAGACGGTTGGGCAGAAGGTGGATACCGGGCTGAAGGAGCGCATTGACCGGGAGAGCGATGCGGTGTTCTCGTCGGCGCGGTTATGGGTGAGTGCTAATATATTCCCTTCCCCTTTCCGTCCCCCCCCTTTTCGCCTTCCGTGTATACACGGTCCCTTCCTCGCCATTCACTGCTTGCTTCCGGGACTAGGGCACTTACTGACATGCTACTGCCAGGACGACGGTGTTATCCCTCCGGCTCATACGCGGCAATATCTGGGTCTGGGGTTGAATGCGGCTCTGGGTGGCCGGAATCTTGTTTCTCCTGGGCAGACCAGGTTTGGCGTTTTCCGGATGTAAATAGCGGGCCTGCCATGTCGTGATTAAACGTAGCATATTTCAAGCATACCTGGTACCTACTATAATCCGGGCCAGATGGAGGTTTGAATTTCATGTGGATTCAGGGTATGGTGCCGTTGTCCCCAACACCCTGGCTGCGGGCCGTCCCGAGGCGGAGATCTCAAACAGAGGTGAGGGTCGTCCTCCAAGCAATTCTCGATTGTTAACCAGTTGCATTGGACCTATACATAAGTTACCTATATAGCTTGGGCTGTGCATTTCTGGCTGTGTTTTAATTCAGAAAATGAGCAGGGAGGTTGTTCTTCGTCAGCCTTGGACACGATACTTTACCATCCAGTCTCCACGAGCCCAATACTCTTGTTGATGATGGTGTCTTCCCATAGGTAACTATTTGCAGCCAAGTGCATGGGACCTACTACTAGGTAAATAGTGTCAATTCTATCACACCGCAGTACAATAGACAGTCCCGCGATCCCGCCGATCTCGCAGGTCGTGGTGCGATTTTTTTCTCCCAGTCCGCTGCTCACTGTCCTCGTGACCGTCATATCTTTCTCTCCGCCTAAACTTCTGCATTCCACCAGACCGGAAACGAGGAGTCTGGCCTTGAACAGCATCCAGCTTTACCCCATAATTACCCCTGCTCACTCCACATCATGTTGAGGTCTAGAACCGAACCTTGACATCCGCCGTGTCTTGAGGGAACCATTAACACCGCACCACCCCCGCCAGGAATTTGCAGACGATAACCCTGCTAGACTTGTTATTTCGAAAGGGAACTGTGTCTCTTTTTTTTTCCCCCTCTGCATCTTGACCATAAGGCTTCTGACGGCAAAGACGAGAAATGTCACTCCAGCTCGGCCGCGTCCTGCGCACCGCGGCGGGGAGGCGGGGCCCCGCTTCCCGGATACTCGGAAACGCTCCCGGCTCGGTCTCCACCGCCATAGTGACAGCACCGGCTCGGCTCCGCGCATCCGCCGGGTTCCACACCGTTCCGGCTGTTCGGCGGCAGGACCAGAACAGGACCACGGGGACAAAATCAACGTCAAACAACAACAACAACAACAACAAGACGGAGAAGAAGGAAAAGAAGAAGAAGCCAACGGACGAAGAGATTGCCGCGGTGGCCGGCTCGTATGCGCGCACCGATGACTCCATCACGGTCGAGTACCCGCCGGACGAGCAGCTTCCCTCGTCCAAGCCCGTCGCCGGGGCCGGGCGCGCCGGTGCCCATGTCTTCCCCACGCTGGCGAGCTTTTCGTTGCAGGGCAAGGTCGGGGTCGTTACCGGCGGAGCGAGGGGGTTGGGGTTGGTGATGGGGCAGGGAATGGTCATCAGCGGCGCCGATCTGGCCATTGTCGACCTCAACAGTAAGATTTTTATTTTCTACTACTCGGACATGATAGTATGTATGTGAGGTCCCTGCTGTGCTAAATGCTAACACAACACCCCTCTCCCAGAAGAAGAAGCAGTCCGCCAGGCCGAGAACATCGTCGAGACCTTCAAGCGTGACCACCCGGATGCTAAGAAGTCTGCTGCCCTCGCCCTTTCTTTCTTTCTTCCTCCTTTCTTCCTCTCTTTTCCGTATGTGTGACTAAAATTTGAGGTAACGGAGGTATAGAATTCCCAAGGTGACAGCCCACTACGCCGATGTCTCAGACCCCGCCTCGGTCGACGCCTGCATCGCTGAGATTGTCGCCGCGCACGGCAAGATCGACAACCTCGTGACCTCGGCCGGCTTCACCGAGAACTTTGAAGCCATCAACTATCCAATCGACCGCATGCGCAAGCTGTGGGGAGTCAACGTCGACGGGACCTATCTATTTGCTACGGCTGTTGCGAGACATCTGGTACGTTCTTCCCGCCCCCCCCCCCCCCCCCCCCCCCCAACCCAAAAAAAAGATGACATGGCGCTCCTTGGTGTAGCATGCCGTAATAAGTGTAGGAGATTCTGGGGCCGGGAGAGGGTGATCCGGAGATCGGAAAGGGATGCACACAGCCCCCTTAGGATGAGACATTCTTGTCCCTGATTTTGGCTAACTCGTAATGTGCTTCAAAAAACAGATGGCGCGCAACGCCAAGGGCAGCATGGTCTTCATCGGGAGCATGAGCGGTGCCATCGTGAACGTGCCTCAGCCGCAAGCGTATGGATGATCCCCTCCGCCGCCCCTTATTTACTAGTACGCAACTAATGACACTGACCATTTCTTGCGTCATAATGTACATGTAGCCCTTACAACGCAGCCAAAGCCGCCGTGAGACACCTCTGCGCCTCGCTGAGCGTGGAGTGGGCCAAAGCCGGCATCCGGGTGAACTGCATCTCGCCCGGTTACATGCTTACGGCGCTGTAAGTCACTCACTCGCTTAAGTTCTTTTCATCATGTGTTACCTTACCGAGACACACCGAAAAAAAAATTGTCTTTTTTTGAGATAGACACCTGGGATACGGGGTCGCTGACTTCCGAAACACAGAACCCAAAAGATATTGGACGACAAGCCGGACCTCAAGAGGCAATGGACCTCCCTGATCCCCCAAGGCCACATGGGCTCGCCCGAGGATCTCATGGGTCCCGTGACATTCCTCCTGTCGGACGCGTCGAGTTATGTCACAGGCGCGGACCTGCGTGTTGACGGTGGATACACCGTTACATAAACACCCCTTCTTGGTCCTTTTTAGTTGCCTACAGGTAGCTAGTTGGAGGCGAAGGTGAGCCATGTACGGGACACAGGGCGGGCTGGTATTGGGATGGTTTGACGTCAAGAAAGGATGATGATCACGCTAAATGCGATGCATTTTTTTGCTTTTTCGAAATAGTAATGTCTACCTACTTGTTGGTTGGAGACAGAGTAGACGAACCAGCGCAGTTCCAAGATCTGTCTTTGGCCCTCTCCTTCTCTGGTATCTGCTTGCTTATCGTCGGCGTGCTTGGACTTGAACTTGGAGCCGCCACTTGGCTCGTGCCCATCAAGGTTGTGTAACGACCTTGGATGTTTGCCAGACGCCACCCCGAGAAAAAAGAAAGTAGTCTGTGGTTACACATCGCTTGTGGCCGGGGGGGCTTCGCTTCTGACTACTAGTCATCTGGATGTATTCGCCCATCACATCTCACGTCTCAAGCGTCATAGCTTCACGTCTTTCCCTTGCCACACTCTTGGCTTTGCTCGAAGGACGGAGGACCGATCTGAGAACTGATAGGAAAAGTCTAGATGCTTCGAGTGAGGAATGAGTTTCCGACCTCCCTTGTAACTTCATCCCCGTCCAAGCATGAACCATCACAAGCCACTCAGCTCCCTACAGCCGCCGCAGCACACCGGGTATGGATAATTAACGGGGATTCGCTCACTGGAGTGCGCCTCCCGCGGGGGGGTTTGGTCCCGTCCTGTTGGTTCCGAAACCCCCGCTAGCCTGCGGGCTTCCGATCTTGATTCTGTGAGACACGCAGATATCACACCTCAGCCGGGTCTCAGACCAGGTCGGTGGTCTACATACTGTGTGCACTAGTGGTGATTTCGGAAGGTCGGCTTCACGGGCGTGAAGCTTCCGGAAATAGCCCTGGAACCAAGCATACCGCCATGCTTTTTTCTCAGGTAGAGTACCTACCCCCCTAGGCATGGAAGTTGCATCTCGGGAGACAGATGATCAAGCCCTGCTGCAGGTCAGTTTACGTGTGAACTACATTTCGCCCAAGAAGTGTGAGGCATGTGTTGTGCATATCGTGAGGATCTCAAAAGCGTCGGTACGGCTGCCATGGTCGATTCTTCCTATCAGATGATGCTGGATGATCGCCGTCACACGCAGATGTTGCTTCCGGCTAATAGTTTTAAAGCTAGCAATGATCATTTGTGACTCTTGTGAGCTTTCAAGCACTCACCGGAGATAGCCGGGCAGCCTCCGAGATTCGGTACAGAGAAGGTTAGCTTCAATACCTATCCCGGAGCCAATGACCGGACAGCGCTGCCTCAAGAAGCAGCAACACGGGAGGTGCTGGTGACAGGATTGGACACTAATAAATATTTTCCCCGCTGAGCGACAGATCAGGCGACCGGCGATCCAGGGCGCGAAAGAAACCCTCTCCAGTTGTCACCAAGGGATCAACAAATGTGCTTCGCCGGCTCACGTCCTGCCTGAGCCTCTCCCCGCACAAGGTGACGCTGGTTAATAATGGAATGTCGGACATCCATTCAGTGCTGAAGCGAAGACACATGCACGGTAACTAGAAGCGCCCCGCCACCGGTGTCTTACTGTATTTTCCTTGGGGTCGCTTTGACTTTGCCTAAATTGGGCCGGTTCCTGCAAGGGCAGGTTCCCAGGTCCCGGGGCGCGCGCTGGACCCTGGGTTTGGGATCACGCCGAACACGTGGATCCTACGTCGTCGAGGGTTGAGGCTGGTCACCGACAGCTTCCCAGACGGAGCTTGTGGGCAGCGTAGTGGTTGCTTGGCTGTCTGGACTTGGTGGTGAGGAGGTTGGATCACTTGGATGTTGACCGCCCTGACCGCTGAGAAGATACCTACATGTTTTCCCAGCCTTGTCCGGCACCTGGGTATCATCACTGGGCATTCTGACCGGCTTCTTTTAGACCCCACCCCCGCACCGGTCTGAAGGGTACGCGGTAGGTACCTACTGTGGTAATACATTGTACCAGGGCGTGGGGGACAAGGGTCAAAGGTTGTCCGTTGAGCCGTACCTATTTCACGGGCCGAAGGCGTGCTGGAACGCTAATGGGAAGGGAAAAGGAACTTCCAAACAACTTGTCTGCCCATTGGCCCAGCTGAGCACTCGTGACAAAGGCCACCTGCGTACAGAATTCCCTGGGCGAACTGACCCAGTGAGTTGCACCGAAAGGACTCGAATGTCGAAAGTAACCGAGGCTCCACAACGGGCCGGGGCATCTAATTCCGTGGGACGGCTCCGGTGACACCTGGAATCCACGTGCCTCAATCCATTGTCAAGTGACTATCGCTATTTGTATCGCGATGCGGGGGTTCAAGCAGGTCTCGTGGCAAGAACGCAGCAAGGAAGAAGGTCGCAAATGCAATTCCAAATCCCCGGACGAGCCCAGGATAGCGCCGAAGACAGCCGCTGTCCATGTCCTGACCGGTCGGTGGCTCCTTCCGCGCTCCGTTCTACCGTAGCTCCCCTCGTGCCTCCGGGCCTTCTTCGAGCTCTTGGCCGGCACCGACAGGCACCGAAGTGCCCAAACCGCACCTTCCTGATATTGCAAGCCTGCAGTACACGGCGGGGATTTGGAAGGACGACCCCGGCTTCCAGGTTGCTGCCAACTAGAAGCAAAACGGAAAGCGGATTCCCCGATTGTCGTGATGGAAAATCGTCAATTCCCGCCTTCCATTGTGGCATCCCAGACACCCCGCAGAATGTACACAGCTGTCCAGGATTTACACTAGCAAGCACCGAGATACGCTAAACTCGAAGAGCTGAGCCGGCCCCTTGTCCCTGTAGGTATCTGTATCGCAAGTCACAACAGCAAAGAACCTCTAGGCAACGAGCGTGGAAGGGCCAACCTGCAGAGAGAGCGATTCGCGATTTCGCGGCGGACCCCTTTCCTTGCCGGTATTTCCATTGTCGCATCAGAGGCCGCAGTTCTCGAATGTCAAGGAACGGGCGGTGTCTGTTGTTTTTCTTTGCGGTGTGCCCAGCTCAGCTCAGCGCCCCATGAACTCGGCCCCGGTCATTTCGACTGCCAGACCTGCAAGACAGGCCTGTGGTGGCCGGCATCTAGAGTCCGTGCTGTCCGATTCCGCGGTCCCGGGCTGACCAGGAGCCGCCAGCCGGCGTGGAAAGCGGACGGTGGGAAACGGAGACGAATTCACCGCCTAGCTCAGCTCCGAAGCTTGGGTTCTGAATCTGATGTGTAAGTTATGACCCCCGGAATGCCTCTGTCCATTGTACCATACCTACAGTATGTACATACATACCCGAGCCGCACGAGCCGCACAGACTGTTCGGCACCTGCCTTGTGTTGTAAGCACATGGAAGGTGTGACAGTTGTGTGGCGCTGTGACTGCGCGAAGAAGCAAGCCTGTCTTCCCCCCGTGTCTCAGCCGCTCGTTCACAGTACACGCTTTGGAGAGCATGCCAGCTCTTTCTTGACAAAGGAGGGCGTATGCGCCTCGCATAGAGCACTCGTCGAGCAGCCAACTTCCACCAGTGCTGCCCGTTGAGACATATTCTCCATTGGCGCGGTCGATTTTCGGGCTCTCACCTCCTCCCTCCTGGCTAACCCCCTCGTTGAGGAGAAGGCAGGACTCCGGAGTAGGCCCAAAAAGCAATATCTCGATAATTCGGTCCCGCATATCGCAGCCAGCGCGGTGAGGTCCTCGCACCTGCTAACTGCCCTCAACATCCACGTCCAAATTCGAGACGACCCTTCGCCCTTCCTCTCAGGCCGCCCCCTAAAGAGACCCGGGTGCTTTCAAGTCTGTTGCGCCGCCGAGTCCGAGAAAGACTCGATCAAACGGCTCGGTAGTGTTACCTTGCACGAGTCATGGGCCCAAGGCATTTGCGCGGCGCCTGCAAATCTGTGCCAACTCGCCGGTGACAGCCAAACCACCATTCGTTCGTCTCAAGCTCAAGATGAAAACGATGATGCCCATAGGGTTCGTCTGGAACACCCAGGATATCTACGCCGAAGTGGCCAGCTACCCGGTGGTTCCACCCGAGAAGATCAAGGAGTACTGGACTGGTATTCGAACAGCCCACAGCCCGGAACTTGGCACATGAACTAACACGGGCTTGACAGCCTACACTACTACGTTCCGAAGGCTTTCTGACCCTCGCGCTTTCCGCCTGGAGAACTTCTGGTTCCATGTGTGGGCCAGCGAAAGACTAAGGAACCTGAGCGGTGCCAGGCTCGCCAAGCTCTTCGAGGAGTTCTCGAATGGCCCGATGCTCGTGCCACTTCCCTCGCATGTTAGTGGAAGATACGATGGCACAAAGGTAAGCTGCCTCCACGGTATGCGAAAGGCATGTGAATCTGATCAAACTTCGAGACGTCTGGTCCGGATCAGCGCAGGGTCGGTGGACAGAGCTCCGCCGCTCAACGGCATCGCGATCGCCCAGGCCAAGGCTCTGCGTCTGAGATCAGAAAGGCGCCAACTCCCTCGTCTTCGAGACCACCCCCATCCCACCCCATTCTGAAAAAGACGAGGGGCCCGTCTGTGTCGGGACGGCGGCCAACCGCGAGATTCGTGTCGCCCCTCGGCTCCGGAGATGAAGCCGACCGGGATGGCGGAGCCGGGCCGACCAGCAAGGCCGCGCCTGCCTCAGAGATGGCCCCTCCTGCACGGCCACCCCCAGCGGCGGAGCAGAACGAAATAATAGCTGCTACAGCTGAACCGCCCGCATCCGACGGAACTCCCTCACATCAAGTGCGCCCAAGAACACGTTCGCCCGCCCGGAGACCGGTCGTATCTCAGGAAGAGATGCGGCCGCCTTCCCGTTCACCAGCCACCACCGGTAGGAAGATTGTGGCTACCACGGCCGCATCAAGGAAAAAGCCTGTGATAGTCCGCAGGTCGAGCTCGCAGTCTTCCGCCGGATCTGAGTCTGGCTCGCGTGTGACAGGTTCTGTCACCCCATCTACGCGTTCCGTATCCAGGCGACCGGTTCCGATCCCTTCGCAACTGCTTGGGCCGGGTTCCTCGTCACCACAAACGAGAGACCCCGGGATGAGTGCAAGGGTTGCGGGAAAGCGTCCGGTAAAAACAACAGCGAGCAACCGACCAGTCCCTCAGGACGCTGGCGCACAGGTCGGCGGTCACACCGAGGAACATCTAGTTATGCAGCAAGCGCAGTTGGCGCCCCATTTACAGCAAAGATCGACATTTGATGCGAGGGACAATATCGATTCCCGAGAGGCAGCCCAAGACCGACAAACAGCCGTCCGACTGGCTCCACGTGAACAGGTCTTTGCACCTGTTGCAGGTTTTGTGGTAGACCAGACATCGGGTAACGGAGCACACCCACTAGTGCGTTCCCGCTCAAGCAACATAGCGGTCCCCCTTCGGCTCCGGGAGCCTGGTGTGGCCGTTCTCCCGTCGGAGGCCACAAGCAGCGTAGCAACGTCGACGGCAACAGCTCGGGGACAGTTCGATTCAGAGACCGTCACGTCAGAGCCCCTCGTTCCAGAGGCCAGGGACATACCGGATCGAGTATTGCCATTTGGTTCCCGACAACCTTCCTCTTCTGTCCTCCATCCGAGATTCACCCCGACACCTCCCAACCCGACCCCCCCGATCCCCTTCGGACGGTCAAGGAGCGAACTCACTTTGCTTCTGGAACGGGCGAAGCCGCGAAAGGACGATGGCTCTTAGCTGGAAGGCGTGGGGCAGAGTATCCTCTCCTTCTGATGCTTATTGTTGTTGTAAGCTCTAATACCGACCTTACTGGAAACGGGTTGTTGCTTTTCTCAAGCAAACCATCCTTAGCCTTGTTGATAGCAATCAATTATGGCACAATCATGGCTCTAGCGTATTAGTACCCAAATTTATTGATTTTTCTGGGAGTGTGTCACCCAGGTTAAAGCCAAAGGTTAGACAAACACTGCTTGTGTTGTGCACAAGGGTGATGCACCTTCCTGCACACTTGGTTGCCCTACCTGCTAGGGCTAAGGGTGAGTGTATATACTATGCTGAACTTACCTCTCCGGCTACATGTGCCAGAGAATATGTACCAACATAGCAGGTACAATACCTTGTTGCGGGAGTCACTTAATAATGGGCAATACATCGCTCCTTTTCGGCCCCGGCTCACTGTCTGTACAGGACTAGGGGAAAAATTCAAATTTACATACCTGGTAGGTATGTTTATCTACGTACAACTTGCTTTTGCGGCTTGCCCACCTGACACATGGATCTGGTCCTGTTGCGTCGATATCGGTAAGATATGCAAGCTGTACAAGATAGAGCTCCCAGTTCATCATGCATATTCCGTCTCAATGTCGCGTGAACCTTCCTGCTCAAAACCCCTTTTGAAGGAATTAGCGATGCTGCATCTACGTGAAGCGAATATCAAACTCTAAACCTGTTATCCAACGCCGGGTATATACGCGCGCTAAACGGCTACCTAGGTATTCAGTGCTTCCTCGCTCCCATGTACCCATACCCCGTCCCTTTTCCCCTTATATCCGGGAGGCTATTGCATCCTCTTTCCTATACATACATACCGCCCTGATTTGATTACGAGGTATTAATACCCCACCCACGCCCAACAACCCTGCTTTCAATATCGACATCTCTCCCGTCACCACCAACGAGCACACAAGGTAGGTAAATATATATCTAATAATTAAGCCCAAACATCCTCCTGAGCGGCCCAAACCGTTTCTTCCTTGTCGTCGACGACGCTCCGGCCATGCTCCCTGCCACGGACCCGTCCAAGCTGGTCACTTCCATACCAAGAGATGACACCCGCCGGTGCGGCTGCAGGTGTAAGGGTATGGACCCTCCGCCAAGCGTCCTGGTGCCCAGATTTCCCGACGTAGAAGACCGTCTGTGTTGCGCCGGAGGGAAAAAGCTGCCCCCAACCTCGTGTGGTACAGCGTCGATCAACACGCCATTGGCAGCATTGCCTTCATCAGCATCGCCGGCAACGGTATGCGCGCCCGTTCCCACACCTGGCGGCGGAACCTTCTTGCTCACCCGCTTCTGCAACCGCGGACTCCTAGCCACCGGTACCGCCACTTGGACCGGTGTCTCATCAGCCCCGCCCTCTCCCTCTCCCTCTTCTCCACCATCGCCCGCTGCCCGTTGGCTGCGGATCCGCTCGAGCTGAACCACGCTCCGCTCAAGACGGGTATCCCGCCGCGCAGCGCTCTCGGTGACCGCCGGGCGGCCGATCTTGGCCGTCGCGCTGTCCTTCTTGCGATGGCGCAGGGCAGCCATGATGCTGCTCCGTCTCGAGGTGCGTCCATCCTTGTTGGCCTTGTCAGCAGTTTGCGACGCAGGCGCGGGCGCAATCTGCGAGTTGGGACGCAGTTGGCCCCTGCCTGACCGGGTGCGGCGGACGGTGATGGCGTCTTCTGCCGCGGCGGGGAGTGTCTCCATTGCTGATGCTGCTGCTCCTGTGGGTACCGCTCTGGGATCCTGGGATCCTTCCGACTCTTCCAGTTCTTCCGGAAGTGCGGTACTCGCGAGCGACGCCTCCTTCCGTAGGCTGTGTCCTGCGGAAGCTGCTGAGGCGGCGGTAGCAGTCTTCTGAAGCGGGGCGGGGATCGGTATGACAGGTTCGTCGTCGCTCGAGTCTTCAAAGCGGCTACGGAAGCCGGACGAGATATTGCCGCCGCCTTCTTCGTCGCTCGAGTCGGCAAATCGGCTTGAGAATCGAGAGCCCCCCGACTTGCTGCTGCCCTTTTTTCCCCCGCCGTACGAGAGGCCGAAGGGCATGCGTATGCCGGTGGGGCTCTTCCTCCCAGTGGACGAGCCGCGCAAGGTTGTGCGCATCGGGTTGTTCATGGAAGAGTTAGCCACGGTAGGCTCAGCCCGCCCGGAGCCCCTAGCTGGGGACATAGTCCTTAGTGAGAACGCCTTGGAAGATCGACGATCACCCTGAGTGGACGGGGGAGACATTGGCCTCATGGAGTGACGGAACCCAAAGCCCTGGGCTTTAGCGGACCGGGAACGCTTGAAGCTGCTGACGCTGCCTGTAGAGTCCCGCCGTTCGAGAGGAGGCTGGAAGTCAGACCCGACCTGTGTAGCTGACCTACGGTGTTGTGCTGTTGCTGTTGAAGTGACAGCGGGCGGAGGGGATGAAACGATGCGTTTAGATGTTGCTTGAGATGTCGCCACCTGAGGATCACGGGCGCTAGCCCCCGAGCCGTCCGCCCGCATAGACTTTCGCAAACGGGATCCATGGGCCGGGATGACCGTAGGGTGTTGTTCGGGCTCGGCTCGCATCGTCTTCCGCATGGCAGGGATCTCCGGGCCCTCCCCAGTCCACCGTTCGCCAGGCTTGATCATGTAGCTGCGTTCCGGATCTGCCGACGATTCCTTTTCCGGTTGTGCTGCTGACTGCTGCGCCATGTGCTGCGTTATGTGTGCGGCCAGTGCCTTCCGTTCAGAATTCCTGCGTTCGATCGACTTCTTTTTCTTCGGCCTTGTTTCGGACTTGACATCTTCCAGATCCGCGTCAATGCCTGCCTCTTCTCTTGCCTCTCTTTCCAGCTGCGCCCGCTTCTCTGCTGTGAGACTCTTCCAATACGCCTTGATCTTCTCCCATTCATCCTCTGGCGCCTCTACGTCTGGTGATCCAACCACGGTAGTGGCTGAGGAGATCTCGGTCTGGAGCTTGCGAGTTTCCTCAGCGGGCTTGGGAGAAGAGACCTGTTTCCGTGGGTTCTCAGTCTGCGTTGCTGCGCGAGCGTCCTGCCTCAACGGACTCTCCACTACAGCATCGAGGGACTGGAAGCCATCGCCACTGATCTCCGAAAGATCTTCGTAAGCATCACTGTAGATGCTGCTCTCAGAATCGCTCGAGTCTTCCGCTGTTGTGGGCTGGGCGGCTGGAACAGCTGGTTGCGCTAACCCGGTATCTGTTGAGGTGGCCTCCCCTGCTTTAGCGACGTTCGGGCTTTGCGTGTCTCCTCCCTGAGCCGAGGCAGGAGGAGAATGGTCCGAATCATCTCCTGGGAAGCCGCCGGGAACAGTCACGACAGCTTCCAGAGGCGATTTGTCTTCTTCAACGACAGGCGTCGGGCGTGACACAGAGATCGTAGGAATATCCGGTTCGGACGACCAGTTCTGCTCCTGCTCCTCGGGGGACCGAGGAGAGAGCGTCTCCTGACCAGCTCGTACTACTGAGTGGCTGGCGAGTGCTTCGGGTGTGGCAGCACGTAGTGCAGCGGTTGAATCTGGCTGATGTCCAGGACCTGTACTCGGTAAGGGGGCCTCTGGGTCGAACTCGGAACTAATCAGAGAGCTGACGTCTGAACTATCACTAAAGTAGCCGGTGCCCTCCACGCTTGTCACGACCGGGGGTAAGGGTTCGCCAGGAATCAAGGCCTGTTCCGCGTGCCTGGAGCTTTGCTGCATTTTCACATCCCCATTGGCCAAGATCGGGCCGATAGCATGATCATTGCTGGAACCAAACGGTGGGCTGGGGAGTAATGATGAGCTGTACCGGGTCTCTGCCTTCGGTCGAACAAGTGGCCGCTCGGACCGATCTGGGCTGCTATCACGCGGCTTGCGATTCCTCACGCTGCCAAAGCTCGGCAGAGTCGGCCGCGGTTTCATCAATCCATCATCGTCATCAAGAGGCGGCAAATCTCTCGGACTGCGACCGAGGCTCGTGAGCCAGCTGTGACGGTTGGCGTGAAGCGGATCGGAAACCACTGGTGAGCCATTCCGGTTGGTTGAGGCAGAATCGCCCGCCGTTTCGGCCGCGCCGTCCTCGAAACTCACGCGAACAGATTTCTTGCGTCCCACAGGAGCATCTTGGTTGGCACTCCCAGAAGCCTCGGACGACTCTCCGGAAGGTGATGCGCCCCTCGTTGGGCTGATCTGTTTCAGGGCTGACTTCCTGGGTGAGACTGATCGAGGCGGTGGCGAGTGCTTGACTGTCAGATTATCCTGTACTGGGCCGAAATGCGCCTGGCGAGCGGGGCTGCTCGATTGCGGGCGCTCGCGGGAGACAAGCCGAACCTCAGCAGCAGGCTTTGACTCGCCGTCTTCGGAGATATCGACAAAGCTGGTGTTGAGCCTCAGATCGGCTCGAGCCTTCGCAGGACTTCCCGGAGAGCGCTTTGACGGCACGATCCCTTCCTGAGGAGGATGTGCGGACTCATCAGTCTCGCCGACTAACCCTGCGTGTACCCTCCGTCTCCTAGGCACTGCATCCAACGCATCCGAAATGGCATTCTGGCTTTTCCTCTTGTCTTCGGCGTCCTCCGCTTCTGGCTCTTCCCGGACCACAGAGGGCTGTCGCCTCACCGCATACTGCGCCGAGTCCGGGACAGGTATCCGAGCCGACTCCGTTGAGCTTTGAGACTGTCGCTGGCCCACTCTCTTCGCGTCGATCCTCGGCGAACTGATGATTGCCTTCACCGGTGGGTCTTCCGCAGCCACACGAGTGTCATGTATGGGGCCTGCCTCTATGGCATGCGTGGGCTGAACCTGTCGCTCCGGCTGTGGTTGTGACAGCGCATCCGGTGGTCGAATCTCCGAGGGAGCAGCAGAGGAGGGTCCACTCTTATTGCGACCCATTGTCCCCGCAGCTAGATGGGAACCGGCTCTTTGAGGGCGCTGTTTCTTTTTCGTCGAGCCGGTTCGTTGATGGGAGGCATTGAGAGGCGCCTGGTTGACGGGCATCAAGTCTGCTTGTCGCACCATCCGTCGCGAATTGGGGTCGTATACTAGTTCCTGACTTGAAGTATTTTGGCTCCTCCCAGTTGGTGCTGCCCCTTGCCCTCTTGGCTGCTGCTTAACCCGCGGTGCTTGGCCTGCGTGGTGTTCTTCGACGAACGGTTGCGCCTGGCTTGTGCGGGCTGAGGTTTGCGTCGTGGCAGACGTGCCAGGTATCAGGGCCAAGTTCGCGGAACCGCGCCTTGTCCGCGCCGGGTAGGAGAAGTTGATTGAGGACGCCTGACTATCTGGCCTTGCTCCATCAGACGGACTCCCCTCGTGCGCGACAAGCTGCAGCGGACTTGACGGCGGACTAGCCATGGCCGGATCCGTTCTACGGACGCTCCCAAGGTCCCCTACTTTCGCGCCGCCAAACCAAGATGGCGCATCCCTGGAAGCAAGCTTCTGAGAGGCAAGGCGTACGGGGCTGGCTCCCATGTGGATGCTGTTTGCCTTCCGAATCTGCACCGTGTCCATATTTTTGGGCAGCGCCGGGACCGGTGGCATATCGTCCTTGACGTTGTAAGACAGACTTCGATGGTGGCCGGAGCCGCTGCTACCGGGCCGGTGCGGACTCGGGGTTCGAAAGGTTCGCTCGGTCATTGACCCGCTGCTTCCTCGCCTTTGGAGCCCAGACTGGTCGCGGGTCTGCCCCGATGCCGTACGAGTGGATGCGACGGATGCGCTCCGGCGCACAGTCCGTTTCGTCTGCACGTCTTCTACGCGCGTCGGTGTCGCGGGCCGCGCGCGGAGGGCGGCGGCAGCCGCAGCGGCCGACAAGGAGGCATTCGACTCGTGGCGTTTGAAGACAGTCGCAGCAGCTGTGGTAGCATTGGGATCCGCAGTCGCCGCTGTTAGGGGCTGTCGAGGGCGCGGCATCATACGTCAGCATCCTGCGACAACAGTCCTAGGTATAAGGGTCGACAAATGTCCACGCAACAACAGAAATTGGACAAGTCCATAGAAGACTCGGAAAAGAAAGGCGCCCGAGTCATGGGCACAATCCCCCCCGGAAACATGAAGTGGCGATCAAAGGAACGGGGAAAGAGCAATGACGACATACCGGATTCGGTGCGCGGTGCCTTCGGGAGCCAAACATCCTTGCAGATGCGGCTGGGCATGCGGTCGCTACCTCCTCGTCTCGGAGCTCATAGGATAAGATAAACTTGTGGGCGTGTGGAAATGCCGGATGTAAGAATGGTTCAGAAAAGGGAAGGGGAAAAAACAAGGAAGATGGCGTTGGGCGACAGATGGGATGAACGGCACCAGCACGCAGGGCCCCTGTTCCCTTTTCTTTCGTCCAACGCAGCCGAGAGTCATGCAGTGCTTTTCGGCAGTCGTCCGGGGGTTGGGTGCGTCAGGGGTAATTGAGTGGAGCTATGTTACATTGGATACCATACCGTACGGCAAAAGTTACCATAGGGCAGGGCTCCACGTATTCCAGTAGGTAGGTATTTACGGATTATAAACTACTAGTACATAGTGTAATAGCGTTCATCCGCCGCCGTAACATCCTCAAGAAATGATAAGCTCCGATTGCCTGATACATGATCCATATTAATCTCTGACGGCACTAGGTAGGTACTTTTCATGTAAACCGTCTGCCTTACAGGAAATCATCGATCATGCATGATGCAGTGCTCGAAATAGCCAGCTCTGTATTTCTGCTCGGTACCTCTTACGTTGTCTAGATGAACTCAAGAGTACAACGTAGCACGGCTCTAGGATTCACCCCAATGTCTGATGCACTTGACAAAAGTCACCAAGCAATTCTTGCAAACGTCTTGGGGGAAGTCTGACATTCCACTATACATAACTAGCCTCGCCAACCTCAAGATCAAGCATGACAAAGCACGCTGAGGCTACGGCCCATACATTTTCATTCCGCTTTTCCATGAGCGGTATGCGCAGTGGAAAGTTCGGAGGTGTGACGCTGAAAGGGGGACTCGCTGCAGGAGGTTGAGGTTGGAGAAACAGTCGCTGTCAAGAAGCAATGCAGGACCGTAGTCCAGCGTCCCAGATTCCCGTCCTCGACCACACGTCCTCTCAGGATCGAGCGGCCCCACTCTGCCCGACAAGAAGCCGACAGTATCGCCACGGATCATCAGTAAATGATCCTGAGGCTCTCCAGCATGCCGCCCATCCCTCCCTAATCCTGATCTCCGCTCGCACCGCGTAACATGCGTCAAGCGATATCAGATGTAGATGCTTGTATCTGTACGGCATGGAGGTTCGGGGGCGCCCAGCGAGCCTAACATGCACTAACACCGTGGACCCGGGCTTACGTCCCACCTCCATCTCGGACAGCCGTGGTGCCGCCCGGATTGGTTGGAACATCCGGCAACGGTTCCGGAATGTCATCCCCGTCCTCAGCGGCTACCTCCTCTTCCATGACGTACTCCTCGTCCTCGTAATACTCGTCGTCGTCATAATAACCCTCGCCTTGACTTCCGTGGTCGTACTGATCTCCTGACGCTCCATGGTTGTACGCGGGATGAAGAGAATCTTGAGCGGTGCTACTCGCCTTTGGAAGCTTGCTGTTTTTCTTCCCCTTGTTCTTCCCCTTCTTCAACCGCTGCAAGTGAGCTTTCCGTTGCTCTTCCAACTGCCGTTGCTTGCGCTCCTTCATCTCGTATTGCCGAACCAAGGCCTCCGGAGGATGTCCGAAGATAGCCTCGTACTCACAGAAGTGGCAAATCCAGATATCCTCGGGTTTAGGCGGGTGCCGTTTGTTGTGGAGCTGAGTTTGTCGGCGACGGGCCCTCGCCGCCGCCAGATATTCTTTCGTAGCACTTCTACGCGTGCTCTTCTGGGGCGGGGCTGGCTGTTGGTCTTTGCCAGCGACCCCAGCTCTGGACGCCGTCTCCCTGGCTCGGGAATCGGCGCCTTGGCCTGTTTCCTGTGAAGACTGTCCAGCATGGCTGGGTTGAGAAGGACGAGGCCAGTTCTCTCTGCCTTGGCCCACGGCGGCTGGCTGATGCGGCGGCATCCCGGGCCAAGCCAACGATCCAGGCACCTGAGAGTCGCATGTGAATGTGAACTGCGTCGAGGCTGCGCTGCGCTTCTGGGCGGATTGCTGCTGTAAGAGACTGATATTCTCCTGCCCCTGGTGTGGGGGAAGCTTTTCTGCATTGGCGATGGCATTCGAGATGATTCCAGTGCTTTCACCTTTGCAGCCTGTCAGTGACTGACTTTCCCGCACAAATTCCTGACTTACTTGTCACATTGCCCAACGGAACCGCGCGCGACCTGCTGACCCTCCCGGTACCGGTCCAACCAGTAGTTGAGTCGTACGTCGGTCGCTGCGTGTTTCTGTTGCTCCTGGGCCGGCCATACCTACCTCGTCCAGGTCCAGGAACATTGTGCACATTTGACGCGAAGCTTCCAGCGCTGTGACAAGGCGTGCATGTTGAATTCGACGCCTCACCTCCACCCTCGACGGAATGAGCACCTGTGACCGGAGTGCCCGTTCCCGTAACAGAATCTGTCCCAGCATGGGCTCCGCTCAGGGCAGAGTCACCGGCGGTCGGGATCTTCCTCTTCTTATTATTAGTATTCTCAAAGGGGTCGTACGGATCAGCTGAAGCCGGTGTCGATGAGAGCGGTAGCGAATCTGAATATCGCCCATGGTCTGATTTCGAACGTGTCGCAAGGTTTGGATGTTGCAGGCCCGCCTGTCCTGCAACACCTTTCCCAGTTGTAGGTTTGTTTCCGTCACGGTCGTTACCCAATCCAGTCTCCTGTTGTTGCCGCTGCTCGAGATATGATTCGTTTCCGCGGGCATGCACTGAGATAGGATCGGAATGCTCCTCTATCAGCGAATATGGGTACTGGAACACGGGTGCTGTGCTTTGCGGGAGTGGCGGATATTGAATCGAATCGGCAACCTCAGGGGACAGACGCTCTCTCAGCCGCCGCTTGGGCAGCGGCCGGATGGGTCGGTTGGGGAAAAGTGCCGCCATGGATTCGGTAGCCATTTTGAGGGCCTGATCGTGTGCTATTTGGGGTGCTGGTGCGCGCCGAGTTAGCGTCCAAGTGACACCTAGGACGACGGAAGCCAAGGCGAAGGCATAGACGACGGGAGCATGGCCAGCAGCTCCTCGCGCTGCGGACAGGACAGGAAAGATCTTCCGTAATGTTTCCATCATCTTGACAGCGGTATCTGTGCACAACAGAAAGGCAAGACAGTTCCGCTGGCTGCCCGAAAGGGAAGGAGCGGGGTGACTGTTGTGAACTTGTGGGGGCGTTGAATGCAGGCGCACTGCAATTGAATGCGCATGAAGAATGGAAGGTTTATACTGAATGAATGGGCACGTGAGGAAGGTGCAGGAGGGTAGACATACTCATCGAACCTCACATAGTACCCAAAATGTTTGAAAACCCGTCGAGCCTAACAACGCCCGATTGCAGGTCCTCCTCCCGGTGAACTATTCCGGCTGCTGCAACCACAGCGGGCCCGGGTGTGAGCGTGCAAGCTTCCAGCTTACACCTCTCGGCGGGTGTGTGTTGTGGCGGCAAACCGCCGTTGGATGAGGTCGGATACTAGGTGGAGGTCGGGCGTTGCTTTGGTTGCCGAAGCTATGCTTTCGAAGAACCTTATTAGCCTCTATCCTGAATATGGTGACAATGTGATGAAAGGCTCCTAAGAGTCCCAAAGACCAGAGAGAGGCCGGTAGATACTGGAAAGACCTTCCAGGCCTCCTGGTGCGGTGGGAATGACCCCTGGTGTCCGGCCGGTCTCTCTCGGCGGGCTGGGATCCCGGGGCGGGGCCGGATTCGGTCAATATGTGGTCCAACACCTACCTTCTGGAGGGATTTGTGATCTATGATCTAAGGTTTGGGTGGCTTTACAATCGAATACCCTGCAAAGCAAATCTGAGGGGCCAAGATGAGGGGTTATTTGAATGCACGATAGCAAGTTGATGGTGGGGAGCCGAGCGATTAGCAATGTGGTGGTGACTGACGCAGGTTCTGTGGAGGAATGGCCGTGCTGGCATGACCTAAACTTGACTCGGAAGATTACATAAGCGAATCAAGCCCCGACTGTGGAACTCCCGGCCCGGGGTGTTCCGGATGCGCTTGCACGCGGGGCTGAGATGGGACCGTAATAATAAACAAGCATTCACCTCTGGATTCAGTTTCAAGCAAGTTGACGCAACTTGTGTGCCAAACATATCTCCCAGGCTCTCTCCTCCAGAGATTCCCCAAGGTCAACCGAACCCCTCCCGCCTTCACAGCAGACAACAACCCGCAAGACGAAGAATGAGCGGTTGCGGTCACGGTGCGTGCCTAATCGCAAAGGCCGCATGGGTCGATGAATTGCTCACAACTCTTTCGCATACGTTCTGGCTCTCCCTTCTGTCCGCCTCTGAGCGTCATGTCAAGTACTCATCTCAGTTTCGACTCCAACATATTAGCTGCAGACGATGCCCTGATGGACGATTCGCGTTGTGAGGCTACAGTACGGAGTACGCACTGTGCCCAGTTCCTGACCAGGATGCGGCTTTGACCCGCAAATTTCCCGATGTGGCTTGGGATGGGGAGAGGGGGAGCGCAGAATGGCCCCGCACGAGCCGACTGCCCCAGCGCAGTCTGCCAAAAATTGCTGCCGCAGAGCAAGCTTCGGGGAGTGTGTGCGGCACTGGCTCAAAGCGCTCCAACCCACCAGGCCAGGGCACCTTCAAGTTCTCTCTATCCCCTATGCTCTCCTCCGCCATCGCACCAACGGTTCGCGCCCTCCTCTGACAGCGGTACGGGCAGTTGTTTCTGCAACGGAATTACCTAGTCATGAAAGCATATTGTTTACTTCCAAGGCACACTGTGGATTTCATCCGAACAGTCTGACCCTCGAGGCGCTACCTACCTACCTTACATCACGGCCGTGGCCAACGACGCCGTGTCTCTCGCCTCTCCCCTTACCCGCGGCGTCGCGATCCTCTCCTCCCCTTAGCTACTCTACCTGCCCCTACCGGTATATTACCGCGATTGACCTTAGGGAGAGCAATTGAGCAGCTTGCACCCGTATTGGCCTCAGGGCTACCGCGTTGGCTCAATCGTCCCATGTCGCCGTCGACCGTCCGAGTCAGCTCATCTCCATCCTCTCTCCTAACAGGAGCCTGCGCGCAATATTCGATACCAATCTAGAAATCTCCTACCGACCATCTGTACTCTCGAGGAGACCGCTCCAAAGCATCGCTTGCGAGCCGTCAATTGCTTGCGCCGCGCGTCGCCAAACGCGCGTTCGGTCGCCGGCCTCCGTGCGACAACGTCAACAACAAATCGACTGTTACATACGAGCCTTCAACGTTAGTCCAAAGCAACAGTCTGATACGAGACCGCCCAACTGAAGCAGACCCAGAATTCCCCAGTCTCGATCACTAATTGTCTAACCGTCCGCCCATTTCCCTCGTCCAACGAATCTCTCCATTACACACATCATCCTTTCCTGCCCTGTCATTGCGGCATTTGCTGCAAACAATGGCAGGAGCAGACCCTAGACGGTCGTCAAGAGCGCGGGCAACGCAATCACAGTCACAAATATCTTCCACTGCCTCGAGCGTCTCGGGACGCCTCGAGCGAAGCTCTCGGCACTTCAACAAAGGCGGCTCGCCGCAGAAGTCGACTTCGACAGGCTCGCTTTCATCGGAGCCACCAGAAGACACGATCACAGCCGAGGACTTAGTCACCACACGTCGTCGCACTCGCGGACAAGCCGAAGAGAGAGATCGAACAGCACCTAAAGCACAAGCAATCGCCATGACGAACGGGGACGGCGATGTCCAGGAAGAGGACGAGGCTGTCCGCTGCGTCTGCGGTAACGACGAGTATCAAGGGCCGCCGCCACTGGATGAGGACTCTAAACACGGCTTCAAACATGGCTTCGATCTCGATTCCTTTTTCTCGGCCGACGTCACCGACGACACTGCTGGGTTGTTTGTGCAGTGCGATATCTGCAAAGTCTGGCAGCACGGCGGGTGTGTCGGGATTATGACTGAGGAATCAAGCCCCGATGAGTATTTCTGCGAGCAATGTCGCGCCGATTTACATAAGCTTTGGACGGCAAGCAATGGGTAAGCCCTACCTCCACGTTGTCTGGGAGTTCTCAGCTTGGTGTCTCTGCTAGTGATCGGGTGCTCATCTGCACGGTTTGGTCTGGGCAGCGCACTGGTGATGATGTCTCCTGCGGCTCTCCCTATCTTGAGCTCTTCCAAAGATAGGCTTGAACTGGTCTCCTATGCTAACAGCATGACTTGCAGAAGCGTATTCTCACACTATCTTCCACTGAAGCGGAACGCAAGAACAACATCACGAGCAGCGTCGCTGAACAAGGACACAGCGCGTTCCCCGACCAAAGAGAAAGACAGCCGGAACGGGCGAGCATCATCCAGCAATCAGACGTCGAAGCGACGCTCGACGCTGAACAGCAGAGAAGCTGGGTATGACGAAGCAGAGGCTCTCAGGCGGGCAATCGAAGCCAGCAAAGAAGATGCGCTCCCTGAGCAACTCGAGAATGGGAGTAGACGACCAAAACGGGGAAGAAGTGACAGCCAAGAGTATGGTTCATCCTGTGTGCTGGCCACCATGCTGTATCGCTAACGATGCACAGGAAACCGGAGAATGTGAAACGTCACAAAACGAGTTCCCGGTCATCGTCGCCTCTATCCGATAAGAACGCCGAAGATTCAGACGAAGCCGATGCCACCGGCCGTAACGGGGCATCAAAATCGAAGTTGCGGAGCCGGGCAGCATCGCGCACTCAGCGAGTCGAAAAAGCATCCGAGAAGGAGGAACGAGAGCGACTACGAACCGAGGCAGCCAGCAAACGGAAAGGAAGGGCTGAGCGTCGGCGAGCTGATGGTATGGCATCTTCAGTTTCCGTGAGGATACACAATACTCACGGGGATACAGATTCAGATCCTTCTGAAGAAATGCCCCTGGCAGCTCGGGCAGCGGCGAACAGGACAGCCCAGGCTGCAGGCGGACCGAATGCGACAGGCATCACCACGACAGAAGCGGTTGGACCTGCAGCGGCAGGTGAGCCACCGGCTACATCAAACCCAGCTCCCGACACCCCGCCCACAGTACCCGTACAGGCCAAGGTCGACAAGAAGAGGTCCCACAAGAAGAAAGGAAGGAACCAGTATACTCGGGATCGTGATGCTCACGAGGATGACTCGCCCGGGAGGTCCCAGTCGCGTGATATTCAAAGGGATGACCACGGCCCACCAAGCGGCGGAAAAGCGGCCGGGGAGGGGCACGGGAAAGCAAATTCGAGACAGAAAGGAGGCATGAGCAGCAAAATCACCATGAACGACATGAAGAGGAGGGCAGCAGCGCTGCTGGACTTCATCTCTAGAACACAAGTGGAGCTGGCCGGCGAGTCATTCGCAGGAACGACAGCTGGGACGACAAACAGCGCTAATGACACCCCCCTGGGGACTTCGGAGAAAGCCGAAGATGGAGTCGACCCACCCCCGGCGCTGGTTTCCGGAGAGGACGGGCAACCACGATCGGAAAAGGACTTCAAGGAGCTCGGATGTATGGAGATGATGGACACCCTCACGCGGCGGCTGGTCAAATGGCAACAACAGTATGCCACTTAGTGTGGTACCAAGTTATCTTGTCTGTGGTCATGTATATCACGGGACGCGGTCTTCGCTCCCATATCTGTGCATTTGACAGGCGTTGGCGGGCTTTCTGACTTTCGGCTGTGGCGTTTGGATTACAAGGGCGCAAAGCATGGCGCATGTGGCATGGCCGCTCGGGGTATACACAGTTTACTTCATTTGCTAGCCCTGTCAACGGGCAGATCGCCGCTGTTCTGGGACAGGAACGGATGGGGCTAATTTTCTGGGAGGTTTGTTTCTCAAAGAGTGTGTGGTCAGCTAGCTAAATACCCCTTTGTGGGAGGCGCCTGAGCCGGGATATATGGACCACACGGTCTGCAATCTAGTCTCCGTTTCAAAAATGGTATTTGTATTTGTACTGGTCTGATATGATGAGAATAGCGGGTATCTGATGAATGCAAACTGCCTGCTGGATCACCCAGGAGACTTCGGTGTTGATGCCAACGTGAAGGCATCGTGTCGTCTTCAGGTACCACCAGTTCCTTTTAACCTAGACTTCTCAACCTCATGCATCTCCCCCGCTTCCACTCGCTATCCCTAGCCTCTTAGCCTTGTTCTTCTCCTTTTTCGCCTCCTTCTCCCTCTTCCTCGCCTGGTTCATGCTGAGGGTATCGTCCTTGGCCGCCTCCATCGCCGCCGCCAGTGTCTCGGCGGTGACCTCGTCCAGAAGCAGCTTCCCAAGCCCGCCGCTCCTCCACTCCTGCACCGCCCACTCGGCGGCCGCCTCGTAGTTCACCCCACCCCCTTTCGCTAGCTTCCCCACGCGCCTAGCGACAGCCCGAAGAAACTCACTCACATCGTTGGTAGGCGCATCCATATTTAACCGCGCCACGTACTCAAAACCCGCCCCCGCGTCAGGATGATGTGCCGCCGCCGCCGCCGCCGCCAGGTTCAGCCGAAACAGCAAGTAATCCGCCAGCGTCTCCTTGGGGATGATGCCGTCCTTGACGCACCCGACCAGCGCAAGCTTGAGCATCTTCTCCGGGTCCGACACGTAGGGGACGAACACGCCGGGGGTATCCATCACAAACACGCCCTCGCCGACGCCGTACAGGCTCGGATCGCCGTCGCTCTCGGCGTCCACGATCCGCACGGGCGAGCTCAGCCGGCGCGTCACCCCGGGCTGCGCGCCCGTCCGCGCGACCTTGGCGGCGCCCACCCCGCGCTTGCGCAGCGCGTTGAGCAGCGTCGACTTCCCCGCGTTGGGCATCCCGACCACCAGGGCGCGCAGGCCGGTCAGTGCGTCCCGCTCGCGCGCGACCGTCTTCACGGCGGCGAGCAGGTCGCGCATGGCGGTGGCGTGCGACCGGCCCTGGCCGGTGAAGAGCACCTCGACGGCGTGTCGGTGGGCGAGGTGGAAGTCGCGCAGGCGGGCGGCGGCCGTGTGGGAGACGGATTGGTCCGCGGGGCCGAGGTCGCGGTGGGTGTAGACGATGATGCGGGCGCGGCCGTCGGCGGGGGAGGACGATGCCAGAGAGCGCTCGAGGAGAGGGTTCCACGAGGTGATGGGCACGCGGAAGTCGCGGCACTCGATGATCAGGCCGACGTTGGCCAGCATCTGGCGCATGCGGGCGAGGCCGGCATGGTGGTGGCCGAGGAAGAAGGAGCGCGGGATGTCGGGGGAGACCTCGTAGCTTTGGCGCGCTTGGAAGGCGGCACGGCCCGCTGTAAGAAGGGTGGCACTCTTTGCGGCCGCCTTGGCTATTGATGTAGTGGCCATGATGATGCTTGGCAGGGAGTGAGAAAGTTGCTTTGTTTGTTAACCGAGGGCAGAGAAAATGGGATTCAAACGGGTCGGATGCAAGTGACTTGGCGAACAGTTTCACATTTTAGAGGGCTGCATATGGCTATTCACATCCGGGTATCGTTTGTTTGTTGATCAGATCCAACATAGGTACCTATTGTTGATGACTTGGTCCTTTTCACTCACATCGTATGCGAGTAGATCAGTGAGTAACGTTAACTAAGGTATGTCAAATTCACGGTAAAACAATTTCTGACGTTGAAGGTATCGGGTTTAAAATTCCGATACACGCATTGATCCACTCCCACCGCTGTACGGAAGTAAACATGAAAGTCATGCCGGTCCTGTATTATTAGTGGCCCACTCCCGCTATGTATGTAAGACTTCCCGTGCCGGCTCTATACATACCTCTAACCCTGGCATAATAAATACGGTACCTAGTGAAAATGGACACAAACTAGACGCAAGACTAGGTACCTGGTATGTACTGTGTCAGTTATCTTGCCACTTGGTCATGAGCTGAAAGGCACTGGCTCGTCTCGTGACCAGGTAAATATAGTGCAGTAACCCCAATGAGGTGCATGCTGGCACGGCTTGCGGACTACCAGCACATGAATCAACACTGCCAGTGTTTAGTGTCAACCCTACAGTGTGAGGGGTGCCCATCCAGATCGAAAATAATTCCTCGTCTTTGCTCCGCCGCGTTATGTAGAGATTTCCGGAGCTATGATCGGCTACCAGTAACCGTCCCTCAAGACGAGATAATCATAGAAGAAGCCGACGGGAGCTATTATCCGCACTGTAAGCACGAATAGAATCCAATATCTCTTGGGCGTCCCGAATTTGCCAATAACCCAGATGTCCATGCGCGGTAGATGTCCGCCCAGAAGCCGACATGAGGTGGCCATGGGCAGACGCAATCATCCCATATCGAACTCTCCGTGGCACGCCACACTTTACCGTTTTAGAGCTGTCTAAAGAGTTGGCGAGAGCGCGAGCCCGGGAATACGCATAGGGAAATCACCAAAGCTGGGTCTCGCTGCTTCTCTAGAAAAATCAACCCCTAAATCAATGGAGAGGTCGAGTAGGGCATCTGATACAAGAGCCCTGAGAATCAAGCACCAGATATATATACCTACTAGAATGGTACAACATAGCAGGGAGACAGGAAGGGTGCAAGTTATTGGAGTGCTCACCGCCCAACATCTCGCCTTTGAGGTCAGGGAATATGTGGCAAACGTCACGATGCAGCCGTAGGCCCAAATCGGGACGGGTGAGTCGTAAGCTACGCACTGAGCGCCTCCAACGTCCACACCCGCACCAGAAAGCTTATCTGGACTACGTCAGACGCATCCCCAGCCATCAACGGTGGCAATGTTGCTAGTGAAGTGTGGAGAAGTTCTTGCCCGGAAGCTGATGCGAGAGGTGCGGCAACATGTACATATTGCCAGACTGCCGCCCGTCTACGGGTGCTCTGCTCTCTCTTCTTCTCAACCCACTTGCCCAGTCAGACGCAAGACAAAAGTCAGGAAAAAAAATATTAAAATCAACAAAACCAAACAAAAAACGCAGGAAATGACTCCTCCTCACGCCCACGAGTCCATCCCCGCCGCTGCCGCGGGCCCGCTGCCGCTGACACCCTCGTCGACACCCACGCTGCCGCCTCCTCAGACTCCCACACCATCGCCGCCGTCCTCCCCATCGGCAGCCACTGGGGCCCCGTCTTCTCCGGCATGCCGCGCGTCCCGGGACACCGACGCCCACGCCGACGACGAAAAAGCCCCTGAGGCGGTGCGTCGTCTTCAACGCCTGCGCGCTCGGAGACGTACCTCGGCCCGGAACAACTGGCGGGTAAAGGCATGCGTCATGGAGGCGGAACGTGCCCGGATGCGGGAGAAGGAACGGGGCGGAGCGGCTGCTGGAGGTGGAAGATGATCTGCGAGCAGCGCAGTCGCGGGCGTTTCGACCCTAGCTCCTGCTGTCGTAATCAAAACGCCCGCGACTGCGCTATATCAACAATTTCACTTTCACTCCCCTGAAAGGGGTGGAGAGGAAGGGGATCAATTGGAAGTACGGCTAGCGTTTTTTTTTCCTTTTTTTCCTCTTTTTTTTTGAATTCCGGAGTTGCGGAACGCGGCGTCGGTGGTTTTAACTTTTGAAATTCAAATCATCGAAGGCCAGGGCATTGGGAAGCGCATTAAAGACCCTTTTGGGCATATACTTATTACTTATTTTTTATTTCTATCATGTATAGTTGTAGGCCAAAAGCAAGTTTACCTTCCTAAAACCCCCCCAAATGTCACTAGTTCAACGCATAACAAAACATCGTTGTCACGGTCGGTATGGGTGTCGCCCCAGGCGGGGGTTGAACCCACGACCTCCCTGATTGACGGCTGTTGTGGAGCACCGGTCACATGACCCACAAATCAGGAATATCTTCGTGTAATGTTCTGGGCCACCGACTCAGAACTTCTCTTTCCTTTCCTCAACCTTAGATTCACGAAATAGAATGACAACAACAGCCGGCTTGACCCTGCTCAATTGCATCTAGTCGTCACAATCGTAGATGAATTTTAAAAAATGAGGTACTATAAAATTCCCTAAGGGGGGATTTTCATATGATCTTTTAGGTGTTGCTAAGAGTTCTCGTCCCCATACAAATGCCATACAAATCTCAGTTTTGGAGTGTGAACTTTATTCTTACCTATACGGCATGTAGAAATGGGTTTAGGTGTTGCAACATAGCGCATCAAGCGTCCCTACTATACGAAATACTCGCTTAACAAGCCGGCGAGCCGGGTTCGGACGCTTATTAAGGCGCTCGCAACAACGTAAACTAAACAAACATACTAACCAAACACCACATCTGGTAAGTCAAACATGCCGTGCTAGTTCAGGTAAGCATGATCTTAGCCGGTCATAAATGAATCATATAGACATAAACCAAATATTAGTACACCAAATGTAGCTTGGTAACGGCAATATACACTGAACATCGGTCCGAAGTTGATTTATCTACGTTATTATGAGCGCTGGGACTCTCTCGCTTTGGGAGACCCAGCGAGTATACTAGTATTTGCCATTCAAATTTCGGTTTTGTGGTATGAATTTATTGTTTTAGACAGTGATTCGTTTTTTATCCTCGGGCATGTGGCATGTGGTGGAACTGTGAGCAGGATGATGAATTCTTCTATGTAATAATGCAGCTCTACCGTAGGTCCATTCTGTACCTTATAACTCCCCGTGCCTGCCCTTCAAGGCTTCAGGACTTCCACTGCCGCCTCTCCGAATCTGCTCCGCAACCCAATGATGCAATGACGTGGAGCAACTTAGCTACCGTGACATATCCGGTCGTCTCGCCATAGATGTCTCACCATAGGTAGGGCGAAAGCTGCAATGAAACAACCCTCCTACCAGAACCCCGTCAACGAGCGCTTCCCGCCCTCGTGCGCTCCCCCAGGAGACGAGCTCACCCGGTCTCCCTTCAAACCGGCAACATCATCAATGCCACCGGTCGTCACTCCGCCCACGGCTTTGCCTGCGCCATCCCAGTCAGCAGCAATCCGGACACGTTTTTCCCAACAGGCCATCACGTACTTGCACCCAGCCTAATTCCCTTGCCGCCCTTCATCGAATCCGGAGACATCTGGCTCGATCCCGTGCCTCTCCTTTTCGGTCGAGTCGGACTAGTGGGGACCGGAGCTCCGGCATCTTGCTCAACCACCGGCACCCCCGCTGTATCCACTACCGCCGCGTCGCCGAATCGGAGAACCTCCGGCCCCGGACCCTGCGCATGACTGGTAGACAATGAGACAGACGGCAAGAGGGGGTCTTGCCCTGCGACCTCACTTCGCTGCTCTCGAGGGGCTGCCACACTGCTGGTCTTCGAGCCAGCTCTCGGCCTGGTGATTCCCCTATGTCGCGGTGGCCGCCGTTCACCCTCGTCCTCCGCATCATTAGCCTCGTCATGGGTACTCGCACTCTCCCCAACGCCGCCCACCGCCGTGCTCACGTCGCTATCCACCACATCGTCACTTCCCCTAAGACTGGCAGCAGCGGCATACTTCCTCACCCCGTCAGCCATGGCCATGGCCTGATGCAGATTCGAGTTCTGCCTCTTGATCTGATACCGCGCGTACTCCTCCCGCGTATGCTCCGCGCCCACAAAGCTCTCCAGCGCGTCAAACACGTGCGGGAAGACCTGCTCATCCACGTCCCTTGCCCATAGGAAATCGAGGTGCTCGTAGTGCGGGATCTCGTTGGCCACCGTCTGGGCGGGCAGCTCGCGCAGCATGGCCTTGATGTCCACCAGGGAGTCGCTGCCGCCGTAGACGAGCACGACGGGCGTCCTGATGTTGCGCGTCGGGTACCGCGCCACCTTGGTGTACTTGCTGCTGGAGGTGAGGAGCAGGGGCGGGTGCACGTCGTCGTCGTACATCTGGAACGACTTGGTGCGGATGATCTGGAACCAGTGCACGACCGACTTGGTGCTGGTGAAGGAGTACAGGTGCGGGTAGGCGGCCAGCTTCTGGGAGGCGCTAATGTTCTGCGTGCGCCAGTTGAAGAGGAAGGACAGGCCGAGGTCGATGAGTTTGGTGAAGAGCGGCGGGTACAGCAGCGATTCCCACATGGTCGCCGAGCTGAGGATCGATCGGCGGCCGAAGAGGAGGAAGAGGACCTGGGGCGAGGCCTTCACCAGCGCGTCGACGACCCCGTTGGACAGGCCGGCGGGCGACATGGCCGGCGCGAGGGCGATGAAGACGTTGACTTGGTCGTTGAGCTTGGGGTGCACCGCCAAGCTGGCGAACGCCTGAGCGGTGCCCTGCGAGAAACCGATGTACGACAGCGATGGCTGCCCGGTAGTCTCTAAGATGTAGTCAATGGTGTCGGGGATATCATGGAAGGCGAACTCGTCTATGGAAAAGTTCCAGAACTTGACCGAAGTCGGCGAAGAGTGGATGGACTTCTTGGAGTATTTGTTGCCGCGATTGTTGCCGAGCTGTCCGTGTCGCTGTCAGTCGTGTCTTTGCGTTGCTCGCCTTTGGAGGACCTACCCAAACGTCGTACCCCTTCTCTACCAGGGCGAAAGGCAGAGCTCGCTGCTCATCCGTCAGGCAGACCCAAACCTCGCTGTTCATCAGAAGCCCGTGGTGAAGGTACACGACCCGTTTCTTGACGCTCTTCGCGCCGCGGTTGTTGACCTTGGTGTCCTCCTCCCCTCTGCGCCATGCCAACCGATGCAGCCCCAAAAGGTAACCATCCTTGGTCTGTACCACATGTTCTTCGGAAGTATACCCAAACATGGCACACAGATCGACGAAGTCGGACGTGTTTCGAATTGAGGTGGAAATGGCTATGTCCGGGTCAGTACATCCCGTTTTTGCCCTCTCCGTGCCCAGGCAAATAGGAAGACGCACACTTTCTCCTGCGTTCAGCCCGCTTTTGCGCCGGAGTAGTGAGCTTGTTGAACAAGCGCCGAGATAGGCCATAGAGCAGCTCCAGCAGCGCCGGCGCTACAGACGCACGTTAGATAGCGAGTCGTGCGAACTGAGAGGCAGTACGAGGGGAGCATGGCTCACGTAATGCAAGGGTAAACACGCGGATGAAGGCCTCGAGGCCCACTAGAAGAAAGGACCCGACAAGGGCGACATATTCGGTTCTGCACCAGCGACGCGCATGATTAGAATGGGCTTGGACGTTGAAGATGCAGGTGGACGCGCGGTGTCTTACATATTAAGGCGCCCGAGAAACGGGACTGGCATCTTGACCGCTGCTCTCTCGAGGGGGTTTCTCCCTCCTCATCGATTCAGTCTTTGCCAGGCTTCTGCAAGCAATGAGCAGCTAAAAGCTCATCACCGGAAGCGCGAGAGTGGTGTAATGTGTAGGCATAGTCAGGAATGCATTTGTAGGACGGCGATGTTCTGGCGTTGGAGCTGCAACCCATGCGGCCATGCAGTGCCCTCTGAGGCCCGAATTCCCGTCTGTGGGGCCGTTGCTTCATGATGAAACGGGGGTCTTGTGATGTCACCCGTCACATGCAAATCCCCTTGGTGCCCAGGAAGTGCGGTGCCTGCCTCATGACAGCGATAGGTTACTTCCGGGTTTACTCCAGTTCGCAATAGCCACGGAATTAGTAGTTCTACATATCCTGTATCCTGATAACGTTATTTTTGCGCTGAAATACTCTCTCGCTTTTCTGTGAGCTGCCGCTGGAATGAAAGCTTCAACATTGTTATATGTACTGTGGTATTGCATGTACCAGGATCTGGTGAAAGACCCACCGCGATGCTTCAGGCTAAAATTGCGAGATGCGAAAGCTCGGACCCCTCTGCGGTCCAGGCTTTTGGCCAATTCGTTTGATTCTTCAACAGACCAAAGTCCGCAGCTTTTCAGCGCCGCAGCTCACTACTACAGCCGAGATGCCGAGCTCATGTAAAGAATTACGTGCGCTACTCTTCGCCAATCTTTCAAAATCAAAGTAACACTGACTAACACGGTCTGAAGGAGCCGCGCTGGCGGAATGCCTCCAACAATCCGAGTGCGTGATGGTCCAGCGGCACACGGCCGCTGAGTGCCTGCGCGAGCCGCTGGTCAACACCCTGCCGCTCAAGTGCCAGCAGCTCAAGAAAGGGTTCGGCGAGTGTCGCCGTGGCATGCTCGATATGCGCAAACGGTTCAGGGGCAACCAGCCCGTCGCATTCCGCCACCTCGAACAGGCCGAGAAGACGGGCGAGGGCTACCAGCTGTACGCGGGCAAGTCAGCGTTTGGCGGCGGGCGCGGCGAGACAGACGGCAACGAGAAGGAGCCGCAGGATTGGAGAGATATGGAGAACGAGAAATACAGAGCGGCTCTCGCGGCGGAGAAGGCGACGAAATCATGACGGTGACGACGTTGCCCTGCAAGACGAAGGGCTTCTGGACATCAGAGCGCGGCCACGGTGACGACCCAGCCACCTTGCCCGGTGCTGTACGATATTGCATGACTCTAAGCGGTTCCTCAGATAGCGGGCTGGAGCATAGCGAGCATTTGCGGGCGCCGGTATGAGGGCTGTATGTTTGTAGTTGGGTTCCTGAGCTGTGAGAGGCAACTCTATCCTCAGTTCTAGTTGACCTCCCACCATTCGAACCACTTTCCCACGCCCAGGTATGCACGCACCTTCGCCCCAACTCAGACTTCGGATAAGGCGTGGACTAGAGTACCTCCTCCAGGACCGGGGCAACCATGGTTACGCTGGAGACGGCTCCAAATCATCTGCTAGAGTGTAGAGTGTGTAGAATCTACAGGTGAAGAATTTAAAGTTTATTGTCAATTCTCAGTCCAGCGAGGGAGCCCTCGCACTTTCGCCTATATGGTTAAGGTGTATGTAGCAGCTCAAGGTGCCTGCGTCCGAGCGCCGCATGCGGACGGGGCAAGTCCGAATGAGTTCCGAATGAAGATAATGGAAGGTCCACCTGATCTTCACCGCAATTCAACGATGGCAAAGTTCTTATGACTGGGTTACTCATGCATATGTTAGAGCAGCGGGAAGTGAAAAGAAGTAATAATTCCTGCTTTACAGCCCTACCATCGGTCTCCGTTTGTCTAGCACAACCCTCCTGCCTTCGAAGGTTGCCGCAATCAGGACTCGACACGGCTTTTACCTGTGCGCGTTAACATGATGTAATCCACCTCCCAACTTTACCTACCCCTTGCGACCATCAAGAGATCGCAGACAGGCCGAAGATTCGGTACTATCCTATCACACGATTGCTGAGCGCTGCACACCCTGCATGCCGTAGCGACCATGCCGCAAGAAATAGCTCGAGCCTTTCTGGGCAACCGCGGCGGTCCACGCCGCTCGCGTGTCTTTTTCCTCCTTGGAGGGCTCGCACTCCTAACGTTCTGTCTCTTTGCGTCCCACCTACATGGCTTGCAGCAATTTACTAGCGGGCGACCATTCGGGGGTTTAACAGGCAACGCCGGAAGCAAGTCCGGAATGACGTCGTCGGGGCATGACCCAGCATTGACCGCGCCCCGCCATGCATCTACCGCCACCAACACCCCCGAGGCTGCAGTAGCAGATCCCGTAGATAGTCAAACGCCGACCAAGATCACAAAGCCGGAGGACGGCCAACAGTCGTTTAAGATGGAGTACGGGGCCAACAAACACCCGTCGTTCAAGGATGACCCGCCTCAGCTCATCCGTGACCTTGCGCGGGAGCATATCCCGTATTATGCACCTCCACCGCCGACTGAGGAACCCACCGACGGGGAGGGGAAGACGAGCGCAAAGAGACTGGTGGTTGTCGGCGATGTGCACGGCCACCTCGCTGCGCTCAAGGCTTTGCTGCGGAGGATAGGCTTCGACCACAAGCATGGCGACCATCTCATCCTCGCCGGAGACATGGTTACCAAGGGCCCCAACAGCAAGGGCGTGGTCAAACTGGCCATGAACCTCAGTGCGAGCGCGGTGAGGGGCAACCAGGATGACGAGGTCTTAGCGGTCGCCAGGCGGATGGGCCGTGTCTCGGTCGACGACGAGGGTGGGGATGATGAGCAGGAGGCGGACGACGCTGACGAAGATGGTCAAGACGACGATGACGGCAGTGAAGCGGAAACAGAAACTAAGAGAAAGTACCGCCACGTCCGCCGAGTCGCTCGCTCCCTCAGCCGCGCCCAGCTCGCCTGGCTGAGGTCCCTGCCCATCATCCTCCGCATAGGGCAGCTCCCAAACGCCACATCACCGCCGTGGAACACAAGCACCATCACCGTTGTCCACGGCGGGCTGGTTCCCGGGATGCCGCTAGAGAAGCAGGACCCTTGGGCGGTCATGAACATGCGGAGCCTGCTATATCCCGGCCACGGCAAAGGCAAGGGGAAGCATCACAATGCGCGTCCTGAATCGGAAGACGACGACGAAGTAGCACCAGACGCAGTCGCAGTGCCCATAGACAAGCACGACGGTGAGCCATGGAGCCACGCCTGGTAAAAACCTCCCTCCCTCTGGCCCCTTCTTTTGTATCAACCACCATTCTCTTCTAACACATGATATGAAAAAAAGGAACCGTTATCAGAATAACCTCCCCCCATCAGCCGACCACACAGTAGTAATTTACGGGCATGACGCCAAAAAGGGACTACAAGTCACCCCCCAAGCCGACGTCTCCCCCTACTCCTCCTCCTCCACCACCACCCCCTCCTCATCAAAAAAGAACCACAAAAAGCATAAGAAGGTGAAAGGCCTCCGCTACGCCTTCGGCCTCGACTCGGGCTGCGGCCACGGACGGCAGCTCACGGCGCTGATCATGGAGGCCGGGCCTCACGGGGTGCGGCATCGAATAGAGCAGGTCGAGTGCGACCTCGAGACGGAAGAGCGGGCGCTCTGGGGCGATCAGGATTACACGCCGCCGATACAGCCGCCGCCGCCGGAGGAGGAAGAGGAGGATGGAGAAGAAGAAAATCAACGAGTGGTGGGGTAGTTAAATTTCCGTTTTCTTTTTTCGTCCTGTTGGCTACGCGGTCGTGTTTTATCTACCGTGCTGCTTTCAAACGATGACACGGTGGGAACGGAAAGGGGAAGGGGTTCGCTTCAACGCTGTTTGCATTCTGCATATTGGGCGTTCTGGGATGAACATACCTAGTAATTGCTTATCGGGCGTTCGGATCGGAAGGGAGGAGGGTTTGATGTTAGGCAACCATTGATTGATGTGTTGCTTGTGCCTACCTTATATGCATGCTACCACTCCTAGACTATCTGTCTTACCTTAGACTGAATGGCACATGCCGTAGTTCATAACATAATGGCAGAAAGCACCGGTGTGATTGCATTCCAGCTGGTCAACTGTCCTCTCTTTTTGGTGTCAGTGGTGTTCTCTTTAACTGCTTGCTATGCCATGACCAAATCCAGATTTTATTATTTCTTGCTAAACCATGACAGTCCATTCTACCGCTGCATTACGCGAGCATTGAAATTCACTTCATGAGTCCTCAACTTATCGAAGAGGCCCGAGGCCCCTAATTCCTTTCATCCCAGCTTACTGAAGCTTGGCCTTGATGATGCCCTTGAGGGTAACAGCATCAGCGGCGAACTTGCTGATGCCTTCCCGGAGCTTCTCGACCGCCATCTGGTCCTCGTTGAAGTCGAACCGGAAGCTGGGCTCGTCGTTGATGTACGACTTCTTCTCAATGTTGAGCGAGGTGGCGCCGGCGGCGTCGAGCTTCTTGGGGACAGGGGCGGTGGAGTTCATAAGCTCCTCGAGCAGGTTGGGCTGTTACGCAGACATTAGCGTCACTCAGGGTCTCCTGACAGTAGGTAAGAGCAACTTACAGAGATGGTCAGGTAGTCGCAGCCGGCGAGCTCGGTGATCTCGCCAGTGTTCCGGAAGGAAGCACCCATGACGATGGTCTTGTACCCGAACTTCTTGTAGTAGTTGAAGATGCTCTTAACGCTGGCGACGCCGGGGTCCTCCTCCTTGGCGTACTCCTTCTTGTTGGCCGCCTTGAACCAGTCAAGGATACGGCCAACGAACGGCGAGATCAGGTAAGCACCGGCCTCGGCGGCGGCGATGGCCTGGACGAGAGAGAACATGAGCGTCAGGTTGCAGTTGATGCCGTGGTCCCGCTGCAGGATCTCGGCCGCCTTGATGCCCTCCCATGTCGAGGCAATCTTGATCAGGACGCGGTCCTTGGAAATGCCCTCCTTCTCGTAGAGCTGTCGGCGGTGATGTTAGCGGATGCTGTCCGGACGACCGGCAAAACGGAGGCATACCTTGATGAGGTGAATCGCCTTGTCGACGGAAGCCTTGGTGTCGAAAGAGAAAGCAGCATCAACCTCAGTCGACACCTTGCCGGGAATGATCTTGAGGATCTTCTTGCCGAACTGGACCAGGAGGTGGTCAAGGGCAGAGTCGATTTGATCCTGGAGCGAACCACCCTCCGACTTGGCCTTCTGGACTGCGGCGTCCAGCAGCTCGGCATACTCGGGCTTCTTGGTCGCGGCGAGGATCAGGGAAGGGTTGGTGGTGGCGTCCTGAGGCTTGTACTTGCCGATGGCTGTGGCATTGTGAGCAGGTAAGGCATCGCCGACACGAAAAGGAGAACGAAGTAATGCTTGGGGTTTTACTGACAGGCAAAGTCGCCAGAATCGCTGACAACGACCTATCATGAAGCGGCATTGGTCAGCGAAAGATCATTCGAGATGTTCGATAAGTGAGTCTTCAGGCGCAATTCGCGGCGTCGCCACGCTGCTCCTGTCTTGAGGGCCCGAGAACTTCCTGTTCCCCCCCCGAGGGGTTTGGCGGGGCAATGTACGTACTGTGCCAGAGGCCTTGAGCTGCTCAAGCGAGTTAGACATGGTGGGCAATTCGAATCAACAGAAAGGCGATTGGTATCAAAAGACAAAGCTCGAGGGTTGATATTTGAAGCAGTAATGCAGGAACTGTGAAAACTCGCAAACTTGTCGCAAAAAGAAGTTGAGGATGATCTAGTGATTTTGTTTCTGAGACGAGACTCGCGCGGATAATATCCCACACTAGGCGTGGGGCGAGCCGTCGTCATAGCGATCCACACCCCTCTTGCGGCTTTGCCGCCCTCGAGCCGCCTTCCGCCTCGCTGACAGTTTCATCACAAATCTTTTGACATAACACCCGCCGTCGAAACCATTCTCTGCTGGCCATGAAATGTAATGGTCAAGACTGGAAGCATCATTGACAGGAGTTCTTAGGGATGGCTTACAATGTTCATCAGTAATCTGACTGTCAGCAGTTCCATAGCATCTCCGTACTCTTCGGTCTTTATTGGTTTCCCCACCCGTCCGAACGTACCCCGCGACAGCCCCCGATGTCGCCGGTCCCGCGTGTCCCAATAAAGATTAGAGCTCTTACTCAGCGAGCTCGGGGTATTCGGACTGTATGTATGTACCGATGTATTCCGTACAGAATTCCTTATTAACGGATGATTATTTAACGGCAAAAGCCTCTGCAACGGACAACACCAAAGTCAACTTGAAAGGTATCCGTTTGCATTCTGTAACCACCGACTGATAGCTATAGTATAAACACAAAGGCTTTACTATTCGTCGAATTTTTGTATAGCCATGTCCTTTAGAATAGCTGCACCGGATCCGGTCGTCGAAGTCCCTGGCTTGCGAGAGCTGTTGGAGACGAGCATGGCAGTCAGGGCTGCGGTGACCATGAATAGCAGCAGCCATTCGAATGCCCCGAAGACCGACGCCGTTATGAGCGACACGCACGAGTCCCTTCCTGCCGAACATGCCGCGGTCCTGATCTCAACAGCCACAGCAATGAAACCAACGAGCCATGAGAGGACAGCCACAGCCTCAACGGCGACACGAACATAGCCGATGAACGCACGGTCCGCGAAGATGATGCCGGCATTGGGGTGGACGATGAGGGTCAGAACCGTCCAGCCGGCACAGAAAATCAGGAAACCCCACGCATCAGGGACGTCGTAGCCGCGAAACACGTGGATGGCTATGCGATGAGGTCAGGCTCAACGGTGCGTCGACCAAGTAGAGGGTATGAGTTTCTGCGTACCCGAGCCGTCTGTCCCCCATGACGATGATGGCGGAGATGAGTTACAGCGCCCGCAGGGCATAGTAGAGCGTCTTGTTCTCCGCCATGTTCACTCCCATGATGCGCAGCAATGGTCAATCCGTAACGAGATCCGGGAAGAGGTGACATGTACGTGTCGAGGGGTTGATGAAGTGAGGAAAGCGGTGTCGAGCAAGACAAGAGAAACCCGAGGTTGTTCAAGAATCCACGGGGAGACATACACGGTCTTGTATTGGTAGAGAACTTACATACAAATCATGAGCCCGGCCTTCAACCTCAGACGCTCGCGCCTCCCGGGGGCAGCAGCAGTAGGCTTTTTCATTGTCGAGCGTGCAGGCCACCGTCAATGTCTGTCATTCCGTGAGCCTGGAGATCGACAAACACCGAGTTGGCATCGTATTCGCTGCGGTATACGTTTACATTTATGGTGGCCATAATACATACATTATACGGCTAATTGTATCTTTACAACATTATCTGCTGGGGTTGACCCAAAGCAGCTACCAAATATAGTTAGGAGCAGGTCCCAATACTTGGGCTCGCTCTGCTCTAACTATACACCTAGCTCGCTTACTCAACCGGACGTTGGTTGGCGCGATGGAGGCGTGCCTTACTGGATGTCATGATTGGGGCGCTGAAATACCGAGCCGGTCCCAGAGCACCTTGTTGGTTCTCCTCGCCGCGGAGAATCATGATTGTCATTACGTTACCATATTTTGAAGGCTCAGGCCGCAAAATCCAGATGCTTTTTGTCTGCCTATCCGTAACTACGGTACCCTCTATGCTATCGGTAAGGTATTTACATGTCATGGGATGATTATGGGTTGATGCTCAGAGATGCAAGCGGCAGCAAACCAGCCCGATTCTTTTCCTGTACCGTCCACCTGTTACCCACCAAAACCTCTCCGGAGATGCGATATATATTCTGCCGTCGTGTGCAGCGGCCACCCTCACTCGTCTAGTCTTCGGTGATGTCACCATATTCCCAGATACCGCGACGCTCCTTCTTGGCCTCGGCCTCAGCCTCCCGCAGATTCGCGAGCACAGGCTCAAACACCTTGCTCCGCTCCCATGCCTTCAACTTCCGCGCAACCAGCGCGTGGCCCTCAAGGACCATTTTGCGGTTGATCGACTCGGTGGCCTTGTTTGAGCCCTCGGCCTTAGGATCGAAGAGGGTCACAGAGCTGATACCCTCTTTGCTGTCCTGATAGTCGAAGCAGCCGACTAGCTGCTTGCCCTCGGTAAGCTCATACAGATAGCCCACCGCGTCGCTGAGATAGTCGGGCGCTGCAGGAAGCTGGATGAAGGAGAGTCTAATGTCCACGGCCTGCGCTTTAAGCTTCTGGACGGTGAACTGGGGCTGGCTGAGTGGGCGAAGCTTGGACCAGGGCTGCTTCTCCGAGTTGCCGTAGTCGATATAGACGACTTCGGCCACCTTAGCGGCGCGGTCGTTTGAGCGGATGCGTGCTCTGTACCACTCGCCGTCTTCCGTGAACTGGGCGGCCACATAGTCGCCGGCCTTGGGCGGGTCCTTGAGGGTAGCGCTGTTCGTCGGGTTCAGGTGAAATTGCCTGAACTGCTCCATCAGGTTCTCCAGCGCATCCGTGCCCTTGCCGACCTCCTGGACCTTTATTCTTCCCTCGGGATCTACGTTGGTCACGACAATGTCTCGGTAGTCCTCTGGCTTCTTCGCAACCGTAACTGAAGCGTCCTCGGTCGTTTCGGCCGCCGCAGTCTCTCCCTGTTGCTCTTCGTCCTGCGAGGGATCCCAGTCGTGCCACATGCCCTTCCTGGCCTCCTTTGCCAGCTTTTGCGCGGCCAAAAGCTGGGCGGCATTGCCCGACTTCTCGGCCGAGTACTCGTGAACAGAAGCCAAGCCCTCCTCAACCAGGGTCTTGGCGAAGCTCTCCCGGTTCACGTAGAGGTCGCCAATGAAGCCGCCCACTTTGTCGATGTCGTGCACATCGATCTCGCAGTCCCGCTGGTTACAGCGGCGGTTGGCCAGCTCCAACGCTTCCTGCCCAAACGGCTCTCCCTTCTCTTGGGCGTTCCGACCAGCGCGCGGAGCACGGACGCCAGCAAGCACTAGCGTAATCTTCGCGCCCTCCCGAGGGATGAGGATGGTAAACCGGGAACCGGACTTGCAAAAATCAACAATCCCCGGGACTTTCTTCTGTCTCGAGAGGGTCGATAACTGGATCTTAGCCTTTTGGACGCTTTCGGACATGTCCGCATATTGCTTCACCTTGGGCGGTTTGCCAGACCACATCCCTCTATTCTCCTGCTTCGCAGACTCTTGAGCTGCCAGCAATTCGTCGTAGTTAGGCGCCCTGTCAGTGTCGTCTTTGCGGTGCCTGATGACAGAGCAGTAACCCTCTTGGACCAGCTGTAGGCCAATATTTTTCCCGCCTTGAGTGACCGTAGCCACCTCCCGGGCCTCGAAGTCATCACTGGCAGGCTTGGTGCCGTCGACGGAAATGCGTACGTGCTTGCCGATGAGCTTCTTTCTGAGAAACTCTTTTGCTTCATCCCGAAAAGGTGCCTCGGATGCCTCTGCAGCACGGGGCCCGCGGACGCTACTCAAGCTAATTCTTTTCTCTTCTCCGGCCTTGTTCCGCACAAGGATGGTGTCCGCCCCAATTATCTTGGTGACGGTGGCATCCGTTTCTTTGCTGTCCGTGGTTTTACCCACATAGCCCCTGTGCAGACGACGGCGGGCTGCCTGCGCCTCTCTCTCGGCAGCACGGAGAGCAGCCATATCGGCCCCAAGCATCGTGGAGTGAAAGTCATTGCAGCGAGCTAGCCCTTCCTTCAGGAGGAACTCGGCAATGTTGCCCCGTGGATGGAGCACTGTGGCCACAAGCTGGCCCTGGGGACTAGCGCCCACGATTTTGACGCGGACCTGCCGTTGAAGAAGCCGCTGCTCTACGAAGGCACGAGCCTCATTGCCGAACTCCTCTGCAGGCTGAGTCTGGCCGTTTGACTGGTTTACCCGTTCTGTTGTTGGCGTCCGGACACCAGCCAACAAAGTCATCAATTGTAGGTGCTTGTTGTCCGTTAAGAGTAGGCGGACCAGCAGGCGGTCACCGCTAATGACGCGCTCGATTATGCCGTCCACTGTCTTGCCCTTCAACTGGTTGAAGAAGTCCGGGGATCCCAAGTCGTTCTGAACTTCGATGACCCCCCCGGTGCCGGAGTGCAAGCCCTTGAGCTCATCCTTGGCTTGGGCCTCTAAGCTCCGCAAGTTGTTGATTCTCTCGAGGACGCCCTCGGACTCCTCCTTTCGACCAGCGTCTTCCCTGACTTTGAGCCAGCCGGCTTTAACTGCCGCCTCTGGAAGCTCGGTTCCGTCCTGGAGAACTGCCCTTCCGTATTCTCGGCCCGAGTTGGGGATGGTGTCTGAACAAAGAGTAAGTATGTCGTTGAGATGCGCCACGATTTGGATACATAATCATTGTGAAACTGCACTTACATGAGACGCTGAATTTCACCGGCTTCCCGACGGCCAAGTTCCTCAAAAACTCGCGCGACTGGAAAGCAAACGGCTCATCGCCATCTTTGCTAAGCCGGGGTGCGGAAACGTAAGCAAGCGAGAGTGTCCGCTCAGCGGCAGGGTTGTTTGGGTTAGCGAGGACAAGAGTGTCACCGCTGAGCACCGACTTGACGTTGGCGATGAAGGACATGGCGATGAACGGTTGCTGTTTCGGAAGTAGGATAGACGAATATACACGATATCCAAGGGCAGTGTCTATTCCAGATATTAGCTTTCAGCTGCGGAGCTTCACACCGCTGAGACACCCAGTCGATGGTTCGATGTCATATGTGGGCTGTCAGGTTCAAATGCAAGAGCGTCCTGGGTCGGCCACGCTGCCACACTCCTGTCACAAACTGCGCCGGCCTCCGCGAGCTAGGAAGGTGTCTGGCTCAAGCTTCCAATATGCTCGGAGAAGCTGCTGCGTGGCACGGGGGCGAAAGGCGGATTCGAAGGGTAAATGAGTCGGGTATTGGGAACTGATGTCACGTACCGTGATGCCGCTTTAGATGAAGAGCGGAAAAAGAGCGACCTGGAACGATGCTGTAAAGCTCTTGGGGGAAGAGGAACAGGAGCGTGGACAGGTATCTGAAGTTTGAGAGAGGAGCTCAGGCGAGCAGTGGCCTTTTTGACAGCTTTCAGAAACGTTGATCTGAATCTAGATTGGTCCACTGAGCAGATGTGGGGAAAAGCAGGCTACCCCAAGGAGCCCAGATGCCCGAGCTCTTTCAGGAGCGAAGTTTGGTATCAGGCCACGTCGAGTCAACGGCAACGACAACACTCTAGGTCCTAAATTGGGACCGGAGTTTTGCTGAGAATCTCAGTTACCTTACACCCACCCTAGAGTAGCATCAGATTCCAAAATATCGATTTATCGAACAGCACATCTACCTGAAGTATGGCTTAGGTTTGATCTTGATTGCGCTGACTCGAGGTGGCAAACTGTGTCCACGCATCACGGCACAGTGCATGACCCTTGCATGAGATCAATTACCCCGCACTAACTGTATCGATTCCGTCATCAAAGGTATTGTACCCACAACATTGCATCAACGATCAGGTACTCAAAGCTGACATCTCACGCGTTTGCAAAATGAACTAATGAGTCAATGGACAATTGTTTCTCTCTTCATACATCATGGCAGTATGTGAATGGTGTGAAGGAGTGACGAGCGGGTTCGACCCGATGTGTGTCCAGAAGTTCTCGGCAACTCAAGTGAAATGTCCTCAATGTGCGGGACTCCTGTCTGAATCTGAGATGGTTCCTTCAGGTATTCCTGGTTACTGCGAGATACCGATGACACCTGGGAACCACTAGTTAGCATGGCGCAACAAGAAGTCGAGTACGGGAAAGGGCTTGCCGCAAGCAGGGCGGGGACCGGCGTTGCCTGTCTTCAGCGACTCCTCGTTGCCCCCCTTGCCAAGGTCGTCAGTGCCGGCGTGCACAACAACAGTCCGCTTCGAAAAGTCAGTAATTGTCCCCTAGTACTAAGGTTGGGGACGTACGCCAATGACGCTCTCAGGGCCGATGAGCTTGATGAACTTGTCAGTCACAGAACCCTTGGAGTTGCCCTGGGCATCCGTCTCGATGTTGCCAAGGTCACCGACGTGCCGGTTCTCATCCGTTGGGGCGCCGTGGGTCTTGCCGTGAGGGTTGACTGTTGGATATCTCAGCATCCATGGTACCTGCACGGACTGAACGAGTTATGGAGCTATGTACGTACAGTGCGGGCCAGCCGATGTGCAGCCGTTGGTGTTGTCGCCAAAGGTGTGAATGTGCATGCCACGCTTGGCATTGGGATCGTGCCCGGTGATGTCCCAGGTGACGGTGGTAGGGGCCGACTCGGATTCCTGCTCGAAGACCACAGTGCCGGTGACCTTGGAGTCACCCCGGACGACAGCGACTAAGACACATGCAAATCAGCAATGACTCGTCCAAACGTCTCAGTAGTTACTGTGTGCAGCCGATGCAGGGTTTCCGTGCCCAGGGATCTCGTTGACTCGATAGGTAAAGTGTCCATCAAGGTTGCGGTTGAAGCTGTGTTCATAACCCCTCCGCACCCCCCGAAGCTTCTCCCAAACCTGGGAACTCCTGCTTCCTCTGAATGGTGGGGTATACTGTGGAAGCTTTTGACCTACCAGCCTTGACCATTTTGATGATGTTGCGTGGCTTGGTGATGGATTGGAAGGCGTATACCTGGTGATGGACAGACTTTTCAGAGTTCTACGAGAAGGCGAGAAATATTCGAAGAAGCAGCGGGAAAACCAAGGCAATCCGTGGAAGTTGCTGATAAAGCTCCGTGGGGGACAGGGTGCTCGGTTTCCGAGGGCGCTCCGTTCCTACGAGGTGGGGCAGAGGGACGAGAATCTGCAGTGCTGTACTGCGGGGCTGTCTTGCCTGACCTCAACCCCGCGTCACTGCCGTCATCGCCGGGCATCGCCGTGCGGATCTACTGAGCAGTGCGTACCGTGTAAAGAATGGAACTCACACAGAAGCCGAAACCTGCCGGAAGCTGCTTAGTGTATGGCGTTAGGTATGAGTTATAAATGTCCTGCGGGTGGGGTAGGGCTGAATTCAATCCTTTAGTACATCTCACGCATCCATGATTGGGAAGTGTAGGTCTCCTCCGTAGTAGCCGTTGGGTTATTAGATGTGGACGTTGGCAGTTGTACGTACACTGCGGATGCCATGTATCCCGCTATATCTCGAGCATGAGTTCGATGATAAATAACGTAGCAAGCGCTATATAGATAAGAGGACAGGCCGCAATGTTTTGTGTATCTTTTTTATTCTTTTTATTCCTTTTATTTTCTTTATCTTCTTTATTTTGTTTATTATTATAGTTAGTATAGGTGTCGCCTTAGGTAGGAGTTGAACCTACTTGCCGTATGACAGGGTACCATTTTCCGATACAGACCCCATCCCAGCTGAGCTTCTGCTAAACGTCCAGAGCCGGTTGAAGCAATCCCATTATTTAATGGGTTTGCCCAGGTGGTCCTCATCCCATTTTCTGCGTGATTGATGGCAACGCACGTATGGTGGTGCGAGCCAACCTAAAATCACAATGCAATCGAGTTGCGGCCGACTTGCCTGTAACGAAATGGTCTTGAGTAGCATGGTGGTGGCTTGCGACACGGAGACCAGCAGCCAAGTCTTCTTGGCTTGCCCCGTGATTTGAGGACTTTGGGTCGCCAGCACTCGCGCCTTGGTTGCCTGAGGTGCTCATTGTGACAGGAGCAACTGTTCTACCCTGAGATAGTCCGTAGGTCTCTCCCATTGATCGTCAACCTTGGAGGAGCCGTCAGCTTGTTCGCTCACACCGAACGTTAACAATTTACATTCTTGAGAACTCTCGGTGATAACATTTGTGGGGACTCGGGAGTGCAGCAGTGCGCCAACCACGCTCGGTCCGCGGGAGCACTGGGCTCAGCCTGGTGTGGCTCGGACTGGTTGGGCTCAATTCCTTCACTTTTGATCAACGAATAACTATCGTTCCAGAAAAGCCATGACAGTCAGATCCCACGCCATCGAACGCCGCGAGGAACAGTATTGATTTCGACGCGCCCTTTAGCGCTTTTCTTCCTAGCCTCGAAACTCGGTCAAGTCATTCGCTTCGAGTCCTTCAGGCTTCGTCGGCAAACTCGAAAAGGACTTCTGAGACACGTGTAGATAGGGACAAGGTCATTTTGGTGCGCTTCCTGTCTCCACTCGACCCTGCAACGGCGAACGGCGACGGCACCCGTGCCCGCTTTTACCTGAATGCGAACCGGCCCCATGTCCTGACGGACCGGACTCAGCACATACCCGGCTTCATTGTCCGCGAAGGCTGCGCATGCCGCGCCCGGTTCAGAATTCAGCCTTGGGCCGAGACGATCGCGTCAGCAGGTCGTGAGACCCACATCCCCAGCGGCTCTCATCGCAGACAGTTGGCCCCGAGGACTCATTCGCGAAGTGGGTTGCCGACACGGACACCCCGCTGTTGCTGAACCAGATCTCGCCGCAGAACACGCCATCTACCGTCAACCCGCCCGCTATGTCGTTTCGCAGCGACGATTCGCGCCGATACGGCCATGTCCCGCCGGCTCAGTATCCCGTCGCTGCTGCCCCGCAGCAAGAAGCCGCCGGGTATCCCACTCGGCGGCCGAGTTTCAACAGCGGCGACGATGCCAGCTTCTTCGACCAGCCGGCGACCCGGCACCAGTACACGGGCAGCACAGGCAGGGCCGATGAGGAACTCTTCATAAACAGCCCTACCGCAGACGCGCAACCGGCGCGCAACCGGGCAAGCAGCTACATCCCCCAGAATGCCGCCGCAGCTGGCTACCAACGGCAGTATCAGGTCCAGGTCCCGCCGCCGCCGCCATCGCACTCGACATACAATCCCCAGGCTTTTGCTCGGTCACAGTCGACTTCGCTCCCGTACCACCCCGCCCAGGGAGCAAGGTACACACCGACGGCGAGCCCGACCTACGCTACGCCCCCGACAAACTACACGCCGCAGGCGTACAATCCCGCGGCATATGCGAACACCACTACTGCGCTCCCGCAGAGGCATTCGACGGTTGCTGGGTACAACAGCTACAGTTACGGCAGCTACAATGCGCCGCCCGCTGTTCCACATGTATCCACAGCCTACGTCGCGCCCCCGTCGACGTATGGCGGATCGCAGCCCAACTCGGCGACTACACCATCGGCTCCGCAACGATATGAGCCTGCGCTGCATAGCCCGCAATACGCGCCGTCAACAGCGTCGTCGGCCGCTTCGCCGCAGTATGAACAGCCATACCAGACGAGTTACGGCGCTCAGCAGTATTCAGGGCCCCTTGTTGCCAATGGCGTCAGTACTGCTGCGAGTCCCACGTACTCCGCGTCAAGTACGCATACGCCGTATCCTCTGCATTCCCAGATGCCCGTGGGTCCCGCCTACTCTCCCGACCCGAATTCCTTCTCCAACCGAGCGTCCCGTTCTGGCTCCCAGCCCTCCCCGGTCCCGTCGCCTCTGAACCGAAGCCAGGGCTCCCCCCAGCTCTCCAGACACCCAACGAATGCGCCGCTTCCCAGTCGCCCGATGGATGACCTGCCGGAGGAGCCAGACTGGAGGACCAATGGTGGCGGTGAGGCTAACTTCCAGGTCACCCAAGACAGCTTGATTCAGGAGATCGTCTCGGATCTGGGAGTCTCCTCGCACACCCATCGTCCCTTACCTACAGACGGTGCGGCGTCGGATGACGTACTGGACAAGGCCCAGAGGTACAATTCTACCTCGTCGAGAAATACCGCGGACACGGGAGTAAATCGGTACCCTTCCAATGCCTCGTCGGCGATGAACAACACGGTTGCTTCGACCAACACCACCTATGACTGGGATTCTGAGGAGAGCGATCCCGAGGGCGCAGCGGGGCTCCTGGCGATGCAGGATGATATGGACGATCGGAGATTCGGCGGATTAACGTTCCCGACGTATATGGAGCCTCTCGCGCCGCCACAGCCACCGGCACCCTCTCAGGCTGCCCCGCCGCCTTCGGAAGAGCACGCGAGCACCGATAGCGATTACGGGGGTATGGACCTCGGCATGTACGGGGGTGGGTATGCTGGAAACTTGCAGTACGGCAACGGCGTCGGCTCTCCGCCGGCAACGGCTCCAGGCCAGGAAGCTCGTCGGCCGCTACCGACTCCGCAGAGCCAAGGAGCCGAGTATGCGCCCTTCTCAGAGGCTTCAGTCGACTACGGAGGCACTGGCGGCCTCCTTCCTCCTCAGTCCCATCGCTTGAGCTTTGACGAGGGCGACGAGCGCGTGTCTATCCACTCTCGACAGAGCGGAAGCGACTCTCCCTCCAAGGAAGACTATCCATACGATCAAATGTTCTGGCACCCTGGCCTTTCAAGTCGCCCTCTGCCTGCTCTGCCCCAGACTCCGGACAACACACTGTTGGCCGCGCAGCCGCCGAACCGGTCCGCTTATCAACACAACCATTCCCTAAGCGTCGACTCCCGACTCCCTTACCTGCCAGATAGGCATGAGGTTCCGAGTCCTTCTTCTGCTCAAAGTGCTGGTCAGCAGCATGTTGAGAGATCAATATCTCTCTTGCAACATAGCAATACACCGCCTGTGCAAGCCCCTGCCAGGTCCAGAACAGATGCTGCCGAGGAGCGCAGACGGGCGATGAAGCACATGTCCCACCCGCATCCGCAAGCATACCAGCAAGGGACGGTGTTGTATGAGGGCTACGAAGCAGGAACGCCAACGTCACTGGCCGCTTACGATATGATCACTCTGCCCACCGGCAGGAGGAAGAAGTTTGTGCCTTCGAAACTCACCGCCGCAGATATCAAGCGCTGTGCAGAACCATGGGCGCTCAGCGGGATCACGGCTTGGATCCGTGAAATGGCGGAGGGAGAACCGGACCTGAAGAGGAAGACGATCGAGGAAGGCGTTCTGAAACTTTTCTGCGCCAAGGTTCCGACAATGAACGTTGCCGATGCGGAATTGCTGAGTGCGAACGTCGTCGATACCATGTTTGCAGCCGGCATTTTGATTCCTGAGGAGGAGTGGGTGAAGTTCGGGACCGGAGAACTGTCCGGTGTGCTGTGGCAACTCACCGGCTCTGGATGTTATGCCCCGAAGCTCCACGAGGACGAGGGTATCGTGCCTAGACTGCATGATAACGGCATCCCGGTGAGGTGTTACTCGCATCACTGCGGCAGGACGCTCAAAAAGGTGAATCTGGATAACATGATGTCCGAGGAGGACGTGGTGGTTCTGGACTGGGCGACATTCCACGGCGTGACGATGGAAGACATCAAGAGCAAGCCCAAGAAGGAGGTCGAGAGGCAGAACGTGCTGCACGAGATAGTCACGGGCGAGGAAGAGTACATGAGCCAGCTCGACGTTCTCCGCCTGCTTTACCGAGACTGGCTGCGGGCTTGGCAACCTCCGATCATCGCGGCAAACCGCATGGACAAATTCCTCGACGCGGTATTCGGCAAGGTGGATGCGGTCCAGCAGATCAACAAGGAGCACCTGCTCGCTCAGCTGAAATACCGTCAACAGGAGCAGGGTCCGTGGATTGTTGGCTTCAGCGACCTGTTCCGCGAGTGGATCCGGAAGGCCAGGCCGATCTACATTGAGTACTGCTCGTCCTATCCGTATGCCTCGTATCTGATTCGCAAAGAGGCGGCCAGGAACCTGCTCTTCCGCCAGTTCTTGGATGTCGTCCGGGATCACAAGCGCTCCAAGCGTCTGGAGTGGACGACCTTTGTGAAGGCACCCATCACACGTCTCCAACGGTATGGCCTCCTGCTTGAGACGGTGAAAAAGAACATGCCGGGAGAATGCGAGGAGAAGACCAACCTGGAGAGGGCTCTGGAGGAGATAAAGAGGGTCACGCACGAGTGTGATGAGAAGGTGGCCGAGATGACCAAGCAGGTCGAGTTGCTCGAGCTGCAGTCCATGCTGGTCTTGCGCCCCGGCTTCCAATCCGTCCTGAACCTTGATCATCTGGGGCGGGAGCTGCTCAAGCAGGGCGAGCTCCAGAGGCAGGGCTCGAAGGGTGTCCGCTGGGTGGACACACACGCCCTGCTGTTCGATCACTACTTCATCCTCGCGAAGGCTGTCCCGTCGAAAGATGGGAGGAGCGATAAGAAATACGACGTGTCCAAAGAGGTATGCACAAAACCAGATTGTTTGACCGTTTCAAAATGAAAAACGAAATGATGCTGACTCGAGACCAAGCCGATCCCTATGCCGCTGCTCTTCCTCGAGAGCATGAATGATGACCCTGTTGCAAAACAGAAGAGCTTGACAGCGCCCTTGACCCGGACCACAGCCGCAACCGGCTCCGGAACGCAACTCAACAAGGTAGCGTCTAATGGAAGCGAGCGACCTGGGCTCGAACATACAGGAACTGGGTCATCGCTGAGTGCGGTCTCACGGCTCACTTCGGCTGGTTCCGATGACAGCAAGATCATTTATCCGTTCAGGATAAAGCATCTTGGCCATGAGATATTCACGCTCTACGCGTCGTCGGCTCAGGAACGGGCGGCTTGGTGCCAGGCCATCATCGAAGCCAAAACGAGGCATGCCCGAGCGCTGCATGCTCAAAACGCGGAGCCTTTCCGTCTTCGCGTCATCTCGGACAGCGCATTCGCGTATGACTCGACATCAATGCTCGGCCGACAGCCCAACGTGTCCATCCGGGGCACCCCTTTGGACAGAGCGATCCGCGAGATGGAGCAGATATACGGCCCGGGACGCGGCCCGCCGCCGGTGTGTCGAGCTACCGTGAACTGTGCCTGCGCCTTCACGGCGTTTGGCAAGTCGCTCATCGCCATCGGAACGGACTACGGCGTGTACATCTCCGAGACATCGAACCCCCGCGGGTGGACCAGGTCCGTCCAGACCAGCAAGGTCACGCAGATTGCCGTCCTGGAGGACTTCTCGGTCTGTCTTCTCATCGCAGACCGATCGCTGATCTCGTACCCGCTCGATGTGATTGCCCCCGTCTCCAACTTCCCGGCTCCGTCGCATGACAACCCGCGCCGGGCACCCCAACGGCTGGCCAAGGATGTCGCCTTCTTTGCCACGGCGCGCATGAAGGATAGAATGCTCCTGTTCTACAAGCGCAAGGAGGGCATGCACAACACCTTCAAGGTCCTCGAGCCCGTCTTCCAGAAGGCGACCGAGAAGCGATCGCGTCTCTTCGGCGGCCGGCGCGGCGGATCGGGCTCGACGGAGTCCTTCCGCGACTTTGACGAGTTCTACATCCCGACCGAGTGCTACTCGCTCAACCTCTTCCAGACGTACATCGCCGTCGCCACGGCCAAGGGCTTCGAGCTGCTCACGCTCGACAAGAAGGTCACGCAGTCAATCCCGCGCGACCTCAGCGAGCCGGCCATCGCCAACATCGCCTCCCGCATCAAGGAGCCGCACCCGCTGGGCATGTTCAAGCTCAACGACCAGGAGTTCCTGCTCACGTACGGCGACTGCGCCGTCTACGTCGACAAGCACGGCGAGATCAGCCGCACCCTCATCATGGAGTACTCGGGCAAGCAGAAGAAGGCCAAGGCCGCCACCATGTTTGGCCAGTACCTCCTGCTGTTCAACGATGACTACGTCGAGGTGCGCAACGCCGAGAACGGCCGGCTAAGACAGATTATTGCCGGCCGCGACGTCCGCTGTCTGGATTACGGGTTTAGGGGCCCGACCGGGGGCGGAGTCAGCGGAACCGCGGGTGGCGGCGCCGGGCAGGCGGGGCCGCAGTCGCCGGTGGGCGCCGCGCAGCAAGATTCCAAGGGGACCGTCAAGATCTGTATGAGCCATCCGGAGGTGCCAGGCGGGCAGATCGTGCTGGAGATGGTGCTGAATGATGGGCATGCGGAGTAGGTTTTGTTGGAGCAAGGGGATTGTGATGGAAAAGGGTGAATGTTGATGAACGTTGATCATGATGGTTGTTATGATGAGCTGCCATTGGGGGAACATGTCTTATGTGACACGCTGCCATGGATTCTGGGAGGGTGGAATACTGAGACAACTCGTCGAACTTGGAGGAGGTGGGCAGGTAGTGTGGTTCAGCCTCTGGGCTTCTGTTTGGAAATTCGATGGCGAGGGGCGGATGAGCATGAAGCGAGCATGGCGGCGGCTTTACCTTTTGTGTTTCGTCGTCTCTTGCGACTTTAATCAAGCTCACGTTCTCTTTGTTCGGACGATGGGCTATGGGATATAGAGATCGCTGGTTTCCAGGGTCCTGTGATTCCCCAGGTGCCTTGCGTCTCGGTCATCTAGTCTGGCTCGATGGTGTATGGTATGTTTACATGGCGTTCTGGGTTCAGAGGAGAATTGAAATGGGATTGATCTGTATTGATGCGAGATGATCATCTTTATTGTAGTTTATCTCTCTTGCCCAATTTCGTTCCCTTCGTCACTGTTCGAATCTCACAATGTTTTTTCCTATGCGGCATGCCGGAATGACAAAAGATGTGTAGCGCAAAAAGGTTCAAGTTCGACCTGAGAAAAGTAAATGCGTCAGCCGCGAATCGAACGCGGGGCCCATCGATGGCAACGATGGATTTTACCACTAAACCACTGACGCCTTTTTTTGATTCGTTGAGACATTTCTGGCGCCAATCATTACTATGTACTAAGGTCATACTACCCCAGCCTCCTCATGCACATCAAAGCCTGCTGTCGAATACTCAATGGCCTGGTAATGACAGCCTCCGGCGATCTAAGCAACCTGCACATTTCGCGGAATGATGGTCTTGTAGGCATTTGTGGCCGGGAGGCAGCGGGATGGTTCCCGCAATAGGGGACTAGGTACGCGCGTGCCAAAGGATCAACAACCCTCCTCACCACCTACTTGCTGAGCGGATGGAGTTTGAAAGGAGTCTGCTTCCTGCCCAGGTGATGTCACTTGTTGTTTGAACTGGAAATGGTAGGGTAAGCATTGGGCGCCAGTAATTGGTGGTTTTCTTGGCCCAGTACCGCCAGGAAGAGACTAACTGGGTAAGGTAATCTGCAGTACACCAAGCGCTTATTGTAAGGCTCAGAACGCATCGGATACACGAGGTAAAAGCACTCCCTGGGCCAGCCTACCGGCGCCCGCTACATGGTTCCTCAACTGTTCGCCCTGAGAGAACGCAGAAGAACCAACCACCAGATGGATGTAACTGAGTTGGCCGCTGCTCGCTTCGTAGACTTGGCAGTGCTCGTAAAGCAACTCGCCACACACATAGTACACCATGAACAATAATACCATAACAATATGGGTGCTCTTGCTGCAGGGAAGTAGTCATATATAATCGTTCCCTCCTACTCATCATCCCAATGCCTCCGACTGATAATAATCGGCCTCGCCGGGTCCCACGGCCCATAGATCTCGTTCTTATACTTTTGCAACCCAATAAGCCACCAACTGCACCCGCCCATGGCCAGCGCGGAAATCAAACAGCCCACCACCATCCCCAACAGGCCCTTCTTCCACGGCCACCCCTTTTCGTCGCCCAAGATCATCCCCACCCCTCCCCCGGCGCCGAGCACGAGCAGCACCGTCAAGACAGCGTGATAGCGCCAGCTCCTGTGCCGCGCATACTGCCTGAACACGGGGAACAGCCCAAACACCTCGATGCTGAACAGCGTCAAACTGAACACCTGGCCCGTGCTCGGCAGCCGGCTGGCGAGCACGGTCGACGCCATCAGCGCGGCGTTGGTCGACAGGGACGCGACAGGCATCCGTTTGGCGGTGGTGCCCGTAGTAGAAAAGGAGCCGCCTACCCAGCTGCTGCCGGAGTAGTCGAAGAAGAAGATGTTGATGGCCAGCAGCCAGAAGGACATGGCCCAGATGCTGTCGGAGGATGTCGAGCGCGTGAGGGACTTGAGGATGGGCGAGAGGCCCAGCAGGGTGAAGTAGATGAGGATGGCCGACTTAATGGTGCTCACGCGGACGTAGGCGCGGCTGTTGCGGGCCGGCGGAGGGGAAGGCGGGGTCGTTGATGACGAGAGGTCGGGTTCACCGTCCGGGCTAAGACGGGGCGTGGTGTTGGGGCTGGGGGCGGCGCTCGCTTGGGAAGTGCCCGAGCGGAGGGGACTGACGGAGCGCGAGTCCATGTGTGTCGGAGCGAGCAGCCCAAGGTTGTCGGTGTTGCTGCTGCTGAGTGGTTGGAATAAGACCCGCTGTGGCTGATGCTGGTCCTGGAGGAGGTTGGAGGTCGAGCTTGCTGGAGAGGGTAGATTTGACGTGCTCGAGATGCTGAAAGTGCTAGCGTTTACCATCGACGGGTCCGGCCCTGTCGAGTCTTGCCTGAGAGGCGCCCGGTAGTCCCGGTATGCATGCCCGCCCCGCATCATCCGGGCCGTCCCATCCGCCCCCTTTGCTTTGTCCTGTGTCTCCCGTGTAACCCACCAGTCCCATAACAGCCAGCCGAGGAAGGTCGCGAAGCTGCTCCATCCGACCACCGCCACGGGGCTTACGCGCTCTTGAAAGATACCCACAAAGCATACAACGAATATGATCACGGAGCAGACGTGCTGAACGATGACGGTCGAATCAGCAACCAAGGGCCAGAAGTCATAGGGCCGGACCCGCGGGTTGCGCTGGAGTTTCTCGAGGAATGTAGCCTGATCGGTGTAGTTGTCGGGATCTGTATGTACGAAGTATGAGCATCTGCATGTGTGCCTGAGAGAAGCGAAAACGAGGGCATGCCTACATGATTGTTTCACCCAAAGGAGCTTCTGGAAGCGCTTGCGCCTCCTGCTCCGACTCCGGCGGGAATCGTTGCGCCTGCCGCGATTCGGGCGTGAATCCGTTCCAGAGCCATTCCTTCCGCCGTCAAAGGGCCCGAGACGACGCGGCGGCGAGAGCGGCGCGTAGGCATCTTCGGGCGCTAAGTGGGAACGGTGGGCGCTGTGGACGCTGTGGGACCGGGGGCCGATAGGCGCCGTCGACGAGCGCACCAGCGGTGGAAACGGAGCTTCAAAGTCGGAGGGAATGGCGGATTGATGGAGCCCCGAGGAAGGGGCCATGGGTCAGAGCGGATGGTGCTCCATGTAGATATTCGTATGGGGATAAGCCGATGCCGAGCAACGCGTTTTGATGAGTGCATGGATCTGCTGGGTCTGAATTCTGGATTCTGGAAACTGGAAATTGGCTAGCAGCACCCCAGGACTCGGCAGAAACAAGCTTTTGCGCATGGACCACTCAGCGGTCAGCTCTGGCTTGTGGGGCTGGGGGTGATTGTACGGAGGTAGGCCCACATGCTCGGCATCGAGGCAAAAGACTCGCCCTATCCACATCCTACATAAAATTCCATGAGGCCGCCAGGGGAAACACGAAACGCAGCGATCGCCTTCGTATCCGTCCTGGATCTAATGCCGTCCTGGCCTGTGCAAGCAGTGTCGGCCCTCGGAAGTCTCGTCAGCACACTCCGCCTAAAAACGGTGCTGTGTGGTCTTGCGTGATTCGCTTCATTTGGACTTACCGCAGGTTCCAAAGCCTAAAGCCACCTCATAAGGGAAGTTGTTCCTAGGATGGGTCTTCCGACATTGCCGTACCTTACCTACCTAGGTGGTGAGGTGATCGTCATCCTTCGCACCGCGGGGGGTAATCTGGTGCTCGACGCGTTCGTATCGGAAGAGAAAAGGCGCGCTACGTGTACAAGTACGAGGAGATTCCCCATTCCCCTGTTAACGTTGAGTTCTGGACCCGGAGCGACCTGTTGGTCATTCTATCCGGGACCACGAACGGCAAACGTCGGAAGGAAATCGGAAATTGATCACAGGTATTATTAACCAGTGTTGGAGGTGTAAAGTGAGGAGAAACCGAAATGCGTTCCATACAGGACATTCCTCCTGCCTTATAGGTTACTAGTACCTGCTTTACAGCTCCTGCTCACATTGGTACTATACTGAGTATGTAGGCAAAGCTGACTTTTCGTTGTTTTTAACTTGCGGAAAGGATGGTCGGCCCGGTTTCGAGCTGCCAAACGCTCGATTCTAACCGTGGTGTAATGCCAATGCAAACCGACATGGACGAGACACGCTTTCTCAGTTTCAGACGAGAGGTTTGACCCCCAAAACTGTCCATATCGGGCAGGTACGGCACATACATGATGTGTGTGAGGCGCAGCGCGGGATCTGCCTTTTGGCATGCACGTGTGCTCGCGAATGCGCGCAAGGCGGGAGTGTTCTCGACGGGAGTCGCACAAGTGCCTGGCATGTGACGCCGCATACCGTAGTACGTAATTCTCCTGCCGTGTTATCGCTGGCCGCTGGACTCGCCACATCTTCCAGTTCATCTCATCAGTCCCCAGTTACGTAGTGACAATTCAGGCACCGTGACTGCTACAGTAGAGTTGTTATTGGTCCGCACGCTTACCTTATTTCAACGACCCTTGAGCGCCACATCCCATCCCTATCTTGTTCGCTACTCCACCTCATCGCCTACACCTCGAGCAACTCATCTCCTCAACAACCAACCCGACTCCGACTTTAGCCGCATCGTACCGGCATACGACAATACTAGGGAAACAGACAATGAAGCCGAGCACGCTCTACCTTATGCTCAGTATGGCGCAGCTGACCATGTGCGCTCCTATATTGATGGACGGGGCGGAGCATCCAAGGGAGCTCACGGAATCAGCCCTCGATATTGAAACGGCTCTCAGAACGCAGTCGACGGTCTTCCCACCCAATGCGCGCGAAGCGGATAGGCGCGGGGCTTCATCGTCGCCTCTGCGGAAAACGCCGTACCCGGTCCCAGAATACCTGCCGCCAGCTTCGGACCACGGCACACCCGATGCAGCGCAACCATTACCTTTGCGCAAAACGCCATACCCCGTCCCAGAATTCATACCGCCGCCTCCAACACGCCTCTCGCCCGATGCGGCTTCACCAGGGGCCTCCCGGGGAGTGGTCGACGCCGGGGTTCCTCCTGACCGGCTGTCGTCCCCTTCACATGACGTCGTGGTGCTGTACCCCAAAGGCATATCTTCCCGCGCGCACAACGACGTTCTGGTAGTGATTGTGGCGATCGCATTCGTTATTGTGGTTGTCATCATGGAGATGACGTGGAACCCCATCCGGAGGTGCGTGGTGGATTCGAAGAAAGCAAATTAGCGAGGGACTGACTAGGATCCGATTCAACTCCCGCAGCCAAGGGAGCATTCGGCTAGAGGACGAGGCGCCAATATCAACTCGAAGAGACCCGGTGGCTCAATATGGTGTACGCGGTGAGGGCCGGCGTAGGTGAGGTGACGGAGTAATGTGATACTAGACTGACGAGCCACGATATCTTCTTTTTCTTTTTGTATTGGCCGAACATCCAGGAAACTGTGCCTAGGTTCGGAAGGCGAGTGCATATCATCTGAGGCCCATTGCAGGTCGGTTGGGGTTTCCATAGCGACTGGGTAGCATTCTGAATGCAGCGAATGGTTCCTGGCGTTTTGCGTCAAGGTCAACGCCGTCTAAGCTCTCGTGGTTGTGAAGCTGCTGTTCCGAATGAGGTTCATCAATGCGGTCGCCATAAAATGACTCACGAATGCCATTAACCTACTATATCGCAAACCTAGTTAATAAGTATACCGGATTGCGAACCCGATTGACGTACCATAGCAGATAGGGCTATCGCATACGCGCATATAACTACGGGCACTTGGAATAAGGTAATTCGAGGTCCCCGAATCTATAGAACTATATAAAATGGCCCAAAAAGCCTAGAAAGCGCTGTTTTGGCCAGTTTGATACGTTTTACCATATCTGTTTGGCTGCCCGGCCTTTGTTGTTCTCACCTGTGCCGTCAAATGCAATGCCAAGATGTCATGAACCAACCATATATGGCGGCCGGGTGGGGCGCGACCCCGGAACCCCCGGGCCAATGGCCGTCAGGGACGGCAGGATCACTAAGATCAATCGGGAGCTGGTGATCCCGATGAGCGGCTCACCCAAGATCACCGGGCCGAGGTGATCACTGGTGATCCAGGTACGAAGGTACCTGGAGAGGAAGCTGTATATAGTTCTACCATTCCGACACTCATTCAGATAGCTAGCTTCCTCAGTGAGCAATAACAATCAGTAGCCTTCACCTACTGTGCAGACATTGCGGCTAGCATTGTTGTGAACCTTTTGGCTTCACCGAACCTCACCCCATTGTTGCGATACCTTCATATTGTCCCTTTCAGAGGATTGGGGCAAGAGATTCGTCACAGAAAGACAGGCGGCCTCGGCCTGATGCGGAAGTGGGATCGTCTCATCGGGTTGCGCGCGGGGCACGCGCAATCACGTGCACAAGTACACCAGACATTCAAATTACTTACCTAATCTTCATCCCTGCGGTGATGATGATGGCAGCGGCAGCGAGAACGACGCAGACAATAATGGTGGTAATACTAATAGCGCCGACTGCAGGGTTGGGGACTCGACTGGGAAAAATAGATTAATATATATATCATTAGAAAGCCCTATTAATTCCTATTCTTCGTATCAAAGCTGTGAATTTATCTATACCAATTGGTCAAGAAATAAGTGATTGAAAAAGGTATCTTTTCCATTTTATATGGGGCCCAAGTGACCGGTTACGCGAAAATGTTCGCAACGTCCACAGACTTTTAACGTTACTCAGTGCGCGTTTGGTGCGGGTCCGATAGTACATCTCCACCAGCCACCCAGCCACACTAGCCACCCGGGCCACTACAATCACAAACGCTCACGAGCGTAAGGTCTGTGCCTCAGAGACTAGATCGACCCTTCTAGTGCTGACAAAGCCCCTAGTGGCCGGAGACATGGGTGAATGTGCGTGAGTGTGATGCAGATCGTATTGAGCACGCCAATAGACAAGGCATATCCAGGCCATGATGAAATGACCCCAAATCAAACGTATACAATGCGGGAGGGCGATTGCACCTTTCATCTAGGAGGGGAGTATAGGCGCTAAGTAAATACCCTTATCATTCTCGATGATTGAAGTACCCTCCTCTCCTAGCAGCCTCCGGTAGCTCGGTTGGCTGGCTCTTGCCTTCACCGCTCGATATCCACAGGATCTGGGCCTGTTCACACCATCGGAAACGTTCAAAAAGGAATCTCGCGCATATACCTTATCGCGAGCCTCGAATGCCCATTTCTCACCCCTAGAGCCGATGATATCTTTTTCGAGAGCGAGTTGACACCCAGCACACAACATTCCGTACTTGACTCTGCTGGTTCGTCTATCATAATAAGGAAGTGCGCATGACCCCATAAAGTTGAACTTTCGATTTCGTTCCGAGTTCTCCGGCTGTACCTGCGCCGCCGCTGTATATGGTTGCTGTCCGGAAATCAATTTGGCCTGATGAACAGAGACAACCGTAATGCGGGATTTATATACCGACTCCTCCATCGAATAGATGCCAGGTAACGTTTTGAAGGACCTCAGTTGCCCTAATTCGGCCTTGGTCAAGTGGAGCTGCTTCCGGATACCGGCAAGAGTTTGCACTTGGGTTTCTGGAGCCCCTTGGAGGCATGCAAAACAGCATCGATTCCAGGCCAGGAGGGATACGAACCCGCCAAATTCGCCGCAAAGATCGCAAGACTTGGTACACAGCGTGTGGTAAAAGTCGAGCAGAGAAAGACCAATGGCGAGCCGTGTTCGTAACAAGGCGCAGAGAAGGTTGAGTCCATGCGAGACCACCATCTGATATTGATGGAGAGAGTCCACAGTCTGTCTCGAACTGAGATTTGCTTGCGGGAAGTTGAAGAGAGAACGCATGTCCAGACGTAACACTACGTTATGCAAGAGCTCGAGGGGTAGCCGACCGAGGGAGCCGAGTCCCATGTCGGGAGTCCGCGGGAAGGGTGTTGCTATCGACGGACGCATGCCGACGTGTTCGCGAGGCGAGAACCATATCACGGAATGACAGTAGTCTTTGCGATGGTAGGCAGTGGCTCGAACAATGGCGTCGGTCTGGTCCTTGCGGAAGCGGTATTCGGTGATAGAGCGATATCCACGAGGCAGAAGGGCAGCCATTGCCGGCTGTTGTCGGTCCGCTCGAGTGAAAGAGAGGCGCGAATCTCAGTAGGCGGCGTTGGCGGGTGACGATCTGGACGATGGGGCGCTAGATCGCGAGTCTTGTCGAAGTCGACAGCGGCTGCTCGAACAATAATAAGGGTTCAGCCAAAACCGGGTTTTTGGCAGCAGGTCATGATGCTTACTCCCCTTCACGACATCGAATTCCTACTCAATTTCTGTAGCAATCCCATTTCGAGATGGGGTTCCATCATCACCGAAGGCTAATGACTGGCCATTAGATAGGTGGTTCAATTGCATGCGTTTTGATGATTTATGTGGTGGTGTGGTGGCTTGGCTGTACCCTTATTATTGTTCTGGGCGAGCACGTGTTCCGTGGTGGGGCCCGATCGCCCTGCCCCACCATATCTTCCAGACGGCACCGCTGCCTTTTCCCCACGACACACCACCGCAGACAATACATCACAGTTCCCGGTACCTGCCTCGCGCCAGTTATAAGCCCTCGTACGCTTCTATTACGACGCATTTATTGAGGACCAATTAACCTCTCACACGCGGCCGCGGCCACTTTAGGCTCGCATTTACGGCATTTGCTGCGCGTGGCAGAGCGACCGACCGGCCGACTGTTACGACCGACCAACTAGTTACCCGAATCGCAAACCGACTATTTTCCATCAAGATCATCAGCCATTCTTCCGACTTGCGATATATTTCGCACCAACTAACAACCAACTAAATCCTCGATTTTGAGGTAGTGATCAAGTCCTTCAGTGTGAGGACGTCTGCTCATCACCTCGCAAATGATCAACACAACATGCTCTATCCGGTCATTCTCCATGTCTGGGTAACGCGGTTCAACGGGTTCTATGGTTTCTAGGAACGTGGAGAGCCATTTTGAGCTCCCAGCCCCTAGCCTTTACACCCCTCCCTTCCTGGCTTGCCGTACCCATCCTGAGCGCCCACTGCTATTTCAAGTCACCTTTGGCTCCCTCGAACTCCACTTTGGGCTACAACTGTTCGCCCGAGCCCTATCCAGGAACGGGCATTTGTGGGGCAGCTTGGGTTAGCGTAGTTACCTAAGGTAGGTACGGACTAGCTACTTCAGGGTCGTGAGCGGAAAAGCAGCATTGGTAAGATCGTGGCTTCGCTTTCAGCCGTAATAGCACTCACCCAAGGTAATGATGATGGCCAGCCTCGCAGCATGATCCGTCACCGTGGCGATCGCCGGCAGCCGATCCCACATTTGCAGATATAGTAGGCAGCAGCAAAAGCTGAATGTCAGATTATGGTGCGCTGAAAGGTTTCGTGGTGTCTAGCTTTCATGCAGCCCCCAATCACACAGCGGCATCAGCCCCTCCCTGTCTTGCCCTGCCTCAGCCGTGTCTCCCGCCTCTTCGTTTCCTGCGCTTGTCCTCGACAAGGCTCCGCACGGCATCGCCAAAGGAATATCGGGGTGGTGATATCCAGTGTCATCTCCGTTGTGTCTTTTACCCTCTGCCCTCTCGCGTGTTCACAGCGCTCCATCTCGGGTGTGGGTCTCGGTTGCATCGTGCTCAGCGACTGAAGCTTCACCCCGCATTCCCGTCTCGGGCTATTGCAGGTCAAGTCCGTCAAGAGGGTACCTCGTGACCAGGACTCGTCCGTTCTTCCAGCTGCGAGACACGCACCTCAAGCTTTCATAGCTTCAGCGCAGGACATGTCGCTCCAGGTTGATGACGGCAGCCGACGCGGCCGGTCCCGTTCCCCCGGCGGCCGCCGTCGAGATGAGGACCGCGACCGGAGCCGCACTCCGGCGCTGCCTCATGTCGTCGACGCTGTGCCGTATCCGAGCTCGGCCGTGGGGGATTTGTCGTCTACTGCCTACGAGTATGAGCGCCTAGCCAAGTGGCCCTCGGCTGCCGAGGACGACGACGCGGACTACTACCGGGGTCCGCCACGCGGGAAGCCGGCCAGCGAGCGTGAGGATCCGTACGCGGAGGCACGTCGCGGGGTCGAGTACAGGTATGACAAGGACCGCCGACGTGACCGAGGCAGCGACTCGGACCGCGAGAAGGACGCACAGCGCAGTGACTCGGACCGCGAGCGTCGCCGCGCATCAGATCTCTACCTCCCGAACAAGTACGCCAGCATCAAGACTGTCGAGCCGCCGCAGTCGCCGCGGGAGTCACGCGACTCCCTGCGCGACAAGGACCGCGACTCAGACAAAGAGCGCGAGCGTCGACGCAAGAAGGAGAAGCTCGAGGCGGACCTAGCTTACGGCAAGCTACCCGGTCCCTCCAGGCACGAGCGCAAGGAATCCCGCCAGGAATCGCCCCCACCGGCCAGCTATGTGTACGCCCAGCCAAAGCCATACGAGTATGCCAAGGTCGACGAGCCGCGGTACAGCGCGACGCACCTCGACCCTCTCGGCCCAGGGGCGCCTCCCGGTGGGCGTCGTTCCCCAAGCCCGGGCCCGGCCACGCCGCTCAAATCTGCCATGAAGCGCGACCGGTCGCCGCAGCCGCCCACGGGGCGCATGTCGACCCTGACAGTCCAGACTCCGCATCATGGTGCCTCCCTCTCGGTGTCCTCGGCGCCGGCCTCCCCGCTCCTGGAAGCCTACCACGGCACCTACCAATCCATGTCGCCCATGCCCTCCCCGCTGCTCATCCCGGCCACCCATCCGCAGATCCTGGAAGCCCTCTCGCCCATCGCCTCGGACGACGAGCGCGCAGGCGACAAGCGGCGGGCGCGGCGGGCGCGCTTCAACGACCCCGAGGATGCCGCGGCCCGGCTGGCCAAAGCACTCAAGGGCGAGCGGCGCGCGCCCGACACGGCGCCGCTCATCGAGATCCTCCCGGGCCTCACGCACGAGCAGGTCATGGAGTTGCGGTACGAGTACAAGCGGCTGGTCAAGACGGGCACGGAGCGCAAGGGCGTCAACATCGCCAAGCACATCCGCGCGCGGCTCAAGGACGAGGACGCGAACCTGATGAAGGTTTGCTACGCCACGGCGCTCGGCCGCTGGGAGTCGGAGGCGTACTGGGCCAACTTCTGGTACCACGGCGACAAGACGCGCCGGGAGCTGCTCATCGAGTCGCTGATGGGCCGCACCAACGACGAGATCCGGCGGATCAAGGAGGGCTTCAGCGACAAGAAGTACGCCAACAGCCTGACCAAGTGCATGCGGACGGAGCTGAAGGAGGACAAGTTCAAGAAGGCCGTCCTGATGGTGCTGGAGGAGCAGCGCATGGAGGAGGAGGACGGGTACGGGCGGCCGCTGCGGATCGACTACAACCTGGTGGACGACGACGTGCGGCAGCTGCATCACGCCGTCCGGAGCGAGAAGGGCGGCGAGAGCCTAATGATCTCGATTGTCACGACGCGCAGCGACTCGCATCTGAGGGAGGTGCTCAGGGAGTACAAGAATAAGTATAAGGGGGCCAACTTTGCGAAGGACGCGCTCAGAAAGAGCGGGAACTTGGTGGTATGTCCCCCTTCCCGCCCCCCCGGCCCCCCTCCGGCGGGCGCTCGATATCATCATCTTCATCTCCCAGCATGGTAAAACTGTGCCAACCACCGAGGAGGAGGAATCATCATATTCGTAACTCACACGTGTTCCTCTCAAAACCCAGGGTGAAGTCCTCGCGCACATCCTCAACGGCGTCATCAACAAGCCGGTCCGCGACGCCATGCTGCTGCACCACGCGCTGACGGCGTCGCGCCGCGACGAGCTGCGCCGCGAACTACTCATCTCGCGCCTCGTGCGCTACCACTGGGACGCCAACCACATGGCCCTGGTCAAGCGCGCCTTCCGCGACCAGTACGGCCGCGACCTGCAGGACGCCGTGCGCGATGCCACCAGCGGCGAGTGGGGCGAGTTCTGCGAGGCCCTGTGCATCGTGCGCATGCCCGACGATGTGAGGCGGTTCGAGAAGGTCGTCGAGGCTCACCGGTAGGACTCCCTTTTTTTTTTTTTTTTTCCTTTTCCGCGATTGCGGTCAAGTTCACGGATGGGTAAAAAAGAAGAAAAAAAGGCTGCTAGGTTATGGTACTCTTTGGGATATCCCAGTCTCCCTCATGGATTATAAGTTTCATAGTTGTACCTTGGCAAATGTTTGGGTATTGGTTGATGATATCCGCTGGTCGACGTTTGGAATCTACGCGGCTAGAGGGTCGTTTGGCACAGATAAAGGTCGGTCTGGGAGTATCGAGCTCGGATCTGTAGCTCGGATTTCTTCAGTTGGAGCTATATTGAAGCGGCCCCGGCCTGTTGGTGGCCATGGAACATTAGATTGACCATGTCCTCTTGAAGCACAGCGGTTCTATTTATCCGTGTGATGTTGCTATCATTCGTATGCTACTAGCCATAAAACCTCGACACCAGTGGACTTGATTTGTCTTAACGGTTGCGTTGCACCGGCTGTGGGGGATGTATCCGTCGGTCTTGACTGCCTGCATATAGAGCCGCTGACGAGAACCCTTCCCTTCCCGCGTCATGGTGGATGGTTATGACAAGATGGTGCCTCGCATCGTTGATACTTTGCATAGGCGCCGTCGGCTGGCTCTTCCTTGCGATAGGCAGACGCCAATCCACAGGTAGAGATACATAGGAACGCCGCGCGGGGGGGGGGGGGGGGGGGGTGAGAAGTTTGCGACTGCGCCGTCTTGTCTTCCGCTTCCCTCCCCTGGTGCCTACTCCATGCCGCGGGCTTACACAGACCAATCCCTTGGAAGTTCGAAGAAGGTTCACAGAACATGCTTCATGAGTTGAGTATTGCACAAGTACCAACTTCCCAGCGGCTTCCGTCTGTCCTGGCGACAGGAGTCCTTTCGAGAGCTGCGGTGTACGGATCCGTATAGCCACCCGCACGACAGGAAGTCTAATAATTCTCTCGGTATTATACATGGGTGTGTACAATACGTACTGTACATATAACATCACTGTCCAAAAACAACTTTACACACCGAAGTTTGGGATTTGTGTATGGCAATTGTATAGAGATGATCGATGCGCTTAGAAACGCTCGTAATCCGGTCTATATATACATACCCCTCGCAAGGCAATGAATATAATGAGTTTTTGTGAGATTCCGGAGGTGTAAACTAACCTCCCTTACCTAGCTTTGGCACATTAGTTGTAGATATCTGTAGTATTTACCACCTACCGGCCTACGATGCAGCCATGCTTGCAGCTTCATGCAGAATTCCCTCGCCCTTCACATCAACTCTCACAGGGGTGGGAGCTCTCTTTCCGCCAAAAGTTTGCCGAACAGACAGACGGACCAACGAGATTCATCTGACCCGAGACAGTCCTCGGTCTCCGAACCGCGTAGAGCACCTCACCTCCTCACCTGACAACCGGGTAGTCTGAAACCAGCAGCTTTGGATGTCTAGGAACTTCTCCTCTGGCGCTCTCCTGCTGCGTTTAGGCATGTCATATGACATAGGATTATTTCGTTGAGATGAGGAAGCTTAGGATAGGTTCGATTATCCATATTATGTGTGTGTGTAACCCGTATGTGTGTGAGCGTGTAAGAAACAACTCATATGGGTTCTTATTAGGAGACGGCGATGTGAGTTGCGTCTCATCACCTGTGAGGACTTCACACCAGTTTCTGTGTGACCGTCGTCATCCTTAGCGGTGAAGTTCTCTGGCTTCATATGTAGGTCCTTTTGAAGGAGGTGAAGTATATCCCTATGCTCCCTATATGCTCGTCCCGTTGATGAGCAGCCGCAAGAGCTAGTCCGCGGCATTTCCAGCCCAGAAGCAAACTTCAATTCCGTCGTATTCCCGAGCGCACACCAGAAGAACTCGGAGAAGCCAAGCCCAACCCCACATTCCCGAAGCCGAAGTCACTCGAGGTACCTGCATGTAAGCGAGGAAGGTCAACTTAGCGAGCGTCGTCATCCAGAGGCTCATGGCATCCTCATTGAGGGGTACCTAACAGAGCTGCAGAGTACCGGTACCTGAGAGAAGCTTATTATTACATAGTTCAGCTCAACTCAATCAGATAGTTAGTTATCGCGGGTGCTCAGCCATGGTTACTGTGTACGGTAGCTCCGTGCCTGCTCGGAGTTCACTGTAAAATACGGAGTACGAGGACGTATACGACCAATGCGATACGGATACGCATGGCTAGACTCGCATTCGGCTAACGTGTAATGCTTAGCGAGGTACGACATTCTCGATCAGAAAGCACATGGGAGTTGAAACGTTACAGCTTCAGAGCAATCAGGCGATGATTTTAGGTAGTGGGATGAGGAAGCTCCTTGCGGTGTTTACTAGAGTATATGCCTTGCTGCAGAGCCCAACATTCCTCGTGAAGAGATGACGATGCAATATTCAGAAACGTATCAACACCGCCGCAGATCGGCTGTTTGTAGCATCGGTACGCGCGCGTCCCGGATAGAGAGTCTGGTAAAGAAAGAAGGTAATAATCATACCTGAAATGACTAGAGCACCCCGCCTCAATCCTATCTTTCCGGAACAGGCATCATTTCGCCGCTTTAGTGCATTATATGTAAGTTCCTTCCTCATGGCGTACGTACCTAAGTAGGTTTTAGCGGGAAGCATCCAACCGTCCAGTGCGCCTGCCGGCTTGGCGAAGGCTCGGCACTCCGAGGACCAAGAAAGCGCACGTTGTCTTGGCCGGCGGATGCTCCATGGATCCGCGGACCGATGAGGCATGTTCGACCGGAGCCGACTCCGTCACAGACTCCGCTGGCGAGCGGAGGTTCCCCTTTTCGACAACACACGGTTCTCTCGTCTTCTTTCCCGTTTTCCACTCTTGCGGCCTATCTTCTTTTTTTTCTTCCTGCATTTGTGGGGTTCCCAAAAGCGTCAAAAGATTTTCCTTTTCGCTTGCAAATCGCCGACTCAGAATCAACAAAGTTACAAAACACGTTCGGCGATAGTTAGCGGCTTTTTCATCCACGTTGCTCGGCGATACCATTTATACCGTACCTCAAAGTACTACCCCTCTGACGAGGATGACATGATGCCCTAAGCTTCAACCCCTGCCTAGATTTCTCCCAGAAAGGAAAGATATCGATGATTCATAACGGCACGGCGTTAGCATGCCGGACTTAACTCAGAATCCGTCGGCCGAAGGAGGTCTTTGATTCGCCTTTCAACGACTCCGCCACCTCACTGCAGAACGACTTGGGCCATGTCATGGCTGCTGAAGGGCCCCAGAAAGTGGTGAATTTTGGTATCTCAAATAGTCAGTACATCTGTCGCATGCGTATGTACAGAGGTACTCCGTAAAAATTGGACTGGATTTGAGTTACAATCGACGTTCGAGCGCCAGGGCCAAGTCGCTTGGCTCGAACGTGGCCTCATTGGCGCATCGAGCACACCCAGTCTCATTGGCCTGAAGTGACCGGCGATGTCTTGTGTGACATCGCGGCGCCAAGGCTGGGCGCACTCCCGGGCGGCGTCAGGATGAAATCATTCAGTGCATACGGTACCTACGCTGTAGGGATGTATACACAGTACTCCGTAGGTAGGATTCAGTTACCTTCCTTGCGGATTTCTCAACTCCTATGGCTCGGTCTCTAGACAGTAGGTAGTGGCTTCAAGACAAAACCTGCTGCGGCGTACAGGAGAGGAGGATGAGTTTGCGGGTGTTTTTGATGTGACTTGTACAAAAGTTAGCTCAGCGGAGAATGCGGACGACGGCATGGGCCCGGCTCCGGGGCTCGGAGCATTGAGGACTCCGATCGTGACTTCGGGGGATTCCTAGGGTACTAGCTCACGAACGGAGTGCGCCCCCGAGTGTCAACCCCCAAACCAGCCACACAGCCCTATCAATAAAAGAACCCTTACGTGGTAGGTAGTACAACGCATCTGACTCGACGGACCATCTATGGGACGATGGTTTTGATTGCTACTGTGTAGGCTCACGTGTCCGAGTCTTTTTGCCCGACTCCTTTGTCTCGTGTATTTCCGAGTCGCAAAAAGTACCCCGCGTTTTCTGCCCCCGGCCACCGAAAGAAAAGCGCAGCGAAGCGGCGCGATCGAATTCCGCGTATTGGCGTTCTCCCGAAATTACAGATTGTGGCTTTGACCAGAGCATGACGACGACTTCTTGGTGCGGAGGGTTGCCATTGGCATCCAAAAGGAGGAAAAGGAGTAATTACCTGGTCTTGGGGTCGGGGGGCACCGCGCGCGCGAGGTCGCACCAGAGTCCAGACTTGTTGATCCTTTTCACCATGGAGTAGTGAGCAGCTGCGTTCAGGGCTAGTGTATGATTCAGGTTTCCATGGCCACCGTAGAGCATCGCGGTTCGGAAATTTTATTAGTGATGGTGCTGCTTATTCATGTTCGGGTTATAGATCACGCATGATTACAAACTGCTTTCCCCCCTCAACTAGGGACATCCGTGCGCTTGCTCTCAGGGAGCATTTTTGTGTCCTTTAACAGAACGATCGCGGGCAGAAACTAGCCAACCATAACGCTGTATGTAGAAAAGCAACCCAAACCCGTGGGCTCGGGCACTTCTCGGGTGGTTGCGAGGGCGCTAAAAGGCTGCTGTGGGAATGGGATCGAAACCCGTTTCTGCTTATTGTGGGGCTGTGCGGTCCGACCTGTCCCAAGGCACTGGATTGCTCAATGTCTCCGGCCGGTGAGAAAGCTACGTCCATGATGGTTGGTTCAAGCACGAGTTTGTGAGAATGCGCGCGCAAGACAAATCGAGAGGCAGGGGCATTGGAGCCTGATTCATCTGACATTACGGAATAGTTGGCCAATCGATGTAATTACCGTCAGGTTCGCAGCCTGGGATGGCATATGCCCTATGCACTTTTCTGGGATCACAGTCCCCGTTCCAAAATCCCCTATATCCATCCCCCTTCGTTGTCATTCAAGCCCTTCCCATATAGTTCCAATAATCGTACACCCCAATAAGTAGCTCCAAGATAACCGGGTTGAGAATAGAAAGAAAAGGCCGTTATCGACGAAGTCGCTCTATGCCTGCCTAATGCGCCGCCCCGGAACTCCGTGCCCAAAAAGAGAAAGCCATCATCCCTACTTAATTCATAGAAGTCTCTGTTCAGGTAGGAGTGTTAAAAGCTCAATATTGCGCCCGCAGAGCATCCTCGTCGTAGCCGGCGTATATTGTTGGATCGCCCATGCCCATCATGATCTCGGGATTCCGACATGAGGACGAGAAGACCTGGGGCTTCATCGCGGTATTTGAGCCGAGCAACATCCCGTTCAGCATGTCCGTGTCCAGGTAATTCTGGCCGGCCGTCCACAGCTGCTGGGCGGTGAAATCCATCGACGGCGGCCGACTGCTCATCCACGGGAAGTTGCCGGGCTGCGTCGGGACCGTGGGCGACTGGTGCTGGCTGGGCGGGAAGCCGTCCGATGGGCACGCCGACAGCGGTGTTGTTTCGAAGTCGCCGCCATAGCTGAGACTGGCGGGGGACATGCTGAGCGCGGTGGTGGTGCCGAACGCGGCCTTGCGGTAGTCCGTGTCGAGCTCGAAGTCCGAGTGCTCCACATCGGACGCGGCCGAGGAGCTGGCGCGGTCGGTCCGGTTGTACGTGCGGCCGCCACCACCGGTCAATTCCCCCTCTTGCCTTTGCCCTTGCATGCTGCTGCCGCCACCGTTTTGTGAAGCGTTCCGCGCTGCCTCCTTCTGATGCTGCTCGCTCAATTGCCGAGCCAGCTCGGCCATGCCTGCTTTGTCTTCCGGGAAGACGGTCTGAATGGGTAGATCCAGGTCGCTATGCGGCCGCAAGCAGCCGAGTTTGGCCGCCACGTTGTGCACCACGGGCTGGCCGCGGTCGTTCAGTTCCGGCTCTCCGAAGTCCCACGGCTCCCCGTTCCGCACCATCGAGTAGAGCTTCTGGACCGTCGCGATCAGGACGAACTGGGTGTTTTCCAGCACCTCAGCATACCCTGGTGGTAATTGCTTGTACTCGATCTTCTTCCGCGTTCCCGCCGTGCAGATTAACCCGTCATCCTTACACCTCTTGCAGGGGAACTCCCCATCGCACTGCGCGCGTAATCACTTTGTCAGCAGGGGGGCAAGAGAAGCTTGAAATGGGGCCAATTCGTTGATGTAGATTCGGTATCGTACCTTCGTCTTCTTCATACGACACCTCTCGCAAGCCTTCCAGACTCGCTTATGCCTCCCATCGCCGTTCTGCGAGTGGGTGTCTCGTGCGGGTGATGGAGGGTGAGTATGTGTGCTCGTTCGCTTCAGCGGCCGATGTATTGTCTTCACAGGTTTGGAGCCAGCGTGAGACCGCTTGGACGCCTGTGGTCTGGAGGCGAGCTCCTCATTCGGCGGTGTTGGGAGACTGTCCATAGCGGACGGACGGGTAGCCACCAACAGCAGAGATGAACTGGAGAGGTTCCGACACGGACGAGCGTGGTCTTGTTCACTTTCTATCTTCTGGTATCTTATTATGCGTACGCTAATAGTTCGGTCCGGTCCAAAGCAGAAGGGGCAGAGAGGCCGTTGAGTCGAGTATAAGGTGTAAGTGAGACCAAAGACGGACGCGCGTGGAGGGGCCGAGCACAGCTTTGTATAAAAGGACTTTCCAGACAGAAAGACGGACGAGGACCAGGGGGGATGTATGTACGTGGGTCACTTCCGCTTCCACCATAATAAGGTAGGTACCACAGTAAGCAGCAGGTGAAGGAGCCTGTAGGCGATTAATAATGCTGTACTGGAGCAGGGCTGGGAGTATCCGCTACCTGGAGCTGCTGTTGTGTAATACACAGACAAGACAACCGGGGGGCCAGGGGCCATGGGATTGGCTCTTATCCTTGTCATTGTTCTGCTAATAAGAAATGGACAGCCATGGAGTTACTACTGCTGGTAAATGTGCTCGGGCTTGGGTGTCTCTGCGTTTGTGAGTGGTATTAGCGGTCGGCTTGTTCGTTATGTCCGAGAGCGCGCCCCGTTTCGCGATGGGTTGCTGCGATAAAGGTACACTGGCGGCCTGTCCAGGTCCCGGCATGCATGTACTTACATGTACGTGGACATGTGACGTATTCCTGGACAAGGGTAGGTGGTCCCGCCCTCGATCACCATTGCTGCGGTGATATTCAGGCGACTTTTGCGTCCTGATGATCAAAGAATGATTCTATCTGGCGCTCCGCTTTCCACTTTGGCGGATCGCTTATTAGTCGATCCCTGAGCTTCTGATCCGCTCCCGCCCCGATTTACCTGAGCGTTACAAACTGGGAAGCAAGCAAAGAAATGCGTCATAGAACATAGGAAGGAGGACGAGCAACGACTCGCGGCAGCAATGCAGCGACGGCAAAGCATCAGCGAGGCGAAGTGGAGCTGGAAGAAGCACGTCGGGAAGCTTGAGAGGCAAGTGAAAGGCGGCGTGAGAAGAGGTTTCGATCGTGGGAGGATGGTCCCATAACGCTCTCCGAAGTGGGGAGCTTGGTACATCGAGGTACTTAGCGATACACGCATCGGGCTTCTCCAGGGTCAAATGCCGACCACCGGCCCTGAGTACACTGTACTGTAAGGCGGTACAGTACGTACTGTGTAAGCGCTTCTCCGCCCCGCGTCGCCTTGCTCGCTCGTCCAGCCCTGGGAGAGTTGTGAACTTGGGACGTCGTCCAGCCTCCACCTCCAGGTCCAGGGTGTTTTTGTTCGCAATTCGCGACTGGAACGAATCACAGCTGCTTCTTGAGTCATCGCTGACATTCTCAAAGTGCAGAGCGTCAGAGTCCGATGCAGTGCGATGACCATGCAGCAATGGCCTGAACCTTTGTTCACACGCTGCATGGACCATAGGTATGTACCTGATAACTTTCCACTTCGGCTCCGACATAAGATAGCTGCGAAATTCCGCTTCTGACGTGAGCTTGTCATGGTTCGGTGGTCGGGTTCCAGGGCGTCCGTTGCCGAAACCCGATCCGACCTTCGAAGACTTGAAGACGATCGAGAAGAGAAAGAAATCCACAGTGGCAAGAAAAATGTCTGACACTCCACAGCTGTACTACTAGTAGGTAAACAGTCAGGGACAGACTATCAGGCGTGAATTAACGTTATCAAGGCCAGCCAAATCCCGGGCTGATGAACCAGGTTCAACTACCTACCCACAAGGTCGTCTTGGTAGCACCAAACCATCGGCCCGTTCAGAAAGGGCGTACCGTGACAGATGACCGCATAACGAACGCTGCATCGACAGTGGTAAAGAGCGATTTTCCGACATCTCGTCCCGCGGCAGGTCAGTGGGAACCCGTTAAATAACGACTTTGGGAGTGTTGCATTTGGTTCATGCCGTGATACCGGCCCGCATGACTCGGTTGCCAGGGCAAAGCTCGTCCACACAGCAAAAGGCTCGCTCTTACACTACGGAGGTATTTCTACCGTGAGTACAGCCTTAGATCCAACTTGAAATCCGAGTCCACGAGGTTCGAGCTGCACGGGGCTTGGCATTCCCGTTCCCGCTTCTAGAAGCCTTCTCTTGGGTCCTGCTCATATCCACATACTTCCCAAGACAGGGGAAGGTGCGCTGTTTCCAGCATTGGTGAACCATGACCTGCCCGGAAATTCCCGCTCGTTGTCATGCGCGGAAGCTGAGGGTTGCAGCATTGACAGGAACGGTTCCTGCCTCGTCTTGGCTAAGATTCAACGCGAGATGCGGTCGGTAGCAGGGCGAACAAACGCGATTCCAGGTGCAGCTGTAGTAGTGCGTAAGGTACTAGAGCTAACGTTAGACATAGCACTCGCCGAGTCAATATCTGCAGGTCCGTTACGCCAATTCATACTACTAGTAGTAATGCTGCTCAGAAGAAAATCCTGAATGCCGCACATAATGAAGAACGGGGTCGGATAGGAGAACAGATGCAGATGGCAAATTTTTCTTACCCGACCCTTTTCATCAGTCTTGACGACCACCGTGATGCCGAAGAGCGAGGCTCGATCGAGAGCGGGTCTGGGGCTGCAACTGTATTTAAGTGGCCGGTCGGGGTTATCCCTGGGCTAAGAACGGCAGATGGGGCGGGGTCCCGCGATCTGAACGAGCAGCGCAGCGCACTTCCAACTTCCGACGATCTTTTGAAGTCGATCCTGGTGTTCGCAAGGCGAGCCGAAATCGAAGCAGCATACTACAGTAATTAATAATGCAACAATACCTATTGTTGGGTTATGCGCTACCTCCTTCTCAAGAGAAAGGAGACTCAGGTAGTCGGCAACGAGGGCGCCTCGCTTTGCCCCTGCACAGAATCGTAACATGATGTCATCTTCATTCAGTTAGAAACAACACCTGGGCTGGCGACGGTAGAACCGAGGATGGTCGGGCAAAACTGCGTTGATTTGAATGAACTAGTGTAGATAGGTAAGTAGGTAGGTACGCAGGTATTGATGCTAGTAGGCGTGTCGTGAATGATGTGTAGTACCTTAGGTAGCAAGAAGGTTGAGAGTTGACAGAGACCCATTTTGACACTGCTCACCCACAAGGTGCCTGCCCTAACGCACTTCCATGTCACGCCACCGACCAGGCCAATGCATCCATCATCTTGAGCATTCCCCGGCTCCTGCATCTCTGTGGCACTCTACATGTAGGCTACAAAGGTTCGGACCGGAACTCTCTCGGGTTTCTATCGTTGGGCGCCCATGTCTCAGTCATCGCTAAATCTTTGGTGTTTGCATTACGGCAACTCAACACACGGGAACGCAGGTCATCCGCTCTCAGCGAAAGAACTGCCTTTCCATCTACAGATAATCTACCTTACCATACCTATCTGACTTACACTATCTACCTAGGTACCCTTCCAAAACCTGGGCAGTATCTCTCCGGCCTGGCCTAGGTAAGGCTAGCACGGGCGTACGGCATCTATGTCCCTCAGCGGCCACCGCTGATACTGTGGAGGTTTCGCATTCCTGAGCAGTACATACAAGGCTAGTGGTTGTGTGCCGGTGCGGCGGTTACAAGAGTCATGCTATTGGACTCTTTTCAACCTCGAATGGTCTCAGAAGGCGGTGCGGCTGAGCAAAGCGGCCGCTCACAGCAGCGCAAGGGGCACCGCCGCCAGATATGCCTTGCCAAGAGCTGTTGGTTCTGGAAGGCAACACTCCCTGCTGCAAGGTCTCTAGGCGAGATTCATGCGGCATACCGCCTTCGATCGAGCAGTTGTCCAATATAAGAGCGCATGCCGAGTGACAGAATGTGGAATCCAATGGTATGTCTGCAAGTGCCAGTCGTGACTTCGCCATCATCACTCCGGCCCAGATCAGTACCCAAGACGGAGCACGAGCTCAAGAAGAACGAGGCTATATGGACTTCGCCAGTGACGACGGCCGGGTTGAGAAGGCCTCAGTGCGACGGGATCCTTTGCGCCAGCCCTCAACGACCAGTCCCAAATCCAAGAAACACCCACGGAGACCCTCAACAGGAGTAATGAAGCGCACACCCCCTAAACCCCCTCGATACCGCTCTGTATCAGCGCCGGTAAGCCAACTCGTTGCGCCTGCACCGCCAAGGGCCATGCTTGCGGGAACGAGCAGCAACGCGCCGATCGAACTAGATGCTACTTCGGACGACGAGCCAGCATCTACCCCGTTACCCGCCCCGCGACAATCCCCAAAGGCGAACCCTCCCGTAACTCCCGTGAGCAAGGCTCGGTCCGTCAGCTATCCAACTCTTTCCCCAGCAGGAACGCCCTCCCAATCCATCAACGCCGCCATTGGGCGCCTGATCCGCAAGGAAGTCGGGATCAGCGACACCCGCGGCAAGACGGGCTTCGTCTACGTCCTGGCCGCCACGCACAAGAACGGCAGACGCCTTGTGAAAATCGGCCACACGGCCGACGGCGACGTCGACAAGCGCAGGAAATCCATCGAGCGGACCTGCAGCAGCGACATCCGTTTCCCGCCGCCGTCCACCACCGACCACCACCACCACCACCAACAGATCAAGACGTACTACAAGCTCGTCGAGCAGCTCGCCCATCTCGAGCTGCGCGACCGCTGCTACCCCATCGACTGCGCCTGCCGCAAGCGCCACCGCGAGTACTTCGCCGTGGACGAGAATGTCGCCCACCGCGTCGTGCGGCACTGGATTCGCTTCTGCGAGCAGCGCCCCTGGCGGGACCACCCCTATTCTTTTCTCGCTCCTGGGCCTCAAGCCAAGTCGGCCATCTCTCAGGCTATCTGCCCTACGACCACCGGGCCAATCAAGCCGGAATGGCTGGACCGTCTCGAACGGCAGCACTCGATGAGCGTCGATGACGTCTCGGCGGCAACAACAGGTCTAGAAGTGCGGCTAGCGCACTGGGATGCCTTCGTTTCCCCCTCGCTCGGTGCCTGGCTCTGGTACGACCTGCGCCAGGCGTGGGCGGGACTGTGGCGCTGCGCGTGGGAGGTGTGCTGCGTGCTCCAGGGGCTGCGGATCCTCTGGTTGACGTGGGACTGGGATGCCCCGCCATGGGTGGGCTTGTTGGTGGTTGTGGTGTCGCTGGTCTGCACGCTGAGGAAGGTGGGCGAGATCCGATCTGCAGCGGCCTGCTGGCTGTCTCGGCGGCTCGTCGGCTTCGTCTCGGGGGAAAGGGAAAGTGGCTTCCTGCCACTTGCGACCCTCTTGTCAGGGTGTTGTTGCTTTTTCTTACGGACCGGCGTTCTTCCTGGTTGGCCGTTGCGCTTGGATGATCCGGGCGCGTTGGAGAGCAGACGGGAACCGGAGATCTTCGTTGGAGCTTGGGTAACCACCGACGGGGAAGACAACTGTGAGGAATAAGAGGCGTGTGAGGAAGATGACTGTGACGACGGGACACTCGAAGTTGGGGCAACATGCGTACCAGGACAACGTTCCTCTGAAGGCGTGCTCCGAGGAAGCACGCGGAAGCAAACTCGCCGATCTTCTGATAGCACAGAAACGGGGGCTGCTAAGAGCGGAAGAAAAGAAGTGCGGATGGAGACAGCAAAGGGTTCAAACTTGTTGGTTCAGCATCGACGCAGACGGGATCACCACGGATCGGAAGATTCCTGTGACGAGGGACTCGGCTACGATGCGCGATGTCAACGACATGGACGCGGCCTCGAAAGTGCTAAGAGTCGCGAATTCGGAACCGGGAGTAGAAACGAGGAAGAAAGCACTCCTGAACGGAGATATGATTCTGACGCGAGTGGTCGCCGGCGGTCTCTCGCTAGGAAATCCAAACGAGAGAGGTGTGACTCCGAAGACTCTGAACAGGAATATGAGTCTGAGCAGGGCAGTCGCCGGAGGGCTCTGGCTACAGGATCTAGGCAAAGGAAGTATGAGGACGACAACGACTATGATGCGCCCCCGCGACGGCCGAGGCGATAATCTTGCAAGGTAAGTGTGAAGGTGGGTGTGGTCTGCTTAGAGCTCTCCGTCTGCTCCGCGTTGATTTTCATACATAGTTGGGTTAGAGCAACTTGTCAGATATCTAGAGAGAAGGGCAGTGGGACAGGCGTTCTGGAGCGACGACCGACTATATATTCCAGTGTACAATATATACATGTACAAGATACCGGTATATCAGCACGATGGAGAGACTACAATGAAAGAAAAATGGAACCTTTGGCAGCTCGGGAACAGAGTCCCGCACAGGCTTTCACAATGGCCAAACCATCTCACAAGACATAGCAGAGAACTAGGTAGCCTTCATCACTCGGCAAGGTATCACCTCTCATGCAGGTAGCCAAGTTCTCACCGACAGTTGAACAATCAGATGCGGTCAAGCCATTGGGGGTCGGGGTATTAACTATTATGTACAGTGTGCCAGCAGCATAGGCAACCACTATGCGTAACTTATTGTACACAGGGGGCCTCCTTGAGACAAGATCAGGTCATCATAAACCCTTTTTCTGCTTGCCTCATGCCCTTCCCTCCCTCACTGCTTGTCTATACCCCTGGTTTCCCTTCCCCCCCAGTCCCTGTGCTATTTTTTCTCCACCGCGGGACAAAAGATGGAACGAGAACACATGAAAAAGAAAAAGCAAAACAAAAACGGAAACCGCCCAAGGCTTTTTAGCCCGACCGCCGGGATGAAACTCTCTTTGATGCAATGCAGTTCGCTTCGTAAGGACCGTAAGAATTAGATTATTGTCTGGTTGTGTCGTCGTTGACAACGCTATTGTACATGGAAGGAGGGCTTCGAAGTCATACCGACCCTTTAGAGGGCAACGGCAGCGACGAAGGCCACGACAGCGGCCAGACCGAAGCTGGCGCCGACACGGCCACTGCCGGCAATGACGACAGGGCTGCTGGCGCTAGGGCGGAGCGAGCCGGTGCCGGTGGGGACGGTGACGCTGCTGCCGGCGCCAGGGGCAGTGGCGGCAGGAGCAGTGGTAACAGCGCCACCAGCGCCGCCGGCGGGAACGGAGGTCTGGGCACCGGGGACGGGAGCCAGGGCAGAGGTCTCAGCACCAGAGCCGCTGCCGGGAGCAGCAGGGGCGGAGGTGATGGGGATGACATCGACGCCGCCAGCCGGGGCAGTGGTGAAGCCAATCTGGGGCACAGTCATGCTGGTGCTGACAGTGACGGTGGTGCTGGAGCTCGGGATGACCTCGCCGGCGTCGTTGGTGCAGGGCACGACAGTGGTCACGTCAACAACGACGGTGGTCACGGGCACGGCAGCGGTGGGGGTGGCCGTCACGGTGATGTAGGAGGTGACAGAGGGGCCAGTGACGATGGCCGGGTTGTCGTTGACGAACTTGCCGCAGATGCCCTGGAAGTAGGCAATGGCCTCGGCAACGATCTCATCGGTCTCGCCGTGGGCGTAGAGGCAGTCGTAGACGTTCTTGACGAAGGTGGCGTCAGGGCAGTAGCACTCGGCATCGGTGTTGGACGAGCAGCCAGTGGTGAACAGGAAGGTGTTCAGGCAGGACGGGACAACGCCGGGGCAAGGGAGGGTCTCCACAGGGGCGACCGAGCTGACAGCGCTGCTGCTGCTGCCACCGGCCACAGGGGTCGAGGCAGAGGGAGAGCCAGAGGGGCCGGAGCCAGGGACAGTGACCGGGCTGCTCTCAACAACCGTCTGGGTCTCCGTGACGGGGCAGATGGTGGTCGAGACAGGAATGGTGACGATGGTGGTGACCACCGAGTTGGCCGGGCAGTTGGTGACGGTGGGCGCGCACGAGGTGATGGTCTGAATGCTGGTCGTGAAGATGGTAGACGTGCTGTCGTAGCTGGTCGTGATGGTCTTGGTGACGGGAGAGCTGGTGGCAGGGGAGACCTCGCTGGTGCTGTCACCCTGAGCCGGCTTGGTGCTGCTCTCCTGAGCAGGGACGGAGACAGAAGCGGAGCCAGAGGGGCCAGAGCCAGGGATGGAGACGGAGGCAGAGGCAGAGGGGCCAGAGCCAGGGACGGTGACCGGGCTGCTCTCAATGATGGTCTGAGTCTCAGTCACAGGGCAGATGGTGGTCGACACGGGAATCGTGACGATGGTGGTAGTCACAGAGTTGGCCGGGCAGTTGGTGACGGTGGGCGCGCACGAGGTGATGGTCTGAATGCTGGTCGTGAAGATGGTAGACGTGCTGTCGTAGCTGGTCGTGACGGTCTTGGTGACGGGAGAGCTGGTGGCAGGGGCCTCGCTGGTGCTGCTGCCCTCAGCCGGCTTGGTGCTGCTCTCCTGGCCAGGCACGGTGGCGGTGGAGCTCTCCGCGCCGGGAACAGAAGCAGTGCTGGTGACCTGAGGAGCCTCCGAGGTGCTGGTGCTGCCAGGGGCGACGGAGCTGATGGTCTCGGCAGGGCTGGTGCTGGTCGACGAGGCCTCGGCTTCCGAGGTAGTCGTGGTCCCGACAGCGGGAGCAGTGGTGGTCAGCGCCTCGGTGGTCTTGGTCTTGGTCTTGGTCTTGCTAGTCCTGGTCTTGGTGGTCTGCGCAGTGCTGCAGTCAAAGGAGATGGTCGGGACCTGGATGCTGCAGCTCGGCTTGGGCTTGTTGGGCTGAGGAGGGAAGACAATGGTCACGTTCTTGGCGCCACCACACTGGCTGTTGCGCACGGTGGTGCCGGACTTGCTGCAGCGGCTCCGGTGCTTGCAAGTCGACCCATCCGGCATATCATAGTGGAACTCGAGATCGCAGTCGAACTCGGGCTTGACGTGGATGGATCCCAGAGAGAACTTGTCGATGTTGGCTCCGCAGCCAAAAGACGGCGACTTGTGCTTCTCCGAGTGGCACGTGCCGCCAATCACCTTCTTACCGAAGGTGCGAGGAGCGAACCGGGACTTCTTGGCCTGAGCATCCTCCTCACACTTCCAGCCCCTGAAGTTGAAGTCGCCGTACTGGCTGAAGTCGCCAAAGTTCAGATCGAGCCAACTGAAGCCGGGAAGCTGCTTCTCGGTACACTTGTTGTCCGTGTTGGACGGGCAGGTGAAAGGGGGTGCCCGGTCGAACTGTACGCCGCAGTGTCAGTCGTCTCCCTCATACCGCTTCATGTAAGGAGTCAGCCGTGGAACTTACTGTAGCCGTCACGCCGGCGGCGAGCGCCAGCACTGGAACAAAATTCTTCATCTTGAAGTGTTGCTGCTGCTTTTGAAACGATATTGGTCAAGAAACGATAGACTGGGTGAGTGTGTCTTCAAAAGGGGACAAGACGCCAGGCCAAGAGGCGAGCTTGCCAATGATATGAACAATGAAACGGCAAGAAAGAAGAAGGATGAGGCAAAGAAGCGAATGACTTTGCCTCTTCTTGATCAGAGCAGAAACGGAAGACGAAGAACACAACGAAGTTGGTTGGAAAAGGGAGGCACGAAACGAAAGGAGGATTGGCGGTTGCTGATATACCAGGCGGCAACGAGACGCAACAGGGTCGGTTCACCATCCTTCACACAGTACTCCGTATCACAGTATGTACACGATGAAAGCGGGACCAGGCCGGGGACCTTGCATGCCCAGGGTGTCCAGGAAGTCCCTGTCTGTCGAGGATGACTTCGGACATGGCCAGGGACGGCTCTCTCATCAAGGGAGCGGGCAGCGAATGACCAAACCCCGGCAGTCGAGAGCCTCTGCCTGTAACGGCAAAGCTCTACATTGCAGCGTAGCATCTTCGGGAAAGGAGTGATTGTAAAAGGGCCCTTTCTCTGGAGACCGCGGTTGCACACTCCTCCCTTGACGCGGTTCTCACCCTGCTTAGGGGTGAGAAATACACGACTTGCGTTCTGCTGACTGCCATGAGTGGTTCTCAGCAGTTCAACGGAGACGTGAAGAGCCCCACTGCTCGCTCGTGGTTTGGTGGCGCGCGGCTCCTGCCAGCGGCAGCAACCTGAGCACACATGGTTGGCTGACAGGGGCCCGACACAGGGGTACTTTTTCCAGGTTGACAAAGCGTGGGTCGAGATCCGGCCAACAACCACGACCAATCGGTTACGCCCTTGGCACCAAGACCAAACCGAAATGTACTTTCGCTTTTAGGGGAGGCCCTGTTGATTGGTCCAAGATGGCCATTTAAGCTGAAATAAGGACCCCGATTCAATGACTGTATGTAGTACTCGTAAAGACGCAGCTCATCTCCTCAAGTGATTATGCATGCAGTGGTCGAAGAACAATCAATGGCTTGGGGGACTTACACTACAATGGCTCCGTGACGCAAGGACTTCGGGGCAAGCTTTGAAACAAATGCGGCTTGCTCAGCCACATCGACCACGCTAATGCAGGTACGGAATCTTCGCCTGTGCGCTGCATATCCCGAGCATGCCATCATCACCCCGGGGTGCGGGGCGGAGAATTTCGCCCTGGATGCTTGTTCGCCCTCCTTGATCCGGCCAAGGACGGATACGGCGCATTCTGACCAACGCTGCCCGGGGTAGGGTTGTTGTGAGGATAACGGCGGGCGTTTCCCAAAGGGATCAGCAGCCCCGGCCCGAGCTTCTCGATCCAGACCTAGACCGCGGACTATTGTTCGCTAGCATTGTCCATCCAGCGAAAAGAGGAGAGTCGGTTGCTCGTCTGCCCGTGCGGAGATTACACGTTGACGGAGAGTCTCGCGGACGGACTACGTGTAGGCAAGTCAGGGTCAGCAGGTCAAAAGAAGGTTGCTGAAATTAACCTTATTACGTAGTCGGACTTTTGTGACGGGAGTGACCGGGGCGGTCGCCCTTCTGCGGCCAGCGTCTGCCCAGTGCAGCAGTCTGCACTGGACCGAGTCTCTCCGTTTCAGAATCCGCTTTTGCGGTGTTCGATTGGGCGCCAGGAGGTTGAGGTTTTCATGTTTCAGGTGTGTGGGCGCAGTCGCCGAAGTGCCAAACTCTCAGTATCTTGGCGTTGCAGATTCCGGTGAGTTCTCCCGATCGCACTTGCCAAGTTGCGATCTCCCGGGCTTCCGTCTGCCGGCATCTCCATGCTTCTCGTTCGGTTGGGTCAGCAAATCGCAACTGAGACTCGCAACCTGCAATCGGGTTCTCTTTGCACTACGAGTACACTAGTAGTTCGCAGCTCTGCCGCTTGGTCTCAGATTAAGACATATCAACCAAGATTCAGGAGAGCAACTCACTGTGTAACCATTGATCTGTAAATGTAACATTGAGGTAGCAACGTGCCTCCATCGAATAAGAAAATACATGTGGCCTGTGCGTCAACCCATCTTTACATACACCCTTCCCCCTGAGCAGAGGGAGTTCGTGTATCCGTACTTTTTGGGGCGTCTTCACGGAATTTCGGAACGGAGAATCTCCAGTAGAACAGCTAACCCAGCTCTTTCCATAAAATGCTCTGCCATGTACATACCTACCTGCACTGCTGTATTGTACATAGTGTAGAGGTAGCTGTTTCTGTCGGCTTTCGGAGCTTGAAGTCATTGCGTCTGGTCGTCTCATGTTAGTTAGCCCATGAATCCCGAAACAGCTGAAGAGACCCACTTGGTCCATTTTTAGCGCGGTCCAGTCCGTCCTGCCCCTGACGGCACTACGGCACCGATCATTACCGTCACGGTATTGTACCTGTGTACACTTGTAACGGGGTTTTGGGCGTGCCGCCCACGAGGCTGGGCGATTCGCCTCGTCGATCAGCTCTCCTCGGAACCTCTTTTCAGCCTTTCCAACAAACAGCCGCCGCCTGTTCCACGTTCCAATGGACGCCACGGTCATCAACCGTCGCCTCTTCAACAAGCACAAGCGCATGTCCCACCAGCCCCAGGTCTCAGATTGAAGCGCTCTCTTTGTCCCCTTTTTCTCACATCCCAATGGAACCGCCAAGACGAGAACAGGAGCATTGTCACCAGGGGCATATTAATCGCTGGTGCAGTGATGGGCCCATTCTTCGCGTGATGGCTAGCCGATGCATACCTACCTTACCAATGCACCGATACACCGATAGTTAGTTCGCAGCCGGAAAACAGCCGGACTCTTGCAAATGTTGCACTCCATAGGCCTCGCTTGGCGGCACGTACACTAAAGCCCAGAACGGTCAAGGTTCAGGGGCAGCACGTTCCCCTGTTGAGATGGTAATGCAACCACCACATCGTGGTCCGTGGACGGCTTCTCTTCACGCTCCGTCTGGACTGCGACTTGGCCCGAGTCACCGTGCGCTCGTATCCTGATGGACTGGGTCCACGGTGCTGGAGCACTGTCCTCCACCACGGAACGAACTTTCTCCTTTCTTTTGGAGTTCCCCGTCAACGTGGCTGTGTTGTTGCCCTTGCTTGTGTTGTTTGCATGAACAGTTGGCCGATTCCGGTCTGCTCAAGAAGTAATTGGCCGAGAACCCGGAACGGCGGAACAAGCTTCACCGTTGGGCTGAGCTGTTCCACTGACGATCTTCCCCTTTCCGGGGATTTCTTGAGAGACACACTGAGATGGCATCCTTTGCTACTGCAACAAACGGCATAAACATTAGGGCACAGCCTTGAGCCTTCGATATAGTACCACAGCACCCCAAACCAGGACCATCCCAAGCCATGAAACATGCGATCGAGGTTTGCAGCCTCAGTGCGTCCCGACCTACCTACGGTACCTACGACACTGCCGGGGCGATTCCAACCTCAAGATCCCCCACTCCGTCAGGACGAACTCAAGCCTGCACAATATGACGATACGAGTTGGACATAGCTCCTCAGCTGTTGGGGCGGCACGGGTGGCAAAGAAAATCTACTTACACGTCTACTGTGTATGTAGGGAGTAGGGATATGCAACTCTCAACTGAAAATACGCCGATCTGATGAACGAGGTCCACCACGCCGATCCGAAACGGCGGGTGCTGCACATCACTGATCGACAAGCACAACAACGTGAGATCGTAGTGTAGTAGTGTATGGGAAACACCAGATCTTGATGTGAGCTGCCTACACAAGCTTGAACCTTATCTCTACTACCCTAGTATGCGGCCTCGACGTACAAACCTCCTCGTTCGTTCGTTACACACACAAGCCATACGCCGGATGCTGTGTTCAGGTAGTAACTAAGTAAGACCAGTCCGAACCAACACCACGGCACAGGCAGGCAGGGCTGGTCTTACCACTTCTGATTGTATTGTACTTGTACGTATCATGGTCCGAGGACGACCAAGGAAGGGGGGACACGAGCCTGATCGCCCATCGTTTTGCAACATCGGAGCCTTACGGGCTATTAATACACACACATCTACGTTATTACACATATACTCGGCCCATTAATGACACCAACAAGCGGCACTTGCACTACACCATGTAACTACACTATACAGTACTAGGCATGTAGTCACTTCCGCAGTAGGTAAGGTAGCTAGTTTAACTGCGGCGGCCGCCGTCTCGCCCGTGTCATCCCTTCGGCCCTGGGTCACACAAGCGTGCGTTGAGGGAAGGGGGAGCTTGAAGCGACCAGGTCCTTCGGATCGTGCATGCTGCGGGCCAGAAGACAGAAGGATGGACATCGCAGCGGTTCAATGGTTCTGTGTCACAGTAGCTTTCCCGCCGACGGGATCTCCCAGAATGTGAGCGACAACGACGGTGTGTCATCGTGGGATGAGTTGCCGTCAGAATCTACGTTGCCCTTGGAACTCGACACTATGTAGAATAACCCTCAACCCTCTGTAGGGCTTAGAAGCAGCACACTAGGCATCGGGTATCAACCACCGCCCTGCATCCGCCTAATCCTCTCCTCCGCCGCTCTCGCTCTCCGTTCCCGCTCCAACCTCATCCTCTGCTCGGGCGTCAAACCCCTCGTCTCCTCTAGCCTCCTCTCCTCCGCCGTCCTGGGCGCAAGGCCTGAGCCCAGCACTCCTCCCTTCCTCCCACCAGATTTATTACTATTATTATCATTCACCCTGAGCCCTTCAACTCTTAAGCGCTCCTCCTCCGCCTTCCGCCTCTGATCCTCCTTCTCCTGCTCCTCTCTCCTCTCCCTCTCGGTCCTCCTTTCGGCCTCCTCCCGCGTCAGCGGCCCAGGCACCCGCGCGGCATCCCAGTCCCAGGCGCTCTCGCCCAGTTCGGCGCGCGCGACGCGGAATGCGTCGCGTGTTGCGCGGGTGCCGGCCAAGTCGAACGGCGTCTTGCCTTCCGGGCTGGGGATTGTCGGGTCGGCTTTGGCGCGGGTGAGGAGGCCCGTGACGAGCGCGGCCGAGTTTTGAGCGGCGGCGAGGTGCAGGGCGGTAGGGGCGTGGTGGTTCGGTTGCGAGTCGGCCGGCTGGAAGACGAAGTCGGCGGGGAGGCTGTTGGTGGTGAGGTAGGAGAGCAGGGCGGGCAGCTTGGAGCGGCGGATCATGCTTTGTATCTGGTTTGTGTGCATAATCGCGGTTTCTTCCTCCTCGGTAAGTCGCGGTGCGGAAGGTTTGGGCTCAGACTTGGGCTTCGGCGCCTTGCCTCCTTCATCCGTGGCAGCAGAAGCGGCTTCCGGGTGAATTTCCTTCACCTTCAGGCGGGTGAGTTCGATAAAGGACCGCATAAGTTCGTTCTGTGTCGCTCTGCGAGTGCTGAAGGGAAAGCCCCTAATACGAGGGTCGTTGGCCCGGATCACCTGGTCGTCGTATGGCCCGAACAACGTCCGCCTGTTTGTTGCCCCCGTTGCTCGTATGAAGAGCAGATCCGATGTATCAATCAGAGTTTTCCAGTCCTTGAGGAGGCCGCGAACGTCTTCGACCAGAGCCTGCTCGTTATACCGACGGAGCGAGGACCCGGCTGAATGCGCTGCGCCCTTGGCGTTGTCGTTGGCAGACTGCGAGCCGCCTTGCTTCCGCCGTGTGGTGTACCGGTGGAACGTCTTGTGCGCCAACACGACAGCCTCTCTGTTGAGTGGCCCAACAGAGCCGTGCTTGCTCTGTTTCGGAGCCAGGCATACAACCATGGCAGCAAAATGGCCACCTCCGATCATGCACAGGAAGATGTGCTTGCCATTGTAAGCTGGCGGAACCGCATTCCCGTCCTTGGCTGTCTTGGGCATGGATATTGGCGGCAGTTGTCTCTGCTTGATGGCCTCGACGATGGCATCTTCCTTGTCGAGCTCTTCTGCCGTGAACATGGCCCTGTAGATCCCGAAATACGTGTTGTCCGGCAACCTTGGAGAGTCGAACCACAGCAGTGGGGGTTGCCCCATCCCTCTCTTCCTCTTCTTCTTTGTCGGCTCATCATCTTCGTCGCCGTCGCCGGTGGTGCGCTTTTCGGCTAGTGAAGCCTGCTTCTTTAGCAGAGCTGAAAGCGTGGTGTCCCTGCGGGATGCCTCGTCCTCCTCGTCTTCGCTGTCAGATGCGTCCGACCCTGATATGCTCACATCGTTCTCGGCGACGAGCTTCTCAAACTCGGCCTCGGATACTGGTCTGAGCCCGTTCAGCTTCTGCTTGAGGTTGTAGTAATGGAGGTCGGTCTTGAGATGCCCCTTCTGCTCCTGGACGGTGACGAATGACAAGCCACAAAGGGAGCAGGCCTGCGACCCGAGGGAGCTTTCTGAACCGGCGGGGCCTGGACTGCGGTCGCGAGAGGGAGCGGAATCGGTTGATGCTTCCTCAGCCTGAACTGGTAACCCCGCGTCTGGCTTCGGCACGAGCGAATTGAGGATTTCCGGCGGAAGATCGTAGAGATAGAGGGGCCGTCGTAGCAGCGGGTCTTGCTGCTTGTCCATGGCCATCTTCAGCCGGGAGCGCTAGGTGGTGGACAGGAGGTGTCTGACAAGGGGCGTTGTTGGTTCAAAGACTTCCGGGTTGTCGTCACTTGTCATCGATGGCGGGGCAGCTTTATCTGATAACTATACTGGTTCGCGATAAGAGTCATGCCGGTGACTTGGACCGAATGTGTCATCGGAGAGCTAGCTTAACCCCAACCCTTGGTTTGCATTGTATCGTACCATGTTTTTTGAAGAAGTTATTGCAGATGAAGATATCAACCAGATCCAAGAATAAATCGGGACTGGGGCGTTGCTGAGTATACCTAATATTGGGTACGTAAGTTGATGCTACTCATCCGGCAGGTAGCGTGTCGTCTCCGACGCATTTCATTCAACGGTACTCCGTAAACGGCAAGACACGGTGAGAACATGGGCCTTCACAAACTCAGATATGGACCATAGGAGACTGAGATAGACTGGTGAATTGATCAAACTGTACTACTAGGGAAGAAAGCAAAAGCAATAACTTATTCTCACCAGACTTGCAGGCGTATCGATTGAATTCGGTACACAGATACCGTGACGTCTTCAACATCCGTGATTCATCAATCCTCCACCATGCTTACCTGAAGTTTCTCACTCACCTCACTCACCACACCAAGGCTACTTACCTACTGTGTGTTGTGTACTTACTGCTCCTCATCTTCAACCGGAGACGACCTGCTATTTGCCGGCAACAGACCGGCGTGTTCCAGGGTCGTTGGCCAGACAGAAGACCTCCGAATTGGGACTGACCGGGCCGATGCTGGCCATCTCTGCTGCGTCGTCCGGGTCTACGTCCGAAACCGAGAAGCGGCTGGTCATGTTGACTTCGGTTGACGGCTCTACCCCGCCGCTGCTTTCGTCTGTCGTTTCAGTGGTGATGGAAATATCAGCCTCGTCAGCTACCGAAGAGTCCCAGGAGAAATGGCTCGTGAGATTTGGCGGTTCGTCGTCTTCATCGTGCTCCGCTGAGATCTCCTGCGGGTCTTCTTCTGACTGCTTCTTGGGATGCTCGTTGAGATCGATGCTGGTCAACGTACCGTCCTCGGCTTCTGAAATAGGGCCAGGTTCAGACTGGTGAAGCTGGAAATTTGCCCCCACGTCTGCAGGATCGCCGGCGTCTTGGCCGCCTTCAGTGATGTACTGCTCCGCGTCACTCTGCATGTGGCGCTGTTGGGTGGTTAGCCGACGACTCGGAGGTGGAACGGCCAACGCAGAGCCGACATATCCTGAGGTTGTGGGACCTGTGTCCTGGAGTTGTCCATGCCCCGGAGGCAGAGACTCGGGAAGTCGCAGGGCTGCCGCTGTCCCCTGCTCCTGCAGATTGTCAATCATCAAGCCCGATGCTGTTCCTGACTGTGAAACAGGGAATTCTACGGGAGCCTCTCCACAGAGCTTTTGCAGTGTGGCGAGATGAACTTGCGGAGACACTCTCGCCGTGTCTTGCGATGGGTTGAGCGATCCGCGGGGGGTTGCCTGCGACTCGCTTAGCTCGGGAACTGGACTGAGAACGCGAGCATATGGGCCGATGGACATGGGCGCCGTGATCCGTGGCTGCATGCGAATCACGCTATCATCGTCAGCGGTCTCCTGGAGCTCAGCCAGCTTCAGCGTCAAGGTCCTCACCTGTTCGAGTCTCCGTAGCCACTTGGCTGGCGACTCGAACGGTCGTCGTGGCAACGCCTTATCGATGGCGATGAGCTCGCACCGGGGCTGTTTGGCGTCCGCGAGGTCAGACGATGCTGGCCTTCCGAAAATATACTCGGCGGGGACCATGCTTGGAGAGACGCTGAAACAGTAGCCGCGGCGGTTCTTAAAGGCCCAGTAGTTCAAGATGGCGTCCACCCTGTTCGTGTCATAGCCCCTGTAATGGTCGCGGCAGTAGTCGCAGAACGAATACTCCAGCCCCAACTTCTCGGCTGGCGGGCAGCTCAAAAACGCCAATTGGAGATTGGCCCAGCAGCTACCGTCCTGATATTTCTCGTTCCTAGCTATCTGCTCCTTACACTCGACCAACTCTCCGACTCTGCTATGCGCGCACACCGTGAAGATGTTCCTGGTGATGTAACACATGGCTGAGATGGTGAATGGTATCCTGGAAGAGAGTAGTTGTTGTCGAGCTAGCGATAGCACCGAACGAGGAATGCCGACTGACAAAGTCGATGGCTGCATCCAAGGAACACTTCCGGACCAGCGCCGTATTAAATAGGTCGAGCTGGAAACGGCCCAAGGCTGAGAAACAATGGCATTGTCGTGGTTTCATTGTGTTGAATCTGTACAAAGTAGATTGCCCAGACAAAGGAACGTTTGATAGCCGTCACAAAGGGTAGTGACGGTACACCCAGAAGAGATGCACGGCATTGTGTACCCGTTATGGGCGCAAAGGTAGAACGTAGAAGACAATGGGTTGACCTGGGTCTCGAAAGTCGAGACTTGGCTCTAGAATCGGCAGTTCTGTGACCTCGAAACCTTTATGTCCCTTCGAAGTGCCAACTTGGACTCCGAGACGGAAGTAACGGCTCGGAGCGGGAGAACATAGAGGATTGTTGGTGAGATGCCGAGGAAATCAGCTTTGTAAACTTGGGAAGCCTTGGCCAGCTCACGCCACCCAGTCATAATGAGCCACGATGAATCATTTTGGATCAACGCAAACCACCCTGAGATGCCCCACCCCCAAGCGGCGCGATAGCTGCAGCAAAGTCGACTGAGAGCAAAATGATACATTCAACAACCAGGACTGAAACGAATTATAAATACTAGTAAGCCACTTGGGAAGGTAGTGAAGGAACCATCACGCAATCCTACTTTTCAAAGGCGCAATCAAGCCCATACCTACCTAGGAACAAGACTGACTCCCTGACCTACCACATCCCATCGTTCGCCATGGCAATGACTTCAAGTCCATCCGGCTGCAGATCGCGTGCCGAAGAACCGACCACCGTTCAGGAGGATTCCGGGAATCATGCCCCCTATACCCGCTCACAGCAGACATCCGGCCCCATTGTCTTCTACGACATCAAAATGCGTCCTCCGGTGGAGAGACACTGCTGCTCACCAAACCCCTGGAAGACCCGACTGGCACTCAACTTCAAAGGCGTCCCATACTCGACCTCATGGGTGGCCTTACCCGACATTGCACGAGTGCGCAGTAGCCTCAAAGTCCCGGCCTGCCGCAAGTTCGCGGACGGCTCCGACTACTTTACCCTACCCCTCATCGAGGACCCTGCCACGGGGTTGCGGGTCGGCGACTCCTTCGATATCGCCGTCTACCTGCAGAAGACGTATCCAGACTCGGGCGCGGGCGACCTCTTCCCCGCTCAGACGCTCGACTACGCCTTCGCCCGCCTCGATGGATTCCTCGTACCGCTATCGGACTGCCGGGATAGCGAGTTTCCCGAATACGCGTGGTTCAATACCAACGTCGATGCAGCCTTCAGCGCACATGTACAGCTCGCGGTTCAGGGGTTTCCCTTCGACCCGGCTACGGCCGAGGCCACCAAGGCGGAGTTCGTACGGCGCGCGGGAGTTAGCAGCTGGGAAGACTTTGCGTTGGTGGGCGAGGCGAGAGAGAAGGTGAAGGATTCGTTCCGTAACATGCTGGGTGGTTTGGCTAGGTTGTTCTCGAGGGACGCCAGTGGGCCATTTCTGCTCGGGGCGAGGGCAAGCTACGCGGACTTCATTGTCGGTGCGTGGCTGCGAATGATGTGCGTAACTCTACCGGAGAGCGAGTGGGAGGAGGTGAGGAGCTGGCATGACGGTATTTTCGGCCAATTGCACGATGCCTTGGGGGTATATGCGGAGGTGAAATAGGGGGCGCCTAGATCCCTAAACATTCTTAATAACACTGCAAGATCCAGATCTTGGCATCGCCAGTGTGAGTCATAAGTGCGAGATGTTTATTACAATAGTCGCTTGCATTATGGGGGAGCTGGCGGAATCCAGAGTTTCTTCAAATACTGTATGAGTAAGGCAGGAGGGCGGGAGTCGGGCCTTGTCCGAAAACTGCTGCCGGCCCGAGCGACTGCCGGATGAGATAATCATCCGTAAGCGGTCGTTGCAGGCCCACTTCGTCTCGTAACAACACCTGGTACTAACAAAGAATGCAGATGAGAATTAGGAGGGCGAAGATCTAGACGTAGAATTCTTGGGTCATCCATTTGAAATGCTCATCAAATGATTGCGTGAATGTCGAGTATCGTCTACAAGTTGCTGTTCCGGTGTACTTGTGTGTAGTATAAGAGACGCCTTCGGCTCTTTCAAGCAAGATCCTGTTTTCCTTGTACCAACTCCTCGAGGATAATCATCCCAGCATATTAATCCACATCCAGTCTAAAGCATAACACCTTCCACTTCTCTGTCTTTGTTATCAGATCTCCTTATGCAGAGCGCCCTCAAGACCGTCATGTCCAATACACTTCACCACGCCAAGATCACGCCTCACCGGTCCGCCGCCCGAGGGCACAGCAACCATGGCTGGTTGGACACCTACCACTCCTTCAGCTTCGCCAACTGGTACAACCCTAACTTCACCCACTTTGGCGCCCTACGAGTCCTCAACGAAGACCGCGTCAAGCCCAACTCGGGGTTTCCCACCCACCCGCACAGGGACTTCGAGATCTTCAGCTACATTCTCTCCGGCGAGCTCACACACACCGACTCGACACACAAGCAGAAGGGTGGTGATGATGCAAAGGAGTCCGAGCTCTTCTGCCGAGTCCGTCGCGGGGATATCCAGTTCACGACGGCTGGGACGGGCGTCACCCATTCCGAGTTCAACCGCGGCCGGGAGCCAGTGCATTTCCTCCAGATATGGGCGATCCCCTGGAAGCGCGGCCTAGCGCCGCGGTATGACTGGGGGCGGTACAGCGACGAGGACAAGCGGAAGGGGTTCGTCAGCCTCTTGAGCCCATTGAAGGGAGGGGTCGACGCAACGGCCGAGCAAGAGAAAGCGGCTGAGCCGACAATCCCTGGTACAATAGCCATCCACGCTGACTTTGTGATGGCCGCCGGCATCATCGAGTCAGGTGGCAAGTTTGAGTGGAATGTTGGGGCGAACGCAACTGCCGCAACCAAGCGGAAGCTCTATGTGCACTTGCCCATGACGAAGGGCGGTAAAGCGAAAATTAGGCTGGACGGCAGGGAGGATGGAATTCTTGCCGAGGGCGATGGCGCCTTTGTTGATTGCGTGAATGCGGGGGATAGGCTTGTTGTGGAGAGCGTCGGTGATGCAGAGGCAGAAGTGGTCGTTCTGGATACGGCTTGATACTAAATGGTGGAAGCATCAGATTTTGTTGACCACTAACCATGTAGAATTCAGTGCCCCAATACAAGAGATGTACAAACTCGGTGCCCTTGTTCCATGCATCGAAAAGCAGCGGGAAATTCATGGCAGATCCAGAACCCTTCTTCGCCTCGACCCGCATGGACCGATGGAGATGAAAGGAAAGTCAAATTCCTGCAAAGAGGAAAGGCTCCAAAAATTCCCTGCCAGGTCAAGACCCAACAGGAGCGGTCAGGTAGTAGTTTTCAACTAGCAAAAACGCGATCTCGGACGAATCCTCACTGATACGCGTAAAACCCCTGCACTCGGATAGAGAAGAAAAAGAGAAAAGGTTTCAAGAGATGGGAGGGGTCGTGGAGAACTTATACCTGGGACCAGGTGGTCCGTGCACGTCTGCAATTTTCAACCCGCAAGAATTGTCTGTGCGTCATCACATGCCTGCTGCTGATAAGCCCACAACCTTCATCGTACCGTACTGAGAAGGTGCGATGCAAGTTAATGGCATTCAGGTCGTTTTATCTTCGGGCAGGAACTCGCCATCACTGCTGAGACATTATATGCTTGAGTTGTTTCCGTTGCATGACTGTCTCCATGCGATAGCGGTGCCCGTTGCCCTCGCTGAACGAGCCTCTGCCCGCCTCACCGTTCAGGTTTCCTGGTGCAGAGAGGATGCGGTTCAAACATGCAAAATGAGGACATCAAACAAGTGGCAAGTGAGAACCTAGGAGTGCTAATAACGCCTTGCGGAGTATGGTCGCAGCACTCCATACGCATGTAGGCCATGGTTTTATCCAGTTTTACGGCCACCAAAGCCACATCTAGCTGTTAACAAGAGTTCTTCACGTAGATTGGTAGCGGCCCAAATCGAGAACATGCAGTGCTATGCATTACTACGCTGAGTTAGTATGTATGTACGGTGGGAATGCTGGGATGCCGCAGGTCATGCCAAATGCGTCCGCTTTCTCATGGATCGATTCCCCCCAATCGTCGTTTGTTCGGCAATGTGTAACGGCTTGGTAAAGGACGGATGATGATGTCATCACGTCAACGCTTTCCATCAAGATGAAATGCGGCCAAAGATGTGGGTTTAAGAACGACTCTTCACAGTCACATACCACTGGGACAATGTCTCTAAGCTGTCTTTGCTAGATCTGTCTCTCCAGGCTGATCCTCGACTGTCTACTGAAGACGAAGCACCTACTTAAGGTACTACCTTACCTTACCTAAGGTACTCATCCAGCGGTTCGCCAGTAGCACGATAACGTCGAAGACTACAATCGCCAGGAATTGCCCATCATGTCTCTCTCACGACACGTAAGTCGTCACCTTCTGGTAGACCTGCCAGTGTCTGCTCTAGGAATTCAGAGCTTAACTGTTAACATGCCTCCTCAGGTCGACCCCGAAGACATCATCCACCATCTCCAAGACCTGCGCATGCCCTCCTCGCAGGCCACCAGCAGCAGCACCGGCGGCCAACAACAGACCCTGCAGCACCTGACGCCCTTCTCCACGCCCTATGCCAGCCAGCGCGACATCCCCAAGTACCAGATCCCTCGGGAGGGGGCGCCCGGCGACACCGTGTACGAGATGCTCAAGGATGAGCTGGACCTTGACGGCCGCACCAACCTAAACCTGGCCAGCTTCGTCGACACGTATCTCGAGGAGAACGCGCAGAAGCTGATGGTGGAGAACGCGGGCAAGAACCTGGCCGACAACGACGAGTACCCCGCCATGCTGGCTATTGCCAACAGATGCGTCTCGATCCTGGCGCATCTGTGGGGTGTGCGGAAGGGAGAGAGCGCCGTGGGATCGCCGACGGTCGGGTCGTCGGAGGCGATCATGCTGGGGGGGTTGGCAATGAAGCGGCGGTGGCAGGAACGGAGGCGAGCGGCTGGGAAGGATACGCTCAAGCCGAACATCATCATGGGCGCCAACGCTCAGGTCGCGCTGGAGAAGTTTGCGAGATACTTTGAAGTGGAGGCAAGGATCCTGCCGGTGTCGAAGAAGAGCAAGTTCTGCCTGGACCCGGAGCTGGTGAGGGAGAATGTCGATGAGAACACGATTGGCGTGTTCGTGATTCTGGGGAGCACGTACACGGGGCATTTCGAACCAGTGGAGACGGTGTCGAAAATGCTCGATGAGTACCAGGAGAAGACGGGAATTGACATCCCGATCCACGTGGATGCGGCTAGTGGCGGTTTCGTGGCGCCGTTCACGCATGCTGGGGCAGGCGGCCAGAAGTGGTGAGTTGGCTTGGTCCAGTACACTGACTACCTGTAGGCGGTTAAGATGGGTTGCTGACAGGAGTGGAAGGAACTTTGAGAACCCTCGGGTCGTTTCGATCAACGCCTCAGGTAAGACGACGACGGCCCTTTCCTTCCTTCGGCGGGAACTGACATCTCCTAGGCCATAAGTACGGCCTCGTCGCCCCCGGCATCGGTTGGATCATCTGGCGTGACAAGGCCTGTCTGCCAAAGGACCTCATCTTTGAGCTGCACTACCTCGGCGGCACCGAGGAGTCTTACACGCTCAACTTCTCGCGCCCCGGTGCACAAGTCATTGTGCAGTATTACAATCTCATCCATCTCGGCTTCAACGGCTACCGCGAGATCATGGAGAACTGCCTCGCCAACGCGCGCATCCTGTCCAAGAGCCTTGAGGCCACGGGCTGGTACACGTGCCTCAGCGACATCCATCGACCCGCCCCGGAGACAACTAACACCGCGGAAGCGGCCGCGGCAGCTGTCAAAGGCGCAGTCAGCAGCGCCGTAGGCCGCACGGAGGAAGCCGGGCCGGGCCCCGAAACCTCGGCGGCATACGTCGCCGGTCTCCCTGTAGTCTCGTTCCGCTTCTCCGACCAGTTCCGCCGGGAGTACCCGCACATCAAGCAAGAAACGGTCTCCCTGTTGCTGCGCGCGCGGCAGTGGATCATCCCCAACTACGCGCTGCCGCCCAACGAGTCCGACACCGAGATCCTGCGGGTCGTGATCCGCGTCAGCATGAGCTTCGATCTGCTGGACCGGCTGGTGGCCGATATTGTGCAGGTGACGGAGCAGCTGATGGAGAAGGACGAGGTTGATCTGTTGGGCGTCCTGCATGAGCAGAAACATCGGAGGAAGCCGGTCACGAAGGAAGAGAGGGCGGAGAAGGAGAAGAAGAGGGAGGAGAGGAAGCACAAGGGTGGAACAATGGGCGGTGTGAAGGAGGCAGGAAAGGACGTGAAGAAGCGCATGGAGGACGGGATCCATCGGACGGTGTGCTAAGGATGGATGGTGCTGTGCCGGGTGAGAAGGCCCGAGTCGCCAATGCGTTTAACCTTCTTTCCTTATTGCATTTCTTCCCCTGGACAATAAAAAGGGTTATGCAAATTCTAGTGAGTCGGTGGTGGTATATTCCCGGCTTAACTTCAGAACACACCCCGGCACGTCCAATGGGCTGCATTCACGACTCATCACAGCTTGGCCCCCTTTGCCCGCCTAGCCTCCCTTTCCCGATCCCTGAGCAGCCGCCGCAGAATCTTGCCGCTCGGGCTCTTAGGAATAGCATCGATAAACTCGATGCCCCCCTTGAGCCACTTGTAGTGTGCCTTGTGGTCCTGGACATGCTTGATAATCTCGGCCGCCATTTCCTCGTCCTTGCGCGAGGCCATCGAGGCGGGTGTCACAACGAAGGCCTTGGGTACTTCGCCATCCCGCTCGTCCGGGACTGCAATCACAGCACAGTCGTCCACGGCCGGGTGGGTCAGGAGGTGCGCTTCCAGCTCGGCGGGGGCAACTTGGTGGCCCTGCACAGGGTGAGTTTCATTAGAGTCCGTACAACGCTAGGGAAACGGGGGCCATTCCACGATTCCATACCTTGACCTTGATTAACTCCTTGAGACGATCGACGATGGTAATGTGCTCGTACCCGTTGGGTGACTTGGTCACGACGACCTCGTCGCCGGTCCGCAGCCACCGCCCGTCCTCATCCCAGACAAACGCTTCCGCCGTGGCCTTCTCGTTGTTCAGGTAGCCTAGTGTGACGGATGGAGATTGCACAAACAGCTCTCCGGGCTTGCCGTACTCGTTGATTTCTTTTCCGTCCGCGTCCATGACTTTCGCTCGTGTACCAGGTATCAGGGAGCCGGATGTCCCCTGGCAGATGTCGTGTTCGCTTGTGGAGCAGACCACGGTGGAGGATTCGGTCATTCCTGTACGTCTGTCAGCAACAACCGTTCTCTGTGGACTCCAGGGCGGGAAGTAAGCACCATAGCCTTGGCCAACATGCCAGGTAGGATAGAGACGGAGGATTTCTTCGGCCGTCTCCTTTCCGAGTGGTGCTGCCCCTGTAAACAGCAACCTGACACTGCTGAGATCATACTTTCTGAGCGTATCCTTGTTGCTCAGCATGCGAATGACAATTGGGGGCACCTGCTCTGCTTAGTAACAGTCACTGGAACCCGTCTTGCTGTGTACAGTTTGGCTTACTACAAGCAGGTGGTTGATTTTGAACCGCTCGATAGCCTGGAGATATTCCGTAAGCTCAAACTTCGGCAGGACAGCAACCTCGTCGCCACGCCATGTTGCGCCGTGTGCCACCACTACCAGACCGTAGATGTGGCTGAACGGAAGCAACCCCAGTACCACTTGCGTGACGACTCCGAGCTTCTTTCTAGACACGTCTTCGAAGATGCAATACTGCATGGTATTGGCGATCACATTCCTATGCGAAATCATGACGGCTTTCTGATGCCTCGTCAGCAGCGGCTCGCACACCACGGATTACTCCAGACTCACCGGCAGGCCCGAGGTGCCGCTGGAGTAGCAGAGGAAGGCCACCTGGCGGGCACCCTGCCCCTTTACCCACTTCAGAGGCTCTAGTTCCGGCGCCGAACCGCCCATCTCGACCAAGTCATCGACGGTCCTAAACGACGGCTTGTGGGAGTGATATGGAAGATCCATGAGAAAGATCTTGTCCTCTGGTATCCCCACTGCCTTCGCAGCCTTCAGCGCCGCCTCCAGCACCGGCACGCAGGTGAAGAGGGCCTTGGCACCGGACGACCTGAGCTGATGCTCCAGCTCGCTGGCTGAGTATGCGACATTGGCGGGCGTGGCAATGCCGTTCAAGCGGTGTATAGCATGCAGTACGCCAAGATAATCGATCTGTCACATCGCAGTGAGCGGGCTGAGTGGGCTGTGGCAGTGCACATCCGGGTAGAAGATTGCGCGGGACTCACGGTGTTGAAAGAGAACACGGCGATGACCTTGTCCCACGGCGAGTCGGCATTGGGCTCCCAGCCCAGGATCTTGGACAGGGCCCTTGCGATCTGATCGGAGCGTGCGTGCGACTCGGTCACGGTGTACGTCTTCCCCGTGAGACCGCAAGTGAAGGGATTCCTGCTCCTGGCAATTGGGTGCCGTCCATAGATCTCACTTCTCATGAACTCCCCGATTGTGATTGAATCGGGAGGGTCTGTATGTGCTTTTATCAGCGATCCGAACTACATGGAACCGCCCTCATGAGATTAACACGACCTTACCGAAAGGCAGTTTCGGCACCCATGGCGGAGGATAGAAGACCATCTTGTGACTGTCTGGCGGTGTGTGGTTCCGTGTTCACTATGATTTGGCAAATCAACAACACGCTGGGCTTTGTGAATTTGGCGGCGATGAAGACGGGAGGACAGAGTTGCCTTGACGTTTGGATAGACAAACCAATGGACAAGAGACAAATACGCGAACAAACAATGAAGAGACGGTGGGACAACACCTCACGGAATGAGGACTTGAGTGTCGGCAACTGAAGCAAGTGGAGAGACGACCAACTCGGCCTCCGCCCAGCCCCTGTCTACAACGCGAACACCACGCTTCTTGCTAGGTACAGTATCGGTGTATTATCCACAGTGCGCTTTCTTTCCGATGGATAGCCGTCCCATCTTGCCAGCCATACTAATTCCCCAGTGGTCCACACAATCGCCCGGTTGATAGGTGGTCAATGTTTCGTTGCCAAGAATCCATTAGCCTACCCCTACCCCGCAGCTTCCCCGTGTCTCGGCAATGCAATGCGGGGTTCAACTCCACTAGCGCAGATGAACTTCACACGTTCCCCTCCATTATGAGAGTCTTGAGTCTTCAGGCCAAGCAACTGCTAGAGAACCTCGGTTACTGATGTCCTATGATGCATTGGTGCATCTTCATAGCTTCACGGACAGTTCCAGCAATCCGGGCCCACGTCACTCGCATTACGTGACAGTGTGAGTCTTATCATTGTTCCGGCCTGCCGGGGGCTCGATACTACCGTAACTAGCAAAACCGTTGCCCGGCCCACTTGGCAAGCAGTAAGCCCCTGAACGCAGTAAACATCGAAGAGCACATCAGCGAGGCGACTCGGGGACCAGTCAGGAGTACCGCTTTACTCATGACTTTACACGAACATTAGCATACTCGGGCAACTTCTACCTAATAATTGACGTTGTAGATACAAACTCTCTTCCTATACTTGTCTTCGGCCAGCAAGCAAACCTTGTTCGTTTACAGTCCCAACGTTGTTTAGGAGGGCTGATTGTCATTCCAAACTCACGATAACTCCTGAGGCAAATATAGAACGATGTGGTAAAATGCTAGTCACATCAGGTGTTCCGCCTTGTCTTGGCTAACCCATTACCCTGAATGTCAGTACTAAGCAGCACAGGCTGACATTCTGCTTCCTGGACAAAAACTGGATGAGATATCGGTCGTTCACATGGCATTCTCTTCGGCCACTCAGCCACCTCAAAGCCCAACCTCAACTCCCCGGCTCCGGCTCCTTAACATCCGATGTGAATAGGTAGCAAAGGGTCGGCCATCAGCGCGCTACTACCATAACCAACCTCAACATGTGCCTCTCGTGCTCCTCCTTTGAATACCATAGCGGGTACCACTTCTATCGCAACTTGGAGCACAATCCTCCAATAGGCTTCGGCTTCTTCAATGACATGACGGCATGGCTCGTTGCACCTTCGGGTGGATCTCATGGTCTCTATGACCATCGCTCTTTCCCTGACATCCATCAACACCACTGTGCCAGTGGTGCCTCAGGTTCTGGCCTGCTCCCGTGAGCATCCCACCATCGCTCTTTCCCCGACATCTATCATCATCATCTAGCAATAGAGGGCAGGTCCCAGAAGACCTCCTCCTCAACTTCGGATGTCTGCAGTGGTCACGCAACATCTTTCTTTCTTACCTCTTACTTCAGGAAGGCCCTGCTTCTTCATCCCATTCAAATTTTCGCCCACGGAGTCACGGCCCGACGGAGCATCATCTGATTGTGGTCACGAGCAGGTATAAATATCTTCCCGACCTGGGCGCTCTTGATCCAGAACTGCCCTCCTTCTTCATCACCTTCGACCGACTCCCGACCGACTCCCCTATTCTTCCACCTCCTCTTGCAACGCCACGCCCAGCGAACATCATTATCACATCAGGTCTTCGATCATTCTAGCCATCGCGGCGCAGTCGTTGCTTGGCAATTGGGGCGTTCATCAACGTGTGAGTATTTCGTACCCTTTCTGTTACCTCGGACATCACCTCTGGTCAGCAGACTACCTCAAGTGAGCTCAGTCGTGGGCGGCCAGCAGTTCAGTTGCGCCATTTGCGACAGCAACAGCGAGATACCGAGCTGGTGATTAGAGAACGCTGGGAATTATCCTCGGCTCTCCCCGTGGGACGTCACTCAGAGAGCTAACATAAGGTATTCTGTAGATACTCTGAACCACGGCCGATAGACCTGAAGTCTCCCACTCGTCCCCGACAGTTTGCCTGATACCAATCTGAGTGGGCGCTGGGCAGAATTGAAGACCTGCTAGGTGCGTTCTGAAGTTCAATCCCGCTTACCTTACTGTGTTTGGCCTCGAAAGCACCTGTCGTCCTCTGTTCTCCCCTGACAGGGCAGATGTTCATCATCCTCCCCCTTCTGAGTCCTCCGAGCACCAGATTCTCAATACGTTATCCTCCTGCACTCCGTGTCAGCATCAAGTGCTCCCATTCCCCGGGATTCACATGGAATGAGCCCTTCCTCCTCAGGAAAGATGTCGGAGACCTGAAGTTCAGACGGTCAAGGCAGCAGAAAGGAGGGAGACCAAACAAGTGATCCCCAACACTTTACCCTTCTTGAGATTCACTCTTCGAGGTCCCCGAGCAAGTCCCCCCTCATTCCCATAGTTTTTCTCTTCCAAATCCTTTTCGCGGTCCCAGATATTGCCATAGTCAATCATCCTATCCATTCCACTCCTCTTCCTTCTAGCACACCGAGTCAACAGAGGCTCACAGCCTGCCACCGCTGTTCTCATCTTCTTTACTTCGCCACTGCCTTGCTTTCTCGTATTCAAAATCAAGTCTTCTCCTCTTACCCCTCGAAAAAGCCCTTCCACTGCCTTTCCTTTCCACATTCTTCCCTTGAAACTCTATCAGCACTTCTTCGTCCCACCTCAGAGACACAAGTCGTACTTCTCTTGGCTATCATCGGCTTCTTGCTGCTCTGCCCAATCGAGCGCACAGTGGTCGGTAAGGCCGATCATGAGCTCACGCTGGTACATGAGCTCTTCCAGATCAACAAAGTTTTCAGCTGGCAGTGCGAAAGGTGAAAGATACTGACAGTCTCTTGCGCCGTAGAAGCCAACAATCACGGGGACTTGGAGCTTTCGCTTTCGCTACTTGAGAGCAACAATAGGACATTATCATACAACAAGCAGACGATACCTGCAGATATCGGCAAAGGATACGGTGAGAACATTCCATTTCATATTCAAACTGCAATCTGCCTTGACAGCAGTCTGGTTGGATGTCGGTTGTGCAGGTTTCGAAGCCGCACACGTCTTCCGACCATATGCCGCTACACCAAAATTAGCACCTTTCCCCCTTTCGTTTACATTCGCGACACCTTGATCGGCCCCTTTTGTGTACTTTCCACGACGCACAACCCAGAGCCCCTCGAGCACTTACTTTTCCAAAGCTTGTACCAATCCTTCACAAGAACATGCATTCCAGTGCCATTTAATGTGCTATCTCTTGGACAAACGTCTCTCAACACCTTCTTAAGCTTGCCCCAACCCAACTTCGGCTTCGGCTACTAGGAAGCCAACGCAATCACTGAATACATCTTAACCCAATATGATATCTGGACAGATTGCTAACATAATGGAATCTTAAGGACCCATCGTGCCCTAGAACAGCAGGGCTCGCCACGATTACAACCGCAGATATCTTGCTTCACAAGCCGTCGTCAACAGGTTATCTCACTTAGTCTTTCTCCAGCATCAGGAATACCTGTCTCACACCCAAGCCCACCGGGAGATCCATTACCATGGACTCCAACGGACCTACCATGTCCACTAGGACGTCGGGCCGGCTAGCTGCCCGGCGTGCTAGCGCAGCGATCAAGCGGACCGCTGACGAGTTGGAGTTTAATGAAGCGGCCGAGGTGACCACCAAACGTCCTCGTCGCCGCGCTGCAGTCAACCATGCAGAGGACCCCAACACAGAGACCGAGTCCTCGCAATCAACGATTCCTAGTGATCATGCGGAAGAGGTGCAAGCGACGGAGATGGAGGACATTCTTAGCTCGATGGCTGGCACCGCTAAGGAAGGGACTGAGTCTGCCCCAAAAACTAAGATCACGCAGACCATCGTCATCCCCGCACCTCCATCTCGTCAGCCACTGGTGTGGGCAAAAGGCCGCGGTAGTCTTTGTGAAGCCTTACCTTATTTCAGAGCTTACAAAGGCAGCCTCCACTCAGCGGGTAAGGTGGCACAAGGCATCCTGATTGACTCAGAAGTCGACCCGCTGGATGTCTTCGATGACCAGGTCATTATCACGTCAATGTAAGCTCTCACTCCCCAGACCCGACTGTGTTTGGACTTGTTTTGATACCTTTGTCGCTGACTACGATGGGCAGCGGCGGTAATCGGGTCAAAAATAAAGAGACTGGCAGAATGGTTCGTGCGAGGGATACCGCAGACACTGCCATGAATTTCAAGTCAGCATGGAACGCATACGAGAACAAGACTCTTGTGGCAGTCATTGCCGGTGCGTCTTAACTCTCCCTGGATACTTTTGGCATCATTACTCACGTAATCTCCGTTGCAGGTGAGGGCCATCCCCTCTACCCCTGCAAGCCCCCGCACCCTTATGCCGTCCTTGGGTACTTCCATATTACCTACATGTGGAAGGAAAGGCAGTTTTTCATTGGCACCAAGAGCCCGATTTCTACCTGGCGTATGCGCCTCGAGAAGGCGGACTTGACCGAGCCTTCCTGGTGGGTTCCTGATAGCCAAGATGTCCAGGTCTTAGCCCCGCCCTCTGCAGCTGAGAGCATCAAAGCACCAGTCGACATCTGCGGCAAGTGCAAGGCTCCGAGCAAGGAGATCTTTGATGCTGGTTGGTTCTGCCTGAACCACAAGTGCAAAGACTACTATCGGTTCCCAGATGGCACGGGTGTTGCACTCAAGGGCCTCGCCTACACTGAGGCGTTTCTCAACGAGCGTACGCCTTTTAGGGGTCAGATTCCCTCGGTTGTGCCTCCCATTCCCGACCCAACCGGGCTTCATGGCACAGAGCTTTCTCTTCGACGTGGCTTTGTGTGCCCAGATTGCGGCTGCTGCAATCGCCGCGTCTACTGGAACCGTTGGGTGTGTGAGAACCAAGATTGCCAGTACACTCGCGACGCTCCCATGCTCCACTATCCCGATGCCCTTCTCGAACAGGAGAATGCAAAGTTCGAAGAGACAATGCAGCTGCGAAGGACCAAATACGGCGTGAACGAGAACTCGCTCAACGAGATCGGGTATGAGATGGACCCATTTGCCACGATCTACCAGAGGGGCTATCTCCGGTTTTCGCAGGCTCTTACCCTGGGTGGCTTCGAAGTCCGTCAGTATTTCCTCCCAGATGCACAGGGCCGAGTCTTGGGGTCGTTCAGCATCTTCTCGGCAAGTGAGAGCGTCAACAGGAGACATAATGGCCCCGATGAACTTTTTAGGACCCTCGAACTCATCGACATTGGTCTTCGCCGAAACCCTGCTGCAGTTGTTGGCCGTAAGTGACCAAGAAAGATACAAACAACATGAAAGTCACTGACGAGAGTGTAGACAAACTTGAGGGATACACCCGACACTTTCAGCAGAACTTCGTAAGTCAACTCACGTCATAGAACGTCGGGCCACGCTTACCATGTTAGGGCGCGAGGTACAAGTTTGGTGTCGCGGTTCAATCGACAGGCTTCTCCGAGGCACCGGATGTGATTCTCATTGCCCTCCAACGCTTGATCTGGGCAAAGCAGCAGGCTGTTGATGCATCCAATGCCTTCATTCGAGAGATTGTGGCAATTGGAGAGCTCGACCAGCATTTAGTCGGGCCACAGGCTATCGTAGCACAGGCCAACGACTTCAATGAGCTATTGGCTCTAGGATACATGGAGGAAGACAAAATCAATGTATGTCATCTTCGGTTTGGGCATTTGATCTCGATTTACTGACATGTAACGAACAGTACCATGACGACGGCGAGAAAGAACTTGGACCTGCTGTCGCTGCCCTATCGCTGGGCTCCCCATCGACCATGAGATTCCGACCCAAACGAAACACCGGCTTCTTCCTTCCAACAAAGAACGACCGTGGAAAACCGTGTTACAAGGAAGTCCTCGAAGTCACCATGAAGCACGGTGATATGATGGTGATGGTCGGCACCGATATCCAGAAATACTATGAGGTTTGTCGGATCAGACCCCTGTGCTCGGAAGTTGAGTATGTCTAACAGGAGTACCTAGCACACTGTCATACCCCATGGGAACCGTCGCTTCTCGCTCACGGCTCGGTACATTGACCCGGAGAAGATGGACTCAGAGGAAGACAAAAATGAAGCCATCACCAGGGGACAAATCCCCCAACGTGCCGCAGGCTTTGTTTACAACGGCTACTAAGTCACCGGCAACGGACACTTCAGCGACAGGCTGCAGTTCGATACTCCGTGGTAGCATCGCTGGCCACAGCCCCTGCGAAATCACTTACACACACTCTTGTACACACAGTCGCCTATGCACCTGCATATACACCCCGATCTTGTGGAACATTGCACACCATTTTTTTTGGCCGTCTTTTCAGTTAATCGATGCATTCACTCCGCCATATCGGCATCTTGAGTCAGAGGATTGAGGCCAATTTCCGGCTTCGCTAAATAACGGGATCTGGGCTTGGGAACTGAGGTCTGGACAGGGCCCAGCTCGGGGTTCTAGAAGGAATATAATATGCCCAGGCACAGTGAACAGAGCTACATCTCAGCACAGGGAAGAGAGCTTCCTCGACGTTTCTAGGCTTATACACGGGTTGCTGAAGGGCTTGATGGAAGGCGTTTGGCACGGTGCCAAACCTAGAGGAAACACTATCTTGATTCATCCGCGGCTCTACATACCAACGCAAAGCATTGGTAGTCACACCATATAGCCTTACACAAAGTATTCCTCGTCTAAAGGTGTTCGTGCCTCCAAGCTAAACGTGCAGCCGGCCGCTTCAACTTGTGCACAGCGGTAGTGATCAGCTAATGTTCCGTGTGTAGCATAGCATGAATGGGTAGGTATACTGATCTCCGAAGCCGTGCTGCTACAAAGCATACAGAGCCATGGATGCAATGAACACTGGGCATGCGTGGAATTGCCCACCACGTACACTAAGATGTTTTTTGTTACAATTTAGCCTAGCCCACACAGCTCGGTCCTACCCAGCTCAGCTGCTCTTGGATCCAGGCCCCTTTCCAGTCCCGGAAACGAGCAGCACCACACTGCCCAGCTGCCGCCTCAAGTCCTCCCTCTCTACATCATGCGTATCCTCCACCTCCCCCCACCGGCCAGTCTGATACTCCACCTCAAGACTGACTGCCCTGGCCGCAGCCTCCACACCAAACCTCTGCTTCCCGTCTTTCCCGTGATGATCCGCCCTGCCGTGTTGTGCGCGAGCCCCGTCCTCGCTCCACTCGACCACCAACCTCGCCGCCGCCAGCAGGCTCTTCCCCGCCAACGTCGCCCTCTCCAGCCCGGCCACCTCGAAGGGGGTCAGGGAGGAGAGGATCCAGCCCTGCACCACCTCCCGCGTGCCGGCTTCGTGCTTGCGCGGCATGATGGAGCCTCCCTCCAGCACGGGCGCGATGGTCACGCCGGGCCAGACGTGTGTCGTCAGGAAGGCGACCGTTTCCGAGTAGGCCTGTTCCTGCCGCTCGAGCAGCGAGAGCCCGTGCTTGGCCGGGTCGTGGTCCCCGATTTGCGGCGGCGGGGAGAAGCAGAGCAGGGAGTCGGTGTCGAGGTAGCGGAGGAGCGTCTGGGCTATGCTGTCGCGGATGCTGGGATCCGTGGCGATGTCGAGCGCCCGGCAGGTCAGGGAGGTTAGCGGGATGAAGTGCTGCTTGGTTGCTTGTTGGGCCGAGACGAGGCTGTCCCATTCGAGGGCGAGGGCGTGTGCCAGGTGCGGTTTGGAGAGCGGGAGGCGGATGATGGATTTCGTGGTGGGGTGGCGCAAGGCACGGGCGTCGAGGTGGATTTCGAACATGCCTGTCCGGGTTGGCTGGTGTTAATATATGTATGTGTGTATGTGTGTGTGTGTGTGTTTGTCGCGCGTAATGAGGAGATGAGGGGGTACATACCATTGACCTCGCGTACATGCACCTCCTTCCAGAACCGCCTCTTGAGCCCCGTGCTCTTGGTCTTGCCGTCGACCCGCTGGTTGGACGTCTTGAAACTCTCCCTCTTCGGCTCCCCGGCAAGCTTCAGCATCTCAGCCTGCCGCCTCCGCCGCGCAAGACGCTCCTCGCGCTCGGCGCGCTCCTCGGCAGCGAACTCCGGGCTCGGCTGGGGCGGCTCCGGCGGCGGACCTGTGCCATACACGGGAACGACTCTCGCGGGCTGCGCGGTGTGGCTGTGTATTGCGCGTGCTGCAGTGGCAGCAGCAGCAGCAGCGGTTCCTCGTAGCACTGCTGCTGCTGCTCCCGTCGAGACGGGGCGCAGCGGCAGGAGGAGACACAGTCTCGTTGCGTGCACCATCTTAATTCCTCCAATTCGTGACGATGAGGGAACGTCAACGAGGCATTCAGTCAGTACTAGTCGGCGTGCGCGCCACGGGACTGGGTACATCCGCCGGGGGAAATTGGGTCGAGTCTGGTCGCCGGCAGGGGGGATGGTTAGCGGTATCAGGTAGGTTCCCTACGAATTGTTCAGTAACTACGGTACGGTACCAGGTATTTAACCTGATGGGATGGAGAAACATTTTTCTGATTGAAGTGTTAGCGGATGCCATGTGCGGCTCAAGCCGTGCGCAGGGGTCGAGGCCCGCTAGCAGGGATGTACCCCGCTTGGAAATGTCCGATTGGAGAAGGATGACATCACATCCCGCAGCCTCGGGTTCGGATCTTATCACAGCAGAGCTGCGTAGGGTATCAACGTGTGTGAGAGAAATATACGGGCAAAGGTCAAACCAAATGCTAATAATATATTGCTTTTGTATGCTGGTATCCATTCGCATCTGAATCGATAGGTAGCGTGACTCTAAATGCCATCACGGGGAATGACTACGCCACACCTGGTCTGCTGTGTAGTTCCCGGAGGCTCTGAGAGTCTACAGTGTAAATCTACCTAGAGTCTGGTCCGAGACCGCCCGACATATAAGTAGCGCGCATATACTTAGAACAAGAGCACAATAAGTCCCGCTCGATCCAGAGCCTATATATACACTCCAAGTCTCGATAGTAGGCAACCTTTATTTAAGCTCAATATTCGCCCCAACATCTCCTGCTCAGTCGCTCCGAACACACTTTACTGTACATGATACCATTATGCTAAGCCTTCCTTGAACATCTCCACCGGTTCACAATGCGAAGCGCAACACCAGAAAGGCAAAGAATACACCGAAATGTACTTGTACATGTACGTACAATTTAAATTAAAATAAAACAAAACTCGCAACCGCCATGGGGTGTTAGCAACACAAAGAAAAAAAAGCCACTCTTGAGTTCTCCATAGCTGGCTGAGTTAACCTAACCTAGTATCTATGACAACCTCCCAAAGTAAGATACCGAACGACAAGAAAAAATAAATAGAAATGGGTCTCAATAAGGCGGCCTCGTAACACTCCCCAGATGCCCCTGCCCCAGATGCCGCTCTCCAACGTGCGCATCAATCCCCCTCAACAGCGCATTCAGATCCATGACAGGCAATTTCTCGTCCGGCGCGGCAGCCCACGAGCTGGAGAGCGCCCGCTCCCCAGCGCCGCTCGCCCTGCTCCTCACGCTGCGCTTCGATGTCGACCGCGGTCGGATCGGCACTGCTGTTGCAGCATAATCCTGCGTCGCTGTCTTTGACGACCGGGCGGCGCTCCTGTCGTCTACCGCCAGGCCGGTGGGGATGGGCGGGACGGGTGGGACGCCGTGGCCTTCGCTTCCATTTGCGGCAGCTCTTGCTGCTGCTTCTTCTTCTGGTACTGCGGGATGTGAACTGAGCGGGCCGCCGGGGAGAGAGGATTTCCGTTCGCGCGAGACAGGTCGGCGGAGGTTCTGCTCGGGGCTTGAGTCCCCCGCAAATGCAGACTCGTTGCCGCCGCCGCCAGCAGTAGTGGCAGTGGGCGGGTTGAAGGACAGCTCGCTGGGGGTCATGTCGTAGCTTACGAGGCTGTCGCTGCTGGAATCGTCGTCCCGCTGGAAGCCCGTGCCGTGCATGGTGGGTGGTGGCTGGAGGTGGCCGGACAACACGAGCTTGAGCTGCTCGACCGACGCGACCTGCTCCTCCTTGTTGCCACCCGCGTCACTAGCCGTCGGGACGGGTGAGTGTCCACTGCGGGCACTCGTCATGCGTGCCTTGGCTATGTCTCCGCCGGGTGAAGTTGAGGGCCGGAGATTGGTCTTGCTGTCCTGGGGCGACGATCGGTCGGGTCGGGGGTAGTGTCCGTTCGCGGTGAGACCGCCGTTGGCGCGGTTTGTGCCTGTGGTCCCGGACCGGGATCCGTTGAGCGACGCGGATTTGCTGGTCGCCTGCACGGCGGCGAGGACGGCGTCGCGGCTCCACTCACTGAGCATCTGCTCGCGAAAGTGCGCCGGCAGCTCGTGCTTGGCCTCAATAGCGGGGATGGTGCTCATCGTCGAGCCCAAGATGGGATGCGAGAAGCTGCGGCCAGGACTAGCGGCCGGGCTTTGCGGCGGAGAGGCTGCCTGCTCCTGGTATGCCGTACATACGCAATCCACCAACGCGTCGCGCTCATCAAAGGGGAGCAGCGCCTCCGACTCGATCTCCTCGAGAGGCAGTCTCAGCTGAGATCGGACCGTGCCCGGCGTGTCCACCAGGTCAAGAAGCGGAGGCGGGATGTGCACGCCCTCAACCCAGAAATGCTTGCTGCGACGGCGGACAATTTCGTTGTGGATCAGCCTGCCCACCATGGAACCCTCGAATTCGAACTTCTCCGTCAGGGACCAAAAGTACCCGTGCACTAGGCTGCCGAGGCGGACCTTGTAGATGGGCGTCTCGGCATCCTGGATGTCCTCCTGCAGGCGGAAAATCATAGGCAGGCCATATCTGACGGCGTTCACGCCCAGCTTGTCTACCAGCTTTGCCAACAAGACGTGGAGGAGTACAATATCGGTCTCGTAGTCGAGATACTGGATGGCGTTGTCGTAGATGGCGAGATGGAGAAGCTGCAGGAAGTGCGACCTCGGGACTTTGACGGGCTTTTCCCGGGTCGAGGCGCTGGAGACAGCTCTCCGGGCCAGCGAGGCGCCTGGAAGCTCCCGGTGCTTTAGCATCGAGCGCGTCGTCTCATCCCGCGCAACGCAGTCGGCGCTCGTGGTCTCACGGTCCAGCCACGTCACGACCGCGTCGGCGTACGCCTTGCGGACAAGACCGTCGGGGTCCCGCAGCAGCCACTGCGTGCCGTCCCAGACCTGGACGGGGACGCGGCTTCTGGACAGGCCCAGGGTTCCGCTCATCTTGGCCCGAGGATTCGCAACGAGCAGAACCGACTTGATTGCCCGCAGCGCCGCGATCTTGGCAATCGTGAGGGCAAACAGGGAATCAACGTGGGGCTCGTCGGATAGGGCAGGTTCGGACGTTTTGGGCGTGTTGTCCGACTTCTCTCCATGAGGCGATCCCGAGCTGCTGCTGGATCGAGAGGGCTTTAGCTTTTGTAGAATCAGGGCGATCATGTCGGAAATCTGATCGGCGTAGTAGACATGCGTCGCCAGGTCCCCAATGCATTCTTGAAGACGGAACAGCAGATCTCTGCGCTCGGCAGCAGCTTGTTCCGCTTTATCGGCGTACCGGACGCCAGTCGGGCGACGCGGATCAGGCTGGCCCGCAAGAGGTGCCTCGGTGCGCATGCTGTTCGGGTCGCCCGGCATCTGCACGACTCTCCTGATATGCGCAATGAGCTGGAGGAGAACGTCCATGACGCTCAGGCCGATGAGGTTGATGTCGGATCGCAAAAGTGCCCCGATCATGGCTGCCAGAACGATGTGCTGCCGCAGCGTGTCGTCTGTTAGGGGGTGCTGGGCTAGCGTCTCCATGGCCGTGACCAGAATGGTGAAGCGGTCCGCAACGGGCGCCCATCGGGCAGCCAGGAGGACCATCTTGATAGCCCAGCCGCTGTCACTCCCGTTCGTGTCTGTCCTCACGACATCCTCCTGCTGGCCCACGCGCTCCTGGATAAACTCGAGGAGCGCCACGGTGGCGGCATGGACCTGCGACCGGTTGGGGCCGACGAAGATGTGCCGAATACATTCCATGGCCAGCACACCGGTGTCCTCCTCGGCCAGCTTGTCCATGTCCACGGCCGTGTCTGCGAGCGCGATGGGGTTCGCGTTCGACTCGCTCTCGGCCGTCTGCACCGTTGCGACACTTGTCCGTCTCCTCAACAACGCCCCGCCCAACTTCTCCTCCGTCTCCGCTCGCTGATGGAGCACGTCCAGAAAGTCTTCGTTATCCGTCCACAGGTTCTCGAGGATCATGGGTATGGCCAGGCCGTACTGCTGCGTCGTGACGGAGGAGAGGGCCTCGGACGAAGCAACGCTCTTAATGGCTTTGAGACCCGTATTTCTCCATCGCAGCGCTATCGGCTTGCTCGGCTCGAGCTTCCCCGGGAAGGCGCGCGTCGAGGCAAGGGAAGCATAGTGCTGCACGACGTCTAGGTACTGGCGCAGATAAGCCTGGTCGCCCATGAGGGAGGTCGGGTCGTGGTGGGCGCAGAACGCCTCGAAGGTCGGGATGGACGACTCAACCATGGTGATGTCGTGTGACTTGAGGATCTGCTCAAGGATGTGGAGGACGCATGGCGCGAAGAGCGGGAGGTCCTTCGGCGTCTTTTCGATCAGAGCCGTGAGGATCTGCAGGGTGACCTGGACATTCCTGCCGAGCGGGTCGACTCAGCCCAACGGCACTCACTTGGGGGTTGACACTAGACACGGCAGAGAACGGAATCCTTACCCTATCCGCTGGCGGTAGACATCGCTTGCCGTCTTCTTCTCCAGGAAGCTGCCGACCTTTTGTATCTTGGACCGTCGCGACTGGGCGTAGAACAGCAAGTAACTGAGCTCGCTCGAGTTCGGTTTCACGTCGACGGCGCCCTTGGTGGTGCGCGGGTAGCATTTCAAGACGAGCACTTGGTGCTTGGGGCGGCACTTCTGCTGAATGGTATTCATGGTGGGCGAGCGGATAGCGGCAGTTCCCAGGGTATCTGGTGCTGCGTGATGCGAGAGGCGCCCAATGCCGCGGAGAATTCGGACGGGCTCTTCGGGCAACGCTGCGAGATAGTTAGGTCCTGGTTAGAGGTATCCCTTCGGCTGCAGCACTCCGACCAAAAGCAGCTGTCATCGGAGGCGTCTTTGGTGTTGGAGAACACGAGGTCTCAGCGCCGCCAACAAAAAACCGCCACGGGTGAAATTGCACTCAGCGCGATACCTTGGTGGTTTGGTCACCTTGTGCCTTGCTAGATAATAAAGGACTGGGGGAGGCAGCGAGCGTGGCCCACGCCAAGAAATTGACCGATGCAAGATCTGACCTGAGACTCAGAGCGACCGACAGGCTGGGACCAGCCAGCAAGACCAAGTCACAATTCGCACACTGCTATCACTGGAGCTCTAGGTAGTCAGGCAATTATCGACAGAATCCGGTTTCAAGGCAATTAATTGTATGTGCAGGTTTGCCGAGCCGGGCCTTTTTGTTCCTAGTGAACCTAAAGTTAGGAATGATGATGATGGCCCGGACTCATCTGATGCTGAAGAAGCTTGATGATGATGTGTCCGCTTTGGGAAGGATGGCTGCGAGCCAATTTCGGCCCCTTTTGCGTAACCTACCTTAGTACTCCGTACAACAGTACACCTGTAACCCCATAGTCTGCTACCAACCGCTTGCGGCGTTGTCATCAGGTTTGGTTGTTTCCTGGCCACCGCAAGGTCAGAAACAAACCCAACTGCGACCATTGGCAGACTTCTATGAGTCTCGTCTCGAGGGGGCTGGATTGGGCCGTGGATCCGAATCCGATGCATTCTTTCCACTGAGGAATTCGAACCGGCTTGTCAAATCTTCGCCTGCCCAACAGACACAGGAGCGAGCCGAAAGCTGTGTTTGTCGTCTGCGATATAGCTCCGCACGTTGGAGATTGCCTCGACGAAGAAGATTTCGCACACTAGGTAGTTATTGTGTGTCTTGGGATCAGAAATTCAGAACGTCGTGCCGACTTGATATGGAACAGATCGTCTCTCATTGATAAATAATAAACCCTCACACCCACCTTGGTATTAATTTTATACAGTAGTACATACTGTACATATATAGGTCGCAACGATCTGACAACTGCGATGCCTGGAACTCAGAAACCAAATACACTCGACCTGTGCAGGTTTACCGTCATTACGTGCCTCGCGCTCAGTAAGGATTGCCATCTATGCACAACGAAGGTACTACCTTAGGTAACTACTCGTAGGTATAGTACGAATACACGCCATACCGTATTACCCGTATTGTACTGTATGTATTATGTAGACCCACAAGCCCCAACGTGGCATATCGCAGAAACACTCCGTATACGGTAACTACCTTCCCCACTGCCACCTTCTACCTAAACTGAACGTCCTCCGGCGCCGGGTCAAACTCCGGCCACGCGTCTAGCATGCTAACATGTCCGGGACTGCCGGGCATCACCGTCATGCCCGCTAGGATCTCGCTCCTTTGTCCTGCGTCATCTGCGCAGCGAGCCCTGACGGCTCCGCGGTGTTGAATTGGCATTTTACGGTTACACAGTAGCTCTCCTGAGCTATATGCTCAAGATGGGGTTGCTGCCGTGTGGCTTTGGTTCTGAAGGATTCAATATAACTACGACAGCGAGAATACCACGGTGATCGCAGGTGATGAGCTGGGCTGAGTCGCTGATGAGCAGTGTACGTCAACAAGGCACACAGCGGCTTGCGATCGCACCGTAATTACGCCCGTCTCCTTCCGTTCCTGTCTGCATAGCAAGGCGGCTTCCCCAAGACCGGGTGCGCGGTTCATGCCTGGTTGCAACAAGCCTTCCAGGTTATTATGGGAGGCCGAGTAAACCGCCGCAGGACCCCACACTACGTGATCTGCCCAACGGGATGCTTTTGCGATGAATACGGTTCCTTCCCGATATGGCAATGTTTCTAGCCAAGACCCATGAAGGTGCCAGGTGGTAGTGATGGTCCGATGTGAACGACGACTTCCCCGTCGAGGGGCTGAGCGTGCCTACCATAGATGGCAGACTACCAGGGGAGGGGGAAAGGGATAAATACCCAGGTATATTGGGGAGTTGCCCTCGGTCGGATGCAGACAATGATCCAGCTAACCTCGAAGTTGCCCACCATCGATCAGTACCGGTTGTCTCGTCACCATGTATCTCTGGCACAGCGGCTTCGTCTGTGCCGTCCAGCTCTTCCCGTCGGTCCTCGCGGCATCGGTCGCTCCGAGACTTGACAACAACTGCCCGACGACGCAGTGCAAGGCCGTTCCCGGAACGCCGGGCTGGCCCTCGGCGCGGGACTGGGCCGCACTCAATGAGTCCCTTGCCGGAAGACTGCTGCAGCCGCCTCCTCCAGGAGCTGTCTGCCATCCCGGAGAGGAGTCCTACGACGCCACAGAGTGTTCCGCCGTCCGCGCAGCATGGTCAAGCTACGAATTCCACGCGGCCAACCCCATCTCGGCCGACTGGAACCAGTGGACCAACGAGTCATGCCTTCCACAGGAGGGTGCTCCATGCAGCGGTAAAGGGTATCCTGTCTTCGTTATAAACGCTACCGAAGCCCGCCATGTCCAGCTCGGCGTGCAGTTTGGTAAGAGAGCATCCTCCCATGTCTGTCTCTTTTGTGAGAGAGAGGGCGGCACGATCTAATCAAAGCGTCCGCTGGCACAGCGAGGGAACACAATGTTAGGCTGATAGTGAAGAGCACCGGTCATGACTTCATCGGCCGCTCAAGCGCGCCCAACTCCCTCTCCATCTGGACGCATAACATGAAGGATATCAGGACTCATGATTCATTCCGCCCTAGCCGCTGCAACATCACCATTGAGGGTCCGGCCGTCACAGTTGGTGCCGGTGCCGAGATGTGGGATGTATACAGCGCGCTCGACCGCCTCAACCAGACCGTCGTCGGCGGCGGGGGCAAGACCGTCTCCGTGGGTGGTTACCTGACGGGTGCCGGCCACAGTCTGCTCTCGCCCAGGTATGGCCTTGCAGCGGACCAAGTGCTCGAGATGGAAGTCGTAACTCCGACGGGCGAGATTGTCACGGCCAACGAGTGCCAGAACGAGGATCTGTTCTGGGCCATGCGTGGTGTAAGTGACTCCTACTCCTACCCTCTTCGGAGTGGGCGCACAGGGGGGCCTCCTGAGACGCTCACACCTCTTCTCTCATTACAGGGCGGCGGCTCGACCTTCGGAGTCATGACCTCGGTCACCATGAAGACGTACCCGAGCCCGAAGATCGAGTCAGTTCTCGTAGGCATCGTGACCACGGACGTCGCCAACCCGCGCGCCATCTTCGACATGACCGCCTACGTGCTCGGCCAATTCCCCTCGCTCGGCGACCAGGGGCTCTCGGGGTACGCGTACTTCTCCCCCGGCATTCTCAGCACCTTGCCCGGCACCAGCAACATCACCGTTGCAGGTTTCGCCATGTACGGCGCCCTGCAAGACACCACGCCCGAGGCGATGCGCGCGCTCTGGGATCCCATCTTCACGCGCGTCAACGAAACCTGGCCGGGCCTGTTCCAGCAGCTGTACCTGCCCAAGAGCTATCCGTCCTTCTTGGCCTACTTCACCGAGAAACACGACCAGACCCCGGCTGGGCTGAACGAATACATCGGCTCGCGCCTGCTCGACCGGGATGCACTCACATCCGACCTGGCCAAAAGCTCGGCCGCGTTCGAGCGCTTCAGCAATGGCTCCGCCGCTACGGCGTTTCTGGTTTCGGGCAAGGGCGTGTTCAATGCGAAGCCGAGAGGCCGTGGCGGGAATGCCGTCCTGCCGGCCTGGAGAAAGGCTTATGTCCATGCCAGTACGTTTTGTTTCACAACTCCACTCAACCCTCCTCCCCCTTCTTACCAACCTTTTGAAGCTAATAAATACTCCTTGTGACACAACAAACAGCCCTTGGCGTGATAGCACCCCCACTGGACCCCGCCGGCCATGCCGCAGCGCGGAAGCAGGTGCAATACCGTGTCCAAGGCCTGAGAGAACTGGCGCCGCACATGGGCGCCTACATGAACGAGGCCGCCTCCGACGAGCCGAACTACCAACACGAGTTCTGGGGCTCCCACTACGAGCGACTGTATGTCCTGCGCCTCCATCTTCCCTTCCTCAACTCTCATTCTCCCATTCCATTCCTTCCCCATCCTGTCATAATAAAAACCAAACTAACAAAACAACCTTTCCTCCAATAGCCTCCGCATCAAACGCGCCGTCGATCCAGACGACGTCCTCTGGTGCAACCCGTGCGTGGGCAACGAGCGCTGGAAAGAGGAGGCGGGCGACCGCCTGTGCCGTGTTTACGGAGACCAGGGCCACTAAAAGCATCAGCGGAGACCGTTCGTTCGTCTTGCATGTCCTCCCGTCCGGGCACAGAAAACAGCGTGTGTGATGGGGATTGCTCTGTCTTCATTCTCACTGGGTCGAGTACTAGCCCTAGAAAGTAGAGTTTGCTACTGCTTTTTAATAGATACAGTGTACACTACCTAGTCTAGCGTAATTGGAAAATATTATATACCTGAAAAGTGAACAATCGTAAAGAAATGGCTTGCTCATCACCCCGGGGGAGTGCCACTTTGGGACAGTGGGACTGTGTGATGCTTGAGATGCGATATCATAGGTTTCACCTCCCCGGACCGTCATTACCTGTACATAAGGAAGACCATAGCCCATACGGTAGGCAGACATCAATATTCAATACTACCTTACCTATCTACGCAGGCGAACTTCCGAAGGGCACCTAGGCAGGTAAACATCTGCACTCCCCACTACCTTGATAAAATCGCACCTGCGCCCGGACTCTAGTCATATCTAACTCATACCCCATCGTTGCTTGCTCGTCTCGCCATTACTGCACTTTCCTTTCACTTTTCCTCTCTCGACATAACATTATGATGTGTCTCGATCCCCTTATTACCAAGCCAAACACAGACCCAATTCCCCAAACCCTTGTTCATCGCCCTGCTAACAGATAGCGCCCATCCACTCGAGCCGTGCCACACACATCAGGAGCTCAAACAGAAAAGTGCGCTCCACAGAGTGCTTCCAACCCAAAATATATCTCCTCATATAAAGGCAGCGCTCTCATCTCCCTTATCACGCCACCTCGTCGTTTCGTTCTCTTCCTGTTCCAAGACCTCCGCAATCCCCAACCGCCGGTTCTCCACCCTTTCCCGCCGGTCATAGCCGCCCTTCTCAGTTATGCCATAACCCCCCGTGTTGGTCGAGACCGGCCCGAACTGCCTCAGCACAGCCTCCGTCAACCCAGGACTTGACATCACCGACGCTGATCCAGACGGACTCATCACACCGTTGCCCGAGCCCGGCGGCGTCTGTCTCGAAATCCTCAGAGGCGCAGGCCTTAGCTTGCTCCTGGGTGGTATGGGAGGAGGCGGAGACGATCGGTTTGGGCTTTCGTTCTCGTTGGTGAGCTTTGTCAGGCTAGGTGCATTACTATTTGCATTGGTGTCGAAAATGGTGGTCCGTTTGTGGCTGGACCACCAGGAAGGGGATGATGGTCTTGGTCTGACGACGTTCGGTTCGACTTGGGAGAGCGGGCCAGTGCCAAAGTCTGGCTTCCGCGTCGGCGTTTCAAAGACGTCGTCGTCATCGACGTCGGTCGCATAGTTGTTGCAGTCATCGTTGCTGTGGGTTTGTGCGTTTTCGCGGACATGGCGTCTTAACGAGGAGAATTGGCTACTGCGAGAGCCTCGGACCACGGGTGGCAGGGCAGGCTTGACGGCCGTTGGCCTTGCGAAAGAGCCGGAGGGTTCAAACTTGTCAATGTTGGCAGATAGCCACGTCTTCCAATCAACCGAGCTTGCCGTTGACGTCTCGCGCCAGCCCCCACGTCCATAGTTGGCTGGAGTTTCTGCGAATGTTCTGCTTCGCCTGTTGACTCTGGCGTATTGCACCGAACCATGCTCGTCCCCATCCGAGGAATAGACGCTCTCGGTGCAGTCTAGATCCTTCGCAGAGTCTGAACTAGTCTCCCGCAAAGGTTGATTCAGCCCGCTCTCATGGTGGGCTTGGCTGCCCGCGTCAGAAACTTGATCACTGGCAGAGCTTTGCTGGGCCCAGGCATTCTGCTCCTCCTGCATCGACTTTCTAAGGGCACGGCGGTAAGGGCTTGCTGTCCTGAAGAGGTATGAGGCGGGGCTGTCGGCGAGCCTCGACGGCTGATCTGCTCGTGTGCTCGCCTGGAAAAATATGTCATTGTGGTCCTCTGTCAAATCGTTCCGGAACTCCTGGCGCTGGCTTGCAACGTCACCAAGCCCGCTAGTTGACAGCCTGTCATGTTCCAGATCTTCACTGGGTCTGCCTTGGTAGCCACCGGAAATAGTCGGAGTGACATCGACAGAAGCGGTTTGTTGCTCATCCCGGGTACCATGGCCACGAGAGAAACCCTCCCTCCTCGAAGCTCTGGTGGGCGTGGTTATGTTATCGGATGCCGTGGAGTAACCTCGCTCAGGGATGGCGCGCTTTATTGTCTCCGGCGTGCTACTTGAAGAGCTACCGGACCGTTCGTGCACCGGCGCGACGGCACCAGACGCTAGGGTCCCAGAATGCCCCTCCTCCTCCACCTGTTCGGTGCGGGCGTTCATGGTCTGCATCCGCTTCACGAGAGCCGAATAGATACGTTGGCTGTCCACAATCGGGCCAAGGGCGACAGCGGTTCCGGGAGCATTGTCAGGGACCCGGAAGAGGTCGGATCCAATGGCCTGTCTTCGCAGGGAGCTTGATGGGATATGTGCGCCATTCTCTTTTATGACGGAAAGGCGGTGTCTTTCCCATTCTCTCCATTGCTGTTGCTCCTGGCTTGTGAGTGTGCTGGGCCCAGAATGCACCCAGGTTGTCAAGGAGGAGCCATCCGACACGTTCCGTTCTCTCTCGCTTCTCAGGCTTTCCGAACTTGCCTTGTTAGAGTGAGCAAGCCTCGGTGACACGACTCGAAGTGATGGCACCTTCACTGGCGGGTTGCGAATGATTCCACAGCGCTGGCCAGTGGAAGTCTCATCCTCACCGTCAGAAGTCGGTACGAAGGTGGCATGGCTCCTCTGGGCCTCGATGTGCTGGCATGGGATGGAAGACGTCTCTTCTTCGGGCTTTGCATGAGTAAACAGGTTCTTGAGTTTGATCTTCAGTGTCCTTGACGCCTTTCTTGCTTTCACTCGAAGCGTCCCCTGCCCTTCTGAGTGGGTTTCGGAAACGGTGCTCGATGCTCCGAAGTCCTCAGTCGAACCGCTGCTGCGAAGAGACTTGGGCATTTTCACGTCGGCTCGGCGACCTCTTAGACTGAAAAGCGCAGAAGGTTTGTATCTGAGTCGTGTGGTGCTCTGCGCGGCCATAGAAGACGAGCCGTCCTCTGGAAGATCCACCAAGCCGGACTGTCTCGATTCCCGTGTGCTTCCTTCCCGACTCGAACTGGACTTGGACTGCCACTTTCGGTTGCCTAAGAAACTCATCGATTTGGGAGCCCTCAGAGTCGGGACGGAGTTCGGGGATTTGCTGTCGTTTGGCTCGGAACGGAAGAACCTGCGCGAAGATGATACTCCCGGCAGTCTATGCTTTGTAGGTTTATTCGTTGCGCTTAGTCCCGGGCCCTCGTGGCTTCTCCTGATGGCAAATTGATCGCTGACCATGGATCGAGATCTGTGAAGACGGCGATATGACGATGGAGCGGAGGCTATATCGTCTTCCGGGGTGTAGTATTCGTCTTGGGCGGTTAGAGCGTGGAGATAGCTCGTAGCCATGCTGGGCAACGGAGCGGGTGGCGGTGCTCTTTGGGGACGGGGAGGTGCATTCAGGGCCATATTATGGCTTTCGCAGCTGCTCGTCTCACCACCCACTGTTGTGTTCGCCGAGTCCGCATCCGAATACCTCGAGTCGAGATCTGTGCATGCTCTTCGACCCCTCGGCGGCACAGAACACGGCCCCATAAACCGTACGCTCCGTCGACGGCGGAAATCCTCGCCTCTAGGCTCATCTTGACTGGCTACGCTCCGCTCAGTCTGTTGCCGGCCAGGAGATAACTGGGCGCTCGGAGGAAACAGTGACATGCCGGCCGTCGCCCGGATCTGGGCTCTGGTGTATGCCTCCTAGGCAGCGATATGGGCGTCCCGTTGTGCTAGCACGGGATCGAGATGCTCAAGAACGACACCATGGGTCGACGACGTGGACTTGCTGCGTTTGAGGTCCGACTTGGACTTGAGGCTGCGCCGACGCAGCATGGAAGCGGTCGAATGGAGTTGTATTTGCAAAGTAGCGATGCAGTCGCACCGAAATAGCAATTCGTAACAGTCGAGGAAAAGGGACTGGTTGACGGTTAAGGCTGTGTCTCTAACCCTATGCCGAGGGAAATGAGATGTTCAGGGCGGTGCCACAGGGAGGCGGACTGTGATCTAGAAACCCGGGTAAGCTTTAAGGTGGACAACTCCGGAGAATCAGGGCAGGCACTTACTACCAGGTACAATACCTGGTAGGTACAGTACCTTACCTAGGAAACCACTATGGAGGACTTTTTAAGTTCCATGTTGGGCAGTGGTTTGATGGCGAGTTGCCACAAGGAAGGCGCACCTGAAGATGCCTGTTCGTCATGGCTCGAAGTGAGAATCGTAATGAGCAGGAAAGAGCAGGAAAGAGCGAGCTTGAGCACAGGTTCTGAGTCTCGGATGATGTTCGACCGCCTCCCTGGCACTTCAAAGTTCAAACCACAAGCACCTTGGAGCACTACGGAGTACAGTCACTTCGATGCCAAATGATCAAATCTTTGTCGACGGAAACAACGTTGATAAACTGACTGACTGAGGATACCCCGAAATGCAAGCCAACCCAGCGATTCAAGTGCGTCCCAAGTCCCATGTTGCATGTACAGTACAAGAAAACTCCGTAGGCTGCCATGATGCGTGCCCATTCCGATATCCCAAGAAAAAAGCCCAGTAACAAAAAGCAGTCGTCATCACATTCCGAGGATTGACTGCCAGCCGCTGAGTCACGGCGACGCTCTGATGATCATCTTACTCAAGCAGCGATCTCCTCGAGGAAGTCCTTGATCTCCTCATCAACCAACTCATGGATCTTCTGGGAGAACTTCTCAGCCTTGTCCGCGAACGACGAGACGCCTTCGGCAACCTTGCCAGAGACGACCTCGAAGTCGTGCTCGATGAGCTTCTCAAGGTCGGAGACCGAGGTACCGATGTCGATCTTGTCAACCTTGGACTTACGGTCCACCTTGTAACCGCCAGCCTCAACGATAGCTGAGTAGTTGTTGCAGCCACCGCCGTTCCAGGCGAGCAGGTTGGGGGTGCCCTTAGGCATGTCGGTGAGGGCGTCCTCGGTCGCAATCTTGAGAAGGTTCTTCTTCATCTTCTCGGGAGTGATGGGAGCAACCGAGTACTCAGAGTCCTCGGCCGGCTGGAGCGAGAGGTAGTAGGCCAGCAGGCCGCAGATGTGGGGCGAGGCCATCGAGGTGCCCGAGATGGTGTTAGTGGCATACTTGCTGCCGATCCACGTGGACAGGATGCTGAGGCCGGGGGCGAAGATGTCGGTGCACTTGCCGTAGTTGGAGAAGTAGGCACGGCTGTCGTCAATAGCGGAAGCACCAACGGTGACGGCCTTCTCAGCCGCAGCCGGCGAGTAGTTGCAGGCATCCGCGTTGTCGTTGCCAGCAGCAACCGCGAAGTGGATACCAACCGACACAGCGGCGTTCACAGTGTCATCGAGGGCCTTGGTCTTGCCGCCACCAAGCGACATGTTGGCGACGGAGCCCTTGAAGCCCTTGCGCTTGCCATCCTTGGCGGCCTTGACCTGCTCGATATGGGACTTGGCAGCCCACTCGACACCGGCCACGACATCGGCCATGGTGCCGGAGCCGTTGGAGCGGAGAACCTTGACGGCATAGACGTTGGCCTTCTTGGCAACACCATACTTCTTACCAGCGATGGTGCCAGAGCAGTGAGTGCCGTGGCCGTTGCCGTCAATATCGGCGTCACCTGAGGGGATGGTCTTGCCCCATTTGGCGCGGCCCTCAAAGTCCACGTGCTCAATATTGGTGCCGGTGTCGATGACATAGGCATCGACACCTTCGCCACCCTCGGCAGCGTAGAGGTACTTGTTGAAGGTCGAGAAGCCCAAGGTGTCCCGGTGCGAGATACGGGCCAAGCCCCACGGAGCGGCTTTCTCAAGCTCGCTATCGCACTTGGTCTCTTCGACGCGCATCGTGTGGACAACGCTGTCGCGCTCGATGTACTCGACCTGGAGCGCCGCCGATCAGCATTTGAGGTACGAATCATGAAGCGGCTGAAGAACCTACATCAGGATGCCTCCGAACTTGCTCGATGACCTCGTCATCGAAATGGCCAGAGTAGCCCATGAACTCTTGGCCAATCTTGTAGGTGTGCTTCAGACCGCGGAAGACATCGTCAACCAGCGGCATCTGGCCGCGCTTCTTCAGATCGGCACGCTCGGTTTCCCGGTTTGTGTGGATCTCCTGGATCCAGGCATGATGGGCCGACGCTGAATCTTCGCCGACATGCTTCTTGAACTTGATGATGTACGAGTTGGGAACGACCTCGGCGTTGGATGACGACAGAATGGGCGCCGCGTCGCCATGGATGGTCCCATAGCTGACACTGGGCGCCGCTGCAGCGTATGCCGCGAATGAGAGAGCGACGAGGCCTCTCATTGTGAACCGAAAGGAAAGGCGAAGTCGAATAAGCCGGCGACTTCAAGGACGCAGAGAGAGAAAGTCGAAACGAATACGAATAACAGAAAGATGAACTTCAATGACTTTCCCTCCTTGACTTTCCTCGACCTGATGGACTGAACGATGGAGGTTGATGATGTGGATGTGGGAGGATGGTAAGAAGGGGAAGGGAGCGAGTTCGGCATTCCTGGGAAGCTGCGTGCTGATAAAGAGGCGGCGGATGGGATGCGTCAGACGTCCCCGACTCGCTCACAAGTCGCAGCCAGGCGGACACCGGGGGCTGGGACCCGCCTCTAGCCAAATCCGGCTAAGTAAAAGGCGGAGCAACCAATGGTGCGCAACACATGACAGGCTCTTGGGTCCACTGAGGCGAGACGGGACGATAGGGTGCCTGCGATAAGGACAACTGGGTCGCCTTATCAGTTGGCAGCACAACTGACACCATCGGGAACGCTTATCGCGTTGATCATGGAACTCCGAACCGAACCTCAAGGGAAATGGTCCTAGCTATGGCAGTGGAAATGGCAGCTGCCTGGTTTCGGGAAATATTCACAGTTACTGTAGGTTCGCCGATAATTCTCACCGTATGCTGAACATGCCTCGGCGGCACAGGCAAGTTGTTGGGGCGAGGCTGCCCTGTTACGGGATCGGCGGCTTGCTTACCGCCTTGCATGGGTTGGAAGTGATCCTTGGACAGTTGGACTGCCCCTGGCCCGTTTGGCGGCTTTGGCCTTGATTCGCAGAAGCTCGTTTGGAGCTCCCAGCTCGTGTGTAACAAGGCAGCAAATGACGAAGCCGGGGAAGCTCATCATTGCTGAGCGATTCCGGATCAAAGCGACCGACAAATGTTGAGCCATCCTCGGCAGCACCAATGCGCCGATTGCATCCATGGAGCGGAAAGTCCTGGTGCCAGGCGAATCTGCATCCACGCCAGGTGTCCAGATGGCCAGACATGGGACATTTAGAAGGTTATGCATATGCTCACCTATACGTACATTACACGTGTAGGCACTGGTCAACTGGTCATGACCGTTCTCCTCTGAGCTCCGCAGCTCTTGAAAGGATATGCTCAGCTACTGTTGGAGTTGACCGTTGTTTTGCCCTGCCCTGCTAGATGCCGTTTGATGCCCTGCCCGAGGACGTCACCAGGGGCAATCCCCACCCATTCGGGGAATGGTCACGCGGGAGCGACCACGAAGCACGTGCGGCTGCAGGGGTTCCCACCGCTTGGGAGCTATCACGGAGCTTCCATCTTCTGGGCCCGACCTGAGCACCTTGGTGGTGTTCACTTTCATTGTAACGTTCAAGTTGATTATACAAAATCTTGGCTCCTCGAATGGAGGTGACGCAAAACGCCAGTGTATATTACACGCCGTGCGCTGCTTGCGAGCCCTTGATGGCCCGCGTGAACTTGGTGTCACTACCTGACTCCAGCCAAAGCCATGATTAAGCCATTCCGGCACAGGTAACCCACACGTTTCAGAGTTGACCTCATAGTGATCCAGTGCTACGATCTGTATGCTGTAATCATAGCCCTCCAGTGCCGGCGAGCAAGAACCCTATCAACTTGAGACTGGCCGGAAACGAGATGCTTGGGTACTGCGGAATCTATCTGAGCACCAAAGGTAATCGGATCGTACATGCACGCAGAAGCCTTGCCCATGCTCGTTCCCCCAATTGCCGGGCGATGGATGGCTTTCGCCGTACGCAATCGGCCCCAGCTCCGTTTTACAATAGGACAACTGATGGCCGGCTATCCATGCAATCATCATCTTTAATGCTGAGCTGATGTCGGCACAGTGTTGTGAGTTTTCTATCTCAATGTCGTCAATTCCAGCGGAACGCCAAGGTCAATCCAGATCATGAGAATCATAAGAATCAAGTGTGAATTAAAGAAGACTTTGAAGTCAATGCAGGAGTCAGCTATGAGGTTCAATCCAGAGTCGATGCTTTATTCGTTCGTACAAGTACAGTCTGTACTAGTACCTGGATTGAGGGTACGGGACACCAATCCAATGGGATGACTTTCCGCAAAGGGGCTTCTCCACCCGACGGTCACTTGTGGCACCCGCCCCTCAAGTATTGATTCAACCCTGGGCACTCGCACCGCCACACTGCCCCTCCGATCGGCCCTGTAAGGCTGCGAGACAGCTGAGAGAGCTGAGCTTTCAGGTGCGGGAAGCCACAGCTCCAGGCTGATACGCCAGTAGACCAGGAAGCCTCCATTGTTACGCTTGACGTAAACCTACATCTGCAGAGCAAACGGTGCTCGAAAGAGAAAGAATTTCCCAACTAACATACACCCGTTAGCATCGCCACTGGAATTCAGCCGTTTCATCGTCGGTGCCGGCTCGAGCGAAAGAGAGACCCGCGGCAGCCTGAGGATGTTGGCGTAAGCACTTCCTCAGCACAACGCACCGCGGTTTCTTTTCCATGACGGGGCTCCGAGCTCGCGCACCTGGACCCTCGGTGGGTGCTAGGGATCGAAGAGGCTGTTGTCGCAGTCGTAACTTATAAGGACCGGTAAATTGGCGTGACTGAGCGCGCAAGCGGACCAAGATGCTCCCCGTGCGGACCCGCCGCTATCGAGCGTCGACATCAGCCTCAACAGTGCAGACGTCCAAGGCTACCGAAGTGCTCCGGGCCCTCCTCGAACGGTTGTCCGACACAGCAAGCTCCTCGCCAGCAGACTCGTACCCGAAGATCGAGGAACTGGTCGACCAGATCAGACAAATCCACCAGCATGTTGCTGCCCTGCTGCCGCCCTCCCCGCCGCAGGACGACCTCCGTCACCTGCGCGGCTTCCAGACTCTGCTTAATGTATTGCGAATATTCTCGGGCTTCTATAATCCCTGCAAGCGCAGCGAGAGCGAGAAGAAAGCAATCTTCGATTTGCTGCATGTCGTCCTAGCCACCCTCTCCACCGCCTTCCGCGGCCACCCCGGCAACCGACGATACTTCCGAGACAGAGTTGAGGGCGGGGGATGGGAGGTCTTGGAGCAGATTATAGCCAGCATTGGCGTAGGAGGGGGAGATTCGGACCTGTGGACCAGCTGCCAGCTGTTCGGGAAACTTCTCTCCTTCGCGCTCGACGACCAGCGCCTGGATGAGCTCTGCCGTTCGGTGGCACGTCACGCGACACCAGATTCCGCCTCAAGGCCGCAGGATGGACAACAGGGCGGGGCGGGGCACAGCGTGGGAACCATTGATGCGAGGGTGAGAGAAGTCGTCGGACCTCACACCGTTATCCACAACGCCGAGATTATCCGAACGGTTGTTGCCTTCTGGGAGTCTATCCCACGAGGTCAGGACACGGCACTGAATCTGGCTTCGATGATAGTTCTCTCGACACTGTCGTCTATAGCATCTGCTTCTTCCTTCAACCTCAATGCTCTGCATGGGACAGGCGTGCTTTCTAGACTGCTGCGCTTGCTCTTCGCCCCAGACAGTGCGCTCACGGAGCCCGAGAGGGACAGAGCACTGCTCCTGTGCAGGTCGCTGATGCACCTGGGCATAGACCAGCTAGCGGACGCGCAGTTTTTGCTGAATCGCCGCGAGGTCGCCGCTTCCGAGTTCTGCCTGGACATGACGGAGCGGTACGCAGGGCCCCCCTTTATCCAGTTTGACCTCTCCCTTCGCGGCCACTCATCCATTGAACTACCAAATCTTGGCCGATCGTTCCCTCCCCAGACAGCGCCAGGATACACCTTCACTGGGTGGGTGCGTATCGACGAGTTTGATCCCGAGTCGCACACAACTCTCTTTGGCGTGTTCGACTCGACGCAGACCTGCTTTCTTCTGGCCTACCTCGAGAAGGACACCAAGAACTTCATCCTCCAGACATCGGTCACGTCCCCACGGCCAAGTGTCAGGTTTAAGTCCGTGGCATTCAAGAAGCACCAGTGGTATCACATCGCGCTCGTCCACCGCCGACCCAAGACCATGGTCGCGAGCAAGGCAAGCCTTTATGTCAATGGAGAGTTTGCTGAGCAGATCCGGGCCGCGTATCCGAGCCCGCCGCCCCCTTCCAATGCAAGCACCGACAGCTTTGTCTCCTTCACGTCGAACAGCACCAAGACAAACCCGGTCCAAGCTTTCCTAGGTACGCCGCGCGAGCTCGCCGCGCAGCTGGGGCCGGGCGTGGTGCGCTCCAGATGGTCGCTGGCTTCGGCGCACTTGTTTGAGGACGTGCTGAGTGATGACTTGCTTGCTGTATTCTACCGCCTCGGGCCGCGATACCAAGGCAACTTTCAAGACTGCCTCGGGGGCTTCCAGACCTACGAGGCGTCGGCTGCCCTGGGCCTCCGTAACGAGCTGTTCCATCCGGGCAAGGACGACGACTCGGACATTCTGAAAGCCATCCGAGACAAGGCGAGCAGCATCATCCCCGAGCACAAGGTCCTGCTGAGCACCTTCCCGCGAGCCATCTTTCCGGCAGACGGGAAGTTCATGGACTCGCTGCTCTTTCGATCCCTGTCGAGGAATGCGGCTAGCAGTCTGCTCCATGCCACCGTCAAGAGCGGGACGGCGGTTGCGGTCAACGGAGCCGTGCCGTGTATCAACGAGGCGCTGGTCAGGCTGAACGGCGTCTCCCTTCTCACGGGCGATCCGGTCGTCGCGACGCCGTACTACTTTGACGACAACCTCTGGCGGCTGGCCGGATTCACCCCCGTGGGCCTCAAGTTGGTCGAACGGTCGTCTACCCCTGAGGAGCTGATACGGTCCGTCGAGCTCGTGTTCCACTGCATCAGCAACAGCTGGCGGAACAGCGAGGCCATGGAGAGGGACAACGGCTATGCCATTCTGAGCATGCTGCTCCGCGCCAAGCTTGGATACAGCGTGCCCGGCTCCGAGACGCAGTCACTGGCGTGGCGGCTCGCCCTGTCCAACGAGGCGAGGGACCGACTGAGTCTGCAGCTCCTGACGCTGGTGCTGCACTTCGTTGGGTACAAGCACGCTGACCCGATCGAGTCCTTCATCATCAACCCGCTCGCCTACCGTGTGCTCCTCATCGACCCCGATACGTGGCGCAGGTCGCCGCCGGCGGTGCAGGAGCTCTACTACAAACAGTTTGTGACATTTGCCGTGCAGAGCAAGCACCACCAGTTCAATAGCCGCCGGCTGCTACGAATGCGTAAGTTTCCTCGACGCAGCAGTCGCCGGCGCCTGCAAAGCTTACTCCGTCTCGTACAGGGATCATCAAGAGGCTCCTGGACGCGTTGAAAGCCGAGACCATTTCAGAAGACATCATGCCGCATTTCATGGCGTCCTTTGAGAGCCTCGTCCGGTGCAGCTACAGTGCCGAGGTCCACCGTGCCATTGCCCTCTTCATCACGTACGCCTTCCACACCCCCGCGGGCTCCCGGCCACGCACGCCGAGGCCGCCTTCGATCCTAAGCGGCCGGCCAGCACCCGCGGCGGGCCTCAGCATGCTGCGTCGGCCTACCCTTGAGGGCGGCCACCCGCCATCTCCGGCTGCGAGCTCCAGGATGCTCAGCAAGAAGCAGCTGGGCGTCAAGATCCTGGAGATGTACACGCGTCTTCTCTGCGAGCCCGCCAGCGTGGCGGACATCCGCAAGTTTGCCAAGACTGTCACGAACAAGGTGATACACGCGGCTGGCTCCAAGAACAAAATGCTAGAAATCGTGCTGACGACCCGGCAGTGGCTGCTCTACCTGCTCGCAGAGAACGACCCGGAAATCGTCGTCCTCGGCTGCAAGATCCTCGCGCGCCTGCTCGTCACGCACCCGTCGGGCTATACGGCCAAGTTTGCGAGCAAGACCGGCGGCTTCTGGATCATGGCGCACCGCCTGAAGCAGTGGTGGGACATCTCCACTCTCTGGCCGATCCTCTTCAGCATCCTCTTCGGATATGACGTTGCGAAGATCAACTTTGAGAAGTCCTTCGACTTCTTCAGCCTCCTGGAAATCTTTGGCAGCAGCCGCATCGTGTTCCCGGACGTGCTGCCCGTCATAACCTCGATGCTACAACACGGCCTTCGCGATGTCCTCAAATATCAGGACGACCCGGATTCTCCGGCCAGCGATGCCGCCACAGCGGGAAGTGCTACAGAGAGTCTCGATGCGGTGCGGACGAGACGAAGGGCCCGGTCTATGGAACTGGGCCAGGCGCTTGAACCGAGAAGTGAGGAGTGGGTCTCTTCAGGCTCTGCGAGGATACTGCTAATGCGCGTCTTAGAGACACGCCTGCCCGATAAAGAGCGGGTCGCCGCGAACGCCGTGGTCCTTCAGACAGTTGTCCGGTTCTTGGCCGACATGCACGCCCGTTCCGTCAACCTCAGGGACTTCGCCCTATCCTCGGACTACATCCGGCAGCTTCTCTCGGCTCTGTACCCCGTCATTGTGAGCTCCGATCCCGTCACCGCCGAGACGGAGCTCAGGTCCAACGACACGTTGAACTTCGAGGGAGGGGATGTCATCATCCGGCCCGTTCCTGGATCTTCGACCCAGGCGATCCCCATCGTCAGGACGACAAACCCGGGGCCATCGGACTTCCAGCCGCCATCTCCGAGTCCGGGAAGAGGCACCCCTCTGCGCCGTCCGTCGTCGTTTATCCTAGTCACGTCGCAATCACCGCCATCAGCACCGACTCCCGCCCGCCTGAACCATGCCATGTCTCCCAAGAAGAGGATCGCCACCCGGAACGTCAGCAATGCGGTACTGGAGGGAATTCTGGAGCTGATTGTCGGCGTATTCACCGACCAGGTCCTGGTCAGGAAGGAGTTCCCGGGGTTCAATCTCTCCCTCAAGGTACCGCCTGGGTTCCAAGAGCACCACGCCTACTTTGAGACGTACATCCTGCGGAACGTCATCACCCACCTGAAGAACACGATCCAGCTGGACCAGAAGGTCCTCACGGAACCCAGGGTTTTGCAGAACCTGGCGCGCCTCAACTTCCACATGGCAGAGGCTGTGTTTGAAGGGTCGTTCATGAACGGGGCCGAGACGATGGTCGAATTCACGGGAACCGTGTTGGAGTACCTGCAGCGGCCCGACGTGGCGTCGCTCAAGAGCGTCCGTCTCTGCAACTCGGCGGTGGCGACGATCCGCTCAAGCTTCTTGAAGTTCACCCTGCTCAGGCTCTCCGACGTGGACGACCCGGAAACTAAGGATGCCGAGGGCCTGTCGACCATGGAGCACCTGCTGTACTGGCAAACTGTGCTCCTCGGCTGTTTGTCAGCGGACGACGACTTCATGAAACTGCTGTGGTACCAGCTCTATAACAGACTGGTCGACGCCCGGCCGAAGATCCGTCTGGTAGCGGCGACGATCTGGAGGATAATGCTGGTGCAGAAGCCGGAGGAGTCGGCGGCCATCTTTCAGCAGACCATGACGCCCGATCAACGGCCATTGGCCAGGGGCTTCGAGAAGCTCACCGAGCTGGACGATGCGACCTTCCTCGCATGGGTCGACCAGCACCGCCCGTCGCTCGACGTTCTCTTCTTTGGGGGCATGTCGAAGACGTGGGAGGAGTTCGTCGCGGCGGAGAATCAACGCACCGCAGACAACGCGCGAGCTCGGGTGAAGGCCCGGAAGGATAAGCTCAAGCAGTGGCACACCGAGTCGCTGGAGCGGGATAATATCCTGCTGCGCCACGAGATGGCCAACAGCGCGTGGATGAAGAGCATCTACTTCACGGAGCACTTCAAGCACCAAAGGCTCCTGCAGGATCAGCAGGACGACAATGCTTTCATGGCGTCGACATTCGCGAAGATGGAGCGCGATCTGTGCCGCCCGGGCGCCGTGTTCAGCGAGGCCCAGGCCATCAAATGGAAGCTGGACCGCACCGAAGGACGGAATCGGATGCGGCTCCGTCTCCTGCCGGAGTATCCCAGCCAGCGACAGCAGGAGTTCCAGCCGAAGAGGAATGATGTCCCTGCAGCTGGTGGTGCGAAGGCCAACCCCTCCTCGACGGGCAATCCCTTAGCGGCGGCACCGGCACCGGCACCGGCACGGGCTCCAACTTCAGCACCGGCCGTCGAAACCGGAGGCGATGGCAGCATGGAGGATCCTGACATCTCGGCCGAGCCGGAGACGGCGGGCGGCGAGACAGACCAGCAGAGCGTTGCGCCCGAGGAAGATTTTGAACTAGTCGAGGACCCCAACGAGCCCGAGGCGGATGACACGTTCGAAGACAAGAACAGAAAGGTGATGCGGAGGCTTCAGCAGGGAGACTCGGTCCGGAACGTCTTCAACATCTCGCGCATCATCGGCCTGGACGCGTCGGAAGGGATCCTCATCATTGGAAAGGAGGCGCTCTACATCATGGACAATCTGTTCCAGAGCGCGGATGGCGAGATCGTCAATGTGTGGCAGGCGCCGCCGGAGGAGCGTGATCCGTTCTCGATCATCATCACGGGCGGCATCCCGAGCGAGCGACGCCAACACGCGGGCCGCGCCGAGCAGGAATCGCGCAGCTGGAGGTGGCAGGACGTTCTCAGCATCTCGAAGCGGCGCTTCCTGTTCCGCGACGTGGCCATCGAGATCTTCTTCACCGACGGGCGGAGCTATCTCCTGACCGCCATCAACCCGGCCATGCGGGACGACATCTTCTCGCGGCTGACGGCCATGACGCCGCACACCCACAATGCCAGCCTGCTGCCCAACCCGGAAGACGGCTGGCGGCTGGAGAGCCTGAGGTTTGCCGACGAGATGCCGCAGACACTGGGGGCCAAGTTCGGGAGCATCTTCAACTCGTCGGCGTGGAATCCCATGATGCGGCGCTGGCAGCGGGGCGACATCTCCAACTTCCACTACCTCATGCTGGTCAACACCATGGCCGGCCGCACCTTCAACGACCTCACGCAGTACCCGGTCTTCCCCTGGGTGCTCGCCGACTACACGAGTGAGGAGCTCGATTTGACCAACCCGGCCACCTTCCGGGACCTGTCGAAGCCGATGGGCGCGCAGTCGTCGGGACGCGCCGCCGACTTCGCCATGCGGTACAGGAGCCTGGCCGAGATCGGGGAGACGCCGTTCCACTACGGGACCCACTACTCGTCTGCCATGATCGTGTCGTCGTATCTGATCCGGCTGCCTCCCTTTGTGCAGTCCTACATCCTGCTCCAGGGCGGCACCTTTGATTACCCGGACCGGCTCTTCTTCTCCATCGAGGGCGCCTGGACGTCTGCTTCGCGGGACAATGGCTCCGACGTGCGCGAGCTGATCCCCGAGTTCTTCTACCTGCCCGAGTTTCTGACCAACATCAACGGCTACAACTTTGGCGTCCGCCAAGGGGGCGGCGGGAGAGTGGACAATGTCATCCTCCCGCCATGGGCCAAGGGAGATCCCAAGATCTTCATCGCGAAACACCGGGAGGCGCTAGAGTCCCCGTACGTTAGCCAGCGGCTGCATCAGTGGATCGATCTGGTCTTCGGTTACAAGCAGCGCGGTGAACTCGCCGTCGAGAATCTGAATGTCTTCCACCCCTTGTCGTACAAGGGCACCAGGGACTTGGACAACATCACCGATCCGCAGGAACGGCTCATCACGACGGGTATCATCCATAACTTTGGCCAGACTCCGCATCAGATCTTCACGAAGCCACACCCGCCGAGGGAGTTCGACCGGTCTCCGGTCAAGCGGCTGGACACTTCGGTCGCGGCGCTGACGAGGCTGCCCCATCCGCTGCTAGGTAGGCCATTTCAGTTTGTCCTTTTTTTGGTTATTATTTCAGTGACGGGAGGCTAACCAGCTACAGAGAGTCGTGAACGAGTCGCGTCGCTGACCTATGTGCCGAAGCTCGACCGCCTGCTCTGTGCCTCGCCGTTCCGTCTGAACCTGCCACCATACTACGACAAGTTCCTTGAATGGGGCTACACGGACAACAGCGTGCGCTTCTTCCTTAGCGACAACAGAAAGGTGAGTTTTCTTGAGTTCAACACCTAGAATACACAGAGAGAGAAGCTGACCAGGCCCTCCCAGCCGGCCGGGCTCTTCGAAAACCTGCACATCGGCCAGATCTCGACCCTCACGTTCGCCGACTCCAAGACGCTCATCACGGCCGGCGAAGACTGCGTCGTATCGGTCTACATGGTGCACTCTTCACCGGGGAAGCCCGTCGTGGAGCTGCACCCGCGCTCGTCCTTGTTCGGCCACAAGACACCCGTCACGCACATCGCCGTGTCCAAGGCGTTCAGCACGATCCTGACCGTCTCGCAAGACGGCATTGCCTTCCTCTGGGACCTCAACCGCCTCGAGTTCATCCGCAAGCTGCCGCTTGCTCGGCCCGTGGACTGCGCGCGCATCAACGACGTGACGGGTGACGTGATACTCTGCTCGGGCCAGAACGTGCTGCTATACACCCTCAACGGCGAGCTCATCCTCGACCAGAACGTGTGCACTGCCGCCAACGCCACCAACGCCGGCAGCAGCAGCAGCAGCAGCAATCAGGACGACGACTTCATCCACTCGTGTGCCTTCTACGAAGGGTCCACGTCTACGGGCGGCAATGAGTGGCTGCAGAACCAGCTCGTCTTCACCGGCCACAAACGCGGCGTGGTGAATGTGTGGCGCAAGACGGTCGACGCCCGCACCGGCAAATGGGTGCTGGAGCTCATGCGGCGGCTGGATCATGTGAATCCCAAGAGTGAGGCGGGCACGAACGTTGATGCGGCGATCACGTGTGTGGCACCGCTCAGTGGGCTGGTGTACACTGGGGATGACGATGGGCGTGTGGTGAGTTTTTCTTATTTTCTTACTTTCTTTTTACTTGTAGGGGTGATGATGATGTTTGAGAGCGAAGCTGACTTCAGGTTGCCTTACCAGTGGGAGTGGAACATAGTTCAGCGGGAGAGGTAGAATAAGCCCCCGGCGTGATTAGACGGATGGGATGTGGTTGGGTGAGGGCGAAAGGAGGAGTTTCCAGGTTTCATGGGGACAAAAAGCGGTCGCATATAGAGCGGTGGGGGGACTTGTATGTTATGTTATGCACGACACATGGTGGGAAAGCCCTAGATTAGCGATAAGCCGGCCCAGCTCTCGGGCGATCGCAAGGAGTTTCGGATGGGCGGCTTTGACGTGCCCTGACTGTTTTTCTTTTGGGGACGGACAGCATCAGCGCCATGCTACCTTCGGTAGATATGGAGGTAGTTGTTTAGAGTTAGGGCTTAAAGCGTCGTCATTGCTCCCCTCCATGTTCTCGGCGCCATTTGCGGCCATCGTCGTCGGCTTGCCCCAGGCTCTTTCTCTCTATTGCCTTTTCCGCCCACAACGCACTTCCTTATGTACAATTGATACAGACTGACTCCAGGGCATGTTGGTGCAATTCCGTGCGCCAGTCAGCCGTTTTAATTCCCAGCCTTGCCCTCTCCGTCTTCCCCTTAATACTCCCTCCTCCCTCATTCCGTATCATCGTCATACCCCGTCAATTTCTTTCTCGGCCCGGAGGGAACTAAAAACGCCGCTGGTTAGCAACAACATCCACCCTCATCAACCATCGCCACCACCACTACCCCTGTGTATCCCCCCTCTTCTGTCCTTCTCTCCCCGATACAGAAAAAAAGCCTCTCAACCACACACAGACACAAAACATACCAGGATAAGTAAGCGGAATCGGCGCTGCGTCCTCGTCCCCAATCATCCGCCGGATCGGCGGCACCGTCACCAGCGTCACAGGCCCCATCGCCCCGATTGCTACGGCCCAGAAGAGCCCCGGCCGCTCGCGCGCGGCCCAGCGGCAGTACCGGAGGGGGCCTGCCCAGAAACGTGGTGTTGCGCCGTTCATTTTCTCTCTCTCTCTCTCTCTCTCTCTCTCTCTCTCTCTCTCTCTCTCTCTTTTTTTTTATTTCGCGGGTGGAGTCCTCTCTTCTTGAAATGGCTGGTCACCCTCGGTCTGGATTGAAAGGTTGTAGGGCGATCTTGGAGGAGGAGGAGGGGTCTCGTTCTAGTTGGGTGGGTGCGTCAGTTATTCCGTCGAGGAACCTGGGAAGGAAATTGTGGAGAGATGGATGTTAGACAGGATCCCGTACTGTGCAAGACCTCGCTCTAACAATTGGCTCCCGGAAATACCTACACTGCAGACTCGAACAAAGCTGTCCTTGCTCGTCGCAACTGCGAGCTCCAAGTGGTGGATGATGCGCACGATTGCGGCGAAACCGCGGCTAATCTGGGACTTGGGACTTGGAGTTGAAAGCTGAAAGCACAGACCGTCGGGTGCATGACATGGGGTCAATTGAAGGCCGAGTGGGTCTGCTAGCTGAGACCCCCGGTCAGGCCTTGGCAAGGCTACGTATGCCGAATCAATGCATCCAATCCGCTGTCTTGGGAGCTCTCGCGGGACAGGAAGGCAAGCTTTCCGTGGCATCAACTCGACGACCCCGAGTTGCGGCCGTTAAAATTGCCCTTCCCCTCCAAAGCTTTCTGTGAGCGTGTATGGGAGTGGGACTTGTTTTGCATTTTCTTGCCCAACATGCGGTCGCTCCTTTCGGTATTGGTGTTTGTGCTTGCGGCCGTGGTGTCGGCCATCAGCACATCCGGCAACAGGCTGCTGGTGATCCTGGACGATGTCGCTGAGAAAGAGAGCTACTCCAAGTTCCTGGGCGATCTCGAGAGTCCGTGCCGTTTCTCAACATGTCTGGACATCTTCCATCTAACTAATTGGCAGGCAGGGGATTCCAGCTCTCGTTTGAGAACCCCAAGAGCGAATCGCTAGCCCTGTTCCGTCTCGGCGAACGCTCATACGACCACATCCTCTTCTTCCCAACCAAGACGAAGGGTACTTCTCCTGTCTAACACTAGGGAATTGGGGTTTGCTAGCTAACCTGCACCAGGCCTCGGCCCCAATCTGACGCCCAACCTCCTCGTCGACTTCCTCAACGCCAAGGGCAACATCCTCGTGACCCTCAGCTCCGGTGTCGCGGCACCCAACTCCCTCGTCTCCCTCCTCGCCGAGCTCGACATCCAACTCCCCGCCGACCGCACCGGTCTCGTGGTGGACCACTTCAACTATGACGCCTCCAGCGCCGCCGACATGCACGACGTGCTGCTCCTCCCACCACCAACCCGCATCCGCCCGGACGTGAAGGACTTCTTCGGCGCTGGCGCCGGCCAGGACGAGGTCCTCGTCTTCCCGCGAGGTGTCGGCGCGTCGCTCGGCGCCAGCGAACTCCTCACGCCCATCCTGCGCGCCCCACGCACCGCCTACAGCTACAACCCCAAGGAACAAGGCGAAGTGGTGGACGACCTCTTCGCGGCCGGCGAGCAGCTGGCGCTTGTCTCGGCCTTCCAGGCGCGCAACTCTGCGCGTCTCACACTTGTTGGCTCCGCCGAGATGCTGCAGGACAAGTGTTTCGAGGCCAGCGAGGTGAGCAAGGCGGACGGCAAGAAGGTCGCCGGGACGTTCAACAGGGAGTTTGCGAAGCGCGTGAGCGGGTGGACGTTCAACGAGATCGGCGTGCTACGGGTCAACTGGATCGAGCATCACCTGGAGGAAGCCGGGGCGACCAATGAGTCCAACCCCAAGATCTACCGCATCAAGAACGACGTCGTAAGTGATACATCCATGCACTTCCTCTATGACCCTCCTCATATTACACACGCGCTAATCGCTATTTGTAAGAAATACACAATCTCCCTGTCAGAGTACGCCTGGAACGCCTGGAAGCCCTTCGCGGTGCCCGATAGCGACGCCCTGCAGCTCGAGTTCTCCATGCTCTCCCCCTTCCACCGCCTGCCGCTCACTCTCGACGCCACCCACTCTTCCGACACGGCGGCCGCCTACAGCGTATTGTTCAAGCTGCCCGACCAGCATGGCATCTTCAACTTCAAGGTCAACTACAAGCGGCCCTTCCTGTCCAACGTCGAGGAGAAGAACACGGTGTCGGTCCGGCACATGGCACACAACGAATGGCCCCGCAGTTTTGTCATCAGCGGTGCGTGGCCGTGGATTGCGGGTGTTGGCGTCACCGTGACGGGCTGGCTAGCCTTCTGCGCCTTGTGGATGTTTAGCGCGCCGGTCGGAGCGAAGAGGGAGACGAAGAAGACTCAGTAAGGGGTAAGGGAGTGATAGATGGAGGTAGTTCCTTGTTATTAAAATGTCTTGTACAGAACGATACACGGTACCGGATCTAGGTTCTCCAAAATATGGCGGAATACACGGATACCTGGGCGACGATGGGTGCTGGCGTAGTCTGCAGTGTTCCTTCTGACTGGGTGTAGAAGCTGCTCACTTGGGCAGACTTGTGGTAACCCAGCAGCCAACACGGGGTTCGGGGAGATGAAGGGGAACCACCCCCCTTCCACCTCCAAAGGCAAAACAGAGTTTCAAGCCCTCAGATTAGCTCTCTTATGTTCCCACTGACAACCAACAGGCAAGTCTACTGCTGTAGACCAGATCCCGTGGCTGCCTGCAAATTTGGCTTTTTGGACCTTCGTCATCACCGGGCACTCTGTTTTGCTCTTGGTTGTTTCTTGCAGGGGTTTCCCAAGAAACAGTTGCGGTATAAGGAAAGCAGAAAGAACAACCGGAACCTCCAGCAACCTTCTCTTTTATGCCAGCCATACCCTCGACTTCCCTCCCACACGTCCCTGGCACTTGGCCAATTCCATACCAAAGAAGAAAATAGTGTATTCCCCGGCTCGCCGCTCCGATTGAAAACTACTTTTCTCAAATGATCATCGGTGCTGCGCAGACGCGTCGGCTTTGGGCCTCTCTGTGTTCGGCCTGCCGGTTGAACGGTTTCCCATTTTTCAGGGACCCCGGGTCGACGGCAAGTCGAGACAGAGACACACCGGACGCCGGCGCACCTCCTGGTGGGAGAGTCTGTCGTCATTGCGGCGAGAAGGGGCAACCAAGACCACTTGGTATGGCCTAGCCGGGTGTCAGGTCGGGACAAAGGGAAGTTGAATGATACCTATGAAACAAAGTAGAAGAGTGTGGGTGGAGGGGCTTGCGGGTCGTTGGTTCTGTAGGTGCTCGAATGAGCGAAGTATAAGATAATGGAAGCCTGCTCAGATATCCATTCTTGAGTTGCCCTCAGCCTCGCCCTTGTCTCTGGATTCTGACGCATATGCGGTGATATGCGCAGGGGACCGGATGAGTCGGGACTATCGGTGTCTTTCTTCATTGCAGCTTGACTGGGAGTATTCCAGCAGCCGGCGTAAACTGTCCTTCCGCTGGTTGGAGATCACTTGACATCCAGTGGTGACTAGGTATATGAAACAAGTTGAAAATCGGTGTCAGCGTATGTGACTGAAGGTACTTCAGTCGGTGGGGGGCGTGTCGCTCGTCTGACATCGCCCTCCGGACGATTTTGACCTGATTGCAATGGGTCTCGTAGAGATGGTGATTGATTGAGAATATCGATACTTTCAACCATGGCGCCGATTGTAGCAACGTTGGTTGGCGCAGGCCAGATTGTGATGTAGTTTGGGTTGCAGAAGGGGTGGTGCAGGAAACGGAAACGCGCTGAACCGCGTCGACTTAATGGGCTGCGGGTCGCTGACCCCTGTCACGCACTGCAGTCGGCAGCTAGCTCGCGCCACGAGCGCCACACCCGGCGCTCATCCACTTACAACTTGAAGGCTGAGAATTTCCCAACGTCAAGTTCAACTACGAAGTACACCTGCGCAGTCGACGCCTGCGCACGCCTTCTTTCCCAATTTCCTTCCTGTTACATTATAGAGACTAGTGTCACGTTGGGAATTGCTCAAAATGGTAAGTAACCAGCATCACATACCTTCCCAAGCAACTATCTCCGGTACTAACCTCGCCTTCTCCAGGCGCGCAACTCAGAAAAGGCCCAGTCGATGCTCTTCCGCTTCCGCGAAGCGCAGGCCGCCGACTTGGGCATCATCGACGGCGGGCGGGCGCGCCGACCACGGGCCATCACCGAACAAGACAGCATCCCCGCGTGCGAGAAGTGGCGGGGCCAGGTCCTCAAGGAGATCTCGCGGAAAGTGTCGCGCATCCAGGACCCGGCGCTGTCCGACTACGAGATCCGCGACCTCAACGACGAGATCAACAAGCTGATGCGCGAAAAGCACATGTGGGAGGTGCAGATCCGCAACCTGGGCGGGCCCAACTACATGCGTGCCGGGGGGAAAGTGTATGACGAGGCCGGCAGGGAAATACAGGGCGGCGGGAAGGGGTACCGGTACTTTGGGCGAGCGAAGGAGCTGCCGGGGGTCAAGGAGCTGTTTGAGGCGGCTGCGAAGGCCAAGCAGGAGGACGAGAAACCGCTCGAGGAGAGGGCGGATCTGAAGAGGCAGGTGAATGCGGCGTACTATGGCTATGCGCCGGGGGAGGAGGACGACGAGTTGTTGGAGTATGAGCGGACGCGGGAGAAGATGGCGGTGGAGACGTTGGCTAAGGCCGGGCCCGCCGAGACGCCGCCCGGGTGGGAGGCCCTACCGGGAGATGTCGGAGATGGACGGGTGTGGGATCTGCCCACGCTGGACGAGGTGCAACAAGAGTTGGTCGAGCGGAGGAGGAGAAAATTACTGGATCAGTTATGAGGCGTTATTTCTGCCCTGTGGTTTGTAGCTGGCTTATGACATTTGCGTGGGTTGGGTAGTTCGGCGTTGACGGCGCAATGGAATGGTCCCCGGGGGTTCTTCCGTTTATCAGCCCTGTTCCGCCTTCATGAAGAGTACTAAAGGCATGTCGGGAAGCTCTATATACACTAGACACATGAGCAAGACAAGGAGGTCGCAGCTGGGCGCGTGGGACAGCTTTTAATCCCCTTCCCGATGAAGTTCCATGTTATCAACTTGGGCATGGTAGAAGTGTGCCACGCATCCAACAGTTCACTCCATGCAATGAGAATTCAACCAACACGGAAACCCTCGATCAGACATGGCACAATACTGATATAACCACAGAATAACCCGACATATCCCAAGCCAAAAACGCTCGCATACGATGCGCGGTCTAAAAACCGACAACATTACGTAGGTAGTACACATCTAGCAACGTTTTGGCCAGTTCTTCTCTATCCAGCCAGCCATCAACTCGGTAAATGTCCCTTCAACATACAGCTGTACGTCCTTCTCGCCGTACTCGGCCCCGTAGAACCGCAGGGCCATCAGCACCCACGGCGTGATGAAATCCAGGAACACAAGGTCCACTGTTCCTGGCTCGCCCTCCGCCGGAAAGGCAAGCTCGGATTGGATGCAGTTCGGCACGACATAGAAGTTGATTGGGGAATGCACGGTATCATCCCCGTCATCGCCAATGTCATCTTCCGTGGTGTATCCCTCTGTCAGACGGAGTCTCTCCTTAAGGCCGTCAGCCAGGGGCTTCTGCTGCGTATTGTCCGCGTGCACATCTGCTGGAGCGGGAGCTTCGTGGATGATAGACTCTTGGATAAAAAGCTGCTCGGGGTTCGCCAAAAATCGGTTATCCATCGGGATCGACTCCATGATCCTGCCGGCATTGTTCAGCAGGGTGATGACCCTCCGGGCTATATGGTACGGAACATCGGGGATATATGTGAGGAGACTAGTGAAGGGCGAGACGATGTAGGTCGTATCCCGAGTGAATGGGCCCTTGAATATATCAAACCGGATAGCGCCTGTGTTGACAATGGCCAGACGCGGCACATCCTTCCGGCTGGCATTGACCGCTATGTCTGGGACAACTTCCTTTTCGAGCCAGGAGTAGATGCTGTCGTCTCCGGGATATGGCGAGCGCGTCATCCAAAGCGTCTTCGGAGCGCAGCCAAAGGCGTAGTCGAGATCGAGCTCCTTACGGGCCTCGGTGATCATGGCGGAGACATTGCGGCCATGCTCGGTGGGGAAGGTCGTAGCGTTGAGGCCGGCGTGGTGGTGCAACCCCAACAGGTTGTTGTCGATATATCGGCGATGGAAAGACAAGGGTGCCTTTCCTGACATTCTCGGCGTCCCGTGCAGCTCGCCATCAACCGACATCCAGCCGATCGTCTCAAAGTACCTCCCACTAGCTACGGCAAATGAGCGCGAGTCGTACGCTGTGGCGTCTCGGACGTGAACATGGCCGCCGAAGAAGAGGACAGGGGTGAGCGGGTTTCGCTCGCGGATGGCCCTGAAAATGGTGTCGAACTCTGGCATCCGGACCCCGACATGGCCAATCACGACAAAAATATCGGTCTCTTCCCTGATCGCATCCTGAAACCACTTCTCCCTGACGGTCTCCTTGACCGGCTGGACGACCGTGTTGTTGGCGTTGCCAGTGAAGTCGAAGAGAAAGCCGAAGGCAACAATGTCCAATTCCTGATTCTTTGTCTGGAATCTGCGATATCGTTGCGCCATCGGCATCTGCTCTCCGGACTTGGGATCTATGTAGTCGAGATTCGAGGCAATGTAGTTCTCTCTGAAATTCGGAACCGTGTGCAGGTGCTCGCGATCGGCAGTGGAGGCCTTGTAGAGCTCGTGGTTCCCTGTGCATATGATATCGACATGCTGCTCCCGATAGATGTCGTAGTAGTATTTCCCCTTGGGATGGGATGCATCGTACAAGCCATTGCCCTCGACACGATCGCCCGTGTCGACGAGCAGGAGGTCCACGCCACGCTCGTCGGCTCTCTTGCGCATGTGGTGGGCAAACGAGACATAGTCACCCCAGTCGGCCGAGTATTGCGATTCCTGTAGATGGCCTGCGTGCCATCCGTGCGTGTCCGTGGTATGCAGGAAATTCAGTTTGCCCCAGACCAAGTCACGCATGGGTCCAGGAATCGGGTCGGCGGCGCCGGGCTGCGCTGCAGCTGCCGTCCGAACAAACGCAGCAACAGCGCCAGCGAACATAGCCGTCTTTAGGCCCATTTTGTCCGATCGCTTCCGCGAACAGTGCCAACCGAGCTCTGCCGAGAAAGAATCGAAAACTGAAGAATGAAGGGAAATGCCCTCCAAATAATGAATTTCAGCCCCCTTAGTGAGGAAAGGTCGGACGCGCCATTCGGAAAGGGTAACGGTGAGGTGGTCATGAGGGCGGCACACGTCCCCTGGCCGACAAGGTGTTTGCCAAGAACGGCCGGACGGGCCGGGGGTGGGTCCAACCCGGCATCTCGCCGTCACCGGCACGGATAGAGGGGTCGGCTCCGGCCGCTTGAATCAGAATGGAACTGCCACCTGGCGCCAGAACGGGTATGCGTCTTCCGTACCTCACACAAAATCAAGGGCCAACTACAAGATTGGAAAGATGGAAAGACCTGGGATGAGGGTCTCCTAAATTACCTAAACAGGAAGAATTTAAGTTCCCCGGCAAGTACAGACATGGAACTTTTCAGATGAAAGTGTGGTCGAAACCCGGCCAGTTGCGTTTCGACATGAGACTCTGTTTCTTCAGATCGCAGAGTACCAAGCTACTGTAGATGCAAGGCACGGCTTCTTCATGTACGTTGCAAGGTGGTTCGCCTTGGAAAGTTGGAATGGACTCGATTAGTGGGTCTGTTCCTGATGAGTTCAGGTCACATCCATGATAAGGTCTGGGATTGCATCTGAAGCTGTGCAACAAGCTTCCGGCTCGGCCAACTCGGTTCCCCCGGAAATGCCATAACCGAGGAATCGCCAACCCGCAGGCTCAGCCACCACGAGCGTGGGCGATGGAGCTTTTCATACGCACTGATACGCTCACGGAAAGCTGACGGGCGCTTCCGCCAAGCCCGACGTGGATGTTCCCGCTCCAGCCCCGACCCCGCATGTACCCCTCCATTACGACACACCGTGGGCCTGCAAGAGCTGTGTTGTCCCGAGCTGAGAAACATGGCAGGCGATAGATAATATGTCACGGTACCTACATACAATGGCCGGGCAGCCAGTGAATGTGCGTTGCCTCGGGACCCTGCAGTAGTAGCTGTTCCTCCCTGCGTCCGGCTCGCTTCGAGAAGGCCGATTCCATCCCCTAAATAGGCCGATTGCCCTGCATTTCAGTTCCTCACGTGTCTCCTCTTTCCACCATTCGGTAACTGGGCACGAGGACTACCTTTACCTAGGCGGTGGGAAACGGCTCGTAGGCTGTTGTTCACTCTTTTGGAGCTTCTGGTGGCGCCGTCCGAATTACCTTAGTGGTCATTGTTGTTATTGTTCTAGGCTTCTTCCCCGCGCCCCCGTCGTCATTGCACTTAGATGACCGCACTCCCACCCGGCCATTGTGCATTGTTGCTGCCGCTCTTACATTCGCTTCCTGCCCGAACTCCTCGCATCAACTCCAACCACGGATCGCTGCTCTAAAGGGTCCGAGATCAATATGGCTACTACCATAGCCGAGGACGTACCACGTGTGCCGGTTGAGCCCTTTTCCCCCGAGGACTTTGAGACGGCGTCAATCCGCTCAGCTGCTCCGTCGTATAGTAAGTCTGGTTTGGAACACTCGGATCCTCCCCTTGTTACCCATAACCCGGATTACTCTCGAGCGGCCAAGACCCGCCTGGTCCCCTTCAACTCACCGCTAATCATTCATTATCCTCCCCCAGCATCTGACGCCCCCTCCTATCACTCCACCAACCCACACCCTGACCCTCTCCCTCCTCCATACTCGCCACCACCGCGCTCGACCCCTTCGGCAGCAGCGCGCGCCCACCCAGGCAGCGTGTCTTCGCTGCTCGAACCCGCCAACAACACCAACGATCCGGCCCCTCGCCGGTACGGCCTCCCCCCCGTGCCAAGCGGGCCCCCACGCCAGCATTCGGACATCCCCTCCTTCTCGCAGTTCCGCATTCCGCCCTGGTCGACCGCCAGCTCCAGCTCGGCGAACCCCACGGCCCGCATCTACCAGAACGTGGCGCTGCGCCGGGCCAGCGCGGCCAACCGGTCGACGGCCGACCTGGACGGCCTGATGCGGAGGGTCATGCTGGAGCGGATCGAGGAGGAGGAGCGGAACCGGGTCCGGCTGCTGGAGGATCCCTACCTGGTCGGCGAGGAGGCGGCGGCGCGGGCGCGGGCGGACAGGGTGGCGCGAGAGTCGTCGCCCGGGAACGGTGATGAGATTCTGATTCGGGAGGATCGGAGGTGGGACCGGTTTCTGGGTGAGTTTCTTCTCTTTCCGTTTTCTGTCAAAGAGTCATGAGATCGAAGATGGCTGATTATTGACACATCCTATCTTTGGGTCACAGCCCAGATGAAGGACCGGGAAGAGCGAGAGCGAAGCTGGAAACGGTTCCGGCGCGAGGCAGACAAGCGGTCGAACAGCAGGCTTGCCTTCCGCATCGGCGCGAGATTTTAAGGGGCGGTTATTCCTTCCAGGTTGTGTGTCTCCTTGGGCTTTTCGGCGTTGTCCTTTTCGCATGGCATTGCGAGCTGCTGTGCTCTGGTTGCTTTTCATTCCATTCCTCTTTCCATCCTTGCCCTCCTTTTTCTCCGCCTTCAGGGGGTTCAAATTCGACCTTTTGCATTGGGCGGGAATCCGTCGGGCGTTGCATTGGTGTTAAAGGATTGGAGGCACTGGCTTTGGCAGATTGCCCGGTTAGTAGTGTAGGTTGGCCTCGGTTTCAATGTCTGAATCCATGATTGGTCGGATTTGGTAAAGATCGATGAACAACGTTAGCAAGACATCACCTTGACGGTAACCACTGCGTGAGGTGGCTTCTAGGGAACCGGTTGATTGGGTACCGTGTGTCTCCGGCGTATCTCCACATCTGATGCATGGCACAGCTTTTTGAGCTACAGCCCTCGCCGAAGCGGCACGGTGATAAATGGGGAGACAGTTAGTTCCGCATATAAAGTTCCAGATTCTTGCCGTACCTATCCCAGCTCATGACCCTCTATGAAACAAGGACACATCCTCAACGCCAGGCCAAATGCTACTAATGACACATCCCCTTTCCCCATCCCCGGTCGGGTCTCCTTGTATACAACTTGTACATCCCAGATTTGCAGGCGAAAGCACAGTCAAGCGGAGCTTAACCCTTGCTCTTGGTGTTGAGGATAAGAGCAACAATAAGCCTGCTAGCTTGTCAGCGACCTCTGGTGAGTGCCTCAATTAGAGTTATCCCTTACCCGTAAAGCCCAAGCACTTCGCCGAAAATGAGGATCAGGACCATGCCGACGAACACCTTGGACTGCAGCATATATGCTCGGACACCGTGATCGCCCACGATGCCGATGCAGTACCCGGCCGCAAGACCCGTGAGCCCAACCGAGAGCCCGCATGCGAGATGCATGAAACCGCTGGCCGAGCGTCAGCACTTGATATGAACATTATACTCTGTCGGGCAGGAACGCACTTGAATAGACTGTAGTTAGCCCCATACGCTGGGGGCTGGAGGTCGGTGGCAATCAGGACCGAAATCACGAGCGCATAGACGGCGATGATACCAGACATGACGACGGGAATAAGGGACTGTTGAAGCGGGTTAGCAGGCCGGGTAGGGATGTTAGGTTCTGGTAACCGTTGCCTCCACGTCTCTGCTCACCTTCATGATCAGGTCCGGCCGGAAGGTGCCCACGCCGGCGATGCCAATGCCGGATTTTGCGGTCCCGTACGCTGCCCCCATGCCTACAAGCCCCGTACAACGTTAGCCATCGATCGATGCCAACCCGGGAGAAGGATTGCATATAGATTCGGGGACGTAGGGGTTGTCCGTACAGCCGAAGATCATGGCCGCTGCGATGCCGCCCTGCAGACATGAGCGAGTTAGCGTAACTGCTGCCAGTTGTGCCTTTGTTTCCTTCGCATCCTCCCAACTCCAAGCGACGCCGGCACGTACCATCCCGATGAAGGGTGCAAACTTGGGGCTCAACTCCGACTCCGCCATTGTGATGGGTGTTCGGAAGTTTAGGAGAAGAGGGCAGTATCCTAATAGCCCCAACAGAGTCAATGCGCAACTATGTTTGAACCAATGCTGTGCTGATGAGCGCTGAACTGTTGTCTGCGGGTTTGATGCACCAGTCAACCCGCACGGCCCCAAGCTGGGAGGCTCCAATGCTGCCAAGAACTCAAGCCAACAGCGCAAGGGCCGAGAAAAACTAAATCACGTGATGATACATACATCACACTTCAATCGGCTGGCCGTGCCTCGTCAGTGCCTCACAAGTGCGCCACAGAGCTTGGCTTCGGCATCACATTTTAAAGTTCTGCACTGCTGCAGTTCCATGGGAAGGGAACCCCGTCTGTTTATGGGGGTCCCGCTCGCTCATGCACAACACCGAAGAACCATTGAAAAGTGTCAACGTGACTCCCGGGAAACAAGCTTATTATCATCACGCTTGAGTATCACTGTCAACACCCAATAGGCAGTAAGCGGGCGAGGCTGCGTCTAAGCTCTTTGAAAGAAAGTTTTGCAACACCGGGCGTGCTGAATGAAGCATCCGAGTCGTCTGTGCTGAAAATAACATGGACGTTTGCTACAAAAAGCGATTCTTGAATGGCTGATGACCTCAGCAATGCTCACTCATCCGATGCAGACGCTTATGATAAGATACATGGCATCTCGCCCGCAACCTGTGCTCTCCTTACGCTTAACTACCACCTAGTATTCCAGAGAAGCCTCCAATTCTCGTCCCTGTCCGAATTCAGGGGAAACAAAGCTGCGCCACACCCTACTGGCCGATGCGGAGCCTGAGCAGCGTTTAGTTAGTGGATCACGAAGGCACTTAAGGGTCGGCATTGCAAGCAACGTCCCGACGCCGCGTGGCAGCTGAGGTGCTGTCAAAGAACACAGCTGTCTCAGCTTGATTGTTGATACCTATCACGAACCGACAACCTTGTCCCACGCCCAACCGCCAGGTCGCAGTCCGGCATCTCCGCCTTGCAGATGAGGCTTTGTTGCAGGTAACTAGTCAGAGCGGCGTGCTCGCGGCGCAACTCGGTTGTCGGCTTGTTCCATCGCAGGAGCCAGGAGCCAGGAGCCAAAAATTGTTGTTAAGGGGGAGGGTAGCGAGACCAAATCGCCCAATAACGTCACCTGCCATCTGTGGCACAACCCGGAAACATCCTCGCGCAACCAGCAACATCTCCTGCTGCATCACAACCTCCCGACTGACGACCTTGACGACAAGCACGACAAGCACGACAAGCGACAACGGTAACGCCCGCTGCGGCTTCGGACGCGCCCCGGTTTTCCGCTTGGAGAGCAACTGCAAGCGATTCCGTGGCTGGAGGTACGGAGTGTCCATAAGTTCCTCCCTTCTCCACTTTTGATTGCAATTCAACCCCTTGGCGCCCTCCCCGACCGCAGGAACCGGTGCAGCACGACGAAACCCAGAAAGAAAGAAGCGTGCCGTAGCTGACGTGCCTATCTTGCACAGCAGCCATCATCATGGCCGACTATCAGCGCGACCGGATGCCGCCGGCAAGGCAGCCGCCACATCAGCAGTACGGACCGCCCGGCAACAACTACCAGCGAGATGCAGCTTTTTCGAGCATCTTCGGCGCGGCGCCCCCTCCGGGCCGCTCGCAGACGATGACCTCGTCCGTTCCACCGCCCGAGTTCTTGCAGGATGGACGCACACATACCATGTCGTCGACCACGTCGGGCATGCAGAGATCGCCACCCCAGCGACCGCCGCCAGGAGCCGATTACCGAAACCAATTCCCGCCTCCTCGGCCACGGCCCAGCGACGGCGGCCAGGGATATGCATACCACCAGGGCCAGCAGCGCTCGGTATCGAGTGGGCAGCAGGTCCCCTCTCCCCAGTACTTGCAGCAGCAGCAGCAGGCACGGCGGCCATATCCCGTCAGTCCACCATCCCAACAGCCGGGACCGCCGCGTTTCGACCCTCAGCGAGGACACCCGCCACCCCAGGGCTACTACAACAACGCGCAGCGAACACCTGCACAGCGGTTTCACCAGGACGCGGGGCCTGCCCCTGCCGTGAACATGGACCCATACCGATCGCAGTCTTTGGCTAGCTATCCGAGACCCCAGATGTACCAGCCTTCGCCACAGCCGTACCAGCAGCAGCAGGCCCCGGCCAACGCCTTCCGACATGCTCAGTACAACCAACAGTCGGCCCGCACCACTGCCCAAGGGCGGGTTGTTCCGGAGAGGCACATGGAGGACAGGACAATGACCCTGACCGGCTATCCCTCCCACGAACGATTCGACCGGAATACGCACCAGACGATGAGCGGCCGGGTGATTCCCAACAGAGGACCAGTGGGTGCCGGCGCTCCGGCGCCGGACTACATGGGCAGCCATGTTTCGCCCAACCCGGGTTACCCGACTGGATATGGGCCGCCTGGCTCGCAGACACGAACCACGAGCATGGCCTCGTCCATCGGCCCCGATAGCACCAGGACCATGTCGATGGCCTCTACGATAGCACCGTCCGTGATTGCGCCGAGCGAGAAGACAGACTCCCAGACGCTTGTGCAGCGTTCGTCCATGAGCAACTCGGTCAACAGCGAACGCCCGCCCACCGCCAAGATCCGGCCACCCATTGTTTACCCAGCGCTTCTCTCCCGCGTCGCCGAGTGCTTCCGCCAGAAGATCGTTACCGGTGACCGGACGAAGAACGAGCTGACATATAAGAACGCATTCAGCGGTGCCGAGGCTGTCGACGTTCTCTCGTACATCATCAGGACTACGGACAGAAACCTGGCACTGCTTCTGGGGCGGGCGCTCGATGCGCAAAAGTTCTTCCACGACGTCACCTATGAGCACCGGTTGCGGGACTCGACGTATGAAATGTACCAGTTCCGGGAGAACCTGACGGACGATGTGGAGGAGAACCCGACGGTGAACGGCGTCTTCGTCTTGCTGTCGGAGTGCTACTCTCCGACCTGCACGAGGGATCAATTGTGCTACTCGATCGCTTGCCCAAGACGGCTGGAGCAAGTATCCAGGTTGAACCTCAAAATGGGACCGGGCCTCAAGAGAGAAGGAGAGGCGACTGTCAACGACGATGACATGGACCAATTTGACGAGCAGAAACTCTGGATCAACAGCGTGCCCAAGGAGGTGGCGGACAGCATAAGCGACAGGGAGAAGAAGAGACAAGAAATCATTTCGGAGATTTGCTACACGGAACGAGACTTCGTCAAGGACCTGGAGTACCTCCGGGATTTCTGGATCTACCCACTTAGGGGCAAGATCAACGGCATGTCGCCCATTCCAGCGCATAAAAGGGAAAAGGTCGTCCGCACCATTTTCACCAACATCATCGACCCTCCCAGTATCCATGGCGTGAGCTCCAAGTTCGCCAGAGCCTTGACAGAGCGGCAGCAGAAGACTCCGGTGGTGAAGAACGTGGGCGACGTCTTTCTCGAGTTCGTGCCACAGTTCGAGCCGTTCATTCTGTACGGGTCGAAGCAGCTCGAGGGCAAGTTTGAGTTTGAGAACGAGCGGTCCATCAACAAGGACTTTGCGAGATTTGTCGACGAAGTCGAGCGGCGGCGAGAGTCAAGGAAGCTGGAGTTGAACGGCTATCTGACCAAACCGACGACGCGGTTGGCCAGGTACCCCTTGCTCCTCGAAAACGTGCTCAAATACACAGAAGACGACAACCCGGACAAGCAAGACATACCCAAGGTCTTGACCATGATCAGGGACCTCCTGAGCCGGGTCAACGAGGAGTCGGGCAAGGCGGAGAACCGGTTCAACCTGCGGCGTCTCCATGAGCAGCTCAGATTCCGGCCCAATGAGAAGGTCGATCTCAAGCTCACAGACGAGGGCCGCGAACTAGTCTTCAAGTGCCAGTTCAAGAAGACCCCAACGGAAAACCCGGATATCACTGCGTTCCTGTTTGACCACGCCGTGCTCCTGGTGCGCATCAAGCAGGTGGGCAAGACAGAGGAGGTCAAGGCTTACCGGAGGGTGAGAATGCTAAAAACCCCGTGTTTTGCACGTGTGTTGCGTGACATCGAGCTAATCTAGATAGCCTATTCCGTTGGAACTGCTCTCCATCAAGGAAATGGAGGAAGTGATTCCCCAGTCTGGTGCAGTGAAGCGCTCCTCGTCGAGCATACTCCCCGCACTGCGCAACACCGGAAACGAAACGAAGAAGGGCGAGGGCTGGCCGATCACATTCCGGCATCTCGGAAAGAACGGCTACGAGCTGACGCTGTACGCGTCGAACCAATCGGGCCGTCAGAAGTGGCTCGAGTTGATTGACTCGGCACAGCAGCGCCTCAGAGCCCGAGCTGACTTCCTGAACACGACCGTCATCTCGTCGGGCTTCTTCACCGGCACGAACAAGGTCAATTGCGTGGCGCCGTTTGGTGAGTTTGACCGAGGCCAGCAGCTTGAGGAGAAGAGCAGTATAACTGACTACTAGTAACCTTGATTCAGACGGCGGCCGCAAGCTTATCTACGGGACGGACAACGGCATCTACATGTCGGACCGCAGGTCCAAGGATAACGCCACGCCCAAGCGGGTCATTGACGTGCCGAGCGTGACACAGGTCGACGTCCTCGAAGAGTACCAGCTGCTTCTTGTGCTCTCCAACAGATCGCTGCTGTCGTACCAGCTTGGTGCCCTGGATCCCAACGAGCCCATTTCGTCCAAGCGGGCCAAGAAGATCCAAAGCCACTGCAACTTCTTCAAGACGGGCATCTGCCTGGGCCGCCACCTGGTGTGCTGCGTCAAGAGCTCGGCCCTGTCGACAACCATCAAGGTCTACGAGCCCAACGATGCCATGTCGCGCACCAAGAAGCAGAAGGGTCTCAGCAAGATGTTCAACGCCGGTCAGGACGAGCTCAAGCCCTTCAAGGAGTTCTACATCCCCACCGAGTCCACGTCGGTGCACTTTCTCAAGTCCAAGCTCTGCGTCGCCTGCGCCCGCGGCTTCGAGGTCGTCTCGCTCGAGACGCTCGAAACGCAGTCCCTTCTCGACCAGGCCGACACCTCGCTCGACTTTGTCGCCCGCAAGGAAGGCGTCAAGCCCATCCACATCGAGCGGCTCAATGGCGAGTTCCTGCTCAACTACTCCGAGTTCTCCTTCTTCGTCAACCGCAACGGCTGGCGAGCGAGGCCAGAGTGGCGGCTCGACTGGGAGGGCACGCCGCAGGCATTTGCACTCTCGTATCCGTGGATTCTGGCGTTTGAGCCCAACTTCATCGAGCTCAGGCATATTGAGAACCTGGCTGTGCACATCGTCCCGCATCGGAACATTCGCATGTTGCATAGTAGTACGCATGAGGTAAGTCTGATTTCCCATTTATCTTCTTAAGTCTTTCGCCGGGGAGCTGGAGGTATTGTGTAGTGCTAACAAGTATACAAAAAAACAGATCATCTTTGCATATGAGGACGAGCGCGGCGAGGATGTTGTTGAGGCGCTCGACTTCTGGAAGAGTCAGAGGAAATCGGAGCTCTATCCTACCGGTGCCACCCCGGGTTCGCCGATGGGTAACTCCGGTGGGTCGTCGCGCCTCGGCGTGCAATAAAATTCTAGCGGGCAGCGCAGTTCTAGATCTCCGTCCCAGGCTTGAGAAAGCCGGAGAGTCTTTACGTGGCGCACGCGGACGACGGCGTGGGTTATCGGTCTTGGTGGTCCGGTCCACCTCATGCTGCTATCAGTCACGCCGTTGTGGAGGTAATCAGAGGGTCAAATGGTATGTTTTCCCTGGCGCTCGGTTCTTGTGGTACCGCGGCTTCCCGATCCGCGTTGCTCGCCGAGCGTATAGGGGTAGGGGTCAATCCATAAGCGTCTGGACGCGGGTCATCAAACCCAGGCCGGACGGATCCAGCGCGCTTCGGCTCGGAAAGGAAGCCGGGGCGGTTGGTTGGACGTAATCCGGGTTCTAGGTGCTGCTTAGGTTGGGAGCTTCGGCGGTTTGGCGGCGGTTGGAAGTTATCTCATTGTATTCAGCATTTTGCTTCATCGCATATGCGGCCGGGGGGTTTTGTCAGACGGAAAGGGAAACGTCCTTATAATCTCGCAGTCCTAGCTACCCATAGTATCCTTCTGGTTGTCTTGGCTTATCATATTTTCAGGTGCCCTGTTGTCTGTTTGGTTCAGGGCGAGAGACACGGAAGAGAGGGAAGACCTCACCATGTATTCTACGGTTTTTTATTTTCTCTTATAACTGGTTCGCATTCATGGGACTTGTCCAAGGCGCGTGCCCCTGCGAGTTATGGTGGTGCGGAGGACATCGGTGCTGACTGCGACGGCTGTTGAGTTAGAGCTTGTATGTAATATATGATAACTATATCTTTTGCATTGCGGTTCTTGTGTAAAGCTACGTGTAGCATGAGGCCTCACACGGCTAGACCCAATTGTAAGCGGCGCACACACAAAGAGCCGCCTCCCACCATCACCGACTACCCCCTATGTTCAACCATAAAAATAAAATCTAAGGCAACGTTCATCTGGAAAGCTTGTACAAGGATCGACATGTCCCTTTCCCGCGTCCAGTTCCAAAGCGTGGACCACTCGGCATGCCCATGAAGGCCTCCAAAAGAAGGACCGCAGCAGTGTGATGAAGTCAGGTCGCTGGAGACAGTCACATGCTGGTTTGTTTCTAGCTGTTGTAGAGAACTTTAGCGGGTTAACTGAAAGCTTCACGAACTGTTGGCTTTTCTTTCTTTTGCTTCTTTCACCTCTTCTTCTTTTTCATTATCTTCTTATCTGTTTCCATTCCTGCTCCTCAACTTGTCCTCTTCGGAGCTGTGCCGAGATCCGCTGAATGGATGCTAGTGACGAGATATCCAAGCAGTGACTTCGAACTCTCTGCTCGAGGCTACATCCCATTTGGTGGTAGCTGCTGGGATGTTGTCACTCGCACGAGGAAGCTTGTATCCTGGCCGTGTTTCAGCGCCATTGGGAAGCTTGATTCGATAGCAAGAAGATATGTATATAAGAAGAATCAATACTCCTACAGCGCCAGATCACAACGCCCATCTATTCACCCATCCTTATTAACGAAAGTTAGACCTAGCGAACAACGGTCAACAGCCCCTGACTACTTACAGCCGCTTGAGCTGACCTAGGCTTGGCTGGGAACCTACTAGTAATTTGAACCACAATCCGCTGGATCAGCCCCGACTCGATTGAAACGAGAACAATCCCAAGCCCATCTCCCAATGATAACTTCCTACTCAGAAAATGGAGTTGACAATGTTACTACCAATCGTCGCCCCCGCTCCGAAGATGGCCGCATTCCCCAGCTTCTTACCAAACTTCTTGCCGTGCTCGCCAAGCTTACTGTTACCCCCATCCTGCTGCTGCTGCTGCTGCTGCTGGTCCTGCCCTTGCCATTGGCCCACCGGCGCCGCCGGCGGGGGGGCATGGTATCCGCTGACGGGAACCGGCGCAACCGGATAGTATCCTGCCGCTGGACTGGGTGCCGGGTGCTGCTGCTGCTTCTCGTCCACACTGCTGTCGACGACGACGTAGTTCCGCGGGAAGATGCCTTCCTGGCCCGTCCGCAGGTTGCGCCCCATCCACCAGTCGGCGTTCATGTACTCGTGCACGGCAATCCGGTCGTCGCGCTCGAAGGAGCAGTCGCGCGCGTCCGAGGCGTGGTACGTATACAGGGCGCGGGCGTGGACCAGGACCGGTTTGTCCGGGACCGTGGCCGGAGGCGGGTTGCGCGCGGGCAGGGACGGCGGGGAGGCGGTCGATTGCGCGTAGGACGGCGGTTGCGGGGCAGGAGCGGGCGATTGCGATGGGAGGCTCGTTGTCGAGGCGGGCGTTGCGGGCGCGGGAGTGCGGGTTGCTGCCGCCCCGGAGAGGGGCGTTTCGGCGGGAAGGAGGGCGGTGATGGAGTCGAAGGCGGTGTCGGTTATGATTCCTTTCTCGAGGAGGGATTCGAGCTCCTGGTACGAGGTTAGTGCCGGTATTCTGAAGACGGCGGGAGGTGGATGATCATGGCTTGCATTCTTGATCAGTCGGAGAGACCGGTTGGTCTCGATGACACGCTGGCGGTCTTCGGAAACCATGGCGGGGGTTGTTTTACCAGACTGCTAAAGAGATTCCGTGTGGTCTAGAGACAGTGTTATGACAGAAACGAGGAAAACAACTGTTGACTGGTTCAAAATGCTGTAGGATATCAGGGGACTCGATGCGATTGATTGCCTTTGATGTTCCAGTGTCCAGGTTGACGGAAGATCGGACTCTCCTACCTTCCAGCGAACTGAAGTGGGGAACGGCAAAGCGGCAACGAAACGCACCGAGGATGGGTGGGTCACGGCCCGCTTTAGCGCTGCAGTGATCCACCAACGCTCGAACGGGGTCATGCAATGTGGATCTGCCATGGGCTGCCTCTTTGCAAAATGCGTAACGCTCAATAGGAAAACTGTATTGCTTCGTAATAGTCGGCTGCAACCGTATATGGAAGCACTCTTTCTACGCTCCGTACTGATGGAAAGAACGTGTGTGATGGGAAGAATGTATTGACGGAGAGAATATCTGTACTGAGTACTGACGGAGCTGATGGCTGTACTGACGGAGGTAGTGGCTATACTGCGGTAATGTCCGTATTGTACTTGTATTGGCGGACAAAGTCAACAGTACTGACAACGAGAATCAATCTCTATAATCCGTACAGACGCGGATGCTCGTACTACTAGTAATCGGAAGCAATGTGTCCTGACGCTGAGAAGGTCCGTACTGACGGAAACTTGGCTGTCATGGCTGTGGCATTATATATTGCACAGCACATACCGTACCAATACCTTCTATCGGAATTGCCCTCTCCCGTTGAGCCGCGGGCATGGAGTTCACGGGCTTTATTAGAGTAGACATCTTCACAGGTGAGGATATCAAGAAACGATACCCTGGCACTCTGTAACCGTCAAACCTACAAGCGTCAGTGTAAGTGCTAGGGCTACATAAGGACTCGGATGGATTTACGAGCCATATATATAATAAACCCGTCGATGAATGGTACCAGCATGAGAATTAGGATGCGACCCTTTACCTCGAACATCCCTCCCCGTTCCTTATCTCAATGTACACAACTTGAAAGTCGTGATTGCTAGTCCAGCATCCAGTGCCGTGATCCATCGTAAACATAACGGAGAGCACAGCAGTCAGACCATAAAAATGATGACCTGAATGTACTGAAGAGACATTAACTCCATTACCAATGCTATTTCCCAACCTTGTATTGACCACCCTCAGGCCATGCCATGAAATGGAACTCCCAGAAAATATACCTGATGAGACCCGGATAGAGATGTTCGACAGATTGTATCCCGAACGAAGGAAGAGAGGGGAATGGAAGCCGCAGCTACACGATACAGGTACTCGGGCCATCACCTCACCAGCCCGCGCGTCACGTATTCGTCTCACCCACCACTGCAGTGTCAGTGTCCGTGTCAGTGTCAGTGGCCTCGGGCCATTTCGGCAACGGCATCGTGGCGAATTTCTTCCCGTGCTTCTTTTCCAACTCAACCCTCAAGATCTCCACGGCCAGCTCCCACCTCCTCTGCAACCGAGCCCTGCGCTCCGAAAACGTCTGCTGGAGTACCTCCTCCTCGTTGGCAAACTCGATTGCAAGGTCCTCGAACTCCTCGGCCCGCCGGTCCATCAGCGTCTGGATCTCCTTCCCGTGCCGCTTCAGAAGCTCCTCCATACTCTTATCCTGCTTCTCCCGCAGGCCGTTGATTTGGGATTGGTGTCTCCGTTCCATTTCGTCGCGGGTCTGGTACTGCAGCCGCAGCTGTCCCCAGTCACGATCGGTTACTACCCGCCTCAGGAGCATCTCGCCGTTGTTCCCGTCGCCATTCCCCGTTGGCGGGACCGTTCCGTTGCAGTAGTCTTGCATGTACTTGAGCTTGATCTTGACCGACTTCTCCTTTTCCTTCAACTGGGCTTGTAGTTCGATCTCGACCAGGACCTGGCGGTCTTCGAGATGCTGTTCAGTCTTGGCGTGGCGCTCGCGCATCTTGTCCGCGAGATCGGAGAACTTCTCGACCAGCGCGAGCTTCTTATTGGATTGCCGAAGTCGCATGGCCTCGCCCACCTGCCCCTCGAACTTCCTGAACCGGGTCATTTCGGCCTCCAGCTGCTTCCGCAGCGCCCCAAACTCGACGCTATCCCGTGTTCGCTTCTCCGCCTCCTGCCTGGCAGTCTCTGCCGCTTCGGCCGCTTGCTCTCGAGCAGCTTTCTCGGCCTCGAGCTCCGCCAACCGCGCCTCCTCCTCGGCGCGTCGCCGCTCCAGTTCTTCCTCGCCGTTGCAGAAGTTGGGACAGCCGACCGCAGGGTCCCAGACCGCGCCGCAGATGTAACAGAACTGCGCCTTGCACCGGCAGGTCATATGGGTGCAGCCCTGCGCCAGCTCGACCAGCATCCGGCACTTGTAGCAGCGCCGCCAGCCGGACTTCTCGCCCATCTCGAGCACGCGTTCGGACTCGTGGTCCGCCGGGCAGTCTTGGCCCACCTGATGAGCGGCCTGCTTGCACATGGAGCAAACGCGCGTCTTGCAGTGTGTGCACACCACTTCGAACGGGTGCTTGGGGTCTGCCTTGCTGGGGCGCGGGATGAACTCTCCACAAGATGCGTTTGGACAGAAGATTCTCGCCTCCCAGGGGGTGCTGTACTGCACCACAGCCTTGAGAAACTGCTGCTGCTTATCTCGCGGAAGAACCATTTTGATGGTTACGCTTGGGATTGGTTGTGTGCAGCACCTTGGCGGCATTTTCCTTTCTTCCGACAGCGACTGGGTGACCAAGACGGACAAGCATTCGCGGCAATAGCTGTGACCGCATGGCAGGGTGAGCAGAGTATCGTTGTCGGCGACAAAGTCTTCGCGACAGCATATGCAGGGCCTTCAAGAAGTCATCAGCCTGTGCTCCTACATGATTCCTGACTTTACATCTGCTTACATGGGCGTGTTTAGGCCTGGTCCCCTCTTTCGCAGCCTCCTTGCGAGGCTCCGAGTGAAAACCATGACCCCTTTCCTGGAGCCCGACTTTGTCCTAGCGCCGGTCGACCATCTAGGCTTTTGGCGGTTGGGCTTGAGGAATTTGGGCTGATCGAGGGCAGGATCAACTTGTCTGATATACCTGTCGTATTGGGAGAAGCTGAGGCTTTTCGGTCTCCTCCTATCTGAAGTCTCGGTCAGCATCGTGGCGGCCGCTGGCGCACGATTTGACGTCTGCGAAGCGAGATCCATATCTGCCGTCTGGCTCAATCCCACAGATGCCGTGCGAGTATGCTGCAGGTTTGGAGTATCACCGCTATCGCTGCCAGGGCCCCTCGGTTCCTGGGCGCTGTTTCGCCGAGATATTGGCAGCTCGACCCCGAGGGCCACTGCTTTTGCGATCAATTCCTGGTCAATATCCGCCTCGGTCGCGCCATCTGAGCGGTTAAGGACCTGGCTAATATAGTCGGCAGCGTCAAGCTCCGGAGGCCGGATGAGACCGTCGACCGGAGCGGGCAGGAGCAACAAGCGTCGAGGCATGGGAGCTCACAAGCGACGGATGCAGTCCGATCGACGGTTAGACCGAAGAGACGGGGAGCGACTTCGAGGCCGTCAAGCTCGTGGTGCCCCGTGTGGAAGGTGAATACATGGCCTGGCATCCAAGCTCGATGGCTCTGGACAGAGGATAAGGTACCCTCATATGACCGTGGCATGCGATCAACTGCAAGATGTATGACGAGGGTCGAGGGTGCCGTGTGGGACGTGAGACGTGGGTTGAGCGTCCGCTTGCGTTGAAATGGGCAAGGGACCCTTGATTGGGCTGCTTGGCTGATCGTTGCCAAGGCGGTAGCTGCCCGGCCCTGCGATCCACAAGGTGCCACGACACGCACTCACGCACGACTCGGAGTCCTGCTGAGAACAGGGAGGGTAATAATAAGCGCAGGAAAGAATAGGATTCCTGTGTCCGTAGATGCTCGTCTGACTGAGCCGATACGGATCGGCGGTAGGCACCAGACGGACCGGGGGATGCGTTGGTGTAACTTCGATGAGCTGCCGGTCGGGAAAGCGCAGGTGGGTGTGGGTGCTGTGATAGGCTGCCAGTGTAGAGTCCACCTACACAGTACCTAGACGGGAGTGCTTTGTGTAACCGTTCTGTTGTGTATTGCACTGCAACTGATGTGAGTGTCTCGCGTCCGTGCAGTACTGTACCTTGTGAGATGATTTAGGTAACTCGGCTGTTTGCAGGTCCCACATACTCATACGAGTAATCGTACGAGCATTCCGTACCCGGGCTAAACAGACGGCCTGCCCTTGAGAAAACGCTCGTTGGCGGGAAAAGACCGCGATAATAACGCTGCCAGCAAGACGGAGTTTGAAGCTCAGCTGTTTGCGCAGATGAATTGGCTTGCTGCCCTGTGGGGCTGTAGTATACAGCGGCATGTCTCCGTACGTAGGCGAGGTAGGAGGTAGGGTCTCTCTCCCGCAGCGTTGCGGTGCGGAGACGATTTGCATGGGATTTCAGAAACCGGATCCTGATGGCGACAAGGATGCGACGACGGCGGTCCCCTACCGTCCGGGATTCCTGAACGATCTCATGCGATCCTCATAGTCACATCCGATCTGCCTGAGCCCTGCAATGACGGCTTATTTAAACTCGCGCAAGCCTCTACACAGTAGAACAGTCCGTCATCGCTGAGCGAAAATGGAGCCGCACGGCTTGATATGTGTTTCTTGCTTTCTCTGGCCCCGGGGTCGAGTACTGCGAATGGTCAGTTAGTTGATACCTCGATTGTTGTTGGATGAAGCCTGGCTACTTCGTACTCAAGGTGGGAACGATTGCATTCACCCCTCCGCGGACAGCTCGAGGTAAGACTATGTTGTAGCACATGCATGGTACAGTTACTCAAGGCAGCTTGTCTGAGACCGGACCATCTTTGACAACTCAAAAGAACTGTCCCAATCAGCTCAACTATCGGCATTCGGTGAGCAAAGTACAGTACTGTGTGGTAAAGTGGCTGACCCTCTCACCTTCGCCCTTGCATTCCGTCGCAACCAGAACAGCTTTGCAGTATCTTCTAGGGTTTGCCAGCTTCCTGACTCGTCTTCGACTACTAGCTTCAGTGCCAGCCCTCCAAAAGAAAAGCAAGGGAGCGTGTCGGAGACAAAAGCTGTCTGTCTGTGCGTAAGGTTCTGGGGTTCAGAGAGATTCCTTGCATTGAGAGAGAGATCGACAACAATTGACAGCTTGCTGCTGATCGCTTGCCCCATCGCTTTCTCGGTGGCTTGGATTTCCAGCCCGACAAGCCCGGCAATGTCGCCGCTAAGACCGTTCTGATAGTTGCGCTCCGAAAAGAAGCAACAACGTACAGTGAATCTCCCAAGAACCGTACCTGCCTATCAAACAAGTTCCCATCTCGCCAGCCAGCCCACACTCTCGCCCGCATTCCTCACAACACAGAGCTTGCCTTCCCTAGCCCCAGCCTCCCGCAGCGTCTCGAGGGCCTTCTGCGCCGAGATAGAACCAATCGCCGTGCCTTTGCCTTCGCTCAGGCTGAACGCACCCGTTGTGACGAATCCGAGCAGATCCTCCTCGTCGGGGCATAGAGGGTGATGCCCGCCGATGTCCATCTGGTTGCTAGGCGGCCTAGGATAGGGGAGCTCCGTCGCAACAAGAGATTGCGCCAGCAGCTTTTTGCGCGTCTCCATGTCGACGCCGGGGGCCATCTGTGGCGCGGCAGCCAATCGGGTTGCGATGCTGCCCTGAGCTTTGTTCCTGGCACTGGGGAGCTTCCGAAGCCACTGATCTCGAAGGTTTGCAGGTAGCGACCCTGGCTCTGCTGAGATAGGGTCTGTAGCAAGCACTTCGGCGTCCGTAGAAGGCTCCACCGTCCTTGACTTCCGAAGGGGCAGCCGGTAGATCCTGGCGCAGGGGCCCGCGACGCCTCTTGTCGTGAAAGTCAAGCTCACCGTAACGATAGAGTTCTCCGGCGCCTTGCCTGAATCCGCCGATCCGAGGAACGAGGTAAATGACGCTTTTGGCAACCGCCGGATCATCCCTAACCCCCTCGCACAAGATTCGGACCCCTTTATGGTCTCGGGTCCTGCCGGCCGCCCTGGAGGATCGATGTCCATCGTCTCGGCCCCATCCGGAATTGACGAGTCGGTCGCCTGAAGGTCCGCGGACCCGTCTGCGGACAGGGCAAAGAGGTGCTCAAAATCGCACGCCAGGCCATCACCGACTTCGCCTTTTCGCCCAGCACCCAGGTCGAGGGATTTCCATTCAACCCTCTTGCCTTTAGGGCGACGATCCCAATCCGCTTTCCTCTTGGCCCGCTGCTCTAGTTCCCAGGCCAGACCGGCATCGGTGGCCGGGAAGTCGCCAGGGAACCACGGAGCTCCCTGCTCGAAGGCAATCTGTCTCTGCTCGTCCAACCCTCCAAGGCGCGGATTGCCGCCAGTGGAAAGGGGTACATGCATAAGAGTATACCAGAATGGCATAATGCACTTCCAAGGTGCCAACAATGTCCAGGTGCCCTGGGCATGCCCGTCAGTCGACGGCCTCGAGGCGAGCAACATAACCGGGATCGGCGGATCGGCAGCCGTGAGTTTCAGCGGTTCTCCAGGCGCGTTGGCGCCTTTTCGGCGATTTACGGCTTTCTGAGACGGCAATCTTGAGGCCCGGAGTCGGCTCTCTCGGCTGAAGATGTCGAAAGGTCTCAGCCCTTCCTCGACGGGCCATTTTGTGACCGTATCGATGAGCGCACTCGCCGCTCCACTTGAGATGTCGAGCTTTCTCGGGGGATAAGACAACCGAGGGTCTTTCACTGAGAACGCAAGGAGGGCGTCTTTGGGGAGAGTTGCGGGATTTGCGACGCCTGCGAGAGCCTTGAAAATCTGAGCGTGACACTCGGTACTATCTGCCCCGTCGTAGTATGGTTGAAGGACGCTCAGCAGAGTTTCCGTAGAACCAGGACCAGTAAGCTCAATACTACCGATCTCGAAACGGAGATCTTCAATATGGAGGCGGGGCGTCTGCATCCGGACGAGCTTGAGCAGCTCTTGGAACAACTCAAGGAAGCAGGAGGGGTGGGTGCGGATGAACAACTGTCTCTGCAGCTTCTTTGGAAGACTCGAGTTGGTAGCCCCGTCACTTGGAGCCGGTGGTTGAGGATTCCAAACGATCGTCGCAGGCCCGATATCGCGTCTAAAGTCCGTGACCTGCTTGCTCAGCATCCCAGTCCATCTCCGGACACCAGCCCTCCACTTCTGGCCGCGCGCACCCCATAAGCCCTCCTGGGTCAGGCCTAGGGCTCTCAAGACTCGCTCGACACCTTCAGCGGTCCCATACAGGCCGATGGTGCTCATGTAGCTCATGTCCCAGACCACGACGCCCTTCTGTCCAGAGGCACGATGGGTTGGTCGGTAGCATTTCTCAGTAGGCGTGAGTGGGATAGCGAATCTCCAGAGCGGCTTGCTGGGCTCCGTCATCTTGGCCCGCTTCGCATGCCAGAGGTGCGTTGGCAGCCACGTTTTGTTGATCTGTCTCTTTCTGAACTTGGACTCGGCCCTTGGCGGCTCGTTCAACATGTCGCGTCGAATCTTTGGCCTGGCTTGCCTTGTGTGCACCATTGGCTTCGCACCTCCTTCTGGTGGAGGGCCGCCCTTGGCGGCACGCTTCTCCAACTGCTTCTTCTTCTTCCTCACCGCCAGAATGCCCAGCCTCTTCGCCGTCTCGGCGCGGATGCGGGCGCGCGTGGTGCGAGGACGGCGCTTTCTAGCCTCGACGGTCGGGGTATTATCCTCGAGCATCTCCCTCTTTGCGCGCTCACGCAGTCGCTTTGGGACCCTCTTGGCATTGTGGCTTGCTGTCCTCCTCCGCATAGCGCGGGGCACTGATTGGAACACGCGGGTTGCGTTTGCAGCCTTGCACTTGCGCATGCTGCTCTCCAGCGCCTTGATCTCGAACTCGCGGGTGCTGAGAAACTTCTGCAAGTCAAGTTTGCCGTCCTCGAGAGCAGCATCGGACGGCTGGGTGCGGATGTTGCGGGCATCGTGGAACTTGACGCGCTTCGCAGAACGCGAATTCGTCGTGGTCGTGGCCCGTCCATCTTGCGGTCGAGGTTTGTTTTCCTTTGTCACCGCTGGGGGCTCCTTTCGTTCTCCCGCCCCCGTCCCCTTTCCGGGGGGCAGAGCTCGTTTTCCGTCCATGTGGCAGACATGGGAGTCAGAAGACAGCGCAACAAGATAAAGCCTCGGAAGATCGCAGACCTCAGTGTGGTTGCATCAATTGATTTTTGGAGCTCCTATCTTATCGAGGTCGTCGGTCTTGGCGGTGCACTCGGTTCAAAGCGTCACTCCAGTCGCAACGAAATCTTCAGCCTCAGAACAGCAGATGAACCGATAAATCAACATAGATGATATCAAAGTTTAACCAAGTATCCCCATAAGCTGCGTAAAGACTTGCGACAGACCCGTCTTTCCACAGATGCTTCAAAAACCTGCCTGCGCAAGCATTTGGCGGTACTATACACAGTACTAGTATGTAACGTATTGTACATACAGTAACAAAACGCACGCGCCACGCCTTTCCATTTCCCGGGAGGCCCTGCCTGCGTCGGGCCGTCGGCGGATTGTAGTCCGGTTGGTGTTGCGTTCAGGAGACATCCAAACCCCTGGAATCAATCAGAGAAGCTCCCGCTAATAACGCACTAACCACTGTGGTAACGTTAACACACTAACTACTATAGGCGTCCTGCTGTTCAGGCTATCAACAAGAAGCTTTCGTTCCGAGTCAAGACCGCTTGGCTTTGCTTGTTCGTGTCTGCTGTCGCCTTGCTGCATTCGGCGTTCATCTGGAACTTGAAAGTCAGCAACGGTTCTTGGCACGCCGACGTCAGCCTCTTCGGTCCCAAGGTTTCAACAGCGTGAGAAAAGGGAAACGTCCGGGGCGCCTGAATCCGGATCTGACCAACCGGGAAGGAATGGGTCGTTGCTTCGTGACCCGGTAGTAGCGATAATAAGCATGGCATCCCTCAGTAAGCATGCGCACCTAACCCACCCCGTCTTTGACCTCGACCACTCGGTGCCTCAGAGCCTCATCAATGGCCTAGACACCATGTTCTTTGCCGTCCCGCAGCCCGAACTTGTGAATCCCGCATTGTTACACTTCTGAAACTCCATTCTACCATGGGGTCAGGCTGATTGCCCTCTTTGCCCACAACAACTTCTACCTCGGAGCCCAGATCCCGCCGCCTTGATTTGGTGTCGTGCGCTAATATGCATTTCCTCCCCGTAGTAAACAAGGCTAGAAAGGTCCGGGCTGTTCCCTCCCCCAGTGCACCGTTGCATCTAAGGCTCCGACGCTGATGGTTACATGGCTGCTGCAGCCCAAGTTCGATGTCCATCTCAAGGCAAGTGCTACAAGCGAGCAACGAAGTGATAAATGGGCGGTTGTGCTGATCGGGGCTAGATTTCCGATCTCAACAATGTGCCACTCGTGTCCGGAGTGTCGATGGTCAAATGGCATCTCCCGCACAGTATACACGGGGAGCACAGGGGACGAACCCAGAAGTGCCCCATCTTGAACCACCGTGTCGAGTACAACTATTCCAAGGTCATCCCCGTGCGCATTGCTGTCGACCGTAGCGGCAACCTGTGCGAGTGCCCCGTCGAGTTTGAGGTGGTGCAGGAGTTCAGCGCCGGCGGGCTGAATGGCGGCAGTGGACGGGATGAGAAGATCACGCTCGGCACCGTCCGCCTCAACCTGAGTGAGTATGTGGAGGAAAGCGAAGGTATCTTGCGAGATGGCACGACCGCGGCGGCCATCAAGGAGGCTCTTGCTTCGCCCGTCCAGAAGTCAGCGAGCCACCACCGCAAGCGCAGCTCGCAGAGCAATGCCGGATCGAGCCCCAGGACTTCCCACGACGACGAGCGCCCAACAACAGATGCCGTGCAGGACGGCGTGGTGCGGCGCTACCTCATGCAGGAGAGCAAGATCAACTCGACGCTGAAGATCAGCATCCTGATGATCCAGGTCGACGGCGACCGCAACTACGTCGCGCCTCCGCCAAAGTCGGCTTTTGTGTTTGGCGGCATTGCGGGCCTCGTGTCCGGAGACGTATTCGAGCCCGTGGACACCGGCGCAACCACCCCGGGCCACGCGCCGTCGTCTTTCAGCGGCAAGTCGCGGGATGTGTTTGAGGTGCAGGATATGTACCGCCGCGCTCTGGCTGCCAGCTGGGCGAGCCAACCGGGCGAGCTACCTGCGGACCGGTGCATCGAGGACATCTTTGCCGGCGGAGAGGGCTTTGCATCACCCCCGAGATCATCCCACCACGCACGCGGACATTCGCGGCACCACCACCGCCCCCACAGCGCCGTTGCCGGCCATGGCAGGGCCGGGCCAGGTGATGCGCCTCCTAAAGCACCGCGAGGAGACGACAGCGGCTCCGTCTCGGACGAGGAAGACAGCGGCTCTCTGATGGGCACACTCCGGCCGCGCGATCTGGCGCGCCTCCGCAGCATGCGCCACCTGCGTGATCAGAGCGTCGCCAGCGATCGCAGCGTGGCTACCGTGCTTGGTGGCGGCGGGGAACGGGATCTCGACCGCGAGTCGAGCCGCGGTATCGGGCTGGGCGCGAATGGGCCGCTTCGCGAGCCGTTCCCGTCCTTTTCGTCGCTTCCCATGCATCGACGCGAGGAGAGCAAGATCACGCACGCCGGCGGCGGACTACGGAGTCGCAGTTCCAGTCTGGTCAGTCTCGCGTCTACGCTGGGAAGTGAGAGGGAGAGGGGAAGGGAAGGGTTCAAGCGGGCGAGGGAGGTTGATGAATTTGAGGTACGAGATGATTTGGTTGCCTGGACAATTCCGGGTCCCCATCCTAAGTGAACATGGATGGGATGGTCAAGCGACAAGGAGGTGTGGACATATAGATCTGATGGGTTTTGCTGCACGGCGAAATTTGGCGACAAGCAATCTACGACTACCGGCCACTGTTTTATGTATTTAAATATAGAGAGTGTGTCTGTCTCCCGTAAAAGCTCCCAGGGAGAATTTCCATCCATCCAGCTGAGAATAAGGTAGGACGGAGGGGTACTGCTTCCCGTCTGTTGTTATGGTCCAGATCACCGCCGATTTGCCTGCGCAATCTTGACATCACCTTTTGTAGACAGCCAGCTCAGCATCGAAGAGAGCCAGGGAAGCGTCGACTGACCGGGCCCACGGCCACGCCAAGATCTTAATAGTTTTGGAGCAAGGAAGAGGAGAACCTTTCCTGGAAAAGGAGCTCTCTTCCGCATTCACCCAAGCAGTCTTTCAGCAGCTACGACAGTCTAACCCCGTCGTCATCGCTATCGCCGCCCCCAAGGCTGCACGCAGTCCCCAAGGAAGTCCTGCCGATCAAGAGAGGGGTGCAACATGGTGAGGGATGAAGATGGAAGAAAAAGGGGAAACAAAATACCAGGTAAGGGAAGATGACGGAAGTCACGCAGATGCGCAGGAGCGTCCGGTGGGGGTTGTGACTCCCCGACGGCATAGAAGACCGGGAATGGGTTCACGGTCCTACCTTAACATGACCCGGTTCTGGATGTGGCGGTTTGCGTAGTACCTTAGGCTGCGCCCAAGTCCGACTTGCGACGAAGCTGCCGAGGCACTCTGGTGAGTCAACTCAAACGTGTCTCCGCCGTTGGGTAGCGCACATTACGGACACTTGTCAAGGGATGGGTGAAATGGAGGGATGGATGGGAACTGATTCATCAAGTACGTTTCCAGACTGCCCGACTGCGGTGAGAACGTCCAGGGGAAGACCAAAAAAGGTGCTATTGCTAGGAACAGGAGATCTCGCCGAGGGCGGAAAGTATGGTGTGGCCAAGGGAACCCGGAACAGCAGGAGAGAAGAAAGCCCGGATGCGAGAAGAATCGAGGGGCCTGTCTGCAGAGATTTCAGCCACATAGCTAACTAAGGTGTGTAATGAATCTATCGTCTAGGCGAGTCCGCCATGCAGAATAACACCATCATGCCATATGTCCCGCACCGCACACAGACACAGACGCCCCGGTCAAGGCCTGGGCCGCAGTGCGCTTCTCAAGTTTCCATCGCAATCTCCCAAGCCCTGCCATGGTGCATGTTGCCGTAACCTCGCACTCTTGAAGGTTTAGGGTGATAGAAGTGAGGTTCCTCCTAGGAACTCACCAAAGTCCCCCGAACGCCGCCTTGCGCGCCAACCTCGCGCGCTGTTATCATGACCGAGAGATCCACACCCACCGTGATGGAGACCTCGACCTTGCCGCCCTTCTTGACGCCCTTGATACCGGCCTCGGCGAGGGTGGACCCGATCTTCCAGACCTTTTCCCGCTTTTCCTCGTCCTCCTCCTCCTCGTCGTCCGAGAAGTCGCTGTCGTCGTCGCCGTCCTCGTCGGCATCCTCCACCTTGGCCGCCTTGGACGTGCCGTTCTCCTTTGTCCTCGGCTCGGGCTTGGTCACCTTGATATGCGTGTTGCCCTCGACAACCTTGACCAGGACGTCGCCACCTTTGGGCGCCGACAGGTGGACCGTGCGCCGCGCAGGCACCGCCGTCTCGGGTGGCACGATGGGCACGAAGACCTCCTCGCCGGCGTCGTTTGTCGAGATGACGCCGATGGCGTTTGTGACGTGCGGCACCGTTGTGACGGCCGCGTGCGTGGACTGCTCGATATCCTCGGCCTCGTATTCCTGAACCAGGCTGGCCTGCAGCGCGGCACCACGCGCCTGCAGTTCTGAGGGGTTGATGGCGGTCGTCTCGGTCGAGGGCGCCAATATCCTCGTGGTCTGAGGGAAGATGTAGCGAAAGTTGGCGGCGATGCGCGGCGTGTGCGCGGTGCCGCCCGACAAGATGACTTCGTCCACGTCCAGCACGTCCAGGCCGGCCTTCTTGACAGCCGACTCTACCAGGCGGTTGAAGCCCTCGAAGATGGTCCGTGCGATGGTCTCGTAGCGCAGCCGGTTGATGGTGCTGGCGAAGTCAAGGCCGTCTGCCAAGCTCTCGACGCTAAAACTCGCGTTCGTGCCCAGGCTCAGCGCCCGCTTGGTCGACTCGGCCTCGAGCCTCAGCTTGGCCAGGCTCTTGGCGTTCTCCCGCGGGTCGCTAGCGCCCGAGTTCTTCTTCATGAACTCCTTGGCGAAGTGGTCCATGAGCACCTTATCCAGCGCAACACCGTGGAACTCGTAATCGTGGACGGTGGCAAGCAGTGTGTACATGCCGCCCCGGTTGGCCACAACAGCAACGTCGGACCGTGTGCCGCCCAGCTCCGCCACCACAATGATCTTGTCCTGGATCTTGTTCTCAGCCCGCCCATCATAGGCGAGCACTGAGGCCACGGGTTCGCTAATAAGCTGCAGGACTTCCAGGTCTGCCGCGTTGGCAGCCGCAATCAGAGCAGCTCTTTGCTTCTCGTTAAAGTTCGTCGGTACCGTGATCACGGCAGACGTGACTTTCTTTCCGAGGTATTCGGACGCCGAGTTGACCAGGCGCCGGAGATAGCGGGTGACGACCTCGGAGACGGAGAGCTCTGACGCGGCCTCTTCCTCGCCCGCCTTATCCTTGACTGTGAACAAGACCGTCTCTCCAGATTCTTGCGGGTGGGCGGAGGCATGGTTGTGCGTGGGGTCAATCGACCGGAACTCTTTTCCAAGAAAGTCGCGGAAGTAGGCGACCGAGTTGTTCGGATTCCTGACCAGGAAGTTCTTGGCTTGCTGGCCGTAGTATTCATCCCCGTCGACGTACGACAGGATGGTGGGAATCTGGCGGTCTGAGGAGGCAGGGAATCAGTATGCGACCAGGCAAAGGGACGGACCGGGCTGCTCACCTCCATCCTCGTTCGCAATGACTTCAGCCTTGTCGTCGACAACATAGGCGATGGAACTGTTAGAGTTGCCGAATGCGATTCCGATAGCAGTGCGCTCGCTTGGCTCAACGCCAGCCTTAGACCCGTGATCGCCCATCTTTTCTAGATACGGATGTGTTGGGTAGTGTTGGCTTGGAGAAGGAAAGAGTCGTTCTCCAGAGGCAAGGTCCGAGAGCGATTCGGTTTATGGTGGGGGTTTTGGCAAAAAATTTGGGCCGTTCCCAGTCCCTGTCACTTGGGCTGAGCACCACAAAAGAACCGTGTATGTAGATGTACAGTAGCTAGTTACACACATGTGATCCCTGATGGCACAGGACGTAATTCAATCGGAGGACTCGTAGTGTTTTGGATAGCATTGCAATACTCGCTCACGATGGCTGAAAAGCGGTAATACGACAGACTTCATCACTTTATCTGCTATTAACTTTCAGGAGGCGAAGAGCTGGGGGCGGTGCTGGGTAAGGTTCATGTACCTCGCGGCACGGAATACTTACAGTAACCTGCCCATCCACCCCATGCGCATCCCGCCAGCAACCCCACCAAGGCTGTCGCCAGCCGCAGACGAGGCTGACCAAAATTGGCGACCCATCCATCAAATCAAACTTGGGACCAACCACCATCATCGTCCCGCTGGAATCACCACGAACAACACAACATCCACCGCCATGGCCACAACCGAGCGACTCTTCGTCCTGCCGGGCGAGACAATTGACCCATCCCTCATCCCAACGCACAAAAAACACCCGCTACGGCTAGGGCCCGGTCTCCGGCACATTCCGCCATCCGACATCGTCCCAACCGTCGCCGGCCAGCTGATCACCAACCCGCTCAAGAACTCCATGTGGGTAGAATACAACTCCCACCGGGTATGTCTTATATTTCATTTCCGTTTCCCCTCCTTCCCCTCGTCTAATCCTGACTTTGAGTTTGCTTATACATGTATACATAGTATATCCCCTCCCAAGGCGACATCATCCTCGCCCAGATCCTGCGCTCCACGACCGATTTCTACCTGTGCTCCATCTCGCCCTACTCGGCGCCCGCGACCCTGCCACACCTCGCCTTCGAGGCCGCCACCAAAAAGACCCGCCCGCAGCTCGCGCCCGGCTCGCTCGTCTACGCCCGCGTGAGCCTCGCCAACCGGCACATGGACCCGGAGGTGGAATGCGTGAACCCGTCGACGGGCAAGGCCGACGGGCTGGGCCCCATCACGGGGAACGGGTGTGTCTTTGACGTGTCGCTCGGCTTCGCGCGGAGGCTGCTCATGGCGCGGAACAGGGAGGATGGCGGGGTCGGCGTGTTGGAGATGCTGGGCGGGGAGGAAGGAGGCGGGCTGGCCTTTGAGACGGCGGTTGGCAGGAACGGGAAGGTGTGGGTAGGCAGTGAGAGTGCGCGGACGGTGGTGATTGTGGGGAGGGCGCTGCAGGAGACGGATCGGGGCGCGTTGGGGATGGAGGAGCAGAGGAGGCTGGTCAAGAGGTTGGTGAAGGGGATGAGGTGAGGCAGGGTATCTGATGGCGGATCGAATCGCATGCCGCAATTAAAAGCATGCTCCTAGCGGTCTACGGATTATGGACGGACGGCGCATTGCCAGCCAGCGCGGGAGGCTGCCTCGAGCTGCGGCTGGCAGGTTAGACATCCCCTTACTGCCGTTGAGGCCGGCTCCTGAACGAGCCAATTCCCTGCTGGATGGAGGGAAACCAAGGCCGCCGGCGAAGAAGGGAGCGCAGGAGTCTCGACAGTCCGGAATTTGGTGGGGGAGACGTTTGCATTCAAGGCCCGGGGCAGTACCGCCGTGTCCGCAATGCAGAAGCCAAGGGCTATCCAGAGCTCCGCAGGAAGCATTATAAATATACACACAGACCCAACTTCCAAGGGCCTTCCAACCGAATAACGGCCATTGCCAATTTTTCCCGTCTCCCCGCCTGTCAAAACAAAAAAGCCTCCACCTTTCCGACGGGCGAGGTGAGCGAATTTGAGCTTCTGTCCATCCTCCCCAAGCGGACATGCGCATGTACCGTCGGACAGGCCGATGGACCATCCACCCGCTCCCCCGTCCCGCGTTGGTTCAATCGGCCATGCTCCGCACGCCGCGGCCCTTCGGTGTTGATCCCGGAACCCGCCCTCCAAAACGAATGGCTTAAGGGAGATTCTCCTGGTGGATAGCAACCGATCTAATCCTGCCAAAGCAACCCCGCATCGAGCTGCGGCCGTTGTTCACTCAGAATCGAGATTGGGGACTTCCGCCGAAACGGCAGGGTCATGTCCCGTCCATAGCGACGTCGGCTAGAACCTCCTCATCTGTCATGTCCTTCGGGTCGATGTGATGCTTGTTCAGCATGTGCCTCTTCCAGTTGTCCTTCCTGGGGAAGGATTTGCCGCCCTGTCTTGAGTAGGAGCAGTTCGGCTGGGTGCAGTAGAACTTGCGCGTCTTGAAATGTTTGTCGTTGATGTGTCGCTTGAGGTGTGTTATTGTACCAAAGCTCCGTTCGCAGCCTGGTTGCTTGCATTGCCATGGCCGGTCATGGTATCGTCGGTGATGACTGCAGAACTTGTCAGCTTTTTTGTCTCGAGATGTTGCTTCAAACATCGTCTCACATACTTAAACTGATGGTATGAGCTCTTCACGGCGCCACAAACTTCGCAGACGAAGCCTCCCGGTGGCCGGGCGGGAGACCGGCCCGGAGAGTGGCCTGGAGATGGCCCGGGGGTGCGTCCCCGAGACGGAGTCGGCGACAGCCCTGACGACGGAGAAAGACCCGACATCGTTGTGGAAGACAGACCGGGCGAAAGGCCTGATGACGGCACTAACTGCCCGCTGATAGTAGCCTCAACCTCGGCTGGCGGAGAGGGAGATGGGGAAGACGAAGTCAACCTTGTCTCCGGAGTACTCTCGGCCGAGCGGCCAGTGGAAGCGGGGGGGGTCGAGTAGTCCGGGGTAGTCAAACTGTCGGTGCCATAGTATACGACTGGCTCCTCAGAAATCTGTACCCCGGGCTCCGGAATGGCGGGGACGGGTGCATGGTAGGGTGGGTGGTACGAAGACTGGTACGGGGCGCTTTGATGGTCGTCGGGCCAGGTGAAAGTGATTGCATCCACCGGCGTCGGCATGAACGAGATCGGGTCCGGGGCCATTGGTGGCGGTGGCGGCGGAGAGTTTTCGATCATACGCATTTCGTAGTTCAGCCTATACGCGCTTTCGTCTGGGTTGGTTGGTCTCATCATCTCCATGGGGTTGCCACTCGGCCCGATGTTGTATTGGAGGAACGGCGGGCTGGGCAAGTCGGCAACGATGGTCGGGGGCGGCAGGCTGTCGGTGCGCAGTACCGGCGTGGGATAACTCTTGCCCTGAAGGAAGGTGTTTTGGCCGCCGGAGGTAGCTGGTGTTAGTGTCGTTTTACTGTCACGCAAAACACTGTCCGGTTCCTCGGTCACAGGCCTTGCCATCGACGAGGCGACTGCTGCTCCCGTCAAAGGAACTTGCCCAGCTGGGAGGAAGGGACCTGCCGCGGCGGAGGCCGGACCATACGTGGGCGGAATGACGGCTGCAGAGGGCGACGTCGGCGTGGACTGCGGATAACTGTCAGACGCCTCGATGCCAAGAGTTGGGTCGTGGTAGTAGTCCCAAGCCAAGCCTGGGGTTTCTATATCGATCTCCAGTCCTGACGGTGCCGGGTCGGTGGGCACCTGCGAGAAAACGTCGTTGGTGATGACGGATGGCGACCGGGTTCCGTCGGTACCGCCGGCTAGGGTAGAGCGCTGGCTTTCCCGGCGCCGGTGCGAAGAGTGGCGACGGTGAAGGAAGCTCCGTAGAGAATCTCTGAGGTGAGGGAAGCGACTGGGCTCGGGAGAACTGGATGGGTGGTCGAAGGACTCAGGCTCCTCTGTGATGCCAACCGACGTGATGCCAGTGAGCTCGCGGCTTGGGGGCCCGTACGAGTCACTAGCACTTGACTTGCGAGTGATCTCGCGGCCGACAGCGTGTCCGGAGCCGTAGGGCGGCTTCGACGGAGCTTCGGCCGGTGACGGCGAGGGAGCAGGCGCGGTGGCGGGCAGATAGGAGGCGTCCGTGCCGTCGACCGGAAATGGTGGATCAGTCCCAGACGCCGGCGAGGTCGGAGACGAGCCGGGCAGCGGGAGGCCGTGCTGGGCAGGGACCACCTGTTGCAGGGTTGGGTGAGGCTTCTGAGCTGACTCGGTCGTCTGCTGGAGATCGAGCACGGTGCCAGTCTCGGGAGCGGAGCCCGAGGTTCTTTTGTAGGAGCTGTCGTCTAAGTCTCCCACGTGCGAGGTGAAGATGGGATGACCGGGGCCTTGGCCCATCTCGGCCAGGCCGGGATCTCCATCGGTTCCATGGCGGGGAAGGCGCCGACGTCTGGCACGGACAACGAAGGGCCAGAGACACAAGGTAAGGAGGAGGGCGCCGACCACTGCTCCTACCACAGCCCCACCGATGGCGCCGGAGGAGAGCGGAGTGGACCTCGGCGACAGCATGGACCGGGCTGGCGGCCTCACGGCGAGCGCCGAGGTTGCTGAGGCGCGGTGCTGCTGATGCTGCGGATGCCGCATCAATCGAGGGAGCTCGGAGATACTCTCAGATGCAGAATGATGAAAGAAACCAAGGTTCTGTCGCGTGGGGAAACAGAAGGCTATCAATCGCGGTCCCTGGGCCCGACGTTCTGACAAGGGGGAGGCCACCCAGCCACGAACTTGAGGTCTTGGGATGGGGTTGTGGAGAGCGGGACGAGGCTGTGTTAGCGCTCGGCGGCAGGCCCCAGGGTCCTCGAGTCCTCGACCGCAAGAAACACGAGTGACGTGGAAAATGATGTAATAAGGTACGGTACCTTCCGACGGTCCTGAGCGAGGCCGCTGGTGCCTTCAGCCAGCGCTACACGCTGGCGACGGTGTTTAGTGAAATCATGGCAATTGAACGGCAGTTATTGTGAAGTTGGTGAGCAGAGCGTTAGAGTGAGAAAAAGTCGGGAAGCCTCGACCACCTACCTAGCCTCCAATGTGACGGCAGCCCCCTCAGGCCCACCCGACAGCAGCTGCAGCCCAGCAAGGACGGCCGTCGTAAACAGTAAAATTAATGGAAGCCATCGAATCATCAGGTTCACTGAACGGGCAGCAAGCGAATGCTGGCAAGCAGGGGCCCTTCCCGCTGGGGTGTGATTGAGGAGGTCGCAGCCAAGGCCCACGCAGGGCTGCGCGCTGGCCAGGACAAGGGCTGTTGAGTGGACAGAGAGTTGGGTTCCCTCCCGCGCCTCCGCAACCTGGAAGGTCCAACCTGTTCCATTGCAGGCCCGCCGAGAGAGAGACCCCGCCAACAACTCGCCCAAACGTGGAAGCTCGATCACCGCACCTGGGCAGTTCTCACAGACGACCTCACGACACGACACCTGCGTGCTGTGCACTGTGTAGCGGTCAGGTCTCGCCCTGCAGCGGGGGAACTCTGCAAACATACGGTCGCTGAATGAAATTCGAGGGAGCATGGAAGCTCCCTGGATTTATATCTGAGCTCACTGTACACAAATCACCTACCAACATCTATGGAGGTTTCCCGGGTCTGCGGTCAACAATTCTGGTCCTTTGAACTCCCCGCGCAACGCCACAAACCAGCGGGACCCCACCCCCGCCATCTCAACGGCCTGGCCCGGCGGCCAAGATGGGTCTCAACCGCTGCCACGCTGCGGCGCTGCGGTGTGCCAATTAGATAATGTCCGTGTGGGTTGGGTCCGCGTCTCCGAACTCGGCATCAGTGAACGTTGATGTCGGCCTTCTTGTCGCACTGCCGAGGTGGTCATCCACCACGTCCGGGACGAGAGACGGAAGTCGGCACCAGTTGTGGGAGGAGGAGCTTTCAGTGGGTCTGCCGAGCCGAGTGGCTGAGCCCGCTGTCCCGGCAGGGCGGTTACAAGCGCCGGTCTAGTGTATGTAGGTGTTAGTTAGCTTCCAAGTAGCGTACCCTGGACTTGCCAAGCCGGTTTCACTCACGCTTCACCACATCCGACAGCCGTTAATGAGTCCGACAGCCGTCGAAGTTGTGATGCTAGATCAGCCAGCACGCGTGCCATGGACTCACTTCGTCACCCTCGTTGCACAAATCGGCGCAGCACTGACAGGTGGCTACGACACTGGGTTAAATTCCGGTTTACAGCTCATCTGTGATACCAGAGCTGTTCTGTGAAACCGCGTGGCGTGACAATCCGTCTGTGCTATGCTTCCATGACAGCTGTGCCGTCGTTCAGTTCAAGTTGAGATGTCTTGAATAGGTGGGAGCCAATCAACCAGACATTGACTCCAACAAACCAACAACTGCAACACACATCCTAAGTATGCATGGCAGCCCTTCTCATACTGGGCAACTTGCACATGGCCGTGGGCTGATTAGCCTATAGAACCGGATCTCCAACGGGAGAAGAGGCTAGCTTGGTGAGTTGTGAGTAGCATTTCTGCTGTTTCCTGTGTCTCCTGAAGCTAGCCCACGTTTATTTGTTTTATCCCCGTGCCGTGATGAGGGGGCACCCAACTCAGGTTGGGGACGGAGCTCGGAATAAGACAAGGGTCCGGTCTCCGATGCCTCTGCAAATGGTTGCCGGAATGGGATGATAATGACGCACTTCAGCTCGACGATTGTCTCAACCCAGCAAAAGACGTGCTTGGGATCTGGCTCCGTTTGTTATAGGTTCGCACCAATCATTCTTGTCCTGGGGGAAATGATGACGCTGCGGGGATGGGGACGACCGCGCGTCCCGGCATCGAACTACATTCACCTATATCTACCACGCTCCTTAGCTCCTGTACATACAACAGTAGCCGTCCATCAGCCCTAGAATGTTGTAAGGGGCCTGGTATCTATCTCGGAGCGCACTGAGTAAGACCAGTCGGGATCATATTAGTTCCTGACTTTATTAGTCACAGTCCCCTCTCAGCTTCGTTGCGAGTTGAGACCTCACAATGAGACAGGCCGTCGTCTTATTTGCGGCCACGGCTGCCGCGTTGGTCACCCCTGATTTGGTCAGCCACCAACAGATCTCACTCTCGGACAAGCACGGCGAAACAGCCACCCAAGATGCTGTGCAGACCTGGTGGAATACCTGCCCGGAAGCGGAACGTCTCTTTGCCTCCGTCGAGCAGCACGTCACGAAGAACATTGAGCGCTCTGCTCTTGACAGCTTCCTTTCCGTAGTTGGCGACGATAGCGAGAAAGACGAGGACCCCCGTCACCCGCATCACCCCCCTCGCCCGCCTCATCCGCCTCACCCTCCTCGCCGCGGACGTGGCCGCCACGGTCACCATGGCCCCCACGGCGACCCGGAGAAGACCATCTACGAGCTGATCAAGGACAACAAGCACACTACCAGGTTCGCCGAGCTGGTCGAGGAGCACGACGAGATCAAGCAGCTCCTCCAGGACACCGAGCACAACCACACGCTGTTCGTACCCACCGATGGCGCCTTCCGACGCATCCCGCACCACCGCCACGGCCATACGGGGGGAGACGATGACAACGACGACGACGACGAAAAGCACGAGCACAAGCCGTCCAAGGAATTCCTCCTGGCCCTGCTCAGATACCACATTTCCCCGGGCCTCTACCCGCTCGGCCGCATCCACAACAGCCGCACCCTCCCGTCGGAGCTACACCCGGCCGCCCTCGAAGCGTCCTCCTCCTCCTCCTCCGAAGACGGCCACGGCCAGCCGCAGCGCATCCGCGCCTTCACGACGCCGATCGTGCACTTCACGCGGCTCAACTTCCACGCGCGACTGCTGGGCGGCGGCGGCGACGTCGTGGCTAAGAACGGGCTCATCCACGCCGTCGACGCGCTGCTGCTCCCGCCGCCCAACACCACCAGCATCATCCGCCTACTGCCCGGCCACTTCAGCACGCTGGCGCTGGCGCTCGAGACGACGGGGCTCGGCGACGAGCTCGAAGAGGGGGAGGGGGGCAGCGCGAGGCGGAAGGGCGGCGGCACGCTGTTCGCGCCGACCAACGCCGCGTGGCAGAGGCTGGGCCCCAGGGCGAACGCCTTCCTGTTCTCGGAGAGGGGGCGCAAGTACCTGAGGGCGTTGGTCGAGTACCATGTTGTCGTGAACGAGACGCTGTATTCGGATGCCTTCTACAGCGGTAAGAAGGAGAAGAAGGAGAAGCACGGAGACGGAGACGAGGCCGGCGAGGAGGAGACCGGGTACTGGCACGTCGACCTGACCAGCTTGCTGCACGGCAAGCCCATCAGCGTGGACGTGCGCGAGTGGAAGGGGTTCGTGTCGATTGTGGTGAACGGCTTTGTCAGGGTGGTGGTCAGGGATGGGATTGCGAACGACGGGGTGATTCAGGTGGTGGACAAGGTGCTGATCCCGCCGTGCAAGCATCGTCAGGGCGGCGATGAGGAGACGGCGGAGGCGGAGATGAGCGTGGAGGACTTGAAGCGCCGGTTGGAGCCGTATCTGAAAGCGGATAGCGGACCAGAAGATGCGGGTGATCTGTAGGAGGCCTGGGAGTGGTCTGAGGGAATTCGTTCCTTTTTTTGTTAGTGGAAGGAAGCTTGGAAAATATCTCCCATCTACACGCTCGTTAGCAGGTTTCACATCGCACCATATGTACACCTAGTATAGCACAGCGATAGAAAGCAGAAACAGCAATCTTACCTTACCCTGGTGTCATTTTTCGGCGGCCTCATACCCCAGACCTAAGGTACCCATCGAATTCCCCGGCGCTCTCTACGAAGTAAACGCATTCACAACTTTCCCCTCCCGATCCACATCCACCGCAGCCCACCGTTGCTCCCGGTTCGTCCTCCTTGTCCAATCGCAACTTCCGTCGACGCACGACCGCTCGTACACACCAATCTCGTCCAGCAACACCTCCACCGCCCAGACATACGACACCCTGTCGTCTTCCACCACCGCTCTCCCTCGTGGACTACCGGCGGCGGCCCTCAGCGCTGCGGCGTCTGCTCTGGTTCTGGGAATACGCGTACACAGCAGGTGGAGATCCAACATCTGCGAGAAGACCAGTCCAAAGGACGGTTTGTTGCGGTGGGCGGAGGCGAAGTTGTTGAGGTTCCCTTCGGGTTGGTGGTGGCCCGGGATGGATGCCATGGACGGCTGCGGTGGCGGGTTGAATATGGAGCGGAGGGTCGAGTCCGGCTGTTTCTGGGGCCTGTGATCTCTGTCGTCGATAGGCATTGCCGTGCGGTGCTCATCGCTATGATGATGGGCCGAAGAAGGGGAAGAGGAGGTGGAGTTGAGGAGCATGAATAATGGCGGCGCGTCGTGCTCGGAATATCGAGTGAGGCAGTGCAGGTGGTCAGAGAGCAAGCCCATGAAGGAGTGTGCAAACTCCTTGCTGCGGCTGGTGAAGAGCGTGCTCATCAGGGTCGACATGTGCGTGACCAGTACCATGTCGGGGAGAGGGCGTGAACCAGATTCTCCTGAGACTGGTGCTTCATGCTCAGCGGGAGGCTTCTCCGAGGTTGACTGTCCACACGATACGCTCTCCTCATCCTCGCTGTCCTCAACCTCAGTCCAATGCTTGCCTTGCTGCTGCTGCTGGACTGCTTCTTCCTTCAAAGAAGCCGCATGGTCAGGCTGCTCTTCCGCCTTCGCACCCCGAGAGTCTCGTCGCGAGCGGGGATATGGGATGTAACTACTATGTTCCAACTCCTCAATGACCTCAGCCACGCCCTCCAAGTCAAACACTCTCGCAATGGAGATCCTCTCCAGGCACAACCTGACTCGGTCTCGGAGAACATCGGGTCTACCGGGAAGCGGACAGATCTGACCAACGAGAGCCGCACGCAGTTTGGGCAGCAGCGCTGTCGTAGGCATCGTGGTAACCACCGTGGCCTTCGCCGACCTGTCCTTGGCCAGCAGTCGTGCCAGAGTCTGTAGACCAATCTGTCTCAGCCGTCAGACAAAGAAAGAAAGAAAGAAAGAAAGAAAAGAAAAAAAAAAGAGAAAAAAGAGTGACCACCAAACTGCCCAGAACAATTCGAGGGGAAACTTACTATCAAGCCCATCTCCTCCCCTTCGGCACTCACCCCGACGATAGAGCCGCGCTCAAATCCGCCCAGCAAGACATACTCGTCCAGCTCCCTGCATCCCGTCATCAGGTTGCCCTTTCCGACACAGTGCTGCCTCCTGTCCTCCTCCAGCCTGGCGTATGCCGATGCGTCGTCTACCGCGTGATATTCCGAACCGGAGCTCGCCGGGCTTGACGGCGATGGTGGGTTTTCGGCGTCGTCCATGATTTTACGTAAGTAGGAAATTAGACTTATGGTGAAATCGATGTCACCATTCTTAAATAGATTGTGATGACAAATAATGAATGACAGTCGGTGTTCGGTGGGCCGATGACCACCTTGTTCGCTCAGACGTGAGCATGAGTGCGGCTGCACCGCACCGCCTAGAACATCAGATTCACAGGCCCGATTGCTTAGTTCATTCAGGTTGGGTTTGGCGAGGCCGTCGCTGTTCTGGTTGTTAAGGTAGTTGCTGTGGTTCGTTCATGGCTTCTGAGATGTCCGTCCCATCTCCAGCATGTGGCTTTGTGACTTTCCAGAAGTTGTGCACGAGATTGGAAGGAATCTACAAGCAAGTGCTGTGGGTTGGCAACCACCGCGCCCGGTTAGCCGACGTTTGGTTGACACCTGAGGCAAGACACTCGATGGGTTCCCTCCAAATAGTCACGGTGCCAACCATACTGTGACAGATTTCGATCATCCTCACTCTCAACTCTGGAGGAAGAGGAAGGGGGTCAATTCCGGAGGTTACTACTGTGGGGTCGAAACAACCAGCAGTTTCAACAACAACCCCGGCGACATCAAACTTCACGGAGCTGCCCCTGAAACTGTCTGAACCCAACGACCAATACATCCATACAAGTGCACATCACCGCAAGCGCAATGTTCTATCATATTTCATTTTCATTACAACAATACTCCAATTCAATCTGCCGATCGAAGAATGCCACGCCGCCTGGCCTGGCTCGACTATGTAGTCGCCATTAAGAGACAGACAGACAATGGAACCAACCCAAGACGAGAGGAGAGGTAGGAGAAGACAACAAAAAGTTCGAAACAGCCCATCTCGTCAAGTCCTTCCGTCGTGCATATCGCACGCCGCCCTTGCCAGGAGACGAGACCAGCACCATGACTGCATGGCCCCCCTTCGCCCGTGCAAGTCGGTGACCCCTCCCGCATCCCATGACTGACGCGACAATTATTAGTTGGCGAAGCTCGACGCCATCCCCCCTCAGCATTGCGTCGTACCCCCCCCCCCCCCCCCAAAGTGCCAGAGGAAAATAAGATCATAAGAGGAAAATAGAGCCACAACCAAGTTCGGAATAGGTAGGCTAGATAGGTATGTAGGAGGCCTTACGCCGTGAATTGTTTGTATACGGAGCAGGCTTTCAGTGTCCGCCTAAAATGAAGTCGATCTGTGCCTGTAGAGGGTGTTGCTGTCGAGGACAGAACCGTAAGGGAAACGAAATGTATTCCCTGATCCCACCGCGTCCCAACGGCGTCCCACGAGGGCATCATGGAAACCGAGTCCACGTTGCATGCCATCAAGATCCGCGCAGGAGAGGGTTGAATTTGAAGCCCCCGGCAGCGAACAATCTCGCTCAAGTCATTACCCAGCGACTTCTCTAGACCGCTGTCCCGGGAGCTGGGACAGCAACATCAGGCTCACCGGCCGCAGGAGCCGGGCGCTGGCGTCTTCCCTTCAGACTCTTCATGCGACCCAAAATCCCGCTCACTTTCGGCTGCGCTTCGTCGCCCCCGGTGGCGTCCGTTGTCGACCTGCGCTCAAGACCACCTCCTCCCTTGGGGCTCGAGGGAGATGCCTTGCTGCCGTTCGTCTCCGTCCTGCGTACCGTGAAGTCGTCCTCACCCTTGGCCGATCCATACTCGGAGAAGAAGGGGTTGCGCTCCCCGAGTGGGGTGCTGGCCGGCCCACCGCCAGAGGGAGACCTGCGGGAGCCGTAGACACCCTCAGGGTTGGTCAATCTTCCGGACGGCTGGAAGTCGCGGCCGCCCCGGTTCATGTTGCGGATTCGGTGAGCAAGCGACTTTTTGCGCTGGAGACCCTCGGTCATAACCTCGGCCGCTCGCTCTTCCTCGTGCTTCTGGATGACCGTTCGAGCTGCTGGCGTCCCTTCTAGGAAGGTCGACGTGCCAAGACCGAGGGATTCGTCGCCGTGTAGGATAGCGCCGCGGCTGCGGGGGTCGAAGATAGGCACTTCCTTAGTTCCGCCACTCCTCTCTTTGCCGCCTTTCGACCACTCCCTGAATGCCTCGTCGTCATGTTGTCCCAAGAAGGTCGCATGGTCGGGTCGAGCGTTCAACGGCCCAGCGCCACCAAGGGTGTTGTTCAGCGAACCCTCAGGGAAGGCCTGCATTGGTGCCCGTCGGCTGCCTTGACGGTTCCGGTGTGGGTTGAGGGCGTCGAAGGGTCCGTCGTGGTGGAACACTGCGAAGAATGTCAGACTGCTGCTCAGGGAAAGGGAAACGGGGAAACAAGCAAGCAAGCAAGAAGGACACGTACTCCCCACTCCGTAGATGCCCGTCGCATCCAACTGGTCAATGATGTCAAGCTTGCGGCTCGCAGGTTTCTTATCCTTGTTCTCACGGTGCCGGCGTTCACGCTCGCGTCGCCTCAGTTCGCGCTGCTTCTTCTCTTCCTCGGTCATTCCTCTGTCGACGTCCAAGATGGAGGATTCCGAGTTCCTACGCGGCCGCCTATCTGGACGCCGCTGCGGGGAACGAGACGGATTCGGACGATCGGCTCTGTCGCCGTTCTCTTGCATCCTTTTGGCGCGGAGAGCCTCTTCCTGCGATCGGGTCGGACGGTGATTCGGTGGCGGACCCCTCCGATTGGGTGGCGGCACGCCCTCGCGCATGGGAGGCGGCGGACCACGGCGACCCATTGGGGGTGCTGGTGGTTTCCCAGCATCCGATCGCGGCGGCGGGGCAGCCGGTTTGGACTTTGAGTCCTCGAGTGTCAAGGAACCCTGCGCGCAAAACGATCAGCCTTAGTTTCCAATATCGCAGGCACAACGAGACACCGGCTTGCGTCCCGGTAGCTGTCAATAGAAGGACGTACGAAGATATCTTCGGCCGTGAGCGACGGCCTCTTGTCGGACGACATCGTGTCCGAGGCGGATCGAATATCTGAGAAGCTTGACCTGCCGGCGACGGCGGGGTCGAGAAACGGGTTGCGCGAAAGTGGTCGCGGAGGCGGGTCGTCAAAGGGGGAAACTAGGGCTGGCGAAGCAAGAGGCGACGCTGCGCGATTGCGGAAGGGATTGTTGGATGAAAGGTTCAGGAGCAATCCGGCGGACCGCTGATCTAAATGGGGGACCGGGTCAGTGATCAATCGGGCAAGAGCACAGCAGAGTTGGCCAGCGGCACCATGCATGCAAATGAACAAATGACGACAGCGATAGGGAACATGAAACGCCAATCTCCTTCTCCTGACACGACCGGCTCATTGGCAGAGCGGACCGATGGACAAGCGCAGTTGCCAAAGTGAACCCCTGAGCAACAAAAAAACTTGGAAGCGAAAACGACCAGCCATGCACGCTTGCGAGGATCTTGTCCCTCTTTGCTGCGTCTGCCACCACTGATGGGCAGCGCCGCAAGGAACGCACCCGCAAGGGGGGATATATGTATGTATGACTGTTCTGCTCACCTTGCTGTCCTGATTGAAAGTCCGCCATGGTTTGCAGAGGCGCGGGAAAGTTCGATTGAAGTGCGTCTGATGGCGCTGGTGTTTTGGCTGGCGCAGCTTGCCGCGTTTGCGTACGGTCAACGCTTTTCGGTCGACCCTGTGCTACCTACACTACCACAGTACTGTGTCAAAATGGCTTGGGCCGAATTCCTTTGACCGGGGCTGGCATCATACCAGTGGAGATAAGGAGTAGTAGCAGACTTCAGACAGCGGGTCGTTCCCGCGCGCTCGTGGGTCCGTCTCAAAAGCGCGACTGTGTCTTTCGGCGGCTGAGAGAAAAAGAGCGGTTGATTCGCAGATATAGGTACGTATCACTCCCTCCAGTAGCCCAACGCCCCTCGCGCAGATAGAGCGTATTGAGATGGGATGAGTGAATAAACTGTCTGGCCGCCGGGCACTTCAGCCGAGATGGAGCTCAGATACTTATGCCGCTGGTGTGCGCATCAACTAGCGAGTTGGTTCTGGCTGTGCAGCGCAAACGTCCTTGCGTTCTGGCAGCTGGTATGTAGATTCGACGCGCTCGGCAGTTGCTGCAGGGGCAGTGTAGCAGGTTTGTAAAACCCTGAATAGGCGGTCTTTTCAGATGTTGTATAGAAGGGATCGAAGCGATTTCGACAGTTGGAGGTTTAGTAGGAGTACGAGGCAGAAACGGGAGAGCGACTCGAGACTCGAGAGCATGCGAGAGATCGGCGCAAGAGTGCGATTTGACCGAGGAGGCAACGGCAGCCAGACCGGAGCCCCGGGCAGTTCGTTTTCCTGTGCCACGGACCGGCTGACAATTTTGATCACCGCATACAGAGAGAATGCGACTGAGACTTGAGCTCCCGGGCCCGTCTTCTCTGCTGGGTTGCGTGTGGATCAGTGGGGATCGGAACCCGACACTGAAAGAGGTTGTACTGGAGGTAGCTGACAGCGGTGTGCACTTGGCGGGACACCCGGCTTTGGTTGACGGATGAGTTGAAGCAGCGAGTGCAAGGGACGACAGGATATTTGATGACTGTCTACAGCTGTACGGAAGACAGTAATGGTGCTACCGGTCCTCCTGGAAGAAGAGGGAAAACTGTCAAGAAACCCTGGGCGGTCACCCGGACAAGTTAATGAAGACGGACATCCAAGATCCTCGCTTCTGCCGCCTGCGAGTGGACCACATCCACATGCCCCTTTTGGCCGCCCCCTCTAGGCTAGGCCCATTCGGTCGAGCTACCCCTGAATCTCCTGGCTTGCACAGTATAAAGAGTTACCGACTGCCCTCCACAGCTGTGCGATCGATCTCATCAGTGTTCATATGCAGATGTTTGAGCTGGCGGTTAGAAGTTTCGGAGCCGGACTGCACATCTTTCAGTCGTTCAATGCGCCGCCGGGGGAGGGGAACCTATGAAGCGATAGAGGCAAGTCATGCAACCCAGATGGGCTGCTGAAAAGCGTTCATGTTTTGTCGATGAAGATCCGAAGCCGTTCGAAGCTACGCTATGTTACCGTAAAACCTCGTTTCTCATGTAGAAGTACCTTCAATGCTGGCGATCTGTTCCCAGGTCATCTCCCGAGGTCCAACTTGACCCCAGCCGAGAGCTAAGGTAGATCAACAACGTAGGTACCTTAGCGCTCGGCTCTTGGAGCCAACCCTTCCTCAGCCGCCCTCCCATTACCAAGTAGAAATTACATAGGTAGATCCGCGGTTGTTGAAGGAATGCCTGCTCTTACTGTAGTCCTAGAATCTTTACCCCTTGCGGGTCATGGTTGTGCTTGAGAGTGCGCGCGAACGGAATGCGTCGTCGACGGTCAAACGAACGAAAACGTTACAGGAAGACCCTGGACCCTGATCAAGGGTTCTTCAAATTCATCTCAACTCGGGCTCCACATCCTTGGATCGCGATTGCGCGCCCCGCAAACGGAGAGAAGGTCCCTTGGGTAGGTACGTACACGACGAATTCATTTTCAAACGACCACGATGTACCGCATACTAAGGATTTGCAGCCTACACCAATGGTGCGGTAATTGCGCCTCGATGGCCCTCTTTCCGTGTCTCCTGAGCAGTCTTGAAAACCCTGAGGATGCAAGCAAACGGGACAAGCAGACGGGAACCGGGGAAGCTGCATGAAAGGGGCTCCCCCGCCTTCCGATTTCAGCCGCGTTAGTTGTGGGGTACAATGTAGTACAGGCTACCATTGTTAGTCAACCAGGTAAGTACCGTATCTTTTTGAAGGTTGATTGGTTGGCTTCACACTTCCAAGGTTACCATACAAACTCAACAGCAATCTCAACATGGATGCCGGGATGCCGCCAACCGAATTTGTTTGGAAAGGCACCTAGGTACCCGTGATATGACCATGCCGGGAGCGGGATGGACTGAGTGAGTATGGTAGTGTGCATTCACACAGCTAAGGTAGGCATTGACACACGTGGATGCCGTGTTGATCTCTGTTTCTCCAAACGCTGGTATTGTTTGGTAGATAGGTAAGGTAGTCATGTCTTGGGGGTCTGATCTAACGTTGGGTGAGGTTCCTCCATGACTGATGTGTCACGAGGGGAGTGTTGTAGGACCACTGTCTGTAAGTTTGGCGAGGCAGCAGATGCCTCGCCTGTTATACATACTATAGTAGTGGAATGCTGGCAGTTGATCGTTCAACTGCTGTGACACGGCAGGATTCCTGGTTTGGTAGTGGCTGGAAGTAGGGTGGTAGCTGGCGCGGAAGAGATCGAACACATTCTAGCACTGTAAACCCTTCTCGGATTCTTTTCCTGTCCTTCTTCCTGTCTCTCTTTCTTCCGACCACTATTATGTCTGATGAACAGGGTGCCAGTAACGTACCTATACCGAACAATCGTAACTCACTATAAACTACTAGGAGGGCGCTCGCGGCTCAAAACCGCCACGGCTTGTTCGGAGTAGCCAAGGCAGGTCACCAGAGACTTGAGTGACTACCCAGATTAGAGGCACTCATGTAGATTTAGGTTCGGATATTGTTAGCATACGGGGGCTTAGCCTTGCTATGTATACATGTCATGATAGTTAGCATCCAATGAGGCATTCAGCAGCCGCCCAAGAAGGTACAGTGTTGATTGAAAAGGTTCCTCGAGACTTTGTTTGTCTTCACTCGTCCCTTGACCGTCTTTCCGTACTCCCTGACCTATGCTTCACACCCTTTAGCCCCGGATGCAAATGATCACCGTACCCTCCTCCGTGGGACCAAGGTTGTGTAGGAATCCCCAGAGCCGTGAAGGAGATAATGATTTACAGACGCACACTGCAGACTATGGTCTGGATTCTGCACATACGCACGAGGAAATGAGTCCCCGAGAACGATGCCCTAGCTAAACCCCCCGGTTTGACTTTCAGAACAATGCTCTGTCAAATGCACACCGATTTTGTGTGACGGCCGAATGAAGTTTGCAAGCAGCGTTAAGACCTCGGATCAGACTATTATTTACAGCTAGGAATCTGAGAGTCGATCAGCGGCGGCCGGCCATGCCAACGCCGCGATGGCCGGCACCGAGGCCGAGACAGTGGTCCTTGGGGACAGACCAATGACGTAACGGGCGGAATGGATGTTACGCCCTGTGGTCATGGACTCGGACTGATGTCGGCTTTGTCCATGGAACGAAAAGAGAGCGCACACGGCGAGGACTGGAGTCCCATCGAATGTGATTTTCCTTCGGGTTTTCAGTCATGTTGGGGAGAGAGCGGCTGTCTTCTTGTCCTGTCTGACTATCCTTTTAATGGAACCTCCAGGTTGCGCCACCGCGGTTCAACAACGAAGGGAGGGGAGCCTCGTTGACAGCCTGTGCCACGATGCACCAAAAGAAAAACCGGGAAGACCGAGAGCGTGACTTCGTCTATATAGTGTTTTTCGGCGTACGGTAATCCACGATTCGACCTGACTGCGATGTGTGATCTTGTCTCGTGTCCGGCAAAGGAATGAATCTTCCAGCTGTTGCTCGAGGGCAGATGCGCCGAGCCGCTCAAGGTCATACATTGCTGGCATATGTGAGGTGGGCCGCGGTCCAGGTTTCCTGGCTCGCAATCAACAAAGGGCGCATCCACCCTTCGCGTGGCGGTTTCCGGGTTGGCCGCAAGTTTTCTGTTGAGTGGTTGGTGCCTGCGCCAACGGCCGAATCATGAGATCTGGAACGCCGGTCATGTCACCTGACGACGCCCTTGCCGTGGGCTGCCGGCCATCTACACTATACACTAAGATAGGTATGTATGTTCATGGTGGCGATTTGCCCGGTCTTCGGCCAGCTCTCGGCCCGGCGCAGAACGCATAGAAGACAATCTGCCTCGAATTCATGCTATCGTCAGGATGGCGCGTGCGGCGCCTTTGCCAAAGTCCCACCACACAGCCCGCTCCATGTTATGCACACAGTGCGGGCTTTCTAATCCGACATCCAGACTCATGATTGACCTGCGAGAGGCTGTCGAGGATGGTGTAATCCTTACACCTCAAATGGCCGAGCTAGGTCCTCTAATAAGTGCTGGCTGCCGAGCAGTGCCTGGCTTGCCTTTTTTATACCCTCCAGATGGCATCTACTGTAAGTGCTGGACCCGAACTGTCTCGGTTTGACGTGAGAGGCGTCTGGTTCGAGAGGGAAGTGGCTCAGCTCACCGGGCTCCGTGTCACCAAAGGCACCCAGAATTGCACTTGCAAGCCTCGTGACAGTTTTGTGGGAGACCCGGCCTGACCGAACTTAAAGATGCCCGATATCCGACGTCGAGTGATCAAAGATACGTGTGTCCGCGGCCCACGCCGCCCTAGTGTATGTTCACGATCCCCGCATCCGCATCGGCCCCTACACTAGTACTGTGTATTGTATTGTACATGTACAGGTATTGTTTGCGAAGCCGGCCAGCTGGATAGCTGCCCTGGTTAGAACTGGTGCGTTGGCACGGCTGGTTTGGGTCAAAGCCCATGAACAGACGCAGGATGAGGGGCTGAGATGCTGATGCTGAGATGGTAAGCGCCAGTGGCTAGAAATTCCCTGCGGGATTGGGCACCTTCAGGTCTGCCCGACACGAGGACAGGATTGCAAGCTGGAGCAATGCTGCTCAAGCTTGTCAAAGTTGCCTGCTGCCATCTCGCAGTGCAAAAGCGGTGTGTGGTTAGCGCAAGCGCACTGTGGAGCCATTTCCTTGGCCGCGGCAAAGCCAGCGATGGGGCGCCCGCCCTACGTACGGGCCTTCGCGCCCTCTGGCCCGCTTGGGTTTCGGTGTCCCCTTTCCCAGCACAATTTCTCTCCTCTCTTGCCCTTCCTTCGAAGGTCGACATAACGTTACTCACTCTTCGTCTTCTCCGCACAACACGACCGCGTATCTTTGAGGGTAAGGGCGCAACAACTCTCCAGTGCAAATTCAAGATCGTTCGTCATTAACCCCAGGTCTTTTCTCTGTAGCGGAATCCATATTCATTGCCACGTTCAATCGGCGACGAGATCCCCCCTCATCCGACCGGCATTTGCCACCACCTTCGGACATCGGATTTGATAGGTAAGCACACTCTCTCACATTCCCACATTTTACCTGCCGGCTTGGAACAAGCAATATTCGCATTTTCCAACAAAGGCCTCATCTCCGAGGGCCACCGGTTCTTGGCGAGGCAAGAGGGTCAGAATCCAGTTCCGTTCTTCGCCGCCCGCAGCCCGAGGCGGACCCTCACCGTCATTCCAACATCTCGCTTTTAAACCCGACTTTTCGCTTCCTTCTCCTTTGACAGTTTCAGCAAGGCTGACCTATTCATTCTGAAGCAGCCCTGTGTCCGCATATTACCATTTCGACATCCTCGAGAAAGGCGCAGCTTCCCGTAACGCAAAATGACGACAATGGTATGAATCCCATTCAATTCTTCGCGTTCAATGTGCTTGTTAGACGTCCTAGCTCGCTGGTCTTCCGGTGTGGTAGCGAGCTTTGGATGTCTTGTCCGCGCAATCTTCTTCGTACTGAATTTACTAATGTCCTCGTAGGATCTCCGAGTCGGGAACAAGTACCGGATCGGTCGCAAGATCGGTTCTGGCTCGTTCGGCGACATCTACTTGGGCACCAACATCATCTCTGGCGAGGAGATTGCCATCAAGCTCGAGAGCGTCAAGGCGAAGCACCCGCAGCTCGAGTACGAGGCTAGGGTGTACAAGTCGCTCGCCGGCGGCGTCGGCATCCCGTTCGTTCGTTGGTTCGGTACCGAGTGCGACTACAACGCCATGGTCCTTGACCTCCTTGGACCAAGTCTGGAAGATCTGTTCAACTTCTGCAACCGCAAATTTTCGCTGAAGACCGTGCTGCTGCTTGCCGACCAGCTCATCTCCCGGATCGAGTACATCCATGCCAAGTCCTTTATCCACCGCGACATCAAGCCCGACAACTTCCTCATGGGTATTGGCAAGCGCGGTAACCAGGTCAACGTTATTGACTTCGGTCTCGCCAAGAAGTACCGCGACCCCAAGACGCACTTCCACATTCCTTACAGGGAGAACAAGAACTTGACTGGAACGGCTCGCTATGCTTCGATCAACACCCATCTTGGCGTTGAGCAGTCCCGTCGTGACGACATGGAGTCTCTCGGCTACGTCATGCTGTATTTCTGCCGCGGCTCGCTCCCCTGGCAGGGCCTCAAGGCTGCCACCAAGAAGCAGAAGTATGACCGTATCATGGAGAAGAAGATGACGACGCCCACGGACGTCCTCTGCCGCGGCTTCCCCAACGAGTTTGCCATCTATCTCAACTACACTCGGTCTCTCCGTTTCGACGACAAGCCCGACTACAGCTACCTCCGCAAGATCTTCCGCGACCTCTTTGTCCGCGAGGGCTTTCAGTACGATTATGTTTTCGACTGGACTGTGTATAAGTACCAGAAGAACGCGCAGGCTATCCAGCAAGCTGCGGGCAACACGGCCAACCAGGCTGCACAGGACCCCAAGGACGCCCAGCAAGCCGGTCGCAAGGACACTCAGCAGGCCCTTCCTCGAGGCACCAGGAAGCAGATCACCGGCGAAACCCCGGACACCAACCGTGCCGTCGGTGGAAGCGACAGGATGTGAGTGACTACCAAGCCTAGACCCAAAGCATTCCTAGTAAGGAATCATATTTCCTTCGAGTTTGGTGTGCTCATAAACGCTGGCCGGAGGTACAATGCTGACGTGGAGTGCTGACGATCAGTTTGCGATAATAGGCTGCGCTCAGCTGCGAAAGCTCAGGGCGCTGGCTCGGGATACGCTTCCAACAAGTACCGGCCCATGGACTGAAGCATTGAATGGCACTGGGATTGGCGCCTCTTTTCGGGCTGTACGAGTCTTTTTCCCTCATCGATTGCTTGAGCATGGATCGTGGTGCCCTTGCGGGATGACCATCACGCTTTATCGCGATGACCACGACAATCCTTGCCGAGATTGGACCAGCATCGATAACGGTTACATGCCCATCAACCTACCGATTTTCGGGATTGTTTCTTTCGCCGGATTTCCTTCGACATCTCCCTTCATGTCCTTCAATCGGCTCGGCTGGCTTTCGGTCTGGCGCGTCGTCGGTGGCTTACTGCCAATCGCCTGACTCGCTGCTCGGATCGGATTCCACTGAACGGCATGTCCGGCACTCTGGTACTGTCGGGGTGTCGCGGGAGGGGGCGGCTGCTATCTACCGCGGCGCACTCCAATGCTGGAGGCTGAGAGTCACGGTCAAATTGGAAGGACTCGAGACGAAGCAGACTGTTTGGAGCGGCTGCTTCTCGGGTGCCTACGTCAATAGGAGATGGGCCAAATGCATTGTTTGCAGCTCGCCCCGACTCTGCCCGATATTCTTCTCTTTTCTTTCCTTATTTGTTCTGGTTTCGCATCTTTGCTTTCGCTGCATCTTGCATTCATTGCATCGGGAATCGCTTGTGGGGAGGTAACAGGGGACGAAGTGATTCCTGGTTCGGACGCGGTGGAGGAGCATGGTTGTCACGCGTCGAATGGTAATGGCGAAGTTCTAAGCTCACCAAGCTAAAGTTGGCACTGCCGGCCGAGGAGCGAGTTCGACAGGTATCCCAGAGAGGGCTTCTGCAATTATCCTTTCGGCAGGAGGAGGAGTACAAGCTGGAACGAAGGCTATCGATCTGCAGCAACCGGGGGAGGAACGACCAGTATCTCGGTTAGCCGATCACTGCGGGTTCTTCTAAAGCGGCAGCGGTTAAGTTGTTCGTTGGCATCCGAGGGGACTCCTAGTGACTGTGGTCTCGGGTACCTTCAGACACACCGCCGCTATTTGTGATGCCCCTTTGCTAGCACGATCGGGGAGGCCGGCTGAGAAGGCAGCTGTGCCCGACTCCGAGTACAAGTTGTCCTGGGGTCTTCACCGCTCCGCGGTTTGCTGCTAGCCACGCACATGCCAGTAGTTATCTTAATTCAGTCTCGTTCTGCTTTCTATTAAATGTGTAAATGCTCTGCAATGGGTGCGCCGTATCTGCAGGGTGAGCGGATCGTGCTGTGCTCCGCCCCTCGTAGGTGCATGTAATAGTCGGCGTTCGGTGGCTGTACAGCACATACACCACTCAAGGACAGCGACAAAAACCAAAGCTACCTGGAACCACCGCAGTAACATTCAGGTACCAAAAGAGCAGTTAAACGAAATGGGGTTCACGGGTGTATAAGACGGGTGCAGCCCGCCCTACCTGAAGGTAATAAGTCAGCCACGGAACCTGGGACGCCTGCAAATCGATCGCCTCGAGTCGCGTTCCATGTCACCGCCTGCCTGATTCAGTTCACGCCACCCCTCGCCGCTTCAACCGTGGACAAAGCGCCAATCGATCTCGTTAATTCTTAATCGTTATGAATATGAAGTTCCCCGCCGCTTGCACAGATGCCGCAAGAATGGCGCCATCAACACTCGATTTGTTCATCCTCACATTCAACTGTGCAAAGAACCTCATTGAGGCCTCTGTCTTCGCATCGCACTTGCACGGTGCACTATTGCAGAATGGCACCGGCCTGCCAGATCTTGTCGTATTGTAAGTTGGCGATGTGGAAGTACCGGGCGGCGGCCCAGGCCCGCACGCGGAAGATGCGTCGAGAAGCATGGTACCCCGGCTTCGGCCACCCATGCGCTGCCATATTCCATATTCCCATGCTTACTCTCTTTGCTCGCGCCACAGCTCGCTCCAGGAGGTAGCGCCCATCTCTTACTCCTTCATCGGCTCATACTTCCTGAGCCCCTATTACGCCCGCTTTGGAGAGGCGCTCAATCTCGCATCGGAGCGACTGCTGGCGAGCACGGGCGCCGACGATGGCGAAGACGCCTCTGCCCCGATGCTCCAGACGGGCGCCAGGCCGCAAGGGGGGAGGACAGCGCCATACACGCTGGTGCGGGCCAAGAATGTCGGCATGACGGCCATTCTGCTCTATGCCCGGGACCCGATCGCCATTCGGACAATCGAAGAGGCAGAGTGCGGTTTCGGCGCGGCCGACATGGGTAACAAAGGCGCCGTTGGGCTGAGAGTCACCTTGGGCGGCCAGCGAGGCGACGACGGGACAGAAGCAGGAGCCAAGACCACAGAACTCACCTTTGTGGCCGCGCACCTCGCCGCAATGGAATGGAACCTCAAAAAGCGCAACTCCAACTGGCGCACCATCGTGTCCGGCCTGACGTTCGCGAACCCGCGGAGCATCCTCCCGGGCATCTTCCCCGAGCACGGCGCCGGTCCAACGCCAGACCGCTCCGGCGCAGGCGACACCGCGCCACCACCCCGTCTCTACACCGGCGACAGCCCGGATCCCTCCGAGGAAGAGGAGGCCAGCGACGAAGACGAGCAACCCCTCCTCTCGCAGCAGCAACAACAACAACAGCAACAGCAACAAACACCCCCGGATTCATCCCTCTCCCCCTCCCAACGCGCCGCCCTCCAATCCATCTCCATCTACAAACCCTCCTCGCACCTCTTCGTAGCCGGCGACCTCAACTACCGCATCAGCTCCACCACCCCGCCGCCTCTCGCCCCGTTCCCCTCCTTCGACCCGTCCTCGGAGCACCACTACCCGTCCTTCCTGCCGCGCGACCAGCTCACGCGCGAGCGCCTCGCCAACCGCACGCTGCACGGCCTGGCTGAAGCGCCCATCGCGTTTGGGCCGACCTACAAGTTCGACATCTTACCATCTCCGGATGGCGGCAGCAGCAGCAGCACTGCATCTCAGACGGGGACGGGGACGGGGACGGGGGAGGTGCCGTGGCGGTTTGCCCCGCACCGCTGGCCCAGCTGGTGCGACCGCGTTCTGTACCTGGACGTGCCCCGCTGGGTGGCTCTTCCTCCTGCTGCTGCTACTACCACTACTACTACTACTACTAGTAGTAGTAGTAGTGTGGACGGCAAAACTAAGGTCCAGGTCGAGGTCAAGGCATATGATGCCCTGCCCGTGGTGGCGAGCAGCGACCACCGGGGCGTTTTCTTCCGGGCGAGGGTGCCTGTTCTGGCAGAGGCCGAGATGACGCCCCCTCCCGAGTTGGAGGGGGAGGAGTATGACCACGACCCGAGGGTGAGGATGCCTGTGCCGGTGGACGTGCATGCCTGGGAGAGGCGGGCGGCGGCCAGGCGGAGGGAGAAGGTGGTGGGGTGGTCGGCTTTGCTGTGGAGCACGAGGGAGGGCGCCGTACTGCTGGCGACGGTGGTGGCGTTGGGCGTTGGCGGGTGGTGGTTGTGGAGGGTCTGGTGAGTGAGTGAGTGCGGGCGTGGGCGTGGGCGTCTCAAGAGAGAGGGGTCTGGTTGTGTGAGGTTGCCCACAGCTTTGTTCTTGGAATTCTTGATACCTTATTAGGTAGGTATGCTTGGACTATATATAGATCTACACTAGGTAGTACGCGAAGTTACGGTAGAGCTGCTGGCCCTCGAGAGCCACTGCACGGTTGATAAACGATCTATTTTTGAATGCACGGCTAGGTACCATGATAAGTATTCGCCGCTGAGGTGTTGATCGGGGAATGTCTCATAGGGTGGAAGAGTTTGTTGTGCCGTTCCCATCATGACGCCTTGCTCCTCGGCCGCTGTAAAGGAAGTCAACGTGGTCCTGTCCTCTGAGACCATTCATTCCCTTCGCATTCAGCCCGATCTGGCCCATAGAATAACTACGTGGCAACGCCTGCTTCTGCGCTTCATTACCCCTAGATTTAGAGTCTGCACGCCGTGTGTATAGATGCTCCATCCTCGCCAACCCAAACGCCGATCGGCCAACCCTTGACAAATCGCCGCCCAATCTGCGCATACCTGCTGCCGCGCTGAACTAGTAAAAACAAGAAACGGAAGTCACTGGGACTGGCTTCGCGAGTCAAATACGTTCCTCTCGCGAAGCTGTAGAAAGCCTAAGGCAATGGATGCGTAGCCCTGCACCTGCACCTGCACCTGTGCACCTGCACCTGTGCACCTGCACAACCCAAAGCCGGGTATCCGCGTTAAAGCCAAACCCAACAAGTCGAAAGAGGAAGAGAAGCCAGCGCACTCAGTATATTGCGCTCCCCAATAAAACCACTCCACCTCAGCTCGCAGCCCCCAACAAGCCTTTCTTTAGAAGTCCGCAAAATAGTCGTCATACCTTTCCGCCATCTCGTCGGTATACTCGTCCTTGGCCACATCCTCTTCCGGATACACATCGAAGCACTGCGCATCCCCGGGGTACCTAACCGGCGGGACGATGGGGCCTTTATGCCGCTTCTGATAAATGGCATCCCAGTCGACGCCAGCGAAGAAAGGGTGCTCTTTGACCTTGGCAGCCCCGCCCGAGATGTTACCTAGGCGGTGGGAGCGGTCGACGGTGCAGAACTGGCGAATGATGTCCTTAGCTGCGTCGCTGATGACGGGTTCTTGCGGGAAGACCACGGGCCTTCCCACGATTCTGCCACGGAGTGTTAGGGAAGGGGAGGGGGGTTGCAAAGGGGAAAGGGGAGACGCACTGCTTATATATCTCTAGGGGGTTTTGATGCCAGAAGGGCGGATAGCCCGTGAGGAATTCGTAGATGAGGATGCCGAGTGCCCACCAATCGACCGCAGTGGTGTGCCCCTTGTTGTGGATCACTTCTGGTGCGAGATACTCGGGGGTGCCGCAGAGCGTGTAGGTTTCGACTGGGTGGCCGGACTCGTTATTCCCTAGCCGCTTAGCGAAGCCAAAATCGACAAGCTTGATGTGGCCGTCGGCGTCGAGCAGTAAGTTCTCGGGCTTCATGTCCCGGTAGGCTATCCCCCCTTGATGCTCGTGCAAGTGCTCGAGGATCAGCACAATCTCGGCGGCATAGAAGCGAGCCGTGTCCTCGTCGAAACGGCGAAGTTTGCGGAGGTAGCTGAAAAGTTCACCGCCTGGCACGTAATCTAAGAGAATGTAGAGGAAGTTGCGATCCGAGAAAGACGCGAGAAAGTTGGTAATGAAAGGGTGGCCTTTCACATCCGCAAGAATCTGGCGCTCATGACGCACATGATCCAGTTGCTTCAGCTTGATAACTGCAATCAACCAAAGTCAGCATTGACGTCTTTCTCTTGCTGCCCGGAATCCGAAAAGCCCTACCCTCAGTCTTCCGAAGTATCTTCAGCGCATACACCTTGCATCGCTCGGCATCACTACCGTGCGATGGCCGGACAAGGCATACACGGGCGAACGTTCCTAGGTGACCAGGAAAGTAAGTCGTTTGCAGGCTCGGTCGTGGATCAACAGCGAGGCACACCTGTTCCTAATGTCCGCACCCTGACAAAGTCCCCCACCGAGAGCTTCCCAGAGCAAATATCAAAGGGCTCGTCATCGAAGCCTCTTTGTTGTTGTTGTTGTCCCTGCCCCTGCCCCTGTTCCGCACTGCTGGCAGCTCTCAAGGCTGCTGCTTGTAATGGATGCAGCCCCGGGCTGATGCCCTGGGACTGCGCAACCGTGGCCGCCATTGCCCTGGTTGATACAGAGTGTGTGCAGTCGTCGAGGGTGGGCTGGCTGCACTCCACAGATATAAGCGGCGGCTAAGCCGAGGCCACGTTCGGCGAGAGTTACACGTTGACCTGGCCCTGAGCAAAGGATTGCGGGGCAACAACAGAGATGTAAAATGTATTGCAACCTGGAGAGCAGTGAAAGGTATCAACGGATGCCCAACGGCTCACAGAAACCGTGACTTTGGCAGGGAATCAGATGAAGAGCAGATGAGGGGTCAATGGCGGTGGCTATGACTCTATGAGATCAGGATCGAGGAAGCCAGCCCCGCGGTCGCAAATATTAAGGCCAGGGTGGAGCGGCCCGGTTTGGGGAGGGGACGAATAACGGGCAACTTGAATGGTGAACAATAGCAATGGGCCGGGAGTGAATGGGATAGGTTGAGGTACGGACGGGAATGACGACCGCGATTTGAGCCCAGTCTGCGGTTCGGGGGTCGCCTGCGGGTTTAAACAACGTGGGGTAGGGGGCCAGGGGGGAGGGGTTTGATGGAGGGTGATCAGAGGCGGCGCCGTAAAGACTGGAGCTTGACCCCAGCAAGCTCGATTTGGCTGTTGTTTCGAGTCTTGACACCGGGGTGACCGGGCAGAAGAAGGATGTGGCGGATGACGTTTTCGCAGGACTAGCGGACCCTCAAATATCGCCAAATTCCGGAACCGATTGCCTGGAACAATCCGACATTCGCTATGGAACAGCCTGGAACGAGAACGCATGCAAACAAAACGGGGGACCAGAGAAGAGGAAGAGACGAGGGAACGCATGTCAGTAATCTACCCGGAGGCATTTCAGAGACAACGAAGCAAGCTCGGCTTGCCTGGAAGATTTGATGTTATTGCGGCAATCTGCCCGGCCTAGGTAGTGTATGTCCACCTAGTTCCGTTTGGAACGAGCCAAACTACGGTAATAAGAGACTCGGAAGTCGAAAGAACGGAAGGAAGCTAGGCTCGGTGAGTGGAGGAGGCCCGGACTGGTGCTCCCGGTACAAGTCAACAAGATACGTGATATGAGAACGGTCGAGCTTCAGTAAAATTCGATGTTTTAACATGAACCGTCAATGGATGCAGTGATTTATACCGACGCGACAGCAGACCTCATGTCCGGGAAGGGGCGGCCTTGGGTGGGGCACGCAATGCCAAGCATCCAGGGGTCTCCGGCAGGGAGGATGTGGACTCCACATCCGGCGGGCTGTGGTGCTGCTGCCTCGTGAGTCGTGAGCACAACCGATGCATACCACAGCACTTGGTACCTTAGTACGGAGTAGTGTACCTGGTATGCATCCCACCAGCAGCTGTCACTCCAACGCCCAATCACTCTCGCGATCTCAGCGCTGCCACTGTTGTAGACATCGTGGTTTATTCTCCCTTCTCACCGCATCGCCAGGCTGTTTTGTTCCAAGATTCTCGAAACGAACCGCTCCTGCTGGGCCATGCCATCCGAGCACAGACATCTCTTGACTCCTTGAGTATCCGCCTACCTATCTCTGTCTAGTCGGGTATTAGCGATCCCTAGCCTCGCCCTGCGATAGCGCCTTCGGGGCAGACGCCCGAGACGCCCGAGACGCCCGAGAAGGGGCCTGTCAACATCTCCCAGAATGTTGAATTTCTCGAGCTTCGTGCAGAAGGCGCAGCAGCTGTTGGACTCTACGCAAGGCCTCAACCTTTCCGAATCTGATAAGAACCCGTCCAAGGCATCGCTCTTCCAGAGCCAGTTTCGGCTTCCGTCGTCCCAGCACCCGCTCTATGAGATCACCGCCGAGCTCACCATCCCACCCGCGAATGTAACGCAAGGCGACCGAGACCGAGACCGGGGCTTCCAGTATGCCGGCAAGCTCCATCTCTCCGAAGCCTTCCTCTGCTTCTCGACCACGCCGTCCAGCTTCCTGCAGTCCGCCAGCACGTCGACCTCGTCAATATTCACCGGCCAGACGCATGGCGGAGGACCCGGTGGCAACGGCTTCACCTTCCCCCTCTGCGCGATCCGGAGAGTCGAGCGGTTACACAGCCAGAACTTCCAGGTAAGGAGGGATGGGCGCCTTTTTCCGGGCTGTGACGGTGCGAATCGACGACTGACTGACCGTTCTGCGTCTGCAGTTTGCTCTCTCCATATCGACCTGGAACGGCATCAGCCAAGATGCGGCTAAGGAGAAAGACAAGAAGGAGCTACGGGAACAGCGGGTTACGATCCAGCTTGCCGGGACTCGACAAGCCTGCGAACGCTTCTGCGACGGTCTCAAGAAGGGCCTTCGAGCAAACGTTGGGAACGTGGCCAAGCTGAAGAAGGTGACGGCCGAATGCTATTCCGAATACCTCCTCCGGCCCGAGGACAAGAAGAATGCAGCCCCCCCCGATGCTGGCCTCGGCATGATGTTCAAATATCCCGGTGACCCGAAGAAGTTGAGGGACCGCGCAAAGATGCGGCTGTGGGCCGAGTATCTGAGAGACAACGGCCGCAACATGACGCTGATCCGCCAGCCAACCTTCCACAAACTGATCAGAGTGGGCTTGCCAAACAGGCTACGGGGCGAGATGTGGGAGCTGACATCGGGCTCCATCTACCTGAGGCTCGAAAACCCGACGCTATACGCCGACACGCTAGCCAAGTTCTCTGGCAGGGAATCGCTCGCAATCGACGAGATTGAAAAGGACCTCAACCGCAGCCTGCCGGAATACCCGGGCTTTCAGAGCGAAGAGGGCATCGGCCGCCTTCGACGGGTGCTGACCGCCTACAGCTGGGTCAATGCCGAGGTTGGCTATTGCCAGGCCATGAACATCGTTGTGGCGGCACTCCTCATCTATATGTCAGAGGCCCAGGCCTTCTTCCTTCTCTCGGCATTGTGCGACCGGCTCGTCCCCGGCTACTACTCGACGACTATGTACGGCACGCTGCTTGACCAGAAGGTGTTCGAATCGCTGGTGGAGAAGACGATGCCCATCCTGTGGGAACACCTCGTCAAGAGCGATGTTCAGCTGTCGGTTGTCTCGCTGCCCTGGTTCCTGTCGCTCTACATCAACTCGATGCCCCTAGTATTCGCCTTCAGAGTTCTCGACGTCTTCTTTGTGGAGGGGCCCAAGGTCTTGTTCCAAGTTGGGCTGGCGATACTCAGGATAAACGGGGAAGAGCTGCTGGACGCATCAGACGACGGTGCTTTCATCTCCGTCCTCAAGTCCTATTTTGCCCGCCTAGACGAGTCGGCTCATCCGAAGTCAGAGAATCCGAAGCTGAGGGCTGTCACGAAGTTCCAGGAGCTCATGGTCGTTGCCTTCAAGGAGTTTTCGGGCATTACGCACAGCAGCATCACCGAGCTTCGTCTGAAGAACAAGGACGCCGTGCTGAGCAACATTGAGAATTTTGCCAAGCGCACCGCCATCAGGAACCTCGGCCCGGATAGCAAACTTCTCAGTAACGATGAGCTGGGCGCGCTATACGACCGGTTCTATGGTGTGCTGTACGAGAGGCAACAGCGAGACCACATCATCAAGCAGGAGCAGGCAAGGCGGGCCAAGAGCAGCCGGTCACGTATGGCGGAAGTCGCCAGCGAGGGCGATCAGATCGAAAAGGGGCGGGTCGGCCTAGGTCCGAGCACGAGTCTGATGGACTACGACGCATTTCGCGAATTTCTCGCCGCCATGTGCAAATGGGCCATTTCCGATTCGCCCACTACTCCTAGGCGGGAAACGTTCGAGAAGGAGAAGGGTTTCTACGGCAGCTTCAGGAGGCCTGATACGCTGCTGTCCCCCTGGGGCGCGGGTCCTGAACCAGCAGACCATGAGTTTCTCCGGAGGTTGTTCCAGAAATGGGATACTGATTCATCCTCGTCGCTCACCCTGCAAAAGGTCGTGTCCGGCCTAGCGCGGATCAAAGGGAAGCGCGACATCATGGGGACCATCAACTACTTCTTTGAGCTACACGACGATGACGGAGACGGCAAGGTTGACCGCGAAGGCATACTGCGCATGTCCGAGGCCCTGCTCTTCCTTTCCCGCCGCGGGCTCGAGGGCACGCTGAGCCCGTCGAGCTCAACCGTCGCACTGAACGCAGAAGGCTCGACAAACGGCGGCCAAACCGACGTTCCCGGCCAATCGGTGAGCGAGCGGTTTCTCGGGAGCGTCAGTGCTTTCATAAGGAGATGCTTTGAGTACGCCGATCCAGACCACCCAAAGAACCAAAACAGCACAGCGCGGGAGCTGGGAGACAAGCTCGAGTCGACGAAGCTGCAAGAAGACCACCCGGCCGGCGAGCAGCTGGCGAGCCCGGATGCGTTTGCCATTGGCGACGATGACGATGACGATGACGAGGATGATCTATTAGCAATGGACTCGCCAGCTGGCAGCCCCAAAGCAGCAGCGAAGAATCCCAACAATCCGCCGCCCACATTGCAGCTCAACTCGACGCAGCTGTCCGCGAACGACGATCCGGACAGCCGCCGTCGCGTTTCCAAAGCACAGTCCGAAAAGGCCAACATCGCCCTCGACCCCTCCAACCCGCTGCACATCACGCTACCCACCTTCCGCATGGTGGTGCTCGCCGACGAGCTGCTCGAGCAGTTCTTCGAATCCTCCTTCCCTTCCTCGTTCCACATCATCGAAGGGCTTGCCTCCGCCAACACCCCGACGAGCGCCTCCTCCCTGACCACTTTCTCGAGCCTCGGCATCGGCATCGGCGGCGCCACCAGCAGCCGCGCCGTCAACGCTCCTACTACTCCGGCGGCGGGCGGCCGTGGCCTGCGCGGCGTGCTGGACAACATTGTCACGGACGGCATGCGTGTGGCGGCCGAGGTCAGGCGGCGCATGGAGGAGGCGCAGCGGGAACTCGAGAAGAATGCGCTGGCGTCGGGAGGACAACAGCCGGGGCAGCAACGGGGCGGCGATGATGACGACGAGGACGAGGACGAGGATGGCACTGGTTTCACCAGTGATCGCGCGTCTACGAGGAGCGGGAAGGTGGGGAGGAGCGTGAGAAGTTCGGATAGGGATTTGTTAACGGGGGCCGATGCCGAGGCGGGTGATGCTGCTGTGGATGAAGCGGATCCCTTGCCAGGGGTTGCTGGCGAGGGAGGAAGTGGGCTCGGCGGGAATGCGGGAGGAGGGCCCAGTGAGACAGAGAAGGTTGTGGGGGTTGAGTTTGATGGCTAGGCGCCATTGAACAACACGTCGCGAATGTGGGTACGGTCGAAGTGACTGCGCCGCCGCGGTTGAAAACGTGAATACTGCAACGGATGTGGGCAAGGTGGAAATGGTTGGGGAGGTGTCTCTACTCGGCTCTTTTCTGGTCTCTCACCTTTCTTCTTGGGTTTTCTCGGTGGAAGGTTTGTCATTTGTTGGTGGTGGCTGAAGTATCGACATGGTCTTGGAGTAAGGGAGGAATTTGGACGTGGAGAGGCGTCACGGGTGAAGTGCATGCACAAGCAGTCTCTACAAGTCATCTGCTGACAATGGCTCTTATATCGGATTCTTACTGTCGGCTCGAACCCAGGCCATTTTTGCATCAAACATGCACTACATTTTTGGGCGAAAGCTGCCATTTTGTCGCGGAGACTCCCCTTCTGCCGGCCCTTCCACGGCGAGCTCTCCCGCTATGTGAATTCCTCCCTGGTTTTCGCGCTTGGAAGGTTCTCTGTTTTTCCTTTCCCCGAGTCCTACTCCCTCCTGGCATCTGCCAAGACCTGGTCCATTTCTGCTTGCCGTCTCTCGCGAGGGCAGAGTCTGCCTGGATTCTCATACTCTCAAGTGAGACCGAGACAGTGAGGAATGCTTCCCATATATGTATATATATGCCTTGGTCCATTCCTACACCCTGGCCGTGTCGAACATTCCTGTCCTAGCATGGAAATGTCTCAGGTCGCGTCGGGAGGGCGCTGAAGATTCCGTGAGGGCGACGCGACAGCGACGTGAGCGCGGTGATTGTGCGGTGTTCGGCTACGGGTCAAATTGCCTGCCGTCGCCCGGCCGTGTGAGGATATGTGAGAGGCATCCAAGGGGGCCAGCCGACAGTCTTTGCCTGCGTCGTCTTGCATTCCGCTCGTTATCCCGGTATAGTTAGTTACCTATCGTTCCTTGCTGACGGTCTCGCCTTCACCGTCGTCCCTTCATTACCCCCGACGCAGGACCTGTTCACTCACTAAAGGTCCCCGCCATCAACATGCGACTCCGCGCAGGCCAAGTGGTCTTGGCCGGCGTCGCTCTGCTGGGCGCGGTCCATGGCCAGGCCTACTACGGCTCTGTCCACGCCGAGCTCGAGGCCTGCGATGGAGACAACTTTGTACGCCTCGGCTGCTTCGGCGGCTTTGCCGACGCCGCCAGAGACTATTTCACTTTTAGACCGCAGGGGTTCGACGAAGTAAAGCCCTCGCACAGCTTCCCCGGATACGACCCGGGTTCCGCCCTCAACAACACGGTCACGCCGCTCGACTGTGCCCGGGCTTGCCGCGGTTTCGGATACAAGTTCGCGGCACTCGTCAGTGCGACGTGCACGTGCGGCACCCAGCTGCCCGATGGATTGTCCGATGGCGGGACTTGTGATGTCCCTTGCCCTGGCGATGCGCGCCAGACCTGTGGTGGCGCCGAGGATGCGGGTATGTTGCGCCCCGCCTGGAAGAATGAGATGGGGACCAGCCAGCTGACATTCGTCTGACTGTTTGCTACTAGTGGTCATGGTTGACCCGACTTACGCGGCCAGCGACCAGGTGCCTCCCAGCCCCTCCAACCCCACCGTTGCCGCGTACTATCAATATCTGGGCTGCTTCAACCTCGATATGAGGCACGAGTTTCCCATCGAGGATCAACGGGCAACGCAGCTGGTACAGGATATCGATGCCTGCTTCAACCTGTGTGCGGGCATGGGCTATCCGCTGGTCCACGGTTCGGCGGCTGGGTGAGTTCTAGTATCACTCGCCGAGAAGGAAACAACGAAGAGGGGGGGCTAGCTGACCAGACCGATAGTGATCAGGTTCAATGCTCCTGCGGGATCACGTTCGGGCAAGGAACAACCCAGATTCACCCAGAGTCCCTCGCTTCACCAGGATCGTGCAACATGACGTGCAATGCCGGGTCTGCGTGAGTTACCCAACGGCTCCCTGAGAAGGCCGAGATGCCCCATCCATGCCCCCACGCCTGCTGACTGATAGATAATACTGAAGTACGTACGGCGACTGCGACGTCACCAGCCAGCGTTGCTGCGGTGAGGGCGAGTTCCTACCGGTCTACATCAACCCGGAGCTCCAGGGTTGCTACACCCCTCTCATCCCAGGCTTCAAGCAAAACTGGAACAATCTGTTCTATGAATGTGCTCATGTCCCGGACGAGCTGACCGGTCCGCCGAGACATCTGAGCCTTCCACAATATGACGAATCCCAGAAGCTCGACGCTTCACCGGCGCTGATCCGGCCACCGAATGTCACGGCGAACGGAGTGACATACCACATCCGGGGCTGCTTCAGCGCTACGACTGACGTGTTTGTTGCTCGCAGCCCCCAGGTTGAGGTCACTGAGTCGCTAGAAACATGTGCTGCGCGGTGCCAGGCCGACGCCACTTATAATGGTGCTTTCGCCGTGACCAAGGGAACGTGGGGAACGTGAGTGTTTTGTTTTTTGTCTTCCGCTGCTGGGCGCGCCGCCTTGCTGACCAGACCGCCAGGGACTGCATCTGCGGGAGTGCCGTGTACGAAGAGTCTACTACCGAGATTGTTGAGATGGGCCAATGCAACGTCCCCTGTGCCGGCCACCTCAGCAGCGCCTGCGGCGGCGAGGGTGCGCTCCTTGTGTACTCGTTGACTGAGGGAGACGCATACCAGCATTGGCAGCAGCTCGAAGCTGGGACACCGAAATATGAATGCCAGGAGCCTCGGAGTAAGAAATCCCCGTTCTGCGGGCCGCGGTGCCCGGCCGGTCGCTAACCCCGAGCAGATGTCGCTGCGCGCCAGGTCACCACCACAACGACCGACACATCAACCGCGACGACGACATCGACGACAACCACCATCGAGACCTCGACCACAAGCAGCACCACGGCCGATGTCACTACTACGGGTGCAACCACCACGGAGCTGTCGACCACGACGGACATTTCCACAACGAGTTCAACGACGACGGAGATCACAACCACAACCTCGAGCACCACAACGACAGATCTCACCACCACTAGTGCGACGACGACGGATGTCTCTACGGCAAGTTCCACAACCACGGATCTCACCACCACTAGTGCAACGACGACGGAACTCACTACCGCCACTTCGACAACCACGGATCTGACCACGACAAGTGCAACGACCACAGATCTCTCTACCACTAGTTCAACGACAACGGAGATCACGACCTCGAGCAGCACGTCGACTGATGTCACGACAACAAGCTCGACAGCAACAGACATCACCACTACGAGCAGCACGACGACCGACATCTCTACGGAAAGCAGCACCACCACCACCACGACCAGCAGCACCGAGACGGACGTCGCCACGACCAGCACCACTGCAACTGATGCGACGACCTTGAACACTACCACCACCGATGTCTCTACAGAGAGCACCACGACCACAACGACCGGCACCGAGACGGCAAGCACGACGACCACGGACATCACGACAGCCACTAGCACCACGAGCACCACCGAGACCGGTACCGCCACAACCAGCACTACCGCAACGGATACGACCACCGAGAGCACGACAACCACGGATGTCTCCACCACGAGCACCACAACCACGGGCACGGAAACAACCAGCACCACAACCACGGATACGTCCACCGCCAGTACCACCACGACGGAGACGACGAGCACGACCACGACGGATGTTTCCACAACAAGCACTACGACCACGGGAACCGAGACCACCAGCACGACCACCACGGAAACGACCACAACCACGGAGACCACAACAAGCTCCACGACGACCGATATCTCCACCACGAGCACTACCACGACAGGAACCAAGACAACCAGCACGACGACGACCACCACAACCACGAACACCCCTGGTACGGTCATCTCAACGGCCAGCAGCACGACTACCACCACCGAGACCACCACCAACAGCACAACCACCACGGATGTCTCCACCACAAGCACCACGACAACGGGGACGGAGACGACCAGCACAACGACCACGGGCACGGAAACAACAAGCACCACCACTACAGACGTCTCGACCGTCAGCTCGACCACGACCACGCTCAGCACCCGGACCCGCAGAACACGCACCACGGAAACCAGAACGCGGACGACGGACACGACGAGCACCTCGACGTCGACCGCCACCGCCACCGAGACCACAACGACAACGACCACCACGACTACGATCTCGACCGCCAGCTCCACGACCACGGATGACGAGAACACCACCCGCACGCTCACCACCGACTTCTACGTCACGCAGACGCGGACCACCACCACCTTTGTCACCGTCACGACGTACCCGCCGGGCGGGGCGCCCGGTGACTCGCCGTGGACGGGCGGCGGATGGGACTGGGGCCCGGGCGCGGGCGCTGACTCGGCTGGCGCAGGCGGCGATGGTGCCGTGGCTAAGCGCGGCGACGTTGAGGTTGCGAAGAAGAGGACTGGGGCGAAGGTCATTGTCGAGAAGCGGGTCATTGTTGGGACGGAGATGGTTAAGAAGAAGGTGAGGGCGGATGTCGAGGTGTAGTAGTAGTGGTGTGTGGGGATGATGCATGTCATGTGGATGATTGTGATGACCGTAATGGGGCTCTGAGGAGAGGAGAGGAGAGGAGAGGAGAGGAGAGGAGAGGAGAGGAGAGGAGAGGAGAGGAGAGGAGAGAAGATGGGAATCGCTGTGATTCAATGGTGAGCGGGCATGGTACTAATTGGCTGGCAGAGAGCGGAGGATAAGGAGGAAGAAAGGTTGGTGTTCGTTTCATCTTTTATGTTGGGTTTGCATATTGTTTTGGGGAGTTCTCTGTTCAGGGGGGGTGCTTTCCTCGCGGGGCCTCATGGCACACAAACTTCTCCATGTTTGGCCTCGACTTTTTTTAAAGTGCGTTCCGTTTCCTTGTTTCCTACACAATGTAAAATCATAATTGGGCTGAGAAATTGAAGCTTGTTGCCATTCAACGTCGTTGCTGCGCAGTCTACTACTAGAGTATTCCGAGGTACCAGCTATTAGATGCGCTGAGCGCTCTAAGGGTTCCTTCCCATCGTCGTTTTCTGATAGCTGGACAAACTGTTCCAGGTTGGCCCCCTTCAAGGTTACCAGAGTAAGCTTTTGGATGTACGGAGTAGATATAGTTGTGTAGCCATGTAACCCAAACCTTGGAAGCTCTTTATAACCTGGGCTGGGTGACGCCCCTGAGCAATTCAGGGGCTAGCCCTAACCCTCTTCCAAGTTCACAGCAGCTTCGTCGAGGCTGGCAAGATATCAGTCACTGCGGCAGACTGACGCAGTGCGAATCGTGTAACGTTGGAAGCGTGTCCATTGTATTGTTACTGCTCGTGGACACTGATGGCATCTCAACTCACTGGTGGCATCCTCGACTCACCATTGGTCGACGATTCCTTCACGTAGGACGGAAGGCGCCTTGCTAGGAGCCTTGCGAGGAACATTCAGTTAGGCACCCACGCCGTCCGCAATTTCCCTCCGGCAATCACGACCACCAACCATGGAAGGCACGCTCTGCAGTCTCTGCGCGGGATTCGGAGCAGACGTTTTCAAATTTCAACTCCATTGAGCGTCTCTTGTCCGGGAAAGGCCCGAGCCATGCCCCGAGAAAAGATATCCCGCCCGGGTTTCGATGGCACAAGACGCTCGCCGCCGTGGATGCCTCGGCTTCTCCTTGTGGCCTATGCAAGATCATCATGAAGAGCTGGAAGGAGAGTCGTGAAATGGTCGTCGAACGGGCGCTCTCGAGCGCTAGGCTTAACCCTTTGGCGCCTCCGCCGGGGCTGACAGACCCGGTGAATCGGGCCAGCGAGGATGGTGATGCCATTGTCCAAGGTGGAAGCCATCTCGAGCGCCTGTGTTGAACAGGCGCCGTAACGGAATCAGTATTTGCTCGCTCTGGCCGAAATCCGATCTTCGAGCAGTTGGATGATGCCAACTGGGTAGACTGGTACAAGATGGTGGAAGATTACACGGCACGGACCATCACCAAGCACACGGATCGACTGCCGGCTCTGTCAGGCCTGCCGCAAGCTGTCGCTTGGGAGATTGTCGCTCGAGGAAGGCCGGACGCATACCTCGCTGGCTTGTGGCAGTCGGGCCTAATAGAGGGACTGCTCTGGTGCAGAGCCCAGCCCAGCCAAGCCCTCGCAGCAACGCCAGATTATGTGGCTCCCTCGTGGTCCTGCGCGTCAGTCTTTGGACCGGTCCAATTCCCTATCTATACGTGGTACGCCAAACGAGCATACCGAAGACGACTGGATTGGAAGGGAGTCATGTCCGATTTTGAACCTCTGGCGTACTATCTGGCCTACTCTACAGTACAAAGAGACCTCGGTCCTCACGGTATAGTAGAGGAAGGCTTTCTGTCACTGAAATCTCCTCTGCTGCCCGTAGCGTTGATCCGAGGGCGACATCCCTTCTTCCCCCCCTGTCTGAACAGGCCCCCAGTCGTTCCGAGGTGCTGAAGTAGTAGTCAAGATAAACACAGCTTCCTCTGGGAGTATCTGGGTGGAAGGGGCCTTCGACAACCCGGCCATTATCATCGGACGTGGCCAAGCTGTCCGTTGTGTTCCTAACCCGGCTACCACATGTCCTTGATAAGGGCTTCATTGAGCACCGCTTTGGGCTCATCTCCAGTGGCTGGACAGCGCCGAGCACTACAAGCGGGTCGGCTTCATTGACGGTGTTGTGCTGACTGAGTCCTTCCTCAATGGAGTCATGGGGGATCGCAGGCTCTCGATCGTCGGATTCCCGCGGCCGTTCAAGGCAGATGATATGTATCGCGCCGCGCGCCCTAACCATCTTGCGGAAGACCCGCTCAAGATTCCCGCGGTAGAGTTGACGATATGCTGATGAGCGGATTGGAACCGAGACAAGGGAGGTTTCATAAAGCCCTTGTACGTTCAAACCTCACTTGTTGGATCTTCTAGAGTCCTATTCCCATTATCTTCCTGGGCTGAGTCAGATTAGCGTTTGCTCATGTGGGGAGTACCTCAGGTCCTGTTGTTAGCCGCGCTTCATTCGATCAAGCCAAACCTGCGAAACACACTTGCGTAAAGAACAGTCACTCATGCTTTACCACTGTCACATTGCCACCCTCTCACATGTATCCCAACAGGCGACCAAATGGATCCCCCCAAAAAGACACCAACACCATGTCCATGCCAGCGTACATACAATGCCCATACACAAATAAAATCTGCAGGTCATCCCCACATGCGACATACAATGCTTCCACCTGCTCACTCTCGATCATGGTTATGCAGTAGCAGTAGTAATAGTAGTAGTAGTAGTGGTGGTGGTGGTGGTGTAGACCAAAACGTGTAAACACACCCTAAGAGCCAAACGCCTATCCCCTATCCGCTCTTGTTCCGACGACTCATGATCATGGTCTGTTGTTTGGCGAGTGACGCGCGAGGAAGGTAGATAGATGCTGATGCTGTACTGTCCCGTTCCCAGCTCCCCACCCGTGCGGACCATAAAAGAAAAAAACCCGAACCAAAACTTCATAACATGACGATATGTGACACCTTGGAAAACCCTCTGAGCCTGAACCTGAACCTGAACCTGAACGACTGGATGGTATCATGATGCATGATGGACCCCTGCAACAAACAAAAATGCAAAAACAATACTGAAGAAAAACCTTCATATCGTGCTGATAGAGCGCGAGCCGTTGTGATGCTTGCGTGCTCAGGCACGATATCAACAATCTCCATGGGTCTCGGACACCCTTGCGACTGACTCAATGGATTGGGACCACGGAAAAGAAGTTCGACAAGTGTACTCGCGCGTCCAGTTCATGCATAACTCGAAAAAGAGATGCCGAAGATTATCAAGTGAGCCCGATCGGTTGGCAGAGTCGTGCTGAGCGTTTCGGATCTGATGCTTGTTTCTCCTCCATGCATCCGTTCTTCTGTGGGGATGTTGCGTAGTTTGTGGGTGAGTAGTGATGACCTCTCTTCTGGACCGATGCGGGTTGAATTCGTCTCGGGGTGCGAAGAAACAGGACAAGAAGTAGACAAAAGGCGAAGCCCGTGGGGTATCCATCCTGTATCCCTCTCCCTCCCTCCCCAGGCGCTGCACCCATACCAATCGTACCATGCTGATAAATAAGTACTAAGAATGATAAACAATGGTAAGAGAACAAACAACGGCAGAGGGGAAAAAACAACAGACGCTCACTTCTACACCACCCAAACACATCCCCTTTCCCAATTGTTGGGAATTAGGAGAAATCCTCACTTCACCCTCCGCGCCGCGAACAGCGCCAGGCTCAACGCCGTGTCATTCTCGCCCACATTCGGCGTCGGCTCACTCAGCGTCTCCCACCTCCGATACTGGAACACACTCAGCCTTTCCCCACCCTGGCCTCTATCCAGGCCCCACAGGGCCGCCGGGGTGCCCAGGAGGCCGCTGAACAGGGCAGCATTAGTATTAACCATACCTCCACCAGCGTTGACAGCAGTACCAGCAGCAGCAGCAGACCGAGCATTGTTGATCCCGCCAGCACCCAGAATGGGAGCAGAAACGGCACCAGCGCTCTTGTTATTGTTGTTGTTCTTGTCCCGATGGGAAAGCATCAAACTCCCCGAGGCAGAGCCATCCCCATCCGCACTGGAAGCGCTAAGGCTGAAGATGTACCTCAGCCTGGCATCCCCAGCAGCACACTCCCGGACCGCCCGCACGCACATCGCGCGGGCGTCCTCGGGCAGGTTGTCGACTAGGAGACAGGACAGGTCGAACAGCCTCCGACTCAACAGCTGTGCGGCGTCCATCGCTGTCATCATTCCGCTGCCCGGTAGTGGCAAGGCATCCAGTTCCTGCATTAGCCCGGCACACGCCACCAGCATCTTGGCGCGCACGTCGTTGGTGGCCTTGGACGGGTCCAGGGAGTGGACATGGAGGGTGATCAGGTTGAGCGTGAGTGGTAGCCAAGTGGTGAGAACTGTTGTCTTGGCGGTGGCTATGGATTCGGCGAGGGCGGAGTCGGTATCGTCGGGCGCGGCGAGGAGTTCCCATAGATCGACAAGCTTGTCCACGATGCAAGGGGAGAGCTGAGTCTGGCGGGCGCCGCCAGGGGTCCCGCCGCGCATGGTGGCGTCAATAACGGTCAGTAAGTTCTCGGCCATCTGGAACTTTGAGACGAGGACGGCGTCGGTTGTTGGAGGGCTGCGGACGGAGGGTAAGAGCTCCAGGAAGCGGTTCTGGGCGCGGAGTCTGAGCTGCTGCATGACGTCGGCACTCAAGGAGCTCAGCATGCCGACCCACGACACGTTACCGGCGCTGATGGCCTTGTCCATGGCGTTGGCGAAGAGCTCGACATGCGACTGCTGCCGGTCACCACCTTCCTGCAAATTCTGTTCGTTTGAACTCAAGCTCAAGGCGAGCTTCACCTGACAGAACGGCAAGGTGAACTCGTTGGTCAGCTCTAGGACCTGGTCGAAGTTAATGGGTATCCGAGCATCGGTGGTCGGCATCAAGAGCTTCGTTGTCATGACGTCGATCAAACCGCTGACGTGAGGATTCGAAGTCCGGACACCCAAAGCCCGCGCCACTCCGGAGGCGTCCCTCAACACGAGTCGTCTGAGCAGGTCAAGGAGCCTTTCCAGAACCAGATGCGACTCTAAAGGCAGCGCCGCCAAGTCGTTCTGGCTCTTCGCGTATGAGTATTCGGCCGACGCGAGTAGGATCAGACCCACGGTCTCCTTTGGATACTCGCGGATTGCCTGATCCTGGAAGATGGAGAAGCGGTACACTTCATCGGCCGTCATGAGGTCGTCTTCGAGGAGTGGCGTCGTGAGCAACTGGAGCACCTCCTGCATGTACCTCGTCCGATATGTGATTTGCACCACCTGCGGGGTGGACGTCGCTACGGTAGGTGTGCGCGCGGTGCTCGTGCCATGTCCGGCAGGGAACTCGGAGGTAGTGGCCAGAATCGCCGATATGTCCAGGCATCCGACCGAGACAAGCAGCGGGTATATTCGCAGGATGGACGGGCGTGCGCTAAGCGTGCGCAGGTACAATAACCACCTAGCCATGAGCCCGTCAAAGTGCTGCATGTCGAACACGCGCAGTCGGCCCAACAAGCTGCTGTATGCCCGCTGCTGGTCCTTCGCCTTGCCCCAGCACGCTTGCAGCCGTTGCGTGACAGTCTGGAAAAGCCGGTCCATCGTGTTTCGATCCAGGCTGGATCCGCCGGCGAGCAACTTCTCAATCTCTTCGTGCAGTTCCCCAGCGTTGTCCTGCAACCGGGCAACCATGTTATCCGACACCGGCGAGCAGGCATCCACAGGATTCTGACGATCGCTTAAGACCAGGTCCTTCTTCAGCTGCGAAGCGAGCTCTTCCATGCCGGGCATCCTGTGCGCGAGGGTAACGAGGGAAGCAAGAAGCGGGCGCACTGCGACCCCTTGTTCCCGGACAGCGGCCTTGAGCCGTTGATGGAGATTGCGAAATAGCGGTCCCGAGTCGCCTAAAGCGGAGAAGACAAAGAAGTGCCGACTAACAGTGTCAGCAATGGCGGCCAAGATTTCAACCCCTGAATGCTTGGTGAGCGTCTTCAAGATGTCGCTCAACATGGAGAAGTCCTCGGCCGTTTCGAGCACGGATCGGACAGCGTAGAATATGGTGGGCGATATGTCGGGCGCCTGACCTCCTTCCTTCTCCTTCTCTTCGGCATGCGCAGCGAAAGTGGAGCGAAGCCAACCACCGATCTCGGCCTTGAGCGCTCGGCTGGCCGATCTAATCCTCTGACATAGTTTGTTGAGTGACAGCGGCTTCCGCTGCAGCATCGCATCGTCCGGGTCCAGCGGCATGCCTAGCGTGCGCTTCAGGTGTTTTATGGCCAAGTCTACATCCTGCGCCTCACCCACCACGCTGAAGGACGCACGACGGAGTAGGCCGTTCCTCAGATTACGTTGGGAGATACCGAGGGCGTGCTGCGGGATCTCGGCAAGGAGACGCGTGAGTCCTGGCCCGTCCGGTAGCACATCCTCGGGGTTCCTGGCCCCTCCGCGGAGGATGAGCCATTGGACGTAGCGAGGGACGGAGAAGATACCTGACCGGACAAGCTCACAGACGACGTGATAGAGTGAGGCTTTTCGCGCTCTCTGTTCGCATGTGTCGGCGTTGAGGAAATCCATCACGGCCATGGTAGGATCCAAGCCCAATGTGCTCCAGTGCTGCATAATCCGGCTTGTAACGTAGATCTTCGCAAGACCGGGTCGATAAAGCGAGGTGCACCACTCGAGCAGGGCTCTCGCCAAAGCTTCCTTGTCCTTGGAGATCGCCCAGCACTGAGAAGGGAGCTCGGCAGGCATGGGGACTTGGAGGGTCCCGTCCAGCACTCGCACCAAAATGTGCCGCGCCGCTGGCTGCGACCTGTTCGAGGCCGTTGCTAGCTGCTCGTTGCGAAGGCTGATGGCTGCGAACGAGTTGAGCAAGGCATCGTCGCCAGGCGGCAAGCACGCGTTCAGGCCATCTCGGTACTTCGACCAAGTGGACGGAGAGACAAAGTTCTCCGGACCGCTCAGTATTAATGAGTTTAGGCACTGCGAGAGATTTTGGAGTAGCGGGTGTAGTATATCCCTGTCAGAATGGTTGTATATCTGTGGTCGTGTAAGTGGTCTGGTGTCTTAAGGTGAGGTCGCGGGTCGCTTACAAGGTGATGATGACTGACAAGGGCGGCGACCAGCCTCCGACCATATTTCCTCAGTTTGAGCAGATCTTTCCAGTATAGCTGGGTAATGAGCATCCACATCGGAAGTCTAGCTTCGGACGTGTTCTCGAGACTCGAGACGAGCCATTCAGAGTAGTGTTCACGGTCGAGCAAGTGCTCAGCGTACAGATGGGCTGCCAGTCGGGTACTGCTATGATGTTAGCCCCAACAAGCTGGACGGAGAGAACACACAAGGCAGGAACTTACGTGTAATGCACCTTGGCTTTCCAATCGTCGTCGTCAAACGCGAAATAGACATGCTCGATAAATTGTTCGACAGAGATGGTCCAATCTTTGATCCATCTATTCTCCCCACCCATGACTAGCGTGCTGACGCCCTTCCGCTTGGTCGCCCGTATCTCGTTGGCGCCAACACACTTTATAAGCCAGACCGCACGGTCGGTGGGCACGTTTTTGTTCAAGCACTGCTCTAGAAGCACTTTGCCGCGGACACCGTGTGGGATCGTTCGGCTAAGCCGTCGGAGCGAAATAGCGGGGTTCGCCAGATCCCTCAACCAGACCTCCCGCTTGGTATCGGTAAGGGTAACGCGGGGAGGGGGCTTGAACGTCGGGGGCGCCGTAATTTGGCCGTTATGCCTCCTCTGTCCCAGCACTGCCGTGAAGACGGACGAGAGTGCAGTAAGGCCGGTCTTGTGCTTGAGCGCAGGAAACAGTATTCCCTTCGCCGACTGCGTCTCGGCCGTGGAGAAGAGACTCTTATCATAGTATCCATTCCGAATCACATTCTCAGAAAACTGATCTTCTGGATGTTTCCCCGTCCAAGGGAAGAAGTCGGCGTATCCCGATAACGGCGGAGATGCTGACCCACCGGTCCTCGCCTGAGCAACGGCATGTCCCGGGTAGCGTGGTGCAGCAGCGGGCGGTTCGACAGAAAACGGTTTGGGGCGGGCCTCTCTCTTCGTGGGGTTGCTGTTGGCTGGCGGCGGGGGCATTTCTCGACGCGAGGCATTGGTGATAGGCGGGGGACGACGCCGGGGCATGGGCAAAGGAGTGTCGGGGTCGACGCTCGGGGGTTGGGCCGACAGATGAGGACTCGTGTCTCCCAGATCCGAAGAGTCCGTCACGGGCATGACGCGCGAAGGCGTGAAGGCCTTCGAGGACTCGGCAGCGCTTGGGGACTCATCGACACCAGCATAAGCCAGGGAGCCGGCCGAGTCGTGGGAGAGCTCCAGCTTAAGGCGCGAACCGCCACGGCGTGGGACGCCGGGACGAGCCGGCGCGCCATCGCCCGAATCGGCCGGACTCAAATCGTAGAAAGAAGCGTCCTTGCGTCCGGAAGCCGGTGGCGGATACTGCTGCTGCGCGACGGCGCGCGGGTGGGCGGCCGGGCGCTGCGACAGGGTCGGCCCGCTCAGCTTGTGCTGGGGCGGTCGCTGCTGGACGCCCAAAGGGGGCCGGGGGGTCATGGCAGAAAAGCGAGCGAGAGCGCCATGCCGTAGGATGTTGGTGACAGTGATGGGAAGGCTAGTATCGGTTGCGAAAAGTCAGAAAGCTGGGATGACGATCGTGCTGAGCTGAAATGGAGCATCTATCGGAATCGTGCAGCGACGGACCTGGAAATGCACCGGATAGCAAAGGTAGACTGCTCCTTGGGCCCTTGGGGCGGAAACTACGGCCGACAGCACAGTCCGTTGCGCGCTTCGATGATGCTGGAACAGAAAATGTACATCCGCATTGAGGGGTGAGAAGATATCTGCATCGAACCCCCCAGGCCCAGCAGCGGATCACCGGCGTGTTGCGGAGGTGAGTGGCGCTAGGGTTGGTCGTCGGCAAGCCGGCTGGTCGGATCCCTGAGATGTTGAGGCTTCCAGTCGGGCTGCGGGCTGCGGGACCACGCACGCACTCTTGGGCGATTGCGCGACACACTCGGCTGCTTCCAAATTGGGGGGGTGAGCAAGGGGTTAGGGTCACGGCGCCACGGCTGGTTAAACCCACACGGTGCTTGTCCACAAGCGAATCGGATTCGGGAGGTTGTCATCCAACGGATCCCTTATTTGAGGAGATGGCACGTCAAGGCTCTGGGAATGTGGCTATGTGTCGCACATGCTCATGTTTCTGACATATCAGGTTGAAACTCGGGATATTGCATCCCATACTACCACTCCGTATGCAGTGTTGATGAGCGGCAGCTCATGCTGGTACACAGTGCGGGGTCGATGCCGGGACCATCCGAGTTCGTGGGTGGCCTTGGCTTGGCGCTGGCGCCTTGGCTTGCGAAAGACGTGGGATGTGTATCCGTAAGTCGTGGTGGTTCGTGGCTGTTGGTCGTTCGTCTTTGAGCTGGCACCCTGGAGATGCTGAAATATCCTGACTACCAGGTAGTAGGCAAGGTATGTAATCCGCACTCTCCGGGGACAGAGAGGGTAGGTACATGCCCGGGCGGGATGGTCAGTGAACCACCGGGAAAATGGCAACCGATGTGCAGCGGCCAGCCATCTTCGTGCAACCCACTTCATCCATCTCTGCAACCACCGATGTGCGATACGCCGATTCCGTACTGTAACTAGTAGCCGAGACACGGAGATTCCCGTCTCACCACTGCTGTTGAAATTCTGTTGGTCTTGAAACCTACTGCTTCGGCCTCAGCACTTGCCTACCTACATGTAGATACCTAGCTGTCCTGAGAGTTCCAATTCGGCTAGGCAAGCATCTGGCGTTTCCGAGAAATGCGACGTGGAAGTCTTTGTAAGCAAGGTTAAACACCGTTAGATATGTTCAGGAATGGAAGTCCGACGGGTCAATGCTCCGGGACCCCGTTTGGCGATATTTTGGAAGTGGGAGCGACGAGTTGGAGGGCGCATGCAGTTCGCAGGTGCGGGGGCGGCTCCCAATCGCGGTTAGCGCGCAGCCTTCTGGAAGCTCTTCCGGTCCGAGCCTGCGGGTATTGTGGAGCGGCCCCGGAAAGGGGGGCGGGAACCCGAGGTGGAATCGGCGAGGACCACGACGCCTGAGTCGCATCATCGGCACCATTACATACTTAGTGTAGAGTAGGACAGCGTTGCAGCAGCGCGCAAGCCGATCACCATGGAGTCCAAGAAGGAGAAGGATATGAGGCAGCCGGACTTGAGTAAGTCGTGAAAGCGTGGTTGCAGTAACTATTGATTACAGTGTGAAAACATGGACGCTGACTTCGATCGCGATCAGTTATTCCCTATCAAGAACCGGCTGCCAAAGGCGACAGCGTCGAGTTTCAGTCGACCCTCTCTTCGACTCTGCCCATGGCCGCCATTTTCATGCGGAACCGATACATTGGGTGGTAAGCTCAGCCTAATATTACTACATGGATTTCTCTACGCGGCCTTCGCTTGTTGGAGATCAGACGCGCACATCCCCTCCGATTAGCAGGGCGGTATCTCGGCTCGACTCGTGATGCGCTGACAGATTGACTAGGGCGGCCGTTGTCTTTAGCATACAGAGCTGGCTCGGCGAAAGCGAAGAGACCAAGAAGAGCACCAGCACGCCTGGTTATTTCTCGGTCGGAATGTCCCGTATGAACATACACCCAGCGCCGAAGTCTTGTCTCCGCCATCAACTGACCCAAGCTGCTTAGTTATGTCCCTGGTCGTCACATACCTGCCCATCTTCCTCCCCCCTCAGCCCGGCATGCAACAGGGCAGCGCGACAGGCGCACCCGCACCCGCTGCAGCATAGACGAAAACCTGAAGGGCGACATGAGCGAACGGGAAGGAGCAACGAACGGCGAAATATATCGTGCCAGGAAGGTGGAATGATAGAAACGATCAATACGCGCCAAACGTAGCGGCAGTCGGAATGGTCGTTGGTCGTGGCCTGCTGAGCCGTGTGCAATATACCCAAAGATTGTAATGTGAAATACCCCAAATTTCTCTCGTCCTCGCGGTTTCTCGATACAGCAAATCATGCCAGGCGGCTTCCAGCTTCCAGTCTCCAGTCCAACTCGCGCTTTGTGATTGTAAGATCCCGGCAATGTGACGGCGTACCACCAAAGATGTCATGAGGCACCCTGACTACGAGATTACGCATAACAAATAAGAACCGGGACCCTCAGTCTGTCAACTGCGCTTCACATGTCGTCGACGGAGGTGAAGGGTATGACTGGGCCAACATGGCCTTCAATTAAACAAGCCGAAGCAACCAAAATGCTATGCACATGCCAAGTGGGTATATAGAGATTAATCACAACAAGAATGCATCAAGCCCTTCGCTGGTCTATCCGCCAGTTCCAAAGACGGTCGGCCGTGATCGTAACCGCTGACTTCGGACCAGAGCCTCCTCCCTCGAGAGTTTCCGCAGACCACCACCTAGCTATGGTGTTGTTTGGTGCGAATTACGGCGTCGCACTCTACGCAGTGGACCGCTCAGGCACCGTTATGGAAAGCCGCCTGTGGATTGGATTATAGGTGGTAGCCGAAAGAATTCAGTTGTTCCGGAGAGGACTACATGGCTCTGGTTAGCCGGCTCCATAGTCTCCTATCGCCGAAGAGTAAATTGGAAAACATCTGCACTCACCCGCATCCTTGAGGTGTGGTCACGCCGAAGAAGCAGTCACCGGCATTCTTCGGGACGACCTGGTCAGGCTTGATGGGCGTAATGACAACACCAGCGCTGGCAAGCGAGACGCACAGCGAGAGCACGGCGGCGGCGAGTGCGGCGGGCTGCATGTTGTCCGATTGGGCTGTCGATGGGATTATTGAGGTCGTCGGGACGGGGACCCGCAATCCTTCAGAAGGCGATGCAGGGATATGTAGGTATTATAAGCAAAAAATGAAGGTATTCAGACCAGCTGACTGAATTAAGTGTAAGTGACGGTGATCAATCACTTAGTTGGGAAGAATGATCGATTGCACACAGAATGGAGAAAAGGGAAAAACCAGTCGACAGCGGGAACACCGGACGACAAGAAGAAGCGCCGAGTCGCGACCCAGCGGTAAACCCCCTTTCACACCTGAAACTTGTCAATGTGTGGTCCACTTGCTGCGTCCGACAGGGCGGGGCCACGAGCAGGCGAGACAACCGGGAGGTCTGGCCACGAGCCTGAAGCTCTCACGTTTCACCTGGAAACCGGCTCATTGCAGCACTCAGTATTATTAGTTAATGTAGCACTCCAATGTCAAAAACGCCGGTATGTACAGTAACCTACTACACCGCATCTTCCGTGCCCTGTAAATAGTACGTAGAAGCGGAAGAAAAACAAAAAGGAAAAGAGAAAGTGCTTCATACCGAAATCCCAAGGATAGGTACCGGAGACTGATAAGAATGAGGGTGATTACACATGTATTTAGGTAGGTCTGCGGAGTTGAGCAGGTAGTGTAGGCCAATACAGCCTTGATCCCATGAGCATCTTTCAGCTACTGTATGCAGTGTGGATGGCTTTATAAGACACGAACAGCAAACTACCGTATCCAATGTAGGGATCCGCTGAATCGACCATCATCGGAACCGTCTTGCAAACAACACTCGTCAGTCTTGCCCGACCAGGCTCGCGCAGGCACAGAACAAACGCAAACAACGATCAGCTAGCTATGCCAAACGCCCAAAACACAACCAGTTTGTAGAAGCAAAGCCGGGGCGCCCCAGAGATGCAAGGCCAAACAACCACGCGGCAAACCTGAAGTCACTCTCGTCTGCCTCGTATGCATGCGTCCATCATCGGCGTAATCATCCCAATCCATCAGATCCCATGAGCCCCGTCGACCAACCATCATGCAAGCGTGCAACCTGTGCAAGTAAGTCGAAGACGGGAAAGTAGCGTCTTCAGACCGTCCCACCCGCCTTGACCTGCCTCTTGGGGGAATATATCCGGAACTGTACAAAGATGATACAGTCCTCGACCATGGTCCCCAAGGAACCGAGCAGCCACGGCAGGGCCCGGACAATGTAGTCCGACTCCTGGGAGTACGCGATGACGCTCGCGCCGTAGGTGAAGTTGCCCGTCAGCGACAACAAAAAGAAGAGTAACGCCAACCCCTCACACGACTTTTCGCGGTAATTCTTGATGATTTGCGGGATGCGCGCGCTTTCGGGCCCCTTGTCAGTACCCAGCCGTGAAGATAACCATCGTTCAATTTATGAGGGCATTACGGTGAGGGGAGGACATACCACAAATAACAGACTGCGCTGGCATACCCAAGCACCATCCCCACCATCGCCACCGGGTGCTTCATCACCTGCTCACCACTACCACCATCATCCCCAGGCACGGGTTCGCCTCCCGCTCCGCCGCCGACATCCCATGCGCCCATCTTGAAGCTCACGAACCAGCCCGCGGCACCCACCACCCACACGGCGACCAGGCTCAGCGCGTTGTGCAGCCACGGGTTGCTGTCGGGCGTGTCGTCTTCCCCCGTGATGATGCGTGTCAGCGGATCGACCAGCCCGCTGCTCGAGTGACGGCGGATTCCGTGACGACGGTGTGAGCCCGGGAGGCCGCCGGAGTCGCTCCGCGGACGATGGTGGGTCGTGTGGTCATCGTGGTGCAGGAGGGGATCAGTTTCGCTGGGTGGGACATCATCGATCACTGCTGATGATGTCGAGACGTCGAGCGGGTCTGCGGTAGTGGAAGGGCGTCTGCGGTGATGGTGCTGGCTGGGGTGGTGAAGGTGGCGCTCGCGGCGGGCGGCGCGACGGCGGGCGTTTATTGTGTTGTAGTACGTGCATTGACTTATGAGAATCAGGTCGGCCATGCAGAAGTAGCAAGCGAGGGCTATTGTCGAGGGCGCGAGGCTCGTGAAGAGGGCGCCTGTGCGACGGTCAGTCTCCGGGCTCGTGAACATGTTTTCCGGCGAAGGTTGCCGCGTCAGGGAGACAAAGGCATGATGCCAGCCGGAGGCGGCGGCGGAGGAGAAGCTTGGATGACCACGGACCAGAGAGATTCGCAATATCGCCGAGCAGCCATATCAGGAGGAACTTCATTGATAAGGCGTCTGCACTCTTCGCCTTGTAGTTCGTGATTAGCTGGGGAAGCTGCAGGGCAGAGTCAGCCATTGATTGATCGTAGCATCCCATACGTCCCGTTGGGCATACCAAGAGACATATCCAAGCTGTCAAGCTGATGCTGCCAAAGACACCCGAGAGCGCCTCGCCGACTCCCAGAGACTTCAGCGCCTCGGGGACGGCGATGACAAAGCCCAGCATGATGGAATCCGGATCTAAGCTACAGCGCCTTAGATCGGTTACGAGGCGGATATTGGAAGAATCAAGTCCAATGTATCGCCATATATGCCAGAGTCGTGAGCGCCGACCTCAATTGGGCTACTGTTGGTTTGGTGTCGAGTCATCCACCTGAGGACTACTAGTGCTAGTCACCAGAGCACGTCGACATCGCCGAGACCCTTATCGCGCGGCGTAGATCTTCGCCGAGATAAGAGCCACCAGCCCCAAAAGCGGGAAAGCTGAAGCTTGCCAAAGCTGCTCTCTGGTTGGGCAAAGCCTTGGTTGGAAGGCATGCACATTTGCATCACGTTGAGAACCCTGCATAACAGCTGCAGGAGCACAGCCGGGCGACCGGGGAAGTCATGACACCGGATCACGATAAGTGTGAGGTATCCCCGCAATCAGGTTGCTCTTGTATGGGGGTGGGGTCATGTCGGTGCCCTGTCGCGTGAGCCATTCAGGCTCATCTGATTAGTCATCTGAAAACTGCCATACCCACAGAACAACATATTCTCAAGCTGTTTCTGTATCCATAGTCTCCCAATGAGATCGGAGGATGCATAATAAGATACGGGACCTAGTCGATTAGGATTTCAGCCTCATTCTCTGGAACCTACCGTATGTACGTAGGCACTAATGACCGGCTAAGCTGCGCGCCTTGTCATGGCCCATGGCAGAACCGAGCTGTGGCACGTGGGGCTGATGGACGTCGTCGGCGCGTTTCTCCGGCAACTGCTGACCCTGGATGTCTCACCAGGGCCCAGGCTCACCACACCTATTAGTCCACGAATGACCCTGATCAGACGCGGGCGAGTAGGTTTGCCTGCAATTTTATTAACAACCTACCGCAGGAACTTCTATCTCACTGACTCCCTATTTTACACGTGCATGCCATACTACACCTGCATGTGGCAGTTTGTTGGGGCAGAGATACGTCATATCCGCCTACCTAGTATACCATTACTAGGCTGATACACCTCGCTCAACATGAGATTATCATCATTCGCCCTTGTTGGCACATCAGCCTTGCCCGCGGCAGTGGCGTGGGGCGGTATGCCGTCTCATTTCTTCCCCGTGGAATCTCCAGACGGACTGAACTTGAATCTCATGTGACCTCGGCAGGCTTCGGACACATCAGCGTAGGCTACTTGGCCAGCAACTTCGTCTCGCCCACCACAACGTCCTACTTCCAATCCCTGCTGCGCAACGACACGGGCGACTACCTCGCCGGCGTAGCCACCTGGGCCGACTCGGTCCGCTACACCAAGTGGGGTAGGTTCACGTCGGACTTCCACTTCATTGACGCCAAGGACGACCCGCCCTCGTACTGCGGCGTCGACTTCGACCGCGACTGCAAGAAGGACAGGGGCTGCGTCGTCAGTGCCCTGGCGAACTACACCGCACGGCTACTGGACACGGACCTGAGCGAGTGGGAGCGCGCCATCGCTGCCAAGTTCGTCGTGCACTTCGTGGGGGATATCCACCAGCCTCTGCACACGGAGAATGTGGCGAGGGGCGGGAATGGAATCCATGTGCTGTTCGACGGCGTGAAGCTCAACCTGCACCATGTGTGGGACACAAGTATCGTGGAGAAGTTGGTGGGCGGGACGCATAGGCGGAAGACGTACGAGGAGGCCAAGCGCTGGACGGACGAGCTCACCTTGGAAATCAACGAGGGCAAATACGCCTCGGATAGGATTGACTGGCTGAGGGCGGCCAACCTGTCGGATCCGACCTCGACTGCCATGGCGTGGGCCAACGAGGGGAATGCCTATGTTTGCACACATGGTGAGTTGGTTCGGCCTTGCTCATTCCCATGAGACACGGGTGTGCGACATGCGCGCTGTACGCGGGTGGCTAACATGTCCTTCAGTGTTGCCTGAGGGCCCGAAAGCTATCGAAGGCCAGGAATTGGGGTCGGAGTATTATGAAGACGCCGCTCCGGTGATCGAGCTGCAGATTGCGAGGGCGGGATACCGTCTGGCTGCATGGCTGGACCTGATCGTCTCGGCCATCAATACTCAGGACTCGCCAGGCGATCTGTAGATTGCATGTCGAAGTACTGGAGATCAAAAGCTTATAGAGGGGATCCCTCCCCGCAGGATGGTAGTTGAGCGGCATGTGTAAGCCCATGAGAGGCGTTGGGGTCGTCAACAGGAACCGTCCAGAAAAGATCACAACGAAAACCGCGCAGGTGGCAGAAGGTTCGGGTGGTGGCAGATACGAGGCTTCCTGCCAAGGTGACACAACGGCTTATGTGTGATCTTCCCGCCGAGGTCGCGGATCATGGTGCGACGGCGCACTCTATGGGCGGCCGTAGCTCGAATCGAGCGTGCTTGCAAAGACTCGTGGGTCGTTTTGACGATTCTTCGAAGACGGCCTACGGTAACTTCGGCACGCTGAGACTTGGGATGTCGGGAAACGCCAAGCATGGAGTTACTACCTTACCTAGGTACGCTGTTCATCATGTCTCCGGATGCAGTCGATTGAAGATTGAAATGCTCGGTTGAAGAGTGCCGACTGAGCCGAGCATGGAAATATCGTGTCTCGTCGGCTTGCCATCAGCCAGGGTATCAGTAAGGGGTTTGGTTCAGACGATGGATTCCATCGTTTCATCAAAAGCATCTAGCAAAGCTTAGGTTACGGAAGGTAGGGGGGATGCGGAGAGATGAGGGCCGTTGGATCGTCTCAAGATGTGCTGGGGTAAGTTCCCAGGTAGTACCTACATTACCTACAGGTAGGTACACAGTAGGTAAGATTATGAATCATGATTTCCAGAACTGGGATTGTGAATGGAGCAGGTGTAATATGCTCCAAGAAAGATATGTGCATTGTAGACAATACCCAGCTGGTAGCTACCGAGGATATCAATCGGTCTCTCGATCAGGCCCCAATTGCTCAACAACCATGGCCGGCAGCCCTGGATCTTGGCCACGGAGCTGGAATGTTACCGGCCGTCCCATCCGATCTTTTATTTATCTACACGGAATAGGGTAGTGCGGATTCTGAGAAAGAACAAGAGAGCTACACAGTAGGTAGGCCCTCCGCAGGGACATGTTGTTCCATTGTCTCTGCTATAGGATTCCTTGGGCTTTGAGTTACATTACACTAGGGTCTATGCTGGTTCTTTAAAGCTCCCCGTGCTGTAATGAAGAACCTGAGCTAGGTAGAGACGGGATAGCGGCTCCGGATCCTCTAAACTTTGCGGCCTGACGGGAGGCGTGCTTCAAATGACAGGGTCATGGGGGGAACCCGATCCGGAGGAAGCAGTGTTGCGCCTTCTTGCAAGGTAGTGTAGAGCCTCGTGGATCCCCAGACTACCTACCTAGGTAGGCAATGATGTTTACACATCGACGCTAACCTCACCCATGTAAAGGCGAACATCTGACGCCTGTGTAGATTCCGGAGTTCGGACAGACGCCATCAGCAGGTGGGTTGCACAACCTCGGGCAGAAGCCAAGCCCTTATGGCCTTGAAGGCCGAATATCTATGGGGGCACGTCGCTGAATTATTGTTCCTCAGTCTCTGTGTGCAGATTAGATATCTGCTAGTTAATCACAATTTGGATTCTGCCTTGGTTTCGACTGGCTGTTGCAGATACCTGCTCACGACTCGTCGACGGGCTCTGCGACAAACCCGACGTTATATCTGCTTATTCCCGAGCCCCGAGCCAAGAACAAATCCTGAGACAGCGTACGGAAACCATTACCACTGCGCAGCGGCCGCGAAGATCGCATCCCGTATGCACATGGATAGACACACAGAACGTAGCGTTTGATAAGTTTGCCGATACCCGTGGTCATGGAGCCGCCGGGCGGCTTCGTCGTCGGCGATGGGATGAAAGGGATCGCTGGCCAGCCGGGACGTCGACGAAGTTCTGGGGCGCCGAGTGGGGAATGACTCCACAACAGGGGAACGGAATTTGATGCGCTCGCTTGCGCTTCATCCCGAGACACAAGCTGCCCGATCGCCGTGAGCAGGGGTAGCTGATTCGCCAGGTTTCAGACGAGCAAGGACAACCGCTGGCGTCTGGCACAGGAGCGGCATCAACTTCAGTCCAAAGATCCCAGTGCACGGCAGTCTACTGATCTAGTTGACGCTGGGTTTTCGCGGTACGGCAACACAGCAGGAACAGTCGGTTCTGCCACTCCCTCCAGAGAGTCGGTCTACGGTATTGCATTGGTCATACGGTTGGCGGTCAATTCTGTTATGCCCAACTTTACGACCGACGTCTCCAACTGGGCGCCTCGCTGGCCATCGAAAGGGCCTATGGGAATTATCAGCTGGTTGGATTAAAGTTAAGCATTCAAACTGCCAGCCCACTCCGTCCTCCAATGACATCGCGGTGCCTGATCGCTTCTGCCAGGCCAGGAGTGGAGAGTTTCCTTTTTTGTCCATCGCACCTGCCCTACAGCATCCACATCCTGCCACTGCTAGCAGTGTCATCAGTGAGAGGCTTCCACTTCCATGGCGTGCATCGGCGGCCCCGTTCCCTATCCTCAAACTCTCGAAGGCCCCTGCATGCCATCCCAACCATGAAAGTTCATTTTTCCAACTGTCAGGTAGAGGTGGACTCTGCAAGGTACGGGTTCCCACGTTCCATCGCATCCCCCTCTGTTCCAAATCTCTGTCAGACGATTCTGACATCCCCCGCCTTAACACGCTCTCTTTCTCTCCCTCCCCTGCCCTGCACCGCGTTTTGGAATCCTGGAGCCACACACCTTATCCGCTGCATCCGAGTCTCCTGCCGTTCTGTCACGATGCAGCCTGCCTAAGATCCTAGGTTCCTGGTCCCAGAAAGCTTGGCGTCTGCCATCGCTGGGGTGTCCGGAAAGTCTCGAAACCGCTTGGCTCCCGGGGGGAATGAGAAACACTGGCTTGGCGCCTTCGTCGGATTGCCGTCGCGACGCACTCCCTGCCTTTACCCACAGGTGCATTGTGCTTTATAACATCCTGTCTTGGCCCCGAGACCCGTCTTGACTTTTCTTCGTGGACATGTCCTCTTCACGCTCTCCGCGGTGATAGTTGTCCGTCCTTTCTTCTCTTCCCTCCATTCGTTCCTTTCTTCGGACGCGGGCTGTACTTGTACATATCCGTCATTCGTCGACACCAGTTGTCGCTTATCACTCCTTTTCATTCACTTTTGTGCTTCTGACGGTCTGGAACCATCATATCTCGATTCGACGCTCAGCTCCCGAGGAGCCTAGTTCTTTCTCGCCTACCTAGCTTCGTTTCTCGCTCGCCTACCCAGCATGTTGATGAAGACCGCCGTCACGGCCCTTCTGGGTCTGACTTTGGCTGCCGAAGCAGCCTCGATCCACCAGCACAGATCGCCCGTTCAGCTGGAGCAACGACAGAACAGGGGTGGGAACCGGTTTGGTGGTGGCTTTGGCGGTGGCTTTGGCCAGGGCAACAACGCCGGTAACAACGCGGGCAACAACGGGGGAAACCAAGGCAACAACAACAACAACAACAACAACAACAACAACAACAACAACAACGGCGGGAACAACAACAATAACAACAACGGCGCCAGCCAGACCTGCCTGGCCGCGAATGCCCTCCAGACCGGCTCGCAGTCTACCGGCCAGAGCGGTGGAGCTCCTGCCGACGGTCAAGTGAACTCGGCAACGTACGTCTAGGCCTCATCCGCAGAGCGTAGTCTTGACTGTGCTGACGCTTTCCAGTGACAATGCCAACTTCATCAACTTCTGCGCGGGGCAAACCCTGACCAACGGCTTGCAGAACCGCGACGGGTCGTGCAACGGCATTCGTACGTATACCCACAATTGGACGACAGCTAGTCCTTGGCTAACCCTGTGCAGCGATGGGCAAGATTCCGGCCTTCAATAAGATGGTTTCCACAGTGATCTTGAACCCCAAGAACAATGACAACATTCAACCACTCACGACGTTCCAAATCCAAGTCCAGATTGCCAACATGAAGCTCGGATCCTTCACCAACGCCACGAGCACGTACTATTCAGCGCCGCAGGATCTTGCCGCCGACGGTACAGTCATTGGCCACACTCATGTTACAGTCCAGGATACTGGCAATACGTTGAACCCTACCCGACCTCTGGATGCCACCCAATTCGCATTCTTCAAGGGCATCAACGACGCCGGAAACGGCCAGGGTCTCCTCAGCACCGAGGTGACTGGAGGTCTGCCGGCGGGCTGCTACCGTATCTGCACCATGTCCGGCGCGTCCAACCACCAGCCGGTGCTCATGCCTGTTGCCCAGCGTGGCGCGCAAGAGGACTGCCGCTACTTCAGCGTTGGTGGTGCCTGCGGGAACGGGGGCAACGGAGGCAATGGGGGCAACGGAGGCAATGGGGGCAACGGAGGCAACGGCAACAATGGTGGCAACAACAACAACAACAACAATAATAATAATGCCGGAGGCAACAACGGCAACAACAGGGGCAACAATGCTGGCAACAACGGCGGTAACAACGGCGGTAACAATGCAGGCAACAACGGCGGCCGCAACAACGCTGGGAATAACAACAACCAGGGCCGTGGTGGTGGAAGGAACAATGGTAACAATGGCCAAAACAACGCCGCTGCCAACGGCGGTGCTGGTGCTGGTGGTGCCGCTGGCGCCATCGGCGGTATTGCCGCACCTGCGGTCCAGAACACCGGCAACGGCGCTCGCCCCTTCTCCGTTAACGGCAACACCTTCGCCAACAAGGCCGCTGCCGTTCAGCGCGCATGTGCTATTCAAAACAACGCCTGCGCAGACGCCGTCAACTCGGGCAAGGTCCAGGGCAAGACGGTGGGCGACTGCAACACACAAGAAGCCGCATGCCGGGCTGCTGGGGGTGCTTAGACCCGGGCTTGTCCGCTTCTCCTAAGTGCCACCTCCCCGACCTTCACGGCGCCGCTCCATGCTCGAAGCCGATACCTCCTTCCTCAGTCGCTCAAAACCCCGCCAGGCACCATGAGGACTGATGGAATGTGGCGCCTGAGGGGAAGGGGATGTGTACCATGTTCTTTTTCAATTTCTACTACATACAGGGAGTCTTTTAGTCCTTAATCCCCTGGTTATTTATGGCGGTTGTTTTTCTGTCAGGCAGGCTAGTCTCGCGGGCGTTGCGTCTTTCACACATACAAATCCTGTATGGTAGAAAAGAATGGGAAGACGCCCGGCTGTTGTTTCTTGTATACCTCTACTTCCGTTTTTCCCATCTTCTGTTGCCGTGCCGCGATGTCATGACAATGTTTCCAGAGCCCCTCTCAGTCTTACACTATGGTGAGTATGGTGCGTGACTACGACATGGAAGCTGTATGCTATTAGTAGGGGGGAGTGAATCCGAGTCCAATCTGTGCCCGGGAGTGGGAACGTCGCCCAAGGAGGACTCAATCGGACATGTGTTGCAGTGGCGAACAGGAAGGAGCTGCAAGAACGGGGAGAAATCTTGGATAGGCAGAGTCAGGTTTGAACCCACAAGATTCGGATGTCTCTTGGGCCGGGACATTGCGTCTCATACTATCTCGCCTGGATGTTTCGGGTTTTATCAGTCTCCGGGAGTGCTTTACCCCGAACGGATTGTGAAACAACAAAGTTCCTTGAGGAGCTGAAACGGAGGTGGACCGAGCGTGAGTTCGCCACTTGGGCGTTGAAATCGGCCAGAGACGACCGAGGAATGAGCCTGGATTCACAATTCCATACCTTAGATAAGGTAACGTTATCTACCGACTTCACTTCATAGAGTAGAGGCTGTGTCGCTGTCGACAGTCTCGGACGGCCGTCCAGTTCGCGTTCAGCAAATCGCCTGGCACAGAGTAATATGCTGTGTGGCGAGGGAACGCCGTCGATCATTGAGGAACATGCTATCATATGTATAATACATACTAGGTCTTGTACATGACTGGTCAGTCTTGGTCATCATGGACTTGTCAGAGCCAAGATTCCTTGTCCCAATTGTCTTTTGCTCCAGCGTTGAGCTTTCTTCTGATCGGGACGGTCTGCGGTCAGTGCGGTGTCACACCGGCCACAAAGCTCTTGATGAAGACTTAGTTCTGTGTCTAGAGGGTGATCAACAACCGTCACAGCATTTCCGTTGCATGATTCATGAATTCAGGCGAAGATGGAGGGGAGGGCTGCTTGATTACAATGATGAGTGCTCCTATTGCCTCGGCTCTTGGCTGCTTCCAAGTGTGTCGACTGACTCATGTTAAGGTATCCAGCACCGTGGTTTTCCAGCCTCAGTAATACATACAATGGCAGCTTCCATAAAATGTATCTTCGATGTGCCGCTCAGTCCAAAGTAGTTCATAGATGGTGCCTACCCGATAGGTAACAGTAGGTATGGTGGATTACTCTGTTCACGAATGGCCACCGAGCAATAAAGAGACGGAAAATGAGCTCTGTCATGTCCAAAACATATCACGGCCTACAAGACACGGTTTAATGACAACGTCGGCTCTAGTCTCGTCTCCCTGAAGAGACGGATTTAAACTACTAGTACTTTAGGCTGCTCTAGAGGGTGTTGATACAAGTTTCGTTGCTACCGAAAATGGTAGTAAGTAAACAACACTACATGCTCGCAGCTACCAGTAGACGCCGTTGCGAACGGGACTTGTGTGTAGACAGATACCCTCAATAGATAGCTAGCTTTGCCACCCTTGAAAGGCATGACAATCTTCCCGTTTTCAGAGGGCGCCGGCATCACGCCTCAGGTGATCTTTTGAGCTTAAGGTAGGTTCTTCAGGGGAAGCCCCATGATTACCGAGCTCTTGCAACACATTATTAACACACGGCTGCTCTAACGGCTGCCTGCACGCTTCTGTACGACAATGGGCGCAACGCCACTTATTGATCATTGACGTTGTGCTCGCCGGGGATCCGTTCCTGCCTACCTGTACCTTACCTGCCCAGGTACCTTGGCCCGCTCAGCCAGCCACGTACGATACGATACGGTGCGGTGCACCTTCCGCTCTGAATTGATCGGCCCACGCAACTCGGACACCGATCGCACCTTCCAGTCTTCCCCTTTGGGAGGGGGTCAATACCTTACTTAGTAGTAGCCTGAGCACTCAGAAACCTAAAGCCCTAAACTCCCAGATCCGCCCATACATCCCATCCCTCCCAAAACCATCTTTCTGATCTAAAGCAAAACGCTCCCCCAATCGTCGAACCCACGATGGCAACCGCGATGGGAGACAACAAACCAACCACCACCACCCGCGTGTTCACCTCCCTCCAAGCCCGGTTGGAGTACGTCTACCAGGACCCGACCCGCCTCCACGAGATCTCGTCGCCAGACGTGGTGCTGCACCCGGCCGACCGCGACGTGTTCTCCCCGCCGCGCGCTCCCCTAGTGGGGATCGCCGCCGCCCAGGCACACGAGGAAGGGCTGATGGCCGCGGGCGCGACGCTGACCTTCGACGTCGAGAGCATCACGGTCGGAGGGGGAGGGGTCTTCGGCTGCGTGATGGGTATGCTCCGCGCGGAAATGCAGGAGGATGAGGGTGAGGGTGAGTGTGAGGATGATGATCATGATGGGCAAATCAGCAGCAAGAACGGGGGAGCCGGTAAGAAGAAAGGGAGCGAGATGCCGTCGGAGCAGGGCCAGGAGAAAGGAAGCGGTGGGAAGGAAAAGAAGGGCGCAGGCAGCGGCGGGAGCAAGAGGAGGAGAATGGAGATGCCGTTCTGCGGGCTTTGGAAGTTTGATGACAGGGGCAGAGTGGTCGAGCATTGGTAAGTTTCAACGCTTGCTTTCACCCCACCGTCTTCTCCTCTCTCGAGCCGATCAACATTGCAAGGGTGGGTATCTTCGTCCGGGAGGGATAGGAGTGTTCTAAGGGGCCAAGGAGAGGTGATAGAAGTGCCCTGAGACAGGCAGTCGTTTGTGTCCGATCCGAGAAGCTCCAGGCAGTTGAGCGTTGTCAACCGTATCATCCGAGGGGAGGCATGACTGACTTAAGTTTCAATGCTAGGGAGAATGCTGCCGATGCGGCGGCAATGAGAAGTTGGTTGCTGCGTGAATGAGCATATGGGCGGGCCAGGTGGATGCATCGTTTCGATCGGAACTACAGTTTGTCAGCACCTTGGTTGACCCGATATACTTCCCCTTCCGCCAGCATGCATAACGTACAATACCTACTAGATTGTTACTTCCGCACTTAACCGCGGCGATGAAATAACTATATAAAACAACCTCGTATTGCTGCCTGATCTTTTGTTGCCTAGCAAATACTGAATCCACGAGCGTTATACCTATACTTAAAAGACAATTTCGTTACCTACATAGCTACCTTACATCCCTAGAATCCGACGGCAGTGATGCCATGGCTTGCAAGCAAGCATTCTATACAACGAACCGCAGCTTGCGCCCGGTAATCTCAAGCCCACAGGGATCTCTCCAGCCAAAGGCGAAGCGAGCCACGCAGCCACACAGCTTGCTCTCCCGACGTTGCCAGCTAACTCTCCGAAATTAGCCCCAAGTGCAAGCTAGCAACATTGCCGAGCCCTTCCTGCCAGCAGCATCGCCGAATTCTCCTTAAAAAACACGCCCCAATAGCTATCAGGGGAAATGAAACTGGGGCGATGGAAGGAAGTGTTATCGAACGTGCTTCGTGGCTGCGTGTCTCTCATTGTTGTTATTGTTGTGGTTGTTGTTGATCATGTAATCGCCCGCGCATGTTCCCGTGGCCTTTTGAGCTCGACATCACGGTGCTCCTCTAGTGTGGCGACGGCGAAGGAGTATACCATGAGTTTCGAACTCAATGCTCACCCTCCCTCTCACCGCCGTGCATCCACTCGTTGAACTTGCGCTTCCCGACGCGAGTCTCGTAGTGCGGTGCTGCCGCCTTGACGTCCTGCATGATTGACTCCATTGCGCTGCGAGTTTTGTTTCTGTAGCAGTCCACTACAGCAGGTCAGCACAGAATGTCTCAGAAAGGAGCGGCAGGAAGGATAGCTCACAGGCTCGCTGCAGGAAGACGGTCCGGCCTGCAAAAACTCTGCTTTGCAGCCAGGCCATCCGGTACCCCAGATCATTCAACCGCACTTCCTTTCCCCGAAAGACCTTCCTCATCCGCGGGATCGCCACCTCGCCTTCCTCGCCCTCGCGCTCCGGTAGCGGCACCTTGACCATGGTCCTACCCCGCCTCGAGCTGTTCCGATACACAGCTCCCCGGCCCTCCGTATCAGCCGTCCCATCATCTTCGAGATCGCTCGCGTCATCAGTGAAGAATTTACTGCCCGTTGCGCTGGGCGGGGGACTCTGCATCTCGCGAGGGAAATAGGAGCGCGGATAGACGCTGCTGCTCTTGCGGAAGCTGTCGGGAATCTCACGCGTATCCACCCCGTCAAGAGTCACCCGCACCCTGAGGCGGCTCTGACGCTCATTGTCATCAACAAGGATAAACTTGCGCTTCTTCGAGTCGGGAAGTTCCGGAAAGAGGTCCTCAGGACCGTCGTGGGGAGAGGCACGCATACTCTTTGAGTGAGTGCTGCTGGACCGGTGGGCGGCGAGGGCGGATCCGCTGCCGTGAGTGGGATCGCTGAGCGAATCGTGGACGGACATGGATGAGGAGCCATGAGGTGCGCCGTTGTAGGCACCGTAGCCAGTGAATACGTGGGAAGGCCGCTCTTCCAGGCCGGGCTGGGCGGCGGGCTGGCGATGGTGGTGGTGGTGTTGCTGGTCGTCGCCGTAGTCCCCTTCTCCTAGAACCATGAAGAATCGTCAGCTGATCGGCGTTCCATTCAAAAATCCGCTCGCGATTATTCATTATGCCGGGGTCATGTCAACACGCGCGTCGGTTATGTCAAGTGTGATACCTCCGAAGCAAAATAGCGCACCAAGAGCAGCAAAGGTTATGTATGCAGGTCGCGAGCATCCCGAGGTGCCATCATCTCAGTCAGGCGCCCTGTCCAGGACACTCGGAGGGAAGGTGGTTGACGAGGATGAAGGTGTCGGTTGATATGTGATGAGCGAGTGCTGATGGATGTGCCAGTTTGCAGAGCATTAGATAATGCAATGCAACCCCCGTTCTGCCGGCAGCCAGACGACTGAACGAAGACCGAAAACCAGCAAAACGAACTAACAGCAAACGCGACTAAAATGTAATGTACAGATCTTTCCTTTTGTACCAGGTGTCCCTGTTGTCGCCCCAGGTAAAACGATGCTCGGAGGTCGGACGGTCGCGAGCCGGTATATAACAGGTCAAGGGAGGGACGAGCGAGTATAATTCCCAAAAATTCCAAATACGACCAAAACAAGAAGGCAGACACATGTAAAACAGGCGGCTCGAAGAGGTATCACACTTAATCACAACAACGCGCGCGCTTTAGGCCATCTGGTGATGAAACATACCGACTTGGTCTCCTCCCTGAGCGCTTCCGTCCTGTTGGGGATCGTGGTGGTGGTGCATCGCGGCGGTCGTCATGGTATTAAGGCCCGGTTTGCCCATGGTGGGCGTGCCGCCAGGGCCCATGCCAGTCGGGGTTGACATGCCGGTTGAGCCGGGAGCACCGGGGGCAGGCATGTGGGTGACGTGCGGAGTGGTAGAGCCCGCCTTGTTGTTGTTGCGATAATTCATCTTGGCCATGCGACGGACGCGACGGCTCCTCAGGCGGGGATCTTGGTTGCTGTTGCGCCAGCTATCCACGGCCCGCTGGATCAGGCCTCGCTTGCCGCGGAGCGGCGGGTTCAGCTGTGCCAGGGCCCATCCCACAGTGTTGCACTCGGTTTCGTACTGCAGCCGGTTCCCACGGTACTGCTCCTTGGGGCAGCACGCGCGAGGATAAACGCAGTTTTCTGTCTTGAACTCGGGCGTGAGCTCGTCCTGATTTACAGATTCGACATCGCAGCGGATTGTGTACTCCATCTTCACCCGGTCGCGTGAATACTCAAAAGCAATCCACTGCACACCGTTGGTATCCTGCCTCACTACGAGCGGGGTAGTGGCTGGGATTGGACCCGGGGCAGCATTCGGATTCACGCCAGAGCCGGTGGGGGGTGCCGAAAGGGGCGCCGAGTTCTGGGGGCTAGTTGATGACGCGCTACCCATGGCCACGGGCGCAGACGCTCCAGACATCCGGTGGCCGCCCATGTTGTGTGTCTCAATTTTATCCGGGCGCGGGCTAACCGTCATCCCTGATTGCGAGTGTTGCGAGGGGTGCTGGCTGAGCGCGTGCTGAGGCTGCCCGTGCGACATCATCATACTTGGCTGTGAACCCATGGCCTGATGCGACTGTTGAGCATGTTGCGCGTACGGTGACTGCGCTGCCTGGGTCGGCATAGAGGAATACTGTTGTTGACCGCCATAGTACATTGGTTGTTGATGTAGTTGTGAGGGAGGCTGTCCGTACATGCTCCTTTGCTGGTCATGGGTCGAAGGCGATGCCACAGAGGCCGGCGAGTTCGATTGCGGCGTGTGGTATGTGATTGGAGGATAGGGCCTCGGCATTGCGGCAGCCATCATGTCCCCGGTATCTGAAGATGCGCGTAAGCTCAAATGGTCTCGGGTTCGGCGGTGCCAAGTTAACACTGACCTGCGGACGTATACCCGCTAGTTGCACCCGGCGTGCTGTACGGGCTTGGGTGCGCGTAGTACGGCAACCCGTGATCTTGCGAGCTATTGGCCTGGCCCTGCTGCGGGTACGAGTACCCCCCCGAATGCTGCGGCTGCGGCTGCTGTGGCTGGGCTGGATTCTGGCCGTGATGCTGCTGCTGAACTATGCTGGACGGCCGCGAGTGCTGCAGATGGGGCGGAACAGGACCCTGCTGCTGGTGATGATGCTGCATAGAGGAGACAACCATTAGTCCTTGCGTTACAGGGATTCCTTCTCGAAATCAAAACCATGTATGTTTTGCGTGTGTGTGTGTGTGTGTGTGTTCTGGGGCGCCCTGGACGCGTCTGGGAGTGTTGTGGTTTTTCTTCCTCGGACCGCTTGAGCGCGTGCAAGGACTGGGTCACCGGGAACTCGTGTCGGGTCCCTGGAAAAAATGACAGGGGATCCAGGGGTGAGGCGGGCTAGCCTCCTCGGGGATTTGGCGTGGGATTTTGTAGGACAAGGGCTTCTCCTATCCACGCGGCACCCAGGTCTCCTGCGCAAAGCAGGGGAGGCGATACTACCCACCTCGGTGGGGTAATGAAGGACTCGGAACCGTCTCCCGAGGTTTCGAGATTCCCACTTAGGTTTCTCTTTGCTCTGTGACAGCGTGGTATTGGGAACTGCCTTCGCTGCCGGCAGTAACTTCACCCCTGGCAACGCGAGAGAAAAGACAGGGCCATTAACTAACCGAGTATGCAGTGTCGCGGCGGAGAGTGAAGGACAGGTACGAAATTAAGAAGCGGTCCTTGCTATTGCAGGGTGGCCCGGTTATGAGAGGACGGGTAGGTGTGAGCGGGGACTTGCAAAACAAAGCAGATCCTGCTGAATGCTTGCTTGCCTGAGCTTGCCAGCTGGACGCAGGGGAGGAGGGCAATACCTGGCTGGCCCAGTCTGATATACCCGGCTCAGAGACTCGCACAGAGGCGCGCATGCAGTGGGTTTAATCCCCTTGTGCCGCCAGACGAGCATCGAGCATGGGGAACCCAGTCGCCCTCAACGCAGCAGAATATTGCCAAGAGGTGTAGGTACGCCACGGATGCCGGGGAATGCCGGGGGAGGGCCGGTCGGACAACGGCCAATGGAGGGTGGCATGGGAAAGAAAACACGCGCAACGGATGACTAGCGCCGAAGATGAAATGGCCAATGGCACGATACCTGCGGAGCGGAGTAGCACAACAATTGCCCAATGAAGTATAGCCATCCGAGGCTAGCCACCGAAGGGGCAAGCCGCTCTGCATTTTCCAGCCAACGCTGGCTCTGTCATCTGCCACTCATTTGCGCGCTCTCCGTTTCGTCGTTTTTTCTTCCTCACTTCCTCTGGATTTTTGTGGAGGTGTGGGGAGGGGGAGAGTGCAAGGGGCGGTGAGAGAGTGGGTCCTACCAACTCCCCGACCCTGCACTTGCGCTTGCCTTCCCTTTCAACACCCCTTGTCCTGAGGACACTTCTCCTTCGCGGTAGGGTTTCCAGGCTGCCTCGCTCGAGACCGCTAGTCGAGGAGGTGGTCTCTGGGGAACTTGCGTACACAACCGGATCCTGCTTGGGCTCGATAAGCCCAAACTCGGACGGGGCTTTCTGGGACAGAGGGTCATGTCTCTCAGGAGCGAGTCGCTCAGGAGCTCTGTGGGAAAAGCTAGCGTCGCTAGTGGCTCCAGCGGCTCCACCAATGTATGAGGGGATAACACCGCCCCACCAGAGATACCTCCAATTCCCCACTCGGCAACGGTGCAACTGACTCTTGCTATGCTCTTGTGTGCCAAAAAGCATCGCAAACACTCGAGGAAGATCATGCCCGCGTGTGCTCAGCACGGCGACAGTTGACTGTGCCGAGACAATTGTGCAGAATTCAAGACCAGCCGGGCACCGATCACTCGATCAAGGTTTCCCCAACTTCGATCCATGACTCTCGGGCGGGCAGTTGGGGGGCGGTGCGTGGGGTGAACCACGGTCCCTACCTAGCTAGCCACTCGGCCATGCATGCGCAGGTCCACCACTGAGGAGGAATGGAAGGTCTAGCCTGCGATGTGGCAACTGAGAGGCCCGCGACACGGTATCATATGGGGTATGATGCGGTCTGCAACCGTCTGCCACCAGCTGGGCCGATGAGTATCTCTCCGTTGTGGCCGTTGTGGGATGCAACGCAAGCATCCATAAACATTGTGGTAGTCATGCTTGTTGATCAGTGAGCCTGGATTGTGCAGCGCATCGATCCCTTCAGAGCGGAAGCGCGCTGCGCACCCGGCACTGCCCCCTGCCGCATGCTACCGGAGCCCTGGCTGCCGGTGAAACAAGGCCAGCCCCCTGTAATTCCCCAACTGTCACATCCCTTGGAGCCAAGGATGCGGCAGGCATGCAGTTTTCTGGAACAATTGCGAAGCCCAGCCAGGGTCAATATCGTCGGATTGGCGCCGTCACACTCCTCGAGATAGACTTATCTAAAAGCGAGGTTAGGCTAACAACCCAGCGGCGCTACCGCACAGGAAGTGGCCCGACGATTGACCAAACCACGACGCGGAAGTGTCGGTGATGAGTGGAGTGGTGCAAAGAAAAAGCGAAAAGTTGCACTCACCACCGAGTCATGGCCTGGCTCCTCCTTGAATTGGCGGGCTGCCTGCCGGTGTTGAGCCATCGTCATCAGTCCCATAGATCACGACTCGGGCTTGGGCTGCTGCTCTCTGTATCCAACGCCAAGTCAGCGAGAAAGACTCCGGGCAAGCCGTGCGGTAGACACGGGAAAATTGGCCTGACGAGGTGTGGATTGTGAAGCGCGAGAGCCGTGCAACAAGTTTGCGCTCCGCTGAATCGCGTCGTGAGACGGCCGGTACACCGGCTACCAGGATCCCCGAACCAGCAAGTTGCTCTGGCCTTGCAGGGGCTTTCAATGCATAAATCGGACGATAGGACAGGACGGTTGGAGGACTCACGAAAAGCTCCGACTCGAGCGGCAGTGGAATATCTCCTGTTTCGATAGATATGTAGACGCGTCGTCCGTGATAAAGTAACAACGCTGTCGTCCAAGCGGACAAGCATTCGCTCAGGTTTGTCGTGCTCAATGCCGGGAGGTAGATTGACGGCGCGCTGTGTAGCCTCGAAAGAGAGCCGACTGTCGAAAATGTCAGCTTCGAAAGGGAGTCGACGAAATCATGTCGAAAGTTTTGAGATGGAAGAATGTGGGGCCCGAGCCGAGTCTCTGCATCAGCAGGGTAGCATGTCCAAAATTGCAGCCATCTCACGCGATCCCTGAGAGGAAGCTAGGCAGCTAGGGTGGAACATTGCCGAGATTGTAAACGGAATCGCGCTGGCTGTGACACGGGGCCCTGGCCGATGTGCAGTTCAAACCACCAGCTGATTTGCTCGCGCGATGCATCGTGGCCGGGATAGGATGAAGGAGCGCGGAGGACGAGCACTTACCTTCCGTCTATGATGGCGAAGAGTCAATGACTTCAGAAGAAGAGAAAGACGCGTCGAATCTTTGCCACGCGTATTAGGGCTACCTTAGTTAGTCAAAGCGCCGTCTGAGCGTGCGATAGGGTTTAGGGATTCGGCAAGCCGGGAAGAGCTGTTGGGAGTTGCAGGTGGAATGCAGACAAGTGTCGAACCGTCGAGATTGCGCGTTTACGTACCCGTTGAGCCAGCCGCGCGCAGGAAACAACGGAACAGCTCGATGCCGTATATAGCACCTCCAGTAATAGCAGGCCTTGGACACCCGATTGACGATCCCACCCGACACGATGAGCTCTTCGGTGTCCTCAGTAAGGTACTAAGTCCCTTACACAGTTATTAGAGGTAAAAAGGCTGGGGCGGGTAAAACACCTCAGTGTCTCGGGGTGCGAATAGGGCAGTGAGAGGGAGCCGTCAAGCGTGCCGGGTTTGCTGATCCACAGAAAGGCTGTCGATAAGCTCGTATGTTTTGACAAGCCAAGTGAGCGAAGACGGATGGTCGATATTGACCCTAGTTGGATGGCTATATTGTGGGTGACCTGATTCCGAAATTTTCATTAGCGGCCAGTTGACAATTACCAGAAGTTTACTGTTAGAGCAGTCAACTTGAGGCGCAGTGGCTGAGCTGCAAACCGCGCCTGCTGCGCACAACAATCTCTCTCTTGGTTGCCAAGGTTCGCACGCCAATGTTGAAAAGACAGTGGATCGAGAGAATTCTTACCTGGCAACGTGAAGTCGCACAATGTGGAAGAATCTCTGTCGACCACACAGAGCGTATTGATGTTGACCGTTAGACGAGACGGGGGCCTCGCTGACAAGACTCGGAACAAAGCCGGGTAGGCACCTGGGATCCGCTGCTTTACAAGACGTATCCAAATGCACGTCAATCGAGAATCAGCAGGTCAAGATGGCAGATCAACCGCGAGGAAACGAGAAAGCAGCGCAGAGTGAGTGATCCGTCCATTTTATTTACCAAGACTGAGCTCTCGAGTCTCAACAGTACGGAAATACAGATAATTTACAAGGCCATCATGGATTGCATTGGATAGGAGCCACCAGTTCGCGCGGCACGCCATCCGGGTCAGGGGTCTTTGCGAACTCGGGAAGCCAGGGTTCGCGCAACGGTCAACATCCTCGATACGTAGGAACTGTACCGTAACTACCAGGTACCTGATCTTACACGGGGTCGCATACGGAAGGGCACCATATAAAACAAACAGAGCATCTTACCGGTTGTGGTCTTGTAATAATTTATCGAGTTGCTGCCACGGAGTAGCGTGCTGCCCGGGCTCACCGGGGTGATCGGCACATTTGCCCAGCGATGCGATTGGTGGTTCCGAAGAACTTGGTACACATCAGAGGGTGCCCGGAAGGCCCGGTCAGTGTGGTACCTATACAGCGGAAGATGAATAGGTAGCCTGTTTGCTTCTGCAAGTCAAGTTTGCGTCTGTTGGAATCGTGATATTCAAAAGATGGCTTGCAGGTATTTATATTCCTGTACCTTGAACCATGCCGTCTTATGTACGCGACCCGTTTTGCAAGGATGTGTGCGGACGTTTCTCAAGACACGCTTCTTCACGCGAACACGTGAATCCGGCTCGGCACGTTGGGATCGATGGGCATACAGGGTTTCCTGGCTCCCAGCAGGGTCTTCCAGAGTTTTGGCGCTCAACGAAACAAATGTAGTTATCGGATGTATTGTACAATGCGTATGCTGAGCTAGCATGGGACAAAAGCAGTCGATTACGGATAATAAGAAATGAAAAGTTCTGCAAACAAGATTTGGGTGATAGATGATAATATACCTTAAGGCCCAAACCATCGAAAGCGGCCAACGCACGCAACTGCACAGACTCAGGCTCGGTAATGGCAATAACAACGACGGAGAAAACATTGACCTCCCGGGCACTATGTTCAATGACTGCACCTGTGAAGAGATGATTGGGAGGCTGGTTGGACAAGTACACGTGTAGGAATTCATGCATTTCACAGTTGCAACGCGG